CGCGTCGAGAGACGGAGCGAGCTTGTCGACACAACTTCGGCCGAATAAATTATCAGAAAATAATGGTCGTGCGAATTGTAGAGACCTTGCTCGAACGAACCGTCTCGGTTCACTATTATCTCCCGCTCTTTGTCGGCATCGTCTCCGTTTTGACTCTCCGAGCGTGGTTTTCGGGCAAACGGACAGACAGAGAACGAGATCTCCATGGGAGGACAATCCTCGTCACCGTAAGCAAGCCAGGCCTTTTTGGAAATAATTCTATAGCACACTAAGCACAGTTTCACAGGGAGCTACATCCTCTTTAGGAATCACTCTTGTCACAGAACTCGCACGCAGAGGCGCTCAGGTCATTGGTGTCGTCGAGGACACGGCAGACCCCACCGTCCTCTCGCTCTTTGACCTCATCCGGCACACGACCAACAACGAGCTCGTCTATGCAGAACAATGTGATCTCTCATCTCCCAACGCAATCAAAGACTTTTGTGCACAGTTGATCAAATCATCGGGAGGAGGGCTTGAATCCGAACCACCACGGCTAGACGCCATCATCTACGCACACGAATATCCGCACATCGGTGCAATACAGGCTAATTCTACGGAAAGAGCAAAGGAGGATGAACAGAGGCTGCACCGACGATTGGCTTCCTTTTTCTTTACGACGCTCCTCCTCCCGGTACTCCTGACGGCACCCGAAGAAAGAGACATTCGATTCATCACCGTCGTGCCACCCCTGTACGCCGCGGCAATTCCCTCTTTTACCCCTCGCCCTCCGCCACCCTCGGAGAAGAGTGATGCGCCTGTAGGCGTTGGAGTCGCTTCTCCATCCCTATGGGTCAAAGAAGGCGCACGTGCATTGGATGCCATTCTATTCACCCGACATTTCCAGCGCATCCTCGACGCTCTCCCGACTCCTTCCGTCAAAACACAGGTGGCGAGGTCGACAGCCGGTCCAACCTCGTCTTCAAAAAACACCGTCGAGCTTGAACCGGAGGCTGTAGCTGCCAAACGTCCCTCGAATATTATCGCGCTCGCCGTTTCTCCTGGGTTCAGCCGCACCGACACGATCGCCCCCTACTTATTACGTCGCGACAAAAATTCAACCGTTTTCTCGTTTGTCGGCCTCATAGGGTCAGTCACCCACCCCGTTTGTAATATGGCTGTGTGAATGGTTAACTGACATGTGCGTTCTTTTGCCCTTGCCCTCCTTTTTCTCCGAGATCAGGTATACCTTGGCGCTCCCTTTGCTCTACATATTCGCAAAGTCTTCCGATGCGGCCATCCAAACTGTCTTGCATGCCCTATTCCTCCCGACACCACTCAAGGCGACCAGGGCTGCAGCAGCACACCAACCGACGACGACGACGACGTCAACCACACGCGATGGATCCTCCGAGGAATATGTGAGAGGAGGTGCACTCTATGCGGAATGTGCGCGGGTCTTGCTGCCAGGCAATGCAGAGCAAAGGTTAGGATCAGAACTCGTCGGTCAACGCGTCTGGGAGAATCTAGAGGCAGAGCTCGCGCGCTGGAGAACAGCCGAGCAGGCTTCGCGTTCGATAGAAAAGAATTGATCCTTAGGTTATACCGCGGAGATGGCTACTCTGTAATCTCAGTTTGCCTTTTTGCATGCCACTCGTCTAGAAATCGTATGTCATTCACCGCAACAGGAAAACTGATCAATCAATATTCGAGTAGAGCGATTGTAGAAATGATGGCGGGGAAATAGACCGGTAAGCATATCCGAGTGGCGTGGGCTGTGGGCCGTGCCGGGTTTAGAACAGACAATCCAAGCACAAGTCTGAGGGACTGTAAACCTTTTGAAATCGGAATTATAAATGAATGCTCACCGTCTGCACAGCAGCAGCAAAGACACTGAAAGGAATAGGCGTTAGTGGAAAAGCTTCTATTTAGTCATTGGGCTTACAGCAGCCAAGCTATAAAAATAGATCAGAATTTTGGTACGAGAACAAAAAAAAAATGGGGAACGGACCATGCAAGGCAGCCAGTAGAAGCTCCACTACTCTTCTTTTCTTGTACAATGACCTGAGGTTGTTGCTGTGGGTAGTATGCTATTTGACCGGAGAATCCATGTGCGTGGGCGGGCCGCATCAATACGAATGACACAACAATCAAGAAGAAATTGACATACGTCCAGGTTGACCATACTGAGGTTGCCCATAACCTTGCTGAGGATAACCCTGTTGGGGATAGTACTGGGTACCAAGCCGTTAATTCGGAGAAAAAAGACGTGACGAGCTCGCGCGACGTACACCTTGTTGGGGACCTCCAGGAGGTGCTAATGGGTTCGCATCAGAGCATACAGTCGTCAGCGAATCGGGTTGGCCGAGATGAACGGGGGGCAAAAGGCAAGTCTTACGATAGTATCCACCCTGTTGCGGAGGACCATAACCACCTGGTTGCTGATGTTGCATTCCCTGATCTCCTTTGTAATAGTCGGCGTTGGACATTTCTGCGCGGTTGGCGGTCGCTTGGCGGTAATGGAAGAGTTCAAGGATGGCTCCACGCGTTGCCGGGACCCCCTCTTGCCAGCAGCGTCCAATAGGTGTGGATGACCAACGAGCCTTTTGCCTGCGCAGTCAAAGGAACTTGACCGGGTTAGGGATCCAGAGTGGCAGTGGCTATGACCTCTGGAGCTTCTGGAGAAATACGGATACAACTCGCTGCATTTCCACAAATAATATCGCTACAGTGTCTAGCAATTCAGAAAATAAACCGACAGTCAAGGAGAGTGGGACGGATAGAGTACCGTGGTCTAGGAAACAGTAGTGAGCCGAGCCTACACGAAGAGTCGTGTCCAAAATCAAAAATCGAGAAAAGGAATGGAGAGCGCGTGGGCTACAGAAGTCGCATTGGGTATAACTGCGGTGATGGTGACGGACGAACGGACGAGGCGCAATTATTCGGCGGGGGCATTTGCTTTCCTCGGCCTGCGGGAGAGGAGCAATCTATCGTAAACGACGAGAATAGATAACCAAATTCGAAATCTAGGTTTTGGGTGCACCCTGGTTCGCAAAGTGCAAGCTGAGTTGGGTTCTTGCTAAACAAAACCAAAAAAAAAAGTCAGCAGACAAAAACAGATGGCTAGAGCGATTCTTGACGTACGTGGAGCTACATAATTTCTCTGGTTCACGACCGTAAAGGGCTGGGTGGATACTTGGGCGAGGGGTGAAACGAAGCCACTCTGAATTAATGTCATCTCATGATCTCTACTTGAGGGGAGCCGTGGATCAGATACCGGAAAGTCTTCGTCGCATAAACGTCGATACTCACCGCAAACGGGTTAAACTGATCCCCAGCCGATATTTGCCCTCTGTCCTGATACTGACGTCTGGAAACATAAAGTAGATGCCGCGTTGCCCATTCATATCCACGAGGCTATACGGCGACGAAACCAGCGATCCGTAGAGGAGACGTTGTGCCGAAGGCTGGGCGGATGCACTGCTGGGTTCATCGGGTGGATCTCGAACAGGGAGTGCGTTCTCGTCTAGTAATTGAATAGTGCACACAAAAAAGGGTATCTCATCGTCACTGCGGAAAAATTAGGAGCGTACTTTTTGCCAAGAATAAGCGGTCCATACACTTGTAGTCGGCGTTGAGAAGGATCAAGAACGTCCAAACGAATGATGAGAGCGGGCGCGAGGGGTACCCTCGACAGATACTGGCTTCCATGAGCCGCACCGGCGGTAGGCTCTTGAAGAATGACGAGTTGGTAGCCCCTGTAAACGCCATTTATCAGTATCGTCCAATGGAATACTACAACATATTGTGCGCTCACTTTGAGCCGGATGTAGATCGACGAGAGACTGAAAGGAATGGGACATTCGCCGTAGGCGAAGGTAATGCTATCGGGTCATAACGAAGGTGATGTTGATGAGAACGAGTACGTGAATCGTAATCTCTGTGCCTACGAGCTTGAGCTTGTGTAGTTGCAGAGTGCGTGAGGCCGCGAATAGAGATGCGCTCGCGGTTGCGCTTGTAAACGTTGTGGGTATCATCACCCGTCCTTGGGGAGGACATTGACGGGCTTGGGGACTTGGAGGCGCAGTGAGGATTGACGTAAGGACTTTTTGAGGAGAGGCGGGCGGAGTATGGTTGGAATGGCCTCGGATTTGGAGAGAAGGCGAACTATCGAGACACGGAATGCTAGCGATGGTTGCACAGCTATAGAATGAGCATGTCAATTAGCAAGGAAAGAAACGTGGTTGGCTTCCTGGGTGGCTTGGAATGTCCGAAGCGCGCCGTGGTTGCGACGTCGGGCTGGAGGCAGAGAAAGGTGAAATTCGCGGAAGGGGAAGGGCGGCGTCTCGCGTGGGACCCACGCGACAGTTGAGTATTTGTAGACGCAAAGCTAATGAAGTGGCTGTTAGGACGTTAGCAAAGTGCCGCACTTGCTACATTGCAAAAAGGTCGGCTAGGAACCTGCAGGGAAAAAGAAAGGAGTGCTAGGATGCATAGAAGCACGGCTAAAGGGCGTTGTGAATAACAACTGCTGAGAAAGCGACCATGCCCGGGATCACTGTCAGGAGGGCGAAAATGAGTGTCTTCCCCCTGGTCGAAAGAGCGGATGCAGTATAGAGAGAGAGAGCGAGCGGCGACGACCGGCGTAGCGGAGAATCTGCCGTCGCCGCGTAGGCCATTCGGATGGGGCCGTATAATTGAGGCGTGAAGTGATGTCTGTATTAGAACAGCTGCTAAGATAATACACGACCCCGCGCTCGCTGGCTTTGGTCGTCGTCAGGGCCAGTGGAAATGAGAGCACATACACAGCGAACAAGACTAAAGGATGGCCGACTTGACCCAGCTCCAGGCTCCGGCTGCCGTAGTCATTAAGGTCGCAGCGGCGAACGCGGGCTTGACTCCCGCTGTATGACGGCATCGTTAGCCCTAGAGCGTGGAAAGCACGACTAAAAACGGAGCAAGGCGTACCTGTACTTTTGTATAAAGCCCCACAGATACCTCCTGCAGCCATCCCTCCCCAAATATCATGCTTTCCGCGCACAGAGTCAATGGTCGAGTTTACGGCATTGTAAATGAGGGCTATGATGATTTAGTACGTGATATTCGTAGCACAGTAAGAAAACTAAAGCACCTAGAACACCGGCAGAATTACCCAAGAAGGTCCCACGTCGGGTTACGCCGTTGAGGATACTGTTCAGTCTCAAACGCGCATTGGACACGGCAAGAGGTCGCGCCGCTCCTTCTCGTAGTCCCCATAGACCGCCAATCCCTAGACCTGCGTCAGGAGGCCATATAATTTGGTTGGTGAGGAGACGACGGGTAGGTGGGGAATCATCATGGAAACATTATTAAACAAAAGTAAACGCAGTCAGCAAGTGGATCCAGTTATTTAAAATTATTTACCGGCCAAATAAGTAGTGCCTGTTCCATAACACAGATCGTCGCTCCAACCGCGCGAAGGCAGGGCGGTAGCTCCTCCGGGCAAAGTGCTCAGCTTGTCATCGTCGAGCAATAGATAGTCTAGCTTGTCTCCAATACCAGCAAGTGGATGGAGTTTGCTGGGGTCATAGGCGTTTGCCAGAACATCGCTCGCCGTTACAATTTCTGGCACGACCGGCACACTCTCTGGCTTGGAGAATGAAACGCCAGCAATGGGATTTGTGTTTGTTTGTGGTGGAGGAGTCTCCTTGTTGCCCTTGTCCCGCAAAAAGTCGAGAAATGACATTTTTTCCAGAGTCTCGGTCAGGTCCAACTCTGCTGGCTTCCTGGATAATCTTTTCCCCCCGACCTCGCCATGAGTTTCCGTGCCGTCAACCAATTAACGCGTAGAATATCATCAACAATCCCTAGACGCGTTGCTATCAACCCTAGCTGGCTTATGGACCGACGTTTTCCGCGTACCGGCCGTTCCAGGCCTCTCTAAGCGGTCAATCACGTTCGTATCTGTATCGGAATGACATAGTTCCTCATAATTTTCTCATAGGATGGGCCTCCTCGGTCGACTCGCCGTCCCTTGCAACAGTCGTCTCCGACCCAGCACATGCAGAAGCCACCGCTCTATTGGAATCGGGTACAAAGCTGCTAGAAGAAGGTCCCTGATTAACCAGAACAAGGGCTTGACGTCCTCTGACTACGTTTGTCAGGAGACATTCAAGGCGCCCTTGCAAAGTACCAAAGGAGCGTCGAAATCAACCGGACCGCAAGCGGACTCTTCAACCTTGGCGTAACTCACTACCATCTCAGTTCGTCCCCTTACTACCATGTTCAGAGTCCTTTGTGTTCTTACCGCTCCACCCTTTCAGAGCAATTCGACAAGGCCATCGAGGTTTGGAATCTCGCAAATGAGATGGACCCAGCTTCTGCCGACGTTCATACGAGTGAGTTACTCGCCCATAGTCCCGCTAGTGCTGAATGGTTGGTCGCCTTGTGACAGACCTGGCGAGCGCATACATCATGGCACCCCCTTCTCGGCCACAGTTGGCATTGCAACATCTTCAGTGAAGTCCGCTCAACTCGGAGTAAACCGATGGCGAGACTGACGTGTCCCCCTCCCCGTTTTCGAATCACAGGATCGCAGCGTCCCTTGCCCCAGAGGACGGCGAGATAGCCTTCAACTTGGGTGCAGTATTGGAAGCATGTACGCCTCCCCCTGTGTTACATCTAGATGCGTCAGCCACTGACAGTCTGTACCTATAGGCGGCCATCTAGAACCCGCCCTGGTACAATACAAGCGCAGCGTGGAGCGTGGCATCGACAGGGCGGAGGTCAATGTTCGCAATTGTACGTCTCATAACGTTACCTTGTCTTCTTGTAGTCAAGTCGCTAACCTCGCGGAAAAAGGTAGTGCTAAGATTTTCGGTCAACGATTAAAAGCGGCAGCAGAGAGCAAAGAGCCCAAGGATGAGGCGTAGAATAGATTCTCTTCGCATCGTTGCTATACCCTATGCTACATTTCGCATTCTGCCGAGGAGTTTATGAGATGATTTTGCGGCGTCCGCAACGATTTGCGAATCCTCTTTCATTTTCAGCCCTTCATACCATGGTAACGATAGTGATCGAATGAATGGGTCGATGAGATGGCTCCATTCCCGAAATGGCAGAGGGCGATCCAGCATCCACTCGTTTACCTTCTCCATAGAGAGTGTGGAATGAGCCACCAGGGAGATGCTCACAATAGCGACACGTAATGAATTCTCTGCCAACGAAGAAGAGGCGAAAAGCTGCTCCCCGATCGTGGCTTCATCCCATCGAGGTGGTCTCGATTCGACCAGGATTGATAGCAGCCTCTTCAGCCCGAGGTCTCCATCCCAGCAACCCTTTTGTACAACCATGAACAGTGCCCGTCTCCACAGGCGCGAGAATGTCCGCAAGTCGTGGAGATGTCGGGTGTACGGGAGCAAGAGGAATAGTTCTGGCAAACTCTGGGATTGCAAAAACCTCGAGCAGAGCCTGATCAAGGTACTGGTGAACCGCTTTTGAGACTCTATCGCGAGTAAACGCAGAGCGAAAACGTCATTGGCGGAAACTCCGCCAAGGCCGGTCACAGCGGTTGAGAGGTGGTTCTGAATGTCTACGGTTGCTTGAAGATGATCGAAAAACCCATAGTCTTCCCGGGTATTGACGCTACCGCGAGCGAGGATTTTGGCGATTCGGCTACGAGTCGCCATCTTGTTCGCCTTTACCAACATCGCATCGTCCTCGTGCTCTATTAGCTCAAATCTTCGGTGAGCCGCCCAATGAATGAGCGGCTTGAACGAGTCAAGCGGAGTAGGTGGGTCCTTGTGCCCATTCATGCGGATTCGAGCCGCGTCTTGGCTATTGAGAACGGCCTCGACCATGGACATCCGTGATAGAGGATGGTTCATTCCACGTGAGAGTATGTTGATCATATTGATGACAAGGGACCGGTACTGGGTCGGAATAGAAACCTCGCGCTTGTGAATCTTGTACAACAAGGAAGCGAGTCCTTGGATGAGGACGGATAGGTCGTATTGATTGAGTGCCTCTTTTGCTTTTTCTCGGGCATTGATCCACAGGGAAAGCGTCTCCAATAGACCTTCGATGCGCACAGCACTTTCGGCGGGAAACGCCTTGCGACCGGCTTGGTGAATATGGAATAGTGACTGAAGGGTTTTTCGATACTGTACGGCGCCCAGGGTCAGTCCGTTTTTCTCGAACGCCAACGAGCCCAGGCGTAAAACAGCATCCCAACGCCGGTGAAAGTGAAGCTGAACGATGAGATCGTTGACGACTCCCACCCCACTTTTCGATCGTGGGGCTGCATGCACTACTTCGTCCACAAGGTTGCCGAGGGGTGTTGGTTGTTTGAGGCAAGACGCGACGAGGCACAAATGGCGAAGGGCATCCAGCGAAAAGCGAAGGCCACTGTGTATATACGTGGAAAAGACACGCGTGGCCAGATCTCCTTGCTTCAGTCTCACAAGAAAAGAGACGAGCTGGACAGCTGGCTCGTGAGTTTGTAGCAACCGCGTTCGTTTGGAGGGTACGAGCATTAGATGCCCCTCTAAAGCCTCTTCGTCTCCGTTTGCAGGCTGTTTCCAGAATTGGACGAGTAACTTGCACAGAACCAGCGTTTGCTTGCTGTGAGACCGCAGCTTTGACAAATGTCAGCAAAGAGCTACCTGGCACGATGATAAACCCACATGATTTGTTTTCCGTGGTGGTTTGAGGAACAGTTCGTTTTCGTCTGGCCGGTCGAATGGTCGAGCGTGGATTTGACGCAGCGACTGGGCTGTTGCTGGACGAACAATTGGCTTGAAAATGCATTTTGATCTCATTCGTCATCCTTTACGGCCAGACGGAGCAGCCCCAGGGCAAATCCTGGTATGCGTTCGGGTCCAGAGAGCTTGTTTAGACCCAACGTTGACGCAGACTATGGCAGACTTTGACGACCCGAATCCATTTGGCGGCGACAATGAGCAACAACAGGCTGTAATTGATGTTCCTCCAGCACAAGAAGACAACGTAGCGCCGCCAACGCCAGCCAAGACGACGGCGCAGCCGCCGCCTTCAAACAGAGGGTACCCAGGACTGGCGCCAAAGACTGGATTCTGCTGCGTCAGAGACGAGTATCTCCACTCTGATGACGCTGAAATACAGGCAAGTCTTCCTGAGCCTGCCGGGAGCTCACCCGTTGACAAACTCCACGTAGATTGTCGACGCTCTCAAGATGACAGATCACGCTGGGAAGATATATATTGCCTATGTTATTCGCACTGGTGTACGTTTCATTCACGCTCTGCTCGCCACACGGCCGCTCACACCGCGCATACGCAGACCTCTGATGCGCGGAGACGCTACTCGGAATTCGAATCACTACGGGGCGGTTTAGTCAAACTCTATCCCACTATCATCATCCCACCTATTCCCTCAAAGCAAAGCCTGGGAGACTACGCCATCAAGCAGTCAAAGGCAAAGGAGGACGCGACTATGATCTCGAGACGCAAGCGAATGCTGCAAGCATTCCTTAACCGCATCGCTCGACATCCCATTCTCTCCAACGAACATGTGTTTCACCGTTTTCTGGACGGTGAAGTATCGTGGGTGTGTCTCCAAGGCCGCAGCTCGTCGTCTATTTCTGACAAATTCCGGTGCAGAGCGAAGCCCTTCATTCACCTCCTCTCTCACTGATACCAAAGAACATTTTGCGAGCCCCACCTCACAATCCCACTGACCCGAATGCTCACCCGGCGTACAATGCACTCCCTTCGCCATCTCCTGGGGCAACTCTCCGACATCCTGACCAACGATTTATGGACTCTGAAGCATTCACAAACAAATTTGCTAGTCATCTAAGTGGAACCATGGAAAAGGTTACTAGGCGAACTATGAAACGCTGGGCTGGTTCGTCTTGCCGTACTCAAGGAGGATACCATAGTCTTACGTCTTCCATATAGATTACTCCCAAGATAACGCAGAGCTAGGAGCCATACTAAATGGCTTTAGTTTATCAGAAACGGGAACGCTCGCATCTGCAGTCGAGAAGACAGGCCAAGCCGTCGACGCGACCTATATGTCAACTACCCGATTAGTCAGTTTGCAACCCTGGAGGATATCTGTCGTTACTGACGTAGAGTAGCTTCAGGAAATTGAACAAAACTGGGCAGAGCCTCTCCACGAATACTCTCAATTCGCCGAGATTATCAAAAAGCTTCTGAGTTATCGTCATCAGAAGCATGTACAATATGAGATGACCAAGGCAGCTCTGGAAAACAAGCGCGAAATCATGGAGGAATACGAGCGATCAGAGGCGGAAGCCCAGCGTCTTCAGACTGCGTTGAGTGGAAGCTCAGCCGGTCGCGTCGGTACCACCACCACTAGGAGAGGCACGGGTCTTCTCTCTGGAGAGGGTCCAGAGGACTCGATTGGCGCAAGGAGTAACGATCCGAATGCGCAAAGTGGCACATCTGCTGGCTCATCCTACTCAACTCCAATGTCGAGGCGAAAGAATAGCAGTGGCGGCGGCCTACTTAGCGCAATATCGTACTCCATTCAAGGCATGATGGACGTCGATCCGGAAACAGCACGCAGAAACAATATGAGCAAGACTAAGGAGACTATCTCACAGGTGCGCTGAATCTATCAATTGATAGGGCTTCAATCTAATCCCACCCAAGTTGGAAGACGCTCTCCAGTTGTCGGGTCAAGATTTGAAATACTCTTCCGCGACGATTCAAGCAGACCTTGATCGCTTTCAACGACAAAAGGTGGCCGACATGCGTGAGATGTGTATTTCCATGGCTCGTGTTCACAAGGAATGGGCTCGCAAGGTTGGTTCCTTCTTTTGGTACACACATCGCCCTCACATTTACGGTAGAACTTGGATGCCTGGGAAGAGGCTCGAAAAGAAGTCATCAAGATATCACCCCATCCAAACCGGTTGCCAGAAGACATTCCTCTTCCTACCTCTCCTAAATCACCGACGAGTCCTAAGCCAAATCCACAATCTCCCGTCAACGGTACTGCCAGATAGGGAAATACACGTTAGCACGTATGCTTTACGGCCTTTGATGACTTCAGATCGGTCTTTGTGTATATGAAGAATCCAATTTTCTACGTAGATTCACTAACATCTCAGATTGAAAACGCTCGATCAGCGAGAAGGAACGGCTTCTTAACAGTGAGTGTAGCCCAGTCTGGGAGATGCTCATATAGTTCGTCCAACGCTGGGAAGCGGCCGTCAACGTTTTCTTGCCATTGGCATCCGATACGTCCTGTTCGCTTTGGCCACCTTGCACTCCCGCGACTAAAGAGGAAGGATCTCCAACCTTTGTGTCGCCCTTGACTCTCGTCCGTCGAATTCCACCGAACCGTAACTTCAAACTCTGCCCCCCATTCCCTTCCGTAGAGCTTGATCATCGGAATACCATGGCTTGGGATTGCATATGGACCTTCCTTTTGGATGACGGTCCCGCTCCAACCGTGGGCGTCCGCATGAACAAGATCACGGCGATGGACGCGAACATCGATGATGTTTTGGTCGAATTGGAGCACACACGACTTGGTGTCTTTGCCCTTGACGGTGAAAACCGCGCTATCGGCGTCAATTCGCGTGGCTGATGACAACACAAGCTCATCGAGCATGGATAGTGGTGTAATGTGTGGTGTAAATGGCACGAGCTGCGGTGAATGACTTTGCCAGGTGATGGATGGGAGACCACGATCTGGATCCTTGCCCCAAGTGACGTTCGCTGTGCGGGTTCGAACCGAAGGGATTCTGAATGTCGCATCTCGAAGAGCTGGTTGCAGTCCGAGGAGCTCGACTGTGTTGCGGCCGTTGTCAAGATTGAGATGTTGTCGGTAGAAAAACTTGATGCGTCGATTGTACGAGAATGGGAAAGCGAGGATGTTGTAAAAGAATGTAGTCACGAATAAACCTGCGACGAAGATGAAGAAGAGCCGGTTCAACAGGTGAGCAAACGGTGCTATTGGCAGGAGGGCGAAGAATGTCAGAACTGTGATTCCAGCGTAAACTGCAGAGTCATCAGCATATGAAAATTCCATATTTATTCTCGAGCACGAACCCATCAACGGCGGACTTCCGTCAGCCAATGTTTGTCCCAGTCCAGCAGCAAGGACGAGGACCAGTTGGAGGGTCATGATGGCGATGGGTACGGATAGGACAAGAAATTCTAGAACCCAGGCATGACCTTGGTGATGTGGCGTGTACATTGCCGGCCTAGCACGACGCACGGCCTCACCTCGTGACGACATTTCGAGCAATGGCTCTTCTGCTTCGTCTGTGGTGCGAGGCGACGCCAATCGTGTGATACGTGAGCCCCTGTAACTTGCCCAGGTCCGAGAGCCGAGGTCGAGGATCAAGGCAGATGTAGCTCCTGCGTAGAGAAACTCTACAAAATAAAAGCCCCCAAAAGCGGACTTCGAGAGTACCCAGTGGTATCCGAGGAGAGTAATCGCAGCGAATATAACCAACTGGCTGAGGATGAGAGTTTTGTGAGAGTTGGGACTCGACTTGACACTTGAACCGATCAGGTGCAGTGGGAAATGCAGGGAGAGTAGGATAGAGCATGCGATACAGACTATCACAGGATATGGTGAAGAGTAAATGACCTAAATCTGGTGAGTTGAACCTTCAAAGTAGTGATCACGAACTGACCGAGGGATTTAACCAGGACAATGCAGAAGTGAAGAACAAGGACCAAAGGGTTGCAACCATGAGCACCCAAGGAAAGTATGCCCACTCGGAGCTGTAAATTGCAGTGTGACCTTTGTACCAAAGGTTGCCAGCAAGTAGGACGACTATGCCGGTCATGATCATGATGAGGGTAGGAATCCCCGCAATGAAGGTCGAAAAGTCTATGACGGCCATATAGCGACCGAGGACTAGAGGACATTAGATCTGATCATTCTGCGAATACCACGTACTATCCCAGTAAACGGCTTTCTCGTCTTGTTTGTCAGGAACTGAGTTTGCGATTTGATACCCAACATCGCGAGCAAGCTTCAGACCAGCCCATAGCGGAGCCCGTCCTTGAAGATTCTCAATGTTGTCCTGCGGAGTGTGATACTTGTCACGGTTTACGTAGAAGCTAACGTCTAGCCCTTTCATTCCTCCTGGCCCCGCATACACCTCAAAATCGGTCATGGACCGAATAAGGCCAAGTGAAAAGGCGTCTGAGCTGGTAACTGTTCCATGGGGCCGACTGGTTTCTTGGAAAGCACGGACAAGATGTGAGCTAGATGCCCGGAAAAGAATTGGGCGGCTAAAATAACGAATCAGAGACACCACTAAAAGAATACAATGAGACTGACCCGCCCGCACCAGCACCTTCAATATTCAAGAAGGAATCAGCCTCCTGTGCCCATGGATGTTGCAGAAACCTGATGAAAGTTGGCCTTGCGAAGAGAAATCAAGGATTTACTGACACATGTGCTCCGCATAGACCTTCTTCTTCTGCATTGTTCAAATTGAAGATGGTATTGCGCAAAGGTGGCTGACTTGCGAACTGTTCAATCAAAGATAGCAGGCTGACGACGCCGACGCCATCATCCGTTGCCCCTATATGATGCATGAGACTAAAACGCGGAGGAATGCCAAACTTGCCAGGAGCAGTTGCGGAAGTGTCGAAATGAGCACTGAACAGGACAGCTGGTAAAGCTCCATTCGTACCCAGGACTTTGACGAGTATGTTCGATCCTTCTACGTAGTAACCGAGCCTTTGTGCTTCAACATAGGAAGTGTTACTAACGAGATCGTCGGAAATGTGAATGTTAGTGTATTGTCGCGCGAGGCCTTTCACTCTATCGAGTAGGTAGTTTCGCACAAGAACATTCTCTCGCGAGTTGTATGGATGCGGCTTCTGGGCAATCTGACAACCAATGAGGGTGGTTCGCACCAACAGCAACAAGTTACATACCACTTGGAGGTCGTCCCATGCGCCTTCAAGGTTGATTCCTTGACGAAGAGCATTCTCTTGGCTTGGTGCAGATGGTAAAACTTCATGTACACGGACCAGGGCCAGGAATATGAAGACGTAGAGTACGACGACTCCTCTGGTGACCCATAAAGGCGTCAACGGTGGCAAATGAAATCTCATTGGAATGTTTGCAGAATTCCAATACTTTTCCTCAGAAAAGCATTCCAGTGGCCGGGTGCAGGTTTCGACGCAAACATGGCGCCCGGTCCGCTGCACATCTGTTTATGAGGTTTATAGAAAGTCCACATCAGATTATAGAAAGCTAGATAGATAGCTTCAGATATATTAGGAGGCTATTGTACCAGTTCTCGTATACATGATAAATCATTGCCTTCGATTCTCCTCCAGCGCTTTTGGTCCTTCTGTCTTCTCGTCAAAGTGAAACATGGGCAAGTCTAGTAAAATGTATTTCTTGATAAAGGTCGGGAGTGGTCGATAAATTGGACGTGGGATTGGGAAGAGGATGGAGGTCGAGCGAAGGTACTCTTTATATGCCACCCATCCTTGGACTTCTTCGTCAGATGCGCCCTCTTTATGTGAGAGGATATAGATGCGTTTGGCCTGTGGTTTTTCACTCGTTGGAATTCCAGAGCCGAAGATGAGGATGAGCATGGTGAACAGCGGGCTCGCGAGCCCAGCGTACTGCGCGCTCTTCGTACCCGCTGGCACGCTGTCCTTCAATGTAGGTGAGATGGAGAGCGTCCAGATACCCCACCAGCATAAGATTCTTGAGCGGGTAAGCGCGAGAGTGGAATAAAAGTGGTCAACTTACTCTCCAAAGTAGGGTGGATGACGGGACCATTTCCATACACCCGACTGCATAACTTGCCACTTTGGAGGCTTGCTCGACTTCCAGCGGAACTAACGAGTGTCAGTACATGATTATTACAAGAGGCATGAAAGGGTATACCTTTGATTGATCCGCATAAGACTCGATTACCCAGCCAATTACCCAGAGAACCACGCCGATAATATCAGCGGCTGTTCCAAATGCCGGAACGTTGCTCTCGACCACCGAAGGCGAGTTGAGGATGGTCAAGGGTAGCGACACTGTCCATACCTACTGTAATTAGGAGAAGTCTTAGGCCGGTAGAGTACGCACCCAGAGAATCTGTCCAACCCAGAAGCCAAGAAACGACAAGAATTTGGAACGAATGTCGTCAAACCGGGTGTCAGAGCCAGTTTTGAGAACACGGTAGAGGAGAAAGCCTGTAAAGTAATTAATCGAGATGCAAATCTGACAATATCTAGCATACCTGCAATTCTGACAGCCCAGATGAGGACGAAGACAGTGGCAACGATATTCCGCGGATGTGAGGACTGGCCGAGGAGAAGTGTAAGAAGCGCTGAGACGAATTAATAGGGCTTCAGAAGGAGAGGCTGGAAATACCTAGAATGAAGAAGTTGGACCCTCTGTTCTGGTGAGTAAGACGGAGAATGTCATTCTTGAGACATACCCAGTGAAGTCTGTAATCTTATCAAACTAGAGAATTGTCAGTACAAGTGCATACGTCTCAAAAGACATGCCTGAAACGTCCAAGCAATTGCAAAGCCCGAGAGCTGGTACGCAATGGTGACTAGGAGAGTAATGACAAGATAATACTTGTCCAGGACGTGGACAGACATGGTAGAGTCCAAGTTGTACACGACGCTTTCGTCGTTCGACGAGCGAGCTAAGTATCGGGCAAGATGGCGATCCAAGTCCGACCCATCGCCGTTGCTGCATCATACTTCCGACTGCGCAGCCCAGCCACACTCTCGCGAATATTCCAAAGTCATAGAAACAGGTAATAACAACTGTTTATCGACCAGCAAGTGTACGACTCGACTGTTCGCCGTCCAAGCCAAGCTGCGCTGCATTCGCACCAGCCAGTCCTCCCAGCGTCTTCTGCAAGTCTGTCCATTCACTTTCCCGCGGAACCCCAAGGTCGCCAATGTCATAGACGTAGAGCCGCCCATCACTCGACCCTAGCGCGACACGTCGTCCATCCTTTTTGTCCCACTCCATCTTATTGATCGCTCGCTCACCGACGACGGTAGAGACAGTGGGCACCTATTATGCACACACTCAGGACCAGGTTTACGGGAAGCAGTAGGCGTACCTCGGTATCCACGTTGAGATTCCATAGATCAAACCTTCCGGCTCCATCCACACTACCGAATAAAGCTGGGTGCTGTGGGTGCCACTTGACATCGTATACATAATCATCTGCCTCATTAAACGAGTACAGTGGATGAACAGATGTATGTGCCGTCGATGGCTTGCCACCCACTTTGGCCCGCCATAGTTTCACTGTCCAGTCGACTGAGCACGTAAGGAACAGGTCCGAAAAGTCAACCGGTCCCGCCAAAGGATGGAAGTGGAGCCCGGTAACGGGTCCATTGTGGCCTTTGTAAACGTCGTGTTGGTTCAGACCTGCCTTGGAGCCTGCACGGTCATAGCGATTCGCCTGATAGACATTTCCCTCCTCCGTTCCAACCCAGAAGGTTGTGGTTTCATTGTCTGGAAAATCGAGCGTAGTAATGGCAACTTCGTCCGTCTTGTTATGTCCCGTGTGGACGAGCTCGAGTGCCTCTTGAGGTTGCGCAAGCATGTCAACCAACCAACTATATACCATGCCATCTGTACTGCTCGTTATGAGATTGTGAGCATTCTGAGTGCCAACCATTTGCATGGCGTATACTGGATATGTATGTCCAGCAGCGGAGAGTGGTGTCTTGAGGACTGGAAGGTGTCGTGCGCGCGTATCCCAAAGCAGGATTTGACCAGAATAGGTGCCTCCGAAGATGAGGTTCGAGTGGAATGGTGAAAAGAGCACCGAAAGAACGTCCGACTGAGCGACAGTGAGCAATATACCCTGAAGGCCAAACAATGACATACCTGAGAGTGGAAGACAAACTCGGGTCTTTCCAAGAGATGCTGATTCCAAACGGCGACAATACCATCCGGCTCGTTGATCCCCGCGGGATTCTTGTTATATGCGGCAACGCTCAACTCGGGGTACTAGGGTGAATGAGCACCAGCAGCCTCGGTGGAACTATTACAAACTCGAGGAGACCAGTCGATATCCGTTATGGACCTGTTTTTGCACCAGCGTTCGTCCCAGAAGGCGCAAACTTTCTTGACCCGCTTCCCTTCTGATTCATCCCTGATGGTCGCTCAGAGTGATCAAAGACAGGAGAACATTCGACATACTCTCCTGTCTGTGCTCCGACTGTATAGTCGCGCGTGTAATCGTAATTGTCGTTGAGGGCTCGCTGAATAATCTTGGAAGATTGTTCCACAAAGTTGAAAAACTCCGGGGCGGCGAAAATGGTCGCCCTCTCTTCCTCGGTGAGCTCTAGTCGGCTATCAGAAATGGCCCAGTGGTGAACACGGGTTCTGACCTCGGATCTCCTGTTCAATCTCTTGATCAAGCCTTGCAGCCTCTTCTTCGAGTTCCTTTTCTCGCTGTTGCTGCTGCTGTATTTGAGCCTGTTCATATTCTGCTCGCAACTGTTGCCGTAGCTCCTCAATAGTAGGACCGCTGTCCTCGTCAAACGCCGCTGTCTGAACCTCTTTGTTGTACACAACGCGCTCCTAGACCCATTTGAGCATATAGTGTTATGGTGGGGTGCGGGGCTTACCTTTTGTGGCATCTCAAAGAGTTCTTGCTCCATCTCGATGAGATCTGGCACGAAAGCAGAGGACATTACACTGGATCTGGATGAGGACTGGACATATACAACGTCACGTTAAGCATACCTATCAGGGGCTTCGCCGCCAGCTTGAACCATTGTATTACGCTGAGCGCCTCGTTCCGAGCCAGAGTCACTCTGTCTGCTAACTGAACGTGTCCCGCCATAATTAAGACCCAGTGCACCAGAGCCTAGTCCAGGATGTACCGCCGCAGGTGTAGAAGGAATTGAGGAACCTGGCGTGCTGTCTCCTCTCGAGCCTCCCTCTCCGACGAAGTCTGAGATGATTCTGTATAGTCTATCCTTTTCCCGTTCCCTCTTTGCCTCGCTACTTTGCCCAGGCGCTGGCGTCGAGCTGTTGGATCTGCTGAGCTCGTCTTGCCTGCGTTTCTCTGCCTTTGCCTTGCGCACAGCCTCTAATTTCGCGCGTTTTGCGTCAATCTCGCGTCTCCACTCGGACATGGCGCGTCCTAGATGGGTCCAAGTCTGAGTTTGGAATTTGGCGCACACAAAACTTGACCTGCGACCACGATGTCCACCTCTGATGAGCCCCGGCTGCTCGACAGTTTCAGCGCTCCCAAAGAGATTTTTGATGAGATGGCTGAAGCAGCAGAGGAAGAGGACTATGATCCCTTCCGTGAGACGCAGAAGACACGCCAAATCGCGAGCAGGCGGAGTGACTACGCCAACCGGCACCTCGAAATCGAACGTATAGGTGTTTCCATCGATCCTTTTGCTCAGGACGCAGACGGAAATGCCGCACAAGGCGCCGGTTACCAAGACGCTATGCGCGTACAAAGGTTAGAGCGAGAGGAGCAACGCGTCAGACGGCTCATCCAAGCCAAAGAGGCGCAGGAACGTGAAGATGGCATCGTCAAGATGGATCTCGACAAGACGCCGCCGCGAGAGGACATAGAGGCGGCTGAAAAGCTGATTATGCAAGCTCAGGATATGGCCGCGTCGGGCTTGGGAAAGAAGAGAAAAGCTCGCTGGGATGTAGAAGGAGAGGACACAAAGCCGTCTGTTGAGACAAAGGAGGCCAGCGAGGAGCAAGCTCCTCCCAAAAAGCGACGATCACGCTGGGACGAAACGCCAGCTACAGCTACAGACGATAAAGCGGCCGTCACAACGTCTTCGGAGAAACGAGTATCTCGTTGGGACCAAACCGCTCCTGCCACTCCCGCTCCTATGGCTCAAATCATCGGTATCGGACCGACCTTCCATCCGACCGAAATGGACAAGCATAACCGCTACCTATCGGATGCAGAACTCGATCTTCTTCTTCCAACGAGCGGCTACGCTATCGTTCCTCCTCCTGCGGGATATGCACCAGCTTCCGCTCGCAAGTATATGTCAGCACCGACTCCCATGGGAATCACCGGGTTTCACATTCAAGAAGAGTCTGATGCGGCTGCAGTAGCGGCTGCGGCTGGTTTGGCTCCAGATCTACCAACCGAAATCCCAGGCATCGGTACGTTGGCTTTCATGAAGCCCGAAGACGCATCGTACTTTGCCAAGGTTCTCAAGGAGGAGGACGAATCCGACCTCTCTGTAGAAGAACTCAAGGAACGCAAGATTATGCGACTTCTTCTTAAGATCAAGAATGGAACACCGCCAGTGCGAAAGTCAGCTCTTCGACAGATCACGGACAAGGCTCGCGAATTCGGTGCAGGCCCACTCTTTGACAAGATTCTCCCTTTACTCATGGAGCGCACTTTGGAGGACCAGGAGCGACATCTGCTCGTCAAGGTCATTGACCGAGTACTGTACAAATTGGATGATCTTGTTCGCCCATATGTACACAAAATTCTTGTCGTCATCGAGCCCTTGCTCATTGACGAAGATTATTACGCACGCGTCGAGGGCCGTGAAATCATCTCCAACCTTTCCAAAGCAGCCGGTCTCGCTCACATGATCTCCACCATGCGTCCTGATATCGATCACGCGGACGAGTACGTGCGAAACACTACCGCCCGTGCCTTCTCCGTTGTCGCATCCGCGCTTGGTATACCCTCCCTTTTGCCTTTCCTCAAGGCCGTCTGCCGGTCTAAAAAATCATGGCAGGCTCGACACACCGGTATTCGAATCGTACAACAAATTGCAATCATGATGGGATGCGCCGTTCTCCCCCATCTCCGCAATCTCGTCGACGCTATCGCACATGGACTACAGGATGATCAGCAAAAGGTCCGCACGATGACTGCTCTGGCCATCGCGGCGTTGGCCGAAGCCGCTGCACCGTATGGTATTGAATCATTCGACGACGTGCTCAAGCCTCTATGGCTTGGTATCCGCCAACATCGTGGCAAGGGTCTCGCAGCCTTCCTCAAAGCCATCGGGTTTATCATCCCCCTTATGGATCCGGACTTTGCCAACTATTACACCAAAGAAGTTACCGTTATCCTTATCCGCGAGTTCCAGACTTCAGACGAGGAGATGAAGAAGATTGTGCTGAAGGTCGTCAAGCAGTGCGCTGCGACAGAAGGTGTCACTCCTGGTTACATCAAGAGTGACATTCTCCCCGACTTTTTCAAAGCCTTCTGGGTGCGTCGAATGGCACTTGACCGCCGCAACTACAAACAAGTTGTGGAAACTACAGTGGAGCTCGCACAAAAAGCCGGTGTTTCTGAGATTGTAGGAAAGATTGTAAACGACCTCAAGGTGAGACTTGTGGCTCAAACTTCATATATGACGCTGACACTTTGATAGGATGATTCCGAGCCTTACAGAAAGATGGTCATGGAAACAATTCAAAATGTGATTCAAACGTTGGGTGCCTCTGACATTGATGAGCGATTGGAGGAGCGACTGTTGGACGGCATTATCTATGCGTTCCAGGAACAGACTACGGAAGACCAGGTCATGCTCGATGGATTTGGCGTCGTCGTCAATGCTTTGGGCATTCGCGTTAAACCATACCTCATGCAGATCGTTTCCGTCGTCCTCTTCCGTTTGGGAAACAAGAGTGCCAAGGTTCGCCAGCAAGCTGCGGACTTGACGACCCGGTTGGCAGTAGTCATCAAGCAATGTGGCGAGATTGGTCTTCTCAACAAGGTGCGAACAATCATATTCTTGTAGCTCACTGCTGACGCTTCATAGCTAGGAGTAGTTCTCTTCGAGCAGCTTGGTGAAGAGTATCCGGATACATTGGGCAGTATTATTGCTGCAGAAGGCGCCATTGCCAACGTCGTCGGAATGACCGAAATGCAACCACCTGTCAAAGACCTTTGTATGTACTCGCCTTTAAGATTGTCGCCTCAACTGACATGTTCTAGTGCCACGTATGACTCCAATTCTTCGTAATCGACACGAAAAGGTGCAAGAAGCTTCTATCAACTTGATCGGACGTATCGGTACGTATGCATCCATTTGTCTTGCGAGTTGCTAACTCTTTAATTAGCTGATCGTGGTGCCGAGCATGTACCTGCACGAGAATGGATGCGTATCTGCTTCGAACTACTCGACCTGCTCAAGGCCCACAAGAAGGCTATTCGTCGAGCTGCTGTGAATAGTTTTGGTTACATCGCCAAGGTACGCACCGTTAATGATATCGTCGGATATACTCAACATATAATCATCAGACTCTGGGTCCTCAGGATGTACTTTCAGTGCTCCTCACCAACTTGCGCGTACAAGAACGCCAAAGTCGAGTGTGTAGCTCCGTCGCAATTGCGATTGTTGCAGAGACATGTGGACGTAAGTTGGTCTATCTTCGAGAAGATGTTAGCTCAACCCTTCGCAGCCTTTACCTGCATTCCTGCCATTTTGACCGAATATCGAACGGCCGAGCTCAATGTCCGTACCGGATGTTTGAAAGCGTTGACCTTCGTCTTTGAATACGTCGGACCGCAATCAGCTTACTATGCCGACTCGGTGGTTACCATGCTTGAGGACGCATTGACGGATCGTGATCACGTTCATCGACAGACTGCTAGTGTCATCGTCAAACACCTTGCTCTTGGTGTTGCAGGACTCGGCTGTGAGGATTCGATGCTTCACTTGATGAACTTGGTGTGGCCGAACTGCTTCGAGGCGTCTCCGCACGTTATCGGTGCGGTTATGGATGCCATTGAAGCGATGCGCGTGTGCCTTGGTCCAAGCATCCTCTTGAACTATACACTCCAAGGCTTGTTCCATCCCTCGCGAAAGGTTCGAGAGGTGAGTTGCCAAACTTTTGTGATTGATCTTGTCTCTGAGACACATTTGCAGGTCTACTGGAGAATATATAATGCGCTCTACCTCGGAGCTGCTGATGCGATGGTCCCCTATTATCCTGACCTGGGAGAACTCAACGACTATGATGGAAAAACACTAAGGAATACGTATGACCGGTTCCCCCTCCAGATGTGGGTCTAATTGTGATCCTGATCATGTAGATTTTGTACTTGGCTTGAACGATGGTGCTTGCCGCTGACTCGTTACCTGAGTTTTGTCGGATCTTGATCTGGGTCCCGTCCACAACCATCTTTACATAGTAAACGAATACCTGGGATTTGGAGCCACTTTGTCCTCAATGAGCACCTTTCCGTTGCCCTTGGGTGCATATGCGGCCTTTGAAGCCCTCTTCGACACGACTGCACCAACTGGGCCTGCTTCGCTGCCGGTTCCAAATCCAACCCGTGCATTCTGGACACATCCTGGACTGTCAAAGGACTGGCCATACGACGAAAATGATCCCGAGGGCAATAAACGTATCAATCCGTATGCCAAGGAGGGGAGCGAAGGTGCATTGACGCAAAACGCGGACGCGGTGATTATTGGTGCTGGAATTAGTGGTATCAGCGTCGCTCTGGAGCTTGGGAGACTTGTTCGAGAGCAGAGAAATGGACAGAAGCTCAAGGTTGTCATCCTTGAGGCTAGGGACTTTTGTACGTTTGTTTCTCAATTCAATTCGGCTTGCTCATTCCTTTTGTAGGCTCTGGCGCTACAGGTAAGCGTGTATCTGACAACAAAGGTGCCTTTCTGAAAGCGTCGGGCATATCCAGGACGGAATGGTGGCCACCTTACCGCAGCAATATCACACAACTACTCCACTCTGGCAAAGATGTATGAGCCAGAAGAGGTCAAGCGCTGCTTCCTACTTGAGAGGCATACCGTGTCATCTATTCTGGCATTAATTGAACAGAATGGTTGGGGAGAGTACGTCAACTTGGTCGAAGGGGGACATAACGTGCTCCTATTCTCAGACGATGAGGAGAAGACGGCCAAAGAGGATTGGGAAATGGCCGTTGAGGCAGGGGTGGTCACCAAGGATCAGATTACATGGTTGACGAAAGATGCGACAGAGAAGGTGCGGGTATTTCTCCGCAACTTCGATGCTGATTCCCGTCCAGCAATATGGTGCATCCTATCCGATGTGGCGAAGTGCAGGACACAACCTTTGGCCTCTCAAACTCGTCACCAAGATGTTTGAACTAGCCCGCGACGGACCGTCTAGAAACTCCAAGACGGAAGACTTCGTAGGGCTCGCAGATACCAAACGTGGCTGGTCTATTGGCAACATTGTGGGCGGCCTGTTTACGAAGCAGACTACATCACAAGCAGAAAGCAATGCGCCTCCTCCATACGAACTCGTTCTACATACCCATACCCCAGTGCACTCGGTTCAACGCAATCGACATTCTGACGAGTACAAATGGGAGCTCACAACCTCTCGCGGAGCCATCTATGCAAACAAGATCGTCTACGCTACAAATGCGTATACATCTCACCTCGTTTCCCATCTCACTGGACCAAATGGTATCGTGCCCGTACGGGGACAGGTAGTGGCCATCCGGGCCTTAGTTGGGTATACGGACGAAGGTTGGCCAGGCGGGGATGGGCTAAGTAGAAGTGGATGGAGTGGAAATGAGGGATTCGAATATTGGTTCCCTCGTCCACACCCTCGATCGTCTACCATTATGGATGACAACCGTCCAGAGTTGCAAAAGCCACTGATCATATTGGGTGGTGCACGAGAAACGACGAAAGATCGTGGATATGGGATGTACGAGACAGATGACTCGGTGCTCGACCCAGAGGCCAGTCATGGCCTACGAACGTTCTTGGGACACGTCTTCCCTGGCAGGTTCCCTTCGAATGAGCAACACGGAAACGAGGATGATGTCGAAGTCGAATGGGTGCGTAGTCTATCTTCTCTGGTGAAATTGTCGCTGATTCGGGTAGTCTGGGATAATGGGATTTACAAAGTCGGGAGATCCCTTTGTCGGGAGGCTCAAAGATGCTAATGGGGATGTTGTTGAAGGACAATACATCGTCGCTGGATTTACGGGACACGGGATGCCCCGTGTGTATGGATGGTGAGAATAATATGTGGGTTTTTCAGTCTCATCTTATCATTTTACAGTGCACAAGCGCTGGCATCTCTAGTGTGGAGAGACATTGCTCATCCAGAGACAACCTGGACGCCACCAGACTTTCTGCCACGCCATTATCTTACAGAGACATTTTGAACACGGTACTTGATGTCATTACATATGTTACACTACGAATAGCATACGAGGTGGAATCACTGAGGCGGCACTTCTCCTGCAAGAATCTTCTTGCCAAGCTCTTTCTGTTCGTGATCTCCGCTGACCGTACCACGATGGATCTTGACATAGGCGCGGACCTGGTCCTTGAAAGGGAGCTTTCCCTCGACGACCTCGACTCGGGGCTCTTGTCCGGCCTCGACACCTCGCGTGGGGTCGTTGAGATCCATAGCACCAGCTGGCTGGTTGGCATTAGGATTGTAGACATGGGCTGGGTCTGGGTGAGGGTGTACGAGCCCGTGCATGTTCTGTGGCTGCTGGCCGGTGGTCGGAGGAAGTTGGGTCGAGTGTGTTCCAGCCACAGGTGGATTCACGGCGTCGTTGTTTCCAGTTTGACCGAGGTTGTAGAGCATCTGAGGATGCGGTTCGCCCTCGATGGGTCGTGCATCCAGTGGCTCAGAGATTTCCTTGACCAATGCTCAGGGATTGCGTTCGCTAGACCAGGAAAGGCTAGAACGTACTGGTTTTGTGTGTTTCTTTCCTGGGAGATGCATCGTTGTGGATATGGAAGAGTCCAAGTTGTGAAGCAAACATTGGGAGGGCCGGGGTTTTGTGACATCACTTGGCTTTGCTCCAACGCGCGCTTGCTGTTTCAGTCACACAGATTATATAGTATTGATTGGACATCAAATGCACAGAAGGATGTCAAGTTGGACGCCATTTGAGCCCCGGGACCATCTACTGGAACAAGTGATTATGGTGTATGCTTGGGATCAAAAAACATGCCTCCATAACGATCCTTATCACACTTGGGAGACCTGCTTCTATGTGAGCTTGGTAGTTTGGAGCTTGACTTCTATAGAACTTAATTATTTCTAAGGTTACCAAAGTAAGCATTCCATTGCTAATAAAGTTCTAGTCTGGATTTGTAATCGACTCAGCCCTAAGCGTTGACAATCATCGGCAAAGCCAAATCGCCGTCCAGGCTTGGACTTTAACCACTACCGCCTTCAAAACTCGCACTCCATCTTTGACCGTCGATACTCTTAGATTTACTTCAAAATCCAACATTTCTTCTAAAACTATGACCACTGGATTGGCAAATGAATCTCTGGACTCGAAACTCGGTACGTCTTACTGCCAGCGACTGCTCGCCGGCGAAAAAAACGTGTAGAGGGCTAACAGAGGCCGCTGCAGGTAATATGTCCCTTAACGGGCCCCCAAAAGCAGCCTATGTGCCTCCTCATTTGAGGAATGCGCAACGCCAGCAGCAGCAACAGCAGCAGCAAGCCCCGCCAGTCAGCAATGGGTATGTTTTGGCCACGCTCCATTCTGATGATGCTCATTCCTCTCTTTTTCATCTAGTAACACTAATTGGAGTGATTCTCGTCCCGCTCCGTCTGGACGGACTGGCTCCAGTTTTGGTCCCAATAGTCCCTTTAACAATAATCGCAGTAATAATTCGTATGGCCGAGGCGGTGGCTTCGGAGGCTCTGATCACGGTTCCTCGCGCGGTTCAGACTGGTCCTCGCGCGGCTCAGGCGGTAACAGTGGCTGGGAGAGCAGGCCAGCTCGCTCAGACCGTCCGGGCGAAGGCTATGGGGTCGGCGCTTGGCGCGACGGTAAACACGTCGTTGGTCAACGCAACCAGCGTCTCGAAAAGGAGCTCTATGGCGAGCCCGATGACCCGCTCAAGCAGCACACCGGCATCAACTTTGAAAAATACGAGGACATTCCAGTTGAGGCCACTGGTGCTGGCGTGCCTGAACCTGTTCTTGCATTCACCAATCCGCCTCTGGATCCCGTTCTATTAGAGAATATCAATTACGCTCGCTACACTACCCCGACACCCGTCCAAAAGTATTCTATTCCCATTATCGCCGCTGGTCGCGACTTGCTCGCATGTGCGCAGGTATGTCCCTTTTTCTGGTTTGGTAAATCTTATTCATTTTCTCGTCAATTAGACTGGTTCGGGAAAAACGGGTGGCTTCCTGTTCCCAATCCTGTCCTCTCTATTCGCTGGAGGACCCCGTCCTGTGCCAGACGATGCTCATAGCTATCACCGCAAGGCGTATCCGACCACGCTCATCCTTGCTCCTACGCGCGAGCTTGTCAGCCAAATTCACGACGAGGCTCGCAAATTCGCCTATCGTTCGTGGGTTCGTCCGGCAGTCGTCTATGGTGGTGCCGACATCAACCTCCAACTCCGCCAGATTGAACGGGGCTGTGATCTGCTGAGCGCCACTCCCGGCCGTCTTGTCGATCTGATTGAACGTGGTCGCATCTCGCTTGCCAATATCAAGTATCTCGTCCTCGATGAGGCCGATCGCATGCTTGATATGGGTTTCGAGCCTCAGATCCGCCGCATCGTCCAAGGCGAGGACATGCCAGGTGTCCGCGAGCGACAAACGCTCATGTTCTCAGCTACCTTCCCTCGCGACATTCAGATCCTTGCTCGGGACTTTTTGAAGGAGTACATTTTCCTCTCCGTCGGCCGCGTGGGTTCCACCTCGGAGAATATCACCCAAAAGATCGAATATGTCGAGGACCAAGACAAGCGGTCGGTTCTCTTGGACATTCTCAACGCCGAGGAGCAGACTGGCCTCACCCTGATCTTTGTGGAAACGAAGCGAATGGCGGACATGCTATCCGACTTTTTGATGGCTCAACACTACCCAGCCACTTCGATTCATGGCGACCGAACTCAACGTGAGCGTGAACACGCCCTTGCCACGTTCCGTTCGGGACGCACACCCATTCTCGTCGCCACCGCTGTCGCTGCCCGTGGGTTGGATATTCCCAATGTGACGCACGTCATCAACTATGATCTGCCATCGGACATTGATGACTATGTCCATCGTATTGGTCGTACCGGTCGTGCCGGTAACACGGGTATCTCGACGGCCTTCTTCAACCGAGGCAACAAGAATATTGTTCGTGAGCTCGTCGAACTTCTTCGCGAGGCCAACCAAACCATCCCACCTTGGCTCGATGCTGTCCTCAACGAGTCGACCTTTGGCAGTTCAGGATACGGTCGTGGTCGGGGCGGACGAGGTGGTGGACGAGGCATGGGCTCCCGTGGAGGAAACCGCGATTATCGCGTCTCTGGTGGTGGAGGTCGAGGCGGCCATTCGAACGGTGGAGGATACAATAGCAACGGCTACGGTGGCGGTGGATATGGAGGAGGCTCGTCCTCTTCAAACGGCTGGTGGTAAACGCGCCATGTTCGACGCAAGCAAATTTCACGACAAGACGGACTCTGTCCGCTATGAACCTTTATGCATCTTAAATTTCGATTCACACCATAACGACGACTTGGGCGCAAAACTCCAAGTTTGTTTCAACTATCCGATATGCATCCTATGCGGTCCCTAACTGGGGCCATCCCACGCAACCTTTTGTTTTCACCATCGGCTCGCATCATCTACATTACGCTGCTCTCAAGTCTCCTGCAAGTCGTTTGTCCTGTTTTTCATTCCAATTGTGGTTCTGCGGTGACCATGGCTCACCGACCATTTGTGATTCCTGTGTGGCCTACATTATTCTTTCGTCTATGTTCTGTGTGTTCTGCATTCATCATCATCCCACATCCCTCTTCCCTAGTAGACGCGTCGGCCACGCACCCAGCATTTTCCCTCCATCGCAGGGACCACCCATACAGACTCGAGCATTTGAGACCATAGCATAGAGCATCGTGATCCTATCTTGTACGCTAGCCACCTACCTTAGTAGAATTTTATATAATCGTGTTCTCTCTCATTTGACACAACTCCTGTTCTATAAGCCGGGCTCTAGTGGCTCTTTGCACCTTGAACCTTGCCTTGTCCTTCGAGTAAACCACGTCAGCTGCCGGGGACGGCCAACCAAAAATGGCGGCGAATTTAGATTCGTCTCCAACTACGATACACAACGACTCGCTGTCGTTTCGAAGGGTCAAGCCACTGCCCAAGCGGAGGCGGACGGCTGGCGCGGGCACACGCACGGGCTACGATCAAGCTGAGATCAACTCATTTAGCTTTCATGAGCCTCAGGCGCTCGCAGCGCTTGCTGACGTGCAAGCACGGCCCTATTTCAGCCCACTGTCCGCCCAGCAAGCCATCCGGGAGCTCTTTACAAACGACAGTCCAGATCCACGTATTCTTGCAGACTTTACAGGTCTGTACGCAAACCCGACGTCGCCTCCTTATCGCACGACGGCTCACCATGAAGACGAGCGCGAGGAACCGCTCGAGGGAGAGTATGTGGATCATTTCCAACTTCCTTCCAACACCAAAAAGCGTAAAGTTCCTGGGATCAACCACTCGACGGCGTTTGGCGCCAGTGAGCCAGTAGGACTTGGCTTGGGGACGACTCAGCAGCACACAGAGAACGTCTCGGAAGAGGGAGCAACGTCCTCTCCAACTCAGCGTTACAGGGAGAACAGCATGGATGATTCAGAGGCTACGTTGGCCCCGAACAAGTCTATTTTGCCGCTGCGTGCGGCCAAGAATCAAAGACAGTCGTTGATCACGCGAGCTGGATTGAGAAGAAAGGCGTTGATCAACTCTAGGAGAAAACAGTTCTTCTCCGTGTTGGAAGAACTGCCTGAATGCGATCCTCTTGCAATCGAGCTGGCCCTCGCTGCACGATATCCCCAGCTAGACCTGTTATTCGATTCTGGACCACGCGATCCGCTGCGAAACTCGCGGAGATCGAACCCAAAGTCGTCGATCTCTGTATCGTCTGCGGCATCCGACGAGGCTGCACCCAAGGCTCCCAGTGGGCGTTTTACGTTTACTCATCCATGCTCATGTAAGCATTTGAGCAATGTCTCAGGACCGGGCAGGTGACTGATCCATGTGCGCCTGTAGCATCAAATCGAATGATTGTGATCAAGGCTGAAGCCGAGCGATGTCAATTGCTTTTCGCAAAGGAGCTCGAGTTACATACCGAGCGGGCCATTGTGGCTGCCGAAAAGGTTGCGGCCACCGCTGAGCCTCCTGCAAAGAGCAGAAAGCGTGCGGCTCCAACAAATCAGCCCAACCTTGCTTTGGCTCCTCGTCTCGACAGCGACTCGCTCTCTGGAGACCAATCACTGTTTGGGAAGAATCGCCAGAAGAAGAAGAAACGCTCGGCGCTCGCCAATGCATCTAATCCACACCATTTGCGCAACTATGTGCCTTCGAGACTCCCTCAGCAAGCACCGCCAATGACACAGGCATCTTTGGCTGCCGCCAACTTTCTCAGTCCACCACCTTTACGTTTTCTGTCGGCGCAGATACCGCCCAGGCGTCGGGCGAGACATGACGAGGTCTGTCGCTCTTAGCGCCACCTTGGTCTCCCCCATCGACGAGTGGATCTGTGCAACATGCGAGTATAGCCTATTCTACGGGGATGAGAATGCGTTTCGCAAGGCAGTGCGAAACCGCAAACGCATCCTCTTACGTCGTCGAAAGGCTAGAGAGCGTGCTGCAGCTGCCGCAGGAACTATTGCTCCTGCTATCCCCGACAAGAGTGCAAACATCGAGCATCCGGATATTGATCTGCCTATTCGCGATGTACCTCTAGCGGCGACGGCGCAGCCCCGCGTTAGGAGACAAGTGGCCGGTGCAGATGTATCCGACACGCTCAAATGACATTAGGACAGATTGAGTTTGCTGAAATTTTTTTGGCTCTTATATCTGATTGGAACAGTCTCACAAATTCTCGTCGCTTGATTTAGTTCTTTGTCGTGCTCTTGGGTATCTGCAATTACATTGCTTTCACAAAATTTTGTGTGACCGTTCAATGGGGTGGCTGTTTGCCAACACAGTTCTTGCTTCCACCCGCCACTTTCACTTTCACTTATTTTGCTATCTATCGACTTTTTACAGTACTCTTCACTTATTACCACTCTCATGTCGCCAACAAATGATGCTTCTCATACCCCAAAACGCACAAGACGCAATGCAGATCCACGGATGATTGGTAGTTGGAAGTTGGGCAAAACGATTGGAAAGGGAAGCTCTGGTATGTCCCTCAAGCTAGATAAACTCTGTTAGACTTCTATATGCTCACGAGGAAACTCCAGGACGCGTCAAAATTGCGCGCCATGTCAAAACGGGCGAATACGCTGCCGTCAAGATTGTGTCCAAGCAAGCCCTTGTCACATCTCGCCTCTCAATGGCTGGCATTAGCGAACACGCGGACAAGATTCTCCTTGCCATTGAACGCGAGATTGTCCTCATGAAGCTCATTGACCATCCCAACATTTTGAGTCTTTACGACGTTTGGGAGACGCCAAACGAGCTTTATCTCATTCTCGAGTACGTGCCCAACGGCGAGCTGTTTGATCATCTCGTCGCCAAAGGTCGTTTGTCAATGGAAGAGGCATTGCAGTACTTTCAGCAAATCATCTCCGCCGTCGATTATTGTCACCGCTTCAATATTGCTCACAGAGATCTCAAGCCTGAGAATTTGCTCCTCGACCGTGACTACAATATCAAGGTGGCGGACTTTGGCATGGCGGCTTGGGAAGGCGGCACAGGCATGTTGGAGACATCCTGTGGATCACCTCACTATGCTAGTCCAGAGGTCGTTCAAGGCAAAGCATACAAGGGGTGTATTTCGGATGTGTGGTCCTGCGGCGTCATTCTTTATGCGCTCTTGGTCGGTAGACTCCCATTTGATGACGACAATATTCGCCGGCTGTTGGAAAAGGTCAAACGAGGTGCCTTTGTGATGCCTATCGACGTTCCTCTCGCAGCGCAGGACCTATTGGCGCGAATGCTCGAAAAGGATGTTGACAAGCGCATCACAGTCCAGCAGATTCTAGTCCATCCGTGGTTCACTTGTCGCTCGCCGAAGCCTCTACGTGCACCGATGATCCCTCCACCATCACCCACTAGCATCATCCGTCCAGTCAAGTCTGTCACGGATATTGATGCCGACCTCTTCGCAAGTCTTCGCACACTGTGGCACGGTACGTCAGACGAACAAATTATCGACGGCTTGCTGAACGAAGAGTGCGCATTTCTTATTTGTAATGGCGCGTTCTGACTGAGATTATAGGAAGACTTGGGAGAAGGCTGTCTATCATCTTCTGCTGCAGTATCGTACCAAGAGACTGGAAGACTATGGTGGCGAGTTCGAAACTCCTGTGCCACTGGTCCCAAAGGAGAAACCGTTGCCAGAAAGGCCGCCAGTGTCCCCTGTTCAAGATCTGCCACAAGATACTGTATCGAATACCAAGCCTCAAGAGTTAGCTGTCACTGCGCCTCTTCGTCTCTCAACTCCAGCAGGTCCTAGACCGCCTCCGGTCGTAGCCAAACAACAGAGCACGTTGAGAGAGAAGCCGCCTATGACGATCCGAATTGTGGTCCCGGATGTAGGACTCAACAGAGCGATCTCAGACGACAGTCCAAAACTTCCTTCTATTCCTTTGACCACTCTCGGAGGAAAGTATCGAGCAGTTCTTCACTCGCATTGTGGATACTACCAACAAGCATCCTCACCCTGCTTCAGAACTAGTACCACCCAAAGACGTTCGCCTTGCGGCCATTGTTGTAGAGGACGACGACGGAAGGTTTGCTGATGCTGAGGATGACACCAGCATCTCCGAACGTAGCTCTCCTTGTAGCAGTGTGATGACACGCAAATCATCTGCCACTACCTCAGCGACCTCGACAACCTCTGGTCGAGCATCTCCAGTAGGGCTAGGCATCTCTACGCAGTTACGTGGGCACCCTGTAACAGGTCCAAGAGCCCAAGTCTTCAATTCTTCCCGTAACCGGCGTCAATCTATCCCGGTAGGAGCTCCGTCACAGAGTACCGGGTCACCCAGATCTATGGACCAGAACGCAACTGTACCAACGTCCCAGCCTCTAGTGCACTCCTCTGAAAAGGAGAACTCGACTTCAGTGCGGTCGAAAGTGCGACCTAGAGCAGGAACGACCAGCACAACCACCATCAGACCAGCTCCTGGGGGAGCTTCACTCGAAAGAAGACGCACTCTAGGAGATCGGCATGTTCAGATCGTCCTTCCCGGTGAAGATTCTGCGATGCGGAAGAATCAAACACATCCAGGTATGGAATCTACACTACTTCTATCGGTGTCTCACCCGCGACAGGAATACATACCCCTCAAAAGGAGCGTAGGTCATCCCTCTCCGCGCCTGTCATTGAGAAGGCAACATGGTTTGGAAATCTGTTCAAGTTCAAGCCAGCGTCCTTCAACCTTCTCTCGGTCTATGACATGGCCGCTACACGAGATGAATCCAGGCGGCTCTTGACGGGCATGGGCGTGCTTGTGATGGTAGAAATTTCGGGACATCTTTCCTGCCATTTTACTGGAGCGGTTGGTCAGTGTTATCTTATCCCTGAAGTAAGCCTCTTGCTAATGAGTCTCAGATCCTTCTGGTGTCATGGCTACTGTGAAACCTGCCAAGTTCAGAGTCGAGTTCCATGGCGTGATACGGTCGCAGTCAGTTTCTGGCTTTATTACATCCGTCCAAATGATCCAAGAAAAGGGCGCATTTTCAACCTGCAAGCTACTATACAATCGTCTTCGGCGCGAATGGGAACTGGATGCTCCCGTCTCCATCTTGAAAACGCCCAAGACCCCGGGCGGCTTCAATGAAAGTTCAGCGTAGAGGGCAGACTTGGACGATCAAAGTTGGTAAATATTCGCATACACAATAGACGATGTATTCTGGTCCTCTTGAAGACATCATTCTTCATCACTTTGAACATCCAGAAATGCCAAAGGATTGGTCTAGGGGTAGTTAGACCGTTGCTTCACTAGAAGCACTAGAAGTTACCTTTCTCTTAGGAGCGGAGGATCTAGTCACTACCTCTTCTTCATCCCCCGATGAAGGTTCTGGGTCATGCTTCTTCTGAGGACGCTTGCTCTTCTCTTCTTTTGCAACACCACGACGAGCGTCAAACTGCTTGATATCCTCTATGGTGAAAGTGAATATTACACTGAGGACGAGTATCGCGCCCGCGTACCAAGTTCCTCTGCAAACTCTCGCTGTGCCTTGATCTGCTTGGCCTTTTCCATGCTCAGTCGACCCGTCATTCCAAGTCCTTCTAAGATCTCTTTAAGTCGTGAGATTTGTTTCTTTGGGTTGTCCTCGATGCCCTCAAACTCTTTTGCCCTGCATCGAGTTACGATGCTTCCATGTCGTCCACAAAGGCTTACCATTTCTTCCTCACGCCACAAGCAACCACGAAAGATTTGAGGCGTTTGACTTGCTCTTCGTTGCTGTCCGCCTATTGCAAATGAGTGAGTATTCCACAACTTAAAGGATACTTACTGGTACATCAGACTTTCCCTTTCCTTTGGATTTTTTCTCTTTTGGCGCATCTGTTTGTTTGGAAGCTCTCTATTTACCGTATCAGTGTCAACTGCAGCTGGATAGATGAACAAGTACCTTCTTCTTTGGCTCTCCCTTTGTCTTTTTCGGCTTGACAGGGCTGTTGTTGTCAAGCACAGAGAGGTCAGAATCGCTCAGCTGCACAGGCAATGAGCTTTATATTCGGAGTGATAATTTACGGTTACCTCCACCACAGCAGCAGCCGGGGCCCTCCCCTTCTTCCCTGGAGGACTGAGACTACCAGCCTTGAAAGAATTAATATAGCCGTGGACGAACAAGTCCGCTCACCTCTGGTGTTTTAGGCGGTTTGGGATCCGAATTGTTGTCGCTGTCCGAATCGACTGGCTTTGCTTTTCGATTACCGGGCTTTGAGGGTTTGAATTTAGTCTCTGGCTCTTCTTCTTCATCGCTGTCGATAACAGCCTGACTCTTGCTCGGACCAACCTATACGACAGTCAGGAAGACCATTACCCAAACCTAGGACCCACCTTCTCTTTCACACTCAATTTCTGCTCTTTCTTCGCCTTCTTGGCTGGTGGATGTTCCTCTTCTGCGTCTTCGGCTGGCTTGCGCTTCTTCGAACCAGACTTTGCAACTTTTGTATTTGATGGTTCCTTGTCTTCTGTGTCGTTTGATACAGCCTGCGCTATCGGTAAACGGCCTAGGACTATCACCAAAACCACATACCTCTACGGCGATTTTTGTTGCCAGTTCCTTGAGGCGTGCTTTGAAATCTGAATCCCCCATTTCGTCTTCATCGAATAACTGGTTTGACTTGACGAATTTCTTGACATCTCCCCACGAAGGCCTTGAACCGTCGTCATTGAGTGACAAGTCGAAACGCAAGCCCGCAACTCACAGTGGCTCATTTGCATCCTTTTTCCTCTGAACTTCGGCGCGAAAAACGCGTTCAAACCGCTCGAGGTCAGCCATCGTCTGGGAGATGAGGAGTTCAAGGCGCGTCAACCACTGACGACCACAATTTGAATCCCAATGTGTACAAATTTCATTCGTCTAGTCTGCAACAACGTGATACTCTAATGCACTATTTCTACAACGAGGTCTCCTTGGTTGAGGGAATCGCCTTCGTGGACAACTACCCGCTTGACATGTCCAGAAACAGGAGCAGAGACGGCGCTCTCCATCTACATGCAAATTCAGTATGACGAATAAACAGAATCAGTGGAATACCGACCTTCATCGCGCTCTGGATACAGAGAATATCGCCCTTTTTAACCTCCTGGCCTTCCTTGACGCGAACTTCGACAACAACACCAGACATCGGTGCACCGACCGAGCCAGGATCCGTTGTAGCTCGCTCTCTGGATACAGTTTCGACGGCTGCCGAGCGATCCTCTACCGGGACGGCACGGACTTCACCATTGACCTCGAACCAGACATCACGGGTTCCCTTGCCCTCTGTGACCGAACCAATTGCCATCAAGCGGATGATGAGCATCTTGCCCTTCTCAATCGAGATGTGCATCTCCTCGCCAATATCAGGGCGACCCAGGAAGTAGCGGGTTGGAATGACGCTAGGAGTGCATGAGCCAACGAGGACCCTACTTGAAGCAGCGGCTTACCTGAGGTCACCAAACTTCTCTACAAAGCCTTGATACTCCTCGAATACCTTGGGGTACATCGCGTATGACATGACATCGACATCGGTAATGTGTTTGCCAAACTTGGCTCTGAGATCTGCCTTCATCTTCCTGAAGTCCATTGGTGGAAGGTTGGCGCCCGGTCGACCATCAATACGTGGCTTGTCGCGGATAATGTGCGTGCGGAGTGGTTCGGGGAAACCGCCATAAGGTTGACCGAGATATCCTTGGAAGAACTCGACGACAGACGACGGGAAGTCTAGATTCTCTGCTTGAGCCTTGACTTGCTCAGCAGTTAGGTTGTTTGAAGTCATCCACTGAGCAAAGTCGCCGACAACCTTGGAGGACGGGGTGACTTTGATAATATCGCCACAGAGTTGATTCGCTTCAATGTATTTCTTCTTAATCTCCGACCATTGTGTGCCAAGGCCAAGCTGAGAAGCTTGGAACTATACAATGTTTGTCAACGGCGCGAGTAACCTATCGTGAGCCTTACCATCAAGTTTGTATATTGACCACCAGGCATCTCGTGTGCAAACACACTAGAGTCCGAAGCACGCACGTTTGCCTCGAAGCAGCTGTAAAGTTGTCTGACTTGGCTCCAGTAGAGATTCAATGCCTGAATATCGGCGTAGCGAATGCCAGTTCCGAGTGTAGTCTGCTCAAGTGCCATGCAAACGGCACCCATCGAAGGCTGGGAGGTCACACCAGACATGCCTAATCATTGATCAGAATCAGTAGTCACCTGGGACTCGTACTCACTATCAATGGCCACGTCGACGACGTCAGCTCCGGCAACGGCGGCTGCAATCATCGTCGCAGCTGCAATACCAGCAGTATCGTGAGAGTGGACGTGGATTGGGAGATCAGGATACTTCTTGCGAATGGCACCAATGAGACTTGGAGGAGTCAGAACGGGTAAACCCAGGACAAAAAACGTACAGAGTGGCGGCCATTGGCTTCATCAAACCAGCCATATCCTTGATACCGAGCACATGAATTCCTTCGGCGACGAGTTGGTCCACAAAGTCGAGATAGTACTCTAGAGTGTACTTCTTCTTGTTCTGATCGGCGACATCTCCACTGTAGCAAACAACCGCCTCGCAGACACCACCAGCCTTCTTGGCCGCGTCGATGCCGAGTTTCATCTACGAGAAGTTAGACAAGCGATGGTACCTTTATGCTCGACATACGTTTTCTATAACCGGTATGAGCACAATGCACAACTTATGTAGCCTACTCACCGATGTAGTTTAGTGAGTCAAACACACGGAAGATGTCAAGACCATTCTCGACTGCCTTCTTGCAGAAGTCGTAGATTGCATTATCCCTAGAACAGAGTAAGCTCGATAGAGGGGGATCGACGACTACGTACGGGTAGCTGGTATATCCGACTGCGTTTGCGCCACGGACAAGGGCCTGCAGGGGAATGTTGGGAACAAGCTTCCTAAGAGTCCTCTGCAAGATAATCAGCGACTACTAGGCTTTACTGAATTTGTACTCACGAGGCGCTCCCATGGATCTTCGTAGAGGAAACGCATTGCGACGTCAAAGGTTGCACCACCCCAGCATTCAAGGGAGTATGCGTTTGCCAAAGCCCAGCTCGTCTCCTTTGCAATGTTGACCATATCAATCGTACGGAGACGAGTGGCGAGCAGCGACTGATGGGCATCGCGCCAGGTCGTGTCCATGATGAGCGTTCCAGGATATTGGCGAACAGCTTTCGCAAACGCCTCTGGTCCCTGGTTGACGATAATGTTGCGCCACCCAACCTCGCAGGGAACCGAGGTGTCGAGCGGCGGACCATTCTCTGGATCGGTGCGATCCTGTAGTGTGGGAATAACCACATCCGTCTTGAGGCCCGGTTCACCCTGATTGGCTGTCAGACCAGAAGTTATTCTGCCAAGCCCCACAGAAACGAACCATTTGACCTTTGATCGAACTTCCGTTGACAGCCAAATCTCCGAGATAGGCAAGAAGCTTCTGAGCGCGGTTCTGAGTCTGAACCAGCTTGAAAAGGTCAGGAGTATCATCGATGAACTGGGGGGAAGCTGAGTTGAAGCCTCTAGATGTCAAAGATTTGATCGCACCGTAGTCCACGTTCGCCCTCCAATGAACACGTCGTGGGTCAAGAGTCGGAACAAGAATGGAATATTGGTCTATCGTTCTTCAGTGTCGAGCACGTTCGTCACAAGAGATATTACCTTGACACCCCGGATACGGAATTCGACCAATGCACGAAGCATCTTTCTACGAGCGACCTCGTATGTCGTTCCGGAAACGGTCACCTTGACGAGCAAACTATCATAGTGAGGCTAGAGAGAATGAGTCTTGGCTTATTATAACGAGATATACATACCGTAATCTGGGCACCTGCAAAACCGGAACTAGCGTCAAGTCGGACACCATTGCCACCCGCGCTACGATAGACCTCAATTTTGCCGGTGTCTGGCTGGAAGTTTGCCGCCGCGTTCTCAGTGGTGACACGACACTGGATGGCATATCCGCGCTTTGTGATATTCTCTTGCGTAAGGCCGAGTTGGGGGAGCGTTGCACCAGCAGCAATCTGAATCTGGGCGGCGACGATATCGATACCCGTGATTTCCTCTGTATAAACACGTGAAACACTCTACTCAAACATGTTCGAAATACACTTACCCGTGATGGTGTGCTCGACCTGAATACGAGGGTTGATCTCGATAAAGTAGTGGCGACCCATCTGGTCCACCAGGAACTCTGCAGTACCTGCGTTGCGATATTGGACACTCTCAGCGAGCTTTAGTGCATCACTCAGGATAGCCTGTCGGACATCTTCTGGCAGATTCGTTGCGGGGGCGACTTCGACCACCTTTTGGTGCCTTCGCTGAACGGAGCAATCACGTTCAAAGAGATGTACGTAGTTTCCTTGACCATCTGCGAGCAATTGCACCTCGATATGTCTGGGCTTGTCGAGGAAGCGTTCGATAAAGACGGTACCGTCTCCAAAGGCCGACTTTGCTTCGCTGACGGCGCGAGTAAAGGCGTCCTTGAACTCTGTTTGTTCACGAACGACACGCATACCACGACCACCTCCACCCATGGCGGCCTTGATGATCACTGGGAAGCCATACTCTTCGATGAACGACGCGCCCTCTTCATACGATCCGACGGGGCCAGGTGTTCCTGGAACGACGGGGACTCCGATCTTCATCGCAATAGTCCTTGCCTTTGTCTTATCGCCTAGGGCATCGATGACTTCCGGAGACGGACCGACGAAGGCAAGTCCGGCTTGCTCAACCTTGCGCGCAAACTCTGCATTCTCGGAGAGGAAGCCATAGCCTGGATGGATCATGTCGACGCCATGCTCGAGAGCGATGCGGATAATGTCGTCTTGTGCGAGATATGCAGCAACCGGGGTCAATCCTTTGCCGACCTGGTACGCTTCGTCCGCCTAAGGGGAAGGGTGGGTGGCGCGTGAAACTCGAGCCAGAGACGGAACGAAGGGGAAACCAAACCTTTTGTCTATGAGCAGACATTCTGTCCTCGTACGAGTAAATGGCAACAGTGTGCATCGCGAGCTCATGTGACGTTCTGAAAACGCGTATCGCGATTTCCTATCGAGACGCGTTGCGGGCAGATCAGCGCGTAGAAATGGGATCATAAGTAAGAACGTACACCACGGTTTGCGACGAGAATCTTGGTCAGAGGCCCATGATGGCCTGCTGCCTTTCTACGGATCGTAGAGATGGAGTGCACAGGTGTTCCAGGCGCCGACGGCGTGCCAGGAGCAAAATGAGATGCCAAACGCGGAGGAAATAGAGGCGCAGACATTCTGGATGGATGGGCGAGGCCGGGTCCAAGGAGGTTTAGCAGCCATTACGCCCAGCGCGCCATCCAAGCCGGTTCCGTCTCTGTGCAGACGAAGAGACGGGCCGATCGGTAGAGCTCTATCATCAATCTATTCACAGAATATAACACGACGCGTATAAGCCAGCACCCACAGCCGAGCAACAAACGCCGCTCACGCAGTCCTCATCGACGAGCAGACAGCGGTATCTCCCCCATCCGTATCTTCTCAGACTTTTGCAGCTCATTCTTTGCGACCGCATACACGATACCGGCAAAGAACCCGGTCAGAACCGCTGAGACGGATCCCAATGTGACCGCATCTCCCAAGAAGATCATGCCAGACGCCGCTACCGGAAGTTTATTCAGCGCTCCGACCATGCTGTATACATCGTTTAGTCACTACCAATCAGATAGACGCGGTGACCACACACCTATATGTTGTGCTGGACGTCGTGCGCATGCACCATGCAGTCGAATATGAAATCCACACTGTCGCAGCCCCAGAAAGAGCCATCGTGAAGAGGAGAAGTACCCTAGTATCTTCGGGGCTGCAACCATCGCTTAATGACGCATATCATATCTTGCCATACTCACAAATTGGCTTTAAGGTTGCTTGGGCTCCAGTCCTCGACAAGGAAAGACATGACGGCAAGGAGTGGAATGGGCAATGCATTGTTGTAAAACATGGTATCCCAGTCCTTGAAGCCCATCTGCTTAATCTTCTTCCTCATCGTCAGGAGCTGTGGCGGTAGTCAGGACCCCCTATCGTAGGCAATACTCAATGGTACGAACATAGGCTGCGGAGGCAAAGCAGTTGGCGAACATCCAAAAGTAGCCGATATTGAGGCCCAGAAGCTTAGTGACTGGTGCATCTGAAATGATGGCCGAATCCGCAGCTCCGTTGGTGGGCGTGAACATTCCGGCAATATCCGTCCACGAAGCCATTACGGACGAGAGTACCATCAACGCAAATGAAACCATCATGAGCCCGGTCACGCGTCCACCGAAGAAGATGAGCTCTCCATAGGCCTAAACCAATATAAGAGGCTTTGTGGTCTTCAAGGAAGGTTGACTGACGATAAGAATGATTGTCAAATTCTTGAATATAGTGTATACTGGGATGCTAAGGTATTGCTGTTAAAGTCGGTCAACAAACATGCTTGCACAGTGCGTAAGACTGACCAGACTCTTGGAGCCTGTGTAGATGAGAGTTACAAGGAAGCTGCTGATCGGGAACCATTTTCTTGCGACGTCAAAATCAAAGTCCCGCACAGTGATGATGCGAAGACGCTTGCAGAGAATGACGAGAAAGGCGCAGACGGTGCATTGAATGAACAAGAGAACACATGTCATATTGAACTTGCTGCCCGAGACGGCGAGCTGCGCAGATCAGAGAGATGAGCAGAGCAATTCTTTGCTTCGAGATGTAGAAACACAGAAAACGGACCTTATTAATCACAGTCATTAGTATAGATGATACGCAATACGATGCAATGGGCCATACTGTTCACGAATGGTCAGTGACAGCTCATTCTGGCAAAAATTCGAGACGTACGAGGGGAAGATGAGATCTCGTGGCCTCCCGTTTTGCGAGCCTCGACGTGATCCTCGGACAGAGGAACTGATTTATACTCGCCGCGCTCGTCCCCGCCGGCCACGGACGCGGCCGAGCGTGACAATGGCGAGCGTGGAGGAGTTGAAGACGATGCCATTGGCGCAAGATTGACTCTAGAGTTTAGATACAAGAGGATGGACGTCCGTTATCCACGTCGAACGAGCGTGCTCGTGTTAAAAGCTGCCTTGGCGGGGTCGAAGGATTATGAGCAACTCAACGGCGTTAACAGTCAGGTCCTTCACGATGCAAAAGCAGCCTTATACCGACAAGGATCCTTTTTGTATTATCCACACGGCGAATGGGTTACATTCTGGAAGCACTCCGGAGGCGACTGACTTCCCGCAGCAGGATCCCTCACAGGCCTCCTAGTAAGCGGTTAGGGGATGCACTAACGGTAGCTTCCTCGCCCTTGACTCTATGCCGACCACCAATGGGATCTGAGCTTCTCACTGCTTCGCCGGCTATCGGGTTCATGTCCAAAACCCCTTGGAGTGATTTGCAACCAGGGAAGATGTCGGCTGGACGACCCACCAAAAGCTTTTCTCACCATAGGCCGACAGTGCGCATAAAGAGATGCAAGTACCTGTCCGTGAGGGTTAGCATCTTTGACTAAAGAAATTCAATATCAATTCACCATCCCGTTAGGCCCCAAATCTCTAGTCGCCTTCCTCGGTCGACGCCACCCTCCTCCAGAGATGGTTCGTCCGGAAGGACTCGTGGGGTCGTCCAATACTCTTCTGGAACTTTGTCGGACACATTCACACACCAGTACGGCGGCCTTCCACGGAAATTGTGCCGCGTTAGACGACGTTCGTCCGTCAATTCTTCCAGGGTGAGGTGGAACATCATCGCGACCTCTGCAGTATTAATGTCGAGGTCTTCTATGAGTGTGTTCGCAAGTGGTGAGGAATCATTTATGTTGGTTGGTAGGATACTCGTCGAGAGGAAACCCTGCACAAAAGTCAGTGAATGAGGTTGTTAGAGGCAAAGTCATACCGCGTATGGAAATACAATCGTTCCAGCTATGCTTTTCTCAGGAGGTCCAAATGCACTCAAAAGATGCAGTCGTTCTGAAGAGATTCCAATCTCTTCGCGCGTCTCCCTCTTGACAGTCTCTTCAAGATCTTTGTCGTCCTATGACAAATTTAAAAACTTCCATTAAAGTGTGCCCAAAACCACCGCGTACGTCGTCTTTTTTGCCGCCAGGAAAGCTCACTTCTCCCTTGTGCGCACGGAGATTGGCCCTCACTTGAAACAATACTGCTGGTTTATTGTTAATGTTCACTAATGGCAGTAGGACCGCTGCCTGGCCCGATTCAGAATAGGTGCCATCGTGAGTTACTGCCGGGCCTCGTGTATGTTCCGAGAGCGACTTTGAGATTGCATGAAGCGTTGTCCAGTTGAAAGGCGAGCCCGTTGACAATATTCTGCTCGATGTTCGTGGCTTCGCCAATGCAGCCCACTGCCAACTAGACATGGGAGTGACAAAGTTGCTTGCTGGAAGTTGGCTACGCCCAAAAAGAACAAGTTAATATTTCTACAAGTTTTTGCGAGGCATGAATGATGAGATTGGGTGCGAACAATGGGTGTGGCGGACTTGTACGCGTTGACTGCTTTCAAACTCAACCACGACGCGCAGATGCCGCGAGTTACTAGGCCAACAAAGGCTCGCGCCAAATCAGAGTCATCAGAGGAGAGTACAGATGTCGAAGCGACACCAAAACCAAAGAAATCAGCCCCCCCAAACGCACGATTGAAGCGTCGAGTGAGCCAGTTTCAGCCAAACGACGAAGACAGCGAACAGCGTATTCCACTCAAAGCTTTCAATGACGAACTCGCAGAGAAACGAACATTGAAGCGCAGAAAGAGCTCGCGAATGACTATGGCGTTTGAGCCGCTCGACGACTCGCAGGACGCTCCAGAGGGTCAAAACGACGCGTCTCAGTCTCAGGAAGGAGTTACCGCACCTAGAAAGACTGCTCTTGCGCGTGCCAACCCGCTCAAATCAGTCGTAGCACCTGGTCCTATGGTTCCGGTACCACTTGAGATCATGACCTCCAACTTTGAGGAATGGATGAAGATGGCGACCGACAATGTGCGTGCTTATAGGCAGACCGGGGCCAAGCCATGATGTTTACAGCGCTACTTGACAGAAAATCAATGCCAACAATTCATGGAGCTTTGCTCTCATTGATTATTTTCACGACATGTCGTTATTGAGAAATGATAGCGACAATTCGATCAATTTCCAAAAGGCCTCGCGCACGCTTGATGGTTGTGTCAAGATTTGGACCAGCCGTGTAGACTCGGTGGGCACAGACACAGGCAAACTTCTGAGCAACCTTGCTGCTGAAGGACGTACGTGAGAATATTTTACTATGGTTCCCTCTGATGAGTACAGGTGCTGGAGCTGGCGAGGATGAAGAAAATGAAGAAGGTGGAGAGGGTGGAGAGGCTGCAAAGAAGAGAAAAGTCAATCGTCAAGAAGCCACACTTGCCAAGAGTGCAGCTCAATTGCAAACCAAAAAGCTAGACCTCGAGTTCACAATCGACCCCCTATTCAAAAAGACGAGTGGTGACTTTGACGAGGGAGGCGCCCAAGGACTGCTGATGAACCACCTCGCGGTTGACAGTAGTCTCCGCGTAATCTTCGATGCTATGGATACACCCGGAGGCGCGGAGGAGGTTGAAGATGAGGAGGTGATCAGCCTACAAGTCTCATTGGCTGATCTCAGAGGTGCGAGATCAAACATTCTATTAGACTCATTTGACTTTTCTGGATAGCCAAGTTGGATTACCCTAGTCTTTCTCACCGAACACTCCTTTCGGACCGCCTCTCTGACTTCAAGTTCTCTGCAAACGTCGCTGCTGAGCAAGCTATGAGAAGAAAGTCCATTAATAAAGATGAGGATCTCGACTCGGAAGACGAGGCCGCCTTCCAGGAGCCTGCTCAGCCATACGCGGAGGAGATGGACGTGGTAAATCCGGATGATGCAGGAGATGCCCCAGAGGCCCAGGACTTCTTTGCTGGCGATGAAGGTGGTGACGGTGAGGATTTCGGTACATTCGGGATGGATGTGCAAGGTCCCGATGATGACGATATCGGTGCCGAGGGTGCGGAGGAAATGGAGGGGAATCAAAGACCTGGAAGCGGTGTTCCCGGAGTTGTACCATTCGATCCCAGAAGAGCTCCAGATCATCGAGAGCTAGTGCTAGCCATGACCGAGGAGGGTGGCGCCAGCATGATGGACTACTTTGATTCCAACATCATCAAGAACTGGGCTGGTCCGGAGCATTGGAAACTGCGAAAAGTGATTCGAAAACGTTAGTCACCTGTCCTCTAATTCGACTCCATAACTGACAATCCACTAGCTGAGAAGTCTGATCAGCCTGCAGCACCGAAGCAACGAAAAGAAAAGGTGCCATTCTCAATCGACTTCTCAAAGAGATTACCGTCAGACATCGAGAAGAAGCTCTTCGAACCCCCAGCTAAAGGCTCACTCACCTTGCCTGCCAAACAATGTGCATTTACTTTAGGCAAGAAGAAGAAAGGAGCACAAGAGAAGCGAGAGGAAAAACTATTGCCGGATGACATGCACTTTTCGAGCAGGCAACTTCTTTCGCTCTTCCTGAAGCCCAAGTTTATGGTGGGTTCTGACCGTTCTGTATCTTGCGCAAAACTTCAATAACCTCTCTAATAGGTCAACGTTCGAGGGGGACGAGCTCGGTTGCGACGTACGTTGATAGGATCCTCTTTTGCACTGCAGTCTAACTGGGTTATAGCCGAACATAATGATGAGATTGACGAGAACTTTTGGGCTAGAGCTGCTGCTGAAGCAGATATGCCTCCAGACGAGGGCGATCAAGGTATAAATTAATCGCGTTGAGGACCGGTCACTAAAGAGGGTCTAGGGGATGATGGAACTGGCATGCCATTTGCGACACAATTCTTCAACGACGATGACGATGATGGTGGTGGAGGTTTCGAAGACAATTTCGGTGGCGATGGCGGCGATGCGGCTGGTTTGGACGAGGACGCTGAACTCCAGGCAGCAACTCAGGGTCAAATTCGACGTGTGCGCCCCGAGTTCGTCAATTATGCCAAGAAGGTTAAACGAGTGGATGTCCGGAAACTCAAGGAAAATATCTGGAAAGGTCTTGACATCGTTCTTCCCAAGACTGAGGAAGAAGACGACGCAAGTATTCAATATATGGAAGATTAAAAGCCCTAACATCCATCTAGGAGGTCGAACTCAGCCCTTCAAAGAAACCAACAGACCCCAACGAGGCGAAGAGCTTTACTTCTGTCATCTCGGGACTACGGAAGACATACCCGAAAGAAAAGATGGAGGAGATCAGCACCTCATTCTGCTTTATATGTCTTTTGCATCTCGCAAACGAACGTGGGCTCAAGATTGAGGGCGAGGATGACGGTGGACTTGGGGCAAAGATGAGCAATCTTCGGCTGTCGAATAGTTCTGCGCGACGCATGATGGAAGAAGATGACCCAGACTATGAAGACCCAGAGATTGTGGAAGCCAGAGTAGGCGACATTTGGGGATTGCGGATATATCGAGACCCAGACGCAATACCATCAGCATAGCGATCTATTTGGACCACCCGGTACTTTACGCGTACTTGTTGTATCCGCTTTAGTTGTACGTTCATAAAAGAAACAATTCTACTACTGTGTTATTGTCACCCGAAAGAACATGACAAGATCAAGAGCGTTCTAAAATCTTCTTGATATTCTTTGAGAGTGGCGTCTCAGTTTCTTGAGCGGCCCCCAGGAACCAAGGCTTGCTCATGTAATTTCGTAAACTGGAGCCAAGTGAGTACCCCGAAGAATCTGATACAGGACAAACTCACCCATCGGGTAGAAGAACAACAACGTTCTTGCCCTCCGTCTGTGCAATGTGCTTGCCTTCCTCTGAGTGCAGGTACTTTAGGGCACCCGCCAGAGCAGTACCAGAACTTCCTCCAACTAGTAACGCCTCTTCCTTGATGAGACGTAATGCCGCGGGAAACGCCTCGTCGTCTCCGATCTTGAGCCATTTATCGACGGTGGGCGGCATTCTATCCAGTACCTTGGGTACAAAGTCGTATCTGCAACGAGCATGGGTACTAGTTTAGCCACTGGTATGGAGACTGACCCGATCCCTTCCACTTGATATATCGCGTCATCTTTACTCTCATTCAGGGCATCCGGATAAGCTAGAACGCTCCCTTTCTGTAACGTGGTATTTAATGAGGGCACAGTAAGGAACATATGGTTTATGAAACTCACAGGGTCAACGCCAATGACGATAACCTCCGAGTTCCATCTTCTGAGGCTGCGAGAAACGCCTGTCAATGTACCCCCAGTTCCGGCACCTGCTACGACCACGTCGACAAGCCCAGACGATTTGTGCGAGGAAGAATGCGAACTGAAGTCTGCAAGGATTGCATCGATTATTTCTGGACCGGTCGTAAGCTCATGCGCAAGGGGGTTATCCGGGTTGCTATATTGATCTAGTATGACCGAGTTTGGAATTGCGTCCCTCAACCGTTTAGCCACCCCTAATTAAATGCAGGATAAACGTGAGTCCGTCGATTATCAAATGCAAGATGAAACGCACCAATATGACTTTCTGGCGAGTCAAACGCTGCTTCGGTGGGTGTCCGCACAACCTCAGCTCCCAGGGCCCGCAGTGTTGCGATCTTCTCGTTACTCATCTTCATGGGTAACGTAATGATCAAAGGATATCCCTTGAGCGCGCATGCCAATGCCAACCCAATCCCTGCCACCTGACGATTCAGTACATACAATTTTATGATAATTGCCACCACACCTGTATTACCGGAAGTTGCTTCTATGACGGTCGAGACGCCAGGGATCAAGCGGCCGCTCTTCTCTGCTTCCTCGAGCATGCGTTTGGCGATCCTGTCCTTGATACTTCCACCAGCGGATAAGAATTCTGTCTTTGCCACTATTATGGATCAATAAGTGTTATTGAAAACGGTGCCCAATCTCACATACAAAGATTGCATTTGAACCCTTCGACACTCGCAATACGGTCTAGCCTGATTAATGGAGTGTGCCCTACAGCATCCAAAGCACTATCAAGAATTCCTTCTGGTAACGGCATGTGAACGAGAGCTCGAGGGCGGTTGTGGTCAAGGTGCAAGTTGCGCCAACAGCGCAATCCAGCAGTCAGATGTGATCATCTCGGCTCGGACCTTGCCCAGGGCCTAGAACCTGCCAACGATAGCACCCTAATTTCCCAGGAATTTTTCCAAAAGTATTTTGAACATGATAACTACATTCACAGAGATACAATGCAACGTCCCCAGCGCGCTAAGGACAGGTGAAATAGTACAGCAATGCAGTGAGACACTATAGACCCCAGCGTTGAGGGCTGCTACCTGGAATAGATGGGCTCTTGTACAGATCACTCCGCCGGAAGAATCCATTTGGACTTTCCTCGCCACGTGCCATTCGATTCAGCTCTTCTTCGAGCCTGCTTTCCGAGAATGGCGGGGGGAATAATGGTGTCTGTAAAAAGATGGATTTAGATGTGGATGGTGGCCGGTCGGGAGTAATAGGGTCAGATGGCTTCGGATGCTGTCGCATGGGCGAGGAAGGTGGACGAAAGACGGGGAACGATGAGTCAAACGGTCGCTCATCACTTCCAAGTGCTCGTGCCGGCGTCATGAAAGCAGTCGACTGGGAGAAGAGATGGCTCGAGTTGGGACTGATGCACAGCGAAGTCTGCCGCGGTAGCCGCCGGGCTGAGACCAGATAATCATCCTCATTTGGTGGAGTTCTCTTGTTAGGTGTTGCAGGAATGGGTGAATGAAGCCACGGTGGGTCAGGTATCAGCGGTGGGGGCGTCACGGACCGGTCTCGTTCATCCTCGTCAAGCTCGCGGTCAGGGCCATAGGAGAAATCTTCGCCAGACATGCTATCTTCATCTCGAGTCTCGTTGTTGACAGCGAACCGGCTCATCGCCTCGTCTAGTTTCGTAGTGCGTATGGCAGACTTCATGGGTGAGGTGCTTAGGCGGCGCATGGGTGATAAATTGAGTAAAGTGGATACTGGTAGGGTACGGAATCGCTTTTCGCTCTGTTCTTTTTGGTGAGTCCCATTCATAGGAATCAAAGATATACGCACCTGATTTGAATCGCTCCGGACGTCGCTTTGACTGAATCGATGGTGCATTGGAGGCTCTTGCGAGTGGGTAGTACTCCTCGCTTGAGACTGCGTATCGTCTTCGTCCTCGTCTTGGATCTCGACGTCCTCTGGTTCCGAAGGAGGGGCAGACGCTGTTTCGGATGGAGGCGCAACAGATACAGCACGCGAAGATGCTGCGTCTGACTGCAATATAGCATCTATAACAGCTAGTTCCTCGTCTGGATCTAATGTTCGACGTGGCCTGTGCATCAACGAATGCACACCGGTCTTGTTCGTTTTGCTTCTTCCATACGAAGGACTGAAGACGTCCTCCCCGTAATCGGACTCAAATTCCTCCGACTCCATCTCTTCCTCGGACTCGTATTTAGACCTTTTCTTTTTGGCCTTTGCTCGAGGTTTGCTTTCAGGCTGACGTTTCTGCGCTAATGGCTTCTTCTGAACCATGACGGGAGAAGCAGATGATTTGGCTTGATCCATACGATTTGGTTGACTTAGAGACGTGGTGGTGTCCATTGGCTCATGTTTGACTGTCTGAGAACTGGACTTGAAATTGGCTTTTGCCTGGCGCTGTTCAGGTTCCTCTGAGGGAACCATGTGTTTACGAGGTCGCTTGCGTGAGGACGTGTCGTCTTCCAGATCCGTATCATCATCAAATGCGCCCTTTCGTCGTCGCTTCCGATTCGGTTCAGGAGGCCTAGCGGCTCGATTAAAGCCACCATTGGCAAAACAATGTGCATCTTCTTCTCTAATGGCCCATTCACCATGTTGTCCACCGCCTGGGTGTTTCAACCGGGTAAAGCTTGAATTTTGGCTGAGGTTGTGACGGATCGAGTTTTGCCAAGCGTGTTCTCCTCGCTTATAATAGGGATATACTGTCGAGATATATAGGTATATGTGGTCCAAACAGGCTCGCTTGCGGTGGGAGGCATTGATAGCTTGACCAATGAGTGCTGCGTAGGAATAGGGAGGTTTGGAGGTCGCGTATGGAGGTGGTGGAAGTTTAAAGATGGTGGAGGGGTCGACTTCCTCGTGTGATGTCGTAGGTTTGGCAAGTCGAAGTAATTCCGGACTGGGAAAGAATGGATGGGGGAAGATGACACCGTCTGGACGAAATATCGCAGGAACTGGTGTTCCAACGAGTTCCCCCGCATTAGGCGACATGAAGATGGCCGCGGCGGCTGGTGTAAATGGCGAGGTCTCTCCATGCTGACGAGTAGGTGTCTTGGGAGTCTCGGGAGACTGTGTAGATCCAACCGTAGCCGGAGAAGCCTTGTCCATCTTCGCATTCTCATCAGAGCTCTCAGCCTTTGGTTGAGACGATGATCCGGCGGTTGTCGAGGTCGGCGCAGCGGGCTGTTTCGCGCCTGCAGCTGGTTGCGGTTGCACCCATGGGTGTGCAATCGACTTTCCCTGTGCAAGGGCTGCAGGGTTGAACCATATTGGCGGGTAATAAGGGAGTGGTTGTCCAGGCATTACGGGTGGCATAAGCATAGGTCGCTATTTTGATGCGAAGTATGTGGGATGCAAAGGGGAAAGTGGCCACATAAACGAGTTTGTGAGCAAAAGAGACATGCAACCAAGCGATTGGACGCACCTGTCCATTGGGCATCACAGGGAACATTTGGGCGTTTAACGGGAGTGCCAATTGAGGCGGTACAGAAGCCTGTTTAGCGCTCTTCTGCTGAGATTTCGAAGATGTTTTTGTAGGAGCTGGAGCCGCTGCTTTTTGTGGTCGTGGTGCACGGGGCGGCGAGGGATCACGAGCCTTTGGGGGAGCATCTGGAGCCTTGAGTGGATATCGCTTACAGAATTCGTCAAAAGAGGATGCTCCTGCACTATCCTGGAGGTATAGTCGCATGAGCTCAGTCTTTTGCTTGAATTCGGCCTCTGAAAGTCCGAGACGGGCTAGCTGCGCTGACGCATCGGGGGCAACAGCAGCCGCCATGTATTTCTAAAGCGTTGTGGATTGCTTTCACGTATTCGACAATCCTCAGGTCACGAGGGCTGGTGCCAGGGTGCCGTGATAGAAGGATTCAAGAAATGGATAACAAACCAAACTAACTCCGCTTTGCGTGACGTGCTTCTCAGAAAAATACAGAAAAAAAAAGAACTGACGATTTGTACTGTCACACGGCAGGAAATGCCTAGATACATGCACTCTTTCACCGTACATTTCCTCGTTTCCTCTTGGCTGCTCGTCGAATCTCACCCAGGTCCATATCCTTCTCCGACTCTTTGACTTCAGTGAGATGGTGCCATGAGGGTAGGCCCTTTGCGATTAAAGCCTGCGCCTGACCTCCTCCTTTGCCCTTCCGCCTTCCACCAACAGGAGGAGCCGGGGTCAAAGGAGGAGGTAGTTGAACAGAAGAGAGCGCAAGAGGAAACGGTGTGGTGATGTCATCGACACGAAGTGTATGGTCAATACTGGTCAATGAAGGCGTGGTTGGCCGAGGGGAGGAATTGCCCGCTGCGACCATCTTCTCCTTGACTTTGCGAGTGATATGTGGCCGTGCTTGTGCATCCATAATGAGCTCTATGGACACAAGTAGGCGTTAAGTGATTTGAATAACGACAATAGGCAAAAAAGACTCACCACCAGTCGCGGTTTCTGCATCCTTTTCCTCTCGAGCTCGTCGTCTCCGCTCTTCAATGCCTTCGAGTAGTCTTGTACGGAGTCTCGCCTTTGCATTCACCCATTCCTCCTCTACACGCGTCTTCTCGTCATTGTAAGCCTGCTCTGCGCGTGAGAGGGCATTGTCATAATCCACCATTGCAATGTTGAGCCGAGCTGCCCGCTCGAGCGTATATGGATACATTCGTAGCTGATAAGCATGATTCTCGGCAGGGTCATTTGAGAGTTGATTTGCCAAAGCACTCAGTTTCATACTGATTTCTCCAGCTGTTTGAGAGAGGCTAGAAAGTCCTTGGTGAGCATTCTCCCTGGCCATTCACCTGGGGTCAAGACTCACACCAGCTCGTCGCCCATCAAACTGACCCCACGAAGCTCCCTCGGGCTACGTTTCCGTTTGAGGCGCCCGGAATTCTCGTCTAAAAGGATGAAATGGGGTCAAGAAAGCTAAAAATGCCGCGGTAAGATGCGACAAACTGTAGAGTGGAGCGTTGCTGGCCGGATATTGCATAACAGCGGTCTGTGTGGCTGGAATTGAAAATGTTCCAGCAGTCGGAGGCATTTCTCGATATCGTGGACGAGCACGAGTACGACCACCCGCGCTGTCTCGGTAGGATGCTGTTGGTACGCGTTTCGGGCGCCAAAGGGCTTCTAGAATTCTATACAAGCGCCTCCAATCGTCCTATTTCGAATTCTAAAATAATCCCTACGTGATTGAAGCTGTCAGTGGTCGATGCGGGGTCCAAAATGTGGTGGGGATCTCAAGTCCAAGTTAGCGGTCAAACCTTGGACCCTGCGCCATTTCTGGTGTCTATTCCTAAAACATCTGATGGGACGTCTGAGACGTTCAAGGACACACAAAGCGCAACGGGACGTCCACAGAGCGTCCAGAACGCGTGTAAGTGACCACGCATGCGTCCGCGGCGCCACTAGTCGCACAAGGACGCGCAAATGCCGCAAAAATATTAATTAACCCTTTCCCAGGCTAGAACAAGAGACCTCGATCAAATTCAGTTACATGATCTTCGTCCTGCCATACGCGCCGCCCTCGAACACCAGCCCTGAACAGCGAAAAGCCCGGATTGGCACAGCACTACTGTGTTGAGTGTGCTCGATATTTCGAGGTTAGTTCCCTTGTGTCATTGTCCTTACGACGCCTGCCTCATAAGAATACCCGCTTCTCTACAGAGCGACGTCGCCCTCCGATCGCATTGGCGCACCAAGCTTCACAAAAGACGTCTCAAGCGCCTGCAGGAACCGGCATATACGATCGAGGAGGCGGAACGTGCCGCTGGGCTGGGCCGAGAATTGCGGACACCAACTGTTTCTACCGCTGTCTGACGCCATTGCCAAGGGGTATATACGCTAATTCCTACGTCATCGTTGATTTTTGGGTAGTTATCGGACTCTCCCTTGCATGCTTAGAGTCCTTACCGTTTGTAATACGGGTATATTTCCGGTCACCGGAATGAAGTACATGCGTTACAGTGATCGATGCTAAGCAAAGGAGAATATCAAGTTTCTTCCGTTCGGCCACCTTCCGCCATCCTCCAAGTCGCATACCGTGCCACCGGCTCCTATGGCCAGAATTTGATTTCCGTGGTATCGAAACAAACGCAACCTCAGGAAAACGTGCTGGGAAGCCGTCAAGGGTGCTGAAATAGATAGCATGGCATTGATCACCCCCGCCGTTTCAGCCAACCGACATGATCGCCTTCCTAAATGCTCCCCAGGAGGCATTTATTTCCAAATGTGTTCAATTAAAGAGGCACCGTTTCGAATGTAGCTTCTCTCCCTCTGGCTGGCCCTTCCAATGGACACAACTAATTAAAGGTAGGCGTCCACCGAAGCGGATCCTCTTATTTATGCATTCTATATCCTTACTCCGAACAGAGCGGTGAGTGATCTATTCAAATGCGCTGTCTCTTTGACGCAGACGAGCAACGGCCCACTTGGCCACGCAAAAGGCAGTCCTGTCCAAAACAACATTTACATATTCCGTGCTTCCTGCCCCATAATCACCCAGAAACCTGTCACCGTTGACAGTGCCGACGTATATATAAGCGCGATCCCGCCACCAGTCAAAGTCATCTTCATTTCGAACAATGTGCTACAGAATTCTCCTCACCGAGCTCTACAGAGGCTGTGGGCATTCTCATTTTCGCCAACCGTGAGCGGCGCTCGATAGTCGGTTTACATAACTAACGATCACTGATAGGTTTGTGGATTGTAACAGCCCTAATTGTGTCCGTAGTGAGTATCATACCACGCAGAAGCATCAATGTACTCTCACCTGCAAGCAAGCGTAAGTGCCATCAAGAAGACCAATGCCGACGCCTGATCATCACATAGTCTGAACGCCGATAAGACGGTTGTTGAAGAACATGGAGGTCCATGTCCTGTCTGCAAGTAGGCAGAGCTCTTTCATCTATATACCCAACCAATCGTGTTTCTTGTCCCGCCCATTGACATGGCGTCGTCTTTACTTTCTTGTATATGTCGTGTTTCGCCCATACGGCCCAAATGATACCCGTACATCTGATCTAACGATCCCTACCGTAAGATTAAGCGCGTCGGAAGATCCCAGAAGGTTCACGGTTCAGCCTTTGTCCGCTATCAGTGGCGTTAGGCTTTGTCCAATCCTAGTTGTCATGCCGAATAAAACCCTGGCCACTGATGCGGCAGTACAAGTCGCCGCCTTTGTTATCACCCACCGATAGTCCCGCAGATTTGAGCAGTATCCGGGCCGAGATGAGCTACCTAGCTCTTGCAAACGCAAAAGTCCGTATTGGCGCTCTCCCTGCATATACCGGGTGGCGTCGTTTACACAAAGCATCCTCATACCTCCTCATGTAATATCCAGAATTGGTGGCGCTGTAATGGCGGCGAGTGGAGCCTTTCAGGTCGAGTAAATGCGAGCCCGCTTGCCTGCCTCTGGGAGTTAGTCGAAATGTTATAGATTGAAAGGCATGCCTGTCAGGTTACTTCGTTACTGCGCAGCTCCAACTAACGAATGATGGCTGGAAGCCCAGAGCGTCCATAATGACCCTTGATAAATATAGCTGATTGTGTCCATCTCTCATGCCACTAGATGGGTTCAACACCCCTTACCGACATGAATGGCCCTGATAGTCGGTTCCAAAGCCTCGAATAATCACGAGTGCTGCGACCCCCCTGGCCACCCACCATCACGGATGACACAAAACGGGACAACAGGAGGGGGTGACACAACTCGAGGCCTCGATAGTAGCGTGGAAAGCAGCCCGGTAAAATATTTTGGGGGAGTTTCGGGATGCCTGATCGCGTAAATGACCTGTGATCACTCCGCGGTTCATGTGAACCTGTGTCTCAACTGAGAGAGTGCGGCAATTCTAGAGTTATGGATACACGGCCTATTGGTCCATCAGGATATCTCCGTCAATTGTCGTGCCAGCAATGGTCATTGGATACAAGGAACAGGCGGGAATCAGTAAAATTGGCAGTCACGATAAGTTCTCGAACAGTTTAGGCTCTTCAAATTCTGTCGACAAGGCCGGGGCTGGGCGGCAGGGGCGTTCGGATCAAATGCTTTGGCCACCTCTGGCCCACCTTCAAATGCTATATTGAGCAAGTATTGACAGCCAAATACGGGTTCAACACGCTGTGTCGTAAAGCGGCGGCACGGCCCCAGCACGGTCGACAGGACCAAGAGAATTTAGAACTGAACCTTAGCTGTATGACAAGGATAGGAAGATAACGAGTAAATGAATATTTCTGAATGATTTTCAACGGCTTGCGGAAGTAGGCGCGCCTTCTAGACATGATAGCTCCCGGCGCGTGGTCGTGGGTCTAGATCCCGGCTGGAGCAACGAGACACGGTAATCCCAATTGAGTGCACACGAGGAGCATCCTGAAGTGTAAGCCCTTTCTTGCCCACCTATCGACTCGGGAATGCATAGGAGAGAGAGCCTATTTGGACAGTAGAAGTACCCAAAGTGAGTCAAATCCATATTCCTAGTAAGCTTGGTGATGACTGTATTCCGCTCAACAGCAAAAGTCAAGGTCGAGGTTGAGGCCAAAGAGAGTAGCAAATTGGGGGTCATGGGGTTTTACGACCCATGCGAAAATAACGGCATTCATTCAATTTGAAATGGGAGAATACTGGTGTACATCGTCATATACAGAATTCATTGTGGCCTCGACGTCAGAACAAGCCCGTTACCAACCAAGCCCCGCCTTAAAAAATGCCTACGGGTTTAGGGTTCTCTGTTTTGGCATGTAGGGTTATGCCTCGAGCCGCGAACTCGTCGACTTGATTTTGCAGGGCCTCGTCTATCGTTGATTGGTGAATGTCGGATAGAACGAGCTCCCGGAGTTTGGGTAGTTTTCCTGTAGCTATGATTTCCAGGAGGTAAGAGGCATCTTCTGATGAGAGCCGAGAGACCTCGAGGATCTCCAAGTGACCGAAGTGGTGTTCCATCGAGTCATGTGCGACGACTCCCACAATCTTGAACTCGGATACCTTCGGGAAATTCCTGAGTATCATCCACATGTTATCGGTGCTGGATTCTGCGTTGAAGACGAGGCGGGTGATAGTGGCCTTCGATTCGAACTGGGCGGCGAAGAATGCATCCGAGCCGCGTTCAGGTATAGATAGTGTCGTGAGTCGAGGCGACTCTATCAACTCCAAGAGCTTTGTCCCTTGGGATCCAGGATGGATTGAGTGCAACTTTGGGGCCGACGCCGAATCGCTGGAATTGGTTGGCCAGGATGCAGTCTCATATGTGAGGATGCACTGGGCAATGTCATCAGCTCTGAAAAGACGAGCTGTTCTGATTGGAGGGAGCGGGGCAAACGTAGGCGCCCCTGTCCGCACTGCTTGAACGTGGACCATCTCGAGAGATCTGAGGCTACCGATGATTTGTATTAGGTCTTGCTCTGTCATATCTGCCAAAGAGTTGGCGAAGACTTGCAAGTTGGTGAGGTTACTTGCGATCTGCATCCAGAGAGTCGAGTATGTTGGTAGTGGTGAGTGATAGGAGGTATTGGGTGGACTATGAAGTACGAGAATTTGTAGCTTGGGACAGGCAGTTAGGAGAGTGGCTAGCGCGTGCGTAACCCATGGCCACTGGTCCTTCCAGCTTGCCACTCCAAACCTTTGGGATCGGTGGCCAAGGGCGATGTCTAATCTTAGGCATCTTTCTCCTCGGAATATTTTGTAGGTAGTCGAACTAAGCATCGTCTGAAACGACCGAATGGCCGGAAAGAGCTGCTCAACTCTGAAGATGACGATGGATTCGTACAAAAACTCCTCCATGAGCTCCTGAAATGTTTTGCAGACGCGCCCTAATGCCAATTTGAACGATATGCTCGCGGCTATCTTGTTCGCGACCTTCAGCGCCTGTGGCGGATCAAATTGCTCGATGACCGCCGTTTCAAACGCCGCCGGCATGCGAGTCGAGATTTTCAATATGACCCGAACTAGCTCATCAGGAAGAGGTAGCTCTGCACGAGGTGGGCTGGGCTGAGACATAGTGGTGGAAGGAAAACCCTAGCGCTTGCTTGGGCTTATGTTGATTCGTTCTTGGTGACCCCTATATGCTGCATGCCGCTTATGTCCTCTCTAAGTGGTAATCTTGATCAAACAGACCAATAGACACTGGACTCTGCTCACAAGTGACCCAACACCATAGAAGCTCGAAGGACCAGTACTGTGGTTCGATGGACAGTTCACGAGCCTATATCTACCTTTACCTTGTATATGTCAGCCACTATGGACACTTGTCACAAAGTTTGTGAGAACTGACCGCGCAGTTGGACAAGACGGTGGACGGTCATCCAACCCTGTCAGACGCGACGTTGGAGACGAAAATCCTCCAATTTATCGCATAGATTCTGATCTGGCTCTTCATAGGTCCCGCATTAGCAGAACCAGGCGGAATGGTGTCATGCTCGCTCAACATGCAAGGCACCGTTGTACAAAGCGAACAGGGACCTGTTTACATATTTAAGTGCATTAGCAATCATTTCTCAACCTCCACATCCATGAGGTACATGGGAACCTACGCACAGTAAGCATACACGTACTCCTAATCAACGGAGGCTCCCCTTGAGCGAACAGGATAAAATAATGATATTAAAGGCACTGTTGGTTGGCCAGATTCACTGGGCCTTTGGAGGGGTGTCTATAGTTTTTGCTCCAGAGTCTAGACAGACTCCCTGGGACCCTGACGCAGGATAGTGGTCATACTCAGCAGCATAAAAACTAGACATGAAGAGATCTCCTTGAAATCCCTATGGCAAAGAAAAAGCGGGGAAGGTCAAACTTTGGCGCGGGGGTTGAGCAACCGGACCTAGGCACAAAGCAAACGGCCCGCTAGATCGCAAACTAGAACACGATGGATCACGTAGGAGATCCTACAGGTGACATATCCTCGTCGTCGCTTCCTGAATCTGACAGCGCAGGTGCTTGTGCTAGTCCAGGTAGTCCTCCTCCGAACCCGCCTAAATCCCTTCCATTCCCAATGCTCCCACTTCCACCTCCGGTTCCACTCCCCGATATCGAGCCTGTAGTCGAAAACATCGCTTTGAACGCCAGCTCGTCCTTGACCTTTCGCTTTCGTTCGGCCTCCTCCGTCCCTCCTGTCATCTTCAGTTTCTTCCCCTTTACAAACCCAGCCAGCTCTTGCTGAAACTCGTCCGACCGAGACATGAGTTCCTTCTTTCTAGCCAGTTGATTCTGCTCGATAGCTTTGAGTCGACGCTGGGGATCCACTTGTGCTCCCCGAATCTCTAGCATCACAGTGCTTAGTCCCCCATGTCCTTCTTCAGGAGGTGGTGGTCGGAACGATCGAGATCGTCCGGCTCCTGTCCCACGAAGTGAGATCACCTTCTCCACATGTCCAAAGATCTCGCTCAGCGCCTTGTTGTCTTCGATCAGATCCTCGATCAGCTTCTCTTGGTGTCCCAAGAACTGCTGCTCCTCCATGATATTCTGCAGCTCTTGCTCCCATGTCTTCTTCCATGAAGGTCGTACTGTCGTGATATGCGCTTTGAGATCCTCGAGCTCCTTTGTCGTCGCGTCAATCGTTGCCCGCAGTCGCTTCGTCGTGTCCACCTTTGGCATAATCTGCCTTTTGAGGACATCATCCTTCAAACTCTCCACCGTATCCTCAAGATCATTGATATCCGACAGAAGGTTTTGACTCCGCTTGTCTAGGCGCGCCTTGCCAGCGTCGATGGACGCACGAGCTCCGCCCACCTTGGTATTCGCTACTTGGCGAATCGACGCTGCTTGCGTACGAAGCGCACCAAGCGACTCCTTTGTCGAATTGGTAAAGTCGACATAGATCTGTCGCATCACTCCGAGATCTCGTCGAATGTTTTGCACCTCATCGAACTGAGACTTGAGATCGTTGACTATCCGTCCAGACGTTACACTGCCCACGTCGGAGGTTCCCGTCATCTGGGGTACCAATGGTGGGAGAGCGGTCGCTGCGCGTGACTGTGTTTGGGCCTTGACAATCCGTTGAGCCATGTTCTGAAACTGTGTCTCATTTGGACGAGTGGGAGTTACGGCGTTGTCCCCGAGCATTGAAAATGTGGGTGGTCCAGAAGTCAAGGGGACTCTCCGTGAGGCTGCAACGGTCGACTTGAGGTCTTTAATCTCTTGGGATAGATTCGCGATCTGAGTGTCGATATGCTGCTTGATTTGATCCAGTGCTACAGGGTCATATTAATATCGTCCACCATTCAAGGTGGCAATCACTCACGTTCAATGTTCAACGACAGCAAACACTTTTCCTTCACCTCTGAAACGTCTTCCAGCTCATATTGCACTCCACTTGCTGGATCTCGGATGTAAATCTCCGGGAAGTTTCCACCTCCTGGGTTGTACATGAACTTGTTCATGAACAGAACACGCAGGGCGGCAAACGACGTGACGGGCTCCATCACAACCTTCTTCACCTGGCGTCCGACTTGGAAGTATACCGTCATTTCTTTAGGTGGTTCTGGTCGGTCCATGCGCGATGAAGTAGCATTGACACTCTGCCCAGTAAGTTTCCCTTCCTCTGTCGGTTTCTCAGTTCCTGGAAGCTCTGGCACAGGTGGTTCGACTGGTTCCTCGATCGTAGCCATCCTTCGTTTCCGCTCAATGCTCCGCGTCCGACCTAGGTCTCTCGATGATTTGGAGATGGAGTCCTCTTCTGTAGTTTCGTCCGCCTCTGTCAATGCTGCCAAATCCGCGGTCGTCAACAGAGCACCTGCAGCGACCGATCGCCGAAGGTTGGAAGCACTGAGAGAAGAACCCATATTAGATCCAGCCATCCTTGACATTGTATATGTCGAGAATCGCTTCGACGCTCGTCGCTGGAGAGCTTCGCTCTGCTTCAGCGCGGCTAGGGACGACTCGATTGCGGGCGTCGACTCGCTTTCCGGAACGCCTTGCCGATTATCTGATATAGAGCTCTCCACGGGAGGGGGAGATGTTACTGCCATTGCGAACGAAGTCGGAGGTTTGTCTTGAAGAGAATATCTTGGCATGTCCGAAGGAATAATATCCTTTGGTTCCATCTTTGGTGTGGGTAGGATCTCTTTGGACATTTGAGGTGGAGGAGACCGTATAGAGGAGAAGCTGGAGGCCTCCCTCACAGACCTAAACGACGGATTTGTGCGCGCTGTTTCGGGACCCGTGTCAGGGAGTACCGGAGTCGCAGATGTCGATCGAGTGATTTGACCGCGTCGTTGGAACGGTGAGTGCGTCTGAGGTGATCTGGATGGACCATCTTGCGGGATGGGAGGTATAGGAATGGGAGCACCTCGAGCCGAAACGCTGTTCGACCGCCGCTCTGAATCAGAGACAGCAGCTTTACGAGGATCTGTTGGTCGTCGCGAACTCGAAGAGATTTGGCCTGATGCTAAATTTCGCGAGGATTGATTGACGCCAATTCCGTCCTGAGAAACCGTGCCGTCCTCACGAGTGGGTCTGCCCCAGGACGGTCGAGCCGGGCGAGACGAGTCGCCAGCGGATATAAGAGCTCTATAGTCATCTTGCTTCCTTCTGAGAGCTTCGTGAAGTCGAACGATGACTTGACGGACGCTGGGCAAATAGAGATTGAGATTGGCCTGAGATTGTTCTCCTTTCAAGCATCCCTCTAGTATACGCCTAAGCTCCTCCGGCACATTCACAAGGTCCCTGGGGTGAGGCAAGATTAGCAATACTCCTGAAGGACTGTGATGAACACACGTTACGGGAATCCCAACCGCCTTGAACGCGTTCACAGCGGCGATATTATCGTTTCCGAGTTGAACGTATAGGTCACTTATTTGTGCATCTTCCACTCTACCAATACCCCAGTTCTCAAGGCCCTCCATCAAATTGTTCATTGAAACTTGAAGGCGTGTCACTCGAGACTCCACACCTGCAGACTAGTATATCCATTATCAGCTGTCTTGCTCCCCAATGTACTTCCGCCCATACCTGCTCGTCATCGTTGCTCCGCGAGATGTCATCTGGGTTTCGTCGACCTTCGCTGTCGGATTTCGAGTGAGCGATGGCACTTGGGCCACTCTTTAATGGTCTATATCTTGAGGGAGTATAATCTGAGACAGCAGTCCGGTTGGTTGGTCGCTGTGCGGACATGCATACAGCTCCAAGTTTGCGACGCGCCTGTTGTCGGCTAGTCTAGACTCAGACCCTCGGATTTGATTTGTATCCATAGATAACATTATTAGTCGGGCCAATCTTGTCATTAACTTGGTCTTGCCCAAGTTCACGAACAAGGCAAGGGTCGAGTTGCAATTTGGTCCCCCAATGTGGCATCGAAGATTGCAAACCCAATCTGTCGAGTCGTTTGCAATTTTTGGTCAACACATTACACGACTACTTTCGCAGATCTGATTCTGGAAACGAACAAATAGCCATAAATATACTAAGATGGATGCGTGGAAGAGGTAAGTATGGCCAATTCACCTCGTATCTTGGATGCTTGTGCTATATTGCTCGGCCAATTAGAGTCACAGTTACTGCGACAGTAAGCTGCATCTGAAATACTCTTATAAACTCGTTCAAGGTAGCCGATAGCTATCTGTAAGCTGGTGTCGATGGTGTCGTGACAGAGTCCAAGCACGCTTGATCTCTGCCATGTCCGCCCAGCGACCGGGTTCTCGAACGCCCATCTCGGATTATAGCTCCTCAAGGCATAGACCATCAGGGAGCGTATCTAGTACTGTCAGTCACCCAAGATCTGATGGCGAAGGCCGACGAGACGCGAATGGTGTATCACGGAGTGGCCATAGCAAGCGCGTAAGGGCGGAAATACACCATCAAGAGAAAGAGCTAACAACAGGAATTTCAGTCTGGAGGAGTGGAATCCAGTGTGACGCGCCTTTTGGTCTCAATCAAGAAACTGTTGGAGGGCCTCGAGAACTGGAGCAAGGGCGACGTAACAGATACTCAAATCAGTGATCTATACGTTCGATTTGGAAACGATTTCAATACCGCTCTTTCGGCGTTTGATTCGTGTGGGATTGACATGGTGTATGTTCATCATCTCTCCACAGTTGGCACAGGCTTTCATCGCTCACATTTGTACCAGCGACCTCAAAGGTGTCCCAGACGACCTCAGGGATATACTAGAACGATGTTTAGCTGAGGAAGCATCCCAAGAAAGCCTAAGTATCTACTTGCCTGGTGTCCGCAAGATCATCACTCGACTGCTCGAGGGTCTTCGGAGAAAACAGGATGAATATCGAGTCCGCGAGCCTACCAGCGGTTCCAGCCGCTCTCGTCGATCGTCTAGAACCGAGCTACCATATGAAGATGGCGCCCGTACGGACGATGGCTCCCAAACTCCAAGGCAAGGCAGTAGTCGCGGCTCTCGAACATTAGTGTCAGGGGAAGCACCATCTTCTTCTAGTTCGCGTCGACCAACAGATCCTCGTAGAGCTGCTGTCTCTGATTCAGAGCGTCGGTCGAATAGCGTCTCGGCCCGAGGTGGTCCTATTCCTGTACCTCCCATCCCACAAGATGGCCCATCTAGATCATCTCAGACCCGCTCACCGTCCCAACGACGTGGTCAAATCTCCCGTTCGGCGTCTGCTACGCCAGCGCCACCGGACACAGACCCTGAAACACCACGCACGAATCCATCGCCCAGGGCTATGAGACAGGTCTCTAGTTCATCTTCCACGTCGTCTCCCCCACCCCAGATACCTAAAGAAATCTTATCCACACCGAAGGCGGAGCCAAAGAATATCATCCCACCAGAAATGCCAAGGTATTCTCTACAAGACAAGCCTATGACTTCGTTTTCAATGGAAGTCACATCTCCGACGTCCCCTCCTGGGGAGAGTTCGATGACGGACAATCGGCCAAGTACCCCAGAAAGCCAACCAACGCCTGCAGTAGAATCGTCTCTAGCTGCATTGAAGCAGAGCGAGGCTCTCCAGCGACGAGCGTCGAAGCGATTTTCGACATACACAATGTCAAAGATGGCTGGATCGAGCATGGGTCCTTCTCTCGGTGCATCGAACCTCCGGAGATCAGTAGCGACAGGTGCGCTGTTGACGGCGGGGGATTTGGCAGCATTGACAGAGGCGGACGAGACTGCAGAAGAAGATTCGATGTCAAAGTCGTCAAAAGACCTAGGACGAAAGCGAAGCATCGAGAGAAGGCAGAGGATGACTACAATCGATGAGCCATTTGAACCACCTGTGCCGGCACTTCCAGGAGCTGAAAGGCCGATGGACGAGAACAAGCCTATCACTAATGGTGTTGACGCTGCCGGATCCCGGGCAGACCGACCAGAATCACCTAAAGAGATGACGGTATACTTCCAAGTCGGACGCCAGGTGAAGAAGGTTGTGATGGAGCCCGTCACGTCGTTTGCCGCCCTGCGTGTTCTGTTCATGAACAAGTTCATGTACAACCCAGGAGGCGGAAACTTCCCGGAGATTTACATCCGAGATCCAGCAAGTGGAGTGCAGTACGAGCTGGAGGATGTTTCAGAGGTGAAGGACAAGTGTTTGCTGTCGTTGAACATTGAACGTGAGTGATTACCGTCTTGCATGTTGTCGATATTGATATGGCCCGCCCTGTAGCGCTGGATCAAATCAAGCAGCATATCGACACTCAAATTGCGACTCTATCCCAAGAGATCAAAGACCTCAAGTCTACTGTCGCAACCTCACGTAGGGTTTCATTAACTCCTGGGCCACCCGCGTCACCAGGAGTTGTGAACAGCATCGTTTTCCCGACTCGTCCGAGCGAGAAGCAGTTCCAAAACATGGCTCAACGGATTGGAAAAGCGCAGGCACAGTCACGCGCAGCGACCGCTCTCCCACCATTGGTACCCCAGATGACGGGAACGTCCGACGTAGGCAGTGTAACATCCGGACGGATAGTCAACGATCTCAAGACCCAGTTCGACGAAGTGCAAAACATTCGACGAGATCTCGGTGTGATGCGACAGATCTATGTCGATTTTACCAATTCGACAAAGGAGTCGCTTGGTGCGCTTCGTACGCAAGCAGCATCGATTCGCCAAGTAGCGAATACCAAGGTGGGCGGAGCTCGTGCGTCCATCGACGCTGGCAAGGCGCGTCTAGATAAACGGAGCCAAGACGTATTGTCGGACATCAATGACCTTGAGGATACGGTAGAGAGTCTGAGGGATGATGTCCTCAAAAGGCAGATTATGCCAAAGATGGACACGACGAAGCGACTGCGGGCAAAGATTGATGCGACGACAAAGGAGCTCGAGGATCTCAAAGCACATATCACGACAGTACGACCTTCGTGGAAGAAGACGTGGGAGCAAGAGCTGCAGAATATCATGGAGGAGCAGCAGTTCTTGGGACACCAAGAGGAGCTGATCGAGGATCTGATCGAAGACAACAAGGCGCTGAGCGAGGTCTTTGGACATGTGGAGAAGGTGATCTCACTTCGTGGGACAGGAGCCGGACGATCTCGATCGTTCCGACCACCACCTCCTGATGAAGGACACGGAGGGTTGAGCACTGTGATGCTGGAGATTCGGGGAGCACAAGTGGATCCCCAGCGTCGACTCAAAGCTATCGAGCAGAATCAACTGGCTAGAAAGAAGGAACTCATGTCTCGGTCGGACGAGTTTCAGCAAGAGCTGGCTGGGTTTGTAAAGGGGAAGAAGCTAAAGATGACAGGAGGGACGGAGGAGGCAGAGCGGAAGCGAAAGGTCAAGGACGAACTGGCGTTCAAGGCAATGTTCTCAAACACGAGCCTGATGTCGGGGAGTGGAAATGGAAGTGGGAGCATGGGAGGTGGGATGGGTAGTTTCGGCGGGTTTGGGGGAGGACTACCTGGACTGGCACAAGCACCTGCGCTGTCAGATTCAGGAAGCGACGACGAGGATATGTCACCTGTAGGATCTCCTACGTGATCCATTGTGTTTCTAGTTTTTAGTCTGCTGTTTCCTCATCTTCTGTTCCGTAAACCAAGCCATGTATGTTGAAAAGAAATCTGTTAAGAGCTTATGTACTAGTTTGGCTTTGGGTTATGAGAACTCTGACTTCGGCCTTGCATCAAATTTTCTCAAAATGCCTCGGGTGAAGCCACAACAAAAAACTGCGGAGCGTATATTCCATCCACTTTCGCGCAAAGCTGGTCAACTCGAGCGAGAGACTTTACGCAAGGCAAAACTTGCGGCCCAAGTGGCGAAGCGCGGCAAAAAGAAAACGATTCAGGGTGAGTTGACGATTGGGATCAAATTTGTCATTAATTGACGATTGATACTGAATCTTCGACCACTAGCGGACAGATATGCCTTTTTCCTTCATGCACTTCCTCCGGACATCGAATCACTGAGCCTAGCCGACCTTCACGAGCTTATTCGAGACGTATGGCTCACAAGACACGACCTTGCTCTCGAGGAGGAACAAGCGAGTCGACGCAAGGGACGTCCCAAGAGCACCAAAGAGGACAAGCTCGAGGAAGCTAAGAGAAGAGATGCAGAAGAATATGCAACTGGACTCGAGCTACCTGATCTAACGGATGCACGCACGGTTCGTCTTTTTCGACAATGGGACGGCAGCGACGTGAACTACCTGTCAATTCTACGACTTATACGCGTCAGCGGCACGCACCCGGATGTCATTCACGTTGCTCGGGTCGGTCGCGACAAACCCGCTGGCACGTCGGATCGACAGCCAAGTGGGGACGGAGAGATGGAGGTCGATAAAGAGGAGGCACTGCGGGTCTCACGACCCGGAAGCACGATGCTCTCCATGGACGAGATTCCAGTGTGAGACGTCGGATTGTCTCAGAACTTGGCTGAGGCAGGGTGGCGAAACACTGCATGATGATTGCGGCTCCTCTGAAGAGCGCGCTCCGTGTGAATTCCGACGACGGCTGGTAAATCCACAATAACGGTAGACAGATTGACAGCGTAACCCGATGTGAAATAAAAGGCCCTTTACGCCAGTCACCACTCTGACCCCTCCACGATTACGACACTCCTCCAGTCCCTCTTAATCTTATACTAAACTACAGACATGAGCTACGGTCCTCCATCTGGTCCTCCTGGCGCCCCGCCACCGGGCTTTCATCCTGGTTCTGGCTACCCAGGCGGCCCACCGCCAGGCTGGGCTGGCCCTCCAGCGCAGATGGGGCCTCCTCCAGTGATGAGTCCTCCTCCTGGACAAGGTCCCGGTGGTCCAGTTTTAGCTACGAGCTCTGTCGTCGCCGACACGACTGGTGTCTATGAAGGAGCGCAGTATCGCATCGACCACCGCGATTCGAACAGTACGCAGATACCACATCGATTGATTTATTGAATCTGAATTATCTTTCCTATAGGTATTCTGCAGATCACCCTCCAGCAAGGCTACCAGATCAAGAGTAGGCCAGGAGCAATGGTGGCAATGAGTGCAAGTGTTCAGATCAAAGGCTCTATGAAGATTTCACTCAGTAAAATGATTACGGGTGGCGAGATGTCTGGTACGTTCACACGTTTGTCTCTTCCTGTGATATCTGACGCACGGCACAGAGAGCAAATACACCGTACGTGCTTCATACGACGAAAGGTACCGACTTCACCTAGCTATAGGGACCTGGGGAGGTCATCCTCGCTCCAGAGGTTTGGGGGGATATTGTACCCATCCAGATCCAGCCGAATACAAGCTGGTCTGTTGGAAAGGATGCTTACCTAGCTTGTACCGCCAATGTCACGAGATCCACAAAGTCGCAAGGCTTCATGAAAGGACTCAGTGCGCTCAATCCTCCTTTCAGAGTTGGGCGATACTGACACATTACAGTGTCCGGTGAAGGCTTCTTCGTCGCCCGCGTTGAAGGTCAAGGTGTCCTCTTTGTTCAGAGCTTGGGAGCCATCGTACGCCGAGACTTGCGTCCAGGTGAAGAGTGGATTGTCGATAATGGTCACCTTGGTCCGTAGCGTTCACCTCAAGTGTCTGTCTACTCACAACATATCAGTGGCTTGGAGTGCAAGTTATACTATGGAACGAATCCAGACGACGGGTGGCGGATTCCTCTCTGGATCCCACACTGGCGAAGGAGCAGTGTGTCGCTTCAGTATGCTTTCTATTCATTCTACCCCCCTTGCATTCTAATAGTATTTTAGGGGGTCCTGGTACCGTGTATTTGCAAACGAGAAACCCTCAGAGTCTGGGACAGTGGATCGCGGCTCAAGTTCCACGACAGGGCTAGTAAGCCATCTCCTTCTGACACACGGAAGCTGACCAAGTCAATGTAGGAGGTGGAGGTGGGGGAGGATCCGGTTTCGGCGACTTTGGATTTTGAAATATGTGAATGTGAATTACGCATATGTGCCGCAATACAGCCAACGTATGGTCAAATCTGTTTCAGGTTGACAAAAGAGTGTCACCGCTCTTGGTGAAATGCCTTTTCAATCTCCATCACTGCTCGCAGCAGAGAACGGTCGCTGCCCCACTGGCCGACTAATGAAATACCAATCGGCCATCCGTCACTGGCGCTTCCCGAGGGAATGCTGACAGATGGTAGCCCTGCTAGCGATGCGGGTACCGTTAGGATGTCTTGCATGTATGATTCCAGTGAATTGCTTGAAGACGGGTCGTCCAGCTTTGGTGCAGTCCGGATAGCTGAAGGGTGCAGTATATAATCAACTTTATCTTGTGGTGAACCGCCCTCTGATTGAGCCAGTGGATTCGGCGATTCGAAGACTCTGTCAAAGTCCGCTCGTATTCGCAGTCGAAGGCGCTGAGCTTGTAGGAAATAGTTGTCAAACGCACTTTACGGAATAAGAAAATATGATCTCGTCAGATATCCATAACTTACGCAGCAGTCAATGCATATGTCCCGAGTAGAATCCGTCGCTTGACCTCTGCACCGAAATTCTTTGACCTCGTAAGCGCGTAGATATCTCCAACTGTCCCATTGAATGTACTATCGGGCTCGGCGTGCTCCCCGTACTCGACGCCATCATAACGTGCCAGGTTGCTGCTGGCTTCGGCGCTCGAGATGACATAGTAGGCACTGAGGGCATATCTTGTAGACGGCAAAGATATAGGAACTAGCTTCGCTCCCGCCTTGCGTAGCAGCTCGAGGCCCTTTGAAAACTCTTCGGTAATGGAGACGTCGAGTTCGGTGGGGAAGTATTCCTGTTCCTCTTAAGAGAGAGATAATATGTAAAACATGAATACGTACCATTGGAATACCTATTCGGATACCGTCCAGAGACATGTAGTCGTTTGACGGAAGCCCTACTCGAATCTCGTCCGTAACACATGTAGGGTCGGCCGGATCGTGAACAGATAGAACATCTGACAATGGAGACGTTATTTATGCATGATGCTCTGATGAAAACTACCGAATGCCGTGCTAAGCGTCTCGCTGTCGCGTGCAAGAATGCCAACGCAGTCCAGGCTATCTGCAAACGAAACCACTCCCCATCGACTGATCATTCCGTAGGAAGGCTTCATCCCGAGTATGCCACAGTAGGCCGCAGGCAATCGAATCGACCCTCCAGTATCGGTCCCCAGCGCACTATAATATCGTCAGAAGTGAACAGTACTCGGGTAAGGAGGATACGAACAAGTCACATAATCCCATGGACACCGCTGCGGCGCTCCCCCCGGAACTTCCGCCTGCAGACCTCCTTTCTCGTTCCCGCCAACGTGGAATGTCTGTTATCGCAAGGGGGAGAGGATGCGGATTGAGTACAGGTCCATGCGAAGAATGTACGTTGGCCGAACTGTTCAGATAATGTCACACAATCTACTTGGACAAAGAGTATCAATTATCCACGCACCCCATGCCAAATTCATCGCAGTTAGTTTTACCAACAATTGAAACGTTTGCTTTCTTCAGTAGTTTGACCACGGTGGCATCGTATGGTGGATAAAATCCTATCTAGTTCGACTTTGTCAATCCATGTCCGTTCATTCGAGCCAGACCTTACGTTGAAGCATGGGCGAGGCACACGTCGTTGCAAAGTCTTTGGTACATATATTATCCTTGATAGCAACCTTGAGCCCCGAGCTCTCTATTTCGCCTATGGACAGTCAGATTGTTTTGCGTAGAAGTAGAACCTGGTGCCAACCGTATGGCGAAAGAAGTGCATTTACGCCTCCTGTTCCAGAATTGAGTGAAAAAAGCTCCTTCCAAGCAAGCTGAGGATTGCCCCTTGGCTTGCTAGCAGTCAATAACCGGCAACTGGCTCGCATGGGTCGGGACCAAAACTGGCCCAACCTTGCACCAGCTTCACGAGACTCATAAACGCGTGTATCAATAGTAAACAGTCATCTATAATGCAGGAGGCGTGGCGCGTCCATAATAGACGGAATAAAAATGACAAAGTCGGCACTACAAGAATTATCGTCTATCCTCTGTGGAAATCGTACCCAAGAAAACGAGAACAGGGGAACAACTATCGGACAGCGACCGTCTCCATGTACTGCTGCGAGACGCCACGGCGATTCCAAATCGTCTTGCCGTTTAGTCCTAAAACACTGCTCTGCTTCATAACCTCTTCTGGAGGAGATTTGGGTGGAGACGGATAGGGGTCGACAGCTACTTGTCCGTCGAGCGGCGGCGAAAAGATATATTTGGTCTTGTCGTACGAGTTGGCAGCAATGGTCGTGTTCAAGGGGGGCGGAGGATATTCTCGTGAGTAGGTTCGTGTATGCCGACCTTGTCCAAGGTGTGGTGCGTGAGATAGAGAGGGTTTTGCGTGATGTCGTGGGTGAGTAGGTAGGACCGGGAACTGTTCCTGTGGGCGTTGTCCTTCTGCAATCTTCTCGATTGAAACGGGAATCTCCTCCTTTGAGACTGGAATTGCCAGGTCTCGCATTGCTTCCACACGCCTTGCCTGCTTCTCCCCTCGCTCGACATCTCCCTTGGCTCTGTTGTAGAGCCAGAGACCGCCAAATGTGAGTAGAATTCCAAGACCCTGAACGGGGTGCACAGGCTGGCTGAACCAGGCGATGGCAATACATATAACCGCGATACGCTTAATGAGCGACGCGATTGAGTAGGTCACTGGGGATGTGGTAGCGAGAATAGCGAATGCAATGATGTTTTGGAGGAAATGAACCGTTCCGTTGGCGAAAAAGTAGTATGTCACCGAGTGTCCGCTGTTAACGACGTGACGATTGGCGGCAACGATGGATCCGGACGACCACCGATTGATGAGGGAGAACAAGTCGTAGTAAAGCCATATCGGAATCATGAGGATGAAGGCCATGCCCGACGAGTAGAAGAGGAGGTTGATCTTGTCAAGTCTGTGAGGTTGATTCAATCCAGACGAGTTTGTGGGCATAATCTTCTTGAAGAAGATGTTGGAGGAGACGAATATGATGGCTGAGCCAAATGCGCAGAGCAATCCAAGGAAATTGGACGCGGACATGTCAAACGTGCATGCGAGCATGACCCCGACGGTTAAAGGCAGCAGTGAGACATATGTCGACGTGGAATACTTGACACCAAAGAGCATCGCGTACGCGGCGACGGTGAAGAGCGGAGATAGGGCCTAATGAGCGGTCTAAATTCAGATACGCTGAGCGGAACATAGAGGGATACTGACCTTGATAGTGTGCACGGTGCTGACAGGTATTCTCGAAATTGCCATACTCGACGAAATATGGCCTCCAACTTGGAAAGCAGCCATTGGGAGCGTGCTGCGTATTATCGCCGGGGTTGGTCTCCGAAGTTTAGCAAGACGGAGGACAGGACTTGCAAGGAGCAAGCAGTAACCTGCAATAAATCCAAATTGCACAAAGGTCAGCGTGACGGGAAACTTGAAGATGACCATGATGGATTTGCCCGTGTTTGAAGAGAGTGCGCTCGAGGCGTACCAGAGACAGCACAGCAGCACAAATCGCACTGTCGATGCCTCTGCGCCTAATAAAGAGGTTGTACTGCTCGATGCGTCCTTCCATCCGCCTTTTGGCGCTGTGGGAGTCCAGCCATAGGCCACCACTGGCGGTTGAGGAACACGCATATGGCCTGGACTTTGAGCACGCCGCCGACGTTCCTCAGACCATTGCGACTCTCTGATTTCGTAAGATTTTTGCATATTTTTTGGCGTCCAGCGCTGGACGTGGTCGAGAGTAAGAACCAAGCCCACCGATTGGTTGACTTCGTTCACTGCATCGCGCACCGCCAGCTATAACGTCGGCCCCCATTTTGCGCAGACGAATAACAAGAAACAACGTAGAAAGTCTGGTTTAAAGGATATCTAAGGATCCTCAAGTTGGACGCTCTTGAAATAGTGAGTTTGCTGGTCTCACGAGCGAACAGCCTTAACTATTCACTATTCGGCCATTCAATGTAAATAAAAGCACTGATTGTGGATACATTTCAACCTGGAAGTAGCGTGTTGGGCCAGTTTGCACCGTCCTCGGTCTGATGAATGCAAGCGCGTAGCCGGGCGTATAGGCTGCACTAGATTACATTCCAAGGGCTGTAGGGGGATAAATTGTTGAACCAAGATCGCCATTGGACAGCCGATGTCCTCGCAACATGCGTTGAAATCGCAAACAATTCTTGGAATTTTACGAGCAGCGCATGGGCGATCCTTACATATTCCGATCGACAAAGTTTACGTGACATGCACTCTTGGCTCCCTTACGGGCGGTGCGACGCACCAAAACAGCAAGTGGCTGGCACACATGGCATCCACCATTAAGCTTTCTTCGGGTCCCCATTCCCCCTATATAACCTCCTGAATGTGGTTTACGGGCGATCCTACTCCTTCTCCCGCCCCCCGTTCTCACCACTGGCCGCTATCAACAGACGAGGTCACTTTTGACGAAGCTTACGACGTTACGACGTCTATCATGCCCCGAACGATTTATTTCCTCTTATTTTTGGTTCTCGGTCAGGCGAGCGCGGCTAGTGAGCGCTCGGGCGCGCATGCCCGCTCTCCTCGAGGCGTAGGCGATCTCTCGCAGAACAAGGCCGTAGGCATCGTAGGGCGACAGCTCGTGAGTATTGCATGCATTATACTCTCCTACTCACGCATTGCTTCAACAGGGGAGTGCAACTTCATCTGCAGCTGTGGTCAGTACCCTTGTGCCTTGATCTTGACGCGCTCACTCACATTGCCCCAGACTCCCGCATTACCAAGTGCGTCTTGTGATACTTCTTCGATGCTCCTTGCTCACTCGTGACAGTCACTATTCCTCCAGTTGTAATCCCAATCCCAACTCCCGGGTCCTCAAGTGCGTCTCCTGTTCCCTCTCCAACCCCCACCAATGAACCGTCTCCATCCCCTACAGTCAATAACCCTCCTGTTGTAATCCCACTTCCAACTTCCTCGAGTGCGTCTCCTGTTGCCTCCCCAACCCCCACCGATGAACCTTCCCTCTCCTCAACAGCAAATGTTCCCACTGTACCCACGGCTACTGCATCCTCAAGTGCGTCTCCTACTTCCTCATCAAACCCCACGAACGAATCCCCCCAATCCTCAACAGCAAATACTTCCACCCGATCCTCATCCTCAACAGCAAATACTCAATCCTCTTCCTCTTCCTCTTCAGTTGAAAATTCCCCCGCCGAATCTACCGAGTCTGGAAGTGCGTCAACTCCCACCGAACAACCTATCTCTTCGTCGGCATCCAATTCTTCATCTGCTTCATCTGGTTCTACTGTGATATTGACGCCGTTGGGCACATCAACAGCTACAGGGTCTTCAACTACAGGCACGGGCTCTGGGAGTGGGAGCACTCCTGCAGGTTCTTCTGGCAGTGGCACTGCGCCAACAGGCTCCTCAGGCTCTGGTTCGGGCTCTGGTTCGGGCACCCCGAATCCAACCGCCACAAATCCCACTGATGAGTCAAGTGGATCCGCGCCTTCTGGCTCTGCTAGCTCTGGATCGCCGACACCGCCAGGTAAGGGTGCAGTATCTAGTCATTGTAGGTTTCAACAGTTACCTAGTGATTACTCCTGGTTCTCCCACAACCAACGGTCCGCCGAGTGGCTCTAGCTCTAGCTCCAGTTCCAGCATCCATATCAATACGAATGCTCCTGTCCGTATTTTTTTTATCTCGTCGGATTGGGCTTACATCTGTGTAGCTCATTGTGCAACAAGCACCTCCCGATATAGTCAGCCCGGTCGTCCAAGTGGCGTACAACCCAGACAATGCATGGGAATCTACTAGCTCTGATTCTCCTCCTTCCTCATCCTCCTACGCGTCGACAACTGGTGTCGTCGGCGCGAACCCACCGACTGTGCACAATCCACCGAAACCGTCGTGCAACAATGGTACAAAAGTGGGAAATATGGTCGGAGCCTCCATTAAACTCAATTTTACTGGGGTCGAAGCGGCCTTGTTGTTTGTACCCTCAAAGCTGGGAGCAAGCTATTCGGTCAAGTTGGACGACTTGGAGGAAAAGGAATTCAACAGTTATAAAGAAGATTTCACCGCATGCGAAGTCAACCAGACGTGGTCGGTCACCGGACTGCCGAATCAATTGCATACAATCACTGTGACAATCAAGGGAGACGGGCTCTCTGCGGTCGTACCAGGTTCAGCAGCCGGCGGCACGCAGCTCGAGTATAGCGGGTTGATGTACGTGATCTATTCTTGCTCTTTCCTGTCTCACATAGGCCACAGATTCAAAGGTCCAACACCGATAACAGATCAACCACCTAGCTCAGGCGTCAGCAAGTGGGTGATTATAGGAGCCTCCATCGGTGGAGCCATCCTACTTATCGCAATCGGTATCACTGCATTCATTTGCGTCCGTCGGCGCCGTCAAAACCGCGTTCCACCGTCTCAAATGGTTCAGACGGAGCAAGCTGCCTTTGGGCACAACCGGCTCGCGAGCACGGCCACTACCATGGCACCTCCAGGAGGACGCCCAAGTTCACACCATCCTACGCCCGTGGGTAGTCCAACTCCACAGTTCCTACCATCCCCGCGTGTGGGACCCATGGACTCGACGTTTATCCCCTCTTCGAGCCCGCCCCAGTCACCTCCGCTGTCCCCACGGTCAATGTCGACGACGTGGCAAGAGTCCAGTAGCCACATTTATGGTCCTCGACCAATGTCAATGACCGCTTCAGAGTATGGCGGACAACAAACTTCCCCTATTTCGCAAGGGCGTCCCATGTCTATGAACACGGGATACACGTATCAGAATCCGGGCATGAATGCGTACACAGGAGTTTCGAACCCGTATAACAATGGAGTGCCGGGCTCTCCTCCCGCGCGTGGATATGCGCAAGAAAATCCCTTCGTCTCAGGACATTCTCGCAATACGTCCTATTCTCAAAACCCATTCGAATGAAGAATTATGCAGTGAACATGGACACTACGAAATCATCTCATGGACATTGATTGCATCTGTAGAATACGCCCAGAGCGCTAGATCGGCGATCTGTTCGCCGAGGTGTTACATAGCAATCATAAATATAATGTTGTGACCCATTCTCAAATGAAGCGAATGAAGGCAGAGGCAACGACGAACGCAATAGAATAAGCAGCCAAAGGAAGTCGTTCCAAGTAGAATAACAAAACTACATTGATACGAATAGAAAAGTGAACGAGTCGTAAGATACCAAAGCCCCATCGCTCAAATCTCCTGGCTCTCCATGCCACGCTTGCCTGCTCTCGGGAGGAGCTCAGCAGCAATATGGGGAACAACACCACCCTGCGAGATGACGACATCACCGAGGAGCTTGTTGAGTTCTTCATCGTTTCGGATAGCGAGTTGCAAATGTCGTGGAACGATACGTTGCTTCTTGTTGTCACGAGCAGCATTGCCAGCGAGTTCGAGAATCTCAGCTGCAAGATATTCGAGAACTATAAAGGAATGTAAGTGCCTGGGCAGTCAGTGAGTATAGAAAGGAGACTGACCGGCAGCGAGGTAAACGGGAGCACCGGCACCAACACGTTGAGCATAGTTTCCACGCTTCAACATTCTGTGAATACGACCGACTGGGAACTATTTGAAGCGTGAATGAGGATCGTCTCTCTCCAACGGGCGCGAGCCACATACCTGAAGGCCAGCACGGCTCGAACGCGACGCGCCCTTATCAGCAGCTCCAGCACTGAGCGATGCCTTTCCACCCTTTCCTTTGCCTCCAGTCTTTCCTGCGCCTTTGCCAGACTGCACGTCATCAAACCGGTCCAGTTGATAGCGACCAAGGGAGAAAAACGCGTCAGCAAGTTTTATTTCTTGGAGAATGAATAGAAAAAAGCGAGTTGACGTGCACGTCGCGCGAGGCAGCGTCGAAACACTGTCGACGTCGTGTTGGGCGATGAGGACGGGAGCTCACCATGATCAATACGTGTTGCTGAGAGTTGAGAGTGAAAAGGTTGGTTGAAGTACTGACGTGGTCGGGTCCAAGAGTGATCAGTCTGTTTGTCCCCAAGGCGCGTCTTTATCCTGTCCGGGTACGAGTTTGGCGTTGTTTGGTACGGTGACAAGATTGAAAGAAATACCATCATAACAGCAGTTTTCAGTATAAACCCGTAGTCGAGTTTCAAGCGACAAAGGTAGGATCGGACCCCTGATGTAGGTCACGTGATCTCATTCACAACTTTCGAAATACAAGAATGGATCGTTTGCGTCCATCAACCGTATACGGAGATTCTCGTTTGAAGCCAATATCTTCAAGTAGACTCGGAAACTCTGACGGTCGCAGCTTTAGCCCCTTGTAGTTTTCAGCTAGGATCTGGACTATGTTAATTTCGATCGGCGATCAAGGAATTTACGTACGGGGCTTATTCTTCGCACTTTAGCATATTCTTCCCACTCTTGTGGCTCGAGGAGAAAGACTCCTCGGGGGTGCAGCACTGTATGGACCTTTCGAAAGAATCGTACAATACCCTCGTCACCATCATTGAGATGTATCCATTTTGTAATGGAGAACCTGGGCACATTAGTTGAAGCGCAGTGCAAAATCAGTTTACCTACCCAATTACCACGTCGTACCCATCGCGATCCTCCTTTTCAATCCCGCCAACGTTATCTGACATTTGTAGTAATGCGTCGTGATCAACTTTCCGATTCCAATCTGCTGCATAGAATGCCACATTGTGGGGAAACTGTCGATGCAGATGTTCGGGAAGGTAGTTGACAGAGGGAATGGGTAGAGGCTCGAACATGTACTCCATTGCAAGAGGAAAATATGACTGCATGTTCTCCTTGGTTGACCTTGGGACCGGGTACAATCTTGTGAGGGACTCGTTGATAGGGATGATGGACTGAGCATCGATGCGCTTTCTCTTCTTTCCGGGTCGAGGTGAGGGCGCCTCTTCAGACTCTGAAGTCATGTCATGCTGTGCTGGTGGTGCTTGTAAACTCCAGACGAGCTTTCTGCGTTTCCATGCTGCTCGAATGAGATCGCCGTCAATGTCGACGCCAATAACTTTGAAGGGTGCGAAAAATTTTGCTGTAACAATTTAAGCACCTGGCAGATCGTCTTGAGGCAGACGTACCAATGTCCACGGTGACCCAGCCTTCGTTGCAGCCTACATCCAAAACTCGTTTACCAGCAAAGATATCTTTTGGAAGTAAACTCAGTCGAGGATCAAGATTTCCAGTTGCATTCTGTTTTCTCGAGTAATAGCTATGATAGTGGTTAGAGATGTCTGGAAGGCTGCTGTCGACAACATACGCGTGATAGTTGCCATGAATAGGCTGTACGGGTGCTGGATTCGACATTATGAGATCATTACCGGAGGCTTGAGATAGGGGCTCGAGGACAAACAAGACTTTTGTTTGGCGCACCTACACGAGAACCAACTCCTCCCGTAATTCCGAGGTAAAATGGTGAGCACAACCCATATTTAACGATTATTTTTACTTGTTGTCGTTGAGTACTTCTAATATGCTGACTGCTGTCTCTGCTTGCTCTAGACGAAAGGTGCATACTATTTCTACCAATCCAAGGCTCCAATCCATGCTAACGGACGATTGTTGGAATCAATCTATAATACTGAACAGGTACCTCTTCGTTTGGTAAACGACATACCAAGACACACACGCTCTGCCGCCGATGCGGTCGTCGTGCATTCCACCGTCAACACAAGAGTACGCCAACAGCATATTCGATGAATCTCTTACTGATTCATTCTTCTCTCGCTATAATTCTGACTTATTTGGATTCACTTGCCGTTGTCAATCTGCATCTTTCGACCTGGGTCAACCAGCCTGCGCATCTTGCGGATACCCTTCTGCTAAGATTCGCTCGTACGAGTGGGGACAAAAAGCTAAGAGGAGAAAGACTACGGGAACGGGCAGGATGCGCTACCTGCGACACGTCTCGCGAAAGTTCAAGAATGGCTTCCGGTGCGTTTTATTATTCAATAGTCTAAAGCATTGCGATGCTCATCTTAACCGTGCAGGGAGAATACCGTTGCAAAGAGGAAAGTCACTGCTGCAAAGGCAGAGTAAAGATGCTCTTTCTGTCGACTCTTTCTCTGCACTGTTCTTGAGTGTGGTATGGCCAGGTTTATGCAGACAGACGGCCCAGCCGAAGAAAAGTCTCTATGCTCCATGCCACTCGTGTGTTCTATTGATCAATATGACCTCGTGCACGGCAAGCATAGTTGACAATCCTGTCCTCGATTTGACTAAGAAGTGACCTGAGCCAGCCACTACAAAAGCCTTTTGCACATTGACCATGTCGAACACTCAACCATCAACAACACTAGATCGTGAATCTGTCAATCTCTTGCATAAACTATTAGAAGCTCCTCCTTCCTCGCTCAAGTTGTTGTCAGATGAGTTGGCCACAGAGCCAGGCGAGTCACCAGCATCACTTGCGAACAGGGCAATCGCCGCCATCCATTCGTGGTCGACGAGGGACAAAGTAGACTTTATCCAGGGACATCCTCGAATTGGAGAACAGTCCAATCTGTCTGCCATGTCCGCCGCTGAGCAGGCAAAATATGCCACACCACCCGAAGTCCTCCAGAGACTTGCGATTCTTAATGAAGAGTACGAACGGCGATTCACTGGACTCAGATAGTCAGTCACTTCAATGAATACATTCATACATCCAATTGACCGTGGTTCATTGTAGTATTACGTTTGTCGCAGGGCGCACCCGAGCACAGATTGTAGACGAGATGGAAGACAGTATGAATATCCGGAGAGGCTCCAATATCTCTGGAGAGGAGCCTTCCCCGCTAGGGCCTGGTGACGAACTATGGGAGTCGGAGCTCTCGAGAGCTATTGATGATATTGGGAGAATAGCGCAGGATCGTGCTAAGAAGCTATAGTTTTCGCTATCTAGATATCAAGCATCCTTGCATCCCTCTACGACTGACTTGGACCCTCCCTCTGATGCCTATTTGTACTCATTGTGCGGCACATGTCGACTGCGTCTATACGCAATACTCCGAGAACAATATAAGACTCGAACAATGCGTTAGTTGCCTGAATTGCTGCAGGCAATGCCTAACACGATAAAGGACTAAAGAGTACATGCCTCAACTTTGCAGACCGCTTTATCGAAAAAGACACACTAAATCTGACACTGGATCTCATTCTCCTAAAGGGAGTCTTGAGGCATCTCCTATACAACCGGGGAACAGCTCCGAGGTGTATTGATCGAGAAGGAAACGCTGTTTTGCCAGATACCGCATTGGAGAGAAGACGAGGAGAAGCTGTACGCGCTTTCTCTTCAAATGAAGAGGCTTTCTAATAATTGTTGCAGCGAAGACGGCGGACGATAGCCAAAGTCGGCATGTTTCTCGTCATGCTGGATAGTGGTGAGTAGAAAATATGCGTACTATTTCATTACTGAGTATTCAAGTTACCCGATGGTCATTTCTTCGTATGTCCACCGTCCCTACACTCGACGGAGCTCATATTGCCCAGAGGAGACGCCTCTTGACGCCTCTGAAGTTGATCGGCTGTTGACATGGAAGACTCTTCAAGGCTTTCTTGCCACTCTAGCTTCGTGCTTGACCGGTCTGTGAAACTCTACTGCTCGAATGCAGCTTATATCCCACAGAGATTGTCCTCTTTCATCTGGCCACCGTTATGGCTTGCCTTGTCGCTATTCGCTTGCTTATGAGACCAGGAAAGAATGGAAATCGATCGGGCGTGCTTGAAGAATTCCGGTGAGTTTCACTTTCTTCCCTACACTCTCGCTAATTGCAAATAGTGTCTCCCACGTATCCCTGGCGTTGATCTACGCATCATTGACAAAGCTATTTCTTCTCTCCCTCCTCGTCATCTGGAGACCTGCTCGACCTGAGCAGTCTTCCCCAGCAATGGTAAACGGGGATCTGTATCATCAAATCCTTCACGTGTTCGACGACGATAGACTCAATCGGGAGTGGCTACTTCGAAACCTCATGGGAGGAATGGCATCTGGATTCGCAATACGGGGTGAGCTCGGCACGCGGTAGTGACATGCCTTAACTTTCAGCACAGTCATACTCGATGATAATCCGGCAGCAGCGGCCTTTGTCGTGCTCTCTGCGTGGATGCTCAAAGCATTCGCCGCATTTCTTCTCAGTGAATATGTCTATCCACTGGGGACAGATAGGGACTGGCTCATTTTCTCCATGCCATAAATAGATGATCATTCGCATTTCACACTGCTACTGACTATCTACTTGGTGAACTGGGATGCCTGTTGGGGTGTCAGTTTCAAAGGGCTCTGACCACTCGTGGCTGCTCACCATGTTCAAAAGCTGGCCCAACCCGCCGCTATTGCTGCCACCCATAAGGCTCGTAAGGTCGCTTCCTTGGCCACTTCCGCTCAACTTGGATTGCACTAAAAGCTTGAACATGGTCGCAGCCGCACCGTTGACGGCGTCTTGCTTGTCCCCCGAATTGCCAGTCTTGTCAAACATGGTCGCAGCCTCTGACATTGCCATTCCTATCATCTTCGTCTGGAAATCTCCTCCAGAATGTGCGGTACTGCCGTCGCTGTTGTTGCCTTGCGAGGACATGAATGATTTGAGGACTTGAAGCGCCGCAGCACTCCCGATGGACGATGCATCGACATTGGAGCCGTTTCCTTTGTCATAGACCTCTTTGTGTGCGTCCGTGACATGCGTCTCGTTGACTGGTGTCGAGTGAGTTCCCTTGAAAACGACGTCAGCGCAACGGAATGGAAGAGAGAATACGTACGCCGCTTAAGAATGCCATTGCTTGAGAGAACAATTCGCTGTTTCCTGAGCTTCCCGATGAGCTGTTTGCGATCTGTGTTGCTTGGTGGTGGTCGACTGAAGCGTGTTAGAGGAATCTTTGTGCGGAGAAGTAGACATGCCTGGAAGGGTTCCTTGGCTTTGTTGCTGGCTCTGATCTCCTTGATACTGCTCCGTCTGTGGAGTCTGATGGCCTTGGGATGCGGTGTAGGCGGCGTAGCCTTTCTGAGCCATCGAGATGAAGTTATCCTAAGAGATATCATGAGCTCGAGGTCGTCATGATCCTTGTACTAACCATGGTAATCAGCCGGTAGATAAAGGTCAAGTTCCAAGTTGCGGCAGGTCCATTACGCCGTGGCTAAATGTACGGAGAATGTCTGTTTTGGTATGTGCCTTGGATAAAATAAAGAGATTATAAATATTCGATAGCTATTTTTATACATCTCCTTGTGGACCTGCCGACTCGCCGATCGGCTCACTCGAACCATTCACTTTGAGTAACCATACTTTGTTTGCTTCTGCGAAAGCAATGAGCGGAACAGTCTGTAAATTATGAGCTCTGGTCAGCTTTTCCTACCAGTGAACTCACCTCGTCGACGTCAAACGCTCGAATGGACGCCTTGTTGATCTTTGGGTCTAGGATGATCTCCTTGATTCTAGAATGTTTCTCGCCATTCAAGCCCTTTTCAAATGCAGGAAGGGAGACGGATTGGACCGTAATATGAGTCGTGTCATCTTCGGGTGCGTCTTCTGGAGTCGATAACCAGAGAGCTTTGGAACCGAATCTGGAAGAGTGATATAGCTGTGGGGAGCTTTCAAACCCTGCAATGACGAGCGTCTTCTCCTCCAACTCTATATGATACCGTCGCGCCTCTTTATCTTCCGGAGAATTGGGCACCTGGCTCGCGTTAGTCTCGATCTGGTCGTCGGAAGATCCTTACCTCGAAGCTAAATATCTTAATCGGTCTGGCTAGATCTGTCCAAGAGATGTAAGCGGACAGCCACATTTGTTAACCAAGACGCACCATCACCATGAGATGGGTAGCTAACGAGTCTGTGCCAAGAACGCTTCACATTCCACCATGGCTTTGAACATCGTCCTTGTGAGGAGTATCGAAGGAATTCGGCATCTTCCCTTGGGGATTTCACCTGAGTGGCTCTGTTGTAACCCCAAGAGTCACCAGTGTCCATCGTTTGTACTGGGTGTAAGCGGTGCCACCCAAGCAGGCCACCTACGAGAAATATGGCCGAGGGAGTGGAGTGGAGAGAGGGATGGCCCGCGTAGCGGCCGTCCTAAGCGAGGTGAGTCTGCTGATACTCCGGCACCAGATAGACACCACTCACGTCCCTGAGTACATCCCAGAGTATTGAGTGCTCCGCCTGTCGACCGGTGACCCAATCCCAGACCAAGAGTTCGGGTGACTCTCTCCCATGCTTGTAGGTGTACAAGCTCACGATTTCGCTCGAAATGGACAGCATCTCTGCACTCCCCATGAATCTATATTGCAATTTCTTTTCAAATCGCAGCGCTTGGTCTGTGTCTTCTGGCTCAGGCATCGTGATAACAAATACTCGCGCACACAGCATTCTATGGGAATGATCAGAGTGGCCTGACGGAGAACATTTGCGCACGCATTATCGTTTCCGGGGTTTGTGTCAGATGTCAAAACACCCCAGATGACCTCTGAACGTGACTTGGCCGCAAAGTCTATGCTGTAGATAATCTCGGGTGTACATACTTCGTTGAAGCCTTGATGAGCGACCTTTTCACCGGTGGAAATACGGTAAAAAGTGGCCTGTTCCTCAAAGTCTATTACAACGATGAAGCGACCACCGGGTAGCACCCTGATCATGCATATTCCAGCTTCTATCGGCAGCATCCTGACCACTGAAGTGGATACGGAAGGGGCGGCGCTTTGAGACCACGCAGCGTGGAACTGGAAGCAGTCTTTGAGTCGACCTCTCAATATGTCGTCCGTCGGTTCGCTCGCTGCTAGAGATCTTGGATCCTGGAGTGGAATATCCTTACTTGCGGCGGCATAGAGGATGTAGGAGACGGACACCGAGTGAACGAGGGCATGGAAGCTCTTGGAAACTTGACTCAGTTGGAGGATGTTTTGTACATCGTCAAGACATTCTAGAATGAGCAGCATAACGTCCCTTGGAAGCTGCATCAACGACGTGGGCTCGACCATTGGGATAGCGGCGAGGTTGAAGTCTTGTGTAAACCTGCGACATTCGACTTGGACCTGGCCACGTCCGCAATCACGTATTATGTCGACAATACATTCTCAGGATCCCTCCGAATTCGCGTTTGCGGTGGCGTTTGGGAAGCCTTTTGCGCATGGGCCTTTGCGGCGTGGCTTTGGGCCGCTTGCGGCCAGCAGCTGAACGGCTCCTGACTGTCATCGAATATAAAGCATCCACCTAACTGAGCTCTCGACGGCCTTGTTCTTGACCGCCCCGTTGTCGTAACGCACGCACCCATGAGCAAGTCATCACTCACCTACGAATGGCAGATAAACGGCGTCGCTGCCTTGTACGAAGCGACCAAAGTGTGTACATCTCATCGCGCTTGCGCCTAATCTGAACCCACAAAGGCCCCAGGCGTTCCAACTCAACCACTCTGCTCTCGAGCATTTGGAGGTGGAAAATGGCGGTTATTCCTGCACGGAAACAACGGCAGACCAGGTTTCGATGGTTACATCGGCGTATTTCTGCAAGCAGAGGCAAGGAAATGCCATTCTCGTCTTCGCAGCTGACAGTCCGTAGCCCACTGCCGAGGAGAAACGGAGTGATGTGATGGGAAAATGGTCCCGTGCAGGCAAATATTCTTTCACTATCGAGCTACAAACGTACGATCGACCGCCTAGGAGCGAGCCCTTTCGCTAATCTCAGGCTAGTATCGATGGAGAGCAGACCCTCATTACCGTCTCGACTCGAGAAGATGTGACGTTCACAAACGAGGTAATGTACGGTCGGTGCCATGCGACGAGGTTGCCAACCCTCCACACAGAAAAGGCAATGGGGCTATCCGGATTTCGGACTGAGAGAGGAAGTATTTGAGAACTGTCTCGGGGTGCGTTCCTTTCGATCGGCGCTTGCGCAACCTGGCTGGTTGCTGAAAACCGATCGTTATGCAGGTGACGATGCACGATGCATTTGTGCTGAGTTGTACTATTCATACAATGCCGACTACACCGCAAACCTCGTTGGCACCCTCGCCAACTATGACAACCATCACCCTCCCGGAGACAAATCCTCAAGGATATTCGTCCCTCCCGTCCACCCTCGTTGATGTCCTACGCTCCATGGTAGACGACCCTAGTATCTCCGACGTCCAATTTGTATTCCCGCGGAGTAAAGGTGCGCGTCTTTGTCAACTAGGTATCGATCGTTCTCAATTCAGCCAATAGAGTCCAGGTACTCGACGGGTGGAATGAAAAATGGGAAGAACAGCAAATATCACCACGCAGGCGGTGTCGAAGACGACATTCAGAGCGAAGAGGGCGGCCTTGCAAACTCTGAATACGGCTCGATGCCCAACGTCCGTATCATCTCTGCACGCAAAGATATCCTTGCACTGCGGTCCGAATACTTTTCCAAACGTGGGTACCATTTTGCGGTGTAATAGGCTGCTCATCCCTTTCAAGTATTCGCCAGCAACTTGGCCAACGGGGGCACCCTGCCTAGTTCGCCCGCAAACCGGAACTATCACGCCAACCCAGTAAGTGTCTCGCCGTAAAAATGGTCCACTCCAGTAATTTATCTGCCGCTCGGTGTAAAAGTACTATCGCTACGGCGCCGAGGAGGACGATATGTATAACGAGACGGACGGCGATGCAGGACCAGGTGTCGACCCCGATATCCCAGGTACTAACCTCAACACCATTCCCTCGGAAAACCAGTCTCCACTGTATGAATCGCCGCATCACCCACGCAAGACGGTCATTCTTGTCAACGATATTCCATATTCGACATATCGGGCTCTGATTTACTTTGTGAGTGCACCAGTTCTGGGATCCTACGGCGGAACAATTAACGCATCGCAGTTGTATACGGACAACATCGTTTTTGCACCGTTGGCTTCACAGTTTATGGCCCAACAGCTCGAAGGGAAGAATGGTGGCGTGATGAATGGGCCCGCGACTCGACTGGAATGGTTACGGATCTGGAAGAAGGAGAATCGCGGATACGCTTTACCGTGCTCGGCAAAGTCTATGTACGCCGTAGCGAGTCGGTTCAAGCTCGCCTCTCTCAAGAGGTGCGCTCACAGATTGCCTTTTCCCCTTGACTGCTAAACACGATGCAGGATCGCGTACGAATTTATCCGCAAGAATCTCAACCCAAGTAACCTTGCGTTCGAGTACTTTGACTCGTTCACGGCCGCCCATGATGACCTGCGTAACCTTGCACTGCAAGGAATGGTCACACATTGGGAGGAAGTACAACGCTCTCCAGCCATGATAGAAGTTTGGAACAGACTCACGACGGGAGACATGCCGTTCGCAAAGGATTGTGAGTCACCCGTTTACAGTGTAGTGCACATCCTTACACACTCCAGTGCTCCCTCTGCTCGTCAGAGAACTTTCACGACCCCGCAACTAGTGCAGCGTTTCTTTTCAACTCATGTATGCCCGTACCATAGTGTTTGTCACGTTTAGATCTCCGGCAGGTCTCGAATCGAATCACGTTTGATACATCATTACATTTCAGATAGCGGATAGTACTATGTTGTCAAGAAGGGGGTATAGCGATGGGTTTACTGGTAGGTCTTCTGTGCCTCGTTGGCCTTGTCCGCTGCAAGGTTAAGGTATGCATTCACGCCTTCGCTGGCGGATTGCTTCAAGTCTTGTGCACGGGCGGCGGTATCGTCAGCGGTAGACTGGGTGGTCGATGCAGCTTGTCCGTATGTATTCGCAGTAGAGGCCTTTGTCGAGTCGTACGTATTGGTGGCCGACGCCTTGGTCTGATCGTAGGTATTCGAGGAACTTGCACTCGCTTGGTTTACTTTATCCTTGGCAGTGTCAACGTACGGCTGCGCAGTATTCTGAGCAGCGGCGACATTGGACTGTGCGGTTTGAGAGGCGTTGGAGGCGGCGTTGTTGATGTCCTGGGCAATTTGCGTCGTGTTGGCACCCGTGACGGTCGCGTGAGCGGATTGGAGGTACTGTGCACCCGTGTTGAGCGCGGATGCAGCGGTGGATTGGATCGTCGGGATTACACCCGTCGCGTTGGGATCAGCAGGTGCGACGGCGCGGCTCGCAGACTCGACGTAGGATGTAGCGGTGCTAAGTGCAGTTGCGGTGAGATCCTTTGCTTGGTCGACATATGTCTTGGTGTCGGTCGACTGCAAAGACTGGACGTCTCGCTGGCCTTCGGCAACAGCGGCATTGGTCGTGTTTGTAGCGTTGGTTTGGAGATTGTTTAGAGCATTGGAAGCTTGTTGCCCTGCGTTTGTAAGTGTTGTCTACAATCGTCAGTCAATCATTCAAGGTCACATAAAAAGATTACGACTTACCCCCGCCTGGGCAGCATAATTTTGGGCAGTCTCTGCTGCTGACTGACCATATGTCTTTGCTTGCTCAACATAAGTTCCTGCGGTCGTCGCCGCGTTGTTGGTCTCCTGCTTTGCGCGCTCGTTGGTGTACGCGGCGGTTTCTACAGCGCTAGTGGCTGCGTTCTGTGCTTGTGAAGTGTATGAAGACATATCGCTATAAGGTTAAAGATTCTTGACTTTTGTCGTCCTGATGAGCCTGGCGGGACCGTCTTTTATGCCCGAGAGCGGCGCGGAGCGCTATGACGTTGGACAGTGACGACATTCCGCGGCTATTGTTGGGCCACTGGACGTCTTGTGACTCGTGATTCCAGGAATCAGTCAACTTACAATGTCAGCAAAGCCGTCGACGGGTCGGAGTGGCAGCCAACTTGAACCACACTTTGTCGGCCTCAACTCTGCATGGGTCTCAAAACCCTCTAGAAATTACCAAGTCGACTTTAAATTGCTTGTATCACTGTTTGGGAGCAATTTGACGAGTCACTACGGACGGTCCTTGGCCAAATGTCAAAGTAAGTCCCCGGCACGAGAAATCATCATCTTGGTACTGATAAACAAAAAAGATTAATGCCAATCGTGCGCTGTTCGTGGCGAAAGCCAATTCGACCGGTTCATACGTCTTTGCAAATCACCCGGCATGTCCCAACACGGCCCTCTATACTCCATAGACCATACTCTACAACATCCAAACACTCTAATGTACCTCAATGGCTTGTTTATGGTGCCCCCGTACTCGTCATAGGCGGTGTGCTTTACAGCCTGCGGTCTACCAACTCGCCGACTCTCGACGTGATCATAGACTCACCGGCATGCATCCCTGCAAAAGCACCGCAACCCACTTTTCTTATTCCCTCTCCTCCGGACAAGAGCTTTCTATCCAAGATTGCCGATTTCCTACGGCGGCATATCTTCTCTCCCATACGGACAGGGCTACGCTTTCTTCACCTCGTCATCATCTTTTCTCCCGTCGTCTTCACTGCTCCTATGCTTTTTATTGGCGTGCCAGATAGTAAACTTGGGGGCGAACGATGGTACGCCATTCAGCCTTCCATTCTGATTGTTCTGACTATTTTAGGGGCGCTATCTGGTGGTATGATGCCTTGACCAGGAGCATGCAGCGAGCTGGTCCAACATTTATCAAGGTATGAGTGGAGTTGCTCTGTGAAGCATGCTGATAGTTTCAGTTGGCACAATGGGCAGCATCCCGCCGTGACCTCTTTTCAATGGAGCTCTGCAACCGGCTCGGTAGCCTTCATTCGACCACCAAACCGCACCATATCGGCCATACGATCTCTGTCGTTGAAAAGGTCTTTTCGCGACCATTTGTCGAGGTCTTCGAGTCGTTTGACCCGGAACCAATTGGTTCAGGGGCGATAGCTCAAGTGTATCGTGCTACACTTCGCAAGGACCTCCTCTCGGAGGACTATCTCTCGGCAAAGAGACCACGGACCTACTCTCCTTTCTCGCATGACACCAAAGGGCCTCTTTCACTTCCCGTACCCCTTCCTCCTCTCACTCCAGATCAGCCACCGCCGCTCTCGCCGACTGCCGTCGTCGCCGTCAAAGTCCTCCACCCAAAGGTTGGAGACATGATTCGCCGGGATTTGTCAATCATGTCATTCTTTGCACGCGTACTCAACCTTTTACCCGGAGTTCACTGGTTGTCGCTCGACCAAGAGGTCCAAGTCTTCGGGAGCATGATGAACGAACAGCTCGACCTGCGGCATGAGGCCGCCAATCTCAAGCAATTCGAAGACAACTTTAAGAACCGGCGCACAGCGGCGGTGTCGTTCCCTCGACCACTGGCAGAATACACGAGCCACGATCTCCTGGTGGAAGAATTTCAATACGCAGTGCCTCTAGGCGCATTTTTAAGATGGGGTGGAGAGTCATATGATACGGCCATTAGTACCATGGGCCTTGATGCTTTTTTGGTGCGTGTGAACGGTTTTTCGATGTTATTGATTCTAATGCCGTCCAGAATATGCTTCTCATTGACAACTTTGTGCACGCCGACTTGCATCCCGGCAATATTCTCGTCAAGTTTTACAAACCAACAACCTCGTTTGTGCTCAAGTCAATCATGGCGTCCCTCTTCCACAGTAAACCTCCTGTCGACCCAGTCAAGACGTCTGAAGCCGACGCCGTGATCACCGACCTCCTTCGTATCCGGAAGACGGGCACTCGCGACGAATGGCGCGCCGCTCTCCATCGTCTCCACGACGAAGGATATCAACCCGAGCTCGTCTTTCTCGACGCCGGACTTGTCACGACACTCAGCGAACGCAACCGCCGAAACTTTTTGGAGCTTTTTAGGGCGATTGCGACGTTTGATGGATATCGTGCAGGCCAACTCATGATCTCACGAAGCGCGTCACCAGAGTTGGCAATCGACCCGGAGACGTTTGCGCTCAAGATGCAGCATCTCATACTGAGTGTGAAAGCGAAGACGTTTTCTCTGGGGCAGATACGGATATCGGACGTGCTCAGTCAGGTGCTGAAGAATGTGCGCGAACATCATGTCAAGATGGAAGGAGATTTCGTGAATACGGTGATCAGTGTTCTATTATTAGAGGGTATTGGACGGCAGTTGGACCCGGGGATGGACTTGTTCAAGAGTGCGCTGCCGATTCTTCGTCAGCTCGGACGTACAGTTACAGCGCGTGATGCGATTCAGGATGGTGTTCAGGGAAATACGGGAGCGATGATCAAGGTGAGTCCATTTCCTGTTGTAAGGACGGGCTTTGATGGTTTTCCGCTAGTTTTGGGTTTGGCTAGAGGCTCGCGAGCTCATCAATGCGGCCGTGGTTAACGTTGACGAAATGATCAAGGTTGATTGGTGCGTGGGAGATGCTCTTGAACCACTTGCGCTGACCGTCGCTTCAGGCTGAGCCCGAATGTATAGACCTAATCTTATCCGCCATGTATACGTCCACTAGGGAAAGATTCCGATCAGTCGGAGGTGCACCTGGAGGCCGGCCACGACGCGTGTAGGCCGTATCAGGAGGGGGATTTGCAATACGAAGCCGCGCATCCTCTTGGCTGATAGATCGGCTACTAAGAACAAGCCTCAAGGTGTCAGTTTGTAAACCAGATTTTCTGTTTTTGAGCGTCTAGGTGAGACGTGCGATCGCTGCTGATTTTCCAATGGCGGGAAGTCCCTTGGTGGCTGGCTTTGCTCTCTGTTTTGACCAGGGACGAAGCGGTCTCGACTCGACGGAAACAAGCTGGACGATTGGCACTTGACCGCTGCCATATTCCCGTCGATATTCGCTCCAGAGCACACCGCTTAGCTTTCACAACAAAATCTGTTTATATCCCGTTCAATTTATTGAGTAAAATTGCTGCTGGACGCTATAGAGGACACTGGCGGCGCTATGGATCCCGAGTCTGGCAAAGCAAAGAAGTTGGCCACTAGTTGCGCTGAATGCAAGAGGTACGCGCTGTTCTATCGCAATGTAGTAGCTTATATAGCGCTCTGTTCCCGATCTCGTCTCCCGCGTCGTTCGTTGCTGCGTGTTCACCCTTATGTCATCTCATAAAGGCTCAAGGTCGGCTTCTCCAGCTATCCATACGTGTCCCAGAGCCTGACATTATATTCCCTCTGTTTTGCGCGCCTCGTCGACACCGCCAATGCCGACGCGTCTGTCACCCGGCGACCGGCACGACATGTAGATGAAGTGTGATCGAAATGTGCCATGCTCTTCCTGCACAAAGGTTTTCTTTTTGGGTTTTAGAGGGCGAGCGGATGGCTGATTCGATTCAAGCGCGGATTATCCAACCTATGTCTCTCCAACGGCACTCTCAGGCCAGGGAAAGGCACCAGGTGTGACCTTTGATTGTCTATTATTTAGCTAACAAAGACTCGACAGATATATCCTTGCCTCCACCGAGGAACTCCATGCAAAGATCGACCAATTACTCGAACGAGCAAGAGACCTCGAGGTTGCGCTCGACGCATCATATTCCTTGCACTCTACCACCACGCATGGGCTGCTAAGAAAGGACTTGCTCGTCGAAGGGTCGCGTCTCGCTCTCGAAAAGGAGCATGAGGAGGAACCAGAAGTGCCAGTAGCTGCACTCGGTACTCTAAAAAGTGAGTAAACTTCCTTTATTGACCGCTTAATACTCAGCATCTTTAGTCTCTCAAAAGACGGGTGGTGCAGCGTGGATCGGCTCAACGGCCTCGTCCTACTTTTTTGTTCATGACGTGAGTTGACAGTATCTACGAACGTTGTCTCACATGATATAGGACGATAACGCCTCGGTCACATCCTCTGTTGACACCCTTCCGGAGCACGATCATATGCTACGGGAAATGTGTGGCTCTCTTCCCAGCAAAGAGGAAGGTCTGTTGAACCACGAATATCCATAACTGGTGTTGACTTTATTCAAGCATGGTCCCTGTTAGAGTCCTATCACGAGAACTTTACGTGGAAGTATGTGCTTTGGTTCTGTACTACTATCTATTGACTTTCACAGCTATAACCCAATTCCACGCACCGTCCTCATTCGCGAATTTCTATCTCCTACATATGATCCGCGTCAAGGTCCACCTTCTCTGCTTCACCTCTCTGTCCTCTTTTCCATGTTCTCCATCGGCATCCTCGTAGATCTTTCGAGGGCACCAAACTCGGCCGAGGCAAAGATGTATCGTGATGTCGCCAAGATCCCACTAGACATTGAGTCTGTCTCAAAGGACACGTCGATTGTCACGCTTGAAGCACTTATTATGTATGCGCAGGCCATTCAGTGGTCTGATGATCCCAATGGACCCGCAAATACGTGGACGTATCTAAGCCTGTCAGTGACTTTGGGTGAAAGTGTGAGTTTAGACGCACATCTTGACATGGTAACTAATTCACACTTTCAGATTGGACTACGTATGTATACCAAATTTATGTTTATTTACTCATGAGTCCTAGACCGGGATCCAAAATCTACTTGGGATATGGACGACGCAATGACCCTCCGTAGACGTCGCGTTTTCTGGTAAAATCTATCCTTATATGTGATATATATCTGACAATGTATAGGGAACTAATTTACATGGTCACTTGGCAGTGCTTGATTCACGGACGACCACCGCTGCTCACCCAACGCCATATCGATGTTCAGTTGCCTCATGAGGAGACAGAAGAGAGTATGGGAACGGATCCAGCTTGTAAGTCTCATATTTCTCGTCTGCAGTCTGTTAATTATGTTCAGTTCATCTATGGCGATACCGATGGACAAAGGAAATCGGTTGGGTCATAGCAGACCAATTGCTCGCACCGGCCTATCCGCCCACTCATGCACTTGTCATGAAGATTGACAAAAAGATTCGCGAATTTGGATTTCCATGGGATGTGGATGTCAAGCCAGAAGATCCCGACGACATTGGCGTTTTGCAGGATTTTGAGAACATGATGATGAATGGTATCCTCGAACTCACCTCGTTGCATGTTCATCGAGGATTCTTTGCACATGCGCTCTTCCAGTGCCCGACAGATCCTTTGACATCTAAGTTTGCAGCGTCCGTTTATGCAGCGTGGGTTTCCCCCCTTAGACTTGGGTATGCGCATGGCTAAAACTGTTTCAAGATTTGGAGCGGCTTGTCGGATCATTCAGCGTTCTCGAGATTATCATTCACGAAGACCCCTCATCATGAAGAGGAGTAACATTATGTATTCTCACACCTTTTCTGCCGCAGTCATTGTCGGTGCAATTGCCACCCAAGCACCTCAATGTTCGTTGGCGACCGCAGCGCTGCACGAACTGGGTGCGTGATCGAGTTCCCCCATGACATACCTGGCTCACGTTACGTAGATACGGCCTGTGCCATCTTCAAGTTTGGCCAAAATAATATGCGTGTGCAAAAGATACTGGTCCGTCCCCGTTGACTAAATTGTATATCGCTCACGGTCAGTAGTATATTATGACACGTTTACAGTCCAAAGCACGAGATATCTATCAATCTCGTGGCTCTATGGTTCGAGCACCCGAAGCACCTGTAGACCTGCCAGGAATCATTGGCGGTCCGTCGGTTGTCAAATCTGGATCTCGTTCTCCCGAGGGGAGTACGAGGCATAGCAACTCTCCAGAAAGTTCTTCCCCTGCGACATATGAACCCCAAAACCCAACCATTCTCTCTTCGCCACCCGAAGTACAAGCCGCCAATGAACCGCTCACCCCTCAGAACAGCTCTCGACCACTCCCAGATGAATATGCATATACTCAACAGCCCTTTGATACGGGATATCAGGCGGGACCTCCTGTTGATTGGACGTCCTCACAGTACTTTGTTCCGCAAGCTCCGCCAGAGATGTATATGCAACCTTCACGAATAGGCGCTCCTCAGTCGCATGACCCTTACGTCTGGCAGCAAGCGAACCCAATGCCAGTACCAGAGATACACCAGCGAAACGTACGCTCTTCAACCATTATTGCACCTGTCAGGACACCACAGTACCACGACATTCACCCTCCGCCACCACCAGCCCATCGCGTTCCACAGCATAGTCACCACCAGTCGCGAGAGGTGTACCACAATGTGCCGCAGTATCAATATCCACTGCATACCAATCAGCATCCGCATTCTCACACACAGACCATGGCTGATAATCAGAATCTGGTGGTGGCACCAGACCAAAGCTGGTCGATATTTCTTGGAAGGATGGGTGTACAATAAGTTAATCACTAGCCGCTACTCTGCTCGAAATAGCACTGAACCGGTATTGCTCAACGAACGCTTGTTTGTTCTCGGTAGACTCGTGAAAATGGAATATCTCAATTTGGAGCTTAGTATGAGACTGTTTGACGTGGTGAACAGTTGTCGACCTTACCACATCCATTCCCTTGTCTAAGATGCCAGCCATCACGCTTCCGCTAAGTTTTAACAACTCGTTCTGGACCCAAGTGCGAACAATTATACCAAATTTGGCCACTTGTAGCTAACACGATATCCAAAGGACTACCGACGTGGGCTCGAGACGCTATTCAACAAGCTAGAGCAGGTAAGTCTGACCTTAGAAGAGTCTTTTGATCTTCTGACCGCTTTATAGGGCGTCTTGGAGAACGAGGAAATCACCAACTTTATCGAGGTGCGTGCGCGCTCCCTTGTCCGGCCGCAATCCAAGCCCGACGCTCGTTGATGGCAACAAACACAGGCTCGTGTCAATGCAGAATTTGATCTCGCACAAGCTCTGACGATGCCAGTCGCCTCGGCACCGCGAGGTGCGCCCACCACTGGGATCGTCTTGCTCGATAGCTCATTAAGTTCTGGCTCGTTCGGTTTATAGGCACGGGGTTCGCCGCAGATGACGGTGCATCGCTTCTCATGGCGTTCTGGGGCCTCAAGCAGGAGACCAAGGCCCAGGGAGACGGACATAGGGCCGTGGCGAACGACCTGCAAGCGTTGGCGCTCCAGCCGTTTGCTTCATGGTCAAAGGGACACGCGCAGCGCGTAAAGGATGCAAAGATTAACGTGCTAGATCTCTGGGTAGGCGATTATGAGCAAGCGCTTGAAGAGGTCAACAAGCTCCGCGAGACGTATTATTCCAAGACGCGTAAAGCAGACGAGGCGGAAGATGAGTGAGTGTAGTTTTTTGAACTCCAATTGTAAGCTGATATCGATCATAGTGCCAAGTTTGCACCGAATACGGATTACAGCGACCACTACACCGCAACCTCTCCTCGCCAAAACGGGAGGAATGCAGTAGTCAACCGGACGCCAAGTGTCTCGGAGCGTATCGCGGAAAGACTCAGAGAGCTGCGAGGAAACAAGGCCGAAGGCGAAGACGCTTCTTCTGTGACGGTCCTGCACTCTGAGGACAAGGCTGACGGAGAAATAACCCCAACCCTCCCTAAGGTTGACAAAGGCAAAGGCAAAGCTGTCGAAACCTCGTCTCCATTGGCAATGAGTCCTGTTGCTGCTTCTGCACCTCTCCCACCAGCCAAACCAGAACCCATGCTTCTCGCTGGAATTGCAATGAGCCCAGCAGCTGTATCTGCACTCCTCCGTCGAGCACGCGACGAGTTGCCTCTCCGCCCGGTGCGACTACCCATCATTGGCGAATATCCAGATTGCTTTACTGGAGAGGAATTCGTCAACTGGTTACGAGAGAATGTGGAAGCCTTTGGTGGTAGTCTTGATCACGCTGCAGAAGCTGCTCGCGAGTTAGGGGAGGATGAGGGACTGCTCAGGCGCATCGGAGAGATTGGCAACGTCTTCGAGGTATCCAACGAAGCCTTCTATCAATTCCGCCCAAAGGTAAGTCCTTCAAAGTAGCTAGAGAACCTATCTTGACGGCATATTTAGGCCTTTAATCTCGAAGAGGCGCGAGCAGACAATCTAAAAGCGCCTGCCGCTAATCTTCAGCCGATGGCGGACAATCTCCTCAAACGATCTGGCACCCTTGCCAACTTTGTGATGAAGCAGATCAAAAGCAACAGTAACATTCCACCACATGTCAAGGCCAGACAGGAAGCCCAGGAAGCGGATGAGGCATACAAGAAGGCGGTTCGACAACTTGACCGACAAAGGCTAGCTCTCGAAGACCGAATTGAAGAGACATTAAAGCTTCTTCAAAAATGGGAGCTGGACCGACTCAGGATCATCAAGGACGGTAAGTCATGCGTCACCCAATCATTCGGCGCTCATTTTGTCCAGTTCTCCTCAAGTATCACGCCACGCTGAGCAACACTCCATCGCACATTCAGCCTTCGATGGAGAGAGCATCAACCTTGATTGCATCGTATCAGCCGGAATCTGACTTGAACGCTCTCATCGAACGCTATAGGACTGGTCCCTTCCGTCCCGCACCCCATATCTACGAATCTGTGTCGCACGATATGATAGATGTTAGCTTTGGGTTTGACTTGAGAAGATGGGCTGGAGAGAGTGGATGGGCTGCCGTTCGTGTGCCGGAGGATGAAAAGAAACCGAATGCCATTCCGCCACTTCTGAGGAGCCTCCTCGAGGCGTTAGAAAAGGCTTACACCAAGCTTCCAACTGACGAAGGTATGTTTATTCAAAATGATGTTCGTTCTGGTCTGACGATAATGACAGACAAGCGACGAACATGGATTTATGAGATCCCTCTTCCAGTCCTTCATCATCTCCGTGAAGCCCTTAACTCCCAGCCACCCGACACTGAGGTTCCGGTCGAATTCTTTGAGAAGGTGGATGCACCCGTTCTTGCTGGCATCACTCGGTTATGGCTACTTGAACTCGACCCTCCTGTGTGCATGTGGGAAGGATGGGACGACATTCGCAAGATTTATCCTGCAGGTGAGTAGAGCTTGAAGACGCCGGAATATTACCTGACATTCGCTAGTGGGCGCAAAGTTGGAGGTGTCAGAAGCTCAGCACATTGAGAATGTTCAGAATGCGCTGTTCAAGGTTCCGAAGGTTCACCTCTACGTCCTGGATGCAGTCATCAAGCATCTCAAAAAGGTAAGCTTCTTGCTCAGAGTGGGGGTCGCTGCTGATATCTGGTAGTCTCATCGACAACACTAAATCTGAAGAGGATCCGGAAATCTATCTCACCAAGCTTGCATTTTCTCTCGGTCGCGGTAAGCCATTCAGTCCGATCGACTCCTTTCTAACAACATCCAGCTTTGTTGCGTCCCAGGCAAGAGACACATATTTCCATTCAGGACCGTCACCCAACCCGTAGGTTAAACCTGTGGGACTAAGTGCTCGCTAACTCTTCTTAGTTCTTTTCATTGATCTCATCAAGCACTACGATGCTATTTTGCCACCAACTGTCACCAAGAAGAAGCGGGAGTCCGAGAAGCCCTTGCCTGTGCGCAAGCGCACTACTCTGGTTGATCAACGCATCAACCGTCGCAGCGTCGCAGCAAATCCAAAGCAACTATTGGAGGCTCGTGAGGCGCAGATCCGTGCCCCAAGCCCGCGTCCAGAGATTGTTACGAAACCACCGACGCCCCCTCCAGCAAAGCAAAAGGACACTGACCTGCCACCAAGGCCAAAGTTCACAACGCCACCTCCTGAGCGTGATGAACCAGCAACTGCCAGCCAAGCGGCACCAGTCGTTGTGCAACCCACTTCAACGGAACAAGCCCAGTCGCCGACAAGTCCCAAGCAACCCGCGTCGCCACCTATGGATGTAGGAAAGGCATCACTCTTGGAAGACAAGCCCGCGGCCTCGGGAGCAAGCTTGACCCGGTCAGGTTCTGGAGAGACGTCAAGGGTACGAAAGCCAGGAGGTGCCCGTGGTCCTCGCGCCGCTCCAGGTGCTGCAGCTTCGGGAGGATCCTACGTTCATCATCGCCTGAGTTCCTACGGCTCGGCGGCTGGTGATGCAGCTGCAAGACCAAAGAGCCCGATCACGCCAGTTGCGGATCCAAAGGAGTATGTCCCTAAGAAGAAGGACGGAAGGACGAGCGCTGGTACGTTCGCCAGACTATCACATGCGGAAGGCGGTGATGATACCAAATAAATATGTGACGCCCTCAGATTGGGTTAAGACATGGCACATGGTTAATACACAATGTATGGGTCTTGTAAACAAAGAATATGTTCCATTCTCGTACATTACATCCGATACATAAAGATAGGACATGTCCGAGAGTACTTACGAATCATCTTCGTGACATGAGACTATCAATGATGGCGAATGCATCCTCCTCGTTCTCCTCTGCGTTTCTGAACACGCGCAAGACAATATGACGAGGGATGCTCTGTCTAGCTCTGGCAATTCGCTGGTCTAGGTCGAATCGCCGACGTTCTGTAGGCGACATTTTCATTTGATCTTGATTAGCCTGCGAGTACACATCGCGACCAGGAATTAGGGGCTCATCATCGATAAAGCTCGGCGGGAGCTGCATCGGGGGCTGCTGTCGTGGCTGTTGCTGGAAAGAAGGTGATGCTTGTAGTTGCGGTCGGCGCGGGTCCGTTCCAGAGCGAGACCGTGGGGTGTAAGGAAGGCTGTTTTGCCGTTGCTGCTGCAAGCTGGACGATCGAGGGTCGTGCTTGTGGAAGGGTTTGACGTCCAAGCCGGGAGGGGTTGAGGGTCAATGCTGGCTGGCTCCTCAGTCATGGGGGCTCCTAAGAGGTCGACGACAGGGACGACGTCACGTAGAAATATGCCAATGATTTGATCGGGCCGCTCCCTCGCTAAATCACAGTATAATTCAAGATCTTGTTCACCTGGAAACATGTAAACTGCGGGATTTTCCTCCAAACTGCGACGTACCGGTATCGCCTATGAGGAAGAATTTGGAATCGTGGAAGCTGTTAAGTACATGCTCCACGCCGCCCCTCTTGCGTTCTCCGGCTGGCTCCCAGAGCCCTCCGAACAGACTTCTACCCCCATAGAAGCGTAGCCTAAGGGAGCCTAGCACGGATCAGAAACTATGCAAGGATACTATATTTGCTCTACCTTGAGGCAATTCTGCTACTTGCAAGAATTCTGTGATGATAGGGAGCAGCCCATACGGCGAATTTGACTGATTTCTATCAGTCATATGTAGTGAAACTAAATAGTACTTACGACATAGTGGAACCTTACGCCTCTCGCATAAAGCTTTTGATAAAATTTATTCATGCCCGGTACGATCAGGTCTTCGAGTGCCGTGACAAAGACATTGTGGAAGATTTTTTTCACGCCTGAGAGTACGTCTGCAATCTTGATGGTATCGTCAATATCACTGATAACGCGAATCTGCTGGTTGGAGATGGGAATCGCAATATGTGTCGTGATCATCTTGGGCGGGGTAAAGTAACCTTCATCCTGCTGAGAGGAAGGGGCGGGCATAGGAGGTGGCTTGAGCTCAGCTTGTACAATGAGCTTGGAGAATCAGTAATTGCATCAAATAACGATACTAGCATACCCTTGGTTCTGCCTCATAACCTCCAAATGCGATCCCGAGACTATATGGATTCGTGCAGATCGTTTCGTATGGAATCGATATGACTTGGGAGAATGTTCCCTGTGCATCTGTAGAGGTTTGGATTTTGAAGAGTGGTTGCCGATCGTCCTCGAGTGGCGTAAATGAGGTCGTTTCGATCGAATCTCCTTTCTCTTCTTCTGTAGAGGCAAAGATAGATAAGATGACTTGTCTATTCGGAATGCTGCTGGACCAAAATGGTTGCAGTCGGCGATCGAGGTTATCGTGCATCCGTCGAAGCTGCTCGAGTGGAATGGACGATACGTTCACATTTGAAGACGCAGCCGACTCGCGGGAAAGGGTAGGTCGTAGCTCAGGAGGCATCTCATCAAGTTCAGCATTGAGAGCTTGCAGCTCTTCAGCTTCAAGCTCTTCTGGCGCTTTTTCTGACCTAAGCAAGTCCTGCATAGATGGCGAGAGCGGAATCTGAGAAGGTGGGATCACGGTTGGTTGTTGATTGATCGGAAGTGGTGGTAATGCAGCCATCCTACGTGCGAGGGCCATGAAGGCCTTTTGGGACCGCGTGGCGCTTTCTACAAAAGGTTTGAGCCAAGTACAAAACCACGAGTACTGGAATCACCTGGAGGCCGCAAGCTACTTGCAAACCCAGATATATGGACACAGAGCGTGAATCCAGCTGGAATCGTCTGTATCAAAGCAGGTACAGAATGACGTTGGGCACTAACCGTCCTTGTTCGTCGACTTTCGAGTCGCCCAGCCAGGAAATAGGTAGACAGTTTCAACTCCAGGATTTGTTGGACCTCTGGTGGGGATCTTCTGGAGGGCCCATTCTTTCCAAGACTGAGGCTGGCCGCCGCTTGTTGGAACGGACGATTGGGACGCCTGGACAGCTGCATCCTTGACACGAACTCCAAGTTCATATGCCCGATTCACAGCGTTGGACGACGCCAGCCGCGTCAACTGAGATCCCGCAAACGCTTTGAAGTTTCGCCCCCTTTCCTGCATTTTCCCTCTATTTCGTGCAATAGTTAATCCCACGTCTTATTGCTGGGCAACTGTCGACCAGATGAAGTCGAAGTCCAAGGTACGTGCCACCACTCAGACCTGACGTCGACCGTGCCCAAAACTCTGGAAAGATGGAGCAGTACCAAAGAGAAACTCAGAAACTTCCTGAGAGGTCAAAGTTTGGAGATGACTTTGCAGCCTCGAGTCTCGTTCCAAATCAGAGCAAATGGTCGAGACAGACAAAAGGAGCATCTACAAGTACAAGCTCGCATAAGAAGCGAAAGAGTCACGAGGCAAGCAGCAGTGACGACGAGCTACTGCTCAAGCCGGAAACGAGTGTGCCTAACAAGAACTCGCGGTTGGGTAAAGCGACGACTAGAGCACCGCCAACGTCTCGAAAGGTCTCATCAACTCCGGGAACTGATGAGGGTCCGTCAAAGTCATCGACTCTTGGTCAAATAAAAGGCAAGAAACAGCCGAAGATGTCCGTTCCAAGTCAATCAACCGACACCACATCCCATAAACTTATGAGCTCTAAGCAGCCCGTCAGAAGTAAAACCAAGTCGAAAAAGACAGAGACTCTGGCGCAGGCTGCCAGGGAGCCCTCTCCATCAGGCAGCGACCGTGACCAGACTTTTGACGGCCCGCGACCATTTCCAATGGATCTCGACTCTATTGGTGGACCCAGTTGTGCAACTCGATCTGTTGCTTCGAGGTCATCCTCGGTTATGAGTGCCCGTTCCAGTGTTTCTGCCGCAAGCCGCTCTCGACGAAGTTCCTCAGCCTCGTGAGTGATATTCATCTGGATAGTGTCCCTTATTGACTCTGATTCAGGGGGACTGACGAAGGGGACATAACGTTCACTCAGTACATTACTCGACCCAAGATAGATCCAGAGAAGCTCTGTCCGTTTTGCGACGAACAACTCCCAGAGAAGCCGTCTTCAAAGCTTCTAAGGATGCTTCAGAAACTACGAGGCACTTCAGAGCCCGATCCACGGATGGGTAACAAATTGGGACTAAAGGCAGATATGGACGACTTTACTCCATTCTGTTCCCGACACGAAGCGGAGTCCCGAGAGTTTCCCAGAGGAAGAAGAAAAGGTTGGCCGGTGGAATTGGACGTCGATGACCTCACAAAACGGACACTCAGGCTTGAGCGCAAGCTACAAGCGATCATAGATGATCCCACCAAGGGCACATTTCTCCTTCCGCTCCGGAAAGCAGACAAGAACTTTGGGAAGGGTGCGGTCTCTGGTGCCAGAGCGCAGTGGCTTAATTTTGAAAATACCTCGGCGGGGTAGTGCGTACCGACCAACGTTGAGAGTTGAACTGATCATACAAACCTACAGCTATGGCGAGCAAGGGTTCTCGATCATTATGCATATTCTACTGGACCTCTTTCCGGAGATTTCTCCTAGCAGCATGGCCCCATTGAATCAATCGGATTATTTTGCTATTGTGCTTGTTCCCGAGATGGCACTACTTCTCATCCAGCAAGACCTACAGGCCAAGTCAAAATATACAGATGACTCTGTGTCTCGAGCACGCGCGCTAGAAGTCCTCCGCGAAAGCCGGCGATATGGCGAGGCAATGTTTCCAGTGGAGGAAGACTTGGATGGCAACATTGCAGACGATGTAGCACGTAGACGAGCCACCAAGATCCGACGGCAAAACGATGAACCAAAGACCAGGGGTCAAATAGTTGACCTTTCTGACAGCGATGATGACCCAGAGGTGAGAACTCCGACGAAGAAATCGTCGGAAACCCGGGCAGCTGCGTCTTCTCAATCCTCAAAATCCCGTCAGGGCTCGGCAGAGAGTGGGGAAAGGTGTGACTTTACCCAACTATCACCCCTCTCTGACACTTCTCAGGGAATCAGGACAGAAGAAGAAGAGAACGATTAAGTTCCAAACTCAACAAGAGGCATTCCCTTCGTTTGTTAATGGCGAGGAGACAAAGAAACAGATATCGAATGCCTGGCTATGGACCCCCTAGCCGACCTGTCGATAGGCAAGAATTCTAACTGGTAGATGCACAGAAAGCCTGTCTCTCGGATAATATATACACGCCCACAAATAATCAGAACAGGAACTTGACATTTTGGTAAAAGTCAAGCATGGGATTTTCCCGCTTTGCAATTGCGTGGACGACACTGTCGCATACTTTTCCATAAACTCGCGGTGTGTGTACACGGAAGACCGCCGCTGTCCGACTGGGAGGCCGCTCGTGGACGTGATGCCGTCCAATGGATTGCGTCGTCCAGATCGGAAGGGATTCGAGGTGAAGAATTCGGTTCCAAGACGATATGGAAGGGCACTTGTCGACATTGGAGACGGCCTAGATGCACGGTCGGTTGAAGCAGAGATGGGCCTAGAGAGAATGGCCTCGTAAATGTCCCTCATGGTCTCGAACGAGGTCGGGAAGAATATGTCAAAGTACCCTGGTTGAACAGCCAAGGTTGAACAAGGTACCATGACGTTCTTGAGTCTCGTCTGCACGACTGGCGCGTTGTACCCCGGTACCGAATCAGGAAGATGATAAAAGTCGGTGAGAAGTAAGCGATGTAGTGGAAATTTTTGCGCAAGGAGCTCGAAGAGAATCATGAGTTTTGTAGGGATGTATTCTGGTTCGGTGAGATTGGGCGCAAATGGGAGCAAGCGTCGCAATTGGTAGAGGTAGGGCTGAAACCGCGACGACGCAATCTGCGGTGCCTTGTGCTTTGTGATGTTGCGATAGGCAAGGTATTTGAGGATCAAAGGATCCTGTGCTGGTTCCCATGCCTCTTGTATGTTGCCGTTCGATGAGATGGCTATCAGGCCTTGATATGGTTTCAAGCCATTCAGCGAATACCTCAACGCATCATGTGCAAAGTTGTCCTTGAATGGAATAAGTAATGGGTTGGCGGTCTGACCAAGCATTTACTCACGACGACCTCAATGGCGAGGAAGTAACATGGCATGGCGACCGGTGAGCTCCACGAAAAGATATCCTGATTATTTATCTTGACCATTGGATGCCGTGGAAGAAGCAATTTGCGTTGTCTTTCTGCAAGTCGAGGGCTAATTTCGACGATGTGGTATTGCGTCCGGTCGTATGCGTCGGGGTAATGTTCTCTGAGAAAATCGAGTACGTTAAGCGCCAGTGTGCCATTTCCTGCCCCTATCTCGTAAATGACCAAGTCTTCGTATGGATAATATTTGAGTAGATACTCCGAAACCAAGCACTGAGCGATTGCTTGGCCGTAATAGGGCTGACAGGAATTTCAGAGCAATATTATATCTAGAAAAAAGGAGATACCTTGAACAGTTCCGTCGGTGTGTGCCAAACTTGTCTTCCTGCAATGTCTCGCGGGTCGCTCGACTCATCGTATTCGCGGTACAGTCGAGCAACAGTGGCATCAAACTCTGCAGCTTCTGCAATCTCGTTGAAGTTTATAGACTCTACAGGCGAGAATATCTCTGCCCGTTTTGAAAAATAGCCATAATTTGGATTGTAGAGTGAGTCTTGAATAAAGTCGCGTACGAGCATCTTGACGCCTCTTGGAGGGGATGAATAAGATATCAAATCCTCCGCGGAAACGCGTGGATAGCGTGCTATCTCCTCATCGTGCGCGTCTATACCTTCGAGGTCGAATGTGTCGCGGTTGTAGTTGAACTGGTCCGTCTGTTTCGCCGCAAAATGTCGTTTGTGATGTCGAATATAGTTTCTGTGAATGTTTCTTGATATTAGAGATATCCGTCTGGCGTGGCCCAGCATCAAGGAATGTTGACCACTCACTTCTTAACTACGACCACGACCATGGCAGATCTCGGTTCGCAGCTTCTGGGAGCTAGAACACCGCGTAAGACGCCTGGAACGCTCTCTGCACGCCGTTCAAACGTCTCATTGCGGCAGTCTGGATCGCTCGCGCAAGACTTGGGAGGATCGGACAACGATGGAGGCCAGCGATTCACCCTTGCTCATGAACTCGCAGCAGCCCTCATGCCGGATCCAAACTCGTCGTCGCGCATGCTCGCTGATGAGTTTGGGATCGAGCTAGAAGAGGACGGAGACGGCGAGGCCGAGACCACTCCTGATGACAATCTCCAAATTCATGTCCCGCAACATGTTGATAATCCACCAGAGCTTGCTCAGGCTGAACCTTTACCTGTAAAACCAGCGCCCAGCCGTGGCCTGTCCTCGGTGGCGGGAGACGGCCCAGATGTAGCAGCCATTCGCAAGCAATCACCTCCACCAGTATTCGAAAAGGATCCCTTTCTTGTCCTCAACCAAAGTCTAAAATCCACGGACAAGTTTATCAATCAACTCAGACGACTCGACTCTGAGCCCGCGCATACTTCTTTGGCATCGCAAGAGTCCTCCCTCGAAGAGCTCGCAGCAACTATCATCCGCAAGCTTGACGAGACTACGCGTGCCCGGGAGGAGCAGGTGCGAGAGTTGCTCGGGTACGAGAGAGAATTTCGTAAAATTGCAGGGGAGATTGGTGGAAACGACCTATTAGGAGATTTAGACGAGCTTGAGAGAATAGATGGTCTCATAGACGAGCAGAGCGCTCCCAAAGAGCCGACCCAAACCGACGAAGAGCTCACTGTACCGCGCCACACCCGTCCAGTTTCGAGTGCTTGGGAGGATGCCCCAGACCCACACAGTCTGGACGCGCTAATGGAGGAAGAAGAAGAAGAAGAGGAGGAAGAGGAAGACGGTTACAACGAGCCCAATACTCCTGCAAAGGATGTCACATTTTTACCCCCTTCCCCTCCTTCGACGGGTCCCCCGACACCATCAAGTACCCTCCCACACCTCGCTCACATGCGCACCATCACTCAGTCACTAGTAAGCTCGCTTGGGACTATCTCGGAGCAAGCGCAGGTCAACGCTGCAGCTACGACCGAAGCCGGTCGAAAGATTAGAATGCTCAAGAATAAGCTCGGTGGCTGGAAGTCCGAGTGGGAGAGTGCAGAACGAAGTAGGATTAGAATTGAGAAGTGGGAAGCAGGAATATGGGACGATGGTACCGATATCACCGTCCTGAGTCCTACCTCTCCTCGAGACTCGTCTCCACCAGACTCGCTGCCCAAGGGGTGACACCAGGGAAGCGGATCGATGTCCGGAAGATTGTAGAAGAGGAGCTACGCGCATTCTCATTGGTACTACAGGAAGCGGCCAACAAGACGAATGCAATCATGGCATCGTCTTGAGGTTGCTCACGACATTTCTCTCATTGATACAATCCCAATCCCATCATGTATTATCATCACGCTTATCGGTATCTGATCTATTATTTGCTACCAGTTGAATACTCCCCGAACGGATTCCACTGCCACCTGCTGGGTCCACGGCGCTTGTTAGTTGCAAGGGCTTGACCCGTCCACATCCTGGATGCAGTCTCCTGGTATTTCCCCTGTAACTGAACATCTTTCAGAGAGCGCGAGGCCTAGTTCGCCCTGGTCGTCGCTTTCTCATGTTTTGAGAGCGCGTGGTCGAACGTTGTCCTCGTACACGTCCAAGATCCCCGTCCTCGCTGGCTCGTCACGATATCAAGCTTTTCAATTTTATTCTGACATTGGGGATGACCAGAAGTCAGAGGGCGATATTCCGTTGAGATTTGCAGACCCTCCCCCGACGCTCAAGGAGCTGCACATTGATGGACACAAGTTAAACCACCACCTTGATCAAGAAATATCTGGATTGGGAGACAATGCGGATGTCTGGGAAGAGTATTGCAACGAATCGGCGGTCATAGACAGAGAACTCATTTCAGAACTCAACGGAAGTTTGGATGTACTTCTCATCTTCGTGAGAACTTTCCGCATATTCGCATCTTGTACTGACTGACCGAAAAGGCTGGTTTGTTCTGCGCAGTGCTCGCAGCCTTGTTGATAGAATCGTACAAGCTCCTCCTGCCCAGCAACGATGATCAGTCTCTCGTCCTCCTCGAAAATATTCTTATCACACTGCATAACAAGACTGCGCCACAACTACCCATGCAACAAGACTTCAGCCCAAAGCCCTACGCCGTGCGGGTAAATACATTGTGGTTCGCATCCCTCGCTCTAGCACTTGGTGTCGCCGTGGAGGTGATGTTGGCTAAACAATGGCTCCACAAGTATGGTGAAGGTGCGAACTAAATGTTGTATGTATGCATTACTGATCAACACCAGGTCTGTCAAATGTCCCTAGGCTTCGGACGCAGCTACGACAGTATCGCTACGACAACCTGCGCCGATGGGCTCTACCGGAAATGGTCAACTTTCTCCCCACATTACTTCATCTTGCACTTGCCCTCTTCCTCCTCGGTCTCATTGACTTCTTGTGGAATCTCAACATCTTCGTTGCAACTGTAACACTTTCAATTTGCACACTGTTTGGCGGTATATATGCCCTCCTCATGATACTCCCCCATCTATACACCGACTGTCCCTATAAAACGCCCTTCTCTCGCCTGCTGGGCTTGGCATATTTTCGCATCCGAACGGCATTACACAACTTGCGAGGGGATCACGCCGCACCTCCCAAGTTTGTGTCCTTGGAGCAAGCGGAGCAACAGGCTATACAGGCTCGGCGGGATGTCCTCCAAGCAAAGGCACTTGCATGGCTCATGACCAATTCCCGAAGCACGCTCATCGTAAAGACGGTCACCCGGTCCTTTGCGAGCTTAACGCCGGGCTTTACCGCAATGTCAATCCTTCGACAAGCGGGAGCAATCCAGCGCGTAGCAGAGCAGTTTCTCTCGTGCTTCACGGAGAACAAAGTCTCCTCGTTTACCAGCGAACCGGCTTTTCGGTTTCAGCTAAACAAGGAGAAGAGTGAAGAAGCAGGGATCTATGCCCGAGCTCTTGTGGTTCTCACTGAGGGCCTACCAGCTACCCGCTGGCCTTTGAAGCCTCCCCGAGACCTCTTCCTGTACTCGGACGCGCTAGATTCTGCATTGGGCAGCCTTATGAGCCAAACAGACGACGTGGATGTCGTCATGTACGCGATTGCTGCGAGAGAACATGTCTACCGCGCTGGACGGAATCGCTTCCCAAACAATCGATCTCAAGCTCCCGCTCATAGTCTGGGAGAACTCTTGGATGTCACCAGGAAGGTTTCAGACGATGAACTGATCCCGAGTATCAGTGGTGTCGTTTGCATTCTTGACACAATCCGACGCTGTGTCGAGGCTACGGCATTGGAGCAGCGGTACTCTATATGGGAGGACTTTTCAGTGCCCCTGATGCAGATATTAGAGGACACACCTCCAGAGTGCCGTGTGAGAGAATCCCTTTCCCGGGTTCTAGCCTGCTTCGCCGGGCTGAGCCCTTCTCGCGATTATTCGGATGGAAACGACCCGACAGAGCACCGGATCATTTTTGCGCTCTCCTCTCTTCTAGCCATTACTGACCGTAAAATGAAGCGGGAGGGTGAAGAAGAGATGATTGTGAACATGATCGCCGCTGCGTTGAGTGTCACGCTGGAGAGTTACAGCAGCTTCTTTGTTCATTCTATTCGACCGCTTAGCGAGCCTCTCGCCCTCCTTCTCCCTCTCATATCGACCTCGAATTCAACAGAGGTTAAGAAATCATGCCTGGACATGATACGACATGCGGACTATACGGATCTGCCACCAAACTCTTTTTCCTCTCTCATGGGAATTCTCAAAGATTCTGCATATTCCGAACTTCACCCCAACCTTGCCCAGGTACTGGACAAGCACATGCAAAATCCTCACGTCTCACCCCACCTCGCTGACCCAGCCATCCTTCGCAGCATAATTGCACTCTTGGCGGCAAAGCATATAGAGACCAGAGTGCAAGCGTCAAGTCTACTACTCGAAACGTGCTCCTCAGCCCTCAGAGCGGGTGGCAAGGCAGCTCAACGTGCAGCATTAGACCCGCTCATTAAAAGCGGTCTTCTCGAAGGACTTTCAAACTACTTCCGGGTATGCACAGCAACTACATCTACAGCAGATGAGGCAGCCTTGCTGTATGGTCGGGAAGACAATTGGGTCCCGCGGTTGCTTACCTTGCTCGATCTCTACCAGACCGAGATCATTGAGAGCGAGGTAATGGAAGCATGTATACTAATGTCCCTACAAATCCAACCGGGAAAGGCGGAAACGGCAACGAACCTCAAAGAGTGGTGGTCTCGATATACGGAATGGGTTAATTCGCGCAGTAAAGGACCCAAACCTCGAGCGAAGGGTGCTCTCTATCGGAGACAGGATGTATAAACAATGGATGTTGTAAATGGATGGGATTATAACGGATGTATATAACAAATACAGCTAAAAAGCAGCAATCGTGGTATAAACCTCTAGCAATAAAGACTGAAAAGGGTCCACTGACCTCAGCTTTCATCGAGCTTCCTCTTCTTTCGCACAGGCTCTGAATTTTCTGGATCAGGTCCACTTGAGGAAACCATCCCGACGATTTGATCGAGACGACGAAACGCCTCGAATAGTGCAGGTCCCACGGTTATGATTTGTGATTGCGGTATAAACCTTTGTGACCGTGGATATTGTGCAGATACCTCATCCATAGGGTGTAGCGGTGTCATCTCGACACCTTCCATAGATGTATCTCCCACCGGTTTGACTTCGTTGCTGTAACGGTGGAGAGTAAACGCATCCGCTGGGGTGGAGGAAACTTGCACCCCGACGGCCTCAGTAAAGATATGTGAAATCTGGCTCCTAAGGTTCACTATGACTTGTTCTTTATCATCAAGTTGCCGACGTAGGTCCTCCTCAACCTGTTTGCTACGCTCTCGCTCCTCTTCTAGCATCTTTTCAGAGAGAGCGAGGCGTTCTTTAAGAAACATAATGGTGGGGCTGTGCATTTCAGGATCGCTTACCCGCGATCTTTCTTCCTCTTGCAAGCTTTGATTGTGATGCACACCGATTGATTTATGGTCGGTTTGTATTCTGGCCAGACCTTCTTGTATTCGAACAAGGTGATTCCGCGAATCTTCATAGCGTTGTTCAAGTGGCTCGCTTTCCATAAGATTCACAGATATCTCTCCGTCAGATCTGCTCGTTACCAAGGAGCTTAAGCTGGCCGTTCGGTGCAGCTGGGCCCCTTCTACCCGCTGAAGAATTGATGGCTTCATAGGAGACAAGCGGGCGGAGAGTGCTGATTCTTGTATAGAGGCGGTGCCGGCAGGAGATGCCGAATGAATATCTCCATGGACTCGTTGGAGGAGGCTTGGAGGATTCGGAGAGCCATGGATTCTATCTATGAGATGAGACACTGCAGATTGAGAAGTTGGAGTTCCAACTCCAGCATCTGCTGCACTTGGAATCGTATCTGGTGGCTGCAGACGATGTAGAAGATCTACTCTTTTCGGCGAGGGCAGATTCGTGTCAGTCCCTATTGCAGGTAAGGTGGCGGAGACCTCAGCCCGAGCAGAGGATAAGTTGATTGACGGTGATGGCGTCGTCGGGTTTGGCGGAGTTGAATGTTGCCTTTGGGGCTGTCTTGCAGGTCGAATTTCCCGTTCATGAAGCTCGGATGGAGCCTCACGACGCAATCTTGAACGACCGGGAAGAGTGTCGTGTAGCTCTGGGAGGTATCGACTTGGCGCGTCGTATTTGCCTAGCAGGCGACGATTCAAACTTGAGATGCGAAGCCGCGAGTGTCCGGCGAGAGCCCTCTGAGCTCCATCTGCCTTTAAAAAGGTCACGAAGACGTGCTCTCTCCCTCCATCCCTGAAAAATTGAACCCTATCCCTGTCAATGGTTCAGTCGTATGACAATAAATCGAAAAGAAAGAGGAGCCAGGAGTATTATATAGGGATATGGAGTCAATGGTGGTGAAGGCCGAGGCTAGAGTACTTACACGGCTCCAAACGAGGACAACTCTTCCCAAACAGCCCTTTCCGTGAGACTTTTGTCGACATCTTCGAGCATTATGATTCTTTGTTGAAGCCATGAAGGGATATAAAGCATTTCATGTGCGCGGCTGGTTGCGGTTAGGTTCAAGCAGAGGCGCGGCGTCATTCTCGTTTGTGGGCCGATGCGAATTCTAAGATACGACGAAACACCGAAAAATCGGATACAAGAGAGACTTGAATAAACAAACACCTAATGGTCTACATCCCCTGAACTCAGAGATCGCCCAGCTTCCTCTTCTTTCGCATTGGTCCCTCCGGACCGTCTTTGAAAGCCTCCTTTGTGACATGATTGGATATTATTTGGTCAAGAAGACGAAATGCCTCGAGTATGGAGGGACCAACGGCTGAAATATACGTTTCCGATATTTGACCTTTGGTATGACCTTTCTGGATGGCGCAATCCTCCAATTTTTCATGAAGAACAGTCTCCTGGTCCGTGTGCTTCATGTCCTGAGAGCCGGCAAGGTCGATATTGAGTTCCATCTCAATATCTGCGCGGTGGACGATGTGAGGCTGGCTCGAAGATCCATTCCTGAGCTCCTCAATCACTCGATTTTGCTCTTCCACAGCGCGTCGAAGGTTAGCCTCGGCACGGCTGTGACGCTCTCGCTCTTCCGCTAGCAGCTTTTCTGATTGTGCTAGGCGATCCTTCAAAAGCACGACGCTTTTATATGCTTCACCTAGATTATTGAGAAGCGATTTAGTGCCGTCTTGTAGTGGTAAAAGCTGACGCTCCAATTCGTGGGATCTTCTTTTCAACGCGTTAACATAACCCCAAGAGAACGTTGTATCTCCATTACTGAACAATTCGAGCTTGCTCGAACCAGGCTCCAATCTAGTTTCCTCGTCCGAAGGCATCGAGTCTGAGGAACATTCTGACGAGTGCTCCGATTCCATAGTCGGAGCCACATCATGATCATGATCATCATGGTCTCCTGTAGAATCCGGTCTATGTGACCGGGTCCTATTATTTGATGCCCATCCCAAGATACGTTGCATGTAATGGGCTGGAGGCTCGTATCGTAAGAACCATACCCGAGTCATGGGTCTAATTGGAAGTTTTGAAGTGCCATTGAGGGCCCTCGTTGCGCTTTCAGAGTCTCTGAATGTGACTAGCGCATGCCTCTTCTTACTCTTGGAAATAATGATTTGCACTTGCTCCCTGTGAATGGCTTCAGCAGGGTTCACTGGACGTCAAGAACGATTCATACACGATCCCAAGCAAGCCAGCCTTCTCTTGATAGTATCCTCGTCCAGCTCTTCATCAATAACTTGAAGTAGAATAACTTGTTCTCGAAGCCACAGTGGAATTTTCATCCGGACCAAAGACGTGGCCGTGGCCAAGTTGCTCAACCACACGGCGATTGGTGCATATTCTCCAATGCAACTACCTTCGTAGAGCGGATATAAGATATTTGGACCTTTAATCATCGCTGTATGATGAAGACACCTGTGCCGAGTTACTGAAATGGTGGGGACGAATCGAATTTCAGAGCCTCAACTACATACAGGGGTATGAGTAGTTGCATGATGCGGACAAATAGATTAAACCCAAAAAATCCGCAGGTCCACATAGATACCTGATAAAGTAACAACCACCTCAGGCATCGCCTAGCTTTCTTTTTTTGCGCATCGGACCTTCTGAACCGTCTGTGAGAGCCTCCGCTGAAAGCGCGCCAGTTATAATTTGGTCAAGGAGACGAAATGCCTCGAGCAGGGAGGGGCCAACAGCTGAAATGTACGGTTGTGGGATGGGAAGGTGTGAAACGGCCTCGTTCTCTTGTTTCTCAGGGCGATATTTCGTTTCTTCTGTGGGATCTGTACACCCAGAATTGGACGGCGCATTGTCACTAATCTGCATGGTAGAGTCCTCCCTGGAGACGAGTGGAGGCTGGGTCAATCTAACCCTGAGCTCTTGGATCACTTGATTTTGTTCTTCTATTTTCTGTTGAAGGATCCTCTCGGCTTCGCTACGGTGCATTATTTCTTGCTTTAGCCTTTTCTTCGCATCCTCTAGACCTTCCTTGAGAAGGTTGATGTATTTGTGAGCTTCACCGAGATTGCTGCGAAGCTGCTGACTACTGCCTAGTAGTTGGTTGACTCGGTGTTCTGATTCTTCCAGCTTCTTCTTCAGAGCTTCGTCGTAGGATGAAGGTACTGCTACGGTCGGCTCTGTGGATGGGTATGGAATAAGGAACCGGGGGATGCCCAATGACCGTAGGATTTCTACTTGTTGACTATCCGTAAGCTTATATCGTGCGAACCATGTCGGATTCATGGGTTTGATTGGAAGATTGGATCTGCCATCAAGGGCTCTGGCTGCGCTTTCTCCATCCGTAAACGTTACGAGTGCATGCCTCTTCCCACTCGTCCTTCCGACAATGAATTGTACATTTTCCCTGTCAACAGCCTCAGCACTGTCCACCGGCAACTCTGATTGAATGTAGACTTACACATCTCCAAACTCGGCCAACTCTTCCGTCACAGTCTCTGCGTCTAGGTCCTCGCTGATTACTTGGAGTGAAATGACTCGTTCCCGTATCCACTGTGGAATGTGCATATATACGCTGTTCATTGCTAGGGTGCAGACGTGGCCGGCTCCAGGTTCCGACCACACGCCGAATAAACAATTGGCATCATTGCTCTACGTATATCGGTTTCATAGCGAAGAGCAGACAATAAGAAGAATTACAGCACTGTTACAAGTTCCGTTCCTGGTAAGGGTTGTATAGACACCAAACGCCATTTGCTGAGAGCGTTCAACGGATCATTGCAGCATACATTCTTCGTTCGGGAGCAGGGTCTGCTGTTTCCAAGAGAATTAAGCAACGCATCCGCATAAACGGGGTCCAAGGTTGAGTTTCCAACTTGACTTCGACCGCGTCCACCGTCGTCGCTACTCCAACGAATTTATAGCATACCACTAGCAAAAGAATCTCACTCACAATGGCTGATGCATATGGTCAGTCTCTTATGTTTCCTCAGAGGTCTCGAGCTGATTTGTTCTTAGATGAGAGAGGTAAATGCCACATTTTCCTCTTGTGATAAATCCACCATGGCTCATGGCACTCCAAGCCATGTTTTTCTCAGCTAGCTAGCGCGCTATAATGGCCAAACCGCCCCAAATGTCGTGGCTCCTACTGACGACAAGTTGTAACATCCATGCGCTTACCTCGCTCTTCTTGTGGCTCCCACAGATCGCCGACATCGTTCTCCTCGTCATTATGACCGCGACCGACGCGAACATCGAGACCGTGGAGATGACCGGTACAAAAGAGATGATAGACGGGACGACAGACGCCCTCACCGTGACAGAGACGACAGATACAGAGACGAACCTCGAGACAGACGTCGTCACGATGAAGACCGTGGAGGATATCGACGCGATTCGTTTAGAGAGTCTCGCGACGACCGCAGACGCGACCGACATGCGTCCAACGACCGCAGGTCCCCTACACCTCCCAATTCCGTACCACTTTCTCAACGCAGGCGCAAGGCATCTGGTTGGGATGTGACTGCACCAGGCTACGAGCAATATTCTGCAATGCAGGCCAAACAGACTGGTGAGTTCATGCGAATATTTTGATCAATTCCAATGTCTCTTTAGGCCTCTTCAATCTTCCTGGCGCAAATAGGAGCCATGGACCCCAGATTATTGGTTTTACCGGCGCTCACCCTCCTGTCGCGACGGGCATGGTCAGCAATTCCAACCTTGCACGTCAATCCCGTCGACTCTACCTTGGCAGCATCACCCCTCTGGCGGATGAAGAGAGCATCGCGCTGTTCTTCAATTCACAGATGCGTGAACGCAAATTGACGACCAGCTCTGCGCCTCCAGTCCTGGCTGTACAGGTCAACCGCGAGAAAAATTATGCCTTTGTCGAGTTTAGGAGCGCGGAAGATGCGACGGCTGGCATGGCATTGGATGGAACGGTCTTCTTGGATGGTCCTCTCCGCGTCCGTCGCCCTCATGACTATGCTGGACCAGAGGCTATGACCGGCGTCGCTGGATTTGCGACATTGCTCCCAGCAACGATGCCAGACTCTGTCAACAAGATATTCATCGGTAATCTTCCGACGCATCTTACAGAGGATCAGATCGTCGAGTTGCTGAAGAGCTTTGGTGAACTCAAGGCATTCAATCTGGTCAGGGAACACGGAACCAATGTTTCCAAGGTATTTACGGTCCGCATCACTCTTTCAATGAATCTAACAGGTAGTCAGGGCTTTGCGTTTGTCGAGTATGCAGACCCTGCCGTTACTGATATCGCTACGGAAAGCCTTAATGGTATGGATCTTGGAGACAAAAAACTCGTCGTTCAGCGCGCTTCCGTGGGTGCCAAGGGTGGCGTTCCCATACCACCAGAAGCAATGGACATTCCAGCACCAATCGTGGCTGTCGATCTGAACAAGGAAGCAAACGGACGCGTCGTTCTCATGTTGAACATGGTTGTGGCCGAGGATTTGATGGACGATGTCGAGTACGAAGAGATCCTCGACGACATTCGCAGCGAATGCAGCGGCTTTGGCCAGGTTCTTGGTGTCTATGTGCCACGACCACTTAAAAAGGACAAGTCTCGCTGGGATACCATGGATCCAAACACCATGTCTCCCGCGGAGATTGCCAAAGCGGACGAGATTGCGGGAGTCGGCCGAGTTTACGTCAAGTTTTCTGACACGGAAGGCGCCACGACGGCGGTCCGACAGCTCGCGGGACGCTCGTTTGCAGGGAGAACTATTATTACAACACTCATGAGGGAAGATGACCCAGATGTGCAGCGCGTCTTTCCCAATGCTTGATATCCTTGATTGCAGCAAAAGCAAGGCATGGCTTGTGTGAGTGTACAAGAGGATCGACAATAGATAGGACTATTCCTGTGTATCTTTGCTTTCCTTCTTGTACCTTTCAGCAAAGTCGCCATGATATGGATGGTTGACCAGATTGAACCTGTAACGACTCTTGAGATAATTGAGGGCACACTCGAACACAGAACATACCACGGGAGAACTGCAAACCAAAGCTGCGAATGTCGTGAATTCGCGGCAGCGATTTGTTGCATGTGTTCCGGTTGAGGGCTCTCGCCATAGAGTGGCTTGCCTTCTGCAATCTTCCTGGTCATTTCTACTCTATCTAGTTCTTGTTCCCGTTTATTTTCTGACCAGCCCCAAAAACGTTCTGCAAAGGATGAGGGTTATGCAGTTTTGCTTCGTAGGCTTTACGCACTTGACGAATCTTGATATGCCATCAAAAATCCTCCCATTGCTCCCATCGTTGCCGCGAGTGTGTAGAGGATTCGATTAGCTCGTCCTGGAAGTCTAGGCAGAGGGTCGAATCGGCCTGTAAATGCAGTTTAGTGAGACAAAGACGGCAGCAACGACGATGACAAACCCCAGACATAGTAAGCAGCAGGCACTGTAGCTGTTACAGTCGCCCAAGTTGCATAGTCTCGTGGTCGAAAGTAACGAACAACACGAAATGCGTGCGGGTCCGTGTCAATCACCGGATAGCGGGGTGTGCCCGTTACAGGCCCGTCTAATGGACCTGGCATCGTTTCTTGGGAATATTCGACGGATTTTTTAACGTCGCCGAGGTCGTTTGGTGTGTGGACAAGTTGGCTTCCCACTTTGCACCCAGCCGTGACGGCCCTCGAGCTTGACAAGATGGACCGGGCAGACGCGCGTAGGGAAGCCAGAGCAGACAGGAGACAGCTCGCACAGAATCCGTATGGCTCGCGACCGCCCCGCAAAAAGGTTAGCAAAGTTTTGTTGGCGGGCCCATCGCCTTTGTTGGCATCGCGCTCAGCGCTCGAAAATAGATTAATAGGGTCAAGCCGAGCGGTCTCTGGGGTCTGATAAAATCTTGGTCATTTTTTGGCCAAGGTGAGGAGCAAAACGGTGATGATTTGGAGGACTACGAGTCGGACGAGACTGCGCAAGCCGGAACGCATTCTCATCCAGAAAACTCGTCATTCTCGGATAATTCAACCTCTGGGACGGAGACAGGATCCGTGGTGTCCTCCCAGAATGCCCCGAGCACAGTTGCGCACCAGGTGCGGCCCAGCTTTCGAAGGCACAGGGTCAGTATGCTCCCTTGTTTGTAGCATTATGACTAACCCTATCATTTGGTAGATGCCTGGTGAATTCATACGCGCCTCATCGCGAACGCCCACTCCCGGGCCCAGAACTACAACTCATATGAACGCACTTGCTCAAGCCATCGCCCAAGAGCAACAAGAGGCAGCCCAAAGCAAATTCGAGTCTCGTGCTAGCCCCGATATCTCTATCCCAGGCTCCTTTGAGGCCCAGTCATCATCCCAGAAAGACGAGGGCAAGGCTTTGGTGAGACTCGGCCAGCCGGAGTCAGAGGCCAAACCAGATCAGCCAGCCAATCTTGCGGCACCTGTTGATGAATCAGGGCTCAGCGGCTCTACAGACCTTGATGAACTGGTACCCCCGCCTGTGCCGACCCATGGACTGCCACCATTCCGCTCTCAATTCGCACCACCGGCCGGTAGCCCTATATTTGATCCTATTCCTCTGGCTCCCAACAAAGGACCGCTAACGGATGAGGAGAAAGCCGAGTTCCGCAAGAGGATGGATGAACGAAATTATGAGATTAGAAAGTTCCTCGACATTGATTACAACGAGCTTTACGAACCTGGCGCATGGGATGAGCTTCTTCGATACAACCGCGTTAAAGGCAAGCACGATTTTTGTTGGAATGACGAAATCTCACCCCTCCGCAGTTACTCCCCCTCCGCCCGAGGAAGGAGATTTGGTCGACTTTGATGACGATCTACCAAAGGAGACTGTATCTATAAAGCCTGGTGAAAAGAAGTTTGATCCGTCCAGGGATCCAAATGAAGTGGGTTGCATTTGCAGTATATGGCTACATTTACTGACAAAGACCTCCAGGGGTACACACCAGAGGAACTCATGGTGAACCCGTATCAGCGCATCAGCGCATTTCGTGGGCGCTCCCGCCATATTTTGCGGCGAACGAATAACCCCCCACCTCGTCCTAAACCGATACCTCCACCTCAAACGTCTACTCCTACATCGACATTTGTTGTGCCGCCGAAACCCGAGACCGTTACCTCAAATGCCACTTTAAAGCGTCGCGTTTTATCTCCAGGAGAGGTAAGATCAGCTGCGGGTTTCGAGATTCCTCTCTCACCGGTCGCTTGCAGAAACAGGTCCTCCCAACGAAGAAGAAAGATAAGCGTGAGGTTCTGATGTCCCGTTTGAGTAGTGGCTTGAATAAGGCAATTCCGGAGGCAGTGTTGGCCATGGACAACGACCCAACGGTTGAGAAATCAGAGCGGGAAGACTTTGGCCTCATCCCAGGTGTTGGAGTGTACACCTCCCTGAGCACACGGCGCTCTCAACCTCTGTTGGTTGCAACGAAAGGAGCAGTGCTCGATCCTCCCAAGGCTCGGCCATCCAAATACACCAGTTCCACCGAAGGAGAAATGGAGGTGGATGAAAACCTTGACAGTCGGTTTATTATTTACGCCGAGGGAGAAGATGCGGATATGGCCCAATCGGAAGATATGGAGCAGCTACAAGCGGGCGAAGAAGGTCAGGAGGATGACATGGTGGACGAAACCCCTCAACCTCTGCCAGTTGCAAAGAAGGTAAAGAAGCGACCTACGATTCGAGCACCGGAGATGCTCAGGCCAAAGAACTCGTTGCACTCGCCGATTAATCCATCACCTCTACGCTTCATGTCCAAGTTTTCTCCGGACAGTCCTGAAGCGGTTCCCGTAGCTCCTCTCCCCGGGAGTGCAATGCAAGAAGACAACGAGGACATCCTGATGATGGATAGGCTGCCGGGATACAGCCTGCGCATATACTCGTTTGCACCTGGCTCCCTTGCTTCTATTAAACCAACGCGAGCATTGATGTTGGCAAAGGAGAGAGCGAAGACTTTGTCCGTTCACACCCTGCCCGACTACCCACTTGCCCAACAAGTCCCGGCCAAACGATCGAGTCGACTCCGCGAGAAAGGCCTTTCTCCTCCTAGAAGGCCACCACACTCTCTGCGAGGTGTCGGTGTCTCACCGAAGCGGGTGAACGGCACTGCATCTTCGACAGCCAACACACCATCAGCTGAAGTGGCGAAGAATTCGTCCTCAGCCTCTAATGGTGTTCCTCCCTTGCGACTCCCCCCAGCACCGAATACGAAGCTGCCCCCTTCACAAGCCTCAGTGGTCGATCTTGCTACGCCGCTACCTTCACAAAAGCAATCGCGATTGCAGCCCGCGGCGTCTCCACACACCCGGACCAACGAATGGGCATCTGCGGGCTTGCAAAAACCACAAATTCAACCCACCAGTGTGCCAGCAGCTGCACCCACGACCAGTGGGTTCAATTGGGGAGCTGCTGGCATCAAAGCCCCGTCAAAGTCCTCTGGGTCCTGGACTTGTGACGTCTGTATGATCAGTAACGACGCGGATAAAGAAAAATGTGCGGCTTGCGAAAGTCCTCGACCTGCAACTTCCGCACCTCCTGCTCCCACGACCAGTGGGTTTAACTGGGGAGCCGCTGGCATCAAGGCCCCGGCAAAGTCTTCTGGATCTTGGACTTGCGACGTCTGTATGATTAGTAACGATGCAGCCAAGGAGAAATGTGCGGCTTGCGAGAGTCCTCGGCCTGCGGCAGCTACACCCGCCGCACCTGCTGCACCATCAAGTTCGACACCTGTGGTGCCGCCTACCAGTGGATTCAACTGGGGTGCTGCCGGTCTCAAAGCACCGTCAACGCCTTCGGGATCCTGGAACTGTGGAGTCTGTATGGTCTCCAACGATGCGACCAAAGACAAGTGCATATGTTGCGAGACGCCAAGGGGGTAAAATTATGGTCCCATATTTCGAACATATTTGCACATGACTGTTCTTTTTGGTTGTTCCGCGATGTCTATAGGCCTCTGGGCACTCAATCCTGTATCTCTAGGCCGTTTAATCAAGCAATCGTGTTCAGCGTGAAACGTATACATGAGGTCCAATAAGGATAGATACAGCAAGACTACCGATCCCTAGGATGCGCAAGAGTGCCCTTCAGATCGCCTAGCCCAGTATTGGTTAAGTTGACAACATCTCTTTTCGTCAACATTCCACATAGCTTTCCTCTTGGTGTGGTGAACAGTATACAGCGGAGATTCTGAGAAAGCATGAGTCAAATGTCGAAGTGGATGGGGAAATGTTCACCATCTTTTGGAAGGTTGAAATGACGAGTTCTAGTGGCATCTCTTTTCGCATCCTAAATGGTGAGTCGTCCACAATGTCTGAGAGATCTGCACCGCGGAAGCCATCCGACGGTGGGACGAATGAACATATGCTTTGAGTATCGTCATTTTGCGTTTCTGCAAGTAGAGGTCCTAAAGGAAGGTGAGATTGGCTGGCAAAGAAGAATTCAACATACCGATTGCCGTCTTCAGGCGTTCTCGAGCTACATATCCAACGAGCGAACCGTTGTCGACAACCGGGAATCCGTAATAGGTATGTGTTGTGACAAGTCCATCTACATCAACTGTCAGAAGAGTAGCGAATTTGATCAATCAACGAACTCACGAAGTTCACTCAGTGTTGACTGGCTCCCGACGCAAAAGATCTTTGACGCCGGGATCATGACGCTCGCCGCGGTCTGCCCATTGTCTAGAATGTGTTGGTTCGACAAGGCTGGATAATTTCGAAGTTGTATCCATGCAGTGTAGATACCATCTTTCCCCAAAGCATCCCCGACAAACTTGCTTATGATAACCGAGAGCATAATCGGTAGGACATGGGATAATGCGCCAGTAAGCTATACATTGCTATCAGTTGAGCCATCTTGGTGGTAGATTGTCCTATACTTACCTCGAAAAGAATGACAACCAAAGAGACTGGTCAATGGGTTAGTCCTGGTCGACAATTGGGCGATGAGCTTACCAGTCATGCGTGTCACTCCACCGAGCATGGACGCTGCACCGACGACGGAATAGAAACCAGGATAGATGCATCGGGATCCTGGTTCCGGTGGGCACGTATTGAAAATCCACAACGTTGGCCATTGTTGATGCATAGCATGCCTAACCCCAATATGAGCAAATAAAAGGTATCCTTTCTCATACTCACATTATCATCCCAACCGCACGACCAAGGGTCGCACCAATGGCGATGGAGGGTAGGAATATTCCGGCAGGAACCTAGGAATGGTTAAATGGAGTTTAGGAAGTGCATCTATATCCCTACTTGAATACCAAATGTCCAAGCAGTCAAAAGAAGTTTGATCACTGCGGTCAGCACGAGTAATATGACGTTTCGAAGGGTAGAGTTTGGGCTACTCCCGCGTGAGCACGAAGACGCCGTGATTACACTATACGCACTCGCATAAACCATAGAAGTTTGTGCTTGGATCGCATTCTTGGAAGAGGTCCGAGACAAGGACGGACGATTGTACGCTGGCTAGAGATTAGCCGTGCTCAGCAATAATGCTTGAAGACACACCGAAGAAAGATCAACTAGGAAATGTTGTATTAAGTCACAGTTTTGTTGCAAAATATATGACGCACCGGATAGCTGATGATTGCCGTGACCGCGGTCACAACGATGACCTCTAGGAGAGGCCACTCTGCTATTACGCTCTTGCTACGATAGACAGCTGCCTTGACATTGAGTCGGATGAGGAGTGATCCCAAGGCGCCCTATCGAGAGTGAAAAGATACACTTTAGATTACAGAAGACGTACACCAAGTACAGCCAACATGGACCACGGAATCTAATCCTGTCAACAACTATGTCCTGTAAAACAAAAAAAAATACTCACAAGTTCGAAGTCTCGCCAAACGCTCTTGTTCTGCACCTGGAAGAGTACAAGTTTCGAAGTGCCGTACGGGTCGACGTATTGCAAAGAGACGGCCGCTATGGCGGATGTCACAAAGGCCCGCCAAATCACTGCTTGATGATTGAAAAGATCGAGCTCTAGACAAAGGTCAATGAGTGTCCATCATTCAAGAAGCCGCGACTTGCCTTCTAAACCGAATACGACCGCACCCACTATGAAGAGTTGTTAATACAATCATTGAGAATCCCTATATTGACGTACACGGCGAGCCGAACGCGACAGAGACCCCTGCAGCAGCGGCCGAGGCGAGAACATATCTCTTTTGCGCTACGTACGCCATTAGAAGATGAAGATACATTCCAAATGATTTACCTTCGTTTTCTCGTAGGGACTTGAATACTCGAGAGAGGAGAAATGCGAGACAGCAAGAGACGTGCACCAGTGGGCCCTTTTGGCGGTCAGTTGGGTCAAAGGAATGATAATTATGCACACTTCTTTCCCCAAGGACAATCCAGAGGCGACAGACAAGGCAAGACCGACACTTTTGATGAGCAGGGTCCACGGAGAGAGAAATTCGTCCAACACGTAGCCTCCCAAGATCTGTGCGGGTCAATCGTTTTCCGTTGGAGACATGGCGACGTACAGCTTTGATCTCTGGAACTAGACAGGAGTCAGTCTTCGTATCGAATAAATATAGATTACGCACTGCCTGTGTGAAATGCATATGGCGCGTACGTGCGGACAAATATGGCAGCAGCAGCAGCAAACAGCACCTAAGGGTCAAGTTGGAATGAAGAACATGGTCTCTCATCCTACTTACGGCCAACGAGACATAGACTAGCCATTGCAGTGGTCCCTCGATGAACATGGATCGGATGTGGAAATAGTTGCTCCAAGTCTCCCATTCCATGCAGATCTCACCGGCTGTGTACGACTCAGTAGTGAACAAGGAATGTAGAGCGCTACATACCATCGAGACCGGAGCAGCAAGCGACTTCGTTGTAGAAGAGGCCATACTTGCATCGGCCAGTCCTTAGATCGTTTAGCCACGCGACCAAAATGTCCAAGCTGGCACCTATGAGCCCAACACCTGCACCTGTGAGACATAGAATGAGCCAGACGCGTGTCGCCTCGAAAAAGGAGGAGACGGCTCTGCGGATGCCTCGCTGGGAGCGGAGAGATTGTTGACGGGAGCGCTCTACGACATCTTCAAACTGCCAGTCTTTTAAGATTGTATGTTAGCGACTGATGCAGAGTTGCAAGCTGCTTGCAAACCTATTGTACTGCGTTCTGGATATGCCTGCGGTCGACCAATAAATCCAGGTTTAGAAGAGCCTCCAGCCAGAGGAATTGTTTCAATTGTATCGTAATCGTCTTCAGAGGACGAGATGGACATCCTCCTGTTCTCTTCGACTGTGGGAGCTCTGCTCGATGACCGCCATGGATTGATGGTGCTCGCTGGACTCTTTGGAGTTTGTGCAATACGGTCCTGTTGTCTACTAGAGCCTTGCTGAGCATTATTTGAGCCTGGCCAGGATTATTGTACAAATCCGAGGCCATGACAGAAGCCAACAAACTTGTTCTCTTCCGCCACGTCGAGTGGCTCGTCGACTCGTCTCCGCGCCGCCAAACGAAACAACAGGACATGTCGCACGGACATACTCATGGCCCAGGGACTCCTGCAAACCACACGCATGGCCCGCCGTCGCCCATGACCCTCACACCTCAGCAAGCCCAGCAGCTCATGGCCGCCCAACAGCAGCAACAGCAGCAAATGGCACAACAGAGACCCGCCCCGGATCCAATTCTTCAGGCCGCAATCGAGGCAGATTTCAAACCTGTTGCGCTGGCGTTGGGCGACGCGGAGAAACCAGCAAGTGTCGCGCTCTGTCGCGAACACAAAAAGGAATCGTGTAGTGTCTGTGGACTCGATTTCACTGCCATGAATGCAATGGCCAAAATGTTCTCCATGGCTCCCTCTGATGCAATTCTTCCACCACCAAATGTCGTGCAGCCTGCACGGGCACAAGCAGTCAGCAAGACCAAGGATGAGGGAAATGTACGTAATGATTTTATACTATGCGGCGACATGACTGACTTTTATTGCCAGGCATTGTACAAGAAGAATCAACACGTTCAGGCCATCAACATGTATACGACTGCTATGCAAATATCCTCATCACGTCCACCATGGGAAAGCAGCAACATTGCACGTGAAGAGCTTACGCTCGTCGTTTGCAACCGCTCTGCAGCCTTTTACGCGGCAGGAGACTATCTATCATCCCTTTTGGATGCCGAGGTTGTCATCTCGCTGAAGCGACCTTGGAGCAAGGGTCACTACCGAAAAGGTCGTGCTTTGCTCGCGCTGGGCGATCCGCAAGGCGCCATGGAGGCAGTCACACTTGGACTACAGTATGAGCCTCAAAATCAGGTGTGTATTCTTTACGTGCGGAGAATCGCATTGCTCACCCTCGACAGGATCTCGAGGCGTTTCAAAAAGAGGTACAAGAGGTTCTCGACAAGGCCAATGCCCCGCCAGAGAACGGCGAGCTGTCTCCTTGAGCGGGACGACTGCCTTTTGGGTTCCTTGCTTGTCCTAACTTATTCTCGTACGGTACTTTTGCAATGTCATTTACTACCAATGACCCAAATTACATCGTCTACTTTGAGCCCGAGCTTGAAGTATGCTGCTACTGCTCCTGGATTCTCGCAAAAGACTGTCAAACAAACGATACAAGCGCTCTTCTGGGTATGATAACCTTTGATCAAGCTGCGGATGAGAGCGGACGCAAGACCTTTGCGCCTATACTCTTCAAATACAAATAGATCGGATATGTATACCCGCGATAAACCTGCCTGAGTGTCTTCCAAAGCTAACAAAAAGCCGCCGACATTGTCAGCGTCGTCGCGAATGAGTAGAACGCTTTCGTGATTGACGAGATTTGCCTTGTCAGGATACGTTTGTCTAAACCAATCACGTCCATCCTCGACCCTCCATCCTGGCAGTTGCATGCTAGGGATACCTACAAGCTTGGACAGGTCAATTGACATGGTATAAAGCATATCAAAGGTCGCGGTGTCATTTTGTAAGCATGTCATGATAGCTGGATGGCTGATTAGGGCCTTTGTATACGTGTTGGTGCTCCATTTAGGGGTCGATGTAAGCTCCTCGAGCAGTTGTTGCAGCGCATCCCCATCTATAGCCTGTTGTTTGTCCAGGAAAAGCCATGAATGATTATCGCCGTCAGTGAATCGTAGTGGAGAGTCTGAATGGATCTTTGTGTTTGTAGAGGTCAGTGTAAAGTGTTTTGCGACGAGATCGAGACACATCTAAACCAGTGTCAGTAGGTTTGCTTGAGTGAAGAAGGACAGACGAGAGATCAGAAGTCTAATATGTCAGCGACGAGGAGAGGACAGAAGTGCACAAAGGCTCGACTGTACAAGACTCTCGACGTCTCTACTAAGAGGTGCCAGTTGACGGTCGTTGTATCGACACTCATCCGCTAGCTGGTTGGAATTCCATTTACCTAGACTTTTTCGACGTCGACGTGGTCAGGAGCAAACAGAGTGCCAAACACCAAACTAACACTCCGCCACGGAAAATGTCTGCTCAAATCAGCAAGAAGAGAAAGTTTGTCGCCGACGGAGTGTTCCGTGCTGAACTTGGAGAGTTCTTTATGCGCGAGCTAGCAGAGGAAGGCTACTCTGGCTGCGAAGTCCGTGTAACACACGCCCGCACAGAAGTATGTGGATGATGCATCATACAGCTTACACAATACCAACCATCTCTGCAGATTATCATCCGTGCCACCCACACCCAAGAGGTTTTGGGAGAAAAGGGCCGACGCATTCGCGAGCTCACCTCGCTCGTCCAAAAACGTTTCAAATTCCCAGAGGGCTCGTTGGAGCTTTATGCTGAAAAGGTCTTGCACCGTGGCTTGTCTGCCGTCGCCCAGTGCGAGTCGTTGCGATACAAGCTGCTCGGTGGTCTGGCCGTTCGTCGGTACGTTTCCAAAAGGTTTTCTGTATTACCATTCTGACATCGATCCCCAGTGCTGCCTATGGTGTCCTTCGCTTCGTGATGGAGTCCAATGCCAAAGGTTGCGAGGTCGTCATCTCTGGCAAGCTTCGTGCTGCTCGTGCAAAGTCGATGAAGTTTACAGAGGGATTCATGATTCACTCTGGTCAACCCGCCCGCGATTTCGTCGACGAGGCCGTCCGACATGTCATGCTTCGCCAGGGTGTACTCGGTATCAAAGTCAAAATGTGCGTAGTCTTGTTTCGACCAACTTTTGCTCGTTTCCTGACCTTGTCCTTTTCAGCATGAAGGGGTGGGATCCCAATGGCGAGACGGGTCCCAGGAAGCCACTTCCGGACATGGTGCAAATCACCGAGCCAGGAATCGACAAGGTATTCGCGGAGCCAACATCAGAACAGCGAGGGCCAGGAGCTGACCAGTCGCTGGGTGCGCCTGTCGCCACCGAGGACTATGGTGCGCCAGCCGGGGATGCATACGCCGCTCCAGCCGAGCCGACCTATCAGGAGGAGGCCGCTGAGGGCTATTAGGAGTTCTGTTTTTGTTGTCGTACGCGATTGTTTACTAAAACCCCGATTGACCATAACACGCCTCTTTTACCGTGTTACTTGGAATACACTCGTGACATAACGAGGCGTGATCAGCTGACGCAAAAGCACTTAAAATGGCCCTTTGGGGATATTTCGCGGAGGGTCATTGGTCGCGGTCGAATAGGTTCAGGTGGGCCAATTGATTTTGTCCGACACGCTCTCCCCAACGGTCTGAAGGGATCGAACGACCGGGCTCTTAAAGCTCGTGGAACCACTGACGGCCTGTTTTCCAGCTCTTGCTCCCTTCCACATCTCTAAACCTTTGTACGTGCGCTGTTGTCCAACGATACACCTACTAAACCATTGCCCGCAGAAACCTACACATCGACTACTACTCATCTTGATAATGTTTGCACTCCGCTCTCTTGCCACCGCTCGCGTCGCAGTCCCACGCACCGTCCAAGTCGTCCGTGCCGTCCACAACCAGGGCTCGATGAGCGAGACGCTCCACACAACGGGCAAGGTGCACTCTTTGGGGCACCAGCACGAATATATCCCCAATACTCGTGGGGCCAGTAGCAGTACGAGTGTGTATCTCCCCTCTGTTGGCTAGGTGCCCTCTTCTTTGGGCCCAGCATGATGTCAGCGAGATACTGACGCTGCTATCAGCTTCTAATATCACTCATGGCCGTGTCAAAGGAGTCAATGGCGTGTGGTGCGTCGCTGGTGCGTCTGGAGAGACAAAATCGTTTGGCGATGTGCCCATGGGTGCGTACGCCGTGTCCGAGTCGTTCTCTCCAGCTTGGAGACGCTCTCTCTAAGCAGCATTTCCCCCTTGCTGCCTTGCGGAGACGGCGTCCCGTCGCAGAAGCGTCCCTCGAGGAAGAGGGACCATGTACAAAAGTCGGCATATAGAACTGTGATTTCGTTTGCTGTAAACGATGGAATCTGATTCCCTTTGGACATCATCTCGTCGGAGCTGAGTGTGGCCCCTATCCCCCCCTGGCCGCTTGCTTGGCATGTGGGTGCGGGGCAATGTTGGTTGTATTATCCGGGAATGAATATGTCAATGATCTCGTGGACACTTCTGTGCGTCCATGCGATCGTGAGAAGCCGCTGGTCCCAGCTCAGACTTTTGTTTGGGAATATTCAGCCTTGGACTTGAACCTCGCTGGGCTCGCTCACCCAGTCCACTCGTTTAGATTATAATCCAGCGATAACAAGATTGCGTTCACTCGTCGAGGACGCGTCGTTGGCAAGCCCCTCAGAATCTCCGCACGCCGGTTGCTCCTCTCCACAGACTTGGAGGATCGCGAAAAATCCTGGAAATTATTTAAACAGTTTTATTTCTCAAAGTATACCGAGAATGGCTGCAAATCGGCCACTGGAAAAGCGTCAGGGTATGTCCGATCCTTGGGCTCCAGTCGGCCACGGACTTTTAGAGCTAATCATTCATCTTTTATAGAAACTACTACTACGACGGCATCGTCAACTACAACAAGTACGACGTAAGTCTCGCTGTGAGCCCGTTAGCAACGTTCCTGATAGGTCGGGCCCAGAACGACGACGACCTCGAGCAGCACAAGCACCAGTACATCTACCAGTAGCTCCAGTTCATCAAGTTCGTCCTCATCATCATCCTCGCAGAGTACCAGCTCGTCGTCGACTCCATCCAGCAGCAGCTCGAGCACAGTTTCCACCCCAACGTCCACCTCTGTCACCGTGACACGCAGTACAAACTCGAATGGTGGGGTCGTAACGCTCACACGAACCGTATCGGGCCCTGCAGTGCCAACCTCATCGAGCAATAGCGGCGGCGGAGGGGGTGGATTCTGGGACAACAAGACAGCCGTCGGTGCCACCTTTGGTGAGTATAATGTAGTATATTTGGCCCATTCACTGACCTATTTAAGGTATTGCCGGTGTAATTGGCATCGTCCTCGCCTTTCTCTTGATTACGACCTGCATCCGGCGTCGTAGAGCCCGCAAGTTTGATCGTGCAGTGTCTGAAGCGGCTGCAGAGGCCGCAGCCACCAATGCGGATCCATTCCTAGGTGAGAACGATGATGCCGGCTACCGAGGAGCTGCTTGGGACCCGAGAAGGCGCTCTTCTGCTGGATTTGGATACGGAAAGGTACAAGTAATTAATCTCTTTGCGGTTTTTTCAGCTATTGACATTTATTTGCTCAGCTACACGACGATCCCTTCGGTCATGGTGGTCCTACCGCAATGGGCGCGGCTGGGCTGTACGGAAGACATCAGTCGATGAACAATGGACAGTATCCAAAGGACGCATACGGGATGAACGACCTTCGTGGTTCCGGAACTCAGCCGTCTGTCTACTCTGGCACTACGACCTATGCCAGCCATCCCTCGTATGGAGCAGGCACAGGTTACTATACAAATGACCTCCCACCTGTCCCTGCTCAGCAAAACGCCTATGGCCGACCATCCTTCGGTAGCACGGCTGCACCAGGAATTGCTGGTGTCGGTGCAGCAGGTGCCTATGGCCAAGATACGCAAGCGGCTTACCGCCATGCGCCAGGGAATAGTGTCGGTGCGTCCTTCACTACAGCCTTCTTTTGATAGCATGTCTCACACCCATATAGATGGAACCGAGGACGCGTATGGCGGCTATGCACGCAATAGCGTTGTTGATCCTTATCCGAACCCATATGGAGGACAAACCGCATACCCAGGACCATCCTCCCCCCGAACAAGTAACTCTTCTCCACCAGGCCCAACGCGCTCGCCACCGCCCGTCAGCCGGTCGCCACCTCCAGCCGCCCCACCTAGTTACTCAAACCACGGTTCACAGGCGAATGACCACTACTACACCCGCAACGAAAAAGCACGACCGCTTTCAAGTGGATCGGGTACTCCAGGTGGAGGGATGACCATGCCTTTACCTCCCGCAGCTCCAGCGGGAACAAGTGCTGCACACTTTCAACCCCCCGACATGACGCCTGGTGTTGGGACGCCCGACGAATCATACAACAACGGTGGCCGTATCCTCCGCGTCGCCAATGAATGAGACATTGATCTCGTTCTGTCCCCTCCAACAATGATTTATTTCCTCAAATTTGGACGTCCGGTATCGAAGAAGTGAATTTCTTTCATCTGTTGATAATGCTCCTGCGTGGGAGATAAGTTGTTCCCCCCTTATCCCCAACTCAAATGCTCCATATATTCTCATTTCTAGCGCTTCACAACTTGCCTCGGACGCCGTCCACTCGTTTTCCAACCCTCTCAGCATCACCCTCCTTTCTCCTTGTTGTCTAACCTACAGTCGATATTTTGCCCCTGTCTATCCCCCAACCTTTTTGTTTCTGTACATTGGTCGTCCTGTGAAATGGATTGTCCTGAATGTCTGGGATCTCCGCCGTCATTCTCTGAGCCTAGCCTAGTCCTCTATAATCGCCATATTTAAGCATGTTTGACCATATTTTGAGTATTATTGGCGTCTTCCCTGTCTTGTCCCGTCAGGATGGCAAGTGGGAACTACGCGCGCACCTCTTGATTCCGCTCCTTACCTCCAAGACTCTTGTGACCGCGCCTGTGGCTCCCAAGTCAGGAGTACCAAGATTTCAAACTCTTAAAAAAACGGGCTACTCTCTGTAGTTTTGCCTGCTGTCGAATCCGTGGCCGTCTACCTCGTCCCCCTTGACACAACCGCGTTTACTATCGCCATCCGATAGGAATCGACTCTGCGTCTCTCTTTATCCTTTCAGATTATCGTGTCAAGATCCATCCCGTCGCGCTCTGTATGGTAGCTGAATCTCCTGTTCAAGCCGAGCAGCCTCTCGCGGCCCAAGGCGAGTCTCTCAAGACTCCGTACCAAGAAGGTCAGCTTCCTCTTATTTTTTCCTTTCTTTGCTCTGGCGAACTCGGCGCTCACGTTTCTCCAACACGGTTTACTTTCTGAAAAATGTTGCCCCCAACTCGTGTGCACAAACGATGGCGCTTCATCGTGCCAATCGACCGCTGTGACGATGCATTTTGCACGCTTTTTTTGTCCCTCGTCGACAATCCCACGGCTCGCCTGGCTTGACCGGTTCGGCCCTGCACTCATTTTCCAAACCGCTCGTCGTTGGGACCTCATTCGGGTCGACATTCGCTTCTTCTGGTGCCTTTGTCTTCTGTGTCTTGCCGGATTCTCTGTGTTGGCACCGTGCTTGGGATCGGACTTGAAATCGTCCCTACGACCACGGGCGGACAGTCTCCACGCCGGCATCCGAGTCTGGCCCAATGTCGACGCCAGCAGGCGAACCTGTTGTAAGCGGTGTCGACAACACTCACGACGCTCAGCGGCCACCCCAACAGCCCAATGGTGTCGTTCCAAATGGTGCAATGGCCCCGATGTATGGATATCCTCCACCAGGAGCCATGTACGCCGTCGGACCCACACCAGAGATGTATCAAAATAACCCGAATATGCGTATGATGCCGCCCCCGGGTCCTTACCCGTTCCCTGGCCCACAACCTGGACAGCCTGCCCATCCCATGCCTCCTGCCGTCTATGGATTTCCGCCTATGATGCCTCCTCCACCACCTGGAGCCCAGCCAGGTCAGAGTAACGGAGCGTCGCCTTCGAGTCCGACAGCTACGCAGATGCAGCCTTATCCTCCATACGGAATGTGGTATCCTGCTCCTCCTCCTCCAGGTATGGCCATGGCCCCTCCCCCACCAGGTAGTGTGCAGCCAAATGGGATGCCACCCATGCCAATGATGGGACATTATCCTCCCATGTATCCTCCTCCTCCTCGCCCCCAGGGCGATGCACCTCCTGATGGCCATCAACGTCAGCCATCTAGCCAGGATCAACAGCAAAACGGTGCACCGTGGCCATCTGGGCACAGTGGTCTGCCACCCAAGGAAGTAGCAAGGACTATTCCTTGTCGGTACGTGCTGCCCAACTCGGTCTAGTGCTCCCGCTGATAACATACAGATACTTCCCAGACTGTCGGTTCGGACCCTCGTGCTGGTTTTTGCATCCTGGAACGGAGCAACCACAGCCGCAATCACCTCCTGAGCAATATGCCAATGGTGGATATGCGGGAGGTCCGCTTCCTCCTCCTGTTCAATATGGTCCTGGAGGTGCTTGGGATCCATCGGGCGCTACGTCGGTGCCCAACGGCGTCACTCCCGTCTCGCCAGATGCCAGCAAAAATCCTCATGCTGCTCAAATGATGGGCAACGTCCCCGGGTACAATATCATGTACGCACCTTACCCCTATCCAGGCGGTTACCCTGCCGCCATGTATCCACCTCCACCACAACAGGGCTCTGGACCAGCGTCTGCAGCACCCCAGAGTCCTCAGCCCACTTCCCAACCCCTGTCACCGCAAAATGGATCGCAGCAATTGCAACAAGGCACGCCATCGCAAACCCACTCGCCTGCAGTCCCAACTCCTCCTTCTGGTGTGCCAGCGATGTATCCACCAAACGGTATTCCAGGGGGATGGTACCCTGCGCCTCCTACCGTCTATCCTCCCCCACATGCTATGCAGCCTCAGCAACCACCACAGTTGCAAATTGCAACTTCGCCAGTAAACAGGCATGGACAAGCACCCATTAGCCCTGTCAGCCCCCATCAAGGACCAAACGGTGTTGCACAATCCCCTGGTCATGCCCCACCCGTCAGCCCAACTAGTGGAAACCCCGTCCAAAGCGGCCACTATCCCATCTCCCCTCCCTATAGCGCTGGCCCTGTGCACACCCGCTCTCCTCCCCAGCAACCTCACCCATTGTCTCCACAGACCCATCCTACTTCTCCACAAGGCATGTATGGTGTGCCGCCCCCTACGCAGCCACCAGTTCCCGTTGTCCCTCCTCACGGCCGTCACAGCCGCCGGGAGAGTATGAGCTCCATGTCCGCTATGCCAATGGGAGCCGTTTTGGCGAGCCTCGACGGTACCGGTCCGATGGAAGATTCGCGTGGCCCGATGGACAGTGGGTTCAACTCGGCTAGACGAGGTCGAGGTGGGCATGCGAGTCGCGGTAGCTGGGGTGGAAATGGATTCGGATCAGGACGCAAGCCGCCGTGCGCGTTCTTCCCGCTTGGAAAGTGCAAGAATGGGTGAGTCCTTACACTTTTAAGATGATCAAGATGATTACTTATTGTTGATTAGTGACCAATGCCGTTTCCCGCACGTATTGCCAGATGAGAATTCGCCTGCCTCTCCTATCTCACCCCGTGGTGGTTATTCAGGCTCTTATGGACGTATGGCTAATGGACGGCGACCAACGATTCTTGGTCCTATCGAAGACAAGATGGGGGACATGACCTTGAAGGAGGTGAGCTAGTCTGTGTCCAGGTGCGAGTCAGCTTTGCTAATGTCATGTAGAACGAGGCAGGCGAAGCGGTCGAAGCTGGCCCTCGCTCAGCTGCTCCTGGTGGCTACCAGAAGCCCTTCAATTCGTCCCCCAAGCATCGCGGTGGGCGTCCTTCGATCTCGACCCCCTCGACGCCAGGACATAGGCAGACGAATCATCTTCAGGCCCAGCAACCCTCGCAGCGAGTCCCGTCCGCAGATGATTTCCCAGTCCTGAGTGCTTCGACACCGCCGGTTGCGAACGGACAGAGTTATGGTAACGCCTGGGGTGGGCCTACAGCAGCACAAGTCCTTAAGGGTGGAATCTCTGCGAAGAAACCCGCGACGTCTGACATGAAGGATCCTAAAACCGACGAGGAGGATTCTTTCCGCCCAGCTGTGGCCAACCCTGTCACAGTCGAGGGTGCGGCCTAAATCACCCACCGCTTTTGGTTCAGACTTGCTTTTGGCGAATCATCTCCTCAACCTACCCCCTTACGGACGCCACGTTTCTTCACACCATCTACTACCATGAGCATCTCGACGCTTTGTATCCTCCCTTGTACGGAGGATTTGTTCACTCGGTGCCCTCGCGCAAGCGCGTTTACATCCCCGTGATACCTTCTGGCATCTATCGTCTTAGAATGCCCCTGTTTTTGTCGCCGTAATTCACCAACCCATTCCAGGTATTGCTGTGCTTCTTTGTCTCCACCTCTACTGTTTCTCGTCTCCCTCTCTCTGTGCCCCTCGCATGTTCGTCCGCTCTATCGTCTTCTTGGTTCTACGCTCATCGATCTGGCTTTGTATCGGTCTCTCCCATCTCTGTCTCGGTAGTTGTTTATCCTCCTCTCCTTCCAGGCTCTCGCAGATCTGCTTCATACTTCCTCGTTACTCGTTGCTACTCCCATCGAGGGTTTCCGTCGCATGCGAACGGCAGGACCCGACCCAGCCATCTCTGGACATTTCAAATCAATCACCTCGTGCATTAGTAGAACACCACGACCCTCCCACCTTACCTGCTTCGTTGCACAGACGTGACCGAGTTGTCTCGGTTGCCCTGCTCATGCATCTCACCCTTCCAGTCGTTTTACGTCCACTCTCATTGGATCATGCGTTGTTGCCGCTCCCATTGCATGTATTGTTAGGGCTCACGTCTCCGACAACCCCTGATTGTAATGCTGGACGCCTGACGGCCACTTTCTATCCTTTAATCTGATGGTATATCCCGATCTACAGATGAACTAATTCTTCCATCTGATAGATTGCGTCAGAACTGGTCGGGGCTAGGAGGGTAGATGCTTACATTTTGACTGTCTTGTCGCGCCCACCGCTCACAATCTTGTCTGCCACAAAATCGACACAATAGACTTCATCCGTGTGGCCGGGCAGATCCGTTTTTAGTTTGTACGTCTTGAGATCCCAGATCTTTACCGTACTGTCTTTGCTTGCGCTAATGAGCATTCGCGAGTCTGCTGACCATGTCAAGCGATAGACAGCGCCGACATGTCCCCTCAAAGTAGCGATGAACCTGAATTGAATGTGAGCATTTGTTTGCAAAATTAATGCATAACATACTTGCCCGTTCGCCCATCCCACAGCCGAACGCTGCTATCCCACGACGCACTCGCAGCCCATTTGCCGTCCGGGCTGAAGGCTACATGCGATATCTGTCTTTGATGGCCGGTCAATCTCGTGAGAGGTTTCGGCTTCTTTGCGTCGCCGGACGACTGTCCACCTTGCGAAACATTTGCAAATAAGTTCCACAGATAAAGCGTATGATCATCTGAGCCACTTATGAGAAGCTCAGAGTGCTGCGAGGCAAGTTTGTGATAGCGTTCAAGGGCCCATGCCTTGGCTGGAAAGGTGTGAGACTCCACCAATCGAGGCTGAAAAATAACTTGCCTTCTTCGTCCGACGATGGTTGTTTTGCAGTGTGATCAAACGGCCCAGTACGGAGGACAAAGTCTGTGTTGAGAGCAAGAGTGGTAACCCAATGTGCGTGATCTTTCAGAATATGTAGACACCGGCCCTATTTGGCGTGAGTAGGGCAGACTAGTCCAACGCCAGGATACACACCTTTTCTGGTTCCCATATTCGGACCGTACGGTCACTACTAGCGGTGTACAAGACCCCAGAGGGTATCCCTCCACCCCATCGGACTACATTAACACTCGCGGTATGTCCACCAAGCGTATACTCAGTAAGTCGATTTGTGAGGGACCATACCCTGACGGTGCCATCCTTCGAGGATGAAGCGAGTCGTGGATTCGTCGGATTTCTAAAGGTGTTGGTTGTGAACGCTTGACAAGTATAGGCCACTTACATATGTATAGGCTCCCACGCAAGACTGGTAATCCAAGATATGTGTCCTTTCATTGCGTCTCCGATGCCTTTGCCCGTCTTTGGATCCCATATGCGCACCTGCCCATCATGACCTCCAGAGGCAAGCTTTCGTTCCCGTGCCTCCCACTCTACGCAGAGGACCCATCCTCGATGACCAGAAAGCGTATGAGACGGGGTTTCGGTGTCTAGGTCCCAGAGACGAGCGTGAGTGTCGCCCGAGCCGGTAGCAAGGAGTCGACCGGTCGGTGAAAAAGAAGCGCAGAGAATAGGAGAGCTGTGGCCTTTTCGTAGTCAGTGAGATGTCCTGGGTGGGAGAGCCGTGGCTTACCGGAAAGTGTGGAAGAGCAGCGTGTTGCAGGCCGAACTCTAAATACGGCCTGAGGAGAACAGTGGACGATGAACACGTCTTCAGTTGTAAACTGGTGCTTTTTGTTGAGAAGAATGTCTTCATTGAGCGAGTTTGCGACGACAATCCGTGTCGGTGCCGCCGTTGCAGACCCATCGTCGCCTTCTGATTTCCCTGGTACAGCAACATGGAAAGAAAAGGGTACAGGATCGTCCTACACTACGTATTTAGTTATTTCTTCATGCTGGATTGGGACGACTCACTGATGCAGACAATTTATTCACCAGCGTCTCCAGCTGCTCTCTTTTTAGATCAGCGGGGAGTGTAACAGCTGGAGCAAGTGGTTTGCCATCTTCCTCGTTCACGAATTGAACTACGATATTCGGAACTGGTGGTGCTGGCTTGACCTCTGGTTCTGGGACGCCGTGGTAGAGTTTGCGACGCTTTGGAGGTGGAAGTAATGTCGCCATTTGTATATCCCAACAGTTTTTCTAGACTTTTAACGACAAATGTAAGTAAAGGTGGGAAGCAGGGCTATTCGCCACTTTGCGCTAGTCTCTGCCGTCGCTCGGCTACGAAAATGGCAAAGCGGGGGGTCTTTGTCGTGATTGAGGGACTGGATCGCTCAGGAAAATCGACTCAATCTCAGCGTCTGTTTGAGCATTTACAGGAGAAGACGGGCAAAGCCAGGCTGCTCAAGTTTCCGGGTACGTATCCAAGTCACGGATGCAAGAATTATGCCTTGATTTTTATGAACAGATCGAACTACAGCGATTGGAAAGATGATCGACGGCTACCTTCGCTCAGAATCTGACCTTGACGACCGTGCCATCCATCTCCTCTTTGCCGCCAACCGCTGGGAATGCGCGTGAGTATACGCACCTTGAGATTGTAAACAATACACTCACCTCGGTTTGTTTCCCAGAGCGTCGATTGAACGCGACCTCCTCGCCGGTACATCCATCGTTTGTGACCGTTATGCGTTTTCTGGAATCGCGTTCAGCGCAGCAAAGGTCGCTGTTAGCAAAAATAGTGAAGGAAACGAGGTCCGGGAGTCGATATTAACGTACGAATGGTGCAAGTCTCCGGACACTGGGCTACCCGCACCGGATATGGTCATCTTCCTCGACGTGACCCCCGAAGTCGCCCGCAGTCGAGGGGGTTATGGAGAGGAACGATATGAAAAGGAGGAGACACAACTCCGTGTCAAGGAGCAGTTTCGAAAGATTGAACAGGACGTTGTCAAGAATTTCACCGGCATCGAGTGGTGGAACTTGGATGCTTCGAAGAGCCTTGACGAGATTTCGGAGAGTATCAGGAACCTCGTGGCACTTCCCTCAGATGGAGTGCCTGCCAACATCAACAAGATGTGGATGTAATTTGAATTCCGTGAAGCAATCCATGACGAGATTTATACATCAATCTAATCTCTAGCTTGGAATACTACAGTATCTTTGTCAGCTCATGCAATTGAATCCCCAAGTGACTTACAGTAATGTCCTACGCCCCATCTACAGCACAGCAAGGTTAGTCCTAGTTCAACCAATCACCCCGAACACGTACTGTTCTCCGTTGTACATGGCAAAGAATTCAGCGACGGTGACAAAGAATGTTCTAAAGCTGCATTGGGGTTAGACTTCTACGCAAAACCGGGGCACCTCTCCATACCGATACCAGTGTCTCCTCCCTTCTTCTCTCGGCAAACCTCTCTTGACAGCGTCCTCTTCCAGGATCTTGATACCTTCGGCCTTGTGTTGATCCTGACACTTGACCCAATCCTCGGACGTCTGGCCATAGTTCCGTCCGTTGACCCACCAGCTTCGCCTAAGGACGAGATAATCTTGGAAATATGTGAACAAATCAAAGGACGGCATCGTCCCTCCAGTAAAGAAATGCTGGGCCATCCATCCATCAGAGGAAACAAAGTCGTATGTGATCGTTTTGTGGCAGAAGATATGGACGAAAAGGTAAGCGGCACCGCCGTGGGCTTTTGCGTTGGGCTTGAGCCATGTCGAGATCTTGCGCAGGAGTTCTTGGTAGTTCTTCATATGCTCGAACATTTCGATGGAGAGGATTCGATCAAATCTGAAAGTATCTTAGTTTCGGTATTCATCTGGCTTGAACGAACTTGCCTCCTCTTGTCGTCAAAGTCAAAGAAATTGACATCCCCGGTGAATACCTCTAGGTTCTTGAAACCGTGAGAGTCGATAAACTCTTTCTGGGTTCTCGAGTTGGATAGCGCGGTTATGCGCGAGTTGGGGTATTTCTGGGCTCTCTTAGAAACGAACTTTATCTCTTGCAATGCTTACCTCGGCGAGGAAGAGAGCTAGAGAGCCCCAGCCGCATCCTAAATCCAATATGTCGATCCCATCTGCAAGGTCTGCCTTTTCACAATAGCTTTCGAGCATGCAAACCTCTGCCTCGGCCAGAGTTTCCTTGCCAGTTGGGTATAGGCAACTTGAGTACTTTGCACGAGGACCGAGACAAGATAAGATAAACTGGGTTGGAACCTGAGGATACGTCAGAACATGGCGATGAACAACAGCTGAATCTCACCTCGTAGTGTTGTTCGTTTGCCTTATCGGTTGCGTCTGCTATCGTTTCACGAGCCTTGATGGTTTCTATCCACTTCATCTTTCTTGCGTGTAGTTGTTCGAGCGGGTCCGAGGCTCCGACTTCCTTGAGTCTGACATTTGAGAGATAACGAATGGCTGCTCGTAAGACGACGTCAGGAATAAGCCCCTGGAGGTTGTGTTAGTAAAGTGCTCGAGTGGCCTTAGTCGTATATGCTCGCCTTTTCGAGGAGCGAGTAAGAGTATTGCTCGATGCTGTCGATGAGGCTCATTGTGCTAGGATGGACGTGGAAGAGTCCAAGAGTTGTCGAGGGCTCTCATCGCGCGCTCGTCGACGTCGTTGCAAAGCATCAATTCAGCCGTCAAGATGCAGTCCCCGCGATCGCCAGTCGTCGTTGAGTGTTGAGAAGATCGGACAAAAATTTCACAAGGCATTCGACTGCTTTCGACAACGTGGCCACTGTCCAAAACTGTCCAATGGCGGAGTTTATGCTGCTTAGGGGCTTGTCTCTTGTCTCTTTAGAAAGTAGACATCATCCTTCTAACATAATCTCTATAACCATCTTGATAAATACACGGTGGCAGAACGCACCTTGAACCCCTCCTTCTCCCAATGTCCAACGCCAGCTCGCGCAGAATATCAATAGCTGCCTTGACAAACACTGTTTCTCAACGAGCTGAATCTCATGATCATTCTTCAAATCGACCTACCAATGTGAATCCTCCAAGAGCCGATGAAGAAAAGACAACTAATGCTGTTCGTACGTTCTCTTTTATTTCCTTGCCCTTGATGCGTCTATAATCAGTTCTAACATGGTCTTCTTATTGTTTAGACCGTGCATCCTCGAGATAGCCTCCCAGGACCACGTGTATCGGCAGCTCATGGATCTTTGTCCGATCAATTTCAGCAACATCGCTCGGACACATCTACAACCTCTCAATTTCTACCTCCTGGTCCCTCTTTTGCGGCCAGTGAACCGTTGGACAACGTTCATCAGCAACACTCCATGCCACCTCAAATGGACAGACCGAGCTCAGCAACAGCACCTCAAAACTCAATCGAATTCGAATTCTACACACCTCAGGAGCCAGCCAGATTGACACATGTATCGACATCTGGACCCGAGCCATTGCCACTCTCCGCTTATCCACATCAAGGGTCTGCACTGGCAGATTTTGTATTCGAGCGACCCAGTAGCTCCTCGAAAGCAAAAAAAGAGAAAAAGGCGGCGCCTAGCGGTGAAAGAGCATCAACGGGCAAGTCTACCCCAAAAGCACCCAAGAAGCCATCCAAGGACTCGAACACGACCTCCAACTCCCAGGTTGATTCCCAGACAAGTCATCAAGTTACGGCAGTCCCCGAGGGTCACCAGGACGCTTCCATAAGCATCTCAGTCTCCCACCGTTCACCTTCCCGTATGCATACGAAACAGCAATCTGACTTCAGCCAACATTCTGTGCCTCCAGACGAAACTACTGCAGAAGACGATATCATGGCCGATTTAGATATGGCCGAGCACACAGGCACAGGGATGCAGCTTAGCTCTACCCGTTTACCTGAAACGTCTGTCGTGGATTTCGAAGGCGACCTGGATATGGAAATACTTTCTCCGATGCCACCGCGCAACCCTGTCCCCGCACCATCAAACCCTCCCGGACCCAAAAAGGTGGTGAAAAAGTCTGCTTCATCCTTATCCATGGCCACTCCTTCCCCAGCTCCATCGACCCCAGTACCCGCCCCCGCTGCGAAAAAGACAGCACCCAAAGCGAAGAAGGCTCAAACAGGAGCAAAAGCGGCAGCGACGAAGAAGAAGGCTGAAGGAGGTGCACGTACAAAGGCAGAGGCATCGAAAGCAAAGTCCAGTGGAGACGATTGGGCACGAGGTGGGACATCTGGGCGTGCGGCGGCTGCGGCTGCAACGAATGCTCTCCTTCAAAGGTGGGGGTTACGATGAGGGTCTTGGCAACGCTCGTGATGGTACACCCTTCTCTGCTGTTCATGGTGCCGGGGGTAATCAGGCTGGTGAAGACGGCGAAGAGGATTCAGAAGAAGTCGACACGAGGCTCTATTGCATTTGCCGGGAGATGTATGACAACAGGTTCATGTTGGGTTGTGACAAGTGAGCCATCTTGACTTTGTTCTCAGCCCATTACTCACCACTTTGGCAGTTGCGACGAATGGTTCCATCCTCCCTGTCTTGGTATGGAAGACTTTCAATGTGATTTGCTAGAGCATTTTTACTGTGCCAATTGTCGAAAAGGTGGTTCGACTTGCTTGCATGCCTGATATCTCACTAGTTCTTGTAGCTGATCCTTCGCTTGTCACATCTTGGCGCACAAGATGTTCCAACGGCCTTCAACACCCATTTCCAGAGTCTGCAGATGCCTGTTGGAGAGCGGCCCTGCCACCCTTGTCCAAGTACTGCTCGAGGGATTGCGGCGTCGAGGCAATGGAACGAAAGATAGCTCCCTTTATTAGAGTCAAGGCTGGGATCAGTCAACCTCAAGACGTCGACGACGGCTTTGCGTCTATTCCGAGAACACCGGCTGTGAAGACGGAAATGACCAGGCTCTGGAAAGGTGTCAAAGATGCCAAGAAACGCGACGCAGTCGTTGCGACTGTATCTACACCGCCATCAAATTCAGACACGACACCACCCGAGCCAGGATTGTCCTCTTCGTTTGAATTTGCGCGTCTTTCACATACATATACCCGACTCGGTCAAGAGCTCAATACACTCACCCGTGATCTTCAACTCGGAGCGCGTGACTTGGAATTCATCCTCGCGCGGGGTCGGCTCGCAAAGCTGGCGATTATGTGGAGTGATCGACCAGAGAACCTTGCAAGGTGTTGCTTTGATTCTCGACTATTGATGGAAGGGAAAGAATGGGAAGAGTGGGTACTTGGTGAGGGACGAGGGGTGCTCGAAGGAGGAGTGGACGCTGCTCCTGCACCGGCAAAGCCCATCGTGACCCCTTCTCAAGTGCAAAACGGGGATGCTGCAACACCTGGAGGTTCCAAGGAAGAAGACGGGGCCGGGGGTGAGGAAGAGGAGTTTGGGTTGGACATCGAGGCAGACAGTCCGTGGTGCGATGGTCGTCGCAAGTGCGAGCGTCACTTTGGATGGCAAAAGCTCTGTATGGCAGAGTTTGAACTCAACAAGGGTACAAAGGTTTGTTTTACATTCTGTCAAAGGTTTCGATCACTCATCGTAATCCAGGAGCTTGCATTGCAACGCATTGGACAAAAACAAACCGACGTTCAGGCTCGTCTTCAAACGACACAGGCACTTCTTGAAGCTCTCGACTTGCGAAGCCAAGATGAGTCAGTCAAGGCGGAGCCCGCTTCATAGTAGCGCATAGTTTTCATAATTTGTATCAAGTTGTTCGTCGTCTTTGTCGCTTTTCCTGAACCAAGCAAGGGCCCACTTCTTGGACCCGACTGTGATGAGCGCCCAGGCATCTGCTGTGCCAGAAAAGGATCGACGAAAGGTTCCTGAATATGCAAAAAGCTGGGGGGACGACGTAGACTATCCTGCACCGGGTTTGATCACCGAGGAGCTCGCCCAAAATGTTGCTCTCGATTCAATCTTTGTCAAATCTGGCGAGCTTATTATCCCAGAAAAATGCGAAGAATGTCGAAATCGCGCAAAAGGATGTGACAGGGCTCGTCCGACGTGTGGCAGATGTGCAAAGATAGTGAGCTCTTCTCGTCGTTCGATCGCTTGCGTTGACGAGTCGCGTTAGGGAAGGGTTTGCGTCCCGGTTAGTACGGGCTTTGTACGGTTGAGGAAAGGAAGAAGCGGCAAGGCGTTGCCTGCTCGTATATGGGCACAGAGCGAGGACCCAGATGCAGTCCACAATGAACCAGTGGTCGAAGAACAAGAGACTAGGGCAACAAGTTTGAAGACTGGAAACGAGGGGCAAGCATCACTGACAATTGCGCCGTTGCAAGCTTCACAGCAGACCAAAAAGCGCAAACGGGAGATTATTGTCCCACAGACTCAGCCATTTGGTGAGTTACATTCTGCCATACAAATCTTTGACTGATGGTAGGAATCTTCAAGTCTCTTCGTTGCCTCCATCGCAAGGCCACTATGTTGACTATACCTCTCTTCCACTGCCTTATCCCCCCGTGGATCCCACACCCCCCCAGGATCCTCTGGTCTTTTCAAAGTCCGATTCTGGTGACATTCCCATCGACCCTCAACTATTGGGCATTTCAGCCGAGCCCCCGGTGTCATCAAGCCCGCAGCCGTCAAGCAAACGTCCAAAGCTGTTCTCTTCAACCTCAAATCTATCTCTTGACGTCGGTGTATCTACACCATCCCTAGTCGACCCCAATTCGACGCGACAATCGTCATTTACGACGAGCGGCTACACTTCGCCTACGACGCCCTATACCCTGGGAAATCTCAGTCTTACCAGTCCAACTGACTACTCCCAAACACACGAGGTTTCCCCACTGGCAACGGGGGTCTCTGGGCAAGATCATGAGGCACCAAACCACACAGTGTAGCCATTCGATGCCCTTGGGTGCAAAGGCGGCTCCAAGTCCTCCATTCACCCATAAAACCGCCATCCACGCATGAGCATGGGACCTCGAGTCTCCTAATCAACGCAGGCGGAAACGCATCTAAGAGCTGGACATTGCATCCTCATCCTCCTCGTAGGCTTGAGGATCTTACTTATATCTACAACTATCCGGGAGGCTGTTCTCATTGTTGTGCATTTCATGACAATGCGCGGACTGTCCTTGAATGTACAACACTAGTCTTGCAGAGCAAATGAACTAAGAATATTGATGGAATATTCTGGCTTTAATCTGCTCGCGTGCGCAGAGTGGTTTGCTGCCCAGTTGTCAGTTGGAGGCGACCGTGACACTTGCGTCGTCCTTGGTCTCGTTTCCCACCGATCCAGTGCCACAGCGGAGTCATGAATAACATACAATCTCTTGCAAGCTCTCCACCAGCAGCCGTAGACGACGAGATGTCCTCTTCGAGCAGCCCGCTCGATGGCGAATCGAGCCGAGCCCGGTACTCGTTACCCGTGACGCTCTACGAACGATACCATGGCGAGGATTCAGAACAAGAGGTCGAAGAAGAGCTACGAGAACGCGAGCTCAATTACGGTTTCCGTGCGTCTCGTATGTTGACAGCCCCTTGCTCTTCCCAGCTCAAATAACACCCGAAAACTGTAGAAAGCCGAGACTTACACTCATTTCTCCTCCTAGGTACTCGTCCATTTCCCAGTAGTGCCTCGTCCCAGGCCTCTCAATCACGGCGGCTCAGTCCAACGGCGATCCTCAGCGAAGACCTGCAGACGGCAGCTCTAGTGGAACGTGCACATCTCCATGACCTAGATGGTAGTCTTGAAGTCGAGGGCACTCCACAGGCTCATACCAGAATGGCCGTCCAAGCATCTGGTGACCACGCGTTTGCGACAGATCGTGTCGCCCGTCTCCCCACCGAGCTGTATTCCCTCATCGCTGCAGTCGCCCTATCGGAACGTCCGATTGCCAAGATTCACACATTTAGAAAGTCGCCATGGCAGATCATTGTTGGCGCAACGCTGGCCAGTCGGGCTCTCCGAGCCGCCTTTATGCACGCCTGGTTCAGGGTTTTGCGTATTAGACAAGTCGGAGATTTCAACTACATAGATCAGAAAATGCCCTGGATGTTCCCATGGGTTCGGTGCGTTCTATTCTCCCGTTTGCGCTCGTGTCTTATCTAGCACCACCAGGGAAATACATTGGCATTACCGTTTCCCCATCTCCTGCAACGAGACGCATGTTCTACCTAAATTCATTCATGCCGTTCTCATATCCTTCAAGACGTCGGACAACCGACTCGGAAATGAGCACTATATGACAATGGTTCACAAAGCCATGCCATATCTTGGAACAATCCCAAATCTCACTCGACTTTCCCTCACCTGTCGGTCACTCTTTGATGTTCATTTCCTCACCTCTCTAGCCTCGAGCTGGCCAGCACTAGAGTGTCTGCGACTTGCTCGTCCACTCAAAGACGATTCCGACATGAAGGCTTACATCCTATATCGCTACGAGTTTGATTCTTATCACGCTGTCATCGAGCGTCTCGTCAGCTGTCTTCGACGTCTGAAATATCTGGCCTACATTGCAATCGATCTTGCATTTGCCGACTTTCGTCTTATGCGCGCCACTCATGTCCATAATGGGCTTGCTCCAGAGATCCCTGCGGATATCAAGCTTCCTAGGAGCCTTCGACCACCAAGCCCGCTACTACACATTGATCCTGACGGGGACACGGTGATGAATGATGGCGCCTCAGTGACGCCATCTCTCACAAATGGCATTGCCGCTCTCAACGTCTCGGAGTCGGGCTCAGTCCCGGCCCCGTTGACTGCCGCCAACTTGGCTTTTGCGCTCTCTCCGACTGCGCACGACCAAACATCGAACCCGCTCGAGTGTCCGCTCTGCTTGCGGACATTCCGAACACACTCGTACTATATCGAGCATCAAGTTGCACAAGGGTTGGGCCGCGGCATTCCATCCCTCGCGGCAGCCCGTTTCCGTGCGAGCTTCCCCGTCGCGGATGCCGGAGATGCCAAAGAGAACAAGTGGCTGATCAAGCGAGCGCTAGAGGTGGATCCAATGACGGGAATGAAGGAGGAAAAGGTCGTGGTATGGGTTCCACGGTGGGAGTAACATTGCTTCTCCCCTTTCATGCATCATTCTCTTAGCGTACTCATAAGTTAATTTTCCTTCGTCCCCCTTTTTCCCCTGCAATCATGATTGTATCGTGCGTATTATGTACTTGGGCGCCCACTATGGAACACGTAGCGATTGAGCGTCACTCGTAGCGATCCATGTGCTACTGCTTCAGAACACCTTCACCGCGCCAGTAATTTGTGGGGACGAAGGGCATTTTGGTAACTTTTGCTTTTCTCCGCTTGCCGCGTACTTCGACCTCCACTTCTGTATCTCGCTTGGAATATTTTGTTGCGATATATCTGCCATATGTCAGCACAATCCCACGATACCATTGACCTGCTCACCCCATGGCAATATTTTTCCCAGTTGAAGGGGAAGGGATTCCCGAGGTGACTTCACCGATTTGTTCTGACGAGCTGGGAGCGAATAGAGGAGCGTGTTCTATAGAGTGGTCAACCTCTCGCATTGACAGTTAGATTTGGTGGACAAACCTCGTGCAGGTGGTCCCTCGACGAGAAAGCCTACACGCTTCCTGGAGACTCCTTTTTCTATCTGAGATATGACAGCATCTGCACCGATGAAAGATGCTTTGTCGTCGCCAGGTGTCCGTCGGTTCTTGCCAATTACCCATGTAAGGCCTGCTTCTACCGGGGATGTACTCTCATCGAGATCGTTGCCATACAAGCATAGCCCAGCTTCCAATCGTAGGCTGTCTCGTGCTGCCAGACCTGCCAACTGAACTGGGAATTTGTACAACTTTCGAGTCCACGCGACTGTTTCCGAAGGTGGTAGAGATATCTACAGGAAGTTTAGCCTGCAAACAAGGTGCTTTGTGTAAGAGTATTGACCTCGAACCCATCCTCTCCGGTGTATCCACCACGAGCAACATGAACCTTGACACCTCCAATGCTTAACCACGCAGATTTGCCAAAGGTGAGCTGCTTGAGATCGTATTGCTTCCCGTCATACGTGTCGACAAAACCTTGGAGGTAGTCTGCCGACTTGGGGCCTTGAAGTGCAACGAGACCCCAATCCTCCAAGATTTGATGCTCCACCTTGTCGCCGTGTTTCTCGTTCCACTCCTTGAGCTTTGAAGCAAACCATGTGAGGTCTTCTTCTCTTCGTCCAGCGTTTGTGACGACATAGTATAGATCCGGTGTATGTTTCGTGACGACTGTATCGTCCAATATGCCTCCGGAAGGAAGTAGGAGAACAGACAACGTAGAGGAGTGATTGGGGAGACTATTCAAATCACTTGGAGTCAACCATTCGAGGAACCGTGTCGCTCCAGCACCGCGAAAGCTAAAGAAATTTTTAGGCAGGAATCACCTGATGGAGAACGGAGCGCACTAGTGTTGCACCATATGTCCAACGTCGAATAATCCGACGCTTGAACGAACGTGTTTGTGACTGTCGACTAATTCGCGCGTCAGCTGCCTGCAAGTTTGAGCGCGTTTTCTGACCTTGGCCGACGCCGCTATACGTCAACGGCATTTCATAGCCAGCAAATGGTACCATTTTCGCTCCATTTTCGACGTGAAAGTTGTAGAGGCCCGTTCTTCGCAGCTGTGACTGTCTGAGCAAGATTCTGGAGCATCCAACGTTGACGTCCATACCGGTTTTGCGCTGTCTGTGGATGCCCACCGAATTTGAGACAATCTAGGGGCCACAGAGCTTGTTCTCGCTGCTGCCAGCGCCCGCGGTATCCGCCGTGCAAGCATGGTCGAAAGCAACTTAGTTTAGCAACTTGACCTCGACCATCAGGAGGCTACAGTCTAGTGGGCGCAGTATCAGACTCTCAGCAAGTTCTATTGAATATTATTGAAACCCAATGTCTCGCTTTGTTCGTGCCTCAAAGTATCGGTATGTCCGTTGCCACAGTCTCTCCTTTCCGCTCGGGTTTGGCTCATTTTTTACACCTCTTTCACCCGATAACGTCAACATGTTGGTCTGATGTGTGCATCTAATCTCATTACTCGTCAATCTTTGCGCTCTGGGTCGTGTGTCCACGCCGCGCTAGCCACGTCTTTGGCCAAACCGGAAAGAAAGAGTTTTCGATCGATAATACAAAGGTTTCTAATCAAGCTTGGGATACGAACCTTATAGCAGCCTCCGGGGTACGTCCATCGCCCTCGCGCTCACCGATCAGCACCGTTGACCGTGGCGACAGCAATATATCTCGCTCAACTGGGCATCTGCTGGTGGTGGTGCCTTTGCTATCTTGCCACTACCATCACCATGGAGTAGCTCTCAAGTCTCGGGAAAGCTGCCAGATGTGATCCCACTCGCCAGAGGGCATCAAGCTCCCGTGCTGGACACGGCCTGGAACCCATTCAACGACTCTGTGGTTGCATCAGGAGGAGAAGACGGAAATATTCTCGTGTGGAAGGTAAAAGCTTGCGCTTCCTTACTAGTCTCCACCCTAATCTCTGTCGTCAGGTCGAGGAGAGCGAATTTGAGGGATGGGGCTCGGAACACTGGCGACCAGTCGACTTTGATCCGGTTCAGAGGTTTGATGCATCCCCTCGCAAGGTTGGACAGATCCTCTTCCACCCTACTGCGTCTCACGTTCTCGCGTCTGCCACTGGAGACCATGTTGTCAAACTTTGGGACCTCGGAAACGTAGATAACGGACCCCGCTCCACACTTGTTGGACATGCAGACACTATCCAATCTCTTGACTGGAACCCAACGGGTACCCTCCTTGTGACGACGTGCCGCGACCGCAAGATTCGAATATTCGATCCAAGGACCGGTGGAGAAGCAGTCAGAATAACGGATGGGCATGCAGGTGTCAAGGGCGCGCGTGTTGCTTGGATGGGTGATACAGGACGAATCGCCACCACTGGCTTTAGCAGAATGAGCGATCGACAACTGAGCATTTGGGATTCTGGGGCACTATCCAACACAAAGACCTTGTCCATTGACCAGAGTGCTGGTGTGGTTATGCCATTCTGGAGCGATAACGGTATTTTGTTCCTGGCTGGAAAAGGGTGAGCAATTCCGTTCGTCTCGTCGGTCACCTCTTAAAGATCTCTAGTGATGGGAACGTACGCTACTACGAGTTTGAGGGTGATGCTGTGTACCCGTTGTCCGAGTACAAGAGCTCTGAACCTCAGCGCGGAATGTGTTTCCTCCCAAGACGTGCCCTCAATGTTTCCGAATGCGAAATAGCACGAGCATACAAAGTCACTACGTCGGCTTCTCTTGGAACCATTGAACCCATCGCATTCGTCGTCCCCCGCAAAGCCGACTCTTTCCAAGCTGACATCTTCCCACCAGCGCCCAGTATCGAGCCAAGTCTAGATGCCGGAGAGTTTTTCACGACAAGAGGGGATATCACACGGCGCGTCGTCGACTTGAGCTCGGGTGCGACCTCTGCCTTATCGGGCCCTCTCACTCTTGTCCCGCCTAGTGCCTCTTATTCGGCTTCACAACCACCGAGCTCTATCAGCCCAGGAACCTCTGCCACCTCAGCAGCACCAAAGGCCGTACCACCAACCTTGGCCTCTTCAACCGTCTCTTCTACCTTTACGGCCAGTGTTCAACCACCCTCTGCCGGCCTAGGACAGGCAACCTTTTCAAGCTCCTTTAAACCCGCACCAACCCAGGAATATAGTGCTGAGAATGACGTGAGTCTGGGGTTGTGGCCGTGTACATCGCATATATTGACGATATCATTGTAGCTCGCTGCCCTCGCCGATGAAAACGCTCGACTCAACGGAGAGCTACGAGAGGCGCGTAGTCAGATTCGAAGCTTGGAACTTCAATTGGAAGCGATGCGAGCAAATGCCCAGCGCGCCGCAAAGGTCTTATTAGACGGCTGATGATGCATGTTCGTTATTAGGAATCTGTCTGAATGAAAAATCTTTTCACGCCCGTAATATGAAGAGAGACTGGTGTGCATAGCTAACTGTTGATACATGAAGTAACGCGGTCCTGCGTACAGAGAAATAAATTAGGCCCAACGAGACTTCATTCCTCCTCCTCTTCCTCCTCTTCGACAATCGCGGGCCCTCTGAATGTCCGGTTACCAGGTAGCTGACGTCTGCTTGTGCTTCTATCCAGGTTCATGCTTTCGTTCATCGACGACGTCGAGGCTTGGTTCGGAGGGCTTGCAGGCGCGGCTGTTTGGACAGGAGCGGGGGAGCCACTAGCCTTGTTATACTGCCCGGGGTTCATCACGTTCCCCGGAGTCCTCTTTGTGCGTCTGCCGGCTCTCGAGTTTGTAAATACCATCATCGGAGAGTCTGGTGGCATGACGGAATCGTCGGCATTGGGAACCAAATTGTGGCCTGATCCTAGTTGACCAAGACCACCGACATAAACCACCTCGTCCACGTCGCTCCAGTCGTCTTCATCGTCTCCGGGGGATGTCGTACCAGGTGGTACACCACTCTTCCCACCGCCGGCAAAGACGTCCCGGACGCCCGTCTTTGCGCTGCGGGAATCCAAAACCTCAATGACGACGCCAGGATGAGCTGCACGGTGCGCCCATCCAGGGGGTTCGGGCCCCCATGATTTCTTCCAACTAGAACGGCTGGCAGAGAGGCCCAAGCTTCCATTGGGTGTTCCATATGCGCTCTTCTTCTGTGCGACCATGACCGCGCGCATCGGTCGTCCCAAAGGCGACGTCGTGCGCCTACCGCCAAACTCAGCGTCGTCGTCGACTGCCGACATCTCTTCAGAGTGTGCGCTAGATTGAGACCCGCTGCGCATTCGTCTCGTGCCCGTGCTGATAGTGGCATGCTCCGTCGCTCCAGCAGCAAGGGACTTTGCGATCGACGACGATGGCTTTACATGCTGCTTGACGACACGGGTTTGTGATCCACCAGAGCCGGCTCGACGGTGCGCACGGTTTCCTGTGGGACTGGTCGTTCCAGATCGGCTGGGAGGACGGTTGTTTCCACGTCGACCCAATGAGCCACCAGAACTAGTAGACGAGCTCTTTGAATGCCGCTTTCCCCGCTTTGCCAAACTAGTGTTCATCGAGTTGCTTCTAGCGGAGCCTGGACGAGATGGACCGAAAGGATCCTCGTCAATTGGTGTCTTTGCTCCGATACTCCTTCGCGAGTTACTTGACATTCTTCTTGAGAGGGGCTCTCCATTGTATACAGAGTATTCGTCCACGCTACCCAGCACGCCTTTCTGCTTGGCCAACGAGGCCAGGCTGCCCACGCTGGATCTTCTCGACGGAACACTGCTACTCCGGCGACTCGATATCGAAGGTCTCTTGTCCTTGTGTCCACGTCCTCCTCGCCGTGAGGCAGTTCCTTTGCCAGTAGATGTCCGCTTCCTTGGCGTCGGAGCCCTTTCTGGATATCCAAAGGGTGCTTGATTAAAGTACCCTTTGGAATAGGCAGATGGAGGGGACGAGTGTTTTCCTGTCGGCGTATTGGATGGCGTTCCAAACGTGAAGCCCCCCTTGCGTTCACGTTTGCTGTCGTTGCCGAGCCAAGTACGGAATGTATTGAGAATGGATGTCCTGTTCCTCGGCTTTGCGAGTTCACGATTGAGAGAGGGGCTGGTGAGACTGCTTCCTTCTGTAGCCGAACGCCGCATCGCAGGTTGCTGTACATTCGACTTGGCTACCGTGCTTGAAGACTTGATATGCCCAGGGAATGTCGCAGGAGTCGAGGGATTCCCAGATGTCTTCTGAACGCTAGATATTTCGGCACTATTCTCCCGTTCGCGATCCTTGGCTTCTCTGGATACCTTGCCGGGTGGCGGGCTCTTAGTCAATCTACCACTTCCATTCGAACTTCGTGGTTCGTCCGAGCTTCTCTCCTTTTCTCTAGAGCCTCCAGAGTCTCTCAACCCATTCTCTTCGCTCTTCTTCCGGACGAGCCCTGCGGCACCACCAAGTACTGTGGTAGCTCGTTGGAGCATAGAAATACTGCTGGTGCGTCCTTGTCTATTCGCATTGATCTTTGAACCTGATGGCGAAGAGTTGTGGCTGTCAATGCCGGTGGTCGGAGAGGGCAATGAGCGAATCGGTGACAATGTAGATAGACTTGTCGGCAACGGGCTGGCCTTGGATAGCTACATGATAATCAGCAAAAAGTATTGCGGAGCTACTTCAACCTACTTCTTCTGCCGTAATAGGCGTAGCTGGAACGATGGCAAAGTCTGGAGGCGCAGACGAGGGAAGCTTCTCCTTATCCTTGGTGGGAATCACTGCATCACTAGACTCCTGAACGCTGTCGGCATGAGGACGTTGCTTCTTCTTCTTCGAGGCATCCACTTCCTCTAGAAGTACCATGGGACGAATGCCATTGACAGAGGCACCTTGTCCAGTTTCGTCGAGCTCTAATGCGCTGCCACTCGCTTCGGCTATAATCTGTAGGCCACCGTCCGAGGAAGGATCTGGCACGACTTGACCAGTGTGCTCCTCAGGCAACATGTAGTTATTCCCCAGTTTTTTCCGCATGATCCACCATAGTGCGCCAGCACTGTCACAGGCATTGGTAAGAACACTGTGCACGATCTGCCCGGTATCGAATCCCAATGCCGCAAGCGAGCTAAGCATGAGCCGCTCTTGCGGACTGGAAAAGACGACGGCAGTCTGCTTCTTCATTGCACCAAAGAAATCGACAGGCTCTGTGGCTGTGAGTGCAGCGGAGAGGGGCCGCACTTTGGGGGTCGCAGGAGGTGAGACGGTGGAAGAAACGGATCGGCGTTTGGTTCGCACAGGTGTCCGTGTAGGCAACGGAGGAGCGATGGACTGGGTCGAATTCTTACGTTCTGCGTGAGGGCGAGAGGGGCTCGCCTCTGGTCCACTCTCTGAGAGTCGAGGACGTGGGGTTTGGTCTACACTTGTACCCTGGAGTGCTGGTTGATTGGGGGGCGTTGAGGGGCGTTGATCTGGAACGATGGAACTGGCAAGCACGCCGTCCAAGGATACAGAGGCCGGGCGACTGGGCTTTGACTCGCCGTCCATGCCCGTGGAAGGGAGAATTGCTTCCGTTGGAGGTGGAGAAGAAGGATAAATGTGCTTGCTGAACCAGGGGCTGGCCAAAACTTGCTGCATGGTAAACCTCTTTGCTGGATCTAACTCTAGTACTCCTTTAAGGAGATCTCCAACCTCTGTAGAAATCGAATGAGCAATGTGACGCACTTGAGGAGGCTGCATACCAGGCGAGATCCATTCCGGCATATCAAAGTCTCCTGCTAGTACCTTTCTCTTAGTTTCTTCCTCGTCATCATCGTCAAACGGCAAGGTCCCTACGAGAAGAGAATAAAGGATGATGCCCAAGGACCAGACGTCGACCTCTGTCATCCAGTTAGCAGAGTAAAGGCGATAATATGACAGTCAAGTACCTGGTCCAAGATACTTTTGGCCTTGAAGCATTTCTGGGCTGGCGTATCCGGTCGTGCCGCAAAAGGTTTCCAACAAAGAGCCGCGTTCAAACTCTCTGGTAAAGCCAAAGTCGCTCAATTTGACTTGGCAGTGTTCGTCTAGCAAGACATTTTCCAGCTTGATGTCGCGGTGAACGACGCCCTGTTCATGGCAATAGGCAATGGCAAGACAAAGCTGGCCGAAGAGGATCCGCGTTTCATACTCATCAAAGCGGCCCTTTTCGACGAGATAATCAAAGAGTTCACCGCCATTGCAGAGTTCAGTGACGAGCCAGATCGAGGACTCTGTTGCTATGACTTCGTACAGCTGGACAATGTGCGGGTGATGGAGCTGGCGGTGGTGATGAATCTCCCGGGTGAGTTGTGCCGAGCAGTCTTTGGGAATCTGCTTGAGCGCGACTTTTGTTCCCGTGAGTCGGTGTGTGCCGAGACGAACTTTGCCATATGAACCCTCGCCGATGGCCTAGTAGACAAGATGAGAAATTGGCGAAAAAGACGCAGAGTCGAACCAACACGGCCAATAGTGTAATTTCCTGTAGGGCTAGATGTCAGCGCGGGTTCGCAGAGTACAAATATGAGACACGGACCTACGACACGCATTCTCCTGTCCCCTAGTTCCTTTCCGAGTTCATTATAGGCTGCAATGAGCTGTCTTTGTCTGAGCACGCTTGCGCCGTTGCGAGTAGAATGCTACGCTGGCTCGCACCTGAGCTTTCGAGTTTCCTGACGCAGTCACGGACTGCGCCCGAGCACGTCCACCCATCATCATGATTAGATCGCTGCGAGGCTGTGATATAGTGTTTGTGGAGAGCTGTTCGGTCTTGTAAAAACGAGTGTGATGCGCTTAGACGGCGGACGGGAAATATTCAAGTCGAAGCGTTGATTTGCATGCAATTGCGAGATGAGAATTCGTAGATTCTGAGAGATTGTCGACTCGTTATGCCGCCCGGCCTGTCGCGGTCGGTTCCAAGATGTAAACCCACTGAACCCATGGCAGCGTCTGCAGCATTCGAGACGCCAAAGCTGAGGATAGGAGGGTATAAAAGGGCTGATTTGTGTGGCAAAACGCAGTAAACTCTTCTTGTTCTCCACCACGCCAAGCACTTTGCCCCCCCTCGTCCCCTCGTCGTTCTCCCTGTCATTCACGATGCCCAAAGAAACGTCCAACACGATAGAAGATGCTATAGGCGTCAGTGAGTATCGCTTGCCACCGCCAGACGCGTCGACGACGCGCTCCTCGTCCCTGAGAGACGTGCTTACGCCCTCTATTCCCTGCAGAGCCCAAGCCAAAGGCCAGAAAGAAGCCCACTGGATACAGAGTAAAGTCCAAATTCCAGATCTGGTGCCGAGTGAGTCCCCATGTCGTTGCCAATGTTCACCTTTCTGACCAGTTCTTTCGCAGAGGAACCGTGAACGCGTCAGAGATCAGTATAACCTCTCAGGACACGATATACAGAAAAAGGTAGAGGCGCTGCTATTGTCGTGTTCGTTGTGCTGACGTTGCTTTAGCTCTGTGAGCTTTGGTGGGACGCAGAAGAGAATCCCAACCGAGGCCAGCGTCCAGAGAAAAAGTCTAGGTCTCCGAGTGCACTCTGAGCGATGGACTTTTGCATGCAACGACGTCTAGCAGCAGCGTCTTGCCGTTTGCCACTGCAAATCATTCACCTGTATCGTTTCTTGTCGTCTGTGTATTCTCCAATCAAAATAAAACACTAAATTTTATCACACTAGTTGGCCTGGCTGGTGGCAAAAACATGGATAAGTAGGGGATTGAACCCTAGACCTCACGCAATGCCAGATGCGAAGCGTGCGCGCTACCACTGTGCCACTTACCCAAGCGTAGAAACCAAAGTTGGTTAAATTATATAGTTTTATCAACTAATTCCCAACTAATTGTCGCCACCTAGCGACTCCGATCGTTGCTCATCTGTGTCGCAAGACTAAAGCAAACTAGATACTCATATTCTCTAATGACAAGGGCGAGCGCCTACTACAAGACGTATACAATGGACGAATCGATCGAAGAGTAACGGAAATAAGAGGAACATCAGTCACGGCGAGAGTTAGAACGCCTGGTTCTGGCCGAGTACTCGGATACGAGCGGTTGGGGTGCAGGCAGCGCGCCAGGTCTCTGCTCCTCGACGCCGTTGCGCAAGTAACGACTAGAGCCGTCGGGTCCAATACGCTCAGTATGTTGAATACCCTATCAGTGGTGAGTTAACATCCTGTGTAAACGACAGTAGCACTCACGTCTGCATCCATCCAGCTGCGTTGACTTTGCTTCCTGCTCACGCCGTCGACATTACTCTCCTCGTGTGACTCGGAGATCCATCGGCCATTCTGGTACGTCGAGGTCGTGGAAGAGGAGAAGAAGCTCGAATGAACATTGCCATTCATGGCCTGCTGGCCTGTCGCTTGGAACGGAAACGCCGGTGGATCAAACAGTCGATTCCCAAAGGCCCTGGAGAGCGGTGGTTGCATAAAGTCGTGCATCAACTGGTCTGGGTCGGGGAAGCCACCAAACATGTTTGGCGCCTGCGTTCTCTGGCGCATTCTTGGGTTGAAGAAAGGATCATTATTGAAAACGTCAAATGCGGAGCCGAATCCCATGTTCCCAAAGCCTCTTGAATTGCCAAACCCGCCAAACGGTGTTCCAAAGCGGTTGGCATCGTGGAAGAAGCTGTCTGCACCGAACCCAAAGCCCTGGTTGAAGAATGGATGCGAGAATGGATCCTGGGCTTGCGGTCGAGCAGAGGCCGACTGGGGGCTGGCTCCTAGGCTAGAATTATTTGGAACCTGGCCGGTGCGGTCATACTGTTGCCTCGTGGCATCATTGGAGAGCACTTCGTATGCCGCGTTGACCTGGATATATTGTGCGTCAGTCGTTTGCTAACAGGCGTGACGTTGCACTTTACCTTTTGAAACTCGAGCTCGGCTTGCTTTCGCTCCTCGGGCGATACACCTTCTCGTGTGAATCTATCTGGATGAGTCTTCATTGCCTTATTCTTGTATGCCCGCTTGACTGTGCGCAACAAACTGTCAGCCACTGCGCGCTTTTCCGTAGAACAGAGCACAAACGCACTTTCATCCTTTGTCGCTGTTGGAGAAACCTCCAAAATTTCGTATAGCGTTCTCATTTGTCGAGAGCGGTGTGGTCAGGCGTCAGGCAGTTCTGGACGTTTCCAAGTTGCTTGTTACGCCCCAGTTAGCTTGTTCCAGATCTCAACTGCGGGCGCTGAATCGCCACATCCCTCGACAGCCAGTAAATTACGAGTAAACTAGTCCATGGCATCCAAGACGGCCTCGAAGAGGGTGAGCTGCCCAGAGCTGCCTCGTTGACACCTGGCAAGCCGTTTATCTCCTCGGCATCTCGCTGACGCCTCGTTTCGGTCCACTTTCTCCTGCGAATACTACTTTCGTACTCAAAATGCACATATTACATCTAAATTATTCATCTTCCGATGCGCGCCCAATGTGTCCCGTAGCTCGCAAAAGAGTTTCTCCTCATGCAGCAGGACCCTCCGCCGTTTGTTTGGGCTGTCCCAGATGAGAAGAATATCCTCAACTGTACGCTTTTCCCCCTTGCGCTTGGCATACACCCACTAACGCCGTTCACAAGGGCATTACATCGTGGTGAGTCCCAGTCTTTGCCTGCTTAATCCAGTCGTCCGTATTATAGGACTCTGGAGAAATTTGTCAATCGTCGAGACGGCCTGCTGATTCATCACATTGGGGCCTTGCAGCGTGGACCCCCGGATAGCCCGTATCAAGGTGGAGAGTATCATGGCATGATCCTGTTCCCTCCCGAGTATCCTTTCAAGCCACCGGGAATCAAGGTATGTTTGTGATATGCGTCTGTGTTCCACCATCTAATTTTGGTAGATGCTCACCCCCTCTGGGCGGTTCCTGCCTGATAAAAAGATTTGCTTTTCTATGAGCGACTTTCATCCAGGAACAGTACGTTTATTCTTTTACCCTCCCCCCTCCGTCTTCTAACCTCTTTCTACAGTGGAATCCAGCTTGGTCTGTTGCAACAATGCAAGTTCAAAATTCCAAAGTAACCCTGTCACATGTTATTTGCTGACATTCTCTGCAGCCTCACTGGACTCTTATCTTTCATGTTGTCTGATGAGATTACGACGGGTTCAGCCCGCTCCAACGACCAAGAAAAGCGCATTCTGGCCGAGCGCAGCCACTCGTGGAATATCCAACAAAAGCGATTCCGTGATGCATTCCCCGAGGTACGACTCGATCACACACTATGACCACTATCTAATAAGCCTTCCTCTAGTACTCGCAGCCCGAGATGAAGGAGCTACCGAACATGGGGATCAAGGAGCGTGGCATCCCGCCCACTGCACCAGAAGGGCACGTCGACTCGCGTTCTAGTAGCCCGGATTCCTCAACATCTTCCGTACAGGGAGGCGATCGACCCGCCGCCGGCAGCACCAATCGGTCAGCCAGACGCGGCCACGCTCCAGCCCGAAACGTGAATCGTGCAGATGGATGGACATCGACGATTGGTCGCCTCGTCACGGAAAAGTGGCAGATCGGGCTCTTAGTCGTCGTTGCGGTACTCGTCATGCGACTCTCTGCGTGACCCGCTAGCATATCCATCCCGCTTCCACGTATGAGGGACGAGAGGTGGTGTCCTTATTTTATTTTGTGGTCCTCTGCGACACTATCTTGACTCCATGGTTTCACCCTACGCTCACAGTTCTATCACTTTTCTACGTTATTCCCGTTCCTCAAGTGTCACTTCGTGCTAACGTGGAATCTCATCTAATATTCACCATATTTGAGCAAGGCGTCCAAAGTCATTCGTTTTAAACATTATCCAGTCTTCGTTTCGCTCATCCACTATTGTGAAATGATTTCTTAAGCTTTGTGAGCCACATCATCGCTCGAGGGCTCGTCAGAGTGCTCCTGCCCCTCGACCACGACGGTGCTCTTCTCTTTGATATCCTTTTCGCTATGGACGGATCCAGTCTCGGCGTCAATGACATCCCTAAGTCCGAGTTGAGAAGTGTCGTATCCATGCTGCTCGAGATACGCGCGGAACTATCCACCCAATCAATAACCCGATCGAAGAAAGTAGACGTTATATTACCTTTTCGTCCTCGTCCATCATTCCATCATGAGAGAGTGGTCGAACACCCACGAAAGTGATCAATGCGGAGAGTAGAGCGAGTCCGGAGCCGATCCAAAATGGTCCCGTGTTACCCTTGACGCTGCCAGATCCACCAAAGGCGTCGATGATGGGTGGGAATGCCCAGGTTCCAACAAATGCACCGATCTTCCCTATCTCGATTTCAGGAAACGAGATATGGCCGGGGCAAGGAGACGTACCAATAGCTGCCGCCATACCGTACGTCTGTCCACGAACACCCGTTGGCCAAGACTTGCTCGCCAAAAGTCCAAGGCAGTTTCCAGGACCTATTGAAACATTTAAATATGCTTTTTGTCACGGGAGTTGCAAAGAGCCGCACCAAGTTCACCAAAGGACAAGAAGATTCCATAGAGGATGGCAAAGCCCGCAATATGATGTGATTGCGTGAGTCTAAAGAAGTTTAGATTCTACCAGGGAATGGGTTGCAACGTACTGGGTGTAAAAGCCGCTCATGAAGAAGCCTATGATGGCTTGGGCTACCAGCCCAGTGATCATAGTATTCTTTGGACCGATTATGTCTATAACTGCGTCAATAATACAGTTTAAGCCACTCAGACCAAGTGTCACATACCAACGACGAAAGCGCCGATGATCGTGCTACAGCCCTTTAGTCAAGCGAAATCCACTGCAATAAAGGCTTACCCTGGCCTATGTAGGGTTTCAATGAAAATAGAAGAGCAATGGCGATAGTACTCACATGTAGAATAAGTTGATTACCACCGCCCATCCGAATATCACCACCAAGCTGTTGGTAGAACCGATGATAGAATCGACGACTGTGGAAGAATAAAGGCCAAATGGATAGCTTTGAGGATCGGTTTTAGTATGCGACGTATCTTAGAGGTTGGGTACTCACGCAATGAAGTCGTATAGGAACCAGGTTGCGGAGACGGCGATCAACGATTTCCAGTAGCGACGGAAGATGAGCTTGTATGGTACGGGCGCATGTTTCATCGACGAGCGCTTATACGCCTCAGGGTTTTCCATTTCTAGAAACGGTAAGATGCGTCTTAAAGCCTGTTGGGAACGAACTCAATCTCCAAACAAATACCAGTAAAGCTGGAACAACTCCAAGTCCGAGAGAAAGGCGCCAAACGGCACGCAAATGGTTCTCGCCACAGATCCAGAGGAGAACAAGTGGGACAAAGGCGGCGATGACGAAGCCAAAGTCGATCATGGTATCTGGAGCAAATTGTAACATGGAAATTATGTGTAAGGTGTCCTTACTGGTTGCCAGGGTGAACCATCTGTGCTGGGCGTTCTTCGCAACACCCTCTCCTTCAGATTGCTCTGCAGAGTGTGAACAAACGAACATTAGTAGGATTTGAGTTACCTGCAGCTGCAACAGATCCGCAAGGGTACTCTGCTCCAACACCGATGCCAAGAAGGAAACTAAAAATATCAGAGGTGAGTGGAGCGATCCGGTCGCCGCTTACCGATAGGCAGAGAGGGCTGCAAGCATTCCTTCGATGCTTCCATTAGCTCCTTTGCTACTAGCGCTGAGTGCTGAAAAGAGAGCGACAATCCCGGTTGCTGCCATCATCCCAGTCTTTCGTCCAATCTTGTCGGATATCCATCCAAATACGAGCATTCTATCAAGCGTAAGCATACAATTGGCCTTCAGGTATATGGCTCATACCCTACAACCGTTCCAGCAAAGGCAAGGGATGAAAGCGTTTGCGAATAATTGGTGTTCTTGAGTTCATTCGGATATAAGCGGCGAAGAATCGTGTTTACAAGTCCAATGACTCCATTTCTAATCAACGTTCACTAGGACGCAGTTGAACATTGGGGGGACTCACGCATATCCATCGCTAAACAGTGCCGTCCCACAGCTATTTGGACTCAGACATGCATTCGTGGGTGTGAAAAAACTACTTACGCAAAGATCATGGAAACTCTTGAGAGCGGCATAGTGAATGGATGACGTCGGATAGCTAAGTTCGATACCCAAATTTAGCGACCTACGGCAGCTTGCGTCCTGTAAATGCTATGACGATGGGACGACGAGGAGATCGCTGGGGAGTGGTAGAGGACAAGAAGTGTCGCTGGGAGATAACACGAGAGAAGTTCTGGGTTCTTGATGTTGAGGGAAGTGCGAGCACGTGAGAAGTCAAGCCGTGGCAAACGTTTGATCGCTTCTTTAAACGAGTTTGCAGATTCCGGCATTTGATGTAGCGGGCTGCCGATTGGTGAGAGCTCATGGACAAACGGCACGAAGCCCACGATTGCCGGCGTGAACATGGTCATTCTTCGAAGCGTTTCTGACGCAGTTGTTGCTTCATCTCGCCATTTTCGGCAGGCTGGGCTGAGTGCGAGAAGCGTCGGCGGAAGCGGTTCCAATGACCATATGGACCAGTGGAAATAGCCTTCCCAGATGTCTTAACTCTGATTTCCATTAACGGTTTAATGTTGACGAGGCTTGTTGATCATCACCAGACGGGCAGTGTACCAGTACCTTCAGGAATCCACCCAAGCGCTATTTTGATAAAGGAAACCTTTGGTTAGACCAAAAATGTTCGCCTGGTGCCCCAGTACGTTTTCGCCCCGAGTCTGATGCCGGTCAAAGTGTGTCGCAAGCAAACGATGAGCATGAAGGTCAAGCCCTTTAGAATAGGAGCACCGTATAGTATTCAAACTATAATTATGCGTTAGTAAATTTGATGTGGGTTGAGCACCTCTTGAACCCGGCCGCAACGAGCCTTGAAGAACGTCATCCCAAGATAAATCATGATTATATTCCTGAGAGTCCAGTCGTCGATATGTTTATCTACGTGCTGGCGTGTTGAACGATGAAGTCGAGTCCAAGAATGCCTGTGCCGCTTGGCAACCTGAAGACAACCCAGTACCGACTCCTGCTCTCTTGAAAAGTAAATGAGAGGGCGCTTAAGACATTTTCAGGTTGGGACGAGCGTTCTATGTTCTTAGGACTCCGGAGCATGAGGGAGCGAATCGACGGCCTCTTGTGCAGGCGTCCGAGGATCACTGGAGCAGAAGATTCTCAGTTATACTCATTCAGCGGTGTTTCGGATCCGATAAATATACGCGATATTCGGTCAGAAAGAGGTCCTTCAGCCGGTTCGCAGCAGGAACCAATCCTTAGTCTAGGTTGCACATATCTTAGCCATCTCCGGCAATACTCTGTAACCTTGAACTTCTCCTTGAATCTTGGATCGTCGCCGTGGGACCTAGAACCTTCGCTCGTCGTCGTAACGAGCCCCAAGAAAACCCCGCCAGCCACCGAGTTTCGCCCCCTTCGCCATTCAGCAACTCGGACGGATCAAAACCGCGAAAATTTGAGCGAATCATGGCAATTGCCATCCTAGTTTAGGCCAGACATTCCCACTTCGTCGTAGGCTGCCATAGCGCTGCTATCCAATCACCCTCTCCTCGAAGCACCTTCGCCTACGGTTCCGCTTGGAAGCCCAAATTATCCCACCGGACACTCACGTCACACTATTGCGAGCGGGAGCTAATTGCGGCCCCGCCCTCCCGCTGCATATCACAAAGCGCTCTGTGCCGAAACGACCCCCCTCGTGCCTATGTGATCAGGTGGGACAATCTATAAATGAGCTCTGGGATATAAAAATCAGAGGGCAGATACCCTCAGCTGGGTAGGTCATACCACCCCCTCGCTCTCTATCCAAAGGCCAAACACGATGCTTTCAATCTTTTTGCCCCTCCTAGCCACTCTGGCATCTATTCCAGCCATAAATGCACACGCGACGTTCCAAGGTGAGTGGTAAACTGGCATGAGGATTGGTTACCTACACTCCCAAGAGCTTTGGGTGGGGTCGACAGACGAAGCTGGCAGCTGTATACGGCTCCCGTTCAACAACTCTCCTGTGACGGACGTCACCAGCACCGATATTGCGTGCAACACTGCATCGGCTGCTGCCTCGCCTGGTTACTGCTCCGTTGCCGCCGGTGGAACGTTGACCGTAGAGATGCACGCTCAGCCTAATGACCGGTGAGCCCTTCTATCTACTTATCCGAGTGATATGCTGATATGGGTCAAGTTCTTGCTCTAATGACGCTATTGGTGGCAACCACGACGGCCCAGTGATCATTTATATGGCGAAAGTCGACGATGCTTTGACCGCAGTTGGCTCATCTGCCAAGTGGTTCAAAGTAGCCCAAAGCGGCTATTTGGGTAACGACTACTGGGTTCGTTATCATTTCCTACCGTCATTTTGGCTAACACAGGACAGGCAACTGATGCTTTGAATGCCAACTGTGGCAAGGTATATATCACAACTGTCATCAATCGCCTTCAGGTCTAACGTGCCCTTAGTTTACCTTCACCGTCCCAAGCTGCCTTCCCGCAGGTGATTACCTTGTTCGCGCTGAAGTCATTGGTCAGCCAATCCGCCCTCGTCGTGTGAATGGGGACTGATGATCCAAACAGCACTTCATGTCGCATTCGGACTCAACGGCGCTCAATTGTGAGCTTGGATTTTCTACTATTGACATGCATTAATGGATTGCAGCTACATGTCCTGCTACACAGTCAAAGTCACTGGTGGCGGCTCTGCCTCTCCCGCCACTGTCAGCTTCCCAGGAGCCGTATGTGATATGCCATCTTTGACATGCTGCAAACTCATTTTATTTCACAGTACTCTGCCACTGATCCAGGAATCTTGTTCGATCTCTATAACGGCTTCACATCCTATACCATTCCAGGACCCGCAGTGTTCACTTGTGGTTCGGGGACTGGATCCACCTCAGTATCATCTAGCTCTTCCGGTCCTTCGAGTAGTACCCGCTCCAGTTCTTCTACGCGCGCGAGCTCGACATCCACGAGCACACGGGCTAGTTCTACAAGCTCCACGCGCACGAGCTCTGCGTCAGGCGCTGGACAGACTCTCTATGGCCAGTACGTGTTTCCTTGTTTCTTAAATATAGCATGTGCTGATACCATTGAAAAGATGTGGTGGTCAGGGATGGACAGGACCCACGACTTGCGCTCAAGGAACCTGCAAGGTCCTCAACCCCTTCTACAGTACGCACTGCTTTATCTGTTGTTGGCCCCTGACTGACGGACGACAGGCCAGTGCACATAAAACTGTTGCCAGCACCTCCATTCGTATTCGCTCTACAGTCAATATCACGCAGCTTCGTCCTCATGCATCCGCGTTCATGAGATTGAGATATCGTCTTCTTGGATCCAATCAGATGGTTGTACCGACAACAGTGAGAGATGAAAGGGGGCGATCACCCTCCATAATTCCTTTCATTTACAGGCATTGTATCACATTTATAAGGCTGATGGTTCACTTTCTCCTCATAGAGTGCAGATATCCAGCCACGTCAGCAAGGAGAGTACCGTCGGCCTTGGAGCACACTAGTTACAGATCGGATCAGAGTAAATACAACACTTATGCGCGATGTTCTCATACTAGGTGATCACGGAAGTGGGGTAGCATGACCAATCCGAAGGCAGTCTCCCATAAACAGCATCAATATTTAAAATTCTTTATACTTGGCTCTTGCCTATATATTGTGACCTTTGATGTAGGTGAACCTCAACCTTGGAACTCCCCTCAACAAGCCCCGAAAAGCTGTGGGTTTGGTACAAAACGTACTTGAGCTCACGACCTTGGAATATGTGCACAAGCCTAAATATTACCATCTGAGGACTCGTTGGTCTCGTAAAGATAACTTTATGGTGATCTGGTCAACACTTTGGCATCAAAGCTGCATCCCCGCAAATGCAAGTCGACATGAATCGACTTGGAGATTGTTTCACAGTGGATTCACGACCCCTCTTTACTCGCAAGGAACATAGTGAGTCGTTGGGAGGACAGGATAAACATCTTAGCAGAAGACTTGGGCAAATGCTTCCTCGACATGAGAAAATGTCGAGCTGGCGACCTTCTTATCATATGTCTATGTGGGCGTTTGCCACCATTATAGGTCCATGGAGTCAACCTTATTCAATGGATGAGCTATCCACGACCAATGGCCGAAAACCAGCTGATCACATGGCGAACCTCAGTTTCCACGCGGTCTCAGCCACAACCGACAATAATCTGTGACCTTGGTGTATCTGGGATCCTCCTCCTCGAGCCTAGAACCTTCGCTGGTCGTCGTAGCGAACCCCTAGAAAACCCCGCCAGCCACCGAGTTTCGTCCTTCCACCCTTCAGCAAGGTGGACGGACTAACACCGCGGAAATGCGAACGAATTACACAATTTCCCGTTCTAGTTTAGGTCAGAAATTCCCACTTCCTCTCGCGCCTCTATCCAATTCACCTCTATACAGACAGCCTTCGCCGGTGGTTCTGCTTGGAGACCCGATTTATCCCCACTCGACACTCACGTCAGACCATTGCAAGCGGAGAGTCAATTGCAGTCAACTCGAGGACCGTCTAGCCGCTGCATATCACATAGCACTTTGCACCGAAACGAGACCTCTTGTGCCTATGTGATCAGCCGAGGCAACATGTCAATAGAATACGCATCCATAAAACCAGGAGGCAGACGCCCTCGGCCGTGCAAGGTCGTTTACCCCCTTTCCTTTCTCTACTCAGGTGCCAAACACGATGCTCTCGATCTTTTTACCCCTCCTAGCCACCTTGGTATCTTTCCCAGCTGTCAATGGGCACGCTATGTTTCAAGGCAAGTATCCAAACGGGTTGTAGGCGGTACATCGGCTTACGATCTCCAGAGCTTTGGGTGGGCTCTACTGACGCGGTATGTGAAATAATTCACCCCAGAGGAGTGCTGATAGACGCAAACAGGGAAGCACCTGCGTGCGCATGCCGTGGAGAAACTCGCCCATTACGGACGTTACAAGCACTGACATGGCCTGCAACACCGCAACCTCTGCCGCCTCTCCTGGCTATTGCTCTGTTGCGGCCGGTGGAACGCTGACGGTTGAAATGCATTCTCAACCCAATGACCGGTAAATCCCTCCGTTCTATCGATACAAACACTATACTGATGTTTACCAAGCTCTTGCTCCGTAGACGCTATCGGTGGCAACCACGATGGCCCCGTCATCATCTATATGGCCAAGGTCGACAATGCTTTGACTGCTGACGGCGCTACCGCCAAGTGGTTCAAGGTGGCCCAGAGCGGCTACCTGGGTGATGACTACTGGGTTCGTTATCACATTTCTTACCATTATTTCTGCTGACGTGGATCAGGCGACCGACGCTTTGAACGCCAACTGTGGCAAGGTAAATTCCCAATCATCTTCAACAACCTTCAGATCTAACTTGCCTTAGTTCACCTTTACAGTCCCAAGCTGCTTGCCTGCCGGAGAGTACCTTGTTCGTGCCGAAGTTATTGGTCAGTCCAACTGGAGATCTGCGATGGGGATTAACGAGTCGAGCAGCCCTCCACGTCGCATACCAACTTGGCGGTGCTCAATTGTACGTTTATTCATGTCGCTGCTTCGTTTTCTCACAAAGTGTAGCTACATGTCCTGCTACACCGTCAAGGTTACCGGTGGCGGCTCTGCCTCTCCAGCCACTGTCAGCCTGCCAGGAGCCGTATGTGATTCCTCGCCTGTAACTATTGAAAGCTCATTTGTTTCCACAGTACGCTGCCACTGATCCAGGAATCTTGTTCGACCCCTATTCTTCATTCACCTCGTACACTATTCCAGGACCATCCGTTTTCACCTGTTCCGGTGGAACTAGTGTCAGTACTCTGCCCCCTCCTCAATCGTCAACTTCAACTCGGGTCACGTCCACGTCCTCGCGATCGAGCTCGACCTCGACTTCGACCTCGACGCGCTCAAGCTCGACTTCCACAACCTCTACGCGTACGAGCTCTGCTTCAGGCGCTGGACAGACTCTCTACGGCCAGTGCGTGACTCCTTGTTTCGTAACTATACCATGTGCTGATATTATCGAAAAGATGTGGCGGTCAGGGATGGACAGGACCCACGACTTGCGCTCAAGGAACCTGCAAGGTCCTCAACCCCTTCTACAGTATGTCCTATTTTTATCCGTTGTTGACTTCTGACTGACGGATGACAGGCCAATGCTCGTAAGTCTGCTGTCGGCAAAATTGGTCGCATCCGTATATTTTGCATGCAATGCCACTCATTTCAGCCTACACACGATCTTATTCATAAGGTTAGAGTTACAGTTGTCGTTTGACAACGAAGCGGAGGAGAAGCAGCTGTTCTCCCGATTTGATCAATTTGACCGGGTGACGTTTGAGATCGAGATTGAGAACCTCCTCCGAGACATCTATAGTCCATTTCCCGTCTCCGACATTCTGCCACAGACTCCTGAATGTGTCTCCGTTCCGGCGGAATATACTCTCCCGGTCTCCTGCCCGGAGCTCCCCTGAGTTCTTTACGCCCAACAGACTACCGATTATCATACTCTCCGAAGAAATGCTCAGGAGATCATCAAGTCGACTTGCAAGCTGGATTTGCCTGTCCCATGAGAAGAGGTGGAACACCGAGGCGATATGAAGAATGTCAACGCGCCGGTGCAAGTCGGCGAGAAATGTATTATCGAAGATGTCACCCGCTTTGAATGTGAATTTCAACTTTTCATCGGTTTGCGCACCGTCTCTGAAGAGTTGGTATCCAAAGTCGATAAAGTCTTATGGAGATCCGTGTCGGCGCCATCGGTGACTAGCTACCTAACGACTTGTCCAAAGCAGCAGCCCACGTCGAGGAAGACGGACTTTGATGGTGGACGTAGCTTGGAGAGAATGACCGAGTGATACAATTGGCTTTGTGTAATGGTTGGACGAAGAAAGGTAAGCATAGAGATGCATGGATAATTGTGTACTCGTAACGCCTCGGAACGGATGCGCAAGATGTGCGAGACGAGGGGTGCGTCATTGTCTGCTTCGCAGAGCGATGCAGTCGGTGAATATCGCGCAAAAAGCGGCTTTTTTGCAGCGAGAAATGGGCCTGGAATCGTTTCGTCCATCTTGGTTGAGCAAGGCGGGGGAGCCAAGCTGGCGTCTATTTATGTGCTATCCTCCCCTCTCCAGTCGGATCCATATGGGATGTGAGCCAAATTTCGATTTGAATTACGAAGTAGTCGCCTACCCGGATCGGGTGATGATCACTCTTAGCCACAACCTCCTTTGGGCAAGTTTCTTCAAGGACAACTAGGACGCGTTATTCGCCCATTGATACGCGTCTCTGGAGCTATAAAATCATATTTTGTCAAAAGGCGGCCTGCAAATACCATGAAACGGATATCACCGCTGAACAAGAGTCGCGTTCCAGCCAAAGGTCGCAAGAAACCTTCCACACGGATGAAGAGGCGTTCTGCAGGTAAAAAAGAGACAATGAATCTGCGTAAAAGTCTGCGACGGGACGCGCAAACCAATGGGCGTAACAGCCAGCCATGTCATGGTGGCACATTTCCAAAGGCAGATACCGAGCCTCAGCTGGGAGATAAAGAGGTAAGTCTGTGGCAATGTACGAAGCTTTGTTAATCTCAAAATGTCTAGGAAGTAGACGCATACGAACCGGAACCGACCAGCCACGGTTCGCCGAGAAGCGAAGCACAAGTCGAGATTCTGTTGCAATATGATTGTCCTATGGTGGATGAGATGGACTTTTCGAGTGCTGGAGAACTGGAAGACTGGATCGACGAACCAGAGTCCGAGCCAGTCAATAATCACGATACAGTAGGTGAACAAAACATTGCTCAATCGACTTCTGAACGACCTATAGGTGAGTTTAGCATTCAGCCGACAAACGATTGCGCATTGGGTACGCTACCATTTGGATTATCAAGCACATCTTTAACGAACCCGTTGTTTCATCGTTTTGCCCATAGAATGCAAATATGCGATTGCCCGCGCACAGGGACGAAATTCCAATCCACGAACGACTCGCACGGCAGAATCGCATTCGACTCGAAAACGAATTGCAAGTGTACCATGCAGAGTTGGAGAGCGTATGGGACATGTTTCAAGTTGCCGTCTCTGGCGTAACCGACCGACTCGAAGTCTTGATGCTCGCCTACACGTTTATGCGCATGTTGGACAGCCTGCCGATCGCGTAAAGGGATGGATACGGAATTGTACTTTGAAATGTAATGCAAGGAGAGGTTCAGCTGCCAAGGTCGGGGGGTCAACTCTATCGGGTTGCATACTGTACAGAAATACAATGACAATGCGCGGGAGGAGGGGTATCACCAGCCTTGTAGAGCTTGAGTCAACAAATCTCTCGACGACGCAACGAGCTCGCGACGCTTGATGAAGAACAAACGAGCGTCCATAGGAACAGCAAGGGGTGCCGCACCATAGCCACTCTGCCGAAGCGTACGAACGGCACTGACAAGCCTGTCCACCTCTAGCTGTTGCTCCATCGGATCCGCAATCACCTCTTCTTCAACAGCCACCTCAATCGCCGCGTCCACTTTGGCCTTTTTCTTGGACCCACCACTCTTTTTAGGCTTTTCACCCGCAGCAAGTGCAGCAGCGAGTGCAGATTCCTTTTCAGCCTGTTTCGCCTTTAACTTTTCCGCCTTTTCTTTTTCCTTTTGTTGCTTTTTCTCCTCCTTGGTCTGGCGTTTGACGGGTTCGACAAAGTTTGGTTTATGGGCGCGGTTCCATTCGAGGAGGAGTTCATCGTAGGATTTGGAACGGCCCTCGACGGCACGTTTGGCGCCCATTGCGTGGGACTTGCAGGTGAGCGATCTCGAGCAAGGGAGACCCTTGTCGTTGATGACACCACACTGTCTATCGACATCGACGGGACCTAGCAAGCATGAGTCCACGTTGCTTATTCTAAAAGAATGTCTGTACCTTTCATCCTGCCCTTTGTCACCCTGGGTGTTGGCTTTGCACGTTTCTTTGCAGCAGGCGAGGTGAGGTCCGGGCCGTCCATGTCACTTGCTTTGCGTTTCTTTGCATTCTTCTTTGGGTCTAGAAAACTGAGACAAGGTGCCGCTGGTCGAGACTTGGAGTCGACATACCGTCGGCACCACTGGCCAGTGCAGAAGAGGCTGCAGCAGATGTATTCGAGGCCTGGGAGATTGAGATTGTCGGTTTAACGGCGCCACCTTGACGAATCTTTTTGCAGTTTGCTTTCCAGTTTGTCTTAGTCAAGAACTGTTCGACTGGGGGGTACACTAACCAGTGTGTTCGAGGATTGCAGACTTGAGGACAGGCTTTGAACAGTGGGTGCAGATGACATTTCCGAATTCTGGATCGAGTGGCTGGAGGCCAAAGACGTGCATCTCCGAGGCTGGCAAGAGGGCGGTCTGTGGAGAACGAGGATCTGGAGAGAGGCTCGGAGAAGATGGAGGAGAAAGGGAAAATGGTAAGAGATCCCTGGTTGGGGATGCGAGCTGGAGAGCCATGGTGGTCGCCAGGGTCCAAAGTTTAGTCGCCACTTGAACCCCGAGTTGAATTCTTAACAATAGGTTTAGGAAGTACTTTTAATGAGGATTAACAAGAGTGATGTGCCGAGCCAGTCGGTTGGATGTCTTACCAGACACCGGAACAACTTCTATAAAAGGTGTATTGCTGGCTATTACACTAGCTATCTACACGGCCTTTGACTGTATGCGGATATCAAAACGACCGAGTTGTTCTAGACATTACAGACTGGTCGATCTGCATCAGCAAGCATCCGTCTTGCCTGGTAGTTTAGCGCGGTCGGTCGTGTGAGAGGACTGGCGCGCAGATAAGCCGGGCTTTTTTTTCTTATGATAATATGAAGATGGACTAGGAAAATGCACTAAATTCCTGGGGCGGGTCGGGTGTCAAGTTACGGGCGCACATGACACCGCTAACTCGTTTGTTCGAATATTCTGCAGAAAACTATCCAGTTGCTGTGAAACAGGCCGGTGACGCACCAGATCCTAACTGTTTCAAGAGTCAAGCCTGGACATCGACTGAGCCCGCTGGCTGGTTCGAACCCACTTCGGAAATTTCGGTCGTACACCTGAAGGCATTGCTGTATCCGCGAGGCCACGACAAGAACTCTGCGATTATTCGCTGATAAAAGCCCCCAGACAAGACTGGAACCTGATAGATAGAACGCTTAGCAAATTGCGTATTCCAATTGCTTATATAAGCAGCCCATCCAGTCCTAGTGGTGGTTATCCGGAGTTTGGCGAGTCTGTTTGGTCTCATTCTCTTGGTCCCAACGACGTCCAGACACCGTCCAGCGACGACGACGACGACGACGAGGACTGCCTCTCCGCGCTCCCATCAACGACCATGACTGGTACGGCTACGCCAACCCGCTCCTGCCTCAAGCGCAGACTCCATGACGCCCTCGCCTCGTCCTCGCTCGAGTCTACGAGCGGCAGCAGCTGTGCAAACTCGCTTTCTCAAAAGTCTACACTCTGCAAGACTGTCTCCTTTGACGGCAAGGAGCACATCTACTTTGCAGACCCAGATTATGATCGCCATTCCGTCCCCGTCGCTCCAAAACTATCTTACGAGTGCGTATTCTCCCATCTCTTTGCTTTCCCCTCTTTTTCGCGCTTTTTTCCGCTTATTTTTCACCTTTGCGCGCTGGCCTTGGCTCCCCCCTCCCCCTTCGTCACTCGCTCGTTCGACCCTCACTGACGATGATCCCGACAGAGATCTTTTGGAACTCAAGATGCTCAACATCAACCTCATGTGTCCCCAGAACAAGTGTGCTGTCATTCCTATCGGCATCTTGCCTTTATTGCCTGCCTCGGATGCGACGCCATTACCGACAACGACTGCCCCCGCCGTAGTACAATCGCGTCCAAAGCCCTCTGGTCTCGCACGTCACTTGAGTGCACAGAACCAGCACTTTGTCGGTCTGCTCGATGACGACCTCGTCTCCATGTCGTCAACGCCCCCACCCTCTTCACCGTCTGACCACTCTCCAAATACGAGTGGCATTCCCCTCCCATGATTGCAACAGACGACGAGGGCCAACTCATCTTTCAGTTTTCTTCCTCGGACGATCTCGAAGACGAGATCATTCGGACCACTCCTCCGACCTCGAGTCATCCCCACCACAAGCTCGCGAGCTCCGAAAACTCGCCAAAGCACGTGAACACTCCCCCGCCTGCACCAAAATCCGGGGCCCCGCAATCATCAAATTCAGGCGTCGTGACACCCCCTTTCCCGGTGCTGCCCAGCCCATCGTCTCAAGCCAATGTCGCTGCAATGACCCTGACACCTTCCTTCTTCTCGATGACTCCGCAAACATCGCCCACTCCAAGCGCTCCCTCGTCTCCATTCCCATTTGCACCTCCCGTCTCCACTTGTGTCGCCCTCCCGAGTCCCCCACCTCTTCCAACCTCTCCGTCCATTGATCAGGTCCGTCCAAAGGCGACATCTTCACCCTCTGCAATCGATCCGCACCACGCTGTATCCTCGCCAAAGGGATTGCAAAAGCATCAGCATCATCGCTCAACATCCTCGCCCATCTCAAGTCCGAAAAAGGCTCCCGCAACATTGTCTCCGCTTGCAACACCACACGCCTCGCCAACGTTTACGATCCCACTACACATGCACATGGGCTCACCCCGCGCGACGAGCGTAAATCCCTCTTCAGCCACTCATGGAGCAGGAGCAAGCCAAGCCCACACTCAATCCGTTATCGCACCTCCAGGACCGCTGGCGGCCCTTCATCAACGACACCCGTTGTCACCTCAGCTCTCGGGCCTTCCTTCTCCCTCTCTCGTACCACCTTCGCCTTTATCGCTGTACCCGCCCAATTTGGATCAACACCAACCCTCTTCCAATGGCACATCAAGTCCGGCCGGCTTTTTTGGCGAGCGTAAACGTTCGGCAACCGCCACGATCGCCACGACTTCGGGCGTCGCCGGTCATGTCAAGCGCGCGAGTGTCGGTGGCCCTACTTCGACATTGGCACGACCTTCGTCCCCCGTCGTAAAGCCGCTGAAATCGTGAACCGGGTTTACCGGTAACCATTGAATTTCTCCTGAAAAAAAATATATATACACTGGCGGAAACTCAAAACCCACCACCCATGAACCTGTTAGATGGATCAGGATTCGTCTATCTATCCTTATTGCTATTCGAGCTTCCCGCCACTCGCTCTCTCTCGGTCTCTCTCATCCCGTTCTTTCTCGCGTAGACTCTGTTCCCTCGATTTCCGACCTTATCTCTCCCCTCTTTGCGCTCCCGTTTTCCGACCTCTCTGTACACGACATAATACCTCTTCCTCTTTCTTCTCCTCTTGTATCACGCGGCACCCTTATCCTATCCCCTCCTCTAACGTATGCGCTCTCCCTGGTTCCGCTCTCCACGTACCGCGCTATGACCCGTGACGCCCCCCAGTCCAAACGTCGTCTCCCTCCCAATATGTCGGTCTCCCCCCTTGGTCGCTCCTTTTTTCTTTGGTCATCTCGACGCTCATCTCCAAACCTATCTATCCTCACAAATCAGAACTTTTGATTTGATCTCCCCGTGATTGATTGCGATTGTAAGACCAAAGCTCGCAGTTTGTATAACAGTTTCTCGGTTCTTCTTCCTGTGTGTGCACTCAACAGTAAGTCAATGACATGGCTTGCGTGCAATACAAGTCGATTGCACTTGTCTAGATGGTATTTTTCTACAACACAAAGGAGACAGATTGAGGAACACGTGAGGCGGTTTGACTGGTCCGTGGGATATCATCATCATCAAAACACACCCAAATGCAGTGCGCATATAGAAAGCATACGCGTGAGAGGGACAGAACACGTAAAGGAAGGACATGGGGGGAATCGGGTGAGTTTGGCGAGTAGCAAAGGGGGGGGGGTGTGGACCAGGAGGACCGCCTAGTTTGGATGTCGTCTTTCGTCCTTTGGGTCCTATCCATCCATCAAGATTTGCTTTTTTAAAATGAGACGAGATTCCGAGCAATTTTGGAGGGGACGATTGGTCCAAAACTTGTCGGCCTGTCGTTTTGGAAGAGCCAGGGCACATCGACGTGCGGCTTCTACTCTTCATCCGAGTCTGGTGGACCTCTTTCAATCTCTTCAAACTCGCTCTCGCCTTCGGCCTCTTCTTCCTCTTCTTCTTCCTCTTCTCCATAGCCATCCTCGTCTTCTTCCGTCTCTGAATCGTTTTCTTCCATCGACTCTTTGAGCTATAAAGAGTGTCGTTAGGCCAAAAGAAGAAGGGATAGATGGAGGCTTGCCATTTCGAGAAGCTCGTGGCACTCGTTGAGATGGGCCATGACAATGCCTTGACCTCTGGTATCGATCCGTCTTTACCAATGAATTTGCCGTCTTTGACCATGCCATCGACTTGGAAGAGGGCCAATTGGTACTGAAGATAGTGAGTATGTGGGATGCCTTGGCCAAGGATGGACAATACCGGATAGAGCTCGCGTGGATGGAACGGACCACCGTAACGGAGCACCTCATTCAACACCTTTTTGACCGTTGACAGTTTGTTCGCCTACCCCTCGTGAGTAAAAAAAAACCAGCCAGCGGAGCAAGACTCACAATCGGCATCAGTTCCTCCGAGACCGGCTCGCTCGAGGACAGTAGACTATAAATAAGACCATAGCACCTCCTGAGGAGATACAACAACACCTGGCAGACGCCCATCAGCGACCCAGTCTCGTTTCCGACAGACGCCACTCACGTATTGACCCTGGCCGGGCTTGCCATCGGGTGTGCCGCCCACGTTCCACTTGCCATCCTTGCGCATTTGATCAATGTCCCTGAGTGCGACTGCGTAATTGTACAGGTCGGTCTCGCGTAGTGTCCAGCGGTGCGTAAGCGACAGGCGCTCTAGCTCGCCTCGCATCTCCTTTAGCCTCTCGTAGACGGGCTTGAGCTCGTCAGAGAGGTTGATTTCATACCCTCGTGCCTTGATCTCGTGTGCAATATCGAAGCAGTCTTCGACGAGCGACGAGCAAATGGCCTGTGAGGGGGGCACGGACGATGCCCCAGGCCCGACGCAAAACTTGCCGTCGACGCGCTTGGCATCAATCTTCCGTAGGTCATCAACGAGTTTCTGGAGCTCCGTCTTGGAGGGGTGCTCCTTGCTGGCGAGAGCAGCAAACTGACGTCTCATGGTGACTAGCTTTTGGTGAAGAGGAACGAGTTCTGGGGAGAGGACAGAGAGTGCGTCCATCATTTCTTGCAGAATGTCGTCTAGAGTTTTATGGTCGTCCGAGTCGCATCGCAAGAGGCCACGGGGAAGACGCGAATTAGGGTGGCATAGGTCCGATTCGCGTGTGGACAAAGGGCCGATGTGGGGATTACGTAGGTATCAGAACGTCAGTAAATGAAATGACGAGACGACAAGCGTGTAGGCGTGATAAGGGTGCGTGTATATGTGGGGAAGATTGGAATGCGGAGGACACGTGAGCCTCAGAGGACATGTGATGGATGAGCACATACCACACTGGTTCAACTTGCGTTCCAGAAGCTCAATCATTGCAGGTGGGTGGTTCTCCGCATCGTTTTGGACAATCTCTCGAAGCTCAGCAAGTCGCTTCTGAAATGGTCCAAGATCGGCCTCGCTGTAGACCATCGACTCGCGCATGTGGTCCAGAAGTTGCTGGAGAGTAATGTCAGTGAGTAGAACACGACGGTCGTACGGCCGACGAGTGAGGTCAGGGCCTGTGCGAAGCCGGTGGGTGGGGGCTGGTTCGTCGTGTAATACACACGTCAAAGACAAAGTGTAGCGCCTTATGTCCTTCATCATCCTGTCCCGAAGATTTTGGGGTGGGATATGGGGACCTGAAGTCGAGAATTGGAAGTCTTGGTCAGACCTCTCAACTCTTTTGTATCGCAAAAGTCCCGACAGAGGCGGGGTGCTGACATAGGACGTGACTTCGGACGTGCGACGATGAATAACACTCCGCCGAGAATAACCTCCGCCGTTGAGCCGCAGCAGCCATTACATTACGCCTTCGTTCGGCGACGAGTCGAAGAGGGAAAGCAAAAGACACAGGGGACTTACTCTGATACTAGCGACCTGTGAGTAAATGGCTGGGCATTCCTTGGTTCTCCCAATGGTGAGGAAGAAGAGCGAGAGGAGGGAGAAGACGTCGGCGAGCGTCGTATCCACTCGATTCGGCTGATGCGGCTCAGAGTCTGCGCGCAGTTCATTCAAACGGTCGACTAGAAGAAAATAAGCGAGTGTCTAAAAGGTAAAGGGGTTGTACGCGCCCTGTTTGACCGTGGCTTGATAGAGATTGACTACATCTTGTGGTTTCACAAAGTCTGCCGTTTCTCGTTTGAGAGCTGTGAGACGGTTTCGTATGCTAGAGGTTGACATCAGAATTCTGTGTAGCGCGGCAGAGGTCCGTCTGAAACTACCCGCTGAGAGCCTCGAGAATGGGCGATTCCTCGATAGGGAAGCTCATTGTCGAAAGAAATTAACTAGATGTTGTCGCGTCGTCAGGCTCTGCGTCGTCGTCGCGTACAGCGAGGTCAAGCACGGGCACGGTTGGGTCCAGAAGTGGCGTAAAGACTTTGGACCCTCTCGCAACAAGCCGCCGATTCTCAAACACGCCCTAGAGATCTCTCGAACGCAATAAGCATATAATGGATAGAATCAAGCAAGTCCGTATCGTCCCCCATCGACGCTTGTAGCGCGTTCTAGTTGGGCCCCCGTCGCTGATCCGCGTCACGCCTTGCAGAAACTCGATCAGTTCAAGGTTGATTTAGAGGCTGCAACGGACCGTGCAGAGCTCGCAGAAGAGAAGAACAAGAAGCTGGAGCAAGCCCTCCTCGAGCGCGAACAAGAGATCCAGTCGCTCCGGCACAGACTTGACCTTGCAGAAGCAGAAAGTGAAAAGCTGGCTGCCGATCTCAAGACTGCAAAGATGGCATCGTCAGAAGGCGAGCACACGAGGAGCAACGCCGACAACTTGTCCCGCAAGGTTCAGCTGCTCGAGGACGAATTAGACAAGGCAGAAAAGAGTCTAAAGGAGACGACGGAAAAGTGCGTCTCCTTGCCGTGTCCTGGCCCAGATTGACCCTGATCGCCATTGTGTTTGTAGACTCCGGCAAGTAGACGTCAAAGCCGAGCACTTTGAACGTCAAGCTCAGAGTGCTGAGCTTGAACGAGAGAAATGGGAAAGAAAGTACGAGGTAAGATGACTCTTGAGCCTCCTAATTGACCGGACCCTCACTCTCACTTCAGGAAGCTCTGGATAAGTGGAGGAAGAGTCAGGCAGAATTGGACGAGCTCGCTCGTAGCATGGATCAACTCTAAATGCTTGGTTCCGCCTACACTTCCTTATTCCACCTCAATACCTCTACGTATCTCGGCGTATGAAATCACATTCATCGTCTCACTATCCGATGCTGAGGGAGACTCTTCATGTAACAGAAATGTCTCGAGGTTGTCACGAAACGGCGAGGCTGGATCAGCCGCAACTTTGAACCCTCTCGCAGTGAGCCACCTCTTCAGAGGTCTATTTCACGTATATATCAAACGATGAGCATATCGATGAACCCGCAGGTTGGCATCATGTCATCGACCTCAGCAACTGTCAGAGTGACTGCTAACGTGGCTACTTTGTAGCTTGAACTACTCGCAAAGAGAAACAAGACACTACAGTAGACTCTTCTCAAACATGACCAGGAGATTGAGTCGTTGCGGCAGATACACAACCAGTCCCAGGCGGAGAACGTCAAGCTTATAGGCGACCTCAGAGAGGAAGCCGAAAAGGTTCAACAAAGTATTCAAGTGCTCGAAGATGATATGCAAATGACCCAGAAGCGTTTAACAGATATGACCATAAAGTGCGTCTTCCCCCGCCATTGCCAATTGACGGTCCTAACGATCGATCCCTCGTCTCCGGATTCAAGCAGATGGAAGCCAAGGCGGAGCTCCTCGAACGTGAAATACAGATGCTCAAGGAGCAAAGAAGCAACGCCTCCTGAGAAGTCTTATTCTAGTCTTGCGATTGATATCTCAATTAGGGCGTATCTACGTCTTAATATGTGATCAAAAGGGCTTGATTATATCACGCATCCATTACTAAACGCGCCCATCCTACGTAAGAGAACATTGCTCGCGACGTTCCGTCCAATACATCTACTTATCCGCGGGGTCGAATTTAAGACTGACACTGTTAACGCAATGGCGTTCGTCGGCTGAGAAAAGGTGAGCGAGGTCTATCAATCACCAAGAAGTAACACGAGCTTACTCGGCGTATCAAAATCTTCTCCTTTAAAGACGTGCTAAAACGTGTTAGAAATCGCAGCAACAACTTGTTTAAACGTACGCCAAGGTGGCCTCCACAGTTTGTGCAGGTTATCTCTGTTCTGGTAGTCGTCAGTCACAGAGATTATGACGCGTAGAATGTCACATACCTAACCATCCCAAAAGAGCGATCCTCGTGTCTAGAAAGTATCAACATCGGGTCAAGACATGGAAACCACAAAGAAACCAACCTGCTGACTGCACCGGGAATTGCATCAAAGAAAGCAGGCCATCCACATCCACTAGAAAACTTGGTCGTTGATTTGTAAAGCGGGGCATTACAAGCTGATGACCGTGTCAATCATCGTCGTCCATACGTCAGCAACGAACACACGTACCGGCACAATGATATACTCCTAGAAAAATTGGATCAGTAAAGAGGCAGGTTACAGAGCCATAGGAGACAGACCTTCGTCTTTGGTATGCTCGTATTCGCCAGTACCTGGCCTCTCGGTACCCTTTTGCCTAAGGATCCTAAACTGCTCCGGACTAAGGATCGCTCGCCACTCTTCTTCAGACTTGTTGACAGCGGGGTTTGTACTGGCGTTGGAAGACATTTGGGCAGACTGTGAGGAACCTATGATGGCGATAGATGTGGTTCTATGAATAAGTCTTGTTATTCGCGGTGTAAATTGCCTGTAAACGATTGCTCGAAGCGTAAAAGCGCGGTAGAGGAGCGGAAAGAGTCGCATGGGATTATGTAGCCACCCAAGCACAGCCAGACTTACTCAACTCCGAGTCCAACGAGGGGGCCGCAAAAACTGGAATTTGGTAATCACAGACTATACGTATACAGTACGGAATTAGCATGGAGATGTGAAGGAGCCCCGGTGGAACAGACGTTTAACAATAAGATATCGGAAATGACAGAGCAGCAGCGCAAAGAAACAAAAAAACAAAAAAGACTCGACGCGTGGCAGTAAATAGTACACAAGAGGTGACATACCAAGTGGCGCGACAGTAGAATCCAGCCCTGTGCGCCTTGGCCAAAAGCGTCCGCGAGGAGAAGAGAGAGGGCCTCTAGAGGCCAAACAACCATCGTCGCTTCTTTGTAGATCCGTCCTTTGAAATGCCCGACTTTTCGTCCCCGGACATGTCCAACCAATTCTCGTACTCGACCACCCCTCGCTTCGACTTGGATCCCTTGGCTTTGGCATGCGGGGGCGACGGCGGTGACACATCCTTATTCCTCGACCGCTTCCCACTTCCCTTTTCATTCGAATGCTTGCTATTCATCGGTAACGGACTCGTGGGTTGCGGACTGGGCGCTTGCGCCACAGAGATGGACGACAGCGTCGCATTCGACATCCACCCACTCGAAGAGGCATCAGTCGTGTTGAGAATATTTCTCGAAAGCGGCACATTGGCAGCGACACTACCAGCAGCGGCAGCATGATCATCTAGTGACGATGCGCTGACCGGGATATGTAGGTTTTGCACTTGCCGCGGTCGTGTAGTTCGTGTTCGGCTCCGGGAATCCAGCGTACGAGGTGATTGAGGTCGCCGTTTCCTGTCAGAGGTTCCCAACACACTAGCAAGACCACCCTCGCTCGACAAGCTCTCGACAGAAGCATCATCGTTGCTACGAACTGATTGCGTCTCCACGGTGTGCATTGATTCGGCATATGGTCGCATTTGTGGCGAATGGATCGATCCTTGAGATGGGGACATTGCCCTTCCTGCAATGGACGGATTCCGGGACCGATTTTTGTCAACAGAGGAAAATGGCGTAAAGGACGAGAGTGAAGATGTCGAGTTCATAGCAGAATGATGTGAGAGATTCATCTTGCTCGATAGAGGCGACGGTCCCTGCTGGGTTGCCAATCGACTAGGCGTCTGATGCTGGTGAGGCGTCGTGGAAAAGGGGTGATCCCCATCGTCATCATCCTCTTCTGCCCCTTGCAGTGAAGGCCACATGGACTGGTGCACGACGATGGGTGGTGCCTGATCGGATGAAGTAACAGCTCCCTTGGGTGCTCGAGTAGACGGGCTCATGCTTGACGATGCTTCTGCGATAGGATGCAATCCTTCCGGCCTTTCTACCTCGACAAACTTGCGCGGCTCCGGTGTTCGATAGCGCAGAGGGGACGGCGGCTTGATGGCCGGCGGAGGCGACGTGGGCGTAGAGACTGGTAACCTACGCGGGCTGGTTGCTTCATTTTCCGTTTCCTCTTCATCATCCTCTTCTTCTTCTTCCTCTTCGTCAGATCCAAATGGCATAAACGACCCATTGGCTTGGACGTGTGGAGCGGGATCATAGTAATTTCCCTCTAGACGCGCCAGGGCCTCGTTTCTACGCGAACGTTTGATTGCGGATCGTTGGGATGGAGTCATTGATTTAAACGTGCTAGCGCTCGCGATGCTGATATTGCGATGAATGGCGCGTTGAGGGACCGGTGGCGGAGAGGACATGGCCGAGCCACTGGGAACCGAGGAACGCACGCGTGGCTCATACTCTGGTCGTGCGGGGATTGATTGGGCGATGGAGGGGACAGACCCTCGCGTCTTTGCGAGCTGAACGGACGGATCGAAGGAGAGTCGAGACGAGGAAGCGTCCAGGCGAACTTCCAAACGGGGTGGCTCGTCCGAAATAGAAGCCTTGACCATGTCAAGCGATACTGGTTCCGCCGTCATCCGCGAATTGTGCCGCGGCGCAGGCTGTGTGGGCGCATAGGCGTCAGAGTGAGTTGACGAGGTAGTTTGGTCCGTAGCGAACGGAGTATCTGTCATGGACAAGGGAGCATTTGCAAAACTCGCATAGAAGCTGTGAATAATATCAGCGAGGGGCATTTTGGCATGAGAAACAAGAGGAGCCCACTGACGGTGATTGCAATGAGGCCAGCCAGGCCGAGCTACCCACAGAGATTGCACGGGTTTGACGAGAAAAATCGGATTGCTGATCGTTATGTACACGATTGATAGAAAGAGTTTGGTCATTGGCGTCGAGGGATAAGAAAGACTTTAAGTTTGTGCGTCTCGTGGCGGTCGTATCTGAGCGAAAGAGGACTGAAGGAGTAAAAGAAATGTTCTGGGAATTGCTAGACGATGGATGGCGCCGTAGACGCATGTCAGCCGTTGTCGGACTCCAGGCGGGGAGCGAGGAGCGCCTGGAATAAAACGAATCGGTATCAACAGAAGGTCTTCGTTGGCCGATATTCATCGGAAATTCCTTGTACCGCGACATGCTGGCAGGAGCGGCCGCTGTGTCAGGACGGGCATAGTGGGCACTGCGATTGGGATCGAGTCCAGCGGCGAAGAGAGACGAGTAAGATGCTAGACCGGCAGAGCTGCTCATCGCACTCGACAGCGAGCAAGAGAACAAGAGCCAGCCGGTACTATTATGGCCAGGTCCAAGTGGTTTATCGGCGTCTGGCGGTTTCGACAAGCGGGGGAGTTTGACGACAGCAGCTAGTAGGCTGGTTATAAATGAAAGAGCAGAGCAACTAGCAGATAACACGGGTTTACTTGTTGGCCCTGGATGCCATGGCCGCCCTTTGTCCTCCCGGTCCGAGCTCCCCCCCCCGTACTTCTCACCAATGCTGAAAACAGACAACAGCGTATTCTCCGAAATTCGTCCATGTGCTTCATCTCCTGGCCGCCCGTAGATCATATTTGGCCACCACTCGTCCTCCGGTTATACTCAGCCCGGCCACAGCTTCAATACCCGACCAGCGGCATGCTGACGGCTTAGACATGGCAACTGCACGTCAATGTGTCCTGTCCTATATCGCCCAGATGCTCCATTTGACGGTCGCCTATCACCCTCCGGTTGACATGCCAAAGGCCGACGAATGCACAATCCTGAGTGAGTTGAAGAAGAAACGAGTCCGTTGCATCGTAGCCTAGAGGTCACCACCGTCGCAGCAGTACCCACAGTTAACGTCTCCCCTTATGAAGACCACAGCTGATCGGAAATCAATCATGTCCATTCGTAACCAGATTACAGACCTCTAGTCCTCAAACCCATGAAGCGCTCGTAGTCCTTCTACCACTCGCCGATATTCTAGGAGGAGTTCGCCTACCTCGGCCAGCCTTAGGTCACCAGGCTCACACTCCAGGAAGCGTTCAACAGGTGGGGCTATTCTCATCGACGGAGACGGTGAGCTGGGTCGAGACGATGGTGGGAGAGCACTCGCGACGCCGAGAAGGGATGCCCGTTTGGACGCAGGCGATTGCTAAGGGACGTCTTCAGTAGCGTTCCAGGGCTGAATGAAACCAGTTACGTACTGCATGGAGTGGGCTAGAATCCCTTGGTATCCTGCTACGCACCGAGACATTCGCAAGGCGGTCCGACAGACTCATGCGCTCTGATCGCCCAGAAGCATTGGCGTGTGCAGTCTTCTTGTCCCTGCTCTCTCCACTCATCATGCTCGTAAAGCTCCTAATGCTTCTCGCGTCGCTTCTCGCACCAGTAGCACTCGGCGCCCGATCAGGCATCCCTGCCTGGTTCTCGCCCTCAGAGTGTGCTTCACTCTCCTCATCCTCACTTTCTTCGTCCGTGCCTCCATCACTCTCCCACTCTCATAGCCGACCTTGATCGAGCCGGGTCGTGATGGGACTTCCAGGAGCATCTGACCACTCTCCTCCGCATTTGCCCTCGACGCGAACCACCCGTAGTAACCCGATGAAGTGCTGGAAGCGTCGAGGTCACGCTCGCGATTGTGAACTCGGTCCCTCGCCGTAACAGGCCAAAGCCTGGTCGCTGATAGTTCCATGGCGCGACCTCTGCAATCTGAGCGGTCAATGGTGATTGCTTTTCCGCAATATTGCCTGCCGCAGCACCAGCTCCGCCTTCGTTGCCATTGTTGACCGACAAGAGACCCTTGATCGCAGAAAACGAGGAATCTACCACGTCGGTGAACACCTTATTCGCTGAACCGGCAAGTTCTTCAACCTGTTGGTTAACACGTCCCCTTAGGCGTGCCGCCGCGCTCAGAGGTGAAGTTGGGGAGCCTCCAGGACCGTCACTGTGGAAGATGGCTGCATTTGGTGACAGTGGCAGCGGTGAGAGGTCCGCAACGCTCAGCACCCTGGAACTGTCAGCTAAGCCTAGTGCTGCTAGATCGACATTCTCTAGGAACTCGACCACAGCGAGCAGGTTGATGAGGCAAAACCCCTCTTCACCTCCCTGACCAGAGCGCATTCGATAACGTTGAGTATACAGGAGGTGTGAGACAAGCTCTGGCGGGTTTGCCTTGACGACGGCATAGATGATGAATGGGAGGAGAATGTCGGATGCCACTGGAGTCTTGGATGATTTCGCGTCCTCTGAGGGAGACGACTCGGGAGCTGGAGCTGTCTTATCCTCCAAGGCTGCTTCACTAGCTTCTCGTGATGGTTGCGCAGAGCTCTCCTCTGGCAGTGTAGATAGGGAGCTGTCGAGGGCATGGCTTGGCTTTGGGCTCATGGGTTTGAACTGAGAGGCCATGGGCGTTGGTTCGGAATCCACCATTTCATCATCTGGTTTCAGGCGAATTGGGGGGAGTTTCGATAGGCCTTCAACTGCCGAGTTGTGGGCAGCCACAATGATCGCTGCCTTGTCGACTGGCGCTCTACAAGAGGCGTCTTCGAGACCTTGTAACACTATAACGGGACAATTATTTCAACAGCGTGTCGTCGCATGAGATGGTTGCTTCTCACCCTGCCCAACAGAAGTTACTACAGCCATCACTTGCGTGCCGGCTTTGCCCACATCAATCCCGAGATGTTCTAGGCCAAGGTCAAGCATGTTGAGTGCAGCAATGCGTGACGATAGGGCTGCATCGTGTGATGCATCGTCGGACGACTTTTGGCGGAAGAGCCTGCACATCAATCAGCCAATTGCAGGCGAGCTAAGGCTGCCTTTTACCTGTCATAGAACAAGGCACAAATAGCACGTTCTACTCTTTCCACCATCAGATGCCGTCGCTCTTCAGCTGCTGGATCGTGTGCGTTGGTCTGCTGATCAGCCGAGTTTGCTGCTTCCTTTGATAGCAACTCCTCTTCCAACGATGAATAGAATGCTTGGAAAGACTCTGAAGCCGTCTCTTGATTGGTCATATCTGGTTCAGGTATTGTAATCTTCAATGTTTGTCGTGCTACAGGTTTCTTGACTTCGCCAGGTATGGGTGGGTGCAATGAGTTGGTAAACGCAATCGTCCGTTCAACCATCCACGATGGAAGGCCTGTCAAAGCCTCTCGAAGCTCGGCCTTGACGGAACTTGCAATCCCACGCAAAACGTCCTTGCGCTGGATTCGGCCTTGAATAACATAGGCGGAAACATCGACCGTCTGAGGCTTGCTTTCAGTTTCTTCTACAGGTGTCGCTGGAGGAAGAGGAGACGGAGTGGTTGCTGGGGATGCACGCGCACCGAAGAGACTTGCGAACGGGTTTAACCGCGCACTTGGAAGAACAGGTTTGTTCTGTGGTTTGCGTTGCGGTTGAGAAGGAAAAGGAAGCTCGGTATGAGGAGCTGGGACATTGAAGACTGGATACTCTGGTTTGAGTGGTGCTACCAGGGGTGAGGGCAAGGGAGGGAGTGCCGCTAAAGCGGACATGCGAGATGCAATTGCCGTTAGAGATTGGAATTGAGGAGAAGTAGGTGCAATGAATGACCGGAAAGTAAGAGTATTGCTGAGAAAACAGGTTAGAAGGGATTTCGCAACTGAGAGTATGCGTACTCTGATATTGATCCTCGCAGACCTGAAAGTGTTACGACAGGAATGTTCCGGTTGGTAGGGCCTGTGCAATACACGATGTGATCGCGAACATAATCTGGCGTGATGTTCTCATTGGGGATGGTCTGATCTAATGGCAATAAGAGCGTGGCCTGTACAACCAAAACCAAGTCAACAGCACGTTCCCTTATGCAAATTTGATGGTCCTACTCTATTAGACGTCACAGCGGACCATATATCTTCCCAATCCGTGCCTTCTCCTTCTTGGTAGAGCTTTTCACAAATCGCCCAGCCAACGCTCCCAGCCGTAAGTTGTGCATCTTGAGCTGCAGCTCTCAGATTTTGAAGCTGTAGTTGAGGAGTCGCACTTCCTGCGGCACCGGCGGTGGGGGGCGATGGTTGGGCCGTCACCTGCGAGGTCGATACACGGTGTCTAGGCGTATAAGGAACATATTTCGGTGACGAGGACTCTGTTGGAGATCCTGAAAGTGGCTGAGGTGACGAGACTGTCGTCGCAGGGGCTCTCAGATTGTTGATATCCGCAGCACTGTTGTTCCCGCTGCCTGTAGATGTTGGAGGAGGAGATAATAGTGGATGAGATGTGAGTGATTCACGTGATGGGTTGTTATCACGGCTCAGTTGTCCTCCTTGAACACGTCCCAGAGAGGAAACCACGAATGGCGCGTCTTTGCGTGTCGTCATTCTGTTAATATGATTACGCGATGTCGATTGATATTGGATACTGGGCGTTGAGGTTATACTGGGATTCTGTACCAGACGACGTTGCTCATGGTCAGGTTCAAGTTACATATTTGCCAAACTGAGGGGTGGAATTGCACGAATCGACCATTATAAGAGATAGAAACACGATACATGTAGTCTATAGATATGCGCGAGCAGCTCTCCTGGCCATCTACGGTGGTGTCAGTGCTCGGCACATTCTAGATTGCACAAACTTACCTCGACAACTTTCCATCCTCCCGTTATTTCATTATCCATCTCTTCCGGTATTCGGGTGATGACTGCACCATACGTGCATTGCTCTACTCGGTCTTCCTGACCGACAACAATCTCTCTAGTTTTTGGGTCACGGAAGATCAGTACCTCTTGTGTCGTGCAGGTGACAATGAGCACAGGAACGTTATTCTCTAGAATCTTGCCGCCAGTAATCTTTGAAAGAGTTAGGAGATAGACAGATATGGGATCGGACGCACATCGACCTGGCGAATATCAAGCACTTTGCTATCGCTGACCAAACCTTGGCGTAGATATGTGTCTAATGTAGCCCATAGCACATTGTATGTCTGCAAAGCGGATCAATTACTAGAACGATCGAGAGAGAGCATACCCACGCCTTCTCCGCACCACATTTGCAGCGACTCCTGATCAGCACTGAGATACGCATCTACCACTTCCGGTATGATGTACTCCCTAAGCTCTCGTTGGAACGTCTCCGGGTCGTAGGACGGGTCCATCATCTTCAACAGTCTAGTTACTTGCGCTTGTTCCGTCTCGTCGAACAGGAATGAGGACACTGATTCTGTCACTCCGCGCACAGATGAAATAACCGGGTTTTCGGACTCGTCGTACGCCTTTCGCAAGTTGACCAGTCCGCGGAGAATTGGATTCGTCTCCTTCAAGTTATCCCACTTCTCTCGCTTCTCCGAGTCCTTGTGAAGAACCATAGCAGATCCGGCACTGATTTTAGATGAGTAAACGGGCCATTTGCGAGGAAACTGGGCACCCACTCTGGATTTTCGACGGTTCTTGCCTTGCCAATGCCTCCAGATTTGCCAGCCTTGGCCAATCTTTTTTGCCTTCGCAGTCTCCTCGCTTCCTTTTCTTCATACCCTGCATGTTTTGCAGTTCCACTGTCGTCCAGGGCTTCCAAAACGGTGTCTGCAAGCACCTTGTACGCTTCAGTTTTGCGAATAGGCTCAGTTGCCGTTGAAACTGTATTTGCTACAGCTGAGGATGCTTCCCTCATCTGGTAGAGTAGGTATAATTTGGTTAGCGAGGAGGAGTGTTTCGACCAACGCCGACAACGTACTCTACGCATGAAATCACTCTCGTCCAAGGATTTTATGGCTTCTCCAACGGCATCTCCAATCTTTCCTCCAGTTCTCTTCAGTTCATCTGCTGCTGCTCGTAGACGCGGATTTTCACGAATCGAAGACGTGAGCTGGAAACGAATAAAGCGCGTGAATCAGCTATAAAACGAACAAGAATGAAGATGATCGACAGACTCTTGCGCGTTCGTACATTTCGCGAGCTCGTTTGAGAGCTTCTGAATCTTGCAATTTGTCAACATCGCCCTGGAGCTGTTTCACGCCCTCTTGAAGTTCTCTGCTCTTCTGGAGCTCTTCTTTGAGGACGTCAACAAATGTTTGAAAGGGCGACTTTGGCGGCTCGTTCGACTTTCGCGACGCAGACGAATGAAGGGAAGATGCAGGCGATGGCTGTAACCTGTTTACTCGATTATGAGCTATTAAAATACGAGGAGATGATGTTCGGAGTCGTCCAGCGCGTGCGAGCAATTGTCGAGGGAGCATGGTTGTACTCTAAGTTTTAGATCTCGACCAAGTCTCAAGACCACGGCAAGCTATGTATTTCGGAGTCCTGTAGACAGCTACATCGAGAGAATCTACACGTATATCCAAAATGGAGCTGTGGATGAGAGGAAGTGGAATCGTAGGCGCTGATCGGAACGCATTCGTGGGCAACATCTCGCTTGAACATGGAACATTTACCAAGAATTCGGTTGCCTGAAACTTCTGAATAACCTCCAGCAACGTGGACACTGAGGAACCGCAGCTATCAGCAAGATAATTGTGCTCAGGCAGCTCGACACCGATATTGCAAGCGAGCCAACACATGGTGACTCATGTAAGTCTCAGTAAATCTGTAGAAACGTGTCAACAGTCTCCATGTGAGACTGGTGTCGGTTGGCAACTGAGGATAATTCGAGGCATACACAGGCCCAATTACGAAGCGAAAGCATGCTGATTTGAACGCTTCTCGTTTGTTGATGCACCGGTTTCGTCGCGCGAGGCTCTCCACGCCTGGATTGCAGGAGGTCGTCACCAAGGTGGTGATCTCATCTCCCACCGTTAAGAAACCTGGACTTGTAGGCTCTGAAACGTTCTGATAACTTGACTTTTGCATACATATTTACCTTCTGAACGGTATTTTGGAGAGTTGCCATTGAGGCAGCCACCGAATCGAAAATCCGACGAGATTCTATAACCTCGTGCATCTCTTACATCTCGGAAGAAACAGAAGCCCCGCTTGCAAGAAGACTGATCCAGCCACCACACAACTGACGCAGGGGTAAAGCCACCTAGGGGCATTACCCTCTGATTTCGGATATCCTCGCTGTGATCTGATCGAAACCATGCGATTCCAATCGTTCACAGATAATTGCGCAGAGCAGAAGAAGAGATGCACATGCATTTACTTTTGTAGAGGCCGGTAAAGATACTGCCCGGGGGCCGCGGCATGTATCACCGCTTCGGAGCAAGCTGTGATAAACTTTGGCGAGCACAAGTCCCTTCGAACCAGCTGGAGCTGGCTTCGCGCTCTAGACCGCAGATGAGGGGACGCCATGCGTCTTGTTGAGCTGCTTCGAAAAAAAAAACTTCGAATCTATGGGTTTTCGGTCGCTGTCGCCCGCCGTCGACCAGTGTTCCAATCGTCGTGCCTGGTCGCCCGCTCGGGTACATGCGCGACGAGCCCAACCGACCAAGGCGCATGAAACTTCCAAGTTCGGTAAACCCACTATTAACCGGCTACATCTTTCGAACATATGTTCGTTGATCGGATCTGGCAACGCTGACATTTGAGGGACGTCACTTATCGTAGCCCATAACCCTTACACCCGCGATAACTCTGTCTTTTGGGGAATCTCGTGCTCTAATGAAATTTTTGTTTAGATGTGCTGCAAGCATTTGTACGGACACCACATGATTTCTTCTACTCTGTCAGTGTGCCTTCTTTCATGTGCTTCGGAAGACATTTACGGCCTTTATATATACCAATTGAATTTGTAAACTGCCTATCACAATGTTTGGCACGTTCTTCATGCTCGCGTCCCCAGAAGACCGTTGGCTGAGCGGTGACAGTTCTCCGGTTCCATGCTCTTCACAGTAGAATCCAGTGTAATACATCAAATAGCATCTTTTGGCACTTCTAGCTGAACTTTTAACTTCATGGAGCTGTGTGCCCAAGACGCCCACCGTGTCCAAGACACCCACTGACTCTCACTCTCTGGGACACATTTTCGCCGAGAATCTAATATACTTCAGGGTTCTTTGTCAGATCTTAACGAGAGTACGAGCATTCGACGCCGCGGGAGACGAAGTACTCTCTGCATAATAGTACAAGATGGCTGTAACCTTCTATTGTACCTGATCATTCAAAACAACAAAGCAAGTCATCTTCCTTCGCTTGACATCACGGGAGCGAACCAAACCCCATTTACTCGGTCATGATCCCCCGGTACTCTCTTCATCCTCTTGGCCTTGAGACACGAAAATCTTCAGAATGCGACTTAAAACACTATTTATGGTCACCGAAGACACCATCGGAGGTAGAAATAACCGTCACTGCGCCTTACATTGTGCTAGACCATCTGGATGTCGATGGATAAATTACCTTCCCGGTGGATTGGCAAGGCTTCACCGTCTATATTGTCCAGCCATCGACGCGTGCGCGCCTTGTGTGGGAGGCAGCGCCTTGAACCACCGCGCCCCAAATAGCCCTGATCCGTCCATCCCGTCAAAACTGGGGCATCAGACTACTAGCATTGGAACCGAATTTCAAGTGCGTTAACCTCTGTACTTCAAGGCAACCCTTTATCGGGGCGCGCGCCTGCTATGCTTAGGACGACACGCGTTAGATGTTTGACTTGGCCAATGAACACTCGTACAGGTGACCGAGGCTCAGGAAGCGGGCCTGTCGCCGGATCCGACGCAAACGGCGATGCTTTGGGTAACCTTTTGCTTGAGCCAGATTGCTAACATTGGGTATGGCGGATGCCCAAGATGGGGTACGCCCTTGCCAAAGGCTCAGTTGTGGGCTCAAACAAGGCATGTGGAGAGGCTCACGCCTTGTATGGCACACCACTTTTGTTTGTGTTCGCATAAGCCTCCGTAGTTTGGAGGCTGTACTTTTGCCAAGGTCGGTACGCTGTTGATGGGCTGAGCTGACAAAGGCAAGTCTGGGTGCGATCATTCGGCGGACGACTGCAATATTCTGGCGCATCCATCGGTCCGCTTTGCGTCACTGATGTGTAATGTGCCTTATGTGCTGGGCAAGCAGCTGGGGGAGGATACCCCGTTTTCGAATGCCGCGCGCGATATTGGGCATTGGGCGCCTATATCTATTATGATTAAGGCATACAAGGCACATAGTAAATATATGTACAACATTGCCGCTTCTATGCCTACGCACCGTTCAAACGGCGTGATGAGATAAACTTGGCCCAAGTCCTCTTAGGCGCTCATTGACTACTTGGTCCCTGAAAGGAACTTCCACTCTACAAGCCGGGTCAGTGGCACCAGGACGTGAGAACATGGTGAGTGATCCGCAACCGGAGGTCAGGTACAGAGCCACTAGAACCAGCTGGTTCGGTACCTCCAAAGTCGATGAGTGAGCAAAGAGTAAACCATTATCCGTGTAGCATGTAAGCGAGGTAAAGGAGGTTGCAGCTGCATGGCTGGGCAAAATCTTATGACCGCTCTCCTTTCTCGCGGATATTTGACAGTTGCGACGGACTAAGGGCTTGGGTCAAATCGGACATCACTCGACCGTCGGGGATACGAGGCAAAGGGCGATGAACAGAGGTTAACGTCGGCGGAGTGGATAGAATACAGCGCGGCTATTTGGGGCAGATAGCCTGATCTGAGCCACGAAACTCCTAGCCGTATTTCACCTTCGCGTGCTGCGAGGCGCCCGTTGTCTTTGTCACGGTTGTTACAGGCGGGAGTTCTACTGAAGAGGTAAATGAAACCTTAAGGGCGAGATTGGCAATCTAGATCTGGCCTAGGTCAATTCAAATCAGGGATCAGGCGTGGCCAAGTGGTATTGCCTTTCTCCGTCCAGCGCGGAAAGGCAGAGCGCTATCCCTACCTCTAGTCTAACAGCCGGATCGCCGCCGCAAGTAGTCGGGGAGCCTTTTGATAATCACCTCCGGGTCTGACGGACGGACAAATGTTCAGTCGGTTACTTGGTTCATCCGCGTCCTCGGTGGTAATATCAACAACTCCTCATTGACATTTTTGTGAGAGGTTTTGTTACATGTATATGTCACGGAGCTAGTTATCTGGCTGGATAACGTACTTGGGACTTATCGGTTGCGGCTGTGAGGTCAAGCACAGCTGTCAAATCTCCAGGAAGACCGACGAAGGGTCTGACGCTGCAGTTCAGCTGTGCACAAATATCCCGGTATAACGGACTCCGGTAGCCATATCAAGGTCAACGACGTGCTCCTTGGGCTGTCAAGCGGATGAGGCGCCGGACGTACAGGAGATTATGTCCGTCTCGACCAGTTGTGACAGTGTTCAGAAAAAGTCGAGGAATAACCGACGCATATAAGAAATGTAAGGTGTATCATACAACCGGCGATTGGTGGAGGTATCTCCGGCTATGCTCTCCTCACGATTATGATCAGCGTTGCTTTAGACATACAAAACAGAGTTGCACCTGATTAGAGGTCAGTAAAATGATTGATCCAGGTATAAGTCATTCTGGTGGAGTGGTGCAATCCTGGGGACTGCAAGGACAGCACTGTAAGACCTCATGAGGTTGCCTATCGCCGCATGAAGATATCGAGACATTTCATATCATTTTGTTATCCTCCTTTACGACAACGACGGCGCGCAAGACGTTTAATTGTCCCCGATAGCGCTACAAATCCGTCATTCGGGTACAAAATATCAAGTCTCAGATACAAACAAAAGTCAACCCTGAATATCAGCAAAGCTGTTCGAGCGCAGCCGTGTCAAGTCTGCGATTCTCCGACCTTCCTTCTCGTCATACCCAGGGTTGCCACGCTATGCCTAATTTTCATCAGTTCCCGTCGCTTCTTTGATCTGCTACAGGCGTAGTTGGAGACGCAATATATTAGGACATCTTGCCCTGATATGCGCATCCTCGCCGCACCTGAACTTCGTGCGTCTCATCGTACCAAGTGCGTCACAAGAGTTGGGGGATCCATTGTCTACAAGCTAGGCGGAGTAACTTCTTCAGCTGTGACGACCGAACTGTTTCCAGAATCATCGTCCGCCATTTGCCGGCCAAGAGACCAAGAACGGTCACTGGGAGCCTCTCTCCTTTCCCAAGGGTGTACAAGAATAGTAGTAGAATACATTAGATTCGGGAAGAGGACAGGAGGTTATGCTGCGAGAGCCTGTGCAGGCAAATGTAATTGGTGATTCTCACCAAACATGGCGGATGTCTGACCAAGTACTTTACCATCTCTTCCCTAGTCAGTCAGCAAGGTCAGACCGGACCAGTTGTGCACATTCCAGCCGACTTCGGGACTGAACTGCTTCGCTTCTCTCTCAGGGTCGACCGTCTTCTGGTCCACGAGAGAAGCATAACGGCATCTATACATGTATACCTATTATCAGGTCGATGCTTGACTGTCCTGAACAACCTTGGAGCTCTTTGCGAGCGCCTATCCAGATACAAGGCAATGGAATGCTACAAGGCGCGCTTGCTACAGTTATAGAATCGAATTACCCGAAAAGGACCGGTGCGCTTTCCGTCGTCTCGCTCCTGTCTGTCGGCGCTTATGTATTAGTAATGAGATTGATATAGACTACGAGTACAACATCGTCAAGTCGTAAATGCGTGGCGCGGACCGGGTAAAACCTTTGCCATCACGTCAGGGACCTATGCTAGAAGCTGAAAGCTAGACGGAACAAGATATCGGAAAATTCAGCTACTTTTTCCAGCCTAGATCATTGACACTCTCCGCCGACGGGAGGACGCGACGACGGAGGATCAGAAATGATTGGCGAGATACACCTGCGCGTACTTTCGGCTGAAACACCTTGACAGTTGGCATATTGGACCGCTGTAATCAATCTTACTCCGCTCTACGCCACCCGTCCGACGTCAAGTGCTGGCGCGGGACAGGCTCTTGCCGACTTCAGGTCAATGCCTAGACAAGAGACAGCTGGAGACCTTGAGGAGAGTCAAGTCGAGACCAATCGAGCCTCCTTCCGAGCGAGTCGACCTTTGAGCGGGGTTACCTCTGAAACATGGTGCGCCTCTAAATCCACAGGTGGTGTTTGGTGTTTTGGGACCTGATCAGAGATCTAAACGACGGGCCAAAAGGGCGTAATAGTGTCTGTCCCTGCCTTGTCGCCGACTTCTCTCCTGCTCAAACAAATGTCTAAAGTGGTTGGTTCTTGGCTTCTACGTTTTCGTTACAAGTGCAACAGGCACCGTGCTCGCCCGATTTTAAGCGTTTATACCGAAAATTCGCGAGATGGAGACCCGGTTCTTGGAAGAGCAACAGGGAGGAAGGAGGCTGTCTGTGTTTGAGCTCCAAGGCGAGGGCTTGGTACGTGGGCAGTGGGCCTTTGTCCCCTGAGCGCATGGGTGGGGGGAGCCCGGTCCGCCACGGTTTGTCGGGGTTCCCTCTTTTGGCTCCAAGCGGCTGGCAGAGGATGTCTATTTGTGAAGCGAGTCGACATGATTTGTGGATGGTCAGAATTTTGTCGCATATGCGTGACCCTGCGTCACGGTGACCCAAGTTCCTGGTCGGGGTAACTCTGGCTTGTGTGCGTTCTGCGGGCATTGCGGGCTGTCTGTGCTCGCTTGTGTTTTTTTTGATAGTTTGCAACTCTGAATCCTACAGCGGGCTCAGGAGACCGCGCCCCGGGATGCCTACAAGGTCCGTGGCGGTTGCAGGAGCGGTGCAAGCAGGTGGTGATGCTTCTCCGCGGCTGAGCCGCTGAATTGTCGCCAAAAACAGGAAGCAGATAAAATAAATAAATAATAAAATAATGATTTCCCCCGAGCCTTGATATTTGGGTGCAAACCTCGTTCTATCAACCATTCTTGAACCGCGACGACTTGAGTGCCGCTCGCTCGCTCCTTCTTAACCCCCGCCTCTCCTCGTCCTAATTCTCGCAACGACGCTCATTCCCCTGGCTCTGCTCTGCTCATCATTGCCAGCCGTTGCGTGTCCTCAAAGGTCTGTCGCGCCCAGCTTTGCGCCCCCCTCTGCGCCTCGATAATGGCTGATACTCTGCCCAGTAGTCGTATTTTCTTCTTCTTTATTTTATCTACTAGACAAGGATGAGCTACCTCCCCCTCCAAGCCCCGTCGTCGTCCACGTCCCAGTGGCCCCAATCCCTCATCAGCCAGTTTCCGGCTCCTCCAACGACAAGTCCTCAACCACAACAGTCCTATGCGGCTCCCATGATTATCTCTCTCGGTGAGGAGTATACCGATGCAACTTTGCCCGCGACATCTTCGTCCACCTCGTCTGGGCCCTCGTCGACCATGCATTCCTATCTCCAGCTCGAGGACGAAGATGAAGAAGAATATGGAGATTACGACGAGAGCACCGACGACGAGACGTCGGATTCAGATTCAGACGATGACTATACTCCTACCTCGCCAGAGACGTCTCCTTCGTCCAATGCCCATTTCCACCGACGCAGGAGAAGCCAGTCGATGAACAATGTTTTCCCGAGCGCATTGTGGCATGCCGAACATGCCCGCCTCATCCGCATCCAAAATGCGGTCATGGACAGCGAGCGTGCTGCCCGCACTCGCGAACTCAAGCTCGAATCCGAAGTCGCGCGTATCAAGGAGGACCTTGCAAAACTCAAGCAGGCACGCGCTACCGCTTCCGTCCCCTTGTCAAAGGGCGCTGTCTCGACCTCGCCGACCCGACCTCTGCATCCGGCGGGACCCAGGGGTCCCAGACCGCGACCAAACTCGGCATCGTCTACTCAATCGAGCGGATCCACCGCCGCCGTTCAACGCGGGTCAGTTTGCACTCAATTGGCGTCTATCCCTTCCGTAAGGTCGACTAGTGGCGATATTGGCGCCCGTGACGAAGGAGACATTGCTGGAGAGGAAGATGAGGCAACCACGGTGCTCTCCCATCATTTGACCCAAGCGCGCTCTGCGCGCGCCCAAGAGAGGCAGCGCCGGCGTCTCGAGCATGAAAGAATGCGAGAGCTCAACATGTTGCTCACTCTCGGGAGCGAGGTTCGCAAATGGGAGGAGCGTCTGGCCTGGTCGTCGATGGCCATGTCTCGTGCCGCCACGTCCTCGGACGACATTCATCTCTCCAACGACAGCTCAACCGCGAATACGGACACGGATCCGGACCCACGCGGAAAGCGTCTTTCACGTTCGTTTTCCCTCCCTTCCTCGCGCGCGAGCCACCATCACGGCCACCATCACGGCCACCCTACCACCATCAACGGATCACGTAGTGGCACCAGCACTCCCGTATCGCCAGCCCTCCCCTCACTTTCACTCTCCCCTTTGTGGCGTGTCTCGGCAGAGATGATTCTCCGCCGACGATCCCTCTCTGAGCGACCCCGACGAACAACCAATCCTCATCAACAGCAACAGCAAATGAACGGGGCAAAGAGGATGTGCGTTTCGACTATTGAACAGACCTGCGCCCCTTCGACATCGAGCGCCGCCCAGACCCCTGTTCCAGTCTCGACACCGGCCCAACCCCATTCGACAACGGCCACATCCGCTCTTTCTCGACCAACCCACGTCCTGCGCGGGCCACGCGAGCGATCGACGCAGATAGGCGTATCCTCTGCAGCAGCAACGGCCAGCAACAAGCTGATGGCAGCAACCACAACGAAGACATTGACAACAGATTCCGAAACGTTAACCTCGTCACGAGTCCCTGGAATGTCTACCTCTGCCACCACCTCTTCCCTGTCCGTTAGCATCACAGACGGCACATCGTCGGGCCCCATTTCGCCATCGTCGGGGAAACGCTACAGCGTCCCTCCTCCGATTACAATTCCGTCCAATGCACAATTCTGCACGTCTACTGCCGTCTCTTCAAACGCAGTCGAAGGTGGCCCCAAGGTGGCAATTGTCCGTGCACCAAGACCAACCCACCCATCAGCATGCGTGACACCCGCACGCTCGACGACCCCGATCAAGCCAAGCGCACTCAAGTGGGCATTTACGGCTGATGATCTGGCTCGCGAGCGAGAGATGGAGGCGGCAAAGGAGGCCCAGCTTGCCAAGATGCTGTCGACGTCGTGCTCGGAGAGCGAGTCGGACGACTCAAAGTCGTGCTCAGACGGTTCGTCCGCAGCTTCTTCGTCCTCGTCGTCTTCCTCGCAAGAGGAAGTATCCGAGACGTCGCAGCAACGTCGTGGCCGCGCGCGGTTCTCGTGGAGAAAGTCATTGCCCAAGGATTCCAACAACGCGAGCAGCACTCCCGCTGTGCCCACCGTGCCTCTATCCGTGGATGCATAGAGAGCTGTGAGTGCCATCAACCGAGGTCTGGGCTTTGCGCTAATTCAGGATAGTTGACACATCCTTGGTATTTATATCCACCAGCCGGTGGACCTCACGACGCAATACGGTAGCTACGGTCACGAGCAATGTTGCGCCAATCACTTCTGAACCTCGTCGCTCTCGCGTACACACACATCACCGCTTTCTCTCTAGAGACGCAACAACGATCTCTGTGGGCCCCTCCATCCTCTCTGCTCGACGTTCTTGGATCCCCTCAACTTGTCTCAAAATATGTAGCGATACTGCTCGACCTTGTCGGCTGTTTAGTTCCTCGCCCCTCGGCACCAACATATCCTGCGCTACGGAGAACCCGAGCGAGCGATTCTCTACCCTATAGAAGGGAGTCGACATGGGCGTTTTCGCCTCGACGCTCGGGTTCTACCCTGTGCGCTCGTCTCTGTCACAACTAGACTTATGCAAGCCACAGCCCAAATCTTCCCACTGTTTCCAACACCAACAAAACCACACTCTTTTGTCTACTGAATTCTCTGGTGTCTATCCTATCCCACCTCGAATCGTCTACAGTCTCTACTCTGTCCAAACCACACTGCATGGCTCTCAGGCTCATTCAGTGCCAATTCAAACATACGAATCTACTTGTTCCTATAACACGGTCTCTGTAACCGAGCCACCAACGAACCACCTGCACACCGACAAACTCCAGAATTGCGGATGGTGCTATCTTGAGCCAAGCTCGGATAGTATCCCACGTTTGGAGAAAACGCCCTCAACCACAACTTTTCTCTTTCTTCCTCTCAACCCAAGGAGGTCCGCTTGCTTCGCGGCTTACATCAATTTCTATTCTTTAACTTGCCTACACCGTTTTATTCATCGCGGCTCTTCTTCTCCTAACTGCTTGATCTTTCTTTTTTTTCTCTTTGTGCTTCAAGTCTGTTGTAGATTACTCGGTCCGGTCTACTTTTCCCCCGTCTCCATTATCTCTTGCGCTGGTTGTGCAGGATGCTAGAATTAAACAAGAATAAGTTTAACAATCTACCCGCCCGCAATGTGAGAGAAGACACGAAGCTAGTGTATATTGCACAAGGTGGTCGGTACATAGAAGGCACAGAGCAAAAATATGGAAAGTCCCTCATGGAGCCGCTGCTAATTTTTTCGCCGTTGCTCTTCCAATCGTCGTATTATTGACCTTGGTCGCAAAGCGTAACGAGCACAGAGACTCGCCTAAATGCGCCGCCATGGGCGAAAGATTGAGGATCATCTAATAAAGTGTGAGAGGGTTCGTCAGCACAAAACATTGGTGGCGCTTGCACTCACCAAAGTCTTGGAGTTTCCGCCGAGTGAATTTTGCAGCAGATATGTGAGCTGCGAGAACGAACACCGAGATTAGCGCGTAGTTCTAGGGACAAATCGACGAGAGGGATTGTGATAGAGTGGGAGAAGGCATGTGCAGAATGGAGAAATCGTGGATCATAGCATTGTTATTGGCTTCTTGCCAATAAGCTAGGCGCATGGTTTGACCTGACCGCATGGGTTTCGCCAACCGGTGCCTTGCTCCAACCTTTGCCGACCGCCGATGGACTTATCGAGAGTGGAATGGAGAGGACTGCACGGAATAGAGACGGACCTTTGAGTTGCGGTAAGGAATGTGCGTCGCTTGCTTGCCATTGTCACCTGCGACCCCAAGGGAGGCGATGACGTCTCCCAATGCACTCAAACTTTTGTTGATGGCCTGCGTTTCACGCAAACGATCCTTGTCGTTTGCCGCACCAGACGAGGAAAGTCGTTCCGACCCCGCCAAGTCCTATTAGTGCCGATATGTTGCCAGGTAGTGCGGTTTACGTATGTCCGTGCAGAGGGCAACGTTTGAACAAGAGGGGCCGGATGGGAAATGCGCGATTAGAGACGGATACAATGCAGCAGGAACGACAAAGGAGCTTACCACTAGGTTCAGACACCCTTCGCAACTCTCGCCGGTGATTGTGTTTGTGCCAGACACACGCAAGGTAAAGACGGAATGTGATCGCGACGAACGTTGGTTCATCAACGTTGCAGCTACTGATCGTCGAGATTCGGCTCTTGCTAACAATGTGGCCACTTGGCTTGGTCCGTTCAAAGGCACTATCAGAAAATTGGCTCATCAGAGAAGTTTGATTTAAACGCGACGGACACACGTACGTGTTACGGTATCGGTTACAGTCGTCCTCCCGGACTTATCATGCTTGATTTCGTGCTTCTTACTATCAAACTCGCCATAGCCCAATAGGTCATTGATGGTCTCGTTGTACTGCCTCAAAGTGTTAGTCACTGCATGATGCGGGTGAAAACGGCCTGCTCACGATCTCCAAGAATTGGCCTTCCATGGTATACTCCCACCCTTTTGATCTCATACCCTCACCAGTTTGGAAAATCTGTCGCACAGCACGGGGAATCATACCCTCCGCTGGACTACCCTGCGAGACATTCAGAGGTGTGCATACGACCATATACTTCATTCGTACCGGTGAGGTCCCGAGCATTGTATGGCTCTTTCCTAGTAGAGTTTAGAGGACGGACTTATCCAATCGTATATACGCACCGCTGCCGGTTTGTCCGTAGGCAAAGATGGTAACGTTGTATCCATCAACAACACTCTGTACGAGCTGCGACACTTCCTCAAACACTTCAAGCTGTGTTGCTTGTGGTTCAAATACCTTATGAGACGTCAGTCAAATTCCGCCGTGCCATCGGAGAAACGTACTCGATCAAAGGTAAACGACAGGGCTTCTTTCCGTTGACTACCCATCGCCGACTCTGTCGTGTTGGTCAACACTATCTGCTGATGGTCACGAGTGTCTGGGAACTCGATTGCGGCTTGACCTCCGGCTTCGTCTTTTTCACCCGGAACAACAGGCCGGACTCGCACATAGACACGGATGTTGCCTAGCGCTTCAGTTCAGTAGCGTTTATGTTAGAATGTGACAGCAGCATACCTTTCAACTCTTGTATTTGATTATGCAGCCGCCGACGAATCTGTTCGTTGGCTTGCGCCTCAGCCTCCAAAAACTCGTTGCGCTTTCGCACGGTCTCCAGCTGGAGTTGGAGCTCTGATGCACTTCCCAGTCGACGCTCAACCTCTTGTTGCAGAGAGCTGGCAAGCCGTTGGCTCGCTTCCAACTGTGCCTTGAGACTCAGCTGTATACTTGCGTGCTGAGCTACGGTCGACTTCAACGAGGTCATGGCGTCTCGTTCCATCTGGAGATCGTTTTGGACCAGGCGGAAATCCTCTCTGACGTCCTTGAGCTGACGCTCCAGCTGCCTCTTCTCATTTTCGAGCTCCTGGACCTTTCGTTCATGGGCCTTTTTCAACGCAGCCAGCTCCTCGTTTGCGGCTATCAACCCTCGCCGGTGTTGCAACTCTTGATTCTTCATCTCTCTGACTTCTGTCTCTAGTTTGATATGCCGATTGGAGAGCAGATGTTCTTGCCCGTTCCTCTTGCATCTCGGCACCAACTGGTTCAGCGTAAGTGTTCTACCACAGGGACCGTTGCAGCAAGACGTACTTCGCGGTTTTGCACCATAGACATTCGTTCCAGCATTTCTCCTGGCTTCAAACTGTTGCCACTTTGGGTCCTCCACTGCCTCCCTTTGGGCTCGTGTTCGAATGGCTTTGTTGACGGCTTCAGCAGTCGCCTCGATGTCTGCCGTTCTCTGTCCTCTGATAATTCCAGACGGTGCTGGTTTGACATCTTTCGGTGGCACGCTGACAGACCGTCGTTTGCGCGTTGTAACGTTTGTATTGAGTGGATTCGGGACCAAGGGTGCTCGCATCCCGCGAGAACTTGGTGGCCGTAGTTTGCTTGACGTCGTGGAACTCGAAGCAGCAGACGCTACATCTCCGCGGTCTGCTTCAACGTCGTTGAGAGCCGGCGGGGCCATTGCAAAGGGAGCTCCCTTATGATGTCTATCTCCAATATCGTCCATATCCCTTACTCGTTTCACTCCAGCCATATATGTGCCAATATTGCGAAAAATGGAGGGCTCTTGCAGAAAAGTTGGGAGAGCGTGTCTTCGAAAAGTCTAGAAGTGAACGCAGATTGTTAGCAGAGTGGCGTTATGTGTATATTCTGTTGTGCAATGTAGGCCCGTTGTGAAGCAAGTGATGGCCAAACAAGAGTTGGGTCGGAGTTTGGAGCACCACTCATGTCACTAGTCTACAAGCAAAATTATAACAAACGATATAATACAGAAAGATAAGTCACGTAAATCACGACGAGGGTCCTTCTTTATCCAGGATTTCTTGGATTCCTAATAGACGTCAACCACGGAGAGAGGGGCTTGAATAGACGCACTGTCTATGATATCCAGAAATGCGGTCGTCGCAGGACTATCCGGATACTCATCCAGAAAGCTCACCCCATAGTCTGCACTCTTGCCAATCCTGGGATCCAGTGGCACACTTCCAAGGAGCTCGATTCCGCACTCCTTTGCAAGCCTTGCCGCACCACCCGTCGTCGGTCTAAATATTTCCGACGTATTTTTGCAATTCGGGCACACGAACCCGGCCATATTCTCCACGAGCCCAATGATGCGCACGCCAACCTTTCGACAAAAGTCAATCTCCCTCCGAACATCCTGGAGCGCAACCTCTTGTGGCGTAGTGACGAGTACAGCGCCATCAATCCCAGACTCTTTGAGATATTGCACGACGCTCAGGTGCTCATCAGAAGTCCCTGGTGGGGTGTCCACTACGAGCCAATCAAGCTCTCCCCAATCCACGTCTTTAAGAAACTGTGCGATAAGTCCGTTTTTCTTGGGCCCTCGCCACATGACGGCGTCCTTGGCTGAGGGGAGCATAAAGCCGACAGACATGACCCCAAGGTTGTCTTGTACGTATACGGGTGACCAACCAGATGCCGAAGAGTGTACTTGCTCGTTGGCGATGCCCAGAATCGTCGGGATAGATGGCCCGCAGATGTCAACGTCCATAATCCCCGTCTATATTACATCAGATTTCTCCAAGGTCGACAAATGAATGATGAATACCTGGAAATTTTCATCTGCAGCAAAGGCCCAGCCCAATTGGGCGGTAAATGTACTCTTACCAACCCCGCCTTTGCCGCTGAGGACAAGTATCTTCCTCTTTACGTGTCTCATTCGCTCCCTTATCAATGGTAGAGCAGGATCAGGCCCCTTTGGCTTGTCGGACGCGCAGATTTCTTGGTTCGCACATCCATTGCAAGCGTCTGCTTTCCCTGCTTGCTCGGATTCAACTCCCTTGAGGAGCTATGAGACTTTTCAAAAGAATACATTAAAGTGTATACATACCGGGCAATGATCCGGCGCATTTTCTGGGACGGTGGCTCCAGTCATCAAAGTGGCAGAAGGCAAGTCGATGCTTACAAAGCACAAATAAATGGCAAGAAAAAGGCAAATGCTATATATGCGAATTGTATGTTCCATGATTTCAAGAAACGCGAGCGACAAACCAGTTCGTAAGTTGGGTCGAGAAGGGGGACGAGTCGGGGGGACGCAAGGAGATTTGGACAGACCTGACAGAATGGTATTCTGTAGACGCGAGGTACTCGACAACGCAGCCAATGAGAGACGGTATAGGACGGCAGACAATAAGGTAGGGTATGTTAGCATGTACGTAGACTAGATGATTGGATGCGTGAGGAATGCAGATGAAACAAGAACATGGAAGGACAGTGGTGGTCCGGAGATGTCCGCACAAGTGCAAAACGTCTCAGTCCCCAAAAAAGGAGGGTTGTTCTATTTGACAAGATTCTTGAGTCTAGCCCAAAGACTTCCTCGTCGTTCTGGAAACAGGGTTTCAGCTCCATGCCCAATTAGGAAGAACAGATTGTACTCACTAGGCGAGTCGCTACTTTTGGGTGCAAATTCAGAATGTCGACGCATGGGCGTCGATGTACTGCCTATGGGAAGGCATGTAGTCCAGTCGTGCTCAATGTCGTTCGACGGCATTGAGCCATAACCTGCCGCATGATGGCGGTGAAGGAGTTCCTGTGGCTCGTGAACGAGCTGTGGGTTCTGTGGGTGGAAAGGATTGATGAAGCCGTTCAACGAGCCATGATGGGGGCCGTGCGCTCGACGGATTGGAAGAGCAGCTGCACCAGCAGACAATGGTTGGACGTCGTCCGCGAGATCCAGAGTTCCTGGAACGGGCACAAAATGAAGTTCATCACCATACCCTCCGACGGTCCGTCGTCGTACAGGCTTGCTTTGGAAGCTGTACGAGCCGTTCATATCAGGGTGTTGCACGAGAGGAGAATGCGCAAAGGCGCGATGACGGTGCGACGGGATCGCGAGCGAGTCTAGTCCGACACTAACGTGTCGTCTATGCTCATGCTCAAGCGCTCTGACCGCTCCACTGTCATCAGTACCCATGCTAACCTGTCCATCGAATCGTGTCATCTGATTGCCGGCTTGGACCGCCGCTGCAGTTCGCTCTCTACTCATTGGCAAGGTCGAATCCGTCGAGGTCGACAGTGTGGTGTGGATTTGCCGAGGGAGGAGGCGCCGCAGGGGCGAGGGAACGGATGGTGGTCGTGAGGATGGTGAATCTGTGCGTCGTCCGAATGGTTCAAACTCTAGCGGAGACACATTTGTGTTCTCATTTGGTGCATAACTAATTGGCTCCGGAGCGTCAGAGTCGACTTCGATGTGTCCATAAGGATAAGGGCTGCCGTTTCTCGTTCGCGCCGTCTCCGATGGCGCCAACGAGTTGGCAGTGGAAGAGGAATGAGAGGATTCCATAGACGGGAGGAGAGATCTCCTGCGAACTGATTCGCCTCTGCCATTGTCGATCGTCAAGCGTCGTCCACCGAGTGGCGAGATGGAAAAGTCTGAAGATGGACTGCGTACGATGATATTTGACTCCCTCGTCGCTTCGTGTTCGGGGAAGACCACCTCGAGACGGTCGCCTGTTGCACTACTTCCGTCAATGGTGTCCAGCTCTATCCGTGGCCGATGCATGGCGCTGCCAGAAGATCTAGACTGTCCACTCTCGAGAACGAGCGTTGCAGCAACTGGAGATCCTCGTCTGCCGTTGCCCGAGCTCGAGCCGGGCCAAACGTTTCTTGCAGAGTGAACTCCCAAGGTTGTTCGACCAAGAGGGCTCGGGGAGCGTGTGCCAGACGAGGATGACCTTGAACGCGAGCGAGACAGACTGCTTGGCGACGAAGGTCGGCGTCTCACATAATCCTCGATCGAGGGGGACCTCGATATCGATCGCTGGTATCGTCGTTCTCGCTCTCGCGACCTCCCTGTCCTAATAATGATTGGAGCAGGTTCTTCCTCTGTCCTACCATGTCTCCTACTACGATGTCGCTGCACAGGTTCTGTAATGATGACAGGTGAAGGTGATCTCGATCTTGACCGGGATCGGGCGTTATTGCCCCAGACGCGCCGCTGGGGAGAACGGCTCCGACCGGGGTCTACCTCGATCATTGCATTTGCCAGCAGGGCAGCGGCCGCAGCGGCCGGGTCGCCATGGTGGTGGTGACCATCGACGGTTGGCGGAGGCAGGATGGGAGCACCGTAAGCCACAGGAGGGAGGATGATCGGGTGCATAGCAGCAGCTGGGGATTCCGGACGGCCACCGACTGGACCTGCCCCGGGGACTGGGCCAGGGAAAAAGGGGAACGAGATTGGGACCCGCTGTGGCTCGACTCCCCACGCACCTTCGGCGCCTCCGAGACCCATTCCAAGGGTGACAGCCGCTCCTGTGCCGATTGTAGGCGTCCGGAGAATGTTCAGAGTCTCGACGGCACTCTTGAGTTGCTCTTCGTGAAAGTCGGAAATGTGCGAGACGTCTTCGAGCACAAGCTTTTCAATGGTTGCCGTATTGGGCGAAGAATTACGCTTGCGCAGGAAGGTGAGGAAGGCATCGACTGGAAAATCCGAGTTGTTGTACGTGAACGAGGTCAAGTGTAGCGTCCTGAGCTTAGGGATAAGATAACCCGTTCCGGATGAAGAGGGTACGTTGGTCAGGGATGCAGACGAAGTCGAGGTTGGCGTCGACAGGGCAGCTAGGAGCTCTGTATGGAACGGCGATTCTGTCCCGTGGGATCGAACGGTCAAGCACTCGAGATTCTTAGCGGACCTGAGCGCGCGAATGAACCACGGGAATTCCCAGTCGTTGCACTGAAGAGTGGTAATGTTGGAGAAGAGGTTTAGGGGGATCGAGATCATGTGCCCTGTAATGCATAATTCGCGGAGGTTGGGCATATGGCAATGCGAGGTCAATAGGGTGGCGTCACCATTACCAGAACGATGGAACTCGAGTCGGGTGAGGTGCTCGAGTGTGACCATGACCGAGGTCAAATCTGGCTCGACGGCAAGCGTAAAGGAGACGTTGTCGAAGAGAAGGAATTTGAGGTTTGGACATCGCTGCAGAATGGACAAGAGGTCGTGGAAGGAAGGGTGAACGGGCGATAGGGCGATTTGCAAGTGTTCTAGAACGGGCATCTCGATGTTGGCAAAGACCGGGAGCGGAAAGGTGCCACTGAGGTGTCGGAGACGTGGAAGGACGGGCGGGAGGGCGAGATCGGGACCTCTGTGGGTGGCATTGGCACAGTAGTGTGCAATATGTTCGATATAGTCTGGCGAGAGACTGGAGAACAAGTGGACAAGCGAATCTCGCTGGTTGGCGAGACTGATATGATAGCATCGGTGAAGGTGAGGTTGGATGATTTGTGCAAATTGCGAGTAAACGGCAGCGGTAGGTGCCTCAAAGTAGAAATATAAAAAGTCGACGTCGATGTAGAGCGGATGGTTCTTGCTGCGTTCGAGATAGGTCGTGCAACGTGCGAGGAACTGGGTAAAGTTGTCCATGTACGTTGGTTTACGGACGATACGAGCCCAGACGCCTGGCGTGGCGAGGGCGACATTTTGCCAATGGCGTGAAACGAGCAAGAGGCTCTCCGGAGCAAAGCAGTCTAGATGAACGCCCCATTCCATAATGTGTCCGAGTACTTCTGGGACTCCAATAGGATGCGCAGACGACGGAATCGACGTTAACCGCCGCCGCTCGTCCTCGAGGTATTCGAGCGTCGCCTTGAGGGACGCGATGTGCTCATCGAGCTGGACTAGTCTGTATGACAATGATGAGCAAGCTGCTTAGACGCGCCGCTGGGGACACTGACCGGTCTGGATTCTCTCGGAGAAGCGGATTTCGAGGAGCCATGATCGACATGGACGCAGCCAACGCGGGCGATTGCATAGCGGTGAGATTTCAAGGCGAAATGTGCAAAATATTAAGGAAATAACGGTGAGAGGGCGTGGATGGGCGTTGCTACAAAACCAAACGGTGAACAAGGGAAAGGCGAAAAGAGAGAACAAGTGAATGACCCCACCTTTGGCCGCACTTGGGACGCGTTGAACGTGGCTTTGGTGCGCAAAACGCTGGGCAACGTCGTGGGCAATGACGAGTCTCAGAACTCGTATCTCGTTCTCTGTTGGATTAAATGACCAAGGCGTCGAAACCACGGGGGAGCAGTAAGGCCGATTAGAGCACACAAGGGTCTACGTTCGACCAGGCGTAACACGGGGTATTCCCTGTTTTTGCTTCCGACTTTGTTCTTTTTTATTCGTCTGTTGGGCAACAGAATAGGGTTCAGGGGGTACAAAGTCAAGAATATCCCAAGAGACCGTCTGGGGTAGGTCAAAGTGGCCGGTTTAGGCTCTAGAGTCCACCAGGAGTCGGTTTACGGGCGCAAGAGTCTCCTTAGAGTCGGCAGGGCGCAGGCGGCAGTAGATCCTCTCGGTTCAGGAGGGTAATCCCCGCGGTCGCTGGGCAGCAGCTGAGGGAGCAGGACGTGTCCGGGTCCAAGCTACAGAGGACAGGGTCGAACGAGTAACAGAGAACTCTGGGCCGTAAAGCCAATTTCAAAGGTGATTTTACGAGTGGCTGTCGGGACTGTCTACAGTGGCGTCCATCTAATACATCAATTGTGCACAAAACGGATCCCCCGGCTTCCCAGACTGAAAAGGTACGACTTTTGCCCGAAGTCCCATTGTTCGCCTTATGCGTTCACATAGCAAGCACGCGCTCAGAACCGTGGCATATCAACGCGGATGAACCTCTGTGGATATTCTCAGCCGTCTATGGTCTCCCAGAGACCGCATTTGGCCAGTGTCCAAGACTGGCTTCCCCTCGGTCCCCTCGGTCCCCCTCTGGCCTTCCCGGACGGGTATGGTTCGTCTGATCGAAAGAGGAGAAACCCCCCTATCCCAATTAATTGCCTAGCAAGACGAATAATTCGGTTCCAAAATCCTGGGGAGCCCGCTGCTCGACGCGCCCGCGCTAATTGTGCAACGGACAGGCCTTCACACCTCCACCCGCTCAGACTCGAGCAGAACGCTCTTCCCGGTGATCACCACCGCTGGCTTGGGCGCATAGGCCGAGCAGCGGCCAGGCCAAAAGACTGGAGCCGTTCGGCTGATAGCGATCCGCGTTTGAGATGTTCAAAGGTATCGTCGAAATGTTATCATAGATAGCGCGCTGTAATCACATAATTTCACACCGGCGGTATAAACTTTAAAGTGAGCCTGTCCATCGGGGATTTACCCAAACTCTCGGATTTGCATCAAAAGGTGGCACCACTCAGCCCACGACGTCACGGCCACAACGGCTCCAAGTGATAAACAAGACTTTTCCAACTTGGACCCTTCCACAATTTTAAAACTTTGAGCACACGTACTTTGACGACCCAAACATCTTACGAAAATGGGCATGGACTCGTTGATTCGTCGGGGTCATCCAAGTAAGCATCCTGTTGAGCGGCGCCCATCCCCAAATAGACGCCAGGCGCACTCCTTTGGCATGTTTTAACACTTTCAACTAGTCGCATTTGGTCTCTTGATCCTTTTTGGAATCGTTGAAGGCGCTATTACAACTTGGCTTACTGTGAAGTACAAGTCGGTCGCTCAGTCCCACATCTGGATCATAGACTGACACCCAGACAGCCGAAATCACAATTATGGCTCTATTTCGATACGCGATCGTGTTCGACTCTTGGTCTTTACGTCTTGTAAGTGAGCAAGCGCTAAACTTTGCAAAGAGACTGACACTTTTTCCACCTTTTAGGGTTCACCGTCTTATTCAGCTTCATCTATCTTCTACTCTTCCTGCACTCTGCTAGCACTGGAAGCGTCTTGACGTCCGTGGCAAGCCATCTCATCTTTCTCGGATTTGCCTGGATTTTATGGACTGGTGCGTCTTCGCGTACCAATTTAGTATCTTTCAGATCTGTTGATCCATTTTGACAGCCGGAGTCGCGTCCTTGACTGCTGCCATTGGAGGTGGAATCAACTGCAGCACCGTCAATCGAAATGTCGTATATTGTAACCAACTCAATGCCGCAATGGGCTTTGGATGGGCTGAATGGTGGGTAACTTTTTCTCATCACACACCCACGTCTTACACTCATGCAGGCTCTTGGTCACGGGCATACTCGTCACCGTTATCATCTGTGGAATCCGTGCATTCAGGCGTGGTGATGGCGCCCGCGGACAACTTGTCCATGTTTAAACTTACACGTATCAACAGAGCTCTGTACTACCTTTGTCTAATGTGAATATGTCTTACGTTTTCGGATACGCCTTGGGACAATGCAAATCGTTCGTAAACGAGAGAATCTACTAGCCAAACACGACTTGTACGCTGCTCGCACTTCGGTATCCAAAACGCCCTCAAACTTAGGGCAAGCATTGGCTGTAGAATTGGTTGGAGACTTTGCATGTGCCAGAAGCACATGTCGTTGGACCAGTCCATCCTTGGCCGCCACATCTTTTCAATGCTATTAGCAGGTGGTATAGTTACGAAAAAAGGATACACTCACTGGCCGTAGAGTGTCTGACCGGAGCCATTGGCGGATGAAGTGCGTGTCGAGCTCGAGCTTGATCGCGAGGATGTGGACGTGGACGTGGGCCGAGTCGACGATTGAGGAGGCTGAGTGTTGCTATTGTTTCCACCCGAGCAGGTGAACACAGCTGGTCCTGGAATGGTATAGGATGTGAAGCCACCATAGAGATCGAATTTGATTCCTGGGTCGGTGGCAGAGTACTAAAAGACAGGTAGTGTCAACTCTTGATTTGGTTCGTAAACTTAAAACGGCTTACAACGCCGGGGAAGCTGACGGTCGATGGCGAAGCAGAGCCACCACCCGTAACGTTGAGTGTGTAGCAGGAGATGTAGAACTGAGCACCACCAACGGAGCCAGCAACGTGAAGAGCTATTGGGTGTAATTAGACTCTTGTCCATATTGAAGTCATTCAACGAACCAATAACCTCAGCTCTGAGCAAGTATTGGCCTACGGGAATGATCAGCAAAACGAGTATAACAGACCAATGACTTCGGTCCTACCTGCTGGGATGCACGAGGGGATAGTGAAGGTATATTTGCCGCAGTTGGCATTCAGGCCGTCAGTCGCCTGCTCATAGTGTCAGCCCTTCTACATGGTGATATGGGATGACAGACCCAGTAGTCGTTGCCTTGGTAGCCGGTTTGGGCAACCTTGAACCATCTGGCAGAGGTAGCAGATGCGGTCAAGGCGTCGTCGACCTTGGCCATGTAAATGATGACGGGACCTGTCTCTCGTAAGCGCTGACTAGCACTGATAAACCGACCGTACCATCGTGGTTGCCACCAATGGCCTCGTTGCTGCACGAGCGGTCTCCTGGCTGCTGATGCATTTCTACGGAGACTGTGCTGCCTGCTGCGACATCACAGAGGCCTTGAGATGCCCTCGGGCTGACATTGCAAGCAATATCGCCACTGCCAACGCTGGTTACAGGGCTGTTACTCAGAGGCGTGCGGATGCAAGTTCCAGCTTTGTCGGATGACCCCACCCAGAATTGTTGAAAGGTAGCGTGGGCAGCGACGCTAGTCGCACCCGCAAGGAGTGTAGCAAGGAGGGTAGCGCTGAATTTCATGGCGACGCCGACCAAGAAGCGAGAGTGGGTGGGTGGTGATAGTGTTTGGATATGTTTCCTGATAGTAGCGAGATGGCCTGTTATATACCGCTGCGAAGAGAACACCGCTGCGTCGCCGCCAATTCACAGTGAAAGGGTTGGTCGGGTGAGCAGCGCCGTCGCTGAAATATGTTCAGGTGGATACCCTTGGATTTGCCGTGCCGAGAAATTAATGTTTCCGCGCAATAATTGTACTGTCCACTAGTTGGCTAACCCCCCTCGCACGAGGCTTGATTGTCGGCACAATAGTGGGAGAACCACATCTGGTCGTCACTTGTCCATAGCTATCCACAGCAATGTATATTTGACCGAAAAAAAGAGTTGCTCGGTTGTTCTAAATGAACGAGCTTGGCTATTGAGAGAGGCCAGACCCGCATTGCTTGAATATAGCTTGATAGCACTAGTGACGAGCTCGAGGACCGTCCTCAGATGATGTAGCGCACGAGCAGTTTTTGCGGAATGTGATGCTCCATGCGCTAATGTACCGAGGAAAAGGAGAATCGAAGAGAACCGAGCTAGGCCAAGTTGCCACCCAATTGGAGACCGAAGCGCAGCTGCGAACCAAGGCGTAGCTGGAAGCAGTCACCTCAGTACCGTCACTTGGAAATTGCTTGGATAGCTCACTTCGCGCATTTCTCGATAGCACAGGTTCCCAAGACGCGGGGACACTGCGGCTCATGGTAGTCCATGACGAGCATCTCCCCGTTCTCCCACGTGCTGTTCTACTCGCTTCCGTGATATCCCGAGTGATGATCACAGATACCGAGATGAATACGAGGGCATCAGTAGGAGTCACGATCTGACATCAGTCGTTCACGTAGAATATTCTAGGACTTTGACAAGCATGTTAGGATAGCGCCCAGAGCTTTCCTTCGCAACTCTGTACGTACTCTCGAGGAGGAAGGGCGAACAATGGGCCAGGCAATCCCAACAAGCGCTTGTGCAGCCATTTTCAATTTACTGGTGCGATCCTTGACAATTTGAGAGTCCTAAACGCCCGCTGTAGTTCACGACGAGCCGTGCGCGCCGCGGCGACGTAGAAGATTTGACAGTTGGGCTCGATGCGTTTCCTATATTGGAAAGCGTCAAATATAATCTTTTGAAATGTCGACTTGAGCACTTTGCCAACTGTTCTGACCGATCTGGTCAAGAAGATGACTGAAACTGGCAAGGTCGACCTGTAACCTGGTCAACTTTGAATAGATGTATTAACAGCACATTTGAAGCAATTTACTAACCATAATTGGAGCACGACCCAAACGAGCCTTGACGACTTGGCGTCCAAGAAGTCGCGACCGCTCATCCGGCGCGTCCAAATTTCCAACACACTACGAAACAGTTTTGCAGATTTTGTGGATTTTGCGCGGAATACGTAGCTTTCGGGAGTGTACACGCTCCGCTCCAACGTCATTTCCAGCACCGGAGCATCGCTTCAAACTTGAACTCCAACCACTACCAGTCGTCTCCCTCGATCCAACATGTCCAAGATGGCGCAGAAAGCGGGGATGAAGCTGTTCGAGAAACATCTCGAGCAGTATGCCCCCGCCGATCCTTGTAAGGCATTGGCCGATCCACATGCGCGAGCTCATGCGATTCCCACCCGTAAACAGATTACGAAGAGTACGTAGACGACAAGGGAAAGAAGAAGAGGCGCAAGGTAGATGAACAACAACGTGTAAAGACGATACTGAACACGCCTAGCGCGAGGTTCCGCCCGGACTTTCGAAGAGAGACAGTGAGTGGTTTGGTCAGGTCATGATACACGTTTCTGACTGGATTTAGTCGCGGTCTTGAAGAAGGTCAAGAAGCGAGCTCACTATCTTGACAAGGGTATGTGTCTCAATCCTGTTGCGAGGCAAGTAGCATTGACCATCCTCACAGGCTTCTCCATCTGTGGATTCCACTTTGGATGGACCTTTATCATTGGTTTCATTCCGGTGGTCGGGGACGTTACAGACGCAGCACTCAACTATTTCCTCGTCGTTCGCAAGGCCAAGCAAGCGGAAATCCCTGGATGGCTTCTCCGCAAGATGTTGTTCAACAATGCCGTCTCTGCCGGAGTTGGGCTCGTTCCCATTTTAGGGGACGTTCTCATTGGCGTGTGGAAAGCAAACTCGCGTAATGCTATGCTCCTAGAAGAGTTCCTGCGCATTAGAGGAGAGGAATTCTTGAAAATTGAGCCTGCGCGTAATGAGGGTGCGTCTCCTCGTTCCATCGAGCTCCAGGTAGGGCACTGCTGAATCGTCAATAGATCCTAGCGTTATCAAGCCTGGTGCTGGACGAGAACAAGGCGAGAAGGTGGATGGAAAGAAGACCGGTACAGTCAAGAGCACAGCTGCCTACGTCGGATCTGTATGTCCGTCCTCTCTTTCAACCGTCCATTGCTAATTGAATGCAGGCTGGACCCTCTCGCGCCTAACGCTCACAAGGACGAATTGAAATGGCCGTAGGGTGGCTCTTATGCATTCATTCTTTGAACATTACTTCTGGAATAATATCGTCAACGTACAGACGACCTATTACACGCTATTTACAATAATATACGACCTCAGAGGAAAGATCTATGTGACCGGCTGTCCATTTGCACGAATATGAATAGGAAACGGTGAGATGCCTGTAGCGGTGCTAATGAGAGGAACGGCTGCTCGTCCACGTTCGCTAGCCGTATAGTCAATCATGTACATGACAGACTTTGATAACGCCATGGAGAGTTCCTCGTACAGCATCTCACGATCTTGTGGATTTTCGAGAGTGACCTTGATCGTCCACGTCTCCCATGGCACTTCCTCCTGTATACATCATCAGTAAGGGCAACTCTAAGAGCCTCGGAAAGACGGTGAGGCCATCAAAGGCGAAAGAGACCGACCTCGCCCCCACTATTGAACCAGTTTGCCTTTTTGGTTCTCTTCTCCGTGAATATAACTTCTAGTTCAGCCTGTCTTCGTGAACCAATGGTCGGCGGAGCAGGCGCAGCGTTGAGCGCGCGTAGAACGTGATCGACTGCCAGTTCGACGAGATTCTCGGTTTCTGCATCGCGTACAGCTGGAAATGTGATGCCCAGAAAGTCGATATTGGTCGGTTTCACGACTCCAAAGAGACGGTGGAAAAAGATGGAGTGGAGCATGGCGCGTAACGCATCCCGAGCAGTTTCACGATCAATGGTCTGTTTTCGTCACTTATTAGTCGGTTCTGAGTATGCTTGAGAGACTATAGATGCTTGCCAGCTCGAAGACGAGCGCCATCTCGAGAGGCGCTGGAGAGCAAGATGTGCATTTGAGTGGAGCTGAATAGTTCCATAGTGAATGAATAGAGGGAATGAAACAAATGTATTCCAGACAAAGGAACCATAGTGTGTGACGGAAACTGGTACACGACATTTGAGAAAGGACAGGCGCGCCCTTGAAATGGGCTGGGATCTTGTGCGAGATGGAGGGGACTGGAGAAACGGAGGATGACACATAGCAATCTATTCAGACCGGCGAAGGAGAAGCCGCGCGGTTCTGAGGGCGGAGGAGGATGTACAGCTAGTCTGTACGGTGACCCTGCCGGGCCAAGGTCGATGGTATGAGATTTGTGTTGGACAGACAAACAGTGGGATACGAAATTGGTGTAGTAGGAATGAAACACGAGTGCTGTATGTAACAGGGAACCGGTCCAAGTTGTAGCAACCTGGACGATGCAAGGTTGGTCGAGATGATGTGTGTAATTGACGAGAACCGGATATCTGAGGATATTTTTTGTGATTATAATGAGTTGAAAGTGGGCCAGTGTTTGCAAGGCGGCATTTTGGAGTGGCGTTTGAAAGGGAGTGTGCTATTGCCGTCGTGAAGCTTAGCGCCGGAGTGTGCTCCTGACTCTCATAAGTGTATGTCCGAATTGATTGTCTCCGCTTCCGTCCTCTTGTTGAGACCAATATTGATCGGAACCGAGCTGGTAGCCATTAGTGGCTTGCTCCGAGGACGGCCAATTCTCATACCTGAATCAATTGTGCGTCACCTGTTGCCAACAAGTTATTCTTGAGGCCGGGGTATTGATGAAATTTCAATGTGAGAACCTGCTCCATCTGTAACGACGGTGAGATGATCGTCACTCGCATGAGCAAGCAAACTGACCATGAAGAGATGTACGTTGGCCCAGTCTGGGCGTTTCTTATCGTCATTATCGCGTGCGGACCGCTGAGGGTCCGTGGATTTGCGAACGAGCTCAGCAATAACTGGTTCGCGACCAATAAACTTGAAGGCATGGTAGAGATGTTCTGCCGTGTCATAGAGGCGGCCTTGGTAGTTGATGGGGTGGTTGGAGACGTTGGTGAAAGCAGAATGGGCCTCGTGACGGGTGCTGAAGAAGATCTTCGCATTGGGTCCTGGAAGAGGAGTCGTCATGGTGGAATAAGAGCTCGTGGTGAAAAAGGAAAGAGAACTGGAGAACAAAAGGCTAAGAAGATGAGAGAGTGCTATAGACAGAAGCAATGAGTGCGTGCTGCTGGTTGGAGAATATCGAGTAAACGATGGGGTGGTTATATAGGATATCGACGGAGAGGAGTGTTTGGGTTTTGAATGTGTACCGGAGAGAGAGCTGTCGTTGACAGGAAATGGTGATACGCCGCTGAACGGTTTCGGGCAGTGTCAAGAAGTCGTCAGTCTGCATTCCAAACAAGGAATCGTGTTTGAAGAGACGTAAACGACTGAATCGGATTCCCCTCTGTCAAAGTCGAGTGAGATTTCCGCAGAGTCACCTCGCACAGACTCTCCTGTGCGCTGCACGGCAAAGTCACAGATACGTAGACCGCAAATTCAACATGTGAGTTGTTTCCAAGCCGGCGTGACCAAGGCCCGTGGTTCTAGTCGATGGTTTTCGATGGCGGGATTAGACGGACTCGGCCGTTGGATGTTCCCCCTGCCGGACAGAGCTTGGACCGACGACTCGTACGATACAGAGTCTAATCTGTGACGCAAGAGACGCTATTCAAGTGTCAATTTTATCGCTGAGGAGATTGTGCGCCCTCCCTCCAAGCCACGGCCGTTGCCGCACACCGCGACAGAGTTTGGGCTGCCCTTGACGCTCCTCTGAGGAGCGTTGGTGTCGTATTAGATGTCTTGTTTGACATTATTACCCGAATTACTTCTACCCTTGCGTTTGAGGGCGCGAGGGTTGCGCACAAAGTGCTTCATGGGCAGCTTGTCGCAGCTCGTCGCAGTTTGCCCTAGATTGCAAACCAGCAATACACTGGTTTTCCATGTTATCCAATGGCTGGCTCGTTTTCCAGCCACAGCCAGTGTCGAGTCGGAATCCAAGAGGCGGTTTGTCGCCCGGAGACTAATCGTGGCGTCCCCTTCCCATTTGCCACATCGTACATAGCCTTCCCGTTCTCGTGCAGATCCTCTAAATCTCTATGGAGGCTGGCAGCACCCGCTGAGGAGACCCGTCTGCAACATCATGGCCAGAGGCGTAGATAGACCTATTACAAGGTAGAATGGCATATCAATACTTGTAAACTGTTGATATACTTCCTTTGTGACTTGTCCAACGGTGGCCACTGCGCTCTGACCGCGTCGCTGCCGCCAATATCGGAGAGCGTGTGGTTAGATATGGTCCAGATAACTCCATGGAACTTGGTAGATGTCTATCAATCGAATAAAAGGATCAAAACCCTGCCCGAGGCCACTCTTTTCACAATGACTATGCCATGACGGTCCGCTGTAGGCCAAGCGTATGGATATGCTAATACAACTCTATGCACGCATTTACAGGCAGATTTCGCGTCATATACGTCAGGATTTGTTCCACTTTGTGGCCTGGCAAAGCGAATTCAAACCCCGACTCTTACTCGTTGAGCTCCTAAGTTCCCAGACCACCAAAAGCTACATCCTGTGGCGACCAGGATACTCTCCTAGCGCCCCTATCAGCTCTCAGCAGCCATGGAGGGCGTCTCCTCTCTCCCAAACGGCATCAGCGACGTCGACCTCGCCGACTCTATCGCACGCAGGCTTGCCACAATCCTATTCAGCAGCACTTTTGCAGACAAAATTACGTGGAAAGATGTCCCTCGTGCACTTGCTGAACGATGTCTCTATCTCTCTGGCGTCCCTTTAAAGTGCGCCCCCGTCGTCGTGGACAACGTCGTGCAGGATAATTATCATTCATGGTCGAAAGAACAGCTTTATGCAATGCATTCCGCTCTCGAACGAAATATGCTCAAGATCAAAGTCCGCAATCCAGTCTGTCCGTCGCCTCGTTCCCAGTCGTTGACCACAGACCCACCGTGCTGACACTTGAGCAGCTCGCAATGTGATTTTTGAACTCGTTGACGAAGATGGTTCTTTGAAAGATTCCACCCTCGGATTTTCAGCACTTTGGCGACATGACTACCTGTTTCCAGAACGCGTCTATGGGTCAGTATCGCTCTGATAGGAATGATAGCTGCTGAATCCACAATCAGAGGCTTGAATATGAATACTCTCAAGTCTTTGAATTACACAGGCCTCCTCAAGGTCCTCAGTGCTGGTACGTAAAGCGCCCAAAAGTCATTCGACGGTTAATCCTGTGCCCTCAGTCGAGGTCCTGAAGATCCACGAACAGCTCCCCTGGGTGTCTCTCCCCGCTAAACTCTACAAAAACGCATACTATCTTACCGGCCTTCCTCGCGTTTGCACACCTCGTGCAGTCAACGATGTGTTTCCAGACAACGTCGGCTCCCCCTCATTTCGCTTTAGAAGAGACCAGCGTGTGGCGCTCCAGCGCGCTCTAGACTCGGGTCTCCTCAGGCTTTTGGAGCGAAACCCTACCGACCGAGATGTCATCTTTGAAGTCCTCGAACCAAATGGCACATTTACCGATGACGACTGTGGATTCTCGGCCGAGTGGAAGGCTGCAACGACTCTCAATATCCGGGTCAAACACACAGGCAAAAGCAATGCGGCCAGCTCCCTCGCTGCAATCGCAGCTCCTACCTCGTGTGTCACACATGAACTCCACCAGGACGTTGCTGATCAGAATGCAGGTCGGAGGCTCCCAAGGCGCCGAACACTCTCCTGGAATCTATCCTGAGCTCGTTCGTTGCTATTCTATGTGAGTGTTCGTCCAAATTGAAGCTTATCTTGACATGTCCAGTACCCCATGGACTTCTTCTTGACACGGTTGCTGGACCCGCTTGGATCCGCCTACCGCAAATGCTCGCCACCAAACGGCTTGTCATCCATGGAATTCCTCGAACATGCATACCTATTGTCAAAAATGACGTGGTCGCCGACAACTATGATCCTTTGCAATGGTCTCTCAACAGTCAGGTCGACTTTTTCAATGCCGTAAAGCACAACAGCATCAAAGTGATACCTCGTTCACGCAGTGAGTACAAATATTTCATCTGGACTCGGTCTCATGGTCCTCAGGCCAACGAATACTCTACAATGTCTTGGAAGAGAATGGAACAATCACCTCTGACACGCTTGGTTTCTCTGAACAATGGTGCAAAGATCATTTGGATGGCATCGACTTGTATGTCCACCACATTGACGGCTCTCGAGATCCCTCACTTGTTTCAGGGCTGATCCCAACCTTTCACCCACTATGTATGTGATCGAAATGTGGCTCCAGTTACTCGGTAATCTCTCGTACCCACGTATGGAAGGACACAAACTTATTATAATTCCATAGAACGCGCCAAGATTCCCTGTCATGACAATCTAGGCCGTCGCCACATCCCATGGGCATACCTCCCGACTCTTCTGGCCCGCGGAAAGCTGTGTATAATCGGATGCCCAAAGGATTGCATACCAAAAGTGGAGAAGGACATTGTTGTCGAGACGTCTAGCCCATATTTCTATGACGGATTGCAGCTTGGTTTGATGTATCGCGCATTCAAGGAAAGCGAAGTCTCTATTGGTATTCGCCCACCAGGTACGCCATAGGCATATTATTTATCTGTACTTATGCAGTCTCAGGCAAGGAGGCCCTCTTCGCATGTAGGATAGGTGACAGTGGCTACGTCTGGGAGTCGACGCTTGGCTTCAGCGACAAGTGGATCGAAATGAACATTCGAAATCCTAATCCTCCGTTCTATATGCCTCATATCATGACCATGGTCTCATCTATGACGGCTCCTCAAAATTATTCCTTTGGACCAGTGGTGGTAGCCCCAGCAACACAAGTACAAGTCATGGATAAGCTTTCCGTACAAACAACTGTCACGGGCAAGCTCTCGGCTCAATCTTCCCCCCTTGTCGTTGTAAATGGCTCCAGTCATCTTGAATCCTCTAGCGCAAATCCCGAATCTTCTTCGACCGGCTCACTGCCGCAAAAGCGTCATAATCAAGATGGCCAACAATCTCTGAAGATCAGAATTCCAAAGAGGCGTGCAACAACCGCTACAGCCCGCCCGTTCACGACAGAGCCATTGGTACATATCAAAAACACATCAGCTTCTCCTCCCCCTTCAACTAAAGCTTCCCTTCCCGTGTTCGCTCCGCTTGTCAAACAGGAATTCGGCCCAGTCTTATCAACAAATGGATTACCACCAAGCAACCTGCCGTCTACCAGTGGAAATCCTGTTCAAACTCCTGCTTCTCGAAATGTTCAACCTTCTCACCTCACTACCACGCGTCTAGTACCAGCTCCACCTCTCAGGCGCACACGGATGGGAACTCGAGAGTCCATTGCTTTATCCAAACAAACACGAGAACCTTCGCCTGCACCGTCTACATCTTCATCGTCGTCTGACGTCGACCAGCCTGGCAAATTTGGCGTGCGCGAGTCCATGTCGCCACCACTTCCCCCTCGCTCTCTACTTCCGTCGCCGTTGCCACCTGTACCGGTACCTGAGTGTCTACCTCGTCCAGGAGGAGACTTACGATGGGACGACGAGAAGAGCTTCTGGGAGCTTACTATTTCGGAGAGTTGGCCGCCTTCACAGTGGAAGAAGCTCCTCCCAGTTTTCCCTGCTAGGTTGATTTGGGACCCAGCGAATAATCTTTGGATGTGCATTCCATCCGAAGTGCTGACGTCGCCACCACCAAAAGATGCCACGGGGATGGGCAGGATTGGGTTGAGTTTAGATGTCCAAGCGGAACTCGATTCTGCGAGGCGAGTCGGGCCGCTACCAAAAATTACAGAAGGGCACAGTATCATCTGGCATCGGTGGAGACGTACCTGGGCGCTCTTCGAGTATGTCGCGCGCGTTCCAACTTGACCATGTATCACGAGCTCGCTCATCCATGCCTTTCATTATTTTTATTCGTGTCTGCCGTGCATTTCTTGTCCCCTCTCTCTGTTCTTAGTCATGGACCTCATCCGACAAACGAATGTCTGTAGGCACCTTCGTAGCAAAGCTTTACATACATATCTACAAAAGCAATGGTACTTTCGCCCATGATTTAATTGCACAGGTGCATTTTCAAGCATTTGAAGGAGAGTCTGGGTCGTCTTCGACTGACATACTCCTATGCGTGCTCGCGTGGCTCGCAGTTGGCGAGATTGAAGGCGAGATCGATCCAATCTCCCCAAACCCATTATTCTTGCGTAGTGCGGGATTGATCGTCAGCTTTGACCTTGATATACTACTCGCGCTTCCGCTACCATGTAATCCGAGGTCCAAACTCATCGCATTGTCCTGGACGGCCTCTTGCATCGCTTCCTCTACATTCTTTACCTGGATTGTGATACCTGTAGACGAGGAAGAGCCAGTTGCGGCGACCTGGGATGATGGTGGTGCTTTTGCGACTGAGAGCATCATGTTGAGGAGAAGGCTCGCGCATTGCTGGCGGTGCTGCGAGAGTCCATCGTCGCCGTTGCCGCCGCTTCTGGACGAAACAGATTGGTGGTCGTCACTGATACTTGCCACGGATGACGAAAGGACACTTGGTTCGGGTTCGATCCCAGAGTCGGAGTAAGCCGACTCGATATCTTCCTCTTTTTTGATTTTGATCGGATCAGGGACGAGCAACGTATTGCTGCTCTGTTGGTGATGGTTGTTGGAGTTGAAGGGAGCAGAAATCGCATCGTTCGAGACAGTACGTACACCTTTGCGTTCTCGCGCCCGGCCTTTCAGTTTGACAATCTTGCGTTGAAGTACCAACTAGAACGTCAAAAGAAATGAGGCATCAATCAAGGCGAGGTGGACAGCTGAAACGTACGAGGTACTCTCGTGCAGCTATAAAGTGGTCCCATGAGATCCGCGGCCGCCCGCCGTCGCAGACATCATAGACGACTTCGCTGCTCACGCCGTTGAGATCCGATACAACTTCTCGGACTTCTTTTGTGGGTGGGCACACGTCAAAACGCCACTGACCAACGCGCGCATCCCAGAGCATCCGTCCTCCCAGGTCCCATATCGGCGCCGCCAGATCGCCGTGTTTCTTTACAATCTTATCCATGGGGCTTACCCACAGCTTGGATCGAATCGGGAGCACCCATTCCCATTCACCCTCGCTGTTCGGCGTTACGTCCAGTCTACGCACGATTTCCCCTTGTTGCAGAAAACTGTTTGTACGATCAGGTGTTGGATATCCTTCGTCACGCTTCGGGCGCTCCTTGGTGGGAAGCTCATTGAGGACAAAGATCCAGCGTGCTTGAGCCAGTGACCATTGAAGAAGCCTTCGGTTCGCAGGCGGGATGTATCGTGGGCCGGGAGTTCCGCCGCCGGGAGTGCGAATGAGCGCGAGGTATTGGGCCTCTGTTTTCGTCGGAGAAGAGGTTGGAGGAGGTGGACCTCCCGTCGTGTCATGATCAGGTCGCTCGCCCCACCCGTGTGGACGATACTCAAAGCGGTCGTGATCATGTCGCAAATAGATGTGGCCTTGTGGCAACCCTTGAATACTCGGTTCGTATTTCGGGAAAAGCTGTTTGACCATCAACTCTTTGGACGCTGAGATTAGGCGTTCTCCACTGGAATGATGAATGGAGCGGTTAGAGACGGAGACCATCTCTCCATCCGCTTCATCCTCATCCATCTTTTGCTGAACTTCATCAACCTCGACCCAACCCTCGTCGATTCGTTCGCTCTTCGTCTTCCTGAGCGACATTGTAGTTGTCACCTCTTGCGCGCCTTTCATCTCTGGCCGAACCTGGAACCACAGTCGCTGGCCGTTGCCGGCATCTCCCCAGGACGCTGAATCGAGGATCTCCTTGGCCGAATATCTCCTAAGCAGGTTTGCTGGTGCGCCATCCCCAAACATGACTTTCAACTCTCCCCGTGGTGCCCATGTTCCACCAATTTGCTCCTGCACCGCTCTCATGGATAGTTCCTTGTGTCTCTGAAGTGCAACTTTGACTTGTGGCTGCGAGAGCAAGTCTGTAGCAGATTGGATGCCCACATTTGGAAGGCTACCACTAGAGGCTAGTGGTGAAGAGGCAAACGAAGTTGCACTAGTTGGTGTAGGTGTTGCGCTCGCGGTACGTCGACGAAAGAGGGCTGGCGCAGGGGGTGGGACCATGGATGCTGTGGGCAATGGTTTGGGCGCTGAGGATCGGCGAAGCGCTGGAGGGGGAGGCGGGAGAACTCCGAATTTAGGGAGTCGCCATCGTTTCATCCTGCAATACAGTAGCAACTTGCGGAACTTGAGCCTGTAAAGGTGCTGATACGGAAGACGGAGTGATGTATGACGAGCCTCCGCTCACAGAATGCCATGCAGACGAGCCGGCGGAAGAGATACTTGCCTGGGTCGGTTCGGGGTAGATTGAGTTGGAGCGAGAGACCGCTCGTTGAATCTTTTGCTTCCAGTGCGGCTCGTGTGATTCGCCCGATTCGATTAGGAGGGTCGGCTCGCTCGTGAGCGGCTGCTTGCGGGGTGCCATCGGGGGCGCATGCTGCGCCCATTGTGCATGGTCACTCTGTGAACCTTGAGGAGGTGAGTCATCGCCCTCGTCGTAGTCTGAGTGTGCTGAGCGATCTGCCGTGTTTCTACGAGCGCGTTTGATGGGGTTATGCACGCGCGACGAGGTATCTACATCTGGCCTGAGACGAATGCGGGCATTCTGCTGAGGTCTTTCGTACAGCTTAGCAAAGGTGTGGCAAGAATGAGCAAAGGTGCACGTACACTGGTGGCAACAGGGCTGGCAGTGTCGGTTTTGGAGCCTGCATTGGAGTGTCTTCACTGTTCATCCGTTAGATGTGGTCAGTAAACATGGATCAAAGTACCTGTAGTTGCCTGGACGTTCCATCGCTCTGGTCGAATGGTCAAGGTATGTCCGTTTGTGCGGAGAGAACGTACGATAACAATTGCCTGGCTGATGTTTGAGTATATGAGTCTTGGAATAGTCAAATAACGTACGCAGTCGATAAGGACGAAGGCAAGGACGGCGGATGCTGACTGAGTCCAGTGGGCGCCTTTGCTGTGGGCTGAGGAACACTCGGAGCCGTTGAAGAAGCAAAGTTCTTGACCGAGCTGTTTGTTTCTTCGCCGATCCCAGTCATGGTTGCCTCTCCGTCTGTCCTCTTGGGGATGGCCTGGTCTCGAATCCTGTAGATGAATCGCCCAAAAATCCCACAAAGGTCAAATTATGCTTAAAAAGACTTGAAAAGGAGGTCACAGCTGTCGATGTATATCCATCGCTAGCTGGAGATGGTTTCGACAACGAAGCGACGCACAGTTCGCGGGTGCCCAGAGCACTCTCTGGATCTTCCTCGGGCATCTGGTCACTGCCTGTGGTGTTGTTTAGGATTTCGCTCAGCTTCATGCCGCCAGTCTCCCTGAGGTCGAGGTTTATCGGTCCCGCAACCACCGCGTACGAGTCATCCCACATACATTTTCACATTCTCTACGAAACATTTTTGGGAAGTTTAGAATACAGCTTCACGGGTGTTCCCGGCGGCGATTCTGCAGATGTCGTGTACCCAACACTTCCAACGCTCGACGCCCGGTAATACGATGGAGGCTGGGCAACCACATACTCTGCCTGTAGTCGAGATGATATCGGCACTGCTTGCTCGTGGGGGTCATCTAACCACGATTCCTCTGTACGAGCGGGTCCATCTGGGGCAGAGTCGTAGCCGGCTTCAAGTGAGTACGTCGACGACGTAATCCATCTGTCTTCTGATCCAACTTCTGGCCTCGGATCGTCAACCTGCGAATGGCCCAAGCCTGGTAATCCACGAAGACTGGGCTGCACCGACTCCCGTGATACGGGTGGAGCGGAATATGGTCGCGTGAGTTGCGGTAGCGGACGTAGTCCAGTTGCTTGCGGCGATACCACTTGGTAGTTGCGAGGTAGTGGGTCAAAGATATGTGGTAGTGATTGGCGTCTGTCCGCGGACTCGGGGTACATTGGTGGGGGTTCTGATGTGTGTCGTTCATGGGGCAAGCGACCCGGAATAAGGGCACGAGAAACAGTTTCCGTATCGGAAGAGTAAGCCCTCTGACGACAATTAGCAGTCGTTCACATCCAGACATGACCTTTACCTGGCTGTGCCGCTTCATGGCCCCCCGCGATGAGATGGGGGAACTTTCCACAGAGGAAAGCGGAGGATCAAAATAGCCATCGTGAGCGGCGAAGTTATGGAGGTGTGTCGAATTGTGTGCTGAGTAGGGTTGTCGAGGATGAGATGTCGTCGCTCCAGCGGCCTCGTAATGACCCATTGGAGGTAATTGAGATTGTTGGGTAGTTGGAGATGGTAGAGTCGTGGATTCGCCCACGCTTTGTAGAAGAGACCGAAACGACGGTAGTCTCCAGTACTTTTTGGGCGGTTCCACGGTTATATGTTGCTCACGATACAGTGATGATTCGTATGGTCCCTGTAACGGAGTGACGGGTTGTGGAGCAAGTCTGGGACTGAGAAGTGTTGGAGAAAAAGTTGGATCAAGCACACGGGCGACCCGTTTCTCCATGTCCTCTGAGAGATCGACAAACCCTGTCGTATCCCCGGGAGAGGCTGCTTGACTGCTCGTGATGAAATGACCGCTTGTGCTCGCGGAATGCGTCGACTCGACGCTCACTGCTCGCCGTTTCCCTGGACGTCGGGCGCCTGGGACTCGCGAACTTCGTTGACGAGGATAAGAGTTTGTAGTGTAATGTTCCACTGCATTTCCAGTGGGATCAAATTCGTCGTACGCTTCATCATCTTCGACCCCGTCGTCCCAAATGGCATCTCTCCTTGGATCATCGTGCCAGTTCACTGGAGGGGGCCTAGGGCCCGTATATGAGTACATGGCGTTGTTTTACGTTGTAATGTTTCGGTCTGTAGCATCGTCAGAGTAATGATTACCTCCAAAGTTCTACCAAGAAGGCCTTACCGAGACAAATGAGGTTAATTTTATCATTTCATTCAGCGTATGGTATTCACCGGTGCTCAGAAGGTCTTTTGACAACAGCACTTGGGCATGGTCAGGTCCAACGTCGCTCAGGGCACAAGGCATAATTTCAGAGAACATTTCGAAAAAGTTACTTGAGATAAAGGCTATCATCTACAGACTGAATAATATTTCATTGGTGTCAGAGAATCCAGCCGCTATCCTGCCATTATCACCTACGGAGGTATTGGGTTGGACCTTATGATTATAGCTAGGGTGGTAACGGCCTTCGTTTTGTGATTCGACGAGTCCTCCGCGACACCGCTGCGTCGGTGTTGGTGGCGTCGTTATCCTTCTCGGATAGTTCCAAGAAAAGAGTCTCAGGTGTGCGCGGTGGCATTCCTTCCCCGGATATGTCGCTGGAGGATTCTTCTAAAGCTGATCTATCAGGTATCGCAGATCCATAATCCTCGGTCGGTGAGAATACTCTAAATGGCTCTAAGCCATATCCTGCTGGCGAATATGATCTTGGCACTCGTGAGACCATTGGTGATCGTGGTAGTAGTCGTGGTGGTGGTGGTGATGGTCGTGGTCGTGGTGCCTCCCAGATCGTTGAACGCCTTTTGCGCTCCTTGCGCACTATTCCACCTTCCATTGGCGATCCCCAAGAGACTGTCCTATGTTTAATGCGCATCGTAGGCCCGGCAGTATATTCTTTATCCCTATCCCGCATGGATGGGGGATACTCATCTAAGGCCGGCTCCGGCGCATGGAAAGCTAATGGTGAATGCGGTCTGGGCGGCGGGGACATCGCTCTGGGCGAAGGTGAACTTTCAGAGGAAGATTTGAACATGTGAGTTGTGTCAGCCCGCTCCTTTGACCTTCGAGATGGCGGATGAACCTTCGCGCGGCCACCACCAACACCCATCGTAGTGAGACGTAGCATTGGCAGTTCTTCGCCTTCCGATGGCGATACTTCTCCTGAATGTGCTCCTGACGTGCTTGCCTCGATGATTCTACGACGCGGGTTTGGTGTTATCGGTTCCGCGGCCATATGACGTGAATGCGGTTGATAATTCATGGAAGAGGGAGGTGAGTGGGGGGAGTAAGGAGCAGTCGAAGGAAACATGGCGCGTGAAGTAGTCTTCATCGAAGAGACAGAACCAAGAGAGTTCCAGGCTGATGGATATTGTACGATAGGCGACAAGGAAACATTTGGTGGACCGTGTTGAATAGACGTATAGCTTGCCAACTGCTGACCTCCGGCTGCGTAAGATGGTGGGAGAGACGAAGGGTGTTGGGACTGAGCGCCGCCATAGAAGCTACTTCCGACCCGGATCTTGGGATAATATTCATTTCCTGTTGATGTATACGAGGGAATTTGTGGCAATGGGCGGACCTTCGGCTCATTGGTCCCAAGAGGAAGACTGCTTCTTAACCACTCTGCCCTGGGTTCATAAAGAGAGTTATTGTATACTGGCTCCTCGGGGAATGACGTAGGGTGGACACCGTTCGCACGGTATGGTTGCAAATGAGCGATGCCAGATTCGGGCGGGAGGTAAGGAGCAGCCAGTTCACGAGATGTGTCCGATCTAGTTATCGCTGGATTATATGCGGCAGAGTATGTATCCGATGTTTTCGCGGTTGATGGGTACGACTTTTCTGCGTTTGGTAGGCGTCTGAGACGTTTTGGTAGAGCAAAGGTCTCGTTGTAGGTCAGCCTGAGGGACCGTTGCGGGCCTACAGTTCCAGAGTATGCGATAGGAGGGGGTTCAGAAGAATGTCGTTTGTGACCCAACCGAGACTTGATCGGTTCTTGAGATGAGATGTTCGAGTTGGGAGTAGTCGCTTCCTAAAAAAAAGAGTTGATCATAGCAAATAAGAAGGGTAAATACGTACCTGGGAAGTTGCATTCCGAGATGAGGTATAGGATAGATTCTCGTTAGCCACATAAATGTGAGGTCGTTTTAAGTGATCTGCAGGAACGAGTGCCTGCGAAGAAACCTGATAACTAGAGACCCTTGGCATACTTCTCTGAGAACCATACGTCGGATGATATTCAGGTTGTCTCGGGGATAAAGTCTCAGATTCGCCTAGGCTTCGTAAAAGGGATTTAAAGGAAGGCAATTTAGACCGTCTCCCCCACCCTTTGTATCCGATACGGGCGGATTTTTGTAGGCGTGAGGTGTGGCTGATTTTCGTTGCAACTTAGCTGGCTTCGGGCTCACTTGTGTAGGCGTGGAATAACCAGAGGCAAGGGTATTGTTAAGTCGCGATTGCATATTGATCGGCAGTTCTACAAGCTCTCCAGTGTATCCAGGAGACGCAGGTTGACTGCTCGTAATGTAGTGGCCTGTTGTACCCGTCGAGTATGTTGACTCTACGCTTTGTCCACGCGAAACGGGCGCAACGCTTGCACCTCTGTGAGCACGATTGGTGCTAAAGTAAGTCGGAATTCCCACGGGATCAAATCTATCATATTGTTCATCCTCTTCGCCGTCGTTCGAGATGGCTTCTGCGTGAGCGTGGTGCGTTCTGCCACCCGAGACTACATTGGAGGAGTGAAATGCACGCATAATTATCTACTATTAACTATAGAAATGAAGTTGTTTGGTGAGTGCCACCTTTAAGAAACCGACTGCACTTACTATCTGCGAAGCGCACTTCAGAGACACGACTTCAGAGTCAATATTGGACCTTGTTTCTTATAGAACTCAGTGAAGTGACTCGAGAGAAAGAAATGGTGGCTGCTGGACGACCGTCAATGTGGTTGAAGACAGTCTCTGGTCAGCGTCTAATTGCCCGTCCAGGTGCCAGCAAAGAGCGGTAGGCTGGATGGTCGAAATTGACCAAAAACTAGAAGGCCAAACCATACCAAGTGGGTTGTAGTCAAGAGTTCAATCTCGGGGCACCTCTTTTGAGACGCTCGCTGTCAAGTATAACAGGAAATTATACCCAAAATATTGATATAGTCAACGTACATTGGCCTCATCTGTTACATGTCATAATGAAGTTGGCTCTGACAGCAGTCCTAAGAGAATCAATCGTCGTGCCTGAATTTGGAGGATGTTTGTGTTTTTCCTACTTTCCAACCAAATACAATCCTCTGACGTCTTCCGAATTTGTTGCCCTTTGACCCTCTAGACGAATCTTGAGAGGGAGACGTTTCTGGTATCCTCTCTGGCGATTGTTTTTTGCGAAGCCCGAAGCTTAGCCCTCTCTTCAAACTCAAACGCCTTGTTATCGTCTTTGAAGGGTATGGTGGGGAGTCACTCTGACTCTCTTCTGTCGTGGAGGACAGGCGTGACGGTCCGGGATTTGCTATTGGAGATATCGCAGGTGGTATCCCCCAGTGTAGAACTTGGTCACCTGGTGGGTAGTAGAAAACTTCTCGAGACTGAATTGAGTGTCGTTGATGGTTAAGTTCAAACCTAGTTGTGGGTGACGGTGGAACAGTATTTGTGCGTTGGGGTAGGCCCGAGCTGCTCCAGCCTGAGTTAGAGTTATTATTAAATGAATTGGAAGACGAGTGTCTGTGGGGTTTAAGCTCAGCCGGTAATAGAGCTGGAGAAGGTTTACCTGCCAGATTGACCGTCTCTGAGTAGCCACTCGACACGGTCTTGTAGACCTGGTGGTAATTCAAAAGGGCCACGAATCATGGAATTAGAATGGTGGGGACTCCCATATTGGCTGCTCATAATGCCGTTTACAGTGCGGAAGAGATCGAGTCTGTATCGTAAGAACTAGATTGCTGGGTCGGTTGAAGTGACGGAACATATCGAGGCACCCAGGCAGAGTAAGTCGAATAGGCCGGAAATGAATCTCGTGGAGTGAAAGATTCGAAAGAGTCTGAAGCCAGAATAGGTAGGCGCTTAGGACCGACTTTGCGACGCGAACGTTCCATGAGATAATTAGATCAACGCAGTGTATTGGGACCAAATCACTACGGGAGACCTCTAATAATTGCGCCCGGGGCCCTGCCCCTTCTCGGTGTCGTCCCCAGACCCTCAGTAGAGAGGAGTGGGAAAGCATTGGTATCAACTATGAAGGATGAAATTGATGGAGACTAAGCTCGTTTTCAAGGGACCACCCAGGTAAGCAAGTCTGACCAGTATTATGAGGCCTTTTCTCAGAGACGTTTGGGCCATGAAGTATCAAACATTATATTTACTGCTTCGATGGCGATACGGTTCTCAATGCTATGGCAAGATCGTGAGACAGTATACCGATAGAAATAGAAGAAATAAAGGTACCGCGCGCAATGGAGCAAAGAGAATAAAAATCAGTGATGATTACTTTCCCGAGTTCTCGTCCAATCTAGCAAGCTCCACCTCGTCGTGAGAGTCGGATTCCCAATCTTCTCCAAGGTCCAACAAGAGGTGGTCCGGTGTCGTGGGTGGTGACTCGGCACCAGTCCATGATACAGAGAGCGCACTCGCGCCACGAATGTATTCATGAGCTCGTGAGAGGCGAGGTACCTTGTTGCTCCCTTCTTCAGCTTCGAGTGACAAGTGGGGGACCAATGGCGAAGACCTTGGCGAGCCATTAACAGTTCGTGCGGTAGGCTGTCTCGTCATATCGAGAATTGATTCTTGTGAGAGTGATGACGTGTGCTTCTGCCGAGGAGCTGAATGGCGGGCACGTCCTTGGCTCGTTCGCCGTCTCTTGGGATAATGCTCGTGCTCTGCCAGTGTCGACTCTTTGGGGAGACTCGTGGCAAGATAGTGCGGCCGTAAAGGAGACCCCACTGGGTTCCATGTGGACATGAAGCCTGGCCGTGCGTGATCGTCTCCATTGCCTGTGGGCAATATTATATTTGTTCGAGAGGGTGTGGCTGGTGGTGTCTTGAGGCTCTGCGCTGTTGTTGTACCTACACAAGAGTACGAGTAGGCAGCATCAATTGGGGTTTGATTAACGGTCTCCTGGGTCGGGGGGCAGGTGGAAATTTTAGGGGATATTCCCACCGGCAAGGGGTAGGAATCGATTGAGGAAGGGGTTATAGAGGCAAGTTGTATCTTTTGTCAACATTTGTGAGTGTCTTTCAACATCTCGGAAACTACATACCCGTAATGGCTCCTTTGTATTTACTGAGAGTGAGTCCGCCCTTTGTATTCGAAGAGGTCCAGAGCTTCTCAAGGTAGACCCAAGCAGTGACGGTGCTGCAGAGGGTGCCAGCCCGTGGCCATCCAGATCAGCCTTGGCCAATACGTGATCCGCATCAGACTCCTGCTTCAAAGGTAGAGTAGATGAAGAGCGCAGTTGTCCAACACTTTGTAGAAATGTATCAAAAGACGGTAGTGCTCCTTGCTGTGTGGCATTTGGAGGCCGAACATAGGAAGATACATTCTGTTCTGCTAAATTTGGAGCTGGAGGTGCAGGGCTGGTCGCAGGCTTGGTATCCAGGAGGTGGCTGAGTCGCGTCTCCTGACACTCGGTTAGTTCCGTATACGATGTCGAGGCTCCCGGAGAGGCTGCTTGGCTAGTTGTAATGAAAAGATCCGTAGTGACAGATGAATCAGTCGATTCCACACTCTGAGCACGTGAGTATGGTCCACGAATGAGCAGGGATCCCGGCTTTCGAGAGGAATCTATAGAGGAGCGAGAGACCTTAAACCCTATGAATATATCAAATGAGTCATAGGCTTCGTTTGTCTCGTCGTCGGCGTCGGCGTCTGCTTCGAAGTCCTTTGGTCGGCTGTCCAGTAATAGTTTAGACATATACAGGGTGGATATGAAGCTGTATAGCACCCTAGGGGTGTATTGACTGCTTGTAGCTGTGCTCTCACTCCTGGGCCAGTCCTTACCTCAGCACCTGCGGTCACAAAGACCGTGTAACGGCCTTTTGTGACTTTGATGTAGGTGAGAACTCGCTATTTCTTGCCCTTGAACCGTGCAATCAACCGCTGGGTGAAGGCCACTGAACGTGGTTGGGATCAACGACCGCCTCTTCCGGCAGCCTCTTGTCAGCGCTGGATGACAACCGAAAACATATGTAGAAAAATTCCTAACACCGAGGCTTATAGTTGAATGGATTCTAAACAAACGCCCGTGCAGGTCACGTGTTGTGGACGATTCAAACGTTGGACTCCCCGCCTTCCACTGACCTGCAAGGCTTGTACTGTTAACCCAACAGCAAGGACGAGATTTGGGCTGTAAACGGGATATTCCTTTATCTATCTATCATCTTGTACAACATCGTCGCGCAAGGGCCATCCAGAGACGATCAACACGAGGTGGGTCCATGTCTCCTTGATTGACGCAAATCTCTCTGCTCATCCACACCTCTCTTCAGCCTGAGCAGCTTGCATATTTAACGCGATGACTGATGTGGAACGACCTTTCGACTCGGAATCCTTCCATGGCCACCCAATGGTCAACCAAATCTTCGAGCCAGCCTCGATGGAGACGTTCAAGTCCTCACACGAGAGAAAATCAAAGCTGTCTAAAGAGTAAGTAGATCATTTCACTGTATTTCTGCCGGTCTCAACATGCTACACAGCGCGCTTCATGCCAAGCTGGAAAGGGAAAATCGACGTCAGGAGAAACAAATGGAGCGCCACAAGATGCACCAAGATGTCAAGGATCGACTAGAACAAGAACAATACCAGAACGAACACACCCAACGCCAAATGCACCAGCTTCGCGACTCGCTTCAAATTCGGCGCACGCATGCCGACAAGGCTGAACAGGATATCGAAACGCTCACCGCAAGTCTTGCCGCAGCTGCTGAACAAGAGGAAAAGATGGCCGTCGACCTTGCCAAGGTCCAAGTGGAAGTCAACGCGTTCCAAGGAAGGATGAAAGCGGCACAAGAAGAAGTACAACGAGCCCGGGATATGATCGAAGAAATTACTGCCGCAAGAGACAAAGCCCGCGAAGAGGCGCGTCAATTACGTGAGGAACGGAGAGAAGTGTCTGAACAAAAGAGACTGGATGAGGCTCGACGCGAGGGCATGATGAAGGGCAAACTGGAGGGCATGTATCTTGGATGGGAAGATGGAAAAGTTGAAGGGTACAAAGAAGGGCGGAAATATGGCTCGCAAGATCAATACGAGCATATGCGGAACAAGCAGTGGGAGCCGCTGCGACGAGAGTTTCCCAACTATGATCGTTTCGAAGAGCGTATTCCCTCCCCGGATAGCACCTACGATGGTCGAATCCCCGAGAGGCTACGATCTCTCGAGGCTCCCATCATCATCCCGCAAGTCCAAAGAAACCTCAACCTCGCAAGAGTGTACCACCACCGCTAAGCGTTCAATTTGACGAGCGAGACCGCATGTTCTTGCAGCCAGTGCAATCGTCTCCAGAATCGATACATCAGACGCTCCCACCTCCCGTACCGATGCCGCGCCCACCATCACGACATGCCGACGAGTTTACAGAAATGCGTAACGTTCGTCCAATCTCCCAAATGACCGAAGAACGCCCAACACATACCCGCCAACGCTCGATATCCCACCGCCAAAGCCCATTTTCGAAACGGATGAAACTCAGTGGAGACCTCCACCACGGCCTGATGCAATTAGGCGGGATGGAACCTTCCGAAATATTGGAGAACGGTTCAGGAGGAAGCCAGAGGAAATCACTCATGCGCCAGAAGATATGGATTTTGCGCCAATCGCACAATCATTACCCTACCCAAGCGTAGCGACGCCTTTACCACACAGAGAGACGATACAACCTGGACGAGCCATGCCATCTCCAGGGCCCTCACTCTATAATTATGGAAGGAGACGAGAAGAGGAAAACGACGAGGCATTCTTCCGAGAACAGGAACGGCGAAGACGGGAGATAGAGAGAGAGGATGCAGAGTATCGCGAAAATCACTCGGGCGGCAAGCCTACCATGTTCCGTCGTCTTACGCAAAGAGTGAGAGGAGGCAGCACCTCTCAAGTACCTTATGACCCAACGGATCCCCGTGCATACCAAGACGTGGTTCCGACACCTGACGCCGACAAGTATCACAGCGTAGAACCATCTCCTGCTCCTTCTCCTGCTCCTTCACCCGGTCGCAACTTTAGGGATCTCAATACCCCTATTGTTCCGAAGCCCTATCAACCACCACCTTCACCACAGCATGGTCCTCTAAGTGCTATCCCGGACAACTATATTCCGCATCTCGAAGGCGATGGAGGTATCAGTTTGCCTCCCCCTCACGAAATGCATGGGAGTGCCATGCAGAGTGCCATCACTCTCGCCGTTGGAGGGAGCCGCAACCCTAGCAGGAACCCAAGTCCAGCACCAAGTCCACAGCAGCGTCCGAGGAGTGTTCAGGATAATCGAGATATCAGTCCTTCCCGTCGCATCCTTTCAAACATTGGCGGCAGTGTGAAGCATGCCGCTAGCGCGGTGGCCCATTCGATACCATCACGTTCCAAGATGAATGCAGAATTCAGAGGTCGAAGCCGGAGTCCTGCCCGAAGTCGAAGCCCTCAAATAGTTCAGATTCCCAGAGACAGATCAAGGTCTCGCTCTCGTCCTCGAAGTACAATCTTCGACGACCCTTATATTCACCCTGTACAACGTCAACCAGAGGATATTCAAATCGGGCCAGATTTGTCGTTTGGGGGTAGCTCTGAGAACATCGACGCTGATGGTGCATTTGCCTCCCGTGGCCGAATGCCTGTGCGAAATAGTATGGCAATGTCACAGATGACTGGCAGGAGCTCCCCTATCAGCCAGATGTCCATTCTGTCGATGGGGCCATCCGGCGCGCTGGGACTCAGTCGTGGAGGCGAGGGTCGTGAGTTGGGTTTAGCGACGTATCCGAATGTCAGTGCAACCAACCTCAGTATGATTGAAGAGGAGCGCGGAAGACATAGCAGCTACAATCGATCCCCTAGCCCCGACTTTCCCCATCAACCTATGCCCGGCTTTGGGCATGAAGGGCTATCATCCTTTTCTGGTCGACCATCTGCTGGACAGCGTCAGTACAGTGATAGCACTATTGGTGTGCGAGGTGCTGGCGAAGATCTTGGTGGTGGATGGGAGCAGAATTCTAGACATCCTCCACATACGCCATCTTCAATTGCTGGCCCTGCTGCTCCTGTCAAAACCCCTCGTCCAATGGATCCAAATCATCCATGGAGCAAACGACCGACTCCGTCAAAGCTGATGATGCCAGCGCTTCTCAGTCCACAATCCCAAGCATCGTCATCAAAAGGTGGCTTTGCTGGCATCGGAGCAGGAGGTGGATACGGTGCACATCGTCGAGCCGCTAGTGCCAGTGTCACTGGGCTCGGTCTCGGTGGGCCTCCAAGCTTTGCGAGCCCTCAAGCTTCCTTCCGCTATGTAAGTCTCGTCTCTCCTCCCGCGTACGCTGCTGACGATTTGACAGTCTGTTGCAGGCTCGGTAGCCGGAAGCGAAACTGGCAAGCCTCCTATAGCACCTAAACCGCAACCACCAGTCCGACGGAGTAAGACTGGTGCCATCATCCTGGATGACCCGCCACCGAACGAGAATAGCCCGTATCAGAACCCCGGTCATGTAGCCACACGCTCATGGAGCGGTGAACAGCGTCAGATCGGCCGTACAATGCCCTCTCGATCGCGGGGTGACTCGAACACACACCTCGTAACAGTCGAAGAACGTTCTCCGTATATACAAGGCCCCGAAGCCCGAGGATCGACAGGATCGATCCAGAGCGTCCATTCCAACCGCCTCAAATTTGATGAAAATAACTATGTCGACCCTGCATTCCTCATCGAGCCGGATATCCGTACTGCTGTCGAGCAAACCCTGGCTCAGCCTCCGCCACCTGCTGATGAACCTCCAAAGGCAGTCACAGCGAAGCGAGCAAAGAGGGTTTCTAATGTCCTTCGTTTTGGAAAGAAGAAGTGATTCTGTTGTCCGCAATGTAATCAAGATGGCTTTGCAAACCAGTAACGATGATACAAGAGACTGATACGTCTAGAACATTTGCCTGATCACGGATCTGACCTCCTTGAGGATTCCTTCACAATGTGCAGCATTTTCTCCCGACAGCTCCTTGAGGTATCGCTCGATCGTCGAGTCGACAATGTCAGCCGGGAACTCGCGCCGTGACAGGGACGTGTGAGGGCGAGTAGCCTCCTGGACCCAGTCGCGAAGGAAGAGAGCGATATCCATTAAAAGAAATTGGAGTGCTTTGGGACTGTTGAAAGGTGGTACCTGTATGGAATGTCAGATTAAGTGCTATATTTTGAAGTCTCTGCTTACCTGAGAGTCGTAAAGGGACCGCAATCTAAAGGGAAAAAACTCGTCAGACACGAGCAGAGGTGTGTTGTGAGACTTACGCAGTGAAAATGTCGCCTGGGGGAACGCCGCCCCTCATCAAGAGACGTGGAGTCCAAGCAGGCGGCAGACTGAAACGGTGCTCCAGACCAAAGGTCTCAAGCTTGACAGTAATATAATCTAACCAATTATCAGAGACCCTTTCAACTCGATAGCACGGATTTATACCAAGGGGAAAGGCGGTTTCCGAGGGGCACAATCTGGACGCCAGCTTGACAACCTCGGCCTCGAGAGCCGAACTTTGGCCAGAGATACCTTCTGACTGATATTGCACAAGCGCTATTGGCCAATGAGCAAAATGTCGCGCCCTCTGAAGCTGACGTACCATCCGTAAAGATTTCATCCCATGTACTTCGTATCAGTGCATCATCATGGAATCCAGAGACATGAAAGATGAGAAGTTTCATATCAAGGAGGTTGAGCGGATTGGCATATAGCTCATAGAGCTAAAAAGTATCAGCGTGCATTCAGAGCTTGCACAGATTTCTAACCTGAGAGATTGTCAAAAGCGTGCCTTCTAGCAGCTCCATGCCACCCCAGGCATCTCCAAGAGCAGCAGCGCCTCCCTTGAGGATAGCGAGCTTTTGAACCTCTGCAAGAATCTCTACTTGAACTGCAGCCACCTCCAGATGCTCTTCTGCGATGGTGAGGAATTCGACGCCACTCTCGTGACGAGAGAGCTCAGAGCCGGCATGTGAGCGAGCATTCGACACTGCCAGCGTCAAGTATTCCTGGCGATCTGCAAGACTGATCGACAATCTGAATGGAATAGTGAGCACCTGACGGTGTATCTCAATAATATATACGTACTCTGGCGTCTTGGCGAGCTCGAATAGGACATGGGCAGCTCGGAGGTACAATCCATTCTTCACGTAATACTGCCAGAGCAGCTGAAGCTTATCTCGAGAAAACGGAGTGCTCGAAAGGTGCTTTTCGATAAACGGTGTCTGGGCCTTGAAGGATGTTAGGTATGGGAAGCCAAACAGCACATGCACCTACGTTGAGTAGCACATCCGATAGACCCTTTTCCATACACCAGTCATACAACCTCGAGTGAAAGGTAGCATCCGAGTTGGTGAGCGCCACATTCCAAGCCTCATTTCGCAAGCTGTTGGCCAGCTCAAAGTCCGCTTCGCTCGTCGCGCTCTGAGCACTGTTAAAGAGCTCTAGCGACTCGAGCGCGAGTGTGTAACAGCGCATTCGAACCTCCCATGCTTCTTTGAGAGCCGCAGCGTGATCTGGACCCACACCCTGTCCATACGGGTTGAGCGTAGCGACCGACCCCTGCGAAACGGTATCGTGATCGACACGCTGAGGAGGCCGCCATTCCAAGGCCAGATTATCGGGGTCCCAAGCGACGGCACATCGTAGCGGCAATTCGACTGCACCAATCGGCCATCGAAGGTCTCTAAACTCTGAGACAACGTCGGTCAATGCGTGTAACGACATGTTGCTGATGCCTTTATCAAAGAGCCGTAGGGCTTCGGCCATGCAATTCTGCCGTTCCTTTGATAATGGTGGCAACTCTTTTGCCTTGCGCAGGTTTTCCATTGCCTTGTACTGCATCACGTCGTCTGAACTACAGAACGAGCCACATCGTTGTTGTAGGGTCTCGCTAATAGCGTCGAGCTGGATCAAACATCAGAAAAGAAAGAGAAGCAAGATAGAATGCCATACACCAATCTGATAACTTAGCTGCTGGTTTATCACGGCATTGAGTAACGAACGAGCGACGTCGCGACCTTGCTTCGAGGTCACGAGATCACAATAAGTTAGGCGTGCAACAGCATCTTGTGTCTGCTTGTCACAACTGTGAAAATGTCAACATTGAATGAGGAGGGTCGGCCAGGTGCTCACCTTGCAATGACGTCGGAAATTTTGTAGTCAATCAAAAAGAGCACAAAGTTGATGGCCTCAATGGTTTGCGAGAGCAAATTTTGGAGTTGCGCCATTGAGGTAGCCTCGCCTTTCCAAGCTTCTTGCTCTGTCGATGGCCTGTTGAGCCCAAGCTCGTTTGCCGAGTAGTTGAACGAGTGTTGATTCCTAAGAGGGGTTAGTAAGGAATGAGAACACTATAGATTGACAAACGCTTGGATAAACTCTTGTAAAAAGTTGAGGTTTCGTTGAATGGAGAAAAGGAGTTGGTCAGAGACCAGGCTCTCTTGTCGCCCCGTAGCGCTGATCCAAAATCAGCTTCTGATTACTCCAGCCACTGGAAACTCACTTTGCGTTTGTGACCTTTTCGTTCCAAATCGGACGCAAAAGCCGCGCCATGTACAACGCCAGTCCCTCACGACGACCACTGTAGATAACTTGACCGTGCGCGTCTGAAGTACCAGAGACTGCACCGAATGCTCCTCGATCGATCCAAGCGGGCTTTCCACCTCGTTCAAAGAATGCCTGCGAAGCCAGATTCGAAATTCGGTAATCTTTGCCACTGCCTAGAATGGTAGCGCCACCAGTCGCAGAGTAGGAGCTCGGTTCACAAGCCTCGGGTGATAGGAAGGAGTTTCCAGCGGCTAGTGCTAGCAATTGGGCGCACGTCTCGTCGCGCCCAAAGCTAAAAGAGTACGTAAGTATAGATGAGAGATGATAATAAATGAACTACCTGTCGCTAAACGAGGATAGTTCCGTCTGGCCAGGGGCGCCGCCAATAACAACGCCAGCATCCGAGTCGATAATACCCTTAAGGATATCCGAGGGACGCTTTCGCACCACAAACGAGAGTGCAACATTGCTCAAGACAGCAAATTGATCCGGAGGTTCTGTAAACTGGGTGACGAGCGAGTTGAGTGCGCTCGGGTACGAGGAACCAGTGACATAGATCGAAGGGGTGGTTGCAGACCGGGTAATGGACGACGCCTTGATGAGCCTCTTGAGAGCCCACGTCCGACCCGCGACCTGGAACGCGTCCGAGTATTCGTAAAGGGGGACCCTCTGCGCAGGATAAGGGTTGTAGAGACCACTCGTGCTATGTCCTGGCGCCGTCACCAAACCTGGACCTCCTGCAGTCGCCGCACTGGCTTGGGCCTTGATCAATGATCCCATATCAACACTGGCAGCGACAATAGGATTACTGTCCGTAGCTTGATCAGGAGCATATGCACAGACGAATGCGCCATTTGTGCAAGCAGACTGTGCAACTTCTCCCAGATTGGAGGTTTCGGTTTGCGGTGGGGGGAAGCGGAGATGGATTGCACGGAATCCCCCACCGTACAAGGAGGCTCGCCCATCGGAGAGATAGATTCGTAGACCCGTAAAGGTGACGGCAATCAAGCATATTGAACGGGACTCTGCTCTTGGAACGACATGAAGACTGAGGACGCCGAATCCATCCTTGGACACAAACTTGCGTGCAGATGGGTTTGGTGGGAGCAAGGGATGGATCGCTTGGAAAAGGGACGAAACGACGCCAATAGGAGCAAACTGATTGCTACCGGGTTGACCTAGAGAGTAGACGGTGATGGAATAGTTTGTCTGGGTGTACGCGTAGAGATAATGACGCTCGTCGTCAACGGCAAGGAGAACAATTTTGTCTATTCTGGTCAGACGCCGGCACTATGTGAGTAACAAACGTACCGGATTGCTTGTAACTGAACAATGAAGGGAGAATATTTTGGAGGGCACCAATGGTGAGGTTGTTGAGCCGTATCTTTTTAGTGAACCAGCCTTCCTCGACTTGATAAAGCAACTCGTAGAGATTGCCATCTTCGACGCCGGTCATAAAGACACGGCCGTCCTGGGTACCAACGATGTTGTCCATGTCACCATCTGTAGGAACCGACATGTCTGTCTGGTACAACTTGATCTCACCGGTTGCGGCATCCTTGGACAGGCCGAGGAGGAGAAGATTGGCCTTTGTCGCAATGACGAGCAGCCATTCGATAGCGTCGATAAAAATGCCGGCCTTTGGTCGCACGAGGGCGACCGAGGTAATGTTATTCGGTTGTTCTTCATAGCGAAGGAATTCACTCCTGTAAACGCTGTCATGGCGCGTTTCCCAACCAAAACAAGGGCTCTTACCCAGCGGAATAGTCCCAGAGATACAACTGGTGGTTCATTGTAATGTATGCACAGTGAATTTCAGGTAGCAGATCCATGCCGCATGCTTGGGGGACGACATTGAGCTCGTCAAGGAGCGCGGGCGGGAGTTGGACCGTTTTCCGAATGAGAAACGGGAGCCACGCGTCTGAAGGCGTGTCTGTATAGGCTGCAGATGATGGGTTTCCTCCTGCAAATGCAAATGGCCGATGAGCGACATGGCCAACATATTCTGTGCAGCGCTGGCTTGCCTGAGAGTGCGCCGAGGGCAACGTCGAGGTCTGGAACGCGTGCTGCATCTGCCTGAATATGCTCCTTGATGGTCTTTGCAGCCGTCTCGAGGTCTGCAATAGGCACCGACGCGTTTAACTTTGCAGAGACGGGCATCGTGGAGTCCAAGGCTTTGACAAGTTTAAAAAAAACAGTGGAATACAAGTGTAATAGCATGTAAAGTAAGCAGCACAGGTAACTAATCCAAGTTATGAAGTGACGGCCGTGTCGGTAATTTCGTTGAGCGACGACGAGATGAGCGATCCCAGTGTCGGATGGTTTGGTAGATTTGGCAGCGACGGCGATGGCTCTCTGGCAACACCAGCAGCATTATTACTTGTATCGACATTGGGTTTCTTCCACTGCCTGCTGCTCGCCCGCATATGGCCCGACGCACTCCCAGACGGCGGGATACTTGTGGGCGCAGAGGCTTGGACAAGACCCGCCATAACATTCCCAGACGACGCAGAGATAGATGGTCGTGCTCGATGGCCAGCTGCGCGCGAGTTGACGGCCGCAATGACCTGCTGGGCGTCCGGCCCATCGTATGGACGCAACACGACCACGGAGTCACTCGTAGGCGATGTAAACTGAGGCGGTGGATTCACCAGCGTCGACAAATAGGCCTTTTTGGCTGTAAAACACGCCGTGAATCAGCACGCACTCCAAGAGACAACAGATAGACTGCACGTACCAACAGCAGCATCATTAAACACAATCAACAGGCTCGTATCGTCGATCCATTTAATCTTAAACCCGCCCCGGTCATTCTCATACTCGGCGAGCGCTGCTTGAATGTCACGCGTCTTGAGATTGCTCGAAAATCCAGACAAGGAGAGGATCCGCGTTACGCATGCAGATAGAGACATGGTGGTAGAGGACGAACGAAGGTGGGAAGCACAGCGGACTAGTCGTGGCGAGTTCAGAGTTAGAGCAACCACCTGACGCGGGTGACAGCGAAAGAACGGTACATGGCAACTGTGTACATCAAAATTATTATAATTACCCTAGACTATCGCGACGTTAGCTCTAGCGGCTCCGGCTCAGATGAGAGCACCGACGTCCCAGGAGGTGCAAAGCTCGACGCCAGCGGCGACGACGAAGTCGAGTCGGACCGTTGTCGCTGATGATCTGTCATGCTCCCAGTCCGCCGTCTTGTCAAACTCTTCTTGCGCGCCAGCTCATCCCGAGCCACCAACGACAGAAGCGCCACCGAAGCCGGAGAGCTCGAATTCACGCCTTCCATCGACGTTCGTCGCGATTCTCCGCTTTCAATCGTCGTCGTCATTGGTGCAATTGCCACAGTCTCCGGCGGAGTAGTTGTCGGTTCAACCGTCGGTGCTTGGCTGGGGGCGTCTTGCAGAGGAGATGCCTTAAGCGGCTCTGTCGACGTCTTCTTCAAAAGCCGATAAATGTTTCCGATGCCTTGCAATCGAGAAGTCGTCGCTGTTGCTTCTTCTTTCGGCTGCGCAGCTGCAGGTTCAAATGGCGCGGAACCCATGGACATGACTTCGTTGCGGTGTTTTGCGTGTATACCAGGGATCGTCATGGACATGGCTCCATAGGCCGGTTGCGAAACGATGGGCTGTGGCTTCTGAGAAGGTGAGGTCGACGCAAACGTATTCTCAAGAGGTCGGAGGGCCGGTGATGCATCCAGTCGAGTCTCGACGACAATGGGCGCAGTCTTTGGAGTCGGCGGTCTATTGTAACGTGAACCCATATACTCGTCGAGATCGACCCCACGCGCGTTTCCGACAGAATCCGACCGTCCCGTCCTCGTTCTTGCGGGTGACGTAGACGGTAGTATTTGTTCACCTGAAGGGTCCACTTCTGCATTAAACTTGCTCGCCAGTACCGGACCAGCCGATTGGCGACGACTTTTATCGGCAGGTACCTCGAGCGGTGTCCCTCTGCCAACATCCGAAATGACTCGTTCACGATCCTCTCGCTGACGCCGCTCGGCAACCACTCTCCGCATGTCGTCAAACCCTCTGGAGATGCTCGCGCTCGACGGAGGCGAGGTAGAGGCAACATTGAGACCGAGCGTACTCGTAGATGGCGTGGAGGATATCGAGTTGGATCTCGATTCCCGATTCTCCGTCAAGTTCTTCTTCAGACCGGCCCACTGTGCGCCCCATTTTTGAAACGTCTCTCTCGCCTGTGCCACGGCCTTTGGATTCGATGCTTCCGCCGCAGACGCAGCAGCAGCAGCTCTCGAACGTAGGTTGTCGAGGAAGGACCCATTTGGTTTCGTATCCGTCGACGTATTGCTTGTAAACGTGCTGGATGTCGAAACGGGCTTCACTTGCTGGGTGGAAGACATATCCACCGATTGCGAGGCAGAATGTGACGCCCTACTCGGTGCCGGAGAAGGAGACGAACGAGGTGTCCCTTTTCGACTGGGGAGATTGAGCCCTTGATCCGCCTCACCCTCCATAGAATCCCTATTTGACGCGGGAACCGATGGCTCTCGAGGTTGCTTGAGTGAACTCGAGTCACTTTCAATCACACTGATAGGACGTCCTCGAGGAGAGGGAGTCTCCAACGCAGGTGAGGGAGGCTCGACCACGACGTTGGCAGTCATCGGGGTCGTCGTACCTGTTATTGGCTCGGTTTTCGGCTCCGACTGACTCTCTATCGGAAGAGAGACTACAGACGAGTCGGGACCTTTCGCAGGCATCACCTCGAGTGGTTCTGTAGTGAGCGGAAGTGCAGTAGTCGAGTAATGACCCGGCATCTTGAGGTTTTCCATTGAATCGTGGCGAGGCAAGGCTTCTACGACACCCATTGACTGGGTTTGCGATATAGTCGTTGCAGGCACAGTCGAGTCCGTTGATCTCAGTGATTGTCGTACAGCGTCAGCATAGATGCCTCCACGATGTCCGAAAGCCGATGTTTCGAAAAAGGCTATGTCATCATAGTTGGGCAGAACGACCGACTCGAGAATCTAGCGAGGTCAGTAGGGCACAAACTATGTTTTTATCAAGCTTACAATCTCCTTGAGCCGGCCCTCTATGGTCTTCAGTATCATTCCCCATGTGATCTGGCGGTCAGAGACCACAGGCTCGACTGCAAGCTCCATCTTGGGCATCTTGGTAAAGGCATACCAGATACGGTTACTCGGCGGAGGCTTCACTTTGCTGTTGATATGCAAGGTAAGTACACGCGAGAGAAGCAAGGCTTAAATGAAATATACGCACACGATGACGTTTCCTTCTAGTTCCCGGAGCACTATAGCAAGCACAAGCTTGACTTCGTAAGAGCGAAAGCGTGCTCCAAGGTTGATTGTTGCAGTCGTCTCGACCGTGATCCTAATTTCCCCTTTGTAATGTACACCTATTTCGACTGATGCATCTCCTTCTTTGGTAAGCTCTTTGAGCATCGGTTTGTAGAAAGTCGGGGCGGTGGAGCCAACCGAAACCTCCTTGACAACAATGTCATCCAGAAAGGAGGGCTTCTTGACTTTGGCCAATTTCTTCATGAGGCGACCAATGATGTAGTCCTCCATCGCAGCCGTTTTGTAAACCGAAAAGAAGAGACGACCGACTAGTGCATTTAGCCACCTCATTGGGATAGGATCGGGTTGTGTGTCGAGATGAGATACGAGATACTGCATGTGCTCTGTCGAGAACACGGGTTCGAGGGGTTCCAAAGGGACCGACGTCGTAGGATGCTTCGACGCGTGAACGAGAGCGTGGTACCAGTCTTCCATTTCCACCACAGAACGTACGAAGAGATACCACGGCGTGGAGAAGTCAAACGCCTCTTCCCTCGCAAGCTCGTTGGCCTCCTTCACCTTGTCAGCCGCCGTTTGCGCTGCCTCTGGTGTTTTGGCCATCGCGACAGCTTCCTGCACATCCTTGTCGTCGCTCAACTTCATTTCCTTTGAGACATGAGGTAGACCCGGACTTGGCGTCAAGTCGTTGGGTGAGAGTCGAATAGCATTCCGCTTTGTGAAGAGTTCTCCATCTAGTAGTCCGGGGGGATAGATATCCACGGCGTGTTTAGACATCTCCAGGGCGGTATGACAGTCGGACATGGCTTCGTCCTCATAGAGGAATAACACCGAGCCCTTGAGGACAGCAAAGTAGGTGTCTCGTGGCCGTGACTTCTTGGGATCTTTGGACCTAGAGTCTAGAATAGAGCGCATAATATCCATGTATGAGCCATCAAATAACCCTGTTTCACCGTCATCAAATGCACGCCTGACGGTGAGCCAGCCTTTGCGTGGCTTAGATTGTTGCGTCGGCGGCAGCTTTGCTGAATCCTTTTCACGTCGCTTTTCTTCTTCTCTTTCCTTTTCCTCGAATTCCTGTACAAGAGCTTGTTTCTGGCGCTTTGCCGGGTCCACATCGCCAACTGGCACGGATGTCCATAGCGCTATTGCAAACACAACAGCAAGGAGAAGAGGAAGAGCAGTAAGCCCTCCCAGAATATATGCGAAAAGAAATGCCAATACGCCCATGGTCCGAAATCGTCAACGACGTTTGGGACAAGAGCTCTGGCTTCAACGTGCCAACCGCGTCATACTCCAAACGGCCACTCACGTTTCACAATTTCGTTTCATATTGCACATATTTCTACATTTCTAAGGCTCACCGTAGCCTTTGGGATCAAACTCATAGAGCGGGTACACGGGTCTCCAATGCGCCTCTTGTGCTTTGGCACGCAGCTCTTCGACTGGAAAGTCGATCCTGGCAAGACCCTCATCGATCGCACATTGTGCCACTGCAACGGCGACCTCGAAGTTTGTATCCGGAGCGTCTGCAAAATCAGGTAGCAGAGGTGGAAGATCACCTTCAGCGTCCTTGATTTCTCCTTTATTTCCAGAGGCCCCTTGCTGAGATTTGAGTGCCGGAGAGAGCTCGGCTAGCTTCCTTGTCGCCGCGATGAGCATCCCATCTGAGACTTTCTTAGACCTGGATAAGATAGAGCCCATGCCAATGCCTGGGTAAATGAGAGCATTGTTGCATTCTGCGATTCTAGCATCATATTAGCGCTCATTCTCAAGGATATTTCCCCACCTACATTGCCTTGCCACCGTTGGGCAAATCACAAGCGTCGAAAGGACTGCCTGTTGCAATGAGTGCCCTTCCGTCGGACCACTTGATAATGTCCTTTGGCTCTGCTTCGACCAGTCTTGAGGGATTGGAAAGCGGGAGAATGATGGGATGCTTGTTGTTCTTTGCCATCTCTCTTACAACCTCTTCAGTAAACCCTCCAGCGTGTGTCGAAGTTCCAATGAGAACGGTAGCTTTGGAATGCTTCACAACATCGAGTAGACTTGCGCCGTTCTGGCCTTCCTCATCGCTCCGCTGAAATTCGGCCCAACCGGCATGATTGGTCTGGCTGACTATGGATACAGTAACCAGGCCATCTTTGTCGACCAGGTGAAAGCGCTTCGTCGCCTCCTCTTTGTCCAAACCGTCGAGAATGACCATTGCGTCACGAACTTGTCTTGCGATTCCTAATCCTGCTGATCCAGCACCGTAAACTACGATAGTCTGATCGCTCAACTTGGTCTTTGTAATTCCGACTGCCGACATGAGAGCGGCAAGGGTCACAGCTCCCGTGCCTTGTCTAAAGACGCATTAGATCATGATGGTCAAGAGAGCCTGGTGCGCATACACATCGTCGTTAAAGACAGAGTACTCGTCGCGATACAGATCCAGCAGCCTTTGCGCATTGGTCACACCTGTTGTGCGAATGAGCCGGGTTGCACAGGGGAAATCGACGCCTACCAAAGTCCTCAAAGTGAAGTATACCATCTGGTAGGTATTTGCGTACGAGCTGGACAAACTTGTCTACAAACTCATCGTACTCTCTGCCGCGGATTCGCTTATTCCTCCAGCCCTAGCATTCAATTAGAACCCTCCACGCTTCAGAAATGAGATCCTACAATATAGAGGGGATCGTTGAGAAGTTGTTCATTGTCCGTACCGACGTCCAGAGCTACTGGGAGAGAGCGTGCGGGATCAACCCCTCCAACCAAACTGATAAACAGTCAGAACGGCCAGAGGATAGCGACGACTGACGTGTAAATGACTGCCTTTGCGGTTGAAATCTGAAATTTGTGAGTTTCCGTGGACACTGTGATGTAAGCTTACGCCAATGCCTCCACAGCCTTGATCTCCGATACCCAGAATCGCTTCGGCGTCGGAAACGACGACCAGATCGATATTCCGACCTCTGATCTGATCTAGGAAGTCCTCCTCCATAGTGTCGGCATTTGGGAAGCTTAGGTAGAGACCTTCACTACGTCGAAAGAGGTGGGAATAGTTGGCGATGGCTTCAGCCTCTGTGGGAGTATAGACAATGGGCATGAGCTCCTTGAGGTACTTTTGCAAGAGGGCAAAGTATAGGACCCAATTTTGCGTCTTGAGACTCTCAAGAAAAGAGTTCTTTCTGATTGCAGACTCGCGCTGGTTCAGCTGAGCGTAGGCGCGTTCAATCTGCTCCTCTAGCGTGTTGACCTGAGGAGAAGGGGTAAGAATTGTTACTAATGAGTAGACAGATTCGCACCCTGCAAGGCAGCCGCCCACGAAGATTGAACATTCGCCGCTCCTCGTCAGTGAATGCGGATCCCTTATTCCACTGGGGGTCATTGAGCAATGCGCTGCCTTTGAGGGAGATTTTGCACGTCCTTGTTGACATTCTTGCTGCTCTCGCGGTAGAGAGGAGGAGAGAATGGGGCATTGGCTTTGGCAACGTCATCCACCACGCCTTAACAGGAGATGGACCGATCGGATAACGTTCTGGACCCAAAAATATACTTCAACGTTTATCCGCCGTCTCGTATGGCCATAACCGGCCATTGGCTACGTTTGATCGGTCTTGCATACTGACATACGTAGATATCGTTCTCCTGCTGTAGTTTCCAAATATTTTGAACTATTTCCAGGAAACGTTGCAGGTGAGCGGGGTAGCCCAAGTGGCGGCTAGTCTTTGTTTCCACCACGTCCACGGTTTTACTTCTCACTTCGTTTCAACGTAATTTCAACGTCTCTTCAGCCTCGCAATTGTACACTTTTGATCACAGAATGGCCGCCTGTACGACGAAGATCCTCGAGCTTCGCGGGTTCCATCAGCAACTCAAGACCAAGGATATCCAGACGGCGTTTGCCACCTTTGGAGAGTCCTTTAAGATCAAATGGATCGACGATAATAGTCTCTATCTCGTCTTTACTGATGCAGTCACTGGTTAGTCTTTGCTGGGCGCTGCATTGATTCATGCGAGCTGATTGCGGAATATCCAACAGCGAAACGCGTCTTTCTTCAGTCCCTGGGATCTATGCCACATCAATTGGTTCCTGCTCCCAATGCGACCATCTCCTTGACACCGTACAAAGGTCCTGACGCGCAATCAATCATCGCGTACACGCAGCGCGCTCCTCGTTCAGAGCGTACCAACTCGATGAGCGGTCAGCACCAGGTCCAGCAGCAGGTTCAACAACAGGAAGCCGCCCTCGCGTTGGCCACTGGCAATGTTAGCCCTGCCGTTTCAATGATGCTATTGGCCGCAGCCGCAGCCGGTCCTCCTGGAATGCTCAATGGAGCTATTAATGGAACGGGTTACTCTCCAGTATCGCCGCAGTCTTCGAACAACCTTCCGTTCCTCCAGCATCGCGGAAGCAATGGGAGCCTCCGTTCGAGCTTTAGTCAGGGTAGTATCCCCGAAAGTTATAGTATCGGATCCAATAATAGCATGCCCAGCATCAGCCCATCGTCGTCTTGGTCGGATGCTGCATCCAATTACTCCAACTATCGTCTTGGTGGTGGACGAAACAGCTCAATGTCACTCCACCCAAGTGGCTTCCCAATGTCTCGATCTGGTCTCGAGGACATTGCGGAGGCCTCTTCGCGAGAGGAAATGCCTTCACAAACCGTGTCGCGCGCCAACTCGATTATCCCTAGTCCTCTCAAACATTCAGCCAATATCGTAGTCACTGCAAGCACTCCACTTGTCGGAGAAAGATTTGAGAGCCAGCAGAGTGCTCATCCTATCGACAGTCGTCTCAGTTCTCCAGGCAAGCCTAAATCGGACACCGAGCGACCGGGAGGACCCTGGCTCTCTCGTGAGCCCTCTCCAACGCCCTCTCTTCCTAGTTTGCACGAAAAGGAGTCTATCAAGTCACTCGTTGATGGTGTCGGTAACCTTTCCCTCCAGAACCAGGCCAGCAATGACGAGATGGCTCTCTCGGACACGGAACGCTCGCCTTCAAACGGCATCAATACTCCTCCAGAAGGTAGAGCCCCTCCTAGGATTGGGAACCCAGGCAAGCGAATGCTAGGAGCTGCTCTAGGCATCCGTCACCCTAGTCTTCCCCCCCGCGTCATTCCCGGGTCGATGTCTGTAGCCAACTAATGAAGATTAAGGCGGGGTTTTCTTGCCTCTCCTACCCCAAGACTGTCCTCACTCGCTCCTTGTCGATCACTGTCGTCGCTCCACGACATACTCTTAGGCCCACAACCCCTTGTAGTATTCCGTATGCAAACCATGTATTCAACTCGTCTTACACAGCGTGCTGACAAGCCGTGTTCTGTGCGGTCGAATTGCGGCTGCCACGAATGACGCTATCGATAGCGCAACGTTAGTTGAACGATGATCAGCTGTGTCTTGAGAATAAAAGGGGCCACGCACTGTGCCTGCTTTTTCCCCCAAGTTTGACTATCATGAGTAGCTCAAAGCTCTTTACTCCCATCCGCGTCGGAGCCAGCAACCTTAGCCACCGAATTGTCCTTGCGCCTTTGACTCGATATAGGGCCAATCGTGATCACGTGCACGGGGATCTAGCTATCAAGTACTATGAACAACGGGCAAGCAAGCCCGGGACGTTGCTCATCACAGAGGCGACGTTCATCGCGCCTGAAGCTGGAGGATACCGAAATGTACCAGGTATATGGAATAATGATCAAGTAGAAGCCTGGAAGCGTGTGAGTATTACCATGATAGGAGCCCATTTGCGCGTTCTAACTCTTCAACAGGTCACGACCGCGGTTCATGACAAGCAATCGTACATCTATCTGCAGCTCTGGGCGACGGGTAGACAGGCTATGCCCTCCATACTGAAACAAGAGGGTGGATATCCGTATGTCTCCAGCTCCGATGTAGCAATGAAAGGGAGAACCCCTCCACGTCCGCTCACCAAGGATGAGATCAAAAAATATGTTGGACTATTTAGCAAGGCTGCAGAGAATGCATTGGAGGCTGGTTTTGATGGCGTGGAGGTGCATGGAGCTAATGGTAAAGTAGACGAGGATCGTCGACTTGTACTAATATGGATCGAAGGGTACCTCATTGATCAGTTCATCCAAGATGTTTGCAATAAGCGGACCGACGAATACGGCGGTTCCGTTGAGAACAGGACTCGCTTTGCACTCGAGGTCACCGACGCGGTGACACATGCCGTCGGACAGGAACGCACGGGTATTCGCCTTAGTCCATGGAGTACGTTTGGAGGTAAGCAACCCCTTTCTCTTCTCTTCTTTACTCAATACTGGATACAGATATGAGGGAACGTGATCCCATCCCCACTTTCTCATACCTCGTTCAGCAACTCTATGATCGATATCCACAACTCTCGTACCTCCATCTTATCGAACCAAGAGTTGGTGGGGATAGCGATGCCAGAGATGACGGGAAAACCGACACCACTCAAGACTCAAACGAATTTGCACGCAAGATTTGGAAAGACCGCCCTCTCATCTCTGCTGGAGGTTATCAACCAGAGACGGCGAAGCAATACGTAGAGAAGTATGATGGACTTGTAGCCTTTGGACGCTGGTACATCTCAAACGTGAGTTGATGCCTTTAATGTGTGAATAATGCTGATGGAAGTTCAGCCTGATCTCCCTCGTCGTATCGAGCTCGGCGCTGACCTGAATGAATACAACCGCAAGACATTCTATAAGCCCGAGAGCCCAGAGGGATACATTGATTATCCTTTCCTGGACTCAAAATAGAAACAAAAGTATACTCATTGCAATTAAACGGCTGTAAACGTATGTTTACCCCGCCTAGATGGAACTTGTCTATCTTTACTCAGTCGGCCTCTTGTAGGATATCATTTATAACGAAGAAATACATTACCAGACGCTGTCGGGACCTTGATGATCTGCACCTAGATCCGACGAGGTCCGGCTCCTTTCCGGCTGAATTCGCATGACGACAGTAAAGACGCGATCAAAAGTCGGACGAGTATAAAAGCCACTGCTCCCCGAGACTTTCCTCGCTCTACACCACCCCTCCGGCTTTGCGGTACCCGGTTCCAAGATGAGCGGCGATTCGGCCCTCTTTAGCCCAATCCACATCGGCGAACTAGAACTTAGTCACCGCATCGTTCTCGCACCTTTAACGCGCTTTCGTGCCAATGCTGCTCATGTCCATGGCGCACTCGCTGTCGAGTACTACGAGCAGCGGGCGGTTCGACCGGGCACCTTACTCATTACGGAAGCCACGTTCATTGCAGCTGAAGCTGGAGGATACAAGAATGTCCCTGGTATTTGGAACCAAGAGCAAATAGATGCTTGGAAGAAGGTTCGTGATGTGTTCAACCGTCCGTTTGCTCTGACATGCCTGGAAAGGTTACGGATGCCGTTCACGGGAAACGATCTTTCATTTATTTGCAACTATGGGCACTAGGTCGGCAAGCGGAGACCACAGTGTTGGAAGAGGGAGGATTTCCCTATGTTTCGAGCTCCGACACGGCTATGAAGGGAAAACCAGCACCTCGAGCACTCACGACGGACGAAGTGAAGAAGTATATCGGTCTGTATCAAAAGGCTGCGGAAAATGCCATCGAGGCCGGTTTTGACGGAGTAGAGATACATGGGGCGAACGGTATATGCCATGATATCTGCAGTATGAATCTGAATTCGTTGAAGGGTATCTTATTGACCAATTTACTCAAAATGTCTGCAACAAACGGACAGACGAATATGGTGGATCTATCGAGAACCGAACTCGCTTCGCCCTGGAGATCACAGAGGCCGTGACGAATGCTATCGGTCAGGAGAGAACGGGAATCCGGCTAAGCCCGTGGAGCAAGTTTGGAGGTAGTGTATCTTCTTCTCACTCGTCGTGCCTGGCTGACCTATGATTCAGACATGAGAGAGCAAGATCCAGTACCCACATTTACCTACCTGATTCAGCAACTTCGAGACAGGTTCCCACGACTAGCCTATCTTCATCTCGTCGAGCCGAGAATAGGGGGCGACAAGACGGCTGGCCAAAGTGCGCAGGATTCCAACAATTTTGCACGCCAAATCTGGGGTGAACGCCCATTCATATCTGCAGGAGGGTATACCCCGGAGACCGCAAATCAAACTGCGGACAAGTATGGTGGCTTGATTGCCTTTGGCCGGTGGTTCATTTCGAACGTGAGTTAGATACTTATGCGAGGAGTTGTAGTTCACATGTTCCCCAGCCTGATCTTCCACATCGGATTGAGATTGGGGCACCTCTGAATGAATATGACCGCAAGACGTTCTATAAGCGGGAAAGCCCAGAGGGTTACATAGATTATCCATTTCTCGATCAAGGCAGGAGCAAGCTCTGATACAACTTCAATGCCATTTAACTAAACAGAATGCACACCAGTTACCCGCTATAAGCCAAGATACATGACATGACTGTATTACTACCCTAGGTCATCCAGAGAGCCACGGCGGAAGGCTCTTTCCATCGGAGCCATCATTTGATACATTCGTTGAAGCAGCATTCGAGCTTCTTCTCGGTTGATGTACAGCTGCAACAAGTCACCCTCTATTGAGGTATCGACTCCTTCCAGCTGGTCCGAGTTCAATCCCGAGATGTGCACAAAATGAGCGGATAAACGCTCGCAGAGTATCGGGAAAAGATGTAACAGCCGATACGACGTCTCAAAGTCACTGAAAAGCAGCTCTACGTCTGCGAGCTTGCGTGACTGAACGCTCTGAGGTTTGTCCCAAATCAGATCCTGAATGGCGATGGGTAACCATGATCTTTCCCGCTCTCGGGTCGCATTGCATCTACCCTTGAACTCGTTTGAATAGGTTTCAATCCTCTTTCGCAGGGCAGGGAGGAGGGGGAAGACTTGTGTCTGAACAAGTCGTTGAGCAAGCTCCAATGCAGTCACCGTCTTCTTAGCGAGTAGCCTTTGGTTTCGACTGTTGAATAACTCGAGGACGTAGCGAGATTGTGCATTTGTTTCCATTCGGGTGAATGTTTGGATCGAACTGGTGCGGGAAAGGGAGGTGTAAAACGATGTAGCGCACGAAAGTGCCTCGTCTAACTGAGACAAGAAAATATGTCCGAACCGATCAAATGCCTTCAACGAGCCTCGTAGCCCATCCGCATGCTGGTCATTCCGAAGGGATTCGAAAACCACCTCATCAATGTAAGCAAGATGGTCTCCGAGCCCCTTGAGATCTTCCAAATCTGCACAGAGGGACCTTAGAACTGCGAGGCTCTGGAGCGATGTTGGCAAACATCAGATCCGAGAGTCACGGTGTCAGTCTGGGACTGAACGAAAAAGGGAGACATACATCCGTAGAACCCGAGAATTGTCGGGTTGAACTCGTTCATAGGCCAGTGGTTACAGCCAAGTTCCAACATTGGATCCACCCACCGCACACCTCTGAACATGGTGCCTCAAGCTTTGGATGACACACAAGCCGTTATGCACACTTGATTGAAAATTAAGTTGTTTCTCAGCATTTGTACCTCCCTTGTGCGCATTCCGCATGGTCGACGCGAATATCAAAGGAGTATGGGAGGCTTCTCGACTCTGATTCTCATATATACTACCCCCGTGGATTCATGAGAATTACTTGGAACTGACCTTTAAACGCGCGGATCCTGCCGCGTCTAATACAAAGATTGGCTATTCATTGAGGGCGCTCCCAAAGCTGCCCACTAGCGTCGACTTCCCGACATCCCCATGCGCTTTATGAATCAAGTTCCCACCGGGACCTCCGCGCGCCTCATTGCGCTCAGCTGAAGCGCCGCAGACTATAAATCCTCTGGCTGAGGGGTATATCCCTATTTCATCCCTTTCATCATGGTCGATAATGATACCGCCCTTCATTGGAACCTTTCTCGGCTCTGTCCAGATATCCATCTCCTCATCTCAAGGCATCTGGACCTGGATGATTTGTATAATTTGTCAATGGTTCTATTCCAATTTCATTATTCATGCATCCCCAGCTGAACTTATGACAGGTCTGTAAAGCGCTGTACACCAGTTTGTGCTCCGTAGACGTTCGCAGGCACTGGGTTGAGAGATTACCGCCTGCATTCCTCCCCATCGACGGGACAAATACAATAAAGGATGCCATTCGGCGAACCATGGCACTTCGGAAGGCTCTGGCCCTCTCGACCGAAATCACCCCCGCATCCACCGTAGTCCTCCCAGAGGCACAATGGACACTTCATGTCGCCAGAACGCGATGGATGTTCACAGTATGTAGTGAGAACCTCCACTGTTTCGACTTGGCCACTGGCCAGATGGTTGGCTCGGTAATATTGCCCAGCCAAGTGAGCCCGAAACTACTCGGGGGTCAGGCTCAGTCAAATGGCTCCATTGTATTAGCATTTCCCTACATGCAGAAACAGAATGACGAAATGTGTGTGCTCGCCCTTGGTTATGCACTACTGACTAATTTACAGGACGTGGAAGATCGAATTTATGAGCGTCACGTTCCTTCAAGAGCAGAATGACCCCGTAAAAACAAGCTTTGGCTCGCTCAAATGTATCACTCTTCCTCCAGCCGTATCCCGACAGTTCACGCGGTTCGACATGCTCCTAATGGAGGACCAATACGTTGTTTTGTCCGGTGACTGGGGGTCGAGGAAGTTTATTTTCATTGATTGGAGGCTTGAACATGTCGTAGTTCAGTCATTTCCTGTGAGTTCCTGCCCGAGCCTTGGTCTTAGCTAATATAGTTATGAAGCAACTGTGGCGAACATTCTCATGGGAGATCTCTGACGGTCGAATTATCATCATTTGTGATAGCCTAGAGATCAAAGTCATTAACGTGAGACAAGCCCTATCCATGTACGACAAGGAATCGGTATTGGAGCCTTCTACGGCATGCAGCCTATCACGGTACAGAAGTGTTCATTTTGCAAAAGGAGATTACGGACAAGTCTCCGCCATTGCACTATGCGTGCCGAACAATCAAGCTGGTTTGGGGATCTTCCAGATCTCTTCAACCTTGATACAAGGCCAGAATGATACGGTGGCAACGTCCCCTGGGGTACACGACGGTACTCTCCTGGATCGCTGTTTGGCCAATCAGCATACGAGTGCGATTCCCCTCTATATAGGTTCGACGCTTGCCTTTCAGATAGACGACCATCACATTGCACTGAAGTCCCACCAGAAGAGAAGAAATGCCAGCGAGATGAGGCTAGGTCTGACGGGTCTCCACCTGAACGCTATCTTGGCCGTCGACGAAGATATCGGGATGATCGCAGTGAAGGAGATGGACAATATCGGCAGAGCTCAGATCCGTATATACTGGGTCATATAATCTATTTCAAATCCAAACACTGTTACCGAACATTGCCGTATTTCATCATGTGAAAACATCTTGACTCCAGCCACAACCATGTCCCTGGAGTCTCTGCCTATCGAGCTGGTAGTTCAGATTTTATCCATTGCTTTGGATGTTCATCCCACCCCATCCAATATTCTCTGTGTTCACTCTCGCTGGCACAACGCCCTTGCGCCCGTGCTCCATGCACATATCAGACTGGGCTCTCTGTTGCAGCTATACCGGTTTGGGAAAGTACGGAAGCTTTCCTGCGTTCCCAAATCGTTCTCGCTTCGACTTCCAGGGGGAGCAGTGCACTTTCCAGATACTACACGGACAGAGATGCCGGCCGTTATCGTCGGGCGGCGATATTCGCAAAGTGATGCAGACCTCACCAAGGGAGAGTGGATTAGAAGAAAGATCGTAGATGGTGGCGGCGTTTGGGGATGCCTGCGTTCTGCCTTGAGCGTGTGCCCTCGGGTTGAGCGAGTTTCCTTGCAGCTGCACTCGTTTTTGTCCGACCCAGACCTCCCTAAGCTCACGGGTGCGCTCAGCGTGATCAAGTGAGTTACGTTGTTCCGGGCTTGAGGTGCCTGATCGAGGATCCTCAGTCCAATTGCCTTCAACTGGAACGGTCCAGACCCGGAACACCATCTCTCTGTAGCTGTCAGTCACCTTGTTTCGACTGGGCTCCCACTAACTTGTACCAGATTGTTCCTCGCGCAGCCGAATACTTCTTTCGAGCTACCAAGTCTTGGTCGAGGCTCGAAAGCCTTCGATTAGCCAACATTTGCTTTCCAATGCCACCTTTTCCATGTGTACTTACAAACGCATTCGCCTTTCAGTCCCATCCAATGCTTCGAACTATCCACTTCTGTCAGGCGGTATTCGTCTCTCCTGGAGCAATCTGTGGCCTTATTATGAACATTCCATCCTTGCAAAGACTAGCTCTTGAGGACGCGTATCTAGGAGGTATCTGGGAAGCGCGTCTACGCTTTGCGGATGTGGCGGACACATTGAAACACCTCGACGAGCGAGATCCAAGGAGAGAAAGAATTGTACAGGTACTTGAGTGTACTGTCAGACTCGAAAGAATTGTCGGAGGTGACCGAGGGTGAGCCGACTGTCGTAGGGATATGTAGAAGTATTCAACAATCGCCATCTATCAGGATTGAATGATTAGTATGGTTGAAGATCACGTGTAAATCTATCAACAGGCATGGAAATGCAATAGTGCTTACTTTTGTGGCAAAAGTAAACGTAAGCTGGGAGCCAAACAAACCCGTCGCGTCAACAAACTTGGAGCGTACCTCCACTTTGGATGTCTTTCGATTGATCAAAAACGCCCCCTAGGCGCGTACATATTGTATATCTTGACTTATCGACATATCTATCGATCCAACTCGAATTACTTCTTGACGTAACATCACGATTTTCAAGAATGGGCAAGCCATTTGGCCTTCTCCACCGAATTCTTTCGTTCTCCAAGGGATCAAAGCGATCAAAATCCCACTTTCAATCTGACAACGTTGACGAGCACGGTGCTGCCGCTCCAAACGAGGAACCTAATGACAATCATCAGATCACTGTCGCCGTTCGCACGACCAGAAGCATCAATGGCCTCATTACGGGCACCCAGAATGTGCAAAATGATATTGCGGACATAGAAATACCTACCATCGTTTCGAAAAGGTGCGAGAAGGGCATGAAGAAGCGACGACTTCGACGCGCCAGTCTGAGCGCATCCAATCTGCTTTCCTGGGGGTACGAGAGGGATGTGAAGCATGCAGAACCGGGAGGTCAAGACGAGCCTTGCAAGGTTGACAACCCAGGTAGTCCTCGAGGCGAGGAAGGGTGGAAAGGACAGTACAATTCCAAGCCGGACTTCTTCGACACAGGAAAGCGACCATGCTCTCCCAAGCAGCGTGTCGAGCATACACAGCCCAAGCGACAGACCATGGATGACGAAAGCTTCACCCGACTTCTGAGAAGCTCAAGTACCAACTATCGGGTCATTAATGAGACAGATTTCCGTGCATTGGCTCCAATCGGTTTGTCTTTTTCGCCATTCGTATCACATCGGCTGCTGACCTAAATCCGACGATTCAGATCACCCAATCAATGCGTTTTCGCTTTCTCGATCCAAGTCGGAGCATTTACCTGGAGCAGCTCCTCCCCCAAGCTGGGGGGTCTGTAATCGTACATCAGCTGTTGGCTTTCCTCCCTTTCCGGCCTCTGGCTCGCTCCAGCAACCCTCGTTGCGTTCTAATACGGTCAAATCCCAAAAGAACTATAGAGTAACGGTTCATCGGCGCCGAGTTCATTCTAGAACCGATTTTCCTGACGCAAACAAGGCGCTGGAGCATCTTCATTCGTCCTCTTGCGCCACAACCACTCATTCAGTAGATTCACCACGGGAGACACCAGATGTACCTGATATCTCCATCCCAGGTTCAGCGTTCTTCTTGGACTCACGAGAAACCAAACGGGATTCACCGAACGATGTTCTTCTGCAGCATTTCAACCGCTACCCTCAAAAGAGTATGTCGACACCAGCTTCTTCGATGCTACCCAAACTAGCGGCCAAAACCAGCATCGGTACAGATCTGCGGCACACTCGGAATAATCAGCACATTCATAAGAGGGTTTCATCTGTATCCCAAATCTATCCTGTAGCGCCATTACTGTCTGTACCAGCGGCGCCGACGCACTTTCAAGGACGATCTTCTTCATCAGTTATCCCAAAGATTGAAGGCGGCGAAGGTGACCTCTTCGCATCCACCAATGCCGTGCGTCGGCAAAAAGGCCTGCTCATTAACTCCAATCATTATAAAGCCCTCCTCAAAGACGAAGCGACCAGCGGAGACGAGAGCGATGGGAGCCACTTCTCGCCCTGTGATGGCAGTCCAAAATCGCGCAACGTGCTGAAGAAGGGGCAAAGGCCTACTAGTGGTATGGCTAAACGTGGATCGCAAATCAGTCTGGCAATGACCGAGCACTCAAAGTACACGCACGAAAGTATTACCAAAACTCCCAAATCTTCCAAAAAGGGAAGTCTCCGTAGTGTACTTAGCGTTCTCGCCGCAGTCGAAGGCGTCGTTGATCGACTTCATGCCTCTACCGTTGGTGCGGACATGCCCGTTCAGTCTCAGACAGAGTTCTCCATGTCACAGATGGTCAAGCCTCAGTCCCAGGCCGAAACACTCCCCAAGCCTTCGGCTTCCATACCTGCATCTGTCAAGAGGAAACCGAGCTTTGGTTTCAGCAAAGTTCTCGGGACCCCTCGAGATAGACAACGCCTGGAACGTCTTCGCAGTGATCCCTCTGTCCTCTCGCTACTCGACGTGTACGAAGCAGACGGGACTATGAAGGCCAACGCCTTTTCGAACACGCCTCCAGCAAGAGCTCTCCATCGAAGCTTTTCCGATCGACGACATGGCATGGTCAATAAGATCAAGAGTGTAGGCGGGAGTCAGTGGATGAAGTTGCCAAGTGTGCTCCTATCTTCCAACGCCACTGAAGCCCCGGAGACCTCTGGCCCACCTGATAACTCTAGGAGCAGCCGGATTCGACATGCATATTATAATGCAATCAAGGGGGATGAACGCGTTCAAGTGTCAGTAACTGTACCTCTTGCATATAACCTACTGATGTAGATTGCAAGGCCAAGCTGGGTTCATGAAAACCAGGACAAAGCCAAGCCTACAGAACGTTCGAGTGTTCGGCCAAAGGGACTGGGCATTTTCGTAGGAGAACATGCCTTCCCTGGTCCTGTCTCGTCCTCAACATCTCGACCGTCTTTGTTGGAAATGCATCCCTCAGATGATGGCCATCTGTCTGAGAAATCACTCGTCACTGAACAAGAACCATATGAAATCTCCGAAGTGATCATGGATCCCTCGTCGAAATTACATGATTCAATGGTTGTGGAAGCAGGCTCAAAGGATATGAGTTTCCCTAACTCCCTGGATTCAGTGAAGGGCAGTCGTGCAACCCGCAAGTATCTGCGCACTGCGGACCAAAATGAGGAGCTTAATGATCGAAAGTCTGTAGGCCTGCCTCGTAGTCCTAGCCGCCGTGCTTCTGAAGTCTTCGCCTTTCTGAACCACTCGAGAAGGAGCGTCGAGGATCAAGGTAGCTTCATATTCTTTCAACCTTTCCGCTGGGAAATTCTCAGATCATTTCAGATATGTCCGACATGCAAGTCTCAATCAAGGGACAAAGGGTTTCAGCTTGCTCAAAGTCTGAGCTCAAAGAGAATTCGACGTCGTCTGTGAATCCTTTTGTCGTCCAAGGGGATAGCTTCGCGTCACAGAATACGACAGATCGGTCTATCTACCGAGGCATCTATTCTCTTCTCAACCGCACACCTCTGGAAACTCCCATCGACCTGGTGGAGCGATCATCCATACAAATTCCCAAGAGTCGCCACGAAATCGAGTTCAATCCAGATGAAAAGGACCTTCCGCGCCTACCAGACGAACAGGATTCTGGTAGCACTTCTCCGGTCACGCCAGCTAGACCACCTAGATCTTTTACGCCGCTTCCATTTCCGTCTCCAATTTCTCCACTTGGGCAAGGTTTCTCAGTTCAATCCCCGAGAGAAAAGCTCAACGCAGATCCTACCGCCCGATACAGTACGATGCAGTCGAGAATCGCACAGTGGGAGCACACCAAACCGCTCACGATAGACAAAGGGAAGATATCACGCCAGAACTCGGTCCTTTCACAATCGGCGTCACCATCAGTAGGAATCAAACGAAAAGTACCCACCCACAGTGATGTTGGAGGGCTTGGGGATGGCCGTCGTTTCAACACAGATGGCAACAGAGGGCCTCGAAGGTTGTTTGGACCTCGCGAGCCTTTCTCTCCAAAGGCCCCTTCGAGGAATTCGGTCATTCAACCGCCAATAAAGCGGCTCGTGAGCAACGAGAACGACGCCCCACTCGAGCAAAATGACGTTACAAGTTCAGTAACAAACGAAAATCGTGTGGAAATGATTCATGGATATCCATTCTGGCAAGATTGTAAGTCTCCCATTGCACTGGAGAAGTATTGACTGGCATTTCCAGTGTTTCCGGCGATTCCATCCCCTCATGGGCCAGATACCCAGAAGCCATCCCATCATCTACAAACACCAAAGCGCCAATCTTCCTATAACGAACCTTCTTCTGCGTCCTCGTCAAAGCTTGGATACTATGGACGCGAGATCATGGCACTCGCTAGGTCCAAGACTGGTCGTGGCCCCACCTGAATTCATCTCTATGATCGATCATCTTTTCTTGACGGCGTGTTGTGTCCTCCCTGGCAAGTTCTAATTCAGAGCCATTCACCGAGGCGACTCGTCCTCTCCCTTAGGCCTCTCGTTTCTTGATGTAGCTACTAGCAGCAGTGTATCTTGGCTAGAAAATCCAGCGCATTTCAACAAGAGAGAGCTATCTTCTTTGGTGAAAGTGGTTTGCCAACCCTACCACCCATCCTCCTCCGATAGTGCCGCGAGGCGCCTGGATCCATCTACTGCCCAATGGACGACCCCAAGGTCCGCCAAATGCACAGATACGATACCTTGGATACTGAACGAGTATTTACCAAGTCTAGTTCTCCGAGTTGCCACTGGAGATTGTGCGGTACATCCTCCTCCAAGGGGCGAGAAGTAGAGATGGTATGGTCTTTGCTGCTCGCTGTATGCGCCTCTCAACCTGGATACGCCAATGGATCGCACCGACATTGTACCATACGGTGGATATCTGGACAGAGACTCAGGCAGCAAGTTTTGCGGAGGCATTGGAACAAACGCGCTTCGGAGTCTCACTTCGTAGTCTCGTTCGTTCGTTGACGATCAAGACGACAGCATTTGCGGCGTACGATACCCAGCACACCAAGTCACGCATGCATCCGCTCATGGAAGCCGGAAGCTTTACACCTATCGGTGCAACGAGCCTAAGCGTGATGAAGATCCTCAGAATCCTCACAGACGAACAAGAACCTGGGCTGCAGGAGGTCTGCATCCCAATGGCCCTCATGGCGACCAAACGAACGCCGGTGCTAAGCATTGATTTGCCCAGGTCGGTCACGATCACTGGAATCGATGGTCTGGTGTGGAGTGCATACGGATGGGATAACGTGACCCACGTCCGGCTTACGAGCTACAATCCGAACTTTCACGAGACAAAATGGTTCCTCCGCCTGCCATCTCTTACCCACTTTGCATTCGCATTTTACTACGAAATGCCACTTGGGTTGCGAATTGCAGAAGAGATGACAGCGAGTCCCCAGCTCAAATGCCTCGTTATGGTTGTCTATCCGCCCTCTAACGATCCAAGGGGAAAGCTGGTGGCGAGGCAAAACAAGGAAGCGCTGCTCAAGCTGGACGAACCAAACCTCGTTGTATGGGAGAGCAATCCGAAGGCGATTGACAGGTTTGAGGACGTCGAATCGAACCGATTTTGGAAACATGTCGACGAGATTGTAGAAAAGCAAAGGGCGGAAAAGGCTGCTGCTCTTGCTATGCCCTAGGGTCACCAGACCTTAACGCATGGAATTCATATGCTATATAAACACGGGTGAAGCAAGCTCAGCGGTTAGGGTTGAATGCTTCCTTGACCTAGAAAGATATGTCATGGGCGCCTTTAGATGGACGGTAGGGAAGTACCTGACTCAGGAATTCCTCGTCTATTATTGCTCTCATGCCAACTTGAGTAAGTGCCTTTGCGACCTTGAGCGTGCATTCGTGCGCTTTTTCGGTCCTTGCAGCCCTCGTGAAGCCTATTGTATGATTCCCTCCGTTGGGCTCGGTTGGGATTGCTGCGCGACGTCAGTACACACGCGAGTGTACAAGGTGCACCTACAGAAAGACGGGTGAAGCGAGGGCAACTCTTTTGGCACGTCAGTTTTGAAACCGTCACGAACATATCTTACCGTAGGTGACATTGCCCTAATTCCAAGGTCAGTGATCATGCCGCGCAAGGTATGTAGACCCACAAAGTCGGTGCTCCCTCCAATCGCACCCTCCATCGAGTTGGGCCCCACACCATATTGGCTTTGCGACACATTGTGGTACTCTGATGAAAGCACACTATTTTGCCGCAGGTCAAACATCGTGCGATCCACTTTGAGCTCCATTTTACATCCAGTGGACAGTGCTGCACCCCTTCGAGTGTGATCAGAGAAGGGGCTTCGTTCAAACCATTCCCTTACTTGAAGCAATTGATGACTCGTTCACGCAATATGTCAACTTCTGCGGCTGAAGGTGCCCTTACGAGCCAACGCATTTTTGCATAGTCCGGAATAACTGGGTAAGAAGGGTTAGAATTATTTCTCAGATTGTTAGTGAAACGAACTATTTGGAGCCCAATCACGACCCTCCACGATCCCATGTACGCGGTGAGTTGGCTTGATTTGCTGGCGCAAGACAGAAACGGACGAGTAGGCGAGGAATGCGGCATCGAGAGCGTTTTGCCCTTCCCAAGGCGCAGCCGAAGCATGCGCTCTAGAGTGAGCCTCAGCGACAAGAAATTTGGTTCAGAGCGACATACGTGTGACCAAAGTATTCCACTTCTATTCCGGTAATCGCTAGCGAAGGTCCTGTTCCTGTAGTATTACGGGGTCCGGGGCCAGGGTGACACATCAGACAAATGTCCATATCCTTGTAGCCACCGCGTTGGATGAAGTCAATCTTCCCGGCACCTCCTTCTTCGGCTAGGTGTAATATTTAGTGGTGAATTCCGCTGGAGATTCATGACCTCACCAGGTGTACCGAGCAACACAATTCTTCCGTCCAAATCGTGCTTCTCTAAAGCGGTCTTGACCGCCAATGCCACGGCAACACCAGCAATCGCAATCAAGTTATGGCCACATGCATGCCCAATACCAGGGAGCGCATCCATCTCCGAGTTGAGACCTAGCGTTTTGAGAGGGCTCTTCTTTGATACCGCCGAGGATCGGTGTTCAAAGTCTGCACGCCATGCCGTCTCAAGACCAAGATAGTGCTTTGTGACATTGAACCCATACGAATCCATGAACGCTGTAAGTGTGTCATGTGCATAGCTTCACCGTATTGTCTTCAGTAATGTCAACGGTGAAAGTTTGAGAGGACATACTGCTCCGTCCACATAATCTCCGGATGATCTGCGTTTCATTTATAGTTGGAATTCATTTTTGAGGATTGTACACATACCATGAATCTTCAAACTCAGCTCGCGCAGTGCGGGATCGAGCTCTTCTATGCGCTCATTGATCGTAGCAATAATCTTTTCGTCTAGCCATGGTCTTTTGAAGCCTTTCTCATGTGTTGCTAACAGGTACGGTGGCGGTTTGTCATCTTTTCGAGCGTCGTCGAGCAGCCATAGCGGTTCTTGCTGCGCAACCGTTTCCGTGTGATAGCACGGTACCATATTGTGCATGGAAGACTATTCAATAGATTTAGTGGAATTCCTGCAACTCAAAGGCCTGCTAACAGAACCCGGCTCCTGTTTCGACATGTTGCCGGTAGGATCGTAAGCAGAGGAAAGCGTCTGCTGGCTTGACGAAGCTCTCCTATTCGACGTAAATATGGATTTGAGAGGAGTCCAACAAGTGGCCATTGACACTGAAAGAAGCGGGAACCAAAGATCGTGGGGCTCCTCGGTTCAGGGTACATGGTCACGTATGTTCGTTAATCACAATATGTTCTGAGTCCGTTATTCTACGTATCAGGATTAGGCTGTACAGGCGGCTGGTAACCTCGTCCTCGTCCTCGAGCTGCCGCAAATGGTTGCCCAAACCGGATGGGGAAGCTCCCGCGGATTATATAGGGAGGGAATATGTGTCCATGAGCAGCGCCGAGACTACTCGCGCTGTTCTCGTCATCCGTGGGTGGCGAGTCTACTGTTGGTTCCTCCTACCGTGATATTAGGCACTGTGGCAAATCGAGAGGGGAGTAAAAAAGGAAGAGACATAGAGGGAGGTGCAATAGGAAGCAAATTATTGCTATGAGTGTATGAATAAACCCTGACATACCTCTTCTTCATCGCTCTGGTCTAGATCCACAACCAACGCTCCCATGTGCCATCCTGCAGCAGCTGCTGCAAATACAAATCGGTCCCTCTTCTTCTTGAGGCCATGACTGAACGTGACCTCTGTCGGCACCTCGATATTGGGAAGATTTTGATACACTTCGAGACTCCTGTCCCTGTGCTGTGATGTTGCAAAGCCTCCTGGTTTGCCGGGCTCAATCTCATAGGGATCTCCTAGGCCAGTGGCGGTGGATGCCCCCCAGGAGAGAAGCTTGCCGTTCTCGAGAAGAGCACCAAAGTGATAGTCGCCTATAACTATGGAAATAACACCTTTGTTCTGCAAAGTCGATATCACGCTAGGTTTGGTCTCTGGAGTAGCGTCATTTGGCCCCATGAGGACGATGGAATCAGGCCCTGTGGAGTAGGCGACGAATGTGAGGAAGTGTGCCGATATCTAAGGGATTTGAGCAAAATTCGAGCTTCATTGAGATGAACAAACGTGAGTAATCTTCAACCTGTCTGGGACACGGATTGTCTCCTGAGATTTGAATTCGTCCAAGGCCTTGACTGAAGACGTTTGACAGAAATTGGGCAACTATACCAAGGTCATAATCGAAAGAAAGCCATCGGAAGCACGTACAAATTCCCAAGCCCTCAGGCCCTTCTTGAAAGAGTCGGTTAGGGTGGAAATTGCATCGGGCTCGTTGATATCGCCTATGTTCAGTTTGAGTACGTGACCCGCATCAGTTAGGCCGACGACAAAGTGGTCCCCAGCACCGAGTTTGATCAGTTTAGGTTGAGTGATAGCCGGGTCGAGTACTGGAAGCTCCGGAAGATCAGGGAGTACTAGAGGTTCACAACCTTGTAACCTCTGAACCTGACATTGAATAACCCCGTCAACCAGAGGTGCAGAACGATAATCTGGTTGTCCGTCTGGGGGTGGCGAGTTGGCTAACGCTTCCTCCATCTGCTCATAGCGTCTTTTTATCTCTCCATAAGTCACGTTCCAGACGTATGCGGTGCCAGATTCAGTCAGAGCGGAGACAAATGACCAGCCACACTCGACCTGAATAATCTTCCGGTCAGGTATGGAATGGTCAAATGCATTGGGTTGGTATTGAAAGGGGATACCCCAGCTGTTGAAGCACCAAACATCCCCATCGTGATCTAATGCGGTCATAAAGTTGCGGCCGCAGCTGAGGGTCTGAATGGGCTTTGGTAAATTGAGAATGGCAGGGGTCGATGCCTGTTTGCTGGAGAACGTGAATCCATCGCGTTGAAGACCCCAGGCACCATCAAGCTGACCTAGTCAAGGTCAGAGCGGATGAGCGGGAGGGATGAAGACGCACCCCAGACGTGAATCCTTCCTTTGGAATCGAGGGCAGTGAAAGACCTGTATGCACTTTGTGAGTGTGGAAAGTAACGCGATGCGTTCTCTTACCATCCTCCTGCAGCTAGCTCCACGACGCGAGTACCAGGCAGCTTGAGCTCCAAGGGCCACAGCTGCTTCCCTCTTGTGCTCGCAGATCTTGTTGTTGTTGGAATTTTTCTTCCCATTCTGCCTTCTCCCGTCCCGCTTCAAGTATGATAAGATCTACTGCCACTGACTGCGCTCATAGGAGACACTCACCCCCAAACGAAGAGCTTGGAGTGCGCACTGAGGCGACTATAGAGAAACTTGAATCCACTGGACCTTGCATTGGATGCGTTTGAATAGTTGAAGTCCTCTCTGAGCCTGCGCTTCCAGAACACTTCGTCATCGCCGAGCTTTGCAAAGAATCTGTTGGTCTGGAAGAGACTGAGCGAGTCTTTGACGGAAATAAGTGGTAACAAGTCATCGAGGAGCAGCTCTTGTGGCAGTTGATCCAGCTTTGACATTATGTTCGATGGATGGAGTCGCGGTCAACGTCAGTTGCCGGCCAAATCGCTCGGGCTGTCTCGATTCGCATGGGACAAACTTGGACTCAACCTCGTCCGTCCTCGACTCCAAATCCTCTCAAATACACGCTACTAGAGCTTGTAGAACACGCTTTGAGGGCCTCGAACTGACCTTGTCGAGACCAAGACCAATTTAGACGACCGCGGAGTGCAAGTCTCCATACAATGCCAACCATCTTCTCGAAGCTTTGGGTCCCTGCTGCCTTTGCTTTTGGCACTCAGATCGCTGCAGCCTCAATATTCGTTCCGCTGAAGAGCGAGAAGTATTACGATTTCCTGGGAGGAACCGGTCACATCATTGCTGCCGGTATCTCGCTCTATGGGCCGACTCTATACCAACACCTCGCGGCCTCGAAGCCTTTGGCTACATACCGCTTCCCCGCTCTATCGGTATGATGCTCTTCCGCATTGAGAATCAACGACTGAGGATTCGTAGACATTTGCACCGAGGCAACTCGTCATTACCGCGGCATTTGGCTTTTGGGCCGCACGACTTGCCGTCTTCCTCTTCCATGTACGCACTCCAACCTAGCTAAAAGATGATCACTTATGATTCACGTAGCGCATAAGCAAAGAAGGAAAGGACTCTCGCTTCGACCAAATCAAGCAAAACGCACCTCGGTTCTTCATGGCCTGGGTCATCCAAGGCGCATGGATCTCAATCGTTGGACTTCCTGTGTGGCTCACCAATGCCGTCCCTGGCGTCCTCACTCGTCCTTGGGGACGTCCAGATGTCGCGCTTCTCGGAGCTGCTGCCCTCTGTTTGGGCACCGAGATGCTTGCCGACTACCAAAAGTCGGCATGGAGAGCGGAGAAGAACCAAGGCAAGCATCAAGAGAAATTTATCAACAGAGGATTATGGTCACTTTCGAGGCACCCCAAGTAAGGCTTGATAGGTTAAAGTTCAACGCTGACTATAATGTTTTAGCTACGTTGCAGAGATAGGACTTCATACATGTATCTGGGGACTTGCAACTCGCTCTTTGTACGCGCCAGGTGTACCTGGAATTGCTGTGGCAATAGCTGCCACCTCGCCCCTCTTCACCTATTACATTCTTCGCTATGTAGGTCAGGATTTGTTCTATAGCATGGACTCACCTTTGGAATAGCTTAGTGGTGTACCCCTTCTGGAGCGAGCTGCGAACAAGAAATGGCGCGACGATCCCAACTGGAAGCACTACAAGCAGTAGGTACATGCTGCTCTTCCTGCATCACAGCCTAACATATCTCAAAGAACTACTCCCGTATTCTGGCCATGGGCACGAATCTACGACTGAAGATTGCACAAAAATAATATACACATGGGGGCATCTACTGAAGTATATTTACAATAAAACTGGCTTTTTACCTCTTAAAGTTCTGTGATGCCCCTCCCAGCCAGTGATCTTAACTGACCGAGAACGACATGAGCAGCGAGATGGCTTGCGCGCAGCTCGACCTCGTCCCAGAACCGTTGAGTGGGTACGCGACACATGGTCACCATCTCGCGAATGTTGAATAGGATGAGACGACTGTCATCGATATTGCGCAGCGCCTCAGACTCGTTGAAGACGGCCTGGAGGGACGCCGTCGACGAGTTTGGATTTGCGCCGATAGTCGAGGTACTCGTTGATGCAGCGTTTGTCGCGCTTGTGTTCGCACCAGGGCTTGACAGTGTTGCAGCCACGCTGGGACCAGGTGTGTTGGAATGTGTAGCCGAAGTGCTCGCATCAGGAGTTTGGGTGGTTGCTGCGTCATTTTCATCGCCATTCTCAATTGTGTCCTGCGGATCAGCATTGGATGGATCAGCGGTGCTTTGATTGGCAGTGCCACTCGGTTGCCCGTGTCCTCCATGCTGACATCGACATTGAATCATCCTTCCAGCGACAGCCACTGGGCTGCTCGGAATCTCGTCTCCGTTATTCTCAGATGCATGTCTCCTCGTTGTGACTCTGGCCATCTCCACTTCGGTGATAGGGTCGAACAAGACGAAGAGGGCAAGACGCTTCAACCTCTCCAAGCCAAGCAGAGCCTTTGTTGTTTCCAGTGTCGAACGCCAGAGAGGAAGAGCAAGGTGGGTAAGTGAGGGAAGTAAGAGGAGCTCTTCGATGCGGAGTGTTCCGCCATTGACCACCGAAGTGAACCGAAGCCGCTGGACCGAGTTAAAGTTCCATCTCACGAGCGAAGATGTGCCAAAGCCGGAGAGCGTCACGTCTTCGGGAAGTCGGAGCGTTTCAAAGTTGGAAGAGGATGATGGTGTCGTCGGCGAGTCAATTTCAAAGGGTGGTGAGAGTGTCAGGGCATGAATCGTAGTTGAACGGAGACGACGCGCGGCTGGTGTCGTCTCTACGAGTGCCCATTCGTCAGCCGTTGCTTTGCCTTTGCCTTTGCTTTGCGAATCGGTAGCTGTGTGCGGATCTGTTGGGAGCGTGTCGGCAGACACAGCGGGCGTTTCGTCGAAGAGAATGGCGAATATCTTTGTCAACGTCCGTAGCTTTGGCGCCTGCTTATCCAACGCGGCAACGTATGGTAGGACAAGATCCGCCACGTGCTGTCTTGGCCACGAACGCTTGAAAATGTTGACCTCTGGGACGTCAAAGACGACAATGTATCGACAAAGCGCCGGACGGACGGTGATGGTTTGCAAGAACCGTTGGGCCTGGGCGTCGGTGTGCAAGTAAACGCTGCGATAGAGCTCTGGAAGGAGCAGAGCATTGACCCATTTGGATAAACGGAGTAATTGCAGCGTAAGGGGTTTTAACGCTGGATCTGCAGCTGCACAGAGAAAGATTTCCTGAACAAGCTCCACTGGGAGCTTGTCAATCTGGGATCTGAGAGCCAGGGATTTTGGGGAGGACTGGTCGGTAAGTGATTGTCGCCAACATTGCAGTTGATCATTCCAAAGTCGAATTCAGTGCACAGGTTGAAGATTGACAAAGGATGTTGTAAAGCGGCGCGGTTGTTGGTGAGATAGTCTGCTCAATAATGCAACGAAATCAAGCACACCTTTGAACCATGAAGTCTAGAAATCTTTGCGAGCCATCTGAGAAACCTCCGAAGCTTGGGCATTGAGAGCGTCAATCAACACGAGACAACGAGGCGGAGGTTTTTTCGGTTCGCGGACTCGAGAGATTAGTTGAAGATGACGACGTCTCCTTGAATGTCAAACGAGTACAATATCTCACGGCCTACGCTCGAGCGGAGGGGCGTGGGCGGCGACAAGAGGCTTTGCCTGACCAACCAGACTTTCTATTCAATCTTTAGCCTCAGAGGCTGGGGTCATCGATACCGCTCAAATAGGCATGGATTCAGATTCTATGATGGAAGAGTACACGACAGTGATATCCAGAATGATAGTGGACCTCAAAAGGATCCATGGAGCCGAGGAGCAGAAGATAGCATGCGCAATTTTTGGCCTACAACGAGAAGAACAGATGAATGTGCTAGAGGAGTGGTGTAAGATGCGGGATGGTTGTATAGGTTATCGATAGATAGAGCAACAGGCCAGCAGAGCGAGTCAGGCCCGCAGTTGCTGGAAGAGATGGGCCTCGGCGTAGGTGCTGAATTGGGACCCATGTCAGTTATATACCAGACTCCTGATCCGCGACCAACGCACCTTACTACGGAGAGTCTTCGCTGAATCTCACCGCCTTTTTGGTCGCAGTCTTGAGCAATTCCTCTTCTTTTGCACTCCCCATGCTCGAACTACTACGGTGGGCTTTGCCGACGAGCTTGGCAAACATGGATTTTTTGACCAACGGCGCCCCATTGACGCTCCCCGCACTCGAGGCCGAGTCTGGTGTTGGAACGAGGGTATAGCTATCCCCCGACTCGAAGCTGACCCCCGACCCTTTCTTGAGAGCCGAAGGCTGGACAGGTAGGGCAGGGATGCTGATGTGACCCCCGGTCGCAAGCGAGTGTGGGTGGGGTTGAGGAGTAGGTAACCGTCTGCCGTCTGTCGTTCTGGTCATGACAAAATCCCCCGACTTGGTGTATCCGCCAAAGGGCGAACGGTGTGCGGTGATGATTGTCTGTGAATGCAGTGAACGTGAACGTTTGACTGGGGCGCCATTTATAGGTGTCATCGTTCCACTTGCGGTCGGAGAGAGTGATGCTAACGCGGTCGGGGTCAACGGACTTGTACCTCTGGACGACGCTTCATCTTCATTCTGCTGCTATTGGGATGTGTAAGCCATCTCGACAAACTGGTCAATCACATTACGTACCTGCTTCTTAAGTACCGCGCGCTTGACACTGTTTAGCAATCTCTCCGCGGCCGTCGGCGCGGCTACGACGGGTTCAGCAAGAAGGATTGCACTTGAGTGTGTCGTTCGACCAAGAAACCGCTCCTCAAACGGGGAGAGCGGGCGGTTGAGACTGACGACCGACGTGGTCGATCCAAAGGCTTGTTGGCTGTTCGGCAACGAGACATGGTGAACGTGTCGTCTCTTATTCGACGGAAATGCCGTGTTACTGGTCCGTAGCCTCTCCAGCTGCTCATGAGAAGATGACTGGAGATGGCCGGACGTGGACGACGGCCGTGACGTCCAAGCTGAAGGCGCCGGATAGTCTGAAGACGCGCGACCTCTAGAGGGACGTTGCATCGTATATCGTATTTGTATATTCGTCTACAACCCAACGCCTAGCCTTGCTCTGAACCCAACTGCGTGTAAAAACAGTGTATGAGCTCAGAGTGTTCTCCGACGAGATGCTAGTGATATCCTAGATCCGTTTGGTGGTGTAGTCGGGAATTTTTTGATGACGAGGATGGGTCCAAGTTTGCAGGTCGAAACAATCCGCAACGTTTGAATGGGTCCAAGGTACCCGCCCAGGAGGTTTGACCGGCGTAAGACGACAGCGGACGTCCAAATGTTCACCTCGAATCCCTTAGCGTCTCGGTTGACCTCCCAGGCTCTTCTGCAAGGATAAACCCTGGATGAGCTACATAGTTTATGCATATTCATTGCATATATATATAAGTTTATTCTGGAGTCAGGCATCGAGGGTCAGGTGGATCCCCCCCCTTCGACTCTTCTCCAAACATCCTTGGACGCTGAAATGGCATACTATCTCGGAATCGACGTGTGCGTCTTTGTCACGCTTCATTGCAGTCAAACTCTCCACCCTAAACCAATCCTCGCAGAGGAACTGGCTCAGCACGGGTAGCCCTCGTCTCGAGTGACGGTGTTCTCGTAGCTTCGCACACCCACGACATCCAAACTTGGCGATCTCCGACAGATGCACGCATCTTTGAACAATCTACAACAGACATCTTTGCTGCAACCTGCTCATGTGTTCAAGCGGCCTTGTCTTCTGCAAACATTGATAAATCAGCCATCAAAGGGATTGGTATCGATGCGACATGCTCCCTTGCAGTCATCGATGCCGACGGCAATCCCATATGCGTTACTTCAGGCGATCAATGCGGACAGTATGGGGACCGAAACATTGTTCTATGGGCAGATCATCGAGCAGAGGACGAGGCCGGCTTGATCAATCAGACTGGCTCTGTCGTTTTGGACTATGTCGGTGGCAAGATGAGTGTGAGCATTTCTCATTTTCCACACGGCCAAATTCACTAACTTACGAATAGCTCGAGATGGAAATCCCAAAGATTCTCTGGCTCAAGAACCATATGCCACCGGAGAAATTCAGCAAGTGCATCTTTTTTGACCTACCAGACTACCGTACGCTATATTAAGCCCTGGAAACTTGAAATAACTACAATTCAGTCACATATCGCATCACTTCGTCCTTTGCCCGCTCCTCGTGTTCACTCGTCTGCAAGTGCTCATACATACCTCCGGGGGCAACGCCCGCAACGCAGGGATGGAACAGTGACTTCTTCAAGGCCACTGGACTCGATATTATGGTCGAAAATGGCTATTCTCAACTTGGAGGCGCATTAGGCGAGGCACTTGCAGGTAAGCGTCCTTTCAGCCTTCTTTTTATTTGCTCAGGTATCTGTAGGATCTCAGTGCGCTCAGGGCAACCTAGTTCTTACGGCTGGATTACCAGTTGGGAGAGGACTGACAAAAGAGGCGGCGGAGCGGTTGGGTTTGGTGGAAGGAACGCCAGTTGGGAGTGGAGTCATAGACGCGTATGTGCACAGGCGATATCCGCATCCTCTAAAACCTGATCAGATACGCTGGGTGGATTGGAACTATAGCCGCCAGATACGCGACTCCTGGCCAACCGAACCAGCTCAGTCCGACACCGACGCTGGAGGAATCCCAAACGAGGCTGGCGGCCGTCGCTGGGACGAGCACTTGTCATCTCATTCAAGCTCCAGAGGGCAAATTTGTACCTGGCGTGTGGGGCCCGTATAAGAATGCACTGTTCCCGGGATGGTGGATGAATGAGGGCGGGCAAAGTTCGACTGGACAGCTGATTGACTTTATGATTACCACTCATCCGGCTTACTCGGAGCTCCAAGAGATTGCAAAGAAGGAAAACAAGTCTATTCACACGGTCCTCGCCGACGTTTTGGATCGCTTGCTCCTCGAAGCTGGAACGAGCTCTCTCACCCGACTCACGAAAGATCTTCATCTCTATCCTGACCTGCATGGTGAGGACCCATTAATCATGTAGCTCTGACCTAACGTCGCCCAGGTAATCGATCACCACTCGCCGACTCGACCATGAGAGGGTCCATAGTCGGCCTCTCTCTCGACTCTTCGTTGGGTGATCTTGCACGAAAGTTCAATGTCACGCTCGAGGCCATTGCTCTACAAACCAGACATATCCTAGACGAGATGCAAGCCCACGGGCACCACATAGAGGGCATCTACATTTCGGGTGGTCAAGCGAAGAATGCACCACTTGTTCAGCTTCTAGCAGATGTGTGCAATACACCGATCATCCTCCCAAATAACCACGCAGCGGCTGTCGTTCTAGGAGCCGCAATGCTGGGTAGATTCGCACACGAGATGGCGGAGGATCTGACCCTGAGAGACAAGGGCCAAGGGTTTCAAACTCAACAAGAGGTGGACGAGGAGAGCCAGAGGATTGGATCACGGCTGTGGGACATCATGGTACGGCATCAGTTCCGACATCGAAACGACCAGATTGACCGTGACGTAGGCTGAGATGTCATTACCTGGAACAATTATCTCGCCAGCTGCCAGCGATAGCGACTCCAAGTTGCTGGATGCGAAATACCGCATCTTCAGAGAGGCGATTGAGATTCAAACGAGGTGGCGAGCCACAATGGAGGCTGCTAGCCAATAGACAAGTATCAGGACCCATGAGGCCCAGATTCATCTCGAATCCAGATCTCAGTCCATCTGTGTTGTTTTGCTCGGGTGCAATACTGCCCAAGAGGGACATTCAATGGGGAACGAGATAATCCTGAACTCTGTAAATGTGTGCAAGTTGCTTGGTTTATGTCGTCTAAAATTTATGAATTTGTGGCCATTTGTGAGTGGTCGAGATCGAGACATTGCCGCCTTTGGCACAACATCTTTGGACCTTTACCTCCATGACGCTGGAGCTCATTCCAGCTTCTGAACCGCATAGAGGACAATAACAAACTATAATCAGCATACTGAACACGCTCTAGCTGCCTTTGATCGCATCCGCCATGGCCACCGGTCAGTTTGTCCTCCTCTGCGTTCCAATCCGCTTGGTTGAGAACCAAATCTTGACCATGGATTTACATCACTTTCTAATGTCATTTAAACTGTATTTTGCGGCTAACGACCCGCCGTAGACTCCTTCCAAGAAGAGCCCGCGCAGTGCGAGGTGCCCAACATCACCTTGTCCTCGGACAACAACATCTCCAGATCCTCAACCACAAATCATTCGACTCCAGGCGCCCCTGTTGTAGTGTTGACCAGACCGCGTGAGCAAACGGGGCTCGGCGCTGCAAAACCGACTAGCACGACCGAATTGCGGCAGATCACCCTCGTTCAGCGGCCACTATCCGCACCAACATCACTCACATCATCGCATAGTCCAGCTCCCGTCTCGTTTGACCAGTCGGCGCTGGCAAACATCCCTCACACGATGGCGACGACGACCCCAGTGGCATCGTCGGGAGCCTCCGAGCCGTCAATGGATGTCGACGCATCCATTGTGCAAGCACTCAAGTCCTCTAAAGACCGTCTCTATGTACTAAAACTCGGGGAAACTATGGAGAACCTCATTTCTCAAGGGACCCTCTACGCAAAGGTCGAACTCCAGCCCGCGAGCTCTTATCAGCGCCTCCTCGTGCACCGATGCGCTACATTCTATCATTTGACGCTAGAGTCAATGCCAAATAGCACCCTTTCGGTCATTGTGAATCCTGACAGCCGAATGTGAGTCTTTTCAAACCCATTCCCTTTTGACGCAGATTCTCAATGTTCGTTGTCCAGACCATCAAAGCGGATCGCGGAGCTCGTTCCGGCGGAAGAGACGAAGCTTCCAGCGTTCCAGATCATGCGTCGAGTCGATCGACCCAAGACTGTCTCACGAGCGACTTCTGTAGATGGAAATTTGACGGACGATGGTGAAGATACGCGTTCCCAAGGGAGCGGGTCTAAAAAACGACAACATAGAACGATCGAGGAACGAGAAGCCGAGTACAATAAGGCTCGTTCGCGTATATTTATGGACTTTGAGGAAAAAGACGCCAGCGTCTCTTCGAGTGGAGCCATTAGTTCGGCCGCTTCCGCTGTCAGCTTTACGGGAGGGAGCACCGGAATGTCCAGTGTTGATGGTGACGGTGCGAGTACGGCACCAACGGAGAGTGAGTACTCTGGACCGACAGGGCGCGGCAAGGAGTCGTGGTATACCGGGACGTATAACAGAGGGAAATCGAACAATGGGCAGGCGGCGCCTTCTGCTGCACTCCGGTCCAATTCGGTTCCGTTGTCCAACGCAAACATGGCGCCAACGCCGACTGGAGCCGGTCATTATACACAAGAACCCGCCAACTTGCCAGAAGGGCAACCATCACATCTTCCGCTAGCTCCCGCACCCGCTCCAGCTGCATTCGCCGCATTTCCTCAACCAATATATCCGTACTATGTACCCTTATACTATCCGATGCCATACGCGCAGCAAGTTCCTCCACCAGGACAGCAGACTGGCGCAGGACAAGCGCCCACTGATCAACAACCACCACCCGCGCAGTCTGGGTACATTCCCCCTCAGCCGTATCCTGGCTATGTCTGGATGCCAGCGCCGCCTCCGGGATTCATCCCTATCCAGCCACCTGGAATGATGGCTCCGGCACCTCCTCCGCCTCCCCAGCAGGAAGGCACTCACCGTCCACCGTCCAGGCCATCCAGTCAGGCATCTCAGCAGAGTCATTCTTCGTTTGACTCCCGACCTGCTATGCGCCCCCAAGGACCGCCTCAGCCAGCCGTTCCTCAGCAATTTGGAGGACATGCGCCTACGTATCCCGGCCACACTCCTCAGCAACCACCTCATCAAAATTTACATCCGATTTCACCTAATCAGCGACCGGGATCACTAATTCAGACGCCTCCAAAGGGACCACCGCATGGTAATCGAAATGATATGCCAAACTACAATCAACCACAGCAGCCTTGGGTTCAGCCGCCTCCAAACACAATGCCACTTGCTGGTCGCGGCCCAAATGTTTCGTATTCGGGACCTGGCCGGCCGACGCCCCCAATGACGGGCTCTACAGGGCATCCCATTTCGACTCCTAAACGCAACGCTGCTCGTACCGCGTGGGGGAACAACTCTTTTGGGCCAGGCGTTAGCTACAGCGAAAAAGTGCCACAAACGGGTCCCATTGGTCCCGCAGGTGGCATCTTGCGAGCTCCTGACGGACTCAACATTCGTGTTCTTCCGACGATCACACATGACGCGCAAAGTATCGCTAGCAGCAGCAGCGGTGGCAGTCTCCGCAAGCGAGGCGCGACGTCCAGCGGCGTCAAGTCTTCCGGAGATGAGGCATCCTCAGTAACAGTGAGTTGGCCGGACAACCCGTTGAATCCTCTACTAACTGCGGTAGCAGTCTTCTAGCTCGTCTTCATCCAAGCGGACGTTTACATCGACCGCATCGTCTCAACCCCAGCATCCGCTACCAGAAAGACCGGACTGGGCGATTGGTGCCCGACCGCAACCAGGCGGCTTGAGAGGAAAGGGACCTCCGGGTGGCATAGCCCGCCACATTCTGCAGCCGAGCACGACGTCCTCTCATACACCTTCTCCAATCGCACTGTCGAGCAATCTCTCCTCAAGCTCGAGCTCGATGTCGGGCGGGGACACCATGGCAAAAGAGTTTCCACCATTGGGTGGCGACTTGAGAGCCGTGTCTAGTGGCTCGACAAACCTGCGGGCTTCCCCCAAAAGTGTCTGGAATAATGGACAATCGAGCCCAGCGCGTGCGCCGGGCGGCGTTGGGGTGGCATCACTACCTACGCGACCCACAGGTCTTGGAGACGGCGAAGTACGATTCGAGGAATCCAATCCAAAGTTTGATCGTCCGCCTCCCAAATCTGGAGCGGCCCTTTACAATCCTCGTGCGACGACCCCGAGTCGATCAAAATCCCGAGATGGCCAAGCCGGGTCTTTGACTGAGCTGACTAGCCAACTCGAGTCGACATCTCTTGGAGACAATCCAAAGCCGCATGGAAGCTTTGCTGGATCAAAGGAGTCACTCCCTCTTGAAAGCGGGTCCTCTGGAGCGGCTACTACGGACGCTGGAAGCGGAGATAGTTGATAGATAGAGTCGTGTTGATAGGTAGGTTCTGCATAGTTTCGTTTGGTATGCATGTGCGGTTGGTTAGGTTGCTCGAAGCCCCCTGGTCTTCCGCTTTCTTCTCCTTTTGCTGCCGTGTGCGATGTCTTCTTACTAGGGGCTTGAACTTGCCTTCCATATACATTCGGTTGGTTGCTTTCTCTGACCTAAGCGCGGGTAACTGTGGCTCGCTCTCTTGAACCGACTTATGACATGAGCGTCACAAACCTGACTCTGAAAGTCGATGATGAGGTCGTACATGCATTCAATGCACGCCGTGCAAGTCTTTTGACGCAACTCAAGTCCTCGGATGGACCCCGACGAGCCGCCGTGCAAGAAGAGCTCAACAGTCTGATGGATACAGACCCAGAGCGCTACCCTCCAGGCTTGGTCGATCCTCTAGACTACTTCCCGCCTGAGATCTGCGTAAATATTCTCAAGCTTGCTGCGGGAACTATTGAGGGCATAGCAGGTTACACAAAGACACGAGTCGTTTGGATTGACAACCTACTGGAAATGACATTGATAAATCGCAAGTGGAGAGATTTTATTCTGGGGTCTCCGAGTCTTTGGACGGATCTCTACCTCTCCTCTGATCTGGAAGACCTCGAGTCGAAGCTCGCTCTAACTTTGCGGCAATCTTTGCATTGTTTACTGAATATAACAATCATCCAACCCGTTCCGTCCCTCAATCTCGAGGAGCTGATACCGTCAGAAGAACGGCCTAGGGTCTCTCGACTACTATATGAAATAGGCTGCCTGTGTACGTCCTGTGTCGATCTACTAGTGGATCATATAAACAGCGTGCCACTGCTGCCCAGTCTTTACCATGTCGGCGTGCTTGAACATGTGGTTCTCCAGGCAAAAATTGGTCTATGTACCCTCTTTGAACGACAATCATCCAATTTCACAGTATCTCACGTCTACTTGGACGAGGTGACAAGATATCATCCAATTCTATCAAACGCGGAGGTTATTCGGACAGATTTGGATGTTCCGACCTCACTCGGAATAATCTCAAGTCTGCCAAAAGTACATAGTGTAATATTCGGGTCAGGCCAAGCAACCACGTTATTTGGTCGTGTGGATAAGCCAGCAAGGGTGTCAAAATTAACTTCCTTGTCATTCAGAGCTGAAATATCACCTATGATCCTATCCAATATCGACTTTCCTGCACTTACAAGCTTGCAAATCCACGTATCCGATATGCAGTTACCAGAGCTGGTTCGAGTGATCGTGCAACTCGTGAGGTTGCAAACATTTGAGTTAACTCTCACAATATCTATCGACGCCCCAATCTCCTTCTTCAACGAAGGTCATCGCGGACCAAGCCTTCGTACAGTGGGCTTTTCATTGAAACAAACACTATCTGAAATACCCGAGGATTTCTCTAGCAACTACTTTAACTTCGTCAAAGTAATCTCCCCGTGCTTTCAGTCTGTCCACGAACTGAAAATGACAGGACCAGACCACGGGACACTTCAGCAGATGCTAAGCCAACCGGAACTACTCCCAAATTTGCATTCAATTACTTTTCGGCATCCACTAGCTGCCATCTCCCCTCCCTCTGTCGCGGCTCTCGGCTCACTCAAGTCGCTTTCCATGGCTGCCACCCAATTCCATAACTTAAACATTCAATCTGACTCATTGGAACATCTGAGGCTCGTGCAGCTGAGGTATCATGAGAGTGATAGCACGCTCAACTTGGATAGACTTCCTCTACTAAAGACTCTAACAGTCTCAGAAGGTCGATTAGCTGGCTCTGGGAAAAACTTGACGAAAATTTCGCTGGATCCATACTACGCCCTTGGCATGGCAAACCTCTGCATCCAGCTCGCACTCAATCCGGAAATGGCGCCAAATCTGACCGAGCTATCAGGACCAGCTATTGATCTTGATGTCCTATTCATACTTCTAGAGACGTATAATTTTCGCGCTGAGGCACCCGGGCGGCGCATATCACGCCTTCAATTGTTCGACTGGCTCCCAGAAGGAGTTGTCTCTCTTCTCAGAGATCTCGTGAGGGGAAAAGTACCGAACCGGCCTGCATACAGGGATCTATCCTGGCTTTCAAACGTGGAGATGATATTTGATCCGAGCTTGTGAGTGTACGAAGCCTTCACATTCGCGACTGAATTTTCCAAGACTTGGCTGTCTCTCATGTTGCAAGCTAATGCGTACATGTCTCGAAGCGCCCGAGCAGCAATTAGAGGAGCCAGTTGTTATTCCAAACCTTCCTTCGTACCCCCTGGACACTCTAGGCATTCTTATGCAGTGGGAAGAGCGGGAACGTGCCTGGAATCAACTAGTTGTAGTTGCCACAGCACGTCTAGGGATGTGTTATCAGTTCGGTCGAACTAACGTCGATGTATGGTAACACTATAAGGTGCACCTTTGACTCCTCCACAAGTGTTGCAACGGGATTGAACCGATTCGTGATTTAAAGAATATTTCCTTTAGGATCAATTGGTTCATTGGCTCAACAAATTTTAGAAGGATGAGCCGGTTGGCGTCGTTTGGAGGTCCATCGACGCCATCCAAAAACCCTGCGGGACCGCCGACGAAGAACGGAGGCGCCCAGAGCCCCCAGGCTGCAACAAATCGCAAAGGAAAACGAGCTAATTCGTCCAATGTGGGCAAGCTGTCACCGGCTGAATCCCCTTCCTCGCCCCGCGCGGCCAAAACGAATCAAAAGTTGTCACTTGGACATGATGGCGACAAAGATTCACCGATATCGACTTTTATCGAGAGTCGAGAGCATCGTAGGCTTCGCCAGACGCTTCTGGACATTCGAGCCACTACGAGAAAGTGGGATGAGCTCGTCAAGGAGGACGGGTTTAGAGCTGCGAAGATGATTATTGATTCGCGAACAACTATCAAGTGCGTACTCATTGCTACTACGAACGACGCTGACCTTTACTTAGAAACTCGCTCGCGTTGGTACCATCGGGACAATGGCCTAATCGTGCGATTGTAGGGCCTCAAATGATTATAATCAGCGATTCTATGAAGAAGATAGAAGACATGTTTATCAAAATGGTGAGTCGCTAACTACATTTCCAAAACCTTCCTTATTGTCCCTAGAATCATTTCTTCGAACGCATATCTTCCCTCTGTGCAGACTTGGAAGATCTGTACATCGCGTCGACCAATCAGTACTACACTCTACAGGCTCCACCTGCCGTCACGTCTGCGATGGACCCAGAAGCACCCCTATATCCTACGTCTACCTGGAGTCTAGCTCGCTTCTGCAACTGCGTTCCTCGACTGATTCCTCCACACTACCATACACTGATGCATTCGTACCGCCTAATCTTCGACGAGCTCCGACAGCCCAACATTGAATGGGAGCGGGCGAGAGTACTACTCAACGCCTGGAAAGACTGTATACCGATACATCAAATGCAGACCATCGAGATTATTGACGGCATTTCGTTTGAAAGAGGATGGAGCGAGGAGTTGGAGGAGATTTGTAGCGTAGAGATTCAAGGGTGGCGATAGAGTTCCTATCCAAAACATGAATAAAGTCTAGTTGTGACTAAGGGAAAAATCTAGGTCATGGCGGCAAAAAGTAGGTCTCACCCGGATTCGAACCGGGGTTAACGGAAGGTTCTGTAATCAGAATCCGTTGTGATAACCGCTACACTATGAAACCGACGAATGCACTATTTGTTACTATTCATTATATATTAGTAGTAAATTCTATACACCCGCGAATGCTCTTTTAAACGATTATTTCTCCCTTCTAATATCTTTGTGCCAATATGAAATCTTACAGACTTTGGATTTGACTCGGCGGTACCAAACAAGTCAAGCGCTCTTTGACGCGCGCAACGACCATCGAGTTTGACGAGCTACCCTCTGCCGACGTCGAAGAGCTCGAGATGACGCACGTGTATCGCGAGTCTGATGATGCTGCTCTCAACCAGCCGCTCCTGGGCAACGCCAGCGAGCCAGCAGCGCGTCCGACGCCAAAAGAAGGAAAGGCTCAGCTGCGGTCGTCTGTGGGCAATCTCGCGAATACAATTCTTGGTACAGGAATGCTCTCGTTCCCCTTGTTTGTATCTTCCCTTCTATCCTGATGCCCCGTGTTCGCTGAGCTCGGATGAATAGGCGTTTGCGACTGCAGGAATCATTCCCGGCGTGCTCACCTGCATATTTTCGGCGTGCTGCGCCGGTTTGGGGCTCTATTTCCTTTCGAGATGCGCTACAAAGGCTCCACATCGGCACTCATCGTTCTTTGCAATCTCACAACTAACATACCCTGGCCTGTCTGTTTATTTCGACATTGCAATCGCCATCAAATGCTTCGGTGTCTCTATAAGGTGTGGAGACTGTGTTTTGACCGTTTGCTGGCTCAATTTGCTCCCAGTTACTTGATAATTATCAAAGGTCTTATGCCTAGTGTGGTCTCCGCCCTCTATCATGTGCTATTGCCTACGGACCCGCCGGCTTGGTCGCTTTCAGGAAGGCTTTGGATATCACTGTTCATGGTGGTCCTTGTTCCTCTGTGCTTCTTGCGAGACTTGCATTCGCTCAGACACACGAGTTACGTCGCCCTCTTCTCTGTTGGTATGTGTCGACCTTCATTCTGGCCCTTTCTTATGTTTTATAGCGTACTTGGTGGTTGTGGTCATTACATGCTACATTTTCCCCCCAAGCGGGATGGAGAAGCCGGGGGAGATTCACTTTATCCACTTTACTCCTTCCTTCATAGCCACGTTCCCCGTCCAGGTCTTTGCATATACATGTGCTCAAAATGTGAGTTATGCGATGAACCACCGGCGACATGCTCATCTCCATAGCTTTTCCCCATCTACAACGAGCTCAAGAGTAATACACAAGCACGAATGAACATTGTCATAGGGTCCTCTATTGGCGGAGCTTGCATCATCTACGAGGTTGTTGCTGTCTTGGGCTACCTGACATTCGGTTCAAAAGTAGGCGCAAATATTATGGCCATGTATCCAGCAACGTCACTTTTTATCGCATGTGGACAGCTCGCCATCGTAATTCTGGTCCTCTTCTCATACCCACTGCAAGTTCACCCTTGTCGCAACTGCCTGGACAAGATCATAGAGGCGGCAACGACGCACAAGATTTCAGCTCCAGTAGTCGCAGAGGGTGAAGACGATGATCATGACTATGACCACGGAGCGCACGATGAAGCGAGTCCATGGAGACACACTTGGTTGACGGCGGCGATCATTATTGCTGGGTTCACCATTGCATACTTTGTCTCCAGCCTTCAGCTCGGTACGTTTGCAGCGCCCTTTGTAAGGCTGGGACTAATTCTGTACAGTTCTATCCTTTGTTGGATCAACAGGATCAACGACAATCTCGTTTATTCTCCCTGGCCTCTTCTTTGCGCGGCTGTTCCGCGACGACCCCAAGGAGCGGGTTCTGGTCACTCTAGCCAAGGGCCTGACAATCTACGGTTGCTGCGTCTTTGTGTTCTGGTGCGTTGCGTTCCTGATAGCTCGTTGGTCATCATCCTGACAGATGCACAGTCTCGGCTTCAATGTGTACGAGGTTACTCGATGATTGGATGTAATAAATGGACCCTAGGCAGTCTTATTGAGTGTTATGTACAGCCATTAGATTGCGAACTACGACCAGCGTTAACGCGGAATCGTCACGGAGATAGAATCGCTGCGCTCGCAGCATCTCTCATATAAACCCTGACCACATTGACCGTCACGGGTCGAGACGAATCCCCGGCGACAACATGATTGACCAAGAAAAGCCTCTGGACATGGACACCAAACTTGTTAGTTACCTTGCTCCCTCATCACCCAAAAAACGAGACTGACACACCGCTGGCTCGGTTTCTGTTTCCTCTGACGGTCGCACCAAACTGTCTATAATTCTAAAAATGGCACAGGCTCCTGTTTCAGACGAACCACCGCCGTATTCGCGCCGCCAGGCGTCCACGAGCAGTCATCACAATCGTTTACAATCTACGCGCCAGCCTCCAACTCCTCAGCAACAACGTTTTGTCGCACCAGTGTCGCACGAGTCGTCTTCAATACCGTCTCCGCGGCTTGTCGTGTCACCAGCGACGAATTCCAATGCCCCATACTCGCACGGCGGCTACGAAGCACAAAGCTCATTTACCGACCTCGCAACGGATAAACGTGAGAGTATGCAGTACGTGTTATCTTTCAGAACTTCTCGGGTAGTAAGAGACTGACGTTGTTCATAGAGGTGGCCCGTATGCAGAGTATGGATACACGGGGCCAGATGTTAAGAATATCAGCCCAATGCCAACAGGAGCGTATTCACCTGGTCAAGAGAGCATGTCAGAGTCGACATATTCGGTTCCGGGTTCCTCGAGCGGGCCGGGCCATCTTGGTGTTGGCCCACGCTCTCCGACAACGGCGTCGCGAAAGGGAACAGAGACTGTCATCCTCTTGGGTACAGGTCACAGTGGGATGTGGCTGAACCACGTTGTTATCGCTACCAAGGAGAAGCTCATACAAGGTGCGTCGCGTCTGCCTTGTTTATGGGCAAAGTGCTCATGACAATTTGGTAATAGGTGCATATCATGTGGATCCTAATCTCGACATTCCGGACCATGCAACCCCACGACGGATTGCGCTACTTCCCAAAAAGTCGCACGCACGTTCGACGTCTTCTCTCTCACAAGCGTCTTCGAAGAGTGGAAAGAAAAAGGCCGATCCTTCTTGGCATCCGACTGCTGTTGCCGAGGCGTGCAATGCGCTATTTGAGACTAAGACTGCAGGCGTTGACATTTTACTGAGCATCGGTGGCTCTGGTGACAACAGGTCGAACAGGGCGAACATTGACGTACGGACAAAGAATGGCAAGGCGGCAGTCAAGGTGGTTGAGATAGGACCAGAACGAAGGGTTAATCTGGACATCCTTACAGCCAAGGGTACGCCTTTTATTCCCACTGATGCGTATTTACGAATGATCATGGCAGGTGACATCGAAGTATTTATTCCTCGCAAGTTTTCTGGACCACTACATATGCACACGGATGGCGAGATCACGCTCCTACCACGGCTCGCATCGAGCATGGAAGTTATTTCGGCACGCGAAGATGATGCACTCGTGATGATCAAGTCGAATTCAAAGCCACTACCACCCTCGCCCACAGGCTCGTCTTCGCGGCAAAACCAGTCGATGCCTGGCGGGTTTAGTAATTGGCTGCACCCCCACTCTACAGGTGCGAGTCGATCACCAAGTTATGAAGGAGACTTTTGCAATCTGGTGAGCTCTGGAGGGGGTAATATCATTGTTGGTTTCGTTGGAGAAGACAAGATACAAGAAGAGTCTCCGGGAATTTGGAAGAAGTTTGTGAGCTTGTTGACTGGACGATCTAATTCTGCCTAGTTCTGCTGCATGCTATGATGTTATAGATGGTCACTGTTCTATCGCCTCCACTTTTACCAAGCTGATGCACAAGACTCCAAGGCGATCGCCAAGGGCCCGACGTCAGGTATCCAAAGCCCCTAAATCTGTAGAAACCCAAATGGTCGGGAGATGAATTATCCTGGCTTACCAAGTGCCGGTTTGCCGCGCCTGCGAATGAAATCCGAGCCGTATTGCTTATTTTACAGCGATTATAAGAATTTGCGCAGCAGCTGGGCTGGCTGGCCTGTGACGGCATGGCCCATCCACACTCTTAAACCCGACCTCTCCTTTGGACCCTCTTGCTTGCAGGCCAGCTCCTCTTGCTCCTCATTTCTTTCTTCCCCTTTATTCCTCTCCAATAATATTCCACATATCAAACAACAGCAAGATAGCCATTCTATCACTCTGAGCCTTTTGTGAACAAGTGACACCCATGTATCTCTCTCCTCTCCTTCCCATCTCTCTTCTCCTCGCTTCCTCGACCACCTACGCACTCCCAAACGAGCCAGCAGCAGCACGGCGGGATGCTGGAAGGGCGCCTTTGACCGTTCCGCTCATTCGCCGCGGGCTTGAGAAACGTGAGCACACCGCTGAAGAATGGGCCGAGCTCGCTGCAAATCTACGTGGCAAGTACGGTGGACCGTCTGCAAAATCGGGGCGGCGCGCGTTGAACACGGTGTGCGTTTCTTTCGCAACGGCCAAAGATAACTCGCGCTAACCGACTGCGGGAACCTCTTTTTTTAGATCTATGACCAACCAACAAGCAGATACGAGTTATCTAGGAGTGATTCAAGTTGGCACTCCTCCGCAGGCTGCAAACGTCGTCCTTGATACGGGTTCCGCGTGCGTGATTCAAGGCTAATCATGAGACTTGTATTTATGACATTATGATATTCTAGTGATCTCTGGATAAGCTCGAGCAATTGTGCCCGTTGCGCTAGCCAAGCCACTGGCGCACGTTTCAACCAAGCGCAAAGCTCGACTTTTAATTCTGTCCAAGGCAACCTCGATGTCACCTATGGCTCTGGGCGGGCAGTCGGTACGCTAGGCTCCGACGTGGTTCAGATAGGCCAGTTCCAAGTCACTTCCCAAGTCTTTGGCCTTGCGACATCTATCAGCGACCAGTTTCTGACAGGGAATTCATCCGGTATCTTGGGCCTCGGGTTTCGTTCGTTGGCGAGCACTGGCGCAAATCCCTGGTGGCAACAGGCAATTTCAGCATGGGACGCGCCACAAATGTCGTTCTACTTTACCAGGTTTCGTAATGTGCCTGGCGCAACGAATATCGATGAGCCCGGTGGCCAGTTTACGCTCGGCGGCACAAACTCGTCGCTCTACCAAGGTTCAATCAACTTTACCAACCTCGTTCGTGCGCAGTATTGGACGATTCCCATGACTTCAATCGGCATTGGTAACAGCGCGAGTATCCAACTTGGCTCTGGCAACCAGAACGCAGCCATCGATACCGGCACGACCCTCATCGGTGGCCCGTCGTCTGTACTTGACCAGTTTTATTCCTTGATCCCTGGCGCAACCCGTGGCTCACAGGTCAACCCAAATCTTCAAGATTATTATGTCATCCGTACGTGTTAATAATACTCTTTTCGGCGTCCCAATCTCATCTATCTATCAGCCTGCAATGCCAATGTGCAAGCAACGCTTACCTTTGGTGGCCAAGCGTATACGATGCAAGCATCTGATCTCATCGGAGGCACGCTTTCTGGTGGCCAGCAATGCATTGGTGCCTTTTTCGTACTCGACCTTCAATCTGGATCGTCACCTATTCCAGGTGCAGCATCTGGCGTGCCAGCATGGGTCGTAGGAAGCGCATTCCTGAAAAACGTCTACAGCGTCTTCCAGTCGGACCCTGCAGCAGTCGGATTCGCTACTCTACGAGACAATGTTCAAGAATTTGGCACACTGGGTGTCGCTGGCTTTTCGGTCGACGAAAACGGCCACACCAATGGAACCATTATTGGTGCCGCCAGCCCTCGACGCCCGATGACAATGTTGGGTGGTGGAAGTGTTTTTGCTGCTAGTGCGCTCTGGAGCGTCGTTGGACTTGTCGCTGTGCTGGTCTCGACTTCGCTATAGTCCGACACTGACGGCCTCCCCTCCCCGATGGTCTCTCGCGCTCTACATCATCCTTCCTCGCATCCTCGTGCATTATGCAAAATTATCTCGTAACGCTCTCCTTCATCGCTATTTGTACAAATCCGGACATTTCATTTCTCCTTGCTCGCAACCCAGCTCCCGATGCAGGTCGGTGAGGATCATTAACTCTTTTCCCTACGGTGTAGCGTATTGAAATAACCAATAAATGGGCTCATTGACATGATGAAATGGATAACTGAATCAAGTCAACTCTGTCTGTTCACGGTTCACACAGAAGTCCATGATTTTGTATCTCCCGCTGTCAATGACTGTTTATACTCATTTGAGACGCAGGTGACATGACCAATATTTATATAGTTAGTTCCTATAGTAGAAAGAATCCAATTTTTATTGAATCGAGAGGGTGGCGGATGGTGTGGCGTTCCAAGCTCTACTGTACGATGGGATAAGGGTCGTTTACTAATATAGGCAGAATGATTTAGGGAATCCTGAAGAGTAGGATGGGTAGGATGGAATCGCAGCGGCCGAGGTGGACAGACTGTCCGGAAAGTGGCGCCAGCGGCGACTGTCGATAGACGCAGACTTGAGGCCCTGAATTGCTCAGCTTGGCGCTATGATTCTTTCTCTTGGCGGAGGATGTTTATCTGGCCTCCCAGTCTTGCTTGCAGGTCAGTCCCTCTTGCTCCTCTTCCCCCTTCGCTTTACTCATCTCTAATAATAATTCACACGTCAAGAGGCAGTGAGACGGTTGTAATATCAACCCAGAGCACCTCTGTGGACAGACTACCCGCATAAATAGTGGCCTCCATCGAACACCGATGTATCTCTCTCATCTCCTTCCTTTATTACTTCCTCTCGCGCCTTTGACCGTATTCGCACTTCAAAATGAACCAAAACCAGCACGGCGAAATGCTGGCATGGCGCCTGTGACCATCCCACTAATACACCGCCGGCTCAAGTTTGAGAAACGTGATCGCACCGCTGAGGGATGGGATGAGCTCATAAATCTACGTGGCAAATACGGTGTAGATCCTACAAGATTTAGGCGGCGTGCATTGAACACGGTGTGCGTTACTCTCTCAACAGCCAAGGACAGCTCGCGCTAACAGACTGCGGGACCTTAGATCCACGACCAACCAAGATGCAGATGTAGGGTATTTAGTGAGGATACAAGTTGGCACTCCTCCAAAGGATTTCAATGTTTACCTAGACACGGAACTTGGGTACGTTAATGTAAATCTGATCTTGTGAACACGCCCAGTTCTGACTCTTGTGATACCTCTAGTGACCTCTGGCTAAGCACAAGCTCGTGCCTCCGTTGCACCAGCCCGGCAACAGGCACGCCTTTCAACCAAACCCAAAGCTCGACTTTCAGTCCTGTCCAAGGCACTCTCAACACAACCTATGGCTATACGCACATATTCGGTACTCTTGGCTCCGATGTGGTTCAATTAGGCCAGTTCCAAGTATCCTCCCAGACATTTGGTCTTGCGACATCTCTCGGTGGCTCTATTCTGATCGGAGGTTCATCCGGTATCTTGGGCCTCGGATTTCGTGGACGAGCGAGCTCTGGTGCAATTCCATGGTGGCAACAGGCAAGCACGGAATGGAGCGCGCCACAAATGTCCTTCTATCTCACTCGGTCCCGCCATGGGCCTTATGCGACCAATGTGGAAGAACCTGGTGGTCAGTTTACGCTTGGTGGTACTAATTCGTCACTCTACCAAGGCTCAATAAACTTTATCAACCTCGTTCATGATCGATATTGGGCTATCCCCATGACTGCGATCGGTATTGTCAACAACAAGGATATCCAAGTTGACTCTGGCAATCAGGTTGCGGTCATCAATACAGATATGAAGTTCATCGGTGGCCCGTCGTCTGTCCTCGACCAGTTTTACTCGCTGATTCCTGGCGCCCGCCCGGGGTCACAGGTCAGCTCTAGTCTTCGAAACGATTATATCATCCGTATGTATTACTTTCGTTCTTGTGCCATCTGGCTTATCACTCGCCTAGCCTGCAATACCAGTGTACAAGCAACGCTCACATTTGGTGATCAAGCATATACGATGCAAGCCTCTGATCTTATTGGAGGCAAGACCTCTGACGGCAAGCGGTGCCTTGGCGCATTCTTCAAACTCGACCCTCAATATCTATCGTCACCTGGGAATGCATCTACCACGCCGACATGGGTCATTGGAAGCGCATTCTTGAAAAACGTCTACACTGTCCTCCAGTCGGAACCTGCTGCAGTTGGATTCGCTAGGCTACGGGATAACGTCCAAGAGTTTGGTACCCTAGGCGTTGCCGGCTTTTCAATCAACGAGAATGGTCATACAAATGGAACCATTACCGGTGCGGCCAGCTCCCAAAGTGGGATGACGATATTAGGCGGTGCACTCTGGAATGTCATTGGACTCGTCGTTGTGCTGGTCTCGACCTTGCCATAGCCGAGACTGACAGCCTTCTCAATTTGAACTCTTCACCCCGTAAGTCATCTCACCCTGTCGCGTATTCATGGATTTTGCAAAACCATCTCGTAACGTTTTCATCGCTATCTGGAAGATCCCGACATTACGTTTCTCCTAGTCTTACGACCCAGCTCCCGATGCACTGGCTCTTTTGCTACTTTGTGATGTATTGAAATAACCAATAAACAGGAGCTTTTATATAACGAAATACCAACTGGATCACATCAAGCCAGTCCGCTCACAGCTCTCAAGGGGGAAGCATATATAGTTTGTGTTCCCGATTGTCAATGGCTCTTTCGAGTTGAATACTATCCTCATTTGATTCCCAGATGATAAAAATAACATTTATACAATGACTATACTACCCTACAGTAGACGGGATCCAGTCAGGCATTGAATCCGACCATTGGTTACAATAGCATTGGTTTCCGTGATGTATAACATTCTATTCTACTGCAATATGGAATCATGACGGAGCCAATCGTCGTTTACTGCCGGGAACCAGATGTTTTAGAGAATCCTAACAGTGGTATGTAAAATGGCTGGTCCTCAGTGGCAAAGGGTTTTCGGGTGGCTAGATGTGGAGCTGAACCCTTGAATTATTCAGCTCGGCATTACGTTTCCCTCTCTTGGCGAAGATCTTTATCTGGCCTCTCAGCCCTACCTACCTGTAGGTTATCCCCTCTTTCTCCTCTCTCCCTTTGCTTATCCCTCTCCAACAGGATCTGACATATAAAAACGCAGTAAAGGAACTACTCTATCAGCTCTAAACGCCTTCGTGGACAAGCTAGCTGCGGAGATAGTGATCTCCATTGAACATCCCATGCGTCTCTCTTTTCTCCTTGCGACCACTCTTCTCTTCGCTTCCTCAGCCACATGCGCGCTGCCAAATGACCCAATAGTAGCACGGCGAGGTGCTGGCATGGCGCCTGTGACGGTCCCTCTCATCCGCCGCCAGCCCGAGTTTGAGAAACGTGACAACACCGCTGAGGAATGGACTGAGCTCACTGCAAACCTACGTGGCAAATACGGTATAGGTTCTAGAAAATTGGGGCGGCGTGCTTTGAGCACGGTGTACGTTACTACTCCCGCAATGGCCAAAGATAGCTCGCGCTAACAGACTGCGGGACCTTAGATCCATGACCAACCAAAATTCAGATCTGGGGTATATAGTGAGGATACAGGTTGGTACCCCTCCAAAGGATTTTAATGTTTACGTAGACACAGAACTCGGGTACGTTAGTTTAAATCTCATACTGTGAAAACGCCCAATTCTAACTCTTGTGATACTTCTAGTGACCTCTGGCTAAGCACAAGCTCTTGCTTCCTTTGCACCAACCAGGCAACAGGCGCGCCTTTCAACCAAACCCAAAGCTCGACTTTCAGTCCTGTCCAAGGCACTCTCAACACAACATATGGCTATGCACACATAGTCGGCACACTCGGCTCTGATGTGGTTCAAGTAGGCCAGTTCCGAGTGTCCTCCCAGACATTTGGTCTTGCGACATCTATCGGCAACTATGTTCTCATCGGGAATACATCCGGTATCTTGGGCCTTGGGTTTCGTGGACGAGCGAGCTCTGGCGCAATTCCATGGTGGCAACAAGCAAGTACGGAATGGAACGCACCACAAATGTCCTTCTATCTCACTCGGTCCCTGGCGGGATCTGGTGTACAAGTACCTGGCGGGCAGTTTACGCTTGGTGGTACTAATTCGTCACTCTACCAAGGCTCAATAAACTTTATCAACCTCGTTCATGATCGATACTGGGCTATCCCCATGACTGCAATCGGCATTGCCAACAACCAAAATATCCAAGTTGGCTCTGGCAATCAGGTCGCAGTCATCGACACAGACATGGAATTTATCTATGGCCCGGCGTCTGTTGTCGACCAGTTCTACTCGATGATTCCTGGCGCCCGCCCGGGGTCACAGATCGACCCTAATCTTCAAGGCTTCTATATCGTCCGTACGTATACACTTCAGTTTCTTTGCCTCTAGCTTATCCGTATTCTAGCCTGCAATACCAACGTACAAGCAACGCTCACATTTGGTGGTCAAACATATCCGATGCAAGCATCTGACTTGATTGGAGTGAGAAGTACTGACGGCAAGCTGTGCATTGGTACATTCTCCATACTCAACCCTCAATATCTGTCGTCACCTGGGAGTGCATTTGCCACGCCGACATGGGTTATTGGAAGCGCATTCTTGAAAAATGTCTACACCGTCCTCCAGTCGGAGCCTGCTGCAGTTGGATTCGCTAGGCTGCGGGATAATGTCCAAGAATTGGGCACAATAGGCTTCGCTGGCCTTTCAATCGACGAGAATGGTCATGCAAATGCTGCCGCCAGCCCTCGACATAGAACGACAACATTAGGTAGTGGAGGCGTACTTGCTACTGGTGTACTCTGGGCTGTCGTTGGACTGACCGCTGTGACGATCTGAACCTCGCTATAGTCCAACACTAGTGGCCTTCTCTCCCGGTTTGCTAACCCCTCACCTCCCATCCATTCTCTCTTTTCGCGTGCCCATGCCTTATGCAAAATCTTCTGTATCGCTTTCATTGTTATTTGTAGAATATGGATATTCATCCTCGTGACTTGCGACACATGCAGGTCGATGAGGATGAAGTGAACTATCCCTTTATGGTGTAGCGCATTGAAATAATCAATATGATCATTGAAATAAGGAAACATCAGATCAACTGCTCCACGAGCATAGAAATGGCTTTGGGCTGAGGTTCAAGTTAGGCATCAATAAGCACCCGAGTTTGGATGGTTGGTGAAACCAATATGCCAACTTATATAAAAACTAGACTATCCTACAGTAGAAGTAGACTGAAAGAATCCAGTAAGTGATTGGATTGCCAAGAGACCGGCTACAGTGGCTTTGGTTTACACGATGTAGAAAGAGTAACATTCCAGGCTCCATTGCGCAATGTAATTATGACTGGATTAATGGCCGTTTGCTGCTAGATAATGAGGGTCGAGGAAAGGAACGGAATTGTTTAGAGAATCCTGAAGAAGAATGAGATGGAGGTGGAGATGGAGAATGGGTCGGCATCGGTGGTTGATGCTCGTGGACTGTCTTCATCGCCCTGGAGGAGGAAAACGAGCCGCCCACTAGTGAACGACCGCTCCAAAACGTTGCTCGTGTGGGATTTGCACTCATCGGAGGCACCTTTGCACGCGGAGACGGCGGTGGAGGCGAGTCGCGCTTCGAGATGGATGTACTCTTCGAGTGACCGATACCGTTCAATGACGGCTTGGAACTATGTCGCTTCGAGGAGAATGGATAGCGGAAGAAAGATTTGCGTTTTGATGGAGCGGAGATTGGGGTTGGTTGAGGGCTGGCAGTACGAGAATTTGTGCGCGCAAGTGTATGCATGGTGGTCACACTACCTGCACGTGAAGGGAAGTAAGATTGTTGGTAAGGTGGAGGGGTATCATGGCCGTGCGTGGCGAGTGGGGATGGGGACGTATCACCTACTACTCCTGAGAGCGGGGAGCGAGGTGAAATCGCAGCAGTTGAAGGTAGGCTGTCAGGAAGTGGCGGGACAGGTGGCGGTGGGTCGACGCGAAGTGGATGTCTCGAGTTTTCCAGCTTGGCATTGCGCTTCTTTCTCCGGGCAAAGAGCGTAAGTCCGTTTTCATCACCTTCCGCAAAGGCAACAGGCGAAGGAGTCGCAATTTCCCTGGTCTCAGTTGTGAGTGCGACGCCGATAGATGCTGTCATATCATCTTCCGAGCTATTCAAAGAAAATGTGTCGTCTCGCATTCCAACAACCGCCTCGCTTTCGCCTCTTGCAGTTGCACGACTGCTTCCCATCGAAGATAGGACTGAAGACTTGTCACTACCCCGCCGACTTGGATATGCCTGCCCCAGCATCGATGTCGATACTTTGCCGCGGAGAGATGGGGGTCCATCCTGAACAGGGTGAACAGGGCACGCAGCAGTCTCCGGTTCCTCTCCCTCTACGGCATCCACAACCTCACCGAAAATGATGCGTGTTCTTCGGCGTGCCTGAGCAAGACGATCCACGGACCGCGGTCGTGCGAGCGTCGACATGGTGGGCGAGGTCGGCGCCGAGATCAGCGAAGACGCAATTGAATTGGCCGACTGATGCCCGAACGATTGATTGTGGTTCAAAGAGGAGATGGATGGCATGGGCGGAATTGACTGCTTTGGAGAGGTTGCGTTTCCGTCTTGAAGATACGCAACGGACGACGTACGCCGCGGAAAATGCCAGTCGTCCCATTTTTGTGTTTGTTCCGTCGCTTGCTCCTCTTCCGGGAGAGGCGGGAGCGATGGGCTGGACTCTCGAGGAGTGGCTACCATGCCTAGAACTGTATTGAATTGTTCGTCGACGCCCCGTTCCTGAGTGCCAGTAAATGTTGTTCGAGATGATGAAAGGCTCGCATAACCTGTAACAGACTCGCTGAATATGGGCGTCTGTGGCGTGCGAGGAAGCCCAGGAGAAGGCGGGGATGGGAAGGCGTTACAGTAGTGGTCGAGCGAGAGGTCCCAGGTCAGAACGGAGTCCATCGTCGCCCTCGAGCCTCGATTATCGATTTCCCCGGCAAGTTCTTCGATCAAATCCGCCAGCGACTTGTTGGGAACGGACAACATGCTGGCCGGGATAGGTGATGGTGTTTGTCGCCCGCGTTCAGCTAACGTTGGAAGAAGTTGAGCACTTGCGCGAGTACGCTCGATCCGTGGTCCACGCATAACGATCTGCGCGTCTTCCTCAGAGTCTGTCGAAAAATCGGACACAGCGTCGTCGTCCTCCTTATATACCTCCTCGACTGGGGTCTTGGTGACAGAAAATGGACGCTGATAACCGGCATTCATCACTGTACTGACAGGTCGTGAATAGCGCCGTGAACCTGGACGATTCAGAGAACTTCGATGAGACATTGCTCGACTGTTGCGATGCGTCGATACCCTGATCGACTGCCTTCGAGTGGAAGGAGCTCTTTGGATGGGTAGTTCCGCTCTCTCGGACGAATTAGATCGTCGAGGTCGCCTCGAGAATCGCTGCATGAGGCTCGAACGCGTCGTCGGTTGATTCGACATTCTAGTGATGGATCAGTAATAGATCGAGGTAAACACTTTAATAGAGTTACCGCTTCATTGCGACGGTAGAGGACGACCCTAGAGGCTTCGGAAAGTCGTCCCTTCGTAGGCGGGCGGAGGAGGAATCTTGGGTGCTCGTACCCGCAGACGGCGCAGTACTGGGCCTTTTTCTTGAGTATGTGGGAGCATGTGCTCGCGGACTGACTTTCCTCCGGAGGCTTGGTTGTTTCACTATATTCATACTATTGCGGTTTCCCACATGGTTTTTCCGCAATACTACAAAGAGAGTGAAAAATTGAGTGAAAGCCGGTATGCTTGTCATTTAGCGACTCACCAGCTTGCTGCTGTTCTAGTCTCGGGGCTTCTATCTGGGGTTCCGAGGGCTGCAAGGACAGCTTGGATGTCGACTTGCGGAGCTTTGAAAAAGAGAGGAGATTTTTAGAGGAAAGAGAGAGTGAAGAGACGGAAGGCGAGTTCCGTATAGGCCTTGTTTCTGCCTGGTTGGTGTCCATCTCGAAGTGTCGCTTTTACTGCACGGAACTGGATTGAGCGAGTTCTAAGCCAGTCCGACAGTCTCTGCACAGTCTTCCAAGAGGTATCCAAGCAAAGAGAGAAGGTATGGTGGAAAGGTCGAGATGGTTACGGCGGCCGGATGGGGATGGCGGCAGGGCTGGGCAAGCGTCGCGGGAGGCTGCAAGCAACGACATTTTATGAATGCCGGATGCGCCGCGGCCGTAAATCTCGCCTTGTTCCACGTTTCGCGCGTCGTTTCGTCATGCTGATCGACGGTGGTGAGTTCTGGGAGCAATTGCGACGAAATACTGACCTCTCTAGAAGACGATGCCCACGTTTTGCTACGGACCAGATTCTTGGAACCGCATAGAGATAATAGACAGGGCTAGCGAGTGGATTTCCATTATCCATTACGGGTGTAAAGCCATCAGCGGAAGTGGCATCCGCTCTGCCCTGAAGTTGCTCCACGACGTTGACAGCCCTTTGATCGAGGAATTATTTCCTGTTTTTGTCGATAATTCTCAGGACAGCGCTGCTCCTATGATGCCAGTGGCTTGGTATCAAGATGCTCGCCACTTTGTACACCTCCGCCACGACAAGGTGAGCTCTACGCTCCAGTCTCCACAGAGGGAGATGTCCTAGTCCAAACAAAGGCGCCAACTCCTTGCGGACTAATTAAACTTGCCTCGCCTCTTTTGTTTCGTCGGTCACGCCAAATCGCTTCGACACAAAAGTGCCTTGCATCCGTCCATGTCTCGGCTCACTCAAGTTTGAGATGGTCAATAATACCATGGGATTGTGCAATAGATCCTTTCAGTATCTCCATCTAGGCTTTCCCATATCTTAGAACCCACAACTCTCCTGAGCGGAGCTGGACAAGCGCCGTGCCGCTCCAATCTGACAGGAGGAAGAGGTAAACCTCGCTCGTGCGACACGCCAAACTCTTCGGGATCTCCATCAACTTTGACGCCTGAAGCTGGATGGCGGCTGCCGACTCGGGGGGATGAGTGCCATTGATCTTTAAGAGGTCTCGGAACGGACGTGTAGCCTCTGCACGTATCTGTGCGATAGGTGCGAGGTTTTCGACAACGAGCGTGAATAAGCGGAATCGCACCTCCAGTGGTTCCTCTAAAAGGTGCGCAGGCAGAGGCGAATCTACGATGAATGGGGGCAGATGTTCAGGCGAAATTGTCTCGCCATATGGCCACGGTCTCCACCATAGAAATCTCCTCCCAGAGGATGTCGGAACGGCGAGGTGCTTCAGCTTGGACTCTTCGAGCAATCGATATGCCTCTGGTTCTCCATCAAATTCCACTTGATGGCCACCTTGTCTCGATACATCTGCTTGAGAGATGCTTGGAGTTGGAAAAAGTCGAAGCTGAACCTCATCACGCTATAGGTTCCGCGACCGCCGGGCCTCAGGCAGAGTCGTACTGTGCTTATACGCTCACCTGTATATCGGTGACAAATTCGGCATGAAAAGTATTCGGAGGAATGCCATACCGGCCCTGGGTATGGAATCTGATAGGTGAATACGGGGAGGGGTAATTCTGGTAGTTCGGGAATAGCGGTTATACGGCCTTCTGTCTTTCGAATATCGGGGAATCCAGCCACTTCTCGATAAGGATAGGGTACGATTTGTGCCACTACTTGTTCGCGTTTGGTAAGCCCGACGTTGATAAAGTACTCCTCGTATAATCCAATCCTCAGGGAAGGATAAAGCTGAACAGGATGAGTTTCCCGCATGATGGATATTCAATACAAACCTCTGGGAGTACAATCATTTTCTTATCTGGCCAGTGCAGCATGGCAATGTCTCCAAGTTTGTCTGACCGAGAATCGATGCGTGGAAAGACCATGACAATGAATGAACCCGCAAGGTTGAGATGGCTGGCCATCGTAGGGGTGATCTGTTCTCCTAGTAGCTCAATAGTCGCCAGACTTTGTTCTGGATCGAAGTTGATGTCAAACAGACAAAACCCAGGATGCTCGCTAACCGGGCGTCAGAACAACCCCTGTCAAGGGAGAAACTTGTTGGCCTACCCGTCTTTGTCTCTAACAAAGCAATTCATGATCATGGTGGCTTGATTCTGTTGACCCTCGCCCTCCTTGAACTCGACGGCCCAAGTGACGCGAACGTCTCTATAATTCCGTTGTTCTGGGGTATATCTGGCTCCATCCCAGATCAGGGCAATCTTGCCAGTGCGAAGATGGAGGATTCGCACAATATTGTTGGTGGACACATTCACCATCCAGTTCCCGGGGTCGTCAACGAGATGCATTGATATCGCATCTACAGATGATTCCTGACTGCTGTACTCTGTTTCCCGCACACCCTCGGAGAGTGCCATTGGCCATGGGAAATATGCTGAGGACCGAAGCTTGGGACAATCCGAGCTGAGGTTGCGTTCGACGAGAACAGCTCGATGAGCCGCAACAGATAATTCGCCCGCACTATATTCATAGAGCGTCTTCGCTCGTCCAAGAGGGAGCACGAGCCCGCAATGGGCGAGCGTGCCTATCCAGAACGATGTCCGAGTCATTGCGAGCGTTCGTAATACTGAATTAACCTATGAACCATATAATTAGTTGGATATAACTATAGAATGGCGAAAGTCACTTCTGAGAGCGCGACAAGCGCAAATATATCGAGATAGTTGCATATCTCAAAGATAAGTGCTTCAGGCAGTGAATCTAAGCGTTCTTTCATTGTAACAATGTATATATTGAACTTGAAGATGGGTCCAAATCCGGACCAGATAACGGGGAGTCCAAGGTTGGCCACAGCGCCTAGCTTGCTCCCAACCGCCACGGGATGCTCGCACACGACGGATCTGGACCATGGACCAAAACACCGGTAGAAGTCTGGGAGCACATCATCTTCTTCGCTGTCACACTCGACGCCTCTTCCAATGCAAATTTTCCCATCTTTGACGCGCGGTGTACGCCGTCCATCTATCTCGCCTTTAAACGTACATGTGGAGACCACCACTCGCAGGTCTATCCATCCCCAGCCTACACCGAAACCGAACGCACCCGGCGCACGCTCAGGCTCGTTTGTCGATCCTGGAACGCCGTCGTCAGCCAATGGCAGCTCCGAAAGCGTTGGCTAAGACTCTACGCGTCAAAGGAAGAGATACCCGATGAGATGTGGATGGGCGCGCTGAGGATCGAATTTCGTGAAGCGTCCGCGCCCGTAAATTGGGAGCCAGAAGAGGTCGGGCTCGACAGGGTGACCAAGTGGATCAATAGATGGAGCGAAATTGGTCCACTGCGCCTCCAACGCTTGGAGCTGTTGAGAGTAACAGTGGTCACATTCCATGGCATATTTGCTGCACTCTGCGGTGCCTCCGCTGCCCTTCCCCATCTTCGGTCACTTTCACTGTACATTCCGAATCACTATCTGGGCGTAACGAGACGACTGTCACGGCATTTTCCCCAACTACGACATCTCACGTTTGACCTAAACATTCTGAGCGACGGCCCTTTAGCATGGGACGTGAAACAGCTCAAAGAAGCGCAGAATGTGAAAGAACTGGAACGTGCGATGGACGATACACTCGACTTACCCAACCTCGAAACCCTTTTTCTCTTTAGCGCATCACATCTCCCGACCCTACGGAACTGGCATCTCCCGAACCTGCGGCATGTTCACATACAGCCTACACACTCTTATTGGGATGAAATAGTTCATCCCTTTCTCCTCCGCCACGCATCGACGATTCAAACGCTTGATCTAGATGACTGTACCATCGGTGCGAGCGGCATACTGACAAATACGATGCACATCGATAGTAAAGTTTTTGAAGAAGGATTCTGGGACAACTTTCCGTCTCTCCAACTCCTCCGTTGCGCATTGCAGCACATAACAACTGCAGGTTTACCAGGACCCAAGCACCCACTGCGATATATAGTCGACACAGATCCTATTAGTGAAACATCGGGGTTCGTACACGTGCTCAAGACCTGGGTTGACGGGTTGCCGGAAGGCAAGTATCTCGACTCCATCGTTCTTTATGGGAGCTATCTCTCTAGAAGAGACTTTGAGTACGAACGGGGCGAGGTACAACGGCTCTTGCGACTCTTGCGTTGGAATGGAACGAAATTGTGCAACCCGGCTGGAAAGTTGTGGATTGAACCCCTCTGATCCTTGTTACGAACCATTTCATGTATTGCTAGTTGGTGTTGAATAAACCAGTGTCTGAAGAAGCCCCAGGATACGAGCATGCGGACCTCCCCTCGAATGCCACCGCTATCGCATGACCCAAACAAATAACCGAACGGCAAAAACCAAGCCAATTCGGGGACTCCTATCGACGAGATTAACATTAGTTTTGCAATTTGTGGTACAACCAGGTGCTCTGGACTGGACCAAGATAGATGAACTGGTTGAGCGACGCCAGAGGAAGCGACGGGGTAGAGTTGAATAAGCCGGAACATGTGCTTGAGAAGGAGTAACTTCAATGACACTGGGACTTTTCTCTGAAAGAGAGCGTGAGACAATGAGCGTAACGACAGTGGTGCAACATACCCGGTTCCCGGGAGGCTCAATCAAATTATCTACTAGAAATACGAGCCAGTATAGGATTACTTGCTCCTCTCATTGGCACCTTGGGATTGCTGGCCTCTGCGGCTCTTCGGCCGGAACAAGGACCATGATTGGCGACCTCTGCTGCCAAGGACGACGGGTAACAAGTGCTAATAACGCTGTAGGTAGGAAAGGTGAACGTATCTTAAACCAGCCGGTGGGACTTGAACATGAGCAACCCGCGCTGGCGTCGGAGAGGAATCGAGCAAGGCCGGTTCAATGTAGCGGTTGGACCGGGATGGGCGGGTGGGATGAGACAAGTGAGCGGATAATTTAGCAGGAGCGAGCGAAGAGAAGGCCCACTCACAGCTTGCCTGCGTGCCCGAATCGCGTTAGCTGTAGGGACGAGTCCTGAATACGAGAGAGCGCGTTGAATAGTAGAGAGGGTGGCAAAGGAATGATCGTATAAGCGGAGAGAGTGCGTCTGCGCGGTGGCGGCAGACTTGGTCGGGTACAAGAGTATTTGCCACGGATGCCGCAGACGCAATTGTCGTTACCTTTTCCTCCTCGCTATAGCCCTCTGAGGATCAGAGACCTTCTGATCCAGTATGGAAATCACCAAGGTGCGTTCTGGAGAGTTCATCCGTCTGCCGCCTATCACGATGACATGTGCAGGCGATTGGCTTCTGCGAAACAGCAAATAGGCGGCCCGGGAACCCACTAATACGATGGTTCCCCAACAAGGATGAGACAAGCAGACTCGGGCTTGCTGAAATGATGATCAATTGAGAACCATGTCTGGACCCTCTATCGGTGACAGTCTGTCGAGGGTCGTGGGGAGAACGATGCAGGAGGTCAAATGACGACGCTGGGGTGAACATAGTGTTGGCACCGGCGGAGCAGTGATACTTGAGGTGGTAGTCGAGGTAAGCGACGAGAGGGACGAACCCGTGCGCGGATGATCGACTATAGAACCACTAATTTGTGCGACCCTGGGTGACGGGTTTGAGAGAGTGGATGGGCGCCTGCAAGAGCACAAACTAACGAGGCAACACTCGAGCCAGCCCTTGCTGAGCTCCTAAGGCATGCACGAGGTCGCAGTATCGTGGAAAGATGAATTCGCGTCCAGGATCCTTTTCTCCTTTCTCTGCGGGTGAGCCGTTCGTGTCGGAATCAAACAACCTTGACATTATCCTCACGTTTGAAGGTTTGGCAAATTCGGGCAAGCCGAAGCTTTCGAGTCGTCAGAGTAGATAAATAGTGCAACATAACATAACTCACAATCTCGTCCGTAGATTTTGAGTCCTTAGCCATCAGGAACGCACCGCGCGTGAGGCTTGGAGATATCCTGAGAGACTTCAGATTGGCTGATACACCATCTGACTTGACAACCACATCCAAATCCACGAGAAATTTTTCGAGGCGTTAGTATTGATGAACCGGCGAGGAAATACCGCGTACTTTTGCACGACGCGAACCTTTCGAAGCCTCCCGGGATGCCATTGGTGGAATCATTTCACCTCCTCTCACTATACGATAGGACAATAGTTGAACTTGATGTGTTTGTAGTTTGTTGCGACGAGAACTGAAATCCAAAGTGTCTGATGGCACATCCGAAGGAGGACACTGAAATTTGGCTAATAGAGGTTCAAAATTACTATGGAGGTGTATATCATAATGGAAAGGTCCCCGCGACAGAGTTTTCGTGGAAGTGAGTCTCGTTGTGACGGTTTGAGTCACAAGCAACCAGTTCAGAGTCCATACTCGGAGTCATATCTTGAAACGACGTAGCCAAAAGATCAATAGGAAATAAATGTGGGATGTGGATGAAAAAACGATTCATTTTAGGCATTCATTACATAGTCCTCGCCCTCTGCTGCAACAGAAGGAGATGATGATACCCTAAGAAGGTGATCTACGAGGTTGAACACGTCGTGGCAAGCAATTATAATTAATGGGTGAAGTCCGATGGCGAGTGGTATGCGAGGTCAGGTGCTAGTCGGATTACAGCATGAGCGACCTGCGATAGGTGTGCCATCTCGGTCAAAAAACTGCGTGAGAATGATTAGCAGATAACAGTGCACAGAGAATGTACTTACCGAAGCGAAACAAGTAGAAGTCCGACGAAGAGAGAGAGAGGAAGAGGAACGAGAGAGGAGTGAGAACGATAGTCGCGAGACGACGCAGCCATCCCAAGAACATAGAAATAGAGAGGGAACAAGAGAGAGAGGAGCAGCAGAAGGGAGAGAACGAGACCACGCGGCCATCCCAAGAGAATAGAGATCATAGACAATGTCTCTAGTTATCATTCTCCTTGTCGGAGGTACGAGGCTTTTTATTGGCTGACCGGCTGTGAGATGACAGACTCTAACCCGTAGAATCGAGCTCACCGGGGGTAAAGTAATTCATTATTGACTCTTTTGAACGTTTGACACCACTGTGAATGCAATTAGCGTAAATTCGCGCGCTGTACAAGACCTACATGGTTGTCTTTGGTTTTTGGGGTCGTCTTTTGGAGACATTAGAGACATTAGTTGGACCCAGAGGCGTCTTCGTAGTCTTGGTGGTTGTGATCTTGGTGGTCGGAGCGGGATTGGTAGCGACCTTGTTCACACCCGGAGCGATAACAGGAGCGTTGGAAGTCTTGAAGTATACTTGACCCGCACGATCCTTGTGCTTGGCATGCTGTCTGCCCAGAAGATCAGCCTGGCACCGTCGAGTACGCGCTCTATTACTGACTCGGGGGGACTTTCGGACGTCGACCATGTGAGATCGATGAGGAAGAGTTTAAACGACGCAAGATAGTATTCGATGTTGTCGGCGTAGGCCCTGATGATCACCGTGCTCTCCTGAAGTACATGAGCGTACGGCGTTTCCTGGACACGAGCTATCGAGTGTCAGATGGATGCGAGTACCAGAGATGTCGTCGAGCTTACCCAAAAGAGAAGAGCACCGAGCCAACATGCTATCTAGTTCGAATGGCAATGGTGGAATGAGCTCTCGACAGAGTTGGATGGGGGCTCCCATTCGGGCCAGCTGCTCGCTTCATCAACGTCAGCCATGAAGCATGAGTAGGGCGAGTGAGCACTCACCTGGTAGCTTTGCTTCTAACGGACTTGTCCTCGAAGTAGTCAAGGATGTTGTAGAACGAGCGGCTGTTAATTTGCCGCATATTCTCGAGGGCGTTTATGAGGAGCAGGAGGTCTTTGCCGAGCTGGGCGAGCTCGACGTCTGGAGAATTCATCTCTGCAAAATGCCAGATGAGCGCGTGAAGAGTCATCGAGGAGAAACGCACCGTGGGCAACGACGGAGAGCTCGTTCAAACACTTGGTGATGCGCTGCTGCATCTCTGGTGGTGCTCCGGGCATGGAAGGATCCATTGGCGGTGATGGTGAATACATAGACGACGCAGACATAGAGAAAGAGTGGACGGGAAGGAAAGTGGACAAGATGCGAGTGCGAGTGAGGATGAGCTCGAGCGAGTGAAATAGTCCTCAGACGATGAAACGATCAGGGGACGGGTTGTCTAATTGGCAAGCCTTCTGTCTTCTGTAAGATGCTTAGCGGGAGCCAATCCCCTTTGGCTCTGCAGCTGTCTCGCGCGTGGCTTGGAATGATCGTTCACCGGCATACCAAAATTCCTACTGCGAAGAACCGCACTGGCGATGACAAGGCTCTTGCTGCCCTTTTATATATGTTATTTATAGACGCCAAGACTGGACGCACGTCAACAATCAGGGCATAGAAGCACCTCTTGTGACCGTGAAATCCAAATGTGAAAGTGTCGGTGGCGTGGTGGACCCAGTCCGTCGCGTTGGGCTAGCAGCGTGCTCAGTACGTTGAGCTCAATAAGCGGGTTATTCGAGACAAGATATTCATTTCTTGGCTCCGCGGCCAACCATTCCAGCCGACGAAAATGTTCACCATCGAGGCACGTTCCAAGTCCATTACTTCCTAATCAGAAAAGAACTCGCGAAGCGGGCTGTCAGGTGGCGAGCTCTGTCCACAATTGGGTAATGAAATTTCGCTTGTCAGAGCATTAAGATATAGAATCTTCGGCGGCGGTAGAAAAACCCGAGCCTCTGTTGATACCGAAGAACGTAGTCTAGCACTGGTAGAGGACGGACACCAAGCAACCCTTCCAACAGACGAGGAGACCGAAGCTACGCAGCGCTTTTAATCTGGCATAGACAACTCTGCGGCTGTTCGTGGCTCCGCGGTTCCCAACATTGAGAGAGAGGGTTTCATGCTGAACTCCGCAACGAGGACAACTGCCACCAACCGAGTCAACTCCTCTTGTGAGAGTCTTGAAATACCTAACACATCGTTTGGATTTCTGTAATCTTCTTTGACACTCGAGTTGCTCACTGCTCTTATGTGAGGTTCACGATGGGAGCTCAGCACTACGTGGGTTATGCGAGACCAAGTAGGTGATGCTTAGCGGGGGCGAGCGTGTTCGCCAGTCTAAGCCCGTTTATTGACGGGGGTACAGGAGAGCTCCGCTAGTTAAGACATGTACATATAGTCTTATATGGCATGGATAAAGGTTGGAACGAGGAAAGAGCGATGGGAAAGCTAGGTATGTGCTCATGCCGTCGCCACGAGAGTAGATACAACGGAGGTCGTGAAGAGAGGTATGAAGAGAGCGGTATAGAATGGATAATGAGTGTCACGGGCGCGGTTGAGACGTGGGTGGTGAGGAGAAATCCTCGAAACCTTATATCTAGCAGCTCGGCACTCTCAATAACCGATGTGGGAAATATGCAGAGTTATTCCATCCCCGCAAACCACCGAACGGCCATGCGCATTTTCTCCACCTCCACGATCATTCCTTTGCCATTCCACCCTCCCTACTCTTCAGTACTTGTATGACCGAACTTGTCACCTCAAATAACGTAATTCCGTCATGCAGGGAAGGTATGAGTGGTCTTTCTCTTCGTTCGTTCCTGTTAACTTTGAGCCCAATTATTTATTCCATCCACCCATCCCGTTCCCACTCAACCTTGCCTGCCAATCGCATCCTCCCCCACGTGTGACTATGACGAATAGTGAACCGCGCTCTCCCTAGAGTTGTATGTAAATAGCCACTCATACAGTCCTTGTTCATATGCTACCATACGCACACGCGCTACACTGAACTGTTACAGAACGCGGTGAAATCTATGCAGAAAGAGTAAGAATTGACAGAGTGACTCACATGCGCCACGTCGAGAAGCCGACGCGCCATCATAGACTGGTCCGCTCGACGGTAGCGGACCATACGGTGTCGCATATGGTCGGAGACCTCTCGCTCGAGTTACCACACTGACACGGTAATCTGAATAAAATGTGTTATTCACTGCGCGCACACGCTTGCAAGCACGTGGTGAGATTGGCCTGAACTCGCCGTGCCATTTGGGGGGTCAAGACTTTGCGCGGAGTAACAGAGATATAAACTTAGGCAGTCAAATTCGTCACTGGTATCTCCCGAGAGAGTGGCAGCAAGAATCTAACTCTCGCTAGCTGTTGCATAGACCAGCACCCGGCATTCGTCTACCAAATGCCACATCTCACGGCTTCGTCGGTTATTTGCAATTTTTCATCCTCTTAGGGCCGCGAATAAATTGCAGCCTCCGTCGCTGCGGCGGCTGCTGGCAAAATTCCCTCCTCATGCCTTGCGTCGATCCACCAGACTCTGCCCTCAAGAGCCCATGCCCGTTTTCAGATAAAAACACGGCATCCCCACAATCTTGTATCCTCCTCGACCTGTTTCTTCCACCTCCCAGTTCGAACACCCCGTCAAAATTTTGACCAAACAATGCAGCCCGTCACAGACGCATTGAATACTATTATCGCAAATATCCACTCCGGGGGAGACAGAGTTCCCAGGCCCGAGCCCATTTGGATACGTCGTATGCCGCTCATTCTCATACAAGATCATTTCTGACCCACTCTAGAAGCGCGAAGGTCCCAGAGGCGGCTGGATGGGTCCGGGCTGGTTGAACAAGCTATTGACGCGAACATGGCGCAGATGCAGGTGATTATTTGCACAGTTATTGTACGGGGCTCTGATTTGGCAACTTCCAGATCGATACGGACCCTGTACCAGGAGTGCAGCCGATATCTCGCGGGTACTCGCAGACGATGAGCCTCCAGGACCTGCGCCAGTCAGCCAACTTTGTACCTGCTTGCTAATTGTCTGATCCTCAACCCAGGTTCACGAGGTCGGTTCCTTATGGGCTTCAACTTCCTCACGACTGGTGGAGCGACGACGATTATTCCGATAGGGTACGTCGCAAACAACATGCTACGTCAAAACTAATGATCTTTAGGCTTTCAAGCGCTTCGAAGTTGTACCCACCCCTCTCGTCGAACCTTCGGCATCTGAACAGCAACGGGCGGACGTCTGGCTACGTGACCGCATTGCTCAGACAATGCCACAACTGGATGTAAAAATCGCTCAGAAATGTATTCAGTATCTCCCGCCAGCGTGGCTCCTCCGTGAGATGGAGCGATGGTGGAGCGAGAATACCTTCACAATAGCTCACTGGGCGGCGGTGCTCCTTGTACTCGCTGAGCGAATTCCAGCTCTCAAAAAGTTGAAATCGCTACAAGACGGAGCCCATTACGCTGTTCATAAACGCCAGCAGGCGCAACGCCTCAAACATGGTCAGAGCAAGCTGAACAAGGACACAAAGGGCCAAAGGCGCGTTGTGGAAGTCGTCGATAGGCAAATCAACCGGTCAAAAGACGACGGATGGGTCACATTGGCCTATATTGGCATCTTCGCACTCGCAATGCACCTGCGCCTCCTCTTTGATGTGATCAAGTTCCAACTCAATCTCTCCAAAACAACTGCGTACCAGAAACTGCTCTGGTATGCGTTCGGTGTTAGGAAACTTGAGGATATGGCTGTCATGAGCCTTGAAGGAGGCAAGGTCTACCTGAATGCTCGGTCTGCGCCAGAGGATGGAGTCGAACTAGCCCGCATCCCAATCGCCCCTTATGATACTGGTGATCATGAGGTCAACTGGGCGTTGGAGATGGTCTGGGCAAACCTGTTTGCCCCCTTCCTGGTGAACACCATCCTTTATTTTTCGAGCGCGCCAAACGAACCGGTTGAATGGACGGCCAGGCTGGCAGAAGCCGCTCGGAGCTTACCCGAGTATCCTATTGGATCGGCAGCGCGCGACATTGCAATCCTTGCAGTGGGTTCCTTCGTGCTTCCAGAACATGACGAACTGCCAGAGGAGAAGGAAGGGCAGGCAAAGGAAGATGGTGGCGACACGACCGACCCTCAAGCAAACGGCGACATCCGTGGTTTACTCCGTACCCTCGATATGCAACTCCGCCGGCTTGATGACGATATGAGTCCCCTACCCATACCCATCGTGATCCCTCCATCCGATCCTCTTGCAGCTACTGGCCAAAACACGAAGGCAACGTTGGCACAGATACAAAAAGATGTCGGCGATATCGACTTCATCCTTGCTGCCGGAAGAGAGGCCGCCAATTTGGTCATGCGCCTGGACGACAAGTTCAGTGAAGCTGCCTGGTGCACAAACGACAGCCGACGAGCACCGTGCGCGTCATACGCAATGAAAGTGGCTGGACAGTGGAGACTTGTCTTCAATGTGCCGCTGTTGAACACAGTCGCCTCGTCCAGGAGTCAGCATCGCTTACTTTGTGATGTGACGGCAACCAAGATTTACATAGCCCAATGCCTGTTGAAAAATGTTACCCGCGGACCAGATGGCTATCGGCAGGAGGAGCTCGAGGCTATCCTTCGTCATCTCCACGAGAAACATGACAAGTTCTTTCAAGACGTCAGCACGATTGCCAAAAATCCCATCTTTACCTTGCCATACGCCAATGACTTCTCCGTTGCACTCTCTGGGTGTGCCATTGCCGAGGCATCGTTGCAGGCTTTTGAGGAGCAAAGCAAGGTGCCCATGATTTCTAGCCTGGATCTCGAAACGGCAGAAGAAATCACTCTCCCCCGATGCACACAGAGGCTATCCCTCCTCGTCCGACTCCCCTCATCGGCAAATACCCCAGTCGAGGGCGACCGTATGGAAATAGATGAGCAAGGTGTCGCTTCTGGCAGTCAACAATATCGACATGTCGTTCTCCAGACTACCATTCCTCGAGCCACCCGGGGAAAACTCTACGTCGATGACGACTTCATGATACGCTTTCGCCAGTCTGACGGCAATGATCTTGAGAGTTCACCACGAGAGCGATGGAAATACTCCTTGTTGGCCTTCTTCGAAGCGACAAAGTGCGGTGCCGGCGAGGCTGATTTTTGTCGTCTCTGGTTACCGGCACTGCTGAATGACGGGAACGTCCTGTTCGGCAGTGTGCGGTACCATTTGCAAACCGCAGCTCTGCACCTTCCAATTGGGAGCTACTCCTTGTTGCCGGTGTTGTCGTTGGACCCAGAACTCATCCTCCGAACCGTCGCAAACGATCCAATCGCATCACTTTACTGGGGCCTGATCCACCCGGTGGACTGGGAATCAAGCGAGACGAAAATCCATGAGCGAACTTTCCGCTTTCCTACTGCAATCTCGAAGAGCGGTCTCCGTATCCTACCAAGGACGGGAGTCTCATTCCCTTTTGTCAAGTGGCAGCACGGCGGCAAAATTTCCAACTTTACGGGCGCAACCCACTATACCTTCTTCGTCTGCCCAGACGAGCTGCTGTCAGCAGACGACAAGGAGCCTTTCAAGATATTCCTTTTCAAATGCACGAACAACCGCACCAAGGAAATGGAGTGCCTTGGAGTAGCCAACGCGGGGCTGAAGACCAAGAAGAGCAAGGAGCAACCATGGTTTGATAACTGTGCGCTGAATAACGTCAGTTCTGTCCACTTGTCGATGCTGTCTCTGACTAGCTTCACAGGAGACACGGCTACCGCTGAGCGAGAACACCATCGAGCTCATACAGACGATCTATGAACCAGACGGTCTGGGACGCCGTGGCACGGTGAGGAGACAGGGAGGATACAGGAAGGCGGACAAGGACTACTTGGATCTAGCAGCAAGCGCTCGAGAACAACTCCAGTGGGCGTTGAGATCCAACTCCTAACGAGACCTAGACTCAGACGCTCGATTTGCTGGGCATGCGATCTTTTTGTATCGACATCCCTACCGAAGACTCATTTCTTGTTGACGATGTCTGAGTGCCGTAGGCTTGAGAGAATGTGAATGCCAGTAAATCATCTTCACAAACGCTCGACGCTTCTTAAGTGATAAGGCTCTGTAGCGGAATCTAAACGAAATATTTTGTAATGACTGCGTCGGTTCTATCTACAGCGTGTCCGTCCTTGGTTGCAGCTTGCGGTACCAATATGAATTAGAATATCGGTTTCTTGCCGCAATCCAGTTCGCGACTCGGCTCGTTGACCAAACGCGTTGAGGCTCCTCCGAAGGTCATTGTTTGCTTGAAACGGGCGCCACGCGAGGGCTGCGGAGGTAGTGAAAAGCGTGAACGCTTGTTGAGGCGAGGATGAGTGACGGTAGATTGGAAGAAGGGAATGGTGACGAGCGGGAAATACGAGTCTTAGGCCTCGGTAGGCGAGCGATGAACGGGAAAATAGCTGGAATTCTTCTTCTGTACATGATTATCGATTATTAGAGGCTTTATATACGCACGAGAGCGCGAGACGAAACGCGGAAAGGATGGAGTCGAAACGAGAGTGAGGGAGATGAGACAGAGGGGAGCTGCTGCGCCGCTTAGAGAGTGTAAGAGACTAGCCAGAGTGTAAGAAACTAGCTATCTAGCTCCAGGGGCCTCTGGCTGACCCGTGCCACTCGGGCGCGAGGGCGCGAGGGCGTTACAGTAGGCAATCTGAGAAATTCAATGTCTGATTCTCCCTTGGTCATGACGCCACCTTCGGTTTGGGACGACACCGAGAGCGACTCACAGGGTAAATTGCCCCTAAGGACATCAAGTCGCCATGGATTATCGTGTTGATACGCGCACCAACGGAACGTGTAGAAGCAGATTTTCACTCTCCGTGGCGACCATTTTCTTCAGTTGAATTCGAGCGTTGGTTCGACGAACGCTAGGGTGTGGGCCTTAATCAATTGGTGTCTGACGAAGAAGATACGCACGGACTGGAATTTTGTCCTGTTTATGGGGAGTAGGGTGACAAAACTTGTGAGACGCAGACTCTCTCTGGTCGGGCGATGGCTTCTCATCTTGGCATCCCGCGAATGCTTTCCCTGCAGCTCTGTCAAAAGGTCGCATCATTCAGCCAGAGGGGGATCCATGCCTCGATAGATCGCTCCCCATGAACAGCATCTCGACAGGCGACTATCTTTGTCTTCAAGCTGTGCCTCGTATGCCCGGTTGTTCGAGAGGGAAGAGGACGCGACCCTGGAAAAGAGGGCGATTTCGCGGGGATGAAGGACATGTCAAGACTCAAGGGCGGTACCTGTAGAAGCTGACGTTAGTCCATGCTAGGTCTCTCACAAACTAAAAACCGCCAGGCGTATACGAAGATGGCTTCGGGCGACCTGGCTGGAAGAACGTGAGATGAATAGGTAACTGAGTAATGTGGACTCACCAAACGCACCGGCAGCTCGCTGGTGATAATTCAAACTTTTATGGCAGACGATTTGGGCATTCTGGCGAGTGCGAATGCAAATCCGTGGGAAAGGGCCGCCGAAAACGTGAGGAAATTGTGCGAGAGATTGTAGATAACCATAAGCGAGACTAGTGTAGGAGCATAAGCAAGCAAGAAGATCTATTCATTTGACTTGAGATTATACTTACTGTGGATGCACGACTGATATAACCGCTGTGCGCGCACGGCTTCCTATCCCACCATCTGCGGGACGCTTTGGTTGGGTTGCGAGCTACAAGCACTGCTGCCTTGATCATCGGTAGGTTAGCCGACTCAGAGGTGCATTATAGGTACCAGTTCTCGTGCATTGCTTGATGTTGCGAGCGTGTAGCGAAGGATGAGCACGTCTAGGCGGCGATAGTGAATTTTTAGCGGGTGTACAGAGTCTTTGTCATAAAAATCCGGTGTAGTCAGGACGCCGAAAGCGTTTAGACGGGTGTAAGCTTACCGTCGTGACTGGGCCACATAAAGTCGAAGAGTATTTACAAATTAGGCATGATTCACGACGGATTCAATAGTTCAAGAACATTCTCTATGTCATCAAAAAGGATCTACGTCGGCAATGTTTTGTCATGGTCAAGGTCAGGTTGAGGTCGTGTGGTAAGTCTGCTTGATGAGCTTGGAACCTCGAAACGCTGTTGTTTTCTAGACCTGTGTGTCTTCCGATACCAATGGGATTCTATCGCCAGAGTTGAGATTGGCTGAACTCGACGCAGCGGTAGGTTGCTCGCCCTGTATTTCTTTTGTTTGGGTTCAGCGCAGAGAAGATGAAGGAAGAATTGCACGAACTATCATCAAAATAATTGATAACATTGTCACTCAGACGCTGAAGCTTGGTTCGCGTTGATTCTTCAATGATGTATCCGTTGGCCTTAGTCTTGCGCCTGTGATCATTGCTTTGCGCATTTGATGCCACGCGTTCGACAGTAAGTCGTTCAAGGAACCAGAGATTTTCATACATCAAGAGGAAAGGTGCGCATTTGACAATCTGGTGGGTATCAGATTGGCAAAGATGCTATGCCTGCCGCACCTCGAGGGCGTATGTGAGGAGTTCTTCTGGGTCTTGTTCTGCCAAGCACAGTTTTGAATGCAAAAAGGTGCGGTAGATGGAGCCCGCTTCAGTCTGTGGCTCAGTGAGTGGGCACAGGCGATTAGGACTGGAATTGCACGTACAGTCAAGACTGTAACCGAAGATTCATCCAACTGAGCTCTATCTGGCAGGGAACCTTTTGACGGCCTTGTATCTGCTTGCGAGTAACGGTGGCGCCACAGGTGGCCGCGCTGTTCGATGTCTAGCCTCTCCGAATGGAGAGCGGGATGGACGGCGGCGGTTTCAAACACCTGGCGGATACGTTCATAGTCTGCTTTGCCGAATCTCTTGCCTTTTTTCTTCGTGACTTGGGCCAGTGGAGAGCCCTTGGCAACCGAAACGTGTTCAAGTTCGAACGACTTGGGATATCCGGTGATTCCGGCTAAAAGAGGTGTTAGGCAGTATTTATAAGACCCATGGTCCTTACCTGCGTCCAGATCGTTGAATATGCGCAAGAAAGTGATGTCATTGGTCGCCGCAATAAGCTCCTCAGTCAGGCGACGTTCCTGTTTGTCCCCGTAGCGATTCAGCTGTTTAGTGGTCTTGGTGTGGACGTGTCTGAGTCCGTCGATAATGAAGCCATGGTCTTTGTAAATAGGGAGCCATGGAAAGGTGACTATGAGCTGTGGACCTGAGTTAATGGTTATTTGTACAGAGAAATACATCCACTTTCCTGTGCAAATGTGTTGAACATTCTAGTGTCCGGTATCTCGTCGAACGCTTCCTGTTGTTCGTCGAGGAGTGCATCCAAGATGACTACCTTGAACTGAACCTACGTCTGTCATGAGGCGCGTCCGTGGGCAGTAGAGATAACAAACAAAGATCTTTTTCATCTGCATTTCGTTGAATCCAAGAAATGTTCGCCAATCGTCGACCGTCGAGGCATTCTGCGCGCTTCCGAAGTCCCATGGAAGGCTGTTGACGAGGTTGCCTAATTGTTGGTAAATCGGTTGGGTGGGTGGATGGTCACGTAGACCGCTGGCGAGCTGCGCGAGTCTGACTCGGGTTTGGTGCAGTTTGTCACAAAACTCCAGGTGAATGCTGAGACCAGCGTTCTTGTACTTGGAGATGGTTTTGCCACACCTGGGGCAGGTAATCTGATCCTCGCTGTCGCCAGATTCCATCGAGTCTCAGCGGGAGGATGTAAGTTGATTGCCGTCCTGCCTCCGCGTCACCCGAAGAAGCAGAGTTGCCAAACGATGAATTGTTACGATATTTGGAGCCATTACTATGATATATACACCATAATCCATTTGGTTTGCGCACGTCGTGATATCAACGTCACGGAGACATTGGCCGCACGACCACCAGCAACGCCCGTTCGGCCCAGCTTCAGCAAGTGCTTGTTGGTTCTTTGGATCGTCGCACGCCTTGGAATTAGTTGGCGGAATTTGCGGGATCGTGGACCAGTCAATGGCGTCCACCCATTCCTTGACCTGGTCCGTGTCGGTGGGCGGAATCGTGTCGAGGGGAGGATAAACTTTGGGATCAAACGTTGCCACTGGAGTAGCGAATGTGTGAGCTGATTGTTTTCAATCGATAGACCAAAGCTTACGAGATGGGAGAGTAGGCGCGCCGTCAATGGGAGATGCCGTTCCGGGTGCAAATGTTTGCAATGCACCCGGAATAACGTTTTCGCTGTAGGATGGGGGAAGCGCGTGGATGTCTGCGATGTTGGTAGGAACATCATATTGCGGACCGGTGGGGTAGTCTGGGAGCTGGCGTTTTGCGGGTCCTTTGTGGTCTCTGGCATGATGCACATGGTCGTGGGCAGCAGTGAGAGTCGCCAGAAGGAGGGCCAAAGCGACGGTCGAGGCCGTGACTGGTGCCATCATGGATGATAAAGTGAATAGAGTAAAGAGCGACTGGAGGAGAATCTTTGAAAATGGCCTCGGGGCGCCGCGAATGATTTATTTATAGGCCGAAAAAAGGGCGTGGGTGAGCTGATGGGAGACCGTGCGCAATATCGGAGTTAGGGACATTTTATCGACGAATCCATTGATCTAATATTTCGAGCAGGTGTGACTCAGAGGATCTGTGCGACCACGTCGTCTTCCCGGCCAGATTTTGCCGTCCCTGCGCCTAAACACTGCTTCCGACTATCGGATGTGTGATCTCGAAGGACAAAGTCTATAAATCAGGTGTCCCGGTTGACGAAAGTAATCCCCAGGATGCAGTATTGGCAACGTGCCGCGAGACTGAACGAAGATGGATTAATTAGAAACTGAAAGGGACAATAGCTGCCATCAGAGCAATAAACCGCATTGAGTCGGCTGGCTCATTTGCATTCATTCTTTCTCTGGCCCCGTCTTGCGACGTTCTCATTGAAAACAAACCAATTAATCAACAGCAAGTGCTCCGCTACATTAGAGCCGCCTCGGATACTCGAAATTCATTCTTTCCGCTCATTTGGTCGTTGATTGCTCAGCGCTAGTGCTTGCGGATGCATGTCGTCGAATAACAACGGGGTTGGTCGAAAGGAAGCTTGAATACCGCCTTGATCACAACCACTGAGATAAATCTTAAACTGGACCATGAATCATCAATCCGTCTCACTGCAGCAGTATCTGTCCAATCAACTTGTTCAACCACGGGCCGCGAAGTGCGGCTCCTTGGACTATATGACAGTTAAATTGCTATCACCCTTGTTCGACGGAAAGATTTCCGCTGGATAATGCCATGACCTAGAGCTCCGGCAGAAGTAGGCAACTACACAGTACACTCGTGCCGTATGTGCACTCCAGTAAGGGAGCTCGCAAGCTGCCTTTATGTGCTCTGAATGACGCATTATCTCTTCGTTACTCTTGCGAGAAATCTTTTCGCCTCCTTCCCAACGATCTTCTCCCCTGGTTGGCAAGAATCTCCTTCTAGCGTTTTGTTCACCACACTCTTCTGTGTCGTGCATAGTCCCTATGCGTTCATAGCCCGTCCACTCGTGTCTCGTCCTCTTGCGTCTAGATTATCATGGAACATATCAGCGGCAACGACTCTCCCGTCACCGCCGTAGCCTCGACCCAAGTGTGTTGCAATAGCAATGCATAAGCCAGTGATGTCGAAGGGGTGCAACATCTCATTTGCTGACATCTCTGACTCGTAGTCGAGGTTCAGTCTGGACAATACGTTTATTATCAGGGCCTGCGGCAGTGCACCTGGCAAAAACACCGTCAGACGTCGCTAGCTGGGATGTATATAGCTCGGTGAGGTTCGAATGCGCCCATCTTCGTCCAATAAACAATGGAGATACTCGTGGAATAATGATAAATTTGCAGAATGGGGGGTAGCCTTCAGCTGATTCAGTGACTCACGCCTCGTCTGGTCTCGAGTTTACAGTGGCCTCTCGATTGGCGTTGGACAATACCTGGTTCACGCAGAACAGGTACATTTCCTAGTATCCCCTTCTCGTGTCTCTAAGTTATAGTGTAGCTCGGCGTACATGTCTCCGGAATACTCGGTTCTACATGAACCATGGACAGGTCGACATAACATGCGGTGAGTCTACAAGCCCCTCAATCGTCCATCCGTGGATATATAAGCAGCAACAATATCTATGACCAGCATTGACGGCTTACACTGTCCTGGACCTGCCGTCTTCTCGGGATGAGCGTTCGTCTAAATCCAAATGTATTTTACATTTGCAACCGCTCGGGGCAAAAAATATGAGAGCTGAGTTCGAGAAAAAGGACTTCAAATTTATCTCACAAAGGCACATCCTAGGTATACTAATCGCCTCCGACTTGACCCGTTCCTGTCGTTCGCGTCGTTTGTCCGACGCTTTACCTGTTCGCACCATAGTTTATCCAGGGGTTGCGGTTGCTCGACCCAAGAACCGAATAGCGCCTTCTCGACTTCTCGTCGCGACATGACCTGTCATCGAACCCCTTTCATCAAGCCATCTCACTCAATTTAACCCGACTTTCATCACACGGTTGTCGGCGAGCCTGATACCCCCTACAACTACCTCGTCTCACTACTTTCAAGGCTCCGAAGATGAGCGGGGCTGCAAGCCCAACGTATGGTGCATGGAAGAACCGGTGCGGGTAACGTGACAGAGCGCGAATGATACTCGCCCAGGCGGGAGAATCAAGTTCGTTCGACGGCTTCGACGGCGAAAATATCTCATCGCCTATGATGCGGCGAGTATTGCGACTACGGGAGAAGGGTACGAAGCCCATTTGTGCGGGTGCTCGCTGGATCAAAGACGACTCAACACACTCATATACGCCGCCACTTTTCCGGGAAGGATCTTACAGATTCTGGATGACCCCGCGAGTTATAAAAGCCCGCTCAGTCTTTCTTCAGTCAAACCAAGAGCCCCGCAACTCGACCAGCCACCCAATCGTTTCGCACTATGAAGCTTCTTACAGTGATCCTCTCCGCTGGACTTTTCAGTGCCGTCAATGGCCATTATACGTTCACTGTAAATCATTAAAACTGCCACTCTTTTTACATCGAGCTGATCCTCGTTAGAATATTAACGGGAACAGAAACGTCGTTCGCCAACCTGCCAACAACTCCCCTGTCACCGACGTGACCTCGACCCAAGTCCGCTGCAATAGCAACGCACAGGCTAGTGATGTGCTTACTGTCGCAGCAGGCTCATCCGTAGGTTCTTATACCACCAAATTACACCCAATCGCTGAAGGGCACATCATAGTTGACTTTCGGTCTGGATAATACCTTCTATCATCTGGGTCCCGCGGCTGTGTACATGGCCAAGGCTCCTTCAAGCGTGACAAGCTGGGATGGCTCGGGTACAGTCTGGTTCAAGTGCGTTCTCACTGCTGCTTGTGCATATGGTACGGTTAATGGGCGATGTATAGAGTTGCAGAGTGGGGAGCTACCTTCAATCCTTTCAGCTTCAAAGACTACAATCTCTCCGGTCTCCAATTCACCGTTCCACGCTCGATAAGTGCCGGCCAATATCTCGTTCGTGCCGAACAGGTACGTGCTATTTACCCTCCAGTCATAAGAGATAATTGCTGAATTGTGGTAGATTGGTTTGCACGTCGCTGGTGCTCCTCAGTTCTATGTCAGCTGCGGTCAGATCAATGTCACCGGCGGTGGATCTGCGAACCCATCCAAGGTGGCTATCCCTGGATATATCAGTAAATCGGATCCATCTATAACCTTAAATATTTACAACCCAGTTCCCACGGCCTACAGAGTCCCTGTAAGTGCCTTGGAATGGCGCCGACGCACGACTGACCCCGAGCAGGGCCCTTCGGTCTTTTCTGGCTGAGATACCTCAATTCACTGCTCCTCAAACAGGTTTACTAAGAAAGGAGAATAGAAAGCCATAGTTATGGGGTATGAAATAAACTGGATTAGGAATTACAGTGCGCCACCTTAATACGGGAACCTCCCGGCCGATTTGCTCGCAAAGCCAGGCGATGCATTTGAATTCATGAAATTGGCGACAACGACGTGTATTTATTGGTTCCTCGAGCCAGGGTCTGTCGCCTGCCGGTTTTCGGAGGCCGTCTGGTCACTTGTCAATGTCACCTACAGGCAGCCTCTGCTTACGTTAGAAAAAAATGAAGCTGACAGCGGGTGCGGTTACTCGCTGTTGTATATTACATGCCATCACGACGCCCGAGCTCCCAGGCTACCTGGCTACCTGTATTTCTATGCTCACTCGATGGAGGGCTCGGGGGGTCAATCATCGTCGGTTCAAGCGGCTGAATTACTTCGTCACTGTTGGCGGTGATCAACGATCTCCAGGTCAGCCAGTATACCAGCGCCGCGGCAATGACGATTTATGTCTATAATATTTTTCTCACCCTTGATGAGGAGCTCTCTTCTTCTTCTTGGCTGATAGATTTTTACACTGACATTTGCGGTGGAGGTTAAATTCTTTTGGTTGCGCTTCAAGGTCAATTTCCCAAATATTCTCTACATCATCAACCAATATATTTGCCTCAGATTCTTTCTTAACGTGACTTATGGTGAGTGCCGGAAATTCGGCTGCGCTAGCCACACGTGGCCCACGTTCTGGCAGGAATGCGTATAGGCGTCCCTGATCGCCATGGTAGAATTGGCAAGATTTCATCCAGCAACCTCAGACGCATACTGTCGCAAATATTCCGCGGTCATCGGGTTCGTTCTCGCACAGTTCGGATGGTCAGCCCACTGCCCTCTGATGGCTCGTGCTCTGACGCGCTATTAGGGGAGATATTCTCAGCCTGCGGGTGTCAGCACTTTACAAAGCAACCCAATCCACACTCATGAGGGTCATATGGTGTCTACGGGCAGTGATGATGATTGTGGTGACTACTTGCGGCTACTTGGCCTGCAAGCTGGTCATTTCGACCATGAACTACAATTTCTACGTTCATATGTGTGCATCTGCTGCTAAACCCAAAAATTTTCTCCCATCACACCGACGCTCTTTGAGCTCTTCCTGACCGTTCTGACGGTCCTCAAAGTCCACGGCTTTACCAGGACAACCAAAGTCGAGACACCGCCGCTGGTATGTACTGGTCATCCAAACACACTACCTGATATTCACGGCGGATAACTGCGCGTTCTGACAAGGGATGGGGTCGCCTACTTTGTCGTACGTTCGAAGGCCTAATCAAGATCATTTTCGACGCCTTTAGATGTCTTGCGTTATATCTATCGGAAATATGGTCAGCTGGTATTTCTCACCGAGCTCGCTCATGTACCTGCTACTCTATCTCTATTGGGCTCTGCTGTCAACGTATGTCCTCCGAAATTTCCGTTCAAGTATTTTCTCTTGAAGGTTTGTCCCCCGTCTCGTCCTCAACCTTCGCAAAACCTTTTACCTTGGCTCAACAGTGGGAACCCTGTATGCCGAAACAAACGATGTCAGCGAAGGTATCATCTCTACCATCAACTCTCGGCGGAGGGATCATCCAGTGGACGGTAATGCAGGCGTTCTGGACAGTTTCATCCATGGCAGTGGGGAGCAGGGATCCAAGGGGGTTTGGCCTTCTGGAATGTGCAAAGGGGTCACAGAGACCATTCCGGACATCAAAGTTCAAGACATGAGCCATACTGTGTCTGCAATAGAAGCGGCGAGCTCCAGGGGGGCAGACGACCAGCATATTTATCCACCCATCCTCAGTGCATTCAGGAGATGAAAACCGCTATTTTACGAGTTGTAGACTAGAATATTCGGAGTGAAATTTCAGGTATCAATAAGTGTAGGATTGCCGGTATATATCAACGTTTGTGACAAGTCGAACTTGGTTTCTCCCTCCTCAGGCTCTTGCATAGTTGCAAGAGGAAAAGCGTTGCTTCATACTCGGGATCTCGTTAGCCAGGGACTGGACGACACTTTTCTGTCTGTCGTCGGTTCGGAGTACGTCTTCTGGCAACCATCGAGACCCCACGGTCTTAGTAAGGACTATCCACGGCAACGTCAAGAGCGTAGATTCCTCTCGAAATGCTCAAGCTCGAGCATTGAGCAAGAGTGCTTGGTTGAAAGAAGCCTCTTTTGTCATTCTTCAAGCTACAAATGGCCATAGAAGCCATTATCACAGCTGTACTACTCAGTGAAAAGCTAGTTTGCTCATGTTTCACGTGCAATTCCCGGCGGAAGGATCGCCGACTAGTCACCATTTTCCCGAAGACCAATCATTATACATGCCGGTGGAACCTTGACTCGTACCTTCTTGAGACTTGAAGGAGCCGTCCAGCTTTCCGCTCTCACTATATAAATCCATCCCACGCTCCTGCCCTCCTGCGTCCATCTCTGCTGCTCTTTCCATGCGTTATCTACGCCTTTCTACTCTCTTGTCCGCTTTGAGCTTTTCCGGTCTCGCACAAGCTGCAGTCGGGGCGTGGGGCCAATGGTCAGTCTCTGACATCTAGACAAGAGAAATACTGACAGCACGGCTAGTGGAGGTCAAACGTACACCGGAGAGACGACATGCGTCGCCGGGTATGCTTGTGTTTACTCTAACCCCTGGTATAGCCAATGCCTGCCGAGCACCAGCTCCGTATCGTCTACTACCAGTCGAAGCAGCTCTTCTAGCTCTAGCACGCGAAGCAGTTCTTCTAGCTCGAGCACACGTACCTCGTCTACATCTACAAGCACGCGGATCTCGTCTAGCTCAACGCGCACATCCAGCTCTGCAACGTCGAGTCCAACCGTGAACATCCCACGCTCCACCTTCACGGAGATTACTTCCTACTATGGCTCGAATCCGACAAATGTGCGCTCCTGGATCTATGTCCCAGCAAATCTCGCCACCAATCCACCCATCGTCGCAGCCATCCACTGGTGCAGTGGCTCCGCCAATGCAATGTATAGCACCGGCGTTTTCAATAATCTCGCTGAGCAAAAGGGGTTCATTGTCATTTTCCCGGAAACTGCCAACAGCGACAAATGCTGGGATGTACACACTACTGAAACGCTCACGTATGTATCATATTCCCTTCGGTACATGTTCATTGATAAATATTCGATAGGCACAATGCTGGAGGCGACTCACTTGGCATTGTCTCAGCCATCCGCTGGACGATTGCAAACTATGGTGCGAACAGCGCCCGAGTCTACGCCACCGGGATCTCAAGCGGTGCAATGATGACCAACGTGCTTTTGGGTGCTTATCCTGGTGGGTACTTGATCCTATCTACGAACTCATAAATTCATCGATTGGTAGACATCTTCGCTGCTGGCTCCGCTGTTGCAGGTGTTCCATATGCGTGCTTCCAAGGCACTCCATCATGGAGCACCGAGTGTGCTACTGGGCAACTCATCAAGACGCCTCAAGAGTGGGGAAATCTTGTCCGAAACGGCTACCCTGGCTTCACGGGTACACGGCCAAAGATGCAATTCTGGCACGGCACTGCAGGTAGCCAATGCTCAACATGATTATATGTTCGAGGCTAACCTTTTCTAAAGACGATGTGCTCTATTACCAAAACTTCCTTGAGGAGACCAAGCAATGGACAAATGTATTTGGCGTGAGCACTACGCCAACCAATACCGTTCAGAACTATCCCATTGCAGGCTGGACGCGGTACGATTATGGACCAAACGTCATGGGTATCTCTGCTGCCGGCGTCGGACACGGCATTTCCTACCAATCTACGCAGATCATGGAATGGTTTGGTCTCTAAAGCATGTGCACACTATGCGAACCAATATAGCCGCCGCTGATGTGATTGAAAGTATAATAGATTAAGAAACGACGTATGTTCTATCTTAGAGCCAATGTTTTGTCTGGAGACACCACGACAGTGTGGTCGGCCATCTGTGTATACCTAGTGATCAAATCCACCAGCCCAATCCTCGTCAGGCGGTCCGCGCGTCACCGTGCAGTTACCTCCATCGTCAATGGTAGCGCCCAGGTCGGACGCATCCACTAAATGACTGCGGTACTCCTTGACGAGCTCCTCAGATAGTGGGTATCGCTCCCAGCGCGGCAGCCAGATCCACCTCTGCGGGAGATACGTGGAGGGATGGTTGAAAGAATTCTCCTCCAGGTCATCATCGTCATCGTCCATATCATCAGCACGGTTCGCCTTGGCTGCTGCATCAATCTTAATAGCGTCCGGCTTGGCCGCGGCGAGTGCGCCCAGAAGCTTGCTAGTCCCCTTTGCAGACTTTTCAGACGATTTTCCTTTAGAATCGACGGAGACTCGAGACATAGCAGGATCCGCGGCTGGCGAAGCTAGGCCGTTTGCTGGACTTGAAGGACCAGCTTCCGGATTCATCAACTCCGCAGCCTTGTTCTGTGCCTTTTGATCCGCTTCCCGCCTCGATTGCTCCGCCTCGAGTCGCTTTGCATCTTCCCTTTCGGTTTCCTCCTTGGTAGGGATATGACGATGCCCGCGGATAGATGGGCGGAGCTTCAACTTGTGTCGGACGACGCTTCGCACTCCTGAAATCTTGTGTTGAATAATTGGTGGAGCGAATGCATGAATCACTCACTCTCCCGAGAGAAAAGATCAATTTCATCTCCGCCGTTCTGCACCTCAACAGCGGTCGAGGTCCCAACAGCACCATCTTTATCTGGACTCGTAACATTGAGCGCAGCAGATGTTCCTGCCTTTTCTTTCTGGAACCTCTCGACCAGCTTCTTAGTCGAGAGAGACATGGGTATAAACTCGGACACGGCTACAAAGTAGTGAGCCAACGTCCCACTGAAAGTGAAGGGTACTGACGATCAAACGCGTGGTTGAAGAAGATTTGCGTGCCGGCCGTGATTACAATAAGAAGAATCATGAGCACACCTTGAGGAACGCTAACATGATCAACTGTCTCTTTGTTAGAAACTCTGCAAAAAGATAACGGAAACCATACATTTCGAGTCTTGAGCAAAGAAGAAAAGCCCCATCAGGCATATTTGCTGAATATAGAGTCCGGTGACTAGACGTGTATTAGGAAGGCAGCTGTGTCTAGGTGGAGGTACTTGCAGAGGTTCTCAATAAGAAGAGGGAACTGCTATGGTGTTAGAAGGCCAGGATTTACGCTGGGGTAGACGTACATAGAGGCCACTAGTTTCTTGCGCTGCGGGTTGGTCCATGCTGTCGACTGATCAGTCGCCGACTTATCCTTGCTCATTGAAACTTACACCCAGATAAGAAGGAACTTCCAGCTGACCCAGAACAAGGCAAATGTGAGGCATGCGAGCAAATTGATGATCGGTCTAAAAGTTTCTGTGAGATAAATCAGACGGAGAGCATTTTACGCACGAGATGACGGCATATGCAAATGCTATAGTGGCAAGCAAGCTCATACGCGGAAGAACGGTACCGAAATCAAAGGATGGCATGATGAAGGTCGCCTCGAATGCCTCTCTTGGTGTATTTCCGAAGAATACCTTCTTGATAAAGTAGAGAATCAAAGGTCCGGCTTGAAGGAGGGCACCAGCAGCGCCCATCAACCCTTGTTGGAGCTAGAATAGAGTAAGCCTCAGTGGATTGTGTATTATTGGATGCTCACCATGTAGGTAAGGAAGAATGTACTAGCGTCTGCCAAAGTCTCAACGTCAATCCACAGAAAAGGAAAAGATAGTACTCGGCAAGTATGAGGAAAAGTTTTTCAAAATGAGACTTGGTCGATCAAGCTCTTGAAGTAGGTCTGGCAGAATGGAAAAGAATGTGATAAGGAGGAAACCGTGCCTATTATCGTCCAATCAGCGAGCAGCATAGAATGGTACAGAGAGAACGTACACGACCAAAAATATGAAGTAACGGCGGTAGACGGCAAGCGAAATAAGAGACCACCTCGGGATATTTTCAAACCACGCGAGGCCTGCACCAAGGTATTAGCCAGTGGAAGAGCCAGCGTAATGTATCAAGTACCCTTGAGAAGGAAAGGTAGGATGACGAAGAGAACGATCAAGAGCAGTGGTGGGAAAACTGCCTGAATCAAAGCCTGTGGGATCGTAGGAACTACACCACGAGGTCAAATCAAGTCGCGACGGATCAGCAACATATACGCACGACGGCAGATCCATCGCAACCATGAGTATTTCTGACAAGAGTCTTGCGTGTTTGACACAAAGGCTACACACTTGTTAGAATCTGTTCCACACAGCTCAGGATGATTTGCTAACCTGCGAGTGCAACCGGGAAACCCCAGGCGATCAAGAGGGCTATAGTTGCGAGCCAAGAGAGCACGTAACGACTTCGTTGCTCGTATGCACCATCGTCAATGTTCCCTGCAATAACGTCAACCTGTGATCGGCATCCTATCAGAACAACATACTCCATACGACGTCATCTGGGGCGACTTCAATCATGCGGTCCATAGTCATAGGCTCGTGATAGGCGACACATTGTGCCATGACGTGAGCACCAATCTGCAGATTGCACTGGATGAAAGCAGCGCCCAAAGGTTTAGCTTCACCCAGCTTGGCTCTGGCATCTTTAATCTCTCCATTGAGTCGTTGGATGTTTTCGAGGCAGTAGTCGATAGTGTCCACCTTCTTGCCAATAAATGGAATCCAGCCAAGACGATGCATCGGCCGATGAATATTGTCCAAAAGCTTCTCTGCTCCAATCTTCTCCATGTCCCCAGCGAGACCCTCGTCATCTGCATAGGCTCGTACGCCAATGGGGAAAGATCGACGGGGTCCTCTCTGCTTGCGGTCTTCCTTGCGCTTGAGACGATCTGCCTTGTCCTCCTGTTGCACTCGCGCCTTGATAGCTGTCTGCAGGAGCGAAGTCGTGGCCGATTCGAGCTTGAGGCAGAGTTGTTCTCGCTCCTCGTATGCATCCGCCAGATGGGGTACATTTCTATAAACCCAAATACGGTTGATTCCACCGGGAACAAAGGAGAAGAGCTGTCTCAGGTAATGCTCGTCGCATGCTTCGGTTGGGAGCGACGTGATTAAAACCGTTTTGGCCTGGGCCAGTCTTGAGTGATCACGGCTGATAAGGAATTGCTGTCGAAGATGCGTGTAGATCAAGAGCTCCCGTCGCATAAGCCAGAGGACGAAAATTGTCAGGCCGAATGCGATCAGACAATGAGCCCAGTACCGAGACATGTGACGGTCGTCGATACTATTTACGGTGAGTTAATTATAACACCCATGGCGGAGCACTGACTTTCCAAACGTGAAGCGGGCCAGGCCGTCGCCGCGAGGTGGGAACCCGACAGCGTTGACAGGCATGAGTATGGGCCAGGTTACGAGTGTAAAGACCGCGAATATCTTCATCATCATCTCGAAAAACCGGATCTTGATCCATGGTCAGCTCGAAGGGAAAAAAGGGGGAAGCGCCAGAAGCACGCACGCTCATGTAGGCATCCAAGCCATTCGACTGAATGATTGTTTTACTTGGTGTAGTTAATGTCTGTAAGAACCATCTGAAGGGACCTTTTGCCAGAGGTTCGGCTCTCAAGTCTGGGTCAAATTAGATGACGAGGCTGGCTGCATGTACACTAGACGTACTCTCAGGGGGTAGGTAGCTTCGTGGAGCATAGACACGAGTTAACCTGCTCTTCAGGAAGACGAAGAACCCAGTCTGGAGAACGAGGAGGCCAGCATTGAGACCAAGCGAGGTGAGGAATGATCGTAGGGTATCTTTAACATGGCATTAGTGAGTGATTTGTTTCCAGTCGAGGCATCCAGTGTGGGTTGGAGTGCGGAGCGTCATGAGCCTTGCGCCAAGGGAGAGAATCTAGACGACATACTATTCTTCTGAACAGCCTCTGGATTTGACATTTACTTTTGTGAGTGTAGAGAGCCCGAGCAGCGAGCTCCTACTCGACGTCGATGAGGTTTCAGTCCAAAAGCTTCGGCAAAACTGCAAATACGGCGCTCCTGACGAGTCCAGCGCTGTTAATGTCCAAAATACGAGCATAAGGGGCTATTAAATATGTGGAATAATCGTGGAATATACACAGAGCACAGACGAAGAAGAGGCAAGCTCGACGCTGGCAGTGCCAGATTTTAGACCCACACCATCCACATTTAAAAATGCTGGCGACAGATGCTTCACGCAAAATACCACTAGAAGCAGCCAAAATGGAAGAACTTAGGCAAAGAACATTAGCAGGACAGCATGTACTCCCCGGAACGGTCATCCAGGACGCGCTCCCTGCAAAGCAAGTCGCAGTCGACCCAAATGCTCAGGCAAAGACGTCGTGGATTCCAGCACAGTCTTCCCGTCATTTCATTGCTGGAGGGTGCGTTTGTTATGGAGAATATCGACGCGTTTTGGTTGACGAACACTTTGTGTAGACTTGGAGGAATGTGTGGGGCCGTTGTAACAGCTCCCTTCGACGTTGTAAAGACACGTTTGCAGTCAAACATGTTTAAACATGCTGCTGCGTCCTCTGTCTCACGGCCTACAAACGTATTCTACCATTTTATCGAGACGGGTCATATTCTACGGTGAGTACGACGCGTTTGCCGTGTTCAACCAAGCTAAAATACTGTCAAATATTTCCAGAGAGATCTTTAGAAACGAAGGAGTACCTGCACTATTCAGAGGCCTCGGTCCGACATTGGTTGGGGTGATTCCGGCTCGCTCCATCAACTTTTTCACCTATGGAAATGGCAAGCAAATCATTGCGCAACAATTTAACGACGGAAAGGAGAGTGCCGCCGTTCATCTCAGTGCCGCCGCCCTCGCAGGTCTGCCGATTTGTAAAAGCAGTTCGATTTGTGCGCTCATGCTCTTCCAGGCATCGCGACTGGGTCATGTACAAACCCCATCTGGGTCGTAAAGACGCGTATGCAGCTCTCGGCAGCCCAATCTCAGCCCTTTAATTCTGCACTCGCCTGTATCACCCACATCTTCCGGCATGAGGGAATTCGTGGATTCTACAAGGGTCTCTCTGCTAGTTATCTCGGAGTCAGCGAAGGTGTCATTCAATGGACACTATACGAGCAGCTAAAGAGACTAGCAAAGCGGGGTGAAGGTGGGCCCCTCGAATGGGTTGGCATGCTCGGTGCGGCTGGTTCAGCCAAAATGATTGCCAGTTTGATCACATACCCTCACGAAGTGAGTCTATACCGTGACTTTTCATGGCCTTTTTTGCTCAACAGCTTCGCAAAGGTTATACGAACACGCCTACGACAACCAACGGTCAACGGTGTCGTCAAATACACTGGACTATACCAGACACTACGACTAGTCATCGCCGAGGAAGGTGCACGAGCGCTCTACGGTGGTCTATCCGCGCACCTGCTGCGAGTCATACCCAACGCAGCGGTTATGTACAGCATCTACGAAGCAGCGCTTCGTTGGGGCAACTGACTCGTTCTCACTACCCTTATTCCTATCATGTTCATCTTGCAGTGGTTCGCTTGCTGTCTTACCATCACTACTTACCCACTTGTCGCGTATTGGCTTCTTCGGTACATCATTGTAGATTTACAAGGCTCTAATCACTACTTTACACACGCCACTATGCTCTGGGCGCGAATTTGGGACTCGCTACAATTCACTCGATTTCTGCGACGATCATTTCCGCGTTCTCTCTGATATGCTCCAGGTTCAAGTAGTCTGGACCGGAAGCACCTGCTCCTCCCAACGTCAACCATACGGCGTCCGCGTTTTTGACAGCCATCTCCAGATACAGCCGCCTTCCCAGTGCCTGCAACTCTTCGTGGACATCACGTCCAAGGAAGCGACGACACGCAAGGAGAACCTCCCAGACGACACTGTCCTTCACCTCTACGTCTGCAATCGCCCTCGACATCGTCTTCAGGACGGCTGAATAAAGTCGATGGCTCGTCGTATAGGCCGATTGCGTCCCGAGCGAGTGAGAAGCCGTGCGACGGGCGAGTGCGCTCTGCTTGTCTGCCTTCTCAAGTTTTGCAATGAGATTGCGAAAGACGGGCCATACATCGTCCCAAATCTTGAGGTCCATGAACTCTCCAACGTGCTCCGTTAACGCCTGGATCAATTCAGCCGCCTCGACGACAACAAATGGCTCTGAGTCGTTGAGTCGGTTGAGGATAAAGGGCCATGCGGCGTGTACAGAGGGAAGGAGGGACGATTCTATCGTGGATAGCGTAGAAACGGACGAAGTCAGGACAAGAAGGATACGTGCGCGGATAAACGGCGACGGGTGTGTGAGGAAGTAGATGGATTTCTTGACAATCTGTTGGACTAACGTCTGAGTTGGGTTCAACTTGGGAGCATCGTCTTCTTGCTTTTGTTCCGCTTCGTTTTGCTCACTTTCGGACGTACCCCACGCTCGTCGAGGTGCTGGCCCAAAATCCTCCTTCTCCTGTTGTACAGAGGGCCTCCTGTACTCTTCGAGCCAGATGATAAACTCCCGTATATCCTTTTCCGGCTTTTGTTGACGGTTGCGCTTTAGACTGTCCACTTTCGATTCTCGAGGTCGAGCGGGCTCATCCTCTCGTTCCACTGCGCGTACAACCTCCAAAAGGACGTCCACCAGGCCTTCGACGACTATTCGATAGCCGTGATAGTCGTCCAATCTCTCGAAGCATTCTTCCACGACATCTGCAGCTCGGTCTACTACGCCCTTTCCCACCAGCTTGACGAGCACAACGAGAACTCTCGGTGCATGCATGTCAAGACGTTGACGTGTCAGGTATCGACTCACAGAGCCCAGCGCATAATCAAAGTTTGAGAGGAGGAGGTTGGACGCAGAGGCGAAGCCGCACGATCTCGCTATATAGAGTAGCGTTGAATGAGCTGTCGCTGAGAGAAAGGAATTGGCCGAGACGAAAGAGTGTAGGGGCGGATAGAGGGCTTGGAGCAATAGGGTCGCAAACCGCGTCTCCAAAACAGAGGAGGAGATGGCCAGAAGTTGTAGAGCTTGAGCTTTGTAGAGTATCTTCTGGGATTCGAGTGCGTTCCCCGCGTTGGACGCCTTGGCATTTTTACCTATCGCCAGCAGCTCGTCAAGAGTGTTCAGACCCTTGACGTATTCTACTACTTGGTTGGTATCGCCACTTGACTCTCTCGGTAGCTCCTGTCCACTCTCCTCTTCCAAATCTCGCTCCCAGAAGGAGGCTGCCAGCTTAGTGAGCCATCGTGCATGTCGCTCGAGACGAGGTCGGCGGTTTGGGACACCTTGCCGATTAGGTTCACCTGCATTATCTAACCTGCACTCTGAAGCACCCTCAAGCAAACGAGAGGCGCACCACAATGCGGAAACCTCTCCTGCACCGGATCCCTTTGACGCAAAGCCGACGAACCACTCTACAGCGAATAGAGCATCTTCTCCTGCTGCAAACCCCCAAGAGCGAAATAGTTCACTCAAGAAATCTTGAGAGTCGAGGTCTTTAATGCTCTTGATCACAGGTTGAGGAAAGGTGATCCTCTCGCTAGGAGCGTCTTCGAGCAGAGGTACATTCTGATTCGGAAGCGCATAAAATGCGTTGGGCGTACTGAGTTCTATCACTTCCAGAATGCTCCAACCCCATTTCTCGATACCCCCCGTAGTTCCAAGGATCTTGCTGATAGTAGAGGAGGATCCGTAACGGTTGTTTGAGGAGATCCTTGCCGCAGCTATCAGGATCTTAAGACCGTTGACTAGTTGGTCATTGTGGCCCGATATAAGGTAAGGCAGGCTCTGAAGTGTGTCGGAAATGATCTTGGATAATGCTTGGGAGATGTGATGACCGATTTTCAGATGTGTTGTCAGTTCGAGGACGGCTTTGTGGGCGAGATTGGCGATAGCCGGGAGGTCATGGAGGGTGAGAAGGACCAATGGCAAGAGTAGGATTTGTAAATTTTGTGAAAGTGCCTCTGTACACGCCAACAGGACACTTCTACAAAACTCAATCAAGGCTTGTAGTGCCATCGGACTTGGATGACCGGCGAGTTTTAGCGTGAACCCACCAAAAGCCTTATGCAGCTGGGTACTGGCAGTATTGAGCCACAGCGGCGTGCGTTTAATAGCGCTACCAAGCTCTCCGCCAAACGTAGACGGCCCAATTCCCTCCTGCGTTTCGCTCGCATAGTCATCAAGTGTGCGGGCGCGTCGCAGCGCGCCTTCGCGAAAGCATATCTCATCCCCAACGGATAGAATGACGACTCGTTCCATCACCTGTAGGCAATGTTTGACGATGTCGCCTTGTTGGTGTGCTTTGCCTTGCCTCTTGAGTAGCAAAGGCAACAATGTACTGACTATACCAGGCAGTACATTTGGTGAATATTTTTCCCGAAAGAAGTTTTCGACGACGCCAAGGAGGCCGTTCAGAGCCGTTGTTTGTAGTTTGTGGTTATTGCTAGCCACAACCATGAGAAGTGCGCCAGAGACTTCTGCCATTATCGGAATGCTAGACGCGGCAAATAGAGCGAGTTGAATCGCCCCTATAGTTTTATCTTCCTCCGATACTTCTGTATCTTTCGTATGATCGCGCAGTAGCTCATATAGGCAACGTACGGCCGCCAACTGTGTCTCCTCATCCCTCTTGCGTCCTTTTCCTTTCGCTTGCGGATCTGCACTGGGCAGAGCCCTGATACATAGCGTCACAAAACTCTGCCAAGTTTTATGATCCATCGTCCACCAATAGGCAGTGACAAGTAACGCGGTAGCATCGAGTACACGTTCTAGAATGTGATCTGGAACTGACTCGATGGGGTTCTGTCTTGGTATCGCAAAGAGTGCGAAGAGAATGTACTTTATTAGGGGCTCATCGAGTTCTGCACGTCGGTCTGAAAGATTGCAGAGAAGGGTCTTGAGTTCGTCGAGATGTGACGCAAGCTTTGGGGGTGTTCCAGTCTGAAGTCGCGAGTTCTCGAGGAGCGGGACGCAAATGGCCTTGAGCTGTTGGCGAATTCAGAGACATGATTCGTGTTATACTAGCAGAGGTCACCTTTTGAAAGAGCGTGGTAGTGCTAGTTGGCATCATTCAAATTCTCGGGTGGTAATGGTTGGGAACAACTTTGGACGCTGCCATGTTCTTCGCTCGAGCTCTCCGTACAACCGTAAGAAGCGGCGAATATCCTTTTGCTATTCTGACTCGTCTATCTAGACGCGACCACTTTTGAGCAGAGCTACGCTCGCGCCAACAAATTTACATGCGAGGTGGATTACAGACCAAGCCCGAGAGGCGATTTCTAGCGTATGTACCAGCATCTGCATATCCTAGAATCTCTTTGACGAAAAGTTATAGGCCGTTAAAGCTCATCCGGTCGTATTATTCATGAAGGGCAACCCTTCAGAACCACGTTGCGGCTTCTCTCGAGCTGTTTCCCAAGTCCTTGCTGCATATGAAGTTCCACCAGAAAAGTTCAAAAGCTACGATGTTCTTCAAGACCAGGAGCTGCGACAATCCATCAAAGAATACTCGTCAGTCTATCCTAAAAGTGCACCCCGTTTGTTGATATCATCTTTAGTGATTGGCCGACCATTCCTCAACTGTATGTGAAAGGAGAATTTGTCGGTGGATGTGACATTGTAATGGACAGTAAGTGCAACTCTAGAAATCTGCCCTAGACTGATCCCGGATCAAACAGTGCATAAGAGTGGTCAACTTGAGACACTATTGGAAGACTCGGGAATAATTCCGAAGATCGAACTTCCAGAAGAAAAGTCGTGAGGGTATAGAATTAACGTCGAGAGTACAATATCATCATTGGACGTAATATCAATCATTTCTCTTCTATCTTTAAGGTCTCCTCTGCATAATACTCGACGACCCCTTCGTCGTCGACGCGTCCTCGCTGGACTTGTTCGCCTCGGGCGCGTAGGAGGTCTTCCACTGTCCGAAGCTTTCCATCTTGCGTACTTTCTTTGAACCAACCAATGTGGTCTGCGATTAGGTGTCTTTTCCGGGTCAGTCACCAGCGCTCGGAGATCTCAAAGCGTACCTATTCCTGCAACCGGGACAGGTGATAAGTACGATCCCTTTTGTATATGCATGATATGTAAATTCGTGAGTACTTCTATGACCACAGTTATCTGCTGTGCAGGTCAGGGTCATTTGTAATTTTCTTTCTGGCGCCTTTGGCGAGTTAAAAAGACGATTTGAAGTAGTAAATGGCCGATGTTGAGATAAGAAAACTCGTCTGGGAGGAAGCCGCGCCATGGGCCGAGCTTTGACAAAGGACTGAATCAAGGATCGCATGGTTCGGGTCCAAGGCTTGGATTACGTTTTGAACCTCCCCACGACGCTATAAATGGTCGCCAAAATGGAAAACGGTGCAGAGAATGTTTCTGAGAGCGTCTACGTCGCCACAAACGGCACCCACAAGATCAACGGCGCATCAGCAACGTCTACGCAGGCCTCATCGCTCAAGGTCCGCTTTAACATCGAGTTTCAGGCGTGTCTGACGACGTGAAATCTTCGTGTAGAATATCATCATCACTGGAGGAGCTGGTTATATCGGCTCGCATACCGTTCTTTCCCTCATCTTGACGCGCAAGTACCGCGTCGCCTCGATAGACAATTTTCACAATGCGTACCCTGCGTCTCTGGACAGAGTTCAAGAAATTGCACGTCAAAATCTGCCGGAAAATCCGACAGATGACGATATTCTGAGCACTCAGGTGCAGTCCTTCAAGGCCGATCTCACAAAGGAGGACCAAGTACGCTCAGTCGTGAGCAGTTTTGGTCACGGAGGACTCTGGGGTGTTATTCACATTGCGGTACGTTTCCATGCATCTCATTTCGCATCTGCCGAGGGCCGGGCAGTAGTCAAAATCTGGTTCTGCTGCCGGATGCGTTCCGATCCCGTCCTTCTCGCCAGTTGAATGCCTTCCGAACTTCGGGATTACTGAAACATTTGTATAGGCGTACAAGGCTGTTGGCGAATCAAACGAGATACCGCTTGCATATTATGAAAACAATGTCAGCGCTACGCTGCTTTTGGCGAAAGTCATGGAAGAATACGGCTGCCATCGGCTTGTCTATTCCTCCTCTGCTACCGTCTATGGAATTCCACCCATCGTTCCTATTCCGGAAATAACCAAATTGGACGCTATGAGCCCTTATGGCCGCTCCAAAGTTATGTCCGAGACCATCCTGAGCGATCTATGTCGCTGTGCGTATCCCTTTATCGAGCAGCGCCACTACTGACTGACCCCTTTGCAGCGAAACCTGACACCTGGAAAGTGATTTCGCTGCGATACTTCAAGTGAGTAAATACTCCCTGCTGATTCATACTCTGACGTATTCCAGTCCGGCGGGCGCCCATCCATCTGGCCTGATAGGTGAAGAACCCCGAGGGCGGCCCGGAAATCTTCTCCCCTTGCTCGCTCATATGGCCGTGGGCAGAATTAAGGAAGCGACTTTGAAGGTGTTCGGCAACGACTACCCCACACCGGATGGGGCTTGTGTGCGGGACTATCTCCACATTTGTGACCTCGCGGATGGCCACCTGCTTGCTCTCGAGGCCCTTGAAGACGGTTCCACTGTGTTTGACCACCCAGATGGTGTCGGAATCGGTCCGAAGGAGGGCGAAGGAAAGTACCGTGCTTTCAACTTGGGCAAGGGCCAGGGCCTCAGCGTATTCAATATTGTGGATGCAATGCGAAAGGCTACTGGGTTCGATTTCCAGACGGTGATTGTTGGTCGACGGTATGTGCCCTGGCAACTCGTTTCTCTCCTCTCACAATATCCTATAGAGCCGGCGATGTGCCTGATTTGACGGCTGATCCGACTCTAGCCAGGAAAATTCTGGGATTCGAGGCCAAGCATGACCTCGAAAGCATGTGTAGAGATCTCTGGAACTGGCAGACGAAGAACCCAGAGGGGTACACTACGACTCAGTGAACGGAGGCCATCTATCTAGGAGGCATTTTCACTCATATTTTCTTTTTCGGACCACACTAGCTACTTGTTCGATGTGCTGTTGCTAATAGACTGTTTACTCATTGTCATACACCCAAGATCTGCGCTGGTGCTACATCGTTGATATTGCAACAAGTACTACGGCTACTAGCATCGAAACTACGTCGAGATACTCACTCCTCCCACTGCACCAGAACAACCTCCTCGCGCCAGCACTCCTTCAGCTCCTCCCCTTCTTCAGTTGTACAACAGTCTTTCTCGCATGTATAAACCAGACAAGTTCCCCACTCCATCCCAGTGTTCGTCTTGTCTTCTGTCTTCAGCATGTTGATGAGATTTGGCATCAGTTGAAACTCGAACCGACGGTTACTCTTGCAAATAGAGCATTTTGGGAGCATGGAAGATAAGGTTGGATTGTACGTGCGTTTTGGTGCGGCACCTTCGGCAACAAATGCTGCACCAGTCACAGGGACCAATGTACCTGGAGTAACCGAATGGAGTGAACGATGAACCTTGTCTGCTTGATAGAACAACGGGTGGCCATTTAGTTCATACCTGGGGGATCTTAGCACGATAAGCTTGTGCAGGTCAATATATTTACCGTACGCATTGCTTTGGCGCCGCTTCTATTCTCTGAGTGAACCGTAGAAAGAGATCGTCGACATTCTGAGACTCCTCCCATATCTCTTTTCCCCATGCCTCTCCTCCGTCAGATCCCGACGGACCAGCTTTCTTTGAGATTTGATCCGGCTTTGTTTTGGGGGCTGGTGGCAGATATTCCGACTCTGTCTCTAGATAGATTGGAAGATAGTGAGGTTGTTTGGACCAATCCACGCTGGGTCCAAGCGTCGACTTTTGAAGCTGCGTTGTGACTTGTTCGACGTCAGATGCCTCGTCTTCATCTGTCGATTCTTCGCTGCCCTCATCGGGGGCCTCCTTTAGGTTGATTTCGTTTCACTTGGCCCTCCAAATCCCATTATCTGATCGCCAAAGCCAAAGCCGCCTTCGGTTGCGCCTGCCTAAGAGAGTATGAGGTTCGTACCAAGGCCCCTTGCTAACATACAGAGAAGGGATTTGAGGCTGTCGTTGCTGCTGCGAAAGGATTACTTCGAGGAGGTTTTATATCCTCTCCCGGCTGCTCAGAAACCTTCTTCTGCTTCTTGCGCTCTAGTCTTTTGGCATATTTAGCATCGTAGCGCAGACTTCTCCACGCTCGCACACTATGAGAGTCAATTCCTGCAATTCGAAGAGATTGAAAACTCACGCTCCATCCTTTCGCTGACATGGCGGCTTAGCGCAAGCCCAAACATATAGAACCCGTTCGAACGGGCTCTCTTCCAGGTTGCAAAGCATTTGTACAAGTAGTTCGGCCGGCTCATTGCAATTCTTGCATTTAGAAGAGTTTGGAGATGGGTGAGGATACGCAAGGAAAGACTGTTGAGAATGAACGAGGATGTTCACTTGCATATTGACAGACGGCGACGCACTGGCGTTCCGCCTATGCGCGAGACATAGGCATCTTGAAGATCGCCTTCGTCTTCTATCCTATCACTTGGGATGCCGAGATGGACATCCGTGTAGCCGTCGTCCTCTCGCTGATTGAGCGAGCCTTCGTCCGAATCTGACCAATCTTCGTCAGTGTGTGGCATGATCCTGTCAAAAAATCAGTATCTAAACTGAATTATGAGTTTCAGGACAAGATCAGGAAGCATGAATGGTATTTTATAGAGGCTTGTCTTCAAGCATTCAGAAAGGCAGAAACTGCCCCCAGAAAACGTCGGACTCGTCATCTAGAATCTCATCTTGAAGCCGGAGAAACAGAAATGAGACACTTACGGTGTGGTAGGAGTTTTAGGTGAACCAAATATTTGCTCCCATCTCGTCTCTGCCACAGCCAACGACTCGACTCTGGGTAGCAGATAAAGCTCTCCATGCATTGTGTATACTAAGGCGGTCATTTGGACTCAAATCGGGATTTTAAGGCTCCTATGGATGAGGCACGGATCTTACTTATTGATTCATATGATAGCTTTACACATAAGTAAGTCTCTCATCGTGTCTCCTGTACACTTACTAATCGTTGAACAGTCTAGCGGCTCTGTGCTGCCAGGCCATTCCACAGTCGCGAATTCACATCATTAAGAATGATGCACTGAGCATCCATCAACTCGTCCCCCACCTCCCCAAATTTGACGCTATTGTCGTGGGACCTGGTCCCGGTTCGCCTGCTCACCCAGCGGACATCGGGATCGTACGTGACCTCTGGAAACTCGAAGAGCATCTTTTGCCCATCTTCGGAGTATGCCTCGGCTTGCAAAGCCTCGCACTCGAATTTGGAGGCAAAGTGTCCCGTCTTCGGGTTGTCAAGCATGGTCAAATTTCCCCCATCGTGCACACCGGCTCGGATCTCTTTGCAGATGTCGGAGCGATAGAGGCCGTGCGATACCACTCGCTTCATGCCTCGTTAAACGACGGAGAACATCTTGAAGAGCTCGCATGGGCGAATGATGGCGAGGAAAATGGTCGAGTGATCATGGCCATCCGACACCGCAGCAAGCCGTATTGGGCGGTCCAGTACCACCCAGAATCCGTTCGAACGTCTGGTGGAGGCCTCGAGGTCTTAAAGAACTTTTGGAGACTTTCAAATGAGTGGGAATCGCTCAGAGCGAGGAAAAGATACAAGTGGGACGAAGAAATCGAGACGCTGGTCGGTCCAGCCTGGCCTTCCCTCTCCTTCTCCCTGCAGCGCGGCATGAATGTTCTTTCGAAAAAGATACACGTGCAAACGCGGATAATCGATTCACCTTTGCTGAGTAGCGTCGAGGTTGCCGAGCATTTTGGCGCCACGGATGAGAATGCTCGACTGGTCCTCCTCGATTCAGCGGCAAAACCAGGTCGTTTTTCGATCATAGGCAGTCTCATGACATCTTCTCGCCAATACACTCATTACACTCACGAAAATCACGTTTCGATAACATACAGCGGGACGACGGAGCAAATCCCACTCCGTGAGCTTGACATCTGGTCTTGGATGGAGAATCACATGCGCCCGTACGAGAACATTGTCGGTCACGAGGATGTGCCTTTCTGGGGTGGCTTCGTTGGCTATCTCAGCTACGAGCTCGGATGTCAGCACCTCGCGCCGCTTCCGACTCGCCGTGACAAGTCAGCACCTGCTCCTCGCGTGCACCCAGACCTCAATCTCGTCTTCGTTGAACGCAGTGTTGTATTGGACAAGGTCACGGGTCGAGCCTACGTCCAGTCCATCCTCCCAAAGGACGATGGGTGGATAAGCGACACTGTACGTTCCCTGAGAGAACTCGACGCGAGCCTGCGTTGTAGGGTGGGCTCGAAGGTGGTCTCTTCTGAGGAATGTCCGAGGCCCAAACCGTCCATCACGCTACCCAACCGGTCCCATTACTTGGCGAGTATCGAAACCGCCAAGGCGCATCTCGCTGCGGGTAATTCGTACGAAATATGTCTGACTGCGCAAACGAGGGTTACTCTTGCCGTGCAGGATGTAAACCGGGATCGTAGTTCGTCTTGGGAAATGTACAAGCGTCTTCGCAAGCACAATCCAGCACCCCATTCCGCATACCTTCGACTCAACCCTTCCACCGTGCTGTCATCGTCTCCCGAACGCTTCCTCTCGTTTAGTCGACCACCCAATCCGACCTATCAGCTACGACCGATCAAGGGCACTCTTCGCAAGGGACCAGACATCCAGCGAGCAGATGCCGAACGACACCTGGTAGGAAGTGTCAAAGAGGTTGCAGAGAACCTCATGATCGTCGACCTGATTCGCCACGACCTACACGGAGTGGTGGGCGAACAAGTGCACGTGTCGCAGTTTTGTGGAATCGAAGAATACGAGACTGTATGGCAAATGGTCAGTGTCGTAGAGGGCCAGTCTTCCCCTTGTCGGTGTGACGAGCCCGGTGAGCGGAACAGCCAAGGATGGCAAGTCCTCCGTCATTGTCTACCCCCCGGTAGTATGACGGGCGCACCGAAAAAACGTAGTGTTGAGATTCTGCGTGAGTTGGAGCGAGAGCCCCGGGGAATCTACTCTGGCGTGCTTGGGTACTGGGACATTGGGGGTGGGGGCGATTGGGCAGTGGTTATTCGAAGCTGCTTCAAGCATGAATCTCAGTCACGAGTTCCTAATGCCACCGAAAACGAAGACCTTGGCGGTACCAAGCTTGGCCATCCTCCCTTGGAGGAGTGGTCAATAGGTGCTGGTGGGGCAATCACAGCACTATCAGATGCACAAGCCGAGTGGGAGGAAATGGTACTCAAATTGCAAAGTGTCCTCGGTGTTTTCAAGGCGAATCCGTCCCTGTCACCCCCACAAGGGCCGACGCTCTGATCTATGTATCTGTGTTGAAATCTGTCCTCAACGACACCCGCTGCCGGCTTCAACACCGGCGATACTTTTGTGTGTTTATCCATTCATCGCTCAATAGAATTCATTGTTTACGATGGCGACGACCTAACCAGATTTCGACCGGCGCTCCGCCTGCTCCAGGGACGTTGTCGACTTTGTGAATCTGCAGTCCTACTTGCTCCTCGAACATGGGCCAAACAACGCGCTCTGAATCATGCCTCTCCTTGTAGGCGAGCATGATACGAGCGTGTGGAGACAAGTCGAGGAGGTTATTCAACGTCTTGAGAAGTGCTGGGAAGGAAGACGTGTTGTAAGTCACATCGCTCATCCTGCAGCGTTGTGAGTCCACACAAAGCGATCAAGGAACAGGGCAAGGGTTATGTGCTTACAAGATGAGATCAGGGGGGTTGGAAACGACATCCTCGGGCAGTGTTTCGTCTTCCCAATCGAGCACGCCTGCCGTGGGTATCACTACGAGAGGAGAGTCTTGTTCCGATTCTTCCCGCAGATGACAATTTCCGTCTATGTTGCGTCCAATGAGGGGAAGCGCCGACGGGAGGTCTGTGGCGTGGATGCGGAGAATTGGCAAAGGGTCGGAGTGGGCCGTCGCCCCGCTGTCGTCCTCGTTCTCCGAGGATTTTTGCGACAGAAGGAGCGAAAGCGCAATTGAAACGATGCCCGTTCCCGTTCCTTTGGGGAAACAAGTAAGTCCATGGTGCTCGCGTAGATGACCCGGTTCCGTCAAGGCATCAAGAGGATCTGCTGACCGAGTTCGAGGACGTTGCATTCCTTGCGCCGCGTCCAGAGCATGTCGACGATATCCTGGATCGTGTCCTTGAATGGAGCTGGATAGACATGCGTTTGGTCACGCAGGCGGCTGAAAAAGAGGGCGGTAGCTAGACCAGAGTCCCAAAGTTTCTACATATAAGTCCGGAGATATGCCTCGAAATCAATTATTGCACGCTAGCATGGTTAATTATCGTTCACCTTGTCAAGATCGAAGCTCGTCTTCTCCGTGAACCTCATTATACGTTCAGGGCCACCGGAGAACCATGGTGGCAACTTGAATACTCGCTGAATCTCGTCGAGTTTTCGTGTTGATGCCGAGGGGCCCCGTTTGCGGCCGGGTGCCTTGGGAGTGGTAGAGGCATAGACGGAGATTGGGGCTGAATAGACTGGGATTATCTGGCGCATGGCTTGACTATCCGTTAGATTGACAGACATTCTGGAAGGAACGGGGGGAGTGCCGATTGGACAGGCAAAGAGACCCAAGAGCCATGTGGATAGCGGGCTGGAAACGCGCGGACAGGGCAGAGAGACGAGTTTATGCGGATATTCGGGTCTCCACGTTGTGATTTTGGCAGGATCGGTCGCAGTTTCGAACGAGAGCGAGGTCCAGACGGCGTAGAGATCAATAGGCTCAGGGTAGAGTCTGCAAGGGCGTTAAAGGATAGGCTGATAACGACAAGACTTACTCGGTCCGGAGATCATTTGTAATCTGGATAATCACGTCGACTGATTGTCCACCATGTGCATCGCTCAGCGGCGGTCGAATAAACGAAAGCCACCAGAACATGATTTAAAAAAAAAGATACGGGGGGAGCGAGTTACCGAGAGCCGATTCGGAGAAACTGAGAGTCAAGTTCGGAGCCAGTCTGTGCTTGTTAGTACGGTAAGAGATGGGGTGGCAGGTGCATAGCAGCTGATAACAACGTCGAAATCACGTGAAAAGTGGCTCAGTTTACCTCGAATATTGGCAAGCGAGCCCCAGTTTGCGCTTTGGCCCGCACGCGAATGGACCCTCCGCTGGCGCCAGAGCCCGAAAATGCGCCCGATATTCCCAACGGCATGCAGCCAGACACCTCGAACGACGATAACGTCCGCATCGCAGCCGATGCGCTCGAGAACATGCGCTCGACGCCCCTGCAGCACCCACAGCTCTCTAATGGTACGCTCTTTATTCGTTCTAAACATCCCCGTCGCACCTGGGCTTACCTCTGATTTTCCCCATATTTTTTAAACGCGTCCCTCGACCCCGCAGAAACAGAGGCCGGCGCGCGACGAGCAGGCGTGTTCGCGCAGGCAAGGAATTTGTACGACTATTCAAAGTCAAACTCGCGACTAGTCTCGTACGGAGCCGGAATGGTCGAATCGGGCGTCCAGGCCATTTCCAGGCCCGTCCTTGACCGCGTCGTGCGTATAAATCCGCCCTAGTGTTCTCAAATCTTTCATCGTCTAATGATCTTTTCTCTCCTCTGCAAGCAGCTTAACTATGGCCGATCCGAGCCTGCTCCCGCCCCGTCTTCTGCCTCTGTGCCGCCCCCGCGCGACGATTCACAGTCTATGCAGCTCGACGCTTCCGAACGCGACTCTTCATCCTCGGATCCGGCCCGAGAAGAGCAGCGGCTGCGTGCCCTTTCATGGACCCATCAACAGCGTGCGGCTCGCCGAGTTGATAGCGATAAATACTCCGCGTCGTCGGAACAAGTTAAGATGAGCGCCGAGGATGGAGATGACGATGACCATATGGATCTGTCCTCTCAGGATCGTTCCCAGGGCACTTCATCTGGCTCTGGCCAGCCCGTTCTCCACACCGAGAGCTCAGCGAGCACTCGCAAAGTATCAAACGACGACCAAGCATCATCCCAAGCAGTCTCAAGACGCCCCGGTTGGCATTCTCTCATGATCGAAGCCGGTGGTATCAGCGCTGCTGTGAGCGATGAGAGCATGCGCAAGCTCAAGTACTGCCTCGAATGGCTACAGGTGCGTTTGTTCCTCTAGCTCTCCTCCAGACTGCTTAGCGTTTCTCCTCGTAGTGGGCAACTGCAAATCTCGACACCCAGATTACGCTTTTAGAGACATTTATCGCTTCGATCAATGCCACTGTCACGGGTGAGCCCGTACCCTCCTCGGCCACAGTCTCTCCAGAGGCCCTCAAGCACTACATGAGTGTCAAGCGAAATGTCGTTAATACTATTCGCCAAGTCGTCGAGGTCGTGGGTAAATACGCCGGAGGTTCCTTGCCAGAACCAGCAAAGAACAAGGTCAAGGGCTTCATCCTAAGTCTCCCCGGCCGTTGGAGCGTTGCCGTCAAGGATGCCGGCCTCGGTGAGGGCTGGGAGGGAGGATCTAATAATGGTGATTCAAATGGAAATCCAACTCCGAATGCACCCGACAGCGCAACCGCGACAGGACGAGCAACTGCGTCTACGTCGAATCCTCGCAAGAGGCATCGACTCGAAGCATCCTCACAGTCCCTTGCCTCTGAAGCGACCACAGGTAGCAGCGCGACGATTATAGGCAGCTCAATCGGCGCTGGTCCTAGTAGCACCAGCCTTGCCTCGAGCACGCACGATGTGCCTGCGCCTGTTACGTCTCCGACACTTTCTCATGCCACTCCTGGCGGGCGACGTCAGCAGCTCTTGCCTCCCACAGCTGGAGCGGCAAGGCATGCTGCCCATCGCGTCCTCACGCTCGCCCAAGAGAGTCTTCACGCCGTCAAGGGTGTCACAGGCGTCTTCAAGGATACATTAGATCGTGCAGAGACGTACGTTTATTTAATCTGTGTGAGCGGGGTTCTGTTGGCTGACGTCTCTACAGCTGGGTGGACCGCCTCCGACGAGTCGGATACCAGTCGAATCGCTACATGGACGATTCCGACCACAGTACGAGCAATAGCATATCATCCTCACGCCTTCTCCGTCCTCCACACAAAGGCATCCCCCAATCTCCCTCAGTGCCACTCTCGCCAGCCGTCTCTTCGCCGCGGTCGCCGATGGAACGACGAAGAATGCAAATGACACCGCGCGAGCTTCATCTAGAAGCACTCGCGCGTTCAATGCCGAGCGTTGGCCCATACGGACCGTATGGAACCGGAACAACGCCGCCAATGTCCCCCGTCCTCGGCCCGCAAGGATCGACAAATCGCCAGAATGCATTTCCATTTGATAACCCGGCACCTGGAGCGCCTGGGTACGGATGGGTTGGTGGGCGTAGAAAGAGCGATAGTGGGCTGAGTGCCGTGCCCACGCTCAATCTTAGCGAAACGGGATACAGTGGACGATCTCGTGCGGGGAGTATGAGTCAGTACGAGAGTAGTACCGGCGAGAGTTTACCCCCTCCGAGTGTGGGCAGCACGAGCAGTGTTGCTGGTGACGATGAACTCGATGACGAGGCGGATGATTCTGCGCGTAGGGTACGCGTTGCTAATCCTGATTCGGTCAAGGATGTTGATGAGGACGATGGCATGGAGTACCGCGTCAGGAAGAGACGACGAAAGGAGGAGGAGATGCAGTGACGTTTCCGTACCGTCCCCCCTTTGCTTTTTGCTCCCGTTCGTCTATTCGTTATGCGGGCGTTTGCGAACGTTCATGTTCATATACTACTAATTATTCCCCGGCTACCTGCGCGGCCCCACACTTTCCCTTTGATCGGATCTACTCCTTCGTACTTGCAGTCGCTCTCTTTCTCTCAGTCTCACTCAACACTAGGCCCTCCAGTTTGCTTGCTGCTGTTCTCTGACGATGTGTAGGATTAGTCTGTCATGGCGGCTATCACACCTCTTTCATGCAATGGACGCTCATTTGTTCAGATCGAGGTTATGCTAAGGCAAAACTGGGCTTGCATACTAGCGGAATGGATGGTTACATATCTGACCTACTCCGCTACCTGACGCCTGGTTTTCGGAGTCACGGCATCAAAGGACACAAACTATCCCATAGACATCTACTAAGCATACATTCGCTTTGAAGGTGTAGCCAGTATACGTTGTGCCGGCGAAGTCGATACCCGACTGCTGGCTGGGTTCAGCTCGGCTATTCGAGGATACGTAACTTCAGCATGCTGTCTTGCTTCTATGTGTCAATATACCTAAACCATTCGTTTGGATATCGGCAATACAGGAGCGCTGATAGGCCGAGTCCTGAATATCATGAGCCTCGCTAGGTGATTGACCATGCAGATCCGCCTGATGAAACAATTATTTGTTGGATACTTGGAGACGAATAGACGTATCACACTGTCTGTAAGGTCTCGTAGGCGGAGTGCTGTTGGACCAGCCAGGGAGAGGCTAAAATTGGCGATAAGAAACCCCGCAAACATGGTTCCTTTCATTGTGAAAATGCTTAATTAGTCGAAATCAGCCCATTGTTTATACTCTGAACCAGCCAAAACCCCGACTTGGAAAATGTTCTCTGGTTGATTTGTTTTGATGGCTATATACGACATGCGCTTGGTTTTGCGCAGAGACCAGTAAATAATGCATGAATTTACTGCGTAGTGAACATAAATTGCCTGGCTGGTTGGCCAAGCCCCGCCAACAGAACCTCGGGGTAGGTATCGGATGAATTCCATCTTCCTAGATACGATTGGCCCATAATATCTCTTGTTGAAAGTGCTCATTCATGAGGTTATTCATCGAGAGCAAAGTCTTATTGAAAGGGTTGTATGTTCCAAGATCGCACTAGCAGAGACAAGGCAAGTGGATGGTGATATAGTTAGCGCATGTCCTGCCCGTTGGCAAATCATTGCCCGTCTGGAGGTACAGATCCCAGTAACCGCCACTCGCAGAGCACGCGAGGAAGTTTTGGAGTTGTCCAACACGGAAAGTATCGCCACTCAAATTCCAGGTCGTGGTCGTCGCAGTCGTGTCAAAAGTCAGTGGCTAAATAATGCCTCTCGTCAGTATCCACGAATTATACGTCTAATTGGCGGACCTTGTAGCTGGTGCTGCTTGTGCCGACATTCAGGTAGAGCTTGCTACCGTCGGCCATGACGAGTGCCACCGTCGTGCCGTAGACAAAGTAGCCAGATTTCGATTCAGGGCCAAGCTGAGGCTTGCCATCAACGAGTTGGAGGTAGAGATGGTATACCTATACTGTGGTCAGTCGTCGCACTGTGAAAGGACAGACTCCGATGCCATACAGGATTAACGACCGTTCTGATCTGCTTGCCAGAGCTCGGGTTGGTCGACTGGCCACCGGTAATGGTCGGCGTAGGCGAGCTCGTCGTCGTCGAATGGCTCCAAGTATCGAATATAGTCGTCGTCATGCCCACGCTCCTGCTGGTACTACTACTACTACTTCTTGTGCTAGACGAGGTGCTTGTGGGCGTGCTAGACGCCGTTCCGGGGATACATTGGCTAACAAGCTCAGCGTAAACTCTTGTTCCCGTTCATCAACTTACTAGTACCACGGGTTTAAAACCGAACAATAATACCCAGAAATACAGGTTGTCTGTCCTGTCCTAAACAGAGGTGGGAAATCATGGAGTCGGGGTGTGTATCTAGGCATACCATCCATTTCCACCTGATATAATCAGCATTTTTGAACGAATTCAATGCGATAGAACTGACCACATTGCCCCCAAGCAGTTTGTTGCCCTTGTGCCACACCGGCGAGAGAAAGGCCAGTAAGAGCGGCGAAAAGACCTACGAGCATGCTGTCTGTCGTCAAAGTGAAGCTCCTAGGTGGCAATGCGTGGCATATTAATACTCTGGAGTTTCGTCGCTGGACAAATGTGATTCGAAGAAAGCCCAACTCGCCGACTTGGCGAGAATGTTCCTTTATTCGGATCACATGGCTCATTAGATGCAAGTTAATTGTATACGAGATGCATCCACAGGTTAGCGCAAATCGCATAAATTGGCCGCTCTTACCGTCGTAGCCCACAAGTCAGGGTCGTCGCAACAAGGAACCTCGGAATAGGTGAGTAAACATCGGATACAAACCAGTGGTGTCTTGTTAGATTTGATTCGTGGTGCGTGGTCTTTGGATGAAGCAGTGTAGTATTAATCAATGTAAATTACGGAGTTTAAATACCAGATACCACTTTAGAGACTCGAATGCGCATGCCTTGATACGCCATTGGTGTTTTCAAGCAACTGTCGATAGGCGACCAGTTGCGCGATGCTGATCATTTTGAGACCCCAAGTATCAGCAAATAGTCTGCAATCATCTCGCCGTGCCATTGTTCCCTGGTCATCGTCGTTGACGATTTCGCAAAGCAACGCCGCTTGGGGGAGACCAGTGAGCCGACAAAGGTCTGTAACAGTCGGATTGAACAGATTCATCACAGTAATAAAACAAGAAGGGCAAATGGTCAGCTCGGTTTATCCAATCATTCGAGTATACGTACCAAGCCCGGCCTCGGTGTGGCCTCGCCGTACGAGGACGCCTCCTTCACGCGCACGCAACGGACAAAGATGACCGGGTCTGTTAAAGTCGCTCGGCTGACTTGAAGGGCTCGCCAGCTTGCGGGCGGTCAATGCCCGGTCATGGGCGGAAATGCCGGTCGAGGTGCCTATGATTTTCATGGGATCAGCCCACGTATACTCGAGCATTTGTGACTGGTACTGACCATATTTGTAGTCTACGGTAATGGTATATGCCGTCTTGTGTTTCTCTTCATTATTGGGCACCATGAGTGGCAGCTCGAGCTCGTCTAGCCGTTCACCGGGCATGGATATGCAGATATAGCCACTTGAATAGGTTGTTAGCATTCACACGGAAATGATAGATGTAGCGACGAGCACCTAGTCTGCTTGATGAACCACGCCATCTTTTCCGTGGTCATCATACTCGCTGCGCAGATGAGATCACCCTCATTTTCCCTGTTATGATCGTCCATGACAACGAGGAATTCTCCATTTTTGAATGCTGCGAGTGCGTCCTCGATTGGATCGAAGAGCGACTCTTCTTCGCCGTTGAGCGTAGATGTTGATTTGACGCTGTAATGAGACATTTCTTCGAATGTAATCTGCACGCTGGAGGTTGCAAGGACGGCGCTGGCCATGGCTGGAAGTGGTCGGGGTTTAGTGGTCTGGGTTTAACTAGTGTAAGCTTTATAAGCGGGCCACTTGACTTCGACCATTGCCTAAGCCAGAGATTGTCATCGGCTTGGGAACAATTCTCCGTATTCGATGGCCACAACGTAAGCATTCTTGCGTCTCGGACGTGGATTTACAAAGCTAAGACTCGTGTTATTACCATACAAGGCTTCCGTTTCCCATCCCAGACAACATTCTCCTTCTAGTGCATCTCCACTTACTCGAGTGGCCCCAGGACGATGTATGTGACCCAGATATGTTCAACGCGACGACCCACGGCATCGGCGACAGGATAAAGGCCATGGAACGCGTCGTCTACTTTCTCATCGCAAAAGCAGAAGGAGATCAGCACGCAAAGGCAGTCAGTGAGCGCGATTTACGTTCACAAATCTCACCAGCAGCCATTGACGTGCATGTGTATAGCTCTTACCAATGTTTCCGTGTAAGCAACCTTCTGATACCGTCAACTTTCGCAACATTGTTACAAAATACTTGGAAACGCTTCGAGCGGCTGCAATCAAGTCCCAACAGGCTGCGGCGAAAGCATCGCCGAATGCTGGATTCACGAAACCTACAGAGTCACAAGTAAGAAAGACGGTGACGGAGAAAGCGAGGCTCCCGCCCAGAAAACCTGCCGTCAGTGCTCGGTCCGTCTCGACAACCTCGTCTCTAAGAACAGCGAGTACGAGTACAACGTCATCAAGGTGGACAAGCGCATCTTCGCGATCTGTCAGCGCATCCTCTACCAAATCTGGAGCGAGCTCCGCCACCATGGTTTCTTCCCGAAGTACTGCAAGTGCCAAACCAGTCCGACAAAAGGATGTGTTTGGATGGTGGTGGAAGGACGTTCCTGTTCGAAAGTCTCTTTTGGAAGAGTCGACTGGACCACGCTTTGAGCGACTGCTCCTTGCTCTCAGTGCGCATGCGCTCCTGGCCTCGCGAGAGGCAACCTCGAAAGAATATACCGAAATATTGCAATCAATCAACGCTTCATCAAACAATAGCCTATTCGTGAGCTCCCCGCCACCTGATTTCCATCACTAACCCTTGGATAGGATATCCTAGCTGAGCAACCCGAAGAGTACCGAGCTATAGTAGACCGGATCAAAGACGTTCAGCTACGGGTCGTCCTAGAGCGCGAGTTGCTGCTCCAGAGGTCCAGGCAAATCGACGCGTTTCGCGCTGGCTCTGATGCGGATGACACAGAAACGCAAGTCCGATCGATCCAAGAGCTCCAAACATCCAAAGGCGACCTTTTATCCTCAACAAGGTCATCATTAGGAAGTGACAATCTCAACATGGAATGGATGTTCTCTCTCGTCGGGCTCACGAATGCCGATTCGGATCCAACCACAAGTCAGAGTACGGAACCGTCAAAAAGAAGAAAGTCGACCGTAAGTATGCCTTCTTCCCATGCACAGCAGGGACTGACCAAGCGCAGAGAATGACGATCCTTCCTCCGGCGCCGCTACCGACGGCTGTTGCGCAACTTCAAACTCAATTTAAAGCAATTTTTGACGTTGATGTCCGTATCAAACAGCTCTCGGAAGATCTTGATACGTATAGTGCTTCATCGAAGACGAGATCCAACGACGAACCTCTTTCTGAGCAAGCGGAGTGCTTGGAGAATGAGGCTGCTCTTCTCCGCTCGGTTCAGGACTTTACAAAGGAAATGACACAGTTGGAGTCTCTGATGACCCAGGAGCTTGCAATGCGACAGGCAGCGCTCAACGAGGTATACGAGTTGGAACATCAGGTCACACCAACCAAGAACAAGATCCCTTCGGATAGGGAGAGGACGTTTGAGTTAGATTTTGACGTAGGTATTACTCTTGAGTGAGCACTTGGCTGATGACCACTAGATTTCCAAAGGTCGTGCATACATCTCGCAATATCTACATCAGAATCGTCTATCTAGAGAAGAATTGGCTCAATCTATCCAATCATCTATTCATGCCGACCTTGTTCAACGGGACGAGTCGTCGGAAGAGAGCGACGGAGAGGAAGAAGGGCGACAGCGATGGCAGATGAGACTGTCGTGTTTGAGCGCACTAGTCCGATCAAGTCTAGAATACCCACGTACTCGACGCCGTACAAATCCAAGATATCAACGGATCAGTCGCCGAAATCGACAAGGACACCAAGAGGGCTCGTCGTGCCGAAGGCACCTCAACTCTTATATCTCTCCCGGGTGTCTCCGCCGCGAACACCGCAGTACGCAACCGCCAAGCAGCGTACACCCGTGCGTGCTACTCCGTCCTTTTTCATGACACCCACGAGGGGTATGGAAGACCTAAAGGACATCCTTCCGCCGTTCCAGTCTCCATGGAGAAGCGTGACGCGATCAACCGCCTATCACGCTCGGAACACACCCCGCAAATCTGTCGGCATGACGCCGCGCAAATCGATTGGACGAAAATCAATAGGCCAACGACGAATATCTGGGCATCGGCCGCGCCTGTCCAAGGGCTTGATGGGCTCTTCGAGCTTTGTGCGAACGCCGCTGAAGAGTGGGAAAAGATTGAGTAGTATCATCCCGCCGGTGAGCTATTCAGCCGTGCCGATGCATGCAACTCCTCGAGCGAGCTTGGACGACGTATATGAAGAGGTGAGAACGTGTCTGCTGTGTCCCGGCATTGACTGACAAGTTTAGATTGTCGATGATTTGGTCCAAAGCTCGAAGCTGAGGACACCTCCGAGCTCGACGAGTGGGCAGAGGTTGCTCGGGTTGGACAATAGCGTGCGCCGGACGAGTCCTTACAAGAGGATGGCGGGACAAGTGGAAGCGCAGAGTCCGGATGGGATATCCGAGTATGACCATGTGGTGTCTGATGCCGCGGAATGGGACGACGTGCTAGAAGAGGAGCAGACCAAGACACCGCGCAAGGAGGACGCGGGTCTCAACGAGCCAAGCTTTACGCTCCAGGACATTCTACTGCGAGTCGGGCAGCAGGGTTTGATGGGGGCGAACGGGACGTTTAATTTCGATCTCCTGAGTACGTACGCTCCCCGGAGAAGGATTAAATCTGCTAATATTCATACAGATGGTGACGATATCGATGTAGAAGACGACGAGGAGAGCATGCTTGGACTGTAGCGCCACGCCCAGCGAATGAGATGGAGACTCGGTTTGTCTTGGCGAACCAAGAAACACTTTGTATGAATTTGCTGTAAAAAACCATAAACTCTGACCACGACGTTGGATTCCCAAAAACCCTGTAACACGGCGCCGCCGTCCTAATGGCCCCTTGGACCGCTCGTCGGCTGCCCCATGCCCTCGTCTTGCTCGTTTTGGCCATTCTCAGCACGCATACGCTTGCTCTCGATGTCTCCGACGACGCTGTGGACAACGTTGCCCGCCGTTCTCCTGTGCTTGGCGTGCCGCTCCAGCGACGGAACCCACGAAGACACCTGACGGAGGACGAGTACGGGGCATGGGCACAGCGACAAGTCGAATATCTACGTGCAAAATACGGAGGAACATCGTCAGAAGATAAACGGGCGATTGGAACAGCTGGCTTGGCCAATCGTAAGTCTTGTGCAGTGTGGATATCGACTGCTGATCCTCATTGGAATTGCAGAGAATACAGACTCGACGTTTTATGCAAGTGTCGGCTTTGGAACGCCATTGGAGCAGTATAATCTCATCCTCGATACCGGGAGTGCAGACACTTGGATCGCGGGTGCAGATTGTACCACTGGATGCGACGGTGTGAAACGCTTTGCGGCCAATGCCAGCAGCACCTTTCGGGACCAAAACCGGCCAGTGCGCGCATTTGATCATCCCAAAGCATTCAGAGTATCTAACGAATACCTAGTTTACGGTGCATTACGGCTCGGCCTCTGCAAGAGGATCCCTAGGCAGAGATGTCGTCCAGATGGCCGGCTTTGAAGTCCAAGATCAATTATTTGGTATGAAATGTCTGCATTGAGAATAACACTTGTAATACTAATATGTTGGACAGCCCTGGTTGAATCTGTCACCTCGAACAAGCCCTGCTTCATTCGCCAGTCTCCGGATTGATGGGCCTCGCATTCCGGGGGATTGCAGCTTCTGGTGGAATGCCATTCTGGTTACGGCTCGCCAATGGAGGTGTTTTCGATAGACCAATGATGTCGTTTTGTCTCACAAGATTTCTCGACGTCGACGGCGCGTCGGCCCTTGAGCCAGGAGGCTATTTCACGCTCGGTGGCGTCAACTCGTCACTGTATTCAGGAGACATTGACTTTGTCCCGCTCCCCGACGAAGGCCAGACCTATTGGGAATTACCGCTAAAGAGTGAGTACAGCCCTGAATGATGGACGCTTCTCATCTTCGTTAGCTTTTAGTGTCAATGGTGCAACCATCCCGCTTGCCAACGACTCTACGTCCGATGCCGCCATTGATACCGGAACGACTTTAATAGGCGCGCCTACTGCCATCATCGACCAGATGATGACACACATTCCTGGATCCTTCAGTGGCCAGGACGAGTATGAGGCATACTTTATGTACCCATGCAACTCGAGCGTACAAGTCCAGTTCTCCTTTGGCAGTCGCTTATGGACGGTCGGACCGCGAGACTTTAAACTCATCGAGTTTAGTAACGGGACCTGTGTGAGCTCATTCTTCCGTCTCTCACCCGGGTCCTCGTCTCCAAAATGGATCATTGGTGACACCTTTTTGGTATGCCCTTTATTTGCTTTATACGATTCTGTAACTGAAAAATTTCTGTCTCTGTTCAGAAAACTGTGTACTCGGTATTCCAGTATGATCCCCCTGCCATTGGATTCGCAACCTTGTCCAAGACGGCACTAGAGCTCAGTACGGTCGGCGGTGAGCTTCCAAGACCGTCTCAAGGTGCCTCTGTCGTTATTACCGGAGCTTCTTCGCCGCGGATCGCACACCCTGTGCTCTCTTCTCTCTTTGGGCTCTCCTTTTTCATTTTCTATATATTACTCACCTTATAACCACCATTGTAACACAACCTCATTGATCAACTCGAACTGTTTTTTAAAGTTTGAGGTCTTGCGTCAATCTCCTTTTGAACCCCGACTGCGATGTCCTTCCTCTCCCTTCCCACCGAAATATGTATCAACATCCTCGTTCAGCTTGCATATAACGACTTGTTACGCCTCAAGACGGTCTCCAAGGCTTTCTTGGTTCTCATTTCGTCGCCAGCCGTTCAGTATAGGATCCAACTCGGAATCGCGGCATTGGAAGATGACGATCCGAAAGGTGCAATCCCTATATCCGACAAGATTCGGCTCCTGGAGCAGATTGAGACCATGTTCAGACTCTGGGAGTTTCCCCAAATCACCTCCATCGCAATGTCGACACGGAGTGGTGTATACGGTATTCAAGATGGTGTTTTCGTTCCTGGGAGACTCGAAAGCATAGGAGGATCATTCCAGACAAAAGGAGCAGACGTCTATCGTCTGCGAGCGCCGATGAACCCCGGGGACATGGGCGCGTCGTGGAGATTACCTGACTTCGAAAGTCCGATAATGGCACTCGTGTCGTGTCCCCAGGAAAATTTGCTCATTACAATGGAGGAGGGAGAACACTCACTGCGGTTGGTAGCATCGCCTTGGAATAGCAATCACTCATGTTTCTCAGAGATGATTGCTTCATCTTACGATTTCTTTCTCTGTCGGATGGACGACCACATCCTAACTCCCATGGCCCAGTCACCCTTCCTTCCTCTATCCCACTCGAAAGCGGCGAGCCACAGTACATTACTATGCGATCGATTGGAGAGATTGTCGGCCTACGGACGATTGATTCCAAAGTCTATCTCGTCAACTGGGTCACAGGCCAATCAGGATGCATCGTCCCAAATCCAAGCTCGACGGGAGCAAGTCCGATCGTTGGCGACGATATCATTGATGACGTCTTATTTTTAGACGAGACGCATTGTTTTCTCATACGAGGGCGGCGTAATCCAGCAGAACTCGAGGTGTACGAATTTGACCGGTCGGCAAAGTTGACACTCAAAGCGGTCTATCAACTGCCAAGACGCAAAGGCAGGATAGAATTCAGCAGCACAAATGGCTTTTCGCGAGCCAGATTCCGTGGGGCGAATGCACTAGACGGATGCTTGGTACCGCCCTTCGCACCTGTGCCTGAAGAGTGTATTTTCTTGATCAAGATGATGATTATGGGGCCAGAAGGTGATGCTATGTATCCCCTCCTCTTCCGCGGAGAGTCGCTCCTTCGACTTCCTTCTGGCGTGACCAAGCGGGACGACGGCATATCAGTTGTTTCAGGACACCTCTGGATGCGCGAGACACATATCATGGAAGGCTTCAGTTGGGACCACCCATCGTACGGTACACGGGTCCTTCTTCCGAACTATATCTTGCGTTCCAACGTCGACGACATACGATGGGACGACGAAAGGCTATGGAACTTTACGATCATAGATTGTAACCCAGCTCAAATAGCGCAGATACGGGCAAGCGCCTCGACTCCACCACTCAGCCTTCAATCGGCATCCTTCGATAGGGACCACGTGAATACCAACACTAATATAAAGTCTACAGAGAAGGTTTCATGCATACTAGAACCTATGTCTATCGGCCCCGATACCTGTCTGGATGAGGAGTGGATCTGTGGATTACCTGTGGCCGTGATCTCGTTTAAAACAGCACCAGTACGCGGAGAGTGTGTGATAGATGGGGAGCGGTTTGTCATCATTGAGGTAGTCGCCTGTTCTTCTTGATGTCGAACAGCCGTTCACCCTCAATTCGTCTAGCGGGCACATCCTTGGAGCGAGCGTGATGCATCTCTCCACGTTCATACATATGCATGATCATAGGGACTCTGGGGAGCGAGACAATGTACCCCTTCTTGGACTTTCAGTCCAGTCTATGGGATGGTTGGATTCATATCGCGAGTAAGTGCTCGCCGTCCACCATGCCAATAATGCTCCTATTGTGGGGGAAATCGAGAGAGGTCGGAACAATCGTAATTCATGAGATGATTCCTCTATGGTAACGATTATATCATCACAAGGGCTCGTAATGAAATGCTGAATCGGATTTGCAAAGTCTGGCAGTGTCCATTTTGCGCCTGGGTGTAAAAGCTATGAAATTCGGTATACGTCTACGCTTAAGAAGTCGAAACCATCATTCTACGGCCTTGCCTGAATATATATCCCATCTTTCAAGGCGTACGAATGTATAGGGCAATTGACCAAGATAGGCGACTTGACCGCGAACGATCCAGTCTTGAAGTTGGTTTCGATGACCTTCAGACAAATTATTCTTTCTGATAATCTTTTAGGGTGCGATCCTATATCCTCATACCTGGCTATGCGGATTGCATATTGCAGAGTGGGATCCGTTTTATTCAATTAGACGACAAGTGCATTCGAAACCTGCTTCAAGTGAAGTAGAGCCTTCTAGGAAAAATAGGAGAGAACCCAGGCCTATATTTCAACTGGTAACGAATGGAACGAGCCACGGGACATATCGGTCAGTAGCAAGCTGTAATCACGCCCGTTCACAACCACAATCGAAACGGGAGCAAGTCATGAGACTGTGTCCCAAGGAAATTATTCTACCCAATTGTAGGTGTACGATTCAGCTCGTGAGTATGGATATGAAGTGCGCCCGTGCGGCCTCTCTCCCGCCAATCGGCATCCTTCTGTATTTTGTAAGCACAACCTAGAGAGCTACCCTGGAGACTTACTCGTATTGTGAGTACGCGTTCGCCGTCTATCATACCGACGACACTTTCCCTGGGCAAGGACAACGTCGTGAGCGCGATAGAGAGTTCACCAGTCCAACCCTCTTCAACGCAACATCTAGTTTTGACTGGATTTGAATTGATGACCCGATATTGGTCCTGTTGCATTCGTTGTCTGATCTCGTCCTCGTCAAAAGGTGGTGCCAGGACAGGATCTCCCCTCGATGCCAATCTCGAGCGTACCCATGCTACCATGACAGGATTGACATCTGCAATAGTAAGTGCATAGTCATATATCCTGGTGTCATTGCCACCTGGACTGGCTTCATTCTCATCAAGCTGGGTTGAATGAAGAAGCAGGAAGCGGGAGCCATAGACGTGACACGAATAGTTATTTGCTAAGCCTCCGTGAATGAAGAATGTCTCTTTCATCCAAAGTTTCCCCCCGACTACAGGTATCTCTTCGCCATTGGAACCCCGCGCCTCACTCTTCACACCATTACGGACCTTGAAGAGTGAACTAGCACGGGTGACCAGAGTGTAGCTCATGGATGAGCCGTGCATGTTCACGTCGATACAAACGACAATTGCTCGATCCTCGAGGCGGGGATAAAAGGGGAGATGACCAAACTTGGTCTGAGATCCGCCACCGGGACTTCTAGGCAAGAATGATGGCGGGTCGATGCGGCAGGTGATATTCTGCACCGGTTCCACCGTTCTTGGTAGATGGTATACTGCAAGGAGTGTAGGCTGAGATCTATCATCTCCGGAATGATGAAAACTGTAGATTTCAAACTCGGGTGGCTCTCTCTGTCCGCGGACCAGGACGAAACGCGTATTGTCAAGGAAGAAGAAATCGTGTATTGGATCCTTGGGATCATGATCAGAGCGAGTATGAAAAGTGCCGGTCTTCCAGTTGACGATGAAAAAGTGCCATTTGAGTGTGAGGAGGCCCACGAAGTCACCCATAATGTGGATGATAAAATGTTGGCGACTGTCGCAATGATCTGACTGTATCCGAACCGGTCCATAGGATTGCTGATGACGGTATCCATCAGTCAGAGAGAGAAAACGCAGGATGATCCATGGCCGACTTTGGGGGCGTGAGTTCGCAGATACAGCACCGGAAAGATGAACCTACTCAAACGAGGACCGTGATTTCTCAACTGTGACAAGAAGATCATCGTGAGGGTTCAAAGTAAAATCCGTCAACCAATATTCAAAGTCCGGAAGTGACCACGATGCGCCTGGGTGCAAAAGAGATGGAAGTCGGCATACGTTGATGCCTGACTTCTGGGAGTTGCCATCTTCGCAGTGCCTTTCCTGAGCATATACTCCACCTTGTAGCTCATATGCACGCGTACCGCCATTGATTGGAATCCAGGCTTTGGTCAAGAGCGAACCAGTCTTGAAGCTAGTTTCGATGCTCTTCAGGTAATTTAATCTGTCCTGAATCGGTTTCCCACTCGATCCTACGTCCTCGCACCCAGCCATGTCAAGCTGGAGAGCGTACTGCACACGAGGATCCGTTTCGATCAGATGGTAGAACGTCTTTGAGACTTGCTTCAGTCCAAGGAGAGTATTACAAGGAAGATTGCAAAGGATGCGAATCCATATCTCGACTGGCAACGAAGCCTGAGACATTGGCCAGAAACAAGTTAACCTCTCACGCAACTTCATTCTTATGGCGAGTGGTGGGAATCGATAGTCAAGAACGCACAGACGTAATCTGAAATAAATGATGGTCAATGTTTTCTAGCTCAATTCACCACCTTTATGGAAACTTTGAGCTATGGGAGAATGAGGCAACAACTCAGAACATGCGTGGTAGGTCTATCCTCCTATATCACTACAAATCCCTCAATCTCTAGGATGTTTGACAATTCTACTCTGCGCAGTTCCTGTAGTTGACGGTGGAGGCGTCAGGTCCAAGGGAATCGACTCCCTATTGATGACGTGAAATAACTTCCATGAGAACAAATTCAAAGTAGGATTCCCCTGGAGCAGTTCGCCCTTCACCATCTTCCAAATGTCAGCCACAGCAACTCATCAGATATAGAGCTAGCACCATGAATATCATTCGCAACATTCATACATCAGGAAATGCAACTTAAATTATGTGTATAAATGTCGATTGTGCATAAAGCATCCTCGGACCATATATCGCCTTGTGTCTGTACTCATCAGAATCATCATAAAGCACTAATTTCAAACTTACCCGCAGCATCAGCAAGCGTTCTCCGTCAATCATCGCGACAACACGTGAACTGTCAGCCTGGGTAAGATGTGGGAGAGATGTGAGCGCGATAGGGAGTCCACCAATCCAGCCCCCGTCAATATCAGGGTAGGTCTTGACTGGCTTCGACTCGATGATTCGATATTGGCTCCACTCGTGTGGTTGCTCCCTTGATGCTAACTGGGCGCGCACCCATGCTACCATTGCAGGATTGACATTTGCAATGGTCACCACGTTGTCAAGTGACCTAGTTCCTGGGTTGTGCAGTTTCCCCTTGTCATCTAGCTCCGTTGAATGAAGAAGTAGGAAACGAGAGCCATAGATAAAGCATTCATAGTTGCTCGTCATGCCTCCACGGGAGAGGAACGTTTCCTGCATCCAACACTTACCCTCGACGACGGGTATCTCTTGTCTATCCAAACCCCGCTCCTCAATCTTTGCTCCATCGTGGGTATTGAAAAGGGAACTAGCACGGAAGACCAAAGTGTATCCTATGGGTAAACCATCCTCAATCACCGTGAGACGCACGACAATCGCGCGGTCTTCAAGATGAGGATGGAATGGAAGACGCCTAAATCTGGTCTGGACTTTGCTCTCGGGATCGTTTCGAGAACAGAACGGTGGCGGGTCGCTGCGGCAGACGATATTATATAGGGATCCCGCCATTCTGGGAAGATGGTATACCGCGATCAGCGCAGGCTGGGTTCCATTACCCCCAGAGGGGGAGAATTGGTAGATCTCGAGTTCGGGTGGTGTCCTTTGCCCGCGAGCCAAGACGAAATGAGTATCGTCGAGGAAGAAAAAGCTATAGACCGGATCCCTCGCGTCGTACTCAAAGAAGGCATAGAATTTGCCAGTCTTCCAGTTCACGATGAGGAAATGCCACCTTAGAGTAAGCAGGCCCACAAAGTCACCCATGGCGGTGATGAAGAAACCGTTGTTAATGGCCTGTCCCCTCGATCCTGACTGTATCAAAACTGATTTGCAGGATTGGCAATGAGGGCTTCCGTCAGTTAGAGAAAGGAATCGTAGCATGATTGAGCGGTCACTGTAGGCCATTAGCTTATCAGGAATACCTAGTACGAAGATCAGCTCACTCTGGCGACCCATGAGACGTTTCTTCCACGGTAACGAGTAGATCATCATAGGGATTCAAGGTAAAATCGTTGATCGGAATCGCAAAGTTTGGTAAACTCCATGAGGCGCCGGGGTATAAAAGTGATGGGAGTTGATGTACATCTACTTTTGATGTTCGAAAGCTATCTTCTCCGCATTCCCTGCCTTGGACATATACGCCACCCTGCAGATCGTACGCACCCATAGCGTCATTGACTACACTTCGGGCTCTGCCCGGAAAAAGCCCAGTCTTGAAGCTAGATTCGATGCTCTTAAGACTACCTATCCTTTCTGACAGCGTTTTGGGGTGGGGCCCTATGTCCTCATAGCCAGCCATACTCAGGAGTGTTGCGTACTGCACATATGGATCTGTTTCGATCAGGCGGCAAAATTTCTTTGAGACTTGCTTCATACGAAGGAGAGTACCCCAGGAAATATGGCAAAGTATGCGAATCCATATCTCAACTGGTAAAGAATCGAATGAGAACATCTCGGCCGGGAGCAAGTGGTAAAGTGACCCAACCTCACACTCAGTCAAGGAGTCACATAGGCATGACGATGAGGAATGAAATTCTATCTGACATGGACTGAGATATGTGTGAGATCGTCTGGCTGAGTGGGATCGCTCTAGAGAACCGTGAGCTGGGAGTGAGACAGAGCCCAAGTGGCAACTCACACTATGTACGGTGATTATACGTTCACCATCCATCATACTCCCAACAATATATTCCACTGGACTATGTTCAATTTTCCTCCAGGAGATAGGGAGATCTCCAACCCAATCCTCGGACACAATGTCTCCTGCACTGACGCGAATTGACCGTTTAACCACCCACCCAGCGTCCAATGGGCCAAATTCGTCGAAAAAGGCGCTTTTTGTTGTGGAATTGGCCTGAACCATCGCAACAAAGGAGGGATTACAATCAAGGAGGTACAATCCTCTTGACGTCGTGCCGGCGTTTGACTGAGATTGCTGGTATACCATCCGTGACCCATACGTGAAGAAGGGTTTGTAGTTGTCCGAGGGTAATTCCCCGAAATATGTTTCGTGCATCCAGCACGATCCACTGACCACAGGGATGTGGTCACGCCATTCGGTGACTCCTGTGACCTCGTCTCGAAGGAGAGTTTCGGCTCGAAATATCAAAGCATAAGCCACGGGATCCTCCAAATTGGGATCCTGTATTACCATATTTATCCACAGGGCTCGATCCTCCAGGCGGGGTGAAAATGGAAGGGGTGTAAACACTGTGGATATACTGTTATCGTTTCTATACATACCAAACGGTGGAGGGTCACAGTGGCAACTGATATACAAAGGAGCCCTCGTTAAGGCAGGTAATTGGTAGATGGCGTGAGGTGTGGGGGGAACAGCACCGAGTTCTCTTGGATCAAAGCTGTAGACTATCAACTCCATTATTTCTTGGTCTGTTTTCAGGATCGCGAAGCGTGCGTTATGTAGAAATATTACGTCTCTCACTTCGTCGTGCCATCTCACAAGACTTTGCCCAGTCTTCCAGTTGAGGATTGTGAAGTACCATCTGCCTGCGAGTAGGCATACTAGATCCCCGATGATTATGATCACGTAGAATTCCGCAGGAATGTCGCCGTCGAGTTGACCCTGGAGGACAAACTCTGCACAAGACTGAGGATGTGGCCTGCCATCACTGAGAGACAGGAAACGGAGAACCGTTAGAGCCTCACTGGAAATGGTGTCAGCGCTTTAGAATCCTCCAAAGGTGACTCACCCGTTGAACGGTAACGTCTCCTCTACAGTGACGAGTAGGTCGTTGTGCGGGCTTGACGTAAAATCCCTTATGGGATACTTGAAGTCCGGTAGGATCCACGAGCTGCCGAGGGGGTGGAGGGCTGAGGGCAGACGGTGAACTGTCGCGCCAAAGGTATACAGCTCCATGCCTTGTTCTTCAGATGCTCTCCCTTCTACGTAAAATCCATCCCGTAGATCACAAGAGGCGCATTGACCGTCGAATGCCGCGTTCATCACGAGCTTGATCGGTACAACAGAAGGAAATTTGGCCGCGCGAAATGGTCTCTCGATGCGATCTAGAAGCTCTATCCTCTCCTTGACTGAGATTTCATAATCCACGTTGTTTTGCTCATATCCAGCGATACCCAGTCGGATCTGATACTCTACAGGACTACTCTGCAAAAGCCGAAGGAATGCTTTCGAGACTCTTTTCGAGTGGATGAGGGTCTTCCATGAAACAAGAATTAAGATCTGTATGCAGACTTCGGGAGGTAATGACAAAAAGGTGCTATGTGCCATAGTGGCAGGTGCCAAGGAATGGAAAGGATCATATCTTGAAATGCGAACCCGGAGGAGCATATATGTACACTAACGGCAGGAGAATGGGCAGATATGTGCAGTTATTGATAGAGCGACAAGTCCTTACGTATGTATTGATAATAGGGTGAGAGAGCTGAAAGCCCACTTCAAATGACAATTCGCATAGGGTTGGGAGAAGAAAAAGCAGCCTTACTGAGTGTACGGTGAGTAGGCGTTCACCATCCACCATAATTCCAGATACAGGCTCCCTTTGCCATGGCCTATCTCGGCCAGAGCGATTGGTAAATCACCCGTCCCAATCTTCGGCGATGAATTCGTTTTCATTCTGGATAGTTGCTTGGTGTACACGATACCTCGTGGTGCTATGCACTGGTTGCTTCCGCAGGACACTGGCAATGTCCGTATCACTGTCGGGGGCCACCAACGAGCGCACCTTTGCGACCTTGAGAGGACTACAGTCGCTCATATAGACCGAGTACTCTTGCTTCACGCCTAGTTATTGGCCCAAATGTTCGGTGGTTGAAAGGCAACAAGTGACCCATAGACGAAGCACGCATAATCGGTTGCAACTGCCAGTCTGAGAAATATGTTTCATGCATCCAGGAGTACGCTTTGACAACAGGGGTAGTCACCTCGTTGCGCACTTCGTGGCTGGAGGCTGTCGGTGGTCCAAGTAGAGTCTCCGCTCTACAAATAAGTATGTAGTCATTAAATTTATATCCAATGTATACGGCCATGCGAATGAAGATGGCTCGGTCTTCGAGCCGGGGGACAAAGGGAGTGGAGAGAAAACAGTGGTGGGTGTATCGGGATCCCCTAGGCGTGTGGCGAAAGGTGGGGGTTCACTTCGACGGCTGAATTCTATCAATCCACCTGCGAGTTTCGGGAGTTAATAGATTGCGGTCAGTTTGTGTGGAGCTGTCATCTGCAGATGGATTGAACTTGTAGACCTCCAGTTCCGCCGGGTTTCCTTCGCTACGGATGATCGTATATCTTTGGGCAAGGAGATCTGTTGGCATGAACCGGGATGCGGAGCACCATTGCTCAGTATGATGAACCTAAGGACAATTGTACTCTCGCTAGTAGACATCAGTGCTATTTGAGGAGATGAAAGTGTACCCACCGCTGAAAACGGACTTCTTTCCTCTATTGTAACAAGAAGCTTATCTCGAGGACTTAGACTGAGATCTCTAATGGGAGTATCAGAGTCTGGCAAAGTCCAAGATCTGGCTGTCGACTCCAATGCGGACGACAGACGATGAACCGTTGCGCCTGTTGTATATGTCAACATTCCTAGCGCTCTCTGTGCCACTTTCCTTATACCAAAAATCCCACACTGAAGCTCATATGATGCGAAACGGAGTCTGGCAAGAGCTTCAAACGCCGTCGAGGTGGAAGTGTAATTGGATTCGATTCATCCCACTGTGGTTGACTGTTTAGTTTGGTTAGCTATGGTCTGCCTCTGTCATTCTGCACCACAATGTCGAAGCTCTCATTTTTGACGCTACCTCCAGAGCTCCGCATCCATACCTTGAATTTTCTGTCGTGGAGGGCACTTCTCCAACTGAAACAAGTTTCCCATGCATTTCTGCAACTCGTGGAGAGTTCTCAGTTGGACTATCAGATCCTCGGGTGTCAGGAGACATAGCCATTCACTCGACAACAGGATGTGTCCCAGATGCGAGTTACGGAAAACCAAGTTGATTCTTCTTCGTTTTGACTCCCAATATCGATGGTTTACTCAGGTCTGGATCGGGAATAGGCATCGCTTCGTCAGTCCTTTGCGAAGACGATTTGGAAACACAACGAATGGCCTTGAAGCGTGAGCGAGGACTCGACATATCTCTTATTCAATATGGTAGGGAGCAATGGCCCGTCACCTGCTATGTAGCCTCGCCTCTGATTGCCGTTTACCAGCAAGAAGAACTGGCAGGGTGAGCTATCGTCTTTCTCAGCGCCATTAGCTCTGTAGATAAATAGCCACAAGAGAGACATTGGCTCACCTGTCATCCTCCCTGCAATCTCGCGGCTGTTTGATGCCAGGCCGCCTACAAACAACCAGCTCTTAAATTAGTTAAACTCCCATTTGACGCCAGGCCACCTAGCGAACAACCAGCTTTCCCCCCGCCATCTTGCCCAGAAATTATGTCAGGTCTTCACTCAGCGTTGACGCGCGATCCAGGTGTCTCCAAATTGTACTCTCGACCCAGCGACAAACCAACGCCTATTCGCGATTCAAATCTCAATAAACCATTGCCCCCTAGAATTAGATCAAAGAAGGATGAGCTTGAATTTCTTGAAGTATTTCCCGGAACTGACCCTGTTGTCGAGTGAGTGGTCTCATCGTCTAATCCAAACGCATTTGGGCTGACTGGAGAAGCATTATTGCCATTCATGGCTTAGATGGCCACAGAGAGAATACATGGACGGCACAAAATGGTGTCTTGTGGCTTCGAGATCTCCTATCTGCTGACATACCCAACGCCCGTATCCTCGTGTACGGCTACGATGCCGACACTCGGAGCCGAGAGTGTGTCTCAACGCAGACGATCTATCAACACGCGGACAAATTTATCAAATCTCTGTCACGGCAGCGCACTGATAGTCCACGTGTGAGCAGACAACCACTCTGTGCTGGACCCTGCTCAAACTCTAACAGCGACCGATCATTTTCGTCGCGCACAGCCTGGGAGGTATTGTGCTCAAACAAGTATTCCCATACCTTGTATTCGGGCGCGTTCTGATGCACTTCTAGGCCCTCATCCTTTGTCACGTTCAGACTCTGGGCTCGATAAACCACCTACGGGATATATTGGTGTCCACACATGCCATTCTTTTCTTCGGGACGCCTCACTCCGGTGTCAAAGGCGTTGAACTACTTAAAACTATGAACAGACTTTTGTCGGTGTACTTGAACACAACAGAGGCTATACTCCGGAATCTCACGGAGAATTCTCCAGAGCTAGAAAACATACAAAATCTATTCAGTTCGGCGAGCGAGGAGATTGAAATCGCTTTGTTCTACGAAGTATATCCTACGCCACTCGTTGGTGGTACAAAACAACTTGTGAGGACGAAAAGATTCGATTTTTCCCAATTCTGACGCTGGTAGATTGTGCCGTACCGCTCAGCAGTTGGCGCCCGGGATCGTCGTGCATCCGAAGAGGCATTGAACGCTGATCACTGTGAGATGGTCAAGTTTCAGGACAAGAAAAGCCCTAATTACGTGACGGTTCTCTCGTGTCTACGGCGGCATATCGAAGGAGCTATGACCGCGGTGACGAGAAAATGGTCCGCAGAGGATGCTCATCGAGGTCTGTCGAGTCCTAATATGAATCATTCAATTACTAACGATAATCAGCTCTGGCAAGAAAACGATACCTACCGCCGCATGACGTTCTCAGGCCAACGCCTCGTCTAGAAGTGTCGAGGATCTACGTAGATAGGCCCGCACTTCATTCCCTTATCACGCATCACCTGCGTCCTACTCGTCGGGTGCGGCATCAGCCACGGTGTATACTGTATGGAATTGGAGGGTCAGGCAAAACTCAGTTGGCCACAAATTGGATTCGGGACCACGAAAGCAGGTATAGACTGTGCGATTGTTTTGCGAACTTCTAATTGTTGCCTAGTTTCACTCGGGTGATTTTCGTCGACGCCTCCAGCCAAACTCAATTGGAAAAAGACCTGGAGTTATCAATCCGCTCTATCGGCCCAGAGTATAGAGAGATGACCTGGAAGGATGCGGTTGCCTACCTCGACGGCAAAGATAGAGGCTGGCTGCTCTTCTTTGACAATGCTGATTCGCCAAGCCTTGATCTGCGTCCGTATCTTCCTGCTTCCATTCACGGAGCAGTCCTAATTACGACAAGGAATCGTATGTGCACCGACTACGCTCCCGATAGCGCCGTTTCTGTGGGTAATATGGAAGAGAGCGAGGCAGTCGAACTCCTTCATCGAATTGCCAATATTACACCCACATCCGATACCGAGTCCTGCGCAATTGTCAGAGAGCTAGGAGTGTTGCCGCTGGCGATTGCGCAGGCCGGAGTGTATATTCGGAGGACAAGGCGCCTTGATACATACCTGGACACTTTTCGTAAACACCGGGGCCAAATTCTACGCCAGCGGTCAGATATTGGCACCGAATACACCTCCTCAACCTACGCCGCGTTCGATCTATCGTTTGACCACCTCCCTGCAAAGACGCAGGAATTCCTGAAGCTCTGCGCGTTTCTTCATCATTCTCTCATCCCCATCGCGCTCTTTGAACACTCGACATCGTCCGGATTTACCACTTATACCGTTCTGAAAAGCTGCCTTCCTCCAGAGGGTGACAAGGCTTTGGTCTTTCACCTTCAGAGTATGTTTGGCTCGACATGGGATATAGATTCGTTTCAAAAAGTTATTGAATCAGCCTCCAGCACGTCCTTGATCGAGGTTTCGAGTGACGGACTATTTTATACCGTCCATCCCCTCCTTCAGGTATATATCAAGGGGCGTCTTAACGAAGAAGATAACCAGCACTATATGAAAATGGCAAGACAACTCCTACTTGGTGCTATCCGGCCAGTCGAAGGTAGCAATGCCCAGCTTCGGCAACTACTTCCCCATGCCCACAATATACCCCGATCTGTGCAATCGGAACATGTGGCTCATGCTTTGGCATTTCGCGAGCTTTACGAGTCCTTAGGTGACCCGAAGTCGTGTCGAGAGCTACTGGAGTCTGCCCTTCACCAAGTTCGACAACTTAAAGGTGAAGAGCATGAAGACTCAATATGGGTTATGGGCAAACTTGCCCTTGATCTACTTCGCTGTCATCGATTGCAAGAGGCGGAGGAGATGCATCGCGAAGTACTCCGTTTACGACTCAAGATTTTTGGAGGACGGCATTTGGACACCATCAAGGCAATGAATGGCCTCTCAATCAGCTTGAATTCCCGTGGTCAATTGGAGGAAGCGGAAAAGCTGCAAAAAGAGGCTCTTGCTTTGCAGCTCGAGTTGCTTGGAGGGCGACATCTAGATACTATCTCAACAATGCATTCCCTCGCCAGCACTCTGCGCGATCGTGGTCAACTGGAAGAAGCGGAAAAGTTGAAACAAGAAGTCCTTGCTCTGCGCCTCGAGATACTGGGTAGAAGACATCTGGACACCATCCTAGCAATGACAAGCCTTGCAGGTACCTTGGGTCTCCGAGGTCGATTGGACGAGGCAGAAAGGATGGAACGAGAAGCACTCGATCTGCAAATTGAGATCTACGGAGAGCGACATCCACGCACGATCTCCCTAATAAGCAACCTTGCATGCACCTTGTTTGGCCTTGGGCGATTAGACGAGGCAGAAAAGATGGAACGAGAGGTGATCATTGCAGAAATTGAGATCCTGGGACAGCGGCATCCAGACACCATCTCTGCAATGCACAATCTTGGTGCTACATTGTACAAGCGTGGTCGATTGGATGAAGCAGAGACAATACAGCGAGAGGCCCTCACTCTGCAGCTTGAGCTGTTTGGAAGGCGACATCTAGATACAATCTCAGCAATGGCTGCCCTCGCCTACACCCTGTGCGATCGCGGTCAACTGGACGAAGCAGACAGATTGCGACAAGAGGTGCTTGCTCTGCGCCTGGAGATACTTGGCGAAAGTCACCTAGACACTATCTCGGCAATGAAAAATCTCGCAGACATCTTGATTCGCCGCGGTCAATTGGACGAGGCAGAAAAGGTGGAACGGAGGTTACTCGCCCTGCAGCTCGAGATCCTCGGACGTCAGCATTCGGACACCATATCAACAATGGGAAACCTCGGGGTCACATTGCGTGACCGCGGTCAATTCCATGAAGCGGAGAGACTGCAACAACAGGTGCTTGCTCTGCTGCTCGAGAAACATGGAGAACTGCATCCAAAAACTGTCCCGACAATGGAGAACCTCGCAATAATCTTCCGTGACCTTGATGAACTTGAGGATGCAGAAGACATGGATCGAAAGGTACTCGCTGTGCAGCTCAAAGTCCTTGGAGTGGAACACTTGGACACCATCTCCGCGAAGGATAACCTTGCAGAGACCTTGCGTGACCGTGGTAAATTCGAAGAAGCGGAAAAGCTGAAACGAGAGGTGCTCGCTCTGCGGCTTGAGATTCTTGGTGGCGAACATTTAGACACGATATCGACAATGCACCGTCTTGCCGCAACGTTGAAAGACAGCGGTAAATTGGGAGAGGCAGAAAAGATAGAACGAGAAGTACTCAGCCTCCGACTTAAGATCCAAGGCATGCGGCACCCAGATACCCTTAACGCCTCTCTATACCTTTCCCACATATTGCACGAAACTGGTCAACTCGCGGAAGCTGCAATACGTCTTCAGGAGACCATGGAGCTGCGTGTGGCAGTGTTTGGTGAGGACGACCCACTCACAATGGCAGCAAAGGAGCTTCTAGCACTCGTAATCTCTCAGAAATCCCATAGTACTCGTCCCCGATTTCGCTCCCGATTCCTTTCTCGCTTATTTTCATGAACGGACTCCTTTGATACTGCCTCTTCCCCTACTTACACATCGTCTCTCATCATTTGAGCATGAATCCTCTGTTCTTCTTTGCCATAGAAACAAGAACAACATTTATTTATATAGAGCAATGGATGAATGTGCACAGACCTTGTCAGAATGAGCTACTCTCCTGTTATGCACAGGCCTCGAGACATACAGGTATCCATTGTATGAGTCGAACGAGAGCCAGCGTCTCTCCTGACCCTTTAGTCGCGTTCTGGTCGCTATTACCATATAATCATTGTTCAAGATTGTTTGTTGCGCACATCACAGAAACGTCGCCTGTGGATTCCAGTTTGAATAGACTCAACTGCCACATGATAAGCTTGTCCTCTACTGCGATTCGATGTGGTCTTTACGATCAATTTCGTGGCTCCTTGAGTCTTGCCCACGGTGCGAAATACTGATGCAAAATCAGTGAATAACCTAATGCAGTTCAGACTACCATACCTTGCCTTTATATTTCAACGCCTCGAGAGACGTCGCGGCGTGCAAGGGAGTCTGCGCTGCCACCTTCGTTGGGTACATAATCGGCTTGCTCTACAAATGTAAGGACCGGCAGATTAGGAGAGAAATGACGTAACGCGCACGGATATTCGGCTTATAGCAGACGTATGCACTCGAATATTCGATTCGATGCGTCCTACCATTTGTCAGGAGTCGAAAGCAGTCTGAGTAATCAGAATTACCTGTGTTTCTACTCACCATGAAGATATTTCGCCTGATCTCGCCATCTTCCTTGCCTAGGCGGCTGCGAGGAGGATATTCCCCGACTTACTTTGGAGATATAACTGCATAGCCCCGACAGCTCTTCCGGATTTACCATCTCTCAAGGTCTCGAGCATGATTACCTCCCGGTGAATGCACTTGCGAGGTGCATGTCGGAAGCCGTCTCAACGAGCCGCACGCCCAGAAGGTCGTGACGGAAAGAGAGGAAGAGGTAGACCTCACCGTTGGAAGTAAAAGATGCGTGAAACAGTAATGTCCCAAAAAGTTGGTCCCGAATCGGGTTGTAGCCTTGGGCGGTGAGCTGTTCGATGGGCACAGAGAATACTCCATAAAGAGACAATTAGAAGAGACGAGAGGTTCGAAACGAACGCACGCGTTGTTGATTAGTATGTGGATTTGGGGTTCTTTGGTGTATCTGATAAGTATCTGTGGACCTTGACCCTTTGTGTGGCGGCATGGTTAGTATTACTCTACGCAGCCTCTAATATGTGACATGGATAGCATTTGCTGTGATCGTTCCATTCTCCTAGTCTTCGCCGCAAGAGCTCAGTCCATCGCAACGAGCTGCACAAGGGCGGCAGCGGTTAAAAAGACCACGCTCTCCATCTCCCCCGACAGGAAGAGGTCAAGCAGACGCTATAAGTGGCAGATAAGTTGCGCAACTCACATCAATGGGTAGGAGGATCTCATTAAGTCCACCTGGCTACCTCCACGAGGTGCAGAAATGCAGGGGAAACCTATTTCAGCTGGAGAAGAGTTGCCCACGACAAGAAACTCAAGGTATGGATGCGGAGCTCTGGAGGTAGCGTAAAAAAATGAGAGCTTCGACACTGTGGTGCAGAACGACAGAGGCAGACCACAGCTCACCAAAGAAAACGGTCAAACACAGTGAAATGAATCAAATCGATTTACACTTCCTCGATGGCGTTTGACGCTCTCTCCAGGCTCCGTTCAATTGCAGCTGCAAACCGGGATGGTGGGCCATCCCTGGCCTTTCGCAGATTATCATAGTCGTACCAGACACAAACCGCGTTTGATTCTGTTACGACGCGCTCCTGCGCATTGGAATATGCAATTGAATGCATGAGGAGGTGCGCTGGGTCCGGTGGATTCGGCATAAATCTATGAGCAATGAGAAGCTTGAGAGCTATGTCAGAGATGAGATTCGGAATCAGACAACTCGACATACTGTGTCAGGATAGGTGACCGGTCTCTGCTGAACGGTCAATCAGGTATCAGAGCCATGAGCCACGAACTTGCCTTGAAGTCCAAGTCTATCTTCTTCAGGATGAGACTAATGCCTTTCCCTTGCAACAGGTCTCGTGCGCCTTGTTCACCTCCGACCTCGAGTGCGACCTCATGCAGCCAGCGCATACGGCCCTATTATTGGTCAAACCAGTTTTGGTAGTGAAGTGGTTGCCCTTACTGATTCAAAGAAGCGCACTGAATAAACTTCAGTATGAGGTTCCGAATAGTATTCGCGGCGAGGACGTACAGTAACGGACATTGTTCACGTGTCTAAGCGAATATTAGTCTACTTTTATGACATCTTGGTACTTGCTGAAAGGAATCCAAATCTCCCCAAACCACGGGCTGCTCCCAAAACGAGAGTGGATCGAATTTATGCCTAAGTGCATGTCGACGACCAGCTTTTGAGAGTTCTGTGAGCACACAGAGTGGCCTTCTCATTTTATCCATTTTCTGGGCCTTGCAATCCGGTCACGAGGTCGCTGAGTTGCGGGCCTTTGTTTGTCTCCATTCCTTTCCCCTCCACCACTTTCTCGTCCAGGCGACGTCGTCTTTATCACCTTTTTATTCTCTACATTACTTCATACGGGCTGTGCCTATAGTTTTCTTAACGTTCACCATGCAACTCATGCCCCAACTTGTCTCGCTGCTCGCTGCCCTCTGCGTCTTTGAGCCCAATGCTGTTTTTGCCCTCCCTGTTCATCCTGGGCAAGTCGCTTTTGCAATCCGTGACGCTCTTGTACCCAACGCTTTCCCTGGACACTCTGGTTTGCGCGTCTACCGTCGTCTCTTCGCTCAACGCCGGGTACGTCTTCACCCGATGTTGATACCCATCATCCTCTGACCACCCCAGTAGCATCGTTCACGTGGCGTCAAAACGCACACGAGCAAACGCAGCTTACTGAACGGTGCATTGTCCATCGACAGTCCATTGGGCGTTGTCGGCCGGGTCGTTGGCTCTGACGCCAGCAAGTCGGTAGTCATCAATGTTCCCCGAAATCATCGTACCAAAGTACCAAGAAACTTCTACACTTTGCCCTTCATGCGCGTTACTCACCAGTTTGTCGAACGAGGCTTCACCCCGGATGGCGTTCCAGGAGTGATCGACATTATGGTATTCAGTCCAATCTTGCATCCAAATCTTGCTGACGCACATACCAGAGCCCGTCAGTAGACGATCCTGCTGGCCAGCGACTTGCCTCGCTCTCTATCGCGTCCACGCCATCTGAGGCAAACCAGTTTGTGCTCAATGCGTCTGGTGTCAACGCAACTACCGTCTATCTCGTCGTCAACAATCATCTGTCGCTGTTAGACCGGTCCCTTGCTGTACGACTCGAAGTCCCCGTCTACGATCAATCACACGCGGCGTACGTCTCCTACTGTGCAACTTTCGACATGACCCAGGCCAGCCCATTGATGGTCGCCGAGTGCTATCCTAAGGGCATTAGTGATCACAACAGCCAGCTGTTCTCGTATGCCACAGACACAGGAGTTGTCAAACCTCTCTGGCTCTCTTCCGCCTTCACACAGGACTCTCCCTCCTACTCCAATGCGACTGCGATGCAGCAGTCGGCTCCTGCTGCCGAAACGGCACACTCTGATGCCGACGGATCCCCCGACGACACGAATTCTCCCCAGAACGTTGCTCTCATCTTCACTCCTGAACTTGACAATACTGTTCCCGTTGTCAACGCACACGCATCCTCGCTTCCAAGTACTTCCTCTGGGGCCGCAGCCGCAGAGGAACCTCTCGGAGAACCGAGCTCAACTGAGGACGTAGTGCCTACACCGACAGAGAGCGAGTCGACTGAAGATGCACCCTCTTCACCTTCAGACCTCGTAGAAGAGGTGATGCCCAGTCCAACGATGTCGCTCATCGTTTTCGTCGGCAGCGCGAACGAGGCAGGGTCCGAATCGACTGAAACAGCAGCCACGCCTACCGACTCGGAAGTTGCCATGTCTACACCTACAGATTCTACTTCACTCAAGAAGCGACAGGCTGATGAGAAGCCTGATTGGGAAGACGACACTGGGAGCTCCCAGGACGAAGACGGCGTCACAGAGGGCTGCTCTTCAGGACCCCAGGGTAATGACTCGTCTATCGATGAAGAGAATGTAGAGACTGGCGCTGATATGCGAGATCTTGACACTGGGTACAGTTGGCGATTCACGGCTCGGAGCGCGGAGAACGATCTTGTACGCTAGAAAACTGTATTTGTAGTGAATCCTAGTTGTATTGAGCCCGTTAACAGTGACTACAATTGGAGCAATGACAGCCGAAGTTTGGAGACAGGGCCGGCCATTTCATCTTGGTCCCCTCTACCATGACCACGCTCGACGATGCGAGCGGTCAGCGTCAAAATGGGAGTTCGAACAGTGTGAATAACGGAAAGAATGAAGGAAGATCGCTTCCAGAGCGATCTCGGACGTTGTCAAACTCTGAAATGCAGCGAGACAAGAATTCGAGGCTTGGAGGGCTTCAGCACGCAGACACTGCGCCCATCGGAACATCTCCTACGGGCATGTCCAGCCCTTCTGGCGCCCCTCTCAAGGCTGGAGCGTATGCAACGTCGCGCTCCGAGGACGGCCACTCGTCTACGAGAAGTCATTCGAATCAGGACCCAATGCCGCCACCTCCAACGCCATCAACGAATCAAGTTCTCTGTGCGTCGTGTGGAAACGTCGTCGCTGGCCAGTTTGTTCGCGCGCTCGGTGTCGTCTTCCACAAAGCATGCTTCACCTGCAAAGTATGCTAGCGGCTTGTTTTACGCGCCAAGAGTTGCTTGCTAATCGCTCCCAGGACTGCAACTCACCTGTTGCGCAAAAGTTCTTCCCAGTCGACGGCCCTGATGGCCGCCCGTATCCCCTGTGTGAGGTGAGGTCGTTTGACCCAAGTCGTTTGCACTTTCGCTCACAATTGGCCTTGATTGTGCAATGACAGACCGACTACTTTAGACGGCTGGGATTACTCTGTGCCAACTGTGGGATGGCCCTCCGAGGCAGCTACATCACAGCATGCCGTCAGTTCCATCTATCGTCATGTGCGAAACACAAAGGCTCACGAGCTTCTCAAACAGAAAAGAAATATCACATAGAACATTTCGTGTGTTCGATCCCGACATGTTCAGTGAGCCAGCCGCACACAGAACCTGAAACGCCGCGCTCATCCATCACGTACAGACAGTGTTCGGCCCCTCGGACTCGTACTACGAACATGAAGACTCTGTATACTGTCATTTTCACTACAGTACCCGTTTCGCCACCAAGTGTGCTGGCTGCAATACTGCGATTTTGAAGCAGTTCGTCGAGGTAAACCGCAATATGAAAGAGGACTGCTACCATCCCGAATGTCAGTTTATTTTCTAGTCGCATGGCCAGCCTATTGAATCTCTCACAGGTTATCTTTGCCACAAGTTTTGGTAGATGTCACGCCCCTAAAGTTTGGATCTATAAGCTGACTGCCCTACAGGAATGTCAAGCTGTATGCTGGCCCGAGACCAAGCAGCTCAGCGCTTGAGTACGGCTCCGAGAATACGCATTCAGAAGACGCCGAGCCCCTTTGGAGGGAAGAGGAGCAACGAGAAAGTGCTCAGTCCATCCGAGCGAAACAAAATCGGATGGAACAACAAGTAAATAGTATCTGGACGTGAGTTCTTCACTCGTTTCGACATATTCGTTGTCGGCTAACAATTGCAGGATCCTGTCCTCATTTGAAGAGTCGAGCGCGGCTTGCATTTCAGACATGTTGCGGCATGTGAGTGACGGAGAATATCTGGATGCTGTTCGGGATGCGGAGCGTTTCATCCTCCATGTCGAGGTACTGTTCGCTGCTATTGACGATTTGGAATTCTGCTTTGCCATCCGAAACCTCAAGGGTGCGCTGAATATTCCAAGATTGAGCGTGCCTTCTGATCTCGATTGTAGGCATGTCTCACGTCCGAGAAGCGAGGGTTCTCTGCAAAAAGACAGTCGACCTTTTCACACTTCTCCAACAACCAAACAAGAACCAAGGAGGCATGACGCAAGAGCTCTTAGCACTCGTGACTGGGCTCGCACACTATCTCAAGGTGCTCATCCGGATAGCCCTAACAGCAGCCCTCAAACTTGACCGTGAACATGGAAAAGAGGATTCGATACCCCTCTTCCTCGATAGCCTCAACTCGTTGCTAATGCATCGTGGTAGCACTGCTGCTCGCCGATTGATGGATCCCCAGAAAGCAACGGAGAGTGGGGTCAGCGGTGAAGGAATCACTGCGACTCGAAACGTCGCCTTTGGATACAAGAGTTTGGCGCCGGAATATGCGGGAGAGTCTCCGTTCTGGCCCTTGGCAAACGGCAGACCACCTCTCCAAATCATGCCCCTTTCCGAAACTTGCCTTGGATGCAAGACGACGATTGAAGAGGACTGCGTGCGCTTGGGGACATTTCAAAGGTGGCATACGCACTGCGTCAAATGTAATCAATGTGGCAAGGCGGCAGGAGAACCTCTTCCGCCACCAAAACCACGGACTAATGACGAAAAGGAGGCTGGCGTTCGACCATCGGCGACTCGAAGACCACCAGCCTCTACCGAAGAGTTCCTCTTCGACCTCCCAGATGGCGCGCCTGCCCCTCCACAACCTGCTGGAAGCCTCCTTGATCCCGCTGAATTTATCACTGAGGTACCCGTGGCTATCTGGTGTCTCGACCATCGTCGGGTCATCTCAATCGGTGGCATGCAGCCCGTCACACGACTGGAGCAGTATTCCTATCTTCTTAATGTGAGGCTGCGCAAACTTTACAACCAGTTGAAGAAGCATGGTATAATACCCGAAATGCCAGGTATGCTAGTTGGCATGTGTATACGCATGTATGCTAAATACCTTTAGCCGCAACAGAAGCGGAACGACGCGCTCGACGAGAATCGTCCCAAATTACTCCCGTACGATCGGTTCACCATCTTGATCGAAAACTTTCGGCGACGTCAAGAATTCCCAAACGATCGACCATCATCGAGAGTGCTCCTGGCAGCGTGGCTCAGATGGCAATGGCATCATCCCAACGGCCTTCAGAATCACAAAGGCCAAGCCAACCAGTGAGCCAGTCGCCGGCTTCTAGGGGTCCGCCACATGTTCCTACACGACAGTCGACTATACCTTCTCCATCGGTATCTGGGACTAGTCCATCCTCTCCTCACGGCCCTCAGGCACCATATCCCTTGGCTCAAAGGCCTGGAATACCTCACACCAATACTCAAGTACACATTATGGATCATCCACCCCCGCCTCAGGCGCAGTCGTACATTCTACCGCCAGATCCTGCAGCGGAGGACGGCATCACTTTAGCGGATATACCCCAATTTATTGAGGCTACGCAAAATAAGTCACTGCCAAGTATGCGTGGTCGACCGCATGTAGCAGAGCTCGCGCCTCCGGAACTACTACTCATCAAGTATGCAGCGCTCCTCATCATCGCAAAATCCCAGCTTGGAGATCCTAGCCTCGTAGAGGAGATGATCGAATTCTTGGAAGCGAAAAAAGGCGGCTTTTGGAACAAATGGTTCAATAAGGGCGACAAAAAGAATATGAAGAAGAAAGGCAAGGGGCTCATTAAAGATCAAATAGAAAACTTACTTTTTGGTAGGCATGTTCCGCATCCCATTGGAACTCTTGGCCGAACGAGAAGGAGTCGACTCGATGCTTGGAGCTGCGAGCGTCCCGTTACGTGTACCGAGCTTTATTGATGACATTGTCTCTGCAATGAAGCAAATGGGTGCGTCCGAGTACCTCTATCAGAAGCTTTTCCTGACCTGAAAACGTTTAGACATGTCCATTGAAGGTATATTCAGAAAGAATGGCAATATTCGACGCATGAATCAGGACATCGAATCATTGGACAGGGACCCCGCATCGGTGGACTTCTCTCAAGATAATCCAGTGCAACTCGCTGCTTTATTGAAACGCTTCCTTCGCGATTTGCCAGATCCACTGCTTACCTATAAGCTTCATCGCTTATGGATAATGACTCAGAGTGAGTCTACCTCTAGATAGTGACAGTACATCTACTTACTGTGCTACAGATGTATCGGACGTTCGCGAGCGTGCGCGGCTGTTGCATATGGTCATGCTCTTGCTCCCAAGATATCACAGAGACACCCTCGAAGTGTTGCTTGTGTTCCTCAAGTGGGTGGCGTCCTTTTCCCATGTCGATGAGGAGACTGGCAGCAAGATGGATTTGGAGAACCTGGCGACTGTCATTACACCGAGTATTCTCAAGGCTAATAAGCGCGACGGAATGCACGATGAAAGCTTCCCTGGCATTCGTGTCGTCAAGGAACTACTCGAAGTGCAAGACGAACTATACCTGGTGCCAGAGGAATTCATTCCCCTCATACACGACCAAAACTACTTCCTTGGGTCTCTCGAGCAGCCCCGAGAGCTGCTGAAGAAAATAGACACGTTCCTTAGATTGCGCCATGGACCATCAAGTATGCCAATGAACCGGCCTTCAGCGTCCAACGGTACTGGGTACCAGGAAAACCCATCGTCTGGCTTCCATCACCCCCCCAACAACTATGTGAATGGCTCTCAGCAATACGAGCGACCAGGAACGGCACCACACCCATCAGAGTACGCATCGAAATCGCTTCCACCCCACCCAGGGCTCGTTCACCAGCCGTTCTCCTCTCCTCATCCTACATCGAGAATGCAAGACTATGCGGGCACGCCACAAAGACCGAGTTTGGATGCGCAATGGGCACCTCCATCCATCCCGAGCAGCGACTCTAGACGAGACTCGCCAAGATCGCGGCCCAGCTCTTTCCTACGTCCAAGTGACAGTTCGCTCCCAAGTTCATACTCTTCTACCAGAAATTCGCCAATCGGTCAATGAAATTGGAGGCAATATACTCCGTCCAGTCGTTTTCCATGGACTATCTCCACTCGATTTGTATACCATGCGCATTTCTTTTTCCGTTGCTTCATAGGCTCGACGAAACCGCCTTTTGGGGTGATTTTATCGCGCAAGTTGTATATTAGACCCTCCAGGAATATAACGCATACCAATCAATCATGAAAGACAGTTTCTATCAACTCTATATGGCGTGGATACAAGTAATCTATCAGAGGGTCATATTATTTCATAAACTAGATTTAACGTAGTTCAGATGGCGGGCTTGATGGAGGAGCATCGGCACCACCGGTCTTCTGAGCACCAATGAACCTGCCAATAGGTGCCACGGCTGAAAGCCCACCGGGACGTGCCCCATTCTCGTGAATAGAGACGGTAGACAGTGTTCTGAGATGTCTAAAGTGGCTGCCATCGGCCATGGACGGCATTCTAGATCGCACGGGGACAGCGACTGACGGCGTCGGATCGTCCGTCTCGTCTAGAACCGGGAAATATGCGAGCATGGACGTTTGAGAAGCATTGCCACCAGCGCTGGACACGACGGGGGAGTACTGAGGTCCGCCAAAGATGGCGCTGGATCTCCTGCTGAACGTTGCAAATGGATCCGGGTGTTGGGAAACCTTGCGTGGGCGCGGGATAGCAACGCCGGTGGATTCACGTTGAATTGACGCGATAGAGGACCGGCGTGATGTTTCCGGACGAGAAATAACAGCTGGCGGCGGTTCCAATGAGATAGTCTCGGTAGCACCGGCTGGCTGGGTAACAAGGGTCTCCTGGGTTTCTAGTTTCCCCTGCTGTGCTTCCTCCGGTTCCGCCTCCTCTGGGATTGGTTCTGCGAGGATAGGAACATGGGAATGCAGAGGAGCCACTGGCGACACCGATACAGAGTTCTCTCCCAGAGAGCGCACTTGTGATCGGTAATCCTTGGAGCTTGTCAGATCGTCCTCACGATCTAGCAAGATGACTATACCTGTATCTCAGCCCATATAGCTTCACGAAACTGCCCGAGAGTCTCCAAGCCTTCTATCTCCTTCCAGCGAGTAAATGGTTGGGGAGATCCGTTCATCTCCTCTTCCTCTGGGTCGTAGAATGCCGCCAGCCATGGGTGTTCCATGGCGTCTGCGGCCGTAATCCGTCGTTCTGGTTCATAGCACAACATCCGATTGAGGAGATCCAAGGCTGTCAAAGTATTTAGAAAAGCACACAGCCCAACATGGAGCGTCACCTTCGTCGTTTGCTTTTGCGAACTTGAACGGCCTTGCCTTGTAGGTGGCTAGGCTACGGACGTATTTGCGAGCCTATTCGAGTTAGATCAGGCTACGCGTGACTCGTAAGTACATACCCTTCCTCTCGCTATTCTTTTGATTATCGCCTCAGATGGTGTTCCTGTAAATGGTGAGCTGAATTATGACTCGAGCTATTTGCCTACCTAGATACTCAAAGATGCATTTGAGTTGATCGACATAGCTAGGAGAAGTCAGCGACGGCAGGGAAGAGGACCACACTCACTCCTTTCCGGGAAAGATTGGTTTTCCGCTCAAGAGCTCTCCCAAGATGCATCCAACAGACCAAACGTCGACTGAGAAGTGTCAAAATGAACAAAATATATCGTAGTGCACTCACTCGACTCGTCATAGCTTTCAAAACCTAGCATGAGCTCCGGTGCTCGGTACCATCTATTTCTTTGTCAACCCTGATTTCGGTCGTACCTCTTACCTACCGAGTAGCGACGTATTCTGTCATTTGTGTGACCTTTTCTGACCCGTCCACCATGTACTTTTCAAACCCTCGAGCGAGTCCAAAGTCGCATATCCGAACTTCGCAGGTTGAGTTGACTAGGATGTTACCCGGCTTGAGGTCTCGATGAATTACGTTGCATTTATGGATAAAGTTTATTGCTAACAGCCTGTGAGCATGGGTACTGCACAATAGATAGACGTACCACTCAGAATTTGATAAGTAAAGTACGCGATATGATCCGTGGAGAGGTCTTGACCGGAACGAATAATTTGATGCAGATCGGCTGGTAACGTTGAGTCTATTGAATAGTTGAAGACGAGGAGCACGTACCTTCCATTGGCTAGGGGCACGCACGTCAGATGACTTTCAGAACGAACGCTTGCGTACCTCCATGAAAATATAACTAGGGACGGGTCGAGAATGATATAATCGTTAAAAGGTACATACATCTCTTGCGAATCCCTGGACAGGCAGTCCAAATCTATTAGGCCAGTAACCTGGAACGAGTTAAATGTGCCGATACATAATCTCCATACATACATTTGGGTGTGTCTGGAAATGTCGCAGAAGAGTAATTTCGCGTAAAACACGTCTCGCAAGCTGGGGCTAGACTCTGAGAATCAGCGGGGGGTGTCTGGATGCACAGAAGCAGCGTTTGCCTTTTCGTAGACGCGATTAATCTGCTTGATCGCGACGTGTTCTCCGGATATAGTGTCCTGTGCGCTGACGACCTGCGTGATTATTGTGAGCTGGGCCACTGGTGGTGATAAGAAAATACAACGAACTGCACCAAATGCGCCGATTCCCATCTGCCTCACGAGTTTCCAGCGGTTCTCTACGGTGAATTTGCGGCCCATCGAGTCAAACGAGTGATATCCGTGCAGAGGGAGAGTGGCCTTTAGCTCGCGCGTCCTCCTGCGGCCTCTAATCTCGTCCGGCGGAGGACTGTGAGGTGCACTTTCTGAATTTCCATTTATTTCTGCGGATGGAGACGAGTCGCTAGGAGGAGCACTCATTTTTGTGCAAAGCCGGTGGTGTCCAAGACTTGTCCACGTTTGTCTTGTATAATTTCTGCAATGCGGCTCGTGTCTGTGATTGGCATTCTGCTCGCAGCGACGCTTCATGTCTTTGGATTGCACTTCTATCTCGATTCCGACGAGGAACGCTGTTTCATCGAGGAGCTACCGAGCGGGACAATCGTCGAGGGTCAGCGATTCCCTTTGCGCGTCTATCATGGTCTAATCACATTCAAAAGGACACTACAAGGCGCTAGAATGGAAGGCAGACGAGAACAAATACATCCTCAATCCAGAAATTGGGCTCAATATCGAGGTTGATGTGCGTGGCAGTCGCCCAGGGCGTCAGTACGTTGCTGATCTATCTTGTCTTGGTGCATATAGGAAGTTGCGACTGGAGACAGTGTCGTCAAGACTCTGGGTCCGCCAGAGGGCAAGTTTACCTTTACCTCGCATGAAGCAGGCGACCATACCATTTGCCTCTCGACTAACCAGACGAGCGGATGGTTCAGTAGCTCTCATATACGACTCTACTTGGACATTGCCGTTGGAGCTGCCCGCCATGATGTCGAAAAGGACAGGGCACACGCCAACAAGCTCTCAGACAAGCTACGAGAGCTCAACGACAAGCTCGACGGCATTCGACGGGAGCAACAGGTGTGTTTAAAATCACTTCAATCTAATCTCACTGACGCCCCGACACAGTACCAACGAGAACGAGAGGCTCAATTCCGCAACCTCTCTGAATCCGTCAATGCAAAAGCAATGTGGTATATGCTCATCCAAGCCTGTGTCCTTGTCGTCACGGTATGCATACCCGTACATCGGCGCATTCTCCCAGCTGACTCTGTCTTAGTGCTACTGGCAACTTCGGTTCCTACGCGTATGTCCATCCTATGAGCCCAGAATGACATCTGACGTCCCCTATAGTACTTCTTCGCAGACAGAAAGGGATTATAGATCAACTAGTGTATCTATTCGTAATATAGGTTTCGCTCCCCTACGAATCCTTGGGCGATGCCCATTTAATTAGGACTTTCTTTCGTATATTCCCTTCTTGCACTCTCTTCAGCCCTTCTCGGAGGATGCCAGTCGCTTCTTCGTCGTCTCCTTTCAAGACAAGTTCCTCGTGTTCTGGATCCTTCCACTGTAAAGTGTGAGCCATAATTTCATAAAGGAATGCAGTTCATACTCTTCCTAGCTCTTTCCAAGCCACCATTCGGGCAATTCGATTGTCCTGCTCCTTTTGGCCTATCATCTCCCAGGTGTGACTATGCCAGTATCCTGGCATTGATTAGGAGGTGCGTCGAAGCCTCGAAAGGAATTTTACCGTGTGCGGTCAGGTTTTTGAAAATTTGGAGACCCACAGGAAGGATTATGGGTTGCTTCGACATTCCTCCATACGAGATGAGGTGCCCATTCTTACTGTAATCGAATGAGATTGAATGTGATAATCTTTTGGACTACTGACTCTAGTAGGGCGGCCATCGCAGCGACGGTGGGACCGCCGATACAGTTAAACGCGTGACGACACGCTTTGACAGGTGGCTGCGAACGAATTAGCAACAGAATATGAGATAGTACAAGTAGATACCGTTCTAAGTGACTCGAAGGTCTTCTTAAATGAACGGTCAAGGAGCTCGTCATAGGTGAATACATGATCGGCACCCAAATCCATTAGGTATTGCTTGAGCTGTGGATAGTCCGGCCTAAACACGGTTTGAAACAATTTCGACTACAAAATTAAACGCACCTGTCTCTCACAAAGTTGATAGTCTTGATTCCCATCTGCTTGGCCGTCTGTATGATAGCCTGCCCAACCTAGTAGTGATTCAGAAAAGATATAGTCTCCCAAAGATAGCATCATACAGCACTGTTGGCGCCATTTTGTAAAATGTAACTGTGCCAGCCCGGAATGGGCGAAATATCCGTCATAAGCCCCAAGGAGGTCAGAGAATTGACCTAGTACCAATAAGTACTGTCACAAAACCGGGAATTACACTTACCATTAACGTTGCAGCAAACGCCTCTGTGACTTTCGACTCCGTCTTCTTCGTCCTGTCAATCCTCCGTAATTCGCGCATCGGGACCACCTTCCAATTTGTCCATGTCCCAGTTTGCGGCTTGCGCATCAATACCCAATCACCCACTCTGAACCGGCGTTCCGGCTTCGTGGGTGGGCCATCTACCAATGGTCCAGTCTTGACGACTACAGCGACGCCTTCGTGTCCGCCCACGAATATTCCTGGGCCATCAGAGGATGCACCAAATTCATGAATAGGTTCCGGACGCATCGGGTATTTGCCTTCGATGACGTTGAGCTGCAAACTCGTCAACCAAAGGGTTAGAATTACATTCGACTTACGTCCGAAGGGTTGATTGGTGCGGCGAGGAATCGAACGAGAACATCCTCATCTCTCAGTAGAACGGGATCAGTACTGGAAACGACTCGCGCCACCTCTGCCGGGTTTCCATTTTCGTTGTATACAACCGCTCGTCGCGGTCCTAGCTGTGAACCAATACCTGTTGAATTGAATCGTGGTTTAAAGCAAATCAGGGATAAGTTTAGAGGTCGTAGGCGTGCTGCTGCAGGTCGCACATGGGCAAACATGAATGTCGAAGGGGATGAAAGCTAAACACCACTTGCTTCTCAGAGAACAAGCATCTTCACATCAATCTACAATTCGCTATAATTACATTGTGCTCTAGAGATCAAACGCCTTGGAGCGCCATCCTGGATGCTGCTTCTCTTCTTCAGCCTTGCTTTGGACAGTCTGTGCAAAAGACTTTGCTTGAGCAACCGCCGACTTAGCAGTTTCTGCTGTGGTGCTCTTTCCACCTGGAGCCTGAGATTTGACCGAGTCTACCTTGGCCTGCGCAGCGTTGGTGCTCGAGGCCGTGTTGCGAGGTCCATGCTTGTCTCCTGAGATAACCTACAGTCGCCATTAGAGTGTGGTTGATCGTGCATGTGATAAATCGTACCTGGGGTCCTGCACCGACAGCCAGCACCACGTCGTCTCGTGGGTCGTCCTTGACGAGACCAATGCCGGTAGCTTTCCACCCTGAAAGCAGCCCAGGCTGCTTCCTAAGCTTACCCATCTCGCTCACAAATCCTGCGATATACTTTGGCACTGTGCCCGTGAGACCCGCGTCCGCGAACACCTCGGCGCGTAGATGTGTATCCCAAGCGATACCGTCAATCATCTCGAGAACCATCTTGATCTTCTCCGCCAATACTTGCTCAATAGTACTGATGAGGCGCTTCTTGACGATAGGCTTAAACGTCGAGATCAGCACGGGGTGGTTTGTCTTGCGTAACCCAATGGATGTGTCGTCGGAAAGCGTCACAGAAACATTGGAGATTTTGTGGAAACCGCCGTGACGCTCGCGGCGATGACGACCAGAGGCGGTAGGGATGAGTCCGAGGGAGGCACTGATATCGACACCCTTTGGTGGAATGGTGATGTCCATCAGACCAGACACCTGCGATGCGACGGGGAGTGACGGATCGCTGTACCAGAACGACACTTCGCGAAGCTGCATTTGAACACCAGTGACCTCAAGTTTCGTACGGGTGCTGATGTCTGTCTTCGCGTCGGCAGCGGCAGTCGGCTTATCGACGTCCATATCGACGGTGGTGGAAAGATGCGCATGGCCAGGTAGAACCCGAAGAGTTTCTATGGACAGATCTTCAACCACAAACTCGACATCGCTGTCTTTATACTCCGTTCTAAATGATGGTCAGAAAGATCGAGGCAAGGCAGTGACACGTACCTAGGGATGGGAATTTGCTTGACATAGTCGATCAAAAGTGGCAAATAGACGTTCAACAGGTCCTTGAGCAACCATGGTACCATTCCGACGCCGACCTGTCCGGCCATTCCTGCATCCGCAGCGGCTTTCGCAAGATCCTTTGCCAGCCTCTCGTGCGCGTTCTTCAAATTGTTCAGAGCTTTATCCTCTTTCATGCCTGTGGTGAGAACGTCGAGCTCGTCTTGGACCGCCTGGAGGTCTGTGCTCAGGCGCTTCGACTCTGCCGTCTGGGCGTGAACCATAGATCGCCATCTCTTCACGAGCGAGTCTTTTTGTTTGTCAAACTCTTCCGAGTCAACAAACTCCGAATCGTGCAGGCTGCGTCGTGCAAAGGCGATGGCCTCGGAGAGGAGATCTCGACCCTCTTGGTTCGACTTGAGATCCCTTCCGAGTCTTTTCACCGCTTCCTGGAGTGTCTCCGTCGATTTGCCGCCTGCAAGGCGTTCGATGAAGGTGTTAAAATGGCGCATCGCCTGCGAGAATTGGCCATTTTGATCATTGACATTCGATTCGACAGAAGATTTCTGAGCAGCCTCTGTGGCCTGGTCGACCATGTCGAGTGACTTGTTGACCCACTTGTCTGCCAGGTCGAAGAGAGTGTCGATTGCTTCAGAGTATTCCGGATCGCTCTGAAACTGCTGCAATGTCTGTGGCTCACTTTTAGTAAACGACCATAGGCGCGTAAAGCGGCTTACCTTGTCAAATGCGTCCAAAATCTTGTCCCTGCTCTGGGCAGAGCGTGCTTGAACAGTTCCCCTGATTTGCTGGCCTGTTCCAATGGCGCTTGATCCATAATGCTTTGCGGTATCCATACCCTTCTCGAATCGATACTGTGGGTCGTTGTAGTCGACACCTTCCGGTGCCTGCGCTTGCTTCGTTTCCTCCGTCTTGAACCCAACAGCGGTTCGTTGACCCTTATTCACCTCTTCATCGATGCTTTTGATATTCTCCTTGGCACCTCTGGCTGTGTTCTCGATGCCTTCGGCGACATCTGCGAGGGAGAGACGGAGAAAGGACAGGAAGTCGGCGAATAGCGGAGATCCAGAGGACACAACATTTCCTAAGAAGACGTTGGAGAGGGAATGAAGCGCGTGTGCCAGACGGCGTGCATCTGCGTTTGCCTCGTCTTTGGACGCGGTCCCTTCTGGTCGTTCTATGAAGTATGATAAGTCACCGGCGCCATGAACAGATGCCCACATACGGATGCTATCATCGAGATTGACGTCCACATCGCTTTGGGCGAGGCTCCAAAGTGCCTCCTGGACGACATCATCGCCTATGACCAGTAAGCTGGGGCTTTGACCAGAAACGGTCGCTTACTATTCTTTTCTTGTCCTAGCTGCTTGTATGCCTCAAGAATGTTCTCAATATCCTTGACGAGGATACTTCCTTGTTCACTCAATCTACCGACGTCGTTTTGGCCAGCTGATTCAGCGACATTGGACGCTCCTGCCTGAGCACGCCGCAGGAATGTTTGTAAGAAACCCAGGTGTGTACTGATCTGCTTTTGGCTGGGGAGTTTACCGGCGTCGAGCGCAGCAGCGATGGAGGCGACTGTATCTGGGTTCATGGCTGCTTTCTGTGCGTCGTTTACAATGCAAAAACTATGTCTTTTATACACCTTTGCGGTGAGGTCACTCTTGATGTAAGACGTAGCAGTGTGCTGGATCCAGAGAGCGGCCACCGTGATGTCAGTCTGAGCCGATTGGGAACGTAGCCATGACGGAGGTGAGGTGACTTCTATGCGCTTGGCCAATAATTTATCGATGGAAGCGTCAGAGAGCCAAACACCGATTCGGGGTGTTCACGAGATGGACCAATAAAGCCTATAAACACCTGTATTTGCACAATTTCACATACATCTGCGGATTGGAGATGCAGATAACCTCGTTTGAGGGTAACGGACGGGTCCAAGGTTTGTTGGGCTAACAACTTTGGACCTGACGATCTCCGCCTAAAAACATACCAACCACCCACGCTCCTTCCAAAGAACCTGGAGGTGCTTTGAACTTTGTACAAGTTTTCAAGGAGATGTCTTTCAACCGTCGGAGAGCACCCTCGTTGACCTCGGACGATGCAACGTCCTCGGAATCGTACGAAGACGATGGCGTGTCAGATTACACGGAAACTACAGACTCATCCAACGGTGACTTTAGGAGAGCGTTGGAAAAGAGGAGACGACAGCGCTTGCAGCAGGAGTGGGACGAAAGCATGGAACAGCTCCAGCTCATCTTTGTCGTCGTGCTCATGCCATGGTTTGGCAAATTCTGGGGCCGAAAATGGGCCCATGCGCGTAAGTCTGAGCGCCTAGGCAGCACTCCGAGATAGAATTCCTGACGATTTTTCTATAGTACACACACGGTACCTGCGAGTAGGCCTTGGGAAACCCTTTTTCTATCTCTAATGTTCATTTGCATGTGCCTTGGGTGCAGATGAGCACTTGTGTGAAATACTGTTCTTGTTTGCACTGTATACAGCTTGTTCCGTCCATCCATCCATCATAGAAAGCACCTCCTGGTGTTCCTTAGAGACCCTTGCCGTAATCGTGCTCGGCGTAGAGGGCTTTCATGCGCTTGATGATTACCTCGAGGCCATTCAACCACTTTTCGCCTTGCTCTTGAACCTTTTCTTGCGATGCCGCTTCAGGAAGATCATCTGACGGCTTTGCAAGCTTCTTGTAGAATGTTGCGCGAGCAGGACAGGCTGCCATCGCAACCTGGATCGCGGTCAGCCCAAGAATTTGGCATATCAGGAATGTAAAGACACACCTTGAAGGCACCTCTGGCGAGGAAGTTGTGGAAATTACTGAGCGTTTTTCCGTAGGAGGTGGTGAAGCTTTTGGAGAGTTCCTCATTTGGATTCGCGAGCGAACTCTGCAGGCCAACCAAAGTAAACTCAAGACCTCTGTGTGAAACAATAAGTGGACTAGTACCATAGGTAACGGATGAAACCGACCGGAGCAACCAAAGCAAGCCTTGGGTGGCAGTCTTGTCCGAGCCCTTGGCCTCTGCTGCTAACATACCCTCCAGAGTTGCACTATTCACAGGGTCTGCGGTAAGGCGGGTCTAATGGGTTCATTGAATGCCCGACCGTTGATCATGAGTGTGCTTTTTCATAGTGATAGGCAGACATACCTGGATTTTGTTAATATTTCCGTTGATATCCGATTGGACAAGCGAGAATGGGCCAGAACCCAGGAGGTCTACGGAGCAGTCGACCAGAGGGGATCGTCGTCGAATCGCTGGATCAGCAAAGAGACGACTGTGGGATGCGATGGCTCACCGAACATCTTGACGAGGCCTCTGCTGGCTTCGAGGAACTCTGCCGTGTTGACGCCGGGCTCGAGCTGGACATCTGCAAAGGACTGGGCGAGTGGGCAGTCAACCGATTGAGGGTCGGGTCTCGTATACAATAGTCACCTTGGAAAGAGTGTCAAAGTACGTAGTCATCGTCTCAGACCTGGCTGTAGTTGATTGGATACGGTCCAAGTGGCGAAGCGGGTGTAGGCAGGTGGTGATCAACTCTAGACGGCACCTCGTCCCACAATTGCAAGAGCCTTGCCCAGCAATTTTTATTTATGCTCTGAAGATTGGACAAAATGTTTCAATTTATATCGACAGCAGGCTTTGTGTTCCTGTTCATCACCTGCCTAGCCTTTATTCTCCTCACTGCGCTCCCAATCTTTGGCCAATTGGTCTTCATCGACGATGTTAACCTACGAATATGGGATTTTGTCCTATTTGGACTTCCTTATCTTGTCACGGTACGCTCTCGACCGGACTGGTTAGAGCTCATCTCAATGTTTCGCCATATTCTAGGCATTAGCGGTCTTTGTATGCGGTCTCCAACGCCAGTATATGCTTACCTATCGACTGGAACGTGTCCCGCGAGGGTCAATTGTCCTCCAGACAGACGACGCCCCACGCGACGTTGTTGACCTCGTTCGCACAGAGTATCTACGCTGCTCGGCGATAGCCTACGAAGCTCTTCCAACTACAGGAAGTCAACCAGGATGGGGCCGGCCGGGAACCATTTACGATGGCATGAATTTTAAGAGGGCTTTCCTAGATGCCGTGGAGAAAATCGGTCAGCAGAATGAATGAGATTGGGAAATTTTATTGACTCGACGTAGACGCTACCGCACGGGAAATCCTACCTTCGCTCCCAAGGATGCCGTATCCTTTCCAACTATGTGTGCATCTGAGGCCCTTGCTTGGAATATTACCAGAAGCGGAGAAAGAAGCCAAGGAGATTGATAAATTTGTGCGACTAGTCGTCTATTCAGAGAACGGGCAAGACGAAGTTGTTGGCGAGCGGTTGCGTCATAGCGAGGCCAAGTCTGCAACCGAAATGACAGAAGAAGAGTATGAAAGAGCGATGGTTGCCGTCAATGGGTTGCAGGCAATGTGAGTTTGTCTAGCCATTTGGAGCATACTGGCTGACGGGGGTTGTCGGCAGACTCGGCAAAGAGAAGCAGTATCTTGAATCTGACTATAGCTCTGTGTCTGACCAACTGTCCGAGTCACGCTCGATGAGCCACCGACGGCGGAGTAGTGTATACGGAAGCGAGAGACAGCGACGGATGGACTTTCGATATGAAGTGCAGGAGCCATATGATGATCGACTAGACAGTGGGTTTCGCTTCGGGAGGCTGTAGATCCATAATCAATTACCGTAATTGGCAAAAAGGGTCTCAACCCTGGCGGTACGGAGACTGAGCCGGTTTTGGCAGCAAGCCATGTGGCGGGAATTCGCAAAGAAGTGGGCTTCAGGTGTCACTCTCGACAAGCCACAGAACATGGAATTGGCATTTCTCTGTCCTTGCCCCAGGATGGCCATTGCGTGGATCTCGACGTAATAGGGCATTCCGAATCCAAATACCCGGATTGCAAGAAAAAATATGCCTGTGCAACTTGGACCCGTCCTCGTCTGTCTGCAATGTCGGTGACCCCGCCTTCACCAACCCCGACCGTGACCTCGCGCGTCGGAGAGGTCCTCTACGCGACTCTGGTTAGTAATATCCACATTTGCGTTTTCAGACTGCATTCTGAACTCTTCCTTTGTTATGTAGAACGACTCGTTTGACACTGCCATTCATGCTGTCGACGAGATTTATACCGCAAACGCTACCATGCCCGGCGCCAGAGACGTGGATGAAGATTACGACAATGGTCCCCAAAGTCCTATTGCAAAGAGCTTGTATGGCGCCAAAAACGAAGTACGCTCCATGTTTTCCCCCTGGTCTGCTCTGACGTTCGCAGCTCAACAGGTGGCGGGGCAAAAGTCCCCCTCTCCCAAGCTTCGAAATCGTCAGTGGACTCGTCGACGCAGGCCTCAACAAGGGTAGCATAGATGACCGGAAACTCTTGGTGTGTGCTCTTGCCCTGCTCAGGCCACCTTCTGACCCTCCCTAGCTCGAAGCTGCCCTGTCAACAATGTCTTCGCTCCCCAAAGGTGCTCTCTCAGATACGCTTAACAGAAAGACGGTCGCCCTTCTCTATCGTGATTTACCTCACCCGCCGCCGACGTTTATAAACAACCAATACGCATGGCGACAACCCGATGGTTCGCACAACAATCCGGCGAACCCCGACCTCGGCAAGGCAGGGATGCCCTATGCACGCAACGTGCAGTCCCATACCCCAATGCCCATGAGCGAGCAGCCCGATCCTGGCCTCATCTTCGATTCGCTCCTCAGGAGGGACCGTTTCAGGCCCCATCCAGCCGGCAACTCTGCCCTTCTTTTCGGTTTCGCGACGCTTGTCATTCATACTTGCTTCCGCACCAATCACGGTGACTGGACGATCAACGATACCTCGTCCTACGTCGATCTCTCGCCACTCTACGGCAACTCCCTCGAGGGTCAGTTGAAGCTTCGTAGACAAGATGGTACCGGAAAGATGTGGAACGACGTCTTCGCCGAGGATAGGCTCCTTTTCCTCCCGCCTATCAGCTGTGCACTTCTCGTTCTCTTCTGCAGAAACCACAACTATATCGCCCAGAAGCTCCTCGAGATCAATGAGAAGGGTCGTTGGAAGTGCCCGCCACCCGACGATGAGCAGGCTCGCATGACCCAAGACGACGAAATCTTCAATATTGCCCGTCTCATCAATTGTGGACACTTTGCTGGCATTGTCTTCAGCGACTATCTTGCAGGCATTCTCGGGTATGTGTACCTTGTCCTTGTGGATGTTGCTCATTCATATTAGGCTATCCCACGATGCTAATCCCTGGTCCCTGGATCCCTTCTCCGAGATTCGTAATGAGGACCACACCATTGTCGAGCGGTAGGCCCTTCATTGATTACGTAGATCTGTTACTGATTATTGACCAGTGGTTGCGGTAACGCGAACAGCGTCGAGTTCAACCTTCTCTATCGCTGGCACGCCACCCTTTCCGAGCCAGACGTCGCTTGGGTTGAGCGCATATTCGCGTCGAGCTTTGCTGGAAAGTCTGCCGAGGAAATCACCATCCGTGATTTCAACCAGGTAGGTTGGAATCTGACGCGCTTTATAGTTGGCTGAAAGTTGGTGATAGGTCACAGAAAATCTTAGAGAGGCCTCTAGGAGAGACATCAAGACGTGGACGTTTGCTGGTCTGCACCGCGGGGAAGATGGGAAATTCCACGACTCTGATATTGCCAAAATCCTCATGGATGCCACCTCCCACCCAGCAGGCGCGTTTGGTGCTCGCCATACACCAGGTATCATGCGCACGATTGAGATCATGACTATCCAAATGGCTCGAAAGTGGGGTGTATGCACGCTCAACGAGTTCAGGAAGAGTCTTGGCTTGAAGCGTGGGTGCTAAGTTTTTCTCATTGACGGTTCCGTTGACACCCCTAAGCGTACACTACGTTCCAGGAGTGGAATCCAGATCCAGCCATCTGGGTGAGTGCAAATTCACTCTTACGAACCGAGGTTGAACATGTTTTAGATGCCCGCTCAGGCTCTCTATGAGCAAGTGGACAGGCTCGAGCTCTATGTCGGTCTTCAGGCAGAGGATACTAAGAAGCCTGGGCCTGGTGCCGGTTTGTGCCCAGGATACACAATCTCTAGGGCTATTCTCGCGGGTACGAAAGTCCCTTTGATTATTCTGACGATTCTTTGACGGTCATAACAGATGCCATCGCGTTGACTCGTGGAGATCGATTCTACACTTACGATTTCACCCCATCGACCTATACTTCTTGGGGTTACAAGGATTGCCAGCGCGATCCCACGAACCCTGGTGCTGGATCTGTTCTTGGTCCGCTCTTCCTTCGCACGCTGCCGAACAACTACCGCCCAGACTCCGTCTTCACGTGGTTCCCGATGCTTACCCCCGAAGCTACGCGAAAGAACCTCACCCGCCTTGGCAAGGCGGACAAGTATACTTTTGAGCGACCCGGAGAATTGAGCATGATCAAATCCGTCGAAGACGTCGGCGCAGTTATGGACTACACTACCGGTCGCGGATCAAGGGTTGTCAGGAGCGTGTATGGACCCAAGGCGCGCGAGATCATGGATGGTGGCGGGTAAGGCTACGTCCCAGTTGTGGGAAGAATGAGGCCAACGCTTTCTCTAGGTACTTTGTACTTTTGGATGACGTCCGAGCAGACATGCACCGTCGCGCAATTCAGCAAGCCATTTTCCACAATGTCGAGCACACTGGTCCGATCGCCCGCGCAATCGAGTCCAAGATGCGTGCTCTTATTCACCACAAGAGTTTCGAGCTCGTCAAGGGCAAGACAAAATGCATCGACATTGTCAAGGACGTTGTCAACCTGGCACCCATTCATTGGATCGCCGACGCCCTCGTGAGCTCCTAGCTGACTCCAGAGCTGAATATGCAACTCATATCGTCGCAGGGTCTTCCTCTCAAGACACATGATCACATGAAGGGAACCATCTTCGAGCAGCAAGCTGATCAAATCTTCAAGGATATTTACTCGTACATCTTCCACGAGATTGACCCCTCGCTCTTGGTCAACTTCCGTGGGATTGTCAAGAAGCATGTCAGCTTTATGATGCGCTACATCGAGCCTCAAGTACAGGATTCGAATGGCGTACGTGGAGCTTAATGTGTGCTATGCTTCCTTTGTTGACATAAGGCTATAGATCATCCCCAGCGTTGCGGCAATCAAGGTATGGCATGCGAAGTCTTTGGAACATGTAAGATTGAACACCCCTTCGTAGGACGCTATCGTTGGCATCTGGGTCGACCGTCGTGGAGACTGCGGTCGCTTCTACGATTCCATGGTAGCCAATGGCTTCTCTAGGACCGACGTCATGAACGATGTGCTTGCGCTTGCCGTTCTGGCCACAGTCGAACTTTCTCACTGTGAGTCTTTCATTTACAAATATATACAGGTTCATGACGGGGTATAGTGCTCGTTCATGTGATCAACTTCTATCTCGAAGAGGAGAACAAGGAATATCGTGATCGCATCACTGCCGCCGCCTTTGGCGACGAGACTGTCACAGCTGCAGAGCTCGAGGGATATGTGCGCGAAGCGATTCGCTTGGATCCTGTCACTGTTGGCGTCATGCGTGAGTCACTACTTGACTTTTTCGTCACCTAGTCTGACGGGGAACCCAGGCGAGATTACGACGGGTACTTTATCTCAGGCCAGTGGGCAACCATTGCAAGCCAACGAGCGCATATTTGTCAGCTTGAAGAAGGCCATGGTCAACGTGAGTGCAGATGCGAAGTCAAGGGTCGTGCAGCGCTGACTCTAAGCAGGAGGACCTCTACCCTCATCCCAAGTCCGTTGATCTCCATAGGTCCAAGGAGCAAAAACTTCTGCTGGGTGACGGAACCTCCAAGCTGCTCGGCGAGGATTATATCCTCGACGTCGGTGCTCACGTCCTCAAGGCCGTCTTCAGTCTCAAGAACCTCCGCCGTGCGCCCGGACCGTCTGGAACACTTCGTCGATATGTCCAAGATCACAATGGTACGAAGCAGTACTTCTATCTCGACCAAAAGCAAAAGATCAGCCCATGGCCTACGTCCATGTTACTCCAGGTATGCCACTACCTCTCATAGGGAATTGATGTTCTAACACGACAACAGTACGACCAAGTTTGAGCCTTCTTATCTCGTTTCATAAAAGTCAAAGCCCTGTGTCTGAACATGTAGCGTTGAATGAATGAACAATCATTGTAGAAGAACTCGTATATTGTTCAAGAGGCTCCTTTAGTCGATATAATCACTTCTTGTTGCCATTAAACATTTCCTTCGCCTTGTTCTACCAAAGCTGTGAGCGAGTTTCGAATAAAGAAGGAGAGACCTACAACGGCCCACTGTTCGGCATCCTTGATTCCTTGCTTGACCAAGTTTTGCGTATCACCAGCATACTGCGTTGCTTGGGACGCATAGGGATTCTTCTCCGGCTCAGCCTCAGCTGCAGGGAAAGACATTTCCTGTCCAGGCTTCCATTTGTCGCCGCTTCCTGCTACATAGACATCCTCGGTGCCTTTTGTCGTGTTGCTTGAGCTGGGATTGCCGGCTTGGTAATTGGAGCTCGAATGACCAGATCCGTAGGCATCATGTCCAGAGCCACTGTTGTTTCCCATTGCTGAATATCCTCCTCCAGAGTGAGTGTTCGAGTTGGATTCTCTCCCATACGAGTCGCCTTGCGTGAAACCTTCACCTCCATAGGCGTCTGATGTATGCCTCCTATCGTCACCACCACGGTTTCCAAGACCGACATAAGTCTCTCCTTGGCCAACGGATGAGCGTCCGCCGCCCATTCCAGAATAACCTCCCTCATCTCGACGGTTATGGCCTCGCTCATCATCATCGCGCCTATTACTGCCGGATCCATATTCATCGTGACGGCCTGAGCCCGCGTGATGAGACTGGTTATAATTGTGTGCAGGTTGATTGAAGGTTGTAGACTCGTAGTCGTCCTTCCTACCACCGCCGTATTCGTCGCGTCCGTGCTGTCTTCCGCCGGAATACTGCTGAGATTCACGACCGTATCCACCCGTCTCGACGTTTCCTTCATCTCGTCTACCTGAACCGTACTCGTTATGGCGGCTGATCGCAATATCAATGACTAGTCATGCTTGCTCGAGCTGTGAGGACGAACCGACGGTTATCTGAAATATTTTCGTCGTCTCTGTTGTAATAAGACATGGTTACTCTGAAACTGCGGTTGGGGATGAGTTCGAGCCTTTGACGTCAACTCAGCCACCCCAATCTAAGACTAGGTAAAGAATAGTTACTGTAAATGGAAAGAAGTAACAAAGACATTTCGAGTTTATGTGGTCACCAGACTTGAACCCTTCCTCAGCAGTGGAATGGCCGCGTCGGGCGCTCTTTCACAACTTCAGGATCTTCCAGAAGCGCTGATATTCGAGATATGCGAACATCTGGACATCTTCTCGCTCGTCTCTCTCTCCGAGGTGGATAGATTCTTCTACAAACTCGCCAACGAGAGGCCCTCGTTCTGGATATACACTCTCACACACTCCGGACTACTTCTTCCTCTGTACTCCTTCCGGTCACTTCCTTCCTTCTCGGCACGGGAGTTGTACATCGCAGCGCATAGAGCCGTCTTGACTGAACGGAATCTCTCTTCTCAAAATCCAAAGTTACTTTCTTACCGCTACATTCCCTGGCCATACGACCCCGCACCTGGTGTGTCCCTTGCGGCTGGGGCCTGGGAGATGCCTGAAGAGGCCGTCCGTATGCACCTGTCGCACTATAACGGTGAATGGATGTTTACAGTGTCGTCAAACAATATCCTGCGCATCCTTCATCTCCGATCGGGCAAGGTAGGGCTGATGTACGATCAGGATCGGTACGAAGGCGGGATGGACGACGTTTCACGTGTCTCTTGGGCGGTCGAGTTTAGAGAGACAGACCATGCGTATATGGTCATGAACTGTTATCTGCAAGGGGAGACAGGGTGAATTTATCTGCGTCCAACTCAGATACATCGGTCTAATACCTTTTTTTTTTTGGTTGCAGGCCAGAACCCTCTGTACGACTCCTGAATGTTCGGTTCTTTCCGGAGACAGCCCTCGCCACCGTGGAGACGATCTCCACGTATAGTACCCCAATCATGACGAGCCATCTGGACCTGGCTGGCGGTTACATAGTGGCAACAATACCAAGAACAGACAACGAATATTTGGGAGACGTTCACATGATTCGAATGCGTGATATGAAACCCATGGTCCTTCCACCTGTGAGTTGCTCTAAACCCCGCTCTCCAGACTTGACCTTTCGTAGTTATATCCTGCATTAAGAATTGCAGCGTTTGAGGAATACTTCCTCTCGACGGCCATCAGCCCGACGAATCAAGTTTACGTACAAGTAGTAGGGTATCCTCACTACGTCCAGGAAAAAGAAGAGTCTGAGCCTCTGTTCTCTCTTCGCTCATATCATATTCCCTACCGTGGTCCGATTTTCGACCGCGGAACTCCTTTTGGATGTCAGACCTGTCACTTTTACACTGGGCAGCAGTACAGCCCCATCAAGTTCTGGATACGCCCCGGTCGTAGTGGGTCCTGGCAAGTTTTCACACTCAATCTGGATGTGAAAGGCCTGCGCTCGATGGCTAGTCGAGTGGCCACGGGTAGGGCAGGCCAAGAGGAGACGCTTACCAAAACATACTGGATCATGCAAGAGGACTCCCGTATCCTTGAAGAAAAAGGGCTGCACCACTGGTGTATACCGGCCATGTCTGGCCGGCGATATCTATGGTGGCGAAATGTCCTCAACACATTGCCATCGAGCACTCCTTCCCCTGAAGTTGCTACGAATGGGGAGATAGAGGCATATGGAGAACATGAGGATACCCCAAATGAGGAAACAGAGGTCGAGATAGAGACGTTTCAACTCTTTACAGCCGTCACCGACCATTTGGCGACGCCAAACGAGGTATACGCACAATACAAGTCCCAAAACTATGAAGTCGACCTGACAACCGTTGAGAGTGGGGATGAGGACTCTGCAGGGACGAGGCAGCTAAGAAGTGCACGCAAGTTGGAGATTCCACGAGGGCTATCATGCAGGACGTCGAGTATATACATGTTTCTGATGGAAGAATGGAGCGGGACGGTACTGGTCCAGATGTACTCTGGAGATCTGTGGGTACTGCGTTACGGGAAGCGATAGTTTGATTTCACTGGATGCCTCACTGCAATATACTGATTGCTGATCGAGACGTGCTGGATGAGTTGGGAACAGCTATATATATGAGCCAGGCGTCTAACGTTGAACCCTCCCATCTCCCGGCGACTCTTTCTTCCATTCATGGGTAGTCAGGAATTGAGGCTGGATAATCTTCCGGAATCCATTGTTCTGGAGATATGCACCTACCTTGATCTGGCTGCGCTTGTCGCGCTAGCTCAGGTCAACCGAGCCATGCGTGTACTTTCGCGCTCGACGACGTCCTTTTGGGCAGCTGCTCTATATCAGTGCGGACTTGTGATTCCTCTCACGGAACAAAGACCTGTCGAGACATTTGAGCCAGTCGAGCTAGCACAAGCCGCGCATCGGATGACCTACAGAGAGGCCAATTTTCAATCACCTGTCCCTCAACTGCGTGGATGGAAGAAGATCCGGTGGCCGTTTGAACCCCTCAACGCATCAGTGGCAGAGGCGGTCAAGCACAATACCGAGACACCAGAGGGCGCACTGTACACCCATTTGATACACGAATACGCTGAATGGGCCTTTTTCATCTCTTCTCTCAATATTCTTAGAACCGTTCATCTCGGCTCGGGCAAACTGTCGCTAATTTGGGAGAGAGACAAGTATCACAAAACAGAAGAGGGTGCACGGATAGCATGGGCAATTGATTTGATTGGCTCGAGTGAAGGGCTGATGGTGATGAATTGCATCCTTCGGAGAGAGAAGGGGTAAAGCATATTTCCTCATTAAAATGCATGCTAACCAATGGGCAGAAACACGTACGGAATACGGCTACTCAAGTTTAACCTTGATATAAAGTCTGGAGAGGTCGGTATCAAAGAGCTAGGAAGTTATGTCACCGGCGGGTCGGCAACGCATCTCGATATCTCTCGAAGATACATCTTCTTTGTCGTAGCTCTTCCAGGGGCGCAACACGACAACGTAGGCGAGATATCGATGGTCAGGCTCAAGGACTTGCATTATCTTCAGCTACCTTCAGTACGTGTCACGCATGTTCATGACAGTATATTCTCAATAAAGTGTAGATCTATCCCAGCATCGAGCTTTCTATTGCGGAAGAATACTTCATTTCCGTCGGTATTTCACCAAATCAGCAAATATGGGTGCAAATAGCTGGTCTTCCTTCTCCGGATGTCGAACCAAAAGATTCGACCATGCTGGACTCCCTCGAGTGGCTCCCTGTGCACTCGTATCTCCTCCCTATAGGAGGAGATGACCTGGATCAAATGACCTGCCGGATTGCTCATTGGTACATTGGCTCGAAGGGGACTGTGAACGTATGGGCGTACCTCCCATCTGATGGGACGCGTTCCACCTTTACACTCGAATTTGACATAGATGCCCTCAGAAGGCTGACGAAGCGGTATCTAACTGGCCGGTACACAGATGAGGAGCCAATGCGAAAGCTCTTCGTGGTCGAGAAGGATGCGTTCCGTGCCGTTGAGGAGACAACCAAGTCGTTTGTTGTGACGCCTAGCTTGTCTGGCAAGCGATTCATATGGTGGAAGCGTGTCGACAACCCTTTCCCAAATGACGACAATCCCCTGTATATTGTCGAAATGGACTCTCCAGTCGACGTGGGTGAAGGAGAGAGGGAGACATTTCAACTGTACCTCTCAATGGTAGAGGAGCTCGCGCCAGCTTCGCAAACCACGACGGATGTGGACGAGGAGGAGCTCAAGGTTGACCGATCCAAGCACTATGACAACGGCTCCGCAACGTCGATACGACTGAAGACAGAGAAGCGGCTGCAGATACCTAGGGGACTGGCGTGTCGAGTCCCGGATATTCAGTTACTGCTCATTTTCGAATGGAGTGGCACTGTCTTGGTACAGCTTGTCTCGGGAGACATTTGGGTACTACAATATGGGAAACATTGACGAATCGGGTCATTTCGACTCTATCTGTTGGAAAGATCTCTGTATTGTGGTACTATTGACATCAATGTGGATTCCGAAGAGCCCTAAATTATATAATCCTCTATATAAATTGGCTCATCGTCGATTCTATTCTCCTCGACTGGATCGGCATTGGCCAATTCTGCGATGATCCGCAAGGTATTGTATGGGTAGTACTCAATCGTGCATTGGCCAGACTTGCACACCTGAAAAGACGCTTTCTCAGTACGCTGTAGCCGTCGTTTAGTCTGAGTAGTGCTTACCTCGAGATGGCCAGTGCCACTTCGAGACTACTCGGAGCAGTGACCTTGCGCGCATTAGGGAGGAAATCTGGCCAAAAGTAGAACCAATCTGGAGGAAGAATGGCAAAGTCGGGGAATGCAAGATGCTCGATGCTAGGCTGACTCTTCAAGAAACGATTCATTGCAGGATCAACGATGAGACCCCAGTGCAAATACTTGAGCTTGAAGGGATATTTTGAAGACTTGAGAGGGCCGTAGGTAATCCAACTGGCTGAAGCAAGTTGGGTAATCGAAGGAGGATGGAGTGCATATCGGTGCGGGAGGCATAGTGAGGGTTGATTGTCACCGTGAGCTCCTTGACCGAATCTCAGAGATAACTCTTGGTGGTAAGAGTCTGTCGCAGTGTGGTCGTATGACGAGCCGTATGAAGAGTGACACTTTTGTACAGATGAAGGATGGAGTATGCATACAACAATCAACTTGTCTCTGCGTATGCGCTTAGCGAGGTCGTGGGGAGTTCTGCGAGAATAGAGTGATGCGGTTCTTCTGAAAGAGCTCGAGCTTGCTTTGTCCAATATCTTTGGGCGTAATCACTGCTGTCTCGAATACAGGAACTTCATGGTCCTGTATTACATCTAGTGTTTCATCAGTCGAAAAATCCAAGTCTTCTTCTTCGGAGTAGGGATTGTATAGGGCTTTTCGAAGTTTGACCAATTCTTGACATGCTGCATGGTCACATTCGGCCGGATCGTGTGGCAGGACAAGGGTGAGGGCAGTATGGACCTCGAAGAAGGTTTACTTTGTCACGTCAATCAACCCCGCTGATCTTCAATGTCGCCGACGGGCATGACTGCGAGCCGCCCGCCTGCCCAAGAGCCCTGCTGGAATAAATTGGGCTGTTTCTGAGAGACATACTTGGGTTTTGTGTCCATGAAAATTTTGCATACATCGCTTGTGCCAGGCAGGGGTGATCTTCCTGATCTATGCATGAAGCCAGATTAAAGGACAGAGAGCCCACAATCATTGAAGAGATCATCCCGGATGTATTCTCGATTGGAGAAATTGACCAAGCAGGTCTCTGGGCTTTCTGGAGTGATACCAGGTCGGTATCTCTCCGGTTTGCTCCAGGAGATCTGGTTTGAGAAATCGAGAAACGCAGTTGCTTTCATTCTCCTCATACATCTAAGCAGGTTATCTCCCTCCAACTCAACGTTCGCATTGCCCATCCTGGCGTTTTTAATTTTGTAACGACGCCTGGTCGTTCGTTCCAATTCGTGCCTCGAGATGACTATGGGTGACCACGAGAATAATGTGACTGTGGCCCCATGGATTGGCCCCATCACTACATAGCACGCGGACAGGAGTATTGTCGAATGGGATGAATTCTCCGAATTCGAGCCATTGATCAAAGTCACTTCGAATCTATCAAGGTTTCCAAGGAGCCAGTATTGTCCCATTTTCGTCGGGAGAACGTGGCGGGGTCAAACTGTGGTTTGCCACATCTCTTTTCCCACGTTGGCTGTGTACATCTCTATCCTCCTGAAATCATTTCCTAACTTCTCAAATTCCTTTCTGAACTTGGCCATTCAAGATGTCGGCCGAATTGTTAATTATCGTTTAACTGGCTATTGCTTTTCAAGCAAAATACCGAGTTGGTAGCACTGAGACAATATAACATGTCAAAGTAGGTTCCTGGATGCATTCCTTCTAGAGTCTCGGGTATTTCGTATCTATAACAAAAAGGGGTGAAATCCTTTTCAGCCAACTTGTCCAGAAATTGCTTGGTAACTCGGTTCAGCTCGTGTCTTGAGGTGACCCTAGGAGGAAATGCTTCACTAGCGGGACTTATGAGGATGTCCCGATCGTGATCCCATGTATAATCCCAGCCAAATAATGTGGAATAGACTGTTGTCGCTCGCGAAGAATTTGCCAAATTTGGATTCGTGAGCGTAAGCTGCTTCAGAATTATCAAAGTTTCTAAAGAACCAGGATTGACCCATTTTGATGCCAAGGGTGTGGATGTGGAGGAGGGTCAACGTGATATCGACCCGGTCTGCCATATCCTCTCGACGCATTTGGTATCCACAAATGTACTCTCTGATTTATTTGTAACTTTTATGGACTATTTAATGCTCGGGCACCATAGCCAGACGTTGAACAAGTGCCGAGTTTGCTCAGCGGCTACGACGCTTGGTCTCGGCCTCTTGCTACTTTGCGGAACCGACGCACGATGAGACTGAGTCGAAGCATTCAACGTCAAAGGAACATAGCAAATACTCCTCAATGCACCACAAATTGATTGGAGAGCCGGTGCGACGGCAGAAATGAAACAAGGCCAGTAACTGCCTTGTGGTGGAATCCAAACACAGAGACAGGACCTATATTCACCCATTCGGGGTTTGCAGATTGATGGCTGTCCGAGTTGGAGGGGCAGGTGGCCGTGGGTCACATGATCGTTCACTGGGTGGTCTTGTGTACCCTATTCTCGATGCTGTGTGATAAGTCGTCTTTGTTCGTGTGAAATGCGTTCGCGGAGCTGGGTTGACGGGCGGACTGGGCGCGGCAGAGGAGAACACGGTTGGCTATTGGTGGCAGAAAACAAACTGAATGCGCGCTCATTTATTCTCGGCGTCAATTAGCGTGGCCGCGACGCAACGATACCCACACACCCACGCACAGAATGCAGACGGCGACCAGCAACACACAGACTGGGGATTCTCTGAAAAAAGAGCTAGGGAAAAGCAATTCCGAGCGTGCGGACAGACTTATTACAGCGCACAGCCGTCGTATCCACCGCCTTGAATCCGACGAGCAGACCGACTCGGGCAGTGAAATGTGGGCGCCTAGACGGACGGAGATAAAAGGCGCCTCGACTTTTGCCTACGACGATTCCCTTAGCTACTCTTTGCTCCCCTCCCTCCGCCCCTTTGATTTCCTCGTCGACTGCACAAAATGGAAAAGGTGTGTAGTCTAGTGTACAAGACGACAGTGAACTGACAGTGCCTGTTTAGCACCAGCAGCCAATGTATACCCAGCAGCCCTCTGCTACCCCGGGCATGACCATGGTCGCTGGAGGAAACCGCAATGCGGAGAACAAGCCATACGACTCCAAAGGCGAGCGTGAATGGAGCAACGGCCTCTGCGGCTGCTTTGGTGATTGCCTGACCTGTGCGTCTGAGCCGTTTACACGCCTTTTACACGTCCGCTGACCGTCGTGTTTTTGTCTCCTCTAGGCTGCGTTGCTACGTGGTGCCCGTGCATCGTCTACGGTCAGAACAAGTCGCGCATCGAACATCTCGAAGCCCAGGGTTACCCTCACCCAGACGGCGGAGACAGCTGTGGTGGTGACTGCTGTCTGCATGCTTTCCTATCATGCTTCGGCTTCGGTTGGGTACTTCAAATTGGAAGCCGCGAGAAGATCCGTCACCGCTACAAGATTGCGGGTGGCTGCTTTGGCGATTGCTGCGCCAGCTGTTGCTGCAATCCTTGCGCACTTACTCAAGAAAGTCGCGAGCTCGAGCTCGAAGAGAGGAGCATGCTCCCCAAGAACTAGTACTCTTGTCTTGTCTCTCCTTTTGGTTGCGCAGCTCTTGTATCTATGATACTCCTATAATTGCATTCCATATATGCATTGATATCATTCGACTTTGTTAGACGCAGTGGTTGCCTCGCATCCAGCGCCTTGGCCCCGCCCAGCATATGCCATCGTTTGCCGAACTCCGAGCAAAAGCAGAGGCTGCCGCATCAAATGCAAAGGAAACTGCAAATGCGCGTATTGCAGATTATCGCGGCGACAAGAAGCCAGAGTCGAAATATACAAGCTACAAGCCGCCACCGTTGAGGAACACTGTCAAACCTCCGATTCCAACCAGAAGTACGATTCATACACAAGAGAATGAAGATATACATCCCACTACTCAGCCAGCAGGTGTTGGGGAACAGAAGCACGTTCAAGAGCAGAGCGCCAGTGGGATAGAGATGCTTTTGCGTGACAAGGAAATGTTCTTTCAATTCATGGACGAGGCAAGAATCTACCCTTGCAATCTTATATAAATCTGATTCTGGCCTAATAGTTCTTTGCTAGCAAAGGCTGCGATATCACGCCACGCCATGTCACACCGCCAAGAGTCCAAAGACCAAAGTCACCAGAGAAGCCAAAGGTACCAATCAAGCCGGCAAGGTTGTCCTCTCCACCGCGGACTCGTCAACCTACCCAACAAAAGGAAGAGCCTTCAACGTCTCGGATATCCGAGTCAAACGACCCTTTTGAATACCCTATTCGTGCACCAGTAACAGCACGACACTCGCCACCTCCAGTGGCCGCTCGAGCTCGCGACGTGACCCCTGCACCTCCAGTGCGTAACCCGGTGGTGGATCCCATCAAGAAGGACTCAGAGTCTACAATCGGATACGATGTGGACGATGAACAGATTGATTATCCCCCAAGCGAGCCCGCCCAAGCGCGACCTTCTTCACCTCCACCTCGACTCCCGAAGCCGAGCAGAAGGATCCCATCAAATGAGATTGAGGTCGCTACACCGAATTCAACTCGATCGATATTTGCACCACCTCCGAGTAGAAGGATTCCGTCAAAGGAGAATCAAGTAGCCACACCGACCTTCTCTGCACCGAAAACTGCTCCACCTCCTTCGGTGGACCGACATAGGCGTCCGTCAGCGTCAAATGAAGTCGAAGTCGATGTGCTTGAAGATGAACACATATACGGTACACCTCCATCAAATCCTCCACCTGGGTATGGAGCCGGACCGAGTGCAGCTGTAGTAGCACGATTCGGCACGCTACTCGCTGCGAAACCCAACGAGACTCAGCCATCACAACCAACATATACCTCTCCCAGCTCACCTCCGCCTGCAATGACTATGATCACCTCCGTCTCAATGCACCATTCACCCTCTGCGACATCCCTAAGTCCGAGTATACGCGCTCGACTTTCGCCGCCGGTGCAATCTATCATCGGCATCTCATCACCATCTACACTAGTTCCTATACCACTCGTACCGAAACAAATCGGTAGCCCGCCTCCACCCTTTTTCACGTCCTATACCTCGGATCCTCAGTGGACACCGTCGATGCCGTACGCTTACATGCCGCGTGCGTGGAGTGAAAAGCGTGAGGGCGAGCGAAGTGCGAGGGAACCGACGGATGGACAGTGTTCGGCCGCACAGTTGTGTTCGTATTTTGCCAAAGGTGTCGAGTGGGGTGCGTATCACTTTTTAGTGCTTCTTAGTTCGTTAGGCTAAGTATACGATGTAGATGCATGGTATGCGTCCAGAGATCCCTCGGCACGCCCGGATTCCATCGTTGGAAGGGCAGAAGCCCGCTGGAGGGGGAATGTCGTGACATCGCAGGAGACAAAGAAAAGACTCTTTGGGAGCGAAAAGGTCTCTATTGAACGGTCTAGACTAGGCGTCGTGGTGCGTCCTATCTCGGTTTAACCCCTCAAGGCTGATCCCCTGTCAAGACATTCCAAGATTACTCTATCGGGTGGTACCGGGTTGCATGGAAGGTTATTTATATGTGGCTTTGTACTGCAGCATGCTAATTGCCAGCAGGAGGGTGACCCAGTTCAATCTCTTGTTCGCGAGGCGCGATATCGGGCGACGCCGAAACCACTCAATGGTAAAGCCTCCTACCTTGCTCTTTATGATGGGCTAAAGTGCATAGGTGATAAACTCTACGCTGCCCATCTCCTCTATGGACAGCCTATGGCGGAATTTGTAGAACAAGCAATCGAACGCGGTCAATATATCGGGGACGGCGAATCATGGGATATAATACCTGGTATTCATGCCCGAGCCGGTAAATTTCAGTGCTGATTTGCGCTCAGGGGCCCAAGCCAGTCTTCCTGGCAACATTCCGCCCGTGATGAGCTCGGTTGGGTATGTTGTTCCTCGTGACGCCATACATTCTCATATATGCAATAGACACTGCCATGGGCATCTACTGTACGAAGGCTACATCGACGAAAGGTCTGGACGCGTATGGGGTGCGACGCGAGGAGGCGAAATTGCCATTCGTGACGGAGATATTATTCAATGGTGCGATGCGCAATTCGAGACCCGCGACACCGATGAATACGGTGGCGGGAACGTGACCATTCTGAACGTCGGTGAAAGCGGATTGTGAGTCTCATAAACGATGCCCTATGCCTTCCACTGACGCGTCACTATATAGCACATCAATGGTTCTCTCTGCTGAAGAGTTTCCCGTCGCGCTGCCATCAGACGAGCATACGCTCCCTCCAACACGTCTCCCCAATCTAGAGATCGCGATACAATCTGCATCCAATAGAGAACCACCTAGAAAGAGGCTCGTGGACTTTGGCAGTATGCGAAATGGACGAGTGTGGATTTATCGATGTGTTGGGTGGGACTATGTAGGTCTGGAGAGAGAACCAGATGCGGTATGGCCCCCACCAGACCCAACGCTGTTTTTGCCTTGATATAAATGTATTTCCTATTGGAATACATAATCGAGGAGTAGACTGTTCTCACCCTTCAGGTGGTCAATCGACGAGTAGCTTCTCATCCTCTTCCACTGCTATCGACGCGAGGGATGGAATCGGCTCACTTTCGAGCTCCCACCGAGATATGGCATCACATATTCCGACTCTATCTAGGACCACAGTTATCGTCTGTAGAAGCTGAGAGTCTGCGATATTGCAAGGCCTTTCTCTTCGACAGGGAAAACAATATCGTCTCCAAGTACCAACTAGCAGAGCAAAAGAGGACCGTTTTACGGCTCGTTTGTCGTCGGTGGAAAGGGTTTGCGGATTCAATGAGACTTGATCGACTTGTAGTCTGCAAAGGCGAGGAAGCCGTCGACCATTTCTCTCCACTGAAAGTGACGATATGGCCAAACGGCCATGCAATTTCGAGTGCAACCCGGATGTTTTATCACACCGACGACCCCAGAGTCTTCGCAGAAGCAAGTTGGGCGGAGACGTGTACTTGGACATCTTCGGACAATATGGTAACGCTCAAAGAAGCTTCAAGCACACAGGATGCTAGCTGCCGTCTACGGGCTTTCGAATGGCATATCGCTTTTATTCCACGTTGTTGTAACGTACACAAGGGAGTCGGCCCGATAGATGTTGCATCCACACTTCGAGCATCATGCTTTCAACGCCTGGTAGTCATGAGATTGGACATTCAACCATACTCGATCAAGCTACCTACATCGACTTTCGAATTCAGTCTGCCAAAGTTGCGCTGTTTGGTTCTATCCATACATCTCTCTGAGACTGAGGATGTCCTGGGCGCATTATTATCTTTATGGAGATTCCCCGAGCTACGAGCTTTGGAGATAACGGGTGGCTTCCCAGGCCAAGTTTACGATGGTCTACAATTACTCTGTCACCAGCACAGTAGAACGCTCGAGGAGCTTTCGACTTGGGTGAGACACCCACAAACGGATCACATGGGACCCATGGAGCCAGAATGGGAAGCATTCCCGCGACTCCGTGTTTGCTATTGTCGAGACCTGGCGGAATTGACGCTCCAAATGCAGTACATAAGACGTTGGCATGACAGATATGCACACCAACTGCAGATACATCTAGGCCACGTCCGATCGTCGAGCTTGGACACATCGGGAGGCGTTAAATCGGCCTTCATGGATCATAGTGACATCCTACACTTTCTCTGCATTGTGTATCCTGAGACCTGGGAAGATATGGGCAATCTCCTCGATCATTTATCATCACTATTGAAACCCTATCATCCAATTGAAGTCGTACAGTTCCGATACATATTTTCTCTGGCAGAGGAATATGGTATACGAGTGGAAGATTCCGTGGGCTACTCATATGACAGCCCACGGACCGCTCAATTTCGAGAACGATTACGTCTCGAGTGAATTAACAAGTGATAGACTTGTGGTGTATTTAGAATAGAGCTGTTGCAAGGGCGTCCTAAGCTTAATAGACGTGATAGGAATAAGCTATCTAGTGACATTTATGAACCAAGTTTGGTACTCCGGAGGATCCGGGTGACGACGTCACTCCCAGCGAGGGTCGCTGCGGCCGCGACTCCTTGGACTCTTCCACTTCCAGGCTCTACTCCAAACCCAGTTTTACACTTCTTTATCCCCGTAGTTCATCATGGTTAGAGGCTCAGATATCCTCCTCATCCTCGTACGTCGCTCAACAGCTTTATCACCAAAGTTGTGTTGCTAACCCTGCATCAGGTGGCCATTTTGTTCCCTCCAGGTGATAAATAGTTCAATATTATTGTCCAAACTCTTACCGGTGATGTAAAATTCACAGCGGCCGTCGCGTTCATGACCGGTTGCTCCTGCGACTTGCTCATCAACGTTGCCCTTACCCTGTACGTCTCTCTGCTTGTAATTCCTTCTTCCAACTAATTTTTACACTCGAATAGCTTGGGCTACATTCCAGGGTACGACAATTGGTCTATATCTGGACCGGCCCCTTGCTAACTCCGCATGGCAGGCACATTCACGCGTTCTGGATCATCTACAAGCGCATGAAGGTCTGCTCCACCTCTCTTTCATATTTCCAGCTTGCTAACCCTCTTCCAGGCCGAGGAAACATACGGCCACGGCGGATACCGTTACACCGGCAATGCAACCTTCGAGCCCGTTGTTCAACAAGGTGTTCCAGTCGCAGCTCCTAACTATGGTGCCACTGTCTAAGCGCAACGGTCACTCGGAATAAACAAGCTTCGGACGACTGATGGAATGCTTTGCTAACGAACAGTTGACATTGTTGCTTAAACAAACGTCTATTCATCTTCTTTCTCCTGCTAAACCTAGGCCTAAGCGTAAAATGTCCCCGGCTTTGACCATTTATTAGTATCAGGAGGTCCGAGCCTCGATTTGGTGGCCCCGTAGCTGGGGTCGGAGGATCCGCTGAGAATTCCAGTTTCAAAAATCATAGGAGAATATGAATGAACCCTCATTTGGTCAATAATTGCCACGTCGATGGACCTTTACTCATAGGCCAATATCTTAGTACAGTGGCAGATCTCTTGCATGGTATTGAGTTCATATTCTCTCTCTCACTCGCACGCCAAAATATTGACCCTATTGGGCGGACATTGTCATTCGGTGCCAGGTATGCCTGGCCAGAGATCATCCGGTCTAGCCTCGCTTGCAGGTTGGTTCCTTCTGTCCACATGTGGGGATACCACAGCGAGAAGATGTACACAGGAGAGGAGAAGATTGTCATTGCGTTCGATATAGGGACGAATACGAGTAGGTGATTCGACCTTCTAATACTAAGCCTGATAACCAAAGGCATTGCATCCTACACCCATCTGGTCGGGGGTTCCCTTCCGATTGTACAAGCGGTGAGCTCTCTCGAGCCTTTGATGTTATACATATCCTCCTCAGGTAACGCAATGGCCGGGCCAAGCTTCGGCCAGCGGTTGTGCCAAGGTAGAGTCTGTCCGTTTTATAGTGTTCTGAGTTTAATGAGTTATTCCAGCTTCCGACATTGGCCTTATATCGTAGATGTCGCCTCGTTGCGTGCGGCGAGGAAGCTCTGAACCGTGTATCGGAAGGCCACGAGGAAATGGCCAGATGCTTCAAGGCAAGTCCAACTCTAGAGGCCGTCGCAACTAACTTGGAAATAGCTCCACATGTACCCAGAGTCTCTCAGGGATCAGTCGCTAAATCTACCAACTCTCCCAAGAGGTGTTTCACTCTTGCGCATTTACAAGCATTTCCTGCTTTATATGTTCAAACATACTCAGTCACACTTTCAATCCAAGATTCCTAATGGGTCGGCCATCTGGAACCGACTCAGAAGCAATATGGAGTTTGTCTTCGCCATTCCAATCAACTGGGACTACACCCAACAGCAAATAATGTGTCAAGCTGCCATCGATGCTGGCTTATTTCCGTCACACAAGGCAGAGGCATCGCTTCATTTCGTGACGGGGGAAGAAGCGTCTGTGCATTTTATCTCTGCCCACAGTTCCGTGCGTCACTGGCTGCGCGTTGGCTCAACATTTGGGTTGATTAATGCTGGTAAGTATTCCAACTATCACATATAACATTGATGCTTACTGATTAAGGTGGATCAAATACGAGCAGCACTCTCTACACATGCATGGCTAGGTCTCCAAATGTAGTTTTGCAACAAATCGGTGCGAGTCAATTTGTTCAGGTACGGAGCCCTATCCTTCTGTTCCATTGCTAACTGTAGTCAGGTTGGAGGTGCCGGGGTCGACTCCCGTTTCCAACAGATTATAAGAGCCAAGCTTGCAACTTCCCGATTCGGAGACGAAGAGACTATCAGAGACATCGTCGATGCGTTTGAGAAAAAGGTAACTCTAATCTAGGAGGGAGCGGTCAAATTTTTACTCTCTGCAGACGAAACGTTTATTTGACGGAACCAACACCACCAGCGTGATCAAGTTTGGTGGCATACGTGATATGGATAAGGCTGTTGGAATCTTCAAGGGCCAACTGACTCTCAACAAACAAGAAATTCTTGCAGCCTTTGATCCAGTGGTGGGAGATATTGTTGGCAGTATCCGCCGCCTGATGGAAGGTCATCACCCACAGGTAGGGGCATTAAGAATGAGTATTTGGAGACGCTAACGACCCTTCAAAGTATCTTCTTCTGATGGGTTGTTTCGGAGAGTCACCCTACCTCAGAGCGCGACTGCATCAATTCTTCGGTAGCGGAAACGTTGAAATTGTTACGGCAGAAGAGCCAACGTATGCTATCTCGCACCGTACCGTATATTGGCTGATGACTCTTTAAGGGAAAAAGCGATTGCGTAGGTTGGCTGACCACCTACAGTCGCAATGCTTACTTTCTGTTTTAGTGAGGGATCGCTCATTTGGTACCTCGAGAATTTGGAACTCATAGGAGTTCGCCAAGAAATGTACGAAATGGACGTGAGACCATTCGCATTATGCGCTGCAGCCGGCCTTTTTGACCATGCAGGGAGAAGAGCGTCCAGTTCTCCTCTGTATTCCGGGACTGACAGGCTATATTGCTTACACAGTTTTCCAGATACAATCACCGTGGTACATGGGGAATAGAGGCCGCGAGAGAGCCTTCGGTGATGCTGGGTATTCGGATGAGTATGAATCTCATGGGCGGTAACTCTCGACCCCCCAACTGGAGATCCTCGCCCTTTTACCGCGTCGAACAAGCGATCGTGATAAGTGGATGTCAAGGTGATCGCCATCTGCAAGCAAGACGTTGATACTCAAAGGGTTGTAGAATTCATCCATCCGACCGCAAGGCACTCCGGCATATTCACTTTCTATATTACCTTTGAGCAGCTGAGAATGCTTAGCAGTACCACGTATGAGTCATTCCCACGATCCCAGTGTTCTTACATTACCGTAGCAAAAAGTATCAGTTGCGACTTTACTGTACAACCTCACAGTACTACATCCCTGGCGACCCAGTGGCCACCACTCCCGTTTGTCCTATAGAGTTTCCTCCTCTTTGCCAAGTGAAGGTCAACAACCAGGTCGTCCAGGGAACCTTCACCATGTTCGGGAAGAAAGATGGAATGGTACTACCGGTAGATATCACCAAACAGAGTCGCATCACGATTGGACACAAAAATCAAGTGGACTTGGAATTTGGGAACAGTGACAAGGTGTGCCTAATCTTACATACGCAACTGAGAAATACCAGCGGCGACCACATTCGCAGAAGTATTATTTGATGATCAACCTCGTCGAAGTTTTTTCGGTGGAGACATTAGTCAAGCAGCTTAAGAAACGCGTCCAGTCACGAGAGAGTGTCATTTCTCAAAGTAAGTCGCTCCCGGTTCCACATTGATCTGTGGTTTGATATGCGTAGTGAAAGCAACTCAGCCAAGCGACGATGATCTCCAGGTGGGAGCGACAAGATTTCCCTTCGTGACCCAGTAAGTTTATGCATAGTCGTCGAGGGCTTCACCAAATACAGTATAGTTCAGCTACACGCGGCTGGTAGTGCCTTGCCGAGCACCAGGTTGCGTTCATATAGGATGCTTTGATGCCACTTGCTGGTATTCTATGATGGAGGAAAAACCGACGTGGCTTTGTCCCATATGCGGTCGCGAGCTGGACGAACAGACTTTGGTCGTTGATGGGTAAACTGTTTCCTGGACAGTCCAAATAGCCGACTGACTTATCTCTACAGATACATGCAAGAAATCCTGGCAACCGTAGACGAGGGGGTCGAGCACGTCGTGGTCGAGGCGGATGGCGAATGGCACACTGAGGACAACAGGTTTGGCTCCGTAAAATGGAAGGATAAACACAAGGCTTCGTCAAACGTTATCGAGATACTCGATTCTTCGGACTCCGAAAGGGAACAAATCCCACACCAGCACCCACCATTTAACCCTCTTGTACCGGGCCGTGGGCGACCGACCTCTACCCCGTCGCCACCATGTCTGATCGACTTAACGCTCAGTGACTCGGGAGATGAAGGACCACAGCGAGGTATTCCTCCTATACCAGCGTTTACGGTGATGGCTTCAACCATGTTTCGTGACTTTATGCATTGGAATAATCAAACGACTTATTAAGGATTATTATTGCTAATAGCATATTACATTTGTCATTTGGGCTTCAGATGTACCAGACTCCGGTAAGGAGATCCCACCACAACCACGACAGATCCAGACAGGACCTCCAGCTGAGTTGATCGTTGCTCTAGAACTTGCGCAGTAGACTCCCTCGATTCCATGCGCTCGAGCGAGGACAATAAAGCGAGTTCGGAAATGAGTAGAGAACAAGAAAATTTCTGAGCAAATAGTACGCCAAATATGCATTTAAGCTCCGCTACAAATAGATAGGGGTATACCCGAGAAGCGGCTACACTTTGATCCAAGTGAATCCTGTAGGTTGCACAATCTGTCCACTGTTGAAAGCAGCAACTTGTGTCAGATAGCCTTCAGCTGCAGAGACACGCTTGAAGACTTTGATTCCTCCGCCACTCATCCCACCCGCAACGATATACTCCTTATTTGCACCAACAAACTCCATTCCTCGAACGTGCTTGAGACCCGTCCGGACGTGTGCCACTGGCTTGAGTGCGGGCGTAGTCTCAAAGATGGCAATGGCGTCGTTCTGCGATGGATCGTCGCGATTGGAAGCATAGAGTAGTGGAGATGCTCCACAGGTAACAGAGGGTGCCCATAATAGTTCCGCTGCTGACATGCCCGAGGTGTTCGACGTTCCCGGAGGGACGATTGTAAAGTTGGCGACAACTTGTGAGATGCCTCCAGAGCCGAGGGCTGGAAGTGTGCTTTGAGAGAGGGCGTTGTAGTTTTGGTGGAGGGTGTAGAGAGTATTGTCTAAGCACGTCTCAGGTAGTGACACTTGACAATAGTTGAGACGTACTCATCGCGACCATATGCCTTGGCCCGCTCCCTGCAGGGAATTGGATTTTGGCGGCTTCATACCACGTGTTTCCATTCTTTGTGAGTCTCCGCACGAAGTCTGAGCCGAGGTCCGCGACAATGACTTCATTGCCGTACTCAATAGCCTTTGTGGCGCGTTAGAAAGGATGACCAAACGAAATGTATGGCTTGCCTGATGTGCGTGTGCCGATTTTTGATTCTGCATTGGCCCCGACCCAGTGAATTGCAGCACTTGACCGCTTCCAAAGGTGAGTCGGTCACTATTGAGGGGCACAACGAATGCGCTTCCGGAGTTGAAATTGGCAGCCGCCAAGGCCGTTCCACCATTAATGGGCGTAACGTGGACACAACCGCCGCCGTAGTTGGAAACCATCGGCCCGGTACTAATGCTGCTCTTCGTGGTCAGAGCACCGGTAGTAGGGTTCAAGATGAGGGAAAAGATATTTCCGGTGGTGTACCACGCCTCTTGTGCCGCATACACAATCGAGGAGTTGGCAGGGTGTGTGGAGAGCCAAGTCGTCATTTGCGCTACGTTCGTCTGGGTCATATAAGTGAGTGATGAAGTGGAAGGAGTGAACTTGAGTGATGTGATTGCGTTGCCGTAGCCTCCGACGAGGATGAGGAATGCTGCTGCTGCCGCCATGATGTGCCGACGAGTCCTCTGGAAGGGATAAGTTTGTCAATATCACAGGATAGCAGTGATTATATAGCCCACCGAGCGTCGTCAACAGACCCGTCTAATCCTAAATCCAATGGCAGCGACGAAAGTGCGCGGATAATCCAAGGAAGCATGGGCGATGAAGCGCAACTCCAACTAGCTTCAAATCAGATGCAACACGAGTTTCCGAAGATGGAGAATTTAACATTATGGCGGCGACGAGAAGTTGCGCTCCAACGACTCAGGTGTTGCCGACTGTGCACTGGCTTCGGAAGAAGTCGACGATTTGATCTCTTCGAGAAGAAGAATCGATTGCCGCGTTTTCGCCTACTATGGTCGACGCGGTCACGGCTTTTCTATGTAACCTGTGGCGAGCAAGCCGGTCATCATCAATAATGTGTTGCTTGATATTAGAAGGTGCATATGGAGTAGATTCGCGATCATCAGGCCAATGGCTAAGGTTCTGTTCAACTCATCAGGTTGGTTCCAAAGGTTGAACTCCACCGTTCCCGGCGTTTCTCTTCAATGAAGCGCTATGAAGAGCGGTTACTGGAAGACGAGAAATCTCATCTATGGAAAGTGCTCCTTAGTCATCGACCCCCGATCTACATGCTGCCCAACGAGCTCTGGCTAGTGATCTTGGACTTTCTTGTTGTGGACATGAAGAGCATATCATCATTACGCCTGTACGTTGTCTTATAATGTGTTATTAATGCTCAAGATTCCGACAGTACGGCCAGGAGGTTCAGAGACATCACCACCGTGGTCCTGTTCAGGCGCTTCAATTTAGATGACGTACCACCATCTCTTATATGCGTTCTCCCTTGGCTCATCAGGCGGAACGCGCACATGGCAAACGCATGCCACAGCCTTGTTCTCCGCCTTTGTAGCTACAGATTAACAAGAAAGCTCCCCTCTGGCCGACCGACAACCCTATATCAGGACACTGCACAATCCGAGCTATTATCGGTACTCCCCCGACTGCAGTCGTTGACCATCGTCTTAGATCACATCAACAAAGCGATGAACCTGGAAGCAAATACAAGCAGTCAGTTCGGTTTCCCGCTCACAATTGCTGCTATATCGCATTGCAACCAACTGCGAGAAATTACGATACAATGCCGAGGAGCCTCAAACCACGCAGCATGCAGCACATTGGTCATCTCACTGGTCGCCACGACCCCCCCAACAGTCGGGAAGATATCTTTTGTGGATATAATGTTAAACCCGTATGGTGAATATCGGAGCGCCTTTGAAAGTTTCGTGGCCAGGAATGGCAGTCTAAACAATATCACCGTCCTGATACTCGAGCGGCCCGAAGTCTCGAATTTTGATCTATTCGAGCTTTTCCTCACTACCGTCTTCCCATCGCTGAGACGCCTCGAGCTAAACGCTCCGTTTCCATACATCATATCTTCACCGCCAGGCAGGCAAGAACGATTGCTTCTTAATCGGCGCCCATTAGACGTTCTGAGCATCTCATCGCTTCAACGGGTATGTGACTGGATGCTTCTCATACCAACGAAAAGGACGGAAATACATTTCCTCTCTCAATATTACCTACCCGAAACTAGCAGGCTTCTTCGCATGTTAGCGATTGACAGTGGAATAACCAGGAGAAGTCATCTCAAAAGTGTGCAAATACGGGCTAGTCGTCCTACGTGGATCTCCATTTTCGCCAAAGGAGAAGAGTTGCCAGACTCTCCTATCCTATCCCTATATGCGGGCCAGCTATTATCTGACCTTGCTCCCTACGCAAAACCCAGAGGATGAACTTAGGCATGCTGCAAAACTTCTAGGTCAACAGCAATCTATTTCCATCCAATTCGACATCCAAGATGTACCGCCAACCATCGAGTATGTCGCCTATGTGTCGAACCATCTGGAGCATTTTTTATAACGCTTGGTTCCGTATTTGCTTATGGTGACCGATGTATTGTTTTACTGCATGATACAGTTCATACAAATCATAGGTAACATACAGGCTGTTCGATGAGGATTACGAGGCAAGCATGCTACGAGTATGATGCGCCCTGATAAACAAAAGGAATAAAGTACCTTTGAAAAAAATACACCCCATCTATCGCAATGTCAGAAACGGGCCAATCAAGTTGGCTCGACAATATTGGTCACTGCTGCTGAGTCTTGTCCTTTTCTCGTCGGCCCCAACTGGTCCCCCATAAAAGTCGTTCCCGCTCAAGCTCTTTATCCGACGGCTTATTCCGAAGCCTTGAAGCACTACTCTGCCTGCTCAGCGCAGACTTGGTCCCAGCGCGAGACGATGACGCCGAGACTGAATGCCATCGAAGATTGCCCATGCCCAAATTATTGAGCAACCGAGTCCCGCGTCGGCCACGTTCCGTTTCGTCATCGTGCGTATTATCAAGTCCATCGGCACCCTCGACCCTCCGAGGTGCGCTATGATGATCAAATTCATCAAAGACGCCTTGGTCGTGTCGAACCGAACGATTATACGCTCCAGTGCTATTCCGTTTCGACGCATAAGAGGTGCTAGGCGGCTCTGGTTTGACACTCTGACGATGAGAGGCGCGACGGGTTCGCGGTGTGTGATCTTCTGGATATGAATCGCTGATCCCATTAGGGAATGTCGCTACCGCAGGTGAACTCGTTCGTGAATTGTGCCGCTGAAGACACGCGCGGAGACTCTGGATGCTCTGCTGTCGTCCGACGGGTCCTGCACCCGATTCGCCACCACTGACATGTGGTGCGACAATATTCGCTAGACGAGGTTCATTGTCCGAGTCCTCGTCGGTCTCACCGGCGAGCGCGGTATCATGAACATCTGGTCGCTGAAAGTCGCGATAGGAGGGAGCCATCGAGCCGTGTCCAACACTCCCTACCTCCCCATTCGAACTTGCCATCCCCGACGTACCTGTACCACCAGTGCCAGTCCGTGAAAACGTGGTGTACGACGAACCCACTCTGGACAGACTGGCATAGTTGCTCCCCCGTCTAGAGGCAACAGAGTGTGTATATGCGGAAGAAGTGGAACCCGTCCTTCTGAGTGATTGCTTCCCGCTGGCCTTGGCACTCTGAACGGCGATACGCGGTACAGATGGCGGAGATGATTCGGACGGTTGACCCGACGGCCATGAAGAAGGATCTCCACTCGGTGCCAAGAGAGGAAGCGTTCTCTTCTTGAGCCGTGAGCGAGCACCCAAGGATGAAGAGCGGCAAAGCACTGTCACGGGCGACGGTTCGAGATTGACCTTTGGGAGTGCCTGAGATGATGCATGGCGTGACAACAAGACATCTGAGGGAAGTCTTTTGCGTCTCCTAGCCTCGCGTTGAGAGCTCCGTGAGCTGCCAGACGGTTGTATCTTTGGTCGTCTCCCCATAGACGAATCGTGCGTGATACGCCGACTCTGTTGAGACGGGTTCCCAGATGAAATAGAGCTATCTCCGCACTTTGCGGGAGACCTCGAGCGCTCTCGAGACATCTCCTGCTGCGCCAGGGAATGCCACACTAGAGTTTGGGTCCTGGCGGACATTCGAGCGTGGACTCAAAATGGCTTTACTAAACGCTCCCAGCCACGTTTCGGGTATAGGAGGGCGACCAATAGCCGCCAACGGAGACTCGTCCTCTGGTCGTGTGGGGAGCTTTGAGGAAAGAGGATCGTTTGAACGATCTCGTAAAGGAGATACAGAGCCGTGAGGATTAGGTATAGGCACATGTCTGCTGCTGAGTTTGCCGGTGGCCTGTTTTGGGCGAACCTGAGGCCTCGAGGTGAGCGTCGAGGTCGCATCCGTCGGTATGATTGTGGACGTTGACGAGGAAGATGCGACAGGCTGATTTGGAGAGGAGGCCGAAATGGTCGTACGCGCAAAGCCGGCGGGATCATGCGGAGGCAAGGAGATTGGCACGTGAGAAGTCAGCCAAAGTTGTACCGACGAGACGAGACACAAGCCCGGAAATAAAAGAGATATATACGTACATTGGTCGAGGACGAGGTGCTCGAAGACGCGACGCGATTGAGCTTTGGTTTGAGTCGCATAATAGGCGAGCCACTCCGCTTTTCGATGGCTGGCGTTGTAGCCCGTGACGCACTTGGATCGTCAATAGTTGGAGATGACGCATTTTGTACGCGTGGATTTGGGGACGAAACAACTGGCTCAACCGATGTTCCGTCCGACGTTGAGGAAGGGTGATAGCCTACAGCCCAGGAGAGAAAGTTGGCGACTTTGCCGGTTACACCAGCACCTGCCCACGTCGTGTGGCCATTTGTAGAGTCCATTTGAGTGTGCTTTTGACTGCTAGAATACGTTGCACCGTCTCTGGCCTGTTCCGCGTTTGGCGTCAGCACTCGAACGTGGGCATAGCCGGCTTTTGTGAGTAATTCTTCAAATGTTTCGAATCTTGAATTGTCTGGGAGACTAGATAACGTTCGTGGGTAGCGGTCGGCCGTCCTCCTGGTCTGGGGTGGCGAAGGAGACGACACTGGGCTGGCTGCAGACGTTGATGAGGAAGATATTGGAGCACTTGAGCTTGCTGTATCTGCTTCCATGTCTCCCGAGGTCTCGAGGGACATTTGGCCCGTCGTGGTTAAGGTCAAAGAGTTTTGTCAGAGTTTGTCCGCGGGTGTTGTCATCCTATCTAGTAAACTATTCGTAATTATTCATCAAAATCCTCGTTGTTCCTACCTCTGAAATGCCGCGGGGCAGGTAGCGCACGCACCTTCGACCATAGCTCCTTCTGACCATGTCCTAGTAAGCGTCGGGCCCCTTGGATTCACCCACAAAACGAGTATAAACCATCTAATATCCTCTTTTCTGCGTTATTTCTGCTGCAGCGTCATTGCCGGACGGAAAATCGCTGCTGAATATCTCTCCCTGGCCACGCTGGGTACTGTTGGTGGCATTGTTGCAATCATGAAAAGCCGTCCTGCAAAGCCAAAGCCAGTACCGGCCACGGAAAACCTGTCGCTGTCGGGTTCAACAGAGGAGAGTGATTTGTGAGTAATATTATCTACCGCTCGTTCTAGTTGCTGTGTTTGCTGATATAGAAACACTATAGCATTAAGAATTTCATAGCAGAGGCGGAGAAAGAGGATGCAAAGAAACACTAGACATTCGACGTTGCGTCCTTTTAGAGTTGACTCAATAACGACTTTATTATCTGTTACATTCTTTTGTTTCTGTGAATCTGTGTGTGTGAATGCAACCAGTTCGGCAAAGTATTAGAGCCGCAGCTTGAACCCGACCATGGCCACGACAAACGCAACGACTCCAACTTCGAATTTACGACCACTTTCCTTGACGCAGAGACCTCTCCAGCTTCGTTCAGCATCTCCTTTGACTCCCGTGTCTCCACCAACTAATCATGAGCATCCCAACGGACAACGAAACGTGGATACCCCCGGCAATTCACAGCCAACCACGTCTGGTTCACAGACTCCATCCATTCAACGACATCAAAAACGTTATTCGGTTCTGTCTTATTCCAACAGTCCACGTTCTCCAGCCGCACCCAGCGCGTTCAACTCTCCTGTGGTCTCGAACTATACCGAGTCGGGAGAACAGGGAATCTCGTACGCTTCTAGCATCCCAGGGAGTCTCTCAAGGTCATCGTCGCGATCTAGCATTGCCGGGCAGCGGTCGAGTATCGACACGCCGTCTATAAACAGAATCAACAAGCGTTTCAGCATTCCCAAAAGGCCAGGTGAACCTGGAACGCCCACAGCACTTGACCAGACGTCTCCTCTGGGACGCGACTCTCCCCTTCTAGGGGGAGAAGCGATGGACGAAACCTCGAGCCAAGCCGAGAGCTCGAGTGCTGTCTTGACACTTGCAGAAGAGTACGTATACAAATACTTATAACAGCGCCTGTACTCATTCCCATCAGACACGCCGAGCTGCTTCAGAATATTGCTCAAAAGGAGGCCAAATGCCTCGAGTTACGGACACAACTATCCGCGCAAGAAGAAGAGCTCAAGGCATTAAAAGCACGATGGACGAGTATCGTCCAACAAGCCAACCCAAATGCTTCCCAATCGAGCTCTGGAAGCATCGCGCTTGCCGCAATGGGAAGAATATTCAGCAACGTCACCGCACCGCTTGCATCCGCACTCGATGCACTGGACCCCATCCAGCTCGCCCCCGATGCCTTGGCCCCGCGACACCGAGCCGATACATCCTCCGGCGCAATAGATCCAAGGCTGCAAAAGACAATTGTCAATGGAATCGCGTCGAGTCGAGGACATACTCCCGCATCGTCTGCGCGTTCGTCTGCTTCGTCCTTTGCGGCTTCGCGAGCGTCAATTTCGTCAACCTCGTCTCTCGGTCTTGCGTCTGAACCACTTCATGAGAATGCAAAGACTGGGGATGATGTGACCTCGAGCACAACGCCGACTCCGACGTTGAGCAAGGCGGCCCATCGGAACTCGTTGTTGATGCCCCATTTTATTGGAGTCAATCCAGAGATATTCTCTCCTACACAAGGCTCGCCAATGACTCCAGAAGGAAGCTCGAAAACGAACTGGGCTGGTTTAGAGGGTCTGAACAATATTCCGGGTGCAAGTGCACTAAACAAGAAATGGGAGGAAATACAAAAGGGAAATACGTAAGTCGCTCATGCTACCTTTCGGCATGCACTGAGCCCGCCAATAGCTTTGCAAAGGGACTAGGCGTGCCTCCACGCTATTGTCAGAAGTGTCCAATTCTTTCATCAACACCTTTGCACCTCCCATCGACGAACCTCTCCGACCGGCAAAACCACGACTCATCTCCTCGCGACCAGCCTCCACGACGCCAACGCCACAAGATGTGCTTCCAAAGAACGAGGGTATGCCCGCTTCCAAGTCGTTGTTGGATGATGAAGATGATGTGGGAGAGCTGGACGTGTTGTCTCCGCCTGCTATGCAGGTTATGGCTCCTGTGAAACCACCGACGCCTCTAACACCATCAGTGGCGAGCAAGCATCTGTCAGCTACCAAAATGCAAGGAGCGGTCAAGGCTGATGATGATACTTGGAATTGGTGATTATCTTCCATTGGCGACGCCGTATCCTGCTATCGTTATGAATTTAGTTTACACCTTGGATACCTCTCCTCGTACGGTATACTGTTCCTTTGTCATTCTTGTAATACGACGAAAGTACCTTGCCCATTTCGGTGCACAGCAAAGTCAGCCCTTCCTACCCTAAATGAGCCGTGACTTGGATTTTTAGATATTGGAACCAACTCGTCCAATAGATCAGCTCGGATGATCATTATATATATATATTTGGTTTGGTTTGGAGAAGGGTAAGGAAATGCGTTCCGATTGAATATAACAGACAGGACGACTGTAATTGCGAAATATCGAGATCGTCGAGGTGCGTCTTCGGCAAATGGGTTGATTCATATGTACAAACGCATTCCTATATTCACTATCGATTTCGCCAATTATTCAAGCGTATCCAAAGCCAAGTCGTAGGATCCGACGACAGAACTACGTTGAACGCGAAAATTGCCTCGACAGTGCCATCCGAGTTCATTTACGGAACCCAATTTTACTCTCAATACGCATCATGGCTCGAGGTGGTTCATGTGAGGTTGAAGAGGCTAGCGGAGGTATGGCAAAGTGCAGAGGGATTGGACGCGACAGGCTTGCGAACTCATGAAGACTATAAGCAGCTATATATTGAACGTATCGACAGTAGAGAGTGGACCAACCTGATCCAAAGGCAATTATTCAAGTTTCGCCTTGTGCTTCCTTCGCTTATTGCCTAAAAATGCCTTCCATGAGATGAAATAGAGAATGGCTCTCATACTTCGTTTGTTCCGTCCTGGTTACGATCTTCGTCGAATTCACTAGCTCTGTCGACGCTTGATATCTCGACACCAGCCACCTCGCATCTCCACAATTAGACTGGGTGAAGCATGGCAGAGTGCTCAGGGACTTGCCGCAATTGGATTACGAAGTCACAGAGACTACAAGAGACTTTACATTGAGCGAAATCAGAGTCGCAAGTGGACAAAGATTATTCAAGGACAAGCCCTTAAATTCAATAGCCATTGTATTTCGGCCAACGTAACGAAATGCTTTCCTCAAGATGAAGAATGAAATATAATTGTCCTTTCTCCTATCCATTCTCTAGCTGTGTTCAGTTTAACCCGCGTTGAATCACGCACTTTTGCCTCCCGACAACTCCATGTCTTTCTAGCGCGGTATTTTCATTTGGACATGTGAGCTTCGTATTCACAAAAGATGGGTGACCTCAAGTTGCAACGTAAGGCGTCTGAACCAAGTACAGCACCTAGAAATACGAACATTGGCATGACGATATGGGTGGTCCCGGCGACGATGATGGGCCAAACATTCTCATTAATGCCCGACGTTTCCACAAAGTCGTCGACATACCCCGTTTCTCTGTTTATGAGTCGCTTGCTGATCGCGGTTGCAAGGGCCCACAAAGAATTCTATGGACATCAGTACCCATCACGGGATTTCGGGAAGAGTTCAAATCGGCTGTACGATCAATCCAACCATTGGACGACATGATTCCGTATCTCAATGGATGGCTGCAAGAAGCCGACCCAAAACATCCGTTGCGTATCTCTATGAAGCGACTTACAGATTTCTACCCTCGGAGTCATTTCGCTCTATGAGCAGCTTCTTCAAGACATGTCCATTTCTTCGATCACTACCATGGGGGTTCCAAGCAACATGCAGAGAACGACTACCACGTCCTTCAAACTCATCAAACCACCCAAACTACGGGAAATAGGAGCCACTAATCCTCCTCTTTCCGGCCAATTCACACGTGGATGCGCATTCTTCCCGCAGTTTGACTCCTATACCGAGAGGATCCAGGTTTATCTCATATATTTACGGGAGATATGGGATGGATTTGAGGCTGCCGGTATTCGCACTAATGCCGACTTGAAGGAGCTATACACCGAGAGAAAGACATGCCTCTCAATAGTCCACTGCATGAACATGGATATGAATGTGCTTCTGGATCCCTTTGTCCGTGTTATCTTCCAGCCCCCTTTGTAGATGTCCCGCAGGAGTAGACGTGAGTTAGACTTGTGGTAACATCTCTTGCGCTTCATTACCTCGTTCTGGCCACAAATTCGCCAGCCTTTTTGATCTATCGTTTCCATTTGAGCGATTAAATTAACTAGTGGACAGAATCATTGGTTTGGATGCTACTGGATATATACCGATGACAGTTGTTACAATACCAATATGCAGAGTCAGCCACTTGCCCAGAACAGCCTCGTGTCAACCCGTGTCCCGAGACGAGCCAGGACCACTACATAGAAGGGGAAGCCAAACTTCGTCGGATCAACGAACCACCAGGCGGGTGGTAGCTCCTTCCAGATCGCTGCGGCGTGTCGGTAGATGAAGGCCGACGACCTTTCCTTTCCACAGCGCATAATATGAGGTGGCAGACATGGAGCTGTAAGGGTGCGGGCGCGTCTTGTTCTGGTTTTATTCCCATGTTGGCGCATGACGTTTGGAGGGAAATGAGGTTTGAGAGTTTCCTTGCCTATTTCGGGATTAATGAGCGTTACAGATGCTTCTTGCAGTTGTGAAGTGGGGTCTACTTGTGCTAGAGCAGCGATTGCCTCGAGTGGAGGCACGATCTCTCAACAAAGCGACGACCCCGTCGATCAGGTGATTGACATTTGTCTCGTTCAAGTACGCGCTTGTGCTCGCCTCTGTGTGGTTCTGCCACGCTCCGCCGTGATGGTGCAAGTCCTCCAGACCACGTTGCACACCAAGGCGAAAGAATATGCCAGATTCATAAAAGCTCTGCTCAACGCTGTTGCTTGTTTCCTCTGCGGAAACTGACATACGTTGAAACGTCAAATGATTTGAAGGGGTTGGGTCGACAGAGAGAATAGATTCACGTCCCGCTCCTAGACTGATTATGACTGCATTGGTCATATCTCTGCCATAAAGGCTTTTGACTTCTCCAAGAGCGAGGTGAATAGGATTTGGCAGGGAAGAGGAGCCATCGACAAAGATTTGATGTGAATGGCACGACTGGGCTACGAATACTGACTTATGGCTTTGAAAAGTTGTTCCAGTGATTCGTAAAGCAGTGCCAAGTGTGATGGATGGTTCTTCGGTGTCGGACAGGTACGTTCGGAGGAGACAAGTGTGTCCAAGGTTACGTGGATCTGCTGTAGTGATACAACTAGAGATGATTAGGGGTTGCAGAAGTCCAAAAGTCAAGAGACGCACCAGTTACCATACTCACTACTTGCATTCAGCTTAAATTTTTCGGCGTGATGATTCCGAATGGCACGATGTATTGCATTTTCTAGGTTCCTGCTTCTATTTCGTTTGTCCAGGTTCTGAATCAAGCTTTCTTCTCGCCCCAGATCGAGATATCGCTGTATGGCATCCTCTATTGATAATTTCATTCGCCCTAAGAGGATCGCTACAACCCTACCCTCATTAGACAGAAGTACGAGAGATCTTGAGACATACCCTCCAGCTCCGCTCCCAACAATGAGATTAAATACAGCAAATGGGGCCGGTATTTCCCTTTTCAAATCGTAGCGCAGTCTGCGCCAGATTTCAGCCAGGATAAGGAGCTGTGAGAGTGCTGTGAAGCCACCGTCTAATGTAATTAATTGCGTAGATCTAAGAACATAAAGTATACTCACCCAAAACTAGGATGGCTCGAGACGGGGGATCCATTGCGCGAACAAGGTGTGTTCCAGGGTGAGAATATGGCCCATCTTTGACAGTGCACTTATGACTATTTCCTGGTCTCGTGCATCGCGAAGCATTGTATTCTCCCGCCTCCGACGTGAACCCTCCGCACCGGGCTGGTTGATGGCTTACCTCTACAATGACAATGATCGATGGGAGAAACAAAGGTAGAAAGTAGTAAGAGGCAGGTATTGACGATGGTGAGAGTCCCTAATCCTGCCTCTCTCGTTTGTGACTAGCAATTAGGGAGCCAAGACGCGTGTCCCAGAATTGAGATGTAGAGGACGTAAGGTGCAAAGGTACCATCGATTACGGGCTCTCCTCCACCAATGGACGCACGTAGAGTTGCCGTTGCCCAGCGCTCACCGCGGCGGACGTCCACTAGGTCTTTATTGTGCTCTCTATGAGCTCTTGAGTGTTCTAGAATAAGTAAAACAGGCGATGAAAGTCTGTTCAATCCGATTGTGAGAATGGGCCGATTGTGTCCAAGCCCAAGGTCATTCGTTCTCTTCCATATCCGCGCCATTTCGAGGTTCTCAACTCCTCAACGGCGTAGACAACCAACTCGATAATTATACAACTATTCGAGCGAGAGAAGCCATGTCGACCATGACGTTTCAGTCTATGCCGATTCCATCAACGTCTGCGGCCGGAGGAAGCACCTTGAGTACAGCGGACGGGACAGATAACGATATAACGCCCTCATCAAGTCTGAATACACGCTCTGGTGCCGCAAAATATCGTGGGGCGTCTGTAGAGGTGAGTATTTCTTTCGCGCATATCAAATCCCACCAAAGCCCATTTAACGTGTCTCGACCTTTCTTTGTGTATATCAATGACGCAAATCGTCTCGTACGATTGTCGTTTGCACCATCAACCCCCGCCGTGCGCTGATTTGGTTATGCTTTCGGATTGATGTCACGCTTTCCCTTACTCACTCTCAAGCAAACATTCAGGATCTGCAACTGGGACCGGCATTTGCACTCTCGAAGAACCAGAATGTCATGCAGGCAATCGAACTTGCATATGATCGAGACTTTTCGTACCTGCCGTACGTCTAGACCGCCCTAGCCCTAGATTCTTATACAGACGGCGAAAAATAGGATCTTGGATCGTAATCGACGTCCCTTGGGCTACATTAATGTCCCAGCCCTCAAGCAAGCTTGGGAAGCAGGCCAGATCGATGCGGTACGTCGGCTTTCTTCTCATTTACGTAGGACTCAAGGTCTAGTGACTGAATATGCGCTATAGGATGCGCCAGTTCAAAACGTAGCAACCAAATTCGACCGTAGTTCCAAAACCGGAAGGCCGTATTCAATCATTACGCCTGATACGCCTTTGGAAGAATTGGAAGAGTTTCTGAGGACAAATGATTTTGCCCTCGGTAAGCTATCTACCTTGGTTTCTGACCGCTATTCGCGTATTGATAACCTTTGTAACAGTGACAGACCACGGACGCAAGTTTGTCCTCGGCGTCGCAACGAAACAGGACCTGGATGTACGCATATCTACTTTGCTCTCGTATCCAATAGGAGGCTAATCTCTCACAGAATTTTGTGACCCGACGCGGCAATGCGTTCTAATTTCGTTCCACTATTAGCGAGACTATAACGTTACAAGTCATCTAGTCAATGAATACATGGGTATCGGGGTATAGTGACACAAGCGGAGCAGCTCCAAAAACGTGCCCAATGATGGATTAAATAAACATGAACGATCGTTCAACGATCACGCCGACTTTACGTTTCTCACATACATCTGTGATAAGGCTCAATTCTTCCTCTTCTTCCGCACTCGTCACATCCAGGGGGCGCATCTGTACGACCACTCTTTCCAACCCGGGGAAAAACGCCTCATTGTCCAGAGCCTTGGGGGCATCCCATCGTGATAAACGATAGCAGCTGCTTGAAACCTCGAATGGATCCGAGACGGCGTGGCGGTAGAGCGAGAGTGTGTGGATCGTCGGGATATGCGAGACGGTGTCACTGATCGCGGCGTGGGTGAGTGTGTGTGGACCGTAGAGGGCTAGTGTTTTCAATGAAGGTGATGTATAGATGCCTTCGTGCCTTGGAACCTTCATGACGTCCTTCTTCTCGTCACCAGTTATCGCGGCCAAGAGCTCCTCGACGTCGGATGGATATCGACCGTAGTCCGTCTCCGCTTTGAGGAGGAGAGGGAACGAGCCAAACATCTCCAAGATCACTTCCAGTAGTTCTATTTGTAACACGTCGACGAGGAGGTGCTGGATATGCTCCACACCACGCCTTTGTTCGGCCGTAGCGGATAATTTGGCTATCCCAGATGGGAGGGATACGACGGGTCGAACGTATATATATGGAGAACTGACGTGTATATCCAGCGTCGTTAGCGTCTTTGGAAGACCATTAGACAGAAACGCAAAGAGACCCGGGTGCGGCTCAGCCGCCGTGATTATCAGACGGGTGAGCGCGTCAAAAGTAATCTCCTTTTGTAGCTCTTGCTCTTCTGCACCATGGCCGGAACTTGGAGCTGGGAGGGTAGTCGGTGCAAGGAGCGTCGTGATATCAGCCCAGGCAGGGACTGTTGTAAGATTTCCGCTCGGGATATTGACATGAATCGTGCGGCACAGCCGACGCGAATCATCAATCGTCTTCGAGTCCACCTTGGCACTTCCGTTGGCATCTCGAGAGACAGACTCGAGCCTCGTACGCCGAGCACGGTCCAGTTTTCCAGCGACCCACTCAGCAAAGCGATGAGAAGAGGACGAGTTCTGCCCATCATTTTCGTCGCTGGAGCTGTCACCTTCGATTGAGATCCGTATGCGCGCGATGGACGAGGTATAGAGGGGTGCACCCACGAAACGCGCATAGGTCATCAGGGCTCCCAGAGACGGGATCGCGACGTACATCTTGACGACATCCTGCATGATTTGGTACCACATCCGAGACACGAGGGCCAGCCGACAATAGGTCCGCTTGCCTGCCTCTGTGTACTGATCCACTTTCTGGCCAGCGATGGCAGTACTGAGTTTGTTATGCGGATTGGGAGAATGATCATTGTCTTCGGTGTGTGGGTTATAGAACCGAAATGTACCGCCTGCGGGCAAACCGTGGGGATCTGCGTGCCATGCGTAGATGAGGATACTCTCTACGAGCTCGTATGGCAAATCTGTGAACGTTATAGGTCCACCGTTGCCATTGATTTTTGGCTTGCCCTCAAATTTGGTTGGAAGGATGGCAGCGGAGGTAGATTTGGGAGATTTTCGTGAAAAAAGAGTAGTGAAATGATCCATTTGGTGTGAGTTTGAAGCGTAGCGTCTGTCGTCCAAGCAGAGGTCTCGGTTATAAGTCCGTCGACCAAATGGCTCGGGATTTGACCGCCGATTGCTCAATTTGACACGGGAGCGTCTCTTGTCTGATGGTTAGGACACGCAATTCACCTCTTTGTTCCACGGATTCCCACCGGCCAAGTCGACTGTCAGACGTAGTTGTCTCCAGCCTGTTGGTTTCCGCCACCATAGTCGGTCTCCAATGGCGACGTTTTGGAATGAACAGACTGACCGCAGATCAGCTAATAGCCCCACGCTGACAAACCATGCCCGAAATCACGAATCCGTTCGCACGGAATCTTCGGTTCGAGTCAGCTTATATAGCTTATAAAAGCCTGACGCCATCTCGAAACCCTTGCTCGTCAAAATTATAATGTCCACCGGAATTGTCCTTCACCACCTCGTAGACTCACGCTCCCAACGCGTTCTTTGGCTCCTCGCAAGTCCCCTTTCTGCCGTTGACCATTACACTCAGACTCATAAATCTGTACTTATAGGAAGAGCTCCAGATTCCATATACGCTCAAGGTATGCCTCTACTGTCACCTTTGAACCAAACTCACAATTGTAGATTTACCAACGGACACCCACCAAGCAAGCACCTCCAGAACTTGCGCAAGTTCATCCACTCGGAAAATCTCCAGTCATCACGGACGGTGACCTCGTCGTAGCAGAGAGCGGCGCCATCGTTGGTATGTCCATGATCTCGGAGTCTCTTTGGCCTCTCTCACCCTTTGTAGAATATCTTCTTCAGAAATATGGTAATGGGCGCTTCCAACCACCCTCAGAGGGTCTCGTGAAGAACATCTACTGTTCGTTTCCCCTTCCCCTTTTCCATACATCATGGCTGAGACCTTGCTCAAAGACACTCACTATGCAGAAGGGACACTTCAGAATCTCCTATCCAACTGGCGCATCTATGGCATGATAGGCGAACGTGCACCCTGGCCACTCACCTACCTCTCCCGCATCATCATGTCCAAAGCCCAACATGCCGTACTCCTGCCTACAATCGAAGCCTCGACGTCCATGGTCGAAAAGGATCTCGAAGAGTCAAAGACGATTTGGTTCGCTGGTGGGAGTGAACCGACGAGCGCAGATTTCATGATGCTGTTGCCTCTTGAGATTCTCCCACGTGCGATGGGTGAACGAATTCCCAAAAAGATTAAAGAATGGGTTGATGCGGCACATAGGAGACCAGCGTATCAACGGGTGAGATTCGGCTGGACAGCTCGGACGGTATCATGACTGACTCTATGGTCGACAGGCTCTGAAAGCTGGAGGAGAATATGCATATGCAAAGTTACTTCCAGAGGCATCAGAACAATAATGGAGTGGAGAGCAGGTCCGATTAGGGAGCAGCCAAGACGCTTCGACCGAACGAATGGTCTCGGCTGCTATAGTGCATTCTATTGCGTCGAATACACCTAAATACGTTATGTCCGACACCTCGGAGTAGTGTAAGCAGAAAATCCAGTGCCATGTCGTTCGGCTATACGTAACCGGCTTGTTCCCATCCATAAATTCGCGGCAGCGACGCGCTCGAAAAGCACCTCTTGAGATCCTTTACGAATAGAAGAAAGCTATGGATAACACTGACAAACCGTCTACTGGACTCGTGCTGCACCACTTGGAGAATTCGCGGTCGCAGCGTGTCTTGTGGCTACTTGTGCGTTCATATAGTGCCCACACTACGATGCAGAAACTGACAACATGTACAGGAGGAGCTCGAGATTCCGTATACGATCAAAGTGCGTTTCCGCCTTGGTTTCTGCGTCTCCTATACGGTCCTCCACGCGACGGCAATTGACTTTCTTGAATCTCAAACCAATAGCACTATAAACGTACAAAGGAGCAACTTGCACCGCGAGAGCTGCGCGACATTCATCCACTCGGAAAGTCGCCCGTCATCACAGATGGAGACGTGACGGTTGCAGAAAGTGGTGCCATCATCGGTGCGTACTCAAAATATCCCAAAGATTCGTCCTTATCATCCTCGTTTAGAATATTTGATCGAGAAATACGGCAATGGACGTTTCGAGCCACCCCCAACGCAGGAAGCAAAGTTGCAGAATCGATATTGTAAGCCAATTCTCTATACATGGTGCATGGCGCATGTCTGCTCCCTTGAAATATCGGTACTGACGGTCCTGGTGCTGGCAGATACACACTTTGGTGAAGGCACGCTGATGCCGTACCTTGTCAACCTGCACATCTTCAACATTGTACCTAACCGCATGCCTTGGTTTATGCGATGGTTTACGCGCCTCATCTTTGGTGCGCTCCAGAAACGCCTCATCGTGCCAAACCTTGGTGCGGCCTCTAAGCTAGTATGTTTATTGTTTCATCATCAGATGCTTCACCTCCTTTCGTTCCATAGAAGAATCTTAACAAATTGTAGATTGAGCGACCTCGCAAAATCCCCGACTGGTTGGATATCGCGCGGGCCGGAGCCTAGGTTAGCCGGATATGTTCTTTGTCTCTCCGGCACACTTGTTTGACCTTGCTTGGGTCTCACACCATTCTCTAGCTCTGCAGACTTTGTGATGCTTTTCCCACTCGAAGCCTTTCCATTAGCCCTGGGAGAGAAGAATGTCGGTCCAAAGACCAAAGCTTGGGTTGAAATGGCGCACAAAAGGCCTGCATACATCCGAGTGAGCTTGCCTTTTTATCCTATCCTCTCGTCCACGGCTAACAAACGCCAGGCCTTGGAGAAAGGTGGCAACTATGTGTACGCCAAACTCTAGATTCCAGGCATCACAGAAATGTGGCTTGGAGGTTGTGCCTACGGCCAGCGCCTTGGAGGATGTGAGGCTTATAAGTAATGTATTGCGTTTAGATTTGGAAGTAGGAGAGTGTTGCTACAGATATCGATCAATACGATACAAGTGCAGACCATCCATCCAAGACGGTCGCGCTATATGCATTTAGAGATGTATACCGCCCACCAGGACCAGTCTGACCAGCAGCATCCACAAGACCAGAAATGGCACTAGGTCTCGGCTGGGCTATGCTTTTGCTGCTGGCGTACTTGGTACTCCGTATAAATACCGTCCACAAACTCCTTGTCCGTCTGTTCGATCATTCACAAAGCAAACGCCGAAATAAATAAACGCCCATCCCAAGTGACCCCAAAACGAAAACACTCACGTGAATGAGCTGCAAAAGCTCCCGCACCCAATCGTTCCTCGCGAGCACAGGGAACTTGACCAGTGGAAACGAAGAGTCTCCGGCTGTCGAAGACGCATCGCCAGCCTTTCTCTCTATTGCGCCTAAGAGCACATCGTGCATGATTTCCGGGTCAATTGCCGGCTTTTTGTCTGTGTTCTGCGGAATGTATCCCCTTTGGTGGTACTTGACGAATCCACTTCCACTACCAGGGGGAGGCGTTGCAAGGTTGGAGGCACTGGGAGGCGGGGTGGGTTGAGCAGGTAATTGAACTTTCCCCTTCTTTCCCTTTTTATCCGCCTTTTTCCCATTTGGCTGCTTCTTCGCCATTGCCAACACCTCCGGCTCTGCGATAGCACTCGCCACAGCAGGTTCCGAGGTCTTGAACGAAAACTTGGAATCCTCCTCATCATCATCCGACAATCGATCGTCTACAATGGCAAATGACGGCGTCCTGGCGATGGGTGTCGGATGCGACGGCGAATATCCAGATCCAAGCAGGGCGCCAGGACGTGGAGTCGGGTGCGCGTCGATATCTTGCTCGTCACCACTTTCCACCATTGAGCTCTCTGATTCGGCGGCAGACGACGCTGCCAGATCATCTGGGGTTTTCCGCTTCTGCGACCGTGCCTTGGCTTTTGCACGGCGGCTCGACGCCTTGGTTGCCTGAGGATCCAAATTAGTCTGTAGCTGAGGTTGTCCTCTTTCCTTTCTCTGGGTACCCCTCCTTCGACCCTGGTCAGGTAAAGGCGAGGACCCGTCGGTTTGAGGACGAGAGGGTACAGAAGAGAAAGAAGAATCTGGAAGGGGAGAGTTAAAGTCGGACGGCATTGGCGTCTTTAGTTCCGCGGACTGTGGCCGAGGTTGAATTGGCATGTGAAGCAATGTGGAGAGAACGTCATTGTTTAGGACCTTGGCTGTAGCGGGAGGGGTCTGGAGAAGCTGCGCTTGTGGTTGTGATTGCGATGCTCCGTGGCCTGCCTTCTTCTTGCCATTCGTTGCTGGTGCTGGCTTCTTACCAACCCCGGTTGTGGCTATAGATTTGATGGTACTGGCGTCTGAGGTGGATGCTGATTGGGTTACTTGATTCAAGGTTGCAGTCGAAGTAGGGTCGGTCATGGAACTGGAAGACGTGAGTGTCGCGCGGGCAGTAGTTGTCTCTTCTGGTATATGGTTCGCTGTCACAGGGCCCCAGACGTCCACAGTCGTCCCCTTTGGTTCCTCCCATTCGGGTGGCCATCCAGTCTCCGGTGCGACATACTCATTGCGGCACCATGTTCCTCCTGCTGTCACGACGCGCACAATTTCCTCTGCTACCCGCTCAATCTCTGTAATCTTCGAGCCCACCATGAGCATAGTGAGCAGATCACTTTCTCGTAGTGGTTTGTTGGCGAGTTCATGTGAAGCAGATTGAGGGTCGGGGACATGCTGTTCAGGCAGTCTTCCCTGTCCAGCTTTCCATCTATCTGGCCACTCCAATCCATACTTGAGAAGAAGATGACACCTGAGAGCATGTCAATCGAATACCTTCTTTCGTCATTGGACAAACCTAGCAAGCAGGCGAATGATGAATGGTGCATATAGCCCGTCTGATGCCTTCATGAGTAATGCAGGCCACATTACTACTGATATTGAGCAATATGCCGTTTTGAGCGTTCGGTTTGCCTACCGTCTTGTCGACCAGAGGGAACGATGATCGCCATCTCTGGTGAAAACTCGATTTCGTCCTCCCTATGTAGAATTTGAATCCAGGAAAAGATATCCTTGGTATTCAGGATTGCGAAACCTAGTCGTGCGTCGGGTGACTCTGCCTCTCTGTTCTCAAGTCAAGCTGAATTGAGCACAAAGATATTCAGACAGAGCTGATGAAGATCACACGTACCTTTCAACGAAGAATAGTGGTCCTTCTGGTCCATCCAACTGATGCTCCCAATACGACTCTTCATCCTCGGTCTCTGCCGCTCCACGAGGCTTCATCAATCTAACGACGGCATATGGAATCTGATCGTGAATCACGCGAATTGCCGGGTCGTGACGTTGTAGAACACGCAGGTTATGCGCTGCGCGGTGTTCGTCGCTAATGACCGAATTGATGGGATGGAATGGTGGCGGTTGAGCTTGTAATGCAGGATTTGGTTTACTGCCGTTGATTGGGCCGGTGTAAGAGTGTGAGCGCGGCCTGTGTTGAGGCATTCGCGGCATTGGATAGACGAGGCAAGAGGCAAAAGGCGCGTTTGGAGAGGCACAACTCGAGCCTGACATTGCTTGGGCAACAACGAGATGAATCACAATTTTCGAAATTAATTCTTTAGCTATGACTATTCGCCCCTTGACGCGTCTTGAAGAGCCCTCTGGCAACGACTTGGGAGTGGAACTCTTGGGCTCTCTCCTTCCCAATGGCATTGCCAGGCTTAGCACGTCCTACGTCCTGTTCAGATTAAATTCGGCTAGGGATGAAGAACGCACCAATAATCACCCAGTTTCTGGTGCTGGGTATCCTTAGTGTCTCAGACTCCAAGGCAAATCCACATTCCCTCGACAGCGCCATGAGCCAGCAGAGATACGCTCCGTACGTGCTCTTCTTCGTGTCTCCGAGCCTTTCTTCAAAACGCCGTTCTTCGTCGTGTATCGGCCATTGGAGCGGTGGAAAGGTGGACTTGTCGTTCCTATGAAACTTTTGGTCGAGTGCCCAAGAACAGCACGGAATGGAGAGATACGAGACTCCATTTGACAAAGCAGCCGTGATAGGCAGCCATGGAGAGAGCTCATCGGCGTGATTGCCAATAAGGAAGCACCCTGGAGGGAAGATGTCGCTCGGTGGATAGGATGAAGCTGTAGGATCAATTCCATGAACATGGAGATGTGATTGAGTTTCGGGAGGGTACTGTTTCCATGATTTGCGGGCTCGAATGTCAATACCCTCTCCATGAAACCCTTCCGAAATGAGAATATGGACCAAAAGGCCGGCACCACATCTGAACATGAGCGTACGTCGCACCGCAAGGACAAAGCACTCACCCAATATCTACGAAGCCACCCGGAGGATGACCACTGCTTTCTGGTTCTGAGAGTTCCGGCGGATACATGTCTCTCCACAGTAGAATAAGAAAAGTGGCTATACCGATGTCCTGTAAATTCTCAGTCACACGTCACCGAGTTTTAAGTATGCTTACCTCAAAAACGTTCTTGATAGGGTCTGTACTCTCTGCCCACACAGAGGTGAGATGCTTGTATTTTGCCTTCATCTCTTGGTAGAGATCCTGGTATGGATTTCGGGCAACGACCGTGTCGTGGTGCATCCGTTTCTTGTAGCCCGTATGAGCACCCCACCCGTGCTTGGCTATTGTCTCCAATAATATGGTACACGTCCGTATATCTCGCTCGGTGAGCTGTGCCGACGCGGTGCCATACTCCAGAGGGAGAAGGTCAAGATGAATTGTACCTTGATACTCTACTTCTGTATCTTCATTTGTGCTTGGGAGATAACGAAAGGCGAGGCCCCCGACTTGGGGATGGTAGAACGGCATCTTCATACCCGGGTCGAGATTAGGCTTGAGAATAACGAGCACACAACCTTCACTTCCTCCATCATATAAAAAGCATTGCTGGGTGATCGAAGCATCTCTTTCTGGGACCTTTGCACACAACTTGCGCACGATTGTCTGCCTATGGCGATAGCCGCTGATTTGAGGAGGATCAAAGCAATTGGGTTGTCTCGAAGCTTGACCATCAGCTGGCATGGTGGGAAAACGCCCTGGAGTTGCTCCCTCCTTGGCCGAATCCCACAGTATCTCGGCTCGAAGAATCAATTTCGATGTCAACTCGGGATGTTCAATGAGATTGAGCACAACAGATTCAAACTTGCTGACGAAGATAAGTTTGCAGGCGTGCGATCAAAAGCAGAAGCACGTACACGGTTTGGAGGAAATTGTATCGAACAACGAGCAACTGGCACCCATTTCACATCGAAAGCTTCTTGTTTTATCGCTTCCATGTCTCCTTTGGCCATCTGAGCTCTAAACGAGGTCCTCTCGCTCACTTGGGCCATTGGAGTTCGAGTTCAAAGGGCAGTTATGATATTGCCCTACCGTAAAATACGGTTTAGAGTCTGAACTTCGGTCACGAGCTCAACCACATATGAAATGGCAACGGGAAGCCTGCTTCGACGCCGATTACTTAGCCCGCATGCCCTTGAACCCATTTGTGAGCTTCCGACAATTAGGGACTGTGCGCTACGGGCGTCAATGAACAGATGGAGATGAACACCTGGAGCGCGCGAAAATTTCCGCCGACATTTATTTCATGTGCTGTTGTTGTTGGTCACAAAGCACCCGTTGAGCCCATGCTGGACCCAGGATATGTTCAAAGCATACAAGACCACCATCTTGCCGTGCGCAGAATTTTTCTCATGATACGGAGAACTTTGACTATGCCCCTCAAGAGGCTAAGCCATTCAATGAGGATAATTACCTTGTCCTCTTTGATCCGGAGTTGCAAAGGCAGATGAGAATACGGCTCAAAAATGCATTGGAGCGAGTGTAAAATGCCTCTCGAATAGCCAAAATAGAGACGCTACCGGTCGTTGCTGCACTACAAGCGCAGCTGTCTCTGTGGTTCAATTCGTATACAGCGGAAGACCACCGCTCTCAGACAGGTATTACGGGCTGAATCCACCTCTCAAATGCCGACTTCCGGGTGAAACTAAAGCCCAAATCGATCCCCAGGAAGTCCAGAAGGCTGCCTCGAATTTCGCTGAAGGGTCAACATTCTTCCCGCAATTTGCAACGCTCTTAGACAGGATACATATCTGGATCAAGCAGCTCCATCAAGCATGGGAAACTCCAGAGGGATTCGCCTCCCTCGGACTCAGTTAAACTGACGATATGAAAACGCTGTACAAGGAGCGCACACAGAGCCTTGCCTACGGAAAGGTTCTTTTTCTTCAGTACAACCTGTTTCGCTGACCTTTCTTCTCTGCTATTGTAAGGCGGTAGACGCGTGGCCAAGGGTAGACCATGTTAAACCGTATGTAACTCGTAGCAGGCATATATATCTACTTATCCTGCTTAATCGTCGTTTTTTTTCACTTTCATCTTCCCATTGGCCATCTCAGCTCGAGACGAGGGCCTCTCGTCCGCTTTCGCCATGAGCTCACGGAGCAGCTGTGGTATTGCGTTATAGTATAACATGTTTTGATCTCTAAAAGTCTTATCAACTATATAAGTAACTTGCGTCTCATGTTTGCCAGTCTCGCTTTGGTTCAGGCCTGGGTAGTTAAACCATCTCTAAGGACAGAACAGAAGGAGGAATGCGGTGAGTTTCAATCAGCACCAGGACACGCAGACATTTCGTAGAGAACGGCGTGCCAAGTAAAGGTATCTGAATAAGAGGCAAACATATGCGAGAAAAACGGCGAAACGAGCGAGTTTGGCGAGGCGCCACACTGTCGCATACGAGATTTTCTACGAGTGAATACGCAGCTTTGGAACTCGTGATGATAGATAAATGAGCGGGAAGAACGTGGGGCGATCTCGTACAGATAGAGGCGCCCATCACCAAGTCGTTCTATCCTTAGCCAGATACGGGTTGAAGATGAAGCGTGTTCTGAGATCGAGCCATAGGGAAATGTCAACGTAGATACAGAGGAGAGCTCAATACGATGCGGAAGCCGGCTCGCGACATCTACCATTAACTCGGTGGGAATGCCATCCTGATAGCCGAATGAGCCAGACCAACTTGTAGGAGTGCTCGGGTGCATTCTATACGGATGGCGTACAGCCTCTTATAATCATCCAACGTACTGTATCCGAGATGTGGCAAGTCCTCGGGCTGTAATTCGGAAAGCTGCGAGAAATGGGCGAGCATATGATCGCAGAAGGTCAAAAGTTTGCGTAATAGCTCTACACCCGCAGCTACCTCTTCCACAAGCATCATTACCTCCTCGTACCTCCATTTTACAGGATCAACTTTCCCCCAAAAAAGATTGTGAGCGAAATTTGGAATCCAAGACTGTTCCCTTCGTTTGATAATCTGATGCCTTCTGTCATATCCTCTCACGTACTCTGTGAGCTCTTCTTGTACGCTTGAAAGATGGGGAATGACGTGGGCTCGTAAGAGTTCACCAGCTCGTTGGATCGCCGGAGGCGTCTTCTTTAGGAGAAGATATGTCAAGTTGAGGCAGTTAGGATGGAGCATGTCGCGGACATGATGTTTGTAGGGAGGCGTTGGCCTGAAATTTCGTCGTGGTTGTGGCCATAGAAGTTGCGAGATAAGACAATAGCTTGATCTAGAGACCAAAGTGAGTCGTATATTGCTTTATTTAATGGTCGAAGAGTTGCGCGTAGGTGGTCGGCGTGTCGATCGTCACTCAGGAAAGTAAAAACAATCGAATTGATGCACCCAAAGTGGATTCGAAGGTTGAGCAAAGACGATATCTCTGCTCTTAATGCGAGTACCGGCTGCGCAGACAATAGCACAGAAGTAGGCTCCTAAAGTACGTCAGTCCTGAGAAAATGACAGAGAAGAATATATGCACTGTACCATATGGATTATATCTGTGTTGGTCCGTAAAGTAGAGGTCGGAATCAAGCTTTCAATACCCCCTGCACCCATGATATCCGCAACTTGACTTGATGAATTTGAATAGTATTCATCAGGTAAATCCTTATGAAACCATCTATGGATGACTCTTGGTTGGTCACGCGACGGGCGCATACAAACACGCGCAACCTGCTCCTGGACAGAACAATGTCATCCGTCCCAAGCACAGTTCACCCGCCAAAATCCCTTGGAATTTTTTTTCTGATCCGGAGACACAATGTGAACGGGTTACAACGTGCATTACGCATGATGAGTATCGGGCGACAGAACCAAGAGAATCACAACCATCCAAAGCGCTAATCAAAGCACCCTCAAGGCTGGATCTTGTTCTTCAGGACGTAATGCGAATATGTGGTGGAATAAGGATCCAATTTGATGAGGTGGAGCTGTATGTCGGGACGTCTCATTCGCTTACCATTAACGGCTGGACGTAGTACCTCGGAAACAAAAAATTTGAAAAGGTTTCTTCGAAGAAATAGGATCCGTGCATACGGTTCTCTGCGAACTCTCGGAGACCTTGATCCAAATACTCCATACACTGCGAAAGTCTGCGCCCACTCGCGAAGATTCAGATGCCCCTTCAGATCTATAGAAGACACACACAAAGCTATTGATCAGGCACAACGATCTCTTGCTTCTGCCGGGAGGGCGATCTACAATGTATAGACACTATGCGTCGCGTATGTCGAGGGATCATCTAATAACATACAGCGGATGAACGAGTTTGAAAAATTAGCGCAGAAGGAGCTCAGAAATCATCAGTGGGTCATCGCAAATATTCCGTCTGGCACCGGATTCGTTGGCAGCACAATGGCCCTCCTTACCGCTATTGTGGTATTCTGCTACTCAATCAATGCACCAGCCAGTGACTTCTCTTCGATATCCAACACAGAAGCACTTCAATCAGTGGCTAAAATAATCAGTTCCCGAAACAGCCTCGCTAGCAGTCTTGCATTGTGTAGTACCATTATCACATGGGTTTCTTCTCTGAGGAACCTCCCAGGTATGTCTGCTATGCTCTCCTACATTGATTCTCCTCATTTGCTGTAGTCCTGCACGCAGAAGCGTATACGTAGTCCAATTAGGAGACAACTCGTGAGTCCATCAGTGGGATTATCTCCCGAATCAAACAGTTATTGGATGTATTCGGCACAATCGATCTTCTTTGGGCACATATCTCCGAAAACCAGCTCATAACATGACGACACAAGAAGTTCATGACTTGATCAAGACTCTCGATGACCATGTTGACCAGGTTTCCTTCTACAATGATGGAAGTTTTTCATTCTGACATTGTTATAGTGTCGTGAAATTGCGCATACAATCGAACTCTATGGTCGCACCAAAGTTCCTTTCACGATTCGAACCAACGTTCGACTTGAACAAACGCGTCGCATCTCGCTCCCTGGAGAAAATGAGAAAACCTCAATAGATTATCTCCTGCTTGAGGAAACGGCATCGAATAGTCACTTGCCGGATGACGAAGCTAGATGGGGCAAGCTCCTGGAAACGAAGGAGATTTCGTCTACAGAGTAGGATGTGTAGTCCAGTGGAGAGCTCTCGGGGAATTCAGTCAGAATCGCTCATGATGAAGATCGATTAGACTACGCTATCTTCTGCTTGCTATCAATACATAGCCTAACTTTAATGTCAATTCGACCACTACCACTCTGATGAACAATGCTGTGAGCCCATGGTATCGTCTATTGTGAGCGGATCCTGCACGAGCGGTCTCGTGGGCAAAGACGAGGGCAGCACAAGCATCAGTACAAATGCTCCATCATCAAAAGTTTCTACGTGGTGCAAGGTTGGCAACGCCTTCCACTCTTCGTAAAAGGCGTCAGGGGAGCCTAATAGCCCCTCAGATACCACCGCCGTGTTAGGGACTGATGTATGCTCCTTTAATCTCTCCCTCAGACAAATAGGCTAGGTATATATAAGGCTGACTGAGCGATTTTTGGGCCTGCGGATACCGGGCCAATGAACTTCGACTCGTCCACAACTCACAAATATGCAGCAAAGCACCATCTTTCCCGCCGACTCGACAGAATTCGTTCCAAATAAATACTACAGCGAATATTTCGTATGCGGAACGTACCATTTAGCCAAAAACGACGATACCAGAGAGGACGAGCCATTGGTACAATCATCCAATGGTAAACTGCGGCAAACACGAATTGGGCAATGCTTGTTGTTCCGATGTAACTCGGATGGTACATTGTACGAATCGCTTGGAGTATCGACGCGATCCAGCCCTAATTATGGCGCAGCCAACTATCGCAAACAGTTCAGATTCCCGCTGTACTGGACATGAAGTGGTGTGTTTTCTTGTATTGGTCTACGTCTTGTTGATAAGACATCTGTAGGAGTTTTGAGGAGCGCGAATCCCCTCGACTTGCTATTGCAGAGGCCCAAGGCGTGCTTAGGTTTTATGATCTGGAATCTACCCCGAACGGGGTATGTGTCTACTATCTGTGATCGCCCATTTCTTGACCCGAGTTAGTAGGACTCGCCCGCCCAATTGAAGGAGATCCAACAAGTCCAGGCCACGGAAGCTACCAATTTGTGCTTATCACTTGATTGGTCAAATCGACGCGAGCTGACTGGGTTAGGATGATGACCGGGGCATGTTTGTCTCTAGCTTACTCCTCGTAGATCGAATGGCAAAGTCGTAGTCTCGATCTCAGATGGCTCAATATGTACTGTGGAGCCAGTGGATGGAATGTATGCGGTCACGCGAGAATGGCATGGACATGACCACGAGCCATGGATCGCCGCTTGGAACTATTGGGACACCAATGTCGTCTACACTGGTCTGCAGACTCCTAGAAAGATGCGTTGCCCTACTGACGCGTCAAAGGTGGTGACGATATATGCTGGAAAGGATGGGACATCCGTACAGACTTGACTTTTCCAACATTTGTAAACAAGCGATCGTGAGTAGTCGCCACCCACGAGGCCGCTTCCAACCTCCAAAGATTCGAGGGCGGCGTCACGTCTATCCAAGCGCATCCTCACGTTGAGAACTATGTGGCAGTGGGAAGGTAAGCAGATATTCACACTAGACGTATTTCCGAGTTGACCTGGGTACCCAGCTACGACGAACAAGTTCGACTCTTTGATGTTCGAAAACCGGCGAAACCAGTCACTACGGTACATGTAGGAGGAGGCGCATGGCGCGTCAAGTGGCATCCATCTCCGACACGCAAAACTGACCTCCTCATCGCCTGTATGCACGATGGCTTCAAGGTAGTGAGATTCACAGACGCATGCTTTGGATCATCGAGCTCGGAGGGCGTTTGTGAGGTTATCACGCGCTTTGACAAGCACACCTCGCTCGCTTACGGCGTCGATTGGCAACATTACGGCAAAGGAGAAGAGACATTGGTGGCTAGTTGCTCGTTTTATGATTGTTCACTGATGACTTGGAAAGCGTAAAGGTTGTATTGTCAAAGTCTATAAAACCATTGACAAGCGGTTCAGTTGAATGACCAACTGCAGTCAGTTGAGTGGCTACGGTGTAAGACAGATCGTGATGAAACAAACTAGATGGGTGGAGGATACAAGAAAGGGTGGGTGAACGAGATTACGCCAAGAGTCTGGTGATAATGTTGGCTCTGGTGGCACTGATACGGTCGTGGATGGACTGGATGTCCGCCTCGCTAACGTCGGCAATATCCGCCATGAGATATGCAATGTCTCCCTTGGAATCGGAGAATTGCTTTTCTACATTGTGCGACGCCAGAATCTCGTTGACCTGGCGCAGCACACCGGGTTGGTTTGCATGCACATGGCACACACGTACAAAGTTTTTCTCATCTGCGGCAATGGCTCGCAAGTCGACTTCGGGAAAGTTGACGGCACCAATGGTCGATCCATAGTTGAGATAACGGCTGAGTGCTTGTGAAACTTCTTCGCCAATCATTTGCTGAGCCTCCTCTGTCGAGCCACCGATATGTGGGGTGAGGATGACGTTGGGGAGAGAAGTCAGGGCGGAGCACCAGCTGTTGAGCTGGTCGTTGAAATGCGGGCCGTTGGCTCCTGGTTCAGAGGGGAAGACGTCGATGGCTGCTCCAGCGAGTTGACCGCTCTTGAGAGCACTGATGAGAGCTGGAATGTCGACGACTTTGCCACGCGAATTGTTGATGAGATAGGAACCCCTTTTCATTGCGGCGAGTTCCTTTGAGCTGATCATGCCGGTCGTTTCCGGAAGTTCGGGGACATGAAGGGTCACAAAGTCTGACTCGCTAAGGAGCTTTTCCAGCGTCTCCACTTGACGAGCAGAACCCAGTGGCATGATATTGATGACGTCGTAGAATAAGACACGCATGCCAAATGCCTCTGCGAGTACAGAGAGTTGCGAACCAATGTGACCGTAGCCGATGATTCCCAATGTTTTGCCGCGAACCTCCCAGCAGCCCTTGGAGACTTTGTTCCAGACCCCATCGTGCATCTCTCGGCTGCGATCGCCGAGTTGACGGGAGAGAGAGACGATTTCTGCAATGACGAGTTCGGCGACAGAGCGCGAGTTGGAGAATGGAGAGTTGAAGACGGGAATACCAGCCTTTGCGGCCGTCAAGAGGTCTACTTGGTTGGTGCCGATGCAGAAACAGCCGATGCACAAGAGCTGGGTGGCATTTGTCAGGGGGGCTTTGGAGATACCAAGTTGAACATACCTTGGAGGCCGCTTTGATGACCCTTTCGGTAATCTTTGTCTTTGAACGGATGCCGATGGCATGGTACTGGCCAATCTTTTGAACGAGCTCGTCTTCTGACCAAGCCTTTGGAAACCAATCGACCTGGAAGCCCTGTGACTTGAAATGGGCGACGGCACCCTGGCTGATATTCTCGAGCAAGAGGAGGCGGATCTCTGTGGTTGCAAATGGGTGGAGGACCTTTGAGGGCCTGATGGTGCTGGCGGATGAGCCAGAGAGAGAGTTTTGGCGGAAAATGTTGTGTAGATTGCTTGAAGTGGTTGGAGAGATGGAAACAGCTACAGAACGCGGGGAATCAGTGGGCGTGTTGAGGAGCGAATGCTGCTGCGAGGCGGGGGTGAAGCCGTGGATGGCGACGCGCTTGGACATGATGGGAATAAAGTAACAAGGTAAATACCGTGAGGGTAAGACATTTTCTTATATGTTTTATTCTAGGACCAGCTCGGCTATGGGATGGCGTGATGGTCACAGTCAGACTCCGTTTGGCCCGATTACGCTTGTCGCCAACTACTGATGGGCCTCTACCTCCTCGACTATGGCGCCGGAAACGTCGCATCCCTCGCAAACTCTCTAAAGAAACTCGGTCATGAATTTACATGGATTGCCAGTCCAGACGACTTTGCAAAGGCAGATGTGAGTGGCATCCCTCGAGTGCAGCCGCTTCATCTAAATCTACAATGCAGAAACTCATATTCCCAGGTGTCGGTGCATTCAAACATGCAATGGACAATTTACAGTCAAAGGGACTCTTGGAGCCTCTCCGAGACTATCTCGCATCAGGTCGCCCTTACTTTGGCATCTGCATCGGCATGCAAGTCCTTTTTGCCGCCTCTATGGAGCATGCCGAAGACACTGGCCCCGTTCTAGGCCTTTCGGTCATTCCTGCCGCTATTCAACGTTTTACCACCAGCGATCACAAAGCCGTCCCACATATGGGATGGAACAGGGCCGAGCGGTTACGTCCAAGGGAGACAGACGACGACATTGATATTGGAGACGAGCTATCCTACTATTTTGTACACTCGTACCGTGCAGCCTACGACGCACACTCTCCACTCGGCGAATGGGCATACACAACAACGCAGTATGGGCAAGAAGTATTCGTCTCTTCGGTCAACCAAGGCAATATCATTTGCAGTCCAATTTCATCCAGAAAAGTCTGGACCAGCTGGCCTCCGTCTTACTCGACTCTTGGGTACGCTCCCCTATCCGCCCTCCGACCGCATCGTTTGCACCAAAACCGACCATCGAGCGACCACCACGAGCGAGAGATGGTCTAGCCAAGCGTGTAATTGCATGCATGGACGTCCGTACAAACGACGACGGCGATCTCGTCGTCACAAAGGGCGATCAATACGACGTACGAGAAAAAGTCACCACCGCAGCCAACGACCTCACGACCACAAAGACTGGAGGTGCCGTACGAAATCTAGGCAAACCCGTCGCACTCGCTGCAAAGTACTTTTCAGAAGGTGCCGACGAGATTTGCTTCCTTAACATTACCTCTTTCCGTTCCTCACCTCTTCTCGACCAACCCATGCTTGCAGTCGTGCGTGCAGCTGCAAACGAAGTCTTTGTCCCTCTGACGATTGGAGGCGGGATCAAAGATACCGTCGACCCGGACGGTACGCCACATACTGCGCTCGAAGTCGCTGGTGCCTATTTCCGTGAGGGTGCGGACAAGGTGTCAATTGGAAGCGAGGCCGTGTATAATGTGGAAGCACTCCTGCGCGACGGCAAGCCAACTGGAAAGACGGGGATTGAGACTATTTCGGCTGCCTATGGAAGTCAGGCCGTTGTTGTCTCTATCGATCCTCGGAGAGTATATGTCGACCCTACGACGTATGATGGGCCGTACAAGCAAGAGTTAGTCTACGGAAAGGATGCAGAGGAGGGCAAAGCCTGGTGGTATCAATGCACCGTCTCTGGCGGGAGAGAAAATAGACCCCTGTCAGTTGTTCAACTGGCAAAAGGTGTAGAGAGACTTGGAGCAGGAGAGCTCTTGATCAATAGCATCGACCGTGATGGGACCGGCAAGGGATTCGACCTCGATCTCATCAATCTCGTCAAAAACGCCGTCAGTATCCCCGTCGTGGCGAGCAGCGGTGCAGGAAGCGAAACACATTTCGTCGAGGTATTCAAAGGCACAAAGGCCGAAGCTGCGCTCGCTGCTGGAATCTTTCACAGAGGCGAAGTCGGGATTGGGGCTGTCAAAGAGACGATGACCAAACATGATCTCACAACTAGACGGGTGTAAAGAGTGACCAGTATATATATAGCGGAGGTATAGAATATGTCTTTGGACAGATGGACGAGATTAGAAAGAAAGGCTCATGAGGGCTGCCATGAATAGGAGAGAACCAACCGAGGCGGAGATGGTCTTGCTCGCCGACGATGGCGTCGACGTACTGGTACTGCCACCCCGGGAGACCGACGTCGCGCGCGGTGGTGTCGTATGTGATCCAGTGTTAGTGGCAGACGGCGCACCAAAGATATTCGCGAGCTCGGTACTATTTTGAAGCAATGTTGTATCGTCTCCGAATATTTTAATTGCAGCAATTTCGACTGGACCGACGTTATTAGAAACACAGAACGAGTGGTGAATCCACTCACAATATGCATCGTGGTAGTTATCAGGTAGATGCACGTAGGAATTGTAGCAATCGTTGGGCAAAGACGGGGTACATCCAGTCGATTCCAAGACACCTTTCGCCCCTAGGAAGAATGAGAACCCGCGGTTCATAGAGCCACCAAACTTACAATCACCACATGCCGTGACATCAATGACAAGATGTTGCGGGTACAAGGCCTTGGAGATGTCACAAGTAGAGGAACTTGGATAGTTGGCGACAGGCTTGCCCAATGCTGCGGTATCGAGCGTCTCCGGTGTACCTTTGAGTGCGTCAGGGACATTTGCCCGAGGGAAGAACCAGATATTGAGGGCCTGCGCTCCGTATTCTGCGACCCAGACACCACCTCCGCTCTCAGCTAAAGTTGAATAGCTTTGAGGTTGTGTGTCCAGTACTGTACACCCTTGTGGGTTGATGGCTTTGCCGTCTGGACCAAACGTCACTTGGCAATCAGCATTTCCGGCATTACCAGATTGATTTGGATTTGACGTTGACATGGTGCAGGAGATGTCGGTGTGGAGGGCCATCCTGACATCACCGTAAGCCACAGACGGAATGAAGAGAGTGAGCATACTGGTTTGTAGTCATCTTGTTGACGGCTTCCATGATATCTACCTGCAGGCCAATAAGGACGGGATTGAGCAGGTGTGCGACTTACCTCTCCTCCCTTTGGCCAATCATTCACGAAAATGGCACTCTTGGACCATAAACTGCCCCCTTTCCCAGTATTAGCTCGATATCACGTCCATCGGTGCTGCCTACTCACATACCGAGCAACCGGTGGGAACATGAACCACGTCAAAGACGACGACCGCGTTGGTGCTGTTGAAGATTTGCTTGCCCTCTATGCGGATAGAATTCCGCTTCATATTATCTCCCAAGCCAGTGAAATCATCCATTCGGATCTGCACGTTGCCATTTTCGGTCAGCCGCGTCAAATTACCGGCTTGAGCTTGGGGCAGGTAGATGATATCGCCTACAATATCTGAGAATATTTCTCATCTCCAATCTTCTAGGTCCCATACCATTCGTCCAGTGATCCCATCCATCAGCAAAAGTCCACGAGTCGAAAAAGGAGCTTCCAGAGTACGTTTGCACAAGATTGTACCCACGCACGGTCTGAGAGAGGATAAACGCGTAAAGACAGGCAGTTGATATCTTGGGCATCGTGAAGGATTGGATGTGGCAACAGCGTCTTCGGTGTCAGCGCAACAGACTTATATACCTAAGCCCCATCAGCCGGCGAGCGGTCTAGCCCGCAAGTATATGGACGTGCTCGATTCTTTTTTATTGTTCAGTAATAACGCTACAAAGGGTGCGTGGGAATAGCCCGCTAACGCCGAGGCGCATGCGTCCCTATCCGACCCTTGCCTCTAGCTTCGTTGCATGCTCCTGACTAAGGAGCGGTCAGGGACTTGTCCACGAAGCGGCAGAAAAGAGTCATACCTAACCCCCATCAAGCGCTCACGCATTTCTCCATCGCCTTACTAGAGAAATATCGTACATCCGCATCGTTATCCGCGTGTAATTGCTGGAAGAGTCGGCAAAATCGTCGTTTTTGTGACTTCTTGACCTTCAGGACTGGCGACCATGACCGTCGTAATGACATCGAGCGTTTTTGCCACATTGAAACGGATGTTCGGGATTGGATCGGCGGCCAATCGAATGACTGTGTCCAGAACATCGTCGCGAAGAACCTGCACATTCAGACTAGGCGAAATGGCCTATGGATCATTAGCAACTGAATCGGTTGGGACCATCAAATCTCACCGATATGGCAAATATAGTAGTCATCCGATAGAGATAATTGGGGTGAGTCGCCATTGCCACCACGCGGGGTACAATGGCCTGCCGCGCCCACTCGACTCCAAAGACATCGATGAGCTTCTTGAGGTTCACGGTAGCCGCTTCACGGATCGAGAAGACAATATCACCCAGCCACGACATACACAGGTTCGACAATTGCTCGTCGAAAAAGGCCATGCCCAACTGCTGGGCGAGAAGGGGAATGTACTCGATAATAGCCTGGCGGACTCGCCATTGCTTGTCGCTGGCAAGTTCGACGATGGCCGGGAGAAGCGATTGTGAGAGGAGCTCGATACCAATAACTACAATCGGTTAGTGACTTCCCGAATTGGGCTATTTCACACTTGCCATTGTTAACTTGCTCCAGTTTGCTGATGATATTGAGGCGGACATCGGGGAACTCGTCCTTGAGAAGATGAAGGAAAAGAGGAAGGAGGTGCTCAATGGTCGCCTCCTTTCCAAGGAGAGGGGCCAATCCACTGATGTGGGTACCCAACGCGGCGCGCACGTGTTGGGAGGCATCGGTGGAGAGATCCCGTACGCATGGTAGGATCTGGTTGAGGATGGTGTCTCGATCGACAAGTTTCGAGAAGCCTGGTTGATTGTCGGTCTCTGTTACCGATTTTGAGTGCACATACCTGGGATCCCAGCAGCACCCGCTGTTCGGACTTCCGCTTCATTGTCCTTCAACAGGCTCACGAAAGCGGTGACCAACTCCTCCTTTACTAGGTCCGGACCGACCGCATTGGCAAGCTGGAAGATTGTCAGAGAACGCCTCTGAACAAAATACAAGCACGTACATCGACAAAGTTATTGGACACCATGTACCGGACGCGCCAGCTTTTATCGGTGAGACTTTGCCTTATCTGTGTGAGCAAGTGATCCTTCACTTCTGCTGGTGTCAATTGCTGTGCAATGGCGATCAAGTCTTGGATGGTGAGGAGGCGGACCGAGTCTTGATCGTCCATCGCAAGTCGGCGATAGATCGGGAGCGCCTCTGTAATGACGTGCTCTTTTTTCATCGTCTTTACAAGGGGCTGGTCGAGAAATATTAAAACTGAGGTCCAAAAAAAAAATTAGCAAGATACTGACCCCGAGCCACTTGGCGGCTGCCCTCCTAACCATAGGGGTATCATCCGAGCCCAATTTTGCAAATGATTTGCGGAGGTCTTCCTGAGTGGCAGCGGTCGCCTTTGGATAAACAGGCGAGAACAGCGCGGCGGATGAAGTACGAGATGTGAACCAGTCGCCGTGGCAGAGTCGAAACACGAGCGGGATATAATGTTGTTCGATTTGGGACGCAGATAGGATGCCGCAGATTGTCGTGATGGATTCCGCTGCCTGAACGCATGCATCAATGCCTGGCCAAATTGGGTATGTGTAGCCTTACTTTATCTCTCACGAGAGTTTCTTCCACTTCTGCCAACGAGGCCAGGGGTGCGAGCAGTAGATGGGCATGCTCGGGTCCACCAATGTATTCGTCAAATCCTTTGCCCAGCTCCTCCGCCAGGGCCAGCAGAACCTCGTCCTCGTCATCGAGATTGTCTTGTAAGAACGGAATCAGGTCTTCTCTGGCTCGTACGGGGCCCAGCGCCAGGGCGATTGTGGAGAGACGATGGATGGCGTTTAGGCGCAACTGGGTATCATCGCTCTTGAGCTCATCCATAAGGATGGCAATCGGATAGAGCTCTTCTGCCGGTGTTGGATCCATTCTGAGAGTACTTTGGAACTAATCAGCCACGAGACTTCATCGTTTCCGCATTTGGTGTGCAGAGAGCATACGTACGAAAACTAGCTGTTTTTAAATCGTAACTTGTAGCAGATAACTGTGTAAGAGCGGCGAGGTTGAGGCAACGAGGACGGCGTACTGGTTAACTCCCCAGCGATCCTGTTGGCGGTGGGGGCGAGGTGCAAGCAAATGAGTCGTTCGTCTGTATCCAAGATCAGCGGATAGTTCACGAAGTTTGCTCGCCGCGGTTGAGCCTTACCTCTATGTGGACGAGAGCAAGCAGACTTTGTTTTGCAACCCACACTTGTCCTTGACCATCTCCGAACGCCTGTGTTCAAAGTCCATTGGACATCTCTCACAGCCAACTAGGAGTCGTCGAAAAGGTACTAGTGCTTCAGGAAGAGTCTAGTTGGGGCTTGCGACACTACGCCAGTGCCTCCAGCAGGTTAGAGCACGGTTCACGGTGTGTCGCGTTGGTTTGACGCGTTTTACTTTGCTAAACAGCACTTAAGACATACATGAGTCAAGGTTTTGCGTTTATTTGAGAATATAGAGTCTTTTTGTCTCAGATTTCTTCGTGGACAGAGTATTATCAAGAGGGCGCGGATGACGGGTACTACCCATTCGCTGAAGGAGACGAAGAGGGGGATCCAGACAAGATCACTCAGGAAGACTGTTGGACGGTCATCGCCGCTTTCTTTGAGAAACGAGGGCTTGTTCGGCAACAGCTGGATTCCTTCAATGAGTTTATCAACAATACGATACAGGATATCGTAGAAGACTCTGGTGATTTGAATCTAGAGCAACACGAACAACATACTGGGGCTGAGACTGATAAATCGGTTTGTCATCAAACAGCTGCCACGCTGGGTTCTAACACCTATTAGACGCGACACAAAATCAAGTTTGGTCAAGTCTATCTTACCAGACCGAGTGTAACAGAGAAAGATGGACAAGTGTCGCCTCTCTTCCCTCAGGAAGCTCGCCTTCGGAACCTCACCTATTCGGCTACGCTCATGGTTGAAATTGTGGAAGAGAAACAAGAGCAAGTACCCAACGACGAAGGTGGCTGGGACTGGGAGCGTATCCCAGGCTCGATCCCCGGCTTCAATCGACTGCCACTCGCCAAGGTTTGCGGCTCTCTATAACTGAACTCCGAGGTGTTAACAGAAGACAGATTCCAATCATGTTGCGTTCGGACATCTGTGCATTGTACACAATCCCTGACCCAGAGAAATATGACCTCAACGAGTGTCCCGACGACCCAGGAGGATATTTTATTATCAGCGGTCAGGAAAAGGTGCTAATCGCACAAGAGCGTATGGCTGGGAATCACGTCTACGTCTTCGCCAAAGGCCAACCCTCTCCAATTTCATTCCTGGCCGAGATACGGAGCGTTCCCGAACGTGGTGGCAAGCTCCTGAGCTCGTTCCAAGTCAAGCTTTTCCACAAAGGTATTGAGAAACAGGTTCGCTTTACTTTAACTCTGTCAGTAACCCTGAAATTCCTGACATCTCTATAGAGCGGCGGTGCTATTCGCGCCAGTGTTCCGTATATCAAGACAGACGTCCCTATTTGGATTCTTTTCCGTGCTATGGGAGTTCTGGCCGACCGCGACATTCTTGAACATATTTGTTACGATGGCCACGACGATCAAATGTTGGAGATGCTGAAGCCTTGTATCGACGAGGGCTTTGTCGTGCAGCATCGCGAGGTTCGTCGGATCCCGTTATTTAAATATCAAGATCTGACTTTTGGCAGATTGCTCTCGATTTTATTGGCCGACGAGGCAACACTCCTACCATATCTCGCGAGAGGCGTATTCGCTATGCCCAAGAAATTATTCAGAAAGAGTTGCTGCCTCACATCTCCATGGAGGAAGGGAACGAAGCCCGAAAAGCATACTTCGTGGGCTACATGATACACCGTCTTTTGCTAGCTGCCCTCGATAGAAGAGAAATCGACGATCGAGACCACTTTGGCAAGAAGCGACTTGATTTGGCAGGACCCCTGCTCTCGACTTTGTTCCGCATGCTCTTCCGCAAGGTAGTAAAGGATGTGTATCGTTATCTCCAAAAGGTAAACCAGTTATATTTACATGAAATCAGCGCTGATGTTTTTTGATAGTGTGTGGAAAGCGGAAAAGCGTTCGACGTTGGCAGAGCCATCAAGCTGGGTACCATTTCCAATGGTCTCAAGTACTCACTGGCCACTGGTAACTGGGGCGATCAACAGAATGCCATGTCGTCAAAGGCCGGTGTCTCTCAGGTACTCAACCGGTACACCTACGCATCCACTCTTTCCCATCTACGACGGACGAATACTCCTCTGGGTCGAGAGGGAAAGATCGCCAAACCTCGACAACTCCATAATACGCATTGGGGTATGGTCTGCCCTGCAGAAACGCCGGAGGGTCAGGCTTGTGGTCTCGTTAAGAACCTCTCCCTCATGGCATGTATCTCAGTGGGGTCCTATTCCGCACCTGTTGGCGAGTTTTTGGATGAGTGGGGCATGGAGGCTCTAGAGGAGAACGCACAGTCCGATCGGCCTTCTACCAAAGTCTTCCTGAACGGCGTTTGGATGGGTGTTCATCGTGAACCTACGCAACTCCTTAATACTCTCAAGCATCTGCGGCGTACAGAGGCCATCCACCCGGAGGTCTCCGTGGTACGAGACATTCGAGAAAAGGAACTGCGCATCTACACAGATTCAGGCCGCGTGTGTAGGCCACTGTTCGTGGTGGAGAAGGATAAACTGCTCATTACACCTGAGCAAGTTGCGCGCCTCCGTGATGAGAAGGATGATCCTGCAGGCTATCGATGGGATAACCTATTTAAGGATGGTGTGGTCGAACTGCTGGACGCGGAAGAAGAAGAAACAGTGATGATCTGCATGTCCCCAGAGGATCTAGACGCGAGATCAAGCGGCCAGGTTTATCACACTGAGGACATGTACGATCCCTCGTCAAGAGTCAAGACTATCATCAAGGCAGGCTCCTACAGTCACTGCGAGATTCATCCTAGCATGATTCTCGGGGTCTGTGCGAGTATCGTCCCATTCCCAGATCATAATCAGGTATGATTCCTCATCCGATCACAACAAATCTCATCTGCTCTCACAGTCGCCACGTAATACCTATCAATCTGCGATGGGCAAGCAAGCGATGGGTATTTCGCTCTCCAATTTTCTCGTTCGTATGGATACAATGGCGAATATCTTGTACTATCCCCAAAAGCCGTTGGCGACAACCCGAGCTTTGGAATGGCTCAAATTCCGTGATCTTCCAGCCGGACAAAATGCGATCGTCGCGATTCTCTGCTACTCTGGATACAACCAAGAGGATTCTGTCATCATGAATCAGTCTTCTATTGACCGTGGACTCTTCCGTAGTATCTATTACCGAAGCTACATGGATATGGAGAAGACTGCAGGTCAGATCACGCTGGAGGAATTTGAGAAGCCCTCTCGCGACACGACTCTTCGTATGAAGCACGGAAACTATGACAAATTAGATGACGACGGCCTTATCGCACCAGGCATGAACGTCATTGGTGAAGACATCATTATCGGGAAGACGGCGCCGTTGCCTCCAGACAGTCAAGAACTGGGTCAACGAACAGATCGACATACCCGTCGCGACGTCTCAACTCCCCTCAAGAGCACAGAGAGCGGCATCATCGATCACGTTTTGATCACGGTTGATGGCGAAGGGTCCAAGTTTGTCAAGATCCGGGTTCGCTCGACACGTATTCCCCAAGTCGGCGATAAATTCGCTTCGCGTCATGGTCAAAAAGGAACGATTGGTATCCTTTATCGACAAGAAGATATGCCATTCAGTGCGGACGGCATCGTCCCTGACCTCATCATCAATCCTCACGCCATTCCGTCTCGTATGACCATCGGTCACTTGGTCGAATGTCTCCTATCCAAGGTGGCTACTCTCAACGGACAGGAAGGCGACGCCACTCCATTCACAGACTTGACGGTTGAGCAGGTTTCGCATGCGCTGCGTGCGGCTGGCTACCAATCCCGTGGCCTGGAAGTGATGTATCATGGGCACACAGGCAAGAAGCTGCAAGCGCAAGTTTATCTGGGACCGACCTACTACCAGCGTCTCAAGCACATGGTGGAGGATAAGATTCACTCTCGGGCTCGTGGACCTGTCCAGATTCTTACCCGACAACCTGTGGAAGGTCGAAGCCGCGATGGAGGTTTGCGTTTCGGAGAGATGGAAGCAAGTCAAAACTCCCTGATCGTATTCGAATTCTGACCTGGCTTAGCGCGATTGCATGATTTCGCATGGTATTGCCGCCTTCCTCAAAGAACGATTATTCGATGCCAGTGATGCTTATCGTTTGCACGTCTGTGACATGTAAGCTTTCTGACTGCGATATTGCACCACGTATTGATTCAAAACAAGCTGCGGCCTGACAGCGATTGCAAATTTGGTTCGTATCCATCTTTGAACTCGATTATTTCTCTGATTTCCCCGCAGAAAAAGCAGTCGTTTGAGTGCCGGTCGTGCAAGAACAAGACCGCGGTATCCCAGCTTTATATCCTTACGCAGCGAAACTCCTGATACAGGTATAATCACTCTCATGAATGATTCATTTACTTATATTTGCTGTACAGGAACTACAAGCTATGAATATTGCGGCACGGCTATACGCTACCAGCACAGGGCGAATTCGAGATGTTTGATTGGTCGACTTTGCTCGTATCTACCTTGAATATAGGAATTTACTCGATAAATTCGCTTAGAATGAGGTATCAACCAGCTTCGTCATTAGAGGGCTTTGGGCCGTTTTCCATCCCCCTTAAGGCCGACCACACGAAGGCTTGATTTCTGGCAGATAAAATGACTGGCGCATATCTCGCGACGACGGCGTACTCGATGGAACAGTCACCCCTTTGCTGGGTTCCAGCCGGTCCAAATGGAAAGCTGGGAAACCCCAGCCAATAATGTGAGCGACTGTTGTAAGAGATATTACGACTGAATTCTAATACTTTTCCTTCAGCTAGCTGACATCGCTTCCACTACAAACACTGGACGGTCAGTCCTATTTCTATCACCCGCTTCACCACTCCATACACGGAACTCATCCTCAAGGTATGAAATATAGAACCACCGCTTATTTCTGCCGAGAATATGCTGAGTTCTATCATAATTGAGTGCCGTATGCGCCCGCTCACCCGTCCGAACGATACCGGGTGGACAACACGAGGAACCAGCGGCCCAAAAGTCTCTCCAGAAGGGTTTCCAGTGCGCCTTGGATGGATTTCACGCCACGCTACAGGCAATCTGGGAAGAGATTGAGAAGTTCGATTCGAACTTCGAGGCTCAAACGACCGGCTCCTGGACTACCACGCTTTGTCGTAAGGCCAAGTTGAGATTTGTATGGGACGGAAGATTATGGTGGGCTACCTCGAGCAACTCATCAAAGGACACAGCGTCCTTCAATTCCTCCTTCACGCGTACTCTTTGTGAGTCCAACTTTGTGACACTACGCCCTCTGATAGGAGTCAAGAGAGTCGTTGGATCAAATGCGTCGGATTCTAGACGAGATTAAACCTAATCTCACGAAGGTCAAGGAAGATACGGAATCTTTCAACTCAGAGTCGATCCGTTACGGAGAAGGCCCTTCCTCCTCATCCCGACGCGGCTTTAGATTCCAGTTTCGACAATCATCTTGGGCTACATGGACCACCTCGAACCCCTCGAAGGAACGCACCCTTTACCTTGATCACATTGTCAGGTACGAGTGGTCGTCTGAACTCGCGCAACCGCATTGGAGACTCGGATAATTTCTCGTCTCACGGCGCATTTGAATTTCCGTCGAGATCTTAGACAGGTCCTAGTGGTCCCATGGCTGCTATGTCCGCCATCTTCGCATTTGCCCTATTAGACACTCAACCCCGGCTTGTCGCAAGAGCTCCCAGCTCCTTTCTCTTGCGAAAAGATGGGTCAGGCAACCTACTACACCGTCGATGGCGAGAGACAGCTAGCCATCCAAAAGCTCAGGGACATGGCTGGACCATCCCATGTCACTACCGTCAAAAAAAAACAATAGAGAAGCATGAGGTTTCTATTGTTGTATCTTGGTTCGATCAAATCCGTTCCTTTGGTTCAGGAGATCACTTCCACATAGCGTTCATCGCCCAGGCTTTAATTCACCTTTATGCCTGTACCATCGCCGTTGTTCTGAAGTCTGGAAAGCGGTTTGAACATGCTCCGGAGATGCTAGAGATTACTATAGAGGGTGGTTATGCTGCCTTGGGAGCGCTGGATCTCTGGAAGATTTCGTATGCCGAGGAGAGGGGGACTTGTTGAAAGTGTGTACATAGACTAGAAGGTGATGATGATAAGATGTGGGCCATTCGTTATCTGATAACGTTTCTTTGTCTTCTGCTTCGTCAGCTGTGACCAGAGGGGTTCCCAACCTTGGTCCCGCATTTTTTTCGACGGCTCTCCTCCACATCTTATCTCGCAGATAGAGTTGTGCCAACACACTCGATATTGTCGTAGAAATTCACCAGACTTGAAATACGGAGGATGAACGAAGCAGCGGTGCCCTGTCGAGCATGTACGACAGCATTCAACGCGGTTCAGGCCGAGTGTGCAGAGTGTTTGCAGCAAGATGGGAACATATCACTTACTTCATCTCCTGGAAGCTCAGGAATTCAGTCCTCAGTATGCACCGAGCGCTGTGTCGTCGTCGAATGCCACAACGCCGAGCACGTTGTGAATGGCAGGGTCATCGATGACGCCCAAACTACCTGTGTCAGCACGGGATGTGATACATCTTGTACTCAGGCATCTCAATCTGGCACTACGTCCTGGCTCTGCGATCTCCCAGACTGCAGCCTGGAGGAGTTGGTGCGTGGCGGCTATTCCACTTTGGGTGTATAGATACTGAAATGATGGCTCAATCAGCTTCAGTGCTGCTCGGATGATTATTCTGCGACTTGTGCAGGCTCATGCGAGCCGCCTCCCCTGGCGTCTATTCAGCAGTGGTCTCCGTGGCAGGCGCCTGGCGTAGGCCATTTGCAGGGCCAAGCTTCGCATACTCATTTTCACCCCCAAATACATGCACAAGGTCATAATTCTCAACTTCCATACGACATTTCAGGCCACGCAGCCATCTGTATGTGGGCTGATTGCCATCGAGAGTTTCCAGATCAAGCATCCCTTCTCTCACACATACAGCTTGAGCACCTTGGCATTTCTACGACAGATCTCAATGTGCATAGTACACCAGGACATGCGCAATTCGACTCGCGGATACAACCAACGCTCGTCCAACAGCAGCATCAATCAGAGAATTACTTGGAGAGCACGAATCGACTCATGGAGTGTCTTTGGGACGATTGTGCTACCAGCCTTCCAATATCTCAAGAATGTAACAACTGTACAATTTCCAACAATCACACCCATGCTTGGGACGCCGATGCGATTCTCCACCATCTCCTGTCTGCCCATATTCATGAACCAGAATCTCAGCAAGTTCACTTCCCATCCACGTTGCACTCTCATTCGTCGCTCTATGCCTCGCTAGATTCCAAACTTCAGGAAATGCATGTGGAGACCACAGTAAGCGTGTTCATGTCAGACTTTAATCAATCTAAATATGTGTAGACGACGGCAAGCTCCCCTACATTGGAGGAAAACAGCCATGACCTATGTGATCACGGTCCCTGTCCCTGCGAATGGGAGGGCTGCACTGCGACGTTCCTGTCGTGTGACGAATTGACAACCCACATCACCGAAGTTCACGTCGGGCATGGCAAGAGTTCGTACGGGTGTCACTGGAAAGGGTGTGATCGCCATGGAGAATTGGCGTTTTCGAGTAAGCAAAAGGTTTTGCGGCACATTCAGGTTCGGTTTCATCATTAGCTCCTGGAATTTGGCTTACTCGTGGTCATAGAAACATAGCGGGTACAAACCCCATGTCTGCTCAGTATGTCAAGAACGCTTCGCAGAAGCGACGTCGCTACAACAGCACATGCGACGGCACACCCATGAGAGTGAGTTTTTCAGAATCCGCATATCCTGTATTCACACTGGATGTAGAGCCATACGTGTGCGACTTTCCTGGCTGCGGAAAGGCATTTTCTATCCCGGGAGGCTTGCGAATTCACAAGCGAGCACACTCTGGAGAACGTCCATTCAAGTGCCCTGAACCAGGATGCGATCGCGCATTTGCAGAGAGCTCTAATTTGGCAAAACACGTAAGTCCAAGGGCATGCCAATGCCCCCCTGTTGTCTTACCAGTTGTTAGATGCGTATACATACGGGTCTCAAGCCATTCCATTGCACACATCCCGGATGCGGCAAGTCATTTGGAAGAAAGGATCAGCTGCTGCGCCATACGGCGACGCATCGCTCCAAGGGAGTAACAAACGAAAGTACGGCGTAGATTGGTTTATATTCAAATATGCTCTTAGTCCACCACTCGCTTAGTGCTCTACAATCAACGACCCAGAAGAAAAATCTCTGTAATTACACACAATCCCTAAAGACTTTAACCACTATAATCCAGTTAATCTTCAATAGAGCAGCCTACCTCTTCATGTCAGAACTGGACGAAGCATCTCGACATTCACGGGAATTTTATACCCACTCTTTCGATGAATTTTGCGGCAAAAACTTACCAACAACCATAACAAATGCCCATGTCCGTATCTTACTCGATCGAGATTTCCAGTACAATTCTTCGACACAAGTGATCCCCCTCCTGCCAAACGTCCAGGAGGAGTTGATGGCATTTGTAGAGGGCTATAGTGAACGCGAACACCTTATTGAGGAACGGAAGGAATCGTGGCTCCCAATTTACGTTCAACCGCTCATATAGGGGGCAATTGAGCCGGTTCGATGGAATATTACGGAGGTTAGGGCACTCCCTAGAGATGTGCGTGATGGAGGGGCGCTTTTATCAAATTGCCGGACTTTTGCAACCGTATGCATGCCCATTTCAGCGGCTGGCACGATTGAGCCCCGACAGTCTACCTAGTCTTGGGTACTCCAGTGGTGACGACTACAAAAGACTGTACTCAAGTCGGTTAGAGTGTGCCGCCTGGCTTTCCGAGATGCACAACATGTATTCGCAGATGGAGAGGCCATTCCTTCGTGGAAGATCCGATTAGTACTGTAATTATGTATACTACTTGCCTCTTAGTGCTGACTAGTTCTACCCGTTTTCTAGGGAGAATACGTGTGATGGTCCATGGGCTCAGGTGTTATTCGCAGCCACAATTTCACCATTTATGACAACCATAAGCATCGCCGAATTGATCCAAATGACAGAATCAGTACAGAAGGCCATTCCATGAGTCAGCATCTAAGTAAACGTGATCACTAAATTATATTGTATCTTGCACCAATACTACAGGAAACTAGTGGAGACTAGAGGAGTTTGCTTTCGCTCTGGCCATGGACTCTAGTTCGCGCATCTGACCACTCTTGAGGCACATGTCACGGAAGACTCCTCCCTCCTTCTGGATGAGTTTCCAGGGAGTGTCAAACTCCACGATGCGCCCCTTGTCCAGAACAATCTACACCCGTAGGTAAGTTGAAGTCAAACTAGCAGCATAGTCACCCACTAATCGATCATAGTCAATGACAGTACGGATCCTATGTGCTACAGTAAGGAGACATGATGAGTTGAATTCCTCTCGGACGGTAGCCTGTATTTTTGCGTCGGTCTCAAAGTCAATACTATCCACTGGTCAGTCCGTATAACATTGAATAAGAAAGACATGCCTTGAAGTTGCCTCATCCAGAATGACGACGGAATTCCTTCTCAATAGTGCTCTCGCCATCGAGATCAACTGCCTCTGCCCGTTCGAAAAGTTCGCTCCCCCAGGGGCGACTTGAGTATCCAGCGTCAATAGAGGCGCGTCACTTGTCGTACCAGCACGGCTAGCCATTCCTGACTCGCCTGCCAATCGTGTGTTCATTCGTTGACGCGATGAACCTGCGGCATTGAATATCGCGCTCACAGCCGGGTCAATCGACCTGGACGAATCCTCTTTCCGCAGTGGTGTGTCAATACCAGAGTTGGGATATCGCATCAAGCCCGCAAAGTGGACTCCTTGCGGGCGAGAAATAGGGCTGAGCGCTCCTGTAGGAGAGACGGCGCCTGACTCTGGACCTCCAGCAAACCGGAAGTTTGTCAAATCGCTCTCTGTACGCTTGTGACCATGCGTATAGCCATCATTAGCACCGATCATGCTCGGAGTCGTTGATCCTTCTGAACTTCCATCGTTTCGAACAACCATGGTGTCGGTGCGGAGGAGTCCACTCTTTGCTGCGTCGGCATCAAGGTCGAGGTGCATGGGGTCTGGCTCTGGCGACAAAGGTCGACCGAGTATATTGTTGTGGTTTCGAATAGGTGTCGCAGTATCTATACTGATTGTTGGAGGCCGTACGCGGGCTCCAGGAGTAAGCAGATGAACGCGGTAGAGTGCGTCAAGACACTCAGAATCAGTATGCTCCTCGAAAGGGTCGAGATTCTCTCTGAATATCGTCAGTGAGGATCAAAAATGCAAACCGATCACAAACCGTAGAGTACCCGAGAACAGCACAGAGTCTTGGGGTATTATAGTCTGCACACGGTCAGGGCTCAAAATAAGTCGTAGGGGAACTGACGTACCACTCGTGAACGTAAATCCCGGAGTCCAATCGAGGTAATGTCGATGCCATCAATAAGTATCCGCCCTCCAGATGGCTCCACAAAACGCAATAGTGACATTGCCAGTGTTGATTTGCCTGATCCTGTACGACCTAGAAGACCCACCTTCTCTCCAGCGCTGAGAGAGAACGAGACTCCATGAAGTACAGAAGGAAGTTCTGGAGAATATTTGATGACGAGGTTTTCTACCTGAATGAATGTATTCCCAGGAGCCGATGTCGATGGCCAATACGCTGGCGGCTCTTTACCCTTGATCACAGATGGAGGCTCTTGTGGAAGGTCAAGGTATTCAACCACTCTCTCGACGGAGCTACAGATTCGGCGTCAGATATGAAAACAGAGGAATACCCAACTGACTTCAAGTCGAGCTCTAGCTGAGTGGCGAGTCGGCAGGTCCAGTAGACGGAAAGGGTAAATTGCATCGCGCTCGTGATGGTGATACCAGCCCAACCACTAGAAATGTATCCAGAGAGAGCAAATAAGGTGATTATGAAGATGCTAAAGGCTCCAAGTGCGTCAAATCGTAGCAAAAGCCAGCGATTCATAGCTAAAGATTGGTCAATATTCCTGCAAGAAATGAACAAGTTGACTGACTCCACCATCCATACCACATCTAATAACATCGTTAATTTGATAACAAATGGTTTGCTGAGCCTCGTACCTTTGTCGTGAGGTCAATTCGTCGAAGCAAGATAGCCAGGAACCGCCTCTCAGCACCAAATGCCCGCACAGTAACAATCCCTTCAAGAGTCTCTCCAAAGGCTGCGAAAATGGGGCTTTTGGTCGTACTTTGCATCCGCCTCATGTCGCGACCGGCATTGATATACCCCTTGGAGATTTGAACGTAGAGGTAAGAGATTACGACAGCCGGAATGAGGAAGGCAGGGAAGACGTAGGTGACAATAATGATCGACGCGATAAAAGTCGCCACCCTAAACATGACAGCTCGTAAAGAGTCAGAGACGGACGAGTCAACGACTTCCATGTCCCTGGATAACCGGTTGAGAATTCGCCCTGTAGTGGCGTGAGTAGCGATCTTTGTTACCAAATAGAAGCCTACCAGTCGGGACGGTATCATGGAACCGCATCGTCGCATGTACTAAGCTGTTGAGCAGACGGCTAAACAGTTTCCTGGAGGCTCGGACGCCACCGTTGTATTGCACGACGGTATTGATAGAAGTGATGATAACTGCGCCAACGCCTATAATGCCATAGATCGCGACATAGAATAGAGGATGATGGCGTGCGGAAGGTAGAGTCTGGGCATGAATTTGTGATGTGAAGAGAAGTTGATGTGGTGTTGTTCCTGGAACTGCATCTCTGGGGTCGAGAGACGTGAGGATGTGATGAGTAGCCACGGATGTAATCGCTTCGGTGTCTCCATATGCCTCTCCCCAAACTTTAAGCCAGTACTATTTCAAAGTTAGATTATCAAAGTTGGGGTCAAGGGAGCTTGCCTTGTCAAGGAAACCAAACAGCTGGGCGACTCCAATGAGCAAAAGCACAAAGAACCAAGTCCAGTAGCCGCTAGAGGATCATCAGCCAAGCTCATGCACACCATTCGACTTACGAGGCTCGAAGGTAAGTTTCATATATCGACCACTGAACGTTTCCAAGTCGTCGAGTCTCCTCTTCAATCAACTTTCGTGGGGGTTTTCGAGTCTTTTCAGCATCCTGCTGAGCACGTATCCATCCTTCGTCTCGGAGCACGACCCTCTTTCGATTGTCAGACTCTTGATTCGAATCTTCCTCTTCTTCATCGGTGTCGCCTGGATGTTTGTCGGTATGCGACACGAGCTGTACATCTAGGTCGTCCAGAACACCGCTAGCTTGAAGCTCAGCGACAGGGCCTTGAATTTCGATGTGACCATCTAGCATTTGGACATAGTAGTATGCCGCCGGCAAAACGAGTTCAACGTGATGGGTGACCAGAATCTGTCCAGAGTCTGCAATTTGTACTTTGATGTAACAACGGGACTCACAACTGTACGGTTCTGGAGAAGTGGTCCACGAAGTAGATTTTCATACAGGAATCGTGCCGTGTGGCTGTCCTGAGGAAGGTTTAGAAAGCAAAAAAAAGGCGAGAGTGAACAACGTACAACTGCACTCAACGGGTCATCGAGAAGGACAATCTTACTCCTCGCATAGACTGCTCGTGCCAATGCAACTCGCGCCTTTTGACCTCCCGAAAGCGAGATACCCCGCTCTCCTATTTCCGTCAAGTCACCATCCTCTAGAATCTCCAAATCTGTGCGCAGGGCACAACACTCGATGACATTCCAGTAGCGTTCGCTGTCGAACGGTTCGCCGAAAAGAATGTTATCCCGTATCGAGAGGTGTTCGAGCCACGGCGTTTGAGCAGCGTACGACACGCAAGGTCGGTAACCGTATTCGTCGGGAGGAGCGTGTTGATATTTGGGTAGTAAAACGCGTGGTGAGACGGTAATTTCGGAAGGCGCTGACATTGTCATTTCGCCGAGTTGTGCGAGCAGGAGCGCCGTCTTGCCACTGGCAGTCGGGCCCGTCACAAGGGTCAGCTCTCCTTCGGGGAATATAATATTGATATCTCGGAGCTCGAATCTGGTATCGTCAGACGATGGATTGCTGTCCGTAGGCGAAGTGTTTCCTGGGTTGTTCGTACCATTTTCAAATGTATGTGTATCCGTTGACGCGCTTGGCTTCTTGGACTCGGGAGATTCAATCGAATTCCAGACGAAATTGGCATTGCCAATGATGCCAACCGTCGCATCACGCGGTGTACTGTCGACGAGACCCCCTTGCATCTTCAGGGTACTGAAAGCGTCGTCTACTTCCTCTTCGGCGAAGAAAGCAGCAATACGTTCGAGCGAGACGCGTGCTTGCAACAATTGGGCCAAAAAGTTTGGCAAAACGTTGAGCGGTCTGGCCTTTGGTCAGGATCCGCAAATTAACAGAGGCGTTACTCACTGTCTCAAGAGATTAAACAGAACAATTGACTAGATGGTTGTCAAAAGGTCGCCTTGTCTGAATACTCGACTCACGGTGAATGCAATGGAGACGGTCAACTCATTTCCTTGCGCGACAAATGCCAAAAACGAGAAAAGAGACACCATTATAGGTGCTACAGTCCATACAAACGCAAGATAGATCATGTTAAACCGCTCTGCAAGATACTTAGCAGTGACAAAGGCGGGAATTAGGGGTACGTACCTCGCAGAATCCACTTGATCTCCTTTTCTCGTGCTTTCTCAGAGCGCTTGATCCATCGTTCATCCCACGCGCAAAGTTTGATAAACTTGACGCTGATGAATAGCTCGTTGACAATTGCCATTCGTCGATCACGAGCGGCAGCTATCCCTCGGGAGATGAAAATGCGCCTCTTTGACAAGTAGTGGTTGAGTGGCGCGACCATGACCAGTGCAAGGAATCCAAAAAACGCGGATATGCCTAGCAGCCTGACGAATATTAATATACATTGACAGAACAACTCTACTTACTGGTAGAGGAAGAATGTGCCGACGATAATCTCGAATGGAGCACCATAAAGGTTATAGACTTGTCCCAGAATCTGAGACGACTTGCTTGCGTCTGCACTCATCAAGTTGACAATCTTGCCAATATCCGCACCCGCGCTCGCGGCTTTGCCATCCTTGGCTTTGGACTTGTCGCGCTTTGTCATGGATTCTAAAACAGCCTTTTTGATGCTAATTTTACCTTTGCCACCCGAACCGCCCTTTTTGCCCGCAGTGATGCCGCTAAAGTCTTTGCGCTTCATGGCCTTTTCAAAGATGGCGCTCATGAGAATAGAGCGAGTTCGTGTGACGGCCTGTCTTCCAAACCAGAGATGCTGCATATCGGCTTGGTTCTTCAAGAGCGAGCAGAGTAGCGTCAAAAAGGCATATACATAGGCTCGCGCAATGGCATGAGGTGTCGGATCAGAGATTGCGTCGAGGATACGCCTGTTCTAGGATGAAACCGAAAGAATTTGACAGGTAGATGGGATACTGACTTGAGGAAGAACGGGCCGGCGTAGTTGAACACGACAGACACAAGAGTCAAAAGACCATCCATTCTGAGAGACTAAGCTCGAGGAACGAAATGTACTAGGTAACACTCACAGGAGATCCAAAGAGTTTATTACCCATATCTTGCGCAACAACGTCTTTCCTTTGACAGTCTCGAAACGGTGCAAAAGCGGACTAGCTCGGTGATGAGGCGACAGCTCAAACACGTCACTCTCAGTCAACGGCCCCTCAGCGCCCTGAGAGTCGTCAAGACGTATTGGCAACGTGAAACTTCAATGACTCTACCTTTGCGACCAAAGGGTTAACGAACCCGAATGTCATCCATCCCCACAGTGTCGCACGGTCCTCTGGAGAGGCGAGGGTGTCTGGGGTAGAATTGGGGACTGCTTCGACTGGGGTTTTCAGTATGACGAGGACGAGGGTGGATATGGTGGCGAGGTCCAGTGTCTCGCCAATGAGGACCCAGGCCTCTGGCCATGGGGCCCCATAACCATAATGATTATATGCATGGCCTACAAGACCAACGGTTGCGGTTGCTAGTTGTATGACGAGAAGGATAAAGACGTCGTATGGAGGTGTGACGCTGGGCTTTATCAAAAGTCGGACAAACGAGTAGGACCATGCCAGCGTGAGGAGACTGCACGTCCATGCCTCAGTCTTTTCGCCCGTTGAGAGATAATACGTGGACAAGATGGTCCAAAATACGAGTTCGAGGAGTGAGAGTATCGTTATCGGGATCGTGAGGCGTAAAACGGATCGTCGCTCTTCTCGGACGTCGCTACCGATGACCGGAGATGACGCCGCAGGGTCGTCTTGGGACTTGAGGAGTGTTTGTGCATCTTCTAGAGTGAGAAAGGGCGTCCAGCTCCGCTTGAATCGGCGGACCAATTTCGAGGTGGATGGAGGGCGCGGGAGGACGTAAAGAACGCCGAGTGCGAGTAAAAAAAGGGCTGGTAAAAGACCCCTCCAGACGAAGCGAGCACAAGGAATGTGAAGCTCCTGATAGCACGTTACAACCCGAAGGGGGGGGTTTGCTAGTTAGTTTCGAGCACACGACTGGCAAAGGGCGGGCGTTACAGTTAGTGAATGACCGTCACATGGATGCATAGTGCCGCTTGGGATGGGAGCAAGAGCCTCTGCTCTCCTTGTTGCTCGGAAATTAGGATTTGGAGGAGTACAACTTGGCGCATCGACTGAAGCGGTGGAAGCAACACGCTACCAGCACTCGACTCTGCCGAAAGCGTCAGAGTTTGGTTCATTTGTTTCAATTATAAATATCAAATATTAAAGTTTACGAGCTCGAGGGTATGCCTTACGTCAGGTGTGAGGCAACACAATGACCCACTATTGTATTTGTATTGTAGCTCAGAGTATACAAACGAGAATAGTCCAAATAGATCCCAAATAAGGACTAAGCAGTCTCTACAAATGCATGTAGGGTATCAGCAACCACGACTGTCTAGCCACTCATGTGACTTTACTAGATGAGTTCGACTCCTTCTGGGACCTTGATGGAGTACTTTGTAAAGAAGTCTTGCAACTTTGAAGCCACGGCGTCTGCTTTCTCCATTCCTCGTTTGCCCAAGAAACCCTGAGTGACGAGGAAGAAGTGGGCGATGCAACAGGCCATTATAAAGGCGGCGACGGTTGTAAATGGATACGAGGGCTCGTCGAGTTCAGTGTCGCGGAATGTGAGCTCGCGGGGGGACACATTCTCGTGGTCGTCTGCCATAAAGTTTGAGACGGCGGGCTGGTCGAGTATTTCGTCAAGATCATAGTCCTCCTTGATGTCCTGGAGTGCCTCCTTTGGCTTGTCCTGCATGCCTGGCTGATTTGTGGATGTCGTCGTTGGGTCCAAGAAGCGTTGCAACCAGCGATGCCAACGGCTGCGGTGACCAACTAGTTCTAGACCATGACTATAGACTTGGAGTGGCTCAAGGGCTGAGTAAATATCGGCTTTACTTGCCAGGCCAGTAAAACCCATCGCCACTCCACACTAGGAGATAGTGTAAATATATCCACAGATAGAGTTATAAACCATCAGAAACATTCTTTCGACGGGTTTTCCCCACAGGCGGCGTTCCGGCGGTTTGCTCCCCACTCATTTTTGCTGTTTTCTGGAATCTCTGTCGTGTTTAGGAGAGCTCTTATCCTATTTCGGGTCATCCGCCGGGAATCGGGAGCCGCCCAGTAAAACAAAAATTTTTTTCATGCGGATAAATAGTCGAGCTCAACACTTGGACCTCTTCCTCATCCCCACTCTTCTCTAAATCCTAGAAAATGTCCGACGCAAAGAACGTCAAAAAGGTCAAGACTCCAAAGGAGTTTGCCAGTACGTTGTTTTTCTCACTTTTCGCCGTTGAGCTCGTCGACTGACTGCCGTTCAACAAAGTCGACTTTATGATGGGTGGTGTCTCTGCCGTATGCTCCCCGTTTCTGCATATACTAGCTGCTTAGCACGCTTTCCAGGCTGTCGCAAAGACCTCCGCAGCTCCCATCGAGCGTATCAAGGTTTGTGCTCATCGTCGAGCTGGCAGGCGAAAATGACTGACCCGCCGCCAGCTCCTCATCCAAAACCAGGTTTGTAGACACACAACGGTCTGGAATGTTCTTTGACATGCTTTTTTTCACCCCCACGTGTCACCAGGACGAGATGGTGCGTCGTCTTCCTTTTTGTCGATTTCACGCGGATGCTGACCCGTCTCGTCCGCAGATCAAGCAGGGCCGTCTCAGCCACAAGTATAACGGCATCATCGACTGCTTTTCCCGCACCTACCGCGATGAGGGCCTCGTCTCCCTCTGGAGAGGCAACACTGCCAACGTCATTCGTTACTTCCCAACCCAGGCCTTGAACTTTGCCTTCAGTACGTAAATATATTTGACCATCTTTTTTTTTGTGGAAACAGACTCCTGACAATCGTGTGTAGAGGACTACTTCAAGTCGCTCTTCGGCTTCAAGAAGCAAGACGGCTACTGGAAGTGGTTCGCCGGCAACGTCGCCTCTGGTGGTGCTGCTGGTGCCTCGTCGCTCCTCTTCGTCTACTCGCTCGACTATGCTCGTACCCGTCTTGCCAACGACGCCAAGTCGGCAAAGGGTGGAGGAGAGCGCCAGTTCAATGGCCTCGTCGATGTGTACAGGAAGACCCTCAAGTCTGACGGTATCGCCGGTCTCTACCGTGGCTTCGTCCCCTCGGTCGTTGGTATCATTGTCTACCGTGGTCTCTAGTAAGCGCCCGCTCGCTCCAGTGGCTGAAATCTCGCTAACGTGCAACCTCCCCCCCGCTTAGCTTTGGTGTCTACGATTCGCTCAAGCCAGTCGTTCTCGTTGGTGCTCTCCAGGGAAGCTTCCTCGCTTCCTTCCTTCTCGGCTGGGGTGTTACTATTGGTGCTGGTCTTGCTTCGTATCCTCTCGATACCATTCGGTGAGTTGCATTCTTGTTAGTGCCTTGCCTATCGTCTGACTCTGCCTCAGTCGTCGCATGATGATGACCTCGGGTGGTGGTGTCCACTACAAGTCGATGTTCGATGCCGGTTCGCAAATCATTGCCAAGGAGGGAACCAAGTCGCTCTTCAAGGGTGCTGGTGCCAACATTCTCCGTGGTGTTGCTGGTGCTGGTGTGCTCTCGCTCTACGACCAGCTCCAGGTCATCCTGTTCGGCAAGGTCTACAGCGGTGGCTCTGGCTAAACGCTTGGATTTTACAAAACCCACTCGACGCCCATGGCGTCTCCGTTCACGATCGAATAGAGGCGGAAGCAGGTTCAAAGCAACATACAGTGGTCTTGGTCTGTTTTGCAATGGGCGGCTTTTGCATTATGCGCACAAGGCATTTATTGATTCTTTTACATTCTCGAGTAAACGCCTTTCTCTCCTTGAATATTATTTCCTGTTTCTCTCCCCGATTTGTCATCCTGTGATCCCGGATCCTAGACCTGACCCCCCATCGCCCACCATATATAAAGGAAAAGCTCCATGAGTGACGACTTGAACGCGATCAACTTTATGACTGGCTCGCCGCTCAATCGATTCGGCTGGCTACGAACGTCTGCACGATTTATCAATGCCTCTGCCTCGTCTTCACGCGCCCGATGGCTGCTTTTCCGCTCGGGAGACCCGTTGATCGTGAAATCGTCTGGTGCACCTCTTGCACTCTCCACCAACCGCGTCGAGCGTCTCTTGGGTCCACAGCCTTTTTTTGGTCAAGGACAAGTCGATGGCGAGCTCGCGTCTCCTGATATCAAATCCTTGCAGAGCGCGCGATTACGAGGTCCTATTGCCATTTTCCTTGGTGTCCTCGAGACGAAGAATGCGGCGAATACAAGCGTGACGGAACAAGACCAAGATGTGATCATTGACGAGGTCAAAGGGGATGCATACTTTGCACTCGATGTCACGAATATCGACAAAGAAGTCTTGTCCGTGCTACAAGATGATGTTGGCGAGGACGCGGCGTTTGCGTCTGCACGAGGGGCGGCGAGTGCGTTTGATAAGACACAGGCGGCAATGTTTGCCGGTGCACGCGCTATGCTCGAGTGGAATTCGAGGAACAAGGCGAGTTTTTTTTTTTAAACCCTACCCTGTAAGATTTCGCGCCAACTGATGCGCGTTTCCCATCTAGTTTTGCGCAGGATGTGGATCACCTGTGTATTCGATTTGGGCTGGATGGAAACTTGCGTGCTCGAGCTTGCTTCCTTGGGCGGAACCTCGTTCCCCACCGTGTCCGACGAGGTGAGTCCTTTTTTTTCAAAAGGAGAAAATCACTCAGCGTTACAGCGCGGGATTGCATGCGTATCAGCATCCGAGGACGGATGCAGTCGTCATTACGGGTGTGATTGACCAGACCGGCGACAAGATTCTTCTCGGGAATAATGTAAGCTCACTATCGTTCACTTTATAGGCTCTGACTCCTTTGCAGAAGAAATTCCCTGGTGGTGAGTAGTCCAAGAGGCAGAAAGCTCGTCCTGACAAGTCTAGTCTTTTACTCGACGCTGGCCGGGTTTATCGAACCTGGAGAAAGTCTGGAAGAAGCAGTAGCTCGTGAATTTACGAAGAGTCGGGTGTCAAAGTGTACGATGTGGTTTATCACTCTACACAACCGTGGCCCTATCCGAGCAATCTCATGGTTAGCACAATCAATGCCCAAACTCTCTCTATAATTGACATGTTGGAAGGTCGGCTTCTATGCACGAGCCGACTCGAATCAACCAATAGTCCTGGACCTCGACACGGAACTTGCAGGTTTGTACATTCTTCGTAAATGGAGCAGTACATTGAGGTACATTCAGACGCAAGGTGGTTTACACGTGAAGAAGTACTAGAAGTACTCGCGCATCCAGATGGCACCAATCTCGGTGCGCGGGATTACCGCAAGCTGGACAACATTGTCTCTGGACAAACGACAGATCCTAGTGCATCGCAAGCTGCTACAGCCCCGCCGCAAGAGAAACCATCGGCGCCTGGACCAAAGTTTCGCGTTCCGCCACCCACATCCATTGCAGGTACGTCGAACGATTGGCAAATTCCAGATCTGATGACATGTACAGGTACTCTCATTGCGACTTGGGCGTATGGAAAGGCAAAACTGTAAAAAGGTTTCAAACCCTGGAGACCACGCCCCCAGACCGAATGGCGTCCATGAAAACGTCCTTGTCCACCGTTTCTATAGGATATCAGATAATTGGATGTACACGGCATTAATAGACGCACCATCTTTTGACGGGACGATGGCTCGTTTCTTCTTGTCACGTTTCGACCTGAGGTCAGGCTTTTCCAGTGTTGGTTTTCCAGAGCCACGTAATGCAAGTTTGGCAGTCTCTTCCGAGGACTTTGCCTGTTGCGCTTTTTGAATCACATTGAAGAGCTGTATCACTAGGAGGGGGTCAGATAAAGACCGAATGCAGGACCTAAAACGCACCTCCTCGTTGCGCAACCTTTCTCAACGCTCGTTCATTCTCACCACCCCATCCTCCAATCACGTCGGTGATTCTCCCAACCTCCTCGTGCTCTTTTCTCTCTTGCCCATGGGCCTTTTTTGCCCTGAGCTCTTCCTTTTGGGCCTTAATCCGCTTGTTAACAGACTTTTTGAGTGCCAATGGTTGTGCAGACGGTGTCGTTGTTGACAAAAGCGCCTCGAGCTTGCTCCCAAACTGCGACGGTGAGCTCGCCCGAATCTTGCGCTTTGCAGTCTTTTTCGACTTTTTCCTCATATGTGCGAGGGCTATTTCATCTTCTGTGTCCGGCGACGAGCCTCCTTCATTGGAGCCTCCTTCGTCTCCTTCAGACGACCAGCCTGGCTCGTCTTCGGAGCCGTCTTTCATCGATACATCCTCGTTTACGTCTCCTTCAGCGTGCTCTTGTGTAGGTTTAACATCTAGCTTTCTTTTCTTGGTTGGTGGCATGTTCGGGACCGGGCAGAAGTTACGAGAGGTGTTTGGCCGGCCATCCTTGCTTTCTTCCATGCCCGTCTCCGTCGTCGTTGGCGTCCTAGGTGCGGTTTTTTTCAACCCCAAAATACCTCAATGATACTAACTATTACTTCCCATGTGCGATTATGAACCCTCGGGAATGCCTATCATTCTAGCTCTCCAAGGGGCTTTCGCAGAGCACCAGACCACGCTTAACAATCTCGCGAACAAGTCATGCACAAAGGTTAAATCGATGCCAAAATTGCTCTCCAAGCTCGTCCGCACGCCCGCCGAGCTTGCAGAGTGCGACGCATTAATCATCCCTGGAGGCGAATCGACGACCATGGCTCTTCTCGCACGCATCTCTGGCTTGCTTGAGCCGCTCAGAGAGTTTGTCCAGAGAAAGCCCGTTTGGGGTACATGTGCCGGCGCTATCCTTCTCGCCGAGAGCATCGAGGGCAGTAAAAAGGGCGGGCAGGAGCTCTTGGGCGGTATGGCTGTCAAAATTGGTCGCAATGGATTCGGATCGCAGGTTCGTCGCTTTATTTACTCTTTTCTCGACGTCGGTCTTGATCCGGTAATAGATTGATTCCTTTGAGGCCCCCTTATTGTGCTCTCCAGAGGCCGTGGCTCTGACCAAACGACCAGAAGAGTTTGTTGGTGTTTTTATACGCGCTCCTGTAAGCATGTCAGGCACTTTACAGAGTTTTGGAGAATAATTTCTTCGTGCCAGGTCGTACTCGGGATCACCGAAGATCCATCGCGCCCAAAGATCCAAGTCTTAGCAAAGATATCTCCAGAGGCATTGCCAAAATCTGAAGATGCGACTGATTCGACCACACCAGAAGACGACCCACGCCTGATTGTGGCTTTACGACAGGGACATCTCGTCCTTACGACCTTCCATCCCGAACTCACGAAAGACGACCGATTCCACGAATATTTCGTACTTGAAGTTGTGATGCCCACATTCTCCGCTCCTCCGACACCCAGTTAATGCGTAATACCTTGGGGTAACACGAATAACAGAGCATATATATGTATATGATATAGGGTAGAGCTATAGATCAGTCCTTTCTTCAGATTGAAGATCGACGTAACCCCCCGAGCGTTGTTGCTGCCGAGTGGTAAATGGACTATCTCTTTGACGTGAGGGAAGCCACGTCTTTGGATCATATTAGAGCCATGCATTCATAAGTATGATTTGAGACACTCACCTCCCACCAACGCTTGGTCCCAACGTTCCAGTTGACCGCCAAGTTTGCCTTGTCCATTCGACCTTTGATAGCCGCGCCCACCAAGAGTCCAAAGACAATGATCAAGAAAAGGGTAACGACGAGTTGATCACGTGGCGAGTCTCTCTCTGTAAATGGTCAGTAAGCCCTTTGACTGTGTGAAAAGTACTGACCAAAGCACCGAGCCTCGACGTCGCCTTCTTTCCCAGTCGCAGTGTCTGGATCCGTAGGTTCCAAAACAGCCCCAGCACAGATATCTAATTCCTGGTCGAGACACCATTGCTTCGTGCATGTGAGACAGGGTTGAGAAGGCTTCTCAGGCCAGTAGAGCGGTAAGATAGTATAGTTGGAGAAGCATATGCCTATTTGAGTCCGTCAACGCTTGCCTGAGTAAAATAATAAAACACTTGCATTTACACCAATGCGTTCCGTGCCACTCTGTCAACTTGGCGGAACTATTGGAGACCTGTGTGTGGAGACAATCAGCACCTACGCAGTGATTCTAGTCACAGAACACAAACCTGGAGACATAGTATAATAAATAGGGAGAATACAGCAGTCGACGATGTCCAGAAGATGCTTTTCCTGTTGACCATTGGGCGTGGAGTGGTTCAAGGATTCGTTTTGGCGTCTACCACATTGATCTTGCGCGAACGCGACTGCCTGGCATACACTATCTAGCGGATATACGGCTCTGTTTATCGTCACGAGCTTCAAACTTTGTTACGACGCGTCCAAGAAATGTCGGGAGACTACACAGATGTCCTGCCTAATCAGCCAGTGGTTATCGATAATGTAACGCGTCAAAGTATTTTACATCTCGTTCACTTGCTAACAATAACTCTCCATCCAGGGCTCTGGTACCATCAAAGCGGGATTCGCTGGACAGGAGCATCCAAAATGCTACTTTCCTTCCTTGTAAGCCCACGAAGGTCGTCTCGGGCTCTGTCACAACCAACTAATGTGCATCTTCTCCTCTCTCACTATCACAGTGTAGGTCGACCGAAGCATGTACGCGTGATGGCAGGCGGCCTGGAAGGGGATACCTTTATCGGACGAAAAGCGCAGGAATTCCGCGGTCTATTGAAGATCAAGTATCCAATGGAACACGGTATTGTCACAGACTGGGATGACATGGAGAAGATATGGAATTGGGTTTACGCAGAGGAGTTGAACACTCTTAGCGAGGAGGTATGCGTCCTCTACGGCATATTGACAGCCATTCTCATCACTCTCTTAGCATCCCGTGCTATTGACAGAAGCGCCTCTGAATCCGAGACAAAATCGCGATATTGCTGCTCAGATATTTTTCGATACCTTCAACGTCCCCGCTCTACATCTCGGAGTTCAGGCAGTACTTTCTCTGTAACTCCCGATTACTGGCATCCTCGACCGTTGTCTAACTTGCCTTAGATATGCGTCAGGGCGAACGACTGGTATTGTCCTAGGTGAGGACGCTTGGACAATAGCACGAATCGATTCTCATTTTCTCAAGATTCTGGAGACGGGGTTACACATGCTGTACCTGTGTTTGAGGGCTTCTCTATGCCACATGCGGTTCGTCGTGTGGATATGGCTGGAAGGTACGCATCGCAATCCATCTCTGAGAGTCGATTAACCGTCATTAGAGATGTAACAGATCATCTGCAACTGCTATTACGGAAATCTGGTCACAACCTCTATACCACTGCGGAAAAGGAGGTTGTACGAACAATCAAGGAGAAGTGTTGCTACATTGCAAGTAACCCTCACAAGGTTAATTTATTGTTTACTTCATTTTTGCTATGACTAAAACCCTTCGCAGGAAGAGAAAGAGGCTGCAGGCCGAAGTGAAGAGTTCCGTCTTCCTGACGGCAGCGTCGTGAAAGTATGCCATCTAGAAACTACAATAGTCACCTTTTTGATCTTTGAAGCTCGGCATGGAACGTTTCAGGGCTCCCGAAATTCTGTTCAACCCAGAGCAGGTTGGATTAGAGTATGCCGGAGTCCATCAAGTCATTGTAGATTCAATCAATCGCGTCGATCTCGATCTTCGCAAGAATCTCTTTTCGAACATTGTTCTCAGTGGCGGCAGCACGTTGTGCACAGGTAAACAGCCGTCCCACCCAGTACGAGTTCGTTGATCATTTTGCAGGCTTTGGTGATAGGCTATTAAATGAAGTGAAGAAACTCGCTATCAAGGATGTCAAGATCAGAATCTTCGCCCCGCCGGAGCGCAAGTACAGCACTTGGATTGGAGGTTCGATTTTGGCTGGCTTGGCCACATTCAAAAAGGTGAAACTGTGCTTGTCGCGTCCAAAACTCCGCTTACCCTTTCTAGATGTGGGTCAGCGCAGAAGAGTACCAAGAAGACCCGGATATCATACATAAAAAGACCGGATTCTAGCACGCACACTCGTCCCCTCTCGGTTCCCGAACTGGTCGCGCGAAGGTGGTCGTCGAGTTGATTTCCACCACAACAGCCTTGGATTACGAGGCAATGATAGTATTATACAGGAGAGCTTGTCGCTTGCAAATAGTATAACGTAGCATGCGTTCCAGAACAAAAAGAATCCATGTCATGGCTTGAGACCCCACTCCGCATACCGAGACGAAGCACTAGACGCACGTGGAGGAGGTGGACGTTCGTTGTCATATGGTCTTTGAAGTCGAGGGCCAGTTGTATAGTGCTGTTGTCCGTTCAAGAGTGGTCTGGCAAGTAGTGAAGGACTTGTGAGTGGTGCAGATGGGACAAGAGGTCTAGTGGACAGGGAGTGCGGACTCGTAAGGGGTGCCGAAGCCAAGAGAGACGATGCGGGGGGAAGAGTGATTGGGCGTGGCGCAGCTGGCCATTGCTGATTCGGGGACTGCGCTGTCGGAGATGGAGTCGCATTGCTCTGATAATACGGATAAACTCCAGGACTTGAACCGTTGCTGGTATGTCGCGGCATCGAAGGTGAGCTTGGACTACGAAGCGCCATCGGTGGAGGGTTCTGATAGTAGTACGGGGGTGGTTGGTGGTAGTCATCTCCCTCTATTCCATTACTTCTATGCGAGGGGGCGGTCGACGTCCGTCTAGAGGATCCATTGATCATATCCCCATCGTCACTGAATTTGCGTTTACCAAGACTCGATGGGGGCATGGGAGGCAAAACCGAAGAGACGGGTCGAGAAGGGCGTTGTGGCTCTTCTTCCTCCGAATCGCTAATGGTCAAATCAATCACAAGCGGTGCTGACGAGGCCGAGGACGCGCTGTGAGTTGGCACACGTCGTTCGGGTGCAGGGTGCGGGATTGGGGAAGGTTTGATAGGAGAGTTGTCTCTCAATCCGTTCCTCCTCTGAATCGGACGAGTCGCCTATCTCAATGGCATTGGCGCCAGCCGGGATGGCATTCAGCGTCGGGGCAGTTGGTTCGGGCTTTGCCTTCACGACATCTGCATCATTGGGAGTTCCATACTTGCTCATCCAATTCGTAGAGCCGTACTTGTTGTCTTCGGTGTGCCATTCGCCGTCCGCCTCGACCATCACATCGTCGGCTTCCTCGTCAACGTTCGCTAGGATTTCTTGAATGTATCTTCAGGAGTCAATGAACTGCTTGTGATGACCGCGATAGCTACTCACCCGTCAATGACGAGCTCGTTTACATCTAAGACGCGATCGCAGATGGGGCATAGCCACGTCGTTGTTTGCTCCATCATGGAGTACCAGCATGCGGCATCAAAGCATCCGATATGCACGCAGCTTGACGCACGGCAAGGAAGCGTCAGCCGAGTGTAGGTCAACTATTGTGATGATTGAGCGACAGGTAATACTGAGATCGACCAGCTGACGTACGGGATCGCGAAGGGAGACCTTTGTCGGACCAACTTGTACATCGTCGTCATCTGGCTGAATTGCTCTCACTACACGCGTTGACAGTCAGATGCCGATCCCAAGAGTCAAGGGCAACGTACTTCGGGCAATGACTTCCTCTCGTGGCTGAACTCTCTTCTTGAGCCGTTCCACTAGCTCGTCCACCGAAGTGACTTCGACGAGATTGACCACAAGGTAATACTTCTGCGGAGGCGGTCTCTGCTGTTATTCCTTCAGTCCGTTAGGGTGTGTAGGCCAGATCACACGCACTTTGTTAGCGGCAGGTTGGTTACTGTTTACATAGATCATTTCCACTTGATTCCCTTGCCCACTCGCAGTTCGACTGAACTTGGTGATATCTGCCGGCGGCGCAGTTCCCGCTTTCTTCTTGATACCTCGAAAGTTGCCCGAGACGACTTGGTTGTTGACTCGCACTTCGCATGTCGGGGGAAACTCTACAGGACACAGTGTATTTCTGAATGCTGTCCCGGTAGTGATGTAATATTGTGAAGTCGTGCAGTAAAGCCGTAGCTGATACTTTGCCCTGTTATTGCATAAGAGGGGTGTGAAGGTGTGAAATGAAGATTCATACTTTGTGCTGTTCAGTTTGGCGAGTTGGTCCTGTGTCAGATAAAAATTGAAACGGGCGGAGCGCCTATCCGTCGAACTCGTAGACTCTGCAGCTATGGTGAATATACATAGACTTTGTAGAAGAACTTCGTACCAAGGCACTCTTGCACGGGGCTAACTACCTGATCAATTCGGTAAAAGGGCGAAAATCTCCATCTAGGTGCTGGTGACCAGTCAGGCACGTAGCGATGGATGGGATATCTCGCACCTTCCGGTCTTGATGGTCCTGGTATCGGATAAGTGGGCCTCGTTGCTGTTGCATAATGCTGGGGTCCCGTCGACGACGAGAGCAGCGGTGCCGACCTCTGAGTTGGGGTAGGTGGCTGAATATTCCTACTCGAAACACTTGTGCCTACTTCCCCATTCGTATTAGGCATCGATGTAGGCGAAATCAGAAATCTCGAGAGGCCGTGGTGGTCATATCTAGGCAAAAGCACATCAGTGACCGGACAATGGTGAAACCGTTGGGTAAAGGACCACGTAGACGCCCTTTGAACGTCGATAGTCGAGATATTCCGTGAAGGACAGACGAGCGCCATTGGGCTGGTCGTTGCGGCCCATGATACTAAGCCATAGAAGACGCGGGGGGATATGAATAAGGGTCTATAGACTCACTCAACACCACTAGCGGCCTGTAATATGACTGCTCGGGCCTTTATCCACTTGTCTGTCTGGCCAGTGGTTTGCAGCAATCGTAAAGCGCGCACAATGCGGTCCATGATCTCGCCCTTCTTCCCTGTTCGAGGTAATGATGCTACTCCTTCGTCTAGAAAGCCACTAATGACATGTTTGAGGTAGACAACGGTCAAAGAACGGAGCTCTCCAACGACATGCTGCAAACAGATCGGCATCAGCATTTCACGATGCATCAGGAAGATGATAAGATAATCAGGATTTGATACAGACCTCAAAGTCGCTCCATACGCTGGGGGTCGTCATTTTTGCCCGGTCAGCCGGGAAGAAGTTGACTTGTACCACTAGTCAAAACTCGGGATGGCCTCGCCTTACAGTACAGAGGCCATGACAAGGTCAGACGAGGGAGATGTAGCTGTATTAACATATTCTCCTTTGGACATTGGATCCATCATCGCCGCCGTCTCGAGCCCAGAGGCAGGGGCCATCGCCACATTCCTCGGCCAGACAAGAAACAACTTTGATACAAAGGTCGTTACGCATCTCGAATACGAGGTGGGTAAGCAACAGTCTCTGATCGATACTTCTGACTTGGAGACCAGGCTTACTCGGCATTGGCCATCAAGACCATGGCCACCGTCCTCCAAAGAGCGAGGACGCGCTCACAGACACCTCTCACACGCCTAGCTATTTACCATCGACTAGGAGAATGCCCAGTCGGAACCACTTCTATCGTGGTAGCCGTCTCGAGTCCTCACCGCGCTGAAGCGTTTGAAGCATGCTCGTGGATTGTGGACGAGGTAAAGAGACGCGCCCAAATCTTCAAAAGAGAATACTACGAAGGTCTATCCGAGGCAGAGGCTGCATGGAAGCGCAATTGAATCGTTTATCGCATAGTAGGCATGTCGACCGACGCCTTTGTACCAATGGCATCCTACACAGCGTCAGACGTGACTCAGTAAATTAATTTTCAGCGTACCTCTGCTCTCCAGAGGGATGTGATCGTCTAATTATCAGATGAGTAAGAGGTTTCATAGAGAGCATGAAACTCACCTTATTTTGGGTGTAGAAATTTAAACCGCTGAGTTCGGTGAGTACAGTGTAAGCCTCCTGATGATGTAACTCACTTCTTTCCGTAGAATGAGACGTCTCCAAGGAAGCTCGCCTGCACGATGTTAGACCAAGTATCCATTCAAATAAATGGGACCGACCTTGTTTCCGGACCATGAGAACATTGGAAGAGGGACGGGAATGGGGACATTGATACCGATCTGCACTATGTCAAAACAAGCAAAAAATACAGCCAGACTACGAACCTGGCCGACGTTGACCTCATTTTCAAACTTGCGAGCGGTCGCGCCCGATTGAGTAAAGATTGCGGTTCCATTCCCGTACTTGTTGCTGTTAATGATGGCTAGGGCATCATCCAACGTAGGTACGGTCAACGTCACGAGCACAGGCCCAAAGATCTCTTCCCTGTGCTGCCGTTAGCAACCTATCATAGTGATAAGTGGGACCAACTTGTAAGCTCGCATAGATGTTCCAGCCTCTACAATGGTAGGACCGACGAAGTTTCCGTCTTTGTACTGACCCTCCAACTTGAGATGCCGTCCGTCGAGATGAATTTTGCCGCCTTCATGCTCCACAGACGTGATGAGGTCGCAAACGCGCTTCTTCGCATGAGGCGAAATCAGAGGACCTCTACACCAAGTTTAGCGAATAAATTGAGACGATGAAAAAGCTGACAGGTCTGTACCAGGCTCGAAACCACCGTTGACCTTAAGCCCTTGACTGCGCTGTACCAGCTCGGGGAGCCACGACTTGGATTCCCCGACGAAGATGGCTGGAACAAGATTAGGTATGTCACATACTTCTCCTGCACTTACCAACCGACAGCGCCATACATCGCTGTCCGGCAGCTATGCACTCGTGAGTTGGTTAGCACATTGAACCAATAAACACGTGCCTCCGAATGCGGCCCCGACGATGGAGTTGAGGGCGAGATTCTTGTTAGCTATAGAGAATTGAGCATTTCCCAAGGCCCCCGGGTCGATATGTACCGTCTGGCATGATCACTGCATGGTTCTTGGCACCGAGGTTTGCTTGAACACGCTTCCCAGTTTGACGTCCCCTTAAATATATGTAAGAGACGGGTTTCATCTAGTAATGGAGCTCACCTCTCGTATATGTGCTTTCCGGCTTTATCTCCACCGACGAAGCTGATTGCCTTGATGTCGGGGTGGTCACAGATCCGATTAACGGTTGGGACAGTTCCATGAACAATATTCAGGACACCAGGAGGCAGACCTAGGATCCCTCAGTATCGAGCGGTACTCCGTCAGCTCGTCATTCGTACCTGCACGTTTGCAAAGCTCTGCAATAATCATGGCAGCTCCGGGATCTCTCTCACTCGGTTTCAGCACGAGCGTATTGCCTGTTACTGCTGCCAACGGAATAGTCCATAGTGGTATCATGGCGGGGAAGTTGAACGGAGCGATGCTGCGCAAAGTTGGTGGGACGATGATAACGTGAGTTTGGTGGTATAAAGTAGGTGTCATATTTACCTCGCGCAAACCCCCAGCGGCAGGCGTCGTGTTTCCGTGTCCATATCTTTTGTAACCTCGATTTTCTCACCGAGAAGATTTGACGCAATGCCACATGCGGTTTCTACCACCTGAAGACCTCGAAGGACATCGCCATGAGCGTCTGTAGACTCGTGAGATATACAGCACGCAAAGGGAAGAACCGACTGACCTCCAAGGGTCTTTCCTTGCTCCAATACAATAGAAGTAGCCAGAGCATCCGCATTTTGTCGGATTTGATGTTGCAATCTGTCGAGGGGTTCAAGGGGGTTATCTCTTACAGTCACGGATAAACGTACTCGAGTGCGAATCGCTGTCGCGTCAGCACGCTTGTGCGACTCCAGGTCTTGAATGCTTCGCTTGCTGCAGATACGGCTTGCTCGAATTCCTCGCTGGTGGTTTCTGGTACCTTGGAGAGCAATGTCTGCGTAGAGGGATCATGAACATCAATCCATGATGTTGCTTTGCTCTCTGTAAACTCTCCACCGATGAAATTTGCAACCTTTCCCCCAGAGTAGCTTGTTCCTCTCCAGGGAGCAAGAGACTCTGCTCGAGCGGTTGCAAATGAGCGTGCTGTTCCCGAAAGTCGCCTCAGCGAGCGTGCACTAGCTTGAACGCGCATTCTACAAAATATGGTCGGGTCTAACCTCCAGGCCCGGTGAACAAAGTCATGTGGTGAACGCTGAGCCGTGCCGGAACTTCGTCCTCCGCTATTGTCGATCTGACCTTGTGTCGAAAATGTTGGCAATAATTATCAAAACGTGAAGCAGGCTGATGACCATGCCAAGGCAATCTACTACAGCTTGTCCTCTGACCACATCTCGTCCTGGCGACTGACTCAAACGATGGGCTGCACAAGTAGCAAATTTCAAGGAGAAGGGCAGAGATTGGGATCTCAGGGAACAGATAGAACGGCTAGTGCTCCTGTTACTCGAGCGCCAGCGTCTACAGCACCCATGTCAACCCGTGCGAACACAAAAGCCCGTCCAGAGGCTGTGGACCAGGACAGGAGAGCTGCTGCCGCTGCTGCTGCTGAAAGGAGAAAACAAGAGGTGAGTCGAGATTGAGCTGGAGAGCGCGCTAGTAATGGCTCACCCGTTCTCGACAGAGTTCCCGACGTGGGACCACGACTGCAAACCCAAATCATGGTTCACTTGCGCAGAAACTGGACCAGCAGCGCAAATCACCATTGAGACCAGAGGAGCAATTACCAGAGCGGGTAGTGGTGAGTCGTGCCAGCGCTCTTATTGTATACATCTCACAGTCCTTCTAGTGGGATTAGTTTTTATCCCATGTCAAATTATCTATTTATTATGCGTACCGATATTTTGTTCACCCGACGCCCATCGTGTATTTGGAGCTTTCAATGTACTGTTCTTCAGCGCTCCCGTCGAGGATCGACATCGAATTCCGGTTGCTCTCACTTCCCATCGCCGCCTTGGGTTAGGGGTATTCTCTCAGCGGCGCGCTATAGAATTGACCCGCAGTCACAGAGCAAGCGTTCCAGATTACTTTCCGGGGCTCGTTCTAGCGCTAGCAACACACCAAACTTGGTGTCAAGTGCGCCAGGACGCCTGCCACCCAACCGACCCTCTGCGGCACGTCCGGATGGTTGGCCTGCTGCCTCTCTTTGGCTCATTCCTCTGAGATTCCAAGAGTATGGCTGGACGTCCTTTTATAAAGACGGCTCCTTTCTTGGTATTCATTGTTGATCTGCGACAGCCAGTGGAAAGAAGGTCCTTTTCTGTCTATTCTTTCGCATCCAGGCATTCTCCTCTAGCTGATAGGGAGCTCGAACACAGCGAGTGCTGCGTCGACCAATAGTTGATGGATAAATTCCTACAGACCCCTCCAGGAAACATCATTGTGGCAAGTGTTTCTCTTCTACGTTTGTGCTCTATTGCAAGCTACTGGCCTGGTGCAGTCTTCTGTGCTGGACCCGCCTGAGAGCCGTACTTGGGTGTTAATCTCGTTGTGAGCCTGGCTAACGCATCTCTCTCGCAGCGACATCCAGCCTTGCCAATATATGCCCCATGGCTACAACATGTTTGGGAGCATGCGGATCTTGTTCCAAGTGGACATGTCCCCGTTGTTCGTCCCGGTGTCGACAAGGAGTCCCAAGTTCAAGTCGTATATAGCAACGAGCCACTGCCGATTACCAACCCCTATCCAATTCAAGTCAATTCACCACGTTCTCGGGTGACCTTACTTTTGGAATTGGTCGGTGTCGTCGAGTGTCACCTACGCCCATCAAAAGATATCCGCAAACGGCTTCGCGGTCATCTTACTTCTGAGGGCACGCTCATTGTCAATGTTCCTGCGACTGCTTGGGGAACTGGACGCTTCAGCAAGCTTGACGTCTTCGAGGCGTTGTGCAGCGAACTTGTTGCGGCAAGCTTGAATGTGCAGGCGCCGAGCAACAAGCTTGTTTATGAACTGGTAAGCATTCCTCTGGGAGTCCGTGTTCTACCTGACGCCGTCACAGCTCGGGCACCTTCGCCGCGATGTGACCGTCCGCTTTATTGAGAATATGAATGTCTCAACAGCACAGCTACTTAATATTCGGCCCGGCTCGTATGACCAAACGCGAACCTTGTATATCTACGATAATTCCGACCCCCAAGTCTTGGTTCTCAGCGAGCAAGACCCTCGGTGTAGCCGACTTGGTATTATGGCATGGGAAGCCAATAATACATCCACTCGCTCCTCTCATACCATCCTCATCAACATTCAAGGAGCCCAGCAGACTCCCTTGAATCTCGACCCAGCCATTGTACAAGCCATCAAGCAATGCTTGGAGTTGGAGTAATCACATTCTTTTATTCGTTTTCTATTTTGGACTAGATACTCACGACTGGTTTTTCTCTGACTTTTGCTCTCATTGGCGCTTCGAGCTCGGTTTGGGGAGCACCTGGACTTTTGACTTTGACGCATGACAATGTCTTTACGACTAATTTGTTCAATATATACCAATTTTTATGGCAATTTTGGTCCCATGGCTCGGTGTCCATGCACGTGTTGTTTTGGTCCAGAACTTGGGCTTGACCACTACGCTGCGGGATGCGTCCCGTCAGGCTATTTGCCTTTTTATTGGGACCACTGCTGGTCTATGGCTCTCAAACGCCATTAAACGCCTATTCAACGACGCTCGTCGACTTGTTGAGCGCTGATGCAGATTATACGCAACTGCTGCGGCTGCTCCAGCGCACACGGCTCATCCCCACACTCAACAAGCTCAACGGGAGCACACTCTTTGCACCGACAAACGACGCCGTTCGGCGGTTTAGTCCATGGAACGAATACCTTAGCCTTTCAGATGACGCGCTGACCGATAATATCAACGAACAAGTTCGTCAGACACTGCTATATCATCTTCTCAATTATACCCTCCCCTCATTCCCGCCGAAATCAGACGTAGAAACGTACCGGACGTTGCACTTTCCGCGGGTGAAGCTCGAACCGCCCTCAAAGGATCCGCCACCCGCGCCCCCGTGGATCCCACTACCAGGAGGTTCGCTCAATAACGAATCTCAGAGACTGCGGGCGGCCTCGAGGGACGGTCATGCTTACGTCGGCGTGGACGCATATGGTCAATCCGGTATTTCGACTGCAAAGGACCCCGTTAATGGGACGAATTGCATGCTCATTGGCATCAAGGACGTCATTGAGACACCGTCAAGTTTGGCAGCAATCATCCGGGATACACCGTCGCTGTCCTACCTCAGCAAGATTTTGCCCGAGTCGCAGATGGACGATTTGGAAAAGCAGCCTGGCCTTACTGTATTCCTCCCCGAGGATGATGGATGGGACGAGCTTCACCCGATCATCCGGCTCTACCTCGAGAGTCCTTTCGCCCATGCTGACCTCAAATGGATTCTCGGAATGCATATGGCCGATGGTAAACTTGGATACTCGACTAGATTCGGAGACTCTACGAAATGTGAGCGTATTTACTATACTACGACATTGGTCTGACTCGTTGTCAGTGCGCACCATCGAAGGCAACAAACTGCGGATCAACGTTACATCCGATTCTATTCTTGTCTCCGGAGCAGAAGTGCGGCAGAAGGACATATATGCCTCCAACGGAGTACTTCATACCGTTTCAAATCTGTTACTGCCCTCGGGTTCACTCCAACTGAACGCGGAGAAATATCTACTGGCCCTCAACTGCTCTACGTTTGTTGGGCTACTTCGGTCCGTCAATCTCACCTCTCTCGTCACCGATATAAATGCGGAATACACGATACTCGCACCACGAGACGACGTACTTGAGATTGCGGGCGGAGGTAATTTCCCAGATGAAGGAACAGATGAGCTCAAGCGCTCTCTGAGATACCATTTTATCCCTGGGAAATGGAGGACAGATCGCCTGAAGGATGGGGCTTTGCTGGAGACTGAGCTCATCGAGGTTGGCCTTGGTGGCGCTCGGCAGGTGCTGGATGTCGGTCTCTCGTCGAAGCTAGCGATGAAGTCTGGAGGCAAAGGGAAGAAGGAGATATACTTTGGTGGAGCAGGAGTGATTGGTGAACCCAGTGAGTATCTCGAATACAAGAAGTCATATGAAAGTTGACCTGAGGCTAGTTGAAATCGAGAACACCCTCATATATCTCGTATCAAGACCTCTTACACCTCCTTCTGACGTTTTGACCACGGCACTACCCTCTCTGGACCTATCAACCTACCTTGCTGCCGTCTTCTCAACGTCCTTGGCTGAGACGGTGAAGAATCTGCCCAAGACAACTTTCTTGATCCCAACCAACAAGGCGTGGGAGAGGCTCGGTCTCGTCACATCGTATCTCCTGATGCCCACGTCAAAGAAGGATCTAGAGAGCGTGGTCCTTCACCACACGCTAGACTCTGTCGAATATTTTAGTGACCTCCGAAACGGCACCGATCGATCGTTCAGGACATTTGAAGGCACCGATGTCAGTGTCACCCGCCCTTCAGATGATCAAGGCGATATCGAAGTGGTCTTTTCTGGTAGCGGAGGCTGGGACGGTCTCCAGGCAAAACTCGACATGCGTAATAGAATCAATACATTGACAGAAACAGGCGTGCTACATCAGATTGATACGCTGATGATACCACGTTCTGTGCAGGTCACCCTCGGCAAGTTGGTTCGGGCGGCTGGAGGAGGTACGATGGCCAGCCTCGTTACACGCGCCGGATTCGACTGGGTCCTGAACGGTACAGCACCACCAGAGGATTCCGAGTATGCCAAGTATGGACAAGGTGTTGGCTGGACATTGCTGGTCCCTCGAGATGAAGCATGGCGGGATGTAAACCTCACCAAGCTATGGGACGACGCAGATGCTGTTCGAAATCTCGTCACTCAGCACTTGATCCCGACATTCCCGCCTGCAAAGGATGACGACAAGCATCATGGAGGCAAGAAGCCCCGTGACAACTTGAACGCCCTCGTCGCTGCAGACGAAAATGCCATGCCACTAAATATGTACGGGCAGACGCATGTCACGGCTCGCTCGAGCTTTTCCTCGTATGGGCAAATCAGCTTTATGGATAAAGGCGATCACTTTGTCGTCGGGATCACTGGTGCCAGAGGTACTCGAGGAGACGAAGACTGGGCAAAGGTCATGACCTGGGGACGAAGTACAACCAGTACCGGTACACACGGACAATATAGTACCAAAGGTGGTGTTATCAAGATTGACCGAGTGCTGCAACCGTACACGCCGAGATGGTGGGTGCGCTTCGGCCCGCCAATCGCAGCAACTCTGGCCGTTCTTTTCGTGATTCTCGCCTTGGGATTCACGGCTCGCTGGTTGTATAAGCGCAAAGAGAGCGAACCGACGTATGAACCGGTCGGGCGAGACGAGGAAGAGGACGGGTGAAATGTTATGCTCATCATAGAAGGGAAGAGGGTTTATGTTGTTATATGCTTCACTCTGTTAATACCTTTTTACACGTATGTACGAAATTTGACGAATACATTTGTACCCAGTAATTCGACCAAAGACGATAGCCACTATTGCGAAGGCGGAAACAGAGTGTTCCAGGTGTCCACATCGGTGCTTGTGCCTTCGTTGGGGCCAAAGAGATCTAGGGTGAAGTCTGGCAGTCCTGCTGCGTTTGCATCTCCTGCATTTTGAGTACTGGCGGTATTCGATCCAAGTAATTCCAGAAGCTTTGGATCAAACTGCGCCGCTGAAGAATCCAAGGCGCTTGGAAGGTTCAGGTCAATGCCAAACTGCTGCCTCTGTTGCAACTGCTGCGCCTCCGATCCTCCAATCGCCGTGGTGATGCCTTCGGATCCTTGCGCTCTGGGTAGTTCGCTCCCCATGTCAAAGCTGAAAGCGGACATATCCCCTCCCAGCGGGACCTCGGTATTGGTAAGTGCGGTCGACCCGTTGTTTGCCCCAGAAGACTCGAAAGCGAGATCTTCGAACAGCTTTTCCTGGCCCCCTGATGTAGTGGCTTGTCCATCCCCTATGAGAGATATGTTTGAGATATCCTCACTCTTGATCGGTTGGATCAATGGGTTGGAGAAGAGTGCATCCACGCCGATATTGGCATCGGACGTTTCGTTATCTCCAAATAGATCATCCATGCCTGTACCCGTCAAGAGAGAGTTGAGTTGTATGTCACTCAACGCCAACGGGTTAAAGTCTCCGTCAAACCCTGGCCTCGGTTTTGCACTTTTTGGAGCCAGCGTGACCGGCGACCCCATGGGTTCTACGCCAGACATTCCAGAGGGGCCCAATGTCGACATCCGGGACGGAGCAAGCCCAGACTTGTTCTCTGCTAGACCATCCAATGTCAGAGTGGACAAGTCCAGCTTGAGACCATGTCTGTTCAGTGAGGTCAACGAGATGCTGCTTCGAGATGCCCGTGCTAGTCCAGAATCCTTGGGTACGGCTGCTCCAGATGGAACTGCAAGCTTCCCAGCATTATCCTCTTGGACGCCCTCCATGGAAGCGGGCTCCTCTGTCGTTCCATCTTGCATGACCAGGTCTTCCTCATTTCCGTCCACGTTCTTCAGTCTGAATTCGGGATGAACGCTAAGGGGGTCGATGGATTTCTCGTCAAAGCGAGGAATGTCGATAAACATGGACGAAGGCTTTCGCGACCCAGCTGCAGCTGCCTGACTCCGTTGAAGTGCCTCTGCTTGTTGCTTGTGTTTGAGCTTTTCGTTTTCTTGCTCTATCTGGTACTCGACAGCGTCCAATGCTCGTTGCTGGATATCACTGTTAACCGAGTTCTCTCACTCCGCAATGAACACACCACTTGGGTCTCCATATCATCTAGAATGTCTTCATATGTTTCTGCGTTTCTCTTCCAGGACTCTATCAATCCACTTGGCGGTCTGGGTGCCTGTCGCTGGATTCCACTATCTTCAGAGGTTAAACTACTGCGCCAAAGGTCAATATAACACACATTTTGTATATGTCTGTGTGATAGTTGATGATTTGGGCGATCGTCGCCGCTGAATCCTTTTCCACAAGACTTTGTTAGCACAGAGCGACGGGCTGCGATGATTCAGAACGAACTATGAGACATTCTCGCAAAGCCTTGATTTCAGGTTGCAGAATTTTGGGTGAATGAGAAGCAGCGTCGTCCGTCATGTCCAGTTTTGTATCTCCAGCAACGGCAGATCCATGTTGGAGCGAATTTGGGGCTGGAGGAGGACCCATGAGTTCTGAAGCTTTACCTATTGACGATCTGGACGGTCGTCTACCACCTCGTCCGCGAGGAGGCATCGTCGGCTGGTCAGGGGAGAATTCAAGTCGCGTACAAAAGAAAGGCACACTTTCCCATTTGTGTTACTAACCTCAGGTCGATTCCATAATGTCCATTCCAAGCCTCACAATTAAATCAAACGTCACAAGCCGTTGGATAGTCTGACTTGCGAGTTTGTTCCCTCCATATCGAAATGCCAACTCGAACTGCATTCATTTCGCGGGGATCCTCTACTCTTTCCATTGTATCTGTAATTTCCTTCTCTAAATGCGACTCTACGGTTCTTTAGTCTTCTCTCATGACCTTGATTTTGGCCTATACGGCTACCAAGGAGCGGCCACCCTACTCCAAGCCGTTCGGCGTCAGACGACCAACTTCAGTCATACAATGATGGATACGTGGAAGCATATCGAAGATCCAGGCATAGTATCTTGTCTTGGATTCAGAGTCTGCCGTCTAACCAATCTCTCCGGAGTTCATGCACCTGCAGGTGCCGACGAGTTAGCCTTGTTTCCCGCTGATTAAATCCTCAACTCAAAAACGAATATAACGAGAGAAGTCCATAGGATATATATGAGTTGAGATTATGCACAACAAGATGCAAGTCTATGCTAAACCAAACGACCGGACGTCACGAGTGACAAGAATGTGTGGTACGACCTCGGCAAGTGGGGCGTTAGGAACGAGTGGAAGGGAATCGTCTAGCTGTTGTGCGAATCCAAGCTCCAATTGGCGAGAGCAACAGTCGGTGGTGTCTTGAAGTCGGTAAAGTCATCCCATTGCGGGTTAAGGAGGACCTGAAGGGTGGTCGTTCCGGTTGGAAGGTCAATGGCGAGGACACGAGCGGGTCCATTGTCCATGTCCTCCAATCCAGGAGCAATAGGTGGCGCCCTTTCCGTGCGCTTCGATTCAAGGTCCTGGAATTGAACATTCTCAGGGCTAAGAATCTGAGCGACGAGCCTCTTTCCGTTGAGGGTCAACGTAGCAGAGCGACCGGTCGAGTCGATGCTAATCGTGGCATTGGTTTGCGCACGCCACTGAGAGGCTGCGGTGACACCGGTGAGCTCGTCTTGGATGAGGACCTGGCGACGCCCAGGAAGGAAGCGGATACCACGCTTTACGTCGGTGCCAAAGTAGGCAGATGTAAGATCAACGACGGCGAATGCAGACGAGTCGGACGGAGCGCTGAAGATTGTGCTGGCACCTTGGGCAGTGTTGGATGTGTCGTGTCTCATCGTCGGAACGGCAGTGACATCCTGGTTCGCGCCATTGATGGCAATGACGTTTTGGCCTTCTGTCATCTTGCGATAGAGTGTCCATCGCTCACTGGTCTGGGTCTCGTTGCTGAAGTAGTTGGGGTTGAGGTAGTTGTCGTTGCCGTGTTCGCCGAAGAAACGTTCTCCAAGAGCATCAACCACAAAGGTTCCGCAGTCCAAGTCGCCGCTAAACAAGCAAGTAAGCACTACGCTTGCCAAGAGCGACATTTTACGTACTGTGTCTGATGGTTGAGAAGAGCACCTGCCTTCATGGCCACATACATGCCATTGATGTCAGTCCAAGAGGTTCTGAACGACGCCCATGTGTCCGTAGAATTGTCAAAGACGCGGTCCAGGGGCAGGTTGTTCCACCAGGCGCCTTGAGCCGAAGGATCGTACCAGAACATGGACCATGGCTCTGGAGCTTGATAGCGGTCGCGCTGGTAGAGCGTGAAGCGGGGCTCATTGAAAGCAGATCCGAAGAAGAGCAACGCGTTTGCAGTCGTGGAGAACTTGTTTGGTCCGTGGTCTCCATAATCGAACAAGCTGGTCATGCCGGTGACGTAGAAGCGGAAGAGAGAAGTGAGCCTGATGCCATCGTTGGCCGCCAACATTCCGTGATCGCTTCCAGTTGCTGTCAAGAGCGAGCTGGTGAGCTCAGACATGCCGGTGATGGCGAATTCCCAGTAGTTGGCGGTTTCGGAACCAGTTCCATCCGACGAGGGGACTATGGTATTGTTAGGGCACTCAAATGGTTTACGCCGTCTACGTACCGAAAGCGCAGTTTGCCACGGCGTTCGGGACGGCGCGTTCCAAAAGCTGAGAGGCAGTTCCGGTAGTATCGTCCTCGTAGACGGCAAGAGCACCCATGATGAGACCACCGTTCGAGACTATTCTTATCGTCAGATGATTTTCGCAACTATTAGAGGATGCTTACCGCAGTTCCAGTTTCCGTTGACATTGTGCCACCAGCCATAGGTGCTTGCTGGGTCGGTGTACGACAGGAGACCGTAATGCAATCCATAGTTGACGATGGCATTGCGGATTTCCGTCCTTTGAGCATCGGTCCACTGGTCGTAAAGCCAATCATAACCGACGGCAAATGCGGCGGTGAGCTCGGCAAGATCTAAATAAAACATGAGCATTGAGAACCAGCTTGCTGCAAAGGTATTTTACCGAGGAAATGGGCCGTGTTCCAGCTAACAATATTTGTGAGAAAGGTTGCCTGACTTTTTAGACGTGAAACTCACGGATCCTCCCTGTTGTCGCCCCAAGTCATGGCGTTTTGAAGCTCACGATATGTGCGGTCGACCCAGGCGGTATCTTCGGTCATTCTGTAGGCATATGCAAAGTGCTTGATGCGGCTCTTGGTCTCACGGGCGGGATCGAGGATACCGCTTCCAGATGGTCCACCGTCAAAGACGTGAACGACCGGTGGAGATTGTTGAACGCGGTGGCATTGGCCATGATGATATCGTGCCAAGACTTGAGATAGGCCTCCTTGGCGATCATGTCCTTGAGTGCCCTCCACTTGTATTGAGGCGCAATCAAACGCGGGTGTGGGCGCAGGTTGTCAAAGGATTGGCTGTTTCCGGTAAAGTCGTCTGCTGGCCAGGAGACGGAGGCGGAGCTGGCAAATGTCGGCGATCCGAACTGGGCAGTGTTGGTCTACCGGTGATGCCCAGACCAAAAGTTACACACGAGCATGGGAAGAAGGCAGAGAACAGACGGTCAGCTCCCCGTTAGCAGAGAAAGAGATAATACACACCATGGACGGGTAAATGGGCTGGTGGTACGCATTCGTCGAGGTAGCAAAGTAGGAAAGATTGTTCAAGTCTTGGTTCTGGTGATTTGTAGAGCCTGGTGAGCCCGACGAGGACGAAGAGGTGGCGCTAGAAGAGCCAGTCTTGATGATCTTGAGGCCGAACAGGAGCCCAACAACGGCCGCGGCAACGACGAGCAAACCAAGCGGAAGGCCAACGGTGACCCATTTGCTGCGACGTTTCTTCTGGGGGATATGATAGACGTTTTGTTCTGGTGGCCGAGTCGTCAGGGATGAAACGGCAGAGTTGGGAGCCGCTGTCTCTCACCTCCTCGCCCGTATTCCTCACTCAGAGGTCTCTGCGAGTCGTTTTCGTGCCTACAAGGTCTGTTAGAGATATTTCCGGGTTTGATTAGAGTGTTCCCGCTGACCGATACATGCGAAAGAAAGAAAAAGGAGTGACGGGGTTGGCAAGAAAGCTTGAACGGCGTTTGGTCCGCTTCGCTTCACATGGAATCCTATTTGGCCAGCGATCAAATCCCGCTCAAGACCATTTTATTTACGAAAATTCCATTACTGGTCAGACTCGCGATTACCGGCCTCGAACGCGTCGACTGACCACGCCCAAAGGCCTACGCCTCGAAGGATCTTATCGCGCTCGTAGATGCATCGTCATTGAAATTGATTGCGACTCTGGCTTTCTGGGATGCATTTCCATCGACATTTGGCACAGAGACGTACGTGCAGCACATCGACGTCGATACCGTCAACAAATGGGTGCGTGGCGAACTCGACGGGCGCACGCCCATTGACTGTAACAAGTAGATTATCGCGAGTGCTGGTATGCGAATTGCTATCTGGACACTCTCCAGCCTCGAAGAGAACACTTGGCGAGTCCATTCAACCATCTCTGCCCCCAAAGTCGTCACTGCTTTAGAGGGACATGATGGTATTATCAAATCGAGAATATAGACCACCTCTCACGGTTTACAGGCAGACTATGGGTCGGTATGCCTGAGAGTCTATCGCTCTATTCTTCCAAAGTCGTCGACGAGGTACCCAACTGGTCTTTGACATGGAAAACTAGGTAACGTGGCACATACCGTATTCTGCATAACACCGAGGTTGTACAGAACATTTCAACCGAGTCAGATTTCCTTGTCGTCATCCACTAGTCTTATTGCGACCAGGTCCGAGGTAGAGACCATGCCAATGACAGGATAATCACTCAACACCTATAGAGTAACTCGGAAGCCTGTATCTGGATGGCATCTTCTGGCCGACTAGTTCAGAGGATCCCACATCCACGGCCTCTTGTTCATATAACTTGGAGGTCTCAACCTTCAAAGTACGGAAACAATCACCACACTTTAATGGATCTGACAATTTCAGGGATGAATATATACTTTACACCACTACATCGGACTCGGCTTTGCGTATTTTTCTTCCAGTTCTGGACACTCCACGGCACTTGCAGCTGCATGCCACTGTAGACCCATACTGCTTTCTACCTTCCTCTCTCAGCTCTAACCGGGGCTCGCCCGTGTTTCCATTCGACAGAGACATCCTACGCGCTGTTTTGGGAGGAGTCCTCCGTAATCAGCCGGGGCAAAGAACAAGCTTTGACGAGAGTCAGCGCCGCAGACTAACCGAGATATATGAAGAGTCCTGGGATCTATTTGCCAGGATACTCGACGATGGATCCATCGTAATTCACGCTGTCGCTGTACGTGATATTTTTGTGCCATTACCACCACTGATCCCCGATAGAATCTCGACAGACGACCTCCAACATTATTGAAGCAATTCACCTTGCTACATTCTCTCTTTGACCCTCCTCTAGAATCACTCCCAACTTCTCTTCTAGTCATTCCGTCCGCTTCACACTTGATCCTCATTACGGATCCTCCAGTCTCCTCTCATAATCTTCTGCCTCTTCCATTCTTTGACGCAAAAAAAGATGGCCTCAGAACAATCTCCACTGCACCAGAATCTGGAAAGTTTGGTCATCTCCCGATTACTCGAATATCACGCTCCCCGGAAGGCCACGCCGTAGCGGTAATGCGTCGAGGTGCCGCTGAAGTATGGAAGGTTAAGCGTTCAGGAGGGTTGAGGTTGCTTCAAGAATTTGTAACCTTGACAGAAGCTCGAGTCCTAGCTTTCCACTCAGGTAAGGTCTCATAAGACGCCCCTGTAGCATGTCAGACTCACCTGTCCTAGGCCGCAGTGTAGCGGTGTATGAACCGACCGAGCACAATCTCAGAGTGACGATGGGGCCTAACGATGTTCATCATCTAACGCTACCACGCCTACTGGATCTATTTCTCGTTCCGCCAAATCATGACACGATCACCTGTCTCATTGGCATCGCCGAGTCTTTGGATATTATACAAATACATGCTCATCATCCACCAAACTCTTCCCTCACGATTCATTCCTCTGGGCCACTCCCGAGCAAGAGCAAGTTGGCATGGATCCGCCCTGTGGACCCTATGGTTTGGTCGTCACCAGGAATCGATGTTTTATTGAGTATATCCCAAGAAGGAGATTTAGAGTTCTGGGCTGCCGAGTCCTCTACATCCTGGCGCAAAACGGGGCATGTCGTGACAGGGAGGAGTAACATTGAGCGTGTACGGTGCAGCTCGAGCAAGAAGACGGTACTAGGTAAGTTTCAAATCAGCCAGTCACCCATGCTAAAGTAGTGTCCAGTCGTCAAAAGATCGGATGGGCACGAAGTTTCAATCTGGGACTCGAAAGAATCCCAGTTCTCGAGTGGGCTGGAGCAATGCGAGGTGTTTAGCTCACCCGTTATTGACTTGGATTGGACCGCTACCCCAGACGGACAAGCCATTCTCGCCATTGGTTTTGAACACCATATTTTGCTCCTCTTCCAGCAGCGGATGACTTACTTTGAACAAGAATCGAGATGGGGAGTATTCGGAAGGATTGAGATCGGAAAGTATGCCTCCCAATGCTGCTCAAGGCATAGACTAATGGCAATAGTATAACCCGTCACCCTGTTGCAGACTCTATATGGATATCACAAGGCCAAATACTAACTGGCGCAGGTCATCAAATGATACAAGCCAGGCCGGGATTCACTCTCAGAGGCAAATTGGAGCCCAAGGATTTATTCGAGACAGTTGCGCGGCGTAATGGGCCATTACCTCATTACCACCCGCAGATGCTCTTACAATGCTTGTTATGGGGTGTGTTGTCCTCGTTTTCTGCGTCACAAATCTCACATTGTCCCAGAGAAGATTTCACTCGTCAAGCAGATTGTTTCCAATCTGGCAAAGGAGATGAAGTATCTTCACCCCGAAGAACGTGCTACGTACGAATTACCGGATCTCCCAATCGAGTCGTTCTTGGAGAGAGACTCTCTCGGCGTATCTCAGCAGCCGGTACAGCAAAGCAAGAAGCCTAGAAGTTTGTTTGATGATGAACAGGCCCAGTGAGTGCCTCCGTTTGAGATGAAATATGCTCATCTGCTATCAAGGCAAGCGGAAGACATTGCGGGCTTCTCGACTACAGATGTCTCGAGGCTAATTACTGACCTGGAGGAAACTCCATTGCAAAGCCTCAGTGATATCGAAAACGAGCAGCTTCTTGTTCTATTACAAACAACACTGGATGTGAGTTGCTTAGCCAATGTCTATGGCAAGTCTAATTTGTCTAGATTGACGAGCAACGTCGGGCACTTGACGCAGATGGACTCCGCTATCTGATCTCTATGAACGTGTTTTACATTCTCAACAAACGAATAGCGGTTCCGCGACATGCACCTGTGCGAAAGAACACTTCTGATCAACAGCGCGGGTTGCGCGAGCGGATCCGATATCGTGATATCGTCTGGGCTTTCCACAGTGGTAGCCAAGATGTCTTGCTTGCTGCATCTACTGCAGCTTGTGGCGGGAAAATGGTCTGGACGGATGCGCGGGCGCTGGGCATATTCCTATGGCTCAATTCAATCGACACCGTGGTATGTGATTTGATAATTCCAGCTTGCATCTCTCACTATGTCAATAGAAAAGTCAATTCGAGGTCATTGCCAGAAATCAATACATGTCTGGCGAGGACCGTGATCCCAGTGCTTGTTGCCTCTTCTACTTTGCACTGGGAAAAATTCGCCTAGTTCAAGGCTTGTGGAAGCAAGCTGCGTGGCATCCTGAGCAAGGGATCATGCTCAAGTTCCTCTCCAATGACTTTGAAATTCCGAAGTGGAGGACCGCTGCACTCAAGAATGCTTTTGCACTATTAGGCAAGCGAAGGTTCGGTGCGCTGGTTCAATCGTATTTTACGGTGAATTATTCATGCCTTTGCAGAGATGGCTGCAGCATTTTTCCTTCTGGGAGGTAGTTTGCAGGACGCAGTTAATGTCTGCATCAAACAAATGAACGATTTCCAACTTGGTGTCGCCCTCGCACGTGTGGTCGAGGGTGATTCTGGCCCGATTTTAACGAGCATACTCAAGTCGACCGTGCTTCCGATTGCGTTTAAGGACGGTAATCGATGGTTGGGAAGTTGGGCTTTCTGGAAACTCAATAGGAGGGATCTCAGTGTCCGGATCCTGGTGGTATGTCTGAGCTTGCAGGCCATGCACATTCACTCACCAATCACCAGACTCCGCTCAAGGATTTTGCTGGGATGCTCGTCAATGAAGGGTTCATCATTCCCGAAACTGGAGAATCGAATTATGATGATCCGAGTCTAGCGCTGCTCTACTCACGGCTAAAATCTGCTTCATTGCAGACCATCAAGGGGTCAACAATGATACCCGGACAGCAAGAGTTTGACTTTGTGTTGCAGATTGCGCGCGTGTTTTGTCGAATGGGTGGGTTTCAGCCTATCTTTGATCTCAAACGTTGACTATTCTTTAGGATGCCATCCCCTGGCTCTCTATCTCGTAACGGACTGGTCCTTTGATCCACCGGAGCCCATTGATAGCTGGGCGTTCCCGAAGCAGAGGAAGAACGACTCCAGAAAACGGTCTGGTTCACCCGGCTCGCCTACACTCAGACGGTCAATGTCACGCAGACGTTCTGTCATTGACCTTGATCTAAACGTAGAGTCGCAGGTCTACGACGCAACAACGCCAAAGACTGGGTCGTTTATCCATCTTCCCTCGCTTCCAGAAACTACAGAGCTGAGACTGCCTAGTCCCGTTTCAGAGGAAGCTCCGACTCGTGGACGGACTGGGTTTGGAAGTCTGATGCAAGCGGCGAAACGCGAGCAACAAGTTCCAGAATTTGATATGGGAATGTTTGGCATGTAATAGGATTTGCTCTGTAGAAAAGACTTGACTGTGGCAATAGCCAGGTTGCTCTCGACGACCGCCTCGCTTTTGTTGAACACTCTCTAAATAGGACGATAAGTAATCATGGATGAAGAATACGACGTTTGTAACATCCAAGAGGTTGCTGTTCGCCGCTGATCGTCCTATTTGCAGGTCATCGTGTTAGGTACCGGGCTCACGGAGTGCATTCTCTCTGGATTACTCTCTGTGGAAGGCAAGAAGGTTCTCCATATGGATCGAAACGACTATTATGGCGGCGATAGTGCCTCGTTGAACCTCACGCAGGTGAGCCACTGACCCCATCCCTGCATCGTGTTCTCCATCGTCCACGAAAGAAACCTCGTTGTGCTTTCTCGCTTCCCTAAGCATGTTGTGTTGACAAATTCCGCCTGAAACATCGATAGCTCTACCGCAAATTCAGGCCGGACCAAGCGCCGCCAGCTGAGCTCGGCAGGGATCGCGACTATGCCATCGATCTCATCCCCAAGTTTATCATTGCGTCTGGAGAGTTGACAAAGATCCTCGTCCACACCAATGTTACACGCTATCTCGAATTTAAGCAGATTGCGGGATCGTTCGTCTACCGAGACGGCAGGATTTCAAAGGTCCCAAGCACGGAGATGGAGGCCGTAAAGTCTCCTCTTATGGGCCTCTTTGAGAAACGGCGCGCAAAGCAGTTCTTCGAATTCCTTCAGAATTGGAAGGATGATGATCCAGCAACGCATCAGGGCCGCAACCTCGACACTGAACCAATGGAATCGATTTATGCGTACTTCAAGCTCGAGCCCGGAACCCAGGACTTTATTGGTCATGCCATGGCTTTGTACCTGGACGACGATTACAAGAAGAAACCGGCACGACAAACCTACAACCGAATCATTCTGTACACATCGTCGATGGCTCGATGGGGCAAATCACCCTACCTCTATCCGCTTTATGGATTGGGAGAGCTGCCACAGGCCTTTGCTCGTCTATCGGCCATCTACGGTGGCACCTACATGCTAGACAAAAAGGTCGACGAGATTGTTCTCGACAGCCAGGGCAAGTTCGTTGGTGTCCGCTCCGGCGACGAGACGGTAAAGGCCAAACAGGTCATTGGTGACCCATCCTACTTTGGAGCAGGCGCTACCGGTGCAGGTGCTGGCAAGATGAGAGTCGTTGAAGAGCACAAGGTTGTGCGTGCAATTTGCATCCTCAAGCACCCCATTCCCGGAACAGATGACAGCGATTCTGCCCAAATTATCATCCCACAAAACCAAGTAGGCAGGCGAAATGGTGGGCACATTGTACCGTATGAGAACACCTTACCAAACCCATCTAGACATTTATATCGCCATGGTCTCGTCGACCCATAACGTCTGCTCAAAGGACATTTATGTGGCAATTGTCAGCACGATCATTGAAACCGATAAGCCAGAGCTGGAGATCCGACCTGGACTCGAGCTCTTGGGCCCAATTCATGAGAAGTATGATTCGCTCATTTCATAAAGTTACGTTGCTTACTGTGCCACAGGTTTGTCTCTATCAGCCCTCTGTTTACTCCCACCTCTTCTGGCAAAGAGGACAACATCTTCATCACCCGTTCTTACGACGCGACATCTCACTTCGAGACTGTGGTGGAGGATGTGCAAGATGTCTGGAAGCGCGTTATGGGTTCTGACCTTGTGCTCAAGGAGCGGGAGATTGAGCCGACCGAGTAAATGGGACAAGCCATGTATCAGCACCAACGAGTTATGCAATCAAATTTACAGTCTAGTGCGAGTATAAGCTAGGTCTGCAGTGCGATCCGGATGATAGTCTACGATGAGAGTGTCTTGCTCCATTCAATCACAGCTGGGTGAGCAAAGACTTTGTTCTTCTGGAATCCCACAACTTGAAGGCCCTCGAGAGATGTCGCTCGGGAAATGGCGACGTAGGCTTGACCTAGGTCGAACGTCAGAGCGAATCAAGTTGGGTCCCGTCATACAAACCTTTCTCAAAGACCTTGTTCAAATCTACTTTGACCCTCTCCAGAGTCTGGCCCTGCGATTTGTGGATGCTCATGGCCCATGCGAGAATGAGTGGAAGCTGTTAAAGCGTCAGTGGCTGATCAACGACGGATCGAGGGACGCATACCTGCATACGACTGACTTCAACCTTATTGTTCGGACCTTCAATCTTGAACGTCTCCGCGCGTATGAGGTCTGTACGCGTATGTCGAGAGCCCACAATCTTCCATTCCACAACGGGCCATTTCTGCACCTGAGCTTTGGATTTCGACTTGTCTTTTGGCTTGGAGGCGTCTGCTTCATTATCTCCTTCCAAGCTAGATCCATAACCCCGTTGACTATCCGCCCACTCGGACTCGGTCTTGAAGTCAATGACCTTGCCGACGGTACCGTTGACGAGTTGCTCATCCACATTCTTAATCATCATGACCTGGAAAAGGAGGCGCGTGAGCTGGCTGTGAACACAAGGCTCGAGAACGGCTCACCTGAGCGCCCTTTTTGAGGACGAGGCGTGCCGGTGCCATAAAGTTTGCTAGAACATTCGCCCTAGTACGCTCTTCTGCGGATCCACCGTCGCTTGCAACGTATTCATGAGATTTCCCTGTCAATCGCTGAAGTCGCTCGTGGTTGGCCCTGTCTACGTCTTCACGGCGAGGGAACCTAAAAGCCTCGATTATTAGAGTCACAAGGCTTGTAAAACTGTCTCCACGTACAGTTCTGTTGGTTCAATCTCATCGACTGGCAAAGGGCCACTGCGAGCCAGGAAGACTTTGGCCGCAGAATCAGAGATGATACCGCGGCGCATCTCGTTGAGAATATCGACAAAGGCTTGGTCCTTCTGTCGGAACACTTTGGTTAAGTTGAATGTGTGATGAAGGCATGAAGACCATGACTCGGCGTTGAAGGCGAACTTTGGCGAGCTGCCTTTGGTGACCGGGGGTAATTGGAAGAAATCTCCCGTCAAAACAAGCTGACAAGGTGTCAACCTTTTTTTGTGGTATCGTATCGGATTTATATACCTGAATGCCTCCGAAGGGCTTGTCCGCATGATTGCGTCTTACAATGCGAGCAGTCTTCTCCAGTTTGTCGAAGAAATCTCCTTCGAGCATTGATACTATGCAAATGTTAGTAAACGGGGGATTCTGAAGGGTCTACACCGACTTTCATCTATGATCAGAACTTTGGTTCTCGACCAACGGCTGGACGCCTTTTGATTCTTCTTAATCTTTGCCGCAAGTTCTGCTGGGGTCCCCGCTCCGAGTCCGACACCAGCAAACGAGTGCAATGTGACTCCACCGATGTTACAGGCCGCAATACCCGTGGACGCGGTGATGGCAATCACATCCTGACTTTTCGAATACTTTGAACGAAGCTCCTTGATGATTCTGCGAAGCAAGACAGACTTGCCGGTTCCTATTACACAAACGGTCACTTTACTGCTTCTATGGGTAGAGGACCTGCTTACCTGCCGAACCTGTAAAGAAGACATTCTTCCCCTCCATTACAACAGACAGAATGTTCTTTTGCTGAGTAGATAGGTTCACAAGGTCCAAAGGTTTGGACACCTTGGGCTTGTTGGTCACGAGCGGCTGGTTGTCGGCAGGCAGCTTCATGTTTTTGTGATCCTGCTCCCAGGGCATTACTTTTACAGCTGTAGAAGCTGCTGTTGCTGGTGGTACCGACGCCTGTGGTGGTTGAACATGTCGACGCTTTGGAGTAGGTTCGTCCTCGCTGTCGGATAACTCGACGACCTCGGACTTGCGCTTGGGGGGACGAGATGACGCAGTTTCCAGTCCTCTAGATTTCATCAAGTTACCCCTCTCTGCAATCTTTTGATCCAGCTTTTGCTTCGCCTTTATGACTTCCTTTTCGCCTGCCAACAAACTGTCACTAGCCTGCTTGATCTTTGAAAAGAGATCCTCTGTGTTTATCTGAATTCGATTAGCAATATAATCTGCTAGATATTAGGATCCCATACCGTGTTTTTCAGCGGCGTTGGCCTGACAGGTCGGATGGGCGAAGCTGACCACGGAATCGGGATGGAGGCTTGACTGCTTTTCTTGGGAGATGCTTCCTCTTCATCATCGTCAAAAAAACGTTTGATAGCCCGGAGCCCAGACTGTGTCATGGGTTTCGGCGGTTGGGGAGCGGGTTTGGGTGGGTGATTGGCAGTATTCCGTAGCATTTCGAGGCGATAGAAAGACGAGTAGATGATATAAGACGCGTTATAGTAGAAAGACGCGTGTCGACGCGTCAATCCAAAGTCGAGGTCAAAAGCAAACTGTTGGGCTTTGTTTGGCCACCCCGTGACCTGGCCCTGGCCAAAGATCCTAAAATCAGAAATATTGCTAAAATGCTTGGAGAGTATAGAAAGCTTATTTATGGTACTTTCTTGTGTTTTATTCACACCAAGTCGACAGACGGGGCTACAGATGGTTGAACACAGGAGCGCCCTACGTATAATTGGAGTAAGTATTGACATAAATCGCAGGAGGCGTCTTGTGACCCAGTCAACAATCTCAATGATTAATTGGTAGCTAGCGAGTGCTTTGCTTAGCATGCGAGCAATATACAGCTTGCCATACAATGGATGCATCGACAAGCGAGCAAGCAAGCGATAGCGTTCAGAAGAACTCGAACGGCGATCCGTTTCCGTGATAGTACTCGGCTCCTGCTTTCGGGGACATCTTTGCAGCGGTTTCATCTGGCAGTTTATGGCCGTGCCTGTCGGGTGCGATATCGTCTGGCTCAACGATTACCAGCTACAGAGTCCATCCCGTGCCCTAAGAGACCTCCAAAGGCCTAATTGGACCTCGTGGCAAATTCCAGGAGTATCAACGCCACTTTCAGTGGTGGGACCAAGATCGACCGCGGCCTCAGCAGATAAGGCTCGCCGGTAGCCAATCAGAGCCCGCGTGGCAATCTGGGTGGCCAGTCTATAAAGGTCGTCCGACCGACTAGTAGAACCTTCGTGAGCTCTTGTTCTCCCTCCCTTGATCCTCCTAGTCTTTGCCATGTCCGAAAAGGAAGTAGTCGACACCCAACCCACCCCAAAGGCTCCCATTGGAACCAGACTACAGAACAAGGCTCGTCACATCGTCACCAAAGTCACTACTCGTGATGGATGGGTCGGAGACTACGACTTTGGATGGCTATGCCTTCCAACACTTCCCTATGGCAAAGGCGGCAGTCGAAAGCTTCCCCCCTTCTACGGTCTCGGGGATGACATTCCCCTCCTTTTGGCCATTATTTGCGGATTTCAGCACGCCCTGGCCATGTTGGCAGGACTTATCACTCCACCAATTATCTTTTCAAGCGGTACTTATCCTTATCTTACTCGTGCTCCACTCATGACATGAAATGACAGCCCTCTCCCTTGATCCCTCCACGTCGTCTTATTTGATTTCCTCGAGCTTAATTGGATGTGGTATTCTCAGCGCCATCCAGATGGCTCGAATTCCTCTCTGGGGCCGATACTATTGGGGTATGCCCGTTCCTTTACACTATCAGCTCGAGTTTAATCATTTGGCAATGTAGGTACTGGTCTGTTGACGGTCGTCGGCATCTCCTTTGCCACCCTCTCTACGGGGTTCGCCATCTTCGCCGCTCTTTACGCCGATGGAACCTGCCCTTCAACCACCAACCCGGACGGCACAATCACACGTGGACCTTGCCCCGATGCCTATGGCATGCTCCTCGGCACTTCGATGCTCTGCTCGCTGCTCAATATGGCTTTGTCGTTTGCACCTGCGAAGACCCTGAAGCGTATCTTCCCCCCGGTCGTTACCGGTACTGTCATCGTCATGATTGGTGCCTCGCTCATCGGTGAATCCGGTGTGCTCAACTGGGGCGGTGGATCGAACAATTGCCACAACCGTCCTGCGGATGGCATTTTCCGCCTCTGCCCTACCATCTTCGCACCAAGGGCTGCACTCTGGGGATCTCCACAGTTTATTGGTAGGTGAATTCTTTTCAATTTTGGATGGCCCTCATGTATCGCAGGTCTCGGGTTCTTGTCGTTCGTGACTATCCTTCTCGTTGAGCTCTTCGGTTCCCCTTTCCTCAAGGTAAATCCCTCGCTCCTGTCCTAAACGTGATTCTTACCATACCCATCCTCTTTATGCTGTCAGAATGCCTCGTAAGTCTGCTTTATGATCCATCTCTTGGGTTCTGACACGTTCTAGGATCATCGTTGGTCTCGTAGTTGGATGCATCGTCGCTGGTGCCACTGGATATATCGATGGCTCGCCAATCAGGACCTCCCCGGCCATTACCTTCATCTGGGTGCATACATTCAAGCTCCGCATCCACCCACCGGCCATCCTGCCTATGCTTGCAGTCTACAGTGAGTTCACTCCCCTCGATTTTTTATTGTTCTGAATGATATCTCAGTTTCGCTCGCTATGGAGGCTATCGGTGATATCACTGCATCAGCAGAAGTTTCTCGAGTCGCCGTCGAGGGGTATGAATTCGATACTCGCATTCAGGGAGGTGTTTTGGGAGACGGAATTGGTGAGACTGGTTCGTATCCCCTCCGAGTACTCACTGTTCACAAGGTGGTCTTCTCAGCGGCTTGATGACGAACCCTCCCCTGTCCATCTTTGCTCAAAACAATGGAGTTGTCAGTCCTGTGATCGAATAACTCTATCGTATCTGACCGTTCGCAGATTGCCATTACGCGCTGTGCCAATAGGAAGGCCGGATGGTGGTGCTGTGCATTGTGAGTGAAAGGTGTACGGGCTTTTGAAGTAACTGACCCGCGCTAGCCTCATCTTCTTTGGTATTCTCGGCAAAGTATCTGGCGTGTTCCTTTCCAGTACGTTGGTTGGCTGAAGATGATACCCTTGCTTACCTGATCAAGTTCCGAATCCTGTCCTCGGAGGAGTGACGACCTTCCTGTTCGCCACTGTCATGACCTCTGGCATTCGTGTGCTCTCATACATCAACTGGTCTCGGTACGTACTATTCGAATCTACCAGGCTCTCACGGCTGAGATGATTTCTTATTATTGTATAACTATAGCCGAAACCGGTATGTAGATCTGTTCATAAGCGAGTATATGGTCCCTCATAAATCCACAGGTTTATTCTCGCTGCCGCCATGTCGTTTGGTATTGGCAACTTGCTCGCACCTAGCTGGTACGAGCATCTGTTCGATTCCGTTGAAGATACCGCCAGCCCTGGTCTCCGCGGTCTCTTCGACTCGATCACCATCATCCTTAGCACCCCTTGTACGTCGCTCGTGACTTTTGCATGCGTTCCATTACTCACGTCGACTCTAGTCCTCTCGGCTGGTATCATTGCGGTCCTTCTCAACGTTATTCTCCCAGATAACGAAATCGTTCCCAAAGATCAACCTCCCGTAGTTCACGATGAGGATCACGACGTCGAGGCGCAACCAATCACTCATGCCACTGCCGAAGATGCCGAGTCCGTATCGAGCAAGAACGAAAAGAAGTGAAATGGCTATCAGTGCCCTGCTGTGTAGAATTGATTTTGTCTCGAATGTACATCATGGAACTACGGATTGTCCAAACTCATCTCGAATACATTACGTGATAGAAAACCGTCTAATTTTGATGAGATCTCGAGCGACCTGGAGATTATTGACCATTTGCTAGCCTAAGCCATTTGAGTGGCGGACTATCTTGACTCTGACCACGACTTTGGAGCCACCTGGCAGCGGCTATCATTAACCAAGGAATTCTTTTGGGGGCACGACATCTATCTGTGAGTCTGAATCTGTGTTCCCGACCACTGGATGTAACACGTTGGACACGGTTAGCAAGTAGGAACATTTAAACGACAACCTTGGAATGAAAATCTCGATATAAATGTCTTCAGACGTACTTACATTCGGGGACTGGGATGTCACCTTTACAGACGGTGCCGCAGTCTCCAGTATCTCCTCCCATATCCTCCACACCGACTTGCTCCTTAAGAATCTGAGCTCGCAAGTAACCAACCAGATGCTGCAAGCGGAAATAGCACAGTTTGGCAGCGAAGCATCGGTGATGCGAGATTCTCGCCGAAAGCGAGCACGGATACGTTTCCTCGATGCAGAGCCGGCTAAGCAAGCTCTTGCTGTCCTGGATAGCAAACGCTTGGGACCTTCACGCATTGAAGTGACATTGGATAGGACAAAAGACTTGCAGTGGATCGAAGATGGTATCCTTCTCAGCTACGATACCTGCGAGACCACCGCAAGCGTGTCCTTTCTGACCGCCGAGGAAGCTACCGAGGCGTTGGGGCTCAACAGGAGCATGTTCCAAGGGAGGCGACTTCGTGTTACTCAAGAGTCTGAGACTCGTCTTCTTGTCGAAGAACTTCCTGCCATCTTTGACGAGGACGACCTCTTGACGTTCTTCGGTGCCCAAACTATCGAAATCACACGCGACTTTGGCGAAGACTCGGACATTCACGCCCTCTTACAAGCTCTAATCAGGGAACAACCCGGCTGTGCTTCGCTGCACGTCGTGCCTCTCCCTGCCGAACTAGGTCGTGGTGCAGGCTGGATACGGATGTATAACGAAGAGCGGGTGAAAGAAGTTGCCACCGAGGTTCGTGGGCTACGCCCCATCTTCCTTGGGGGGAATGTAGTACAGGCGCATCGTGCCCAATGCTTCGTTTGGAAGGTATCTCCCGAACACATCCACGCCGTCTATTCCCTTTTGGATGAATTAGAAATAGAGGGAGCCTATCTCAAGTACGATGCCAAGGCCACGGAGGAGCAAGAGGTTCGACTGGTTGCCTCCGACCTGAGGAAGCTCAGAGCAGCCCACTGCAAGATCGACGTTATTATCAATGGGATGGTCTGGACCAATGGTGGACCAATATGGGATAGACACTGGGTCTCGGAGGAAGGTCGTGCATTCATCCAAGAGGTGAACCAGGTTTCCACTGCATATGTCCGTGCAAACATGTTCGAAAGAATAGTTCGGATAGCAGGCAGAGAAGAGGCAAAGGATTGCGCCATCGCAATGCTTCAGAGTTACCTGGACAAACTCGACAAAGAGCGACATTTGATCAAGCTGCCCAAGGAGCTCATGCAAGAGTTCATTACACACGGGCTTCCTCGACTTGGGAACAGTCTCTACCACTTTGACTCGACGATAGGAAAGCGGCAAGACGTCGAGTTCAACGGGAGCGATGACGCCCGCCAACAGCTATACCTCGTGCTCGATCAGTGTGCGACAGAAGTCTCACTTCGCTCACGAGGGGGAGACAGGCCTACTTGTGGGATTTGCACAACGATGGTTACAGATCCCCTTGAGTTGGAGTGTGGCCATGTATACTGCGCAGAATGCGTTATTCATCTCGTCACGTCTGCTGTCGACTTTCCAGTACAATGCATCGTCGAAAATTGCAACTACGCACCAAGTCTGCGTGTTCTACGCAGAATTGCGCCGCCGCCACAATACAGACGTATGCTGGAGATCTCCTTTCGGTCTCATTTGCGCGGGAGCACTCAATATTTCCCTTGCCCAACCATTGACTGCCCTCAACTGTGGAACGTCAACTCCCACAAAGATCCCTCGCGCAGGATCACCCAATGTTCCACGTGCCTTATCTGTATATGCATGGCGTGCAAGGTAGAAGAGCATACTGGAATGACCTGTGCGGAGTACCAGAGATCAAGAGCATATCACGCTGCTGAGAGAGATATGGCGACTTGGCGAGCAACCAGAGGAGCAGCTATTAAGACCTGCCCTTCGTGTGGATGTATCACGGAGCGCATTGATGGATGTCCACACATTCATTGTACTCAATGCAATGCTCACTGGTGCTGGGAGTGCAGGCGAGTCTTTCCACGTATCGAACTTGTATACTCGCACATTCGTCGACGCCATATTCTGGCAGCTCGACAGTTCCTTGCTCCAGCTCACCTCGAGAGGTGAGCACCCAAGGTCAAGGGGTATTCCCGAGCTCCGAGATCACATTCTCCTGGTGCAAAGGCTCTGACTAGATTGGTTGGTTATCTGATGTACAGATGTGATAGTATCTCTTTTTACTGTTGTATCACTGGATATATGCGACATTGCCTATTCTAGGTCTCCTCGACTGAGTTAGGTATAGGAAAGTGGGTCAATGACAACTCGTTTTAAACGATCATCGATGGTCTGCTTCGACTATAAGTGCCCGCTGCCTCGCATCCCGTTGGCGGTGCCGCATCTCACGGCCATAATTTGAACCCAACCATATTCCAAGGCCGAAACGCTCTCCTCCAAATTTCCTACTTTTACATTCCAATATGAAGCCCAGAAGCTGGCTTCATGGTGCCTTGTTCAGTATCTGCAGTGCGGCCTGCGCATTTGCGTATACTGAAGCCATTGGGAGCGAAACTGCACGCCAAGTCTGCTCTGGAATGTACGGAGGGTCGAATGCCTACATAAATGGTTCGTATTTACGCTGCATATATATGAAACGCGCCGAGCTCACACTATTCGTGGCACAGTGACTTTTGATTCCTCTTCCGCGGGCCAAATAGCTATGGCCATCTACGAGTGGAAGGACGTAATGTATCTGGGAAAAGTGACTAAAGGGGATGAACTGCTTCCTGTGAGTGCCAGTCACGCCCACTATCATCTTTCGCCAACCATTCATCGGTCGTCCTAGCAGAAAACGTACATCTGTACGACCGATGCAGTCAATCAAGGATATTGCAAGGACCAAGAACTAGGCAGATTCATCGTCACCTTGCCCGACACGGCTAGTGCTCACAACACCAGTATCTGGACAAGACGAGTTGTGTTTCCTAACCAGTCGAAATCGGCAACGACCAAGGATAGTGTCAGTGCTGATGCTGGCTTCTGGGATAACCCCGCGGGGAACCCAGAACTCCCTCCAGAGGCCTCGGAATACAGCAGCCCTTGGAAGCGATCACCCGTATATACTGAAGGCGGCAACACCACTTACGACGACGATACGTTTCACATTATGGTCTCCAACTCGACGTCGAGCGGCGAAGGCGTTTTGCACTACAAGGAGACTATCCACTATCCGGTTCCGAATACGGGTTAGTCCCATTGACTAAATATACTCATGCTCATCTTTATCAGGCTTCTATTGCGTGGCGGCTATCCCTTTGACTGTGGCGGACAGCCAAAAGCGACAGTCGTCTGGTTCCGGAGCGAACATCCCAGGTCATCCATCCTACCACGGGACTGTTCTTTTCAAAAATACATTTAAAGGGCAACTAGCCGCGGCAGAATACCCCAAGATTGATGTGCGTGGATCTTCCCCCGTTAGTTTCGGTTTCTGATATAAGATTATTTAGTTCTATCTGGCTTTGACCATCATTTACACGATACTGGGGGCTGCGTGGGGTTACCTCTGCTTCCGACACCTTGCAGACCTATTGCCGATCCAGGTGAGTTCCCTTGCGGAAAACGAGACCAACTGACACTTCTGTAGTATTACATATCATACCTTGCTGGATTCCTCGTAATTGAGATGCTGGCAAACTGGGGTATGCCGTCTACGGGCTAGCGGTTCTCTCCTAACTATTATTCAGCATACTATCGCTTCGTCAACGCACACGGGATGGGTGTTTCAACCACCATCCTTCTTATTGTCGGTACGTATCTGGAACGATAGCTTCAATTATTCTAACCGCAGACATAGTCACGATTCTGGACGCTGGACGCAACGCGCTTTCCTTTTTCCTCCTCCTCGTAGTTTCGCTTGGTCTCAGTGTCGTTCGTGACACTCTAGGTCCGGCTATGCGACGTGCAAAGATTCTCACCGGCTTGCATTTCGTTTTCGGAGGTCAGTGCCTTCTTATGATGTGCCTCTTAGACTAATAGTATGCAGTGCTCTATTCGATGGGCCTGGTGTATCTGAGCTTGGAGGCGACCGACGCTTTGATATTGCTTATGTTCGTCATTCCGCTGGCGTTCACTCTATCTTCGTTCCTTCTCTGGATCATGCACGGACTTGCCGGTACAATCGCAGAACTGAGACAAAGAAAGCAACGTTACAAGCTTCGCATGTTCCGACGACTTCAACTCATCCTGATCGGTGCCGTCATCGTCATTGGAGCTTTCTTTGTTCTTTCGTCTTTTTCATTCTCCAGTAGGACAGAAGAAGGTAAGACCTAGTCGGTTGATGATTCATTTCACTTATCAGCACACAGACTTTGCTCCGAATAGCTGGAGATGGCGCTGGTGGCTGATTGACGGTTATTTGGCGCTCCTCTACCTTGTCGTTTTCTCTTCAACAGCATACTTATGGCGGCCTACTGGCTCGAACCGGCGATTGGCAATGTCTGATGAGCTTGCACAAGATGAAGAAGATGCAGAGGATTACGACCTTGAGGCGCTCGAGTCTCGCGGGCAGCCTCATCCACTCAATGCGGACGGCATTCCTGAAGCGCCACGAAGCGGCCGTCGACATGTTGTTGGAGAGGACGAGACGGTGTTTGAGATTGGTGAAGACGATGAAGACGAGGATGGGCGCCATACCGGTCGAACCCCGACATCGAGGCGTACACAGAGACACAGTGACGAAGGTCCACGGGAGGAGCACGAGCAGGAGGGACTCATTTCTGCCCAACGATCCGCACACTAGTTTATTCGATCCACGATTGCCTTATAGTCATTGTACGTTGCTAAATAGACTATTTAAGCCTTCTTTTTAGGGCCGTCAAAAGATCTTTCGTCAGTGGCAAGTGCACCTGAGGCCTTCGACCGCACCATCTCAAAGGCTAAACTCGCCTTGGGTCAAAGATCTCGCAAGCGGATTTAATGCTTCAGGTACCCGCTATAATCGATGAAATTCGTCGGATGGACACTCATCTCCATCTTCCAGGCTCCCAACAATGCTCCTTTCAAGTACAGCAAACTCTGCCATTCCATGTTTAAGGTTCAACAACGAGAAATGCAATAATGAGACATGCTCCTTCTCACATAGTCCAGATTCTTTCTCCCTCAGCTCGGGGTAGGTCTTCAACGAGCAACGGAGATGACCTTCTAACAGTCTGGTGTCAAGGGGACCAAATGTCTGCCTTCTGTTCCTCACAGACCGCTGCATTGGAGATACTTGTCGGTACTCTCACCGTTTGGAGCACCTCGATTGGACGCCCGACGAAGTTCAGATGGCCGTCAAAGACCACCTTTTGGTGATCGATATGTACCTTCAAGGACTTCAGAGATTTGAAAGCTCTGCTGCTCCGGGGGTACCATTGGTACAAGCCTCTATGAATACGTCTCAACATGTCGCACCCCCCTTGCCAGGCTCGGTCGAAGAGGTGTGGCCAACGCCCCCCAGATCTAACTCTCACGAGGACGAATGTGGGACTGGTGCAAACAATCTAGAATTAGGAGATACAGAAGAAGCGAATCATGATTATCTAATGTCAACGGTAGCTCATTCTGATTCCTCAAGGCCAACTCCGCCGGTTCAGACGTTGAACCCAAGGGCTCCAAGCTTTGTGCCGTCTTTCGTAGTCGGCCAGGGTGAGATTCCGTCTGAAAAGGCTCCAGAACAGGCCTTGAACCCTTACAGCAGTGGCTATGCTCATGGGTACATACCAGTCACCTCGCCTGAGACGGAGGAGGAACACCTAGAGGGAACAACCCATCCAGATCACCAAGGATATACCGAGACTCCGGAAAATGCTCCCGTTGAGGAGTTGCGCGCAGATGATCAAGCCGACACGGTACAACACGGTGCCACAGAGGCAGACATCAATGGATGGGTGCCTCGTGGACCGTCTAACGTTGGGTGGGACGATCCACCAATCGCATCAATTGCTACTGGAGATGGTACACAAGAGCCATGGAGGATGAACTTCCATGGACAATGGGATGCGAACCCACCGGTCGATGCCTGGCAGAACCCAGCAGCCATCTCGGGTTCAGCCGAGCCTCAGGCTCCAACAATGCACACCCAGCCTGACAAGAAAGGCAAGAAATACGACCGTCAATCTCGTAACTCCCAGAGCAAGCTGCAAAGCAAAGCAAAGACCCAACTACCACCCAGTAATAGAACAAATGCCAAGACTCAGCATTTGGGCTTCAGGAAAGCTCGCAAAGATAGAACGTCTCTTCAAAAGTCTCTCCTTTCTTCGCCATTCAGTACAGTGCATACGGAAACTCCTCCACCACCTGTAGAAAAACCACCTCACCTAACAGAAGAGCAAAGGGATCTAAACTTGTACAGGAAATACCAACTTCCAGACATTCCCGGATGTGTCAAGCCATCTGTAGAAAAGGAATTGGAGATTATTGCTGCCAACGCTGCAGCTTCACGAGCCAATAGCTCCAGTAATACGCCCAAACACTCGCCAGGGGGGTTTGGACACGACCTCAGCACGGTTTGGTAACCTACCACGCCAGTGAACCACCTCTAGGGAGCCCATCAACGTTCTCGCAGTCATTTTCAACATTCATGGACAAGAGGCAAAGTCTGAGCGTGGGTTGTTGATGGAAATAAAGCCATAGTAAAGCCAACTGCTTACGATTGTGAACTCTTATCTGTCTTGTACAATTCATGTCTACCGTGTCCATCGTCATCATGCCTTCTCCGCTACATGGCTTCGATGACCTTGACGCATCTTATCACCAAGACTGACATCCATGGCTCGCTTTTGTTGACCACTGAGGAAAGAGCCACCTTGAATACCATCGCGAGCATTTCTCTTCCTCTCTTCTTCCTCTTTAGCGAGCTGAGCAGCATCTCGTGCATTGAGTTCGGCGAGATGATGACCTCGTTCTACCTCCATAGCATCTGCGTCCGTTGACATTGCAGCTAGACGAGCAGCACGATCCTTCTCGTCATAGGCCCTTCGAGAAGACGACGTGGATGGTTCTGGGGAGCGTCTCCTTGAGTGGTACGAAGAAGGGCCATCACGTCGTGAATACCGATCTTTGTAGTGTGGCCTTGACTCGGGGGAACGCCTTCGAGGTGGAGTTCGGCTGCGAGATTGTCTGCGGGTATCCATAGGCGAGCGTTTAGAATAACGAGGGGATGGGCTGCGCGAACGACGTCGATCTCGCACAGGCGACGGACTGCGCAGACGGTGCTTTGGAGCAGGACTAGGGGAGCGACGAGAATGACGGGAGTAGCGCTCATTGGAAGGAGGAGTGCGACTGCGTGAGCGAGAACGTCGGTGGTGCTCGTCGCTGTCATGGTCCTTTGAGCGGTGGTGCCGGTGTCGACGTTCGTCGTCTTCATCATGATCATGCCTTCGCTTGCTCTTTTTGTCCTTCTTTTCTTTCTTGTCTTTTGACTTGAGCGTGATGCCGGTCTTCTTCTGAAGCTCCTCGAGGCGGAGGGGGTTATCGCGCAGGGCTTGCATTGCACTCTGCTGTTGCTGCATCACTGCAAAAAGTGGGTCCTCACGGATTTTGGCCGCAATATCCCGCGCGGTGTTGGCGTTTTGGACAGCGATGAAGTTCTTGTGCGATGCGCCCAACTGTCGAGGTAACAAAGCGTGTTAGCGACGTGATATAATCCATATTAGTAAGCATACCTTTGCATTCTCATCTGCAATGAGAATCTTGTCCACTCGCTTCTTGCCCAGGAGATACTCCTCCATTTCGCTGGCGTTGGGTCCGCTCCCGGACGCTGGAGTCGCATAAAGCCAGTCCAATTTCTCAACACGCGTTTTCCCCGTTTTCTCCTGCTGAAGCCTCTGGAGCTCTTGAAGCTGTCTCTCCTCCTCGCGTTCTTTCCGGAGTTCCTCGACCTTTCTCCTTTCCTCGAGCTATGAAACCAGGTGATTAGCTATCTCTACATGTCAATGAAGAATAGACGTACCGCCTGCTTTTGTGCGAGCCACACCTGCTCTTGATTCTTCATGAGCATGGGGTGCCATGACTTTTTCATGTTCAAATCTAAAGAATTGTTAGTAGATCCCCTGATAGAAATCGCGTTGACATACCTCCGCCACCCATCTTTGCTGCTTGTAGATGCTAATGTGGTAAATGGCTTATGATGGTCGGCGGCAAGTTACCTCCACACCTTGCCTCCCGCCCATTCGGACGAATATTCTCCTTGTCGAAATGAGGAGTCATTCGCTGGAATTACGTGATCCTTCAATGTCTAGTCCACCTCACGAGGCCGATACAAGCAGCGCGAGCAGCTCGGACGATGAGCTGCTGCATGATGAGCCGCTCCAGGTCGCCGTTGTCGCCGCTGAAATGGCAGAAAACGAACAAGAAGATCGTCAATGGCGCCGCTTTTTCATGAGGAGTTTGGCTCTGACATGCGCGATGTCATTGAGCATCGGCTCACATTTGTAAGTAATCTCTCATCAATCTAACGAACGCTAAGACTGCTCTCGTTTCATCCCTTCATGCTAGTGGGTCGTATTTTCTTGGGCCGCTCAAGTCTAGACTCTCCAGGGAGATCGGCACATCCAATGCACAATTCTCCCTCCTGATTGCAGCATTCGATCTGAACAGTACTTGGACACCTCTTGTTGGTGGCTTGCTCGTCTGCAAGTTTGGAACCAAGTATGCGTCCATCGCGGCGACGACCATTATCCTCCTAGGGCAGACCATCCTGCTTATTGGGGATCTCTCAGGCAGTGTAGTGTGCATGTCCGTCGGTCTTTTCACCTTCGGACTTGGCGTCAGCCCGTTGGCTGTTGTTCAGGTGAGTTTCTCGTGATTCAGTTCGGCAGGTCGAGACCCGTTATCTGATTACAGACCAGGAGGCCATCGTTGTCCGCTTCTTCGCATCGCACGGTCTCGGCGTTTCTCTCGCCATTGGATTAATCGCTGGCAAGGGCGCCTCCTTTGTCTCCGCACGAATATCATATCCGCTCTCGCAGACCTGGGGCTCACATGCTCCATTCGTCCTTGCAACACTCCTCGCTTTGTTCTCCTTTGGCGTCAACATCATCTATCTGCTGTGTTCTTCATGGCTTGCAAAGGGCGCCGGGATCAAGCTTGAACCCGGCGAGGAAGAAAAAGAGTCGGCTGTCCCGGGCGCGCGGATGAGCGCCCGCGACGCAACTGCAAAGGTCACGGAAAAGAGGACCGTCCGGCTTAGAGACATGCAACGATTTGGGGACGTCTTCTGGCTCTATCTCGCGATCAATATTCTATGCGGCGCCATCTGGTCTCCTTTTACGCATCTTGCTGCGTATGTTGGACCTTTATCCCATCTTCCTTGCTCATTGAATGAATAGGAACATGATTCAACACAGGTACAACCTGTCAGAAGCCGAGGCAAGTGACCAGGCCTCACTCTTGCTCGCCGGCAGCCTCTTCCTCTATCCAATCGTCAGTTCACAATGAATTTGGGTGCAGAAGATGCTGAAACATTCTAGGCTGGACTGCTCACGGATAGGCTGAAGCATGGATCCACCGTATTCATTCTTTTCGCCATATCCTCATTGCTCACCCTATTCTGCTACGGATGGCTAGTTTTACCACCTACATGGACCGTCTCGCCAATGCCTGCAATGCTGTCCTTCAGCGGAGGGCACGGATTCTCCACCTGTGAGTTCAGCAGTTATAGCAGACAAACGACTCTGACAAGCCATAGTGCTACTGGTCATTCTTGTGCCGCATATCCTCCCGCTTAGTCACGTACCGACTGGCCTCGGTGCCCACAAGAGTGTATGTGGTTCCGTTCACGACCTTGGTTGATCGCTCACGACCACCTAGATTGAAAAGGCCGGTTCTACAATTTCACAAACTCTTGCAGGCCTCATTTTGGATGTCAAAGGACAGAAACATGCTGCAAATTCCGACAAGGCTCATTTAGACAATGGGGGCGATGGCAACTCGCTGCACTCTATCCAAATCCTCCTCACCATTTTCTTTATCATCAATGTCGTCCAATTCTTTGGCACACTCGTTCTGTGGCGGGATGGGTCGCATCTCCAATCCCACCCACGACACAATTCAACGTCCACCTACCGCCCCGTCCCCTCAGATGACGACGCGACGAGCCCGACATCTCGTCGACACAGCCAGCTTCCAACGCAAGTATCTGGATCAGCCATTCTTTCCGACGAAGAAGAGGCCTTGATACCTCAATCAAGTCGGAGGAGCGACGGGGCTCGACTCGCTGGTCGTCTTCGGGGTGACGGCAGCTGGGGTCGTCGCACGAAGCCCCTCTTGCTCAATCCCGATGCTCCTCACATAAACTATCATTCCAGCTCTCCGATCTTGGCGCATCCAGTTCGGAACCGCAACCACCCAAGTCTTGTTCGCTCTACGCGACAACGAAGGCGGGGGAAGATTTACATGATGTCCTACATTGGCGTCATAGTCGCGACCTGGCTGATTTTCCTCACCACTGCTGCAATCAAGTTGAAGGGCAAGAAGCCCTAGTTTTTGTCTCGACTCTCGCTATCGAGTTTGGATCGTCCAAGTGTATTATTATCTGCAAAGACACGATGTATCGAAATATTTCATAACACCGTTTTTAATCCCAAAGAAATCGATGTTGCAATCCTAGACGTGACATACATGGAAACATGGGGACAAAGGTGCAGTACGTAAATAAAAGAGAAAAGCACTGCGAGGGACGAACGAAGGTAGTGTACACAAAAGGGTTGAATGGGTGGGAGGGTATTGGAAGTGTCACATCTTGGAAGAAAAAGGGATGTCTCGCAGAAGCGTCATCTCTTTACGCCTGCTGCGTCACCGAGTAATGTCTGTCATTTGAAATATAACTTCCACCCTCGTTTCCCAGACGACTCGTTTATCCGCGCCTCCTCCAAAGCACGAGCTTCACGAATCATGAGCGTCTATAGGAAACAGTGAGTTTGGCAGCGGAGGAGAAAGCGTCGTAAAACGTACGTCGTAGTCCCATACAACCTGGTTGAACACCAAGTTGCCAATGGTTGGGCGTTCCTCAAGGTCCCTGTAATCGGGCATCGTGAAGCACCGGTTTTGGTACAGTGTAATCGTTCCGACAAGTTTTCCCATCAGTGTAAACTTGCCCCAATGAATGAGGTTGGGATTTTGCGGATGGTAGTCGAGATTACGCTCCTCCGTCCTGAACAGATCGGAACCATGCCGTTCCCTGCCCACATGATTAGATCCCTACAAATGATCCATAGAAAAAAAGGCTCACAAGTCTGGAATGGCAGGTCCCACAGTGTGTTTCAAGGCTAGACGGTAAGTCTGGCCCATAGCCCTGGAGTTGAGAAGGACGTGCAAGCTCTGGAACCCTTTCCAAAGCGAGTTCGGTTTCGCCATCATGATCTGCGTGAGCTCCTCGTCATCGTTTCCTCTCACGCTGTTGATCCCGGCCACAAAGGCTTTCATCCCCATATAATTGTTGAGTTGACGGAGAGCTTTTGCCACCATGACTAGCTTCTCCATAATTTTAGCACGTGCGCTCGGACGATCAAAGACGACGATCATGGCCGACACCCTACAAGCCTTGAATGCATGCGCAACGTCACAAACGATCAAACACACCAGCAACACAAGTAGTTGAAAAGATGTCCCAGCTGGCCGATGGAATCATTCTCTTTATCGTAATCCTTGTTACTCAGTGTTCGTCGCAACCAATCCCGCGCCTGGCGAAACATCAGTACGCAATGATTCCATAAACGGCGGCAAGCATACTTCTATTCGTCGGAAGAGCAGCAGCATCCGCCGTGTCACTTCTTGAGCAATATGCACGGTTTCCATGTTTTGAATGGCATTCGCAACGTTCATAAGCTCTCGCGGATTTACGCGAGGTTGCTTTCCAGTGATGCGCGTGGATGTAATAACCTTTTCAGGCGCCTGCTGGAGATGAGACGAGCCGGTTGGCAATCGGGGCTGCGCTGGCATCGAGGGCTGGCTAGAAACGGTGGCAACATCGGGTGCAGAAGAGGACGCTTTGGGCGGATACGGTCTTTGAGTGGTTTGGGGTGGTGGTCCTGGGTTTGACGACGCGGGTGGTCGCTTTTCAAACGCGCCCTTTGCCTTACCGAGGTAAGTCTCTTCGTCATCTTCCAATGCCAGGACGGCGTCTTCGTCTGTACCGTCTGCAACTTCATCATCGCTATCCACACCAACCGTGTCCTCTTTTTTACTCCATGATGCCTCGCGGTCCGTGAGGTTCGGCACTTCCTCCAAGAAAGGCAACAAGTCGGACGCATAGTGGACAAGATGAACGTTTGAGACGATTTGCTTGAGCAGAGCTGAAAGTGCACCAAAGGTGCCTGGAGCTCCAAAGTCGGTCGGATAATTGTCCTTCCACTGAGACAAGAGGTTGCATATGCTGCGGGGCGCGTCAATTAGGATAAACGGGGCCCTCAAGGGAATTCTACCAACCGCATCTGGGCAAACTTTGCAAGCAGTGGATCACGAGTTTCTTTGCTCAGTTGTATCATCCGTTTCTGCATGCCAAGAAGGACGCTCCGCGGGCTCGCAAAGCGGCGATAGGTGAGGAAAAAGTGCTGGATGAAGACGGGATCTAGTAAAAGGGTGTATCAGAAGCAGTTATGTGTCATAAAAATACCCAAAACAACGAACCATCTCCCGAGACGGAGACAAAGAGCAATTTGTCCAAGATTTCGTCCAACGTAGCCCATTGCAGCGAGGTGCTGGACATGTCATCAGAAGAAGAAAAATGTCAGTTATGCACCATAGGACGGGGCTTTATGGGACAGACGGACCTGTCATGATTGCGCGCCACGTCAGGGGCGACGGCTGTTCCGTCGTTGGTTCCCCCGGTTCTTCCTTGCAAAGGAGTCTGTTGAGCGGAGGAAGAGCTAGCCGTTCTTGGAAGCGGTCCATCTGATGCTCCCGGGTGAGGAGACGCTGTAGCGGAGGTGCTAGTGGCAGTGCCGGTTCCTGTCCCAGGCCGAACTGGAGTGTCCGCGACCATGTCGTTTGCGGACCGCGTTCGTATGGGCGAATTTGTCGGTGACGAGGGCGAGTGACGCAGTGGAGGTGTGGCGGACCGTAGAGTGTCAGACTCTGCCATGACAGAGTCGAAGGACGTGCGGGCAGTAGACGGGAGGGTTGGGGATCTGCCATTCGACAGCTGCTTTGCGCTAGTTCCATGACTATCGGTCGGTAGAATGGCTGGCATCGAGCCATTGGATTGGCGGCCACCAGAAGTAAGCGAATGGACCGCAGTGTCGGATCCCGAGGTCGTCGTTAGACCGTCCCAGAACGGTTGCGAGCCACGCAATGCTTGGGGTGAGGCTGGGTTTAAATGAGATGGATCTGACAGGTCAAGCATGCCACCTGGTCAACGATTGTCAGCATAAGGGTCGAAGACCTTATTATGCATCACTCACGGCGATGTCTTCCAATGGATTTGATTGCCCAAGAGAATGCCGATCTCATCTTCTTTTTCCCATCCTCTGTGTTGGCCGTGACTTCGATGAGACCGACTCCAAACTGACGCAAGGCCAAATCGGCGTCACGGGGCAGAACAGCCATTTCGAGGTCAGATTTACATGCAAGGGCGATGATGGAGAGGTTATGACCAGTAAATCCGGCTGCAAGACGGTCAGCGGGGGGAGTTTCAATAGTGACCAGAAAACGGACCAATCACATCCATCACTCGAGTAAACGAACTAGGCTCTGAAACATCGTAACAGATCATGACACCATCTAATCTTTGATTCGGTAAAGGCCATGGTTGTTCTGGCGTGCTCAACGCGGTGTCCAGTTCGAAAATGCGGACCGTCTTTGGGACAGGGCCATCGATGCGCAAGTCGGTATAGGAGACTGCTCGGAAAAGGCAAGTAAGTGACTGGAAAAGCCCTAGGTGTGGGGTGGCGGGTTTGACCAACCCTGGGTCGGCGAAACTTTTCAAAGGGAGGGGCATTAGGCATGGGGAGAGAAAATGCCACGTACCGGTAGAACCTGCAACTTGAATCACACTTGTATCTGCCAGGTTGTAGTTTTTGATAATCTTGCGAATGAGAGTCGACTTTCCGCACCCTTTGGCCCCTACAAAGGCCAAACAGTACTCTGGATCGTTGATGGGTTGTACGTTTGAATCCCTTGTCGTGAGTAGTTGGAGAGGTTGGCTCGTGTGAGAAGCTTGGAAACCAGGCGAGGGCATGGCCGCTCCTGCAATGCTCGTGGTCCGTTGACGACTGACGGTGATCGGACCCGGAGCATTGGCGCGGCGTGGTTCTGGCGGTGGAGAGGTAGGAAGCGGAATCTGTTGCGGATAGGACGCAGAGGGCGCGTGCGGAAACGAAGCCGTCGGGTTGGTGCCAGCCGACGAGACGGCTAGTCTTCGCGTCGTCGGGACTGTGGTGACTGAAGACGAAGATGAGCCCGCTCTCGCGTCGTTTGACAAGGGATATGCGCCACTACCGCTACCGACCAAAGGCGGGACGGTCGGCGCACTGGACCCGCCACCTTGTGAGCCGCCTGGGGCCCTGTTGAGAGAGCCCAGATTGCGCCCTTGCATGAGCCTGTTCCTCAGCATACTCGTCCTCCTCGTCCCTCCCCCGCCATGGCCGTCTTCAGTATCCGACAGTGCTCTCGACGCTGACGGGGGGTGGTGCGATCCCGAAGGTGGAGTACCAGCAGACGCAGTGAGGACCCTTCGATCAATCTCTGGCAACTCTCCCGCGATAGATTCCAAATATGCGTGTCTCTCCGCGGCGTTTGTCAAGGACATGTTCCATCTCGGGTCCAGCGCGGGATCTGCAGATCTCAGGGGTGTCCTGAGATGCGCATGAGGCGCTGAAGAATGCTCGCTGCTGTCGACACTTGCGCGGGGCTGAATAAAGCTGTCGACAGACATTGTTGATGACCGTTGGAACGCTCAGAGTTCCGCCGGGAGGCTTCCAGGCCGTCTATCGTGTTTTCTAAGGGTCTATGTCGTGATTTGAGCCGTTTGTAAAGTCGTGACGTCGCCTTTGAGAAACCGGTCAAGGCGTGGTAGGAGTACAAGGTTCACTTGCCCAGTGTTACCCAAAAGGTGGCACGCCCGCTTCTCCTTAAGATTTGGTTAATTGTATAACCGGATTTGAATATCCTTGGCGAACATGTCGCGCCAACCAGTCTAGCGCAGCCTCGTTCCTATTGCCGTGGGGGGCCCCCAGCCTAACTACTCTCATAATGTGCAACACTGCGTTCCTGCGTCAGTGCCTGCCAATATCACGATTTCTAAAGTCTAACAAGGTCTCAATATCAGATGGGAACACTAGATCAATGAATGGCGTCCATCGGGACTAGCTAAGGAACAGGACTAGAGCGACATATCATATCTATGCAGGAACTATTGAAAACCGAGTCTGGTCCGTGAAAACACCGTCTTAAAACTGCAGAACCAGGCCGAGCATCGCGGTAAGCGCAAAAGCGCCAAACGCGACCGCCCCCGTCGGGCCCATGCCAGAGGCAGCGTTTGGGTGTGGGGAACCCGTTGCGGACACGGTTTGTGTCACACCGGCAGCGGTGACGACGGCCGAGGGATCAGAGGCAAAGATCTTGACTGACGCCAGCTCAAAGTAAGCGTTGACGTAGTTTTTGGGATCCAAGACGTAGGTCGTATAGCATGTGTTGGTACCGTTGAGGGCAGGGCAAGTCGACTCCAACACACTCTTTACACCACTCCAATCACCGCATAGGGTAATATCGATGACGATTTGCTGCTCACTAAAGTATTCTATTGCAAGGGAGATGAGCGCTGTTAGATATTTTAAAAAGGTCGAATACGTACTGGCTGGGTCGCAAGACGAGGCAGGGTAGCTGGCAGACGGCGTTCCAAAGGTTGAAACGTCAATGGTGTCAGTAGAGAGCGAAGCAGGGACATTAGCACGGCTGAAGAACCAGATGTTGATCCCAGTCTTGGCAAATTCGGTGACCCACACGCCGCCACCAGCCGCCGCAAACGGTTCTCCATACGAATTGGTGTTGGCATCGAGAACCGTGCAGCCGGCACCATTACTACCGTTATTGTCACAGTTCTTAACCTGGATGGGACTGGTTTGAGAACACTTTTTTCCATCGGCCTAGACGCATCCCGACTCACCTGGGTAATCCCCGTCTGGGTCACACCGTCAGCCTGTGCACAGCCCGATTCGGTATGTAGAGCCATCTGATTTGCGGTCATGAGATTTACGGCTAAAGGAATGGGTAAGTGACGTGGTGAATAAGGCTAGAAATAACGTGCCTTCAAAGATGTCGATTTCCTATTCCATACCGGGACAGTCAGTAATCGTATCATGCGGCAATCACCAGCACGCAGCACTTACACCCCTAGAAAGAACGGAGTCAGTTCAGAAGCACTATTAATCGTGGTTTCGGGGGACTAACCCAGCCGGCCAATTGATTCCTTGACTCCAGAGAGCACCCCAAACTGAGCATCCATAAGGAACATGGAGAGCGTCGAAAACCATGACGGTCCCGAGGTTGAATTTGTCGAGCGAGGTCAAGCGGACAGAGTTGCGCTTTTCGTTGTAAGGTACTGTCGTCGTATCATCGACTTTGATAATTGCATTCCCCGCAGAGTTGATGTAGGTGAGCTGAGGGTTGCTGACGGCGACCGATTGGTTCACCCAAATAACGTCGCCTGCGAATGGGTGAGCGCCCGTGGGCCAAAAATAGCGGGAAGCCAGGCGACGGACCATTTGTCAAATTGTCATATTTTCCATAATAATCCCATGCAGAGAAGAAATTTTGCCCTTTATACTCTCTGGCGAGATTGTAGGCGGCGTTTGTGAGCGGAAGGAGGCCCAAAAGTGCGGTTGCGGCGAGTCGAAGATGAAAAGACATGCTGAAAGAGGAATTGCTAGTCGTAGGAAACTGTAGAGTAGTAAAGGTCAAAGGGAGCGGAAGGAGCTCGCAGAGTCCAAGTCTGGGTTATAAGCGATTTATGACAGTCGGTCAGCTCTGGGACCGGCTTTGGCACGGCGAGGGCCCCTCAAGCACTGCCTTGGATTTATATTTATCAGGGAATTTACTTTGGGTAAAGCGCTCAAGCTGCGGCTTCGGTACGGCCAAGGATAGTAGTGCCGTTGATCGGGGCTAATATACAACATCAGCACTTTGAACATCAGTTCTTAGTACTTTGCCACCTTCAAACTCGACCAACGCGACAAAATCGCGGCCCCCAGCCCATGTAGGCCCCTTCCACGCCTGGATTTCAATCTCATCATCAAATCCTCTCCATCCTCGTGGTCTGGTAAGGACAAACTTGTGCTCAATGGCCGCAGACTCATCCAGGGATTCCTGGGCTGTTAAACCCTGCAGCTGCGGTCCATCCCAGCTAAAGTAACGCGTAGAATCCAGATTGGATGCAAATGATGTAAGATCGTTGAGAGAACTCGTTTGGACAACGTGCAGCTTGAGGACTTTGGGTGCGTCATCTGTGAGGGCACTCTCGCTCTGCCGTCGGATGTGGACGGTGATATTGTGACCAGATGATTGGGGATTAGAGTTGAGACCAGGCATGTTATTTGCCCACATCTGCAGCAGTCACTTGTCTGTACACACCATCCAGTGAACCCCCACTCACGTAGACACGACGAATCGTCAATGTTTCTCCTCTAATCGATACACTTTCGTCTGCACTGCTCAGCACTTGGCTTACACTCTGTGCGTTCACGGACATGGTAGAGGTCAAGATGCGGGTGCCAATAGTCAATACGACATGGAGACGTATACAGCAAGTGCAGTAAACCTATGCATCGTACAAAAGAGTAATAGATGCACTCTTCTACTTTTTCTTTGCTGGCTCTGCCGCCTTGGCCTTTTTGGTGCCACGGACCTTTTGACATGGATCAGTGGGATTCTCAACCATTTAACATAGGATACACACCTTTTTCGCACGATTCTTGCGCTCGTGACGCAGCTTCCTCGACGCCTTTTCGACCTTTGGCATAAGACCGGCCTGGATAGCTTGTAAGCATGAATCAAGACATGAATGCAATTATACAGACTCTGATCAGTCTGTACTTGGGCTCAAACTTTCTCTGCACCTCTTCGTTGTCGTAGATGAGCCCAAAGCCAGTCGATCGTCCACCACCAAAGATTGTTCGGAAGCCATAGGTGACTACACGGGCCTTGTCGGTCTGGTACGTCTTTGCTAGTCGCTCTGCGAGCTCGTCCTTGGAGACGTTTGCGCGTCCAGGGTGCAAGACTTCGATGACAAACTGTCTCCGCTGCAAGAGACGGTTTGACAAGAATTTTCGTGTTCTGATAGTTACTGGGGCGTTGGGGTCGGCCTGGAATTTGGTTAAAAAATCAAGTAGATGAGCACCCGCGTGTCGCAATTCCGAGTATACAGACCATTTCAGAATTGAGAATAGAAGGAATGAAACCAAATGCCGCTGGTTATCGTGCTGAGGCGTCGTTTGGTCGGCGGCGGTCAGTTGAAGGTTCACCGTGTTTGCGCCCAAAGTTTGGCAAGCGAATCCTGGAGCTGACCTAATTCGGGCCCAATAAGCAAATAATGGACAAGCATTTTGCAAGCAACGTCGCTCCTTATGCTCCTCCACCAGACCAGGTTCCACAATCTTCAACTACAAACACACGGCCCTCGTGGTTTCAGCGGCCGCAGCAGGCCTATAGTTCTTACCAGTCGGGAGGCATTCCAACCTTTGGAGACAACCAAGCGGGCATAACAGGCTTTGGAGGAGGTGGTGGAGACCCAGAACAAGGCGTACACAATATGTGGGAGACGCGCTTGGGGATGCGTGTCGACGTAGAGGCAGCGCTTGCATATCTATTGGGTCCAGTATCAGGTAAGGGCTCGTATAGTTCCTGTGGTCATTGTAATGACGCGGGCGCAGCACTGGTACTGCTCATACTCGAGACGACAAACGACTACGTCAGATTCCACGGTATGGACAACTAGCACGGAAATTGCAGCTTATTCAATTGTTTTATAGCCTATCAATCCGCGCTATTAACAACGCCACTATTGCTGATCCGCCTGTTGGCCCTTCTCATTGGGTTTTGGTCGTTTCTACAAACACTGCTTACATTGGCACTCGTCGGATGCAGTGTTGGAATGGCGTATGTGTCTATGAGTGTGCTAAGCCCGCTTGCTAAGACTCTTTGCAGCTTCCAAGCGTACCGAGACGCCAACAGTGGCGGACTCGCCCGATTTCGACTGCCGTATATTGGAGAACTTGCAGACCGATGGGTTGGAGACGAATGATAGGTTTTATTTATTGCGTCGGTGTAGACTCCCCGCAGCTCCCCCGCGTTGAATAGCAGCGGCCCTTTGGCAACGTTCGTGGCGTCCTAAGCAACTCGGCAGCCCTGCCGGATCTTATTCTTGGTGAACAACCAATGCTCTAAGCAAGCCAGGCCCAGAGACTGAACCAAATTGAGCGACTGAACTCTTGATCCCCAACCACTACTTTGATTATATGTCTGCTGGCCTCTTGGACCCGCTCCCGCCGTCGACGCCAACGAGTTCAAATGCATTTCCGCGTCCATCGGCCACGGGATTCCTGAGCAAGTCGCAGGAAAACGTGCTCGACGCTGCGCTGCCGCAGAGCGTCTCCCGCCCAAACTCGCGCAGATCGTCGCGCATCTTTACGAGCAATTTCCCGCTGCGAGAGGATTCATTTGGATCGTACTATGGCATCAACCACTTTAACAATACGTGGGCAGACTCGCCCGTTTCACTGGATTCACCCACCCACCGATCCCGCACACCCGTCTCTGCCACCTCGCCTGCAACGGCAAGGCAAAAGGAGACCAGTCAGATTGGCAGTCTCTGGGGCGTGAGCTCGATTGGCCGCGGCTTTGACTGGACCTGGAGCCAGGAGCCTGAGCCTGTCAAGATTGAAGAAGAAATTGCAGACGAAAAGAATAAAGACGAAGATGGAGATGTCGTCCAGCCGCTGCCACGACGTCCTGGAGGCTTGGTGCTCGCTAATCGCTCACTCTCTCTCGACGCCGTCCAAGCAATGTCAAAAAATTCCCAAAAATTGACGCTCTCGTTTACGGATGGCAGTCTAGTTCCCAATGCACTCGATAACAACCCACAGACACGCCCCACCACGCCCGGCAGCATCCATAGCGGCGCTGGGGCGAGCGTTCGGGACTCTTCCCGACCTACCTCGCCCCGATTCCGCCGTCGATCCTCTCAAAAACGGTTCTCTCTTGTTGCTGGAAGAGTCTCGTACACGCCTCCACCCTCGCCGCCGCCAGACGCGTCCATCTCACACAATCCCAATGCCCCGAAACTCTTGCGGCTCGCGAGCACATCATCGTTTATGAGCGTCAATAGTGCTATCGCAGCTCCTCCAACACCAGGCGTGTCCCATTATACCGGAGACAGGAGCATCGCCGAGTTTGTCGTGAAAGGTCCGTCTCATGTGGTTTACTTTTGCTCTACTTTTTTTCCTTATCGCTTCCTAGGCGAAATCGGCAGAGGTGCGTACGGTCTCGTCAAGCGTGGACACGAAGTCATGTCCGATGGGTCATGGGGGGTACGTCTCGTTGCGCTCTTTAGGCGAGTCTGCTTTGCTGAAAATTATTCTGCCGACGCAGCCCGAAATCATCATCAAGCAGGTCATTAAGTCGCGCATCCTCGCAGACTGCTGGAAGAAGCATCCTACTCACGGCACAATCCCGATAGAGATTTATGTCATGCTCGCAGTCTCCTCTGCATCCTATCGACTCCCCGCACTCCGACCCTGGGATCCGTCGCGCACCATTCCCTCGGCACCTACTAGCCCGGCCGCAACGGCAGAAAAGGTGCCGCCATTGTGGAAAGAGGGCGATTTGGTCAATGGGCATCCCAACGTTTGCCAACTCCTCGACTTTTTCGAAGACAGAAACTTTTATTATCTCATCCTTCCGTCCTTTCTCCCACCGGCAGACGGAGAGCCTCGACCAAAGGACTTGTTTGACCTCGTCGAGGTGCATCCACAGGGGCTACCAGCCTACTTGGTACGCACCTATCTCGGCCAGATTGCCGATGGCATGGCGTTTCTACATCAAAGAGGCATCGTCCATCGTGACATCAAGGATGAGAATGTCGTCCTCAGTGCAGATGGAAGCCATTGCTGGCTGATAGACTTTGGGAGCGCTGGAGTCGTCAGGAAAAAGGGATGGAATAGCTTTAGTGGAACGTGCGTAAACCCCCCTTTCTTTGGATTTTCCCAAGTGCTCACCGCGGCCTTAGACTCGACTATGCGAGCCCCGAGATCTTGCGTGGCGAATTTTACACGGGCAAAGAGCAAGATGTTTGGGCATTTGGCGTCGTCGCCTACGTTCTCTTGGTCGGCGAATGTCCGTTTGCAACAGCGACAGATGCCCAAGTTGGCCTCGATACGGGGACAACTGCGTGGGAGAATCTGGAGGCGCGCTGTGGACGGGGTAATGAGCGTGAGGGACTCGAGGCCGACGACGGGGGTGCGCTCGAAGATGCGGCCGCCCTTGTCCGTGCATGTCTCCATGTTGAGGCTGCGGATAGACCTACTTTTGATGAGATTATTCAGCATCGGTTCCTCTGTGGGCGCGTAGGATGGGGAGGCGAGCGGCCACCGCGTAGTCCGACGTCGTCGACGGAAGGTCTCTAGACCCCATAGAAGCGCGCCTTTTTGTTTTATGTAGATGTCTTTTTGGTCAGCGGGCTGGTCAACGTCGGTTCTACTTATTGTCTTTGTTTCTCCAGTGTCTATGGATAGCTCATTTTGTGACAGCCGTTGTATTGCGAGTTATTGTGCTACCAATCTAGCTGATGCTATTTGCTCTCCCAAGACGGTTGTGGGAACCCTTTGGGTATGCACCCATGTCGAGAGTGGCATGCTCGTGTGAAGCATGGTGGTGTGTAGAAATCTATCTGGATAGATGCTACAAGCATTTACAAAATGATTGATCATCTTCGATCTTGTACAAGGCGTCTTCGAGATGGGGCCTTTGGCACACCTTTTAGGGGACGTCTAAGAAAAATGCAGAAAATACATGGATAGGTTGTAAAAGTCTTATACATAAATTTGCGAGTCATTTCTCTATCTTTATATCTACTCAAGATCCGAGGGTGGATGTTTGCTCGAGTCGTACACTCAACCTTGCCCTCCACCATCAGTGGTAAGTTTCTCCCCGTGCTCTCAGATGCGCCCGATCGCGTCGATGGCACTCCAGATCATCCTCTGATCATCTTTTCTTCTTGCAGAAGTCCCTCACACATCTTTTTCATACTAAAAAATGGGTAAAGAAAAGGCTCACGTTAACGTCGTCGGTGCGTAGACGCTCTGGATGCCTTCCAGTGCTCTCCAGCATCTCAAAATCAGTTGCTGATTCCTTCATCGCAGTCATCGGCCACGTCGATTCCGGAAAGTCGACCACCACTGGCCATCTGATCTACAAGTGCGGTGGCATTGACAAGCGAACGATTGAAAAGTTCGAGAAGGAAGCTGCCGAGCTTGGAAAGGGCTCGTTCAAGTATGGTATGTGCTTTGCGCGCCTTTTTTCCCTCTTTTTCGGCGTCTGATCCACTTTTTTCTCGTCGCCAGCTTGGGTGCTCGACAAGCTCAAGGCCGAGCGTGAGCGTGGTATCACCATCGATATCGCTCTCTGGAAGTTCGAGACCCCCAAATACATGGTCACTGTGAGTTGTAATTTTCTTTGGATTTTTTTCCTTGGTGGGCCATCGATAGCCTTGGGTGGCGACGAGATTCCCACGTTGATTACGCCACACATATTGACCACCGTCCGTTCCTCTAGGTCATTGATGCCCCCGGCCACCGTGACTTTATCAAGAACATGATTACCGGTACCTCGCAGGCTGATTGCGCTATCCTCATCATCGCCGGTGGTACCGGTGAGTTCGAGGCTGGTATCTCCAAGGATGGCCAGACTCGTGAGCATGCTTTGCTCGCCTTTACCCTCGGTGTCCGACAGCTCATCGTCGCTGTCAACAAGATGGACACCACCAACGTACGTCCTTGCACGCCTGCACTCTCTCGTCGACTGACAATCTTGTCCAGTGGTCTGAGGCCCGCTTCAACGAAATCGTCAAGGAAACCTCCAACTTCATCAAGAAGGTCGGATACAACCCCAAGACGGTCGCCTTCGTCCCCATCTCTGGCTGGCACGGTGACAACATGCTCGAGCCCTCCACCAAGTAAGCAGGTCACGCTCACCCGTGATTACATCTGACGCACGAATAGCATGCCCTGGTACAAGGGATGGTCGAAGGAGGTCAAGGGCTCGTCGAGTCCTGCCACCGGCAAGACCCTCGTCGACGCCATCGACGCCATCGAACCCCCAGTCCGCCCGTCCGACAAGCCCCTCCGTCTCCCACTCCAGGATGTGTACAAGATTGGTGGTATTGGTACGGTCCCAGTCGGTCGTGTCGAAACTGGTATCATCAAGCCCGGCATGGTCGTCTCCTTTGCTCCCTCGAACGTCACCACTGAAGTCAAGTCCGTCGAAATGCACCACGAGCAGCTCGCTGAGGGCTTGCCCGGAGACAACGTCGGCTTCAACGTCAAGTAAGCTTGCGTTTCTTTGTCGTCTCGTTCATCGTCTCATCGCTGTATAGGAACGTGTCGGTCAAGGATATCCGCCGTGGAAACGTCGCTTCGGACTCGAAGAACGACCCCGCCAAGGAGGCTGCATCGTTCAACGCTCAGGTCATCGTCTTGAACCACCCCGGTCAGATTGGCGCTGGTTACGCCCCAGTCTTGGACTGCCACACCGCTCACATTGCCTGCAAGTTCTCCGAGCTCATCGAGAAGATTGATCGCCGAACTGGCAAGACCATGGAAGCCGCCCCCAAGTTTGTCAAGTCTGGTGACGCTGCCATTGTCAAGCTCGTCCCGAGCAAGCCAATGTGTGTGGAGAGCTACAACGAGTACCCACCACTTGGTCGTTTCGCCGTCCGTGACATGAGGCAGACTGTTGCCGTCGGTGTCATCAAGTCGGTTGAGAAGACCGAGGGCAAGGGTGGCAAGGGTTCGTCTACTCCTTTTGTCGCATTTGACCGTGTGCTGACGCGACTTTCCAGTTACGAAGAGCGCGGAAAAGGCTGCCAAGAAGAAGTAAACGAATACGAACCGAGACGCAGTTTCTTTCTTCTCTCTCTCTTTCCGGCAGCTTCATTTCCATCCCCGACTCGCGCCATCTTTTCTCCTTCCTCTCCTTGCGCGCTCATGACCGCCCACGATATGAAAAGTCGTCGATGTAGAGTAGTTTTCTTGAAACGAGTAGACGAATCTGCAACGAATTACGATTCTATTCTTGGTTTTTGTAAACGTGTGTCATCCTTTGAGTGTCGGTCTCGTCTTGGTCATGTGGGGACTGCATGTTGACCCTGGCCACCAACGAGCGTAAACCACCACATTTTCTGTGAAATTCAAAACACATAGCAATACTACGCATTCTAGGATACAACTCGGTATTTCTAATCGACAATGTATAACGGTATAGGTACGCAGCCCTGGCTCGCAATGACAACCCAAAGCTCATACAACGACCCTCCTAGGTTTGACTACTCCCCGTGGAAGGTGATTATTCCTCCAAAGTCTCTACATGGACGGACAGCGTGCTGACGCCGACCTTTTTTTCCCTCAAACGACAGCGGGACCAACGGCTATGTGACACGAAACTTGTCACATTTGCGCTCACATGACACTGCTGCGGATCGTGCAGCTATGGAGATCAAGCCAATGAAGCACCGCGAGCCAGACAAGGAGATTCTAGAGCACGAACGCAAGCGCAAGATTGAAGTGGCTTGCTTTGAACTTCGAGTCAAGTTGGAAGATGAAGAGTGAGTGTTTTGACCGTTCTCCAAGGACGCATTTGCTCACCGGTGGAACAGGATTCCCGAAGACGAGATTGAAAAGCAGGTCGATGCCCTGCGCGAAAAGTTGCTTGCGCAAAAAGTCAACATGACGAATGTCAGGCAACAGTTTAAGCCATCGGACACGCATGCCATTTTGGCTGCCAAAAAGGTTGAGATGGATCGCATGGCTCGCGCTCTCGGTACATCTAGCGACTATGTTGAAGGCAAAGCATTCGATCCTGCGCATGCAGAGGAAATGCGGCAGCAACGGATAGCCAGACGAGAAGAAAAGGAGAGAGAGGAAGAGATTCGACGCAAGGCGAAGGAGGACAACGAAAAGGCATGGAAGGAACGTGAACGATTACGAAGACGTGCAGAGGATGCTGCTCGTGGAGGTGCTCGTGGCAAACCTGCACCCAAGGATGCGCCTATGCCGCCGCCGCCTGTTCCATCTGGTACGAGGGATAGACGAGAGCGCTCGCTCTCTCCACCACGTAGAGATGGCTCAAAGTCTGCTCCATATGCCCGACCGCGCAGAGACCGCTCGCCGCCTCCCAAACGGGTAGAACGATCGCGCTCAAGGTCGTACTCCCCACCACCAAAAGCTCGAAGACGGTCCCCCGTTTCTCCTCGGCGACGTGGTGCCAGTCCGAATGTTCGAGGCAGGACGAGAACACGGTCCCCACCAAGCGAACGATCGCGATCGAGGAGTCCACGAGATAGAAACAGAAAGGACAGTAGCATGTCTCCATCATCGTCCTCACGGTCAAGGAGCCGGAGTCGGAGCCGGAGCTATTCTGACCGTTCGAGGTCGCCAGCATATTCCAGCAAGCGACCAGTTGGACGCAGAGCCTATAGCCCTCCCCGTCGTGGAGGTGGCGGTGGGCGGAGAGACTCGCGCTCGCCACCACCGCCGCGTCGTGGCGCAAGAGGTCGCTCCACGTCTTCTGGTGACTCTAGATCGCCTCCTCGCCGGCGTCAATCACCCATCCGGCGTCGGAGTCGCTCGAGGAGCCCTCGTGCCAGCGGACGGCCTGTGGGTGACACGAGGATGGGCTCTGCGAGTCCTGTGAGGAGAAAAGCGCGAGATTCTCGAAGTGGGTCGCCAGCCAAGTCGGAGGGCTCTGCTGCAATGGATGAATCTGAGTAGTGTAGTGTTGGGTATGAACATGCTGTCTCAAGGGAATGCCATGAATATTATAATTAGTGATTCTTATCATTTGGACAATTCTATCCAGTGAGGGCATGGACGGTCTGGACAAACAAGGCCAAACACGACCTAACGCAAACCTCGACGCCGACTGGCAAAGGTGGGACTGTGTGCAGCATTCGACGTTGAACAACACTCAGGATTGTTTAACAGGCATCACCTAATCTATACTCTCCAAAATGGCCACTTTCTCGTCGTCGCCAATCATCATCGACGGCAAGGGCCACCTCTTGGGTCGTCTTGCGAGTATCATCGCCAAGCAGATCTTGTCGGGCCAGAAGATTACTGTTGTGCGCTGCGAGGAGATCAACATTTCCGGCAGCTTCTTCCGCAACAAGGTGAGCACTCTCGGTGGCTTCTAGGTTTGTCAAACGTGTGCTTACTTATTTCCTACTCCTTCTCTGGCAACGAATCTACTGCTCCTCGATGCATAACATGCGCCTGGCTCGACACGTCTGTTAGCTCCGCTATCACAACTTCTTGCACAAGCGACATATCGTAAATCCTAAGAAGTCGGGTCCCTTCCATCATCGTGCACCTTCCAAGATTCTCTACCGAGCTGTTCGTGGTATGATCCCCCACAAGACGGCTCGTGGTGCGGCTGCTTTGGAACGACTCAAGCTCTTTGAGGGAGTACCACCTCCTTATGATCGCAAGAAGCGTATGGTTGTTCCGGAAGCCTTGCGGGTGCTGAGGCTCAAGCCGGGAAGAAAGTACTGCACTGTCAAGGTTTGTCATCGGCTTGGATGCGTATACCAAACGATATTCATGTGTTATTTAGCGATTGTCACACGAAGTTGGATGGGGTTACAAGGACGTTGTCGATCGTCTGGAGGAGAAGCGCAAAATCAAAGCCGCCGCTTTCTACGAGCGAAAAGTACGTCATAATAATAGGTTTTATTAGGCTGTATGCTGACAGCTGTTTAAAAGCTCGCTGCAGCCAAGCTCCGACAGAAGGCCCACGCAGACCACTCTTCATCCTATGCCGAGCTCTCCAACCTGGGATACTAGACGGAAGCGATGGGCAGACACGTGTGCCCCGTGTTTCTTCATGTTCGGTCGCTGCGCATCTGTCGAGGATGCACTGGCACAAACACTATGTAACCCATGTCCTCTCCTCCATAGCCCTTCTTGTTGCACAGCCTATAACCGACGCGAATATGAAATTTTTTTGCCCCGCATTTTGTGGAGTGTTAGCCCCATTTCGCCAAACGGCCCCAAGTAGCCGGTGAAGCCGTCTTAGACTCGGCCTCTTCGCATCTCCAAGTTTCGATACTATGCCTCTGAAGACAATCTACATTGCCAGACACGGTTTGAAGTTTGCTCGGCAGTTTCGACATACTGATAAAGTCAAAAGGTTTCCGACTTAATTGGCAGACAACCATCTGGTAGGACTGGGTCGCTAATAATGCATTAATATGTTCAAATATCTCTAGGAAATCTCCGACTGGTTTTCCTCGCGATCCACCACTGGCAGGATGTACGTTCGCGCGTCGAAGCGTGTTGCCGATTGGCTGATCATTCGTTGTAGATGGAGAAGTAGCTCCTCTTGTGCTCTCGGGGTGGTTGAATACTCATTTGTCCAAGGAACAAGCAAACGAATTGGCAGCCTATATCGCTGGGCTTCCGGAGGCTGAACGACCGACTGCAATCTACAGCTCTCAGTACTGTAAGTCGTACATTGTGAGCGTGATCATGTGTGATTATTGCTAGATCGGTGTTTGCAAACCGCTAAACCTGTCGCCGCCGCCCTTCAACTGCCACTCTTTGTCGAGCCTGGTATTCAGGAATGGTACTCGCCCGTCAAAGCCGGTACCGGATTACATCCTCGGCCAGTCACAGTGGAAGAGCTCGTGCCTTACTTTGAGGCGATTGACCCGTCTTGGTCGCCGACGTTCCTCGTCACGCGCAAAGGCGAGTCGGTACCAGAACTCTATCGTCGCGGCGAAGAATTCATGAAAGCCTTCATCGCCAGGGTCGAGGCAGAGGGTATTCACGAACGCGTTTTCCTTTGCTCACATGCTGCAACGGTCATCTCGTTAGCACAGGCCCTGCTTGGTGACGAGACTATTGGTCGAACACTCCGTGTTGGATGTTGTACGTTGTCCATCTTTGATCGAAACCCAAACTCGACTAGTACCGAACTCGTTGGCGGCAACGTGTGGACGGCACGAGGCCAACTCGCCGCAGGAGACTTTTTGCAGAATGGAATTCAGCGAGATTGGGGTATGGTTGACATTGAAGTCAAGGACGGGGTAGTCGTAGAGGACGATGGCGTACCGGGCACCGAGGGCGAAGTGGACATTATCTCAGGGCCCCAGCCGTGGAATCCTCGCCCAAGGAGTGCCTCGAGAATGTAGAAACAGGCAAGTACCGTGTTTATGTCAGCCTTTGAAGGGGACAACCGCTGACAGCCAAAATGGCCCAGGTCCGACGATGATACTCCGCATTTCATATCCGACTCCTAGAGAATAGACTGTATGCACACAAGTAAATACTTGAGGTTAATGAGCCTAGACACGGGGCCGACGGGCTGTGTCCACCAGAGGGCTGGGGTTTCCTTGGCTACAAAGGATCAAGTCTCAAGTTCTACATAACGGCGAGTACAAATGCGAACTGATAGTTCATTCAATACTGTTAGGGTCATACACACTATGCTGTGCTCGTGTTTTTCCGCGTCGCCTCCCCTTGCACGACACCCGAACACAGACAGGGTCAAATACAGTCTATCCAACAAAATATAACCTGGTTATCTCTTGGCTCGCCTTGCGTGGATTTTGGGCCCCGCCATGGAGTTTACAACTGCCCTTGCCGCTGCGAATCCAAGCGCGATCTCGCCTGCCCGACATCAACCCAGGGATGCCGTCACAATCACCTGGTTCGTGATCTTGGCCATCAGCGTTGTCCTACTCGGTATCTTTGCCATGGTACGGTTTAGGATGCGCACGGCCGTCGCTACACGAGAAAGAGAGACGATTCCTAGCTCTATGGGTAGTCATCTTGATCGCGTATTTCCTGTCATGCAACCAGTGACTTTGACGGAAAGAAGACGCAAGGCCGAGCTGTTCCACAGTGACGAACGACCATCCATTGATGAAACCTGGATCCGACCGCTGTCCTTTCAGCAGCATTGCATATCTAAAATCAAGGCGAGTTAGTTGATGGGCCTAGGGATATGAAGCTAATCGATGTTTAGCCTGTTGCTCTACAGAGGGTATCACCACCTCCGACACCATGGTCGTATTCTATCGAGCAGGCTCAAGCCCAAAATTTGATGTCTGTCGGTGTCCTCATCGAGATGCCGATTGCAGTACGGCGAGAGACTGCTGCTCCCGTGCATCGTCCATTGACACTGGGTGTGTCCATGATCACACTCATATAATGATATTCAACTCTGTAGCAATATTTGGCATGTCTGCTGTGGGACATTCGATTCATTTCTACGATTCATTTGGCTGGCATTGGCACGCTCCTTGCATGTAATCTAACTTATTTCCTAAATTTTATATTACTTGGCGTACTCTCTTCTGGAAACGGCTGATGCATGAGTCTTTGGACCTGGTTCCGCTGCAACTCTCCAGCCTCTATGGAAAGGTGACCAAATCAACCATATTATTAAATCCAAGTCTGATATACAAGCCCGAAGACAAGCTTCGCATGCGGATTCGTGGTACAGTGGCGACGGTGCGTAATCTAAGCGTCGCCTCGCGATGATGACTGAATCACTCGACGTAGCACGAAAGCTCAATTCTCAGCTTGATCAATGGATCAACGCTGTAGAGTCCTCTGAGACGTATAGCCCACCCATCAGACAGTCCAAAGCGATCATCGGACCGTAAGTCTTAGCGAATACATCCCGCAAAGCATTAGATTCGACATGAATATACAGACATGCAGGATACTCCTACTCGGGTCCAAATGCTGCTTGGGCATACAAGAGCATCGACACCACGGGCATGTATGTTCTCTGATTGCTCTATATACTCTGCACTAATAGTTTACAGCAAGCGCGTCTTTGTACTTGGTCCATCACATCATGTCTATCTGCGCTCCTGCGCGCTATCCGCTTGCGAGACCTACGCCACGCCATTAGGATCGCTCCCATTAGACAGGGAAAGTATGTGGTAGAGCGCTGCGACTTGTTCTTCTTCTGACCAAGGATCAGCCATCGAAGAACTGCACAACACGGGCAAGTTTGAGACGATGGCTCTTTCGACTGATGAGGATGAGCATAGCATCGAGCTGCATTTGCCATACGTTCGTAAGATATTCCAAGGCATGGACATCAAGATTGTGCCTATCCTCGTCGGTGCACTAGACAAACAGGGTGAAGCAACCTATGGCAAACTGCTCGCCCCGTACTTTGCTCGAGAGGATACTTTCACTGTCGTCTCGAGCGACTTTTGTCACTGGTAAGCATGGTGGTGTTAGTAGCAAGAAAGCTTATTAACTAGCTTAATTAGGGGAAGACGCTTCAGCTATACGTTTTACTACCCCTCACCTCCGCCTTGTGAGGGCATCAAGTTGAGCAGGTCAACACCAAGTTCGACCTTTAAGTCGTTTCCCATTCACGAGTCCATCACCGCGCTCGACAAAGAGGCGATGGACATACTCACATTGCCAAAGGAGAGTGATGTATCCCCAAACGAGGTGCATACGCAATTTGCAGACTATCTCGCCCGTACGAGGAATACAATCTGCGGTCGACATCCGATTGGAGTCTTGCTCGGTGCCCTCAGCAGTGTGGCGGAACAAGGCAAGTCCGTCACAATCCAATGGGTGAAATACGACCATAGCAGCGAATGTGAGACGGTAGAGGACTCGAGCGTCAGCTACGCTAGTGCCTATGTCGTCTTTTGATTGTAAATCTAATTTCTCGCAAAGTTGACTTTTGACCTCAATTTGTTTCTCGTTTGCTTCGGCATAGTTATTGCATGGTGGGCAGTAAGTACGTAGCAAGAGAGAAAGTATACGGAAGAAGGGAACTGGGAGCCTCCAGCCTATTCCTCTGTTCTCAGTCTCGCTGCTGGGTTTGTAACTTTTACACCCAATGCCTTTGCACTGTTCCAAATGTCAGTACTGCTATTCATCTCAACTAACGGGAGAACTGACCGAGCCAAAATGCCGATGCGGTTCTTGCTCGATACACCGTGGGCAATCTCGGCCGCATACGACTTGTTATGCATCAAAAGGAGATCAACCTCCTTTTCGTTGTTGACCAAAAACTTCTTGAGGCCGTTGGGCATCAGATGGCGAGTCTGGATACGGCAAACGCTTCTCAGCGATGTGAACAAACGGACGATGACAATGAATCCAACCTTTTTGTTGCTACCGTAACCAATCTTTGGCATGGGCAGCTGACCCTTGAAGCGTCGTCGCACTCTGTTGTCGATACCCTTTGGTTTTCTCCATGCCTCTTTGACGGTGTGGTAGCGATCCGACTGGTGTCGCCTGTAATTATACATGTCGAGTTAGCACATATCCACGTCGTTCCATAGCGGCCACCGTACTTGAAAGGCTTGGTACGCTTCTTCACGATTTTAACGGCCATTTTTGGGATTTCACCGCCTGGAGATACAAGAACAAAGTTAAAAGAAATATCGTAAGCTAATTCTGCGCTATTGCCGAATAATCAGGCGAATTTACGCACTTGGGTGGTCAAGGTTTGGTGCGGTACCAAACAAGGGCAAATATCAGTTTCGATGTTCACAAAGTCAAGGTGTGGAATGTCTATTTTTCAAAGTAAATACTGCAAGTTTGGTATGAATTTCACGATGGTGGCTCCAGTAGCCAAGTACAACGAGATAATTAGAGAGTATTACGCTACGCAAGAAATGCAATATAGAAAATAGCACGAGCAGTCATAGCTTTTTCCAATCCTCTATGTCCAGGCGGTTGTCCCACAGCTGAACCTTGGCTTCCTCTCGAGGCGTCAGATAGATAGAGAGAATGTTTGGAAGTACTTACCGCCCAGTCGTGCACTGTTTTGTACGCCTCTTCTCCAACCAAATCACTCTCCCACAACTGGTCGTCCAACTTTGTCGAGCCATCCTTCTGTTGAGCGGAACTTAGCCATACTCGAGCTCGGTCCTCAAGTATTCCCCTCAGATTATTGTAATCATCTTTCTTCAACTCTTTGGGATCTAGTCCTCGCCAACCCACAGAATAGGCTATCGTTGACGGTCCAATGGCTTCTGCGGGGTCCATCCACTTGCCTTTTGCAAATATTGAATCGCGCCCTAGTCTTGGGGAATATGCAACTGTGACATGATGACGATTGTATTCGAATTCGGCCAAGGCAATGGTGTCAAGAACTGGTCGCGCCGCGATCTGCCAAAGGATGAGTATGGACAGTATCGCATAAATGTGATTTACCTTTGCAGTAAGCCGTTGTGGACGCAGCCTGATGTGTTCTTCGAGAAGGAGGTCATCGCTATGGCAGAGCTTCTCGTAGAAACCGAGGTGATGAAATGGGGGTGCCTTAGTGAATGGAATGTAGACGGCGTTTTCCATGGGCGGCGTGTCAATCGCTTTGACATCAAGTACTTTTGCCTTGACGGGTTCGAAATGAAGCATGTCCAGTGCATGATGATTGAAACCTGTGTCTGAATTTCAGAGATTTCCTGCTCCAGATGAAATGGCATACCAAACGTTGAACTATCCTCAGGTGATGGTCAGTCGATGAAGGTGCAAAAGGTGATGATCTCACTATGATATGTCGATACCAATGCGGCCCTATCAAGGCTTAGTTGGCTCACGTTAAGCGGGCTGTCACTTACTTCGGTGAAAACCAGTTCGTCGGTGCCGTGGTCAATCTTTGTGTACAGACCGGCACGTACGAGCCAATATGGAACAAAGAAGAACCGAAAGTTTGTTTCGATTATGTCATCTTCCTCCTTGTCGAACCATCCTCGCTGTGCACGCCCTATAGCTTTTCGGAATGCATCGCGCATAACTTCTTTCGCCTTTGTTTCTTCATCACTGTGATTCTTTGGTTGCCAGAGATCTATAAATATGAGACACGAGGTCCCTTCCAGGTCCAAACTTACAATTAACACGGGAATCGTAGATGGACCTTGGGTCGCCGCGCGGGTAAGTGTCCTCTGGCAAATGATAGAATCTTTTTGCTTGAAGGCATCCTCTTGACGCGGCATGGCGCACTATCTTTCTGGCTTGTTGCATTACTACTTCTGGCAGGAGAGTGGTCGGGGTCGAAACTTATGCCTCCACTCCTTCCAGCCAGCGCGGTACGGCTCTCCTTGAGATGCGCACGGACAAAACATAGCACCCTATTTACCTCTTTTTATTCGCATAAAACGAGATGGAGGCCACTCTCCAGCCTAGATTCGCCAAATCCTAATCATTTGCATCAAACACCCTCGACGGCTTCGCAACAGAGTCAAGTTATTTCCCAACCACTAAATAGACCTAGTATAAAGGACAGGTTGCTCCCGTATTGGTACCTGGCCCGCCTCGACAAGCCAATTGGGACTGTTTTACTCTTCTTGCCGTGTAGTATGTTCGGTACTTCTCAAATGAAGCCAATTACTCACATCTTCATCATAGCGTGGTCAATTACCATGGCCTCATATGCAACTGCAGCAAGTCCCGGTGTGCTCATCGGAAACCTGCTGCTCTTTGGCACCGGCGCATTGATCATGCGCGGAGCCGGTTGTACCATCAATGACCTCTGGGATAGGAATCTCGACAAAGGAGTCGAAAGGACGAAAACTCGGCCTTTGGCCAGTGGCGCCCTGAGCGTCCCTCAAGCAGTCGGTTTCCTGGGTCTTCAGTTGGCCGGCGGTTTAGCTGTACTCACTCAGTTGAACTGGTACAGGTACTTAAGCAAGTAACTCTATTACCTTGTACTGAGCTTCGACAGTATTGGTCTTGGTGCATCATCACTCGGACTCGTCGCACTCTATCCCCTCATGAAACGAATCACCCATTGGCCGCAATTTGTACTCGGTAAGGTGGTAAACAGTTCACGATACGGACATTCTGACCAGACATAGGACTCACCTTCAACTGGGGGGCTTTACTCGGATGGTCTGCCGTAGCCAATGCAGTGGACTGGTCCGTATGCATCCCATTATATACCTCTGGAGTGCTCTGGACACTCGTATACGATACTGCCTATGCCCATCAAGACAAAGTTGACGACGCAGTCGTCGGCATCAAGTCTACAGCACTTTTATTCGGGGAGCAAACAAAGCCCATCCTTAGCGTATTCTTGACCGCGAGTGCCCTCTGCGCCGGGTATGCTGGCTTTGTGAATCATCAAGGCATTGCGTTTTTCTCGTCCTTGTCACTTGGTACTACTCTGCTTGGTCTCAAGCTCCGTACAGTCGAGTGAGTACTCTCGCAGACGAAAATCAACCATCTGATTTCCTCTAGTTTCAATGTACCAGCTCAATGTAGTCAATACTTTCGATACTCTGGCTATTTTGGCTGGCTTATCTTCGCAGGTGCATTAGTCGATTATGGCATCCAATATGGCTCACGCAACGTTGATGACGAGAAAAGCGTGGTTCAAAAGGAGTAGACACGGCTCATGGATAAATATTACATAATCACGATTAACCGTTCATCGTCCGGTCCTAAGGGCTAATGACCATACTGAGCGAGAAACTGTCGATACGTCGCTTCGACCTGTCAATGTTGAGCAAATGTCTCATAAACGAACAAACACTGCACCTTTTCACGAGGACTACCACGCACATAGTCACACAATTGCGTTGCCGCCTCGAGCCATTCCTGCGCTTCTCGGACTTGAAGAGATCTATTCAAAGTCATTCATATGTCAGATAAGATGGACCAATCCCACCTCATGCATTCAATGCCGGTATTGAATGCGGTACTCAGTAGCCAGCTACGTTCATCTTCTGGATAGCACTGGAACCAATGTCAAGAAATTCTGCGATCTAAGGGGGTTTGCATACCATCTCTGAAGTCGGTTCATCGCCGGTTCCATACTCCTTGAGGATCACAATTGCTTGCTGTACATAAGAGAGTGCCTTTGATCGATCTTGCACTCTTCCTTTGGAGAGCAAGATTGTGCATATAGCCCTCATCCATCGCGAAAACTTCTTGATGGAAATTTGGCCTTGCGTGGTGGTCATCTTGACAATCGACTGCGACTATTCAGACCCTGTCCAGAGAGGTTTCGGCACGAACCTCGAGGCAATCGTATAAAACTAGCAGGAAAGTCAGCAAATTTCCTTAACCAGGGATAAATTTACATACCCACAACCGGACAGCTCTTGTCCGACCACTAACAGAAGTCAGGCGGCCGAAGCAATACAATGCGGACTCACCAGTATATCCGCAATGGCTTCATAAGTTGTAATAGGAACGACAAGTTTTTGACCAGAAGTCTGGTAGCATGAGCGTAGGTTCACTCAGGTTGCATAGCCTACCTTTAGCCTCGTAGAGATGGCTTCCCATTCTTTCAGTTCGGCGAATATCTCGGCTTGATACACCAATGATAGGTGAAAGATGGTCTGGGATCGTGACCGATTAGTCGACTCTTCTGGCTCCCCTCGAAGTTGGTCTTCAATTAGGGCTTGTAGATTGTCGATTTCCTGCACCAAGAGGCGCATGGAAATATCCTCGAATACGCGTCACTCTTTGTGGCTGCTTTTGGAAGATGCTCACTTTTTGCTCGGGGCGCTCCTCTGCACGCGCAGAAAACACTATGAACTCGATCAACATCGACGAACTTGAGAGTAAGTACGCGTACGTTGTCCACTGACTGCAGCAAATTGTGCCAAGATTCGGTGCCCCTGGATATCTGCCTCAGGCTCGAGAAGGGCCATGCTACAGCTTGCATCCATGTACTACCAACAATGAGCATCTGCAGAGTAGAAAGTATGTACTTACACGTCTGGCGAGAACGAACATATTCGTTACGTCGGCATCAGCCCAGGTTCCAAGCCCCTTTACCGCGCAGTTGTAAGCCGTGCGCCAAAGCCACGACACGTCTTTGTTGACAACAATCTTGTTCTCCGAATTTGCGGTTTCCCTCAAGACTGTGAGACCTATCACTTGTCAAAACGCATGCTGAGCAGGAGGGACCCACCTACCCGTCTCAAAATGTCGCCGAAGAATGGGTAATAGTTGCTTACTGAAATTTTTCAGCAGAATAAGATAGTATAATGCCAGACATACGTCTCTGCACCAGGATGCTCCATCAAGCTCAGGGTCAGTCGCACTAAGCATCTATGGAATCTCAGTTATATATACCCTCGATATTACATTACTCACCGGATCAAAGTGAACCGCTGAACCGCTTCGTCTACGTCTCCATCCCTCCTGAGCGTTTCGAGTAGCCGTTCCAAGATGGCGTGAAGTAATGACTGGTTCTCTAGTTGCCGTGCTAGATTCATCGCCAACATGAGCATCTTGCGGTCAAAGTCCGTAGCGTTGATCATGGTGCCGAGTGCATGTATTGCTGTACAGAGCCATTAGGACGACTTTCGTTGATCCTGATTCACTAAACTTCATCGGTACGACCTGAATGATGATGAGATCATGAAAGTATAATCAATGCCTATATCAACCCACCTTGGTGCGCGGCCACAAGAAACGCGAGATAGCTAGTCGTCGCCTCCTTACTCGAACATCGCTCAATATGTTCAGAAGCTCTGAAAAGGTCAAATATGCCGCAAACAAGCCAGGTGAACGCACCGTGCGTAGTGGCCATCCTGTATCCGACAAAGTGCAGCCTTTCGCAAACATTTCGAACCAGCCATCTCCATCACACTGACGAACGCATCATGCGTGCCCAAGAGAAACCAATCAACTGCGTCGCTCCACTTCTTTGCATTATAGCACTGATCCCCATATTGCCACAGAAGCGTCAGCGTCGCAGTAGCCGGGATCTTTTCCAGCTGGTAGTCCTGGGTCTCGGCAATAACTATTCGAGTATCTGAGCATGGAGTATAGGATAGACGCCAGATGCCTACCATCCAACGAGTCCCGTACAATGGCAACCGAGGCTTCATGATCGGAGGCGGTTTTGACGTGCATGATTAAAGAAATCAATAGCTTGTCGACCAGGTCATGTGCTTCTCTGTTGGAAAGAGCCTTTCTCAGAAGTCGATCAAGACACTGAAAGACCAGGGCATGGCTAAACAAACTGGTAAGACCAACCAAGTCGAATGACATATCTCACTGAGCCTTGGAGATCCGCCGGAGCTCTAGGAGAATGCTACAAACGATGAGAAAGATAGTACAAAAAACAGAGACACTTGCTCTTGTAAAGATTCTTCAGATAGAACCATATCGTCTATCAGCGGGAAGAGAACTGGGATTATCAGTACCGGAAGGCAGGCAGCATCTATCTCCTCACTCGCTTCTAGCTCTTGGACGGACGTCTTCCGCTTCCTTGAAAGTGCGAGTTTCATCCTTCTGAGCTGTTGATACTCATCTACCGTCTATAATTGTCTGAGTAGTTTTGATAAGTCAATTGCACGGACAAACCTTTTCTTTGGATTGCTCGAGAACTTGAAAGAGCTCCTGGAGGGTAGTATGTGCTCGCTCCAGGTAGTCAGGCTTGATAGAAGACGCCAAATAGTAGGCTCGAGCTAGCCAAAGGATTGTGAGCCTGTATCCCCTGCTTCACCATACTCGTCCTACAAAGGCTTCTCAAGACGAGTTTCTACTCTTGTCAGTATAGCGAAACAAAGTCACGACGGCTCACTCGTAACTGAGAGAACGTTGCCAGATCCAAGTGTCTCTTGTCGAGGATGGCAAAGGCTCGCTGTATCCAACCGACCGCCTTGTCTGCACGCTCGGCCTCGGACTCTGATGGGCTGTTCGCATCTGGATCCTTGGCAATGGACCGTCCAATGGTTATGACCTGGTTGACAACTACTTCGACCTGCCTTGGTTTAGTATACAACGATGCCCAAGAACAGAGCCCTGACATCTCGAGGATCAAGTATCTCAAGGTAGCGGTCTATGATATGTCAGAAGGTGGGAGTCGGCAGATGGAGGGACTCGCCCTCGATTTTGTCGAGCATATATCTAGCAACGTCTATGTTGCGTGCCTTCCACGCCTTGAGATTGTTACAATCACGAAGTGCGATCTTTCGTGGACGCACCGCCTCCATTCTACTACCATAGTATGTAACGAGAGCCCGAGCCTTGTTCTGTTTGAGGGTTGAGTCGTTACTTTGAGGGCGGGTATTGAGTGTATGTTCATACTAAACCAAATAAGAAGGTGCGTTGCATCGAGAACGTCTCTTACCGATGCTGCCACTGTCAACACTTCGTCCGCCATGTCCGTCGTGTCTGCCGATGCGAATGCAGCTCCAACCTTGCTAGAAAGCTCGAGAATAGTAATGAGTGCTTATATATGGTAAGTCTTGATATTCCTCCTAATCGTTGATCTACAGACCTTGCTCTGAAGGATTCGAATCGAGCCCAGCTTCAATAAGACGGTATCCAGCGTATCGAGCTGTAGTGAATAAGCATCTTGTATTCATGTTCAGGGAGAGCATACCAGCGGCAAATGCTTCCGAACTCGTCGTGTCGCCGATGCGCATGTACGTGACCGCGTTCCAGATCATCACGCCTGTCAAACACGAAATGAAGGCCGCAGGAATATACTTTCGGATAGTCTGCAAACCTTCAAAGTCCAGTCGTTCCGTAAAACGCGCCGCTTCCTCATCCATTGATGCGGGGCGAAGTTTGGTAAACGTTTCTGCGAGCCTCGCGAGGGTTTTTAGTTCTCGTACGGTGTCTTCAGAGCCCTGTTTTCCGAGGTGTGCTAGATTTGGCTTGACACGGACAACCAAGTCTTGCCACTGGTTAGCTTCCTCCGAAAGCAGTCTATTTTTACCTATTATCTTGTTGTAGACGGATTCCAGTGTTTGTTCAGAGCCTGTAATTCCCGTCTTGCGGCGTTTGGATGCCATAGCTTGTTGTGGTCAAGGACAAGCTGCCTTTGATAAGTAGAGGCCATAATCAATCCAACATTCTGATGAAATACCGTCTCAAAGAATGAAATAAATGTAAAAGAGTGCATGGGATTATCGGTCATGGGACGCACGACAAGCAAAAGCATAGGTTAAATGAACAGTCCATGTCTACCACACCAAAAGCGTCCACTCATCAGAAGAGCAATACCGTCGCTCCAGCAGCCATCCCGCCGAGCAAAGCAGCCGCGGCTGGGGAGACGAGTCGCGACGCCCCAGCGACATAATCGTCGTTGGGACCGTTTACATCGTGTCCTCCACTTCCAGGAGAAGGTGCTGAGCCGCCATTTCCTCCCCCGTTGATATTATTGTCTGCCGTCCGAGTGATCGTGGCCGACGTCCGGCTGCTCGTCGAACTTCTCGAGGCTATAGAGGAGCAGAATAAGGATTAACAGCCTGTATAGACGTCGTTCCGGAGTACAAGGTCACTCACAAGTTGCTCGTGTCGGTACGACAGTCGTGACGGTGACCAACGTCGTCGTAAATGTCACCGTCTCGCTCACAGCCAGTCCTACTATCGTCGTTGTAACAGGTGTTCCAACTGGAGTCGACGAGCTTGCCGAATTCGAGCCCGAGGTACTCTGCAAATCCGGTTTCCGTGAGGACTGGGAGCCGAAACACATGATTTCAGAGGACATACTTGAGCATCGACAAGAGGTTGAAGGACAGAAAATAAAACGAATAATAAAGACGTTGGTAGGATGGATCGCATGCCTGCCTAGCTTTGAAAAGTCGGGACCAAGAAGCGAGACTCAATGGACCACCATTCTAGGTCTAATGCTAGCATGTGTACATTTTCAGATATAATTGTTTTTAGTATACAGTTGGTTTATACAGGGCCACGGTATACATTTCGGTAGCTATTCTCCGACGAGCGCTTCCCCTTTTCCAAGAAGCAAAAACTCCAAACGACCATGTCCAGAATTTCCTGTCCACGCCGGTTGATTGTGAGATAGGCTGGGATCACTTTTCCCGTGCGCTCATCTGCCCTTGATTTGGTAAAGGACGCAATAGGTGTGCCAGGTGTATCCAATGCATAAAGCTAGGAATATCTATGAGGTTTGGGCTAAAGACGACAAGGATACGTACGCGCAGGTGCAAGCCCACTCGGTTCCCCTTCCATTCGTATTTACGGCCTTGACCATCCTTGAACGATACCGTTCTAGTGAATCATCAATAGTGCTCTAGTACACTCTCCCTGGCGTACGTACTCGCTGAAAAATGGTCCTGACTTGAGAACTTTACCTAACCTCATCTTCTCGCCTGTCGCACCCAGTGCAATCTTGTCATAGCCAAGATCCCCCAGAATAACTTTGCAAGCACCTCTCCCTCTCCACCTTGCACTCTCTCCACACGTGTGACCGTCCCGTCTGTAAACGTCGTCTCGACCTTGTAGAGTGGTGGTTGATGTCGCTCCGGGGAGAGAATTGTTGTATTCATGGGATTATCTTGTGTGAAAATGAATCTACTGCCACCATCTACTGCTTCATTGGCAGCGTCGGCGCTCGTAGTCGGGATTTGAACCGTCGTATTACTGACAACTTGAGGCGCCAGCGTCTCATCTGAAACAGTCCTCGGAATTGTTCGCGACTCCGCGGGTGCAAGCGTCGCAGTGTCATCGAACGAATACAAAGACTCGGCGTCAGTGGCCGCGACTGATTGGTTCGCGCTCATCGTTGAAAAGGCAATACTCGACCTGTGAGTCAATAATAATAAACCACAACTTGACGCTCACTGATTATATAACCGAAACGTCTGACTAGAAGCGTCTGCGGTTGGCTGTGCGGACGAGCAAGTGTAGAGCCCTGCGCAGTCCTCAAGCCACTCATAGTCTAGATGAATTGTCACAGAAACAAATTGGTGATTCCCAAAGAGTTCTATCGTACAGCCTCCTCGGCAGACGTATTTGTAAAACGTAGACACAGGCACAGGCGCTTTGCGCAGTACACCAATGTACCGCAGACGAGAAATGCAGATTTTGGATTCAAACATGAAGAAAGGGGTGCGTCGATGCCGCTAGAGAAGGGCCGTCCTCTTCAATCACAGCCCCGCTGGCTCTTTTTATCGTGGAGCGGCTTTTGAGATGCGCCGTTGATGTGATGGACGGATGTGATGTCACTTGAGGATGGCGGGCTGACGAGCCTGGCGAGAAGTGGTCGTTGACTGTCCATTGCCGCGCTACCGCTTCCAGCGACTTGTTTTTGACGCCCGAGTTGGACTGATAGCCGAAGGTTATGCTGTGAATATGCTGGTCGTGACCTGGCCATCCATCGCCGTCCCGAAGCGTGTTGGTTGCCTCGCGGGCTGTGAAGTGACTGCTCGGTCAGACGGTGGCGTTGGCGCTCTGAGCTTGATAGTACAGCCTTTAACAGGTTCGCCCTCTTCTTGTTTAGGATTCGATCATGCATCTTTTTTTATATGGATCCCATTCACTAAGTTGGTAGTTGGTCGGTTTATTCCGGAGTGTGCACGTGATGGGGCGTGTACGAGGGTATGTTTGGATAGTACAATGTAAGTGATATTGATACAGTCGATGGTGAACTCTACGGGGGTTTGTCAGCCCGGAATGAAGGAGCGGTCATGCAGCGGGGACAGACCATGCGCGAGAAGGAGCGAGTGGAATCCGTATTCGCGGTGCAGCGTTTCTCGTTGGCGCAGAAACGATGCAAGGCGCCCAACTTGCGCTTGTCGGGGTCGGGGTCGGCGTGTTCATCCCCATGCCGATTGCACTCGTTGGAGTTGGCGTGGGTGTGCTCATGCTCATTGCAATCGCACTTGTCGGTGTTGGCGTGGGTGTGGGCGCGCGCATCATGGTCGCACACATTCCCGATCCCATGAGGTGTGGATTCGGGGTCGGTGGGAGTGTCGTGCCGCGAACTTTGGCTTCGTAGACGGCGAGTTGGTGTAAAAAACCCTGGTTAGGCTCGACGACTTCTCGACGATCACGAATGAGGGCGAGCGCGTCGTCGCGGCGCATGCCGTAAACTTTGATGAGGTATGCGGCGCAAATAGTCGGGGAGCGCGAGACACCTGCGAGACAATGGATGAGAATCTTGATATCCTTTGATTTGCTCGTCAAAAGGGCGTCTTGGATAAAGGCGTTGACGGCGTCAAAGTGGGGGGTTATATCCGCCTCTGGGTCATCATCGCACGTAATGCTCAGCACTGTTGCTGGACAAGACGGGCTGGGACCCAACCAGGGGATCGGACCCGAGAGAATTGAGACAATGTGCGTGAAGCCGACTTGGCTCACAACGGCGTCGCTTGCACACGAAATGTCGGAGAGATAGAGGTAAGGGAGCACCTGGGCTATTTGGCGGCTTCCTGGTCCAAACATGATGTGCAAAACCTTTGGTGTAGGGTGCTGTAGCGTGCGGTTGGACGCTGTGTGCTATAGCTCTGGCTGGATTTAGGGGGAAAGAAGAGTCCTTTGGGTCCGCCTGGATTTATATACTCGGCCTGCACAGCGTCCAAGGGGCTTTTGGCAAGGCTGTGCACGATCACGCCAGGTCCTCCCTCACGCTCGTTGCAAAATCATTCTTCTCAACTCTTTTCTGTCTCTTCTTGGGTCCTTCTTCTGCCATCTTGCCGGCCTCCGTCTATCCACCTCGGCCACTGATAACTGCAACCACCAGCAAAACACCACGACAAGTGAAAAACGTTGAACAGAAACAGAAGAGCCTTCTCTAGAAGCTGGATCGCCTTGTGATTAATGCCTTTGCTCTCCGGCCGGCGTCAGCAGCCAAAGTGGTCCGAGGACAGCCTCGCCTCGGCCCAACAATCAACCTCGGCTCTACTTTGCACACTTGACTAATCTCTCTGACAAAGGTCATATCTACTTTTTCAGTAAAGTATACTACACGAATTACTAGACAAAGCACGATAAACCCGATGCAGTTTACAATCCCCGTTCCTTGCGCACCTCCGACGACCACTTGAAGAAATCGCACTTGAATCGACTATCAACTTCATCCCGGGGTCGCTTGCTCTTCCCCATGTCATATCCAGGTCCGACTGGTCTATAAACTCGTCAATATGTAGTCATGGCATATCAGCAGGTGGGTGGATCAAGAGAGCAAGGCAATGGAGATCAATGGCAGTGGGTCCTGTCATGAGGACCCAGCCGCTCGCCTCGCCTCTGTCGAGTTCTTCCTCGTCTTTTGCTGTTCCATAATCAACACGGCCATGGCCACCCGCCATCTGGTCTCCCCCACCCCACCGATCGGGACCAATGCGCGTGACACCAATTCACGAGATAAACTTCATGAAGAGAGAATACCCACCGCGAACACACAAAGAATGTTTTGCCCTTGTTCGGCCCCGGCTTGTTGACGGTAAGCATCTTTGTCGGCTCGTTGTGCACTATACAGTTCGGTGGTTGAAGTGGGCCCAATAAATTCGACCATGCATCTTTACTCCCGCCCAAGCCGGTCGTCGTAGTCGCAGTGGGCGAGTGTCCGCTCGAAATCGACGACGATTGGGACAACATTGTCGCAAGTCGTAAATCTCGCTGAAACCTTTCGTCGTTCTCCTCGTCATCATCATCGTCTACAAGTTCAATCGACTTGGATCGGTCGGTTTCGAGTTTAGATTTGCGAGGATTCGACTTGGAACCGCTCCCAGACGGCTTGCCTTGAAAGAACGACGACAGTTTCGATTGCCCGTCCCGATCCGTCTTTACTCTCTTCATTTGTCCCGAATCATCCAAACGTTTCCGCTTCTTGGCATTGCGGTTTGTCTCCGGATTTGAACTTGCACCCATTGCCCTGCCACTCGACGACACCGACATTGAGCGTTCGATTATAGGTGCACTTGTGTCATTCGACGTGGATTGAGACCCATCTTCCACACATCTTTCGCCCGTATCCCCGGCAGCGGAAGAAAGAGGCGATGACGCCCGCCCGCCCATGGTGCTCTCACCCTCAGGAGCAGAAGTCGCATCGAGGATCCCACGCGCTTCCGAATAGCTGACGTGTGTCTCTTGCGTCATCTCTTCCTCATATAGTTGGGCGTTGTCCTTGTGATTGCTCCGTTGGGCAGTGGTCTCGCTCAATGCTCCAGTCGTTTGCTCCGACATAACGACGTCTGCCCCGCCACGGTTGCTGATATTATGTGCGTTGGTGTGATCGATGGCGACGTGCGACGAATCGGACGACACTGAGAGCGCCTCCGCCGTCGACGGAGCACGGTTTAGGGCGCCCGTCTGGGAGGAACTTGGAGCTTTCTTGGCGGCTCCTTTAGGCTTGGAAAAGTACGTAGAAAGAAGGGTTTGCTTGGCAGAGAACTCGTCCCACTGGCGCGCACAAATTCGCGGTATGACACCAGGCTGCACAGTAGCATTGGAACCAACGATACTAGAAACAGTGGATGGCGCAGAGGGATCATGAAGGTGATCAGATAGTCGGTGAAGTCGTCCGTTCTCGTCTGTGATTGAATCATATAGGTCAATGAATACTGGACAATGATCTGAACCCTTGATGGATGGTTGAATGTCCGCTTCCTTGACCCACTGACGTAGCCCTGGTGTTATAAGAATGAGGTCGATGCGGGTGCCATAGTTGCCTTCACGTGCGTTGATCTTTGTGTTCCAACCTAGGCAAAATGACCAACAATAAGCTATATAGACGAGATTAGACAAAAAAACTTACACGTATACATTCCCTCTCGTGTTGGAAACCGTTCTCGCACAATGTCTACAAGAGGGCCCACTGGAGAGATCCAATCTCGCAACCAAGACCGATGGAGTGGTTCATAGAACACATCACGGTACTTGGGGAGGCCAGCCTCAACATGGTCAATCGGAGCTGCAGTCGAGTTTAGATCACCGAGCACAATCACTAAAAGTGACACCAAAACCAGGCGTCAGCGAGATGCTCGAGAATCAACGGGACAGCTCACCCTCCCTTCCCTCCTCCTCAATCAGTATCCGTACCCGTTCTTGGAGCAGGTAGTAGAAGTTCATCTTATAATGGTAACGTACGTCTGCTGAGTCGGCCACACAATAGACGTTGATGAGAACGAACATGCCAAAGTCGAGTACAAGCGCACGGCCCTCCTTGTCAAGCTCGAGTAGCGACGAAGGTATAGAACCATCGTCGTTGGCCATGAGATTGATTCGTGAGACTGCCGGGTAGGTTTGTGAGACGCGTTCTTGCGGTGTCAGTGGAGGCTTGGGCTGCACGCCTCCGCTGAGGCCCTCTTCTGCTTTGAGAGCGCGCACTTTGTGCGAATTGGTGTACACAGCGACACCGCTATAACCAGCCTTGGAAGCTAGCGAAAAGTAGCCGTCGTATTTCCCTGGTACGGCCGTCGACGCGTCTAGAGCTCGTTTTGCGGTTTTGAGTTCTATGTTTTGCATAGATTTTACACCCGCGTGATTGCCGATTGTGAGATGCGATTTGAACGCGGAAAACAGGGACAGACCTTGCAAGCAAATAATGTCCGCCTTGAGCTCGTCGAGAATTGCTTCATAGTTCTTGAGTGTGTTCCATCTGTTTCCTGTTCTTAGTGACGCTTCATCGAACCTGTTAACATGCCGCTTACGGATGGTACTTTGGGAGTGTGCCTATGCCATTCTACAGTCCAAAATGTGTAAGAGCTTGCATACAGAGGAGAAAGAGAATGTGCTTTGACGTACAATGTTCCAAGTCAAAATTCGCATTGGTTTAGTGGCGGCCAAGTTGCAACTTCTTCGACTCTACCGCATGCATCGACGCTCGGCGGCCAACGCGCTCTCGAAAGCTACAAGAGGATTCACGAAAAGAGAGTTTAAGACGGCTCAAAGGCTTCTTGCCTCCGTTCCGTCTGGTATGTTTCCTCGTCGACCAAAAACTTGAACATCTCTGACGGTTAACCAGGCTCCAAGGCGACCCCGTCACCCCCTTCACTATTTTCTAATACGTCAACCCAGAAGAGACAAGACGACCAAATGCTTCTCCATCCTTTATACCGCGAGGTCGCCGATCAAACTTCAATGCAAGTCTTCGAATCAGTAAATACATCCATTCAATTTATGGTAGCACTTCTAATGACCTCTAGGAACTTGTGAACGAGGGCAACATCGGCCTCGCACTCGCCTTTCCTTCAAAAACGCCAGACCCGCTAAGGATATTTGGTATTCCAAAGTCTGTAGAGAAGACGGTACGAAACAACTATCCTATATCGACAATTTTCTTAGACTATTCTGCAGTTTGATTTGGTCACTCGACCGTTTTCCGTAGTTCGTCGCCCGACACTCTCGCTACGACAAACGTTGGAGAATGCTCGAAAATCCGGGTCGGACAATAGAATTGTCATAAGTATGTACATAAATTTCCCTAGTTTCCGCTAACGCTTTTTCTTAGCCGGCGGAGCAGGAACAGGAAAGAGTTACCTGCTCTTGCAAACCATAATACACTGTGTCGCGTCAAATTGGATTGTCCTTTATCTTCCGCGAGGTAGGCCCTGACGAATTTGGCGTGCCTTCTCCCACTCTTCACATAGCCATTGATACCGTCAACTGCACAACACCATATAACTACGAGCCAAGAACACAAACTTTCCTACAGCCAATGCTGTCCGAGAAGCTACTACGTCAACTCCGAGATATGGGTCATAGCGGCCTGAAGAAATTAACACTGACGAACGACTTTGCCATTGACTCGGCCCCGCCTGGTGCTCCCAAAAAGGGACAGAGGCTAATTGAACTTATAGAATATGGTATCCTAGAGGTATCAATGGCACCATTTGTATTAGAGCAGCTTTTGGCCGAGCTTGCTTCCCAAACACAGTAAGCCTCTGCCTTCTCCAGTCTCTAATCCACTCATTGGATTAGATATCCATTCCTCTTGGCTATCGATGACTTTCAAGCACTATACAGCCAATCGCAATACAAGACCCCACAGTTTGAGCCCATCGAGAGTTTTCACCTTTCTGTGCCTCGCCTGTTACTCGAGTACGCATGCGGTTCGCGCAAGATTGTGAGTATAACATTCTCCTCATAATCTATCTGAACTCGCTACAGCACAATGGCGCATTGCTCAGTGCTCTCTCCATGTCGAACACGTCCTGGTTACCCAAAACGGAGATCTACGAGGCACTCAATCTCGATCTTACCCATGGTAAGCGTCCAGATGCTTGGGATAAACGCTCCGAGGCGTATCAACATTACGCCGCTGGCCTGAAGGCTTTCCGTATGCCAGAGAGGCTGGAAATCAAGGAAGCTGCAGGCATCTTGGACGTGATGAAGAATGACCGGGCACTTCTCAGTGGTGAGATGTCATCTACATCGCTTTGCTGCGGCTGACGCGTATGCCACGTTAGACCCGTCTGACCAATTATTCCTATCAAAGTATTGCGAGTCCAATGGAAATCCTAAGGAGTTTGTTTGGCGAGGTCTGATGGCCACCCTGGACTCGTAGTGCCGATTCCGAACAGATTCCCGGAGGACGCCCTATTTATCGCAGACCTGTGGGCATACTGCGCAGCCTGAGAATCTTTGATAAGCACCGTGAACTACGAATATCGTTTACCACTTGCAAGTTCTGCATTGAGCGCGTACCTTGTTCCCGACCACGGCGCCCAGTGCGGCTCCAATTCACCTGAGCGGATACATAAGCAACTCTGTAAACATCTGGTGCTTCTCAACCACCTTCGGTCCCCTTTTCCGTGTTTAGATCCCACTCTCCCACGAAAGAATCTCTACGTCGCCACCCTTAGATATCGTATTATCCTCAAATTCACAAATCGACACGCCAGATGGCCACATCAGCTATTATCGACTTGGGCATGGCACCCATAGCTGACGATCATGCCAGAGCCCGTGCTGAGAAATCCGAGGGCGGTCCCGGACCAGCTTCCAAAGCGAAGAACTGTGCCGAGTGCCGTCGTATGAAGCTCAAGTGCTCCAGAACGGTATGTACTGTATTGGGCTTTGTGCTTGTCATACACTGACGCTGTGGGCTTGGTAGATCCCTTGCCAGAACTGCATCAGACGTGGTTGTGCTTCGTTGTGCCCAGATGGCTCTTTGGTGTCCAAAGGTAACAGGTTAGTAATTATTCATCTGGATGGCCGCGACGTGCTGAGCTCCGCTATGTAGGTTGATCCTGGCGAACACTGAAGATTTGCATGCACGCATAGAGACACTGAGTTCGCGTATACGTGACCTCGAGTCTGCATTGTCGTCTTTGCATGTGCGTACTTTCCACCCAGGCTACTTGGCAAGCTGACAAAAACCAATAGGCAAAGCACTCTGATGAGCCACATCCACTTTTAACACGAGATCAGCTCCTCACTGGCACAATTCGCAAAGAAGAGGAAGATCCTCATGAGGTCCCCGTTACGTCGTTCGGCTCGCTTATGCTTGGAGGCGATGGCACTTCCAAGTTCTTTGGAGCGACAAGCGGCGCCGAATGGGTTCGTCCACATTCCATCCTTTTATTCACGTTCTAAGCCTAAGTAGACCGTACCTCTGGAAGATGATACGCCCGAAGAGGGATACGCCTGTGTGCCAGTCTCCGTCACCAATGCGCTCGCGAACCAGATTCAGGGTGCACAGGGAGGAATAACGGGCGGAAGTCACGGAGTGCCGACATCACTATCAAATCCGTTTGGAACTGTTGCCAACCTCGACGTGATAAGCCAGAGCTTTCCCCACTCTGTCGATAGGAGCATGCTCGACATACCCGCTTTAAAGAGGCTTGTTATACAAGAGCTCCCTCCTCGAGAGAAGGCCATCTCCCTGATCAATTTATATTACGCGAGGGTCGCTTGGGAGTAAGCTTCTCATCTCCACAAAGGCAATCTCATAATACCATCAGGTTCGACCCTGTCCCAAGGAAGAGACTCATTGAAGAGGTGTTTGGGCCTTGCTACGACAATCTCCAAAACCCGCCCATCAGTGGCCATGCTATGGCCTTACTTTATGCCGTCTTCGGGCTTGGTAAAGCAAAATTGCATATTTAGCGCTCCTAACCCTCCATTAAGGCATGTTTCACAACCCTGAACAGTCAAACTACGGGGCTCTTGCTCACCAATTCATCGTATTGTCAAGAGCCTGCTTAGCGACCGAATGCATCTACGTCCATACGAGTATAACGGCCATCGACGCTCTCATTCTCCATATTCAGTACTTTGATATGTCTGACGATCCGGGAGGAGGCGCAAAGGCTTGGGCGGCCCTAGGGACCACCCTCAAATTGGCACAGTCGGTATGTACGGAGATTATATTTGTTCAAGATTACTGATTATAATTATAGATCGGATTGCAGTAAGCTCTTTTCTTTATCATTGCGTACCCTGATAGCATCTAGTCGCGAGCCATCGATGTGGAATCTATCCAAGGAGGAAATTCAGCGAAGGAGACGCACAATGGTTAGCAATTTTGGAGATTCATTGATATATAGAGCTAACCAAAGGACAGTGGGAGCTTGTCGCATACGATCTGTGGTTTGTGAGTCCGGTCTGATGACCTTGCCTTCTCGCCGCTGACGCCTTCCAGTCTTTGCACTTTGGACGTCCTCCCATGATCTCTCGGCAACATTTTGACGTCGAGCTTCCCATGGATGCACCAGAATTAGAAGTGGCGGATACAAATTTCCACCGGGGCAAACATTACTTCACCCAAGTCTGTCTTTGGCCCGTTCTCGACCTGTCTCTTGGCGTCAAGGGAACTTATGCGGCCGTGCTTAAGATGGACAAGCGCCTTCGTGACTGGGTACTTCCAGTACACATGCAAGCGAATGTATGCGCGCCGCCTGATGATTCACAAACGGGTCTTATTTTCCAGCGCACACTCATGTTTATTGCACGGGAGATCACTCTTATGTGCTTGCATCGGTGAGTTTCACCAGCCAATTTGTATCGGGCTAATCACCATCAGTCCATACTTCGCGTGTGCTCTCCTGGAACCTCCTTTCGACCCCCTGAGGAGCAAATACTCTCGGAGCGTACTGGCTGCATATGCGAGCGCTTGTGCCATCCTTAATCGCATTCGCACTCTTTATGCGCGTGAGCCGATCATCATTGTTCGCTTCAGCATCTTTTGGACACATTCTTTCAGTGCGGCAATGACGCTGTAAGTTATTCTCATCGAGGGTACACATTCACGACTGACATATTCCTAACAGAGGTGCAATCGCCAGTCGTGCGCCAGACTCGCCGTTGGCTTCAACCGCACTCGTTGAATTTGGTAAGTGTAACTCCTATTAGAACCACACCATTCTAACTAATTCCGTCAGATCATGCGGTAGAGATGTTTGATAGGGCAAAGCATGGATACAGAGCTGGACGCCTCCTGGTGAGCACAGGTAATTCTTCCGAGTCTCCAAATATCTCACCCTTTCAAGCCCGTTCTTCAGGAGCTAAAAGTGAAAGCTCATGCAGCAGTTGACAGCTATCGCAGCGGGACATGGCAGCGCCCCTCTGGCAAGGACGCAGGATTATTCCCTGGGCTAGGCGGAGCGAAAGCGGAACTCTACCACACACGCCAACAAAGGGATCGAGGTGTTAGCAAGTCGCCCAGTAATGGTCCTTCTCCCCCTAGTATAGACGATGTAGAAGGTGCCGGTATCATGTCCTCCCTCGGTACCGTCAAGGTCAATACCCTGGATGCATATTTTCAATCCTTTGGCCAACCCAGCCCCGCAGCTTCTACGGCTCCTGGGCTCAGCATCGACACTGGCAATCAATCCAGCCCAGCCACATCGAGCTCGATCTACCAGATTCCGATGGAAGTTCCTTCAAGCGATGCCTTTTTGCATGGTGTGCTAACTGGAGATTGGGGAGGAATGAAACCACTGGATAGTGCGCCCGGCAATCCTTACGACTTACTACAGGTCCCACCTCAACAGTACAACTATAACACCTCAGTATCACCACAGTACTATGCCACCCCGCCGTTAGGGCCTCAAGGGCTTCAAGGGCAGCAAAACTTTACCACCCTGGGTCACTCGCCCTTCTCTGATCCGGGCTCGAGTGACAGTGGAAACAGCCTATCTGGGAGTACTCCAGGTATGCTAAACTATGATACTCGACCTGCATTGCTGCAGGCTCTCGCCGAACCTCAGATCGGATCCACTGCATACGGACCCAGCTTTACACTGCAGGGGTTTGCGGAATCACAGCAGCAGCAAACTGCTCTCTCAGGCGCTTCGGGTGGCGAGGCGGCAACGATACTATGGGAAGACTTTTTGCGAGACCTTGGCACGGGGTTCAATGCAAGATAATACGTTATATATGTTGTTGGACTGCGCATCTAAAGATTCAGAGCTCGTGTTTATGTTCGTTCTTTAAGCAATATATACACCACTGCTACGTCCTACATCAAATTACTTAACAGTCATCCCACCACGGGCACGAGGTCTGGGTAGGAACTGTCGAAGTTCGTGTCGTACGGGTAGATGTATTCGGCTTGGAGGTCGTCGGCACGGGAGCTGGGGTGCTCGACGAGTCGTCACCGCTTCCACCACCATTGGTGCATTCTGCTGGCATAGAATTATCCTCGATGTAGCCTGCCTTTGCCTTGGCTCCGAGACCACGGGAGGCAAAGGCTTTCCATACAGCGCAAGTGTGTTTTCCACTGTACCGATTCTTGTCAGCGGACATCCAGGCGTTGCGAGCATCAATCACTGCGATATTCGTCAATACCCGATGGAATATTTCGACAATAAAAAACTCACTGGTTGGGTTGCATGGCTGCAAGAGGAGGGCTAAGGGTGGAATGGTCAGCCAAAGCTTGGGATGTGTATAAAAGGAGACGAACCATCATAGAAGAGCCTGAGGAATACGACGTTGCCCTTGTCAGAGTCCGGGTTCACATACGAATCCTCAGCCCAGCCACTGCAAGGTTGTCAGAACAAGCGTATCATGAGAAAGAATGGGTACGAACAATTGTCCAACCAATTCAGCGTAGACGTTGTGCAGCCTGTTGAGCAACCGGGTCAATGAACCATTCATCTGAAACAGATTTTGGACATACATGTTCGCCCAGACTTCACCAATCGCGTGCACCTCGTCGAGTTGTTTGATTGAAGCATAGGTCTGTAGCGGTTCGAGTAGTTCCGAGCGATGAGGGCAATTTGATGAGTGTCGATGAGTAATAAAGGGGCGTAAATAAGCAATGAGAAGTGATAAATTATCGTCAGCGTGGCCTCAAGGCGCTTTGAAGGGACGTACCAAGGGATTGACTTTGGGGTCCGTAGAGTAGGGATGCGAACGGATACCAGCGGGATTATTGAAGGTCCAACCCCCTAAAACGAAGTCGGGCACACTGCTATCCTTGTGCTCGAGCCATTCGGCAAATGCGTCACTCCAGCCCTCGCCCTGACAAAGAATCAGCTTGCTAGATGACTTAATATTCAGAATACTCGCCATTCCACCGGATTCAGTTGTTTGTAGGCACCTGCCGGTTCCTCCCTGAACAGCTGTGAGTCAAAAAAAGATACTTGGGATGTCAACGCACTCCAGTCATTCGGTTTGTCGTTCCGTGAGTTTGTTCGTGAGCAATAATATCATTGGAGAGATCACCATCCCGGTTTGGCTTGCTGCGGTCCCAGATGTACATTCTCATCTGGCCAGACTCTCCGTCGGCTGGTGTCGCGAAATTGGCATTGTTGACTCCTCCATCATCCTGTACGGAGATGAGGATGCGGTCATTGCCTTGACCACCTTTGCCAAAGTTGTCGTTTTGGAAGTTGAACGTCTGCTCCGTAAAGCCGTAACGGTAGTTGATCTATTCGCATATAAGTAAATGAGATTGCCAAGAAGTCAGGACCCACGTCATGAATTGTGTTGGAAATGAAAAAGGTGTTGACCCGAGCCGCGTCGACATTTTGGCCGGCGGTCGGTTCCTGAGTGGTGTCGTAGGTGTAGTCAAACACCAGGTTTGCAGAGCTCTGTTTGGTTGTGGCAGACTCTGAGCCCTTGTAGCTGATGGCGTTGTTGCCAGACGTATCATCTGTGGTCTTCGTGCCAAGGACATGCCAACCGTTGGGTGAAGAAGTTTTGTCGCTAGGGTCTTTGTGGGTCGAATAACCTTGCGTGACATCTTGCACTGTCGGGTCGACGGCATTGTACGATGCACCCGCCACAAAGTCGTTTGTGGCAATCACGTTCGAGTTGGACGCGTCCACGAATGCCTCGTACCAATGATCTCCACCAGATGTTTGTACTTGAACGACCCAGGTAAGCGCCATGTTGCCGTCCGATTGAATATAGTATTCGAGACTGGGCTCTCTGCCATTGTGCTTTCCACCAAGTTTTTGCTCAGCAGCGCTGATTGCAGCTTCCTTGGCAATAGCAGGCTCTGCGGGCGCAACTTGGGCTGGATGGACAGTAAGTAGGTGTTGGACTATGAGGTAGTACGTACCTCGCGAAGTGCTCGTCGCATGAAAGTTGGCGCCGAATGCAACTACGTTTTGTTCTTTATTGAAACCGACGTTTGCTACGGCGTTGGCAACCGGGATTCCGTTCTAGCGATAATCAGAACCAGGTCGCTCTTAAGGAAGCTACAACTCACCATCATTTGTTGAGCCCAAACGTGACCAGACACATCGGTTGATGCGGTAGAACGAACACGGAAACCGTCGGTACCCATGTTGAGTTGCTGTTCAAGGAAAGAGACTGCTGAAGCCTCCATAGTCGTGAATGGGCCGTCGCGCTTCTTGAGAGGGGTCTCTACGCCATTTGTATACGTGACAAACTTGTTGGGAGGATGGTAAGATTCGACATGATCGCTGGGCGCGACCTGTCGGACGCGGTGCGTCGAGTATTTGACCGTAGGGTCCCATGGCGCAGCAACCGCGAGTCCGGCGAAGAGGGAGACACTTGCAGTGAGTGCGAGCTTGCTAAAGACGGGCATGACGAAAAGAATGGGCTGAACAGCGACTGAACGAGGAGTGGGGTAAAGAGAGGGTTCTCAACACGCACGACGCGCGGAGTATGTATAAAGGAGAGAAGTCGACGACGAAAGGTCGGACAAGGAAGGGGATGGGCTCTATTTTGTCGCCAGGGCGAGCAAGGTTTTATACTAGAGCGCAGGCAAGACCTGAGTAGCCGCCTGCATATGACCGATGCTGTCCGTTGTCATTACCAACAGAACGTTGTTATCCTTCTTGCGGTGAAACGGTCAACTTGGAGCTGTCGGCCTGTGGAGAAATCGCCGTTTGCGGTCTCTGCCTAGGGGGACGATTGTCCACGCGGCCTCGGAGCTTTCTACAAGGCGTGGACACGGCCAACAAAGCAAATTAGGCATATTTGAATGAGCTTAGCGACACTAATCGCCAACATGACCAGCACCGGTGCGCGTTCTCTCCGTGAACGCAAGATCCGCATGGATCCATCTACGCTGCGATTGGCCGGCTCGTGACACTAAGTAACCCAGAAAAATTGTCCTCGAGACGGCTTCGGCCATAAACGCAATGCGGTCGGGGTCGCGACGGCCCTTCGCCGTACAGTCACGTCGCTATGTTGGTCAACGGTTATTCGGATAAAATGCATATCGAATATCTTGATATTTATTGGAGTGGGAACCTTCGCCCTCTGAAGGAGCCGGGTACAACCATTACAACGATTCAAACATGGTCAACCGTGGAGGCAAACGAATGTGTATGCAAATAATTGGAAGAGGTAGTAAACGATACCTCAGCACCCAGATGGCACCGTCGTCGAATCCTTGTACGTTCCCGATACAGCTCCTGAACCGAGACCACGCGAGGCAAACGCCTTCCAAAGCGTGCACTTATGCTTGCCTTTATAGCGGCTCGCATCTGCTTGGATCCACGCAGCACGGGCTTGTACCACTATAGAGAATGTGAGAGCGTGTAGAGTTTACAGGACAGTACATACTAGTCGGGTTGCAAGGCTGAAGGAGGAGAGCGTCATAGAATAGTCTTAGGAATACGACGTTTCCAGCGCTCGAATTGGGATTGGTAAACGCGTCGCTGGCGAATCCGCTGTAAAATTTGGTCAGAAGGCGCGAGAAGAGTATGTAGAGATCGCACTGTGAGCCAACGACTGCGAACAGGGTCAGCATTCCTGTTCGGCAAGCGGTAGGAGATCACGTACGCTTTGCATAGACATTATGCAGAATCTACAAGCAGGGTCAGTATCAAGCTGTCAAGGGTACGGCTGACGGACGTTTGCCCAGACTTCACCAATAGCCTAAGAACCTTTAGCAAGGTCAATATGGCGTAATGAAGATCCTACATGAACTTCTGTTAAAGTAGCAAGGCTGCTATACCTCTGAGCCAACGGTTAGCTCCATAACCTTGTTACAGCCAGACGTACAAGAGGATTCACCGAACTGGCCGCACAGTCAGCAACTCGCCTCTCGTTGACGTCTGAGACTCACGCGCTCGTGGAGTAAGGATAGGTGCGAAGGCCCTTTGGGTTATTGTACACCCACGCCGCAAGAACCCAGTCGGGCACACTGCTGTCCTTGTGCTCGAGCCATTCGGCAAAAGCGTCGCTCCACCCCTCGCCCTACAGCTCATCAGAAGGACGTCTTCGGGAAGCAGGGCACGTACCAATCCACCAGACTCGGTTGTTTGGAGGCAACGACCAGTGCCACCCTATTAGAATATCAGAACCAACGACGACGACACAAAGGACGACCTACCCCGGTCATGCGGTTAGTCGTGCCGTGAGTCTGTTCGTGTGCAATAACATCATTTGAAAGATCGCCGTCGCGGTTAGGAGTGCTTCGATTCCAAATATACATCCTCATCAGGCCAGAGCTGCCATCTATGGGAGAGATGTTAGCGGAGGATCTCAGGTCAGATGGGGACAGACCAGCTGGAGTGGCAAAGTTGGCGTTGTTGACACCAGATCCATCCTGCAAGACGTCAGTGGATATAACAATGGACAACGGCACCCACTTGAACCGAGATCTTGATGCGGTCGTTCCCAGCGCCACCTTTGCCAAAGTTATCATTCTGGAAGTTGAATGTCTTCTCGGTGAATCCATAACGATAGTTGATCTAGGCCAACGTTAGGCTTGCGCTGACTTAAGCTCGTTACTCACGTCGTGGATCTTATTGGAAAGGAAGAACGTATTGACTCTAGCAGCATCGACATTGGCTCCAGACGTTGGTCCAACGGTGGTGTCATATCGGTAGTTGAAGACTTGACCCGCAGCGCTTTGCTTGGTCGTTCCAGTGGTCGAACCCTTGTACGAGATGACATTGTTGCCAGAGGTGTCCGTAGAGACAGTCGAGCCGACTTTATGCCACCCGTTTGGAGAGGCAGTAGTGTCCGCTGGGCTTGTGAATGTCTTGTAGCCTTTGGTAACATCCTGCACACGGGGGTCGACGGCGAGATATGATGCGCCCGCCACAAAGTCGTTGGTTGCGACAACCTGCGCGCTCGATGCGTCAACAAATGCTTCGTACCAATGATTGCCATCCTCCGTCTGAACTTCTACAACATATGTGAGGGCAAGGCTGCCATCCTGATTGACGTAGTATTCTAAGGTCGGGGCCTTGTCGTTGTGCTTGCCGTGGAGTTTCTCCTCAGCAGAGGTGATGGCTTGTTCCTTGGAGATGTTTGGTGTGGGAGGTGCGATGTTGGCAGCGCCTAGAGAAGATAAGAGGAAGTATAAATATACCTATTATACTTACGACGAGAGCCACTGGTACCGTGGAAATTGGCACCAAACGCGACGACGTCCTTGTCTGTGTTGAGAGCAACATTGGCCACTGCGTTGGCTACAGGAATACCATTCTTCAATACGTGAGCTAAGATTCAATGAGGCGTGAAAACACATACTACGAGCTGCTGAATCCATACGCTTCCACCTGTTTCTGTGTTGGCTGAGGAGCGAATGTTATATTCCCCGTTGCTCAGTTGGAGTTTCTCCTCGACGAAGGATGCGGCAGACTGTTCGATAGTGCCAGAATTATCCCCACGTTTCTTGAGAGGGGTGGTAATGCCAGTTTCGTATGTTTCATAAATAGTCGTTGGATGAAAAGACTCGATCGTCAGATTGTCAGAGACAGCTCGAGCACGGTGGGTGGAAAGTTTGACCGACGGCTCCCATGGAGCAGCAGAGACGGCTGCGATGGAGGCGGCCGCGAGAGCAAGTTTGCTAAAGAGGACCATAATAATGAGTGGAGTTTTGCGAGCGAGTGTGATTGAAAGCGAGAGTGACGGCACGAATGCACTACAAGTTGACGAATCCGAGTAAAATCAAACTGGGACGCTCTGAGTCGATGAAGACAAGCGATGAGGATCACCTCTTGCAAACGCCTGCGCTTTATAGGCATCGGAGCGTCTCAGATGATTGCGCGAAGTGCTGGCTCATTGCCTGTCAAAATTATTCCATGAGGTGATAACGGCCATTTCTCTTTGTGCTAGCACATAAGGACAGCCGGGCCCGGTAATGTGCATGAATGTGGCGTCTATGCAAGACACGTGAGGAACGATTCCGGCAGACTTCGAATGCTTAAAATCCGAGAATATGCTCGGGGACTAGCCCGTAGCGCCGGTGTTGTTGACGGTCGCCCGTGCACCATACGTCCGTCAGGGGAAGGGTGTAACGCTAAGGGTCTCGTAGGGAATTAGTCTTTAGGCCAGTGGCCCTGTTTTCATGAGACCAAACCTTCCCATTGAAAGGAGAAGCACGTACCACATGCCTATGGGCAGACGGCCATATGCCTACGTCGCAGTGCGCGTTTCAGAGGCCCTACTATAGGCTGTAGTAATGAAACCAAATTTCGATACTGTTGATGTGCTTAAACTATCCCAGTTTTGGCGGCGAAGCTGCTCGGAGAGTCGGAGATGGTCGCAATTGGTCTCGTTCCGCCCGATGAGCAGCTTTTATTTATTGATGAGCAAGATTACTTGAACATTCCATCATTTATCGGACTGGGGCCCCTTGCCGTCTGAAGGAGTCGGTTCCAAATCAACAATCACCACACTCTAGTGTTCAACCATCGTATGCAAACGAACGTGCATACAAATGATTGGAAGAAGTAGTTATTAAGTAAACGATACCTCAGCACCCAGACGGCACCGTCGTCGAATCCCTGTACGTTCCCGACACAGCTCCTGAGCCGAGACCACGGGAGGCGAACGCCTTCCAAAGCGTGCAGGCGTGCTTGCCTGAGTATCGGTTTGTATCCGCCTGAATCCACGCAGCGCGGGCCTGTACCACTATGGAGAGTGTGAGAACTTGTAGAATGTGCAAGACAGTACGTACTCGTCGGATTGCAAGGTTGAAGGAGGAGAGCATCATAGAACAGTCTTAGGAATACGACGTTTCCAGCGCTCGAGTCAGGGTTAGTGAACGCATCAGCAGCGAACCCGCTATGAACTTTGGTCAGAAGTCGCAAGAAGAGGGGATTAGAAACCGTACTATGAACCGACAACTGCGAACGCTGTAAGTATTCTCGTTCGACAAGTAATAAAGGATCACGTACGCTGTGCATAGACATTGTGAAGAATCTAGAACGGAGTTAGTGGAATTTTGGAAATGCACTGCTGACTGACGTTTGCCCAAACTTCGCCGATATTATGAACCTCGTTCAGGGAAGCGACACTGCTATATTTCTGGATCGTGGTAAGCCCCATGATTTCCTTCCAATACGGCCGGACGTACAAGAGGATTCACCGACCTAGCCGCATTATCAGCGATTCGCATCGTATCGATGTCTGGGACTCACGTGCTCGTCGAATAAGGATAATTGCGAATCCCCTTCGAGTTATTGTACACCCAAACTCCCAAAACAAAGTCTGGCACACTGCTGTCCTTGTGCTCGAGCCATTCGGCAAAAGCGTCGCTCCATCCCTCGCCCTACAGCGCATTAGTGGGAAGATATCAGGGAAACAGGATTCATACCATTCCACCGGCCTCGGTTGTTTGGAGGCAACGACCAGTGCCACCCTGTAAGAACATCAGAATCGGCGACAATAGCAGAAACGACAGCCTACGCCGGTCATACGGTTAGTCGTTCCGTGAGTTTGCTCGTGTGCGATCACATCATTTGAAAGGTCACCATCGCGATTAGGAGTGGTGCGAGTCCAAATATACATTCTCATCTGGCCAGAGCTGCCATCTATAATAAACGTATTAGCAGTAGAATGAAAATTTGAGATGGACGTACCAGCTGGCGTTGCAAAGTTGGCGTTGTTGGTGCCAGAGCTGTCCTACGAAATGTTAGAGGGCCAGAGGGAATGAAGAATCACACTCACTTGAACTGAGATCTTGATACGGTCGTTACCAGAGCCACCTTTGCCAAAGTTATCATTCTGGAAGTTGAATGTCTTCTCGGTGAATCCATAACGATAGTTAATCTAGGCCAAGGTTAGACAGCCATTGACATGGGCTTGGCACTCACATCATGGATCTTGTTGGCGATGAAGAACGCATTGACTCTAGCAGCATCGACATTAGATCCAGACGTCGGTCCAACAGAGGTGTCATATTTGTAGTTGAAGACTTGACCCGAGGCGCTCTGCTTGGTCGTTCCGGTCGTCGAACCCTTGTACGAGATGACATTGTTGCCAGAGGTGTCCGTGGAGACAGTCGAGCCGACTTGATGCCACCCATTAGGCGAGGCAACAGTGTCAGCTGGGTTCGTATAGGTGTTGTAGCCTTTGGTAATATCCTGCACCTGAGGATCCACTGCGACATAGGATGCACCAGCGACAAAGTCGTTGGTGGCGACAATTTGCGCATTCGACGCGTCGACAAATGCCTCGTACCAATGGTTCCCATCAGCAGTTTGGACTTCGACAACATATGTGAGGGCGAGGCTGCCATCCTGCTTGACATAATATTCAAGCGTCGGGGCTTTGTCGTTGTGCTTGCCATGGAGCTTCCTCTCAGCAGAGGTGATGGCTTGTTCCTTGGAGATGGTTGGCGTGGGAGGCGCAACGTTGGCAGCACCTAGAGAGAAGGTGAGTAAAAGTATCCACTACCTTGCTGTACTTACGACGAGAGACACTGGTACCGTGGAAGTTGGCACCAAAGGCGACAACGTCCTCATTCTTGTTGAGAGCAACATTCGCGACCGCGTTGGCCACAGGAATACCATTCTTCGAGAGGTCAGCTGATGTTTGGGTAGAAGCGGAGAGAGATATACCACAAGCTGCTGGATCCATACGCTTCCACCGGTTTCCGTGTTGGCTGAGGAGCGAATGTTATATTCTCCGCTGCTCAGCTGGAGTTTCTCCTCGACAAAGGATGCAGCAGACTGTTCGATGGATCCAGAAGGTTCACCACGCTTCTTGAGAGGGGTTGTAACACCAGTACCGTACGTCTCATAGATATTTGTTGGGTGGAAAGACTCGACCGTCAAGTCGTCAGAGACAGCTCGAGGACGATGAGTGGAAAGTTTGACAGACGGCTCCCATGGAGCGGCCGAGACGGCCGCGATGGAAGCAGCGGCGAGGGCGAGCTTGCTAAAGAGGACCATAGTAGGGAGTGGAATTGGCGAGCGAGTGTGTTTGAGAGTGAGAGTGACGGCACGTGTTCACTACGAGCTGGTGAAAGCGAGTGGAATCGAGCTGGAGCGCTGTGAGTCGACGGGAGTAAGACCGGACAAGCGATGGAGACACCCTCCTATCGTCCCCCTGGCTTTATAGGCATCGAGGTCTTGGGTGCCCATGTGGAGTGCTGGCTAACTACTTAACAAGGATCTTTCCGATGAGGTGATAACGTCTCATTGCCTTTTGTGCTAGCACGTAAGAGCGGCCTGTACCGGTAAAGAGCATGTGCATCCGTGTACGACATCCGAGGCACGACTCCGGATGGCTGTTTGAATACGACGAGTTGAAGAATTCGCTCGAGGACTGGCCCGAAATGGCCTGTTTCGTGACGGCCGACAGTGCACCATACGGTCCTTCAAGGGACGAACGGAAGGCCAAGGGCACAGTGGGAATAGAAGAGGCGATATACTGTTTTTGTTCGGACTAGTGGTTCTACACTCGTGAGACGTACTCTTTTCATTGAAAGAAGAAGCGCGTACCATATGCCCAACGGCGTGCCATATGCCTATGTCGCAGCGCTCGTTTTCAGAAGCCCTACTCTAGGGCGCAATAGTGACAAGTCGGAAGCGAGAAGTCCATGCTGTCGACATGGTTGAGTACTCTACCTGAGGCGGCGAGGCCTTTGGGAGAACCAGAGAAGAGCGTAACTGGGCACCATTACCGGTCCATATCTTCGAATCAGATTACATGATATCCTCGCTACATGTGGTGGTACTTCCAGGTGCTACACGAGCTCGTCGAGAGGTTGGTACTTTCATTATGTTGAGGCTGACGCCGAGATCCGAGTTCGTCAAGTGACATGCGATAAAGGCGAGATAACGAATATTTCTTGACATTTCGAGCTGATAGTGGAGAGGCGACACTCCAGCATTCGTTTCGATTCAAGTATGTGAACCGTATTGTTGTATTCGCACGCCTTATGCGTCTCAAGTACGTAAAAACGCAATATTTCGAGAGCTAGGATAGTTTCTGACGAGCAGAGCGGTCGTGGAGAAGAACAGCCTTGATCATTGATGTTACTCCAAAGCCAGATTCGAGCAAATTTGATTTCAGATAATTCAAATCACCTCTAGAGTGCTGGAAATATCTCGCATAACTAATGAGGGAGATGTCCCAAGAGACAGCTTGCCACCCGCGACATCATGAGTGCTCGCAAAAAGGTTCGAAGAGATGATGGAACGTCTTCAAAAAAACCAGTATGGATAGATGACCAAGACAAGGACTCTGAAGAGGAACACCTGGAAGATATGCTCTTCGGAAGCAAGTCATTCAAGCAGAGCCATCGTTTGCAAGACGAGATTACTGGTTTGGAGCATGTAGAAGATTCAGACGTGGGTTCTTTGGCTCTTCAACAACCAAATCTAATCCCAGTCTTGTATAGTTATTCTTTTTCGACACTGGTGCGGTCAAGTCTCGCAGTGAGAGGAATGAAGAGAGCAACGACGACAGCGATAGCGACGATGAGATGCAAAGTGACCGACGCAGTGAAGCTCCAGTCACGCCCAAGACCCGTGATTCGTTGCGACCCAAGGCAAACGGCCCCGTCTGGGAGGATCCAGACGACCAGCAACTACAGATCTCGATCTCTTCGGATAGACGCCTACGAAAGCTCAGAATAGACCAGTCCGAAGACGTAATTACAGGCAGTGAATATGAACAAAGGCTACGACAGCAGTCAGTCGACAGATGGCATCTTCGCAATGTATTCACGTCCCTCACAGGTTTGAAACCATTAATCCACTACCAGAATGGGCTGCAAAAGCAAGGCGTAAGCGCACGAGGGATGAGATGGAAGGCCATGACGGTGTGATTATCAATTCAACCACTGGTGGAATCTTGTCTACTGGGATCAAGAGCCTGGAAAAAGGGTCGCTTGAAGTCGAACGCTTACGGGATGCGAATCAAGCAAGCCCGACAGAAGGCGATGTCAAGTCCATCATGTTCCACCCATCTCCGACGGTTTCTTTGTTGCTAAGTGCTGGAGGAGACCGGCGACTGAAGCTCTTCACCGTCGACGGCCACACAAACCCGCTGCTGCAAACCGTCCATATTCCATCTCTTCCTATATCCTCTGCCGTGTTTCACCCTTCTGGATCGTCGATACTTCTCACTGGACCACGACCATTCTTCTTCAACTATGATCTACAATCTGGAGCCTGCACGAGATCACCTCGGGGTCTCTGGGGCACATTTGCCTCAAAACCCGATGACGTTGATAAATCCCTCGAGATCAATGCGTTTTCGCCATCGGGTGAAGTTTTGGCTGTGGCTGGGAGGCGAGGTTATGTTCACCTTGTGGACTGGACTGTCGGAAGTCCGCAAGTCGTCGCCTCGCTGAAGATGAACACACCAGTCAAATCGTTATGGTGGAACACCGCATCGAGCAGCAATATGGAACTTTGCTCCCTTGGCGAAAACTCGGAGGTATATGTTTGGGATGTGCGCTCGCGGGCCTGCCAAGCACGATGGAAGGACGATGGAGGCTATGGAGCCACTACCATTGTTGGATCACCAAACAACGAGTATACGGCTATAGGGTGCGTGGAGTCCTTGGCCTTTGGCTCGACTGACCCAAGGAATAGATCAAAGTCAGGGCTAGTAAACGTCTACGACTCGCGCAGATCATCAGAACCCAAACTTCTTAAAGCTATAGGGAATCTCACGACGGCAATTTCTTCCCTTCATTTTAACCATTCGTCTGAACTTCTGGTAATGTCTTCTCGCTTGAAGAAGTCCCAGCTTCGACTAGTGAGTCCTCGATCGATCGATTGCATGATCTAACTCGTGCAACAAGGTCCATTTACCTTCGCTCACCGTCTTCTCCAACTGGCCAACATCTAGTACACCGGTGGGCAAGGCCACTGCGACGGCGTTTTCTCACAACAGCGAATACCTCGCGATTGGAAACTCTCGCGGTCGAGTACTATTGTATGGTATGCGACATTTTTGGAATACGTAAGGTTAAACAACCCCCTTCAACCCTCTCAACCCCTCAATTCAGTTGCCAAAACTCGAGTCTCAGATCATTATCACATGGAGAATGACTATTTAAATGTCGAATTGTAAGGTGAGACACGAAGCGTTGAGGAAATGGCAATGCCGCATTTTCGCCGGTTGCATCATCTTTTCTGTGGCCTGGATGGGGTCTAGCATGGAGAGAAGCTCAACGAATTGGTTATATCGGAGGTTGATGAATTTCCCCGTCGGCGAAACCTGTCCACGTTGGAATCACGCCTCGTCCCCTGGAGTATCGATTGCGGTTATAAAAACGCGTCGACTTGCATCTGGGGATTTCTCATCCCTCTAGGTCTGCTTGCTCGCGATGAAGGTCGCATCCCTTCTTTTCTTTGCGGGTGTTTTCGCAAGTGTTCAAGCTGAAACGGTCAACGAAGTGCTCAGGCGCTCTGGGGTTGTCATTTCTGAGTGCAAGCTGCCCAAGACCGCCGCTCGTGAGTGGGCCGGCCCTGGAATATATGATTCTAACGTTTTTTGAACCTCTAGTAACTTTCGACGACGGGCCCAACCAATACAATGTTGGTAAATAATGACGATAAGACGTAATTCTGATCCTAGCCAGGTGGATATTGGGACGACGCTTCGGAAGTACGGCGCTAAAGGCACATTCTTCATTTGCGGAAACCTATACCATTGCATTTACGACTATGCGGATAGTGTTCGCAAGGTATGACCTTAGGCATCGCTCCTGACCACACCCATTGACGATTCTTCAGTTGTTCCTCCAAGGCCACCAGGTATGGCCTTCTCGTCGTTCAAATGCAACTTCACACTCGTGCAGATTGCCTCACACTCGTGGAGTCATCCCGATTTAGCGAAATTAAATGTCTCTGCCATTACTGCCGAGCTGGAAAAGACGGATCAAGCCATCCAAGATATAATTGGCTTCAGACCTGCGTATATGAGGCCGCCGTATGGCTCTTACAACGACAATGTCACCGCGGTAGCAAAGGCGAGAGGCCAGGACGTCGTAATCTGGAACTTTGACTCTCAAGGTGAACCTAAGTGATGCCGCTTATTCCGTTGACTGACGCTCTGTAGACTGGAATAGTCTCACTGCTAACCAGAGTGAGACACGCTATAGCGACTTTGTGGCGACCAAACCCAATACGGTGCTCGCGTTGAACCATGAGACGTACAATACTACGGCTCATGAAGTGTTACCCTATGCGATAAAACTGCTGCAAAAGAACGGATACAGACTCGTCACCGTCGCGGAATGCGTTGGTGGCAAGCCGTATCTCCCTCCCAAGCCTCCCAAGCCTCCGCACTTGCCTCCTCCACCCCCGCACTCGCCCCCTCATGGGCATTTGCCCAGACACTTCCTCGATGTCAGAGGAAAGACTTGCTCGTAAATGCAATACCTAGTCACATGCAATATTGCTTGTTTACCCACTGCCATTCGCTCATTTGGCCAACATTGTGAGACTTTTGCGCGTGTCGCACTGCTTTGATCCCCTTTAGTCTTTAGGAGTAAGGCCTAGAATGACTATAGAAGGCGAGGTGTGGTCCTGACGTCTACGACTGGTCTCGGCTGTGAGACATGTTCAAATTCCACTCTCTGTGACATGTATATGTCACTGGAAATTGTCTAAGAACACGGCGGTGTACCTCGTGGCATCGACACTCAATCCTGGAGGCATCCACGACGGCTCATCCGAGTCTGGCCGCCTGTTAGAGTCTTCCCTTCTTTAATCTCAGCGGAACTGTACTCTGAGTATTATTTCTTTACAACAAAATGCGCCCATATCCCCATTCTATCCTTCCAGCCATCGCTTGCTCCTTGGTTTCGTTTCTCCTCTTGGTTTTGGTACGTCCTTCTAATGTGAAACCTCCCAATATTTATATTGTCTAGGTCACTGTATCGACTCCCTTGTGGAATTCGGTCTACTTTTTGAAACTTGTCACTGGCCCCGACGAGCCTGAGCCATTCCCATCCAACTATACAGTCAAGTTTGGTGTCTTTGGCATGTCAACGGTGCCTCATCAGCTCGGATATACTCCTGCGGATTGGTGGGTCACAGCCGACGTCAGGTAAGGCGATTTTGAACATATCGGTCATTTACTGATTAAGGCTCTTAGAGATCCAACTGTAGACCAGCCAAGTCTCCGGAGCATTACCTACGCTCTCGTTCTCCACCCAATCTGTGAGTTCCTGTATCCTATTCAGTGGGTGTACTAATCCTTTATTGCAGCCGCTTTCATGTCTCTCATAACATTTGGATTCGCAACGATTGGACTCTGTTCGCGCGCGGGTGCAGTCTTTAGCACCTTTTCTGCTGGTCTGGCCACGCTCGTGACAATCGTAGTCTTTATCGTCGACGTGGTGCTGTTCTCGATTCTCAAGTCACAGTTCCATGACTCCCCATATGACGGTCGACACACGAGCTATGGGCCAGCTATTTGGATGGTGCTGGCTGCCCTCATCGCTTGCCTGGTCAGCCTAGCATCTGCTGCATTCACTGCAGTCTCTTTGAATCGGTACCCGAGGAAATGGGCAAACGAACAGCAATATTGAATGATCAGCTCACCCAAAATATCCATACGCCATCATAATGTAGTCCTTGTAATTTATAATCTCGTCTTGTTCGCTATGTACTGTTGTATAGAATGTATGGCCTACTCACTTTGGACCCGAAGATGTTGATCAAGAAGACTTTCCACGACGTTCCGTCCAAGTTGTCCCCCAATGGACATCCTAATCGCATATACATCATCCAACCAGTCGTTCCCGGCTATCCTAATGCTAAATGGCCCGGTGTCGTTGTGTTCAGGTAACTGCTTGGAATCATACTTGATCAGTCACTGAGGTGTTTAGTGAAATCTATCAAGTAACTGGACCTGTCGAACGTTTCGCAGGCCAGATTGCCTCTCAGGGCTACGTCGTTGGTGGGTATCAGGTCTAGACACTTGAACAGATCTGACAATTTACAGCTTGCCCGTCAAGCTTTCACGAGTTTGAAGGTCCAGAACCGATTCCATACGACACAGAGGGTGAGAATTCCATCGGTATATAGTGATGCTCAAGCTCTGCAGGTACTGACCGAGGAAACAAATACAAGGCGAGTAGGATATCATTGATACAGGTCAGTACTTGACAATGGCACATAGATCGAAAAGGAAGTCGCTGGTTATGACGAGGCAAGTCTACTCCCCTAATTACGCCCTCTCTGAATGACCCTCCAAGGACTCTACGGACGCGATTGACCTCCTAACATCGCTTCCAAACTGCAATGGAAGAATTGGAGTTACCGGAATGTGTCTCGGTGGTCATTTGGCATTTAGAGTTGGTCCTATAGCTTTCAGAGTGCCCGTCGTCGCTTACTTTCGACAAAGGCGGCATTTGACCCCCGTGTCAAAGCGGCTGTATGCTGGTTCGCTACCGATATTCATTCGGCCACGCTCGGACGTGGTGGAGACGATTCTCTCGCCAAGGTCAAAGCCGGCGCGTTGACTGGGCCGGGCAAGGCGGAACTCATCGTGGGTGCTTGTTTGAGGGTGGAAACGGATTTACCAACGACCTGTAGATGATATTTGGCAAACAAGATACGCACGTACCCCGAGCAGGACGTGACTTGATCCGTAGTACGCTGGAGGATGCGAATGTGACCGTCTCGGTAATAACCTCTTGATCTATAAATATAGAGGCTAACAATTTGATAGTTTCTCGAGGTCCAAGCGCAACATGCATTTATCCGTGACGAGTCTAGCAAGGATCGTTGGGACGCGGCGTTGACGCGTGATTTGTTTGGGCTGATGATGAGTTTGTTCCACAAGATTGGGAGTGAATTGGGGCCTCCAGAAGCCGTAGGGGCTGTTGAACATGTATGCTAAATGGCGCAGAGTCTAACTTGTTCCCCCTCCATCTCCAACGTTTGACGTTCGCCCCCTCTAAAAATTTCCCTTCGCACACCCTTACTCCCTCTTCTCTCATCCTCGACCTCTTCCCATGTCCGATCCTGCCGTTGACAGTGGTCAGTCTTTTTGGGCGCGACTCGCTGGCACAGTCGCTGTCCAGACGACCTCGTTTCCGTATTCTGTGTGTAGCTAGATGCTCATAATAGCCCTGTTCAGGTGCTGCAAATGCCCACAACGCTGGTGGCGATCAGCCACAGTCGACGTCGCGCTCTGCAAGCCCAAGCGCAGCCCAGGATACGCTCACTCTCCGCGCTCTCGTCGGCACGAAAGACGCTGGAATTATCATTGGCAAGGCGGGCAAGAATGTTGCCGATCTTCGTGAGCAGACCGGTGTCAAGGCTGGCGTTTCCAAAGTCGTCGCTGGTGTTCACGAGCGTGTCCTCAGTGTCACTGGAAGTGTCCAAGGAGTCGCAAAGGTGTGTTTGCAATTATTTATGATATGGGTTTGGCCTCTCGTCCTGCTCGCCTGCCCAGTTTGCCTCGACCCTTCCCACGTCGTTGGTTGGTCATCATGGCTAACTCATTCATTTGTAGGCGTACACCACGATTCTCCAACAACTCGTCACGTCTTCTCCTTCTTCGACGACCGCTCCTGCAAATCCCTCCAACCATACCATCATTCGCTTGCTCATCTCTCACAACCTCATGGGTACCATCATTGGTCGCAATGGATTGAAGATTAAGAATATTCAAGACTCGTCTGGTGCTCGTATGGTCGCCCAAAAGGACATGCTCCCCCAATCCACTGAGCGTATCGTCGAAGTGCAAGGTTCCCCTGAGGCTATCGGCAAGGCCATTGAGGAGATTGGCAAGTGTCTCCTCGAGGACTGGGAACGTGGTCTCGGAACCGTCCTCTACCAACCAGGTGCTGGTGGTCCAGACGCAATCACAAACATTCTTGCTGGATCTGCCAGTCGTCGTGGCTCGTACGCCAACCCGAGCGTCAACGCGCTCACAGAAAGCGCTCGTCGTCTCTCCCTCGTCGATTTTACGCCCAGTGTAGGAAGCGCCAACAGCCGTTCGACAAATGGATCGAGCGCAGCGAGCTCGGGTGCCACTTCTTCTGTCGTCGCTCCATCTGTCCAGTCCCAATCCTCTCAGGCCACTGCCATTCCACCGTCCAATGCTCCCCCGGGCTCGGGCCAGCCACTTCGTACACAGAGCATCTCGATTCCGTCTGACATGGTCGGATGCATCATCGGGCGCGCGGGTACCAAAATCACCGAGATTCGTCGACTTTCCGGGAGCAAGATCTCCATTGCCAAGGGTCCACACGACGAGACTGGCGAGCGCATGTTCACAATTGTTGGTACGCCCGAGTCGAACGAAAAGGCGCTCTACTTGTTGTACAACCAACTCGAGAGCGAAAAGGAGCGTCGCGTCGGTCGTGAGCTCGCACAGCAGTCCGAGACGGCCGTCTAAACGTCGTTCTCACACGAACCCACCGCACCAACCAAAACAAAGTGCTCCTCTGCCTCTGAAAACCCGCAGCCGATTCCGAATATTCAAACCTTGACTTCTCCGACTCGCTTCTTGACTCTGATGCTGCCCCACCAAGCCGATTGGACGGGGCGGCAAACCCTTTGACCTTCCTCGTCCTTCTCCTCCTTGCCCACCACCCGCAGAATGTTTTTATGACGCTTCATTTGGTACCCGTGATGCCCTCCTGCTGCCTGGCACGTTGCAGGTTGGTAGGGGCTGCGATGTATTTGTCCACGTTGTATGCGTCCGTATAGCACAAACATGCTGATTATGTCCGAAACGTCCGCAAGAAGCGCATAATAAGTTCACCCGAGAACGTCTTAAATGGCCTTTGGCTCAGGGTTTGTTCAGCCTTGAACCTCTCCTCATCCACCAGTTTTCTCCTCTCCACTCCTAGAAATCTGCCATAATATGCTAGGACTCTATACAAATTCACGGGAGCACTCGATGAGCGAAACAAAAGGCTCGTCGACTGGGGAGCGCGAGCCACCGCCGTTGACGCGGGCGACGATGGCAAGAGCGCTCGAGTATCTTGTGCCTCCGAGCAGCGAAGGGATGCCAGGATTCCTCCTGTCGTCGCAGCAAAAGCTTCGGCACCTCTATCTCGACATCGAGGCACACAACGACCCCGCGTCCTACTACTGCCTGACGCCGGATCATCCATCCCAGGACGTGAGGTCGCTGCTCTCGACGCTCGAAGAGCTCTCGACCCGTCCACAGCGACCAGAGGAATTACTGGGCGAGGTTGTGTATTGCATTGATGAGGAGCTCCTCACAGCGCATGTGATTCTTGGCCAGGCCATCCAAGTCGTTTTTAGCTCGGAAACAGACGACGAATTAGGTATCGCCGAATGGAAATATCTCGACGTCAAGGCACTCCCAGTGTCCTCGCCGTCCTATACGTCTGTCCACGACGCCCTCCTTGTGCGTGGCCGGCGGACGACGAACACCAAGCGAGGTCAGCAACGTTCGACGATTGGGTCTGCACTCGATAGTCCTATCGGTACAGGAGGAGGTGAAGACTCGTACTGGTCGCGATACGACAACGTTGCGCCCTCAGTTTCCAACGGTCATCCAACGACAAACGGCAAGCTAAACGTGCCGTTTTTGCGCAATGGGAGCGCAGCGGGACTCAGTCAGCGCAGTTCCTCACCACGACGAGAGGATGCGTACTGGGATCGATATGGGTACGATTCAGACGACGATGAAGAAGGTGCCGCGCACTCGTTGACCGTTCCGGCCCGGGCAGAGTATTCGCTCTCTCATCATCAACCACTATGGTCGACGGCGACTGTGCCCGGAGGAGGAATATCACCGGAAGATCTCTCAGAGGCGCTAGCGATGCATATCCAGCCCGAACCCGAACAAGAGAGTTCGTCAGAGGATATTGCGCAAGGCCCGTCCATCGAGTTGGAGACACCACCACAAATCGAGAATCCGATTCCGACTGCGATCAACTTGGAGTCTCCCCTTTTGGACACGCGCATATCGCGACTTGCGAGTGTCAAGGCTATCCACGAGGATGAACAGCAACTTGGAGGTGTCGTGGAGAAAAAGGAGAATGGACGAGGGGATAAAGCAGCGTCGGATGCGATTCGTGGTGTGTTTGCGCTTTGGAAGAGTTTTGGCCAGACTCAGGCTCCGGTGGATATGGATGAGAAGCAGAGGTTTCTTGCACTTGTCGCGCAGTCTATTGCTGATTTGTAGATTAGGACTCGGGATTCATCGTCTTTTATGCACACTGAATGAGTCTCTGTCTTCAAGGGTATTTCTAAACGTCCGTGATGTAAGTCAAATAGAGTTGATGAAAGCAAAGTAAAAGACTTTAGTATGACTCATTTAGTGGCTTGGATGCCCTCGGGTTGTGCCTGGACCGGTATGCCGTTCCATCCAGCACATTATAAAGTGCCAGTAACATATAAAGCAGCCCCTGGGCTGTATCTCTTCGTCGACCCCGCATCTCACTCGTCAGCAATGATCGATCCGTCAGTCATTTTGTCACTGTTCACTAGCAGTGCGAGGCTCGCCGTCGACCTAAACGGAATTCTCGAGGGATACCAATCCTCCAATGAAACGCTCAGAGCCATGTCCACTGAGTGCTATGTTCTAAGCATTGCGTTGGAGCGAATCCAGGAGATGGTCAGCAGCGGTAATCAACACGAGAGGCTGACTGCGATCCGACCAGGACTCGAGTGTGCTCTACGCGGTTGTCGTGCCACGTTAAGCGCTATTTGGGAGGAGATACAATCACTTCACGATGGCTCCCGGACGATGGGCCAGTCGAGGTCCTGGTTTGTGTCGATGGGTATGAGGGCCAGATTCAGATTCCTCTGGCACGAGGGACTAATGAACGGATACCTCCGTCAACTCGGTGCTCAGCATCAGGCTCTTCAAACCCTCCTGCACGTATACTCGCTGTAAGTTCCGCCATAAGATACACTGCGATTGGCCTCGCCGCTGATGCTTGTTGATCAAGAGGGCCGCTACATGACATAACCAATATCCTCGCAAGACTCTCCCCAAACCTCGAGAGGATCCGAGTGGACACCGAATCGCTTACTTCTCGTCGTCAAACTCGCGGATCGTTGCCAGCAATGGCCCGAAACAACAGGAGTCATGATACTGTTACCTCTTCCACGCTAGACGGTGCGTCGTCTCAAGAGTACCAGCCACGACAAGGCGTCCCCCAGTCCCGAGCGATGCCTACTATCAACGAGGAGCAATATACTCAAATGCATGATCCCCCAAGTTACACCACGTTACCATTGCCTAATATGCATCAGCAGCGTTCCTTTACTCGCCCGCAACCCGGTCTTGTACGCTATCCGAGGTCCACAATGTCCTTGGCACAGCTGCAAGCAATGGCGGGTTCTCATCACTTGCAGACCGTGGCAAAGACAGTCCAACGCCATGGTCTTACCGTAGTAGCGCCTCTATTTCTCCAGATTCGCTCGTTTGGAACCGACAATCACTTTCATATCTCCCTACTCTCCCTCAAGCGGCACAACTTCGACATTATTCATATTGGAGGGGCACTAGAGCAGCTTCGCAATCTCGGCGAAGAACCTGAATATGGTTATGTGATGCAGCACCTGGCCAAGCATGACCATGACATGGACAAGACACTTTTGGTGTTTTCAGAACTTAAGCGGCTCTTTTCGACACAAGAAGCGTATTCCAGTGCCTTGGCGCTCCTGGAAAAGTACAATTTCGATTCAAGAAAGATGATGGATGTCATTAGAAGGATCAACGAACCGGCTTCCGGTGGCGAAGCGACCTACTGTAGTCTCATTGGCTTCATGTCCAATCGAGGCTTCGATATGTCTATCGTTAAAAAGGAGTTTGCACTCCTTATGGCAGCAAACTGGAAAAAAACGCCGACGGGACTTAGAAGACTATCAGTCACGGAGGGTGTCCTCCTACGAGAGGAAGCGACACTCAAGCTTTTGGAGCATAATTCCTACGATGTAGACCTTACTATTCGCCAGATTGATTCTCTATGTGGAGAATACAACCCTGAGCGCAAGACGACTAACATTAATCGGCTCAGTCGTCGGCCAGCATCGGCACAGAAGCCACTTCGCTCTTTGAGCGATATATCTGCATCGGCAAGGAGTAGGCCATCTCTCACCGGTAACCTCACTCCTGAGAGGAGATGGAGTACATCATCTCTCGCCATTGACCTCGCTGCTGGGATGAGAGGGAGTACATCATCTCTCACCATTGACCGTGCTTCCACAATGGCTGAGAGTTACCACAAGACGGCGTTATTCATATGCCTTTTGCCTGATATACCGTGCCTTACTCTTAAGGTCCTCCAACGAACCAACTACGACTATAGGACCACCGTTGACAGCATCCAATGGCTCAAGAGAAACACTCCATCCCTAGGAGTCCTGCGCAAGGCGTTAGAACATGGACAACACGATATAAACAAGGTCATATCCCTCTACAAAGAGCTGATGAGCTTCTTTAGCCCACATTCGTGGTCCTCGGATGATCTGCTCTATGTCAATGATTTCAATATCAGGCAATCGTCTGGCCAAGAGCCGTCCCCGTTTGATCTGCTCGATGTCAATGATTGGAATATCGGACAAGCGGTTGCGTTGTTACGCCGGTTGCGGCAGCGCGTCACACAAACTAGACACCTTGGTAAAATACTAAAACAGTTAAAGGCTGTAGGATGGGACGAGAGTCACCTGGGTTCTCTCCTTGATCAAGAGGACAGAGACCGTCGCAGAAGACATAGACCCAGGTCATACTCACCTGCAGGTCGACATAGGTACAATCGTCATTCAATGCCGAATCCAGTACCGGTTGCCACGGGTTGGCGCAGTTACCTCTCAGGCCTGTACAGTTACTTTTTAGGTTAGAAAATGTAATGATTGCAGCAAAATATCGACATATGGCCTTGTAATTGCCCTGTGCACATCGGTAACCTATTGGCCGTAGTCAGAAGCTCCATCACCTCCACAGTTTGGGCATGAACCTTCGTGTGAGCTGCCTAGGGCGCATGTTTGGCTGGTAGTCAGACTATCGAGCCACCACTCAACCAGAGTTTAGGCCAGACTCAAGCTCAGGTACATATGGGTGAGACGCAGAGGCTTCTGGTACTTGTCGCAAAATATATTGCTGGTTTATGACTAGATAGCCTGACGTCTTTTATGTACACTGAATGACTCCAACCATTCATTAAGGAATTTGAGAGTTGTTAGTTTACATGAAGACGGCTTTATTGACTTCACCTGTCCTCCTACCCTGTCATTCGTGCATTGAAGAATAAACAATGGAGCATTTGGGACTGTAGAGTCTCAACATAAATCTATGTTTGCCGGCTGTTTGAGCGCCAAGGCCACGAGTACGTCCTCGATCGTCCTCGATCATCCAGTATCACATAATAGGTGTCAGCAATATCGCAAATTGATTTGCTCCTTCATCTCTTCCTCGATACTGTCTCTACAGCGAGAAATGGCAGATATTGTTTCGCTGGTCGCCAACTGTGCACAGCTGGCTGTCAAGCTTCAGGATATCCGCGAAAGATATCAGTCAGCCAACACGACACTTGTCTTCCGAGTGCAACACTCTCACCGTTGCCTTGGAAAAAGTCCGAAATATGGCCAGGAGCGGCCAACGCGAAAGACATGGCTGGCGCTCCCATTCAACAAGCACTCGAGTGTGCTCTGGAGGGTTGCCACGCCACTCTGAATGCTATATGGGAAGCAATACAATCTCTCCACGTCGACTCACAGACAACGGTTCGGTCAAGCTCCTGGTTTGTGACTATGAACATGACGACCAAGTCCAAATTCTTAGAACGAAAAGTCCATGAGCACCTACCTCACTCAGCTTCGTGGGCAACATCATGCTCTCCAGCTGCTTTTGCTTGCCTATTCCTGTAAGTCACACAGTGCGCACAAAGGTTAATTTGGTCGCTGATACCACCCCAGAGATACATTGGATAGCATGCGACTAGTATTAGACAACCTTTCGCCCAGTCTCAATCGAATCAGAGCGGACACCGAATCTCTTACCTCCCGCCGCCGTCGATTGACGCCCAGGAGCAGCATTGGTACGATGCCTGGAGTCGCCTACAACAACGGCAGTCGACAGACGTTCAGTTCGTCCATCTTAAGCGACGTGGGCACCACTTCTCCAGCTGGTGAGAGGGAACGAAGTGGCCGGCATGCGCATGCAATGGACCCTATCGGAGAGGAGGACAACTACCAAGTGCCTAACCCTGCCGGTTTCAATGGATTTACGCCTCCTGCTCCGCCTAACGGGTGGAGCGACAGCTCTTCCGACCACACTTCGACCCAAGCTTTCAGCCCGCGACAGAGTTCTGGCTTTCAATTCCCCACAAATTCGGGTCACAGGAGAAGCTCCTATGAGACCTCAAGATCAGAAGTAACCTTGGAAGAGCTCCGAATACTGGCAGGCCCTCACCATTGGCCTACACTGTCGAAGACGGTCGATCTTCACGGAATCACCGTGGTGGCACCTCTATTTCGTCAGATACGCTCTTTTGGGACTGGAGAACATTTTCACGCCTCTTTACTATCGCTGAAGCGGCACAACTTCGAAATCATCCATGTTGCTGGGGCACTCAAGCAGCTTCGCCACTTCGGCGAGGAGACGGACTATAGCTACGTGATGCAGTACCTCTCCAAGCACGAATATGACATTGACAAGACGCTCGTAACGTTCTTGGATTTCAACCGTCTCTTCTCGACAAAGGAGGCGTATGGCAGTGCCTTGACGCTCCTGGAGAAATACAATTTCGACTCGGAAAAGATGATGAACGCTATCAGAGTTGTCAGTGAGCCGTCTTCGCGTGGTGAAGCGACTTACTGTAGCCTTATGGGCTTTATCTCCAGTCGGGGCTTCAACATGTCTATTGTGGGGAGAGAGTTTCCGCTCCTAATGGCGGCAAACTGGAAGCAGACACCAATGGGCCTCAAAAGACTGCCGATTACGGAAGACATACTCCTACGAGAGGAAGCGACGCTGAAGCTCCTGGAGCGAAACTCGTACGATGTGACTCTCACAATTTCACAGATCGATTCTCTTTGCGGCGAAGATAATGCTTCCCACAGGGGAGCGACCATGAACCCCTTCAGACGTCGGCCATCTGCCGCAACAAAGTCGCTCCGCTCTCTGAGCGACGTGTCTTCTTCGGTTCTGGATACTTCGTCCATTGCCATTGATATCTCTTCGGCCATGAGCACGGAGGACTATCGTAACGTGGCGTTGTTCGTTTGTCTCCTGCCCGATAGACCTCGTCTTCCTTTAAAAGTCCTTCAAAAAGCGAACTATGACTATCGCAGGACGCTCGGAGGTATCCAATGGCTCAAAAACATCAACAAGACCCCGGGAAATTTACGCAAAGCGCTGGAATATGGACAATACAACATTAGCGAGATCAGGTCCCTCCACACAGAGATGACCAGAATGATCCCGAGACCAATTCATCTTCCTTCCAGTCCAGTCTCTCCTGGTCCAACTCCCCAAATTTCTCCACAACTCCATCCTTCCAAACGACTCCATAATCCTTTTGCCCAGCAACGTCACTCTCCAATATACAAGGCTGCTCACCTTCAGCTCCCTTCTCCACCCCAATCTCCCGCCCCCTCTTCTGTTACCATTCAGCATGCTCAAAATGCCAGCGTTGGTATTTACGAGGTCCTCGATGCCCATGATTGGAATTTTGGACAAGCTATTGCAATGCTAAGACGATTGGAGCAGCGGGTCACATCATCTGTGGGTCTCAATACGCTCATTGTTCAGTTAAAGGGCGTTAACTGGGATGAGCGGCGTCTGGGGACACTATTACAGCAACTTCATTACCAGCAATCCCCCCCTGGTCATACTAGGCAGATGAACTCGGGGGTCCCGGTCCCCGAGTCCGGATATCCTTCTCAAGGCCAAAATCCGAGTCTCATATTCCCCAATGATGATGGTTCAAGTCAAACACAGCGCCCAGGTATGCCCTCACCACAGTTCAATAATCACGAACCGTATCATCCAGGCTTTGGCTCTGCATCGCTGGCTGATCAATATGCACAAGAATATCCGAGCTTTGGTCCCAATGGATACCTCTCACCAGGGTTTCCGTCGACGCCCGTCGATGTGCCTCAACAAGAGAGTCTATTCGATCGAATTCCCCGCAGTTATTCTCCTTCCAAAGTATCTCGAAGAGAGAGTCTATTCGATTAGTGCAGTTTCGGTAAGGGGATACTCCCGACATGTCAATAAACGCTTCTAAATCCAAAACATTAACAGTCCCCAGAATCGGGGTGTGGAGTGGGTTGACGATCCAATGACCCTACTGAATGGCATTGAGCCAGCTCGAAAACTTGGGCACTCAGCTCAAAACAAGACGGATCACGATTTGCGTCGGGATCACGCCTAATCCTCACCAGTGAACCCTCTGCGTCGCTGTTCAAGTATAGGGGTGAAGAAACCCCCGTCTCAGCTCACAGACATATGAACGCCTGTCTCTAACTGCCCTTCACCTGCGGTGGACAGTTCTTTTTTTTGAATAAATGTTGTATTTCTAGATACTGATCATGTCAAGTACGAGTGAAATTGATTCTGAGCACTATTGAGGAATCGGCGGTGCCTCCTTCGCCAATGCAGCCAGCCGATCATGTTCGTCAATATCCCTAGACAAATTCAATATCTCTCCTCAAAGTTCAGAGTAACGCACTTCATTTCCCAAGGATAGTCGAGCCTGCCAGTGTAATGTGTAAGCGAAACGTAGAGCAAGGGAGGAGGATCCGCACCAAACGTCGTCAACCTCTGCGCCAGCAAAGTAAGGAATATCTGGTGGGAGCGTACCCGCTTTTGGTTTGCGCTTGTTATGTACCACAAAGATGCCAAACTTTGTCTGCTGGCCCTCACGTTCATTCTCATCCAGTTTCGCTAGCTCCAATTCCATGTCTTTTTGGAGTTCCTTTACGGCATATCTAGAATCCGTATGCGCGATTCGTTGAAGTGTCACAAACGGCCCAGAGATTAAGACGTCAGCATTGCCAGTTTAGCAGATAGAGGTACTGACTCTAGTGTCGTCCTGGAGTCGTCCACTTCATCTATGATTAACGCCTTTCTGCCAAGCAGTTCCTTGCTAGGTCCCAGCCACTGGGTACGGACAACGGCCTTGCCGAGTTGCTCTTCTGTCGTACCAGGTAGAGACTCATACAGCGAGAGACCGATAGCTAGGATTGGGATATTTCGCTTTGTAGAAGGATCCTTCAGAAATGTCCTCTGCGAGCAGTCAAATCTCCAACTCGCGATGGAGTGAGAAAAAGCTCACCATGACACGAGCAGGGAAGAATCCACTATCAATAGAATATTAGTTTCCTATTTAAAGCCGATCGATACCAAATGAACGAACCCGCCACCTGAAAATAAAGTCAATCATGCGTGTAGAAACGGCTTGATATGAAAAAGATTCGAAAATACGCGTACCAATCGCTATGATCAGATCAGGCTTGAAATTGCTCTGAATAATCCGCTCCGCCGCTTTGCCGATCAGCTTGTGCACATCGCTGTAGGTAACGCGTTCGTGTCCGTCAGACATTTTCTCAGGCAGTAAAACTAGATTCCCAGAGTCAAGTTGTGGTGAGAGTTCAAGTAGTGGCTCCATGCGGGGCACCAACCGGCTAACGTTATCAAGTGGCAATGCGCCAAATGCTATCGCATGTACTTGAAAAAGACGATGACCAGTCAAAGAAATGGTATTGAATAGACAAAATTATACAGTATGATGCAAATGGTACAGCTACGTCGAGCGCATCCTCGCGTAACACACGGATTCGTAAACCTTTGTCAATACGTAACCTCTCCTACTTGGCTTATCACCATGGATGCCCCTCAAAATCGTCCCGATACACCTCTCCAATGTCTTCCTCCACAAATGCCGAAATCGCCCTCGTGTCCTGCGAAAGCCCTCCGAACGATTCACCCAAGTCCCAAGTCCCTCGACCTGTTCCAGGACTCGTCGTAATCGTATTCTTCCCACGACGAGGCCTCCCATGATCACGCACTGGCGTGACCGTTCCGTGGTACTTTAACGAGTCTGGATCTTGATCTCGAGTGGAGCCTTGGTGAACGTACATTGAAGTCTCGAGGGCCGAATTACCAGTTAATCGACCCGCCTCTGCTTCCAACTCGCGTGCGTATCCGTTTGAATCCTCAACTTCTTGCGTGCAACGAGGGCGCTCGGCTGGGGTTTTCGATCCGTACAAAAAGGCTGTTGTAGCCGGTGATGTACCGTCACGCTGTGAATCTCCCTTGTGTACCATCGGGGTCCAACTATCCTGGAGACGAGAGGCTGTCTTTGGGGTAGGAGACCCATGTAACAATTGATTCGCACGGAAACGTTCAAGCCTTGGCCCATTCGGTGAGAGAGGCGTGATCGGCATAGGTTGCTTTGGAAGAGATTGAGCACGCTGCGAGAGAGGCCTATTTGAAACAAAGGGTTCGGTTATTTGCCCGTCTCCTAAGACTGGTGACGCAGCAGGTCCGTTGGCTACGGAAGGTAGTGGCTGATCCCTAGTCTCTGGGGGCGAAGCGAGTTGTCTAGGAGTTTCTCCCGCAGCCATGCGAGGGCGCTTGGGGGTTGATTGAAAGCATTCCACGAGACTGTCCTCGTTCCAATCCACCTGGACAAAGTCAAATCGTCATCTCATATGGGTATCAATGCTCACCACTGGCGCCAATCCATCATCATGAGAAGGGTCTGGCTCGTTTGCGAGGATTGTTGGATCGACGACCGGCTGCGACGAGTTGGTCGGCCTTAGTATAGGTGACTCCGTCGTCAATCCTTGTGCCATAGTCATATCCAGCTTCTGAAGTTGCTTTCTCGCCGCCTTCTTGGCCCGTTTGGCCTCGGCCTTTAGCACCCATGCCTTCCACTCTTCCTCGGTTTCATGCAACTCGTACTCGATCTCGCTGTCGGAATCGGGTTCAAGTTGTGACCATACCTTGGTGAGTGGATTCCCAAGGATTGCAGAACTGAGTTGTAATTTGGTCCCATCCCAAGGGCCTGTCATCCGTGGTCCTCGGGCGTATGCCTTGAGTCTGTCTATGCGTTCCTGCGCCTCTTTCGAGCGTGGTGGGTCGACGATGAGCGTCACAGGGACTGACTGAAATGCTCGTACACGGGCAAGGACGAGCTCTGGATCAAGGTTGTCTTCTGGTGGACTGTACTCGTCTTCCGAGCCTTCCTGGTACGCGGGCGGCATTTGTCCGAGCTAGCGAGTGGAGAATGAATGTGTCGAGTTGATTTCTTCTTTGTTAACCTCTGTACGTCGTCAGCCGAGGTCCCGGCGCGCGGCTACGAGGGCTCAACTGAAAAAGTGGCGATCCCTTTCTCGGGTTGTTGTATGCGCCAGGGGTGGGGCTTATAAGCTCGCAGAGCGTCTAAGAGGGAATTAAAGCTGGATATTACGAGTCTGGAAGTCGACGCTAAACGTGAAGAGTCGTAAAAGGGGAATTAGGGTGAGCGGTCAACTGGCTTTTCATCCTTTACCACATCTCCTGGCTACCATCGCGGCCATGAGCATGGAAAATACAGAGACGCCCCCGCGTGTAAATCGATCCAATCAAGCTCTGCATCCACTTATAAAGGGCCTTCCGCGCCTGGCAACAGGGCTCGGGGCGCAGGGCTCCAGAGAGGGCACTCCAACGCGTCCAAACTACTACAACACACCTTCGACATCCAATTATTCGCATTTCCAAGTCCCAGCTCTGAGTCAGACTCAGCAGATTCAAAAGCTATTCGAGCTCAATCCGGATTTGCAGCAACTCCAGAATGCAGCGAACAAGGCGACAGAGATTTTGGACGACGAGGAAGGTGAAGAGCTCGACGATGAGCAGTTGGCAGAGTCGACTGCCAAAGAAAACCAATAGTATGTATCCCGTTTGCTGTCATGCCTTTCTGACGTGCTATAGTCTGTTGCTGCAGAGCATGAGTGCAGAACAAGCAGAGAGATTTGACGTCTTTAAACGATCGGGTCTCAACAAGGCTGCAATCAAGCGGGTGGCCGCTCAGAGCGACCACCAGATGAGCAACGGTGTTGCACAGCTTGTTGCAGGTGTTGGGAAGATTTTCGTTGGGGAAATTATGGCAAAAGGTATGCTTTGCTAACCTAGAGTGTCGTTTCTGACCTGGTATAGCTCGTGATGTTCAATATCGTCGCAACGAGACAGGTCCCCTCACTCCAGAACACTTGCGGGAGGCCTACCGCCAGTACAAGCAAGAAACCGGGAATATCGGCCCAGCTAAACCACTACGAGGCAAACGTCTTTTTCGACGATAAACTATCCTGGCTCGTGTACGTGCGGACACTTGCCTGATCGGACATTATTCTAGTAGACCACTGTATAACATTTGCAGCTCGTATTCCACGTACAAGCGCTTCATCTAGATAACGAATACATTCAAAGCCGATACACAATGAAGACGCCTATGAGTGCCCATAGGCGACGCATGACAAACAAGGGCTGTAAGAAGTCGTGACGTGCGTGATATGCAATGATAATGAGTGATGGGGGGAAAGTGCGCTTTCAATCGAAATGGAAAGGGTGGGCTCGTTACGTGAAGAAACGAGGTGGATAGCGTTGGAGAAAGCAACGCCGAATCATCTCCGGGTCGTACTGGACGGAACGAGACAAAATCATGTCCGCCTGATATCCTTCTACTGTCTCAAGGGTGATCTTCATATATTCCGCATCTACGACGGTCCATAAGATGCTGCCATAAGAGACGCGGCGATGCGCTCTGTCACCTGGGCCAGAGGAAGGTAGGAAATGGAAGCGGAGGATACCTGGATCGAGTTCGCGGATGAGACGGACCATATTACGATGCATGGCTGTGGCCTGTCAAGGAGGGTTCATGAGCGGCACTAGGCATTCCAAGGGTTAAACGTACGCATTCGACCATAAGAGGATGGAGTAGACTCATCCCACAAATCCAGCTCCTCAGCTCAGACTCCAAAGACTCGTGTGTGAAGCGACCCAGTTCACCGTCGATCCGCCAAATGGCTGGGAGGTAGAAGAAGAACGGCCGGACGTTTGGTCGAATGAAATAGGGGAAACGAAAGGTTATTCTGAAGCATTCGAGCTCCAGTTGAAGGTTTGGTGCGGACGTGACCTTTTTCATGCCCCTGAGGATCCGCAGACTTGGCAAGCTGAGCAGCGGCGCGATGTCATGTGTCCCGGCAAAGCTCGTCTGCTCATTCATTTCGGGCCACTGAACGCTCTGGTGTTCCAGTGCGGCGACGCATCGGGTCGCGAGATATCGGGCGAGTGACTGGATAGCGACCTGCGGCATGGTGAGTCAGCACTCTTGAGCGGTAAAACCCCGCAGACTTACGGCACGTTCGAGATTCGAAGCCGTGCGCGACGCTCTACCAGGCATATCGGACAAGGCGGGGGGGAGGGAGGAGAAAGGGGGATGAAGAGGGAGAGAGAGAGATGAAAAGGTGTGGCAAAACCAAACACGGGATTTAAAGTCCGGATCTCCTGGTCAGCCGGGGACCTAAGGGGCGATCGTAAAACAATCCCAGCACAATCCATAGGAGTTTTGCCACGCCACTGCTTCGCAAGGGACTAGAATGACAGCACGCGTATCAATCTCCTCGAAGGTCGGCACGGATTCTCTGAGCCCATGTCCTGGCTGACTCCTATCTTGATACCAGCCGCTTGTCAACGTCCATAGCAGGGCTTGAAATGTCCGAGACTGTGATATACTCCGTCCTTTGACCGTTTCAAAGAGTCTTGTCCCCTACATCTCCGTCTGCAGTTCGACGTCAGAGATAGGGCGAGCCGCGAATGTGATGCAGGATCCCCAGTTGCGTATGGTGCGTTTAGAATGATGAATTTTTGCCACAAGGACTAAAAGACGCTGGTCGCTGGCAAAAACAATACTGTTCGCCTCTGTACCGCGGCGGGCAACCACCGCCGTGGGGCGTGAAGAGGCTGCACACGTCAGGACGATAAGAATCCGAGTCATACGCATGCGGGTTCGTGTTCTGTCCATATCAAAAAGGCCGTGTCCAACTATCCGCACGAGATGAAGCTTATTCCGAGCATGTTCTGAAATTTATAAATATTCTCGTAAATGAATATTTTCCTCGTGTTATCGAGCGAGGCCATTGACGTCGTGTGGATGGGTCCAGAATTGTAAAGTGGTGCATCAACTTTTGACCGCGCCTCTGCCCACACCTGGATATCGGAACCGATAGTTGGAAGTACTGACACTTTCGAATGATCCTCTGCGGACCTTCAGCGTCTTCAAATGTCTTTCATCGCCGCCCCGTAAGCATGCGCTTGCACGCCTCCCGCCCCCGGCTTGACATGCCTGGCCACATTTAGCTCCAGCGAAAGCTCGTAGTCCTCGGAGATGGTGCTGCCGGCAAGACTTCGTACGTGCCGACACTCTCTGGGCGCATTCCGAAGTACTAAGACGCCCCGTTCTTCAGCCTTCTAAACGTCTTTTGTCGTGGCTTCTTCACCTATACATAGTACGCACTAGAGGGCAATACAGGGTGGGTACATGGGCTCTAACCGCCTTGTTCCACAGCGAACCGACCGTTTTCGAAAACTATGTCAGCGAAATCCAGGTTGATGACCAGGTCATCGAGCTCAGTCTATGGGATACGGCGTAAGGCATCATTTCAAGCTGTCCTTGCGACGACTAATGGGTACAAGCGGACAGGAAGAATTCGATCGACTACGTTCTCTGAGTTTCGCTGAAACACATGTCATCATGCTTTGTTTCTCGGTGAGTTGTTCACTCCACTCGCAACAGCTCGAGCCCTCATGGCACTAGGTGGACAATCCAACCTCGCTGGAGAATGTCGAATCCAAGGTATGACATGTCCACAAGCTTTCAAACAATCTGACACACGACTTAGTGGATAGACGATATTATTCAATACTGCCGTGGAGTCAAGGTACATTTCACTTATCATGCCCTGCTGCGGCTCACCGTTTTCAGCTGGTCTTGGTGGCGTGCAAATGCGATTTGAGAGAAGACCCCGCTACATTGGAAAAGCTGGCATCACAGGGCAAGAATGTCGTGGTCTACGAAGAGGGACTGGCAGTCGCCCGTCGGATTAACGCCAGTCGTTATCTTGGTACGGATATTGCTATTGGAGAAACAGCTGTCTAACTCGCAGCAGAATGCTCGGCCAAACACAACCGAGGCGTGACCGAGGTGTTTACAGAGGCCGCTCGTGTCTCTGTGAATGCACGGGCCAAAGGTTCAGAAGGATATGGTGCGTCGAAGAAGCACGAATGCATCGCTATGTGAGATGGTTGTCGCGCACGATTTCTTCTGGTTTGCCACCTCGGACAGTTTTCTTGCATCTGCACCCTTTCATCTCTCGCAAGACACTGCTAAAGGACACTCTTTCCCCTCACTAGCATGCGTTGCTGTTGTATATTCCATCGGCCACTTTACATTGACATTAATCTATGACGACGTTTGATCCTGCCCTTCTTGTTGATCTGCTTCCTGATCGACGAGCTTCGAGACGGCCATGAACCTGCGGTGGGATGTGATGAGTGCGTACCTCTGCCTGTGGCCGGTCAGACTGACTGTGCAGAGTGCCAGATGGCCATAGTGGACAGTGTCTTGTGCTGCTGGACCATCCTGTCCATGAATCCCTGGTACTTTGCGAGTTTCTGGGTAAACTCTTCAATGTTCAGAGCCATTTGGGTGTAGTAGTCTGATTTCGCGAGTCCATTGACGCTCATTGGTCCTTTCTGAATCCTCGCTGATTTTACAGAGAGTATTCCGGGGAAATGAACGGCGGCGGGGTTAGTCAAGGAGATTCACAAACTTGGACTCGGTCTTGATAGCTGGCAGTCGAAATGTCGACCGGCGCGCGCAGACGAGGCATTCGACTTCCACAACCAGATTCTCCAGGAAATGGGAGTGGTCCAGATGGACTCTCCCCGCGCTCGTTGACGCCAGACCCAACACACGACAGCACCGTCGGTGACGAGGACCCGGTATGCGCACTGTAACACCAGAAATCACCAGAAATGCTCACAAATTCCTTTGATTTTGCATACATTATAACAGCGCTCCGTGTCCCGCTCGTTCCCAGCTGCCTCTGGCCCGCCAGAACCAGAATATATTCACAACATTGCCTGCGTCGCCATTACCGCAATCGCTTTTGCTTTGCGCTTTTACAAAATCAACCATCCTGACCAAGTCGTGTAAGTTTTCGTCCTTGTCTGCCACGCCACGCTCTTCATTTCCAACATGCGGCTGTTGAACACCCTCGTTTGCCCCTCTTACACGCGTCTATCGTACTCATATACACTCAGCTTTGATGAAGTTCACTTTGGAAAGTTTGCCGCCTATTATATCCTCCGCGAATACTACTTCGACGTTCACCCTCCTTTTGCAAAACTCCTCCTCGGGCTGGCAGGCTGGTTCGTTGGATTCGACGGTCGATTTGAATTCGAGGCCATCGGTGATTCGTACTCGCAGCATCACGTCCCCTATGTCGGAATGCGTGCCATGCCAGCAGTCTTTGGTAGCTTGACGGTCCCAGTCGTTTATCAAATCATGAAGGAATGTGGATTCCCCGTCGTTATTTGCACATTTACTGCCGCGCTCATCGCCCTTGGTATGCCTCTCACACGCCCCCGTTTTTAAATGTACTGACCTCCGAGGCAGACAACGGTCACATCGTACAGACAAGGCTCATTCTTCTTGATGCTGCATTGATCTTTTTCATCGCACTTTCCTTGTATGCCTACATTCGCTTCCGCAAAGTCCGATACTCGTACGTCCTCGTCTTTCCGACTCGCAAGATCCTAACGCTTGGGTAGCGAGTTCTCGCGAGCTTGGTGGGGATGGATGGTTGCAACTGGTGTATTCCTCGCTTGCAGTCTTGGCTGCAAGATGGTCGGCTTGTTCACCTTTTTCACAATCGGCACGGCTGTTCTTGTCGACTTGTGGGATATCCTTGACATTAGGAAAAAGTATCCAATGGTACGTCTTATCGACACTATGAAAGAACCCTCATTTACAGTGCCTAGGACGTTGTGCTCAAGCACTTCTTCGCACGAGCGCTTGGACTGATCGTAGTACCGTTCATCGTCTACTCGTCCTTCTTCTGGGTTCACTTTAAAGTCTTGTCTCACTCGGGAACCGGTGACAGTTTCATGTCGCCTGAGTTCCAAGAATCATTGTCAGGAAACGAGTTGCTCATGAAGTCGCATGGTAGGTCGAGAAATTGTTGCTTTTCAATTGTCTGACGCGCTATAGAAATCCGCTACTATGACACCGTTACTCTCAAGCACAAGGATACCAAAGTCTTTTTGCACTCTCACAAGGAGAGATACCCGCTCAAGTACAAGGATGGACGTATTAGTAGCCAAGGTCAACAAGTCACTGGCTACCCTCACGAGGATCTCAACAACCAATGGCAAGTTATCCCGTCCAAGGCCATCCCAGAGACTGGACGAGGACGCGTTGTTCGCCACAACGATGCCGTTCAGCTGTTGCACATCAGTACCCAAAGCTACCTCTTGACGCACGACGTTGCGTCGCCAACGATGCCCACGAATCAAGAAGTTACCACGATTGCCAAGGAAGATGCCAGGAGCAGATACAATGAGACACTCTTCACCATTGACATTATCAACGGTCATCCTGGTCAGCCATGGAAGAGCAAGGCCAGCCACTTTAGGCTCGTCCACGTTCCGACCAAGGTCTCCATCTGGACTCATCCCAAGGCGCTCCCTGAATGGGCTTTCAAGCAGCAAGAGGTGAACGGAAACAAAAACTCGGAGGAGCGAACGGCCACGTGGTTCGTTGACGATATTGTGATTCCAGCTGGTGAGTCTTGCGTTGTCGACTTCAGGCAATAGAAACCTCATCCTTCTTCAGAGGACGAGGACCTTTTCAGCCGCGAAGGTGGACCGAAGGAAAAGGTTGTCAAGAAGATGAACTTTTTCCGCAAATACGCAGAACTTCAACTTCTCGCTCTCCAGCATAACGCTGGTTTGACGGCCTCTCATCCCTATGCGAGCGGTCCCATCAACTGGCCATTCTTGCTCAGCGGTATCTCATTCTGGACCAACAACGAGAAGCTCCAGCAGATTTACATGGTCGGAAACGTTTTCGGCTGGTGGACTTGCGTCGTTGCGCTCTCGGTATTTACTGGAATCATCGGGGCTGACCTGTTGGCGCGTCGTCGAGGCATCCAGCCCATTCCCGAGTGTAGGCCCCACCCTCTCATTTACAACCATTGGTCTAACACATTACAGTTGTCCGTAATAGGCTCTGGAACTCTACTGGCTTCTTTTTCATCGCCTGGGCATTCCACTACTTCCCCTTCTTCCTGATGAACCGCCAGCTGTTCCTGCACCACTACCTTCCTGCACACCTCTGCTCTGTCCTCGTGACGGGTGCCGTCTTCAACTTTATCGCTGGTGAATCTATCAATTACCCCATCTCGGTGCCCGGTCCAGGCATGCGTCGGATGCCTACGGCTCGCTCCGATGTGGGAATGAAGGCTGTCATTGCCGCGGTGCTCTATGCGATCCCGTATCTGGCCATGTTCTTCTTCCTCGCTCCGCTCACCTACGGAACTCCTGGGTAAGTGTGCTGTTACCCGAGCGTACGGCTACTAATGGTTATGTATAGTTTGAATGGAGACCAGGTCAACCGTCGCCTCCTCCTTCCTTCCTGGACGCTTCACTTTGCGGGCAAGGCCACCACATCGTAAAGTGTTACACAGCCAAGGGTGTGTTTCTCTACGGACCATCAGGAATGGGCAAGATGCTGTTGGCCCGAGCTATCGCACACCACGTCGTAAAATGGTCGAGCACAAACGGAGAGGTTGTTCTCGTTAGTAGATCTGGATGTCGGTTTTCCTATTGTAGACGGTATTTCTATGCTACTGTAGCATTGCTAGAATGCGAACAAGTAGCCACCCTTGCCTCGACGTTGTTTGTTCGTGTTTGGTTGCTAAACTCTCTTTTGGTTCTCCACCCTTCGACACTGTAAACCACCAAAATGGTCAGAATACCGCGTATATCGTATGAGGCGCACTATTGACAAATGTCCCGTTTATCTGCTCGTTGGAACCGATAGACCAAGCGCACCAGAAAAGTCGGCGTGACCGGAAAGTACGGTACTCGTTATGGTGCCTCATTGAGAAAGCAGGTCAAAAAGGTGCGATTTTATTATTTTATGCGATTTTACAATGAGCGACGGGCTGACATTTTGGTCCCTCGTAGATGGAAGTCACCCAACACGCCCGCTACACTTGCACATTCTGCGGAAAGGTGGGATTATTCGATAGATGAAATAGATTCAAAGCAGATTACTGATAACTGCTGTCGCGAATCAGGATTCCGTAAAGCGTACTGCTGTTGGCATCTGGCATTGCCGTGCGTGTCGCAAGACGATTGCTGGAGGTGCTTGGACTGTTTCCACGACGGCCGCAGCTACCATCCGCAGGTATGTGTTTTGCGGCGCAGTCCTCGCCACCGCGTCAGACTAATAAACTTGTGTAGTACCATTCGTCGTCTACGAGAAATCACCGAGGCATAATCAGCTGTATACTCCGTGGTTATGTGTCGTCGTCTCTTGATACACTCTATTGGCATGTCCTATGCAAAAGTGCAGGCTCTATGCAAAGTTTAAAGACGATCAGTCTGCGCGAGTAAAGGGTCTATACACGAGTAAATGATACAAGATAACTACCGCTACGCGAATACTTTCATGTCGGATTCGTCCTCGACTTGGCCGTCATCAACGGCCTCGTCGTCCACCTCTTCATCTTCAGATTCTTCGCCTTCGCCATCTTCCTCTTCCTCGTCGCTCTCAACAAACGTCAGAGGAATGTATTCGTCGCCACCTTCAAAGGTAAAGTCAACACCATTGACAGGAAGCTGCTGGGAGTCAGTAGATGTTTCATTAGAGGTACTGGAATCGACAGCCTTTGGTGGATCAGGGGCCACTGCCTTCTTGCGGTTTGCACGAATGACATGAGGTAGTTTGCACCGCGGATTCTTGCACGTGCCCGTTTCTGCAAAGTCTGGGCATTCTCTAACATGCGCTTCCTCGCAATCGATTCCCTTTTCGCAGTATCCCAGAACTGCAAAGTCTCGGCACACTGAATGCTTGACGCCGACTCGTACGTGGGGATAGACACACTTGTCTCCATTCTTGCAACGTCCATTGTTCTGAAAGTGTACGCAAGGCGGAACACGGTTGAGAGTCGGTGAATGAGAGAGCAGACAGTTTTCCGCCGACGAGGGGCAATCACCAGTAAGGAACCGAGGACATATGGCGACCTTTTCTGGATCATGTTGATATCGACACGACTTCCCCCTATTACATAGACCTAGTAGCGAGCGATTTGTAGGCTTGCCGCAAATTTTGAAATGTGACTGACCAGTTCTTGAGAAAAAGGGACATTGCTTATCGAGTTTGGCCTTTTTCGTTTGTCTTGTATGATATGAGAGAAAATGCAAAGGATTGGATCTAGACGCACTTGTTTATCTTGTTGAGAACCAACGACATATTTGGGTGTAATCTTCCTCGTGGCTTGTACCCTCGTCCGCGGGATTTAGACGTTAGATGTCGACCTCTTGTTCCGTATCCGCGCGTTTTGGGAGTGTAAGATGGAGGTTTTGTTGGCTCCACATTCGTTGATTCTGGAGACTTAGCTGTTTCGGGACTTAGCACAACCGAGGGAGCATGGAGGTGCACGACTGTAGCCAAGAATTGGTCACGTACTGATATCCGTTTGACGCATTAGCTTATTGCCTGATGCTTTGAAGATTTCGCCTCCAATCTCAACCTGCTTCGGTGCTTGTGCCACAGGATGGCTAGGGACGTATTTGTTGTACCCATATCGACCTCTTCCCCTAGAAGCGTAATGGTGAGCTCCGTATCTAGAGTAATGCGAGCCCCGGGGATGGGACGGGGTGCCTCCTTGGTCGCGAGCCTGTCGTAGTGCGCCTGAACAACCCGTGAGTGATGAAACAACGAAAAGAGCGTGAGTAGTATTCACCTGAGAGGCGTTGTATCTGATCTAATAGCGATTTATCTGCTGCGGCCATTACAGCAGGTCGTGGTTGGTGATCAAGTTTGTCACCGACTATGACCACAGCGCTAGTCTACAGCGCCCTCGTGTTCGCTCTGTTCGTGCTGAGAGCCATTTACGTTATTATATTTCCTCCAAGAAAGCGGTTTTCTTCTGGTCAAACATGCAGACTTGCCATATTTCTGGGCTCTGGTAGGTATTTACTACGTCCTACAGACTGTATGAGACAAATGTCTTTGATTACGCAGGTGGACACACTAGCGAAATGCTCCAAATGCTCCAGGGTCTCAACTTTGAACGCTACGAACCTAGATTATATCTCGTCAGTCAAGGGGACATATTGAGTGCAGAAAAGGCAGCAGAATTCGAGAGCAAAAGTTCATTCCCACCGGTAGGAGATCTTGTCTTGCCCTCAGTGATGATTGACGGCCTTAGGCCTTCACCATTGTAACGATTCCTCGAGCGAGGAAAGTTCTGCAGCCTCTATGGACTACGCCCTGGACGACCCTCATCTCGTTGGTATCCTGTCTTCAAGAGGTATCCTTTGGACTAGTCGTTCGCGGGAAACCTTTTGCGGACCTGCTTCTCCTCAATGGACCTGGGACATGTGTTCCCCTATTTATCGCAGTTTTTATCAATAGAGTATGCAATTCAACCGCATAGGTGCATGATTTCTCACAGTTCCACAGTTCCTTGGCCTCCCCTCTCCTCGCGTCGTCTACGTCGAGTCGTTCACCAGGGTCAAGAAGCTCTCACTCTCTGCACACCTTCTTCGGCCATTCGTAGACTGGTATGTCGCCGTATCACGCTCTCACGCTCTCTTCCGAGTTCTCATTCGCATCAGTTTTGTTGTTCAATGGCCCGGTCTGCATCGAGGAGGTCGTCGGGACCGGTATTCCGATTGGCTCATCTAACAAAATACCCCAAGCTACCCCTTACTTCTTTGTAATAGGAGCGTTCACGGTGCGAATATCTGAGCGGCGTATGTCCGGACTCCCCTTGGTTCAATGATATGGACCGGACCGGCTCTCCTCTCATTCGACTGTGCAAACTCAATTATCACCCCCCGTATTAAGCACTATCAAACAACGTTCATTGTTCTAGATGGACAGTCTTAATTGTCAAGTTATGGAGTGCAATTTCGAACCAGACATCCCACACCTCGTGGTCACATAAGACTTCACAAGAGTTTCACTCGGCAACTACATATATCGGACTTGGAGAGGTCGGCGAGAAGGAAGCAAGGGTTCTTTCAATGTCGAATCCGTTGATTCTTGGGGGACCACCAAGAAACAAAATTCCGAGGGATAACCATTCAAATCATCAATCATACGGCCCGATATACTGTAAGCGAATATCACATAGTCGTATGCGACTGCCGTTGGTTTCACCGACCGACCTTTCTTCGCGGCTTCGAACAGAAGGAAGGCGACTATGGCTGCTTCTACAAAAGAGCAGCGCGAGAGTTCCCCGTTTGCTTCAAGAGTCCCCACTTCTTCTTCCCTTCCTTTACGAATGGTCAGATCCTCGTCGCTCATTTTACTAGCTTTGTACGCCGTTGGTGGCGGGAGTGCAAAGTGAGTCATACGTCGCCTACTAGTTCGCCTATTTTGATGGAACGAGAACTCCGAAATACAAGGACCCCAAAGCCTCTGTTGATGACCGTGTCGCAGATCTTCTTCCTCGGATGACGATCGAGGAAAAGGTGGCCCAACTTATCCAGGTATGCCTTAAGCCTCTACACATGGTAGGAGTGAAACCAATCCCTATTTCATCTTATCTAGGGTGATATGAATGGCGCGTCTTTCGTCTCTTTCCGAGTAACTCGACTGACATTTTGCAGGATGGATGGACTTCTCAGAGTACGCAGTTTCAGTTTGACCTCTACAGCGTTCCTGAACTTTTCCAGTCCTTTGGACAATACCCTCACTCACAACCAAACTGGTCGGTTTCTATCAGGATAGACTTTCTTTTGACTTATTCACATTAGGCTTGGAAGCAATGATGAGTATCAAGGCAGGCTCAATCTGGGGTTCGGATACCGTATAGTCTCAAGCTCGGCGTTGACTCTATTCCAGGCGGTTACTCCGCAACTTTTGAGAAATTCGTGTACGGCAAGGGTATATGCCTCGATTTTCGTGACTGACCATTTGCAGCTACGGAGTGACTGTTGGGCAGAAATATCTCATGGAGAAGACCCGACTTGGTATTCCTGCGTTGATCGATTCTGAAGGTCTGCATGGCTTCACGAATAACGGAACAATCTTCCCATCGCCATTTGCTATGGCATGCTCCTTCAACCGGGCCGCAGTCCAAGCCGCTGGGAAGACAGTCACTGATGAAGCAGAGGGCCTTGGTATTACCCACATCTTTGCCCCAGTCCTTGACCTCGCTCGCGAGCTGAGATTTGGTCGTGTGGAGGAAGGATTCGGAGAAGATCCTTTCCTGTAAGTCACAACGAATTTCCACCGTCCTTTATTGATAGATTTAGAACGGGGGAAATGGGCAAAGCATACGTTACCGGATTGCAAGCAGGAGCTCGACGCAACACATCCTCCACGGCAAAGGCTCGTGTCGCAGCAACCTGCAAGCACTTTGCAGCTTTCGGCTCCCCTCAAGGAGGCCTCAATCTAGCCCCAGTGGCGGGTGGTGAGAGAGAGTTGCAGACCACCCATATCCCTCCCTTTGCAAAGGCCTGCTCGGATGCATTGTCTATCATGACTGCTTACTCGAGCTATGATGGAATGTAAGTTTCTTGAATCATGTCCACAGGATTGCAGGCTCACATCTCGTAGTCCTGCGGCTTCCAATAAACGTACGTTGTATGAAAGTTTGTGCTACGCGTGACTTACGTCGTGTCAGACCTTCTAGTTGATATTGTACGCTACAGTCCCCGATTGGACCACCACTCATCCCTTTTAGTTACGAAAGCAGTTGGGATACAAGTACATGGTCACCACGGATGCAGGGTACGCCTGTCTTCGCCGAGAGCCAGTAGCCTAATATTCTTTTGCAGAGCCGTCAGCTTGTTACACACTATGCATCAAGTTTCGAGTGGATATGAAGAGGACGCTCGCCTTGCGGTTCAAGTCTATCAAACGCAGATGGGCGGTGATGCCTTCTATCCATATCTGACACTCGTTGGTGCGTGTGGCAGTGCGCATGGGTGATTTCTCATAATCAACAGATCAGGTGAAGAAGGGTCTCATCAACGTTTCCTATATCGACAAGACGGTCGAATACGTTCTTCGCACCAAATTCACTCTGGGTCTCTTCGAAAGTATGTGGATTCAGTCTTCACTCGACGACACTGATAGTCCATCCCTAGACCCATATCCGTATCCCGACTACGCAAAGAACATTCGTTCTGCGGCATCGAAACAGTCACTACTCGATATAGAGCGGGAGTCCATCGTACTTTTGGAAAACCGTAACAAACTACTCCCACTCAAGAAGACAGGCTCCGTTGCACTCATCGGCCCCTCGGCAAACAAGGTCATCTTTGGGTGAGTAGGGTTCGTCCTTGACTGAGTCTGCTCAAGGCTGACCTACGAAGTGATTATGTGTTCCATGGTGCTGACAAGTATGGAACCACGCCTCTTGACGGCTTTAAGAAGATCCTCGCCAATTCCAGCGTTCAGATCAACTATGCAAAAGGCTGTGAATTATGGTCTGCTGATCAATCTGGCTTCCCAGAGGCAATTGCAGCGGCTAAGAAGTCTGATGTGGCCGTCGTTGTTGTCGGGACATGGTCAAGAGATCAGACGGAGCTTTGGCAAGGTCTCAATGCCGTAAGAGTCAAATTTCATCGTGGAATCGCTCTTGTTGATCGAGGGTCCTCAGACAACTGGCGAGCACGTCGATGTCGCTTCGCTGGATCTTGTCGGGGCTCAGCTCCCACTTGTCAAGGCGATCAAAGCAACAGGCAAGCCAACAGTTGTGGTATTTGTATCTGGAAAGCCGGTTTCAGAACCATGGATTGCTCAACGTAAGGAGCTACTTTCTCTCATTGGTAGCACTAGACTCATTCATTTTATAGATGCGGATGCGGTTATCTTCCAAGGCTACCCGGGAGAACTAGGTGGGTGTATTGATGTGCTTTCGTGGTTTGGCTTACTCGTTTTAGGTGGCGTGGCCCTAGCTGAGATCATATATGGAATTCAGAACCCGAGCGGCAAGACCTCTGTGTCATGGCCGAGGTCCGTCGGAACCTTGCCCGCATTCTACAACTACCTCAAGGGCTCACGGCCATGGGGAGATTCCGGTTATATTGACGACGACGGCACTATCCACCTCGGTCACGCATATGTTCTCGACTCGCCCGTTCCCCTCTGGGCGTTTGGCCACGGATTGAGCTACACGACATTTGAATACTCGGGGCTCACCTTAGCGTGCGGGTTTCTAGTCTCTTTCTTCAGAAGTTAACCTTGACCAGATCGCAAACCCTGTCAGCCCGGCAGCCACTCAAGCTATCCGTCAAAGTCAAGAACACCGGGACTGTGGCCGGCAAAGAGGTGGTTCAGGTGTACGTTACGGATGTCGTCAGCTCCGTCGTCACCCCTGTCCGCCAGCTCGTCGGCTTCGAGAAGGTCTCGATTGCGTGAGTGATTGCATGGGAGTCAAGAGATAATTCTGATCACATCCAGTCCTGGTGCGACGGTCAAGGTCGATTTTAATATTCCCGCCACGGAATTTGGTCTGTGGTCTATGGACAACAAATGGGTCGTCGAACCTGGTCTATTCACCGTTACGATTGGTCCAAGTGACCAAGTATATGCCAATTCGACCTTTACTGTCATGTCGTGAGTCGTCGAGCCGCGACCAGTGCAAGACGAGCGGTTCAACCTGGGTTGGCCTTGCGGTGTGTGCAAGGTTGTGCTGTGGTGAATTTGGAGATAGATAAATGTCCGATGGGATCTCGAAAACGCGTAGGATTCGTTGGAATGGCACCGACTTGGGTGCTCTCCTCGTCTTTCTACGCAGCCTTTGGTTCAGTTTGCTCGAGTACACTCCTTTGTCGAATATCATTCGTTTGCAGCTCTAATTAGCCGATAGACGCGAGTGAAAGGAAAACACGAGGTCCTTCGGCGTAAGCAGACGAGGACCAACTTTGATCTCCAACCACACCCGTATTGCTGGCGTCGAGGGAGCTAGATGTCGCAGCCGACAACACCAGTCTCTATTCCTGGAAAACAAGAAACCGAGGAGAAGCGGAGCCCCCGATCTGAGACGAACTCGCGTGAAGCGAGCCCGAGCAGCTCTCCAGGTTTGTGCGGCATAGATCCCCTGCATGCATACTAACACCATCAAACACAGGATCTAAACGCAAAAGAGAGGAGGATGATCACGATAATAGTCCAAACGTACGTCGACCCAACTTGCGATGCCGTCCACGCCTCCATTGTTTCATCTCGCCATCACGTGCTGACTTGTCTGATTCAAACAGGACGAGGACATACACCAAAACAAGAAACGGAGAACGCCTCCCATTGACTCTGCTGCACCAGCCTCTGAGACACCAAGAGTGGGCCAGATTCAGGAGCGAGTAGAGAAAATGCGTGTAAATCGCATGAGCGGTGGACCTGTAGACTCAGACGTACTACGGGAATTGGCTCAAACGCCTGATACTCCGGCATCACAACCCGAAAAAGATGCAAGCCAGCCGAAAGAGGTGGTGCCTGTGACAACTAGTCCAAAGGACAAGGTGGGGGAATCGGGTAACACCAATGAGGAAAGCCAAGGTATCGAGGCAGATACAGACGAACCGCCTGCGATTGTCGATACAGAAATGTCCCAGCCATTTCGTCGACGGCCGAATGGACTCAAAAGGATTGTCAATCTGGATCGCCCTATCGAACTTGATCAAGACTACAATCGAAAGAGGAAAGCTAGCGAGAAACTGGCGGGGTCCCCTTTCTCCTCGCCCGCCGCAAAGCGAGCGAAAGAGGACGTCAGTACGAAACCTACCATCGAAGAGGAAGAGAGGAGCGATCTGAACATCACCAAGCCACCGTCTACACCAGCAACAGCCGCATCATCTCCGGCAAAGCCTGTATTGGTGAGATATTTTCTCTCGTCTGTCTAGTCGCACTGAACGGCCTACAGAAGGGATTTTCTGCATTTGCATCTGCTGCATCCCCGTTTGCATCTGTCACAAGAACAGAAAACGCTCCTTTTGGTGGTGGGACGCGACCAAGCACGCTGTTTGGAGGCAGCAATGCACCAATTTTCAAATCCCCATTCCCAGTCGTTTCGCCCTTCTCCACTCCCAAGTCATCCGGCACCACTAGCCCCTTCAAATCGAATACCGAGGAGACTGATCCCGCGCAAGGTTTGGCAAAATCAACGACACCGTTTCCACAATCTGGGTCACCTTCATTCGGTACGCCGTCGTCTGCAGGAGTATCCGGGGCTCCCAAAGCTGTATTTGGGCGGTCGTCGGGCTTTGGTATGGCGACCTCGCCCTCGCCGACGCCGTCTGCTGTTGGACCTACCCGAAGGGCAAAGTCCCCCCGCCCTCAAGCGTTTGGTGCGTATGGAGCTACAGCTGCGCGGTTTGCCGCTCCTTCAGGCAAGATCCGCGCAAAGAATCAGGTCAATAGCGAAAACGGGGATACAAAGGAGAGTGACGGTGGGACTTCAGGCGAGGAAAAGGGTGATGAGGATAAGGCCAAGCGTTTCAGTGAGATATTGGCTGCCACGGGTAGTGATGCGGAAGTAAGTGATGCAGAGAAGATGGTCTTCACCGAGCAAGAAAGTGAGTTATTTAATCTTATAGCTAGGTCATCCGCTAACTGATTATTGTAGCCATGACTGGTGAAGAGGACGAAATGAACATATTCCATGCTCGAGGAAAACTCTACGAAATGGAGAGTGGATCGTGGAAAGAACGCGGTCCTGGGCTGTTTAAACTCAATGTCAATAAGGAAACCGGCAAGTCTGCACGTATCGGTATGTATCAACCGTCAGCCCAGGTGCTCGCTCATGTCTTGTAGTGATGCGTCGCGATGGATCCCTCAACCTACTCCTCAATGCGATGCTATTCAAGGGGATGGTCTTTTCTGCTGGCCACGACCCACGCTATATTACATTTACAATTCTTGACGAGAAGCTCCAACCCAAGAGCCATCTCCTCCGGGTATGTTGATTCGTTGGGCCGCCTACCCATGCGCTGATACGATTCAAATAGTTCCCTTCTGCTAAACACGCACAAGATTTGCTGGACCGGGTACAGGTACACATTCCACAGACATGAGCCACCGATATTCTCAGTTGTACATGTATTGCTTCCTTATTTACTCAGTTTGGTTTCCGCTCGAGTGACGGCTCCTTCCATTACGCGACAGATCTAGGGTTACATCCACAAGGGATCGGAAACTATGACTCTGAAGCATCCTCTTTCAAGGTACCTAGTCCGGCTTTTTGGGCAGTGCTTCTGCATCGTTTTCGTATCCTTCAACCTTCATGTCCGAGAGTCCTAGATCATCATTCTGCTCCTCAGTACGATCGTAGAGTTCGATGGTCATGTTTGGATCTGGGTCGGGCGCATATAGGTTTTGCAAGTATGAATTGCTGAGCGGGTCGTCGAGAATGAGCGTAAACGGCCGTGAGCCTGACTTGACCTCCTTGAGCCTGGAGAGGAACGAGTGAAACGAGTTGTGGTCCTCGATCGTCGCCGAGTCACCGGAGAATAGCTTTCCGCTGAGCTCGTCATACACTTGGTCGAGCACGCCCTCGATCGTCGTAAATCGACCACCGAGCGTACCCGCAGTGAGGGTGAGGTCAATCTCGGGTATTCGAAGTCCGCATGTCTCGCTCTGTACCGTTTCAGCTTATACTTTATGGGAATAGAAGACGAACAAACCTTTAGAATGTCGCGACTGAGGTCGTCTGAGTCTTCGACCTTGAGCGTGATGCGTTTCCCCTTTTCAGAGATGGCACCAGATGACTTGACCTCGTTGTCTCGGTAGCCGCATGACTCGCAATTGGTCGACATGATAATAATCTCCTTGAAGTACGGAATGTCCACTCGCTTCATCTTGGTATCCAGCGGCCGCGAGCAGCTAGAGCACTTGCCAGGGAAGACAAGTACCTCATCCATCTCCACCTTGTCCACTTCTGCGTTTTCGCCTGCAGGGACCTGTTTAACGCTCGCCATGGCTTCGTCAGGCGAGATCAAGCCCAGGAGGACGTTGTCCTCCGTCGAGCGATGATACTCGCGCATATTCCATTTAGGATCTGACATGGACCCTATGAACTCGACAAACGAGTTGCCTGATGGGTCTTCCACTTTGAGCGTAAACGGGGGAACCGGACGATCCGCATTGGCCTTTTCTTCTTTTGTCAGTCGCTTCCTCCCGTCCCCTGGTTCTGAATCCTCTTCTTCAGAGTCTTCTGGAATGATTTCTCGGAGTTTATCGAGAATAGACTGTATTTTTTCGTAAGCTGCAGGATCCTGTATCCGTCGCAGTGGTTGTTCAGGCGATAAATCATCGATAACGTTATTCAAGAGGCCTTCAATCGTCGTAAGTTGACCCCGACTCGGCGGGATCGTGAGCTCGAGCTCGGGGATTGTGACAGTGGCATAGTGCGATTTGACCAATTGTCGGTTCAGATCTCCAGCATTAAGAACTTTGACGGTATAAACTAGCCCAAAGTCTAACATCATGTCAGTGGGTTCGAGAATATACGAAGAGGTGAATAATCCAGACCTCGGTATGCGCCGGCAGATTGGATCTCGTTGTTTTGATTTCCACAATGCTCGCAACGAAAAGAGGATACGATGACCTCTTTGAAATAAGGGATAGAGGTGAGCATCAACCTGGTCACACCCTAAGATCCATCTGAGCGATCGGTTCTCTGCGCCATATTAACTTATTATAGACCCTACCTGCTGTCCGCATGCCATGCACAGAGATTCGATCTCCTGCAGTGGCCTTTCCTCGTCAGCCACCGCGTCCTCCTGTTTGGTATCTCCGTCGAGTGCATCGGCACGCTCTGCAAGATTTCCAATCGCTGGAAAAACTTGATCTGATGCCATTATACGCGCTTTTATCGCTTGAGAGCTCGATTACTATAAGCCGCTGGGTGGCGTTGGGTGCAGAGTTTGCGATGGATGAGTCACCGGCGAAAACGACTGGCATTCTGTGCATCTTGTAGATAGATTCAACCGAAACAGCGGTAGGGGTAGGGGCCAAGTTGCGAAACACAGTTTGGACTCGCCCATCATTGTCCAACATGGCACACGTCGCTGCAGACGAGATGGATTTATTCGGAGAAGATGATGTAGACCAAACGACGCGCGTACACGCTCCAATAGCGCATTCAGAGTGGGTCTCTCGCGTTATTGTTGATGCGCGGATTTGACCATTGGCGCAGTGATTCAGAAAACGACGGGGGAGGAATAGACGACGCGGAAAGAAGGAAAAGAAAGGCATTGGAATATGAAGAGGATGAAGACGCGCCGATTCCGGACAAGCTACCGGGTGTCGAGGAAGATTATGTCTTGCCGACACTGGGCGTACCACGGAGTTCAGACGGAAAGGTATGATCGACTGATACTCTCTAAGGCATTTCTTACTCTTTCTAACAGGTCTGGATGCTTCGATTGCCGCAATACCTGAAAGTCGACTCTCACCCGTTCCATCCTGACACGTTCCAAGGCTACTCGGACAAAGACAAGAGCCAAGCGAGTGCCATAAAGCTCGAGCTAACGAACACTATTCGATGGAAATGGATTCGGAAAGACGATGGGACCATGGTGAATGATCTGCCTTTTTGGAGTATAAACCTGAACAATTCTAGGCGAAACAATCCAACGCACGGGTCATCAAATGGGATGACGGGACGATGAGCCTTCAACTGGGCAACGAAATGTTTGACATTTCGACAACGGACGAAACCACCACCACCCATCGTGGAACGGAGACGCCTCCGCTGTCGCAATCGCAATCGCAATCGCAATCGCAGTCACAGTCACAGTCAAAGTCACAACAAACGAACAGTATGCGCCAGCATGGCGTGTCGTATCTAGTCACCCAACATAGTGCCCAGCAGCTCCTCCAGGTCGAGGCTACTATCACGGGCTCGATGAGTCTGCGCCCAGCTGTGGGCACACAATCGACTCTACACCGTCAGCTCGTGCAAGCAGTCGCCAAGAAGCACAGCAAAGTTTCCAAACTTCGATTTGCATCAGATGCAATGATGCGCGAGGCTGAGCGCGAAGCCGACGCATTGGCAAAACGCAAACCACGTTCGACGTTGGGACCACGGACGAGTTCAGGACGGGGTGGAGAAGGTACAGGCGAGGGAGGTGTGAGGAGGAGAAGCAGAATGGCAGAACGCCGAAGAAGGGGCGAGTTTTCAGACGACGAGGATCAAGATGACGCTATGGAGGGCACCCGCGCGACATTTGGGGGGGCTGGTGGACGAGGTGGGCTGGGTGAATATGAAGAGGACGACTTTCTGGTGGGGGATTCGGACGAGAGCGCAGATGCGTCACCGAAGAAGAAGCAACGCAAAAGACGTGCGGCGGAAGAGGACTCTGCAGAGGAAGATGTGGGCGACCTGGATCGGCTGGACGAGATGGATGAAAGGATTGAACGCGATCGTAAGAGCAAGGCAACGCAGGATGAAGACCAGGAAATGGATGAGGAGGATGAGGAAGAATCGAGGATTCGAAAGTCTTCTGGCAAGCGCAAGGCATTCATCGACAGTGACGAAGAATAGAAAAGAACTGGTCAGATTTGGTTCATTCTTTGTTTTTGCTAATTACATGCCCGTCTACTCCCAAGCAGGGCCCATTGTGATCATCGAAAACGTTTCCAGGCCACTGTTGCCGATGTAAAGCTCTTTGATCACCTTTGCAGCGTCCTGTTAATAACGCGAAAAAAAATATCAGCACGGGTCTGCCATTATGATGGGGTAAAAGGAGGACCTTGAGCAAGTCTTCAGATGGGCCGAGGTCGAGTGGACCATTGCGACGACCGTCAAGCTCGATTAAACGATGCTTGCCGTCCTCGTTTGGATCGGGAGCCTGTACGAATGCGACGAAATGCTCCCGCGTGTCGAGATTAGGCGGGAGGGAGCTCTGGCCTCCACTGGCAGCCTCTGCATGGGCGGCGGCGAAGAGATCTGTAGTCTCGAGTAATTTGGCACGCTCTTCGGGTGTTTGCTCTTTCCAAATGGGTAAGTTGGTGGGGTAATGGCAGTGCACTGACGGAACGTACCGATGGTGGCGAGTTGAAATTTCTGTAGAGGTGTCCCCGGTTTAATGGTCACGTTCGTCTATAGGCTGTCAGTCGTGTGACAGAGGCCCGAGGCTGGGTGGAAGGAGGCACACGTTATAAATCGAGTGTAAGAGGGCGATGGTGCCGCACGCATTTGAAATCTGATCGCGGTTAGAGATGTGGAATTTAAGATGAAGAGAGGCGTACTGTCTGTTTGATGAAGTAGATGGTTGGGTCCAGCGACGGTTGGCCGTTTGCTTCGACGTCTTTGTCAGTCTGCTTGCGCTGCTTGTCGATTTCGTCTGTGAGGGGAAAGACTAGCAGGACGGCCTCGACAGGTTGGTTTGGAACCATGGCGAGCAACTGTATTGCATGTCAGAAGGCAAAGCGTTGAGGAAGTCATCAAGGATCATGTCCATCAGGATCATGCCCACTAGGATCATATCTACCAGGATCATGTCTCCCAAAGGATTATGCCCGCAAGAATCATGGGCCCGAGGGACATGTCCATAGTAGGTAATAAAGCTACCAAATGCAGCTGACAGATCGATTGGAGCCATGTGCAGTGGGACTCTTATTTGATGGTGGTTTGGTGTGAAAAAAAAAACCAGACGAGTCATACCTCGTCGTCGAGTCCGTAGACATCGGAAAACGCTGTGCGCTTTGTGGCGAGTCCAACGCGGGCAGCCCACTAGAATTGTGTTAGCATGGGACAAGTAATGGGATGGGATGGGTAGTGTGTGCCTTTGTAAGGACCTATTGATTGTCAGATGAATATTCCCGAATTATGGACCAAAGTGACTTCAGGATTGCTTTCGAGAGGCGCCCACTTTCCAGCCATGATCCGGGTGATAGTTCCGTGGCTAACGTTGTATTACTGTCTTGGACAAAGGAATCAAGTGAGAATGATAAGCTTGACGGCGGATCCGATACTTACAAAGTGGTTGATGTGGCAGGGTCAGCGTGCTTGGGGTCTACCACATTGGGAAGAGCCTTGTTCTCGGGTGGCCGTTCGACCTTGAAGGGCGCGCACAATCGCCGTCCCGATTATACTTCCGGGCCTAGACGTTCCTGATTCTCTACGCTTCATAAAAGACCATGTGCCATGTACCTTTTGCTCATCTCTCTTTCTGAGCATTTCCCCCCCCTTACCCCCTCTCTCCCTCCTCTCTGTACGTGAATATGGATTTAAGACAGACTCCCTAGCTGACTATTTACTGCTACAGTTCCTGCCAATTGTGCCAGCGTATTTTCCCCATGATGTCCACCGGTGCTGTAGCCATTGCCCGTGTCGACGGCCAAGTCTCGCTCGTCCAAGGTCAGCCAACCAACCTAAGTGCCTCTGTCGGCCTCTTGCTAACGCTGTCTGTAGTCGTAAAGGCTTCTGAATCCTCTTCGCACCTCTCAGTGCTCAAATATACATACTTTGGCGAACGCTCCTTTCTCTCCAACATTACCTCGTCCGCTCCCAGCCGTATTCACACCCGGGATATCATCGAGACCCTCCCGGCGTCTGTCCAACCGTCTGGGGATATGCTCACCCTCTCCAACGACGTCTTTGCCCTCTACATCGACCGCGCGACCGCAAACCAATCTGCGCTCGAGGAAAAGTACCAAAAGGCCATGGCCTCTGGAGGCATCCTACTCCCACATGCCGCCAAGATTCTCCGATGAACACAAATTCTAGTGTTGCTTCTTGCCGCTAAAATCCCTGTCACCGTCACTTTTGTGACTCCTGGCCCCAGCCTAGACGCGCGCCCCTTAGTTGCTGCGCTGGTAGAACGACATAGACACTTTACGACCTCTCACGACCTAACTCATGTACTTTTTACTTGTAATTCTCCTCTTCGGGTCTCCTGCGTCCCTTCGCGCCCACTCTTTTCGTGTAGATCCGCCTGTCCTCTTCGTGCATAGTTTGGACCCCGCCGCCTCTCTCGACGGGCTCTCAGCCGCGCGTCTCTTCGTCATTCGTGTACTCTCTTCGTACATCCTTTATTTTTCTTCGTGCAAATCACACATCTTTTGGGCTTTTCATCTTGTTTCCCGCCCTTTGCGACCGAAGACTGCAACAAACGACCACCGTCGACGACGACGCGACGCTGAGAACAACATTTATGGATATCGTCCGCTTTCGTGAGCCTACACTAACGCGCTGTATATCTGCACTCTTCTGAGCTGAACATGTCCCGCCTTCTATCACTCAAACCAAACGCGTCCTATACGCCTTGTTCTAGTCACTATCCTCTGCAAACATGGTCAACGCTGCTTTGTCTATCCAGGTTCGTTACCTGGAATGTCCGAAGCTGGTACGTCCCTCCCCCTTCCCCCCCCTTCCCCGTTTGTGCTTCTTTCCACGAAAAGAAAACCAGCATTGACGCTTTTGGCCTCCGTGACGCCTCATGGCTCCGCTTCTCGGTGTCCCCCAACGCCAACGCCAATGGCAACACCCACCTCCGCGCTTGTTCAGTCGAAACCCCTGAGCGGTATCATATTCCTTTCGAACATATCGAACTCATCACAAAGGATAATGTCACCCTCAAGGTACGCCCATCTCCCATCACGTAACATTGATGCCTGACGCTTTGGGCATAGTCGTTTCTCTTCATCCAGAAGAGACGTCTAGAGGATGCGACAGACATTCGAACGACTGCCACGACGGATACCGAGGTACGCTTCTTTCCGCATCTCTTGTCTCGGCCTGGCCGACCTTTGAACCAGTTTGCCGCACGGCGTCCGACTGTCATTGTCTTTCACGGAAACGCAGAAAGTTATGCAGACGGTGTCGTCTTTGCGCGAGTGCTCTACCTCCGCCTGAGGTGCAACGTTGCCCTCGCCAGCTATCGAGGGTACATCCTCTTTCCTGTCACCTTGACGTGGCTAGTGACACTCTGGCAGATACGGGGATTGTACAGGTGTACCGTCTGAGCACGGTATTCAAATTGACTCTCAGGTGGGTTTGTCGTTCGATATCCAATTTTTATTTTCCCAACCTAATGCATGGTAGACGATTTTGGACTATGTCTGTAACCACGATATTCTCGGACCTACGCCAAAGGCAAGCTCAATAGGGCTTCTTGAAATGAAGTGCTGACGACGGCTCTAGATCCTTTATGGTCTCTCATTGGGAGGAGCAGTCGCAATCGACCTGGCAAGTCGAAACCCAGAGACGGTTCGTTCTTTTCCCCGACCAGTGCGTTACCCTAACCATTCCTAGATTCATGGCGTCGCGATAGAGAATACATTTCTCTCATTGGTGTGTACATCATCCTCTCTGTGTCTATACCTCTGACAGTTTGTCAAGCCCAAGATGCTCCCCGTGCTCATGCCAGCACTCAAGAGCTTCAAGTGGCTCGTCAAGGATAAATGGCGAAGGTTTCTTGTTTTTGTATTCACCTTTTGCATCACTGACATTCGACTAGCGAAGTCAATATCACCAAGATTCCATCGACGACGCCAATGCTCTTCCTCAGCGGTGCCAAGGACGAAATTGTGCCACCTGCGCACATGCAGCAGCTGTATGATATTGCCATTTCCGATTTTCCTGATGCGGACGATCCCAAAGCCGCGGTTCGCGTTGGATCTCGGCGCAAATTTGCTCGGTTTGAGAATGGAAGACATAGTGAGTCTTGAGCACCAGAGTTTTTTTTGGTTGGCTATATGATAATGATGCTGATAATGCCCTCTCATAGACGATACATGGACGCAGCCAGAATATCGCAAGGCGCTCCGCGAGTTTATCGACACCGTCGTCGTCGCGTTTCGTGAAAAGTAACATGAATTATAACGGAAGGAACATTGCTATGTATTATCACCAACCTCTCCTCAACTTGCGACCCCATTACCGGGGTCTGATGACTATATGAAGGCTCGTCTTGTATCATTTCTAGGAGCCAATTGATAATGAAATGGACCTCTTATGCAAGCTATACTACCGCTAAGCACATTCCAAGTGAGTCGGGTGTGTCCATTTCCCTTGAGCTTAGAGTAATCGGAAATCTATTCCTCAATTCTCACCGCTTAGACGGGCAGTTTTTGGTACCAAGTCGAGTCGAAGCAAAAAACAGACGCGCTCCATAGGAATCGAACCTTGACCGAACAAAAAGGTATCGCTCGGAGACAGAAAGCTTGTCACAACACCTCACGGAGCACTGCTCCAGACGATTTGCAACCAAAATACCCATGACTTGTCTTGCTTGGTTAGCATATGCCGCCCATTGCAGTCTGTGTACTGGTACCAATTGAACTATCAACGCGTTTGATGGGGGTCATGCACCGTATCCCTAATTAGACAGCATTCAAAAGACGAGATGACAATGGCTGCGTACATGATAAAGAACGTATAGATAGAGCTGTGCATAGTGTCAGAAAGCAACAAAGGGAATTGCCACCTAGACCTAGGCCGATTCACGAGTCGGAAAGAGATGAGAGTTGGGGAAAGGCCTTTTTGATACGTTCTTCGAGGAAGTAATATGGCGTCACGTATGAAACGTCGGTCAAGTCTGTTCTTCCACAGCCGCCCGTGAGCATGCCCACGATGCGACCATTGCCATCTGCGACGACAGAGCCAGAATCCCCAGGCGCGGAAAAGGTAGCCTTTTCCTCAAAAGAGTAGACAGGCATCTCCATAAATGTCGACTCGATGGCGTAATCTTTGTAAACGTGAACAAACGATTTAATACCGGTCACGCGGCCAAGGGTGAGACCAGTGGTAGCCCCATTCTTGATCACTATAATACATGGGTCGCCCTTTTCGTCCAGAATAGTGGATGTTGCAGCTCTTCGTGTTTGACAAAGCTCTGGAGTTGCATCAGCCCATTCTCCGGATCCTGATTTTTGCTTGAAGGTGTGGATGCATTTGTTTAATATACTTCTAGGAAGCGACTTGTGACCCTGGTGCAGTCATAAGACTGGACGTCCTTTGTGAAGTAGATCAAGACCTACCGAGAGGAATCCCATTTCCCCTAAAAATTTCCCAATCAAACTTGCTTCGATCAAGCTCAATGAGGGCCCAGTATTCGATGGTTGTATCCTCATCGGTATTGATGGAGACTGGAGGCGAATAGAGGACATGTCCCAAAACGCGCTGACTCTCGTCGCTCCGGGACTTGCCGATGCGGTATTGGAATTCGGTTACACTTTCATTCCAGGTTTTTGAGTCTTCGAACTGGAACTCATTCTTACGCCGGCGAGAAGTGATCGTTGGATCCTCCCCTTGGACGTACTCTCCCAAGTGCTTTAGTATGTCTCTATAGGAGTCAGTGAGGTTGGCAGAGAGTTCAACATTCTCTTGAATAGAATCTAGGGCGTTTTGGAAAGAGCCCCGGCCGAGATGGAGAATATCGTGATGAGGCATACCCATATATTTGCGACGGTAGAGCTCGTTGTGATGCTCCCTCGGTGGAAGGGTGACATGGCGAGCGGTCAGAAGAAAGATTCGCTTGCTTTCGCCACCTTCACAGAGATAGAGAGTACCAGTACCCTCAAAATAGGGCGCTGCTTTGGGAGCGATTTGGAGACCTAGTCCAGGCGTGAAGGGACTGCCAACGTCAACAATTGGATCATCGGAGGCGATATATTTGAGGAACTTCGGTCCTCCGTATCGCGTGTAGGTTGACTCGCGGAAGGCATCTCAATGTCGGTACATTTGTACCCCAGCAAGATTTCCTTGCACCATGCCGCGGCAGCTTTAGCATTTCCAAGGTCCAAAGTATCTGGGAGCACTCATATCCATAGGAATAGAGGGCTGGGCTCCTTCCCGGCTTCGACGAAACGTATGGGTGCGTCAATGCTGGTCCACTTGAGCTTGATTGAATCAAGGTACTTGTAGATTCTTTCACCTAGTTCATACAAAACCGAAGATATTGGGTGTTCGCAAGCAGGATGGGCCTGTTTCGGGATACGTTGAGCCAGGGGCCTCTAGGCAGAGGCCAGCGGGAAACGGTGTGATAGATTGATCGTGGGCACGAAGGGAATCCATAAGAGTCGTTGTATGCCTCTGAGAGGCGCGTAAACATCGCCTTCTTTCAAGAATAGCCCACTAGTCATGGTTTCGGACAGTAAAGATGATGCACCTTTTCGCAATAGTGGGCGGTTTTGTATGGTGGGCGTTTTTGAGGACACTATCAAGTAAGCATGAGCGACTAGCGGTCAGTAGAAGATCCGATTATCGTAGTTTCAAACGGTAGGCGGCTTGGGAACAAGGGAGAAAAATCTTAAATATGAGAAATCGTACAATAAACGATGAGTGCTTACCTACCGTTGAGCGAGAGGACAAAGCCACTCTATAACAAAGGCCCCGCGATCAAACGTTCTCAACAGCTGATATTGGGTTCTTGACCAATATTTACCTTCTTTATTGCGGATAATTCACGTTGTAAATATATAAGCTCTTTGGATCCAGCCACAGCCTCAAAAACTATGTCAGACGCCTTGAAAACACTAGGAGAACTGAAGGTCGATGATCTTGGGTCATATTGGGCAGTTTGTAATGCATTAGACGCAGAGAGCAAGCTTCTTGCTCGAGATGAAGACCATAGGTGCGTCTATTGCCCTCTCATCCCTTTCATTCGATTCTAGAAAGATATCCGACTTATTCTGATCATCGTTGCAGACGGTTTCTGGGCCAACAGCCCACGCCACTCTGGCAACGACTTGATCTTGCCTGGAAGACGTTTACAGAGCGGGTAACTAAGGCCGAACACCTCGAAAGCGGGGACATACAGACTTTACTCACGTTGGCACGCTTCACGCGGAATCTCGTCGCTGGCGTGGCTGAGAATCAGGTCGAAGCTTTGTAGGTCGGCGTCCACACATCAGCCAGTCGAACTGATCGCAATATGGCAGCAATTTTGAACCTTATATTCGTTCAGCGATTCGATATCTTACATCGTGGACCATGCTTCAACGGGAGGAGGGTACGTCCCAATCAGTTGCGCGCGCGCGCGTATGAGCTACAAGGAGAGAAATACCAACGAAGAAATAGTCAGGCAACTCACTCGCTTTCTTGTGCAAGCGCTTTCAAATATAGTGACTAGCAATCCGGAACTGTCGAGTTCGCTGTGGCAATCGTATATGCGCGACGCTGAAGACTCGAACTTGTTTTTGTACGTATCAACTATATCACCGCGGTGCTCCCTCGTGTTTATGACGATATTTTGTGTTAGAGCAGGAGGATACTCGTCGTCGAAGATATCAAGGGACTCATTGCTGGCTTCGTGCTCTTACTCAATGTGACAAACGGAAGCAGAGATAGCCTGTAAGTCACCGATTTGTGATCTCCTACATTATTGACGGTGCGACAGTAGGCTCCTTGTAGAAACAAAAGCCGGTCGGAGGGTAGCTGACAAACTACTCACGAGGATGGCCATCCTCTTGGAGGCTCCAGAGGGATCAGAAGAAGCACAAGCATGTGACATAGGGTCTTCTTTTTTCTCCCTCCGCTCGATACACCCTTACCTCTGTTCAGCTACCAATTCATCAAGCAGGTGTTCGAGCATGGGCTCGCGGTAGATCTCTATGAACATATTGCACAGTGAGTTTCTCCGTCATATTCTAGTCCTTGACTGACAAGAACAGAGAAGGTGAACCAGTCATGGCGAACCAACGCATACTCCTCAAGCTGTTCGACGGATACCTTCAATCACCGACGATGGAAACATCAATAGAAGCATATTATGCGCGTGACATTCCAAAGCTCTACCTCATCATTGCATACAAATCACTCAAGTCGATCAAGACATCGCTCGAGACGGCAGAATCCCCCGATGGGCATTTGCCTGTTCTGTCCGAAGCGCTTGTACTCGTGGCGCAATGCTGCCAAGCCCTTCTCCTCCGCGAAGCCACTTCCACGCACAGACCAATCCTACAACAGATGCGCATCAAGCGCATACAAGGCCAAGGAACCGTAGAGGTTACAATTGGTACGGTCGTTCTACCAGATGGCATGTGCTCGAGATTGAACAATGATTGTAGACGTGTTACGCGAGTTGAATGTTCTCCTCCCTCGTATTGAGTTTGGCAAATCGGTGCCGTCGCCATTTACAAAAGGCATGAACCACCCACCAGAAGAAACGGATCCCATGGAGTTTCCGTATCTCAAGCGTGACCTCATTCGACTGCTTGGTACAATGGTCTACAAGGACAAGGGGATGCAAGACCGAGTGAGGGCGTGCGGGGGTGTTGAGGTCGTCATGAGCCACTGCGTAATTGATGATCGAAACCCTTGTATGTGAAAGCGTGCCTCTACTTGATGAGCCTACTAACGACTCTGTAGATTTGAGAGAGCACGCCATCTTCACGCTCCGTCATCTCCTCGAGGATAACCTCGAGAATCAGAGAGTAGTCAAGGAATTGAAGCCCCTCCGCGACTTCGACGCTGAAGGGATATTAAGGGATGTCGTTCCCTAACGTCTGCCCCGCCTTCCAACCACGCTCGTGGTATTTGACCATGGCACCGGCTGGGGATTTCCATCGACTTGTAAGCTCTCTTTGTGATGTTGCAAGACCATTTTACCCTTCGCCTCGCGATTATTGAGCTTTTGGAGGATACGCAACCGCAGCTTGATGTCCTTGTCACTGAGAGGTTTTCCATCCGGTTTGAGAGTCGATATTCGATCACCGAGGCAACGTTTCCATAAAGCGTATGCCAACCTCGGGTTGCCGACTCGGAGGGCTACACTCACAGCGCGTTCCCCCAGGGTCCGCTGGCGGAACACCGTCTCCGTACTCGTGGGAGGACCAAGTATATCCAATATGAAGCGTAATCGCGTTTCAGTCTCCGCTATTGAGACATTCGCGAGACTGCTTTCAGAAATACTGTGCCAACAGACCGCACCGAGAACCCTTGGGTCCCTGAGCGTATGTCCTCGCTCGGAAGCGAGCGCTCTGACTTCCTGTACGAGTGCAAAATCGCCATGCTTCATAGCTTGTGAGACGACAGTCCCGTAGGCCACCTCATTTGGCTCAAATTCCTTCTCGATCATATATTTGACGAGCTCAAATGCGCTGCGAGGATCGCCCGTCGCTAGTGTGTGAATGAGAATGGTGATATCAAACTCGTCGGGGAGAATGTCCTTTCGTTTGGAGACAATTTCCATTGCCCGCAGTCCGATGCCAAAGAATCCGATTTCAAAGTTGATACGCGCGAGGGTAGTGAGTGCAAAATGATCCCATCGTTCCAGCAGGGTACTGCGGTGCCGGAACTTGTTCACTACGTGCTGGGCGAAGGTCATGAAGTCTTTTGCTGCAGCCATATGTCTCTCTGCATCATCTTCAGACTTGAGAGAGCGCTGTTGCGCAGCTTCAGCCATCGAGGCGAAGAGACTAACCAGCTTCTTCGCTACAGATGGGTTGCGCATTATAAGGCGGATCTCTGGCCGGGGGGAGTACTCGCAAAAGGTGTATACCTCACGCGCTTCCGTTGCGAATGGGAATTGGGCGAGGAGGGAGACGTATCTGGTGAGTCGGGTCGGTCCCATCATTGTAAAGTGTTTGTGTGTGACGGATAGGAGTAGCCTCGCCGCCTTTTGGTCGCCTGTTTGTTGGTAATAAGACAGGAGTGTGAGCAACGAAGCGCCTCTGGGCGGTTGGTACACAATAGATTTGCCCTTTCGATTGAGCGATTCAAGAAAGAGGTAGACACGGCTCATGACCTCTGGGTGCGTGGTCTCTGTTGGTGTACAGGCCTCGTAGAAGCGACGTAGCAGACTGGCACGCACAGGCTGTAGAGTCGAATGCTGGGCTAGTGAGCACAGCAAAGCCCCTGAAAGCTGCAGCTCAAACTTTGAAGTTGCCCCCGAGATCTGCGAGTCGACGAGTTCATGGAGAACCCTGCGCACAACAGCCGCGGTGGCGTTGTCCATCTGGTCAGCCACTTCGAGAAGGTCTCGGGCGACGTTATAGGCACGCCTCCACCAACGCCATCCAATGCAGCATCGGATTGTGAATATGGATATGACTGTGCCGAGGTCGTTGATGGTAGTTGGTAGTCTCATCGCGCGTGAGGGCCACAGAGGGCGTAAGCTGACCATTTGTCGGAAATAAGAGGCGGCAATAGAGGCATCTTTTGTGTATAGATGCTGCACCAAGCGAAGAGTGGTCCATGTTCCTGGGAAGTGCCCTTCTGGACCGACACCATCCACCAATGACCATCGACGCAGCAGTTCGGCGAGGACTTTCTCGGTTACCTCGACGTTGGATTCCTTCGAGGTTATGATAAGGTGGGCGATGTAGAAGAGGGCAGTGATGGGTAGCTGTTCCAGGTTGGCGTTCTTTGCAAGACCCCTGTAGATTTCAATCGCCTGCCGGATATCGAGAATGTTTTCCTTGAAATCGACTTCGAGTAGCGATGCTGCTAGTCTAGGGTCAATGTTCGAAGCCTGAAGGCTCTTGCTCGCAATATTGCGCACGTCTGGCCAGGAGTGAGCCTTGACGGCTGCATCCAGCATCTCCGCGTCTACCAAATGATCCACGACTTCGCTTTCGTAGTCCAAGTCGAACGAAAACCCCTCCCCATCGCCGGCAACCTTGGGCAATGTTTGACGGTCTGTTACCGCCTGTTTTGAAGCCGCAGAGACGTGTAATGGTCTTGCATCGTTGCGAGACCATCTATGCAGCCTTTTGGGTGCGGCAACTGTCCTTGTGAACAGGCTGCAAAAGCGTTGCATGCACGGCGCATGCGGTTGTCTACAAAACGCGTTATGAGTAACAGAATTTGATTATGTTTTCCAGACACACGTGAATTTTCCAAACAATTGGCTTGGCTGGGGCCCGGCCTTTGCAAAAGTCGTGTAGTGGTTCGAGCAAACTTGACGAAGCGACTCGTACCACGACCATGTACACCCAACCAATTCCTCACGACTGGCATGGACAATACCCACTCACGGACCTCTCAAGATGGAAACTAGAAGACTTTGAAGACGGCCTCGGTGATCATAATTGGACTTATGTTCCAAAGGGCCAAAAAGGGTACAAGCAGCGGCTCCTCGAAAAGTATTGGATAGGAGAGAAATACGTACGAGCTCCTGTCTGCACTAAGATTGTCAGACTGATTTCTTCTTAGCAAGCTCCTAAGCTTCCTAAAGCGCGGACTCCGTTGGACGCCGCGAAGAATGGCTACACCTTTTACAAGAACCTGCAAGCTCCAGACGGACACTGGCCTGGGGAATACAGTGGACCGCACTTCCTCCTCCCTGGTTATGTGATTGGATCATATGTGACCAAGGCCCCCATTAAAGAGGAAGAGCGTGTCGAAATGATCCGCTGGCTCTTCAACTACGCTCACAAGGATGACGGTGGATGGGGAATGTACGTCCTTCTCTGCTTGTCGTCTCTTCCTCTCCTTACACAGTACAAAGTCACGTCGAAGGCAAGAGTACAGTCTTTGGCACTGCCCTCAACTATGTTACACTACGTCTGCTAGGCGTAGACGCAGAGCACCCAGTAATGGTCAGAGCACGTGCTACGCTCCATAAGCTTGGTTTGTGCTCCTTCATCAGATTACTTGGCGCTCATTATTGTCCAAAGGCGGCGCACGCGGGGTACCTGCCTGGGGCAAGTTTTGGTTGTCTATTCTCAACGTATACGATTGGGAAGGAAATAATCCGATCCCCCCTGAGCTCTGGTAAGTGGACATCCCAGCTCGCGAACCATCAGCCTTACCAGGTTTAGGCTTCTTCCCGAATGGCTCTTCGTCCATCCACATCGGTGGTGGATACACACAAGGAATGTCTACATTCCCATGTCCTTCCTGGTAAGTATATACTGTATTGTAGAGCACCCCGCTGACTTGGACCAGTTTGGAGTGCGATACAAGGCAGAAGAGAATGACCTCATCCTATCACTTAGACAGGTACGTTTTCTCCGGTACAGTGTATCTGATGCTGATGGCTACAGGAACTCTATACCGAAAACTATTATTCTATAGACTGGCCGGCTCAGCGAAATCATATCGCCCCAGGAGACATTTATGCCCTCACACCTTTGCACTGAATGGTCTCTTTGCTATCCTCGGAGTCTACGAAGGATGTGCGCTGCCACCACTTCGTCGAGCCGGCCTCGACTTTGTCTACAATCTCGTCGTCAAAGAGGACGAGAACACTGACTACCAAGACCTTGGACCAGTGAATAAGATGATGAACCTCATCGTGCGGCACTATGTCGACGGACCGGATAGTCACGCCTTCAAGGAGCACGTCAAGCGTCGTCTAGATTTTTTGTGGCTTGGTCCCCAAGGAATGATGATGTGCGGTACCAACGGAAGCCAACTGTGGGACATTTCATTCATCAGCCAGGCGCTTGCAAAGACTGGATTGGGCGACTTACCCGAGAATCACGAGTCAATGATGGCAGCCCTCAACTGGTTAGACAGGACGCAAATGCAATCCAACCCAATTCACTTCCATACAGCATATCGACAGGCGACAAAGGGTGCTTGGCCATTTTCGACAAAGACGCAGGGGTACACTGTAAGCGACTGCGCTGCAGAAGGGCTCAAAGCTGTTCTATTCCTCCAAGAAAACATGCCGTGAGTACCGTAACTGATCATCTCAAAGTCTACTCATCGTCTCGCCAGAGAGGAGAAACGACCGATCAAGGAGCGAAGGCTGTGTGACACTGTCGATATTCTACTCGACATGCAGAATCCGACAGGTGGATGGGCGTCGTATGAACGTCGGCGTGGACCCATGCTCTTGGAGAAGATTAACCCATCCGAGGTGTTTGGCGATATCATGGTTGATTGTGATTACCCCGAATGCACGACATCAGTACGCAGCCATATTTTTAATTGCCAAGACTCGTTCTAATACCGCTACATAGGTGATCACCGCCCTCTCAATCTTCCGCAAACACTATCCTCACTATCGACCAAAGGAAATTGAGTGAGTGTTCATCCAGAGTCATGGCGAATCTCTCACCGAATTGTATGTAGGACTGCAACGAAGAATGCCATCAAGTACATTCACGATGCTCAGGATTCCTGCGGGGCTTGGCTCGGTCGTTGGGGCATCTGTTTCACCTATGCAACCATGTTCGCTCTCGAGTCTCTCTCCCTCGTAGGGGAAACGTACGAGAATAGTACAGCAGTCCGAAGGGCATGCGACTTTATCATCTCCAAACAACGCGCAGATGGTGGATGGGGCGAAAGTTGGGAGGTAAGCTGCCTTTGTGCACTGAGTTGAGACGTGGATTGTGTTTAACATTCCGGCGCAGACATGTGAGCAGCTTAAGTGGATAGAGCACGAATCGTCCCAAGTGGTTCAAACCGCTTGGGCTGGCCTGGCTCTCATGTACGCGAAGTACCCTCACCGCGGACCACTGGAAAAGGCAGCCCAACTCATTATGTCAAGACAACTTCCCGTAAGTTCATCGCACTCGCCTCAACGATGACTGACTCCTTGACAGGACGGCTCATGGGCGCAAGAAGCGATCGAAGGCGTCTTCAACAAAACGGTTGCCATTGGATATCCGAATTTCAAGTTTTCGTTCACTATTTGGATGCTCGGTCGTGCCCACAAATACTTGCAGGAGCTTCCTTGAGTGGGTGTACATGTAGACTTATTCGCATATTATTACTTGCATTGTCCATGCGGATCTAATATACGAATCTATGTTCGACATCGGATGGCGATCTAGTTGGCATCGCAAAAGACTCGCGCAGCGTAACCGCCGAACATGGCTTTGTACGCATCAATACCTCCAGTGATGGCAACTGGCCGGAGGTCATCCTCGGAGGGAACAACAAACGAAGAGCGAACAGGAGCTATGGGAAAGTTCAGCCAATTGTAGCATATCCTTCAACGAAACTCACATCCGTCTGGGTTGATCCAAGTGGGAATGATTTCGTTTCCTGCTTTATGATCAATCCTAAAGATGGCCGACTCAATACCATCGACAGAAGCTCCAGTGTAAGACGTCAAGCCGGGCGACGCAGGGAATCCATACACAGTCTCCGACGTCGGGGAAAGAACAGCAAAGCTACGAGACTAAGATAGAGTCGCTAAATGACTATCAAGCTTACTTGTAGGAGCCGACGTCAAACGCATTACTGCCAGGTGGGTTTTGGTAAGTCTCTCCGAATGTGACGCCGACGACTGGCTGAGTGATCGCACTATTCTGTGAAGAGATGAGCGAATGTAATGGAGCATTGCCAGGAAAAATATACCGTAGGGATCAATCTATGGTGATTGTAGACGACCTCAAGAGCATCAGCACGGTTGAGCGTCAGGAAGAAGCGACCCTGGGAGTCTAGAGAAGACGCTATGTATCCTTTATACGCCCCGTCCACGTCTTCTACTACGAGGCGTCCACACGGCGTCGGCGAAGGGACGGCGGCCCGAGCGGCCACGCGGGATGGTTTGCGGGGTGAGATGATGGGGAGACCCTGTCGAAGACGCTCTGCGTTTGTCAATGGATAGACGGTATTTGATTGGCCTGGTCTATCCATTGGTGCCATCAATCCGGCGCGTTTTGTGAAATCAGCGTGGCCCGATGACTTGCGTAATAGTGGAGAGTGTTTGGCACCAATCATAGTCCCAAATCCAATCAAGGAGAGGAAAAGATAGTGAAACTTCATCGTTGTCTGGTGTGTCGAGTAGATTCGGGATCGAATACGTGGAGACGATATGGAATAAAGATAGAAGGAGCGACTGTGGCTAGTGGAATGTGAGTATGATTTCTCTGTATGTGAAGAAAGCGAGCTAACCTGTTAGCCAGTAGGTGAAATGCAAAGGTCGGTGTGGCAGAGTTCAAGTTATGAAGAGACATCCAGTTACAGTCCAATCCACGGATTTATTGATGGGAATACAGCGCGATAAAAGAAACAGGACAGAGAATCCCTTCAACCACTCAGTTCGCCTTCTTCTCTCTCCTCTCCATCTGCCGCATGACTTGCTGACTGAGGGGGCTCCTTTGTAGGTTCAGCCGCGACAGCACTAGGTTCCCCTGCGTCCTGGGTTTCATTTTGGGTAGTCGGCACAACCTTCGAGGACGCCTGGTCAGTCGTATCGGGTCCATCAACCTGCATATCGGAAGTATCTTGGGTGTCTACAGCTGTGTCTGCACTTTCCGCAGGGTTTTCCGGGGCACTTTGCTCCTTTTTCGCCTTTGACCTGCGTTTGGTCTTCTTCTTGAGCAACCGTGGCTTGGGAGGCACCAACGGGGCTGGCGGTTCTAGTCTATTTTCACTCCATCTCCACCGTTCGACAGGATAAAGTACTCCGTTGATAGAGAAACCTTCTGGCGCAAATGAAATATCCTGGGCACTGAGGTTTTCATGGATCAGATGTCGTAGCGATTCTCCTTTGGTCTGAGGAGCCTCTGCAAAGCGAATAGACTTGGTCAACACTACATTTTCTGTCGATCCTTCCTTCAATGATGGTTTCGACGGGAGCGTCTCTGGTAGACGCTCCATTTTGGCAGGGGGCTCCTCTCTATACAGGTTATAGGTCATAGGAGTAGCCAGAGCCGTCCTCTCTGGCGACGTAGCTACCAGAACAAACCGCTCCAGAGGACGATTGGAATGCTCCAAGATGATGTCGGGGTTATATCGAATAGGGCGAACACGCTTTGGATATGGAGAGTATTTGTTAGACTTGGCGGATTGCTCTTCTGAAGATTCGTTTTTGTGAAAAAGCAGGAGATAGAATGTCAGAGGGTCGTATTTTATGCTGTCGATCATTAGCCACCGCGCTCAGACACGAACCACGGCTTACCCAGACGCGTTCTGCCAGAGTCCGCTGACGGAAACAGCTTGAAGTTCTTCTTCGAGCGCAGATCTTTCGAGCTTGACAGGCAAGCTACCTGGAGGTGGCGAAACGACCGGTTTCGGTTTGAGCGATAGGACGAAAGATGGGTCCGACGAGCCCATAATGGCTACACGTCTGCAATTTTCCTCTGCTATTCTTGCCTTTCTTGTTTGTCGCGTATATGTCTTCTTAATGTTTCCTTGTAGCCATGAATGCGAAGTGATCTACACTCGGCCTCAGTGCGTCTTGGAGAGCAGTCGGACGAATCACTGACCATAAACGCTGCTCCTTCGTGTGAGTTACCCCAGGATGCGCTCGTCAAACCTGCCGCACCGAGCCCTCCGACATATCGACCATACTCCGAGGCTGGGAAGACGCGCAGAGTGAGGTCGAGATCGCGCCCGGAACCCTTCTGGAGCTCCTCGAGCTCGACGATACCAGAGTGAAGAGCGGCGAATAGCACGTCCGAGTCGTCTGTATAAATCTTTCGTTCGTCGACATAAGGGATGCCGCCCCAAAGTGACCGAGCTCTCGGGTCGACGCCGACTGTGCCGAGAGGGAAGTGAGAGCGGGGAACAAGAATATTCATCGTTGTCCTACGATTGTACGGGAGCAGCGAGCGCCGAATAGGAAACGGCAAATTTGGATACACATAAGTTCCCAAGTGGACTGGGTCGAGAGCTGGCGATGGGGTGCGTGGAGGCGGTAAAAGAGGGGTCGAAGTGACGATATTGGATGTTCTTGGGCGATTAGACTCATCGAGCTGGCGCTTGAGAGACAGGGGACTATTTGCCTGTAGAAACCCAAATGGTGGAGGTGAGCTAAGCATAGAGGAGCGTGGCAAAGTGACAAAATCGCGACGAGACACCAGTACAAACCTCAAAGGGCCGTGTATCATCTGTGAACGGCGGCTGTCCTGCGCCAGGCATGTGCTGGTCGCGCTGTGCGGTGGAGAACGGGTCTCTGCGTGTTCTCGCGGATCCTTCTGTCGTTTCTATACTGCCATAGTCTGGCTGAACGAGCGGTGGCAAGCCCACTTTGTCGTTTTCTCGCTCGGATCGTTTGAGGTAGTACGAGCCCAGCGACGGGCTCAAATGGCCATAGCTCTGCGCCGTTTGAAACGGTCTAGACGCATCTTGGAGGACTATGCGCTCAATTTCACGCCCAAGAGGCTCGCTGGGCGCATGCACGTCGCCGACGGCCTTTGCGCTCGTCACCGTATCCTCCCAGGGTTTCCGGCGTGTGCGGTCAATCGACGGCACTTCTTGGAGTAGACTGGTAATGTTCATGCTCAATCTTTTACAAAAGGTTCGGTTGACGACAGGTCCAGTAGCTGAGCATAATTCAATTAGCCTAAGACATGCGGTAATGTCCGGTCGGAAACCAGGCCGCGCAAGAAAAGTCATATGCATGTTGGATAGGTTTACTAGACATGCTATACACCAAGCTAAGAGCGAGGATGGCTTATTTCTGTGAATATACAGTTAGAAACATCAGACAGCCTCCCAGGACGCTCTACTCACCAGCAATATACCATCAAAGCGTTGCTTGAACCACGCCTGCGTGTCCTCTTTGCGCACACGGTGAGAAAAGCCAATGCGGGCCTTTTGCTGCTTCCTTCGCGCAATACGTCCGCCCGGTCGTCCCATCACAACGTAGAAATCCATGCCAAAGATACCAATCGTCGGGTCATAGCGTGCTCCCAAGTCGATGTGCTCCTGGATACCAAATCCAAAGTTGCCCGTCTCGGAAAAGTTTTTGCGTCGGAGTTCGTATTCTTTGACTTTGAGTCCTCGCTCGAGAATCTCCTCTGCCTTGGGACCGCGAATGGTGACATGGACCGCAATCTTTTCGTTTCTTCGGATACCAAAGTGTCGAACAGTATAGCGCGCCTTTGAGGTAACAGGCGTTTGTCCAGTCAGTTGTTCCAGCACCTTTGATGCTCGTGTCAGACGATCTCCAGACTCGCCAACCGAAATGTCTATCACGGTGTCAGTCCCCCAAATCTCGCGGCGCGACAACCAACGACGCAACTGATAACGAGCTTTTCGATTCTCAACTCCTTCATAGGATTGATGGGTGCAGACTTGGAGTCGGCCTGGTATCAAATAGCCAAAGAGTCAGCCACTGTACACTTTGACGGCCAGTCGGAGCAAGAGCAACGCCACGATTATAATTTATTCGAATCGTTGCGCTTGCCATCCAATTACCGTACCATTTTTGAAGAATTTCCCGACGAGATCAAGGTCTAATGTGGACTTTGTACAAACAAGTGCCAAACAAGCCGCAAGCCACGGCCCAGAGAAAATCAGATTTATATCAAGAAAGGAGCACATTTACAAGCTATATTTCTCCTTCTTCTGGTGAGTCTGACCGCGGCTTGGGGGTTGTATTTCCGTTCTAAACTCGCATCAGTTGTATCCCGCCACCCAGAGCTTGTATTACTCACAGTCTCGCGCCTCATTTCCACATCTTCATCCTTTCTTCTTGAACTGGTAGTCCTAGAACAGGTTCAGATGGATACACGAGGCGAGCACAGGAAGAAAAACGTACCCCTTACGATCTCTCTCCCTTTCACGGTCACGGTCTCTGTCGTCTCGTCTGCGATATCTGTCCCTTTCCTTTGACCTATCCCTAGACCTGTTTCTTTCGCGGTCCCTGTCATGGTCACGCATACGCGAGCCATATGGCTCTTTGCGCTTTCGGCTTGATACCGAGCCATCGTCCGAATGATTTTCTCTCATCTTTTCCTTTTGCCTCTTGACAAACTTGGAGAATGCAGCCTTGCGGGCTTCATCGTCATTGTCAAGCGCCTTGAACTCGGGCAAGTCTTGTATGATGGGGACGACCTAAGCAGGAATGAGTATTGTGAGGCGACCGGCTAATAATGCCACTCGCCTCTTCGTATGGCGTATCAATGTCAAATTTGTGAGCTTTGCGTTTGAGCGCATGTCGGAGGTCATCCTGCATCCTTCGCTGCATCCTTTCCGCCTTGCGCCGTTGATGAGCTGCTTGCTCACGGAACTAGCAAGGCTCAGCGACTTCAAGATTTTGGGATGAAACTCACATTACGGTGCAGAGCCACAACGTCAGCCTCTGCTAGTTGAGAAAGCTTTTCGTCTTCCTTGAGCAGATTGGTAAACTCTCCAATCTCCGTCTGTTCGGTAAACTTGAAGGAGCGAGAAGCCAGGTATTTGCCAACGTCCTTAAGTTTGCCTTCCAGCGCCAGATCGAGCTCATCCACTGCATCCCAAAAGAGCTCCAAGGGAGTAGAACCAGGCAGACCAAGAAGGTTGAGATATCGCTCATCATTGGAAATCAGAGGGTAAATTTCCTTCCATTTCGTCCCCGATAAGAGCTTCCCGCTCGCCTTGAGTTCGTCAAGCAGCGCCTGAGAGACATTAGCAAATCATATCCCTTTGCTCGAATATACGTACCCTAAATCCCTCACGAGCAAGGCGATTTCTCTGCATGCGACTATTCTCAGCGACTTTGACGGCCGCCTCGTATTCGCCAGATTTAATCTTGCTATAGTCTTCAAATGCGAGAAGAATGTCGAGTTGGGGAAGCTGAGATAACTCTTCGTCCTCTCTCCACTGCTCCGACTCTAGCACCATTCTGAGGGCGTCTCTCCATCGAGTTAGGGCATCGACTTCACACTTTTTGAATATCCCCACGACCTTTTCCATATTACGACCTCGCATCTCACGGAGTCTCGCCTGGGCAGGTAAGCATAGAGACGCACTTTGTTGTCATAGACTTACTTGCTCACGCTGTTGCAGTTCCGAAACATATTCACGAAATATTTGACGTCGCTCTGCTTCGATTTTGACGGTTTGCCATATAGGATGTTGAGAGAAAAGCTGGTCTGCGGTCTCGAAAGACGTATAATGGAAAACATTGGGGTTTCCTTTGAGCATATTTCGAAGTGCTGGTCGCTGCTTGTTCATACGCGCCTCTTTTTCTTCTGCTTCCTTCTTCCTGAGCATCTCCGTGTACTACAATCCCTGAGCAATGCTCGCCAAAAGAGAAAGGGTAATCACCTTTTGCCACGATTCTCTCTTCTCCGCAGTAGTATTAAAGGACTTGTACAAGGGATCGGTGACGATGGCACGCAACGTACCCTCCCAGGTAGAGTCTGCTGTAATCCCGGCCTTTTTAAGGAGATACCAGAACGCCTTTTCCGCCTCTTCATGTGTGGAGAATCCATTTGTGGGTACCACTGGCTCATCAGGGTTGGTAGGTCGAGGCGGCGCTTGCTGGACCGGAGTTGGAGCATTCGGGAATCCAACAGCTCCAGCCATCCCAGGTCGCACCATGGCTCCCGAAATCGAGTTAAGAGTTGATGCCTGGCTTCCCGCATGGGTCGGAGATGCTAACATTGGCAATGGATGGGCACCTTCTAATCCTGGTACTATCACAGGGGGCAGCGGCCTATATATGGTCAGAGATACCGCCAAAGTACTCGATTCAAGTCACGTACACTGGCGGTGGCCCTGGACTGCTTTCCTTTTCCACCTTTTCGAGGAGCAGCAACAGTTCTTCAGGCATTTCCCACTTCGACTGCTTGGTCGCTGTCTGTGAATATGTTTAGACGGCTATAGAACCCTACTTGCGCAGCTCACATTATAATAGTACTTGCGGCCTTCTTGAAAATATTCCTTCCATGTCGTTTTGGCCAAAGCACGCTGTAACATATGTATATGTGAACCAAATACGCAAGGTGGTTCAAATTACCTCGAATGGCGTCTTCAAGACTGTAGGAATATGTCATTCTTAGAGAGCGACAGAGAGATTCTACGCACCATCGGGTTTCTCCCAGACACTTTCGCCTGTAGATGCCTGACAAAAATAAGGAGACAGAATTTGAGGGGAAGGAGATAACAAACATTGTTCCAATAGGTTCTCCCTTCTGCATTTCGATGTTCAGTCTGCAAGTTTTCAGTTGGCGGACAATGCGCGTGTAGATCGCGTACCCAAATACCAGGAACAGACTAAGAATGAGTTAGTGATTGCATCGGGGTCAACGAGTAGAACTTACCATGGTGGTGGAGGACAAAGCGCGACGACAACTTGGCTCCCGACCATACGCACCGTTGCGCTCGTCGTGCTCGTGGATCCGCGTGAATATGGCGTTTCCGATTCCCCAGCATCTTCCACGCGCCACATTTCAACAACCGGAGACGTCGACAACAGTCCTCACATCTCTTGCAGATGCTTCTACCGTGACTTTGGAGCTGACAAGCGAGCTAATAAGAAAACTCAATGAAGAGATTCAAAAGACAGAAGTATGATCTTACTTGAGTCTCGTCTGTTTGTACAGCTCATCCATAGATTTTACTAGAACGCCATTCATAGCCGTATACATGACGACCTAGAGGCATTTGAAAGGCAGTTGGATACCTCTCGTAGCGTACATCGACGCTTGACGACACTGCACACGAACGTCGATGCATTGTATTCCGAACTAGAAGACTCTGAGGTAGGCATATGCCTTTCTTTGTCGTGCTTGAATACTCAACATTGCCGTAGAATGGCGTTATACCCCACATACAACGTGCCCTTCACACCCATTCGGACCTTGCCCAACGAACGCTCAACGCCGAGGTATTGAACACATCCTTACAGCACCTGGACAGGTGTAAAGAGGCGTATCTCCAGCTGGAAAATTCTATATCCTCTGGCGACCTACCCAAAGCTATGGAAATCGGTGCTAGGCTTCAAACCTTGCTAGACCTCTCTCCACCCCCGTTGGTCAAGAGTCTGGTTTTGTCTGATCTCAAGGTTCGCCTCATGTGTTGGAAATAACTCTCAGGCTTATTTCTTTCAGCACCTCACTCGATCTAAACGGGACAATGTTCTCGAGCAGCTCTCGAAGGCTTATGCGACCTGCCTCGATCTAAAGGAGTCGAGTTTTGTCATCGCCCATCATTATGGGTCAAACCTCACGCTCAACGATATCCTTGTCTCACTTCCAAGTGAGATTATTGCCGTTAACCTGGCCACCCTTCGAAAAGATCTTTTCTCGCGGTTCATCAACTGTGTCCTACGGGATAATTACACCGTCCTACGCGTAAAGTCGACCAGAATTGATCTGAGCGCGTCGAGCTCTCAAGATTCGTTCACTTCACTGCTCCATCTCTTCACATTCTTAAGCGAGGAGCTTCTCCCTCATATACCCGAACCACATCGGGCATCATTCTCCACTGCATTCTACAATCCACTCTGTGACGCGCTACAAGCTCACCTCTTCGCCTTGGTCCCAGCGACCATTGACGAGCTCCCTTCGTATTTAACGACATTGATTGGGGTAATCGACTTTGAAACAAAGATTACTGCTCTTGGTTTCTCTACTGGACCGGAGAGGCGTCTACAAGCGTGGTGTCAAGGCGTGCAGACACATTACGAGAAGAAACGACGGACGGAGCTCTTGGAACGAGCAAGAACCATCGTTCTCTCCCAACCAAGCTACGGAGTGACGATTGAAGTTGAAGTCTCGGCCAAAGAGTCGGTCAAAGAAGCTGCATCGGTCGAACCCTTGACAGATGGAGCAGAGGTTGAGACTGCGAACTGGGACTTTGACGACGAAGATACAACCAAGGAGGTCCCTTCGATTGCCAGCAATAAAGAAGACGCCGAGAGTACCGAAGAAGATGGAGACGGTTGGGGGTTCGACGACGATGAACCCACGGTAGAGGAGAAAGGCCAAGAATCCGAGGAGAAGACTCACGACCCGTGGGGGGACGAATGGGATGATGCTCCAGTACCACCAAATGATGAGCACCCGTCTCAAGGTGCCTTGCAGTCCAAGGCCGTGCAGCCAGCCCAAACTCGGGTGGTGGCGTCTCCAGAGACGTACCAAGTGTCAAATGTCGCCAAGGAGATATCCGAATTGGCCCATAAGATTCTTTCTGAAGGAATTTCGCTCCTTCACACGAGGTATTCAACTTCCCTAAATGCAAACTCCACTTACCGACCGGTCGTAGGTTGTTTGCTGAGCAGGGGTTCACGTCCACGCGTGCTTCGCTATTGATGCCTAGTACGCCATCTGTAGTCGATCTATTCAGAGCACTCTATCCCGTACTTCACTCTGAAGAATCTCAAAGCAGCCTCGCATCGAGGCTTCGTTACTCGAATGACTGTCAATACCTCGCAGACTCTTGCAAGACATTACAGGATGTATACGAGACAAATTGTAGCACACAACCAGATTATACGACTACCCATAGTCGTTTCGAAGAAACAAGGGGAAGACTGGAAGTTTTGGCGACCAATCTGCGCGAGGACGCGATCGTATGTTCACCAATAACGTCTCAAATCAAATCTCATATGTTTAGGAGGAAGAAGCGCAAAGTATCCTTGCGCTAGTCGCCAACGCTGGAAACTTTGTCGACCTGGGCTACGATGTCCGGTTCACCCACGCCAGTGACAGGTTTCGGCAAATCAAGAATCGGATCACGCTCATTTCAAAGGATCTACAAGTATGCACTACCCGCTTTATATCACTTGTTAATGATCTTTATAGGCAACTCTGACCAGATCCGTATGCTACCAGTCCCTTGGAGCCATCGTTGACCAAGTGTTGGGACTTGCCCTTCAAGATGCATTTGCACTGGAAGATATTCCAGAGGCAGCATCAGAGCGTATTGCAACTCTTTGTAGAGTATTGCACCCGTTGGATACACTCTTCCCCGAAGTCGACGGGGTACGTCGTCATGTCTTAACGAACGTAGCGCTGATGCCCCTCTGCAAAGGTCTCTACAGTGGCGTCATACGTCCCACTGTGGCTCAAATTCACTTACCTCTCTGATATCCTGGTCCGTATATGGATTGACTACTTTCCACGTTTGGTTCTCATGACGCCATAGGAGGGCTCTCTTATGGACATTAATGGATGGTTCGACTCGGGGTTGCTCGTCGATTATGAACCCCAAGAGCTGTCAAGACTGATCAAGGCCCTCTTCGCCGACTCCCCTGTTCGAGCGAATACGATTTCCAAAATCATGCGCTCTACATAGTAATTCCATAACCTTATTACTAGACTAGACGCGATTAATCGACTGCATTTCAAGAGACATTTGGGGAAGCGGTAAAACAAAAAGGATGAAGTATTGTAGGGAGTACATGCAATCCGAACCCAGGTGAGGAATCTAGGTATGATACACTACACATATATCGGCCTTCTACATTGAGCAAGTCGACGTGGTTCTCTTTCGTTGTGGACGTTCGTTTTTGATTCGTAAATAGTTTGGGGAGGAAACAAAAGTGCGGGGATCAAATTGGGTAAAGCAGGTCGAAGACGAGTATAGTCGATCCTTTTGAGAAAAGCACGCTCTCGCTTCTTGGAGCGAGAGCGCTGGCCAAAAGACCACGGGCACCTAAAACTGCCCGCGTGTTGAGAAAGAACAATTTGTACGTTCTTTAATATAGGCGAGCGACTGCTCCCTGTTGCGGACGTGGCAATGTGGTATCTTGAAGTGGCGAACTTTTTCCCTCAGAGCGGCTTGGGCCGCCATGTGTTGTTTTTTAGGGACCATGTTCGGCTTTACGTGATTCTGACCATTCTCTTGCGTGATAGATGAAGTCGAAGCGGGAGAATTGGAAGTCAGAGGCTTCAAACGGCCCCACGCAATCCGCCAGCGGAACCAGGTATGGTATCGTGCATCGTCATCGAGCTCTGCACCAGGATTTGAGTGAAACTACTTTTAGAAAACAACCATCGGTTTGCTTACCGGCAATGGCTTTTGGCGCCCACTCTTCGACTTGCTCAGGGGTAACGCCGTCTTCAATCAGAAGTTGCTTTGTCGCCAGGACAAACATCTAAGGAGGCAGTCAGTAGGCAGGTACCACAGGCGCTTGAAACGTGCCTTGAGGTTTTGTCTCATCAGGACGCCTGTCACCTTGTAGTGCAGGCTTTCCTCCTTTAGGCTGCCTAACAAAAAGGTCAGCCACCTGCTTGGCCAATGCAAAAAGGGAAGCTTACTCGTCGGCCAGGGCGATACGGGGTGAAGATTGAGCCTGTTCCGCACGACTGTTCATGGTATTCTTCAAACTGCCAGAGGCCCTTGTCAAGCGTCTCTGGCGAGTCATCGACGTCCGCTACGTTGCAGCGTCGGACTTGGGCCTGACGAACGGCTTGGGTGGATTTAGATTTAGAGAAAGAAACGACGAGAGCCATTGCATACCTTGCATCCACCGCTGCATCCACGACCCGGCTTCATTATTATCCGACGCGGGTTCGAGAATGGTAACCTGGTCCTTGTCAAGCAAGTCAAAGTCGCCCTCAATAAAGATGGCCAGTCCGCCGGGTCTGAGGCAGTTGGTGGCCTCGATGAGTAAGTTTCGGTACGACCTGATGCCAGAACCGATGCAGCGAACATGGACGACGTCGTACCCATTATAGAATGGTGCGAGACCGTCATTCACGTTGTAACGACGAAACTCGACGTTTGTAGGCACGTCATTGTACGTCTGTGCGGCTTCATCGATGGCAATGACTTGAATCTTGGGATTGTCAGAGGCCAGTTCGATTGCCCTATCGAGAGATCAGCTGGGCCACGAGGAGGAGGACGACCGGTCTTACCATTGTCCGGAGCCGCATCCTATACATATGTCAGTGAAATTGCAGTAATAAGAGTATTATTAGTACCCACCTACGTCCAGCGCGGTTTTGTTCTCGCCGTCGGCCAAAATGGAGCGCAGCGCCCTCTGGAGGTCAAAAGGCTGGCCGAGACGGAGTAGAATGTGCTGTTTATCCCTGCAGAGAGGTGAGCGAGATGCGGGGTCGTGTCGAATTCAAGCACGTACAGCCGTCTGATCTCTTCTTCGTCTGCCAGGCGGGGAAATGAGATGCATGAGCACCTTGACGGAGGGGAGGAGAGAGTGTACTGACCGATTGGAAGTAAATAAGTCTCGTTGGATGCACTAAAAACGCGAGAAGAGCCAGCAAAGGTCCGAAAGTTGAGGGGATCGAGTACGTCGGAGAGATAGTCGTCGAGGTCTGAATCTGAGCAAGATGTGATGGATCTAAGCTCTGCAATGTCTGCGGGATCCCATTGAAATGCGGCCTGGTCGTAGCGGGCCGTCATGGGCAACGAGCGCGCCGAGTCTGGTGTTTTCGGGGGCGTGGAGTCTGAAAGGTGCCCATCCTGCCCGGTAGAGCGAGACATGAACGGGTAAGGGACAAAAAACATGGACGCGGCCAGGATCAAGGTGCTGGCGACCACGTTACTCGGCCACAAGGCCAATAAAATCAAGTGGGCTTCTAGTCGATTTTGGAGGTGCGGTGCAGAGTTTACGTGTGACCACCTGCCTGAACAAAAATCTCTGAATAACTTTAGAAATTTTAATGTACACAAAGGATCATGCCGTGGCTTCTTCCGGTGGAGGTGAGGGCGGTCCCTTGGAATCTGATGGATCCTTGGGCGATCCTTTGGAATCCTGACTAGCCTTTGCACGCTCTCGTTCCCGCTTGGCCGCACGCTCCTTTTCGACCCACGCATCCACCTCTTTGACGACTTGGGACGGCCGGTACTTGTGCATCAGTAGGAATCCCTGAATGCTCGACATGGCAAATTCGCGGTTGGGGATGCGAGCTGCAAACTCGCTAGCCAGCCTGTCGCATTCTTCCTTTGTCAATTCTTCGGGTTGGGGCCGGACATAACGCGATGTGGACGATGCCAAAGGCTTGGCATCCGAAACTACCTTGGGTGTCCCATCTGTGACCCAGAAGAATCGCTTGAAGAGTTCCTCGACTTGAAATTGTGTAGCCTCGGTAAACTCCACATGCACGTCCAACCTTCCCGCTCGAATCAGTGCCGGGTCAAGCGCATTGTAGTTGTTTGTCGTCGCAAACAATAGTCGACCCTCGCTGGCTTGAATGCCGTCAATGGCCGACAGCAGTCCCCCGAGCGAGATAGAGTTTTTGGTGTTGGCACCTTCCTCCTCTTTGCTGGTTTCCCGGTTGAGGCCACGCGTAAAGACGGCGTCAATCTCTTCAATGAGAGCAATCGATCTAGGTGGGAGTTCAGAGACGAGCTCGGTCAGACCGCTGTCGTCTAGTCCCCTCTTGCCAAGATTGATCACGTAAATGTCGAGGTTGAGTTCCCCGGCGATCGAGAATACCAGCGATGTCTTGCCACTTCCTGGAACTCCATAGAGTAGATAACCTCGCCGCCATGGAAGACCACGTGCTGCATACCAGGCTTCCGAATTGATAAATTCTTGCGCATCTGCTCACACAGTCAGGGTTGACAGCCAGGTGCAGCAGGACGACTTACCGTGGAGAACCATTTCCTTGAGACCATGCTCGAGAACAACAGAATCAAGAGGCCTCTTTGGTCGAGAACCTGATCGCCTCCAGTCGTTGTAATACGGGCCAACGGTGTAAATAGATACACGGTGCGTTTCAGACTCTTGGTATTGGCGCTTCGACTCCGTCAAGAGGTCATAAAGGACGCGTTGAGATCTTGCGAGGATACTAATAGTCAAAACTTCAATGTTGTCGTTCTCGTTGACTGCCCGGCGGCTTCTGGTGAGTCGCATCCAATGCCCCTTGTACCAGAACGTTTGAGGGAGCCCAAAGCTCGGTAAGAGGTGAAGTGGACGCTGGGAAGTTGGATCTCCGGCTTCTCCTGGGAGCATGATTCCCCTCGTGCTATTGTCTTGGACCTCGAGCCCCCAGCTCCGAGTGGACACCTGAACGTCTCGGGCTTTGCGCCAGTTGGGTTGTCGAGAGACCCAGACCATGAGCCACGAATAGGCATCGTCATCGCTTTCAAACGTCGCGGTGAGGAAGAAAGAATCGATGATCCGATACCAGATTGTATACGCGAACCGGCGAACCGTCTCGAGGACGGTACCGAGGAGAAAGAGTTTGATCCAGTCTTGTGCCACTCCAAAAGCCGAGAGGATCTTCCAGAGCGTCGCGAGCTGAGTGAGGCCCGAGATATTGATAGGCTCCGTATTCCCTGGCGTGGTACTATTTCCCATCGTCATATTGAGACCATTTGCAGCAATTTGTAGCGGAAGCTGAGATGCAAGTCTTTCGATGAGAGAATACATCGGGGATGGAGGGGAGCAAAGGCGGCGGAGGGGAGAATGGCCCGGCCCAAGATCCAGCCTGAGAGGGGTATTTATAAGACAGGAAAGGAAATTCCCGAGCGCCTAAATGTCATTGCTGTCCAGAGATTTTTCGAGTCAGAACTCCCAGCAAAGTCATCTCGTTTACGACGCGCGGAACAGAAGCGGGCGAGGCGAGTTGATGAGCCTGGGACATACAAACTCTCTACATTTTGTTGCCTCTGTCTTGAGGCAAACGAGGCACAAGCTGGGGCGAGAGCGATTACACACTTGGACTCCGCGCCGTGTCCCGCGCCGAAAAGCATGGACGACCCAGCAGTGATCAAGCCTCCAGAGGCGCCATGGAGCAAGCTGGGAGAATACAAGGTCATTCGGGACATTGCAGAAGGGACATTTGGCATGGTCAAAGGTAAGTAATCATCCACTATACTGCCACTGCACGCGCACGCTCATAATCTCGCTCTCTAGAGGCAATCCATACCGTTACTGGAGTTCATGTAGCAATGAAATTCCTCCCCAAGGGCAGTATTCAGCGCGGAAACGCGAAAACTAGAGTCCGCAAGGAAGTAGAATACATGCGCGTCCTCAAGCATCCACATATTGTTAGAATGTGGGTTCAATCGTATTCTATTTACGCCACTCACCTCTGTCTCTGTTGATAACAGGTACGAAGTCATCAATACCCCCACAGACATTATTCTCGTACTCGAGTTTGCCGGAGGAGAGCTCTTCGATCTCATTGCAGAGCATGGAAAAATGGACGAACCTCGAGCACGCCGTTACTTTCAGCAGATCATGTCTGGGATTGCCTACAGCCACCGTCTGAACATTGCCCACCGAGATATCAAGCCGGAAAACATTCTCCTCGACCATCGTGGCGATGTGAAAATCACCGATTTCGGTCTATCCAATGCGCTCGCCGATGGCGAATTTCTCAAGACGAGTTGCGGAAGTCCCAATTACGCCGCGCCCGAAATCGTCTCGGGCAAGTACTATACTGGCCCGGACGTGGATATTTGGAGTCTGGGAGTCGTACTCTTTGTATTGTTGACTGCTCAGTTGCCCTTTGAAGTCGACCAGGGCGTCGATAGCAGGGAGCAGGTCCGCAATCTGACCACGAAAATCACAGGTACGTCGTGGTTTATATTATGTGAAAAATTGACTCATGTATCTCAGAGGGCCGCTTCCACCTTCCATCCTACCTTTCTCATGATGCCAGGAGTCTTATTAACCGACTTCTTGTTGTCGATCCATTCAAACGAGCCACCGTGGAAGAAATTTACAACCATCCGTGGTTCACTGTCGATCTTCCCAGCTACCTCCGCCCTTATCCTCATGCACCTGGACCGTTGCTCGGCATGTCGTCCCTCATGAATGCCAACAAGACGGGGACCATCATACCCGGTATCGGACGCGTCAACGAAGATGTCGTAGCAGAATTGGCGGGTCTGATAGATCTTACGCCGGGCGACATCTGGCTCGCCCTTCAGCGTGAGGGCCCAAATTGCATCAAAGTTACCTATTGCCTCTTACGAGATCAACACCGACGCTACATGCAAGGTATGATACCCATTTCATTTCATTTCTTGGTATACCTACTCACAAACTCTAGTTGTCGAGTTTGCCGACGAGGAGCGAGAAATGCAGATTAACCAAATCTCTGGAATCAATCCAAGTGCACACGCCCCTCCTGCAACTGCCGACGAGACGGATCCTGCCATTTCGCCGCCAGTTGTGCTCGGAAATGAGGGAGGGGATAGCGAACTCAATCCCTTTGATGGCGTCGCAGCAGAGGATGAGGAAGATGAAGACGAAGAAGAAGGAGATGAAGAAGGAGATGAATATAGTGCACAAGAAGAAAGTGGCAAGGCGACCTTTGCGGTTTTGCAAGCGAGTATACCAGGTCATACAGACAGTCCAGCGGGCACACCACTCGGTCGTCCGTCCCACCTCAACTCCAAAGTTACGAGCGCACCTGCGCCAAAGGAGAAGAAGAGCAAGCTCAGATGGCACTATGGCATCCGCTCTCGGAGCCCTCCGCTTGAAGTCATGCTCGAGATTTACGATACGCTCGCCCATTGTGGATTCCAGTGGAGAGAAAAGAAGGGGCCTTGGGCTCTCAAGGCACCCAAGTCGATCTACGATCTCAATGATTCCATCTTTTTCGTCGAGACGCGTTGCAGAGTCCGAGACGTTGTCGTGAGTAGGACCTCTTGCTGGTAATGCTGCCTACTCACTCTTATAGGTTCTCATGGATATTCAACTCTTCCAAGTCGACCATTCCAACTATCTAGTCGATTTCAAAAACGTCACGTATTACAAGGCGTCGACCGTCCCGGACGCGCGCCAATACGAAATGGCTGTTCCTATCGACAGAAGCAAAGGACGAGCGGATGTGATGGAAAAGAATGCAGAGCCTCCAAACTGCAGCCCGTTCCTATTCTTGCACGTTGCGATTCAGCTCATCATCGAGCTCGCTGGTGGATAGACATGAGCTTAGTATGACTTAGTGATTGGATGTATAACACGTTTTAAAACCCCCCGGTAAATGCTTTGTCAAATGGCGGTCTGGACTGCGTACCCAGGCTGAGAGAGATGGATCAGTGTATCCCGAGGTATTGAAATCATTGGAATTTGGATTATAGAATGTTAAAGGGACCCAATCTTGCCTGGACACGCCGCGAATTCGACTTTTGTAACTTTGAATCCACCATGTCGCTGCTTCGCTCGTTTGCCAGGCCCGCTGCGTTCAGAACAGCATTCCGTGTACGACCAACGACTGCTACAGCCACTGGACACTGGCAGCGATGGCAGATGGCGTCCAACAACCTGCCTCGACATGCGACTTACTCGTCTGAAGCCGGGTTGAGCAAAGAAGAGGTCGAAGCGCGCGTGCTCGATGTGTTCAAAGGGTTTGAAAAAGTAGACCCAAGCAAAGTAAGTCGGATAACCAGTCCAGAGCGCAGACGACGAATCGGCTTTGCTGGGTTTTCGTCGTGATTTTTGGCTAACGGGCCCCGCCCAACCACGCTTTTACAGCTCACGCTCGCCGCAAGATTTAAAGAAGATTTGGCGCTTGATAGTCTGGATGCGGTCGAGGTCGTCATGGCCGTTGAAGAGGTAACACAGAACGACTGGCGAGTCCCATGACTAAAACTTGATTACCTTTAGGAGTTTTCTATCGAAATACCGGATGCTGAAGCGGATGAGATCACGACCGTCAAGCAAGGTAGCGATTACGCGCCCATGCCAGTGATTCGGGACTGACAAACTCCACAGCGGTGGATTATATTCTGCAATCACCCGAAGGTGCGTTCTGGCTGCGTCCGAAGCCACAATGACAGAGACTAACTGGAATTGTCTACCGTTTTAGCCCAATAAAGGAGATTAAAACCCCAGGATCGAGATCTCGAGGGAACTCTTGGTCGTTTGCGTTATTTGCGTTTGCCACCGCTGCTTTCCGGAGAGCCAACTTGGTCGTTCGTGTGTTTCACTAGATTCTTGGAATCACATCGTTTAATCCCGCCGCAACTTTCTCTGACGTCTTGGGACACACGAGCGGGCATGTCGTGACCTACACCCTGAGTCTGGTGACCGCTCCCCACTTAGGCTACGTCCGTTGACAGATAAACCGCCGTGATCTCATTCGTCATTTGGTCCATACCGTGTTTCTTATTATAAGCTTGGCCGACAATCCGCTCGGACCGACGCACTTGGGGCTTGCCTCTCTCTCCATATGTCCACAGACTCTGTACTCGTCGTCGACACGCCGCTGCTAGAGACGGGATGCATCCTAGGAGAAGGTAGACTAACCTTGAGACCTTGTGCAGGGACTCGTGAGCTGATAGAATTGGCCAGGGCCGCTATACGAACCGTCTACGGGCATCCTTCATTTTGTGGACATCAAGCGATGTCGCGTCTATCACTACGACACCAACAGCCACTCTATAGAGTTTGACGAGTTTGAAGAGCCCGTTACGGCGCTGGCACTCCGTCAAGATGGTGTAAGTAGCGTCGCGTTTTACCTGGCTTGTGTCCTCATCTCTTTAGCTCGCGTGTGTGACGGCCACAGGATTTGCACTGATCGAGAAAGATTCAGAATCCAAGCCGACGCTCACCTACCTGAGTCAGCCTCTGTCTGAGAGGGAGCGCAAGTATACACGGCTCAATGACGGTGCCTGCGATGCCAGAGGACGATTTCTCGCTGGGACTCTCGAGTCGAAAGCGCCTGGAAACGAATTTGGTGGTGTACTCTATCAATATGATCCAGCAACTGGTTTGGCAAGGGTGCTCGACGATTCAGAGGATATTACAGACGGCAATGGCCTTGGTTGGAGCGAGGACAATTCGACATTGTAGGAGGGACGGTTGACTGTCGTGATCTCTCTCGCTGACGATGAGTAAATCCCCAGGTACTTTACGAGCTCGTGCGCCAATCTCATCTACGCGTACGACTATAATCTAGAAGATGGCTCTGTGTCGAACCGCAGAGTGTTTATAGACGGGCCGTCTCTGGGGCTTAATGCGCCGTCGTTTTGCGATGGCCTGTGCATTGACAGCGAGGGGTGTATCTGGTCCGCACGATGGGCAGGCTCCAAGATTGTGCGGTTCAGCAAAGAAGGCAGGATTATCTTTGAGATTCAGTTTCCAAAGGTGTTTAGTGTGACTGCATTGACGTTTGGTGGGCCAGAGAATGACTGGCTCTTTGTCACGACTGCGCATCCGTCTGTGGCAGGCGTTGCGGACAGTGACAAAGTATTTGCAGAGTATCCAGACTCGGGACATTTGTTCAAGATTGACTTTCAGGGTCGGTTCAAAGGCGGGGTTTGGCGTCATTCGTTTGGGACGATAGACGTAGCTATTTGACGTAGATCAACTGTCTTAGAATGATTCTAGATATCTTCCCAGCCATTTGTCCAAGCGCCAGGCGCGTTCCAAGGTTACGAGGCTGTATATCTGAGGCTGGACCCCCCCTTGGGTTTGTTTCCCGGCGCGTCTTTCACTAAAAAAAGCTGCCAAAAATGCCAGCCAGCAGCGGTCTTTTTCCAGCACTCAACCTCTTTCCGCTCAACGACTCGTTTATCCCAAAGCACATTGTCCTCGCCGGCGGACAACGCGTCAAGATTGGTCGCCAGACAAACGCAAAGACGGTGCCCGGAGAGAAAAACGGATACTTTGATTCAAAAGTACTCAGTCGCCAGCATGCAGAGGTCTGGGAAGAGAGCGGAAAGGTCAGTCTGCGCGCGCGCTGGACGTGGAAAATGTTCACCTGGCGTCGCAGATTTACATCAAAGACGTCAAGTCGTCAAACGGAACATTTATAAATGGCACCCGGCTCAGTCATGAAGGCGTAGAATCGCCTCCTTTTGAGCTCAACACCGACGATGTAGTCGTACGTCGCTCGCCAGTTGTCTGTGCCCGTGCTCTGACCACCTTTTCCCCAGGAATTTGGCATCGATATCGTCGGGGAAGACAACCAGACAATTGTCCATCACAAAGTCGCTGCCAGAGTCCAGTGTTTGCTCAGCCAGGACGATGTAAACGCCGCCCAGCAGCATGCCGTCTACGCCCAACAGGCTCAGCAGCATACGCTCGGCCATTCCCAGCCAAATCACTTTCAACAGATGCCCCCCGGTCAACGTCGCCCTTCTCTCCACGGTGCGCCAAACCATCAGGGCAGCCTGGGTGCTTTGGCTCCCGTTGGCAGGGGCGTCCCAAAGCAGGGCGGGCTCTCCTTTGACGCAATTCTCAGTAAACTTCAGAGCGAAGTCCAACGGAGCAGAGAAACATCGCAAGAGCTCCAGTCGTTGACCGCTGCCATGTCGGAAATTCATGACTCGTTGGGCGGAGTGTCGGTTAGTACTCGCCTTGCGTTTGCCGGAAATCGTTGCTCAAATTTTGTATTTTAAACCTTTTTTTTCAGGCTCAACCCATCCCCGCTTATCCACATGTCCTCCCTCCCGTTCGCCAGGACTCGGATCCCGTAGTGCCGCCTCCTCCCACCGCCCCCCCTCCAGAAGTTGCCCTGCTCACGGAACAATTGGAGCAGACCCGCTCGATGCTCACGACACACGTTGACAAGATTGATAGTCTTGGATTGGAGAGCATCGTCGGCGAGCATGATGGGCTCAAGCGCGAGATTGGCAAGCTAAAGGAGATGATCGACCATCAAAAGCTCGAAACCACAATGGCTATTGCAAGCCATGAACAAACACGAAAACAGGCCATGGAGGAAGACGATGATGATACCCGGAGTGTTGGCACCGTGATGCCCAGCGAGCAATTTGACGAGGACATGGAAGACGACAACCTTGAAGCTCGAAGGCGCAGAAGTCGCGAGCTCGGCCGTCCTCGAACACCAGAACCGTCCATGGGAATGGACGATTCGGACGGCGAAGGCGACATGAATCTCTCTGGTCCAGCCAGACTCGCCAGCCGCGGTACGGTGCGCAGAGGGTGGGACGGTCGCACAGAAAATGGCTCGGCAGATGCCACCCTTCTCTCTTCTACGACCCAAGAAAGCGTCGACAAACTCACCGAACGTCTCGATGAGCTCACAGCCCGATTCGAGTCTGCTATACAACACACTCAACAGCTTCAGGCCAAGCAGGCTGAGGCTCAAGAACGAATTGCGCTGCTTCAGGCAAAAGTCGACGAGCTCGAGGCGACAAAGGAGTCTTTGGCAGCAGCCTCGACTATCCGAGACGAGTCGGCAGCCTCACAAGAGCATCCATCGATTATTGCAAACCTCGTCGAGCTCACCAAAACCTTTGAGGGAAAATGGGAGCGTCAAAGAGAGGAATGGATCGACGAGCGTGAGCGATTACGCGCGACAAAGGAAGAATGGGAGCGCAGGGTTCGTCGCGTCGAGGAGGATCTCGTCGGAGTGAGAGATGTTGCCTCTGCGGCCTCTGCAACCGCCAACAGTGCCTCGACGGCCATTGCCGCTCACGCCAAGGATCTGGCGAGTTTCATCTCGGAATTTCGCGAGGAGACGGCCAACGAACGCGTAGACGAGTCTGAGTTTGCTCCACCAAGCCCGAGGAGCATCTCGTCGGACGTCTTGCGCAGGCGGAAAAAGTCGTCTGCGCGTGCTCGGGGACGTTCGCGGTCACAGTCACCGTCTGGTCACGTCTCCAATGGGCATGCTGTCGAGCCAGAGGAGGTGCAGCAGCCCTACTCGCCGACATCGCTCAGCTCGCCCCCTTTTGCCAACGGTCAGGCCTCGGAGCTTAATGGTTACAACGACAGCAGGCGACTACCGGCTGCGTTGGGGGAGCTCGAGGTTCCGTCCCGAAGCGAATCCATGAGCTCGACGTCTGCCCTCTCGCACTCTGGCCGCAAATCTGATACTGTGAGGGTGACTCCGTCCCTTTCTATCCTGTGAACTAATGATTTCCTCCGTCTAGGCTATACCCTACATGTCTGCAGCCGCAACACTTGGTGTCGCACTCATCGGTGTCGCGGCGTGGACAGCAGCCAATCATATTCACACATAACTAGACACGGAACAGAAGAGTCCCTATCCGCTGCTGGCCATGCAAGATGGCCACCATTCCCGTTTTTAACCGTTCATGCTCGAGTCGGTGTTCTCGTGAACGGATGGTCCTCGTATTTTTTCTGTTCCTTTCTGCGCACGTCTCTGGAAAAAAAAAGACCGTATTCTTGCCCCGTAACATATGTCCTCCATCATGCTCATCCCGTGCTTGCTATTCGACCCATTAGCATCGTCGCCTCGTACTGTTTGTACACCATATTGCATGACTTATTTCATGGCTTTCTGACGCCCTCGCTGGTGATTTGGTCCCAGGAGTAACCCTTTGGCAGCCGTTTTCTGTTCGGTATGTGAGTTCTTGGGGGGTGTTCATCTCCGGCCCGTCTCTTACAGATAGTCTGGAGGCAGCGTCGGCTCGCCAGAAGCGTCTTTGTATTCGAGAAGCGCTGTGACCTCCACTGCAGGGCGATTTGGGCATCTATTGGCTGGTCGATTAGAACATTCTATGCAATGTCGGTCAACAAGGCTTACACGCGGAAGACTCTGGGGATTGGATAGCATTTGACAATGCCAGTGCGTGCGAGAATGTCTCTGTCGCAGTCGAACATGGTCAACTGCTCGAGCACGCAGCCTGGACGGTGTTCCTCTTCGACGGCTTGTGCAGCTTGTTTCGTCGACTTGTTGGCCATGTGTATTGCAACTTTGCACGCTTTTCCAACGAGGCAGTGATCCGAGTGAGTGGAAGACCCTCAAAGTTATCGAACCACACCCCTTGCCACCAACCACCACATCCTTTTTGTTTTCATCCCCAATAAAACTCGTCGAAAATGGTCTACAAGGTCGCTGGTAAGCTTCTTTCATGCATGGTATCCATCCTGCATCAAGATCTGATCCATCGAAAAAGACATCTCCCTCGCCGCCTTTGGCCGCAAAGAGATTGAGATTGCAGAGGTACGCAGTCGTCTTTGAATGCGATCTTCAAGATCTAACGCTGGATCTCTAGAATGAGATGCCTGGTCTCATGTACATTCGCAAAAAATATCAAGCGCAACAGCCATTGAAGGGCGCCCGCATCGCTGGCTGCCTTCACATGTATGTACATTACCCATCGCTTGTGATTGTATTCTGATTGTTTCTAGGACCATTCAGACTGCCGTCCTTATCGAGACGTTGACCTGCCTCGGTGCTGAAGTCAGCTGGTCCTCCTGCGTGCGTTCATGCAAAAAAAAGGCATAATTTACAAACTTACTGTCGAACAGAACATCTTCTCGACTCAGGACCACGCTGCCGCCGCTATTGCCGCGACCGGTGTTCCCGTCTTTGCCTGGAAGGGTGAGACCGAGGAAGAGTACACCTGGTGCATCGAGCAGACTCTGGCTGCCTTCCCCAATGGACAGCCACTCAACATGATCCTCGACGACGGAGGTGACCTTACTACCCTCGTCCACGAAAAGTACCCCCAGTACCTCGCCGACATCCGTGGTGTCTCTGAGGAGACTACGACCGGTGTCCACCACCTCTACAAGGCATTCCGTGAGGGCAAGCTCAAGATCCCCGCCATCAACGTCAACGACTCGGTCACCAAGTCCAAGTTTGATAACTACTATGGCTGCCGCGAGTCGCTCGTCGACGGTATCAAGCGTGCGACGGATGTCATGCTTGCCGGAAAGGTTGCCGTCGTTGCTGGCTTTGGTGATGTCGGCAAGGGGGTAAGTCTATCCTCTTTTTTCTGGAAAACTACGGTGTGCTTATGCGGGATATAGTGCGCCGAGTCCCTTCGCTCGTATGGTGCTCGTGTGTTGATCACTGAGATCGACCCCATCAACGCCTTGCAGGCTGCCATGGCCGGCTACGAGGTTACGACCATGGAGGACGCCGCCCCGCGTTCCAACATTTTCGTCACCACGACGGGTAACCGCGATATCATCACCGGTGCTCATTTCCCTGTGATGCCCGAGGATGCCATTGTGTGCAACATTGGCCACTTTGACATCGAGGTCGACGTTGCCTGGCTCAAGGCAAACGCCAAATCGGTGACTAATGTCAAGCCACAGGTCGATCGCTTCACCATGCCAAGCGGACGCCACATTATTCTCCTCGCCGAGGGTCGTCTCGTCAACCTCGGATGCGCGACCGGACACCCGTCCTTTGTCATGTCGTGCTCTTTTGCCAACCAGGTCTTGGCTCAGATTGCTCTCTGGACCAACCCCAAGGCATTCCCTCTTGGTGTGCATATGCTCCCCAAGGAACTCGACGAAGAGGTCGCTCGCGCGCACTTGGCTCAGCTCAACGTCAAGCTCACGACGCTCACGGAGACGCAGAGCAAGTACCTCGACATCCCCGTCAATGGCCCGTACAAGGCCTCACACTACCGCTACTAAGCGGCTTTTCTCTCCCTGGCAAAGGGCATCAACTGCCTTTTTGCCAAACTGTTCTCGTGGTATCGGCGGCAAAAAGGGTTTAGGTGACGACTGAAACGACCAAGAAAAGGGGACCAAGGTGACTGTTTGCATGGGTTTCAACTCCCACCGTGGAGGCTTCAACGGCTTCGTGACCGTGATTGACCATGTGCTTCTGTGGGCCTCAACGAGCCATTTACGTTCTTTAAAATACGTGTCTACTACAAATGAATGAAAAACTTGCTTTCATTCTCCGAGTTGACTTGCAAAACTTGAACTCTACCATAATGGCAGCTCCCGGTCTCAAAAAAGTCGCGCCATATTGGCATCCCTGTAAGAGGAAGTTATTGATAGGAAATCGTTTCTGAGCGATACGTATAAGATGCGACAATGGCGAAACAGCGCTGGTGGGATCGTGAATTGTTAGAGCTCGTGTCTACAGAGTTCCGAGATCGGTCAATCGAGTACTATGTGAGTATAGGTCTCGTTTATCGCTCTTATCGATTCTGAACGATGTTAGCGCTTTGCGATTGAAAGTGGCATTGTCTCGATCAATGGAAAGACGGCCCATGTCGGACAGATTATGCGAAATGGAGATAGATTGGAGAATATTATTCACCGGCACGAGTTGAGTAGATTTGCTAAATCTTTCTCTGCGGCCGTCTGATGTGTCTTTTCAGGCCTCCAGTTACTTCTCAGCCAGTCAAAGTACTTCACGTTGACAAGGAAAAGGACCTTATCGTAATAGATAAACCTGGGAGTATTGTAGGCCCTTTATTTTCTCTGCTTTGCTTCGTTTCACCTCGTGATAGCCTGTGCATTGTGTCGGGAGGTATTTCAAGAACAGTCTGATCGAGATCCTTCAAACGGAATTCGGATTCAAAAAGGTCTATCGTAAGCCTGTCTTTAAGTTGGGAGAACGCATCTGATAGGGGTATAGCCGTCAATCGGTTGGATAGACTTACTTCAGGATGCATGGTTATGGCCCTATCGCCAACCCGAGCACGTCAAATGTGTGACGAGTTCATGTCTGGAAACATTAAAAAAGAGGTACATCTCTAATCAAACTAGTCTCGTCACTGATTGATATTCCCAGTATGTCGCGCGTTGTAGAGGGGAGTTTCCAGCGTCAGTACCATTGGAGAGACTCAGCAACAATACTGAACCCTTATAGAACCGAAGTGGTTTGCGAAGAGCCGCTCCTTACCATTGACCGTCAAATGGGGTTGAACATTGTTCATCCCGAGGGCAAGGTGCGTCGCTGGGCTAATTACTCTGCTTGATGCTAAGAATCAAAGCCGGCGAAAACAGCTTTCAACCGGATATTCTATGACCCAAGAACGGATACGAGTGTCCTTCACTGTGCGTACCTTGTGGGCCGAACGAACGACAGCTCATGTTCAGAATAGGCAGGCCATTTACCGGACGATGTAAGATATCTCTACTGGCCTGGTTTTGTGCCTGAAGTCTCCAGCGCATCAAATTCGTGTGCATTTGCAGTATCTCGGACATCCCATCGCCAACGATCCAATCTATAGCAACAAGTCTGCTTTTGGCGAGTATATTTTGCGATGACGAGCACTTATTGATACAAGCTCCAGGCCCTAAACTTGGTCAAGGAGGCATCGACACGACACCTTCGTCCGAACGCGCACCCCCTGTACCACCACCATCCCTTACACCTAGCATTCCCAGCTCGTTAGCCACGGCTCCTTCAGCTCTGTCCCCCAATGACTATCGAGGCCGTTCCAATATCATGCCGCTGAATACGTTCCACCAAGAAGCCGTCCAAGTGCTCAATGGTGAATCCTCAAAGGTCCTCCTTCCACGAGAAACAGGAGAGGATATTGGCTTTGCTTCTCCGGTCCCCCTCTCTGCCGAGGCCGTAAAAGTCATTACCGCGCTACGTAATATGAAAGACGGGGATGAAGACTGGAGCCGGTGGAGGTGACCGCACGATACAATGTGTTTGCATCCGCTGATGGTTCTTCCAGGGACAATGTTTTCCTTGGAAAGAAGCCACTCGTTCCTTCAGTAGCTGTTGGCTCCTCGTCAAACAAGCCTGCATCAACTGTGACCAATGGCGAGGCGTGTGGACACGAAGGAACGCAAGTACTTGACAACAAAGATGCTCAGACAGAAGACGATCCCGTAGAGCCAGTTGGGGAGACGCCAGATGGAAAGCTCTACTGTACAGAGTGTTACCTTCCGCTACATCCGGATCCACCACCGGGTAAGCTTTACATCTTCCTGCATGCTCTCAGATATACCACGAGCCATGGGGCCTTTGAGACGGAAATGCCGTGGTGGGCAGATCCGAACTGGGAAGGGGATGGGTGGGTTCAGTACTAGTATACCGTTTAAGATCTATGGATTTATATCTTACTCTATGTTCTTCTTATCCTCGGTTCAACTCTCTAGCCACTGTGCCATATGCATCCTGAACCTCGCCGTGCGTGACATTATCGCCCATAGCCTGATCCAAACACAGTTTAGCATAGGAGAGAGGCCTATAATCATACGTTACCCTTCTCTGAATCACAAGTGGCCTCAGAAACAGCTCGGTCGCCAGGACACTTATCGTACAATCTGCCCCGAGCATTCCAATGAGTCAGGAGGGCTTCCAAATAACAATTCCGAGTATGTATACGTCAATGTACCCGTGTTGCTGATTCATTTTAATGATTTCACCACACAGCTTTGGACGATGGCGACGACTCTGCCGCCCAGTTCGGAGCGCAAGCCAACTTTGGAGGATTCGGAGGATACGACTCTCCGACGCCAACTTTTGGCTCGTTCAGTCAAGCTGAACGTCACCATTTCCATACACGCGTCGACTCAAACGCGTCTGGAGAGTCGTTCAACTCTTTTAGGATAGGAGGGACGAGCACGCCCGTTCCACCGCCGAGAGCGAATCCAAATGCTGCTGTGCACTCGTCCAATTCGTCTCTCAACAACTTTTCGATGCCCCGCAAGGCTTCGTTCGCGTCACTAAGGAACCCCTTCAAGACGAAAACAGAGACAGAACCTCCACCGGTTCCCCAACTGAACGAGTCCTTTTCACAATCCAGGTCTACCCTCGTCGATCGCTCCCGACAGCCATCTATCAGCAATGCCTATCACTCGAAGGCATCTTCGAAAGCCGGCCGGCCGGGATTTGGAAAACAGAGTTCGCAATCAGGAGGCTCTTTCTTTCAGACGGACAATGGTAGCAGCAACAGCATTGGGTTTCCCCCGGTACCTCGACGCATGGACTTGCGCCACAGGACGACCGGCTCAGTGACACAAGAACGAGTGGGCAATACCCCATCGGACTATGCTCTCAGTGTAGTCTTCCACCGCTTTGTGACCTCTGCCGAAGCCTTGATCGAGGTGTTTCTCCAGAAGCCGCTCGACGGGGAGCCATCGCTCCAGGAAGCATTGGGTCCAGGTGTTGACAAATCCTTTGATGGGTTACTCGATTCATTGGGGAGGATTGCGCACCGGCATACCAATGCTGTGATTGACTGTATCACTCGATGGAGGAAGACGCAAAACGAGCCAGTATCGCTTGCAATAGTCAGGAACAATCTGTCAGTCTTGTGATAACCAATGTTAGTGAGAGAGAGAGTATCTAACGAGGTTTCAGATCCATCAATCCACCCACACGAAATTACACCGGGAACGAAGCTTCGCGTATTCTTGGCGAGCGCAAATCGCTTGCCGCTATATACATCACATGCCGCGCATTGATCGTGGTTCTGGAGAGTATACATAAGCTCAAGAATGCATTGGATGATACTATGGGTGGGCTCCTGGAGGAGACCATCTTCGAACAATTTCGCCAGCCAGATGTGTAAGTGATAAGAGACTGTATACTCTGACCTTGACATGCTACTACAGGAGGTTGCTATCTCATTCACTCAACGCTCGCGCAAATGCAGATCTTTATGCCACTCTACTGGGACAACTTGCCCACGTCAGGTTAGAGTGCCATCCATTTTAATCGACCCATCTAATCTTTTCAAGGTTTGAGAGTGTCACCGACAGATTTTTGCGAGCGCTCCGGCCCATTCGTGACGGAAGGGCAGGCAAAGACGAGGATGGTCGATATGAAACACTGCTCAAGGGACTGAAGCATATTCACATCAAAGTATGGCCTCCGGAAGCCTTTGATGAAGCACGAGATTTCATCTCCGAGTTTGCTCAATGTTTTGGAGAAGCTCATGGTCTCAAGCTCAAGATTGCATTCGCCGAAAGCTTGGTTCACCTGCTACACCCCATCTCCAAGACTGCCCAAGATGAGCTAAATCATCCCGATTGGGCCCAAGCCGTCACAACAATCTACCGCAAGGCAAAGGAAATGTTGCCAAAGCCTCGTTATTGGCACGTCGCTTTCCCGCTTGTAGTCACGACGCTCTGTGTCGCACCTCACGAATTTTTCCTACAAAACTGGATGAACTGCGTTGAAGGTTGTTTGGCCAAGCTCAAGGTCTTTTACCTTTGTCCCGACCATTCTCCTGGTGCTGACCTCCTTTCAGGAGCCGAGAGCCAGACCTTTTGCCCTCAATGGAATACTGCGACTCGTTTGGACCTATCTCTACCGGTGTCGTGAATCTGCTTCATCGTCAATCGACAAACTGGAGACGATTTTGCGTACCTTGTTCCCTCCGAACAGAACGTACATCTATCCGATGGAAGAATCATTGGAACCATTCACTTATTTGATTCATTTCATTACCTTTCGACATGGTGACTTTGGGCGGAGTTTCATCCTCAAGCTCTTGCAGGAATCCGCCGTATCATCATCCAGCGGTACTGTCAATCAGAGCGAGATCCTTGCTCCAGACAGGATGATGATTGCTATCAAAGCTATCCTCGTCACGCTGTCTGCCGTTGAGAAGGACTCTCCACCAAGTTGGCCGACATCGGCAGACTTTTCTTCCTACAATTACGGCAATGACTACCCATTCTCGGCCACGTTCCTCCCCGATCTCTTCTACGCGAAGCCCGACATGCAGGAATTTCATGACAGATACGGTCCTGTGATTAGCCGAATCGCGAATATCTGTGGTGCAACTGTGGGGAGTATGTTCGTCTTTGAAGACAGGTTCACGGAGCATGCTGCGTATGCGTCTGTGGAGGACCGTGAATTCATCACAACAAGGACGCACGGCGACTACACAGTCGGATTCAGGAGGGAGCTAGTCCCCCAAATCGACCTACTTCGGACTGTGTTCGAGTCGTGGCCAAGATGCTTGCATGAGTCGATGCCACTCGCGGATATGTTGGATTTCCTCATCCGTGGTGTGATCCATGTCGATCCCGTCATGAGCCAAGTCGCCGCTGCAGCACTCAAACGTACAGCTCAGGACCCGCGACACAGTAGAGCTGTCATGCTGAGATTCACCAAATTTTTGTTCTCTGCCGAGCACGTCGAAAAGGAAGGCGCCGGAACCCACCTCGTTGTGGAAAACTCGACCATCCTACTTTTATGGGAATCAATGGTCAAAGAGTGGTCAAAATCGATCACGAACAAACCGAAGACAAACGTCGATCCTCCTCAATCCGAACCTGCCTTGGATCTAGGTCAAAAGATCACAGTGCAAACCGTGGTCGATTACATCCAAGGAGGTGCCTTATTCCTCCTGACCTACAATCAACGAAGGATCCGAATTGTTGGTATACACACACTCAAACTTTTGGGTCGAATTCTACAAGCGATGGACGCAGAGAATGGCGGTGGTAAGATTTCCAATATCCCAGCTGCGTAGAGACTCACTAGATTCGGTATTATAGACCAATATAGATCTGTTGCATGGGCACTGAATATACTCTCTGGAAAGGATATTCCCCCGAAGTTCCTCGAGGACAACGACAACGCCCTTGACCTCAAAACTAGGACTCGCCTCGCATGGTGGAGGGAGAATACGTCGAAGGACAAGATTCAGCGGCTGGCAGAGGGCACAGATGACCGAGACCAGCGAATATGGGCCTTTGTTCTCCCTTCTTTCATTCGGGTTGGCTTGGAGCAGCAAACACCGGCCATCACTCTATTCAAGGAGGCACTCATTTCTGCCGTCTCCCGGTTTCACCAGCTAATCGCCTCTCTTGCTGGCATTGGCAAGCCTACACCACAAGCCATGCGGTCTCCCGTACCCCACCGTGGGGCTGGCAGTCGTGAGTCTGCTCGAGATCGTGCATGGGAAGACCATAGGAAAATCATTGGCCAGTGGCAGACATGGTTGTCGATGCTCTTCGCAACCTTTGTCTTCGAGAAGTCAACTCCATTTGTGAGAGAACACACCAGGATGCACTCGGAGATTCAGTCTCAAAGAGACAGACTTTCTCAGCCCCGTGGGCTCTTCCGTCTCGCCATTCCATTCCTCGCCTCGGAACATGCAATCTTCCGTAACGCGGTCGTTACCGCGCTAAGCTGCATTCACCAAAGTGCTTTCAAATCACTCCTCGAAGATCTTCAGGGTATCACGCGGCATATATACGATGACACGAGGAATAAGATGCTGACGCGGAGCGCGCCTCAAGACAGGCTACACACTGCAGTCGCTCACGTCTACCAGCTGACAGCACACTTCATCAAATCCCCTCGTGCACTCGACGACCCATCGGCCTTGAATCTTCTCCTCGGCTTTGTCAGAGAAACGGCAACCTTCCTCCGTAATCCGAACATCAAGCTGGAAATGGAACACCAACTTCTGCGCCGCTACTTTTGCGGGGTTATTGAAAACGTCTTCGATGGCCTTTCCTCGATTGGAGAGGAGAACTCTAGACGTTGGCTCTCCCCAAACCAGCGTCTCAATCTCTATAGGCTGTGCGAGGAATGGTGTCCATTCAGCTCATTATCAGTATTGAGGTTAATGCAACCTTCCCGACCGTCTCACGAAAGGAGAGATACGTCGGGGATGCCTTTTGATGGTTCGGAAACTCTTACGGCCGCTGCATGTGGAGCGATGGCGTCCCTCTGTGTAAGTGCTTTCTAGCCACGACTGCAAAAGATGTTAATGTTCCCGAACAGCGAGGAGCATTCTTTGCTTCCGCTCCCACCTCGTCAAATGAACCATTTAATCCACTGAGTGTGGACGAAACGATCCACCATATTAGGTCCATGCTTACCGATAGAGATCCGACCATTAACAACAGTGGAAGGTACGGATAGAGCGCTCAACAGGTCTAGGGTTCTGATCTGTTGCTAGAAAAGCACTACGGTCTCTTCTTCAACATACAACAAAGCACGAGGAACTGATCAATGCGACTCTGCGCTGGTCATACGTTACAGGCAAGGAGTCAGAGGCCGGTCAGGCGAGATTTTTTGAGGTCTTGGTCGGATCTCTTCTGGACTCTTCTGAAAGCCACTTTACTTTCGAGCAAACCGTTTGCTTAGGGCTTTCAAACCTATGTCACCCGGATGTTGAAGCGCGGAGGCTGGCTTTCAACCTCTTGGAGAAGGTACACGTACAGTATAGTGGCACAACGTCGCTTGGACCCTTCGAGTCGGCGGTTGGCAGCCTTGCTGCCAGTGTCTACCTCCCAGCCCAGCGTCGCATCTCACAAATTCTGGCGGCAGAACATTCAAAGATGAGTGGCCCTGTGCTCAACGAATGCTCCCTCCGTATGCCTCAAGTCTACGATGACACAGTCTCCACCCATATGGCCATTCATCCTCATGTCCTTCGATTCTTGGAACCATGGATATCGAGCATCCATCTCGTGCACCAAAATGATGCGGAGATTGCATGGGATGGTCAAAGAGCGCTGTACAACTTGCTCTCTCTCACCATCCGCTACGGGGATCTATACCCGGACCAGATTCAAGCCATATGGGCAAAACTGGTGTCTCAATCATCCTCCCGCAACGACACACTCACGGTCAAGTTCTTGATCGAGCAAGCATCGAAACGAGGCAACCCGACCTTTATCACCACTGCCTGTAGAGTCATCGCATGTCTGTCGCGAACAGACACCGGAAGGCTCATGTTCAAGGAGCTTTGCAATCTCATCGAACCTGAGAGTATGCTCCCTATGCAGGAAAGAAATCCATCTCTCCCGAATTTACACGATGCCGGATTCATTGCAGATTTGGAGCCAATCCTCACTCCAGCTAGCGAAGCCCAGGATAGGCAGGCTTTGGGAACGGGGCAACTCGCACTCCTTTTCATGGGAGATATTGCCCTCGAGCGCGCGTGGGAGATCGGGCGTCAGCTGCCCGTGCTGCTCCACACAATCTTTGTACACCTCGACCACCAATCTCCGTATGTACAAGTACAGGCCAAGAATCTGCTCTTCCAGACACTTCGGTCCCTCACCCCGGGATTCGAAGACTCCCCGGTCACGTCGCTGTTGCCTAGTCGGCCAGAAGTCAAGGCGACGATTGATGCGCTGGTGCGCGACAGTAAATCGATATTTTGGTAAGTTTTTGGTCCCCTGAGTCTTGTGTTTATTGAAATCTGTACAGGAAGCCGGACGACGAAGCTGAACAAGTTGAGCCCAAGATGCAACGTTTATGCAAGGATGTTCTTAGTCTTCTGGTTCCATTATATCCGCAACTCCGCCAAGAATGGGGCGAACTGGCGTTGGACTGGGGAACGACCTGCCCTATTCGCTCCATTGCATTCCGGTCGTTGCAACTCTTCCGAGTCCTGATGCCACAGATCAACATGCTTCAGCTCGCAACGATGATAGGGAGAATCACGAACACAGTATCAGAGCCGGACAAGAACATACAAGCGTTCACCCGCGAGATGTTTACCACCTTTGCGGCCCTCGCCAAGTCGGAGATAGACCCTGCATTACTTCCCCCGTTATTCTGGTGTGCATGCGCCTGCTTGTCAACTTCAACTGAGTTGGAGTTCCTGAGCGTCCTCAATCTGGTCGACGTCCTCCTCCAACGACTCGACTTGAACGATGCTGAAACGGTGGAGAGCCTAAAGGCACATCGTCCTCTAAGATGGACCGGGCCCGACCCGAACCTACAATCCATGGTGGTCGTTGGTCTCAGGTCGTCCGTGACCTATGAAGCCAGCTACAATCTGTTGGCGAAGCTCGCCCGGATCAACGACGCTTGGGTTCTCGACAGCTCTCCAGACCGAGTTAGGGAGCTGTTTACTATCATTTTACCGTGCTGCCTGCAGGTGAAAGATGGCGAAGAACTACAAGTTGACACTATCGGATTCGCCAATGACATTGCACGCCTTGCGGAGCGCGTCAATTGTACCGGTATTGCGCGATTGACCAAGTCGTTTGCAAAGGGCATCATCCGGACCAGAGAAGACCTTCTTAGACAAGGGGTTGCTTGCCTTAGGGATGACTTTGGAACGCAGGCAGTCAGCCTTTTGCTGGGCCTGATCTGCAACCCAGAACGGTGGCTAAAAGTCAAGTCGATGGAGATCTTGAAGGTTCTTTTTCAGCAACCACAATCTCGAATTCCTTTGGCCCGTTCGGAACTCCTCAACCCTCTGCTCCGACTGCTCAACACTGACCTGGCACCGCAAGCCCTGGAAGTGCTCGACGAACCCTTGGCGATCGCAGGTGGCCCATCACCAGCGCACGCGTTCAGGATGAGCATGGCGGGGATGGAGGTGACCCAGGAAGATGCGGAATCGACAATCGACCTTACTGCATCCAGTTCTGGTTGGTCGGTTCCACAAAGCGAAGAGAGGGCCCAAATGTGCAGAGCAAACACCCTCGCCGTCTATGAGACATGCAAGCCCAACAATCGACCTTCTATCATCAACTTTGAGCCAGAAGCTCGATCTCGCTTGGCTGCAACAAACGCATTCTTCCCCTTGGACGATTCGGCATCACTCGGTGATCTGGTCAGCACACTCAACGAGCTCAACGACTTCTTCCAGAAGGATAGTGTCGAACCAACTCAGCTTAGTCGTTCTCGGAGCCTTGGCTCTCGAGCGGCGTACAATCGTGCCACAGAGATCCTCTCTCGGTCATTTGGCCGAGTTGCAGGGACTCAAGCAGTTTCTGCAGACGAACGTGAAGCGGGTACCGTGGAGACCAGTGGAAATACAATGGCACCAGGAGATCAGGAGGTTCCACAAACTCCATTCTTTACCGACCTCTTTTCGGTGCCTGCGCCTCAGAGCACCCCTCGTCCCAACGAGCACATGTTCAACTTGAATCAAAACTTTCTCCGTGGTCCTGATGAAAGCGACGAGGGCGCAGAACAGAACCACGGTTATACCTCTTCTCATAACGGACATGCGGCCGAGCGTCGTGGCGGCTTTCGGAATGTCAGCAATGGCTCCAACTTTAAAGAGTTGGAATCAGGTTCCGACACCGATGAAGATCTCTATGCTCTCGATCGTGTACCAGTTCGCCCGCGAACACTCCGCAAATCCACAAAGTCGTCCTATGGCCGATAGACAATCTATCATTAATGCTATATCCAACCTGAAATATCTCATTCTGTATACCACAAAGGAGTCGTATGTCTAGTTGATATGATAACATTTCACACTACATATGACAAACATGTCCTGCGAAGGGATGATCAAGCTATTAGACAAATTGCAGCCAAAACCCGATCGTGCTGTACAGAGTGTGGCATCAAGAAGTCGGATAGAGTGTAAGATGGATAGTGGTCGTCAGCGAGAGGGATCACAGAGGCTACAAGGGGTTACTCTCGGATGTCGACAGGATAGGGTGACGAGAAGACTTTGAAAGCGCGAAAGGCAGGAAATTAAATAAAAAAAATCACGCATGCTTGATCAAAGGTTGAGTTGAGGGATGCCAACAAGGTGAGTCGGCAGATGCCCAAATGCTGACCCCTGTCTTTAGTAAGGGTAAGCACCTCCACGTTGCGTCTGATAGGGATCAGAGGCTGAACCGAGAGCGCTGTTAAAGACACTCTGTACGGATCCATTGTAGGCACCCAGGTTCTGGTAAGCACCCGCGCCTTGTCCCCCAGGGAGCCGGCTGGAGACCCGTAGCTGTCGAGACCCACCGGACCACCGGGGCTGCTATACAAAGCAGGCGACTGGTGAGTAGAGTGGGAGACAAGGGGAGAGCCTTGTTGTCCAGCGAGTAGTCCCGGTGACAGGCCATAGACGGCAGGAGAACGTTGATAGTCAGAGACGAGTGGCGAACCATGAGAGAGTCGCGAGGTTCCCTGCGCACCGAGACCATTGTTCAGCGCCAGGTTAACAAGAGCAGCATGAGCTTGGTGATAGTTGGCATTGTAGTGCGCAACATTGTTGACATCCATTTGTTCGCGCTGAAGTTTGCTCTGGATTCGCTTCCCATAGGGAGTATTGCGGATGAGTGGCAGGATGGGGCGGATGCCTTCAACAAGCTATCGAACTGTTAGAAAAATGCTGGATCCACTAGGTAAGCACGTACCAGCATCCTTTGACCAGGCTCTGCATAGTCAAGCGCAGTCTATAGGCTACTGAGCAATGGGTCGCTATTGACGACCATATAATCTCACCTGTACACAATAGTTGCCGAAAGAGTCGCGCAGAAGCTTCTCGAGACGGCTACGATTAAGTAATTCTTCAATAAGTAATTTGCGGGTGTTGTGTTCGGCGACCCGGATGCACTTTTCGATGACGTTCGAGCTGAACTTTTGTACAGATAACGCACAGACGTTGCCAAAGAATTGGCGAATCACGGCGTCACTGAACCTGTTGTCGTTGAGATCCAAAATATATTGCACCACCTGAAGACGATGAGCACGCGGGTATCCTGCGCTTCAATACGAACGTACATAGTTGCCATATGGATCCTGGACGAGTGTCAAGGCGTGATACGTAATCTCCGTGACGAGTTGGAGGCGCTGCGTCTCGGATGCGTGGTCAATGCACCTCTGCAAGACACAGCACCCGTGACGGTGAGTAGCAACCTCGACGCAGTGAGTAGCCACTGCATTATAGATAAATTGGTTATCTTCAGGGACGAGCCTATTGAGGCACTTCTGGATGACGTGGTTACCGTTCAAGTCCTTGATGAGGGTGACCACATGCAAGGATAAGGCCCTGATAATGGCGACAATCTGGTCGTTGTATTGAGGATCAGCCTACGAGTTGGGTGTCGAAAGGTAGTGCAACGAAAGAAGGCGGTGAGTCGCTTGATTTTACGAACGGAGAAGAGCAAGGTGCAACTCGCCGACAAAAAGTTGCCAGGCGCTTGTTGCGAGTGCCGGTGAAATTGAAAAACATGCTTACCTGACGTTGCGTAGAAAGGAAATCAATCATTTTCTGCACCGCCCTCGTGCCATGCATATTGAGGGAAATAGTAACCAGATCGCCCGCCACGGACTCGCAGATAAGGTTGCGCTGTTCATCCGTAGAGTATTCAAGCAGCTTCTGGCAGAGATAGTTTCCGAAGGGGTCTAAGCCGACAGGTGAGTGTACGAAAAGGCGATGTCTGAAATACTTACCAGTCATCAACTCTGCAAAGTGCTTAAATGTTTCGCGGAAGATGATATCCCGATGCTCGGGGACGCCCTCCTCGAGTTTCTTTTGCAGGAAACGGCATCCGTGCTGATCCTTGCACATGAGAGGGATTTCCCCAATCAAGTCCTCGAGGCGACTGCTTGCGTAGCGATTGACTAGGCAAAACGTATGTTAAATCTATAGCCGAGAAGGGTAAGATAGCCGACTCACACTCGCGGTCCATGTCGCCTCGCTTGTGCTTGACCCCATGGAAGCCATTCATTTTCGTGTCGGCTCCCATGCCTCGGCCAGATCCCATCATGCCATATCTGCCAGCGTTTTGCCCATAACCACCACGGGAGTTGTTCTCGTAGCCATTGCCATATCCGCTTTGATAGCGTGGATCACCATTGAGCGACATGGAGTATCCATTGTCGATGAACTAGAAGACGAGTGAGCGATGTCACATACTTAGTCAGGTTTACTTACGCGGTCATCAATGGATTGTAAGCCGTAGCCGCCGGTTGCCTCAAAGTTTCCACTGTATCGTTGATTGAAGTTGGAGGCAGCCATCCCGTTGAAGCCGATGGGACTCTGGTCCTGTCCCATGGGAAGGGCTGGCGTCCCTGACTTGGAGCCAATGCCTTGGCTACCGCTATTGGAAGAGACGAGCGGAGCCGTGTTCAACGGAGTTACGGGCACAGACCTGCCGCCAATGACGCCTTCACTCCCGAACGCCCTCGGGGAGGAGCGACGGGAAGGAACGGGCGAATGGGACTGTCCTATGGGTGCTGGAGAAGCTGAGGTCAGCTGCCCTCCAAGCTCAAGTGGTGCATTGAGTGTAACCGCGGCTTGACTATATCCACGGCTGAGGCGGTTTGCATTCTCGGGGCGTGACGAGAATGAAGGCCATTCAGAGGACTTTTGAGCCTCCATATGACGACTCATGTACGTAGGACGAGGAGGAGTTTGAGCCAACGGAGCCAGATCTAACGCCGCAGAGGAAGCGGATAACTGACGGGATCGTCAATGTCACTACGCGTTTGACGTTTGTATTACGAACCTTGGAATAGGGGTCGTTCCTTGCGGCCTCGTCAGAATTCGGCAGGAATTTAATGGTTTCTGGAAGAGCATTTAGTTGCGAAACGGGGACAACCAAACGGAACTGACGGTTGATATCCTTCTCTAGCTCGTCGTCAAGCATAAGGCCGGCATTGTAATTCCCAGGGTACTCGTGGTCATCAAAGCGAGCAGTGGTCTTTGTCTGGCGGAGAATGGGTTTAGAGATTGCCGTATTGACATCATTAATGCCCAGGCCTTGCATGTTTTGCACAAGGATGTCTTCTCCATCACGGCTGTCGGAGGAGCCTCGGCGACTGGCGGGCATGGATTTGGCACCGACGTAGCCTTGAGCGGCATGGAGGGGAGCGGCACGCTCAGCGTCTGCAAAGTTGACCGAATTGCGCTTGTCGCTAACTGCACCATGATTCCCAGAGGCAAAAGTGACACCGTTGACGTTGCCAGCTCGATAGATCGGGCCAAGGTGGGCAGTGTGTACGTCGAGCGCCGCGTTGTTCTCTGACACGTCGCCTCCGAGCACGTTGGACAATCTCGGAGGGGTTGTTGGTGCAGAGACGGCAATATGACGCAGATCACCGGGTATGTTCAGCAGCTCGCTTTCTTCCTTGGCATGCTGCTGCTCCAAGAGGCGCATTTGCTCCTCGAATTTGTGACGGTGAATTTGACGAAGGCGCTCGTGTTCGAGACGTTTCTGCTGCACGAGATGCTGGAGGAGGTGTGAGCATTTTAGCACAAGAAAGCATGATCGAAAAACACACCGCTGCGATGTCGGTCCCCGTGCGAGAAGACTGTCGAGCGCATTAAATCACAGACAAAATCCACGGGTAGAGACGTACAGAGTCTGCGAGATCAAGAAATGCGGGCGGAGTGCTGCGCTCTTCAGCAGAGTTGGGTTCAATTGGATTATTTTCGTGGACTGGCGCCATGGAGGTGTATACGAAAGTCGATGGGCCTTTTAAATGATCAAAATACGTTGAAAATCGTGGATGGATGCTCGAAAGTCGGGTTTCTAATGCACACGGATGATCCTAGACGACGTGTAATCAGCCTCGGAACGATCCAGAGCGTCGAGTATGCCATTTTTCAACAGAAAAGATGCTGACCTTCAAGTTCGAGAACCGTTGGGTCGTTCAAACGACTGATGATACAATGCGATGGTCTAGACGGAGACAGGACAATCGTCCAACGTTAGCAAATAGTTTCGACAATGTTTTCGAGCAGCAGAAAGGAGCACAGGAGCAGGACAGAGCTCGAGAAAGAAACGCACGATGAAGACCGAATGTGGTGAGTGGGCAAGCCTTGCAGCGAGGTTCCCGGCTTCCTTCTAAACGGCTACTGAATTGGACAAACAAATCGTACAGAAAAAAAAAATTGCGAGAAATCACTAGAATATTACTACTCATTCAAACTTCTGGTGCAGGGCGGGCAGCCACCGCGCGACCATTCTATGGGCGTCCCACGGAACGCGGAACGGAGAATAAGACGGGTTTCTTGCTACTCTGCAGGCGTTGAGCGTTGCCCCCCGAAGTCTACGGTAAGGCCTCGCCGTCCAACCGAACTTGTGCAAAGCACAACCCACCCGCGTCGACTAAAAGCCAGACTCCTTGCCGGAAGTAGACATCGTCTGATGGAACTAGCAGCAGACGGCTGGCTGTTAATCTTCTCCCCGAATCCCTCCGCGACACCAAACCCCGCCGTTTGGAGACCTGGGCGAGGCGCGTGGTGAGGCTGCGAGGACAGGGAGAAATCAGCCGATTCGACCAGGTCATCCAAGGCCCACCTGCACAACGCGAGGCAGAGCCCGCCCCCATTGTGTGCAGCTGTGGACACGGTTTGCCTTTTCCAGTGTATAATCGAGCCAGTTCCGGACAGCGCGTCGACATCGAGATTAAGTGTCCGGGAATTTTAACCCTCATTCGTTTAATGTCGGCGCGAGCCAGTGATCTCGAGAAATTTGTGGAATGTGATTGTGCACCATTTGGTAATCCTGCCATTGAGTACACAAGATGCCCCGGCCAGGAGCGAGCCCAATACCTCACTTCTAGTTGATCTTCGATGCTAGCTTGTTCTGGCATAGCGTTGAATACGAACATTTGGATAGGGGCGCAAAGCCATGGCAGGCCTCAAACGCTTGGCCACTGGCACGGATCAGCCATGTCCTACCCCTTGTAGCGGAAGTTTCAGCACCAGCGGAGTAAGTCAAAAGGAAAAAAGGAGCTGACCGTAACTAGCAACAGATAAAGTTAAAGCCTGCTGCGGGTGTGCAATTATTCATGACTGTTTCGAAACGAAGGTCGCCAAACCCTGGCACCAGGAGAAGTACAATTCGAAAGCCGAAAAAGGCAGAGTCCACATAAATACCGGAACAGCCAGAGAAAGTCACGAGTGGATTGAAGGGCTTGAACTGTGCCTGAGGTCATTTCGAGCTCCAAACTTGCGAGATTATCAAGGACTCACTCTGTTAAATTTGTACGATATCTCATGTACACAGAAATGTAATGAGACGACCCACAACAGCAACATTGACACTGTTGCCTATAAGGCGATACTTGGTCTTTCTAGACACGTGTTCCGGCCATAAAAATTTACGAGACGGAGTAGATAAATGAAAGAGACGGAGGAGCTCCTCCGGAGAGAAATAGCGGAGCTGAAGCTGATGCAACGTCTGAACTGCATCCGCTTCCCCTTTCTCTTGCTGTGAAAAATACACATCAAATACACTTGATGTCTGTGAATATTCAAACACGATTCAATGGACCCACGGGACTGGAACCCACCTCCAAGGCGTCATTCAACTGGAGTATCGATCCAGAACCCTCGACCAAATGGGAATATCCTTGAAAATTGGTCAATTAGCACTTTCACAGAAAATTTCTAAATCACCTCGAGTGAAGCAGCACGAATTCGTCGACGAGGGATAGACAATGTCAAACAACCTTCCCCAGCGAGCCAAGACCCTGTCGCTGATCGCAGTATGTGGATCAATATTCTTGTCCAGATAGTCCGAGATTGTGCTTGGGATGTAGTGTGTGTTATCGCCTGGGAGGCATCGCAGAATGCCTAGGTCGGGCGAGACTGTAAATGGGATGAGGCGAGCCATCAGGTAGTACCGGAGTCGAGAATTGGGGATTCCATATTGCCTTGGTGTGAGTAAGAACTCTGTCGTATGGTAACCCAACTCATGGAGGAGTCGGTTTATAGATGTTCGGGTAGTTGATGTCTAGCAGGCAATCAAATATTCTCATGTTTAAAAAATGTGTGCGAGGGTTGTTACATACCTCGAATCCAGCGACGTTCTCGACAAGAATATACGTAGGATGGGTCCCCCTTTCCACTAACGCAGGTAGAACATCCTGCATGAGATGTAGAAAGCTCTTCGCCCGGGGATCTGCGTCCTGTTTCTGCAGACCAAGTACAGTGTATGGCTGGCAGGCGGGTGATGCCAGCCACAGGTCTGCCTGCAATGGTTCCAAATCCTCGACGGCAAGGGTGCCAATATCCCTCTACGATCGTATCCAGTCAAATCATGCCGTCCTCAAGCAAAATGACTTGCTCTGTGCACAATGTCTTTGCCGTGATTCAGTGTATAAACAGCCGCAGCATTTGGATCCCACTCGAACGCGGCACAGACTTTTCCTAGACCAGTCTCTTCCAAAGCGCAGTGCAATCCTCCTGGTACTTTTGGTCAACTAATGCTTTTATCTGATATTATACTCGCCGATCCCGCTGTAAAATTCGATGGCTCGGAGCATTCTTTATCCGAAAACCCTTTGAACGAGTTATTATTTCACATCCTTATCCTAATGGGGACTGTACTGAGATGATCCGGTTGGCAATGTTGACGAAGCGATGGCCAAAAGTGGAAGACGCGCCTCAGACCCTGCTTTGACGAATCCTCGTGACAAGTATCCAACATGGCGCAAGTTACGCCGCCATTGAAGACGAGAAAGCTCTCTATCTCGTGAGCCAGCAGTTGCTGATAGACCGTGGCGGCGACTTTGATGTTGAATGTCTTCCAGCGGCAGTCACCAGCGCCCAGACGACGACATGGACGAGGATCCTGCTCTTCAGACACCGTCAGTAATCATCAGTCTTCTGGTGTTTATCTGGGCTCATAAATGTCTAGGGTACCCCGTCGTAATGAGTCGCAATTGTCGTCAAGGTAAATGCCTAGGCATCTGCGCATCCTTTTTCCTGCTGCTGACAATGCATTCAGTGATTCTGGAAAGCCAGACGGGTGATTACACAGTCATTCGCATATCTTTTGGTTTACTGACAATACTTATAGGCATACGGTATTCACTAGGAAAAAGTAGGTATACTACTTATTGTTTGATTATTCTAATTCATTGGAAAGCATATCCGAGATCGTTCCCGCCACGCCCGACTCGACTCTGGATTCCATTGACGGCTCACAACTGCGAACACCGTTTAACAATTTGTGCGCGCTATACGATATATTTTTACTATGTAATGACTCGACAAAACAGTGTTTCGTGGGCTGGGTCGTCCCCAGATATTGCAGGCACACCAACTCCGATGGGTCCGTTATCGAATCGCTCTCAGCTGGAGTTCCCTGTCGGGAAAGGAATTCGACTCACACCCCATATGCCAACTAGTCTCTCAGCTCTCGCCGGACTTCGCTATGGTTCGGAGAGCCCTCTCGGGACGAAGGCACGGAAGAGAATACAAGTGTCCACATCTCCGAAGTCTCCAACCGAGGTGGAGATGCCGGTCTTGGTACCAGAATTGACTATGAAATCATCATCATCGCCGCCAGCCGATGATGGTGAACCTCAGGAGACTGCTATGCAAGAAGTCGTTGATACAATTTCCCCGACAGAAGACCACACTACCTCACCCATGGCCTCACCTCTCGAAGTTGATTCTACGATTCAGTCCCCTCATTCTTCAACCGACGCGGTGATAAAGAAATACCGTTCGGATGCGTTACAACGATGGCTGGATGAGCCCATATCCCGGCATCCACGCATACTTCAGCAGTCTCCTGGTCGTAAGGATAAGATATTGAAGCGACTTCGGGCTTTTCAAGTACAAAGCAGTCGTGGCACGCCCCTTAAGCCGCACAACCGGGAACACCTGGGTCGCGTCTTACAACCAGAAAGCCTAGACAGTCTTGATCAAGTATATGCGATTCCAGACTGGCCAGAGGATGATCAGATCCCTTCAATCATCCTGGCTGAGGAGATGAGGCGACGACAAGCAGATTTGCGGCTCGTCGAACAGTATTTGGAGGAGTCGACAGACTCCGAGGAAGGAGAGGAGGAGCTGTTATCCACCGAAGATCCTGCCAATGCTGTTGTCGCATTGCGAGCCAAAAAGTCTTCGCGGGACTGGCAACAGAGGCGAGTAGCGCAAGCTCAGAGTTCTCGAGCCGCTACTCCAAAGACCAAACCGTCGACTCGAAAGTCGCGACAAAAGACTTCTTCAGATGACACTCGCAAGGAAACTACCGTCGAACCGCAGCAGGAGATGGAGGTAGACAAGACAGACGATGCAGACAGTGCGGACAACGACGAGGTGGCATGCATCTGTAAAGGCGAAGACACCGGCAGTCCGATGGTCCAATGCGATAATTGCCATACATGGCATCACGTCGAGTGTGTGACGAAACCTGGTGATGAACTACCTGACAAGTGGTTCTGCTGGAAATGCCCAATGAGTGCCGCTCCAGAACGTGCCTCGAATATGCAAGAACACACCCCAACATTGGTCCCCACTTCCAATGACTATACTGCAGAGTCGCGGTTAAGTGCAGCCGCCAACATCACTGTCTACCAAGGCAGTAGTACACCACAGGACTCGCCAGGTCTCCTCTCGTCCGACGCAAAGAAGAAACCCTCTTTTGATGGATTCCGCACCCCGCCGTCATCAGGTCGATCTCGTCATCTTTATGGCTTCTGGGGCGATGGCCTCGGCGACTTCATGAGACACGACGACGACCCAATGACAGCAATTGCTGCGACGCCGTTCGGCTTGCCATTCTTCCCATCCCCTTATCTCCCTTTTGCAGATATGGGACCTCGCGGCAGTCCATACCGAAGCCCTGGAAAATATGCATCCCCGGCACAACCAACCCCGCCTCCGCCAAAGAAGGAAAAACCGTGGACAAATTATACGGGAACGTATGTCGCTCCCAATAGCAATACGAATACATTCAACCCATTCACTGCTCCAACGGCTAATATCACCACGGACCCGCTTTTCATCCACTACGAGCATGACGCCCCAAAGCAGACGGCGCACCATAACAGCAAGTCTGCAAGGCCGAAGCGAAAGGCGAAGGGAGATAAGGAGATGAGCAAGGGCGAATCATCGACGAATGGCGACGATATCTCCGCGCCTGTCTCTGCTCAATCTGAACACCCTTCTAGTGGACCGTTGGCACCAGACACCGCCACAAGCGAAGAGGAGATTGTGCCGATACAGAAGGATGGGCTTGTGAGCGACAGTATAGACGCAGCTACATAGGACCCCGATATGTTACTGACCCGGGCTTGTTGCGAAAAGACTTTGTACTTTTGCTACACCGAGTGATAATTTATATGCTGGACTCTAATCCTCTGCGCGGTACACTACATCCGACGTTGTCTACTACTATTGGCTGCGCCACTCAGACGATATTCGCGAAGGTCCTTTGTGAGGTCCTTGTATTTCGTACTCCAAGCAGGTAGAGGAATGACGATGATGCTGCAGTTATCGTCGGTTCCCATCTCCTCTGCAAAATCGATAACCTCTTTTGCGCTTGCCTCGGGGCCTATATGTGCTTTGCTACGGACGAGATCAGATATCTCGCCATCAGAGAGAACTCCGGATATTCCGTCTGACACTAGAACCATAGACGACAAGGTATGGCCTTGCGCGACATGAGTGTGAACCTCTGGTTCTGGGGTTACACCAAACTGTCTGAACCGTATGTCACCAAGACTGAGGCGCTATCAGTGGCTGTATATATCAGAAAAGGGGGGAGCAATTCACCAGCGTGTGTTCGCAAGCGAGCCCATGAAGCGTAGTTCATTGAAGGAGTCCATGACCATAGCGGCGCCCCATCTGCGCAGACGCGAGGTCTCTCCACGCTCGTCGGCGTGGTGATTTGCTGTCATCGGAATGGTGCGACCGTCTGACCTGCATAAGATACCACGAGTGTCTCTGTGAATTGGGTTCAAAATGATCCCGACTCAAGGGAATTATACATACCCGCAATGTGCTACAGTAACGGAAAGCCAGTCCGCAGAGTAGAATGGAGATTCTGGCATATCCAACGAGTGAATAATTGCCACGGACGCGGTCGCACCACAGTCTGCCGATTCAGGAATAGTTTTGGCGATGTCGAGGTCGATCTATGAGTACTCAGTGACCCATCTCGGAACAGACGAAACACACGCACCCTCAAAAAAGCCAAGGTCGCGTAGGCCTCCAAAGTGAGGTTCATCTCTGTATGTTCGTCGAGGTCCCATCCTGTCTGAGCCCAGGGCTCCAATGCACCACCTTTAAACCGCCGAAAGTATCCCCCATATTCCTTTATGGCGCTCACGATATCTGGTACTGTTCGGGTGTCGACATTCTCAAACACCTTGTGCATATTTTCTTGCAAGTAATGTGAGACGGCAGTTCCTCCATGCCCTATTAATAGACATAAGTCAAGGCATAGGAATGCTTTGGATATATGTACCGTCATAAATGCCAGCAAACAAGACCTTTGACGGCAGTTGCCACGCAATAAGCAAGTGCTCTTATTCTACTCGGATATTTCGGGTTACTCAACTTGGTATGCGAATTGATCGGTCGCAGGCGGATCCCATGCATGCGCGCCGTTTTCTCTTTCTGCTGTACGACGTAGAATAGATGGATTGAGTTTAATTGCAGATACTGTGTAAGCATCTTCCTGGTATCTTGAATCATAAGCGAGCTGGTCGAAGCGACCACGACGCAGCGACAATGAACTTACTCGCGGCTCCCACGCGACGACGCGGTCCCGATAACTTTTGGAGAGTCGACTGGTATCCGTATCGCTCCCTTTCCATTCGGCATTGGAACGCGTAGATGGTCGCTGAACGAGCGACGAGGGCTACCCAATGGACCAGCTCTCCAAGACCCTCGGAATTGTCGAGAAAGCGTGTTCTTAAGTCTGAACATTGGTTCCAATTATTGCATCGCAAGCGAGTCACAGGTTACGTGATAAAGCTCAAGGAGGGTCAGGTCGAAGTGGCGTACTCGCATAAATATCAGTCACGTAAAGGGATCCATAACTACAGCGATCATTCTTGTGAAAGGCGTCTTTCAATCCTTCATTCGGTGTTTGTAGGTACAACCGTGGGCTCGCTGGTCGAGTTGGACGTCGACGACTCCACGGTTGTAGTAGATGCACCAGTTTCTGTACTCGTAGTGCCCGACACTTGGCATTCTTTGGGAACGACGAACGAATCGACAAAAGTGGACGTCGCGCCTACCCCCATTCCGCGAGATGCAAAGGCCTTCCAAATGGAGCAAACATGAGCACCCTTATACCTGTTTTGATCGGCTAGGTTGTATAAGTCATGCTGTCAATGCTTCTGAATCACAACGCTCACCTTGAATCCACGCGTCGCGAGCTTGCAGGACTGGAGAGCTATGAGAAGACATGCTAATAGAGAGAAGCCAAACTTACAGGTAGGGTTGCAGGGTTGGAGCAAAAGACCTAGGCAAGGGTTAGACCATGCGGCTGGCTTCCTTGACGTATACATACCGTCCATGAAATTTCTCAGGAAGACAACATTGCCGGCGTTTGAATCCGCATTGGTGAATGCATCTGCGGCCCAACCGCTAAAAAGGCATGGTGAGATCAGAATGGTTATGCGAATAGAAGTAGCGTACAAGTTGTTGACCACTGAAGGGCAAGTCAGCAGTTGCATAATGATCATAACACTGACTTACATTCTGCATAGACGTTGTGGAGTATCTAGAAATCATTCAGTACTCGAACTTTGACCTTGTAGGTGACTAACATTGGCCCAGACTTCCCCAATGCGCTAGGAGAGCGTTAGCCAATGATACTGTATGAGTTAGACCATCTTACGTGGACCTTGCTCAATTGGGCAATGTTGCTATATATCTGCGTTCGTGTCGTGAGCACGAGGATCTGCACGCCGTGCGGCACGTACCAGAGGATTTGTGGTCCTCGAAGAATGTCAATTCGAATTTCTTTCTGATAAACTGTACTCACGAGTTAGTTGAGTAAGGATGGGTGCGAAGTCCGAAAGTCTTGTTGGAAGCCCATCTAGCAGGGGGTAAGAGCCTGGCAGACGAAATGGAACAAGCATACGGCGAAAGCACGAAATCTGGTGTGCTTGCATCGGTGTGTACGAGCCAATCAGCAAATGCATCACTCCAGCCCTCTCCCATCCCTATTGCGACTCGTTAGAATATTCAGGCAACGCAATCAGAACGTACCGCCGCTCTCCGTAGTCTGCAGACATCTACCTGTACCACCCTATTCTGCGTGAATAAAAATTGTATTAAACCTCAATCGACTTACTCCGGTCATCCGGTTTGTAGTTCCGTGAGTTTGCTCGTGGGCGATAATCTAGGTGAAGTCAGTACCCTTCTATAGTAAATTGAGCAATAATTACATCGTTGGAAAGGTCACCATCTCGTTTTGGGGTGCTTTGCGTCCACACATACATTCCTAAGCAGAATTAGCGGGCCTTCTAATTTAAAAAGCAGATCAATGTACTCATGCGTCCGTTTCTCCCGTCTAAGAGATGTCAGAAATGAAGATAAAATAACATGGACGTACCAGCTGGAGTGGCAAAGTTGGCATTATTTGTTCCCGAGCCATCCTATGGGTAGGTATAAGGTCGAGATGTTCAACGATGAGTGGCCACATACCTGAGTAGAGATCAGGATGCGGTCATTTCCTTGGCCTCCCTTGTCAAAATTGTCATCTTGGAAGTTGAATGTCTTCTCGGTGAAACCATAGCGATAATTAATCTGCAGGCAACGATGGGAATCACGTCACGATACCCGAATATCACTCACATCGTGGATAGTGTTCGAGATAAAGAACGTGTTGACAGCTGCAGCCTTGACGTTAATTTGTGCCGTGGGATCGAGTGTCAAGTCGTAAGGATAGTCAAAGACCCGTCCGTCAGCACTCTGCTGGGTAGTCTGGCTCAGATCCCCCTTGTAGGTGATGACGTTGTTTCCTGCTTTCTTTCAGCGTGATTGTGAGATGGCCATTGAACACTTACCCGATGTATCAGTGCTCGCGGTCCCATTCAGGGTATGCCATCCATTCGGCGAAGAGAAGGCATCCGCTGGATTTTCAAAGAGCTTGTACCCCTTGGTGATGTCGTTGACCCTCGGGTCAACTGCACGATATGAATCACCAGCAACGAAATCGTTGGTACCGAGCACGGTACCATCGAGCGCGTTGACGAATGCCTCATACCAGTGATCGCCATCGGCTGTGAGAACTTCGACGACGTAGCTGAGGGCCAAGTTGCCAGAGGGTTGGACGTAATACTCCAAGCTTGGGGGCCATCCGTTATGCTTGCCTTGGAGTGACTGTTCAGCAGACGTAATAGCCGCCTCTTTGGAGATAGAAGGCGTTGGGGGTGCGATTTGAGCAGGGGCAAGTGAGCTCCCACCGAAGTTGGCTCCAAATGCAACGACATTGTCTGCCTTGTTGAACGCGACATTGACGACAGCATTACTGACGGGTATGCCATTCACGAGTTGCTGGGCCCAAACGTGTCCTCCAGCGTCTGTAGAGGCCGAGGAACGAATCCTAAACCCGTCGGCGCTAACGTTGAGCTCCTCTTTGATAAACGATGCCGCATTCTCTTCGAGGGTTCCACTCTCACCCCGTTTCTTCAGTGGCGAAGCGACGCCGGGCCCAAAGGTCCTGTAGGTCGTCGCAGGGTGATAGGATTCGAGGGTTTTGTCTGAGAGCTGTCGGACGCGATGGGTTGCATAGCGCGACGAGTGCTTCCACGGAGCAGCGGAGACACAAGCAATGAGCGTGGAGATGGAAGTGAGTGTGGTAATGAGCACCATAATGAGTGTGGGCTGAAAGAAGGGCAGAGTCGACGAGAGATCTCGGACAGTAGTGAGTAGTTAGTGCCAATAACACCCAGTGTTTTATAGTCGTTGGTCTGTACAGGCACTGGCAAGCACGGGATCCGGCATGTGGGTGGCTGAGAATGCGGACGCGTATGACCCGCGAGGTCTGGCAGTTTGCGCAATTCTTCGCATATTTGGCGAGGATCACTCAACAAGAAGATTTCATCCAGGCTGATGTCCGAGATGTGGGTTCTTGCGTGAACCAAGGGCCAAAGAAGCTACTTCGAAGAAGATGACCATATGAGATGGTGTAAACTCGTCACTGTAGGCGATAAGAAGCCGTAGATTATACCAAGAAGAAGACTGGCACTCACATGGTTGAGGAACAGAGCCGCACTGCGCAATATTGGAAGCGGTGATCTCTATCAGCCACGACGAGCACGTCCACTGTCCATACTCTCCAGTATCTATGGCAATCCCATACTATACCTTTCAACTCGCGACCTATTGTCCGTGCTGGCACATGGTCCAGGCAGGGTCAATGAGTCGACTGTTCTAACGGGCACCCATGAACACAGAAACGACAGTGTATTCAAAGATAGTATTGATCAAGGTCATATTTGAGAGTTGTTCCACATCGACCTGTGGCGCATAGTCACGTCCACCGAAGGAACGACTCCTCAAAGAGCGGTAGGGCCTGCAACGTCGGCATTCGCGGCAAAATCGCAAAATGGCCACCACCACGGACAGGAAGGAACTGAACTAGACATCGTAGTTGTTTGGCGTGTCGATGAGGGGGAGCTTCGGGTCGAGGAACTGGTCACTGTGCGCGTCTGTGATGCGGTAGAAACCGTAGTGGATCCACCCGAGCATTGAGATGGAACTGTGAAGCTATCGACATAGTTGGCGGCTCCAACGCCGAGACCACGAGACGCAAACGCCTTCCAGATGGAACAAACGTGAGCGCCATTGTAGAGATTCTGGTCAGCTACATAAAGTGTTAGTATAAATCGCTGGCATTCTGTGAACGTACCCTGGACCCAGGCATCACGAGCTTGAACCACTGTAGACTGTTAGGGGATTCAGCCAGGCTGATGGGTTCACTCACTCGTGGGGTTGCATGGTTGAAGGAGAAGGGCTGCGTAAAAGACACGAAGGAATACGACGTTGCCACTTCCAGATTCCGCATTAGTGAAGGCGTCGGCGGCCCATCCGCTGAGACAATTCAGAGGTTTGTGATAAATCGCTTATTGAGACTCACAAGCTACCAACAACTGTGAAATGTGTCAATGAGCTGTAAGAACGAGGAAATAAGGCCAACGTACGTTCTGCGTATACGTTGTGAAGCATGTTTGCCCAGATCTCACCGATATCGTGCACCTCTGATTTGGTTTTCGTCGTCGAGTATTTCTACACCAATTTCGTTATTCAATGTCATAGACTCGACCATGGACGTACGTAGGGGTTGGTAGAGCTTCAAAACAGGGGTTAGCGAGAAAAATCCACAAAAGGGACCAACTCACGTGCTGGTGGAGTAAGGATAGGATCTGATACCCTTAGGGTTATTGTACACCCAAACCCCCAAAACCCAGTCGGGCACACTGCTGTCCTTGTGCTCGAGCCACTCGGCAAAAGCGTCGCTCCACCCCTCGCCCTATAGCGCATCAGAAGGTGGATATCAGAGAACGAGTATTCATACCATTCCACCTGCCTCGGTTGTTTGGAGGCAACGACCGGTGCCACCCTGTAAGAACATCAGAATCGACGACGATAGCAGAAGTAACCACCTACGCCGGTCATACGGTTAGTCGTGCCGTGAGTTTGCTCGTGTGCGATCACGTCGTTTGAAAGATCGCCATCACGGTTGGGAGTGGTGCGAGTCCAAATATACATTCTCATCTGACCGGAAGAGCCATCTACAAAAAACCGTCAGAAATGCAAGTTAAAAGGGAATAGATAAACGCACCGGCTGGGGTGGCGAAATTGGCATTGTTGGTTCCAGAGCTATCCTGTATGGCAGGAGGAGAACCATCAGAATCGGACAAGCAACCTTAGCAAAGACACAAACTTGAACAGAGATCTTGATACGGTCATTTCCGGAACCACCTTTGCCAAAGTTGTCGTTTTGGAAGTTGAAGGTTTTCTCGGTGAAACCATACCGATAGTTGATCTACAAGACCTGATCAGGACCAATGACCAAAAGACCTTAAATTACCAACATCGTGAATCTTGTTCGAGATGAAAAAGGCGTTGACACGGGCAGCGTCGACGTTTTGGCCAGATGTTGGGCCGACAGAGGTATCGTATTTGTAGTTGAAAACCTGCCCCGAAGAGCTCTGCTGTGTCGTGGCGGATGTAGATCCCTTGTAAGAAACGACGTTGTTGCCCGACGTATCCGTCGACGTGGTCGAGCCAACGGTGTGCCACCCATTGGGTGATGCACCAGTATCAGCCGGATCGACATAGTTGTTGTACCCCTTGGTCACATCCTGGACTTGAGGGTCGACAGCCCAGTAGGATGCATCCGCCACAAAGTCGTTGGTAGAGGCAATGTCTCCGTTGGACGCGTCGACAAAGGCTTCGAACCAATGGTTGCCATCCGCTGTCTGGACCTCTACGACCCAGGTGAGAACGAGGCTCCCGTCAGACTTGACGACGTATTCGAGCGTCGGGACCTTCTTGTTGGATTTGCCGTTGAGCTTCTTCTCCGCGGCGGTGATGGCTTGCTCCTTGGAGAGACGCGGCGTGGGCGACGCGACTTGCTGAGGAACAAGAGAGTTGCCGCCAAAGTTGGACGAAAAGCGACGACATTCTCTGCTTTGTTGAATCCAACACTTCCAACAGCATTCGCAACAGGGATTCCGTTGACGACTTGCTGAACCCATACATGTCCTCCAGACTCGGTAGAGGCGGATGAGCGAACACGGAAGCCGTCCTTGGAAATGTTGAGTTGTTCCTCGACGAATGAGATGGCATATCCTCAATGGACGCGACTTGGCCACGCTTCTTCAGAGGGGATTCGACACCAGCACCATAGGTGACAAAGGTGCTGGAAGGATGAAAGGATTCGACATGCAAGTCGCGCGTAACTTTGCGCACGCGATGGGTCGCATGCTTTACAGAGGGCTCGAAAGGAATGGCAGCTACACCGGCGATGGACGCAGCGGTGAGGGCGATCTTGCTGAAGATGACCATAATGAAGGAAGGAGTGTGCAGAGTGAGCGAGTGGCGTCCAAGAACAAGACGAGTGGGCCGGCGGTCAACGACAAGAGTCGGACACAAGAGCGGTGACGATTTACCGTTTTTGGGCAGCGTACTTATACCAGACGCCCTCTCTCAAACCATGAGGTTAGCATATAGCCGAGTAGGCACTGCGAGATCGTCTGATAAGGTCAGTATACCTATGTCCACTCCTCGACTTCTGCCAAGAAGGTGCGTCCATGCGTCGTGTACGATATCGAAGAGACTTCTTATAATTGAGTATTGGACGAGTTTTGAAGTACGTGTAAAGGAGAAGGAGTGCTGAACAGCGACCTGCTTCCATTCTTGACAGGCGTCCACACGGTGAGCGTTCCTGTCTCCTATGCCACCGATATCAGATCACTCAGGCCCCATAACCGAGGCGTTGTGCCCGGATTGCGACACGGCCGTTCGTAGCAAAGGGTGGGATGGGGTGTCCATGTGGAACAGGTATGGCGCACATGCCAATACCGGTAACTGTTCAACGAGCCCCATGTATCTTTTACTTCGCACGGATATGCCAACGGGAGCCCGCTATGCGCCTGACCTACGTTGGGCCTTTTCATGTAACACCGTTGTCGCATTGACCACAGGAATCACATCGCTGTTGATCATATCAATAGCTTATTTGGAATAAGGTCGCATTTGGCGCACCGGTCAAGGCAGACGGTGCCGATGAGGGGACGTGCCACGAGGTCGGCCCAGTTGCGCTGCCATCCGAGATCATACGCATTGACACCTGAGGGACACGCAATCACTTCACCTTCCGACAACGTATCGTCATCGGCGGCGGGTATCCAATACAGCTTGCCGCGCGGGCCTATTATCCTGTCAAAGGTCGTGTGGCCTTGTAGAACATCCCGGATCCCAAGGATCAAAAGTGCCTATAGGATACAGCAAGCGATAAGCATAGTGCGTGACACAAGGAAGATATCGTTGCCCACAAGGTGGGAACGAGAGAAGACGCACCATTGTGAAGAGCGCTAAGCAGAGAGCGATCTGGACTACAATAAATATCGTAAGAGATGGCTCGCTAATCATTGATCCAAGGGATTTGGTTGTATTCGGCCCCCTCTGAAGGCGCAAAAGGCGGAAACCAAAGACAACCCCGACAGGCAAACGACCGAGGGGGCCAGCAAAGAGGACCCATGAGTACCATTGATCCCACCAGAGAGCATGCGCTAGTTTGTCATGCTGTGATGCGTAATATGCCGTGACCGTATGTTGCCAGAGTATAGGGCCAACTGGAAGAACGAGAGCAAAGACGGTGAGACTCGAGAGGGCGAGAAAGGCGAGGAACATCTTTCGGCTCTCCATCGTCACGCAATTGCCTATCTAAACAGATAAGACAGACACGGGATTATATAACCTGTGAAATGTCTCACCCAGACGCAGTGATGATCCCAGCCCAAGTAGCAAGCTTGACACGTTGAGCAATGGTGAGCCCGCGGTGGCTTCCAACGACCGTTGCAAGGGTACTTGTTGCACCTTGCTAGAGTCCCTCGTTCGTCTATGCACTCGAAAATGATCGTCTTCCCCTGTAACTGTGTTGGAATCGTTGCTGGCGGCGTTGGAGGTCTATGTAAAGCAAGTTTGGCCCAAATAAGGAGCGTCGTGGATGTGAGACTCAGTGCCAAAGAGGTGTATAGGACTGTCGACAGCTAAGTGGCCAAGTTCAAGAATAGAACTTGGCCTCTCACCAGCTCCGACTATGCTCGCGTTCTGGATGTAAAACCATCCTATCCCGGCGTGTACGATGGCAAGAAATGCCGAATAACTGCCCAGTGGGTGGTGGTGAAATTTTAGATCAATTTCTGGGCAACGGCGAGCATGACGACGTACACGATAAAAGCGCCCAACGCTGGAGGAACGACAAACCCAAGAAGTCGTCCTATGTTGACCATCTAGCGGGATTTGATGTGAGCGTTCGGGCAGCGGAGGTGGAAAGCAGTGCTTGTGCCAGTTCAGAGAGCGCCACAGCTCCCAGCGGAAAGACTACAAAAGGGTTTTACAGGGGAGGAATTAGCCATATATTTTCAATCACAATGCCTTGGTTTCGCTCTCGTACGTCCGCTATAGTGCATCATGCCCTAGTTACGCCCGATCCTGACGCTATCATGCTCAGCGACGACCGTGGAGCCTACAACCAGACCTGTTCTCATGCCTGGCGGACAGAGGTTCCAGAGAGAGGCCTCTGAGATTATTCCCGGTCGATTATACCTCTCCGACGCTCTGACCGCACGCTGGGGAGACACGCTCGACAGATTGGGCGTCACACACATCGTATGCGTGCTCGAAGAGCCCATCAACTATCCTCGTACAAAACAAGACATCAAAATCCTTCATATCCCCATTTCGGACGACCCGACTTCGGATCTTCTCTCCTACTTCCAGAGTGTCACAGAGTTTATCACCGAGGCTCTGGGCACAATGGACATTGCCAATGTTAATAAGAGTGAAGTTAGAGAGCTCAACGAAGTTACCAACGTTTTGGAAGGCGGGGATACATCACAGCCGTTTCCCAAAACAGTCTCTCCCTCTTCCTCCCCCTCCAAATCCTTTTCGCCATTCAGAGCGCTCACTAGATCGCCCATACAACGGTCAGTGACACCGGAGAGTGACCAAGTGGCGGACAAGAAGAACAATGTCGTCCTCGTGCACTGTCTCGCGGGGATGAGCCGCAGCGCAACGTGTGTGATCGCATACTTGCTCGCCACGACGAGCATGAACACGGCCGAAGCGACGGCATACGTCAAGGCCCGTCGGTCAATCATCATGCCAAATTACGGCTTTGAAAAGCAGCTCCGAATATGGGAAGCCAAATACTTTGTCGCGACTCGCAAACGCCGTATATCGAGCAAGCAGATTGCCATGGGTCTCCAGGGACGCATCGAGCGGTATAAGATGGCTGCAAACGGGTCATCTACCCCCACCAACGACTAACTATGATGCCGTGTGTCCATTCACGCAGAATACATAGCGGGGTTGTAGTCTTTTTTTTTTTTTTACTTGGTTTCTTTCACGTATACCTTGTCTATTCTCTGTATCACTCTTTAGAGCCTATGTCATTTATATCCTTCAGACTTCAGTCATGGTGGTCTTTGCGCCCTTCTCCTTGTCGTCGACGCTACCTTCATGAGAATCAGCCTTGGAATCGTGTCTGTGGGATTCGTCAAAGATAGCATCTGGGATGATAGTCTCATGCGCAGGCCAGACTTTGGATGTGAGCGTGTACACCGTTGCGGCGAGCGTCAGCTAGAATATGCACGAAAATTAGCCCACAGTCAGCCTAGTCGACAAGCACTTACCCCGAGAAGCCATGCAATATTGTATGGGTAGATGCCGCCGTGAACATTGATCTTTGGGTTGATGGCGTTGATCAACCCAGGCAGGTTGGGCGGAACGCTGACCACAAGCGCGACAACAGCGCGCCAATTCTGTCGTTCAAGAGCATTCAGTCACAACTTGGACGAGCTTGCATTGAGAAACACTTGCCACTCCGCCGTAATACCGATACCTGCCCTTTGGTTTGTACAGAGCTGGAACGTCGATTCGACCACGTTTGACGAGATAATAATCGGCGAGCATGATCCCGGCAATAGGACCCAGAAACACGGTATAGCCCGCCATGAACTGCAAGAATCCAATGGCTGTGGCGAGAATCTCCCAGGGTAGGATGACCCAACCACCAATGAGTGCACAAAGCACCTGTCCACGACGAATATTGATCCATCGCGGACAGAGTGCCGTCAAATCATTGGCAGCCGAGATTGAATTGGCCGAAATGTTTGTACAGACGGTGGCGAGTGCGAATGCAAATGCCGCAAAAAAGGACGCGGCACGATTGTCCCAATTGTCGATCAGGCGGAGCGGGTCCCAATAGTATGCTCCATAGTGGACATACCCTGCAGACGTACATGCGATACCGACAAAGGCGCAAAAGGTGAAAGCGATTGGGATGATAATCATTTGCACATTCTGTGCTTTCACAGACGGTGAATAGCGTGTAAAGTCCGCTACGGCGCACCGGTTAGTGCTAATTATGGTGGGTTAGTGAAGGTGACGTACGGATATTGACAGCCAATGTAGCTATACATATCAGCTTAGGTACTGTTATGGAAATGACGAGTACTCACAAAAGTTGCCCAAGGTCGAATTAAGGGCGGCAAGCCATGCCCACGCCAGTTTGGATCCATGGAGTGTGCCTCTTTGCGCAAAGATCTCTCCACCACCCGTTGTAGCAAACGCCCAGATCATCATTGCAAGAAACGCAGGCGGAACGATGGCAGCCTTTGCCCAGAAGAGATAGCGTACTTTTTGTGGGCTGATAAGCAAGAGGGGGAGTTGGAAGAGCCAGAAGAGAAAGTAGCACATAAGCCCTACTGTGGTAATGTGCGAGGATTCTGGAATGTGATTTGGGATGCGAGCCGTCGAAGGCCAGATTGCTTTGAGCATCTAAGAGGATTGGTAAGAGGGAGGGAAAGTATCAGAGGGCGTACTTGATAGACACATTCGCTTCCTGTATACGTCTGTATGCCAAACCAGAACATGGCGAGGACAACACGGCTAATGACGCTAAAATAAGAAAAGTAAAAGCCAAAGGACGAGCGATTGATGACCGGAAAGGGGACATGAAGCGTTGCACCGATGGCACCGTTTCCTGTAATGGCCGCTGCAATAATGATATGTCCCACAGCGATGGCAGGAAGTGCTTGACGCCTGCCATGAATAAGTTAGAGGTCAAGAAAAGCGTGAGACGAACCAGGAGAGTCCAACGGCAAGCATGCCTAGCGGTGGTCAATAGCCTATCAATAGGGTCGTAGTGTAGCGTGCTTACTTGACGCTAACTCATAGGAGGCAACGTTGAGAGCGTCACTGATCCAATACAGAACCCAGCTTGTTCGACCCCAGGTCCTCTTATTCTCTGTACAGTAGTAAGTCACTCCAGCCGTGACACGGGCGCCCACAGACGTACCGGGGACGACATCCATGTCCTTGTTAGACCAACGGTTGCTGGACGCAAACGTAGCTGGCTCTGGTGATAGCTCCCATTTGTGCATTAGACCTGCCATAATGACCGGGGGATCGGAGGGGAGCAAGGACGAGATCAGAGGAGCGACTTGATAGCTGGGCTATATATATAATCGTTATCTCTACATTGAAACCTCGAGGGGTTTTTCAGGAGGGACCATATGGAGCTATCAAGAAGGGCAGATAAGGCTGCATAGTGTCCACCACCTGCCTTCTTTGCCTTAGTCGGAACTACGAGGCAACAAATGCGACGTGATTGACATTTGTTACTCACGCCACTTGTTTAGTTGTGTCTACGTGCTCCCGTGTTTACCTCCGCGTCGCCGTTGCTACGAGACCAACATCGAGGCCCATATAAGGTGGCGGCGCGGGTATTCTCACTCTGCCATCGCTCCCCTCCTGAGCTTCCGTACGGCTTCCAGTCCAGTTTTGCTGTGGCTGTTCCCACTTTCCTTTCTTTCTCCACCTCTCCTTTGCCTTTTTCTGAGAGCTAGCCTCTACCCTTTGCCAGCCACACCGAGCAAGCTCTCTCGACATTACAGAGCCTTCCAGCAAGTCTTTATCAACCGGATTATTCTCCCAACCGCAGCGCGGATACTCTAATCATGAAGTTTGCGTTTGCAACCACCGCCGCCCTCTTGGTTTCGTCCGTCCATGCCATTCCCCTCGTCCGTCGCCAGGCTGCAGTCGCGACACCAGAACAAATCTCCCAGCTCGCTCCAGATCTCGGGGCTTTCCCGAATACGAACCCAAATCGTGCGTTGCCCCTCGTTTTCGTAGCCGCGCCGCTTATATTCGTTTGTTGATCCGTAGAATTCGGAGACTGTGATGGTCCACGACAAGCAAATGGAGAAATTCCCCGTGTTCCCTGCCCATGTCCTCGTACGTAGACGCCCCTACGGGCCTTGGCAATATCCGCTAACAGCCACTTCTCCCACAGCATTGCGCGACGAGTATATTCGCGTAAGTGGTCTCTGATGATCAAAAATAATCTTTATCTAACTCTTCTTTCAGCAATTGACCGCAAACATCCAAGCCGGACATGCCGTCAACAATCCGACTGTACGCATGTCTTTCCCAGTCGGAAACAGTCTGCAAGACAAGCATGATCGTATTACCGCCGCTATCATCACCCTTCAAAACTTGAATGGTCCAGGCAAAGGCTGCCCTGGAGTTTCTACGACGCTGGGCATCCAATCCAAGAATCTCGACACGTGTGGAGACTTCCAATGCAATGGAAACACCTCTCCAGCTTCTTCTTCTGCGGCTCCTCCGGCTACGTCTACGACGTCCGCGGCTGCACCACCACCAGCACAGACCAACAATCCCAATGCTGGCGGACTCTCGCGTGAAGAAGTCGACCGTCTTGCGCCTCAGCTCGGCGGTGTACAGAACAATAATCCTACTGGCACCGGCGACTGTGATGGACCGCGACAGCCGGACGGTTCCATCAAAAAGGTGCCTTGTGCATGCCCTCCAGACAGGACGACGTTTATCAATCAACTCGTTGCCAACATTCAAGCCGGACACGCTGTCAATAATCCAACGGTCAAGCTCACTTTCCCGACTGGCAACACGCCGCAGGATAAGAGGGGACGCCTCACGGCTGCAACGATTACGCTCCAAAACTTGAACGGACCAGGAAAAGGATGCCCCAATGTGTCCACTACAATTGGTAAGCTACCTCTCTTTGTTCGGGAACAAGCGATTACTAACCGCCAACGCAGCGCAACAAGCCTTGAACGTGGACAAGTGTGGAGATTTCGAGTGTGGTGGCGTTTCGAGCGCGTCGATCGCTTCGACTGACTCCCGCTCTCAATCTCAGTCCTCTTCGGCTCAACAAGGTACCTCGGAAGCACCAAACTCGAACACGCCGACACGTACAACCAACGGTGGTGCCTCGTCCACGGTCACAGTCACGTTCACTACCGTCGTAACCTCTGTAATCACCGTTACCCGTGGCCAAGAGCAAAAGACAAACACGGCCACGAATCCGCCTGCTGCGACGTCTGCTCCTGCACCCATCCTTCAAAATGCTAGTACCACATCGGTAGCATCGGTCGCAGCTGCAGGAGGTGCTGGTGGTCTTTCGCGCGACGAGATTGACCGACTCGCTCCTCAACTCGGTGGCGTGCAGAATAACAATCCTACCGGTACGGGCGACTGTGACGGCCCAAGGCAACCAGATGGCACCATCAAAAAGGTTCCATGTGCATGCCCTCCGGACAGGACGACGTTTATCAATCAGCTCGTTGCCAACATTCAAGCCGGACACGCGGTCAATAACCCAACGGTCAAGCTCACTTTCCCTACTGGAAATACGCCCCAAGACAAAAAGGGACGTCTCACGGCTGCAACGATTACGCTTCAAAACTTGAACGGGCCAGGCAAGGGATGCCCTAATGTCTCTACGACCATTGGTATGTTTCGATTTACTTCCTCCATATTCAGTCGATCTGACTGTGTGATTTAGCCCAGCAGAGTTTGAACATTGACGCCTGTGGCGAGTTTGAGTGCGGCTCTTCCCCCGCTCCTGCTCCAGCCCCAGCCCCAGCCCCGGCACCATCACCAGTCCCAGCACCAGCTCAGGCACCAGTACAAAACGGCAACCCGAACATACTCTCACGCGACGTCGTCGACCAACTCGCGCCCCAGCTCGGCTCAGAGCCGAACCGCAACCCGACCGGCACAGGAGACTGCGACGGACCAGCGCAACCCGATGGGAGCATCAAAAAGGTTCCCTGCGCGTGTCCACCTACGCGTGCGGCCTTTATCGATGCGCTCATGGCCAACTTGGCCGTCGGACATGCGGTCAATAACCCGTCGGTCTCGTTGAGCTTCCCTACAGGCAACTCGCGAGAAGACAAGCTTGCCCGCATCACTGCGAGTACGGTTACATTGCAGAATCTCAATGGGCCTGGTAAAGGTTGTCCGAATGTGTCGACGACGTTTGCCCAGCAGGCGTTGGCGGCGTAGAGCATCTTCAATCCAAAACCTATTGACACGGCGTTTGCTATGCGTAGATTGCATGGTGAAGAGACTCGCTGGAAAAATCCGCTTGATAAACCACTTTGCTCGCCCTGCTGGCTTGGCGAGATTACATTTCCAATTTTTATTCTTCTTTATTCCATGCATACACACTCGACATTCCATAGTTCGTCGTGCACTCGTATACCCTTCTTCCCCATCGTTTACGATCTCGCGACGACCCGGTCCGTGCGTTGTACCTTTTCGAGCGCTGTGCGTGGAATATACCTTTTACGTACGAGCAAACTACGTCTACAAACTGAAGCTAGTGGTCGAACAATGAGATTGACCACTTGCACCAGTATCGACGTTGACATGTCCACCCCCAAAGTCTGTGCACCAAGGATAAGAATAAGTTATTGGAACTCTTTATTGCATTCGGTATTCTCATGCCCAATATTCTCCCCACGCCGAGACGACTCGTCGAGGCTCAAAAAAGCTACGGGTGACCAATGTGACTAATCATGTTTACTGAGGCTTTAACATCAGAATAGTTTTGGACATGCAATAAGACTTGGAGTTAATGTCACAATTTATCTTCACCTTCCCCTTTCGGTGTCAAGTTGGACTTGCCGCCGAAAAAGATGCGCATCCTTGCTCCCGTTTGCCACTCTTGATTCCCAGTCGCAGCGAGAGATTCCTGCACAGAAAAGCTGATAAATAACTCCGTCCACATACATGAATCGAATACCCTTACTTGGCAAATTGCCGCTGCTGCCAACGCAGTAGCGCGACCCAGTTGCGTGACCTCAAACACAAATCACTCGCACGCGTGCCTATGTGTAAAGGAGGCCAGATCATGAATCAACGCCATGTTGGCCCGCTTCTTGTCCAGCAGCCATCTCGTCAAAACGATGCAAGCCGATCCGCAACCTCAAGTCCACGCACTGTTGAGTCGTCCAGACGTGCGTGAGGAAACCAGAGTCGTGTTTGCGTCACTTCTAGCTCACTGTGAGGACGTGAACCGACTGTGCGGCTTCCTCCTTGAATCCATCGACGCTCGTCTGGTTGAGTACGCGTCCGACAAGGACGCTGGCTGGATATCTTCCCGTCCTTTCGAACACTCTCAGCACTCTTCTTTGCATACAGTCGAAGAAGAGAGAGCCAGGCTCCAGAGTGAGGCCCTCAGCGAAGAGGCCCAGAGATGGTTGGCCGACTTCTTCTTGTTCAGTACGAATCTTGAGACATGTTAACCGGAAACATCGCGATTGCTAACACTGGTATTCCTTTCTTCCCTTTTAGCGATTGGAAAGCGAACGAGGATGGCTCGGCGGAAACGCTGCATGTACGCCATGTTGAGTGACGGCGATGCGCCTGAAAAGCGGAATGATGCACTCCAGAAAGTGGTATGATGACTTCCTTGAATTTGAGTACGAGTCAAACACCTCTCGAGGTCTTTCAACGCGACAATTCCCGTTGCGTGCTGCTAGGTCATCGTGAACGATTGTCTTGCACTCGGCTATTTCCTGAGTCTGCCGATCGAATGAGAATTGTAGGTATCAAGACTTGGAGCAGGAACACATACCTATGCACTCCCTCCTCTTCGCCCTGGCTGACGCCCATCCCACCAGCAACGATTTCGGCAACTTGTCTCCGTGTTTCATAGTGGATTCGATGACAAGCTATCAGATGATGTACTCGCATCTCCAGCGAACCACTTGGTCCTCAGTGAGAGAATGCTACGAGTCCTTGACGAAGGAGGAGTGGCCTTTCGGATCGAGGACGACCAGGTTTGATCGAATGATCCGAAATGACAATAATTTGGGCTGAATTTTGCACAGGTGTATCCGGTTTGCCTCTGGGAGGGCCTTGCGTCGTACATTTCCGACCAGCAGCTCCTTAGTAGATTTGCAGAAGAATACGAATCTACCGACGAGTACGAAGCCATTGGCGCGGACGTGGTTCCTTGTGTCGACGAAAGGCTGATCACACTGCATGCAATGATCTTGGAAGCATGGCACGACACTGGTGAGGATTCTTGACCTGGTCGCATCTCGTTAAACGTGTTGATAGGACTGGCGCAACGATTCTTGACCGAGGCGCGATGGGTGGATGGTCTGGCTTCAACGTCGAAATGCATCACTGTGCTCGGTCAGGATGTATTTGGAAAAATCGTCCAGCACGAGTTAGCACTCATGTAAGTGCAAATTTATTGACCAAAGGTGGGTGCCTTGCTATCCTGCCCAGAGTTGAGCCAACATCATCGATTTCTAGGCGGAGAAAGATGGAGAACGCCCCGTACCTTCAAGATGCGACTGTAAAATAGACTTCAAGATACATTTATGTGCCATACGGCCCCTCGTTCAACACGGTTGGGATATCAACACTAGAAGAGGTTAACTCAGCAACCAACGCGTCCATGAACCTCCATAAAACATACCATATAGGCCTTTATCATCTCTTGAAATCAATTTGTGATGCTCAAGATGCCTTTAATCATACGGAAACCGGCGCCAATACTCAAAAGCGTTCTCCTTGCAAGCTTGTAGGTCGTGGTTCGTCTTGCTGGACACTTGCGATTCCAGGAAGAATATATCCTCGGATTCCTCGGTCAAATAAAGACTCTTCAGCGAGCCATCAGGGGTCGGGTAGGCCCTCGAACATGACCTACGGACAATGGCCGTCGAGAACAAAGTGCGATGGCTTGGAATACCACTCGCCCCGACAAACTCAAATACATCTTGCAACAATGTTTGGAAATATGTGTATTCGAAGTCTATTTACAAGGATTTCAGCGTGACTGGCAGGACAACAACAAACACTCGCTTCAGGACCGGCTAGTTACAATGGCAGTATACAAAAGAGCAAGAAGCTTCACGAGATCAGTGTTTGAATGGTTTCCGCAAATTCTTTTCAACTGCATCCCAGGAGTAAGCTGTTCACGGTTGAGTGGCTCTGAGAATTTGGAAATTGACAGTAAGACTGAACCTAAGACTATGTTGAGGATCTGTGAGAATCTGGTGAAGCTAAGGAATAGAGCCATGAGGTCATACTACTGTGTAACTTGGTCCCGACCCTTTCGATGTGCGGGAGGTTCGCCCTGGGAGGCGAACGAGATGCCATACTCAATGATATCCTAGGCGCTGGGATATTTGAGCCAGATGAAGATGCGGAATGGCTTGACCGGGAGGATTACCATCCTCGCTACAACATTGCCCCTCGTTCGAGGGCGCCTGTCATTCGAAGGAGACAGAATATAGACGAGGATTCCGCCTTGAATGGCAATAACCGAGAGCAGTCATCTTCAGAGGCAGAAAATTCTGCAACACCCGAGCATAAACAGACGCGCACTGTTGTTCAGACTATGCGCTGGGGACTCGTACCTAAAAACGCCAAGACGGACGACTACAAACTTACTGCGAACACCATCAATGCGCGAGCAGAGACCATCCTCGAGAAAGGTCCAGGCAGGGGCACCTGGGGAAACGTTATCGAATCGAGACGATGCATCATTCCTTGCGATGGGTTCGTGTTTGCCCATGCTTGTGTGGTACTATGTACTGACGCATGCTAGGTACTACGAGTGGTTGACCAAGGACGCGAAGACGAGGTTGCCTCATTTTATCCGTCATCCTGACAAGACAAAGAAGCTTTACTTCGCTGGAATGTGGGACAGAATAATGTTTCCAAGCGAGAACCCTGACGGTGAGTGTGTTCGATGCTCCAAGTGTCAGAGACCAATCTTTCTGTAGAGCAAACCAAGCCGTTATATACATTTACTATTGTCACGATACCGGCACCGCCAGACATGGAATGGCTGCATGATCGCTCTCCTCTCATCTTTTCGCCCACTTCGCCGGAAGACATGGAGAAACTCAAGGTGTGGCTGAATCCCGATATCCACTGGGAGAATGGCATTCGCCAACTTTTGGAATCATACTTGCATCACTCGCTGCCAGAGCCGTACACCATCTATCAAGGTAAGTCTTCTCGAGCGTTTTCTTGTTTCGTATGCTCAGCCTCTTCAAGTCCCTAAAGAGGTAGGGAAAGTGGGCGCAGAATCCAAGAGCTTCACAGAGCCTATAGCTCAGAGGAAAGACGGCATCAAGGCCATGTTTGCCAAGCAACAGCAGAAATCAAATTCCCCAGAGTCATTGCCGTCAAAGAGACCTCGTTCCTCGACTCCTGAGAAGATGAGCTCGTCTGTCGAAGATTCTCCAAGGAAAAGAGTAAAGCAAGAGGCTCCTAGCAGTCCGTCAAAGGCCTCGACATCCACTCCAAAGAAGGCCCCATCGTCACCACGGAAAAAGGCTAATAACACTCCGGCAAAAGACCCGAACATTCGGAGCATCTCCGATTTCTTTGCGACAGCAAGCCCGCGCAAAACGCAACCTTAAGGCTGTATTACTATTTCTCGCACACTCTTTACCATGTATATATATTTTGCTAGTTCTCATTGATGCCGCTACATCAGTTTTGTACCTGTACCAGGGAACACGCTCCTGACTAGAGAAACGCGTTCCAACGAGAGACCGCCGTGCAAATGGTCTCTCCTGGCTGGCAGAAAGAACAGCACGAACCAAAGAGCTATTATTTCCTAGCATAAGTGACCTTATATGAATGTCAGCGACAGCCTTCCCAGCGGGTCCCAGCATACCTTGATCTTAGCTTCGCCGTCCAGCTTGAAGTTATGAAGGGCGTCCTTTGCTACTGTAGCACTGGCCTCGTCTGCATACTCTACGAAGGCGATGTCCTTCTTGGTCGGGATCATGCGGACCTCGTAAAAGTTTTCGAATCTAACAAACATCAGATGGTCACGAGTGGGCGGAATAATGCAGACCGTGAAAACATTGCCACCAATGCGTCCTTTGTGATGTCGGGTGGGAGGTTTTGCACGAAGAGAATCTGGTTTGGGGGCAGATATTCGTCTGGCATGAGAACCACCGGACGCTTGGCTGTAGGAGCAGGCGCTTCAGGTTGAGCACCCGTAGCCAGAGCCTCCTTCTTCAAGCGCAATTTCCTCCGTACAGGGTTGTCCCACCGCGATCGTTTCTTCCGCTTGAGCCGCAAGGCATGGAATTCGTCAAACTCTTCTGGTGAAAGTGTCTTTACGACAGCCTCTGATCTCGTCTTTGCATATGAAACTTGCATAGGCTTGCCATAGAGCGGGAACTTTTGCACTTCCTTTAGTGCTTTTCGGGCGAGATCGACATGGGCAAAGGACACGAAAGCTTGCCCTCTCATCCGGACATTACGATGAGCTACGACGTCCAGAACCTTACCGTAGTGTCGAAATAGGTTGGTTAATGTGGTCTTCATGTCTATGGAGCAAAAGCAATTGAAATAAGCGCACAGAAATTTGCTGCAACAAAAGACCAAGCTTACAAGACAGCTTGACTTGATCATTCAGATTTTGGATGTAGAGCGTTTCTGACGCATTTTCAGGCTCCTCCTGCTCCTCGGTCGCGGGTTTCGCTTCGTCCGCTGCCGTCTCTGGTGTCTGTGAAGGTGCTTCTATCTTGTTCATTTGTTCGGCGTCTTCAATGTTCGCGTCTGCCATTTCCGCCATCGTGGTTGAGGCCCAAACGCGTTGTAACCACTTGACGCCTGCTCTTTCAATCTGACTGACGGCTCAGGAAGGTAGGATCATGGATCTCGATGGGGTAGAAGTAAGTTTAATGTCTAAATTTCGATCATATGTGACTCGAATGGAGTAGCAACCCGCAAACTCGTTTCAACGCCGCCAGGAACTTGGTCAGCGCCAACGCGCGCTCAAAGCTGAGATCCAATCGGTGGAGAGTAACATAACAAAATTGCAAGAGCTCAAAAGAACGCTCGGAACCGAGTTACAAAAGGTCGAAGACGAGCTAGATGATCTTGCCCAGCGAAGACTCACAGGCGCGACGACGGCAGACTTACATGGCTTTTCGCGAGAAAATGAAAGCTCGAATATGAATGCGCGTAATAGTCTGAGCGGACGCGCGGATCAGCGTGGTATCGATTACTTCTCCAGTTTTGACTGGAGTGGGGAGCTCAAGAAGCGAATGAAACGTGTCTTTGGGTTTGATAGCTTTCGTTTGTGTCAAGAAGGGTGCGTTGGGACTAATACCTGCACCAGCACGGCTCATTTGCTCTTGCAGAATTTGTAACGCATCTATGGACAACAGAGACGTTATAGCCGTGATGCCTACCGGTACGTGGATCCTTTCATCCGTTTCCGAGTCATCTGACTTTACCCAGGAGGCGGAAAAAGCTTGACATATCAACTACCAGCACTCCTCTGCCCAGGAACGACATTGGTCATTTCTCCTTTGATCTCTCTTATCACGGACCAGATACTGCACTTGCATGAAGCCGGAAGTAAGCTCGTAGGCGCACTGTTTGCATCACCTCTGACGACCACATTCAGTCGAGGCTTGTATGTTGACCGGGTCTGCCTCCAAAGAAGAACAAAGGAGTACTCTTCAGCGCATGACACCGAAAGCTACCAATGGTAGACGAATATCTGCCGTTGACGGCCAAGCCGACGGCGAGATTAAGCTTGTTTACGTTACAGTAAAGCTGATACTTGCAATCCTGGGACTCATTACTGATTCAACATAGCCAGAGAAGATCGCGAAGAGCAAGTCGTTTCTATCCGTTCTTCAGAAGATGGAGAAAGCCGGGACCCTGGCGCGAATCGTCATTGACGAAGCTCACTGTGTCTCACAACTCGGCCACGACTTTCGCCCGGACTATCAAAAGCTTTCAATTCTCCGGCAATTATTCCCCAACGTCCCAATCCTCGCACTCAGTGCGACTTGTCCTCCCAACGTCCTAAAGGATCTTCTCAAGGTACTGAAGATGGATGCTTGCGTTGACGGGAACAGTATGTTCTAAAGCTCCGGGCTAATTGAATCTAATCTCGTTTCTTAGATGCACCTGCTAAAGGAACCGTCTACTTCTCCAGTCCTTTGTATCGTGCGTGGTGTGTGGTTTCGGGCTCATGATCTCATTCTGTACCAGGTGAAAACCTTCATTATAAGGTCGTGCCAAAGCCAGCTTCCTCCGCCGCGGTGATCGAGACTATGTGCAATTACATCCTCGAAAACCACAAGGATGAGACAGGAATTGTTTATTGTCTAAGCAAAAAGGTTAGACCAGTTCGTAGATGGGGTCACTACTCACCACTAGCAGGACGCAGAAACCGTCGCAGCTGGCCTGGTCGAAACCTCGAACGGCAAAATCAAAACTGGAGTCTATCATGCAGATATACCCGACGCTAGGAAGGAAGAACTACACCGACGTTGGAGGAAAGGCGAAGTTAAAGTCGTCTGTGCAACAATTGGTGGGTCGCATATCCGGTCAGGGAAAAGGAATTCATCAAGTGGTAGCATTTGGCCTTGGAATCGACAAAGGAGATGTGCGTTTCATTCTTCATCACTCAATGTCCAAGGTGAGTCAGTGGATCGTCCTTGTATTTCAGTTGACGTTTGTTGTAGTCGTTAGATGGGTACTATCAAGAGACCGGGAGGGCGGGTAGAGATGGAAAAGACAGCGACTGCATTCTTTATACCAGAAACGCAGGCGATTTCAGCAGATTGTCGTCACTGGTTTGCGGAGAGAAGGAGGGACAATCAAAGCGTAATGCCTCGTTCTTAGGCGAGGACAGTCACTGACGCGGGTAGTGCATGACATGCTGCGATTTTCTCAAGACCTGACAGAATGCCGAAAGATCCAGTTCGCAAAGTAGGGACAGACTGCCGACCTCCTAGTACTCTCAGCTGACGTACACAGATACTTCTCCGCCTCATCCTCACTTTCTGTGTCAGTCTGGAGCAAGGACGGGTCAGAAGACCTGACACGATGTGGGCACTGCGATAATTGCGCTCGAAAACCAGACCAACTCGATCACAACAAAGATGTCACGCTCGAGACGTGGAAAATACTAAAGGTGTCTGAGTTTATCAAAGAAGAAGGTGGTCGGGCCACCCTCGGGATCCTCGCTGATTTAGTCAGGGGTGCAGCCGGAGGGTCATTCGAAGCAAATCCATTGGGGGGCAAAGGAAGGGCCAAGGAGAAGATTACCCTTGACCTGGACACGCTGTGTGGGGGAAAGATTGAACTCCATAAGGAGGTACGAGCATCCCTTTGCCTCTAGGACGGTTCGGCTGATGAACCGGAACTCCGGTGTCCTAGGATGTTGAAAGCCTTCTCATCAACCTTCTTCTATTGGGATACCTAGAAGAAGAGTACTACTCTACCGCCTACGCAATCAATGTCTATCTCGTACCAGGACCGCAAGCACTCCGGCTCTCGCGTTTGAGTATACAGGACTTACAGAGTAACACCGCCATCAGTATCAGAATGACGTTTGAAAAGCGAGAGAAACGCAGGAAAAGCGCGGGAGGCGGCAAGGTCAAGCAGGCAAAGACGGCCGAGTTTGTTCCACCCACAAGGAACCGAACGACCTCTGCATCGACGTCTAAGGGCAAAGGAAAGCCTATCTCTGATCTTCGAGTTGATGATGACGATTCTGGAGAATCAGAACCCAACATGGCCAACTGGCGCGTGGGACGGCCATTCCACGCTGCTGCACCCATGCGGCCTCAGTACGGTACGAACAATAAACAAAGTACCGAACCAGTGACGTCAAAAAGGAAACGTGTGGACAGCTCTGATGATGAGGGCATGGAGCGTGGCTCGCTGGACAACTTCATCCTGGACAATGGCGATGACCTCCAGTCTTACATGGGGCCCGACACTATTTCAAAGGGCTCTGCTCCAGTCAGTGACGTCGAGGAGGACGACGACGGGGATTGGAAGATTTCGTATACACTTGCACCGAGCCGGACAACCTCGCGGCAAAAGGCACCGTCCAAACCAGCTAAGAAACGGTCCAAAGTCTCCTCGAGCGGTCACTCAGACAATGTGAGTGTGATAGAGTTGTCAGATTGAACGAATACATACACCGGCTTGCATACACTTCGCGATACCCAAGAAAAGATTCTCGGAGAGCCCAAAGGAAATGATGAATGCGTGATATAACATCGGTGGAACAGGGGTACAAGTTACAAAAGATTCAATGCGTTAATGCAGAAAAGAAGAAAGGCGTGCTAGGGATAAGTTATGAATGCGATGGTGAAAGGGTTGAAAATGCCAATTATTTTGGTCGTCAAGATCGTTCATCTTCGCAGTGTCGTCACTTTTTGTGCGCAACAGAGTGAAGCGGCGTGATGTGTCGTGCATCGTAAGAAAGGAAGGTAGCGGCGCAAGGTACGCAGAGGAGCAAACGGCTCGACTCGATGCATGGCCCGTTGCCAACGTGTTTGCCATCCAGGCGCGTTCGAAAGCTGAAGGCAAGGTGAGCAGGATCCAAAAGTAGAAAATATTGTGACCTACATAGAGAAACAGCAAATAAAGGTCGAGCAATAGAATAAAGGAGGATTGGGTTTAGAAACCAATTGTGACGTTGTTCTTGAGGACACCCTTGAGCGGCCTCGGTGGGGGGTCGGGAATGCGGCGATGAGACATGCTAATCCTGACACCATGCTCATTCATCCAGCCTAAAGGAGGCTGTGAGCGATTGTTGGGCAAAGATGACATCCACATACCTTCTCCGACATCGGGATAGTCCCGAAGATAGGGAGGATACTCCTCGACGGCCGGTTTGTAGTGACCGGCGTTTGTCCATAGTTGGTCACCCCTGCGGTTGAAGCTAGGCAATACGTCAGCGAATGGCTCGTGGACAAGGCGTGGCAACAGAAGAAACAGTAAACTCGATCAGAGAGATAAGACGTACAATCTATGAGTAATGTCAGCGTCACTGTGTGAAGAAAGCTACACGAGGTGCTCACCCTTTCGGTCGTGGCTTGTTGGGCGGTGGAGTGGGTTGGACGAGATCGTCATGCCATCGTACGCTGTGACCAGATCCAGTGCTTCCATACGAAGACGAGCGACCAGAATCATCTGTAGCCGAGCTGCTGGCAGGAGACACACACGGTGGCGGCCGGTGTCGGGAGTCCATCTTTGTGTACACACGACTTTCGATACCGTGGAAGGCACTGGTCGGTTCCGCGTCAACTGGGCTGAAAAACGACCTGCTGACACGTCGGGTTCGTCTGTCTCCAGTGTCAGATGCATATGCATGCGGATCCATCATCATTGCGTCTTCCTCCGACTCGGTGTCGTATGAGGCGCGAGGCATGACGAACCGTTGTCCACGCGAGGAAGATGCGTCTGCATAAAATTGTTGGGAGGGCATAACGCCGCCATAGGGCGCATGAGTTGGTGAGGGTGTGACGCCCACGGGCGAACTTCCAAAGGGGATGAAATAAACGTTCTGGCCAGGAACCTTGTACATGGCTAGGTCTGCGTCGGGTGAAACTTCGAGAGGTGGTGGAATGATTTCAGAGTCGATGGGGCCGAGTGGAACGTGTCCTGGAGCCTGCGGTGTGGAGATAGAAACAATAGAAGCTGGGCGCGACGAGCTGGTGAAGAAAGATGAAGAAAATGAAGAAAAATTTGAAGTTGCTCGTCGCCTTCCGCTTGGGCGGGTCTCCTCTCCTCGTTGAGATGGTTGCAGGCAAGAAGTGTTCAGTGAAAGCTTTGTATCGGCATGGTAGCTCATTTTGTCGAGTTTCGATATTCCTTATAAGTGGCCGTCGTGTGCCAGGGTGTGTGGTAAACGCGAGGCTGAGGTCCCTTTGCACTTGGGCCGATAACCTGTGTGCCCTCTTGCTTCGAAAGTAGTCTGATTGGTGAACACGCGCTCTCGATCTGATTGCGGCCTGTTCAACGTGTGAGACGGGTCCAGTGGTGCAGCAACTATGCGGTCGGGAGCAAGATCAGGACACTGGCTGATGCCGTGATTCCACCGTCGAAAAGTGGTCAGAAGCCTTAACCGCTGGACCCGCCTCGAGGCTGAAGGGCCGCATCTGGTTGGTCGGCCTGACGTCGATACATCATGCTGGTTGACTCGAGGAACCCCCCACGGTACGTCGAGAGGGGCTCCGTAAAGTGGAAAGAAATGCCAAAATGTCGTCGAAATTCGGACATGGGCTGTCGGACGCCCGTTGGGATCTCAACTGATAGAGACAGTCTCTTGGGGCAGCCGACTCGAAAATGTGGCTCCAATGTGGCTCAGGCCAGCTGGACCGCATTTAGCCAATGGGAAGAGCGGATCTTGCAGAGATCGAGGGAAAGCCAATAGTAAACCTGAGGGACGACTCTCTTGAATGCAAAGTGGCAGAAGAAGTGGGTCTCAGACCGAGAATAGCAAGCGAGTGGAGGCAGACTCGATCATCCGAAAGGTCTGGTGTCTGCTTGCCTTCTCCGGATTGTTGCAGCTTCGTGACCCGGGAAAGTTGCTATACGGTATCTTTAAGCTTGTCAGGGCCTGATAATGAGGTTTCCCCTAGTGGATTGACAACTTGTCGGCCATTCAACGCGGAGATGTTGCGTAGACCGCTGCACAAGCTCATCGTTCTGACGTCTGGGCGTTGCCTCGCTAGAGGTTGAGGGTTGAGCTCACTTCGGAAAGGACAACGGACCCGGAGACGGCGTTCCAGCTCCTCAGCCAACGCGTTGTAGCCGCAAGCAGTGCCGTCTCCGCAACGCAGCAGCAGACATGGTCAACGAGAAGCGGTTCATAGACACCAAAAGCACCGCTCATGGACCCCCCTGGTGCGCGTTGTCCACTGCTTTTCGACGCGGAGACCGTAGAGCTCAGTTCGGCGTAGGCCAGCGTTCGACATCCAGCTTGATACAACATTCCAGAGTCATTGGAGTATGCTTCATCCCGCTACCGAGTTGCAGAGATACTTGGGCAAGGAGTTGGTTGGCGTCAAGGAGCTGAGAGGCCGAGTAGGCCGCAGACTCAGCTCCAGAATTGCCCAGGTAGAAGAGTCTAGCTCTATAATCTTTGTTATTGATAATGTAATCCTTGGGATTTTGTTGCTTATTCGGTGGTGTCAAAGTCTCTAATTCTTAGTGCCCCCACATCTCGTTGGGAGGAGCCCTTCCTCCATAGAAACACTATTTACAATGCAATAACTCGGATTAATTACTGTCACCCTTGGTTGGTGCCAACCATTCAATCAAGGACAGAACAGCGCCAGGAGACTGCCCCTACTGTTCATACCAGCCTCAGATGGTACCCCTTGGGCACAACTGGGCGCCTCTGTGATTATAAGACATAGGTTAGATCTTGTTCTTGACCTCCATGGCCACCTTCAGCGCCCTACCGTACGACGTTACTTATCAGATACTTGACAACCTTTATGCAACAGACCTTCGAAGCCTCAAGTCTCTTTCGGCGACGTGTCGTCGAACGCGACATGAAGCGATTCCCATCATATTTGCCAGTCTCTATTTCTACGAAGACGCCCCAGTATACACCATTGACAACATGGTGGGAAGGATACTTGCAGTACTAATTAATCCGCAAATCCTTGCTAGCGTACGGTCAGGATAATCTCCCTACAATTCTCTATGGTTTGCAGTGCTGACAATGCTACCAGACGATTTTGCATGCGAGCAGACGATGGCATGCACTTATCCCTTATTGTGTCATCGCTCTTTCGTCTTATCGCATCCATGCCCAACCTTCATGATCTCTACTTCGACGCACCAAGAACACTCGCAGCTCACCTTCGAATAGCCGCATCCCCACTCGACGTATTACTCCACGACGAAGAAATACCAATGAGTCTGGTCGCAGCATACTTAGATGCAAAGCCATTTGATACATCCACTTATCGACTTCCATCCGTCCAGAAACTTGTGCTTGCTTCTTGGGAGTGGTCTTTCCTAGCGGACTACTGTCCCCAGATGCAGATTCTAGAAGTACGAGGTTCAAGCGTCGGCTACAATAATCTTCGGGGCCAAAATTGTTTCGAAGTAGACATTGCGCACCTCTCGGTAACTCATCCAAATATCCGGTGCCTTCATCTAGATGATAGTGCCAGTATCGAAATAGTATCCGGCAAGTTACCTAACAGGTGTCTAACTCTGTTCTGATAGATTGATACAGCTCTTACCAAAAGCATGCCCAATATCGAGGAACTGGGCTTTCACAGTCCGGTGGCACCTTCAACCAATGCTCTCGTAAGTGGGTGCAGTCTATTTGATGCATGTTCATGCTACGTAACAGACTCATTTCTCCTCGTTTGGAAACTTGCATACACTCGCGCTTCCTGACATTTCCGATCTGAGGGGCATTCCGAGGTGGGATGAAAGTGCCTGTGACCTTTGCAAGGGGAGAGCGATGATAATCAGACAAGAAGTAGCCAAAGATGTCATTGAAGCTCTGCAAACCCAGGTGGTCTCTCTAAGAGAGGTTCAATTTGGCTTCCATGCTAGACGTGAGGTATACCAACGGTCGGCTGATGGCACCTTTACCTACGTCAAGTTACTCTCGAGGCCATTCTATTACATGATGAAAGATGATGTCACACTATTCGATCCTCCTCCAAAGGAACCATCAGATCGAAAGGGCAAAGGCAAAGCCCAGAAGCCTTTTGGGACATCGTCCACATCCGACTCTCCCCCACATATCTATGCACCATATGGAGTTCGAAGGCTACATAGTCCATGTAGGCACAATGTTCCCCTCCGGCATGCTCAACAAAGTCGAAGTCGAAGCCCAAGCCCCAGGAGGCGCTCACGAACCCCACGGACTATTATAGTACGAGAAGATACACGCTCGCGTTCAAGAAGCCCGCAGATCGTTGGGACATCCGTGGCTTCCGGTCCCATCTCGGCCTCGAGTCCCATTTCAGCCCCCAGACGCTCAGGATTTCTAGGACGACTATTTCGTCGGAAGCGCTCACCAAATCAGGACCGGGTAGATGCTTCTGAACCAAGAAATGAGCAATCCCCGCCTCGACGTGAAGTCTTCAACTCGAGAGGTCGGTCTCGGTCACCTCAAACCAGCACGGCTTCATCTCCCAGAAACCCTGAGACTTCCTATGATTCTTCGCTTCCGGTCGTTGTGACCCAAGGACGAAGCGCTAGCTCTTCACCGGTTCGAGCGCGCTCATTTTTTCGACACACCCGTTCACCGTCACCGAGACGTTACCGTTGCTCTAGGAGTCTGATGAGACGCTATTCTAGGAGTCCAAGAAGATATTACTCTCGGGGTTCGAGAAGTATAATTATTCCCCAGAACCATTGTAGAGATGCTCGAAGACAGACGTAGATCACTCTCGCCGTTCATTCGATACCGCCCAGGGTATGGCGCATTCGAACGATCCTTCTCGCGCCGCCTTGCGCGCTCACGGTCCCGGCCACGAATCATCATGCCACAGGCATTCTACCGCCGCAGTCGCAGTCGCAGTCGCAGTCGCAGTCGCAGCCCCAGAATCATTATCGAACCTTCTGTTCCGTTGCGCCACTATTCGCAACCGATTATCGTTGAGGGGGCCAGATCCAGCCAGGAGCCCCAACCTATTATCATTCCAGAACGCTCAAAGCCTACCCGTCCGATCATTATTGAGGAACCCAGAAACACACATAGTCATGGCTTTTTAGGTCGTCTATTTGGTGGCCGCTACACTTCACCACAGATCATTACTACAGGCAGTGGACGATCGAGATATCCAGAACCCATATTGAGAAAGCATTCTCCTATGTCACAACCAATCATCGTGACGGATACTGTACGTCGCTCTCCCTGGACTTCACGTTCACCGAGACGCTACTATAGTCGCCGTTCGCGAAGTCCACAAGTGATTGTGACGGAATCAGGCTTTATCCCCAGGAATCGGTCGCCTTCCCGTCCATTCCGATCACGCAGCCGCTCTTATTCCCCTCGGATCAACGTAGCCGATTCACCTCCTCATCGCTCAGGCTTCTTGCATAGACGGTCTCGTTCACCTATTATAATCGATGAGAGGCGCTCTACTTCGCCTCGAGTGGTCGTAGAGGATCGACCGCTTGATCGCTTCCCCTCGTCGCGTAGACAGTCTCGCTCACCCATATCGTTCATAAACGGACAGAGCCATCGAGCCAGGTCGCCTATTATAGTTACAAGCACTAGGAGATCTCGCTCACGCTCAAGCACATATTCGCCACGTCTCACGACACGAAGTCGATCACACTCCCCGGCACGTCAGCAGTTTGGATCGCGGACGCGTTTGAGTCGAAGCAGATCCCCTGTAACACACTTCTACCAGGGTGATAGGACCCCACCGAGCCGTGGTCGCTCGCCCTCTCGCATTGCCCTAGGCAGAGGAAGGGTCACCTCACCTACACGTGACGAAACACCTGCGGAGCAGAAGAGTTTGTAGATGGGTGATTATACTTCCAAAAGGAAATACATTTATTGTATTTGATCCAGCGTCGCCTTTAGTCGCTCCAATAAAGTCTTGTTCTCCTCTTCTGTTCCAATAGTGACCCGTAAACAGCCGGTACATCCCAACTCCTTTCCTCTGAATCTGACTACGACGCCTTGAGTCTCGGCCATGGCCTGGTAAACCTTTTCTGCCCTGACATTGTCCGGCTTGCCCGTTTGCCTGTTCAAGACGGGCACCATGATAAAGTTGGCATCCAACCCACCGATATAGGGACCAAGGTCCTGCTTCATCTCATTGAAGGCCTCGAGTAGGAATTGGCGCCCCTGAATGAGCTTTTGTACCTTGTCTCGCATCGTAGCTATTGACTCTTCCGAGAGGGCTTGCATCGCAAGTGTCGCAGTGGGACCGGAAATGTTATAAGGGGCCTTGGTGTTGGAGAGGATCTGATTGAGCTCGGGCGAAGAGAATGCAAATCCGAGCCGTATGGATGCAAGGCCAAAGCTCTTGCTCATCGTCTGCAAGACGACGAGATTTGGATAGTTGGGAAGGAGGATCGTAGCTGACATGGATACGCCTGGGTGGGATGCTTGTGTAAAGTCGATATAGGCTTCATCGACGATGACGAGGCCTTTGAATGAGGGCGAATCGAGAACTTGTTGAATGGCTGAGAGGGATACGGTTGCGCCTGTTGGGTTACCTGGCGAGCAGAAGAAGATCATTTTGATTGCCGGGTCCTGCTCTGTAGCCTCGAGTATCTATCTGAAATAAGTATGAAGGTAGCTGTGTCCATTGCCACTCACCTTGTCGACTTGGACAGTAAACCGACCTCCAGTGGTGTCCTGCGGGATTTTTACAACCCCAACGTCATTGATTTGGGCACAGACAGCATACATGCCATAGGTTGGAGGACAGATGAGGACCTTGTCCTTTCCCGGTACGCAGGCGACGCGGAAGAGGAGGTCGATAACCTCATCTGAGCCAACACCCAGGAACACATTCTCAATACCAGTAACTCCTCTTAGTTTTGCGTATGCACTCTTGATCTGCGGATGAGACGGGTCGGGGTATCTGTGCAATGGGCTTGCGAGATGCTGGGCGAGCAAGAGGTCTGGCTCATTGTTTCCATTAGCCTGGTATGAGTCTTTTTGTTTACTGCTGTTGCAATAGAGTGACCGTACGAGTTTTCGTTTGCGTCGAGGAGAATGCCACTCTGATAGTCGTCTCTTGCGCAACGATAGGGATGGAGGGCTAGAATATTTGGACGAATAATCGCCTCGAGGGAAAAGTGATCCACAGGCATCGTCAAGGTCAGCTCCAAGTTGCTGGCGCCGTGACTCGAGTTATCGCATACACGCGAACGAAACCAAACAACTCGGCCGTAAACTCAGCCACAACTAATAATCCAGATGGACGGCCAAGGCGAGCAAGAAACATCCTACAAGCTTGTACAAATTGCAGTTCTCGAGGGTCACTCGGATCGCGTTTGGTGTGCGGCCTGGAACCCCGTCCAGCAACTGATAGCAAGCTGTTCCGCAGACAAATCAGTCAGGATGTGGTCATATCTACGTAAAAAGCCAGAAGAGGATCAAGAATCAGAAGACAATACGCGTCTAGAGTTTCAGCCAGCAACAGAAATCGCGACGGGACATCGCAAGACGGTCCGCTCGATCGCGTGGGCTCCTTCAGGGAAAACACTAGCATCAGCATCGTTTGATTCGTCCATCAGCATCTGGGAACGCACACCAGGTGATGAGGAGCAAGGCGAGACCTTGGGCGAGTGGGAATGTATAAGCACGCTCGAGGGTCACGATAGCGAGTGTAAGAGTGTCGCATACTCGAGTGACGGAAACTTGATCGCGTCTTGCTCCCGCGACAAGAGCGTCTGGATTTGGGAAGGTGAGGTCACCGCTTACTTCCTCCCATTCTTCTTTTCTGATCGTGTCCACGAAAGGATAGTCCAACCAGACTCGGATTTCGAATGCCTAAGCGTGCTCATGCACCACACCCAAGACGTAAAATGCGTGGCGTGGCACCCTACAGAAGAGGTGTGTCTTCGAGTCTGGAGAGGATGTCATTCTTAACATTCAACAGCTGCTTGCATCTGCCTCGTATGATGACAACATCCTCCTCTATGTGGATGATCCTTCCGACGACTGGTTTCCGTTTACTACTCTTTCGGGTCACACATCTACAGTCTGGTCGCTCGCCTTCTCACCGTGTGGATTGCTACTCGCATCCTGCTCAGACGATCGAACCATACGGATATGGCAGCGATACCCTAAGCTACCCGTCGTTGGTCCCAATCAAGTTGTTCGCATTGGCGCAGGGAGTAGTACAGCAGCAGAAGGGCAGTGGAAGATTGCATTGGTGATACCGGATGCGCACGAAAGAAGTATCTACTCTGTCTCTTGGACCAAATCGCCAGTAGCACAAGACGACAATGACAGGGGGTGGCTCGCGAGTGCTGGTGGTGATGGACGAATCAAGATTTGGCGTATAGATGTACGTATCGACTCTGTAGTTTGCCATTGCACTCACATGCCTAGGTCGACGCTGAAAAAACCGTATCCCACACATTCATGGCAGAGATGACAGACTCTCACGGCGTATCAGACGTAAATTGCGTCACTTGGTCTCCATTAGAGCCCGGGTTGTTAGCTAGTACAGGTGACGATTGTGCCACACGAATCTGGAGAGTAAGCACCGCATAGGCTGGCATTAAAAACTACGCTTTCATAGTAATTTCATGACGTTGAGAGACGTGTTAAGTCCATTTGAAGTCGCTTCGTCCTCGAGGCCCAATTCTTTCAGTACCAGACCTTCTTCCCATCCATCCCACTCGAGCACCTTGTGAGCACGTCTCCAGGTCGCGCGTTCCTTTTCAGCTCGAAGCCACAGTCGTGCAGCCGGGTCGTCGAGTTTTGCCATTTCTTCCCTAAACATTTCCGCTTCCGAGTCATTGGGGTTCGTAGCCAGGAATGCCGGAAGATGAGCACATTGCCATAGCGGTCGAATGCATGTTGATTCCCAGTCGATTATGCAGGTCTGTGCCTTGTCAGCGATCGGTTTGAACCTACAGTCAAAGACTCACAATCTCCGATGGGTCATGCTCGTCCACAAAGATATTTGCGAGACTGAGGTCATGCAAATCGAGCGAAAACGCGTCAAGCTCGTCGCGCTTCATGGAACCGACGCCTAGATTGCGCATATACTTTTTGAACTGGTCCATCTCCGCCCGCACAGTTTCGACTCGTTGATAGGCATATGATACAAGGAGAGACGAGCGTTGCATCGTCCGGTAATCCCTGTAATAAATCTCGCCGTCATCTTCATCCTCTTCGTCCGAGGAGGATGGGGCGGATGTACCAGCTTCTGGTGGCCGATGTGGTCTGTGCGATGTGACACGGCCTTCCGACTCTTTCCTGACTGCGTCTATTTCGCGCTCGCAGCATGCCACCAGGTATGCCTCGAATGAGGACCATGGCCCACGATCAAGTTGTTGCAGTCCTCGTCCTTCGCCAAAGAATGGCCAGCTGACGATGGGTCCTACAGAGAAAGTAGGGATAATATGTGCTAATGTGGGAAAGGTCGGACTTGGCGCAGAGCTGAGTGGGGTCAATGGCGGGCGAGTACCCAACGAGCTCCGAGAGCGTAGTTTTGGTGTTCCGGGACGTGATACAGATGGTGTCTGGGGTACAGAGGGTGCGACTGCGGGACTACGGGTCGAATAGAGGGATCCAATCGCGTTGAAGCGGTGTTTAAAGAGCGTAAGCATGTGGGAAGCGAGGTTGGACAGTAATTGTCGTTTCTCATCCATGTCCATTTGACGATGAACCCGGAGAAGGGGCACTCCCTTGGCCTGTGATAATGGATCGGTTACGACCAAGGCGAACACGTGTAGACCGACGGACCTTTGACATGATGATATACTCTGCACCGAGTTCATTATACTGGTTAGATTCATAGTAGTAGACTTCAGGAACGGGGACCGTCGTCTTTGTGCGGATATAGTCGAGGGTGGCGACCTGATCAAACGCGGCTGTTAGATGCATTGTCCGCTCAAAGTCAGTGTAACCTACGAACTTCGGACTCAGTTTTTATCCGGGGCATAAATCGGCGCGCCATGCGCATGACGACTTCTTCGCCGTCCTTGAACAAGACGAGAAATGCCTGACAACTCGTTAATGACCAAATAATAGTCCCCTTCGACGCATGTACCTTGTGAAATGTGCCTAGTGGTGCATTATCAGTACTCCAGGCGCGTCATGCCACCGATAGAACATACCCGAGCTGAGAAACTTGATACGCACAACCTCTTGGCCCATCTTTGCGCGCATCACGTCCCTGAGTGTTTTCCTGTCAACTGGGAATGGATGATCGCCATCTGCGAGAATCTCCTTGACCCGATCCAATGCTTCGATGGGATCCTCTTCCTCAGATGGTGGCGTCTGGACGTGCGAATGGTGTGGAATCATTAGATGGTGCATCTTGTCTCCACAAATGCGGGTTTTATGGTCCGCCTGCGGAATGTGATTGTAGAGAACGGGTCGAAATTTAGATTCTCTATATACTCGCGGACTACCGATATGTTATCGCCTCATAGCCGATCGGGGCGGCAAAGCACTGGTGGTGACTAATAGGACTGCGTGTATTACGCGTCTTATGCCGCGATTCCCTCTGCGAGTCGCCATTCATACTCGTCTGCTTCGACCCCAGCATCCATCATGTCCATGTCGACCTCCATGCCATCCCAATACTCTATATCATCTTCTTCCTCTGCTTTGCGCTTGTAATCGCTTGGTATTTCTCCACACACGTCTGCTGCGACGCTGGCCCACTCTGCCTCGAATTGAGGGCTCCAGACAGAGCCAGTACCCGAGTATTTGCGCGGTGCGTTTGAATAGCGAAGCGTATCTAGTAGCGGAAAGAGTGCTTTAAGCTTGGCACTGACTTCCTTTGGCTTGCCGAGGCGAGGATAGGACGCGCCGACAAACAGTGTCCGAAGCTGCGACTCGGCTGGTTGCATCCGCTTCTCTACGGAAGCACAGTCAGCAAGAGGCTGGTGCTGTTTATTTTCGCATTCATAATATGGAGGCGTCATTGACAATGTGTTCTCTTGTCTGGGAGTTTCGACAGGGACCTCGACCGTGGACTCGATGGACAAGTCGAGTGCGACGCCAAGGTTGGTGATTTGCGGGGCATACTGGGATATCCACTCGAGGGATCGCATCGTGGTCCTTGGTCGCCAGCCTGCGGGTGCCCATTCCGGAGCAGGGCTTAGGACAAGAGATGTCAAACAAGGAAGCCCTTGTATAAAAGAAATGAGCCCTGCATCGTCGAGTTGGATAGGGAACCCTAGTTCGATGGAAAGAACTGCGAGGTCGCGTAAAGCGGCGAGGGGGGAAAGATGAGCAAGTTTTAATGGCTGATGCAGAGTCGAATCTAGTAGTGATGTTATAAGTGTGAGTGAAGTTAAATTGGGACTATTTTCGGCAATGTGCATGAAGCAATGGGCAAGCGAATCGGTGTGGGCGAGCGTAAACGTCGAGATGGCGAGTCGAGTAAGTGGAGCTCTAATGAGATTAGAGAGCGTCGTGTTGACGATGTTGATATCTGCAAGGAGGATCATCTCCTCGAGCGCGGGGAATTCTCCTGCTTGGGCTCGATGGGCGAGCAAATGTGTGAGGAATGACTCCTCTACACCGCATAGATCAATCACAAACTTGCGGATGGTCGGATGCTGACATAGGCCTCGAACAATGTATGCGCCAATTGAACCGACGTCGAGCGTTAAGGTCTCCAACTTGCAGAGAGACTTGATTGGGATCACAACGTCACTGACTGCCCACAGTCTTTGTAATCATCAGATGTGTGCAAACTACAGAAAATCAATACACACTTGTCAATGTTAAGATGGAGCTCCTTCAAGTTTGGAGCGAGATCGGCAATGGTGCAAAGTAGACCACCAGTCGTGTCATTACGTTCGGCAGAATATGTCTCTGCACCGACGAGATTGATGGTGAGACTGCCAAGTCCCGGGGGTACCAAGATGGCACAGAGCGTCAGCGAGGTATCGACCGACGCTGTCCATTTTAGTGAAACAAGGTTTGGGAGAAGTGGGTTTCGTTGAAAGTGAGCGGGACGTTGAACCACAAGCGCGATGAGGGCTGAAGCCACGACGTCGCGTCCCTCACGAAACGCGAGGTGACGGACCAAGGTCGAGTAGCGAGTATACGCCGTCCAATCCGAAGGACGAAGTGATCTCTTGAAGCGCTAACATATTCAAATTTTCAAATACGATTCCAAACTGGTTGTCATACTCACCCAAAACGTTGGCGCATGACTGCCGTTTGAAAACGCGTCTGTGGGGAACAAACGCATCAGGGGAAGTAGAGAGTCGAGCTGTTCCCAGATTATCCTGAGGGCAGGCTCCTTCCATGCTCTGCACGTCACAGCGCAGCTAGTGAGCGATCGTTTGGGTGAGTCAAGAGAGCATGATTCTAGACTTTGAAGGTGACGAAAGATGATAGTGAGTAATTCTGAGACGAGAAGGGCCGGATGCATTCTTTTCTGAGCCTGACTTGAAAGGTGTCGATACAAAGAGGTACGTCGTGATTTGTATTTGCAGTTAGAATAGTTGAACAATGATTTGAGCTTGGTCTTGAGAGTGGCGATACAAAATCCGAGTGGCTGATGGCGTGCACACGCCCGTTTTTGGAGAGAACACTGACTTGAGGAGATGATTGAAGGGCTTGAGATCCGATAGAGACACTGATGGGTGTACAATTCTGGTGGTGAATAAGTAACCTAGGCTAACACCATTCAAATCGCACGAATTCAGGAGGAGCGACCCTGTGAGGAGTTATGTCGCTGTAATGAGAGAAATAGACTGTAAAGATGTTGTGCAAAAGGCCTTGAAGATGGTCGAGGTGCGCTTCAACATGCCTCCTGTTTGTCATTTGGGAATTCTTCGAGGACACCTTTGCCAGCCAAAAGTCGACGAATAATGGTCATAATGCGTAATATACTCTCCTGATATGTGGTCGGTGTGTTTGATGCAAGAGTACGGGTACACCTCCACCAAAGAGAGGTAAGATGTGTGTCTATACTAGTATGATTGAACTCCATAGGCGATTGTGCTGGCCAAAAGGGTTTTCCAAGTCGGAGATGGGCTAATTAGCGCAGCTTGAGCAAGCAGAGTCCAGACAGACAGAAAAGCAATCTTTACAGGATCGAGACCCGTGTGCTCAACGATCATTTAGAGAATCACACACCCCTGGAATCAGCAGCCCAAGCATCAGCCCCGAGGCTCGTGAAAAGCGGGGAAACTGATCTCTCCACACATGGCAATCTCTGAGAATCTTGTGATTCGAGACTCTACTCTCATCTTGGCTCATCTCGGACGTTATGCTCGGCTCTCCGTTCGACGCAGCACAAGTCTGGTCATATTCGACGTGATGCATGACATGATCAACCAAATTGGAAATCGAAGGACCTCCTCGAAGGCCATTTGCATATGGTCCGCTTGTCAGGCGCCAGCCGACCAAGGACGAAACCCACACCACGCGGTTAATTAGCGTCAATGCCAAACGTCTTATGCTCACAATGACACTCGAGAACAAGGAATATGATGAGAAAAGCATGTATTGAATGCTCCATAGTTCGAGATCCATGCAATGTGACCGAATCCATGCTACGAATCCGAGAAAGTGAGAATTGAACAAAGCGAACAAAATCATGGAAAAAAAGATGCATGAGATAGTGATACAGACGTCGTCCAGCGCTTGAACGACGCCAATGCATGTACGAGAACCAGTCCGAATGGGAAAATCCAATGCACTAGTTGGCCCGCTTGCGAAGACGGGATGCAGGCCGTGGGCTCTTCTCGTGCTCGACGTCCCACTCCTCTTCGTCGTCTGTTTCATGTGCCGAAGAGCCAAAGCAGCACCACCAGCGAGTCGACCGTTTCTTAGTCTCCTTTTTGGGCTTGGCTTCGGCACCGGAGGACGACGAGGACGCCTTGGAACTCGAGATGGAGAAGAGCTTTTTCTTTTCCATGGGTTCGGTAGTGACGGCAATAGTGGCCGATGGGGCGTGTTCAGCCTCCCAGAGGGCCCATTGCCGCTCACGCTCCATATCGAGAGCCGTGACCGCCGGCTTGCGTCGCATCATCCCACTGGTGGGGGCACTTGTCGTCACAGGAGAAGTGCTGGCAATGGTCGTGGTTGGTGTGACGAGTTCAGTGTCATCAGTGGAATCCGAAGACGATGCGGTACTCGAAGGGGCTGTCGAGGGGTTTGGAGTTGAAGTCCGAATCGTTCAACGGCAACGTCGACGATATGAACGGGTACAGCTGGTTTGCTTGCCATTGCCGCAGCACGTCCGGTCCGTCGTGGAGGGGTTGGACCCAGTGGAAAGGGTGAGGGTCGTGTGCCGTGGACGACGAGGGGCGCGTCGGGTTCAACCACACGCGGTGGTCTGGCTGGGAGGGGTGGTGGTGAGGGCAAAGTGGCTCGCCGTCTCGAGTTTGGCGAAGTCGAGGGAGTACTCGAGGGAGTATAGGGGAGATCGTAGAGCATCTGCATCGGGGTTTGAGGTTTGCGGAGACCTATGGAGCAATATAAATACAAAACCCCCCTGGAGTATGTAATGAGATACTAACCGGTAGCAGACGATGTCATCGTCGATGGCGTAGTTTGGTGATGTCGGCGCACGCGTGACGATGAGTCAGCATAACGTCCGTAAGCACCAACGGTTCCTCTTCTTGTCGGCACAACCGGAGCTGGGCGTGACGAGGCCCGAGGATACGCGGAGGAGGCGGGTGCAGAGGTGGAGGCCGGACGGGCTGGACGCGACGACGACTGAGGATGGTAGCAATCAGCAAATGGATCCTCTTCATCTTCTTCCCAGCCAGCAGCCGCCGCCGCCTCGAGTACAAGCGGAGACTGACTCGCCACGGACAAAGGGCTCAGCCCATTAGCAGCCAGCGCCGTCTCGTCAAAGGGCGACATGTCGTATTCGTCACCAAATACATCTCCAGTTGTCGCCTCGGGTTGCCTGTGGATTTGCCAGGACGAGGCAATGGCCGACGACGAAGAGGACGAGGCGAGGGGACTTGATGTGCGCGGAGGATGTTGCATTCGATGCATGTAAGGATGTTGTGGTTATTTTTGTCTATCGTTGTTGGATTGTGGTTAATCCCCCAGAGAAAGTGGGCGGTGGTTCGGGTTCAAGCCGTTTGACCTTTGAGCGCGGGGGGACCTTATATGCCTCTGGCGAGTTGGCCGGCCTATTCAATCGTCAGATTGAGCATGGCCTGCCTCGCGCTACAACTCAATCCCACCCGCCCGTTCCGCACTCGTTATGATCACCAGCACGCTCGCTCTTCCGTGTCTTCTCCCCCAAAATGTTTTCTAGTCAATTTTCCCAATATTCACGAATATTGCTTACTCACTGCGCGATGACTAAACTGCCGAGGGTCTGCGCAGGCGCCCCCATGTGAACCGCGCAGTCATTACCTCCGAGTAAGGCGAGCGCCCATCCAGATCGGCCTCGCGTTCCGTCCGCCCTATGCCATTCATTTCCACCAACCAATCACCATTCCGCATTCAGGCATGCTTCACGAAATGCGTCGCAAGCATTCCCCGGGTGTCCATCCGAGTCTCCTTTTCACTATTTACTCGTTGCTCGTTCGACTTTTTGCCCAAACCCTCGCTTCGATCGATCATATGGTGTCGACAGGTCCCCAACCCATGGAAACCACCACGATCATGCCGCACGCTCGCCACAAGGCTATAGCAAGGCCCCTTTTCTTTGTCCTCACTCTCTGCAGCGTTCTACCGGCCCGACACCGAGCCACCTTCGATTTGTGATCTTAACCAAATGGTTGAATACACGAGCCCGATTGTTCATTTGCTATTCGTTTCCTTGTCAAATGTCAATGCTCCCTCCTGTGCAGTGTACGACCACAAGAAGCAACTGTGGCATGCTGGGGCGAGGACCAACTTGCCCCCCACATCACGGCCTCGTACCGAGTTTGCACGGCACTACAAGTCATTTGACACTTGTGAAAAAGCCGTTTAGGGTACCTATGCACAGCTCCTGAGGAGAGGGGAACCAGCTAGAATATGCCGGGTTCGGTCAACCAGGCGAGTCGCACCGATGCCGGATGCAACGAGCCTGCAATGCCTAACGAGCATGTAGTACGGTCTCTTGAGAGTGGGTTTTTTCTCCAAGAGTACGTCCCCGAATCGGCAGATAGGTTGCCGGACAGGTGTCCAAGACTAGGCTCCTTCCCTGCAGCTCGAGTGTGGTCCAATCCACTCTCCCCACATCTTTGCAAATGGATCATCTGAAATGAGTAATTTGCAAGAGAAAAAGTAAACTGGAGGAGCCTGTCCTAACCAGTCCTTTGTACAAGTGGATGATCGACCCGCAATACACTCGGTCAGATCCGAGCCCAGCCAGTAAACCCCAACTCAAATCCCTTCCAGGTCCAATCCATACTGGCAACCGGATTAGACGCTGACCAGCGACTGTATGGCCAGGCGCCTGAGCAGACTCGATGGAGCAATTGTCACGTTTCTGTTCTCGACCCATGCTCTTGCCTTGCTGGCCCAGTCATCCTCGAATAGCTCACTCTCTTCTAATGCCCATTCACGAGTCGCGCACGCACCTCTCCTGCTCCACAAACCCAGCTCGCCGGCGCCATCTCACCTCGGAGCTCCTTTCTCCCCTCCTCTCTATTCTTCTGCTGACGTGCTCAAGCAGATTGTCAGAACGAACATCTGATATTTTTTGTTGACGTCGTACAGATCTGATCATATCAATATTCGAGTACAGTATCAGATGCGAGTGCTGGCTATCAGATGGTACCGTGATATGAATCAGATGGATCGACTCGCGCTCTACACTACCCCAGCCCTTTGCCTTTGGACCTTTGTCGGAATCGGTCGAATGGGCCTTGTGACTCGGAGACGGCACCTACTCTCTCTCTCTCTAATGGTCCTTACCAAGATCTACCATTATCCGGCACGGGCATCGGCTCGCATCGATTCCCGCCATCGCCGCCATCTCCCTCCTTCTCGAATTCCACTACCGAAATCTTAGTCATCAAGGGTATCCCAGCAATATCGAGCCCCATCTACGAAACGGACAAAAGCGTATTAGGGTCGTTATTTCAAGAGAGGATACAACATCAACGCAACTCGTACCGTCAGTGGAAATTCGGGTGGTCTCAAGCATAACATGTCCTGTGCAGGAATAGAATCCTCTTTCTACTTGCGATGAGATGACCAAGCGCCGGTGGTTGCGCCACTCGGCCTCTGCCTGCACAGTCATAGTGGGTGGCACAGCCCGCATACCGCCCATCCCATATTGTCCGCCACAAAAGCGCCCGCAGTCGACAATAGATGGGAAACACCTTTCAACAGTTATTAGACATCGGAAGAAAAAACTGCGGAAACGCCGACACGGACGGATGTATTACGTAGTGTAGACAATTGAGCGCCGGCACAAAATAAGTTTGCAGCTGGCGTAATGCGATCCGCCAATATCCCGGCAACGGCCACACAACCACGTCGCTGTTCGGCCTTGCCAATATACTAGGTATACGTGGCACAACTGTAAGTATGTGTTGCTGGGCCTTTGTGATTACTCGGAATAGCATTCATTCCCTGCTTGTAGCGTAGATCCTGGATCCCTCCCCTGCCCGCCAGGTTAACAGTGCACCGGAGAGTTTTGCCTACCGGTCTTGCTGTTCAATCCTCGGGAGCGACGGACTCCCATACGAACCCTGCTCGGCAGATTCCCTAGCTTGTAGATTTCGGCCCAGAAATGCGTCCACGTCTGATAATAATGGCTCGAAATGACTAAAATCTTTTCTGCAATTATCCTCTGAAGAGTGAATTATACTAAAAGAACATAATCTAAAGTGGCAACCAAGGAGGTACTACCTCCAACCCTCCAATACCTCACGATTCGTCGTGGGCTTCGGGGGCTCGGGACGACCTTTAATGTTTTCTTCAAGCTTTCCAAGATCTTCCGCATCCCTTGCCAACGTAGGGTCTCTCTTGCCATACAAATCCGTCTTGTATGCCTCTGGTAACGTCGGAGGGTCCCTAGGGTCCAACGCCATCGAGCTGTCGGCACTCTTCCATGCAGGCTCTCGCTCCTCGCCACGACTAGCGACGCGTCCACGACCTTCCCATACCCCTCGGGCAGGACTGAAAGACTCTGTTCGACGCCCGTCTTCGCCCTTGCCAAATCGTTTCGTTCGGCCATCTGTCATGCCTAGACGCGCGAGGAACGCGTCTGAAACAAACGGTGCATGCGGTAGTCCGCAGGCTTGTGTCGTCCAGTCCTTGACGCCTTGAACGAGCACCGGACGCTGGGCGCGTACTTCGCCAGACTTGGGAATATAGTATCCAAGAAGCGATACAAAGGTCTCCCGTATACTCTCTTCGTCTAGTCGTGGGAGAAGCCCTTGATCGCTGCAGGAATGCCTTTAACCAGAGATTTGAGAGAGTTAGTCGATGAAAATGCGGCTTCTTTTTCGTGATCCAGCTTTCCTGCACGCCTTTTGATCTCTTCGTCTAGCTCATCCACCGTCAGTGGTTCCAACGGGGCATGCGTCAACTGCCATGTCAAGTAGCCCATCTCCCACGGGAGGAGGACCAAATCCCCCCGTCCGTGAGTGCCAGATCCACGAGCAGCGTGCCCTAGTCGTAGGAAATACAACGGATCACTCGATGGGATCCCAATCTGAATCACCCGTGTCGTTTTGGGGAACTGAATCGTTTGGGACGAAAGATCGGTCGTGACAAGGATAGAATGACCCGAATTCTCATTCACAAACCCATCGAGGGCTTGTGTTCGTTGCAGCATAGACAACATTGAGTGGATCGAGTACACTCGGGTCTCTTCACCCGCTGGCAAACATGACGAGCGCAGCTCGTGTACGAGTGTCGTAAATAGCTGTGTCATCCTCGTTGTTGGTAGATAAATAATCGTTTTAGAACGCTGCGGGTTTTTCATTTGTTCGTGGGCCAAAAGTTTCATGAGATGCGGGAGCTGATGCTCGGCGCTGGGAAGAATAGTATGGAACTGAGGTGTGTCGCTGTGTGGTGACTTGTACTCCGGCGCGACATCGACGGAGATAAAATCTGGGTCGAGCACCCGCTTGACGAGTTGCTGTACCGCCGTGCTCATCGTGTCCGTGACAACAAACGTCTGACGTTCTGGACTCGATGGCAAGTACTTGATGATCCCGTCGATGTCGTCTCGGTAGCCTTCCTCGAGTAGTTGCTCCGCATCGTCGATGACCAACTGTGATATTGTCAATCATCCGTGCGCATGAAATGGCCAAACTCACAAGTCTCGTATGCTTGACTGCGTCAGCTACGGCAGGCTCAGTTATGAGCAAGTCTCGTAGTCGTCCAGGGGTCGTCACAACGATATCTTTTCGACCCATTACCCAGTCTCTGAGCTGAATTCGCTTGCTCACTCCTCCAACGAAGAGTCGCGTCTCTATCCCAGGATGATGTCGCGAAAGCAGGATGGACTCGTTGGCGGTCGTAGTCGCTAGCTCTCTTGTCGGGCTCAGGATAAGCGTACCAACCCTCGAGAACGCGTATTCTCGCTTCAACTGAGTCTCCAAGGATTTATTACCCACGACGCCCTTTGCTGTGATATGCTCGGCGGCATAAAAGTCGATGGACTGGGCTCGCCTCGATGGCGGGAATCAAGAACGAAAGCGATTTTCCCGTTCCCTTTTCTGAGACGATCAAGAGATCCTTTCGATTCCCGGATTTTTCCGAACCTGGGTCTGCAAGGCCAGGCATCAGACTGAGAACGCGGTGCTGGACCTCTGTAGCGTGCGTATGTCGAAATGGCCTGACAGTGATAGCTTCATAACTTCTCTGGTGCAACTTCTGCTTTAAAGACGCGAACGGATGCATGGTCGGCGAGCCCTTTCTAACTTTTTGTCGCAGCGTTTTTGAAGACTCGGTAGCCAGAAAGTCCCCCACCTCCTCGGGAGCACCGTCTCTGAGCTTTTGGATCATGTGTCCAGGGAGTTTGTCGACAGCGCCCCCGTTTGCTTGCAACTCGTTCATGAACAATGCTCGCCTCCTAAAGTCATATTTGTTCTTGAACGACTTCTGATTCGACGAGTATCTGCATTGCACGAGATGTGGGACTAAGTAAGGTCAGCATACGACGCGTCGTTTACGCTCCTTGATGGCTTACCAGCTCGACTGGGCCCAGCTCGACAATTGGCGAGAGTAAAACAGAGCTTGAACGGCCGTGCGTTTAGTCCGCATACGTTTTCTATCGCTTTCGACCCCATGTATCACCGCGGGTCAAAGGGTGCGGGTTTGAGGTGGGCTGCATCCACAAGCAAAGGCCTGGACGAAGTTTGTGCTGATACAAGGTTTCCTACGGCTACAGAAAACAGATATTGCGTTTACATAACGTCAAATAACATTTCCTATGGCGAGTTGACCACGACCTCTGTTCCATTCGCCATTGTCTTCTTGCCTAGCTGCTTCAGCGCAGACTCCGAGGCCATCATCCCGGACGGGTGAGGAGGAATGAAGCTTTCCATTTGTTGCTTGATCTGCTCCTGCAGCACTTCATTTCCTGCCGCAGCTGCGACAAAGCCCAGAAACGGTGGCGAGGGATTCAGTGGTCGCGTGCAGAATTCCGGATGAGCTTGGAAGCCAACGAAATATGGATGATCTACAAAATACATTAAACAGTGTTGAATTGTAAACTGACGGCGTACCGCGAAGCTCCATGACCTGCATTCGTTCGCCCTTCTCGTCTCGTCCGACAAATTCGAGATCTCCAGCAGAGGTGAGGCGCTCGATGTACTCGGGGTTGACTTCGTATCGATGGCGGTGGCGTTCCCAGATTGTCCCCTTGCCGCCATACAGCATTCTAGATTTACTCCAATCTTCGCTGCCCGGTTGGAAAATAGTGGGCCGTAAACCCAGCCTCATTGTCCCTCCAAGATGTGTCTTGGAGATTTCGGGCATGTAGATCACAACAGGGTGTTGCGTCTCACCATCAAACTCGGTCGATGTTGCCCCTTCGAGTTTGCAGACATTCCTTGCCCATTCTATGACGGCCATTTGGAAACCTAGGCAGATGCCAAGGAAGGGGACCTTGTATTCACGAGCGCGTTTGATGGCGAGAAGCATGCCTTCTGTTCCGCGTTGCCCAAAGCCCCCTGGAACAAGTATACCTCTGTGTTCAAGGTAAGAATCAGCGCAAGAGAAGCAATTTTACCGACTGTGCGGCCACGACTCGTCTCCAGCCATCATAGTATTGGACAGGATTGTTAATCTTATGGTCTGGTTCCAGGTGACCAGCAGCGACCCACTACGAATTGTCAGTATATGCTATGTAGCTGGATATATGAAGGTACCTCTAGTCGAAGCTTTCGACGACAACGAGAAGCAGAGTGCTCGAGGGACTTGACGACAGACATGTATGAGTCTGGCATATCTGTATACTTTCCGACCAGGACGATTGAAACTTCGTCCAAATGTTTGTTCTTCCTGTAGGATGTCAGACCAGACAACGCAGAGCAGGGCTCATACCCGATCACGTCTGTCATATCCTTCCATCGTTTCATGAGCTTCTCTCCCTTATCATGAAGCTCTTTGCTGACAGAAACCGAATCTAGCCCAAGACGCTTCTGGAGAAACTTGATGATATCCTGATTTTTGAGCAAGAGAGGAACGTGATAAACCGAGGAGACGTCGTGTATGCCAACGACTTGATCAACTGCAACATGACAGAACATGGATATCTTCCGCTTGGTTTCGATCCCTAAGGGTTCTCCCACGAGAACGCGACATGCCACAAGATCAGGCATCAAGCCCAATCCTCGCAAGTCGCGGACAGTGGCTTGAGTAGGCTTCGTTTTTTGTTCCCCGTGCATGTCTGGAACCAGAGAGACATGGATCAGGGCAAAATTGGCGTGTCCGACCCGGAACTGGAATTGTCGCATTGCCTCGATGAAGGGAGCCGACTCGATGTCCCCAACGGTACCACCAAGCTACCCGAGAATAAGACTAGAGATATCAAAAGTGTGAAGAGGCTGACTTCGATGATGCAAATGTCTGGCTCTTCGTTTGTATCGTCCACTGGAATCTTGGCAACTCGCTCGATCCAGTCTTGAATGGCATTGGTGACGTGTGGGACAATCTATACTGTGTTACCACTGAGAAAAAGCTACCACCGTGACTTCTCACCTGCACCGTCTTGCCAAGATAGTCGCCCCGCCTCTGAACGAATGGTTTAGATAGAGAAGACGGAGGGACTTTCGCTGACCTCCTTTTCTATTACTTCTTTGTATATCTTTCCTGTAGTGATATTATGATCCCGAGAGAGAGTAATGTCCAGATAACGTTCGTAGTTGCCCAGATCTAGATCCACTTCTCCTCCGTCGTTTAGAACGTAGACCTCACCTGGGAAGGCTGTAAGTCCTAAAGCCTGGATGCTTTTTTCGCGGCCTACCATGCTCCTGAGGACGCATTGTGCCTGCATCGATATTCATATATGGGTCAATCTTAATAGATGTGACCTTTAGACCGGTTGTCTTGAGGAGAAGGCCCGTAGAAGACGCTACGAAGATTTCCAGCAGACCGTCTTTGCCACCCAAGAAGACCCACCAATTACGCCCTTCCCAATGCCGCTGATGACACCTCCAGAGACAAGAATGTACTTCATTTTGATGTCTGATCGGCTTTATTTTCTTTTTTGGCCCTTGCCAGGTACTGCCAGAAGTTGGTGCGGGCACGAAAACCTGGTGACCACTGGCAAATAAACTTGGACTCGACCACATATCATGCCACCGCGGGCGACAGTTGAAGAAGTCTACGACGATCCAGATGATCTTCCACTACCAAGCAAGGCGCTTCCAAATACTGGAACGCGTGGTGCGCTGCTCGAGGAGATCACGAGCGACGACGATGAAGACATGGAAATCCCGCTTCAACCGACGATCGCACCTCGTGCAGCACCTCCTGTAGCCGCTGGAGCATCCAGCAGCAGATTCACCGCGCCTGGTGTGCCTGCTGGGGCTCGAGTTACCACGGACAGGTCGCAGTTCAAGGAGTATGATCTCCTTTTGCCAATATCTTGACAAATCCTCATTATTCTCAGTTGGTTGCAAATCTATCCGATCTACATCGATGCTAAGCAGCCCTTCAAGTCGGGTTGCCGACGGATCGCTCGAGAGAAGAGTGTATGGTGGCCATTGAGTATGGATATTGCCCAGGCAGCGAGTATATTAGGATTGAATGTTGTTCACGAGGTACGACGACCACTTTAACTCGCATTGACTCACGTTTTCCAGGCGCAAGCCTTTCACCCACGCGATTGGGCGAACCCGGGTCGCGTAAGGATAAATTGGAAGGAGGCTGTGAAACAGAGAGCGCAGATCAAGACGAGTAAGTCGTCGAGTGAGTAGAAGGCAAGGCACTCACAGTCCATAGAGAAACAGTTGCTTGAGGTTCTTTCTGGTATTATCCAACAGAGACGACCAGAACTCGTTCCAAAGATTAAAACGCAAGATATGGCCCAAGGTTCAGAGGCGACTCAGGTTGCATCCTCATCCAAGGTTCCGGCACCGTCAAAGCACAAGCAACGAAAAGTGCACACGCCTCGCCCTCCAAAGCCTGCTCCACCCATCGCTCAGAGGCTCCCGAGCGTCTCACCCGCTGTAATATCTGGGGACCTTGTAAACGCCGTCAAGGCCGGTATGGACGCAATGAAGCAAACACAGTCAGAAGCGCAGCAGGCTGCAGCCGCTGCCGGTGTAGGAAAAGGGAAGCGAAAAGTCGTTCGCGTCCGTGGTTGAGAATTCTGAGAATACCATTGGTCTATCGATCCTTCACATGACTCTCATTTTCTCTTATCTCCGCAATATGATGCTTCTAAATCCATGAGTGCGCTTGGCTCCAGAGAGTCGTCGAGACCTGAGCGTCAAACAGGCGCCACACCTTTTCGTTCCGACCACGATGAACGCGTCGCAGTTGGAAGATCTGACGCCATCCGTTCGCCATCGAACTCTGGCTCAAGCCTCTCTAAAAGATGTGTCGTTTGTACGCCAGGCAGCAGCGGGTGGCTTGCGAGCGAGCGACCAGGGGCTTTGCCTCCTGCACTCACTGGACATCGAGGCCATTCTCCCTGCGCTGAAGCATAAATCTCCGCAAACCAGAGCCATCGCTATCAATGCGTTCGTCAAGGCCTGGTTTCGCCAAACTGAAACAAGCACGCCAGTCATCGACGCCATAGGAGGTGGCCTAGGTTTAGCCACAATCCTCAATGAACTCACCTTTAGAGATGCAAAGAAGCTCTCTGAAAAACTTGGACACAATTATCGTGGAGCTACCGATCCAAGAACGCAGGTGAACGACCAGCTCGTCTCGCTCTTGGTGCCGTCCATCAGCAATGATGGGCCAGTGCATCCCATCTCGCGACTTGGATCGACGCTAGCAACGAATTTTATTCCTGCATGCAGTCCCAAAATCGTCTTCGAGCTCCTGAAGCTCCTCGATGCTAAACGGGATAAAAATCACCTCCGACGTCTCTTACATACTCAACCAGAGGTCGTTGGAAACCTTCTCCTCACTCCATACGATGTCTTGGAGAACCCCAACCTCGTGTTTGACCAAGAGGACCTCAAGCAGCTCTTCTCCTTGCGGACAATCCGAACCCTGTCCACCCCACCGGGCCATCACTGGGGAGTAGACCTGTTTATCAAATGCATGTCCGCTCCGGAGTACCCTCGTCTCAATTTTGTAGCCGGCATTTCGAACAACATCGACTTGGGAGTGGTGCTCTTGAGGGCAGTCGACAAGACCCCATATTGGACCACTCTTTTGGAGCTTCTCATTTCACTGGGAAAAACGAGCAAAGCGAGAGGTTCAACCTTGTCATTTGACAGCTGGAAGCCTGTGGTCGTTAATATCGCTAGCAAGTTGTTGAAATGTGGAGATGGGATAATCCACGGCATATCTACAGAACGACTGAGGAACTACCTCACAGAGATTGCCAGCTCCCTCCAGCAGATTTCTATGGACAACGCAGTTGCTGCCCTGATGCCTGCGCTTGTTCCCAAAGCTCGAATCATAGTTCTGCGCTCCCTCTACCGAGTAGATGATCTCAGGACCTGGATGCATCCGTATCCTGCCGTCATCAAGGTCGCCACAATCGCCTTGCTCACATCGAGAGATGGCGAGCCCATCTTGAGGCAGGTTGAAAGGCACTTTGGCGACCATCACTACCTTTCGCATGCCTATGGGAGCACAGGACTCTCTAACATGTTCAATCTCCTTAATTCGGCCACCGCTGCCGAGCCCACGGATCGTGATGACGCTGTCTCCTCAACCGTGCGAGGCCGGTGGGCAAATTTAGAAGGGGATGAAGCCGGTAAATCGAAGTTTAAAGAGTGGTTGGAACGCTGGAAGCTCAAGACACATCATCAGCGAGAACCCGATGGACGGGTGAGGTATACTCGCGCATTGTTGATTATTGCGGCAATCGTCGAGGATCGTGAAATTCAGAAGACGACGTGGGCCTGGGTATTCGAGCGCTTTATCAAGGTACGTAGCATGCTCTTTGCATGTCCCAATACTCAAATGTTCTCCAGGATGTGAATGTCCGCCCGCAGGTTTTTCAGTCTCATATGGATCTCTACATTAGAATCCTAGTCGGGAATTCGAATGATCCTGTAGCTTCAGCCCGCATAGGAGACGAGATAGTGGGTGCTTTCATCGAAACTATGGCCGAAGCAAGGAAGGAGCCTGGATTCCACGCATTCAGCTTCAGGCCCATCTTCTCAATCCTTCGTAACATCCTCATCGGCAGGTTGGAGCTCTGTCAACGATTCCGGAAGGAAGGGACTGCAAAAGAGCTCATTGCACCGCTGGCAGACCTCTTCATTCGAGCGGAAAAGATTATGTTGGACGACCCTGGTACATTTGGCAGGCCTACATCGCATCCAGCCTGCTATAACGAGTCATATGGAACGTACACATTTAGCTCGCACAAGTGGTCCCCAAACAACAATGACTGGGGGTATAAAAAGGAAGTGAATCTTTCTCCCGCCTCTCGCAAGATCTTGGTTCGCTTCCTCGAGGATCTTGGTCAGACGCGAGATGGTATTTATGACGACTTGCGCTCAACCATCGGCGTCGAGACCGTCGAAGATAAGTCGTGGAATGGGAGATTTCCATGGCCATATCTTGTCGATCAGTCGTTTTTGAGGGACATCTCTGTGGATGAGTATGCACCTCGACTCATGGACCATCTGAAGAAGGTGAGCTATTCCAACAGGGTTGCTCATACTTATTGGGTGTAGATCATCCTTCTTCCATTGGGAGGGAAGACAGAGCCTATTCACCGTGTTTATTGGGCCTTGTGGCCACAAGCAATGTTCGTCTGGTATTAATCTTTTGTTATACAATCTGACCCATCTAGAAATCTCTATGCTGAAATAGCGCTCAATCGTGATCAGGATCGTGACAAGATGCTCCTTCCAGTCATAGAGCACTTCCATTCGCGAGGCATGACCAAAAACGGCCGTCACTTCGATTTAAAACCGTTCCTTCTGAGCAGTCAAACATTCATGAAGGCAGTATTTTCTAGCGAGGTGCTCGTCGATGCATTTTTTGAATCTTACAAATTGAACCGCGACAATTTCTCCGAATTCGAATTGGTCCCTGGAATTTGGGGCTCCCCACAGTCTTGGATCGACGCCTTCAAAGAGTATGCCGCCCGGCACCAGAAGCCGAGCACCCTAACTACAACGACGCTTATGGCAAATATCCTTCCACCAATCACTTGCCGAGGTTCGCATGTCATTCTCCGCCATCTTACCCTCGTATGTGCCATTCTATGGCTAGCATCTCGTCCAGGCGTTGAGACGGCGGATCAAGGCTATGACATGATCGAAGATGGGTCTACCGTGAACTTCGTTTCGCTATATGCGCTCATGGGAATGAATGAGAAGAATCGTGTACCTCTCGTCTTGGGTCTCACACACGAATATTTCCTCGCCGCGTGTATAGACTTGCTTTCAAAGGAGGAGATTCAAAATCTGTCCAACTCCGTCAAAACTCTGATTCCGGTCAAGGAAGACCAGCCACATCGAGATAAGGTCCTTCGCACATTGGCCATAGGTATACTCCAACGTTCCTCGTATCCGACGCTCCTCGAGGAGGATATCTTTGAGGTGCTACGAGACGTAAAGCGCTCGACCATTCATCGACACTTCTTTACTGAAGGTGAGCATCTAATAATAAACTTTGATGGAGGTAACCATTCTGTAGGGATGTTGGCAGTTGTGAGTCCAGACGAAAGCAGACGGCTTACGAGGTGAGATCAAAGTATCTTCCTGCAAGCTTTAATCCGTCGCAGGAAATTCGTCGAAGTGATATCAGAGGGCATGGCAGCTCAAGCCCAGAAGTCGGAGAAAGGCGTCTCCGGAAAGATGAAGAACGCGGAGAGAGGCATTCTTGCCATTCCAAAGGCTTTACGCCCCGAAGGTGAGAAGAAAGAGGAAGATGAGCCGACGGTCAAGCTCTCGACTATCAAATATCTCGCCACAATTGTCGCACAGCCCGTGACGACGTTGGATCCCGAGGAAAGTTGCAACGAATTGACGCGTCTTGCGTCTACTCAAAATGTTCATCCATCTGTCCAGGACGTCGTCCTCCAAAATCTCGTCCAGATGCTCAGGTCACAGATTCGTCTGCACGCTGGGCCACAATTGGAGCCAGTGTGGCGTACTTTGGAGGAACTGGCAATGGTCGCTGTTAGTCTTGACGAGCGTCGGATGCTGACGGAGAAAGACTGGACGCGCTCGAAAATGCCTAAAATAACACTCAGAAATACAAGACCGCTGCGAGTTCTTACTCTTGACATTGTCACTCTACCTCTCGATGTTCGACCGCATTGGGCCAGTCTCGTCGACAATATGTTCAGGACCCAGGCACAGCAGACTCATCGATGGCTGCTTGAGTATCTCAAAAGGAAAAAGATACCCGACTCGGAGCTCCAGTGGCTCGTTCAGGCGCAATTCGGGCCCTTGCTGCCTGAGCTTTATACGCCGTGCAATAGCGCTTACAAGTCTAATTGCAAATATCTGCCTGAGAACTCGTGGAACATTCGAATACTTAATCAACAAGCCATCGGATTCCTCTACGCAGACAAGTTGTACAAATTTACCGCACAACTGGACGACGCGGATCAAGGATGGTACACCAAAGAAGATGGCCAGCACTTTATCGCCCTGCGCAATCAATGGGGCAAGGGTCACCTAACGGCATGGGATACACTCGTCGGCGTTCACCGCGAACTTGGAGGAGAGGATAGAGTTGCCACACTGAAAGGCATCATCGACACTCTATTACAGCCATCCAATATGGTTATCATACCGGAACAACCCGAGTCGAGAAACACGCCCTGGGCCGTCGTTCAGCAAATGGTCGGTTACTTCAAACCTTCCGTGTTTGCTACACCACAGACGAGAGGGGAATGGAAGCAACATACTCGACCGATGTTGGAGTGGACGCTTGATCGAGTGAACCAAGCGCAGGAACAGGACGGTCTCAGTTCGGTCCTCTACTACAATCTGATTACGAAGATCAAGGTAGCCGGTTTCCGAACACGCTCTAAAGTGTGCTCATTGTTTCTATAGCTATTCCTCTTACCATTCCCCCTCGTATATGGGCCAGAGGCAACGTATTCACTATTCGTCGAGCAACTGTTTCCCCTCGCAGTGGAGGCACAGAATCGACCTCCTGCACTTTCGCCTCTGCAAAGGTTCCTGGATGACTTGCTAGGGCTTGTATCCGATCTACTGCCTGATACCCCGACGCTCATGACCGAGCTCTGCAAGAAGGGGGAGGCTTCTGGCGATGTCAACGCCCGTCTTCTCGCCTATCGACTCGTTCAATACTTTGGCGGGCGTGCCTCTGCTAGTCTGACCAAAGAGCAAAATGAGCAAGTCAAGCAGATCTTGGTGAACATGGAGGACCACCCAGACGAATACGTCCGCCTGCTCGCTCTGAGCCAACCCCAAACCAAGGACGGCGTACAAACAGTCTTGGCTGTGGAACAAATGGATTGGGCTGCAGAAACTGGGGCATCGGACAGCGCCGACTGGTAGATGTCTCATCAAATGGAGAAAAGGGGTTTCTTGGTCCATGAGTAACAAAGAATGTACAAAGCGTAGAGTAGTTATCAAGAAAAGAAACACAATGCCCCGTGGGCAGGAATGCACCATGCGAGCAGACCAAGTATAAGTGCGAACCGCGTGGTGACCAGATGAAAACGAACTAGGACCCGCTGCTGTTGTCTATCAAGAATAGGCTGGCGGTGGTGCCTCGGGGACGGCTGGATTCATGATGTCCTGCGCATTGCTCGTTGGAGCAGCAGTCGACGGTCCGGAACCAGATGTAGCCGCAACGTTTGAGCCCGATCCTCCCGCACCAGAGGTACTACTCAGTGCGGGACCGCTGTAACGTGCCTTTTCGGGCGGATACGCCGCCGTACCTCTGTACTGCGCCTTTTCTGGTGGGTAAGCCGAGGAGCCTCCACCTTGAGTGGCTGGATCAACAGTATTCGTCGCGGCGGTAGCGGCAGTCGGCTGAGATGAAGACGCGGGTGAAAGTGGTCGTGACTGTGTACCAAGGGGAACAGCCCAAACTGGATTCTGCGAATCTTCTGGATATGATTGCTGTTGCACGTCGTGCCGAACTGATGTATGAACGGATTGGTTCGTGAACTGTTGTTGCTGATGCGGAACAAAGCCCGGTATTGGGAAAGCCGCTGTTTCGCTCGTGAAAGCTCCGCTCGAATACTGAGACATTGTGGGTGCACCACTCGTGCTGGATACCACGGACATTGGCCGTGGAGTAGGCTGCGGGCTTGCGTGCGGATTCAAATAGCCACTGCTGACTGTCGAGGCGGGCGGCGACGTTGCACGAGCATCAAATCCGGCTGCCAAATGATGTTGCGTGTAGGACGCAGTCGAAGGCGGTGGTGTAGATACTGGAGTGGCAAGTAGTGCCGACGTGGGATCTCCTGGATGCCCGCCGCCTGGTCCAAAGCCAGGCTTTTCGGTTCTGGGCGAAGGTTTAGTGGCATGTCCGGGTGCTAGAGTAGGCAGAGTCGCTCTCTTGTCGTCAATCGCATCGATTTGCTGGGAAAGTCGATCCTTTTGCTTCCTGCGTCGGGCGAACCACCACCAAGCGAGGAGCAGTAAAGCAAGCGCAGCTGCACCACCCACAGCACCTGCATACTTTCAGAAATTTAAATCAGGGGGGAATAATGGAGCTTACCAGCGATAGCTGCGACAGGAGGACCACTCTTGCCGGTCGGGGGGTTCGTCGAACCACCACCGTTACCTGCTACAGTCGCGCTGCTACCTCCAGATGTGCCTCCAGACGATCTCGTGACATTAACACTGCGGTAGTCTCGTCAGTACGAGTATATAAAGTGGGAGAAATGCCATACACAAAGCGATCAATTTCGCAGACGTTTGGGTAGGACGCGTCCTTGACCTTGACCTCTAGCGTGTGCATACCAAGGTCTAGCGACCTCCCATTTGGACCGCTACTCGACCAGAGCAATATCGGGTCGTCGTCGACGCTGGCGTGACTATTGACGGTAGCGCAGTAGTATCCGTCGACCGAGACGTCGCAAGGACCATGGTAAGGACCTTGGTTACCCCAGTATTCGACTGCATTCTGAATCGGCGTTAGCAGCGCTCGCCTCGGGCTGTCACTCCGTTGAGCGCTCAAAACTCACCCCGTAGAAAGTTAAAGTCGCGGTGGCTCCCTGTCGATCCGTAAAGGTGTCTGTGTTATTGTAAAGGTGAAAAATGCTCTGGACATTGGCTAATGGCATGGTGAGCGAGTGTTGAATCTACTAGAAGCCAGGGGGCTTACTGTGTACAGTCCATTCTGCGCCTGCATACGTAACATTTGGCGAAGTATCGTCTACTTGGGTAGACTCGAGGACCGTTACCGACATTGCTGTCGAGAGAAGAGGTGAGCGGAGGTCGAGGATGGGGTCAAGAGGCCAAGCTGCAAACAATCCGTCAAAAGGCCAGCGCCGGGTTTTGCAAGCGGCGGGGGTATCGGTCGAGTAAACTGTCCAACCTGGTCTCGCATCGCGTTTCTTATCTAATTATGCACAAGGGTGCACACGCGGGACATCGGATTCAGACAGGCAGGAGGGTGCATGGCACAAGCTGAACGGGGAAATGGCATTCAAAGTCCATTCTCAAACAAAAAAAGAATGTCAAGCCCACAACGTTTCCAAGTTGTCAATCAGTCCCTCTCTTGTCGACCATGGGGTCAACGCCAGAGGGGCGCAAGCCATAAAGAGTACGATCCATCCAAGAATAACTCGTATTAGGTCCAGTTTTACGCCTCGGGAATGTCCTTTTCGCCCTGAGATCCGGGTTAGAACAGGTCGGTTGGCCGGAAATCCCAGGCAAGGCACTCACCATGCTCTTAAGCTTTTGGCGGATAGCCTCCTTCTTTTCATCAGACGTATTAGGGTTCCTCAAGGAGGCCTATAGAGGGCTGAGGACGGCAGGAGCGGCACCGATGCAACCAAACATACCTTGAGACCGGCAATAATCCTCTTGGGATTCTTGTCACCAGACAGATAGGAGGATGCTGCATTTGCAGAAGCCGAGCCTGGACCTGACTGGCGACCACGAGCGCGGACGCGATCCCCGACAGTCTCAAAGACTTCGTCCTTGGCCTCTTGTGCTGCATTCTTCTCGCGCCCGTGAACACGGTCTCCGATGGTCTATATAAACATATAGTCAGCTATCTCCGCTCGTGGGCCAAGAGGATATCATCGGCGGTAGGGTAGGCGAGGGGGGCACACAGTCGATCGCTTTATTCAAAAGGGCGACGTCAAGCGCCAACACAGAGTCGAGCGCGAACAAATTCCCTCCGATCACTGCAAAATACTTGCAATAGAAGCCGGAATCCGACTTTCCACGTCGAAAAAGTGGGATCCCAAAAGGGTAAAAGGGGAGGAAGCAGTCACTCGCCTCGAATTTCTCATCGCTCATGAGTTGCTTGAGTTTCTTCTCAGCGTTCTGCAGCGGAGAATCAGCCTTTGAGCAACGTGCACTGGAAGCGAAACTCACCGCCTTTGCCTCTGGGGTCGACTTTGAATTGGAGATGACGCTCTTGTAGCCAGCCATCTCGCGCTTCTGGGCTTGCGAACTGTCGTCGTCGCGGACAGAAAACCGCGGAGCAAGGCCGTTGGACGGGTCGGTCGCCATTGTCGAGGACGAGTAGGATAGGACACGAGCCAGTCAGCACGTTGATTAAGGCTTGTTGGGAGTATACTAACAATTCTGCGTCCGTCTTGGGCATTCTTGCGATTCGTTATATAGCGTGACGGAATAAGGCTATCTGTAGACGACGTAGAGCTTCAGAGCTGGACGTAGAGTGTAATCTGCGCGTACGTACGGTCCAAAGGAGACTCGGGGAGTGCAGCAACGAGGTCGTGTCGACGAGGTCGGGAGCAAGTCGAGTGCGTCGGCGCCACACGTCGCCGGTGCATTCTACGCCTTCCTCTGTATTCTAGATTATTATATTTATGAGTTTCAGATGTACATCCCGCTCCTTGGGATTCGTCCGTCACTTGGGCCAGGTGGTGCAAACCTTTTTTTTTCGTTGGACCCAACCATGTCGGACTGTTGTTTGCTAGGTCAGTCATTGTGTCATTAATCTCCTCTGTGATGACCCTATTCTCTTCCCCGGCTTATACGACCATGGTGAGAGACAGAGCTTGCTCCCCGTCGCTGGGGATGCCGCGTCTCGAACGCATAGTACGCTTGCCAGCGTCATTTCGTCTGATCTTTCTCGATTCTCTTTCGTTTCCACATCACTCACAACCTTTTTAAACAGTCTAGCTCACTTTTTTTTCTTGGGTTCAGTGGCTCGTGCTTGTAGCCTCCGAGGTTAGTGCCATATTCTCTTATATTATCCTCCATCGAGTCGACGATGAAAACTATCCATACATTCGCAGTTTCCTCTCTAGTGCCCTCCGCCAGGAGTACTCCCGGGCGTCCTGCGTCTACATTCCCCCGCCCAATGCGACCTGAACCCAATCGGTACGCGGGTGTGTGGGCCGGCATAAAGCTGCGCTGGACGTAGGGCCTGGGTCGGCTCGATGAGGGCGGTTTTGTCCTTCCTTGGAAGTCTGAGACTCTGTCTGCAGTCCATTTTGTGGGATATCTTACTGACTCTTTTCTGTAGGATATCTACTTTTATTGTAGTAGCATGTCTTGATAGTGGCCTTGAGAGTGGCCGGTATGCGTTGCTTTGTCGATGGGAATAAACAAACTTGGACCCTTCTGTATCTTTTCGCTGTATCTGTAATGTGCGAATGCAGTCAAACAACCTCGAAATCACTGTTAATGAGACATATTTTCTGTAGTGTGCTTTCTTGGATACCCCTGGTGCTCAGCGGCGTGACCAGTCGCTCCAGGTGTGTTTCTTCAAGCGTACACGCTTGCGGAGCTCACAAAAATGCCAGTTGTAAAGATCACCATGGTGTATACGATCATTCCGATCATTACGCTCGTTCTTGGTCTCCTATCGTCGGCCAATGCCTCTTGGAGATTCGACGCAAGGACGCTGGTGACCGCTCGTGTCGACCCACTAATATCACCAAACTCAGTGAGCAGTGTATGTATCCCCCGTCTGCTTCTTCTGTCCATTCACGTCTCCCCCTCCATTAGCATGTCCACGATTACGCCGGTGCAAGCAACTTCGGGGTAACATATGATTACGATAATATGAGAAGCAGCTCTTGTACCTCTTCGTCCATCTCTGTCGACCATTCTGGATACTGGATGCCTTCTGTGTACTACAAGAACCGCAATGGCTCATTTCGGCTGCTCAAGTCTTCTTATATCATCTACTACCTCCACCGCGGCACCAATATCAAAGCATTTCCAGCTGGATTTCGCATGATTGCAGGTACCGCGACGAAGGACTCTTATACCCAAGGCAACGCAGCAGACGAGGCCGTCAACTTTCATTGTCTTGGTCCAAACACCGAGACTCCCTTCTTTCCTGACCAAGCATGTCCTCAGGGTGTGAGGTACGCGTCTTGAGTGTGTTGTCATTTGTCGAGTAATTCTAACTGTGTGCAGGGTGCAAATTCTCTTTCCTTCTTGTTGGAACGGAAAAGACATTACCAGTTCAAACTTCAAGGACCACGTCGCATACCCCGTAGACGGCAAAGAAGGCAACACTTGTCCATCGACCCATCCTGTCCGGCTAATCACACTCTTCCTTGAGCACATCATCTACATGGACGACGTGGACTGGTACCCTGGATCTCTCGTCTTCAGCGAAGGAGATAACCACGGACGTTCGAGTCACGCCGACTTTACCATGGGCTGGGACAGTGGCTTCCTACAATCGGCCATTGACCAATGCACCGATCCGACGGCAAATAATATGTGCGGCCTCCTGTCGCAGCATCTAGACTCCAAGTCTGCAGACGCGTGTCAGCCCGCAAAGTATCTCCCGCTCGAAGACGTCGGATTCTACGGCCCAATATCAAAGCTTCTTGGAGATAACCCTGTTTGGGGCAATGGGATCACCAAAGCCACGACGGGCTCATCGAATACGCCGCCCTTGGTGGCCCCCTGGTCAGTCGTGAGTAGTGGATGGCAGGAATTTGGGTGCATCGACGAGGGCGATCCGTATACAAACACGATGAACGGAGACAAAGTCGTCGACCAATCCATGTCGCCGCAGATGTGTGTATCGCATTGCAACGGAAAGGGCTTTTCGCTTGCTGGCTTAGGGAGCGGTAAGCGCTTCGGAATGGAATATGTCCACTATGCTCACAATCATTGGAAGGCGACACATGTTTCTGTGCAAACCAACTGGATCACAACGGCCATCTCACAGTGGTGGACATGGCAAAGTGTCTGGACAGATGCAGCGGCTCCTGTACGTACTTTGTAGCATCTCATCTCTCGCATAAACTGATACAGGGTAGACTACGAATGGTGTGGTGGCGGCCGTAATCTGCGAGTATGGCAAAAGACTGGAGCGATATCCGCCGCCTCCAACTATTCATATCCACCAGCAGGAGCGAGGCTGGACAGGGTCTACACCGCCGATGGATCGTCTGTTCCCGTAGTCTCTGCACCAGGCTCAAGTCCTTCGACGATATATGGCCCGAATAATCCGCCTCAATGCCCACCAAGACACGCCTTGAGGCGCCGGAGTAACGAGAGACTCTTAGGACGGTCTCTCTATGCGAGGCATCGTCGCTATACCCAGAATCGACACTAGGATGCACACTTTGGAGCACTGTGCTCGTGGAGCATCTACATTGCACAGAGTAACTTGGAGGATACAATCATTATATAGATATTTGACGTGCTCTTAGAACAATTTGCAGGTTTGATAGTGTGCCGTCTTTGCCATCTGCATCGCCTGCATCGAGGCAGTCTGCGCAATTTTTCCTCCACACGCGTAACAAAAGTGCCTATAACATCGTCAGCATGGCCTTTGAAGATCTAAAGACGTACATGTTACATCCAGGCGTGCCGCAGCTGATTTGATTACATCCTCCGTCTTTCATGGCCATTTGACCACATCCTAAACGCATATTAGATACTCGAACATACTTATACGATATTAGGCGTACCCGGGCACTTCTTCCAGTTCTGTTGTGCGGCAAGGTCATCCATCTCTGCTTGGCCGTCACATGAATGCGTTTTTCCGCGTTCAACCTCTTGATGGCACTCCTTGCAAAAGTGGACGCCACACTTGAGAGGACAGTCGAGGACTTTGGTCTCCTTAAAATCGTCCAAGTCGACCCGAGCGGATTCGCGACATCTGTCGAATATTAGATCAAACGTACCTATGAGGGCACATTTTAGACGCACTTTGGACATTCGACTGTAATCGAGACACCTCCAAGCTAAATTTCTCAGAATTAGGGAGAGTGATCGTCTGGAACGCGAAGAGACCGACCTCGATTCTGTTCCACGCTTCGAATAACTTTTCATCTGCACCAACAAGTTCTGCGACACGCCGAGTAACCACTGCCAAACATTGTCAGCCCAGCCACTCTGCGCCGTCAATTAGTCCTTACCTCCTCTCGAGACCGCATCAGGTGCACACCCAGGACAAAACACTGGCCAGTGCCTCTGCTCCACCTGAGCCTTGACCTGTCCCAGCATACACTCACGACACACGACATGGTCGCATCCCTGTGCACGCGCGAGAGCCCCCTCATCGAACGATTCCGCACAGACTGCACAATCAAACTCCTTATACTGCCTCTGAAGTAGCTCGAACTGACGGATTTGCTCCTCTTCTTCCATGTACATTTGTCGGATTTGAGCTCGTGATGCCTTGTCAAGGTCCTCATCTTCCATTTGGGCAGCTAGTTTGATTGCTAGCCGCTCGTCCTCTTCGATCTGTGTGTCATACGAGGGTGTGGATTGTGGATAAAGGACTGGTGGCCTTCTGACCGGTGAATGGCCGACTGCTCGAAACATGCCTTCGTTCCGCGATGAGATTGAGCCTGCACCTCTCGGAGTGGTGCCATCAGCACCCCTTTCACGCTTGATAGGCCGGGTGCTTTGGGTCGTCACTTCCGAGGACACGCTCGTTGCTCGCTGCCGGGCGGCTGGAGTTGGAGCAGGAGCATCCTCAAACGCTAACTTTTGAGCCAGTGCCAATGAAGCCTCTTCCTCGGCCATTTGCGCTGAGAGTTCAATCGCCAGACGCACGCTTGCGTCTTCCTCATCCGACTCGTACATTGTCGAAGCGGCGACAGTGGCGTCATGTCGATTGTCGCGAGTATGATCATGATGTTGTTCACGATAGTTATGATCCGCTTCATAGTGATCACGCCCGCGTATGCTCCGAAGCCGTTCCATCTCTCGCTTCAAGGCTTTCTCTCGGTCTTCAATCAGACGACGTGCTTCTGCTAGCTTGCGGCTCTCCTCTTCGAGAAGCCTTATGTGGGGTGCTTTCTCCATTTCATGTTCTTCGTCGAGCTGCGCACTTTTGCGAGCTGTACCACCCTGCATCGAATGTTCGTTGTGCTGCGTCCCCCTGCGATATTCTACGCCGCGCGGCGTCTTGCGCTCCCCTGGGTGCTGCCTTTGATTTTCTGGTTTCCTTGGGAGGTGTGATTGACTGCCAGTGCTGGGTGTATCAGGCGGCGTTGGAGGAAATCGAGGCGAGGGACGCGCCACCTAAAGAAACGTAAATATATATACTAATGTGTCATCAAATGCCGAACCGAAGGAGTTCTCGCCGAGACACCAGTTGCTTGATAAACGAAGGGAGAGAGCGGCTTTGCCCTTTCGCTCTTCTAATGACGCTTCGTTAGTAGCTAGATGTACCATTCACAGCTCATTGCTTACCCGTGATTTGCCACTTCGCAGACTACCTTCACTCGGTATGGACCCCGAGTAGGCTGTGTCCGCAAAGTCATCGCGCATCACATGGTCTCCTTGAGGATCCAGGTCTGGACTAGGTGATGTATCAGGAGGCGACGAAGTCTGCATCACAGTATTTGTATTTGAGTCATCCATCATTGCAGCCGTGATAGCCTGACTGTCTGCCAACTCTTGCTTCAACTTTCTGATGACCTTTTTCCTCTCCTCAAACGACGTTTGTGCCTGTTTAACCACCACTTTCTCCTCGTCTATTTGCCTTTCCGTGTCAGCTATCGCCCTTGCGCTGGTTCGTTGTGTCGCATGGGCCTTTGCAAGCTCCAATGTTGTTCGGAGCAGGTTTACGTTTGCGTGATAGACTGCTGTATCGGGATGACCGGCACCTTTGCGTCTCCGACTGATCAACGGTTCGGTGTAGGGAACGAACACGCTCGCCCCATACACGTTGCGAGACGTGGCTATTAGATGGGTCGTGAAGATATTAACGATGTTGTAGACATGTTGCGCTGTCGATTCTGCTGTGGTGAAGAGGCGGATGGAGGCACCGGAGAGATCTGGCGAGGCACGGCATCGCGGGTTGAACACAACAAAATATTCGACACTTTTATGCATCTTTGCAACACAGAGCGTGTCGTTTTGTCCAAATATTACGGCAGCGGCGAGGCGTGATTGTAGAGTTCTAGGGTGTATTGAGTAGCCGATAATGGAACAAATACAATCTCACTTTATCAAGTCTAAAATGCTTTCTTGTGTGCATAGGTGGTCGGCGAGACTGCGTTCCTCTCGAATGCTCTTGGAGAACAGGGGCAGATCCAAGAGATCATCCGGATCGGCATTCGTCGTATGATCATACTCAGAACCGATAGAAGTTATATGCTAGGCTATTTAGCTCCATCCATAGGACACTGACAGACCTCACCTCGGTGGTTACGCCCTGTAGTCTCTGAAGGCACTGTTGCGCTCCGGCGTTGGAAACCTCGTGGAGGAAGACGCGTGCGGCATTGAAGCATACCAAGGTCCTCACTTGTGGCGATTCGGTATGGAGCGTCGAAGCGTCGCCGCTCGTGAGTATGCCTGGCTTGAATTGTGAGCTTTCGTCGTCCGAGCCTTCAAGCGGCGAAAAGTAGACGCTTTCTGGGGAGCTTGGTCGAGAATCCATGGGAGAAAATGTGGCAAGGTCCAAGTTGTAGAGTGTTGGGTTCAAACGAGGCCAGATGGCTTTTTGTGTACCTGCTGGATGCTTTGAGGCGCAAATCGAGAATGGAGCCTGACAGTCTCTGTGGCCGCAATCTGGTCGGAGATAGTTTGTCAGAATGCATTATGGTTTGCTGGTATGCCATTCTCGACGGCGCTCGACAATGAGACAGCATATTGTCGACAATTGAACATTGTATATGATATGTAAATGGGCTTCCAGGTGACACCCTCGTCCGGCAAATGTAGAAGGATCCAAGGTTCACTTGCACGACATTCGTTGAACAAACTATTTGGCCACCTTTTCCGAGACTTTGGAAATTTTCAATAATTACTAGGCCAACCTAGACGTCAACCAATCGGTTGGAGTGGATACTTTGGGTACCTTGGAGTCAGAGAGCGTCGTAAAGTTGAATGGAGCGTACTGAATTGGGCACCGGAGGAATGCTCCACTATGCGTTCATCGGCCTTGGTGCGCATAAAAGGAGCCCATCTGACACAGTCTCCAAAGTCAGAACAAGCTTTAACAAATTGCAAAATCATGACGCTCGCATCTGCCCTCGGTCTTCGCCGCTCCCCAAGGAACCATCGGTCCCATGCCGCCAACCGCAATGCCGGTCTCAAGGTGTGTTCGTCCTCTATGTAGAAGAACACGAGTCTGACTAGAGATTAGTCTGCCTTGACCAACCCGAATAGTACCCATGCAGGCAGGGCCCAGGCTAAACACGAACTACACATGCGCGGCCAGAGTGCGCATGTCCCCCTCATGGCAAAGGTCAAGCGTGCACTTGGCATGCACCAGACACCCCGTCATCAACGTAAAGTTAACAATGCCAGAGCCCGCGCTCGCAGGCAAGCCGGAACGACTCGCAAGACCCACCGTCGTCGCCACTACTAAATAACCAAATATTAACATCAAGGGAGATATGTATACGTACTATGTAATTCCACGGACTATTGTAGCCTAGCCAAACAAGAGAATTTTTGGACCGGATTCGAAATGTGCGAGTGAGATTAAGCCCTCTCCATTGCATGCGAACGGTCTACATTAGAGGTTGTGCGGAAGCTACTCTTGTCCTGCATCGAATCTGCTACTGTTAAGCCTATGCATTTGTTATACAGAGAATACCCACCATTATTAGATTTATACTCTAGTATCGTCGCTGGTCCCAACTGAAGTACTTTTCGAATTGTATCCCTTATACCCTCTTTAGTCGAAGCCAAGGTCCCGAGGCAGAGACATACCGAATCCGGGCACGAACGGCCTCGTCTGCGCCCGACTTGTGCCATATCGCAAGGATATCCTCATTACTCCGAACACTGATGGTACACCCACAAATCTCATCGGCAAGCCAAGGCTCTTCCTCTGACCTGTCCGGAACAAACTGCTCGCCAATGACGGCGAGCACAATCTCCTCCCACACGCGATCCGCTACACCCTTTCTGAGCCTAACGATCCACTTTCCACCACGCTCATTCACTGGGTCTTCCCATACTGGCCGCTTGACTGCGCTGTGGAAGAGCAGATAGTCCGTCGTAGGCGTGAGGAGGGATGGTGGGTTGAGATGCGTATACAACGACCAAAAGGTCTCGAGGGATGAAAAGGATGCCACACGCTTGATTCCAGATTCATAATTGGACGTCTTGCTTCCCGGGGCGCGATGTTGGAACCATACAACCCAACTGTCCCGTCCAATCACACCCGTATTCGCACATTCACATACCAAAGAGTGAGATTAGATTGTAAACGACGGGTATTGGAAGGGGAGCGGCGTACGTATGTCGGAGCGGATGAATTATCTGATCACCATTCGTCGCACTGGACGATTGGAGCACCTTGTTTGAGAAATGTGACGACTTGGACATCGGCTGTTGTGTCTGCTGCCCACGCGCCGTTTGCGTCGTTGCTCCAGATGCGTTGTGGGCAGGTTGTCGTTGCGAGTGGTTGGAGAAATACGTCGGATTTGTGCTCATTTCCCAATATATCTTCGATTGTTTATAGACTTGTAAGATTTGGTGACCTAAAGAGAAAAATGGATGTGTGTGGGGAGATCAAACTTGGAGAGAAACCACATTCGTCGACTATGGTAACGCCCCATCTAGGCCTTTTTATCCAACTTTCAACAGCTCTAATGGACACTGAATAGAGTTCTCCATGGCCAGCACTCCTTCTGGGCGTCGCCTGCGTGGCCGGGGGCACCGCTGGTTACGTGCGTACCAACTCGAAGCCTAGTTTGATTGCGGGGCTTTCTGTTGGTATTCTCTATCTCTGGGCGGGAGCAGCGCTCCGCAACGGCAACACGAAGGGCATTACCGGTGCAATGGGTGAGCCACGCGCCTTTCCTCAGACGGTGACTGACAAGTTGAAAGGTGCCTCTGCAATTCTCTTCCTTTCCTCGATCCCCCGCGTCGCTAAAGGTCCTGTTCCTGCCATGTTGACGATTCTCTCCGCAGCCTCAGGCTACTACTATTACCCGGCATTCAAAGCATTGCAAAGCTAGAGGAAAGCTATGCGGTATTCAGGCTAGGTATATAACAAATTGAGAGCACTGTCATGCGACACGTCTCGTCTTCAATTCGTAAAGCTCAGGTAGATTTGATACAATGGCAATTCGGCACTCCCAAACGGAAAATGCGTTTCTGTCTCGTAGTGAGCAGGCAAGGCCATCGAACATTTGAAACACTGACCCCTTACAGCAACAGTACCGTTGACAGTGTATAAAGTTGGCTCGCTGCGGAATGGGAGCAACTCGTCCTCAGGACGTCCAACAAAGTCAACCATGGCAGGATCTGAGGACGACGTATTGGTCGTCAGCTTCTATCCAACATGTGAGTCACAGCCGCGGGAGATATCAAACGGACGTACCCAATACTGCCGCATCTGCGGGGGGCCGTCGTGGGTATCGCATACTGTCCAAATCACGTTGCTGCCCATGTCTCTCGTCGCGCAACTCTGCTTGCCGTTCCTGTTCAGCACAAGGTGTCTGCAAGAGAACCTGTGAGCTTCGAGAAGCGAAGTTTCCTCGTGAGGAGCATACGTACCCATAGAACAGGGTGTTCCCAGCATTATCTGTCTGATTGCTCTCATAACCCATAAAGGTCGAGTTGCATTCCTGGAACTCTACAGCTGGAAAGGTCGGGTCATTGGCAATGTTTAGTAACGGGTGGCCACGTCCGTCTGTGCTGGGACCGGCTTGGAGCAGTGCGTATGTATAGGAATCATCCAGGAGACTCGAGAGGGTGAGGTTGCCTTTGCCATGGTCAGCATCTGCGAGTGTCGTGCAGTTGATTGTGTAAGGGCTCATCATGGGTGAGCGACGCCAGAGGGACGGGAACCCCACTGTGAGATCAACGAGCACGAGCATCGTAAAGAGCCTCGACCACATGACGGGGGAGAGTCCAACCTACTGTTAGCAGCTCACGATCTCGGGATGCTTCTAATTTGTCACATAGTCGAATTAGGTCGACGTGCTGAAACTCATCGCAGATCGGGTGCAGCAAGACTTGATTCGTTCGTAGTACATACTGCATGAGTCTTAGCATACGAGTACGCCCAAGTGTACAAATGCCGAGCAACCGGCGCGGGACCAAAAATCTACTTGAGAGGGATGAACCGCGACGCTGAGGGAACGTGAGCAACGTGTAACTTGAAAAGGTAGACTGGACGCACAGTGTGTGGCACCGATACCCGGACGACCGTGCTTGACGGGCTTGTAACTGATCGAAAACTCGGCGAGGTAGTGGCCCGTCATCTCTGGCTTGATTTCGACGCTGTTAAACGTCTTTCCGTTGTAGATTCCGATCACGCTTCCAATCATCTCTGGCACAATGATCATGTCTCGCAAATGCGTCTTCACAACCGCTGGCTTTTCGTTTGGTGGTGCCGCCTTTTTCGCAGCACGCAGCTTCTTGATCAGACCCATAGGTTTTCGCTTCAGACCACGCTGGAAGCGGCGTCGTGCACGGGCGTGGACGAGCTCGACAAACTGAGTGGCGACATGAGCACTCGTAGTTCGTCCAACATTCCAGATATAAACTCACATCGTCGTTGGACATGTCGAGAAGCTTTTCGAGTTCGACTCCTCTATACGAAAACGTACGGAAAGTCCTCTTCTTCTTGAGCTCGGCGGCGAGGGCGGGGTCGGTCACGTCGTTATCAGCCTATATATTATAAACAGAAGCCAATCCGCTGTCAATTTCTGTGTATTTTTCTAATGGCCGTGCGCACCATTTTGTGGTCGGGTTGATGAAGGTTGGTGGTAGCCAAACAAGGACCAACCAAAACCTTACTTGGACCCCGACAAAGACTGCAAGTCGTCCACTCGGATTAAACTGTGCGTTTATTTTGCTTTGACTACTTGTAATCTGCATGCTGATGGCTTAAAGTGATTTGTAGCTGTCGTCCCCACATCAACGAAAAAGTAGGTTCTCCCTGCGGTGGCTGCAGCACCTCTAATCCAAGTACAGAATGCGTTATATTGCTGCATATCTCCTGCTCCAAATCGGTGGCAATGCTTCGCCATCTGCGGACGACATTAAGAAACTCCTCTCCACCGTCGGCATTGATGCTGACGAGGACCGTCTCACCAGCCTGATGTCTGCTTTGGAAGGAAAGAGCATTGACGAGGTATGTTATACCTCATATATTTACCTGCGTCACACTAATAGTCTCTAGCTCATCTCTGCTGGCTCCTCGAAACTTTCGTCCGTTCCCTCTGGTGGAGGAGGCGGAGGTGCTGTTGCTGCTGCATCGGGTGGTGGAGGTGCTGCTGGCGGAGGTGCGGCTCCTGCAGAGGAGAAGGCCGAGGAGAAGAAGGAAGAAAAGGAGGAATCAGACGACGACATGGTAAGTGCCTCTATGTTATTCATAAATCATTATATTGACACATCTTAGGGCTTTGGTCTTTTCGACTAATCATATTGTCACTTTGTCGGTCAATACTACTCTTTCACCCAAAAGCTACGTTCGTAAGACACGATGACAGCATGCTGTGTAAGACTACGAGATGAAATTCATCTAAAACTCATGCATAAGAGTCACCTGTAGATTGAGCGTGAAGCGGAACGACTGCTTCTCTTCCAGAGCCATGTCTCCGATACGGTCCTCGATGTTTTTGGACCTTCCACGATATCTCCAGGGGTGCTGGCTCACAGCACCAAACTGATAACCAGCGTAGGGGCTATTGTTTCCAGTCGCCTTCTCCAATGCAGACTCGACTGCCCGCTGCGCATCCAAGAGGTGCACCAGCTCACGGCGCGGTGTCATCCCCGACGTGGAGGCGGCTCGAAGAAGAATGTCGCGAACTTCTTTCGCGGGTACGTATAGCGTTCGGACATTCGATTGGAGTGGGTCTTGTGCATATCCAGAGAACGTAGCAATAATATCGCCCGTATATGTAGTAACCACAGACTGCTGTCGCTGCGCTTCCTGTATGGTCCGCTGGATAGATTGAGCCTTAGTACGAACCGCAGATAGCTCCTCCCATGCTTTGGCAGCTGTACGCGTCCTCCAGAGGTACCGATCAAGTGATTGCCTGACTTGGTGGTTGCTCTCGAGCCTTCCCTCTGCTTCGAGCGATGCGATAAGTTGAGAAAGCGCCTCGACATCCTCTGGTGTTACCTGATTCACCACTCGCTCGGAATTGAGCCTTGATAAAAAATAATGTACTTTGGACCAAGGCGAAAAGTTGGTACCTGCCGGGGCTGCGAGAATAGGGGGAGGACCAGAAGTGGGGGTCCACGTAAGGGGGGGGACATAGGTCTGATTCTTGGGTCCGGATTGTGCGAGCCAAAGTGCGTAGAGATACTCGGCGTATTCCAGAGATGTTGAACCTGTTGCATTCTCCATAAAGATGGTCTTCGGGTTGGCATCGAACAATGCTTGGACAAGCTGAGGAGAGCCCTTGCGCACGGCGACGTGTATTGGCAAGTTTCCTTGCTTATCTCTTGTCAAAAGAGTCTGAGATGTGACTGGATGGTCAAATGACAGGAGTAACTTGACAATGTCAGAGTCGGCCTTCTTTACGGCGATAAGAAGGGGCTTCAGAGCACGTCAGGCTAAGATCAACGCATGTTACAGTATCTTACGGTGCTTTGAGAGGTCTTTGTTTGCGTTGAGAGCATCGTGGCAAGTTGGTCCTTGTTGAGTTTCGAGAAGACGTGCTTGAGCAACTCCAAGTGACCACGAGCGACGAGATGATGAATGATGTTCGCACTAAAAGCATGTCAGATAAAACCCTTCAAAGCGACATCGAACCTTGCCTGTTTATGTCCACAGCAAGAACCTCTGCTCCACGCTCAACAAAAAAGTCGAATATCTCTGGCTTCAGATTCGCCCCGCAGACGTGATGGAGGACAGTCGAATTGATTCCCCTCAAACGCCGAGCGACAAACGATGCTTTGAGCGTTGGAAACAGTGCGAACAGCTTCTTCAAGGTATCGAGATTGCCGCCTCCCATCAAATGAGCGAACACAACATTCTCACCATTTGCTGTGATTGTCGCTCCAATCAACGAAGGAAAGACGTGGTCAAAATCGCGAATTTTGCGCATAGCACGCGCATGGTCGTCCTTGGATGTGGCCATGTAGTGCTTATATGCGTCGAGCGGCGCGGAGGTACTGAGCCATTCGAGAATCCCGAGGCAGTTGTCTTGTGCGGCCTGCCATACTATCGGCAAGCCCATGTGCTCCACAATGCCAGGCGCATCTGGGTCTGCCTGTTGCGCAAGGTCCTTGCGTTTCTTGCCATTGACGTTGAGACCGAGGTATGTCTTGGAAACCTTGACCTTCTTGCCGCTATCTGCCTCGTCCCCATGTCCGTCGTCGTTATCGTTATCGTCGTCCTCGACGGCGATGCCGATTCCAAATCGACGGATGAGAGCATCCAACATCTTGGGATTGTCGAAAGCAAGGGCAGCCGGGACATGACCCACACTGATGGTCTGCACCGGGTCACAGAGCCGACCCAGTTCAAGGACCTTATCTAGTGTATCCACATCACCAGAGTAGATAGAATGCTGAAGCGGACCACCGTGACGTAGGATTTCACCATACACCGATGGGTAAAACGCCTCTGTGCCAAAAAATGTCTCAGGTGCGACAGAAGTCTTGACCACTGAAAGTCTCTGCGCAAGGTCGATTAACACTGGCTTTGTCATTGCTTCCGGCTCGTTCATGTCCGATTCGTCGTCGTCCACATCAGAGTCGTCGCTGTCACTGACTGTAGCAAGGTTAGTGGCGGTTTGTGAACATCAAAAGACCTACCAGAATAGTTAAAGCTCTTGGGGTTCCCTTGTTTCTTCTCGTATTGCGCACTTGCTATCGCCAAAATGGCTTTGGCTGCATTCCACTGCTTTGCGATGACAGCGATTGCTAAAGTCGAGAAAGCTGATTGAAGGGGTCAGCTATGCTTTTACATTCAACAAAAAATCACTTACATGATCCTTTCACAGGAATGAAACGGCTATCGCAATTGGCCAAGGTGACAAAAGCCGCGACTTGCAAGTATGTGGTGTCTTTCTCCCGTTTCCCATCCTTTGGCGGCAAGCACAACCGTTGGATCGTTGCAACATCCCCTTTCCAACATGCTTCGAAGAGTCGTCCGTAAAGACCTCTGAGGTGTGCAGGGACGATCTCGTGCTGATGATAAGCATCCCGATAGAGCTTGTATTCCAGATCTACTGGCTTGGGCACTCTACTTGCAAAATTGGCGTTCGAAGATATGATAGGTGTAGAAAAGCCACCGAAATGCCGCTGGCCACCGCTCTGGATCATGTCCTCAGTGATTGTTGGGTGGAGTTCCTTGACGCCCTTTCCTCCATATGCCAAAGTGACTTGCTCAATGTCCCTTAGCCACTCCAGACGGACCTTGGCCGTTTGCACGGCAGCCTTCTGAACGATGTTGGCGTCCTCTTCAGTAACCTCGGGCAGAGCCTTTGGAGCATTTTTAGCTGCTTGTGCCAATTTCAAGTCGAGATACGAGTCAAAATGACCGTACAACCAGCTGGCAAGGTTCTCGTCGGTTGATGTCTGCGTCGGGGATGGCACGAGAGTGAAACCAGGAGAGGTCGATGTCAGGTTTGAGAATCCAAATGGAGAGGTGATCGTAGATGTAGCTTTTCGGTCCTCGGTATTCAAGGTCTGCAAATGTTGGAGTGTGTTCTCTGCATCCTTGATTGCCTCTCTCAACCCGTCAAGAATCGTAATAGCATAGTTCCTGTATTGCCATTTTGGTTAGCAACAAACCCCAGAGCAAGGATGCATACTCACCGGCTATAGGCATTTTGGAACGACTTGAGGCCAAGGTTGAGATCTGCACCAAGTTCGATCAACGGGAAAACGAGATCGTTCCCTGCAGCAATAGCCGTCTCGACGGGCATAAAAGAGTCGGCTAACCACTGGAATGGTTGCTTTTGTGGCCGATATACATATCGGTTCGTCGACTCCACGCTTCCCTGAGCCTCCCATGATCGATCGAACATTTCCTCGGTAATCCGAGCCTCAGCACCACTCGCGAGGAGCAATGCGACCATGGGTCGGTCGTTGAGAGCAATAGCACGGACAAGTGGCGTGGCAGCACCACGGTAATTTCCCAAAGATGTGACAAAATTGATGGCCGACTTGGAATTAGGATCGACTCTGAGGAATGTGCGTACGAGCGAAATGGATTGCGCCAGTACCGCTTGATAGAAGACGGTGCGCAAGTTCTCGTCCGCTGCCGTGCACGTCGCGCCATTTTCGATCAACTTCTCCGCAATAGCACATGCGAGGTGTTCATCGTCGATAAATAGCGTGAGAGTGAGCGGATATACTGTATACTGCGCATACTGCGAGCCCCTCTTGAAAGGCGAGATGATATCTGCGCCAGCATGGATAAGGGTGCTCACAACTTGAATGTGGCCGGCCGCAATAGCGTGACAAACCGGAGTATAGAAGTAATCCCAGTCTGGCACGTTGATATCTAGAATGTCGGGCTGCTCCTCGTTATCTTCAGGGATGGCACCACCCTCCGCAGCCTGTTCGTTCACAGGCATAGTCGCTTCGTTCGGTTTCGGCTGCTTGTTCTTCCGTCTTGGTTTTTCATCCTCTTCAGAGTCCCAGTCGTCTTCAGAGCTTGCGCGCGCCTCATCGTCGTCTTCAGAGACATCGGTATCTTGGTCCGCCTCTTCTTCACGCTTCCTGGCCTCTGTCGCCCTTCTATCTTCTTCAGCTTTAATTTCGTTGAGTTTGCTCTTCTCGATGAGCTTGATAACCACATCATTCAGCCCATACTGGGCAGCTAGATGCAGCGAAGTACGTCCATCGACCAGCCGGGCGGTTATACGGGCACCAGCGTCGATAAGATACTCGGCAATTTTTGTCGAGCCCGTGAGGATGGCGAGATGAAGCGAGGTGCGCCCGACATGGTCTCGTTTCTGGAGATCAAATCCTCCCTCGAGTATATCTCGAACGGTCTCAATGTCGTGGATAGCAATAGCTTGGAACAGCTTCTCGACTGGACCGAGATACGCTTGAGCACTCCATTCGCCTTCGTCGATAGGATGGAAGCTGCCAGTCATCATCTGCCGACCTGGATCCTCTTGCATGAATTCAACTCGACCGCGAATGTACGTCTTGTCCTCTTCCACTTGGAGATCCCTTTCTTCCACTGTGAGCGGTTCCGGGCAGTACTGAAAAACTCGTCAATCGCAAACGCGCTAACTTTGGTAAATGTTACCTCGCAGCAGTCTTCCATCACCTGTTGCATATCTCCAAAGAAAGCGGGATGTCGATGAAGGCGCCGGTCCTTGTTCTTGGGATTAAACGTCGAGTTCATGCCTAGGTCGGTGCCATAGATAAACTTTGTCAACTTTTTTGCATCGAATCCTGGTCCATATGGAATATGAAACGATTGCGTGCCATAGTCGGACGACGAAAGACCGCCAAAGAGAGCAGCCTGTGCGCGAACGTCGCCTTTGACTCTCTTCCTACGCCTCATGGCTCTTCGAGAATATCCTACTGTTTCAGGGCGCCCGCGTAGCTCCCGGCGGCTTTCGAGATACTTTGTACGATCGTCTGGATTGGAAAGTCGTTCCAGAACCAGCAGTCGCGCGAGACCCTCGATGCGGTTGATTGAGCGTTCAAAAATGGTGGGATCAATGTCTTCACGACAGAGGGTTGGGACGTGGACCTCGAATCCGCGCTGTGCGTATTTGGCAAGTCGGACTTCATACCTGCAAAGGGATGAGATGAGAAGGAGATAACGTGAAAACTAACGATGGGGATCTTCTGGTCATGTCCACTAGGTTTGCTTGACACATTACGGCCGAGAGACCACGAGGATTACCAAAAACACGAGAACCGTCATAGAGAAAGCAAGCGCAATCGATGTCGAACCCCTATAAAAAACTGAGACATTGATAAAATGTCGATACTTCTGACTTACAGCCAGAATTTCCGCGGGAGATGCATAGAGACGCAAAACGATTTGGACTGGTCGATATGGATACTGAGAATGAATGGCGATGGAATGTTTAGTTCGAACACACACGGTATCTTAAAAGGTATGAGATGGACGTTAAAGGATACAGAGATTGACGCACCCCATGGGACAGAGTCCCGAACAGCCTCGTAGATCTGGATAGCCTTCTTCTCCGCTTGTTCCGGCGTCAATCCGTACAAGAATAAATCTATGTCCGAGGAAGAGTACGCTTCCCCATGGAAGTATTTTCGGATCCCGCGTTTGGATCCCCGAGCATAGGCAGGGAGTGGGAGCAAACTTGCCAGGACTGAACCTCCACTGGCAACCACGTTGCTCCAGTCGGTCAACTGACTGAGTGCCCCCTCGGTGAAGACGTTCCACGACGTACGGAACTCGTCAAGAGTGCTCGCTATTGCATACTCGCCCGAGGCGACACGATCTTTGGTCTTGAGCGGGAAGACATGCTTGGCAAAACGGAGAGGACTATCGTCCCCATCTGGTACGTCTCGAGCGTGAATGCGCTTGATAGCGTCGGGAGCGTCAAAGACATCGACGAGGCCGATATACGGGTCCTTGACGAGCTTATTTGCACGGTCTGTGGCAAAAATCTTTCGTAGCTCCGTTTCTGAAGCGATAGCAGCGTCGAGAGCGTCCTGGAGAGGGACCCCTTGAGACACTTTGTTCACAAAGTCGCGCGAGTAGGATGCGTCGAGGGCCATGTTGGTGATGGTGAAGTGTCATGAAACCAGTGTCGTTTTATAGACGCGTCGAGCCAGAACAGTCACGACGTTGGCGTCTAGACGGTGCCGAGGTGGAGGACTGGGCGAATTTGCCACAACCTGCGTCCATTCAAACACGGACTTTCGCCACAAAGATGTCAAAAGTTTGCCACATCTTTTAATAATAGAATAGCATGATGGGTTACCGTGCTTTTGGTGTTGCTTTGCCACTCGTCCTCGATGTTGAGGAGAAGAGCATTTGAACAAACAAAGCGCGAAATGGAGAAGCCGGAACTTGCACTGATTCCCACGGTGGTCGCAGCCCAGGGACGCCTGACAGTGGGAGGAAGAGGGGCACTGCGAATCCCTCTGCGGAAGTGAGTTATCAAAATGAAAATATGGTATTCAAGTCTGTCAAAATACTGGATAGAGTTTGTCCAATGATACGTTTCAGGGAAATACAGAGACATTTGTACCTGAAATGCCGTGCAAGAACATCAAAGTGAGAAAAATAAGCATGATCCGGCTTTGAGACTCAATGAGCATGTTCCACACGTCGAGAAGGAAGACGGGAAGAAAGAAGTTCATCGGGCCAGCGGCCCTCTCAAAACTCTCACGCAAGTGAAAGTAAGTCACACTCTTCGGATATCCATCATAAACCCTCTCACACATTTGAACAGCGCGGCCTCGTGTGGACCAGTCTACCAGTCTCCCTCTTCACTGACCACGGCCTTGCTCGTCAGCATCCTGACGCGGGCGTTCTCCAAGAGAAGTTCACGTACGGCGTATATATAAGACACCAGAAAGGTGACCCATCGCTCGTCACCGAACGACTATGCGCCCCAGCTTCCTCTTCCCCCTTTTTGCTATCCTAGGTGCCTCTGGTGTCCTCGGCGATACTCTATACCCCAGAGCAACTGTTAACGGTAGATGTACGGGCCTGGGTGGTGTCCCCGGTGTCTGCATCCCCACCGCAAAGTGCAAGTCTGGCGGAGGAACATATATTGACAACGCCTGCCCAGACACCCCGGACGACGTCAAGTGTTGTATCAAGGCTTCATGCGGTAACAATGGCGGTACCTGCAAATGGACGAACCAATGCAGCAGTGGCAATACTCAGAGTGGCCTCTGCCCGGGGCCAAACGACTTCAAGTGCTGCCTGCCCAAGGGCAGTGATGGACCATGGCCCACACCTGCGTTCCCTGCAGTTGGTGAATGTAAGAAGAAGTCGGTGGATGGCGCGAAGAAGATTGTCAGTGCCCATAAGGGCAAGGTCCGCCAGATCTATTGCATTAGACAATGCGTAGACCCCACATCTTCCGAACATTGCGTCGGATTAGCGGTTGATTTAATGTGTTCGCGAGCAGGTGGCGTTAAAACGACTGCTGGCGAGCCCATTGCCGAATGGGTGATGAACAACCGCAAGGCGCTCGACCTGAAATATGTCATTTGGGGGCAACGAATCTGGAACCCTGACAGAGATAGCGTCAAACCCTGGTCACAATGGAGGAAAATGGACAACCGGGGAACTATCACGGCCAACCATTGGGACCATGTTCACGTCAGCTTCAACTCATAATGTGAGTGAGCTAGTTGGTTGGCGACTCCACTTTGTCTAATCGCGCATCCAGAGGTGGCCAGGTCCAAGCACGCATGCCAGGCTGGTTCGCCACAATGGCTCTCCATGTCGGGTTTCTGAATCTGAATGGTGGCAAGAGTCGCAAAACACGTTGTTGTAGTCGTTTACTCCATCTAGTATTTGTCTTGTATGTACCGCGGGCTGTGAAATTGGAGCTCGATTATGGAGCATCAGCGAGGAAAATAGACGCACGAGCTTTGGGGTTTCACGGCGCGTCGAAAATGGCTTGGACGAACGGAACGCGTCACCTGCCGGAGAATGACAGGACGATGTGTGGAGATAAGTACAGCGGAGCGCAACCTCTTGTGAAGCCCAACGTGCACCCAAAAGAATTCAACCCAGCCTATTTGCTCCATTCTAGTGAGTTTTCGGCGTTAACATGGTCTTCCGTGACAATCCCATTGTGCCAGCTGATGCGGACTACCCATTGGGATTGGCTAGATCACTCGGCGAAATCCTTGATTGGGATAATTGGGTGGTACACCTTCAGCCACCGCGAGCCGTGCTTCCTATTACGTCTTGCTACCGTACGGGAGGGCTCCGTCCCAGGCAGCCATACCCCGCTTGCAACCAAGATCCCAATCTCATCTCGTTTACGGCACACAGGTTTGGTCTGTGATCTGACACGCTTTTCGAAGCCTCAAACATCCACCCTGTGGTGTATCATCGCGGCAGATCCCGTCGGGCTCTCCACCTGGATTCGAGCAAACATTGCACGCAAACACTGCTTCTAGGCTCATCAAAAAGTTATAAATCGCGCTCTGTCAAAGCCATCTCTCGTCCTTCACTCACATCTATGGCCCCCTTCCACCTCTTTTCGCGTGCGAGCGTCTGTTGGATGCAATATCAAGTGTGCGTATGTTAGTGTCGAGTCACCTATACAAGAGGTTTGCAGGGTACTAGTTCGCCGTGACGGCCACGGATTCGTCGTCGAGGCACGGTCTAGAAAACGTTGTGCATGCAATCCCGACGACCGCAATCTCGTGGCCATTGCGGTTCGATCCACATCCCTCGGCAAACCTTTAAACATAGGGGTCTTCTGTACCGTGTACCGTTTGTTTCTTTCGTTGAGAGGCTTCTTGGCGTCGGCTACGGCCAGACCGAATGTGAGCCCTATTATGCAGAGCAAATACCCGATTGTATTTTTTTTTACTTTACTCTGAAATAAATCGGACTGAGGAGAAATGTAGCTGCCGTTAGAACACGAGTCGCTCAACGAGGGACGATGTTTCAATACAAGAAGCCACCCAACCCAATGTTATTGCAAGGGCACAAGCTAGGTCATTAAAACTCGAAATCGGCACTCTCAGAGTGGAATGCAACTTTTTTACGAGCCTTCTTTGGTTTATTTTCACCCGTCTGTCCATCCGTTGCACTAGTCGACGTAGGAAGAGGATGCGGGGCCTCTATCGATACCTTGGCAAAGCCAGAGGTCAACGAGTCGGTGTGAAGACGAGGTGCTGCACCAACGGTCACAGACGAAGTAACAGAGACAGGTACAGCTGGAGTCGTCCTACGTTCTCCGACCCCGCCCTCTACGTCAAGGTGTAGTGTCTCGACCACGAATCGCTTGCGCATACACTTGAACGCCAAATTGTTCTCCGCTTTCCCGGAGACGTCGAGACCCCGCAGCTGTGAGAAGCGTCGTGATGGGTCGAGTAAAGTGTGTGGACTAGGTGTCGAATGGACCGTGAGCAAACCACTGTATGAAGGAAATGTCGATCCGAGGACCGCGTCGGACGTGATGCCCTGAAAGGTCATGCACCCATCGGAAAGATGCGAGAGCTTCTGAATCCAACCAGGAATGAACTCAGGGTGTGATAGATGCGGTGGGAGAGTGACGAGGGCGCATGCTGTCGTGTCCCTTATCGATGATCGCAGATGGAGGAGAAACTTAAGAAGGTCCTAAGATTGCAAAAGAGCACAAAGAGGCTTAGCACGACCTAGAAATAGTAACGTTGACCCACTCACCCGACCATGGAGCCGTCCCCAGGGGAAGTCACCTAAATTGTTGACGCAGACTCGAAGCGGGGCTTTGTCCCTGGAATTAAAATTCAGATGAATTTAATTCCTTTGTATCATGTCACTTACTGGCCGTCAGCATTGAGGAGGCTTCGGAGTTTCTGTAAAATGGCTTTTGACGGATCTGATGTCGTCTGCGGCGCGGTCTCCTCGTAGGAGAGTAGGTTGTCATCCACTGCTCGAGATATAATTGCATTTGGAATCGTTGCAGCAAGGTCAAAGGTACGGCAGTAATCCTCTAAGAGCCTCCCGTATCACTTGGTTAGATATAGGTAGGTACGAAATGCGGCATCTAACAGCTCACCTGTCCCGTCTGTAGACTCTACAGTCGTCTTGAATTGCTTCATATGCCCGTAGCGCCAGGCAATCTTGACCTTTTCTTGCTCATCCGCCGGCTGTTCGTCTGCTTCTTTTTCATCCACCCCTTTTGTATTCTGGTCACGACTAGAGCCTGGATGCCACATACATCCAGCGACGAATTGGGCCGGATTACGATCAGAGACCAAGACGCGATGGCCGGACGACAATCCCTGAGCAATAAAGTACCGGGCGACTAGTTCTCCCCACGAAGAGTGATAATCTGGTGCCAATATGACCAGTACCTGGCCCAGTGGCAGCCCGCCACCGAGAAGATCGTCGAGGGATTGCAAGCCTGTGGAGACTTGGAGCAGCGACGATGATCCTGGAACCAAACGAGTTCCCTGTACGGGTTTTGCTTGAGCTGGTGCACGTCTTCTTACAAACGAGGACATAGACGAAGGTCAAGAGGGGACGGTGCAGCGTGGATTCAAACCTTGGACCTGGCCACGACTTGTGGGCTGCTTAATGAACATCTAGGATAGGATGAACACAGAAGAAGCAAATAAGCTCTGCGTATGCCGTGGCATTGATGATGGACGGCCTATGGTCCATTGCGCCAACTGCGACGACTGGTGAGGCTCGCTTCTGCTTTAGCCAACCAGCTCGTTCTCACTTTTATGCAGGTTCCACTTCAAATGCGTTGATTTAGATGAAGCAACAGCCGAGGAACTCGGTGCGCCTTGTACGATTTTGGCTGACGTTTGCTGATTCCACGGCGTTTGCTAGATACCTTTTTTTGCCAGCCTTGCTCGACAAAAACGAATCAATCGACGACTTGTGAGTATTTTCCTTCTTTATATATTTTCGTTTGCAAGAGTCTAGCACGGGATAGTCACACGATACACGATAAATATACGTTGCTCGTCGTCTTTCCTTGTACTATCCCCAATCCTCTTGAATCTAAGAGATATCCCCTCGCTGTCTAAATACCTCGCTGTTACTAACACCACTCGTCGCAGACAAATGGCAGCTCACAGATGACGAGCTATTGATGGCACCAAAGCCTGTCGAAGTTAAACAACTCTCAAGGCCAAGAACGAAAACAAGATCCAGTATTTCGGTGGCTCCAGTTCCGTCCTCGCAAACTCCCATGCCCAGTGCGCCTCCCACTTTTGCCGTCGACTCCGACTCGGATGTCGGAATGAAGGATGACGACGGAGAGTACACAGGGGAGCGTCAACTTACTCGTCTACGACGCGGAAAGCAGGTATGCTAAATGAGCGCCAGACAAAGATGCTCGCTAATTCGTATTTCGCAACCAGGTCAAGAGAGCAGAGTCCGACTCGGATCGCTCCCCAAGCCCAGACTCAAAGTCTCGCAAACGAAAAGCACCAGCCGCACCTCCTGTCAATACCAAGCGAAAACGGACTCTGCTCGCCAAATCCCCAAGTCCTCTTTCTGATCCTGTTCGGAAATACTGCTTCGGCAAGCTTCAAGAAGTTATCGAACCCATATTCGTCGAATACAAAACACTGGAAGATGGGACTGAGCGGAGTGAGGAAGAGGCAAAATCTGCTGCATCGACGTTCAACAGGGATTTGGAGAATGCAGTCTTTGAGCATTACTCTGAGCCAGACAAAAAGGGGAATCGTGCCGCACTGGCAAAATACAAGTATGTCGTGGTAATTTCGAAATATTCTGGTGCTAATCTACTTAGGGAGCGATTCCGAATGCTCACTTACAATCTTGGGCAGTCTGACCGTGTGTTACTGCGCAAAGGTATCGCAAATGGACATATCTCCGCTCAGGAGCTCTCAGAAATGTCTTCTGCGGACCTTGCAAACGAGCAGGCGAAACAAGAGATGGAAAAGGCTGCACAGGAGGCATTACATCAATCTATCCTCAAGACTCAAACCATCCTACCGCGCGCCAAGATGACCCACAAAGGAGAGGAGATCATCGAAACCAACGCATCTGAAGATATGCGCGTTCGAGATGAGGAAGAGCGTGAGCGACTGAGAGCAGGATTGCGTGTGAGGACTGGAAGTATTCTCGAAGCGAACCCCGAGTCGGCTGGACTGTCTAGTGCTACTGGCATTTCTGGTGTTACCTTTGAGAACCATCTTGCTGAGGATGGTACGGTCCTGAGTCCTGAAAAGGTCTCACCCGATACTCCTCTGGTCATCAATACCACCACTGTGCCTCTTTCACCCATTACCTATACCAAGGAACCCGGATCCGCCTTACCAGACATTCTCTCGCCGACAGAGATCACGGCCACACCCTTGCGTGGAAACATGCACGAATCGCGGCCATCTTTTGACCTGAATGCACTTTGGACAGGTGACGCACCAAATCAGTCGTCCACCTTTGCTGTATCGTTGTCATCGCCTGTTGGAGACGACGAAGAAGACGTGGCGATGGACCTGGACGACGAAGCAGGTCCAGAAACGGACTTTGGCATGTTCTTAGATGGGGTAGAAGAGAAGAAGGTTCAAGTCGACCATGCCACCAGGTCAACGACCCCTCCGCCACCAGCTCGAGAAGACAAAAAGATGGACAACATCCCCGTGGTTTGGTCCGGTGATGTAAGTCGAATCAAAATAGAGTATATAGTTGCTGAGCCTCACATAGCTGGTCATGCCTTTGGACCCGAAGCCTGCACTTATCAACAAGGTTTCAGTCAGACAAGTTGGTGGTCGTTCCTTTGGCACCTCTCCGTCTGTTTGGAACCTTCTTTTCAAAGGTAGTCAGGCGTTGATCGAAGGACGTGTACCGACCGATCGTTCTATCAAATACCTTGTCACCACTCGCCTAAACCCGAGCAAGGAGTTGATTGTCGTTCACTTTGCACCCACGGAAGAATCAAAAGAGAATATGGCAGAGTTGTTCGATTTTCTGACGAAGAAAGAGTAAGCATCACTCTCACATGTGCGCCGCAATGTCTAACAGTTTTTTTTAGTCGACATGGTCTCGTGTTTCCATGGGGTACAAACCCTCCATCGACGGCTCCAGGCAAAGATCTCTATCTCCTTCCAATACAGGCTTCGAAACCGCTCCCGGAGTTCATTGATCTTCTGGACCATGTTCTGATACCGAAACAACGAGATGAAAATATGCTGTTAGGCGTGTTTGTCCTGAGTAAAGGCAAAATTGTAGTCCCTCCCATCGCCACGACGCCTCCGAGCGAACAAGCGGCTAAGCAGCCGACACCCCCAACTGCGTCGTCGTCCCAGCAATCACAACAGCAAACGCCCTTGGCTCCCTCGAATAGCATGGCTTCGCTGCTGTCGACGCTTGGAACGACGAGTTCGATGCCGTACGCTGTCACTCCAACGCCCCCTGTGGCAGCTTTGTTGCCAGGAATGCAACACCCTCCACAATTGCCTGTTGGGGTACCGTCAAACAGTATACCTGGACCCTATCAATTCTCACATTCGCCGGCACCACCGGGAGGACCCCCTGGACAACCATCCCTTCCCAGTTCGGCTCCGATACCGACCGGAAACGCATTACTGGAACTCGCATCTTCCATCCAAAATCTATCACCGGACCAGCTCAACCTCATTCTCCAAGGACTAATGGCTGGCGGAGCTGGCCAGTCACCCACGCCCCCAACTCCTGTACCACCACCAACTGGCCCATCACCATGGCCTCCTGCAACCGCCTATGGGGGACCGCAACAGACTCCACCTTATCAAGGTGGTATGGCACCTGGATATGACCGATACCCAAACGCTTCGAGAAGTCCACAAGCGCAGTACGTTCTCTCCCGAAAGCAAGCTCACCTTCTGACATTTAATGCGTTTTCAGGTCAGGAAGGCCCAGAGATGGTCCTCGTGAGGATCATTACGGTCGAGAGCGTCGTTCATCGCATACTGACCGTGGACCGGGTCCGCGTGACTCATATCGAGGTCGAGGAGGAGGGCAGCGAGGCGGTAGATCTGCAAGTGACTATGCAGATGGCGGTTGGAATCGCAGACGAGCAGCTGCTCCGTACACGGACCAATAACCTTGTCTCTCTTCGGAACCCCGTTTGTTTCTTGGTTCATTTTTCTTGTGTACAGCGCCTGTAAAAGTGTATCAATAGCCGCTTGTTTCTTTTGCGCTCTTGATAAAAAAAAAGCGTGGGCGAGCAGCTAGTGCATGCAACGGTAGTCTATAGTGAGCGGGGATAGCAATAAATACAAACGTCGTACTACTTTAGGTGTTATTATAGATGAGTAATATCGCGTCCAAAGAAGAAATTGATTGCCCTAGAGAGTCGGTCAGCCAAAGTCACTTGTGAGGATTTCGTACTAGCCATAACAGCGGTACCCTAATCTTGTTGCGAAGTGAGATTGTTTTGGTCATATACGCGCCTCTCCACAAGAACCATGCGATACGTCCACGGATACCGTGACCTTTGCTCCGCTGGGCGATTGCATTCCACGAGCCCAAGTATGCAAGTGTCAGGATGTTGTGATACCTGAACCCTCGGCCGACTTTTGAGTCTATATCTACCGCGGTCGTCTCAGCCGACGTTTCCTGGGCTTTGGGGGGAGCAGCAATAGCCTTTGCTTCGTATTTTGCAAGTCTATTCAGGTGTCTACGAAGCCAAGCCCCTTGCTGAGAAGCGACTTGAGCAGTCGAAGGTAGCTCGTCGCCTTCAATGACTGCACAGTCGCCGATAGCATAGACGTCCGGAATGACCTTTGGATGCTCTGCTTCGGATGCCGAGTCTAAAAGGCGGAGGTAGCCATCGGTCATGATTCGTCCTGCTTTGTGGTCCTTCTTCACACCCTTGAGCTCCTTGATTAAGGGTGTCATGTCAAGTCCGGTACTCCAAACGATCATGCCGCATTTCACCGGGCCTTCTTCCTTGAGATGCACTACCCCGTCGTCGATTCGGGTGACCGTTCGTCGAGTATGTACGTGGATGCCTTGTCGGGCGAAATGATTGGCTGCATAGTCGGCAAGGACCGAGTCGAACATGGATAGAATCCGTGGAGCGACATCGTAGAGAGAGATGGATACCAGAGGGATGAGTGAGGGATAATGACGACTTAGGTCATCATGGATGAGGTCGTGCAATTCAGCTGAGAACTCGACCCCAGTAGCTTCAAATTGGTTAGCTATCGCCTCTGAATGCCGTCTGGTACGCACGACCGCCACCGACGACACAAAAGTGTAAGAGTTGACGTCGGCGCTCTTCAGAAGTCGACGGAAGACTAGCTTCTTCGAAACCTATGGTTCTAAGTATCAGCATTGGACTTACACTATTGACAGAACATACACCCTAGGATCCTTTTTCGTATCTTGATGGCATCTTTCGTTTCCTTGAGGAAGTACGCATGCTCGCGCACTCCAGGAATATTGAATGTCTGTGTATGTGCCCCAACGGCAATAACGAGCTGTGACAGTAGTAAGTATGCTGGTCAGAATTGGATGCGTTTGCCGAACCTTGTCATACTTGACGGAGAATGCTTTTGAAGGATCCCATCCTTGCAGAGGGCTCAAACAAAGCACTTCTTTCTTTTCAAAATCTATGCGAGGAGTGATTAGATTTCATAGACTTGACTATTGCACATACCAATGCTCTGTACAGAGGCTTCAAAGTACTCTGATGGTTTGAGAGAGCGAACACTCTCGAGAGCCGTCCTAGGTTCGAGGGTCCCGCAACTGGTTGACGCCAAGAGTGGCGTGAATACAAAGTATGCTCGAGGAGAAATGGCGACGGTTTGATATTTGTCAGAGAGACCACGAAGAACGCTGGTTGCAGCCCATCCTGCTCCTAGCTGAGAGAAATCAGATTGATGAGGCCAAGCTGCATCTCGACGTACCACGACAACCCGTTTTCGCCCTATACACAAAGTGTAGCTTAGTCTACGAGATTATATAGCTTCCTTTGATGATAATTGGCTTGCCTGCTTTACGGTCGTCTAGTTCTATGGTCGACAATGAGCGCTTCCAGCCCGAAAGCCGGACGCGTCGAAGAGCAGAGCGGGCACAAGTCGTGGCTACGAGTGACATTGAGGCAGAGATGGAAATCCTCAATGTTTGGACTGTCCTGGTTTATAATCCAACCGGTTTCGCGGAGACACTAGTGCCCGAGAGATTTGTTCGAGAGAAAGTTGGAAGCGCCCAAACCCCGACGTCACACAACAGCGCCAAGTCGGGACAAATTATCCTTGGAATTATCGATTATGAACGCTTCAAGACTGTGTTTTCGGCGCTGTCAACCGAGTTTATATAACCCTCGTCTGAGAACAAGTCTTCAGAGGACACCGGCGACTTTAACTCGCTATACAAAAATACTGTGTGCAAACTATTCAACAGACACTCAACAGAATCCTCCAACTCGCCGCGAAAACATCTACACCATCCCAAACCTCCTCACGACCTCGCGAATATTAGCATGTCCCGTCCTGGGATGGGCAATAGTCCAGGGTGACTTTTCGCTCGCAACGGGTATACTAGCGTACGCGGGCTTTTCCGACTTGGTTAGACGGACTTTGTTCGATAAGTAGACATTGATCTCACCCTCTATGCAGTTGGACGGATACATAGCGAGAAAATACAAATCTGGAACCGTTCTTGGTTCTATACTGGATCCAGCCGCAGACAAGACGCTCATGACGACCCTCGTACTCTCCTTGGCTTACAAGGAAATGCTGCCTCGTGAGTTAAGAAATCAATCTATTCTGGCATTTAATAATGGTTCCAGTCCCTCTTGCTGTCATTATCCTCGGCCGAGATGTTCTGTTAAGTCTCTCCGCCTTTTACTACCGTTGGATATCTCTCCCACCACCGGTGAGATACCCCCACATCAATTGGTGTTATCTAATGATACCAAGAAAACATTTACGCGATACTGGGACTTCTCTATACCCTCGGCAGAAGTCCGCCCCACACAAATAAGTAAATACAATACGTTCCTTCAACTACTCCTCATGGGTGGCACGACCATCAGTCCAATCCTCCCCTTTGAGACGTACTTTATTCTCAAGCCATTACAGTACGTCAAGGAGTGCTTGGCTTCCTATGCTGACCTCACACAGATGGATTGTTGGAGGAACCACCATCTGGAGCGGGCTGAGCTACGTCTTTTCGAAAGATGCCGTCCGTATCCTCTCAAACACGAACAAGAAGAGTTCATAGTCTCCCCCTAATGATTATCATTATACACTGGGATAATACTTTTACATCGAAGAGGCCGAGCGGACCAACGCGACTACCACGATAATAGTGATTGCTTCGTGAGCGGTACGGTCTCCTCTTCGATTTCTATATTCACTCGTGCCGCTGCAGCAAGAGTCAGTTGACTGAATGAGATAAACTGTGGACGCACCGCGTTTCGGTCGCTTGGTCGGTCGTTTTGGAGGCTTCGCTTTGCGCTTGGTACCCGCCTTTGCAGGTTTTTTGCCCGAGTCACTCTCCGAACCATCTTCGTCCTCGTCGTTGGAATCGCCAACTTCACCGCCAACGGCATCCTCCAAGTCGTCCAATCCATCTGATTCGAGTGCGCTGTCGTCGCTAACAAACTCCCGTGCACCATATTCATCATCATCATCATCATCTCCTTCGACGTATTCAATCTCCAATTCATCTTCATCCTCTTCCTCACTCTCCTCATCCTCCAACTCGACGCCCCCTCTTTAATCTTTTCTTTTGCCCTTTCTCCATCAAGAACCGCACGCCATACGTCTTCGTTGACATTGAGTGGTGCGTCGCCGTAGGCTTTTGATTTGAGACGCTCGATGAGTTCCTTTTGGATGGACCGCTCAATATGAGCTGCCGCAAGGGCCTTTTCCTCTCGAGTCCTCTCTCTCCTGTCAAGCTTTTTCTTTACACCAATGAGTTTCGGCCTTTGACAGGGAATCAGTTTGAAGGTGGCTGAACCGAAGAAAAAAACACGCACTGTTGCCGTAATTTGAGCCGCCTCATCTTGATCAAATACTGTGTTATTTTCGTTACGCGCTGCTTGCATTTGTGAATGAGAAAGTTGGGCCAGTATATCAGCTCTTGGTCTATTTGCTCCAACGCCTTTGTATAATTCTTCGAGAGCTGAATCTTTTCCCACATATTTGCAGGTGTATGGGCACGTTCTATTGTTTTCACGTATAGATAGAGGATCCCTGTGCATCGCAAAGACAATGTAAGCCACCGTGACCAAGGAAAAGTGTCTGCAAGCCGACGACGCACCTTCTTTCTCTCGAACAGTTGCATATCTCGAGTTTGCAAGTGGACATGATTGTCGATTACAAAATCCAGTCACATTGTATTCGTTTCGACAAAAGTTTTGGGTGGTTGTCCTGAGATATCCGGCTTAGTTTTGTAATTTGCTATTAGAACACGAGTTTAACCTACTTGACCTTGTATGAGCAGAATTGAGTGTTGATCACAGACCAAATCACGTCGTCCACTTGCATGGTTAGAGTCCAAGGTTACTCGCCACGACTGGCTGGGTACAAGATCAATCAATTCGAATGTATATTGACATGCATCTATTCTTTTACGAGACAAGACGCTGCAGGGAAGAAGAGTCTAGAGCTCTCCCAGGCTTTGGCACATTCTTGAGTGAGAGCGTAGAGATGGAAAACGGAGACGCTTCACGCGAGTTTCCTCCTTCAACTTTGCGGCGACGTCGAGAAGAAGGGTTTGAAATCGAGCTCGTCGAGTCCAGGAGGTCTGAAGGTTCCACCGACGAGGATCTCGACGCAAAGAGATCTTGGGTGGGCGATTTTATTGAGCTCTTCATACGCGACCGGGCTTGGACGGAAGGTGAAGGAGACGAATAGCCAGAATTGGCAGGACTGTCCAGCGGAAGAGATGCGCGTGGATCAGGAAAGCGTAGATCACGTCGAGAAGGAGTTCCTCCAGATGGCGAATAAGCTAGTCCTTTTGGCATCGAAGGACTGAGGAGAGACGAAGGAATCTAGCCATAGTTTCAGCAGGGGGATAACCAACAACTTTGCAATTCATACCGAAGTACTGAGAGATTGCAGCCTTTTCTGTACTGGTGTCATTGCTTGGGCTGGCTGAGGCTGCTGGTGCGGAATAGGAGGAGGAACTCTGGCCCATCTCGCCCACAGCGCCTCGACGACGTTGACAGCAGGTAACAATATTATTAACCAGTCTTTCTACACGTCAGCAAGCGTCAACAACTCATTATTACCAATAAAACTCGCCTATGATCGATCCTAGGGTCTGCCCAAATATGCCTTTGAGAAGATCCACCAAAATTGCCCATACGCCAATTTTCCATAGCAAGAGTTGGAGCAAGAGAATAGACGCGTTCCACTTTATTCGTGTTTCATACGTCAGACCTCCTGGCTGCACTTTGACCACGGCATCTGGGGCCGCTCGATGCTTTGGTGGTCCTGGAAGCGGCGTAGACATTGCCCTCGACGGCTGGAATTAAGTACAAATAGTAAGAAAGAGCCCGATGCGTCTCCAACAAACACGCGTCAGACGTGTCGATAAACGTCAAGGAGAAAGTTTAGTGCTTCGCAGAGTTCCACCGTCGACCATGTCCGAGGACAAAAGATGGAATACAAGAGTCTCAAGAGATACACGAAGATGCTACGAGGACGTGATTCAGGCTGCGTCGTCCATTATCAGGCGGGGGACGACGTTCATGGAGATCAGCTAGGAGAGCAATTAAATCCAGTACCACCCCTCGAACCAGGCCCTCTTACCTCTTGGAAGAGCAACTTTGCCGCATAAGGTATCGTCAATTGCGCCATCTTCTTGGAGCTCTTGCAGTACGGGCACCAGCCATTATACCCCATAAGCCCGCACGTCTGGCAAGCGTGGACCTGAAATTGGTCGGACGAGATCATGAGTCGCTCCAGAAGAAGTTGAGTAGCACCGTATCCAACGAGACAGTCTCTCTCCATCTCCCCGAGACGTAACCCACCGTCACGAGAACGACCTTCCGTAGGTTGTCGAGTCAAGATAGCACGAGGACCTCTGAGGCTCCGTCAGTCGTATATTTTCTCTGTCTCTCGTATTACTTGCCTGGCTCGTGCATGCATCTTGTCCATAACCATGTGTTCTGGAGAAGATTAGAGTAAATAGATTCTCCATTAACACGACATACTGAGTTTCTGCCAAGTTATTAGAAACGTCAATATATCAGGAATGAACGTACTTGATAGTAGATAGGACCAAAATAAACATACGCCTCCAACGGCTCTCCGGTGATGCCACTGGTCAACATGTCCTTACCCGAATAGCTGAAGCCGTGTTCAATCAAGATTTTGGACATGTCCTCAACCTGAAAAACTAAGCCTCTGCAGAATTTGTACCACAAAGCCTACCTTTGATCCCCCAAAGGCTGTGCCATACTCAAGGGTCCCTCGTAGGACACCAGCTTTGCCAGCGAGGAGTTCAATCATCTTTCCGACGGTCATACGTGATGGGAACCCGTGCGGGTTCATGATAGAGTCTAGCAGACCTAAGCAATCGTTGGTTGTCTATGAGAAATACTTACCAGGGCAGATGCCTTGGTCATTAAAAGGCATGTCCTCTTGAGGCACAATAAGCCCAACCACACCCTTTTGTCCATGCCGCGAGGAAAACTTGTCGCCCAACTCTGGAATCCGGGTTTGCCGAATGAGAACCTTGACGAGGGCTTGATCATTGTCCGTGTCGGTAATCATGACCTATAATCCATCAATTTCTGTCCACGGCCTCTAATCAAGGACATACCCGGTCGATATATCCGGCAACCTTCGTCTTGTATGTTAACGGTGTCGGACGATACTCCACCTGCGCAGGATTGACTGTCAAAGAGTTGGTCACTGTGTCCTTTGGTGATTGTTTGTTGACATAGACGTCGTCAGGGTCGACACGTTCTCCCGGTCTTGCAAGCCCATCGTCGTCGAGAATCTCATATCGCTTTGGCAGCTTTTCTTCTGTTCCGACCTTTGAAGGAGCGACAAGGCGGTCATATGTACCATTTGGATACTTTCGAATGATGGCTGTATTCTTGCGGAAGACCTGGCATCGACCATAGCCTCTCTCTATACTAGCCCTATTGAGGATCAAGGCGTCCTCAATGTCATATCCAGAGTAACTCATAATAGCTACCGTCGCGTTTTGACCAGCGGGAAGTTTATCGTAACCGACGAGCTCGATCGTCTTTGTCTTAACCATAGGTTGCTGAGGATAAACGAGGAGGTAGAGTAGCGTGTCTATCCTGTTCAGTTGGTTGTATGCAATGGCCCCAATAGCTTGCTTGCCCATGGCGCATTGGTATGTATTTCGTGGCGATTGATTATGGTGAGGATAGGGAATGAGGCCGGCGACGGCGCCGAGGATTGTGAACGGCTCAATCTCCAAGTGAGTTGTTGAAGGCTCAATGTCTTTTTCATAGAGCGCGATATGTGAGTCATTTTCCTCGTTGACGTCGACGTACTCGACCAAGCCTTGATGAAGAAAGTCTTCAAAAGCCAGTTTTCCGAGTTTGAGCATCTGTAGGCAGTTTAGGAAGACCTATTCAAGCCGATATCACGTACCTGTATATGCTCGTTGGTCACTTTGGGCTGCATGCGTTCGACGATGATCAGAGGACGGCAGATTCGCCCACCGTCACTAGCTATGTTGACTGTTTTGTGATGGTGGTTAATATATATGCCCACGAATTCGTTGATCCTCCCAGCGCGCCGTAGCTTGCGGAATTGGGCAACAAATCGACTCGGGAACCTGGTGAGTCCAATGATGAGACCGTTGAGGTGAACAACGAAAGAAGTTGGTCCATAGATCTCAGAGCCAGTGGATAATTGGATGTCTAGGGCGGAGTCAGAGAGTCTCTGGATTGAGCGGGGAATATACCTTCGACTCCCAAAAGAGTAATGATTTTGACCAGTGGTTTCTCCTCCACATCTGTTGTAATGTGTGTCATGAGCGCTAGGTTCTTGACCAGTCCACAAGCCTCTCCTTCAGGGGTATCGCTGGGGCAGAGCATTCCCCACTGACTAGGCTGCAGTGCTCTGGGCCCGCTGACTTTTCTCGTCTTCTCGAATTGCGATGATATGCGTGTCATCATCCCCAAGGCGGAGATGTAGCTAAGTCGACTCAGCACGTGAGTAACGCCGGCTCGCTCCATACGGAACCGCTTAAGCGACCAGTTCCCCGTCGATATGGCGCGTATGAATCCTTGGGTAATAGGATTCCCGTGTAAGAGCATCGTCGTATGTGGATCGAATGCAGATGTTCGGGCAGGTTTCCCCAACACCTTGTCAAACGCCTTCTTTAGTTCGGAAACATAAGCCTTGAAGAGATCTTCGAACAAAAGAGCCAGAAGCTGTCCAGCGCTATTGCATATTAAACGTGTAGATTTAAATCAAAATAGCCACTCACAGCTCAAGACGCTTATTCCCCACGTAGTCTCTATCGTCCACCAGCTTTGGGTCCTCGTGTGCCATGAGCACCCGTCGTGTCATCGTCGCGACATAGATGGCTTTGGCGCTGAGGTCCATGTTCACGACGGGAACATGGGTGAGGACGATCATAACCAGACACTCCAGACCTTCTTCCCAGTTGGGTCGTCGTGGTCCCACCATGCGACGCATCGAGCGAACGCGCGCACCGAGCCATTCGCGCGCCTGCTGGATCGTGTACACTCCGGCCCTCGAAGATTCTTCGAGGTTGGGCGAAAAGGCCTCTTGGTACGACTCCGTGTTCCCTGCGCATAGCAGGAGAATTTCCTTGTCAGATTGGACGCCAAGGGCTTTCAAAGCGATGACAATCGGAATATCCTCCGAGAAGGAGTTGTGCTTGAGCACGATGAGTCCCTTCCGCATATTGACGTAAGTCTTAGACTTGAGGCCGGAATGAGTGGACCTTGAGCACTGTTAGTCAGATACCATGAGCCGCGAAGATTACTCACGAAGTCACAGAGGCGGAAATGATGGACTTTGCGGAATCGATCTCGACAATGATTCGATTCTTGCTCAGTTGTTCTTGTACGAGAATGACTTTTTCTGTGCCCTTGACGACGAAATATCCTCCTGGATCGAGGGGACATTCGTTCATCACCGCGAGTTGCGACTCGTTGGCTCCCGCAAGGACACATTTGTTGCTTCTCAGCATGATGGGAATCCTCCCAATGACTACATCCTTTCGCTGGATCCGCTTGTTGTCTCGAATATACTCAATGTCCACCATCAAAGGTGCAGAGTATGTTGCATCCCGTAAACGACATTGATGAGGTGTAATAGGCTGTCTTTGGTTCGCGAAATCTGCCTGTTCTGAGACTGGAGTGCCGACGCGAATATCGGTGAAAAGAAAGTGAAACCGAGGGTCAACGTCTGAAGTGACCTTGCAGTTTGCTTCCATTATCGCCCTCAAGTCATAATCCACAAAGTAGTTGAACGAATCTATGTGTTGCTTGACAAGACCCTTGACTTTTAGGAAAGCGGGGAGCAAGAGCCACTTGTCCTCGACGCTTTTAATCGGATCTGATGGCCGTAGACCCCTGTATGGTCTTGCGAGGTTTGTCCAGTCCTCGTTGCCGTCGTCCATGGGCGGCTTTTCGCAGTGGCGAGCAAGTCCAGTACTGTTTGGCTCCTGTTTTCAACTGATTTGCCTGAAAAGTAATCCTTAAAAATTGCTGAGACACGACCCTGAGTAACTTACCTAAGGTATTTCTAAGCAACTTCCTCGCGCTTTCAAAACGGCGTTCATCCGGTCGAGAGTTTGGTAAGCCCGTTCCTACGTCTCTTGATCCCAACCACATCCCTCACAGTTGCGTTTGGCATCAATATGGTCTCATTTTGCCCAGCAGAGGGCTGGGGACCTGTCTCTGGCCAAAGAGACTTTGACCTAACTGTATGTTTTGAGGAAACGACGCTCCTCGCCGGGCCCAGCGCGCTCTTCGCGTTGTTTGCAATCAAAAGTATCTGGTCAATGCGTCAAGATCAAGAAATTCCCTATCGTTCAACATGGCTCCTGCGGTTTAAGACTGTAAGGCAACCTGGTTGAAACCAAGACGCGTCACTGACCTAGTCCATAGGCACTCTCGTGGATGATCGTCCTCACCGCCATTTCACGTATCGTTGTGATCGTACTCATGGGACACCACGCGTCTACGGCCACCTTTGTCTCTCTCGGACTCCAAGTCGCAGCCTTTGCCACTCTTCCATTCGTCATTCACCGCAATCACCTCCGAGAAAGACGCTCATTGTCTCTTTTCCTCGTATTCTGGCCACTCTATCTCGTCGCTCTTGCCACCTGGCTAAGAACCGCATGGGCAACCGGTTGGCTCGAGTCAAATGTTATCGAACTCGGCCTAGTCTCTGCCACTGCCACGCTTGGTACCCTCACATGGATCCTTGAATGCGTCGGTCCCGAGCATGAGCGAGGTAGCTATCACCCTGTGAGCAAAGATGTCAATGAAAGTCCTTTCGAGACTGCAAACATCTATAGTCGCTGGACATTCTCTTGGATGAATGGTTGATGCGTCTTGGTGCTCAGCGCCCATTGGAAGAAGAGGATGTATACGTCCTGGGCGCAGAAGACCAAGCGGATATCCTCGCGGAGAAACTGGAGCGAGCCACAGAAAACCACAAAAACCTCTGGTCGGCATTGGCTGTTGCATACGGAGCGACCTACGGAGAAGCCGCCTTCCTCAAAGTCATTCAAGATTTACTCGCGTTTGCCCAACCTCAATTCCTTCGAATGTTCCTTGCATACATTGCACGCTTCTCAACATCGGGGAATGGATCTATTCAAGGGCCCTCCATTGCGCAAGGCTTTGTCATTGTAGGCGCCATGTTCATATCAGCAATGACCCAAACGATCGTGCTACATCAAGTACGCTGGGTTTACATAATACTAGTTTCCGTACTCACTCTTTGGATAGTATTTTGACAAGTGCTACCGTACCGGAATGCGCGTTCGATCGGGACTCGTTACACTCATATACAAAAAGACCCTAGTTCTATCCAACGAGGAAAGGAACAAGATGCCCTCTGGAGATACGGTCAATTTGGCCTCCGTTGATGCGATGAGACTCCAAGATCTTTGCACGTACGGGTTGATTGCCATAAGTGGCCCGTTCCAGATCACCCTGGCGTTCGTTTCCCTCTATAATCTCCTTGGATGGTCTGCATTTGTGGGAGTCGCAGTCATGGTTGTCGCCATTCCCATCAACACCGTAATATGCCTAATGTTTTGGAAGAGATGGTTTGCTGATACGCTATAGGCCATTGCAAGATATACCAAAAAGCTTCAAGAACAGCAAATGAAGAACACTGACAAGCGAACGAGGTTAGGGAGTCCTCTATCAGCTGCCGAACCTTGCTCACACATCGAAGGCTTATGAGCGAGCTCTTGAATAACATAAAAAGCATCAAACTTTATGCTTGGGAGCGCTTTTTTATGGCCAAGGTACTACAAGTCCGAAACGAGCAAGAACTGAGGCTATTGCGCAAAATTGGAGTTACGAATGCGGTAGGAATGATGTTCTGGGGTACCATTCCACTGCTGGTCTCTTTGGCCTCATTCACTGCTGCCGCATATACTCGCTCAGAACCATTGACAAGCGACATTGTTTTCCCTGCCATCTCATTATTCTTGCTCCTCTCGTTCCCACTCGCAATGGTCAGTCGTATTTTTATCTATTCGCATTCGCCTAACGGTGCCCCTAGTTTGCTCAAATAACTACCTCCATTGTCTCGGCAATGGTCTCCGTAAAGCGCCTGAGCAAGTTCCTTCACGCCGGCGAGTTACAAGAAGCTGCAGTCGTCTATGAGGATGAGATACGAGCACTCCCCGCACTGGAGATCAAGTCAGGCGACTTCAGATGGGCCCAAGAATCAGCTCAGCCTACGCTCGAGGATATCAACCTCAAGGTTGGATCTGGAGAGTTGGTAGCTGTTCTCGGCCGAGTTGGCAGTGGAAAGGTAGAGTGTTCTGACAAGCGTTTACTTTCTCCCTCTGAGCGCATGGTTAGACAAGTTTATTGTCAGCAATCGCAGGAGAGATGCACAAGTCTGAAGGAACGGTGACAGTCCGTGGCTCAGTTGCGTACTGTCCACAGAATCCTTGGTATGTCCCAATCTTCATTTTCAATGCGTATTTCTAAATCAATCCAGGATTATGAGTGCTACGGTCCGGGTACGAATGCGCAGCTTCACTTGTTGACGCCTAACATTCGATCTAGGACAACATTTTGTTTTGCCACGAGTACGAAGAGGAGTATTACAACATTGTACTTGATGGTATGTTTTCACCCCCGTCGGAGGTCGCTCATTCAGCCTTTATAGCCTGTGCTTTGCGACCCGACTTGGCCTTACTTGAACAAGGAGATATGACGGAAATTGGCGAAAAAGGCATCAACGTAAACGATTTTGTTACGGAAATGAATGCCTTTCTTACGTCGTTTATAGCTGTCAGGTGGACAACGTGCAAGGATTGCACTCGCTGTAAGTCTCATTGGGTGTTATCAAATGTATTTCTAACCTTTCACAGCGTGCAGTATATGCTCGTGCCGATTTGACTCTCCTAGACGACGTCCTGGCTGGTGAGTAATAATACCAACCGTTAGTACATGTTCTCACTTGCTATATTAGCTGTGGATAATCACGTCGCCCGTCACATCTTTGGTAAGAAGGTTTAGGCTGTTATAACGGATCCTAAGAGAGACCTTTAGATCATGTCATTGGTCCCCGAGGTTTGTTGGCTAACAAGGCGAGAGTCCTTGTCACCAACAGTGTTGCATACCTTGCCCAAACGACGAACTTGGTCCTGATGCGCAGCGGTATCATTCTCGAGAGTGCACCCTACGAGGCTATCTACGCGAATTCCCAGTCTGAGCTATTCAAGTTCATGTGAGTGCTGTCGTTTGTACAAGAGTTTTATTGATATCTCTTAGTACCATCCCCTCCCGCTCCGAGACCAATAGTGGACGACAGTCTGGAACTGCAACACCTCGTACTAAAGAGCAGACACAAGAAGACATCAAAATTGAAAAATCAGAGGTCCAAACGCCAGAAACTCTCACCGAGGCGGAGCCGGTCAGCAAAACCTCGAAGGCAATCAAGTCTGATATCATTATCGCCGCACCAGAAGCCGACAAGGCAAAGAGAGAGCACAGGGAGCGCGGAAAAGTCAAGATGGAGGTTTACAAGCAGTATATTACCGCTGGAGGAATCGGAGCGTTCTTCCTACTTGCGATGATTACAGCACTCGGTCAAGCGGTTAATATTGGCTCAACATATATTCTCAAGAGTTGGGCCGAACACAACCGTCGAGCAGGACGTAACGCGGATACAAATACGTACCTCGCTTTATACGGTGCTGCAGTCTTCCTTTCAAGTCTTTTGTCGTTGATGGTCGGAATTCTCCTTTCCGTCATAATCATCATCAGGAGCACCAAGTACATGCATGACCGTGTCTTGCAGGCTCTACTTCGCTGCCCACTGTCATTCTTCGAACAAACGCCAAGTGGAAGGTATGGAACGGCTTTCAAATCCGTCAACTTGCTCACCGTGTGTCAGAATTCTTAATGTCTTCTCTCGTGACGTCTATGTATTAGACCAAGTGCTTGCACGAGTCATCTCAGGCGCCTTGAGGACGTTCTCAAGTGTCATGGGTATGTTCGACGAGGCGTGGATTGTAACTCTAACTGACATTGTGTAGGAACTGTCTTTGTGGTCTGCATCAGCTTCCCACTCTTCACGTTTGCCCTCCTTCCTCTGGGTGTCTTCTACTATCGAGTGCTGGTATACTACCTTGCAACGAGTCGAGAATTGTGCGTATAGCAGACTTCTCTCCACGTCTCTCACTGCTTTATAGGAAACGGCTGGACTCTATTACGCGTGCTCCGATCTTCACGTGGTTCCAAGAGACACTCTCTGGCTTGAGCACCATTCGTGCATTTAGACATCAACGATTGTTTACCCTCAACCTCGAGAAGCGCTTGGACCGTAATCAAATGCAGTACATGGCGAGTATCAATGTCAACCGGTACGAGCAATTTCTTGATGTATTGTTTCTGGCTCAATAGCCCTAGTTGGCTCGCTATCCGCCTAGAGTTTATCGGATCAATGATCATACTACTCGTGGCCGTACTCGCTTTGGTCAAGCTACTCTGGTTTGGCGGAGTGGACGCGGGTTTAGTGGGAATGGTCCTCTCTTACTGCCTCAGTGTTTCTGGCGCGCTAAACTGGATGGTCCGATCAGCAAGTGAAGTTGAGCAGAATATCGTTTCTGTGGAACGTATGATCCAGTATGCGAACCTCAAACCTGAGGCAGAGATGACAATCGAGGCAACACGACCTCGTTCACCTTGGCCAAGCAACGGTATTATCGAGTTCAAGTAGGCCCTTCACCGTACCTCGATCACCTCCACTCATAATTTTAGGCACATGTCTATGAGATATCGACCAGAGTTGGAGAATGTTCTGAAGGACATAAATGTTACTATTGTATGTGCAGTTCACCTCGAGAAGCATTCCTGACAGATTCACAGCCGAAACATGCCAAGGTCGGATGTGTTGGAAGGACTGGGAGTGGAAAATCGAGCACGATGCTCGTTCTCCTTCGGTATGACTCTACACCCCGCACAATTCCATGGCTAAACTGTGTCGCAGGATGGTCGAGCCTTCAGAAGGCACGATTATTATCGACGATGTGGACATTACAAAGATTGGCCTTGCAGATCGTAAGTATTTCCACCTGGCTCTCATCCTTGGATCTCACAGTTTCAAAGTCCGCAATGCTATCAGCATTATTCCACAGGCGAGGTTTATCATTTCAACGAGTTGCCTCGACTGACACGCTAGTAGGAACCTCAACTTTTTGAGGGAACTATTCGTGACAATATCGATCCAAGTTCGTCATACGGTGACCAGGCAATCTGGAGTGCTTTGGAGAAGGTGAGTCGACAGATTTAATCATACTTGTCCTGATGTCTTTCAGAGTGGCCTCAAGGAGCATATCACAATCATTGGTGGACTCGACGCTCCCGTCAATGAAGGTGGTTCGTCTCTCTCTGCTGGCCAACGACAACTTCTATGCTTTGCTCGTGCTCTTCTACGCCAAACTCGCATCATTCTCCTGGACGAGGTGAGTTCTCAAAGGGATTGGTCGATGCAGCTCACAAAAGTCACAGGCAACGAGTGCTGTCGATCCTCATACAGATGCGGCTATCCAGAGCATCATCACAGGTCCAGACTTTGAAGATGTGACGATGATTACGGTCGCACATCGGATTAATACTATCATGGATTACGACTATATCATGGTCCTTGATGCTGGAAAAGTGCGCAACTTCGTTCATTACAACGGTTCGCTGGACTCATATCCTGACCAGGTTATCGAGTATGACACTCCTAATGCGCTTCTTGCTCGTAAAGACTCGGTTTTCCGTTCACTCGCTGCGGAGGCAAAGCTTGTTGACGATCTCTAAAATGTTCCTGGATTACATAGGATGGTCAATTTTATTCGATCCCATCGAGAAAATACAGTAAATTAGTTTGGCGTGAGAAAGTCTCGTCACCATCCGACGAGGCCAAAGAGGCCTTTTGTCTGCTTTCCTGGTGTGGCTGCAGCTGTATGCGCAGAGGCCCAGTCTTCTGCTCCTGCAGCGGCAGACGTGCTTCCTGGATGTATCCTGAATGCACTAGAGCTCGGCTCGAGTGAGATTTGTCGTCCGATGGGATTTGGTCGCGTAACTGTCGGCGACGTAGTCTCGTCTTCTGGATTTTGGATTACTGCTGGTGGACCGTACAAGGACTGAGTCGCCCATCCATCCTTTCCGTCCTGCTATGAAAATGTCAGACAACGAGGCGTTTTGCAAGATTGTCTAGATGACTCACCGCCCATTTGACGCCTACCATCCATTGGCCGTTCATCAACTCTCCATTCTTGCGTACGGCTCGAGCCGCCTCCCATTCGTGCTTGTACGAGATTTTGAACCAGTTGGCGCCCTCTGGACCAGGTTGGGGCTCCTGTGTCTCTCCAATAGACGTAAACAGCTTGATGGCAGCTGAAATTTTGTCTTGGGGGAAGCCAAACACAATCACGTCGTGCCATTCCTTGTTCGTGGTCGAACGCTGGTGTGTCCTATTACGGGCTGGCGTTTTAAATGGCTGGGGGACAGTGAGCAATGGATTTGAAGGGAGAGAATGGACCATTTACGTCTCGGTTTGTGGGAATAGTATCCAACTCGTCGAGTACAGATTGAGTCGGCGGTGCGTCCTCGTCTAGCGGTTGTTGTCGGGACCTGGTAGGACTGATCAGAGGTTTTGCACGTTTGAGCAAAGTGCTTACATATGTTGGTCTCCAGTTTCGGCTCCAAAGGTTCCCGGAGCAACATGTAAAGATTTTGAGGGGAGCAGAGGTGGATCTTCGTATCTCTGAACGCCTTCAGGTAGAGACTATATTGTAAGATGAACCACATTCGGATAGCAGAGTGAGCCAAAACGCGTCGTTTGAAGGAGTACAGGACTGACCATGCCTTGAGAGGCGCTCAACAAGTAACCAGGCAAGTAGCCGCTTCCATCACGTGTCGACGCAGCCAGCGAGTTTTGCGGATTAAATGTTGATGACCAGGCTGGCGGTAACTGACTTGCAGCGAGAGGCTGCTGGGCATTTGTAGACGCTCCTGGGCCGAGCGTCGAATAGTTGAGTGCAGCTTGTGAATGTGCTAATGCTGGTCGTCTATAGCTGCGATCTGGAGCTCTGTCTGCGTATGTTGACGAGGAAAACATTGGCGTGGTAGAGTCGAAGAAGCCAGCCGGAGAGGGGCGGGGGTAACAATACATTGTACATTATATGAAGCATCGTACATTATAAGTAATATTTGTTGCCCACTTGCGTATTCATCAAGTCTTGACCTGACCGCAGCCAGGATTTACTCGGGAGTCCAAGCTGGGCAAGGCTGTTTTAGCTGCCAGCGCTGACGAATACTACTTAAAAGGCCACGATACAGCACCCTGCAATCCCCAGATTCCATGGCAAACCTCTCGCCACAGCCAACAGGGACCAGCACCCACCTTCAATCCAGAAATCCATTCTTGGGCCTCATAACTCCTCAGTCAACCGGTCCTGTAGCTTCTCCTCCAACGACGAGCCCGTCATCGCGGCCAGAAAATGCCACAGCTCCTACGACATCCACTGACGTCCCTCGACTGCCACCTCGAATAATCAGGAGCGACACAAGTGGAACAGGAATATTAAATTCGACTCCAACTCCTCAAGAGGAACAACCAAACGAAGCAGTGGCCAGCCCGACGCGCTTCGCACCCCCGACAGCACCACCACCCTCTCTACCCCCTAGGACACCCTCATCTAATCCTCCTGCAAACCAAGAACGACATTCGCCACCGAGATCGTCAACGCTAGACATCCTCCAAGAGGATCTGCCACCAGCGTACACACCCGGACCGAGTACAAACCTCGGAGAACAGAGCGTCGAATTTGGTCCACTCAGACCATTCCAGAATGAGACTCCAAATCCCAATCTTCGTCGTCCACAACATGGCTCGCCATTTGGAATCGCGCCAGGTGCCCAGTATATACGCAGTCAACGGACTGGGCCCACTCTTGGTCAAGCCCTCGGAGAATTGCTCGTAGCACTTACGACGCCTAGAGAGGAACCGCGTCGAACCCCGGGATCCGGCCATCGTCCAAGTTCATTCCCTGGAGGGAGCTTTCAAGGTCCACCATTCGGACCTCCAAGGCCTAATAATTCATCACAGCCTTCACGACAAGGTTGGTCGCAGTACCCCGGGATGCCTATCCGTGCAACCACCCCGGAAGCACAAACACCCCCGCCCAACGATGGAAAGCCGACTGCTCGACCAAGTCCTGGTCATCCACTTTTAAGAGACAACCATGTTCTTGTGTATCCACTGGGTTACGAGTGCCATAAATGTAAGCCCACATCCTACTTCGGAAGACTGTTGCTGATGGCAATCTCAGGCTTCAATCGAGGGTTCAAACCCGTTCACGCATCAACATTCGATTCTACACCGCGCGCATTAGCCGCTGGAGATCCCTCTGATCCCTGCCGCAAATGCTGGCGACATTACTCTCGCCCTTATACAGCCGCTCTCGCCCAACTCGATTGGAACAACCCAGTGGAAACAAACTTTCAACGGCCCATCTCCGATTTCACACAAGGTGGACCACCGCCTTCCCGGCATCTGGCACCCCAGGCTACTGGAGGTCCTCCATCTACACAACCATATCTCTCGCCTCGGTCTCCTCCAGGTGGTTACCCAGGCAATAGCGCACAGCGATCACCTGCGCGTGCCATCTCCGGTCCAAGTCGACCTCCACCTCAATGGGCAAATACGACACCTTCAGGTAGACGTGTCGTTTATGAGCCTGGAGATCCAAGAATCGGCGGGAGGCTCTGCGTTCGTTGTCATGGCTCAGGCAGGGTTCGCGTTTTTATCCTGGATAGCGAGGTCTGCTCAATGTGTGGTGGCATCGGTAGAGTGTTTTAATCTCGATAGTTTACTGTGTATGCAGAAAAATGTATATTGTAAACCGTGTTACAGTTGAGAGTGAGTACACTGGATTTAAACATCGCCACCTTCACCTGGATGAACTTCTATCGCGTCCTTGGGAGCTGATTCATCTTGAGAGAAAGTTAGTCATTCGTTGGCTCGTACAGCACACATTCTTTTACCAAGCGTTTCCGTGTTCATTTTTGTTTCTTCTTCCTCTGCTCCTTCAAGCTCTCGCTCCATTTGCGCTCGGCTGGAAAATTTTGAGTAAAGGATTCTCCCAGACGTCAGACTCACGTATATGCCGCCCTCACTTGATTTTTAAGGGTATTGTTGCGGAATCGTGCCTAGAAATGGGTTAGTCCAATATTTCGAAGCAAAGAATGGAGATACTTGCGTGCAAGAGGAGTTGATCCCTTTCCTCACTCTCAAAGAGCATCCGAATAGACCTTAGAGCGAGCCACGCCCTATCAAAGAATAAGAGACGCAGTCGCCAATCGGACCCGACCGCTTACCATGTCCCTGATGGATCCATGAATTGCACGATTTGAACCGTTTCACGCTCTTCTTCCGTGAGGTTGGCAGTTTGACAGAACCACTCTTTCGTGTTGTGGATCTTGGCCGGGATACGCTCGTCGTCGGGTTCGTATATGACACCAGGGAACCAGGGATGTCCTTCTATAATTGGAGTTGAATTGCAGTTCACAGTCGACGGTCTCGCTTTACCTTGCTTAGCCCACACTATTGACGTTGTCAAACTCGTCCTCGAAAACACCTACAGCACTTACCCAACGTTCCCCCCTCTAGCCCTCCCTCTCCCATAGTCGGTGGCGGTCCCATAATTTCTTCTCGTTTTTCCCGATCGATCCGACCACTAGATTTCTTTGGAGCCTCGACATGGGTACTTGGTCCGACCTGAGCAGCCTCACCCCCGCCATTCTCAACAGATTTGGGCTGCTTAGAAGGCCGAGAAGAGGAAGGGCCTTGATTCTTTGACGAAGTTTTGCTCCTGGCCGGGCGAACACGAGCGCCACCTTCCGGCGCTTCATCATCCCGTTCCTCCTCGATATCAGTGAGACTGCTAACAGAGCTCGAGTCACCCTCTTTGGTGTGGCTACTAGTCCCTTCCCGCATGTTGGATCCCTCTGCAAGCTGCTTCTCCCTCCTGAGGGCCGCAGCTTCGGCTTCGGCTTTGCGACGTGCTTTAGCGGATGATATCAGCGGAAAATCGGCACGTAGAAAAATACACACCTCGTCTTTCCCGTTCTTGGATGCGCTTCCTCTCGTTGATCTGCTCTCGTGTGAGCTTTGGCTTTTTGGCCTTGGAGCTGTCGGCTGCTTCCTCGACTGGGGCAGAAGTTTGCGGTGAGACTACTGAGAGCAGATTGCTGTTGCTTATCGCCATGGTGTCATCGGTAGATTGCGGTATCGAGAGCTGGTCGGGTTCAGGCTTGAATCCGTCTTTTGTAATTAAGCTGGTGGGATCGTTGTCCTCCGGGGATTCTTCGTATTCGCCTCGTTTCCGCTTTCTGCTTGTGCTTGTCGTAGAGGCAGTTTCCACGGGATCTTGCATGGTGACATCGACTATAGGCTGTGGTTGGGGAGCAGACAAAGCAGATGCCTTTCTTGGGGTTGCATGGCTTGAGGAAGGCAAAGTGTCCAGTGCAACCGCTGGAGCAGGACCATTTCGGCGAGTCGCCCTGGGGGGTGGAAGCGTGTGACCTTGCTCTTGCTGCAGTTGTGCCTGCAAAGCTAATCTCGCTAGGCGTCTTTCCTTTTCCGCTTTTCTATCTCGAACGCGAGGAGGCTTCTTGGGGGGTTTGGTGGGGGAAGGCGTAAGAACTGGAACATGAGACGAAGTCAGCTCTGATGATAGAGCGTCCTCCACAGGTCTTTGGGTCGTTGGCGACGTGGTAGGAATAAATGAGTGGAGAGTTTCCCCGGGATCCTTCTTCGGTGAGGTAGACTGCTTGACGAGGGCGTCGATGAGCGGCCAGTTTGGTTCCCCAAAGGATGTCATCAGCCCTTTGAGAAGGCTAGCGCCTTCAGGGTTGTCTCCTTCATCCAAGATGTGTTTTACTCGATCAATGGCAGGTTCGTACGATGCTGAACCGTTTACTGAGGCTGGGATGCCATCAAGCACGGGTAATCCTTTTTCTCGAATCTTCGACGCCAATAAATGCATCTCATGGTCGGGAGGGTAATAGAGCATCGCGTTGTTCCATACCAAGGAAACGTGGTTCTACATCCGCTTGCTTCAGCTTCATGATACAAAGATCATTAGAGCTCACTTTGAATGTTTTCGAGTCCCAGTATCGATGAGCCTTGAGGTTATCCTGAATCATACTCCAACACATTGGCGTTGCCACCTTTTCATGATAGTCTGGTGATTCGGATTTGGACTCCAAAGTGCGAAATAAATTCAGCTCGTCCAATCTAGGAGTGAATTAGAAAGCGTTTAAACCGGTTGAATGCTTACGCCGAGATCTTTTCGAGAGCCCTTTGAAGGGCAGACTCGTGTGGATACAGAATACTCGCAAGCTGTTGAATAGCATCTTCAATCTGTTGTATTCTCACGAGTTCTCGTTGTTTCATGGCGTCTGCTTTTTCTTTCAGCTTGCCGAGGTCGTGGCGTAGATGCTTTAGGTACTGTAAAGTATGTAACTATCGAAGAAGACAAGATCATTATAGTACTATTCACCTCGAGTTTCCTTAGTCGATCCTCCTCCGTTTGCTGCGCCGCTGACGTCGCCGTAGTCCAGGGCTTTCACCGAAATGTAAGCACGCTTCAAAGCGCTCGTCATTGAAGCTAACCTCCAGATGCAATCTTTTGAGTAGCGGTGCACCCCTACGAGCTTCCCGTTTCAGGCTCCAGTACTTGCAGATGGCGAGAACGACGTGAGGCTTCTTGCGGAGTGTCACTTTGCCGATGTAGTCCATGACTCTTGTGACGATATACTGGGGGACCAGCGGTATTCCGGTCTTGTAGGTTCGCGCATACGCCCGGGCTGCTTTACTGGACTGACGAATCCGTTTAATCTCCTCTGCGCGCTCTTTGAGATCTTTCAGGTATGCGTTGCGTGTCTCGGCCATATCTTGCTAGAGACACAGAATAAGAGATTTATTAGATGAGCAGAGGTGGACTCACAGGCAGATGTCGCTCACAAAAAGCCCGCAAGGGCTGCTCTTCTTGATCGGGAAGTGTCTTCATGCTACAAAGAAATTTTTGCTTTCTTGCACAGGAGACGTGGAAAGCAGAGTAGCATGACTTGATGTCACACTGAATGCAAGCGCCCTTGGGCTCTTTGCAAATCGAACACCTCTGCTAGTGGTCAGTCGTCGTCGAAATAACAAGCGCCTCGTACCAATCTCCATCGAGATTTGGAGATATTCTCAATATGCTCGATAGGCTCCATAAATACTTGATTCTGTACGACAACCTCTGGAATCCATATGGCACAGAGAAGGTGGGCCCAGTGGCCCGATGATGTTTGCTTGAATGCACCACCCTCGTTAGGGCAAAGCAGACATGACTGCAAGGGATGAGTAAATGGACAGAGACAGGAGTGGGCTGGAGCTTACGACAGGAGCCTCGGGTGAAACGGTACATTTCCGGCAGAGCCATTGTCCTTCTGGGATATAGGGCACACCGTAGCAGTCTTGGTGAACGGCGAGGTTGCATCCATCACAAAAGACGATGGCGTTGCTATTCTCCCCTTCTCCGTCGTCACAAACCGCACAGCAAGAGTCCTCAGCAGGTAAGTCCATGTCTGGTTTGGGGACACGTTTCATCTGGCGTGGCCGTCATGGATGTATTCGCGAGTGGCGGAATAGGACGTACGAGCATAAACCATTCCTTCTCCAACTGGTCCATAATGACCTCGAATATCTCTTGAGAGACAGGACCATGCTGTTCCTTTCTCCGTTGGGCGTTGAGACCCTGGAGCCAGTCCAAATCTGCCCAACGTATTGGTCAACCCTGCGATACGCTTGTTGGACATACCTTGTTCGTCCATATCATACTCAACTTGCTTCAGCAAGTCGCTTTCCAATGGCTCTGTGGTAGCGTAGCTATCGTCAGCTCCTGCAGGCTCGCTCAGGGGGTGTCGCACCCGTATGACGAATATACGTCTCTGGACGTTGATATTTCTCTCCTCCACAATCTATATCGCGTAAAGAAGACGTGTACGTGAGCAATCTTTGCCTCTTCGCTCGAGGAAGCAAAGGAAACCCACAACCAAAAGAGCGTGCCAACGCGTCAAACTGCTGCAATGGTTTCCGTGAAAGTGCGTCGTCAATCCTTCTAAACGATGGCTTTGGGAGATCGTCGGGCAATGGCCCGCGCATCGTCGAAATGGCCGACGACCAAGGCAAGCTCCAAGTGAATGTATGTTGAACGCCAACTTGGACCCGACGACATTGGCCATTTTGGACAAAACCCACGCCTCAACGCCCAAATCCAGTTCATAAATCATGCCACCAAAGTCTACAAGAGCGGCTACGGCGACGCAACCGAGTCTCAAGGCCAGCTTTGCCGCCGTACGCAGCGCAAAGGGCGCGGCGGGGCTCACAGAGCAAAAGAAGAAGACTTTTACGCCCGTTGTTGCCGTAAAACCGACGGCAAAGCCCGACTTAGAGCCCAAACGAGCCGTCAAGCGCAAGAAGTCGTTTACCGATGGCGAGAGCAGTGACGAAGACGAACCAGAATCTCCGATTTTGGAAACAGAAGATGACCTCGAGGTTCATGTAGTCCAGGCAAGTTTACATAAAAGAATATACGAGCTTGAACTTACAATGTACAACAGGTGCTCCCTCAAACAGACGATGAGATTGTCGACGTCGAGTCGGAAGAGGAGGTCAAGCCAAAGCCCAAGCCAAAGCCAAAAGGCCGCACGTCCACTGGCAAGACGGACAAAGTCATCGCCAAAGGTGCAACCGTTGCCACAGGTAAGACATGTCAAAGCTCGGGCCGCATCATCTAACATACGTCCAGTCCATGGAGAAAACGAGACAAAGGTTGAAAAGATGCTTCGCACGTTTGATCTTTCTTACCAGTACGGGCCCTGTGTCGGCGTCACTCGTTTGGAGCGTTGGAAGCGCGCAGAGGCATTGGGCTTGGATCCACCCATCGAGGCATGCTGTTCTTTTCTCTTCCTCTCTTGCTTACTAAATCTTATAGGTCCGGGACATTCTTCTCAAGGGCGAGACTGAAGACACTACCGAAAGCGTTTTCCACCGCCGCGTCTAAGACTATGAACATTATTCAGCGCCTATTTGAGCACGACTGTACGATAGGGTTGATTATAATTCGCTCTGACGCCACGCCAAAGTAGGACAAAAATCCAATCCATTAATAGCATCCTTTCTAGCCCTGTACAGAATGCGAGGCAGGAGCGTCCAACACTGCCTATTCGCGCAAGCACTGCGCACGAAATGGTCACCTCGAATAAGAGAGCATTGTAAGGGTTCGGATGAAGCAAGAAGAGCGTGCATAGCGCACGAAAATGAACATGTGTGATACACAAAGGATGTATAAGGTATGCGCGAGAGAGCAGAAGGGCGTGATGATCGGAAAGCAAATGCAGAAACTCCCAATATGGAGGACAGAAACAACAAGTGGTACACTTTTGATGTTGTCGAAATCTTGTGGGTACATGATAATGATGCAGATTTTGCTTGCAAAAATGGTGTTTGCGTTTAGGGTTCCGGAGTCTTGGGCGGATAAACAGTTGCGAGAAGGGACTGCAGGCAGCGCTTGGTGACCATATCACTCTGGGGCGTTGTTAGGGACAAGCTGCAATGGTTCAAAGTTTTTACTTGCCTTGAGAAGCGCATCAAACTGCTTGTTCTTGAGGGCGTCGGGGAGCGTATTGGCAAGGGCCTCTCGGGCCCTATAGAGAGTCAGGAACACGTGTAAAGGATTGAAAAAAAGGTTACATACTTTGGATTGTCGCTAAGGCGGAGGTAGCAGCGGACGACATGCTTGAGGAGACGGACGGCTTGCGTATGCGTAAGATCGTTGACCATGAGACCGAGAACGTTGACCACTGCGTGGAAGCGTTCATACGTATGGCAAATGTAGGTCAATCCGATCTCGTCGAGCAAAATCTTTTGCACAATGAAAATGGCCACCGTCTTGGAGAGTTCGGTACCGTGCTGCATGATACGCAAGCACAGGGGAATAATCTCGGTTGTAAGCAGGAAATTGATGACCTGAGCATTGTCCGCAGGATTCACGGGATCGGTGCCGGCGGGCTTAACAAGGGCACCGATGACCCCGAGCGAGGTGAGACGGAGATATTCAAATGGTCGCGTTTTCGAGGTGGTGTTGAGAAACGGATAAAGGAGCAAGGGAAGGTTTGCGGCCAAAAAGCCACTTCTCGTCTCTGGATGCGATGCGACGCACTGCAAAAGCGCAAGTGCATTGCAAACTCTATTTGATGCAGAAGCAGTGAGTGCTGGAGGGGAAAGAAGTGGATAAACGTCGATAATCTCGGTCAGCAGGATGGCCATGGTCCCAAACGAGTTCCAGAGGACGAGGGCGAGATTGTCGTATTGTTCTCGTCGTTTGCTGAGCTCTAGGAGCGCACTCTCCCGTTTATCAATGTTGTACATCGAGTAGACGAGCTCTGTCATCTTTTCGTCGTCCAAGGCTGGATTGCCCTGGGAGCCAGCGTCGTGGGCACCATACAGCTGCTGCTGCTGCTGAACCTGAGCGACCTGCTGAGCCTGGTGCAGCTGTTGGGCCTGCGTCTGTTGAGCACGCTGACGCGCCTGCTGCTGGGCATAGACGGCCTGGGACTGTTGGACCATGTGCTGCTGCTGCTGGACGTTTACACGTGGATTATAATTATTTGGGAATTGGTTGTTGTTGAAGGAGCCATACTGCATCATCGTAGTTAGAGTCCAAGACGCGCTACAAAGCTTGACTCCCGCGACGTCGGCCTTACAAAACCATGGGCCTCCTAGATGTTCGACCAGACGATCTACTGCCTATTTTGGCTATTATACTCGTCGTTCTCGTCATTGCCGTGAGTTTGTCAAATGTCCAGCCGTGTCTATTTGTTCTAGGATGATATTGCCTCTCATCCTTGTTCTCGAACTACGAGAGCTCTCAGTAGCTCGTCGTGTTTACGATGAAATCCATGGCCGACGGCCCTTAGTCCGTCTCTGAGTTACAGCACATCCCCCGAAATGCTGTCATATCTCACACGCTGACCACTATTCTCTCCAGCTAGGAGACTTTATCAACTTCTTCCTGCCATCAAGAGCAATCCCCGCGGCGTCGGAGTATACCTATGTCTCCGCACTCAATCCCGACGAGCCAAAACCCCTGCCTTCGCTGGGCGATACACCGTCTGTGAAACTCTCCATCGTTGTCCCAGCATACGATGAGACGGAGCGATTGAAACCCATGATCGATTCTACGTTGACGCACCTGCACTCACTCCGACCACACCGCTCATTTGAGATTCTCATCGTCGACGACGGCTCCCGTGACGGGACAGCCGATCTGGCGCTTAAGCTGTCCATTTCACACGCAAAGACAGATTCAAAGGACGAAATCCGTGTGGTTCGCCTGGAAACCAACCGTGGCAAAGGAGGTGCTGTCAAGCATGGATTCATGCATGCCAGAGGAGAGCGAATTCTCTTTGTGGATGCAGATGATGCAACCCGCTTCTCGGACCTAGAGACCTTGTGGTCGAAAATGGACGAAATGGAGGGCGACGAGGGAGCACCCGCCATTGTCATCGGGAGCCGAGCCCATTTGGTGAATAGCGAAGCCGTCGTCAAAGTGAGTTGTGTGCAGGAGATTATGTTATACAAGTTTGACCAAGAGACGATTAGCGTTCCAAGATTCGCAACTTTTTGATGAAGGGGTTCCATACCATTCTCCGTATACTTGGTGTTGGCCACATTGGAGACACGCAATGCGGTTTCAAGGTGTGTATCATGTTCGTCCTGGCTCGTGGGCCGTGCACTGACACCTCGCATATGCAGCTCTTCAATCGCGCTGCTGCGCAGCAAGTCTTCCCACCACTCCATCTTCCGACGTGGATTTTCGACGTTGAGATACTTTTGGTCGCCCAGGCACTCAACATTCCCGTGCTGGAGATTCCTGTCCACTGGAAGGAGATTCCCGGAAGCAAGCTGAATATTGCAGGGGCGTCGCTGGGGATGCTGAGAGACTTACTCCTGATGCGTGCAAACTACATGCTCGGGCGATGGACTCCGTACGACTTTCGAGAGGACTGAGAGTCGGGTGCGTATTCGTCCAAGTTGCGCATGACTGCAGACACTTGGGTCTAGTCTTGTTTCGTCTTGGTTGCTACGGCTCCCGATGGAGATCGATTCCAAGCCCAGGTGTTGGAGCCGACAAGGGGGCTGATACGTGATAAACGTGATCCCGCCGCGGCGCCGCTTAGAAAAGTCATCTGACAAGAAAAGATAACGAGAATAAATCCTTGTCGGGACAAGCCTCGTTTGTGTAAATTCCGTGACCCTTTTGCGCGATGCGAATTCGGATACTCGTCGGCCAGGATTTCTTGTCGAGCTGCCCATCTGGCGAGGCGCAGCGAACGGCACAAGACCCGGTCCGTGTTGGGTTTCATTTGTCAGTTGAATTCCTCCACAATCAGTGATCACGCGGGCCATTCAGTGGTCCTTTGCGGTAGCCGAGTCCCAACGCGCCAACGAAACGCTGATAATAAGAAAAAGCGGGTTACGAGTTATTACGAGAGGGGATTTGGATAAACTGTGTGCTGATCACCTGCTGGTGCTCCACCTGCCAACAGACTTTGTTGAAAGACCAAAGCCACAAGCTTTGACCCCGCCATACCGCGGACGGCACTCGCCTCCGCGTCGATAATCCTCAAGAATATAATCTAAACGAGCTCAAGGACCGTAGGATCCTATCCCGGTCCCTCTCGTCTGCGAGTCGGCAATGCAGTACGCTCCTATGCCCGTGAGGACGCTCGCAGGAGCTCTGGCAGACGATGGCGACCTTGATTCAGAGGTTCCAAAGATCTGTGTTGACTATCTTAGTCACCAGTGGGCCGAAGAGGACGTTTGGCGGTCATGGCGTTCGATGACCAGAGCAAAGTATGAGATTGCAAACGGCATGCGTCTCGAAAACGCTTCCTGGAGAACATGGTGGAAGCAACGAAACAAGCTCAAGACCATCTCGCCCGAGAATCTCAACTGGTGAGCATTCTCCCTCATTCCAACTTTTGTTTCTCAGCTGCTGGGATCATTCGGAGCGTCCTCCATCGCTCTTACACGCACTCCTCTTCTCCTTCTAGACGCTTGCGAGCGTCTCCTCTTACTGCGCTGGCAAAGCCGGTGCGCGCTGCTCGTCATGTGAACCACCTCGCGGCCCAGCCTCCGCGGCGTGCATGCTGCTCGTCGCCTAGCAGTTTTCCTCCACTTTTCCGCTCATTTTCCACTATTTCCCTCTTACTATGCCACATCATTTGTCGTTGCCCCTTGCCTGTGGCCATCTTGAATTCACACAACCGACCCCCCCTTCCTTCGCCCGACATGTCCCATCCACAGCATTTTGGGTGCTTCTTGATCGAACTAGATTCCAATCGATTTCCTCTCGTCTCGTTCTGCGCATTCAACCGCGATCATTTTACAAAAAGGTACTAATGACAATCTTCTCTCAGGCTCAAGGATAGCGACGTGACCTGGTTGTACGGTCCTTTGCACCAGGCGCCGTCTGTGCCTCCGACAAAAATCGCTTCCACCGCAGACAAGATTGGGTTCGACTTGCCCAAGTCCAAGTTGACGCGCAGGGCAGGAGACCAGACCTCACAATCTACATCTTCCACATCCTCACAGCCATCTTCACAAGCCAAACCCATTCTGAAGAAGCGATCTGTGACGGATATTTTGGCGATGGGGATCGTCGCCCCGCGTGCACCCCAGAGCTCGAGCTCCCCTATTTATGAAGCGGTTACGGCAGAACTTGAGGGTGAGCCGATGCCGGGACAGGGGGAGCCAGAGATTCAAGCGGATCCTTCCACGCTCCCACCCGCCGCTGGCATCCTTAAATCGTCACCAAGGCCGGCTCTCTGGCACACAAAGTCAGACTCGATTCTGGCTCGCCAGGCCATGCTTTCTACGAGTCCCATGAGCGTAGAAAAGCTCAGCCCACCTGGTGATAGTGCGCTCTCTGTCGCATCCAAGTCGGCCTCTCGTAGCCCACCACCTCTTGCCCGCGCTGGACATAGATCCGACTCTTCATCCTCTTACCAAGTTTCTGACGACTCGTCTGCTCCTGCCAGATCGAGGCGGCACATTAGCTTCAACTCGTTTGTCGAGCAGCGAGTGGTTGTCGACCCGTCCCCGCGCCGAAAGGTGTCTGCCGATGATAGGACATCTTCAGACTCTGAATCTGAATCTGAAGACGAGGATGGTACAGTGTTGGAGATGAGGTCTCTCTCTGGCTCGAGTCTTTCGTCGAGTCGAAGAGGCTCCACCAACAGCCAGACTTCCTCCGACACCAACCCTCGATCAGCGGGTATGATGACCATGATCACCGCTCCAATTGCTCCCACTCTCCTCAAGGAACCAGAAGACCTCCCCGCCCCAAGCCCCGCAGTCGTCTTTGTTGCTCCTCAAGGAATCGACGAGGAGACCCTCAAGTACGAGGTTCACATTGCCTCCAAAGTTCATTTCTCCGTACCAGCTGACCGCAGGCGATTGGATACTGCCTGGTCACCTGCACATGGCGATGAGTACGACCAAACAGAAATAGTCGACTACTTTTCTGGCGTACCAGTCCCGGAGCCCGAGCGAGAGCCAATCTATACAGATGAGGACGAGGATGCCATTACGGTTCGACGGCGAATACGATCCCCTCGATCGAGTGGATACTTTGTGCAAGACGATGGTACACAGTGGCGAAAGGGACAAGCGGGCTCGACTGTGGGAGGGCCGACGCCCGATTCTTCTGAGACGGGCCCGCTACGCTCATCTGTCGGCCCTCGTCAAAGTTCATTCTCGGAACGTGCGAGCGAATACATCAAGGTATCTTCCGTGTCCCCTCCCACCATCAGTCACGACGAGATCGCTGGCAAGACGGATACGACAAGCGCCCGTGTTATCGTCCCGCGTTCAGGCTCTGCCTCCAATCTAACCTTGTACCAATATTCGGATGTGGTTGGTTCCGCTCCACGCTCCAGCCATTTGACTTCCTCGCTCAATGCTCATAACCAAGGGAGGAGCTCAAGTGGCCGTACGAGGAACCGACCGCGTGGTGCCTCGTTTGAAGGCGTAGATATGAGGGGCGAAACATCGGCGCTTTCGGTCCGTTCCAAGTCTAACAATGGTGGACTTGTCAGAAGTCAATCTGCGGCAGTTGTCTCTCCCGCGAGAGAACAGCCCGTGGTAGAGGTCAGAGGGCGATCGCAGCGCATCACAGAGGAGCTTGAGCGCCCGAGGAGAGGTCGTTCACTATTGCGGACAAATTCTTCATCCACCATTTCGGAGAGGGAACGTAGCAGCACGACCACAGCCAGCACAAGCCCTCTCGGAAGCCTATCGCCGCGATCTAGCTCGTCAGTTGGAATCGTTGGTGGATACATCGCTCCTCCAAACGGCCTTGGTTCCATCATCATCGCACCTTCTGCCTCTCTCAGGAGTTCAAGCGGTCTCCGATTCGAGTCTGGGTCATGGAGTGCCGATGAGGAGCAGAAGATAGACGGAGGCGATCTTGCGCAGATCATTGCACCTTCTGCTCCAGCAACTGCACCGACGCCGGAGTCACCCGTGCAGGCGAAGCCTACAACTTCGGGCTTGGTAAGAACGTCGAGTTCTACGAATATACCGGCACAGACGAGCCTGTCCAGACAATCTTCATCGTCCAATCTCGTGAGGACGTCTAGTTCGAGTAACATTCCAGCGCAGACCAGTCTCACATCGCCTGGCGGCATTCGACGAACAGGTTCTTCGTCCAGTATATCTAACCGCCCTGGCATGCTGCAGCGCACGAGCTCTTCATCCAACATTGCTGGGACCGTGAGACCGACGCCGCAGCTCATCACCTCTCCCGTTAACGAGATTCCAACTGTCGTTCTGCAGCCATCGAGTCGTCGCTCGTCCCTCACCGACATTGTCGGTGTTCGCAATCTTAGCACAGACATTGCGAGCTCAAGTCCCTCGACGTCTCTGGTGAGCCAAAGTCCAGAGTCGACAGGGTCGTTCTGGCGCGCAAATGAGCTAGAGTCGCCCGCAACCCCACCCTCGCCAGCAGACAAGGTGCAAAAGCCATCTATTGACGAACCTTCTCTCCTGCAACGAGAGCTGCTGTTGACAAAGAGCTCCCTCAAGCCTCGGGCATCAGGACTCTCGCTCGCGTCCAGCACGTCCAATGGGTCCAATTCGTCCAATACGACCGTGGTCCCCAGCGGCGAACCCAAGCACGGTTCATCGCAGCTGGCTTCGGTCTCTTCCTCTGCCTCTTCCACGACATCTGGTCTGTCTATGCATCGCCGGTCAACTTCGCGCTCGTCTCATTCTGCCGCACCCACAACTCCTCCACCAGTTATGCGGAGCAGCTCGTCTTCGACAACCACACGCCATGTGACTCAGGCTGTGGCGACGAGAGCTGATCTGGATTCACCGTCGGGAAGTGCTTCTGAGAAGCACCTCAGGCGCCTCAGTGGAGGCATAGGCTCTCCTGTGGAGGAGAAGCCTGGCTCTGGATCTCAATCTCCCTCTCCTGTTTCTCCTGGGTCTGTCTTGTCTAACGTCGTGGGGAGTGCTCGGGGTCTCTTTGATGCACTCTGGGGAAATCACGACCACAACTCGTCATAAGCACGTGAGTATTCGTCTTGTTGATGGTGTTTGTGGACTGACTGGCCGTCTATAGTGGCTATGAACTGCTATCTTATATGCACATCTCACTACCTGGGTATCACCTGACTATCGCTGGGGATACCTCGTCGACCTGGGTCAATGACACGCTGTTCAATGCCCATGCAAGTCGAACTACCTCCTCCATTCCGCCATTCTCTTCCTCTGGGTCACTGTGTCATTAATAACGATCTTTCCTTGCCATTGGCTTGCGCTGTACCGCTAATGAGTTTTCTCCAGCCATCCTCCCCCCAGCTCGTGCTGTCGTTTAAGCCCTGGACATCCTTCCATGTCCACCATCTCTGGTCTCTCGTCACAGATCGACTTTCTCTATTATTATTTCACTGTGCGAGTATCGTCTAGGCTCGTGTGCATCCCCCATCCTCCCAATCTGTGCCATATCGTCACCAACCCCTAGTTGCAGTGCATGTAGTCAAACCAAACTCTGCAATGATATTGAATCGGTCGAAAGAAATACTCGTGAAAGCTTTGCCTTTCTGGCTGACATTGCAGGAGACGGAAACCCAGCTTACATAACTTAGGTGAAATGATCTGTCTTTTTCGGGCTTTGCTTCAGCGTCACTTTACAGTTTGGACTCGACCTTGTCCGACTCTAGTCAGAGTGCGTCTCTAAAACTGATTTGATACGTGAATAAATATTCATCTTAGCGCCAGATGAAGCTACCAGAAGTCGAAACACCGTCTTATTACAAACCCGGGGCAATCTTGACGCTGCAACTTGCCCCAGACGATATAACATGCCTCGTCGAAGTCATCAAACCGTTTATTCCGTTCACAATCTCTCAGGTTCTCCTATGCAAACCTGCTGAATCTCAAACAGAGCCATCACACCCCCTAATTGATCAGCTCCCCGAGGCGTTTATTGTCAAAGTGTACGATCCAAGGTACATGGATCATCGTCTTCCTTTCAAGTCTCGACCTGCGAGACCTTGGTCGCTAGATGGTGAGCAAGAGGCAGCGACTCGGCGCGAGGAGAGAGGCTGCCCTGGACGAGACGCCAACTATGACCTCGCAAACTGGCCCGAGGAAGACGACGACAAGCCAGGATGGGAAGAATGGTATTTCCAATCCGCAGAGGACCAGTACTATCACGAGTCGGAAGCATACAAACGCCTCGAGCCGGTACAGGGCGTTACAATCCCTCGCTGCTATGGGTATGGAACACTGAAGCTCCCCCAGCGAGCGATATCTCCGCACATACTTGTGATAGAGTACATTTCGGATGCGGAAACGCTGGAGAAGATAGATCCCGCATGCGTACCTCCAGAACTCGCACAATCTCTCTTAAACGGAATCAAAGAGGTTAACCAACTTGGGGTCGTGCACACAGATCTCAACCCAGGAAACATTCTATTGACCCCACGCGATCGACCAACTCGTGCCGTGGTCATCGACTTTGGTCATGCAGGATTACGCGAGGAAGAAGATGACGAGACGTGGAGGGAAGTTCTTGAAGAGAATGACGACCCGTATTGGATGAGAGCGCGTCTGAAGCGCTCACTTGGGGAGGATATTCTCGGTTCGAGTGGTGCTGCACCGGCCGCATGAATACCGTTGATATCACAGCCCCTTCTCGTACCATCCATTGCTGTCAGAACAGTTCTCTGGCTTGCGAACGTGACACCTTTCTTCGGACCTGGTCCGTTGGAAATGCATGCCACAATCGATGACCTTCGAATACAACAACAAAGATCAAATTTCAAGATTGAACGCCTCAGCGTTGTGTCCCGAACCACTGTATGGCATCGATGGACTTGTGTTCCCCAAGCTCTCAGTAATCAACCTCGGCTACGAACTCTCCATCCTCCCGAGCGCTCAACTTAAGTAACCGCCTGTCGGGAAGATACCTCAATTCAAGTACTCAAATCGTGCTGCTAGTAGAAATTACACCTACTATGGGATGGATCCCTGATAGGCAAGGGGCAAAGAATACAATTCATAGGGCTTCCTTGGTGCTCCGATGATACAAAATTGACTCGTGAAAGCCGACTGGAGGTATATACAATGTTGCTGTGAACACGAGACTCGCTGAACCCAAATGGGTTGAAGAATCCTTCACTCAAGTGCCTACTGGACAAGAAATCGTTGACACTTTGAATGCAAAATTGGTATTTCATCCCTACGTAGCCAGTACCACTGACTGAGCCACCAAAATGGCCTAACATGTATGAGGGAAGTTAGTCTGAGCTGGACATACCAATACGGATGCTGCTGTCCCCAGATGCCACACTGCTCTGCCGTCTACACATGCCAACTTTCCTATGGCTTACAATGTGACTAAATTAACTTATTCACTGAGCTTGCCCAAGGGCTTCTCACATACATAAGCCAATAATCAAGATACTGATGGACAGGACGCCACTGACGCCCTGGATTGTATGAATTCCGCCTCTTTGAGATCTTCTCATGAGTTCGTGGGCCCTTGTACCTCCCGAAGGGGGACAGCATGCGGAGGTTTGCTTTGCCCCGAGCGCTCAGCAGACAACCTATTAGTACAACCTCTGAGCAAATGATATAAAAGCTCTTGGGAGGGTGATATCATCTTGTTCAGGATCTCTCTCTCTTGTTATTCCCATGTCGCTCTCGGTAGGCTCACTGAGCTCGTCTTATTATGTTGAATAATACTGACGCGACCTGTAGAACTCGCAGAAACAGAAGCTCAGAGAGGTTGTTGAGGCTGTCACTGCAGGGGACCTCGATAAAGGCATGGTCTGGGATACATCGTACAAGCCCATCCATGGTCTTGGAACATCACGTCTCCAAGGCTACAAGCTTGGTTCCCAAAAGACGTCTACAGGTACCTATAATGTCGCGATTTGGAGTGTCAGCAAGATGCGACTTGCCGAACCCAAGTGGGTCGAGGCGTCATTCGACGAGGAGCCTACTGGAGAGGCAGTCATCGAGGCTTTGAACAATCTCTTGGTAATTCTGTGGGCTTTTTGTTTCGTCGCGCGCTGACCAGGATACCAAAGGCCTAAGGATGATGTCGAAACAAACAGGGCCCATGATAACTGATTTGAAACGCGTAATGCTCTCGATAAATGTAGAAGAAGTACCTATAAATAAGCACCATGTGTTTGTGAATTCTGAAGATGCCGTCAGTGGTAACTCCGATGGGTAAGGGTTTTCTCCGACCGACTCTACGCAATGTCGTCCCCAAATCCAGCTCTCATCGAAGATATTATTCTCGAGATTCTGCACTGGATCGTGTATCCACGAGTAGATGAAAAGACCCAAAGACTCGTCGCAACCGTCTCATTGGTCTGTCGAGGATGGCGCGTGCACGCTCAGCGGATTTTATTCCGGCATATCCGTTTATCCAGACTAGAGAGTCTGCTCTATCTTCAGTCGACGGCTCCTGAGCAGATTCCATATCTCCGCTTCACGGAGACGCTCACCATCAAGCTCAATTGGTGTTGCATAGGAGGTTCACGATGCAAAAAAGAGAATAAGAATCGAGTTATCAACGTGCACGACGGACGAAGAGTCACACAGTTGGTCTGCCGCCTTCCATTAATGAAGACCCTGCACCTTGATATCTGCCAACTTCACATGGTGCAACTAACGGCACTCCGCGCATGGGGATCTCGAAATGAGCTTGGGCGCCATGTTCGTTCTCTACGTATCTCGGCTGCCGTTGATTACTCCACGATAATGTGTGGGCCAGAGCTATGGCAAAGCTTGGAGAATTTGGAGGTAGAAGAGAATGCGAGTCGACCGCTCAACGGACCTACTATCTACCATCCCACGTCGGGTCTTGACTTTCAGCTACAAAGCCTGACGCTGCGCGGCATCCATGTCGAACACCTACGCTGCAACCCTTGGCTCCTTGGAAGCTCAAGAGATACCCTTCTTCAACTCACTCTGATTCATCCAGCAAAGTCTCGATTTGGGGTACCATATTCCATCGACGACATTCTCTGTCATCTTGGCGCGCTCCTCTCACTCACTCTCGTGGACTATACATTAACAGCCCACGACCTAAACTTTCTGAAAACCATGGGCGGCCTGCGAGAGCTACGGTTATTCAAATTTTCTCTCGAGGTAGACAGCTTGTTCGCCTTTCTTCCGAAAGAAGTCGAAAACATATGCCTGGATATACCTTGTGACCTTCACGGTATGCTCTTCGATGGTTACGAGCCCAGTGCACGACTCAAGACCGTCGAGATTGTCGTCAGCCCGAGGCCGGGAAAGCGAGTCGACGCCTGGATAGCAGAGGCCAGAAGTATATGGGAGGAGCAAGGCGTAGTCTTCAAACGCATTATAGGAGATGTTCCAAGAGGTGGGTAGATCTTTATCCTTGCAAACTGGTCTCACCTGTCCATTTAGACCCCAATTATCCACCCCGGAAGATTAAAGTGGAGCTATCCTCTGCTGATTCTATATCAGATGTGTCGAGCATCTCGGATTCGTCTGAGGAAGTGATTACTGGAGCGAGTGACCCTGAGCCTGTCGGTCATCAAGGGGAGAAGCCTACCAAGCCTGCGAGAAATGTCCTAAGAGAGCTTAAGCAAAAGTTTAAACGATTAATGTTATGAATCCGTAGTGCCCATCTAGATGTTTCATAATTCAGTTTCCAAATTACCCGATGGTAGCACTTGGCCAGAACCATTTCGACGCGTTCTTTACGCGCTCTACGTTGATCAAACAATACCATTTTGATTTCTGGAGCGCAGGAATAGGCCCTCTACACGCATTCTCGTTGCTCTCCAGAGGCTCTGCACTTTGCTACGATGAGCAGCTCGCTGCCAAAGCCATCATCCCGACCGTCCTCCCGTAGTTCGAACAGAAACTCGATGACAAGTCCGATACCGTCCCTTCAAGACCCTGGTATGTGCGCGTGCCGTTGCTGAGACTTCATGCGGACTTGCTGACACGCTTCTGTGACGATTTCGTTGGGCTAAAGTCTCTCTTCGACACCAGATGAGCACATTAAAGCATGAAATACGCTTGAAACAGGTGTGTGTCCCGTGCTACAGCGTGAATCCGCTCCTGGCGGCTGCAACGATATACGGAATTAGCTGATATATAAATATGCAACAGGCTCAATTCTTTGCTCTTGAAGCGCAGCTTTCCAGTGTGCCACGACACGGAGATACCTACTTCTCTTCTTCCCCGCCCACAAGTTCGTTCTCTCTTCCCTCCTTCTCAACCTCTACTCCGCGAAAGCGACGGTCGTCGTACGTATCTTTAATTTTAATATGTACATGCACTGTAATAGCTGATCAAACGTTTTAGTCTACCGAGACATACAGAAGGCGTGCCTATGCTTGAAATTGCGACCAATTCCGGCACAATGGAGAAACGTCCGCTGAGCCCGACAAGGTCCATGAACCGTGTGTATTCTTCCGTGTACATTCTGCGACTTTGCGCTCATTCTATGGCCTAGGAATACCCGTGAGCGCGGTAAGCCAGGCGAGGGCCTTAGCGGAAAACGGAGCAGTGCCGACCGTGGAGGAACCAATGCAAAACGGTACTTCAAACTCAACCAACCAGTCTCCGTCTGGACTACTTGACCCCCCGTCCCCTGGAGCGCTTCGACGATTGAGCACCGGCAATACTACCAAAGTCCTGGCGGACCTCCAAGCTGGAGTCGTCCATGCTCGACAAGCCCTGGAGAATACTCGTAGTCAACTCCGACTCGCGCAACGCTCTGTAGCTCAGGTCAGTGGCCACGAACGGCTGGATTCAGGATGGTCGGAACGTTAATACTCCGAATGCAGTTGACGAGACAAAACGAGGATCTCAAGGATAGTAGAGAACGTCTACGACTGCAAAACGAAAATCTAAACTCTGTCGTTGCGCGCAAGGAGCGGTTACTGCAAGAAGCTACCGAGCGGGCTCGCAAAGCCGAAGCTGAAGCCTCGGCACTCAAGGCACAGCTAAAGACTGACTCCACAGCGCAGAAAAAAGCGCTGAGGGAAATGGAATTGACAGTCGCCGAGTCGACTTCCATCTCAGAGAGGACAACACGAGAATATGAGACACTCCGAGGGTCGGTCAAGGATCTTCAAGAAGGCTGGCAGTCGGACGTACAGGCTCTGCGAACGGAACTGCTCCGACGAGAAGAGACTTGGAAGAAAGAGGTTTGTGATAGGCTTTATCTAATTGGTTTAGCCTCACAGTTCGCAGATTGACGAAGTCAATTTGAAGTACAAGAGTCTCGTCAAGCTCACCCAGGCAGCACAGTACGTGACTAGTATTATTTTGATTGGCATGCTCAAGGGACTCTAGGTCGGAACGCGCAAAAATGGAAGCCCTCAAAACTGAGAAGCGAGAACTGGATGCCAAGTTCGAAGAGGCATTCAAAGAGGAGTTGCGCTCTCTAGCTACCGCCCTTAGCGAAAATAATAAATCTTCCGAGGATGCTTCAGCCACTGCCAAGTACGTATCCGGTTACTAGCATGAAACCCGTGTTTCTGACCGTTGCTCAGGGAGCTTTCGACCGAACTAGCCCGTATACGACGACTCATGCGGCTCGGAGGACAATCTACGGAGGACCCATCGCCTCAGATACCCGTTCCATGACACGGACACTCCAAAACAGCGGATCGGAAGCAGCGTTTCCTCTGACATACCCTACTTTTACCCTACATTCGGACCTTTCCTCTTACTAGCTCGCGTTTTGCATTATAGCACCTTTTGTTCCATAGATAGTCGTGTTGGTATTGATCCATTATCTGGCCTACAGACTTTGACGGGTGGCAGCCATTTGCATCCGGTCGAAATCTTGAACTCCATCCCTATCATGGCTACGCGTCTTGTGGCGGCATCGCGTACTGTCAAACGAGCAACACATCGCCAAATCCACACCTCTTTGCGCGTGTCGACGTCTAGCAAGCTGCCGTCGGGCGTTGAGCCAAGTAGATGTGCCATTGACGATTTGAGACGGACACGGACATTTTCTACGTCTGCTTCTCGGAGTGACTATCACTTTGACACGCATCGTTATGTCCAGAGGCTCGAAAAGGAGGGCTTGACACGCGCGCAGGCCGAGGGCATCATGAACAGCATGGCAGAGGTCATTGACGAGAGCATTCGAACGATGACACGGAACATGGTAACTAAATCTGAGCAGGAAAAGGTGCATTTCTTGACCGTCTCGGCCCACGAGCAATGTATCGGTCCGCCACGCGTGCTAACATACTGCTGAGTAGGCTCTGTATACCCAGAAAGTCGACTTTGGACAGTTGAAGACGGAACTTCAGGTGTGTGCCGCGAGTTTATTGAGAACACGGGTGTTTACAACTTATCTACAGTTGATGGAGAGAAACGATCTCGCGACATTGAAAGCTGAGAATGACCGGCTGATGGCAGACTTGGAAAAGCTCAAGCAGCGGCTACGAGAAGAAATCACGCGCACCCAGGCTGGAGTTCGATTAGACCTCAATCTAGAAAAGGGCAAGTTGAACTATTTTCAATAGAATGCGAAATCTGAAGATGAGCTTGGTATATAGGACGACTACGAGACGAGAGCGGCGCACAGGAGATCAAGATCCGAGAGGCAGAAACACGGATAGAAACCGAGATTTCTGCACTGAGAACATCGATTCAGGCGTCAAAGGTAATGCAATCTTACTCATTTCGACCTTGTTCTGAACACGCCCAGGCAACGACTCTTCAATACCTGGTCACATTCGGTGCGCATCCTCCATAACAAAAAGCCACTACCGCTTACGCTCTTTCTCAGTCACTGGTTGCTCTGCCCTACTTATGGCGTATTTGCGTTTCAGATTCTAGAAGAACAAGCGGCGTGTGTGTGTTATTATACGATAATCCTATGAACAAGATAATGCGAGGCAACAAACTGAACGACCGAAAGGGAATACAGCGGTATACTGTAGTGTCAGACATGATATAGACATTGGAAAGGGTAACCTATTCCAGCTTGAGCTTGTGAGCGTCACCGTTGGCGTGCCCATTTTCTTTATGTACGCCATTTCCGTTGACTTTGGCCTTTTTCGTCTTGGCATTGACCTCTGCTCGTGTCAATCGAGTACCAAGGATGACGTCCCAGTGGATGAAGAAGGGTTGTGAGAAATTCTTCTTGATTCCAATGGCCTGATGGTGGATGTCGTGATAGTCTGCATTGTTACTGAAGAATAGCTGGAGTGGGTCGAAAGGAAGCGAATATCCGCAATGGTCATCGACCGTCTTCAGTGTCGAAAAGGTGAAGAGGAGGATGGCCTGTCGAATAGAGAGGCCGCTTACCATCTCCGCTACGATTGCACCCAGAGAGTCGAATAAGAGACCCTCGAATGGGTGGTTGTAGAGCGCACCAAACGCATAGGGACATAGAGACGGTGGTGCCATGAGTGGAAATGGCGGTAGAGGAATTTGTTGGTATGGAAATATCGATGGAAAAAGTACTGCCAAGTATCGATGACAAAGCTTTTTCGACAAACGTTAGTCGTGCCACTCTGCGGATCCGACAAGGACGGGAACTCACAAAGCAAACAGGATTTGAACGACGGGGATGAACCACCAATAGACGAAATAAAGAATAGATGCACCCCAGGACTCTAGTCTGGCCTGGGCGACGTATGGATTCCCGAGCCAGAGCAGAGTGCTCTGGACCAAAATAGGGCTCATACGCGCCATCTTGGCTGTGTGGTCGACGGCTACAGAGCTCTTTTCTTCGACGAGAAGAACTCCCAGGACAGTCTGGATCAGCTGCTGGACAAAGACGGCCTGGACGACGTGCCACTTGCCGACCAAATTTCTTGACGTGACTTCGGCACTCTCGTGGATGCGGTAAGGCGCCAACCACGCCCAATCTGTGCCGTAGACGTCGAGGAAATGGAATATCAGCGAGTAGACCCAGTACGCGACCAACGGCGCGGCCAGCGACAGGGTTTTGTCGCTTACTCCCTCGAGTATCGACTCTCGCTCTGAATAATAAAATGGATACGTCCCATTGCGCGGGACTATACTGTCTGCAAATTGAGCAAGATAGATAGCGGGCTCAGCCTCCATTGTGTCGCCGTCAGTCGCACCAGAGTCCAAGTTGAACAACAAACAAGGAGGCCTGCCGATCACAATTTCGCAGCTTGCCGATATGAAAAAAGGAGGTTATACAATTTCATGTAGACGCTATATCAACGGGTACATAGACAATAAGTAGATGAAATGGGCATCTAAAAGATGGCCTTTCGAAGCTTTCGAAGGACATTCGGTCGTCGCCGAGGCGGCTCTGGGTCCGAGTACCAGCCATCGTAGTCAAAGTAGGGTCCCGTCTCGATAGTATGTCGCTCGTAAGTGGGCTCTGGAGCGACCTCTGTGAAGCCCCAGCGGACCTGCTTGGTAGCACGTCTCTCCTGCTTCAGTTTCTCCTTTTCCTCTCGCAGCTTGTCCTGTTCCTCTTTGAGTCGAAGGAGTTCAATCTCTTTGAGCAAGTTTTCGCGTTCCCGCTCGACAATCTTGCGTGCTTCAATCTCGAGCTCCAGCCGCTTTCGCTGCTCCTTGGCGATGGCACGTTGTCGCTTCTCCACTTCTCGCAGAGCCTTGAGGCGCTCTGCCTCGACTTTTCTCCTATGGCGCTCCTCGGCGGCTTGGATGTTGGCCTTTTGCAAAAGCATATAGTCGGCGGCAGACATTGTCGGAACCTGGGCCACAGCAGCTCGCTTTTGCTGTACTGGGGCCTTGACAGGTGCAGAGGGTATAGAAACTTGGAATGAAGACGAGTGTTGAGTGAGTGCAGGACGAGGAAGTGAAGGCGATGTCGACGAACGTGGCCGGGGACTATACTTTGGCGGGGGCGTCGCGGGTTTCGGTGTGTCAGAGGAAGACGAATCAGCTGAAGAGGCGAGGACCAGGGCTTTATCGAGAGAGGCTCGCCGGTAATAGGCGACGGGGGTTGCGTCCCCTTCTGGCTGCTTGGGTCCCTCGATCAACTTTCGTCCAGGCGTCCAGAACAGAGGAGAATTGGTATCCTCATTCCATACGTATGGAGGGGGCTCCACCTTGGCTTTCTTGAGTTCCTCTTCCTTGGCTCGCCTCCGCGCCTTTCGCTCGCCAAAGAGTGAGCGCTCCTCTGCGGCGAGCTCCTGCAGCATCGCGTCGTACTCTGCTCGCGATTCGGGTTTAATCAGGCAATCATATGCGGCCTGGACTTTGCGATAATCCTCCACCGCTGCAACACTGGTAGGGAAAAGTCCGTGCCGCTGTAATACGTCTGCCACTGCGGTTCGCCACCCCTTGACGACTACGACATCTCGTCAGTATCCCCTCGCAATGCTTCATGGAGAGACTACGCACTGTCGTCGGGTTTAGCGTCGCTGGCAATTCCGAGGATTTCGTAGTGAGTCGGCATTGGGGATCAGAGTTTGGTGGTCGGGTGGGCAAGTGGGCGTCTTAAAGTGTTTGCGAGTTCCGGCTGACGCAGTCGAACACGTTGCTGGGGTGTGGTCTCGAAAGATGCTGGACTGATCTCGGCTGGAGAGATCCGAGGCGCTGCGTCTCCTGAAGATAATCCATGGATATCCATTCTGGCAGGATCGTTGATATAGCGGCCTAGATCCTTGCGATCACTCGATATCGGAGACGCTTTCAAATCCCGAAAGCCAATACGAGCTCACTGGATGACATCATGACAGCGAAAAAAAAAAGTGATCGTTGGGCCTGATAAAGTAACCGAGAGGTTCTCCCGAGACTTCCATTGCGGGGCTCCTCTGCAGAGCAAACCTCGACCCTTGATCAAGAATAGAGATGTTCAGTTTGCGCTCGTTTCTTCCCTGCCAATGACGGTAGGAGTCCTATGCGCTCTTCAGCCTCTTCCAGTACGCCGGATGATCACGCTACCTTTGGCTTTTCTGAGCGCAATCTCGAACCACCCTCCAACACGAGGTTGAGATAAGCTTGGTGCAGACCTGGGGACCGCTCCCTTGGTATCTGGGCTGCGGCCTAAAATGACATCAAAGTCGCAGAGGTCAAGTTGTGACGCAGTGGGCTGGAAGGGCTCGCGAAACACCGACCAACTCCCGCGTCCAACGCGAAGTCGAGAGGCTGGCAACGCGGAGAACTTTTCCTCTGTTGAACAAGTTAGAGTAGGATCTAATGATTCTTTATTACGCACCAATCGTACTCGTCCGAAAGCACAGCTCGACGTAAACGTGATTACGGCGGCAGTCTTCGGCATAGTTGTTGAGCCATTCCTGAGTCTTGAGGGTCAAGAAAGCATCATAATGATCATAGGGCATATTGACGGTGCAAGTCTTCAGCAAGGCAGGCCGGGAGTTGTCGAGCAATGCTAAGTCGAATCTGTTTCCGTAGCGAGGAAAGTCGCCATGTTGAAAATAATGAGGAAGCGATAAATGCTCGATCACGTCCGGGAGACCGCTTGGAAACTGACGGCCTAGAGCCATAGGACCGTGGAAGGTCAGCTCACTGAGGCGTTCGAGACGTTGAAGGGCAAAGTAGAGTTCATCATCCCATCTTGTACTGCCCAGGGTCAATGATCGAATATTTTTAATGAGAGAGTGCTCCAGAAAGTCGTAGCAGTTGTTGAACACGGCGTCCACGAACGCAACATGCGTAAGGGACGTACTTGAGTGGCCCAAAAGCCACTCCAGTTCCTCTTTATAGAGGCCATTGTAAGAGTGATAGATTGTGAGTGACGACAGTTCAAGTTCCGGTCCTGGAAGTGTAACTGGGAACGGTGGCATTGGCCTCTCATTCTTGATCACAACCGACTCGAGTTCTGGCCAAGGAATAAGATCCTTTCGGAGTATGTAGGAGGCGGGATGATCCGCGCTCCATCTTGTGGTCTCCAAGATGAGCTTCCGGATCCGCGGTCCTCGTGAGAGCTCTTTGAGAATGTTCTGAGATGGCCATTCTTCGCCTACACTCAGCTCGAGAGAATCCAGAGCTGTCATGTGAGCGAGCAACGCCGGTAGATGCCTTTTGAGGAGATGAGCCTACATTCATGAGGATCATCCAAACGTACCTAGGATGAATCATGGGCAAAGTTATTGGATCTCGGATTTCGGGTTCACGGCTAAGCCGGATTCGTGCGGACTTGATATACCGTGCAAGTCGCTGGCCTCTTTCTGTTGTTGCAGTGATGATGGAAAGTAGAGCCATCATGGAGGAACGAATTTGCAGGAACACGCTGCGAAACAGGATCGACTGAGACACATTACCCCACAGTCTGCATATAGTTGCGTATTTCGAAAGAACTTCTCGACGCTGTAAGTCCGTTTGGGCGTCGGCAGACGCGATGCAGAGTATCTCATAGACGATATCTTCGATTAACAAGGCCCGAGGACACGTCCGCCTGAGAGCCGTTGTCGACGAAGACAGTGCGTTGCCATCTCGTCCTGCTTGCACCAGAGCCTTTGGTTTCTTGCTGGGCATCGAAAAGAGAATAATTTCAGAGAAGTCGGGAATACAAGAACAAAGGCGAAGTCTGAAACGCCAGGATTGGGAGAGTCCAAGGTGGTTGACAGGATCCAAGCTCGAGAAGCACAGACGTGGCCTGATGCTTTCACAAACACATGTCCAGTATAACAATGTGTAATTTTTATGTCTCTACAAGATACCTTCTAGAGGTATGTCTATGCGAACGGATAAGACAGAACGAATGTGCACGAAATGAAGGTCGACAAGCACAATCCGGCGTTTATGCATCGGGCGTGACAGCATACTTGCGTCGGAACTTGTCATCAATCGAATCGAGGTAATATGAGCCCGGCCATAGGTTCTCAATCGAGCCAGTGGGAGCATAGGGTGCGGCATTGTGATTCTGTTCGCGAATCTTCAAAGCACCGACAAACTCTTCGCAGGGAACGACCTTGATAGACTCGAGGCGAGCAAGCAAGTTCATTTTGGTGCGGATCTCGGTCGTATCGCCCTTGACCTTGATGCCCCAGTAGCTCGACGCGCAGCCACTTCCGAATGCGAACATGGCAATACGCTTGCCCTGCAAAGTCTCCGGTGGAACAGTGGCGAGGAGGGAAGCCAGACCGCCGTAGAGCGACGCGGTGTACATATTTCCGCAGCGTTGGGCGCATTGCATTCCCGGCTCGACATGCTTGGCATAGTGCCCCTTGGAAAGAGATATGAAGGTCTTTTCAATATTTTTGTCCGAGTACGACTTGGCGCGAGGGACTGCAAGGAGGGCTTCCGGGTTCTCGATCGACGAGAACTCGGGGGCAGAGGGGTTGGCGACAAAGTCATTGTACATCTATAGGCAGTGAGCTTCAAGGTACTATGGGATGAATGGTCGACATACAAGGCGACCATGGCTCTTTTGAACGAGCTTGCCGTAGGGCGAGTGGTAGACCATGTAATCAAAGCCAGAAAGCGAAGCCTTTGCCGGCTCCGAGTGACCATTGACGCCGTTGGTATAGCCATTGGTGCCATTAGCGTGTCCATTCGTGAGCGCAGCGCGCTTGTTGTACTTTTCGCAATAGCGCGCATAAGCATTGTCGAGAGCGGTGAGATAGGTGGTGATGGAAAGAGGCCCATCTACAACAGGGTATTCGGAAGAGAGGTTTGGCTTGAAAAAGTCATAGGTGTGGGACATGAAAGTTCCATGAATGGCTACGAACGAAATTTAGACGAATGAAGGAAGCGAAGGCTTGATGACTCACGTTCGAACACAAGGGGAGCATTAGGGCCGATCAGGATAGCGCAAGCACCGGCACCACCAGAGGACGAGCACTTCCTTCCGCATAGATGGCGATGTCACCAGTAAAGACGATCGCATTGCGACCATCCCACGAGGAACTCTCTACCCAGTTGATCGCGTTGAAGATGGCGGCTGTCGAGCCGTAGCAGGCGTTGATATTGTCGACGCCTTCAATATCGCTGTTTCCAGCCTCTTCGAAGAGCTGCATCAAGACTGTCTTGACCGACTTTGCCTTGTCAATGATCGTTTCTGTGCCAACGTCGATGCGACCAATCGACTTGGGGTCAATGTTGTACTTTTTCATGAGCGAGCTGACGGCTAATGCGCAAAGCGTCAGTATCAGTCGAACAACCGCGCGTAGCTATGAATGGCTTTGATACTATTGGGCGAGGGAGCTACTTTATCCGAAACCTACCGTTCAAGGCAAAAGTGTTGATGTCCTCACGGTCATCAGTGAAGACCATGTATTTTTGGCCCAAGCCAATGGTATATTTGCCGCTTGGGACACCATCAAAGACTTCGAGGTCTGTCTGTGAGATGCACTGGAGAGAGTGTGAGTGCGCAGATCCCAAAGGCCCAGAAAGAACGTACGCGGCGAGGGAAGTACATCTCCATCCCGAGAATTCCGACATCCTTTGGGCGAGCGTTGGTGGCCATTGTTTTGGAAAGCGACGAGCTTAGGAAGCGTGTAGTGAGAGGAGATGGAGACGGGTCCAAGGTTGAAAACCAAACAGGAATGTCGAGTGGGAGCCCTTTTCAAACCTCCGCCCAGTCGTACGAGACGTATAGATCGTGCGATTGTTGTCCCGAACGACCCGCAAATTCAAAATACAGCTTCGCTCGTTCGACTGCAAATCGACTTTCTTGGATTTTTATTTACACGTCTTTTCACTCGAATCTCCGCCCATTGTGGATCAGATGAGCGGACGCGGGGGTCAAATGCCGATTGTCACTCGCGGCGCGTGATATCCAAATAATCGTATTCATTGCCACTTTCTCTAATCCTCCTCAATCGTACCTTCACCCTCCGCAACCTCCTCAATCGGCAGCACCGTTAGGCCCGAATCACCGACATGAAACTCAAAGTGAGTCACAATTGTCTCTGGAAGATCCCGGGGAGGTGTCCGCACGACGCCCTCAATCCGTACTAGGCCCACTTCTGGCAGCAGTTCATGATCTGAGGCGGGCGAGTGGTTGGGGTCACGTAATGTAATGTGATGGGTGACCTCAATCGGAGATATGCGTGGTTGAGATTCTCCATTAGGTCCGAGTTCAAATGGTGATGGCCAAGGAGGAGGGAGATGCTGTTTGAAGAAGGTCGAGTTTGATAGCGGGGAAATGGCCCAGTTGGTGAATATGATGATCGCATCATGAACCTGTCGAAAGGAGCTCAATGCTCGAATCACTCCTGTCGTTGCTGTCGAGACGGGATCCCCTGGCTGACGGCCAAGTTCGTCCACATAACGGTCCTGCCAGTAGAATGAACTAAGGCCGCCGTCAATCATGAGCATACATAATTCTTCGTATCTCATGTTCTCGAAGTGATAGCGCGGTAGCATGAGCAAAGTCGCGGCCAGAGAGGCTGAGGATGTCGGCCTGAAGATATGTAGCCTCCGGAGCGCCTCGACCACGACCTCCTCGAGTTGCGCCTCTATCTGGGATTGATCTGCTGAAACACTATCAGGGCATGCATCCTCTACCCTCTGCCAGAGAAGTTGCTTGAGAATCTTGTGAAAGCGAGAAATGTTCCATTGTCCGTCGCAGTCACAGACCACAACAGACTTCTCCCTGGCTCCAACATCAAGCTCTATATGTCCTTCACGCAGTGTCAACTGCACGTTGTGGGGCAAAATAGTCGTCATCGCCAAATAATACAAGAGCTCCGTTTTGCCTGAACCCGAGGGTCCCTGGATCTCGATAACATCGCCTCGATTGAGAGAAGACTCTAAAGATGTTGAAAATGGAAGTGACTGGTTGATCGCACGGTCGAGTTTCTCCACAAATGTTGAGCCTGGGGGACGTTTGGCTATCAAGTCACTCAGCAATTATTTTTGTCAGACAAAATAAGTCACCTTTTAAAGTGGAGTTGAGAAACTAATCTTATCAGTACGTGAAGCAGCCCTTCAAATGCTTACGCTTAGCCCGGTGATAGATGTCGGAAACATGGCCAGCTCCAAATATCGGAGTATCAGAAATGTCAGATCATCAGAAACGAAGGAACATAGTTGTCGTATTAAGACCGACGTGGCTATAAATCCGGTACTAAACGCACAATAGTCGCTGAACCCATCCTCCCTGCTCTGCTCGATGAGTACCGCTCACGGTGAGTTCGCATTTCATCCATGGTGGCCTGCATGAATGCACTTCCGTCGACATCCATCGCATTTCGTGCCAGATTCCATCCGAGTCGTACACTGACACTCCCACTGTTGGCTGTAATGCCGTGCTCCCTTTGGAATCGCATCTGATACAGCCGAATCATGTCTTTGGATGCACCTCGTCGAAGGAGGGCGTGAACCTCTCGCTGGGGCAGTCCAATTTCTGCTATGTCGGAGGTCGAAAGTGCACTGCTATCTACCGTGAACCGGGGCGTCTCCCATCGGGGGGAGACCCACGATCCCGCGTGGTCGTTGCGAAAGTCGAGTTCCCATTGCATGAGGTGATTCGAATGCTCACGCCGAGCTTGGAACCCTGTGTCGTCTACTGATGAATCTGAGTCTGAGAAGCCGATCGCGGCCTCGTGTTCCTCTTCCTCACCCACTTCGCCACCACCACCGAATACAGTGCTCATCTCTGTGGAAATACGGGCCCCATTTGGCAAGCCCGTACGAGAATCACTGGCCGGGACAGTTGGTGAAGTAGGTTCCAAAAGGCCAGCGCTTCGCATCTCTCCGATAAGATTCTTGAGGAGAAATGAGGGTATAGGACTGACGCGTACAGATGTACGACATTGAGGGCACGTGTTAGTTCTGAAGGCGTAGGGGTCTGGAAAGGTGGTTGTTCCTTCGGCGGGAGGCCTCGAGAGGAACCAATTATACAGACATTTGAAGCAACCCATATGACCGCATGGGGCGATGCTAGCCGTCTATAAGTAATGATAACTTGCCGTGAAGAGATTACTCACCACCAGGGATCATTGAGAATTTCTAGACAAATCTGGCATGAGAGATGGTCACTCAGCCGACTTGTAGCCTGAGAAATATTAAGATATGAGTGGCAGAGAGCAGGTTACATACTATAGTTGCAGCCTCTAGCGCTCGCGCAGTGCCCAACGCCCGGCGTCTTTCTGCGTCGAGTGATTTCTGGAGGTCGCTCTGGGTTCTTAAGTCAAATAGAGCCTAACAGTGCATAGTATAAGCTTACCAGAGCTACCTCTGTGAGGTCTAGCTGCTCTTGCCGCTGAGGACGGTTAGTCCTGACTAAGCATCAAGGGAGGAACTTACTAATCTCAGCCCAACGAGTTCCATATTGAGTCTATCGATCTCAGAGAGTGCATCTTTCAGTGCGCCGCTCTTGCGCGCCTTCAGCTGCACACGTACACTCGTCCCGTCTGATTGACCGGCATCCTTTACTATTTGGGACATAGATCCAGATATTCTGGACTTCTTTGGAATCTGGTTTCTTTTCGACACTTTGCTGCCATCCGGGACGACGGCTCTGTCAACTTGATTGGGAGAGGCAGGGGTTTGGGTATGATTGGAAGCCACATTCATGACCTCTGATGGCTCTGAAGCAAGAGCGTGAATTTCCTGCGGACAATTTGCGACATCTTGGGACATGCCGCGGACGCGGCTGGGTCTCAACCAAAGTAGCATTTTTCCACAACCGAACCGGCATGAGAGCACGGGGTAACATGTGTATCAAGAATTTCATTTAATCATACATTTGCGAGCTCGGAGAACAGGTCGCCTGGCTCAGTAGATTCAGTCTCACCGAGAAGTGTCGCCAGTCTCTGGGCCTGGGTAATATGAGTATGATAATATTCGAGATGGAGGGAACATTCCTTGGTTCGCCGTGGGTCAAATGGCGCGACAAGTCGCTTCGTTGGTCCCTTTTTGATGCTCGCCGCCACTGGAGAATACCCTTCCAACGAAATGCCCTTCCCTTCCCTGTGCAGTGGAGACCTTTGTGTCTCAACGGACGTAGAATGTGCCCCAAAGACCATTTCCCCAACGTCAGGAGGGGTCGCTGTCTGTCGCGGATGAAACTTGAGTGATTTAGGTCTGTCATAAAGGGACTTCTTTCGCTTTGGGGAGGGTATATCATTTCCGTCACGATTTCGTTTGACCGTCCTCGTCAGCTCTCCAAGTTTGGCCCTATACTCCTTCCATCCGAGGGAAACCTCCTCTCTAAGGGACGTGATCTGAAACGAGATTTGCTGCATCTGAGCCATAACCGCGATTAGGGAAGCCTGAAGGTTCGCTTGCTCCACAGGAATCGACATTGTGTGCTGAAGGCGGTCAGAAAACATTCCCAACCGTACATTATTTGCACTTTTTGCATTTCCTCTATCACGCGAAGCATGGAAAGTTGACACTCGAATACCTCTTGCAGTACGGATGCTTGCGCGGGTTGACCTGCAGCTTCCATGATTCTTTCTTGAACTCTATTGGCTAAATAGACCGGTCACATAGCCATTCAAATGCTTCAAATATAACCGACGAACCTACCAAGGTACTTTGTTCAACAGCCTTCTCGATGAGCTCGTCTAGCTTGGCCGTTCTCTGTCTTTGAATAACGTTTGATTGCTCCACAGCTTCAATCAGAGACTCCACACGCTCTGTCAACTTCTCAGTCGCCTGTAATGCAATCTCTTGTTGAACGCGACGCGTCAATTTCGCGTTCTCAGGCGGAAATAAAGAACCAGGTTCATTATTTGGCGCCCCCAATGTATCTAATTTACGCGTTTTGGGGAGTTCCGATAGCGGGAGGATTGTTTTCCAGATGTCTTCGACTGTAGTTGATATCGGCATTGTGAGCTTATTATAGCGTCGTAGTGGTATCTTTGACTCTGAAACACCGGGAGTCTTGGATCCGAGCGCGCGGTTCAATGGCCAAAGGTCGTGGAGATCAAGTTATGAACTTACTTAGGAGAAACAATTCTATGATCGAATCGGTTGTAGCATTACAGTATCATGTCTAGAGCATTATTGTATACATGAAGAAGGGCCCAATTGTTTTTACTCAATATCAAACAGGAGAACTTCCGCGTCGGTATCGCCAACGTTCTCGATGGTTATGGGCGCACCCTGAGGGCCCTGTGCAAAAGCACCGTCACCTTCAGAAAGGAACAGGTCGCTGTTCACCTTGACAAGGCTACCTGTGGCTTTGCCCTTGTTGTACCCCGATGTCTGAATAACGTGAAGGTAGCCCTTGCGCTTGGCGCCGTTGGCAGACTGGAGGAAGTTGTGGGTGACCTTCTTGCCTGGAGAGAGGATTGTAGAGAAGAGATGAAGATTACTCTGCACGGGCGCGGGACCAGAGCCCTCACGCTCCTCAGTGACACCCTTGGTACCAACAGGAGCAACAACTGGTACAAGAGTATCACGCTTCTCCTCATCGGTGAAGTGGCGGTTATAGTATTTGGGTGGGAGGCCAGAGGTTCGAGGAATTGCCCAAATTTGAAGGAAGTGGACAGGGAGGGGCGATTTCTTGTGCTGCATTTCGCTGTGGGAGATTCCCGTGCCAGCAGAAGTGAGCTGAATGTCCCCGCGCTTCAGAACCTCCTTATTGCCCATAGAATCGCGGTGTTCGAGCTCTCCGCTCACCAGGAAGCTAAATATCTCAAACTCTTTATGACCATGCGTCCCGAACCTAGGAAAGTTGTCAGATGGTGTAAGATAGGTTTAAGATGGTGTAGACAGGTTTAAAACGATTTCCTCACCCTTCACCTGGAGCGACGCGGTCTTCATTGATCACGCGCAAGCTTCCCCACTTCTGGAAGCGATAGTCTTGGTACCCTGCAAAGCTGAAGGTGTGAAAGGTCTTAAGCCATCCATGGTTGGCGTGTCCACGGTCTTCGTTGCGACGAGGGACAAATTCAACGGCAGAGGACATGGGTGGGGATGCAAAAGCTAAGAGAGGTTTCTTTGAGCTTGGATTGCTGGATCATGGCTTCGGATGGCCTCCTTTTATACTGTGCGGGGCCTCGGGGCCATGAGAAAGCAGTCACCCTTTGGTCGAACGAGCTGGGAGTCGCTAGACTGATATGGACTTGCTGAGATGATCCCGAGAATGCTGAAAAATCTTGATGAACTCTCTTTCCTTTACTAGAATACCCCTCCGCATGCTGCTGACCAACTTCTGGGAGATCGTGGGCAGTAGCAAACCCGAAACTCTCCTGAAGCCCGGTGAATGTTCTGGATTATTCACAATAACATTTTGAATACCATATTCCTCAGAATTACTTGTCTGCCTCCTCTGACGTGCTTTGGTTGTGCCACCTTGACGTGTTTCTCAGCAATCTGTAAGCTTAAAGGCGTCTTCGTCCATCCCATCGTGGCGACGAGGGTCAAAGTTTGTTCTTCACCGGCCATTTGTCATTCATTCAAACTCGACACTCGTTTTAGGGACTTTCGAAAGCTTCATCCGCTCCTTGTTGTAATGAATATATCGAAACAGTCGCAATATCTGGATATTACCCTAGCTGGCCACAAGGGCAGGCTGGACAAGCTCAGGCGCTTCCTCACTCGGAACAGCAAGGGAGCTGTGAGTACTCAAACACTTCAATCATTCATCTAATTCAGATTAGGAACGCTCGGTGGCAAACAATTCATTCCCTTCCCGCACTCTAGGTAGCCACTTTAAGATGCGAACACCATCTCAGCAAGATTCCTCGGTGGGTGTTCGAGTTGCCTCCTAGTCTTTGATTCAACCACACAACAAATGCCAATCCAACAACTCAGACAGAACCTCATCTCCAGGCCCCTAATTATCTTTTCAAACCAAAATTTCGACTCTCAAACCGCTCCATGAATCCTCGTATTGCTCCCAAACCGTCACAATCGACGCAAGCTGACTCAAAGACGGAAACAATTGTCTCACCTGGAGAGGCAGAAAGGGGCTTGTTCTTATCTTCACCCGAGACAGTGGACTCTTTTGGCTCTGTTGCGTCTGGTCTTGAGCGCATTGGAACGGCGCTAATGTCCAGTGACGGCGGCGTTCTACTCATGCGACAGTCCCGAAGACTCGAATGTCTCTCAAAAGCTAGACTCCAGGCTTTCACTGAAACACTCTAGTGAGAAGAAATGGGGCTCTCTCTCTCGCTTCCCCGCAATGCACGCTGCGGCTAATCATGCAGTGATTCACGGTGGCTCTGGGTCAACGCATATCAAGCACGGGATTGCTCCGGATACTCGTCTACGAGCATCGCTTTCCGGGATGATATCTGATGTCCGTCGGCTTCTAGGTGAGCAGTGCTTCATACAGGGCGATGTAGCACTGACCGTCGGGCTGCTCGAGATCGACTCGAGGACGGTTATTTGGTAGACTCAGCCCAAGACCGTGAGTCTTCCGTCAATTTTGATCAGGACAGGTTGGGGCTAAGTGTGCGAAGCGCAGAGTCGGCGATGGACTTTCAGAGGTCATCACTTCTTGAAGGACACGCTCTGTCCTCACCAGTGGGTGTTGCTCTGTGAATCTGTTTGAGTAATAGGCAGGCGAAATATTTCCCGATTGTATGTAGCGACTCCAGCAAAAAGTTTAGTCAATGTAGTAATCGATATACTGTTCTTTAGAGGATAGCGAAATTCATCGTTTAGGGCCCTTTTGGTAGGATCTATAACCATGTCCACCGGTGGCATCCTTTCGAGAACGCTTCCTGGCCATTTCCTCCTCCTTCGCTTTGGCACCTCTTGCTCGAGGATCAATCACTTCATAGTCATGTTCTGCACGTGCCGTCTCCTCCGTGTTGTCCTCTGAGAACTTCAATCGGTGTGACAGCCATCCGACATCGTCATCAACCTCCATTCCTTCGCCATTATCCCCCGTAGCCACATCTACCTTGTCTTCTGCCTCTTCTTCTTCTATAGACTGCCCAAGCTTCGCTCTGAAGTTCTGAAGTGCCGCGATGGCTGCGCCTTCGTCCTTTCGCTTGCCTGCTCGCTTGGCTGCAGCCGTCCCTCGTCGGTACTTTGCATTCAACTCCTCGACGATTGATGATGTTTTCTTTGGCTTCTTTGTCGGCTTGTCATCCTCAGAATCAGAGTCTCGTTGTCGAGTTAGCCTTCGAATTTCCTCTTCTACCCTGTCAAGGTCTGTGCGTGTATCAGGCTTTTCAGTCTTCTTCGACTTTTTAGGAATAGGTGTGGAATCTGTCGACTGCAGCAGAGATGATGATCAGCATACTGTTGATCGTCAAGACACTCTTATATACCTGGTCAGGTTTGGATGTAGCACTCGGTTGTGGGACATCAGTCGGTCTGTCCCTTGCTTTAGCTGTCGGAGCTGCGTCGAGGTCTGGTTTGGATACTGGTCCCGAATCCATCACTAGCCTAGAGGGTAAGCTAAATCGCGAGACGAAAAATCGATACAGACAGTCGTCTCTGAACATGGGTTTCTTCTTGAACTTGACTGGCTCTTCATCCTCCTCGGCTTCCTCGCCACCAAACGAGAGCAGCTTTGCGTCCCTGTACAAAGATGTGAGACGAAGGAAAAAAGAGAGAGAAACACTAGACTTTTTCGCTTGCTTCCTCCTGCCAGCCTCTTCTCGCTCTCTTTGAGCTTGCTCCTTTGCTTGTTGCTGTGCGCGCTTTTCGGCGGCAGTGATCCTCGGAACGATGTCATGGAACGGATTTTTGAGTATCTTGATCTGCCTTATCTTTGGCGGGCTCGAAGCAAAAGTTAGGCGTTGCATCACATTGAAAGAAAGGCATACTAAAGGGGCCGCTCATCTGCATCCAATTCCAGTTCGCCAATCTTTGCGACGTCTTTGGACATAAGATAGAACCTGAACTACATTGGAAGGGGCTTACTGTATATCGTGTCCCCAACGACGCGACCAAAGAGGGTATGTTTGCCATTCAACTCGTCGGCCCTGTCTATTTTCAGTTGAAAAGGTAGAGTCATCGAGGTGAATAGACGGGAATTACCTAGCGTGATGAAAAACTGGCTAAAGTTGTTATTCTTATCGCCGTTATTTGCCATTCCTACGAGGCCACGATGGGTAAAGCGAAGTCGTGGATGGATCTCGTCGTCAAAGGGCTCTTTGGCGGTCTGTAAGCCAGATAATATTGCCAGAAAGCGGTTTCCTACCTCCATATAGCGATTCTCCTCCCGAACCCGTTCCAGACCTGTCGCCGGTCTGGACAAGGAAATTTGGAACAACACTGGATCACTGGTCGGTGGGTTTTTAAAGAGATGAACTTACATACCGATGGAAAATGACTCCGTCATAGTATCCTGGGAGAGGAGTCAGGCAACAGTAAAGTGCAAATTCTGGTCGCACCTTCCAGTGCGAGTGTGATGAGATTGCGACATGCTAGGGGAGTTTCCTGTATTGCAATGGCGTAAATACAGTGAGTATTGATATAATTTATCTGAACCTTAGCCCATAGCTCGATTTCAATGTCTCCGACGGTTGTTTGGATGAGAATCCGTCCACTTGTGGGAAGAGTTGCCATGTAAGGAGTTAAAGCCCTTGCAAATTTGGGCTCTGAAGCAAAGTCAGTCTGGACGTTGGGGGCAAGTTGCGACTCCACACTCAAGTCAACTCCTCAACTTGACTTTTCTCATGTCATGCCAAAGAGTTTGGCTGAATCGATGGTTGGATGGATTTGAACACTGGTTTAATGACGGTTCAACATCTTACCCCGTGGTCAGCATTAGTTCACCCAGCAGGTGGCATATGTTGTAGAACTATTCACGTCCTGGCTCTTTCTTCGATGTGATCAACTGTTCTCCTAGACTAATAGTGGAAGAAAGTTGAGCAGTAAGCATCATGGTTGGGCCGACAGCTTTTGGATCGGATCAAAACTCATTTACCCTACCTGCTCAGCATGGTCAGAGCAAGCATCGCCATCTTACGTCGGCCCGACGCTTCCATTCTCGTACAAATGTTACTACTATAGTGCAAGTCTATGTTTCACCCTACTTGCAAACGTATTGAAGCTGTTCTCAGAGCATTTCAATACGAACCGTGCGTTCGTGAACGCTGGCGCTTGGAGGTCCGATCGCGGCCAGTCCCCTAGGAGGTCTTGACGCAATACTAGCGCTGTAAAGGAACAAAACATTTCGACAAATGGCGGTCCTCTATACAAGTATTGATGACTTTGCCCCGCTCCGCTGTACGCTTCGCCCAGAGAGCGGTGGCTCTCACACAGGTCGGGGCCCTCGTGTGGATCTCTTTCCTCAACAGGCTATTCAACGCGAAGAAGTCAAACTTTCACCACCCAGTTCGTGGTATGGCCTCTTCCGGCAAACCTCACACAATACGATATACTGGATCGTTCCTTGAAAATCAGTGTTGTTACACTGCTCAGGGTGATCAAACCATGCGGTACGGTGATCGGCGATGGCGACTACGACTCCGATGCCGGTGTCTTGTCGGCCAGTCTATGCGTCTTTTCGCCCGTCAAAGTGACAGCATTTTGTGATCACAGTTCTGCGGCGATTCAACTTCATTCAACACACCATTCGCCACCCACTAGCTTGAACGTATACCAACCCGTCCGATGCTCGGAATCATACAGATAAACCCCAGCATCTGATCAGTTGTACCACCTATAAAGGACGATGCGAAGGCCTGTAATCTCTTCAGTAAATCTACACGAGCTATCTTGTCATGGACCTTGCACCCCGCGGAGCCTGCATGGAATGCAGAAGGTACGCCTCCTTGAAGCAACACAGAAACGGTGACTCGAAATTAAAATCTGCTCAGGCTGAAGACCAAATGTGACCGCGCAGTTCCCTGTGCACCGTGCAAAAAGCAAGAGCTATTACGATTGGAGGTTCATCCACTGACCTTTGCCATACAGGCGTGGGTGTGATAACATATGTCCCGACGGACTACGTGCAAGAGGCACTCGGTATGCTATTATACAAGTTTACAGCCTACTGACCTGTGATCAGGAACCCGACAGCAGAGATCGAGTCGCTCACAAAGCATATACAAACCATGGCTTTACGCATTCGTCAACTCGAGGGTTCTCTGCAGGCAGCACAAGCGTCTCAATCATCTCAATCCTCAGGCTCATCTCCAACAACTGGTGGGCATGATAGCTCCGGAACATGTTCTTCTGAGCTGCTGTCCTTGACGCTTTCCAATCTTCCGGTGTGTAAATCCCCTACATGGCACTCGCCATCTAAATCGATCCAGGCCGACGATCAAACCAAGATGGTGGAACGAATAAACCTCCTTAGAATGCTCCCAACTGAGGATTTTGCCGTCATGCTGATCGACAAATATTTCAACGATTATGGCTGGCTGTAAGTCTGGCTACTAGGGCAATTTGTAGGGGCTAAGATGATACAGAATTCGCCCCATTTCGCGCGATCGTGTTACGAACGTTCTTCTGGGACGAGCTTACACGGTTCCATGCGCCGCTACGGATGCCCAACTCAGTGCCCTCTTCTCTATCTTCGCCATGGCCACTGCAGGGGAAAGGCAGAATCCCACACCATGGCTCACCTCTGCGCAACTGTATGAGGCATCGATGACCGCACTCCAACTTAATGAAGTACTTACGGAAGTTGATATCGAAACGATTGAAGCCATGCTTTTGCAATGCTGCTATCTCTACTTCTCTTCTGACCTCGGAGACATCCAAAAGAGTTGGAACTACTGTGGTGTCGTGGTACGAATGGCATTCGGGGTGCGTGTTCGTGTATTATTATGACTATTCTTGACGCCCTCCTAGATGGACCTCCGTCAGTACTATTGGACTTAATTTTTAACAGATCTAACCATTAATAGATCGTGACCCTACAACGCTTGGCCTAGGCGATGAGGAATGTCAAAGACGACGACGTGTCTTCTACGAGCTTATTACTTTGGATGCTTGGGAGGCAAGATCAACCGCAACAAATATCTCCGTAGTGACTGATGTGGCTTCACAGTCTATGGTCTCGAATCGACCACCAGCCACCCAGCCCTCGTTATTTTCAACTATCGAACCATTGGAAACTATAATACCAATCGAAAGTAACCCAGATTGTAAGTACTCACGCTGTTTGGTCTGCTCTGCCTAAGAGTGTGCAGTCTTTCGCTGGAAATATTCTCTCATTCGGAACGTCGTTTATCCGCTAATCAACGAGGTTTTATGCTGCCCTCAAACTCCTTCGTATTCTGCTATTCTTCAAATCGATAAGCTCATTCACGAGCACACATTCCCGGAGAGTCTTCAATGCATCGACTTTCGGACAGCGCCTTTGCACGTTTTGCTACCATCCCAGCAACTACTTCTCATGAAGGAAGTCGGTGAGTAACTCAACCTCGATAGATTTTACAGGCGCTCATCAACCTATGCTAGTTCTCATGAAGTTGCACAAGCAGTTTTTCCTTGGCGCGCTCAAAGAGAGACCGGATAATCCATTCCAACAGCCATCTGGATACTCTGTTTCTACCGAGTAAGCAATCAGCAGCTTTCTGACTACTCTCTAACTTTGCACTTAGGCTTGACTGCTCACGACGACTGCTGAAGCGTTTGAGGATGATTGTTGTTGACTGTGAGAGATCCCTTCCTCCTATCAATGTTCTCTGGGAGGCTGCTTTAGCGTGCCTTGTGAGTGGATGCATTTGAAGTATGACTAACTGACACAAATCGGCAGGGAGTCCTTTCGACCTATATTCGTCAGGATACACATTCATCTATAGCCAGAGAGCTGTATATCGAGTTTGAGATGGGGTGCAAGTTGGTTGCTGACCGCTCGGGAGACACGCGTCGACTATCCCAGATTACGGTCTGCAAGCCTAACTGTTGACTTGAAGTCTGCTAATAATTTGCCTAGGGTCAGGTCTATGAACTGCGTCACAAAGTACACCAGGCTGTTCCACATCTGATGAATGAGCTGCGTCAAGCACTTGCAGCCCAGACCGAGCCAAGTCCGCGGAATGTTCCAGAGCATCTCTTTGCAAGCAATTCCGGAATAGTCGCTCTCGAATATCCTTTAGGACCGCCCGCACACGCAGCACCCCAACCTCTGGGTTACATGAATATGTTCCAGACCCTCGTGCCTGCTTCGGACTTGGAAGCCCAGATTGCAGGTCTCACAGAAGCAGACTTTGACTTTGATGTCTATGAAGACATGGACAGAGAGTTGCTTGATCAGCTCGGCGCGACAGGGTATTGAGTCAAGCGACAGAGTGGAGTTATATTTATATGTAGATACGTTATTTATACTATTTCGGGTGCTCTAAATATTCTCAGGAGCGTGCCGCGGGATGCTTACTGAGTGTAAACTAGCGCTCGATGACAGATCGAATCCAAGCTGACCTTTGGAGTTGCGGTCCGCATGGCTAATCACTGGCAGGCGCTATAACCCCAGGTGACGCAGGCCGAACTGTACAAACTTTGCAATCGCATTTCAGACCAAAACCACGAGAGCGGCGCTCTGGCCTCGCTTTGCAATCTCTACTTGAAAATATCACTTGGGATGAGAGAAACTTAACTCCCCGGTTTCTTGATCAGGATTGCACTAAGGCAGTGTTCTCTCCTGTTTGGGCCATTTCCGTCTGGTCCGGAGATGCTGTCATGCGTCCTCGAGCGGATCAATGGCCGCAAATTTGATACCACGCTTCTCTCCGAAACAACCAGGGGTTGCTGGGGGAGTTTCTTTCAAATTTGCCTTCTTCTCTCGGGCGGGGCAGTACTCGGTTTCCGAGTTTGGTCTAGAGACACACACGAAGCTAGGCAGATCTAAACCCTGCCTTCTGCTACGTTAGACGCCCCCGCTATCAGGCTGTAACGAGACGCAAGGCAGCGTCGGTCGCCCGCTTCAGTGCCCTTCTAAGCCACTCCACAGGCGCGTTTCAGTATTCTCTTCCGAAATCAATTCAGGTGCGGCGCTTTAGATTCGTGGACAGGCGCTTGTCCAGCACGTCGTGTCCACTGCTTCCAGGGCACTTAGTCATTAATCCTCAAGGTTACAATCGACTGACGACTTAGGCCTATCTATATAGGTTTCACTCCCACCCTTGGCAAAATACCACACCTTTCCCTCCCACTCACCCCGCTTGCCCGACGGCCGCTGATCCATGGAAACTGACTATGACTCGTCTACTCACATGACAAGGGGATCTTGCATGGAATGCCGAAGGTAACTTGCTCTCCTTGTTTGATCCCACGAACTTAAACCTCTTGCCAGACTCAAAACCAAGTGCTCGCGTACCATTCCTTGTCAACAATGCATCAAGTAAGATACACCAGCATACCTTGAGGGATTTACCTGATCATCTGTTAAGACGTCAATGCCAAAATATTTGTCCAGACGGATTAAGGCAGGTACCAACGGTTCACTTTCATCTTTGCTAACTATTGGTTATTTAGAACTCGTGGTTTTCGGTACATTACTCAGCGCTATTACGGTATAAATAAATAGCTGACCAGTTTCATTAGCAATCCTACGGTCGAGGTCGACGCCCTGAACCGAAACATTGAGGGCATGACGGCCCGTATTCGCGCCCTGGAAACTGCACTTCAGAAAGCTCAAGAAGGACATGTCACTGCTTCCTCGAGTAGCGCAAGCGCAAGTCCTCCTCCAATCTCCGTCACCTCGGATTTTGCTACCATCATTCAGCAGAAGAATTCTGTACGTCTATAGAGGATTGTGTGGTCACATAGAGGCTTATCGTACTCTAGAGTGATCATTTAGGCAACGATATCAAGAGAATACGTGTACTCGAGCTCCTACCCGACGAAGCTCTTGCATGGAAGCTCGTCGAGCAGTTTTATATGAGCTATGGCTGGCTGTACGTTTGGTTCTCATAATGAAGTATCTTGACTTCTGACCTCGAAAAGGATGCAACCAGTGTCCAAATCCCATGTAATCGACGTGTACCTCAAGCGCTCCTACTCAAATCCATGTGTCGCATCGAGTTCAGAGCTGAGTGCTCTGTTCGCCATCTTTGCTATGGCAGTCGTAGGAGAAGGTACCCAACCGCCCAGAACTCGGCAATCAGCCTCGTTCTTTTACGAGGCATCCAAGGCCGCGCTCCGCCTCCAGGACGTACTCGCAGAAGGAGACATTGGGACGGTGGAGGCCATGACCTACCAGGGATATTACCTCTACTTGGTATCGGATGAATATGACTTGCAGAAAGCATGGATATATCTTGGAATCACCATTCGCCTCGCCTACTCGGTGAGTTTAAACTCTTACCAGTTTTACTCGTCGCATTCTCACCTATACGCAGATTCAACTTCGTAAGTGCTCGATCCACTCTCACATTTAGAGGAGCAATTTGCTAATACTAGATAGACATTGATCCGGAAGGACGCGGTTATTCTGAAGCAGAGTGTTTACGGCGCCGAAGACTCTTTCAAGAGCTCGTGACATTTGACATATGGATGGTCAGTAATGAACAGCTCGAAATATTTACAATGGCTAAGTCATGGCATAGTCCATGGTAATGGAACGCCCTCCAGCATTCCATGATTCCGTCGTCTCGACAAGAGCTCCGGTAGAGACCATTGATACTGTTGGATCCAATGCAACTTGTAGGTCGCCGTCCTTGTTCTTTAGGAGGTCTAATATCTCTATTAGTCTTGCAGTGGAGGTACAAGTTATGTCGCGATGCCGTGGCCCCCTTGGTCCAAGTCGTCCTGTGCGGAACCAGCCCGAAAAACTACTCGCAAGTTATACAAATCGAGAATATTGTCATGGATTACGTGGTTCCACCAGAGTATGAGGCGCTGGACCCACAGACTGCCGACCTTGTTCCTCTCCTGCAAGCCCAGCAGATGCGACTTTACCGAGAGATTGGTATGTAAACATAAGGAGACGGTGTCCATACTGATGGCCGGCATAGTGCTTGTGAAGCTCCACAGAGCTTACTTCATCCTCGCCATCGAGGAGATGCCAGATCGACCCTTTGAGCACTATGCTGCCCGCTCGGTTACAGTTGTGTGCGTACTCGGACCTCCCGTCGACTTTTAACTCACAAAACTCCAGACTAGATTGCATAGGCTCTCTTATTCGTCGCATGTCAAGACTTTCGGTCGAATGCCCTCGCCTATTACTACAGTTGAACTGCCCATGGCACGTCGCACTAGTTTCGATGGTACGTGATAGCTATGAACGATTCCAGTGCTTGTTTGACGAGACCTCTTAGTCGTATCTAGTACGAATCCTCCAGCAGGTCACGGATACGACGCTGCTCCAAAATGTCCGTTCAGAGTTTGAAATGGGATATAAACTTCTGCAAACCGGTGCATCCATCAATTCCAGGTTGGCGAGGTACTTTGTACGTGTGGTTCACTCTTCATCCGCAAACCCAGATCTCAAACCTTCGTTTCAGCCTTACCTCGAGCAACTGCGACAAACGGCTGCTGGGGAGTTGTCGACGACACTTGTCACTCCGGGAATGTCCTCGCTAGCCCGAAATCTCTCACTTGACCTTTCCATTCACCCGACTGCTCCTCCACTCCCAGGCTATGATGATGCCGCGGTTCAGCTGTATCCACTACCCACAGCGTCAGTACCCTCTCATCATTCGGTTCCTAATGCACTTGAATCGCATTTCTTGGACTTTGCTCCAAAGGAAGCGACACCAGACGAGTGGCATAACTTATTCCCCCACGGAACTGATGATCAGTTTGAGCATCACCAGCTTCCGCACAACTATATTGTTCCATCTCAATGGGATATGCTCCGATAATCATCCATACCCTGTAGCGCTTCGGTTCCTTGAACCAATAACTCATGTATTCCCATCATAACTTATGCCACCTAACAAGAGCTCTTTAATTCCTACTCGAGTAGACCATCCAAGTCAGGATCCATGCCATAGACCTTGTGAGATACAGTACAATACAATCACAGATAACGGGATATATACCACTAGAGCTCTTCGTGCTTTGCGGCTGCCTCTTCTGCTTGCTTAATAGCTTGCTGGACCTGCTCCTTGCCCTTTCCGATAAATGCCTCTGCGCCTTCGATGATGCCCTCTCCGGTTTCTTCAGGGTCCGTTGGGAGGATAGTGAACCCTGGCTCGACGGCTGGAATGTCTGGAACAACAACTTTGGCTGGATCACTACGTTGAATCTTGTCGTGGCTGACAGAGTCTCCTAGAAGGTACTTCCAGCCTTCCTGACGGATTTTGTTGACGCCAGCCCTGTACTTCTCCGTAATCGACTTCGTCTCCGCACTTAGCTTTGCCATAGCTTCATTGATCGGATTTGGGAGCGGCTTAGACTCCAACTTGCCGTTAAAAAGCTTTCCGATATCTTCTTCCGCTTCTTGGCTGCCTGTTCGGCGGTGAGTTTATCGATGTAGACAAGAGTATCCTACGCACGGAACATGAGTTTGTGATAGCGCTCCCAGTCCCTGTATGTCACATCGTTCAACCAAGCATAGTCCCCGATGAGGTCTGCCTGGGCCTTGTCGGCTAACTCTTTGATGGCGGCTACCGCAGACGCGACCTATTTCGAGGTGAATGACAGCACATAATAAAGATTAGACACACCTGTTCAGACTCTCGCTTCATCCAGACAGTGATCCAGTTGGAGATTTCGTCGTTCATTTTGCGGGCCTCCTTGTCGAATGCAAACTCCAAATCTTCAAGAGTCTGTGCCCAGCGGGGCATCTTGTCTGCAAAATCTTCATCCACCTCGCCGTATCTGTCCTCCCAGTGTTCTCGCATCTTGTCGAGAGTTGCTCTGGTACTTCTGACGGCATGATTCAGTGACAATTCCATGTTGGTCTTGTGCCTGTTGATTCCACGGTGTGACTGGAGCTGCTTTACACCGACTTCGCGGCCTTTTCTGAGTTCCTCAGCAAGCGTATCTATCTTGGACGTGATCAAGGCCTCGAGCTGCTCTTCCCATTTGTCGTGCCTAGCCATGATATCCTTGCGCTTGATGGCAGTCTCCTCCTTTTCCTTCCGATCACGCTCTGCCTTCTGTTCTGGTGTCAGCTTGGTCGGCTTAGGGATTGCGCTCGTAACGGTGGTCGACTGAATCTCCGTCGTGAGGATAGATTCGGACAACCACTCTTCCAATTCTTGCCAGAAGTCGAGGTCCTCGACGTCGTCGTGGTAGTTGGGGTTGTAGAGTGGCTGGTCCAAGGGATCCATGGTCTCGGTCGCTTCAGGCGCTGCAGTCGCTGCAGTTGTGGCTGCATCTAGTGTGGTAGATGATGTCGGGTCATGCACAGCTGGTTCCGGAACTGTTGGTTCAGGAGGTACCGACGAACTCACAGTGGCGGTTTGTTCTGTGATTGAGGCCGTTGGGAGTTCGGACGGAGACGAGTAAAAGGTTGCCGTTCCAGTCGTCGCTGCCGTTTCGTCGTTTAGGATGACCTTGTCCTCCGAAACGTTGGCGGCATTGATGCTCATCTCATGAACTTTGTCCACAATCTTGCGAACCTGTGGATCCACCCATTTCTCCTTTCCTTGTTCAAGGGGCTTCGCAATGAACGTTTGGAGGAAGATGGGAACCTCTTGAGCTTTGTGCACAAGCGGTGCGACCACAGGTTGGGCCATTTTCCACCCTTCGATCGCCTTTGTTGTCACAAGACTGATATATGGCTGGGCTTGTCGTCGGTACTTTCGGAGATTGTACTCCATCAGGCGTACATGTGGACGGAGCCGGGCGTGATACTGTTGCTTTGCCAAATGAACATAAGGCTGACTCTCCAGCACAGCGCGGTCATAGATGAGGTTGTACTGGGTCCTGGCGACATCCGTTGCTTGTTCAACATACGGCCGAACTCGCTCAATTTGAGGGGCGACGGCTGGATGCAATGCAACAGCACGGAGAGGAGGAAGGATATAAGGATCCACCACAGTTCGTCGGTAATAATCTAGGCCACGGCAAACAGGTGATTGGAGTTTGGGGTCATGAGGGCAAACGAAGAGAGAATAGATACTGAAGAGGACGAAGAGAATCCGAGTGAGAAGTTGGATCACCTCGGACCATGGCTTTCCATTGTTTTTCTGTGAATCGGCGTCAACACGACCCCCACTTGTCTCGGACGGGCGCAATGACGCACCTTTGCGGCCTTTGGATGTTTCTTCAGAGGACGCGTCTTCACCGTCTTGCGAGATACAACTGTTTTCTTTGGTGAGGGCTAAGAAGAATAAGTGAGCTCAAAGGGCCTGGCCGTGAGACGGTGGACGACTGACGATAAACTTTGGGTGATCTGCAAATGGACCGGTGTGGTCGTGTCTAGCCTGCATGGCAAGATTTGATCCTGTAGGCCCAACTTGAGGTGCAATGGGCGCTGGCTGCACGTCACCAGCGAGGTTTGCTGGCCCTGGGACGCTGGTGGCTGGCTTGACGTTGAGACTGGCTCGTTTCGCCGCCTTTGAGACCGTCGTGGTCGACGTAGAGCGTGATGAGGCAGCTGGAGCGCTTGCCCTTGGCTGTTTTGTCTGGGACACCATTGCACGCCTCACGTACAACGCAACGCTGGCAATTTGCTGAAAGTGCTATTCGTTGCGAGATGAACAATGTCGTTCTTAGTGCAAATATAAAGTGTTTCCAGGCCGAATGGGCGTTCTCCAAGAAACGAGCAAGTTGTGGTGGATGGACAAGGTAGCAGATGTGTACAAAGTGAGATACGTGGAGACCCGCAGAAACGCCGGAACATCTGGTTGAGTTTCGGAGACATGTTACAAGAATTAGTCCATCTTTATGGATACGTGTCATCTGTGCGCTGGAGCGCTCCTAGGGACCGGCGGTCCCCTGCACATGCTCAAATCGGAGATTCTGTTCGTAGAAGTCGATGACCTGGGTGGATATCAACAAAGATTCTGACACGAATCTGATGATACCAACTATCGAGGATGCCCGCTTCCGGACCGCATCACCAGGGGCCGTCCTCGTCTCTCCGTTTTTCCTGAGGGCGGCGTGTGAGCTCGAGTACAGACGTGTGAAACCAGCATACAGCTTGAAGAAATAAATTACGCGACGTCCCTCATCCGGCTTGTCTCTGTAGTCAACGGTGAGTATTTGGTCGATGAGATTGTGCCAGTCGTCCAAATGCATATAGCGATCCATGGTCTTGAAGTTGGTCGAAATAATCTCAGAAGGAGTAGGAGATGATTCTAATGCGTCTGAAGACGCATCATTGAGCGTTTGGAATTTGGTGCGACCGTTAGAATCTGTCTTCTTTGACTTTGACCGTGATTTTGTTTCTTTGGGCAACTTTTGCTGCTTGCTCTTCTTATTCGGACGGTCCACATCCTCCTCCATTTCGACGTCAGTTGGCGGCTGGGAGGATCGAGCTCGTTTTCCAGTATTTGCTTTGCGTTTTGCGTGGAACTCCTCCCAGTACTCTTTTATAATTTCCTCCGCATTGCTGTCGTGACAAAATCTTAGCACTCTCGCTCGTCAATGATTCGAATACCCACCAGTCATTCTCATTGACCCACGAGTTTTCTGCATCTGGATACCCCTTCCATTTGACAAAGTATCCTCTCACTCCACGACCCTGCATGTGTTGACGAGGAGATGGTCAGCCATTGTCCAGTAATGGACGGTGTTTAGCGCACAAAGTGATTGTTCTTATGGTGTATTATTCTCTCGATCTCGTATACCTCGTCATCGTCATCTTCTTCTTCCTCGTCGCTGCCTTGCTTCATCCTCGCGAATCGTCCTCGGGTGGGGGACTATCTTCAATGGCATGCACGACTTCATCCTCTTCGTCACTATCATTTTGACGCTGTCTGACTTCTCTCGGCATTGCCAGGCTCTGTTCTAGGGCAGTGTATTCTTCGGAGCTCGAACTGGTGTAGGGCAAGGATCAAAAAAACAACTATGGCTACCACTCAACCAGCTTAGTTTCTAGAAGCCACCGATTTCTGTCATGATCTCATCGGCAAGGCGTACAGAATTCCTTTTGCTTGTTTCGAGGCGCGCATGACGCAGTGCGACGCGCTCCTCATGCGTTTGTAGTTCTGCGCGAAGGCTTTTGTAGACTTTCCACTTACGACTATGGGAAAGTTACTCAGTCATTGAGGAGATGGTGAAACACGTGCCGTAGGTGCGTTTGGGCCTATCCGGTCATGAGCATATTGAATCGGCATGATAAACTCAACATACCTGGCCCAGAATGCTCTTCATGTCCTGTAAGATGTCTATAGTATGTAAGAATTGTCAAACTACAGAGTGGAAACGGAAACCTTGCTGGCCGGCCTGCCAGTCTTCAAATGTGGCATTCTTCCAGCGAAACTCCAACGTAGTCGCAATGTCAGCATTCCTTTGCAGATACTCAGCGAGACCATAAGGCACATTGTCATGCGCCCTCGCTATCATCTCCAAAGAAACATCCACTTCCATTCTGTCGTCATCCAGATCTTGGTCATTCTCCTCCCACATAGCGTGAATGATTGGTGCCTTCTCTCCTTCACTGATGCTGTAGCCGTGGTGAGCAACGTTTTCGTCGGGCGTGGTCTGTGGAGGATGGAGAAGGAGGTCCGGGGATGCGGTGTAGTCTGCGAGGTCATACTCGATATCATGTCTGCTCGTGTCCTTCGAAGTGTCTGGGGCAGCACGACCTGTTGTCGCTCGAAAAGGTTGAGGGCCCGAGTTTACAAGTGAAACGCTGAGAGTAGTAGTGGCATCGGAGAGCGAGCCGAGTCTTGATTGATAACTCATCGAAAGATTCCTTTCTTCTTGTACTTTCTTCGCAGGATGAACTCTGAAATCAGTCTGAGAGGAAGACTTGAAAGCGCGACTGAAAGATTTGGCGAGAATTCCTGAGTGATCTTGGGCAAACAATGAGGGATTACTGTCGTTTGAAAGACCTTTTTGAGCAGACGAATTCAAAGTCAGCCGTCGATTGCCATCCTGTGCTTGAAAGGAGAATTTCTTAGCGACTGCGGCCTCCACATCCGTTAAATTGAGAATATTCTGATTGAAGGGAGCTGTTTCAACTCGTCCTTGGTTCTTCTCTGGTGCTTCGTGCTCGTCAAGCGACATACGCCGCTTTAACGGCAGAATCGGCTGAGTTGGCGCCCGGATCGATTTAGCGAATGATTTTATATCGAGTATAGGTGCTTGGATATCACCTAGAGGCGCGTCTTGTTCCATATTGCGATCTGCTGGGCGCGCGATGTTCGGGATTCAGCAGGCGGACTTGCGAATGCAGCCTAAACACGCTAAATACGAGACTCACGGCGTCTCTAAGGTTCCTTCGAAGGTGCAAGCTACTCAGTCGCAGACAACGCGGTGGTTGCGGAGTTTAAAAGTCAAGTGGGGGTACTCCCCACATGTAACGAAAAAAACAGTAGCAGAATACTATACAACGCGGGAAATTTTGACTAGATCCAGCGTGCATACGAGCGAAAACTACAAAGGGTTGAGTCGGAGAAGGAGGAGCCAAGTCTGCTGGACGGTTTTTCGGCTTTACGGGGTCGCATTTTCACTTTGTTCTTTTCCACATACCAGGTCTCTTCATGAAAATAAGCATCGATAATTGCCATCAAAGAGTCGCCCGAGGTCGCAGTGTCGAGAGAGGGCACGAGCGCATCCATATCTACGGACGAGTCGGTGGCCAGTGTGCCCTCATTCAACAGTGCTTCACCGATCGAGATGAGTTCGGGATTGGAGGATGCCGAGCTGAACGATTGAAAGTACGGTTGGGTCGATGCACCTTCTGTGATCCTCGAAACTGCTGGCAGCTGAATTCGATCTTGTATAGTCCAGTCGTTTGAAGAAGTGTGAGAATCACATTGGTTTTCGATGAATGATAGATGGAGGCTCGTCGAGGAGAGGTAGCAGGCATATCGCAATGCGGTATTGCAGCGGTTCGGTGCCCTCTCTGATGAACATACACCGTTCTCAAACTGTCCTTTTCTCGTCCTTGGAGACATTGGTGAGCTATATAGATCGAATTGATCACCTTCGGACTCGCGAGTATAGAACACGGTTGGCATGATAGTCTGCGTACACTAAAACTATTGAGCTGTAATCCAAGCTTCTTGTTTGCGCACTTCATCGAATCGGACCCTCTTCTGCAGTCGCTTGCTCTGCTTTGATCGTGACCACAAGACTCTGGGAGATAAGACTCGAGCGCGCACTGCTAGCTTGGAGAAAGGTGTCGGAATAGTATCTGCTATGGTTGAAGAGCTCATTTGCGATAAGCGAAAGATGGCAAGGCAGAGGCACTGGATAAGGTCGAGAGCAAGATGGATTGAGAATCTGGTAACCCGACACCGACCCTTGTGAGAGGGATACAAGATGGTTTGGGTGGAAATTGGCATTGATGTAGAACTAAAGTTTGAGAGAGACCGTGGCGGGATGAAATCGGCAATCCCTTCGGATCACCACCCCAGCGGATTAACTAGGAGAGTTTGAGAGCGTTAGACTATGAAACATTACATTAGTGATCACTAAGCTGAAAAGAACCTAGCAAATGTGCCATCCGCTAGAGTCCCAGTATCACTCCCCCTTGATAGGTTTTGGCGAGTACGGGGTCAGATAATATGCATTAGGAGCATATTCCAGCAAATGGCTCTCTGTGAGGCATGAATAAGCGCTTGATGAGCCCATACGGTCCGACCTGAAGGCCGGTCCAGCTGTCCTTTGGCGACTCCGTGAGTGCGAGGTACAATCTCGAGTTCTCAGTGACATTAAATGCAAAAGTTAACATATAAAATGCCGAAGAAACCAGCCCAAATAGCACGCCTAGGCCCGCGCCTCCAATTTTAAAAAAATGGAAAAATCGGGGCCAACTGGGAATTGAACCCAGGACCTCGCCCAAGTTAAGTAACCCTAAGGGCGCACCATACCATCTAGACCATTGGCCCGGTTTTAGAAACATGGTCTAATTGTGTACTATATTAAATATCTAACAGAGCTAAACCAGCGATCTAACAGCCAACCGCCACATACCAGACCCAAATCGTGTCTCTGACTCTGAAGATGCTCACGAGAGAGTACCGCTACCGATCTCATGCTATAAAGAGCGATGCAATATATTTAGTTTCCTTGTCACTACACTTCTTCAAGTTCAAAGTGACGCATTCTTTACCGAGTACCTCCTAGTGTATCAATTTCAAGGAAATATCTTGCATCCGGTCTAAGAACGAACTAACCACCACCAGCCAACGCATTCACTGTCCCGCATTGCTAGACCAATCTCCGATCCAAATTTGGATTCGACTCACTTTATCTCATCATTTGACAAGACTGGACGAAGTGGCGTCACAAAGACCGACATTCCTCACCTTCTCGCCTTTTACATTGAACCTAGACGTCAGAATTAGGATCTAGAGCCACCAATGCCGAAAGGAGACTCGCGCTAACGAGGCGATATACCGTTCATCGAGTTTCATGATCCTCTTTGACCGTCGTGTGAGCATTCAGAGCACCCACCGAGTTGCGATAATCGCGTCTGGGACTGACCCAGCAACGATGAAATCGAGTTGGGCAGGGTGCAAGCCAAAGAGGGGTAGTGTTCGTTGGAGATGAATCTGACGCTTCGTTTGCAAAAGTAGGCAGACGTCGCACTGGTCTAGTGGTATGGATTCACCGAATGACTGGCTGATAGCAGGTTTGACATTTGGAGTAACACTCCCAGCCATTGTAGTAGAGAAGAAGACGGTCGATTAAATGCAAATAAGAATAGAGTATTACTGCGAACCAAAGAAGACGGCGCCACGATGTTTAAGGTCCATAAAGCCGATCCTTGAGTCCATTTCATCAATCGAGCTGATAAAAGTCAGCCAAATGTATGGCATACGACGCGATGCGAACCGTTTGTCCATCTCTTTTGCCCAAGTGATCTCTGCCAATGTCGGGGATGCCAACACGGTCCCAAGGACAAAAAGGAATAGGGATAAAAGGGCCTCCAGTGTTACCTTGGAGGGATAGTCAGCAAACGTTTGTCTGCATCCACCTTTGCCAACGCACATCTTTTGGTATATGATCTTGCGGTCTGTCTACGGCCTTGAGTTGCGATAAATCTATATTCCGTGAGTCCTACGACTGTCTCAACCTCGAAGCGCCGCACAGTCAAAAGTCGAATAGGCCGCTGGAGCGAAGTGAGCACGAAAGGTCGCATAGCCATGTCATAAAGTCTCACCATGAAGCAGAATGAGAAGCGATATCCATTGCAGTGCGCGCGCTAGTCCGGCCATTCCGAGCCAACGACGTGGTCAGGTCCAAATCAACTTGAACCCAACCATTACCAGGAGCAATGTCTGCACATCCCCCCAAGTACGGAATCTAATCTCAATACTCTCAAGCCATCAAATACTCAAACGCTCTCCAGGGTGTTTACTTCTGTCGTGTCAATAGACGATACCTCTTCCAAGGCGGAGACTCCGACTTTCGGAGATATCAATCATCCGATATCAAAGAGAGGAACGACAATAGCAACGCAGGATGGCGGCACTCTGCATGTGCAGCCGTTTAGGAGAACCGGCTCGAAACAGCTACGGGCACTCGTCACCTTTGTGCCGCGCCCATCGCATTTTGATAGCTCAGAGGCAGGAGCGGATCAGTTTAGAGGCTTCTATTCGCTCTTTTGGATCTTTTGTGCGTTACTCAGGTAGGTCGCGTGTCGTCATTCGTGTGCTAATCTAAGAATTTTGGCCAGTGTCAAAACCATTGTTCTTCATCACAAGGAGACCGGATCACTCCTAAGCTGGAATTTCGGTCGACTCATCTCAAAGGACCTCTTTGCCCTCTTGCTGAGCGAAGCCGCCCTTACATTTACCTCTCTCTGGGCGGTCCTCTTGGTCAAAGCATTCAAGCGCGGCTACATTCGTTATTATTGGACTGGTGAGATCACATATTTCTATAATTAGTGATAGCTGAGTCCTGCTAGGCGTAATCGTCCAGCATGTGTACCAGTCTGCTATGCTCGCATTGGCGATTGGCTGGACATTTTCCATGCGCTGGGAATGGGTTCAGAGCGGATATTTCACTCTTCGCTGCTTAGTTCTAATCATGAAGATCCACTCGTACATCGCCTTCAATGGGTATCTACAAGGCGTCGACGCAAAGACCAAGAAGATTGAACAAAAGCTACGAATGCGAACAAATGAAGCTGGAGGATGGGATCAGGCTGTGAATGATGCTCTTGCGCGACGCGAAGAGCTAGAACAACAAGAGACGACCCCTTCGGAGACTCCAGCACTGATGAAAGCTGGCGGCTACTTTAACCAGCCTCCGGCAGCAACGGCTTTGAGGAATCGCCTTCATAATCTGGAGGTACCAAAGGAGCTAAAACTCAAGCGAAAGGGATCATCCAACTCTGTTCACTCGGAGACATCCTCAATCCAACCACTATCGGTTGCAATTCCACCAGCAGGCCCAACGCCTCATCCCTTAGTGGATCACCCGGACAAGAGCATCTCTACGTTGGCGAAAGAGTTGTCGGAGCTCGAAGCTGAATTGACATCAAACGGCCCTAAGCAAGTTCGATGGCCAGCAAACATAACATGGTTGAACTATATCGACTATCAAATGCTCCCTACACTCGTATACGAGTTGGAGTACCCACGAACAGATAGGTAAGCGTCTACAGAGCAAGGATGCAGAGTTGACACCGCTTCAGGGTCCGACCGATGTATGTCCTCGAGAAGACTATAGCGACGTTTGGCACCTTCTTTTTGCTCTATCAATATACGGAACACTTTATCATGCCACACATCCCAGAAGCGGGCCAGAGCTTCGTGTACAGCATGCTGAATCTCGCTTTGCCCTTCATGGTGAGCGCCTGCGAAGTGACTTGGTCCTTGTTCACCGCCGTTTCAGGTCTGTTATCTCATTCTCTTCTATCTGATCTTCGGTGTGTGGAATAGTCTTCAGTCACTCAGCTTCTGATCGTAGTCTAGAGTGCATCTGCAACGGCTTTGCCGAACTATCGTGTTTTGCGGATCGAGAGTTTTACGAAGATTGGTGGAATAGTACATCGTGGGACCAGTTCGCTCGCAAGGTAAACATTACCGCCCTGCATCCTACGTCTCTGACAAAGAACACATAGTGGAATAAACGTATGCATCTTCTCCCGGTTGGTATCTGGCCTCTGACGTCTATCAGCCGTCCACACTTTTTTGCTTCGGCATGTCTACGCTTCGACCCTCTCGTACAAGATTGGCAAGGGTAATGCGGCCCTCTTGACCTTTTTCTTATCTGCATGTGTTCATGAGCTGGTGATGGCCGTGGTTACGAAGAAGATTCGGTAAGCTTGGAGGCTCAAGACTCGTTATTTGGTATTGACTCGAGTGAGTCCTTATCTATTCGTTCTACAGATGAGTCAGATACCTCTCATCGCCCTAGGGCGTGTCCCGTTCATCAAAAGGAACAAGCTTCTCGGTAATGGTGAGTGACTTGCTTACTCCTCTGCAATGTCTGAATTCGTCCAGTCGTATTCTGGATTGGACTTATGGCTGGTCAGTTGCTCAAGTAACCCCGTCACCGAGTACTAAAGCGCCGTCCAGGATTTCCGCTCCTATGTGTAGCATATTGCGCGTATTGACCTAAGATGAACCGTGGATTTGTTTACGACACTGTATATGACCTTATGACTATATTGATGCGCGATAAACGTTGCTGTGCTCGCAGTGAGATGTCACTCATATGCTTGATCCTGACCATGTCTGCCAGAGGTGTGGTTGATGAAATCACCCTCGTGGCCCCTCCGGCCAATTGTCAATTTCTCAAATTTCCCAGATCTGACGGAAAGGCTTATATTCGACCGTCGCCACGCGATGGACCTGCAAGAAACGCCGACGGTCGCCTCAACTACTTCCGCGCTCTCCCGCTCGATGAGAAGACGTCGATGACCTGGAGGCTAAAGGTTGGTCAAAAGGTGGCAGAGATGATGGGGAAGAAAAGTGAGCTTTCGCCTTGACGTCCCTGCACGAGGTCATTGACGGGCTGGATGTAGATCCAGGCTCTTACTGTCTTGCAAGCTGGCCAGATGGATACGAGTTTTTTATTCATATTACGAGTAAGACTGATGGGACTATGCGTGGAGATCCCTACCTCTACGGTTCGCCGCATACAGCCAAGTTTCGCTCCACAAATGAATTTATCCCTCACGCGTACGTTAAAACTGGCCCCAAAGACGTTATTTTGACTTAGTTCTTAGCTACTGGCTCATGACCACGTCAACACTTGACAAAACCGAGTGCCATTGCAAATATTGCGGCGGCATCAAGCTTCAGTCCAATGTCAACAGCTCCCTCTTTGGCAGTCCAGTTCGTATGACCACACAATCCAAGCCGCCGACGGCCAAGTCGCAAGATTCGAAGACGAAAAAGTCGACAGGCAGCTCGTTGGTACCAGCCAAGCCACGCACTGAAACCAGAATTCGTGCACCGAAGTGGCAATATCCTCTGCCCGCTAATCGAGAAGAAGAACAGTACACCATAAGAAATCGATACGTTGAGCTGCATGAAGGACGGCTGGCCCGAGACGGTGAACTAGTTTGGATTCGACTGTCCACCCCAATTCGACACGATTCCGGAGTTGAAATTGAATACTGGCCAGCGTTTGTAAACGACGTCCAGTTTCGAAAGGAGGTCTTCCATGACCGAGATGGCCTATCGTTCGACGTAAAGGAAACGCTTGATATTGTCACAAGGCCCCTCATAGCAGGTAGAGCCATTGTCAAGGTTCAAGAGCTCGACATTGTCCCCTTTAGAGCGTGGAACATTGACAAGTCACTGACCGATGCCCTCACTCGCATACCACTCCCATCCGACTTTGGAACAACCTCGTCACCCACCGTTTTCGATATCACCGACACTACTGGAAGGCTTCTTCCCGGTCTAACGTTTGAATCGGCTGCTCCATACTTTGCACTCGCAGTACAGACGTCTGCGCATATGGACACGTACTGGTCACCCATGTACAGTATTGAACCATCATCCCCGCGCTCAAAAAGTTATCAAGGCCTCTGGCTAGGGGCCGAGCGCATCTGGTTGCACGATCTCGTCCGACTACGCCTCACACACAGCGAACTCGTCACGCACCCCAAACTCCATGACCAAATCTTTTACCCAACTGAGGGATCAGAGACACGTGCACTATTCATGCGTATCAACGATATTCACGTCGAAGAGGCTCCGGTGCGAGAGACTGTCCGTCTAATTTGCCGCATAACTGGACCCATTCTATGCACCGTCCCAGACCCAAAATTTGTGCATACCGACGAAAGGTTTCTCACCTCGAGCGCATCCAACGCATTCCCCGGAATCGACAATGGGCGGCACTTTCCGCTTCCACTCCCACCACTTGGGTTCAAGTACCACCCAGTTACGGTGACGACAGAGGAAGTGACGGTGGATGCCCAAATGATTGCTGGTCGTTATTATCCACTGCTCATGCTTAGCCACGGGCTGGACATGCTAAAAATTCGCGAAAAGGTCGACTGGTTCCAAGGCGTCGCTGCCATGGCTGGTCTTGCCGCTGGACATTACTCTGTCAGTAATGCCCAATATACTGTGCATACGCGAAGAGAGGCGGCAATTATGAGTCAAGAGGCGGCCCAAGAAGAGCTCATCACAGAGTGGAAGCGCCTCGAGAAGGAACGAAATCGGCCACGGACACAATCAAATGAAATTTGGATACGCTAGTTTCGGTGAATTAAAGGTAATAGCGTACATCATGACACTACAAGTGACGTGAGATAGAACGAGTGAGACGAGATTGTGGGCGGTCCGAGTCAATAAAGGAGAATAAAAAAAAAGGAAAGGGGAAATGATCATGAATGAATCACGGGGGTTGATGTTCTCGCGTGAGATGGCGTGGTGACTGGTCTTTAGGCTGACGTGCGCGCGCTTTTTGGAGTACTTCTCTCAACTGGGACTCGAGTGCCGGTTTTGACAAGACCCTACAAGAGAATGTGAGTATCACATCAAAACGGGCGATGAAAGGCGTACTCGTCTACCCCGGCACCTAGAAATCGCTCTTGGTCGGATACGTGAGCTTCTCCCGTCAAGCCCACCACAAAATCACGTCTGTCCGCGAGTCGGAGCGCAGAGGCGACTTCTATTCCCGTCATGACGGGCATTTGATTGTCAAGGAAGATTACTGGGACAGCATCAGTAGGTCATTTTGCTTCCTTCTCGGTCATACTCACCGTCAAAGGGATATACTGTATGGCGCGCTAAAGGGTCTTCGAGAATATCCGCCGCAGGCGAAGTGAAATTGATTCTCTGTTCCTTGAAAACCTCTGGGCTACTTGATGCGTCCGCAGCGTCGTTCATCCCGAGCTTTTGTAACGCGACTTTGCCATTTTCCGCTTCAGCCACTGTACACCCAAGACGCTTCAACAAACGCGCAAGAAGCCCACGGGAGGTCGGATCATCATCCACGATTAATGCAGAGATTCCAGCTCCTACTTTGACCGGCGGATCAGTCTTATTGAAATCGCTTGGCGCGCCTGGCTTTGCAGATGCGTCGGAAATTTTGGGTGTCGGAAGCAAATGCACGTTGGATTGCGGCGGTTCACTTGCGTCCGGTTCCGTTGTGGGTGATAATGGAAGTGGGAGAGAGGCTGCATTCGTTCCAGTCGAACCTTGAGCGGACACCGCTTGGGTTGTCCCAGTGGAACCTTGGGCAGAAGGTACGTTTGTCGTCCCACTAGACGTGTAACTCGACTTGGGAGAAGAGAGGAGAGGCGGTAGAATCGAACTTGAATCGACTGACGTTACTTTGAACGCTATCAAAGGGGTCAGTTTCTAACGAGGTATACACTAGAAAACTCACGTAGCTCGACCCAGAACGTTGTGCCACTTCCAGCCTACATAATATCAGTCATCCGAAAAGGATGAAAAGCTAGCGACGCACTGTACTCTCGACACCCATTCTCCCGCCCATCAACTTGACAATCCTCCGTACCAGCGAGAGTCCCAATCCGGACCCAGAGCCGCCTTGAAATCTGCCGACACCGGCTTGAGCATAGGGTGAAAACAAATGGCGATCCTTGACGTCGGACGGCGAGATGCCACATCCATTGTCCACAACTTCAATCCGTATCACCAAGCGTTCTGGATCCTCGTCCCATTTCCCAGTCCCAAGCCCACCACCCATCGCCATTTGAGGCCGCACCTCGGGCGGCGTCAAGAGTGGTGACGAGTGTGGTCGTCCAGGCGCACGAAGAGAGCTTGTACTCGACCGTGGAGTGGCGAGAGACGACAGGCGACACTAGGCGTGTCACGATGCGTATCTTGCCATTCTCGGGTGTAAACTTGGTCGCGTTTCTACAAGACATCGGCAAAGTCTCCAAAGGAATATGACGAATACGTACGTGATGAGATTGTTGAGTACTTGTGTCAAGCGTGTCTCGTCGCCATTCACAATCCCATCCTCGCCGGGCGAGGCCCTGATCTTTCGGTAAATCTCTTCATCCGATTTTTGCTGGGCGTGGTATGTCGCAATACGCGCTGCCATGTCAATGTTCTACTTGGAAGTTAGCCACATGCCGGATCACGAGTGTGGAATGCACACACCGGGTCGAGATCAACCGTCACCTCTTGCTTTTTGAGTTCGGCCGCCATACGTGCACTAAAGTGCACTTGTCGGATCACAGAGTGGAATGCATATGGCCTAGACACGATTTCGAATTTGCCCGCATCCATCCGTTTTCTGTTTCACCATCAGTTCACTCGCCGACGCTACCGTGTGTAAGTACTAACTGATCCAGGACATCATTGAGTACTAGCGCAAAACCGTTAGCAAAACTCTCAGGACGCGAACGATGTTCGCACATTTGGACATTGACGTCAGCTTGATCCGCAGTGTGTCCCACTCAAACTTGAACTCGGGTTTGATAATCGTCGATGCAGCCAGATTTTGATAAGCTAGGACTAGAGAAGGACAGTTAGTGGGCAGAATGACGTGTGTGACCGGACGGCTTACACGCGGCGTTGAGAGGTTGACGAACTTCATGAAAGATGTAGCTGGTCGATCTCGCTCGAGCTGCTTCCACACGAGACTGGTGAACACGAGTGTGGTGCAACGCCAAGAGGGCGTCTTTGACCTTTTTATTGAAAAAGTAGACATTCCGCTCAAGAATCTCGCGTCGCCAGTGAATGTACAGCAAGAGGGCTTGCAGGAAGATGTGTTCCAGTGCGACTGTATGTAGATGAGCAAACTGGAGATGGCGGATGCGAGAGGAGGCTCACATCGGGCCCAAGCACTCTTGCGAGGAATAAATAATGCAGACGGTGTGATGATCATGATGATGGGTGCGATTGTAGCATAAAGGCGCTGTTGGCCCATACCGAACAGCGCAATGACTGGGAGCGCGACCATGTAATAGAACAGGTTTAGCATGTCCCTACCGGCACAACTAAAGTGAGGAAGGCCACCGCCATAGTACCGGCAGAGTTGCATGAACGTGATCAGATAGGCCCTACATCATTGTTCAGACTATGACGGCAACGAGTGATGGAGAGACTCACGACCAGCTCCAGATCGACACTAGGAGAAAGCATTGGTAAAAGATGGGGACGCGCTTGGGAAGGTCGTAAAAGATCATGATTGGGAGCGGCACGGTAAGGGCGGAAGCAATAGCCCAGTAGAACACCTTGTCCGACGTCTCGGGATGCTTGGGTAGGAGCGTGAGTGCAATGGCCCAGCTAATGACTAGGTAGGTTGAGCAAACAAAGCTGAGAAACTAAGTGGGCTCAGAAGCGAGCTAGGAAATGAGCGAGGCAAGACGGACCTTTTGCGACTCGTATACTCGTCCCGAATAGGCCGCTTCAACTTTTGATCGTCAAACTGGGGATAGAAGAAGCGCATAAACGCATGTTGAACCCAAGGAAACGCTCTATATCTCAACCAGAACCAGGGGGTCAAGCGGCCTTCGTGCACAGATGCTTCGTATCCTTTGAGACGATACTTGCGGTCGTTTGGGAGAGGGTGATGAGGGTGCAAGGTGTTTGTCGGAGGTGCGAGTGCAGTGAAATTATCCTGAGAGGCTGTCATATTGTGTGAGGCTTGGGAGTTAGCACTCAAGTCGCGTTCGACGAGTACAAGCGCGAGCGTGTCTTCATTATCCTTTGCACTCAACCAGGTCACATCATCCTCTTCGAGTCCACTATCGCCCTGTTGGCCACCGTCGACCGACGTCGTCGTCCCTCGTCCATCGTCACTGACGTCCAAGAGTGAGTTTGTCCATTCTGGTTGCTTATTCGTATAGCCTGTGCCATGCTTGAATGCTTTGAATACTCTTCTCCATCTTCCATCCGCAAAGAATGTCTGTCTAGCCGTGCTGGACTTGTGCTTTGTGGAGACTGGAGCAGGGAGAGCCGGTTGATTCTCATTTTCGAGATTGTGCTCGCTCTTTGGACTCGTGCGGACAATCTTTGGCCGTGGTGCAAAGGAGCTCATACGTGCACGGAGCACGGTCGTCGTCCTCGAGCTCTCGTCGTCACTCTAATCGTCCGTAACGAGGCTCTACTAGTGTTATAAAGACACTGTAGACGCTCTGAAGCGTCACTGAATGAATACGGGCTCCAGCGAAAGTTATGGTCGGCTACAAAGTTTGTCAAACGAGGCCCGCCCGTGGAGCGGCTCTCTTTTGCTTGGCTCCAAGCGTCGACAGCCAAATTGCTCATAAATGTCTGGTTTTGCTATTTAATAGTCTAGATACAGCCATTCTCTACTTTCCACTGCGTTTGTGATGTCACTGGCGATCGGCACCTTGGCGGACTGGAGCCGACGAGCATTTCAAGAAATTGAGAACATTTCTAATCAATCCCAATCATCATTTCAACACATATACAGCAATCTTGGCGTCGATTTCAAGGGTATGGGATGCAATTGGATATAGGACCCGACGTGAATCCTCCTGCGTCTGCAATGGCTCCGCAACTCCAGAATGTTCTTCCAGACAGCAAATATAGGCAGTATCTGCTCAGCAACTGCAACTTTCATCCTTTCCCCGCCCACATCTTGGTCGAACCCACTTTCGTTTTAATTATCCAGTCGCTCTCTATTATCGACCATGAAATACTCTGCTATTCTCGCTTCTGCCGTTACTCTTGCCAGTAGCATCCTTGTTGCTGCTGCACCGACGTCGCCGTTGTCCGTCCACTCCCAATGGAAAAGACTCACCTTCGTCGTCATGGAGGTATGTACAAGACCTGAATATTCAAGTCTGATACCCTTGCATAGCCGCCGAAGAGATCATTGGAGACCTGATGGAACGTACCCCATGCGGCAGAATCTTTGTTCAGTCGTCTGGCTCCTATTCAGGCTACGTCCAGGGTACTCGTGACGACAGTGGACGATACTTTGTCAGTCCAGACCTAGACAGCGCGCTCAAAGTCAAGTTTCAGGACCAGACCATCATTCTCGATGTATGCACTTTGTTTCCTTTTTACTCTCGTTTACTCACGCATACACCCAGCACGAGTTTCAAAACGGTTTCCCCCGGCTCGGTGCGACCTTTGGGCTCGTTGTGGATTCGGCAGTGGGCCAAGACAATATGGCTGGCAATAGCTTCAAGTATGTTTACACTTGTATCATGGCCTGACAATGACACGTACTAGCTATGCCTACATCTCTGCCACTGGAGAATTGCACAAGGCAGGCGATCCGGCCACTACCGACTCGAGCTCGTTCAATACTGCTTTCGGAACAAATCAACACGTCGGTGCGTCTCAATCTCTTCCCGTTGGTGTGAAAATTTCCGTCTCACCGTTGTACAGAGTCTGCCATTTTTACGCTCGGCGACAATGGAGAGATTCTCGCGAGTTGGACCAATACGAACGGACAGACATTGCCGGTTCAGTTTGCGATGAGCTTGAACCGCCAGCTCGTCATCTCTGCCAACTCGGGAGCGTACAGTGCAAGGTTTGGCGGTGAAAGTGCGCCCTCTGCGCGTCTGTTCTGTCGGGCAAACGACCACCCGTAGGAGCATGTACGTGTAGAAAGATGACGATTGCTAATGGACTAGTTGATACACGTCGCCGGACCGGAGATTTCCGTGGTATATGATAGGTTTGAACGCCGACGATGACGATCGAGGGCGCTAATTTTAAGCGAGAACGTGCGTATATTCTCGTCGGTGATTGATAGGGCCATGCTCGGGGGCTTAAGAGAGTAGGGCATTGTGAATGTGAGAGACATTTGATTAAGGGATGTCACGTCAAGATGTGTATCGTCTTTTGATAGCCTTCCAGACACGCTTGGCTTCTGGATTGTGCTTGACAAAGGCGTCCATGTCCTGTTCCACGATGCGGTTGAGGTCGATCGACTCCCAATAGCCAGAGAGAATGAAGAGGATATCATGTGCGTCGCAGGGATCTCGTCGACTAGACGGTTTCCTTAGCTGGCGAGAATAGTCTAAGATAAGGTACTTGCCTGTTCCATATCCTCAGCTTTGCGCGCACAAATTCCGTGACGGAAAGAAACGGAACGACGGCGGAGCCCCTATCGCCGACAGAGATGCCCATTATGGTCGACCTATCGAGATTTCGGGGACCCTCTTCGCCAGCGGGTACAATCTCGATCTACGTGTCGTGAGTAAAGGAGGAGTGGCTGCTCGGGTAGCGGCATTACCTGCACTGGAGGGATCGTCTCGTTGTATAAAATATACAATCTGTTCATGAGCCATTTCATTCACGAGATTATCAACGCATACCTCGAACTCCACGGGGCGAGTTGGACGGAGAAGAGGTCACTGCCGGCACACGCCTGGCGAACGGACTTGAAGCCTGGAGCAACGCAAAATATCTCCTAGTGGCTCCTATTAGCTTGAAATGGCTCCGAACAGATGCCGTGGACGCGCCTCTGTTTCTCGAGGGGATCCGAGGGCGACGGTCAGAATCCCGCCGGAGAAAGCGTGACTAATGTTGTGGGCATGCAGAAGAGTTGAGAGATCCAGACAGGCTCTTAGGCATTGCTCAGACCGGCTCATGACGAGACCATCAATTCCCTGGCGTTTGGAGGGGAAACCAAAGTGGGCGAAAAAGGAGCAGAACCCGGGGGCTTATCAATGCTGGTCATCATGTCCCGTGACATACCCACATAATCTGCCACCAAACTGGGCCCCGGCCTCTATTTCTCGTTCGGCAATTATCAACTTATAGCTCGCCATGTCCGTGGCCAGACTGCGACTTGGTCTCTGCCTCCACACGAGATCATTTACATCATCAGCACCTTGCTTGTTCTACCATTCAACCCAAAACAAATGGATCGGTCGCTGGAATTACCTCCGGCGACGGCGCGAAGACGCAAATGACGAGGATTCTGCAGCACGCGAAAATGAAGAAGAGGCTGCAAAATCGGCAATACTCGAAAAGTCTTTTGAAAGTAGACAGCCAACAGACCTCATGCTCCGATGTACATGTCTGCTATCCGTTTTTGAACACTCTTACTGACTCTGTATAGGCACCGTCCTCGACTCTGCAGGTACATGGCATCCCCTTTGAACACGTCTCGATACTTATCACCCACAGGAGTCGTCAAGACGATCAGCGGCAGCTTTAAAAAATCAGACCTTGCGTCAGAACACAAACTCAACGTTTGTATCCTAATCTCTGTGATCCAGTAGACTGACGTTGCTACAGCCTCGAGACCTACGCAAGATAGATTCCCGCATTCCAAACCTCGTCCCGACAATTCTCGTCCGCAAAGAGGCCTTTCTCGTACGTATCATCCAATTCTTGCATCTCACGCTCTATAACCCATCTAGGTCAACATTCTCCACATCCGTGCACTCATCAAAGCCGACACGGTGCTCTTGTTCGACACGTACGGCAGCGCCGACTCGCGACTTCACTCCATGTTCCTCTACCACCTCGAACACAACCTCAAAAAGGCACCCTCCAATTCGTCCTCCTCTAGTAGCAGTACATCAATGCCCTATGAATTCCGCGCACTAGAATCCGTCCTCCTCTCCGTCCTCTCGGCACTCGAATCCGAAATGGTCTTTACACGACACCTCGTCGGAGGATTGCTCGCCGAACTCGAAGACGACATTGACAGGGACAAGTTTAAACGCCTCTTGCATTACTCGCGTCGGCTCAGCAACTTTCAGAATAGAGCAAAGCTCGTCCAGGCTGCCATTGACGAAGTGCTCGAGCAAGACGAGGACATGGATGCCATGTACCTTTCCGATAAGAAAAAGGGTATCATCAAAGAGGAGCCAGACCACGAAGAGCTCGAGGTCTTGTTAGAGTCGTTTTCAAAGCAAGTGGAAGAAATCGTCAACGAGTCCGAAACAACCATGGTGCGTCCGTTTCTTTCTTTTTTTTTTTCTCGAGGGACTATTGCTGACGAGCGGGGGTAATAGGCAAACATTTCATCCACACAGGAAATCGTCGAACTCATCCTAGACGCAAACAGAAACAACCTCCTCGCCCTCGATCTCAAAGTCTCTATAGCCACAATGGGTCTCGGTGCAGGCGCCCTCTTTGCGGGTCTCTTTGGCATGAACGTACGTTTCCTTGCATCACACACTTTTCCTCCGTTGCCTAAGCCCACTTCAGTTGAGAAACGAAATGGAGGAAAGCGTATTGGCGTTTGGCACCGCGTCCTCGATAGCCGTCGGACTCGCCATCGTCCTGGCTTGGGCGGGTATGCGAAAGTACGTGCGAGTTCTTTTGTCTGCGAATACTAAACCTGAGGCATCTAGATTGGATCGAATACGTCGTGTTGGGCTCAGCATGAACCACAGCAAACGAGCAGACCGCATCTCCGTACCCATTCGCACCTCGCTCTCCAGACGAGAACCACCACTATGACCGGACATCTATCACTATCTTTTTATGCACGCTAACTTATCCCACAATATCGTAAATATGTCGAGTAGAGAATATACTGGAATCGATAAAAGTCCACAAAGCATACATCTTTTCGAGTTTGGGCGAAATCCGATTCCACAGCGGCTACAAACAGCTGTCATTACCTATGTGACCTACAACGGCGGGGACGTGGATGGGGTGTGTGATGGAACAGAATCAGAGGAAAACGAGGAACAGAGGAGTGTCATGTCACTAGACAGCAGCGCGCAGCACTGCAGGAATCGCGACCGAGGGGGGGTTTCGATCATACTTTCATGATCGTAATCCAGATACGGACAGGGAAGTGGAGATAATACACGACGGAGAGAGGTAGCGCAAGGCGGGTAAACGTCAAAGGCTACCCAGCAGAAAAGAGGAAATGGGGACTAATCTCGTGGCGGTGGCGGCATGTCCGGTATGAGATAATGCACAGTCGAACCTTCATTCTGACCGGCAAGACCAATGTTTCGGTTCGCCATGGGGGCATGCAACCAGTTTGTCGACGAAGACTCGACAGAACTTGCGAGTGCGTTTGAATGAGACGTCGCGCTCGAGGACAAATCTCCTCGTGAGCTACCCGGGCGAGAATAATTAGCTGGCGGTTGCAACGAGGTCGGAGACGACTTGTTTGGCTTTGTCAGTTCAAACTCGTCATCGTATTGTGGTACGGGCTTGCGAGAGGGCCGTCCAATGCTCGCGTTTGCAGATGCATTACGCGCTATCGTGCTCGGTTGAGAGGCAATCGGTGTGGCGGGAGGTATCGGGCTCGGGCTGGGGGCGGCAACTTCAGAGACACGAGAGGGAGAACGGGCAGTAGAAGGAACGGAAAGAGCAGACATGCGCTTGCCATGCGCGATGAATGCAGCGTCCGAGAATGGATCATCTCCGCCGCCCGAGGTGGCAGTTGTTGTCGATAAGACGGGAGCTGCAGGAGCAGGAACCATGTTTCGGGCATGTTTATCAGAGCCGCCCTTTTGACGCAAGACGTTGCTCAACGCGTCTGACGAGTACCGGCGCGTGGATTTAGTTTGAGCCAAGGTTGGCATTTCTGCCAACAGATCGGCATCGACCGGGAACCCATCCTTGTGACCCTTTTCACCGTCTTCTTCCGTCGTCATTGTCATAGCGCGCCCGGTCGATTGAGACCGCCTTCGGTACGCGTATGGCGACTCGGCCGGAACAACCACAGGAATCTCTCCCTGTAGCTTGTCAATCGACGATAGGCCACCCCAAGTGCGATTGTGGGCTTTGCCGGCAATTGTTCGCGGAGTTGCATTCTTCGCAATCACTTGCCGACGTCTCCTGCAGATCAGCAGGGACATCAAAAGGCCCAGAGCTGCGCATCCCGCCAACGTGCCGCCAACAATAGGACCAATCTTTGATGGCTTCGGGGCGTTGGCTATAACCGCAGTTTCTGACGGGGTGGACGAATCGGTGGAAGACGCCGGAGGAAGGTCTGAAATGGATGGCGTGCTGGAGAGAGTATTCGAAGTCGCTTGGCTCAAACAACTGGTATTCTGGACCGTCAAAAGGAAGGGTTGACTTTTTCGAACAAGGATAGTTGGGTCTCCTTCCGAAGGATCGGAATCTGTCGTGGCCGTGATCACGTAAAAGCCAGGATCGTTGAGCCAGACAGGATTCCAGTGGAATGTGCCTTTGGATACTTGCTGCTGGGCTATCAAGTTCTGAGTGCTGTGTGGGTTATACACATGGCCCGTCGAGTTGTCAACCTGATCGACCCCGAGGTTGCTGTAGAACAGCGTGAGGACGGCAGAGTCGGCTGCAGCAGTCTCGTTCTCTACGCTCCATAATATGTCCATGGCGTCACACGAAGATACCTGAGAGGTGGACACACTGATGGACAGCGTCGCAGTCGGGTTGGGTGAGCCCACCACGATTGTGGGGGCAGGTCCCTCGGTCAAGGTCGGCGACTGGGCCATCACGATGGACGCAGCGAGCAGCAGCTGAGCGAAAATATACATCTAAAGGGCGAACACTGTTAGCTCTCGCTGTCTTTTAGCTGGAAGAAGAGCGGGGCTCAAGGGTGGGAGCTTAGCACAAGGTGGGCTACATTGCAGCCATACGACGGCAGAAAATGAGATGAAACCGCGGCTAAAACGGCATGTATGTGGTATGGCTTCGCTCGCACCGGCCATCGGGCGCGGAGCAACACCCTCGCCGCAGCAGGAATAGGAGATGAAAATTCTAGATAAATTACCCACCATGATTCAAGTAGTAAAACGAATGAGAATGTTGCTCTGCGTTGAGTCTAACCGCTCGGAAATACGTGCTGACGAGCTCCCTGGGCGCGACCGGCAATCACCAAAGGCGACGAGCTGAAGAAAAGAGGCCCGACAACCCTCAAGGAGTGTTTTAAGGAGATTTACAGACGATGCCGGCGAGCTGAGCGACCGCTGGGCGAGGGCCGCGATATGACCAGGTCCAAGCTTGGATCTCGAGGGAATCGAGCGCCCAACTGGTCCAAATGGCCCAAATGGCCGCTGCCCTCCACGACGGAAAATTACAGGAACCGTCGGGCTCGGCCCATTCATGTTTTATTATCAGGACAGGGTCTATTAATGCTGGCAGTATTGGATACAATCGTCCGAGGATGCGGCAAGGCAAGATACAGAAGCAGCAGCTCAGCTGAATAGCTTGCTGACGGACGTATTGGCATCTTGATTCCTTTTGAGAACCTGCGGGGAGAAACTCGTCAGTATACCAAGCTGCCGACATATGGCCGCAGCCGTGGACAGGTCGGGTCGCCATCGACACACGACGTAGGACGCAAGATTACCCACCTTCGCAATAGCAAACTCGAAATCCTCCTGCGTGACATGCTGCCGACGTTCACGCAACGCGTACATTCCTATGAAGAATCTGTGAATCCAGAGGCAAAAGTTATACACATGCCACTCACCAGCTTCGGTACATATGCCTCGTACTTCAGCCCCAGAGCATTGACCCATCTTCTCCGCAAGTGCGCGCAGGTTGATTCCCCGTTGAAGAGACATCTAATAATCAAAATGAGCGGACCGGCAAAAAAGTGGCAGAAACGACAAACCTTTCGTGAATGAATCCTGAGAATGCTCACTCTCGCTTCCGGTCCCGGAGGTGGGAATTCAATTTTGCGATCAATACGACCTGGCCGTAGCAACGCGGAATCCAAAATATCTACCAGTTCCGTGAATGAAGGTCCATTTTCATATAAATAAAAGCATACCTATTCGGTTGGTAGCCATAATGACCTATGCATAGGGTGAGAATGATACAAACGGCGAAAAGATACTGCACACCTTGATATTTTTGGTGGCCTCGAACCCGTCTAGCTGGTTCAAAAGCTCCAGCATTGTACGTTGAACTTCACTGTCACCATTAGAGCCTCCACCTTCTCCTCGCGAGCTGCCGATAGAGTCGATTTCGTCCATAAAGATGATACTGGGCGCATGCTCTCGAGCCATGACGAAAAGCTCTCTGACCATCCTACTACCCTCTCCAATGTACTTTTGTACGAGCTCACTTCCGCTGACCCTAATGAAGCGGCAATCTGTGTGATGGGCAACAGCTCGGGCCAACAGCGTCTTTCCCGTTCCTGGTGGTCCGTAGAGAAGTACACCCTTGGGTTGCGCGATACCAAGAGACTCGAAGAGTTCGGGATGCTTGACGGGAAGCTCGATGACCTCTTTAATCTCCTTGATCTGCTTGTCCAAACCGCCGACCATTTCATAGGTAGAGTCTGGTACCTTTTCCACCATCATCAAGGATACGAGAGGATCAACCTTGTTTGGTAAAATTTTGTGCAAGAGATAGTTGTCGGACCGAAGAGCGACACGAAGATTCGGGGTAAGCTTGTTGACATCAATGTCTGGGTCAAGGTCGACGACTACGTCTCGTTAGTACGGTTCACGAAAATAGGCAAATACGTACTATATTTGCCCTCTGGCTGGACTTTTACCAAGACCTTGGTCTTGCCCATGGCTTTGACGACTTCTCCCACATAACTACCGGGTTCCATGAGTAGCTGTAGCTCCTCTCGAAGCAGTCGAACTATACATATGAACCCGAATCAGCAAAGCCTCTAGCGTCTGCCCTTGAAAGCTGACCTCGAGCGTTGAGCGCATTCCGCTGAGCTTCCAGACGACGTAGATTTTGTGTCCTCTCATTGATAGTGAGCTCTGCAGCCTCAATTTTCGCCTGGTAGTACGCCTTGATACCACCTGGGTACGAGGTTCCGGATACGGTGGCCGCGGGCATGATGACAGGGTTAATCTCCTTGATTACTTCTGTATTTGACAGATCCAAGTCGCTCAACGAATTTCCAGGTGACCCACTATCCACAGGCGACAGAGTTGGAGACGAAGTTGCAGATAGGTGACGCGTCGCGCTCTCGTCCTTTTCGTCCTCGCCTGTCGCTGCTGCAGAAATTGTATCTATAGTACGTGTTGGGGATATATGCAACGCGTAAATGACCGTCATAAACGCGGCCAAAATCCGCTCCGTTAGACCGAGGAGAAGTCTCCGCATGTCGAGCAGAATGCCAGATATTGTTCTGTCTGATGAAGCAGAAGACGCTGTAAACTCTACCTCTTGGATAATCTGCGCCTCTTTCGTGGTCATTCTCAAGTTATAACGGACCGAAAAGGCACAATGGGACACGTCCAATCGTCCTCACAGAGGTCGAATATTTGGGGCAGTATGGGTTCATATTTCAACAATTTGGCTACAAATATGCCGTTCGCGCGGCCAACCAGCGACCACGAGGACGAGGTCCGATGCCCATGCCTCTGGCTATGCTTGCCCATTGCCAACCGTTACCTCAGCGCATCCGAGGCATCTTCTTTCAACTTTCCTAGCATTTTTTCCACCTCGCCTTTCTGAATGCCAAGGTCCATGAGAACCTCCGAGACGTACTCGTTGGCTTTTTCCGCAAGCAAGTGCCATGATGCACGCTCTTCTTCCGAGGAGAATCTCTCCAGTACACAGAGTACCAGTAGAGTCATCCAGACAGTCTCCCTCTCTGGTCCAGTCAGCACCTCGAGTGTGTTAGGGGTTGAGGGAATGGCTTTTCGAGATAGAAGCAGTTGTATAGTTACAGGATCACTCTTGAATGACCCGTCAAACTCTTGAGATCGCGCAATAGTCGCGATAGTGAGGGGAGCTGGCATCGGCGCAGGTGGGACCTTTATATGTTCAACACCTCTCGTTGTAGATGCCAAGCCTTTCGATTGAACCATCGGCGAGGAAATTGAAGCTGGGGCCGGAGAGGCTAAGACATTTGAACTCCTGGATGTCGGTTGGAACACAGGCGGGGATATTGGGGCCCCAGGCGGTGGTGGCATTGAGGAACCTAGGTTCGGTACCGAAGACAACGAAGGTGCCAGCATCCTAGGTAAGGACATTTGGTCATCGTAGCTGGTCGGGCCATAAGACGCGACGGGCTCGTCATCGTCAAACAGGCCGAAACCCATATCATTGTCCGATTCTTCCATCTCATACTCCTCAGACACCTCGGAAGCCATAGTCACAGACTCGTAGTCGATAAAGATTGTGTCATCCACACGTTCCTGCTGCAAATTTCCGTCCGAAGCGGAGTCCAAGGTCGTAAGAGTTGTATCCTCGGAGACGGCAATAAACGAAGTGGCAGAAGTTGCGAGAGAGTATTTGACCCCGAGCCGAACGACCTCGTCTCGAGTATCGGCTATGGTCTCTTTGTCCTCGAGCTCTTCAATGATCGCTCTTGCGGCAAGAGTGTGGATAAAATCGTTGCGGAGTGCGTTCGAGGCATGGGCCTCTGTGATCTGAACTAGCACCTCCAGGGCAACATCTTGACCGAGGATATCCCCCTTGAGCCTGATGTGCGAAATAGACGGCTCGGTCGAACCTCGAGGAGTAATGGCAAAGACGCTGCATCGGAATCCCGGATACATGGGCACGCTGAGCTTGTCAAGGCTGGGTGCCTGCATGATTCGAGAGGTCTCGCCTTCGGAAGTGCTCTTTCCATCGATGAGCTCAAAGTGTTCTTCACGACCCCAATCGATGGAAATGTTGTCCAAGACGCCACCGCGTGCAGCTCGAAGCAAATTGACGAGCTTGGCATCAGGTTTTTCGTTTGACTGGGGAATAAACACGATTAGAATAACCCCTCCCCGAACAAAGCACGTACCCCGACAAAGACTGCAACACCTAGACCGGCACGAGCCATGGCCTCGCAGGTACTGACAGCCACACTATCGCCTACCCCTAGGACAAATGTTCTCAAGAGATGGCCCTCTTTGCGTGACTGATCTGTCGCTGCCTTAACTGTACTAGTGACACCTCGTAGATCCCAAGAGTCGCCTATTGCTTGTCAGAGTATGTCCTAGGTTTGGATTGCCATTCGTACCATCAGTCAGGACAAACACCGCAGTCGAAGGTGGGTGATCTGGGTGGGAACGAGACTTGCTCCCATACGCTGCTCGCAGCGCGCTTTGAAGCTCCGTACCCCCAAAGTCGGCACTGAAACCTTCGACCGCTGCGCTAGCCTCTGCTACACTTTCAGAGCTGTACTCTCGAGAGTTGTCCCAAAGCTTTTTGTGACTGCTTCCAAACGAGATGATATTAAAAGTCGTTTTCTTTCTCGGCAGAGATCGTAGCATGATCTGTAGTGCATTCTTGACAGACTCGATGCGGCTTCCTTCCATGCTCCCACTCCGGTCAACGAGAAATGTATATTCTGTGTGATGTGAGTCGAGAGAATACTTGTACGGCAGGGCTCACCTTGACTTTGAACCGACGGTAGATCAAACTTGGGCACCAATGTAAGCGCAAAGGCATTTGTTTCCTCGCTTTTCCGCTCCAGGGTGCAGCGAGGACGGTCCAGATTCTGAACAGCGATTACGACGACAATGTCTTGCTTCAATGTCGTCGAATCATTAAAGGAGACGGTGGCGACGTTGGGTGTCGTACCATTGGACCCTCCTAGCGAGACCGAGAGAGGGTGTGTCGGTGAGCTGATTGCAGTGATAGGGGCCGTCATTTGGATGTCTACCGTGAGCGCGAATGTATTCTCTGAATTATATCCAGGAATGTCGACAGGTAGCTCGCCATATCGCTCGGCAATTGTTGTCGGAATGGTAAGGCGAAGATCATTGGGAGACTCTCCGTTACTCGGGATGATGGATATGAACGAGATGCTGTTCCTTGTCAGCAAGGCTTCCAGAATGGGCTCGAGAATCTCACTGCACTGCTACACGTTGGGAAGGTTTGATATTGCCCAGAGACACGCGGAATACTGGACTGTTGTCAGAAGAGCTCGAGACTCGTAGATATCGTACCATCTGCATGAGCTTTCTCGAGCAAACCTGCAGTCCTTCCTTGAGAGACGGCCTTTTGATACTCTTGCTTGGCTTGCTCCTTTTCTTTTACGACTCCATTGATGACCTTGGTACCGTCGATGATCGCCTTGAAACCACAGACTGCTGCTGAGGGAGGGAGCGGAAAGACGTAGGCAATGTCAAGGACCGGGTTGGAATCTGCAGAGTAGTACTCTTGGACGAGCTCGGCGCTGGTATACACGTCGGCGACGCGATAGGTGCAGGTCGCTTTTACGAGCGGATAGTTTGCAAGCGCATCCTTCAGGACGGGGATCAAGCCACAGATGACCTTGGAGCTCATGGCAATGGTTTGTCAAGTCTTGAAGCTGTGTAGAGGATGTGTGTCAGTGACTTTATAGCCAGGTTTGAGGGCACTGACTTGGAGGTGTGCGTCTCTTGGTGCGCTTCCGAAAGGCGCCTTCTGTTGATCAGATAAGCATACTTGCTCCTGTCAAGAAAGGCAATTCGGACATTAGGACAATTCCAGGAAATTAGGTACCTTATTGAAGCCCGTTGAATGAAAACGGGATTGCTGTCGAAACGTGCAGAGGAGGCGGCATTTGCTTGTCGTGTTCAAAGATCAAATCCCGGCTGTTGCCCATTACATAGTCCAGCCTCTCTGTGAGCCATCACCGAAACAGGCCGCAGTGCTGGTTGAATGCAGAGCTTTAGTCTTGACGCAACTTGATCCCCTCCCAGATTCTCCAAAGGACCAGCAGCTTATAGATGAACAACTGGGACAGCGACGATGAGCTCGGAGAAGACGGTCTGGGCATTCTAGCGCTCTCTATGCTCCCAACAATACCTGGAGCAGTCGTGAGGACATCTGCCACCCTGACATGGAGAGTTACGTGGGCCAGCATTTCTGGGAGTATCAGAAGTCCTGCTTTTACGTGCCCAGAAGTCCCTACAAAATGGTGAGTTAATTCGAATGCTGACGGGAAGAAGACGGGTTGACCTACGGGCAGGCGGCTTGTGCTCTATCCCCGCAATGGGCCCGGTTCTACATCAACAGACTCGGTGTCCATCTTCGTCGATAGAGGAGATTATGGAAAGACGACTAGTCTCCCTGCCTTGTGCGTCCAGTTTTGCATCGTCGTCTCACAGCCGGGGAACCCCTTCAACTTTATTGGTCAAGACATGGCAAAGCGAATGGAATCAGGAGAATTATTATGTGGGTTCACTCGATTCTGTTCAGAGGATCAAATCGTCGACTCGCCCTACGCCGGTGGCCAACCGATCCTCAGCCGTGGGGATGTCGACATTACAGTGGTATTACGCATCATGTACGACCTCAGGGGTAACCTATGGTCAAAGTGAGCTTTTCAATAGTCGCATCATCCCTAACTAAACCACTGTCTAGTGGTGTCCCGGCAGCGCTCACGAAGGAGGCAGAGATCATCGAGCAGCAGAAGCAACAACCAGCTCCTAACCCGACACCTTCTACCTCTCACGCCACGTCTCCTAGGGCATCAACATCCCGTGGCACGTCCTCTCCAGTAGCATCCACCTCTCGGGCCGCGGAACAGAAAACACAAGTCGTCGAGCCAGAAACACCGAAGCCAAAGCCGTTGCCTCCTTCTAGAGCGGCCTATCCAGGTGAAGAGTGCATGATATGCGCCGACGAGCCTCTCCTTTTCCCCACCAAACCGCCAACGTCTTTATGCACTCACGAGGCACGCATATGCCTACCATGCCTTCAGAACCACATATCTAATGAGATGAGTACCAAAGGAGCCGTAAGGGCAATCGTGTGCCCTGCGCCAGAATGTATCATGTTGATGGATTACGACGACCTCCGGTACTGGGCAGACGAGAATACCTTTAGGAAGTATGATCGAATGCTTGCAAGAATGGCACTTGGCGTCGAAGAAAATTTCGTCCTATGCACCAATGCCGCTTGCGACGCGGGTCAGATTCATTCGGAAGGCGGTACGTTTCTGCACTACTGTGCGTCAATCAAACCAACGCATCAACAGCGAATGCTCCAATCGTGACTTGCTACGTCTGTCATCATAAAACCTGTTTCTTGCACCAGGTATGTGACCCATCTCCGGTGTTCTGATGTTAACAAAATATAGGTGGCGTGGCACGAAGGTCTATCATGCGAAGAATACGACGAAGAGCAAAGGATAAAAATGGGTATGGCAACTACGAAGGAGTATCTGAAGAGGTTTACCAAAGCCTGTCCCAACTGCAAAAAGCCGGTGGGTCGGACCCTCTACCTGTTTTGACGCCATTGACGCATTTCAAAGCTGGAAAAGAGTGAAGGCTGTGATGCAATGTTTTGCAAACCACCAGCGGGCTGCGGGCATAGATTGTGAGTTCCAAACTATCATCATCCTCTCATTCATTCGGAACACAGTTGCTGGCTATGCTTAGCTCCATACGATATTATATTACGAGACGGGAATCACCGCCACTATTCGAGCTGCAAGTACTATGCTCCCTTTGGCAACGAAGTCCCTCCTTCGCGTGCAGCCTCCCCACCTCCGGCTCCAGCAAGCGACGTCGAGGATGCAGCGCAAGACGCCGCAGAGGATCCACCGGATGATTCATTCTATGATACTCCGGATTTCGACTTTACTCCTGCCCCATCAGTCATGCTATCAGCGCCAACAACCTCTACCTGGGCTGGAACAAGCGCCACGCTTGCATACACCCCCAGAAAGGGACATGTCGCGTCTCCTAGCTATGCAAGCTACTCGACAAATGCCAAGAAGGGGAAGAAGTGGTATCATTTCTGGAAAGAAACATGACCTTTGGGGTGGCCTGGCCTGTTCCCTACTCGGCGACAGGCGAGGCTTTCATTAGGACATTTGGACGTTGTATTCTATGTACCTAGAAACGTATAAGCACACTTTCGCCTTGGTAGCCGCGAGTCTGCTGGCTGCGGGGAGGCGCCCCTATAGACTTCCGGTAACTCTGGCGTTCACCGCGTTGACCAGCCGCGATGGGCGAGCTAGCTGAAGGCTATTCACGGCCCACATGACTATAACGGCCCCTTGGCAATGACAATATTTGTATATTCCTTCTTGGACCTCCCCCACGCGTACAGTTCCCATGGATGAGAATCAAAAACTAAAGGGTCGAAAACAACAAGATGGTCTGAGTCCCTTGAGAAAATTTAAACGAAGGTGAGCCCGTCGTGGCCGCGCGCCTCTGTAAACCTCAACGAACGACCTAGGGAACGAGGCGAATGGAACATTCTGCACGGAAGCATTAGGATGAACTCGGTGTCTCTGGACGAATTTGATAGATGGCATCGTCCGGAAGCCTCGACTTCGACTTCAGCGGTGCAAGTGGCAGTAATGGCTGCGGACCAATCACAGCCAGCAGACGTCTTTGTGGGATTGCAATCTGTTCAAGAGGATGTGACAAGGAGGGAGTGTACCGTGTGCCGAGAGAGCGATTTGGATGTGGCATTTGGCTCTAGCCCTCCAACCGACAGATGCCTGCATCAGCCAGAAGTCTGTATGGACTGTCTCTCACAGACACTCAGGACAGCCATCATGGGCGAGGGAAATGTCAAGACTCTGAGATGCCCGAGCGCGGAATGTAAGGAGCTCTTGGAGTACGATGAGGTTTACCGTTGGGCGGATCTGGCTACCCTTGAACGGTCGGTTGATAACCCGAGTGTAGGCACTTGCTGATTACCGCTCAGATACGAGGAGCTACTCACTCAGGCCATGCTACGAGAAGAGGCGGGGTATGTGACTTGCATCGATCCAGCCTGTGGCGCGAGTCAAGTCCACGGAGGAGAGAGTAATGCATATTCTCTCTGGAGATGATCACCTGGCTGACTATCATTAGACATCTTCCCTATCGTGACCTGCTGGAAATGTGGAAAGCGCTCATGCTGGAAACATCGCGTTCCATGGGAAGACCACGAAGGATTCAACTGCCGGGAGTGGGACACCAAAGACGAGCGCCGAGCTCAAGCAGAAGAACTCTCCCGCGAATGGGTCCAGGAACAAACAAAGCGATGCCCCGCACCTGGGTGCAATCGCCCTATTAAAAAGGAGGAAGGTGTGTGTTTATTTATAAACCTCGCTCGTCGCAATGCTAATAATCAGGTTGCGACCATATGACCTGCCGTCGTCCTGGTGGATGTGGCTTCGAGTTGTACGTCCTCACCTTCCAGGCTTTCTTTTGACCTTGGGCTGACCATAACGAAGTTGCTGGGTTTGCCTTGCTCCGTATGAGCCGATTAGGGAGTTTGGTTGCGAAAAGCACGAGCCGTTTTGTCGATACTATACGGGTGCTCCCCCGGCAATCATTGGTACCACTCGCGCTCGTCCTCGATGGCAATTTTGGAGGAGAGACTATGGTGCATAGACTTTGTTCAGAGAACGAGTTTTATATGGACGCTGCTTGCACTGTATTTGCAAGGTTGTTTATGTTCTAGTCTGAAGACTGTAACCTTCTTTTGTCAAATATCTACTTGTCTGCAGTAGGTGCATCCTCAAGCGGTGGCGGACCATCATCGCCGTCCGACGAGTCGTCATCCGCTTCGCCAGATCCTTCATCAGCCTTGCCTTCGCGATCCTTACGAATGTCGGCAAGCATCTGTCAAGTGTGTCAGTAGATTCATGGACACATACCACACCAACGTACCTTTTCAAAGTCGACGTTGTCGTAATTGCCAGCCATGCTACCACCGCCCATGCCTCCCATCCCAGGAAGACCGCCCATTCCACCCATTCCACCCATTCCATTCCGCCCATTCCTGGCATGCCTCCCATTCCACCCATACCGCCCATGCCACCCATCGGGTCAAAGTCGTCCTCCTCGACGGGTTTAGCCTCATCCTGTTCATCTTCATCGACCCATTTGCTGAAATTGGTCTTTACAAACTGAAGTCTTGGGCCCTTGTAGAGTTTTGTCCAGTACTCAGCCTTGTGCTCCTTCTTGCGGAGAACGAGATCGAGCGCGCGCAAGTTTAGTCTTCGGGAGGATTCCTGTAGGTATTATATCTAAGAAGCTTGCTGCCAAACAGTGGACAAAACGTACGGCAGGATCAATCTCTTCGAAGAATTCGATGGAGAACGCATAATCCTTCTCCTCCAAACCTTTACTAGCACTAGAGAGGATGTCAGTATGAATAGATGGCTGATCTAGACGAATCTTACTTTCCCGCTTTTGCTTTAAAGTCGAGTGTAGTCGATGTGAGTTCGCATTTCAAGGTCGATTCGATAATGTCTGGTAGATTGATGGTAAGATATATGACGTTCTATCGAGTAGTTTGTCAGTAAAATGACTCTTTTCAAGCAGACAACGCCTGTGGCGAGACTCTCGGGGACCATCTCCTCCATCGACGCGCGTTCGCACCTTTTTAGGATCGGATGCGCTACTCCTTTGCGCCCATAGAACCTCTGGATGTGTCGACATGATACTGGGAGTGATTTGAGAAAGCGTGACGCGCGATGGAATGTCGCGGAAACCAAGTTTGAAGTGGCGCTCGGTCAACTCGCGGGACCATTGTCCACGTTCATTTACGTGGATTAAGACGGGTTCTAATGTTTGGCAACGGTTGCAAGAGTTCTCACTAGACAGTGGAGGGATCTTGCAAGAGGTTTCTCTTTAACGCACATATGATCTAGTTGAACTATATAATGATGTAAGAAACGCGTTTGGAGACTCATCAAAACTTGGTGACAGTGGTCAAATACCGTTTGGTTTCGACCATGTCGCTCGTCGCGCTGCAGCAGTTGTGCGCGCGTGTACAAGCCCAAAGTGTATCAAAATCAGCACTAAGGACATTTACATACTGTACAAATACCAGAAATGGCATCTGCAGGGCTCGACTCCCATATTCAAACTCCTCTCGACATCTTCATGCGTCCGTGCCACGTCCAGCAAACATGGAAAAGATCAAAGCGAGACAAAAAGCATATGTGGAATCGGTTGGGGAGAGACAAAGGCTCCTCGGTACCTCCAAGGGCCGACGGTCATTGGACTCAAAATTGTCGTACAAGCAATGCAAGAGATGGGCGAGCCGATGCATGGACAGTATGTTTATATTCACTCAACGAGCTTCTGTAATAAGAAACGTGCTAAGGTTGCGTTAGCGATATTTTCAACTACATTCATAACAACGGACTCGGGAAAGAGTTCAGAATACCTCCAGCGAGGCCGCTACCGTCAAACATGGGACGAGGTAGTCTCTTCAAATCCCAGCCACCTGAACCAAGTCATCCTGAGCATCCCGTGCGTTCACACAGGTCGGTAGACTCCCTTGCTCGGGGAGAAACGTCGTTAACTTGGGGGTAGATATATGAAGACTGTCCTTCTCAATGAATTGGAAGTTCATGGGCGTGTACGAAAGGTTCACATTGAAACCGACATTGATCCCGCGAACCCACCAGATCCAAACAGGACGCACATTAAAGGCAACAAGGTGGTTCTGCTTGTCATTTCTTCGATCATCCTGACATTATTGATAGATTCATGAATGGAGATGGGAGTTGGTAGCTCCAAATGATGGTCAGATTCCCTGGGAGGAGCAAGAGAACATTGAAATGCGCAAGGCCGACAGACTATGGCTGGAGAGCATGAAGCGGCTTCAAGGCAACCAAGATTCTGCAGAGATGTTCGCCACAAGTATCGGAGGCTCTCAAACGCAAGAACCAGGCTTTGCACACACCTCCAAGAGCGGTACAGCGAACGGGGAGCTCTTCGGATGGGAAGGCGGGGAAGATCTGACCAAGCGAACTAGGAAGATATTGGGTACGGATTCAGAACAAGTCGCTGACTTGAGGTATGGAAACCGCCTCGCGGCACGGTGGCGTGAGATAACGACGCGGGGGCCCAACTTTCCACGACGTGGGGAAGCGAAAGGCGACTCTAGGTCGTACTGGAAGGACCCCGACGAGTCACAGAGACGGGAAGAGCATAGAATGATGTTCAACACCAAACCATTCATGTTGAACTACAATCCAGAATTGTTCAAGGATGGAGCACGGCCAGGATTTAACAAGGACGAGCCAGCATATCGCCAAAGTCGACAAGGCAAGAACGACATTCCTATTGCACTGCGCGATCCGCGGGCACGTCTATCTGGATTCAACTATGGATTACCCAAGCAGAAGCGCCTTCTCGCGGCGGCGAATGCAAGAGGCTATGATCAACCAGAGTGGACAGGTTTGTCTTCTACTTTGGACCGTACTCACTTGTGTTGACTGTTGTAATATAGATCAACCACCACGAGACATCACTCATCTCTCGCGACGGCGCCAACGAACAAGACAAAAACAGACTCAGGAGATGGCCAAAGAGTTTGTCGCGCAGGATAGATACGAGCGTCGAATGGCAGCCCAGGCGGCAAGACTGCCCACCAAGAAATCGGCGACACTGGAAGAGTCTGCGACATAATGTGTTTTGCTCTACGTTATAATCGCACCGTTCGAGTACTTTATTCCGCATAAAACGTACAATTCATTGTTTCCTCACAAAACCATCGCTTGTTTCAATACGGACATTGGATCATGGAGCCTCTTTGTGAACCGTACCCAACTTTTGTTCGGCCTCTTCGACGTTGAGAATTCTCCCAGAGTCATCCATGCGTGCAATCACTTCATCTTCCAGATCAGCTGTAATGATATAAGATGCAGCCCGTCTAGTGTTGTGGCGTACTCACTGTGGTTCTTGACTCGAAGATGAAGCATGGGCAAAGCGAAGACCAAACCAGCCGCGAGAAGTACCCAAGTCGAGATGAACAGGTTCATGTACGCTGATGACCATGTATCAGTACGCTCCCATACACGATGAGACACTGATACTTACGAACTTTCAGCCCATCGGCTCGCCAGGCAACGGCCCCTCCGGCGCTCTGTATGGATTTGTAGAGGCCAGTGAAGTAGGCGAGCTTGGCAGGATCGTTAGACATAGCCCCCATCATCCAGTAAACTAGCAGAGCTTAGTCCCAAGACACAGCATGGACGACTATTTCTTACTGGCTGTCTGCCACATCGAGTCCAAGAGCCCACAGAAGATGTAAAGCCAGACACGAGCAGGGTAGCCTTTATCGTGTATATTGATATGTTGGAAATCTTTGCCTCTGTCTGTTCGCGTGTATAGTCCCTGTGGACGTCAAGACAAAGTTTTGCAGAACACGGAAAACTCACTTCTGATAGAAGTATGCCCAGATGTGAACGACAAAGACCATGACCGTGAGTATCCCCCACCCAAGGAATGCTCGCATACGACGACTCATGTTCTTTGAATCCAAGAGGACGCCAATAATAACGGAACCCAAGATTTGAGAAAGCCAGTAAACGAAATTGTTTACCGAACGCGCACCAACTAGCCAATTGATGAACACTACCAGGGCAATCAGAATTTACCAAGCTTACTGTCGAACAATGCGGCGTTGTACGCTGAACAAGAATGAGAAGAGGTAGTAAATGAGAGGTATATGCTCACCGTTGAACTGCCAAGTATCTAACAACCAGTCAGTAGAAGCAAACGCCAGGTTCAGTATACGCACAAAACCAGTTCTAGATATATGTCAGTGACTATAGAAGAGTGACTAGAGGGAGACTCACAGAAGCCCAGAACATTGGCAGCCTGTAAACATGGCGTCGTTAGTAGCAGTTGCCCAGGTTCAGGTATTGCTCACAGCAAGACGATGAGAGGGTCCTTATAAAGGGCATAGAAGAGGCTCGTGAATTCCACCTTCCAAGATGGGTTTCGACTTATGGTGACCCTGGAACCGTCTGTGCGGTACATTTTGTCGGTAGGTACCATGAACAGAGGGATGATTGCTCCAATTAGGGTCAGGACCAAGAACCCGATGTATGTCGGGGTTCCGACTGCCGATGCTCTAGAGTTGATGTTCTGTCCAAGTGCCACTGCAGCGCCTACAACGGCACCTAGATTGAACAGACTCCAGCAGATGGAGATATATAGACCCTTTTGGGATTCCTGCGAGCCTTGAGGAAAGGGTCCAGGAGGTCAATTGGTACGAACCGTTGGTAGCGACAAAATGATGGCTCCATGAGCGGTCCAGATGAGACCGGCACAGATTCCGAGAATAGCTCCGGCGGTAATGACAAACGGCCCGGCATTTGAATGAATTTCCATTGCCCTATGAACAAAGTTAATGAGAAATGTACCGCAATTGGATGGGTCGTACAAGTAGCTCGCGATGTAAAGAGAATAGCCCAAGGAGCCAATGAAAAGGGTCAGACGGCTCCCAAGTTTATTGTTGATGGATCTAAGAACGGGTCACGCGGATGATACGAAGCGAATGCAAGGACGTACCCGGCAAAGAAGGCTGTGAACGCGAATGTCGCATACAGGGTGGAATTTGCATTTGCACTCGTTTGTGAATCGACTTGGCCACCAGCTCCAAGTCCTAAAGAAATTTAATAAAGCGCTAAACTTTGAAATGAAGCTGCATTTACCATTGAGCGCTGCAGAGGATCAATGAATTTGTCAGCCGTGTGCAAGTCTTACTTACCGTTGAACATCCCAGGTGTCCTCAAGAATGGTAAGTACAGTAAACATGCTCGTCAGTATCTGCTCACATGAAGAGGACGAGACCGAGCAAGACGACCTGGGTCAGAGGATGATAGTAGATTCTTGCGGCCCCAGTCCTCTGAGGAGCAGCGTCGTGGACATGATGCTGGTCATGCTCGCTTTCGCTGGAACGGCCACCCTTCTCAGACATCCGATGAAATCAGACCAGTGGGATGAGAAGCTGAGTCTCAACTGCTGTGCAACTTGACCGTCGTATGAGGGCTTTTGTAATGGCGGTTGGACGAAAGAAGACACACTGAGAAGGTCGCGTGCAACCGTGCATGTGGTACGCGGCAGTGGGGTTCGTCGGTGCTTCTTTGACCTCGGGGAGAGTCGGGTGCACTGCTCCATTACGAAACGTAAAGTATAGCACGGCTAGCTGCCGGAATAGGTGCCGCTAGCGGCGACTTCTTGGTTGGAACCTATCAGTCAACAAAGACGAGATCAGAACCCCTCTCATATACATTTCATCAATCAAATTCCCGATATCACTGACCCATTTCTACACAATGTCTTCAGTTCGGTGTGAATGTTCGAGCGATTTGTGCCTCGATGCAGCGTCTAATGTTCCCTTTCTTGAGCAGGAGTTATAATCCAATCCAGTAGTTATCCGGTTTGGTCCCGTAATTGGCTGCATAGACACCAGCGCAGTGAGAATATGCGACGAATTCGGCGACTGAGTGTGATCCAAGGCATGTGCCGTTCATCTCATCCCTGGAGCTCGCCATTTATTGAGATACAGAAAGGAGTGGACGATTAGGCTAGCAGCTTCGAGAGATACGAAACCAGCGGCCCAATATATTCCCATGGTCGTTATCTCTAGTCCATTCTCGTGACGATAATAGAGTGGGTATTTCGTATTCTTCCTGAGAACGCCCTAAGGGCTGCTGCGATTGTCGTCGGCGGAGGCCAAAAGTCGAACGCAGTTTGCCCCCACCGACGATATGCGCATCAACGAGGCCATTGCACTGGTGACACCTCAGGTCGTCCTTGTGCCATACAGGTGCATGCTTTTGCTCTTTTGGTTTGTAGGAACTCATCGTCCTCCTCCAGCTAGAAAGAAACACGTTCATGTTAGATTTGATGAAGAATCGGTTGGTTGAGACTGACCTAATCACAGCGCTACCATGAATGGATGAAATCGCCGGAGCTGAGGGAGCAAACCGCATCAGAGCCCCTGACACTGGCAGAAGAATACGACATGCAGGCAAAGTGGAGGCTGGATGAAGACAGTAAGCGCTCCCTATCACATGCCATCAGAGATCTCATATCGTACAGAACTCACCTTTATCATCCTACCACGCCTCGAGATTGGCGCAAAGGAGCCCTGCGAGACTTCTGTGGCCCAGATTGATGCACTTCCAATGGTCGGAGATGTGAACATTTTCTTGATTCGCAACGAGGACATTGAAAACGGAGTGGAAATAGAAGTCGAGGTGATGATTGCGGAAGCGGCCTATCGGAAACGTGGGCTGGCATATGCTGCAGTCTCAACTCTTCTCCGCTACGCATCATCTTCCGAGATTATCCGCGACGACGACGGTTCAACCCGGCCAGCTACTTTGTCCATGTTTGTTGTCCGGATAGGCGCTTCAAATCTGGCATCTATAGGGCTCTTTAACAAGCTAGGATTTGTTGTCACTAAACCTGCAAACGTCTTTGGAGAGATAGAGATGCGCCTCGGCACGGATGCTCCAATACCTTGGCTGGACGCACCAATCGAGTTCATAGACTATCCCCTTGAACTAGAATAAACTTTATTCCTTTATTGCGCAACTTGTTCATAAGGTGGCAGGAGCCCATGTAAGTTGCCTCCCAGCCATGTGGTGAGTCTAGAAGTATTTGTTGCGAAATTCAAAGGCTGACCTCAATCAGGTGTACTCGCTGGTTTCTCCCTCTAATAATCTTACCGTGAGTGTGCGTACATGTTGCTAGATCACTTTCTCAAATGTAACAAGCGTACCGACAACCCGGCCGTACTTTCTTGTCCTCTACCTCATATCGGCCTTGTTTCATGCGAGACCCTGGTATTTCCACGTTCAGATTGGTCACTCAACGATACTAATAAGCCACCCAGTGCCTATTGCATTCTCATTTTGGTCGCTTCATTTCTGTCATCATGTTACTGGTCGGCGATTCCACCATCCTCCTTTAGTCCAGAGTCTCTTTCGGCTCTAAACGCCACGGAACTGAAAGCAATCTGGGACATGAACTCTATCGAACTCCTTTCGAGGTGTTGGTGCGACTTTCAGCGAACCCCATTCTTTGGCCACTTTAATGAGACAAAATGGGAGATAGATAGTCTCAAAGCGGCCACTGAAGCGGCCAACCTCACGAGTTACATGGAGCCAGATCCTGCGCAACCGACCAAGGGTATGTGATACGCCAGCGAGGGTTTGAGTGTCTGATTGATTGCAATAGAAACAAGATGGACGAGATGGATTGACTCTATTTGGTGGCAACCAGACCCTATCATCCCAAAGCAACCAGTGGACAATCGCATGGACTCGGCCTCCGCTAACGCGGTCAACTCCCCTGACCCAGCACACCAAGTGGATACAACACCATCTCCTATCCACTCGCGGCCATTGTCACGTTTAAGACGCAAGTATGATCTTCGGCCCTATGGCATCGACCTGATCCTCGACTTTGGGTGGCAACGGTTCTGATTCAGAATGTAAAGTATTAATATATACTCCGCTACCAAAGGTTATATGGGGACTGAATAAGGAGACTGAGTCGAAGCTACTGGCCTAAAAAGCCATAACATACAAATCCGTTTGAATAAGATTAACAGCAGCTCCAATCTTTTGATTTGCTTCGGGTTGAGTCTCCGTCTTGCAGACCACGAAGAATGATACGACTGTCGCCGTTACCGGTCGTCCCGGGAGCTCCTCCACTCTCTAGCATGTGAAGTTGGCTCTCCTCCCACTCCCACTTTCTCACAACGCGCTCTCCAATGTAATTGAACACGTCTACGAGGTTTTCTCCCGTCTTCGCCGAGGTGAAGAACAGAGCTGGACCGGGTGGCGGTTTGGAAGCGGCCAGCTTTTTGGACGCGGCATCGAGCTGCGCAGGAGTCGAGAGGTCTCTCTTAATCTCGTTTGACGAGTTCATTCTTGCCGGTGTAATTGTTTGCAACGAAGAGTCGGAGTTGGACGAGACGACTCTCTGTCTCGTTGTGGTAGCATGTTCGCCAGGAACATCCAAGTGCTGACTGGATGTTTGCTTGGATGGCGTTGATGAGCCATCAAGGTTCGGCGTCCCAGCTGGACTAACACTTTTGTAGCCAGAATCCAGTGCGATCTCACCCTCTCCTACCACTCCGGCCGCATTTTCTGCAATGGCTTGCTCCACTTCTGGATCCCAGAAGACTGCGCCGTTGAGAATATTGGTGTCCCTCCCTCGTCCGGATGGTGTCGGAGGCCCAGAGTCGATTAGTGATGAAGATGCCGTATGGTATATCGACATCGCGGTCGAGTTCATCGTTCCATTGCCGTATGCCATACGTGAGCGAGAGGTCCCTCGCGAGTCTGCACTTTCCCGCGTGCTAACTTGTTTCAGACGCGAACGTTCAGGTATAGGTGATGGGGTTGCTGAGTTCCACCCTGGTTCGGCTTGAGGAGCCACGGAGCCATTTGGCAGGGGAACCAAGTTTCGTAGATACTCCTGGGCCTCCTCTTCGGTGACGATTCGGTCATCTTGCATGCTATTACCACTCCCGACACGCTGGTGTTTCTTTTTCCACGTTCCAGTTTGCCTGCCCTCAATGAGATCCATTTTGTTCCCCACGACAGCGACCGGAAAGTCTGCTTCAGCCCCCTCCTCAATTGGGCAACGCATCTTGAACTCGTTCCACCATCTGGTGAGTGAGTCTAGCGACAGTGGATCCGTCACGTCGTAGACGAGAATCACGGCATCGGCTCCTCTACAGCAAAACAATCAGGTGTTGACAAGAGCATTGCATGTTAGGGCCTACCGGAAAAAGGCAGAGGACAGGCCGGAGAATCGTTCTTCACTGGCGTCGATACTTGTATATGCTCGAGACCTAATATACTGACCTTGGCCTGCTGTGTCCTGTTATCGTATGTCAGTGTCGAGGTCCCATATATGGAGAAGAACCGGCGTGCTCTGGGAACCATGTGCGTCACGCGAGGACTGGAAACACGTAACGAGTCTCCAACGTCATGTATGCGTATAGTTGCAACCAGAATGCGCAAGGTCTACTCACCCAGATTTGCAACTGCACGGTCTCGTCCGGTATCGAAGGATGTGGGATAGTTTTCGTCAAAAAGTCTGCACCAATAGTCGCCCGATAGTTTGTAGAGAAGCGTCCGCTCGTATACTATGTACAGAACTGAGCTGTCCTTGCCGCCACTGGTCTGAGAAGCTGCGTACCTTCGTCCGCAAGGACGTCTGCCGCAACAGAGCTGAGCACAGTCTAATACAGTCGCAAAGTATCCGACGTACCTTTCCGACGCCAGACGCTCCTACAATGACGAGCTTGACGTTGAGCATTGTCGAGGAAAGGTCCAAGGTATCGCCTGAGCAAACTTAGAGCCGCCCACGAGCCTCTTCGTTCAGCCATGCCAATTGCCAACGCATATAAAGAGGCCGTACAAAATATTATCAACAAGCTTAATGCAGAGGTCACTCCTACAAAGCCCCGGAGGCATCTATCCACCATGGTTCGTCAAGTTTACGCTCGCTGGTCTTGTCTCACGGCTGAATTGCTTTTAAACTTTCTTGATAACTCTGTCCGGATTAGTTTTTGGACCTTCCAGACCCAACAACATACGGCGACTACTATACCATCATCACGGAGCCTCGGAGCATCAACGGTGTGCAAGAAAAGCTACAAAAGAATAGATATCGCAACATATTGGATGTGTTGAACGATCTGTACCTGACATTTGCCAATGCCTTGCACTACAACGAAGCGTCGTCGCAGATTGCAAAGGATGCCACTGTTCTTCAGGTTAGTCTTAGATCGACAAAGGGGAAACAGGTTTGTTGATGGAAATCGGTTCATAGGAACTGTTTCTGAAATTGTGGAAAGACGACCCCTACCTTCCTAATGCACAACCGACAAAACAACCTGGCCGCAAGCCAGGGTTTCGAACGGCACCTCTTCCACGAATGTCATCCTTTGCTCCCCCAATGAGACACTTTAATTCCATCCAACCTGCGTATCCCACTGCGTTGGCCACCATTCAGCTCAAGCCTATTGGAAAACCCCCTCCACCAATTATCGCCCCAAGGTTACAGCCTTTACCCAAACGAAAACGCCGGAAAGTCGTCGCCAAGAGCGAGATTGAAGCCCCAGCAGCTTCAGCTTCTCTCCAAACGCCGAGACGTCCTGGATCACCCGCGTTCTCGGAAGTGGACTTGACGCATCCGTATGATGGAGAGGAGAATGACCCGGATATTCCGCAGGCTCATCTCGCAAATGATATGGATACGGACCTCGTGCTCAATAGGCTTGAACAGAGTCTTCCTCTCTGGTCACCGTGGCATGATGATGATCCGGCTTCCAGACCTGGTTGGATGACTGTAAGCAACCACGAGGAGCTACAAAGGAGGCTGGAAACAGTTGTTTCTATTCTGGGAGCTTATAACAACGGTGCAGAGTGCGTCATTTTCTGACTATACCTTGCGAGGCTAACCGGCAGAAGAAATAAACCCATCGCTGCACTCGAGAATATTCCGGCTCAACCTGAGCCCAAAACAACGCACAGTGACGCCCTTAGCTGGGAAGTTATCACCAGCCGGGTCATACAACGCCACTATCTGTCTTCTGTACAGTTTGAAGTCGATCTGTTCCGCCTTTTTGAAAAAGCACGACGTCACTACAAGCAATTTAGCCCAGAGTATTCCTCAATCATGATTTGTCAGGTCCGTGTTTCTCCAGAAGTTCGGTCTTGACCTCTCATTACCTTGCAGAGACTCGCCAACTTGCTGACCTCCCCAAATTATCATCAATTATTGGCCACGCCGCTGACCTTACCTTCTTTGCCCGCCCCTCAGACTGCTCAGCCGCGGAAACATATTGTTGACGGAATTGTGGTGGATAATCCAACCGGGTCGACTTCATACGATGTTCAAGCAAACGGCAGAATGGCTATGAATTCTGTCTTCTCAAAGGTCTGTTTCGTTATGTGTCTCGAGCTATCTTATGAATCCGATTGTAGGGCATCGAGTACCGTGTTGGCGACTTTGTGCATCTGTTCAACTCGGAAGACATGTCTCACCCTCTTGTTGGGCAAATATGGGCATGTTGGACAGACGGAGCTCACTCTACGTTCACGGTGTGTTGGTACCTCCATCCAGATCAGACAACACACACTCCGGACCACCCGTTTTATGAAAACGAAGTAGTGAAAACTGGTACGCACGCATGGTTTCCATCGTCTGTCTAACCGTGTCGCAGGCCTCTATGTAGACTACTCTCCGGAGGACATCGTCGAGAAAGTTGCAGTGCAGTTTTTCCCTCACTACTTCACCGGTAGACCGAGGCCACCTCACTGGTATCCTTCATGGCCGCTCTACATGTGCGAGCAACGATACGACGATCGGAGTCGAACGTTCCGCCGAATTGCCAAACCCGAGCTCTGCTTTCCACACGCACTGAGGAAAAATGGCGCGACGAGTCGCTCTAATTCGATTATTCGCGCTCATCTTTATCAAAATCCAGGATTGGACGTGCTGCAACCAATCTTTCCCTTTGAGAGGCTTGTTCTGCCGCTCCGTAAGTCTGGTCCTAACGCGGGGCCACGACGAGCTGCTTCAACTGGGCCGACAAGCTTCACGATTGGGCCCGCTGAAGCAAAGGATGTACAAATGGCGAGTGCCTCCAACGGCTTTGATTATGGACGAGGTCGACCGAAGCGGATGGCCGCGGTCAAAGCTGCAAGTGCCGTAGGGCCTCCCGTACCGGGCTCTACGACTGGTTCTGCATTATCATCTACAGGAAATCCTGCAGCTGGCGTCACGAATACTGCACCGGGAGATAGGACCGTCATTTCAGCTGCAGGAGGAGGGATAATTACATCTGCAAACGTTGAAAAGCTCACTTCAGAAACTAGTACGTATGTTCATCTGCCCTTTATGACTTGCTAATGGCCTGCCCTAGCGCATCACTTTGACCGTGACCCTGTGACCGATGAGATGCTTTGGTTTTCCGGTGCACCATTGGATGTGGCAAAGCCTCATGGCCTCCACTACAGTCTGGATTATCTCTACGAGATAGCACTTAGACAAAAACGTCAAGCCGGTGTGGACGGTGTTGAAGACTCTAACGTTCGTCGAACTCGGGTCGTCCCACCGACTGCAAGCGAACTTTGGTATCAAGTGTCTCAGGGTACTTCGGCTTGACTCTAAGGTGTTTGTCGTTAGAAATGTATAATGCTACATGGGATATGCAAGGGATTTTTAGTGAATACGTTGGCAGATTTAGACGTGGGATGTGCGAAGTGGTGAGTGAGGGAGTAGAAATGGGCTCTTGTTAGATAGCCCATACCTTGACAGTGGAATCTCTTGCTCCACTGACAAGGTAGCGATCCATATATCGCAGCCTTTCCACTGGTTGGGTATGTCCGTTGGTGACCAGCGTGGACATTTGCATCGTCGTGCGATTATAAACCTATGGTTTGTCAGGACATAGACGGTATCTCCAGAGGGTTCATACCTTTATTCCGCTTTCACCTGCACAAGAAACGACCTTGCGGCTGTCAAACTGGAGAGATGTGACCGGATAATCAAAGCGTAGAGTCTCCGCAATGCCACCCGTCCGAAGATCCCATATCTAAGGAGGGTGAGAAGAAGTATTGATGAGAAGTCTAGGTGCTGACCCTGATCGTTTTATCCAAACTACCGCTGACGATGTGCAACTCGTCAAACTGTACACAAGTTACCGGTGCAGTATGTCCGACGAGTGTACGATGTGCTTGACCCGTTCGCACTGTAAATGCGTTATTTCTAATCAATTAGCTTCAAATTGTGCTTACTGTCCCACATTCTGACTGCTCCATCGCCGCTGCCGCTGACGAGTGCGTAGCCCCAGAACTGCACTCCTCCAACAAAGTCCAGATACATGTCCCAGCTTCCATCTGCCATTGGGGGGCTAGGGAAGCTGAACGAGTTTGAAGCTGCGGAGAGGAGGCTAGCACCCGGAAGACCTGGAATAGAAAACGTAGATCCTCTAGGAGATGTCGAAGGCGCGGGTTGAGAAGCCGCATGTGAGAGTGCCCAAAGTATGTCCATTGTGAGAACGCATTGACCAGTATTAATATCCCATTGACGAATTGTCTTATCCGATGCACCGCTGACGAGACAGGCATCTTCAAAGTAGATTGAAGAGACTGTCTTTGTATGGCCTTCGAGAGTGCGAAGACAGCCACGCGGTCGCGCTGGAGCGGCAGGCTTGGGGCGTTCAACAAGAACGGCCGTATCATCCTCTTCTTCGGCGTCTGGGATGCTTGGTGCATTGAAGCGCGGGCTCGACGCAAGACTTCCGACAAAGCTTTGGTTGAGCGCCTCTTCCTCGTCCTCAACGGCTCTGAGATCCCATACTCGAACGGTATTATCTGTGCCACCTGATACACACAAATTGCCTTCTACCTGAAGACACTTGACGATACCTGAAGAGAGTAAGTAAAGTTGCTGACCCGGCGGTGGCTGACTGACCAGTATGACCGCGTAAGAATGCTATTTCTTCCCCAGAAGAGAGGTCCCACAGACGTGTGCTTTCATCTTGAGAGGCGCTGACCAGCAGGCCATATGGCTCTGAGATATCAAGTGCCGTAATTGGTGCGTTATGTGAGGCCAGCGTCATGAACGCCACTCCATGAGGCAGATCATCATGCTCCGAAGGTAGAAATGCGGGCCCTTTTCGCCGCCTAGAGGGTTGGAATGTTGCGGTGCTGCCTTGTTGTTGCTCTTCGAATTCGGCTCTTTCTTGAACCCCACGCACTGATGACAGATGAGACGTAGCAGCAAAGTTTGCAGAACAACGCACGTTCGTCCTCAAGCTCGAGGTCTTCTTCCTGTATCCTCAACAGATCTTGCTCAAGCTGGGAGCGAATGAGGTCCAGAGAATTGATTTTCCGCGTAATTTCGTCAATCTCCGCTTGTGCTAGTCGCTATCGCACACTTTTCAGTAATGAAAAAGTTCAGAGGCAAAATTCGACATACTCTTCGGACGTGAAGATTTTCCTTATCCTGCAGGATCTCTCTTCGCTGCCTACTCAACTCTTCCTTGCCCAGTATCTTGGATGCTGTAAGGGCATCTCCACGTTTGGCACCTCTTCGCTTTCGACCATGTGTGCCATGTTCTTCGTCGTTATGGGCGCCTTCGGTGAGCATTCCTCGCGCCTGCATTCCAAGTTTACGGTGGCTAGAATCTTCACCCTCATTTTCGTCGTCAAACTGCACATTACGAACTTGTCGACGCCGCGCCTTTCCCTTCTCGGAGCTTGGGATGGTCGCGTTGAATCCCTTGAGGAGGCTGATTTCCTTTGCGACACCATCTGCCTCTGGTATTGGTGTTTGAAGCAAGTCGGGAGTCGACTCTAGAATCCCGAGATCCTGCGATGTGACAGGTTGCTTCATCGCTAGTCGCAGTGGAGCTCGTCCTAGGGTGCTAAAGTTGAAGTTAGAGAGACCCCTAGCTTCCATGATCCTCCCAGGTTGGTTAGTTCTTGACGAAGAGGCAGCTGTCTGCACCATTCGCGGCGTCATGATAACCGGTGCGACTGACCCATCAGTAAAGTTGAGAAAGCATGAGCAGTAGCTATGATTTGTCAGATAGAGTACATACGCCCAGTTAGTATTTTCGTCGAATGGTCTGCTCGGCTCTGGTTGCTCGTGAAAGGCGCCATGATCGCCTGTGAGACTGATCCGAGCGTAGAGGTTTGTTGAGTAGTTATAATTGGCTGTAATGCATCCTCTATTGGTCGTTCTCGAGGCGGCGAGCGTGACCGCGAGGTCATGGCAGTATCCAACAGACTTTTTGAACTCAACTTCGACACTCAGCCAACCTTGGGGCATCCTCTCGCATTTGCAAATTGTCTATAAATTATAATAGCGAGATATATATGCTTGGTTGCGATTCGAGGAACCGAGGTTCGGTTATCGTGGCCGGTGGAACGACCACTGCAGATTCCTCTCACCCGTGTGGCAAATATCTAGTCATTATAAAGGGGCATCCGGATATCCCAGCTTCTCTCGCTCCAGCAATAGGCCATGGCAACGTCTAATACCAGCCTCAAATCTCAGGCTTAGTTCTAGGCTCTTTTGTTATTCAGCAGCGTACTACTCAAATACATTATTCCTCCTGAGGTAGGTGCATCCCAGGCCAGAGATCCTCTTTTGAACTATGACCACATAGCCCTATCCCATACATGCAGTGGCCACAATCTCGATCATCTCAGGTGGAATAATCAGGCTCAGAAGCATTGAGTTTGTATTCATGGCTTAATTGGACATGTCCATGGTCAGATTCTAGGAGGCTGGAATGGTGCCCTTTGCGGGTCCGCCGACGGCGCAAACAGCACTTAAATGGGTACTTCCTCAGTCCCCCCTCGTTTCCCTCACGCTTCCCTTCCCAGCGAAATGAGTGACTACAGCCGGAGCACTTTGGAGCCACGTCCATGCCAGTATTTTAGAGAATGCAGGATAAATCCTGATGTATGGGTATTTTCCTCTATTCTACACCTGTCTGAAAGCAGAACTGACAGGGTCACCATTATTGCACCACGGCTAAGAACATATATCAATACCGCAGGCCGTCTGTCATCTTACAGAGTATCTTGCTCTGATTAACGTTGAGACTTAGGGATGGAAGTATTTACATCCGCGAGAACGAAGCGTGGGGTCACCATCCCAATGGGGAGAGAGATTTTGACATTGGACCGCTACGACATCCCGACCTGACCAACGTTGGAGAAGAAAGAGCGGAATTATACAAAAAATTATATAGATTGCGTCATGATCAGGTAGGTAGATTGCTGGACATAATCCGAATTTTGGCTTCATCTCATACAGAGGTCCATTGGTCGTTTCGATTCTGTGGGGGTGACAAGGCCTATATACAACCCAATTAAACCTCTTAAGCCGTCGGATTTGGATCTGCCCAATCGCTCTCCGTCATCTACCTATTCGAAACTGTTGCGTCGCGCCAGTCCTTTGGCAAATAGAAGTGGCGACATTGAAAGAGTGGTATGTGATACATCTTTACTTAATGTAGCTTCACCACTAGTAGAACCAATTGGTGGATCACCTCGAGCGAATCAACATCCCCAGTACGTCTTGATTGACCAATCTAAGATCTTTCTTTGATGCCTCGCCAGCTCCTTCAACGTTCTCGCAACGTCTTCATGCTTACAGCACTGGCCAGGAATATAGTGTAATTGAAGCCACCCCCAGAATATCAAGGAATGTGGCCGAAACTGAGGCCAAACGCCCTGGAGAACCAAAACTTTCAGGGGGGCACCGTTTCATCGCCGAGGACAGCCCTAAAACGGAAGCAAGTACAGGTATATCGGATCTTTTGGCAATTGTGAGTCTTATATCGCGTATCAGAAAGTCTTACTTAGGCATTATACAGGCGAAAGAACATAGCCGTGGAGTCGAGCGCCATGGACAAGCTTGGATCTACGTCGCCGTGGGTCTTGCCCTTAGTCTAGGAGCTATCGAGCACGAACCCTCCTTGGACTTGGTTGATCGCGCATTGGCTGAAATCTTATCTTACGAAAAGGTGGGGCAAATTTTCCAAGTCTTTATCGTTGCCAATCTGTTATTCCGCAGAGGAGGAGGGGAGCTCGCGGAGAGGGAGGATCAACCTCGTCAAGCGGAGCATTTGAATCCACCAACAGCTTCACAGGGGAACCCAATGTCAAGGTGGAGAATCTAGAGCAAGGGTTGAATGGATTGCGACTCTCAGTAGATGATAATGGTAGCACCGGGAGGATGCCAAATACGTTCGGGCAAGTACCTAACAGAAATTGAATCATATCTGCTCACGATTCGGTTACCATCTAGCCATCCTCCATGTCGACACCTCGTAATCCCGAAATACGTTTTCTACCGAACATGAAGGTGGTTGCATGCGCTTTCAAGTTGTTGCCTATGGAACTAAGAGATATCCTAGGGAAAATCACGGGCGAAGAAGGCCCCAATCAAACAAGAGCCGGGTTTATTAGATCCATTTTTGAGCACCTCTAATCCCGGATCCCTAAGCAGGGCAGAGATTGCCGAGACCATCGAGCAAGATGACGCCACAGTATTAATGCAAAACCCGGGGAGTAAGGAATTCGAACCATTTTCCTGGGCCGCTGGTATTAGCACCCATGGAGCAACCGAGGCCCCTAAAAAGGTTCGTCAGCTGGAGATATAGTTCCCTGTCTTATCTCAGTGCAGAGGGGAAGAGCACACGAAGCCAACAAGGACGAACCCGCCTTCAAACGACGTAATCCAGGGCGTGCGGTAAAGAAATCTGAATAAACAATCAATTGCGTGTCTAGGATAGTACGTAAATCATAGATGTCATGGTCCTATTTGCTCGTGCGTTGGATTTGCATCTGGAGCCTGGCAATTTAGCTATCAAAGAGACTGATAGGTCAGGGGAACCAGTAATAGGTGATGATGGCAGCCCGTTGCGGGTTCATCGATAAGGGAGACAGTATTTAAATTAGTGTTATCCTCATCAAGTACGCCTCAGTGTCCTCTCCGCTTCCATCCGCCTCCCAGCGATATGAGTGGCTACATCCGGGTCGGTCCAGAGCCGCGTCCATGCGACACTTTTAAGACATGTACGCTAAATCCTGATGTACGCGCATGTTTCTCTACCTTCTACTCATCTGAAAAGAGACTTGGTAGGGCTTCCATGTGTGCACCACCAGGACGGGCACTTTTCAGTATCGTAGGCCGTTTGTCTTCTTATAGATCAAATAGCCCGCTCTAATTTTTGGATCAGGGACAGGAGTATCTACATCCGCGAGAACGGATTAGCCAAAAATTATAATAATGGAGAGGATGAATTTGACATCGGGCCAAGGAGATCGGTTGACTTGACCAAACTCGACCGAGACAGAGTGGAAAAGTACTTTGATCTCTATGAATCGTGTCCCGAATTGGACCAGGTAGGTCACCAGACATATTTTGAATCAGGTTCACATCTCAATGCAGGCATCAACTCCGGTAGCAAGTCGCTATTCCAATTCAGTGGAGATGATGACACCAATAAGCACTCCAACGGCATCTCCGATGACGCCTTTGTCGCAGCTGGATTCGGGTTCGCACCCCAGCCTGCCTTCGACATCAATTTCGGATATGATTGCTAATCTGAGTATTGAAACAATTCAAAATAATCGCTTTGGCAGTTACGTAAGTAACGTTTGCTAGCTCCAGGCATTATTTTATCCATCCACAGACCCAACATCAATACTATCCGGTTCCACAGCCAGCTCCTACCAGATTCTCGCCTCTCAACAGGTATTATACCTATTATTCGCAATCTGCATAACTTACCTCGTTCCCTCAAATGCACAGATCCGGGAATAATCTACACCCTTTCATCAATCAGGCACGGAATACTTCCACTCCATTCGACCCAACATATATGGAGGCATCAACGGGTACTCAAGTTCACATGCACTCTCCTCAAACCATGCCAAGCCTGGCTTCGATAACTGAATCAGCATCCACCAACCGGATAAATCCCAATATTACCGTCGAGAACGAAGCGTTGTCAAGAAGCGTCGAGGAAGCGGTATGATATAAGTTAAAAAAGAGGATCTAACACTAAAATCGTCTAGTGTGCCCACCATGCTTACTACCTCAGGCGTTACGGGACAAGTTGGCTCATTGCAAGTCTCAAGATTTTTGAGAGAGCCATAAATAATAATTCAAGTATGGATCTTGACTTTAATACGTCCCAAAGAAGCCAATCCAGGCGATATTATCGAAATGTGAGGCTATTTGGGTTCTAGATTTAGACGACCGCCCTACTGACCTGAATCCAAAAGAGGCGCGAACATAGTTCATCATCGGAGTCGCAAACACAAAGAAGTCCTCACGGAATACGAATCGGGAGATAGGTGCGACCAACTCTCCGAGAATACCATGTATTCTGATTGTGGCGAAGTTCGCCAACAGTCCCAAAAGGGATCTTCAATCGAAGATGTAATTCGTCATTTTATTTTCTCACAGAGGGGAAGAGCGGGGGAGGTGAACAATAACGAGCCTGACAACAAACGCGTAATCTAGGGCGCGCAGTCAAGAAGTCTGAATAAAAAACCATCTCACAGGTTGTGTTCTAGAATATCATGTCAATTATAGGTATAAAGGTCGCGTTTGCGTGAGTGGCGGTTTGGTCGAGTTTGCTGTTGGGTACAAAGAACCAGCATACGATCGTAGAAGTCTCGTGTAAATTCATTGATAATGAAGAAATGATTGACATCAGTGCGGTTCTATGTTTGCAACCTCCACGCGTAGGAAGGCGCGGAGATGTGGCTCGCTTCAGCTTCATCTTAGCATAACAGCGAGGAACGTAGTGCCTTTACTGGCTCGAGGCGTCGACATATTTTCGACTCGTGACAGGAGTCAATCATAAAATGAGAATGCGACCGTCGAAGAAATTCAGTTGTCATGGTTGCCATGGAGGAAAGCTGAACGGGAGCATCCTGCGATATATTCAGGAACCAGAGGATTCACTATGTTTCTTTGGTGGCAATTGTCGAATCTGTCATGGCTTCTACCTCGTTCTCACACTCTGGGTTCCGCGATATGGGCAGTTACCGGAACCCTATGTCGCCTGTCAGAGTGAAGAATGAATGCTCTGATACAGCATTTATGTCCCGTTGAGGTTCCGTTATGGTAAACTCAGTTGGCTGGTCTCTACAACTGGGCCGCCGGCGATTGTGGCAGAGAGGCTGGCGGTTTGACAGGACAACTAGCTCGCCATATCATATTATCTCAACCATTCTATACTAATGGGACGGACACTGCCCCCGTCGTTGCGATGCAAGCATTGGCGTCTTTCCTTAATCTGTTATATATGGCAAGTTTCCAAGTTCTCAGGGATATCTCATCTGTCTTCCCTCATGTGCCGCCTCTTTCTCATGCTCTGTGGCTGCTACCCAAGAAAATCATCCACGGAAGCGACCGAGGCTCCACCTGACAGCCGCGAACGTTCTCAAACCTACCCAATCATAAGAGGGCCTGTAGCAGAACCTCGCAGCCGCGAATGGTTTCTAACTCTTGAGCCACACCCCTGTAGCTGGTACCAAAGATGCGGAACGAATGCACATGTAATGTCTCGTTTATACACATATACCACGCCTTATACCAGCCAGGGGAATCACTATTGTACTAGCACCTTTCAAGACGGTTCAAATCCATACCAATACAGAAACCCGTACGTCTGTACCCATCCAAGGAGGAAAAATAGCTAATAGTCTCATCTGATTTGATAGAAACGGCAGGATTTTCGTTCAGAACGCAGATGGAGACCGGAGGACGCTTTTCGCGACGCCTGAGCTCTTGTCCCATCTGGGTCCACAAAGGGGAGGCGATCAAGCTCTTGTCCCATCTGGGTACGCAAAGGGGAGGCAATCAATTACGACGAGAATATTATTGATTGTGAGGTCAGATTAGTAGTCATTTGGTTTGCGCTTGTCACAGGGAGATTGTATATATTTTGATATATTTCTCGTTCAGTTTACATCCCGCCTCGTTTGTGTTTATAATTGAACTATGATAATCTTAGGCTATCTCAAGGTGAGAGTAAATACGGTTGAGATCAGCCAGCAGCAATGTGAGGAGAACACTGCTTCGTTCATACGACTAGTGACATAAATTGCAAAAGCGAAATGACCAAATGATAACGGGAGCAAGTCGATCAGGTCCACCTACTTGCGGCAGAAGAGGCGAGCAGAGGGAGCATTCGAACCAAACGAGTAATGAGCGCTGTAGGCACCTACGTTTGCACCGAGGATCAGTTGCTTGTTCGGGTTGACAGCAAAGTCGACTGGAACGCTCTGCTTGTTCTTGTTTGTCCACGCCGCCTTGATCTCGCCGTTCTCGCCAAGGTAGAAGATAGCCGATTCTAAATGCGTGTCAATAAAAGTCTCCTTGGACAAAGGGGGATGATATACATACCAACGTGCTGATGAGCATCGTGAGCAAAGTTGAAGCTGCTGTCATCCGAGATCGCTGGCTGCCCATATTGGTGTCCGTCGCCCGTAGCGGTCACATAGGCGAAGCTAAAAATGCGTTAGGGAAATCACGAAGGATTTGAGAGGGTACGTACTTCCAGCTGTTGCCAGCCATGTTATCCTCACCCGGGTTGCGCTCAAAGTCGACGCCAAAGGTTGCACCGATGCGTGGGTAGCCACCCTGGAACGCTTGCTACACCGCTCTTCAGTTAACTGGCAAAGAAAAAGGGTGAAGACTCACGTCGAGCTTGAGAACATTGTCGCCGAGTGTGACGGTGACAGCCCCCGACTGAGGGCCAACCGTGTAGCGTCCATCCTGGTCACGCGTCCCTTGAACGAATCCAGAGAAACGGTCGATAGACTGAACGTAGATCTTGCCGCATTGAATATCTTCAGCTGTATATAATCAGAATGGTACTCGACGCGATGAAGAAGAGACGTACGGGTCGGTCCACGAGCACGGATGGCCTTGGACTCGACTGACCCAGGGACGCGTTCAGCCGTTTCTGGGACTCCAGTCGCTCCAGATTCTTCACTCTTCGCAGTCGACGTTGTACTCGCCTCCTCGCTCTTGGCGCTCGAGGACGCGCTGCTGACGCTCGTCGGTGCAGACGACGTCGGCAGAGGGGAAGGAAGGGAGTCGGTTGGAAGAGGAAGGCTTTGAGAGGCGGCATCTTGCTTGGGCTTGCGGTCCTTGTAGCTGCCCATGTCGGACGAAGGTGCGGCGGGAGCTGGCATGGCGGCGGCGAGGAGACCGTTGGCAACGACGAGGGCGGGAACGAAGACAGTAGAGTACTTCATGGTCGATTAGAGAGTTATCGGTGTGGTTTTAACGAGTGAATAGATAAAACGAGAGCAAGTTCGACCGAAGTGGAGGAGGGGAGAGTTGTGGCTGGCTTTGCGTCGTTGACAGTCGGCTTTATATCTGCTGGAGACGGAGTGTTCTGGAATCTTGCGCACAGACCCTCGAGAGCGAGCAGACTTTTTCTCTTTAGCATTGCAGAGCTCTCGGGATTCACGCATTTTGCCCCTCAACGGCGGGGTACGCTTCTTCCATTCATATCGCTAGAATTTTAGTACGTCATCATCCATCAACACGAGACAAAGAGATTGGCACAACGGAGGACGTGTTCCCAATTGGCTAAGAAAACGTCTGTCCACAATCGCTCATATATCGGTCAAAACGTTGGCAAATAGATAGGTAAACAAAACAGCTTTACATTATGGATGGTCGTTATTGGCACAGAAGAGACGAGCAGCTGCTGCCTTTTCGTGGTAATCGTAAAAGACGGCGGCATACGCTCCAACATTATCGCTGATAACCACTTCAAAGTTTGTGTTCAAAGCGAATTGGACCGGAATAGATTGGCCGTTTCGATTGATCCAGCTGGCGAAGACTGCCGTTTCCACCAGAGTGAAGATAGCAGACTCTTCCTTGAAAACCACCGGCCACAAATTAATGAGAATGAATGCTACATACCAACATGTTGATTTGTTTGATTTCCCTCATTGAACGAGCTCTCGTCGGCAATGGCTGGTTGACCAGACTGATGCAAGTCTTCGGTTGCAGAGAGGTAAGCGCAATCATGATCACGAGTATTGAGCTATAGGACAAGAGACCGAACGTACTTCCAACTATTCCCTGCCATATTGTCCCCACCGACGCTTTCGTCACAAAAGTAGCCAAAAGTCGCACGAAACCTTGTATAGTCACCATCTTTGAATGCCCCATACACGTAAAGGTAAAGAGAGACTCACATGAGATATCTGCTAGGGATTACAAAGTCGGCTGGGCGACTCAAGAGAGGGGCGGAGGAGAACTATTAGTGGGAAGAATGAGGAGTTCGATGGGTGACTCGGGCATCGTAGAGGTGGGCATTGCAGTAGCAAGGAGACCGTTGTTGGCAATCCAGGCGGGAAGGAGGACTGGAGTATGCTTTATGGTCAACTAGGATGATATAGAGGTGTAGCAAGTAAATAGATAAACCGAGCGAAATTCGATCGAAGTGAAAGGGGGCAATTTATAGGATCTTAATTGGTCATATAAAGCGCTGCAGAACTGGGCTGATTCACGTATAAACGGTCCAAGGAATGGCGCCCGTCAGTCTGCGTTTGAATCTCCGCTTGAACATTATTCTCTTCGCAAAGTCTAGACAAGGCTTCGTAGCGTCTTAAAGGAGTCTTCAGGGAGCCCTGTGGTGTTCCAGGTTTTTCTCCTCCGCTCTCGCCCTTTGTCTCACATCGCTTAAAACATGAGTTCCAACGAAAACTCGACCAGCAACGAGTCCTCTGGTTCTAATAAAGGCCACGGAGGTGCTGGCTACTCCCATACCGGCTCCGGAACCAACTCACAGGTAGGCCGTCGAACGCCTGTTATGCCGCCTGACCCATCTATAACAAAGGGGAATCACTGGTGCAACCGCAATTATGGAAACGGCTCCAATTCCTATCACTATTCCAACAGGTATGTGCCCTTCCAGCTGGGACGGTACGGTTGCAGCTGAACCGTGATCCATTCCTTGCAGAGATGGAAGCTACTACTATGCTAATCCAGATGGATCTAAGTATTACAACAACGGGCGAGGTTCTTCGACCTATACGACTCCCGACGGTCAAACATATTCCAAGTCCAAGTAACGAGTACGCGCCGTTGTGATTCTTGTTAGAGCAATTGACCAAGTCTTTATTTTACAGAGCGACGATGTTGAGCTCTCTAGTGTTGTCAATGAATAAACTCAATTGAACTACGAAACTGAGCCTGATCGTACGGCTACTGCTATTTAAGGTTACCCAGTTATTAAGACACACGTCTCCAGCCCCTGGTAATCGACTTCTTTGTTCTGCTTTTGCTTGCAATGTGCACGCAAAGTCGTGAACATTCTCGATCGTCGACCTTGGTCCTGACCATGTCCGTCCGAGACGTTGAAAGGTGGCTGCTAAGTGCCATATCCTCTCCTGAGGAGAGGCAAGAAGCTCTGGAGAGGCTTACCACCTTTGTTTCTCAGAGACCAGCAGAGGTAGCGCAGCTGGAGACTTGGCTTCTCGGGCAGTATAACTCCAACTCGCTCGTCACGCCATTGGAATTCTTTGTCGAGATTCTTTTTGCGATAAGAGACCATTTGAACTCCGAGTCGATCAGCAGAACTTGGTGGGATCTCGTGCTTCGACCAGCCCTGAGACGCGAGCAGCTGTCGCGCAAAGCAAGACATGAAGCCATCCAGATGGTTATGATTGGCCTAAAAGAAGGAGGAACAGGCTTCAGACGGCGATTGCTCCAGTTGTCTGTGCTCGGCGTCCCAAGCCACGACTCTGTTGAAGACGCGATCGAGACCGCGCACATGAACACAGACGAGCGAGCGCAGATGTCACAATGGAGAGATAGCTTGGTGGAAATCCTGACAAATGACGCTATCTCAAACCCGCAGGTGCGCTCATCTTCCCTAAACAGCCGCGGGGGACTCACCCTCGCCTTCAGGCATTCTTCGAGGAGATGCAGACCGAGTTTAGAACACCGGATAACCGACTTTCTCTCTCAATTCTTCTGTCCAAGCTGGCAGCCAGCGACGACTTCCCTGTGACCACTTTTGGCGAAAGTCCATTACTCATGACGCTCCTGATTTCATTATTTATCGACAATTCGGCAACGGTTTTCAATACACAGCTGACAACCTTGGTCATTCTCCTCCCCCTCTTTGCGGTCAAAGCGCCTAAGCGACTTCACGAGATCCTCCCAGAGCTGCTGGCCATCCTCGCACGCGCAATCTGTTGGCAATCAAGAACCGGTGAAAACGACGACCTTGTGGGAGTGCTCCATCAGAGACTGGAAATTCGAGAAGAATACGAATGGAAACGACTGGGTAAGCTGAGTCTAGACTCGAATGATTTATATTGAACCTTTTTAGAATTCTCCTTTGATGCGGTCCCCTCGATCACCCCAGATGCAACACGCTATTTCACCTTTCTCTACGGCATCTATCCCTGCAACTGCCTCGCGTTTCTGAGGGAGCCAGTACAGTACTTGATCGACAAGGATTGTAAAAGTCCGTTTACCGTCAACTGGGACGAAGCGCTGGACGAAGAGGAAATCTGGAACCGCTGCGATACTCTCGTTCGTCAGCATATCTTCCATCCTGCGCTCATCAAGCAAACTGCTGGAGGCGAACTGGAGCAAACTGGGACTTGGACAGGAGAGGTTGCAGATGTTGTCCGCGCATGCTCTTTATTAGATGTGCGTAATGTCGCTAGCACCTGGGAAAACGCTCTCAGGGACCGTCTTCAACCGAATCATGATGTATGGATGGAAGGCGAGGCTATTTCCGAGCCGGGAGATGGCAACGCCACCCCAGTAGACCATCCACGACTTCGCGAACCTTCGAAAAGGCCCCATGTCTCCCTCCGCCAGCTAATGGATATGCATATGATACTTCGGTCCGGACAACCGATAGATATCATTAATGACTTTCCCGACCTGCCCTCAACTCCACGCACGCACCCAGCTCCGCTGAACCCAGCATACGAAGTCGCCGCCGCACTCGGAGGTTCGTATGCAAGACACGGAGCGCAGTCACCAGAAGTCGCTAGCCTCAGTTCAACGCAGAGAGAAGAGGCGAAGGAAGAGGCGATTTCGACTCTTCAACGGGACTTGCTTATGATGATGAACGAACTCAACTTTGAGACCTATCTCCGACGTCATTATCTTGCGCAAATCGGATACTTGAACAGGAAGAGCGCTCAAATTCGGAGCTCGGAGATGGAGAGGCAACGCATGGTAGGTCGCGAGTTGACAGGCGACCCTTGTTAATGTTCGCTAGCGAGACCAAATCAAGCGCAACGAACAAGAGATTGAGCGACACAAACGGGAAAAACGTGATATGCAGATTCAGATTGATCGTTACCGAGAAGGCGGCGACAACTATAGCGTCAATATGAGTCGGCAAATCAATAGGATGAAGCAGGAAAAGCAGGCCTGGTTGGCCGAGGCACAAGATCTTCGAGCGAGAGATGCAGAGAACAAGGACGTCCTAGCCGCGCAATCTGAGCGACTTGCCGATATAGAGAAAAAGTCAGTAATCTGGTAAATGCTACACCCACACCTCATCCTTTTTCAGAAACTCCGATCTCCTCAACGAGAGGAAGGAGAACGAGGTAAAAGTGGCGCTCATCCAAGACTATGAGCGTCAGATCGAAATTTTGAGGAAAGCCGAAGAAGTTTGGTAAGGAAGGTGAAAGACGATAGATGTACTCTGACCATTGCTCAGGCGAATCGACCACCGGAAGCTCAAATGGCAAGAAGACGTGATCGAGCAGATTCGTAGCAAAGCCTACAATATGCAAGCCATTATCGACAGTGAGCAGTATTCAAATGCACAGTTGACGAATGACAATAGGTACGGTGGCGGTATGTGTCGCTTTCTGTACTCAACCCTATTTCAGGGCACTTGAGGAGCGTGTATATGAGCTCGAAGTGCAGCTAGACCACATGAGAAGGGCACCCCCGCAAAATCCAAGACTTGTCGAACACACTGAAGCACTCCAGCGAAACTTTTACGAACGGATTCGAGAGCTGGAAGACGAGAATGCGCACTTGCGATCGAGAAACGCACAAGCCGAAAGGGAGCTTCTTCAGGAGAGAGTGAAGAGAGAAACATTGGAGCGTCGCGAGCATCAACGAAGTCGCGCACAAGCAGCGCCTGAAGATACCGCGGAAAGCTCATGAGGTGAAAAATGCGCAACTGATTGGAATAATTATTGCTGTTGTACATGTACGAACCTTGACCACTCCGTTTCCGTCATTTCTGTCCGATCATAAGAATGCATGTGTCCAAACCTCGCAAGACCTCAGCCTATGGAACTGGAGAGGTACCATGTGAAGAGTGTAGACGCGTACGACTGCGCCCATCCCCCCAGCGAAAACTAACTCGAGCGTCTAGCTCAAGATCAAGTGTTCTAGGACTGGGCCCCCTTGCGAACAGTGCATACGAAGATCTGTTGAAGGTATGTACAATCTAGAATACAAACCATGGCTGATTAGCCACAGATATTTGCCCAGACGGCAAATTGGTCACTGGCCGCCAGGGGAGATACGTACTGACCTCGACGGAGGCTCTTCACAAGGAAAATAAGGATCTCAGATTGCGTATAAAGGCGCTTGAAGAGGCTTTACAAGCCGAAACTGCCGGAAATGACGCACCTCATCCACTTCTCGACCCTCAGCTGCTCACAATCGCTCGACCATATCTCAAAGATGGTCCAGAAGGTGCAAATATTCTGCCCAAAGATCTAAAAAGCAGAACAGACAGTGAATCAATAGTCAAGTTATTTGGAACGATGCATGTCGACGATGGGAAGGACAAATACCTTGGGGTAGGATTCCCCATAAGATGATGTGTGAATCTTTCTAATCCTCATTAGTCAACGGCACTCTCGGAAACTCATCTTAATGTACATCGGCTTCCTTTGAGCTTCACCCTAACTTGACGAACGGCAGATACACGACAACGACGACGATTTCGAGCCCGAAATCGAATCACATGCTCAACTCGCAATACCTTTCTCTCTTGTTTTTCCGCCCCAGACATACCTGCAAATGGCAGTCAATAATCTGCCTCCCAAGGTGGAGGCGTGGACACTTGTGGAGACCTACTACCAACATGCGGTAAGTGCAGATACCAGCCACTAAACCTGTGCTAATCCAGCACAGACCTATGTGTATGTGTATATCCACTCGTCTAGTACCTAGTTTGACAGTCTCAGATCACACATCATCCCTCGCCACGACTTTGTGCAGAGAATCTTCACCCCATGCTATGGCGGAGATATCTCTCTCATCTCACCATACCGACTCGCCGCTTTGTTCTCATTGTTGGCGGTGGGAGCGTTACATGACTTGACACGACCGATATATTGCCCTGCTTCGAGGGAGTGGATGGAAATCGTGCAGTCACTCCTCTTCGGAACGTTTGGGTCATTTGAAGCCTCCATAGAATCGATCGAGGTTTGTAGGTTTGGTTCAAGGCGTCTACATGCTCAATTATATTAGGCTGTCGCACTCGCGTGTGCTATATTTCCATGCCGTCCAGAGCTCGAACTTAGCAAGACCTACTTCCAGCTAGCCTGGTGCATGAAGATGGCCCAAAGTGTGAGTAGATAACTGCACAAAGGATCACGAGCTGAGTCCTCCGAAGATTGGTCTTCGTAAGCTTCGTGCTGGGTCCAGAGGTGTTTAATCCAACTCTCTCGCAGATATAGATCCACAAGATCTTGGGTTAGATGATGCTGTTGCTGCCCGTCGTCGTCATTTGTTCTTAGAGATGAGTGATCTTAATACCACTTGAATCCTTTCTGAATGCAATACAGCTGCGCATGAATGACGCTGCAGAGGCGAGTAAATCGGCATCCTGGATACATGCTCTCATCAAGCCGTAGGGTTTGCAATACGGACGTCCCATGACCATGAACAGTCGCTTTACATCGCAAGGGTCAGTTAGTCTGGGGGATGATAATAACGGTCTGTTCCTTTTCATGGAACAAATATGAAACTCATTCAATACCAGCAAAGTTCAAGCGTCTGATGGTCCCCCTCATGGAGGATATTGCGGAACTCTTGATTGCACCCGGGTCTGCGTCAAATTATGCAGAGGCTTTGAAGATTGATCGACGTATTCGCGAGGTCAAAGCGTCCGCAACAAGACCTCCATCAGAAATAGGATTCGACACGACAGAGGCAGATTTGCCTGAATTTATGCGACTGGTGTGGTGTTACAGCAATCTATTGACACTTCATCGGCCATACTTTGCCCTTGCAGTGACGAAAAGTAGTCCGGAAAACCCATCGGGGGGTAAGCTGGCCCCTTCGATTGCTGCTTGGTGCGTTCATAGGTGATGTACTCTACCTACTCTCACGGTTTGACCCAGCTATGACGCTGCAAGCTCCTTGACGCATTTGGCCATGCGCTTTGTAGGGCAGAATCCTGGCCTACTCGCTAGGATGGGACCAGTGTGGCCACATCTGTTCACATCCATGGTAGGCGCCTCGTCATAGTGCTACTTATACTCAATATACTCAGGTCGTCTTATACAGCTTTGGGATTCACATGCCGTTCTGGATGAACACGGCACAGGCCCTCAACACGGCAGATATGTGCCTTGTCTTGGTCTACTCTCCTTCTTTGGAATGTGTGAGGGCCAAAGCGACCATGGTATGTCGAATCGTGGACACTACATTTGCTCACGCCATCGTTAGCCATACTTGCTTGGTCTCCAAGAAAAGGCGAGGACATCCTTCCTGCTATTCAGTGATAATATGCCGCGAAATCCTTCGTCAGAGTTTGATACTCTGATTCCTGGCCTCGCCACTGGTATCGCTGTGCGGACTGTCCGAGCTGAGGACAACCCAAGGGAGACACCCAGACCTCTCAAGCCACTATCAGAGCGTGGTGCTCGTGGAATAACAAGAAATCTGGTACGAAACCTCATGTTCATGGAGAACAATCGTGGGCAGGATTCCCTTTTCGCACCAGATATACCAGTAGAGGTACTTTGAGAGGTTCAATTAATTGTCGTCGCTGAGATGCTCACCTCTCGCTAGCCAAACCTCAACTCACTACAGTTGCAGCCAATGGACCCGATCCTTGGGACGACAAGCACAATGCCTTTGGACTGGAACTGGAACTGGGATGCTTCAATTAGTACATCCGACTCGACACCCGAAAAAATATCACAGCTCGAGCTGGACAACAGCTGGTTAGCGTTTCTTTCGCAGCTTTGAACGGAATGTATTCGGCGATGCTGCGAGACGCCTCTTCCTACTTGCAGTGGCTATGTTTAATGCTGTTTACTGTGTACCGCGCCGTCTTGGTCTCGCCGTGTCAGTCGGCGCGGCTTCGGCCTCTACGAGTTGCGCCCGTCTGATGTAATATCGTATACGTTTGTCTCTGCACAGCGAGTGAATGGAAGCTTGGGTATATAACTGCGTCCAATATCGATCTTTGCCCCTCAGAAACACTCGAACCTCACAAACTCGAGCCCCAAACCACGAAACTAGCAAACTATGAAGCTCTTTGCACTCGGCGCCTCAAAGAACATTGGCTACTTCACAACCCGTCGTAAGTTTGAAAAATAAAAACAGCACTTTACTTAGCACTCTACAGACTATCTCGCGGCTGGTCACACCGTCATCTTTCTCCTGCGCTCGACAACCGTCTTTGACGACGACGAAACAATGAAGCCATACATCCAGTCGAACAAAGCCATTCTCGTCAAAGGTGATGGTCTCGTCAAGTCTGACGTTACCAATGCCTGGAACAAGGCAAACGAGGGTGGCCCAGTCGACCTCATCCTATCCACGATTGGTGCACCCATCAAGTTTCAGTTCCCCCGGGGTTTCGTAATCACCCCGCCAGACCTCACGACTAGATGCATGTTCAACCTACTCCAGGTCGTCGCAGAGAGCCGCCCTAGCCCATTCCCCAGGATGATCGCCATATCCTCCACGGGAATTACCAAAGCCTCACACGATGCGCTCCCAGTAACGATGAGACTGATGTATAATGTATTGCTTCCTGCACCTCATGCGGATAAGCTGGGCCTGGAACGCCTCCTACAGTATGCGATGGGTCGACGATGGGAGGAGAATGCAGAGCCAGAGGATAGCATACTTCCCAAGGGATGGGAAGATTCGCTGCCACCTGCTGGATTCATGCCAGACATTGTCGTCGTGCGACCAGCATTTTTGACAGACGGGGAAGCCAAGCACGAATACAAAGTCTCCCCGGACGAGTATGCGTCGTATGTCATTAGCCGAAAGGACGTCGCTCATTTTATAGGCGAAAGGCTTCTCACCGAGTGGAGCACTTGGTCAGGAAAGATTGTCAATTTAGGCTACTAGTCTCTTCGTTTGCTACTATACCCGTTGTAATGAGCTTGTAACACACCATTATTCTACGATTCCGGCTCCCATTCCATGGAAGAAGTTGAGACATTCGTGTCGTCCTCGACTTCGTCAACCTTGTCGTTGAACGAAACTTTTCGGCCTTTGGTTCCGGTGGGATATCCAAACCAGAGTCCGATAAGAATCAGCAGGTGAGAAATGTCAAGAATGGCAGATGACAGGTCTGTCGAGGGAAAGACGTTCCAGGAGTATTCGATTCCTAGGAGTAAGCATAGCCTGCGCTAGTTAGTCAACAGTTAACGACTCAGAGGTCACACATACTTGATAGCAATGGGATATCGTGTTCTCCATAGAAGCAAGGGAAGTTGCTGGGCATACCACGAATAAAATTGGTAGTGAAGCGACCGTGCAAAGGTAATCCCAATGAGGTTCGACGTAAAGAGAACGGTGACTATTTCTGTTGGATCCCATCAGACCAAAAACACGATGAACAACATTCGACTTGCCATCGCCAGAGGGAAGGTCCCAGCTGGCTCGCTGTAGCGGACGGATGAAGCCTCGTTTGACGGTCTCAATTAGACCCCCATCGCTTTTAAACCAGCGGAAAAAGGCGAATAAAGCCAACGTTGTCAAATGGCCCATGAGCAGAGAAAGGGCAAATTGCTTTGAGAGGAATGTGTCCTCTGGTATGAACCTCCAGTTGACAGTCCATTTGTATAGAAACTGTCGAGAAAAGTCGAAGGCATGTGAAAGATAGGCCCGAGGATGTGACATGAGAAATGGCATGGCGAGCCAAACCTGAAAGAGGACAATGATGCCCAGATGTACGAGCGATTCGATGACACCAAGGCTCTTGAGGAAGACCACTAGAAGACCTGGCATATACAAGAGTATGTTCATCTTGATGGAAAGGGCAAAGCTACAAGTCTTTAGTCAAGGTTGGTCAAGTGATAGAGGACCGACCTGAATAGGAAGCACGCTATGAGCTCGTTTCCTGCAAACGAGAAAATGTAGATGGAGAACATGGCTATGGTCGATGACCAACAATCGTTGAACAGTCGTAAGACGTAGATGGAATGAAGGCGTTTGCTTAGCGGGAGGAGGAGAAGAACCCAGTTTGGGATCGTTTTCGCACGGTGATATATCATGCACGAGACGAGCATGGACGCCATGTACAAAACACCGTAGATATATTGGACAGTGCGGAATGACGTGGCGTTGAGGACGAAAGAAAGCGCTCGGTGGATCATTACATGGCCGGCTGGGTATCTGAAATGCGTGTTAAGATGGTGCAGTCCACCTTTTTGTATGCGACGACTTACACGAGTGGGCCACTGGGCCCATAAATTAGAGAATAATCACGCTGGCCTTGCTGGACCTTGTCTGCCTGAACGATATAAGTTTCAAAGTCTATTTCTGTGTCTATGGCGATTCCCGAGGGCGTCAGTCTTTTGTCTGGCTGCAGCAACAATACGGCAACGAACAGGCTACGAAATGGATGATGAGGAGTGTCAGGAGAGCATCTCCAGCGAGTATAAGTACTGCTAGTCTCCAGAAATATTGTCGTTTAAACAACAGCGCCTTGACGAGCGTCCAGAGCATCAGAGGGCAGGTCTAAGAAGCATGAGGCGAGCTTTCGACGAGGCCACGGCGGCCGACCAGCTTGTCTCCTCCCAAAATATCAGAAAAAACGCCGGATGTCAAAAATTCGTTTTAAAATTCACACGGGTGTTTAAATGGCAATTTTAGGAGGAGATGGTCGGGAGCGGACGACGGTGACGTATGAGCAATAATTCAACGTAGCTTGCACCCTTACTTCTGCCAGACACACGCAAGGAATTTGAAAGGAAATTGAGGAGTGCGTCAGAGTTGTTTGGAATCGTTTCCCAGTGTTCATGCCACGTCCTGGTGCGTATATCGGACATGGCCGTGCTCCTCCAAGCTGCATGCTTACTATCCTCCCAGAACTTGTCGTTAAAGCTACACCTCTGTCATCTTGATTCGTTTTCTCCTCGACGCGTCTTGTCGATAAGGCCCCCACACCTCCACCATTGGCCACCAACGTCGCCTCCCTTCGTTTGACAGTTGCCCCCCAGCCCTTGACTGCTTCCACAACCTAGGACTTTGCGACTAAATCACCTAGCCCAGATTTTACATGGACTTTTTCAACTCGAAATCCGTCCATGCCGCCCAATCAAACCCTGAAGGTGGGGTCGAGTCCGCCTTTAGTCAAGCCATCAATGAACGCTTTCCTCTGTCAATGCCTCGTCACTCTAACCAGCAAACTGACTCCCGCAATGCCCCTCCAGACGCCCATGCTCCCCTCGTCCGCTGGCAGCAGGTTCGGCTCGCGCACTGCAGTCCCTCGCCTACCGCCTCTTGTCCAGGGAGTCATCTCTGGTCCTGCTCCCCCTCTCGCCATCCCACCGAGTCGACCAATGCCCGTCTCTACGTCCGCTTCTTCATCAACGGCATTCCCGGCCTACATTGCCCTCTATCCGAGCCAGGCCTCGGCCATAGTCGGGTCACATGACATACTCCTGGTCGATATTCGTTCTCATAGCGTCTTTCGCACGTCTCGGATCCGAGGAGCCGTCTCTCTAGTCGTCCCGTCGACCCTACTCAAGCGTCCGGGATATCCGCTAGAGAAAATGGCAGCAACGATAGACGACGCGTCTGCCCGCGAGCGGTTCGAGGCCTGGCAAACGGCAAAACGCATTGTGGTGTATGACGTCGATACCTCTCAATTGAACGAGGGATCCAATGTCACTGGTTTACTTCGCAAGTTTCAGCTTGCCGGATTCACTGGAGAACTTTGCTGGATCAAGGGCGGCTTCAACGCCGTCCAGCAGACGACCCCCTCGCTCGTGGACACGGCGCCTCCGGAGGACTATGTGTCCGAGTCTGATACATCTGCAAGTTCAGATGTACCTCTTCGAGCGAGAAACCTCTCGATGTACGCGTTCCAGCAGGCGTCCACTACCCTGGCTGGACAAAGGACCCCAAAGGGCAACCAGTCTGGCATGAGTTCGGTATCTGCCGCGAACCCCTTTTACGACAACATTCGGCAAAACCTAGAATTGTCACAGGGTGTTGACACCCGGATTGCCCTTCGGCTCCCACAACGAGTAATCGACAGACGAGGCGACCTCCCGTTTCAGTGGCTTCGACAAGTGGTCGATCAAGCCGTCACAGACAGCGTTGGAGACGCACTTGCGATGCAATTCTACCGGATAGAACTCAACGAGCAACGGCGTCTGCAAGAAGTCATGGACCATCACTCCAAAGAGAGCGCCACTGCGGTTGTGGACGATCCTACGCCCAAACAGGAATTCCCTTACAGCATTACAGCCGGAATCGAGATGGGGACGAAGAATCGGTACAGGAACATCTGGCCGTTTGAACATGCTCGTGTTCGTCTGCAAAAGGCGAGCAAGTCGGGTGGTTCAGACTATGTTAATGCGTCTTTTGTGCAATCACTAGTCTCTAGACGTCGGTATATTGCTACCCAAGGCCCACTTGACAGCACATATGATGATTTCTGGTCGTACGTCCCCCGTCTCTCGGCTCATATAGTCACTGATTCTTATTTAGGATATGCTGGGAACAAAACGTCACCGTGATCGTCATGCTCACCCGGGAAGTGGAGAGCTCTTTGGTCAAGTGCGGACATTACTGGAAGGACGGCAATTATGGGGACATCAGTATCCAGCTCATCAGCCAACAAGGCGAGGACGAACAGGTTGATCCAAAGAAACAGCAGTCGGGTGCCTACTTCAACACTAGCACAGATGAGCCGATGAACGACACGATCATTGAAAGAATCTTTCAATTGCGACACAAGGATCATCCCGTAGTTCTCGCAAGTTGACGCATCTTCAATATCTTGGATGGCCAGATTTGGACGTCCCAAGCTCACCTAGCGGACTGCTGGCTCTCATAAAGCGTGTCACCAAAGCTACCGAGGAATCCGCATCCCAACAACCCAATGTAAAAGCCGGGCCTGTGCTATTGCATTGCTCTGCAGGAGTGGGTAGAACGGGTGGCTTTATCCTCGTGGATTCGATACTAGATGGTATCCGGCACGAATTGATAAGGCGGCACTTTCCAAATAAAGCGCATTCTCCCGACGAGATGGACCTCGATTCTGCAGAGTCAGTGCAGTCATCGGCACGCTCATATCCTTCTAATACTCATTCACACTCCGCACTAACCCCAATATCCTCCAATTCTGGTTCGGAATCTGCTCTACCTACCACTGCGGGTGGCCACTCGAGTAGTTCGTGGTCGAAAGAGTCCATAGCGGGCACCTCTCCAGCATCAAAACCATCTCTCCTTGCCGCTCCCAAGCCAAAGAAGCTCTCTCATATTGTCGCGGATAAACTCACCAGAGCGACATACAGACCCGCAGCAGAGGCGTCACGCAACGCCAATGTGGTCGAGTGGTCCAAGGGTCTCCTAGGCTCTTCGAGCGACGTCCAGGCTGCGACGACGCCCTACTTCAACTCACCTTATATGTCAGACTCTCCACTGTCTCGTACAAGTGCCACGCCCAAGTCTGGGGTTAATTACAAGGCGCCACGGAGGCCCGTCGATGGCTCGCCTCCGTTTCCGTCGTCCTTTGCAGAGCCGATAAGACAGGTACTGGAAGACATGCGTGAGCAACGAATGTCGCTCTGCCAGAGTCTGCGTCAATACGTCTTTGCGCATCGCGCCATTCTGGAAGGTGCCCTAGATATTGTCGATGAGATGAGAGCTGCCAATCCCGAGGCGTTTATCTCGTCTAACAATGTGGTAGCGTCGGAGAGGAATGAAATGGCCTGGTCATCCACGTCGTCCCTTTCGTCGATTACCGACCAGCCCATCCAGCCCTCGACATCTCCTACGCGAGCCAAAGCCGGGCGGCTATCATCAAGTGAGGCGAGGACAATGCGTGCGTCATCCATTCCTTCGAGCCCACCGCCTCACCCGAAGGCAGCCACCGGCAAGCGCACTGCAAGTGCGATGAAGTCATCTCCAGGTGAGAGTAGACTTGGCAAGCGACCGTCTTCGAGGCGGAAGCACAACCCTTCTCCCCCTCATTCAGAAACGTCTTCGCGAGAGTCATTTTCAGGGCACTTTACACTCGAAGGTGGCAGTCTCAGTCGAAAATAGGCTTGGCAGCTTGAGTTTTCTCTTCATTCACCTTATTCCAACCTCCATCCAAAACGTCATGGAACGCTGTTTATGACTCATTGGCTCTCACTTTGAGTTTCGTACCTCGAAGTAACTGTATTTCAGCATCATCCCTCTTTGGATTTTTGATAATCCGTTGTATTCTAATCGACCCCTCTTTCACCATAATTTAGTTCGTGTCAAAAGCAACGTGCCCCCTTAGTTCATCTTGATCATCATGAGGTAGCGCAGCTTGATTTGTGCTGTGTCGTAAACGATATACTCGTTGTACTGAAGGTAGGCCGTTGAATCAACATTCGTGAGACCGTCTGGGAAAGGGCTCGTTAGTTGTTCAAGATTAGTTGGGCACGTATTGACGCACCTTTGGGCATCCAGCACCCCTTGAGTTCTTCGTGTCCCAATGCTTCGCCAGCATCCTGCCAATCCTTGGGTTGCGTGCGTCCAAGACCTTTGGTCGCGCTAAGACGAGTGAGTCTATGGTATTACACCCCAGGCAAGTGGGTACTTACAGTTTTTGGGCTTTGCCGCATTCAGACTGAGCGTGATAGTTTGCGTGAACCTGTTCATAAAATGGCTTGGCGGCGACTTCACATAGGAGCATCACGCCAATATTGTCGCTTGCGCTGAGTCCAGAGTGTCAGACGTGTGCCTCTACAACTCAAAAATGAGGACTCACTGTGCGTAGCAATAGTTTGCGCTCTTGCTAAATGCATCGGCAAAGTAAACGCCCTTGCCAAACATGTATCCAGTCACGGGAGCTTCCGGTGGTGCGATGCGGAGACCTTGCTTGAGCTAGTATATCATCAGGATCTGTAGTGATAGGAGAGTATGCATCTGGTAGACCTACAATACCGCAAAAGTTTGTCGAGCGAGAACCGTGCCAGAGCAGGAGCCGTTCCCCGTCTTGAAGCTTTTGATGACCAGCATTGTCCCAGCGATCCCTTTCGTCGTGTCGCTCGACACGGAAGGCCTGGAGAATCTTGCCGGTGTAATGAGAATGCGTATGGCCGTGCGTGCTTGTGACATAGTTTTGGAGAACGCTAAACTCGGACGAATTGGCATCTATTGGGTTCATGAATTTGAGGTTCAGGCTATGGAAGTGCTTGTCGAGTGGATTGATGGGGTTGCCATTGGCGTCGGTTGGTCGTTCGTCATCCATCACCTTTTGAGTGATTTCCATATCCGAGAGCGCGCCGACGAGCTCAAGTTCCTGAGAAAGGATAAGCTTGGCTCAAAGGCCGACGAGGATGGATGAGCTTACAGATTTTAGCTGCTGCTTCGTCTTGACAGGTACGGGTCTTTGTCGACCGAATGCATGGGGAATGATCGAGTAGTAAGCAGCAGAGAGGGTATCGCAAGCGCTTGCAAATCCGCCCAAAGACTTGGCTTTTGGACCATTGGGTGCGTTGATGACCTCGGAAAGTTCCTTGAGAGCAGCAAAGCCCCGAAGGATAGTGTTATTGGAGAGCTGGCCAAGCGGGAGCTTTTGGGCATCATAGTTCATCGCACTCAAGGTTGCACTCATGAGGCTGGTGACGGTGGTCAGTACATAGACTTGCCGAGAGGTGGTAGTAGTAGACTCACTCGGACGAGAAGATCAAGTTGCAGAATTGCTGTCGATGCGATCAGAGGTGGACCATCAAGGAATAAATGGACGAACCTGGAGGGGAGGCTCGAGCTTAGAGTCGGGAATGATGTAGTCTTCCTTTGCCTTTTTACTGACGGGTTTGGCCTCTTCATACGAGCGTTCAATCCATGTATATTTGCCTGTGCCATTGAGCATGTACTGACGTATGGGAACAATGTACATACCTGGTGCAGCGACCATGCCATGACGGGACTCCCATGCAACGGATGACTTGCTCTTGAAGACCTTTTTAAATTCGGCGATTGCTTGTGCTGGCGAGGAAAAGGGACCTTTGACTGCATTCTGGCCATTTTCTCCAACTCTTCCCCAACTAAGAATGTGTAAGTGCCTGCCGCCCCGCCAAGGTGAGCTTCTTACCGGGTGAAAACAAGGTAGTTGGAGTCTGTGTTCTTGGGACAGAGGATCTGTATAACATAAAACTTGTTGTTGTTGGCAGAAATGTTGGTCTGGTTGAGCATAGCATCGTAAATCTGGTCCCCCTCGGTGTATACTTTGTGAGTCGCTGGAAATGTGTGAGTAAGAAACGACTGGCGATTGGGAACAACGTACCAACGTAGTGAGTCGTTGGGTCTACAGGTGCAATACCTCGTTTGAGCTCGACCTCTTCCTCTTCATCATCGCCGTCGCCGTTGACGACCTGTTGCACCGCGTCTTCGTCGTCCTGGGTCGTCTTTTGGCGTTTTGATGCTGGCTTATCGTCGCCAACATCATCATCGTCGTCGTTGTCGTCTTTAGCTGCTCTCTTCTTTGACTTTGCAGCTGTTGCCTTTCTCTTTGGTGCTGGTTTTGGTGGAGGAGAAGGTGCAGTCTGTGCTGCCGCCGAGGTGGAGGCTGCGGTAGAGCGAGTGCTGCGACGAGGAGGCATTTGGAAAAAGTGGATTGTGATTGGAGTCGAAAGTGGCAACATCGACGGGCCTTTTATACGTCGGGAGGCAGTGAACTAGTCAGGTCGTCGGTCCTTCTACATTTGGAAATTAGTCGAATCGAGTCATTCTGAAAAGGCGCGCGGTTGGTGAACGTGTGGCAAACATCTGAATTGGTCACTCTTGGATCTTGCCACATCTCGACACGCACCATGGCCACCCAGCCCGACTCGAACATTGACCCCAGACAGAAAATTCTGGCAGATTTCTTCACTTGTGGTATGTGAAAAGTTGTGGATGCGCGCTGGAAACTGACTCTGCAAGTCATCTGTCACGACATCATGTCACATCCATACACAAGTAGGTCAAAAACACACCACGTTTCGCTGTTACTCATCGTCTAGTCGTCGATTGCTTGCACAAGTTTGACAAGGACTGCCTCGCCGAGTATTGGAAGCAGTGCGTACATTGGTACATTCATGCCTCGAGACTAATCCTCCCGCAGAAGCAATTGCTGTCCACTCTGCAAGGTCCAATCCACAAAGGCCAGTCACGACTTTACGGCCCAGGTCATGATCGAAAGCGCCTCTGGAATCTCTGCCCCGCCTCGCGACAACGCGCCCATCTTCCCATACGGACTCCTCTCTCTCGGTGCTTCTCGTGGTTTTAGCAATGATATTCTCGATGATGGTGACGAGGAAGAAGAGGAAGACGACGACGCACCCATGGATTCATATCCCGGGATTCAATTCTTCCATCCACCGCCTAGAGTTGGAGGAGATTTAATCTTCCCGTGCGAATCTTGTCCGCGCGGCAATAGCACTGGATACGAATGTCCCTGGCCCATCCCTATGCCGAGCGCTGAGCAGATTAATGCTGAGTCCCAGCGCCTTGGTGTGCCAATTCGTGCTCCTACCATGGGAGAGCCTCGTGCTCCGTTACCTGAAGACGATGATGGGCAAGTATCTACCTCGCTTCTCCTTTGTGGCTGACTTGTCTGCAGACCTGCCGTGAATGCGCACCTGCAGTGTGATGGATGCTCTCTCTATGTTCCACGCAACTATCCTGCAAACATTCGGTGCACCAATTGTCGAAAAGTGTGCTGCGCTCAGTACACTAATCAGCCAAACTGCAGGGGTATTTCTCTCTTTCCTGCGAATGGTAAGTCCCTCCTGGCGTATCATTCATCTCTTGCTCAAGCGTCTAGACCTTCACTACAAGGGCGATACTGTCTACGATATCGCCGAGGGGTTTCCTTTCAACGTCCTGAGAAACCGAGAGGAGATGTCACGATTCGAATCATACCTCCAAACTCACGGTATCACTGCTTCTACGATTCTGCGACGCATTGTCGAAGCAAACGAAGCCGCATTTGAGCTCACTCAAGACGATGCACTCACTATCGAAAGCCAGGGAGTGCGCAGGTCTAATCCGTGGTCGGATGCAGTTCTTTGCAACATGTGTATCGAGAATATTGTTCGTATTCAAGCTGGACCCTGGCAATGGTGGATGCGGGAGAGGGAGACGGCCGACCTGGATCGTGAGTAATGCACTACTTGCCTGTTTTGACTCTAATGTTTCCCTCAGCTGTCGTTCAACTTCTTCCAAACTGTTGGTCAGTCGCTCTTCTTGAAACACTGGCGCTCGCTCATATTTTCGCGTAGGTATGGATATGAATGCCGTACGCAAGTCAAGCCTGCACACGAATCTTCACATGCAGCTCGCTATAATGTAAGAACATCTCTCTGTATCGTGACCATCCTGGCTGACACCGTCCTAAGCACATCTGTTCCCGCACAAGGAGGTAGATCATCACGTAGAATTCATCAGTTAGAGGCGACAAAGATTTCTTGTACTGTCTATGTATTTGTATTGGCGCAGCCACTTGCAACTTGGCTTCCTCCTTGACACCCGAGTCCTCGCAAAACCTTGCCTGACAGGCGTATAACACAAACAACGCGAACCTCATCATGAAAGGTGCCCCTCTCATGATGCTTGGGAGTCCCGAGGCTGATATCTGTCCATCGCATTCGACATCATTTGCGCTATTTTCGTCTGGATACCACTATTTCGACAATACATGGACAAACAGGCATTCAGCGCTTTGTGCAGCGTACGCCGCATCTGCTGACGTCCAAAGTCGGCTTGTCCAAGAGTCAGTTCTCTCTCGTCTGGCCGTTGCTGGTGTCGCCAGCATGCGGTATGATACGCGATATTTGTATGCTTAACCATGTTTAGAGTCGAATGATCCAGAGTTTGACGAATTTGCGCGGAATTTCGAGGTGATGGAAAAGGCGGTCGAGGCGCTTCTCAAGGACTCCAAAGTCTTTGCAGACAATGTCATCAGTATGTCCTCTCTACATTCCTCTCTCGTATGTGTGACACTCAAACGCTGACGACGTTGGTCTCTTGGCGTGCCGCGGTCACTCCACCATTGCTCTACTTTACAGTCTTATTGGAATCGGGAGCTAAATTTGGCGAAGGCTTTGCGAATCTGTTTCACCCATTACCGGGAGAGTATGATTTGCTACGACAACATCCAGAGGCGGAGAAGACGGTCAAGAGCGTTGATAAATATACGACGGCGATGCAGGAGCTGCGGGATACATTGGCGCCCGAACTCGAGTTGATTGCGAGTCGGATCATTGAGCCGACGAAGGAATTTCAGGCGGTCATGAAGACGATTCGGAAGAATATAACCAAGCGGGAACACAAGGTCAGCTCTGACACGATCCTTTAAAGTGGCTCATTACGTCGGGACTAGTTGGTTGATTATGATCGACATAACAATAGCTTGACAAAGCTGAGAGAAAAGAAGGACAAGTCGTTATCAGACGAGAAGAATCTGTTCAAGGTGAGCGGAACGCCGCGAGGAACGAGCAGAAGCTCAATATTACATAGCTTGAACAAGAGTTTGACGTTGCAACCCAAGAGTACGAGGCTATCAATACGGCCCTCAAGGCGGACTTGCCCCAGTTTATGGTCTTGGCCACACGCTTCATCGACCCGCTTTTCCATTCGTTCTACTACATGCAGTGAGTGAATATCTCGAGCTACAGTAGAGTGTTGATCCACAGCCAGACTCAACATTTACTACTTGATGATGGAAAAGTTGCAGGGTTTCGCCACGGAGTCCAAGTACCGCTATGAGGTGACGGGTCAACAGATCCAAGAAGAGTACCAGGAAAGACGTGGCGATACCTGGGAGAAAGTTGATGCCTTGACAATCAACAAACGGATGGCGTCTACAGGCAAGCAATACCCCAGTGCCTTTCTTTGCATATCTTATACGATTTTTAGCCATGAGACTACAACAAAAGCGATCTGGAACGAGTTTGTCGCGTGCTACTACAAGCGCTTCGATGGCGTCGAGTTCATCCGGTACCTCGTCATTTAAGAAGGCGCCTCCACCTCCACCACCAGGATCGGCAGGTTTCAAAAAGATGCCACCTCCGCCTCCACCGGGTTCGTCTGCTGCGGCTGCAGCGAAGCGAATGAATTCCGGTCCTCCCGCTTCGAGCTCTGCTCCTCCACCTCCTTATACTGCAGGAAACAGTCCTGCAGCCGCCGTGGCCGCAGCGACCAAGCGACCACCTCCGCCTCCACCGGCCAAGAAACCTGCTGTCCCACAGCCGACGTATGTGATTGCTCTGTATGACTTTACTGCCCAGGTACGTGTTCGTTTGAACCGAGTCAGATCGTGCTTGGATGCTTATCCTTTCCTAGGCTGATGGTGACCTGGACTTTGTGACGGGGGATAAGATAGAGGTGTTGAATCGTACAGCCAGTCAAGAGGACTGGTGGAAAGGTCGATTGAACGGACGAGAAGGTGTCTTTCCAGGTAAGGTTAGCTTGCGAGTAGCGGGACATTGTACTGATGCCCCGCAAAGGCAACTATGTGCGGGATGCATAAAGAACTGTGCTGTAGATAAATTTCTTCTTCAACAAGTCAAGGGGCGGTGGATATCTGAATGAAGCCCTTGAAAGTGACAGGGCTATTGAGCTTTTGAACCTGAACCTCGACATGTTCGAGTCTCTTTCGACTGCTGAGGTCGTTCAATATCGTCCTTATAATCCTAAAGACGCTTCATCATCCGAAGGATACTCTCTCCAACTCCATACGTCTCTCCCGGGTGTGGCTCAGCCGGACGTTGCCGCCAGCGACTCCCCAGTCTCCCCATTACCCTCTGCAGGACACACGAATGGGAAAAAACGCAAAGGAGACGCGTTAGGCTCGTCAAATTCTACCAAACGGTCGCGTCAATCAATCGGTCAAGCGGGCGAGCCGCGAAAAGCGGCTGCGTTGGAACGTATGGAGCGCCCTTCGCCTCCGCCACGATCTTCCTCGTCTCAGAGAACGAATAATGCACGCATTGTGGATCGATGGCAGCCCATTGAGCGTCCATGTGCTTCGACGCGCGCTGTTGACTTGACCAACTTGGTGTCGAGCTACGAAATTGTCAGGAGTAGCCTTGCAAACTTTCGAGCGTGTGAGTATTATGTGTCATTTATAATATTTTACGCGTTTTTGCTCCTTTGGTCGCTGATTTGTCCCAAAGATTTTCTCAATAAGCGAGATCCGTATGACCAAAGCTTTCTCCCAGAGTACATGCCATTCGTCGAGTTGGAATACCCTATGACGGGTATCACTGAGCGGTTCGTGGTATTGCGATGGCTTCTGCATCTCATTCTGACTCTTTCAGATTTCCACTGTTGTCACCGAAGAACCACAACTCATGGCATCCTATTCGGGAGCTGATGGAAGCAGTTTATACTATTGTCAAGTGTATGTTTTGGTATGCAAGACGTATGGGCCACCTGACTCGCAAATAGATTACCTTCCTGGCGAGCACGCCAGACTCCTCGGGAACCCAGAACACAGCTCATCTTTCCGACTGAGAGAGATATTCGGCACTAGTAATAAGCCCATAGTTCCAGAAGAACCACCAAGCTTTGACTCCACGGGAAGACCGTTGAAGCGGACCCCTCCACACGCCGGAAACTTGCTTCGCCGTATGGAGCGAGCGTACGAGAACAAGGATGGCATCGAGTTTATCAGTTCAATCAAAGATATCAATCATAGGCTCCGGACGCTCAAGCAACACGCAGATGGCAATCTCTTGCTACGACAGCCCGAGGGCTGGAAGGGTGTCCCACCAGAGCTAGCCGTACAAATTTACGAAGAGACGTACATGAGGTCAGCTGGGCCTCGTGTTAAGGATTTACTCAAGTATCAAGCCTTCTCCTCTACCACTTACGGCGAGTTAAACCCAGGGTAAGGCCCCTTCACTATCGAAAATCTACCCGCTCAGGAACGCTGCAGTCTAATATCGGAGATGGCGCATAGAGCTGGCCTGAAGCCTGGTGTCAACTTTTTGGATCTCGGAAGTGGGATAGGGAACGTTGTCATCCAGACTGCCCTCATGTCTGGCTGTTCCAGTGCCGGTGTAGAGAAGCTCAACATGACAGCGGATATTGCTGATGAAGTACACCGCGTCTTCTTGCAACGATGTCGCATGTGGGGTGTCGAGTCGGGTCCCACCGATATATTCCAAGGCGACTTTATGGTTCACAGCGAAAAGTTGTCAAACATCATCAAGAATGCGGACGTGATCTTAGCCAACAATTTCGTCTTTGACCCTGCTTGTGAGTTCTCGGTCCTGGGGCATTTATGGAGACTCATACCGCCATAGTGAATGAAGGATTGAAGGCCCTGTTTTTGGATCTGAAGGATGGGGCCAAAATTATTTCTCTCCGCAGTTTTTGTGATGGTCAAGTGACGGCAAGAAACATTGGTGCCATAGAATCTATTCTAGATGTGGAGAGCTTCGAGTGGCATTCTGGGGATGTTTCTTGGGGGGATGCGGCAGGTGCGTTCATGTTTACTGGATATTATTCTGTCCATCTGACTGGCATTAGGGCGATATTTTATTTCTACTGTTAACCGTGCGCGGGTGGGAAAGCACTACGAGGCTCTCTATAAGGAAGCTCAAGGACCTAGCCGTGGCTCACGTCGTCGAAAGTGATCTGGTAATCGTACCCACATCGCTCTATCATTGACTTGGTCACATATTTCATGGTTTCTGGTCAGGCTATTATGACTCATTGTACTTCAAGATGCAAATGTAATATTCGGCCAAATTTTACTTGCTCAGACGGTCCATTATGCAGAGTTCAGAAGGTGCTCGCAAGGCGGACTAACGAGTGCTATAAGAGTTACATGAGGGACCAATTGAAAGGGCAAGATATCAGACTTCAACGGATTAATTCGACATTAAAATTGCGAACTGTCGACAGAATAATGGGTGGCATGTAGGTTCCCAAGTTGGTCCCTGCCCTTTTTCACGTTGTAGGCACCTCTATCCCTTATTAGCCAATTAATTCACTGAGGGTCACCTGTCAAAGTACGTTTAATTCCTTCATCTGACAAGTAGTTAGGCATGTTCTATGGCCACCCTGAACATCAGCCCAATGCTGCGAATCTACTTTGGGAGCTTATCGAACAAGACGAAAGAGCTTTGCAAGAAGTGAAGGAGGAGGAAGAAAGACTCGAAAATGAGCGAGAGGGAATTTTGGCCCACCTAGGTGTGCTTGCCAACGATACCCAGGTGTTGGGACAGCTCGCAGAAGTCGCTTTGCCGAACATCAAAAACATTATCGATGCGCTTAAACCCGAAATCTCGGCATTGGAAACGAAACGCGAGGATGGTCACTTTTCCAACTATGGAGGATGGCTAGAAAAGTATAAAAATTACATCAAAGTTACTGTAGGGTTTATGGAAGAGATTCAGCACCACAAAACTCGACAATTGGTGCGAGAGTACGTCGAACCGGAATCCATGGCCCGACTCAAGCTTGATCATATTGATGGTCTGTTAAAAGAGACCGCCGATCGTATTCAGGCTACCTCTATCCGTCTTCAAACAAAACGCCTGAAACTATCCAAGACCCCCTTCTCAAGGCTTACGGACGAGAATTGGAGACTCATTTTCGGCTTTGCATCAATATCCTTCCACCCTCATCATGCCGGTGAACAAGTGTGCGATCGTTCAATTAGTACGTCCATTCATGCGCTCACTCGCGTCTGTCATCGGTGGTATAAAGTCATCTATCAATCTTCGAAGCTTTGGAGGAGAGTGTATCTCAACTACGAGGGGCTCAAGAATGACTCGTCCAGGAAGCTTCTCAATCTGATACTAAGCAAGGCAGGTGATACACTCGATCTTCTGTGTATTCATCCCTCTACACGTCACTGGCGTGTGGATGATAGGTGGGCTGATTCTCATTTGCATCAGCTTCAACAGCTCAACACAATCCACCATCTTGAGGTTTCATACAACTCCTCGGCCACAGCAGAGTATGTTGGGCATATGCTGGATGCCTTGCCAACACCATATGAACTTGCTATTAGAAGCTTGCTCATGACTAATACTCGCCTCCTATATCACCCAAGAAGCCTCGACACGCTCGAAGTTGTAGAGGCCACCAACGTCGAGCTGGTGCTTGAGACTGGTCGAAACTTGCCAAACCTTAAGCTTCTCAAGTTACAGGCTAACACCTCCATCACCCCTTGTACCGAATTTTACGATACATACTCCAAAACAAGCACTATAGATCTCGCGGGGGGAAGTTTTCACCTTCCTCGTCGGGTTCCCCGCTTACAGCCCTGGGACGCACACAGTATTCGCGGAACGCTGAATAGCATCCTCAGTGTCTTTAGTCCCCGAGTTGTATTTACGCAACTCAGTGAGATTACATTACGCTTTCCTCCGGAGCCCGCCAATATGCCCGACTTGGCTACATGGTGCAGTTTTCTCAGTTCTAGCAAGGCATCCACTGTCACGAGCTTGACTCTGTATCCAATGGAGAACGCTAAGATACTCAGTCACTACGTCACCGCCCTCCATAATCTCGCTCGGCTTCGTGTTCACGGCTCAAGTGTGGATCCTCTCCTGAAGGAGTTGACATGGCAGGTTGAGGATGAGAGGAGCAAAGTATTGACCTTTCTTTCTGTACTGGAAATCCACGATTATGACGGGAGAGGCTCTCCAGTTGTCGAATTCTACCAGTCCAAGCTCGCCTCGTCATACCGCACACTCCGGACGGTCAGATTCGCGAACTGTCCCAACATTCCACAGGAGATCCGTCAAATATTTATTGACAACTAGGGAAGGGGTGCACCCTTTCTTATCTGTTGTAGATTTCGCGTTCCTATCTCTCATACTTGGGTTTTCCTTTCAGATATGCATATCCCACCACGATCTCTTTGATTTAGTATATAGTACCGAATACATTTGGATGGAGTTCTTATCTATAGCAGCTGCATGAACGATGACCGAGAGTATATATCAGATGCGGATTGGCCTGGAGTGCAAAATGAGCTCGATTAAATAAGCATACAACATCCTGTAATCTAAGACGAGCTATTGTAGTCCTCATCGTCGCTGTCAACAATCGCCCTCTTCACAGTCCGACGAGGTGGGGTTGAATAGTCCTGGAGGCCAGCAGCGGATGAGCCCGAACCTGGTGGGGGAGGCACATTGCCAGTTGATACAGGAGTCGCATATCCGCTGACGGCGGTGCTGTTGACGCTATTCGTCATCGGAATGTCCAGACCAGCCGTGACACGGTCGAGTGTCTCATCAAAGACCTTTTGCATCTCGTTTGCGTCATCGTATACGATTGATCCCTCGGTATTGTACGTGCGAGCATTGTTGAACATGAGATGCCAGTCGGCTTTGAACTGGGCGACGCTCTTGTAATAGGTTCCACTGACACGCTTACGGATCGTAGAGATGGCGATGGGCTGCTGAATGTGCATATAATAGTCGGGGTAGTCGTCCCTGTCTGGTAACTCCTTGAATAGCTCACATCGAAGCCGGCCAGTATCATCCCGTAGGTCAAGAACTGCACGATGACATGCCTGGAATGCCTCGCGCATACGCTCACGGACGTGAGGAGGGAGGGGCGGTTCCTTGGGAGCACTAGGAGCACCAGTCTTGCGACGTTTCTGGATGAATGGTAAGTAGGGACGGATAGCAAAGAAAAATGGAGCATACTGGAGCAGGTCGTTCCACTTCTTCATCCTCTTCGAGCTCGGGAGGAGTTTCGGCCTTGCCAATACGCTTGCGCTTTGCGGATCCAGGCGGGGCATTACGCACGCGATTGCGCTTCGGAGCCTCTGGTTCGGAGTCGGATTCGACGGGTTTTGCGTTCCTTCCTCCAGCCAGCGCAAGTGGAGGAGGCGCCGTACCCGGTGGCGGCTCTTCGTCGGTATAGTACCCATCGATTTGCTGATGAAATGTCAGCACCAAGAAGTGATCAAGAGCAAGGAACAAACCTTGATAAAATCGGCCTCGGTCAAGTTTTCCGCGTATGCAACGTTGTTGCGCTTTCGATGACCACGGCCAACAGCTTGGACCTCTTCAAGTAGGCGAGGTGCTTCTTCGGTGCGGTAAATCTCAGGCAGCTCCTCAACCGAAATGAGATCGGTACGGTAACCACCATTTGCGATTCTCTGCTCATTCTCCCGAGCAGTATCTTTGTCAATCTGATGGAACAAATCGGCTTCCTCTTCATTGCGAGCAAGGATTTCGTTCATCTCGTCGTCATTGAGGATCCCCGACTCCTCGGCGTCATCTTGGTCTCCTTCGATGAGTTGACGCTGAATGGTTATTAGTAGATATAAGTTGATGATCGAAAGAGCATTACCAAAATGGCCTCTCGTTCCTGTGCACTAGACTTGTTATCAAATTTACCAGCTTGAATGACTTTTTCGTCAATGTTAAGCTTGTTACGAGCACGAGCAAGCATCGACTCTTCGATACTCTTCTCGGTAACAAACCGATAGATTCGCACAATCTTTGTTTGTCCAATACGATGTGCACGGTCCTGGGCCTGAAGATCTGCATGCGGATTCCAATCACTGTCATACCTGGGAGGGCTCAGTCATACCTCTTGCACGAAATAGCCGACTCACAAGATCACGGTGTCCGCAGTCTGCAAGTTCAAACCCAAACCTCCGGCACGAGTAGACAAAAGGAAGATGTTGTAGGGCGAGTTGGGCGCATTAAACTTTGCAAGCAACTCGGCTCGATCTTCGGGTTTCGTGCTTCCGTCCAGACGCAAAAACTCCCAGCCTCTATATCGCAAATAGTCCTCCATGATATCCATCACTTTGGTCATTTGGAAGAACATGAGTACCTAGAATAATGAGTATGCAGTTAGACGGGGACCTATTTCCACGTACTCGGTGGCCAGAACGGAAGAGCTTGGGCAACATGCGGTTGCAGAGTTCCATCTTTCCAGAGACACGGATAAGCTGCTCCATTCCGCCCAATCCATGGTTTGCCATCGACGTTTCGACGTCATCAAAGAGGTATGGATGTTGACAAATCTTGCGGTACTGCATGAGCACATTTTGGAGACCCTTGATTTGTTGCGCTTTCCTGGTTACAGAGTCAGCACGATACGGCACAAAACACGAGACAACGTACCCATTGCCAGCTCCCGAAACGATCATGCCAAAGTTTTGCATCTGATAGTACAATCGTGATTGTAGACCACTCATGCGGACCTTGATCACGCGCTCCGACTTGTCCGGCAAGTCCGCCTCGACGTCCTTCTTGAGACGTCGGAGCAAGAATGGACGCAAGACTTTGTGCAGACGACGAATGATGAGGAGCGACTCTTCTTCGTTGAGTTCAATCTTGTCGCCTCCACCAGTATTGGCAAATGGTGTGTTGAACCACTCATCGAAGGACTGGATCGAATTAAAGACCTTCGGGAGTACGAAATTGAGGAGGGCCCAAAGCTCGGGAAGGTTATTTTGTAACGGCGTTCCGGTGAGAATAAGCCGATGTCGAGAAGTATAGAACTGAGTAAGCGTCTGAGACAACTTGCTGTTCGTGTTCTTCATACGATGTCCCTCGTCTGTGAAAACGTCAGTGGATAATGTCTTTGGAGTATATTTACGCACCTATAATCATGTGGGTCCACTTCCACTTGCATAGGATAGGGCGGTCCTTGATAATATACTCATACGTGGTCAACAAAACATGGAACTGGTTTCGCAACTGCATTTGCAGGTTGCGCCGAACGTTGGGGAGACCCTTGTAGGAAATGACGGTAAGACTAGGAGCCCACTTGGCGAATTCGAGACTCCAGTTAGTGAGCGTCGATAGTGGTACGATTACAAGGTACGGGCCCGGCTCGTTTTTGCGCTCGATGAGATAGGTGATGAGAGAAATTGTCTGGATCGTCTTGCCGAGACTGAACACGAATATCAGATTAGCACTAACAACGAAAGAAGAAAAGACAAACCCCATTTCATCTGCCAAGATACCATCGAGCTTGTTGTTGTACAAGCTGACCATCCATTGCAACCCTTTGAGCTGATACTCTTTAAGCGTTCCGCCCGTGAGGATGCGGGGCTGCGTCGTAATCTTTTCGTTGATACGATGTGCAACTCTGTAATAATCGACCTTGCCCTTATCGTCTGCATCCTCCAATTTGGAGGCACCAAACGCCGTTTCGTCAATAGGCCCGTCAATTTGGTCGTATTCTGCCATCGCCATCATGGGCCGTCCGCCAGCAGATCTCTGTTGCTCAGCGACGGCTTGCGCGAGCGAGTCGAGATACGTGTCGGTCTGGGCGAGGAGCTGGGTGATACGCGTGTCCTTTGCAGTGTCGATGAGCTTGAGGTAAGTATCCTCATCGTCATTCTTGAGGGCACGAAGACGCTCCTTGGCGATGCGTTCGACACGTCTCTGCTCCTCCTTTTCCGTCTCCGAATGGAACTTGGCGAGACCTCTGCCCAGGCGCTGTACCTTGGAGAGATTGTTCCTCTTCTCTGTCAGTATCCTTTGGCCGTGTTGACAAATTATGCGAAGGTAATCGAGATGCTTTTGCTTGGCACGTCGTTCTCGTTCCAGTCGCTGCCTGCGCTCAGCAGCTTCGGTCGCCCGTGCATCTCGAAGTGGGCTTGCGAATCTTGCGGAATTCCTTTCGGTCAGTCGGAAGTGCGGTGCCATAGAGCATCTTTTCGACGACCGTCTGGCGTAACGCGCGCTGCTTTTGACGAAGGGCCAATCCCTTTTGCTCAATCAACAGTCGAAGTTTGCCGCTTGCTGTCGTCGGAGGGAATATACCACGTTGGGCTAGTTTCTTCAACGCCTCAGACTTATCGTCCACTGGCGGGCCCTCGAGTCCCTCGCCGATTGTGCTCGAGAGTTGACCAAGCTCGTTTAAGCGCTGCTCGATTCTTGCGTCGATAAAGCGACGTCGCTCAGCCAGCATGGGCAGAATATCGAGTCCTTGCGGATAGAGGGTGGGCATGAGACTACGTTGGCCCTGGATTTGTTTAGATTGCTCAAATGGGCTGACATAGGCATTGAAAGGGAAGATGAGGGAAGATGTGTCGTGCTCGATATTGTTTGGATCTTCGACCATTCGTCCTGGTGGAGCAGCAGCCTCGCCATTGAGACGCGCTGCCTGTTGGATCGCGTCTGGGACAGGAGCCGCACGCTGGACGTATTTCCAGGCGGATATCTGTGCTTTGAGCGTATTAAACTGCGTGTCGGTGAACGAGAGTGCGATGGGTGGCGAGGGCGATGTTCCAGGGACTCCCGCTGGCGGTTGCGACGCCGAATCTGCCATCTGGGGCTTTCCATTTGTGAGCGGATGCGCGTCTGAGTGCTGAGGAGTCGCGTTCTGAGCCTGGAGACGGGCGTGGTAGGACTGGATAAACGCCTTTAGATTTCTGGCCTCTTCGTTTGAGTCGTCTGTTGGAATTCCCGATTGCTGCATAACGGCGAGTCTCTAGTCCAACGGACGTTGCTTTAGCCATGGCTGGAGACGTCAAGGCGGGCTCCAAAACTTACCTGGAGCGCGTTTGCAAGTGCTGGATCGTTGCGGGCCCCCTGAGTCAGCATTGGATACCCTCCAGCGCCTGCTGCCATGGGTGGCCGCACTGTCGTCGCCATTTTTCTAGATTATTCGAGTCGGCTGCGTTTGCCCAACGAAACAAAACCGGCGCAGGCGACCCGTTGGCTTTGGTCAGCAACCTGCCTCCCCCGCTTGTCCTTTTGCCTCTCTCCAAAATTTATATTTAATTTTCCAAATGACTTCTGTGATTACTACACGCAAAGAACAGGCTGCACAGGCTGCACGAGATGTCCTCCAGCCGCAATTCCACCAGGCAAGTGACGCCTTCTCACCAGACATTCCTAACATGCCACTCCAGGTCCATCTCAAAGTCGAAGACTATCTCAAGTTTCGTCCAGAAAACCCTATCAAGCTCGATAAAGACTCGCAGATATGCAGAGCAGCCCTGAACGGACACTGTCCTCTCGGCCCAAAGGACTGTCCACTACGCCATACAAATCCCTCACCGCTCAACTTTCAGCCAGCCCAACAGGGTCGCGATCAACGGGATCCTCGCCTCATGTCTACCGTACGTACTTCCCAGCCTCGTCTCACTCCATACTCACAAAATCTTAGGTATGTAAGCACTGGCTACGAGGATTATGTAAAAAGTCAGACGCCTGCGAGTTCCTCCACGAATATAACCTTCGTCGTATGCCAGAATGCTGGTGGTACGCAAAGAATGGCTTTTGTTCTGCTGGCGAAGAGTGTCTCTATGCACATCCAAAGGGAAGTCGCGTCGAGTGCCCAGATTACAATAGGGGCTTTTGCAAACTTGGTATGTCTAACTTCTGTCTAAATTTGTGATCTAACAATCCTTAGGTCCTGACTGCCCGCGCAAGCACGTTCGGCGTGTGATTTGCCAACTCTACTTGAACGGTTTCTGTCCGGCTGGTTCTTCATGTCCAAAGGGACAGTAAGTAGTCTTTTAACATTCAAACCATGGTGTGCTAACACAACCCGTCAGCCCCAAACCCACTTTACCTCCTCCCTCTGCGTACGAGCCAACACCCGATGCTCAACGAGAACTAGGGCCCCCTCCGCCAAACTTGGTACGATTCGGAGGAGATCCCAACCAGCCCGTCTTCCGTCCAGATGGCTCGTCGTTTGTGCCCAGGCGTAATCTAGATGAGGTGCGTGTCTGTGCTCCCGACTTTCTAATTTGTTGACCAATTTGTAGGTCCTCTGCTTCAAATGCGGTCAGTATGGTCATTATGCAAATCAATGTCGCAATCGCAACGTTCCTGGAAATCGAGGAGGTATCGAGCGTGGTTTGGCACCGTTGAAGAATGAAATGATGTGAACTCTATTGTAACACCTTTTAAAATTTACGCTCGTCATTCGTTTTGCATTTGTCTTTGCGCCGTTGGTTTGCCTAAGTAACAGGCAGTATGCAATCAACTATGCTACATGCTTTTCTTTGAGATCTCGTCAATAACCTGTTCAATCACCGCCAACTTCTGGACTTCTTTCGAATACTTGACTCTGGAATACAACCATTCGCATTCGAGTGATTCGCATCGGATTGGATCGGCAGGTGCAACACCAGAGCACGATGCACAGACAATTTGGCACTCGTTTCGCTTTTGCTCAGCGGTGTGAAGACGGCTCTTGAGTTCGTAAATGGTAGACTCGGGGGCCGCGAGACAAGTAAGACAGACATCTGTGAACTTTCTCAGTCGGATATCCGCGGAGGCAGAGAGGGTCCAGCTTACCTTCATTCGTAATATTTTCACATACCATGCACAGGTTGCTCGCAAAGTGACTTTCAATCTTTTGTACTTTGGGACCTTTTCTGCCCCCGGTATACTTGAATGGCGTGTCGATATCGTAAGCTTGCTTGGGTTGCCCTTCCATCTTTTGTGGCTTGGGCATCTCATCGAACCATCCTTGTACATCAACTCCAACCAGATTGAAGATTCTTGCGAGAGGTGGGATCAACCGGTTCGCGACATAGTATTGCGTATCGAGTTGCATGCCACTATGAAAACGTCAGATTCAAGACATGCATAGCAGTAATCTCTAACTCACGTCTCGTCAAACAGCAGCTCCTCTGGAGCAACACATCGATCGCTGAGGCGTTGTCCTGGTGCAGCGCGAGTGATAACGAAGCGCACGCGCTCGCCGTATTGAACCTCGTCATTTGGATCTTCGGCCATGCGTGCCGCAGCTATGGCAGCACCAGGCTGTGGTGCGACTTTATCACTATAGATATACGAGTTATTCGGATACTCGCACGGTTATCCGCTGACCTGTAGGTACCCATCCGCACTTCCTTGGCGAAAATGAAGTCTTGGATGGAGAACCGTCCTTCGAGTATTCGGGTCCAGTTTCTCCAACAGTATGCCTTTACTTCGCTCAAGTCCTGGGTTCTGAATAAAATCCTAGATGAGCATTAGCACCAGGGACACAGTTTATACCTGCTCTTACTTGAGACTTGTCTCGACCATTTTCTGACCCGCCGGAATTCCATCTCTGCGCACCGTCTCGATGCCCTTTGCGTCAAACTCCGGTTGGATCTCGTCAGGATCCTCGTATTTGAACCCGACATATCGCTTCTTGGCAAGCAGTACTGATGGAAGGTAGACCTGAACCGCATGAGCGTCACCGTCAACGGTGCCATGCACTTACCTTCTCAAACTTAAGTTTCACCGGTGAAGGATTAGATGCCGTCACAGCGTTTGCGATTTGATTCCCAATGACGAAACTGCGGTCTCAAATCAGGTTCCATTACTAGATATGGCAAGAGCATACGCCTGTTCTTTGGTCTTCCCTGGAAGCTTTGTGTGCGTTAAAAGAATGAAACAAAGTAGTGAGTAACCAACATAAACAAATAGACTGTCAGTGTCTCCATAGACGACATGGGCCCCCCATTTCGATGTAGATTCGATTAGATGAATAGCCTGCCGTCTATTAGGATCATATTCATGTCATACATCGGATATATACCTTTTCTAATGTTTCTCTTCCCGACTGTACGATGGAGTCGGCAACCTCGACCGCGGGCATCCTTCCAGAAAATGAGGCAGAGGTATAGCCGTACGTAACGTTACTGTCCAAAATGAGATGGATCTCTGATCGAGGAGATGATATACCAAATGAATTTCAAAGAGAGCTGCCTGGCATCAAGGACCCGAAGGAGAGCCTATGACTGATGTTGGTCCATGTAAGGCCAGGAGGCGACGAATATACCTTATTGTTACCAGCAAGCTTCATACCTTGCTTGACCATCACTCTCGTGTCGAGGAGTTCTGTTAACATTTTGGCCAATAAACTCTTTCGAACACTAGGCTTGACATATATCATCCCATTTGGTGCAACTTACAGGATCGTTAGACGGCAATGAGTCAAGATTGCAGACTCACTAGTAAGATGGTCTTTCAGTTTCTCCAGGGTGCCTGCTGGGATCTCCAGATTATCTAAAACACCAAACTTATTCTGTCCTTTGAAGTCTTTGATACGGCCGAGACATGTAGAATAGCAATAGTTATACGCCACCATTACGGAGGGATATAGACTCTGAAAGTCCAGCACAAGAAGAGGACTCTTGTAGAATGCTGATGCAGGCTCCATGATGAGTGGCATCTAGATCCAGTTAGCGAAGAGGTTAGGTTAGTACCAGATCTTACACATTCCGCGCCATTTTGTTTTCCGACCTACGGAACTGTCAAATATAACGGTTGCTCACGAATATCATGCGTACCTGTGCTCTGCTCGGCGAAATAAGTACGAAGCTCTCCGGCTTTGCAATACGTAACATGAACGATTCGACCTTGAACTGGGAGCCTCGACTGATCACCGAGAAGAAATCGATCCCAAAGACACGAGCAAACTCCCTAGTATATACCATAAGCTCACCGAAGGATGATAGATATCAACATACGAGGTCTTAGTAACAAATTGAGTTTCATCCAGAATCTCGAGGACTATGGAAGCAAGGTCGGCTATGTAGGATAGAACACGAGATGCCTCGGCTGGAGTGCCCTCAGAGAACCATTGGTTGAGAGTAGCGTTGGTGTATCGAGGTACCCTTTGTTTAAGGACATGTCGAGCCACGTTATGGAGCGTATAAAAGTTGAGATTGAGTTCTGAGCGCATGACACGCCACGTATTGATAATATGACGACCAGCAATCTATGATTCGTTAGAGTGAGATAGCTTGGCATCTGACTTACTTTCAGGCTGGAGGTATGGCGAGTGCTCCAATTGTCAACATTACCTCCGGATCGCTTCCTTGGGGCACGACCCAAGAGCTCTCGAACATCAACACCTGATACTTCATAAGTAATTTATCTGTGCGCAGTGGATACGCACCGTAGGACTGTGCTCGTGCCATAAAGTATCCCCAGGAGTTTGCTTGGACCTCCCAACCACACAGTACGTCGGGATCCAGAGAGCGAACTTCGTCGATCATGGAATTTATGAGATCTGCCTCGTCCTCGTATACTGTATACTTGAGGTCACGCAATCGAGCTGGATTAAAGTTGGAATTCCTAGCAGCGAGAACCCCGGACTCATACGAGGCCCTTCGATCATGATCTCCTTCCTGCACGCCTCCATCGTAGAAACACCAAGATATTGCTGCGATTTCGTGCTCTTCCGGATCGTAAGCCGATCGATCAGTCGCCACTGCCTCAAATGTCAGCCGCGGTAGCGACAGGAAATTGTACGAACCAAACAGTTCCAGGGAAAGCATTGAGAGGGATTGGAATTCAGACATCTTCGACGCTGTCGGCTTGAGTCGACCAACAAACGAGCCACGCTGTGTTGCCCCTTCAAGCTAGTCATCCGATGAGAACACATGCAGCAAGAGCAAATGCGAAACCTCACTTGTGATTGCCATTTTCGTTTATCGGGGGGATCCTTCATCCGTTCTTGTATTAACCAACGCTTAGTTTCTCGACGCGATGGTGGCGCTCCAGCATATTCCCATCCAGATCGAACCGCGGGCTCGATAGGTACTCGAACAATCGATTTTCCCTCATCATCGGCATCCAACCACTCGGGAAGGTCGTCCCCACGTAGATGAAACTGAAGTCCACCATACTCCTTGGCGGAATCAGGAACGTCTTCGGCTCTAGAGTAGTAGGGATCGCGATACTCTTGTTGTGGGATACCGAGTGGTGCCAACCTTGAAAGAAGGAATTGCGACGTTGGTGGTAGAGGTGAGTATTCAAGGGCGGTCTTGCTGCTTTTGAGCGTTCTGGTTATCGGCCAGTGCTCGGCGCCTTTCTTTGAAGAGACAGAGGAAGCGATATCTCCTCGGAGGACTCCAGAGACTTCGTTACCAGCTAAAGGCAGCTTCCTTGGCATCTGAGTAGGTGTCGACTGACTATCGTCAGTTGCATTGGCCGGGTCAGGAACTGAGTAGCATATAAGGCACGAACCAAGCTATTGCACCTTGGACGCACCGACAGTGTTTGTAACCATTTCAGATTTGTTCTTCATGACTTGAGCTGTGGTGATTGTGGAGTTAGAGGTTCGTTTTTCAAGTAATGAGCGAGTGCAATTATCATTCTGGCCTCTATTGAAATGTATGTTCAGAAAGCATGGCATTAAACCATTGTATTTACCTGGGCGTTGGCGTCGGAGTACGTGACCTATCCTCATCGGATCTGCATCTCAATAAGACCAAATCCAGCATCAACAACCGCTTACCCCTCTGGAGAAACCGCGTCAATACCTGGTCTTGAACCTGCATCAGTAAGAGGACGCCTGTTATACGGGCTTACTGAGCCAGAAGCATTAGGTCACTGTTTTTGACTGCGGATAGATGTGGCAATGGTCCAGACGTCTCCCAATGCATCTCTGGTGGGGGACCATACTCAGGGTCATCAATCACAGGATCAATGGGTGCCTCTTGTTCATGGTGCCACTGTTCCCAGCTGATTTCGTCTCCTTGCTCCAAATTGGGTGCTTCAAAGGACTGGGATCGAAGAAGTTTGGTGTCTACCTCGCCATGTGTCTCTTGCTTGAAATCTTGTGCTTCTGTACGATCGAACGGATTCTGTGTTGTGGACGTGCCTATTCTCTCCCCTGCAGGCCTCCAAGTTTTGTGGGGCTTGTCCCAAAGTGCTTGGACGCTCTCAAATGTGGTCATCACCCATTGTTCCCATGTCTGTGACTTGGCTGGTGGTTCTTGATCACAGTCAAGTCGTATCTTGTTCTGTAGTTCCGCGGTAAGAATGGGTTCCATTGCCCACTCTCCCCCAAACATCCTATCGGAAGGGTTGAAAGATGGGATCTCTGGGGAAGGCGTCAGGCCCTTGGCGATGCGGCGCCGTTTCTCATCCTCCCATAATTCACGGACAGAAGACACGAGGTGCTCTTCCGGCGTCTCTGGAGCAGGAACTTGCAATTCATGGTGCAAATGTCGCGCGCTCACTCTATGACGATTGAGGATGTTATACGAGGCTACGTCAAACTCCAAAGGCATCGAAGTGGTTGGATGATAAAGTGGCTGTTCAATGTCTGAGACTTGTTAGATGGAATAGCATCGCCATGTCTCCGACTCACCGTCACTGTTCCGCGGAGTTCGGTAATGGACGTCCCGTAAATCGACCCAATCACATCCGTAGAGGTTAAAGTCACACCTAATGCGCGTTAAAGTGATATCCCTGACCAGATTTTAGGATAGCACACATGAATTGGAGGGGATAGCTGAGGTGTGCTTCAAAAACGTTCATTTTGCGTCCCATCACAGATCCAGATTGCAGAATGAGTATCGCACGGCTGATTTGATCCGGAATTGTGAGCATAATCTTCAGGAATGGCGAGTAGCCCACATGAAAGCCGTAGAAGTGAATTCCCTTGACGAGGACTATGGCTCGTACGAATTGGCCGAGTGCGTTCTGGTGGTTGCGGTTGAGTGAGATGGCAATCGCAGAGTTTAGTGCGTGATGGAGACGTGAGATGTAGCGGTTGACTTGACAGGGGCATTAGATGTGGCAAACCGAACCGGCACAATTTACATACCAGCCTCGGGATTGAGGGATCCTTCGTAAGAGATGTAAAAGTACGGAAACACCTGATGCACGTGAAGGCATGCCCTTTCGCCACCAGACGTCGTTCCAAAGATGCGGACGACGGGAACTCTTCTTGCGACGATGCCTTGAGCGTTACCTGGGTCGTCCAAAGGCCCAGGTTCGGCCATGATATGGTCTATTGCATTGATGCGAATACGGATATCTGGTTGTTGGGAGCTGATGGGACGCGTTGAAGTCAAGAATTGAAATGCAAAGCATGAATTTCAGCGTCTATTATACATTCCATGGACAATACTTACCCTCCCTCGTCGGGTGAAGCGTTCATGGTTGAGGTCGAGATGAGACATTCGCTGCCACCAGTGTTGCGTCGTCTTTGACGTACGTGTTACCAACAGAGATTCCAAGTTGCACCATCCAGCTCATCTTATGAAAATTCTCTGGCCAAAACCGGAGCCTTTGTTGATGGTTGGAGATCAAATCAAGCTTCGACTCGACCACATCACATGGAGTTTATCCAAGCTCTCGACAGCAACTTTTTGGTCCTTATACATGCAGTAAGTTGACATTGGGGTGCTAAACAGTACGCTAAACATATCAAGGGCGTTGCGTTTATTACCAGTGCTTGGGTTTCTCCCACGTATAACCTGCCAATATTTCTATTCGGGATCTACGCGCAAAACTACATAGAGTCTCATGAACCTCTGCGAATGGTACATAGTTCCCAGGCTTGCTATTGAGCTAACGATGAGCAGTTTGTAGGCTTCGTGGGCGTGTCGTGGCTACTTGATCTTATATGGCTCTTCAACAATGACCCTGCAACCCTCATCAAGATTCTCATCATACTCGCTTGGATGTTGAAGATGTTAACTTTCGCTAGCTTGTTACTTGGGCTCAGGAGAAGATCTGGAGGTGGTCTGCCGGGACTAGGAGACTATACACACGCCGAGACAGGTAATTGCACTCCATTCTATCGGATCCTTGACTAATATTATTGGCTTAGTATGGAATATGCCAACACCAGGGGGCGCATACACGTCGACCGGTGGCGACCGAGCAGTGGATACCGGAAATGCAAAGCCATTGCCAACTGCACCATCTCCAGCTCCAGCTCCTCCTGTTCCAACCATGCCGCACGTTCCGCCCGCGCAACCGATAGTACACCATCAACAAGCACCTGCGATGCCCGCAGCACCCGCAGCACCAGTGCCAGCTGGTGCTCCCCTCCAGGAACGTTCACCATCTAATATGATGCAGCAGGCTTGTAGAACTATCCTGAATAACCATATGCGTACAGTAACCGAAACTAGCCGCGCGGTCCGTTATATATCCTTTCATCAACCCATTGTGTCCGATCTTCTGTTCGAGTTCTCCGTGGTCTGCGAGCAGAGTCACTCTGCCCTTGCAGCGTGGTTTCCCGGGCGTAGGATGGTTGAATAGGATATTGTCCAGCATTTAATCTGAGTAGCTGTTAGCGTTTACAGACAAATTGGGGCTCAAAAACTCACAAAGGTGCATTTTCCTGCGCTCTCGTCCGCTCAGACGAGTCGGATGGTCGACGCTGATCGTCTATCCGCAAATCTCGTCGTCGTGAGCTGTTGTTACTGCCCCCACTATCGTTCCGTCTCACACGTTGCGAGGGGACAGCGAAAGGTCCAGCTGGTACGACCGATTGTGCAGCGCGCATGCCCGGAGTCCAACTTGGTAGTCGTGCTGCAGGGGCGTTTGATGGCATAGCAGAATTGATTCTTTGATTGGAATTTTTGCGTTTCTGACACGAACGAAGCAGACAGCTGAGGAGAGACCACAGAATGACGATTACGATAATGCCGACCACGACAGTCACGGGGATTGAAATTTGCAAGTTTTGCGTATACCAGGCCTAAATAATGTGAGCTAATGCTTACATGAAACCAAAGGTGCACTCTCACCACTGCGGTTTGTAACAAGGTGCCAGAACGGCATGTACCGGTAATACAAGTCCCTCCAAATCCTGCAGAATTGAGACAGCGTTGCAAAAAAGATGGATGGCTTACCACAAGGGGACCCATCGACGAGTTGAGAGTTCAGCACGATGCATTGCGCTGGGTTTTTAGGATCCGTGCACGAAATTTGACAGCTAGTATCCGAAGTTCGACAAGCTTCGGTCAAATTCAACGATGCACCGACAATCCTGCATTGTTGAGAGACAGAAGTGCATGTTCCCATTGCACAAGCCAGACCATCGGCCCCACAGGATTGTCCTAACAAGAAATGAGGTTGAATTGCGACCGCTGATTTTCCATACCGTTTGGAGCCGTCTTGTCGGCCGGACATTCCGCTGAGGTGCCAGTGCAAGATTCAGCCACGTCGCATTTCGCATCCTTTGCAGGTCGACAAATCTGGCCAGCCGGCGCGAATTGACAAGAACTTGTGCAGCATGAGCTACTCGACGGGTCACACACGGCATTGTTGATAAGTTTGCATGTCGCTGGGTCGCAGCATGACGAAGTACTCCCCGCGCCGGGATCGCATTCTTCACCTTTGAAAGTGATTGGTTTCTGTCACTCAACGCAGTCGTTTACTTACCAGCTTCAACAATGCCGTTTCCACACATCTGAAGCGAGAAGGTACGCTGTGTTACATCCGGAGGTTTGATGCAGCTAGTGTCGATACTAGAGCTACGCATCAACGAACCTAAGCCGCGCGTCAATGCATGGAACGACTGGGATCAGGGGACTTACATATGTTTCCGATCGTGCACGGACTGAATACCTTTTCCGTTGCGGATGAAGTGGGATTCATCAAGAACTGATTCGTGGCGTCGCATTGGCCGCTGTTCAGTGGGCAGCAGTTACTTGAGAGTGTGCAACCGGCCGTACAATCGTGAATGGCCCCAAGGTTGTGACCGATTTCGTGGCTGATGACTTGCCATTCCGTCCTGCCCGCGGTGGAAACGCCAGTCCCGGATACAACAGAAGGAGCGTTGCCGGTCGCCTTTTTCATACAGACAGTCCCAAGCCATGCTACACCAACCTCTTGGGATGCAGAGGTACCTCCAGAAGGACAGCCACTCATGAGGTGCCAAAGTCCGGTAGGATCGCTCGCAGGGTTTGAAAGTGCATCAAACTTTTGGCCTCTCCAAGCCGAAAACAGGGACAGCCGCTCGTTTAGGCTCACCGAGCCACAAGGGACATTCCATGGGTTTGTGGGGTCACTTGTTGGGCAGGTAGGATCACTGATCTGGAGTTCGACGATACCCAAACTAATGTTGAACGTGGACTGATTTGATGTAAGTTCACGTTGATATTCTCTGTGGTACTCACTTTGTACAGCAGGCTGACCGTATTGAATGTGCGCAGGATATTTTGCGTTGCATTGGTATTGCCTCCATTTGATTGCGTATAGGTACAATCCGCAGCAACACCAATGTAAATCTGATCTCGTTAGATTTGATCAGAAAGGTAAGAGTGACCTACAATCTGTTGGGTGGTCGGGCAACCAGCAGTTTGGCCAATAGTATCAATAAAGCTGGCAATGGCATGAGCAAAACAACGCCGCAGGCTTGAATTATTTACTTTGAGCTCGAGTTAGCGCCTCCTCCAATGTCTCCTTGGCGTTTCCGCAGCAGAGTAGCGTTAAAGCCGCCGCTCTCCCTTGGCGATATTATTCCAAGAGGATCCAACCAAGATGGTGGCGCGAGACGATCAAACCCGGCACCGTACCGCAGTACAGGGTGCGAGGGATCCACGTTGTAGCCAAGCCTATCATGTGCACAGGAGAGTGGATTCTTGACGGGTCCAACCTGCTCGATGGGAACCCCAAGTCGCGCTGCCTCTGCCTCTGCATGCGACATGAGATCAATGTCACGAAATATGACCATCTCCGAGTCGTATACTGGTTCAGGTTCGGGGTCTTCGGGATACTTGAGACGCAAATAATTATCGCGCGTCAAGACGTGGTGAACGACGCCGTCGACAGAGAAAGCGCCTTCGAAAACAGGAAGCCTATCCTCCAATGGGTCACCAGCATCCAAGACGGTGATGCGTGCCCAGCCTCTGTGCCCACTTGGGTAAGGTGCATAAGGAGGGCGGATGACACCCCCAGCAACGTCTTCTTCCGCCTTGGCATCCGTAAACTCTTCGTCTATGACATCTCCGCCAAAAACGAGAAACTTATGCGGTAGTAGAGGCTGGACACGATCGACGACGGAGGCTCCCTTGTCGTTGCCAGGTCGATAATATGTAACGCGTGCGGCTGGATGAATGAGGTCAGAGTTTGGTTGTAGATGAAGATGAAATGTATCTGAAAAGGCGCTGATGGTGATGCGAATCGAGTCGGTGTGCTGAACACGGGGTTGGTCCGTCCCAAGTCCACTTCGACTTTGTATTTTTCGAGCTTGGGAGTGCGTATTCGAGCTCGAGCGTGGAAGAACTTCCAATGTAGCGTCGTCCAGGTGCCAGAGGCGCTTCAATGGTGGAGGTCGTCTGCTTGAAGCTGGACGAAATTACATTAGCAGCTAAGCTCTCGTAAAACTAATCATCAGTAACTACCTTGAGATGGTGAAACAAAGAGTAAGAAAAGGGCGACAATGGCAAAGGGGTGGTAAGACAACATGGCTTCAACTATGGGCGCCGACGAAAAGACCAAAGAAGACGAAACGAGCACAAAAACCCTCCTGGGGAGTGTGCTGGTCTGGCCGGGATGCCAGAGAGTGAGTCGCTGATTACTGGCGTGCTGCGGCCGTGTCCAAGGAGCGCAGCGCAACGGCGTGATCGTATGCTCACCGAAGACGGGGGGAAAATGTTTACAAAAAAGCTAGGCTACACAAAATCTTCCAATATTCTAGAGACGTCCATGAATGCACCTGCCCCTACTTCAATGGCCCCCAAGGCTTGCATCGTCGTATTCGAGTGGCGGTACATTCGTTCAATGAGAGGCATGGGTTCGTTGACGGTAGAGACTACAACCAGGTTAGAATGCCGTCACAGGCGACCGTCAGCACTCACGAAGAATAACCCGGTTCGCCTCATCCGCTAACTGTAGCCTGGCTTCCTCGGAAACAAGATCTTTGCTGCGCTGGTCCGTTCGTGGATTATCATAAGCAACAAGACCAAAGGTTCGACGAAGTTGCTCTTTGACAAAAGGACGCGTGTCCGACTCCCACTCCTTTCTGAACTGCATCCCGTACTCGACCACACGTTCCACATATCGGATTACCTGAATTTTATCTTCTTCCATGGCAGAGGGGGAAATTGGGGAGAGAAGAGAACCAGACTCGCCACGATTGCGCGACTGGGACCGACCACCGGTTCTGCTTGCACTCGAACGTCTTCGAGCGTTCGGCCTCCCTTTCCCTTTGGCGACAGAAGAACCAGAGTTTCCATTGGCCCACACGACATACCCTCGAGACGCTGGGGATGAGGGCACGACGTGCTCGTCGTCGTCCAGGTCCATGGCAAACGCGCCATCTGTGGGGACAGAACCGGATTTAGCCGCGTCGACTTCAGGTGGTTCATGTTCCTTATCGCTCCTTCGTTTGACTTCCTGTGCCTCCAAGCTGAGCTCAACGAATTGCTGACACTGAAGCTTGAAGCGCAAGAGTCCTTCGTCGTGCGTCAACGATGCCGGAAAGTGCGATTGCATAATGGATAAAGCAAGGTCGATATCACCGTTTCTCACCGCATTGACAGCGCGGGTTCGATGCTCCATAGAATCAAGTCGGAGACGGACTGCAATGGAAAGCGGAAGCTCGTCGACGTCCATGGCGGGATCTGTTTTTGCAGGGGTTTCAGGCTTCTTGGATACTCGGTCAAGAAGTTGTGAGCGAAACTCGCGGGCCGTCTTGGCATATCCTTGAAAGACTAGATAGTCCATAACTAGGTCAGCCATCGCTCCTCGAAGACCCTCCTGCTGATCGCGTGCGGCACGCGCAAGACCGTCATCGGAATGCTCGCGCTTAGAAACGTCTACAGAGCTGATGTCGTAGTGTGATGCCTGAGGTTGAGATCTACTAAGGATGGTGGTGTGGCTCTGCACATCTTTCCATGCCTTGAGCTTGATTCTAGAGACATGAGCGTCTATATCGAACAAAAATGGGGAGTCGCCGAAATTGGCTCGTATATGCTCATTTGAGGATCGGAGACCAATTGCCGGGTAGACATCGCGATCTGGGATGTCGCTGAAGACGGAGCCGATTAGGGTTCCATTCTTGGTAAAGAATGCGTTGTGGTCGAGAAAGTTGATCCCGCAGCCAATAACATCGTCGGCTGTGAAAATGAGCCTTTGTAGGTATGGTCATGGTCGACAACTTACTGCTAAAGTGAGGCCCAAACTCAGATCCAGGTCGGGGTTGACCGCCAAACGCGAGTCCGTCGTCACCATGATACCCCCAAGAACCGGCCTCCCAACCAGGAAGTTTGGAGACATGGAGTTCCTTGGTGGCAAACCTGTGCGAGAGTCAGTATGCGCAAGACCGGTAACGTGATCTATTTACCCTACAGAGATTTGCCTAGTAATCTCATATCAGTTTGTCTGGTATTTTGGATGATCAACCTGACTCACCCTCTATAGCCCCGATCGAGAATCTTCACCTCGTAATAATAGACGCCGCAAGCTGCAGGAATCGAGCATTCTGCTCGAATAGCGGCGGCACTTCCCGTCTCTGACGTGCCCGAGTGTCCTGGAAAGCTTGTAAGCGGCCAACAGGATCATTTCGCGCGTCATACTGACCTGAAAAGTTGACTTCCTTTCCATTGGATGAGACGATCAGGTGGTTATGCTTGTCAGTCTCGCTCCACTGAGTTGGGATAGGCAATGCAGTGGGCCATGACGTGAAATTCCTGGGGATCTGCATCCTGTATCTTCGGCGAGACGAAAGACCAGAATGACCATGCGAAGAGTCTTCGCTGTCAGAGATGATTTGTTGTGGATCTGGTGCGACTCTGCTGTTTGGTACAATAGCTTGTGGAGGTGGTGGACCGCCATGAAAGAGATTCGCCATGAGTGCGTTTGCGAGATACGCGGGGGGAGTAAAGGTGGGGAGCCCTGCCCTGACAGCATTCGGCAATGCGCTGACGCTCGCCTGTGGTCTATTGGATAGATGAGAGCCAGCTCTTAGGCGTGTTGGTGAAATCGACGGCCGAGTTCCAACCGATGATGGTTGCCCATCTGTGGGCGTGGTTGGGCCGCGAATTACGCGTGGTCGGAACGAACTAGACACGCTCTGTGCAAAAGGATGGACTGGAGGAGTAGTACTTGCGGTCGTGATGCCTGGCAGCGTTGGCCCGTGACCAGAGTCTCTCCTCCCACCAAACCGCTGTCTGCTAGCCTCGTCAAAGCTAGCAAGCATATGCTCCAGCCGTGATGTCGATGAATTAGATGGAATCGGGACTGCTGGCGGCATGGCCTCTATAAAGCGGGTTGTAGTGGCCAGCTCCAGATCTTGACCAACGACCACAACCACCCATGATCCCGCGCTGGGCGAGCTCGCTGAAAAACTCACGGCCACTGCTTCATCAGCATTCGCCTAGAATGCTTCCTCGACTGGCTTCGTCCACAAATCCAATGGCACAGTCATCTTTGAAATCATTTGGTAAACCCACCAAACGGCGCGTGACAGCAAGGGCTAACGAAAAACACAGTTCGCACCATGTTCATCCAGACAGAATCGACGCCAAACGACGATTCTCTCAAGTTTATCCCTGGCCAGACCGTGATGGGAACAGGTTCTGCGGAATTCACCGACACTCGTTCGGCTCTTGCATCCCCTTTGGCAATCCGCCTCATGGGAGTCGAAGGAGTGCGCTCCGTCTTCTTTGGTCCAGATTTTGTCACTGTGTCAAAGGTTTCTGACACACCATGGAGCATCGTCAAACCCGAAATATACTCAACCCTCATGGAGTTTTTCACATCCAAGCAGCCTCTATTCAGAACAGAAGAGGAGAGAAACCTAGCTGGGCCTCAGGATACAAGAATTCTCGACACCGACTCGGAAACCGTGGCCATGATCAAAGAATTACTCGAGACACGGGTCAGACCGGCTATTATGGAGGATGGTGGGGACATTGAATATCGAGGTTTTGAATACGGGACTGTCAAGGTCAAGCTGAAGGGCTCTTGTCGAGGTTGTGATTCCAGCACCGTCACCCTGAAAAATGGCATTGAAAACATGATGCGGCACTACATCCCCGAGGTACAAAGAGTAGAGCAGGTGAGTATCAAGACCGCCTTATCACCAGACTGCTCACCATTTGCAGGTGCTAGACCAAGAAGAAGCCATAGCCCTCGACGAGTTCAGCAAGTTTGAGGCCAAGCTCGAACAGAAACAAAAGAAGGACTCTCCGTAAGTTACCTATCTATTCTGGGCACACATAATTAAAACGTGCAAGCATGGCGCAGTATATGAGCCCATAGACAACCTCATGTCGCATACCTAATCTGCTGTACTCGTAGACGCAATAATCTGTTCCAGGGCCTGCCTCACATCGTTGGCACCGAAACCACTCTTGTTTGAACCATAGATCCGGACACAATGCACACCCATTGCCTGTCCTCGGTGTTAGAGCCATCGTTCACCATAAAAAGAACGTCAAATACCGTTAGCGCTAGGGTCGGTATCTCGATGCTGGTATGAGACATATAAACCAAATGGGTCACAAAGGCTGAAGCGGGATAAAGTGGCCTTATAATCCCTCCAGCCGTGCGAGGGGTCAAGTCGTGACGGTTCAGGGTACTTGTAATTGCTCTGAGGCAGCGTTAGCACTGCAGACAGATATATGAGTATCCTCTTACTGTACATAATCAAGCGCGGTGTAGCCAGCCGTTTCGCGATCATTGTGAATATTGACTTAGGGAGATTATGAGTAGACCATCTAAATATGTTGGTGTACACTCACGCAAAAGTATCTTCGCCCGTAGTGAGGGACTGCGGGCAATACTGGTAGCTACGCCTCGTAGCGCAAGACAGGGTATTATACTGTAAACCTTGAGGTGAGTCATGACAAGAGCACGTAAAATACCTAGTCCAGAGAGACCCGCAAGAGTAAACGAGATAATCCTGTTGACCAAGACTTGAAAGAACCTCCGGGTTCGGATGAGGATATATCTCATTCCCGTGTGCATTGATGTAATATACGCCTGTGACGATTATCAAATGCTTGTATCCAGATTATTTCTGACTGACGTTCAATCCTTCCTTCGAGCGCCTCTGCTGTGTGTTCAGAGGACTTGACGAATGCCACATTCAGAGGCGAGTTGTGCCCGTTGCCATCTTCACCATCTTCCAGTCCTTCCAAGACGACCTCTTGCCCACCGACGGGATGAGATATATTACATTGCCCGATAATTCGTTTCGAGTTGTCGAGGTCGGCGGCAATCGTGACAGTATGGTTGGTCACTAATATAGGCAATATCCGGTCCTGTGATGTCAGCAAGTATGTATATGTGGAATAATATGTGCTTACTTGTGTTGTACCAGTGAGCGCGGAGAATTGGAAGATGGCCGAAGGGAGCGAGCGAAAGAACCTGTAATTCATTAGAATAGTCCTTGTATGAGCGCGAGTGCTAACAGCTGGCAGGCACTTAGGAAGAAATTACCGATAGATCCATTGGCAAAAGCAAACCGTCTGTGCGAGCGCTTGAGAATCTCGTTCTCGAAGTAGACCAAGAAGCCTCGGATAAGCTCCTTTCTATCTGCCGGGATTCCAGTCCACAATGCAGAGTCTCCCTCGATGATCTCTCGCCAGATTTCGCGAGCCTCCCGGTCCGAGTCGGCAGGTAGGCGATATGCGAGCAAATTTCGTATTGCCTCTACGTCTGGTGTCGATGCTGATATCAAGCGAATGAGCCTGCATAGAGTCATTTAGGCTCGGGCTTGAATGGTATGTTTTACCTCGAGCGTATATCGCCGATTGAGGGTCCGCCTTGAAGTATAAATGCTCGTTAATACGTTTGGGATACCATAGGGCGCGATTGACAAACCAATCACTCGAATGATTTCTGAACTGGAACCTCCATCATCACTCACAGGCAATACATACGACGTACGAGCTCTCGGGAAGCTATTACAGATTGCATTGCCTCCCGAGCCACCGCTAATGACAATGAAAGAGTGTTCTATTTGATTTCTTGAATCGAGTGTTCCGGGAGCTGTGTCAGTCTTGATTGTGGCCGAAGGACGAACACGATCATGTCTTGGAAAGTCGAATACGGATGAAGCTCGACTGATAGGCTCGACATGAAGCTTTGGATGCAAAGAATCCATAATATAGCCTCCCAAACGTGAGTGCCGGGTTGAAACTAGGGGAAAACAAGTTGAACCTCTCTTCTTCAAGGTGCTCTATGAATGCACTTCGAAAATGGCGCCAAAAGTAACGAAAGTCAAGGTAAATTTTAATTATAAATGTCAAAGCGGCACTTGCTGATCGTTGACGGTCAAAGTTGGCAAACAGGATCTAGCGAGTAGTCAACAGCTCGAGTCTGCGTCTCACGTAGACGAAAGTCCAGTGGAATTGGATTCAAATCCAAGCAAAGTGTCCAGATCAGGCGAAGTTGCACCTGCTGAAGACGTTGGCCACCCGTCATTAGCGATGCAGACTCCTGGCCATCCAACAGAGGTCCAAGTCGAGATTCATGGGAACCAAGAGTCTGGTACAGATGAAGTGGCTCCAGAATCATCAATGGAGGAAGAGCAGAAACGTCCTCGCACCGTACGCTTTTATTCACGAGTGCGCATTACCTCTGGCGTTGGTCATTTCTTGCGAAGCAAATCATCGCAACGAGACCGCTCAAATAGCCCTATGGAGGACGGAGGGGACGCTATATCCGCACCGCACACTCCAATAGACGTCCCAGACCAACGCACCCCTTACAGATCTCTCAACTCGAGCGCGTCTGCCTCTTACTCTTCCTCTATATCTGCTCCTCTTCGCTCCTCGAGTGAGCATCCACCACGCTCATCCTCAGTACGTTTGGCCAAAAAGTTTCGCGCCCCCTTGAGCGATCTCTTGGATGCAACAGACACGAATGCATGGCTCCAATCACTCACGAATGAAAGGAGGAAGCGCAATAAAAAACGTCGCAGTAATGGGGTAGACGAGCGGTCACCTCTATTACCCCAACCAGCACGAGGGATCCTTCTTCATGACCCAACGAATCCACTATCACCTTCTCATGATAATGTAATCAAAATGACAACAAATGAGTCCAAATGGCCACAATGGCTTACTTTATATGTGAGTATCCCTTTCCACATTTTAACTTGACCTCACTCTTTAAAGTATTGGGAGGCCCGGCTATCTGCTCTGTGCTGTTGTGAAGCAGATGTTGATGAATAAGTTGCCTGCAATGCCGTCTGCATTGCATATTTTCTTATTGCCAAACTAAGACATGTTTCTTGGGGGTTTTTGACCAATTGTACATATGCACTACACAGATGTAACTTCCACTGCCTCTGCACCCGGATCTTCTGCGAGCTTTTCCAACACCCTCTTCGGCGGCAGCACCATGGAAGGTGGAAGATAATCGAGCGGGGGCAAGAGATTTGCTGTCGCTCGACGAGCGTTTTGGATGAGAAGCTGGCTAAACCAAGTCAATAAGTTGCATACGAGTGAGCAAAGACATACTCCATCAAGACCAGAGCGGCCATAGCTTCGACGATGGGTACAGCACGGGGGACCACACATGGGTCATGTCTTCCTCGTGCTGCCAAAGTACCAGATGTACCATCGTATTGAGCAGTAGCCTGAGCCTGCGAGATGGTCGCAGGCGACTTGAAGGCCACACTGAGGAGAGGTTGGGATTCTAGCTTCCATAAAGACTCTCTAAGCGCACCGGAAGTAAATATTTTCCCCATTGGTAATTCCTCCTTGAATACCCCCACTCCAGTTCGTCTTCGTACCCAGCGTTCCATCGGCTCTGGCCATGAAGGGGTCATTATGCTTTGAACCTGGAATCTCTGTCCCTCTGAATCCCGAACCAATTTCAAAGCCCTTGGTAGCGGGAATAGAGAGCATTGCGTGAGCGAGAGTGGCCTCAAACTTGTCAAAGACAGGCTCCCCTAGCCCGGCTGGCGAGTTGCGGATCACACAAGTGACTGTGCCACCTATCGAATCCATCGCGTCTTTTGCTCGTATGATACGCTTGGTCATGCGCTCAGACGTCGGACCGTCAGGGCAGCGGGTGGGAAATTTGTCCACTTCCTCTCGGGTGATCGTCGACAGTAGTTTGACAAATTCGGGCGATAGAGGGTCCTCCCCTGTATCGTCTTCCTCTTCGCCTTGTGTCTGCCTCTGCGTCGAAGCAGTTGGGAGGTGGATCTTTCCAACAGAAGTCACGAAAGCTACGATCTCCACACCATAGACTTGACGAAGATACTTCTCCGCAATGGCTCCAGCAGCGACACGCCCTAAGGATCAAAGGTCAGGCGAGCCAAGGCAGTAAAGCGATCACTCACCGATGGTTTCTCTTGCACTGGCTCTTCCCCCGCCACTACTAGCCTTGACGCCGTACTTCAGGAGGTATGTCAGATCTGCATGTGACGGCCGTGGATAAAGGTCGGTCTCTGAGTAATCCTTTGGTCTCTGATCTTCATTTCGGACCAGAAGACCGATCGGTGTACCGAGAGTGACGCCTTGTTCGATTCCAGACTGGAGCTGGACCAAGTCTTTTTCGTCTCGCTAGTGAGTCATTTGCTAAAGTTAGTTTCTGTGCCATCTGGAGCTTTGCGCTCGTACTGGCGTCGTCAGGTTGCTCTGTCCGGGACGTCTGCGACTAAGCTGTACTTGAATATCAGACGCTGCGAGCTCTAGTCCCTTTGAGACGTTAGGGACAAGTCAAGCCTTGCGATTGAGCACTTTACAGGTGGACAGCCGTCGACGATTGCTCCAACGGAAGCACAATGACTTTCTCCATAGGTAGTGACGCGAAAGATTCTTCCAAACGTTGACATCGGTGATATACTTGCCAACTTGGTCGAGGTCGGTGGCCAAGTTTGTTTGCTACCGTTATGGCCGCCGAGTCGAACCCTTTGGACCAGAACATCACTAAGCCATGGCAGCACCGTTTCCAGCCTTGACAGGATTCTACAAACTCCTATTTCTTTATATTGAACCAGCTCTAACGATTATTCCTGCGTTCATCATTGGCTTTTATCCCGGCGCCGTATGGTTTCACAACGAGCTCGCCCTGGGCTCTAAGCCTATTTTGAACCTAGAACCTGGTGCACGCATGGCATTCTGGCAACTGGCAAGCTGTGAGAACCTGTTCAAATCTGTTAGAGTGTAGATTTATCACTTACTGGCCCAGGCTATGGTCTAATAGGAATGATTTCGTCCCTCGTCCTTCGTACTGCACGAGATGCGATTAAACACGACCCGGTATTTATGTCCCTTGTCAAGTGCGTTTCAGGCTCAGAGCTCGAACAGGCTGCGCAAGAACGAGTCGTTGGATCTCTTCTCGTAGCCCTCGCGATTGCAGACCTCATCCAGTACGAAACAAAAGTTCTGATGGAACGAGTGCTCATATGTTTATACAGCATTGCCGTTACGGTACTCGCAACGCCCATTGAAATACTCACAAATCCATCTGTCTGGAACGGGGCCTTTATTGGGAATGTTCCATTCACTCTCTTCCTTTTTGCCTCTCGGTGAGTGTACAAGGCGGGACTTTCACCTTTCTGAGCCAATGTAGGTTTGCCTGGTTTCAAGGTCTCGGTCGCAAGGCGTACTATTATTCAGTCAAGGTGAAGACACAGTAATGGCTCTCTAATCAGCCTGTCAACTTGATCAGCAACGGACCTCGGGTTCAATGTTACAGCAGACAGCCTTGAATGGAATAATATGCTATATTGAAGAGAGTCCTTTCCCTACATCGCGCATAATGGGAGTGAATCGTCCAGAAGTCAACATCGTGATTAGTGATTTCAGGGGTTATGGGGGATAGTGGACAGCTGATGAGTGGTTGGGGGTGGATTCTGTGGAGATTGGTATTGTACCGAATGAGGCCTTTGACCGGGTGGGGGTATGGAAGGCGAGTGCTGCCACATTGGCTGGTAGAATGCCTGTTGGGGTGGTTGCGGCCGCTGAGGCATATACCCTAAACCAGCGGCAGCTACTCCTGGACCCCAAACGACGTTCGGAATCGTCATGGTGGAAAGAAGTCCCCAGATGATTCCAACTCGGACTACACCACTGATAATAGTATCAGCCAGAGTGAGGGAGTTGGGGTCATAATCATTGACTTTGTGTGTCTCTGCGTAGATCGGAAACACCAAATACTCCAAAAGGTCGAGTAGTACAAAAGGTAAGACTGCGACGAGAAGTCTTGTGGCTATCTAAGCAGTGTTAGCAAGTGGGGCACTTTGGTTGTCGGGGGCACTTACAGGATCCACGAAATTCATCCTCTTCTGTGAGACCTTGAGCCCTATGAAAGAGACGATGACATTCATCTCTAAGAGCACGCCAAATGCGACGGAAGTGAATTTAAGTCCGCGGTCAACGTTGAGATAGGTGCGATATTCAGTAGGAGTTAGCTGGTGTCTGTCAAGTAGCACCCATTTGTTTGCAAGAACTGCCATCTGAGAGATGCCGACCAAGAAGACAATGACCACCAGGGACCAATCGACGATACGCTTCCAAAACTGTGAAATCCACGGCTTGGTTGTCTTGCTCTGAGTTATTCGTGAGAGATTTCCACGGAGATGGACGAGCCAGAGGCAGACCCCGGGTCGAAATGCCCAGTCAATTGGTAGCAGGAAGTTTACGACTGAGGCCAAGTTGTGCAGAGTCGTGTATGGACCCCTCTCTGTGCTCATCCTAGTCGTGATTGACCAAAGAAGGTAGGCTATGGCCAATGGACCTGCTATCGATGAGATTTGTGCTCTTCTGTGAGGTATGCATGGAGCGTACCTACTACGACGGCGAGGAGAATATATGGAGCGCGTGTATAGCGGCCGGGTGGAACAAAGCGCAGACGCCGAACGATGATAATGAACTCGCTAAGAAACAAGATGAAAACTGCTAGCGTGTCAGTACATCATTCTCCAGCGGGCAGGATTTGGATTCACAGATGATATTGAACGCCATAGTAGCCTTAATTGTCCCCGGTGCATCCCAATTCTAATTGAATTTCAGTACTTTGCGCGTATTTCAGCAGAAAGCTTGCCCACGTCGATAGAACCCGCCTCCTCCTCGACCTCCCCGTCCCTTGGCCATCGAGCCTACAACAAATGGGAGTAATGAAATGAAACATAGCCACGGCTTCATAACTGTGGATCCCATAGAACGAAGAGTTGAACACAGCGGAGAAGTTGGGAAAGAGTCCGGAAGGCGAGACGTACTGTTGTGGGTGATCATATGGACTCAGAATATATGGAATTTCGTGTGGCATCGGCGAGTATAACCGTGACCGAAACCTATACGCAATGAGACCATAGCCTTAGGTGCCAGCCCGTTCGAGTGTCAACGCTGGATATTCTTCTACGTGTTGCCCTACAGTTTCAGAGTTTCAGCTATAATACACTAGAAATCAACCGCTGTCGGTCAACATCATATGACGGCAATGAGTGTGGCAGCAACGGCGACTCGGGTCTGAAAGGTACCTGAGGGCGCTTGCCAGACACCATGGCCTCTCATTGAGAACGCGTAATGGCGATAGGGGTTTGCATGCAGGGATTTATGTCTATCTTGGCAAGTCTAGGACGCGTTCAGGATATTCACGTTCTTCCAAAACCCCCAACGAAGATTGATGAGGACTCCTTGCTTCAAAGTCGCGAGGACGGGAAGCCTTATACGTAATAATGCATTGAATTGAGAAGAGACTTCTCTTTGTATTGTAGATAACATGAAACTAATGAATAACGAGTGTTCGGGTGTTCACCCTTCAGAAACCATACCACCACGATGGCGGTCGAGCATCTCAAGGATTGTTGGGGATAGTATAAGGTTGGTAGGTAGTTGGCGGTGGGTTCTGCGGAGGCTGATGTTGACTCATATGAGGGTATTGTCCTGGCGCGGACATGGAAGGCGAGTTCTGCCACGGTGGTTGATAGAACGACTGTTGGAGTTTTTGTGGCTGCATAGGCATATACCCTGTACCAAACACAGGGGGCGCTCCTGGGGTCCAAAGTACGTTTGAAATCGTCATGGTGGACAGGAGTCCCCAGATGATTCCAGCTCTGCATACGCCACTGATGATAGTATCGGCCAAATTGAAGGCATTGATGTCATAGCCATAGACGGTATGCGTCTCTGGGTAGATTGCAAACACCAGATACTCCAAAAAGTCGAGGAATACAAAAGGAAAGACCGCGACAAGAAGTCTTGTGGATATCTGACCATTGTTAGTAGGAATATTCGGTTGTCCAGGCTACCTACAGGGTCGATGAAGTTCATGCGCTTTTGGGAGACCTTGAGCGTTATGAAAGAGACCATGATGTCGATCGCCAAAAGCACACCGAATGCGACGGACGTGAAGTAAAGTCCACGGCGGACGCTGAAATATGCGCGATAGCCGTCAGAGTTCAGCTGGTGCGAGTCAATTAGGGCCCATTCGTTTGCAATAACCGCCATCAACGAGATACCGATCAAGAAGAGGATGGTAACCAGCGACCAGTCGACGATTCGCTTCCAAAACTGCGAGATCCATGGCTTGGTCGTCTTTCCTTGAGTCGTTCGAGCGAGGTTGCTACGAAGGTGAACGAGCCACAGGCAGACTGCCGGCCGAAATGCATTGTCGATGGTGAGCAGAGAATTAAGGAACGCGCCCAAGCCGTGCAGGGCCGTGTCCGGGACTGAGCTTCCACCCGTACTGATTCTGGTATAGATCGCCCAGAGAAGGTATGCCAAGGACAATATACCTACTCTCAGTAAGATTTCTGTGCTTTTATGATCTTGGGGGCGTACTTGTTACGATGGCAAGGAGGATATACGGAGCGCGTGTGTAGCGGCCAGATGGAACGAAACGCAAACGTCGAACGATAGCAATGAACTCGGTAAGAATCAAGATGAAAACTGCAAGTGCGTTAGCGCATTGGACTTGGGCTTGTGAGATTTTGGTTCACAGATAATTTGGAACGCCATAGTAGCCTTGACTGTCCCTGGCACATTCCAGTTCTGACGGGTTTCAGTAATTTAAATATATTTTCGACAGCCACCTTGCGTACGTCGTCGATGGAAATGCTTCCGCTTCCACCTCCACCCCCTCCGCGTCCCTTGGCCATTGAGCCCACGACAAAAGAGAGTAATGAGACGAGAAGGAACCACGACTTTATCATTGTGGATCGCGTTGAAAGACAAGGTGGACGCCGGGAGAGACTTGAGGAGAGGTCTAAGAGGCGAGACGCGCCGTCAAGATTCATCAAATGGACGTGAAAATATATCAAATTCCCGTGTAGTGGCATCGGTGACAGCCTAGCCGCGACCGAGAATTGTATGTAGAAGCCCTCAGTCGCCTCAGTGAAGATGGGAAACCAGTTCACCTTTAGCAAGGCCGTTTCCGGGAGCTGCGCCAGAAGGAGTTCAAGTTATGCTTCTATTTTCTAAGTTTCCTCAAAATCCAGCTCTGCTGTACTGCTGCACGGAGTATGAAATCGATGTCATGGTCACCTTGCAACGAGTGGAGCAGAGTTTGATTGAAGCCAGAACGGTGCTGCCCGAGCCGAGGGAAGTCACCAAGCGAAGACGCCTAAAGAGCGCCTTCCGTAAAGGCAGGCGGATGGGAAGTGAAGGCGAACCGGAAAGGCACGGTGCATGTGGGTCGTGTAGGCTATGATCTTTCAAGTGATCCCGGGTCTCATTGGGTGTTTAGGCAACCATGCTCCCTAAAGACAAGTTCCTTAGTGGGACCCGATGTGGTGACACAGCACAATAATGTTTAGAAGAGACTTCTGTCTACATCGTAGATAATATGAAGTGACTCAGAACGGGTTTCAGAATGTTTCTTTTCAGAAGCCATACTATCTACAACGGCGGTCAAGCATCTCAAGTATTGTGAGTGATAATATACTGTTGGTGGCCGGGTGGTGGGTTCTGGGGGGTTAATACTGACCAGATTGAAGGTACTGTCCCGGTGCGGATGTGAAAGGCGAGTTCTGCCATGTTGGCTGATAGAATCATTGTTGGGGTTGTTGTGGCTATTGAGGAATATATTCTCCAACTTTACCAGGAAGCACTCCTGGGGTCCAAAGCACGTTCGGAATCGTCATGGTGGAGAGAAGTCCCCAAATCATTCCAACTCTGCACACACCAATGATAAACATTGGCTAGGTTGAGGGTGAAGAGACTATAGTGATATAAAGAATGTCTCTCTGGGTATAATGCAATCACCAGAGATGCAATAAGGTTGATGAGAACGAAAGGCAGGACTGCGACGAGAAGTCTACTAGATATCTGGATGCCGTTAGTAGAGACGATCTATTTCGACCCTATACTTACAGGATCGATGAATTTCATTCCCTTCTGCAAGACCTTGAGGGTAATGAAGGAAATAGCTACATCAATCATCAGGAGCGAGCTAAATCCGACGATAGTGAAGCCAAAGCCACGGCGGACAATGAGATGGGTGCGATATCCAGCAAAGCCCAACCGGTTCGCATCATCCAGGGCCCATGCATTTGCCAGGATTGCCATTGTAGAAATAGCGAGCAAGAAGAGGATGGCCACCAACGACCAATCAATAATTCGCTTCCAAAACTGTGAAACCCATGGCTTGTGTATCTTTCCTTGAGCCATTCGGGCAACATTACCACGAAGATGGACAAGCCAGAGGCAAACCGCCAGTCTAAACGCAGGATCAACGGCAAAAACGAAGCTATCAGATGAGGATAATCCATGCAGATCTGTGTACGGCACAGAGGATATCCCACTCAGAGTCGTAACTCTGTTAGTACTGATTCTGGTGTAGACTGCTGCGAGAAGGTAAGCCAATGCCAATGTACCTGCTAGTGATGACCTTCATACCAGGCACGAGGCCTCGAGCGTACCTGCTACCACGGCGAGGGGGGATATACGGAGAGCGCGTGTGTAACGGCCGGGTGGAACAAAACGCAGTTGTCGAACGATAGTAATAAACTCGCCCAGAATTAAGATGAAAACTGAGGTGGTGTTAGCACATCGCTCTCCGACGAGGAACAGTCAGTTTTACAGATGATCTGGAAAGCCATTGTGGCCTTGATTGTCCCTGGTACATGCCAATTCTGACGATATTCAGTATTCTAAACGTGATACACCAACAAGCTTGCGTACGTCGTCAATAAAGGAACTTCCCCTTCGACCACCTTGTCCCTTAGCCAGTGAGCCCACGACAAAAGGGAGGAACGAAACACAAGATTGCCACGGTTTCATCGCTGCGAATCACGCTGAGCGAAGAGTTATGTCCACGGAAAACAATTGAGGACGTGGCCAAAGAGGTGATAAACCGTCAAAGATGGAGCAAAGTATTGAACTCCCGTATAGTTGTGTCGAAGAGGGCTCAGCCCTGGCCGAGAATTGCATGCGGAAGCTTCATTGAAAAGCTGGGCAACCAATGCCTCAGTTTGCAAGGTCGGCTCTAAAGTTGTTTGTTCTACACTTTCGAAGAAATTCAGCTATAGGGCACGAGACGTTAACCTTTTTCGATCATAACTGATGGCAATGTGTGTGGCGGCAATCAAGGGCTAATGGATTCAATTTGGAACAGTGGCCCAAAGGGAGCTCGCCATACCGTGTGACCTCTTGTTACGGTAGGCGGATGGAGGAAGCCAGGGTGGAACAGCATGGTGCCTTCGCTTTCAGAACATAACTTTGAGGGCTATTACGAGTTTCGGGGTTTGGATGATCAATAATATAGGAATGTTTGTGATCACAATACAAGAGGCCCTATCTGTAGATAACATAAAATTTATCAATAGCGGGTGTCCGAGTGTTCACCCTTCAGAAGCCATACTGCGGCGACAGTGGTCGAACATCTCAAGGATTGTTGGGGATAGTATACGGTTGATGACCGGGTGGTGAGTTCTGTGGAGGTGAATACTGACCCGGATGGGGGTACTGTCCTGGTGCGGGCATGGAAGGCGAATTCTGCCAGGGTGGCTGATAGAACGATTGTTGGGGCTGTTGTGGCTGTTGAGGAATATATTCTCCAACTTTACCAGGAAGCACTCCTGGGGTCCAAAGCACGTTTGGAATTGTCATGGTGGAGAGAAGTCCCCAAATTATGCCAACTCTGCAAACGCCGTTGATGATAACATCGGCCAGATTGAGGGCGAGGACGTTGTACTCATAAGGCATATGCGTCTCTGGATAGATCGTAACTACTAGAGTCTCCAAGAGGTCGATAAGCACAAAAGGCAAGACTGCGACGAGAAGCCTTGTGGATACCTGTGCATTGTTAGTACGAACATTCGGTTTTGTTCATGGTGCATACAGGATCGATGAAATTCATCCCCTTCTGTGAGACCTTTAGCGTGATGAAAGAGATGGTGATATCGATCGACAGGAGTAGGCTAAAGGCGACGATTGTGAAGCCGAGTCCACGGCGGACGCTGAGATATGCGCGCATTCCAGCAGTGCTCAGTTGACCCGCGTCACTGAGGGCCCATCCATTTGCAGTAACCGCTATCAACGAGATACCGATCAAGAAGAGGATGGTAACCAGCGACCAGTCGACGATTCGCTTCCAAAACTGCGAGATCCATGGCTTGGTCGCCTTTCCTTGAGTCGTTCGAGCGAGGTTGCTACGAAGGTGAACGAGCCACAGGCAGACTGCCGGTCGAAATGCAATGTCGATGGTGAGCAGAAAACTAGTGAACGAGCTCAAGCCGTGCAGGGCCGTGTACGGAACTGAGCTTCCACCCGTACTGATTCTGGTATAGATTGCCCAGAGAAGGTATGCAAAGGCCAATGGACCTATGACAGATGAGATTAGTGCCCTTCTGCAAGATGTTAAGCGCACCTGCTACGACGGCGAGGAGAATATATGGAGCGCGTGTATAGCGGCCGGGTGGAACAAAACGCATACGCCGAATAATGGTGATGAACTCGCTCAGAATAAAGATGAAAACTGCAAGCATGTTAGCGTATCGCACTCCGACGCATGAGATTTTGGTTCACAGATAATCTGGAACGCCATGGTGGCCTTGACTGCCCCTGGTACATCCCAATTCTGACAAACTTTAGCATTTTAAATATGATACACCAGCAAGCTTGCGCACGTCGTCAATGGAACCGCCTCCCCCCCGACCTCCTCGTCCCTTGGCCATTGAGCCCACGACCAAGGAAAGCAATGAAACAAAAGAAAGCCACAACTTCATTTTTGCAGATTGCACTGGATGACTGACTGCACGCCGGGGAGAAAGTCGAGGACGGGTCCAAGAGGCGAGACGCACCGCTAATACTCACCAGAGGAATGGAGAATATATAGAATATCTGCTAGTGGTGTCGGCGATGGGCCAGCTGTGACCGAGGATTATATGCAGAAGCTCCGCCAAGACATTTTGGAAACCGATAGGCCTTCGGACGGGTCCAAGCGCCAAAGAGAAGGATACAACGTTTATTCTTCTACAATTTGCCCCATAATTCGAGAGAATTTCAGCTCTAGTGCACGAGACGGGAATCGGTGTCTGTTATCACCTTGGAGCGGCAATGACTGTGGCAACAACGGGGTAATGAGAATCTAGAATGGTGCCGCCGGATGAGGAGACCTTCCGGACTGGCAGGCGGATGGGAGGGACGATGAACCAAAAATAAGGCAATGGGCGTTTGGTCGTGGAGGCCGATGGCTATTCAAGGAATTTCGGCATCCATTGAGTGTTTGGACCTGGCGCTTACAAGGCCACCAAAGATCCATGTATGGCAGAATCCTTGGAATGTCTCACAGATTATCTGGAAAGCAAAAGCTGCTTAACAAGATCAGGTGCATTCCAATTCTAAACTTGCATGAGACATTTGGTCAATAGAGCTCACGACTCTCCTGCCGTGCCGCTTCCACGACCCATGTGCAGATATTACAACTTTAATAGATCCAAGAGACATTATATCACTGATAGAAGATGTCTCAGCTAGTCATGGAGGTGTCCAGGAACCCGACGATGGGACGCCAGGTACGAATTCTTCGATCGAATGTACCCAAGGATCGATCATTATTATTATTCTGATTGGAGTTGGTGACAGGAACTGGGCGAGCCGTCGCCGAGAATCTATCGAGAACAACGGTCGGTTGTTAGTTTCAGTTTGAGAACCTGCTCAAACCCGTGTAATATAGACCAAATGATTTTCGCAACATTTTGAGGGTAGCGATTAGTCAATGTTGTTGCGCGGACCACTGACGATAGTGGAGACCAAGCTTTGGTCCTTGCTAGACTTGGGAGTGCCTTTGCGACACTCGCTCCAGCGCCAGAAATTTCTACTGATTATTCTATAAATTTATAAAGGAACAAACGGCACGGCGACTCGTTTCCCACTCTTCAGAACCGGCGTTCCTGGGAGTAACCCAGCAGCAACATGAGCTCACACTTGGCAAATCCCGATTTTGACGAGTTTTCTCTACCTGTTCATGTCCACCAGGTCCGTCGTTATTTAATCTTGTCCCAATACGAGCCAAGTCTCATACTCGGGTGCTCTAGCGACGAATCCGCCATATACTGTCCATTCAGATTCGAAATTTCACTCCATTTCCGTTACGGGATGCATTCACGTCCTCGTTAGCTGCCTCTGGGCCGCCACTTTTGGACGCTGTCGATGATATAGAACTCACACTCTCACGAAGGCGTATGAGGAGGATATCAACAAATTCTCTCATGACAGTGAAAAGTTCTAGAGGTGATTTGGATCAATCAGCGACCACGTCTCAGGCAGAAGCTGCTCAAGGACGTCCTCGCGCAAATTCGCGTTCAGTGCGGAAATCAGCACATCTAGGATACACTCAACGACCTCAAAGAGACAGGGCCACTTCTTCCGCGTCTGTACGTTCCGCCGGAAGGAATTCATTGTACAATGTCTTCGCCCCTTCTTCTGAGGATTCAGTGGCACCTGTTAGCCCCACAGCTAAAGGCAACAATCCAGAGGGACACCAAAAGGATCTGGAACAGATTATGGCCTCTCGGCTGGTCGAAACCTTTCTATCCCTGGAGCCGTTATCTCAGGACGCACGCTCGTTTCGAAAACCGCAAGCACGAGCATCAACCTCTCCTGTGCGCGCCGTTAATACCAGTTTTGACGGCACTGCAAGCAGATTTCGGTCCGATAGTGCAGCCTCACAGAGGACTTCTCCCAGAACCACAACTTTCCAGCCTATCACTCCACAGCCATCAAAGATAGGCAATGCGCCCTTGGACGATATTCCGAGATCCTCTTCACCATCTGCGTCCCGAACCTTTCAGCATCGACAGAACTCCTCGATTGCGCAGCCGTCTACTCAGTCCCCTCGTGCCAAGATGAAGATGATGGAGCCGCATCGCTCATCCTCATTGTCTATTAGCCATGCACTACCAACTCCTGCACCATCTCCTCCACCAGAAAATGAGGAGGTCTCTGTCCCCTTCTATATATCTCCCTTTCACAGACCGTCTACGAATCCTCTTTTCGCTTCCATAGACGTGCAGCATGACTTTGCGCCATGGATGGACCTGGCGAGTCAGAGGTTCAAGGCGTTCCTCTGGGGGAATAGTGGTTCTGAATGGGGCAAAACGGCAGAATCAAAGCCGGTCAATCCTGCCGGACTAGCACTGGAGATAGAAACCCTACCACCAACGGCGGACAATTGGGAGGTGCTGGCTTCATGGGATGTTGACATGGACGATCTTGTCCCAGTCCCAGTCGAGGTGATGTGATGTCAATTGCCAAGCAGCCCTCTTACTAAAACGACTTGATAGTACCTTGAAAATCCTCTGAGTCTTCCCTCTAACACACTCGTCATGAAACTGGCCCCGAACGGGGAAGTATATTACCTTCCATCAGTCAACAATGGTGTAGCCTCGTTGCCACCATCTCCAACCGCAGGCTACTCTGATACGGAAGTAGACTACTCCAACGCCGAGCCACTGAAGCGGCGCCATAAGCGATCCTTAGACCCATTGAAAGCCAATGTTCTCAATAAGAGCCTTCGGGAAACGAAGATGAAGAGGACAGCAGGGTTCGGTGACTTGCTCAAGTGAGTTGCATACTTTTATAGGGTACTGAACTGACTAGAAGTAGACTTGTCACGTTACAGTCAGCCCTAGCTGACACAAAGCTACAGCTGGAGGAGATAGTATCATCTTGTGATGAGCTATTAGAAGGTGATACGCTGTTTCACATGGTCAGTCAACCTCTGAGTGCGTATCGCCTACTTACAATCATTCTTAGCAACGCGAGATGTCCCAGCGGGAGCGAGACTTAGAGTCCAGGAATAAAGACGTACAAGAGGTGATAACATGCACGGGGAATTGTGAGCAACGAATGCATCTATGATCGACCACTCATTTGAGTTCAAGTACGGGCACGGTATCAAGAGAAACTCAGTCAAGTGCAAGAGCGCCGTCAAGCTCTGGAATCTGCTTTATCAGTCCATGCTGAAGAAGTGGGAAAGTTGCACAAGTTGAGAGAGGAAGTTGATGATAATCGGTATTTGTACCCTTCTTTCGAGGCTGCTGTTGACCATGGTTCGTAGCAACAAGCACCACGCCCTCTCAAAAAGACTCACATCTGTTCGCACGACGCTTATACAGAGCGTTGCCAACATATTTCCCATCGAGCCCATTGAGCCACGGGATCTGCTATTCTCCATCGCTGCTCTCCCCCTTCCAATCCCCATGGGTACCAATGACCCAGCGCCTCCTTCGACTATCCCCGGTGATAGCTCCTACAACGACGAGACTATGGCAGGTGCTTTGGGCTACGTCGGTCAGATGCTTAATCTCGTATCTGCGTACCTGGGCGATACTCCAGTGTACCCAATCTTTTGCCAAGGGAGTCGTAGCATGATTAAAGACCCTATTTCCGCCATGATGGGACCAAGAGTGTACGTTCAATTTTTAGACATTGCATCGCTGACGCCTTGTCAGGTTTCCTCTTTACATGAAGGGTGCTGAGCTATACAGATTCGAATATGGCGTCTACCTTTTGAATAAGAATATTGAGGCGGTTAGATTTGTCATCTTTCATACTTGCTTCGTACTTACAAATTCTAGCTGATGAATGATCGAGATCTACGGGCTCTGGACATAAGGCACACACTCCCGAACCTCAAGAACCTGATATTGACCCTCACCAGTGGTGAGGCTGCTGTTTTGAAGTGTGTCTCCTATTCTCCTATTCTCCAGTACTTATACCCACTAGACCTAAACCTCGGAAGAAGGCGTCGGGCCCAGCATTGACCGCTCCGGGAACCACAACAACATCCGATACTTCTACACCACGAGAGCCATCTCCTTCTCCAGCAGCGAGCGAACAGGAAAGTGATAATGGATCCTCTGCGCAAATTGAGTATCAGCTTCCAACGACCCCCACTGCGTCGAAGATCGTCCTCGAACCTGAGCGCCAAGTTCATGAGACAAACAATACAGCAAACATTGGGACCCCTGGGATCACGAACGATGCCCCGGCCACAAAACGGTCCTTTTACATGGCCGCTTTCCTCCGTGCGCGATATCCATCAGCACAAGCGACACGGAGCCCGACACCACCACCTTTGGTCAATGTCAAAGTCGAGGCTGAACTACCTCCCACCCCTGGCACGCCGCCTTTGAGTACTCAGCCGGCCCCAGCAGAGGCTAGCTATTCAGGTGATCTAGACGAGAGCTCCACGGTACGAGGATCTATTCTATCAAGAGCCGCCCGTTTTCTCGGGGGCGGAGGTAATGATACAGCTGGTGCGACTCCATAATATGTATGCCCATGCCAAGGACGTTGGCCTCCTGTACGTGATCACTATTGCTTTCCAGGGAAGTTTGTAGCAACGTGAAATTCAGGATCGAACTCAATTGCGTGTTCTTCAATGTCCGTTAGCCAATCACCGTATGCTCTCCGCTCCAAGACATCCAACCGCTTCGTAAAGGCATCAGAGTCGACTCTCCATAGATGAATCTGGAACAATTATTAGCAAATCGACTCTCAATCCGACTAGCCACATACTCCTTCGACATCGACCTCCGGAACAACTCCTCGATCAACAAAATTCCAGAAATTTGGGCCAAATGGCCAACCTTCGAATCTTTTGGTCTCACAGCGTTCTTGTAGCCGCCTTTGACTCCCAGAAAGTCTTGGAAGGTAATCAGCGGGAGGCTGGTATTAATCAGTATTGTCGTTCCGATGACGAGAGACAATACGTACTGCACCGACACCTTGTATCCCGAATGGTTCGTCGATAGGAAAGTGTGGATTCTGGATACATGCCGCAGGACATCGTATGCGAATGCTTAAATCCCCTTCAGACTGTTTTACTCGTTAGTCATGATGCAAACACCGGCATGTACCCACCTGGGTGGGCTGAGTTGAGTAAGCACCAAGGCGGTTCGAGACAATGCCATAGGGGTTCCACACCTCGGCCAGCTTGATCGCTGAAAGTCGCTGATGATCCGTGCACTGGTTTCCTGACGACCCAAAAGCGTCACGCGCGGCCGACCCGAAACAAAGCCACATCTCTACCGCGTTGCAATCTTGTGGCTTGGCCGTGCGCTTCAGCGAGCCGTGCTGAAACTCTCGTACCCATAGCCTCCATGCCGTCTTGAGTGGCCAACCCATCAAGAAGCATGATAGTGCAATCAAGTGGAGAACGCTATAGTTCTCCGGCACTTTTGCGATGCGGTACACGCCCGTGCCCATGAGATTGAAAGCCTTTGGTTGTGTGGCGGAACAAGGCACTGCAGACGGTCTTGCCACAAACAAGTCCATCTCCAGGACATGGAATCGAGTCGTAATGGACGTTCGTGAAAGATAAGGGGGCTGGACTGTAGTCAAATACTTCGGAACCATGTATTCTTCCATGCGAGCAAGTGCTGATTTGTGAGAGAGACTAGAGGTGTCCAAGTGGAGCTTTAGCCTTCCCAGTCCTGAATCGACTTTGGTAGTATCGGCATCGGCTTTAGTTGTGGTTCTCTTCGAAGGGCGGGTTACGCCAGAGTTTCGACGGTGGCTCACGGTCATTGGGATAGGAAGAGGATTGGAGACACGAAAGCAAAGGTTCGAGCAAGAAATACTTGTTCGATTGCGGGGAGGCTATGCCCTTTGGACGGGCCTGCTCGTATCCATGAGGTTCAGTGACGTTCGGGGAGACCCGCCTTGCACTGGAGATTTTGATCGTCTGCCAAGGTTTAGTGTATTGAGATCTCGGAATGGGTGAATGGCAGGCTTTGAAGGAGTAAAGGTATGGGAATAGATACAGACCGGAGGGCAGGTGTTTCCAATGTCAATGGCGACCACTGGTCATGTGCCAACCACGGGCCCATACCAGTGATAGGCGATGAATGTGCATCGGAAGTACAAATATGTTGATGGCCAGAAAGAGGAAAGTGGGTACGGGGCACAGAACAACATATGGAGGGCAAGATAGCAGCCAAATGCAAAACCAGAGGATTACAGGGAATAAGAAAGGAGCGACAAGTGCCGAAAATTACGTTGCGTGTACAAAATATCGGTGAGGTGAAGGTTGTTCGGCCAAGTTGACTAGTATCAAAATCCGTGCTGGGAAGAGGAACGCTCTAAACAGAGCGAATGCAGAGCCATTGAGTGAATTCACGTCTATTTGGATTCTGCAGGACCGGGGGAGGGTCGGACCATGGGTGATGGATCTCCAATCACGAATACGACGTCGTCCTCCGAGGTCTCGAGCTCTTCGCCATCGACCTTGTTTGGTGTCGAGTGAATAGAATTTCCACCAGACGTCCCACTCTCCTGCGCCCCATTTCCGCCAGACTTTTCCTCTGGTCTTCGCAGGATGTGTTCAGCGATTCCATTCGAAAAGGAATAGGATTCTTCTGGTTGAATCGGCGGATAGTATGGGAAGGGCGGTGGCGGATAGCCATAGAATGGCGGGGGAATGCCTCCCATGTATGGTGGATATACCGGTTGAGGGTACCAATGAGGTGCATCTGGCACTGTGCTCTCTGAAGCGGTTGGGAGTACATAGTGACGCCACTCGTCGTGCGCCATTCGTACGTGACTTTGTCGAACTTCGACAAATTGGGACCATTGTAAAGTCTCGCGAATCATGTCGTCGCTCACCCGGAGACTTTGGATACGAGGAAAGGACTGTAGGACTTGTATCGGTACCCAACCCTTTGAATCCATCTAGATGGGTGCAATGTTAGCGCGAACCGCACGCGAACCTTCAGCACTGACTCGTTCCCGTAGGTAGACGTCCTTTGCGACGTTCTCATGGCTAAAATAGTACTCGATCTGATAAACACGTTTAGGTTGAGCCAGCTATTAAATAAACAAATCACCTGTCCGAGTAATCTGAACCGTGTATCTTCCATATGAAATGATAGATGAGTGAGAGGTCGAGGTGACGGTGGTTTGCCAACTGAAACACTGCTACTTTCTGTGGGAACAGGGGCAGCTGGATAAGGTGTAAATGATGGCGGTGCGACTGGCGAAGGATATGGATAATAGTGAGGTTGAAGCGGCGGCTCCGGAATATAGAGGGTTGTACTGGGATAGTGCCCTCCAGGGTATGCTGATTGTCCCTGAGGCTGGGAGAATGCAGGATTAAACGGTCGTGCATTGCCCATCCCTCTAAACCCTCGTCCGCGACTCGGAAATCCTCGACCACGCCCACGAGGGCCTCTGTCGTCACCTCTCCATCTCCCTCGACCTCTATCATCTCCACCCCCATAGAATGGTCGAGATTCTGTCGGATGTGGCGAATGGTTCACGGTGGAATGAGATAATTGGGCGTTAGAGGCGCCTATCGATCCATCGCCGCGTGAAACCCAGTCGGCTCGATGACCGACAGAGGAAGGGGACGGCATATGAGGCACAAATAGGTCGACTCCGGGTTGAACTTGCATCGATGACACTGGTGTCCGTATGGCAAGATCTATGTCTAGGCCAGATGGACCAGACCCAGGAGTCATGCCGTTCGGCACATAAGGCGCATCAGCCAGTTCGACCGCGAGCGCAGCTCCTCGTGAACTAACCCCTTGAAGAGTTTCTTCATCTGAAGGAGTCGAAATTTCCTCCGAACTCAAGAAATTATGTGCAGTTACAGAGGCCAAGTCATGCCCAGTTTGCGCAGGAGATAATAGAGAAGAGTCTCTTTTGTGCCAGCGCTCCACGTGTTTGGAAGAAACACCAAGTGACCACCAAGAACTTCGAGTACGGGGCTTACTTTTTGGTGATAAAGGAGGACGCGGTGAAAGATCCAATGCCACATCTTGACCTCCATTGAGGTTGACAAGAAGCGGGTGGTCCTCAGCTCGAAGGATAACAACGGCGTTTGCTCTGAAACCCGCAAGAGGGGGTGCTTCTCGCGGCGTTGGTCGTCTTCTTCGTCGTTGGCGTCGTTGAGTTCCGTTGCCACCTTTGGCCGCACCTCGGGAATGGGCTTGATACATTTGAGTTGCTGAATGGTACGGTGTAAACGTTGGCGTTTGCCACGGAGAATATCGTATCGATACTGATGAAGAGGAATGATTACCCGAGCCGCTGCCACTGGGCTGGGCGTAGAAAGAATGATCAGTCTGCAGAGCCGCATGGTCAGGAGCGACTAGCGATGAGACAGAAGGGTTGAGAGTAGGTTCGTTTGAATTTGCTGGTAGACTGGCGGTGAGATGGAGCGGGGAGACGCGTCGTGAAGACGAAGAGCTAGGGACACCAAGCGAGGAAGTCCGGTCGTGTCTCGTATTTCCCAACGCAGCTGAAGAGCCGGTTTCTCGTGCACCATGTGAGCTCTGGGCGTCATCTATTCTTCGCCCACGTCCATTGAGGTGTGGTGAGTGACCTTTTGAGCTCGGCGTTCGGCGTCTTTCTACCTCATCTACAGCTGCTTGTAGCTCCTTTGCAGGAATTGCAATCCATTTCTTTTTATCTCCCCCTAATGAAGTACATGTCAGTGTCAGTGTACTTGAAGGACCTTGAGTTACTTGCCTTTTCGTTTAGTACCAGACTGATCAGCTTCACCTTCACTCACTGGATGAGGAGGTGTTTGCGAACCAGAGACTATATTGAGAGGCGAGACAGACGAAGGGGACGGTCTCGCGTGACGAGGGGAGGATGCAGTGGCGGACGCCTCACCGACCTGAGGCCAATTCTGAGCGTCTGCCAGAGTAGGAGCGACATGATTGTAATTGACGACAAAAGGATCGCTTTTGGCACGAGAAGAGGGCATTTGGCCCACCTTCGTAGGGATATGACCACCGTCATCAGTCCGTACGCTCGTCAGTGTGTCTGGTTTCATCGACAAATTATCCGAGTTAGCATGTGGTACAACGAGTGTGGTTGTAGCCTGCGCCTTTTGCGGCGTCTTGAGCGAACCGCGCTCGGACCAAGCGTTTCGCGGTGAAGTACGCACTGGCGACGCCTGTTCAGAAAATGTCGAGGACATGTTAATCGACAGAGGAGGAGCAAGTGATGTCGTGGCCGTTTGCGCAGCGGAGAGCGCTGGGCTCGAATCGAGTGTCGCAGAGGAGGACGAAGAGGGAACGCCGACGGGCTCCGGTACGTGTTGAGATGCAGAATTCTTGACGTTGTTTCGAGATTTGGGGGCTGCCGCAGCCTTCCTTGCTCGCTCAGCGTACGAATCATCCATCGGTTGTCCAACTGTGGCCATCTTTCTCGCGCTGGCTGCAAATAAACGTGCTATACGACTCCCTACACTCCTATTGAGTTTCAGGAGAGTAATTTGCGGCGAACCAGGCCGACAACAAAAGGCGTCAGGTCTAAGCTTTGCTCTGGAACTCTGACAGTGACCAATCACAAGCGCCAACACTTCGCTTTTAAACTTTGAGTGGGAGCTTGCAGCTTTCAACGAGTTTAAGATGCTGTTTTCAGCATATCAGGGAGCATACAGCATCTAGGCTGATTCGGAACCGAGGACTAGGGTATTCTGAAGAATACAATCCCTGCTCTCTCGCTATCAATCTCCTTCTTCACTTTGGCATTCGTACCACTCCGGACAGCACCAGCAAGCACCAGCTCTAGGCCGATACTGACGGCCTTTTGCTTGCTGATTCCTTGTTCGGCGTAAAGAGGAGGAAGTTCGAGGCGTTCCTCATCCACGCAAAACTCCATGTATGTGTTCAACGCTCGAAGAGTGGATTGGAATGCCGGACCATCCACGCCACCTTTGAGACCTTGCAGGGTCTTTAGCGTCACTGCATGCCAGGCAATCAAAGGACAGCCTAGTTTGATTGGAACTACGAGTGCCGGACACCCGTTGAGGAGCGTGTAATTGATTACTGATTCACCCGGTCTCTGAGATGATGTCCAAACGCCAGCTCTATGAGGAGATATTGCAAGGACAAGGACGACCATGCGACGATTGGGGGGCATTGGTGGGACATTGGGAGCTACAGAATCCTCTTTTGCCTGCGAATCTGGTTTGGTTTTGATCCACTGATTGATCTGATCTTGCACTCTGTCGATCATGGTGGTGGGTCCTTGGGCAGCAGCAGCAGGAGGCGGGCTAAGAGTCTGATGCACGGGAGCGTCAGTAGGATGCGCTCCGACAGTGTCATGGCCGGGGGGTGGATGAGATGGCGGGGGATATTTGGTATCAGTCGATGCCGAGTTGGCCGGAGCTGGCTCAGAGACATGGCTTGTGTTCAGGGATTCCTTTGAAGCCACTTTTTTGTGACCAAAAAGTTGGGACAGTCGATCGAACCCCTTTGGAGAGGGTGGCCTTGCTTCTGCCTCGAGTTTCTGAGCGGCCTCAGGTGTCAGACCAGGTTCTGACGGTGTTGCTTTGCCGAAATTAAGAGCAGAAATAGCTTTCTGGAAGAGACTTGGGTCGTTGGTTTCTTCGACTGGTGCTGGCTCAGGTGCAAGTGCAACGACGTTCTCGCTATGCTTGAGGAGCGTTGATCCGATCGCATAATCTCCCCTCAGCCATGGGCCATGCATGAAAACAACGTCAGGTACCTGCAGACTCCCTGAGCGGCTGCGAGAGTAACAAGGGGTGGACTGACCATCGTCCTTGGAATCAACGGTCGACGGCAACTGGCGAAAAGATATGGACTGAACCATCCTTTCTCAATCGAGAAATAGTCCATTATACCGCTAAAGAGGGAATTGTCGGAGGCATTTGAATCTGGCGCTCGGAAGAAACCGAGAGACGCGTCGGTGACAATGTGCTTGAAGGTGAGGGTAATGAGGAGCTTCTTTATATCTGTCGTCTCAAGCTTTCCAGAGTGCTTCGGGATAAGAAGGTCTGTCGGTTTATTTATCAAAAGATGGTTTGCCACCTTGATAGAATCGAGGTCAATCACTGGAATAAATGAGGAATGTGGCATACCGTCCCTGTGGCTTCATGAGCGGCTAACACCCCAAGTTCAACAACGATTGAACTTCCAAACGATTCCACAACGACACCACCGGCAGTGCCCATCAAAGGTGTTGCGACGATGGCTGCACCGCCCTGGGACCATGATCAAACAAAAAGAATAAGTTCACATTAATACTCGTACCGTAGCGGCCACAACGGAGTGAATCTGATGGACGTTAGATCAGTGTTTTGGCTTGAGGGTCAGAGGGCAACTTACAACCACGTCCCGAAACCTATAGCTTATGAGTCTGTGATCAAGGTAGATATTAGTTTCTTACCGAATGCAGGGCAGGATCAAGGGGACAGAGTCGCCTAATGAATATAATTTCAGGAGTATGACTTTAGGGAGTGACACGAAAAACATTACCCCATGGGCTCAGACACACCACCGTGGTGCCAGTAGCGTACAATGTGTGGGCCACGGCCACGACCTGGTAGCGCGATCAGAAAGTAATGTATAACGAGGTCTGTCTGACTGACGATACGACCAGTGAGCGACTGGACAATCTTGCGTACGATCCATGGCTTCTCCTTCTCCTCTTCATTTTGATGAAACGTCGCTGGATCGACGGGCTGCAGAGGGGATGAAGTAGACATTGGGGGTGGGTGAGAAGAAGATTGCACAGCGTCTAAAAATACATTTCACTTGGGATCTTGGATGTTGATGACGCCATGATAGTGCACAAATACAGTAATCGGAGTACTCTTGTGAGTTCACTGGATCGCAAGTTGAATTCCTTCACAGTGCATCGCATCAATCATGTTCAATCATTGGCATTTTGACATTCTCAAGAAAGGAATGGTCAACGTAGGGTTCAAGGATGCTGAATGACTGCCCGCCACCAAGCAAATCGTACCTTGAACCAAACCGTACCCGTCCATTTGCACAAATCATCACAAAAACATGCCTGTTGAAATGTTGGGATCCTTTAAACGATCTCTTCGTGTTCTAATTTCTGTTGTAGAGGAAAATCATGGGCTGACGACGTCGAGGAGCTCGGTAAGCAAACACTCTATGTTTCAAAGAGGCCGAATCCTAAACTAAACGCTCGCTAGAGGACCAAGGAATCGAAGAAACTGTCGACGATGAGGGCGTTCGAACAGTCACTCAGATCACTACAAATGAAGATGGCAAAAAAGTCAAGGTATGATGATCCAAAAGTGATAGACTCAACATATCAAGGCTAATGTGCGCTTATATGACTAGATTGTGCGAAAATTCCGTCGTGTGGAAAAGCGTACCCTTGTAAACCATCAGGTCGCCGAACGCAAGACATGGGCGAAATTTGGCGCAGAGAAAAACTCAAAACCTGGTCCTAACAAAGCTACAACCACCGTCGGTGAAAATGTCACTTTGAAGATTCACCCGGGCTCCAAAGTATGCGTGCCACTTGATGAACGCGAGTCCTCTTTGCTGAGCAATCTCCAGGCAGCCGAAACCGAGCAACAGGAACAAGTCAAGAACCCACTTGCTGGTAAAAAGGTCAAATGTAGATTGTGTCAAGGCGAGCACTTCACCACCAAGTGTCCTTACAGAGAGGTGTTGCAATCGGTTGGAATTGAGGGCAAGTGCTCCTGATTTGGAATGATAGCAGTGCTCATACAGTACTAGATGTCAACCCCGACGACGTCCCCCCAGCAGGCGCTGCCGCCGCCCAACCCGGTGCAAAATATGTACCACCTCATCGAACGGGTGGTGGAGAGTCAATGACACGAACCCGCGACGACCTTCCCACTCTTCGTGTCACCAACGTATCTGAAGATGCGACCGACGATGACCTCAGAGATTTGTTCTCGCGATTCGGCCGAGTTCACAGAGTTTACATTGGTCGTGACCGAGAAACGGGTCAAGGAAAGGGATACGCATTCGTCAGCTTTGAGGATAGGGCGGTCGCGGAACGAGCAATGCAAAAAGTTCATGGAATGGGCTATGACAACCTCATCCTCAATTGCCAGTGGTCTCGTATGTCTTTATTCCGTCACCTTTGGCACACTCTTACACTTTACAGAACCAAGGGAAGCTCGTCCAGCCCCTGCGTAATGCCACAAGCTTCCGTGCACGTTTGTTTGTCCACTGCTTTGATCTAGGCATCACTTGTATTTCTTCTGTGAAATATATTTTGAGCAGGATTCTCGGTCCTTTCCTTGTTTTGAGCTCTACAAACCGAGCCGTGCACGTTTGCTCTCTACCTCGACTAGAACTTCGACTCTGCCATCATCCTTGCGTGGGCAACACACAAGAATGAACCACTTGACTAGTAAATTACTAGGCCTCCTATATATACTTCCACTTGTCTTTGCTGTTCCAGCCTCCCGTAAGGTGCTCCTTCCCGCGTGACTTCGACGTTGACTGTGGTCAGAGACCCCGCTTTCAGTCGGAATACTCGACCCGTATCCAGACAAGCCGAAAATTACGTTTAGGGAGGACGGATCGTTCAAAATGTATGCCCTACGATTGGTTCCAAGTCGAGCGATATCTTACACGGATTCGCAGCACGGTCCTGAGTGATTTGCACTTTGGAGAGAATCCTTGGGATGACTGGGGTCCTGAACAAGATAGGAAGAGTCTAGTTTTGCTGAGGCGGGTGTTCAGAGAGGAACAACCTGACTATGTGTGAGTGATATTCTGGGTCTCGCCGCAGTCTAAACGCTTTAAAGTGTTATAAACGGGGACCTTGTTACCGGCGAGAGTACGTTTCATACCAGTCTGAAAAACTATTGCTCATAGAGCGAAGATACCTTCAAGCACAATGCTACGCTACTCATCGACCAAATAATCGGGCCAATAAACGAGGCTGGTATGCCTTTCTCTTCGATTCATGGTGTAAGTTTGACAGTGAGAGTATATACGACAATCTCATATGGCGACAGAATCATGACAACCAGCGAAACATATCTCACATGCAAGAGATTCAACGAGAGCTCAAAGTCGCCAAAAGGACTTGTATGTTCGGAAGCCCAGCACTTGAGCGAGTCTGAATTGAGAGTAGACACTAGAGCCGCCCCGAAGGGGATTGGTGGTGAGGGAGGGGAAGGAAATTACTGGGTCCCAGTCAGTACTGCACACGCTTGAAACCCTCTTCTCATGCCTGGTTAGATCTACAAATGCACGGATGATCGAGTCCCCGTGCTGATACTCTGGTTCTTTGATTCGCGAGGGGGAGAGTCCCTTGGTGAAAACTCTCGTCCTGTAGAAGACTGGGTACATCCTTCGGTCGCCAAATGGATAAGGAGTGAAGTAAAAGCTATGAAGGATGCATGGGGGAGCATGGAAAATGTAGGAGCGCTGGGCTTCGTTCACATCCCACCGTACGTGTTACAGTGTCACGTCTTATGGACTTTTCTCATACCGGCATCAGGTTCTTGGTGCGAAGCTTGCAGGCGAACCTAAATAGCACGGTCAGCCCTGGCCTGAATGGTCAGTCAAGTTGTTAAACTTTTTCTAAAGATTGATCGCTTCCAGCTGACCATATGGGCGATGGATCCTCACAACGTGAAGGGAAGGATCAGGCATTTTGGCACGCTCTCACCACATTTATTCCCAATCTCCAAGCGCTTGTATCGGGACATGGTAAGCAGGCCTATTTATCAGTGGGATCTAACGTTCCCTATAGATCATGGAAATGAATGGTGCGCTCGTGAACGCAAGAAGGGTGTCGTCTTTTGCTTTGCAAAGCACTCTGGGTAAGGTTTGTGGTCATAAGATTTCAAAGCTAACACGTTTCCGAAGCCACGGAGGATATGGGAAGCCAGGTATAGTCCACAGCAACCGTCACACTTTGCTGACACCACATAGACTGGGGATTCGGCGTCCGCAATGTCGTATTCGAACAGTTTGACACCACGAGCACGTTCAAGACGTGGATACGGATGGAAGACGGCGAGAAAAAGGCAATTCTTAACATTGACGCAGCGTTCGATCCTTGAAACGGGACTGCATGCTTTGTATTCATACGACTTCTAAAAATCTATCTTCTGGCATACTGGGACGACACAACAAGCTACTAGTAGGGTAAAGAGACAGGGCATCTAGCGCGGGAAACGACCAATGGGCGGAGTTTTGCTGGTGCAGGCTTATTGAACCTTTGCGATAACACGAGGCTCCATCACATCCTTCATGGAGATGAAGATATCATCGGCCGGATGGCGGTAGAGAGGTGCACGCAGTCTCTTTTGGTCGAGATGGTGGCCAATGAAACCGATGCTACGGCCGAGAACGAAGAGGCCGTTGAGGGTTCCAATCTTAATGTACTCGTCAGCTTCCTCACGAGTAAAAGCGCCACTGTCGCGGAGCAAGTCGACAAAGCAGACGGCGATGCACCCATCGACGTTGAGGATGAGCTGGGAACAAAGCTTATGAGCAACATAAACAAGGCAACATGAATTGCACTGACCGTATCCTTCTTCGCCGTCGTTACCTTCTCGACAGCCAAAGCGTAGTCGAGCAGCGAGTGGCTGGGGAAGTGTTTGCGAACGTACGCCTTGACGAGCTCGACACGTTGATCTGGGTTATTGACGCTCTTAATCTTGTGACCGATACCGCTGACTATAAACAACCGTCAGCTGCATCGCCAGATGAGGAAGAGAAAGTACGTACTAAGCTTGTTGGCTTTTCGCGACTCGTCCACAAACTCGCGAGGCGTCAATCCGACGTCACGGGCATTGGAGAACATTGTCGCAGCCTCATCAAGGGCACCACCGAAGCGGCTACCAATGGTCAAGAGACCCGATGCCAACGAAGAGATCAAATCTTTGCCGGCACGCGTGGCGACGATAGTGTTCATCGCGCCAGACACGGCAGGTCCGTGATCGGCAGTGAGCATGAGGACCATCTCAATGAACTTGGATGCCCACGGTGGGAGACCTACAAAGATTAAGCATAGAGTCAAATACGAATGCAAGGTACGTACGGCGCTTGAACCAGAGCAAGCTGACGACACCGCCGAGACCAATGTCCTCTCGGAAGACATCCGAAATGGGCATACCGGCGTACATGAGCTCCTGACCACGTTCGTCGGAAATAGTCGAGATGAATGCAGCTGGCTTGCGGATCATGCCGAGCTCCTGAGCCCACTTGTAGTCCATTGGAATGACGGGTGGCTCCCGCTCGGGCTTGGGTACAATGGTACCAGCTTGTACGAGCGACTCGTATGTCTCCTTCAACGCGGTTGGGAGGTCCTCAAAGGTGTCTGGGACGATGAAGCCCGCGGCCTTCATGGCAGCATTCTTTGCGTCGGCCGTCTCAAGATCAGAGTTGGCCATGGAGCCGGCGTGACCAAATTGAACCTCGGTGGTGAACATCTTTGCGCAAGTACCAATCGCCCATGCGACAATGGGCTTCTTGATCTGGCCAGTCTTGACAGCTTCGATGACTCGGTACTCCTCGATACCGCCGACCTCACCCAAGAGGACGAGCATCTTGCAGTCTGGGTCTGCCTCGTAGCGCAGGAGGTGATCGATGAAAGTTGATCCAGGATAGCGATCACCACCGATGGCAATACCCTCGTAGGTACCATTGGTCACGAGCGAGAGAATGTTGTTGAGTTCGTTGGACATGCCTCCAGACTTGGAGACGTATCCGACTGAACCGGGCCTGTAGAGCTTCGAGGCGATAATGTTGTCCATCATACTGTAATCGTTTGTTAGAGTCAAACGGTGAGGCTTACAGGTCTACTCACCCTCCAGAGTTACCGATACGGAAGCAGCCAGGCTTGATTCCACCAACAGTTGCGGGACCAATGATGAGGACACCCTTGTCCTTTGCGAGATGAAGAATCTCACGAGCATGACGCTCGGGCACACCCTCGGCAATAAGAGCGATGCTCCTGATCTGAGGGAAGCGCAGGACGTCCAAAGTCGAAGAGTAGACGGAACGTGACGAGGCAAAGTTGACGATACAGTCAACCTCTGGGTGCTTCTTGACAGCTTCCTCCACCGACGTGTAGACCGGGAGGAGAGTCTCCTTGGTTCCCCAGTAGAACTTTTGGATATGGTGACCACCAAACGGATAGATCATGGCCGCTACAGATGGCGTATCACGACCGCAGCTGTAGTCAAAGTCGAGCATGCCTTGGATAGCACGAGGCTGAAGACCATAGACAAACGAGCGCGTTTGCGCATCAAATGGTCTGTAGGCCGGGCGAGTCGACGATGTGGTCTCAAAGTGGACAATCTGGTCGTTTGGCTGGATGCGTTGGCCATGAGGACCAACAATACCGACTGCCTCTGGCTCCTCGATGGAGCCACGGATGGCTGGTGGTGGGGTACCGGGGGTCGATTGGACGACAGAGTAAGTGCCGTTGGATGGTCGCTTAGGCTTGGTGATGCCGAGAGCGAGAGGAACAATGTCGGTGATGTGTGTCTCGGGACCATAGACCTTGATCGGGACGCCAAGGGACTCTCCGAGGAGGCGCATGGCCTTGAGACCTTCTTGATAGTTTGGACCACCACGGCGCACAAAAATGCGGACCTTGTGGTTGATGAGAGGTGCCTTGTACTGGGTCAAGGCGCGGATGATGCCCTTGAAGGTAGCGGCAACGTTGGTAAAGTTGGCGATACCACCACCAATGATGAGGATCTTGCCGTCAGGGTGAGGAGTGCCACGAGTCATCAAATCAACTATAGTCGTGTCAGTGTGATTGTAAATATAAGAACGATGGACGTACTGAGAGTCTTTGCATATTCGTAGGTTTGACCTTCGGTGGGAGCACCAGAGTACTCGCCATAGTTTGCAAGCTCGTGAGCAAAGCCGTGAGCAGCAATAGCGTCCGAATAGACGACGGAAGCACCTCCACCGGCAACCATGGTCCAAATGCGACCTTCGGCATTGAGGACGGTCAACTTGAGCGAGGCGCCGGTAGAGCCGTCGAGTTTTTGAATGTAGGCCTCTTCTTTGGTCAAGTCACGACCGAATGGTGCAGGCCACACCATTGGTGGTCCGCGGTCTGCACTGACACCGCCCTTCTTTGCTGCGGTCGTAGCGGCCTGATCGTAGACAGTCAAGTCACGAGCAATGGCCCATTTGGGACCGCAAATAAAGTCGGCGGTCTGATCGAGCTTGGCAGCCATATCGAGGTAGTGGATCGTCGGAGGCTTTCCGTCGACACCGTCGAGGCACACAAGAGGGTTGATCTCAAGGTATGCAAAGTGCAAATCGACATAGACCGAGTAGAGCCGTGTCAAAAAGTCGACAAGTGTGTCCTGTTTCTCCGCCGGGACATTGGCGAGCAAGCACGATTTTATTTCCTCGCGGCTTGGGAAGGGCTGGTTGACGGCAATCAAGAGTTTGAGAGCCTTCGCATCGACATCTCCAACTTCGATGCCACCTTCATGTGTGAAGAGGATGTAGTCGCCCTCGCGAGCGGAATTAATGCAGACATAGTACTCTGTGTTGGATGGATGTGGGAGGAAAGGCTCTACAATAAAGTTTTTAAGCGTTCCCTTTGTCGACTCGACCTGTGGGCGGTGTCAGTACCCTGGACTCGGGTCACCATAGCGGGGAATTCCAAAGGTGTCCGTCGAACACATGATCGCCGCGCGCACCAATAACATCTCATCGATGTAACGATCGAAGATGGGGCGAATGTGGCAGCAAGACACGGGGAAAACGCGTCGAAGCCTTACCTGAACCTCCTTGCCGGCTCGTTCAGCGATCCATTGCTTGGCCTGTTCCCAGTCTTTGTTGAGGAGGAGAAGACCGCTCTTTCCACGGCGCTTGATGAGCTGATCCGGCTTTGCTACGAGCTTGGAGGTGAAGACCCAAGAAGGAAGCTGGGTGTCGGGCGTGATGGCACCAGTCTCTGGATCCCACGAGATCTGAGCAACCTTTGGAGACGGATAGACAAAGTCTGAGGAAACGGTTGCAGTCTTGGACACGGCCGGGGCACGCTCTAGCCAGTAGGCGAGGAGCAGCTTGGCATCGTACTCATGAATAGCTATGTGTAGTATAATTGTCAGTAAAGACAAGTAAAGAAACGCGAAAATGGGGGGCGAGGGAGCGCAGGCTAACCTGTTTATCGCGACGAAGAGGGAGTGAGGCGCGTCGCAGACGCAGTAGAAATCAAGATCAGCTTCTGGAGCGCGCTGGATGAGCTCGAGAGTGTATAAAACTCGCCTTTTGAGGACATTTTGGAGGATAGACGGTTGAGGTTGGGGATCAAGAGCGGATGAAGATTTGGGACGAGGAGAGCTTGGGGATATATATGGCCCCCATAAGTCTCTTACGATTCGCTGCTGGTACGATCCTCTTAATTGTCCTTACCATTTTGTTATCCGTCAGTTGTATTTGCGCCATTAGTCGCTGCGATTGTCCATCTTGCCGTCGCCCCTATTTCCGCACAATGGCGTCGGTCCTCCGTCGCGGACTCAGACACGCCAACAAGTCATTTAATACATCCATAAACAGTCGTAAATACACGCTACAAGCATCCTCGACCAGCAAAGTGGCCAGTGTCGAGCCGTTGAACAGACTTCCACCGATTCTGGTCACGCTGCATGAAGCAAAGGCTAGAAAAGGTATCAAATTTCACTATTGTAGCCACTCTGAGATTTCTGGTCACGCGACCCGATAAAGGCCTCAGCTTTGACTCGCTCGCAAAGACTCTGGGTCGCAACGAGATATACGTCGCCTCCATCTTCTACGGACACGCAAAGCCCACTCAAGAGGACATAGTTGTAACCAGCCCACGCTCTTCTGGAATGTGGAAAGCCCACCTGACTGCCGAGACAGGCTCTGGCACACGCGCTGGCCGTCGACGAGCGCGCAATAACAGACGAAATCGGTTCACATTGGTGGCCTAATCGTGGCCTTGGAGGTGGAATCCCTTCTGACCCAGGTTTGCCTCATGTTCACCAGGCAGTCGCCTAGCCCCCTTGACGCGATCTACCCCAGTCATTTATCGGCTATACGAGGGTGTCATCGTGTACGGTCACCCCATCAAGGCCGTCATCCACGAAAAGTTTGGGGATGGGATTATGTCGGTCCTTTTTTTCGACTGGTTCATGGCCTTGGAACTAAACGTTTTTCGCTTAAGGTCCATGATAGATTGCAAAGTAGGGACATGTTCCTACTACTGGATGTCTGGATGAATACTTTCTAGGTCAATGTCGATCGCAAACCAGATCCAAAGGGCGATAGGGTGGTCATCACCTTTGAGTGAGCACTCAAAACTGTTGGTACCCTGTTTTTCTAATTCAACCAGCGGAAAGTTCCTTCCGTATAGCCAGAACTAGACTTGGTGAGCCTTTGAATCTCTTTTCTCGACTTGGGCTCAGATCTGTCATGCAGATAGACTTGTGTGTATAAACTGTAGTGCCAAATACATAAACTCAAAGATACCGACTGCGCACGTCACGGATCTTGTTGAGCACCAATTGCGTTCGCGCCCACTTTTCACTTTCCTCCAACCACTTTAGCTCAAGTAGCTTCGGACAAAGGACGCCGATAAACCCGGCTACACTCGAGGGTTCGCCACCTGGAGAATGCCCCACTTCAAGCACCCGTAGTTGACTCGTTCGGCGGATTTGACCCGAAAAGCTCTCGCCGTCAGGAGTCAATGTTGGCGAATCCAACGGCCCGATGCCATCGTCCATCATTTCCTCCAATGTCGTCGCATCAAACTCGATGACCAGTTCTCTGATATGACGGAGATGGAAGAGCAATGCGGCAAGGCCCCGAAATGTGCACATGGGCTTCCATCCCGCCGGGAGTCCATCCACACCAATGTTCGATACAAGCTTTAATTTTCGACAGTGGGGCCACATGTAGCTAATGGTGTCGATGTCTCCATCAGTCATTTGCACAGGCACCCCGAGATCGACCCTCAGCTCCTCCAATTTGCGGTGAGCTAGCAGAGGCAAGAAAACTGCTGCCGTGGGGAGATTGGACAATGTACGGTGACTTGAAGGCGCCTTGATCGTCAGTTCAAAGGTTCGGAGACTAGTCGTCGCAGAGCAAGTTGCTTGTATCAGAGAGTGAAACGTTGCTGATGGACACGGCACGTGCTCTACAAAGGAAAGTCGGATGCAATTGAGCAATGTTGATTGTATGCTCTGAATGAGCGGGAGATAGAACGATATCGTCGACGCGAGGTGTAGGGTACGCAAGTTTGGAAACGGACTGGGCGGCATAAGTAGGTGGTCCAGGTCGAAAGTACCGCCGTAGATTTGGAAATCTACCGCTGCGAGAGATCTATTGAGGCAAAGCGGATACAATGCGTTCGGAACCGATGCTCCTGCGAGGGGAATCTGAAGCTTTCGAATCGTCGGCAATTTGGGTATGAACTCGGTGAATATTCCTGCCAATGTGGCGCTCTCCTTTTTCTTCATGCGGACAATGAAGACGTCGATTGCTGCATCCGAGAGTCGGGAGAGCACCTCCTTCAACGAAGTCGGGTCAACCTCGAGCGCATCCACACTCTCTGGGTGCAAGTCGAGGACCACCGAGGACGTCCTTGGCGATACGAGGTGTGGAAGCACATACCACCCTTCTCGATCAGCAGAGGAGAAGTCTATCCTTTCAAGATTTGGGAGCGGGAAAGTCCAGGAGTTGCACAAAGCGATGACTGCCCAAGGTGGGATAATCGTTTGATTTCTCTTGGGTTGGTAGTCGTAAGCAAGTCGGATAATCTTTCGTCCGTAGTAGATGAAACGAGTAATGTCCGAGTGTTGGATCAGTTGAATTGCGTCCTGCTCGCAAACCCGTTACGACATCCCATCAAGCAGCTAACCAAACTAGCTTACATCGACACACGTTGAACGAGACAAGCAAGCACAAAGATCGTCTGCTAAGGTACAGAGGAACCGCGTGATCGTGGTCTCTCTCCATAGCACGCCGAGAACAGTCTCGGCCCATTTACGACACACGCAGGCGAGAGAAGGGACATCTTGAATACTTGAGCCGCGACCATGACGAACCAGGTCGAGGACGAGCTCGAGAGCAATCGGGGAAAGATGTTCCCACATTCAATGGAGGTGGTTCGGATTCAAAAAGGTTAACAAGCGCGCAGGGTGCCGAGAATCGTCTATTGAAAGTGCGTGCAAAACTACACTATGTGTCCAGTGGCTAAGATGGAAGACGCGTTGCCAGTTTTCGGTTGAAGGAGGCCAACGGTTGTAAAAGGGGTTTGAAACGAGACATCCCACAAAAAGAACATTATCCTGATAGACCTAGTCATATTCAGTGATAGGAAAGACATGAGCCAGGGTTTACGCACCAGAATATAGATAGCAGACGACACCGGAAAGGATCAGACTTGACGCGGCCACTATAATCTTTTGTTGGGTCAGTGGTTTTGACAGTCCGTACCAATCAACGTCCTTGAGCACCCAGTTCTTACTGGGCAACTCCCGGGCATCCATTGGACGAGTGATACTCACCTTTTCTCGGGAAGGGATCCTACGACGGCTTATCGAGGCACGATGACCAGACTCCAAGTCACACGGCGCTTGCGACTTTTCTGAAACGACAGACTTCTCTGAGTAGAAGGCTGGTTCAGGATTGAACGGGTACACCGGAGGCCTCATCTAAAATCAACCAGGTGAGCTGGACAAAGTTATATGACTGGATGAGGAACACGCACAGAAGCGAAAGGCCCAGGCATCCACGAATTGACCACATGAGGTCGATCGAGATCAGAAACAGAGGCGCAAGGTGCCGGCAACGTCTCTCGGGTGATTCCATGAACAGAAGGAGAAGCGTCCACCCGGGGGTTGAAGACTGATTCTGAGCTACTAAGGGTGAAAGCTTGGTGAGCTGGCAAGATGGAATCAAAAGGGGACCCACCCTGAGGCTGCAACTTGGGGCATACTCGACTTGTTCTGCTTCCTATTGAGGGCTTGACTAGGATTTGGTTTAATCATCAGAAAGTAAGAGAGGAGCTGTAAGAGTTCACTTACGCAGTTTCGCAATCCTTGGTGTGTCGCTTCATGTCATGGGAGCGAATATATGACTTGCCGCTAGCGGCAGGGATTAGCGAGCTCGTCAGACGTAAGCAGAACACTCTTACCAATCGCAAAACCATGGCTTGATGGGTGTCAAGGTGTGGCTCAAGACATGGGGCGAAAGGTCCCATCGTCGTTGAGTCTCAGTAGGATCACGCTTTGGCTGCGTGGTCGAGGGATGGGCACAGATCCCACACTTGTACATCTTTTTCCCCTCTGAATCGCTCACTGGAATCGCTAGCTCCCCATAAATGTACTGGAGCGTCAAGAGACTGTCCAAGACAAAACTCGAGTAGCTGTGTCGGTTCCCCCGACAATCTTCGTATATCCTCTGGTTCCCGGGGGTGAGTGTGTCCCTGTAAGAGGCCTCATAGGGCTGAGAATACGAGACAGTCTCGAGCTCATTTAGTTGGCCCTGGACAAGGGCATGCTGGAAGACCAGGGGAGGCGGGAGATGGCTGGTTGGCGTCGGGGGTGATACTGTGAACAAGCGGTCACCCCAGAAAGACCGACTCCGATCCTCTCTTATGAAATTTGTCGCTGGAGAATGCGGGTAAGAGACGGAATGGAGCGATTTGGGGGGACATACAGCAGGATCCTGACGCTGACATCGAGAGCCCATCTCCGCACCCATCAAATGCGTATGGGGACATCGTTGGTTGTATCAGAGCGCTCGGAGTAGCCACACTAGGATGTACCTCCGGTAATGGGGAAAACAGCGACTCGGATGGCAGGCCTAGATATCGATGAGTACCAGGACACGACATGAGTAAAATTGCGCACCTTGGGAAGCCTGGGCGTGGCTTGTCGGGATATGTGGCCAGAAAAGGGGAGAAGTCCGGTGTGGATCCTCGGCGTTTGACGAGTAGTGAGAATATTGCATAATCTCGATGAAAAGCGTGCAAAGGTAAAAAGAAACAGGAGGGGCGTCTCTCTGAGAGGCACCAAGGAGCGCGTCCACTTTTATACTCGGGGTCAGATGCGAACCAGACAAGGCGGGGCATTCAGTTTGGAGACCGCCACCTAGAATTCCTGCGGTTCCCGGCGACATTTCTGTTTATTTTGACCGTAGATGAACCAGCTGGCCTTCCAAGCGAAGCCCCTTTCCATGAACCAGCCCATAGACATGCCATTACTCGGCGGGAGATTTGCGCCTCCTCGACAGGCCCTTGGCTACGTTTTAGGCATCAACGACGGTTCTCCGGATTTATTCGTGAATTTCCGACGCCCGGTAGGTTGATGACCGGCTTGATTCACATGGGCGCTAGCTTGCTCCTGACCACGATGACCGTATTCTCAAAGCTGTCGTCTAGAAAGGATCTCCGAGCGCCTCTCCTAGTTGCTCTTGCTCTTGTCTTGTTCAGCCGGTCGCGCCTCACGTCCCTCAACAAATTATTCACTGGACCGCTGCGAGGGGATAAAGCGACTCCTGAAACCCTGAAACACGCCCGGGAGCAACTTTACTTGGATGAAAAGGATGGCTCCAAGACCCTTTTATTGCCATTCAGACAACGAATTGTCAAAGTCCCCATCGTTCCAATCTCACCCGAGGTTTTTGAGAGAAACGCATCGTCCTTCAAACCCGTTCCAAAGTCACACAAGCCCAACGTCGACAAGCTCTTCCTCAAGCAGCTTATCGCTATCCTCCGGATTGTCTTTCCCTCACTGACCTCACGCGAAGTCGGCATTCTGCTTCTCCATACCTTCTTCCTAGTCACCCGGACCATTCTCAGTGTTTATGTCGCCCACCTGGATGGGAGACTTGTGCGTGATATCGTCAGCGCTGACGGAAAGGGGTTCCTCAGGGGACTTGGCTGGTGGTTTGCATTGGCTGTTCCATCATCTTACACCAACTCCATGGTATGTGTGCACCCCACCGTATTGTATATCTCTAAATGACCGACCATGCAGTTGCGCCACTTGCAATCAAAACTCTCACTTCGGCTACGAACAAGGCTGACTCGTTACACCCACGACTTGTACCTTTCAGCGGCACCAGATCTAAAATACTATAGGGTGTCTGGCGAGGGTGGACTCGAAGGGATGGATCAGTGAGTGAATCATCTCATCTCAGTAGGAACTGAACCAGAACAACTCCGGTCTCTTCTTTATTCCCCAGGTATATTACCAGTGACATTGCGGCATTTTGTGAATCACTTTCGACACTCTAGTGAGTTGCCGACCATCCGAGCCTTGCAGGCCTCCTACTGACCCTCGACCAGCGGCAATGTAATGAAGCCCTCTTTGGACATGTTAATTTTCACTACACAGCTCACCCGAAAGCTTGGTGCAATGGGGTCTGTGCTCCTTTTCCTCAATTACTTTACAACTGCGTCCATACTCCGGGCCGTTACCCCAGCTTTTGGACGTTTGGCAGCCGTCGAAGCCAAGTTAGAAGGAGAATACAGAGCGGGTGTAGGACGAGTGGGCAGAGAGGCCGAGGAGATTGCGTATGTTTTTGCTCAATTACACACTTATTGGCAATTGTCTAACCGTCTCCCCAGTTTCTATGGCGGCGGAGGACGGGAAAAGCACATCCTCTGGGGCGCCTATCTGCGCTTAGTAAAGCACGTAAACTCCATTTACAAAGTATATTGCATCCTTTCCGTTTCCGCAACTCCGTTCCGACCGGTCTTGTCTAGATTCGCGTGGCGTACGAGTGGACAGAAGACTATGTCATCAAATACCTCTGGTCAGCAATTGGCTATGTGTTGATTTCTATCCCTGTCTGGATGGCGACGAAGCGCTCTGTCGGGATTCAAGCACCGGCGGTTCAGTCGCGAACCGAGGACGTGGTAGCGGACCGGACTGAGAGTGAGTCCGAGGCCGTGCGTGGAAAGTCTGATGCCTGGCTAAATTCCGATAGACTACATTTCATCACGGCGCCTCCTCATCTCATTGGCTGATGCCGGAGGTAGGCTGATGTACGCATACAAGGACATTCTCGAGCTGGCTGGGCTCACGACGCGCATCTACACCATGCTCTCGACTCTGCATCACCTGCAGCCTCTACCCGAGTTTGAACGACATCCGGAACGTATCGAGCTTCAAGGGGCGGTCATTGGTGTCCCCAAAAAGGACCCAAGGCTCGGAGACACAGCATTGGTGGGAAATGCAGAGGAAGGATTTGACTTTGCAGACAGTAGTGAAGCCACTGACGCCACAGCTTCCGAGAGGCCCCTCGTGCAGGACCTCAACATTCGCGTGGAGCGTGGCGAGCACCTGATGATCAGCGGTCCGGTGTGTGACACGTTACATAATCCAATTTAGACTATGTGCTCACATTCCAGTGTAGAATGGGGTCGGCAAGACCGCTATAGCGCGGGTTATTGCAGGCTTGTGGAAAGTGGAGCAGGGAAGAGTCGTCAGACCCGACCGTGGCTTCTCTGGTGTCTTCGTCGTGCCTCAGAGAGCGTACATGGTGACAGGCAGCCTCCTGGACCAGTTAGTCATTCGCTTTCTGAGACTCAGAGCCACTCTCTGACCGTCGCCATACAGGATCATTTACCCGCACTCATACACTCAATTCAAGAGGTCTGGCAAGACCGAGCAAGACCTCATCGACATTCTCAAGGTGGTCCACCTTGCCTACCTGCCAGCTCGAGAGGGCGGTTGGGAGACTGTCAAGGAGTGGAAAGACGTGCTGAGTGGCGGCGAAAAACAGCGAGTACGTCTGTTTCCCACCTCTCGTAAAGCCACATCACCTTGCTCGCGTGCTCATCGTTGTCAAACTTTAGATGGGCATGGCCCGGCTTTTCTACCACCGACCGGCATTTGCGGTGCTTGATGGTGGGTGGAGCCCTTTCAAATGGAAAAGTGGATTATTGAGTTTTGACGTTTGCGGTCACTAGAATGCACGAGCGCAGTTTCCACCGACGTCGAAGGCCTCATGTACCAGCACGCGAAGGATCTCGGCATCACCCTGATCACTATCTCCCACCGGTGCGTTTTTTCTCTATAGAATGTTCGTGACTCGACTGACTTTTTGCATCATCGGCCGTTCTAGACCGACGCTCACCAAATACCATAGTCGTCTTCTAACGGTGTACGGTGACGCGGCAGGAAGCTGGTCGCTGACGTCTGTTGGTACCGCCGAGGAGCGTATGGGCATCGATCGTGAGATTCTGATGCTAGAGGCAAAGCTCGCAGAAGTGAGCTCTTGGGAAAAGCGCGTCAAGGAGCTCGAGGTATTACTTGGGACGGGCCATGCATCCAAAGTGCGGGCTTGAGTAATCTTATCTCGTGTTCTATTTGCGAGGATGCTCTCTTAATGCGACAAATTCTTTCATGTGACGAACAAATGCGAGTCAATAAAATACGATCGTCCTACATGATGGTACATGCAATGGATGCCATGCGATAAATTTATGAGAGCCTCCTAGGCCGTCAGGTTGAATAGACGACGGCTAGATCGTCTTAGAATTTTTTCTTTGCGTCGACGGAAATGCCGCCTGGAATCGTAATCAGGATAATGCTTCATATAGTTGAACAAACAAAAACGACGTACCAGCACCCATGTTCACCAACAAGAGGAGACCTCCGACGATTGAGAGCGTCTGGAAAAAGTCGTACTTGAGGAAATCGCGTTGAGGGTGCTTGTCATGCACGCTCCACCAGTTGTTCACGACGACATTGAAGATGGAGAGGAGGATGACCAGGAATGCGGCAGACCACTTGGCCTTGAAACCCACGGCGACCATGATGCAGGCGGTGAGCCCGACCAGAGAGAAGATCAATCGTGCAAAGGTCCATTGTCCCTGGAGGGTGACTCCGATGAAAAGGAAGATCAAAAGGACTCGGCCTGTCAATTGGAAGCTAACGACGCCAAGTCAGAAACCGCCTGACTATGAAAAGACGTGAAACGCACTATTTCTTGCGATCATTGTCGCTCAGATTGGGAAGACCCGCAAAGAAGGTCCTACGAGTGACCATAGAATCAGAAAAGACCATGAGGAGACCTCCAACAACGGAGAGGTTGCGCAAGAAGAAATTAATATCAAAGATGAGACCGTAACCAAAGCCTTGCAAGATGATGACACCCAAGAGACTGCCAACTGCGATCTCAGAGTAGCGCTTGGTGATGATGGCACCAGAGGCTCCCAACATGGTCTACGGAAATCAGTGAGCTTTAAGAAGCAGTACTCAAAGAAAATTCACATACGAGGACGTTCAAAAGGAGGAAAATCTGCGAAATGCCCCATGGGAAGTAGCGGTGTCTGTTCCACGTCACAAAATCCGGGTCAGCATGTGGCTTTGCAGACAGAGGGCAAAACTATACGCACTTTTGGAGATACCAGTTCTGGTCTCCCCACTGAGTGAGAATGCGAAAGGCATCCTCAATAAAAGTCACGACAATGAGGAAACGACCAATTGCCGGGAGATGCGGCTTGAGGGGTTGAGAGTAAATCTCGACCATGTCCTCAACCTTGGAGGCATAAGCTCTGATTTTCTCTAGTGGGTCGTCTGGATTTGGCGCGGGCGTCGAGGCCTGGTAGGTTGGTGGGCGGGATTGGAAACCGTATGGATCGTTGTATGCACCAGCACCGGTTCCATAAGCTGGAGCAGCAGCAGCATCACGTGGACGAGCGATGTTTATTCTCGAAGACATTGGCGGCGAGATTGTGGTCGAGGACAAGAAGGAAGCGGCCAGCGAAGCAGACGGAGAGGACAAGCTACTTTGGCTTGAATGTAATAATATGGGCCGAGAATATGTCCAATATTCTCGAAATCGAGGCAGAGGAGAACCGAAAGCAAAAGGCTTGTTTGCCAACGAGTCTTGGACCCGCCCTCTTATCAGCCCGGGCTGCCTCTTCACTGCCTCAGACTTCCCATGGCACATAATTCTCGTGATTCTATCAATCTAGCGCGCATAGTGCGCCGTCTTGAAGACCCGGACACGCCAGCGACACCCGTGACGCGCGCAGAGGTGGGTCCTGTCGAGTCCCCGTCGAGTGCAGCAGTGACGAGAATTTTGTAGAACATAAAGCATGCAAGAACACTCGCTAAACGCGTATATGGATCCGACACGTAAATATTTCATAGGCCGTGCGAAAACAGCCCTAGCTAATGCACCGCTCAGCAACCCGTATGAACAGCGGCTCAGCGCCATCGAACATCGCCTTGATGCGGGTTCAATAGCATCTGTACACCATTTCCCTTGTCCCGCGGACGATACTAACGACTTGACAGAGTATTCGACGCAAAGCCCCATCAACGCGGTCTTATACGTCAATGATCGAACCATTACTGGTTCCTGTTGCAACCGAAATTCCTGCAGCGGAAGAAAAGCAGGCAGACCCGTCCCCAGGTTCACCCACGTCATTAGGAGAGGAGGACCCAGCTACACTCGTCGCTCAGATGCTCCTGCCATCAGAAGAACTGGCAAAACCGGTTTCGACCTCTCTCCTCAACGGTGCGACCCATGACCCAGCCGCAAAGCCGTCGTCACTCTCTCCCGAGTTTCTCACCGCTTCACGCCAAACGCAAGACGAGATCTCAGAGCGACTAGCAGAAATGGCCGCACAACTGCGTCGAAACGCTCAGACATTCTCTGCGGCTCTGGAAGACGACAAGGAAGCACTCGCAGAGGCCGACATCAAGCTCGACAGTAACCTCGCACTCATGCAAAAGGAACGAGGTAGACTTGGAACTTATAGTAGCAAGAGTAGAGGAACGACCTGGATTGTCATCGCATCGATTCTCGTCGTGGCCGTTGCATGGGTCATTATGTTCTTTGTGATCCGTCTGACCTGATTGGCGATGCGAGACGAGCGACTGTTTGGACAATTGTAGCTATAGGTATTTATATCCTTGTCCTTATTGAATTATCTATTACCGACCACACTGGATCGCACTGCAAAGCTACGGTCCTATACACACGCGTCTGAACAGATTTTCAGGGTCCCTAATACATTTTCTCTTCATTGACTGGCTCAATGGTGACACTGGCACAGAATGGACAAAGGGTCAAAGCAATTTTCGCCACTTAAACTCGACCATCACCACTCCAAGTGGAACACACCCACCAGTTCTAATTCTCTGGAATAGTGCGATTTATGCATTTTCGCCCTCCCATTCCTTCATTTGGCGAACTAGAGGATGACGAACCAGCCGGTGAGGTGTCACTACCCGATGACAAGCAACAAGATTACATCGTTCCGGGTACTACAGGATATATACCAGCACCTCGTACGCCTCCATTGGGCGGGGCAAGGGCGCTGAATCCGACCCATCTTTCCGGCCCAGCCAGTGGTCATGACGACTGGGACGATAAGGTTACCCCAAAGGCATACACGTCACATGTACCTATGGTGATGAGAACCAATGTCGAGCGCAAGTCGGATGCAAATAACGACTCGCCGATGCTCACAAGCCTTTTACCACCTAGAACTCCTCGACGCATCTTAAAGCCGAGAGATACTCCTCAACGGGGTAAGACCATACCGACGCCCAACGGAGAGGGTCCTTCGGTTTTGGCAAGACTCCCTCATAAGCGAGCAGCGTCACTTGCTACAGACTTCCTTCCCCATCTACCAAACGGGTCTTCTCAAGCATCCAGTCTTGCACCTTCTATCAAGTTCAAGTCTCCTTCTCATCGATCACACACCCAGAGTGAGACGAGGGTACTCGACCCCGTCAAGAATCTCCATTGCAGCATCGACTTTCCACCGACCGAACATACCAACCTCATTCTCATTGCAAACGACCGTAACATTGAATTTCACGTCGAATCCACCCTCATCTTCAATGCATCTCCTGTGCTCGCGGACATTATTTCACCGCTCCAAAAGAGTCGCAAAGAGGGCGAAGAGGTAGACGTTTTTGCGCTCCCTGAGACGTACGAATCGCTGGACGCCATCGTTCGCTTCAGTTATCCCAAGTCGCGGAAACCGCTCGTGCGCTCAATGGGGCACCTCAAACGCCTGCTCAATGTGTGCAAGACGTACGAGATAGTAGCAGGCATGCACAACCTATCCGTCGTTATCGTACAGTTTGCTGGCATGATGGTCTCCGGCTCAATGGACGGCTCGCCGTTGGAGTGCTATGCGCTCGCCTGCGAGTTTGGGTTCCCAAACATTGCAAAGCTCGTTTCGACGCATTGTCTCTACCGGGATCCTCTCAAATCCGGAGAACTAGGGATGATCTTTGCGAATGTGGCGTCAAGGGACATACGACGATTGTTCGAGTTGCACCATAGTCGCGGTTTAGCGGCAATTGCGCTCGTTGGTGCAGCGGTGGATGCGAACGAGTTGTGGTGCGACGGATGTAGTGGCGTGGCGAGTTGGTACGAATATTGGCGAGAGGCAGCCACTTTCGAGCTCAAAAGTCGACCCGTTTCCAAGACAATCTTCTCGCCTTCGTTTATTGCGGGCTGTCTGAAACAGGCAGTCAAAAAGTGTCCAACGCGTTGCTTGGGGCACTATCTGTCACCGAAAACTCAGCTCCGCTTTGCTGTGCTGCAAAAGTCAATTGACGCTCTGAAGGACCGGATATAGCGGATATATAGTATTGATTGTACTAATTACAGATTTAATACAACTCTAGAATAGAGATCATCGCTCTTCTATGCTATGTGCGTCAAATACTTCGGGTTCGCGCCAGGCGGTGCCATCCGATGCTGAGAAAATGTCTGTACGACTAAAGTGAGAAAGGGATCCCATGGTCATGGTGGTAGTACGCCGCGAGACACGCGCAAACGTCGTTCCACCTGTCGTGATTCGTTTCCGCGGGCTCAACGAAAGCGAGTATTCTGGTGAGAATGGATCAACAGTTGCTACGCTCTTGATGTTGATGTAAAACCGGGAAGACATGATGGACATTGGCGCCCATAGGATGTACAAAGCTACTCCATCTGTTAGCATGGCTGCTTGTAAACGATCCGAGTTTAGGGACGCTCACCAAGGTATGCGCTCCCCTTGGGAAGCATGAACCAAATGAAGGCATAGCAGACCCGGAGGCATACAATGCTGACGCAAAAGAAGATGCCGTCGCGCAAGAGAGAGTGGAGAAGAGGTGCGGATGAGGAGCTCCATAATGCGTATGCATGATGAAATGCCTTCCAAATTGTCAGACCTCCAGCGATGACTTCTGAAAGAATCTAAGGGGCTGTCAGGATTGTTGCCAAACTTGGTGATGTGACCGACTGGAGAGGTCATGGCAATAATGAACCAAATTTCGCTATCCGAGTAGCTGCATACACCATTGAGATCGAGATAGTAACCCATTCTCCCTGTGACATGTGTGAGCAACAAGCATGCGAGTGGAAAATACCGACTGTGAATGGATACTACACAGATAGCAATTGACGTGATGGATATGCTGTATGAAGCGATAAAAGCGCCGTAGATAAGTCGTTTGACGGTTAAATTGTCGCCGAATAGGGCAATTACTCTGAGTAATAGCACATCTGGATACTGTGAGAAACAGATGCGACCGTATCGGGAGGCTTACAGGAGGAGCACATTCCACACATGACTTGGAAGATGAGCGCGCAGGAGATCCACATCCGACAGCTGAAGGAAATCAGGGAATGCTTTGAAGACGTTGAGGTACATACAACTGGCAAGGTCAGAATAATTCCATTTAGCAAGTGGCAGTCTTACATCATTATTCAGTCCGTGTCGAAACGGGGACAGCTCTGTTCAGATGGGTAAGGGTGAGCTAGTCGTAGTGCGTAAGACTTACGATAGTTAGCTACTATTAGCAATGCTGGAGGTATGTAGTGATTGAAGAAGTATAAAAGTCGCATGGACATCTTCGAGCCCGAGTTCCAGACCAATCGCACCTGAATAGATCCCTACGAGTCAGCGAACGCCTGGATCACTCCAAGATAAAAGTACACGCCTCGTCAGAAAAGAGGAGGAATATCTCATATAGAGCAATCGTTAATCCAGCTGCTAGAATGTATCGATTCGTGTTCAGATTGAGGATTGCCCCGGTCAGCAATTGTGCGCAAATTGCTGGATCAAGAAATTCTCCTGGTTGAATTCTGCCGTTTCCATAATTTCCAGAGGCTTGGCCGGTCATCGACCCTCTGATTAGGGTAGAGGGGGGGTTGGTCAAGGGCAATAGCTACGTATGAGGCGTTCCCAGGGCATCTTCACGCTTAAAGTATATGTCTGGCGCTTGACGGGGGAAGAAAGATCAGGCCGTATGTATCTCGGCGGGGCGATGCGTCCGAAGTTCCAATCGGCCTCGACTATACTGTGTGAAACTGTCATGAGAAGTTGCGTAGAGCCTTTCTCGTTCTCTTCCCGTGATATTCAGCACCCGTGGTTTCCAGTGGACTGCCTTGACCCGGGCGCGGTATGGTTCGTAGACATAACGCTATTATACGCATCCGTTCGAATGTTGATCCTTTAGCGTGGACTGCCCGCGCGAAAGAGAAGAAGGATATGTATGTCCCTGAGATTACTAAATGCCATCGAGTCCAACTTAGGGGTTTGAGACAAACCCAGACGGGCCCGCTCCAGACTCTGTCCAACGATGTATAATCTGTTTTTATATGCTGATGTTTAGTGGATTTTTGTTTTTACTACGATTTCTAGTCGACAAAGTCTGGGGTTTGTTTGTCTCGCTTTGGCCTCTTACACCAACTCGGCGACGACAGAAGAGTAAGTCCCAGACCATCCAAATCATCAATACGGTTAAATTTTATCAATAATTATCGTCTTGAAACACTGCTTCTCGTATCGTCTAGACGGTCGCTGATAATTTCCGTCTTTGCCCCTCAGCAGGCCTCGCCAATTTCCTCTTTCAAAACCATGTCCAACTTTATCGAATATCAAGTGATTGGACGACATCTCCCAACAGCGGAGACGCCAACGCCAAAGCTTTACCGCATGCGCATCTTTGCTCCCAACGAAGTGGTCGCAAAGTCTCGTTTCTGGTACTACCTCCGTCAGCTACACAAGGTCAAGAAGGCGTCTGGAGAGATTGTCGCGTGCAATGTCGTGCGTATCATTTCCTCGGGTTTGGACGAAACCTGCCACTCACGCGTTTGATAGATTTCGGAGAAGAAGCCTCTCAAGGTCAAGAACTTTGGCATCTGGATTCGTTATGATTCGCGATCGGGAACGCATAACATGTACAAGGAGTATCGAGAGCTGTCTCGCGCGGCTGCTGTGAGGTCGCTCTACCAGGATATGGCTGCTCGGCACCGTGCCCGTTTCAGGTCGATCCAGGTGAGCTTACTCTTTGATCGTTTTTATGTAACTAACGCCCTTGGCAGATTCTCCGTGTGCAAGAGATTGAAAAGACGGAAGATGTCAAGCGACCGTATATCCGTCAGCTTTTGGTGCCCAAACTGCGATTCCCACTCCCTCACCGCGTCTCCAAGACCAAGTCGACATTTGTGGCACAGCGTCCATCGACATTCTAAACCGTCTGATATTTTTGACCGGGAGGCTCGTCTGCTTGTTGCAAAGTATGTCGAATTCTTGTAGGCATAGTAAAACCTTTGAACGGCGGTTATGATGAAGCCTCATGTCCTGCTGTGGGCCCACGCTGCATACACCGAGGCGCCCTCGTTCTAAAAGAGATATGACACATGTGAATGGAATTCCCGATAGATGGGAGGGCCCAGAATAGTCGATCGAACCCGGGTCGGTTTATAATAGTTTAATAACCAAACCCCCTCCTCTCCTCCCTTTCTGATGCTCCAAGTCGACAGGACTTCTCTCTCCTTGCCTCCTTCGCAGACGGCCACCTTGGTCGGCCCAATGGCCACCGAACTCGCAAATTCGAGTTCAAATGATCCACTGCAGACACTCGAGTCGTCGTCAGCCTCTGCCAGCCCAGCGGTGTCCCTCACCTTTCTGCTCTTGTCCGGCAAACGTAAGACGCTCGAGTTTGAACAGACGGAGACGATAGCAAACATCAAACAGCGTCTGGTAAACGAGTGGCCTCCAGGTCAGTCTACTCCTGCGTTTTCCACACGTGAAACAACGGACAAACAGCTCACGAGCACCCTTTTTGATTCGCAGAATGGCAAGATGAAGTCAAACCAGCATCTATAGCGTCCATTAGACTGCTCTTTCTTGGCCGACTGCTCGCAGACGACGAAGTCTTATCAGCAAGTACGCGCCTATCGCTTACCCATACATAGAAGATACTCATAAGCACAAACCTTTGTAGATCCGCGATTCGCACCGCTCCCTGCACCCCCAAGCATCGTCCACCTGTCTGTGCGGCCTCTGACGACTAGGCATGCCTCCGGTACCGCAAGTCTCAAAAAGGGAGCCCTCTTACGCGCCGTCTCCCTCTCTGGTCGCACAAATGCACCAGCCAGTCCACAAACTACGCATCCACCGACAACAACGCAACCCCTAGAACCCGTCTCGGAGCAGACGGAATCATCAGGCTGCTGCGGTTGCGTCGTACTGTAGCAGTTCCCTTTGCCGTACAATGATTCTTACGCCTGGACGAGTCTGCACCACCCAGACTCTACGATTCTTACTTACCGCCGAGGGGTATTCCCCATCTTCTGACGGAGATTCCAACGTTTCACGTCCTCGTGCACCTCGCCTGTGGAATACGATAGAAAGCGTGTAATATACTGCATCCCGGATATTCAGCATCGTACGTACTACCCGTTTGTCTGGCCTTGATCCTTTTCTGCTCGTCTCTTCTCTCGGAGGGATTGCTCGAATTTGACAAACGCGCCGATAATGACTGCCATCTGTTTGTCGTGCTCCGACTCACCCGTCACTCCCATACGTCTCCCAGCGTCGAGTCCTCCCTCGGACTTTTGCCGCTCCCGTTCCTCTTGTAAGCGGCGTTCGCGGTCAGCGTCTGTCAAGACGTCTGTGGGCCAGTCTGATTGAGGGACACCCTTTGCAGATAGTTCGTTGCGCGCTCTTTCCATGGATTCCTGGTAGTCTTCCAACGCAGTGGCGTACAAGTCGTAGACGCACACGGCACAGGAGGACATGCAGCATTCTGAGAGAGGAGGGTGAAACTAGTGTGATATACGTGATAAAGGGCTCACCATCAGATGCTGGTGGAGGAGGCTTGATGGGAATCAAAACGCCCTTGAATAACCTCGGTTTCGGCCGCAGAATTGATTTGCTCCCGCCTTTATTAAATAGTTCCATCTCGGGACCCCTTTCTGCTTGTTCACTGTCCTCTAGCTCGATAGCTGGTGGCTGCGCTTTCGACGTAAGACTTCCATCCAACCCGACCTGTCCATAAACCTCTCCTGAAGCAATTCTATCCCGCATTTCTGCAGGCCTTATTTTCGTCTCCAATGCCTTGAAGCGTTGGCTGAGGTTATGGGCATGCCTTCGCTGCTGCACAGGCCACTGCAAGCTATTCGGTAGCCGTCTGCAGGCACCCTTTTCCGTCAAAAGTATCCGGGCATCTCTCGGTATTGAACGAAGGACCACCCGCGGGATGTCGCCCATGCACCAGAGCCGGGGTCGGGAACAAAGTTGTGCATGAGGCTTGTACCCCTTCCACACGATGGACTTTTCATGGCTCGATAGAAGTTATCTCATAGACTGGTATATAAACACCTATAACGGAGCAGCAGCGTACTCATTCCTCATTTAGGATCCTCGTGGTCGTCTGGTACTCGTTGTCCAACATTTTCATCTACGTACCAGTCTTTGAACGCGATATCCCACCGCAAGATGCCGCAATCGGGCACACACATCGCCCAAATCAGTAATTGACGTGTAATGCCGATACCGGGGCGCGTCTAACCAAGGCTGGCAGGGTGAACGGAGCGATGCTACACTTGCTCAGCGACGGTATCCCCATCGCTGTTGTTCTGATCATGGCGTTAACACGTCGTTCATTGATCGAGCTTCACCATGGATTGCTCGCATTCTTCTCCAGCACGTAAGTGTAGTCGAGCAGAATTCCGAATTCTTGAGCTGATTTTGTATACAGGTCTTTGCAGAGACTCGTGGTTGGTTTCCTAAAGAATAGAGTCGGTGAGTGTATTCTCCACATTCGCAGCACATTCTAACCGCAATTTAGGTAGACTGCGGCCCGATTTTCTCGACCGCTGCCAATGGAATGGAAGATATTGTACCGGGTACAGCCCCTTCTATTCCGCGTATGTTCTGGACCGACTCACGCTCCTACAGCGATACCAGCTTGATTCGAGATGGTCGACGATCGTTTCCCTCTGGACACTCTAGTGCCGCGTTTGCCGGAATGGCATTTCTCTTCTTTTACTTTGCAGACAAGACAGACTGTTTCAGGAAGCGACCCCAATTTGCCCCTCGCTCGTGGCGAAGTAGCGTCTTGCTGCGCGTTTCCATTACCATTTCGCCCTTGTTCCTCAGTACTTGGATAGCGGTGACCCGCCTAGAAGACTATGCAAGTTTCTTTCTTTTCTTCCCTCTGGACCTTGCTAACGAGTCGTTTGTTAGCGCCATCACAAAGGTGCGACTGCCCCCCTTCCGTGAACGATGCCTTACTTTGCTCAGAGGATGTCATTGTCGGGAGTCTTATCGGTACATTGTCATCCTGGCTGATGTATCGAGTCTACTTCCAAGACCCATTCTCGACAAGCCGAGAACCAGCTGGGGAGCCCCGTGCGGTGTATACCTCTGCATGGAGTCAGCACGGACAAGACGAGTTTATGGAGCTCAATCAACTCGAAGAACAAGTTCGCCTTCAGGACTCGACGGCAGACACTCGTGTTTGATTCGCCACTGGTGATCATCTTTATAGTATTCATTACAGGTATAGATACGTGAACACGATGATTAACTCTGGATCCAAAAGATGCTCAGCGAGAGATGCTCACTGACAGCAGCGCCTCTGGATGCAGGGTCGCCTCTGTGAATTCTCGCTGTTAGCCTCTGACGTGGGCATCGAAGGGTAGACTATATCTACGCTAGCTCCCGCAATCTGGAGTCAGCCACGCCTATCTTTTCCGCTCTCACATATTTCCACGTCGTTTATGACAGGCCGGGGGACGGAAGACACAACATAGCCATGATCTGGCGCTCATCATCATATCTAAATGGTTTCATCTGGCGTGGGTGCTCTACTGCTCGCTTTGAACGACGTAGAAGACGCTGAGCGTGATTCCCACGGGACGAATGACAGTTCCAAGCCTCCTTGGAGCAGACTTTGATGGCAAAATACCAGCCTGACGCGCCTGTCCATCTGCAATCATTTTCCAAGACTTCTCGCCGCGCGATTCCAAGCCTTGCAAACTGTGTGGAGCGTGTCCCCGCCACGCTGGGACAGATGGCAGTTTTGCTATACTCGACCCGCTCTCAATCACTCAGACCGTATCAGACCGACGCACCACTGTATTGACGCGCTGTACGAGCGTGAGAGGACTGCTGATCATTGGACGCTGAGAGCTCGGCACTTGCTCACGGGGGTGGATTCCACGGTTCTCATGGCTGTGAAGCCTACTAGAGGTCATTTCACTCTGTGACAAAGTGAACAACCCTTTGACCTCCTTCCTCCTCACGCACTCTAGCGTCCCCGAGCCATCGTCCTCGGAGCAGCCAGCCTATCAGGTGGTGACAGGCTCGACTCTAGACGCAGCGACTCCCTGGCCCTTTCCGCTAATTTCACCCAAGATATGTCATACAGTCAATCCTCTATCAGGAAATTGCCTCCTCGTGGCAGCTCGCCTAGCACAAGCTCTCTGTCGTCGTCCAACACGGCACCAACCCGCATCATCCCACCCAGGTCACAGACGATTGCGTTTGTCGATCCAGTTCAGAACCCACGTCCAGCACCCATCATCCTCACATTCGACAGTGACGACGCGTACAACAATGCGCTGCGCACCCCAGATGGGAAAGCGCAATACCTCGTCAATACTCCGAAACGTTCCAGCAACACCTTTATCACTGGACGTCGAGAAGGCGCACCGCAGACACAGTCGTTTAGCGTCAACTCGCTTGACCGACCGATTGCAACGATCGTACGCAACAGGTGGAAGTCGGACAAGGTTGCGTTTGGGGATGGACCCGCAAATGACATTGGCAAACTGTTCAAGACGACGCGGGCGACGGATATCATGTCAGAAGTCGAGTGAGCTTCTTCTTCTCTATCTTTGCAAGGCCTTTGAGCTCGCTGACATGTACGTCTCTAGTCGGGTGAGATTCAACGACGAAAACGATCGGTGGTTGGAATGGAGGGGTGCCCATGTGTACCGAGCTTTGCAGGTATGGAAACTACATTCACAGGCAACCACAGTATCTGATTTTGTGTCTAGTTGTGGACCATTGACGAACCCCAACTACTCGTCGCCCAATTCCGCTTTCCAGAGGGGAGCAAGCCACAGCTTATTATTGAGCCGCCACGAGAAGGATGGGCTAATCTCGACATGATCGTTGTCACATTTCTCCTGCTCGACAAGGACCGAAAGCGCAATTCTGGCAGCCGTTGATTGCACAACTCGTAACTCTGGATATAGTATATGGATTCCACAGGTCTTTATCTATTCATCACCTCGCTCGTTTGTTCCTCTTCCACTCGCTTTTCAATAACTACTTACTAGCCTTTGTTGTAAACTTAGTCATCGTCTTCAAATCTCAATCTCTTAGTCTCATGGATCGTAGAGTGAAAAGGGAATGCATGTTAGGAGCGAGGTGGATTATACGGAGTGAGCAATATTACACAGTTTGTACAGGCTGTCCATCAAACTATGCAATCGTGGACCACTAACTGCAATGGAGATGTCGGAAAAAAGGTAGAGTCTGAAACGTTGGAAAACGGAGGGATCCGCAAGTGGGAGCGTGCGACGAATGCATCGCAGATAGAAAATATTTGTAGGGCGAAAGTTGTCGACTGTTGTCGGTTCCACACTAGAAGATGGAGAAGGATATTGCCAGAACTGGTATAGGGAACCTCTTTACTTCTTGCCAACGACGACGCCGCGAACCTTTTGCATAATGCTCGTCTTGCGGCCGAGTCCCCTATCGAAATATCCGCCCGATCCATCCTCTCTTGGACTAACACTGGCCGGGGGGAGACCCGGCAGTGCTTTGTCTCCCGCAGAATCGCCGGCAGCAAAGCCTGGAGAAGTCGGAGACTGCTTGCCCATCCGTCCGAGAATCGAGTTCTGAGGCTTGTGCGTCGGTCTTCCATTCATGTGATTCTCAGATGACGAGCCAGACTGGTCGTTTGGTGTTTCGTCATATTCTACTGGGACATTGGGCGCGTCGCGCATCTTTTTGATGCGTTGCATCAGCGATTTGGATCGCCGGGGACCGTTTCCGCCACCAGAGGACGAATAGGCAATGTCATTGGCCGCATAATCGTCTTCGCCGTTGACGTTTGCAGTCGCCTCTGGGAAGATTGGTTGTGGGGGTGGGAGAGGTGGCCGGTTCGTGGGTCGACGAACACCGTTGTTCGTCCGTCTATTCGACTTTCCGTTTGCCGACGAATTGCCATGACCGTCGTGGCCTCGGTGGATGGAGCTGGCAGCAGAAGCCAGACCGGATTCTCCGTGACCGACACCCGAAGCAGATACGGATTCCGCGAAAAATTCTTCGTATGGCTCTGGCTCCCCTTTGCCCCACGCATCCGCGAGCGTATCTCGACGTTTGGGCGACGCTGGGCGTCTAGGGTACTCGAATTGATCCTTTTTGCTCTTCTTGGTCGTGGGTGAGGTCGCGGCGGCTCCATATGGGCCGTCATTGATTCCCATATTGCTTAGGCTGTCCACCAGTGGTGCGGACCGCGGCTCCCTGCCGTTGGAAGCGTTGAGGACGCCGTTTTGCTCCAGAGTCTCGTCATGACTGGGTGTCCACGCGAGCATTGGTGCTTTGGTCCGGTGTCGGTTTCTTGAGGGAGCGCAGGCATCAAACGGGCCATCATGATGGAACGCTGAGTAAGGAGATGAGCCAGTTTCCATCGTATTAAGGGGGTTCAAAATTGAGCGAGACGCCCGGTCATAAAGCGACAAAAGCCGTTCAACAAAGCCCAGGTGGCCCCGAGTGTTGCGTGACGATGACGGGCGAGGAGGATAGGCGTAGACGACTTACTGGCAGGACCAACACCGCTCCAATCGAGACGATCAATCACGTCGACGTGCAGACCGCCCTTCTTGTTGGCCTTTCCGCCTGCTTTGGCTGCACGTGCCTTTTCCGCGACCGCAGCGGCCTGGAGGACGCCGTCTTGGGAGGATGAACGCTTCTTTGGTGGAACTGGAGGTGCTGTGGTGCTACAGGGCTCGTCAGTAAGCACACAAGTCGCCCGTCAAGGATCATGGGGCCACTGGGCTGCAACGCGACACGTACCCAGAGGGAGCAGCCGAGCGAGAGGACTTTGACTTTGGTTCTACGATGCGAATTTCCTGGATTTCTGGTTCCATTTTGTCACGAGTCGTCGGGCGGCCTCTGGTGGGCGGTTCCAAGATTGTGGGAGGATCAGAGAAAGGGTCTTTGTAAAAACGCCAAGTTAGCCTGCATTCCGGCCGCTGGGAGACGTCTGGTCAACGCACCTTCGTCACTCATCCTGCGACAAATTTAACTCCGCCAGTCGTGGCGAGGTGCAACTCTTACCGGCAACTTTGGGATCAACAAAACCCCCGCCGACTTGTCATTATCATATATATTTAGTAGTTCATTCAGTACAGCAAACGACCCCGCCCACCGCTCACCCAGAGCGCTCACTCGAAGTGCTGCCCTCGTCGCTGCTCCCCTCCTCTGAGCCCACTTCGTCTGCACCGTTCACCTCGATGCTCCTTCGTTCCACCTCGTAGCCCTCCGATAAAAGTCCGGTGGCAATGTCCTCGACCTTTCCAGGTGCACATGCTACTACCGCAATCGACGTAGCAGGGTCGAAAATGGGCTGCACATATCGCCGAAGCACGTCTATAACATCCCGTGGTGTGACGGCCTGCAAGTCCACATGAGTTCCCTCGTTTACGTATTCAACTTTGCTTCCCGACAAACCTTGAGCTTTGCGAGAATGTCCTGTTCCCAGGTTTGGGGAACACCCTTGAGGACCTGGTTTACAAACGAGGTGAACGCCTAGAGCTAATCAGTAAAACAACTAGTCACGTCGGTCAACCCGGCACGGACCGCTTGGCCTGGCGATGAGACACGTCTCGCCAGTGCATATACCAGACTACTCTGCGCGGCGTCCATGCTGGTTTGCTTCAGTTCAATCTAGGTTTTCGCGTGTAAGAACTATTGGCGACTTGGCAAGAAGCACCACTCACGGAACCGTCACAGAGCCCCTTGACCACCTTGGCCGCTTCTTGGAACGCCTTGTACGAGTTTGGACTCTGTTGCGAATCAGCATCCAGACCGACTCGTCTGGAAACCCACATACCCTATACAGCGTAAACGAAACCAGCCCGCTTTCCAGGTTCAACCCGGTATTGGCACCATATGCGAGTCCCGAACCGCGGATATATTTCTAAGACGTGTTAAAAATTGAAAAAAGTGGAGCGCCAAGCACACGCACCCATAGGAACGACTCGGTGCCGTCCAACACTTCTAGCGCCATGAGAAGTGCAGGGTAATCGGCGTGTTGGAAACCCGTAAATGCACGTGCGGCATGAATGGCAAAGCTGCTTTCGATTGTCGGTAAAGACACGATCACCGCCTTTTTCTGAGGCTGCTTTCCGAGGGCGGTCAGGGCCTCGTTGCTCCATCGTAATGGCTGTGGTCGAGTTGCCTGCGGAAAGTCAGTACAGCACTACCAAATAAAGAGATCTGCCCGACCGGAAGGGCTTCGAAATTGGCGGCCAATGATGCTTTAGGCTTTGGGATCTTCAAGACATCGCCGGTGACAGAAAATCGGAACGAAGATGGCTGGATGACTAGAAATCGGAATGAGAATGTCCCCAAAACCAGAATAAAGACAACGCACGTATTTTGCGAACCTCTTCCAATTTTTGAATCACTGCCTCGGTATCGTTTTGCACCTCGTCCAACATTCGAGGGACCCATTCCATGAGCGCAGGTAGGCCGCCATTAACTAGAGTAAGAGACTTGTCGTACACCAGCTCGCTGAAAAATGCCCTCGCCACTCCATTCCCGCTCCGCTTGAGCTCGGGCAAGGATTGCTGCACCTTGGCCAGCGTGACCTCTAGGCGCTCCTTGGTAAACTCGCTTCGGAAGATCACATCGCGTAGCCAACTGACGGCAATGTCAAATTTGGATGTCTCCACTTTGATCGACAGCCGAAGGAGCTCTGATAGGAGAGAGTCGACGCCGAACCCAGCGTCATAAGCAACTGTATCTTTGCTGAGAGCATTGATCACGTCCTCGTGGTTCAGTTTTGTCCCGTCGGCACGTGTCATTGGGAGGTTGAAGAGGTTCATCTGGAGCAATACGGCGTATGGACGAAGTTCTTGTGGAAGTGATGCGAGAGATAGGAATGCGTGAACAGTCGTGAAATCCGACTAGAAACTCTTTTCAGTTCCACACGCCGCCTACATCGAAAAAAGCTTACCACGACATGGTCAAATTGCACTGTCAAGGGGAGTGAAGTTGCATCCTGCTGCAGGTGTTGTGCGAGCTCTTGCGAACGTTGCACAAGCTGAGCGTCCTGACCCGGCTTGATCCCATCAGGTGAATTGGCAGCACTTTGAACCGAAATCCATGAGATGCCCTTTACGTCCGGTAGCGGGAAATTAGTCAGAATATCTTCTGGAATATGCTTCTCGTGTTCGGCTTTGGCGTCGGCCAGTTGCTTTTCCAGCTTTGCTAGCCCATCCTCGCCTAGCCGTTTCCGCTGCTCCTCGACTCTGGCCTTTCTTCCGTCTCCAGCTTGTCAGCAAGCTCAGCCGATGGCTTTCCTCGAATAATCACACGCGCTTCGGCATCGTAATATCTGCCCACTTGTAAATAGCAAGACTATAATTCATGTCAGGAAACTCACTTGAGAAGTAGATCTGTCCACTGCTTGCTTGTCCACGACTTGAGAATGTCGTGGTGTTGCTCCAAGGTTGCGACAATATCGTTTCCGTCTGCGTCACCGTAGACAAAGTCATTGATCATAGCATTGGAGAACAGGTCGCCGCCCTTGTTTTCTAGGGCGCTTCGAATCTATTCGAGAGGTAAGATTTGGCTGATTGAAACTTTTACCACACGCCTTGAGCTCGTCGCGAGAAATGACGGTATTCATGCGGTCCATGTCCAGGCCTTCTTTTGCAATCCTCTGTATGCTCGCTTTAAAGAGCCTATCAAGCGTCTCCAAATGTTCAGTTGGGACAGAGCCGAAATAGACCCCCAGTTCCGAAAACGTCGACCGCGTGCACTCATAAAACGCGACGTACGTGCTAAAATATTGTTAGTATGATCTTATAGACCGTAATGAGCATACCAATATGGCGACGCAATCTCTACAAACTCTTTTGTCAACGGAGATGCTGCGGTATCGGTCAGGTAGACTCCTAGGATATCAATGGCCTGAGTTTTGTCAGTTACAGTCCAAAAGCATAGATAGAATCACCTTGAGGGTCAAGTGATCCGTCGGAGCCGGACCCAGGAAATGCAATGCCAATTCTCCAACGCTCTCGTCAGACTCGGGAAACTCTACTGTCTCGCTCTTTGTCTCCTTTATCACTGGTGGCACCGCACTCGCCGTCTCTAGGAATGGTCGTTTCCACCCTGTGGTCTTGGACCGTGAGCCGGGCCGTGTTTGAGAATGCTCGGTTCGACCTCGTGCTGGAGCACGCCGAGCAGATCTTGTGTGGACAATCTGCCCGCGACGATCAAGCAGAGGTTGTGTGGGACATAGTACGACTTGTGATAGTCACGAATCGTCTCTACGTTGAGCACGCGTAGGGCTTCCATGAGCCCTCCAGTCTCGCTTCGGTAGGCGCTGGCTGTTGGATACATTGCTCTTTGTGCTCTATGTGCGTTGAATCAGACCAGAGCCTCACTCGATGAAATGAAGACCGTACCGTAATGCCATGAGATCTCCAGACGTGTTTTCACGACCCTGCATCTCCGAGTAGACGACACCCGAGTCTTCTCCCTTTCCATCAATGTGATGGACCTCTGTGACAAACGAGCTCTGAGTCATGGTCGGGTAGAGGATATGGTCGACGTAGACTGGGAGGAGCTGCAAAAACCCTTGCTGCCCGGCAGTTTCGATAGTGTACACTGTATTGTCCGTATCCGTCCACGCATTTGTCCCGGCTGAGAATGCACGATTTGCAAGATTATCCAAGACGCCCTTGTACGGATACTTTTCAGAACCCATAAAGACTAGATGCTCGAGAGCTATAGATGACCCATCTCAGTTTTTTCATAGATGATGGGAATCCGAGGGGTGAATCACTGACTGTGTGGGCATCCACTGTCATTAAAGATCTCAGTGGCGACTGCAAAGTATCCCTTGACGATCGGAGCTGCAAACGAGGACGAACGTTCAGCCCCTTCAAAACGCGAATTGGACATGGAAATAGCCTCACCTTCATAGTCAATGTGCACGACGGTCAGTCCAGTGACGCGGCTTCGCCATTTGGAGACTGTAATGGGGCTATACGCGACATTTACGCGCTTCAAAAGGTCAAAGTTGCCAGAAGATTCGATTTCCATCGTGATGGGGAGCGCAAACGGCGTCTTGTTCGTCGCGAGCGAGCTCAAGTGTCGAAGACGCAGAGGCGGGTCACGGGTCAGCCTGGTTGGCCAATGGAGTGCGCCAACTCTGGCACCAAGCGAATAGTTTACTCTTTTCGTCGACCGGAGAACAGTCCCTGGCCAACGAGCTGTTCTCAGCATCAACGTGGAAGTGTCCAAGAATTTTGCTGACATATGTGACACACTTTCTCAGACGTGAAAGATGCGCATTTTCCTCTAACATTATTTATAAAAGGAGCATCGTTTACATGTTTCGGTGTGATGGCCTTACTCGGAGCTTTCGACTCTTCTCCTCTTTCTCCGGAGTGCATCCCAACCTTCATAGACAAAGCCGAGTCCCCATTGCGAGAGCCCTCGGAGACTCGAGGGGTCATGCTTTGCAAACGTGACAAGCGTAGCACACGCAAACGCAAATGCAAACCTAGTCACATGTATCAGCATACCATTCCCACTGAAAACAAGAACAAGCTCACCTCTCGACGACGAGCACCGACGCAGACCCGCTTCGCAGCCACGACTCTTTAAAGAGCGTGCGGATCCCTCTGGGCAACACATACAACGCAATCTCTCCACGCCGTTTACCACGTTCAATGTACAGACTGAGACAACACATGACGCATCCGAGCGCGACACCACCGAGGGACCCATCGATGACCTGATGGGACAAGCCCGGAAACAATCTCGGTCCAAGCACCGTTCTCGAAAGACAAATGGTCGAGAAAATACGACCCGACAAACGTCGCGATAAACGCCGACGAGCGCGAAATGGCAAAAAGGAGCGCAAAGGGGTCCTGGAGGATGCGCATGGGGTTGACGAGGAGCGTTGGGATGGTGTGTACGGGGAGATAGATGAGAAAGGCCTTCATGAATGCACGGATCCAGCGCGTGAGGGCGTTTGTCGCGCAGCTGGATGTCATGACGTCCCCATGTACGAGTTCGCATGGTAGACCTCCTATCCCGGGTCTGCTCTTGACACCGAGCTCGCGCCAGATTTTGTCGGCGGCTGGTCCACCATGCGCCGGCAACGTTGAGGGATCTCCCCAGGAGGAAGGATAGCCAAGATCCCGTGCGTGAGACATGAGGATATCTTTCGTCTCTGGGAGATTGTGGCCATACTTCCATGTACCCGCGCGCAGAGCTCGCAGGGCAAGGAGGAGTCGTTGGTCGATTTCAGCAAGGGCGTTGATCCATTTGACGTATCCAGGGGGTAACCTAGAACGACTTAGACACGAAATGCATAATCATCCAAAACTGACCTCCACGGCTGATAGAGGAAGCACCACATTATCCTTGCACAACATTAGCCCGAACACCCTACGTATTCTATGCTCACCTCGAGCTCGCAAGCGTAAAGAGGAGCACATCCTGAGACCTAGTCAGCCAACAGTGCAACAAAAGACTTGCCAAACTCACCAAATGCTCCCTAAGCTTCTCGACTTTTACCCTCGACGCCCGTCGAGAGCTCGAATATTCCACAATCGCTCTTTGAAAGAGCGCATCGAGCGCACGCACGCAAAAGATGATTGTCAAATCCAATGACACTGACGTCTTCATCGACGACGACGACGACGGCAACGTGAGCGGAATCTCCACGACGCGTCCCTTCGAATTCGGTCGACGCTGAAGACGATAAATAGCATATAAAGATAGCACAAACGTCGTCAAAGCCGTCTTGACCGCCGACTCTGCTTTGCCTCGATTTTGCTCGTCCTCTTCCAAGGCTTCGTTTCTCCTCTTGTGTACCTATATTCACCTTGCGTAGAGCCCATTCAAACCATGCACTCCCCCAAACACGAGGACAACGGCAAACGGGAACCCATTGGGCCCGAGCTCACGCTTGAGCACGTTGAGTGCCCTTTTCCCCTCTTTTCCCATCCTTTTTGATGTGATTAATGGTGCGAGTGAGGGGAGAACGGCAAGGATGAAGCCGAGGGACCCCGCGCGGATGGAGATGCGTGCAGGGTGGCTTGGAGGAAGATGAGGGAATCCCTCGGATGTAAGAAACTCGACGAGTTGATGTTTTGACCATGAAGAGTGACTCCGAGACATGGCGCGGGTTCGTGGTGGTCGAAAGGAAACTTGTGAATTTCAACCTGACCCGGCAATCCGGCATTGACACCAGGTCAGGAGAGGCGTGATGGAAAATCGCCTGAAATGAAAAGAATCTTTATCACGAAAAAGGAAATACCGACCAGCCGTCAGAGTTGAAAGCCACTCCCTTAGAATCAAGCCGTCATTGTTGTTACAACGAAAGATGCGTTGTGTCATCTCTATGACATACAAAAAAAAGGACAGACTATGTACCGAGCGATCGCCAGGGGGGTGGGCGAAGAGGAATATACTTTTGAATCTGAACACGACCCAGACCAAGACCAAAAAATAAACCAAACGAGACTCTAGTTGTGCGACAACCGGAGACTGTCCATCTCCTCTGGCTGAGAACCGGCCTCATCGCCCGAGTCGAGTGCACCCGTCGAGAGGGGCGGAGAGGGCAAACCCTGAATCTCGTCCCATTGACCGACGGCTTCTCCACGTCGTTCACCGTCATAGATACCATGATGCTCCTTGGAAGCAGCATCGGCACGTAGACGAGCAAGAGCCTGTCCGCGGATAATCTCGAGGCGTTGAGAAGGTGGGATGGCTTTTTCTGATTCGAGTTCGAGTCCACCACGGAGGACACCGACGCGCATCATTGCGAGCAACTAGAGATTCGATTAGCGATTGGATTGGTAGTAAAAAGGTGGACATACGTTGTGAGCGGCGTTTGAATGGTCATAGACACCACCGAAAAAGGCCGTTGTCGCATCCTTGCCAATGTTTTTGCGAATGAGATGGCGACCTCCAGGATGTTCGTCCATAAAGGAAGAGACGTCGTGGATAAAGCCGGCAATGAGAACAAGTGGTCGTGTCTTGGCCTGCTCCTGGACTAAAAGGAGAGTTAGTTTTTTTTACTTTGGAAGAAATAGGAATACGCACAGCTATCCCACGTGATGATCGGAAGGTCATTGGACGAAGTGGGCCACTTCATGTCGTCGGCCTTTAGCTTGAGCTTCTTGAGCTCCATGGTGAGTTGACCCTTGCGGACTTCATTGTCGGGGAATGCCTTGAGCTGAGAAGCGAGACCGATCCAGGACATGACGGTGATGAACCACTTGGTCGGGTCGTACTGGTACCACTTGATGGCATTTCGATAGTCCATGGGGAACTGGTGATGGAAATTGTGGTAACCTTCTCCAATGGTGACAAATGCGGTGATCATATGGTCGCGAGGGGTGTGCTTGTCATCAAAGGGCGTCTCACCAAGCCAGTGGGCGAGCGAGTTTACGCAAAAAGTGGAATGGTGGACAAAGACGAGACGGGCCATGGCAGCGTAAAAGTAGCCACCTTTCCAATCGCCCCAGCAGAGACCGGGGATGACGGTAGGAGTGACGACGGCGACGAGAAGGAGGAGCCAGACGTAGTACTTGTGCTGCCATTGAACAAGAGGGTTGTTGAGCAAATCGGAGACGTCGGCGACACCTGGCTTTCTGCGTGGCTTGAAGATCATCCAGCCAATGTGAGACCAGAAAAGACCGTGGTGGGCATTATAAGGGTCGAGGTCCGTGTCAGTATATCGGTGATGGGCACGATGGCCGCGAGACCACCACTTGATAGAACCCTGGACGGCACCAGCCCCAGCGAGAGCGAGGACATACTGGAGTGGGAGTGAGGCATTGTAGGCACGGTGGGCCCACAGACGATGGTAGCCAGCGGTGATGCCGAGGCCAGTGACAAAATACCAAAAGACGGCAAAGGCAAAAGTCTTTGCTTGGAGTGGAGTAGTGCACATGCCATAGATGGCGAGGATGGGAGGGACGGTGAGTGCAGTCGTGCTGATCCAGTTTATTTCCTGGAGCGCATTCCTCCAAGTCACGGGCGGGAGGGGTTTTGTCGTCTTGAGGGTGTGCTGAACATAATTGTCTGGGATATTCGAGTCTACGGGTGTATGCGTCGTGGCCTTGTCGGCAGTCTGTCGTTGGCGGAGAGAGGCCATGGCTGCTGCTGCTGCCTTACCACCAAACTGACCCTTTTAAAGACGCCGTGGAATTTGTGGGGATTGGGGAAAAGTCCGGCTCTCGACTCGCCGAGACAACCACACTTGATATTCACACTCGTACAGCGTGGTGACATCTCCTGGGGTTTCCTCCCCAAAGCTCTCCTCGGCGCCCGTCGGTCCGCTGCGACCACTGCTCGAGACAAGACGAGACTGCGCGTGAATTTATAAATGACTTCAAAACGTACAAGAATCATCGTCGACAGTGATGAAGAAGAGGTCGGCTCCATTTCGAGTCCCCATAGCCGGCGTCGCCACATCATCTCCAATTCAACAGCAATCACCCTCCAAAGGGCACTCAATCCCTGGTTCCACGTCGTTCATGACGCACGCAGTATGCCATGGCGCAAACGTTATGACCCAGCTTTGTCGGCTGTCCAAAAAGCGCAGCGGGCTTATGAAGTACGAACCATATCCACTGATTTCCCTTCTTAACACGTTCATAGGTATGGGTATCCGAGATTATGCTCCAGCAGACACGCGTAGACACCGTCATCCCATACTATAATCGCTGGATGCAAACGTGCGTCTTTATAACAATCAACCCCAAAAATAATTCTGAATCTCTTGCAGATTTCCTACAATCAAGGATCTGGCTGGGTCCAACATTGAACAGGTCAACGCCCTCTGGAAAGGCAAGCCACCCTACCCCCAATTCCTATAATTGGCTCATCTCCCCTTCGAGGCCTGGGTTACTACTCGCGAGCAAAGAGACTCCTCGAAGGTGCCCAACTTGTCGTTGACAAATTCGACGGTAAACTCCCAGACGACGCCACTGTCCTCCAAGCCTCTGTCCCAGGCATCGGTCGCTACTCTGCTGGTATGTTCATCTACACACACATCTACCTTTCTAACCACAGCGATAGGTGCAATATGCTCCATAGCATACGGCAAATGCGTACCAGTCCTCGACGGAAACGTCCACCGACTCCTCTCACGCGTCCTCGCGCTCTATGCAAACCCAAAAGCTAAAGCGACTACAAATCTCCTCTGGGACGCCGCACAGGCCATTGTCGACGACGCAGAGGACCCGGGGGCGATCAACCAAGCACTCATCGAACTAGGGAGTACCGGATGCACCCCTCGCGAACCAAAGTGCGCCGGCTGTCCTATCAACACCCACTGCAACGCCTATAAATGGAAACTCGTACGTCCATCACATCTTCTTCTTTACCACTCACTCATCGTCGACAGAATAAACTTTCAACGGACATGGAAGACTTGTGCAATGTATGCGAACCGATTCCACCTGGTCCACCAGATGTCACGCTCTTCCCGATGAAAGTAGAGAAAAAGGCTGTGCCAGAGGAAACAGACGTCGTGTGTGTCGTTTCATGGCAAGCAACCCCACACCTCGCACAGCACTACCTCCTCCGTAAACGACCTGCGACAGGCTTACTCGCAGGTCTATGGGACTTTCCAGTCGTACCCAACGTCTCGAGCTCTACGTCATTCGAAGAACACGCCCGTCCTCTCGTGCGCTTGGCTTTCCCGTCCGTGGACGATGAGGGTACGTTGCAGATCAAGAATGTCACATCGATAGGCTCCGTGCTACACGTCTTTTCCCATGTCAAAAAGACGTTTCAAGTCGTTTGTATTCAGCTATGTGGAGCACAAAACGACGATTCGGATATGCCACCCCAAGTTACTCCCGGTGAATGGATGGACGACCTCCAGCAATCGACCGACGTACCTAAACGACCGACGAAGAAGCAAAAGACGGAGAAGAAGCCCAAAGACGAAGACGAGGATAGGTTAAAGTGGGTGCTCGAAGCCAATGTCGGGCAGGAAAAGTGAGTGACTCCTCGGCTAGTTGGTATTCATGATCCCTTATGCATTGATAGTCTAGGGACAGGGACGATGAAAGTTTGGTCCCTTGTCACCTCCAAGGGAGGCGCGTCGAAGAAACCTCGGGCAACGCGTAAACCAAAAGCCAAGTTGACAGACGACGATGAAGATGACGAATAAAGCACGTATAATATGTCTTTCATCTTACGATAGTATGAGTTGTACCATAGATGGACGCACAGTCGATGTAGCTTTGATTGGAGTATAGCCGGATATACCCTGAGATCTAAAGCATCCAATAGAGAACTAGAAAAGGCTCTGTCTGATTTAGTAGAGCATACAGGTTACAAAGCAATATTATATTATACTATACATTGTCCATCACGAATATCCCTCTTAGCTCAGTGGTAGAGCGCGTCACTAGTAATGACGAGGTCAGTCGTTCAAGTCGGCTAGGGGGAACACCTTTTTGCATCTCGAGGCAAGCCATCAGTCTTTGCTGATTCCCATTTGTTTTGCTACGGATTCAAACAAGGTTGCGCAAAAGATCAAACTTTGTACATTGTCCATCTTGGTACGATCCAAAGAAGGTCCAAACCCATATCAATCATTCGAAGGTCGCAAAGACTTGAGCCAGCTACCTCTACGTCCCTTTTCCCCTTCTGTCTCATCCTCGTATCCAAACCAAATCGTCCCCGTCTTTGTAGACACGTCGCACCGATCCCCACTCGACTCGGAGACACCAACATGGTTTTGCCAATCCCCCACAAAGCTCTTACCGCGTTTCGCGTCTGGATTCGAGAGCGCATTGGTGTGCGCTTTGATTGATTGCGAAAAGTGTGGCTTGGGGTAATGTGGACCGTTGGATGACGGATTCGTAGGGGTTGAAGAGACTTCGTGCGTGAGAATTCCGTTAAAGGTACGGGGGAGGTAAATCTTGATGTTATGAGAGCCCGTACACAGTTTAATCTTGAGCGGATACTCGTGCTTGCGCTGTTCCAGTCCCATGAATACCATACTACAAAGAGGAAAAAGTACAACGTACGACGTGTAAAACGATTTCGTTGTGCGTGAAATGAACATCAAAGGGCGAGCCACCCATGTCGGTATAGTCCTGCCGTCTACCACGTTCTCCCGTCCAAATATCTAGTGCGAGTCGAAAGCTAGGATACGAAGTGTAAGTGCTGCCTCGTCTGTGCCCCGACTGGCTGGACGGGACGTGGGCGCACTGACAATTCCATTCGTTGCGTGATCCACGCTTAGGCGCGGGATGCTACCATTGTCATTTGGGCTCAGAGGACTATCAATTGATGGGCGTGGAGCTGGCTGTGTATGCGAATAATGCATGGTAGGGATTGGAATCGCCCAAGGCGTCTGTGCTTGGGCAGGGTGGTCTCTTGGATCGTATGGAGTAGGTGAGGCGAGAGCTGGAAGAGGAGATGAAGACGAATAGGTTGGATAAGACGCAGGCGGGAATAGATCATTGGGCGCGCCGCGTCGCTTGTCATAGGATTGATCTTGTAAGACTGAGAAATGCATCAAAAATGATCAAAGGGACCATACTGGGTTGTTTCAATTGGGGCGCTCGCCTCTCTTGGTCACCTCGAGCGGTTGGTTTGGCGTATCTGACCATTAGACGACCCGCAAGACTGAAAAATGAGAGGCACACCATGAGCTCGCATGTCTTCAAACATTCTAGTGAGGTTTCAAGATGGATGGTCCTGGCCGGATATTAATATCCGTGTGGGCGTACAAGGCAATGCATGATGTCGGTCTCGGGGCTGGTTGTAAACCTCCCCCGTCGTATCCCGTAGTCCGTTCTCTATTCTGTTTGTTTAGAAATGCGTCTTCGTTGCAGTGCTTGCAGCTTGGATGACCGTCTAGAGGCCAGCAAATAACCAGCAGCGGGATTATCTAATAAACACAGCTTTTGTGTTTGCTTAGAGTCTGACTTTGACACAGGGCGGCTTTCAACGGGATCCATGGTCAATGTCGTTTCATAGATATCCTGTAACACTTGTTTGAGCGAATATGTGCGCTCGACTAGCTCGTCGGACTTTCTACACCCGCTTTCAGGGGCACGCCTGTGGTGTCGCTCTTTCCAATTAAAGTTATCACAATGTTATTTGTTTATGGATCATCAAGTCATGGGTTTGTTCCAATGGCCGGTTTCATCGCGTCGGCCTGACCTTGAACCGGACGAAGACCATGTGCAAGTTAGCCAGCTAGAAGGATAATCCCCACATGAAGACATCCTAACTGTCTATTTTGCTTGACTCGCCGTCGCTAGGCCGGCATTCATGGGGGTTCACTCAAAGGACCGCTCGAGTCTCGTGCCGGTTCGAGCTCCGGTCAAAGTTGAAAGGTGTTTAATCAATCAAATTGGCGTGCAATTCTTAGTCGTGGTCTATGATTGATGCGACGAGCTCGGTCGAGGGGGACAGGCACCGTTGGCCTGAACCAGGTCAGAGGTCCACATATACTCAAATTCGTTAGTTTATAGACTACGATCACTCCCAAACTACGCAGGGACTTGTCGCATGCGGTTGAACGTTTGCTATTATCCGTACTGGCGCAGGGCAGCATCCCATGCTACTCTCCGTCTGTCCACGCGTTTGGTTCATAACTATTACAGGTTATCTTGGGTTTCTAATTGGGGTGAGAAGTGGTCCACCAACTTGTCCCATTCGCTGTCCTAGAGACCTACAAGCAACTGCCCTTAGATTCCCGACTTTTCGACCATGTATTCATCTCTTCAGCGCTTGAACAATCTTTCGACATTTGTGACGACGTGCACGCTCGCCCTGCTGGCAGCCATCTCACTCTCATCCTTTTTGCTCGCGACCACACCTACGGGAGAACTTAATGTGTCACCAGTCCAAATGTATGATTATCTCATTCGTTTTGACGCTGGACACGTATATGGTTTGATGGACTGACCCCTGTCACAAGTTCGATGCGACAGACGTCGCCGTGGAGTCAGAAACGACAAGAAGCCGCCTTCTTCCAATTCTCTTTTGACGCTGGTCCGTCTCTCCCTCTCTTTCCCCATTCTTATCCTCTTTGATGGCCGCAATGGACTGACAACGCGCGGACTCGAACCTGGCCTTCTTTCTCGTTTGGCACCTCCCACGTGCAAATTATGGTCATCCTTTGACTGTCTTATCCTTGTTATTCCTCCATGTGACAACGACGGCGATGATGCTACCACCACCATAACAGACCTTCGGCCGCTGTTCCATTGGAATACAAAGCAAGTCTTTCTGTATCTTTGTGCCGAATATACCAACGGAAAGGGTGTGAGTACCATGTCGTTTGATTGCGGTCGCGTCGCCCTTCGTTACTCTTTGATTGGTGCTCGTGGCACGGACTGATCTGTTGGGTTTCGCGACACTCTAAACCGAGGTGTCAATCGAAGACTCTCAGAACTGCCCTCCTCCGTTCTGCCACCACTAGAACCCCACGTCCTTCTCTTCCACTCCCTCACACTTGTTCCTTTCCCTGAATACCACCTGTTTCGCCCTCCTCGGGTGCATCTCGCATCCGCTTGTCAAATATGATCCTCGATCGCTAATTACAGGGTTCGCAGCTGGATAACGAGGTCGTCATCTGGGACCGGATCGTTCGCCGACGACAGGATGCAAGGATTCGGATCGAAAACGGACAAAACAAGTATTACTTTAAGGAGCACTCGGGTAACTTCAGGTGCGTTGTCTGGTCGTCTTTTGCCTCCCTGCATACGATATGCGATTATACAAACGTCCATTTCCCATTGCCCGCGTAAGCGGTATGCAATCCTGGGTCCTTCGCATGGCATTTGCGTATTCTCGATATTTCCTCCTTACCATTTACGCCACCTTGCCGGTACCCTCGTCAGGTTCGGAATTAGGTCACCCTTTGGGATGCCAACCCTGTCCGCGTAGTTCTTTATGCGCTCGTCGTCGGTCCTGATGTGCAAATTCGGGCGCCCTTGACGAATGAGAAAACGCAGAGGGCGACCCTTGGGCCCCGCCCCCCCGCCCTTGGTCCCATTGACCAATTCCCATCGTTTCCGATAACGACGAGGGCAATGGCCTTGAGAACTATAATGATGGGAGTCGAGACTGCACTTCTTTTGCTTTGGTTACGCCTTTTGCAAGCGATGAATGGCATTTCACTGACACGTTTTCGCTTCCTCTTCTTATTGTTACTATATATCGCCACCACTGTTCAACCCATGTCTCCTCATTACGCCTGTCGACACGAACAATTGCAAACCACCATGCTTAACGGAAACTCGGCTGCTGTCTCTCCATTTCCTCGGAAAACTCGGATGGGTTCGGCGCGGGCTTGGTTGAGGGTGTGCAAATTCTATTGGTTGGGGTGAACTCGAACGCCTGGATCCGAACACCACGAATGGGTTGGGTTTCACGAATGACAGGAACGTGAGCGAGGCACAGTTTACGCTCAAGTATAATGTGATGCCCTACGTGGGGCCGCTGACCTATGGTGAGGGCGGGCGAACAAAGAGCAAAGTGCAGTTTCCCAAGCGGACGTAAAGGGAGAGAGAGGCTGGTGACCAATATAGCGCACATGTAGCTAGTCCATTATCATCTCAATTTGCGATATATGGATGTCTCTCCATATCGCTCACTCAGTTGTTCGCAGCGTCTCCCGAACTAAGCGTGCGTTGATGGCAAAATGATCAGAGCAATGGGAGAGCAGAGCATTTAGGCAAGTACCTGGTCTAACTTTGTGCGCACGCGGGTTGGGTTCGACTGTATTGACTCCTGGACAAGACGCCTCGAGATGCCAAACTGGGAAGTGATTGAGTAGGCGTCAAGCCTGCGCCCTCGTTTTCTTACGACATTGCAGTGATCGCCCCGAGTAAATATTATTAAATAAAAATAAAATATTTTTTAAAAAAATAGGATTATGCTGGGGCGTACATTTTGATATTCGGATTAGACAAGTTCAATGGCCGATTCTGGTGACCCTGCGCGACTACAACTCTGGAGTCATACAGAACGAGATGTATATAAGACGACGAGTCTCAGTGTCCTATGTGCCGTTTGCCCTCCAGAGTTTCTCGAGCACCTGCCCTCGTCGCCGACAACTCTAATGTCCGCTTCATTTACCTCGCAGCTTGAGCAGTTCGTAGCCCCTCTTCGTTGGCGCGCATCCAGTGGCTGACCCCCGCGCTCTAGGCCGCTCCTCGTCCAGCCAGCGCCAACCCGTCGTATCGACGCCCGCCAGCTCGAGTTTGACGCTATAAACCCTGTGCAGTGCTCGTCCGAGACCATCTACGGCCATCCTATGCATCCCCATCACCAGCAGCAGCAGCAGCACTTTGGCCACTCGGACTATGTGTTTGTGCAAGACGATGCAACCTATTACTACCCGCAGTATACTTACTGCCCCCCGCCTTCGACGCCGTTGCAGTATACGGCCACTTACCCACACCACCTCTACAACGCAGCCACTGGTGCCTATGAACCCATTCCATACACGACTCCAGACTCTTCTGCCTCGAATACGCCCCGCTTTGTGCATGCAGAGCCCCTCCAGCACGTCGCCCCCCAAGTCATTGCTCCGCTCCTCCTTGCCCAGCCCACCGTCGCCCAGCAGCGGTTTTACCATCAGACAGAGTGCTATTACCCACCTCAGCACTATCAATCGCCTACGACCGGCGTCCCCCAGCTCTCGCTCGCTGCCCATATTCAGCACGTCCAGGCGGCTCCTCAGGCCTCTACGTACCTTCCTTTGAGCCCAGTGTCTCCTGTACAGCATCTCAAGCACCAACACCAACACCATCACCAACCACTCGCAACCGCCCCCCCGTCCCCACAGACCCAGTTGACGAGCGCTCATCCGCACCAGCTACACACTCCAGTACAGTCGCAAGTGCAACAAACGCACAGTTTTATCCAACACGACGGTACTTCTTCGCCCTCGTCTTCGACAATGTCCCCCGCCGGCAGCGTCGAGGACGAGCGCCTCAAGAAGCTTCGCGAACGCAGACACGTCGTCGCTTGTCTCTTTTGCCGCGGTCGAAAGATTGCGTGTCATCCACCGCCGGCTGCAGACGGTGAACGCGCAAAGCCCACCTCGCGCACGACGCCCGCGGCTAATCGGCCTTCTTGCGAGTACGTCTCTCCTTCTTTGTCTTCTATTTGGACTCTATACTCACAGTTCATCCTTCTAGTAACTGCATCAAACGCGGCCGACAATGCGTCTACCCTGAGCGCGTGACCCCTCGAGCACCGCGCCGTCGCAGGCGCGGTGTCGTATACGACGAAGAGGAACAATAAAGTCTCGGTTCATATGATCAACCAGAATGGTTGACTTGCTCCTTGACGACGTTTACGACCTTGTCTGGCACCTAGGCAGCCCCTTTTTTGTTCGTTTGTTCACCAACAACCCCCCGCCCGGTCGCCCCGTTCCGTGCGGTGATTGTACAATTACAACTTCACCACCTCAATTTTGAATCTCTCTCTCTCTCTCTCTCTTTTTTTTTTTGGGAACCGTGCAGAATGCAGAGCTACCATAGACCAAAGCAGCGTCCCAGCCATGGAACGCTCACGTTGTACCATTTATCAACCTCTATTCCCGCGACGTGCTCCTGTTCTCTACCAAGAACCGCTGCCGTCCAAGTCTCCCTTCCATCGTCGTCGTGCACTCTTCTCGTTTTTTGTCGTTTGCCCTGGACTCTTCACAACTCGGTACTAGTCAGTATCCGCAGTAGCTCGTTTCTCTATGTCTTGGGTCCGTAACCAAATCAAATTGTGTACCTATTCTTTCGTCTGAGTAAGATCAACGTTGCGGACGACTTTGTCTCACGACCCTACGTAAATCGCTTTGTAAGATTTTTTGTATTCTGCTGTGACCATTGACACTGCAAATCCGTCCCAATCGTCTCCTAGTCGCGCTCCGGTGGACCATCTTCCCCCATATTCTGCACGCCGCCTCCTTCCTCCTTTTCCTTGCGCGTAGCTTGAACGATATCGTCCACACGCAGCAATACCTTCGCCGCCTATCGAATGATTTCGTAATCAGTTCCAATCAGGAATCAGGAACGACCAATGCCATTATCGAAGACGCCACACCACGGAAATGAGCGAGAGAGTGAAAAGGTATGCCAATGCCGTTTCACCCGTCACGTGAATCCACGAGGCGCGTTAGTCGTTGTATGTGTGTATAGGCGTGATGGTGGAGGTGACCCATTTTGCGGAGAGACCATGGACGTAAAGGCGTTAGCACGATTATTTGGTTTCGTTATTGACAGCAAAAACATTCAATAGGCTCAATGTGGCGTCCTCAGGGCTCGCTCCCGAGGTGGGTATGGCTCTAAACCCTGAACCCCGCTAACAGGATCCAAGCCGACCAACCGGCAAAACCAGCACGCCATCTGCCAGAAAAACCGAGAAGTGATAATGAAACGCACCTCGATAGCAGTCTTGAGCGTCTGGGTCTTGACGCTAGCCGACTCATATAGGCCATATTTTTTCATATCTTCGACTTTGCCGGTATCTCCATTGATCCCAAACGAATGTTCGCCGCTCGCATGCTTGGCCTAGAGATAAAAAGTGACATAATAATAGGTGTGGTCAGAAAACGTGAAACTGAAACAAATTAGCGAAATGAGACGAGATAGCGAGCTCCTGGAGGCACGCTTCCATGCTCGCGCGACGGGACATATGGTGCTTTCGTCCAGGGGCCCGGACAAAATGCCTGATGGACAGGTGGACACCAATTGAACGTGCGACTCATGCCGGCAGCGATCAATGCCACACCTCGCTTATCCGCGTCGTCCACTCTTGCGCCACCTCAGCTACAAGCCCGTACCGACCAACCGACCAAACAATAACGAAAAGATAGTTCGAAACAAATTTTCGAGGGGATAATTGACGAAGAAAGTTTGATGCGGCAGGAGCGCAAATCGATACCAAGATGATCATTGATGGTGGCTGGCAGAATCAGACGCTTCGCGTCACACCGCGTTTGGCTCTTTTTCCGAAAGAAAGCAGCCACGTAATTTTCGAAATATGGAAACTTTTGATTGTCGTCGGGGTCGGTCGTCGTCGCAGTTGGCAGCATAACAAACGGGAATGGAGAAAAAATGGACGCACCCGTAGTTCAGTAAGCACTCTGATGGCGTTCCCACCAGCATTTTGGACTAGCGTGCGCGGAATAACTTCCATTGCATCGGCCACAGCCTTGAAAGGCCAACTCTCGATTCCTTGCACCGTCTTGGCTCGTTGCTGGAGGCGGACCGAAATGGCCATTTCGGTCGCACCCCCGCCTGGTGCGAGGGTGGGGTTGAATACGACGTTGCGCGCCACTGACATGGCATCGGCGAGGTTGCGGTCGATTTCGTTCAACACGTCCTTTGACGGCCCACGTAAGAGGATGGTGCACGCCTTGGGCGTCGTACATTTGGTGAGAAACGTAAAATATCTGTAACGGACTTAGCTAGGTTTGGCGACAATGCAAGCAAACTACTTACTCGTCACCCAGCTTTTCAATGTGGAACAGTCCGCACTTGGTTCCAATATCACTCTCACGTAAGTCTTCTACTCGATTGACAATGGTCGCTCCAACCGCTCGTGCAATCCTATTATTATCCGACTTGCGCACTCGTCGAAGAACGGTGATATTTCCTTGCAGCAACACAGCTTGTGCATAGTCTATAAAAAGTGAGAATTATACCCTCTGCAAGACGCATTTCGTACCGCTGACGCCCTTTTCGGTGAAGACGAGATCAGGCTTAAACTCTTTTATCCTCTCGCACATCTCCCGAACCTGCTTCTCCTCTTCGTCTTGGAAATCCTGCCATTGACTCTCCTTGGAGATTTCGATATTGGTTTGCGATTCTCCTTTTTTATACTCGAGAGGACAGTCAAGGAGGATGATCCGAGGGTTCACAATGCGTCTTCGCATCTGAGGGTGCGTGACATCCTTGTTAATCATGACACCGTCGAGCACCTTGCTCTCTTCGATAGCGCCACCAGGAACCTTTTCGACTCGGGCATAGCGCTTGATGTCGACTGCGGTGATACCAGTCGGGATGGCAGATGGGGGCGCGTTAGGGTCGCCAGAAACCGAGACCGTTCGGATTGCCTGGAGAGCGAGCTTGCACATGAGATCGGACCAGCGGATGACAAACTTGGTGCCAATAGAAGTTTTGATGAGGGAGAGCATCTCCTCGTCTGAGGACGTGTCTATAGGTATGGATATCTGCTTGATGACCTCCAAGGCCTCTTGTAGGGCTTTGTTAAAGGCAGAGATAATGACGACGGGATGGATATTTCGCTCCAGCAAGGAAAGCGATTGGGCAAGTAGTTCACCGGCTAGTAATCAAATGAGTACAGAATACCACACACATGAGGGATATATCTTGCCTAGAATGATGACAGACGTTGTCCCATCACCGACTTCTTCGTCTTGTGTCCTGCTCAGTTCGATCATGTTCTTTGCTGCCGGATGCGCGACCTCTATTTCTCGTAGAATAGCATTCCCATCATTTGTCAATCTGGATTGAACATTGTCAGGCGACACGCGTGAGATGATGAGCAAGAACCAAAAACTGAGATGAGCAAGACGCGTACAATATGCCTCCCATCGGATCCAGGAGCATCTTTAACATTGCCTTTGGACCAAGGCAGCTTCTTATCACGTCTGCAACCGTCTTTGCAGCCATGATGTTGGAAATCTGCGCTTTACGGCCCGTCTGCCGCTCTGGATTGGCATCTAAAGTAGATCAGCAAGTGTTTTAGAGTACCATTTATGAATATTTCTCACTCATAACAAATACGGGCGTCTGTCCTGCCTGCATGGTCGCTGGTGGCAATGGTCAAAAGAGTGGCGAGCCACAACGTTGACCGCTGCGTCGTTTGCCCATCATGGCTCAGGCAAAAATGGCGCTCCAGACGTTTAGTCTGAGCAATGACATTGTCGAAGTCTCTCCTCAAGACGAGATTTACAAGTACGACGCGGCAGCGGATAGACAGATCAACAACCAGTCGCCATGGGCTACAGAGTATGTCCATCTAGACATCTTCATCGTTTCGAACTCAAGATATACGCCTCTAGCCCTCATTATTTCAAGTCTTGTCGCATCTCGGCCGTCGCGTTGATCAAGATGGTCGGCGCCTTTGTTCAACGACGCGTAGGAGCTGATTTATCTGGCTACAGGTCATTCATGCACGCTCTGGAGTACCTCATGAGATCATGGGACTCATGCAGGGCAAGGTTGTTGGCCAGTCGCTGGTGATCATGGACTCGTTCGCTTTGCCTGTACAAGGAACTGAGACGCGAGTGAATGCTGCAAACGAAGCAAACGAATACATGGTTGAATATCTGGAGAGCAGCAAAAAGGCGCGTTCTCCATTGCCACCTTTCTCACTTTTCGAGGCTTATATGTGTTCCCTTAGGTCGGACGACTCGAAAACGCCATTGGGTGGTATCATTCTCATCCTGGATATGGATGCTGGTTGTCGGGTATCGACGTGAACACGCAGATGACCAACCAGCGGTATCAGGACCCATTTGTCGCTGTCGTGATCGACCCCAATCGTACCATTTCCGCTGGAAAGGTTGATATCGGCGCGTTTAGGACGTATCCTGAAGATTACAAGCCACCCACATCTGGCAAAACCGACGAGTACCAATCTATCCCCTTATCCAAGATTGAAGATTTTGGTGTACATGCCAATTCGTACTATCCTCTTGACGTTCAAATCTTCAAAAGTACGCTTGATGACACGCTTCTGGGCCTCTTGTGGAACAAATATTGGGTCAATACGCTTAGCCAGAGCCCACTCATTTCGGTTCGTCACGCTGAGATTTTAACTCTGAAAACCTAATTCGCATTATCTAGAATCGAGCTTACGCCGTCTCTCAACTTCAAGACTTGCAGGCCAAGCTCAACAAGGCAAAGGGATCGATACCGAACACCCGCGCTTCGGTACCAACTGCTAAAGCAACCGCACCTGCTGGAGACTCCAAAGCACCTCCCAAGCGCAAGGATACCACGGAGGAGGCATCTACATCCAAGGCAAAGGACGAACCCAAAGAGAGCGCACTTCAGAAGGGGGTCCGTGATAGGTGAGTCGGACGTTCATTCCATCATTACTCGCTGACAAGGATACAGCACGAAGCTAGCAATGGAGGCGCAGCATGGACTTATCTCGCAAGCGCTGAAAGAGTACATCTTTGGTGCGAATCAAGATGTCGCCCAGAGCTTGAATGTGCTCAACACGGCCATCGCTACCGAGAAGTGAGGAAGGGCTGTATGGATGAGAAGTGAATCCTAGAGAGTAGGCTGTGACCATACGTCGCGTAATCTAGGCATGATTCCAATTGGCATACGATCCAGAGCTTTAGAGATTTACGCATAAGCTTTGGGCGCTTGAATGCACGAGAGCCACGAGAGCCCGTCCCAATTGATGGCTCTAAGGAATGGTGCCACCTCCACACCAATTTTGCCCTTGACCACGCCTTTGGGTTATCCTCGACCCGAGCACGTCGCGCCATGGATAAGTTATCAAATTATGTGGCCAGTTATGACCCCGTATTACATGTTCCTCTTATATGATGGCATTCCATATCAGCTGGACGTACATTGTTGGGGAACTCACAGGCAACAACTCGCAAGTTGACCGTGTAAGGACACGTTCATGTGTTGTAAACCTTTACATCTAATGTTTTCTAGGTCTGGCCGCTGCTCCCGCCCATGTACACGGCCTACTATGCGTTTCTACCACTTTTGCCTTTCGCGCCTCAAGACGTCAAAGAGGCTGGTTTGAACCACCGCGTGCTCTTAATGTTTGCACTCCAGGTATGTTCTTATAACCACTTACCTCTAGATATTTTACTCAGATTTTCTCAACAGCTTCTCTGGATGACAAGGTAAATACGCTCGGCTCCCGATGTCACGCACCTCATCGAAGCTCGTTACTGCCTTCCCATGACGCAAGTCTACGGGCATCGCGGCTCAAACTTGTGGCCTCGTAATTTGTAACTGACGACTCTTCCAGACTATTGTATCATGCCTCACGTAGGGGCTTCTTCAAGTGGGATGAAGAGGACTACCGATGGCCCATACTCAGGGGGATCATCCCAGCTCCTATCTATCACGTCTTTCATCTTGTCTTCATCGGTATGCACCGATATCTTCCTTCACCGTTCACGGAGATTAACGACCGCCCCCTCAGCCGCCATGCAAAACGGTATTCTATATGGCCTAGCATATCCGACTTATCTTGCTCTCCGCAACCCAAACACACCTCTTGGTGGCTACGACGCCTTGCTCACAGGCCTGGCAGTTGTCGATATTCTAATTGAAGCCATCGCCGACAATCAGCAATACTCGTTCCAGACATTCAAGCATTCGAAACCCCGTGTCCAAAAACCACCAAGCGAGGAGCCTCTTTTCGTCAGTCAGCGTTGGACCGAGGACGAAGCAAATCGTGGCTTTGTCACAAGAGGCTTATGGGCCTGGAGCCGCCATCCAAACTTTACTGCCGAACAGACATTTTGGGTCAGTCAATCTCTCGTAGAGTATAATTGTTGGTTAACAAAGGCCATCAGTGGCTAATGGTCTTATTCCCAATCTTGACTGGGCCAGGCAGTCTTGATCTTCCATCGTCGGAATCTATTCTCTCTCCTTCTACCTACACATCATATGCTGCGTTCTGGTCCACATACGCGTCTCTTGAACCCTTGTGGCCGGGGGTCGTCATCTCGATGCTGTTCCTCGGCTCGACAGCATTCACTGAATGGATCACGAAGGGCAAGTATCGTGTCGCATACACTGCCTATCAAGAGCGTGTCGGCATGTTCTGGCCGACTGGAACTCTGTTCAAGGGCTTGTACCTCCAGGCGACTGGTCGTCGCAGGGTCATCGACAATCTGGTGTGGGGTTCCGTCAAGGCTACGAATGGGTCCACAAACGGTGTCACGAATGGCGTCACAAATGGTGTCAACGGTGCCAAGGGGCACTAGAAGTCACGACCTCATTTGCAAAGAGATGAGGTTGGCAAGGTTATCCTCCAATATGGGTTGTTCCGTAATACGCTCCATACGTGTAGCAAGCTTTACGGCCAATATATGCTTACACTGCTCTCGTGTTCAGATGTGCTTGTCGTTGTAAGAGTCCGCGCACCAGCAAGTAGTTCTGGGACGCAAGAACGCCGTGAAGAAAGGCGTAGCATGTGCATAAAGGCAGGGCTGAGGCTTCTAGATCCGGGTATACGGTGTACAAGCTTGAACCGGAGCCTTCGACGAGATAGTGCCTTCGTCCATTCTCTGAAACGTAAAGAGAGACTAAAATGATCATCAGTGATCGCATAAAATGAACCCCGGCCTACTTCTGTTGCTGTCAATGAGTGTAAACGCTCCGATGATCAACGTGTCGGGGACCAGGTGACGAAGTCCTTGCAGTACGCCGTCTTGGACTAAACCCAAAGAGTCGCTTGAGAATGATACCCTATTCGTGAAAGGACGACTGCACTGCACTCACGCGGACCAGGCTTGGCTTCTGCCAAAACCAAGTCAAGAAGCTGTCGCATCTGGGGTGCGGTCGTCATTTCTCAACGCCTGAGAAGACTCAAGTTCTTCAACTTCCTGTCTCTTCCAAAGCCGAAGCGCAACTCTTGAAAATCACTGAGAAGACGTCAGGTTCAAATTTCGTGAGCGCGCCATGTCTCAGCCACATTCCCAATCTTCGCGTTTGAGACTGTGAAGTTTCATTAAGCAATTCTAACATGCAACTCAGTTCAGTCTAAATTGCAAACGCTTCTGCTTCAACCACTAGAAGCCTGCATTAGGGCAGGGATGGCTGACGACGATTGTACACGGAACGTCTCGATGTGAATTGCCTCAGGGTATACTTATATAAGTTAGTTATCAAGTGTTCGGGCTTTCAGTCGGTGCTTAGATAACTGGATGAATGGTCGGGCGCATCAATGACTGGTCGTCATGGTCAACTGCATGCAGAAACAACTGTCCGTAATGATTCCTGTGAACACTGCTCGTGGGTTGACTTCATCGTGGTGCTTGCTTCTCCCGCCCCTCCATGGCTTTCAAGCAGGATCATAGAGTGACCGGCGCAGAGAAGTGCATTCTTCCTCTGATCGTGCTGTCCCTGCGTTTCACCGTCAAGGTGGCCTCATTCCCGAACTTGGAGTTAGCTTAAGGGCCTTCACACTCTGGGGTCTATCAAACTGGCCCCGTGATCATTTTTTGAATTTTACAGCCATTTCCTTCCAACAATTAGGTCGCACTTGATCAAAGACTGCCGGTAAGAATGGGTGGGAGCGTTCAGGCATGTTCGGCGAGAACATTGCCAGGGGTTGGTACCTCGCGAAAACACTCGGGAAATGAGTGTCTGATCGCAAGCGACGATCACTTGTTACGGCATCATGGCGGAGCTTCATCAAATACTCCTGGATTATCTGCGGTCAACCCGTCCATACAGGCTATACAGACTCTGTGTTCGACTGGATGATTCTCGCGGATTTGATGGCACCTGGTCCCACATATGGAAGATTTGCATGACGGTCAAACTGAACAATCTCCCCTGCATCATTTGTATCAATCGAGCAGGTTCATGAAGCCTCCCTAAGCCCCAGTTCGTGGGACACCTTCATTTCATAGTCAACAACCATTGATGGTATCAGTACACTCTCACGGGGCTCAGAGGTATGGTAACTCGATGAGGATACTAGGCGAGGCACGATACGCCACTGCACTCCTCCACAAATGACCTCGGTTTCCGGGGTCATCGGCAGGACTTTGAGGTTTATGGTAATTGGATTGAAGTTAGCTACTCAATTTGAGCCCAAATATCGCCTACTGGAGTTGACCACGCATACCTCTCATACCTCCATCGAGGAACAATTCTCATTCAAGATGTCCTCGCAGAACAAACAAAGATATGGGGGTATCAGGGCGATCCAACTCTGTAAAACCGGTGGAGGTCGTCTGGTCAATATTGCAGAGGTGCGCCATTCCCTATGGAGTCACTACGCGCATCATAACCTGATATGAAATTCAGTATGCAAGCATTTTGGCGTGCGAACTAGAGATGGGCGCTCGCCAGGCGCCCAGTTCACCCCTCAGCGCGCACGATTCCTAACTCGAGACACATATTCCAATATTTCACCTATTTTACCCTAACCGGTCGCAACTCTGACGGGTGCTTGCTCCCTTTCCTGGGCCCTTGTCGAAGATGGGAACAGAACCTACCACGGTATACAACATTCCAGAAGCCATCGAAAATAACTTTAAAGTGCGTTCTATGATATACCAACCCAAGGGGAGTATCTGAATGATCACACCTTGTACTTACTCCAACTCGTCTGGAGCGACAGAGAGTGGCTAATTGCATCCAAATTCGTATATTATTTGATCCTTTGGCGTCGGAATCACATCAAGTCAGTGTTGTACGCCTCCACCCACCACTTAGCACGAACTAGAATCGCTCCATAGACTCTTGAGAAAGAAACTCGCTATTCGGGCCCCGGATCGACGAGATAGAAGCTTATTGCTTCGGAGTTGGTCCGAAGTGACCACCCTCCAAGCTCCACGCTGTCGCCTTGTCACGGCAAGCTTTTTGGCACGACGGACGGCGGCGTAGTCAGCGCCGCCCGATAAATTCAACGAAACCACTTGGACAGAAGCATGTGCATTTGTTTGCACTCGAGAAGGCAAGGGTTGCGAGTATATATTGCAAATTCAAGACCGGCTGCTGTACGTGCAGAGAGATGAGACACGACGAGAGCTCTATTCGCTGCAACTGGTTGGGAGGATAACCATAATTCCACGAAGCGAGCTTTCCCGTTCCAACAGTTTAACAGCAATCAGACGTTTCTCGACAGGTGCCACTGGTTGCAGCTATATCTTGTCAGAACCTGGAACGCGTATGGTGGATGACAGCCACTTGTTCGCAAGCAATCCACTCAAGTGCCCCCAAGTTGTACGTACGCACATACACCCGAATACTGTTTCGAGGGGAGCGATCGTGTTTTAATGCGCAAGACTTTTGTACGACATACTTCGTCCTAGCTGACGCGTGTAAACGTTTGTCAACTGCCGTTGGCTTTCCCTATGCCCAAGGAGGGGCGAGACCATATCGCGGCCATCAAAAGTAGACATGAACATTTCAATGTTCTGTCTAACATCAACGAGGAACTCCTCCGTATTTACATCCTAGGTCAGGCTTTTGATCCGGTAGGCACGAGAGTTTGAGCCCGGCTCCGCCCCGCGGCGAGGTCGCTAAAATCATATTCCACACCAATGGCCTTGTGGTACCATAACTTGGCGATAACTATCGTCGCCTTCGGAACCTTTGATTAGGCTTATCTTGCTCGCATAGCTTGATTGCCCCACTCGTCGAGAGGTGAACGTAAGAGAGGCAAGCACAAGTGCCAATCAAACTATCATATACAAGTGAGAAGGATCAAAACATTTGTCAGCCGTACATTGAGGCGATGATACGCTCTTCTCAGCCTTGATTTCGCTTCCTCGTGTGCTCTACGTATTGAGGGCATATTTGACGCTGACATAGGGATTCGATCGCTAGCATGGAATTGTAATGCTGTTCGCCTCTGAGAATCTTTTGAAATCCTAACAGGCGCCAGGGGTCTGTCCGCCTTTGCGTAAAGTGATGCCCGTTCCCCCCGTTTTGAGCCGCACAGGAACCGCAGGCAAGCCACGATCAGCCAAAACGGATGTCTCGTCGTCAGCTACGGCAATCCAACTGCTTCCCTTTTCCCTTGCTGGGGACAAGAGAGCAGGATCAAGAGAAGAAAAAAAAAAACAAGCCAAGCCTGATTAAGCAGTCGGAGCCATCGGAAATGCCAACTGGCCAATCCCACCCACCTACCACGACGGCGCCTATGACCTTCCTGGGGCAGGCTGAGAATCCGCCCCTCGATCACAGCGCTCGATCCTGCCCTGGTCCACTTTGATGTCGAGGCTTACTTCGCTTTCCGGAATAGGCTCTGTCTGGGGAAGGGCTAAGATCATGACGAGCCCTGGATGAGCGAACGGGTATTGAGCCACGGGCAACAATTCGTCCAGGGTCTAGACCTTGGGGCCCCCCCCCCCTCCCTCAACGCTGTTGGGGGGGGATATCTAACGCACGCGAACAGGCCGGTAGTCGTGCCAAAATTGTGGTGAGTTCCTTGATCGAGTATTTGCCATCAAATATTGCTTAGAAAGGTCGAGTACGAGGGACCCTTCTTGTCGAACGCTTCAGGAACCCCCTGGTGCCATCTAGATGTCCGAAGTAGCAGCAAGCGATATCGGTGAATACGCCAACGGCTAGGCCTATCCGAGTTGAAATTCCAATATGCCTCTTCATAAATTCGCGGCATTGTCTCGTGCAGGCTTCTGGGGTGTATCGAACCACGCGAGAGGACGTCCCTACCCTAACCAAAAGGTTGTAGGACCCGCGAGCGAACCCGTCAGATTTTGCAAATTATGATTACGGAATCGGCAAACATGTTCATTCACAGAACCCGAAATCGCGATAAGTCTCAGACATCACTGTCACGCTGACCTTGTACCAGAATGCGAGTGATTCGGTGCATATGAGTATGTAGATTGCTCAGACGCTTGATACCAGACGCCCCACTTCGCCCTTAATTGGTCCTTCTCCCCCAAGTGTAAAAATCGAAATGGCCTGATCGGTTACATTAGGATGGACTCGATAACTCTCTTTCGAGGGGAGGGTACCCCCTATGAACGTATATGCCGTCGGCATTCGTCCTCGTTTTACCCACGTTGGGTGGTTTCTTCCAATGCGATCGTCATGTCCGACGCCACGAAGAATGGCAACCACAAGAAGAGACTATCATGTATTCGAAACACACTATAATACCCCCCCAAATCTTCGCGATAGCTACCGCTGTGCCCCATGGGTCTTCCTCCACGAATTCAGCGATACTGCGTAGAGTCGGGGAAGCGTGAGAGAACCATGTGGACCCAAACCAACTCTCGTTTTGCAATGTGATCGTTGATTCGCAGAGAATGTACCCTACCGCGTTCGAGCCAGAATGCCTATCCTATCGCACGTCAACGGATGAAACAGAAGGGGGTACTTGCCCGACGCAGGGGGACCTCTTTCGTAGGTTAAAAAAAAGGAAAAGAATGTGTGTGTAGACCAAGAATTCACCGGACGTTGCTCACCGTTTGCTCTGATGTTCACAAGTTTGGGACCAGAAAAATGATGGCGATGCTGGTCACATCCATCGCTCCAATGACCGCCAACCCCACTCGCTGGCTTCTAGGATGGAATAAGTGCAATTTCAAAAACGAAATACCATTCACGCATACCGGTTCTGCAAAGCTCTAGCGTGATACCGTATAGTGGTTCAATGCTAGACGCCGCAAAACGCGCGCACCATTTCATAATTCCCACCCATGCATAATAATTGGTCCGAACCGTAAAATGTTTGTAGAAATGCGCCTTTTGGAACATGACAGATGCCTCATTTGCGCACGTTCTGAACAGAATGACAGCTCAGACCCTTCTAATTGGCTCGAGGTCCTTGGTTCGACCATGAGGTTGACCTCGCTGCGAGGTTGTGACACGCCTATTCGGATCCGGCATCTGAACTATCCAAGTCGATGACTTTGCGGGATTCAAACGTCACTCTTCACAAATTTGCATGCGCTCTTTGCGTCCTGAGCTAGTCCCTCGCCCAAGAAACGTCAAAGTTTCAAACGCCTTTGAGGTTTCAAACTTACACACGCGTGCGCGTCTCAAAGCACTCTAAGCATTTCCTCACAAAGTGCACAATTTGAACTGCAGTCGAGCTTTCTATCAAAGAGAACAGTTATGGTACACCGCGAGCAAAACCCAAAAAGCGAGCCAGAGCCAATATCCAAGAGCGCAGAGGGTAAAATGGGAAAAAAAAAATTGGTGGAACGCAGGGCGTCCAAGAGAACAACCAAAAATGGTACGGGTGGAAAGGGGAGGAAAAAAGCCGCACCCAAAGGGGCGCGTTATGCTCGTGCGCTGGCGCAGACTAGCGAGTGTCGGTGAAGTGTACAACCAGCGTCGCAAAATTGTAAAGGCGGCATCGAGCGTGAATCCAAAAACGAAGAGGGTGGTAGCGGGTATCCGTCGGCGGTGAAGAGTTGATACAGTAGTAGAGGGAAGGGGGATGGACGATGTCGTTGGCGGAGTCGGTCGGGGGTATGTGAGGAAAGGAGAGCGAGGCGGGAGACAGAGAGGGCGAGAGCGATACAGGGTTTGTAGACGGCGAGCGCCAAAGGTGATAAAGATCCACAGACGACGAGGGAGCGGGAGGGAGAAAGGATGGTGGCAAGCGAGCGAGCGAGAGCGCAGGCCTAGGCTGGCAAAGGAGCAGGAAACTGAGGGTTTGAGAGCTCCGGTGATTGGGTTTGTAGGGTTTGTAGAGTTTGTATGTACGACCATAGAGTTGATATAGTACGAGATTCTGGTCCGTAAAACGACAGGAAGCTTGCACCCGGTTGTGCGCGCACGTCCGAGTGGGCTATGTGGAGGGTTGGATTATAAACAGGAGCCGTAAAGCCGATAGTATAGTTGTTGTCCACAAAGAGGGAGAGTTGATGTTGACCAGCAGAGGAGGGGTTCGAGCTTGACAAGACGACAGTGACGACGATGGAGTGGTGTGGAGACGAGGCTCGCAGCACGAGAAACGCGAAATTAACTCGACGTGGGGATGGACGAACGACCTCTCTAATCCGAGGTTGTTCGTCGGATCGGACCACGGGGGTTGAGGGCAGCTGGAGGGTATTCGCAGCAGCGGCTCCTCTTTTCGCATTGGCTGGATGAAAAGGTCAGAGTTTGCTCGACAAACGGGGGAGGTATAGGGTACGTACTTGCACGGCGGTGGCTTTTCACCTGGGGCGACCTCGGTCTTTGGGCGGATGCACTGAATCTTGCGATGTCTGCAGAACACACAAGCAAACGCGATGGGGCGGTTGGCAACGCGAACAGGTCCGACCTGGCTCGGTGCCGAGGCAACTTCTTCCGTCTTCTTTACCTCAGTGGAGGCCAGGATAGCCTCGACCCAGGCGGGCTCTGGAGCAGCAGAGCGAGTGGCACGCTTGTTCGACTTGCCGAGCGACGCCGACGACTTTTTGAGCGAAGGCGGGGGCACAAACGAGGGCTCGTTATCATTGTCCGAGCTCGAGGCATGCGAGCTCAGGCTTTCGACGGGCGAGCTGAGCGTCGAAGAGGGACCACTGGCAACCGAGGTATTAAGGCTCGGTGTAAGGTTTGCCCACGAGGCATTCGCGATCGGGTGGACGAGCGAAACGGTCGGGATGCTCAATCCAAGGCGGGTGGGCGAGTTGTGGCGCGTCGTCGAGCTGGGTGAGCTCGTACCGTCCGAGGAGCCAGACTCGGGGTCGGAAAGAGGGGTGAGGGGAGAAAAGACATCCTCTGGCGCGATGCAAGTCGGAATGTGCTGCTGCTGGGCGTGCTGGTGCTGAGTCTGGGAGACATATGAAGAGTAAAGAGTGGAATCTGAGCAAGAAGAGGCGCCTTGTGGGTTCATCATCAGCTGCGACGGGTGGACCGTGGCCGGGTAGGGGCCAAAGTCGACGGGCGTAGGTGGCGCATAGGGGTCAAATGCTGGGAGTGCAGAGTAAGCATCCAGGTAGCTGATCTGCTGCAGTTCCCAGGGTGCGACGTAGCCGGCGATGCTGGGCGCAGCGGCCGCATAGTTTTGGTAGCCATATGCACGTCGCTGGCTCTGGAGCTGGTGCTGGTGCTGGTGCTGCTGGTGCTGCTGGTGCTGCTGTTGCTGCTGTTGCTGGTAAAACTGCTGTTGTTGGTGATAGAGCGTCTGCTGGAGGTGCTGCTGCTCAGCAAGGTACGCGTCGAGCACGTAGTAATCGTCTGTGGCGGGCTGCATGGTCTTTAGGGGCTGATTAGGATTAGATGGACGATAGTGTGTCTGCGCTGGTGGCGAGCAGAGAGTGCGAGCCCGGCGAGCGAGACGAGGAAGGGGACAAGACTAATGGGTTGCCAGCCAAACACTTCAGCCCTCGGGGTTATATGCTATTCCAAAATTCAGGAACTGACCTCGATTTGCATTCTGTCAATGTGGCCCTCCACCCGAAACCGTCAGAGCCGCTGCACCGAAAAGAAAAGAAATATTCCTATGAGCTCCTCTGAGAGTCATTAGCTACTTGGCCTTTTATCCTCGACAGAAACAGACAACACGGCCTCGTTTGTTTTATCCAATCTAGGAGGTTTTTGTTGCTCGTGGCCGTGGGTGCCTTCGACCATTCAACAAAAATAATTATTTAAATAATTATATTAATTTATTCCACACTTCAAATCTTTCCCATTTGCGACATTTGCGGTCTAACCTTCTCTCACTGTTTTGAGACATGCCTTCTTCATTTGTTACCATTTGCTTGCGAGCTTCGCCACCGTTTCTCGAGCAATCTCTACACGACCCACCGAGAGCCCCTCTGCTGCCTGACAACTATCAATACCCGATCTTTACGCTTACTGATGCTCGCTCGCGTGGTCGTAGCGACGTCGAGGCCCCAAGTCGACATGGACGCCCCCTCCCCCCCCTTTATTATTGGTCTACCGGTGAGTCTATTCTTCTACCCTGCCATACATGTATGAAGCCGGGAAAAGTGAAAGAACCGGGTGAAAACGCATGTAGCTCGGTTAATACGAGTCGCGAAAGGCTACTAGCAATAAAGATGCCATATGGATGCCAGCCGCCGTATTCGGGACCAACTAGCTCTCTGCCGAAGTCATCGCGTTGAGGAGGGCAAAGGATTCAGAGGCCGTCCCTCTATGGCAGGGTGTGATCGTCAATGCTATCATTGCTTGTTTCCCCGAGCGAGTCCTCGAGGGACGACAAACTCGCCTTGAAACTCTACTCGTATACAGACTAGTTCTCCCACAGGTTCGCTCACAAGCTCACGCCCCCGCCCCCTATCCTCCATGAATCCTAATTCCTCGAGGCTTCCTGTGATCTGCATACATCCAGGCTAACGCTGCAGCGCCTTGAACCGCCCGCCGTGAGCTTCGTTCTCGCGCCACGCTCGGACTTTACTTACCCGGTTATCGCGAAACCCGTAACCCGTTATCGTGCATAATGACGGACACGTAACGTTCAAATTAAAATTTTTGATGGCACCCAGGACGCGAGACTCGCCTGTGACCTTGCCCTCCCTCTCTTCCTTTGCGGCTAAAGCAGACGAGACATGCTCTGCCGAACCCGCGAAGCATTCGCACTCCTCTTTCCGATGTCCGATCAGCTTCTGTCACGTATCATTCCAATTCCCCCACTCTTCTTGCCGGTGTCAGCTATCGTCTTCTAACCCACTCTTGCTACTTTTTACAAATTCTCCACGCGCCTTTTACCACGCCGCCTCTTCGGTCCCAAAAATCATTGCAACCTTCATCCTTCTTCGCGAATCCTAGAGAGGGGAACCTCGGTCAGATGAAACATTTGATGCCAGAGGATCCGTGGGATGTGTCGGCGTCGGTGTCGCGTCGGCATGCAGCGCGCATCAAAGATCAGCGTCGGTGTCTGAGCCTGGTCGATACAACTCTAGCCCCTAGGCGCCAGGCCCGGCCCAACAAGCCCCTCTCCCTCTGTGACAGGTCCTCAAACATGTCCAAATCAACCCCCTTCGTTATGAATAGAGGGCGGTTCAAACGGAGACGAGACCCCATTACGCCCGCAGAAGCAGAGCCTCGATATCGGCTCGCCTGAGACACGAGCCAGGGCAAGCTAACAGCAGAGGTTCAATTGGTTTCGTTGCTTCTGGCTTGGACCAATATATTACAACAAGGGCGACTAAGATTTGCCAACGCTAGCCCCCTGCCACTGGACAGGACCTAACTCCGCCATTTCCTAACGATTCTCAAAACAGAAACAAGCAAATAACGCTCTGCGAGCTGTTGTTCTGCTCCCCTTTGTTGCCGACACCAACAGCCCTTTTACACGGCCGACTCTGGTAAGCATTGTCTCGCATTGTCTCTGACCGAGTTATTGCGCGCCTTCTCGCAGTCAAGGTGACCGATCATGTCGATATATCTCCAATTTGCTAATCAGACAAAGTATGGACAGAACAGTCGATGTGGTCTTCCAGCACGGGATCGCCCATCCCATGTCAGAGGTAGACGGCTCGACGCCGTGGCTGATCTTCCTCCATCCTCTCCAAGTGGACCCTTGGGTCAATCCTTTTTACCTTCAAACACCCCAAGCTAATTCGTGCCGAGCGGCCACTCGACTTAACCCCTTTGATAAGTCGACAAAGCAAGCAATGGCGTCGGCGGTTTAACACTTGACATGACAATATTTCAACGGTATGAGGGATGAATGAATGACCTTTGGAAGAAGGATAACGCCAGATACGACAGGGTTGGCTTGACAAGTCGATTTGCTCTCCCTCTCACCCTCCCCGTTCGAGGCTGACGTTGGTATGAATGCGGATTACTCTTGTTTTGGGAATTTTCCCCTTTGAATTGGGCGCACACTATGGCGGATGCGCTCTCGGGCGTAAGCTCAAAATGGGAATTCCCTAGTGCGCCTGGAAAGAAAACAAACCCCACGCCCAACCATCCAACCTAACACGCTTATCCGAAACTATATACTCACGTCGTGGAAGCAATTGTCGTCTCCTACGACTACCTATTGTTCATCAGCTGATCGACTTCGCGCTTTGTTCATATCAAGGATGCTTTATTACAACAGTGTGTCATCGTTTATGAGGTGCAACGACTGTATTCTGTGGCTTCAGGACAGGGACTTGCCGTGTCGTTCCTCCCGTCGGGGTCGAAACTTTGGTTTATACGGCGTATCAAAATGTATGTAGCCCTAAGGGAGAGCAGGATGCGTAAAGTTGAACCATACCGTGTGCCCTGAGCTTGTGGAAAGTGAATGAGCGGCGTGAGATGCATTAGTCCACTCCATCATTGTTTTGCGATCCATCATGGAGTTTTATGTAAGGATGTTATAATAGGTGCGAGATGCTCGGACTACTCCTTTAGGGCCTTTTTGCGCGTCCCCCCTGGTCCATTACGATGCGTTTCACCGGGTATGCCTTAGGGCCGCCTTTGAACATCTAATTTGATTTTGAAATACTCGAAAGCTGAAGAATTACGCCCCCAGTTCCCGGATAGGTATCCCGTAGAGGACTAGTCCTATTAGGGGGGATTCAATAGCTGACCACTGTGAAGACCAAAGGCTGGTGCAGCACGCGCTCTAATGCGAACTTGATGAGCTCCATAGGATGTTCGAACAGTGCCGACGGCGCCTGTGGCTACTTTAGGGGTGCCTTCTCGATCGGCGTCAGTGCGGGGCACTTTGCGGCTTGTTGCGCCGCATAATGTTGCAGATGGCTAATTAGATCATCAGATGGTGATTGTCAGACTCATTGAATTCATGAAACGGTGAAGGGGTTCACAGCTCGTACTTGTATCAATAAGAGTTTCCGAATGCATGTCATCCTGGTAACTTAGATAACTATACCTGTATATCCCAAGTCAACGATATAACGTGGTATGATCGGTTTGCAATGTCAGCCAACTCGGACCGCATCTCGACATCGTTGGTCATATAACCTCTTTTACGTGAGTATTTTACTTGCTCTTGACCGCGTTTAGTCATACATTTGACACTTTATGGGTGTCAAGTCTCGGAATGAGCGCGCTCTGCCTGATGCCGCGTACAAAGCTCAACAAACCACCGGAAAAGCCCGGGAGATTCTAAAATAGATACTCTCGACATTATAATCACGGATTTGTATTTTGGTCGGCCAGTCAGAAGCCCGAGCCGCAGTTCCTCCAAACGCTGCGCCGCAAGCACCGATCTAACGCTCATAAAAACGACGCCGAGCGCGCAGATGAGGACGATGCTCCACTGCTGGAGAACATATCTCGTCTTTGAACGGCCGTTGAGGGTATCAACACGCCGCTATTCGCCTTCATCTCCTTGCACCTGTCCAGCGCCGCACAGCAAAAGACAAATTGCACGGTACGACGCCTGCCGTTTCAGGTGTCATACCATAACCACAAGCAATATACGTCAATCGAGATTATTGGTCTGCACCACCCCCGCGTCCACTCTCATTGACAGCCAAAATCCAAGGGCGAAAGATAACGAGATTCGTACAGTCTCAGGGGATCCAATCACCACTCTACAATCGTCATCGCCATTGCTAGGACCAGCACGCCGTAGAGCTCCGCAATTCAGCATCTGGCTTGATCGGCTCAAGCTCGAGTTCAAACTCCCGTTATCAGAGCTTGCAGTGCTCTCACTCTCCGCCGTCCTCCAGTTTCGTCACGTGTACGATCATCCTTCGTGGACCGCGCCATTCACAATCTCACCGGCCACTGAGCAACCACCTTACCGCCACAATTACGACATGCTCATCGACGAGAAGAACAATTCCGTAGAAGCCCAAGAGACCAGGACTTCTCTTCCTCCAAGTGTTGTCGAACCAACGACAACCCACAACATCTCCAAACCCCTAGAAGACGGACACGCTCCGCCGAACTACGCAGAGGCTGTGGGGACAGCAAACCCTCCAGTGGTCAGTGACCTCAAATATCGTATACAGCCCGGTACTTCGACCAGCGCTGAAGGAACCAAAGAGGGAGCAATCCCGGCTCCAGCGAACTATGTGCACGTATTCAAGCGCGACGGATCCATTCTGGGCCAGTGGAATATTCAACCCGCTCTCTTGGTGCCCTCTGAACTTCTGTTGAGTAGTGAGGAACGAGAAAAGGCGACTGCGACGATATCCAACTGGGCTGCTATGCAGAAAAAGTCCAAGCCAAAGGCTGAGGTAGAGGAGGAACCAGCCAATCTTACTCTGCACACTCGGGATGGACGTATCCAAGCCGACGTGTGGATTGCAGATTCGAACGAGGAGGACGCGCTCGAGGAGGAGGCAAAGAAGTGCACCAAGTTGGACTTGCACACTCGAGACGGAGGGGTCGTATTGCGCGTCGTAAGTCTCTTCTTCCGACAGGGTTGCGCGAATGGTGCTGATCAAATCTGAATCAGAGAACTCACGGGACACGACCGCTACATATCCGAGCGTACACGCACGACGGTCATATCCGTGTCTTCCTTCCGCGCTCATTCACTGGCTTGGTACAACATGAAATTTATGACGGCAAGCTCGTCTTCTCGCCCGCAATGCATCCGTCCGTCTCGACATTCTCTCAGGTTGATGGCAAGCGTGGCGCGAGCTTCATCGGTGATTGGCAGACTGCCATGAAAGACGGCGAGAATGCACTCGGAAATTGGCAAGGGGATCGCTGTGAAGCTACCAGTCGTGACGGAAGCCTGTACTTTTTCTGGGAAGACGAGTTTGAGGCCGAATGGGCGAGGAAGAGTAACTGGTTCAAAGCCTTGTTTATGTAATCTTAGATGACCTATGTTGCTAGCTTTTTTTGCGCTAATTATTCGCCTTGCTTTGCTTATCCCGGTTCCGATGATCCCCAGCTAGCATGTGGTTAACTGTACCCGACCCGGAAGAATATCGAGGTTACAGACCCACTAATTCATTCTTCTATGCCAATCTTTGGTGATTACTCGCGCGAATAGCAAGCTTCAGGGCGCTGGGTCCCTCACTATATACCGATTATATACGTCGCTGCACAGATACACGCGCATCTTGTCAATCAGCCACAAGATGCAGACCAGTATATAGTTAAACTACCAACTTCAAAGGCGTTCGAACAGTCACGGATGCACTAAAGGCCGTCATTACGTTTACCACTTTGAATCACAAATGCATGAAACCATCCTGTGCGCTCTTGATCTTGATATTTCCCCGAAGGGAGCCCTTCCGAGTTGTCTCTGGACGGCTACTAATTCGTTGTGGTCGGCAAAACGGACGCGATTTCATTTCAGAGGACGAGTGCGCCACGGTATCCCTGCCTTCTTTCGCGGCAAACGGTAGAGTTGCAGACTTTTCAAATTGGGTATCTCATGGCTCAGTCACGTTCCCATGATGTGCCCTAGGAAAGGTGGCGGGTTTGACACGAAGTTTGCTGCTTACTCCACAGCTAGCTCTATGATAGCTCTTTTGGCCATAAATAGAAACTCATACATCGTGTATCCTCAATTATCAACCGTTCGTTTGGATTTGACTCCTTGGCGCTTTTGGGTTGGCCATCGCCACAGGCATTTGGGCGTAATGTCTAATTAGTTGCGTTGTCCAAGGTACAATCCCATAAATTCTATGCTGCTTCGCGTCTCTTATCATGTACGGTATCCCGACTAGGGGGTATCTTTACATTTGGCAAACTGGATCTCGCCTATATTACCGAAAATCTCTCATATCTAGTTACTATACTAGGCCTCTACAGCCCAGTTAGCTCAGGCATTTTGATTCGTAAGTATCGCCGATTCATATCATAAACCAGCAAATGAAAATATGCGGATATCTAGTGGCCATTGTCCGTAGGACCCTGAGCCCAAGGAGCTGACACCTCCACAGCCAACTACCTATACCCAACCCGGACCTTGTGTCTGGTCAGGATGAACCAGCGGCAAAGAGTCAGGATGGGTGCCCTATGCCACTGTCCACTTTTCGTAGAGGATGGCAGTGTCTCTTTATTCCCTGTATTTTATCGAACTCTGCCGAATCAATAGGTTCTGCCACAAGCCAGCCTCCCCCTTGAGGCGGGTTTAGAGAAGTATCCGGTACATCATCACCAAGTTACTGTCCTACATAAAGATGCTGCAGTCGCTCATTCACTAGCCGCCGATTAGCCATCGCACAGCAGCTCAGAAGCCGTCTAAAATCCGGTTGATTCTGGGTTGCGCAGCCCTGTATTGCCGACTCCTGAACCGAAAGTGTTCCCTTGCTGGTATAAACCACCTGGTATTAGCCAGCTCCTCAAATGCCACAGGCGGGTGGATGACGCCCCGCCTACATAGGCTGCCCTCGTGAATCCCGCCTTACGCAGGCGTGCATATAAGGGCAGAACACCTGACGTTGAACCGACGCTACGCGAGTAGACATAACACACTTTCATTCAAACACGCTGGCTGCATTCCACCATGTCCGATCTCTACTTTGGACAGAAACCAGGTGTGCATGATTTATTTATTTGTGTGATCTAAATATTGATCATCTTTACAGTAGAGCTTACGGAAGACGTCGACAAGGCGGCGCTGCAGAGAAAGAAGAACGCCGAATCCCAAAGACAGTACCGGATCCGTAAAAAGGAACAGGAAGAGAACCTACAAAATGAAAGTACGTTCAAGACATGTCTCTATGAATTGTCACGATTAACGGTCCTTCTCTCCAGATGCTTACCTCCGGCAAGCGGTTTCAGAACTTAGCACTGCGCTACAATCCAAAGTGCATGAGTGTCAGAGACTAGAGACGATACTATTCTATCAGAGTATGCCACCAGTTGTACAGGGTAATTCATTTCCAAATGCCTGATGATTCAGGAGCAAATAAGGCTCTGCTATAACCTATCAAATGTATCTTGATTCATACCACCTCATCCGACTAAATAAATAATTTGTTCATTACATCACTGACATGGTCTGGCCTCCAACCCAATGATCTCCGGGTGCAACATCGATGAAGTAGGATGCACTTCCGGGCTCAACGCAGACATAGCGATCCCTATTGACATGTGAGAGATAGAACAAAGCGTATTCCCGAGCATACCATCCCCCATCTTCCATATCTCCTATCTTTGCGCCTGCTTCTGGGCCAGGATTCCAGACGACGACGTCGTTTAGACCACGGGCCTTGAGTTTGATGTTCTTTCCTTGGCTTGAGATGAGGTACTCCTTGGACGCATTCTTGTAAACAGAGTCGGTGAAGTTGAGGACGTCAACGCCATCACGGGTCTCCGTCTCCTCGACTCCACCTTTGACTTTGTTGATGTAGGCAAGTCCGGTAAGGGGCGAGACTTTGACGTGTTCTCTGTTTGAGGCGTAGTATGTATGAAGGAGTGCTTGGAAGGAGAGAGTCTTGTCGGTGGAAGGATTTTCGACGTGCAAATCAGTTGAGAGTTGGTGGGCCGCCAGCGTTATGACATAGGCAAGCCGGAAGGGGTACGGAAATACGGACTGGATCTCTGGTGTTGGGTCGAGACCTAACAATGGGTCAGGGCGGTGGACATAGTCCACAAGGTGGGTCTCACGAAGTCGAACAGATACACCGGTATCCGTGTCCATCACAACGTCGTCCCATTTCCATACAGTAGACCTTGCGAATCTAGACATCTTTGGTCACGACTTGGCCCATGTATGTCATCAGGGAGACCGAGACTTGCCCGTGCTGGCTCATCTTCGAATGCTCGGGCCTATTTGGCGGCCCAAATATGGGAAAGACTACAGGAATACCCCCACGGATCTAGTTTCTCTCATGAGTGAATCTATGCCACTAATTCGATGGTACTTGCGGGTTTACTACCGTCGAGAGGCGATTTGCTAGAGACAAATAGCCGCTCTTCCACGTCGTCTCCTAAGCCAGAGTTGCTGGGAGACTTCCACGAAACTACCGTTGCACCGTACAGCAAGATCTCGCAGCTAGCTCCCTGCCATTGGTAAGCGAGTTGTTGCCCATTCGAGGATATGTATTAGATTACATTCCCAAGTTTGAGAGTAATTTTAGAATCTGTTTTCTCGAAAGGCATTGTGGTTGCAGTCCAAGATCGATCAACCGTGCGTCACCAGCCGTCAGTTGGACCTTGAACCTCGCCTCGACCCCAATCGTGATGAACGTAATATAACAATATAAAGCTAAATGCGCTTCAATACTTGCACTCAGCGCGGCCCGGACCGGGGTTCTCTCGGTTCAAACTCCTCCATAATTTCGAGGTACATATCAGTGCATCCGCACGGCAGCATGCATAGTTCAGAATTCTCACATGCAACCAGGCCCCATTTCTCTGGGTGTAGCTCATAGGGCCAGTTCGCCGACGTCCTCCAACCACACACGACGAGTCTTCCTCAGTTGGGCCACCAACCGGCAGCGCTGCCGTACCCGATGTTCTCCCTCTGACTTTCTCTCTACAATTGACAGAAATCCGGGGTTGACGACTTCCAAGGGACATGAAACGATTCCAAAAGTCCGCAACAAGTACAAAAGGGCAGTTTCCTAAGCTCTCAGAGCTCATTCTTTCCTCCTGAGTGTCCCCCTTCAAAATCTACAAAGGGATGAAACTGCTCGCTGCCGCACTCACTTTCATCGCCGCCGCATGCATTCCCACAGTGACTGCAGGAAGTTCGCAGGTTGATTCATCTCGGGGTTCTGGAGACCGTGGAAATGTGCCCAAGGGATTCCTCACAAGAAAGGGGACCAAATTCAGACTCGACAATAAGGACTTTGTGTGTCTTTTCTTTGTTAAAGACTGCCAACTCATCATAAATCAAGGCTTTTGTCGGTTCAAACTCCTACGTACGTTGGAGGATGAACGTTTTCAGCAGTGCTCACCTATGCCGCAGTGGCTACCATTGTTGACAACCCATGAAGATGTCGACCGCACTCTTCGCGATGCCAGAGCAGCGGGAATTAAGGTGATGCGTACATGGGGCTTCAATGCCATCAACGCAACCGAGCTTCCTACGGCGTTGGCCACGAATCTAACATACTACCAAGTAAGTCCCGCTACGCACCAGATTCCATCTTACCTTTTACCATTTAGGTATGGAATGGTACACGCTTCACAACAAACTATGGCGAACAAGGCCTGAAGCGTCTAGACTATGTCGTAAAGGCGGCTGCCAAGTACGATGTCAAACTGATTCTCGCATTCACCAACAACTGGTATGCTCTTTCATCCCTTTCATTTGCTCTTACGTTCATTTAGGGTTGGCTATGGAGTAAGTAGTGTCTCAAGCCGTTGACCCGCGCTAATTTATCGAGGGTGCGGAACTGTATATCAACTGGATCAAACCTGGTAGCCCAAATCACGACATTTTCTACACGGACCCTGCTATCATTGCCGAATATCGTACGTGCCCCCCTCATTGCATTTCATCCAAATTAATCCGTTTCCAGAACGATATGTTAAGATTATCGTTAGTAGATACAAGGATTCTCCAGCCATTGCCGCCTGGGAGCTCATGAACGAAGCGCGGTGCTTGGGTGATCTTCCCGCTGGACCCAACTGCCCTGGGAAGCGGCTCCTGACTCAGTGGTACAAACAACAGTCTGATTATGTCCGCAGTCTGTAAGACGCCGTATCTTCTTGTCTGTCCTCAACTGATAGATTGTAGCGATGTAGGCACATCCTTCTCTATGCTTGCTTCTTCCTTACCCATTTTCCCAGCCATATCACTTGATAACCACTGGTGGCGAGGGACACTTCTTCTGGAACAACCCACCAGTAATGTCAGTCGTTTTGTCACCGATTTCGTTCGCTGAACTCTGGGATATAGCTGGTTCAATGGTACTGGATCCACGGATTACAACTACAATGGACAAGTGTGTATCTCAAATAGCCACATGGACAGTCCTCATAATCGATAGGCGGGTGAAGACTTCGAAGAGGATCTCAAACTGCCCAACATTGATTTCGGAACATATGTAAGAATCATTTCGAGATAAAATCGTCCATCTTACGCCTTGTAGCATATTTATGTGACCTATTGGTATCCCCAGTTGGTGAGAACCACTCGGTGATTCCCGACTTTCTTCTGACAGCCAAAAGATCTACCCAGGATCCAACTTCTCTGCATACGAGTGGGGCCTTGGTTGGATCCAGCAACACGCAGATGGTAGAGTACCTACCGCTCGCTCACAATGATACTCATAACACTCTCAAGCCGCAAAGAAGATCGGCAAACCTGTCATCCTCGAAGAGTTTGGCGTTGCCTCTTACGGTCAGTGGTCCTCTCTATTGGAAGCTTTTACCTCATGCATCGTAGAAAGCAAACTTGCTTGGTACCCAGGCTGGGTGCAGCGAGCTCTCGATACATATCATGGGTGAGTCGAACGGTTCTCACCTTCATTGAAATAGCTAACTCTCTCTGAAGCGGGTTCGTAGAACTCCCTGCTTGCTCGAATGCCTTTCTGACCAGATTAGAATCATGCCGTGGCAATACGGCCAACTTGGACTCACCGAGAGTGGCGGGAACCGCGTTATCAAGTACGCAGACGCGATTATCGACGGTGTAAGTGTATCTACGTTACCCACAAACTCGCGCTCACCGATTCCTCCAGGCATCACCCAACGACTGTAAGGACCCAGCGGTCCTGAAGTTTTAATCTGACATAAATCTAGCCAATACATTCTACAAGAACCAGACCGATATCTGGACTATCTTTACGCGTGCAGCGGCCATCCAAGATGCCCGCAGTCGTTAAAAGGTTACATCAGCCACCCACCTCCAATACCAGTCGTGAATGTAATCTTTCCCAGATACAGAACATGACTTTGCGCCCATTGTATGGAAGCGTGGCTTTCATAAAAACGAGTTGAATTAGTCTAGCGCTCCTACAAGTCGTCAGGAATCAGAATCAGGACCAGAATCTCTCAGTCGCACACGTCTTCTTAAACAACACCAACCCCAACAATCCATACAATCACCCCTCACCCACGCATGACGGTGAACAGAAGCAATGAGAGAAACACGAGAGAAAAGTCACTAGGCGAACGAAGGCATTTCAAGAAAGTCGAAAATCTGGGTCGCATGCGAGTCACGTTGGTTTCCAATGTTTCATCATCCTAATGGTGATCGAAGCGAGCAAGCGTGCGGCTCCACGAACTATGCATCCATGATTTATCGCTCCCCAGTGAATCGCCTGAACTTTGATTTGGAGAGGAACGAAGAGGGGGTAAAGATGAGGGCGGCGAATAACGATTGTGCACACGCGAGGAACTCGGTGTGGTTGGCGTGTCCTCCTGGCGAAGAGTATGAAGAGGTGGTGGGGGTTGATATACGGTAAGTATTGTTGTTCGTTTCACCGAGATGGGTACGTTGGGGTTCCTTGAGGGAGGCAGGCTCAATACATTGTTGGGCAAGGTGAACGGTCTTGTCATGCGAGACTTGCTCGGTTTCGGAGTACGCTGTTTCTTTCCAGAAGGTAACGTGGACCATTCTACATCCGATGAATCGTGAAGGGAGCTTCTCATGTATGCAGAAGGGACAAGAGAGTGTTCATGCTGTGTGACTGAATGAGTAAATCTGTTAGCTTTGGTCGAGAGAGAAGTCCCAGGATCAACAGTTTGCATCTTGAAATTGGTTACAGACGCCACTGGTACTCTGAGGGCTGGGGATGGCTCTCGTTTCCGCTTGACAGCTTGAGGAGAGTAAACGCTACTAGAAGGGCCTTCATGGGGTACTGATTTGCTGGATGACACTGCAGCGTAATCAAGGGTTATCACATTCTCCATGGCATCCCGTGGTTGTTGTCGACCAGAAAGAATTTGTGATGAAACGGGTGCTAGAAATGCAGGTGAAGTAGTTAGAGAAGCGGATATAAATATCATTATCAGAACATGCCTTTATTACTATATGGTTTCTGTTCGATGGTGTCAGCGGTGTCACTCGGAGCGACCAGCAGCTTCTGTATATTCTCAGGTCTCGAGAGGGCTGGAGTTTTTGCTGCAGGTCTACTTTGCATGATGCCAAACTGCTTGATGGAAGAAGAGACTTGTTTGTTTCGAGAGGGTGCCGACTGCTTGTTGTTGAGGCGTTGGGTCTGAAATGCAGATTTCTGATGTAAATGATCAACTACCGAGTTTGAGCTCGAGGGTACGTCGGCATTTGCTTGTGGCGTCTCCTGGAGTTTGGCAAGTGGCGAAGGAATGTGAGCAGACTTGATGGGACTGGAATACTGTTTCATGGGAACGACGTTGCGTGATCTTGTAGCCGCGTGTTGCTTCGCAATCGTCCAAGGCGTTTTGATGAAAGAAACAGTCTCTTTACGCGTTCCAATATCGAGATCACGCGCTAGTAGCGTGTAATCGGATATATCATGTTTGATAGGAGAATTTTTGTCGTCTACACCACGGCCCACGCTCATTGTTGGCCCGTTCGAAGCAATTGCGTTCGTGGTCGGTATGTCTTCCTGCTCATCTTCATCTTCATCAAATACAAACGAAAATTTCCAGTCGCTAGACATTGCGGCGATGTGCAGCTGGTGTGGTTGAATCCAAGGGTGGGCACACTCAAAACCAAACTTGGTCGCGTCCTGGCCAATCTTCACTTCGGCCATATGTCCCAGCGTTCGATTTGCGGCAATGTACAGCAAATATTTAAGCAGCCCAGACCATCTACAAGACTGTCGTTGGCCTCGCCAGCTTGCCCAATGAATATTGTTTCGAAAAGTGCGTACTAGCCTTCGTGGCTGCGGATTCCTGTCTCTAATCAAACCTAAATACGTCTAAACAGAGTCTTTGATACATAGAACGGCATCATGTGCAACCGTTTCCTCTCCTCGTCGGACACAACCTCGGTCCAGCTTTTCGACACCGCTGGCCAAGCGGTCCTTTGCGTCTTCTTCAAGAGTAAATGGCTGGGCACCCGCTCGAACATTGGACAGGCACCATCCTCCCGCACCGACGGACAATAAAAAGGTTGTCGAGCATTTGCGCGCAACCTTTCCTCCTCTCGAGTTTCCAGAGGATGTCGCGCTACGGATAATCACTCATTCAAGCTGGAAAGGTGGTGCTGAAGGTCACAATGCACGTCTTGCATTTATAGGTGCGTCCCATCTTGTCCAGAGGTCGAGAACGAGACATGCTAACGGCTGGCCATATGTTCATAACAGGGAGAAGAGTCATGGAATGTTATCTTAACCTATTTTTACATTCTCAGACCGATTCTGGGCTTGCTAAACCTCATTTATTCAACCGGATTGGCTACGACGAGCTCGCGAAGAAAATACTAGATACGCACGTCCTCGGAGAGTTTGTTGGCTCGGCCTGGCAGCTGGAACGTATCATGCGATGGGTTCCATCACACGTGAGTATCTCTATCCCTCGGAAAGACTCCCGATATTGACTCGAATGGAACAGACGAACGATCCATCTAGAACGATGTGGAGCTCGGGTTTGTACAGAGTACGTGGGACAACTGTTGAAGCTCTTCTCGGTGGAGTGTTCCATCATTTTGTAAGTCTCACCACTGGTCCTCCCCTCTCCTGGGTCTGAAGTTTTTACCAGGGCGGAGTCGTCGCGCACCGATTGTTCCATACACGGATTCTTCCTCACCTTGCCGCGGCAAAAATGCTTCCCATCCCAGATTCCATACGAGCAGGCATGCAAGACGCATCGAAGATGTATGGGGGTGCGGATGCTTCTCTCACGTCGGACCGAATATCTTGATTCGTCCTTCGTTCGGAATACGTTGCAAAGTCTCGATGACTATAGTCGTGTTGATATCATCCTAATCAGACGCTCATAACTCGAACAAGCGTGAGGATGAAGTATGTCTGCCATTCTTACACGAGCCTCGAGTACAAGTGGGAAATGACTACGGCAGACAGGCAACAAGCAGCAAATGTGCAACTGGAGTTTGGTTTTATGAATGTTTGGAGCAGGATGAATGTTGATGAGCAATGCCGTGAAACGAAGACAGGCATGACGAATGAGCAACAAGAAGACGCGAGAGGGAGTAATACAAGTTGAATAATAAAGTTACCGGTCACGAATCGTCTAGGAAAGACGCCGCCTCCGAGAAGTCGATGAAAAATCAGAGTCGAGTCGAAAACGTTGCCAGGGGAAGTTCCAAGTCGTTACTGGCAAGTTGATTGTTTTCAGGTTGGACATCGATGGGCTTGAGCAAACGCTTGACAAGGTCTTGGGCAAGAGCATGGACGACTTCGACCGAGACATTATGAGTATTGGCCAGGAGGTCTACCACATTCTGACTAGGTGCAATAGTGGTCGATTGGGGTGTGCCGGTGGATGGACCGGCAACGGTTGATTGCGAAGTCTCTAGAAGCTCTTTGAAGGAGTGACGTTGCGAGTCGTGATCCAACGACGTGAGCAATTCCAAACGCTGCTCCTGAGTGAAGACTAAAAGGTGGTCAGAAAGAACCCGGTATAATTCATCGCGGTGTACGAACCATCACAGTCACGAACTGCAACTCCGAGGGCATCCAGTAGGGAAGTAGTGCAAGCTGGTCCGTTTACACGTGTATGCAGCTCTTCCACTGCAACTTGGGCACATTCTAGGGAGAGTGAGGACAAGATCATATGGATAGGCAAGGGACCTACTGAACAGAGCCTTTTTGATTGCTGGGGTATGAAGGATCTTGCTGTCCTTGTCAGACGGAAACTTGCGGAGGATACTAATCAGATGATAATATGGCAAGGTTGGCACTTTGACGAAATGAGACTATGGACATCAATGAGAGTGAGCTGGGAAACGTGCGCATTACTCACGTCGGGTTTGCGGAGAAGCTTAACAACGTCGTCAATTTCCTTTGTCGAAATAAGACCATCATGAAAGGCAGACGAAATCCGTCCATTGTCAAGGCCAGCAACACAAGGGCGGCTGCCAAGGAAATGACCCTTCCAGCTTGGGAACATCTAAAGAATATCGTCAGCAAATGAATATGGCACATGATGCTACGAACCTCACGCATAAGAGCCTCTTGCGTGCTCACGGTTATAGTGACAGCACGAGCTCGTTTGCCGAAACCTAGAATACTGTTCTGGCGAGCGCGGAGGATGGCCTTCATTGCATCGGGTGTGACCTCCATATAGGCATAGGACAATGTGCGACCATCCTTTCGGTCGATCAACGCGTGATGATGAATCGCCGTTGTGTTGTCGCCAATCCAATCCGCAAGCATTTCGGGGGTCACGTCCTACGATGTGGTCAGCAACAATGCAAGTCAAGACTAGACTATGTACCCAAGGGACATTATCAATTCGTAGTACGCACGCCTCCTCCGAGTTGGAAGCACCAAGGCTGTTGACTGGCTGAACTTGGGGAGCTGGAAGAGCATTCAATGCAAGAAGTGATGCAGGCGACGACAGTTCTTTGGCAGTGGTAGCAACAGACGCCGCGAGTGTTTGTGGAACAGGCAGGACCGAGCCCGAGGCAGACACAACGACGCTCGTCAACCGAAAGGTAGAGATTGGCATCTTGCACGCCATGCATGCCATACCCTTTTCTCCAGCGGCATTGAGGCAACCCGTGAGGCACGAGCTGCAAACGAGATGGCTGCAAGGGGACAGAAGTGCAGCGCTGTTGAGAGGACGGTTGCAGGCTGCACAAGTAGCGGCATTATTCGGCGTATCGACACGAGGTCGGCTGAAAATGGACTTGAGGGGAGAAACGGGTGAGGGAGGCCCAACGTCGATTGAGTCCATTAGTTTGGGAGGCGTCGTAAGGTTGAGACGCGGAACCTTGGTGGCCAACGCGTGCAGAGGTGAGTCTTCTGGCGTCAATGGCTCAAACTTCTTTGCTCGAAGTGGTGTTTTCACTGGGGTCTAGATTGTGTGAGAAGAGGGAACCCACCGAATGAGGGGTGGCTTACAGTCGAGGGAATAGAATTAGTGCTGTAATTGTTTTGATTGATCTTGTTACGGCGTTGTGTAGAATGAAAAGGAGAAGGGAGCAGTTCTGTGTGGACTGATGAGCGACGAGCGTGTTCTCAACATGGACAATGACACTGACCGTTGCCCTTGCTGGCGCGCCCGGGCGTCTCTGGTGCAGTTTGCTTGCGTTGCGTACGCCAGTTGCTATCACTCGCTTTGGTAGCGTCGAAGTTTTGGCTCTTCGTCTTGAGAGGGGCACGCGAGCGAGTTGCTGCCTCTTGTGGACGCGCAGACTGCTCAGACGGCGATAAAAGAACCTTGAAACGATTTTTATCACGTGAGTTCACCGGCGTTGCCTCTGGGGTGAGCGGCATCGTCGCAGCTACGCTAGACGACCTGGGCGCAACAGGCGTGTTGCTCGACGATTTGCGCGTCGACGAGGCGCGAACTGGAGTAAACGGTGGGCTCTGAGCTGGGAAACGGGGAGACAAAGTTGGAGAGCTCATGGCAGACGAGAAGTGGGGAGAGACAAGAGGTGAGTGGCTGTACAGCGATCAGACACGGTTTCAAAGTCCGCGGAGCACGCGTCAAAATAAGGCCGTTAATCGAGATTTGGCTACTATTTATATTATAAACATAGTATAGATAAATATACACTCAGGGAACGGGCACCATGGGAGGAAGCGGCCTCCCATCCCACCAAAGGACAGGTTGGGCCCCGGCATCTGTCACTTCCCATCTCACTTCAAGTCTACCACGCAGTAGACCGTTCTCTGACCCTAATGCAGAGTTCCACAGCAGCGAAGGTGCTCGCTCGCCTTCTGCGGCTTGTTCGGCTGATGGATCAGGCTCCTTGGGTAGATGCAGCAGAAGAAATGGTATTGGTGACGACATTGCTCGAGATATTGCTTTACTGGTGAATGGTGAAAGCGAAACGAGCATTGCCAATATTGGGAGTGACTTCGGATGATACGTCTGCGCCACTTGCTCCTCGGATGGAGCCAATGGTGACATGACAGCGCGAGGAAAGAAATGTCGATGAAGGACTCCTTCCATCTCGCGCACGTAGCTTGGACCAAAGGGCTTTTTCTCGGCCTTGCACTGCGCCAAAACACGTATCCTCCATCGGTTTGCAGTACCGTCCTCATCAAAAGTCTCTGGATTTCCTGTACTGCTTGGTGCTGTGTCGCAAGGAAGCCACCACCACCCAACCAGATCCAAACCACCGTCACCAGGTCCGGCAGTTCTCTCCAAACTCATTGAGAACCGCTCTCTCAGAAGACTCTGAGCACGCAGCTCAAATTGTGTACCGACAGATACTGTGCTCTTTGGCGGCATTTCGACGTCGACCGGCTCGAGGGATAAATCCTTAGCCATTTCGGTCATCCCCTTTTCCCCTTTGACGGTCTTCGCTTTCTTCTTTCCCTTAGTTTCTGATTTGATGGTCTTTGTACGCTTTTTTGGTTTCTTGTGGTCTCCAGTTGCATACAAACGGCAAATAGAGTATCCAGGTTGAAAACAGGCTCCTCCCGGAGGTTTGAGAAATGTACTGGGTGTTCTGGGTGTTGATTGAAGGAGCCGCAGCATGGCCAGATGCGCGGTGGGAGATGGCAAAGCTCAACCTTCGCTGCTCGCCTTTTGACCCCTGCCTCGACCTGGTGTAACCAAATCAGACTCTTCAAAATGCCGTTTCGCTGTCAGTTCTGTCTCCTTTTGCTTGTTACGCGTTTAGTTAACTCTACGGGATTGCTGACTTGCTCCTGTAGACCATAAGACAATTCCATTATCCCGCGGTTTCTCTATCTGCACATCAATGGTCGTAGAATTTCTTTTTCTGCGCGCTTGGGGGACCATTTGACCTACCATCGCTGAGAGTTGCAAGTCGTCTCCCTCTGGACGCAACGACTGCGGCTAACAAGCGCATGTATAGCTTAAACTGTGCATACCTTGTACTTTTTGATGGTTCACGAACAGTTCTAGCGAGCTTGTTGGACATGACGTCGAGACATTGTACTCTGCTGTTACCCTTACAACTCTTGAAATCTTACCATGTTCTGATATCTACTGCATTGCTGCATACTTGTCGTCTACTCAGCTACCGCAGGTGGAACACAAACTTGGGCATGCATCGTTTCCGCCCGAAACGCTGGCTACTCGCGGCTGCCCCTATCCTCGCGCTGCTGATACTTGGAGATGAAAAGCCGGCAACTATAAACCCAAACGAACGTGTCCTTCTCGTCACTGCCCACCCGGATGATGAATGTTTCTTTTTCGGACCGACTCTGCTCGGACTGAGCTCGCAAACCGATTCGCTTTTCTCGCTCACGGTATCAAATGGTATGTTCTTCTTTCTTGGTGATAGAGGGTGTCCATGACGTCCCTCGTCCGAAGGCAACAACGACGGCTTAGGACTTAGTCGGGAACCAGAACTGCGCTCGAGCCTTGCCATCCTGGGCGTACCTCCCGAACGAAGCTTTCTTCTCAGTCATCCGCAAGTATGGGCGCCCAGGAGATGAACCCTGACTGACTTGCCGTCTGACAGCCTTTTGCAAGATAACTTTACGCAGGTGTGGGACTCAAATGTCATCATCGAGGCTATATTACCTTACGTGCTGGATCACCGTATCACGACCGTATGTCATCGTCCCCCTCCGCCTCTGCCTCAGTCCTCTTGACCGTCCCCAACTGCACAGATCTTGACTTTCGATCGCCTTGGGATCTCATCTCACCCAAATCACTATTCTTTATTCTATGGAGTCCAGCATCTGCTGGTGTCAGCACCGTTTAGGCGGCATCAGCTTCGCGCATACGCTCTGGTTACGGAGCCACTCCTCATCAAGTATAGTGGGTGGCTTGGATTGCTTTCCAGGTGGATATTCTACCGTCATACTTCCAAGGGAGATGCGACCTCGTTGGGGCTCCCGGCGCGACGGTACACGTCCGGGCTTCCATCGTATCTTATCACGTTTTATGCAATGACCCAACACCGGTCTCAGATGGTCTGGTTTCGGTGGCTCTACCTATTTTTCTCTAGGTATCTTTGGGTCAATGACTGGGTCGAGATCGAGGCTGCCTCGTAGCCGTGCAGCTGGATGCCGAACCAGATTCCCCAACGCGCGCTATTCGGTTAATCAATGTCGAATGAATGATAAGACGTGCCTCTTCAACGTCCACAAGCATGTGTATTTACAGATCGTCAGAATTCCTATCACATGCAGCGTCAGCGGCATTAGAAGTGGCGGACCGCTCAAAGTGACGCCGCACGTTCAAGTCACGTAGTTGCGTACCCCAAGATCTCGAATCAAGGGAGTTACCGAGCCGCCTTCCCGAGATGCGTTGGCCTCGCACCAATAGGGGTTCAAGATATGGGTCGCGTACACTGATGGTGAATCTGCGGGCGCCTGACGACCTCTCAAACGCCCGGATCAGCATTCAAAGCAATTTCTCTTAGCCTTTTTAACTGCATCTCGATCTCACTCGGGACCCGACGGTAAGGGACACAATTACGCGGGAAACTTCCGACCTGTGAGCAGCTGGTACGCTGTCGATGTCGATAGATCCCCGACTTCATCAGACAATATGTCTCACGGAGTAGCCGGATTACCCTCGACGGAACAAGGCCACGGAACGACATGGACATTCGGCTCCAAATGGCAAGCAGGGTCCGAAGTCGACGAGAACACAGAGGTTTTTACCGAGATCCCGTCCAATTGCTCGACCCAATCTCCACCGATCGTTGTTCCCTTGTTTGCTTCTATACCACTATTGCTACCTTCTGTGGTGGGAAGCGTCACGTCTCGTAGTGGCAACAAAAGAGGACAGCACGGCACGAAACTGCCGGTGAGTTCCGCAGATCCAGCTACTTAGCTGGTGGGTGTTCGTCCTGGCCAGCTTGCTCTCTTCCTCACCCCTGCTCAGCTCCTAGGGTCTGCCATCTCGTCACCAAAAAAAATCATGCAACTCCCCACCCTCGTCAACACACGTCTTCGTTCCACCGCGGACGCACACATCATCATGTCCGTACAATTCCAGCCCCAAAATTGTCTCGGAGGTGGATCGCTCACACCTCCTCCGCTAGCCACGCCGCCCGAATGGGACTATTGAGAATGGTCGAGCGCCGTCTCGACGCACAAGAACGAGCAGAAATTCAAGTAGGAAATATCTACGTCTGGGAAGAGAGAGGTGCCCTCGACTTGAGTGGGATGGGCATCGAGCGATGGTGAGGGGAATCGCCCTTTGTGCTTTCCGAAGACGTCGCGACTAAGCCTCGTGCTAGGACCGATGGCCTACGCTGGGGCCCAAGTCGTCTGCGAAATGTGCGGAGTTTTTCCATGCGCGCCTGCCTATAGCTCACTAGACGCCACACCCCTTCAGGACTTTTTGTTCTATCAGCAGCGAGAGGATAACCCGAGAGACAAACAAGTGAATCCGACCATTAAACGGTGAGACTCCCCAGAGGCTGGCTGCTCGCCTCGGTCGAGGATTGATTGACCGACTGACTGATTGATCTACACAATAGGCGTGAGACGGAGCCGCACGACCCTCATTCAGGTCCCTCCGCCGCTGTAGACGAAATGGATCGCTTGGTAAGTACCGAGCCGCGGCGTGTTGGCGACAGCCTAAATGTCTTGTTACAGATCAAGCAAACGTACTCAGTTCATGTCTATGAAAATGGACAGCCGGCTAATCGCCGCATCAAGCTGCACATCACCGCCTACTTCAATCGCCGGTCGGTGGAGAGTCTGAGCACGATTGAACACAATCCTACCCTGCGATCAATTGTCCTCCCACCAGGGTTGTATCGCAGCGCGCGAGTCGGAAAACCCAAGACGAGCGAAACAAACGCAAGCTCGGATGGAAGCTATTCACCAACGGAACGGTCCCCCGTTCTGTCCTCGGAACGAGACGGGTTCGAACGCTTACCTCCTATCGTGACCAATCTTCATTCGCCTACTCTTTCGGACGATTTTATGGACCAGCAGAGCCGGAAGACCGGGGCTGGTTATCACGCAGGACCGTACCCAAAGGCACGCGATGGATCGTACTCTCCCACGATTGCAGATAAGCGTGCATACTGGATGAGCGAGAATCGTCGGGATACTGATGCCAATCCGTACCCTGTCCTGCCCTCACTCAGGACAGCGCTGGCATCCGTCCCCTGGGGTCCAACCCAACGAAATGCCGAGGACGACCTTCAACTGTCTCGGTTGGACATTGCCCGTGCACTGGTGTGAGAAGGATATATACCCGACAAGGTACCGTCGTAATAATATTGTGTTGCCTACGGATGGCTTTGTGCTTGTTGTTCTGGGTTATTATATGTACAGACCAAAAATACTGCAGTGTCTTTGTCTTGAAATACACGCCAGCGTTGTATTCTCCTGAGCGAATGTGGTACCTGTTGATCCTCTTCTCCGCTACAACCGATGTCATCCGCGGGTCAGGCTGTCCTCCCAACCGTAAATCCCAAATCTGCAGATGTCGCGACGTCAACATCAACAACGGCTCGTGCAGCAAAGAGGACAACCAAAGCAGCACAAAAGGTCGCAACAACTCTACGTAAAGGACGTCTGAGCTGACCTATGACAGCTCCAAGTGCTCCCGGATACGCCAGAGCCCCTTACACAATCACAACTCCTAGATGAAACCCGTCGTCAGCTTGTAGACGAAGGCCTGGATGTCGAACAGCCGCAAACGTCGGAGACGTCGCCCGCGGAAGACGAGCTCGAGGTGGCTCCATGCAGTAATCACGAGACCTTTTACTCACGCTCGCGTAGGTCTACCAACAAATTGCGCAAATTCCAGAAGGCACGGCACGCGCCGATGCGCTCAGGCTCACAAAGAATGCAATAAAGAAGCTCCCGCGAGTTACAGCTTATTGTACCGCGAGGTGAGTGTCCACTCTGAGACGACTCAATATGGCACTAATGCCGCTGTTAGCTCCTACAACTTTGACGAAATCGTCAAATTTCTCAAGGCGCGAAAATCCACCTACGAAACCGATCCACGAATTCTTGACGATGCCATTTACACTCCTTATACATACCGTAATGCGCCTCAGCGACCGAAAAGGCCGGGCTCCATTTCCAGGGGCTCGCGTTCTCGCCCATCTTCTCCAGCGATGGGAGACCTTCTAAGGCTCGACGAAGACCCTCGTTCAGACGAAGCGGAATGGAATAGGTCCAACTCTTATGGCAAAGGTCGAATCCGCGAACTACTGACAGACATTGACGATATGAGCGATGTTTTCATCTTCAAGTATGGGACTGTTGTGATTTGGGGTATGACAGAAGATGATGAACAACGCTTCATCTCCTCGATGTGAGCTCGGCTATGTCCCTTTGAGTCACGCGCAGGCTGACTCTTGGCCCCTTAGAAAGCGGTTCGCCGAGGAAAACCTGTGTACGTTGGATTGAGGCAGACACACTCACATGCTCATATACTTGATACAGCATCGGCAGAAATGCAAATGGAGGACTTAAGGTGGTATACGGCGAGTTACAGCCGAATCTATAACGACGTTATTACTCTGCGTAAGGTATGCCGTTCTCAATCTCACGATAATCTTCCCTCATCACTTTCGTCGTCATAGGGCTCCAGTTACATGTACGTCTCGCCCACCATGCGCCCGCTGGCTCGCGCGACTCATTCGGCTGCTCAGGACCAAATTGTCGCTATCGCACGCATTGGCACAGTCTGCAAAGATATCTTTGGTATGTGTTGCATTGTCGGAAGCGGGAGCGCGGTTGCAACACTGCATGTGAGCGAGGCAAGGCACAGACCACAAGCGCTCCCGCACTACGCCGAGCGACTCCGAGATTTGTCTGATTGGGTGCCAGTTTGAGGACCGGATTGCGGCGACCATTGCAGAGACAAAGAACATACCTGACATGATTGCTGAGACAGGTGCCATAACGGTCAGAGAAGCTGCCTTTAGGTTTGGACCCCTCGTATTGACCCGAATACGATCAGATGCCCCACGACGACATCATGAAGCAAATTGGTAAAGTGTTCCTGCTCCGCATGAATGTGAATCACGTTGGTTCCATTCTGGACGCTCCCGTGGGTCCTCCATCAACCGCTTGACGTACACATTCTGATGGATTCGACTTCTAGGAGATCTTTTGGGTTAGTAATTATGCAATAATGGACAGGAACTATTCGGTCGCTGACTTGAGGGCACGGTACCCTACTCCCCACAACGCATGGAACCCCTGACGTCTCTTCTGTCCGCCAATAGAAATTCCCGGACCTCCAGCCCTTGTATGAAGCCGCCAGGGAGTACCTCGAGCTTCCTCAGCGACTCGAGGTCCTCAACAGCCGCGTCGATGTCCTACAAGACATGCTCAAACTGCTCAAGGAATCAGTGACCTCGCGCCATTCGGAGAGGCTGGAACAGATAGTGATTGCCCTCATTGCAGTCGAGATCATACTAGGCCTCATGACCATTGCCGTCGACCTCTTCTCGCCCGCATACGAGCTTCCATCATGAGATCGGTACGCGCTTGGGGTGGTCTGGCTAGAGACGTATCAGCATACACACCGGGACCAAGGGCGCCGTTGCTCATTCGTTGCACGATATCGCTCCTTCCATTTGTAGGATACCTGGGGCTTTCAGCCTGGCTTCTGTAATCTATGCATACGATTGATCGGGTGGACTGGATACATAAACTGTTGATTGTCAAACGATGTGGAGCCAAATCGGGCTCAGTACCATCAGTCAAGCGTAGTTCTCGCGTGTCTAATGCAGTTTAACGTGGACTGCGAAGGCGACGTAACAGCCTAGCGGACATGGGTCCGGATCCATGCTCAACAGTGGTCACGACCAAAGGCGGGGTTTGTAAAGTGAGCTCGGATACAGCAATCGTATAGATCTACATATAATGTGAATTGTGTGACCAGGGAGGCAATTACGGCGGAGTCGGGGGGATTCCATGGCAATGTTCGTCCTGTGTGTATATTACACGTCGCCTTCGCCTAGCCACTGGCCTCCGGAATTTATAATGAGCTTTCTCGCCCACTCCTCCCGGGGGAGAATGTTCCCGTGAGAGGGTGAAGAATTGCACACCGCCGAGTTCTGACCGACATGGTAGTTAACGGAATACCAGTGTCGCGGACTGGGTTCTCCGTTTGAACTAATCTATCAAGGGTCGTCAGTGATCAGAGATCACGCGTGTGGGCCAGCACCCAATGAGTCGTAGCTCCAGAGCGCGATGAGCGGTAAACTCGACGTCGAGCGCTGTAGGCGGGTGGAGAATGAGTCAGGAGCGGTTACTCACTGTATTCTTCCACACTTCCTCTGATACGATGTGGCCCTCTGTCCAGGCCGCGCGTTGCTGCTCTGGGAGCGTGATGAGCACGTAAACGCGCTCTCCAACCTGGTTTCCAGAGCGTCGTGAGTGATTGGAAGACCTCTAAGTCGAGAACTGACCTGGTATCTCGCACTATGGTTAACGAAGATTGAGGTCATGCTGGTCATGGTTGTGGAGCGTCCAACGAGAGAGCGAGGAGATTAAGTATGGCGGGGTCAGAAGCTGTTGTTATTAGTGCTGTGTGGAACAGAATGAAAGTAGGCCAGATGACAGGTTCGATGTGGGCGGGAGGGGATGGCGATAACGCTCATTCTGTGCTAACAGGGCCACAGGACCGAAATGCAGAACTGGGGTGATCGTGGAGGAGACACAGGCGAGCCTTCTTTGATGATGATGGTCATTAGAGGAAAGTGCAAGCCACCCAGATTGTGGAGATGGCGGCGCCAAAGGACCGATGTGTGACAAGACCCAGAAATGTGGTTGCGCAGACTTGCTTCTTTTCGAGACCTTGTCAAGAGCCGACATGTCACAGGACAGCACGTGTTAGAGAATTGAAGCCATTGTAGATGTACATCGAAGTACGGTATCTGTTGGCGTCACCAGCTGGTCGAGCAGCTTCGTGGAAGCCTCCTGACAGGAGTGAGATTGATAAAAGCCGGCGGGCCAGCAGGGTCGAAAGTTACAGTACCTCGTCAGAGTACCTGATAGGAACCCAAGCCTCCGCCTCCTCTGCGGCCAGGGTCCTGAGCATCTCCCTGCGCATGTCGCTGATTCCACTCGCGGAAAGGGTGCCATCCGTTTTTCGGGCGATTAGGTGCACCTCCCTCGCCTCCTTCTTGCTCTTCTTCTCTTCCCTTTCTTCTCCTTCATGCTCAGCGTCGTTCTCATCGTCATCCTCCTCGCCAGCAGGCCTGCGACGGGCCTTCTGAGACAGCACGTCGATGTAGCCAAGATGTGGGCGCAGTTTGTGGGTGGCCGCGACGGGATGGAGGTATAGACGATCTAAACAGTGAGAATAGAGCGGGAAATTCGGCATTGTACCGTCCCGACTGTGGTCACACGGCGAGCGGGAGCCAAGGAGGAAATCGCGACTTACTGCCGCGCAACAGCCCGACCATGTACGTCCCTCTGTGGGGAACCTGTTCGCTTCGGAGCCTCAGTTCGTCCAGACGATGTTCTTCGCGTCCTGCATGCGGTTTTCTTCCATCCTCTTCGTACCTGGCATCGCCGTATTCCAGCCCGCGACGCTGATTCCAGACCTCTTCGCGTGTATCAAAAGGCACGTGTACTTCCAATCTGTCACTCAGGGGCTTGATCCGGGCCGTGATCGCCTTGCCTGCCCGTTTGGCTGATGGCGGCGGGGCGAGTGGTCGGGACGAAAGTGGATACTGATGAAGCTGAAGCCTTGGATCAAAAGTCGTCGAGAGCTGAATAGGGATCACGGATACGATGGGGTCGTCGTCGTCCATCGCCCAAGGAGAAGATCGCGGTCAGGTCCAACTTTGTTCAACACGGTTTGAACCGTCTACAAGCATCCTCGCTGCCTCATGTAGCCTCTGCAGACAAGAAGAGATGTTGACCCGCATTTATCATGATTTCTGACGCCATTCGCCGTGTACTGTCATACCGGTCGCAAGACGAGGCCGCGGAAAGGTCTTGGAGGACAAGATTGGGGCTCTGGACGAGCTAGCGTCCTTATACGCTGCTCGAAGAGGCTTACAGAATCTGTTTGAACAAGCGTGCGACGTAATAGGCCAGATCTATTGTTCCGGGGAAACGACGAAGGGGGACAGCTCCCACCACGTCAAAGTCGAACTCAGGCGTGGAAAGACCCCAAAATCATACAAGTCTGATTATCTCGACTCTAATCACTCCCATCTGGGAACAACCCGCGACTTTTCCAGCCCCGGCTTGAGTCGACAAGTCACAGCGCTCTCAGCCACCAACCCGATGACTCGAAGAATAAGAGTTAGTTGTTTAGAACAGTCCGCGGTCTCGACTAGGAGCTAGCCGATCAAACAGGTGGTGTATGCGCACACAGTATCCGCAGTCATTGCCTTCTAGAGATATAAACCAGAGGGCACCCAGCCTCAGCGATTCAACTCTTGACTTCTACCGCGATGACTATTCTTGAGAAAACAGGACCATCAACTGCCGGGTCTGAATATGAGCCCAGCAAAGATGAATATCCAGCGGAGGCATGTCATAAAAACTTCGAGGTTTGAACAGATGATCTAACGCGATGACAGAAAGCATCCTATCCGCAAGAGGCTGCTGAGCTTCCCAGTTATGCCGACTCCACGCAAGCCTTGACGTCTCGCGCTCCCCCACCCGGCTTTCCTGGAGCCAGCAACTATATCTCGATGCAAAACGGACACAGGAAGATTGATGGAGAATACACTATCGACAGCTCGCTCGACGTTCCCTCTGCTTTACTCCCGCCGCTCCCGGCTGGAACGACCGAACGACCTAACCTGCTGTTGCACACGCGAAATGGAATGATCGAAGCAAATATTGCACTCGTTTCTGGTACCAACCAGCGAGTGAATATCAAACTTGAGACGGCCAACGGTGAAATTGAATTCAGAATGGTATGTTCGCTGATTAATTCGAACCAAAAGATCACTGAAAAGTTGATAGCCTCATCGACTCAACAGTCAGCCTTTCAAACTCAACGCCTCGACGCGCAATGGTGAGATTTGCGTATATCTCCCACGAGACTACGCCGGACCATTGAAATATCAAACAAAGAATGGAAAGATCAAGTTCTCCGATGCGCTGCAGCCCATGACTCGGCAGCTAACTAACGAGGTGTCTTTCGTTGGTGATTGGCAAGCAGCAGGCTTTGTTGACTACGAAAGTTGGAAAGGCGACGAGGTTGAGGTGTACACATCGAACGGAAAGATTACCTTCAAGTACCAGGACGAATTTGGTAGACATCGAGGTGAGGAGAAAACGTTTGGACGAGGTGGCCCATTCGGTTTTGGGTGGCAACATCCCGTGCACCCTATTCATCCACATCATCCTCACCCAGGATTCCCTGGCCTTCCGGGTCGAGGTAATCACTGGGTGGTGGGTCACCCTTCTCGTCCACCATTCCCAATGCTCGGGCGGCCTGGCCTCCCTCCGTTTTCACACATGGACCCTTACCATCAACCTCAAGCAGGCCCTGCGACCGATAACACCAATGATGACTCAACTAATGGCCAAAGCTCGCCAAAGAGAAAGTGGTTTGGGTTCTAATTTCAGCAACCCATAATGCGATTTCACACTGGGAAACCACTTGTGTAATAATGTACCTTGTACTGAAACCTGATTTGTTGTGCAATACGATAAAGGTGAACTACGTCCGTAGTTTCGCTGCGTGCCCAGCTTTACTGAATTGTTTGACCGCAGCCAGGGATAAGATGATGCCGGCTGCGTACATAAGCGCTAGCACCCTCGGCAGATAGATATATTGACCCTCTGGCCGCCCACTACAAGCTCTTGGCCTCGACCACATCCAGACCTATCATGACCATTACCGCCAAAGACGGTCCATCGACCTCGGATTCAAAGGCACCGTTCAACTCGTCTGCAGAGGTTTGTTCTTCTTCAACTCGAATGTCGTGAGAATCCATAGGCAACGTGTCCTGACGGTTGGGCTTGCAGATTGAACAAACAGACGGTTCACCCGCTCAAGCACCCCCAAGCTACGCTGAAACGCTCGGGAATTCGACTTCAGGTCCTGGTACGGGTGCTCCTCCTGCGGGTTTGGCCATACCGGAAGTGCCATTGCCAACACCTCTACCCCGTGCAACGAATTATCATGCAGAGAAGACAAACCGGGAGATCAAGGGTGTATACGTACTCGATACGGCAATGCAGATCCCCCCCGCCATTTTGGCTAACATGTCCTCGGGGTTCTTTGGACTGGGAAAAAAGGAACCAGAGAATTTGAATCTCTACACGAGTTATGGACCCATCGAAGCCGATCTCATCCTCGTCAGTGGCGAGCAGCAGAAAAGAGTTACTGTTTTACTCGAAACTGGAGGCGGAAGGTCGATTTCAAGCTGGTCAGCTTCTTCTCCAATCCAGTTATATATGTTTTGCTAATCATTAGTCGTTGGTAGCTGTCGAGAATCAACGCACAACCCGTCAAAGTGAAAGCAAAGTCTGGCTATGGCAATATGACCGTCTACCTCCCACGCGACTTCAATGGTCCACTAAAATACAAAACTGGGTGGGGCACCGTCACGTTTAGCGAGGGCATGAGACCGTTTGTGCACCAGTTCTCCGGCAATATGGGATATCTTGGCGATTGGAACGTAGCTGGATTCTCGGATTACAAGACCTGGAACGGTGATGAGCTTGAAGTGGTTACCCAGGGCGGAAACATCACGTTCAAGTGGGCCGATGAATTGATGCAACGTGAGGCGGGAAGTCCAGAGGAGAAGTTTCATGAAGCCATCACGTATGCGATGCAGAGCGTCATGAGCTGGTTTGGGGGTCGCAAATAGATTACTGGTAATAATCCCTGTCGACGTGGCTATCTATTGGATGTAATTTAGTGTACACTTCGAATATTCGATGCAAATCTCTCGGAATTGACAGGGTCATGTTGCCTGAGGGCGCAGTCGGCCCTAGATCTGCGGACCGCAGTCTTTACCAGCATACATTCACAAGACGACAAGCGCGGCTATAGGCGACGTAGCTTGGACTCTTCCATATCCACAGCCCACAAAACATCTGTCGAATAACTACAACATGACGCTTATGGCCAAGGATGGTGCGTCTACGTCGGGAGACGACGACTTGAAGTCGCCTCTCTCTTTTCAGCCGGTTGGAGACCCTTTTGCTGCTATAAATTGATATAATAATATATTTTATTACATAGGCACCTCAGAGCGATATCTCAGCGCCCCCACCACCAAGTTACGCAGAAACCCTCACGAGCCCGGCGAGTACATCACAAGCCCACGAAGTGCCCGCAAATCTTGGACCATTGCCCCCTCCATCAAACTATAATGGCCAAAATGCGACTGGACCTATCAAGGGTACTTGGGTAATCGACTCGTCAATGGAGATTCCTGCGGCGTTTTTACAGCCGAGTGGATTCTTGAACAAGAAGAAGGATATGGATAACCTAAACCTCTCAACGTCGTACGGCAGCGTCAAGTCTTCTGTCCTTCTCGTTTCTGGAGAACGAAAGCGCGTGTCGGTTAATCTGTTCTCGCAATTCGGGAACGTCGAATTTAGACTTGTGAGTGAATCTTCTCCATATATACATTACTTAGCGTCTAATTGTTGGTTGGCAGCTCTCACGCGTGAACGACCAGCCCCTCAAACTTACCGCCAAAACGCAAAACGGCAACGTCGTGGTCGTTTTACCGCGCACATTCAGTGGCCCATTGCGATTCAAGACGGGATGGGGAAAAGTAACGTTCTCCAGCACCATGACCGCGCACCAATTCAGTGAGAGCACGGCGTATTTGGGTGATTGGACACGAGCAGGATTCCAAGATTACAAGACATGGGAGGGTGACGAGGTCGATGTATCTACGCAGTACGGGGATATTCGCTTTTTGTGGGTAGATGAGGATACAGGCGAGTCGTCGGATGCTGGAATTGGGAGTATGATTACGGGGTTCTTTGGGGGCCTCAAGGGCATGTTTGGAGGTAAATAACGTCTGTCATGGCTATACTTGTATGTACTCTAGATCTTGAACCTGACCTCGTCCTTGTGATGGCTGTTTATGACCATCTTGTGGCTTGGAATTATGCGAATAAACCCAACTATGGACTGATAAAGGGACACAAGGGACCTGGCTATGCCCCACTGTCCATTTACAGAGGCGGTGTGCACCGGAAATGCGACTTGCTCGGCATCAATGGTTCATTCATCCAACACCGAGGCTAGTAAAAGCTATGGAATGAACACCGTCTCATACGGACGCCAACACTGGTCTAGGATTTGCCGTTTGCCCTTCCCACGAGCCACCTTCTCACGGACTATGCGAACCCTTCTCATATATAAAGCCTCGAATTTTCGGCTTCTTGGCCTTCCCAACCTTTCTTTTTACGACTAATCCTAAGCCTTGCTGGCCAGACGCAGACGATGAGCGCACAAACCCACGCACAAGCACAGGCAGCAGCACAACTCGCAAGTTTGCTCCAACAGCTCGCCATCGCTGCCTCCAATATTACGAAGAGCAGATACACATCGGTTGCAGGCCTGACAGTCGTCCTTTACGATATTCTCCTTCTCTCAGCAGATGGTACGCTCCTTAATATTTTGTACATTATACATGATTGCTGACGAACGAAGAAATCCGATTAGTGTGGCAGAAACCGAAACGCAACGCAAGTCGATACGCATACTTTATCAACCGCTATGTACCGCCCGTATTTCTTCTCGTCGCAAATTACCGTAGGTTTCACCACATCCCATGATTTGAGATAAACTTGACACTGTCGGTAGAACTTGGTGGTTTCAGACCCGCGTTGTCAGACCAAGTGAGTTAATTTTCTCGAGGCGAAATGCACAAACGAAGATTGACCCTGTTCCAACTAGTTGTATGCTTGCATCTCTTCCTAGGAACTTCACGATATTCACATTCTCTTCGTTGCAATAGTTGCAAAAACTGGATATCAGCGGCTTCAATCACTCAAGTCATCACGGGCATTGCGGCTACTTGTCAGTTAAACCACCTGCTCGTCAATTCTGTTGCCATAATGACCATTATAGACATACTTGTGCTTCGTGTTCTAGCTCTCTACGGTTCTGGACGAGTCTTTACGACCCTTCTCTATGCCCTCTTCGCAATCTCTTATGGGGTTTGCTTTGGAATCACAGTCAATGCGGTGATTGTTATACGAGGTGCGTTTTAGTCTCATAGTTGGTGCAAATGCTCATCATGTGTAGCCGGTGCCATGTATGACCATCGACTACGCGTGTGTTCCATAGAATCTACGCCCGAAATATTTCGATTCATCTTCATCGCACCTGTGTTCTTTGAAGTTCTCATTGGCGCACTCACGCTTTGGAAGGCCGTCCAACACGCCTATGTCCTCTCCAACGCGTCTTCGGCTCCCATGCTCTACATCATGTTCCGTGATGGTATCGCATGGTTCATCGCCGTTTGTGGGTTGCGCATATGGAACGCCTTGATATGGGTATTCCTGCCTCAGAGTATGGTCTACCTCGGTGCGCATTATGTTCTCTGAGCATGCAACACTGTGTATACTGACTTGTGAGGCGATTCAGGGATTTATATCCTTTGGGCGCTCGTCTCGACATTTGTATCGCGCTTCTTCCTCAACATTCTCGACGTCGTCAACTCTTCCCTTATCGATGGGTTCTCGGTCGAGTATGCTACTGTTCGCCAAAAGGAACAAAATGCAGCCATCAGGCACCAAAGGACGTTTGGGGGTAATACTCGAAGCGTCTTTGCAGAAGTGTCCATGTCAGCCATGAGCTCTGTGCCTGGAGGCACGGCCGCGGAAGGTGCGTTGCGTATCCAGGTCTTAGCGATCTCTGAAGGTGTCAAGTATTCTGACTGCGTTTAGCTAGTGATCCATTAGAAGGCGAGGCGTGGACTAATGCCAATCATTCGCTCTCGCATTCGGAACCACGGCGGCAGGACACGTTTGTCTAAATCACGCGTGTTCGACCATCTCGACTACATTACTACGATTCTACAGATCCATCATACTTATTCCCATTCCTAGCTGCCGGATCGTCGCTGGATCAACGTGGGCCGGTCTAGCCAGTCTCTACGACGTCTTTATGCTGCGTATTTACGGTGTATTATCGCAAACTCATTGTATAGCATGCATTGCATTTCACATTTCGTCCCTAGGTCTTGCGCCGCCATCTCGATGCTCAGCCCTCCCTTCAATGAGCCTATATCAATGGTTCGATAGTCGAATGCAGAGCCACAACGCCGGTGCGGACCACGCACATATCGGGCGACGAAAGCTCTTCGGGTGATCATGCGCGCCGCATCCATCCTCCCCCTGCTCGCCGCTGTCCATCGTTTGCTCGCCGCTGCTGCCAGCGATTAGATCGTCTCAACGAGCATAGCACCGTGTCTAAAGAGAGAACAAGATCAACAACGTATATATATACGACTACGTGGACGATGACGAAGACTAAGACTTGCAGCGCGTCGACCGCGTGTTTCGCGTCGACAACACACACCGGCCATTTGAGCTTTTATCCATATCCGATCGGCGCTCCACAAACATAACATTCAACGAATCAACAAGGAGAACGTACGAGCGAACCAGAGAGGGGTATATAATACCAACGACCCCCCTGCACGCACCAGCAGGCAATCTCCCCCCAAGAGACCTCGTTTCTTCTTCTTCGACTCACCGGCTTTCCTTCAGCTGGATTTTATTCTTCTTCTGCACTTTGTGTTCTATTTGGGATTTTGAGTAAAGCGTATCATGGCCACGAGCTCCGTCGATTCTGTAAGTTCCACGCCCAGTCTCCTCGAGCGATTTGCGGTGCCGTGAACGTTGGCTGATACGATTTGGTTTGTAGAAGACACTTGTGCTGTCAATGAAGCAACTGTCATCGTCTTCGGAGCCATGGGAGGCCGAGTTGCGGGTATGTCGTTTCCTTTCCTCCCACCAAGCTCCGTATATTGTTGCTGACTCGTGGGATTATAGCATTATATGCGCTCCATCTGCTCGTCGCCATGCGCAGTGACGATGGAGGCTGCAGTCTGTTTCCAAGTGGAGAAGCACAAAGTTGCCATGATCGGACGAGCGCTCAAAGTCATCAACCAACCCATCTCTTCTTCTTCTGCCCTCTCCTCCTCCAGCTCCTCTGCTTCATCGTACCTCGCGGAATCCTCCTTCGACACTCCCCTCCTCTGCGCCTCTGAGGAGGGAGTGATGAACCTCTCACGAAACCAGAGGCGATACCTCCTCCGTAGTGCCGAGCAGTCTATGCGTAAAGCAGAGTCAGCGCTTGCGTATGTTCGCAAGGCGTCCAAGGAGCAAGTAACTCCTGCTGGTCCCTCGCGCGTCGATACTTCAAAACGCGCAAGAGGGGGAGTGAGACACGATCCACACTTCTACGGGTTACTTGAGCGGTGGTATCTCCAGACAGCTGAGGCGGGTGCAGACGTATGTCTTCTATGGTGTAATGTTTGATGATTGCTGATTGTTCGACCCAGTTCGCCATTGCAAAGTGGACCGACCCAGTCGTGCACGCGCTGCTCGAGCCGTCTGAAACTGAGTCTCTTCAATCTCCAATCACACCAACAACAATCACCGCAACCACACCCATCGTATTCCATCGAAAAGAACCTGACCCACAAACGATTCACGAATATGAGGTATGTCCACCTTATCAAGTAGGAAGGAGTAAACTGACCAGAGAATCTAGCTCGCTCGTTCGACCATGCGCTCGCCTCCCATCTTCAGCGACGAGGAGAGTGGGTCTGACAAGGCCGCAAGTGGCGACGAGTTCGCCACCGATGACGAGCATGACATCTCGTTCTAACCGACTCGCGAGACGAGGCAACACATACGGTGACACACGACGTCGTGTGCTTCGCCATTATCTCAAACCCATCGCTCACTGGGTGATGATCAGGGTTCGCGCGTCGCGCGTCGCTGGTCCAGACGCGACGACGTCGACTACAGCCGGCTTATCTATCGCTTATCCAATAAATTGCTGTTGTGCTTTGATGCTCATTCGATATATGACCGGTCTTCTATGCCACATGCCGCACATGCTGTATGCCCACTCTTGAATGCGAGCCAAAGATTTATACTTGACGCGTTGCTCTTGCTCAGCCTCGAGTGATTTAGAAGCAATCTGAATTGTGTGAAAGGCCAAGAACCTGCCACAGCTTGAAGGACAAAATACAGGAAAGATAAATCAAAACAAGGGGTTAGTAAGGCGCCGTCTAGCAACAATAAGGCATGAAAGATGGAGTAACTGACGGCAGTCTTCCGGACAATACCAAATGGTCAAGATTTGGAATGGTAGGCATGCCCCCTCATTCATCTAAACTACTCGCATTGCCACCGGGCAGAGGATCTGATTCCCCGCTCTGTGCAGTCACCGACTCGGTCGATTTCCGGGTCATTCTTATAATTTATTCATCGAACAGCACTGACCTCTAGTGCAGAGTAAGTAGCGTAATCATCGTACCAGTAGACATGGATTCGATATACGGGGTCACTAGAATTACAATCAAGATCTACTCATGGTTTTCTCAAGATATTCGATGTCGCGGCAACTGTCAACATGTAAGCATCTAGAACAGAACGGAGAAACTGTGCGCACCTAGAAAGCCTCCCAGTTGACGTCTGCGTAGTCGTAGTCCCAGTCTGCAACGCCAAAGTCGTCATTCTCGTCTTCCGAAAACTCTTCTTTGTCGTTGTAGTGGTTTCGATGTGGTCTTGTCTGATAATTCGGTCCTTGTTTGCCTTTACGACGTCGAGACTAGCCTTGTTGCTCGAAGATGCTTGATCTTGGTTTGCCGAGGCCTGCTGTCCATTTTTTCGACGAGAAGTTGATACAATGGGCCTTCCTGCCGAGGATCCAGACCCAGACAGGGTGAGAATTTGGTAGCTCCTCCACTTGCTCTCCGCCTCCCCAGCCAACCTCGACTCCATGAGCATGACGAAGGTCACGACGACCGATTCCGTTCTGATCGTGCGCGTCGTTCATCATGATCGCAAGCTGCCAGCCATCGTCATCTTCCGCTTCGCCCCAGTTAATGAGCCCAATACTTCCATGTACCCGCGTCATGTGCTCATACACACTCTCCTTATCCACTTCCTCAAACGTCTTGCCGCATGTCCAACAGATATGAACACCACAGCGCGAACACCGAACATGTGCGCACCCGCCATCTTTGAGGAGCCCCATGCGGCATTTAGGACACGTTCTTCCACCAAAGCTCTGCACGAGCTTTTCCGCCTGCTGCGCTTCCTCCTCGAGCACACGCTGCTGCTGCTTTTTATATTGAGCACACGATTGTCCATCATGTCCACCTTGAGCAAAGCAAATTGGACAAAGTTTGACTAGGCAGCTAGGACAATGCTGGGCGAGTGTCGACGTCCACGCGCTGTTGGGATGAACAGCATTGGCAGCAGGGGCCTTGGCGGGATCGGCGAGTATGCGAAAGATTTCAGGACAGTCGCTAGTAGGACAGTGTCGAAATTCGTCGGGTCTGGAGTTGGTGTATGACTCAAAGCTGCGGTTCATCGCCATTTCGAATTGCTCAGGGGTGAGCAAGCGTCGGACAACCTCCAGTGGAATCGACTTGTCACAAGACTTTTTCAAGGACTGGGTGTCTTGCGTTGGAGCGGTGCTGACGGGAGCGACCTCATTGCGCACTCCTGGCTGCCGACGACCGTGGCGACCTTTCCGTTTGCCCTGCGGCATAACCTGTGGGTGTTGAGGCACTCGATTCGACTCTTCTCGGCTCAACCACGACTGCGCCAAAGCACCGTAAGGGGAACGACACACCAGAACCAGGCTGCGTCGTGCATACGAGGTACCGTTTAAGACACGATTCGCAATAAGTGTGCTCACATTCTAGTCCTTCTACCGGGCACATTGCACGCTCCAAACAAACCGGACATCTAATCGTCTCCTCCGCTTCGTTGCGTGCACCATCATCACCACGGAGAAACAGGTCCAGCAACGCGTTTGGCCTTGGAGCACGTTTTTGCACCTCTTTGAGCGCGATCACAGCCCCGGTACCAGCAACGGAGATCTTACACGCCGCCGCATCCAACCAGACATTCGATTGCCCAAATGCCGGCGCGAGTTGATTGTCTGCAGCGTGTGCATAGTACTTTAGGAGAGAACGATCAAATTCGATCGTCATCAACCGCCGCTTCACTTCACCAAGCCGTTTGACAATGCGTTCAATGGCCGTCTTACGTCGAGCAGCCGATGGTCCAAAGACGCGCAGTCGTTTGCGGCTCGACTCAACGAGGACTTGAGTTTGTGGCGGAAGAAGCGCAGTGTCCACGATCTTGTCAAGATTGTACAAAAAGTCGAGTTCGTCGTCCCACAGTGGCTGGCTTTGGGCAGAGTTGGCACCAGGCAACATGATGATCTCTCCCACGAGAATTGCATCAATCATGGGTTTGAATGGTCTGAGATTGGCAACGCCACTTATTCGGACGTAGCGATATGCTTGCTGACCCTGAGGGATGGTAATCTGCAGTCGGAGATGTGCGGCAGCAAGCCGTGTGCGAAGCTCGTCAATCTGCGGGGCGAGGATGGCGAGTCGCTCGAATGTCATGACATACAATAGATCCTGCGATAGAACAGAGAAGAGTTTTGTGGAGCTGCGCCATGGCAGGTCGGCGATTGCCCTTTGAAACTGGGTATAAAAGTTGGAAGCAGCGACAGAGAATGGAAATACGCGATTATGGCCACACTCCCGCCTCGAACCTCTAGAGGCGCCTCTGGTGTGCTTGCGGCACTACGTTCCCGACTTTGCATCGTCGTACATGGGAGTGTCTCGCGTATATCGTGATATCTTAAACCACATTTGTGAGTTGGGCCTCCGACATTGGATGCCGACCCGGCGAGTGCACGGCTTTGTTCTTCTTCCGCCCTCGCTCGTTCCTGCTCCTCGCGAAAGAGCTGGCGTATAAACTCCATCGCCTGACCGTGGTCATAATGATCATCGAACAGTGTAACCTCGCCGTCTGGTTGATGCCGTTTCTCCAGTTCCTTTAACTCTTCTTCAAAGATCCTGCGCTCATCGTGGGATCCTGGATCGGACAAAGTCCCCTGTTCGTCGGTTTGCGACCGTTTGGTGCCTTTGAGAACATGGCAATGTCTAACACCCTCGACGAGGACAATATTCTTCGAGCGACCAAGAAAGCGTGCAAACAGACGTCTGCCAAAGAATGGGCGGTTGTTGATAATCTCCACCTCTCGACGTGCGACTCGGGGATCCCGATAGTAGAGTCGAAGCTTGGGCACCGGGATATCCACTTAATGCGCACCGTATCCGAGACCATATTCGACGACGGCTGGTCTGGAACAAGGGGGGTCGAAAATGTTGCAGAAAATGTAGACGGCAATACTATACTTCGCAGAGTTGCGTCGATGGCTCTCTCAGGGAGTGTGAGCCGTCCACCGGCGTTGAGAGTTCGAAGCGCGCAGAGAGCTTCAGCATGATGCGCGTATTGCACATTTGCCACCAGCTCAGCTTTGCAGTTTGCATCGACCTTTTTGGGTGTCGTGGGGTCGATCTCGGTAGCCACTGTGCAAGAGACGATATTGACCTCTGAAGATCGAACACTGCTAACTTTTTCCTCTCGCGTACCATTAGCTATTATGTACTGCTCGTCGGTTCCCTCTACAGAGTGAGGAAGATTTGTAGGACGCGCGGAACCGGTGGCTGTCGACGATCGCTGCGTTAATCTAGTCACTGTCCGACGATCTTCATTGACCATCTTGACACTATTGCCGACGCCGACACCTCGGCTGGGGCCGACCGCGTCATGGGTCTGTGCCTTGCCCTGGCGAACGTTGCCATTGGTCCGTGTATGGGTGCGCATCTCGCTGGCCTCATCTCGCCCGTTTACGCGCTCGGCGGAGGCGTTGGACGCATTTGAAGGCATTAATAGAGGTGGAACGACAGTAAACACAGACTGCCGTCCGCTGTACCTAGCGTTGGCGCCACCGGCCTCTCGCAATAAGGGCTTTGGAGTTCCATCAGCACGAGGAGCTTTGCCTATCGATGAGATATTGTCATCAGAGCTCCGACGGGACTCGCCCACGCGGCGAAACTCGAGATTCGTCACGATTCCAAAAGACTCGAAAATTTCTCGCATCATTCGCTTCGTGCGTGCAGCATAATCCACCTGGATACCAGGTTGCTGATAGGGCTGCGGTGTTGGACGTGCTTCTCCCAGACCTCGTCTCTTCGAATGAAAACGCAACTCCTGAAAACTTTGAGATTAGCTCATTATAAACATGAAGTCGTCGACTCACGTCTCTTTCCTGGGTTTTCACCGTTTGATTGATGTTGTTTCCAGAAGTCATGACGAGGTCTATAGGAATGCCGGTGACTGTGAGATATGCTGGCTCAAATGGTGTCGTGATCAACTGTACTTCGAGTCCGCTGCAGAAACGAGCACGTATATTGCGATTCGGGATGGATTGGTCGACGAAGTCATCTGGCTTGAGAGCAGCGGTTGGCTGACTCACTTCAGAGGATGAAGCTGTATCGTGCTGTACTTGCGAGGGCGCTTTACGGTGCGCCGAGGATGATGGCTGAATGTCCCGAGTGCCGGGTTCTTGATTGCGTTGAACTTGACAAGATGCACTCGAGACGCCGGATGAAGAAGATACTGCAGAGGAACCAGGGTGCACGTTTCCGTGGTGAGAACCCGTGGCAGGGACAGGTGTACAAGAAAGATTACGGGAGGGATGGCGCTGCTCTCTTCGACGGAGGACATCCACCTCACGGGCGAGTTGTTCAATCTTTTGAGCAATTGAAACATCTTTAGATTGAGATTGCACGCTCGAGTTGGATGTTGTCCGCGAAAATGACAGGACAGGGGACGTTTGAGCAGTGGAGCCGCTTTCAGTTGTCAAGTCATCAGAGAGAGGGGGAGAAGGTGTCTCCACGGGATTGCCCAAGGATAAGGCGCCAACGCTGATGTCTATACGCGCTGGAGTCACGCGCTTGTCGGTCAAGCCGCTATGGAGAGGCGGCAGATGGCGGCGCGTAGCATCTTCAGACCCTGTTCTACCCGCCGCTTCTTGAGAATTTGTTGGAACCGACGCCTTGGACAGTAGGGCAGAGGGTCTCCTTGAAGTAGACGTCGACGGGATGACGCCCAGGTGTCGCAAGATGTTTCTTTTTGGAACGGTCAGAGTTGCAGCAGGCTATCGATATCAAAAAGAGTTGAAAAGCTTTCCCGCTCTGGGAAGAAAGGGTACGTACGAGTGACATGGGAGGTCCAGTCAGCCGCGAGTCTGAACAGACGACGGGACTGAGCGAATGTACTTTGGAGGAGGGCAGATTCGCCTACGACACAACATTGATCAGGATCAGTCAAAGTCGTGGCCAAAATCGGGAGACGTACGTGTCCATGCGGTGGACTGGCCATGGTAGATGGAGTCAAAACGTCTGATAGGAGTGGTTGGGTCTGAGATGCACCCAGTCAGACTCTGTCAGGGTACTGGCTGACGAGCGAGGAGGATGCGCGACTGACCTGGACACTCTGAAGAATATGTGGGATGAGATTATCTCCTTCAAACTTTTGGAGCATCTGTACACCAATCAGATGACATGATAAACAACCCGTCAGTCTCCCGTCGTGCTTCAGCGCGAAATGAAGGCCCTCTTGCAATTTCACTCACCGCGTCGTTTGTGATACCGAAATTCGATTCTACATGTAGTCTGTCATCGACAGCATGTTCTTTCAACGTCGAGGGTGCGCTCTTTGGCACAGCCTGGGGTGCCAGACCCGCAGACGAGCTCGATGACCTTGGGGGTCGTCGATAGCGTCGTTGAGCAGTCCCCGTTGAAGCCATTGCCCCGTATCGCAAGATTCTGGGTCGTCCTCGTCGCTGTCACTGTCGTCGGTCGTGTTCAAGTCCAATATCGGGTAGATGCCCACCTAGCATCCCAAACTAATCAGTCTCATTTCCCACGCGATTAGAATCTCATTCTACGCTACTTCATACTACCTACAGCGAAGACGAGAACGATGGAGCTGCCAGGAACCCAATGCATTAGACACGAACGAAACCATTGCGAGACAGACACGACGGTGGGTACAAGAAGGAACAAGAGGCCAAGGGACGAGATTGCAGAGGTACTGGCAGCGAGAGGGAGATATAAAAATGGAATTTGAGGGGTTTGAGCCTCCGAACGCCGGGGAGGGGAGGATGCTAATGCCAGTGGCGATGATGCAAGGATGCTGGTGATTGTGGGTAAAGATGGAGGTCTACGATCTAGAGGTTGAGTAATGATGATACAACTAGTGGATGGAGTGAGGCTGAAATATAATGATAAAAAATGGATGCGGGGAGCAAGCACTCCGTCAATATTACCTCCAGACGTCGTTGCTTGCAGAGGTAGAGACCATACAGTTCAGCGATTGAGAAAGCTCCAATCAGTGGGATCGTATGTGGCTAGATATTGCTTCAGTGGATCCGCGTCAGGTCGGTTATCATCATACTCCGAGACCGAAGCTGGAGTCAACGCGCTCGACGCAGGTGATGGCCCAGAGTTATCGTAGCTCAGTGCTGGAGTAGGAGCATCCGAGACAGAGGCAAACGGCGAAGCAGCTTGATAAGTCGGGTCGTATAAAGCCCATCGCGACATTTCATCTCTACCGGACCCAGCGGCAGTGATCGACACCGGCTGCTGAAGAATATGTTCAACCAGGGATCGGAAATCATCCGTCGACTGTGTATGCACGTCCGGAACCGCCATCTCTGCCATCGTCCGCTCATCAGGAAATGCGTCAATGGTTGCGTAGGCAAAGGGTGCTTTCGTTTCGTGCAGCGAGGTAGCTGGTGTAACACTAGCTGGTGGCTGCAACTCGATTTCCGATAAGCGACTACCCTTTTGGCCTTGACCAACTGCGGAGTGCGGCTCCAAGGGAAGGACGGGATCTCGCGAACCACTTCGTCGTGCCTTTTTAAGCGGTGCTGGAGCATCTTCCATGCGACGAGACTGGGGTTTGACTGGCATTTCCATGTGCCTTTTGTACGTATTGCGACTTTGATGCCTGAAGTCTTGATCTTGGCGGGTGGTGGGCGGATTGATTTGATTGATGAGATGGAGTTGAGGGGTCGAATGTTGCAATCTATCTTGCTCTACATGCTGCGAGTCTCGCTTGCGCTTACGAGTGGCAGCATAAGTTAGATTTGAACGAATGAATGGATCCTTGGTATTATGAACACCAGGAAGACGATTTGCACTTGAAAAGTCTTGAAGTGTCTTGGCAACTTTTGGAGGCTGCAGATCGCTAGATAATGGAGCATTTGAGGGGAGTGAGCGTTGCTCAAACGAGCGTTCGGAGTTGATGGTGCTGATTATGTAAGATGTTCTTGTAGGGAGGGGCTTGCTGGTTGGTCCGTCCTGAGATGTCGCAGCCGAATGGAAAAGTTGAGCCATAGACGGCAAGACGATGTCTTGAGTAGGTGGCGAATCGGAAAGCGCAGTTGGAGGCTTTGAGATGCGCGATGGAGGGACATCGGTTGGCGGCGAAGACACGTCGCATCTGCGGCGCTTTGTAGGCGGGTAGGTATCGGGTAATCTTAATGAAGGGATTAGATTATGTTAGGCAAAACAAGCTAAACGTACTGTTGCGAACAATCATAGGCCTCCGCTGAATCCAAGTCTTTGCGTCGTCGCTTCTTTCGAGGCCGCTGGATTTCCTGTTTGACGGTAGGATAGTATGGTGACATTGGTAGTACTTCAGCGGGTTGTATATTGCTGCCTTGTCCATCCGTAAAGATGTCGTCTGCGTCAAAGTCGAGGTCAGAGAGATAGACACTCTCGGTACCTGAATCAATGTCATCATCATCTAGACTGGTAATGTCGACCTCTTTGAACATTCGTTCGACATCAGCCCACCAAACCGGGGTAGCCATCATGTCCAGTTCGCGCAGGTACGTTCGCATGGCCACGAAATCGCGCGTCATCTCAGCCGAAAACATTCTTTTCGAGAATGCGACATTATCATCGACCTCGCGCAGTACATTAAGGCAAAGCTGCTGCATGAAAGCTAGTTTGCCGTGTGCGTACTTGTCGAGGAGTCGGGTCCAACCGCTGCTATCGCGGATTGACTCTAGCCAGCAGATCAAGTCCTCGGAGGAAATTTTGGCGCCTTGGAGCAGCATTTGGAGCTTTTGGCCGGTCGGAGGAAAAGGAGCAGAAACGTGGTCCAAAAGCCACTGACCAAGGAGGTCCCAATCTGGCTCTACATCGCTCTCATTGTCCGTGTCGTCGGTTCCGATATCCTGTTCTGGCCCTTCATCGCCGGACGAGTCGTCTTGATCGTTTGCTGGGAGCTGACGCCATGTAGCAACAGAGCGTGGTCGAGAGTCATGAGACGAAAGGTATTTGAGCGTGTCTAACGATGGATTGTCGTCGACTATAGTTTCGTCGCTAGACGGCGTCGAGTCTGTCAGCTCTGACTTTGCTCGGATTCCTTGAGACGACGAGGGCTGAGTGAGCGTTGAGGATGGTTGATTTTTGACGTGGTTGGACTGGTGTGCTGCTGCTGCGAGGACAGAGGCCGACGCTTGTTCCAACCTGTGAAAACCTTTGGCCATGACGGAGATATGGTGGGCGACCTGGGCAGCCAGCTGCTTCGTCTCGTGCGATACGAGGTCATTGGAGACGGCCGTGACAATCTTGTGCTTGAGCTGGTTCCATTCGACGACAAACTGGCCGACACGCTCTGCCCGCTTTCCTCCGTCGTCGTCGCCGTCGTTGTAGGCGAGTGCATCGAGCAGACGGCGCTCGACGCTGGCCAGCTCTGATTTTAGCGCATTATCGTCTGGCGAGCCCATCAAGGGGTCTCGCTGTCGCCGCCAGAGGCCAACCGAGCTCAGGACAAAGACATGGGCACTGGGCGCAAACGACTGTGTCTCTGACCATGAAGGCGCCTGCCCGCCTCGAGTCGCTCTCGGCCATTTTGACGGCCGCAAACGACTTTTTATCCACGCTTGAATTCTTCAACACCGAAGACGCACCACCCTCTGTCGCCATCCCCGACGAGGAGCAGCCATTGCGGCCCTTTGACCTCGAGCTGCCCCCAGCGCCCGACCCAGCGGCCAGTTTTCGCGAATTCGGTCTTGAGGAGGACACGATCGCACAAATATGCGAGCAATATCACCATCGCGCCGCCGAAATTGCCCAAAACGTCCGCGTCGAGTTCCGGGTTGCAGAGACCATCGCACGGACACCAGCCATCCAAGCTAGACTTGCAGATGTCTACCTGGGCTCCTACTTTCGTCTCGTAGGCGACTTTTATGAACAACTCATCGACGCAACTTTGGATACCCTCGCACTCCGCAAATGGGAAAAGGCATGTTGCCTCGCGCCTGCCTTTTTACTCCCGCTCAATATTAATACTTTATACAGAAACTAGAACGTAAGCTACGCAAACGAAGACAAGCGGCCAACGCGCCGCCCAGTCCGCCCTCCCCCAGCCCGCCCTCCCCCAGCCGACGCGAGCCACTCCCTGCCGCCACGACTTTACCGTCGGCTTCATCATCTCAACGATCATCCTCTTCCTCTTCACGAGCCGAGTCGTCTGGTGCCGCATCAGCCTCAACGCGGCGAAATTCCTCAGAAGCGACCAGCAACGATGAGAGTGAAGGCTCTTCGAACCGAAGCTCCTTTGACAAAGTATGACCACATGAGTCCTCAACTGTTATCTAACCCTTCCCTCAGACCGTCATCGCGTTGCTTGAATACGTCTTCAACCGCCAGAACGGTTATCCATCCGTTGGAGAGAAGAAGCGCATTCAGCAAGAAACGGGCCTTACCTATCGACAAGTCGCCGTTTGGGTCAGTGTCTCCATTCCAATCCTTGGGCAATCGTACTCATCTGCTCTAGTTTCAAAACCGACGTGCACGAGAAAAGAAGAAAAAAGCGGAAGGCCGAGTACCTGTTCCGGTCGACGCTGAAGCCGCCATTGCGCAGATTGAGGATGAACAGGCTCACGAGGCTGTCGTCAGCGCACCAGACCCTACCCCTGTCAAGCGGCAACGCATCCACTTCGTGCAGACTGTCTACCGGACCGAGGAATGGGAAGTCGAGGATATCCTCACCGACGAGGATTGGGCCCCATGTTTACGTGAAGTTGAGGAGGAACAGATACGGGAAATGATCAGGAATGTGAGTTGTTTCCAACACGCTATCGCTTTCAGAAGACTCATTTGCAAAGAACGAGCTCCCTGGCCTGGATTCGGCAGAGCCTCCAGCTAGCAGCTGGCCCGCTCCGTTTGTCACGCCGCGGTACGAGTGGCCTACCTTTCCACCCCCAGAGTGGCCCCGGACACCTAAAGAGGCACTATCTGAACCAGAGCTCCCAGCGGTGACGTCGGAAGATGTCGACGAACTGACTGATATGTTTGCCAAATTCTCTCCAGACATCATTAAGACGTTCAAGTACAAGCGGCGACACCACATCGTGATCACGCTTCCGGATGACCCAGAAATGGCAAGAAAGGTGAAGCGGAAAATAGCGAGCATAGCGACCCCAGTGCAGAGCGACGGCCCGATACCCATGTGGGTTGCCAAACGGTCGGTCAGCCTGCTTGCCGAGCTCGAAGCCGACCTGCAAGTGTCCAAGATTCACGCAGAGACGCCTCCAGCGGTCTCAGAGGCTCCTCAAGAGCCCGCGCCTCTTGTCATTCCAACATGGGGCGATTTGCAAGCACAAATCTCAGCTACGCAACAAGAGCGTCAGGTACCGGCCATTGTGGTTACACCTCCAACATCGCGAGCACCTCAAGCACAAGTCTTTTCCGACGAGCCCTCATCGGACGAACAGTCCTCTTCTCCCAATACGCCTCGGGATGAGGATGCAGACTTGCCTGATCATCCTGCCCTCCAAGACTCGGAGTCTATGCCAGCCTCGGACACCATTGAAGATCCTATGAAAATCCTTCCCTTTATCGGCGACATCACGGCGATCCTATGGCCCAAGAGCGGACAACATCCTGCAGCCAGCTATCATCCGCATATCCTCACCAAGGAGACTAGACAGGTGCCGATTGAACTGGACGACAATCTGATGAATGAAGCACTACAGCGAACGCTACGAGAATGTGGTATAGAGCCGGTGACAGATCCAGTTATGGAGGATGAGAGGCCCTTGGTTTACACCAGGGGATTGAGTCTCGTTCCCAAAGTGGCCGCCCCGGTGCTCGCAGAGATTGACAGGCTCGCGGGTGATAACAATGAACCCTTGATTCCCTTGGAAGCGCATATGGCACAAGAAGGCTACAATGATCTCGTGGATCCCTATCGCATCCTGGTGGATGACGGCCCCGAGCCACTTCCGCCCGCCGCATATGAGCCGACTCGGCGTCGTCGTAAACCCCGAAAGGAGAAGCCCACGGAGATTGCTGACATTGGTGGCATACCCATCTCGGATCTATTTGACCCACAGGGTATGCCACTACCTCTCGCGCTCCTGGAGGCTGCTCCCTATACGACTCCGATGGCCCAGGCGATTTACGATTATTGCATCCCACGAGTCCCAGAGCCACCTCGCAAGATTTTCAACCCTGTCGTCTTTTGCAACCCGCACTTCCCAGTCCACGAGCCCTCTTACCACTATCCTTTCCACCCAATGGATCCTCCCGCTTTTCCTGAACCTCTTGAGGCGCCGCGAATGGAGCCAGCAATACTTGTCGAGCCTATACCGATTGTGCCAGCAATTCCTGTCGAGTCAGCCGAACCAGCAATACCAGCTATACTCGCCGACCCACCACTGGTAGAACCAGCACCCGCCGAACCAGAGCCATTAGTACCACCTGCAGAAGTAACGCCAGAACCAGAACCAGCACCCTTGCCAGAGCCTGAACCAGAATTGGACCTAGAACCCGTCGACGATTGGACCTTTTTACAGCGTGTCATCTCGTGGGCCTGCAAGCGAATTGTTGCAACGACCACTTGGGACGTTTCCAGTACCGACCCACTCTCGATGCTCCAATATCTTGCCTGATTTCCTTTTGATCTTTTCTCTTATCGCATTTGAGCCATCATCGAAGCAGTGACTTGATTGTCATAGGCTTCGATACCTCGCTCGTGCGATGCCCTTTTATCATCCTCCATCCTCGTGACGGTTCGTAGCCCAAACGGTTTACATTTTGGTTCAGCTCCTTCTTGCCTCTTGCTCAGACTGCCTTCTCGTCTCTGGTTTCTTTCTAGGCCTGACTAACCTCGTTGTCTTTTAGTGTATCTCTACCATCCCTTCCTCTTATTGATATCTAACCCTTGTATAGCAGTAGACGGAACACAATGTAATCGTAGTAGAATCAATGATCACGATCATCTTGGCACATTGAAATGAGATGCGATTCTGAACATGTTTTGGTGGTATACGCAGCTTAGCTCTTTTCCTCTCCGCTCGGGATACAAAAAATCAGCAGCGGCGTCTCCTGAAGCAACTCTTATAGAGTGGAGACCACGAAACTCTATACACGTGCAGTCGAGTTTAAAATGTACGCCCACCTGCGGACACGCGCGAGTCAAACGAGTGAATATGACAGCTAACCACGTCTCACTCGTGTAAACAGGGCTCTATTATCTTCTCCACTGCAAATAATAACAAGTACTCCTCCGACGACCAAGGCGTTTGTCGGTCTGACGCTCGGGTTTTCGCTCGCGAATACGTATCTTCGGTACAGCTCTGATGCACATAGCGGCCCGATATCGTACATGACCCTCCTTCCTGGGGAGAGCTTTCTCTTCCCGTGGACGTTTCTTACTGCCGGATTCGTCGAGCCATACTTTCTAGGGGTGAGCGTCCATCTAACCCTTGCGAGGATGCGGATATTGACGATCGATGATAGCTATTAATAGCTCTATTGACGCTTGCACCTTCCTTTCGGTACCTAGAACGTCTGTGGGGGTCATTCGAGACTGCGAAATTCATTGGAATCGTGATTACGGTCTCCAATTTTGTCGCGTTTATCCTGAGTTGGATAGAGTACCTGGTACTCGGATCAGAAAACTTTTTGTCAGTCATTCTCCCTTTGCGGTGACTAGGGGCTTATTTGGGACACAGATACAAAATGGACTACTACGGCCTGACAGCGCTGCAGACTGGCGTCCTGGTCGCCTTTACCCAGCTTATACCAGAGCATCAAGTCCAGTTCTTTGGCTCGCTGCGTATCCGCGTCAAGCGACTACCAATGATCTACGTGACGATTTCCAACGTCCTCTGCATCATCGGCTACCAATCCCCCTGGATATTGATCCAATTCGGTTGGTTATCTTCTTGGGCCTATTTACGCTTTTATAAGCGTACGACCGACGCACTCTCGGGCATTGATACTTATGGTGATCGTTCGGAGACGTTTGCATTTATCCACTGGTTCCCGCCATTTGTTCAGTATGTAGAGATTCTCTTATATTGCAGCATCTTCTGACTCCTGTTCAGTAAACCACTTTCGATAGCGTCGACGTTTACCCACAATCTTGCCGTCAAATTCAAAATCATCCGGCCTTTTGCTCCATCAGCAGACGATTTGGAAACTGGAGTATATTCGTCTCTCTCCAACGCACAACCTGGAGGCGCTCGAGCCGAAGCGGAGCGACGGAGGTGTGTTTTACTTTGGTATTCTTTGACGATATCTTATGGGTTTGCAGGGCCCTCGCATTAAAGGCTCTCGATTCTCGACTAGCAAACGCGACCAACAATCGACCCGGCACACCGTCAAAGGGGTTGCCTGCCGCGTCTGCGTCTGCGACAACCGGGCCAACGGCCTCTTCGTCTGCACCTGCGGCAAACGGTGCGGCCTCGACTCGAAAATCTGTCGATCAGGGTAAAGGGAAGAACAAAGTATCTCAAGATCCATCTTAATTGATGGCTTTCGAACTGGATGGTCGATTGCTATATATTTATCTCCCCTCTTCGGTGGTAGATGCCTGCTAAGGCCTCTCATCGTGTAATTTAGGCTCAATCTGATTGGATTCTTCGCTACAATGCATTCTCGGCTTTGGCTAGTTCGAGGATGGACCGTCCAGCATCTAATCGCGGTCAGTCACAACCTTGTAACTGACAATGACATACCTGTAGCACAGGTCTCAAACGAACGATAGGTGATTCCGAGTATCTCCTTTGAGCGCGAGTTGTTGTGCGTATAAATCTCCTCGGGCTTGAGATGGAAACCTCGGCCAGGAGTTCCTTCTGGGACTTTATCTCTCACTTCAGGAAAGTGCTAGACCGAATCAACAAGAGAGTACGCAAGGGAGACAAAGGGACCAACCTTTCGGAAGATGTCTGCAATGTCCTGGTTTGAGTACCATTCGTCAGCTACGATGAAGAACCTCTTGCCACCGGCAGCTGGCTTTTCATATGCTGCCAAATGTGCAGCGGCGACATCTCTTACATCCACCCACAAGGGCGAGCTCGACGTCGGAATCTCCTTCATCTGGCCGCTGAGAAACTTCCAGAACCGCTGGCTAGACTCGTTTAGTGCAGACAACCTTTGGGTGTTGATAATGGGACCGTAGACCATGGGAGGGTTGAGAGTGACGAGATCAAACGAGGGCTTTTTATCGGCAACAAAATTCCAGGCGGCTCGTTCAGCGAATGTCTTTGATGCTCTATAGGTAACGATACCGCCAGAGAGAGCTTGCTGATCCGTTATAGGATTCCAATCTGTTGGACAAGATTCGGCTATTAGGGGAAAGGTAACAGGCATCTAGAACGCACCGTCCTCGTTGTATTCATGGCCTGGCCAGTTTCCTTTCGACTCGTTGATCATGGCAGCAAAGCTGCTGGTGATGATGACCCGTTTGACCCGCGGGGCAAACTTTGCCACTGCATGCAGCAGATTGAGTGTTCCTTCGACGGCGGGGCGCAAAAGGAGCTGGGGGTCTGTCACGTCTGTGAAGAAAGGGCTGGCTGTGTGAACAACGGCATCCAGAGAGTCATCCCGGAGTGCTTCGTCATATGCACCCTTTGCGGCAATGTCTGGCCAAATCGAGCAATGTGAGATGATTGTAGACGGGTACCTTTATCGGGTAGAACTCACCAGGGACGATTGCAGCTTCGAGCAGCGACGTGAACTCGGGGTTGTTGGCCACGATCTGCTGCGCCTTGTCGTCGGAGCGCACAGTAAAGCGACAGTGTGACCGGCTTTGAGGTACGCGCGTAGGACAGTTGCTGCAATGAATCCTGAGGCACCCGTCAACAGAACTTTACCCATGTGGTATCAGTCCAAACGACGTCAATTCAGTCTCTACCTGCACCCGGCTTCGTCTGAATTCCCATACGACTCGAAGATTCGGAGGATTATTGTCAGCAAACTATCAAGTTGCATCATCGGGCCATCTCGGGCGGCGAAGATCGGCGAAGAGAGGGCAAGATAGCCCCTTATCCTCTGCTTTCACACACTAAATACCGCAATTCTCCATCTTGTAGTCCCTCAAGGGTCTTACCCCGCAAATATCGGGGCATCTCACGTGGTTTTGCCCCTTTACAGCAAATGAGCGTCCTTTATACACAGTACCAGGCTAATGTGGCCGCCATTAGAAGAGGTATTGTCGATCCGGTCGACCAGCTTTTACAGATAACAGTCACAGTGTCTATCCGTACGAGCTTGGAAGATTTGAACAACTGTCCGGAATAGGTAACTAGTTCTACCGAGCCCACTTCGAACCATGCCGCTCGACCAATCGTCATTAGTAAAGCTGCATCAAAGCACACGCCTTAGCCAGAAATCGTCTCCTAGACTTTGATTGAGCCACTCACGGGGCTCCGCCGCTTCTCCATGCGGGGAGGGGTCCTCGCCCGACGCTCTAGATCCGTTATGCTTCTCCATCCAAATTTTCATCACCGGTTTTGTCCGTACAACCATCATCAACCACAGAGTTCTGTCGTGGTTCTTCCGGTCACAGATGGACGACTTTCTGCGCATTTTGCGGCTAGAGGACATCCTTTGTTCATTCCTAGCATAAAAGCTGCTACTTTTTTTTACCAGAAATCCCCAGGCAATCACCACTGCCCCCACACTCCTTAGTATCCATCATGCGCTCCTTTGGAAGCTCTCTCATTTTACTCCTCGCATTGCGCATCTCGAGCTCTATTGCTACCGATACAATTTGCCCGACCTCTTCGTCGACGTCTGTCTCTACTGTGACCTCGACTATCACAGTCACATCGACCAGCATATCGAGTGTATCAACTGTATCAACGTGTACGTTGTCCCTTTGCTTTCGTTCCAAGGGGTTTGACATGACCATTATCAGCTACCTCCTCCTCCACGACAGCTACCTCTAGTGCAAGCTGTAGCACACCACTTGGAAATGGTATTGCCGGAGCTAGCGACCCATGGTGGCTACAGAACATGCCACACGTCGGCACATCAGCTTTCAACCCTTCTCCTTTGTCTTACAAAGTATTCCGCAATGTCAAGGACTATGGAGCCGTAGGAGATGGTGTTACAGATGATACTGCCGTGAGTTCTCGTCCTTGATCCGAGTCGAATGGCTCCTGATTTGTCAAAAGGCCATCAATGCTGCCATTGCAGATCAGTCAAGGTGCGGACAAGGTTGTACAAGTAGTACAACAACACCAGCTTTGGTCTACTTCCCTGCTGGAAACTATCTCGTCTCAGCTCCGATCATTCGTACGTCGCACCTCCGTATTGCATGTCCGGTACTTAGGGAACTCAGCCTTCTACTATACCGCATTGGTCGGAGATGCTAAAAACCGACCGACACTCATCGCTGCGGCTTCCTTTGTCGGTATGGCGGTGATCGGTCAGTGTTTATCGTTGCCCATCTTCTGTTTTCTAATTCGCTGTAGATGCCGATCCTTATATTCCTGGAGGTGGCGGAGCCCAGTATTGGGTGAACCAGAACGTAACCAGCTTCCCCTCGTTTGTCACCATGGTCGCTAATCATGCCCAACAGAATTTTTTCCGTGCAGTCCGAAACTTTAATATCGACCTCACGCGCATGCCTGTGGCGAGCACTGCGACCGGCTTGCATTGGCAAGTCTCTCAAGCGACTTCCCTCTCGTTTGTCAAGGTTATCATGTCCCAAGATCCAGCCACACAGCACCAGGGTATCTTTATGGAGAATGGTTCCGGAGGTGTTTTGAGCGACCTCGAATTTGTCGGCGGAAATCTTGGCGTGTTTGTTGGGAACCAGCAGTATGTACGCCAACCTTGCCTTACTCCATTAACCTTGCATAGGTTCACGGTACGCAATGTCAAGTTTAGCAATAACAAGATTGCTATTCAGGCTATTTGGAATTGGTACGCTTCTTCTTTGAAAGATTTAACCCACTCATCGTTTCATCAGGGGCTGGACGTGGCAGAATGTGCAGATTGAAAACTGTGGGATTGGTATTCAAATGAAGACTGGTGGTACTAGCATCGAAACTCAGGTTCGTATCTCTACTGGTCTATAAACGATATATTTACATCCTCAAAGACTGTCGGATCCGAGGTGCTTCTGGACTTTACAGTCACCAATACCCCCATCTTTGTGCAAACCACCACCGCGCAACCGAGTAGTCTAGCTGGCTCCATCGTCATCGAGAATGCCAAACTCACAAATGTCCCGATTGCAGTTGGTGTTCAATCTGGAGCAACGGTCCTCGCGGGCTCCACCGGCACAATGACCATCGCAGCCTGGGCACAAGGCAACATTTATTCTGGCGCTCAGCCAGTTCCAAACTATGTTCAATCAAATATCACCCCTCCAGCGAAGCCCGCCTCTCTCCTCGACTCGTCGGGCAAGATCTTTGGAGTGGGTAGGCCACAGTATGAAAACTACGCGGCTAGTCAATGTTTGTGTCAATTTTGCTCCTTGGAGTGTCCTGATGTCTCTATTTTAGTCGTCAGCGTCAAAGCTCATGGTGCCAAGGGTGATGGTGTCACGGATGATACTGCGGCACTCCAGAGCATCTTCGATACCTATGCCGGATGCAAAATCATTTTCTTCGACGCTGGTAAGAAATGTATTGAATCCATGTTGGCAGTACTGACTGGAACAAGGAACCTACCTCGTCAGCGATACGATTAATATCCCCGTCGGTACCGACATTGTTGGAGAAATGTGGTCGCAAATCCTTGCAAAGGGAACCAATTTCAATGACCAGAATAACCCACGTGTCGTTCTCAAGTTTGGCAAGTCTGGCGACGTTGGTTCACTCAGGGTGTCGGATATCGTTATCAGCACCTACGCTGGTTCTGCGGGTGCAATTGTTATGGAGGTCAATATCAAGCAGGCATCTCAAGGCTCGGTTGGTTTCTGGGATACAGTAGGCTGTTTTCTTGCTCTGGTATCCTTGTGGCTGACTGTAAACTAGCATGTTCGACTTGGTGGATCAGCTGGAACAGGACTCACGCAGACGACATGCCTCAAGCTCCAAGGTCATGGGGTCGAGTGCTCTGCTGCGTTCTTGAGTGCGCATATTACCCGTGGTGCATCTGCTTACATGGAGGTCTGCTCTCATATCCGGCGCTCGAGTCATTCCTGATACCTATTTTACAGAACGTCTGGCTCTGGACTGCTGACCATCAGCTTGATGATGATCCTGCCGAGTCTCAAATCGATGTCTTTTCTGGCAGGGGAATCCTCATCGAGGGCGAAAATGTCTGGCTCGTCGGTACAGGGTCAGAACATCACGCTATATACCAGTACAGAGTCAACGGCGCCACCAACGTCTACATGGGGCTCATTCAAACGGAGACACCCTACTATCAGCCTAACCCTGGTACGCAGTTCGAAACCGGCCATACCGTACCTGACACTTCATATCAGCTGCGCCGAACCCATTCGTTACAAACTCTGCATACTCGGACCCAGACGTCTCCTCTCTGAAATCCGCGCTTGCGCTCTCAGTCACCAACTCCGATCACGTTCTCATCTACGGCGCCGGATTGTACAGCTTTTTCGTTTCATATGCACAAACCTGCCTCCAGACGTGGAATTGTCAGGACCAGATTGCCTCTGTTGGCTCTTCAAATCAAGTGCGCATCTATGGACTCTCAACAGTGGCCACGACTTGGCAGATGACGTTCAACGGCACTCCAGCGATCAATCAGAATCTCAATAGGAATGGCTTTGCGTCGACGGTCACCGCATGGTCCAGCAACGAGCTTACCCGTGTCACAAAGCGGTGGGTTCCAGTTAAAGCTAGGATGCATAAACGAATGGTGCCTGCGAGGCTCCCCGACTCGTACTGATTGATGATATCTTGTATTTATCCATCACGCCCAGTCACATTGATATAAAGGGTGTTCTTGCGTGATTTCTACAACTTGGTATCCGTTTCCAAGTGAGCTCGTTTGCTTCATAGCCGCCAAACACACACCATTCGAACCTGGCTCCTGCGTCTGCAGCCACCATGCCCAAAAGTCAGAAAAAGCAAGCCGAAAAGCAAAACGACTTTAAAGTGCGAAACTGAAAGCCCTCAGAAGAAGATTTGACTTACAATGCTTGTCCAGAAATCTCGCCTTAAGCTGGGCAAGGGTAAAAAGCCTGCGAGCAACGCAGTCGACACATCGTTCAAGGCGCATTGTGCGAAAATTCGACGTATACGGGGGTCTGTCTTACTCTCAGGTAGCAATCGCACTCCCAACTCAGAGTATCACCGTCGACAAGTCTCAAGCCGGCCCTAGCACGAAGAGGCGACATACGATTCAAGATCTTCTATCCTTAGTGAAGCACTATTCTCCGAGCTCCCGCAAAGGCGAGTAGCCTGAGATTGGTATGATTTTCAGGCTGAATCGAAGACATAGATGCCATAGCTGGTCTTCGAGAGCTTTTACAAGCGCATAGCGATCTTATGCTCTCCACGACCTCTTCTGTCATTCCAGAGTGCTGCAGACTTGTGGCAGATGAGGTGCGAGATAAATACTAGCAAGCCATTGCTAATTTTATCAAAAGGATGCCTCTGTGAGAAAAGCCTCCATCGAGTTCCTCGACTGGTACTTGAGCCGCCTTCCTAATGTGAGATTTTACCAACGACGGTTCCATGACAAGCCTTAGTCTTTCCCCCCAGGCCTCGATTATCCCGCATGCGGCGACCATCATGCTCTTTGCAACTTCGGCACAAACCCACATCTTTCCGGAGATTCGAATCGACGCAATCAAATTCATGACCGTGCTCCTAAGTGTATGTCCAGAAATGGTAATCTCACGTGGGCCTAGTGGCCATAGCCAACGGGTATTGCACGGATATCTGTCTCTTTTGGTAGGAAATGTGGGCGCAAAGGATTCCAGTGCCAGTACAACCGTCTCTATATCTCGAAGGTTGGGTCTGACGAGGCTTTTAGCTCCTACATCGACGACCATACTCTCTGCACAATCCAAACTTATAGTCATCACCTCTCTCGCGCTGTTTCTCGAAAAGTCCCGAGCTGTGCAATACGAAGCAGGTAGCTTATGGTTTCTGCGTAACTCGTTTCGGACACGGCAATCCTATAATGCATTTACAAGCCTGTTCTATCCACTGCATCACGATTCTCGACAAATTTCAGGTACACAACCAGAAGTCATTCGCCGAGAAACAGAACCGTGGCTCACATCGACAAGCTGGGATTTGCAAGAAATTCAAGACTCGATTGGGGGGGTTGTACCAACTCAGTCGGATCCGTCCATTGAGATGGATCTGGAAGTTATGATTGAAGCAGAGCGATCACTCCACCACGTCCTTATCGAACTTTTCCTCGAGTACTCACCTGCTGCCTTCACCTCTTTTGACAAACCCGCCGCAAGTCTCGAACTCAGACTCATACACTCCACTATAAAGCTCGCTCACGCTCTATATGCGTCTCCAGCCTTGCTAGAGGTGTGCATAGCGCTCAACTTTTATGCCTTCTTATTTACAGACCGCCAGAATACAACCTCTCCTCTAGCAGCTCATCTTCAGGACATACTTATTCGTCTCTCGTTATACCTTCCAATTGCGAGAGATGTCCCGATACGGCATTCCGAAGTCAGTCTTCAAACAGTCCCTCATGTACATGCTCAAACTATAGCAGATCTCTGGAATGCTTCTAGAGATGAACATCATATTCTCGAAGCTATCAACCATGTTAATCCTGGCCTCACCCGCAACAGAGCTGCAGAGCAGCATGACCCGACGATCCCTCCACGACAAATTCTTACCGCGACTATTGTCTTGGGTACTACAGACCCTCAAAGGAGACGTAAGAATGGATCATTAGCCCTTTCCTGCAGTAACGTTGAGCTAGGTGACAGTGGACATGCCCATGGGATCTGCCATACCAGAAAGCACACTCCATGCTCTGCTGCCTACGCTATGGATCTCACTACAACCTAGCGAAAACCGCGAGGTTCCCAGTCCCGAGAGTGTACTTCGGATATTAGTGGACCAGGGCGCAAAGAGAAGGTTTATCAAACGCCACACGAGCTTCAATCATCCGCATTTTTATCATAATTGCCATGGTACGTAGTCTTTTGCGTTTGAGCGATTCCTTTCATTGCCATTGCAGCTTCAGAAAGAACCAGAGTACCAAGGTGGCTTCAGAATAGCACATAACAACAATAGTCGTGGCTTAATCGAGCCCTCGGGGGTGAAACCGGCAAAAGCGCTCGACGTAGAGGAAGCCATCCTGCATATTCCAAGGCTTCTGTGGAGTTGCGGCGCTGGATCCCCACAGACTTCGCAGGCAAGTCAAGTGAACATGTACTTGATCTCTTTTCATCGATGAAACAGGCGCTACTCTCCGGATTATTGATCTGTGCACAACGCAGAGCTCTTGATTGGTCTCCTTCCGTACGTCTTTCGTCATCTCTCAGGCAGTTACCTAGTACTCAAATCTTGTAGACTGTCTCCCAGCTATCACAGAGACTGATCCCGTACTTCATGGTCAATCATCCAACCAAGGGCCCGATCATGGGCCCATTCGCCAAGCTCAATGGAAATGCGGACTGTCTTCAAATCCAGAAATTGGCATTGGACCTTGTGTTTGCTCTCGGACACTATGGGTCGAACCACAGGAGGGTGGATACCCCATTAACGCAGCGAGACCCCAACCTAGAGCATCTTTATCGCAGCGTATCCGAAGCGGTCAAAAATACAGTGCACAAGACATACTGGGATAGTCTCCAAGTATTCTAGCAGTATGGGTTCGATTGTAGAGCTAACATTATGAAGATTTAGGTAGTAGTACTATGCATGAGCTATGCCAATAATTAGATCATTTCCTCGCCAGATCCATTTGAATTCGACGAGGCGTGAGAAGCGTCTCCATTGACGCTCATCAAAGTCGACCAACTCTTCCGGACCTTTGATGATAATGAAATCGGTAGGCGACAATATGGACCGCACAAGCGATCCAAGCAAAAAGCAAATAACTGCTACGACGAATACGATGTGCAGCGGGAGACCTCGCGGTCTTTTGCCTGTCATCGTGATTGCGCTACCGTTGGTTGACTCAAGAACGCTCGATACTTGCAACTTGGTCTTGCCTTCGGGGTCTGAGTCAACTAGAGAACCAGAAGCAGGTGGAGTGGGTATCGTCGAGACTTTCTTCGGCCACCATGAGGCATAGGTATTGAAGATGGACCCGAGTCCTGGTCGAGGCGTCGGAGGAACTTCACGGGGTATCTGTTTCCATTAGCGAGATGAAACAGCCTGCAAATAGGCTCACACTCACCTCCGTTGGGACAGATTCCGACTTCTGATTTGCCTCTACGATAGATTCCGGTTCTGTTTGCCCAGGTGGCTCCGGAACGGGTTCGACCAAATATTGCTTCGCAACTGCGATTGGTGTCATCAACTCTTTTGGAAAGGTCGCATCGTCGGATCTGGAGTGCGAGTGAATTTGAGTCATTCAGCTGCAACGACGCATACCTTAGAACCCATGGCATCGTCAGGGAGAGGTCACTTCCGTCCTTTCCTAGCATTGTTAGAGCCTTCCTCTCGCTGATAATATCGACGGGTTGCCCGTTGTGGGTCACTTTGAAACCATTGGCCTGAGAGGTTGGAGAACTTGCCGTTACATCTGATGGTAGAAGGGAGATATCCATAGTTGCACCCTTTTCCATAATCTCCAGTAACCATGATGGACGTGGTGGTGGACTGCGTATTTGGCCAGTCAAAGGATCTTCGAGTGGTGCGCCTTCAAATCTTGCCGTCGGAAGAGACAACCGAACCAGGTATCGAGACCCAGAGCGTTCGGAATACGAGCTACGATACAAACTATTTGAGAGAGCGTAAACAATAATGTTGAGAGGGAATGGGCCTTCTCCTGAAGAATAAGTATGAGCGAGATCTGCGTATTCTTCTGGCACTCTCGAGCCAGGCGATACTAGGATGTCAAATCCTTGCGGGTACAATTTTGAGTCCACGACAAGGTCAGCGACAAGGTAGTCCTTTGGAGCCAGGGATGAGGAAGCGGAAAAGCTGGGCGCCGGCCTTCTTCGTTCCATGGATGAAGATATGAACTGGTTCCTTCTCCCGATGGAGATATCTCTAAATGATGCCCGATCTGGCGACTTCGGTCGTCCCAGATCGTGTATTGGCGCATACGCTCCAGGAGGTGAGACTGAAAAGCTTTCCCCTGGTGTTGGGCTCGGAGGCGATGCCGGCGGAATAAGGCGACTGGGTGTCGGTGTGATGTCTGTTCCCTGATTACTAGACTGCACAGAGGTCGGATCGATGACTACTGTCGCTTGATACTCCTTCTTTTCGTGACCATAGCGCCGGGCAACCACAATAGATCCTGCGTCTCGTCGCTGGAAGCTCCAACCTTCTTGCGGACCCTCCGTCGGCTCAACAGCAATGCCTATGATGGGAGTATGAAAGACGGGGAGGTTGACGCTGCTCTTTAGATAGCTTTCCAGTCGCAAAATAGCTCTTGGGAGCGATGCGTTAAGCATTGCGTTGTATGCGACAGGCACTGCACCCGCAAAGTCCACCGCTGACACAAACGTACATCTGGTGGAAGGAATGGCGTAGTTCTCCGAGGTGTACGGGTCCAGGGTTTCGCAGATCCAACCCCTCACCAGTACGCGCCCTATTGCATAGTTCGATGGGTTGTACTTTCTCGACGAGAAGTCTTTGATGGATTCGGGGTTGAAAGAAGTAGTCGCGTGGTAGTAGACGGCATGTTCATTGCTACTTGAGCTTGAAGATAGGTTACTGGCCTTGTCTCCAGCTGAAATCGATGAGCTTGAGCGTGCAAGCGTCGATGCGGTGTAAAACCCCCGTGGCTGGAACGGAAAAGCCCCCTTGACAACAGTAAATGATGTTAGGCAGCCGTATCCATAGTCCTGTAGGACTACAGCGGAGTCAAAACGATCATCCCACTGCTTCCGGCAATCGTATAATGACAAGGCGTGAATCACCTCCTCAGCCGTGACTCCCTCGATGACCTTTGATGCTTTATGAACGGGGATCGTCCGTGACACTTCGGTCTCGAGCTTTCGAAGAACAGCTAGCCCGCCGTTGTCAGCGACCTGTACCCAACCTTCCTGTGGAGGTCGGGTATACAGTGAGCGTAGATAGGCCATTGCGTCGAGGGCATGCTGCATGGGCGATTTGGTTGCCGTCGGTACTGTTTGCTCTGTCAGCGCAAAAGGCTTAGCGACAGCAGACATGGCCGTGGACGTGCTAGAGGTGGCCTGCGAGAATGCCATGGACATGAGTCGGCCGAATGTATTTCCAGTCAACGTAGACGTGGTTTGGATCGGAAGTCCCGTGTTGATTGACGAGCTATCATCCCCATTTTCTCCGCCTTCGTTATCCACAGCCCATTCCGCGCGTCGCCTGCGGATGGCGCTGACAACCGGTGGTTGATCCAGAGGTATACGAACCGGCTTGACGCGTTTGCGTTTTGAAAGTTGCTTGATCTCGGCTTCTGGCAATTCCTCAACCTCGACCTTGGTTTTAGCACCGTTGATGAGCACGGTGTTCTTCTCTTTTGCCGTTGAAGATGTACCCTTTCTAACGACGACTTTAAGTCGTTCCCCAGCAACAAAGTCTGCATCGTGCTCGATAGTGATCCAGAGGCCACCTCCGTTTTCCGACAGTCGGTGTCGTCGAAGGCAGGACACCGTTTGTGGAGGAGGGTCAACAACCACGTCGATGGGACCACCCCATGTTTCAATGTCGCATCGCAGTTCACACTCGACGAATGGTCGTGATGGAGGGGTACTGGAAATGGTATCCGTCAAATCAATACTGGATTGAGCAGGAGTCGATTGCTCAGGATCGGCAGCTCTTCTCGAAGCGTCAACCTCGTAATCAAGACGAAAGTTGGCCTTTTCGAAATCGTATCTGTTAATCAACGCGCGGGCACCACCGAGCCGGCTAAGGACTGGTGGTCCTCCTGACTTGATCACAAACTCGCCTACTCCTGAAACGGCCGCGATGATTTGCTGAGGCAACGACGACTTGTTGGACCACCCTTTGGGGTCAGACTGTTCTATGAGCGTGACCTGCGTCGTGGTGGGTGACAATGCCTCGATGGCCCATCCTCTCAGATCGACTTGTGTACGGATAACACTGGGGTCACTCGGTGGGATACTGGGGAAGAGATGTATGTCGTCGGTTGAAAAAGAAAAGATGTGGACCGATGTGGGAGACTTATACGTGCTTCTGAGTAGAACGGATTCTCGAGCACTAAAAAACAGGTGAGAACCACTTTATGTCCCCTAACCTAGCATACATACTTGACTGGCCATGCTGCTTTTGTCTTGTGATGCCACAATTGGCTTAGCTCGCTGACGTCTTCTAGCAGGTTTGCACCGTCGAAACTCTTGTCCCAGTACATGGTCGCTCCGGGTGTGGAGATGACGCTAATCAGATCCCACATACCCACACCAACAAAGACGGCCTCGGCTTTGTAGACAACCAATGTAGGGTCAATGGAATCGAGTTGCGTGACAGAGACACCTCTCGCCTCCACAAGTGGTTTCCATCTAAATATGAATCAGGAAGTATGAACGAGGAAGATTTAAAGGACCTTACTTCATCTCTGGCTCTTGTATCAAAGAGGAAAAGTAAACATAGTTCCGTTTGACGAGCTTGAGAATGGACTTTTGGCTTCCTTCCGTACGTCCATTGGCTCGAACCGAGATAGTACGAGATGCGACATCAGAGAATTGGCTCTGTGCCCCGCTTGGTGATTGAAAAGAAATATCTCCAACGTTGCTTGCATCCTGTAGCAGTGGTTCCGGAATGGTGAGAGGCGTAGGATCTCTAAGTTCAAGATCTTCCACGACTAGGGGTACGCCATTTAACCGAAGGTTTCCTGCAGTCCCGCCAGCTGCCTCAATGACCAGTTTGACCTTGATTACAGCATGCATAGATGAAGGAAGAGAATGCCGTGCGCGCAAAAGGAGCTGATCCGGGTCCAGAAAGCCGTCCTTGTCGCTATAGGCTTTAACTGCCCAAGGTGACGAGGCAGCCATAGCAGACGACGCTCGTATCAGAAGTTGTATGTCCCAGCCCGTTTGCTTTGGAAGGACAAACTCCAAGCTTTTCTCCAATCGTCTCTTTTCCTTCCTGGCTAGGACTTCGTCCATGCCACGGGGAGCTCCTTGCAGCAGATCATCCCCTTCCTCTTCGTGGAGAATCGAGTATTCCACAGTGAGAGATTGTCTTGCCAACGTCGAAAGCCATTCTTTCCATTCCAACGCCAAGTCCATAACCTTGTAGCAAGGGAATTCGAGTACCGTATCTTTTCACGGCTTTGACCGCTCCAATCATGAGTGAGGAAAGATGCTGAACCCTCGAGGGCATTCCCAAACCCCAAACGGCTTTCAGATCGTGTTGCCAAAAGCAAGTGAGGCGAATGTTGGCGCCTGCTGGTGAAGGAACCTGTTGGATGACCCAGGCAAATACTTTTCATAGTTGTCAGCTCGCACTCGCATCACAGTATGAGGACAACTGACAATGCACATGGGATCGAACGTATGGGGGTGTTGGCCGTAAATAGGGCGGCTCGTCTGGGGACCTTGGCAGCGAGGTTGTTACATCGAGTAATGTAGATCCGTCGCTTAGTGTTCGAGAAATCGTGACGGCGTCACGAGGAGCTGCTGGCCAGCCCAATGTAAAGTCTGTCTTGACGACTCGTACATCTACCTCGAGCAGTTCGAGCAACTGAGAGCTCTCAGCTGCTGGATCCCATTCATGTCTCATTTCGGGTGTAGCCAGGACTGCTTTCCAGGCGGCGATTGAGAAGCCATCGACTGGAATGTCCAGGATAAGTCGGAATATCTCGCCTTGCTTGCTCGGTCGTTTGTGAATAATAACATGAGATTCTTCTTGAGCTGTTGAAGACCCGTCTTGCGCCGTCTCTGGCGCGGCTGAAGGGACCCTCCGCCATAAAGGCGAAGTCGCCGAGGTCAACAGTGACTGGAGCTGGGTCTGCGCATTGTCAAGAGCAGCGTTCCACGTTTGTCTGAGTCTGTTTTGGATTTAAATCAGCAAGCTGGCTGTTCTTCTGCAAGCCCACGTACTGAACACCGTCAACGCTGGTCATATGGCGCGCTTCAAGCCTTGAACTTGGAATTCACAAACTGGGCCGACACCAGACTGGGGTCATTGCCATATAACGGCCAATATTCTCGGATAAAAATTCAGTTCTCGAAATGAATCTAATGTATCGGAACCTGATGTCATATCGCCGATCTCGGTGAGGAAGAGATCTCAAGGTCAATCTCAAATCGCAGCGACGATGACCAACAACGCAACTTGAACCTCTACCACGACTACAATCTGCTGATGAGGAGAATTGTAATCATTGGTGCCGGTGCTTCGGGCATGGCTTGTGCAGAGGCGTTGAAGGACGATCCTCAGAACACTGTGACCATCATCGAACGAACAAAGTGCTGTGGAGGTATGGCAACGTCTGAGGAGATTGACCCAAAGCGCTTTGGTGCAAGCTTCATCAACGACGGAGTCCAGGTATGGCCGTCGAATTACGAGAATAACACACTCAGGCGGAATAGGGCGCGAGTCCTCAGTTTAGCAATACATATGCAGTCTTTGATCTCCTTGGGTTTAAACCATCTGAGGTAAAGATGCAAGTCAGCTTTGGGAGGGACCCAGAAGAGGACTTTTGGAGCAACGTCTTTCCATCCGCCGTGATCGACAAGTAGGAGGATTCAACGTGATTTATCGGATCTAAATACTCTCCTAGATATGCCAAGGATATCAAAAAGTTTGGCTGGGTCCTCAAGGTGATCAAGTCGGCAGAACCACTCTTTGGGCTCATTCCAGTGGTGAGCAGAAGAAGCGAATATCTCTCTCCAATAATCAAATCCGATTTAGGACGTCATGCTCAAGATGTTTGGATTCTCACAAGGCTTTGGCGATGTCATCGTGTATCCACTCGTCGCCCTCTTTATGGTATGCAGCACCTACCACGACGGTCCAGCTTATGTCTTGCAGGGAACTGGTCAACAAACTCCATACGTCTCCTCGGTCATTCTCGAGCGATTATTCCTCGACCCCTCGATGAAGCTTGTGAGCATACTTCGCCGGTAACCGACGAATACTGACAACAATCTAGTTTGATTACTCACCAGATTCATTTCTAGATTCTATTCCTCCAATGCGTGCCTTTCCAAGACTCTCAGAAGTGTACTCCACATGGCAAACGAGGTTGACCGATGCAGGAGTGTCAATCATGCTTGAGACCCAAGCCACGGCAGTGAAACGAGCAAAAGACAAGGTCACTGTGACAATTCAGAGTGTCAAGAATGCCAACACTCTCCGAGAAGGGGAAATCCTCGGCCCTGAGACTGAGATGGAATTCGACGAGATTGTCTTTGCGTGTGATGCCGATACGGCGCTTACTATTCTCGGAACAAACGCCACAGTGATGGAGAAAAAGGTTCTGGGGAATGTCAAGGCGAGTTTCTCGTGCACTGACAAAGACGCATCTCACCCTCAACAGTACCTATATGACGTTTCAGTCACACATTGTGACAGAGAGTATATGGAGAAGGTGGGGTCCCAACTCCCTAGTGGAACTCATCAGTCTGCTTGACGCTATAACAGTATTATCGACTTCAGTTTGATGAAAAGCTCTTCTCCGAGCAGCGAAAAGACGATCCAAAAGAGAGAGGAAAGGCAGAGTTTGCCAAAGAGAACTTTAAACCCCTCTATTTTATCCGGAGCTACCCATCAGACAAGAAGAAGATTGAGATGAGCTTTGACCTGTACGTCTTCTCTCTATCCTCGTTTCATCTATTAAAGTCGTAACCAGGACACACTATCAACCTCAATTCGATTCACAAGACAATAACCCAAATCCTGAACACGTCTACCAGACTATTTTCCTTGACAAGGATGACAGTAGTCACCTGTGGACAGAGGATGAGATCAATCCGAACAATATCATCTTGAAGAAATGGTGGAAGCAGCAGAGTCATCGTTGGCAGCATTATGGCTTCACCGTCCCATGGGTAAGATTCAAAATCAACTACATCAGCCCATTGAACGGTTCACAGATGATGTGGATCAACAGCAAGAATCGCACGCACTATTGTGGCGCATGGACTGTGCTCAGTGAGCTCTTATCTCCTTCCACCTTGCTATATCTCACAACCGAACAGATATGCACGAAATCGCGATTGCTTCCGGATTTGCGGTTGCATATCGACTTGGTGCAAAGTAAGTCGATCCATCTACCTGAAACGAGAAGGTTTGACACGCCAAAGGTACCCTTTCAAAGACGACGACCAAGCGCGAAGGATGTTTGCGCTTGTGCTTGGTGCAAGTCACGGTGTACGAATGCGCAAGGAGGATCGAAAGGGTTTCTTCTACTAAACACGATAATCAATTACTGGAACTCAATTCGCTTGTAAACTTATAGGATAACTGAAGTGCAATTACACGATGCACATCTGCTACAACAAACATTGTAGTTCTAAAGGAGAGCGGGCTGTCGTCGAGGAGATTTGCGTACGAAACACGTCGAGACGCATGAGTATAAACAGATGGGATTTTCAGAAGGCACAATCTCCAGACGGGTAAAGGATGGAACAATGCACAGATGGGACGCAATGAATGGCGCTAGTTGGGCGTAGAGTGAATACACCGATCCAGAGGCCGGTCTATCCGTAGGAGATAGAGAGGATGAGAGGCTTGGAGTGCATAAAAGAGATACTGGAAGACACTGAAAAGGAGAGTCCGTTGATCATGGCACAGAAAATCAAGGGCCTATTACGATGTCGTCAGTGTGCAGCTCGGAAGACGAAATATATCCCCACATGACGGCCCATAAATCTAGTGAATAGCAGATGGAGTAGGGGGCCCAGGATCAGCTTGACGAGCAGTATCCCAACCAGGCGGTTGCTGCATCAAGAAGCGCGCAAGTACCTCCTCAGAACCACGCTTGAAAATTTCGACGCCGGTAGTAGGGGAGAAGACTCTCATGGCACGCCGAGGTCCAACTGAACTTCCACTCGGAAGTCGTCCGACAACAGCTTCGGAGCCGTGGATGCTCACACGAGGCGTTCCAACCTCTTCGACCTCCTTGGTCGGTGAAGAGATGATGCTAGAGTCTGCCGCGGTCGTCTCACTGTCCTCTGAAGAATCGCGCTTGCGTAGTATGGGCGTCACAGGAGAGCCGATATCAGCCTCTTCCTTGACAAACGCCGCACGAGCATTAAACGCCTCCGAAGGGCGATATGCAGACTCGTCCCCTATTTCCTGCGACTTTGACTCGTGAGTGGGTTCCGGTGGGGGAACCGAGGGCGAGCCATAGATGATCCCAACCGGTGGCGTGAAAGTTCTCTTGGCTTTGATGAGGAGTGGGTTTGCTGTTGAGGGACTCGTTCCAGTAGACGAGTGGCGTCGTGGCGTGGTATCCAAACCAGGACGCTTCGTATACATATCAACTTGCACACCTCGAGATTCGGTTACTTTCGTGTCCGTCTGAACGCCTTGGTGACAGTAAATTTTACCTTTCGCTTTTGCGGCTCGTCGACGGGCTGCAGACCTGGGACTCAGAACGGGCGATTCTCCTTCATCATCCTCATCGTCGCCATCTCGGCTGCTCGCCTCTGCCCGTTCAATCCAATTAGTGTAATCGTCCTCTTCCTCCTCGTCCTCTTCCTTTCTCCTTTCTTTGCCTTTTCGATCCTTAGAAGCCTGGGCCTCTTGGCCGGGATGGGTAGGCCACGGTTGAGGGAGAATGTGACTAGACCGTCCCTGTAGCACAGACGCATAACGTTGAATGGTGGTGTCCGTATCCCATGCATTGATATAGATGGATCCGTGTCGTTTTGGTGGAGAAGGAGGCGGGTTAAATTTGCGCTTGACATGAGGGGGAGGGGGAGGAGATGGGGAACGACCGTGAGGGATTTCCTGCACAGATTTGGGAGCACCAGGGGGCGTCTCCATAGTGGTTTGAGCTGGTGGCTGGGAAGGCTTTGGGGCCGCGGGGTACGCAGGAGGTGCTGTTGGTGGGGGGCGCCAGTCAGGAAACACTCTGCGTGGTGGAGGGCGCGAGCGTTGCTCCCAAGGGAAGATTGGTTCGACCTTTTTGATATCAGGTTTGGGTTCGTCCGTTGTCACGGCCGTGTAGTGACCTTCGCGAACGAGGTTATGCGGAATGCTCGGCGGAGCGGGTGCCTGGAAGAAATCCTCTGGCCGTGGTTCACGGCGAGGTGGATGTTGATGGTGATAATGACTGCCAAAGTGGTCGTGGCCTTCATGCTGACCTTGGCGGCTGTCCTGTCTGTGATGCGGGTGGGGATATGGTTCGTGGTGATCAGCGACATGATAGCGTTGATAATAAGTAGTTGCCTGAGATCCATGACCGAAACTATGATACGCTGGGCTCGTTCGAAAGGCTGAGTCACCTCCAGGCGGAGATGTAGGATGATTCTGACCAAACCCAGAGTCGTCGCCATGATGTTGGTGATAATGTTGATGACCATGCGAGTCGTGTGAATGATGAGGCGAAACATGATAAGATGGAGAATGAAATTCCTGTTGCGGATAGAATGGGGAACTGCTTCTTTCATTGACATAAGCTGGCGCCCATGGGTCCTGGTAGGTGGTATGCTGGGAGTGCAATGGCTGGTGAGGTGGGAGATCCCATACGTTTTGATACTGGTGATCAGTAAATGACAATGCAATTATTGGTGGTGGATTGCTTGGTGGTGGCTCGCGAGATGGGTCCCACGTGAGCTTCGGAGGGGAAGGGGGTCGAAAATCAGGGACATGTTCTTCTCCATGCATATACTGCGGCTGTTGTTGCCACCAGGGTACAGGCTCTGCATGATGCGGCGCAGGAGACGCGACTTGAGCAGTATCAGCAGGAGACTGCTGAGGCTCGGTGCTCGGCGCAATTTGACGTGGTGGCGTTGGTGGCCTGTACAAGTAACTCGGCAAGCCTTCCCTGCCAGGAGGCCGATAGTCCTCTGCTGGGGGTTCGTTGTGAGCCTGGAAAGTAGTAACGCCCTGTGTGTCTTGTTCTACGCCTTCGGAATAGGCAGACGGCAATGGGTCAGGTTTCCGGGGCCGCATGAGGTCGACCCGCCCTTCAAGAGGTAGACTTCTGTATTCTCCTTCTCCAGAGGCAGGTGCTGTCGAAAGGACGCCTTGGACAGCCATCTTCTTCAGGTCCTCCAGACCGAGTCCGTATGAGGTTGCCTCAAACGCAGCTGTTTCCCAAGAAGCCGGGTAATGTTGCATTTGGTATTCCTCTTCGGTCGCAATTTGCGGTGGTCTGTAATGTCTGTCATAGACGGCAAACCAACGGTCGACCAAATTGCTGTAGCCATAAGACCGCATCGACTCCGCCGATGGGTGTTCGATTGGCGCTCTCCAGGGGATCGAGGCCCATGGTTTGTGCTGTCCAATGAAGTGAATGGCACGAACAGCAGGTCCAAACCTCTCGTAGGCAGGCGCGTATCTAGCAAGGTTGTTAGTTGGGTGCCAGAGTGCCTAGAAATTCAGACTGACGTATACGCAGACGAAGGGGTCGTGTTATACGTAAAGCTCAGACGGTTCCAATCGCCTCCTCGCCATTCGTTGAGAAGTCCTTGGTCAGCACCATCCCAGCTGCCCTTGGACTTGACAAGCTCAGTGAGCTCGTTGAACTTGTCCTCCCCGGCTCGAGAACCATAAGGCCCGAGTTGAAGATGTCAGGCCATCCAATGTCTGGACAGGCGGAGAATTCATGCGGGGTAAGGAACAGGTGGGAAATGGGCTTGAGAGGGAGAATGTCTGCGTCGAGGAAGATTATTTTCGAAAACTCGGTCAAACGAAAAACGTGGAGCTTCGTCAGAACTGTGTTGAGATCAGGTCGGCCTGCGAGGGGGTGTCAGCTGAGCTCGGGATTTGTGCGTCACATGCGACAACGTGAGATGAGAAGGCGAAATATAGAGATATGTAGAATAATGAAGAGGGAAAGGATGGTAGCTGTGTTGGGGACCATAGACGCGCTTGACGATACGACTAGGGTCCGTTCTCAGAGGTGCTCGGGCCCTTGGATCAGCAAGCTCCACACCTGAGATTTTTGCGGTCCGTAGGATGCAAAAGGAGTGTTCTAGGGGTTGCGAACATGAGGATATGACTTACCCAAGAGTTTGAGGCCAGTGGCATTCTCCGCTTCGAGGATTTCGACGCCAATGACGATATCAAAGGCCTTTCTGAGTGCCTTGATAGAGGCAACATCGACTGTTTCTGGCGTGACAAGGCAGACAGTTTTGAAGTCGACTTCGGGTGCAACCGCAGGGCTCGGATGCACATCTTTGAGACTTGCAGCAAGTACAAGAGCCCCTGGAAGATAGGAGTCTGACGAAATGAGTGTAACAAAGGCGAATGGGCCAGACATTGAGCTCGTCAACGCTGCCGAGAGTAATTAACGACTCCGGTCGCTGTCCGCGACGACAAGAACGATAAAAACGAGCACCAAGGGTGATTAGAAGTGTAGAGTGACCTGCTTTTTCTGGCCCGAGCGACCCCGACGAGCGTGGTCAGGGTTCAAGAGTTGCTTGGGGACAAGAGTTGAGCCTGAGAATCTGGGCCAGAAGAAATAAAAAGTTCCCCAAGAAGCCGTAAGAAAATGATTGTAAAACGTCATTTCCCGTCGCCAAACGGACTCGAAACCCAGCCCTGAACGGCGCCGATAAGCGTCGAAATGCTAGTCTTTACGGGATTTTCCTTGATCTTATTCAAACACGGAGTAGCATCTTCCAAATTTTGGGCTATCCATGAGCAGCAATCCGTGCGTTAGTAAACAGCCCCTTTTGGACCTAAAAACATGCAGGTGGATCTGCAAAACCTTAAGAAGTACTTTGAATCGCAAAGTTAGGCCAGTTTAGTCGACAATTCATCGTCAGTTATACTGAATGTCCGTGAACCCTCTGTACAGTATATTCTTTGCTTGAATATCATTTCCGTATCGTAGCAATCAATTACAGGTATCCTAACACGCGGGGTTGTCAGCTTCAAAGAGGGCGAGCAAACATCGATGGAGGGACAAGAAGAAGGTGTGAGTAGAGAAAGATGTTCTGTAAATGTCTGCATACTGCTATTCTGAAGACTTTGGTAGGGTCTCGGGACTTTCTCTTACTTCGCCCGCAAATTCTAGCACAAATACGCTCGAGACGGGTGCAACTCTGATCATGTCAGAACAGGTCCATTTTATTGTATCATCTCAGAGGATGAAACAATTTTCGACGAGTCCCTTAGCCCCTATGTGACCAGATCCCCGCATTCCATCTCCGCCAGATAAAGGAGCTCAACACCTTGCCACCCGCCATGTCCGTTCCTAGGCCCACAGATTCCACAGAGCCCGCTATAAATGACGCAGAGCTCAGACTCAAAGCTCTCCAAAAACAAAAGAAAGTAGAGCAAGGCCACTTGTTGCCGCCTTCCAACGCGACACATCCCTGCGACCGCTGGGAGACGTTTTACGTCTACAAATTCATCCAAAAGTTTACAAATCTATGCGAAGAAATTCCACAATTTCTCCACATTACAGAGTGAGCACCCTCCAGCCGTTTTGTAAAGGTTGATGCACCAACATGTCTTGGTCTCCTTCCACATCCCATACAGTCTCGAAAATGCGCTCCTCGACGAACCAGGAGTAGTCAATACGTTGCTAGAACAAGTCGTTCTGCGCTTCATCCTCAATCTACGACCAAATACACGGAATACGAGGTCGGTCGATGGTCGTTGCACCCTTCATGGCCCGCAGCGCTGACCAACCACGACAGTTCGGAGCTTCTTCCAGCAACACTGCAGAGCGTGCTACATGAGCTGTTGAAGGACAAGGATAGACTGCGAGAACGAACAGTCTTTTGGGACTACGATGCAGATACAAACGTGATGCCCCTGAAAGACCTCGAAGGCGGGTTCTGGTTCGCCTCGTGGGACCTCAAGGTGAATAATCTTTTGCAGTATTCCAATCTTCGCTCACGTCGCCTCCTTTAGCTTCGTATCCTTCGCCAGCTTGTCGATTGGCAGCTCCATTACTCTAGTGCGATTCGGGATGTGATTGACACCGCTTGGCAATTCAGACAAAAGCCGCACAAGAAGAAAGCAGAAGCACCAAAGCCGCCTCCGTCGCCCGGAGCACCAAACAGTCGAGAGGGTCTAAGAGTTGCACCGATCGGTCAAGATAAAGACAGGACACGATTTTGGATAGCAGACAGTCAGTGTGATTAAAACTACAGGTACATGCGACTCATTGAATCCCCCCAGATTCTCCACGGCTCTACGCATCCAATAATCCATGGAAAGTGGCGCAAACTTTCCGTTGTGTTGCACAGACACGCGAGGACTATATTGAATGGATCGAAAAATTACGAGCCAGCGCTCCGCCGGAGCAGGAAGAAGGCAACTACGAAGACCATAGGCACCATTTACACTGGGAACTTATATATGCGCTGGAGATGAGAGTGGATGAGGTGCAAAGGGCGCTAGAGGTATCTTATTTCCCGTTTCTTGACATCTGGCGGCTTACGGAGCACAGGACGAGGACAACATTCGCAAACAAAGAGAAGCAGTTGCCAACGCGGCGCCGACGCACCGCGTCTCTCGCTCATATGCGTCGCTCCTTTCGGAGACCGAGGTGGCTGTCAGAGAGGAAATCCAAGCAGCTGAGGACTGGCTGATTAACCGCACGGACGTCCAGTCTGGAGATGAAGTCCCAGATACGCGGGAGACTACACCTGTAAGTCTCGATATCTCCACATTTGCGTCGTCTCATGTTCGTCAAGGGGGGGCACGAGGAAGACGGTGCAGAAGTTACCAAACCAACCACCAACAAGCAGTACGAGCAATATGACGCAGAGTACGACGAATTACAGGACGACCCGTCACTCATCATAGAGTCGGACGCCGAACGTAAACCAGCTGGCAAGAAGAGGAGAAGACGCCTCACTCCAGTCTCGCAAAAGCCAACCAGAGTATCAGCACGGAAAAGGGCGCGTCATGGAGAAGCGGAAGGATCGGCACCGACTGAAATTGCCCCTGCCCTCGCCATGAATGGGCATGGTCCTCAGTCGGAGCCCAACGATGACGTCGCACCCCTGGAGCCCAAGCAACCAGAAAAGAGTGCAAAAGGTAGAAACGCAAAGTTTTGGTATTTCGATCAAGTCGAGGGGCCCCCGGCCAAGCGTCCAGACATGGTGGATAACCCAGACGCAATTCTCAAACGTAAGCGAACGAGGAAGACCACCTTGCCTATAGAATTGGATCCTCAAATCAATGGGAATCCAGCCCCTACGATTGCGGTCCCAATGGAATCAACGTTGCAAACGACAGAGGGCTAGATAAATGTATACGTTGGATCGTGCTCGATAATGTTTCTAGTCGTCGTCCCCGAACATTATACGTAGGTTCTCTATGCCTTCGGAGGTCGAACTGTCGGTTTTACCGAGGGCAAAGGATACTATGGCTGTTTTCCTCTTCTGTATCTGCAGTATCCGATTCTCGACGCTGTGTGCAATGATATAGTGTTTGACGAACACTTCTTTCTCCTGACCAAGGCGGTGAACGCGATCGATGGCTTGCCTGTCAACGCTCAATAGTCAGTCACAGATGGTGCATGCACCTACTGTTCTATAGCGGAATTCCACCAACAGTCTATCTAGTAAATTTAGCTGGAGTCACTTTGAGATGTTTCACGCACCATGAAGACGTGATTTGCAGAAGTCAGATTGAGGCCTTCACATTCCATGAGAATGAAAAACGAAAAGTCCATAACTAGCGTGCTCACCAACACCGCCTGCTCTGAGAGATATGATAAAGACCTTGGGCTTGTCGCTGGGTTCACTGAATTGCTTAAGAGCCTTGACTCTTGCCTTGGGGTCCATGGAGCCGTCTAATCTGTACCATGGGAATCTGTCTCTCTCCAACGCAATCTCAATAAGGTCCAGGAATCCTGTAAACTGGGAGAAAACAATGGCACGGAACGTCGAGTCCTGTTCCCGTAGTCGTCCTAGCAAATCAATAAGAAGGGGTTCGATTCCAGCAAATGACCAACTTACGAAGATCTCGCAATAAAGCGTCAAGCTTTGTCGACGACTGAAAGTTGTTCTTTCGGAAAATGACCTCGACCGACGTTTCTCGCATGGGCTCATCTGGATCACCATCTGACTCGATCATTTCCTGCTCTAACATGGTCGCGTCCTCGTCTGTATGGGAGGGAGACCGACGGCGCGTAACCTCGGGTTCAGGAGAGGAGTCGGAGGCCGCTGAGCCCTTTGCCTTTTTCGTCCTGAGTACCTCCACAAGGTCTTGAACCTGTAGATCCTGTGAGTATTTACCACTACAGATCAGTAACTCACATGTAGAGGACCCTTGCGGCAAATGGGACACGAGCCCTCTTCTTTCTTGGCCAGACACTTCGAGAGATGATCCGTAATGCAGCCCATACACATTGAGTGCATGCAGAGAGGCGAGAGGACTGGTGGATCACAGATTTCCATGCAAATAGGGCATTCTTGCTCCGTCTCTTTTTGAAGTGCCACTGACAGTTGGGCATATGAAGTTGTGCCATCGCTGCCATTTGCACGACTACCGTTCATATACTCTGCGATCAGATCGTTGACATCCACTTCACCGTCTCTGTCGGCATCCAGGTCAATGCCACTATTCCCGGCAGCAATCAGAGAAGGGTGCAAGACAGCACGTCTTAGCCTAAATGAAAGTGTCATACAATCTATTCGATCATTATGTGTCCCGTACCGCATCAGAAGAGCAAAGAGCGAGTGCCAATTCTTTCCAACAACGCCCCTTTCGTCCAAAGAGGTGAACGTCGATTTAACCCTGTGATAGATTTGGTCGTAAATTTTCCTTTCGAGAGGAGAGAATTCCAAAGTCTCTACAGTTACCTGTTGGCGTCAGACACCAGCAGCGGACCTTGGGAACGATATACCGTCTTTGCAGGTAGAGATACGATGGGGTTGCCTTCCTTATCTTTCATACTCTTCTCACGTCGCAGTAAGATGCTTTCCAAGATCACTTGAACAATGTCGAGCGCTTTAGAGTCTCGCGAAAGAAACGGTATGGCTTTGGCCGCATTAAGAAGAATCTTTTACGATGCCAAGACTCACTGATAAATCTAAATCTTGTTAGTTTACATAAAACGGACTCTATTTGAAGACTTACGATCGGAAAAAGGGATATTCGGACCAGGGCTTGAATTGCAGGAAATGAAGCAAACTTTGAAGGTCTTCTAGACGGTTCACAATCGGTGTTCCTAGAAGTGAGGTGAGCCGCCAAAGGTCTTTCAGCAAATAGTTATCAACCAGTTAGCACCCAGCGCCGTTGTCCATCCAAAGCATATGCTGCCTTTGCTGTTTTGCTGATACGGGACTTGATATGGTGAGCCTCATCGAGTACTGATGCTATTCTCAGGTGTGGGACATTCGAGGGAAACCAAGGACAAACCTATACGGAACCATCGAGCTAAAGAACTAAGTATATAGGGAGCGCGGTCAACTCGAGACACTCACTCTCAAAAAGAGACGAGGTGACGCTCTTTTGTTGCTTCGCATGCTCTGATGCAAGAACTCCATAAGATGTGATGACCACATCGACATCCTGGAGGTCGCTTGATAGTGGTGCTCTATTCGATCCGTGCCAAATTAGAGTAGAAAGCGTGTGCCGCTTGCTTGCGCGTTGAAGCTCGCCAGCCCACTGTGATAGTAGAGATGTAGGTACGATGACCAGAGTAGCACGACTCTGAGTATTGCTCTGTCTCGAGACAACTTTTGCTCTGAATGCACGATCGATGGATAGTTGCTTGATTTGTGGTTTGCTAGACTCGGTCGAGGCCTTCTCACCTCGCCTTGCAAGGTCTTGAGCACTGGCCTTGACAGTGTGAATCAATGCAGCTATCTGTATCGTCTTTCCTAATCCCACTTCCTAACAGTCAGAGTATGTCTACATGTATAAACGGGCTTACTCTCTGCAAGAAATTGACGTGCCATGATCTTTGAGCGACGGGTCCGCAGCCTACGACGACTCACCATCACTAAAGATATGAGCTTTCCGCGGTCACACACAGATTATACTCACGCTAAAATACCACCCTTACTGTGTGTAGTCGATTTAGGAAACTCCAAAGACAGTTCTCCAGAATACGGATTAAAGTAGAATGGTCGCTCATCTCCAGAGAGATCAATTACGCCGTCATCAGAAGGCTCGAATGGAAACGCATATCTGTGGCTTGATGAGTTCACGGCCATGCTAGCATGACACACGCACTCTTGCCACAATGGATGCATAGATCTAGAGCTTCGAGCTTCATAAAGACCTTCCTCCATTGATTTCATCCATCTGCAACTTATGAGACAAGTAGGCACCGGTGTGCTATATTCCGCACGTACTGGAGTGCCTGTAGAGATTGATGTGGTTGAATGGATGCGCCCCATGCACAGCTTGAGAAGCATAAGGATACAGGGACGTACCTGTTTCTGATATGGTCGCAAAGTCATACGAAAACTATCCACAGGTTCCATCTCTGGTAGATTGAGGTCGTTCTTCTGTGCTCTAAGCTGATGAGCAACTGAACACCGGAAAATAATACTCACCTCTTGTAAATCAAGTCCAAGTCGTTCTCATCTAGAGTTTCTTCATCATCTTCGTCTATCTCAACCTCTTCCATGTCTTCTCCCTCTCCTATTATTTCAATTCTCTTCTTTTGGTTCGCTCTAGGTGCAGAACGAGGCTTCACTTTCTCCAAGGAGCGTTCTGATTTCAATTGGGACGTCGAACGGGGCCGAAGGCCAACCATATCCATCAACTTGACAAGTGATTCCTTTCTTTCCCGCAACATCTTCTCTGTCGCCGTTTCTGTTCCTTCATTGAAGATCTTGTCCGACTCGTTGTCATGAAGTTCTGATGGCTTTTGAAACGCAGAGGGGGAGAAATAAGCCTTGACGGAGAGTATGATTGAGTCTCCTATCCTGATCTTCTCTGGCGCATCGACGATGACCCCAGAAAAGACGGAGAGCTTGAGGTCCAAGCAGATACCAATGAATTCTGCTACCGAAACGGGAAGCCGACCTAGCTGACTTCCGTGCTCCGATATGAAACGAACGATGTTGTCGGGCTTCTTCGAGACTCGGGACTCTTTGGACGACTTTGCCACAAACCCTGTGAGGGTCGTTTGTTTCCCTTTGGCCTTTGTATCACCCTTCTTGATAGTAGTATTGCTCTTGGATGTCTCCAGCGAAGGGCTACGTGAAATGAATACGCGTTGGCCAGCTGACATAACTTTATGACCAGAAGTCAGACTGTAGGCGTCAACGATGAATTCTCCTATATATATCCCTTCTTCCAAAGATAATTCTTCATCTGACTTCTTCGACTTGAATGGTGGCTTCGCTACTGCCGGTGGAGACACTCGTCGTTTTTTGGTCGGTGGTTCTAGGTCGGGAGATCGAGATGGACGTTTCATTGGCGTGTTATCCTGCTTCTTTGACGTCGTAGGTTGCATTATCTCGACAATTTCCTGCTCCTCGTCTGACTCTGCGAGGAACAACGGTGGCTCAGATGGTGGCGAAGAAGTTGCAGGTTCGCTTGCCACGAAACCAGACTCGATTCCGACGAGTTCATCCTCGTTTAATGGCTCGTCGACGCGTGTGGTGTCGTCCAGAAAGTCCATCGCAGAGTCGCTGGGACCAAGCCGCACGCGTTGTTTGGCCACGACACAAACGACGACGCACTCGCACCGGCGATTGAGTAATCCTTCTGAACCCGAATCAGTATACAATGTCTGTTCAAATGTCCAAAGAAGCCATGTTGGCAGAGATTCATACACTCGAACAAGCATTGCAGTGAGTGGCCGCAGTCCAAACACAGCAGACTAACGCGATATCAGGGGGGAAGACCCTTCAGTAATCGTTTCCCGCCATATAAAGCTCCTCCATGACTACAACGAGTCCAAAGATGCTGCACAGGTGCGCTCATAATACCAGGGTTTTGTAGCGACCTCTTAGCTGCTTAAAGGCGTTGATGGGAAAGCTAGCCATTGCTAAAGGAACAACTGTGACGCGGCTTCACGAGAAATACCAACTGAGTTTACGTGATTAACCCAGCCTCGACGGTATACAGTACGCGAGTCTACATGATAATAGTATATAAAAGGTATTCAACGCACTAGAGGCTTTCCTGTGCTCCCAATAAGAAGTAAACCAAACCGAGGGCATGGCTTTGCGACTTCAATTGGCGACGTAGTGGCGACTTCTGCCACTGGAACCCCTCTGATCAGGAGAGATGAAGTATTGGCACCATCCGAGACATCTCCTGATAATAAAAGAGGTAAGAGAACCTGGAGACGCGGAATACTTTGCGATACGGCGGTTTGAGTGCCTGTAAGAAACGTCTGCGCGTGCTTCGCAGTGGAAAGCTCATTTAGCTATGAAGAGTAAGCAATACATTTGTATATATTATGACATGCTTACCCGTTTCGTGACTTGGTCTAGAGCAGTGGTGATACCGCTCTGTATTCGAAGATGATTGCAGAGATGCTGGAGGAAATGTAGATCCCAAATCAATCGGGAAAATGCTGTGTCCAATGTCAAACTTTCTGGTTCTACTTTTGGCAAACCGACTGCGAGCCAGGATTCTAGGATTGGGTTCAAAATCGCCATATCTCTTATCCGATTGTGGTCAAGCCCAAGTAATTGAGATGCGGACTGAAGCATGTATAGCGAGTCAAGTAGTGCGCCGGACGGTCTCGTATAGACAGGTAATTGATCAGGTTCGACACTTTGGACAGGTCGAGCCTGGAAAATTGAACCCGTTTGTGCCGTTATTTGGCTTATTAGATGACCCTGCCATGCTGATAGACTCTTTTCATGAACAGTAGAAAGAAGAGTTTTGAGATCTGCCAAGCTCGTCAGATCATGTGGCGCTCATAAGGATGAGGTGCGGACCAGTGATGGTTGCATCCGATGATGTTTCCATCTTGAATATGCTCGAGTGCCGCAAGGAGTCTGCTATTCGTCCAATGAGTACCGAACAGTCCACTTCTGATTTTCCAGAGGATTCGAGCCCCTTTTGCAGCAGGGTTGCGATATCTTTGTAAAGTTGATCCTCAAGCTCGCGAAATTGCGAACCCAGAGAGCCAACCGGAAGGTTATCCGAGGTAGACATCTTCGCAAGCTCATTCTCTAGAGCCGAAATGCCGTTCTCCATGACAGAAACTACCGACTGGAGTAATGGAGTACGACCGTTTTTGCGCTGTTCAACAGCGGTCTCGAATCTTGAGAAAGCATTTTCAATATAGCTTTGGGACTGTGTACCTCTTGCGAAGGGGGGAAAAGGTAAAGATGACGAGAAGAGTGCCGAGGCCGGGTTCAGATCTAGACACAGATTAGATTGGTGCGTCATACAAGGGATTACTCGCCATTCTTTGCCGATGGATCACTGGCACGCACAAGTTTGGATGCGTTTAACAGGCCGGACTCGAAATCATCTCTGAGCGATGTGAAGGCCTCCTTCCATATGCTGATCATGCGCCCCTCACATACTTCTCCGACATGCCGTGCGAGAGAGTTCCGTTCTGTTTCTGTCAGGTGCTGGACAATCGCAGAAGAGATAACGACTCTCCGCACTTCCGCAACATCTGCGACATGATGCAGTAGCCCGACCCATTCGTGCAATTTCCCCACGAGTAGATCCAATGCCTTATTGAACCATTGATCCAGCTTCAAATTCAAACTTGCGTCTGATAATTTGAAGGACGGTCCACTGGCGTCAATGGAAGGGGTATATGATTTGATGAATGTCGGCAGATAGAGATCCAATAAGGAGGCGGATGGGAGAGCTCCGAGGATTTTTGAGGTTGAGAAGGGTGAGAGGCCTGCCTCGGCGTGCATATCGTTCAAGAAGGCCTCTATAGACGAAGCGGCCCCAGAATTACCATGGGAGTAGATATATCGAGCCTTGTGCACTGTCTCTGAGACGATATTGACGGCTCGACTGAGCATAGCTCGCACTTCGCGCACTTTTCGTCGCCTGCCCTTTCTCGGCGGGATCTCCGTCGTGTCTTGGTCGATAATGTCTTGCTTGAACTTGTTCATCCCATTTGATAGGAATGTATTGATGGCTTTGCTTCTTTGGGAAAGCAACTCGTCCAAGGTGCTATTCAACGATCTTGAGTCTAGTAGTACGAGGCAGAGTATCGCATCCATAGTTTCCTTGACGAGATTTAGCACGAGCTTTATGTCAAGAATTCCCACGAACCTGGTTTGTCAGGTCCTCCCTCAAAGACTGGGTCGCTTTATGGGTGATCTGAGCCTTAAAGCTGTGGATGGCATCCCATTGCCTCTGAACTAGCGGGAACTGTTCAGATACGGCAATGCCTTGAGCAGCCCAACCATCGTCCTCGTCTTCCTCGACAAGAGACTGATGCACGACACTCGCAACGAGGAATAGCCAAGCAGCGTCAAGGTACTGTCTTCGTTCGATTAGCTTCCAGAATTGCTCTGGGCAATCTAGTAGTAGCTTCATATGAGCTGCAAGCGATTGGAGAGTCTTCAATTGCGAGTCTGGTGATGTGAGTACGAACATCACAGGAACTAGCCGGTATTTACCTGAATCTGAGCTCGAGGGAGCTGCCACGCGAGTCCGATGAATGTCCTTTTCTGAACAACTAGTTCGCATGTCGTTGATGCCATCTAGGACAGCTCGAGAAGCGGAAGCCATGTCAATGATAGAAGTCGACGCCTCTAACAAGTCACGGTATCTCTCTCTGCACTTGCATTATATTTGTAAGCCGGCTTGTAGACGCATTTACGGACGCATACGTACCCGACCATCAGCCTGAGCTCTTCTTGTTTTGCATCAGCGTCTGCGCTTTCCAACAAAGCGTCAGTATACGTCGCGAAGGGGTTTTATATACGCTACCTGAGCTTGGCAGCTAAGGATTTGACTTGCGCGACCGAGTACCGGACGAACAATTCGTCAGGATCGATATGCGCAAGGTCCTCGTCGACGCCAGCAGCGGCACTGGGGTCCATTCTCGGTATTCCAAAAAATGAAGTAGCAGCAGACTTGACTGGCGCGCTAGATGCTTTGGGCGAGAAGACGACTTCGGCTGCTGCACTAGTCCGCACAAACGAGCTCGTCGCAGGCGTAGTTGCAGTATTCTGGTTTATAGGAGATGTAACAAGTTTAAGATCCATCTTTGTGCGGCCAACAGCTGTCGGCGACAATCGACTAGCGTGGTGGATGTGGTCAAAAGTAGCTTGGAGTCGGCCAACATTATGTCGGACCTCCAGTACAGGCCAGGCGGCTCACTCAAGCTCAAAGGAGGAGATGATGGCGGGAAAAAGAAGAAGTATGCAAAAGAATACAGCCTCTGCGCATGGACTTATGGATAACAGGAGCAAGAAGAAGAATCCGTCCAAGCTGGCACTGACAGGAGATGAGCCGGTCAAATCCGACGCATTGCTCAAAGCCCGTGAAAGCGATGATAAGCGTGGCTCACCGTCTGCTGGAGGGAGCGGTTCAGCCACCCCTGTAAAGACAGAAGCCGAGTTGAGATTTGAGAAGATTCAGCGAAGAAGGGTATGTATATTGGGATTGTAAGACCAAAACATTGACCGATATCGGTAGCTCTTAGACAAGGTATCCAAGATGGCTAGCAAGACTCATAAGGACCGCGTCCAGGAGTTTAACACCAAGCTCGAGCAGGCTTCTGACCATCACGACATCCCAAAGGTATGTCTCCCTCGGTGTTCAGAGTTTCTGCATGCTGATGTCTTTACAGGTCGGACCTGGATAATGCCCACTGCAATGTAATAACTCTTGATACAAATGTCAATCTTGCTTCACCAACTGAGCTCTCTGTGAATATAACACTTGTTGATATAATGACCATAAAATCTACAAAACTTTTGCTGACAGGTGGCTACGCTATCCAATGCTTCTTCGTCGCCCCTTCCGCTTTCGAGGATGCCTCGTCACAAAGTCCGAACGCAAAGCAGCTCGTCTAGCATCCACTCTTGCTCCTTCTGTCGATGACAAGGCTCTTTTGAATCTTTTTCACGCCTCTAACAAGCCCAAGAGCGGAACGACCAGCGGGCTGTTCAAGCACCCGCAAATGTCAACTCCAGAGGCATTCCTACCAGTTGCAGCAGCCACCATGGCACGTGCAAACTATATCGTGAGGCGGATAGTCACAGCCCAGGACGAGAAGGAAACACAGCGCATCGTTAAGAACATTGACCGACTGAGCGACCTCCTCTGCGGAGTGATTGACATGGCCGAACTTATACGACACATGCATCCAGACAGGGCTTGGGTCGACGCAGCGAACAATGCGTATGACATTTTGTGCGAGTATATGAATGGGCTCAACACCGACGTGGAATTGGCAGCGGTACGTACTACGCTGATCCTGACTCATGGCCATTGATGGGTATATAGGCTCTGGACAGGTTCATAGAGAACCCGAGCTTCAATACACTCCCGTTTGAAGCTCGTCAGACGGCACTAATCTTCCAACACGACTTTAACAAGTCAGGAGTGCATCTCCCGAAAGAAAAACGTGATAAATTTGTTCAACTCTCGTCCAACATCATCTCCCATGGACGGGACTTTCTCCAAGGCATGCACGCGAGAAAGCCCTCAGTCACCTTGACGCGGGAAGACTGTGATGGTGTGCCCGAAGGGAGTCCTCTTTGGAAACTCTACGCGCTCAAACGTGGGATGCGTTCGAGTATCTCCGTCGAACCAAATTCAACAGAGGCTCGACGCGTGCTCAAGTTTTCCACAAACGATGACGCGAGGAGAAAGGTTTATGTTGCGCAGAATACCAGTCGCGTCGAAGAGATTGGCGTTTTGGAGCACTTGCTCCGCGATCGGGCAGAACTAGCTAAATTGGTTGGGCATGAAAGTTATGCGCACATGCTACTCCATGACAAGATGGGACGGAATCCAGGTAATGCACCGTTCAACGATATTGCTTTTATTCCAAGCTGACCATTGTGTTTAGAAAATGTCCAAATGTTCTTGAACAGCCTGATGAATTTTTCCCGGCCGCGAGCTCTCGCAGCTTTGGAACTGGCCAAGGCGGCAAAGCAAAAGCGTCAAGGTCTACCTGCACCTCCCCAAATCCAAGCATGGGATCGCGAGGCCTATTTCCCCCCAGAACCCCTAGAGCCACCTATTCAGCTGCCGGTCCTCACACCTGGAATCGCCATCTACGCCTTTTCGCGGCTGCTGAGAAACATTTATGGGATCTACCTCCGACCAGCAGAGGTTGACCGTGCGGAGGTGTGGCACGAGGATGTTCGCAAGCTCGACATTGTCGACGAATCCGAAGGCGTGATCGGATGGATCTACCTCGACCTTTTCTATCGCAATGGCAAAGCGAGTGGTGCAACTCACTATACTTTGCGATGTTCACGTCGGGTCGACGACGATGATGCAGAGAGCGACTTTAATCCTGGCGAACAACGAGAGCTGACGCCCGAGATGGAGCGCCAGTGGGTTCTGACGACCGAGGCCCATGTTAGCTCTGCCAAAGTAGGTGCACATCAGCGACCTGCAGCTGTGATCAGCTGCGATTTGCTGCCGGGAAGAGCCAAAGAGATGGACTGGCAAGATGTCGTGACGCTGTGGCACGAACTCGGACATGCGATGCACTGTGAGTCGCTTCATTTACACGAATGATGTGCCCTGAGAAACGATCTAGCAATGATTGGCAGGACAGAATATGGCAATGTCGCGGGAACACGCTGTGCGACCGATTTTGTGGAGCTCCCTTCGATTCTCATGGAACATTTCCTCACTTCACCCGAAGTACTCTCCCTCTTCTTCACGAATGAGAAAACGACCGTCTCACCGGAGGACATGCCCGTGGCACAGAGAGCAGGTTCACCATTCCAGGCCATCGAGGCACACAACCACATCCTACTCGCATGTCTAGATCAACACTATCACTCTCGTGTCGCACTCTCACCGCACTTTGACTCTACCCACGAGCTCAAGCACATCCAAACAGCATATGGCGTCCTGCCGTACGTCGAGGGGACATCTTGGCAGACGTCGTTTGGCCACTTGTTCAGCTATGGTGCGAGTTACTATTCATACCTCTTTGACCGTGCGATCGCGTCGCGCATCTGGGCCAAAATCTTTTCCAACGGTCCACTACAACGGGAGAATGGCGAGCGGTTTAAAAACGACGTGCTCCGGTTTGGGGGTGGCAAGCAGCCATGGGATATGGTCGGTGAATTGTTGGATGAGCCAATGCTCAAAGAGGGAGGATTGCACGCGATGCAAGAGGTTGGCCGATGGGGAGTTGACGACGTTGCGGCTGGAGGTCCGTTGGCTTGAGTGTAGATAAAAAGTGGAGTCGCATATCAAAGAACTGATAACACTAGTATCGTACACACGAGATGAGAATGTACAAAACGAGAAGGAAACAAAACTTGTCCGATGAAGAGGGAGTACACCCGCATGAGGTGTGAGATGATCGATATGGGGATCTAGAACCCATATGTGAAGAGGACCTCGCGATGGCGAAGCTTGCCCTGGAATGTCTCTTCGAGCCAAGCGTCGCGGCGGTAGAGCTGCTGGTTGCTGACGGGATGTGCGGTAAGAAGCGGGCCGCGGATCGAAATCATGGCTGTCGTTGCGAGTGCACGGGTGATGGCGAGGACGAGGTGGTGGGCGAGCATCTTGCGCATGGTAGGTGCGCAGGCCCGAAGAATATCGTTTGAGACAGACATACGCATGATGACGGCCAAGTGCTCTGTTACATAACGTGTCAGTACGTGGAGAGTGGGACAAAGTGGGCGAGAATGCCCAGAGATTGAACAAGAGGCGGGAAGAAGGGACTGACTGTAGGAGGGATGCTTGACTGCAACGGTGAGAAAGGTATCGGCCTCGTTGCGCTCTGCTAGAAAGATGGAAGCGGTCATTGCATTTGTAGCAACGGATGGGGTGCGGTAGATGGCCCATGGCTGGCTCTGGATGATGCAAGTGCCCGAAGGGGCAATGGCGAGGCCAGGATCGGCAAGACGCTCGGCGACTTCGAGGCTGTTGATCCACTGGATGAGAAGACGGCCTTCGTTAAACTCGGAGGTCTGGATACGTTGGCGGAGGTCAAAGTCGCACATGGTCATGGCAGCCATGGTGGTCGGGGTCAAGAGTGAGATGGTTTGGGAGCGTTAGAGAGAGAGGTGCGAAAGAGTGCTCGTTGGTTGAGCTTGCAAGATAACCAACGCGGCCATGGGGGGTCTTTTATACGGCTCACAGGACGAGTAGCGGCGCATTGGCGAGAACAAAGGCGAGATAAGTGAAGAATTCCCGGTATCCAAGAGCAGAAATTGTCGAAAGTTGCGGCGCGGAGTAGAGACGGCAGGAGCGGTGTCGGAGCGAGCGCGGCGGGTGATTAGCCACGGTGGCCGACGAGCACGGTCGAATCTATCTCCATGACCACGTAGAGTGATCTACAATCTGTCGTCCGTGGTTAATAGAACAAAGGGAGCACTCTGACTCAGTGGGGTGCTGCTGGCGGCGCGGCGCCGCTGTCTGGTTGGCAAAGCATAACAAGAAGTTGTTCTGTTATTATGTTATTATCCCAAGAGTTGCTATTTCCAGCGCTTCTATTCCGTTCCCATAGGCGATGCGTTCCAAGCTTTGTTCGTCCCATCCTTGTCTTCTCCTCCGACCTGCGCTCGCTGCCAGTCCCTCGCAGAAGCCGCCGTCGTCGTCGCTGATATTCTTGAGAAATACCCATTTGTCGTCTGGACTGTCCTCCGTGGTCTCCCAGATACCGTTGGCAGGCTATCTCCCTCCTCCCGAGCTGCTCACTTAGCCCCCTCCAACGCAGGCCCGTTTCAGTCCTTTCCCCTCAAATCCTCTCCAGATTCTCTCTCGAATATCCTCTGTTTTTTCTGTAGCAATCCATGGCCCGTCTCTCGCTCTTCACCCTCGTTCTCGCGGCAACCGTCGCCCAACTCTCCCTCTTTACCTCTGGCACCAATGCTCTCCAAAATGTCGTCCCCCACCGACGAGCAGTAGAGCCAGCTGTTCATATCGATCTCAACAAGCGCATGCTCCGCAAGCGCAGGCCTCAGGGCGACATTGTTCCCATTGGCGCTGCCCCCGATCCCGCAGACCCAGATCCCAGCTCGTCTTCGACTAGTTCGACTCCCAGTCGCTCTTCTACGTCGTCCCAGAGCCAGGTGAGTATTTTTGCCCGATAGCGGCGTTGCTGCCGTCTCCGGTTCCGATTCTATTGCGGCCCAAATGTCTGATACGCCTTGTTGCAGTCGACACCCGCCGGCCAACAATCAACGCGTTCTTCCAGCACCTCGAGCACACAATCCAGCTCGTCGTCTTCGTCCTCGTCTTCTTCATCCTCATCTTCGTCGTCGTCTTCGAGCTCGAGCTCCAGTTCCAGCTCGTCCGCAGCTCCGACCACTACTTCTGCCACCCAAACGACACGCTCCGCATCCCGGTCTACCGTCGTTTTGACAGCCACCGCTTCCTCGACCGAGACTTCCCAGGCCCAGGATCCCAACGGCTCGTTTTTGCCCAAGTCTGCCATTGTCGGCCTCATCGTCGCCGGTTCGTGTATCGCCGGCGGAGCCGCCATTTGGACCGTTATTCGCAAGTGGAAGTTTAGTCCCTCGCGCCAATTCGAAGACCGTCTGGAGCCCATCAACTGGGAGCCCACCCAGTCGTCTGGCCTCCCTACCGACAAGAACGACGCTGGTCTCTCGCGACCCGGCTCCAATCGCAACTCTGTCGGCGACGGAAGCGTCAGAAATATGGCGTCTGCCACACACGACCCAGTCTCAATGGCGCCAGACTTCCCACCTGCCCACGATTTTACGGCTGGTCCGGCCAACGGCTACGTCAACATGTACCGTGGTCCGAGCCCAGCTCCTCCATCGACATACGGTGGTCACTACGAAACGCCAAACCCATATGATGCTTACGACTATAACAACAATGGTGCCTATGGTCAGAGGCGTTACTAACCCACGCACAACACAAAAGAAAATATAAATGGCGCGTGGGCAGGTTGTTTATGTCTGGCTTCTTGGGTCGTCACAGGTTGGCTCCGTTTGAAGGGATTACGGTCGTTGATGAATCTGGTGAAATTGGCAATGAGAGAAGATGGGCAAAACCGCTACACACATACAAGAAATCTAGCATCTCCAGGAATGCACTCACACTATTCCTTTTATCAACACGGCTCGTTGCACACTCTCCCTCGTTTTTCCATTCCTCCACTCGTTAATAATCGCCCTCCTCAAATCACCCTTGATACCAGTCTCCTCTCGAACAGTTCACCCTTTTTTTCCTCGCATCGGACGGAACGAGGCTTCGTCGGCCCCAAGCGTCGGCGGATGCATAGTTTCGAATGTGCTCCATCTTTTACCAGTGTTCACCTCGCGCTTGTCGCCCATTTTCTTCTCGCAGTGGACTGGTTGTCTAGGCAATCTATCATCTACGTCGTCCCGGTCTTTGAAACTAGGCGCTTCTCGTGTCGTCTATCGGATGACGAGTATGATCAAGAAATGATGCCTTTCTTTGTTATTTGTTCATGATTGATTGTCTCTCAAGACTATCCCAAACTAGTTAGCCACTGTACTTTGTCCTCATTGCTACTTTTGAGTAGCCTTTAATAATCTTTTTGCCGCAACCCCTTCTTTTCGCTTGTGCGAGTTATGTTTCATCTGTAATGCGAAGTGAATTGCCGTCTATCGGAGCACGGCGAGGCACAACAGGTTATTCGTGGGCCCATTGATTCCGAAGAACACCATGCCCATTCTTGATCATGTTTTCCAGCCGCGCGACGCCGTCGGAAGCATGCGAAACCTTGTGCGCTTGTGAAACCATGCCTCCCTCGTCGTCTCCTTCTTCCCTTTGCCTCTGATTATCCTTCTGCGCCGCCGTCACGCTCTCCATCTCCATCATCGAATCATCCGTTTCCATCAAACGCTGCTTCTTTAGTCCTGAGTGCACATCGCTTTCCACAGAGGACGCAAGAGTCTTGAGCCTCTGGAGAGCGCGTTGTTCTGCCTCCCTCTCCACTTCTTTCGGAAGTACCTCGAGCACTCGGCTCTTTGCCTCCCGATACACCACCGCGCTCGAGTCTTTGTCGGGAAAGGGCGTACTGCCACTTGTGTTCTTGTTGGCATCTGAGTGGGGTTGCGCACCGACGGCTATCTCCACGTCGTCGACCTCTCCCTTTTGTCGTTGTCGTTGTAGTCTTACGAGCGAGCCGAGTTGGGCCCATTGCTCTCGCCCATATCGATCCCGTTCGGCTTTGGTGCGTCCACCCCTCGTGGTCTTGGACGAATTCCCCCCATGCGACGAGGCGTCTGCACCACTGGACGATTCGCGAGACACGACAAACGAGGCTGGGAGCCTCGTTGGGTTATACGGTTGAAGTGACGAGTGAGGTAATATGTGAAATATATCACGTTCCAGAAAGTATCGCAGAATAAATACGTAGTATGGTTGGTGTGCCACTGGGCTCTCCTTGCAGAGCGAACAGAGGTATTCCAGCTTGTCTAAATATTGAGTCAGATGGATCGAAATAAAGAGGTATAGCTTACCTATCGTGATCTCGATGCTGGACACGCTGTATAAAGACTTGATCGTGGCCTGCTGCTGAAAGAACGTGTAGAGGCCAAAAACCGCACCGAGCTGCCTAGCAAAGGATTCACTGTCCTTGACACGCTCTTCTTTGTATCAGTCAACGTCCAAGATTCCGCTTGGACCCACCGAGAAACAAACGAAACATGGTCTGCAGGTACTGGTCTCGCGCCGTGTCTTCCCAAATGTATAGACAGGTGAATTTCCAGCCCTCTTGTGACCATACAGTCTTGAATATGTCAAAGGGTTTTAGAGGCTGCTCGACTGCTTCCTCAAAAGAGGCCAACAGGTCTTCTATATCTGAGCGTGCAGGGTTGACAAACAGTTCAGATGTAAAGTACTCTCTTTGGAGTGTCGATCGAGCGTTGGGTGTGACGCTCGGAATGACAGAAGCCATCCGCAAAAAGGTAGGGTTCAAGTTGCATTATAGCAGAAATCTAAGAGCTACAGGATACAAAATAACGACAAAGATCGAGGGCTCATAGATTCAAAGACGCTTGAACTCTTGCAAGATAACGATAGCGCAATGCTTCGACGGCAACAAGAGATTGTTGGTCGCTCCTTCGTTCTAGCTGGCTGATAAGATTTCCCATCGCATCAAGGTCCAAGTCCATCACCCGGCATTGAGCGGGAACGTGATAAGACATCCCACACATAATGCATGCAGCTGGAGCCGCCCCGCTATTAAACCTCTTTGCAGGAGGGGCAATGTTCGTCGAGCCCTCAGCAGGCCTCTTCTGCGATCCAGATGACTTGCTGCTAGACGGAATCGGATAGCGATTACCAGAGAATGAAGCAATTGGATGAGTAGTTTGCGTATATGAAGGTTTGATTGCCATCTTTGGCGGCCCTCTTGCCAACTTGGCGCTTGCAGAGGAGCTATAGGTCATAGAAACATTGTTCGCTGACCGGGAGAGTGTAGAAACCTTAGGAAGATTTGAGACCTCTGTGCGTCGCGCGCGAGCAAGCCTTTCTTCTCGTTCGGCAATATCTGCATCAATCGCCGCCACAGCTGCCATCTAGCACAGTTGAGCACAGAAAGTGATGCTTGAAATTGGAGTACTTGCCTTTTCTTCAAGTGGATCAGGTCCATCGAGCAAACGAGTTCTCAACATTATCAAAGATGCAATAGAGGAAAGTGACGGGCAGTTCCCCCTCCTTATGGCGAGTCCGGCACACATTACAAGCTGGTTCTCTGAGGTCTAATATGGAGAAAGAATACGATGGAGCCGGTTGGATAGGTCGAGGTTGGCTGGAGAAAGGCGGACGATAGGCTGGCGCTGGATGAGCATTGGCAATAACCGGTGAAGGGTTCATTGAGGGCAATTCGGGTGTCGATTTTCCTAGTTGAGCAGCAAAGCGGCGGCCTTCGAGCTTGGCGGCCTTTCGACGCTCTCTCTGCTCCCGCTTCAAGACTTTGACCCTCATTTCTTCCGATGTGTTTGCTTGTAGGCTAGATACCTCTTGAGTGATCTCGATGGGATTGGAAAAAGCCCCAAAATCGTCGTCGCTGATGGCATCTTCACGATTGCTTCCGTTGCCGGGCTCTTGATATTCCACGTCGGACTCGTGCGATTTCTTACCCTTCCCAGCCTTCTTGGCCTTTTCAGGTGACTCTTCCAAAAGGATATGGTACTTTTGCTATAAGATGTGACCAATGGGGTCGAAAAAGATAAGGAACATACCACTGCAGCCTTTGCAGCCCGTTTTCCCCCACGGCCGCTCGCGACTACTTCTTGAGCTGCCGCCGTTTCTTTTTCCTCTTGCACCTTGGCGATCATGGTAGACCAGAAATCCGTGTCAAGGTTTTCGTCACCCTCTTCCGTGTTTGCACTTTCCCAAACCTGTGCAAACTCGAATATCGTTCCAATAGATTCGGTAGTCGGCGCTCTGGGCTTTGCAGCCTCCTCAGCATTCTCGATCAAGTTGTCAACAGAAGCCTCTGTATCTGAAGAATGTCATAAATTTCTTGGATAGGTGGACACGACTCACAAATAATATCATTGTCCTCTCCCTCGGTGAAAAGGCCTTTGGCCCCAGAGAGCAGCATAGATTCCAGATCCTCGGCTTCTTCCCCATCCTCCATCGTCTGGACGATGACATGGTCAAGCACGAGCTTTTTCTTGCCATCGTTCATGATTTTCTCTGAATGGTTCGTTAGCTACGATGCAAAGAAATGAACGGTATCTTACTTTCCGGGCCGGTGGTCGCCATAAGGCGGAACACTATAACCGGTTTCTTCTGGCCAAAGCGATGGGCGCGAGCAATTGCTTGAGCATCTGCGCGGATTGAGTATAATCCTCCTGTACAATATTCACATACCTGAGAATGGATTAAAATCTGGATCGAATATGATCACAGTGTCTGCAGTCGCGAGGTTGACGCTGAATGTAACTTAAGAAAATAAGAATTGACCGGATCTTCGACTCACCCAACGCCACCTATAAATAAATGAGTGTGCTTTCAATCAGCCTTTTCGGACGAACCTGCACGAGTAGATAACAGATATATAAAGTATTCAGAATCAGGTGCGTTAAACCGATCAATGTCCTTCTGACGTAGGGCTCCTTTGAGGTCACCGTCCTACATCAAGATGAGATTGATGACGCCTGGGCATCCTGAATAACGTACCAAGCGCAAAAATGGATACCCTTTAGCGACGATAAAGTCTTCGATAATGTCAAGTGCAATCTTGCCTCTTGTCAACCACGTGGCGTACAGACATAGAAATATACGCACAACGAACTACAAAGAATTAGACAAGGCCGGTCTTCCGGAGAATGGAGTTACATACCTGAGAGAAAAGTAGTACCCGTTTGCCCTTCGCCTTCAGTCTCTCAAGCATAACTTCCAAGAATTTGAGTTTGCCACTTGCGTCGATGAGCTGTCGATTCATTTCTTCCGTCGTTTTTGTCTCTCTCTCGAGATCTGGTTCCACCAGATACGGATGTTGGACGAGCTTGCGCGTTTCCATTAGGATATTACGCAGGCTAGCTTGAGTGGCTTTGCCCTTTGGCTTGAATGAGGCCCCAGCATTGACAAGGTTACTGAGAACAGTCAAATTGGACTCTACTTTGTGTCAGTTTTCCTCAGCCATGACTATCTATCCCTACCAATGAGTGACTTGTAGATACTCTTCTGCAACTTCGAAAGGGAGACAGGAACAATCACTTCGTGCTGAATGGAGCCTAAGCGAGGTACAAAGAGTAGGATAATAACGTACCTTCGAAGGTAGGTTGAGTATATCCTTTGTTCGCCGCAGGAAATACATCTTTAGCTTTTCCCGCAACTCTGAGACCATGCCACTTGTTAGTTGTTCACTTTGATACTCGCGTTCTAGGTCTTCGACGTCTCTCCATTTCTCGGGGTCAATGAAATTCATGAGATTGAACAGCTCTCGGAGATTATTATTGAGTGGCGTCTGTCCTGGGGGTAAGAAAACGTCGAGCCTCGCTGAAATAGGACCTTACCCCTGTCATTAGGACCCGATGACCAACAAAGATCTGATTGAGCTTCTGAAATAACAAGCTCTTGTTATTCTTAACTAGAGATACGTCAGGTCGAGTGATTCAAATGCGCAATTAGACTTACGTCGTTGACCTTCGTCAACAACAAGAACTTCCCATCGAGAAGGGGCTTTGAACACGGTGGCCCATTCAACCTTGTTCAAGAAGGTTTCGTATGTCGTGACCAACACGTGCAGCTTGAGTTTCGTCTGACCGCTTGCTGCCGACGAGTGGAATATTTCGTATTCCCTCGTAACGTCTCGTGATGCCGCCTCACCGTAATAGGCTACTGCACGTAATTGCGGAGCCCAAGTCTGAAACTCGCGCATCCAATTGAGGATAGTGGAATTAGGGACGACCACCAAATGTGGCCAGATCTTCTTCTCCACCAATTTGGCAAGGAAAGTGATGATCTGCACCGTCTTTCCCTGACCTTTCGTGAGGAAGTAGTTACATGATGGACCGTTGGACGTACGAGGCCCATCTCATCCGCCAAAATTGCAGGCTGTAATCTCCACCATGCGTATAGCAGCCAATTGACCCCATCTACGAAGCGTAAATAAAACTGCTGAGGTTCCTCTAGACTACGCACCAATCTGGAATTGCCGCAGATGCTTCCCTTGCTCGGCGACAAAAGAGTCCTTGATTTCCATCTTGTTATTGGCGAATTCTTTCGCATTGCGACTATCTCGCTTAACCAACTCGGCGTGCGAGACTTTAGCGACAAAGACGGATTGCGAGTGAACATATCGCTCAAAGGCATCTTTGAATTCTTTCCACCCTGCTTCACCGCGCTTAGGAGGCGTATCCCAGGTGGCTACGGGCATATCGTGTAAGTGGATAGACAGGAAAAGGTCAACACGCACCCTCTTGATATTCCAGATCTCCCCACTTGACATAGCACCATACGACGTCGTCAATATCTTCCATAGTCAGGTTGAGGCCATTTCGGCGCTTTCTTCGTGCAAGAGGGGACTCAGTGACATCTGGACCGAGCAACTGGGTGCCTTGCTTTCTAGACCTCTCACGGAGGATCTCCAACTTGGCTCTGATAGATGCCTCGTCCTCTCCATCTCCCGCTGACTCATCACTATCTCCAACGACTTGCATTCTAATGCTCTTCTTGGATTTTTCGCGCCTTGACCGTTTATGGGGGGTGAGGAATACGACATCCAATACCTGTTCCACTTGTTTCCAGGCCTCGGGAATGCACTCCCCGGCACGCGGATTCGGGAGGGGTGGTCCGTCTTCTTCTTCATATACTCTGCGGTGAATTTCGCCAGTATTTGCATTGTAAAGATGTTCCAGCTTCACTTTGCTACCATGCAGGATAAAGTGGCGCAGTTTACCATATGAAGTGGACGCCAGCCACAAGTGAGGCACCCACGTCGTTCGACGGTAGCTTTTCCCGACCCATTTGACGAGATACTCTCTTGGCCAAGGTTCTTTATAAGGCTTACTTGCCTCCTCTTTAGGAGTCAAGAGTGGCGCATTCTTTGGATACGGACGCCAGGCCAGGATCTTGTCGGGGGTTGAGCTGTAGATTGCGCAGTTGCCACATCGCCACGAGTACTCGGACTGATAGTGAAGAGCGATGTCGTCAATGAGCAGGGGTCCTCTGAGGTTTCGGCAACCCATGGGCTTTGGAGGTGCGCATAGTGAGCCGCTCTGCGACACCAGGTACATCTAAAGAGAATTTCTGTTGGTATGGACTCGGATTGTTCAACAGTGTTGCCCGGCTTGAGTTCCTTGTGGCATTCGAAGCAGATACCGCCCTGCGAGCAGGCACTACAGACATACGTTACCGTTTCATCAAATCTGATCGTCTGCCTTTCTGCTTGATTCTTGTCTAATGACAACTCTCGTGCCCTGGCGGCTCTGAGGATCTCGCTTCGCTCCGTTACAGACAGGCATTTCCAATGTGATGCTTCAGTGCAGTGCACGCACTGATAGGGTGTAAACTGGGGAGAACTCGACACTGGATGAGTGCGTACCTGAAGCCATCCGCCGGTTCGCTCGAGAGCATCCATATTCTGAGCAACAGCAGCTTCTCCTTTCGCTTTGATCATTTCAAACCGAAGGTGTGCCGGAGGATTCCCGCAAGTAACGCAAGCCGTGCGATGCCGCTGCAGTGGATCGTCCTCCTCAACGGTAGTGGCTTGGGTAACAACTCCGCATGCCTGATTGATTGGACGATGTTGCCTAGGGACCCGTTTCTTCTTGGGAGAATGCAATGGCGCGGGATGCATAGTCGTTGGAAGAGCGACATTCCGCTTCGTTCTCGAGGCTTTGACGACCTCGACAGCAGAGTCATCGGAGCGTTCGGCACGATCTTCATCCATATCGTCACTATCAGACGTCACGGGAGGTCTTCGAGATTGCATGAGATGTCTGGTGTCCTTTGAGCGCATTTTGCGGGGACTTGGAAACCGGGGTCGAGATTTCTGCGACATATTTACTCTGGCGCTTCTTCTAACGCCCAAAACTACTCAAACGTGAGTATAATACCTTTCGACTCAAAAAAAACCTGTACCCTGATCGTCCTCGTCCTCATCATAGCCTTCAGAGCTTGACTGAGCGGATGCTTCCGATTGGTTTCCATCGACAGAATCATTTGAATCCATATCTAGTGCACTAGTAGCTTCCTCTGAGTTGCTGTCTTGCGAGGGGAATTTTTGGGACCGCAAACCAGTGCCGGTGCGCAGGTCAGGAGATACCAACGAGATATCAAACGGGGAAAGTCTACTCCCTTTCTTCTTTTCTCCTGCAAGACACACGCATCAACATCTCGACCTCAAGCTCGATCATGAACATACGCATTGCGTCGACAAAGGTACCGAATCTAGCTGTAAACGGCACTTTGAGTTGCTGGATTATGTTAGTTTCGCTGTTCAACGTGCCATGCGTGTGAAACAATATAATGCTTACTCGACGAATACTGCCGTCGTCGAACCGCACAAAGACGTGATTGCGTGTCTCTTCGAGTACCTCGACGGGATGGATAGCATTTCCGGATTCGTTTCGCAGAGGACTCCATCTGTGTATCTCTTGGATGATGGGCAGTGCGACGTACAAGAACCGATTGCGAGGCTTGAGCTCAGTTATCGGGGGAAAAGCACTTGAATCAATTGTCGACGCGTGATTCGGCGTATCAACACATTCTTGGTCAACATCCATCATTGACAATGACTGTGGGCGGGTCTAAAGAATGCAATTCGTGGCTGCCAGGCCTGCAAGACAGTTCATCTTAAAATCGCGTAGAATCATAAATGGGTTGATTCAAGTGCATAGTGTACGGGACAAATGACATGCAAAGGAACCAGCGACCCGGAAAAGCAAGTACACCACTACTTTAACTTCTTCTTTCTGTGAGGTTTATCAGCATTTGCCCTTATCAGAACAAAAAGGACTGACGGGCGAAGCTGGCTAGAGTGGCCACATGCACGCTTGCGGCAGTTGGTGGCACGGGGCGGGAGACGAGCGTAGCACTTGCGGCAGATTTGCTTCTCGCAGTTGTACTTGGAAGCCAATGCTTTCAGCGATGGCTCGATGATGCCACCACGAAGACTGTTACTGCGGTCAGTGGCGGTCTCACCAATATGCCAAAGGTACACACCGGAGGACAAGGTGAAGAGTCGACTCCTTTTGGATATTATAGTCGCTCAACGTGCGACCATCTTCGAGCTGCTTTCCGGCAAAGATAAGACGTTGCTGGTCCGGTGGGATTCCCTCCTTGTCTTGGATCTTGGTTTTGACATTGTCAATGGTGTCCGAGGACTCGACCTCGACTGCAACGTTCACTAAGTCTTTATGTAGATTGTGTTGGTAGAGGACTGACGTGTGATGGTTTTACCCGTCAGGCTGTAGCGAGTTTGTTAGCTAGCGGCAGAGTATGAGCAATGGCAACGTACGTCTAAATGACACCAAAAATCCACAGATATTTAGTAAACGAGCATACAATCAAAACAAGCAACCTGCCTTTACCTGATAGCCTGTCAGCGTTTGCTCTGTCACACCCAGTTCTACTTACGAAAATCTGCATCGTTTAACAAGCTGAGATGCAACCAATAAAGATTTTGATGAGGATTGGTTCGCTGCCAGAGCTCAATGTTACACACCTGCAGTGGTAAAGTTCTTACTTGCTCGCGGGGCCAAACAGCGCCAAATACCAGTCTACCCACGTTAAAATCAAAGCAAAATTCATACATGAAACCTGCTTTCTTACAAGTAAGAATAACACTCGAGAGATTTAGACACAGACCTATATCAAAGTCCAAAAAGTCGTCCACCAACTTGTCAAAGAATCATGAATATCTCATTTAATAACCCAGATTAGAAGCTGAGATTTGTGGCATGCGACGCTTACCCGCATGCGCAAATACCGGTCAAACGTATCCGCCACCACAACTTAACCTCCATGGTTAGAGCGTTCGGAACGCATATACGCACAAGATCTGACACTATGTTGCTTTATTAGGTCGTCCTTGCCGCATCTATCGTCACAAAATCGGGAAAACGTACGCCGTTCTTGACCCTCTACTCACGAATCCACGCTGAGCACGCTCACAGCGATCATTTCGCGACAGTTTCGCGAAATGCCGCGCTCACGCGTGGAATCGCTCCTTACCTCGTTCCCCAAGCTCATCCCACCAAACTCACAGCACACCTCTGTCGAAACGCCAGATGTGCGATACGTGTACCAACCATTGGAGGAACTATACATCCTGCTCATCACCAACAAAGCCTCAAACATTCTTCAGGACATTGACACCCTTCATCTCTTTGCCAGAATCGTATCCGACCTCTGCCGGAGCGCAGAAGAAAAGGAGATTACGAGCAAACAGTTTGAGCTTATGGGTGCATTCGACGAAGTAGTCTGCCTAGGATATCGAGAGCCCATCAATTTGACCCAGGTCAAGAGCGTGTTGGAGATGGAGAGCCACGAAGAGAAGATTCAGGAAATCATCGCGCGAGTGAGGATCCCTGTCAACTATCGGAAAGGGAACGTTTCTGACAAGGATTGCGTAGAACAAAGAGGCAGAAGCCAAAGAAGAGCTCAAGCGTCGTGCAAAACAGATGGAAATACAAAAGCGCGAAATGCAGCGGCGAGCGGCACATGGCGGTGGCGGAATGGAATATGGAAACAGTGGCGGATTTGGTACGGTTGCAAATTCCGGCGGATACTCGTCTGTGCCCCGATTCGATACGGCATCACCCGTCCCCCGCACAGAGTCGCCTCAACCCAAAGCAAAGGCTCCCGCATTCAAAGGGACCGGTATGAAACTCGGCGCAACCAAAAAGGTCAAGCAGGCAGAAGTTTTGGACGCGTTGGGTGGCGAGCTCGCGACACCAGATCGCTCGAGAGCAGGAACACCAGCTATCCCAGCAGCCGCCTCGATACAGCGCATCTCTACTCCCTCAAATCTTCCATCTGTCACGAGAGAAGGGTAAGGCACTTTGCTCTCATTGACCTCTGCATCTCACATCGAGTAGAATCCATATCCAGGTCAACGAACAAATCTCCGTCGCATTGGACCGTGATGGCTCATTGAAGAGCCTCGATCTCAAGGGAGATCTACAAGTCGAGATTCAAGACAAGTCAGCTGGTCCAATCCGTATCAAGCTTGTCGAACCGGCGTCGGCATCTCCAGGAGATTTGCAATACAAGCAAAACCCCAAAGTTGCCAAATTCGATGCGACAGGTGATAGACTTATTGCACTCAAGAATGCCTCGGAAACGTTCCCCGTTGGACGATCTCTGGAACTGCTTCGATGGCGTCTCACCAAAAAGGATGAGAGCTACCTCCCTCTCTCGAGTAACTCCTTTTGACTATCGCCACAAAACCTTTTACTGACATTTAATAGTCAATTGCTGGCCCACGCCCACCGATGATGGCTCGTGTGAAGTCAATATCGAGTACGAATTGGAGAACGACAAGTTGACCTTGTACGATCTGAAAATCTTGGTTCCTCTTCCGTAAGTCATACTTCATTTCCTTTATCATCCCGGCCGCTAAATACGTTTAGATCTGGGAGCATACCAAAAGTGGCGAGTGCAACCGGTGATTGGGAGCACGTCCCTTCCGGTAACCACCTGCTATGGTCGACGTCCATTGTTTCCTCTGACGAGGACAATACATCGGGTAGCCTCGAATTCAAAGTCCCCGGTGCTGGAGATGACGTATCTGTCTTCTTCCCCGTCAAAGTAGCATTTGCGGCTGTCGGGACGGTATCAGAAACCGCCGTTGCTTTGGTCGAAGAAACGTCGTCTGGCTCTGCTGTGGAATATTCTACCGAGACAGTACTCAAGGTAGAAGAGTTTACAGTCGGCTAGTCACAACCTTTGGGTATCCTTAATCAGTCATTGACGTGTAATCCATGGTCTTGTTAACTCATGCCTCCGTGACACTAAGCTAAAGTTGGACTCAAGCTTATGAACAATGGGAAACATTCTTTTCATTAGGCAAATATATCGTAGTACTCCTTGTCACTGTCAGATCCATTTTGATTATGGTTGAGCCAAAAGTTCCTCCCGTTCCCGTCTTGCATTTCTAATATCTTCCAAGGTAATGGACGATCTATCACACATCAGTCTGAATATTCCATTCGCGTTCTGGTAGAGGTTTTCCGGGGTGTCAAGCTCGTGGATCTGACCGGCATCGAGAACGGCTACACGATCATAACTCAGAATTGTCCTCAGGCGGTCTAAAGAAGACATCAAAACACGCAATCAAGAAACAAAAACAAACTCACGAGCAATACAAAGGACAGTTCTATTCCGGAAAGCCCTCGCGATTGTATTTCCTATCTGGTAGTCTGTGTGGACGCTCCAGTAAAATTATCGCACATCATTGACTGAACATACCTGTCAGATAGTCGACTGACGCAGTCGCCTCATCAAGGACAAGGATATTTGCATTGACGACGAGGGCTCTAGCCAGCGAAACAAGTGATTTTTGCCCAACACTCAGATTCGCCCCTTCAGTCTCGATGACAGTGTCGAGGCTGAAACGATCGACAGGTGTGCTAGTACCAGCCGTTTGACTATGAATCGATTGCGCAGCGCTAGCCACAGCCGTGTGAGTGCCAATAAGGTACGATTGCCGGAGTGCTTCATTGAGCGTAGCGTCATCGTGATGATTGAAGGGATCCAGATTGGTTCTCATTGTCCCAGAGATGAGATGTGCGTCCTGTGGGATAGCTTGGGTGGATGAGTGTCTGGACGTTGAGCTACGCCGATTACTTACTGCTAATCTTGGAGCGCAGGTCATCCAAACCCAGAGTAGAGATGTCAATGCCGTCGATGCGAATCGTTCCTCCGCTCAATTCAACAAGACGGAACATGCAGCCAACCAATGAAGACTTTCCCGATCCCGTCCTATGAGATACATGTTAAAGGCGATTGAATAGAGCTCGAGAGGCTCACCTTCCGATAATGCCTATCTTCTCGCCACCCTTGATGGTCATCGAAATGTTCTTCAAAACGAGCGGAAGACCTGGACGATATCGCAGCGAGATTTGATCAATCTCTATTTCTCCTTTGTTGGGCCATTCTTGTGGAGGTTTATTCTCTGGTCGTTGCGCAGGAGCTTCTTGCTCAATCTCGTTTGCGTAGTGCAGGATTCTCTCCGCAGAGTTCATGTCATTCTCCACCTCTGGAAAGAAATGAGCTCCTGTCGCAATGAAGGGGCTGTTACTAACCAGCTGTCTGCCTAACGAGCCATCCCTGCCAACTGTTAGACATGCGTACATAGGAATGAAATGGTGAAGCGACATACAAACGCTTGTTGCACTCCAATAATGTAGGAAAGTGCCAGGCCGGTAAGGGCTGGAGAAATACTGAATCGCGCTCCGACGGCAAGAAGAGCAACACTGAGTGTGAGAAATGTTCCAAGAATATCTAGACGAATACCGAGCCAGCGTTGGTTTGTTACGGTTAGCCAGTATGCTCTGTAGAACGTCAGTGGTTGTTAATTTGTACAAAACTCGATTCACCTGTTCTCTACGTCGATGCGCTTGACATTCTCTTGCCTGAATCTTTCAGTCTCGCTGTATGCTCTGATAGTGGCGAGGCCTGAGAGGGACTCAGAGAAATGCGAATAGAGTGAACTTCGCAAGATGGCGTCTAGAGAACCTTGAGCGACAATCGTAATGAGTCATTAAATACTGACCTAGTCGCTTTATCTCTCGCGCAGTGTGTCGGTAGAAGACCGCCATATAATAGTAGATAATCCCAATGACAAATAGGGGTGCAAGGAATTGCGGAATGACGATGGCAATCAAGATAACTGAGCCTATGATCTGCGTAACCGTATTATTGAGGAAGCGAATTGCGTCCCCTAATGTGTTATCTGAAAACCTGTGAGCTCACGTGCTTTGAAAGTTTAAACACGGACCAATCGTGTCGATATCTACATTCAAATTGTCAATTTCACTCCAGGAAGTCAAGAAAATATGCACCTTTGGCGAACCTGTTCATGATCCGACCAAGAGGATTCGTGTCAAAGAAGCTCATAGGACTGTACATAAGCCGCTTGAGTGCCGCCTATATGTGACCCGTGAATCATTGCGAATCAAGTAGTCGACATATGCACACCTTGTGAAGAGCCCTGCTCGCGAAGTATGTGATAAACGAGAGAACTGCACCAGTTACAAAGGTTCCCAGTGCTTGTGCGGCGCCCAAACTGGCATATATAGCCATCTAAGCCCGTTGTCAATAGAAGAAAGCAAGTTCTGTCCTTACTCACATAAAAGCCCTGTGACTTGTGCCATTTGAATTCTTGCCAATAGACGAGCCTAGATAGCGATCAGCCTCCCAGCACCATTGTGGAATTAATTATCCTACCAATATCCGCTCATAACTTGGGCGCCTTGAGTGAAGATGGCCGACAAGAGGAGTAACGGAATGAGGATCTGTCCGTTGGCAGCCTTGAGGTACTGTCCGTAGACTATTTCCAATAATTAGAATGCAATCATTCACACTCAGGTGACTCACCTGTTCCCTTGACCGAGCCCGTGTTTCGCTCCTCTGCCTGCATCTGTTGGGCACCTTGAATAGCCTTGCGGCGCTTCTTAGCTGCCTCGACAGCCGCTTCGCCTCCATCAACCTCCTCCTCCTCTTCTTCCTTTTGCGCATCCTCTTGTGCGCCAAACTGTTTAATCAGGAACGAAAAGGCTCCACCGGTCTTGACAAGGCCATCATACGTCCCGTCTTCTACAATCTTTCCATTCTCCATGACAATGATGCGGTCTACCAGCGGGAGGAAATGAAGGGCGTGCGTTACCAAAATGCGAGTCTTGCCAGCCAGAGCACCGCTGATCACGTTTTGGAAAACGGCCTTGCCGACATGGGCGTCGAGAGCGGAGAGAGGATCATCAAGGATGATAATGTCGCTGCCAAAGTAAAGACTGCGCGCAATGTTGCATCGCTGTCGTTGACCACCGGAGAGCGTAATGCCTACGCGACGTTAGGCATTTTACTTTGCAGAAAGGAAGTGCTATACCTTTTTCCCCAACCTCGGTCAGGTCACCATTCGGGAGCATGTCGAGGTCCGCTTCCAAACAAGAATCCTTGATCACATTCCAATACTTCTCCTCGTCAAACGGTTTGCCAAAACATATGTTATCGCGGATGGTCGCATTCTGTAGAGCCGTTGGCTATTATTATTACCCGCAATTGTGGATTCGGGGACACTGACCTGGATCCAGGCGGATTGCGGACAATAAGAGACGCTTCCGCCAAACACCACATCCCCACTCGTTCTCCGCATTTCCCCAATGATACCTTGAAGTAGGGAAGACTTGCCACTGCCAATTGCGCCAACAATGGCACAAAGTTGACCTCGGGGAATGTCAAAGGTGATGTTCTCAAGCTTGTAGGACTCTTCTGGTTGCGCAACATTAGCACCGCGCTGGTTTTCCTTGTGTTCTGCCTTCTCCTTGCGCGCGTGCTTGCCCTTCTTCGCAGACTCCACCTCTGGTGGTGAACCATCCCAGACGAAGGTTGCATCCTGGACACGAAGGGCAAGGTCCATATCCGGGTCTACCTTGCGGGTATCGGCAATGACTTCTGCGACAAAAACGTCGTACAATCTCTCGACTGCACTAGCTGCATCTGCGATTGCAGAAAGACCCATCGGCATCCACATGAGAGGGAAGCGGACGAGTTGGAAAAGTGTGAGGGATGTGAAGATAATGGCAGCGTCGAGCTGATGCCCGAGCGCACTATAGGTGATGAAGGAGACGACAGCGGCAATAGAAGGAAGCGAGAACGCTACGGCGTTGTTGCCTGAGCGAATGAGAAGAAGTGTACGGATATGGGAAAGTTCATGTCTCCGATATTCTCCAATTCTTTTTATAAATGGCATCTAGATGCAAAATGAGCTCGATAGAGTCAGAAAGGGCTGGACTTGCCTCCCAAGTGAAGACTTTGATAACCCGCATCCCATTAAGGAGTTCTTGAAGCAGTTTGACCCGCTTGTCTGTCCATATCATCGCCTTCATTCGCACGCTGAACAACCTCTTCATAATCAATGTCTGTAGTGGTGAGACGACGAAAAGGATGGCAAAACCAGCGAGCGCAGACGGCCCGAGTTGGACAATGAGTAAAACTAGGCACAGGAGGAGGCCCAGAGGCGACGTCCATGCTATATGGAAGAACATACAGCAAAAATCAATGCGACTAATATCTGTAGAGATCAGCCCAATGAGCCGTCCACTGGGAACTGTGATCCTTGCACGAGAAGTGAGCTGCATACTACGATCGAATAGCGCAGCAATTAGGCCACCACGAATTAGCTTTGATAAAAGTTAGTCGTGCACCCTTGCCTTGGGTATATTTCGACTCACCACTCCAGTAGTACTGCCTCGGTAGAAACTATGATGCAGGCCCCAGGACGAGATAGTCTGCTGAATGAACAGAGCAAAACAGATGCCAATGCCTTGTCCAATGTTGGGAGGTTTAGCGCCAGTTAAATGTGCTGAATACGAGCGCTGTGCAAACTTGATAATTTCCTTGACGAGGAGCGGACTGGTGAGTTGAGCAATATCTCCTATTAATTTCAAGATACCACCACTCCAGAACCACCACAGAACGGCGTGGTTCATGGACATGGCTAAGCTTGCTCGCTTCTTGCCGTCTTTCGTCCTCCATTGCTCCTCTCGGCGATGGGGATCACCACGAAGACTCCACCAGATACGCCTGTGAAACTCGGGTTGTATTTCTCCAGAAGCAAGACGAGTATTGTACTCTTCCGCCGCCTGATGCCGCCGTTGAAACGAGTCAACGATACGCTTGGCTATCTGCTCGGAAGAGCGATCTTGAGGGAGGCGTGAGAGATCTTCGGCTTGCAACGGTCTTGCATAGCCAAGCATCATGGTCGGAGTGAGCCAGGACCAGTACAACTGGCTCAGAAAGCTCGCGTTGACGTCCCCCATCAGAGGGGCCGAGTCGAGTGTTCCCGTAGGTGGAGGAGCTTCGAGAGAGACGAATGGAACGCGGCCCCACCTTGTATATGCTCTGTCAGACTCGCGAAGACGACCAAAAAGGAACGAATGGCTCACCAAGGACGCTTGTCATATTGTAAATACTCTAATTTCTTAACTTTTCTCCTTCTTTCGTCGAAGCGCGTCGTCCGAGTCAGCCGTCGGTGCATCATGGATCGAAGTTGGTTTGGTCTGGTCGAAGTTTTGTTTCTCTGCGAGCTTTTCCTGTTGGACTGGTGCACTCATCACCTAACAGAATGCTATCTAAATTCCAGACGGCGATGGTCAGCTCTAAGAGAATGACTGCTCACTAAGCCAGGGTCTTTGCACATGGCCCAAAGATGCCGTCAGACGGCACGGGCAAGGGTTAAGGAATCCCACCAAAAAATCCACAGAAAATGATATAGATAATATATTATGCAAGCATCCAATCAGTAATTGCTGCCGCGAGCGTCTTTCACCGGCACAGTGGTAACCGGGGGATGCCCTCGACTGGCTCTCTACAAACTTGGACCCGTCCATCTCCAGCAGCATTGAGAACTCGTACAAAACATGGAAAGGATTAAGCAACTTTCATCACAGCTTATGGGTTCAGGATCCGGTCGCGCACGACTCGAGGCAAAGTCGCCAGACGACGTCGTAGTCACAATGGCTATACGCTCTCCAATGTGCAAGGTACTGCTTCCAATCTCTACGAAAATTTCCATTCTGATCGCTAGCAGGCCCGCAAAGGTGGTTTCAAAGATACAAGGTCCGGGCGGATTCATCACATGGCTTTGTGAAGCGGCTAACGCCCTTGTCCAGGAGCGATGAGCTCTTGACAGCCATGTTCAAGGTGATTCCAAGCCTCTGACCGTAACACTAGGTCTCACTGTTCAACAGGCAGCTATAGCAAACTGCCAAGTAGACCCGAAGTCTATTGAGGACATTTGCGTCGGCACCGTCCTCCCTCCCCGCGCACCTTATGAAGCACGTGCTGCTGCACTTGCAGCGGGTATCCCAGAGACGACGCCCTTGCAAACCATCAACCGGTTCTGCTCTAGCGGACTAATGGCCGTCACCACCATTTCAAACCAAATCCGTGCGGGACAGATTGAAATTGGTTTAGCCGTTGGCGTAGAAAGCATGACCATGAACGCCGATAGGGATACGGGATACAGCGAGGAAATTATGCAACATCCCGTCGCCAAAGATTGCAAGATGCCCATGGGCTGGACGTCGGAAAATGTGGCGACAGAATTCAATATTAGTCGAGAATCCATGGACGAGTTTGCTGCGCTGTGCGTCGTATCTGCATCGTCCCACTCAGCGCTCACGAAGATTAAAGATCTTTCCAGCGTGCTTCAAAAGCGCAAAAAGAGGGCATATTCAAGACGGAGATTGTGCCTATCGAAGCAATCAAGGTTGACCCTAAAACCGGTGCACGCTCAAAAATTATCGTCAGCGAGGACGATGGTATTCGCCATGGTACGACCGCCGAAGCGCTCTCAAAGATCAAGAGCGCATTCCCTCAGTGGGGAGAAGGAAAAACGACGGGAGGAAACGCTTCCCAAGTCACTGACGGTGCTGCGGCCGTCTTGCTCATGACGAGGCGACGGGCGGAAGCACTCGGGCTAAAAATCTTGGCCAAACACGTCACTACGTCAGTTGCGGGTATGTAGTTTCCTGGAATACGTATCCAATCGTAAGACTATTCGTAGGATTGGCTCCTCGGATTATGGGAATAGGTCCAAGTATAGCGATCCCCATGGCCCTCGAAAAGGCCGGGATAACCAAAGACGACGTGGACCTCTTCGAGGCGAGCACACTATCCTTCTTTCATCTACATTACTCAACTAGGGCTAGATCAATGAGGCTTTCGCTTCAATGTATGTCTACTGTGTCCGAAAGCTTGACCTCGACATTGAAAAGGTCAATGTAAATGGTGGTGCAATTGCCCTCGGTCATCCATTAGGTACGACGGGAGCCAGGCAGATAGCCACGGGGTTAAATGCATTGGAGCGTCGTGGCGGAAAGGTGTGCATCGTCCATCCTTTTTGCAATAGTAGCTGATGTCATCTGCAGATCTTAGTCACGTCAATGTGCATTGGCCTCGGGATGGGTGCGGCAGCCGTCTTTGTTCGGGACTGAATATGGGCCCAAACCTCGAAATATACCAATGACATGGTTCGTGAATATATTATCACTACCTACATAAAATCGTGAAAGGTCCAGCGTGCAATATCGAAACTTGGGGGAATGGTATGCCACAAACAATGGGAGTGACTAGAAACTCGGAAGCTGTGATATGTCCGTGTACGTGAGGAAGATGACTCGGAGTGCCTTCTTCTGTTTTCAGTGAGATGTAAGTGACCAGTCTGCGAGTGCCACCGAAGGAGGATTCTGGAAGTTGGAGAAGTTGTCCCACTGAGGATTGAAGAGAACCTGGATGGTGTTCGTGCCAGCCGGAATCGACAAACTGAGCACCGTGACACCTGGGTTCGGCTGATCGGGGTCTTGACCAGTCTGAAGCTGTGGTGCATCCGATGTTCGGACAGGTTCGAGTGTTTGCCACTGTACGTTATTGGGAGCATTGAGCAGTTGAACCTGCAGCCTCTTGCCGTTGAGCTCGAGGTTGGCATTCGCTCCGTCGATCGTCACTGTCGCATTTGTATGCATACGCCAGTAGGTAACGGCGTTTACATTGGTAAGCTCGTCTTGCAGCAAGACTTGCTTTCTGCCATTGATGAAACGGATACCGCGTTTGACATCAGCGTCATAGGCGCTGGTCAGATCGGCGACCATGTATGCAGTCGAGGTACTGCCAGCATCAAAGATGGTGGATGGTCCCTGCGCTTCCCCGGTGGTGTCGAATCTGACGGTGGGCAAAGCATTGACGTTCTGGTTTGCACCAGCAATGCTCAGTGTGTTTTGGCCCTCTGTCATTTTGCGGTACCATAACCAGCGAGCGCTATTCTGAGCTTCGCTGCTAAAGTAGCCAGCTCCGAGGTAGTCACCGGAGCCAAGTTCTCCAGCCCATCGTTGACCCAGGGCATCGAGAACGAAGTCACCACAGTCAAGGTCGCCTGTAACGGCATATGAGATCAAAAATCATTTGGTTTTACGAAGACTTACCATGCGTTTGATGTGCAGTCAGGTTGCTGGCCTTCATTGCGACATATATTCCGTTATTGTCTGTCCAGCTCGTCCTCATCGATCCCCAACGAGTGTCATTGTCGTCAAAGTAGTGATCAATTGGCAACCCGTTCCACCAAGCACCTGAAACTCCTGGGTCATACCAGAACATTGACCAGGGCTCTGCGGACGTGAAGCGATCACGTTGCCAGAGTAGTATACATGGGTTGATTGTAGGCAGTTCCCATGTAGAACAAGCTGGTATCACTAGTGGAGAACTTGTTTGGTCCATGATCTAGGCGCATTCAGAATCAGAACAACGGGAAATGAGAGCGGGCAGACCTCCATAGTCAAACAAGCTAGTCATTCCCCACACGTACATGTGGTACAAACCCGTCAGGTTGAAGCTCGGATTGTTATTGAGCATGCCAAAGTCACCACCGGTCGCAAGTTGGAGGCTGCTGGTAAGCTCGGCCCACCCGGTCATGGCAAAGTACCAATAGTTGGGAGTCTCTGCACCAGAGCCATTGGGAGTAGGCACTCGAACACAGTTGGCAGCGGCATTATTGACGACCTGGGGGAGCAGGCTGTTGCAAGTACCCGACGTGTCATCACCCGCAATTGCGATACATCCCATTGCGAGACCAGAGTTGGATACTAAGAATACTATTGAGCATCGCTATAACGATACTGTTGAATCAACTCACCGCAATTCCAGTTGCCATTGACGCCCGTCCAGAAAGCATTCTGTGCATATCCTGCAGCACCCCTGGTCAAACCAAAGTTGATGATGCTGGTACGGATCGTATTTCTTTGGTCATCAGTCCACTGATCGTAGAGCCAATCATAGGCGATCGCAAAAGTTGCGGTCAACTCTGCGCAATCGAGGAAGTGAGCCGAGTTCCAAGGATCTGTTGGGTCATTGCCGGCCTGGCTAGTATCATCAGCCCAGTGGATGGCATTCTATGTAAAAAGATGAGCAGGATATCTGGAGCAGCCGCTGTCCCGGCATACATTGAGTTCTCGCCAGGTGTGGTCAACCCAGGAGGTATCATTGGTCATAAGATATGCATAGGCAAAATGTTTGACGCGTTGTTTGACCTGCGAAGCCGTCAGGGTCGTCACTTCTGTGTGGAGTGTCCACGCTTACCTCACGAGCTGGGTCAAGGATACCGCTACCAGATGGGCCTCCATCAAAAACGTGAACAACAGCGGGCTGGTCCTTATAGTAGGTGGCGTTGGCCATGATAATGTCGTTCCATTGCTGCAGGTATGGGTCCCCTTTCATGAGATTAGGGAGGGCCTGAATCTTGTATCTTCCGGCGACGAGCCGAGGCCTGTCTGGGCGCAAATTCGTCAAACTCGGTTGGCCACTTGGGGTGAATGAATCTTGGGGCCAGTTAATCGAGGGATTATTGGCGTTGATAAAAGTCGGTGGACCATAAGCTGCAGTGTCCGTCTGCGCGCTTGATTAATCTCTCCGAGCGCTCACGGGAACTGTACAATAAACTCACCGTGGACGGGTAGACAGGCAAAAATAACCATCAGTGCTAATGGGGAATCGTCCAGACGCATGTAAAATGCTTTGATGAGGTCCATCAGCGGATCCTTGGCCGTTATTACCACCTCCGCTGCTGCTCGACGACGAATTGGCGTCGCGAGCCTTTCTCGAACCGACGACACCGCCAACAATCGCGGCAATGAGTACAATGAGAAGAATAGGACATCCAACGAGGATCCACTTGGACCGCCGCTTTTTTGGTGGTTGGTACGGAGTGTCATAGTACCCCGCCGCTGCTTGCTCTAATTAGCACCCTCTCGAGCTGCAAGGGTTCCGTTTCTCGAACGTATACTCACCACTGTTGCTCCCATTTAGCTGGTCATAGTGCACATTCCCGAGCGGCCTCTGCTGCTCGTAAGACATGACCGTGGAAACCTGTTGAAGTTCTCTTGGGACCGTTCAGATCTGCAAGCATTGTCAATATCACGTCAATATGCCTCTAGGTTGCATGTAGAAGACATACGGACGCCAAAGGGCCAAAGGAGTGCAAAATACTCTGAGATGGTCGGGGAGTGAAGCCTACCGACTATTTATACACGGCCACCTCGCAACAAATCCCGAAAGGCCTCACCGGCATCGCTTTCGGCCTCGTCGTGTGTGATAAATCCAGATTCGGTCGATTCAAGTACACAAATAGTAAGCTAGCTTACAGTTTTTTTTAAAACCCAGACCGAGCCGCTGTCCGCAGAGGACATACCAAAAGACATGAAACACGCAAGAGGATTTCGGGTGCGATGACCTCTAGCGGTCAACAGAAACAAGTAGAGAGCTTGGTTCGCTCAAAAATTTTAGGGTATGCAGTTACCAGATTTGTTGGTCATACTGCTGAGGCAGAATAAACGCCTCGAGTCCATAACCAGCATCTCCCAGATTATCCTCCGACATCCAGATTGGCATCTGCTGGTCGCCAGAGTACTCGAACATGTGGTGGTACTCGGTTGGCGTGATAATCTCTTGGAGATGAGCGGGAACCTGCCCATGCATGCCGTTGAGGATAGGCGCAAATTGGCGAGGAGTATCCTGATACGGCTGAGAGTACATCGAGTCTGTCGACATGACGCGGTGATGGCCATGCATCGGCATCCCCTGTGGGTACACATGCTGTCGCTGGTCCTCTCCCGGATGAGGCACCTGCCCATGCTGTTGATGCGGGGACACAAGCGTTTGTTGAGACGTTGCGTCAGAGCTAGCACGAGTTGCAGAGGACCGAACATTGGCTGGAGGATAGCGTCGCTTTCGTTGTGTGAGCATGAGCCGTAAAGTGCGAGCATATCGGGTGGCCGGGATCGTTGACAAGAGGTTTGCCAGCTCTTCGACAGTTGTGAATACTGATTCGATGCCACCGGACCTTTCACATTCTTCGGGGCTAGCGCGAGATTAGCGGCATCAAGGGAGGGTGGAAGAGAGGGACATACAACAGACGGGCCAGCCTCATTAGGAAAGATGCAGCAAATACCGCCGTGAGATGTGTGTATGTGACGGCATACCTCAACCCTTCTCGGTAAGACGTCGAACGGAGACAGATTTCGAGTCCTGTCATGATGGTGTGAGATGGGCCCGTCAATCGCAAAACTTGCTTCACAAACCTTGTCGAGCACTCCGTATTGCATGGTCGGCGACGGATCGTTGTGATTCCGACATTTTGGAAACATCGTCCGGGCCGGTAATACCCCTAAGAGCCGTAGCTTCATGGTAAAGCTCCGCGAACAGGTACTGAATCTGGAGTGATTGACGATAGAATGTCGTGTCCGGATATCGTGTGGAGAAAATGTTGTCCCACGTCCCATACCACTTGCGGAAGTTTTCCGTCGCCTCGAATAGACGGCTTGCTCGATCTTCCGTGAATGGACCGTCAAGCGGAGCTAGACTGTCGTTGGCCCGTTCTCGGAACACCATGAGTTCGACGGTGGAAACAAGGCGCGCGTCGTCTTCGATACTCAATGGGTGAGTGAGAAGCGCAGAGCCCCCCAAGACGCTCTCATCTTCCTTGAGAATGGCAGGACGGCCCGTCCCAAAGGACATTCTTTTTGCGCATGATCAGCGACCGATTGCCGCAGACTTACTCTATACGTACTGATGCTCGAACAAGTAGAGACAGAACCACGTCCTCGCTCCAACAACGAGTTCTCGCTCCGAGGCTGAATTGCTCGCCTTGTTGTTTTGAATACGCTTGAGGAGCTTGGGCCATGCTTTATTCATGTCTATGATCGCCCGTAAGCGGGTTTGCTCGATTGCCAAGGAATGCTTCTCACCCAGTTGCAATGCCATTCGCACCGCGTGTCCACAGGTAAGCCATCCATTAGGCGACCAACCAGAGAGAATGACTATGTCGTGGTTAGATCCCGGACATCTCGAGGACGAACTATGCAGGCTCACCAACAGCTCTGACGACATCGGCACTGATGAACGGAGCAAAGAGCTTATTCAATTGTCAGCGGTGACGCTCAAACAGGTCAGACTGCACAAGTACCGTTTGAGCCACTATGTGGTGTACCTCGTCTCGACATCTCTGGGTCAACTCGCTCGTCGGTCCTGGATACACCAACTGTGAGAAAGAGTTTGGCGGGAACCAGCGAAAAGTGACTTGCCGCCTCCATCTCGGACTTGAGAGGCCACCATACAGATGGCGTTGACGGCAAATGGCGATCGTTCATGCAATAGGTCAAACGTGTCAAAGTGGCGATCAAATACGGGCAAGAATGTCGAGCAGCCCTTGTAGAATCTGTGCGAGCCGATCAGTCTTGAGAATGGGGTCGCTCGGGAAGGCTGACATTTCAAACAACTCTCGCGCTTCCTCGACTGTGACTATGCCCTTGGTCACCACTTTAACGGCACATGTCAGATTGAAGGATTTAACCGTGCTGTCATTCAATTGTTCTCACCGTCTGGAAAGTCGTGCTTTGTCTTCTGACCGAGCGTAGAAGTTTTCCTCCGTTTTTTGGGGCGCGTACCATCCGGCTCCAAAGAGGGGCTCCGAGGTCTCCTGATGTAATTCTCCTGGTTACTCGCCTGAAGTTCGTCCTTTTCACCAAGATCTCGGAGGACCTCGAGCGGGGCCACCAGGCCAGCACCAGGGAGTTCACCTGCGCCCTCGTCGTCGGAAGAATCAGCTGATGTCACGTTGGACGAGTTATTGTGTGGTTTTGTTGATCCCGGGCGAGTGCCATAGGGCCCGGGCGACGGTTGCGACGCACGCACATTCGACTGATATTCGACCAACTGGGAGCGAATAGGTGGCAAGCTAGTCGGGAACCTTGGTGGGGGCATGACAGTTGCTGTGGCTGGTGAAATCGGGGGAAGGCTCGGAAACGCCGGGTGGAAGGTCGGATGAGACGGTTGAGAAGATGCCGAAGGCACTAAGGCTGAGCCTTGTCCGTTGGATGGATACGGGCCGTGCGGGTGCGCAGACGTCGGGCTGTACTGGTGATGCTCATACGAACTCGCAGAGGAGGGAGTTCGATGTGATTCGACCATGGGGCCTCCTGGAGGGTATCTGCGTGTGTCGACGGGCGATTGCGCGGCGACTCTGCGCACGTCGGGACTGACGGTGGCAGCGGTTCCGTTGTGGATCGGCGGGGCTGCAGCGCCTTGACGAAAGGCGAGGAGGACCTCGTGGAGGGTAGCCTGGACACCTTGCAAGCCATTAACCATGCTGGTCATCTTGTCTTCCACGCCACGGACACGATCCTCGACGGCCTTGATACGCCTGTGGCAGAGAGGGCACGGTTAGACAGGAGCATCACATGACGGGTACCGTTTGTGGGAGACGCATAGAAAAGGTAGCTGGAAGAGGATTGTATACGTACTCTAGACCAGCATCAGAGCTGAGTGCACTCTCGCGCTGAGGTTTTTCAAACAGACACTCGATGTGTGCATGCCTGCAGCGTTTGCAGGGTGGACCAGACTCTTCGAGGTCACACTTCATCTTCTGGCGTCTGCAAGCGTTCTAAAGGGGCCTGCAATTAGCATTCCGACTAGGACCCTCGAGCGTCGCCCAACGCCTGGCCGAGGTTACTTACACATGCTCCTAATAGACTGTGAGCGAAAGATGAGCACGCGAGTTTTGGGCATTCTTACTTGGTACTCTACTCAGTGTTTTTGGTTTTGGCGGCTCGACACCCTGGGGGGACTCGATCTTTGGCGACGCCCTTGCCTCTGTTGCAAACGAGTCCTGGCGCTGTCTGTGATGTTCTGGAGAGTTGATAGGCATCGATCTTGACCCAGATGTAGACGCCATTTCTGCGCCTCGTCGCCGTCGGGTCCAAGGTTTGTTCGCCAACTCGGAGCTCGCCAACTTCTAAGTTGCCGACGAGTAAGCCGTCTGACCTTGGAGACGGGCCCTGCGGCTTAAATACCCTTTATTTATATTTTATTATCTACTAGCTCCCACGGGATCCCCCGCAATTCATGGCACCGACGCCTTTTTCCGTCGACATTTGCGATCCGACGCCGCCCAAGGAGCTCCCGGTGCATATTTCTCTCCAAGTTTATGCCCCAAATGTCCTCACACGCAGTCTCTGGTGGCCATCACGTCGGTCAGGCCCGCCCACCGCCGTCCTCTTGTTCATTTGTGGGTTCGTTGCCCATATAAACCTGCTATCAAGCACAGGCTCACATCAGTCCAGAAATCCAGGTATTCCCACGTGGTACATTGAATTCATAGACGCCATCCGGCAGCGGGCTTCCTCTTCTTCAATCGCATTTCTTGCCGTCGGTCACATTGGACATGCGCACGACTTACCTCAACCAAAGGATACGCGCCACCTCTCGCTCGAATCTCAAGTCGAGGCAGCTGGATATGCTCAAGCAGCCCTCCTAGAAGCGTTTCCTGGCGTTTCACTCATACTTGTAGGCCACTCGATTGGGGGCTATATTGCCATGCAGGTATGCCTCTTTGGCATGTCCACGTAGCCTGTCATAACTTTCTGTAGCTCGCAAGGGACAACACCCATGTGTCACTCGTCATTGGGATCCAACCGACAATCTCTCACATGGCACAGACGCCAAACGGCAAGCTTCTGCGTGTGCGTAGTCTAAAAAGAATCGAAAACACTGCTCATCCCACATAGCACTTCTTCAAGCCGCCATTCCCACAGATCCTCTCCGTCCTCGGATACATTCTCGTAGTGACTTTGCCATTTCTCCTCCCGATTCTATACAGAACCTGGTCAAAACACTCACTCACTGTCCTCAAGAACTTCTTGACGAACCCACAGTGTACCCTAGCAGCCATGACAATGGCCGGAGACGAGATGGTTCACGTCATGGAACTGGATGTCAAGCTACTGGCTCACTTGAGACCCAGACTCCATATACTCTATTCTCACACGGATCTATGGGTGGGATCGAACAGCGACGAGGTCATCCGAGTTCTAGGCGAAGACAATGCGTCGCGTGTCAAATTTACCCCAGTGCCCCATGCATTCTGCATATGTCAGTAACGTGCATTCTACCGTTAGCGTTTTGACAACTGACAGACATCCTTAGCCCACAGCGTCGAAACAGCGCTTGCGATTCTACCGTGGGTAAACGAGGTCACTATGTCCTCGGACGACAATGTTTCGTAGCGCAATCAGATTACAACGATACATTAAAAGGGAACGATAACCTAAGTTCTGTGCTTCTTGAATCCAGACTCGACATCCGCAACAGAGTACTCTGCATTCATCTCCTTGTGGCACGTCGCGATAAACTTGAAGAACCGCTCCGTCAAGCTCACCATCTCGTCTTCACACGCCTTCCAAACCACATAGATGACCGTACCAGGCAAGACGGCAACGCTTGCAGCATTCCCAGCGTTATCCTCGCCTTCTGCAAAGTGCTTCTCTACTCGTTTAAACATGCCATCAATCTGCCGCTTGATGTCCTTGCTAGTGTGATCCTTGATCAACTTTTTGAGCTGCGACTTGTTGTAACTCGAGTTGGAGCCGACATCTGTCGGCGACATTGTTTTCAACAGCTTCTCTGCACCGTCAACAAAGTCCATAAGCTTTTGAAACGGTCTTCGAAGAACCAAGCGGACGTAAGCCGACAGATTTTCGTCGTAGATGACTTCAGCTCGTCTTGTAAATCCGGCTATGGAACCGAGGCTCTGTTGGCTAAGGTCGTTGATGAAAGAATGCATATTCTCTGCGTACGCCGATCAGACATCTGCATATGCTTTCTGAAAACCCTCACCGATCAAGATTATGTGATAATTTAACTGTCCTTTATCCTCGCCTTCTCCCTCTAGCTTGGCCATCTGTTGCAACGAATCGAACATGGCATTGACCAGTTTCTCATAGGAAGTGTCCACCAAGGTGCGAATCTCAAACGAATCAGCGCCAGCGAGCTGGCTTTCCACACGGTTGACAAAGATCTGGCCAAAAATCAGCGCTGAATCGGAAAATGGACAAAACATACTGGGAAGTAGCGAATGTAATGAACAACGCCTCTACGTTTCTTTGATGACAGTTTAGTCGCTTCGATGGACTTGATCAACTCGTCCTGTACATGGATCAGCAAAAGGCGTGAAGGCAAGAAACACGGTACCAGGTGACGGGCATGATATGAGACCATCTTTTGCTGTTGCCTCTGTAAAAGCTTTGCTAGGAATGTATTGCCTCGTTCCTCTGCATCTCCCTTGTATCGCTCCAAATGTGCAGTGATGCCAATCATTTGCCTGTGAGACGTTAGGGGCGCCGAAGGCTAGGTTATTGACCTACAGTTTGTCTAGCTCAAGAACATCGTCGATCCATTTCTTCATACCCTCCGGGAGGAAACTGAAGATTAGATCCATGGCGCCACGAAGCAATTTTTGTGTCTCCCTCGACAGGCCAACCCAACGGGCTGCTTGTCGACGGAAGTAACTATCGAGATTCATATAGTCCGCAAATGTGTCGCCCGTATCGTTGATTTGGAGGAAGTTTGACAAGAATTCCTCTTCGCGATAGGTAAAGGGGCATATCTGGTCGAGAATCCGTCCGAATGCCTGAAAAAGTATTGGAGCTAGTCCGTTGGAATCTTGCATACTGACCTCATATCCACGAAGGTCACCCCTCTTCTCCTTATCTTTATCCTTGTCACGCTGGCCTCTGTCAAGTGGTGATCGGACAATCGTTCCAGCGCGCCGCATAGTTGCGCCACGAGACAACGCCGAGCCGGAGCTCACGGGCGCAAAGTCTGCTACCATGAGCTTACAGTTCCGTTCAGCAGACTGGAGCACTCACTCATATCTGATTCTTCATCTGTAGCTCGCTTAACTTGGCCAAGGTAGGCATCCAGTAACAACTTAACCTGGTCCTTGTAAAGCTGACCAGCTGCACCAAAGTATGCCTGCAGCGATAGTCAGAGAGTTTAGGGGTATATTGGTGACTATTCACCCCGCAGAGCTTGACGTATCGTGTCTCGTCCATCTCCTTCATGTAACGAATCAAACCCGAGTAAGACATTAGATGGTCCTCCATCGGAGCATGAGACGCCATAACAAGGGGATCCTGTTTCTGTTCTTTGGATTTCCCTTTGAGCACAAGGTCGGACTGCCCAGTGATCAGCATTTGCAGAAGAGACGTAGACACCATACCTGATACGAAATCATCATCGGCAGGAAATCGAGTATCCTTTGGCAGAACTGTTGATTGTATGTGCGATATTCATCGAGCCGTTGCATTGTGGCGGCCATATCTAGGTATTATTAGACACAACCCTCCTTAGTAAAGGCAGGATTTACCGGTATCCTTTCCAGCTTGCAGAGCCTTGTACAGCTCGGTTGCTGCCTCTTCGAGTTTTTCCAGACCGCTTCGCTTCTCCAGCGATTGATTAGTGAGCATGAGCAGAGCTTCGCGGTCCACATGGACAGTTTGCTAGAGAACAGTTAGCTAGACTCCTCAAAAGTCTTGCTCACACACCAATAGGTCCTCCAGTTCTTTCAAGAGAGCCCTTTGGTTCTGCGTTTGCACCTGTAGACCTCGGTTTTGCGATTGGATATACGAAATGTCGTCATTGACGGCCTATCCAATGTTAGCAAAGATTGATCCAACGAGTCGAGCTACACACATTGAGATGAATCTTGTAAGACGTTACAGCGCCGTCCATTTCATCTAACTCTTTAAGAGCCTCATCGATATAGCTGAGCACTGTCGCTACACGAGTGTCCGATTCGACAAACGAGTACATGTTCGCCTATCATCGTCAGTACGACGAGGTGGGTCCATTGGCGCACATACCGCGTCAAGAGCACTAAGCTCCTTGAGCAACCTTGCCTCGATTTGATCTGCGGCTCCTTTTGGATCGTCCCAGCTACCAGTAGACCCAGCCGAAGCCCACTCATAGCCGTCCAGCATCTCTTCAATGTTCGCCATCGTCGCTTCATTTGACTCTTCCTCTCCAACGCCTCTATCCTCAATACTCAACAACCGATCCACCGTCGCCTGATTTGCTGGGTCATAGAATGAGATACGTGCATACGGATCCTTCTTCGTTCCTTGCCCCAGAGCAACCGGAAGTGGTGGACGTTCACGAACATCGGATATTTCAAACGACTGTTTCGGAGGGGTAGGTACCGCCACGGGCGCGCCAGCACCACGTCCAGACGAGGATATAGAGTTTGCAGGGGGAAGCGCGCCTGCCCGCTGTCGCGGAGTAACCGACGGTTCAGGCGGTTCTCTTTCCGCTCGTGAATTACCGCGCGGTCGTTGTCGTACTTCTGGTGCAGGCGGTGGTGGGACGGGCGAAGGCGCTCTATCTGACCTATTATCCGCCTTTGGTCGTCGTGGCGAAGGTGGAGTAGGCGAAGGTACTCTCTCCGGTCGAGAGCCAGTCCGCTGACGCGCTGTATCGGACGAAGGTGCAGGAGACGGGCCTCGGGATCTTTCGCCCCGCTCCCCTCGTCTAGGTGCCGCCGGGGGTGGTATATATGGAACTTCAGGCTGTGATGAAGCCTTTGGAGATGGTGCACGATCAGGACGTGATCCTGCACGTGAGCGAACTGGGCTCTGTGTGGCTCCGTTTCGATAAAACGCATCTTGGGGTGGCTGTGGGGATGGCGCGCGATCCGAACGAGATGCTGGGAATCTCGCTTGTTGCTGCTGTTGCTGGGTAGGACCTGGAGAAGGTGCACGGTCGGACCGCGGTGCTTGGGCCCTTCGTGGTGTAGGCGGCAGACCAGGGTCTCGCGAACGCTCTCTCTCGTACGAAGGCCGCTCAAGCTCCGGAGGGCGTTTGCCCGATCGACCTTGTTGTTGTTGAGGTGGTTCCCTCTGCGGTTCTCGTTGAGGCGCAGGCGAGATTTCGCGTTTGTTGGGAGTTCGTAACGGATACGCGCGCTCCCTTGGTTCCGCAGAGGCAGGGTTTTGGTAAGGTGATCTTGGTGATGGTGAGGGACTCTGTCTTCCATCCACTCTCGGACGTCCGCTGGTCGGAGAAGGTTGGTCGTAAGAAGCGTTTCCAGGTGTTGGCGCGCGCAAACCTCCTGGTCGTCCAGCAGGAGATGGTGACCTCATAGCAGAGTTGGGTTGCCGTCCATATACCATTGGATTGGGAGAACCGGACCGTTGTCCATCATAGGCTATAGATGTATCAGTCTCCCAACCTCAGCATGTTTGTAGCGCATCACCTGTAGCTGAATTCGATCCAGATGAGGCAACAGAGCCTACAAAATGAAATCGTTAGCCGCTCTTATTGTGTAAACAAGAGCCAGGGGGGCTACACGGCGTAACGCTCCACGACTCGAGGTGTCATTTGTTCCACTAGGGCTCGCCCAACGAAAAATCAAAGAAACAACTCACTCCCTGGACCATCCGGCATCTGCCATCCGATCAACTGAGGCGATTGTCCGCCCATGATGCGCCTATAAAGCCTCACAGTCGCGATGAGGAACGCCTCTTGGTCTTCCCAACTCTCCGTCTGCCATTTATACCTCCGAGCAAACGTAATATCGAACCCTGGTGTCCTCTACGGCACAATCAGCACCTGGTGCATACCCCAAGGACGAGCAAAGAGACATACACCGTGCACCTCGAGCGCCGTCAAGTCCTTCAATTCCCAAGTCTTCCCGATCGAGAATGAACCATTGGGATTCTCACGTGACTTGTGGATAAGTGCTGGCCCGCGGAGGGACACTGCAGGTGCAATCCATGATGAGCTTATGACGCGAATGAAACAGAAAGAGGTATTGATTTACACGAAAGCAGGATATAGCGTGCCTTCTTGCCGCCATCGTCGTTTCCCGGTATCGCGTCTTCAAGAATCTTGACATGGGAGATGTATTGCTCTTCTAGAGCACCAGATGTGCCACGTTTTGAGAAAAGGGATGTTACAATTCGCTGTCGGACGTCGTCTGCCATGACCACGGCAGGAATAGACGACGAGGCGAGGTCGAAGGTGGCTCAAATGATCAACGACCGGCCAGTCAATAGCCAAGACGCGTCTCTGCACTAAGATGGCCAATCTAGATAAAAAGTTCGGAGGGTATATCGGGAATAAATAAGGATTGATTACGAAAATGTCATATACGAAAGATATACTTGAGTCCCATGATGGGTTCCCTGCGAACCCCGAGAATCGCATCATCATAACAGCAAGGTCCGCTTTCCTGACGGCATGCTTGATGTTGAAGACCCCCGTAAGCGGATACTCGCTAACCCCTTGGGTGTAGCCTGTTTCCTGATACCTCCCGCTTGTGATGAAGGGGGTCTCGCTAGATGCGCATAATGGGTAATCATTCGAGGCCTTCTCCTTTGTGGAACCAGGCTGCTATCGCAATGATTACATAAAGAATGATGAGAACGAAGCTGAAAAGTCGTCAGTTTTGTCCATAGCACAGACTTGGGCGCGTACCCTTCCAGCCAATTAGTCCTGAACAGACGTCAGCGGAGGAATCCAGAAGGAGCTTGAATACATACTTTCCGTCTCCAATGGCATAAGCAACGACGATAACGGCGAGTGTCACGATGATCGTCTCGAACACGTCAAAGGCAAGAGTCAGGGGTTTATCCATACCCCAGGCAAGAACGACCAGGAAAGGGAGAACGAATAGGAATATCTGAATACTCGAACCGATGGCTACACCCATGGCCAAATCTACCCGGTTGGTTAGCAAGAGTCGGAGGGAGTCCACAATACCGCACCTAGCTTGTTCTTCACCGACACGGTGACTGCTGTGACGTGTTCTGCTGCATTACCGACGATTGCAAGCAAGATCAAGGCCGTAAACTCGGGATTTATATGACTCTTTGCAGTCATGCCGTCAATGCTCGATACCAAAAACTCTGCAGTGACTCCAGTCACAACCGTTACAATGACCAACAAGGCGATGGCGAGCGGGTACGTGAGCTGTGGTTGCTCTTCTTCCTCATCCTCTTCTTCTTCCACCTGATGAGTGACGGAAGACCTACCGTTTGCCACTGGAGAAGGGTCGTCATTCTTCTTGTCTGTAGTAGGTGGGAGTGGTTTTGTCTCCATTGCAGGCGAGGCCGTGGTCTTTTGTTCAGTGAGATTCCGCTCATTGGACGAGTTAACATGGTTGTTGTCCGATGATTTCCCATCGCTACTGGTTCCATGTAGTTTGCCGGCAATCATCTTGCGTGCGCCAAAGCTGAATACGTTGCTCTTTTTCTCCGGTGCGACACCTTCATGGTAAACGACGGCCGAGTTCAATTTCGAGGCTTGAATTGTGTAGAGATACTTGTGCGTGAAGAGCTGAAAGACGAGATAGGCTGCGTAGCAGATGAGTAAAACAATCGATGTGGCTCTCGAGATGGCCAAGACTCCGGCCGTGTCCACGTCTGTACCAGAGCGAAGAAACGCAGCCGGAACGACGACAGAAAAGACGGAGAGGGAGAGCAAGGAAACTTTGAAACAATAAGTGTCGTTCCCTTTCTGGGGAGAGATGCCTACTTTGTTGCTGTGCAATTTGAACTCCATAGGATTGTTCGTGGAACCGGAGGCCACCTTGGAAACATTGAAAAGCTGCGGATTCTCGGCAAGAGACGGCATACCAGCAAAGAAGCACTTGGGGGCACGATGTCAGATGGAAACCATAAATGAACAGTCCGACTCACCATTCCAAGCACAAGGAGGCAGTTCGAGAGGACTGTACCGAAACGAGTTAGCCCCCAAAGCGAGCAACGCGGGAACAGCATGGCGTACATGAGCCTAACAAGCTTGCCTGGACGATCCGGAGTTTATTCCTATTGAAGATTACCGGATTGTGCGCCTGTGATTGAGCCGAACTCACTGCCTGAGGGCGATAATGGAGATGATCAATTCGACGGCGTTTCCAAACTAGAATCGGGTTAGGTCCTTTATCCCAACTGGTCAATGAGCACACTTGCCGTAGCGTTGAAGAGACCTCCAAGTGTAGGTCCTACTCGAAGGGCGAGCTCCTAATTTTAGAAATAAGCATCAGCGGGGATCCACATGACTTTCAGCTGGATCGTTACCTCGGTGGCAAAGCCGAGGAGACCGGCAAGGGGTATAATAGCGATCAGGGAAAATACAAAGACGATTGTATCGCTCGCTTTGTGGGAGAGATCAAGGGCCCATGAGACTGGGACACAGAGTAAGAGGAGATTGAGCCACGAATACTTGACGATATTCATCAAACATTGTCCGAGTGGTGGAGGGTGGAGTTTTGAAGTGTCTTTTCCGAGTCCAAAGCTCCTGAATGTAGACTCGCGGGTTGGATGAGGTGCGCTGATGGACCGGGCGAGGGGCAGGTTATTTTCGTCCTTTGTAGTAGTTGAGGGTGCAGTAGCAGCTTTGCGCTTTCTTGGTGCGCCTATCGCTGTAGGCTGGGCTGAAGCAGCGATTCTAACACCGTCGTCACCAGTCCCAGCCTCGACGTCGGGCTCTCGCTGGTGGATATGTGGCACTGCGGAGCTCAGCTTTTGTCCAATAGAGGCCATTCGGGTCCGAGACGTTGGTGCCGAGGGAATTCGTGGTAATGTCGTCGCCAAGAGGCTTGGATTTGCTTGTCCATGGCGTCACATCCAGGTGGGAGCAAAAAACACAGCAGCGGGGCCAGAACAGCCGAAACCCTAAGGACATCTGAAACTGTTAGAAAGTGGGATAACATGGGTGAGAAACAGAGTCGAGTCGATCATAGAACATGTGCTGCATTGCGTTGCCACTTGGACCGCACCCGCTACGGCTGTGTATCGATTCCTACCTTATATACCCCCCTCCTACTCATTAGTTTTTCTCAACAACACTCATCATGGCACAACCTCAGCGCAAACGAATCTTTATCGGTATGTCCCCTGTGACTTTACAGTTCTTCTCTCACAACCCCCACAGATGTCGGAGGTATGAACCTTGGTAGTATTAGTCTCAAGACTAACCTGATATAGTCAACCTCACCGACCCCGTCTTTAGAGGCATGCATCGCGGTAAAAGGCAGCATCCAGACGACTTTGCCGCCGTCATCGCCCGTGCAAAGGCAGCAGGCGTCGAGCAGCAAATCATCACCGGTGGCAGTCTCAACGAATCCCGTGCAGCACTCAAACTCGCAAACGAAAATGGCTTCTTTGCCACCACAGGTTGTCACCCGACGCGCTCCTCCGAGGTCGGAAAGATGCCAGAGGGACAGTACATGCGCCAGCTCGACAAGCTCATCGCCGACAACATTTACCGTCCAGGAGAGGGTATCAAGGGTCGCTGTGTAGCAGTCGGAGAATGTGGTCTCGATTATGATCGACTTTTCAGAGCCGGAAAGCAAGATCAGCAAAGGGCTTTCAGAGCCCAGCTCGTCATGGCCAAGAAATATCACCTCCCACTCTTCCTGCATAATAGAAATTCACATGCCGACTTTGTCGCCTTGTTGACCGAGGCAGGCATGCACATTGACGGTGGACGAGCCGTTGGTGGACGAGGAGGGGTCGTCCACAGTTTCACAGGTGAAGCAGAGGAAATGGAAGAGTTTGTTTCCATGGGCTACTACATTAGTGTCAATGGGTGCTCGATGAAGACGGAGAGGCAGCTGGAAATGATCAAGCGCATTCCGCTGGACAAACTCTTGCTCGAGACCGGTGTGTCATTCCCTTTTCCACGACGCCCTCTAGGATCTCACCGTGCACAGACGCTCCTTGGTGCTCTCTAACGGGCGGCCACGCCTCAAAGGAGCATCTCGCTCTCTTGCCGCAGCACTTGCGAAAGCTCTTCATCCCATTGGCCACACAACCAGAACGTTGGGAAGAAGGCAAAGCTGTCCGTGGACGAAATGAGCCATGTGCCATTGGCTCTGTCGCGTTTGTGGTCGCAAGGTGAGCTCACTCCTACAAACCAGTCAAAACCATTCACCTCTCTGCAGATTAAAAGGCGTACACCTAAACGAGGTGGCAGAAAAGGCTTATCAAAATACCTTGGATTGCTTCAACCTGCAGGAATCGGATGTCCTTGGGCATCCGTCAACCGAAGGAGCATCCACGAGTACAAGCGCACCTGCGGCTTCAACTTCGGGATAGAAGGCCCCATCCAATAGAATTAGAATCCCGTTGTGTATGTTGTATCAGGAAAAAAAATTACTCCGGGTAGGAGTAGGTTCCAAAAATTTGTCTTTACCACCACGAAGGATGGCTTGATGCTCGCTGCGCGATGCACATTCGCGACCACGGCCACAAAAGATCAACGACCATCTTGACGGGAGCACCATCGTCCCTATAGCAGCAATCATGCTCTCGAGGCTCATAAGGCCTGCCCCAACCTCGCATAACAAGCTCCTCGTGTGTTTCTCATCCGGCGCCTACTCCATCGTACTCTACATTTGTTTTCCGCCACTCTACATCCTGACATCATCCCATCCTTTCAATGGTTCGATGAACAACATCACCAGGAACGCGCCTCGCCCTAGTCACTCCTAGCGAACCGCCTACCCTATGACCATCCACCGAATCTCGTCATCTTATTCGTGCGCCAGTTGACCCCCATAAGTTCAGAGTAGCACATCTCCACTCGACTGGTGGGACAACGGCATCTGCGCTCTGTGGACCATGAGAGAAACCACGTCCACACATGAACCAATCCACAAGCTACCAGGGTGCGAGAGCAAATCTCTAACGCAGTACCAGAAGGCAGTGCGTTCCCAGGCGCTTCTGAAAGGGTGCAAGTACAGGCGAAGCCAAACTATGGACAGAGCGTTTCTGCGCAGAATCGCCAGCGAGCTTCTTCGAGTGCTATCGTCGACAAACAGGTGAACTCTTTGGCCAATGGCGTGATGAACGAGGTTGAAGTGGAGGCGAGTCGATCCGTAATCTCTGCGACTTGGTAGGACGAGGCGATCTCCATGTTGTCTACTAGCCAAAGACGAAGGTAGCCATGAATGTGAGTGGGCGCCAGACTACGCCGCACATGGGGCTTGTTGGGAGCTGCGAGGGGTCCGCACATGGACGAACGCAATGGGCCACGAGCGCTACAGATGGGTGATCTTGTGGGTAGTCTGCAAGCAGCCTACACGCAATAGGAACGAACATCAAACGACTATCGTACCTGTACCACACAGAATCTTGACCAGGTTCATCTGGTCCCGCAGCGTGCGGGCGAACGCTTATCCAGCCCCATCTGCAGAAAGACTCAAATACGCTAGCCATTGGTCATGCCTTCTGCCATCTCCGCCGCGCAGGGATCCAAAGAGCCTGTTCGAAACCCCCCTGACAATGATATTCCTCCAGTTTGTCTCGTGCTGTTCATATTCCAGAGTAACTCTCCACACACACCGACCGTCGAGCCGAGACGCTTTTGTGCACGTGTAGTGCTTCAACCTCCAGGAGACCGCCACAGGCTGACAGTTCAAAATCGCCTCTGACGGAAACCTGGAGTATTTGGCGAGAGAAGCGTCGACATGAAAATCGCCATCGCCCATTCAAGGGCTACGACCAGTAGGGGTCGTCCGACGCGAAGCCCTGTTCGTGCGCTCAAATTGTCGTATGCATCTCTTCGCGGCGAATTACAGTGACAGTATAGCCACGGTGTACGTACATCGACTGCATCTGCATCACACCCGGCGTCTGTTGGTCACTCTCGTCAGCAGATGGTTGCAAAATCAAGGATGCCCGTGGATGCCGTTCTAGTACCGCAAGGCCTCAGTGTCTATCCCTTGTGGCCTGAGAGGTCGCTTTCCGGCAATCGCATCCGTTCACTCTTTCGAGGAACTGGCCCCGAGACGATCACTGGCGAGCCTCTGCTCGTAGGACAACAAAGGATTAAGGGACGCGTTTGGCGAGCTGATACGTGCCGGAAACAGCGTATATGCACTCCAAGATCTGCAAAGCCACCTAAGAGTAGGGAAAGACGCGTCGAATGGATGGCGAGATGTGAAAGGTCGAGGCGAAGCACATGAAAGCGCTTCGAGACCGGATTCGAAGCATCGACAAAGAAAAACGCGTGACTTTCATGCCGGGGGGATTGGATTCGGGTTTATTGGAGCCCGGGTCAGGAGCTCTTGGATGGCGACGTAACGGTAGGCATGTTGTTGTGGATGAGCGCGTCTGGACTGTGCAGCACGAGTGCCTGGAGCGTTAAGGGCGGAGGAAATACCGTGTTTTCGTGGGGTCGCAGCGCGTCTAAGGGTTTTACAGCACGGCCAAAGATTTTTGACCTGTTGGCTGCAGCAAGCGCGACCGGCGTGAACGTATTCTTGTGAGCTTTCTGTATGTTCTTGCAGATTGTTTGAGACTGGATGGCCATTCACAAAATTGCTGGTCGAAGTCGGGTCCAAGTTGAAGAGCGACACATTGTGCCGACGCCGATGACTTAATTGCAAGGTATGCTACGAATAATTATCACATCTTATGTCTAAGATACGTTTAGGGATCATGGCTGCATCACAGCCGTCGGTTGCTCAGCTCATAGCACGGCATTCAGGCAGTTCTACACCTGTAAATTTCTTAACCTTATTTTTGGTGCGTGTGACAAGTTGTCCGGTGTCAGCGCCAACCGGTCATTCAGAATCTTGGACCCGACAACGACGACGCCATGGGCCTCCTTTACCTCGTATCCACCATTGGAACGTGAGCTGCTGCGTCTTGGACAAGGAAACTCTGGCTGACCCGTCGACTAGTGGCCTATTAGGCTTTATATATCCTAGTTTTGCGACGTTCAAGCTGCTTGCAGCCAACCCGCGCGACAACGAGACACTCGAGAGCTGGCTCTTCTACTGGGTAGTCATTGGACTTGTTGCTGGCTTTGAGCAGCTAGGCGAATGGATTATCAACTGGTCAGTGATGTCGTGTGCCCAGTACGTGGCCCGTGCTCACCTAAATCTTACCAACAGGGCTCCTCTTTACTATGAAGCCAAGTTCTTGTTTATTATCTGGCTCATCTCCCCAGGTACCCAAGTAAGGCTTCGTTCCTATCCATGACGGGATGGTCATTGACTTCGTCATAGGGGTCGACGTATATCTATCAGGCCTATGTTAAACCATTCTTTACAAAGAATACCGAGAACATTGACAAGGCCATCGCGTCGTCTCGAACCAACGCCATCGGATTCGTGCAGTCGTCGCTCCAGGCGCTTTGGGCGTTTATCATTGGCAGGCTCACCAACGCACAGCAAGCGGCAGCCCAGAACCAAGGACCAGCCCCAGGTCAACCAGGAAACCCGGCGCAAAACGGCCCGCTCCAGGGTATACTCGGACTCGCACAACAGATGGGACCCGCCGGTCTCGCTGCTTTGGGATCACTCCTGAACCCGGGTCAGAACAAGCAGGCTGCCAATCAGGCTGTCCAGCAACAGTCGTTCCCTAATCCAAACGCTACGCCACTGACAACGCCATTGCCCCCGTCCAATCCTGGTACACCTGGAACGGATCTTCGTTATCGAGCACCTACTGGAGCGAACGGTCGTAATACGCCGCCACCAGCATTCCCCGTTCCTCAACATCAGACGTGAGACGCATGGATGAGTATGGACACATACACGAGAGAAGAGAGAAGAGACCAGAATATGGACGTTTCTTGAAGTTTTGTAGATTTCATTCTTACTCTGAATACCGATGGGATTCACAGAGTATGTGGACTGAATACAGCCGCTTAGACCCGACTTGATCCAGAGTGGTTTCAGGACTAGGGCAGTTTCTGTTTTATCCAAGACCCGTATCTGAGTTTCAAGCATATCCAGCGTGTACTGCCTCAATCAAGAAATTCTTCGGAGCGGTGACGACCTCTTGAGACGATGAGTTGTCTCGCTTCTTTGAATTTCTTGACTGATGCAGTACACATTTGGTATCATTGCACTCGTGTTATATGTTGCAGTTTCTATCACTGGCAAGGCGTCAAGCACGACGTATTAACTTATCTGATTTGCACGATTCGAGCTGCCCGTGCGATCCGCCGCACACGTAATAGTTTATTTAATCTGTAACGATATATGCAATGCCCCAGTTGCCGCCTAGAATCCTGAACCGACACGCATTTCTTGGACGGCTATTCAATCCGGTGGGGCAAGGCTCTCAGCGTCTTGGCTTCCGTGTCATACTTAATCCCGGGCACTCAGTTCTCACATGCATTTCCGTTTTTCCCTCTATTTTGACGCATCTCGCCATTGGCCATGGCGTCGTATGCCTTTACAGCCCCGAACGCACGGAGCGAAGGTCGTGGATATGCTCCAAATTCACCAAACCAGCTTCCACAGTCTCCCTCCCGGCCATTGCTTGACCAGTCCAGTTGGGCTGGGCAGACGAGACAAGCCAAGTAAGACGCGTGTTATGTGCTCCTCTGCGGTACTTACTCCCTACCCACTCCCAGAGTATCCTCTGAAAGTAGTGAAGAACCCATGGTACGCGTCTTACACACTCGCAAGACTCGAGCTGAACTTTGACCCTTCCAACCAGTCTAACCCTTTCCGACAAACAAGAGAGTCCGCCAGACAAGGAACATCGGATAAAGTAGGCTTCTCTTTTGATATCTGCAAAGTTCTGACCGTTCTAGTTCAACTTGGGGCCGGACCCGACTCGATGGGGAGCCGCGCTCTCGAACGACGTGCACGAATACGACGACTATCTCCATAACCCGGACAAAGAGGACTCGAGTGGAACCATCTTCACCCTTCGAGGCCTTGCAAATCTCGGGTGTCTGGCAATCCTGGCGATCGGTCTCGTGATGTTGTTCGCTGGATATCCGCTCATCACATACATCCTAAAGAAAGATATGGACAACCTGGGAGGATTTAACCTAGGAGGCATCAATTCTACAGGCCAGGTTATGCAGACCATGTTCGGTCAGTTCAAACCGATGATTTTTCTTCCCTTTATTAACAAATGCCCCAGGTCTGATCGACAAAGATACGCCTCAGGACGCCATGACTTACACCTCTGCTGAAGACGGGACGCAATGGCAGTTGGTCTTTTCAGACGAATTTAACGTCGACGGTAGAACGTTTTGGCCAGGAGACGACCCGTACTGGGAGGCGGTGGACTTACACTACTGTATGTCGGTTTGCTTGGCTGGGTCTTGGATGACGTTGACACGGCTCGCAAAGGGGGCACAAATAACCTCGAATGGTACACACCGGATCAACTCACAACGGTTAATGGCAATCTGGAAATTACGCTCGAACGGAGAGCTATCCGCGGTATGCAGTACGCAGGTAAGGCTACCACCTGGTCGATTGTGTCGTTTACTGAGCTTCGCAGGCGGCATGATGAGTACATGGAATAAGTTCTGCTTCACAGGAGGCATTCTTGTGAGCAGCGTTGTTCTCCCTGGTCGATCAGACGTCTATGGACTTTGGGTAAGCACTCGCATTTTGTCACAAAATTTAAGACAAAGCAAGGCAATTCCAAAGCCTAAATTGCTTGGTCTTGGTTTTGCGACACAACACGGATCATGACTTAGGCTGACCTGGAATAGCCTGCTGTTTGGACGATGGGCAATCTCGGCCGTGCTGGCTACGGAGCTACTGCAGATGGAATGTGGCCATATGTGCGTATATACAACAACTTTGAGGCTCACGCTCATAACTGGTACAGACCTACGAAGCATGCGACGTTGGTACACTTCCTAACCAGACCCTCAATGGCCAGCCATCAGCTGCGTTGACCACTGGTGACGAATGGTACGAAGGAACGTTGTCCTATCTTCCTGGCCAGCGACTTTCTGCATGCACATGTCCTGGCGAACCACATCCTGGTCCACAGAACCGCGATGGGACATATGTCGGGCGATCCGCTCCTGAAATCGACGTGCTAGAAGCGCAAGTATCAGAGGCAGACCGTATTGGTCACGTATCTCAATCTGTACGTCCTCCTTGACCTTGCAAAGCAAATCTTGATGACACTCGTTTAGGGACAATTTGCCCCATACGACGCATACTATGCATGGAACAATGCGACCTATGCAGAAATTTACGACCCAACGGTGTCGCATCTCAATCTGTATCGAGGATCAGTCTACCAGCAAGCCGCTTCGGTCATCTCGACAACGAATCAAGATTGCTACGAGTTTAACGGTGGATGTCACTCTGTATACGGCTTCGAGTACAAGGAGGGATACGAGGAGGACGGCGCTTATATCACTTGGATCAACGATGGCAAGAAGGCGTGGCGAATGGGTGCAGGAGGCGTAGGGCCAAACCCGCTCACCCAAGTGGCAGCAAGACCGATTCCCAAGGAGCCGATGGTGAGCGTTCAATTCGACTGCGAGGTGGCTGCGCATTAACTTGCGACTCAGTATATCATCCTCAACTTGGGAATGTCTGAAAACTTTGGAGATGTCGACTATGTGAATCTCCAGTTCCCGACCAAGATGCTCGTCGACTATGTTCGTGTTTATCAGCACCCTGATAGGATCAATATTGGCTGCGACCCACCGTCTCATCCCACGACAAACTACATTGAACACTACATCGAGGCGTATACGAATCCTAACCTGACTGTAAGTTATCCTGTCGATTCTCAGTTTTATACTGACTTTGGCCAGACCTGGGAGGACGACTATGGCCAACCACGCGTCAAGAATAGACTGATTGACGAATGCACATAGATGATTGTCACATGGCTTGTCGTCGCGTCCTTTCTCTCTGCTCTTCGTACTCTACGAACTCTTGGTCCCATTGAGAGACCGTCTGTCACATTCGTGTACCTATTCTACTATGCAGAATCATAGATCAGTGCAAAAGCATATCAGTTCGCAAGATGTCGCCGGAGTGCCAAACAAACAAACGCACCATGGACCCGATCACATCCCTTCATTACTGGCTCACTATGAGCGAAGAGCACCCTCGCTCGAGCACAATTTAGAACATATTTGACCATTGCGCCTCGCTGTCATCTGTACAGCCTGCATTATAATTTGTCTCTCGTTCTAAATTGTCGCTGCCATTGCACACCATCGCCGCATAGAGGATGCTGGATCTATAGTGTAATGATGATAGCTGCAACTCTAAGGCCCACGGGTTTGAGAAAAGAACACAAGTTCATTGATACCCAGTGGAGTCTCTTTGACTCTCTGCTCCCGCGACCACCATCGAGTGGTGGGGTGCCTCGGTGTTTGAGAGGACCTCTTGGAGAGCCCGGTGCCTGTCATAGTACTCGGAGTATTGAGATTGCAGCCATTTTTCAGCTTTCTCCGCGTCTCTCTTCGAGATTACTGTGACGACAATGAGGCTGGGTCCAAGAGGTTAGATTGACTACAGACCTGTGACGACAATGAGGCTGGGTCCAAGAGGTGAGAACCTCTTGGGTGCCCATTGTCGTCACCTATGTACATATATCATCGAGTCACAAACCACAATTACGACTGTCTGTGAGGCTTTGCTTTGCTCGTGTGGTACAAAGTCGCAGTGCGATATCATCGAGCCAAAGTCGTCATGCTGTACCATCGAGTCAAGGTCTTTGTGCGCAACCGGAGGGGCGGGAAGGGAAGGCTCGTATACTCGAGCACGTCTGGCCTCCAACGCGGCCTGCACTGCATCGCCGGCGTTTGGAGTTGTTTATTCCGCCTCTGGAAGATCCAGGGTCAGTCCATTGGCAATATGCAGACGTTTGGACTCACATAATACTGGCGACAACTGCCACACCATTCTATCGCATCGGAACCAGGTTTACGGGGATCGGTAGACCTGGCGAGATGCCGACACGGCGATCGCAGCACGTGCAGAACTCCGAGTGCTGATTGCGTGAGTTCCGTCTACACTCTAGTTTGGCTTTCATATCGGGCGTCCTCACCCATTTGTTCACGTCCTGCACAGTCCAAGGAGAGTCCAGTAATATGTACACGGTGCCACTCACCCAGTATTTGCGACAAGTCGCACAACATTCGATGATATCTGAGTCACCATTTTGAGGATCTGCTCCAGTGGGCAGGACGCCGTCGCGCCGGCGGCAGCATGTGCAGCGCTGGGATCGCTGGGTGGCGGATAAGACCTGGAGTAGCCCATTATCAGGTACGACAGGAGCGCAGCTATGCGTTCTTCTGAAATTTATCGACAATAGCCCAATTATTCTGTGGGCGTACTCTTGCCTATCTCTCAAGAGCGCTTTGCAGTATAGCCGTGAGTTAGAGCTCAATGTCGTTATCAGTGCAAATTCAAGCCACAGAGCCCCATTTGATACAAGTAGATTGCTTGTGCACATACTATGCGACTTCTGGGGATAGAACGTATCTTTTAAAATGTACTGGTAAAGCGGCAGATGACTCGCCATTTTCTTGCTGAGCTCCAAGTTGGTGCATCATATCAATTGAATCGACGAGGCTTTGGTGAATGCCGGCGAGTATGAGGGAAAATGGCCACTCTGGTCCTGAATCTTGATTGAGTCAACTCCCATGACTTGGCGATTAATCCCGGTGACTGGTATCAGGAGGTGGAGGTGAGAATCTGAACTGGTCAGGCTCAGGAGCTTTGCCTGATCCTGTCTCCTCATTGTCCATGGAGTTGGCAATCAACTCGAGATTCATCAAGTAAAGTAACTGAAAGTCCGTGGAGACGCAAGTTCTTCCACACTTTCTACCTTCTGGCACTCCCGAACGCTCCTTTGACGACAAATACCCCGTTGGCCTTGTTCTGCGCCTGCACTTGGACAGCCCTGGCACGGTTGCGCTCCTTCTCCTATGCGGAGAGTACACTAGGCGGCACTATTGACGGTGTGCTTGTTGCCGCGATGTCTTCCGACTTGGGCTTCCATAGCCAGTTACATCCCACGCAGCATCTTGTCCGATTATCGGGCGGGAATGAGGGTTCCTTGTCCTCGACAGGCAGTCAAATTGTGTATCGTTGTTGGGGGAAGTGACAGCCGCACGTTGTCAATGAAGACGACGATCTCCTCAGGGAGAACAAAGGGGCACTCGCCCGCGAATCATGCGTTCAAACTGTCGGAGAAGAGTGAGCAAAGCAATAGCTCCGGGAAGTGGCCCACCTCAGCGAGGAAAATTGAGGCTATTGGTGCCATTAGACAAGGAGCAATAGAGTTGGAGCGCTCGTTGACTCGCCACTCATTGCCGCTGTCGTCTCTGGCAACTTGCAGTGATCATGCTCGGCCCTTGCACAAACTCAAGTCCCATAAGAGATCGTCCGCTAACTTCATGTAACTAGTCTAATATTCAGAATCACATATCAGTGCAAACCGTATCAGTTGACTGGCTAGCGCCCCCAAACTCTCATTCCACCACGACTATGGACCTACCCCCGGCTGAATCGACACGCCCATTAAGGCTGCTATCACTAGGTATAATCTCATATACTTTCAACGCATCTGAATTCTGAGGATTTGGTACTAGATGGTGGCGGAATCAGAGGCTTTTCCGAGTATTGTACACTTAATATTCAATGGGGTTGCTAAGATGCTGCAAAGATTAAAAATCTTGCAAGTTATTATGCACAAGATCAAGTGGGATAAGCAACTTGATGAAACCCCGCTGCCCTGCGACTATTTTGTTGAGTGACATTCTGTCGATTCTATCCGAGGCTCATCCATTCTTCAGGACCTGATTGGAGGTACGACCTCTATCCGCGCCTTCCAGAGAGATCTTGATGAGCCCAGGTACATCTACAGGGGGAATTATCTCCATCTTATTAGGAAGGTTACGTCTCTCAGTGGAAGATTGCTTGGACATATACGCAAGTCTATCTCGTAAAGTCTTCAAGAATGAGCGGTTCGGCAAGGGCTTCTTCCAGTCAAAGTTTGACCATACAATCTTGGAAGAAGTCATCAAAATTGAACTCAAGAAGATTAAGAAGCGCACAAGACGGCACGAGACTGGGCAGGACGTACCTCTGGGTGGCGGCGATAGCGATGGAGAAGAACCAAGCGGCGTGCCGACTGACTCTGCATCGCACATACGCGTGCGACCGAGGAGACCTGGTTCTCCTGATATCCAAGAGGGCATCGAGGCGAGAATGTTGGACACCTACGACCGTGCGTGCAAAGCGTTTGTAATGTTTGATATGTGACGGCATATCTTGGCTTTTAACCTGGAGGACAGGTTTGTTTCCGCTACACCTGGTATTGATGTCCAGCGTGACCAGCCAAAGCTCTTCCGAACTTATCAGAGCCGTGAGACCAACGCTGTACCAGATTGCAAAATTTGGGAAGCTATCCGTGCTACTTCTGCCGCTCCTACCTTCTTCGACTCGATCACAATCAACGACCTTACGGTTTGCCAACCTTTGTGCTCTTGCTCGAGTTGACACACACTCCAGTACGTCGATGGTGGATTTGGTTGTAATAACCCTTGTAGGTGATCTAAGAGATATGGACCAGGCTAATGATCGCAGGTATCGAGGTGTACGAAGAAGCCCGCAAAATCTGGCCCAACCGGGAGATTGGCGTGATCCTCAGTCTCGGAACGGGGATGCCAAAGGTTCTTTCAATAGACAATCCATCTTACTTTGACCAGTGGTGGCCTCGACCATGGGTACAGGTCCTGGAGAGGTACATTTCCATCGGGTCGGTGGACTGTGCTGACTAGTCGTTTAGGATTGCAACACAGTGTGATGCAACTCACCAGGAGATGTATCGCAAAAGGGAGCTCAGAGGCAAATACTTTCGCTTCAATGTGCAGCAAGGACTTCAGAGCGTCTCGCTAGCCGAATGGGACAAACTGGGCGAGGTCGGAACGCATACAGAGCAGTACATGCGAGACGCGGACATAGTCCCGAAACTCAACCAAGCAGTCGAGTGCATTCTCGCTGTGGAAACTGATCCTGGAGTTGGCACGGATGACGAGGAACAGCAGGAACCTCCAAGTTACTCTCGAGCAATTTCGCTGTATCGTTGATCTTTTCTCTGGGAATACATATTGTGGTTGTTTTTTTCTCGAGGGGTTGGTCCCTCCGCGACCGAGTGGCCAGCGATCAATTCATTTAATCTTGGCTACCGACTACGACATCGCTGAGCTCACCGCGTCCAAAACGACGACGACAACGATGGAGGCTCTATCAAACTCGACAATAACAACACCACCATCAACGACGCCGTCGATTGGAGACAGCGAGTCGTCCGCAGCTGCGCTATACCAGGCGTTTTTGATGATTCTGGCGTCGGAGATTGGCGACAAGACATTTCTGATCGCTGCCATATTATCTATGCGTCATCCCCGTCTCGTCGTCTTTCTCGGCGCGTTCTCTAGTTTGGCCGTGATGAGCTTGCTGAGTGCTGGCATGGGCCACGTCCTTCCGAGTCTCTTCCTACCACGCAAATGGACACAGATGGGTGCTGCCATTTTATTCTTCTGGTTCGGGATCAAGATGGCCAAGGAGGGCTGGGAGATGGAGGCAGGCAATGCAAAAGTACAAGAGGAGATAAAGGAGGTTGAGGAAGAGCTCGAAGAGGAAGGAGAAGGTCACCAATTACGTCCAATCAAAGGGGATAGGGACGAAGAGGAATGCGTAGAGGCGGCAGGCACGCCCTCAAAATCTACGTTCAAGCGACGACGCGGGTTTGGGTCAAGCGTAAAGGAGGGTGCCCACAATTTTGCTTCACTCTTCCTTGGACCAGTGTTTGTGCAGGCGTTTGTGCTCACATTCTTGGGCGAATGGGGAGACCGCAGCCAAATCGCCACGATTGCTCTGGCAGCCGCTCACGTATGCTTGCCATTTTCGATATATCAGCACGCTGACCAGATCTTCTCATTGTAGAATGTATACGTTGTTACACTAGGGACTGTAGTCGGCCATAGTTTGTGCACCGCTGTAGCAGTCATTGGAGGACGGTGGATATCCACTATGATCTCCATAAAGCATGGTACGTCTTCAATATATGTGCTGCTATAGTACTGACGCATGTAGTCACTTTGGGAGGGGCCGTCCTCTTCGTCCTCTTTGGATTAATATACCTGCGGGAGTCGCTATTTGGTGCAGAGTAATACACGCTGTCGATTGCTAATTTATGTCTCAGTAGTATTCGCATAGATCTACGCGCCTTGTCTAATCACCCATTCTGCAGTGGCGATCACCACAGAGAGCGTCTCTACAAACATTCTAATTACAAAATTCGTACAGCCTGATCGATTATGCAGACGCGCGTACCTCGATTGTTCAGAGCCACTGGCCTTGCCTCGCGCCGGCGATATTATAGCGCTCAATTTGACCGCCTGAGAAGCGGCTCCTCGCTCACTCGGCAGCCTGGTTCCGGAGCTATTTCACCAATAAACCCGTCGGGTCCCTCGTACATAAGCCACGTTGGGTTATAAGGCAGACCCAAACCTTGACTCTGGTCCCTTCCCACCGAAAGGTTCTTGTGAATCCCGCAGCAGAGAGTCGCTTATAAGCGCGCCCCTCGCGTTCTTTCTACTTTCTTTTCTTCAAGATGGCCTCCATTGCCATTCTTTTCTTCTCTGTGCTGCTCCTGCATAGACCCATTGTGAATGGAGAAGCGTTGGCAAGTCTGCAGCTTATATCTGAGGGAAGGGAGCTTACACCCGTGTAGACCAACGCGACCTGCGCGACCTCTTTCAGCTGGATGTCGAACAGCGTCGGCCACTCTCCTTGCCTAGTTGCAGCAGAATTGCAATCACTGTGCTCTGGAGGAGGTATATTTTTGCATCTTCATGTCCGACTTACCCGGTAACTTTCCTTCTGTTTATAGACTGGACAGTACCTGCACTACCGCATCTTCCTAATGGAGATAGGCAAGCTTACAATTCACCCGATGCCTCGAATAGGAACGTTTGTATATGGTGAGTGAGCCGGCCTCGCCGTCTCCGTCTTGGACGGGGCTGAAATTCTCTGAAGTTCGTGGGCGGTGTACAACTTGATGAGCGCCTGTGCAGCTTGTCAAGATGGTGGATGGAGATCGTATGTGTGATTTTATTGTGTTTCAGGGTGACTTATGCACCGGACCAGGTGGCCCGTGTGGTCAACTGCCTGTGGCGCGTCGGAGAACTTGGTGGCTGCACAGGCGTACGTAGTCATATCATTAACAGCAGAATTACACTAAACCCCGTGGATCCAGGTTTCCCTCACAGATTACGATCCCGAGTACGACGTTGATTCCGATTTATGCAGCGAAAGACCCATCGTCCTGGACAGCCTCCTCATTTAATGTAACTGAAGCGAAATTTGTTGGATCTGGAGACTTTACCCAGACTTCCTCTGCCTCTACGCAGTCAAGTACGACCTCACCCACTTTGTCACCAACAACCACTCCATCTGGTCAAACATCTACCCATACTGGAGCAATAGTTGGTGGAGTTCTTGGAGGTGTGCTCGGGATACTACTACTCGCTCTTCTGGCTGTATTTCTTCTGTGCCCGTCTCTCCTTTCAAGGCGTCGTTCGGAAGCGGAACCGGCGATGACACAAAACTCAAACCTCGTACCCAGAAGTAACCCAGTATCAACATACACGACGTCGGCTCCTCCGCATTCGGAACGAATGGTTCCCCAACCGCCCTTTGCGAGCCAACCCACATTCCAACATCCCACGGCCAACTATTCGTCTACATCAATATTCGGCTCTCATCAGCCGTACTATCAGCACTCGCTACTGGCGTCCGACGTTCCTTCATTATCATCTCCGCCTCGGACGGACGAGCGCAGTTTTATGACAGATCCGTCAAACAGGTCCATCAGCGTATATTCGGCACCCGTAGCGCAGCACATTCCGACGAGAGTCGAGCTTTCACGGCAAAATTCGTCCCAAAGCTCAACATATCCGCTGCTTGGGCCCAACCACTCGTTGGGCCGACAATACCACGCTGGAACTGTCGAGGGGAGTTTAGCGAGTGGAGAAGATATTGAAAGGAGCTCGACTATGTCTCCTGCCGCATCTTCCATCTTTGAGGCTGCGCCTCCCTATCGCCCGCCAGAGTCTACAACTCCGCGGTTGCCCAACATAGATAGTAAACCTCATCTGGAGACTGTAGTCGAGCAGTAATGTATTTCGTTTGTTTCAGCCTTGAATACTGGACCATGAAGGCAGGGCACTGCCTGCATTCAAGACCCTGTGAATGTGGCTCAACGATCACTAAATGTAGGCCGTACTTGCGTCCCTTCTTTGTCACCGCTTTTGTCCATGGCACTTTGCATAAAAATATAGCGCTCTGGCGATGGCCCAACGTACCACAGGGTCTACTTCCCTCCCGTTCTCTTCGAGCTCAAAATCTCGTTTATTCGAGATAAAACACGCGGGTGGTTTGAACTATCTGGAAGGTCTTTGCGGCACCCCCAAATTGTCTGATTAGGAGACGATGGCGCGATTCAACTTGCTCTGGTTTGCAGCGACTTTTGCGTTGCACACGGCTCGCGCACAACAGGCGACTACGACGGCAGTTTGCGGGTCTCAATATGGCTGGATGAACAACAATCGTGGGCAGTCTCCCTGTCTGGTCGCCGCGTATCTTCAAGGCGCATGTGGAGATGGCGGTAGGGCCCTCTTTCCATGGAAAATTGACATCTAACAACCTTTGATATAGAATGGACCGTCCCAGCTCTTCCTAGTACTACTGGGCAGCAGCTTGCATACGACTCGCCGACAAATGCGACCCAGAGCCTTTGCACTTGCTCAGCGGCGGTCTATAATCTGATGAGTGCATGTGCTGCCTGCCAAGGCGGGGGATGGCGACTGTAGGTCTTCATGATATGCAAGCACCTGTGGTCCTAAATAAACGAAAATAGATTCGCGCCGTGGGCAACGCAATGCACTTCAGCAAACCTCTTGACTCTTCCCAATAGGTAGGGATTCTCTTTATAGAAATGGATTGACTAACATGGCTCAGTTTCCCAACCAATATCCCGGTTCCATCGGATACAACAATTCCCGCATATGCTGCTAAGGACCCTCGCACGTGGTCAGATGGGCGATTCAATCTTGTGGAAGCGCAAGCAATCGCACAAAACATCACTTCGAATACGGTCACCTCATCAACTTCGGCTCCGACAACAGCTTCTAGCTCTGGCACCAGCCCCTCTGGATCAAGTACATCCAATAACAGCAATACCGGTGCTATCGTAGGGGGTGTTGTCGGTGGTGTCCTTGGCCTCGCACTGATTGCCGTCCTCCTCACCTGGCTCATTTGCGGAAAGCAAGTCCAACGGCGATTCGATCCACAAGGAAACGCTGAGATGGCATACGAAAAGCCAGATGTACTAGGAAGGGCTTTCACTACGCCAAAGCAACCTTCTATCATTGCGCCAGTTCCTGTCCGACCCATCCCTACAGCAAACTTTGAGAGCTACATGTCCACAACAACAGGGACTAGCCATCATGGAGACGTATCCGGATACACTCATCTCACAGGAACCCCCAATCAACCTCTCAGCAGGAGCAATACGACGTCTTCTAGGGCCATGACCCTCTTTCGTCGCGTGACTTCTGCCGTTCCCTGGAGGTCTCACTCCAAAACGACGTCCCGCACTAGTGTAGGTAGCGGGACAGTCATGACCTCAAACGTCGGCACACTCAGTCCGATTCCGCATGGCGGTAGTGATCTCGGACACGGAAACGTCTCACGACAGAATACGATACGCGATATACCGGACCCGGTCCCATTCACGATCCCAGCTCCAGCAAACGACTCGTTACGAAACTACCCAATTGCAGAAGAACCATCGACCTCGCATGGTTTCCCAAGCGCAGCAGAGGAAAAGAGGCGACTCAATCCACCAGGGTACTCGAATCCTCCCCCTGCTGTAGTAGCACCGTGGATTAAGGGCGATCAAGTGCGTTATACATCGCAGAACCCAACTGCAAATACGCCCAACTCTCTGCTCGACAACTCCGCCGTCGCAACGCGCGCCACGAGCAGCCCAGAGAGTCAGACTTTGAGTCACCATAACCAACAACAGCAACAACAGCAAGATGCGCAGCGGCTACAGCGACCACAGATGACGGTTAGGCCCGTGTCAGATGTACTCTCTGGCTCGGTGCCCTCAAACATTTTGCTGCCTTCGCCAACAGAGAATGATGTTTCCCAAGGCGCGAGTAGTGGTATTATCGATTCCTCGCCACTCGTAGCACGACCACCGGTACCGATGCAGAATATGCGCTTCGTGGTTACCAATCCAGAAAAGGATGTCGAGATGTGAGTTGAGCCTTGTATTTATTAATCAAGGGATCGGATTTTAGTCGCATTGTACCGATTAGCTCGAATCTAATGTACTTTTGAATGGTTAAACACGCTAGTTGTTAAGACGGTCTAGGAATCCGCATCGAACACATTCGGTGAAGATGGTTGAACCTTCATCAGCACTTCGGAGTTGCTTTTCCATCGTGTAACCCTTGTCGTGACCGCAATTCTTGCAGGTGATCGTTTCCTAGCAGGATTTGAGCATCGAGGAGCCATGAGGGAGGAATCGCTCACGATTGGTCGGGTCTCTACTTCCTCTTGGAACCTTGTTTGCATCTTTCTTCGTTGTTTGAGTTCTGATGGAAATGCATCTTCCCTCAGTTGGGTCACCACTTTGATATCGTCGTATGCTACGCTCGGTGAACAGCCAGTCTTTCAGGTGATAAATAACTTACATGAAGCGGGCTCTATGTATCCACATTGCTCACACTTTACACTCACGGCCTGAGGCTCTGGGTAGTCGAGCAGGGTGCCACATTCTGGACAAAACAGCAACGAGCCTGTGCTACGTCAAGATCGTCCTACTACATTCATTCAGTGTACAAACCGATTTTCTTTGCTTGCTTAGCTGACATTGAGACTAGGGTCAGAGGTTGAGAGCGGTCCAACTTTTTGGACCTCACCATCACCAAATGTTCCCAACACGGAGACTATTGACGACCGCTAAGAATGTCCGGGGTCCCAAGGTATCTGCAGAACGCTTGGGACGAACCTTGGAATGGCTCAGACAGGAACCTCGGCCGGTGTTGTCGAGCATTCGGGCGTTGAAAATAACATATGCGGCGAGAAATGATCATTTTGGTGCACGGTACGCCCTCTAATACACTCACTTTGATTGTATTGACGAAATGTATCAAAAAGACATTTTGCGAAAGAAGACCTACCACGGATATCGTATGCCAATCAACAAGTAGATATCAAGGTGGATAGACCTGATCCACGGGAGGACCCGGAAAAGGTCGTTGAACCTGTGATAAATGTGACATTTGGTAAGTGTCTCGAGGACGTAAGATTGTGAAACCGACTGCTTGCAGAGAATGGACGCCAGGTCACACTTAATATGGCAGGGAAATCTTCAAAGCACATTATGGACGAGTTGATGGCTTTGGACCAAAACCTCCATTAATCGTTTGCGGGGATGGCCTGCATCTTGTCCTTCTCGTGTTCAATCGCATTATCTATAATTATACACTTCTATCATAGGGTTGGGCACAACCCGCGAGCTTTCTGACGGTCATAATTGCGACGCCGAGATCAACTCTTCCCAGGAGAATTGCTCCGGGTTCTCGTGGAATGTTGTGAGAAGCTTTGCGTGACGATTATCGGATTTGGGGAGGTAATACTGCTGCAGTCCAAACGCAAGCAGCTGTGCGGTCGACGGGGTCATAAGGAATCGACCAGGATCGTTTGTTGATGCAGTCAGCTCTCCACGCATGAGGACTAAACCGTGGGACTGGGCGAGGTCGGTGTAATGAGTGAGTACGAGGTGTGGCAGAGCGTACGCCTGCCGTAATTTGTACTCTTGTAGTGGAGTGAAGATGACTGTAGTGCAGGGAGGATTTGGAGAATGTTGAGGTGGCTTCGCATTGGCAAAAGGGTCCGAATTTGGCACGGGTGGGGCAGAATGGTGTCCCCACTCCATGTAGAAGAATTCGTATGGGGTCCTATGGCTTTCTTCACCCTCCTTCAGCTCAACTTGAGCTTCTGGTCGTGGTACTGGGAGAATAAAAGAGGGATATTTCTTCGCCGCGGGCAGGAAGGATTCATATGTTTCCCGGGGGATGACTGCCGAGAGGAAACCTTTGCCTTGTGTCGCCTTTGCAGTATGATAGGTCGTCCATAGGGCCCCAATTTGCTCTGAAGTATGAGGAGTTTGCAATATTCGCCCAAGATCCATAATGTCTGACAGTGGCTGTCACGGCGTCAGTATCCCACGGAGTGACAAAAATATAGCGCACTGTTACCGGAGAACTGTCTTTTCGCGGGTTTGGTGATGCTTTCTTCGAGGTTGGACCTTTTGGAAAGGCCTCCAGGGGTTCTACCGGCTTTACATCAACAGACTCCTTGGTTTTCGATCTATATTCCTCTATGTCTTTCAGACCCAATCTGTCAAAGTCTTAAAATGGGTTCCTTGAGAAGCATATAACATACTCGTCAAGCTTTTGCTTCAGCTTTTCTGCATAGCGCTCCTGGTAGGTACTTTGCAGGCGAATTGGCCTAACATTCCAGTTAAAGCGCAAAACGGTAGGTCTTGGTATCAGCCGGAGTCGTTGCATAGCCGTCGTCGAGTTCAAGCCGCGTCGGACAAAACTAAACATCTTGAACTCCGCCCCGATGGATACCTTGAATGCCATAGCACTCGCCGGTCCTATTTTGTATTTTCTCCTAGTGGCTCTTAGTTTCTATCTCATATTTCGGGACATTAAAGCTCATGCGCGTAGCCCTCGTCGACCAGTTCATTGGTTGTACGGCGCTTTGGTTGTCATTTCTTTCGTGCACACGTTTACATGTGAGTGTCTATCAGATACTGCGAGAAGTAAATGCTTATAACATTAGGGATACTTGCACATTTCAAAGTGAGCACTGGTTGCCCATAGTAACCGAGTTAATGCTGACCATTACTAGTGGAGTTATAACAACTTCTACAGCAATCTCAATTACACAATAGTCGGCTCAGATCTCGACCGTCTGTCTTACTGGCTATCCCATACGTCCATATTCAAGGAAATTTGGGTGTAAGTACGTTACCAGGACATAGCCCCGTCTAACCAGAACACCAGATCTGGATATCAAGGAGCATTCCACCACTGGTGGCTGGAGAATCTTTGCATTTTTACAGCTGGAGCATGGACCGTTTTCCTTGTTTCGGAAGGCAAGTCGTGCGCAATTGCTTGTTATGTCTGACATCTTTCAATAGGAAAGAGGAAAGGTCTCGCAAACCTCTGGGCTTACATGTTCATAGCAGAGTTTGTTGCTGTTTCTACGGCTTCGGCTTTGTTCTATCTCGCCGTTTCCCTGCGCACGCCAAAGCCTCATCCTATACCATCCAAGAAAAAGGACGACGATATTAATGCGACGTTACCACCGGACCAAGAAGCGTTAGCTCCAGCTATGCTGACGATTCCCGTTTTGCTGGCTCTCTTCGCCATCTCGACGACGCCGTCTCCTGAGTCGCCGGAGTTTATCACCAATATACTAATCATACACCTTCTCCTTTTCATACCGGTGCTCCCATCTCCAGTATGGACGACGAAGCCACGGTGAGGCTCTCGTCTTGGGAACTGAGATCCCACTCATCACCATCTAGTTTCTTGAACATCCCATCATCCACTGTCTTCTTTGCAACCACGGCACTAGCGCTTGTTTTGCGACTTCAATCCACACTCTCAACCGCAGTAATGCTTGAGAACGTTAGCATAATGGAATTTCTCGAATCTGCGATTGGTGTTCTTCACACCTCGCCGGCGATGGCAACGTTCGGATGGGACACCATCTGGACTACGGTTGCCTTTTTGGTGTGGCATATTTTTGGAGATGGAAGTACCTCACCAAATGTGCAAATGTTCATCCCGATGGCCACTTCCACTGTCGCGCTCGGAGTCTCATTTTCTGCGCCTTTGGCTCTTGGTAATGTGGTCAATGAGATACTGTCAAAAGAAGACATCAAGGAGGACCAGAATCTACCCACTTCATAGTATGTTTTTGTCGCACACTCGCTGTACAGTTTAGTTGAGGAATCAAAGGCTGCATTATACGCGAGGCAATGTTAACTACATCATCGACTACCTCCCATCCCCGATCAGACGGGCGGGTTCTTCAACCCATGACCTCCACGACTCTACAAATGCCGCCATCTCTGCCCCTTCGACGATTCGGTGATCTGCCGACCAGCTAACGCCGACCTCTAATCGTTTGTGGCCATCTCTTTCCACCCATTTAGCCCTTCCGATTGCCACAATTGCTACTCCGCCACCAGGGACGAGTAAAGGTGCTGCCCACTCTCCCTTTCCAATCGCTCCGACATTGGAGACAGATATTGTTGCACCACGCTTGGGCAGTTCCTTTGGCGTGAAACCCGCTGGTGTCTTCCGTCCAAGAGCTTGGAACCGTCGTAACTCGCCCATGATCTCATATGGGGTTTTAGTCTCAACTGATTGCAGAACGGGTGTGTATAGTCCACTGGTGGTCGAAACCGCGACTGCAATGTCGGATTGTGATCGAATTGTGACACTTGGTCGATCATCGGGCTTTGACATTGGGTTGAGCGAAGATCGGAAGATCGGCCATTCTTGCATGGCCCGTGAAAGCGCTTTTAGTAGGAGAGGGAGGATAGTGAGGCGGTGATATTGTGTGTTGGGATCGACAGCTGGAGCTGGCAGCGGAGGAGACGATCCCCAGATGCCTTGGGGTGAAATAGCAGGAGGATGCCCACCGGTTGGAGGAGGGTTAAATTGCGGCGGGATATAAGAGTTCATCGATGGAAGGAGCGCATTGAGTGCTGTAAGGTCCAACGTAGACGAATATCCAAAGTGCGGAATCTCGAGACTCTTCGTCATACTCTTCCACATAGCGTAGCGCGTTCGACCCAGTTCAACGTGGGTATCTTCCAGTCGTACACCTGACGCTGCTGATGTTGTGGTGTCTCGCGGTTGACTCTTCCGCGCTAGATAGGCTTCGACATCTGCCTTTTCTATACGCCCTCCTGTACCAGAACCAGGAGCCAAGACTGACAAGTCTGAGATGCCGTTTTGTCGAGCAAAGTGCCTGACAGAAGGTAGTGCGAGAGCCGCGGTAGGGCTAGATAACTCTTCGTTGGATGGATCCAGTGGATGTCTCTTCCTCGGCGATGCACTAGGGACGAGCGGCGGCTTGAATGTCTCTGACTCTACTGAAACACGTGCTGACGTCGTTTGCTTTGGTACAGCTGCAACGCTCTGCTCCTCAGCCTCGGCTCCTTCCTCTGTAACCTCAATAAGGCAGAGCTCAGCTCCGACTTTGGCTATCTCTCCCTCCTTGACCAGAATCTCCTTGATCACGCCATCGAATGGGCTCGTTATTTCGACAGAGGCCTTGTCGCTTTGAACCTCACAGAGAGGGTCGAATGTTTGGACAGACGACGAGGGTTGCACGGACCTGTAACCGTCAGTACAAGCACGCGTGCCAATAACTTGCACACCATTTGAGGACTTCACACTCTGTGATACCTTCACCAATGTCCGCGAGAAGGAACGGTCGAATTGTCTTCCTGGACGCAAAGCGCACGTATGGGAGGACAATGTTACACGAGAGAGGTCTCCTTGTAAGTAGGTGCCGGGGAGAAATACGGGCCAACATAGGCGTCGAGAGAGGGGAGTCCAAGTTGCGCTGCGTGACCATTCGAGCTCCGAACCGACACCATTCGCTACCTCCGTTTCCTTGCAGAGAAGACTTCAACCCATCTTTCCATTAGTTATATGTTCTACATCATGATCTGAAGATACTTTGCTTCACTCTGTTCCTCATTCACTCCTAATTCTACCAGTATAGGCCCTGCAACCGAGACACATAGGATTGATACAACTTTTATGCAAGTAGTGACTAGTTCAAGTTGAAGTGAGTTCTTGTTGGAGCCAGGACGAGTCACCGGTTGTCCTCGACCTTAACGAACGCATTTCCAATCGTAGGCCTTGACGGATGGGAAAGCACTTTGACTCGATACCCAAAGAACTTGTACCATGGATTGAACAGCAGAAGATCTTCTGGGTAGCAACAGCACCGCTCAGCGAAGACGGTCACATCAACGTCTCGCCAAAAGGGGTTGAGGGCACCTTTCATCTGGTAGATGAGAATACCTGCTGGTATGAGGACCTTACCGGGAGCGGAGTGGAGACAATATCTCATCTGAGGGAGAATGCCCGTATCACCATCATGTTCAGTGCCTTTGAAGGTCCACCACGCATCATGAGGTTTTGGGGAAAAGGTAAGAGTATGGATATCAATCATTTCTCCACCTCAAACAGAATCAGGGACCGTATATGAAGTCGGTACTCCAGAATATGACGCATATATCCAACCTGAGCAACGAAAACCTGGATCCCGAGCCATAATTCTTATCAAAATTCATAAAGTGGGGACAGTACGTGCTTCAAATCGGCGATTGATGCAAGTAACCCACATTTCAACAAGTCGTGCGGCTATGCAGTACCCTTCTTCACCTTCGACCGGTACCGTACTCAATTAGAGAGCCATTTCGCGCGAAAAGAACTGCAAGACTTGGAACACGGCGCTCGTGCACCTGGACAGAGTGGTATGCTCGACTATTGGGCCCAGAAGAACGTAAGGAGTCTCGATGGATTACCTGGTCTGCAGCAGGGTATTCGTTTTGCAGAATCCCTGGAAGCTACGTTACCTCCTGGGTACATCGGCAGTGGCGAGGCCCAGAAATGGCGGCGAAAAGAGGTGGAAGAGGTCAAAAAGGGTCATCACGCTTTATATATCTCCTATTTCGACTGGTTCACATCTACCCAGACCAAGATGGTGCTTTCTTTCTTATTTGGTGTAGCGCTGACGGTCAAATTCCAGCCGTACATCGCCACCAAGTACAGAGGTTAATACTTGCAGTGCCCACTGAAGCGGGATGTCAAACTTTTCGCGGCAGTCAGAGCCCATCTAGTATGTGACAGAGCCCACTATCACAACCCAAAAGAGTCTTCAAGTCAGGGTAAACCCGGGCTGTATGTAATGAATGATACAAGAATATCGACCATTACAACCAATAGCGACCCAGTGACCGGCATATGTGCTGGTTTCTCTCTTGGTTCTGGCACTGACCCGGAAAGCTACCTATGCAACTGCGATTTTTGCACAATCTGTCGACACTATACGATTAAGTGGATTATTTATTCATAATTTGATAGGCGGGGCGTCTCTTTGCGACGCGCCTCTCGGAAATGTTCGTTGCTTCGGTCGGACGCGCGTTGCAAACCCTAGTGAGGTTTTATCTTACTTTGCGATATAATTTCATTCATTTTTGGTCTCTCTATCATAGCGGTGACACGCGCGTGGACATACGCCCTTGTACTTCAATTGGCTCGTAGTCCGGAATTCGAGGAAGCGGTGCTCGAACCAAATGCCAGCCATATATTCTACCATGACAGACTCTTGGGATGGTCGGTGGTAGCTGCGGCGAGCGACTACAAAAGCTTACAACTTTCGATGAAGAGGTCCCTCGGAAGCCTTCACCCTTGTCCCAGTTCACGGTAAGTGTTTCTCTCAAGTCGCGTCACGAATTCTTACAGAGCCATAGGATTCTGCCCAGCCCTTTTCGTCTTCGGTTGGTCTTTGGTAGCGGCTACTCTTTGGTCGAACAACTAGAAGCGTGTGTGCGCCTGCACCATTCCCAATCGTAATGTCTGCATCAAATCAATCGCGAGCCTTGCACAATCCTAGTGCAGGAGCCCGGGGCGATGCGACATGTTGCATCTGCGGGGAAAAGGGAGGGCATAACCGGGGTTGTATCCAGAGACAAATGGAGGTCGAAGCTGCAGCGGATCTTGAAGCACATAAGCATGAGTCACAAGCTCAGCAGGTCCAGCTCCAGCAGCAATTCCCACCTGGCAGAACCTCAAGCAATGGACATTAGGTTTCCCTCCTACTCAAACCATTCCTTAATTTCCTTTCACGGACTTCGTCTTGGTCTGACCTTCGTCGCGTCATTCAAGCAAACTCTTGCACCCAGCTTTCACAAAACCCGACAAAACCAACTAAAAACTTGAAAACTTGGACAATAAAAGCAACAGATCTAACGAATTCTTACGATTTCCGAAGTTTGTTAATCAAGCTTCGACTTTATCTTCATCCCTTGCTGGACGTGTGCGACTGATGGGCCGTGCAAACCCTCCCTTCCCTCTTCCTCCCTTCTTTATTGCTCTTTATGGTCACATGTGTGACCAGATCTTCATCCCTTAGCTTCCCCAGCGTCCCCCTTCTATCCGCCTTCATTCTCTCCTGTGCAAAGTGACTGCACTCATTCTGATGTAGTCGTGGATCTTGTTGAATTCATCCCTTTGCCAAATAATCCTGTCTATATCTAAGGCGAATACATTACAGGGTGAGGTACGAGCTATATTACAAACTAAATCCCGACTCTGCGCTTCGGTGTTTGCCCAAAACCAAGTCGGGGTGTAGCAGGTGTAGGAGCACCAGCCATCACGACGCGTGAACCTCCTGACGACACTTGCTTTTTGAGTGCACTTTCTGCGTCACGCTTCGCGGTGAGGTCGCGCTGCCGGGCCATCTCCATCTCTAGTTCGGCTTTCTTCGAGAACTCTTTGTCATGTTTACGCCGTCGCCCACTGTCATCGAAGTTCTTCTCCTTAACAGAGTAGAACACAGAACCCAGTTCAGCTGCAGGCATATAAGCAAGAGACGGGAGGAGTACTTAGGACTCACCAAGCCAGTAAGGGTCGATTGAGGTCACTTGGGTCATATATCTGTGAAATTGGTCAAAATCATATACCAATGAGCACAGTGACTTACTCCTTTGAAGTAAGGATGAGCTCGTGGTAGACGACATAGGACGGAGTGTATCCAAGACCATAAAGCGCACTTGTGGGATGCAAGTGTGTTGGCAATCTACATGAAGCCATTCGTTAGCGTCCTTCAGATATGACATGAATCGACCTACCCAGATCTAATATTGACAAACTCGCCAATTCCTTTTACTCGAGCAGCTTGGTGGAAGTATCCCGCTGTTATCGCCTTGCGAACAACATCGTAGTCCGTACCGGCGGACACAATCTCCATTTTCTGGGTCTTCATAATGTCTTCCAACTGTACGCGAACTTCACGCGCTTTGCGAAGCAACTTCGGATGGAGGAAATGCTTCATACACCAGTCGTCTCGATACCTTTTCAAAGTCAGAGAATTCATTTGCTTGATGACATGCACATACCCATGACTTTTCCATTGTTGAAAGACATTGAGAAGAGTCAAATGATCACTCTCGGGAACGGAGAATTTCTCTCGGGCTGCGTCGCTTTCTTCCAATCGCTCCTTGGGTCGGTAAAAGACGCTCGGTACGCTGAGCATAGAGACGATTGTCAGCATTTCAGCTGAGCACTTGTACTCCACGGAAACGATGAGCATCTTCGCCATAGATGGCTCCATCGGGAATTCGTTCATCTTTCTCCCCGATGGAGTGAGGTCGCCGACATTGTCCAGCGCCCCGAGGACCCAAAGTTGATACATTGAATTGAGAATATTTGCCTGGGGAGGAGGGTCCATAAAGTCAAACTCTAGCAGATTCTTGACACCAAGGGACTTCAGAAGAAGTACGGTGTTTGCGAGGTTGGTTCGCTGGATCTCCGGAATGTTATTCTCAAACATTTCATTCTTGAACGCGCCCTCAGTGTAGAGTCGGTAGCAGAAGCTATTGTCCGTGATCAGTATGACGGGCGCCCAAGCAGATAGATCGTACCCATTGCCCGTTCTTCCGGCTCGACCCGTGCGCTGGTTTGCATTTGCCTGACTGATGGGTGTGATTTGGAGGGCGTCCATTCCGACCTTGGGGTTATACACTTTGAGTTTGGAGTAGCCGGAGTCGACCACGTAAAGGATACCATCGACTAAAGGCGTTGAGTTCGGAACACGCCGATGATTGGAGCTTACCCGTCAAGGATGTCTCTGCAATGTTCGTGGCGACAATGACTTTGCGACGACCATCTGGTGTTGCCTCGAATATTTTGGCCTGAAGATCGGCAGGCATTTGTGAGTATATTGGCAGAACAGCAAGCGGTGCTGGGTCATCCAGTTGTTCAAGTCTTTCTGTAACGACATCAGCCACTTTGTAGAGAATACCACGTAAGCTGACCATTGACGACTTGGCATGTAATCTCGATGTCCTCTTGACCTGTCATGAAAACCAGGATATCACCTGGAGGAAGTGACAGGTGTATCTGGAGCACCTGCTTAACAGCAGCGTCTACGTAGTCCTCGCAAGGCGATTTCGAGTGGAAGATTTCCACAGGAAAGGTTCGACCGGGAATCGTAAAGACTGGTGCATTGCCATAGAATGTCGAGAACTGGATAATGTCAGTCCATAGCGTGGTTAAAATCTGAAACAAACCTTTTGGGCGTTCATGGTCGCCGAAGTGACAATCAATTTGAGATCCCTTCTCCTAGTCAAAACTGGTACTGTCAGAAAGGACGCTCGAAGCAGTGATTTGTACCAACTCTTGCGGAGTAGACCCATGAGGACGTCTGTACTCAAAGAACGCTCATGAGCCTCGTCTAGGATGATAACGCTATATCGGTCCAAGTCTCCTTCGTTTAAAGATTCTCGAAGGAGGACACCATCGGTCATGTCTATGATAGAGTTAGTATCAGGGTCCTTAGATAGCCGAAACGTACACTTGATCTTCGTCTCACTGGATGTGCAATCCTCGAAGCGGATGGCATATCCCACGGTCCCTCCAAGTTTGCACTAGAAACGATGAACATGGATGAAAGTTATGTCGGGTCACATACCTCCATTTCCTCGCTGACTCGCTTTGCAACAGACATTGCAGCGACACGACGAGGTTGCGTGCACCCAATTATGCCATTGCTGCAAAACCCATCTTCGTACAAGAACTGAGCGAGTTGGGTCGTTTTGCCTGAACCGGTTTCTCCAACAACGACCACGACTAAATTCGTATTAGATTGAATGACAGCGGATCAGATGAAAAACACCCGCCTTGAAAATCGCGCAACATTTTCATTAGCTCCTCTCTGCAAGCAAAAGCCGGCAGATACTCTCTCTGCTCCTTTAGAGTTCGGGTGCGGGCAAAAGTACTCGTCGCTGTTGCCGTCTTGAGATGACTTGCAAACTTGGAATCCCCTTTGTAGTCTTCCTCGCCTTGCTTAGCTGCGGCGTCGGCTATAAGATGCAAAGAAAACTGGTGAATGTCCAGAACGCGCTTTGGCAAAAAATATGAATATAACTCACCGGCAGCTTCTGCATCCGCTTCCTCGTCTCGTACACCCATGACGTTTCCAAGCGCGGTTCCTCCGAGAGACGCTAGCTTGGCAGCCGCTTTTTGTCGCTCCGCCTGCTCTCGTTTTTCTTTCACGAGCGCGCTGCCTTTTTTGGAAAAGACGGCCATGTCACTCGTTGGGTCCCGTATAGGATTGATAGGCTCAAGTTGCTTCGTGTAGACTGTTCTTCCATCAAGGAATGGCGGTTTCAAGTCGTGCACCATCACGTGAACCATAGATTCGGATTCGTCCTCGAAGTCCATATCCAGAGCGGCTCTTGATGCAATTCCAGAAGTGAGAAGTCGATTTGCTTCCCAAAGGTCGTTGTCGGCATTCTAAGGCTTTGTCAAGAAAGGCGACCGTTCCGCATTATGGTACCCACATATTGAGCTTGCTTCGCTGATATCTTTTTCTAAAATTGGATGAGTAGGTTGATACCTCTGTAAGTTGAAAAATCGTACCACTTGCTTGGTGGCAATCTCGGCTTGCTTCTTGACCTCCAAATCCTCCCATTGTGCGAGTGGATTGTGCTCTTCGTCGCCCATCTATGATGCTTAGATCGTTATCATGTAAAGCGGAGAGGCTTACCAAAGTTCCATCCTCACTTGCCATATACCAATCTCGATCCAACTTGGTCTGCTCTTCCTCCCATTCTCGCGCATCAAACTGACCCAAACCGCCCTCGTCGTCATCATCGATAGCCATATTCCCATCCTTTGATGCACGCGGAGTAGGTGCGTCCCACCGTCGATTTCGAACACCACCCCAGTTTCCGTCGCCGCCATTGGGATCGCGCGGCGTAGCGTCCCAGCCGTTTCTCGCACTTCTTGTCGATTCGCCACCTCTTGGTGTCTGCTGAGGCATGCGAGACCGATTGTCGCGTACATTACGATTCAGACGTTGTTGAAAGTCTCCCAATCCTTGGCCGTCGGGACGTCGGTCATTTCGAGCAGCAATGCCTTCCGCTATCGAGAATGTTAGTAAGGATAGGGTGGTATGGTAGAAACTCACAGCGTTGGGCTTCTCTTGATCTGCGATGCTCCTCGAGTGCTAAGCGCGCCTTGTCAGAGAGACCAGGTCCACGAGAAGGAGTATCTTCGACTCTTTGTCGTTGTGTACCAGAACGTGACGCAGGGAGACTAGGAACTTGGAGCAGTCAGTCTAGAGGGGCAGCTGGCACGCTCGAGTCATACCTTTGAAGGCCGTTCCGTCATCAAGCCTACTCTTCTTTCGAGAACCTTCCTCTCCCATAGCCGCTTGGGCAGCAGACCGTTTCTCTTGGGCCAGTTTGTCTAAGCCTAGCAATGAACGCCGCGGCGTTGGCGGTTGAACGGGTTTGGCTGGTGCACGAAACTTGTGTTGCTAGTATAGGGAGAGATTTGTCAGCATACGAGGTTTCTACGACCTGAGGAGCTGCTCACCAAGTCGGGTCTGACCAGCCCGCCGGTGCGAGGCGCGTCTGGCTCCAAGACGTCTGTATCTATGAATCCCTCTATCTGATTAGATGCTCCTTGTTTGTGGTGTGCCACAATTTCCTCGTGTAGCTCGAATAAGAATTTATCCTGAAAGTTGCCAAAGCCTGCTGCAGCTGAACGAACGGATGTGAGCATATAGTATTGCTTTAAGCAACGTTTGCCAAGTTACCTTTGATAAACTGCTGGGTATCCATGGATTTTGCCAGGTCGATTACTCTGCGGGCCAGTAAATCGTTTGGAACGGGCATATTCATGGCCCTTGAGAGCTTTATGGCGACTTTGTGCATAAATTCGTTATTTTCTGCGTCGTCCATGGTTGTCGTCGGGGAGCAAGGTAGAGAGCAAGCTTGGTGGCCAGCGTCACCGATGTCTGCTGCCTATCGTACGCAAGCAGAGCCGTACCGGGACTCGCTTCGGTCCGCGCAGACGAGTTCTGTGTATTCTGAAGACTCGTCGTATCTCGAGAGCAGCCCGCTGGACAGTATTATTCGCGATTATCCCGTCGTGCCGGGTGCTTCGCCCAATGCGTTCAAATTCTCGCCGGCATCATATGGAAGCACGCCCAGGACTGGATCCTCTGTCACTGGAAAATTCCAACAGGCCCAGCAGCACGCTCGGGGCGCGGAGGCTCCACTGAGACTGCGTGAGCAAACTGCAGGCGAATGTGGGGGATTATTCCAACGTTTTATCAGATGCTGATATTGTCCAGATTCAGACGCTCCGACACCAAAGCAAGCCAGTTTCGTCCAGACCCAAGACAGACCCGGATCGTCGCCGCTGCTTCATGCCAGATTCACTTCACCATCTGATTCTTTTTCTGATGATCCCAGGGATCCACGTGGAAGTCACAACGATGGCAAATCACAGGATAATTTCATCGACCTCAGAGATAGCGGCTCATATACCCCGCCCGAGCAACCATCCGCACACCAGGCCCAGCCAGACATGCACTATTTTACACATTCCAGTCATGGAGTACCTCCACGCTCTGGTCACGGCGTCACACCAATGATGAACTTTGGTCCACTCAAGACACCCTCACAGCCCGACCATTTGAAATCGCGCTTCAGCCCCGTTACTCCAGATGTCGACGCAGATTTGGAATTGGTCGCACACACCAACCAAAGCGCTCAGTCCCAGCAGCAGCACGGTGGACGAGTAGCATACAAAGACAGTTTGCAAGCAGGTTCACACGACTACTTTAGTAAGTCGTATTCCTCTTTGTACCGCTTGTCCACCCCAAGTATACCGCTATGATTCCAGCGCCTCCTTTGGTCCCACGCTTACCAAACCCCGTTTAGACAGAGGGTCCTGGCAAACGCAGTCGTCGGCTGCCAACCCAGCTAGAGAGACCTGGATGACGACCACCAGCGGAGTGACAATTGCCGACCCATTTTCCTTTCGACATTACGAATCCCCCCAAATCTATCCTAACGAGCAGCCCAGAACGACGGCTCTCCAACCAAATTCTGCTCCCGAAGTCGTGGTCCATCGGCCTCTTTCAGAGGCACCTTCATTGTACACGGACAGAGGTGATTACGTCGACCTTGCAGATTCGCTAAACAACCCCGTATATGCAATTGTCCCACCATCTCCTGTGGAACCGGTCCCTCAAGGAAGAATGCCAAGCAAGGTACCCGTCACAACGCGCTACAATTTCTCGCGGCCGCTCAGGAGTGATGTGTCGGTAATGGATAGAACTAGTGCGGAGACTGGTACGGGCGCGTCTGCGCGGGCGTCCGAGTATTCGACCATGTCTTCATCCACTGATCTGCCCCATACGATCATGGGGTTTCCCGAGCCACCAATTCCAGCCAATCTCCCCCCTTCCATGCTCTCAAATATGCACAACAATCCCAATGACCCTCCTCTTACGCGTCGCGCCATTGCTCGCATGAGCATACCCAAGACGGTCCCCAATGCCGTCGTTACGCATGACCTTCATTCTCCCAGCCCAGAGACGAGAGAACTGGCGCTTCCTTCTAACTCGCCAAATCTTCAGCCAATGCAACTCAGCAGTTCCCCGGGCCGTCACACTCAACAAAACAATCTAGGGTCTCGTAGTCTTTCCCCAATACCGGACACGGAACGGAGTCCGTCTCCGTCTAGCGTTTCTCATGGATCCCCTCGCTTTAATGCTCCTTCTCCTTTGCCTGGCCCACCAAGAACATACGACGTACCGTACAGCTACTCGGTTACCATCACCGATCATCAAGTACAATTCCCACCTGGAGGATACAATGCCGAGTCCTTCCAAAACAACCACACCAGATATTCGATGGGTGGTACGGCTCATCCACCAGCACCCAGGGAAGTCGCAGCTCTTCGATCATCGCCGCCACCTGTTGGACCACGACCTGGCTCGGGACTTTCTGTCTATTCTCGCTACAGCTTCTACTCCGTTGGAGATCTGCCGGATTCTGCAGCTCCCACGCCCAAGGGATGGGAGAAGGAGCGGTACCGTCAGGGTGGAAAAAGCAGCCCTTCCCGAAGTGACAGCACACCTACCCCGACAAAAGAGAAAAGGAAAGATTCCGATGATTATCAAGGTTTACCGTATCTGAGCGGTACGGAAGAATCTGTACCCAACACGCAGCCTCCGCAAGAGGCAATCATGAGCCCTCAAGAATCTCTCCTACTCGGAATCAGCCACCACGAGGCGAATAGACTCCAAGAGTCTGCCTATTGGTTCGAACGAGCGGCAACGGAGCATGGAGGCTGTGGAGTGGGCATGCTTATGTGGGGTTTGAGCTTACGACATGCATGGGGAGTCGAAAAGGATGAGCGAGCGGCGTTTTGGTGGTTGAAACGGGCGGCCGGGTGCGCGGTCGAGGATATGGAAAGGTCGCGACAGATGAAGGAAACGGGTAGTATGGATCCAGAAGCTGAACGAGATCGGAAAGCCGTCCAAAGTGAGTTGGTCTTGGCGGTCTACGAGGTCGGACAGTGTTTCTTCCATGGGTGGGGTGTTGAAACGGACAAAAAGTTAGCGGTCGTGAGTCTACGTTTCATCTTTCATCCGTTTCGTCTCACCTAGTTTTTAGAGCTATTTTCAGGTGGCCGCTCGCCTTGGGGACGTCGATGCCCAGCTCGAACTGGGCTTCTGCTTTGCAAACGGAAAAGGTTGCAAAAAGGACCTAAAGGAAGCAGCGCGGTGGTATCGGGCCGCTGTAAGTGTCTCGTCGGCATCAAGGTATCCTCTCTGATCTCCAATAGGTCGCTCAAGGGGCAAGCAACGTCGGCCTTGCTTGGATCTACAAGGCCAAGTATGGTGGAGATGGTGCTTCGAAAGAGGAAGAGAACCCGATCGATAGGAACGGACGAATTATGCTCCCAAATTCGAAGAGCAGCACTACCACGTCGCTCAAGAGTGGTAGCGGCAAATCTGACAGTCCCCGTAAATTACGCAAGCCACCACCACGATCTAAAACGCCCAACGGACGAGCACGTAGCCCAGCACGAACAGACGTGGGCAGCCATATCGATTCCCCCTAACCCAGCTCCTTGAATCCTCCTCCCAACCGAAGCTATACTTCGTCGCACTTTCATTAACATTTCTATCTCTCACATACCCCTATTTATCACTTATTACGTCCGCCATGACTATTTGGGAAGCATGGCGGCTGGTACTTAGCTCCTATTCTCAATACAGAGTTATCTAGTTCAACCAAGAAATCAAGAAAATCGAGTACATGCATCAGTCCCGGTAGGATGCCGCGTCTCGGTCTGGGCTCGCCAGTCTCGCGTACTCGAGAAGGAATCGGAACATCTGAAAAACCTTGAGTTTTGAATGGCGAGTATCTACAGTTTGCCACTCACATAGGCCTGCATATCTTCAATTCGCCAATGATCCCGCACAAAGTTGACGGCATTCATCGCAATCTTCTCTGCGAGTTCATCATGTCCAGGCGTTCCGTCTGGCCAACCAGTAAAGAATGACATAAGATCGAAAATGTCCGAGTAGTCCACTTTGACGGGCTTTGTGGACTTAGGCACCCACCGAAGAAGAACGTGCGAATACGTACAATATAGTGATAGAATGGAACAAGCCACTCTGTGTTCCACTCGGGGAATATGGTAGATTTGAAGACGACACTACCGCTGGAAAGTAACCTAGCATAGCGTTGCGACCACCCATTGCCGTCAATGTCGATCACATACTTGGCGTCCTGGCCACGAGACTGTGGGACGACTTGGAGGAACTCTACTTCTTTGCTGATATTCTCGCAGAACGGAGGTGGCTCGTTGCACTGCACCAATGGGCCCACGAGTCCGACATCAAGGTACTTGGAGGTAACCTCGCTCCGCGGGTACGACTTGAGCACGAGTCTTCCATGATACCTGGTCTCTGAGAAGTGCTCGTGAGACCCTTTCTTCCAGGGACGGTCCTCGAGGAAGACGTCGTTAACTTCTTGGAGGAGTTCGACTTGCCCTGCTTTGTCCTTTGCGTGGAAGTGTAGACGTATCCGATGCGCGGCTTTCCAATTCCAACCGGTGTGAAAGTCGACACCTGTGCTTCGTGCACGCCAGAATAGACGGGTATCGCGTCTCTGAGACCAAGGGACCACATTCAGAGGGTCGCGAATGATATCTTCAAATCCAGGGAGAGCGGGGAGCAGGAACGAAAAGTCTTGCGCCCATTTGCAGTGTACCCACATGGGTTCGAGCCGGGATTCGTGGGTGTGGTCAAAAGCGAAAGAACCGTGTAGTTTGATCAGGGAAGGGTCGGAGCAGTAGTCAAAGGACGCCAGAGGATGAGCCAGGAATGTATGAGCTTTTGAATTGTTAGCCTTTTCTAAGCCAACGCTGAAGAAGCTTACAAGAGTTGGCATCTGGTTTGGGGTTCATTATGGCATTTGAGAATGGATGACAGGCACTCCTTAGGTTTCTTTGCGAGTTTCTGTTCCTGTCTTCGTAGTGCTTGAGCTGCGGCTCCGTAAAATCTATTAGAAGTCAGCGAGCTACCGCCTTTGGAGAGGGCACTGACAAGACTCATCATTTGCCAGCTCCAACGCCATATCATACTGGTCTTTGCCAAGAATTATGTTGCCCTTGTCGTGATCGCTGGCATAAAGTTCGAGATCTGGGAGCCACTGAGCGACCGGCTCGAGCAAGTCTCTTATATCTTGTGCTCGACTGTATCGCGCCCTCTCACCACCCAATGTCAATGTTCCATTCTTGACCGTGATCGAAAAGGAGAATGAAAGTTCCTTTGAAAGACGCTCCACTCGGCTGTTGAATAGTCGAGGAGAGAGAGCAAAATAAGGCTCAACATTTCGAAAGAGCGCATCGAATTCGTCGATTAGAACGACTCTATTCTCCTTTGCGAATCTCCACCTGTCACAATTCAGCTCCGTCAAGCAAGGGACGAAGGTACTACCAATCGTCAAAGCCTTTCGGTGGCAAGCGTTTATAGCGCCTCTTGTACTCTTCCACTGCCATTTCCAGTGTTTTGCTTTGACTTGATTCGTCGTGTTTAGATATCATCCGGACGGATGATGGCGACTGACCGTTCGAGTCTGGCTTTCCATGTCCGTTCACCTCGGTCAATAAGGTCGGCTACGGGATGTCTTCCACTCATATTCTGGACAAGGTACACTTAGTGGTGGGCCTTTAATTGGCGATACGAAGGAAACTTACGGTGTCGATAAGCCCATTTCGTAGTCTGGGATGGACAGGGTATCGAATTGGCTTCTGGTCGCGACCTTGTTTGAAAGATGGGAGGAACCTGGGCAAAGAGAAACCGGAACGCGGTTGAGACGAATCTCCATTGCTTCTCGGCAACAGGTCAATATTCGAGCCTCGCGGCCTATTATAGAACAATAAGAGCCCTGTAATGAATGTGATTGTTACGCATAAGCGCTTTATGCCGCGACCAAGCAAAAGCGCGAGCATAGTTGGAGGTCAAGGCGTCGTCAGTGGCCAGCATTGGGTAGTGATCAGGCAGAAGTCGGAAATATGCTCCAAATCAATCTTCATATAAAGTGTTCTAACTAGCTTTCATTAAGGCTGACCCCACTCTTGTTGCTCTCCCAGTCAACCACTTAAGGGATAATCGCATGACCAATCGCTCTGATGAGCTCACATGACGAGGAGTCTACTACTTGGGATCCGAATAGCGCTGCGACTGCGCTCAAACCTCGAGACGGAAAGGCTTCCCGCACTCTGCCTGACAAAGCTCGGATATTCTCTCTATCATCATTCTCACACATTACTCGGGCGCCTGACTACTCTTCCCCTCCTCCTAGGCTCCTGACTCTCGATGAGTATGACGCCCAGCACCGTTTGCTGTGACTATCTGCTACCCGAGGAAACTCGGGTATTCTCTTTATCATCTTCATGACAAAGATCGGGAGTCCGAGTCCTCTTCCCCTCTTCCTGGACCCATGACTCCTGGCTCCTCCACCAGTGTCTTGTCCCGCACATCCCGCACGTCTGGCCCTGGCCGTCTGCTAAACTATGATTCCTGTCCAATCATAGCGACTTCTGCGGCAAGGATACATAAAGTAGTCTCGGTTATGGTCGGTTTCAGAGCCGGAAAGTGAACTGGAAACCAGCCATGGCCGCAGAATCCTCGGCGTTTCTCTATTCGACTCGAGGTCGATATAAGCCCCCCCGCAATCCTTGCTTGCTCAACCGAGACTCGTCTCTCTCATCTTCTATCCCTTCCACCATGTCTTCTGCATCCAAATTCGCCCGCGCCAATCTCGAAGACGTCGTCGGTGCCCTCAACCAGGAGGAGGCCATCAGCTTGATCAGTGGCGTGGGCTTTTGGAATACTGCGGCCATTCCTAGGCTCAATGTTCCATCTATAAAGGTAACTGTTTGCTTCTTTTCGTGCTTCACTGGTACTCACGCTTATCGCAAGGTGTCTGATGGGCCGAACGGTGTCCGAGGAAATAGATTCTTTAATTCGACACCAGCAAAGGCTATTCCAGTATGCACCTAACGTCGTCTCATTGACTCGTTGTGCTGATTCTGCGTAGAGTGCAACCGCCCTTGGGTCCACGTTCGACACCGACTTGATTCACGAGGTCGCTTCCAAGCTTCTCGCTCCCGAAGCTAAGCTGCGGGCTGCGTCCGTCATTCTCGGGCCGACAGTCAATATACAACGTGTATGTCTAGATATATCACCTAGACAGTCACTAACGTCTTTTGTAGTCCCCCCTTGGGGGTAGAGTAAGTTCACGCTGCCCTGCAGATTGCATGCTCATACGGAAACTAGAGCTTCGAATCGTTTTCCGAGGACCCGACTCTTTCGGGAAGGATTGCTGCTGCCTATGTAGACGGTCTTCAGCGGCAAGGTATTGGAGCATGCATCAAACACTTTGTCGCAAATGACCAAGAAGACGACCGTCAAGGCGTCAGTGCCGAGGTTTCGCCGCGTGCTCTGCGAGAGATCTATCTGATGCCCTTTATGTTGGCCGAGAAACTTGCCAAGCCCTGGTATGTCCAGCCATCGTCTTTGGATTTGCCACTTATCGCTATTATCACTTCTAGGGCCTACATGACATCGTAAGACTCGTTTCCTAGGTGTGAATGCCTGCTCATTTGACCCAGCTATAACAAAGTCAATGGTCTCCACGCGTCTGAAAACCCCTTCCTATTGAAGGATGTTCTTCGCAAAGACTGGGGATCAGAAACAACAGTCATGAGCGACTGGTTTGGAGTTTACAGCATTTCCGATTCTATCAATGCCGGACTCGACCTCGAAATGCCAGGAACCCGCGCTTTCCGGAGCCAGTACCAAGTCTCTTGGTCGATTCATTCCCGTAAAACGACACTAGATACCGTCAAGCAAAGGGCGCATAATGTACTCAAACTCGTGCAGAAATGCGCCGCTGGCGCTCCCGAGGTTAGATGACTTTTATGCACAAGGATCTTGAATTAACGGCGTTGCAGCTGCTCGATGGCGATGGGGAAGAGCGTACTGAAGACAAGGAGGAAGACAAAGCTCTCATGCGCAGTCTTGCCGCACAGACTATAGTCCTACTCAAGAATGAGGGTAATGTCCTACCTCTTCAACAGAACCCGAAGAAGATTGCAATCATCGGCGGAAACGCAAAGGCCAATATTCTTTCCGGTGGAGGGTCGGCATCCCTCAAGCCCTCCTTCCTCATCACGCCGTTCGAGGGTATAACCGCGGCGCTCGGAAAAGATACTAAAGTCTTGTACACCGAAGGAGCTCAAGGTATGTTATCTGCAAGCTAAGATTGTTTGCTCATTCGCATATATAGCGCTGAACACTCTGCCAAATTTTGAGCGCGAGGTGGTTACTTCCGATGGACAATTTGGCTTCGACGGCGCCTGGTACTCTCATGATGAAAACGACCAGCCCCTTCCCGAACCTATGCTCACTCAGCGTATCGACTCCTCTCTGATGTTCCTCTTTGATGGCGTCCCTTCGGGCCTGACACCTAGATACACTTTCCGGTGTACCGGGCACTTCAAGCCTCGTGATGAGGATCAGCTTTGGAACTTTGGCTCGACAGCAATTGGTCGCTCCAGAGTCTACATCGACGGCAACCTCGTTGTCGATACGTGGACTAATCAACGAATGGGCAAGGCGTTCTTTGGCATGGGTTGTGAAGAAATGCGTGGACAATTTCACCTCAAGCAAGGCGTCGCGCACGAGGTAGTGCTCGAGTTCACCAACCTTCGCGGCCAGAAGGCGGGAGAGGATACTCCAATTACAACGCCCGTAACAGAGCCAGGTGTTCAGTTTGGTGCTGCACCATGTCTCGACGAGGAGCGTGAGATTGAGAAGGCTGTGGCGATAGCTAAAGAGGCAGACGTCGCTATCCTCGTCGTTGGACTCAACGCTGATTTCGAAACGGAGGGCTACGACCGTACTACCCTCAAGCTGCCCGGAAGGACAGACGAGCTCGTGAGGCGGGTGGCACAGGCCAACAAGAACACCGTCGTCGTCACTCAAGCGGTAAGCGTACATAAGACGGGAATTAGCGGAGAGTTTGACTTCTTTTCATCAGGGTTCTTCGATTGAGATGCCTTGGGTAGACGAAGTGCCCGCACTCATACACTCGTGGTACCTCGGCAACTCAACTGGAGAAGCAATAGCAGACGTACTCTTTGGAAAAGTCAACCCGAGTGCCAAGCTCTCGCTCACATTCCCGAGGAGACTCGAGGACACGCCTTCTTATGGCCACATGGGCTCGGAGAACGGCACGGTGTGGTACGCTGAGAACCTCTTCGTCGTGCGTACATCCCTTTTCTTCATCGAACAAACACTTACACTCTTTCCTTAGGGCTACAAACATTATGTTCACAAAGCCATTCCGACACTGTTCCCCTTTGGCTATGGTCTGTCCTACTCCAGCTTTGAGTTCTCCAACCTTCAAGTCTCGCAACCGTCCGGACCGGAGTTTACTTTCAGCGCCAAGGTCACAGTGCAAAATACTGGATCCGTCGTCGGCTCGGAAGTCGTTCAGATCTACGTCTCACCGTCCTCGACAACAAAGCTCACGCATCCAGTCTATTCGTTGCGTGGCTTTGCAAAGGCAAAGGACGTTCAACCTGGGAAGTGTGTCGAAGTGGAAGTCACATTGGATAAGTATGCGCTCAGCTACTGGTGCGATGTACGCAACCAGTGGAAGATTGAAGCGGGGACATACAAAGTCATGGTCGGAGTTTCGGCTGAAAAGATGATTCTCACGAATGAAGTCAACGTCGAAAAAGAAAACTACTGGAACGGTTTGTAAAAGACTGCTTCGATTGTATCAAGAATGAATGAAACAGGTTTAACGGATGTCTCTCAACAATCTGGTCCTCATGAACATGACTTGGAGAGAATTAAACGTCTCCCAGTGAAGTCGAAGCTATCTGATGTAGGCTCGTTCAATCATCCTAATCCATGTCGCCCGTAGGTTGAATCCACTAAATCTGTAGCCAAGTGTCCTCTGGGGTTCTGAGAGTTATTGCGCTTTCAAAGGGCAGGCCGGGTCAAGCACAGAGGATAATTCAGGTGAGAAACGACAAGTACTTTTCAAGATATCAGAAATACCAGATTCAGTCGGCTTGGAAGGTGAACGACTTGAATTTATCCCATGTGGCTGTTTATTGGAACATGGCGCTATATTTCCGACTGTCTTATACCAGTACAAGTTAACGGTCGTTCGTATGTAAACAAAAATTCGACTTGCTTCACGCCTTTGATCTTGGCCCCAGATTTGCGACGGGACTAATGCCAGAAAGGAACATTGATCACGCTGGATGTTCGGCGTCCTTTCAGTAGGCCGCGAGTCTCCCAATTAATGTATTTTCTGATTGGAGGTAAACAGATGGATTCTGAACAGAAGGGGCCTGTTGGGTAATCTTGCCGGGGTTTATGCTTAAATGTCTCTTCACATTCACAAGTCAAGTCACATTGAGATGTCGAGCGCCCTTATGGTATTCAGATGAGGCTTCGCGGGATCAACTGAAGTTTGCACTCGGAATCAAGTTCGGATTCACCACACGCGATCACACTCAAAGGCAATCTCAATTCTGGGATAAGACCTAATATCCCTTGTTTAAATACATCCAGATACGCGTGAACGTTGCCCCGGGGAATATCAGGTGTGGGAGCACGTCGGGAGGTGTCCGAAATTGTCGAGTCCTTTCCTTGGGTACAAGGACTCGACGTTTTATCGCCTCACTTGCACTTGGAGAAGGTGAACTGGAATGTCTGGTTCAACTTGGTGTCGATCTGAGGAACAATCAGTACGAGCTCGGTCGAGAGGACTGGACATACAGAATCGGTTGCAATGTAACCAGAACCCTTGGTGTTCCTGCTGTTGCTGACCTGGAGGGCGCTGTTGATGTTGAGGACGGTGTTTGTTCCACAGGGGCTGAGCACCGTGGTGGCCAAATCGAAAGAGTCGCGATACCTGAACAATCCTTAACATCAAAATCAAACGGAATGGCATCATGCGTACGTGTAGTCAGCTCCTGCGATCGGGCCATTGAGCGTCGAACGGGCGGTGGCTAGAGTGGATCATTAAACCAAATTATAGAACAAATTGTATTGATAGATACCTTGGGCGAGCTGGCTTTGGAAATAGTAAACGGCCTGTTGAGTCGCAGTCACGCCACTATCAAGTTGGTAGTAGCCACGCTGTCCAATCATTAGCGAGCACTCGAATGTTCCTAAATCACCATACGTAGTCGACTGAAGCAATAGCGAAGGAGAATCCTCCTGGAACACGGACGCCCAGAGTGACTTGACAACTCTTGCGGTTGCTCGAGATGGGGATACCGGGACCCGCCTCCGCCGCGAACGAGCTGAAAGTTACCGTAACCCTGAAAACGGATCAGTAGCCGCCAGCGAGAGGAGGGGATGGATACTGTACGCCGTTCTGTCAGCTAATGAACGGATCAGCCGTCAGCGAGAAGGGGGGAAAGAATTACGTACTACTCAAGACGTAATAAGCAGTACCAGCGGGGCAGCCACTACCATTAACACCGCTGGAGAATCATTAGAGAACGGGCTCTCCCATAATGTGTTGCAACGTACATGCTCGTGCTGTTGATATGTCAGATTAAACTTGAAGCAAAATCATTTATTACACACATGTTGAATCCCTCGGGAGCAACAGGAACCTGTCGCTCGACTGGGACGAGGAGAGGGGAGGCAAAGGCGGAGGCCGCCAAAACGAGCGAGACAATGGTGCTGAAGAACATTGAGAAGAGAAAATGCGGTTAATGAGCCTTGAAAGAGGGGTTCTGGTCTGCGGAAAAGTGTCCTGGATGCCCAGGCTCTTTATAGGTCTCTTGAGACCGTCTCATACGCTGAAGTGGCATCGAAGCTGTCAAATGAGTGACCTCACGCGGCGATTCTACTTGTAAAGCATGGATAAAGATGCCGTACAAAGGCACGGTCCGAGTGTTGAGGTCCAATGGGAAGGACAACGTCCGGATGAGTTCACTGCCTCTGTGCCTCTGCCGACAAACACAAGTCAAATGTCTTGATGAATCTGAAAACTGTTTAGACCCACGATGAGCACAAATCGAGTTCGAAGTCGAGAAGGCAGGCCGAAGGTGCTGACCGCCTTTTTGTCGGACGCTTACCGTGTCAACACTTGGACCCCGCCACGTCCGTCAATTAAACGTCTGTTTTGATCCATGCAGTCCACCTGGGCACACAACTAGCCGTTCATCGGTAGAATCCTGTCTTTCTTCCAGATGCTTCAACAGCATGCAGTCGCCCATCGATCACGAACTGAGAACCGCTCGCGAGGAATGCAAATCACACCGCCTGACCTTATCACCGTGGCTCTTTCACGTTTTTTCATAGAGCCACGGCCATTTTCATGGCGCAGATCGACCCAAATGCTCTACTTTCGCTAGCAACCGGTAGCCTTGACAGGCCATGACGGTCACTAGATAGTGGTAGTAGCAACATGCCAATAGAACAGACATTTTGTCTTTTAAACATTATTCCGAGATAGGGTCAAGTGACAAGATTGACATTGCCAAAAAATCCGTATGTACGGCCCCAAATGGCGCCCGTAAAGAATTACAATCGATATCAACCGCAATGCCGCGCACAATGCCGAGCTGATGCGACGACCCATGTGACGATGATCCGCCGCTGACAAGCCGTCGCGTCGGCTTATTCCCACGAGGGACTCGACTTGTACTGCGTCGAGCCGCTGTTGCCCTGTGTAGATCCTTGCGAGGTGTTTCCACTCCATTGCGGAGACGTCGGGCCTACGGTCGACTGTCAACACCTACAAAGTAAGACAAACAAACACGTACTGTATTGAGGAGAAGCTGGGGCTGAGGTATCACGTCAGCACATACATCTATAAGACATTTGAAAGTCTTACAATACTGTGGAGCTGGGTGACGGGGTAATTGTCAGTAAGAGAGCCCTGAAAAGGGTTGATAACGCACATTTTGGAGCATAAGCAGGAGAGGTAGGAGCTGCATAATATTAAAAATAGGTGGCAAGAACCTCAGAACCAGGAACTCACAATATCTCGGTGAGGCAGGGGACATGCCCGCCGGACGGGCAGGGGACGTTGGTGAATCTGGATATCAAATCGCGTCAGCGAAATCAGATATTCACATGACTTTCTCACATTGAGGGCTGGTAGGAGAGTAGCGAGGAGACGTGGGCGCTAATAGTTACTCAGCATCGGGAGTAGAAAGGTAAACAGGGAACCCACAATACTTTGGACTTGTCGGAGAGTACCGGGGGCTAGTTGGCGAATACTTGGGACTTGTTGGGGAGTAGTGAGGGCTCGTTGGAGAGTAAGTTGGGCTCGTAGGCGAATACCGAGGGCTTGTAGGCGAGTATTTAGGACTAGTGGGCGAGTATCGAGGTGACGTTGGCGAATACTTGGGACTCGTTGGTGAATACTTAGGGCTTGTAGGGGAGTATACCGGGCTGGTAGGGCTGTACCCAGGACTGGTCGGCGAATATCTCGGACTGGTTGGGGAATAGCCTGGAGAGGTCATTCCCGGAGAATATGCTGGAGATGTAGCACTGGCACGTGTTCGGTCGAACCAAGGTGACTGCTGCATCGGCGAGAATGGTGAGGTCGCACCGGCCATATGATGATATGGAGACATTGCTGTAATGTTCGGGGAGGTAGGGGAATAATGTCTCGGCGAGGAAGGGCTATATCCGTGTGGCGACATTCCCCCCGAGGCCGGACGCATTGGACTCGGCGCATAGCCTTGCCAATCAAATGACGGTGCGTCATCTGTACCATTCATATGTAATGGAGAGAAGGCTGCTTGGTGGTCGACCTTCAATTCGTACGGCATCGGGGAGTTGTTGTCGTACGGTGTCATGACACCGCCCGGAGTTGCCGCGCCGTCCATTACAGAGCCCATCATGTGTGGTATCGGCACGGTTGATTCTACCATTACGTCCTTTAACATCTCCATATCCAAGGCCACGTCAAATGACCCTGTGCCCATGGGAGCAATTTGGCCGAACATGACATTCTCGGCAATGCCGCGACAATCGTCCTTCTCTCCGAGAGACGCAGCGTCCATTAGAATTTCAACTGTTTCCTCGAACGAGCACCTCATGAGCGCCCCAGTATCGGCTCTGTTGATACCGTGTCTGGTAATTGCTGTGAGGTTACCCTTATTCGTCATCAAGTCCACAAGAATCGCGAGATGTCGGTAGTTGACGTAGGATCCGTCAAATTCGATGACTCCTCGCAGCTCGCGCAGGAGCGAGGCCCGTGCAGCTTCAATACCAAGCACGCTGAAGATTTCCGTGCAACTATTCGATGTCGTCCTACGGAAGTCGACACCGTCGACAGCCAGAACCTTCTTCAAATTGACACCATCTGTCTCCAGCACCCACTCACGCTCCGCATCCGTCAGTGCCTTGTTTTGCAAAGTGCCGTCCGGCCGCGTGATGACTTTGTCCTTCTTGACCAAGAATACACGATCAACCCCGGGTACACCACGAAGATCGACGGTATTGAGGAGTGTGACCTCCAGTTGACGAAGGAAGAGGTCGTCCGAGAAATCGCTCATCGCTTCCATCTTTTCTGGGGTATGCACGATACGGCAGCGAATGATCAGTTTCTCAGAATTGTCTTCACTCCAAATGATGAAAAGATCAGACGTGAACTTTTCACCGATCTTCGACGCAACGTAGGCCATTTCAAGCTTGCGATCCAACATCTTCGACCGGTCAAGCTCCAGACGAAGCACCCAAGGCGAAAGGACATGAAGCTTCGCCTCAATCTCTGGATCGGGAATGGCAAAGAAGGCGTCGACGAAGTCCTTATCCTCCTCGATGACCGTCGTAGTTGGCTCGGGGTCGTAGTGGATCTCGACAGTCGAGGTAATGGTGCGAAGTGTTGTGAATGCGAGTTCCGTTTGGACGGCCTTGGCAAGCACACCAGTCTCCTCACGAGCGATTTCATCTTGAAGGTATACAGTCAGAATTGGCGTCTTGATATTGGTCGCGACGTTGATGATCTCCTTGAGGCGAGGGACACCAAGTGTGACGTTCTTGCTTGATACACCAGCATAATGGAAGGTATCTACTCGAGTCAGCCTTTGTGTTCTACAATGCTAAGAGGCAAGACTTACTGAGCGTCATCTGGGTGGCCGGCTCACCAATAGATTGAGCGGCTAGGGTACCACACATCTCACCTGGCTGAACCAGGGATTGATTGAATCGAGTCTCGATTTCTCCTAGAACCCACTCAAAGGCTTGCTTCGTGAGATGGTACTCCTCTAAAACCGGCTTGGTGGCAAACGTGGCGCGAAGGTGCATCTTGAACATCATCGTGGCATTGTTTTGGGCCTCTAAACTCAGTTCATCATCGCCACGAACGACGATTAAGCGACTCATAAGCTCTCGAAGCTTGTCGTAGATTTCTCCCGGATGAAGATCGCTGGCTTCGCGTCGATCGATGTGGAAAATTTGTTGCGCGTTCTGGATGACACGACGAACGTTGACTGGCATGTAGCGGTCGGCTCCGGGATCCGAGTATCTGAAAATGAACTCGCGTAGCAGTTTTCTGTCTCGTCGCAGCTCCTCCCACTCCGCATCGAGCTTCATTTGCAGCTCCAAGGAGTGGTCCTCGAGCCCAGGCTGAAGCACACCATGAGCAAAGCCAAGCTTCGGGTCGGTGACGTCCACTCGATATTTCCTTTCGAATGCCTGATTGGAGAGGTGGTATGTAGCCACGCTTTGACGTTCGATGAATCCACCGTCGATACCATCCTCTCCGTAGGTGAACTGGAGAATATCACCTAGCGAGTTTCGCACAGTGCCATCATAGCAAACCATGACATCCTCCAGGGCCTTAACCAGTCGTCGCTGGATATAACCAGTCTCTGCTGTTTTGATAGCTGTATCGATCAACCCTTCGCGACCAGCCATGGCATGGAAGAAGAATTCAGACGGTGTCAGACCCCTGAGGTATGAGTTCTCAACGAAACCTCTGGATTCTGGACTGAAGTCGTCCTTTGTGAAGTGCGGCAGCGAACGATGCCGGAAGCCGAATGGAATACGCTTGCCCTCCACGCTTTGCTGACCCACCGCGACGGACATCTGTGCGATGTTGATAAAAGAGCCTTTCGACCCAGCGACGACCATCTGCTTGACGTTGTTGCTATCCTTCAGACTCTCCTGCGCCATTTTTCCGGCGGTGTCGCGGGCCTTGTTGAGGTGCATATTGACATGACTCTCAAATGACTCTCGAATCGTCATGCCAGGTTCCGCTTTGAGTCGATCGTTGCTCGCGTCTTCGATGAGCTTTTGCACCTTTTGCTTGGCGGACAGAATGGCTTCCGAGACTCCTTGCATGGTTTGGTTATCAGCAATAGTGTCGCCGATACCGATGCTGAAGCCATTGTGGAAGAGCCAAAAGTTCACGATCATCTGAAGGCCAGAAAAGAGATCGCGACAGATTTCTGGGCCTTTTTCTCGGAAGACGACGTGAACGAGACCGCCTTGAGTGGCGCCAACCGTCTTCTTGTCAACAACTCCAAAGATGATCTCGCCATTTTCGATCATCATGCCATCATCCGCAGGAGGGTTATGACTTCGAGACTCTGGGAGCCTAAGTACGTTGATCCCTCGCGGGATACACATGCTCAATAGCTGCTTCCCGGTCCAAAGCGGCTTCGGCTTGAGGATAGTGGGTGTCGGAACGATACCGTCCCAGCCGGGAAGCCAAAGCAGGAGGTTCTGAACTTGGATCCAGTCGACAAAAGTATCGCGAAGCGTGAACTTTCTGATACCGCATAGAGTATCCTGGACGATACCCATGACGGGTTTGTTGGCTTGTGGGGAGACAATCTGCCGAGGAACCCAAGCGATTTGGCTGAGCTCCGCTCTCGTCTCTTCGCTCTGCGGGACGCTGGCGGATCGCTTAGACAATACTTTCCATGGCAGAAAGGACGTATACGTACTGCAAATTCATTTCGTCTCCATCGAAATCGGCGTTGTAGGGAGGGGTCCTAGAGTCAGGTCAGCAGGGGTCCTGCAACAAATCTTGCACGACGTACACAGAGAGATTCAATCGGAAGGTCGAGTACGGCATAATCTTGACACGATGAGACATCATGCTCATCTTGTGTAGACTGGGCTGACGATTGAAGAGAACGTAGTCACCATCCTTCAAATGTCGCTCCACTATCCATCCAAACTGGAGGAGCGAGTCGCTTCGTTTATTGTACTTGAGATCGATACGCTCTCCGGTGTCGCGAATCACGTAACGTGCACCAGGGTATTCCTGTGGACCTCTCCGAACCAGTTCGGTGAGATACTGAATGTTGTAGCGCGTCACTAGGGCATATGATCAGCAAAGTGGCTCCACTTCAAGTAGCAACGTACCCCTCTCTGGGTAGGTCAGTGTCATAGCAATGCTTCGCGGTACACCAACTTGATCCAGTTGGAGATTGGGATCTCCAGTGATGACCGTGCGCGCGGAGAAATCGACACGCTTTCCCATCAAATTGCCTCTTAGCCGTCCTTCCTTCCCCTTTAATCGAGCACGAATGGCCTTGATTGGTCGACCAGACTTTTGCATTGCCTGCGGGACACCAGCGATATCGTTGTCCATATACGTCGCAACATGGTATTGCAGCAGCTGCTCGTACTCCGAGACTATGTGCGGGGGTGCACCTTCTTGCTCGCTGCGACGTACATTGCCACTCGCACGAATTATTTCGGCGAGTTTGTAGGTCAGGTCGTCTTCACTCCGCCGAACCCCGCCGTCAACCGAGATTGAAGGTCGAACTGGCGGAGGTGGCACAGGGAGTACCGTCAGGATCATCCAATCTGGTCTTGCATAAGCTTCGGAGAGACCAAGCATCTCAAGATCAGTTGTGGAGATCTTGCGGAAGACACTGAATACGTCTTGGGCAGACACCTGGCGCTTCTCTTGCACGGTTGGACGGGATTCCTGTTTCCGTTAACAAAACGAGATTTTGTGGCCAGGTCATTCTACCAACCTCATCGTCATTCTGCTTCTTGTAATTGAAGAACAACTTTAGGCCCTCCTTGCGAATCTGAGGTTGGTGATGGCCACAGCCTCCATGCCCTTTCTTGACCTCGACTGGCGGGCCTCCCTCCTGTTCGTCTTCCTTGACCTCATCGGGCTCACAAGTCATCTTGCCTTTACAGACACTCCACACAACAGCCATGCGTGCTTTGGGGTTGTTGCGTGTGAGTTTCAGTTTACTCGCAAGTTGCGGATCGGTGTACTAAATCCATTGAGAACGACATGCAAATCATTGGTCAGCGATCCGATAAATATTTGAAACCGCCGTAGATCAGTGATAGGAAACAGATGACACTCGTTGAGATGGGCATGCAAAAGCTTCACAGAGCTCCGACAGAGCCGTACGATGCGAGCGATCTGACAGAACTGAGAGACCGCCTCGATGCCTTTGAGTCTCGCCCAACCCTCCTTTTCACCACGCGGCCAAGCGCCCCCGAAAAAGCTCTTGCAAGGATCTACAGATGGCACGAGGGCCACCTCGGATCGAGCTACGGAGACGACCCGGTAAACCGCGGGTTCGGGGTTTCTCACTCGGAGAGTGAAAAGAGCCCCCAGAAAGTGTATAAGGAGTGTCATGGGAACACTCACGGGATCGACTTTCAGCTTTCCACAGTTGACACAAATGGACTCCAAGATCTTCTTGACTTTGCCCAAGAAACCTGAACGTTGGTATCAGCCAACCGCAAAAGGAGAAGTATGATGAGTATACCTATGTGAAAGACTGGACGAGCGAGCTCAATGTGACCGAAATGCCCTGGGCACTCTGCCATACCCTCGCCACAAGTCGCACATTTGAAGTTACGGTCTATTGTCCCCATTCTTGGATCAGCCAGACCACCTTCTTTTTGCTTTTGTTGTTCGTCCATGACTTCTGGAAACTCGATCTTTGCGACCGAGTACGCTTTCTAAAAGTTTGAGTCAGCCGCCGTGCAAGCGCCGAACAACCAAAAAGGCCTGATAAAATGCAGGGATAGACGGACTCACGATTTCATCTGGGGAAAGGATTCCAAACTGAACTTCTTTGATCTGGCGTATGGGAGCTACAGACTGAGCGAACTGGTGACCAAGCATGGCCGATTGCGAGAACGGATGGACAACGGACACAAGAGCGAGAGTCTATTCGAGTCTTTTAAAATATTCCTAACTAGTTGATAGATGAAAATAATAAGGTGTCGGGTCGGAATTCGTATAACAACAGCCTTGACCAAGGGTTTTTTGCAAGGGCGGAGGAGAAACGAGGGTCGATGACGCGCTAGAGAGTTGCCAACAAGCGCCTTGAGGTGTCTAAATCGACTCTGAGTGTTGTTTGTCCAGAAATTTAAGCGGTCAGTCGGCGACTCTGCAGTGGGAGACGCCAAAGTTGAGGAACCACTTAGACCCCTCCGCCCGCTGCTTGACCCGCCATGACTTCTTGGATATGGGGTTCATCCCAATTTGACGAGCAAGTCGGTGCGTACGACGTAGGAATCCACTCTGGAGCGCGCGCTGACGTCGCAAGCAGACAAGGCCACGTCTGAACTGCTGCCTACTGATCAGGAGGACATCGCATTAAATCTCGAAATATGTGATCAGATTAAATCAAAGGATGTCCAACCAAAGGATGCCATGCGGGCTCTCAAACGACGGCTTAATCACAAGAATCCCAACGTTCAGCTGCTAGCGCTTACAGTGAGGACTCGCCTTACGTCAACTCGCTCTCATACTGACCTCCTTTACAGCTCACAGACGTCTGTGTGAAGAATGGAGGCAACCATTTTCTTGTGGAGGTCTCCTCGAGAGAATTTATGGATAATATGGTCTCCATTCTCAAAATTCCGGTATGGCGAGAGCGCTTGCTCACATATCCTACATCTCACATTGTCACAGGCTCTGAATAATGATGTGAAGAATCGGATGCTGCGCTTCATCCAAAACTGGGCCATGGCATTCGAAGGGAAGCCAGAATTCGCATACGTGAACACAGTCTACAAGACATTGGTTTCAGAAGGTGGTTTAAATCATTTCTACTCTAATGTTTGGACTCACAAAAGATCCAGGGTTCAAATTCCCACCCAAGGATCTCATCAACGCAAACAACGCCATGACTGACACCGCGATTGCTCCAGAGTGGATTGATTCAGACGTTTGTCTTCGCTGTCGCGACCCATTCACTTTCACCAACCGGAAGCATCATTGTCGGAACTGTGGCCTAGTTTTTGACCAGAAATGCTCGTCCAAGTCCCTTCCACTTCCTCATTTTGGTATCACTCAAGATGTTCGAGTGTGTGACTCGTGTCACTTCAAGCTTACGCGCAAAAAGGAACAGGCTGCCAAAGAGGCAGAGGACGCAAAGAAGAAGCAGCAACAGCAGCAACGCAGCGAGCATTCATCTCATATCGATTATGATCTCGCGCGTGCAATCGAACTTTCACTGAAAGAGTCGCAAGGCAGCACCAGTGGTCGGGCGGGATACGCTCCTTTGAGCGATGTCCCAAAGCAGTGGCATGCATCCGAGCCACCACTCGTGGACCGTTCGACAGCCAAAGGAGAAGAAGAAGACGAGGAACTTCGCGCTGCAATTGAAGCCAGTCTTCGGGAGTCGCGTGCTCCGCAACCTAGCGCACCCGTCGAGGAGCCGACTCATCAGACATACGAGTCTCCGGTTGCTACCGTTCCATCATACGACCTGGCTCCACTCGAATCCGACGCCATCATGTCGTTCAATCAAACAGTTGCGGATGCTCAGACATACGGTATGCAGGATATGAGGCGTACGCACGAGTTGTACAGTCGAGCCGCGTCGTATCAGCCTAAGTTGACGCGGAGTCTGGATGACACACAACGGAAAGAGCGTAGGTCACGGTGGCTTTCTTTCTTGATAAGCAATTGACGCACCTCCCAGAGATATTGTCAGATATGCATGATAAACTCTCCCAGGCCGTCAAACTCTACGATAATCTTCTCACCGAGCAATTCTCTGCCCGAAGACAAGCGACACCGACCCAGTCGTCATATGCTCAGTATTCTGCGTATAATCAACAGCAACAATGGGCACCATCAGCACCATATTCTGCTGGTTATACGCCAGCACCAATGAATAATGTGCCGGTCCCTGATCAGAGGTGGGTGACCCCAGCACCAACTGCAATACCCCAACAATATAGTACACAACAAGTTGTACCTTCATCTCCGCCTCAGCATACGCATACGCAACCAGTATCCGCACCTCCTCAGATGAACCAATTCCAAATGCAGCAGCAAGAATATGGAACGACGCTTCCTCCTGTCACATTACCACAATTTTCCACTCCTCAGCCTCCTGTGGCTGTATCGCCCGCACCTGCACCTGCACCTATCCCTACACCCGCGCCGGTGCCATCTCAGCCACAACCAGCCTTGTCGCGCCATAATACTGTTCAGAGCTACCATCCTCATGCAGCGCAGGTTCATCGCTCGAACACGGTTGCATCCTCTCCGTATCAAGCTCAACAACCTCAGGTACAATACACGCCGCAACCCCTCGCACATCAGGTACCGCACCAACAAGCGACGCCAGCTCCGCTTCCAGTGATGCCCACTGCTCCAACAAATGCACCTTCGTCGTATTCGCTGTTTGCGCAGCCGACTACGCTCCCTTCGATCCCAGCGGCGCCGAAGGCGGAGCCCAAGGAAGCAATGTTGATCTCGTTTGACTGAGTAGTGCTACTTTAGTCTCGTGCTGCTATCTCCCTAGCAAGACGAGAAAGTGTGTAATCATGTTATGTACCTAGCTCACTTATGAATCTACTGGACTGCTATGAATATCGAGGTATTCGGTTATAAAGAAGAATATTTAGTAAACTCAGGCGAACAGCCTTCTTCTAAGCTCTCGAGCAACCCGTTGGCGCTCGATGGTAGTATTCGAATTCCCTATGAGGACGTGAGCGATATGAAAACAAATTTTCGATGTTCCGTACCAAGAACGCTCTTGTTCTCAATCGCACGTCTACTGAGATATGGCATCACGTCCTCCAATGTGCCATACGGGACGCACTTGAGAACCATAGGAGAGTTTGGGCAATCGAGTCGACTCGACACATAGTTGGTCAGCTCGTCAGCCATACCAAATAGCTGACCAATTTGGACTCGACTTGACACATCGAGTGGGACGGTCACGACGCCATCCGTGACTCGAGAAGCAAGACCACGCTTGACGATACCATCAATAATCACGTCGCAGCTGTTCCGGTTGTGGGTACCGAACAGGATTCCAACGGGCGACGAATTTGGCTTTCCGTCTGTGCGGTCGGAAAGTTGGTCCAAAAGCATATTCGCGCACTGGTTATAGCACGCATCCGTCTCGTTCTTTTCGCTCCACACGGGTGGGGGGCCAGATTTAGTCGGATCTGATTCGTGTTTGGCGACTTCGAGTGGGTGGTACGCGCCGCGGACGAGTTTGACGCCTAGCGTGTATCCGTTTGATTTTGCATGTGCCAGTGCAGAAGTGAGTCTGTGTGGTGTGCTGCGAAGATAGGCTTGGAAGGTTTGATATATGACGGGTGTGATTGGAGACTCGCGATTGCACGTCCTCATCATGTCTGTTGCGAATGCATCGATGGCAGGCTATGGAGAATGTGAGAGTTTGCGATTCAAGCCAGTCTTGTGCCTACCTCGTACCAAGTGTGCTCTGCATCGACACATATCCGGACCTGGTGTTTGACGGCGAACTCCCCGATCTCCTTTAGACTGGAATGAAGAGACTTGAGAGCCGAGATATCGCCCTCTTCTAGGTAGGATGAGATAGAAGAGTCGTAGAGAATGTCTGGTGTGAACGGGGCGTGTGGTTCTGACTGCTTCGCGACTAGTAGGCTGGAAAACTTGCGAAGTGTAGTGGCGGACGGCAACAATGCTGTCTATATATAGAGGTCAAAACTTCTCAGTTTTGGAATGCAGCTCCATACCAGTTTAATGGCAATCCAAGTCTTGCGCGTGGCCGGATCGTCTAGTCCTCGTTCATTCTCTACTCCCGCAACAATAGGAATTGACCTTTTCATCTCCTCTATATTTCGTACGTACGGCGCTTCCTTAGCCGACTGCTCTATTCCCCCTGCTGACTCTTCCATAACCTCGACACTGTAATCAACCATACTCGCGATATTGCGTTCTCTGAGCTGTCGAATAACAGTCGCCGTCTCTTCCACCGTCTCTCCGCCAACGAACTGCTGAAAAAAGGTTGCCCGTACGACTGATAGCGCCACTTGGTCAACTATTGGAATTTGGAGTGACGCATCTAGCAGCTTCGGAGAGACATCCACAAAGGTTGGAAAGGACAATGCCGAATAGACAGCTAGACTTCGTAATAGTGAGGTGGTCGAGGACAGTTCCAAGTCCTTTGGCACATCATGACGATGGCTTTCGACTACGACGGTTCTCGAAGTGAGTGTAGGACGGATACATAATGGTGATATAAGGGGTCTCCGCGGCGAAACGAGTCTCCTAGAGGATCTGAGGAACATGGATAAGGCGTCAAGCCGTGTGTGACGCGGTCAGCTGCAACTTTATATCACGGCCGGCTCGGAGCTCAGGCAGACGATAACCTGATGGATCACGCGAAAGGATCTTCACGTTTCAAGGTTGATATTGATGCTCCGGTAGTTCCGTGTGCTACTATGAATATGTAAGCATATTTTCCGTTGGTATATAGTCTCCACATACTGTGCCCGGAGTGCAGAATACTGGATGTCCGATACCCGCATTTCACTCTCGGAAGAGCGAAGACAGCCTTCCGCTCCGTCGGTCTGGATTTCCCCGCCTTCTAGAGGTCATCCTTTGGTCCGTAGCGCTGAGTGGTATACTTTGTAGCTTTCCAAGACTTCGTGCGAGTTCTGCATGTCTGCCCTCCAGTTCTGACTGGAGAACTGTCAGTTTAAACTCGATATCTTACAATCTGTATAAGCAGCAGTAGAAACCCGATCAATACAAGCTCTTAGAACATATTTATGCCCTTTCAATCATGTCTGAGACACGCTTGGGTTGCCACAAACTCTCTCAAAGTTTACTGCGGTCTGCTCTGGTCTCGATTGATTTATGTTATCGAATGCGGGGCCCCGAAAACGCAGGCTATTACAGGCATTGAATGGGCCCAAGGTTTGGAAAGATGGAACTTGCTCATTAAGGCTCCAGCACCCGCCATTAAAACATACAAAGTTGTTTTTATTAGACTTTTTCTCCTCGCTTCCAGTTGCGAGTTCTCAAGGATGCGCCCCGGTTCGTGGGCTCGACCCAGGGCGATCTAGGGTGGCACTCCATAAGGCGCGCACCTTGGCTCTGATCTCCCCCGCGCTCGCAAGATGACGAAGGTATCTGCGACTAATTCTAGTGTAGAATACGTCTCACATCGCTCTCTAGGCCTATCTTCTCCAGTCATGGAACGAAAAGGTGCGCCCCTCGAGATTACGCGCGTACATCACTGACGCCGAGTTAGATGATGTCTCCAGACCAGGACTTTAGGTATTTACAGCCTATACCTGTTCTGTATTCGCCATGTCTCATCATCGTAACAGGTTCATGGCGCTTAGCGACTTGACAAACGAGATCACACGAGATCCCAGCGTCTTTCAAGGAGATGAGTCTGCAGAGATGAAGACATTGGATCATGTCATGAAGCTCGTCGAGGACACCATCTCCGAAGTCAAAAACCAAGCAGTGCTCTGGTACATGAGGTTTTCGCCAATGAGCCATTCTGACATCTTATCGTCAGCCTCGGTCAACTGACAAAAATATTGCGTGATTCTCAACAAGATTTTGTTATCGAGAAACTCATCGCCCTCTTCAACGGCACCGATGATGAACTACGCGATGTGGCGGGCCTAGGTCGGACGCCTCTCCTTGAGCTTTGATTTCTATTTACAGATTTTCAGCTCTGAAGACTGTGATGACGAACATTCCCGACGGTGTCGTTGGGAAAGCGTGTACCAAAGTCGGGCCCCGTTTGCTAAAGCAGCTTCAGAATGTGAGCATTGCCTGTCAGTTGCACGACGAAGACTGACACCAGTAGCCCTCCACCCCGCCAGAGGCTATTTTGGAGGGACTTAGTATTCTAGCAATTCTTAACACTCGCGCTCCTGATGAGATTACTCGACTCGATCCTCAGCCTGTTGCCGTCTTTACTCAACTCCTGAAGCATAACCGTGTTGCAGTCAGAAAGAGAGCTATAGTGACGATTGGTGAGCTCAGGCTCTAGACTTGTGACGCCGTCTCACAAGTTTACAGCGCAATTCATCCCTGGCTCGGCTCCCAATGTCTTCAATGCCGTTTTGAAAGACTACATCATGCCATCTTGGGGAGGCTCTGTTCCTTTGGACCGTAGAGTCACAGCCGTTCAGCTGGTTGGTGCCATTGCGCGGACAGCCCCTCAAAAGCTTGGGCCGGTTGTCGGAGAGCTGCTACCAGGCATCTTCTCTGCCATTTCAAAAGATGACCCAGAGCTCAAAGAAAGTTGCTTACAAGTTAGAACTACATCATGTAAAGGTTTCAAGCTGATCCTTGGTACAGACTCTCGAGTCGTTGGTACTTCGGTGCCCACAAGAGATCACTCCTTGCCTCAATCAGATTATCAACGCTGGTTTGGAGTATATCAAGTATGATCCTGTAAGTTACTTCCGTTTGCGGGTATAAACGCTAATAACTCGAACAGAATTACGCCGCCGATGACGAGGAAGACGAGGACGAAGAAATGGAAGATGCAGATGATGACGATGACGATGATTCCGGAGCCGCAGATGAGTACGCATCGGTGACCTTCTTTGTGGGTATGCCTAACTTTTCTCAGATACTCCGACGATGAAGATACCTCTTACAAAATTCGCCGTTCCTCTACCAAGGTCCTCGCTGCTGTGATTGGAACCCGACCAGAGATGTTGTCAAAGATTTACCAAACCGTTAGCCCTGTGCTGATTTCCAGGTTCGGAGATCGTGAAGAAAGCGTCAAGGTCGAAGTTTGGGCTACGTACATCATCCTCCTCAACCAAACAGGAGTGTATGGAGGGACAACTGGTGGTCGTGACAACGACGCCGTCGCAGGGTCTAAACGGAAGAGGCAGGACGAGAACATGGATGTTGAAGATTCGCCCCTTGATCTGCTCAGATCACAAGTAGCTGCCATGTGCAAGGTTCTCCTCAAGCAACTGCACTCAAAGTCGCCTGCATCATCTTCACAAGCCGGGTTCCAACTGTTGATTGAATTAATCACGGTTCTTCCCGGTGCACTATCTCAGCATGCCTCGAACGTTCTCGGATGTGCCAAGAGTGTTTTGAGCCAATCAGTCGCAAACACCACGACCACACTTCACACCACAACGCTTTCCTTCCTCGCTCTTTTCTTCAAGACGCATCCTGCGGGGAGTTTCAACACATCAGTTCTCTCAATCACCCCCGTTCTCCTTACGGAGGCGACGCAAAAGCACCCCCGCGTAGCGACCGAGGCATTCAAGGCGTTCTCCGCTCTACTTCAGGCAGTCTCACCAGTGACGAGTGGAGACTGGGCGCTACAAATTTACAAGGAGGCTGTCAATCGCCTCTCACGGAACGATACAGATGCAGAAGTTCGCGCTGCTGCCGAAGAAGTCATTGGCGACCTTTGGGTCGCCGCAACTCCTATCGTCAGCACTCAAGGCGGTGCTGAATGGGAGGCTCTTCGACGGAGTGCGCGCCCAGAGGGGGCGGTCAAGGTGATAAAAAAGGTCGGCGGGTCAAACGTTGTCATGGATGAGGCTTGGACAACGCAATCAGTTGAGTGGGTACTTGGTATTGTGCGCAAGAGTGGTCGGGGAGGTCGTGCCGAATCGTTCGAGTGCCTTGATGTCCTCGTCAGCAAGTGAGCCCTGATACACTCTTGACAAACGAGCTCTAATCTTGCATGCAGGGGAACAGTTCCAGCACCGCTAGTCGTGGAGATCACCAACCAGCTCAAATCGTATCTAACAATTGCAGACATTGCAGTTCTGGCGCAGGCTTTGTCAACCCTCTCCTTGCTCCTCAAAACCTATACCAAGATCACTTGCCCCATAGTCGAAGATGGGAGATCGGGCTTCCTGGGTATAATAGCCGAGCTCGCTAGCTCTCCTCTTGTGATGGGCGTAACTCTTTCCGCGGTTGAAGACTTTTATGGCACCCTCGTCGCAGCCGACCCACAGATCACCAGCCATCTAATTCCTGGTCTCATGATGAGAGCGGAGCGTGCTGGAAAGGATGGTTCACCATCGAATGTCAGTAAATGCATCGCGCGAATCCTTCGCTCCGACCCAATGGATATCGCTGGTACAATTTCAGAACTCAACAAGTCCATCAAGGTAGATTCCATTCTTTGATGCCCATACAATGTACTCACGCCGATAAAGGCTCGCAGTACAGCCAAGGAGAGTCAGATTGTTCTTAGCTTGCTAACTCTTGGAGAAATCGGTCGCACAGTGTGAGTATCATTTGTCGCGTCTAGATTCGTTTCTAACAAGCTATAGTGATATGAGCCTTCAGGCCAACGTCTTCAGCGACGTGCTCCAATTCTACACCAGTGACTCGGAAGCTGTTCGCTCGGCGGCGGCATTCGCCAGCGGTATAGACATGTTTTCGACTCCTAAAGCAAACTCTGACCAGTGCTTTTAGGTAATATCTGCATTGGAAACACTCATGTCTTCCTACCCAAGATTGTGAATATGATTCAAACCGACGCAACTCGCCGCATCCTTGCCCTTCATGCCGTCAAAGAGGTCGTCAGCAACTGCTCCCATGGTCAATTGGAGGGTGTTGCAGAGGTCGTATGGACTCCTCTCTTCCAGCAATCAGGCAACACGGATGAGGGTACTAGAAACGTCGCATCTGCCAGTCTGGGCAAGCTTGCGGCCATCAATCCAGAAAGATATCTTGGCCAACTATGTGCAAAACTACAAGACCCATCGCCAGCTGTGAAAGCGACGGTTCTCTCCGCTCTTCGATACACCCTGATCGACATTTCTGCCGAGTACGACGACCAACTCTCTCCGCTTATTCCGGAGTTCTTGTCCCTCATGAACGATTCGAATCTCGTATGTACCACGTTTACCTCGGGAATAGCTGCTGAACATCATCTAGGCTGTCCAGCGTCTTACATTGTCCACTTTGAATGCTGCTGCTCGCAACAAGCCGAACCTCATCCAGGAGCATCTACAGAAACTCATGCCCGTGCTCTATGCAGAGACCGCCCTTAAGCAACACCTCATCAAGATTGTCGACATGGGTCCATGGAAGCATCGTGTCGACGAAGGATTGGAGGCGCGCAAGACTGCGTATGAGACTATGTACACTCTGGTAAGAATAGTATACTCTAGTCACCTGCTGCGGGCTGATATTTTGCAGCTTGAGACTTGCCTACGCAAGCTCGACATCAACGAGTTCCTCAGTCATGTCCTCGTTGGTATTGGTGACGAAGCAAATGAGATCAAGGTCTTGGGCTATATGATGCTTTTCCGCCTCTCTCAAGTCGCTCCAACTGCTGTTGCACAAAGACTTGACGAAGCTCTTCCGGAGTTGGAGAAGACGATGAAAGATGTCACAGTCACCAAAGACACGGTCAAGCAAGACCTCGAGAGAGCAGCAGAGTTACAGCGGAGTTGCTTGCGTGCCATTGCTGGCTTGAGCAAGATTCGAACTGCCGGCGCAAGCCCAGGCTTTGACATCTTCTTGACTAGACTAGAGTCGGGCAAGTGGGGCGCGGAGCTCAAGGAGTTGAGAGCGGGCAATTAAAGGTGTCTACTCACCATATACTCGATAGTGGTCTAGTTTAAGCATGCAATGTATGTTACAGATCAAGAAATACAATCACGTGTGATGATTCAAAGGGTTCAATCAAAGACGCAGTCGACCAGGTCGTAGGTTTTACCCTCGAGATCGCGTGTGCTGGGCCAGCTACGAATTCCGAGATCAACCCAAGGCGACTCTACTAACTGTGCCATCTCAGAAACATTGAAGGCCGTACCAGAGGCCAAGAGCGGATGGTTGGAATCGAGGAGTGGCCAAACATTTCCCGTAATGGTGCCGAGTTTGCGTTCGATCGTTTCAAGAATCGTCGATACGTCGAACGTTCCGTCCTTGAAGTTAAACGTCTGTAGACTAAACAGACGCATCTATCGAGGTGTCAACACTCCAATCGAGGATGGCGTTGTTTGGTTTACCGCTTCTTCGCCAAAGGCTCGAATGGGGATATAGTTGTCGTCCTCGTCGACGAAGAGAAGACAAAATTTGACCTCATAGACAAGATTATCGGGGGTTCGACATTTGAAGCACAGCTGCTTGGTGAAGGATCCACCTCCTATGCTTGAAGGAGGTTAGTACGCCCATCGTTGAGATTCTCACAACCCACCAAAAGCCACAATTTTTGCATGATATAATGATCATATCCTTTCGATTTGTTGGAAGAAAATCGATAACTCGTCCTCGAATGCGGCATCGAAGCACGCCTGGATTGCGCATGACATAGTTGAAGTCTTTAGTTGAGCCCGGAATAGTGCATGTCAATCGTGCAGGCGAGGCGACTCTTGCAATCGGCACGGGTGGCCCGGTTTTTTCGACAACTTCATGGCGGGTTGTAATTCGAGGATTCCCGCAAAATATCTCAGGGTCAAAGTTCTCCACGGCGTCCTCAATCATGGCCATTTGTTGGTTCTTGAGGAATATTTCCTTTCGTCTAGCGAATTAGAAATAGAAGTGAATATCCCGGGTCACTCACTCAAGTAGCTGAGCTAGATATGGATCTTCTGGATCTGCAACTCGAGTAATATCTGTACCCGAAAGCTCGGGAAGTTTTCCATAAATGAAACCGTCACGATCCTCGGAGACCATGTTGGAAATTCGATAGTATCCTCCAATCGCAAGATTTTCAGCCACTTCGTATAGGCGATTGTCGAACCAGATATTTATCTGCAAGGTATACTCGTGACCAGCTCCTACAAAGTTGAACGCTTTGAACCGAGGATTTGGAGTATAGTCCGTCACAAAGACGTCCATAAACTTTCGGTTGCCAATTTCCCCGCGTCGGGCGCCGAGTACCTGTTAAACTCCTTAGGAACATCGTCATGCAACCAATGACTTACCTCGACTGTTGCATCTATGAACACGCCTTTTTTCCCGGAAGTGGTAAACTCTGAGAGGATGCGGTGCTTTTCGAAGCTTGGGAGTTTGACGGACTCGGGTCCCTTCATGATGCCCGCGATTTTGTGCAGTTCCTCGAGCAGTACGTCGTCAACCGAGGCATATGGTGCTCCCTTTGCTTCACCAGGATTCAGGTCGTTGAAGAAGAGTTTTTTGGTTGCTTGATCATACCCTCTCCATTTGAAGCGGTCAGAGTATCCCACACAGTCGACTTTCCTCGACGGTGTGTCGCGTCGAGTCTGACCTGACCGTCTGAAATCGTTCCTGTAAACGCAAAATAGAAACATACCTTGAGCCCAATGAGAACAATCATTTGACCGACGTCGATCTTGGGTAAAAATGCTTCGTTTGAGTGGAATAGTGTGACAGTCAGCCATTGATCGGACTCCAACGAGCGATCAGCAAGCTTGATACTAAGAACGTAATCCTCTCCAGGAATATTAGAGAAACGAAGAACATCTCGGGTGGAACCTTACTGGACTTCTTCACCGGGTTTTGGGCGACGATGAGACCCGCAACATTTACCTGTTCACCGGCTCTCGTCTCCAGAATCCGTTTCAGCGATAGGAACCGCCCCTTAGAAATGTTAGCATAAATATATTAGGGCCCATAATCTTACATGCTTGGAGTGAAACCCATCAAAGTCGACCCGAGTTGCAGGGCTTGTCCTCGGCTCAACGTTCAAGGGGATAGAGCTCATCATGTCGTCTCCGAGATGATATACGACGCACTCTGAGTCATCGTCAGAACCTTCCGCCACGAGTTGCTCCTGTCGGGTTTGTTGGCCTCGTTCCTGCTCAGCGAGTTGCTCTAAGGTTCCTTCTATATCTGTGGCACTAATTCCAGCTTTATTTCGTTGTCGCCGCACTTCCTTGTGAGGTCTAATCGATGCATTTGCATTGTCCACTGTTTCTCTGCTTGGAGGGATCGTAGGGTGAGATTTCTGTTGGTGGTGGCGCTCTGTTCTACTACTTTGGTGCTTCCTTGAGGGATTGACCCTGTCATGTCCGGGTCGGTTGTGAGACCCAGGTAGCGCAGCAGTATCTAGGCTCGAAAGTCTAGATGCCGACCTGTCATTCGGAAGATTACGGTGATTCGAACCAGAGGCTTGATCGTCTCGTTTATTTGATGACGAGATCTGAGCAACTAATTCATTTTAGGACCAAAGGGATGACATTGGACAATTACTCACCCTGCCCAAATCTTCGTATGCGAGGCTCGCCACTGTGTGCTTTTTGATGAATTTGCAGTAGAACGTCGTTGAAGACAAGTGCAAAGCAAAACGTTGTCTGGGTCTCTTTTATTGTCAAGACTGCTGGGTTTGTGAGCGCAATGTCGACAACCTCGCCCACCGAGGGAGATTCGCGAACACCAAAGCTTGGCTTGTTCAATATGCAGTCAAGAACGCGTTGCTTGTCCCCATTCTCGATACTGGAAGGTGCTATTTCGTCTGCGAGTTGAAGGACTAATGTTGCAGACTTTTCCTGCTTATCCCACTCTACCCGCTGTACAATGCCTCGTATGAATCCCCGATCCAACGAGTCTTGTTCCGGCGCTTTCCTCGAGTTGCCGCAATTGCGTAGCGTCTTGTTGCAGAGAGAAGCATATGGCGCAGGAAGGTTTCCAGAAGTCTCGTTCCTTGGTTTCTTCGTTGGTCGTGTGTTTGGATCAAGATTTGGCGCGTCGCGTCGTTTGGCCGCCATGGTTGGGGGTCAAGGTGCAGCACGGCTTGTCGCCCACCACGACTAAGCATTCCGAGCAGCCAACATGGGAAATGATGGAGGTGCGTAGAAATAACTTATCCAGAGACATAGAACTCATTACTTGTTTTAGGAAGCATTCCTGACCGCCGCGACCTCGTAAAGACCAAGGCAAAGGTACGCATCGCCGAAATATCAGTAGTCTCGTATGTTAACCATCAATAGGCTGAGCAAGCAGATAAACAGAATCAGATTTTGGCCAAATGGTTCTACTGCGCCTTGTCAAAGGTACGTGAACAGTGGATAAATGTGTCACCCTGCCGTGCTAATTGAACCATCGAACACAGAAACCACTCCAAGACCCGGTTGTATCTTGTGAACTAGGAAAGCTCTACAACAAGGACGCCATTGTTGAATATCTGCTTGACAAGACTGTCTATGGCGATGGCGCTCGCATTTGTGGTCACGTCAAGAGCCTTAAGGTACGAGAAACCGATATTTAGTCGCTTTCCTGCTAAATCGTATTCGAGCAGGATGTTACACAGCTGCGTTTGACTCACAACCCCGCGCCTCCAGTCGCCAACTCGGACAAGCCACAAGCAGCCTACGTTTGCCCCCTCACACTCAAGGAGATGAACGGCGCCCTTCCTTTTGTTTACCTCTCTACTTGTGGCTGCGTCTTTTCTGCTGCAGGGCTACGAGCCATTGCGACCCCCGCAGAAAATACTCCACCCTCTGGTTCCAATAGCCCTCCCGCCAGCAAAAGCACCTACTCATGTCCCCAATGCTCGAAACCGTACGACCGCCTAACAGATGTCCGAACACTGAATCCGATGCCAGAGGAAGAAGCTGGGATGCGCGAGGTGATGGAGGTGCGGAGAGCTGCGAAGAAGGCGGCTTCCAAGGGTAAGAAGCGTAAAGCAGCAGAGATGGACAGTGGAGATCGTGAAGCTGGAGAAATTGAGCATAAGAAGGCCAAAGTCGTCGCGGAGGAAGAGGCCGCACCAAAGACAAACGCAACCATGGCAACACTGACAAGAAAGGTTGCCCTGAGTCTTGCAGAGGAAGAGCAGAAGAGAAAGGGCAAGATGACCGAGGCGGTGGCGAGTCTTTATGCGCCAAAGAACAACTCCTCGAACAAGAAGGAGACATTCATGACTCGAGGGACCTTTACACGCGTAAGCACTGTTCACGATTTTTTAAAATTTTGCTGACAGCATTGTAGTATGCTTGATGATGCCACCTTTATACGGGTTAACTGTATTGTATGCCAGGATATTAATTTCATCAGATGACATCTATGTCTGTGTAACGTTGGCTTCATTCGTTTGCGCTACCTCCCAGGGCTTTCGCCTCACCGGGGCAATGGATCTACTAGGCGTCTCGTCCTACCGTTTCATCAGATTATCATTGCAATCTCAGTATCACTTACGTTGATCTTGTCAGGAATAACCTTGTTATTTGGGATAAGATGGGCCTGGCCGGTTTCAATGAGATGTTTAATTTCTGCAAATGTAAGAACAGGCTCCTCTGCCTGCTTTGTTGTTGGGCTTTGTGTTTTGAGGTATTCATCAACAGTTAATAGTGAGCCAGTCTTTCTAGCGATGGGTTATCCCAACATGCTACGCTGCGATCCCTGGGTGCGTACTTTCGAAAGAAGAAGATTTTTGCTTCAAGTAAGAGTCGTTCTTTCTGCGACTCACTAGGATCCGGAGAGATCCCGATATTGCTGAGGAATTGCTTTGGCAAAGGTTAGGTATGAAGCGTTGTCCATTTGGCAAAGACGTGCGTTAAACTCTTCATCTTCCTCAAACTTATATTTGCGAAACTCGTCGATTGAGCTCATAGGATCGACGTCGCAGGGTCCAAACTGCCCCAATTGCCTTACTCCCTACCTCATTCCTTGGCTCAACCTTTGACCAGCAAACCATGAACACAATTCACGTACCACTCCCTCCGGAACTTTGGCTGGATATATCTAGCTATCTAGAGCGACTCGATCATCTTTCATTGGTACAGGTCAACCGAAGATTTAACCAAATCTTCATCCCGGCTCTCTACTCGGATATTATCATTAAGGGTCCCGACTACTATATCATGGACGGGCACCCCGTCTTCTTAGACTCTCCAGACGCAGCGTCCAGATTTTTCCTCGCAGGCAGGACACGCGGACTTTTAGAACGGCTCCAGAATGATGCAGAACTGCGTCAATGCGTTCGCCAATGCAAAATAAGCACATTTCGTGCGCCGTTCCGGGACATGACACCCTCGGAGGCTGGACAAGCACCCTACGTCGTCTTTGAGACGCTCGTCGAGGATATATTCCAGCTGGTTGCCACACTTCCATCGCTCGAGAGGGTGAAGATTCATCTCAGCGAGATCCCCGCTCAATGCTTCTTTATGTTGTGCCAACTGCCCGATATCGACATTACAACCTCGGCAGTGACGATGTACGGAAAAGTGGACCTCTCCGAGTTCACCTCATTCAAAGTTGGGCGACTGGTGTTCGAGACGTCCAACGTCCGACCCGCCATTCCGTCCATTGTCGAGATGACACTCAGCGGCTCGCTGCGCGAGCTCTCGCTCAACACGGAATCGCGAGGGGTGCTCAAAAAGCTTTTCACAGAGCACATGCAGCGCAGTACTCCCTCGCTCCCGCTGCTCGAGGTGTTGGAGATTGGATGGATTGATGCCCAGTACTTTGACTTCTTTCGCACCACACCAAACCTACTCGAGCTTCGACTAAAGGGTATCACACGGCTACAACTTGGAACTTCAACACTCAGCAGCGATTTACTACCTCGGTTGCGTCGATTCTCCGGTCACCACTCGTTATTACCTTGCTTCGTGAGGGGTCGACCGGTGATGAGCATCACGACACGCGACACGACTGGGACGCCGCACCCCGACTTTTGGGCTTATGATGACAACATTACACTGTCACCGCTCGGCATGAACTTTGGCTCCTCGACCCCTGTACTCAAACTCGTATGGGTCGATTGTACGCGAAACAGAGAGCTATTACAATACCTTGTGGACAGAAACCCCGGGATACTTCATTTGGATGTAACACCTACCGTTCCCTATACAAAGGTTCGCAGCGACTAGTGCGTGACATTTCTGACCCTTTACAGGTTCTTCTGTCCGAGCGACTGGACATAGTCGAGCAGCTCAAGCAGCTTCGTGAGCTCTACATACGGTCCCTCCAACATGTGCCCAGCACCGACTCTTTACTATGGGAAAAGGAAACTTGTGAAAGATTACGACGAAAGGGAAGTGCCATGCTGACATCGGTCAGCTTTAGCACTCTTATTGACTGGACGCGCAAAGTTGATAGCGAGCTTTGGACGCCCTCTGGAGAAGGACTCCCTGTCTATCGAATGTACATGGCCAAACTCCAGCCAATTGCATCTCATTAACAGTTTGTACCTTGGTGACAGGAAATAGAGATCGATGCTCAGAAAAAGGCTTTTTCGATGTTTTGTGGATTGCGAGTATGAAAGACAATGATATGAATATAGTACAGCCCTCAATCGAAGGGATCAGCTGCAAAATCTTCGTCGTCTTCCTCTTCCCATCCATTTGCTTCAAACAGTCTCCCTTTGCAGTTTGGGTCGTTGCTGAAATGTGAATACGGATCCTCCGCGCGAAGTTTTTGGCCACATAGATAGCAAAAATGGGTAGAGCACCGTGTGCAGGTCATCTAGGCAAAGTCAGTCACGGCCCTGTTGGTCTGTTTGGGAGAATCCCACGTACATGGTTGCATCCCATCGACTTTTCTACCGATGTCGAACAGTTTGGGCAATTGGTAGTTGAAGACTTGAGCCAATTCTCCGTCTCCATCTCCTCTTTAAACTTGGTAACGAGCCTGACTAGCTGTGCCTTGCCAAACCGTCTCTCCAATGCAAGTCGGCCTTCAGAGCCATCTTCCAATTCCATGTACTCTTGCACAAACTTTGCCTTGATATCCGATGAGCAAGGGGCGAGACCATGCCATGAGCGTTTGCAAAGCATACAGAATGCGAATCCACAGTTCTCGCAGGTGCGCAATGTGAGGTGATTGCGGCGGAGCGTCACATCGTCAACGCTACTCAGATCAAACTGTTTTAGCCGTTGTGCATTTGGAGATGGGCATGGGCCCTGGCAGACGGCAATGGGACAGTAGACAAGGCCTGGGTCGGTCTCTAACGCACGTTTTCGTTTGATCGCTTTCCATCTCTGCGTTTCCGCCTCGGATACTACACGAGATAATTCATCTTCTGTGACTGGTCGGTTGGCTTTGACGCATTCGGCGTCGGCGCACATTACGCGATCTACATCTCCTTCTTTGATGTGCAGGGACCAAAAATCGGTGAGACACGGCCTGCAAAAGACGTGCTTGCAGTTGAGTTGGATGCACTTGGAACCTTTTAGCGAGGTTAGGCAGATAGCGCAGTCGAATTTGCTGTCAGAGAATGCTCGAAACTTGACTGCGGCGTCATGCTCCTGTAGTCGCTGTGCAAGTAAATGAGGCTTGGGATGTAGTAGTCTACGGTGTGTTCAACATTAAGTCTACAGGGAAGAACCTACATACCGTACGGAGCCGTCCATCAATCCGAGGTCATGTAGGAAGTCGGCCGACCGAATCCACTCGCATGTCCTCCATAGTGTACCAGACTCAATATGCAAGTCTTCCTCCCATATATCGATCAATCTTTGTCGTATTCTCCCGATCTCGGTGCTTGTCAGCCAGGTGTTGACGGTGTGTAAGCGCGCCAGAAGCGGCGTCGCTCTAAGTGGATAGGTCGATGGAAAAATGAGTTCGAGAATTAACGGTGGAAGATTGGAAATCCGCAGCCTGGCAGGAGATTCAGGCAAACTGTCGACATCTAGGGGCAAATCACTGGCTATCTCCACTTCTTGTTCATTTAATTCGACTGGTATTTCCAGTCTTAGAGCTCCAGGAGCTGAAACAGCGCTCGTGGACGCCTCTGTGTACTCGGGGAAGGCGGACTGCATTTACAATCAGTATTTGTCTAGTCCCGTGATTATGTTAGGCTTACGCATAGAACAGCCCATTCCTCCTCGCGAAGGTTTGCACAGTGCACGAGGTCGTCGTTTGCCATGGCGGCTAGGAGGCTGAGATGGTCAGAGTTTAAGTTGCGAACGCGCCGAGGAAGCAACTACGACGATGACGGATTCATATCCTCCTCTCTGACTCGACTCGCGTCTAACAAGTCTTGGCTGTGGAAGACATATCTGATCAAGCTGTTTGGTACCTCGGCGCTTACACGCCTTGAACTCCGCAACAACTCCGCCAGTCGTACACAAACACGCCGCAAAGCATGGACGAAGACCCCGTATTTCAACTCTTTCCGGGACAGGATCACGTCGATCTTTACGCGGTCCTTGGGTTGCAGGCGTCCGATAGCGTCGACGCGATCAAGAAGGCTTACCGCAAGTTGGCACTGTTGTATCACCCAGACAAGCATGTACCCAGCAAGAATGTCTCAAAAGAAGAGGCCTCTCTCAAGTTTACCCAAGTTGGATATGCATATGCCGTGTTGAGCGATGGGAAGCGAAGGAAGCGCTATGACGAAACAGGGAGAACAGACGAGCAATCCGGCTTGGGATTCGGTCCTGCGGATGGGGATGAAGGAGGGTGGGAGGCGTACTTTGCTGGCATGTTTGAAGAGGTGACGCGCAAAAGGCTAGACGAGATGAAGAAGGAATATCAAGGTGCGTGATGTTACCGGTGAGATATTGTAACTGACCTCGTTAGGCTCCCAGGAGGAAATTGATGACGTCCAGGAAGCATACTTGGATGGAGAGGGTGACCTCGAGCATATTATGGCCCATGTTCCCCATTCGACCTACGAAGACGAACCGCGTATCATAGCGATCATCAAAAAGCTCATCAAGTCAAAGAAGATTCAATCGACGTCGAAGTGGGAGGCGGACATCAAGGACGAAAAGGCTAAAAAGGCACGACGAAAGCAAGGCGAGCAAGAGGCCGGAGAAGCGGAAGAGGCGGCCAAGGAACTCGGCGTATGGGATGAGTTTTATGGATCTGGTGCCAAAGGAAAGCGTGGAGGAAGCAAGAAGAGCAAGCCCGAGGACGAGACAGCAAACCTCCAAGCGGTCATCCAGAGACGCGCAGCCAGCCGAAATACGGGTAGCTTCTTGGACAATCTTGCTGCCAAGTACGGTGCGCTCGACGAGGACCCTATGGAGATTGACGACGCACCAAAAACCAAGAGCAAGGGAAAGGGAAAGAAGAAACGAGCACGAGAGGAGGATGAAGAGGAGATTTCAACCAAGAAATCTCGCAAAACACCCGAGTTGGATGACGCCGAGTTTGAACGTATACAGAGAGAGCTTGATGCGCGCAAGGCGAAGAAGAGGCAGACAAAAGGGTGAACTCGATGGCAATTCTATGTAGCATCTATACTCAGTGTGATTTTAGTTGTGCCCCTTGATCTCCATATGAACTCAGAACAACACAGGTAGCGCGATATAACAGTCGAATCTTCAACACAGCCAGGATTGTCAGCCGATCAATTACAAAGGTATGATATAAATACCAAGGGGATTAGTTTTGGGAGAAATAGAAACTGTTTGGCCGGATTCCATCACTTAGAGGACAGGCCCCTGTTTGCTAGGATGACACCTGGAGAGGCTGAGGAGGCAAAGAGAGAAACCTGAGTGGTGATTAGTGCCACAACAGTCTAGAAGTAGCTGGAAATGATTATTTGAGGACTGGAGAGGGCAGCGGGGTGGTCGTGGCAATTCGTGGTTTTCACGGCCACTGTCACGAATTGTCACGGTCATTGTCACGATCACGATCACGATCACGATCACGGTTACGAATTGTCACGACAGGGATATTGCTTCGTTTGCTCACCAGCACATTCTTCTTGCTTCTTACCCCCGACCATGTATCTCTGCTGACAACTAATGAGTTTGAACCTGCTCTTAGCTAGCTTTCAAACCCATGAAGGACCACGTTTATTTCGAGGGTGTAGGATCATTCAATGACTGGAGAGGGGGCGGGCCACCTGTGCCGCCGCTGGCCATCCAAAAGATTTTTGAAAATGAAACAAGTGCTTTAAATGTCCAATAAAGGCGCGTTGGTCTAGTCGCATGATTCTCGCTTTGGGTCTAGCTCAACTGCGAGAGGTCCTGGGTTCAATTCCCAGACGCGCCCTTTTGTTTTTTTTTGCCAAGTACGTCTAGAAGAATCCAAGCCCAGGAGCTGGAGAATACGGGCAAGCGTCGACTCGCTCTGCTAGAATGTGCATAGTCGCCGTAATTAGCCTTTAATGTCGTGAATCAGACTTTCTTTTGATACACTGCTCAGTATATGGTTTCGAGTACGTCCCGAGCAACTATTATACTATGGCCGGGTGAGGATCCTCCGCCAAAATCATGCGACTAGACCAACGCGTCTTTATTGAGCGTTTAGAGCACTCTTTTTATTTTTCACAATTTTCTGGATGGCCAGCGGCGGCACCAGGTGGCCCGCCCCCCTCTCCATTGAGGACAGACTAAATCCACTCTTTGCCAGCCGGTTTTGCTTTGGCTGTCAACGCACTGTGGCACCTCCACCAACAAATTCCTGGGCGCTCCTCTGTTCTCTGGAGGAGCTCCGCGGAGACCCACCAGGCGAGTTCCACCTTGGTGTCGACGAGGGCCTTCAGGAGCACTCGTTCACCCCACAAACGTGGCTGCTTGGTGAGGCTTGCCGAAGCAAGTTTGGGAGGACAACGGCGCTGTGCTCCGGGGAGGCCCAAAGGCAACAAAAGTTGGGGTTCTTTGCATAATCGTGTCGTCTGTCTAGCAGTCCTGAATACCATTATGATCTTTCATGTATGAGGATCCTAAGTCTTCGTCCCCTCATCCTATGCGTCCAAGGGACTCGGAGATGTTAGGATCCACTTCCTAGTTAGGAATATATGGGCGACGAAACTTCGAAAATCGATGAAAGAATATTTATATAGTTTTGGTGCAAGGACCTTGAACTCGGTTTCCTCTACTATGACCAACTCGTCGGTTCTGCTCGAGGCGCTAGATCTGACTCACGTTCTTTGTAAGTTTTAAGCTGATTCTTTTATGCATTTGACCGTCTATAGTTGAACCCGCGTCGAATCTGGGTCTTGCGTGACGTTGGCTCTTGTACTCTGTTCCTTGTGCGTAGTGCTGAAAAATATCTAATAGGCCTATTATGGGACACTGGTTATCGTCACGCGAGATTATCAATAGGAGTCGGCCAGTTTAATTGAAATGGTTGCATCAGTACTTATTTGCACATCCTAGTGTTTCATGTTACATTTAACGCAGGTTGGTATAGTAGAAGCGAATGTAAATGGTCGTTTTCCTTACGAGCACCCGCAGCGTTCAATCATATGGTCAAAATGTGTATTGAAACAGCAACTGTCTATGAAGACTGTGACATGTCCTTCTGAACCTAGAGCCGGGTAAGGCCAGTAATAAGAGCAGATTGGCAAACTTACATGAGGGTTAAAGAAGAGACTGTTAGGACCCCAAGGGAACTGACGAGGCCTACGGTTGAGATACGGGTAGTCTGTGCAATTGTCGGCATGAGCTTGTCGAGTAGTCGAAAATCAGACGAACCAATATACTCGTGCGGATGTTCCGCCTTGTGCGCGGCGTGCTTCTTTTCAGTCTCAATGACCCAGTAGGTACCTCCTGCAATGACGGGAAGGCAGACTAGGATGCTGCAAGGGCATCAACAGGGCGAGTGGCACGGTCAACCAACACACGAACCTGATATTCTTCCACAGCGATGTTGTACCTGGTGTGTAAAAATAAAGTCATCAGCTACAAAGGGTATTCGACCGATGATGATCGTTCCTACCGGCCGCATGGTGCTTGACGGCCTCTTTGCGGGCGAGAAATTCCTCTCCAGTCGGAAATCCAGGTTCAGGAGCAGGTACAGAGATAAATCTACGAGAGACGGGGAGCGACGTAGCGCGCAGAGTGCGTGCAAGCTGGACGGACCGTTGCATGGTCGAGGTTCAAGTTTCGTTCTCGACCGCATCCACCTCTTGCCTGCGTCAACGATGCTCAAAATTCAAAAGATAATCTGTTTGAATAATACCATACTTTTACAGTACTCGGACGTTCAGATGTATCCTCACCCGTATTGCAGAATAGTGTACTGGATGGCCCCTTGTTTCATTTGTATAATAGCATACTTGTCTAGTGCATCTATTAATTGATTTAGGGATGTAGCTAGCATTTGGTAATCGTGGCATCTCGAACCTTCGTCCCAACGACAGCCACAGACCTTCCTCACCCATCATGTCTGAGACTCAGAAGCGTCTCGTTGTATCTATTCTCGAGTTTTTGGAAGCAAGCATTGCAGATGGGACTGTCGGTGCTGATGATAAAGACGGCATCGAGGTGGCCAGTACGAATTTTCACATTCCCAGTTTACGTTCTCACACAAATCTAGTCCAATGCATTGGAGAAGCATTCGGGGTGGACGCTTCAGATGAAGCGACACGCCAACGATTGAGTGTCAAACCCGCGACGCTCCCAAGCATATTCGACGTTTATATGAAGACAAAGGAAAGAATGAAAGGATCCCAAGTCTGTCTACGTCTTCATCTCCTGCATCGTGACGCTCATTCGGTTCACAGTCCACAAGCTCGAGTGCCCCCGCACCCCAAGCCGAGCGCTCGGGACCATCCGCAGAGGATAAAGCTGCGGCTGAGAAGCACAAGATGAGTGGAAATGCCAAGATGAGCGGCAAGGACTACGAGTCGGCCATCGCAGAGTATTCGCATGCAATTGCTCTGGATCCAGGCAATCCTGTCTATTATTCTAACCGTGCTGCGGCCTACTCGTCCTCTGGAAAGCATGACTTGGCAGTAGCCGACGCAGAAAAGGCCATCGAAGTCGACCCAACGTTTGTCAAGGCCTACCACAGGCTCGGGTACGTATCTTGTCACAATGTTGGTTACTTGGCACTGATATGTTAAAGGCATGCACACTACTGTCTCGAAGACTACGAATCTGCGGCGTCAGCTTTCCAAAAGGGACTAGACCTTGAGCCAAACAATGCAAGTCTGAAGAATGGAAAGGAGAATGCCCTTTCCCGTATTACGTCTAAACCTGCATCTTCGACTTCGGCCGGCACCTCGTCTCGAGGTGGCCCCAGCGCTGGAGGTGCAGGAGGCCCAGGGTTTGACGAGGTGCTTCGATCCCTAAACGAGACTGGCGGGCCTGGAGGAATGGATTTTGCATCCATGATGCAAAACCCAGCCATTATGAACATGGCCCAGCAAATGATGGCGAATGGTGGTCTTGAGAATCTCATGAGAAATCCGGCCCTTAACACCATGGTATGTACCCTCTCGTATTCTATTGCTCTCTACTGATGGTTTCCTAGATGAATCGACTCCAGTCGGGGGGAGGCATGCCTTCTATGCAAGAGCTCATGAGCGACCCGACTCTACGACAAATGTCAGCCCCAACTCTTGTTGCACGCCGTAGCTGACGTTCATCTAGGGCAGAAAGCTTTGGAGCTGGGCGAGGTGCTGGACGTGGAGGACCAGGTCCTCAGTAGAATCCTCACGGTTTGCACACCTGTATTCTAATATCGGCGGTTATAACAAACGGATCTTTTCGCCAGTGGGCGTACCAAGGTCATCTGCGACTCACGGGACACTTCGTAAGTGTTCTCTTTCGGGCTAACCACAAAGTCGTTCAATAGCGCGACTTCGGCGCCGCGCCACAGAACCAGAAAGGCGCTAAAATTCAATCGGGAGTCCAATAGGATACATTGGAATAGGGTATGCGATGAGACTGGCCCGCCTCCCCTCGCCTCTAGTCAGTCCATTCCCCGCTCGCTGGACGAATCGGTGGCATCTCCGAAATGTCTGCATTTATCGCAAAGGTATTTTTTAAGGCAAAACCGCCACGTAGGCTACCCGCCGCAGCGACTCTGCCAAAGATGCCCAAATTGGTGAAGATAACCTTGTCCACCAGAAAGGCTATTCCACTTTGAAAATTTATTGTTTGACAAGTCCTACGGATCCTAGGGCGATCATGAAACAACCGATAGCATCTCAGCTCGCCTGCAAATCTTGGCTACTGTGCGTGGCTGCTCGCCTCCAAGCGATTTCTTCGGTGCAGTCGAGTGCCCTGACCTTTCTCACCGGTGTCCAAGACGATTGTGTGGGATGCCATCTGCTGCAATCATGGTCAACTCGCTGATTCGCTCGGATTTGGTAGGGTAAGTCGTTCCCATCAAAACTCTGCCAGTAAACGACTTATACTTGCCGTATATGTATCTAGTTGCCCAGATGATGCTCTCTAATGATCCTCTGTGGGGAGTAGAATGGCGAAGAATCGAGGCACGATTCGGCAAAAGTCGCCATTAAGGCGGGTGGCGGTCACTCTGCCACTCCTAAATCAGCACAAGCGTGCGGTTTGTCCACCGATTCTGTTCATCTCATGGGGCCGTTACGAGAGGCCGATCGGCCGCAGAGAACCACACAATGGGTTCGCGGTATTTCTAGCAAAATATAGGGTCGCTCATGGCACTGGAGAGACGCAGACAACCGGGCGGGAACGGCACAGAGGTCTGACGGGAAATTACCAGACCAGAAGGTGTCGCCGAAGTTTGGGTGGCCAGCGAATGGCGTGGATGATGGCTATTGTATTGGACAAGAGATGTCGCATGCGCATCTATTGATGGACAATACCCCATGTGAATGGGCAAATGTCCCCAGCCGCCGCTTAATCCTTGGAGGTTATATAGGCGGGCCCTCTACGCGCGATAGTTACGCCGCCCCCCTTTTGCATCTTTGTCTCCTACCCTCCCCGCAACATGGATTATCCAACCTTTGGAGGAGACGATCGCAAAATTCAGCTCTGCGTGCAATCACTCGACCGCAAGGTACGTCGCCTCCAAGGCGCTGGTCACAATTAGAAACTCATCTTCCGTGTTTATAGGGCGAGCTCTCAAAATATGACTGCCATCGAGTGGTTGTCAATCGCGCACCCAAACGACATCGTTCTGTGACTGCCATGAATTTCTTTTCCCAGCCTGTAACGACTGCGGATCCTGTTCCGCCCGTTCCCCCAGTCCCCGCTCCAGTCGCAGCCAAACGGCCGGCACCTCGATTTTTAGAGGTCTTTGCTCCTATGAACGTGACGGATGAACCCGGACTGTCATCCTCGCCCACGTCCACCCCTTCGACAAGCAGGACATCCCTCCCCGCCACCCCCGCCTCACCTCGCCGCGAGCTTGACCACATCGTTCCCAACTCGTACTTTGCTCTCGTTCCAGCGAAACGACTACCCCGTAACCCAACAACCATGGTTTTCACGCCCGAGGAAGACCGCCACCCGGCGGCTACCCGGCAATTAGCGGACGAGAGAGAAGAGGGTTACTGGCAAGAGGATGATGAGCCATCAGTACCAGTCCACGGTCTACAAGACACCGTTCGCTCTGATCGATCATATGAGTGGACCATGCGGAAAGAGCCGGCCTCCCTCATGATGGACGGGACGTTTGGACGAGTATAGCACAACGGTCTCCCATCCAAAAATGCTTCTCTGGGTTTTTATTCTGGCGCCTACGAGAGGCACCCTGCATATACACACGCATTCTAGCCGTCCCATAGACAGTCTTGGCTGCTGTGCAGCTCAAGGCCAAGACTCTGTATCTGCATTCGCGTCGTCTGTGATTTATTGGCTCCCGAGTTGCTTTCTGTTGTATGTATTAGCTCGTTTACGACCCCTTAACGACGACTCCGCTTCAATGTCCTTTGCCTGACCACACGTAAAAGCCACAAGTAAATTATACTGAGCTCTGTCGATCGTTTATTACTTTTATCGACCTTGTTGGATAACAGGGAAATTCGACACCAAAAACACAGCAAGCCAACGTTGACTCTGGACCATGTTTTCGTCGAGGGTCAAAACTGCCATTCCTCGCCTAGTGCGACTCAAATCCAGTCATATACAACCACAATCAAATGTTGGCGTCCCAGCTGCCTCACCAATGCCATCGCTCTCAAAGCCACCGGTCGTTCCAGCCCCAGCACAGGCACCAAATTACCCAGATACATGGTCCACCATGCAGAGGAAGCGACCTTCAGAGGCCTCGAGCCCCTTGTTTGAGCAAATAGACATGACCTTGCAACCCATGCCGCTTTCGGCCATGCAACTCGTTTCAGAGGACCCTATTCGTGTTGTACATGCTCGTAAAGCTGTTTGCGATGGAGGTTTGTTGTTTAAATGACCCTCTATGGTTCAGGAAAACTGACGGGCATCGGTAACATCATAGGAGGTGGACCACTTGGCCACCCAAAGATTTGGATCAATCTGGTATGTCTTTAGGGTATGCTTCAGTTTCAATTTCTTATCGTTCCGTAGGATAAACCGGGACCTAAATCCTGCGGGTGAGTGCAAGAACGAATGGGTGCAAGCATGCGATTAATAAAATCCTTCACTCTGGTATGGGTCATGTATAGATATTGGTAAGCGCGCTTTTGATATTCTCTTGTCGTATACTCACTCGCGTAGCGGCATCCGATTCGAGCAGGCACCACACCACGGCCATGACTCGCATTAGTTTACTCAATAGATGGATTTCTGCATTGAATTCGCGTTGAGGTAAAACGAACCTGTCGACCTATCCGGACTTTTCGCCACGGCCCGACTTCTAGGTCGACGCATAACAGAAATAGATCATGAGCTTTGCCAGACTGAATTCCGGCGGTTGCCGCCTTTGCTATAATTTAGGCGTCTGACCACTTTCTGGACATCTTCCGAATGGTAGCAGCCTTTGCAAATTGAGTCGTCGAGCCTCGCTCGGCGAAACAGAGTCGCCAACTACATCCGGAGTCCCAGGCACAAGGTATCTGTGGCAGGTGTCAGTTCTCGACGCTAGATTTGTGCGATGAAAGCGGACGGTTTATAAATACGAAACCTAGTGATGTTTCACTCTTCACCCTTTGACCCCTTCTTCCTCTTCGAGGACTCGGAAAGGCGGCGCCTGCGACCGGGGCTGTCATGTCGACGACGACGATTCATCTGTCGCCGGATGTGCTCAATTCCATCGTGGAAACATGGCAGAATATGGTTGCGTCGAGCTACACGAGCGCGGCTGGGCTGACCGCCAATCTATACGACCTTTTGCTGACGCTCTCGGAGGAGAAGGAGCTTATTTGGAACAGGAAGATGTCTCCTGTCAGCGTCTTGTATCTCATCGTACGTGACTTTCTGGTCTTACGGATGACCAGTTTATGCTAATGCGTTGGGTAGAACCGTTACCTGTCGCTTCCGATTCTTCTCATGTACAACTATCGTACGTCTTTAGGGAGTGCAAACATTGTCCTCACAGGCATGTTTAGACATTTCTCTTCTAAGAGGCAAAGTGTCCGACAACGTGAGTGTACCCAAACAGTGAAGCCTTGTATCTGATCCAAAACTAGTTGTACGCGTGCAAACAACTTGACCGACACAATACTCATCTCTGTTTAGCTGTCGAGCTAATATCATCGCCTACGCGATTACGTGGGGTATGTTAATACAATCCTGTCATAAAGTATTTATATCCTTGTAGGCATGTGCCTTGCCATCTCCACTTGGCTTCTTTCCCTTCGCGTTATCAGTCTCTGGCATCGTAATAAATGGGTCGTTTGGTCGCTCTATATCGCCTTTGGTGCCTGCCATATATCGGAATGGGTGATTACGGGGTACTCACTGTATTACATGTATCGTAAGTGGGTCTCTTTCGGAGATAGAGGTGGGTGCTCACAGGCTCATAGCGAGTATTTCCTACTTTGGAGGGGTCAAAGTCTGTGGAGCCAATTCTGTTGAATTGATCGGAGCAGCATACTTTACCGTCATCGGTCTCGAAGTCTACGTCCTCGTTCTACAACTTACCCATCATTACCTCAATACACGAGCACAAAGACGCCATAATATGCCAACATTTACTCTCATCCGGACCCTCTATAATGATGGCTACATATATTTCATCATAGCGGTCTCCTTTAGGCTGTTGACATGTTTAGTGGTAAGTGCCCGTTCTCAACTTTCCACACTCCTCATCTCGTGTAGTGGGTATTCGGACCCGGATCATTGTGGTATCTTACCAACGAGATTGAGTTTGCAATGTATGTCCACATTACCTAAACCTATCAACGCCTAACGCAGCAAAAGGACCGTCTCCCTCGCCTCTCGCTTCCATCTTCACCTTAAACGGGTGGCTTCAGGCCCAGCACAAACCCAGAATGAATACCCTATGGTCACTGGGGACCGACTTACACATCCAGATGATTTCTACGGGCGTGCACCCAACTTATCGACTTATAATACGACCGCCGCGTTGGAGAGCGGGTTTGCGCATGCCCATAGTTCTCTTCCTCCGCACAATCCTCAATCCCGAGACTCGATTGTACGGCCAAAGGATGAGGTGGATAGAGTGCCTGCAATACATCCGTTCCAGGATCCTGACTCTACAGTGCCTCTTGGGAGAGAGAGTATGAGCTGGCTTGGACTTGCAAGAACCCGGTCGAGTAAAGATATCGTCACTGCGAATGAAGAAAGGCGCGAGGATGTACGCGTTGTTTCAGCGTCTGCACCTCAGAGGTTCTCGATTCTCTATGACAAGGAAGTGGACCAATTGGAGCTGAACAAACGCCGACAGCGGGTGGGAGACTTGGACAAGCGAATGATAGTGGCGGTAGTGTAATATAATGCTGTAATTTACGAATAGAGCCGTTCAGTATCATCTCCTTACATTTACGTCGTCAAAGGAATCTACAGGACGGCTGCTGGTACACCCGAGCTCTCATTGGCAGCAGTCGGCGGTCGTCAAGAGGGGTAGATCGTGTTTAGTTCGACAACCAAGTTTTGTAAAATGAAGCGTCTTCTTGGCCGGTGCATGTGGAGAAAGTGATAACCGGTGCCGTAGACGCGAACACTTGATGCCAACTACAATCACGCACGTCGTGTATCCAACAATCCTGGCCGCACTCGTTGCATACGTAGCGACATTACAGCCCACATTCACGCAGGGCTTCATCCTTGGACAGCTTTCCATCTTGTTCTTGCTTGCACTCGTCCTCAAGTATCTTTTTCTCGACTCGTCTGCCACACCCGCCGTCCCACCGTCATTTGCACCACTATCTGCACAAGAACGCGGTGCAAAGGCCGGTCATGTATTCGAGGAAAAACTAGACGAGAGTGTTACGTCTCTGCCGTTGCCGTTGCACGACGGCACAGAGTCTGCGGAATGGTTCAATCTCATCCTTCACGAAGTAAGTTATACATTCTATGCTTGTGGAGACTATGTTTGACGACCGAAACAGGTATTTAACGCGTATCGTCAACAGTTACGAGACAATGTTAGAGGAGACGCTGGAAACGATATTGCACGGACACGCATACAACGATACTTGAACGAACACAGAGGCTCAGGACTCATTGTGCGTCGTCTCTACGCCCTTTTGTTCGTGTTTGCAGAGACTGACAAGGAGTATGTAGGATCCAATCGTCGTCAATGCAGTCTCACTGGGTCATTCAGCCCCAAAGCTTTCCAATGCGCATATTATTCCACGCGCAGTCGACCAAAAGGACGCGACAGGTCCACAAATCCGCATCGAGGCGACGTACACCGACACGGTATCGTTGGGCCTTTCGACATCCGTCTGTTTCAATCAACCCGTTCCTGGATTTGCAAGATTACCCGTCTCGCTCTCCGTCGCACTCAACTTTCTCCGCGCGACCATTCTCATCTTCCCCCCAGCACCAGACGACCCAGAGCCGACGTTGACATTGCAACTCCAACCAGATGTCGAACTATCGCTTCATACAAACTCTTTATTCGGCTTGCGAGCTAAACTCGAAAATGTCTCAAAGGTGCACGAGTTGCTGGAGAACCGGATTCGAAGGGCATTGGTTGAACGAGGGACATGGCGCATTCACCTCCCGTTGAAAAAGACATAGGAATTATATTACGGTGTATATTTGTATGTTCCCACTTTAGACGTATTATTCTTGACGATACCAGGCATTATTTCCCCCCGTTTATGGTGGTCATGCGATCAGGTATAAGCGTCAATAGGCCAATCTAAACTGTGAAGAGCGCATCGGAGGCCTTGGAAAGTAGCATATGGCCCGGGTAAGGGCGCCCTCGCGGCAGGCTCCTAAATGACTAGGCAGCGGCCAAGTGCGGGGTAAAAAGCCACAACCATTTGCAAACCCCTGACTTGTCCGAAAATACCTCGCTCGGAGCCCAGGCGAGGTCGGATTTCGACAACGCTCTCGGCTCATGCGCGTGTATCGGCACCCCATGACGCTATCAGGTCAGCGAACGCCATTTGAATGTGTACAGGATCGGCGTTGGTGATGATTGGACGAGGAATAGGCGGAGGGCGTGTGATACCAGCGAAGAGTTGCGGACCCGTCGGAGACGCAGAGGTGGGTGACAATGGCGAAGAATGTGAGTTTCGCCGCGAAAGACGCTCAGCTGAGCAAGCGAGCGACTGATCCCGATATCAGCCTACCCCGTTGAGCCCGGACCGAAGATGGCGGGTGTGCTCACGTTGAGGTCGAGGACGAATCAGTTCCGCGAAAGATACGAGATAAGGCATCGTGATGACATCCTCTGGCCCTGCGCGGCATGCGCATAAACGTCTAGTCGATGGTGAGAGACAAAGAGAGAGGGGGGAAATGAGCTCATGTTCCGGACCGAGCCCGATTATCGAATGAGAATGGGACAAGTCAAGTGGTCGCTACCCGTTTATCTCGATCAGTCTCGGGGAAACCTTGTCGAGTGAGCCACCGGAGCCTGTCTGCGGTGAAACCACGGAGATGGGAGACGGCGACGGCAAAGGCGCCAGAGCATCGTGTTTAGTCTCCTTTCTTTTTCTTTTTCACAGGGACAACAAGCGGGAAAGACGCCTTGACGCGTGGAGCCGGGTGTTGTATGAAGCCGTCCAAGTCGCTATTGCGCGTCGAGGATACCGCGAGGTTCAAGCAGACGGATTCACCGAAGATGTGGAGAAAGCTCGGTCTAAGTTGTGAAGAGACTACGCGAAATGGGTCGAATGCTCTCTATGGGCGTCGCAAACGACTAATAGGTCGGGAAGGGGTCTGATACAGAGGCGTATAGTGATCACGAATAGATAGATAGGGCGAGCGTGAAAGGGAAAACACGCAAGCGGCCTATGTGGCGTGGCAGTAAAGGCGGTGTCGCGCTCTCCAATCTCGGGCCTATCAGCGGGTCAGCAAGGGTTTGAGAAGCGACCTAGAACAGAAAAAAACTCGCCTGACAATCGCTAGAACAGTAGAGAACGGACCGACATTGTCCACAGTGGCTCAATTGCTCGATGCTAAAACACTGGCTGGGGCACTGCACCAAACGACGATGAGATTACGCGCTCGGAGCAAAGGGACGGAGAAAGTAAATCACCTTGGAATTGCCGCACGCGATCCAATCTGGCTGACCGGCCAGTCTGACGCTCTTTGCAGCAGCGAGATTGCCAGCCCGTTCGAGCAGCTGGGCGAGCAGCTCGCGCGATTTGGCGGCTTCGATGAGGTCGTGTGGTTTTGTCGAGGCGGCGCGTATCGATACGGCTGATCGTAGATTTTGCTCTGCGTCGGCGTACTTGCCCAGACGGATTTGGACTTCTGCGAGGGCGTGGAGGGTTGCAGCGACCTGGGGGGACTGGAAACCAAAGCCCTTTGTCTTGACGTCGAGTGCTTGGAGGTGTAGACGCTCTGCCCCGACGAGATCACCAGAGCGGGCGAGCGAGGACGCCTGGTTGGAAAGACCAAAGGCGTCTAGGCCCGAGACGAGACTGGGAGTGCGGGAAATGGCAGCCTGCTGTGAGTTTGTCGACGAGGGAAGAGTTGCAAGAGTTGCAGTCATCATGGCTGGAGGAAAGGAACCAAGTGGCCTACGGGTGTTTGGCCAAACACAGGTGCAGTAAGTCTAGTGCCGATCCCGTCGTTTGTGATGCCCATCCTCAACCAGGCCTGGCCACTCCCGGTCACGTCTATCGACTCGTTTTCGTATGCAAATCTCACTCTCGACGCTGCCCTCGAAGATCTCGCAAGGCAAGTCGTCCAGACACGCCGCCTTGGTGTCGTTTTCGGCCGCTCATCGTCGTTGCTGTAGTCGCTTCATCTTCAACATTCCAGAATGGGAGAGAAATAGTATGGAACGAGTCGGCTTCCAGGTCGAGAGCGCGTGAGCCATCCATCCTTGCCCCGTCAGTCAACCCGCAGCCTGACACTTGGCCAGTCACTGGTACTACGAAGACTTTGTGCGCGAGCAGAATCCCTCATTTCCAACCTGCACCTTGAAAAAGTTCTTTGCCATGCTCTGGGGCGCCGTCCCGCTCCTCAATGAATGGCACGAGATGCATGAAGAGGCCTTTGATCGGTTTATCGCCTACAAGGGCTTTGTACCCGTCTGTGGTGCAATCATTCTCAATGAAGCGTGCGACAAGGTTGGTCATGAACCAAGACCATAAATTGTGCTTGGCCAAACACACATCCCCCAGGTCGTCCTCGTCAAAGGATGGAAGAACTCGGCTGGCTGGGGATTCCCAAAAGGAAAGATTAACCAAAACGAAGCCACGATTGCTTGTGCGCGTCGCGAGGTACGTCCAGTCTCGTTTATTGACCAGGTCTGATCGCAGATAGGTCCTTGAAGAGACGGGGTTCGATATCAAACCTCTTGCTATCGAGGAGAATGTCATCTCCGTCTCCATCTATAGCCAGGTCATCACTCTCTATATTGTCCATCCCGTCTCCGAGGACGTCGTCTTCACCACCCGCACACGCAAGGAGATTAGTGTGCGTATAGTGATTCTCTGTAGCTCATTTCTAAAGGTCACTAGCGTATCGAATGGTTCAATCTCGAAGATTTGCCAGGCTGGGGACGGGCGCGCGTCCCAGGCAAATTCTTTCTCATCACTCCATTTATGCAGTTCGTTCATGTCTTCTGTATGTTTTCGAATCTCTAACGCGGCTTAGGGAGTTGAGGTCCTGGGTAAGCCAACGCAAGAGGCAAATGCAACTCCAGGCCGCACAAGCACGCTCCCCAGTGATGCACTCGTCACCGCCGTCAATACCTGCCACTCCCAATGCCGTCAATCAGCAGACGAAGAAGAAGAAAGGACGGGACAAATCCAAGGCCAACAGGCGTGCTTCCGCCCAACTCTCTGGCGACTTTACCCCGTCTGGCATGTCATACGCTGGTAGTCGAGAATTCTCGAGTGATGACGCGGGTACAGCTTCACAGGAAATTGAAACCTCACAGATGAATTCCGGCGACTTCAACCTCGTCGCCATACTTGCCTCGGGCCAGTACGGTAACCGAGGGTCGTTGAGTGGGCTATCCACCACCACTACCACCACAACTCCAGGATCCTCACCAGAAGCACAACGTGCGACACCGATGGCACCTCCTGGGTTGATGCGGAGTCATACAGATTCTTCCTTGGTGCACGCGCCATCACCCAACCTCTCCTATCAGCAACAGTCGGCCATCTCCTCTAGTGCTCCAACATCTACCATACAATCCAAGGACGAGCTCGCAAGGAGAGCTCAGCAGCTACTGGATAGCTTTGCAGACGATGCCGTTCGGCAATCGCCTACGACACCATACTCGAGCGAACAAACGCCACGGCCTCGACCAGTCTCTATCCCTATCAGCGCATATCCACCTATGCCTAATCAGATACCCCATCCGTTCCAAACCTCGACAGCTCTTTCACAAGACCGGATGGTTCGGGACATTCCCTTGCTCTCTATGCCTTCCATTCCCTCTCGAAGTGGATCTTTGAACCATCCGGGACCCTACATGGGTCAGCCTCCCAACGGCAGCTTTGTTCAGGGAATGCTCTCCACCAACGGCGTCCCACCTCTACACACCAATATGCCGCCAAATCCGCATCCGATTCAATCGTATCCATATCGACCATCCAGTGTCCCCATCCAGGATTATTCGGCTCACCAAACGCCGACCATTTCATCACCTCACAATGCTTTAGCGTACAACGTGTTCAATCCCAGTGCATCATCAGCAATTAACACTACTTCGGACAAATCCCGTTTGTCTCCAGCGGCGTCGACGCCGCGAAATGTACCGCACGCGCAACAACTCTTGGCTCTCTTCCACGGCTCTCCTTCGTGATTTTTATTCTTTTTTCGCCATCGTATCTAATGTTTGTTCCATCATGTCTCTGTGCTTGGACTCGTGTATTTGTAGCCGTATCACGTCCGAGACTCACGTGTTTCTTCATTCGTCCCGTCCTATGACTGAACAAATGAAATCAAGAGTGTTATTCCCGACCGTTAGGGAGGGTCTTACCAGCCCAAATTGCTGTTCCGTACAAATTGGCGAACGAATTCTTGTGAGATTTTTTTCGCTTGTGTTAAATAAAGACTGAATTGTGATTCGCCTGCGGTTAAGCGATTGAGCACCTTCCCCCTTATTTGTCCAGATCACCAGCAAAGCCCTGGAGTCATCAAGATAGCTTCAAGAAGCTGAAAAGGGCCCGGAGAAGTTGAGGAAAGTCACATAGATGGGGGTACCACGAGAATTTTGTCCGGAACTCGAATTGTGAGTCGTGTCTGCAAACTAACGCTTGATGTAGGATTCCTCATGGGACGGATGCTACGAACAGTGATCATGGGCGATATTGGCAGAGATTGAGGGCTTACAGTCCCAAATTTGGAGTTCAGCTCAACCCCTGCTGGAAAGCCCTACATAGAACTCATCCTCGTCTCCCTACCGTCAAGTCTTATATCACCATAGGTCGCTCCGCACTCTCTCTCACCTGTAGAATTTCACGTCTCTCATCGTCGTTTGATGGGGATCCTGGAGACTCGAGGATCCTCGGGTGCATCAGCCATTGCAGTCGATATAATGAAGGCGGAGATTCCGGCCAACGATGATCTACTATCGTTTATTGCTTCCATTGAAAGCACGGTACGACCGAGATGCGCCTCATTTCATTAATATGACTGAATACAGCTCACACCGAGCGAATCTCGACATCTGCACCAACTCGCCGCTGCCGAGAGCACGCGTTCACAAGCTACGAAGCACTTGTTCCAGCTTTGGACGCTCAAGGAGGCCTATGTCAAGACACTAGGAGTCGGCATCACTTTTGAACTCTCTCGCATCCATTTCGATTTCGACACCTCTGTTCTCGTGGTTGATGGGGAGCCTTTAAATCGCTGGGGCATCATTTCATTTGGTGTATCGAGTCTTTTCAGCGATGATGTGCCCGAGAAGTACGTTGCCGCTGTCTGCTATCAGCGCGATAGTTCAGATACAGAGACCGGAGGTGTTGTCAAGTGGGTATCAGTGGCTGAAGATCAGCGACTCACGCTTGTAGACCAGCATGATCTCATCCAGAGGGTCGCTCGCGGCTTTCCTGTCGTCAATACCTCGTAGTGAACCCCAGCTTTCCAACCCTGTAGAGAGCTCGAGAATGAACCCTTGTCACAGGGAGTGCCCGATAATTCTTGCGAAGGAATGTATTCTAAGGATTTACTGCGTTTACTAAACATTGTCATACGTGGCTCGCGGCCGAGTATATTTAGGAGCTTGGTCGACCAGGCGCGAGTCTAACACGCTCCCAACAAGTCGATAGCAGTGATATAAGCCTTTTATTCATCAATTCAAGTATTATATTGGCACATGTGTTTGGCACATAGCAGGTGGTTGGAGGTGGCATCGACAGACGCTGTCCAAATCTTGGAGCTATCCACCTCTACGATGTCGACCCAAAAGTCAGCCAAGGACAAGAAATGGCACAGATTTATGAATTTATTTGGTTCCTCATCTTCACATCCCCCAACAAGCAAGAAGCGCCAAGTATACAACACGGTCAACGTTGGCCTCGACATAGTAGCCAATATCGCCGAGGGATCGGACGTTCTCGCTCCACTGAAGGCCGCTTGCCGAACAACAAAGTCGATTCTCGAAGTCGCGCAGGCGAGTTGGCAAAAGCCGCGAGGCTCCCCATCTAACAGGCACCATAGGCGACAGAGGACAACCAAGAGGAATGGGCCGAGCTAACAGGACGTGTGAAAGGATACATGTCCACAGTCGAGGAACAAATAGCGTTATTTGAGGCGTATCCCCCAGAAGACGTGGCCGTTAACGAGGCGTTCAGCCAGCCGCTCGCCCACTATGTCAAGTATGTGCACATTCCAAGTTTGTTTCAGTAGGCTGAACGATGCAGATGCCTCGAAGACATGCACGATAAGGTTATCAATCTAAAGGAGAAACGTAGCCTCAACAAGCATGCCTTTTCTAAAGCAATCATCAAAGTGAAAATTGATGCAGAGGAGATTCTTAAACTCAACCGAGACATTGAGGATCGGCATGGCCAATTCATGGTACGAGCCTCATCCGTCTTAATCACGAGTTCACTGAAGACACAGGGTGCATTGGGTCTTTTTACCGCATTGCGTGTTCAAAGCGTTGAACAGAATACCAAGTTTATCAAGGCTGGCGTTGAGGCCACCAAGGCAAACGTGGAAACCGTCCTGGCAAACGTGGAAACCGTCCTGACAGACGGTAAGACTTGAGCTTCACATAGGACATGCTTACTTAGTATTTCAAGCTGACTCCGCTGCAATACTTCAGCTGCCAACGGTAGCTTTTGTTGCATCCTCTGTCCACAGAGCCTGTCTGACAGGAACGCGCGAGGCTGTCCTTCAATCCATCTGGCACTGGGCCAGCGATGTCACATCGGATAAGCCAATATTCTGGCTCTGCGATATCGCTGGCTCTGGCAAATCCACAGTCGCCATGTCTGCAGCAGCTGCTTGGAGGAACGAGGGAGTGTTAGGTGGCCAATTCTTCTTCTCTCTTACAAGCAGCGAAGGGTCGACCATCGACAAATTCTGTTCCACGATAGCAAGAGACCTTGTCGACTACATGCCCAACCTTGCGCCGCACGTCGCCGGAGCCGTGAAGCGGCATCCTGCGTTCATGCGAAGCTCTCTCCAAGAGCAGTTCCGGATGCTCGTCATCAACCCTCTTCATCATCTCCAAGGACGTGTCATCCTCGTTATCGACGCTCTTGACGAATGCAAATCTGGATCGCAGCGAAGAGAGCTCGTCGAAATGCTTTCTACAGCTGTTAAAGAAGTGACAAACCTCAAGATATTCATGACGAGTCGACCAGACCCTGTGATCCAAGCAGTCTTGGGGTCGCTTTCAATCAAGTCCAAGCTGGAAGGCCGCCTGCACGATGTTCATCATCGGGATAACATCGATGATATTGCAACTTACATACACAAGGAGCTGAAGGGCGTGCTGCCGGAGGCCAAGAGGCTGAGACTGGTTGAGAAGGCCAATGGATTATTTATTTGGGCAAGCACCGCATGTCGAATGCTCAGTAGCGAAACTACATTAGACTTGCCGGAAAGCATCTATGATCGTCTGATTTCAGTGGACCAGACTGGAGAGATAGACGACGTTTACAAGCTCGTTTTCGAGCGTATAGACCCCAAATCCCACACAATCATGTCCAGCATGCTCGCTTTGCTGCTTGCTGCATTCGAGCCACTCAGCACCGATGACTTGGACGACATCTTCAAGAACCTTGGGCTCAAGTGGAGTTCTAGGGCACTGGTACAGAACCTAGGAAGTGTGCTCAGTGTAGACCCAAGTACACACTTGGTCCAATTCCGCCATCCTACCCTTGTCGAATACCTTGGACGGTGTTCCCTCGCCTCAGCTCCCGACAAACCCAATACACTCCATCTCGACGTGACCAAGGCGCATGGTCAAGCCGCATCATGGTGTCTCAAACGACTCATGTCGCGGACTGATGGTCTTAAGTTTAATATATGTCAACTCGAGTCATCTTTCTACCTCAATAGAGAGATTCGAAACCTCAAGACGAGGATATCGAGACTCATTCCAAAGGCACTTCGATATGCCAGCTCTCACTGGTTGTTCCATGTGGCGGAAACTGATGACACCTGGCGATCCATGGTCAAGAGGGAACTTCAACAGATTATTCAAGCTCCACACGTGCTATACTGGATGGAAGTCCTGAGCTTCACTGGGGGTGTGCCACGAGCAATAGCTGGCCTTCGAGCTATTAGACGCCACACAGGGGTAAGTCGCTGATCCAACGAATTCAACACTTACACAACAGACAGCCTGAAATGTGGGATAAAGCCAGCATGGACCAAATTCGACGGTTTATAATGACATTTTCGGTACCGATCCAAGAGAGCGCGCCACATATTTACATCTCTGCACTGCCATTTGCCCCTATAAAGTCGATATTACATCTCGAAGGTGCAAAAAGATACAGAAACCTTCTTCGTGTAGCAGAAGGTCTTGAGGAGATGTATTCTGGGCTCCCAAGTAGTCTTCGAGGTCATGAATCCGGGGTCTCCGCCGTCGGATTCTCGCCAGACGGCTCACAGATTGTGTCTGGCTCGTACGACAACACAATTCGATTGTGGGACGCGGCAACTGGTCAGGCTGTGGGAGAACCACTCCGAGGTCATGAAGGTTGGGTCCTGGCCGTCGGATTCTCGCCAGACGGCTCACAGATTGTGTCTGGCTCGGATGACAAGACAATTCGATTGTGGGACGCGGCAACTGGTCAGGCTGTAGGAGAGCCACTCCGAGGTCATGAATCCGTGGTCGACGCCGTCGGATTCTCGCCAGACGGCTCACAGATTGTGTCTGGCTCGGATGATAGGACAATTCGATTGTGGGACGCGGCAACTGGTCAGGCTGTGGGAGAGCCACTCCGAGGTCATGAATCCGCGGTCAACGCCGTCGGATTCTCGCCAGACGGCTCACAGATTGTGTCTGGCTCGTGGGACAGGACAATTCGATTGTGGGACGCGGCAACCGGTCAGGCTATGGGAGGACCATTCCGAGGTCATGAAGGTTGGGTCCTGGCCGTCGGATTCTCGCCAGACGGCTCACAGATTGTGTCTGGCTCGGATGACAGAACAATTCGATTGTGGGACGCGGCAACTGGTCAGGCTGTGGGAGAGCCACTGCGAGGTCATGAATCCGAGGTCTCCGCCATCGGATTTTCACCAGACGGCTCACAGATTGTGTCTGGCTCGTATGACAAGACAATTCGATTGTGGGACGCGGCAACTGGTCAGGCTGTGGGAGAGCCACTCCGAGGACATGAATCCGGGGTCTCCGCCGTCGGATTCTCGCCAGACGGCTCACAGATTGTGTCTGGCTCAGATGACAACACAATTCGATTGTGGGACGCGGCCACTGGTCAGGCTGTGGGAAAGCCACTCGAAGGTCATGAATTCGGGGTCTCCGCCGTCAGATTCTCGCCAGACGGCTCACAGATTGTGTCTGGCTCGTATGACAAGACAATTCGATTGTGGGACGCGGCAATTGGTCAGGCTGTGGGGGAGCCACTCCGAGGTCATGAATCCGGGGTCTCTGCCGTTGGATTCTCGCCAGACGGCTCACAGATTGTGTCTGGCTCGGATGATAGGACAATTCGATTGTGGGACGCGGCAACTGGTCAGGCTGTGGGAGAGCCACTCCGAGGTCATGAATCCGCGGTCAACGCCGTCGGATTCTCGCCAGACGGCTCACAGATTGTGTCTGGCTTGGATGACAAGACAATTCGATTGTGGGACGCGACAACTGGTCAGGCTGTGGGAGAGCCACTCCGAGGTCATGAATCCGGGGTCTCCGCCGTTGGATTCTCGCCAGACGGCTCACAGATTGTTTCTGGCTCGTACGACAACACAATTCGATTGTGGTATGCGGCAACTGGTCAGGCTGTGGGAGAGCCACTTCGAGGTCATGAAGGTTGGGTCCTGGCCATCGGATTCTCGCCAGACGGCTCACAGATTGTGTCTGGCTCGGATGACAGGACAATTCGATTGTGGGACGCGGCAACTGGTCAGGCTGTGGGAGAGCCACTGCGAGGTCATGAATCCGCGGTCTCCGCCGTCGGATTCTCGCCAGACGGCTCACAGATTGTGTCTGGCTCGTGGGACAAGACAATTCGATTGTGGGACGCGGCAACTGGTCAGGCTGTGGGAGAGCCACTCCGAGGTCATGAATCCGCAGTCAGGGCCGTCGGATTCTCGCCAGACGGCTCACAGATTGTGTCTGGCTCGGAAGACAACACGATCCGATTATGGAATACAGAAACTGGTAAGTTTAACTCGGCTCGTCTTCGAGATTGTGACGCGACCCGATAAATAGCATTAGGTGCAAAAGCGAATACCTCCGACCAGGATGATACAGAGTCTGTATATTCAGGTCTCAGCGAAGATCTACAGGGCACTCCGCTCCGAATCGTTGTGCCTGGATTCAATCAGTGCTCACTTTCGCTCGATGGTTGGGTACATTCTTCCAGCAAACGTCTCTTCTGGGTACCTCCAGACAATCGACGGGGACTAAAGTATCCGTACCGCCTAACAATTCCGACCAGTGCTCCATTCCGTGTGACGAAACTTGATTTCACTAATTTCCAATGTGGCTCCTCTTGGACAAAGGTTAGAACAGACGCGTGCTCGTGATTTGCTATGACTGGTATCACTGTATTTTTCCATATCTTTAGCCATAGCATAACGATAATCTTGACTATTGAATGATTCATTTGCCCTTGCTTTGTATTTGGAGTATTCCCGATTGTTATTCCCAACCGTTAGGGAGGGTCTTACCGGCCAAAATTGTGTTTGATGTACGCAACCACACCCGAATTCTTGCAAACTTTTCCGTGCTTCGCATTGAGACTCAATTGCATGTCACTCCTGTCTGGCGACAGCCTAAGCTATTGTGCACCTTCGCCCGCTTATTCGTCCAGATCACCAGCAAAGGCCTGGAATCATCAAGATAGCTTGAAGAAGTTGAAGAGGAGCTGGAGAAGTTGAGGAAAGTAGTAGTTAGACGCGTGATTTGTTGCCTGTTGTTGGCCGCTCTCGCTGGTGTATGCGTGCCAACTGCATTGACGCTAATCTTATAAGTCGATGCTTTATATTAACGCCATGGAGTATGGAAGGAAATGGACCTCGTCTTGGTTCGTTCTTCCCCTTGTTCCAACTCGCCCAATCGGCTCTCGGATAGAATGAATGGAAGTGCGAGTACGGAGGCGTAAAGGCAGTAGTAGATCCTGTAGACGTAGGTTATAAGCATGTAAATGCAGTCAAAGGCGCAGCCTTTGAATAGAGAGGAAGGGACGTCGGTCAGAAGAAAGCTCGAGCTCAGGGGTCTGAATGCGCATGGAAGTGAAATAAAGGAGGAAAGTCCCACCAAGGCATTGGTTAAGCATTGCAATAGACACAAGAGAAAGAGGAAAAGGCAAAGAGGTGTGAGAGGGGTAATGACAGTGAGGACCGCCTGCAGTGTCCAAGTATACGTTGTTGGATGATGAGATGGTGATTATAAGATCAAATAAGGATGCTTTTACGGTGAGAGGATAAGCTGGTGACTAGGACGATGCGGTACACGCCTGCACCAGTTTTTGTTCAACTCTATATCTATATAGCCCCTCTGCAGGTCCTACGGAGCTACTCAGGGGCTCCAAGAAGCAAAGGCTACACGAGGTAAATAAAAGGGAATTGGTGAGGGTGTGAATCGGACGAGCGCTGCCCACGTAACTGGCACGTCGCCGCACCTTCATGCCATCTGCATATGGTAGGTGACACCAGTTTTGTCTACTTTGATTCACCTTGGTGGCCTCGCCGCATCAGGTCCGAGGCTCGGACCTGACGATGTCAAGAATCCTCGTTTGAATATATCCTGGGTCGAGGATACAAAGACTACCTATGCAGAGGAAGGAGTAGAAAGAAAAACCGGGACCTGTTTTGAGTTTGTTGTGCCTGTTGTGATAAAAGTGAGTTGAGAACCGTGACATGTCTTGCGTACAGTGTTGGGTGTTGGATGTTGAAGTCATGTACAGATCCTTGAGGGTTTGATACGATACAAATGCCAATGCCAGTTCGTTGGATTACTTGGTGAATAGCAGTTGATAACTGCGTATACAGGGAAGAGAGTCGAGGGTTTAGGGAGGAAGAAGAAGGTTGGAAGTTTGGTGGAGTGTCGGATTGTTGCTTGGTGTAATTGGGGAAACGGCGTTTCGAGTGAATAAAGGCAAGCGAATAACTTGATGAGTTTCGGGGTTGCAAGGAGAGGGGCAAAGTTGAGACGGTTATGATTGGGCGTCTCCTTGAGTAACTTCCTTTGCTCCGTGTATCTTTCACCCGCAGTAGATTGTGTGCTAACGCTTCAGGTACTTGATATCTCGAGCACAGCGGAGAGTCGATGGCTCCGGTACAATGAAAATGTGCGTCGAATGGAACATGTTGAGTGCGGAGTTGGGTTAGGACACTGGCGTCAGGACTTGTCAGCCCGGCACATATGCCCTGGGTAGGTTGCCCGGGAGGCTTGTCGTTGTAGCGCTTTGTGTGTTGACCCTGTTTACTATTTGACAACTCACTCTCCCAGTCCTAAGTGAGGCTCCTTTTGGCTGTAGTTCACAGCGCTGCTGTGCTCAGGGAGGGTCTTGTCGAGTACCAGGTTTGTTCCTACGCACTTTGTCGAATGAAATTCCATTGCCAATTTCGCTTAGACATTGGCTTCCTCGTTGTCTACCACGTTCGTGTGTCCAGGGACCCAGTTGATACCGTCCATCGCTACACCTTATGCTGGAGGGTCTCTCTGTGCACGCCGTGGTTTCTATCTGCTTCACTGACGCATATTAAAATCTCACAGGCTCTGGCACGAGAGATTCTATAACTCCATCCTACGCAGATGGGGGTACCACGAGAATTTTGTCTGGAACTCGAATTGTGAGTCGTGTCTGTAAGATTGCAACTTGTTTTTCGACTATTGCACGATTCTTTCTATATCTGGTTGACAGAGAGGGCTAAGTGGCGTAAGCTCCATAGAGAGACTCAGCTACCTGAATATACAGGACAAAATTCGCGGATCTGCTTACGGTCGAGTATGCTCGGAGGGCCCTTTCAAATTTCCCCGTCTATCCCGCCAATGTCCGTGTTCGGCTTTCCGTCCGTCACCGGTGGCGAAACAAAACTTGACCACCTCCATGACTTTGGTTCTGTTGTAAAACTTCACCGCAGACTCTTACGGCGACCCTTTTTTTTTTCTACCCAATCTAATCCATCACGATGCTCGGCGGTTCTTCGATTAAAATCTTTTCTGGTGCGCAGAGGCCGTCTGGAGCGTGTCCTCTGCTAACGCGTGCTTCGCTTGCCTGCAGGAACCAGCCACCCAGATCTTGCTCAGCTGATTGCAGAAAGGTGCATTTTATCTCCAGCCTCCCCCACCTCGCCGGCACCATCTCCCCTCAGTTGATAGCGCCCATACTGAATCCCCCTGGCCTTTAGAGTAGGACTCTCCGTGTCCAAAGCAGAGATTACGAGAAACTCGATCGGAGAGGCCAACGTGCGCATCCTCGAGTCTGTGCGCGAGGACGATGTGTACATTGTCGGGACCGGGTGTGGGAACATTAATGCCTCGCTCATGGAACTTTGCATCATGATCCACGCGTGCAAGATTGCGAGCGCCAAACGTATCACTGCCGTCGTGCCACTCTTCCCGTATGCGCGACAGGATAAAAAGGATAAGAGTAGAGCGCCCATCACGGCCAAACTCGTGGCGAATATGCTCCAGAAGTCTGGATGCGATCATCTTATTGTGCGGAAGATATACTGCGCTCTATGCCGCGTACTCATGCACTCGTGTGCCAGACCATGGACCTGCACGCATCGCAGATTCAAGGATTCTTGATGTTCCGGTTGACAAGTGAGTTTTTCGGCCAGCTTGTCATGGCGGTCTAATATTCTTTGGCAGCGTGAGCTTGTCGAGGCCGCTCCCACTTCCTAAAGTGACGATTATCACAGCTCTATGCCGAACCGTCTACCATCCTGTACATTCGCAATAACTTTGACATTTCAGAGTGTGTCATTGTCTCCCCTGATGCTGGAGGCGCAAAAAGGTTTGCATTTTTATTTTCTTTCTATTCTGATTGCCACCATCTAAATTGTCTCAGGGCAACCTCCATCGCCGATAGGCTTGGCATTGACTTTGCCCTATTCCACAAGGAACGTAAAAAGGCCAACGAGGTCTCTCGCATGGTTCTCGTAGGAAACGTGACTGGGAAGATTGCCATACTCGTCGACGATATGGCAGACACCTGTGGAACGCTTATCCTCGCGGCAAAACACCTCTCAGAGGCGGGTGCTTCGCGGATAATTGGAATTGTCACGCATGGCATACTCTCTGGAAACGCACTCCAGGCCATTAGCGAGAGTGCTCTCGAAAAACTCGTGGTCACCAACACGATTCCACAACAGCAAAACGCGGCGCAGTGCGACAAGATTGAAGTCATTGACATTGGAATTGTGCTGGGCGAGGTCATTCGCCGAAGTCACTATGGTGAATCCATTAGTATGCTTTTCACAGAGGTTCCTTTCTAGAGTATCGGACCCTTTTTCCCAGCCTTTGCGAGCAATCCCCATGTCCTTGATCATTTTGATATCTACTGGCGTTTAAGCTGACATCCCTTCTGTCATTGGAGCCCTGTCCAAGCCCGTAAGCATATGGTGCGCCACATTGATTGGCCCGCGGTAAAAGGTCACTGGCGCGTGGCAATGAGTTTAACCAGCCCGCAACAAGCAAATGCAATTTTCTCTACATCGGCAATCAGTCTCGCCCTCCAGCCTCGATCGAGTGGTGTCTACAAAAAGGCTGATTCCGTGGGATCGCTCAGCGGAGCAAATCCTCCTGCCCATTGCACATCATGTCGGACGTTCCTGCACATCTACAAGGCGATGCTGAGCCAGTAAGTAGGGTTCTATCGTTAGGACCGGCTCACGAATCTAATTCTCTGCCACTAGATGACAGCGTCTATGCAAAGGGACTACGATAGGTGTCCATCCGTTCCTTTCCTCGTATGTCACTCATCCACGTCTTCTGTCGCTTATTCCATCCAGTATCCGAACCTTTCCACGCTCGACCAGTCCAACATCTTCTTTCCTGGGTACACAGCTCTTATCTACCGTGAGGGCAAGGAACACCCAGAGCCGATCGTATGTCCTCTGCTACCCTCCGAGGGCTCAGACGACGAAACGGCTTCCCGTCCGAATCTCAAGGTTGCCGTTCCGAGTGTCTTACCAGAGCTTGTCTCAGATACGACAGATTCGGACGATGACGACAAGAGTATCGAAACCCAGTCGTCAGAAGATCCTTCGCCGACTTCTGAGACTTCTCGTGACGCCGCTGCCCACCCAGGGTTTGGCGCAACTGCCAAGGGGCTGGCACTCAATTGGGGTTCCGTCTCAGACACGATCATTCAAAAGGTAGGTACATTCTCTCGTCTTCTCAGCGCCACTAGAGTTGAACGTGATCATAGACTCTCCGTTCTGCCATCCCAGTCATTGACTCTGTCGAAAAAGTCACAGTCGTTATACACGCCATGTCTGAAGCCCTCAACACGCGGTTTACTGTTCATTACGAGCATCGACCAGAAGACGACGAATGGGTGCTTGTATCAAAGGGAGGTGCTATGCAAAGCCTCGTCACATCTGCTCCATGAATGCCTTCATCCCATATACCCGCAACTGTATACCCACAACCCTATGCATTTTCTGTATTCTCTAGATGTCCGTCAAATACCTCGATGCTTCCTTCGAGGTTGAATAAACGCCACTGTGTTTCCAGTGCTTGAAGAAACAAGGGCTTGTGCTTGGGTAAGAGATAGAACGTAAACTCTGCTCCACGTGAACTTTCTACAGCGCGGTCATCCGCAAGGCGGATGGGTGGGTTACGTTGGAATATTTTTGCATAGCACGGCGCCTTGAAGACGTTATGTAGGAAATGCGCCTTGTCGCTACCGAATCCGAAATGCGCACTCGTGTAGTCGAACCTGGCAATCAAAGTCGGGGTGGAACGACCAAAAGAAAGTGACGTACCTCCAAGACGAGTTGAGAGTGAGCTCCCCTGGTAGAGGTGTGAAATCGACGCTTGCACCTTCGTCCGCTGCGCGTCTCCAGAGCCGACACACGGTCAAGAAGCAGGCCGTTTGAAAGGCATGGTCTCTTGCGTCGAGGAATCCACGACGAATCCCCACCGCTGTCATAGTGGTGTCGAGTGGCGAGGATGTAGTTGCGTTTGCCCAACTCAGCGCATTGAGCGGTTCAGAGATGGGCACGACGCCTCCGCCCCGTAACTGTAGGACGAGTGAGAGAAATAGTAGAAAGGGCATAATGGCGTACATTAAGAACGTTGCGAATCGTCGTCACAGGCGGATCTCCCGTTTGGGCCATAGCGTGCGAGCACGCCACGGCGACGAGGGCCGTTACGCAATCTTGTACACTGAGCTTGATCGAATTCGCGCCAGAAAATGACGTAGGTGCCGCTTTGTTGCATGATTGTTGAAGCGCTTTTTGAAGAGCAACAAGTTGTGGATTGGTGAAGAACAGGGTGATGCGTTCGGTCGGTGGAGGAAGTTTAGGATTACGAAGTAATAATTGGGGGAAGAGGGATTCGAGTTCATCTCGCTTCCTTGCCTCTAAATGCGTCACATTCAAGGCAGCCCGAGTGTATGTGATTGGAGGATCCGAAGAGGGAAGACCTTGATAGTGCTGTGACAGCAGACGCCAGAACCTGACTATGAACGATCCGTCACCTATAGGATTCAGACAGGTGTATCGCGAGACGTAAACGCAGACGAACCAAGCATGTGTGCCGATGTGATTCCAATGACAGACATTTTAGAGCCTTGTGGCATAGTATATGTTGTGAGGCGCATCTTGAACAACGGCTCATCGTCGCACCGTCGAATCGCTGCCATGTCGAGTGGCGACGAGAAAGACCAGCAATCTTGGATCACCGCGTCTTGAGGAAACGTGGACATGTCCATCGTATCAACGATTTCAAGCTCGACGGGCGCATTGACGAGCTTGATTGAGTATGCATTATCGGCAGCACGCGTCAAACGGCCGCAGAAAAGTGGAAAGGAAGACAAAGTCTTTGCAAGAGCATTCTCTAGTCCCGATAAAGATATCTCTCCTTTGAATAGGAATCCTGTCTCGACCTGGCGATGTGTTAGTCAGGCTATGGAGGGGGTCTAAGTTATGTCAAGCAGACAGGAAACTGGATCAAAAGATCAGAGTCGCCAAGAGCGTACAATTCATCGTTTCCAAGTACAGTAGGAAGTACTGGACGGATAAAGAGCCGTCGAAACGAGGCCATGGAGAAGTCTAAGGTCGTGGCGAGGGGATGACTCGATCGAAAGAAGGTGAGACGACGTTACATGTATCTGCGTCTACAAGGTTGCGTGGATAGTGTTGGTATGATGGTTGCGTGTCAGGTTTGATTCCTACATTGCGTTGTATATGGCTACACAAAAGCCGCCCAAATAAGAAAAATAGGGGAATAGAGAAAGACAGGATAATATGGAGTTTTTTTGCAAAAGACTGTAGTCACTTGAATGACCAGAGACGAGATATGCGTGAGTGTTGATGAAACGGCTACAAAACTCCACATAAAGGGACCGCTATCGTGGCGATCTAGCCCATGGGGATGCTTGGCATCCCAACCGGCTTGAACGCAAAGTAAGACGAGACCTCATCCGTGTCGTGAATTGCACATTCGTCGTCGGTTCCTTCACTCTCTTGCTTGTCCTCTTTGCTCGCCGGTTGTGGGCGAATGGCAGGCGACTCGTCGACGCTCGGTAGTACTGGGGATGGATCACTCACGGTACTTTGCGAGAGCGATGCTTTCATTGAGATCGATCGCATCGGAGGTTCGCTGTACGGTGTCCAGATGGGGGACGAGTTTCCGGAGAAGCGACCGCGGACGGCGTCGGTGTAAAAGCTGATTCCCACCTGCGATTTCCGCCTGTTGTAGAGCAAAGGATTTGAGTTGAGCGGTGGTCCTCTTGATGGGTGATCAGGAAAGAAGCTAAGCGTCCGAATAGGCGAAGGTCTGCTGTCGGACTGCTGCCTGCGAAACGAGGATGATTCTGGGAGGGCATGAACAGACCCGTATGCATGTGTCATGACCTGGACGGGTGTGAGGACACAAGAGTCGGTGGACGAGGACGTGGATTGCGGGGGCGGGCTTCTGTGGAGAGGACGGGGCAAAATGGCGGGAGGATCGACGATCTTGAGATTAAAACGACCAATCTTTGAAGAGGTGAAAACAAACGAGCATCCAGACTCGGGGGGCGACTGCGAAAGGGGCTGGCGAGAGCCGTGAGCGAGCGCGACAGACGAAGACACGCTCTCTACCAAACCCGGCTGGGCTTGATTTCGCGTCTGCATCGACGAGGGACGTCGTTGACGATCCAGCGCAGACAGCGCTGCCTGTATCGGGTAAAAGGGAAGTCAATGGCGGTGTCCGAATTGATGGGGCTGGCCTGAACGCACCTGTGATTCGTCTTGAGAAAATAAAATGGTTTAGGTATTGTCTGTGATTGCAGACACAATCCCCAGAATTGACAAGACTAAAGTTCGAGTGCAAGTTGGGTTGGGTTCAAGTGACGGAGATGCCGAGTGCCGAAAGCCCCACACAAAAAGGCTTGGACGCGGCGACGGCACGGATATTATAGATTTAAAAAAGACTACAGGTGCTTATCCTTGGATCTCGCCACCCGCCACTGCTGGTAAACCGCTTCATGTCCTCCATCTGCCCAGATTGCCCATCCATCTACAATCCGCAACCACGTCGCTACTCTCGAGTCAACAATCGCCCTCCGAATCTGTCCAGGCAGCGAAGATGGGTATACACGCGGAATGTGCTCAGTAAGTGTATAGTAGACACTTCCGAGCAGTATTCCGATACCAAGTCCCCAAAGCACCTGTGGAGCTGTATGGTAGCCGAGATGATATCTATTGATCCCTTGTCAAAGTTCACATCTATACCATTGTTCAAAAGCACTCACCTCGAGTAACACACTGCCGTCGCCAGCCCTGCGACTCCACACCGCACACATGCGGCCCATAGCAGGTCCAGCAAGCGAATGCCGGTTGATCCAAATTGGTGTCGATGATGTAAGTGTAGGATCATGAAAGAAGCAAAGAAGCCCATGAATTGAGAATGCGATGAGGGGAACCCGTACCCTCCGCCGAGCAGGTCTATCAACGTCCATGATCAGAAGCCGATTCCGAATTCCAGGTAACACGTACGAGACGGTCGTTCCTCTTTAATCGCATGTTTGAGTACCCAGTTGGCGGCCTCGCAACCAAACTGGCCGACCCACATATTGATGATTAGAAAATCCCGCGTGACGATACTCAGCGCCCCATAACAAGCCTATTAGACGATCTGAGCACGTTTTACAATTAACCGGAAACTACGCACCATGAGAAGAATAGGAGAGAGCGTGACGAGTGCCAACGCAAGACCTAGATTCGACGCCGGGTCATCTATACATAGTCAGAAACGTAGAAAAGTAACCTCAAAACTTACAAAGAACATGAGTCAGATCCAGCGCTTCGAGCGGAACCGACGAGTTGGTCATAGAAGGAAAGTATGCGGGTCCAAGATAACAAGGGCACCAAAACTACCTCATTATTTGGTTGATTCCGGAGTTTTATCGCCGTTACCTTCGCTACAGAGTACCTGGGAATCGGGCACACAGAGCATGAGGGGACGAAGAGTGTAGCATCCATGAAAGATCGTACTAGTACTCAGGACTGCTAAAGAGTCAAAGGAAGATGTTTCCTGCTAGCCACAGATGTATAATTGTATATTTAGCAAACATGATCTTATTAGACAAAAATTTTGATTCCACTAGATAATAACGAGAGTTCCCGCTGGAGCATTGCGGCGTACACAACAGTGACTAGTAATGAACAATGCCAACGCACCGAAGCTACCTTGTGATGGGATATGCGTACATGAGTTACCGAGCAGACGGCAAACGCTGCAAATTTACCCGCACTCACGGTACAGCGTACCGGTGTGATGGGTGAAATGTCACCTGCGAGATGGTATCATTATCTCCACAAGTGTTACTCCCCTAGTTGACACCGAGCCGGAACTCGCCTGGGTCTCCGTGCAATTCCTCCAAGGACAGAGGAGGGGCCAATGAATGTGTTGGTGGAGAGCCATTGACCCAATGACACATCCGCAAGACTATCCTGCAGTACTTCGACATCCAAATGCTGCCGATTTAGACGCAGCCATGAACCATCAGCGGTCCTATGAGAGAGACTACCTCAGAACTCTGGAAACGGCCATGAACGAGTACACGAAATATGCTCAGGCTGACCCAGTCGACCTTCCATTTGTGCTCCTGTGCAGCCAAGAGTCTGTGGGCCAAGCTTTGCTGAAGTGGTCCGATCTTTGGTCCTTTCTCTCCTCCTTGGTGACCCAACCAATTCCGTATGGAATGCTTTGACGCCAGCGTTGAACCCGCGAAAGTGCAAGAGGGAACGGGAGCAAGTACCATGTGTAGCAAGGTGCGTCTCTTTACCAATATATGATATCCTTTGATGTGAAGAAAAACATATGGAGATACTAGGTCATTCGTATGCTCACTGTAGCTTCATGACCAACTCCCCGAACCGAATGTATAATTGCTACTTTCATGCAGGCAAAAACTGAAGCACGCCACGCATGAGGAGAGGATGTGACTGTTTGAATATAATGCAAAGAGAGCCCCAATAGCCGCGATGATCCACGTGGGTAAACGTAACGCATTTTGAGTAGGGGTTGACTATTCAACAACAGCACGATATCAATGAGTTGATGCTCAATTGGGGCGTATTGCCTTGGTATAGAGATGATGGATCCTCCGCCGCCTTTGCGTGGGTGGTCCTCGCTTGACCAAGGCAATGACCCGAAGAACAAGTATCAGCAGCTTGTTTTCATTCGATAAACTGCTCAGGATCGAAAGTCCGAATCTGGAGGAGGTTCTGGATAAACTCGCCGACGCATCCTACTCCGATGCCGGCGAGATTGTGTGCGACCTCGTCAAGGTCGCTGACTACTGTAATATCGGCACCCTCAAAGACCGACTCGAGACAATTCGGCACATTTTCCATCTCTGTCGCAGCACGTTGGGCCAAATGAGGCGACAGAAAGTCGAGTCAAACATAGGAGAGATCATTGGAAGCGGCTATGATGCTTCTTTCTGGAGTGAAATTTCAGTTGTCGCTGCGTGCATTGCAGGCTATTGGCAGCTTTATTGTAGGAAAGCTCCTAGGTGGCTTCCATCCATTCTAGACCTAACACAGCTGGGGATGCGTTCATGAGGCTGGTAGCCAGTCTTACGAGTGCCCGTCGCGGCGCATTCATATGGAGCCATAGGGTGTACAAAGGCAATAGAAAGCTCTTTCTGTCCGAGCTGGTGTACTTTGGCTAGGACAGGGGGAGACGTAGGATAGTGGTCGCCAGGGTGCGAGTGCGCTCATCAATTACCGTCCATTTTTTGACCGAATTAGATATTATTTGACCAGAATAGTAGTATCCAGCGCATCAAGCGTCAAGACATTGATTTTGCCTGGTCCGTAGGAAGAGCCGGTCCAGGAGCAGAAAAAAGGCCATGGAAAAGCGAGCCACCAGTGGGCTGTAGACCGGGAAGTTGCAGATTTTATAACTTGCTACGCTTCGGCAAGGTGCGTAGCGTCCGAAGGAACGTGGTCGGAAGTAGGCCTAAGTTCCACCAGCAAATGGGGAAGACCAATGACCAAATTACGATTAGGTCACTGCAATCAATGTTAGGAATATAAGTGTATGAATCCGTAGTTGAGATAAGGGGCTACAAGTGTTGGGACTGATGAGGACATAATTTCTTGTCAGTATATTATCAAAGCCCAAGTTGACATCCGGGGCGTTCGTGGTTCAAGGGTAGAATTGGTCGTTGCCATCTGTACATTCGACTAGATCAGGGTTCGAGTCCCTGCGAACGCAACTTTTTGTGATTTTCGCGCTGGCCAACCGACCTACCTTTTTGGCGGAGCTTTCTACCGTCTCAGAATATGTTCCAGGCCACCATGATATACCGTGACATGAAGGAGTGTATCATTTGAACTCCAACAATTTTCACTCCGGGAATAAGCCACAGAAATCTATGAATTAGTGTCATAGGTCACCTTATTTGATACGTGCTGAATAGCAGGTCAATGTGTGCGTGTCTAGTCGATACTGGAATGGCAACGACCAATTCTACCCCTGAACCACAGACGCGGATTATGACTGTGAAGGCTCAATCAACCATAATACACAATTATTTCTCATATTAAATCGAAACTTGTATTTAACCGACAGAAAATAGTACCGTCGCGCTCAGAATCGAGGTTTGGGAAGGCTCGCCTCTCCCGCTCGCCCACACATCGCTTTCGGTCACGGCAAAGAATCAAGATATCATTTTCGCCATGAATATATGGGTAGTAAATAATAATCCTACAAGTAACTCTTATATTCTCTTCCCTTGTCGTGTGCGTCTGCCGTGCTCGTATGGGCTCGAGGCTGCGGACAGAGTATGCATATCGCTTAAAATGAAGTACCTCCGATTCCTTTCGCTCAGTAACCTTCGGTCTCCGATTTACGCCTCAGCCTGTCAGGCCAACTCGTCTTTGACCAAGTTTCCAACCTTTGCTACTCAATCTCGTCCTTGACCACTCGAGTTTGCTGCACGATTTCTGCTGTCCTTCCTATTAATGTCCAGATATTTCTTTGGTCGGTCAGCCGGCAAGCTCTGCCTCATGGTAGGGGATCTTCGGCCAAACAAGGTGCTTCTCCTTGACCTTGCCTAGTTGCAGTCTCCGCCTCCTTTTTTTTTCTTCTCCTCCCCGGGTTGGATTTCTTTTACGATCTTGACGACCTTTCACGCTTGAAGCACTGGATTTGCACCCTCTCTAAGCCCCCGGCAGCCTGGCAACATACACCATCACATCTTTGCCCCTTTCCCCCTCTTTTCTTCGGCGCCTGGAGCACTAGAGTCCTGCAAATCACTTTCTTTCTTTTTACTCTCCTTTTTCACGACGCAAGACGTACACAATTTGACGATACATCATGACCCTCGCCGCCGTACAAACTACAAGGACGTTCCGCCAATTCCGAGTCGCCGTCTTTGGTACGCTAGACTGGACCATATGGACAATATTTGCTAACATTGATCTCAGGCGTCTCTATCTTTCTTCGTCTAGGTTGGGCATTCCTCCTCGCCTTGACCGCATTCTCATTAACGACCCTCGTGGACAAGCGACATCGTGGGTTCTTGTTCTTGTTCGACCTTGTTTGGACTCTGACTCCCCTTTGGATTGGACAGAGATCATCACATTGTACTTGTTCGCCGCAAACAACGCTGCCTTTGTCGCCATCGTGCTGGTTGGCACCTTCGAAGCGTTCAAGTTTGGTATCGCTTCATGGACATCTCGTGTCGGTGTTGAGCTCACCTGGCTAGCCCTGTGCTGGATTGTCGAGACGGGTAGGTGATACCTCTGAACTTTGGGTGTTATGCTGACAAGCGCGTCAAGCCGGAGCAGTGACCTTGACAATTTTTCATCCGACATTTCATTGCGACACCATCATGCGTATCTACGGTGACGCGACGGGCGTCATCTTTGGATCGACGCTTCCCGCGTCGTCGATCCGTTCGACCACTACTCAAGAGGCCACCACGTGCAAAGTGTTCAACCAGATTACGTTTATTGGCTCTTGGATCACTGTCGGACTTTGTGAGTACAATCAAACGCCCCCTGGTTTCTGTTCCGCTCATGTCGTGTAGCCTTGCTTTATTTGGCCTACTTTGCGTTGCTCGCCTTGTCCGCGTCTCGAAGGAACCGCCTCGTCTGGCGGACACCTGTCAACCGATTTGATTGGTCCATCACTTCCGAGCCAGTCATGCCCAACTCGCCCGACATTGTCTACCCTGACATGATCGAACGTCCCCAGAACCCGCACCTTTCGAAAGATTGGAACGACTCGATGACTTCCCTCCCCCCAGTCTTTGTCAACCCTTTCGAGTTCAAAAAGGCTTCGTTTGACTCTGCCGCCACCAAGTTTGAACCCCTGGGTCCTCAGTACAACTTTGAGCCCATGGACCGACATCGGGTCATGGCACAATATCAACCTGCCCCGTACCCGTCTTATCCCGAACCAGTTGTTCTTGCCGACGAGGCTCAGCCCAACACCCAGCGACACTCGATTCTGGGGTTAGAGGGCATGGACGTTCAATCGAACCGGAAGTCGAAACCGACACTCTCCATCTACGTACCACCTCAACCATCGCAGAAGTTTGTCCCAATCGGGGTGGCAGAGGAAGGTTACGACCGAATTGGACGCGTGATGAGCATCATGGTCGCGTCGCCGCAATCCCTCGAGATGAACTCGCCAAATTCGCCTTCCGAAGGTCCATGTGCGAAGATTGGACAAAGAATGAGTCGTCCGTTTGCGTCGCCTATTAGCTCGGATGAGTCGCATGCAACGTCTGTTGGCAAGGAGAATGGTTCAAGCACCAAAGGAACTGTATCGCATCATTCCTTGTACACAAAGAGCCACGGTACAGAAGGCCACGACCTGGGCCTCGTTCAGACGGTCGAGGCAGCGAACGGGTACCCTGTCATCCAGCAGACACCAAAGCGCCAATCAACACTTGTCAGACACGACTCGCTGACGATGCGTATGACGATGCGCTATGCGCCGCAACCAGCCGTCCCGTCCTTCCCCCAATCAGCCGTTCTTCCTGCTCAGATCCAAGGGCCTCAATCACTCCCACGAACTGCGCGTTCTGCTAACCGAGGATCTGTCCTTGTCAAGCATCAACGGTCATCAAGTGCAATGGGTGCGCTCCAACCACCGCCTAGAGTACCCGTGGGGACGTGGGCACCTGGCCCATCTTCGACCTCCCTTGCTGACCGTGTGCAACTCCAACGGCCTCCGAGTGCTTTTCACTTGCACATTCCGCCTCCACCTACGTACTCACCTGTGACGGCGGCAAAGCACTCGCATTCGCCAGCAAGCTCGATTTCACGGTCTTCTGCACCGGCTACCCCTACCAGGCACTCCCGTGCACATTCGTCTCCTGATTCGGCGTATAACGGAAGCTTGCTCGGTGGTTCGAACCAATCCCAATCGCGGTCGTCGTCGGTGGTGTCGACAATGCAACATACGTCGCCGACGGTCGTGCCACCGATTCCCGCGTTATTGAATGCGCTTTCGCCTGTTCTGCGAGACTCTGGCGTGTTCCAATATCCGAACGGGACCCTTGAATCGCAGCAATACCAACAGCAAGCGCCGTCTCTGCAGGCAAGCGCCGTCCGCAGTCATGCGTTCCTGGATGACAATCCGTTTGGACTTGGAAGCAATGTGACGACTCATACACCGGATCGACAGTCATTTGAGGGGATAGCCAAAGAATTTGCGGAGGAGAAGAAGACGAGACGAGCCAGTCGGTTGCGAAAGTCTGCTCCTCGTTACTAGATTGTCATAATGGACTTGATGTATCATAGCACTCGTTGTCATTTCTAGCATTTTTTTGAACACCTTTTTTACCTGTTGAGAAGGGTGGCGGATCCAACCTGAGTGACGGAAAATGAGATTGGCTGGATAAGGTAATGTTGAGGGGGTGGCGCATCTGAAGCCGCACGGATCTTTGGGGGGTTCAAGACCCTGAGAGAAAATGAACGGCGGCTATGGCCGGCCGTCTCACATGTCAGCACCTCGAGTCTTGTACTTGGGTGTATAATAATCCCGCAGTAGGAGCGAATTGTTCATCCGCTTGAGATGAAAAGCGGCGGCTAATCGCTGGTATTAGACTGAAACGGTTACGTTCAAAAAGGGCGGGCTAGACTTGCCAGCAACAGAGTAATCGGCGGAGACCAGGGGTGAGAACTCAGGAAAGACAGGTGCCTTGATGGCCTTCGTTTGGTCGGGTCGGGTATACGGGTACTATAAAACGCGGATATTTGCCCTGGGCCCTTTACATCTCCCAGAAATCTCTCCTTCCTTCGTGCGCTCCCAACCATCGCGAGCGATCCTCCGTTGTATGTGGCATTGAGGCTTCTCGTGCTTCTAGTCTAATTGCTGATCGTCTTTCTTTATATAGGGTTTACATCTTCATCATCGTTGCCATTGTCAACAACAAAAGCACAACACTTACCAAATCCTAACCGCCAACTTACCATGCGCTTCTTCGCAATCATCCTTACCCTCGCTGCTGCCGCTATTGCAGCTCCCGTCCCAGTCGCTGAGCCGCAAGTACCCGACGCGACCACGACTGCCGACGGTGGTGTATCCGCTAATGGAGCCTGCAGCAACGCCTGGGCATGCGTTACCTGGTAAACTGCCCATCTGGGCCTCGTCTGTGAACGATTGGCCCATCTTCTCGGACTCCTTGCCACGTTGATGCCACTGCGTCTATGTGAAAGTGGCCTAATATATCCTTATCGTAATCCAAATCCACTCGTTTTATCCTCTGTTTCACTGTTGAAATGTACTTTTTTCTTCTGTTGGCCGCTTGAGCCCCCTTGTGTGTCGACAGGCAACAGTCGTTGCCAGCTACGGCTCTGCCTCTCAACCTGGAGCGGATACTCTAAGTGTACCTTTCCCTTTGATAATACTCGGATATAGTCCCAGCTTTGTTGATTCCCGTCACCGGAGAGTTGCGTTTATGGGTGGGAATTCAAATGGGAGAGGTGGTGCCTTGATGGCTCCCGTCTGCTTGGGTCGGGGTGATGCGGACTATAAAGTCTGGGAAGTCCTTTGGATCTTGGTCCCTCTTTTCCTTCTCCTTTCGCTCCCCACCCATCGCGAGCTATCCTCCGCTGTATGTGCCTTTGAGGCTTCTCGCGCTTCTCATCTCATTGCTCATCATCTCCCTGCCCAGGTCTTGAATCTTCATCGTCGTCAGCGACAAAGCCTACCGACCTACAAAAGCTCCCCGAAACCTAACCGCCGATTCACCATGCGTTTCTTCGCCGTCGTCCTCGCTCTCGCTGCTGCCGCTATTGCAGCTCCCGTCCCCGTCGCTGAGCCGCAAGTACCCGACGCGACCACGACCCCCGACGGTGGTGTATCTGCAAATGCTTACTGCGCCAACCCCTGGACATGCGGCAGCTGGTAAACTGCATATCCGGGCATCGTCTGTGAACGATTGGCCCATCTTCTCGGACTCCTTGCCACGTTGATGTCACTGCGTCTATGCGAAAAGTCATCTAATATACCAGTCATCTAATCCTAGTCCACTCCTTTATTCTCTGTTTCTTTACTGTTGAAATGTAGTCATCTGTTTGACCTGCCTCGTGTATCGATAGCCGCGACACGATATGACTACCATCGTTAACAGACGCTCTATGCCAGCACGCTGCTAAAGCCCGACTTGGATTGGACACTTTTGTATACTACGACCGGATCGTTCCTTTAAGCATAGAGACGGAAGCTGGTTGATCCGGTCCCGACTTCGGATAAGGTCGCGTCCATTATTGGGTAAGAATACGAATGACCGGGGGTGGGAGAGGCCCCGAAAGCGGAACATATCCAAGTTGTAATCCAAACTTGGTGTTCTAGCTTCTGTTTTCGTTGTTAGATTGACATCCTTGCGTTGGCTGTTTGAGCTGCTGCCTCTTGTGTCGATAGGTGGCTGCGATCCTCCTTGGATGCCAGCAGGTACCTAAACACGACCTGGACTGTATACTATGAGCGTCTTTAAGAACCCTGTTGATCGCCAACGCTGGAAGGTCGAACCCAGGGTGTCAAAGGATCCCGAGTGAGAGGCGGGATGTCTTGATAAGTTGCTCCTGGTCGGTATGAGTAATGCGGACTATAAAGCCAGAGTATCGGTCTGAGTCTCTCTCAGCATCCTCTCTTACCCACCGTGAGCCATCTTCTCTTGTACGTGCCCTGGAGATTCTTCGTTCCTCTCTCATCATCCATCTTCGTCTCTAGGTTAAGATCTTGCGAATTATCTAAAGTGACAAAGCGTACAAACCTCAAGGCTTACGAAAAAACCAAACACCAACATGCGCTGCTTCGCCATCGTCCTTGTTCTCGCCGCTGCCGCTATTGCAGCGCCCGTACCCGTCGCTGAGCCTCAATCTCCTCCTGCGGGGACGACGACCTCCAGCGCGGGTGGATTCACAGGGTGCGACCTCCCTTGGATGTGCTACAATTGGTAAACTGTTCATCTCGGAACGTCGGCTACACACGTTTTCTCAGACTCGTCGCTTGTTTGATATCACTGCACCCATGCGAAGAGTCATGTTACCGAATACGACGTAGCCATCTGATTTCAATTGTCCATCGTTGTCCCATGAAATGTGATACCTCTTGTCTGAGATGTTTCTTGATTCGATGGCTGCAATAAATCTCTTTAAAAGACGCATCTGCCAATGTCTGTAGCTCCCAATTCCTTGCAAGAGTGTACCATAGCCACGCCTTATCCTTCGGATAATGCATGGATATAGTGAGCTGCTTGTCGATTACAAATACTGGAGCATTATCCGAGAGAGAGAGTAAGAGCGAACGGATTGATACATCGGCCTGCGGTCCAAGTGTGACAGAAGCGGAATGCGCACGACCCAGAGAAACACGACACGCCCTTCTGCTGCCTTTGCACTACAGTAAGTTTTATCACTGAACAAGATTACCAAATATTGTCCATATTGATCAAGTTGCCGCGCCTTCCAGAGATTGCATTGCGAGTTATGGCCATTCCAATACAGTTCGGACATCTGAACAATGTTCATGATAATATTCTCTTTCCATAAAACTCTCCAGACATGCTACAGCGAAACGACGATGATCGGGAGTTGTCCTTGCCTTCTGGACAACTTGTCTGCTAGGCATCTGTATAGGGTTGCAGTAAACCTGATCATGACGCCTCGAATTTTGTAGTCTAGTCGAGTCGTTCAATCTGAATATGCGAATGAGATCGAGACGATCAGCGGTACTCCGAAAGGAAGTTATTAAATGTCTATAAATATTGAATTAGCGTAATGACTATTTTCATATTTGATTTGGAGATCCAACTAGACTACAGAGCCGAGGCGTGTCCCGTCGGATCCCGACGCTTGGTCTCTCCGCTCCGCATGCAGCGGGCGCATCGGTCCTACACCTTCTGTGAATCAATTTTGATGTATCTCTTGACAGTACAACAATAAAATGGGTCCAAAGCTGGATTTGCCTTCGTTCTTCCAGATGCCCGCCACCTCTGACGGTAACTTGTTCGCCATTTATGTTGAATAACATCCCGCTAGCAATCAAATTAAAAAGGGCTGCCCAGACTGCCAGGGCAGAGCCGGCGGAGACTAAGACGAGGTGCCTTGATGGCTCCGTCTTGTCAGGTCGGGTGATGTGGGCTATAAAATCAGGGCCTGGTTTTGGACCTTTGGGTCTCTCAATCCTCTCCGTTCCTTCTTGCTCTCCCCCATCACCGCGAGCTATCCTCCGCTGTATGTGCCCTCGAAACTTCTCGCGCCTCTCGTCTCATTGCTCATCGTCTATCTAGGGTTAAAATCTTCATCCCCGCCGACACAGCCTCTCAAATCTGAACCGTCAATTCACCATGCGCTTCTTCGCCGTCGTTCTCGCCCTTGCTGCTGCCGCTATCGCAGCCCCCGTGCCCGTCGCCGAACCTCAAGTACCCGAAGCGACCACGACCGCCACTGGAGGTGCAACTGCAAATGGATGCTCCAACCCTTGGACATGCGGCAGTTGGTAAACTGTTTATCTAGGCATCGTCTGTGAATGATTGCCCTTGTCCCCTTGCATGGACTTCTTGCCCCGTTGACTCCATTGCGGCTATGCAAAAATACATCTAATATATGTCTTCTAATTGCAATTCACTCGTTTTTTACTGTTGAAATGTACTTGTTTCCGTATCGACTGTTTGAGCTGTCTCGAATTGGTAGCAACTACATAAACTCGTTTCAAGCGTTTACGAGACGCATCTGTCAATGCCAGCATGCCCCTAACGCCCAAGTCGGGGCGTCTATCAGCAAAAGCTCGTATGTGGACGCTACTAGTCGCGACTTGCTCATATGAGGGCTCATATACTCGGGCTTTCAACGACCTACTTGATGCATGATTGTCGTCTCTCCATGGATTCCTCTCAGCCCACGCCGCGAGCCCCAGGGCCTCCGACCCAGGCCGCCAACCACTGGCCATAACGAGCTCTTAGATAATTTCTAAACGAAGTAGCAGGCCTATTTCGCGTTGATCACTCGCTAATATGATATTCTGAACCCCTCGTCTCGTTACCAGTCAAATCTCGAGAAGTTTGATACCAGTACATCAAACGATTGTATTTTATACTAATAAAATCCAGGAAATCTGCCTGTGTTCTCGCTTGCAATGGGCAAAAGGATATGCATACGCTTGCTTGACGATTGAGCTCTTGGGTAGGAACTAAAGATATAATGAATATGCTGCATTCAGGTTACTATTCACCCGTTCAGGGAAGCACAGAAGAGCAAGGACCCGCCCGACTGCTCGCTCAGCAGTGCAAATGCTCGTCCATCCTAGCCTATACCACGATCCAATCAATGCCGTGTATATTCAAGCATATTCCGCATCATAATTGCCGTCGTTGCTTCTCATGTTATTCAAAAAAGGACCAATGAATCCGCTGATGGTCACAACGGATACAGCGCGTCGAAACTTCTCTGATTAACCCATTCCTACCTGACAGGTAGGGTCGGGCCTCTCACGAAAGGTGTAGATTGGCTGTTTTTATCTTGGCTGTTTGAGTTAACTCATTAATTTACTCCGCAACATGAATCAACTGCGATCATCACTAGACGCAACTGTCAATGCCAGGACGCCCCTCTGGCTGGCTGGCCTTGGGGTGTATCCCCTATTGTATTATCGCCACCCCTTTATAATGTCCGGATATAGTAAGATGCTTGTTGATCCCGAACGTCGGAGGATTGTACCCAGGGGTGGGAGAATATAAACGGAACCGAGGGAGGATTGATTGATGGGCGGATGAGCTAGGGCCATCACACACAAGCCAAGACAGGTAAAACCCGTGGCATCTATAAAAGTGGTCGGCCTGTGGATAACCTGTCCTTCAGCAACCGCTGTCGCTCTTTTCGCCTGAAAGTATGTTGGCTAGCCCGTCGACGCCCTAGCAGTAAACTCGCTTACTGAGATCACTCTAGACAAACACTACAATATAAATCAAATCATGCGTACCGTCGCTATTCTTCTCACCCTCGCCGCCGCTGCGATAGCTGCGCCCATCCCACAAGAGACCACCAGTGATGTGTCTGCCCCTGCAGCAACCACGACGGCTGCACCAGGTGGTACTGGAGCAAACGATGTTTGCCGTATCATCCCGTGGCTCTGCGGTAGCTGGTAGACGTCTCTGCCTATGCGCTGCCTTACAATACTCGGACTCTCCTACTCCATTACACTCGTTTATACATATACTTTTCACTCTAAAAGCTTGTGTGAATTTTCAGCGCTCACATAAGCGAGCCCTTTTTGGACGCTCGTGTGAATTTTCTCGCTAGTCCGAGACTCAACTGTCTGTCTGTGTCAGCCCCCGAGTTCCGGCAGTGGCTGGTCTGTCATCTGTTGGAGCCGAAGCCGGCAACCCATCCGGGCGCAGCGGATCGCTCTGAGTTTTATAAGCGTAGCCACCCGATGATTCACAGTAACGGTTTGGTCGGACCATCATGTCTTCTCGTCCGTCTACAGAGCTACACGTAGACCATTCGACGCTCGTCAATAATTCCCCGCACGGTGGACCGTCCAGAGTCGACAGTCTAGACCTCGAAGCGCATATCCCAAAGCTCATGGACAGCATAAAAACAAAAGGTGGCATAGAGACAGTGCAAGATGCAGACGTAGATCAAGAAAGCCGTCAGCTCGAACGTCGTACGAGCGCCGTCAATGATGCATGGCCCTCTGCCGAACTCGCAGAGGATCCAGCGCTTGCGATGGAAGCAAAGAACGAGAAGTCGGATTTATTCCTCGTTACATTCGACGAAGGCGACCCGCTTAATCCAAAGGTGAGCCCCACGGATATCCCTCCTATTAGCCTACCAATGCTGACAAAACATCTCAGAACTGGTCAAGATGGTTCCGATGGTACCTAACCTTTGCCTCTTCTCTCCTGGTCCTCAACGCCTCTTTTGCATCGTCGGCACCTTCAGGCCTCATCCGCACCCTCATGTCCGAGTTTCACATGTCACAAATCGAAGGGACGCTCACTGTCTCCCTCTTTATTGGTACGTCATGTCTCTCTCGTAGTTGGTCCGAACTGACGCGACCTTTTGGAACGATTAGCCGGCTACTGCGTCGGTCCGTTTGTTTGGGCGCCGACCAGTGAGAGCATTGGTCGTCGACCCATGTTCATCGTCGGCTTTTTTGGCTACTTTATCTTCCAAATTGCCTGCGCACTCGCCCCGAACACGGCCGCCCTCCTCGTGTTTCGATTCCTGTCTGGCTGCTTTGCGGCCTGTCCATTGACCAACTCGGGTGCAGTCTTAGGTGACATGTGAGCTATTTTCCTTGTGCGTCATTGGCCAGAGCTGATAGTGACTTAGATGGGATAATGAAACTCGAGGTTCCGCCACAGCCATCTTTACCCTGTCTCCTTTCGCTGGACCCGCCATTGGTCCTATCGTTGGAGGCTATATTGAGCTCTCAGGCATCAAGTGGCAGTGGCTTTTCTGGATCCTCACCATCTTTGTACGTCCCCGAGCCACCGGCCCTTCGAATTGTGTCACTGACCAATGGTTTGTAGTCTGGTGTATGCTGGCTCATGATCCTCTTCACCATTCCTGAGACCTACGGACCTGTCATTCTCGTCAAAAAGGCCAAGGCCCTCCGCAAGTCCTCTGGCGATTCACGGTACAAGGCTGCACTTGAGCTTCAAGAGGTCAGTATGGGGAAGAAACTCGGACGCATTCTCGGTCGTCCCTGGAAGATCTTCTTCTTTGAGCCGTAAGTCCTCTCTCATCACCACGTACATGAACTAATACAATAGTCTAGAATGTTGGTCATTATCACCCTTTATATGAGTGTGAATGCCAATATAGGATTGAAAAAAAGTCCCCACCTAATCGTCTGCTAGTTTGTCTACGGCCTGCTCTATCTGTTGTTCTTGGCCTACCCAGTCGTCTTCATCCAGGGCCACCACCTCAACGCGGGCGAATCTGGCTTGACATTCTTGCCCATCTTCCTTGGTGGTGTAATTGGAGTGATTCTTGTACGTCTTTCTTTTTGATCCGCCATCCAGGGAAGCCAACATTTATTCGCAGTACCTTTACATCTACGCGCCCATGTACACCCGTGTCTCTCAAGCAAACGGTGGCAAAGCTTCTCCAGAAACTCGACTTCCCATGGCCAAAATCGGCGGTCCAATTCTGACCATTTCCATGCTCTGGTTCGGCTGGACGAGCTATCCGCACATTTCTCTGTGGGCGCCCGTTCTTGCAGGTTTAGGAGTTGGATTATCTATTGTGCTCCTATTCTTGTCATTGTTCAACTATATCATCGACGCCTATCTCCCCGTAGCAGCCAGTGCGCTTGCGGCGTCGACAGTCGTCCGAAGTGCATTTGGGGCAGCATTCCCAGTACGTATAGTTCCCTAATATGGATCTAAGACATGACTGATCGCATCTCTAGTTGTTTGGAAACCAGATGTACGTCCGTTTGGACCCACGGATTGCGTCGACCGTCTTGGCGGCCATCACACTCCTCATGGTCCCCGTACCGTTTGTGTTCGAAAAGCTTGGGCCGAGGATACGCAAGAGTAGCAGATATGGTCTTTCCGACTAGACCTCGCCGTTTGCAAGTGGGCCCTCGTTGGAAACTTGCCGCTTTCATTCGAAGACGTGAAGGAGAGCATGATGGATTGATTCGGAAGTAGATTCAAAAAAAGCAAAAAGCAGGTATGGCATCACCGACTGGACACCCAATATCAAGGCCGCAGATCCTGTGGCATACACCTCATTAACGATACCTCACAAAGTACATGCATTACTGTATCCAATCTAGAAGCCTAGAATCGAGATAATTACACGAGACGTTGCCTCTTTCGGCTTTCCCGATTTGTCGAAGAACTGCGTCCGGACATGCACCGGAGGCGAGGCAACTACGCCGGTAGCTGTGAATGATGAAACCGGGAATTGTTCAAAATAGACAATTTGAGTCACCACCGGCCGTTGAAACTGAGCGTTGCTTCGGCTAACAGGAACAAAGAGGGCTCCAGGCTTGAACTCTACTACGACCGACGCCGTTGGACCCTCTTCCCTCGTTTTCTCTCCCACTCTCTAGCAAGCATTCCCTTGGGGTATTTAAGAATCCCACCAAGCCTCACAATCCTTTACCGTCTCCAGACTCTCTAGACCGTCCCCTCCGAGTCCTCGTCGAAAAGCAAAGCAGAATGCTCGTTCTCCGCACTCTCCCACTCTTTGTATTCCTTGGACTCAGCTCCAGCGCGTCTGCTCTCGTCGCCAGCAGCTTTGAACGCCGCGACGGCGCTGTCGTCGGCGCTGCTCACGGTGTCCATCGTCGCCACGCTCACGCTCCTGTTCTCCCTCGTGCAGCAGCACCTCTTGCTCAACCAGACGCTGCTCCAGCTCCCGTTTCACCTGCTCCTGGCCATGTCCTGACCCGCAAGTCCATCGCGGAACGACGTGCTCTCCGTCAAAAAAGATGTGCCGCCCGTGGAACGCCTTCGTCTAGTGCAAGTCCGAACGTTCCTACAGACGTTCCGGTCAATGTCGGAAACAACCCGATTCCCCCACCGCCCGCGCCGACCTCGACGCAGCAAGCACAACCTCAACCTCAACCTCCCTCGAATTCCGGTGGCGATACGTTCACAGGCCAACTCACGTACGTCGTCGTTGCCAAGCACTTCATGTGAAAGATTAAGACTGACACCTTCACAGCTTTTACGACATTGGTCTCGGAGCTTGTGGTTGGACAAACAATAACGGCGAGATGGTCGCCGCTGTCAGCCATCTCTTGTACGACGGTTTTGACGGATACTGGGGTACCAATCCAAACAACAACCCAATCTGTGGCAAAAAGGCCGTCATTCATTTTGAAGGTAAAGAAATCACGGTCACGATTGTTGACCGCTGCGAGGGATGCGCGTTGCACGAGTGAGTACTTTCATATGTCATTGGAGCCATATACTGAGACAATGCGCGTAGCGTCGACCTTTCTCCGACTGCGTTCAACCTCGTCGCCGATCCCAACCGTGGCCGTCTTGACGGAGCCACTTGGCACTTTGCCTAAACTACACCAACTAATACCTCTCCTTTACATCGTCGTCCTCCTTCACGCTCTTTACCGTCGTGCTCTGGACGACACTTAGTATACCACCGGTTTCCTCTGTTTCTCTCTTTCCGACTTGCGACCAGCTGACCATTGGCGCTCAAAACAACCTACTCTTGGTAGTAGCACTTGTCTTGTATTCGTTTTCATGGTCGTGTCCTTGGACGCGTCGACGGCTTGTCGTCTGTTATGATGCTCGTGCACGGTCCACGGGTCTGATCCTTCGTGCATAGTCCACGAACATACTCTTGATTATCAATTCTTGCACTGTAGTGCATGGCTCTTCATTCTTGAATGTAGATACTTGATGTCTGCAACGAGCCCATTGTTGAGAATACGAATTTGAGAATTATAAAAAAGTTTCAGGAGTCACGTTGAAAAATGTTAGTAGCAAAACCACAGCACCTAGGATTCCCGCGTGGTCCCCCACCGTGGTACTAACTAGGCGGCACTCTGGTTAACTGCGCAGATCGGACGGGATGCGGTGCTTTCAGAGTCCTATGGCCGTGGATAGTATCATTGTTCCGCACTTGACTATACTGAATAAAATATGAAAAATTTGATGCCATAAACGTTGCCTGAGTACTTGGATGCATTCTTGTACCGTGCAATGTTTGTACTCTATACACACTCTTCGTTCAAATGGTTCATAGCCGACCATAGTCGACTCGAGTGTGAACCAGGGCCGCAGCCAGGTGGCACTTCATTCGACGAACTTCCGTCCGTGGTACCGTATGGTCCTCTGCCCGGATCACACCTCGATTTCAATTAGCGAGCATATGTCACGCTCTAAAGCATCGTATTCTGTGGCAAAAGCGTACATTACACGACCCCAAAATATCTCTCTTCGTGAACACGAGGTTCGCAGACGTCCATCCGAAGCATGGGGTCCGAGATATTATGACAAATGCTAGATAGGAACTTTCCAAGTGTGGTATCGTAAAGTATCCCATCCATGAGGCCGTCGAAAGAGAGAGATAGCGGCGGGCAGTCGACTCGACTCACGTCGGGGGACTTCTATCAGATGGATAGCCATCGTTCGTACAATTGCTTCGCAAGCGCAGGTGCGCCTGAGAGCACATAGAGTAGTGATAAGTTAAAAGCGGCTTCGGGCCCAAACCCTGGATCCTATGGCACCCAGACGTCAGTCCAAAGAAGATCAAGGACAAAACTTGATTCGCGTACATCCGGATGTGTCAATTGCCACTCTTCTGCCAAGTCGAGCACACGATTATAGTGATGCGCGGCAAAGGCCCCCAAATCTACCACGGAAACCACACGTTAGAATCTCGTCTCCATCGCATGTCGAGGCACGCACTCAGTTGATGGAAGAAGCGACCAAAGTTGTATTCGACCTCTTGTGTCGCGAGGTTATCCAGTCCCTTGTTCTTCCTGTACTCCTCCAAATATGCCGCCGCCTGCGAAATGCATTGAGCGGAGAGCGAGGTGGATCATGAAACACACCTGAACAATGAGCTGTTGTCGATTGTCCGCTCTCCTCCCTTGTGATCGTCCGAGAATGCTTACGGCAAGCCCGAGGCAGATAAGTGGGTCCTGGGGCGCGAGCGCATGGGCCTCAAACATGTAATCTACCAAAAATGTCAACATTGGCAAATATCGCTTGCGTATATGCACGCGTAAACCGAGCAACGTACACAGTGCGCCATGGTTGTGCTTCGATGCATTGAGCATCGAGCCCTGGATATACCAAGCGATGGGTGAACGTTTCGTAGGAAGCTTGGTTGGTTCTCGTGTCGTCGCCTCTTCGGAATTGTCCGACTCGTCCTCCCCATCGTCTTCAGGATCCTTTGGACCACGGATGGCCGTCCATCCTCCGCGTCTCACGCTCCATTTCAGTTGTACTTCTCCCTTGTTCGTGTCCTCATTCGGGCCACCCTCCATGTCTTCATCACTTGAGCCTTGCCGCTGCTGCGCTCGTCTCGTGGAAATGGCCATGTCCCAGATACGGTTCATTCGAAGGATCCATTTAGATAGATTTCGCTCGATGAACGCGTCGGTTCCTCGTAACCCAGGAGGAAGGCACGCCAAAAAGATGCGCATAGGTTCATTGTTGAATTGGAAATCCGTCATCAAAGCCCGTGCAACTAAAACCATTTCCTCATGGTTTCGCGTGTGAACGGTGATTGCTACGCGAGCGTATCAGGGTCTGCTTGCGAGCCGTCAATAACACGCACCGAGCTGGGCAATCAAGAGAGAAAACCGGGCCACTGGATCCAGTTTGAGTGTGAAGATGTACGATGTCGACACGTGCTTGAGTATTTCCAATGCGTACTCCGCCTGGCCACGAGAGGCTATCGCAAGACTATACTGAAAGAGACGTCAGGGAAAGACACAATGATATCCAAATTACTCGCCTTGACGATAATCTCGACCCAAACCTGGAAGGAGAGATTGCGATACGAGGTGGGACGTATGTTGCGATATTTTTGCTTGGGTCTTTCTAAAGAATAGTGTCACATTTCATACCAGTGACCGTTTGGAAAGACTGACCGGTAACGGATTCTATCTCCGCTTCCAACCTGGATGCCATCGACTCTTCCTGTGCCTCCAGACCCTTGAAACGACTAGCTTTGGTCCGTACAGCATACTAGAAACAAGCATGAGCAGCTTGTTCAAACTTGGCTAGTAGCTTACCCTATCGGCTGGATAAAGCTCTCTGGCCTCGCGAAAGTCATCCACTAGTGTCCCAGCCAGGGCAAGCCACGTAGAGAGCGCTACATCGTTCTTCCCATCAAAGACATCGCCGAGTTCCTTGATTCTCTCATACGTATGCTGTATCTCGGTAGTCTTGGCCTTTTCGCGTTGCTGAATTTCGACCCGCGTGAGCCTGCGAACTGGCTCGGCCCCGGGTGCTTTCTTCTTTCGCGGTCGTTTGACGTCCTTTGATGCGCTGATTAATGCGGATTGTTCAATTACACGGCTGGACTTGTCTGCCTCTTCTTCATTCTGCTCACCCTTCTTGCGGGCGTCAATGACTAGCCCGGGTGTCAGTTTTCCTTGGTTCCACATCGCGACTGCTCACCTTCGTAGACGAGAGCAAGCGCCTTCTGGGGCTCCTTTTGTGCTTCGTATACTTCGGCAAGCTTTAGTTTTGCAGCCTTGTTGGTTGGATCGTGCTCCAATACTGCCAGAGCGTTAGCTGGGAAAACAATATGAAAATTCAACGTGCCTAGTCCATACATATTTTCGGCGTCGTCCAGTCTCCCCAGCATTTGATAGCACACGCCGACGTTTGTCACAGTCGCGACCGAGAGACCCTATGGGTCGTAAGTAGACAGCCCAGGTAGCATAGACGAAGCGCACAGAGGGTCCATTGATGATTCTCTCGTAAATCGGTATCGCATCCTCATACGCAGCCTTTTCCACAAACGCATCGGCGAGTTCACCAAAGAGCTCCACAAAATACTGGATATCCTCCTTGAGCACGATTTCAGCGTGGATCTTTCGGTGATTAGCATAGGAGGTGTGGTTAGAGCACGACTTACCCGACCCTCTTTAATGTCACCACTCTTGATCCTTGCTCGAGCCAGACGGTGGCGAAGGTTGACATCGAGATGGTAAGAGAGTGGCTTATAAGCTCCTTCTCCGTCTTCATCGTCCTCGTTGACGCGAGTGATACCGTCCTTGTCAAATTCGCGATCATCTGGGATGACATCGAGATGTGTTTCGTGGCCTCGACCTTGAAGCCATCTCGCACCGCTACGAATGACTTTGATTGCTTGTTCGTAGCGACCCAAGGCTATGAGTGCGTCTGCCAGGGCGACGACGTGGAAATCGTGAAACGATGCCGTGGTGTTTTCACCGTTGGAGTCGCTCGTATCGGGAGGTCCTTTGGGATACGCCTGGCGATAGTGATCAAACGTTCCCTGGAGTACCTCTGCAGCCACCTCAAAGTCGCGAAGCTGTGAGGTAATGGAAAGAATTTCATCGACGACTGGGATATTGTTTGGCTGCCTCTTGAGTATCTTCTTCAACGCTGAGAGTGCCTAGTACGTGTGAGCCAAGGATGGCGTCCCAAAGAGTCAAGTACCTCATCCAAATGACCAAACTCTTTTGCAAGAGAGGCATATTCCCAATACGATTGGATGGGGTTTCCGATCATCTTGCATGCTTTGCGAAAACAGTATAGAGCTTGTTGAGCAAGTCCTTTCTCCCTGAGAATGGTCAGTGGAAGAGTAAGGATCTTGTTTTGGGTGTTACCTTGATTTCTGGCCAAGTTGAAACCAATGCTCTGCATCTGCCTTGAGATGTGCTCCCATAATGTCGACTTGCAATGCCTTGTTGGGTTCTCCCAGTTGTTCGTAGCAAGACGCAAGAGCTGACCACGACTGCGCAGAAAACAGTAAGCGTGGTTTAAAGTGGGGATAGTACTTACGGGTCTATGTCTTGGTTCCATACGAATGACTTCTTGAAAGAGTTGAACGGCCTCTTGCGTCTGGCCGGATACAAACGCAAAGTTGGCGTCACCAAACGTGGTTTGGGCTTCTGCACTGAGCTTGGGTCCAGTTGATTGTCCAGGTTTCTTGCAAACGTGTTAGATTCTATCTGAGAGATAGCAGGAGAGACTTGCCCTTCCTCTGCGTCTACGAGCGCCTACTCCTGAAGCTTGACGAACATCATCTTTAAACTCTTCTTGAAAGTTGAATGCCCATGCTCTTTCAGCAGCGTTTGGGCCTCCAAGCTTGGATGCAAAGTTGCGACTTGTGTTCGTCAGATTGGGTTGAGAGTGAGCGATATGGCTTACTTGAAGTCGCCTTCTAGTTCTAGCTCCATATCTTCTGCATCATCCATGATGCCGATAGTCTCCAGCGGCTCCTCTGGAACACCGGTCAAGGAGATTGCATCGTCGTCCGAGTCGTCTTGGCGGTTCTCGTTGTCACTCACTGTGAAATTGAGGTATGGGTGCTGAAGATTATGGCTTGTACGCACTGTATATCTGATCGCTTCCAAATTCATCGTTGCTGTCGTCCTCTGCGTCGCTGAATCCCTCATCACTGCCGTCGAGTTCGACATCCTCCCAGGAGATCATATTTTTGCGGCCTCCTGTCTTGCTAGTGGATACCCTCTGTGGTCTGGACATTGCAGTCGAGTGCAAGGTGGCTCACCACCTGGGTGCATTATCCTTAATGAACTGGGAAGCTTTGTTAGATAGTTCCTTGGGAGCACATGGAGCACCTGCAGCCGGAGCACGCGCCTCTTGGATTATTATTTTAGAATAAATATGCAGCAAGGGCTTTGTGCCTGAGCCGATAACCACCAAGGACTTAGCTTGAACCCTCCTACGACTGTTTGCGGGTTGAAAATCCTGCGCAAAATCTGGGCGATATTCGTGGAATATCCGAGCCTGTCATGGCGGACGCTGCGAGGTCGGCGCTGGCCCGGGACCACCTCAACGATCCAAACTACGACGTCGAGGACGCGCTGAGACGGAGTTCGAGTGAACGGACGAGCTCAGCATCTCCAGTTCCCTCCACACATCCCTCTGCGTCCATCCGACGACGCGCAAATGCAGCACCCCCGGCCCCGCTCTCCCCTCCAGTCCTCCCGGCCGTGTCTGGCCAGCTCTCGTCGCCGGGAATGTTTCCGCTAATTTCCTCGAAACAACAGCTCCACCAGTTTCCTCCCCAGCAGTCTTATCAGCCCACAGCCATTCCTCCGAATAACCGTCAGTCCTACTCTTCTCCCATCCCAAGCAGCAGCCAGGCCCGCACAAGCTCCCACGACATTCCTGTAATCCCACGAATCAATGTACAACAAGACCAGGACTATGACCAGGAGGAATACGACCTCGAATCTATAGCCCCGTCCTCTTCTTCCAGGCGTATCTCGCGTGACTCGTATGGATATGAGAAAAAGGGCAATATGCGTTCATACGACGAGGCAGAAACAGACACGCGATCAGAGCTCGAGTTTGAAGAGTCAGTCTGCCTTGTCCGGTTGCTCCTACTTACTGACATTCCATAGCGACATTGAAGACGACTCGCCTTATCCAGAGGTACGGGCCGCCGTCGCAAACACAGACGACGTCTCCATGCCCGCCAATACTTTTCGAATGTACGGCCCCCACATCTCCCCAGCCGAGTCCCTCGACTAACCGTGGTACAGGTGGCTCCTCGGCATGCTCTTCACTGTCCTAATAGCGGGGCTCAACCAGTTCTTTTCCATGCGATATCCAAGCATACAAATAACAGCACTCGTCGCCCAGCTCGTCGCCCTCCCGGCAGGCAAGATTTGCGAACGCATCTTCACCGCCCGCTATTTCACCATCACACTCCCCACATGGCCCTCCAAATCTGGAGCAAGCTGGACTCGAAAATATCGGTTCACCCTCAATCCTGGCCCCTTTAACATTAAGGAACACTGCCTGATCACCGTCATGGCAAATGTGGTAGCTGGTGGTGCTTACGCGACGGATATTATTGCCGCACAACGCATCTTTTACAACCAGCGATGGTCCGCTACATACCAGCTGACACTTGTCATCTCCACCCAAATGATTGGCTTTTCCTTGGCAGGCGTCTGTCGCCGGTTTCTCGTCTGGCCGAGCTCAATGATTTGGCCCGCAACGCTTGTCAATGCTGCGCTCTTCAACACGCTCCATTCCACCTATGGCCGCTCCGAACAAGGCCACATCTCCCGCGAGCGCTTCTTCTTCCTCGCCTTTATCGGCAGCTTTCTATGGTATTTTGTACCCGGATACCTCTTTACGGCTCTCAGCATGTTCAATTGGGTATGCTGGATTTGGCCTCGCAGCGGCGTCGTCAACAATCTGTTCGGGTACAACCACGGTCTTGGCATGGGCTTTGTCACCTTTGACTGGTCCATGATTTCGTATACGGGGAGTCCCCTCGTTACTCCTGTGAGTTCTTATCGCCCGTCTTGCACTCACAGCTGACCTGTCGACAGTGGTGGGCAGAAGCAAACGTCTTTGCCTCCCTCATCGTCATTTATTGGATAATTGCACCTATTCTGTATTGTGAGTCTTTTCGCTATCGACAAGTCTTAGTACTCAATCATGCGTCCAGACAAGAATGTATTCTTCTCTCGCTACATGCCCATCTCCGCCCCCTGGTCCTTTGATAATACCGGCGCCGTGTACAACTCGACGAGGGTCATCATCGACGGCGAATTCAGCCCCGAGGCTTGTGCGTCTGACCGCTTTGGGTACGATGCCGAACTAACATTTCTCTAGTCCGTGAATACTCTCCGCTCTACATCTCGTAAGTGAGATTCACGTCTTGCACATGGATGCTCATCCCATTTTCCAGAACGGTCTTTGCACTCTCATATGGCCTCTCCTTTGCCGCCTTGACCGCCATTACGGTGCATACTGTTTGTGAGTACAAGCCACTCTCGCTCGGGAGGAAAAGGAAATTGACCGCCTATCCAGTGTGGTATCGACATGATATCATGCGACAGTTCCGCAGTAGTTTGCGCGACGAGACGGATGTACATGCACGGCTGATGCAAGCGTACCCAGAGGTTCCCCAGCTCTGGTACTTTTCCATGGGCCTGGTTGCATTCGTGCTGGGTATTATCACCATCGAGGTCTGGGATACAAAGGTATTATCCGTCCAGCAACCGTCTTCCAAGCTCACAATCTCCAGCTCCCTGTTTGGGCATATCTCATCTCGCTCCTGGTGGCGATTATATATCTGGTTCCTGTTGGTATGCTGCAAGCGATCACCAACCAACAGGTTGGACTCAAGTGCGACAACCTCCATTAGCGCGCCACTCTTTTGACTGACCCGTTGTCAAGTGTCATCACGGAACTCATCGTGGGATATTTCCTCCCTGGCAAACCCGTTGCCATGATGATCTTCAAAACGTTTGGGTACATCAGTGCGTTTCATTCGCTAAGCGTGTTTCTCCGATATCTCACGCCGAGTCCAACAGCCATGGCCCAAGCATTAGCCTTTGTCTCGGACCTTAGTGAGTACGGCACTCTTTTCACGAATCTGCTCTAACAGTTTACAGAGCTCGGTCACTATATGAGTGCGTTGGCATCATAGAATACTGAAATCATATTTCTTACGACTTTTGCAGAGGTTCCGCCACGATTAATGTTCTTGGCGCAGACAATCGCTACATTCGTGGCGTGTTTCGTGGTCGTCGGCGTGCAAGCCTGGATGTTTGGCAATATCCCAGACCTTTGTGCCCGACAGCATCCAGGTAAATAGCACCTTCAGTAGTCTCGTCAGTTTGCTTACTATCCCCCTCATAGATCACTTTACATGTCCGCAAGCTCGCGTGTTCGGCACTGCGTCGCTGATATGGGGTGCCATTGGGCCTCAACGCCTCTTCAATCCTGGCCAAATCTACTATCCACTTTTGTGCGTTTTTGGACCTGGGGCAGGATGGTATACTCATTCCCATCTCTAGATACTTCTTCCTCATCGGTGCACTTCTTCCTATCCCATTCTACCTTGCCTCGAGGAAGTGGCCACAATCGGTAGGAGAGCAATCCCAATTCGTTGGCAGGATCTGATCAATCACCCTCAGTGGTTCAAATACGTCAATCTCCCCGTCTTTATGAACGGAACATCACTTATGCCACCGGCCACTGGAATTAACTTTTCTTCATGGGCTATGACCGGTTTCGTATTTCAGTACTGGATCCGACGGAGACACTTCAAGGTACTTCACCTCTCTGGTTGACCCCCTTTTTTCATACTGAGCGCGTTTAGTGGTGGAGTCGGTACAACTACATCCTCTCAGCCGCACTGGACTCTGGCGTTGCCGTTGGCTCCATCGTCATCTTCTTTTGCCTCCAATACCCGAACAATGGCGGGTTTGAACTCGCTTGGTGGGGTAATAGGGTCAATATGAACACGTTGGATTACAACGCGGCTGCCGCTCTCCCACCAGACTCTACCAAGGGGACCTTTGGCCTGCTCTCTGTGCGTACGCAGTTGTGCTATGGATACACATGAGACTAACTCGCTCTTAGTGGTATTGACATATCCTCCCCTCCCCTCTCCAGCACATTCTTGACCTCTTTTCGTGTGATCTCTCTCTGTGCTACTTAGACACTGGAACTCTTGCTATCCGTCTTATTCGTCGGTATGTTGTGCGTCTTGTTTGTGATATAGTTACAAATCCTTGGAACATAACAAGGAAAATTTTCCATCGGAACAGCATGCGTAAGGTGGCACGGTTGGCCAGGGCCGAAAGGATTAGCGTACAAACTCGAGGCGGCTTGCTATGTTGATTACAATCAGCATGCGGATTTGGAGGTCAAGACAGAACCAAGACTCGACCCACAAGTTTCTTGGTCCCTTCCTCAACTGTCCCTACATACAAGTACGCCAAGCAGCGCCTCTAATGATCAAATGCTGACCAAGTGTCCTAATCAGACATTTTACAGCATAGTTCTGTGCCCATAGTTTTCCCTTCAACCATGCGACGCGCTTTTATTCTCGCCCTCTTCTTCACCTGTGTGCAGGCACATCTCACTGCTTGGACGAAAGGCATGTACTGCCTGAACGTACGTTGATTCTTCCCTCGCATGGTTTGGTGCTGAGGTGCCGTCTGACCTCCAGGGCACAAGTGGCTTCAACAACGAGAACAACGACGACCCAGTCTCTCCCTTGTTCCAACTTCCAAAGGCACAGTGGTGGAGTGAGTGGTACCCCGCGTCTCATGATATCTACTTACCGTGGACCAGTGCATCATGTGAACAGAGTACGCTCCTGTCCTCGCGCTTCGATCGGTGTTGACAGCTAGAAGTGTGATCAGTTCCCGCCTGAACCAGGAAACTTTCTCGAAATGTGCGTACTAAGATGAGTGACAGATACTCGTCGCTCACGGCACGCGCAGTCCGGCCAATGGTCGCTTCGCAGTAGAAGTGGCGAGCAACAGAGCATTCACGTCCTTTTCATATGGTGGGCGATATGTCTCCGAATGGGGCGATGGTGCCGATCACCCCGACGATTACTCCATCTTGAATCTCGGGGGTCAACCTAACCCTGGCAAGTCTAATTGCATCCCAAGTCCAAATCGTAGGTGAGATTTCTATCATAAGCGGTACCTAACCTGGACCCAGTCCATGCCAAAAGCGAGGCCACAGCCGCGGGAACTGCATTTGCCATTTCTTACCACGTGCGCTCTTTTTCAGCTGGACAGGGGCAAATGCTGATCTTGGTTTAGAGCAAGCTTTCCGATGTCACCCTGGAAAACTTGGTCGTGTTCACCGTCAAGTACCAGTAAGCGGTTTTCGCGTTTCAACACACCCTCTCAAACGATCGTAGTACGCCATTCAAGCGAGTCGTCACCTACGATGCTCCAAATCTTCCACGTTGTCCTCCGGGAGGCTGTATTTGTGTCTGGGGGTATGTCTGCTCGAAGCTACCGTCTCTCGACCTGGACTAAAGCCCAATTTGCTTAGCTGGATCCCAAACCATTGCGGGCAATCAAATATTTACATGATGCCTCATCGATGCATCGTTACGGGCAAGACTGGCTCCGTGCCGCTTGATCGGCCCAAGCCACCTGTCTGGTGTGAGGGCAACCCCGCTGCATGCGTCAAAGGTCCAAAGCAGTTCATTGCCTGGAATCAACTCGAAGGCAATAACGTTATTGCCGAGGGCTATCAAAAAGATGGAGACTTGAAAAGTCCCGGCTATAATCAGAAGATGGGCTTCGAGAATGGTAGCTGAAGTCTTTCAATATTGATTCAACTGACTCACCTTCTAACGTAGGTGCTCAGACCGACATCTTCAAGTCCGGCAACTATATAGTCACTACCAAACCTGTGTCGTTCACGCCGTCAGCGTCCACACGCAAGCCGACTATGACCATCACCGCATCAGTCTCCGACGCTAGCGCTATCAGAGAGTGTCTAGATGCAAGGGCCTTGGAATACATTCATCGCCGCAACTCTCGCCGTAAGGCTCACCGCCGGCTCGATTCCATCCACTGAGGCGATACGCCGCCCTCGATACCATACAATTCCCGCTCAACACCCCGCTTGGTGGCGTTGGTTTACGTTCACTATACCCTTACTTATTCGATTCCATGTAGAGTCAACATCAAAGATTACATCTTCATCTCCTTGCGTGACTAACTCTCAAAATACACACACTAAACGTCTCACTGACCAGCTCGTCTAACAAGATTTTGCTTCTTTAGTTGACCTTGGTTCGGCGACTGGCAGCCGTCTGGGACTCACCACGCTTCGCAACCCGTGAGCTCCTCCCGTCAACTGCAACCGCCGTCTCACACCAAGTTCACATGACTTAAGCTCGTAGCGCAAACTTTATCAGACTCTTATTCAAGTTTTAGTGCAGAAGAACCGCTAGGCGCGGAATCCATCGCCTCAGGTCGCACGCCATGCCTATCTCAGGGAACACGTTCGCTGGCGCACGGAAACCAGGTATATAAACCATCTCTGAGCTATTCCTTGTCTGAGCACCAGGCTCTCTCTCCGACTGCCGTCTTTCGTTCGTTCATACTCTCAGAGCAGGCATGCGCTCTATACTTCCACTCCTTTTCATCGCTCCTTTTGCTCGTGCGCATATCGCGGCATGGGTAAAGGGAATGTACTGTCTCAATGTCGGTCCGCTCCTCGATCGACAATCGCTGCTGACACTTCCTCGGTAGGGTACAAGCGGAACAGACAACCAGAATACAAATGATGCGGTCAATCCCCTGTACAATCTGACCAAGAGTGATTGGTGGAGTAAGTCATTCAGCGCCTACATTGGTCGTAGCTGATATGCCGTCCCAGTGCACCACAACAATAAAGTATGGTCCTATTGGCTCCTCATATCGCTACTTGAACTTTTCAACAGTGTGACCAATTTCCTCCCGCTCCCGGCGACATCCTCGACATGTATGGTATCTCGCTAACGCCTTCATCCATGCTCATGTAGTCACTAGACCCAGTGGAGGAAACTTCACAGTAGAACTTGCCGAAAACCGCGCGTTTACGACATTGAGTTACGGAGGTAGATTCGTGACTCCCTGGGGTGATGGCAAGAATCATCCCGATACATACTCTATCACGAATTTGGGTGATCAACCTAACCCCTCTAACTCTGGCTGCCTTCCGAGTCCCAACTGTATGTCACGCTCTTACCCAATTTGCTGCGCTCTTATGCTGATGGTCGATAGTGCATACCCAAAATGAGACCATGGCGGCGGGGACAGCTTTTGCCATATCCTATCAGGTGCGCCAGGCGGTTAGGATCCCTCCCTAGTGGTAACGTCTCGACAGAGTGAGCTTGCAAAGGTCACGCTTGAGAATTTGGTCGTTTTCACCGTCTTATACCAGTGAGCACGCCTCCTCAATTGTATGATACATATACTGATGATATTAGCACGCCATTCAAGCGTCTTGCGACATATAGTGTTCCAGCAGGAATGCCTAGCTGCCCTCCCGAGGGCTGCATCTGCACCTGGCTGTGAGTAGAAGAGACAATGAAGACATTCTGTCTAATTTTTTTGGCAGTTGGGTGCCCAATCATTGCGGTCAGCCAAACATTTACATGCACCCATACCGGTGCAAGGTCTCAGGCGCGACTGGAACGAGGCAACTTGCTACTGCTCAGCCCCCTGTCTGGTGTGAAGATGACGAGACCAAGTGTGTGAAGGGCGCAAAGCAAATGATTGCCTGGAACCAGCTAGACGGAAACAATGTCGTCTTAACAGGGACCCAGAAGGATGGCGATTGGAAATCACCTGCATACAATATGAAGATGGGATTCCGCAATGGTGAGGACCGATTCGTACTGTGAAACGTCACTCAATCCCTGCAGGCGCACAGACCGACATCTTCAAGCCAGAGACCACGACCGTCCCAACACTGACCCCGACACCGACAACGTCCAAAGCAGTGAAAACGGCACTTGGATGTGTTTCTATGACTCCAGTTACGCTGGCCAAAAAACATACCAATCGACGCCGTGGCCACTAAGACATGTACTTATCGAGCACCTTTCGTGGAAGGAATCGTGTATCTGATACCAATGCTTGATAATATTATACAACTCTGGGCGCTGATGTGTATGGTGTGCAGATACTCCTTAGCGTGCATGCGCCATTCTGAAAGCAACTTCCCACTTGAACTATTTGCCACTACAAAATCTATATTGATCAAAGCTGCAGACCTTTGGTTGTCGCCACATCGAATTCTGACACTAGTGCCCTTAGACTCTCTAGATTTGAGAGCTCTTGCATTCACTCACCGTCTTCACTTGTCGGAGGAATTTATTTCTATCAAAGGATGCTATAACCCATCATCTATACCCACTACGTCAATTTCATGAACCGAGTTTTGAGGTGTACTCGCCAGGTATCTCACAACTAGCGCTCTACTGAGAGAAGAGGACAGACAAGCTCCTAGGCCTTGACATGTCTCGTTACCCACGACCTCTTGCTCACTGCAACCGCAACCACAACAGGTGCTACCGACCGAGCACGCAACAGAAATGTCACCGGAAGGCTCACCGCTTTCAAATGAACCCACACATCGCTTTCTTCGATACTCACCGGGGCTTCTCGATAATCTGTGGGACCCTTGGTGTTTCAGTAGGCTCGCATACTTGATTCTATGAACACTTGTTTCTCTCTCTCCTCGGGACTGAGTTTTTGACGGCACTCTCCAGCTATCTCAATGATTCGTTCTACTGCATGTTCTGAGAGGTCGAGACCTAGCTTGTTTCGGTCATGGGTAGGTCCCTCGGGCTTTACCTGTATACTCTGCACGTTTCTTCCAATCATAGGGGTTTCACACGCGTTGATAATTCAGCAAAGACCTTATCAAATCATGTAGGCCTGTTCCCCCGACGCCGGAGCGGAGATCATCGCCCCATATACGCCGCGCCTAGCACTAGAATGAGAATTCAATAGTCAGAAATTGTGCTATAAATGGTTGGAAGAGTATTCTCGCCAACGCGCCTACCCCCATTCCGACTTACTGTCTTTCGTTAACCCACCGCTATCCTTGAGCAGACATGCGATATCTACTTCCATTCCTTTACATTGCTCCTTTTGCACGCGCGCATATTGTAGCATGGGTAAAGGGGATGTACTGCGTCAATGTAGGTTTATTCCCCCATTCAATCATGGCTAAATACAGTTCATACCAAACAGGGTACAACCGGAACAGAAAATCAAAACACATATGATCCAGTTGTTCCGCTGTACAATCTGACCAAGAGCGACTGGTGGAGTAAGTCTGGCCAGCACTACGTCGATCGCCGCTTACGTGATACCTCAGTGCACCACAGTAACAAGGTATATGCTTTGGCTCGCAATTCCATATCTTGACTTCTCCTGAAGTGCGATCAATTTCCTCCCGCCCCTGGTGACTTTCTCGACATGTAAGGCTCTCCCTGATTTCTTTATCTACGCTTATAGAGTCAAAGCCCCAGTGGGGGAAATTTCACGGTGGAACTTGCCGGTAACCGAGCGTTTACAACTCTGAGTTATGGTGGCAGGCTCGTAACCGCTTGGGGTGACGGCAAGAATCATCCTGATACGTACTCCATCACGAATTTGGGTGATGAACCTGGCCCTTCTGGTTCTGGTTGTCTCCCGAGTCCCAATCGTGTGTCGTACATGCTAGAACGCATAATTTAAGCTGACGCTCAACAAACAGTACACGCCCAAAATGAGACCATGGCGGCAGGAACGGCATTTGCTATATCTTATCAGGTACTTCGGAAATGCTAAAATTTTCTTCCAAGACTGACATCTTGACAGAGCGAACTTGCAAGGGTCACATTGGAGAATCTGGTGGTATTCACCGTCCTTTACCAGTGACTGTCTATTTTTGCGATACGACTTTGGACTGACAACCGTAGCACACCGTTCAAGCGCCTGGCAACGTACAGTGTTCCGGCAGGTATGCCAAGCTGTCCTCCTGAAGGTTGCATATGCACATGGCTGTAGGTAACGCAACTGAGATAGGCATGATGCTTAGTTCTCGGTAGTTGGGTACCTGATCATTGTGGCGAGCCGAACATTTACATGCACCCGTATCGCTGCAAGGTCTCAGGCCGGACTGGAACCCGAAAGCTTGCTACCGCAAAGCCTCCTGTTTGGTGCGAGGATGATCAGACGAAGTGCGTGAAGGGTGCAAAACAAATGGTCGCTTGGAACCAGCTCGATGGAAATAATGTCATCCTGACGGGGAAGCAGAGGGATGGCCTGTCGAAGTCTCCTGGATACAACATGAAGATGGGATTCTCCAATGGTGAGGATTGATCAACGCTATGAAGGTTGCTCACACTGCAGGTGCACAGACGGATATCTTTGAGCCCGTGGTCACCACTACCCCAAGTTCGACAGTAACGACAACGGCAACATCAAAGATAGTCAAGACAGGAGTTGCCTGTGTCTCAATGACCCCGGTTACGCTGGCCAAAAGACATAACAATCGACTTCTTGGTCACTGAGACGCCAAGGGATCATGTGAAGGATATTATATGCTAATCTCTTTATTCTATTCTGGACGGCTGAAGCGGAGGATGTGCAAATGCTCTCCCCCGGCTCGACGAGATAAGATGACCTAAGAGGTATAAGTGCCATGAACTTTGTGCAAGAGAGTGTCCTACAGATGATTCGAGTCCGTGCTTAGCTCGAACCCGCTCCATAATTTCCTTTGGTCTATTCTGTGCAACCGTTACGAGGTAGCAGCATCCTTTGGGTGAGAGAAGAGACTATAACTGATCAAAATGACCCTTGGGAATACTGATATGACTCACGTCCAGTTGATCAAGCAATATGTCGGTGATGTGCATACCCATAGAGCCTCCTGCCCACGAGCTCTGGATATTTGGCGTATCTTGTCCATGTTCTACTTCCTCTTCTTCTGTTGGGACGTATGGTGGATTAAATAAAAGTACGTCGATTGCCCGGTAGCATCTTTGATTGAGACCTGAGGCGAGCGAGGTTTGAATAGGATCAAGAAGGACCTGAGTGATGTTAGATAAGGTAGCACTGCTGCGAGTGGATATACCTTGTTCTGATTCCCCGTCTTCTTGGTGGTGGATGTAGCCAATTGGTTAATATCCGTGCAGCAATACACTGTCCGGGGTCGCATCCAAAGCCACAAAGGAATGTAACTCGCTCACATAAGCTACTTGATCCCAACGCAGATGCAGCAAATGTTGCGACACAGCCAGAACCAGATCTTGGAAGAAGTCTAGCGGCGTAAACCAATATTCGTCAAACGAACCCAATTTCGAGCAGCAGGCGTGGATTTCGACCCTTGATATACTCCAAGTCCATTTCTATTGCGTCGAGGAGTGCAAATGTGTCCTCTAAAGTGTGCGCTGAGCCTTTGTGGGCCATTGCAAGTCGCAGCCAAGTTTACCAGCTGGCTCATACACATTTTGATAGTCTTTGCGCGTCAAATGCGATAGATCTGGTGTTGGAATCATGTCCACGGTGGCAACTCTGTCGAATCCAAGCTTTGGTCCTGACCGTGTCAACGCACCAAATCTCAGCGCGTCCAGACTTGCCGGCAACATGTTTTTCTGTGCTATTAGTGGAGTTGTTCCCACAGATCCAGTGGTTGCAAGGCCCTCTGGACACGTCTACGAGCGGCGGCTCATCGAAAAATATATTGCGGAGAATGGGACGGACCCAATCACTGGTGGAAAGCTCGAAACGGATGACATAATTGCTATCAAAGCAAGTGAGTTCTCCTTTTGATTCTCACCCTCTTCACGGGATGAAATGCTACCTCGAACAATTATCAACTAGAAGCTGTTGCTGAGCCTTCTGGCGACGATTTCATTGCACTTCTGATCTATACCATCTCATTCGAATCTTCATGATCTGACACTATTTCGCAGATCCGTCAAGCGCTCCTCCACGACCTCCAAACTTTACTTCGGTACCCGCTATCCTGAATGCCTTGCAAAACGAGTGGGACGCGCTCGTTCTCGAAACATTCACCCTGAGACAACAATATAATGCGACACGGCAAGAATTGAGTCATGCTCTCTATCAACAAGATGCTGCGACGCGTGTTGTCGCGCGTTTGCTCAAAGAGAGAGATTCTGCTCGAGAGTATGTCTCTTTATTTGTGCTTTGGGCCGTCTGACTGGTCTTTCAGGGCCCTTGCCACGGTTCAATCCTCCATGGGCATTGCCCCAACCGACGATGTCGAAATGGCCGCGGATTCAGCCAGCGTAGTCCCTGAAGACACTGTTGCAATCATCAATGACACACTCAATACCCTTTCTTCGACTCGCATGAAGCGGAAAATGGTTGCCGAATACGCGACTGTGGAAAATGTTCGCGCCTTTGAGCCTAAACAGAGTATCCCGTCTCTGCATGCCTCTTCCCCGGCAGGCATCAACTCAATTGTCCTCTCCCAAACCACGCCAGACGTCTTTGCCACGGCAGGTAACGACAAGACTGTGCAAATCTACGACGCGAGTAGCCAAAAGGTCCTACACACGCTCAAGGGCCACACGAAAAAAGTCAACCATGTCGCCTGGAGAGAAGCTGATGGAGAGACTTCACTCATCTTATCGGCCTCGGCGGACAAGACTGCGCGTGTATGGGGGTACGATGACGGTGCCTCGACATACGCACCGAAACAGACATTCAAGACACACAAAGGAGATGTTGTCGGGCTTGGTGTTCACCCCTCTAACAAGCTGGTTGCACTCGCCTCTGCGGACAAGACATTCTCCCTTCACGATCTAACCACTTTCCAAACAGTCTATCAATCTGAGCAATTTGATGTACCCTTCCACTCCCTCGCATTCCATCCTGATGGTCACTTTATCGGTATTGGCACATCGAATGGAGCCGTCATTATTGTCGATCTTCGGACAGGCGCGCCAGCCGCAACACTGGCGAGCGAAGCGGGAGAGTTCACCGTGGATACCGTGGCGTTTAGCGAAAACGGATGGCAAATGGCTGCACCTGGCTCACCAGAAGCTGACGTCGTCGCACTATGGGACTTGCGAAAGCAAAAGGCTCGAGCGACTCTAGACGTCGGAGGTGGTTTCAAAATTCGCTCACTCGCGTTCGACTATTCGGCTGCCTGGCTCGGTGTTGGTGGCGCAGGTGGCTTGAAACTCTTCACGCCGGGCAAAGTCAGAGAGGAAATCTGGAGCACCGACGGAGAAGTGGTTGATCTCGCCTTTGGTCCTCTTGGAAAGTCCGTCTGGGCTGTTGGCGGCCGTGAGGTCAGAATATGGGGAGCGTAAGATAAAATCTTGTATACTCGAGTAATACAATGTGATCAGACTATCAAATAAGCAATCAAACTGGCAGCAGTCAGCGCACATGATGGCGTGGTACATGAGGGGCGTGGCGCGAGATCGAACTATCCATAAAGTAGAAGATGGGGGGAGGATTTTGGAGCGTTACTACCCAGAGACGCTCACAGTTGGATCAGATGGGATTCGGTGCATGCTAACGCGACGACCAAGCGGTACAGACTCGAGTCGGCCAGATGAGTCGGAACCGTCGGAATGGGTGCTCATCGCATCGAACGAGACACGACGTTCAGAGCCAGGAGATGGCGTCGAGGCGGCCTGGGATCCTGCTTGTCGAGGATCCAACGCATAGTCGACAAAGACAGGCAGCTCTCCGAGTGACATGTGAACATTACGTCGAGATTGACCTCGAGGGACCTCGGGCTCTCGCTTGATCGGGCTGGGTTGCGATTCATCCCCGCGACTTGAGCCGCTGGTCACTGTCTCTGAAGAGTCGGCATTGACAAGCACTGGGCGGGTGGGGTAAGAGCTCACCGCTTCAAGTTGCGGTGGCTCGATGATCTGAGGGGGAATCATCTCCGCACTCCGCGCAGGCTCCCTAATCTCTTCAATATCCATCATCTCCGCAGCAGAAGTCAAGTCCTGGACTGCGCTTTCCAGGTCTTGATCGGCGTGATGAGTGGTTACTCGAGGTGGCTTTGAGAAGATGGCGAAGGCCCTTGCAGGGTTGACATTGTCGACAGCAGGCGGAGTGACGACGGTCTCGCTGGATAAAAATTCGACATATGAACGGACTTGGGACGATTCATCGTTGCTGAGATGGTCGACTCCATCCTGGAGATATCGAGGCCGGTTCTCTCCGTCCGGATAGAAGAGTTCTTTGTAACAAGTTAGTTGTGTTGGACTTTGATACCCGAAAACTGACCACAGGTTTTGGCGAGCAGCCTAGCGACACCAATGCGAATATCGACAATTGGGTCCCGAACTAGCCGACTAACAGGATCCCAGATCACAAGCAGATCTACCTCTGATGGGCTTGCTGCAGCTTGGACAAGCGACAGCGCGCTTGCTACGAACCTAATCTGAGGTTAGGTGGAGCACAAAATGGCGACGGATGAACGAACGTGACTCTGCGGCGGTAGCTCTCGTCATGAGCCAGCAAGAGAAGATCCGTCGTCGCTTTTTCCAACTCGGGTCGCCCGCGAAGGGCTTTGAGCACATCTGGCAGCTATCGAATTTGATTAGAATCGCTGATGGATGCTCAGGAATGACGTACCGAAGATACAGCCGCTTCACGCACTGCAGCGACTTCATCTCTGAGCCCTCGACTCACAAGATCGACGACAAGGAGCGCATTTTCACCAGCAAGCACGATCAACTCGCCAAAGTGCTTGGCCAAATCCTCTCGCTCACGCCAACCACCCAGGTCAAGCCACATGGATGATAACGAGGACAAAGTTGGCTCTCTTTTGGTTTCTGGGAGGCACTCGGCAAACTTTGGAGCCGTCTCAATGAGCTTGGCACGGACATCCGATTCCGCCGATTTGAGGAACGAGAGGAACACGGGCACAAGGTCTCGCTCGGTCGCGTCTGGCCCGATGATCGCTGCCACTTCTCCTAGACTCGCAGCAAGCGTGCGCATGACTTTAGGGTTAGCGCTTCGGGTCAAATGGAGGTAATAATCCCGAAGCTCGTGCCAGCGTGCTGGCCCAAGTGTGAGGATAACGGCAGGAAAGTTGAAAGCGCAGATGATGGGACGTTCAGGATCACTGAACCAAGTGTGAGATGCAAAAGTGTTTGGGGATGGATAAGGAGCGTCCTCAAGGGTCCAATGCCGTTCGGTGGCGACAAAGAGATTGAGGAGCTCTCGAGGAGGTCCTCCAGGATCATCCCGGAACGTGTAGATCACTTCGCCCAAAACTTCGAGCAAACCTGAACGAACAGGATCTGCAGGGTCTCGAGAAAGCTGCACAAGGGACGGGACGGTCAAGAGACGCCTCTGGGCGGGATCTATTCTCGCCAAAATGCCTGGTAAAGCAAACAAGATGGAATGGCGTACATGCCACTGCTCGTCTTGGACAAGATTCTCATAGAGAGGCAACTGATGCTGTGTGAGCTGCATATAGAAGGGCAGGAATAAAGATGCTTACGAGGTACGTTGTGATTAGTTCCTGAGGAACGACTTTGGCCAGTGCTCCAATCGCAAACGATGCCTCGCGTCTGACCCAGTAGACTGGATCCGATCCCACTCTCCAGACCTCTTGTACGAAAACTTCTTGCATATGCAGTGGCATAGTGGCTACGACCACGTTAGCGGGCTGGTACCAGTAAAAGAGAATAAGAAACGCACCATTGGCTGCAATGGCAGCGACCACGCTCATGCTTGCTACTCGACCAACAGTGGCTTCCTCGCTCGTGTCGTTGGCTGCTGGCTCTTCCGGAATCGAATCGAGCATATTTTCACCAGAAAAGCTCGACTCGGCAAGTGATCCGAGCTGATGCAATTCTTCGTCGGGAGTAATCGGTGGCGCAGTGACCCAGCCATCGCTGTCAATTTGTGTCCCCCGAGTGGATCGATCAAAGTATCCTTGGCTGCCAGTTGGTAGAGGGTTTGCATCGGGGATGGGCGAAGGTTCAAACAGGAACGGCGAATCGCCGTGAGGTTGGCGATCCTCTGGAGAAGGCGCGCCCGAACGCTGGCCGTCTCGCTGAGCAGCAAGTGCCATTTCCTGTCGGGCGATTTGTTCTGCCTCTTGAAACTCCGAGTCTAATCGCCCCATCCCCAGCACAACCCCGTTCATGATCTCGCTAATGATAATCTCCTTTTCTCCATCCCCAAACTGAGTATCTGGAGAGGGTGTCGTATAGCGTTCATCTTGGGCATTGATTTCAGAGCCTTGTAGACGATTAAGGAGCTCGACGATTGCCAAGCGAGCTCCATCGCCCACTCTGGGATTGGCGGATAGGAGCAAAGACCCGATCAGAGGAGTAAACGCGTCTGAAGGCAGATACGTAATTCCCTCGATCGGCTCTGGTCCTTCGGAATTGTGATCCACCACTTGACAGTGGGTGAAAAACCACCAAATGATGGGCACCAACTCTTGGACAAAGACCTCTTTGACACTCTCATCTACGAAACATTAGAAAAAAATTGATGGGGAGAATTCGGGACATACCTGCGTCAGTCCCCAGTCCATTCAGAAGCGGGCAGACGTAATCCACTGCCTCGGCCGGGGTTACCTCTCGTATTAGGAAAGGCAGCTGCTTGGAAATGTATGATCGATGAAAAGCGTAGGTACTTCTGGAGAATAGGTAAATCTTCTCGAGAGCACTGAGGCCCTCATCATCAAGGAACATGGCCTGCTGTTGGTCCTCGTCAAACTGGCCCATCTCGTGATCCACGATCACGGGGTCGTCGTCTTCAGACTCTTCAGAGCGCTCGGATATCGAGAAGATATGAGGAGAGTGCACGATAGGTGAGTCTTGGCCATCTGGCACCTGGGGGCTGCTTCCGGTCGGGGTGGAATCAGAGCCAGAGTCCGTAAAGTAGTCGCCACCAGATTGTGCAGGTACAGGCACGGTTGTATCACCGGAATCGGACGAGTAGTCCATTTCATCAACTCTTGTCGGTAGTGAGACAGAAAGCAAGTTCGGCGACAAAGGATTTGATCTTTCTATACCCGGTGAGGTGGCCGGCGAAGGTACTGGGCTCAATCGAGGCGACAAAATCCCATTTCCAGACTCTGAGATTGCTCCTGGAACAGGCGAGATGCTCTGCGCCAGCGGAGATCCGGACCTAAACGCAGGCGAACGGTCCCTTCTTGGGCTGCCGGACAAGAGCCTGGGGGACGGCGATAGGACGGGACTCCGGGGCGGTGTAGACTGTGACGTAGCGTCTGCAAGGGTAGGCGAATCTACACGTTGTGGAATATTCGCCAGCGTCGTGCTTAGTAGCTGAGAGTCTGTCCGTCGTGTGGCCTCGACCGTGGTCGACGACCGACGGGGGTCGTCCATTTTGGGCGAACTTCTCATTTGCGCCGGTGATGATGGGTGGGCAGCTGGTGATGATGGCCTGCTTCGCCTCTCAGACTGCGATTTCCACGGAGCATCGATGGGACTGCCGGGTCTGGTATTCAACGGTGTGGCGGGCTTTGTGACAATCGAGGGTATGTGTTGATCTCCAGTCGAAGGAGGAGGGCTGGATGCGTAGTTGGCCGTCGCGTGTCCATGTCCGCTGCTCTGGTCAGAAGGTTCTGACTTGAGGGATCCGTATACAATTTGTGTGACATGGGCTGGTCCGTGGGTCCCTGAGATTGCAGAGAGCGCTACAAAGATGGGGGTAATATATTTGTCAGACTTTGGAATTCGAGACGTTCAGGAACAGCAGAGTGTCGAAGACGACCAAGCAGCAAGCGGCACAAAACGAGCGGGCTGCCCGAGTGCCGCAACATTGCTCAGTTCCGACAGAACGACGCCATTAACACAAGAGCTGTGTGGAGAAGGCGGGCATAGAGTTTGGCTTACCAGAGCTGTCGGGCGACGTACTACGCAGGTTGTCCGAACTGCGATCATCGTGTAAATGCTGGGGTCTGCTACTGGCCGTGTTTCTCGGCGAATAAGAATTTAATGTCGGTATTTCCGCTTGTGTTTTCGTTTGCACGCTGGCTGCGCTCGTATCGCGGCCAACGGCCGTGGAGGGACGTGACGAGCTCGCTTCGAGGGATGGGTACGACTGAGAGGATGAAGAAGCTCTCGACGAGTTCATCTGAGCTCCTGTAGTGTGTAATAAACCCGATCAGCGTCTGTGAAAGCCTGTAGCCGCGACGGTAGCTGGGCCACCGCTGGGAAAACGCACCTAGAGTCCAGCTCTCCACAATGTACGCCGTTGATCACGCCTCTGATGGCTCCCAGCGCGTCGCGTGAATTTACAGAGGAATATTGCGGCCAACGAGTCTGCGGTCGGGGTCGAGTTACGAGACGCGTGCAAGGAACCACCCGCAAAGAGTTGGGCAGGCGTATCCAAGCGAAATATCACTCATTTACACAGAACATTTGGATTCTGCTCAAATCTAGCTGGTTTTTATTTCGACAATCTTTTACACCGGGTCTCGACGCTTCTTTCGTCCTGTGCTCCCTCTGGTATGCGAACCGCGACCAGGACGCTGGTGCGGAATGCGGGGAGTGATTGACCCCTATCCGTTCTGTATAGGTGCTTAGCCTCGCCATTTGTGGCCGGCGCAGGGCTCATCTGATATGACGCTGATTCGGCGCTGCCAATGCGTGCAGTTTGGTGGACAGGGAACTCTTACACGTGCAATCCCAGTCGTTCTTTGGCTGCGACCAGCTGGCCTTGCGCTTGTGCTCACGTCCCAGGAATCCCGGTGGGTGGCTGAGAGGAAATGAGAAGAGCAGTCCATTATAACCCAATAGGAGTGATAATATAACGCTGCAAAGGTCCGCAAAAGCTGATTTCAGCCCGTCGAGATATCGATGGACCCAAATGGCTCAGCTTTCCTTTGCAACCGCGGCTTCTGTTGGCAGACTTGATTCCATCTCGTTATTTTTCCACGGATAGACGGTTGTACCGAGCACGAGGGAGCGGTTTTCGAGATCGGCGGCAGACCGTCGTGGATTGGGCATGGAAACCAGAAAGGTCAACGCCAAGGTCCGTTCATGATGCTGCGGATGGATGTCACAGTCGGATTGAGGTACTGTCTCTCCAAACTCTTCAGCCCTTCTCCGCACCTTGTGCTTCTTCCGGCTACCATTGACCTGGTACAGTAGCGCAAGCTGTCTGTCTATGGAGAGAGCCGAGAATCTGGAGTAGACATGCATATCCACTGAATTAGGTGACTTGCTACTGATCTCTGCAGCCAATGGCTAACCCCGAGTGTCAGCAACGGTTCGAAACGCAGAAAGGGGGAGGGTGCGCACAAGGTATTGATCACCGGGTTTGTCTAATAGAGAGTGTGAAGAGTTTGGATCATGATAGCCCAAGTCCTTTGTGACAGGGACACTAAGCGCCTCAAAGTATCGTGGACAGTGGTCGTTCTGAGCCGGAGCCTTGAGGAAGTCGTGAAGAGGGGCGCCTCTTCGCAGCTGGACTATTCGTTCTCGCACACGTTCTCTATCAAATACATCCTGAATGGTCGAATTTAGACGTTGCGCAGGGTTCTAGGGTCAGAGACGGACCTGCTCAAACGCGGCCACAATGAGCCTTCGCATTCGATTCCTGCGAATTCTGTACGTGATGCAGCACCCAAGCGTCAAGAGTCCGAATGAACAGATTACAGCAGACGCCACAACGAAGAAACGAATCGCATCGGTTGGGAATGGGACCCGGTGGCCAGCCGTCGGGGTCGCAGATTCGGAAGAAGAAGAGCTGGAAGTCGTCAAACTTGTCGTAGAGCTTGTCGTAGCCATTGCGGCCCTGTTAAAACAGGAAAATGCAAATGGCGGTCGAGTACCAAGCTTACGAGCTGCGCGGCAGGCCATATGGCTAGGCACTACGCCGACAAGCCGACAAAGGATATGTCAATGCTCGATAGAAACATAAGTCTTTCATGTCCGACAATAGGGTCATGTGTTGACCTGCAACCAATCTTCCCACCACGTCCATGGAGGAGGCCCTCTCAAACTCTCCAGCAAATGGCGCAATCCGCCTTCCAGACGACCCAGAAGATCATCCAGTAAAGACGAAAACAGCGCGTCTGCTGCAGTCTCACAAGTTTCACAACTTTATACTTGCTCTCATCGTTGTCGACTGTATCATCGTCGTCGCCGAGCTTTGCTGGAAGCTGTTAGATGACTCATGTACAAGGGGCGGAGTAGAGCATCCTCCAGAGTGGCTAGAGGTCAGCAACTTTGGTCATTCGTGCCACCCGTTCAAACTGACTGGCAACAGTGGCTCCTCTATGTCTCTATGGTCATTTCCGTTATTTTCGTACTGGAACTACCACCAACTCTTTGGGTCTTTGGGTTTGAGTACTATAACCCTTGGTCGGACGTCCCGCATTCAACCTTTCATCTCTTCGACGCCTTTATTATTCTGATGAATTTCACCATTATATTCCTACAAGGACCAGCGCAAGAGATTGTTGGGCTTCTTGTAATCTTGCGTCTCTGGCGGTTGATCAAACTCCTCGGCGGTATGTGTCCGCTGCATGAGGCTGTTGAGAGACTAACCCACGACACACAGGGGTCGCCACAGGCGTCGAGGGTCTCAACCGGGAACTCACATACCGACTCGAATCCCGCGAAAACGAGTTGAAGCAGAAAACCGCAGAGCTAGACGAATGTAAACAAAAGTTGGACGAGCTCCAGCGAAAACTGGACGCTAGTCAACCATAGGGATATCCGTAATCATTCACCAGGCAGGTTTATGTTGGACGATTAGGACGTATTATTAGCGGTGGAGGTGAATACAGTAACAACAGAAAAGAGCGTGGCAATAAAACCCCGAGTTACTCTTTGGAGTTACTCGAGCTTTTCTTCTTTGCGTCGCTTGTTCAGTTTGGCGACAGCAACCGCGACAGTGCAAAGCGCGACGAGAATCGTACACGGCAGGACGCCGACCAAGTCGAGAATCATGCCTAGAGGTTGAAATGAGACCAAACAGTATTCAGAACATCGGTACATACCGTATTCGGGCGCTCCTGGCAGCAAAGATCGAATAGTAGGCAGAGCGAAGAGCGCAGTGAAGCTGCAGGGTTGATCAGGATCATTCAAAGGGGATATTAAAGATCTGAGCTCACCAAACGGACAAGATATCCGTGCCGTCCAACATGTATTTACGCCGGAGGACGATTGCTTCGCATGTCAGAATGAAGATGAAGAGAGCAGATGTCCAGTTCACTATTACGGCCGAAACAGCCGCGAATACAACGACCGGTGGGCGGGAACCAATAAAGTCGATTTTCTGAGCGACGATGTTTCTTAGTATAGCAATGACAACGAGGACACAACTTACCAAATGACAACCTTCATTGAACGTGCTTTCATCGTGATAGTCTTGGATGTGGTCCGAAGCACAGGTATTGTTGAACTCGTAGGTGAACCTCCAATTTACTGATGATAGTTAGTTCAAAGTAGGCGATGGGAAGCGACACATACAAGTACTATCCGTCATCTGGACAGTGGCCAGTTCCAGTACATCACCCCCCGTAACATTATCTATGCTAGCCCAGAGTGGATCGTTGGCGACAAAGACAATGCTGCCTACTCCCAGTCAGAGACCAATCATACTATCAGTTCAAGTCATCGTACCTGCCCATTTGTCAAATGGATAGCCCATGAGCGGGGCGGCCCAAACGTCTTGCACTTTGAGCTGAGAGAATGAAATGTCCGTGTCAAACGAGTCCCAGGGATGATATCCGAGCCCTGCGATCGGCTTAGCAGTAGTATTGTCGACACTGTACATCCATCCAGTGGTCTCGGTGGTGGTGTTTCCGTCCGGTCCGGTGGCGTTGTAAACATACGCCGTTTTCGACGAGCTGACATCTCGGTAAATGTGAATTGGCCAAATTGTACTATTCTGATCATCGCGGTTGCCGAGTTGGGTCCAGCTTGATTCAGGAGACATCTTGTAAAGACCGCTCCAAGTCACAGCTAATAAACGCAAAGTTTGTATGCGGTAGTCGTGACCGAAAGAGGACATACTGAGTGCTCGTGAAGTTGGGTCAAACTTTACAAAGGATCCCTTCAATCCCAATGCTCCGCTCTTCGTATTATTGTCCTGCCTTCTGCGGGTCGGAGTTTCGCCAGCATTCTGCTTCTCTAGTGACTTTTATTTAGCCACGTTGGCGTACTTACGTGGAGCACTAACCGTAGCTTATCTGGGAAGAGGTGAATGCAAGCCTATGCGTGGTGAGTATGGTCCTAGCCAAAGTCGATTAGCCTACATGACGCCTATCCAGATGATGATAAGGACCTATTAAATTGGTCAGCTGATACGCCTTGAGGACAGACTTGCACATACGATGACCACACCACCATAGATAAGCCGCGGAAGAGTCCCAACTCTAACAGCTGCATCCCACGTCTTTTTGAACCACACAGCAGAGTACTTGCGTTCGGGCATGGGCCGATTGTCGGTCAACGAGGGGACCGATGGCTGGGAATCGCGATACTTTTCGTCGGACTGGAACGAATCGTTGACTGGACTTTGCACTCGTATAACTGGATTAGTCGAAGTTTGTGTATTGTAAAATGAGGGTGAGTTTGGAGCTTCTATATCGTGTATAGCTCATCAGCCTCAGAGCTCGGGTCATTAAGAACACGTACGCTCGTAAGGAGAGGACATATTGGACCAGAAGAAAGGAGGGGGCGAGAAAAGCTCTCGCTCGTACTTGCCTTTCCGTGCTCCTTTATAGGACAAGTGTGACAAGCGGATGTAGCCAGCCCCTGAAGGCAGACGTGTGGTCCCTAATTGAAATGTTCCGGCGCTACCATTTGCGCGAGATGGTTGTCGGTGCTCCGTATAAATCGCATCCTATCTAAAAGCATCAACCCAACTGACAGACAAGCAACCTTGGAGGTGCTTGAAGACTGCAAAGCTGGCTCTGTTTCAGGAGAACTCTAAATCTGTCATTGTTATGCAGCGACGGTCCGATACACCGTGAGGGCCTGGACCGCGAATATAGGGCCGAAATGTTGAGGTCAAACGGATGTTTCGAATGAGCACCGCAGGGCTATAGCGACGCATTGATGGGATACGGCTCGTCGGGCTACCTTGATCGTGGCTTCGTCGATGTTGAAGTTTGTTTATGGTTAATGGACGCAACAACATCCAGAATAAACCCAAGAAATAGGTTTTATTCTGCAGAGGAGGGTAATCACTCAGCATCCCTTTCATAAACGATCTCTTGACAGCGGACAGGGCCAGGCCTCGACAGTTGAGCCCCTGATAGCGCGCGTGTTCCAGGTCGGTATGAATGCAATTCGGCATCCGCCTCGGTACTAGTCGGGCACTCGCAAGTCTCTTGAATCTCCAATTTCCTGAGTTTTTTTAGTAGCTAGAGAGATCGATGCAGGAGAAAGCTGGCCTACAATGGAGGGCATACATTCGCCGTTAACATCCAAAGAAATCTCGTCTTATCATTCCAACTTTTCGTCCTTGCAGCGCTTGCTGAGTTTGGCCACAGCCACGGCGACGGCGCACAGAGTGACAAGCAATGTAGCCGGAAGCACACCTACGAGGTCCAATGTACAGCCATAGTCAGGAGCACCAGGGAGGAGAGCCCTGATGGTTGGCAGCTCGAAGAGCGCGGTGAAGCTGAGGCACACATCAACCGCCTGTAGGAGGAAAGGAAGCATAGTAAACGTACCAAACACCTAACGAGTCCGTGCCATTCAACATCTTTCCACGACGCATGACGATTGCCTTGGCGGTGAGGACAAAGATGAAGATTTAAACACGATAAGGTCCCTTCTAGTGTTCACTAGTGTCCATAGGGGACCCAATAGTCGACCCCATGGTACTCCCTCCCCGCCCTATAGCCCTTATGTTTTCTCCATGGGGCTATCGCCTGTATGTATCCGTGGACGTACCCAGCGAGTGTGGGCCACCGTACCGCTGGTAGTACAGCTAAAGAAGGCCACATGCATAGGCTACTGAAACCTATTGAAATCTTATGGATCTTGATAAAAAGTACAAAAGTACTGAATGTGCTTTAGGGACGCTCAAAACCTGGTTATCTAGAGCTGTCAATTCATCCGACAACCTATAATAAGTCGCGATTGAAGTAAATAAGTTACTGATCTTTACTAAGCTGCTTATCGCCACGCTTTCAACCCCGCTCTTTCGGTCTCCTTCATGGCTAAGCAGAATCTATCCCCTGGTCAACATATGACCCAGTATTTGAGCCACTACTATCACCATAATTGGTCACATTTTCTCTATAAACATTGCACCAAATCTGCAATAGGCTCCTCGTACTCTATGGCTGGGAGCTACGTCGGCCAGCAATCTCGACCCTCGCCATGTCGACGACGCCCGACAAGGATAGAGGCAAGCCAGCCAAAAAGCCTGGAATTCCACGTATTAGTCATCACATCACGAGATCTTCCGTCTCAAAGGCCATTAGCTCTGTCATTGGCAAGGAAAATGCAAAGGACAAGGACGCGCTCTCGTCTCGTCGGTTCAGCGTCAAACCCACCGCGTCTGTTACAAAGGAAAAAGAGAACAAAGAAGTCAGCGAGCCCAGTGTCGCGTCGTCGGACGCGACATCGAACAGCAAGCTCGTGCCATCGAAATCACCACTGGCGAGTAGCGCGACGACCGTGGTTGGCGTCGCTGCAACGACACTCTCGAGGTCTGCAAAGAATGAGGGACTCTCATCTTCTCCCAATTCTGTGAGAAAGCTCACTGTTCCTACCGCCAACACGAGTCAACAGCAGGTGCTCAAACCACGCGAAAGCATGGGATCTTCGCTGCCAAAGTACAAACCCAAGGCATCTCTACTCCCTCCAAAACAAGTGACACTCTCTCGCAAGCGAAGAAACTCGCTCGTCGAGGCGTCAGACGAGGACGACAAGCGCGACAACGAAGCCAAGATAGCTGAACGACCCATCAGTCCTCTCCCGCGACGTTCTCGTGTGACCTCCACTGTATCGACGGCATCGTCGAGGATATTCGATCCCAAGACGCTGCCCAAGCTATCCCCTCTACGCACAACTGGAAGCGACCTCTTGAGGACGCCCATCCGATCGCGTGTGGGTAGTATAAGCTCTCCTTCATCCATACGTGCGCGAACGGTCTCCACTGCGACGGCGAGCAGCCGTCTCTCGACCGGTAAAGTCGACTCGCCCGTCAGACGCACAGACAAACGACCGCGTCTGTCGTCCGAAAGTCGCACTCCCGGGAACAAATCACTCCTTGCAACGTCGACGTCTGGACTGGGCGACTTGAGCTCGGACAGCATCGACATTGCCGATGTCTCTGCGCTCCTGTCTGTTAGTCCCAATGTCTCACCAGTAAAATCGATGCTTGCACCGCCGAGTGCGCGTAGAACAACTCGAAGCAAGCCCGACTCGAACAGCAATCCACCAACACCGACACGAAAGCTGGTCACATCGACGCTGCCCTCGCGACATTTGGACCCTAACAATCTTTCTGCACGCAAAACCACAACCCAAGCATCTCTCCGACGACCGCCGCTCCAGAACGCAGGAAAGGACCGTGGATCGGTGTTGTCGTGGGGTGACTTTGCCAAAGTCAAGTTTGATGACCCATCGTCGGTGATGCTATTAGCAGACATGACGCCGCTCAAGGGGATCGCGACACCCTCGGACGACTCGCGTTTGCGCGAGCGTGTCGATTCCGGATGGGGACTAGAGGACATGGCACGTATGCGTGGTGGAAGGGGAGGAGTGTCGATCGGCCAAGTCATGTTCCCGTCTGCGCCGGCAAATGGGGTCATTCCAAAAGTCGTCGAGCCAGATCATGGTGACGAGGTGACGGCAAAGCTGTGGAAGCTTAAACTGGACGAGGCGGAAAACGAGATACGCGAGTTGCAAGCACGAATCAAGCTGCTCGAATCGCGCATTCCGAGTGACCAGTTGCCGGATGTGACGACAAATTCGCTAATGACTGTCCCATTCCCATCCGACGATGATGTGATCAGTCTGAACAGCGACCACGAGCATCGAGGGGAACCTTTGATGGCTAAAACAAAGGCAACGATTGACGTGGAGATGGTCAATGAGCTCTCGTTGCGAAGATTGCAAACAGCCGAGCTCGAGGCACGCGGTGCATTTTTGGAAGAATCACTTTCGAGTGCCCGGATGCAATTGGCGGAGAGAGATGGCCAACTTGAATGCACTACGCGAGCACTCGAAGAGTTGGAAACGGAACACGCATTGGAACGCGAAGCGTGGACGGCCAAGATGGGCGAGTACGAAGACGAAGCGGCAAGACGATTGGAGACGGTAAAAGAACAGGCTCGGACTAGGGAAATGTGGAAGGAACGAATGGAGGCTGCTCTGGGTGCATGGACGAGCGTGCGAATGGATACCAAGGCGGAATTGGAGAGCGTGCGGCAGATGCAAGCGACACTAGACGTGCTCAAGGCTGGCCTGAAAACTGTGCGTGTCGAGTGATCGTTTTTTTACGCTTGTAGTCTATGTGTACGAATCTATGCGTGTAATTTACGTCTTGCAAGTTTCAGGTTCTTTTCCCTTGAACAGATTCTATTATGACAAGTGGTAATGACAAAAAGAGGGGAAAAAAAGGACAGCAAGAAACGAGGGGAATCTATGCATGGTGAGCATGAGGCTCCTCCTTTTCAGCGAGGGGCGGGCTCTCTGCGCGCATCTCCGACTCTTTTGGTCCGAGATCGGCATCAATGCCAACATAGTCGTAGGCAAACTCTCCCATCTCGGCATCATCGATACCGACAATCTCTGCCTCTTCAGTGGCGCGCAGACGAAGGCCGGGGATAAAGTGCATGACCCAGAGGATGAGGGTGGTCATGACGAGCGAGTAGCCGAAACCGGCGCAGCAGTCTGCGAGCTGGTAGCCGAGTTGGACCCAGTTGTGGTCGATCCAGCCACCGTTGATGACGGAGAAGCCGTCGAGAGCGGCAACCTGCTTCTGGGCAAAGAGGGCGGTGAGGATGTTACCGACCATACCACCGACACCGTGAGAGGCAAAGATATCGAGCGGGTCATCATAGTTGAAGATAAACTTGAGCTTTGTGGCAAAGTTGCACACGGTACCGGCGACGACACCAAATGCGACAGAGGCGGATGGACCGACGAAACCAGAAGCGGGTGTGATGGCAACGAGACCGACGATGCCACCAGAGCAGAAACCGACAACGGACCATTTACGCTCGAGACGGTAATCCCAGAGCATCCAGGTGAGACCGGCAACGGAAGCGGCGAGGTTGGTGATGATGCATGCATTGGCGGCACGCATGTTTGCAGAGAGTGCTGAACCTCCGTTGAAGCCAAACCAGCCGAACCAGAGGAGAGCGGTGCCTAAGACGACATAGGACGAATTGTGTGGCTTGTAAGCGAGACGTTCAGTTCCGTAGCCGCGACGTTTGCCAAGATAGATGGAAATGGCTAGCGCGGCGGTGCCAGAGGAAATGTGGACTGGCGTGCCACCCGCGAAATCGAGACCGCCAATCTTGAAGGACCAGCCGTTGGCGTTCCATGTCCAGTTGGCGATTGGGTCGTAGACGAGAGTGGACCAGATGAAGACGAAGACCATCATCGGACCCAGACGACCGCGCTCGGCGATGGCACCGACGGCGAGCATGGGACTGTGGGGATGGAGAAATGATCAGATAAGGAATAAAAATGATAAAAATAGAATAGAAACGCACGTAATAGCCGCGAACATGAGCTGGTAGACGCAAAAGACGATTGCGGGGATGCGAGTTGAGCCCATCGAGGGCGCGTCGAGGACACCGACGAGAGCAGCATACTTGAGATCACCGATGAAAGCATTTCCGGTCTCCGAAAAGGCGAGTGAGTAGCCCCAGATGTACCACTATCCAATCGTCAGCCAAGGGGGATTAATCGGTTGAATTGCAGGGACTGACCTGGAAGGAAACGACACCAACGGTGACCATACAGAGCCAGAGTTGGTTAAGGGCATTCTTACGGCGGAGAAGACCCGAGTAGAGATAGCCCACACCGGGGATCATGATCCAGACGAGGGCTGTCGAGGCGAGTGTCCAGGCGATGTCTCCAGCATTGTAGACGAAATCTGTGCCGTCTACGTTGTGGACCATGTCGTTGGCTGGCGGAGAATGTCAGCAAGTCTGGCGAAACGAACAAAACTGGTAGTGGACATACACGCGGTCGCATAGGTAATGTTTACAGCCATTGCCATGATGGGCAAGAATCAAGCAGGGGACAAGCTGTAAAGCCAAACAGAGGGGCGGGGCGGGTCGTGCGAGGATTTATAGACGGATGAAAGTCGAGCGGCCCATTCAGCCTTATCAGCCAATCAGCGTCCGCGCACTCATCTCGGCCTTGGGGGGTCCCGCTTACTAGAAATATGTTACAACTGATTATAACGTGGGACGCACATGTGTTCAATAATCCAAGACTTTTGCTGCAGCGGCCTGGGAAAGAGTGCACATGCTAGAACATTAGAACATTGCCAACTCACTTTCTTCTACATGAGATCTACATCTTCCAGAGTTCTCAGTACCAAGCCCTTGCCTACCGGCTCGGCCCGGTGCCTTATCTCCCCCAAGCATCATCGACGATAACGCAGAGTGCCCAATTGGTCGATAACTCTTGTCTTTTCTAAAATCGGCATCGACGGCATCATTTTCCATCCAATCCATCAGGCATGGGCTTTGCATGGCGCGGCATGGGGACCTCGTATGGCTCTAGCATGGCCCTACACAACCGGCTAGCAGAGATAGTACCTGTCACCACCCGCTGAAGTCTCCCCAGCCTACTTTCCGCTTCTTCGTCTCACTTCCCACGTCTTGTCCACCTCCTTCCCGAGGCCGCTTCAGCTGCAGGTACTTGCCCACCCCGCTCCCGCCTCCCCCACTGCTCCCATTCGCGGCAGAGCTCGAAGGCTTGATCACCTCGCCAAACCAGTTGCCTGCTCGCTCAGCTTCTGCCTTTTTCCTCTCCGCCTCGCTCAACGACGCAGATGCCGCGAGCGAAGAACTAGACGCACTCTGTTGCTGGTGCGCAAGCTTCTTGGCTAGCCGCCTCTTGTAATCATCGAATGGATCCGCGTGGCTGTTCCACCAGAAGAGGGTCCACAAACAACCAGCAATCGTTATCAGCTATAAAGTGTGGGGTATTCAATAGAAAAGAGAAGACGTACATGGCCACTTCGGTAATCTTGACCGGCTTCAAAGGTCGGTCTGTGCCAGGCTTCACCGCCATCTGCTCCAGCGCATCGAGCACATCCTCTCCACCCACCAGCTTGCCGAATACAGTATGTTTCCCATCTAAAATGGGAAACTGTCAGCATCTGTAACATACTATTCTCACCCACGCACCAAGGTGTGGCGTTGCCCGGAAGGTAATATACCATTGCGACCCATTGGTGTCTGAATAGATAATAAGACCGAGTTTGATAAACTTTGGAAAGCCTAAACCTTTGCCTTTATTTGCCATTGCCAGCACACTGCATCCTGTCAACCCAACGTCTAAAGCCAGGATAAACTCACCCCCTGGAATCATGCTTCGCCGCCCCTTTTAGATCATACTCGTCCCGGAATGGCGATCCCCAGTACGATTGTCCTCCTGAGCCAGTCCCCGTAGGATCTCCAGTTTGCACCTGCGCCTCGTCAGAAAAAATGACAATAAAGCTAGGATAGTTACCATAAAATTCGGAATCATTCGATGGAATATCACATCATTATACTTGCCTTCTCGTGCCAGCATGAGAAAATTGTAGCATGTCTTTGGCGCCTGCATGCCACCATTCAGTCACACCTCTCGTCTTCTAAAAACATCCGCACCTTTTCACAGAACAACTCCAAGTTGAGGCTTCCTCCGAGACTGGTCACCACACGCACGTACGCCCTCCGCTTGCCGACGTCCTTCTCCTTCTTGGCCTTGACTGGGTTTTGGATCGCATCAAACATGAGCTCTTCTTCGTCAAACATGGCCGGCGTCGATGCCGTATGTGGGTCAATGGACGTCGAAGTGAGCGATGCACCTGGAAGACCCGACGAATATGGCGACACGTTGTCTATCGAAATTCTCAGCATCTCAGCCAATGGTATCAAGTCATCAAAGGCGTACATGGTTCTGGAGCCTTTGATTTGCTGGCCGTGGCTGCGGCGCCCGCAGACGATTTCGAAACCGTCGTCTTTGGTTTCGCTGAAGGAGGTGGTTTCGGTGGTTCCATCAATGCGTGCGGATTTTGAAGTGTAATGATATCCGACCTAACAACGCAATGAGAACTCTTCTACCAACAAGGAAAAGGCGTACTTTTGAAATGGAGAATCGTCAATGGCATCCCGACCTCCCATGTTCTTCAAGCTTTCCGCCAGGTATACATTCCCCGTCGTTGCGAGCGCCACAATGTGCGAGTGTTCGGAAAAGGGCTTAAAGGAAACTGGGTCGTGCATTTGGTCGTCGGCATTGCGATGGTAGTGCAAGTTGATGAGTGAAGATGGTTCAAGCGGTTGGTTCGTGATCGGGTGCACGTTTTTGTGCTGTCTTTATGCGTGCCTACTTGTTAGTAACACGGTCCATAACTGGGAATGGACAGCGTACTTTAGCCACGGTATTATCGAGCTCAATTCAAATACAGTTCCTGTCCCGTCTGCGTTTCGCGCGCACACTGGCGTTTCAAATGGTTGGAATGTGAGCGCGCAACAGTCAAACGGGGTAATGGCGCGTGGATTGAGTCCCTCCTGTTTCCTACATCCGATATAAATTCACTATATCGAAAAAAGGAGCGGATAACATACTTTCTGTAGCCAGCGCTGCTAGCAGAATGTTGACCTCCGGCCTCGCCGCTGTGCTCGGCATGTGTAATGTACAATTTGTTGCTGTTCCCGTGTCCCCTGTCGGAATTTCATCAATTACATATCCTCTTTGTCAATCCTTGAGCGTACATTGTGGTGGCAGGAGCCAAGGTTGCGTTTCTCCTCACCATGGCCGAGTCGTCACTCGAGCATCTCTTCGGCGCATGCACACTCTCTTTATCCACACCAGAAAACGCCTATGCGCTGCCCTCGACGCTGCCAGGCCCGAGTTCGTGGCTACAGACTACACTTGCAGAAACCGTCGATCGTAAACTCGCCTACTTTGACGAAGTTTTGAGCGCATTTCTCGTCTTACGTATACCATATGACCCATCGTCTACGGGAGATGACGATCAGGGGGAGATTACTGCCGCATCCACCATCACCAACGTGAATGAGAGCGGTCGTCCACCGACGGATATTCTCACTTTTTTGACGTTTCTACAAGTCGGATTCGACGCGTCGTATATTGCTCCACGACAGGAAAGTCCGGTCGCAAGCCCTGGAGGCGCTATACCAGCGACACCAGGACCTGAACAGCCCAAGACGGGGAACGCCTTTCTGGGTCCACCACCTCCTGGAAGACCGGGCGCGAAACCAAGGCCGGGGAGTAGTCCTCTGAAACCACGCCCGCCACCCCTCATTCCGCCACAAACGCCCAATCCTACTCCACAGATGGAGGATTCAGAGCGACAGTACGCAGTTGCAGAGGGAATACAGCTCCACTCGTTTATCTGGGGGGATGCACCTGGCGCGGGTGCGAAAGAAACCAGAAAGGACGAGTTTTGCATCCTATGGGATGAAAAGTCCAAAGAGTGGGTCGTCATTTATCGGATGGATGTCACCATAGGTATATCCTCTCGATCTCATTTGCGGGAGACTTCTGACCCCTCTAGTGTATCTAAAGACCCGAGTCCCTGATCCGCTGCTGTCGCTGACGGTGTCGATCACGTTGAGAGAGAAACCGCTCGCCATTACACCAGCACGCAAACCAATATTCGACATGCTTCATGTCGGAGACGATGCCACCCGAACGCCCACACAACCACACACCCAACAACCGGCCATGCCGAGCTATCGCGACTTGTTTGGAGACCTCGAGGAAATCAACTTGCTTGATGGACTCTCTACAGGCACAACATTCCCTACAAAGGAAGATGAAGAGCCATTCGAGTTACCAACAACGAGAGTTGCCTCTATCATCCGACGACAAGCATACTGGCTCCCTCCACTTCGCACACGACAGGTCGCACCCATCCCGTCTCCTACATCTGCACGCACCTCTCGACCGGTTCTCCGAAAGGCGTTTCGCAAAACACTAAGCACGTGCAATGGATTCAGCGTCCGCATGAGGACAATTTTCGTGCCATATGTCCTCATACCAGGCATTGGTGATGACGACGAGGAGCGCCGACAGGCTGGCAGCGAAGAGCGGAGCGTCGTCCTCTGCGTAGAGATTGAAAACACCGGCGAATCGGCAAAGGACTTTGAAGTCGAGTCGGTCAAGGTTAATGTTAGCGGCGAGGGCGCATCCTCGTATTTAATCAGCTGGGGGGAGAGTCTGGCCAAGATGGAGCCAGATTCTGTCTTCCCATTGCGCTTGAAACCGATTGAGCAATGCAACCTGCTCTATTCGGTCACATTCCTTCATCCGACGGACGCAAATGACCCAATTCCTAGAGGATCGACAGCACCACCCCCAGCTGCCGCCGGGGACTTGCATCGTTCGGTGTCAATTATTATTAGGGGACGGCCATGCGAGCTCATCAACGGCAAGCTATCTTACCCGACGGACGCATTCAATTCAAAGTGGAATTGCATGCTCAACCTTGCCACGAATCAACAAGCCGACGTCAGTGACTATCAGCTCAACGAACCTCTTTCTCCAGGAGATGCGCTACCGACACCCGCGACACCGTTCCCTGTCTCCAGTCCGAGAGTACAGACCGAATTCGAACGTAACCACCCAATATCGTCCACCAGATCTCCTGCTATCGGAGGAAGTAAAAGACACACAGTTTCTGGTCTAAGTGGTCGGAGAAACACGATCCCATCGCCTATCAAAGTTCGGTTTTCTCTCCCGGCTGGTATCACGGCAACCTCGACTCCTTCTACTGCTGGCGTGCGTATCAATCAGTCTGGCCCACCGAGCCCTGCTGGAGGGAGCAGCGGGCTGGCGACACCGACGACAGCATATGTCCCACCAACACCTGCATACCCTGCCTGGCCGACCGATACACAAGTTGTACCTCCAACCCCGTATCTACAAGCACCGATGATGGGTCAACAAGGCAGCATGGTCGGCCAAGTCGTCGAACCGCACCGTGAGCGACGCATGGGAGCATCCGGAGCGTTTCTCCCTCCTACTCCCGGTCCATCAGCTTATGGTGCGACTGTTTCAGAGAAGCTCATGAGCATGGAACCCTATTCGGAACCAGTCGTAGTCTCTGTCGCGCTCCTTAGTCCACTGCAGGCCACAAGCGAAAAGGAGCACCGGCGCGCGTTGGGTGTCAAAAAGGATTGGATATATCCACTGGATATATTTGCATTGGAGATTTTCGTCTTCAACCAGAGCCCGGTGACCAGACGGTTTGAGGTGTCGTTCCCAGATAAGAAGAGGTATAGGAAGCAATTGGCAGAAGATAAGCGACGGAGTGCGCTACAAGAAGGCCCGTATACAAACCATCGCATGGTCGGTGATGCCCTCTCAAGGATCGGGAGCCAAGCAGGTATTCTACCATTAGAAAACCGTATTCGAATCGGGTGCGTATAGAACCTTCTTCTGCATAGCTTATGGATGGACTTTGACACTGGATTCTAGGCCCCTTCGACCCGAGACGTGTCAGTCCGTGCGCATGCAGTTCTTGGCGCTCAGGCCGGGACTTCACTCAGTCGACACGCTTACTATTACAGATACCGAAGCAGAGTTTTCTTTGAACTTGCGGTACGTAACTTTCACCATCAAATTCCCGCTCATGGCTCGCTCAGGTCTGTGATGGATGTAGTCGTACGCGACCCCTTTTGAATCGACTAGTCGAACGAACGGCGCCTATTTTTTACTGTATCTACGTTCTCTCTCTTTTCAGGGTCCTTCAAGTCCCGGAGCCGTTGACATCCCAAGCAACACGCCTTCACGATCTGCCATGCACGTCAAAATAATGACAATCTTATCCCGGTGATCACACCGCAACCTTGATAGACAACCTTAACCTCCGCTCTCTAGCAAATCTTGTCAAGCCAAGACAGGTCTGCGGCGACCTGAATAAGAGGTGTACCTAAACTTACCCACGGTAAACCTAGGGACGCAATCCATCGTTTCCGGCTGCTTCGCATCTTGCGCACCTCCGAGACATATGTATGTGGCGTGTATGACCTCCCGCCAGGGGCAGTCTCGTATCCGCTGCCAATCGTCGACTATTAAGACGCCCCAACATTGACTTTTTCCAGCGAGGATTTCCCCCTCTCGTCCACTCCTTTCCTCCATAATGTCTTCTGTCTATGAAAGTAAGCAGTCTCTCCTTGTAGTGTCTCCTTGCGGCGTATGCATGAGCTGATCGTCGAATACAGAAGCACCTAACTCACCTTCTTTTTACGATACACATACAATCAACAGCAATGGTACCATAGTTCAAAGTCCCATCGCCGTTACTTTTGCTGCTGCAGACGAGTCTAAGAAGGAACCTAACCTTGCTCTGACACAAAAAGGACCCACTCCGGGGCGCAAGTATTCTGCTCAATGGGTAAAATATAATTGGGAAGCTGCCGTCCACGCTGGTACCCTGTTGCCCCGCCTCGTCTATAGCGGGGTGGTTCTTTTGCTCATCATTGCTTGGATTCTTGTTACGTAAGGCCATTCTCCCTTTTCTATCGACAGCTTCTGATCAATCGATGAAGGCTTGCTTTCACCAAGTCCGAGCTCGATTTCGGTGAGGCTGATCAATGATTCCAAACTGTAACTCATCACTATCCCAAGAGAAACAAAATGCTCGAGAAATTACAGTCAATCATAGCAAGACGGACATTCTGCCTGATGGCGCGGTATGTTGTTCCCTCGGGCTGCTACCTAATCTCAAGGCGTGTAGGTTGGGCTCAAGGGTCAATTCCTCAATTTTGACCCTGCGAAGCATTCCTTGACTGTTTCCTGGTCGGGAATATATAGAGCAGACAACGGAACAGGTTGGACGACTCTTGGTGACTACGACGACCCCAGCAGCGTCGTCTTCGACGAAGGGATCGCTATTTTTCGTGATCTTTGTGCAACACAGTGGGATTATGTTTGGAATAAGACATCCCAGACGATCCTCAGGAACGGAACCTTCCACTCCAAGCTTGAGCTCGACGAGCGCGAGAAGGCTGATAAGAACGTCACCCTCGCATATATGTATCGCGTCCATAACGAATCCGCGATCCCAGCTGGAATTCTGGGTGTTCATCCTTGGGATTCCTTTGACACCGACATCACATTCGCGCAACTGCGATCGCAAGATGTTTGGGTGGCCCCATTGATGGGATACCCATTTGACCTTTGGTCAGGTAGGCGGCGTATTGGTCTTCCTGGATGCACCTCACATTCAGAATAGGATCCATTGTGTTTGTGGCTAGTGATCTCGCCTGGGTCCAAAAAAACCACATCAATGGCGGCAACGTTTTCGAAATAGCAAATGTTATGATGGCTGGCAACACATGTAAGCCTATCTGCTGAACCTTTGTATCGAAACTGACAACGAGTAGTGAACTGGCGGTTCTCATTCGACTTCAATAACACGTGCAAGACGGATCAAGTATGGGACTACACGAACCGGACCACCTTCCATCATTCTTGTCATTTGGTAAGGGCTCATTCGACAAAGCAGTTGGTCACCTGATGAAGTACAAATCTAGCAAGTTAACTTTGTCGGAAGACGTCCTCCTATGGTAATATTTGCAGCTGTTTCAGCCGTAATAGTGAACTGGACGTCTGCCCTTTTCATATTCATCCTGACTTGCGAGGCCATCGTCATGAGGAGGAAGTACATGCTGAACGGCACGGATATCTTGTCCGTTTGGTGAGATTAAATCTTCAGAACCCCAATGCATAATCCTAATTGCCACCGTAGCTTCACTGCACTCTTCGCTCTGCCTACAATCAGATCTTTGCTGCCAGGAGCACCCGAATACGGTATGTGCCGACATCCTGGATACTACCTTGTTTCATTTGGAGTCCCAGGCATGATTCTCGACTTGGTCGGCGTTCTACCATGCACAATTCTCATCGCACTTTGCACGGTTGCCGTCGCTGTGGCGAAACTGAACAAAAGGCGCAAAGAAGAGAACAAAGACGAATAGAAGACATTGCCATATCCTTGCCGCGAGAAGCTCCCAAGGCGGTAGTGATGATTATTGGCTGGCTGGTCGTTTTCATATCAGGGATCGTTTATCGACATATCTGGTCTACGGCTCTTCATTCCCTTTGCACGGTTCACGTCCGTATGGCAAGCAACAGACGACAGGAACAATAAGAATAGAACAATAGTAATATCACTGACACTCTTTACAAAGACTAGTATAGATCACTTGCTCTAATAGGTACTTAGTACAATTCAGGGGTTCAGGAGGGTCGGCAGACTTGGTCTCCGCTGTCCGTCAACAGGGCCCGGAACTAGGTTCATGATCTTGAATTGAGGGTCATCCGGAGTTGTACTATAGCCTGGACGTTTGACTAGGAAGTAAGTCGCGACCCAATTTCAATATGTTCATCCGAGTTTCTCGCTCAAAAATGCCTCAATTCGGAGTCCCCGTCTCGGACAGGTCACGGAAGCCGGAGTCACGATTAAGGGTTTCTGAAACCCATTCACTTTAACAAGATGCTTTATTTGTGATGGCGCTCAATATGAGCGGGGCAGTCTCCAATTCAAGGACTGCGTGCACTGTCTTGCCTGTCACCTGGTGGCATTTCCCAGCGGGTGGTCGCATCCTCCGAGCGCATGTCAGTCAGACCCGGCACCTGCAACTACAACTCGAGGCAAGTAGAGGAAGGACCTAGTAATATGTCCTTGATAAGACCACGGTCCCAGTGAATGACTCTCCAAGGGATTTGCTCGAGTCCTGGGTACGTCTCGCCAGCGAGCTGTCACTCATCTATAGACCAGGGGTTCAGTGTTCAAGGGCTAGCAAATGACTACCTCCGATCCTGCGGGCACCAAACCACCGGGACATTTGTATTTCTTATTCAGACCGTAGAGACCCTACTTATAAGGACCCAAAGCCTGGCTTTGCCGTTCGCTGGCTAGTTTCCTTCCACTATCATGGCCTCACCCTACGAGAGTATGCTTTTCAATCGTGCAGCCATCGAGGACTCGCTGATTCCGTCTTGTAGAAGCCCCCACTTCTCCATCCACCCCTGGCTACCTCGACGCCCAGCGGAAACCCGATACCCTGGTGCAGAGTCCAACAAGCGACCAGATGGACTCTACAGAGAAATTCCGGGTGTCAGAGGACCCCAATCCCTCCTCATCATTACCGTACAAGGACCGGCCCGTTCCAGAACGAAAGTATACTAAACAATGGTTCAAACGGTCCTGGAATACTGCAGTCCACGGAGGACGACTTCCGCGTATGATATACGCTGGTGTGGGCTTCTGCATTATTGTCATCTGGTTTGGGATCATGTGAGTAGGCATGCAGCGGGAGTATGTGACACTAAGAGATATTATAGGTTAGCGTTCAGCCGGGAAGAGCAAGACTACAGTACGGGATCCTTGAGTACGATTATGGACGCTGGCTGACGTGACTGCAGAGGGGAAAGCAGGGCGGGGCCAAACTATCCGCGCTGATGGAGCACCCACCCAGGCACCAACTCTTCGTAATGGACAAGTGAGGTGAAACCCCTATGCGCATTTCAGCCGCTTACACACGCATAGTTTGGGCTATCAGGGAGCTATATACAATTTGACGCCATGAAACATATGCTCAGTGGGTGCTATTTCTCGGTGAAGTGGGGGAAAACTTATCCTTTCAAGCAATAACCTGGTCCGGCATCTATCGCAAAATCAATGGATCCGAATGGGTGGCACTCGGGGATAGATATGATGAAGACAGCATTTCGTACTACGTGCCGTTTGGGATCTACAGGGATGTGGATGCCCTTCCGTGGGATTTCCTCTGGAATTCAACATCAGAAAAGATTGTTCAAAATGGCACCTTCTTCCTTGAGCTGCCGGAGGTCACCGACGTGGATTCTGATCAAACTCTTGGATATATGTACCGAGTCGACAATCTTACCGCGGCCCCTGTGGGTTATATCGGCGCCCACAAGTGGGATTCATTCGACACGGAAATCGGATTCGTCCAGACGGAGGGGGGAAATATATGGAATGCTCCACTCAGGGGCTACCCATTCGATGAATGGGAAGGTGTGTCCACAACCAATCGGTTCTGAACAATTACTCAGCGCCCACAGGATCTATCTCCTTTTCTGCAGCCGACACGTATGCGAATAACAACCAGGGCACTCCAGGAGGAAACGTGTTCGAACTGGCCACCGTGATTATGAAGGATGCAACGCGTGAGTCGCTTTGAATCCAGAACTCGTCAGCTTACAGGATTATAGTCAATTGGAGATTCGAAGTCACCGCTAATAATACATGTGCGCTCAAGAACGTCACGTTGGATTGGACAGACATAAGTACCTTCGCCCACAGCTGCAATATGGTATGCTCTTGCGTCTTACTCAACTCAGTTACCCACACAACCTCGTAGGAGATCAAATTCAAAGGTATAAGACCTCCAGTAGTCAAGTTTGCAGCTGTATCTGCCGTTGTGAGTAGGCGTACATAGTGTCGGCTTCACTGACAGCCCGAAGATCGTCAATTGGACGTCCGCCTTGTTCATTTTCGTTCTTACTTGCGAGGCGATAGTTATGCGACGGAGATACATGTTGGAAGGAACTGATATTCTTTCTGTCTGGTACGTGATGGTTATCACCAGATGGGATCTTTCTGATATCGTTGGCAGCTTTACTGCTCTCTTCGCACTCCCGACTATCAGGGCTCTCCTGCCTGGTGCGCCAGAGTATGGTGCGACTCTCGACCTGGTTGGCGTACTACCTTGCACTGTGCTTGTGGCGTTGTGTACTGTAGCGGTCGCGATTGCAAAGCTTAACAAACGCAAGCACGCTGTTCTAGGTGATAAGGAACAATAGTTGCTCACTCTTCTGTACAAATCCACTTGTCTCGTCCTTCCTGCTCAGCAGTGAGCGAGCACGAAAGGAAGACGGTGTTGTCTTACTGTATTTGATTCAGGTTACGTTAGTTTTGCTTGTAATAGATGCGTGTGAAACACGATACTTGGATTGGGCGCTCAGATTTCTATTCCATTATGCTGGCAGTTTGCCAGCAATTCTCGCGGACTTGTGCAAGCTCCGAGGGCTTCAGGTCCCATGCATATTGAGATATACACCCGAGAACTGACTATATCAGTTTAAAATGTATAGAGGAAGATATTAGCTTTGTCCTCCTGGATAAGAAGGCAGCTTACCCAGCCAATGGCTATAGACCTAAGGCTTCATTTAGCTTTGATGAGGATGGCATAGTCTCAGCATGTTGATACTCCCTCCGAACGACTAGCCACTCATCGATTGGCCCAGGGTCTCGGTATTGAAAAGTGCTGACTGCCAACATACTGGCCAGAAATCTCCTAGACATTTGAGTTTCCGATTCAGATCGTAGTTATTTCATGATTTATAAAGGCATAAGCTTCGGTGTGCCGTGTGGCTGGCCCATCCCCCTCTAACCAACTCGCCATGGCTTCACCTTATGAGAGTGGGTTTTTTAGTGATAACTCTGGCATCTAAGGGTCCCACTGATTCTGCTTCGTAGAGAACCCAGCCTCTCCTTCCTCTCCGTCGGGCTACTTTGATGTGCAGCGAAAACCCAATGAGATTGAAGTGCAGAGTCCAACTAGCGACCGAACGTTCATGGAGAAAGTCCGCGTAGTAGATGGTTCCTCTTCCTCGCCACCCTCATGCAAAGATCAACCTCCACCAGAGCAAAAGTACACCAGGCAATGGTTCAAACAGTCCTGGAACTCTGCAATACATGTTGGGAGACTTCCACGAGCAGTATATGGTGCCATTGGGCTCTGTATCGTTATAATCTGGTTTGGGGTAATGTGAGTGGCTATCCAACTCATGAGCGCGTGAGGTGCTGACGGGGTACCAATTGGCAGGCTAGCGTTCAACAAGGACGAAGAGAAATACAGTACGGGATTCTCGGACTGCGATTGTTCAGTAGTTGACATAAATGCAGAGGGGAATGGTGGACGTTCACGATCCTCCCAGACACATGGATCATCAGTTCCCCAGACCCAAACGCACGGATTAAATCAAAACGGGAACGGACTGGTAAGACGAGACTTTTACGTGCACTCGGTCCCTTACATCCGTAGTTGGGTTTATCAGGAAGCTATATTCAATTCGACGCGATGAAGCACACACTCAGTGCGTGCTTTCCCAGCGAAAATGAGATAGCGAAACTCATACTTTCAAGCAATAACCTGGTCGGGTATCTATCGAAGGGACAACAAATCCGACTGGGTGCCACTCGGGGATAGATACGACTCCAACAGCGCCTCCTTTTATGTGCCTTTTGGAATTTACAGAGATGTGGATGCCCTTCCATGGGATTTCCTCTGGAATTCAACGTCAAAAGAGATTGCTCAAAATGGCACCTTCTTCCTGCTCGAGACCAGCTCAGATCCCGACCTTACCGTTGGCTATATGTACCGAGTCGATAATCTCACAGCACCTCCTGTGGGTTACGTTGGCAGCCACAAGTGGGATTCATTCGACACCGATATTGGTTTTGTCCAGACTGAGCGTGGCAATGTCTGGAATGCCCCACTTGTAAGCTACCCATTCGACGTATGGGAGGGTACGTATGCTTTGGATTCATTCGCACTGGACGATTACTTAGCTATCATAGGATCCATTACATTTTCTGCAAGCGACACCTTCCAAAACACCTATGATTACACTCCGGGCGGAAATGTGTTCGGACTGGACGCGATCCAAATGAAGGACAGCACACGTAGGTAGCCTTAGTCTGGTGCTTGTGAGCTCACAATGCTACAGTGAACTGGAGGTTCAGTTTTGACGCTAACAACACATGTGTGTCTCAGAAGCGATGGGATTGGACGGACCTCTCGACTTTCAGCGACGCCTGTAATATGGTACATTCTTTTATCCTATGCTGCACAGGTACTCACACGGTCCCGTAGGAGATCACCTTCACTGCTCGAAGACCTCCAGTGGTCAAATTCGCAGCTGTTGCTGCAGTAATCGTCAACTGGACGTCGGCTTTGTTCATCTTTGTGCTCACATGCGAGGCAATAGTCATGCGACGAAGATATATGCTGGAAGGAACGGATATTCTTTCCGTATGGTGCGTGATGGTTACGGCCCAATGGGATCCATTCTGATGTCGTTGGTAGCTTTACTGCTCTCTTCGCACTTCCTACCATCAGAGCTCTCCTGCCTGGTGCTCCAGAGTATGGTGCGACTCTTGACTTGGTCGGCGTGCTACCTTGCACTGTGCTTGTGGCATTGTGTACTGTGGCGGTCTCGATTGCGAAACTCAACAAGCGCAAGCACGCCGCCATGGAGAACCAAGGGTAATGATTACCATCTCATTACGAAGCCACGAAACGGTTAAACGGTCGTCCATTGGCTGCATTTTCAATGTTTCATGTATCTGGCCTTCTGACGAATAAGATTCATTGTACGTTATGGTATCATGTGCATGTGCTGCTATCTTTGTGGCGTGTTCTCGTCCGTGTGTACGACATCTCCAGCCTGACCGTTCACTGTGTCTTGTAGTAGCCATGCAGGAGCCATTGGTCCTGTCTGAGCGTATAGCTGAGTTCCGCTTGCTGCCACTCCGTGCACTATAGCTACATCGGGAGTTTGTGGATTCTTCCCGGTTGGCATGGGTGATCGCGGTGAGGGAGGGCTCTCCGGTCCTTCAATATGAAGGTTGGTGCGACCACGCTCTTCGTCATTCGTGGCACCGTATCTGCGCTGGGATGTGAAAGACGACAGGAGCCGGCTCCAGGTATTCGCTTGCCCACCAGAGCTTTCCATGTTCCCTCCTGCATTATTTGTTTGCGTCGTTGGCGAGGAAGTGTCTTCTGGAATTGCGACAGGGTGAACCCCGTGGACGAGATGGGCCGCGCCTTGGTCAATCCAATTCTCCGGTGGATGGCAGAGATTATACAAGTTGTAGAAGATAATGAGCCATACTAGCCCATCAGCTGAGAACGCGAGCGACGGGGTGAGCACACGGATGATGGGATTTCGGAAGAGTAGAGGAAGGGCCGTGTCGATAAGGGTGTAGCTGGCTCGAAGAAGGAAGAATGGCGTTATCCTGGAGGATAACGCAAGGAGTACCTATTGGCCCAATAAGTCAAAGTGATGACGACGCCGGGAAACTGACCTTGTCGGGCAGCAGTAAGAAGCCGTTCATCGTCCGCGAGAGAGAGAGAATGATCCACGTTAATGATACGAATATTAGGCGTGAGAGAGTTCTAGTAAACGTACGACGAGAGGATTGCGGTGCCCCTCATTCGAGTGCTCAAGTCTTCGACCGTTCAGTGCGTCGGTGAGTGTGTGACTCCATAGACTGAGGAGGATCCATACGACAGATAGAAGGAGTAATAGGAACCAATTGAACGGTTGGATCCACTTGAGCAGTTGACGCTTGCCCGCGGGTTGTGCTGCGGTAAGCGCTCCCAAACGAGCATGAAGTGCTCTCAAAGAACAAATTAGAAGAATTAGGGGAAGAGACTGGAAGAGCGAAGCGGCAACGGTCGCGAGAAGGGGCACACGGCGTCTGCGGGGTAGAAAGGCGAGAAAGACGAGGTTGAGGAAGATGAGAACGTATGTGATGAGTTGAATGAGTAATCCTAGTGACAATATCAGAGAATATGGCGCCTTTGATCGTCCTGGAAGGAGGCCCAGAATCCTGCGGCATTGGATGGCAGCCACCAGCAGATAGATGATGCTGGTGAGAACGAGTGTGATAGACACGGCCATTTCACCAAATCCCGAGCCTACTGTACACTTTCTGGCCAGAACCTAGTTACAGTCGAGCACCAACGTGCACCTTGGACATGACGTCTACCCTCAGGCGAGATGGCTACCTGCCGAGAGGAGCACTGGATAGATAATTACGAAGTTTCGAAGATCCAGAGGCGTGAGCTGCAATTTTCCAGTGACAGCTCTGTCAACAAGTCGTCGTTCAGTGCAACCAACCTCGCCGCAACTCTGGAAAGCGGCGGTGATCAAGGAAGCCAATCGTGAGTATTTCATTATGGCTCATTGAGTATACTGAGATACTTGACACGTGGAAAGGCTCGCATGCGCAATGCAGGCCTTGATGTAAAGTCAGTGTCAGTACCTCAACTTCCCCTTCCTAAAAAGCCTGTGTCCACTAGAGGATATTGAACTACTCCCCAGGTTACCCCAAGAACGCCTCGCAGCTGTCATCTCGATAAGCTCGGAACACATGGCACTTTAGCAATTGCAGGGATACTCCAGTTGTCAAAAAGGCTGTGAGCCGTACTTCTTCTTTGCACAGTGTTGTCATTGCAACAACAAACGCGAACCTTGGATTCCAATGTCGGTCCGCGTGCGTTTCTCCGATCGTCTACCGTGGTTCCCCATCAGTAGGCTTCTATCCGTCTCCCCCTTCCCCGCAGTCTTAAATGGCATTAACTAGCAGGACCCTTCGTTGCCCTCCACGTGTCTTACTGTCCTTTGCCTGTGGTCCTCTCCACCACCGATTTTCATCGGAGCGACAAATAACGGGGGACGACATTGATGATCGGCGAGTCGGGTGGGTAATTTCTTCGTAACCGGGCCTTTCTCAACCGTTTATCAGTGCTGAGATGTCCGAATGGGTCCAGAGGACATCTAATCTCTTCACAACCGGCTGTCGACAGGCATTCACCACAGATACAAAAATTGACTGCTCCTCGTTTGAAAAGCAGTCAAAAACACTACTTCTTGGTCCGTCTCCACCCATTCAACGGATTCGGGCACCATCTTTGCTGGCACGACAATCCACGATTTGCTCCGCATCATGTTCGACCTCTTGCTATACGAGCAATATTCAGTACAATCCTCAAGACTGCTATGACCTCTCAGGATGGATGTGGGCCCGAGGTATATGGTTCCTATGCACCCGCTTGTTCCATTTGCTGATTGGTCTTTTAGCCGGGCAGTACCCAGTCAAGCCGCTAGAGAAAATCGTGATGACATGGAGATCTTGTGTGTACGCATTCACCAACGAACAGCAGGAGAGTGTGACATGGTGTGACTCGCCATGGGTGAGCAATGGCAGACTTTAGGTTGGGTTTGGCTGACCGTGTCTAGGCGAAGATTGGAGTTGGTAGGCTCGTTGATTGATATTACTTCCCGCCAGCTTACGAAAGCGTAGACTTGGTTGGTCCGTGTCAGGGAGCCAACGGCGGTGGAGGCGTTTGCACGGGACAAGGTTTCAGAGCAGAGTGAGTTTGAAAAGATACTTTCAGAGAGAGGTCTGAAAGCGCATTGCAGAGTACTTTCTTCCGACAATCCCACCAACAGTTCGACACCCTACATGTCTGCAACCTCTCTAGCAACGAGAACTAGCTCAACCAGGTCACAAGTTCCGACAGAGGTGCCTCTTCCTTTGATTCCCTCCATCTTCCCCTCCGCCTCAGGGTATGGTGGCGAACCCAATATAAACGTCATACCAGTGCTCGTTGGCATCATCGCGGCGATTACTTTGTTCTTGTTGGCTATTATGTGCTACTGCGTCGTTTGGAGACGATCCCGGGAACGTGGGCACATTCTCGTAAGTCTAGACTTTTCAGCCACCCTTTCCGTCTAACCAGTCTAGCCGAGCGACGATGGACACAGAACTCGGGAAGAGACCTTGACAAACTCGTATCCCATGTTTGTAAAAGGAGGTACAAAGTCGACTACACGAGGAATAACCTCCCATACAGCCTCGCAGACAACCATCAGAGGGACCACCTCTACGCGCTCGCGATCACGATCACGATCACGATCCCAACCGCGAGCTATTTCCAAGATCTTTACGCGATCTCAGGAAGAACCCGTCCCTTCCCTTCCGGAGCCGGCACGCACGGGCCCTGTGAAGGAAACGGACGGAGGAAGTCGACCTCAGACGAGCTCACGCGGGCCGACGCGACTTTCCACCTATACCCTCGACCTAGACCCCTTCCGCGCGTTACGCAGGGTCATCTCCAAACGGTCCGCCAAGAGTAGGAGTGCTACGCCTGCTCCTGTTGTCTGATTCTCCACTACACGAAATCTGGTAACTCCACTTTTTGCTTATGATTATCAATTGTCTTCCTTCGTTCAAACCTTGTAGCATATCCGATCACCTCTGAGACGCACAATAAGATATCTACGATTCACAAACTCGGCGATGTTTCGAGCCTACACGATCGCTAGACAATGCAGTACGGGGGGGAATCATTCATGCGGAAGGTATCGAATGTGGATATTCAGTTTTGTGAGGCATGGCCCTCGTGAAAGAAGCCGCAGCAGTTTCCTTGTCTTCGTTGGAGACCCTGCTGAAGCATCTTTCATTTATTGTTTCCGTGCATGCCCCGAATGACGTCCTCGGCGAGCCCCGAATTGACTCTCATCGCGTGTGGACGTGGCCCGCCCAGATACGGCAACGCAGGGGCCGACATACGCGACCCTGCAGTCATACCATGTACAGGCGTACCGATGGCTCCATTGGCACTCTCCCTGCGCGGAGAATGGTACGAGCTGGTACCTCCCGTAACGTGACTGCCACCAATGGACGATGGCGACTCGTTCTCGCCATCAGAAACGTCTTCCTGAGACTCTGTGGTATGCGGGTCATCCGGAGATCCCTCGACGATACGTGCTAAGACAAGTGAGAGATCGAGCGAATGCGCACGACTAGCAGTCTGCTTTTGCTTTGCATATTCACGAATCTTGGATTCGAGAAGTGAGTCCGACCCACGCTTGATGGCCTCATCGTCCTGTCGCGGAGCGTTGATCAAGCCAGTGCGAGCCTAAACACTTATTAGAAGGGACAGAACAGAATATTGGATGTGCGTACAGGAAAGACTGGCGGCGGAGGATTGTATTCCCCTTGAGATTGCAGGTTGACCCCGTTGAAGCGGGACGTAAGGTCGTCAGTCTCGTTTGCTTCTGCCATGGAGTATGCGTATTGAAGCGAGTTACGCAAAAGAGTCTTGACATCAGGTGTAGAGTTGGCAAGCCGAATGCGACGTTCCATATACCCTTCTAAGGTTGCATTAGAACTAGGATATCAGTTGATAATTGACTCACCGGTACTCGGGTTTGCCAACACCTTTGAGTGAAAGTAAGAAAATGTATCCGCAAATGAATCCGCCCGCTTGTGAGTATGGGTAACATAGATTTGAATGTTGTGATTCAGGAGATAAGATTCTAGCAGCTCCTTCGCCGCGCTGAGATAGTCCGCATTTGACCGCTGGCAATGGAACTTGAACACGGACTGTTCGTGTCCGCTCTTGAGTTGAGGAACGATTGTGACATGAAGTTCTCGCTTGATCCCTTCTGCAAAATCTGCGAAATGCGGTGTATTGATGACACGAGGAAGCTCGGGGCTTGGAGGCACTGTCATTTCTGCCTCGAATGGGACGTGTTCCTGTTATTGTGTCAATGTAACGATTTCTGATGATCACTCCAACTCACCAGCAGCATCGCCGCAGCAATGTGAACTTGGGCATCGGGACCGAAAATGTCGACATAGTCCTCTGCGAGTTCACGATCCGGGAACCGAACCTTGCATGCGCTCTTCCGTTCGATATCGTGTATGAAAATGCTGCTTTCTCCAAGCAAGGCACGGTGATATCTTCGGGGAACATCGATTCTTTCTGTCATAAAGTCCTTATCCTGACCTCAATGTCAGTCTACATTTCCAGAGTGTCGAGAAGACATCACCTTTGGAGCAACAAGTTCCATGATAGCCTGTCGCAGGTTTTCTAGGTTCGCAGCATTCTTTGCGGGAGTTCTGGCAAGCACGTTGTCGTCGTTATCATGGTACCCTCCAATGGCGTTGTACTCTTCCTGATTCGAGAACTTGACAAACGTGCCATATTTCTTCATTATCTTTTGGATACTCTTGCCTCCGACACCAATGATGCGTTTGTGATACATCTCGGGTACATGGAACGAAATCTCCGCTGGAAGTTCTTCCTTGAGGAATTGAAGTCCCTGAAGTGCGTTCGTGTCGTTCCCTTGAACGACGATGACAAAGTTGAAATCGTTGAGTGACTCAAACTTGATCAGGACGCTGGAAAGTTGCATGATCTTGTTGATCTTTCCATTTTTCTTGCCGCTGATAAAGTCGCGGTGCTCGTTGGACATTTCAATCTGGAAGTGAATCTCGTGGCCGAACGGGCGCACGACATCCTGCTCCGCAATGAGTGAAACGGCCTTCGTAATATCCGGCTCCTGTCCATGAAATTCAAAGCAATTGTTTTTGTAGATGGCTTCGCAGGATGTTGTACTGGAGATGAGTTCGAGAGCGGGTATAATTTGAGCGGGTATAAGGTTTGGGGGCATGAAGTTCATGGGAAGGAGCCAGTAACTGGCGGTGTAGTAGTGCACGGTGAGGCCCATGAGAGAGCGGATCGTTCGCTGAATGTTGGTGCGTTGATCGCCGAAGACTGTTACGGTGGATGCTTGAGATCCAATGATAGGGAATTGGACAAAAGTCCCATTGTCGGTCATGATTTGCCTGAGTTCGTCGGCGTGCTGGAGAAGGAGCCAGTCTAATTTCCGAGGGAGCATCGATATGTCTCTTGAAAGTATGGTTTTCGACTAGTATCGTGAGTCAGTATCATGCAATGATTCGTAGTGTTCTAATTACCTTTGCTAATGCCTGCTGTGTCAGTTTGTCTCGCGCTCTACGAACGTTGAAAGCGTCGCCAGTAATCCAAACCGTGTTGGCTTTTTGTCTCGCAGCGTTACGGGATTCGGCAGAGCCACTGAGCGCATTGAGAAAAGAAGGGTAGTAGATGTTTGTGGCAGTCTCCTCTTGAATCGTCTGGAGGTTGATGCGCTTCCGGCCACCAAACGCACTGAGCAGCTTGACATCAATCTCGAGCGATTCGGCATGAAGTCCACTGAGTTTGTCCAGCATTACCAACAGCAATACTCGAGCCGAGTCGACCGCGTCCTGCTTTCCAGTGACCAAGAGTTCGCAGGAGCGCTCGGCTTCCACCCGCACCCAGGAATCGGTATTATCGTTATCCGTGGTCGTATTTTGAGGATTAATGACAGAAATGTGTGCAGTTGTGGCAGCAGCCACTTCGTCAAGCCGTTTGCGAACCTCCAACTTGAGCCTTGGAGATGTCGTCGGGTGGTCCAAGATCTCCGTTCGTGATACCTTGATGGTCGCACGGCGATGCTACATGGATGAAAATAAGAACAAGCAACAGTCACGACGGGCCAGACATGCCTCGAGGGGTGCCTCGCGCAGGATCGCGCCTTTGGCGGCGACTACAGACTGGTATGGGCCACTGAGGGTGAATATCCATGCGTGGGTGGTCTCGTCTTCCCTGCAGGTGATGTTGCATCCTGTAGTCTGCATGATGCTCGTGACCAGAACGTTGAGTGCATCTCGAGTGGCGGAGTCTGTTGCAGATGAAGAACTCTAGACGGCATAGAAAAGGATGAAGCGTGAGCGTCGCCGTCGTCTGGAGCACGCGGGGACTGACTTCTGCGTTGGCCAGACGAGCCATCCGAAAACTCGTGAAGAAGGGCTCCATCGTTGCACAATTTCAAGCGATTTCTCGAGTTTAGATGCCCAATTTTACGTGTGTTGATGAGCCGGTGAAGATGAGGTCGAGGGCAACTTCTCTTTCTTTGCCACCACGTTCTTCAAATGGATATAAAGGTCCGAAAGTTGCTCGTAGACGTCCATACTCACTGCTATCTTCCACGATACGCAGCATTACTCCGTCAACGAACACTTCCACCCAGGATAGTCTCCCAGAACCAGGAGGGGCACCAACTTTTCATGTACAATGGACAAAAATCCGCTAGTCCTATAGGTCCACAGGTGTGTTTCATATGTATCTATATGCATCCGCTATTCTAACTCACACACGCCCTAGTACTGGGACAGGAACGAAAAGCTCAAGTTTATGGTCCGTTCCCTCTTCGATATTCAGGTCCCCATTCATTCCTCACAGAACTTACACGATATAGACGTGTCCATCGTGTCGTATGATCACATAATTTCTGGTTTTCTCTTACCCACCACCGGCATTTAGGACCGCCAACCCGTGGCTCGACTTTCTGGATAAGCCTTCCACAGCTTCCCAACTAGCAAACGAATTAAATGAGGACCTTGAAAACTACTGTGCAACATCTCCAGGGGTGGATGGGTTTGATACAATGAAACGTCTCTACGGTTTCGGACTTCTTCCCCTAATCGAGGGTATCGGCACCGAGGACCTCCTGCAGACGGTCAAGCACATTACGGGTCTACCCCACCTGAAGGGTATCATCATGGGCACACGAGGTGTTGGAAAGGGGCTAGATGACCCAGCTCTGGAGCCCCTGTGGGAAGCCCTTAGTAACACGAAGCTTGTGGTTTTCTTGCATCCTCACTACGGCCTTGGGTCCGGAGCGAAAGAGGCATGGGGCGACCAGGAGAACGGCAATGTCCTTTCCCTTGGAATCGGCTTTCCAGTAGAAACGACTACGGTAACCACGCGTTCACAAACACGATCATACTAAATTCACACGCGTTTTGCAGGCAATAACCCGTCTCATCCTAACTGGTGCCTTTGACCGATATCCAAACCTGCGAATACTGCTTGCACACTCTGGTGGAGCACTCCCGCAACTCTCCTCCAGAATAGCATCCTGCATTAGCCACGACCCGCTGGTATCCTCAAGACTGAAGCACGATATGAGATACTATGTCTCCAAGTTCTACTACGATGCGGTAAACTATGGACCGGAGGAAATGGGCTTTGTGGCGGATGTAATCGGTCGAGGCACCGCCTATTCAAGTACGCCAGGGATGAGAGGGGATCGTCTAACAGGCTACAAGCGCATATTACTCGGTACTGGCAAGGAGGCGAAATCAGCTAAAGTCTTAGAAACTCTGCAGGCCATTAACGATGTTCAACGTTGGGAGGAAGAACACAAAGACGCTGTACGAGGAGGCAACGCGATAGAACTCTTCGGCTTGGGACAATGAGAGGTGGGCGTTTTGAATAGTCCGGCGGGTTGAGGGAGATTTGACGTGGTCACCTCGGTTATTAAGCTAATAGAAAAGTCCTTGAGGGCTCATAAACGTCTAAATAAGTATATCTTGCACAACAATCTACTTGATACTTTTGGTCAGAAAGTCAAGTGCGTCAAGTGGCAGGGCTCTGGCAGATGACTGCAGAAGATGCATAAGATATTCAATGCGAGTCTCGCAGTCGTGCCGGAACGGAGGACCGACTTACAGGGTGGCCAGACAAGCCATCCGAAATTTCGCAGAACAGGAGGCTCTATTGTTACAAATATCAACGATCTTCTTGAGTGCTGCTCTTCAGTCTGCGTAGTTTGAAGAGCCCTGACAGTCGAAGATGTCTCGTTTCTTTCCCACTACCACGTCCTTGAAAGGGTTATGAGCGTCCGGCAGCTGCTCGTAGACATTCATACTCACTGCTATCTTCCAAGATATGCAGCCTTCCTGCGCCAAAGATCATTTGCACCAAGAATATTCACTGAAACCAAGAAGAGCGGCTGCTTATTCTCGACGATGAGCCACTATCTGGCCGTCCTGTAGGCCCTCAGGTGTGTTTTACCTTTATCCACGTATGTAATAACTTAAATAGGCTTGAGTATTGGGATAGGGACGAAAAGCTCAAGTTTATGGTCCGTTATCTCCTCGATATCCAAGTCCCTCCATTCATTCTGATAGGACTTGCACAATATAGACGTTTCTATCGTCTCGTACGTCCAAACAGCGCTTCATATTCTCTTAACTGGTATCGCCATTAGAACCGCCAACCCGTGGCTCGACTTTCTGGACAAGCCTTCCACAGCTTCCCAACTAGCAAACGAATTAAATGAGGACCTTGAAAACTACTGTGCAACATCTCCAGGGGTGGATGGGTTTGATACAATGAAACGTCTCTACGGTTTCGGGCTCCTTCCGCTAATCAAGGGTATCGGCACCGAGGACCTCCTGCAAACAGTCAAGCACATTACGGGTCTGCCCCACTTGAAGGGTATCATCATGGGCACACGAGGTATTGGAAAGGGGCTAGATGACCCAGCTCTGGAGCCCCTGTGGGAAGCCCTTAGTAACACGAAGCTTGTGGTTTTCTTGCATCCTCACTACGGTCTCGGATCTGGGGCGAAAGAGGCATGGGGCGACCAAGAAAATGGCCATGTGCTCCCACTCGCCATTGGCTTTCCAGTAGAAACAACCACGGTAACCACACATTGACGAACATGACCACGATAAACTTACAAATACCTCGCAGGCAATTACTCGTCTTATCCTAGCTGGCGTCTATGATCGACACCCAGACCTGAAAATACTGCTCGCACATTCAGGAGGAGCGCTCCCGCAGCTCTCCTCCAGAATAGCATCCTGCATCAGCCACGACCCATTGGTTTCCTCGAGACTGAAGCATGATGCGAGATACTACGTCTCTAGGCTCTACTATGATGCGGTAAATTATGGACCGGAGGAAATGGGCTTTGTGGCGGACGTAATCGGTCGAGGCACCGCCTATTCCAGTATCCCAGGGGCAAGAGAGGATCGTCTTGTAGGCTATAAGCGCATGCTATTCGGCACTGACCACCCTTTTTTTCCTCCTCTTGGCAAGGAGGCAAAATGGGCCAGTGTTCTGGAAAACCTGCAAGCCATTGACGAAGTTCAGCGTTGGGAGAAAGAACACAAAAACGCCGTACGAGGAGGAAACGCGATTGAGCTCTTTGGATTGGGGCATGAGCAGGGGAAATAGATTTATTCGTTGTGAATACATAGCGTTGAGAGGACTACACGGGATACAAGACCAAAATCTGGATAAGTTGCCTGCCATGCGCCGGGCTATATTACTGGTTCTCTGGATTGAAACACGAATGAGGGCTGCGACCTTTGACTCGTGAACGTACACATCGAATACAGAAATGCTCAATGCGACAGATTGAGATGGGTAACGGTCACTGCCAATGAGTGCGCACGTCCCGAGGTCGTTCATATACGCCCCGTGGAGGCGCGTTCATAAAGTAATCCGGTCGGTGCTGTGTGCGAGAATCATTTGGAGATGAAAGTCGATGTCGAAGCGGAGAAGACCTCGGAGAGTACTCTGGAGGATCGGCATAACTGTCTCCGTATACGTAGAGATCACGAGGGGTGGTATCGTATTGAGGCATGCCTTGGTCTCGGCGATCGAAGGATTGTTGCTCTAAACGAGGGCGCTTCGTTGGCGGCTCATAGTTGTCCGTCGAAGTGGCTGGAGCACGCGCTGGGGGACGTTCGAAGCGCCGCTTCGTAGGTGGTGGATTAACATGAGTGGGGGATGGAGGGGAGCTCCGATTCTGATTCCTCCAATTGATCTCGACATTTCCTTTGATCAACGATGGAGGCAATTTGTCTCCGCGGGCATAGATCTTGACGGCCTCATTAAATTCTTCCTCTGTATAGCCTGGGTGAGGTGCGTGATTCATGTGACGATCTTCCTGGTTCTTATGATAGAAGGGGACAAATTCGCTTGTGATTAGGATGAAGCCCAATGCGATGCGAAGAAGAGTCGTTCACATCACGGGTGGTTCGAGCAAGGACATCTTGCCCGGGAGCACTGACCCGGAGTGCCAGAGGTAAAGGCGACTCTTGAGCACAGCTTTCTTTACCCTCTTGATAGGAAACTTCGAGACTTGTGCTGTGAGATCGAAGGGAGCACTGGGAGTCGTCCCTCGGTCGCCTGGGAGGCAAACGCGATTCACGGGGCTCGTAAGAGACACTCCTGGATCGAGAACTGGAAGATCTCCTCGATTGAAGAGAGTCAGGAGAGACGTCTCGGTGATTGCCAATGGCCTTGGACTCTCGTGACCGACCACGCCATGCTCGAGGGCTGCGGTGTTCTGACTGGAGTGAAGCAGATCTCGATCGATGTGGCGACCCGGGAGGTGTACAAGGCTGTTGAGACCTTGCTTGATGGTCATCAACCATCATTTCTTGCGTCTCGAGAGACGGTCCATTTGTCACTTGGGTATTGCTTGAATCTGTGTGTAAATCGCCTTGCTCCACTACGAGTACCACATTCCGGCGAGACTGCGTCTCACCCGAGCGAGGTCCATTCGAGCAAAGAGTACCATCAGAGGATGTCCCTTCGCTACCCGCCCTGGTCTGCAGTGACGACGAATGAAATGGTGCCGTCACCGAAAGCCCCTCTACAGAAGCTACCGCACCATTGGTAATCGGTTTCAAGCGGCGTTGGTTCAGAGCTTTGCGTAAGTCGGCCTCTCGCTCCGTAAGGCTGTTTTCGACATATGATCTCGACGTTGGGGTGGCCAATGTCGTTTGGACAAGAGGCACAGAGCTTGCAGTCGTCGGAAGAGTGATAGAGAGATGAAGTTGGATGCCTTGAGAGTAATTCCCGGCAGCCTCCTGAGGAATGCCTCCGGCGGCCGGGGGTAGAGTAATATTGAGCTTTAGAAAAGCAATCAGTACGTGAAATAGACCTTGTAGAATAGTACCTGAATTGTGGAGTTCATAATCAGATTTTATTCGGACGTTATGGTTGCACTCGTGGAAGTGCAATGTATGGGCGCGGTGGCAAACACTGGATTGCGCGTTGCCGCCGAGTAGTAATAGGAAGAAGGGCTCTACGCGAAATATAAGACACCATGCGCGCATGTAAATGAGACGGCGCGGAGTTGTCGAAACACACCCTCTCGATATCAGGCCCCTAATGACCGTAAATGAGCAATACGAGATTGAAGATACTTCTTGGAGATCCTGGGTTATTTATATAGTAAGCTTTAGTCGCTTAGGGTCATAATACAGCTCCGCGCCTCCCAAGGATGCATGGGCGCTGAGGAGATAATCAAAGAGACGCGTACAAACAACCGAGATCAACTTCTGCACACTATCTTTGACGAATATTGCTGTTGGCGATCGCTGCGATGGCTGGTAGAGCGAGGTAAGGTCCAAGATGCAGGAGAATGGCAGCTGTTGCAGGAGGCGGCATGGGGTCCACAATCAGCGATTGCCCACGTAAATGAGTTATTTATCATGATTAGATATGATCATATACTAATACAGGGGATCTCCACTACTGTCCGCCAACTCCGTGGCTACAGATACCAATGCCTCTACTCATCCAAAAACTTCTTGAGCATGGTATCGTGGGTGCCATAATGAGGCAGGTCAGTCAGACCGGTATGCCCTAGCCATAGATGCACCTTTTTCCCGTATGGGTAACGCACTTTGTCCGCTGGTAATAGGTATCGATGTGGTATCGTAACTCTCTTGCCAGAGTTCTCCTCGAGAGCCTTTTGGGCTAATGCTTCTGTCGGAAACTTGATATAGTACTCATAGACCCAAATATCATGCGCCAAAAACCGGGTCCACGCTACAAAAAGGTCATTGGTGATAAAGAGAGAGCTAAACACTTTACATGTCTGGATCGAGGCTCCAGGCGTCGTATAGGCTCTGAAGAGCCCGACCGTCGCCTGCGGAAGACCGAGAGGGGTTCGCATAACGAGAACTTTACCAGGATCTCTCGTCTTTGCATTGTATTCGGTTGTGAGAGGGAGTATTTCCGGCACAGGGGTGTAGGCTGGAGCCAACGCTGTCCAGTTTCGTCGTTGCTTATCGTACGTAGTGAATGGATACTCCTTGAGGGACCGAAAGTGTTCAATGAACCTTCTCTTGCTTGCTTCGTCCTCGAAGCGGAGACACATAACGCCTTCGGAATCTAGAAATGTCGATAAGAGTCATGCAGCTAGAAATTCCTACATCACCTACATATCCAACAGTGCCTGAGGTTTGTAATCGCTCTGCAGTACCGCGAGACGTGCCTCATCTTCGTCAACGGATGCAAATTTCGTAACACCAAGCCAACTGCTTCATCTTCGGTGTAACGAGCGTGTAATTCAGATCTTTCTGATATATGTGCTCTTCTCCTCTCGTCTTTGACACTATAGGTCCCGTTGGATGTTGCACTCCTACTTTGCCATGCTGTATTTTTTCGCTTTGCTTTGGAACAGCGACACGGCGGAGGTGCCCGAACCGTTTGAAGATTTCAGAGTTATGTGTAAAATATCTTCTGAAGCAGAGTGTCGAGGATGAGAGCCCCACAATTTGCCGTCGAAAGTTCATCAACGTTGGTCGGGTTCAAGTTTGATATGTGGAGTGTACCACGTCCATAGAAATATACATTTCTGTATAGTACTATTTAGAAATTAGATGTGCTATATAAGTCCATCCTCCCGAGCTCACTCTCATTCGCTTTATTACGAGCTATGGCACCAGCGGAGAATGAGTAGACTCTTCGAATACGGTTATGAAATATTGTTACTGAAATTTTAGGTGATAATCTGAAGCACAGCGAGTAGATGGCTCGCGACATCTAAACGCGTCGTATCAATAGTAACAAACGAGTCCAATCGTTCTACTTTCACTATCAACCGCTTCTATGTAATAGTTCAAGTACGGTATTTACTCCGCGTTCGCAATCAATACAAGCCAATTAATCCACCGGCCCAACGGAACCGCCACTCTCTCTCTGTAACTCGCGACTTTCCTCCATGTGATTACCCGCTAGTGGGACAAACAAGATAGTTTTCGCCAAGCTGCCGCCTTGCAAACTGGACTCACCACCCAACCATGAAGTATCGGGTTGAGGACAAAAGCGTTGGCTTCGGCGCATTCGTAAGTTACCCCCTTTATGTTCAATTGTTTCCTGAATTGCCACAGAGTAATGTGTTCAAGGTATCTGAGATTGGGACCATTGTGACCTTGAAGACATCCGGTGCCTCGTCTCGAATTCGCAGAACTCTCCTCGAACACGACGCTAGAGTCTTAGAGCTCTTGAAGGGACATCCTTCGATATCTGCTATGTATGGGTGGAGGCGCTGGTGAAGATAGCTATTTCAGATAGAACATTGAGGCCTGGGAATATCGCCAGTGTGAGCGTGCGTGCGGTAACTTTGACTATCGGATATTCGAGAACGAGTCGTCTATGCGCGATATGAAAAGTGTATTGATACATTGCCTATGGTACATCTGCTTGATTTTCTGCACGTTCTCGTCGCCGTTTCGCCCGTCGCGCCTCGCGTTCTTCAGCCTCACGATCAGCATCAGTCGGCTGGCCAGCATCCGCTGGGGTCACCAATATATTGGATGGCTCTAGTTGAGCCATTAGGTTCGAATTTGTCGGAAACTCGTACTTCCATGTATCCTCGACATATTTTGGAATGACGGGCTGCCGCGGACTAACCGGGGATCAGTAAACGTCGTAGATAATTTAAAGCACTCACACTAGTCGTGCTAAGCTCAATGGCGTTACCCCTCGTCGCCGTCTCAAACGGCTGCGCTTATTACTGGGGCTAAGGGGGGCTACCTTTACCAGATCTGTTGACTTTGGCGCGGAATATGGAACGACGCCCGTGAACATGTCTGAGTCTTTGGAGTTCCGAACGGCCTCCTCTCGCGACTTGAGCTGCTGTCGAAGAATCCGTCGCTGGTTAGCAGAGTGTATTTGTTGTAGCTTCCGGTCCCAACTAGGGTCCTCTACGTGGGCCCGTTTCGGCTTTGCATCCGCTTTGGCGACTTTGGACGACTTTGGTTGTCTCGGGGCCGTGAACGTTTCCGCCCAGTACCTGCGTGATTAGCATCAACCGATGAAGAAGTATAATATATGAGCACGCACTTATACACATTTGCTGCCGCAGTTGTGGCTTTGTCTGGCTTATTCGGGGCGACTGGATTTGGCCGCAAGACCTTGATCGCACGAGCATGCCCTGGGGGCGATTTTGGCCTGACTAGACACGACTTTTTATGTCCACATGTATTACATAATCCACGAAGCTCGGTTGGAGGACCATGCATACCCTTGTGTCCATCTAAAATGTCGATGAGAGGTTTGATACCATTCATGACCTTCTCGATACTGTATGGCGTCTTGGTCGTCTCCGCATGACCGAACTTGCCAAAGCCTGGAACTTTGGAAATTTCGTGCAAGCGTACAACAGTCAACAAGGTATAATCAGGGAACGTAAATTTTGGTAAGGTTTGAATGTAGTGATTCCATCTTCTCCCGAGGTCACGTAGATCGATTGGTCTTGGATCAATAGAGCTCGTAGGCCGACGCATAGCAGGAATCATCTTCTCAAGCAGATCGATTGCGTACTCTGAGCTAAATGGACGCTTGGGTTTGAGACCGCGAGCCAAAAAATAAGTGTCAAAGTCGAATGGCTGGCTCTTGTCCATCATCTGCCGTAGAAAATAGAGGTACAGAGTTGCTTGCATCTCCGCGCCTGCCCTTGACCAGTCCCCGATATTAGCTTTCACAGTCGTCTTCAACTCGTTGACGATGACGGTTGGATTAGGTGTGCCCCTGTCGAGTCGAATCTCATCCTGTCACTGATCAAGGTTATGCTTGGGACTAGGACGTCCACTTACAACAGCACCTGAGAACGGTCTGTCGAAAAGATATCCAAAGACTGGAAATTCTCCCTGTAGGGACTCATTACGTTTGTAGGATTGAATTTCTTAACCTAATTACCACTTTATTGTCCTTGACGAGGTTATTGACGCGCTGGGGTAGATATGCAAACAGGAAAGCCGCCTCTTCCTCATCAGTAGATGGCTTGAGATGTTGATATTCATGCTCCTGTCTGACAGGTTTCTTAAGGAGTTCTTGGTGTGCGTCCTATGAGAGGGTCGTTAGGATAGTTGACGTAAACTGGGATTGTCTTACAATTCCTTGCTGCGCTCTCGATGTGAACAGTACATTCTCCCTTGATGTTTGATCTAATACAAACTTCTGTGGACAACTTTATGGTATGTGTTGAGCCACTACTCGTGTTATACGTTCTACTAACATTGTTCGGGCAACCGCGCCAATGGCATACGAAGACTTGTTGACTGAGCGAGCCAAAGTTTCGCTAGGAGAGTTTGGGAGTGCTGTCTTTGGGACGAGCGGCTTTCCAACGAGCATCGCGCGAGGGACATATTTTGTACGCTTCTCTGGGACTGGTCTCGAGCAACTCATGGCGCGATTTAGCGTTCTTGTCGACTTTTGAGCCTTTTTTGAGAGAATAGGGAGGCGTCGAGGAGCATGGCCGGATAGGGGCGGCATCCAAACAGCGACTTTACTTTTGGACGCTGCTTGCGCGTCGCCTTTACATCAAATGGTCCAACGGCCGCTCACATCTGCTGCAGGAGTTCTTGCACTTCTCTCAGAGTCAGATAACACGCTTAGACAGCATGCACTCGCCGCACTCAACCCGCTCGTGCCCCAGTTCTGGGCAGAAATCTCTGAAAACTTGACCGAGATGTGAGTCGGCCAGGACAACGTCAACACGGACGCTGAGCTCTGTAATTGTAGTGAAGCTCTCTATGAGGCCAATGATCTCCCAAAAGAGGCGCGTCAGCTCGCGGCCTTGATCATCAGCAAGGTGTACTACTACTTGGAGGAGTATGATGAAGCCTTGTCGTTTGCGCTCAGTGCTGGAACGACATTCGAGAGAGAAGCACGCACCATAGGCTCCGAGGAGTACGTGGAAACTGTTGTTTGTGAGTGGTGACTTTGAAGATGCGCGCGGGGGACTCAACCAGTATTCATAGCCAGGGCTGTCGATCGCTACATCTCTGCACGATCCAATGCAGCTGTGGGACCAGATGGACTTCCTGATCCAAAAGATGTCAGTAATATAGACCCAAAGCTGCAGGAGATTATCGAGGGAATCTTCCGTCGGGCCATCCACGATAAGGAGTACACGCAAGCTATTGGCATTGCTCTTGAATGTCGAAGACTGGACGTTATACAACATATTCACAAGATCACCAACGATACCGACCTGCTTGTATACGTAATGGACGCCGTCTTCGAGACCTCCTTCACCCTCTCATATCGCTTGGCCGTGCTGCGTTTCATCTTCCCCTTGTTCCCGCCACTGGAGAATGAATGTGATCACATTCATGCAGTCACCAGAATCCTCGTCACGCTCTCCGACCCGTCCTTGACCACCCCCTATCTCTGCAATCTGATTCCCAACAAGCTATTACTTGCTTATCAAGTGGCATTCGATCTATTCGAATCTGGTGGGCAAGAGTTCTTGCAAATGGTCATGCAACAGCTGCCGCAAAAGGAAGGGTCAGAGGAGGTTATGTACAACAATCTACGTACAATCATCTCTGGAGAGAGTAGCACCAAGCTCAACTGCGAGTTCTTAAAAAGGAGCAACAGTGTGGACATGCTCATTCTCAAGCATACCAAGGAATCGCTCGAGCCGCGCTCCTCCATTTATCACACTGCGCTTTCGTTGCAGAACGCTTACATGCACTCTGGAACTGGCTCGGACTTGTTCCTACGAGAAAACCTCGAATGGCTCGGCAAAGCGAGCAACTGGTCCAAATTTACCGCAACTGCCGCTCTTGGTAGCATCCACAAGGGAAATCTCGAAAAGGGCAAGTCCTTGCTGCAACCATATCTTCCTGGGGACTCAGCAGGTGGCACTGGGAGCGTCTATTCAGAAGGTGGCGCGCTATATGCGCTGGGCTTGATCAATATCGGTCGTGGCACACATGTTGAGGGTTATATGCGCGAAAAACTCAAAGCCTTCCAAGATGAAGTTTTACAACATGGTGCCGCTTTGGGATTGGGTGTGTCAGGGATTGGCAGTCAGAGCGACAGTAGGTTGGCATCTCATTCTGAAGCTCGATCTTATTCTCTCCAGGCGCATATGAAGACTTGCGAAATGTCCTCTTCTCCGACTCTGCTGTCGCAGGAGAGGCATGCGGCTATGCTATGGGCCTGGTCATGCTTGGGTCTGGCTCAGAGAGGGCTCTGGACGAGATGATGCAATATGCACATGAAACTCAGCACGAGAAGATTATCCGAGGTCTCTCTATCGGCATTGCTTTTATGTTCTATGGCCGACAAGAGCAGGCGAACAAAGTCATTGACCAGCTACTCGCCGACAAAGTACGAATCGGCTCCTATTCATTGGTCTCCTTCTGACGTTTACAAAGGACCATATTCTTCGATATGGTGGTGTCTACACCATTGCTCTCGCGTACGCAGGTACTGCTGACAACCAAGCCGTTCGGCGCCTCCTCCATGTCGCGGTTTCCGACACTTCCGATGATGTTCGTCGGGCAGCCGTGACGGCACTTGCCTTCCTCCTCTTCAAGATTCCTAGTCAAGTACCAAGACTTGTTCAGCTCTTAAGTGAGAGCTACAATCCTCATGTCCGATGCGGTGCCACCCTTGCTCTTGGTATTGCGTGCGCGGGAACAGGTCTCCAGGTCCGTCTCAGTTTCCCGTGGAAGTGATTACATGACTTATACCAATCCACAGGATGCCGTGGAGATTTTGGAGCCCATGACCAAAGATCCAGTAGACTTTGTGCGGCAAGGTGCCCTCGTTGCTCTCGGTATGGTCCTCGTCCAACAATCTGAGGGATCCGCACCTGCGAGCACGACCACACGGGCACTATACTCTAAGATTATTGGCGATAAACATGAAGACCCGATGGCTCGCTTTGGAGCTGCACTAGGTCAAGGCCTAATCGACGCTGGTGGACGGAATGTCACCATCAGCCTCCAAAGTCGAGCCGGTGGCCAAAACATGAATGCTATCATTGGCATGGTCCTGTTCTGCCAGTTCTGGTACTGGTATCCACTGGCTCACTGCGTCGCTCTTGCGTTTGAGTCCACGGCTATCATAGGACTGAACCAGGATCTCAAGGTAATTTCAATTGTACTGGTAGGATATTCCTGACCAGTGACAGGCGCCTGTGCTACAAATTGTATCCAACGCCAAACCTAGCTTGTTCGCGTACCCCGCGCCGACAAAACCGCCAGCAAAAGAAGCTGTCGAAAAGGTAGCGACTGCCGTGCTTTCAACGACAGCAAAGGCCAAACAAAGAGCCAAGGAGAAGAAGGAAAAGGGAGAAGCGCTCGAAGGAGTAGGTAACTCTATGCCACTGCAAACGCTTTGCTCATCGTCACAGGATGCTAAGTCACCCAAGACCCCCGGGGCTATGGAAGACATTGTCATGACCGAAGAGGCGAAGAAACCCGATGAGGAAGTCGAAAAGCCGGCGGGTGAAAAGGAGAAGAAGCGGAAAGAACCCACGTCTGAAATTCTTGAAAACTTTACAAGAGTGACGCCCGCTCAACTCGTTCACATTACCTTCCCACCCGACTCTCGTTTCCAACCAGTCCGCTCTTTTGCACCTCCCGCCCCGCTCGCAAAGACACGACCCAAGGCAGCCGGCAAAAACTTGACGGAGAGATATGCGGGTGGCGGAGGAATTATCATGCTTATCGATCGCAGACCAGGCGAGGAGACGACGTTTGTGGATCTACCACCAGAATTGGGTGGCGAGCCACCTGCAGCTGCCATGAACGTCGACGAGCCCGCTGCAATGGCAGTCGATGTCGAAGAGGCGGAAATGCCACCGCCGTTTGAGGTATGTTTACTCATTTCTTTTTCTTCATCGGTGACTGATACATCTACAGTACCCGTTTGAGAGTTGATCATCGCTGTATCTCTAAGTCTTGTAATGCAAGGAACGCACATTTCGAACCCGACTAGCATTCAGAGCCTGATGGTACAATAGATGACGGTAAATAATCAAGAATATAACGCTTCGGCCTCCATACACGCATCCAAGAGGACGCCAAACTCTTCCTGAGATGAGACCGACTTTATATATGTAAGCACTGCTTCAGAAAGCGCCGTTTCGCTGCATCGACGTTAGTAAAAAGGCAGCTAAGCGAGACGAATGTCCGACCTGATCGACGCTTGTTCCTCAAGCACGTAGACCTTTTCGGCTTGGACCGCGACGTCTTGCATGCTCTGCGGCCACTCTTCGATTTGTTTGCCAGTGAGAGAAAAGTCGATGACAGCCTTTGCACACGTCTGCTTGAACAGGAGGGACACTCGAGTGTGGAGTGTTTTGCCGTCCGCTTTGAAGGTGACGGTAAACTTGGAGCGGAGAAGCAGAATCTCCTGACGAACGACCTCGCAACTAGACCAATATGCGGCCAGCTTGCCCATAATCTACAATATAGATGAACTTCCATTCCGACAAGATATGGTCTGTCAGCGTACCTTTCGAACGCTCCGTCGACCAAACTTGCCCTTTACCAATCGTTGACGAGCGCACTCAAGAGTGAAGCTGGTAAACTCTGGTAGCCAATCCGACGTCCGTGTCGACTTGGAGAAGGGTTGCTTCTTCAGGTTGATCGTACATTGGTCAACGATCGGCACCCAATCTTTGCAGGGGATGTGAACGGTGTACTGGTTGATGTATTCCAGGTCGACAATGGAAGATGAAATCTTGAGAGCTTTCCATCCGGACACATTCTCCAAGAGCTCGATGGCTGCTCGAGTCTCACCAAACGCGTCACGCTCGCAGTTTTCACTGGCGCAAATTCGATTGGCCGTCTCCATGCGTTGTTGCAGCCTCTTCTGTTCCAGCTTGAGCTCGTTCTCTTGCTGTGTGATGGCTTCAATGTCGGCTTGAAGTTGGAAGATCTCTTGTTCAAGAGCTTTCAACTCGGTACTATCAAGCGTCAATGAAGGAAATATGTAAAGAGGAAGATCTCATACTTGTTCATAGCGATATCGGCCTTGAGGCTCGCAAGCTCCTTGGCGTCGCACTTTTCAATCTCTGCAACCACCGCACGCTCTCTTTCTAGCTCGGCCATGATCGCCGCATGCTCTGCCTCGATAATTTCAGCATTGGCAATGACTTCTGGCGCCAAAGCCCGAGTCTGTGTCAGGTCCTACTCAGATCATGAGAAGTGATCATCCTTGGAGATAACTCTACGCACCACCAATGCAGCCTTTTCTCGCGTCTCGACAGTGTTGATCAGGTCACTGACACCCTCGTATCGCCAGCGGTACCACTGGAGCTTGGTCCGCGAACGGACGAGACGTCGAAGGGATTCCAACATCAGCTAAGCAACAGTCAGTACAAAGATAGGCGAGTCGATTTCTCTCACTTTGAGCTCTGGAAGCGTGTCTGGACCTCCAGTTGCAAAGTCGATAAAGCATGGCGGCGGGTTCTCGACGACAGTCTCATTAATCTCCGCTTGTTGCTTGTCGAGTTGGTCAATGTATGTCTGCAGATGCTTGACAACCTAGGGAAAACTTAGTAGATGTCAACTTGTACATAGACAACTTACAAAGTCGTAGTAGCTGAGCTGAGGATAGTCGATCACAATTGCATTCGCAAAGTCACCAATAGTTGCTGTAAACAGGTTAGTACTGTATAATCGGTAATTACTAGAAACGTACGTGGAGTGTCGGGATATTGATCCTTGGCTCGCAAAGCCATTGTCGACCGTCGACGAGCAGCCATGTTATCCATAAACTCTCCTCCAACAAGTTTCAAGAGCTCATCAATGGACCGAGGCAACCGAGCGCGTGCCTCATCGTCGAGCATAGCGAGCGTCATAGTATTCCCATATTCTTCACCCTCGTCGTCAAACTCTCCCTCATCATCGCTTGCACGCGAGATGGCCATGCTTGGCCTCTGAACCTTGCTGAGCCATGGCGATGTCAATAAGACTTCGCTCCTCCTGGCCAATGGTGTCCGAGCAGGCGTATCATTGGCAGTTTCCGCGATGCTACGGGCGGGGGTGGCTTCAATAGCTGGAGAGATAGGCTCGACCGGTGGTTTGGGTGTCTCGGGTGCACTAGGAGTCTGTGCTGGAGACAATACTGGCGAAGTGGGCCTGTCTACCTGACCAACTGGAGTACGTGGAATCTCAACCGTTTCCTGAGGCCATTCATCCGCTGCGGAAGGCGATGACGGAGAAGCTGGGGCTACGGTCTTTTGAGCAGGCTTTGGAGTGGAAGGAGTTGCCGTTGTGGTCTTGGAAGGCACCTGCGGTGTACGAGATTGAGCCGGTCGCTTGATTGGGGACGACAGGATTGCGCTCTTGTTTGGAGTCACTCGCGGTACTGGTTTGGCCTGCGAGCTTCCTTCTACAGCAACAGCAAGCCTCTTCGCTGGAGATTCCACCACGGTTGAAGTTTGATCCGCTGGATGCGGTCGCTTCATCGGAGTTTGTCGTGCTGGTGTCTTTGGCGTGCCTGGTACAGGTACATTGACTGTAAAGGCAGTCTTTGGCTTGACCACGGAGGGAGGGCGAAGGCTGCTGAGAATCCATGAGGTTTCGTCCGTGGTTTGACCGGACTGGAGCCTTTGACTGGACTCGAGGAAGGGGGGATGGTTTTACTAGCAGTCGTCGGTACCTTAGGTGTAAAGATGGAGGTTTGCTTCGGTCGGAAGATGGATGCTGCAGTTCCTGGCGTCGCTGCTGGAACAGGGATAGAGCTAGCAGGAGTTGCTGGAACAGGAATCGTGTTCTGGTCCTGAGTGAAAATGGAGGGCACAGCTGCCGGAACCGGACGAACATCTGGGGCAGGAGTCGCGGGAGGTTCTTTCGATGGGGAAATAATAGGGGCTGCGACGTCAATCACTGCAGATACTGCAGCCGCCGAGGCGCGTCGGATGCCACCAATGAGTGAGGTTAGATTCATCATCTTGGCTCCTGGGCTCCCAGCCGAGTCGGCGTTTGAGCTGAGTGTCATATCTGCTTCACCATCGTCATTCGCGACCAACGGAATGTCTTGCCCTGCCATGAGCATCCGTTGTGCCGCAGTTTCAATGTCAAGGTCACCCTCTGACGGCATTGGTCGATTATCCGCACTGTTAGTGACGGCCTTGAGTGCTAGCCAGGTGGCGGTCGGTTGAAACTCGCCCTTGAGCGACTCCTCCAATACGACGGTGTATTCGGTCGGTTTGCCCTCTTCTCGCGGTCGAGGTGCGGTCGAGGATCGTCGACCTGCTGGCCTTGTTGATGATCGACGAGGCTTTGCCAGCGACAGGCGACCGGTAACGTTGGTGTTCATGGTAATGTCCATGTCAACTTGGCTCTCCATGTCCATACTGGATCCTTGAGACACCACAGACTCGTCGTTTTCGAGAGACATGTCTGCTGCAGATTCAGCGCTCTGCTCGTCTTCTACGTACGAGTTCTCCGACGCGAGATCCATCGATTCTTCCCCTTCCCCATCACCAATACTTTGTCGGAGCGAGGAGCGTCTGCTCGACTTGTAGTTCTTGAGCGGAGACGGCTCTGGTGTCGGCCTCATGTTTTCCTGACTGTCGTTGGCGGACGAAGTGTCCGAATCCTGTGGTGATGAGGGCGGAGAGCCAGAGCCATTGGTGTGCTGAGACTCCTTTGGGATCAAGCTATACGCGGAGAGGGGTGAGCCTGGGTCACGACGGCGGCAACATGGACCTACCGGACGTGGGCGTTTGGTGCAAAACTGACGCGACGATCACCATTAAAGTTGGAAAGACGTGTTAAATTCTGTGTTGGTTCTTCGGAGCCCTGTCTCTGTTGGAAGTCGAGCTGAGATGTGGTGTAGCCATAGAGGGGGGCGGTGATATTTGCGGCATTGGATTGCTTGAGGATGCTCTTCTTTGGAACCTTTTTGACGCGTTTTAAGTCATCCAATGTCGATATAAAATAGAATAAACGTTACCAGACTGCGCCGTCGAAGGCTCCTGGGCGTGAGTTCTTCTGGATTGGCCGACGCGAGACTCTTTGCGCGTTTGCGATGTGAAGTAGATGCTTTACGGGATGAAGAAACTGCACTGAGTGATTTTCTGGTTGATTGTGCGCGCGACGCAGGAAGAGGAGCCGCAGCGTCGGACATGGTCGAGGGCAAAGGCGTGGTGCGCTGTTTGGGCCAAACAACGCGGCCGCGTCTACAACTCCGCTTACACGTGACCACTCCGCTCTGCAAAAATAAATGAAGAGTCGCCATCCAGTGTGGTATTTTGAAGATGGAAACTGCATATTTCTTGTTACGACGAATATTCTACATATTATTATTCACGATTCTCACAATGTTCTTTAGGTCGACAACGTCTTGTTCAACCTACATCGCTTTGTCCTCACCAGAAACAGCGCCGTCTTTGGTGCTCTCTTTCAGCTCCCCCCGCCCCAGCGACTCCGCGTCCACGCAAAACGAGCTCAGCTTGGTGAAGAGAGCGTTCCCGAGGGAGTCGACGACACGAGACCGATTGTTCTCAACGGCGTCTCGCTCGTAGACTTTGAGGCCTTTCTCAGTTTACTCTACCTGCCGTAGGTATGTGGAGCCAGCCACGAGCGTGCTGACGGATACACCTCAGAATCTATGAATCTGATGAACACTTTTCATTGGCTCAATGGATCTCCATCTTGGAAGTGGCCACTCGCTGGGATTTCACGGCCATCCGACAGCATGCAGTGACCAGGCTGGAGGGGTTCGCTCAAGAAGACATGACGCCTGTTTTACGGATTTCACTCGCTCGCAGGTATCATCTCCGAGGGCCGTCCTGGCAGCTACGTCCCCTCACGGCACTCGTGACTCGCAAGGAATACCTCTCAATAGAAGAAGCCCAACTTGTCGGCCTCGAGACTGCGATTCTTATCGCTCGTGCTCGAGAGGAAGTGCGTAACGTGATTGAAGTGGAAGAAGACTTTTGCGACTGCTGTGAGCGATGCGGAAAGACAAGCCTCTTGGAAGAAAACGACGTAGAGGATGTGATTGCAGACATTCTTGGTCTTGGGAGCTCGATGGATTGCTACTCAAGAGACTGAAGCTGCTTGGCTCCCGGGCGCTAAGAGCTAGAGACCCTGTCAACCATCCTATTGAAAAACATTTCAAGTGAGACAATAACGGTACTTGTCCGTGACCCCCCGCGTGCCCATGATCAGCCACAAAGAAACCTTCTAAGATCACAACTTAATTCCCAACCTCGCCAGCCAATTTCCCCCCGATTCATGAACGACTGATGCCTTTGGACGTTTGGAAATTCGTCCACAATATTGTTAGATGGAGGAGGCGTTCTCCCGTCTTGACCTGTGCTAGTGGCCAGCCCACGACGCACCCCGCGCTCGGTGGGTCGCAGTCTACGGGCTTTCAGGACTGCCCCAAATGCTGACGGTGTTCCTGTAGCCGATGTAGAGTACGAGGAGCTCGGCGCGTTCAGCATTGAGCGCGTGTTCGTCTGTCGGGGCGGCGTCAACACTGTCCGGCTGCTCCAGCTCACGAGAAGATCTCTCTTGGAAGAAGGGCAGATGGTCGGTGCAAACGCATTGGTCAACGAGAGCTGGTCCTGTGACGTGTTTCGACGCTCCAAAGACGTGTATGAAGCTCGAGTACGTTACTACTTTACTTCTCTGCTCCAAGGTTTACGTATATCCTCTCTTAGATTCGTTATTCTGCTTCTATGGCGAAGGCCTACAAGAACTCGCCCTCAAAGCCAGTCGCTATCAAGGAAGCTAAAGGAATCCCCGGAATGATGACCATTCTAGAGGCGTCCGATATTTGACTCGTTTATTCGTTATCATCCATTGCGTAGCCGTATATGAACTATGTTATCTAATCAATCTCGCTTCCCTTGAACAAACTTGAGCCGACGGCTTGAACTCCACCACTTCGGGGCGATTCTAAATCCCTCATTTCTAGCCTTTTACGTGTCGTATAAAGGCTTGTAAATACGCTGGGATGGATCCCCTGCTGGCAAAAACCATTGCAGCCACGTCTGGGGCGACGCTGACTGCGCTGACGAGTGAGTATCATCACCGGATCCACATAGAAAATTACACCTTATCGTATACTTTAATTTTGTCCGATTTGGACACTAATCGCTGACGCTCATCGACTCCAGTGACGCCGTTCGACGTTGTGAAAACACGGCTACAGACGCAGCTGCCGCACAAGCCAAGCTCGTCGACTGTTCAAACGTGCCGTCACGCTCTCAACCCTCCTTGTGTCCGCTCAATGTCCTCATACGCTCCCAGTATGCCCTCGACCTCCAATCTTCGTGCCACATCGGGAGCCCCAGCTTCCTTTTTGTTGCGCAATGGTGCAAAGCAACTACCAGAGGATCTGTGTGTATGTCTGTATGAAGGGGGATCCCTCCGGTCACAAAAGGTGACTGGGTTCTGGGACGCTGCGATTCAGGTCGCACGCTTTGAGGGAATCAGAGGACTATGGAAAGGCGTAGGAACTACACTGTAAGTCTAAGATTCTGTGCTCTTGCAGGGGGTTTGCTTACAGCTGTCCAGCCTCATCGCTGTACCCTCCCAGTCAGCGTATATGATCACCTATGATCATTTACTGAACAAGGTGGTTCCTTCAGTGCTCCCTACATCCGCCCTTACGCCATTGATTTCCGGAATCGCCGCTCGAACCATTATCAGCTCTGTTGCATCTCCCCTCGAACTCCTCCGCACCACTCTACAATCAACACCCGCCAATCTTGCTTCTCCGCACACGCTCTCCTCTGTCCTTGCCTCTACCCGAAGCCTTGTGCGCTCCCAGGGCATCACCGCGCTATGGAGAGGACTCATGCCAACACTATATCGAGACGTTCCATTCTCTGGCCTATATTGGGCGAGCTACGAAACATGGAAATCGACTTTCCGCACAAAATATAATCGAACGGGTGCGCCATACGAGTTTATGTCTGGGGCAATATCGGGAACCACCGCTGCGCTCCTCACACACCCATTTGACGTTGCCAAAACACGGAGACAGGCGTTGGTGCTCTCGCAAGAGGGCGTGCCGACGCAGACGATGCGTTTCCTGGCCAAAATCGCACGAGCAGAAGGTGTCGGTGCACTTTATGCAGGTATCGTGCCGAGACTAGCCAAAATTGCTCCCGCATGCGGGATCATGATTGCGAGCTATGAAGGCGTTGGCCGATACTTTATGCGACGCGACGACTGAGTGGGATACATTATTCAATATTGTACATTTTTACTTGCAATACACCCTTCATTCTGCATCGTGTCGGTGTGTTCTGGAGCGGTCTATGGATGGCCACGGGTGGTCTATAGGTGGGTCGAAAACTTGGATGTCGAACGAGGTCACCTTACTCCTCGCGTCAACCGTAGGCACACTAGCTTTACTCGTCTACGGCTCTCGATACATTATCGACACCTTTAACCTCTTTCCGGAAGACACTCAGGACCCGCTCAGCTTTAAAAACACACTCCATCGTGCTTGGGGATCATCCAGTTCAAAACACGCGTTTTCCGCATCAAAAATGAGCACAGCATCCACAAACGACGCCCTAGCTAATCTCAAGGATAATATGGTGCCAATTGGGCTCGCCATCTTTTTGGGGTTTAGCGCTGCGGTCGCGTACTTCGTGTTTGGCAAAAGCAAGAGTGAGTGAAACAAGTTTTCAGAGGACAAGAGTCTTGCTGACGCGTGTCTACTGCACGTAGAAAAGCCCGTACTCGACCCAGTAGTCTGGAAAGACTTTAAGCTGGTCAAAAAGACGGCCGTCTCCCACAATACCGCCATGTACGCCCAGCCCATTTGTTTTACCCCAAACTTACCGTGTCTATAGCTATCGCTTTGCTCTGCCCAATTCCGACGATGTACTTGGTCTACCCATTGGACAGCACATCTCGGTGCAGGCCGATATCAACGGCAAGAGTATTATGCGCTCGTACACACCCACATCGTCCGACGATGATCTCGGTCACTTTGACCTCATGATCAAGGCATATGAAAAGGGAAACATCTCCCGGTACATGTCGCTCCTATCCGTCGGCGACCACGTACGCATCCGGGGTCCGAAGGGCCAGTTCCACTACCGCCCTGGATTGAGCTCGCACATTGGTATGATTGCAGGCGGCACCGGCATCACACCTATGCTCCAGATCATCCGAGCCGTGCTCAAGAACCCACATGACAAGACTCAACTTTCGCTCATCTACGCCAACGTCACCTTTGATGATATCCTGCTCAAGGAAGAATTGGACAAGTTGGCCGACGAGCATCCCCAGCAGTTTACGCTTTACTATGTCCTTAACGAGAAGCCAGAGCAAGGGTGGGAAGGTGGTGTTGGATTTGTCACAAAGGATATGATTCAGAGACACATGCCTGCTCCCAAGGAGGATATCAAGGTACTCTTGTGTGGTAAGTCGACAGTCTCACGCTCGGGGTCATACGCTCATCGTTTGCAACAGGCCCGCCACCAATGATGACCGCCATGAAGTACGTATAGACTTTCGTGTCATTATCTGTCGCTAACTACTCCTAGGAAATACATTTCCGAGCTCGGATACGAGGCGCCACGAGCCGTCTCAAAGCTGGTCGATCAGGTAACTACATTCCTTTCTGTGACCTACGGATGCTTATACATACCGATCAGGTCTTCCTCTTCTAATAGAATTGACGGTGTACTGCAGCGCTCACTGCATGAATGCGAGTATAATTTGATTACTGATGTCCGAGAGGAGGGTTGAGCGTAAGCAGTCGAAGCTTCGGAGTTGTTCTAAGATTGCATAAACCTCGCGACAAACGTCCAATTAGTTTATTCCAACCAACTGACGGGAATCCTATCACTTCCAACATGTCGAAGGTGAGCAGCACTGTCAATGTCTTCGCGTGCTTATACTCATATATTTACTTGTAGCCTGTCTTATATCGTTTTGGCGGTGTGTGGTCCGCAGTACCTGAGCTTACCTTATAAGCGTAACCTATGAAGACGGGAGATCTCTAACCACCGGAGCGAGGAGCTTGGCTACACGGACGAAGTCGTTCAGGAGAACGTGTCCGTAAGTCGTGATCACTTACAGGAAGAAAATATACTGAGTCTCCATTCTAGTGGAAGGAGAAAACCTCGAGGTCAGTTACCTGAAGATCACTGCCCAGAATATCATCCCCGCCCTCGTCACCCCGACCGGCGAGCTTTACGACTCGAGCATGAGCAGTACCCAATGCCTAATCAAGAATGCGCCTCAGGGTGCTAAAACCGGCAAGCCAGCGGATCCCAAACTCCTTGAGATTCCCCATGCCGATAATATCAACCCAAACGTCTTTCTCTTGGCCGCACGTAATCAAGAGGAACTCGATACGAAGAATTAATCGGTACCCGGATACTTTGTTCGTGCTCGTGAGTTCGAGTTGTCTTCATCGCGGAGAGCTCTGACAATTGGTCTGCAGACTACAATATCCTCCAACGTGTCGCACCGACTGCGCCTGCCGAGTTTAAGAAATTTTATGATGCAAAATGGCCAAGACAAACGGTCTCAGTGCCATTTACACGCCCGGTACCTCCAGCGATTTGAATGCGCCATACTTCAAAGCCTCTCAAAACAACTGGAACGCTGTCGCCAATTTCACCCTCAGAGTTCTCTCTACACATCTCCCCGAACAAGGATTCCTTGGAAGGGATATCCCTGGCGAAGCCGACTACCACGTAGGAGCATGGCCCGCGTGTATCACCAACATCCTGGGAGCGAAGAATGAAGCCGGAGCATGGAAGTCGTTTGAGGCATTTGGGCCTGTTCCAAAGAGCTTGCGGAAGTATTTGGACGCGTGGACGACGAGAAAGTCATGGAACACAGTCTACAAGAACAGGTTTCGCTAGGTAGTTAAATATCTATTCAAAAAGTTGTGAAACAGGGTGTTTCGACATCATACTCGGTTTACAGTTGTACTTGGGCCTGTGCATCCGAGGGCCCCCATCCTTGTTCTCGCTCCTAGCCCAGTTGAAGCGATTGTGTGTGCATCATGAACTCTGAAATTCAGCTCTACAAGCGGACTCATAGGCCCATTGTCGTGGATGCCATGAAGTAGCCGCCCGTAGGGAATGCATTGCCGAGGTCGGACGAGGTGGCGCCCCCTCAAAGCGGGTTGATCAGGTAAGATAATGTTCCGTGATCTACGGAAATGCTCACACGTACAAATCGGGTGTTTTTCTTCCAATAAAACTTGGCAGTGCACCGCAGGGGAGTCGTATAAACTGATTACTGATGTCCGATCATGAGTATGCATGCGGTCTCGTCGGCAATTGGCTGCCGGCGTTGGGCGTAAGCAGTCGAAGATTCCGAGTCTTGACGTAAGATTGCATAAAAGCTCGCGACAAATGTCCAAGTTGTTTGCTCCAGCAACTTGGCATCCTACTACATCCATCATGTCGAAAGTGAGCAGCGCTCTCGAGTTTCTCTGCATGCTTGTACTTATCCCCGTCTGCGCCCCGTAGCCAGTCTTGTACCGCTTTGGTGGCAGCGTGTGGGCTGCTGTACCCGAGCTTGCCTTGTGAGTATCAGTGATGAGGATACGTAGATTCCTAATTCGTGCAGTGAGGAGCTTGGCTATACCGACCAAGTCGTACAAGAGACCGTGTCTGTCTGTGGGTCGCAATCATACATCTGCAGGAGGACGCCATACTGATCCTCATTTATAGTGGAGGGAGAAAACCTCGAGCTCAAGTATTTGAAGATCAGCGCCCAGGGAACCCTCCCCGCCATCGTCACCCCAAGTGGCGAGCTTTACGATTCGAGCACGAGCAGTACCCAATACCTGATCAAGAATGCGCCCCAAGGTGCCAAAACTGGCAAGCCAGCCGACCCTAAACTCCTCGAGATTCTCCACGCCGACAACATTGACCCAAACTTCTTCCTCCTGGCCGCACGTAATCAGGAAGAACTCGATGCGAAGAACCAATCGGTACCCGGATACTTTATTCGTGCTCGTGAGTTCGAGTCGTCTTTAGGGGTAGACAGCTCTGACGATTGGCCTGTAGACCACAAGGTTCTTCAGCGCGTCGCACCGACTGCGCCTCCTGAACTCAAGGATTTCTATGACGCCAAAGTGACCAAAATTAGCGGTCTCAATGCCATTTACACCCCAGGTGCTTCCAGTGATTTGACTGCACCATACTTTAAAGCCTCCCAGGAGAACTGGGATGCTGTCGCCAATTTTCACCCTCAAAGATCTCCCTACATACCTCCCCGAACAAGGATTCCTCGGTGGTGACATCCCTGGTGAAGCTGACTACCACGTAGGAGCATGGCTCGCACGTATTGCTAGCGTCTTGGGCGCAAAGAATGAGACTGGGGCATGGAAGTCATTCGAGGTATTTGGACCTGTTCCAGAGAGCTTGCAGAAGTATTGGGAAGCGTGGACGGCGAGAAAGTCGTGGAACGCGGTCTACAAGGATGGGCTTCATTAAATAGCTGCGTACCTGTTCGAAAATTGTGAAACGAAGCACTTTCAAATCATATTCGGTTTACAGCTGAACTTGAACCCGACCACCCTTCGGCACATTAGAGACGAAGATCTCCCGAGAAGCCATGCCGACTCGTGCTGCCCAAATCCCGGTGTCTTGGTCGACTGCAGGCTTCTTATAGTCCCCGTTTGTGTCCAATTTTTGCGCCCACTTACGCTCCTCCACGTCAGATCCTTCACGGCTGGCAGTTCTGAAGTCATACTGGCCAAAATCTCTTGGCTGTGCACCTCTACACTCGTTTAGATATCTTTAAATGGATGCTCAACCTCATTCACACTGGGAGATTGACATTACGACGGCGAGCAGCGTTCTGTTTGACGTTGTCTGCTTCGCCGTCTGTCTCTACACTCTAGCGACTCAAATCCTCCAGCTCTCGACTGCACAATCTTCCGCAAAGTCACCCACCTCAAGTGGCGTAGCTTCAGGGGTAGCCACACGCGAGTACTCGGTGTGGAAGAATAAACGACGCCTCCCCATGCTCACCGCAACGCTTGCGACGCTCCTTTGGCACGCTGGTCGTCTGAGCTTGGTCATCATACTCTCGCTCGAGGCTATTCGTACTCGACAACCTCCGGCCGGGGCCACAGAAGAAGACGAATACGCATACGAGGAGAGATCCAATAACCCTTTCCTACGTCCTCCTGCTGTCTATATAGTTCTCGCTCTCCCTGCCTTTACGCTCGTCTCGCGTACATCCATCATCGCCCTCTTCGCGTTTCAAAAGTCTCATAAATGGCACCAAGAGACGACGGCACACAAGAAAGGCTCAACCCAACGTAGGAGAAGCACATCTCACGGGACCGAGGCTGCAGAGACGGCAGTGGCAGGCAAGACATCTCGGATCTTCGACCGGGTCATGCAATACATCGTTGACTTGCGACTTCGACTATATGGTCCTACTCAGAATCTCTATCTCGTCGCCTTCTATCTCTGTACCGGTCTCGCCATTATGTTTGTACCGTTCACCTACAACCTGATCTGGTACCTCGACACGCCTCGGTTGGAGTTTATGTCGACGCTTTACTTGGCCGGCATTGTGAGCGACGCGTCGTTGTTCAGTTCCTCTGAAAAGGTGAGTGCCCTCCTTCTCCTTTGAATCAGGATAGAGACTCAAGCTTGAGCAGCGCCGCAGAGGCATAACCCATCTCAGGAACCTCGTCAATATCAGGTGGTTTGCATTGGGGTTAATGTTCTTCCGTCTGGGTCATGATGTGGTCTGGAGGTTTTTACTAGACGGCACCGCCGTACAGCTACTTTGGAAGCTCCATGCTTGAACGAGAGAATAAATCATGCTTTTACCTTACTTTATATGCGAGGCTGAGCCAAAATGTGGGGGCCACCTCTTCTATGCCGACCTTTCATAACAATGACAGCAGGCAATCCCTTATTGGCTCAGAGACTTCAGAACTAGACATTTTACCTTTACCAAATCATGGGAATTCTATAGATGACCCGGACGTGTCACGCATGGCGACACTGACGGGCTCGAAACATGTACAAGGTCCCAAATGGGCCCATCCTCTTATTCTCACGGCGGCTTTCTTTGCAAATCAAAGTATTTGGAGCACGGAAATGGCTTACGGTACGTTTGACCTCGCCGGGATATTTTGAGATGCCCTGACGGTGCGAAAGCATCTCCATTCTTGCAATCTCTTGGTCTCTCAAGGTTCCAAATCGCACTCGTATTTCTTGCGGCACCATTATCTGGTCTCATCGTTCAACCTGCCATCGGCGCGTCGTCGGATCGCTGTACATCCCGCTTTGGACGACGCAGACCGTTCATGTTCATCGGATCAATTCTATGTGGTCTCTTTATGCTTCTGCTTGCATGGTCATTGGAAGTTGGCGAGGCTCTCGGCGGTGTGAGCGCATCTCCTTCGTTCCCATCGAAACCACTAACGTTTGGTAGGGACATAACCTAGAGTCACTATCGCCATTCTTTCCTTCTACTGTGTGGACTTCACTATCAACGCTGGTTCGTTGCTAAATAATCATGGACTCTTGACTTACCCTGCACTAAGTAATCGCGGCGAGCCGAACCCTAGTCGTTGACACGCTTGCGAAATCTGAACAAGAGGAAGCAAACATGTGGATTAGTCGCATGACTGGTCTCGGCGCCTTGGGAGGTTTCTTCGTTGGGCATCTTCACTTGACATCTTTGCCGCTCATTCGCAATCTCGGAGAAACACAGCTTCAAGTGCTTTCTGCACTTGTTGCGGTTCTCTTGATCAGTTTTCATCTGGGTACTTGCCTCTTGGTTCGCGAGCGCGTGCTCGTCCGACGAGACGAATCGTGAGTTCACCTCGTTCCGAGATGCCATTCTAATACCCTTAGGCGTACTCACCTATCACTTGATAAATATGTCAAGTCGGCCATGACGTTTGTTCGAAAGCACACGGTCCACCTGCCATTGCAGATAAAGAGAGTGGTGAGCAAGCCTTTACTCTTCTAACTGCCCTCTAACATGAACAGTGCTGGATCCTTTTCCTGTGTGTCTTCTGCAAGGGGGAAATCACGTAATGACTTTTGGCAGCTCCTGGATCGGTTGGTTTCCCTTCATGTTTTTCGGTGCACTGTGGATAGGCGACATCTACCGACGGGAGCATAGTAACAAGAGCGACTATCGTACTGTTGAAGAAATTGACCAGGAAGCCTCCCAGGCGTCTGCGCAAAGCATGATGTATTATGCCTTGGTCGCATTTCTATCCTCTTTGCTTCTACCTTTGGTCGTTGCACCTCAGAAGCTGCTTCAGGAGGGTACAGAGACATTGGAGGAGTCTTTTTCGAGGTCTCAATGGCTTATTCGACCTCTTCAGAAGAGATTCAACCTCTTGACTGTCTGGGCTTTCAGCCAGGTCGTCTTTGCCCTCTGCCTATTCTCAACAGTGTAAGCCTTGTGGATCAGCCCGCGAATTTGATTTCTTACTGCTTCATTTAGATGGACAACAACTTACGCGGGCGCCTCCATTATTTATGCGATTTGCGGCTTCCCCAGTGCTCTACTACACTGGGCGCCCCATGCAATCGTTCGTCCTTCCCTTCCTCTTTGCTTTGTCTCATTCTTTCGTAGCTTGGAGAGTCGATCCTCGCTGAAGTGTATGAGATGCCACCGCCCGCTAGTGGACAAGAACAAACGGCGCTATTGGCAGATGAAGAAGCGGTTGCAGCACCACTTCCGTCTCCCAGAGGAAGGCGCAAACCCGAGCAAGGTGTTCGAGATAATCCCGGCATCGTTCTTGTGCGTACCTCGCTAGTGCTCAACCTCTGCTAAACGGAAAGTAGGGCGTGGCAAACGTGGCTGTAGTCAGCCCGCAGTTTATCGTCATTGCCATCTCTGCAATCATTTTTGCAATCTTTGAGCCTGGTCGTAGCGTCATTCCGGGCCATGGTGGTGGCGGCAGGAAACCGTCCGAGCAGTTCGACTCGATCACAATGGTGTTCTGGTTGGTATTCACTCACTCTAGTTAGTTTTTACTGAAAGTTACTCCAGTCTCGGAGGCGCCTGTGCACTAGCATGCATCCCCATAATACGCAAACTTAGAAGAGAGTATGACTAATGGAATATCTTCAACAACCTTTTTTCAGCACTAAGTTACATGAATAAACCTTTTGCGTGATACATTCCGGGCGATGGTCCGGGCCTTCATAAGTCATGATGAATGGTGATACATATTTAACATCCGTGAAAGAAAACATGGTAACTATTAGACTCGTTAGAGGCTGTATGAAGGCCTATATAAACACTCACCGAACAGCTAGGCGGGAAGAGAGGCAGAGAGGCAGAGAGGCGAGAGATAGGAAACCGTACATCTGTTCGAAAATTAGATGTGAATACAAGAAGCAGGAAGAAAACTCACCAATTAGAGGACACCGCTGGAACTTTCCTTAGTGAGCAGCTCGTTCAAACATCGGACAACGTTTCCAACACCAGAGCGGACAGTGTCTCGTTCCTCTCCCTCCGGCACCCAGCCCAGGTAACGGCTTTCGAATCGGTCTGGATGCCATCTCAGCAGGGCATCACGGATGCGGTCACGCCTGCTCTTGGGAGATGGATTCCACTGACTGAGGAGAAAGTTGCCGACAGCGTTGCGGGTAATGGCATCTGGATTCGCTGGCGGGTTTAGAAGGGGCCAAGGAACCGTGGCAAATGTAAGAGGCATGCCTCCAGTGGCTGCTTGTGCAACGAGCTGCTTCCATTTGGCCTCATAAGCCTCCCATGCATCGGCGACGCGCTTGGGCATATTGGAGGAGAGTTGGGCAGAACGATCGCGTGCTTGGAATCTTTCCGTCATCCGTGCATTCTCTTCGCGGATTCGGGCCTCTTGAGCACGACGCTCCGCTTCCTCTTGTTGGCGCCTCTCTTCTGCCATGCGTCGTCTCTGCTCCTCTAAGAGTTGAGACTGCTTTTCAGTAAGACGACGGCGTCTCTCGTTCTCTTGCCTGATTCGCTCTCTCTCCGCATGCTCAGCATCCAGCCTGGCTTGCTCGGCTTCGAGACGCTGTAATCGTTCAGCTTCACGTCTGTCAGCTTCCTCCTGTGCTCTTCGTGCAGCAGCAGCAGCGCGTTTCTCTGCTTCTTCTTGTGCCCTGCGAGCGGCCGCCTGGCGCTCAGCCTCTTCTAGTGCCTTGCGAGCAGCGGCAGCTTGTCTCTCGGCCTCTCTCTCTGCTTCTTCTTGTAATCGTCGCGCTACTAACAGTTCGGCTTCCATACGCTCACGCTCACGTTGCTCTGCTTGGATCTTTGCTTCACGCTGCCTCTGGAACTCGGCAAGACGCTCCTTTTCGATCGCGATCAGTCGTGCTTCGTGCTCAGCAGCCTGGCGTTCGCGTTCTTGTCTCTCTTCGGCTTCGCGTTGTTCATCCTTCATCTGTCGTTGCTTGCGCTTCTTCTTGCTTTCGGTAGCTGGGCGAGCGGGGATTGGTGGAGGTGGGATAGCTGTTACATTTGGCTCCGGTTCTGGTTCTGGTTCTGGTTCTGGCTCCTCTGGAATGGGCGTAATGGGTGATATTTCTGTCGCATTATGATGAGCGGATTCGTGGGGAATCTCGGCAGGCATTTCTCGAAGGTTTGCTTCCAGTCGTTCGGCTTCTTCTATCTGCAATCGGAGACGTTCCTCTCTTTGGCGGAAAGCGATTTCTCGTTTCTCCCGTTCTTTGCGTTTCAATTCGGCAAGCCTGCGTTGGGCCTCCTCCTCTCGACGCGCCAGCTCTTGCTCACGAAGCAGAAACTCTTCTTCCTCGCGCTTCAATGCTTCGAGTTGCTCCTGCTCACGACGTCGCTGCTCAGCCTCTCTCGCTCGCTCGGCATCTTCACGCTGTTTCTTGGCGAAAGCCTCCTGCCTTGCCCGTTCCCTCGCTGCTTCTTCTTGTCGCTTCTTCTCTGCTGCCGCTCGGGCTCTTTCGGCCTTCTCGCGTTTGCGTCTTTCCTCTTCAGCACGCCTCTGAGCAGCGAGTTCCTCCTGTCTCTTTCGCTCCTCTTCACGCTTCCGTGCTTCCTCCTCTTCACGCTTTCGCTCCGCCTCAAGTCGCTCCGCCTCGAGTCGTTCTTCCTCCTCGCGCCTGCGTTCTTCCTCAAGTCGTTCCTCTTCTTCACGCTTTCGCTGCTCTTCACGGAGTCTTTCCTCCTCCTCGAGTCGTTTTCTTTCTGCGGCCTCCTCTTCCTCTTTGCGTTTGCGCTCAGCCTCCTCTTCTTCTTCTTTGCGCTTGCGCTCAGCTTCCTCGTACTCGATTCGTTTTCGCTCCTCCTCTTCTTCGACTCGCTTTCGTTCCTCTGCTTCGGCACGTTCACGCGCAGCCTGCTCTTCCCTCTTTCGCTTTTCCTCTGCCTCGCGCTCCTGAGCACGACGCCTCTTTTCCTTTTTGGAGTCGCGATTCATTGTGACTGGCTCTATATGAACGGAGGTGGAATCCATCTCGGACGTCTGTGTAACCGTAGCAGGCGACGGGGACGATTTGGCGGCCACGAGGGCCGGCTTGGGAGGGGACATTGAGCGAGTGACTGGGTCAGGCACCTTGCGGAGAGGGTCATGATTGAAACTAGGAATCGCGGGCCGAGCTCTGAGAGGTTCTGGGCCGATTGACGAAGCAAAGATGTCCGAGTTGGACATGGACGTCTTGATTGGGGGCGTGGATCGCGGTGTGGTTTCTGAAGTCGTTGTAGCGCTGCCAGGGTCGCCATTGTTGACCTCTGGGCGTGACCGATGCGACGCTGTTGAGCTGGGCCTAGTCAGTATTGGAATGGGAGGAGACGGTTGGCCGCTTTGAATCCAAGCATTCTTCGAGGGTGAGTGACCAATATTGAGCGAGCTGATCGTTGATGGACGTGAAGGCAACCCGGGACCTGATGAGCCGACACTACTTCCCGGATGCACCGACGAAGCCGCGGCAGGAGAAGAAGAGCTTGCCATGGAACTCCACTGGGCCATTACGGATCGAGATGGCGTTCCATGGTTTGACGTTGACGAAGGGTTGTGGCCGATTGGAAGCGTGGAAGCGCGCGAGAGGGTAGAGGCTGGCGTATGCGTTGCACTAGTAGTCGCATCTATGGAACCATGCCACCGATGTCCTTGACTCGTGGGGGACGTGCTGAGGACCTGATTCAAGGAGGCCTTTGCACCTGGTAGTCCGATAGGAGGTGCAAACGACTTTTCACCAGCAGATCCCCTCCGGGAGCTGGTTGCATCTGATGAAGTAATAGTCGTACTCGAAGACGCACCAGATACCCCTGACCACGCACCAGATGATCGCGTTGACTGGGTACCGCTAGAGGAAAACGTGGTCGACGAGGAATTTCGAAGATGCTGAGGAGTGGTGTTATTGTTACGAAGGGGTTGAGAGCCCATATATATCTGAGAGTTCATTCGACGATGACCAGCGTCGAACGAGCCGCGTGCAGAGTTGGGGATAGAAATCGGAGGAGTGCCCTTTTGACCATGAGGAGTCGGGATGTCCGACTCTTCATCGTCAACGGCAACCTCGTCTGAACCCGAGGAAGATGCAGTTGAATGGCGATTTTCTAGAGGATTGACTGATGCGTTTGCAGTCGGTGGTTGAGTAGCCCGCGGCCGCGAAGATGCGAGCGAAGGCGGGGATTGGGAGGAGCTGGCGGCAATATTGAATGTTTGAGACATGGCGCTGTGGAGCTGACGATTGGTCGGCGTGGACGAAAGGATCGGAGTGGCCCCGCGCTGCAGTGTGGGGCTGGAACTTGGGGCAATGCCATGTCCAGAGCCTGGAATAACAAAGCTGCCGCTTCGAGCGTGTGGACTTGACGACGCGACAGGATGGGCAGTTCCTCCAGTTGACCCTGCTCTGTTCCTACTATATTGTTGCAGCATCTTCTCCTGGTTCGCAATAAAGAGCTGCTGGGCACGCTTGTGAAGTTCTCCCTGCTGGCTTTGGAACCTCAGGCGAGACTCTTCAATGTCCTTTTCGGCATTTCGTCGAACTTCGTCTGTGCGGCTTTTCGCGGCATTCTTCCACGTCTCAAACTGATCCCGAAAGATTTTATTCTGATCCATGGGCGATGGTTGGCGGTTGCGTGAGACGGAGCGGTCCGAACCACTGGTGCTGTTCTGGCGACGCAGATAGTCGATGCGGGATGTTATGGAGTCTGAATCCACATCACCAGGGGGCGGTATACCTGGCCCGATATCGCGAGAGGGACGTCTAGAGGCTCCGTAGGGGGAGGATGACTGCATGGCGCCTGGCGAGGACGAGGCCAAGTTTTCAAACAGCGACATGGCAGAGGGCCGGATTGGAGTGACGTGCGAAGGAGAAGGGGAGCCCCGCAGAGTCCCAGAACGAAGCCTACTCGGGAGTGCGGATGCGAGCTCGTCTGTCCTCATTCGTTCACGCGCACGTCGCCGCTCCGTCGCTCTCCAATCTTCATCGTCTTCGGTCGGCGGTGGCGTTTTCAGGGATTTGCGGGACCTTTCACTCTTGTCGCTCCTGCCACTGCGACGCGATAAGCGAGCACTGTGATCCGATTCGTCCGCACTGCTGGCATTTGCAGTGTGAGGACGAGAGGAGTGTTCCGAGTTTTGGGCGCTCGCCTCGTCGTCGCCACTCTCGTTGTCGGGTTCCTCTTCGTCTTCGTCGAGAGCATGTTCGGGAATATCGTGACTATCAGCGTCGCCATCATTGCTCATGTCTTCCACACTATCCGTAGACCCGTCGTCCTCGTCTTCATCATCTCCTGAATCCGCGCGGGCTCTAGCTTCAGAGGCGAGCTCAAAGGCAGCCGCTCGCGAAGGTCGTTCTACGGGGGCATCATCGTCATCCTCTGTATCGTCGTCGTCGTTTTCACTCTGCGAACTGCCTGGTTCGCTCGACGATATCTGCAGTGCTTCTAGATCGTCGTTGTACTTTGCCATGACACTCTGGACCTTTGCGTTGAACTGATCCATCGCGCCCTTCCTCTCGTCTTCTGTGCGGCAGTTGAGCGTGACAAGGTGGTGCTCCTCTCGTAATCTGGTCATTTCCTTGCTCCATGAGTCGAAAAGGGCCTCGAATCTGCGCTCGCGCCGGTTGTACTCTCTGCCGGCGCGTCCAGACGGCTGCGAGGGTCCAGGTGACGGGAAATAGCTCTGGGATGAGTTTACAGGAGTCCTTTGCGCATGTCTGGACGCGTTTGGGAGTGGCAGCGGCGGTCGATTCGAGCTGCTGGTGGCCCTGGTCGGCGTTGGAGGCTCCTTGGGCGACACGGGGCTGGCAACTGCGCTCTCAGAGCTTCCATGAGGAGGGACCCAAAAGTTCTTTGCCCGTTGAGCGGACTGCATCCTGGAATTTGGCCCAATCTCAGCCCCGACGATCATCAAGGGTGGCGATGGACACAAACGACGCACCAGACGGCCGCAGAAAAAAAGAAAAAAGAAAAGATTGGCACGACGGACGGGCGAAGAAACGAATGAGAATAGTATCCAGTCACAGTCCCCGCTCGCCCTCCACGGCGTGCTGACAGACTCAATAGCTCAACCCGACGCCCGTGCTTGTGCACTAAACCTCGTGTGCATAAAACTTTATTGGTTTCCTGCACAGATTACATGTTCATACGTCGAGTTACACCAATAGAATAGTCACACACAAGCCCAGCGAAATGTTAATTCGTCTTCAGTTGTTTCCCTAGTAAAGAGTCTCCATAAGTAGTCGTAATCGTATCCACGGAAATGTCCGGTTTTCATGACGTCGTTTCCCCATGCGTCTGCAGCGAGTCCTTCCCCCGCATCTAAAAAGGTCCCTTCGGCCAATTACGATTCTCGGGCCAGGAGAGCGTTGAGATGCCTTGCAACCGTCTCAGCACCCTCCTTGACAGCCGCTCGTTGGTCTTCGGCCGTCTGGGCGATGATCCTCGCCATCTTGTCTGGATGCCACCTGAGCAACGCCTCGCGCAGACGGAGCTTGCGAGCACGAGCATCATTGTTGCTGTTCGGTGATGACGACACTGAACCCTGAGGTGTGGCTGACGAATGGAACGAGGATAGGATAAACGACGCAATGTTGCCTTCCGTCAGCTGCGTGCCAATGTCGGATGCACGTCTGGGCTGGTTCAACACTGGCCACGGGATGTCACTAAATCCAAGCCGCGGTGGTGTGGATGTGGTCGAGTTGCCACCTGGATGCGGTGCACAAAGTTTAGACCACCGGTTCTCATACGACTCCCATGCATCTCTAAACGTAGATGCAGGCGTTTGGTAGTTGAACCGTGTGCTGTTCGACCGAGAGTGAGCCCGAGACGGGTTCGAGCCGATCTTGAAGAATTCGGCAAAGCGAGACCATTCAGCCTCGAGGATGTCAGAGTCTTCGTCAAATGTGGGGGAGTATGGCTCTTCGAACGCAGGTGTGCGTGAACGAGAGTGGGATGGCGTAAAGTACTGGTGGCCACGACCCGATTGTTGGTGCTGTTGACGGCCGCGTGTCTCTGGAGCGGGCTTTGATTCTTCACGTTCCTTTTGTCGAGCATTGAGTTCTTCCTGCATGCGACGAGTTTCTTCTTCAATCACTCGTCGCTGCTCCTCAATCTCCCTCCGACGTTGCTCCTCTGCAAGCATAGCCTCCTCTCGTTCTCTCTGCCGATTGGTGTTGCGCTCCTTCTCGTCTTTGATATTCCTTTGTCGATCCTGTGTCTTTTGGTTAGCATTGACAATATAGGCGGCTATGGACGCACTCTATCGAGCTCAACTCGCTCCCGTTGGCTTCTCTGGCGTTCCTGTATCGATGGTTAATTGCCAAGTATTATGTTCACGGCACCACGCACCCGTTCGAGAAAGGCTCGCCGCTCCCAATCCTTCCGTGCATCCTTTTCCCGTTGAGCTTTCTCCCTCGCTTCCGTTTCACGAATGAGCCTTTGCGTCTCGGCAAAGTCATCGTCCTCCTTTTTCCAGACTTCTTCCAGCCGCCTTCGAGTCTTGACTTTGTCTTCAGCCCATCGCTCCCAATCCTTTGCCTTGCGTGGCTCAGCCGTCGCCGCTGGCGTAGCGAACCCGGGCCGAACAAAGTTTTCTGGGAGCACACTATCGATGCTCCCACGTCTCGCTTGGGGTCGTCTCTTTGGAAGCAGCGGCGGAGGAAGATTCGGCGGGTCGAGGATCGCAGCCGCAATTGGGCTCGATGGTTCCAAAGCAGAGTATCCGCGCTTTCTGCCCAAAGTTTGGGTCTGGGGTGCTAGACGTGTGGAAAACGTGGTCGCAAAATCCGCGGAATGACTGTGCTGATGCTGGTTCCTCCTTGCCGCAACGGTAGCATTAGTTTCTTGCTCAATGCTTTCCATCTCATTGGCCACCCATCGGAGCATCTCAATCCTGATCGCTCGTCTCGTGTTATCCGTCTCTTCTCCAGTCGTATTCCCTCCATCGGGCACGAAGAACTCGTGCGCGGGCTTGCGCTCATTGGCGTTTGAGGTAGGCTTGAGGACAGGACGATAGGCTCCAAGATGAATGGTGGACGACTTCTTTGCCAGCGTGGGACGTTCAGGGTTGGGCCGATTCTGGTACTGGACAGGGATTGCGAGCGGTGCCGGTAGTTTGGGTTTACCCGGAGAAGTCGAGGTCATAGATGGACGCGATAAAGGTGGTGGTGGTGGGGTGGTGCCCAGGGCTCCGACCCCGTGGTTTTGGAAGCAATTGACGGTCTCCGTGGTGCATATGGGATCGAATTGGATCGCTGGAGCGTAGCTGGTCGTGATGTTCCTGTTGTAGTACTCGTGTTCATAGATGGTGCAGGCATAGTAGACGACCGAGAGACGGATCGCGAAGGAAGATTAGCAATGTTAGATAACGGCTTTGGGTCAAAGCTCGATCCAGGAAGAGGAGAGCTCGCCAGACGTCCATCTGCCATTCCAAGGCCCTCGGGAGGGCTCATAGTCCGCTTGGAGGAGCCAGCATCCACGGGAATCCACATGGGGGAAGGGCCTTGAGCGTTGATAGAGCCCATGATTCGCACTGCGCTGCAGACGACAGCGAACGAAAATGAGTTGTTCTTGGTGTAGAAGAGCGAGTAGAGGTCGCAGAGTGTTCTGATCTAAGCTCTCCAGAACCAAGGTTGTTTTTGAAGCCCATGCAGCGCTGCGCCACGGCCTTCGTGAGGTTTGATGATCGAGTGGAGAGCATACAATCCGTCCAATACGGCCAACAAGACCCGCTCGTTACCGGGGTGCTGGTCACCTGGCGTGCGTTTTGCGCGAGGCATCTACTCGACGGCCCAAAGGCCGAATCCTGAGACGCTAAATCGTTTTGTGTATCTTTTCCACATGGATTCTGCGCGTCGCTTGCTTGACAGCTCGATTGCACTGGCTACCAGTCGCTGAGGTCCTGTCGTTGCTCATCAAGCCAAAATGAAGCCATACATCGAGAATCTGGCGGGTGTATCAACAAAATTCAATTTCGCTGCAACGATGCGCCAGGGACAGTCGAAACCAGCAGGAGGTAGCGAGGTCTAAGGACGACTGTCATTCAGGAGGCAGTACTTTGCGACACTAGAACTGTCGGAGAGGTCGTCCGGATATCCTTAACGAGGTTCAAACACCGCCAGGGTCGTCATCCAGCCTTTAAACGACACGCTAAACGGGTAACGTCTAAGGCCTCCGAGAGAACACCCTGTGAGCTGTGTCCCCATAAGCAACACTTGAGCCCTGGACGATATCACGCGTGAAGCTTGTTGTATTGAATATTGTCTATATCCTATATGGTAAAGAGCAAGAGGTTTGGCTACCTCCAGAGCAACGAACCGGAAAGCTGTTCAGGGAAAAAGACCGTTGGTTAGGAAGTCTGATATACTCGGACCGAGTTGACCGCCCAGTTTGCATCTGAGATGTTTGGTCAGTACAGATAAACGAAGACGGCGAAGCGGGCGCACTGGCGAAATTGGATGGGTTGGCAACGTAATCTTGAATCGTTCCGGGACATCCAGCAGCGCTATATGTTGCACCAGCCCAGTCTCCTCCCAGCACAATGTCAAACACAATTGAGAGGTTATTGAAGAACGAGGATGCACACGACGAGGCAGCCCAATAAGCCTAAAGGATCATATAGAAACCTGCAGCACAGGGGTTATGACACTTACCCGAGGCGTACCCCATGTCGTTGGATCAGGAGTCGACCCGGTTATGTCGGCGGGGACATCTTCACGCTTGAAGAACCCTGCCAAACGTAAGCACAAGCAGCCGGGGGGAGCTGGAGAGATTTGTGGAACATACAGATGCGTACACCAACATTGTCCCAAAGCGTGGCGTAGACGCCTCCGCCAGCGTCGTTGAGACCAGCCCCGTACGATGTAGTGTCATAGTCCATAATTCCACACCCTATACGCGTGAGCGGCGATAACAATCAGAAAATAACTATTCACCTGCGTTGCTGTTAATCGTAGCGTCACACTCCGTCTCAAGTACGGTGCCAGTAAACATTTCTAGGGGATTTTGGTCTGCTCTGAGCGTAACACCGCCAGCAAGCGACTTGGTTGCATCGAGTTGGCAACCAGCAGAAGCATGGACAGTCATTTGGTTGTAGACGTTCTCGTGGACACCTTCGACGACATCAATCTACAAAGGTCAGCGGAGCCGAAAGGTCAAAGACAAAAGTACCTCGCCACCTGAAAGGAGTCAGCTATAGGCTCGCAGAGAGAGAGAATGAAACAAACCAGATGGCCAATTCGGTCCTACAAGCCATGCCGCAGGCCAGGTAGAGCAACCATGAGGCGCCTTGAGAATATCGAAGATGAACAGGCCCTGACCGTACGACTTTTTCGTCGTAATACGCACCCTGTTTGTGATTAGCAGAATATCGTCGCGAGTAAGACGGCATACGAGTTCCTCTGTTCGCTGTCACTGACGGCCAGTGTCGTCGTCGTATCGACGGTCATAACAGCCACTCCATCGTCTCGCACATAAGCCAAGTTGGAAGACTTTGCTTCGTCGGCGGACACATATCGAATCATGCCATGCGTGGGGTCTGCATACTCGAAGAAGCTTTGGAGGTTTAGATTACTTCAAGAGGTGCAACTTATATACTTACTCCCAGCCACTAGGAACTATTAGGTCGATCACCTCGTATAGAAGAAGACTCACTCGAAGAACGTCGGACCCTCGTATGAGTCGACTAGGTTGTACGCAGAGGTTGAATTTTGACGCGAAGTTCCCACTGGTGTAATGGAAGAAATTGTACGGGTAGGTCGAGGGTGCCGACGTCTTGCAAGACGTGCATGATCGCGCGGCTTGGCTTTGTGGTCGTGAGCGTTGTCTCCAATCATCGATGAGGATAAATCATCAATGTGACCGGGTATATGGGTAGGAGCTCTGGCAGCCAAGGTAGCGGTGCTTGTACTCGAGTCGCCCGTGGGTGAGTTGGTCAATGTCGTCTGAGTAGTCGCCGTCGTTGTCACAGCTGATACTTGCGTTGTAGTCGTTGCTTCCGTTGTGTGTGTCGACAATCTGCCCGACTCGGAGTGGTGATGACCAGAGATATGGCGTTGAGACTCTGTGTGATGAGAGCGCATAGGATGGGAGTGCGGTGACGATTCAAGTACAGTGTTTGAATGGAAAGAAGTTGTGTGGAAAGAGAAAAAAGGAGACGAGTGCGAGAGCGTTGGAGACGAGCCAAAGCTGGGCGAGGTCGCTGCTGCGTGTAGCGGGGAGACAGGAGTCGAAGAGTGAGCGCGATTCACAGAGAATTGCCCTGCAACTGCCAGACCAGTGTTGGAGAGGGCCATCAAGGCGCCAACGATGACGGCAGATGTGGAGAGTGCATTGTGCATTGTCTGGCGGGACATGATGGAGTGAAACGCAAGTCGTGGATGCAAAAGTAGTCGCTGCTGTAGGATGTCGCGAGAGAAGAGAACAGAGGGAGGGAAGGATCAAGAGACGACTTGGTTCGCTCGGAAAGAGTGCCACAAGTGGCTATATTTGCAATGGCGAATCGGAGCTCGATGTGCCTTGCCGCAGCAAATTCTGAATCATTGGGCCGAAAGTGGGTACACGAGGCCGGTACTATTTGAGAAAGGAGCGGGTCGCTATTCGTGTCAGATTGCGCAGCAGAATAGAGTCGACGACTAAGGAGTACCTGAAAGCAGCTGTTCATCGTCGTGGATCATCTTAGTGGCAAAAAGGCCCAGAAATCTGGTGGTCATAATCGTCAAGCGTGTCAGTGTATGGAAGTGAAAGAATATTTTCTCTCTCATAATATACCATGGGGTCGATCTAACCAGTATCTCCTACTTGCCGTCGCCAGGAAACCTCCGCAGCTACGTCTGGACAACGTCGTAGATGAATCGACCCGCGAAGATGCCGTATAAATGCGCATATCCTGTAATTTACTTGCAGCTCGACACGCATGATTTCAATTTTGGTTTTCATGGCAGAAGTTTCAGCTTCTGTCTCTCGCTGCCACCGACCGAGTGGCTGAAGGTTCTAATGATTTTGTAGGGTTCAAAGTCATAACGGAATCATCATTCAATAACGATAGTAGTTTCAAAGGCGTAAAATGATCTCGCTTACGCATTCAACTCGTGGATTCACATGCAGTTGCTTAGATTAAACAAATGGCGTAGGAAAGGGCATACATTGCATGGGAGGTATGCTGGTACGCACGAGTGGGTGAAGGCTACAAGGGGCGGGTCGTGGACGCGCGAGGGACTACAAGTCAAAGATGTGGTGTCTGCTACATGTACAAGGGTGGAGGTGATCGGTATCGAGAGCGGGGGGAGAGATGGGGCGTTCGTAAAGGTCGTGATATGTCGTGAGGTCGTAAATCGGAAGCGGCGACGGAAGGAGAGAGGAGAGAGGAAAGAGGAGAAGAAGGGCAACGCATCGCACAAAAGGACAAAATGAACGTGGGTTGTCCAGATCAAGGACGAGTCTATGTCTAGATGGAAAGGGGATCGCGGGGCATGGACGCATGCCTCCAAAATAACTCTTTACCGACAACAGAGGATGGGAACTGGTACGCTTTAGTGGGTCGATAGCCGGCGATCCATGGGGCTGTGCATGAGTGCAAAGCTACTGACGCGCGGTGAGCAAGCGTAGTGGGCTGCTGAGGGCGTCATCGGCGACGTTGGGTTCATTGCGATTGACGAACGGACGAGAGCGTTGATGGCCGTATCGTCTGCAAATATGCTGATGAGCGATTCATGCCCGCCTCGACCAGGTTCTGCAGCGCGCTTTTCGAGCGTTTGAAGCGCGGTGAGCCAGTGGGAGGGAGGTGAGATGACGTTGGGCGAAGAGCCAGCAGGGAACGTCGACGGAGACGAAAAGAGCGCGACAAGGTCGTACGCGATAAAGTTGCGGTAGGTATGCGAGATTTGGAACATGCCCGGGCGTGGCATGGCGCTGTAAACGACAGCGGAGATGTGAATGTCAAACGCAGTGAGCCGTTTGGCACCAGGATTAAGCAGACAATCTGCTGTCAGAACTAGAGGGACATGTTAGCATTGGTGATAGGTGGTGACAACAAAAGGGAGCCGACGGAGCAGAACAAACGCTCAAGGAAGGAAAAAAACTCACTATAAATGAGCTCGAGAGAGTCATGAGAGCGGATGAGGCCGTATTTCCCCTGAAGAGCGACTGCGATGGCGGCCATTCGAGCGTTGGCGTAGGCGCACTCTTGATCCTTTTGATGTGCGATGCGTTGCATGGTTGTAGGAGATTGATGACAGGACTTTGTGTTCGTAAAAAGGGTGTCGTAAAGGTTTGGGTCGTAAAGCAGAGAGGAGGGAGGCGGGAGAGGTACAGAGCAGACAGGAGAGCTTGAAGTCTTGAACGATCAGAGCTCAAGCCAGCTTATATGGGCCAGCCCGCCTGTGCAATGAGGCGCCGGGCCCGATCCCAAATTAGGCAGCCACCTTTTGTTCGTCCGCCTCAATGGGGAGTTTGCACACCACTGCATGGAAAGCATTCACAGAACCACAGAACAACACCAACAAAACAAAAGACGCTTCCACAGCTTCCTGGCCATTCATCTCGCCCTCGCCTTTCCATGCGCCCCTTGATTCGCTACCACTCCTTCGATATCTCAAACGACCATGTAAAGTCTGCATTGTGACGTGCAAAACAAGGGATTGTCAGTTTCGGCACAATCACTGCGTATCCAGGCGACGCCCTATCCCCCCCAGTATGTACCTGTCAAGGCCTTTGGCCATTTAAGGATCAACAAAGTGGATACCCCTCTTTCGCTCGACAAGCGTGGGCTTCTTCCGCTTCTCCACGCAGACAATCGACCTTCGCGGATTCTCGTCCCGAAACGAGAACAATCCCAATAGAGTTTGCGCTTGTCTCGACCCCTTCACCATCGATCCGCATCAAGCATCAGAAACATTGGCCAATCTGCGGCTCTTGTTCTGTTTATACTTGGGAGGTATGGGAAAAGATGAACCGGCAGCGGACTGAAAACAATCCGCGGAATCGACGGTAAAAAAAAAGGGAACAAAAACTTACCCACATATGGAACCTTTCCATCGTCATCCATAACGCGACTCCTAACGGTGTATTTACCCCGAGCGAGCATCCCAGATGGCGCTTCTTCTTCAGGGAACGTCTTTGAGTAGGCATTACCATCAGGAGAAGGAGCATATGATCCCAGCATCTGCTCCATCTTATCAACTGGTCCACCGTTGTGTCAGGTTCGTTCTACTCCCCCTATTATACCACTCACCCACCACTCCTACGCGCTTGACGATGTGGAGATAGCGAAGACCAGAAACGATGCCATGGTTTACCCTGAAGTGAATATTGACACTTTTGTGCATGTCAGTGTCAAGGCATAAACCTAAGGTGGGTAGTCGTACCTATAATGAGCACCCTCCTTGATCTTGATGGGCTGGGGGTTCTGAGGGTCGAGGACGATAGGTTGTGGAAGTGAGGGATCACCCGACGTCAGAGTCAGGTTGATCACTGTAATCTGTCGCTTTGCTGAGAATTTGGTCATTCAGAGCGGTTTATTGGTACCTTCGGACCAGTAGGGGCAACCATCGCACTTCCTCCGGGGCCAATGCCAAGAGATGCCTTCCATTTGGCAAGAGATTCGTCCTCTTTATCAAGATTGGCCAATTCCTCTGCGCGAAGGACAGGGTGTCAGAACGCATTCACGAGGTACAGGTAGCCCAGGCGTGGGGCAAATGCATTCTTATACAGATACGTACCAACCGTTTCTGCTCTCCTAGCTTGAAGCCTGAAAACTGATAAGCGCCGAGTATGGTCGAGGAGTGTGCGAGCATACCTGGGTGAAAAGTAGGTTGAAGTTCTTGTTCATCATCGTCCTAATATACCAGCAACCATTTCCCGCCACAGTTACGGGCCGTAGCGCGAGCAGGGTCAGGATAGCGGCGAGGTACCGCCGGGATCGTGGCCATCGGCGAGTGGCAGATGAATGATTGATAGAGGAACAAAAACCAAGGTCCAAATAAGAGTCAAAGGCGTGCATGGAGGGCCATAGGAGCAAAGCGTCAACGCAAGTCGAAGACCGAGGCAAAGACGCCGGGGGAACGATCCCAGAAATACACTTACGTGAGGCATTTCGATAATATAGACAAAGAAAATTCAAGTTTGTGAGAGTGTTGTGTGGTCGAGGATTGAATATACGGTCAAGGCAGACTCTAGCCTCCACTGAGTGTGAGCAACGTCGCCCATAGACCACAAGCACCAAGTAGAACCAGTAAATATATGAGAAACTACACATTATACGATTCCACAGAGCCCTTGACATCAATTACCTTGTTAGCCACTTGACCCAGACCAAAACACCCCGTGGCACGACAAAACACTCATACGCCTCACCTAGGCCCAATTTATTGAATATCTATTCCCAAAAGTTCTCGGACTATTATCCTCCCGTCCGAGCACGGTACTTGAAGCTTTTCTTGGATTCAAGACCCCACAAAAAATGAACGTCGGGACCGCAAATCTCGGTGTCAAGGTATACACAGTAAATGGAGCGGCGGCAGGAACTGGTTCTGCATCGTCTTTGCCAGACTGGCTGACGCGAAAACGGGCCGTCAAGAGTGGAAAGAGCAAACGAGCTATTCGCGAAGAAATCGAAGGCGCGGTCAATCTTATCCAAGATTTCGAGTTTCCAGAAGCCAGTAATAAGATTAGAGTCACACGCAACGGTCACCATGCGATTGCGACGGGGGTATACAAGCCGCAAATGCGAGTGTGGGATTTGGACCAATTGACACTCAAGTTTGAACGTCATTCGGATGCCGAAAACGTGGATTTTGCCGTAAGTTGCTTACCAGTTTACTTGTCGGAGGTACTGAGGATCTGTCAAAGATTTTGTCAGACGACTGGACGAAAACGATTCATCTCCAGGCCGACAGGTCAATAGAGCTACATGCACAGGGGGGGCTGCACTATCGAACTCGGATACCGCGATTCGGAAGAGCCTTGGCGTACCATTTTGCCTCCTGTGATGCACTTATTGGTGGTGCAGGCAACGAAGTATATCGACTCAACCTCGAACAAGGGCGATTCATGATCCCCTTTACACTAGGAGGTGACCCTAATCAAGGAGCGGTCGAAGGTGTCAATGCCATTGATATCAATCCAGCCCATAACCTCTTCGCATTTGCGACCGAGGGACCTGGTACCGTAGAGTTCTGGGATCCACGTTCAAAGAGCACCGTCGGGAATCTACGCCTTCCGAGGTCGCTGATTAACCCGAGCGTCGCGACCACATCAACATTACCCGGCTTGGACGACGCTGGCCAGACATTTGCAGCCACTGCGCTAGCGTCGAGAATGGATGGCCTCTCCTTGGCTGTGGGTATGTCCACGGGCCATACTCTTCTGTACGACATTCGCTCTCCAAACCCATACGCGACAAAGGACCAAGGATACGGGTTCCCCATCAAGCGTGTGCAATGGATTGACGGGGCTTCATCACGTATGGCAGGGGACAACTATCTGTACAGTGCAGATAAAAAGGTGCTGAAAGTCTGGGACCGCGATTCGCCGCAGACAAACTTTGCTTCGGTGACCACACCGACGGATATAAATGATGTTTGTCACGTTCCAGGGAGCGGATTGTTCATGCTCGCCAATGAGGGCATTCACATGACCAGTTACTATATACCACAACTGGGGCCTGCTCCGAAGTGGTGCAGCTTCCTAGACAACCTGACGGAGGAACTAGAGGACCAAACTGTCAGAAACACGTACGAGGACTTTAAGTTTCTCGACAAGAATGAACTCTTCAAGTACGTCCCGCATAGTTTCTGGTATTTGTTACTGATCGTTGTCCAGTTTGGGATTGGACCATTTGCTGGGTACACCAGCTCTCAAGCCATATATGCACGGATACTTTGTCTCACTCAAGCTCTATGACGCTGCCAGAGTCATTGCAAATCCCTTTGTCTACGCCGAACATCGAGAGAAGACCATTCGTCGTAAAATGGAGAAGTTGGCGGACAGTCGAATTCGCACTCGAAAAGACCAACTTCCAAAGATCAACCGTGCTCTCGCAGAGCGCATCTTACAAGCACAGGAGAGGGAGAGCAAAAAGCGGAAGCGAGAGGGAGAGACAGAGGACGCCGAACCGGCGAAGGCAAAGAAAGAAAAAAGCACTAACCTCCTTCAAGACAGTCGCTTCAAGGCTGTCTTTGAGGATCCAGACTTTGAGATCGATGAGACGAGCAGAGAGTTTGCACTTCTTCACCCTTCGCAAGCTGATGCAGCAGCAAAGAGTCGAAAGACTAAGACTGCAGTGGACGAAGAGGAGGAAGAGAGTGATGGAGGCATCTCCTCAGATGACTTGGGCCTAGATGGCGAGTCTAGCGAATCAAGTGAAGAAGAGGAACAGAGCAGCGATGACGGTATGATATTTCATGCTCTAAAAGTTATGGGTCACTTACAGCTCTTAGGCATGCAAATGACTAGTATTAGGCCTAATCAGCCTTCAAAAGCATTCCATACCGTCAGACGACCCAAGGCCCTTCCTAAAATGGTCTCTGCCCGAGCAGAGACATCCAGCGACCAAGTCTCGTCCAAATACAGAGACCCTTCTGCAAACTTTGGGCAGCGACGACATAAAGCTAATGGAAAATTGGTCGATGCAAGCTCTGCCTCCTCGGATCAAATTACCAAACCCAGTGGAGATGGAGGCATGATGATCTCATTTATTCCTGGTAAATCTCAGGATAAGCACAAGGCGAAACCGACTGCAAAGAAGCAGCCAGGGATTGAGTACTTGGGCGCTGGACTGGAGCGCGGTGCGGAGAGGCCAGATATACCAGAATCAGAGCGCAAAGGGCGAACACAACGAAGAAAAGGGGTACGGAGTGGGAGTAAGAACGCGTTTCGAGGTCTCTGAGTTGTGTATGTCCCGTCATCTGTCTGCATGTCGTCGAACGTTTGATTGGTTTGTACACTACATGATATTCGAGCATTTCCTCTACCAAACGATGACTTTCAGTCAAGGTATTGTCTAAGAGCTCGTCAACGACAAACCGTCGGCGAAGTACTCTCCACTCGTAATATAGGTAGCGTAGTCGGATAACAGGAGAACGGTCTGACTGGCCATTTCTTCGGGCTGCCGAGACGTTAGTTTGGGGCAGTAATGAATCGACGTGCTTACTAGAGCCGCCCTCTTTTCCGATACCTTATCTCCATTTTGTACTTCACGAGTGGCTTCCGTGGATGCTGGCTGCATGTTCACATAGCCGGGGCTGAGGACGTTGACACGGATCGAATGTGGTGCCCATTCTGCTGCCAGTCCTCTGGCAAGACGGTTCACAGCAGCTTTCGACGAGTCATAAAACACCTGGGGATTGTTAACACTCTCTCAATTGTCTGTGTATCCCGGACCTGATTGAGTTGGGAACTCGATGAAGTCTGGCTGAGAAGCTCCGAGCTAAGAGCAGTGTTGATTACTATGGAGCCTGAACGTTGGTGCTCGAGCCATAGCCTACAGCAGTGATGGGTCAACATCTGTGGGATATGACTGCCTATCCTCGACATACTGAGCAACAGCCTTGCAACTGTTAAAGACCCCAAGGACATTTACAGAGAATACCGTTTGGAAGTCTTCTGGTGTGAGGTTCCATGCGGGATTGACGACGGTGACGCCAGCATACTGAAAGTGAAATTAGAATAAGAAAAGCGATATTCCCGAATACTGACAGCGACGAGACCAGCAATAGGTCCAACTTCCTGTTCGATGGTCCTTAGGGTGGATTTCACTGCTACCTCGTCAGCGACGTCGCAGTTGTATGCTGCAGCCTTTACGCCAAACGCCTGGGCGAGCATGGCGGATATGTCGATGGCATTGGTTGCATTGCTTTTGTTGTCAGGGGTAGCGCGGTAGATGATAGCGACATTTGCGCCTGCCCTTGCCACTGCACGGCTGAGCTCATAGCCCGTCCCGCGGTTCCCACCAGTTACAACAATAGTTTTTCCTGTATAGAGTTTTATTATTCGTTGGTATGGCGGAATGTGACTGACCAGAAAAGTCGAGCACAAATTCCTTGTTCATGTGAGCGGTAGATATCTTTCGAAATAGCACTCCACAGGTGAAATTGATGGTTATATATGGGTTCGAGGGTGACTTCATGCAATGACCGCTGCGATGATTCGCACTCGTCTCCTAAGCTGGGCGTGGGCGTCATGGTGGCCCTGTTCGAACAGCGCTTTGCTTCTAAATGCGCTTATCCGTCATATATCTTTTAGTTTCATCCTTCCTTCCGTTTGGCATTGATTGAATCAATGGATTGGCTAGCGGTATCTGCAAGATGAAAAGGTGTCGACCAATACGTCGATTCTAGAGCAGATGTGGTACGCTGTTTACTCCATATACGTTCCATGGGATGTCCTCCATGACGGCCTCAGGAGGCATTTGCATCACCCAGCGTGTCAGCAGTCAAAATGCCGCCAAGAATAGCTTGTAAAACAATCTTGGAGGTTATTCTCAGACACCTTCTAGAGATCCGCGGACGACGTCGGGGGCAAACAGCACGGCCTAATTTTCGACCCGACGTGCTATGCGTATACAAGCGACTCTTGTCCTCAGCCTCATCAGCCTCTCCAGCGCCTTCAGTTTCCCATTTCTACGTCGCAAATCAATGACCACGGCCTCTAACATCCCCAAGCTGGATCCAGACGCGTATCCGGAGCAACCAACAGGACTTTCATTGGAGCAAGTGCATGTCTACGTTCGCCACGGTACGCCATCCGTCACGGTGGTTACAGCGGCGCAAAAGCTCACTTCTTGCCTGCATTAGGCGAGAGAACTCCCGTCGGGACGCGCATGAATAACCCTCCAGCTAACATACCAGAGCATTGGCCACTATGCAGAGGCGGGAGAAAGTTTTCAGCTGGTATACTACAGGTTACGGAGAACAAGCAGGCCTTGTATTCTCCTGGAACCATCGACATTGAGCGTGTAGTCGAGTTCCGGAATGGGAGCTCAACGTCCGGTATATGGTGTGTTCTCGAGTTGTTGGAGAGTCCATTATTGATCGTTGAACGATAGCATGCTTGGTGAACTCACGGATGTCGGACGCGGGGTGCGTGTTTTCAGGGTCGGTAGTCCTTCCTTCCTAACGGAACGCCTAGTCGACCCACGACTTTGGAAAGGCGCTGAGGAAAATATACATAGAACGGTATACTATTTCTTAGCTTCCTTTCTGGTGTCCGACCCTCTACAGGCTTGGTTTCTTGCCAGATTCGACTCAGGACACCAGTCCTGTATATTACCGGTAAGGTGTTCACCAAAAGCGACAATTTCCTTACAATGCTTTCAGATCTACAAACGTTCCACGGACTATAGAATCTCTGCAGCAGATAATCAACGGCCTATACCCAAACGGGAAAAATCTTCATCGCCCTCAATTACTCGTCCGGTACGTTCTTCCATCTTCACACCGTACTCGAGCTCGCTCTCTTCAGCTTGTCATGATGATGTTCGACGCTCAGAGATGCTGCTGGTCGATTGGCTTGCCTCCGTCTTCTCTATCTGCGCGTTGTATACTTACTGAATTCAATACATTTCTTCTTCTTGACCATTGTAGGAACGCAAAAGACGAAAACATTATCCCAAATCACTTTAGTTGCAAGCGATTAGAGCGGCTTGCCGTCTCGTTTGCGCAAGGTAGAACGTTATAGATTGGTCAAATAGAACTCGTCCGACTCATGGATTATAGCTGCAGCAGAGAAGCTCAACCCAACTCTAAAGCCATTGGACAAGCGATTATCAAAATACTTGGACGGCGAGCCCGTGCGTGTTGATGGCAAGCCCAGAGCATCAGGCATACTAGATACTGTGAGACATATGTACACTCGCCGGACTCCAAGTTGACGACATAATAGATTCGTGCAGCGAAAGCACACAATATTAGAGTGCCCCGCGAGTTCAACGACCAGAGTACCATGGATCTAATTGCAAGGATGCTTACTACCCTTTATATCCACAAACTCACATATTCATAGGAGTTTGCAGTGGTCACGGAATGGTTCGGAGGCTGTAGGTTCTGCACGTTCGACCTTCATCAGCTCACAAGCCATAGACAAAAATCCAGAATATCGTAGACTGGCGATGGGTCCATTACTTGACGATTTGCAGCGGAAGATGCAACAAAAAGTCGAGCAGCAGGACCAGGATCCATTGAAACTACTCGTCTACTCCACCCATGATACAGCCGTGGCAGGTATCACCAATGCCTTTGATGTATTTGACCATAGGTTCGTCCCGTTCGACTGCTCAAGCGTTCGGTTGATAACGCGAGGGATACAGATGGCCAGATTTCACCGCTAGTGTAACATTTGAGCTCTTCAAGCAATCCCCGCAACTCGTCAAACAAGCGAAGCTCCTTGACTTCCTACCATCCACACACAACGAGCCCCAAGCCCCGAGTCCTACACACTGTATGTCCTGTCTAATTCAGGAGAGTTCAATGCTCACATGATCTGCAGTCGTACGAATGCGATACCAGAACAAGAGCTTACCACTGCCAGCATGTGCAAAACCGGGTGACCATCTCCCAGGCCATCCTGAGTTTTGCACGCTTCAAGCCTTTCAAAGACACATCAAGGAACTCACACCGGAAGATTGGGACACGGAATGCATTCCACCACCTCCAGTTACGCCACTTTGATCCAAGGACAAGGCTTTCTTCGGTTCAATCAAGGATCTAGCCGAATTAGCATGCTATTTCTATAAAATAGTAATGATTATACATTATCTTGTGACTCTTTAGCCTGTTTGGATCGTGTGAGTGTTTCAAGCGCTATGGAACGTGTGTGTATAGATTCTCGAATTCTAAAGGGCAGAAATTTCGTCTAGGTACGAAAAAGACACACGTTTATTGCCTGGCTGTTCATCTACCACGAGCGCCCTGAGCTCAGCCTATCTTTGACCTCGCAACGTCTTCGTCTGTTCCTGTCAACCTCATGGCGGACGACGTCCAGCAGCGTATAGTAGCCTCCATCTTTTCAAAAATTGGCCCATCTGGTGTTCCGGAAGAGCGATACATCTCCCATGTCAAGATCCTCGAAAACGAGACTTACGGCGACGTCCATATTGGCCGGAAGATGCGCTATATCTTGATCTAGAGTATGTAATCGCTTTATTCTGTTCCTCTATCTCACAATTCACTTCAAGTGTCCAGCAATGGGTCAGCACAGATCCGCAGGGCACGTGAGAACTCAAACGGTTCATTCTCGATCGGGAAGACCCGGGAATTGAAGGATTTGATGGCGCTCGAGGTGCACGATGCATGTCTTTGTGCATGCGTATCTATACACAAAGCGCTGATGTGCCATAGGGCACACCAGGGTTCAATATTACATTTCATCGGAAGTACAGTTGGCAGACGAAGAATTGGGAGCACCAACTAGCATTCCTCATCGCGACTGTCAGACTTTATAGGTGCGTTATGGGTGGATATACACCTCATTTGATTGGATGGCAGTTTCCGGACAATCCAACGAGTAAGTTCGTTTCCTTGATTATTCGCTGGCGACGCTCCCCGCGGTCCAACGACAGCCAAGTCATGGATCGTTTATGCTGGGTTACCTTTCTCTCTCGTATATAGTGACTACTGATTTACTTTCACTACAAGCTCAAGCATCCTAGGCACATACACTTGTGGTTCAATAAGCCAATATCCATAATGGTCGACGTTCGGATGCTTGAAAACTATCTTGTAAGTCAAAGTAATTTCCTTGCTGGAGCTCCGATATTAGCGAGTGGCAATCAAAGTGGAACCTTTAGCCCGAATCGCCCAGCCTTCTGTTGACAGAGACTACTAAGCATGCAGATGATGCTGCGCATGGTATCGTCTTGGCGAAACAGAGACAAAAGGTTAGACAACGTCGTTGACACGGCTTATAGCTACAGCTGGAAGGCCGGACATGATCCAAACAATAAATAGAAGTGTCCCGCTCTTTGCTTAATAAGCTCACTGCTTTGGTGCTTTTCAAGCCAGTAGCACCAACTTCGAGGAAATGTGCTCCTAGCCGAAGATCAGACCAGAAGCAATGTCTCAAGGGTCATGAGGATGGGAGGACCTGAGATAGATAGGTGCCGGTGCAAGGAGAGTCGGGTAAGTGCAACGCCGGAAATCGGAGAGCGAAACCAGATAGAGAAATCGTTTGAGTGTATAATCTCGAACTTTACCATTGAATGATCTGATTTGGCTGCTTGTTAACAATGCAGCCGGACATGTGTCTCTGGTATGGTTCCAAATAACTCGCTCGGCACTCTTTGCCTCGGTTTCGAGTAAAGGAAGGGGACCTTGCGTTTAGATTACCCAGTTTTGGCTCTTAGGTTCGCTTCCTCCGTCACGCAAGTTCGGCCCTTGTTAAGTGTCAACTTCCATATACTACGCAAAGTTGGAGTGAAGTGGTTTCTTAAACCAAAATTTACATTTTTAGCAACTTTAGGTCGCCCGGAAAGCAGAGTGCTGCCGATCCTCGTTCGCCTTTAAATCCCGCTGAATGGTGGTGCAGGCCATCCATATTTATATCGTTGTGGGTGAGGGTACTCGAATTCGAGTGAGATTATCATCGTACAACTATACGGCGGCATAGTGACATGCGCGCGTATGGTGCGCCGCTTACCATCCACACCCAGAGACCAGACAAGGTGGATGGCGCGAGGACAGCACAAACCAACCTTGGTTTCCAAGCCTGCACAGCCTTTTTATTCATCGAGTGATCACTCGGCTGTCATATTTTGGCAACTGATTGACTACGTTAGGGTATCCCACATGTATGAGCAAATCCGGGATGCTTGGTGTACTTAAATGGCCAAAAGGTACATATAAAGTCGATTATATGCAATGGAGAAAGAAAACGGAAAGTATGGAGGTGCAACGTACGTATCAGGTTACGAGACAGTGGTAATGAAAGGATAATGCACCTTGCGCACATCAATTGCTTGTAGAACAAACTGAGAAATAATAGTCGTTGCGAGGAATCAATACATTCACCTGACATACATGCCACGAAGGGGCGAAAAGGGCAGTATACCATCAGGCCACACGCGCGCGGTCCAGCAACGTACGCAGCGGCAACTCACCGTTTACTTTATGCACGGAGATGACGGATTTGGTGTCACGTTTATCTGCTGTGCTATACTTGAGACTTGGGCGTGGTTGTAGAGGGGGTTCAGCCTTGGTGGCTGTTCGAGCTAACCAGCGGAAGGGGGATGACCAGCCTTAAAACAGGAATTTCATAGCCATATACGTCATTATACTCGTTTTTACATCGTGAAATAGCACATATAAGGCGTATGCGTGAGGTAACTCGTGCAGCATAAAACGAGCTTGGCCTTCCAGCTTGCTACCCTTTTCAACACATATACACCGACCCCAGTATCGTAAAACAATGAAACCGCCTTCTTCAATGCCCAAACTGGATCCAGATGCGTATCCAGAGCAGCCAGCAGGTCTCACATTGGAGCAAGTTCACGTCTATGTTCGCCACGGTAGGCCCTCTATTACAGATATCTGATATAAGATTGACACTTTGGCTGCATTAGGCGAGAGAACTCCTGTTCGAACAATCATGAACAGCCATCCAGCTTATATCCCAGAGCACTGGCCATTATGCAAGAGGGAGCGAAAGTTGTCGACCATTCCACCATCACCAGATATCGGCCACGGGAATGCACATTCACCTGGAGGGATCGACGTCGAGCGTGTGGTAGAATCCCGGAATGGCGACTTGACGTCCGGCATATGGTGCGTTCTTCGGTCCTTGAAGTACTTTTTGCTCAGATTCGAGTGGCAGCATGATGGGTGAACTCACGGATATCGGACACCAGGTGCGTGGTTTCGGGGCCGGTTGGCCTTCCTCACTAAGGAACCGCTTAGTCGACCCACGACTTTGGAAAGGCGCTGAGGAAAATATATATAGAGCGGTATGCTGGCTCTCTAATTCAAACCAGGGCCCAACCCCTAACCCTCCGTAGGCTCGGTTTCTTGCCTGATTCGACCCAATCAACGAGTCCTGCATACTTTCGGTGAGCTATACACAAGCGTGATAAATATCCTCTCAGCTCCATCAGATCTACAAACGTTCCACGGACTATAGAATCCCTCCAGCAGATAATCAACGGTCTCTACCCAAAAGGGAAGAATCTCCATCGACCGCGTCTTGTCGTCCGGTACGTCCCTTCTTCCTTGAATCACAGCGAATCCCACACTCGTCAGCCATTCGTGGCGACGATTGGAGAATATGGTGGTCGACGTAAGTCGCCTCCACATGCTACCGAGCGTTGGACATCTGGTGAAGTCGATACATTTCTGAGACGCAAATATCGTAGTAATGCCAAAGACGAGATCATCGCCCCAAACCACATCGGTTGCAGGCGACTGGAGCGGCTCAACGCCTCGTTTGGAAAAGGTCAGTCCATAGGCTAACGGTATGAGGCTAAGCTAACGCACGCGGTATAGCTGTAGCAGAAGGGCTCAATTCAACACTTAAGCCACTGGACCAGCATCTATCCAAATATCTCGGCGGTGAGCCCGTGCGAGTCGACGGAAAGCCAAAGGCCTCCGGTATACTTGATACTGTAAGGTGACTTTGTATTATATGGGTTTTGGCTGACCGTGATGTAGATCCGAGCGGCGAAAGCACACAATATCCAACTACCAGGCGAATTCAACGACCAAAGAACTGTGGACCTACTCGTGAGAATTCTCCTACCTATCTCCTACCACTTTGTCACGACAACTTACACATATCGTAGGAGTCCGCGGTAGTCACTGAATGGTTTGGAGGCTGTAAGTTGGACGTGTAATGATCACTCCTCACTTGCTCACAAACCACAGACGAGAACCCAGAATACCGGAAACTCGCTATAGGACCATTGCTTGAAGATTTGCAGAAAAAGATGCAGCGCAAGGTCGAGAAGCGGGATCAGGATCCGCTTAAACTGCTCGTCTACTCCACTCACGATACTGCTATTGTGGGAATCACAAATGCTTTCGACGTATTTGATCGCAGGTAGGCTTGTTCTATTGGACCATTCTGGGATTTTGACTAATGGCTCACGCAGATGGCCGGATTTCACAGCCAGCGTAACATTTGAGTTGTTCAAGCAACCTCCGCAACTCGTCAAGCAAGCCAAACTTTTTGGTTTCCCTTCCCCTATGAATATGAATCCCTCGGCTTCGAGACCCTCTCATTGTGAGTCTCATTCCTTTTGAGAGGATCCTTTACTCATATAGAGGGTAGATGTGCGGATGCGATACCAGAACAAGAGCCTACCATTGCCAGCGTGTGCGAAACCGGGTGATCATCTCCCAGGTCATCCCGAATTGTGTACACTTCAAGCCTTTCAAAGACACGTCAAGGGACTTACTCCAGAGGATTGGGAGAAGGAGTGTACTCCACAGCCACCGCCAGTGAAGTCAAGTTGACCAAATATATGATTTATTCTGGGAACTGTATATGTCATTTTCTAGCACTAGATCTGTCGACGCGGCCGATTATAACACCTCTGTAGCACTTTTCGTTCTATTCAAATTTGTTATCAATGTGTTATATTCTCAGCCTGAGAGTTGGACGCTTGGACGGCCTAACGTTCGTATAACGGTCGCCAGTTCCAGTTCACCGCTACTAGTCCCCCGTCGCCATTGTCGCGATATAGAACACATCCAAGGAGGTATGAAGACCTGACACGCTCACATACTGAGCAAGGTTAGAACGATTTAGTGATCTCACTGGCGGATGTGCATAGTATGGCAGCGACTATGCAGCATTTTGTGCTTCTTTTGCTCGTTTAGATTGCTTGATCGCCTCGACTACCACATCATGAATGTCTTTGAATTGCGCGTAACACACTTCAATGCACTGCGCTTGTTAGCGGATGCTTTCTAGAGAATGAATTGCTCAACTTGAAGCGCCTCTTTCGTAGTCACATTTCCCGACTGCCATATATTCGTGATTGTTCCCAGAGCAGGAATGCCAGCGAGGAGTAGAGCTCCTCTGGCTGCCAGCCTCTCCGACGTGACTGGATCCATCCATATGCGATCTTTGTAAAGTGCCTAGAAACCATGAGACAAGACCTTGTTCGTAAAGGTGACGCCCTACCGCGCAGCAAGCGACGACCATGCCGTCCATCTCGATTCCCGCATCCGCTAGGGCTGTACTCGCCGCAATAGACGCAGAGGCAACGCAGCCCTCCAGACCGTCGTTTTCGATCACGGTGATGAAGACGTCGATGGATGATTTGGGAAAGAGGTGCAGTTGAATTGCGGGCAAAAGTGACTGATGAACCAGTTGTCCAATAGTCCGGTCCTCTACGTCCTGTGGCAGACATTCAGCAAGAGTATGCTGACGAGAGCGAAGAGGACAAACTCGTAGATGCGCACGCCGTCGGACGCTCGAAAACGGTGCAAATTTGACCTCGACGTTGAGTCGGCCTATATCACTATACTGAGTGTTTTTTAGTTGTCTTGGAGCATAACTGGTATATATTTCGTCAGTTTTTAAGCCCAACGATAGATTATGGGTGGCATACACGGCACAGGCAATCTTTGTGTTCCCCGTTTCGATATAAGCAGATCCATTTGCCTGGGAAACAAGACCTGTTGTTAAAACTGGCCAGGATATTAGCGTCCCTAGTTGAAATGCTTGTGAGATGCGCACAAATCGGTCTGAGATCCTCAGAGGCGCGTCCATCTCGTCGTTTATTATCAGAGTTTAGTGGCTCTAGTCGTTCATCGTCGATAAAGATGGGAGGGAAAGACTCCTCTGGCCCATTGACGCGACGGCGATCGAAGGCTGGAGCAGCCATCGTGTCCTCTTGCCACCTCCGCAATTTTTCATGATATACATCACATGCTCAGATCATTCTAATAATTCTGACAATGGCCGATGTGCGCCCGCGTGCTTCGGAGCACGGCCGTCAAGCGGTTATCACAGTTTGGTGTCGAACGACGTTCAACGACTTTGCGAATGGCGAGCAAAACAGCGCACAGCGTGCACCAGATATCACCAGCCAGCTCGGTGGAACGTATATCTGAAAAAGGAGGCCCAGTGGAGACGGTTCAAGAGGTCCAAAGGCCGGGTCGAACGCTGAGAAAGTCGCGTTCAGGCGAGCAAAGGTTCTCGCTGGATGATTTTGAAGAGCATACCGAGATGGAGGATCTGAGGGAGCACGAAGATACTGGTGATGACAGCCCTGGGACGCTCCCTGATGCGGTATACAACGCGCAACTTTCCTGGTGGCGTTCAGCAACTCGCCGCGCGCTCAAGAGGTCGCTCAAGCACGAGTCACGAATCCTAGGCAAGATTCAAGTCGGTTTTACTGCATGATAACGGCTAGTGCTGATCAGAAATGGTGACAGAGAGCCGTGCGCACGAGATTCCTTGACTCGTACTTCCTCTACTCTTCGGCACTCGGAAGTCATACTTTCTTCATGTCAGCTCTCCCAGCATTATTCTACTTTGGCTACGGCGAGACCGGCAGAGGGTGCGTATGATGCCGTGACTAATTCGATCGCTGACGTACATCGATAGTCTGCTGCAGATCATGTGTATTGGAGTCTATGTCTCCAGTTTTATGAAGGACTGTTTCTGCTCTCCTCGGCCTTTTGTACCCCTCGTCTCACGATTAACCATCGGAACGCATCACCTGGAATACGGATTCCCGTCCACACATTCAACAAACTCAGTCTCCTTTGCAGTATACCTCTATCTTCTACTGCGTACAGACGCAGCTAATGCCGGATCGACTTTTGCCTCGCCGCTCCCATATGCTCTCGCAGTGGCTGGGATCCTCTGGTATGCCGCCAGTATCGTTCTCGGACGACTGTATTGCGGTATGCACTCATTCACAGACTGCATAGTTGGCACAGCACTCGGTGCGGTCATAGGAGGCATACAAGGAGTGTACGGACCTGTGATCGAAGATACGGTTGCCAATTCCAACTGGATCCTCCCAGTGGCTGCTGCACTACTTTGCTTGCTGTTGACAAACCAACATCCCCAGCCCGTTGACGATTGTCCGTGTTTCGAGGACGCTATCGCTGCACTCGCACTTCTTACGGGGACGGTCATGTCACGATGGCATGCTGCGCAGTACGGCTGGGACGTGCCGTCTGGGTTTTACGTCTCACGTACGCCAGGGTGGGAGAACATTACGTGGATGGATACGATTACCTGGTGGCTCTTCGCTATACTCAAGATGGTCTCCGGAGTATCTGCCATCTTTGCATGGCGATTGATGGTCAAGCAAATCATGCATACCGTGCTCCCACCAGTCTTCCGATGGATGAGTGGTCTGGTCGGAAATATTGGATTACAACTCCCGAACCGAAGGTGGTATACGCCCGCGACAGAGTACGAGAGTGTCCCCCGGGAGGGACTGCATCCGATCCCCAGCGCGATGAACTTGCCGGCGGAGCTTAGTCAACAGGCTGGCTTTGGTGTCTTTGGGGACGAGAGGGACGCAAAGACGACTGGACGCCTCCCACATGCTCACCTGTACAATGGAGTGGAGAGAAACGTCAAGTGGAGGAAAGGAAACGGGACGGAAAAGCATTCGACTCACGAGCTTGTGGATTCCAAGGGTGAAAAACTCGAGATGTACGACGACGACGACGATACCGAGAGCGAAAGAGACGACGATATCAAGCACTACGATGCGGATGGTGAGTGAATAGGCTTCCCAAATGTTCCGCTGGCTGATTACGTTTAGTATTGACCAAGGTTATCGTGTATTCTGGGATAGGGGTCATTGCGACCTATCTTACTCCGCTTACTTTTGAAATTTTGGGCTGGGGAGTACAGCCAGTTGTGTGATCTGTGTAGAGCAACTGTAACGCGAATCGACGTGTCAGCAAAATTTGTAAGAGTCAATGAATCTTTGCTTAGCAACTCTTTTGAGCAATTGAATGGGCTTAGCAAATGCGCGTCAGCCCGGGAGCGTAATACACTTGATACATTCCGAGCTTATAATGCTCGTGTCTCCGTGCTCCAAGTAAAGCTAAACGACTTCCAACCACCCCTTCAGCAATATGTCCAAGACTTCTATCGTGATCCTAGGAGCTGGCGGAGCCACGTCCGCGCTCGCCCAGGCGCTGGACAAAGGCCTCGACCCTACCAAACACGAGGTGATCATCGTCTCTGCGGCGGACTATTACCGCATTCTACCTGCAGCCCTGCGTACCGTTGTCACAGCCGAGGGAAAGCTCGAGGAGCGCATGGCCGTTCCCTACGACAATGTCTTCGCCAAAACGTCGAGATCGACCGAAAAGCTCAAAGGTCGCGTCGCATCATTTGTCTTTGGTAAAGTCGTTGGAGTCGAGGAGAAAGAGAATGGAGAAGGTGGACAAATCCTTCTCGAGGATGGCAAGCGCATTGGGTGGGACTATCTCGTCGTAGCGACAGGCTCCGACTGGGCTGGCCCGCTCAGGTGGCCTACGAAAAAGGCTGAATTAGGGCAATATCTCGATGCTTGGAGAGAAAAGTTTGCCTCAGCCAAGAGCGTCGTGTTGGCTGGAGCTGGCGCCGTTGGATGCGAGTTGGCCGGCGAGATCAAAGATTTTTATCCAAAGACTGAAGTGACGCTCGTTCAGCGGGGTGACCTTGTCCTCAACAACACGTACCCGGATGCGTTTCGCCAGCGTGTGGCCAACGAATTAGCTGCAAAGGGTGTCAAAGTTCTCACCGGGGATACAGTCAATAATCTCTCTGAAGGCATTCTCGATGGCTCTGAAGGTGTTGTTTCCGGGCGTACAATCACTACATCCAAGGGGGTTACGGTTTCCGCGGAATTGATCGTACGTCGCTAATTCTTGACGAAAAGGCAGTAATTCACGCTTGATAGATTCCTACTGGTGGACGCCTGGGTGTCAACACGTCGTTCATCTCCTCTTCAACTGCCCCAACCATTTTCAAGGCTGTGGGCGGCGACGGACACCTCGCCGTCAAGCCAACCCTCCAGCTCACGACAAACCCACGAGTATTTGCTTGCGGAGATGTTGTGGCACTCAACGAGCAACACACGCTTATGAAATCAGCGGCACACGCCGGAGTCATTGCCGCCAATTTGCTCTCCATCATTCAGTCCAAAGGGCAGCTCAAGAATTATTCAAAGCCAACAGATATGATTCTCATCACCAATGGACGCGTACGTGTCTCACCCACAAGTCACGTTGAAATCATGCTGACAATGCATTTAGACAAGGGGATCGGCTTACATGGGGACGATTTTCGGATTCAACATCATTTTGGGAAGCTGGTTCTCTGTCATGGTCAAGTCCAAGGGACTCATGATCGGAATGGCAAGGGGTGGACTCAACCAGCCTTGAACAATTGTCCACAGACATTTCTCTGGTCTTACTGTTTGAATGTATGCCTACTAGGTTCGATAATCGATCATTATACGATGGATGTACAGGGTGTCCAGTAGCTCTAATAGAGCCTCGTGTAATGTTCTGTTGTGGCGTGCTTTCAATAACGGCTGTGCGCCAAAATTTTTATCATCCTCGTCGGCACTGAAAGGGAATGCTCCACTGGCCCACAAAAGTTGGCCACGTTCTCAGCACGCGAGCACGAAAAGCCCATACGAATCCATTGGATTGAATTACTAGCTCTTTAGCATCAAATTTGAGCGGGAAACGCCAAACACCACTATCGAAGCGCCACGAAATTCTGCAAAGGTCCACCTCGGCAAAGGTCCGCAAGAGCGTCGGACAACAATATCGCTTGGCGGCACTCGTTACTCGTCACTGATGACGTTGTAATTCCAGACCGATGGCATGCCTCCAAAGGAGTTTAGAGATAGCGAGCGGCGCAGAGAGATGAGCAATCTGCGGGGCTGATATATGAGTCGCATGCACTCCTCATTTCAACTACTTCTTCCTGGGCGTTTACCGGCGGACGTACGGTGTCCACATGTCCCTTTTACTATTTCGACAATTTTAAGCGGTCCTCACCAAGAGATCATCTGAACGCGGCTATCTACGCGATCTGTGCAACCTAGTCGACATCCCAAGACATTCCATGTTCGCAAAGGTTGTGTATCGCGCTTATGGTATCGCGGCAAACGCCCGCTCGCTTCTCAGACGGCTACATCTCAGCTGGGTCCATTTTTACACTATGCGCAGCATCCGAAAGGGTATACTTTGTAATAATCGAAGTTACTTGTCACGAAAAGGACAACTTGCTCCCCAAGGCAACGTTCCCGGTATAGTCGTGGACCAAGACTTGTACGACATAAAGTCGAATTGCATCAGATTAAAGTCCAGTTTGTTTGTTCACACGTACAACTACAAGGACACTCAAACTCGGCCTGTGATAAAAGGCAGAGCGAGAGACACAATCAACCAAGGGGAATACGATAGGGGGGATATCAAGATCATCCACGCAGAATAACCCAAATAGGACTTGCGTGTCACAGCCAAAGGAACAAGGACCGCCAAAGAAGAAGGAAACGAGTCGCTATAGCGTCGGCATGTCCTCTTCGTGCTTGCCCACTCCTGCAGGGAAGCGCGTCGTCGCCCTGCCTCTCGGCCGATCATCATCTTCCTGCTCATCATTCTCTCCGGACCCGGTCGACGGGCTCGTCGCGTCTATCAACATGGCCGGCAATCCACCATTACCACCACCACCACTAGTATTATTTGGACCTTGTCCGCCTTGACTTTGCGCATTCGGTGACGCACCGGCACTCAGACCGGTGCTCGCCCCACCAAAGTTGACATAGTTCATGTGCATTCCACTCCCGAGCGTAGACGCGGCTCCCGGAGATGTCTCGATGCCCTCCATGCCAGTGATTTGCATCATTCCGGCGCCTGCCCCTCCCGTCCCGAGCGTCTCCAGCGGTCCAATCCCCGCATTGGCAAATATATTCTTCATCGCAAACGCGTCTGGTGAGCTCAGGAAGCCTACCATGCCGTTTGCGTCGTCTTCTTGCGTGTTCATGTTTGCACCACCAGCTTGAAGGACGTTTCCGTTGGCCGGCGGGCTCATACCTGACCCGCCGAGCGCCATATTCCCACCTACCGAACGGGGTCAGAATGATGGACAAGCGTCGATCAATCAACACAGACCATTCGATACGCCCATCATATTTCCGAATCGATTGCGATATTGGGCGAGCTCCGACTCGAGCTGCTGATTTCGCGTTCGCTGTACCTGAACGAGCTGGACCAGGTTCCTAAAGGGGAGGGAGGGCCACGTTATTAGTCGAGATTTGTTTGAATCGAATAGGGCACACATACTTGATGTACTCGACACTGTTTCGAAGAATGACGCCCTTGTTGGCCTTGATCTCCTTTGTGTCCTCGTCCCCACCCAATGCCGCCCCACTAACCGTGCCGGAGAGTATGCCAGCGATGCTAGGCCCGCCGAATCCGTTGCCGTTTGCTCCACCCTTGGCACCCGAATTCCCACCAACAGTCGCCTGGTCGAGCCATTCTTCCGGCAGCAGCATGGCTAGTTCTTGAATTTTTTCGTTTATGTTATCCCGTCTGCGTCGCTCAACGGCATTATGCGATTCACGACGCTTTCGGCGCTTCTCATTGGCCAGTGCGAGCCTGCAAAGTGAGGTGAGCGAGAGGATGATTCGCGATTGGCCAATGATAACCAGAAGCAAGTGGGTGGCGGAGCGGATGGGAGAGGATGATGATGATGGTGGTGGTCGCCAAAATATCCGAGAATTAGAGTAGGAAAATGAGACGAAACTAACTTTGCGGCCGCGTCTTGGTTTGCAGACGGCGGAGGACTGCCGCTGTGAGCCGTTGGCGATTGACCAGGGCCGAGCGTGCCAGGTGTACCAAAGGAGTGAGCGTATGATTGACCATCGGCTCCATGAGAAAAGCCCCAGGTAGCGGGGCTGGTCGGATGCGTGCCACCTGCGGTGTGATAGCTGGAGAAACTGTGCTGAGAGTTGTGGTGCTGGTGATGACCTGGGTGACCTGGAATGACGATAGCGGATGGACGAGAGCGTACAGATTCGACACCGTCCTGGTCGGGCGATTCGTCTCCTTCCTCACGGGGAGGGGCAGCAGCGATAGAGGGCCGTTTGCTGACGCGTGAACGGGATGCAGAGACCTTTGATCTGGAGCGAGAGCGGGATCGGGTAACTCCCGTCGTCGCGGCTTGCTCCCCACCAGGGTTAAAGTTGTCGAGTGGCGTATTGGGGTTGCCTATCGCAGAAGCGACGAGACCAAATTGCTGTTGCTGCTGTTGCTGCTGCTGCTGTGGGGTGAGATCGTTTGGATGTCGAGTACCGTCGCTGGGTGTACCGGTGGCGTTCTGATTGTTAGCGGCTGCGTGTTGCTGTTGCTGATTGGGCGGGAAATAATCTGAGCGTCCATAAGAATTATGCAACGAGGCTGCGGTGGTCGAGTTAAAGTCGTCCCGGGGATAGAGGGCCCGCGAAGGAGGCAACGAAAGGGACGGGTAGTGCTGCTGATTCACACCAAAAATGTCGTGCGGGCGCGGGTGCTGGAATGATTCTGATAACGAGTGAGCAAATGATAAACTGCCACTGCTCGTCTTGTCCGACGATAGCGGGAGCCGTAGACGTACCTGATGTTGCAGAGGTGGGTGGGTTGAGAAACGAGAGCTCGTCGTGGATGTCGAGCGAGGCAGCGTGGGGCTGCTGTGATTGCTGCTGCTGCTCGAACCGCCGCGCAAATGGGTCAGCGGTGGTCGGATGAGCAGCAAAGAGGGCGCCTGTAGTGTAGATGGCATTCGGATCAAATGCATTTGGCGCTGGAAATGACTGCTGAGCCTGTGGTTGGGCTGCGAGGGTGCGCTGAGGGCCGGACTGAGGGCCCGGAGTCGACGACGAGGACGAGCTGCTCTGCTGGGTATGAAAGCCTTCTTGACGGACTTTTGGAAACGAAGTGGGGAAGAGATACGAGGACATGGGCCAGCAAAGACTGTCGTGGTTGGTGGCGAAGATGCGACTGGCCATTTGGGAACGATGCAAAGGCTGCAGAACGGACGAGGTGGGAAATGGGACAAGAAATGTCTGGAGACACACAACACACAACTCTGGATAGCTGCACTCGCTCGCGGCCGACACGCTCAGGGCTAGAATGGAAACGGCGATGTGCGGGGAAACAGCACCAATCCTCGCGTTTCTTCGCCAGTTCTACCGGTGGACATGCTGTCTCACCTCTTGTTTCAGCTTTCATGGCCGTTGATTTGCACAGCGACCAGCTGTGGCCACCAATAAACCGCCTGGGTGAGTGCTCACATCAGCACGAGAATCCCCAATAATAGCCCTTTGATATCATGTCCTGTGCATTGGTTAGTGCTCGACTCGCACGACAAGAGCAGCGGGCCAAATGGGAGGGGGAAAGTAGCAGTCGAGCAGGAGCAGTCCCCCCCAGCGTATAAATGCCTATCCAAGGATCAAAATCTCCGTACAAGCTCAAAGCGGGCTGATTGGAGACTCATCTGACGGTCTCACATGATGCTCTGTCCCCATGGCTGCTGCCACTCCCAGCTACACTTCTAGCTCCGGCATCAGCTCACAGCTGCCGATTACGCACCGATGGTTTATGACTTACCGCGGTAAGTCATCTTACCAGACAACCACTTCGGACCAGTTGCCGGTCTATTGACCCATCGGTCTTTCCAATCCTGGCCATGGGCGGGGGCGTTTGTTCAGCTTCATAGACTCCAAAAACAAGCCACGCGAAAACGTCGGGCAGCAAAATCGAGCAGACAATGACAATTGGCGTAGAACATGCCCAAAGGCGCATGAATAGGCAAATCTCGTAATGTCAGATAATCGAGAGCTCAAGTGTTGAAAAATAAAAAGTGTCCAACGTTTGCGAGAACAACATGGCGCAACGTGGAAAGACAAAGGCGATCATGGCTGGCTAAGTTCAAGGCCTGCCAAATCCATGCAAGGGCCACGGGCCTATCATGGTTGACAGCCCTAGGCGCTAGAATTTTATATTATGTTATTTTATTCTATCGGACACGGAGCAATTCGAAGACAACGAGCTGCATATGGCAGGCGTTTCTCCTCTCTCGCCGCCTTTGTGTCCATGTTAGGGTCAAGGGCGACTACAAAAGCACCCAGCTTGCCTCCCGCCTTGTTCGCCTTTTCCCTCCCCTCCGACCCCGCCCTTCCTACAGCTGTATCCATCTCGTCTTGTAGCATTTAGTCCTCATAGAACTCTTGTTCGTTGCATCGCCCGCAATGTCCAAACGATGTCTGTCCTTGTTTTTATCACACCACTCGGTTTCTCACAGCACTCTAGCACGTCCACAACCCATTACAGCTCCAGCTCCAGAATCCTTTTTGCCCAGCTTTGACTTTGGCTCTCCGGTCAAGCCACGCTCGGGCGGTTCAAAGGCCTTGCCCAAACGCAAGATGCCCGACCTCTCAAAGCGTCTCGCTGCATTCGCCTTTCTCAATCTAGAGGATATCCAAGAAGAGGCAGACGATCTCCATGCTGCTCTCAACGCTAGTCCCATCAGCACCGCGCCCAGCACAAAGGGCGCCCGCTTCTGGGACTTTTCGAGACCAAAGAACAGCTCACAGCGAGCTACCTCTCCATCCACACCACAAAGTCTCCCGCCCATGTCCAGCAAGGCTTACGCCACCCTCGTCGGTGGTGGTGGTACGACTCCGTCTAGCGCAAAGTCGACATTTTCAAAGACTCCCTCGTCAAAGAGACGAAGCAGTGGCTTCTCTCTCGCATTGGCAGAACTAGACCAGGTCGCCGAAGAGCTCTCACCCCTGAGTCCAGCGACCAACGAGAACAAGTCGCTCGCCGTCGACCTCGTCTCCATCTTCTCCGTCTCCACGGCAGAAGATGCGGACAACAAGACCCGCTTCAGCTTCCCCATGCCTCCGTCCTTTACGCCTCGCAGGGGTTCCCAGTCGCCGCTCGATCCGGACATTTCCTTTTCGACTACGCTCAGCAGCACCAGCTCCGTCTCTCCTCAGTCACCCGAGTCTGGATTCTCCGACTATTCCTTCTTCTCCCCGCTCTTTTCTGCCGGATTCGGTGCTCGCACTTTTCTCCCCGCCGAATCTTTGCTGCCGCCTGTCCCCGAAGTCGCGCCAACCGAGTCCATCTCTCCACTCGAAAAGGTGGACATCAGTCCGAAGAAGGACGAGCCCAAGCCCAAGAGGGCGAGACCGACGCGCCCAACACTCGTTGTCCCCCCTGCCGCGCCTCCGCCACACGATTCACCACCGCCGACGCCTTCAAGCGTGACATCGCAGAGAAACGCAGCCGCAACTCTCCGTGCTTGCCCCTCGCCCGAGCTCGATCCAGAACTCTCCGCGCACTCGTCCACGACGTCCATTGCATCCGTGCTTGAGTCGTCCGAGTCGGAGAGCGAAAGCGTCGCACCCTCGCCTGCTCCTCCTGTCGTAAAGGAACTCCCACCTGCTCCGATGCCCGATGTCTTTGCCAATTGGGACATTGGCTCGCCTTCGCGCTCAGACTCGATTGTCACCATCACTCAACGGGCTTTCAACGCGATGCGCCCGCGTGGCTCCATCTCCAATATTGGTGGGAGCTTTAGCACCGTTCGTGGTGGCAGTATCAGTGCTGGCTCTCCGATGAGCCGCAATGGGTCTTGGGGAAGTGGCGAAATGTACGATTGGGAACAAGCCATCGACGACATTTACCTTCGCATCTCACGCAAGCCTTCTATCGCTTCCATCGCCCTTGCTGCTTCTGCAGAGGGCGCAGCATTGCCGACCACGTCTCTTGATGTTGTCGCCGATACTGCGTTTGTCATGGACGATGAGATGCGCAGGAAGCTCATGGAGAGTCAATATCTTGTCCCTACGCGTCAGGCTCCACGACCTCCGAGCCCGGCTCGCTCGGCCGCGTCTTCCGCGACCAAGTCGACGACCAAGAAGGAAATGGCCAGCAGCTCTGCAGCATCAGACTCTGATTGGGTGTCTGCATCTGCGACCTCCTCTGCCCGTTCCTCTTTGGATGAGCAACGACCAAGCCCAGTACACAGCCATGGGCCGTCGACGCCAGTCTACGAAGATGATGCTCCTATCCATGCGATCAAGTCTCGCCCGGCGCCACTCATCACCTCGCCGTCGTATCCTCCCGTGAACCCGCTCCGTCTCAAGCGCCCAAACCTCGCGTCCACCCTCACCGTCCCAGACTCCAAGATGGTGTTGCCACTCGACGTGCAATCGCCTCGACCTCCACCAACGCAGTCGATCCCAACATCGGATGCGGAGACGTCTTCTGCCATTTTCTCGCCTATGAGCGCAACCTCGCCACCGTTTATGCAGCCGATTGACATTGACAACTGGCCGTTGTGGTCGAGCTCTAGTGTCGATGCATCGCTCGAGAAGAGGCGAGATATCCGTCGACCAAGCGCCAACGGGACGATGATCTCCAAGTTTTCCGACGACTCTGTTGATGCGAGCAAGAAGAAGCGTACAGGTACACCGAAGACGGGGAACCGCATGAAGAAGAGTTCGCCTACGCGCGTGACCAAGCCTGCTCCTTCTGCACTCAGCCCTGGTAGTGCGCACACGAGCTATACGTTCCTTGGACTCAAGCGCAAAGCACCGACGAGCAGTGGCAACACGGCCTATGCATCGTTCTCGCCCAAGGTCTCCCAAGAGGCTGCTCCTCGTACGAGCTTGGAGAGTGCGCGCAGTGGCTCGAGTGACGAGAGCAAGCGCAATGGGCTCAAGCGACCTCCCCTCCCTCTCGAGCTCTTCATTCGAGCTTGAACAACAAATTCTTTCTTGACTAGAAGGCTGACCACCGAGACGCACACACACACCTCAAACCATCAAATTTTGTTCATCCGGGTCAGCCGCGATATATGCCAACCCTTTTCGATTCCCTCTCCATCTCTCTCTCTCTCTTTCTCTGTCTCCTCTTCCTCAGCCTGTCCTATACCAAATCGAAACCGGAACCCAAATTTCTTGAGCCAAATTGGCCTTTTTACGACCTGTTACGACCAATCGCCCCTTTGTTACTCGATTGACGCACCCCTTGGAGCGACTCGAGCCTCTTTCAGCCATCCATCTCCCTCTCTCTCCCCTCTCTCAATCCTCTTTGGCTGCCAGTTTTACCCACTCGCACTGTCCTTACCACATCCGACCCGCCTACGCTCGTTTTCTGCTCATTTGTTCTTCACCCGTCGATTGTTCGACGGTGGTCTGTTTGGCGAGTCGCCACTCGCAACTGTATCAATAGCGGATGTCCTCTTCGTCCAGTAGCCATACCTGTTCTTTGTTTCTTGGTTCTTCTTGACCAACCTGTTCTTACGACGCGACATGACCAGAAATAAACAATTGTTCATCACTGCAACTTGTTCTATTTAGAAACTATGACTTTCCTGATTTGATGGCGTTACGCTAGTCTACGCTAGCGAGCCGCCAAACTTTTGGACCTGGCCCGCTCCGACTGCCGATTGAAGGGCGACTTCTGAAACTGTCCGCTGCGACAGATACGACGACAAATTGTAGAATACAACGTGTAACGGGAAAAGGACCGCTCTAATCCACGTCAACAGCCCAATCCGGCCGCTCGCTTTCGCCGTCAAAGTGTTTGACCGCTAATCGCATCTCTTGCACCCTACCACCCCCAGATCAATCAACCCCCCGTTGTACATTCCCAAAACTAGGGGAGAAAATGGCCACACCGTCTAAAATCGAGCTCCCGCCGCCTGCTTGGGGATCCCCAGCGCATATGGCACAGCGTAAAGCCGAAAAGGAGTGGAAGATTGCGCTTCGTGCGTATGCTACAAAGGATGTGGAGAATCGAAAGACTGGCAAGTGCACGCACTATACGGATAATAACGATATTGTCATTCGTTATCATCTCCCGCCCGCTTGGGATGTCTTGAATGAACCGGGAGCAGCCGTGAAGATTGTTAGAGAAGGGGACGCTGTTTGGGATTTGCCAGAGGACGACGACGAGCTCGTCAAAGTCCTCAAGGCAACCTATGCGCCGTTCTACCAGAGGACGGGCGAGTTTTCAAAGGTGTGTACAGTAGTGTTGGAGATATGGTCTTTTGCTAATACGTGCAGCCTTCTACTGCGTTCAAAACACCGCCCATCAGCAAAAAGGCCTCCCCATCGACTTCACCCACCCCTACCCCTGCGAAGCCTCTGCCGGAAGCTACATTTATCGTCACAGAGTCTATCGAAAACTATTCGACGATTGCAAAACCACAGTACCCTGTCAAGTCGACCACGATGGCATCTCTTCCGAATGTCACCCCAAGTGGGGAATCAACTTCTCAAAATGAAAACTCGGCTGTACAACCACGACGAACGTATCTTCCTGTGGCTCTGTCCAATCTTTTCGGAATCATTGGGCGTATGTTCCTGTGGTTCATCCCAAGTCCGCTGAGAGTGCGCTTGCATGCCTGGTGGTCTCCGGTACTTAGAGATGGTGGATCTAGAGCGAGTAAGTACTTTTACCTTCTTCTTTTCACCTTTGCTGACATGTACCAGATCGAGTGTAGACGACTGATGGCTGACATGCGATCCTCTGGGCATTGATAGTTAACTATGGACCTTTTTATTGGTATTACACACTATTGTTTCTTGGTAGTTGTTGGTGACAATCCAGAGTCTTCAGCGACAAGGGATCAGATTTCCGTTCTTTGGCCTGTTACACCCCTCGAAAGAGGATAAACGCGACCGTATTCCACATGCGCATATTCGGCAATATGTGTGAGTGGATATCATCATCTCCCAGTTCTCTCGGGTGGACTGTGAGATAACACGACTAGCATTAGCACGATATATACACGGTAACAGACCTTAGGCTATAGCTTTCTTGGTGTGTTTTACCGCATCGTCTACCTCTGCGATGCGTTTGTTGACCAGGGCGGTCAGCTATAAGCGTCCTCAGAAAGGGTCATGCAATGAAAAGGTAAACCTTACATCTGTCATTGCATCGCTCTTGTGGTCGAATCCGAGGGCTTTGACCTTCTTCTGACTCGCCTGATGTACCTTGCGAATCGCGACTTTGGCCTCTTCTGCTTGCTTCTGCAAGGCTTGCAGCAGCGCATTCTTCGATTCGACCGTCGGTTGCGGCACGGGTAATAGGATTGTCCTTGCATCTGTTCGTTGTGGTGTTAGACCAGGGAGTTGAGCATCGTAGAGCGCCTTTTCCACAGCTTTGATGGTCTATGCACCAGTGAGTTGACAAGGCCCAGGCAACGACGCAGACGTACATGTTCTTCAAAGACGGTCACTACGAGCACGTTTCCATTCTTTACTCCGACAGTCGCAATGTCCTTCAACCCCACCTCCATGTGTCCCTCGCTCTTGTTTTCAGGATCGACAGGCACCGAGACTTTGACCCCGTCGAGTACATCCGGAACGACGCGTCCACTACATCTGACTTCGACGTTCTTGGCTTGTTCTTTGAGCCACCGAATGCTCGCGTTCATTTTCTGGTCCGCGTGCTTCTCTTCCTTGTCGTACTCTGCGCCATGAGGCATTGACGACCCAGGAACAAATTTCAAAGATGGGTCGGTGATATTGTTCTTGTCAACGACAATCTCGTCTGGCTTATGCTTGCCCTTTTTCGCTTTGAGATGATGAAAGTTATCTTGCTCCTGCTCGCGTTTCTTCGCGTAGCATCGATGCTGACATTGCACCGTTGGAATTTGTTTATAAAGAACGTTGAGAGATGGCCGTGACAGACCGGAGGCACGAGAGACCCGAACGAGGCGGAGGGCAAGCATTTCGACCCACCTGGTTGACCAATGGAGTCACGTAAAAACATCTCTCTTGTGACTTGACATACTTGTCTTTCTGCATCATTACAGCTTCAACGCATTCAAATTAACGAGACTCCCCTTGGAATCAGAATACCCCGGCTGGAAAGATCATTGGGCTTCTGACTTCCTTCACCTTTGCCTCTCCGCACAGTAGCTCTACAATCTTAAAGGCAAAAGGGAACGCGGTACCTGGCCCACGGCTGGTAATAAGCGAACCAGATACGACGACGCTATCCTCTTTATACTCAAAGCTGCTTTCAAGGTCCTTCTTGACGGATGGGTGCGACGTAAGAGGCTGAGAGGGAAGCTTGCTCGTCTTTGCCGCGAGAGAGCCTAGGGGGTGAGATGATGAGCGTCATATAGGCTGTATAAAGAATGGAAATACCAGCACATATCATTCCCACAAGCTTCCCAGCACTGTACTGATCAGTGATCAGCCTTTGGACCTGCACACTCTGCGACAGGGTCTCTGCACCCTTAGCACCGCCTGGAACAATCACGATGTCGTAAACCTTGGGCTTTAATGCTCTATAAGCTGACAATTCTTTCTGCTTATACTGGCACTCGCCGTGGGTTCTGCTAGGAGAGCCTCCAGAGTGGTATCTGCAACGATCCTTACACCTGTTAAATCATAAACAAGGTTTCTTCGTCACGTACATAAGCTTGAAACGGCTCACCTCTTGAACAAGTTACCGTGACGTCGTTTATACCCCAGCCACCCGCATAGGCCAATCCAACTTCAGATTCTGAAGGTACAAATGCCGATGTACAGTCAATTCCAGCTCTTACGAGGGTGTCGTAAGGGATAGTAAACTCCATTTCCTACGTGGATTCTAAGTCGTATCCTCTGGCCGTCTATAGATAACCTACTTCTGTCCCATTGGCGATGAGAATCAAAGCAGATGGCATAACTTGTTATTTATTGAACTTTCTTTGGACTGCTGCTGGTATTAGTGGCGGTCAAGGAGGAAGACCGGCCGCCGACATCTACGCTCGTTCCAAATCTCTCGTCGGCTTCGCTTTACCCATAACGCCTGCTCTAATCTATATAACGCCTGGAATTACTCGGCTGCAACTGATGAGCGCATGTCTCCCGTCGCGGACAATCAAGCCTGCTCTGTTCTCGACCTTTCGTAGCGCCAGTCTGAGTCACCCGTCGAGACATCTTTCTTCCCTTTCATCTCCACCTCCAAGCATGGATAACAACGAAAACAAGAGTTCAAAGGCCCGCAGGAACGAAAAGTCAAGAGCGAAACATCGAGAAGACCTCAACACGGAGAAAAACAGTGCGGACAAGGCGTTTGCATCAACCTTGTTGCTACCAAAACCTCATTTCCTATCTGGAGTGAACCTTCCGTGTCAAGAGAGACATTCCATGAGAGGACGACTGAGCAACTGTACAAATGGCAGGTGTGTATGTAGATTCCCTACCATGCCTCATTCTGAACAACCATAGTCGGAAAACCTCCCTGGGCCACCATTCGTGCTTCATGACGGTCCCCCGTATGCCAATGGCAACCTACATACCGGACACGCTCTCAACAAGATCCTGAAGGATGTGATCTTGCGATATAATATTCTACGTGGGCGAAAGGTCAAGTAAGAAATGCTTCTATCTTCAGATGTCTGCGATCTGACTTCGGCAAGAGTTATGTGCCAGGCTGGGACTGTCATGGTCTACCCGTAGAGAACAAGGCCCTAGAAGCACTCAAGGCTGGTGAAATACACCCTTATCTGATAACCATCTCATCTTGAAATAGGCTGAACCGAACACCTTGCCGCCTACAGTCGTTCGATCAGCCGCAAAGGAGACTGCTGAAGCTGCCCTCGCTGTTCAACGCGATGAGATGATGCAGTTTGGCCTTGTTGGTGATTGGAGTGAAACTGGAACGTACCGCACAATGGGTTCGTCTGTTATTATCCTTGAAAGGGTATCTACTCAACCGCCTCTTAGATCCAGCGTTCGAGTCTCGCCAACTGCGTATCTTCCAGTCAATGGTTAAGCATGGCATTATCTATCGGGAGTTTCGACCTGTTCACTGGTCACCGTCGTCACAAACTGCGCTAGCTGAAGCCGAGCTGCAGTACGAAATGCATACATCTACTTCTGCATATGTCGCATTTTCTGTTGACAGTGCCAGCCTTTCTACTGAGCTCAAGAATGCAGTTGGGTCAAAGGAATTGAAACTGCTCATTTGGACGACTACTCCATGGACACTGCCTACCAACATGGTTTGTCACGGTGTTAATATAGGGTCAGAAGCTGATACCCGTGCATAGGCAATCTCGATGCATCCTCAATTTGAGTACGCTCTTATAACAAAAGTAGGCAGCGAAACCGAAATCGTCGCCATTGCTTCCTCTCGACTTGAATCAGTCTCGAAGCTGCTTGGACCTCATGCTGTAGTTGGGATTCTCAAAGGTACGAATTTGATATCAAATTTTGTTTCATTACTCACACTTTAGCAGGGACCGCCTTCTCGGGGGTGCGGTACAAACCTCTGTTCTATGATGGTCCTGAACCTCCTCTCACCCGACCAGTTGTCACTTCAGAAGATGTTCTAGACGATGCTGGAACTGGTCTAGTTCATATGGCCCCATCGCATGGTCACGAAGACTATCAAGCGCTCTTGACCCGCGGGCTCTTGCACGATAACCCACTGATCAACATTGTAGACGCCACTGGTCGATATACAACAGCTACAGTAGATGCCTGTGGCGAGAAGGTCGGCCAGCGACTGGTCGGCCTAGAGGTGCTATACAAAGGCAACAAGGAAGTACTCAGTATACTCGAGGAGATGAATCAAGGAGGCACCAGACTTCTTGCGGTTGAGAAGCATCGACATCGATACGCTTACGATTGGAGGACCAAGAAGCCGTTGATCATTCGAGCCACTGCCCAATGGTTTGCTAATCTGGATGGTGTCAAAGAACGAGCACTACAATCCCTCGATGGTGTCGAGTTCTATCCTCCCAATTGTGCGTTCTCGAGCCTTCCCGTTGTCATGGATCTAAGTCTTATTTAGCTAAGCGAAGACTCCAGGCCTTTGTCCAAGAACGCTCAGAGTGGTGCATCTCACGACAGCGGACGTGGGGTGTGCCCATCCCGGCATTGCACATTCTGGAAACCGGAGATGCTATCCTCACAGAAGAGACACTGGATCATATTCTCAAAATCCTGGAAGAGAAGGGCACGTCCTACTGGTGGGAAGGCCCTGTGGAGGAGTTCATTCCGAATTCACTCTCAGCCAAGTATCCTCCTGGCTCACTCATTAAAGGCACCGATACGATGGATGTATGGTTCGACAGTGGTACATCGTGGTCTATGATGGATCAAAAGCGTGCAGATGTCTATCTCGAAGGCTCTGACCAGCACAGAGGATGGTTCCAATCCTCCTTGCTCACTGCCATCGCTTCAAGTGAGCAGAAGGACGCCCCAGAGGCACCATTTAAGAACCTCATCACCCATGGGTTCGTCCTTGATGAGAAGGGAAGAAAGATGAGCAAGTCATTGGGCAATGTCATTAGTCCCATTACCGTCATCACAGGTGGCCCAGTCAGTGGATTTAATTCTCTCAGAGGGAAAAACTGACTCCGCCGCAGAACTTACAGAAGGAACCTGCTTATGGCACCGACGTTTTGAGACTGTGGGCTGTCTCGATGCAATACTCGGGAGATGTAGCTATGAGCACAGTGGCACTGAAGCAGGCTGCAGAAATCCTGCGTAAGCTGCGCATGACTGCCCGTTACCTTTTAGGAAGCTTGCGGGATGCCACGTTTGTCGGTCCAGCCCCTCAAAATCTTTCTCTCGTAAGTAGTCCAATGATATACACGCGCACAAAACTGACTTGCTACAGCTAGACAGATTCGTGCTGCATGAACTTTGGAAGCTCGAAAACGATGCACGCAAGGCGTACGATACCTTTGCCTTTCACGAAGGTCAGCAGCATCTTGGTCCTGGGTGTGCGCTAATAATTTGTAGTCGTCTCGTCTTTGTCACACTTTGTCAATACGACATTATCGTCGCTCTATTTCGACACGAGCAAGGATGTTCTCTACGCTGATGCAACAGCGAGCAGTGCTCGAACGGCAATACTATACGTGCTGTCATCGGTTCGCTTATGACTCTTCGTTCTGAGAGAGTCCGACTGATCGTGAACAGACGCTGCAAACGTTGACACCTATTATTGCGCCGTTTGTGCCCTATCTCGCGGAAGAAATCCATCAGGCAGGTGAAAATCAAGAATTCAGTTGCTTTACAAGCGGGTGGAGAATTTCTGTTGGTCCATCTTTGTTCGTTTGGATGTATCTGACTTGCCTATAGGACGAAGAATGGCGAGACGAAAAGGCATATGCTGACCTTAGTAGTCTTCTCCAGGTTCGCAAAGTTGTCCTAGAACTGCTCGAGAAGGCGAGATCGGAGAAGTGAGTCAAGTCACCCATCATCCATCGGACATCTAATCTCCGATGAAGGAAAATCAGAAGCTCTTTGGAGGCCGATATTGTTATCATCTTGCCTGATAATACCCAAGAAACGCCGTTGGCGGAGCTTTTATATAGCCAGGGTATGTGTAGCTTCCATATCGTCCAGTATGCTCATGATATCTAGTGGAACTACTCTCAAAGCTCTTCATCGTCTCGGAGGTGACTATTGAGAACGACCAGGCGCCAATCTTTGATCGTGATTGGGCATATTGCGAACTCCTGTCTCTTCCGGGTACGTTTCTACTACAGGATCAGGCACAATAAGTAATCTCGATGTAGGAACTGAGGAGTATATGCGCCTTTGCATCAAGCCTGCAAGACTATTGAAGTGTCCAAGGTGTTGGTCTTACACGAGAGAAGAGACAGACCGAGTTTGTGTTCGATGCGAAAGTGCGTTGAATTCAGCCTAGACAGTGGATAAAACAATACAACCTCTCAACCACTCAATATGGTTTTGCTTGCTCGCGACCGTGAAGCATCCTTTCAACCTCCATATCACCGGCGTTATGTTCATCCTCCTCGATTGCAGTACTGGGATCGATCCAGCCTTCTAATTGCTCCTGAATATCCCGTCGCATTCGTATCCCACGGTCGACCATTGCCGCGATCATGTCATTCAATTCCCTAGCGGTGAACACTGTTCGCAGTTGCCCAAACGCAATGAGGTAGAGCTCTATTGAGTATAAATATCAAATAAATCGTTTCCTGGTGCTATCTCACCTTTTGCCCACCAGCACACTCCAAGGGCCCTCAAAAGTACACGCTTAGCCCTCTCGAAATTGCCTACACGCATTTCCAGAGCAACGTACACTTGCCATAGAACCACAGAGCGTTTGTTGCTTCCGAAGGTGAGAGGTGATGAGACAGGAAGCCCAATGGAAACTCACCTTCTGAGATTCAAAGCGCCCTCAAGTTGGCTTCGTACACGTTCTGGCTCCCACGGGCCATAATTCCAACCTTCTGCCCATAAGTTCCATGCGATTCTTTTTATACGTTGAGAGACAATCGTTCCATTAGTTTCTTCAGTAAGGAACCTGCGAATTCTTCCCCAGATTCCTTGCCCTCGTTCGCATTCGAGAAACAATCCCAGCAGCACTGTGTTGTTCGGGAAAAGTTGAAGAGCCTTCGTAACTAATGTGCTAAGGACCGGTGGTGGGACGATAATCCCCCGTCTTTGAGACAGCCGAAATACTGTGACGGAGATCCAAGTGTAGAGTGATTCCCTTGTGTCTTTTGGGATGTTTTGGGTATCTGCAACTTCCATAAATGCGGAAATAGCGTTCTCTAAGGTACCTGTGTCTAGATGGAAGAAAAATTGCAGACGAACGATGGCTACTCGGCGGATACTCCACTCCCTTTCGATGGATAAGAGGCTACTGAGACTATTGCGTCCCCGAAGGAGGTACATTGCGCCTTTGGACTCTTGGTCAATGCCAAGTGCGCTCTTCAGTAGCTGAATAGCCATTTGTTCAGACTCTTGCAGCCATCGATATTCGATTGCGTCCGAGTAAAGGAGAAGCTGGTTGGGATCGCTTGACTGAGCAGCAAGTAGGGTCGAATACATTTTCGCGACCTTGCCTGTCTCGCCCTTGATAGATTCAAGTTTGATATGCGTCCTCCACAGATTAACATCGGACTGACGAGATTCGAGCCTCTGCTTCGAACCTTTCACGGCCCTGCATCCTATGAGACATACTTCGCAGGTACCGCGTCAACTCACGCCTTGACGTCCACAGCGGCATCCAAAGCTGCCTTCATGTCCTCCCAGTTCAGAGAAGGGATCACACTTGCGAGCTGATTCATAGCATTTCTGTAACAAGATCAGTCATAACCACATCACTCTCCATCTGCTCACCTCACGATCCCAATGTCTACGCAATATATATCTGCAGCCTCCCATGTCCGTCCAGTGCAAAAAGAATCGATTCCTTCAAAGAAAGATCGATGCATCCCCCATTCTTTGACTGGTCCAAATCCTGACCTTCGTGGTTGCTCAGCGGCGACGATAACGCCAACATGCGATTCCCATGTTATCCTTTTCTGTTCAGTTTGAGAGGGGAAGAGATCTTCGGGTCGTGATGGCCATCCTCTTTGACCTGAAACCATCCAACCATCTTCCACGATATCGCATTGGCCATTTGAACCCAAGAAAGGGCCCCTCTCACCAATGCCGGGTATGTTCAGGCCAATGAATGATAGAAAGGCCATTGCGAGGTACTCTCGAACATCGTTTGACCGTAAATCCGAAAGAAAGTCTCGGATATCGCTAAAGAGAATTGTGGAGTACGGATCGCTTTCATCTTCTGTGAATGATCTTGTGGGGAAAGCACCAACGATATCGAGTGATTTTTCTTGGCAGGACCATTGTTGGTAAGGGTCTTGTGCTTCTGTTTTCCTGCTAGGCTGTCGGTGCAGTACTTGGGCCTCTGGCTGTCCGGATTCTACCCACTGAGCCCAGCCTCGAGCACCGGTTTCTGGGATACGCGGGACTTCTGCTTCCCAAAATTCCTCTAAAGAGTTGACTCTATCCTCCAAAGGATGGGAGATCAACTCAGGAGGGCCGAACAGAGCGAGCTCCATCTGAGCTTGGAAGATTGCCATCGCCTGCTCGAGAAAGCCTGTGAAAAGGTCAGAGGCAGACTTCTTTCATAAATTTAACTGACCGGCTTCTCGAAGGAAGACCGCTATTCTCCACAGTATCCGCACCCGTGCCATCTCAAACTCCGATCCTTGTAATTGTGCAAGTGCCCTTCTCGCGTCATCCAGAGCTTCTGATATTGATGGTCTATTAATGATTGACCAGTCCAGGAATGTCATCCATATGAGAGCTTGTTTCCACGGTGGTACATCGTTACCTCCAAAGTCAGAGAGCAGAGAGTTCCATGACCTCCTAGTTTTTTCCTCATCCCAAATTTCTTCTCCATACATGATGTACAGCAGGCGCAACCTTGGCGACGCCTCGTTGTCGCGGTGTGCATCTAGCGCTCTCTTGAGGATAGAAGTCGCAATTTCGGCCTTTGCTTTGACACCACGTTTGGTACGATTGGAGATTGAATCGATTGATACAGAGAGTAGATGTAACCAGGACTGCTCGTCTTGTGGAGCACGCCTAACGGTTTCCTCCAAACTCTTCATCTTTTCCTGCTCAGCAGGTAAGGTCGTCCCCTCAAATTCGTCGCCAGAGTTAGTGTCAGAGCGTCCGCTTTCCTGCTCTAGCTCTGGATCACTATCCGGTGGTGGTTCAGGAACAATGGATCGATACGAGTCTTCAGGGTGAATGTCCTCTGATCTTGTCGATTTTCCAAGTGGTATAAACTCCCCATATGTCGTGAGAGATGTCTTTGCAGGCAACAACAACCTATGTGGTCCTTCAACCAGGGCCTTTAATGACTTGAAGTCCGTATATCGAGGTGCCTGAGGGGAAATAAGGGCTAGTAATAGCATATAAGATTACGGTACCTTGTGCTTGTCCCTACGGTTCACCTCGACGTCCTTGTTACCGGAGCCACGGGATATTCTCCAGGCGGAAGTCAGACCAAGGACCCTCCCCTCTATTTTATGTCAATTATGGCACAACAAAGCTATGAGACTCCACTTACTCCCATCACGATAAAATCTTGGGATGTCTCCTTGATGCAATCCACCGTACGTTATATTCAGCGAATCACCACGCTTATCGACAAAGTATAGTTTGGATGAACTGCTCTGCATCTCGACATCGCCTGCGAGTAGCAATGCCTGATCCTCTCGCGCCTTTCGGCGCTTATCGTCCTCAAGTAGGCTCCACGAGTGATCTACTTTATGTTTATGAGAGCTATGTTTGCTCTTCTTGCGCTCAGGAGATCGCGAGCGTGAACGACGTCGCCTAGAGCTATGTTCGTGCTTGGATTCGCCATGACGCGACCGATATTGCCTATCACTGCTGTCTCTCCTATCTCTTTCATCTTCTGTATCCTTGTTTCTCGAATGTTTCTCCTTCTCCTTGCGTGATTTATGTTCTTTGGACGACCGCTCCTTTTTATCAACATTGTTCTCTTCGAGATCTGGGAAACTTGAGAAGTTGGGATGAAATGCACTCATCCAAGTGCTTTAGGAAATCGACTTCGTATTCAGCTGGGGGAAGTCGGGTCCAGGATTGCGATAGGAATGTATACCCAGAAATAACAATACAACGTATAAGTATAATACAATTCTTCATATTTAGGAGCCCAAAAGTCAAGGAGTCATGGCAATTGGAGGCTTGCGTAGGGCAAAGAAATATCGCCGATACTCGGGCTGTCTCTTGTCCCATTTCCAGCTGTAACATCCATAAAACTCTTGAGGCTCTCTCTCCATCTCTACTCCAGTCATGGCGTGGTCGAGCCATCGCTCGTCAAACACTGCTGGTCTTCGATAGACTGTCGTGAGTTTATCTTTGCAAGTCTCTGGCGGCTCTTGTTTAAAGGTCACGACATGTGAGGCACGCTGGAGTAGCTTGTGTTTGATGTCTGCGGTGGGGTCATCGGTCTCCTCGCCAGCTTGGACGCATGTAGCCTCCTCGTCCGTTATCCAGTCTTCTCGTTCAACGACATGCATCCGAGTTACAGGTACCCGTTTTTTCTTCCTCGACCATTTCCCATTCTCGACCTGGAGAAGTATAATGCGTTCGAGGTTGGGTGAAGCCTCGAGGAGATTGTGCAAGCTCTCGGGCCAGGGGTCACGCTGAGATGGTGGCTGGCAAAGAAACTCTTTGAGATGCGAGCCAAAGAGACCAGTAATCTCTTTAGATATGTGTTGAGAATTGAGGCGGAGCACCTCGGGTTCGACCAGACAATCTGCGCCGGCTGGAGGGGCAAAGAGAACGCGCTTCATAGAAAGTGACTGTGCGTTCGTCTCGATAGGCCAACTCATAGTCGTCCATTCCTCTACATGAGTGTTCCACTCGGTCTCAGCGAACAACTTTTCGGGAATCCAGACGTTGTGCTCCGCGGCGATCGCAATGGTGACAAAGTCGAGCGAGCCAAGCTCAACAAGAGTGTGAAACTCTTTGAGCACTCGCGTCCGTGTAAAGTTTCCCGTAAGCTCGATTTGGAATGCTCGAAGGGTGGGCCGGAGTGCAGCAAAGGCGTCGCATAGTCTTTGCGCCTGGACCTTGCGAGCGAAAAGGGTGTTTATTTCCGCCCCGATACGGAGACGCAGTTCGACGAGATACGGTGTTTCGCGGAGGAGCTTGTCCAACTTTCTGAGTGGGATACCGAGCTGGCTGTTGGAAATGGAAATGTCCAAGACTCGTACAAAGGTACGAAGACTTTGACCTCGAGTTACGCTGCTGAGACCCGCTCTGAAGGAATTAAACTGATCGTTCCAATGTAAATGTGCTGAACGGTAGATGTATCGTTGAGCAGGGAGAGTCCAATCTTGCGAAATGAGCGAATAGGCGATGAAGAAGCGTCGAAAGTGCTGTGGGCGGAACTCCGAATCCCAGGAGGTCGAATGGAGGTTCCAGAGGAAATGGAGGATGATATGAATTACATCCTGGTCGAGATTAGGAGCCATAACGGCTCTTGGGACGAAAAGATTGTCCATTGGTACCCCGGCTTTATAGCAAAGTCGAAGAGCGTTGTCGGGAGCGACGGGACAGCTAGCGAAGTGAGTCAGAGCACCGCCTACCACAACCATGTAAACCTCTATGACTCGGGTGATTCAGACTTACTTTGATAATTTGGCTCCCTTACCATGCCAGAACGAACCATCGACGAGTTTCAGAGGTTTGTCGGTGCCGGGCAGATGCTCATTGGATGACCGTTCCTTTTATTCTCCTCGAGGTCTCAAAGACTTGAGATCTTAGGGTGAAATGAACTCTTGCAGCTGTGCGGAGAAAGCGATTTCCCGTTGGGCCGAGATGCGGTCAAGTTCAGGATTATCAAGATAATGGCGGTGACTTGAGATGTCATATAATGATACAAAGTATAAGTATAATACAAATTTTCATATTTAGGAGCCCCAGATTTAGGGAGTGGAGACTGGTGCAGGTTTGCGTATGGCAAGGAAATATCGCCGATATTGGGGCTGTCCGTTGTCCCATTTCCAGGTATAACACCCATAAACCTCTTGAAGTTCCCTCTCCTCTTCTACTCCGGTCATGGCATGGCCAAGCCATCGCCCGTCAAATGCCTCTGGTCTTCGATACGTTGGAACAATAGTGGTCCTTTCTTTCCAAGACTGTGACGGCTCTTGATTGAACGTTACGACATGCGAAGCGCGTTCGAGCAGCTTGTACTTGGTGTCTTCAGTGGGTTTAAGCGTCTCCTCGCCATCTTGGACACATGCAGCTCCATCAGCCGTCCAGTCCTCTCGTTCAACGACGTGGATCCGAGTTACGGGAGCCTGTTTCTTCTTCCTCGACCAGCTCCCATCTTCGATCTGAAGAAGTATCAGGCGTTCGAGGTTGGGTGAGAGGTCGAGGAGATCGTCAAAATAGTAGGACCAGGCATCACGCTGCCATGGTGGCTGGCACAGAACTTCCTTGAGATGCGAGCCAAAGAGACTGGAGAGCTCTTTGGTCAGGTATTGGCCGTTGAGGCGGAGCACCTCGGGTTCTACCAGACACTCTGTGCTCGCTGGAGGAGCAAATAGAACGCGCTTCATAGAAAGTGACTGTGCGTTCGTCTCGATAGGCCAACTCATAGTCGTCCATTCCTCCACATGAGTGTTCCACTCGGTCTCAGCGAACAACTTTTCGGGAATCCAGACGTTGTGCTCCGCGGCGATCGCAATGGTGACAAAGTCGAGCGAGCCAAGCTCAACAAGAGTGTGAAACTCTTTGAGCACCCGCGTCCGTGTAAAGTTTCCCGTAAGCTCGAGTTGGAATGCTCGGAGGGTGGGCCGGAGTGCAGCAAAGGCGTCGCATAGTCTTTGCGCCTGGACCTTGCGAGCGAAAAGGGTGTTTATTTCCGCCCCGATGCGAAGGCGCAGTTCAACGAGATATGGTGTCGCACGGAGGACCTTGTCAAGCTTTCTGAGCGGGATGCCCAGTTGGCTATTGGAAATGGAAATGTCCAAGACCCGTACAAAGGTACGAAGATGTTGACCACGGATTGCGCTGTTCAAGCCAGCTTCAAAGGAATCAAATTGGCTGTTCCAGCGTAAATCTGCGGAACGGTAGATGTATCGTTGAGCAGGGAGAGTCCAATCTTGCGAAATGAGTGAATAAGAGATGAAGAAGCGTCGAAAGTGTTGTGGGCGGAACTCCGAGTCCCAGGAGGTCGAGTGGAGGTTCCAGAGGAAATAGAGGATGATATGAATTACATCCTGGTCGAGACTAGAAGCCATAGTGGCTCTTGTGTGACTGGGAGGATTGTCCGTTGCCCTGACTTTATAGCAAAGTCGAAGAGCGTCGTCGGGAGCGTAGCGGAGTGAGTCAGAACGCCGCCATCTGATGACTCTGATCCGGGTAATAAACTAGTGTGAATAATTTAGCATTTCTAGTGGTAGCAGATCAGGACGAACCGTGGACGAGCTCAGTGATTCGTTGGGTGGCAGCAAGAGACAAAGTACAGAGCCCCCTACCACAAGATGGGACTTGTGCATGTCGAGCAACAAGTCAACCACGGAATATACTAATTTAGACGGCTTCTGAGCGGCTCATCTCATCCATTTGTCGTTGCCTGGACGTTACTGCGGACGTTTCCTGGCGACAATGAACGGATAATACTGGAAGAAAAATCTTCGAATCGCATCATGAGCGATAGGGTATCCTTTCTCTGCTGTAAATCGACAATCTTGACGAGTTTGGCTGCGAACGTTCTCGCTTTCTCATCAGAGATTCCCTACGGCGATATTTGAAGCCTTTCAAGCATCTCTTGATCTATGAATCTATTCTGCTGCGCAGCTTGACACGACTGACGACAGCTCTCTCACTTAGTATCGGCTGGTGCCCTCGACCAGAGTTTCAAACCTTTACGGCCATTTGTATATTCATTTGATTCAGAATTTGCTGCGGCAAGGCACATCGGGCTTCGGTTCGTCATTGCAAATAAAGCCACTCTGGTGAGCGAACCAACTGGTCTCTCATCTTGATCCCCCCTCCGTTCTCTTTTCTCGCGACATCCCACAGCAGCGATTATCTTTGCACCCACGACTTGCGTTTCACTCGATCATGTCCCGCCAGACAATGTACAATGCACTCTCCACATCTGCCGTCGTCGTTGGCGCCTTGATGGCCCTCTCCAACACTGGTCTGGCAGTTGCAGAACAATCCCCTGTGAATCACGCTCACTCTTCGACTCCTGTCTCCCCGCTACACACAGCAGCGACCTCGCCCAGCTTTAGCTCGTCTCCAACGCTCTCGCACTCGTCTCCTCTTTTCTCTTTCCACATAGCTTCTGTCCATTCAAACAGTACACTCGAATCGTCACCGCACTCCTATCCTATGCGCTCTCATCACACTGAGTCTCAACGCCATACCTCTGGTCATCACCACTCCGAATCGGGCAGATTGTCGACACGCACAATGGAAGCAACGACTACAACGCAAGTATCAGCTGTGACAACGACGGCGACTACTCAGACGACATTGACCAACTCACCCACGGGCGACACGATTTCAAGTACCGCGACCTTGGATGCAAGAGCTCCTACCCATATATCTGGTCACATTGAATATTCACCCTCATCGATGATTGGAGACAACCCTCACGACCACAAAGCCAAGCCGCGCGATCATGCACGTCTTGCAAGACGTCAGCGCCCTCGACCTGCTCGTCCAATGCCTTCCGTTACACCAGTGGGAACTTCGCGTCAAAATTCAACCTCTGCGTACAACCTAGTCGACTCATACGAGGGTTCGACATTCTTCGAGTGAGTCTTTTTCTATACGAGGTGATCGATCTAACAGTTTCTAGTGGCTGGGAGTAAGCATATAGGCTGTACCTCTTGAAGTGATCTAAATCTCCATAGCTTCTTCGAGTATGCGGATCCCACGCATGGCATGATTCGATATGTTTCCGCTGATGAAGCAAAGTCTTCCAACTTGGCTTATGTGCGAGACGATGGAGTGGCTGTTATGACCGTCGATACGACGACGACACTGGCCGTCAGTGACAGCGAACAGAGGAACTCGTATGCCGTCTTACACACGATGATCTTCTGCTAATCACAAACAGCGTGCGTATTACGACGAAAAAGTCGTACGGTCAGGGCCTATTCATCTTCGACATTCTCAAGGCGCCTCACGGTTGCTCTACCTGGCCTGCGGCATGGCTTGTAGGACCGGATTGGCCATCTGGTTTGTTTTATTCTCTCGTTGCAAGCCTATAGCTGACTACTTTCAGGTGGCGAGGTACTTTCATCTTCTGACCTTTCGGCTCCGCTGACCTTTGTAGATTGATGTCGTCGAAGGTGTCCACGAGAACGTCTACAACCAGATGACTGTCCATGCTTCTGCTGGTTGCCAACTCGATGCAACCAAGTCGCTTGCTGGCGGTGTCACGCTCAGGGCAGACCAAAATCCCCTAGAAATGTTTACTGGCACCGTACTTGAGACGGACTGTGACGCTACGATTAACAGCAACGCAGGTGAATAGTCATTATTCTGATCATTACCACCACTCACGCGTATAGGGTGTGGAATTATGGACTATGACACTACATCGTACGGGGCTGGTCTCAACGACGCTGGCGGAGGCGTCTACGCCACGCTTTGGGACAATGTTGGTGTACGCATCTGTATGTTCCACAAATCTTTCCGGCTGCCTGTGCTTACGTTTGGCAGGGTTCTTCAAGCGTGAAGATGTCCCCGCCGACATAACCGGGTCGACTCCTGATCCAACGACATGGGGTACGCCTAGGGTAAGTGTTATAACCCCTGTCCTGCAGGTTTCCAAATGATCCTTTAGGCTTATTGGGCTGCCTCGTCGTGTGCATCCTCGTTCTTCAATAACCTCTCGATTGTGTTTGACATTGTGCTGGGAGGAGACTGGGCTGGTGCAACATATAGCGCTGCTGGATGTCCCGGAACGATTCAAGACTACGTCGCTAACCCATCCAATTTTGCCAGTGCGCTCGCTTCGCCGTCTTTGTTTGTCTGTACTGACCAACGTCTTAGATGCAAACTGGGCAGTCAACTCGGTCCGAGTATATCAAACTTCTTAACCAACGCTCTTTCCCCCTGAATAGCTTTCCGGCTCGTTGCTCTGGAGGTAGCCAAAACTCTCGCTCTTTACTGTCAAGACGTAGAACTGGGGACAATACAATGATCTCCAAGGATTATATCGTACATATCCGATCATTGGTTGTAAGAAGAGTCACGGGATAAATGCCTAGTGAGCGATGCAGTGTCCTAGACGATGAGGGAAAATCCGGTGGGTGTATGCAGAATTGATGTACATGTATGAGATGCAATAGGGGAGAGAGGAACATGGTCGAATCGACAGAAAGGGGTTGCACGAGATCAAGAACTGGACGCGACGGAGATGAAGGGAAATTTAAAATACGATGCATTGGTCATTCTTGGAGGAGACGGATTCACGTTGATTTCTTTTGATCCGCCTCCTTTCTTCGCCGAATTCAGATGCGTTAATGGACACTGTGGACATGCGTGTCGCAAGCCGTCGTACCGCGGTTGTCGTCTCCGAGACGCCATTCTCCTCGGTGGTCGCGGGGGTATTGTTGTGGCTGCCTTGTGTGGCAGCCGTGACCGTCATCATCGGACGTTGAGGCGACGTGAGAGTGGGTCGTCTACCGGCTGGTGCGACCGACGAGCGCGGCGTAGAGTCGTATGAAGGTGTCGAGGACACCGTCTCAGCAGCCGTGACCATGCTACGCACGCTATCCGTATTGGCATTGCTCGAAAAGCTCAACCTCGAACGTTTGCGGAGCTTTTCGGGCGATGTCGATAGGACGGCTCCGCTGCTAGCGCTTGGGCCAACGCCATTCGCTGAGAGAGGTCCCTTTCCTAACGGCCTCATTGGAGTAGGTGTCGTCGCTTCATCACGTGGTGGGTGATATGCAGCGGGCGAACTACTCAGGGTGGGCGCAGGGGGGGATGCCGGCTCGGCCACCTTATTGGACCGCTTCCAAGGAAGTAATCGTTCCGAAAGCTTTGGAGAACTGGAGAATGTGGCGTCTGATTGCCGTCGAGCGCGAGGCCGCATGCCCGGACTCGGAGGAATGGCAATGGGCGATGAGGCAGGCGAGGCACTCTCTCGTACGGGAGATGCGAGCTCTTGCGAGTTGCTTGCCTGAGAGTATTGCGAGTATAACAGGAGTTGGGCCCGTATATCGCAGCTCGGCGGAGCATCCGCGGCGCATCGGGCGTGTGCAATGAGACCGCAGTCTTCGCACAATACCGCGCTTCTCTTTACAGATTGGTGGCACACCCTACAAAGGACCGCTGTAGGACTCTATGTGAGCGCTGGATCACCTTCGAAAAAGCGCTCAAACTTACCTCGGCCAAAGGTCGTCTTGATAAACGAGTGCGGTCGAGTGGGTCCTTCCGACGAGTCGGGGGAGAGTGGGGTAAGCGGGATCGGAATGCCAACCTGGGGAGTCGTGCTCGAAGGCTTGAGGCCACCATCGGCACTGAACGATTCAGACGGTGCCACACTCTTGGTGTCAAGCGATAGACTTCTGGTAGCTTCTGATCTTGCAAGCTCGACACTGACTCGGCGGAGAAAGGGTATACTATCTTGAGGGCGGAGCTCCTGAAAGGATACAATCAGATCGCTGGGCTAGCCCCCGAACGTGTGGCGGGACTCACCCTATGTTCTCCCCATGCCGTCTTGAGCCAGGGGTGCTCAAACAGTGTCTCGGCGCTGGGACGTTGCGCCGGGTCTTTCTTGAAGCACTGCTTCAAAAATTCCTTCATGAGTGGACTGCACACGTCTGGAATGGGCGGGATATCATCATCGACGATCTTGAACATGACTGTGTGTCACAAAAGGAAGATTTGTGAGCATGCTTTGTCCCGGTAAAAATCAGAGAAGCGCACCTGACATGCCATTGCCAATTTCGTGGTACGGAGGGTGACCTGTCAGCAATTCGATGGCAGTACATCCGAGAGACCAGATGTCGGATGCCGTCGAGGCTCCCTTGAGTTCGATCACCTCGGGAGCCACTACAGGTCGGGTTCGTCAGCAAAGAGCGCTCGCCCGCCCAATCTGGTGTTCGACTTACTCCAGTTTGGAGTCCCTGCGACGTCGTTCTTGATCTCTTCCAGGGCCTTGGCATTCAAGTTGAGCGAGACGCCAAAATCGGAAAGCTTGACGTTGCCGTTCTTGGTGGTCAAAATGTTGGCAGCCTTGAGGTCGCAATGGACGACGTGAGAAGTATGGAGATAATGAAGCCCCTCTAGAATCTTGGTCACGTAGCTCGCGACGAGCCGTTCGTTGAGTTTGCCAAAGGCCTTCAGGGTTTGGCCCAGCGAGCCGTTCTCCACATACCTAATCGAGTACGCTCAGCTATGCTCCAGCATACAAACCGCCTAAAAAATAGAAAAAGAAGTGATACTCACTCCAATACAATACTAAGAGTATCCGTAGATCGGACCATGCCTTCGTACTTGACAATGCTTGGGTGTGAGAGCCGCTTGAGAACGTCGACCTCCTTCATCAAATTCGAAATCTCATCTTCGGAGAGACCTTGAAGACTGATCCGCTTGACTGCGACCATCTGCCCAGTGTTGAGATTGAGCGCACGGTAGACTGCCCCGAATTGCCCGCGGCCGATCCCATTGCCAATTTGCTATCACAAAAGACGGTCAGAGCTGACGTACCATATGTCGTAAAGCAAATACTCACATAGTGCATCGGGGGCTTGCCCTCTTCGCGCACCACGAGTGGCTGCCGAATGGCATTGACACTGAGGGATGACTCTGTAGAATTCGTATCCCCAACCGACCCAAGATTCATCATGCTCTCGAACCGAGATCGTCCAGGACGTATGCCAGCACCCGGTTCATCGAGCGAGGTAGGCCGATGCTTGCGCGCCGTTCGCGTCCCCGTCGTGTCCAGCTCTGAATTATACCGTACGCGTTGAATCGGGCGTACGGCGTTTGAGGAACCAGAAGCGCGTCGTGGACTGCCGGGATTGCCATTGGCGGTCGACGCCTCCTCATGACCACCCAGATCGCCAGAAGACGAGACTGGAAGCGCGGCCAATCGAGACACGCCCGCCGTAGTGCCAGATATCGCAGGTGCGAAGTCGCCGGACGTCGTCCGAGGAAATGGTACACGCGGCATACCTGGCGATGTTGGCGTCGTCTCGATTTGGTCACTTTCCGTTGAGTGCTTTCGTCGAAGCGCCCTAGGGTCGTCAATACCATTAATTTTGGGCACATACGATCCCCGAGGCGAAACTCTAGAGGAACTCCTCCTGGGTGCTATAGCTGGCCTGATTCCGCCGCCTGGGGGAGATGGCGTCGTCGACTCGCGACTCGAAGACGGACTAGGCTGTCTCTCACGCTCTTTGCTGAGAGAAGAGTGTCTTGGGATGAGAATTGGCATGGGAGACGTTGTGACAGTATCCACACTATGGCGATGACCGTGCACGGGGCGTCTCATGGGCAGGCCAGCCTTAGGCCTGGGAGGAGAAGAGGACAAGTCGACCTCTCCCTGTGGTGGTATCTCAAATGAGAGACGTGGTCGGTCAAACGACGGCCCTCTTGCTGGGGTAGCTGCAGAAGCGGTGGAGGTGGGGTCCAATGAGGAAAAGGCAGTCGCAACCTCTACAAATTGACGACCTCGTCGGGTTCCCATTTCATCCACCTCTTCCACATTTGACAGGTCGTTGGAAGGCAATTCGCTAGACCGCCTCTCACGCCACTGGCGCAGAGGTCCCGATTCTGTCGTCGGGGATTGCGAAATGGCCTGGGCCAAACGCGCTGCAGACGCGTCGCGGTCGTAGGACCGTCTTCGTGACGTCGTTGGCAGTTCCGTAAACTGAGTCTGATAGCCAATGACCGGTTGCGCCTCTTCGGCGGGCTCAGAATGAGACAATTTGGACTCTTGCCTTAACAAGGCCACTGAGGCATTCTCTGGTGGATGAATAGAAGTCGCCATAGTCGTGGTGGTGCGCACTGTCCCGAACCGTGCAGATGACCGATTGTCCAGCATGGAAAAGCCAGCAGTCGAGTCGGTGATGCTGCTGTTCAATGACGCTCGAGATGATAAGCTAGGCCGCAGCGGTGATCGAGGGGGCACTTGTGGGGAGTTGGAGCGAACCGTTTCGGCAAAGTCTATGGGCGAAGGCGTCAGAGAGTTGGCCCTGTTCTGTCTTGTTTCTTGTGAGGAAGGTGGTCTTCCTTGCGAAGAGCCTGGAACAGGAGGGAGTGCAGAGGGGGGCGAATAACGTTTTGAGCGGCCTGGGCGATTCACCGACGATGAGCGCTGTTGGCCCGAATCGAGCAAGTTTGGAGACGAGGCCGAGCCATCACGTATCGACATGTAGAGTCCCCGTGATGATCCATGAGGCGGGAGAGCTGGCTCACCCAGCTTGACAAGTGCGACAATCGTCTGTGCGACTCTTGCCAGGGACTCGCCCGACGCCTCGAGCATGTCATTCCGAAAGAAGAGGTCCGAGTTGGAGACTCCATAGTGTAGAGCACCAGCGAGAAACTTTGTAATGTTGGAAGTCTTTGTGAACCCGTCCTCTTTGGGGTCTGGGCGTGCCACAGTGCCTGGCCTAAACTTGTTGAGCAAGCTAAAGGGGAGATATATCGTTAGTGCACACCACATACGACTAGTGTAAAGACACTCACGCGCAGAGCACATAACCATCTCTCACGGCTTCACAGAACAGCCTTCGCTCACGATCTTCTCCTCCGCCAAACCCGGAACCAGATCCCACGGCAGTTGCCGATGATCCACCGCCACTCCTGCCCCATATGCGCTCGAGTCGGCTGAGCGCACGTAGCCGGACTTCGACATCCTGCCAATCTTGTTGCCGAAGCGGCGGTGGGGGTCGTGAGAGGTGCTTTATCAACAGAGAAGAGGCTGTGCGGATAATCTCGCGATAAGGAGAAGGTGAAGTGAGTGAAGTCGTGCTTGTGTTACGACTGTGGTAACCGGGGGAGATTGCGCGCTGCGTCGGAGGTGAAGTTGGGATATGAGATGTAGATATTGAAGGGAAACGGGTGAGCTTCGGAGGTGGACTACGGTTCCGCTGGGGTGAAGGCGAAATGCCGCGAGAGCCAGTCGCAGACGTAGGCGTCGTCGGCGACGCTGCCGGAGCAAGCACACGTGGTCTGGAGATTTGCGAGGGATTGATAGGTTCTCGTTCTTTGTCCCTCGACGTTGACGAGCGTCTGGTAGATGCGCGGGGTCGGAGAGGAGAGTTATTCGTCGCATGATTCGAAGTCGAAGCAGCCGGGGAATCTGCCGGAAGAGCAAACGGATTGGAAAACAGAGGGAGTACAGGTGAAGACATGCTTGCTTGTCTCAACGAGCCCATAAAAGGTCGATCCTCCTCCTTTGGATCTACAGTGTCTCCTCGGCCTGAAATGGAAAGCTTGGGTTTGCGCGTAAATGTAACTTTGAGACCGCGTTTGCTGTCATCTTTTGGCTTTTTGTCCTTTTGCTTGTCCTTGTCGGTGCTACTGCCAGCAGCGGCAGCGGCGAGGTGCAATGGCCCAGTGCGGTCAGCGACCGTCGCCGTGTCTGGGTTCCGTTGGCGGGATAAACCAGTGACCCTGAGTGTATCCTGGACCATTCTTCTGAATGTCCTCTGTGAAGGGCCATTCTGGGCCGTTGCAGACGGCGCGCGCGACGAATCGACGTCCAAGGACCTGCGGGGGGTGGCCATGGAGCAGCTTGAGCACGCGTAGAGAATTACAAGTCACAGAGTATATCGTATAACCCAAGTTTAAACAACTCGCTGGCGAGTGAGCGAATCGCCCAGTCGCCGTTTTGCGCTCTCTCGAGGACGGAGAATGTCCGTTGGTCGCAACACGCACGCTGCGAGGATTCTGATGGGCTCCAGGAGCCTCAGATGACGGTCAGCGTCACTGAGCTCGAAAAGGCAGCGCAGCGTCCGAAAGCAAGAGGCAGTCCGGCTGGTTCAGCCAAAGCTCAAATGTGATCAACTAATCAGGCTTAGAAACTAGACCAGAAATCTAATCCCCATCAACCCAGAGGCGCGGGCAGCTGTCCATCAACCAGTAATCGCACTCATATACTATTGCAAACTCGCGCCGACGAGGTCCTCACGTGAAGCCATGCTGCAACGTGCACTCGCCATCCCTGCGCTGCCATTCAATTCGTCCGAAAGAGCTTATCTACATCTTTTCTACGCATGTCCCTTCCTCAGCGAACGACTCAGATGGAACGCCGTGCTATTCCATCGTCAGCGACACCCTCAATAACATCCCCCGAGACACTTGCCTGATCATGGTGACGTGCGTAAAGCCCTGGACGGCATTTCCCAGGCTACAATACAACCCCGTCAGTAGCCATACTCCGGGCAAAAACGTCAAACGTTACCCCTCTCCCGCCACGCTAACCTCTGCGGGGGTGGGGTCAGAGCCGCTGGCAGTCAGGACACGATTGAATGACAGTACCCTCGGTGAACAATCCCACATGGTTGCTATATCCGATAAAGTCCTATGGTCCCCGTTTAATTCAAATCCTAATCAACAGGGCTGCACTTACCTCGAACATGCGAACTCCAGTTTGAAGCAGCGCACTGTCGTATTCTCCTGCCCTAGTCAAAGCTTCGATGCACCTTTTTTTAGGGGTCAATAGATGCCAAAAGAGCCATTAAAGACGCACCAAAGGGTACCTGGAATATAAAATGGTCGATGAGTCCGGGATGGCTTCCTATGGGCGCAAAAATCCAAAGAAGACGACGAACAAAGGGAAAAAAATCCTTCTTCTTCTCCTGAAAACCCATCGTCCGAAACCTTTGTATCGTAGCGGTACACCAGCGAGTTGGACGACAAGCCACCGCGCTCAGGCGATTTGAGAACATTCCTCAGCGTGCTCAGGAAACGGGGATCCTATGCGCAAGAAAGAGCCCGGCAGAGTGGCAGGAAACCACGCCACAGAACGGGGTCCAGGGGAAGCCGTCAGTCGACCAATCTCCGATAGAGGAGCAACGTACGCTCGCTGGACAGAAGAATACCAATGGGGCCACGAGCACCGCCGAATCAAGAATCTATATGGGAGAATATGAGCAACGCTTTGATCGTCCTCGCTCGATGCAACAGCTGACATGAGGTTCATCGTAGCTCTGTGGCGTAGGTGAGATCACGCGTGCGAAAAGACAGTAGTCGGCTGCTTTACCTGTCCATAAATTCCCCTCTCTGGGTTCCAGGCCTTTTCCTAAAGTGGAACCGTCAATGTCGTCCTAAAGCGAATAAGCCGATTCGGACTTGCCTGAATTTCCTCGTACAGCGCATCGCGCGCGTCCTAATTTGCCCGTCGGCCCACAAGTCCTACCGAGGAAATGAAGTGCGCGCTCACCAGCCACTTTTGGCGACGGGGCCCCAGCGGGAGCTGCCGCTTCTCGGCCAGACGCAGACCGCGATCGATAGCGACCCTGTGTGGGGTAGGTCATCGTGCTGAGCAAACGGCGAGATAAGTGGTCCTTACCACATCATAATCTGTTCCAAAGCGTCGGGGACGCACCGAAGGATGTCTATTCAATACTTACCTTTGAATACTAGAAAAGGGTAAGCTCCCTGTCGGAAATGTCGGGAAAGGCCTACGGTGAAATGCCTTTGCTTGCTTCGGACCTCCCTGGAATTGCAGAAATGAGCAAATGCATTACGGAACCAAGTAAGATGGCTACCATATCGACCTAGACACAGGTTTCAGGTTTCGCATCAATCACGCTACCGGCAAGCTCACAAGTCGGGTCGGTGACAGTTGGCGATGACATCTGCCGAAATATCAGCGCGGCTTTCATAGTCTCATGGATGACGTACAGTCGACACTGGATATAGCTTAGCATCGAGCAGGTCTGGCAGGATTCCACTCACAGATCTCGTACAGCGAGCCATAGGTCGTATCCCAATGGCCTGGGGACTTGAGTGCACGAAACAAGAGTCTTTTAGACACACCTCGCAAACTTTTGGCTGAGATAGATGAAATCAAGAAGTTCTCCTAAAGAAATCGTCAGTTGAAGCTGACCAAACTTTGACGGCGTTCGAACCATATCTAGATGGACGATCAAAATCTGCAGATGTAGAACATTCAAACGTACATATCAAGCTGAAGATGATCCGCAGCTCCGTTACCAATACTGCGTTTCTCAGCCTCGCCCTATGGGCAGACGAAATAGCATACCGAACAGGTCTAAGGTCGCATTAACACATGCCAAAATTAATAATGAATGGCGCACCTTGATCCCTTGTGACCATCGAGGTGATGAAGCTCAATCTCAGGGGAGCTTCTTTTCTCCATGGATAGAATACATAATTTGAAGACTGTAGGTGGTTGGAAAGATTCGACGTTGAATCGTCCCTCACCTTCCGTCTGGGTTCTATCAAAGGTCAGAGAGGACCAGGACATAGTGGCGAGGTAACTTACACGCTCTTGTACACGCTTGAAGATGAAATCCATGAAAGCTTGATCGTGTAAGCACCTATTTATGAGCAACAGATACAATTTACCATTAGCTTCGTCCGTGAACCCGAGCTTGGGATATGTTAGTGGAGAGCTCCACACAATAAATACGCAACTCACTCGAATGAGAGCATAAAGGTGAATGAACTGTCTCGAATCCAGCAATATCTGCCCCACAGTGATCAGGGCTTGGTTATATCCAGAACTCGATTCACCTGTAGTCCCTAATGACGACGTGAGTCAGGAAATATGAATAGAACGTATCTACCAGTTCCTTGTCCCACCGATGTATTCCGGTAGTGAAAATGTCGGAGAGGCAACGATCGCACTGGAATCGTGAGCAGTCAGCAGATTCGACTTGACAACTCTCACCCTTCAAAGCGGTCAATAGTTTTCACTCGGTCTCACAATACCTTACCAGTTGGCTCAAAGATGAGGAGTTTGAGTGCTAGAGCGCTACGATGTACAGCTTCCCTCCAGTTACCTTCGTAGGTGGAACGACCAATCCATTGTTGCCAATACTCGTTCGTATCCTATCCGAGTTAGTCTTTTGTAGCCGGAGGAGTCGACTAATTACCTTGAGAAGACCGTCTGCAAGCCGCTGCTCGAAGTCAGCTGAGATGTTTTCGTCCAAGACTCAATGCACCTTGGTCAAGATTGGGTCATCTCGTGCCCGTAATTTATTTGCTCCTTCCACAATCGCTATGGGCAAAGTGAGTTCGTGTCTTCTTAAATGTGGAAACTGACATTCAAAAGTTACATTGAACTCTTTGGCGGTCTCAAATTTGGGAATCGCATGGGGGACTGGGGGTTCTTTGGGAGGAGTTCGAAGGAAGAAGGTGACGACTTGGCCCTCTTTGAGCTTCAAATCGACATGAGCACCTGGGCCTAAATGTCCTTTCTCGGGTAGGTAGAGTATCTCAAAGTTGATTTCTGGGACCGGGACATCGTCCAAAGTAGAGTCTGCGACATAACGCAGGTCGAGTTTGAGGTTTTCAGAAGTAAAGAGGACCTTTTGCTGAGCTTCGTTCGGGATACTGTCATCGGGCACAAGCTGCCAGAGTCAGAGAAGCTGAAGTGTGCAAAGACGGTGTCATACTTCGGTTTTATGAGGGGCACGTGCATAGTCGAAAGCTGGGCAACATTCGACACGGTAGGGCACTTCGCCTCGAATGACCTGGCGTGCAGTCAGAAATAGACTGTGATGTGAACGATCGGTGGCTGACTTCGACACGGCGGACAAGCCAAGGGAGATTGGGCTTGGTAGAATTTGCTCTGCTTTGACGAGGCAAAAAGTCTACGAGGATGAGTGGACATGGGCAACCTCTTTAGCAGCACGTCACCTGTGACCTGACCCACACCGCAATCACTCAGAAACCTGAGATTATCGTCATGTATGAGCTATTTATAGGAGAAATTTTCGCCCACTTGGTAGAGAGAACCTGGAGAGAGACGTCAGAAGTGAGACATGACCACGGTTGAGCTTACATTGGAGCTAGGCATATATCTAAAACCATATAAGCACAGCTTGAGATGAATCATGAATGGTCACATACTGCTGCTTTGGGGTAAAGTCGTTGGTAGGGGTAATTGAAAAGTGACCGCCCTGGGGAGCTGTCAGATAATCAATCAAAGGGTCTGCCACTTTCTTGCCTTGTCTTTGTCGAGAATACGGGCAAAGATGGACGGAGAATCGAAGAACGGGACACAGTAAGACTCGATAGAGCCATCCAAGCTGACCTGCGGCGAGGGTTCAGTAGACGCGAGCTGCTGTTCATCAGTGGCATTACCAGAGCAGCCGTTTGGAGGTTTCCAATAAGCCCGTGGTCGGAGATATCGACATAACCACGGTCTCTAACGTTGGTTCTGGCGGTCATTCTGAACAGTATCGAGGAGCAGTTCAAGCTTTACGACCAAAGTGTAAAGTGGTGATCCACTCCTTGGCTTCCGATCTCGGACGGTCGCCAAAGCGCGTCATCAACGGGATCATGGCGAATCATTCGTCGACTATAGATCGCTTGGAGAAAGTGTATTCCGCGCTTGAACACGAGACCACGGCTGCTTTGGACGAATCGCGCGAGTTCAATGTGCGTTTTTGGTAATTCTACAGGACACGTGAGCTAATAATCTCAGCAGAATAGAGCTCGTGTCCAACTTGCCGAACTCTCGGCGCTCATGGACGCGCTGGACAACTCGAACAAGCGGCTAGAAGTGAGTTTCTCCGTAACGAGTATATAAATACTCACGCTGGCTGCTACAGGACAACAAACGCATCGCTCAGACATTGATAGACGTCCTCCCGGCGTATGTCGCCAAAGTACGCGATGCAGAAACAGACTTTGAGGATTTCGAACGCAACTTTCCCATTCTGGAGAAGAGTGTCGACGTCTTTTATGAACGTTCTAAAGAAACCTCTGAAGACGTGTGTACTTTTGCCCTGTTGCGCTGCTTGCTGAAGACCTCTGTAGATTCGCAGGCTGCGAGAACAGGTTGGGACATTGACAGTAGGTCAAGACGCATCGCGAGTATCCTATTACTAATGGAATATACTAGCAGAGGCAAGAGGCCTTCTCAAGCACGTATATTGCTGCTCCTATTCTACTCAGCGTTGTCTTTGCTCTGATACTATACGCTGTTCAGCGATGATTTGCGTCTTATAATTGTCAATTGTATCCTATATCCTTATGTCTAACATGTATTCCTTTCTTGACCAACACGGTGGCTGAATAGACAACAGCGTTCGACAACTTGAACCCTACCTCGGCGCTTTCAGGTGGCGAGCCCTAAGCCATGGTCGATTTTCAGGTCTGTATGGGTCCGTAAACCAATTCCGTCTGCTCACTGGTCATCGAGCAGGAGATAGAGGCGCTGCTCAAAGAAGTTGTCGGTGGCAAGCGACTCTCGGCGTCCAAGATGACAAAGTTTCAGGAAATGGCAATGAAGTCTCTCAAAGTGTGTTACTCGTTGGCTTTCTAGTGCTGCGATACGGCTGCTCAACGTCGAATCCCTCAGCATGACACCAAACTCGTCTCTATGCTCTATCGAACGCATAAATCTCTACCCAAGAGTCAAAAGATATCTAGTTTCTACGTTTTTGACGCTCTTGCGAGGGCTGCAAAGCATCAGGCGAACAAGCACTCGTTGGCAATAGAAGAGAGACCCAGTGACAAGCCTGGGAACGCGGGTAGCTTTTTGTTCAAACTCGAAGGAATTCTGGACGGACTGGTAGAGGACATGATGACCGTCGGCACTTCCGAGGCCAATGTGAGTAGCGCTCCCATTGTTTCGCACCCTAAACTGACATCATATTTGCCCGAACAGGAAAAGACGCGCAAAGTTCTCGAAATTTGGAAAAAGGCCAACACGTTCCCTCCTGATGTATTGTCTCGGTTACTTCAGATTGTCGACCAAGGAGGACAAGGTGCCTATTTGTTTCCCAGATGTTCCATCCCACACTATTGTGCATTGTCACAAGTTCATTCTCATTCTTTGTCCACCCTCGGGAGGGATCCAAATCTTCTGAGTGGCTTTTCGGTATCAAATGAGAGCAATTTCACTCATATTTGCGCTTTTCTCCTTTGCCATCGTTAGGTACAACAGCAGAAGCTGCGAGCACGAGCACTCTACCGATAACAGACAAAACCCAGTCGCAGTCTACCGAGTCTGCGGCCCCGTCAAATGACCTACCGCCCGCCATCCTCGCACTTTTGGGTCCTACACTGTCTACAAATGGATCTGTAGCAAATACGTACGTATCTTTGTATCCTTGTGAGACGGATAGTGCAATAATTAAATCAGACTCGGCAGCACACTTGCACCTGCTCCCCAGCCAAACCCGGCGCCTTTAGAACCATCCCAGCTCGCCCTTTTACAACAATTGACACAAAAAGTTGCGGCAATGGCTCCACCACCCGCAGCGTTGGGTACAGCGCCAGCTCTTGGTGGCCGACCATCGATCGATCCGCAGTATATGACCAATACCCCAACATACGTACCGCATTCTAAACGATATCAAGAAGAAAGAGAAGATCCTCGACGCCCTCGACCACGGGACCCTCCGGCGAATGGGGGCCATGGCGGGAACCGATACGACCGACCGTTTGAACACAACAATGACAGTGACACGAGTCGACGAAGATTTGGTCCCGCTGGTCGGGATCGAAATGGTGCGTCGAGTGGGAGCGGAGGTGGTCGATGGGACCGTCCACCCCCGCCGAGGAGGGACCAGCACAGTCGATCGCGTTCACGTAGTCCTCCCGCAAGAACAGACCCTCGCAAAATCCCGAGCCCTACTTCCGCATCCGTACAAGTTCCGCGCGGCCAGGCGATTCCGACTTTTACCAGCGTCGAAACACCGTCGAGAGGAGCACAGACGATGCAGATGAACACTCTCCAAGGGAAAAAAGAAGCATTGTCGAGTATACCGTCCTCGTCTTCGACACTCGCGACGCTCGACGTGAGCAACTTTGACATGACCTCTGCCGACAGCTGGGCAAAGCTCGGTGCAGCGTTTAAAGCTACGCATGGACGAGATGGAACGCAGGAGGAACTCGTGGCCACGCTCATGGCGCTCCAAAACGGCCTGCCGCCTCCGTCATTTGGTGGATCTATGGGCGGCATGAACATGCAAAACGCGTGGCAAGAAACTGCAAAGGGCGCCTATGCCAATCAAGTCCCATATTGGTCGAATCCTGCTGCGACCATTGGCACGTGGGAGACACGAGAGCTCGACGAGGCGAAACATGGAGGTCGTCATGTCGGGCATGGAAGTTATGACGATGGGATAGGGTATGCAATTGGCCCTGGGAGATGGCAGAACAGCGATGCAGTCGTACTCACCGGAAATGATGATTATTAACCAGATTGCATGTCTCTCCCCTCTCTTGTTCCCTGTCCGGATTCGATGTAAATTAGTGACTTGTTTACTTGGCTATAAACATTGCCCTTTGTCCTGATCTTTAACCGTCAAAGGAGTAGATTGCATATAAAACTGTCGTTATGTTTGTACATCACAGATAGGTTTGACTTTCAACCTATGGCACGTCGAGCGCAATAATAGAACTAGGGAGGATGTGCTCGACCTGGAAATCGGAGATGTATGCGTATTGATGCTTGAGATTGGAGAGAAAAGGTGGACGAGATGATAAACGAGAGGCGTTGTATGATTGTTGCTGCTGGGTATTACTACTCTATAACTTGCGATTCAGGACGAAAGCACCGACTCCGACTGGACATCGGCATCAGCACGAGAGACAGCCTCATCTTCAGGATTTGGCGTTGTAAGCAACGTCATCTGTTGCTTTTTTTCGTTGACGCGGCTAATCACCGCCTTGAGTTCTTGTACGACCTCGCCCGTAAACAGCCCTCCAGACCCCACATCAAATGCACCCGAAAGCCGCTGTTGATGCTGGTGCACAATCTTTCGCTTGGCCTGTGCAAGGGCGATCCTCTCTTGTCTCGACAGGGTGGATCGTTCTTTGCGATAGGGCTTGACGGCCGGTCCTGAGTCTGCCTCGAACACACGGTCGACACCGGGAGGCGGGAGATGCATCGCCGTCGCACCAGCGAGCAAATGTGCCGTCGCGTCGTCTACTATCTGGCTGGGGCCACGGGAGGCATACGCTGGAGGTGGACTACTAGCACCGGCGCGCGTTGGGCTATCCAACGCAAAAGAATCGTCCCGACTTGTTTCTGGAGCCTGGTCAGGCAACGACGGCATTTCCGCTTCGCGATCAGAAGTCGAATCGGCAGAGCCGTCCGTGACCAGGGACATCATTGGTCCACGAGCACGCTCGCACTCGCGCAGAGCAATCCCGAGCTCCCGTCGGAGAGACTCGTAAGAGGTTATAGCAGCCTGAGCGCTGTTGTCCAATCCAGTTACGGCCGTCTCATCCTCTGAGGAACAGCTACTCTCTCGAAGCTTGAGAGCAGAAGCACAACTCTCCAACTCGTCGAATGCGCGGTCCAATGCACTCGATATCGACTCTAGGTGAGTAGTCACCTTGGCCGAGGGACTAGGCTGAGGAGCAAAGGACAAGGTTTCTCTCTTTCTCCGTGGAGGAAGGTTGGGTGTTGTCGGAACAACGGGGGTTGATGTCAACGAGGGTCGAGCGTCTCGTTGTCGGCTCTTGTGCCATTCGTCCATGGCTTCTGATAAGCGTGCCGTCTCATCCTCTATGCTCATGCTCAAGAGACTGACGACAGAGCGAACGTCCTCCCAGTACAAATCATCCTCTGGCTCTTCGAATCTGAGCGCCAAGAGGTGGGAGCACGCAAAACGTTTGCTCGCCAAGGCGGTCTGCAACGTCGAGTCCAACGAGTTTAGCGAGAGCGGATTTCGAATTCCCTGTAATGTTGTGAATCTAGAAGCGGCTGTCGGCGAGGGTCGCAACGAAGTTGCCGAGCGTGGGGATGCAAATGTGAATCGCTTTGGCGTCGCCTTTTGTCGTTGCAAGTCAAGAGCGAGTGCTCCAAATGATTGCATAGAATCGTCCATGGATCCATCGGGGGATGGAAGCCGAGGAACAGGCGGGACGGGTGATCGCGGTCGTGGGGAGAGCGAATGGACGTCGGCAGACCGTCGCGCTAGTTGCTTCGCCGTCGCCCCGCTCCATGTGGTACGTTTGTCCAACTTGGAACTCGATGCCGACTTGCGTAGTTCGGTCGTCGACACTAAGGATAGGTGGCTATTCGTGGGCGATGGAGGCGCATACATTTCTGTCATTTGCGCGAGCTCCGTGGGACTTGTGAGGGGCGAGAATAATTGTCTGACACGGTCCGCTTGCGTGGTAATCGCTTGGAGACTAGACTGGAGAGCGACACGGAGCGGTGTCTGCCATTGAATCGAAGGTCCAAGCGCACTGTGTCAAGTCGAAATTAGAGCTCGGAACACATATGGAGATGGCAAAAAGGTTCTGAAACCGTAACACACCTTGATTCATCCCGGCGAAGCAACGCCATGGCTTCCCCGACTGCCGATTCCCATGCTGTGTTGGCCTCGACCAGGTGATGCACGACACTCAACGTCGAGCGAGTTTGAGGCGGCTTATCACCGCCAAAGGACGTAGAGGGCTCGTACCAGAGTTTGGCTGCAGCGAGGGCCGTGAGCGCGAGAATCCAGTGGCCACTTGCGAGTAGGATTGGGGCGACGAGAAAGAGCAAGAGGCCGGAAGTCGTAAGTCGGACATGAGGGTCATCAGAGCCGTCGGGTGTTTCGAGGCGAGGAATATTGATTGTAGCAGGAGTAGATGGCGATAGATATGCAGATAATAACGAGGACGATATGATAATATATTTAAAGCGCTCCGCGAACTGGCGTGCAGAGGCCTGGGTGGGCGCGGGTGAAAGCAGGGATTCTAAAGACTGCATGGAGAGTTGTGTGGTCAGCAAACGGTGCTTTTGAGAGGAGAGGAGGGGCCGTAGCGGCGCGACGCAAGTGAGGCTCACATGGCAGAGGGTGGGCATGAAGGAAGGGAGCCATTTCAAGGGCTCATATGTAGAATCTTCAACCTGAAGAAACTCTGGGAGTATGCCAGGCATCAAGTCGAGCTCTGTGTCTAGCGGGAAAGCGGGTGAGCGAATGAAACGGGGGCGACAGCACAGGCGCAACGTACCTCGAAGATAATCGTCTAGAGGACTCTCATTGTCAAATATCGGTTGTGCCATAGGCTTTCCAGGCGTTCTACGTGCTTGCGTGTGGGACCAGGTGCAGCCCGAGAGACATACACTGGGGATAGCAGAGGTCAAGAGATGGTGCCCTATTTGGGCAGCCCCAGGCAACCTTGTCCAAGTTGAGAAATCACACTCTAATACTCGTATTCACAGCATGTCAACGGTTATAATGTTATGGCAATAGTAATTCACAGGGTTTCCCTACTCAGCTGTCCAACGACCGGCATAATACCCAGCGGAGTGAGTGCCATCACACTCTCCAGTAATATCACAGCGGCATCCACGTTGTTCTCCGGAGTCAACGCCCGGCTAGGGGCCCCCATATGGCCTTTGATTCTCCGGCCGTGTAAAAGTCTCGCTGCGGCGCACACAAAGCGTCGACTCTAGGTTTCAAAGTATTCCGGAAATTGATAAGAGTGCTATTTGGTGCTCATCGTGTATGCACTAGTATCGAGGACAGCCTGTACCGCGGATGAGAGACCAAAAGAATACAACGAACAGTAACATACCTTGCCACAGATACTGCATATTCCCTTTTTATAGGCACAACCTAGCAAACGCCGGGTTTAGTATGCTGACACACTCCCAACGCCGTGGGTAAATATATCACTCACCATGACAATAAATAGCACTATTCTGGGTCACACTCGAGTTGCAGTCTTTGCATTTCTTTGACGCGTACGGCTGGAATCGCTTGCCCTTTCCTGGGCCGCCCGCAGATGAACCGACACCGCGGCTCTTCATGGTGAGGAGTGTATTCTCTGCAACCTTTCTCTGTCCTGCCTTGGAGCTTGTGACATTAAACGGGTCGGGTGCTGCAAGTTTGCTGAGTTCTGTTTTGCGCACTGGTCAGCCAGCCTCGCAGTGGATTGTAATACCAATATGCCTACTCTTTTCGCATTTCGAACACACCATTTTTCTCCGGAATTGCTCGGTCAGTCGGGGTCAAGTCCTGAGCGGTGTTAACGGGCAGCGCTAAGTTGTTTGCATCGCCCAAAAAGCTTGGACCTGTCCACGACTTCCGCTCCTTCTTGAAAAACCCTTCTTAAAGACACTCGGACGCACGGTTAACTGTCCTCTAATTCCTCTCCGTCAAACATGCTCGTCTCCGCGCTCGCTGCCCTGCTTGTCGTTCCCTTCCTCGCAAAGGCCGACCCAACACCCCTCGAGCCCAGCAGCTCCTCAGTCTTCAACGAAGGTGGAAACTGCACAATCCTCTGGACTCCAGATGCAACCGGTGTTTGGAAGACTATGTACGGAGCTGTCGAGATGCCGCTGCCCTCTCCATCTAACCACGTCCATCAGGAATATTGAGCTCATGACCGGAAGCAACTTGAACCAAATACATCTTAGGAGTACGTCCGCTACTGTCCCTCTTGGGGTTTGGTCGTGACCCTGACACCTCTATAGCCGTCGCGACGGTAGATGGCACAGACAGCACCAACCATAGCTTCTCATATCCTTGCTTGAGTGTATGTTTCTCTTCTTTGTCTCTTTCGAATCCTTACTGACAATTCCCCAGGTCACTGTATGTATACCAAAATACTCTTGCGTGTTACAAACTGACCCCGCGCTTAGCCCAACGGTCCCATCTACTTCTACAAGTTTTCGTCGCCAGACTCGCCCAATATTCTCTTCACCACCCGCTTCACGATCGCTGACGCCCAGAGCAACACCGTTGCCCCGACACAATCAGAAACCGCTGCCGGTGGTGGCCTCGTTCTCTGGGGTGTCGGAGCGCTCGAGGATCCTTCCCAGGGTGATCAACCTCCCGTTGTTGGTACTTCGGGCGCCAGCTCGGCGACCAGCGCTCCCGCTTCCTCGAACACATCTCGCTCGTCGACCAGGACAGGCACTTCGACCGCTACCTCGACCTCGGCCACCTCGTCGCCAAATGGAGCCGGCCAGGTTCTTCCTATGGGTACCGTCGCGCTTGGCGCGTTTGGCGCTTTGATGGGCAGTCTCTTCCTCTAAACCAGTCACTCTCTTTATCGCATACGGGTTCATGCCAATGTGGAATTTTTTCCAACGTCTTTGCAACGAGATCCTACTCACCGTTTGGTAATCCTCTTGCTTCACGAGGTTTTTTGGTGACGAGTGTGTGGACACTTTGCATTTTGTTTATAAAGACACGAACCGTGTATACGTCTTTAATCTAATCCGTTTGCTCGTCCCCTTAATGGTTTGCTTCAGCTTGGACCTCGCCGCAACCCAACTTTTAGAAGCAACTCGTCAGTCTAGTTAGATTTTGAGCTGTGAAGTACGTTCAACGTTTTGTTCACACTGCTGCAAGGCTATAACGTCCCACCAAAATGAACTTTGAAGACATCCAAGAGGCAACAGGCTACGAACAGGGACTTGCTGCAGAGTACGCGCGACAGGAGAACCAGGCCATCCTAGAAGAACTCGAGCGGAAAAAAAGGGCACGGTCGATTGCGGTCCCTACCGACGATGGACGTGTACGGAAAAGGCTACGAGAGCTCGGCGAGCCGATTACGCTCTTTGGAGAACGTGCGGCGGATAGGAGAGCGCGCTTGATCCAGTTGATTAGCAAGAGAGATGATTACGAGACTCAAGAGGCGATGGAGGTGGATAGCGAGGACTCGGAAGAGGTACGTTCTTCCACCACAGATGGACGTGTGTTCTGATTTTTTTTTCGGTGGGGTATAGGCAGAGGAATTCTATACTGTTGGCTCTGAAGAACTCGCGGAAGCTAGGCGACAGATTGCAGAGTATTCGCTTCCACGGTGAGTACTCCTCACAAAGACGCCGTCGATACTGACTGTTCTAGGGCGAGATTACGCATCCTGCGACAAAAGCAAGAGGCAAAGATACCCCTCACTCGGGTTATCGATATGAGAAGAGAGTTCTTTAGAGTAGTCAAGGCATGTCTTTTCCCTGCAATAATGATCCGGCGCTCAGACTCTTGCAGACCTTTGCAAATATTGGCTCGCAGATAGGAGACGAACGACCTCTTGCGCAGGTTCGCTTCTCTCCAGACGGCAAGCGACTTGCTACCGGGAGTTGGGCGGGCGTTGTCAAGACTTGGAGTATACCTGGGTGTGATCCCTTGACTACGCATAGAGGTAAGTACGCTCTCAGTTTTTTTGGCCTGTCTCTTATCTGCTCTAGGTCATTCGGACAAGATTGGCGGTGTAGCCTGGCATCCCAGCGCCACACTCTCCCTATCCCCAGCATCGGCAAATCTTGTGAGTGGAGGTGGAGAGGGAAATGTACATCTCTGGTCGCTGGACAAGTGAGAGTTTTGCATGCGGCCACCGTAGGAACTAACCCCAATGCAGCGAAATGCCATTAGCAGTCCTTGAAGGCCATAAAGCTCGGGTCGCCCGAGTATGTTTCCATCCATCTGGGAACTATGTAATGTCGGCAAGCTTTGATGGTACATGGAGACTTTGGGATGTCAACACTACCAAGGAGCTACTCTCGCAGCCAGGTCATTCCAAAGAAGTATTTGCAATTGCATGCCAAGTCGATGGGTCGCTCGTCGCCTCTGCGTAAGTATCATCCATCTCTATTCTCCTCGTTTTAACCTTCATTCAGTGGATTGGATGCATTTGGGCGCATCTGGGATCTTCGAACAGGTAGAACAGCCATGATACTCAATGGCCACGTCCAACCAATCTATGCCCTTGATTTCTCGCCAAACGGGTACGTGTCATCTGCCTGTATTCTTTATCTCATAGCCGCCTAGGTTCCAAGTGGCTACTGGTGGCGCAGACGATACGATTCGCATCTGGGATATCCGCGCCCTGAAAGCGGTGACGACCATTCCGGCACATCGATCGACCATCTCAGATATTCGCTTCTTCCACTCCTCTAGCCCATTGGTGTCGCTAAACACCGCGAACGACAACACAATGGACATGGACGGTAGTGCATCCGACGATCAAGTGTATGAAAAATACCGCTCTGGCCTCTTCTTTGCAAGCTCGGGCTATGATGGCCAAGTCAAGATCTGGAGCTCAGACGACTGGCAACTCGTCAAGTCGATGAAGCTTGATGTAAACATGGTCATGTCCGTCGATATTACGGGCGATGGTCAACTGATTGCAACGGGAGATCATGGTCGAAACTTTCAATTGTATGCTGCAGAGGGATACAGTGTTTGAGGATGTGCAAGACACGTAAATAAAGGCTGGATAATCAATGTCGTAGAACCCGAATGAGAGAAATATATACGTCTCGGCCAATGGAGAGTCCAAGGCGGGATACATTGTCTCGTCATGCAACGCCAATCTTTGTCTAAGAGCATATCAAAAGGAGAGCATGATCAAATCTGCGACGTACTTTGTCCATAAAATCCGCGAGTCGAGATTGACCAGGATCTTGCGGTTCGCTTGCAAACGATTCGAGTAATGCTTCAAGGTTCTGTCAAAATATTAGGTGTGAAACGCAAAAGAGAGCGTGGATATAGACCTCGTCGATTTCATCCGCGGAAATGCCCGTACATAGAGCGATGACCTTTCGGTACTGTAGTTCCTTTTCGAGTCCACCTTCCTTGGCGGAAGCTTGTCGTTGCTGCAGGATAGAGTTTATACGCTCGTGCCATAGCTTCATTCTTCGCAGGAGAATTAACGAGTCGAGGTCATTTGCACTTGCGAGCGCTTGGCTGACACTCTTCTCCATGGATGATAATTGAGGACTTTCTATCGGAGGCACTGGTCTTGGTTTGAATGGAGATGCGGTCATGACCTCGTCCGCGCCTAATCGACCACGCCAGTCAAAACTACCAGGGTTATCACGAAGTAAGGTGAGTTTGGAAATCCTCTGCGCGACGCCATCGACTTCCTGAGAGTCTGATCGAAGTTTCTCAAGCTCTTTACGCTTCTCGGCTAACAGCTTGGTCGTCGACTTGAGGTTGTCCTGTACAAGTTCGTAATCCACACGTTTGGCTGCCTTTTCTGAGGCAAGATCCTCTGTCATTGTGCTTATAAGCTGGCTCATATCTATAAATTTGGTCAAAGAAGGTCGTTACTGTGACGCTGGAATCACCTTTGAGCACTTCTTCGCTGGATCGGAAAGGAGTCGACGCAAAACCAGGATCAGGACGAGCGGATTCGACGAGATCGTCTTCTATGTTCTGTTAAAACATGAGCAAGTGTCCAAACTTGATGAGGTCTCGTACCTCTCCGAGGAGTCCATAGTCAGTGGGCCTCAGCCCAAAGCGATTCGGTATGTTCGACCGCGCGCCGAATGCGAGGAGAGTCTTGACAAATGGCTTGGCGCCGAGTCTCGCTGCGATATTCAGACTGGTGTCCCCATTTTCGTCTGGCAGGTCCACAATTGTGTTGAATAGACCGCCTTCATGTTTGCCTACCCACATAAGTATAGTCTCCAAGTAGTAATTGGCTTCCGCAACGCGCAAAAGTGCCCCAGACACGAACGCGAGATGATGGAGAACAGTCTTTTTAAGGTCATCGATCGTTCGAAGGCTTTGTCGTAATAACTTGAGAAGATCCTCAAATGTTTGTGCTTGATAGTGATGGTTGGTGAGCACCGCTCGCATCAATGCAGTCTCACCGCGGTTGTTGCCACGATGCACGTCTGCGCCTCGTAAAACGAGGGCTTCGATAACTGATATCTTCCCAAGAGCGGCGGCGATGTGCAGCGAAGTATGGCCTTTGTCATCCACCACGGCATCTAGATCGGCGCCAGCGAGCATAGGATCATCTGGTGACTCTAACAAGAGCCGTACTACCGCTTCTGCGTCATCTTTCCGTATAGAAGCATAGAGTTGCGCTCGCTTAGTGCTTCTTTGGACTGCGGCTCGTGTTTGGATCCGATTCATAGAAGAACTAGTGCTTGGGCGAGGGAGTAGTTCGTCCTCGGCCGGAGTAAAGGTCTCTGGAAGCGAATTGATGATTGGATAACTTTTCGACAAGGCTTTTGGGTCGATTGTTGTGATCGGATTTGCCGCAGGAACAAGTGAATCGACATTCATTTCAAAACCGTTGAGACGCTCGCCTTCCTTTCTTGGTTTCTTAGAGGGTGGTGCATCAACGCCGCTTTGAGAGGCAGAGGAGCTACCACCTTCTCCACTGACCATGGTCACGTCGGTGTCCTGTGATGGACCAGCATCGTTATCGGCATCCTCTCGCGATCTTTTGAGAGATGAAGAGCTATTCGTCGCTTGAGTGGATGAGGTACGTGAACCAGAAGCAGTCAAGTTCATCGCGGGTGCCGGGCCAGGAGGCATGAATGGATGCGGTATCGGCGGGTAGAGGTGAGGCATTCGAGGCTGCCCATTCGTACCAGGAGGAATTTGCTGATATGGAGGATACAAGTGAGGCCCCGGCGGAAACATGGGCGGACGTCCAACCATGTTGGGTGGCATATAGTGTATCATGTACGGCGGCGGGGGACGCATATGTGTCGGAAAATGCATCGCCGGTATTGCACCAGGTCCCCTCGGTGGCCCACCAAAATGAGGCATGGCGCCCATCATAGCAGGGTTCGGGACATGGTCGAAGAGCGGAGCAAGCAAGGCGGACACCCCATACTGTGCAGCAACGTCACGTCCACGATCAAGAGGAATCCTATAAGATGATTAAGCGCATATCTAATCGCGGAGCACTCGGACTTACCAGGTTCCTTGGTATTTGCCGTACCCACCCTGAACAATCTCGTGCTTGCCAGGCAGAATCTCCTTCTCAAGAATCTTCGTACGTCTGCCTTTGTCGATTCCTGCCACTTTCAATATCTGGGTCGCGTTTACATACGAGTCGGCGCGGCGGCGCATGACGGCTATGCCTCTGATCATGCATTCATAGACCTAGAAGGAATGAGTTCATCCATCCAATACCAAGAAATTATAACCCACTCCTACTCCACTGTATACAGCTGGATAGACTCGAGGCTGCTGATTGAGGTTCATCCTGCGAAACAGTAACTCGCAAGTTGGCGCTCTGGATTCACGCTCTCCAGAGGCCGGGCACGATTAACGACGCGTTCAGGAGTTTGTACAATTGCTTGTGCTGTGCTGTATTGGAGAATGACGGCCTAATGAGCGCGTTTTCAACACTTCTCTGGCGACGTACCCGTCGCTGGCCTCTCGACGGGCTAAAAGAAGATGATTTGGGAGCGCGAATAGGAAATAGAGGCAGAAGAGGTGTCGCTGAGGGTCAGAAATCGCCGCTGAAAATTCGATGAGACGTGGTCCGAGTTCAAGTATGGCTTGCGTAGCTGTTCTAGTTCCGAGCAACAATAGACTTGAAAGAATCCATGAATTCAACCATCTCGGCAGTAAACTCTTACAAGCAAAAGATTTGAAACTGAAATTCCACGCGAGTCTGCGCACCACCAAATAGAAGTGTACAGCAAAAGATGACAGACTTGTCTCACACCCGTGTTAGGTAAATTCTATTTACGCGTCATGTCAGCTAGTTTGATGGTCAAACCCTTGTTCATACGATGGATGTCGAGCTCGGCGTTCATTCAAGAAGTTTACGCGTCTTTTCAACGTCTCTGAAGTTATATTCCCCTTTGGATACCTGGGAGCTCGATTTGAAGCCGCGAGGCGATCCAGTATGTCTAGATAAGCTTCCTTTCATAAACCCACAACTGGAAGTATTAGCCGACACTATGTTTATTCTGAAGCCTTGACCTATCCAAGTTGCTTAAGCACTACGCTTATCTTGGACCTCTCCGCATGTCATGCCGGCCGACCGGGAGCACGAGATCCAGCCATTATTGGATCAGGAAAGTGCCTTGACTGTGTACGATATTATACACCAGATAAGACAGGTATGCTCAACCTAGCGGCGCAGTGCGGACGGCTAACACGCCTCTTTGTGTCTCGCAGGACGTGATTGTGCGTTATTATGGCCTCTAGGCTGATGATAAGATGCTAAAATTAGCTTGAAATTGTAGACGTACATTGGTAAGACGCGATAAACACTACCGAGAAACGTTCTTATGACGTTCAAGACACTCCCCTCACTTACGCCGATGTGAGTAGCATGGCTCACTGTTCATGACAATAACTTTTGCATACTTACTCATTATGCTCTAGCTTACTGGGCCCGAACTCACCTACGCCTTCGTAAAGTTCGCGTTGGCCTCGAGTCTGAAAAGAGCGAGACTAAATTGCCTCGCAGACCGCTACAAGAGAAATATGCAAAACTCGAGAACAAGGCTATCATCTTTTGCTTTCTGGTAAACCGTGTCCATTTCATTCGCGACCCAAACTTCACGACAGCGACCCTCAACCGCTCAAGAGGTCTGCTATGTGAACTCTTAGCGATGCGAGTCATTCGCCAGTGGAGTAATCTCATTGAATTAGCCCACGTCTTGATCACCAGTTGGCCGGTCTTCGAGGGGTGCTCAGACGAGATCTTGAGCAAAGGACGGGAGCTACAGGATAATTTCGACCCGCGGGAAAAGGTTGGAAATGCGATGGAGATGGCCATTCTCTCCGATGCCAAGCTCTTTGTCAAGTCGGCCCCATGCCAAAAAGTCATTGACGCCATTTGGAGCGGAAAAATTGTCTATACAGCTCAAAGCTCATATTCTCTCATACGAGATCACTACAAGCAAGCTCCAATTCACTATTATGATCCGGTGAGCGTATAAATTCAAACCGTTGGCTTGTTCAGATATCTCATACTTTTGCCATAGCACCACGCGCCTATGTTAGATCATTACAGGTATGTTATATCGTTCTATCTATATCTTTTATTCATCTACCGTAGACTTAAAGTCCCAGCTATTCGTTCGATCCTTGAATATGGGAAGTGAGTGGTCTATACCTACCTACATCTCAGTCACTGTCACTGACTGGATCAGTTTCCTAATACTCTTCGTACTCTTCGTTGTCACGCTGGAATATTATGACCCGGAGAGAATCAACCTGGCGGAGAGCATATTCATGGTCTACGCTTCTGGCTTTTGCTTGGAAAAGTTGGCTGCTATGCAAGAACATGGGCTCAGGGGTATGTCGTCGGCCACATATTCGTCTCCATATCTGACTGTCATGTGAAGTATACATACATGGAACATGGGTAAGTAATGTACGCCGCAGGATTTCAGCTACTAACCGCCTATCTACAGAATGGATTTGATGTTGCATTCAGTACGTGATCCACTGATTATTCTAGCATCACCTTATTCCGTCAGTCTTCATTTTTCTTCCTTATATTATCCTTCGGCTCTTCGGAGTCACAGAGAACGGTATATCCTCACGCTATGTAACACTATGCCTTCTTACACCGATGCAGAACGTTGGGCAAGACTTGCCGGAATGGACTGTCTAGCATTGGCCGCGTGCCTTCTGTTCCCTCGGTATGATCTATGGTCCGTGAGGCTCATTGGTTGACTCCAAATACAGCCTTGCGTTTGTCACATTATCTAACAACCTGATGGTACTCGCTTTCCGCGCAATGTTCTGGGAATTCGCGATTCTTATGGCTATTGCGGTATTCTGCTTCGCTGGGTTTTTATATTCCCTCTGGACGTAAGCAGGTATACTATATCAGTTGAGTGGTTTAATAATCTTTTAACAGGTTGTCGCGAGGTACATTCGAGTAAGTCGTCATTGGCGTACCAGACTATATGCTTAGCATTTCCAGCTATTCAAGTAGTGAGATAACATGGTGGCTGCTTGATCTTTACTTTGGCTTGGATGCTACGGGGTTTTCCCGTGCATGTATGTCTGATGTTCGTGGGGCCTTGCTACTTTCTGAATTTCTACAGCGACGTTCCACCCGATCTTTGGTCCAGCGTTGATGGTTACCTTTGCTTGCTTGAGCAATACACTCCTGCTCACTGGTTCGTGAATTTATACTTTTGTGACCATGGTTGATCTATGATACAGTGTTGGTTTCTGTCAGTTGCTTCGCAGCGCACAAGGCTTGTCTCACGATTTTAGATTCTCTCTCACACCTTTTCAACAATCAGCTCCGACGCCGAAGCAGAGGTCTGTTATCGGAAATTAGGTTGACTTGGCTGACATGGCCTCGAGGCAAAATTCCGTCGAGCCGTAGCAACAATCGAGGGGTTTGCTCATTCTCTTTTATCCGATGCTACATGCTGACCATGTCGCTCAGTGTTAAAGCTGATGCATTATTTTCTTACCTGCCTCCGATGAATCTGCTTGCATTCGCTGTTATGTTTCCCGCTAGTTACATTCTCAGTCCACGCTGGTTCCACAAGGTGCGTCAAGTCGTGGCACTCGTTATTAGCTGCTGACATTGCATAGGTCAATGTCTTCATGATAAGGTGAGATTTTTACCCAGACATAGACTTTTCTTATCATCTACAGGGTTTGCGCCGCCCCTGTATTAATTGGTGTGGCGTTCTACGAGCGACACACTATCCATTTACCCGGAATCACCATCTACGAACGGGTTTCTCATGTTGCAGAAAGAGTTTTTGATAGTCTTCCGAGAAGGCTTAAACGAATGAGTGAGGAGAGTCAAACCACGCACGTATCATACTAATTCGCTCAGCCTTCTTCGAAGGACTCGCTGGAAACGGTGCTGACATTGATACGGTGTTCATGATCGAAGAAGAAATTAATCATGACTCCCTGGATGCGATCGACATTGACGAGGATGAAGCCACACAACCTCAGCAACGGCCGTCAATAACCTCCGATTCTCTCACAACCCCTTCCCGACAGAGGCGAAAGTCAAATACCAGTCACGTGGGACCAGCTTCCTCTGGTCAAGCAATTACCTTCCGAAGCAATGCGTCGGATGCTTCTGTGGATCAGTCTCGCCATGCAAAGCGGCGTTCTGGTATCTTTGGGACAATAGATGCTACAACCCCGGGCCCACAGCCAAGCCCATTGGCCCAACTTTACCAGCCTATCGTCCCAACTGAAGAAGACACAACGGATGAAGGAATGTCGTTGCCTCCGGGAGCGGGCTTACCTCCCAGAAGGCGATTGGCGTCTATGACGAGGCCGAGGCGGCCTTCTATCGAGCCTTTCCAGCACGCTCCGAGCATCTCACCCCCAGTACATAGTCACCCTGCTCGGCCGTTTGGCCCCCCGCCAGCTGAGCATATGCTGTTGCCTATCCCGCCATCAACCTTGCCGGAGCAGGCGGAAGAAGAATTGCGCAGTCCGTCTGTTGTGAGATCACCTGGAGAACTGTCGGAGATAAACAGAAGGATTATTGAGATGGAAAGGAGGCAAGAACGCATTGAGAATCTTCTCATTTCTCTCGTCTCAGAAGTTAAAAGGAAGTAATGTAGACGAAATACGAGCTCTCTTGACTTCTTCGGGGAATGACTCGTCGCGACCTTGGACCTGACTTCAATCTGCTATCTAAATGGACCCGCTTGATCGGACGATTCTCTCGGTGCAGTCACATGTAACTCATGGTTCGTCTCTCCATCTGAAGAGAGGGGCTTGTGCACTGAGCGAACGTAGGCTACGTGGTTTGTCGTGATCAGCTGCGTTAGAACCATGACTCATAAAAGATTTAGGGGGGAAGAGCTGCAACCTTCCCCCTACAGCTACTTGGATGGGATGTGGATGTCTTGAATACTGTAAAGTGAGTACGAACCCTCCAAAAATCCTCTAGGCTCTGAGCAAACTTAGTTTCTCAAATCATTCCGGTGCCTACCTTTATACGCAATACTCTGATCGGCTATTAATTGCATAAAGGATATCGGCGGCGCCCAGGCGAGGGTGCGAGGACCACTGGCAAAGAGCTTGATGCAATCGTCCATGGATTAGAGATGAACGACTTGCTGCATCCAGCCCGACTCTTGACTGGTATGTCTGTATCGGGTGCCAGTGGGTATCTATTCACGACCATAGGCTACATTCCCAATGCGGATTGCCTTTCTGCGGTGGTACGCCTGGTCGAGAAGCTCAGAACCAGGAATCCCAAGCTTATTTACCTACTAGACCGTATGTAACTCTCCTGTCTTCTTATTTGTGCTGACGATCATTAGCGGTCCTTGGCGATAATAATCGGCTTTATGTCTCGCCAGATGTCGTTCCGTTGTACCGGAATCTACTTTGTACGGCGACAATCATCACGCCCAACTGGTTCGAAGTCGAGTGAGCATACTTGTTCTCTCAATGCTCACCAAAGACCTGATATTGCCCAAGGACACTGGTCGGCTTTCCCTTGAGCTCCATGGAGGCACTTCGCAATGCACTACACACACTCCACGGGCAATATGGGGTGCCACACGTGGTCATCTCTTCCATCCCAATAACCGCGGAACGAGCAGCGTGGCTGCCAGATTCCGGAGACTATTTGGATCCACCTGAAAACGATCTTCGGTACGCCAGCGAGGACCTGCTCTGTGTGGCTTCCATTGTCAGCGATGGACACTCTACTTCTACAGTTTACACTGCTCGGATTCGTCAAGTCGCTGGCTATCTTTCAGGCGTTGGAGACCTGTTCTCTGCATTGGTCCTCGGTTACTACGACCCGCACACTTCACAAACAGCACTATGTGATGCCGTGGTAAAGGCGATACGAACTACACATGCGCTTGTGAGACGGACCATGCAAACGTCGAAACGAGCATCCGGGGCAGACGTAGATGGTTACACTGACGAGGAGCTGGACTCGAAAGATGAAGACCGACGAGCGAGGCGCATGAAGGCTCGAGAGTTGCGGATTATTGGCAATAATGAGCTGATCCTCTCGGCGGGGGGATCACAGCGGCAATTCGGGCCAGAGATGCAACACTGGGAAGCATTCTGGGTGAACGGTTAGAGCACGATTCACATGTAGATATCATCGCTTCTTATTGCTTCCCTTTCTACGCTGTCTCTGCTGGCTGCCGGTAGAGCGCTGTGTACCTTGGACTCTACGACGTCCTGCGTCAAACTCGTCGCTCCAATTTGCATTCTGAAAACATTATTTAGCGATTGTCTGTTGGATCTATCGACCCTTGTATTGGCAATCTCTGGTACCGGTGTCTCGCCACCATCCAATTGCAAAGCGGTCAGTACGTCCAGCCATCTGTCACCAAATTTATGGTGTAGATCAATGCTGATATCGAGTAGAGGTAGTTTCAGGTCGTTTAAGGCCATCCTGCCTCTCAGAGCTTGGTTTTACGTCTAGCCGAGTGTCGGCAGTGCTCTCCCCAGCCTACCAAATTTCCAACTACACAATTTATCCATTTCAAGATACTCTCAAGTGCCGGATCCAATTGTCTGATCTCTCGACCTCGTCTCTGCCACCCCGCCGTTCTCTTGCTGTTCGTTTCGAACCTCCTGGGCCTCCAATAAGCGACCAGAAATGAAGCCTCTCACGACGGATCAACCGAGAGCATTAGGGCAACAGTCCCAACAGCCTCAGCAATCCGGCGCCTACACCTGGGCTTTCGACGAGGAGCAGCAGCGCCTACTGCTCGACATCAACAACAAAGATATATCCACCTCGTCTACGAGCTCGAATAGTCCTCCCTTCAGCATGGGATCGGCCGTTCGTGTCTTTGCTGTGCTCGCCTTGTAACCCACTGATCATTCGGTTAAGTCATCACCGTTAGATGGAAATCGTCCTCTTACCACCGTACCCTACGGCTCTCATATCGTTGGAGCCCACCGTCGCCAGCATTCGACCATTAGGCACCCATCCACTGATAATGTCTTCCGACCTCCAGGTTAGCCCTTCGGATCATGGTGCCCCCTAATATATGTTCCTAACGTCATAACAGGACACCCATACGCCGTCCCTACATCATTGTCTCCGGGATCTCTCCATCCTCATCTCGCCCGCAGACGACGACTAGTGACACAAATGGACGCCATGACAGAAGATCAGCATCTCGATCATCTCTGGAGCATGCACGGGGTGACGGGTTCTGCGCATTTGGGCGCGGGGTTGACTGATCAGCTTGCCTCGGCTTCTCTTCACAATGACGAGTGGATACCAAGTGGGCTCCAGACCCCCACCATTGACGAGGTCCTTGATTCGGCATATTATGGTGCCGCTATCAATGCGGACCGCTTCACTACCGTCGATCCGTCTCTTCGGCAAACCTATGAGGTCCATAACCCATTTACAGAGGACTTCTTCCACCATTTCGGTGAAGAGGATACGTCTCACTCCCATGAAGCCGATATGGATCTTGTCGAAGACCATTTGGACATTCGGCACGACGAGTCGCCTTTATCCGAGGAACCTGAACCCAAAGACGCACGTCGGTCGAAATCCGCGGACTCTGGTATTACTGCGGGCCGAAACGCCCCCGCCAAGGCTCAAGCACAAGCAGACGACGACAAGGACCACGCCGGCTCTGATCACGAGCACAATGACGACGATGAAAAAGCACATACATCAAAACCGTCCTCAAACAACTTCGTAAACAAGTTACATTTAATGATAAGCGACCCAAAGGCTGCCGACTTTATCTGGTGGACAGAACTTGGGACAAGGTACGTCGGTTGCAGGGCACTGATCAATACACTGAGTTTAATGTAGTTTTGTGGTCTCCAGTGCGGGAGAGTTTAGCCGCTCGATTCTGGGTCAACATTTCAAACATAATAACGTATGTGTACTAGTTGCTTCCGATCTCTAAAGACTAATGACCCATAGTTCTCTAGCTTTGTTAGGCAACTCAATATGTATGGATTTCACAAAATCAACCGGGTATGCGGCACGTTTTGGGATTATCCCAGACTCACGAGGCCATAGACTCCCCGCAACCAACGAGTTCAACCTGATGCACAGCAATGGGAGTTTTCGCATCCCAAATTCCTGCGTGGGCGCCAAGACCTCTTGGAAGATATCAAGCGAAAGCCTGTAGAACCTGATCCTTCGAGTGCGCGACAAAGAGTGGAATTACCGTCAGAAGTGGCCGCTAAACTGCGCGAGATGGCCGTCGCTCACACAGAAGTCGTCAAGGCGCTCCAAGTCGAACGTGGCAAGGTTTTGCAGCTGACATCAATTGTCAAAGTGCTCTATGATAGAGTGGCACTTTCTGGGCCCTGTAAGCAAAATTTCCCATTGCTTCCTGCGATAGACTAAATTTCCATAGTGCCACCATTTCCTCTCGACCTTTTGGAATCCAGGCCACCGTTGAGGGCGTCCGTCAAATCGGCAGGAATGGATCTTGCTGGGAATAGCCTTGTTCCATCTGGTCCATCTACTTCATCCAGAGCGACTCGCAGTCGAGCTACCGTTGGCCGCACGACAAGACGCGGTCGATCCGAGGAACAAGACCACGCCGATGTGACCGAACAGCATGCATCTGAGCCGTCTCATTCCACAATGCTCAATGGTCGCATCAAATCCGAATCGAATATCTTTGCCCGATGACACGGCGCCACTTGGCACGATCCTTCTCATTTTTAACGTTTCGCGTCTGTCTTGCACTAAGTTAATGCATAGACCTTATCAGGGAGCGGCAGGAATATGCTACGATGGCTCTTTGGAATTACGTCGTGAATATATTGTACAGGCAAAATTTGGTGCATCAAATCTAAGATTCGGCTTGAGCATCGCCCGTGATTTTAGATGGGGGGGAAGGTGGAGATGGTGCTGCCTCTCGGCCGGGTGTTGGGGATAGAGAAAGCTCGGGTGGGGTTGGCGCTTTTTCGTCGTAAGTATCAGGTATGTCATCGTCTAGATGATCAGAATCAATATCGTCCATTCGTGAATGTCCATTCAAGGGATAGCGGCGGTGAAAGCTGTCGACGTCCTCCAGCTCGGGAATGTCCTCATAGTCCTGGTTCCAAACTGCAGGATCCTTTTCGTTTCCGAATGAGGAGTCGGGTGAGATAGCTCCAGTGGAAGAAGACGGCGATTTGCGAGAGAGGTGGTTAGTGAACGAGGGCAAGAAGGTCGAGGTCGCAGTCGCTAACAACGGGTCCTCAAATGCATCACTGAACTCGGGAGGGTCCGTCGCAAAAGGGTCGTCCAGGTCCAGATCCGGAAGCGGCCCAATAAAACCACTGAAGTATTCGTTATGCTCTGGTGGCGAAGGGTCAGGGGTTGTGGCGGAAACAGCGAAGTGGGACGAGTACTCCGGCTCCAGAGACCTTTCTCCATTCGTTCCGGCCAGTTCCTCTTCATTGTGGGGGTGCTTGCGGTATTCCTCCACTTTTTCGTGTGTCACACCGCCTAGTGGCTTGTCACTACGACGGCGATAGAACAAGAGATAAGCGTTTGAATTCTACGGTAAAAGTGAGTGCAGACACTGGTACCACCAATGGAGCGACGTACAACCGAGTCCTTGGCTTTGCTCGTAGAGACATGGGTATCGTCGAAATGATACCACGTATCGTCTTCGAAATTCTTCGCATATGCGCGGTAATGACCACCACCGAGCCCTCCAAGGTGCTCGTCGACCGCGAACAGATCGTACACGAGGGATTGATCTCCAGACTCACTCTGGAGTCCCAACTCCTCGAGCTCGTGGCCCTCCTCGACCCATTTCTTCGCAACCAAACGTTCTTCAACGCGCTCTGTCAAGTCTAAGCCTTCAATGGGGAAGTCTACAAAGGCGTCGATCTTGTCTCGTAGTAGTCTAGAGTTGCTGAAACGCTTGAGATGGACAACCAAAACGTCCGGCGTCTTCCAAAGTTCAAACTTTTTGGTCGCTTGTTGGTGCTTCTTACAGCGAGGACAGTACCAAAGATCGTCCTCTCCGAGGCGCTCCTCTTTGGTGAACTCGTCGAGACAATCTTCGAGCGTGATGCCCCGCTCTTTGGTCGCTTTTCTCGCTTTCGCAGCTGCAACGTATTCCGGATGTTCAAACTGTTCCCACTTTTCCCAAAGTGTATTCTCGTCTCGTTTGTATGTTTTGTTTGTAACGCCAAAGAAAAACTCGAGGTAGTGAGGGTCCCACTCGCAGAGTATAGTGTCGTCTGCGTTGATCAAAGGTTTACCAGGAGCATTGGCATCTGGTTCGGGAGTAGAGGAACGAGACCATTTGAAGCCACCGAAACCCTTCTTCTTCGATGTGGCTCTCTCCGCAAGGGTCTCTCCGGTTCCGCGCAATGGATCGGCCATGATGTTGGCTGAATATCCATACGAGAGTCGGCTAGGAGCGTAGACCTTGATGCTGAAGAGGTTGGGTTGAGGCCCCAAGTTGGTGACAACCTCTTCCCCTACCTCCGATGGCTCCTTTGATGGCGGATTCATCTCATGATCACCATCAGCATCCGGCCTTGCATCAGCGAGATCCTGTTCCTCATCTTCCAACTTGTCTGTCTGATCGCTCGAGGGGGTACTCGACGAAGCGGGTGTCGATTCGGGAATGGTAACCTGTCGGCGATAGAGCTCCTGAGGATGAGGAGTCCATGGAATGTACCGCTCAATGATTTGAGCATAAATAGCTTCTTCACTATGGGCCTCGTTGATAGGAATAGCCACATAGAGAGGAATGCCAAAAAGATCAGGGGAATAAGTCCGGTATGCAGAGCTAGAATGGTAGACTGCGACAGGGATATGCGTCGCGGATCCATCATTGCTTGGTTGTGCGGGACATGGCAATTCGTAGATGACGATGGTGTCCCGATCCGCAATCTCACCCAGAGGGTTGGTGTCATCGAAGTCTTTGTAGACCTTGTGACCAAATGTTTCGATGCATATTTGCTGAAAGAAGAGTCAGAGAACAATTGGGATAAATAGGGGAAACACTGACATTTTCGACGGGAGTGCCCATCCATTTCTTCATTAGAAGTTTGAGGTCCTTAATCGATGCATCCTTGGAGAGTTGAACGGGAATCTGAAGGGATAATGAGCTTGAACACTCGCCGAGGCTTTGAGCCTACCTGTAGTCGTGGCTTCTCGACGTCATAGGGAACCCAACAAATCTCGTGCTCCCATATACGGAGAACAGGTAATGGCAGAGTCAAATACATAAAAGGATCGAAGGTAATGGAGACCTGAAAGGTGTCAGGTGAATTATGAGGGTAGCTTCCCGGGCATACCTTTTCGCATTCAGGACAAACGAGCGTACTCTTGTATTGCCCCTGGAACAGATCGACGATAACGCTGTCGTTTCTCTTCTTGTATCCTTCCCAAGCTGTTGCCGCATGCTTGACGAGCTCCTTTTCTCCGCCTCCGTTCCAATCTGGGTTTTCAACATACGGTTTCTTGAGAACCCGGTTCAAGTCCTCGTGGAGACCGTCGAGAAGAAAGGCGAGGAACTCTTGTGTGTCATGCTGAGCATAACCACTAAATTGCGGAGCAAAACGCTGAAGTTGTTGTTTGAACTCTCGCGGAGCCACCGCATAGCTGATCGGGTGCCATAACTTGTCCAAAACACCACCAAACACTTCGGCAATCGCACCCTTCATACCAAGAGGATTCGTCGGATTCAGTTCTGTGCGATACACACCGGCTGAGGCAAGATAAGCCATGGCGGGATTAATGTGATAAAGGGCGTACTCAGGAAGTATTCGGTAAGCTCCGGTGTATGAGCGAGGCACTGGAGTGCCGAGTTCATAAAGCATGTATTGCCTCTGAGTAACGTGAGATGATACTTTGGCACTGACTCTAAAGGTGCTCACAGGTTATTGAGACCGACAGCTCCCGGAGGGCGTGACGGTGTAGTGTAGGCAGAGATAGAAGTGGTTGTACTAGGCTGCTTGAATGCGGTTACTGCAGTGCTTCCGACGGTTGGGGTTATGGTATAGCCCGTGGTGGACATGGGCTTGATCGCATTATTGGCTGGCGAGTTGTATTTCGTTTTCAAGTCTGTGAAGAAGGCTGGCTTGTTCTCCGCCGCTAATGTACGATTGTTTGTCGTGGCGATTTTAAGTGAATCGATGTCGACGGTCCAAGTCCCCTGGATACGGTATTCGTAAACGATGGCATCCCCACTTTCGACCAATGCTTCATCCAGGCGCTTGTCCAGGGACTCAGCAGGAGGAAAGGGCTGTGCTTCATCGGCTTGAAGGCGATCAGAAGGGTAGAAAGTGCCGTCCAAAGGCTTCGTCTCCAAGACGGTGCCCATGATGAGCCAGAAGCGGAGATCGTCCTTATCAAGTGCAGAAATTTGAACAACTTGATCGATGAGCTCCTTTACTTTGGCTGCCCTCGATATTTCGATCGTCGGCGTTACGGCGTGCGAAGATGGAGGTGTAAGCTTGGACATGCGAAAGACCGACAGTTTATAGGGGTAGACCTCGACACGTTTGACGTGATGGATACCCTCTGTGATAATTTTGCGAGGGATGGTGAGATTGGGCGGACCATACCTAGGCAAGAGTGGATCAGTGGCACATCAAAGGGGCCGTAGATTCGGACCACTCACCACTCTACAAAGAGATCCCAAGCCTCTTTGCATATGAGTTCATACTTTGTGCCTTCTGCAAGCGCGGGCAAGAGCGTTCCATGCTCATCAACGAGATCCGAGTTATCTACAGCGCTCAGGGAGGACTCGTCACCCCTGTACTGCTGAGGACCACATATACGCTTCCATTTATCGAGCCAGGTGGTGGATATGAGATACCAGACGTCGCCCTGCGTGAAGGGTGTATATTTCAGCCTCGCTGCAGCGCGTTCAGCTCTTCGCATAGTCAATCGGACGGACAGCACGCGTCTAACTCACAGATTTTGTCGTATTTGTCTCGCGTAGAGATCGTCTGGGGCCGTGACATGGGCTGAGTGACTGGCGAGACGGGTACAACGTGCAGAATAGGCGCTTGCTGAGGCTCAAGGCCGTCTTGTAGACGAAGATATGCATCGATATCTTCCTCAGCAATCCTTTCAGCTATAGATTCTTCTATATCCCTACCCGATTTTTCCATAGACGCCGCTCTTTTCGTCCGCGACGCGTCGTCCTCCGCTTCCTCTCGCGGTCGCTTGCGCGAGCTCTCAGTGCTCAACGAAGCCATCGTGTTCTCAGACGGGCACACGTCGAAGACGAGCGGCAATATTAATGGCTGGAGTCAAGTCAACTCGGCGCATCCTTCTCACATACACACGGGTAACGACGACTGCGACTCTCGAATGCCATTCACATAGCAATGACTACGCATACATGGAGCAGCTACAACATATCAGATCGTAGGCTTGGTGCCCTTGAAACAGGTTAGCAGCCGACATAAGGTGGAGGAGATTGACATACAGGTTGGAACTGATAGGTAAGACCTAGAAACGATGAGTAATGCACTTCAACAAACCAAAGTAAGCATACCGCATTTGCCACAGTACTGCCTGTCGTGATGGAAGGCCATGAAAACACCGGCGCCGCACTCGGCGTTCTGAGCACGAATCAGTCTATGGAAATTACATGGATTGTTGAAACACACCGGGCACTCCTTTCTGAGACGCTTGATCTTGCCATCCGAATCGACCTTGTAGTACTTGAGGATGGCCATCTTGACCTTCTTCCTCTTGTGCTTGACCTTCTTCGGAGTGTTGTAGGTCTTCTTCTTGCGCTTCTTAGCACCTCCTCGGAGCCTTAAAATCTCAGAAATTGATGCCAAAACCAGGGTCAAACTGACGCACCTCAGTACAAGATGGAGAGTCGACTCCTTTTGAATGTTGTAGTCGCTCAACGTGCGACCATCTTCGAGTTGCTTTCCGGCAAAGATAAGACGCTGCTGGTCCGGGGGGATTCCCTCCTTGTCTTGGATCTTGGTCTTGACATTGTCAATAGTATCCGAGGACTCAACCTCGACTAGAGTTTCGTCAGAGGCTAACTTAGTTATAGTATTTGTGAACGCTTACGAGTGATGGTTTTACCCGTGAGGCTACAAAAATAAGTGGTCAGTAAGTACATACTCGACAATAAAGTATCAAGAAATCCCACGTCTGTAGGATCATGGTAAGTATACACTTCAGCTGGACACGGTGCAACGCGTACTTTGACCTGAAAAGATATGTCAGCTTATACGCAGGGCCACGAGAGAAAATGAAACGCACGAAAATCTGCATATTGCGATAAGTTTTGTCCTATCTACCTGTAGACGCTAGCAGGCGGACTGGGTGGCTGGTGTGCCCGGGCTTGATCAGCACTGGAGGGTGTGCGAGAGCTCGATCCGCTTACGAGAAGAAAATACGGAGAGGAGGACGTGAAACTTGTCTATCCAAGTATTTGGAATCGTCAACAAGTTGTCGCGTTCAACTAATGGCAGGAATTGCTGAAGCCAAGTGAGCACGACCAAACAAAGGCAAACACGGGTAGAGTTATAGAGGGGCCACGCGTTCAGAAGATGCTAGAAGAGTCTTAAAGAAGGTTATAAAATAGATGACTGGAAGCAATTGTTAGAGTTGATAAGGAGTGGCGTCTGTACAGTAGAACCTTGGGTGCAATAGCTAGTTATTATCAAGAAAATAAACTAATCAATTTGAGATTTGAGGATATTCAAGGCTTGACGATATGATGGCCATCTTGGCTCCTGACGCGACCCGCCATGGCCGACGTCGAGATGGACGACGCGTCGAACGCGTTTAGCAAGCTCGCAAAAGGAAAAGGTCGTGAATTAGAAGACTTTTCGCTCAATAACGATCTACCCTGGTACAGCTTTCACGCAATCTACCGCGCTAGACAACTAAGCAGCTTCCAGGGTAGAGAAATACCGTCCCATCACGCTTGATGATGTGGTTTCACATAAAGATATTACGACTACGAGTGAGTGACTAGCATATTCATAGAAGAAACTAACCCGAATGGCAGTCGAGCAGTTCATCCAGAAGAATCGCTTGCCACATCTCTTGTTTTATGGTCCTCCAGGAACTGGAAAGACGAGCACCATTATTGCGGTCGCTCGGCGCCTGTATGGCGCAAACTACAAGAAGCAAATTCTAGAGGTAAGCCTATGTCTCGTCTAGGTCGCTCTGAGTGACCGCTTGCCTAGTTGAATGCCTCCGACGATAGAGGAATCGACGTAGTGCGCGATCAGATCAAAGGCTTTGCCGAAACTCGCGGTGTTTTCGCCAAAGGGTTCAAGCTCATCATTCTGGACGAGGCAGATATGATGACCCAGGCAGCGCAAGCAGCTCTCCGACGTGTCATCGAGCAGTACACCCGCAACGTCCGATTCTGTATCATCTGCAATTACGTGAACAAGATAACTCCCGCGATCCAAAGTCGATGCACTCGCTTCCGCTTTTCGCCCCTGCCGGTGTCGGAGGTAGAAAAGAGACTGCAGACTGTCATAGAGAATGAAGGGTGAGCGCTCAACGCCTTGTTGGGGGATCCCTTGCTGATCGAGATGCCAGCGTCAAGGTTTCACCAGAGGGAAAAGAGGCCCTCTTGAAACTGTCACGGGGAGACATGAGGAGGGCACTCAACGTGTTGCAAGCGTGCCATGCTGCGTACGACATCACGGACGAAGAGGCTATCTATACGTGCACAGGAAATCCTCACCCCAAGGACATTGAAAACGTGGTAAACTCGATGATGTCCCAAGAGTTTGGAACTTGCTACCACAGTATGTGAGCATAAGTCTCACCGCCCGCCTGACTGATCGTCTTCTCAGTGATCAATTCGTTGAAAACGGAGAGGGGTTTGGCACTTCAGGACCTCATCTCTGGAGCGTTTGACTATGTACAGGAGCTCGAGTTACCCCCTCATTCGCGGGTTTACCTCCTCGACCAACTGGCAACGATTGAGTGGGTGGCATCTCCGCTTCAGCTCTGGTAGCTCCGCTCACGACTGCCACAGGCACCGTCTTTCGACCGGAGGTTCAGAAAAGCTACAACTGACAGCGCTGATTGCCGCGTTCAAAAACACTGTCGAGCTCGCCTCTCGGAAATAATCGATCGCCGCTCCGCTTCTTGGATCGCATTCTAGCGAAGAAAATAGTTGAGCCCTGTACGGCATGTCATACCTACCGTATACTGAACGTTTTTGATCGAAAGCAGCCTCGACAGAGGCGGGTTGCACCGCTTGTTGTCAGGTCTCCGCGCTTCAGCCCGTGGTTTCAGTGAGGTGATACACTGTGCATCGCACTATCCTCAATGGTAATACAACTTTGAGACTTGCTGTGCTGCCGACTACCAAGGGCAGCACGCCCATATAACGCCTGGACAACTGACCGTCGTCAACGGCTCATCATCTGTCCCAACCCTTCGACACACTGGCCTATTTGCTTTCAAAGATGCAACAGAGATACCAATACTCTTCTCTCTTCACAGCTGGTCTCCTCATGCAGCCGCGACCAGTCCATGCGAGCCTCATCCCCATCCAGCATCCCGAAATCTCCTCGACGCCCTTCCCAACAGGAAATGGACCACGCAAACCCGTCGAGCCATTGATGATCAGCATTCCCTTGCAAGCCCCTTCTCCACGTCGCACCTCGAGGCGACGGCGGTCGAGCGTCACTCTGCATCTTTCGCCCGTCTCTGGAGTCAGATTATCCACGCGTGCTGTAGAAGATGCCTGGGAACGCAGCAAGCGCAACGCAAGTGCATCGTCGAGAGGGGGATACCCGGCTACTTCGCTCAAGGATCAGCCGCTTGTCGCCAGCGTCGACGAGAATGAAGACATCGAAGCCAATCTGCCGAGGAAGAGTCTGAGCAGGTCACGCCCACCAAGTTTACCTATGCAAGCAAGAACAAGCAGACGGTCGCTAGGTGTGTATTCAGCTTCTGTGCACCCATTGTCCGCTAACTTGTGGCTCAGAAAGCAATCCGCGACGCTTCTTCAGCCAAAGCCAGTGCCGACGATGCCTCTCCCTGCCCTCCCGATTGATGGTTCCCAGCCACGAATCGAAATCGAGGCTACGCAGGCGTCTCTGTGAATGCAACGCTCTCGCCACAACAATCAATGGGAATTGCGAGCTCTTTGCTGCGCTGATGACTGCTCTGGAAATGCCGCCGTCAGACGATAGAAGGGCGCTCCAGGATTTCTTGCTGCTCCGCAATCTCGTATGCTAACTTATTCTTCTAAATAACTCTCTATACTCTACCAGTGATAATATTTGTATGGTGTACACAAGTGTTTATGACAAATCTTTGCTTTCCCTGTCTACTGAGTCGCGTCTTTGGACGCTGCCTCTAATGTCCCGAACGCCACCATCTCTAGAATATCTGGTCATTTACAACAAAAATCTTCCTGCGCCACCAGATGTCTCCAAAGATGATGATGATGCACAAGAGGAGGCACATATTCTGTTCTATACTTGTCGTCCGGGCGGCGTGAAGCGCGACAAGATGCTCCGGCAGGTCGGATTGGCCAAAGCGTTGATCAGTTTCTCTATGTTGGTACATCAAACGTCTAAGCACGCGTTCGAATGATTGTGATGGGGCTGACGATCCTCTTTCGCACAACAGGACGTTTACAGATGGCAGAGCAGAAGCCTGCGAGGTTGTTCGCTCTGCTAGAACAAAGCTCATCATGTTCTCTCCCGAGAAGGATTACTGGTTACTCGCCGTAAGAAGTTTCCTGGGTCCACGAGGGGCTAATAGTAACATGTGGATTGCAGTGTGTTAATGTTGCCTTTACTGAGCGAAAAGAAAAGGATGGAGCCTCAAAGAAAGAGTATCATGAATCCTCTGTGCACGATTCAGCTCTCAGGACAGCCATTTCGAGGGCATATCACGAATTCAAGGTAGAGACTGCCAATCAATTGTGTCGTTTATTGACAGTGTTCAATAGCTCCTCCATGGCACATTCTCTCTACTCTTAAGCAAGAGTCGTGCGTCTCTTGAAAGACATTTGGAGCGATTCTTCACCGAGTGGGCGTGGAAGTGGGATATTGAACAGCCACCCGACTTTGTACGACATCTCGGTACGTGAAGCTCCTGCATAAATTCTACTGACAGAGCTATAGGTACTCCACAATCCGCCTACACCAAACACTTGACGCCTCTTCTTGACGATGTCAAGCCCTTACTACCCGAGAGAACTCCCATATTGCTGCTCTCGTCAGATTGTATATTGGCGTCTTCCCCGGATCCTGCATCCTCTCTTCACTCAACAACCTTGCCTGCACATCTAATGCACCATATTCCTCCATACGAAGCCCCACCACCGCCGCCAGTAGAACAGTCGTCCAATTCCAAAAACCCAACGACCAAAAGTTCGACTGGAAACCGTGACGGGGATGGTGGAAATGCAGTTGCACAAGCCCAAGCTACTGGCACGAATTCGACAGCAAATTTTCTTCCTTCCATGCCAAAGATGAAGAAATGGACCGGATACTTTACCTTCGGTGGCAGAAGTGAGACAAGTAGTCCTGCACCCTCCGCAAAGGAGATCTTCAAGGACCATCCAGCTGACCCGAGTGCGAACGGGACTCTGAAACGTCCAGACATTGTTTCATCCACCAATAGCGATGTTATCGACACGACCCCGTCTGTGAATCAGGAGGTGGATCGGCAGTCGCTTGCAGAAGCTCTGGAACAGGCTGATGCCCCAGCCAATGGGCCATTAGAGAGTAGTGCTGTCTCTGAAGCAGTCAAGGACACTACAGAACCATCTGGAGGGACCTCACATATTCCAATCGTCTCCCCAACATTGGGATATTTGACCAGTGCTGCAGGAGGACTTCTCGAAGCTATGCATTTTGGGTCTCCCAAGTCGAAACCGATAGAAGACACTAAACCGTCCTCTTCCTCGTCTCTCGCTTCGGCATCAGAGGGTGACACAGCTTCGCCTGTGCCAAAACCGGAAGTAGACGAAGCTTTGACTACTCCACATGTCGAAGTGGTCAATGTGGACGACAAGGATGATGAAAATGACGAAGAGGACGAGGTCAAGACAGACGTATCTGTCGAAGAGCGAGGACGGCGAGAGGAATTAACACTGGCCGAAAAGTCATTGCAAAAAGTTCTCTCCCGCGCGAGTTCGCCTGCGCCACGAAGACAGGAGACCGTTGATCTCATCACCAATTCAACAAGCGATGGCATCTCGGAGCCGAAAGAAGAGACGAGGTTGCGGTCATCGACGGTTTCAACGACCCATAGCGAAGTTGACGATGATATGATGAAGAGCACGGCAACCATTAGGCCAAGCGTCAAGCTTTTACCACCCGAAGCGTTCTTTGTCCCATTGAGTGTGTACCTGGAAGACGAGGACACAAACGAGCTTTTGATTCGTCGGGTCTATCACATGTCGGTGGGTGATCGATTCCATCCATGCGTCCAAGCTGACCGAAGTCGAGTTTTTCGGCCTGATGCTGGCGATTATCATGCCCAAGAACCCAGAAATGCCTGGTGATTCAAGTATTCAATCGCCTGCGAGTCCTATATCCATCATAACGTCTCGTTCACGTCGCTTTGCTTCTTCGTCATATGATGATGAGGAACCTGCAGCGAGTACGTCCACCCTGGGGTGTGCAAGCGATACCAAAAGGAGCCGTATTCGAGGTGATCGAGGGTCTCGGCTATCCTGCATATGTCGACCTACCTCATGGTATCGAATACAAAGTTGTCGAGCTGCTCAAGGCTGCACGGGCGGTCCTGGATAGGCATGAGGGCGAAAGAAGCCATGCGTCCACGATCACAAAGGCATCGAGCTCAGGATTATTCTCTACCGCCGCTGCTCCCTCTTCAACGCACACCGCACTCAGAAATTTCGCAATTGTCTGGGATGACAAGCGAAACGAAGGCGCAGAGGCAGAAGTGGGACCTGTACTAGCTACTGTGGATTTCAACAGCACAGCAGGGTGGTTGTTCGAGAATCAGGCGATTCTACGGTATGTCAAACAGTTCTTGTCATCGCAGATGTTAAGGATAATCATAGGCGGGAAGACACGATACTCGAGCAATTTTCGCGAACGACGACTTCGCAGAGCTGGTATATCAGCAAGCGACTTCCTCCTTCGAGTGGTTCCCGCTCTTCGTCGAATTCTGCCTCACCTCTTCCCGCCAGCCATGCGACACAACGACCCAGAGGAGATAGGGAGATTCATCTCGAGATTTGCAAAGAGTCGAGTCTCGTTGACGTAGACAATGACCTCGCATCAATCGTCAGGAGACTGGAAGGCCTGTCGTCTTATTGACCTGTATAAACTGTACTCCTAGGATAACGACATGTGTCTCGGAGATGCAAGGGACGATGAGGACGTACGCCATATGCCACTCTCTTATGTCTTTGGCTGGCATATGTAAAATTCCATATGTTCTCCGGATCGAATGCATCGTAACCGACGCGCATCCGTGTGGTCCTTCCAAGTTGAACCCGGCTAACACGGGTTATTGGCACAAGGTCAACCATAAGTCTACTACAACATAATCTTTTACGTGATAGATAACAACGAATCTGTGGTTTAGAAGATTCGAAGCCTGGGCAGCATATGGCAGCGACGACGAAGCAATGCAACGAGGCTGAATGGCCGTTAACTGCGAAACTGCGGGTTATAGGAGCTGGAGGAATTAATTATGATGAGAATGGCCGTGCCAGAGGAGTAGAAAAGGTCTTGTTGACGCATGGTCAAACGAGCGCACAACCTGGTTTCTTGCCCCCAAGTGAGTTCCTTGTAGTTTAATGCTATAGACACTCACCATCCTGGGGATTTAGCAAGTCAGAAGAGTGCTCGCAAGGTCTACAAAGGTCTAGCTATGGTTGCCCTCGCATCTCTACTCTCCATCGTCGTCTTCGTGGTCTCTCCGTATATCGTACAGGGAACCACAATCCGGGCTCTCAACCCAGATAATGCGCGCTTGTTGCGGTTCTCGGCCACTCATACTGAATGGATCTCCAATACTGCACTTGAATATTTGCTCGAGCAGCGCCATCAATATTTACCTGGTTCGCGAGAGACTGTGGGCTTTGTCCACACCTCTTCCGTTAATGTTGATGGACTGCGCAACGCAAACAAGGCGCTATTAGACGGAATTAGTGACGAAGCTATCCGTGCACTTGCCGGACGGGAGGGTTTCAAGGTTGGATACATTGATATCACGGAAACGTATGATGGCACCACCAATCATGATGAGGCAAAGACCAACGAGGCGTCGCGGGCTGCACTTCCCTACTCAGCCGTCGATCCAACAGCACATCCGGACTACAAGGCACTTGCAGCAATGGTCTCTGCTCAAGAGCTAAGGAATATTGTTGGCAATCTGTCGACCACTTTCCCTACAAGGTACTACAGGAGCACCAATGCCAGAGGTAGGCACCGTTATCGATATTTTACCAGGTCTAACATCCTAATAGCACCCTCTCTGTGGATTCAATCTTACATGTCCAAGTTTACAAACGTGTCCGCAACGCTGTTTGAAAATACGTTCAATCAGCCCAATGTCATCTCCACCTTGACGCCCCCTGGCACAAGTAATACCACGCCAATCATTCTCCTTGGAGGCCACTTGGACTCGACATCTCAGAGTCCGTCGACCAAAGCCCCGGGTGCGGACGACGATGCATCTGGAACGGCAGTGGCTCTTCACGTCTTGAGTATCCTTGCAAAGAGCGGATGGGCATACACGAAATCAAAGTATGTGATTCTATACGTCCAGGAATCGAATCAACTGACGGGCCAAGGTATCCAATTGTGACCCACGCTTACGCAGGTGAAGAAGGGGGACTACTTGGATCAGCTGCACTAGCAAAGTCGTACAAATCCGCCGGACGATCGATTCGTGGAATGCTCAACCTGGAAATGGTCGGCTGGCAGCCGGAGACTACGGGGAGTAGCACAATCACAGTGTTGACGGATCCCAATGCCGACATGTCGAACTATATGTTGAACGTAATCAAGGCGTACGTGCCTACTGCGAGTGTTCGCAGCACGAAGTGTGGGGTGCGTGGAATCAGTTACTGCGGATAACTCGTCCTCTGGCAAGACTGACGCTTTGTCATCGGTGATTTGCAGTATGGATGCAGCGACCACTACAGCTTTTCTGATGCGGGTTATCCCGTGGTTTGCATCGCATCCTATGGGCCGAACGATGCAAATCTCAATCCGAATTATCACAGAACCTCGGACACGCTCGACAAGTTGAATTTTGATCGAATGGCCGATTTTGCACGGGCGACACTTGCTTGGATTGTACAGGTCGCGAGTTGAACGGGGGAGGTTGAATGGGATGCCCGTCGCCCGAGATGACTTGACAGCTCCTTTGCCCTGGGCATGGGCGGAGGGTAGCGGGTATGCCGAGGACGGCCTGAGCGTGTATTATTTTTCTAGATTGTCGAAAGATGTCGAGATTGTCGAAAAGGTCGCGAGAACACATTGCCGCGGACGCAGCTATCGATGTCGAGCAAAGTCACTGCGGAGATGAGCGCCCGCCTGTGGGATGAGTGAGTCAGGGGGATAATGAAACGACAAGAGGCGGGCACAGCTCTTACTCAGCACTTTCCATTTCTAGTCGACCGTCTCCGAACCGCTGACTTGGGCTAGTTCTAGTGTAGCCGCGGTATATAAACCCAAGGCATTGCGTGTCTCTTGTCGACAGCAAGCTGCTACTCCTCTCCAGCACTTTTCCTGCGCTCTACAATCTTCAGAGATGTCAAAGTCGAATAACTCGCCCATCGTCGTCGCTCTGCCCGTTCGTCACAACGCTCAGAACGCCCCCTCTGTCGCATCCGCCGACAGCAAGCAATCGTCGTCGTCGTTTAAGAATCTCTTCAAGAGGTCGTCTTCGTCCTCGTCTTCCCGCCCAAGTAGCTCCCAGTCGAGCTCGAGCAAAGTCTCTTCGCTCGTCGTTGTCTCGCCCAGTCAGAAACCAAAGAAGCCACGATCTGGTGGTCCAATGAGTGGTGTCCAGATGAACTTTATTGCATAGTTCACATCTCAAAAGGTGAGATTGACTTCCTCCCGTCGTCTCGAGCGTAGGTTAACCCCTTGTGCTTCGTCCAGGATTTGCTGCATCATTGTCGTGTATCTGGCTCTTTACCTTGTACTCCTACATGTAGTCTCCTCATCTCAATCGTATCCAGCTTTTTATTACGCGCCAACTTCGTGTCCTTAAAACTGGCTGGCCATGTCGAAACCAGTCGAAACTTGGATCCGGCCCCGATAGACCTTACACCCTCTACTAGTTTTACCATTTAATTTGATATGTCCGGATCATCCTCATCCTCTTCTCAGCAACGTTTGTAGTCGTCATCTTCACTTTTCTATCCCCACTTACCCATGGCCCACAGCTACAAAGAAGGATCTCGATCCGACAATCGATTTCCTTGCTGGAACAGTCGCCGGTGAGTCCTAATATCTGCTCCAGCGTGTCCTAATTCCCGTCAAACAGGTCTGACGGTGTGTATTCGGATCATGTCCCGCTGGCAGAGACGGGCACGGGACTGGCCATGACTAATTTTCCCTCCAACTTTCTAGTCGCTCTTTGTCGGCTTTCCATTCGATACTGGTGATTTGCTATTCTAGCCGCTTCCGACATTCTAATTATCCTGTAGTCAAAGTCCGATTTCAAGACTCGAGAACAGCTACACGCTATAGCTCGACCTCAAATGCACTCTATACCATCGTACAAGAGGAAGGAACACGTGGACTGTTCAAAGGCATCCAGGCCCCCATGGCAAGTTGGCTCAGACGACTGTTATTTCTTCAACCACTCATTACGTACAGCTTGGATGTGCTATTCTCAACGGACTCGTCTTTGGGACGTATGGTTTCCTTATGAAAGCCCAGCTTCAGGCGCACCAGCGCGAGCCCAGTTTGACTCAGACATTTATCGCAGGCGCAGGGAGCGGTGTCGTCTCTTCGTGAGATCTCATCCTATACTTTATAAGAGATGTCCTCACTTCTAAACAGCCTTGTGACTTGCCCGTCTGAGTTAATCAAGATCCACCAACAAGGGAGCGTACACTCCCAACCACCAAGTGTATGGACTATAGCAAAGCAAATCTACCGAGAAAGGGGCATACGTGGCTTTTACCGTGGCTATACTCCAACGGCCGTGCGAGAATTAGGTTATGGCGCTTACTTTCTTACGGCGAGTCTACCTTGATTCTTGCAATCTTCTAAAAGCTGAGACTGTGCAGTACGAGGCAGTTTCGCGCTCTTTCCGAAGACGGGTCCCGCCTCCGACCGACCACAGCACACACAAATCTGGTGCGCTCGCTCGAGAGGCACATGTCGAACTACCCGCTGTCCCATGGTATGGTGTCCTCCTCGCAGGTGCGCTTGCCGGACCTGCGAGTTGGATCGCCACATTCCCCGCAGACGTGATCAAGACGCGAATGCAGGCACTTCCAGACGAAGTGGAAGCATCTAGAACGTTGCCCAAACCCGGTCAGAGCTCAATTACAGCCGTGCGACGAGAGATGGGCACACTTGAAACGGTCAGATATTGCTACCGCCGCGAAGGGCTGCGGACGTTTGTTGCTGGACTGACACCGACACTAATACGCTCTGTGCCTGTGAATATTGTCACATTTGGAGCGTTTGAATTTGTGGTGAGCGTCCTCACCAAAGACAACGTATAACCGGGCATTATCCTGGATACATTATTGTATTTAGACACCATAGACATAGAATTGGTTTCATTACTGCGCCTCTGAGCTATAGGTTGGCTATTTGTGTCGAGCAAGCTCACTTTCTACCACTCAATCCCTGGCCACGTCGCTGGGCCCCTATTAATCCCTCTCATTTCTCCAACAAATCCTGTCTCTCTCGTCCGCCAACGGTGTCAGTGCGACCCTCAGAACAGTAACCAGCGCATCTTGGACCCGAGCGCAGTTTGAGACCATGTCGCTGGCATATCCGCCGCCGCCAATAGCCCCTTCGGCGGTCAAGAATACCGCATCTTTTATACGTATCGTCGCATTATCAGCCATTGCTGGTTGCGCAATTGCCTCGCGCCTCTTCGCTGTCATCAACTTTGAAAGTATCATCCACGAATTGTGCGCCCGCCGTCTCCTGCTTTCGTCGCATTAGCTAACGAGTTGCTTGTGCGTTCACAGTGATCCATGGTTTAATTAGTACGTCTGCTTTGTCGTGTGTTGCCTGTATCGAGTCTAACGTCGACAGTCGTGCAACTCGTGTATTGGCCTCCAAGGGCTTCTATGTGCGTTTTCCAACTGGTACCATGTCCAGTGCTAACTTTTCCCGTGCAGGAATTCTGGAACTGGTTCGACCCAACGGCTTGGTATCCGCTTGGTCGTGTCGTTGGCGGGACGATTTACCCAGGTCTAATGGCCACATCTGGCGTCATCTACAACTTTCTCCACTCTATTCACCTCCCGGTTGACATTCGAAATGTCTGCGTCATGCTGGCACCAGCGTTTAGCGGACTGACTGCCTGGTCGACCTACATGTACGTGTCCTTCCTCGTAAACAGTCAGAGACGATGTTCATAATCTCTCTAGGTTCACAAAAGAGATGAAGGACGAGTCAGCGGGTCTCCTCGCTGCCATCCTCATTGGCATTGCTCCAGGATACATCTCTCGCTCCGTTGCTGGCTCCTACGACAACGAAGCAATTGCCATTTTCCTCCTCATGTTTACGTTCTATCTCTGGATCAAGGCCCTCAAACACGGCTCGGCATTCTTCGGAACGTTGGCCGCCCTCTTTTACTTTTACATGGTTGCCGCTTGGGGTGGCTACGTATTCATCACCAACATGATCCCTCTCCATGCATTGGTCCTCGTTCTTATGGGAAGATACTCGTCAAGGCTCTACGTTGGTTACTCGTCGTGGTATGCCATTGGTACACTCGCCTCGATGCAAGTTCCTTTTGTCGGCTTCCAGCCCGTGACGACGTCAGAGCACATGGCTGCCCTGGGTGTATTCGGCTTGCTACAACTCGTGGCCTTTACTGAGCTCGTGCGGTCGCACGTTAGCTCAAAGCAGTTCCAAACATTGCTCAGGACAACCGTTGTCTCTGTCGGCATTCTTGGTGTGTTTGCCATCGTCATCATGACCATGAAGGGTTGGATCGCACCGTGGACGGGTCGTTTCTACTCACTTTGGGATACAGGCTACGCTAAAAAGTTGGTATTCTTTATTGAAAATGAAGTGGGGCTGTACTAATTACGACTCTATAGACACATCCCGATCATTGCGTCCGTATCGGAGCATCAACCAACGGCATGGCCCTCGTTCTTTGCCGACTTGCACATGCTCGTCTTCATCTTCCCTGTTGGTGTACTACTCTGCTTCCAACAGCTGAGAGACGAGCATGTCTTTGTGATCATCTACGCCATCATGGCCAGCTATTTTGCTGGTGTCATGGTCCGTCTCATGCTTACGCTCACTCCTGTTGTCTGTATTGCGGCGGCGATTGCCATTTCCACACTTCTCGACACATACATGGACCCCCACGAGCCAGAGGCCGTTGAGGCGCCAGCCGAGACAGCTGGCGCGTCGGCATCTCAGAGTGGTTCTGGACCTACACCGAGTGCTACGATCACAAAGAAGGCTGGAAAGCAAAGCGCAGCCAAGACGGGTCTCTTTGGCATCGACACGCGGCTGGCTGTCGTATTCAACACGTTCTTCCTGTTGCTTATCTTTGTGCTTCATTGTACATGGACGACCTCTCACGCTTACTCGTCGCCATCGGTCGTATTGGCATCCCGTACGGCAGATGGCAGCTCAGCGGTGATTGACGACTTCCGTGAAGCCTATTATTGGCTCAGACAAAATACACCGAAAGATGCCGTGATCATGAGTTGGTGGGATTATGGATATCAAATTGCTGGCATGGCAGACCGCCCAACTCTGGTGGACAACAACACTTGGAACAATAGTGAGCAATTTCATTTGTGCCGCAATGCAGAGTAGCTGATATGAAATTCAGCACACATCGCGACAGTTGGAAAGGCGTTTGCGACCTCGGAGGAGGTTGCCTATCCATTACTGAAGAGGCACGATGTCTCATATGTGCTCGTCCTTTTGGGATCGCTTATTCAGTACTCGGGCGACGATTTGAACAAGTTTTTGTGGATGATCCGCATTGCGTCGGGGGTATGGCCGGATGAAGTCAAGGAGGCAGACTTTTTCAGTCCGCGAGGCGAGTTTAGAGTAGACGACGGCGCGACAAAGACGATGAGCGAAAGTTTGATGTACAAAATGTCGTACTATCGGTGAGTGGACCCAAACAGAGGTGCAGGTAATGATGTGGCTAATGACGGCCAGATTCCACGAATTGTTCCCTCAAGGTCAGGCTCAGGATCGTGTGCGACAACAAAAATTGCCCGCGGTTGGGCCGACATTGGACTGCTTCGGTACGTCGACCTCTTGAGCTCAGAAATCTCGGTTTGGCTAACCAGCTGGGTGCTATAGACGAGGCGTTTACATCTGAAAACTGGATTGTCCGCATCTACGAGCTCAAGCCAGATGATGAACTCGGCCGGGATCACAAGAGCGCTAATGCGTTTGCGGCGGGCAAGAAGAGGAAGAAGGGAAAGATTGCGCGACGGCGGTTTGCACTCGAGTAGAGATTAGGATAAACTATTGGCAATGTCCAGCTCAATTCCGGCTCGAATCATGCTTTTGTGCTTCGCGGTCTCGATGCCCTCGATTTATTTTGCGGTGGCACTGTTCTAGGGGGATTCCGCCGAGTAAGACTAAGGCCTAGATCCAGGCCCACGGACGCGTGCGCTGCCCGCAAAGAGTCCAGGCTCTTAGTTATAAGCAGGAATAGCGATCAAGAGGGCTGCAAAGCCCAATGTCGAAGAGACCGCTTGGTATCTATTCGTCGCAGCGAGCAAAGGGCTCGCTCGTTGAGCCTGTCGTCACAGATATTCACATTGAACATATAGAAACACTCGAAGAACCGGATTCAGCCTCTTCGGATGCTCCATCCACCAAGAAACGCCGCCTTTCGCTAGACCAGGCGCCGCCACTGTTTGCGCTCGCAGAAAGTCGCCCCATCGAACGATCGAAAGCGGCTATAGAAGACTGGGAGGACATTAAAGAGGTCTTTGCAACCGCTACAGAGAAATATGAAGGTCAGCACCCTTAACTTCCGCTCGATTTGCACTCATAAACAAGTCTATGCCGTCCAGCTGAGGAGCCAGAAGAGGCTGTCGAGCTATTTCGCCGCGTTATTCACGAGTCTGACCATTTGTTACGTCTGTATCCGGTCAGTAGCTCGCTGCGCGGCGCCAGTTGTTGCCCGTGGGCTGACGCCGTCCCAGGAGCCCATCGTCTTCCTTTCGAGCGGTCGAAACCCGCTTCTGTCCTCTTGGGCAAGTCATGTTGACGAGATTTACGCACGTACACACAACCCGCTACCACCCCGAGATCCGATTCGGACAAACGACGCATTGACGAGCTTCCACTACATCTACGGGACATCGATGCTCCTTCTGGGCAAGATTCTGGAGGCATATCCTACACTTGCAAAGGATGTCGAGCCTGTCAATACCCCTGCCTTTTATCTCGCTGCTCTCGACGTCCTCGAGGACGGCGAGAACGCATACCATTCCGTTTCAGGAAATAGGTTTCCTAAGGAAGATTGGAGGCTATCGGTCAGCGTTGGTACGGCCCCCTCATTGCTCCCGAGTGCAGTCTCACTGAACCCCACTCGAAGGACGAACGCTTGTTTGCCTGGCGGAGGAAAAGTTAAGGCGGCTTTCTAAATCCAACCAACAGGCGAACGGCTTCGTAATTAATTTTCAAGATGACCTGTGGCCCAAAGATTCGGCGTTTGCCCCATCCTTCTCAAAACGACCACCGCTCACGAGGAGGGTGACTTTACCGAGCGCTTCGCCTCACGAGGTGCTAAACTCTGCATGCGATCACTTTTCTAGAGGTGCGCCTCTCGTCTGAATAGTTGCCAACGAGCTTTCCTGACTAAGACGGGCTAGCCATGCTTCATATGCCACATCACAAGCGGCGACATCGTAACGGACTTTCTAATCACATGGATTCAATGGATATGGGCGGTGCCTCTATGATGATTCAGGAAGTCGACGCCCCACCGACCATGCCCGGCCTGGGGAGCCGCACACGCTCCCTTTTACATAACATTCGCCCACGGGTACTCTACACAATTGGAAGCGACGTTCTCAGTGTGGCAGAAAGGCTCCCTGTCGCATCGGAGAGACTGTACTGGGCAAAATGGGTCGACGAGGTGTTCCTGCAGATGGAGATGGAGGAGCTCATCTCCGAGGACTGGAGCCATCCTATTGCTGTTGGAAGAGGAAGGTGTTGGCTTATTATTGGGTCAACGCACTTTGAGGTGTTGGAAACGCAGTTGGAACGGGATCCATGTGTTCTGGACACGGCAGAAGCAGAAGCAGCCAGACAGGCACTCTTCAAAGGCAAGTTGGACTCTTGCACCGCTTCGAAAGTTACTCATCGGATATATAGCTACCCAGTACCTGGGAAAGGCTCAGTTGACCCGCGCATCCGACCTCGCTGCTCTACCCGACCCATTCTCGACCGATGTCTCACCAATGTTGGGCGAAGCCTACGTGACTCTCGCAACCCTCACGCCGGAAGGACCAGCAAAGGAAGAATACTTTGCGCGAGCTGCCGCAGAGGGGGTTGACCTGACCGAGGATGATGAATCTATGATGGATGCCAATTCATGAACATGACAAATCACGGCTCTCTGTTTATCTGGGATTATATCTTTATTCGTAGATAATGATAGACTCGATGGTACACGACGAACAGATTCATAATTCAAGGCACCTCACCAACCCCTTAGATATCCTCCACGCCCCCACTTCTCCAGTAAGAACTCAGTCATCCATTCATGTAATTCTCTATACGCGCCACGTGTCGCAATATTGTGATTACTAAATATGATCAGCATCCAGAAGCTGTAGACAATCAAGCTTACCTGTCCGTGAACATTCGGAACCGGAACCGCCGTATCTGGGCTGCAGTGAACATATCTAGCAAGTGCGCAGAGTTTGCAAAATGGACATTATCATCGCCCGACCCTAAACTTTGTCAGAGATGATTACCCTGATAAAAATACCGGCTCACCATGCGCCAAAAGAAAGTCAACATGTTTGAAACCTTCCATGCCCGTGATTGAAGCGTTGAAGTAACCGTCAGGGTTATTTTTGGGTAACCCCATGTATCGTTCCGTGTAAATGGAGTCTAGACCTATGTAAACCCTATTGCTTGTGGGCAAGCGTGATTAAACGCACCGTACATCCGCCAGCTGGTGACTGGTGCCACAGCCATAGCAAGACTGTGGACGCGCGCATCGGCTTCGACAACTTTGGAGCTCATAAAGCCACCGTACGACTGATCAAAGGTTAAATATAGTCTCTCATCTCAAATGAAACTTACCCATCCCCAGATTCCAATTCTACGTGAGTCGACATAGCGCTTCGACTTCCAGTGCTTCGCCGCATTGATCTGGTCTTGCACCTCATGCTGCCCCAGATTCCCTCGGATTGGATTTCGAAGCTTTCTACCCTTGAAGCCTGTGCCTCTGCCGTCTACGACGACGACAATATACTTGAGTGAGCAAGCAAGGTAGTGATGCCAATCCCGCTCCCATCTTGTTGACACCATCTGGGACGCTGGACCTCCGTAACTAGTGGGCTATCAAGAACCGCGTGGAAGGTCTACCATTGTACACTTACACGCGGAAGAGGACAGCGTACTTTGTACGGCCGCTTTCGTCCATGGAAGGAGGTCTGATTTCCATAGTGTTGAGCTCTACCGGGAGCTTAATACAGGCTAGGAATGTGTGAATGCTGACATACCATATCCATCGCTCATGATCGTAGACCGTACAATGGACGGCATCTGGAACTGGTCCGAGATTTTACTCAAGTCCTTGTTGTCCGTGAGGTCGTATTTAAATTCTGTCCAATCACTCAGAGACGCGCTTTGGATGGTAGGGTGTGTGGTGTGCTCACCAGGCTTGTCGACTTGCAGCACTTTCTGCCACGGAACTTCTGGGCCGGAATAAGTCAACTGGTAGAATCCACTCTGAGGCGAGAAGCTCGCGGAAAAGTATGAGGGTTTCTGGTCGTCCGTAAGTGCCTTTGGTTTTTTCGGATCAGAAGGTGCTGCTTTGTGGTCAGGTAGCTCTGCTGAATATACGTTGCGATCAATCGATGATGGTGCAGCAGCCAGGAAGTATCTAGAGGCAAGGGTGAGTCAGTCGTGAGGGCTGATGATAGGTAAACCTACACGAGTTGCTTTTTAGTGTCAACGCCGAGAATCCCACTCGTTACTTCCCATGATCCTGAGGTGAGCCAGATCGGTGTGCTAGAATCTGCCGGGCTGAAGAGTGCAATGTGATTGTATCCCTCTTTATTTGGAATGACGTCCAAATACGACGTTGCTCTTGCATATTGGTCTCCTAGAGGATAGACACGCTGGGACTAGGACGGGTTCAGTTATCTAATCGAATAGAAAGATGTGGCACATACCGAGTCAATCCACCCATCATCACCTTCCTCACCATGTTTACCAAGCCGACGAACAACTCGGCCCTTCTTTGTTGGGCGGGAGGCATCAAAAAGAATCACACTACCCGTGTCACCAGAGCGATTGATCTCCTTGATGATGAGCGTTTCATCGTCTATCCATGCTACCTCTTGAATGATGCTGTCGTCACTGGGACGTTGACCATCCCATGACAATTGATACGTGTGGGATCCGGGAGCTGGGGCGTTCACACCTTCACCAGCCTCTGTATAGGTTCCAAGGTCGAAGAGGTGAACGGTGACAACCGGATTGTTGTATCCGGGCTTTGGATACTTCATGGCAATTTGCTTCGGATATGGAACTACCGTACTGGCGTCCACATCAGACGGATTGTAAATCGGATATGTAAAGTCGTCCACGTTGGTCTCATCAAACCTCAGGAAGGATATCTTGGAGCTGTCGGTACTCCACCACATTGCATAATTGGAGCCGTAGACCTCCTCCTCGTAAACCCAGTCTGGAATTGCGTGAAAAATCGTGCTGTTACCGCCTTCGGTGATGCGGACAGATGCGGCTCCGGGTCTATTTTCAAATAGTCAATCGGACATCTAGTGATTGGTGACTCCACTTACGATGGTACGACGTAGAGGTCATTGTTCGCAACAAAGGAGACCACGTTTCGCGTTGGGGCCCAAGTTGCATAAGAGATGACAGGAGGATCCGTCGGAGCCACCAGGGGCTTTGTTACCCCTTGAGTAAGATCGTGAACGTAGTAATTTCCGAAAGAAGAGTGTCGCCACCCCTGAGGGATGATTAGTTCCAGAATTACGCGGCAAATGAGTCTAACCTTGACGCGATCTGCTTGGAAGAGGATATATTTGGCATCTGGGGAAAGCTTCCATTCGTCCCAAATGAGTGGTCGCCCTCGCTCCTAGAAGGCGGTGAACAAAGCTCCCAGGCGCTACACTAGCTAGCTCACGTCCTTGACTGCCTCACGCTTTACGAGAGACGTTGTTTTGTTTGTCTTAAGGTCGACAAGTAGAATCTCCCCGGACTCGTCCACGGAGAACACACCGTCACCGGCTGTGGGCTCGCTGAGACAAGCCAAGGAGTATATCATCGTTCGTACCTTCTGGTACCCAGTGAACACTCTTGGATTCGGGCCAAAAGGTGCCGTTGAAGACGTGGTCCATCTCAATGTGCTTGCGACCTTTGATACGGAATTTGGCACCATTATAGGACCTCGCTGCAACAATTCCCAAGAGAGTTGCAGAGACCAATATGCCAACGAGGGTCCATACAAAGTATCTCAGCACCTTTGGCCGCTAGATATTTGGCCTTGCTCAGCGTTCACGCGGCGTGCTCTGCGTCAAACTCACAGCATCCACTCCATCTTGGAGACCATATGGCTCTGCCTCCTCATCAGCAGCCAAAGCCGGGTATTTGGTCTCGTCTTCATCCTCGTCATCCGAACTCGAGTCGATTGGTCGTCCAACCTGTTGTGGTTGTCGATTACGGTGAGGTATATGGGGCAAGTTAATTCTAGAGGAATAGTCTGCCTGAGACAGCGGAGTGTAGATGTGAGCCGCTGCCATGGCCAGGTCCAACAGAAGGCAACCACACTTCGACCCGACCATTTACATCTTGATGTTTAGAGGACTCGGTGGGAGCAAAAGTAAACGAATTAATATGGGTATTTACAGACGCTACAGCGTGCTTTAGTCCGACTGTTACGCAAAACGTTCGTTTACTTTGGCGTAAGTATGTACCGTTGCACACCTTTATGTTCTGACTAGAAATTGAGAGAGCAACCGTGGAACAATTGCTTCATCATTGGAAGAATTTGACCAAGTCGAATGGTTCTTTGGTACACCCGCCGACCACGAATGGGTTTCTCGACTACTTGAACGCGGTATCACTGTGATGAGACTCTTGACAGAGATTTCATGCATTCTGACACGTTTTGACGCGCTAGGTTTTCGAAGATTCATGGGTTGTCGACTGCATCCAGGCGGGATGCTTGATAGAGAGTCAGAACTATGTTTTTCAAGGTTTGTGTGTATACCGTTCATTCTCCAAATAAGACGTTGTGCAGAGGTCAAAGTATTGCTCACCGGTCGAGCTGGTTCGGCTCTCATGCCCAAGGACAAGCATACCCATGTGGATTCAATGGAGTGGAATTCGGAAGATGAAGTCGAGAAAACATTGGTTGCTGAAGCGGCAGGACTCGCGGGTACTACGGAGCAAAGAGTCAGCCCTCATTCCTCTCTAAAGCTGTATAGCCACCAAATTGGGTTTCGCTATATTGACACTTTAATAGTTTGGTGGATCAAGTTATACCAGGAGCAAGTGAGACTGACATCCCCACCATATCTCTGGAGAAGCTCACAAGGCTCACACTTCCGCCAGTGCAAGTCGCAAAGTTCGAGGTCAATGCATCTTTAAATGGGCGCAGATTTCGAGCCAAACGTCGAACCCCGCTAAATATGTTCTCAGCCAACGAGCAAATGCAACCACTTTGAGCCTGGAAACTGGGTAGATAGATTGCATTGGTAGTACACTTCTTAAAAATCAAATGAATAGCACAAAGTGTAGATGTCCGGAAATGAGATGTCCACGAAATTGCCCTGACCGTGTCTGGTCAATTGAATATGCCTGGGGCGCTCTTTCGCCCAGCCAGTAACCGACGCTTTCGAACATCGTCTAACGCGACTGCAAGTTGATCCTTTGCAGCACTCTGATCAGCCCAACGCTCCGCCGCCTTTTTGGCACGGTTCAAGAACATGACGGTGTGCACAATACTTCTCAGTCGTTTGACCGGCGCACCCTTTGGAGAACGTTGTGTGTGGGCCAATGACTTGAGTATAGGAAGATCACTAGAGACAGAGTCAGCGAGTGTCAATCAGCACATAGGATCGACGCACTCTTGTTGCAGCTTCGAAAGCAGCGTGAGAAGATACTCCTTCTGATGGGCGAGGTGTTGCCGAAGAGTATTCTCCCTGGTGTATTTGCTCTTGAGATAGGTAATCTGCAGGAGTAGCCCTTTGCACTCCTGGTTGTGGCGCGCTTTGATCAGGGAAAGAGCAGAGTCGTCCCTAGAATTGGAGATGAGCTCTAGAATCGTGATAGCAACGTGCGTATATACCTTGAACTGCAAACGTGCTCTTCAGCCTCATCGAGCAGCTGTCTCACTCGCGCCTTTTGCTCATCTAATTGCTCCTCAAGAACACGCACTTGAGCTCGGAGCTGCATCTGAGCGCGCTCCGATTTGGCGACCTCGCCTTTGTCCATATTGCCGACATTATTAGAACTGCGAAGGGTCTCCAGGTCTTGAGCAAAGCGCTCGGCTTCCTGTCTCATTTGTGCAAGCTCTTGCTCCAACTCGCCCACGGTTGAATGAAGATCCGCTATACCCGCGTTTCTCCTACGCTCGTAGCTAAGTTCTTCGTCCTTTAGTGCCATCTCGCGGCGAAGATCATCAATTTCTGCAATCTGCATGTCGAGTTGATGTCTTCGCTCCTCATGATTCGATTGAATGACCATGAGATCTTTTCGCAGCCGATCAACATTTTCTGCAGCCGACTGATGACGGTGCTGAAGTTTGGAATGAGACTCGGCGAGCTGATCGCGTTCTTGTCGGAGCTGTTCGATCAAAGCCAGGTTCTGGGTGACTTTGTTTTGGAGATGACGGGATTTAGACTCCGCAAGTGTATTTGCTAACGTCCATCAGTTGAGAATGGAGAAGGATGCACTACCCACCTCGAAGGTCGGCTTCAAGTGCATAGTTTTCTTGCTTGCAGCTACGCAATTGATCTCTAACGGCATCAAGATCCTTGAAGCAGTCAATAACGTGCATAAACCATGGGTGAAGACCATACCGCCTGGGTGCGTTGCAGTTGAGCAGCGACGTCATTCTTGTCCTGAAGCATCCTACTCCGTTCTGTAGCAAGTTCGCGCAGCCGAGTTCGCTCTGCCTGGAGTTGTGACTCCAAATCAGCTACATGCTGCTTGACCTGTTCCACGTCCTGAAAAGTGATAAACGGGACAGCTCCACCTATACATTGATGCTCACGGATGTGCCATTCGGGTTGCCGCTCTCCTTCTTTCGGGCTGCTTGCCTACCCAAGCGATCTGCTGCGCCTTGGAGATAGTCGCGCTCTCCCTGGAGCCTTATCTTCTCTTGAATCCAATCCTGCTTCATCTTCTCCAACTGCTTAAGAATCTTCTTCATGCTTTCGTCCGTGACTGCGTCCTTTCCACGCGACGCATCGCACAGACTGGAAACAATTAGCATCTGGGCGAGGCATCAACAATGCCGACTAACCTTTGGTCGCCGAAGCTCAAGACACTGTTCAGCTCCACTGTTCCACCACAACCATTGCAAGCAATACCTCGGGAAGCTTGTCGGCTTCGCCGCTCTTCTCGTCGTTCTAAGCGCTGCACTTCTGCTTGGAGGAAAGCAATACGATTTTCCGCGTCGTGCAGCTTCTCGGTGAGATTGGTGACACCGCGTCCATACTCCTCGAGCTTGTCAATCTTGTCGTCAACACACTCATTAGCATGAGCCAACTCTCGTTCAAGCAAGGAAATCTGGTGAAGATATGGCGATTCGTCTCCATGGTGCACAGATTGAAGCCAGGAGAGCTTATCCTAGGTCAGACTATGTTTTCGCGGAATGAAATACACATACGTCTCTCAGTGGTCCACCAGGTGTTCTCGGGTTTCGAATCGATGGAAGATTCCTGACGGATGGAGAAGCGCCATCCTCCCTCGTTGCCCGTAGCGACTTTTCCGCCCCTTCAAGGGGGCCCTTAGACAATAGCACGCGCAGAGTCCTAACTTGTTCTTGCAGGTCCGCATTCTCTCCTTCAAGAGCTTCGATCTTTGCCTCTTTTGCCTGTGCAAGAGCAGCTCTGGCAGGGGAATCGCGTAATAAATGTTGCAATCGGCCAATCTCGCGATGGGCATCGTCCAACTCCTTTTCGAGACCCTCGATATCTTCGAGTACAGGAGAATCGGAGAGTGCAGAGGAGAATGGGTGCGCTGAGACGGCTGTATTGGTTGACGCCCGTGCAGAGCTGGACGTAATGAGCCGAACACGCTCGAGCTCTTGTCGAAGTGACGCAATCTCCTCTTGGCCCTCGAGCATCTTTTTCTCGCTGGCTTCGAGAGCCTCTTCAAGCTGGCGTTGCTCTTTATCGACTCGTTCCGCGCGAGATTCCAAAACGTTGATGCGCTCTTGCAGAAGCTCGACGTCGACCTTGGCGCTGTTCGCCTCGTCTTGACTGGCAGCGAGCTCTTCTTGTGCATCCTCTAGCTCGGCCAACAATGCATTGGACGCCTCTTTGGCCTCTTCCAGCTCAGTCTCCGTCGCTTGAAGTCTCTCCTGCAAAGTAGCCGCATCCGTCTCCACGTCTTCCAGTTGTCGCCGGAGTGCAACCATTTTCTTGTCGCTCGTCTGCTTTTCTACCTTGAGCTCCTCGATAAGCTCTTCAGCAGCTCTCAATTCTTCCTCCAAATGAAGAGAACGATTGGTCGAAAGTCGAAGCTCTTCTTCCAGCTCGGCGACGCGTTCAATAGCTTCTTTGAACTCTTCATGAACGGCAGTAGCAGTCCCTGACCCAGTCGGACTTGTTATCGGTGTTCGAGAAGTAGGCGTAGCTTTCCCCCCTTTTGCTAGCGCAAGCTCTGCTCGATGAGCTCGTTCCTCGGCATCCTCACGAAGCTCCTGAGCACGTCGCGCTTTGGAGAGTGCTTGCTCTTTCGACTCTGCCATCACCTCTAACTGCCTTTCCAACTGCTCTACGACGTCGTTTACGCCACTTTCCACCTCTTTGACACGTTCCTTGAATTTGAGCCTCTCCGTCTCCTTTTCCTGCTTTTCTCTTTCTAGCTGAGATTCCAAGTCCTTGACCATGGACTCTAGAGCGGCAATTTCCAACGCTCTCGTGCTCTCGTCGACTTCAGTGATGGTCGGATGGCCCGCCTGGAGCTGTGTCAGACGATTGGTGAGCTCTTCATTCTCTTCAACGAGTCTTCTGTTAAGCCCATGAAGATAGGTGTTGAGTTTTGTGGCGTTGAAACGTCCGACACCCTTTGCGCCCGTAAGGTGATCAAAGGATGCATTGATACGAGGTTGTTGGACGGTGAGATCGTGAGATGAGGCAGTAGAGATGAAAGAGTCATTGACAGTCGCTGCCTTGGGTGTCGCAAAGATTGCCACTGGTGCGATTGGAATCTCCGCTCGAGGAGTTGCTTGGATGGGAGCATGTAGGCTGAGCCTGGGGCGAGGTTTGGCGGTCGAATGAATCACGTCAAGCAGGAATGACCGTTTCTTTGCTTGAGGCGTCGCATTGAGATCTGGCATATGCGAGACGGTGGTATCATTCACAGGCGGGTCGTGTTTGCTCGTCTGAGAGAGCGACTTTTCTCCTATCGAACTATGCTTTGTTTGTGATGAAGAAGCGGATTGAGATAGAGAGCGACTGTGACTTGAGCGCGAAAGGTCAAATTGTTGTTGGGCTCCAGCTGAGGATCGCCTGGACGCGTTTGGGAGGCTGACATGGGCATCACTGGAGGGCGTATTGTTTGGTGATGTGGATACAGGACTTGCGGAGCGTGTCAACGAAGGTGTGCGGACTGTTCGGAGAGCAATGTTCTTGTTGAGCGGCTGTCGTACGGGCTAGAGGCCTATGAGCACGCGTCAAACGGGGTGAAAGAGAATACTGACAGTAAATTGTGCTGATATATCCACAGAGTATTCCGGTGGAAGCTTGTTGCTGTCCTCGTCAGAAAGAAGTGAATCTGGATGGATGGGCTGGATGTTGCTAAACTCAAAGCTCTCGTGTTTCTCTGCAAAGCGAACTGTTGTCGATTTCTTGACGGAGATGGACGCGCTGGGCGTTGACTGGGCCCGCTTCGACGGCAGCGGGTCATCGTCAACATCGTCGTCGTCGTCAATGTCAATGGCGGGCAAGGACGGCAAAGAAGGAACAGCGAGATCATCTGCAGCCTGTATCCTCCTCCAGACCCGCGACGGGGTCTCCAATACGGGCATTCCAAATCGGTTTGACGCGGTGTCCAAGTGGCTGGACCCACTTGGACCCGGACATTACCATGGCTCAGTGGGATCCTATCATGCTTATTTCCCAGGTCTGCTTATTTCCATTTCCTGCCACAGATCCGATCGCTGATAGCATTTCGGAGATAGATCCTCGCAATCCAGGCGCTCCATTATTTAACGCTTGCTATTCTGCTCCCACCAATCCTCTCTTTTGGGGCATCCCGACGCGCCCTCTTCTTCTCAGGAGGCCCAGCAAACGTCAACCTCGTCATGTCATGGCATGAGCTCGCCGGCAGATCGCCAAAGAGGCTGGACGAAGCCATCCACGGCATCTACAGCGGCGGCAGGCGACTCGCGACATCGAATACCTTTAGACCAGACGAAATGATCGATTCTCATCGCCGTTGGATCATCGCAATCGTTTGGATCATCGCATCTGTCGCAGAGTGCGTACAAGTCCTCCATACAACTTCATGCAATGAACTCACCGTACATTCAGTGCTTATTATATCTACTCATTCATTCGCAAACCTCGACTCGTTTTGGACTTTGCGTTGACGCTTCTCTTCAATCATCTGATCCTCACCACGTATTACACCGCCGCATTTCCAACTTCCTTTTTCTACTGGGCCGTCATGACCTTGTCTGCCGTTATCATCATCACACTCGCCGAGCAGCTCTGCGTCCGTCGTGAACTCAGTCAAGACTTTAAGCCTCTCACGGGCGATGATCTAGAAGACCGGGACTCTGAGACGGCCGATAATGCGGAGAATCTCGAGCTTGCACCATTGGCTCAACGATAACCAACTTCCCGCGTCATTAGGGAGCGAAGGCCCGGCACTCCTGGCCGAAGGTCTCCGTGCCCAACCAGCATTCCCGTGAGCCACAACCCCAAGAAACGAAGTTTGGTCACCCCGGCCCTTGCAAACCTCGGATGTGCGTCCCTCTTCGAGCCCACCATCCATCGCAGTCGCCATGGGCTGAGTGCCAGTACGAGTAGCACCGGTCATTTCATCGCCAGCGTCTAGGAGTGCCGACCAGCTTCATCAAGCAGTTGGTCGCACCAAGTCGATCGACCAGTCGCGAATCCGATATTCACGCTATCGTCATGCCTCGTGGCTCGCCCCGCCAACACGCTAATCTAGGCACCTTGCTAAACAGTACCAAGTCATCCGCCCCGGCGCGTGGAACACTTTTGGTGACGAGTGTATGTCGGTTATTCAACGGGTGTCGGTTCGAGGCCTGAGTTTGAATTTGTCAAAGAACGCGTTTCGACGGGTGGTCGAGCGAGACTTGTGACAGGGTCGGATGCCCTCAGTAGGCTGGTGTCGGCATTATGCTATAAAGAGCCTTGCGTTTACGTGTCAGGTCTGCTCCTTTTCGAACCCAGAGCATCCCCAGCTCGCGTAGCACCTGAGAGCCTCTCCTCCTGCTCTTACTCTCGCTCGAATGGAAGCCCTAGGCAAGCTGCTCTCTCCGCTCTCTATGGGCACATCCGCTGTCCAAGATACAGTAGTCAGTACCCGTCTATAATACATCCAGCATTGTCCGAGATGACGGGCAGCTGTGTGAACTTGGTCCTAATTACTTTCCCCCCTCATTCAGAAACTTGTCGTCATCGGTGGAACGGTCGAGACTGCTCGTCGAATCAGTGGGTCTGCCTGGTCGAATTTTGTAGACTGTGAGTAACCGAGTTCTGTTCTGCGAGTACTGCGGCCGAAACGTTTGTTTGGATTCAGTCTCGTTTGCATTGTTCACCGAGTTGATGCCCGTCTCGGAGGGACTCGAGGTTGTGACATGAGCGTTACCGTACTGTTCTCTTTACCGCCGATGCACGCCGCTGACCGAGTTTGTTCCCTCTTGTAGCCTTCTTCCTCACCGCTCATTTTAGCGAGGATGATGTGTGAGTCCCATTTGATTCGTCGAGTTCGATCACTCATCTTGTTGGGTTAACCACCGGCTTCCCTTGCAGCCCGTATGGTACGATTCACACCCTGTTTCCCTTATTCGGGCTAGCATTTGGTGGAGTACTGACAAGGGGGACCTTTTCGATTTACAGACTGGTAAGCGGCTTGCCCTATCAAATCGAGAGATAACTCATCGTTATCTTGTAGGCTCATGCACTGGCTCTCGAAGCAGCCAGCATTTGGCAAAAGCCGCGAGTTTGATATAACGACTCGCTCCGTCGGAAGAAATAATATGGACAAGACAGCGGGAGACATCGAGGATGACGAAGAGGATGGCGAGCAATTCAGCCACGGTAAGCCGCCTTCGACTTTCTTTATTCCTGCTGACCTTATCTCTAGGAAAGAGGAAGAAAAAAGTCGTCTTCATGCCATGTCATGGTAAATATCCGAAAAAGCTTCAACTTTGTCGTTCACCCACCGTTGTAGATACAACACATAACATTTATTACGGGGGCCATCTCCTTCGTGTACGTTTAATCTCTTATGACACTCTGCTTGCTGACAGTCCCCTTCATTAGGTTACTCGTTCCAAGGTTGGTCAAGTAGCGGCAAAGGGGGCAACTCCTTACACTAGTCTAGCGTAATTCCGAATATGGTGCGACACAAGAAATCAAAATCAGTGTCGTGGCAAGGTCAAACGATGTGATTAAGCGTCTCGTACTCGAGGCCAAGAAGCTTTATGAAGCCGATGCAGAGCATCGTATCCATATTTATCTAGCGGACACTTATGGCTATTGGAGGTATAATGGGTCCCGTCAGAAGCGACCCCTGTCCTCCATTGTCCTCGAACCAGGCGTCAAGGATATGATTGTAGCAGATTGCAAGGACTTTTTGCGTTCCGAGGATGTGAGTTCATTAGGCTTGACTACCGATTTACAACTTACACATTGGCAGTGGTATGCCGAGCGTGGAATGTGAGCGAGGGCTCTTTGATCGCGTGTAAAGTCTCACTCCTTTTCGTAGCCCATACCGCCGCGGATATCTTCTGCAGTGAGTCCATTCCTTGGCCGAAAGATAGTTGCTAATTGTTCCCAGTGGTGTTCCAGGGTATGCTTCGACCCGATAGTGGCTGCAGCTCGCTGAACGAGTATAGATCTGGAAAGACCAGCTTGATTCATGCTCTCGCAGGAGAACTTGGGCTCGACATCTATGTAGTCAGCCTGAGTGCCAAAGGTATGAACGATACCATGCTCATGAACCTGATGGGTCGCATTCCGCAACGGTGAGTATCCAACAACACTTGCGTCTGAGACGGAACTGACTAAGATGACTTTTAGCTGCATCCTTCTTCTCGAGGTATATAGGACTTTCAGCAACGAACCAGTACCTGACTTCTGAGACCAGGACCTTGACGCTGCTTTTACCCGTTCTGTCACCCGTGATGCGACCTCGACCGGCGTCCCAATGTCCAGCAAGTCTACTTCGTCTACCAACACGACGGAAAGCGACGGCAACAGCCTCAGCCTTAGCGGGTTGCTGAACGCCCTTGGTACGAACTTATAACACAATAGACACGCTGCTTATGACATATAGATGGCGTCGCCGCGAGCGAAGGTCGTCTGCTATTCGCCACGACGAACCACATTGATCGTTTGGACGAAGCTCTTCGTCGCCCAGGTCGTATGGACGTGTGGATCAACTTTAAGTATGCTACAAAGTGGCAAGCTGAAGGCATCTTCAAGTGCTTCTTCCCATCTCGCGAAGCCACGGCTGCTGCTGCCGCTGAAGATCTCAAGAACGCCGAGGCACAAGGAAAAGAGCCTCCGAAGCGAAAAGTCTACACCACGATTCCTCTCCTCTCCGCCGACGAACTAGTAGTGCTGGCCAAACAGTTTGCCGAAGCGATCCCAGAGAATGAACTCAGTGTGAGTGCATTGGAACCGTGGGTGACACCTTGTTTCATAAATTACAGGTTGCCGGTTTGCAAGGATATCTTCTCAAGAACAAGGTCTGTTCCCTGTGGTCTACAACAGTACCGTACTGATCCCCTGACAGTCTCGTCCGCGCGAGTGCGTTGCAGAAGCCGCCGAATGGGTTCGTACAGAGCGCGAAACAAGGGAGCGGATTAAGAAGGAAAAAGAAGAGGTTAGTCCTCTCGAATTGTAGGAAATTCGCTGACGCTTTTTGTAGAGAGAGGCCAAAGAGAGAGAAGAAGCCTTAGAAAAGAAGAAAAAAGAGGTTAGTACTCGTATAGGTCGAACCAGCGTTCTTATATTCCTGAAGGATGCAAAGAAAGCGACAACGGATGACGAGAGCAAGTCCGAGGACAAGCCAAGAAGCATTAAGAAGAAACAGATAGTACAAATCGCTGCACCAGAAGTGACAGAGACCGCAGCCGCGCTCGAGAATGCTATCAAGACGGATGCCAGTACCGAAGGGAAGACCGTCACGCCTGGAAGCCCCGCCGTGGATGTTGTGGACAGCGATGACCTAGTCATTCTCTCTGCTTTGACAACGGCATCTGCGACGCTCGCCTCGCACGAGGACAGCTCCAAGGCCGCTGAGAAGAAGGCTGAAGAGATCGAAACGAAAGTCACATCTGGGACCGAAGAAACTACAAGCACGTCAACGGAGAGCGCAAGCTAACTGAGCTCGCAGCTGCAGCTTAAGAAAAGCAAGGAGGTCGGTCATATCCACCTCTAAAGCATAACCACTCGTAGTTGCATAGTTCTTATAACACCACGGCATTCGCTATCCTAAATCGTGCATCAGACTGTAGTATAGGCTGTCTCCAATACACTTTGTTTATCATTTTCGTTTGTGCATCCGGCTACCTGTGACCAAGATTACGCATAGATAACATCAGACAACGACCTAGAGCCTGGCCTTGACGAGAGATGCGTTTCGCGTCAGAATTGTTGCGGCTTCGGTCACCATGTTGTCGATAATTTGTTGAGCGGGCAGGACATCCTTGATGAGACCAGCGACGGCACCAGTAAGCCACGGACGAGTGGACAAAGAGATTTCTGGTCGCTTCTCCAACTCCTTCTCATGCGGAATGACACCCTGCGAAGTGAGCTGCTTAATCTCGTTCGTCCTATTCTCGTTCCAATCGACGACATAGTCGTTTTTGATTACCTATGAAACTTGAGCTGACTTACAGTGACCCGTGGGGATACTTACGCGCAGAGGGCGACCAGTGAAGATGACGGTGCGGACGGTACCGTCGATATCAGCCTTGACGATCCTGGACCATAGTCAGTCAGAGGAAGCTAACACAGTATGTTTATAACTCACTCTTCCTTGTGCTTCTTGGGTGCACCTGCCTCGGTCGCCGCGACGAATCGTGTACCGACCCATACTGCAGCAGCGCCATAGGAGAGAGCGGCAGCGAGGCCGCGTCCATCATACATCGCACCAGCGGCGACGACTTGCACAGGCTCGCCAGTTAGAGGCGACACCTTGCCCTTGACCTCGTCCAAGCATGCTGGGAGAAGGATAGTTCCAGCAACATCACCGGTATGCTAGATTTATATAGTTAGACATGTTCGAAACCGGCAGGTGACTACCTACACCGCCACCCTCGCCACCTTGAGCACAGATGAGGTCGACACCAACCGCCAGCGCCTTTGCGACATGCTTGGGATGGCCGACCATCTGAAAATCTTTAGGCGTAATTCATATGAAAGAAGAAACGGACGAACGTTCATGACAGGGATGCCAGCAGCATGAAGCTTGTCAACGATTGGTTTTGGTGGAACTCCGATGGCGCAAACGAAGAGCTTTGCCTTCTCTTCAATAATGACATCGATCAGTTCGCCAAGCTGACCCTTGGTGTAGTCGTACTGCCAAACATCGTGGTCAATTTCGATAGGCAGCAGGCTTCCAATACTCACGTTGGTCTTTCTCGCATTTCCACCAACCTGAGGGATGAGAAGGTCGACGCCGAAAGGAGCGTTCTTGTCCTTGAGCCCGTCCTTGAGGATCTTAATCTATATGTCGTCACTGGTGAGACAAGTACAACAGAAAGGTGGAAATAATCACACCTGAGAACGCAGAACTTTTGGTGTGTAGCCGACACCTCCAATAACTCCCAAACCGCCAGCATTCGTGACGGCAGCGGCCAACTCTGGACGTATGTTGGTACAGGCTGTATCCAACCGACTCGTCTTGCTCACCTGGACCAGCAGCAACATTCATACCTGAAGAGTCGCCGTGAGTTCAAGCTCGAAAACATCGTCAACAGGGACTAACCCGCAAGAATAATTGGGTGAGTGATGCCGAAGAGCTTTGTAATAGGTGTAGAGATGATTGGAGTGCTCATATTGCTAAACTTGTTTGTAGTAGAAAGTCGTGGAGGAGACCAAGAACGCGCACACGGCGGTTAGGCTAAGCGCAGAGTAACCGGTTGTGAATAACCGGAGCCATGGCTCTGTGACCGGTGTGATTCATTGCACCCTTTGCTCAATCATACTCGAGAAATACAGCTGCATGAAACTGCCAGACGACCTCCCCGATCCATCGGTGAGGGCAAAAAGCCACGAGACGTCTGGGTGGTAAACTCATGACAGCTATCTTACTGAGGAAATAAGTCCACGTTATGAAGAGAAGAGCATGCGCTTTCTATGGAGAGTAGTACGATTATCGACGCTTCTTGTCTACATCCTTCTCCGAATCTACACGCCAGCTGTACATGACGGTGCCTACGGCTACAAGAACTCCACCTAAACCAAGGCCTTTGTTCCACTGATTTCCCAGGAGCACGCTAAGGATGAGACTTAGAGCCTTTCGGGCGGTCAAAATCAGATTTGTTTGTACAGAGGAGACACTCTGAAAAATCATTCAGAATAGATCAAGCTTAACCACGGTGAACATACCGAAGCAAGACGATTGACACCCGATATGCAGCCGACTTGAGCGACCACGTTGATCGCCACTGTAATGTAGATGGCAGGAATGGGAGATGGGTCCACCTTTGCATGCCTTGCAAGTGTCGAAAGACCGGACCAGACGTCTCTCGACATGGCGAGGTACACGGGGAGTGCCAATGCATGCTACGATTATTGAGAACCAGGATGAAACACGATTGCTTATACGGACCGTATAAAAAAGACCCTCTTTCCAAACAGTTGGGCCGTATTTGTGGTAAGTCTTCTCTTGAAGGGTTCCAAGGATACCCGCAAGAAAGAGAGATGCCGTCATGACAATGATACCTTTGAAGTACCCAGAGGCGTCATAATATTCGTCACTGGCTACTGAAGGCGCTGGTCTAGAAAGCGTGGCAATTGCGACTCCACTGGACACAAGAATTACAGAAAACTAGTGTCGTGAGATACGATAGTTGGCCATATTGAAGAAACTCACTATTTGCTTAGATGTGTAGCGTTTGTCTAGGAATAAATATCCGAATATCATGGAAACGGCGAGACCAGAGGAGCGAAAGATGATTTGTAGTGTAAGAGGTATCTTATATACGAAGGTCCTGTCGAAATATGAGTATTGAAAAAGAGTGGAGGTAAACCCACCAATTGTTGAACAGATTCATCGAGGCAAGGACAAGAACTTGCAGCCCCCAAACTTGTAGGGATACAGTCGGACGCTCTAATTGAGGGAGCCATCTGAGGTAGGATACATTATGCTGGAAATGAAGAAATGTCGGGAGGTAATAAATCACGACAAAGCAGAGTTGCAAGACCGTAAGTGCTGAGCCTACAGGACGTGAATCAACGCTTATATTGAGAGTTTGAAAGACATACCAACACTTGAATCGTGCATTAGTAACTTCTCGAGTGTCCATGCATTACTGGAACGGCATCAGTATAAAGTCCGAGGTACCTTTGCAAAAGCCATTACCTGCAGCAGCCACCGAATACAAGCCCCAGTGTAAATAGATAAGACGAAGATGCGTCTTTATGATATATGGCATGCCCATTCGTGCTACTAGTACCGTTGGCGATTTTCTGGGGCTTTTTGCCGGCCATCCAGGGCTCGTGGAGAACACGTTGGTCGCCCGGGGGGCAAATGTATCTAGAAGAGTACGAGATAATACCAATAAGGACCGTGAGCGCGGGTACACGCGTAAAGGTTTGCGCTGGCGATGTTGTGTTGGCAGCCAAGGTGAGACTAAATGGCGCGCTGCCAGTCCACGGCTCAAAGACGAGACACTAAACATGGATATGAATTATTGCAAAATATTATACACTGAGAAGACTGTGCTAATGCTGTGATCAAGTCCGTCAATCGAGTCCATACTTTCTTCTCACAGATCGCCCGAGCACGCCAGTGGCCCGCGCAGGCCTTCTGGAGTTGCCTAGGGTGATGGTATCATCAGAGTTGTCAGCCTCTTCTGACCCTGCCATATCGATATCGTCCTGTAGGTCGCGCTGCCGTTTATCGCCTAGCCTAGATTTGGAGGGGCTGGGTGTTGACGATACACGGAGACGCGCTTGCAAGTCCTCTCTCGCCACTGCAAGCCCACCTTTGAGCGGAGATATTGGCGCAGGAGTAAACGTAAGCGTTCGGGGGGTGCTTGGCGTAGCAAATATGGTCGGTCTCGACGATATCGATGACGATGACTTTGGAGTACTTGGAACTGGTTGAGCAGAGGTAGATGCGGGCGGCGTTCGTCTTTCGATACCCATTGTCCTATTGGAGAGCATGAGCGATCAGACAAAGAAAATAGTAGTGTATACGCACGCTAGCAGCGTCTGCGCCTCCTCAAGACGTGCCTGTAATCGCTGATTATCGTGCGTGAGTTCGTCAACTCGGTTTGCCACTCGAAACTTTTGGCGTAGGTCCTTGGTCTCCATCTCCTTTTCGCGCGACTTGTACAGTTCAACCAATCTGTACAATGATTCGCGTTCTTTGGCCATCGCATCCTTCTCCTCTTGCAACTCTACATTTCTTGCCTTTTCCGCTCGTAGCTGTGCCTCCAGACTTCGGATAGTCGCTCTATCAGTAGCTTCTGTGTCATCCAAGTAGATTCTCCGGATGCATGGCGTGCAGTGTGGGCGCAACTTGCGCGGAATCAACGCTGTGTCCAACTGAAGGATTGGAAAGGGCGCTCGGCACGAAGGGCAGGGTATTTCGTATGTATCTTGAAGTTGGTATTCTTCAAACGTCTTTGCTAGACATCCTGAACAAAAAACATGCCCTAATGTTGACCAACAACGAGATTAGCCTTGTCCTTTCTCTACCAACGGACCTGTACAGACCACAAGGGATAGAAACTGGTTCATTATAGGGTTCGAAACAGATGCCGCACTGGAGTCCCATGATGTGACGCGTCTCCACGAGTTTGGTAGAGAGCAAAACACGTCTTTACCACTTTGATCCCAACCTCGTCAACGTCAACTTTTCAGATGGTTCGAATATCAATCCCAACACTTCCTATCACAACTTGGAGTGCAACAACGCGGTTGGCGATGAACGCACAAGAGTCTTACAAACTCCTCGAAGACTTTCTTAGTGGTGGTCCAGCAACGGTGCTGACTGGAGCTGGAGTGAGCGTCGATAGTGGAATACGTGCATATCGAGGTAAAGACGGACGATACATGAATCCTAATTATCAGTATGTTACATTCTCTTTATATCCCCTGTCTCCCTTTGACGCGCCACTAGGCCTATATTAGTCAGTCTACTAGCTATTAATATGTTTCTCGATCTCAATGTCACAGTATCAACAACTCATGGCACCTGGGAATGCCGGAAAAGCATTTCGGTCGGTGCAGTTGTCGCGTTCCTCCGCCCACGACTCACTGGTTTAGACAGAGATATTGGTATTTATTTCTACGCAGATTCGGTACAAGACTGATACCTCAAAGGGCGAGGTCATATCTTGGGTATCCACCTGGTGAGCAAGCTTTCGATCCGCGTCTGTCGATCAAGTACCGATTCTGTGACAGTGCGCGAGGCGAAGCCGAATATTGCACATTACAGTCTGACTGCTCTTGAGCATCATGGATTTGTCAACCGGCTTATAACCCAGAACGTTGACGGGTTGCATGCCCGATCCGGTTTTCCCAAGGAGAAACTCTTGGAGTTGCACGGGACGCTCTTCGTAAGTATCAAATCACCTCGCTGCCTTGTAATAACGAAGGTAGGTAGTCAAATGTCGACAAGGCCACGAACTCGACCGAGATGAGTTCCAGGACATGCTGTCAGAAGCGAACCCATCGTGGAAGGCATTTGTAGATGATATGAATGCACAAGGAGAATCATTGCGGACAAACCCGGATGGAGATGTAGGTCTTGCCAGCGCTTGCTCCTGGCTAACTGCGTTTAGATCGAATTGGAAGGTCGCTCCTATGAAGACTTTGTGATCCCTCCATGCCCTACTTGCTTGAAAGAGGGCCGTCATGAAACGACTGTGGGTCAATTTCCCTCCCTCAGAAAGGCATGCTGAGCAGGATTGTTCAGATCAAACCAGACGTTGTGTTCTTCGGAGAGACGATTCCAGAATACAAGAAACAGCAATCGTCAGTATTCACTCACATTTGGATTACCTACGCTGAGAACAAATAGTCTACAAGAAATCTTGGATGCGGACCGGTTTCTTGTAGTGGCGACAACGATGGCAACATACAGTGCCTATCGGCTATTACAGCTTGCGCACCAAAATAAGAAACCAATCGTAATAGTGAATATTGGGCCGACCAGAGGGGATCACCTGCAACTGCCTCAGATTGAGTTACCATGCGGAGATGTACTGAAGGAATGCGCACTCCGACTATCGTACGTATCATTCTAGAATTCTGGTGACTGCTCAACCCCAATAGTCGTCCAAATGATGACCAAGGTCGAAGGCTGCTTGATGTATTGCGTTCTTGGCCTGTAACGACTAAAATCTAAGGATTTATTTTGCGTAAGATGCATTTTCATGCTGATTCCATTCAAATTATCGTGCCATGTTAGTATTGCGACTGTCACTCAGACCTGCCACTCTTACCTGATCTGCACCACGTCAGCCCACTGGGCAGAAAATAGCAAAATGCCAAGTGATCGAGACACTCTTCTAAGCTTCGGATTCGATCCAGCACGGATTGATTGTCAGCATTGTCTTCGCTCATTCCAGGCGTCTACTGACAGGCAAAAGGGGCATTGAAGGCAACGGCTGGGCGGGGTTTGCAGCCTGCTATGGATCACATACTAGAGAACGAAGGAAAGCCTATTCCTGAGACGGTCACCTCTACAGGTGAGGACGCAAAGGGCAACAATGATGAAGATGAGGACATGAAGCTGGCGCTCAGCATGTCCCAAGAGGGTCAAGAAGCAAAGGTAATGCACTATGCACAACTACGCCACCAAACCTTTCATTTCGACATACCTGCAGTCCATCAAATGCACAGAGTGTGGCAAAGTATTCCGTAATACCGCCATGGCGGAATTTCATGCTGAAAAGTCTGGTCATGATCAATTCGAGGAGAGTACAGACGAAGTCAGTCCAAGAAACTCGAACTATAAGTGTCCTGACATGGAGTAGATCAAGCCATTGACCGAGGAGGAGAAGAAACAAAAGCTTGCCGAGCTAAGACAAAAGATGGCAGAGAAGCGAGCGAAGAAGAATGAAGCGGAAGCTGAAGAACGCAAAGCCAACGAGGCTCTGAGGAGAAAGGCTGGAAAGGATGCAGGCCAGATTCGGCAAGAACTACAGCTCAAAGAGGCCAACAAAGAAGCCGAGCAGCGGAAAAAAGGTATTAACGTTGTGGTGGTGATAGTGGCCAGGTATCTAACATTTTGTATAGAGAAACTTGATGATGCAAAAGCTCGAGCTGCAGTTAAAGCCCAGATCGAAGCTGATAAGAAGGCAAGGGCTGAAAAAGCAGCGAAGGAGAAGGCGCTGCGAGAGGGTCAGGCCTTGCCAGTGGCGTCCACCTCTACCGCGAGTTCGCAGCCTGCTGCCGCACCAGGAGCCAAGAAGGAATATCCTGAGACGAGGCTCCAGGTAATTCAATCCTTTACAATCTTTATCTTGTCCCACCTTTTGCGATAGCTCCGACTCTCCACTGGTGGCGCCCCGTTGACTGTAACCCTGCGTAGCGAACAGAGTGAGTGGAACATCTGCAAGCTTACGGTGCCTCAAATTTTTTAGCATTGCAAGATGTTGCCGAATACGTCGCCTCGCAGTCCCTTAGCTTTGACGTAGAGACAGTAAACTTTGCAACGACATTCCCGAGGTATAAATTCCTTCCCACCTACATTGGTTAACTCACAATCCGACAGAAAGGTATACACTCGTGCGGATTGGAGCAAGACGCTCAAGGAACTTGGACTGACTCCTTCTGCGGTACGTTCTCTAGTATCGTCCTAGAGATGTACTAAAAGGGGACCAGGTTCTTATGGTCTCCTAGTTTATGTCTACACTCGTCTGATAGCCTCTTGATAACTTTGTGGATTGAGGCTGGCTTAAAATCAAAGCATGTATCTGAAATGAGAGTGAATTGGAATTATCTTGGTTTAGCTATCATGCACATGTGCCGCCGATGGGTGGAGGAACCTCTTACTGACCGCGCCATTTCGGATAGACAAGAAAACTAGTTTGGAGAGTCAGACTGCCGCGGATCATGTCCAACGAGGTACAAAATGGAGGTCAAGATTCGTATTATCCTACGCATACTGGCGAAGGGGACGCCTCGCAGCCCATGACGCTGGATTCTTTGCAAGATCCGCCTCCTGGAACTAAACCGCGGTACCCATATAGTACTTTGATTCGGTATGTTGTCATATACGCGTAGGACGTATGCCCTAGTCATCCCGCTCATGTGCTGCTCGTCGTTGAACCAGATATGCGATCAAAGGATCTCCAAATGGTCGCCTACTGCTTGAAGAAATCTATTATGCGCTTGGTGAGGTGGACATAAACCCTTTGATACCTGTTGCTGAATTTTCGCGTATTTCCCAGAGAATCGGTGAGCACCCATCCACAAATCACACTGTTGGGAGCATGAGCGAGACTGGACTGATGTTCGCGCGTGGCAGGTTTCCGTATTTCAGAACGGCACCGTCGGGGTGGAAAGTAAGTCTCATTTTGTTTGTTTTTCCCTGTTTTCCGTTCGCGACTGGCCAAACACGACCAACGTTGTGTGGCACGGTTTGCCCGCCGCTGCTTTCCGTCTAGTCTCCGGATTTGAATACTGACTTGTGTATTACAAGAACTCTGTTCGGCACAATCTCTCGCTCAACCCATCCTTCATCAAGGTACCCCGCCCGCTGACCGACCGTGGCAAGGGGAGTTTTTGGTAAGATAATAATGTCCATTCAAGTTGAATAATGGCTCATGGATATACAAGGGCACTCGATGAATCGGTGGACCCCAGGTGAGCCCCACTGTCCTCTTAAGTTGGCATCCATATAAACCTGCCATAGAACTGGTGTGCACCGAGTTCGCAAGAGACGTGGAGGAGCAGAACGTGGTGTCGATGCTGGATCTTCTCATGCGGCCGGGCACGTAGAGCACTACTCTCCCTATCCGTACATGGCCTATGGAGACCCGGCGCACGCACAGGCATACGGATACGCGCAAGTCTCATTCCATTCGACCCATTATTTGCTAACCAGGTGAATAGGATGCATCCTGGGCTTATTCATCCAGCGTATGATGTTGACCCCGCCGACCCAAGCGTACTCGCGACAAACAAGACTTATTATCGGGAGCAATGGTTCGAGGATGTCAGACGCCTGGAAGAGTACGTGAAGGAAATGGAAGAAAAGGGAATCGCCGATTACGAGTTTTGGAGGGCGATGTACATGCGGCTTTACAGGGCATTCGCTCCGGAACCCATGTATGCACCTCATGGGATGCATCCAGGAATGGATCCATCGATGCAAGAAGGTACACACGAGGGAGACCATGGAGACGAGCTCGAGGAAGAAGATGAGTGACCGAATATAGGCTCTGTCTTGGTACATATTTTTTTCAATCAAACCACATATTAGAGATGCGATAAAGCAACTGGAATTCTCGCCCACTGGCGTAGACGTTGGCGCGAGACTAACTCTTCACCATGACGAATGTACAAAAGCCAATAAGCAGGAAACGAGAATTGACGAGTACAGAACATACTACAGGTACTAGGGTGGGAAGTAATGGCTCTGGTGAATCTCCACGACCCTAGATGGGTCAAAATAAACAGCACAGACAAGAGAGGATGGATAGTCATACAGCAAGCTTGATTCGACGGCGGTCAAAGTCGAGGGAGGGAAAGAACCGGAATATGTTTCCAATATTGTCGCGGCTGGGACGCGATCACAGGGTTCAACGAAAATGGTCGAGCGTTTCTTCTATGGGCAGTTTTTGAAGGAGTGTTGGGTCCCAAAAATGGGGGATAAAGGAGAGGTATCGGTATTCGATATAGGAAAACAAAATCGCGTAGGTTCTCTTGGGTAGGAGCCATACGTCAGACGCATGCAGCTTTATGCCTAACCGGTCACCGAATCCGCCGGGTCGTTGATGAACATATTGTATGTATCCTCTCCTGTACCGATGCCGAGACCAAAGTCCAAGGTGCTGAACGAGTCTTCGTGAAAGCCCATCATTTGCATATCCAGGCCCGAGAATGGCACTCCAAGTGCCATGCCAAACAGGTCGTTTGAGTTGGAGTCCATTGTGGCTGGATTAACTGAGGGACCTCCGAGTAGGCCCGGAGCGAGCGAAGGGTTGGTAGGTGGCCCACCTAGCGTGTTACCCGGACCCGAAGGTGCACCAGGGTAGCTCCGAGCTAGCATGGCACTTTGATTTGGTGTTGAGCCTACGGCTGGCGCCCCATTGATGGTAGCAGTCGAAGGCCGAGCAGTGGCAGTGGCAGAAGGTGATTGACTTTGCGGACGACTGGTTTGTTGTGGGGTGGCTAATTGACTCGGGGACGGTGCAGACATTGTCGATGGAGCCCCGGTCGTTGGTGCTGGTCCCGCAGCGGACGCCGAAGGTGTCGGAGCTGAAGGCATGGCTTGCGGTGTCGAGCCGGGGTTGGGTCTGCTCGCTGGACGAGCCATCTCAGGCGAGAACCCATCGACGCCACTCGGACTGGATTCATCCTTTATGCCTCCAAGCCCTCGTGGTACAGCGCCGCTCATGATCGGTGTTCCCTTTGCCGACGGGACTTGACCTCCCGCCGCTGGGGAGGGAATAGACGCGTTATTTGGTAGTGGAGGTGGGAGCATTGCGCCTTTGGGAAGATTGGTGCCTCCAACAGGCGGTCTCCCAAACTGCCCGGTCGGATCCGCATTAAGGGGTTGTGAAGGATTAGGGATTGACGGCGGCATTGAGCCATTGGAGGTTTGAGTGGGCTTATAACCAGTAAATGCCTGCTGTTGGAGGGAGGCAAAGTACTGTTGGTTTGCTTGTTGGGATGGCGGCGGTGCAGATTGTAATCTCTGGTTTTGAGCCTGCATGAGCTACCGAAATGTCAACAGGAATTCAGCATATACGCGTGAGTGACAGTACCTGAGCCATCTGTCCGGCCATTGTCGGAGTTTGCAAGGGGTCTGGGTAAGGCGGCGCACCCAAATGATGAGCAGACGGATGAAGAGCTTGTGGATGGGGAGGTATATTTCCCTTTGGCGGGATCATGTTAGATGGTAGGGGGCGCGGACCCACTGGCGGCTGGACGGGTGTGATAGATGGAGTGCTGGGTAAAGTGTTTCCTGGTTCTTGAGATGCACGGCGTGGCTTCTTGCGATCCGATGGCGAATCTCCCTTTGGTAGTGATTCCTCCTAGAGAATGTATTCAGTCATATGTCTATCAGCGAGAAAAGATGACCAACTCCTCCAGGAGATCCTCGTTTTGTCCCTCGTGGATTCTTTCCCCGACCACTTTGTTCATGTAGTTCACGAATTTGCATCTGCGGTGCAAAGGGTTGAGTTGAAGAGTTCCCCCCCTCAAAAATCAGTGAAGATGACATACCTTGACATGTTCTGGAAGTGTATTCGCGTCATTCGTCATTGGATGGCCCATGCGCGAAAGATACTCTTGGAGTTGTGGCGGGGGAATGTCGGCGAGGTTTATGCCATTGGATTGCTGTGGGCTGGACGAAGCGCCTGCCATCTGTGAATCTGCCATCTGCGGAGAGCTGGATTGCCCACCAGGGCCTGGTCGCGCATTGGGTGGAAGAGGTGGATGAGGGCCCGTGTTTGGGACCATTCGGGCCTGGCCCGGATGCGCAAACTGCGCTCCTGACGGCATTCCTGGGTTTCCTGGACCTGTATAAGGCCTTGTTTGGCCCGGTCGAGGTGGTCCTAAATGTTGTAGGCTAGGATTCTGGAGCGGGGTTGGACCAGCACCGGAAACGCCGGCCATGTTCGCTGTCGGTGCAACACCATTCATAGTCGGTATACCGCCCGGAAACGGTGGACCATGGCCATTGACGGCGGCTGGATGAGGACCTGTACCGTTCATATACAGTGGTCGAGCAGCACCCATGGGTCTTAGAGTCGGTCCAGGTCCCAGAGCGCCTTGGTCATGCGCGGCGAGCTTCTGAAGATGTGGCAGCCTCTGTTTTCGAATGTCAGACTAGATGATCAAAAAGATGACAACACGTGGGCGGCGCACTTGAGCATACTCCTTTGCGACGGGATTGGCCGACTTTTCGGGTTGCACTCGAGCAGTATAAATCTCCCAGAAGCATGTCCACCACCTATCAATGACGTTAGGGTGCGGTTGCCGTGACTGCGTGAGGATGCTTACTCGTATAACAAGCCTTCTGGCGAGTCGACTGGCGGTTTTTGCTTATCGTTGATCTTGCTTTCTTTCCGCAGATGCGCAGACGTTTCCGTGAATCCCCTTTTATCGCAATAATCGATGATATAACGAACGAGGCTGCAGAACGTCCGGTGAGCTTGTACGGAGAGAATGCGGCGATACTGCTACGAGTACCGGTGAGAATACGAGTACTTACATCTCATGTCCATTCTGCGTGATGTTCATCTGCCTCTGGTCTCGCAGGTAAGTTTGAGTTGGCTGCTGGACGACTTGCGCCGCCGCCATGTGAGACTGCGCCATGTTTCAAAGCGTCCGGAACGCCTTTGGAATGTTTTTTGGAATTATTGCAGTGGTATCGGAGCGCAAAATCGAGGCCGACGCCGTGGTATGGAGGCAACGCGCTGGACCGGCAGATGATGTGAAAGCGCCCTAGCAATCGCGCGGGACTGCCAGATAAATGCTCCAAGCACAGTCAATGGTAGCGCCCAGCTGGTGGCAGGCCAACAAGGCTCAAATGTCGGTGCGGTTCAAGGTCAAGATTACAGTCTATTGCACAAACAAGACGCTCTAATCGCGGCCCAGCAATCGACGATGCTTGTGTACCATCTCCTCTTTTTTTCTACTCTTTTCTTGTTCCCTCGCTTCCTCTCCGGGGCTCGATGACGATCATCGGTGGATGCACAGGGCGGCCCCCCCTTTTCGCCCCCGCCGAGCCATTAGCATCCACCGGGCTACGATAAGCCGGGCGGGAATAGCGTCTGATATTGTAGAGGTGAGCAAGACCATACAAAGAGGTTGCAAATCGTAGGCAGACGAGAGCTCCAGCTCGCCGTGGATGATGCAGATCAAACTCGACACCTCAAAACCCAAAGCCCTGCGAGTGAGAATGGGAGTGCCCCCGGGATCCTCCTGGGAAGGATGATCCAAAGGGCGAGCCCCCATAACCGCCCCCTCCACCGCCAAACATCTGTGGGCCCGTTTAGGGGGAACAGCGCGGAAAGACAGAGCACTCGCCTGTGCAAAGAGCATTTCACTAATGTCAACCCCTCCAGGGAAGCCTCCTGCGCCTTGCGAGTTCATCTGTCCATCAATGTCCTCTCCCATATCGTATCTACAAGAATGAGAATAAAATCATTTTTGGGTGCAGAATAACTGACCTGTGCCGCTTATCTGGGTCAGAGAGTACGGCATGGGCTTCTACGACAAGCTTGAAGGTTTCCTCGTCGCCACCCTGACAAAGTATGAGAACGCCCCAAATCTGAAAAGAAACGAGGAGAAAACCTTGTCTGGATGATGTTTCATCGACTCCTTCCTGTATGCCTTTTTGATGTCCGCTGTCGTCGCAGAACGCGCCAGACCTTGGAGGTGTCAAGGGTCTGTAAACAGTACAGTCGCATACATACCTAGAATCTCTGCAAGATTATGAGTGGAGGAACGAAGAGAAAAATAGTGCACTTACTGTAATAGTCCTTCTCCTTTGATCGCTTCAGGAGCACTTCAGCTTTGCGTAATTCCTCTCGAATCTCGCTCATCGCATTTCCATGGCCTTCTCCAGCCTCTACAAGCTCGAGGGCCTCTTTAAAGTCGGAGATGGCCACCTCAAAGTCGTCCTGGGCGAGGCGAATTCTTGCTCGTGTGCGGACCGCTTTCCAGTTGTCGGGATGGAGTGTCAACGACATGGCAATATCTTCGAGTGCACTTTCATACGCCTCAGTCGTGGCAATCTTGCTAAAGGCTATCGCCCGATTGCTCAGCAGTATTGCGCGAATGATGCCACCTCTTCCTTCTTCCGGACTGGAACCAACAATTTCCAACGCTTCGGAATACTTGGACACAGCATCGTTCCAGTTACTCCGCTTAAAGTCATTGTTCCCTTCCTCTTTGACTTTTTCCAGTGCCCTGACCCGCTTGAGCAGCTTGCGTGCCGCAGCATGCTCTGGGTCCAATGTGAGCGCCTGCCGCAGTATGCTAGTGGCCTCTGTAGGTTTGTTCGTGAGGAACAATAGCTGACCACGCAGAGCGTGCACGTCTGGCGAGTTGCCTTCACACCGCAGTGCATCACGAACGGCATCCATAGCCGCATCCCAGCTACCAGCTGCTATTCTAAACTCAATTGTCCAACACCTCCACTGTGTCGGCACATCTTTACCCTCTCCTTCGAGCATCTTACGTGCCGCATCGAGCGCCGCGCTGGCCGTTGACCACTCTCCTTTGACGCGTGCCTTTGCCACCGAATCGAGATGCCTGAGCATGGTCTCTGCATTCGATTTGAGCTGCCATAGGTCCCTACTCGGCTCTGCGTTGAGTGCCTGTGCCTCTCGGAGCGTACTGAGTGCAGGTTCAGGCGAGCCCGTGGCGAGTTGACATCGCGCTAATCTCAACAATGTCTTCAGCTGGGGGGATTGTTGCTGTAGCGAACGAGCTTGTTGACAATCTTCCAGAGCCAGACGGAATTGTTTGAGAGCGATACGTGCAGCCGCACGGTTGGCGTGATATGCTGCCTGGGAAGGATCTAGATCTACAAAGAACTCAACAAATCTGTCCAACGACGACGCGCCGAGTGTGAGCTACGTACCGATGGCCTCTGAGTAGAGCTTGGTGGCCTCTTTGTAGTCTTGAGCTTTAAAGGCCGTGTTACCGCGCTCTTTGAGACGATCAGCTTCAGCAGTCTTGTCTATTTTCGTTTCCTCGACTAGTTGCTTGTTTTCCTCTGGCGGCGTCGAGCTGCTAGCGGCTTCATTACTCGTCGCGGATGGCGCGGGTGTATCGACAGGTGCTTCGTCTGTGACTGGGATCGGAGACGTTGTAGATTCACGCTTTTCCGCGCTTGAACCAGCCTTTTTCTTCTTTGCCATGAGGCCTCTGGGCGGGTAGTGGTCAAAGGTTGTTCGACGCGTCTCTTTTGGAATCGGTCATGTCCATCTCCCGCGAACAGCAAGCTCTGCTAATCCAAGCTGCGATCGAAGGTGAGTATACAACTCGTCGTTGAAACTCGCAGTGTTCCAACAGTCGCAGCCAAACAAGGTGCCTACGCGCCATACTCGAAATTTCGTGTGGGCGCAGCTTTGTTGGCATCAGATGGATCGATTATCAAGGGTTCAAACATAGAAAACGCATCCTATGGTGCGCGACGGCCTTGATTGGCCGCTTCTTACTTTCTGCCTAGGGGGAACCATCTGTGCGGAGAGAACAGCGATCGTCAAAGCTGTGGTATGTCTATTAGTATCATGTTCACTTCTCGCCTTATATAATACGTTTGCTAGAGCGAGGGCACACGCTCATTTATCGGATTGGCCGTTACGACGTAAACCAACATCGCTCAGGGTATACAAGAACTCATACGAGTTTAGGGACGTTGCAGCAACAATATCCCCTTGTGGAATCTGTCGTCAAGTACTCCGCGAGTTTTGCCCACTGAAGATGCCCATCTTCCTTGTGTCAGCGGCCTACGACCCTTCGCAAGATTCCAGTACAGATGAGAAGAAGACGTTGCTGGAGACGACATTGGAGGGGCTTCTCCCTCACTCCTTTGGTCCCGAACATTTGGAGATACCGCGTCAGGGGTGACTGCTCGCGGTCTGCTAACAGAAAATGTGTATTTGTTGAATACATTTCGTAAAGACGAGGTGACAGTGGGACATCAATCTATTCTTCTCCTGTTGCCACCCAGCCTCGGTCTCCAATAGATAGACGGCCAAGAATCCCTTAAACTCTCCGAATGAGCACCGAAAGCTTTACTGCGGTGGCCAATCGAACACCAGGCCATGTTCACATCGTATTGATCGCCACAGGGAGCGTTGCCTCGGTCAAAATCCCGCTCATCGTCAAAGAATTGCTTCAAGTACGAACTGGTGTTGATATGATCACGATGTAGGCTGACAAAGAGCGTTGTGGTAGCACAAACGAGTCAAGATTCAAGTTGTGGCAACAAAGGCATCCCAAGTCTTTTTCGATTCGACTCGTTTAAAGGCAGAACACGGTGTCAATATCTGGCAAGACGAGGATGAGTGGACGGCGAGTCTTGTCAGCAACAAGTTTGCTCATTTACTAATAAAAGACAGTCGTGGAAGAAGATGGGGGATGCCATTCTGCATATTGAACTGAGGAGATGGGCAGATTTGGTGCTCATCGCTCCTTGTTCGGCGAATACCCTTGCCAAGTTGGCTGGAGGACTGTGCGACAATCTGGCAACATCTCTCTTACGTGCCTTGCCTCCGATTCAGACCGACGTTGAGCAGGCAAGCCTCATAGCTGATCGTCCGGGTGAAAGCACCAGAGTCGAGGTCTGGGTGTTCCCAGCGATGAACACGCTGATGTACGAGCATCCACTGACTGCTATGCATCTAAAAGTAGTCAAAGAAACCCTCAAGTATCGCGTGGAAGGACCCATAGGTGTGTATTTGCCCTCGGATCTGAGACTGTTGCTGATTCCCCCTCTGTGAGCAGGAAAGGGGCTAGCATGTGGTGATGTGGGATTAGGAGCAATGACAGAATGGAAAGACATTGTCAAGATGGTCGTCGACCATTATCGTCTGGAACGGAGCCACTAGTAACCCGGCAGCTCCGGCATGCCAAAAGCCACTAGGAATTTTGTACTAAGACGTCTCGTATTTGATACCCTTTAGCATCTCCGCTCTGAGGAGCTAAAACGTGGCCGTGGATTGTTTGGGAAGGATTGTTCTCCCGTCTTTCTGCGCGGCGAACGGCATACGTGACAGCCAATGACCGTCGAGTTTATTCAGTCGTTGATTGATATTTACATTTGGTCCAAGGCGCGCCGCCTGCCATCCGTTTTGGGCACTCGTTGTCTTTCGACACCCCGGCCGCCGACATCCTGCATGACTTCCATTTTGGTACGAGCCTAAGTACAAGACGATTGATTTATAGTACAAGACGATAAAACCCAGTGCACATATCAAGTTTCTCTACTCCCTCTTGCGCGCCCCCGTAGTGTGTGCTCTCCGCCCCCTTACCGCCTGGCATCCTATTGCACGTATATAGCCATCCCCAGGGCCTTTCAGTGCGTTTGCTCCCGTCTCCTCCAGCGTATTCAAGAGCTAACCATGCGTGTAGCACTCTCTCAGAGCACCCCTTCACCTACGACCATGGCTCAAGCATTTACTCTTCCTCCACCCCCTCATGCGCCCCGTCGACACGCGAGCAGAGCTCAACTCCATCATCCTTCGACCACGACTGTTCGACCGGAGCCAAGTGTGCCATCAATGCCAACCCAAGCCCCTCGAGATGTAAAGCCTGTGCAAGTCTCCCAGCCATCTGCTTCAAAGCCCATGGATACGTCTTCGAACGCAGACGCGTCGTCTTCCTCTCGTCAAGGTCGCTCCTTTAAACGTTCACTCAAAGCCGCCTTTTCTCGCTCTGCCCCCTCTTCCCCCGAACGTACTCCTGCTGCCCTCCCCGAATTCCCATCCGAGCTTGCGACAACCGTTGCGTTTGTTAAGAACAAGTCCGAGTCGACAAAGCCCGCCAAAAAATCAAAGTCTTCCAAGAAGAAGGACACCGAGGTTCGTTACCATGCCGAAAGCAAGAACCATCGCCCCGTCACATATCAGACCGCCGTCGAGCTCAATATGCTCTTGGGCGGTGGCAGTGCGGAATACTGGCTAGCCCAAACTCGGCAGACGGGCGAAGAGGACGATGGGGTGGGAAACGGTGTCGAGGTGGGCGGATTCCAAGACGACAGTGGCCAGATTTGGTGGGATATGCAAGAAAAGGTCGAATTCACCTCGTTGCTCCCCAAGGACGCTCAGGGAGCGCCTGTTCACCATACGGACGATATGTGGGTCGAATTTGACAATGGCGGTCGACGGAACAGCACTAGCAGCAGCAGTGCACAGTCGACTATTAGCTACCTCAGCTCTGAGCTAGAGGAAATAAGTGGCTCGCTCTTCTATGGCTATGGCGCACCGGAGATGGAGGCCCTCTCGTCCGCATTTCACGCAACAACATGCGACTGCGGCGACCGTCTTGTTCCCAGTGGAGATTAACGGAGACGAGTCGGCGTCGTCGTCGTCTGAGCTTGCAATTGCCCGCTCCGTCATCGCGCAGGCCAACCGACAAATGTACAACAAGTCGGCGGTTGTGCTTGCAGATGGATTCGAGGATCATTTCCTCTCGTACGAGTCGGAGACAAACGCAAAGCGTATCAACCAGCAGCCAGCCGTGCAAGTGAGCATGGTCAAGGCGACAAAGTCCAAAGGCGGGCTGTTGAAGAATCTGTGGGGCAGCAAACAGACTGCCCACTGATTAATATGATGTTTATCATGGTCTTTCATCTTCGTTCTACCGTGTTTCGTCTATGCCTTTTTGTGTTGTACATCACTCGTTTACTCTCAGTCTCTCTACTTCTGTTCTTTGATAATCAATCAACTTTTGCCCCTGCACATCTCGTCTTCGTCAGCAATTTGATATTTCTTCTCCGTGCTTCTCGGACCGGAGTTGGCTAAGCCGCCTATAAAGTTTCGACGTCGTTCGACTTTGACCCAACCCACGATGCCCTCAATGGAAGCACCGACCAAAAGAGCGCCAGACGAGACGACTGCGCTCATTCCTCATGGAATTATCAAGACGACTGCAAAGGGAAAGGAGCGTGACAAAGCCATGGACCAACACCAGTAGTATGTCAAGAGCCGACTCGCCTAGGCCATGTTCTGACAGAGTTGCAACGCATAGCTACGAGTTTGGAGGTCCCTGGGGAGTCACAGCAATGATGCTCTTCTTCCCTGTACTCATGTACTATTTCTGGATCTGCCTCTGGTTCTACGACGGCCAGTTGACCCACCCGCACTCTCTCAACGATGTTGTACCGTTTATTCAGCGCATGTGGGGTCATGTAAAAAAGGTATGTCCATTCAATTGCCTCGGACAGTATGACCGACGACCTTTCCCAGGACGCTGCTCCGACGCCCTATACTTTTGCCATCTACACCGGTCTGATGGCCTTTGAGCTTGCTCTCGCATTTGTCATGCCTGGTTACGAACAACAGGGTCTTCCCGTGCCCTCCCTCAACTACAAGACGTTGACTTACCATTGCAACGCCTTGTCCTCTTTCTATGCGACTCTCTTCACCGTTGCTGTACTCCATGTCACTCACATCTTCCGTATCACCGACATTATGAACAACTTTGGCTCGATGATGACTGTAGCCATGATCTGGGGTTGGGCCGTCTCGTTCCTCACCTACTATATCACCATCTGGAAGGGGCAGCAAATGCGCATGTCTGGCAACTTTTTCTACGACTTTTGGATGGGTGCTCCTCTTAACCCACGCATTGGTATCGTTGACCTCAAGATGTGGGCCGAAGTCCGTATTCCTTGGGTCCTCCTTTTCCTCATCGCTGTATCGGGTGCCTGCAAGCAATACGAAGACTATGGCTATGTCACGCCGGTAAGTGGATTTTAAATCACGACTACTCGTCCTGACTTTGCTAGAACATGGCGTTCATGGTCCTTGCCACTGGCCTGTACATCAACGCTTGGTGAGTACACAACTTCACCATGGGCGACGTCTACTGACTCTTGCCTAGTGCCAAAGGTGAAGAATGTATTCCTCAGACCTGGGATATGTACCACGAAAAGTGAGTAAAGCGTCGAATTCGGCAGGCAATCTCTAAACTATCCAAGATGGGGCTTCATGATCATCTTCTGGAACTTTGCCGGAGTTCCTTTCGTACGTCGATTTACTCTAGGTTTCTAACATCAATCGTCTGATCGGTTGACAGACCTACTGTTACTCCGTCGTCTACATGGCTTCGCACGATCCCTCCACGTATCGTTTCAGCACACCAGTCTACGTCGCGCTCTACGCCCTCCTCTTAACCGCATACTATATGTTCGTACCATACACTCCGCATTCTGCTCCTCTCTAACGTTGACCAGCTTTGACACCTCGATGTCCCAAAAGAGCCGTTTCCGCATGCAAATGCAGGGCATAACAAAGTTCCGCAAAGCGTTCCCTCAATTACCCTGGAGCATTGTCAAGAATCCCACCTTTGTCCAGACAGAACACGGGTGCGCTACTTGAATTCATTTTGGTATCATAGACTCACTTTGTGATAGAAATCGCCTGCTCACCAGTGGCTGGTGGGCTTATGCTCGCAAAATTGTACGAACACCACTTGAGTTCTGGTTTCCGAGATACTAATCTTTCCTTTTCAGAACTACACTGCCGACTGGTTCCAATCACTCTCCTGGGGTCTCTGCGTCGGCTTTGTGTCGCCAATCCCATACTTCTATCCTGTATTCTTCCTCGTCGTCCTCGTCCACCGCTGTGGCAGGGACTTTGAGCGGTGCGCGATGAAGTATGGCGAGGACTGGAAGAAGTACTGTGACATTGTCAAGTACAAGTTTATCCCTTATGTTTACTAAGGGATGCATAGGTCAGGCCAATTCTTTTCCATTGGGCCCTTTCCTTGCACAATTTCTCTGTCGTCAAATAGAATTCTGTTGCAACAAGTATCCTCGATTCGTAACATGAAGTCATAAAACTCATAAGAAATTATGCGCGGCGCTAGGGTTTCTACTCGTATGGCATGTTTTGAACGCTATCCACCATGGCATTCCAAATTCGAAGAGTGCCCTCATTAAAGTCCCTCTCTTGGGCTGCCCATGTCTGAATGGCAAGAGAGAGGAGGGCATGCTCGCGATTGTGATAGACCACCCTGAATTCGTGCCACAAGCTAACAGGACGGTCAGCCGTATTCGAGATGATGCAATCGCAAAGGCCTACCATGAACGAATAAAGACGCGACGTGCTAAGCATGCCACGATGGCTGCTCTATCCTTTTCGATGCTACTCGTCAGTTTCTCCGCTTCAGCTTCCCATCCATTAGCTTGTGCCGCTTTGACATTTTCTAACTTTTGTGATTGCGTTTCCACCCGCTTTCTCAGGCGGTCGGCATTGTCTGGTGCATATTTATCGTGCCTTGAAAAGAGGTCTCGCACGGCGACGTAGAGATCCCGTTGCATCTTGAGCGCCTCGACGTTGTTATTGATGGCAACACGGGACTAGAATATTGTTGAGTGATTGTTATAAACAGAGACTCTTGCTTACTCGCTGCTCGATCGTATCCGCCAGCGTATTGAGATGACCAGAGACATTCTCTACACCTAGTCGAACTCCGATAGCGAGTTGGCTTGTTGGAAGACCCCAAACATCAGAGGCGCCGCTACCCTCTGTCAAAGCATTGAGGGAGAGTGTTGTACGGGCAATGTCCGACTAAAAGCTTGTAAGAATATGGCCGAGGACCCAACAATATACAGACCGCCGCAGCCTCGCGTCTCTTTACAACTCGCTCTGTGATAACGCATATCCTCGTCCATTGCTCAATGAGCATTCCAATTCTCTGGCGTGTAGTACTGGGGTACTCAGCTTTCGCGTTCAGAAATAGGATTGACTTACGCAAGTTTCTCTTCCAAGTTACTGGGGATACTCATTTCGTCCATCCTGTCCACTCTCTTTGCAGTTGATTCTTCATCGTAAGAGATGGGGGTCCGACGTTTCCATGCTTCAAAGTCTGGCTCTGACAGAAACACTGCCAACACGCCGTCATCTTTGATGACGGGATGATTACTATGGTTGGATTCAGCATGGTAACAGATCCTTGTGCTGATCACTCACACAACAAAGTTAAGGAAGCGTATCAGCCCTTTCCTGTTTGATGTGAGCAATAGAATTCAAGGAGGAGAAAGATCATACCGTCGTTGTTCAATGAATGATTCGTCCGCTGACCGGATGTGAGACACAGATCAATAGGTGTAAGAAAACCTACGGCCAATTCGTTTCGGGGGGAGTTGAGGCAATATGCGAAAAGGATAACGCCGTACCAGCACATCCCACAAAAAGGCAAATTCAGAATACCTGTATGCTGTTAGAGAAGTAGGTTATCCTGTGCTGCAGCCAACCTTCGATGCACAGCGGCTCCTCGTGAAAACGAATGGACCGAATAGACCATATATCTGTTAAAAAATGGGCCTTGTTGCCCATATAAGGTGACATTGATCTGTTCGAGTCCTTTCCACCATTGCGGAGGGAGGCCACTGTTCAGAATGGAAGCCGTTGCATGACCAGCTCGCGTCGTGTCCCAAGCACCACGACTCCCAGCAGTCCATGGATCAGGTTCATTGTTATAGACAGGTCCGGGTCGAGGGGGCGGAAATGTCGACTTGACGGTGGATGCGGCAATGGTGTTGAGCGCAGAGGTGTCAAGCTCGGGGATGGGCAGCTGATTGTCCTTTGCGAGACTGACGACATTCTCAATCGTGACGTCTATGTAATATGTTTGGTTAGCACGCAGCAGAATGCCTGTCAGAACTGCGGACCTTTGCCTTGCTGCGAGAGAGCAACCAGAGCTAGCGCAACGTAAAACTCGCTTTTATTGACCTTTGACTTTGATGTGACCAGGTTGACAATCTTAAAGGAACTCAGTGAACCGCGACGCGACGCAGAGGAGCGCTCCCACCTGTTCAGTACTTGTTGCGGGTATGTTTGCCGTAGAGATTACACGTTGTAATGAGTTGATAGAGACGCTTCCGGAGCCCAGAGCATCGACGGTGTTCCATGCTTGCGCGTAGAGCGGCGGTATCTGGGCATTTCCTGCGACAAAACGTCAGCTTTCGCTGTGACATGTGCTCCTTTCTCGGTTACCTAGGATAGTAGATACTCCAGAAGATGGTTCAACCAGCTCGGGAGTGGCAACTCCTGACCACGGGTCCACTTCGTTATCATACACTGACGTCGCTAAAGGGTCAGCAACAAAACTGGCTCCGAGGCCGTTGAGAGACTCGTAGCGCGCCGTTGGAGAGCGAGCGACGTTGAACATCCTCGAGTCGGAATGCGGCGAAGTCCAAGAAGAGTTTGAACCCGGCCACGATGTTTGCGAGAGCTTTGGCACGCTTCAGGGGGCCAAATCCTCTGAATTTACTGGAACAACAAGGAAGAAGAACTATCGCAACTGCAACGACAGTTAACGCAGATGAAATCGCACACTTTTCAAAACTTTCGGAGCATTGGTGGGACGAGCAGGGAGAATTCAAGATGCTTCACAGAATGAATCCTGTCAGAGTGCAGTTTATACGGGACAGAGTCGTACGGACTCGACAGGACGAAGGAATGCCAGACGCTACGGACCTGCGAGGCTTGAACGCACTCGACATTGGATGTGGAGGAGGCTTGTTATCCGAGGTGGGTACATGCCTTGTTAAATATACCTACACTGAACAATGGAGCAGAGTCTTGCACGTCTAGGAGCAAATACTCTGGCTATCGACGCTTCCGAGGCAAATATTCGAATAGCGACAGCACATTCAAGCCAAGATCCTCTCTTCAACGCATCGAGTTCAGTTGCACACAAAACACTGGCCTATCGACACGCAACCTCACACGACTTGGTCGAGGAAGGAAAACAGTTTGATTTAGTCTGCTCTCTAGAGGTTATAGAGCACGTTGACAATCCTGCCGGCTTCTTGGAGTCGTGTGCTGCTCTTGTCAAGGTATGACCACTGCCCGCCACCGGCTATTCGAGATAGTAACTTGTTTCCACAGCCAGGAGGCCATCTCGTCCTGTCTACGATTGCGCGTACACCATTGGCCTACTTTATGACCATTTTCATGGCCGAAAGGGTGCTTGGCATTGTGACCCCGGGCACTCATTCGTATTCGAAGTATGTCAATGCCTCGGAGCTTCTCGAGTTTTTCCGCACAAGGATCCCTTGGTTGCCAAAGGGTCCTGCGGATCCTCCTAGTCATCTTGCTGAGCTCAGGGGTATGATCTACTACCCGTTATCCGGCAACTGGGGTTTACTGCCTCGTGGCGCGCCCTTGGCTCTCGACTGTAACTATATATTTTGGTTGAGAAAGCCTGTATAAATCTACATACTTTCAAGCGGTGAACTACGCGCTGCCAGCCACTCAGCATCATGAATTTGGCTGGAAATATATCTTGGCTTCTGACCACACCCCACACTAAGATGGAGAGCGCGGCAGCGGAAGTCCAGTCAGAGCTGCGTGCTACCGATGATCCAGCAATCGAACACGAGTCGGCGTCTCCGGTCCTTGCGACTGCCCAAAGCGCTCCCAGTCCCGTGAGCCCTTCAACCTCAACCAAATCCCTCAAGCGCACAGCAGATATGATGGAAGACGAGGAGGAGCGTCAAGATAACAAGAGGAAACGCGTCGACGACGACAATGGAGACCGTCCCGAGGCGTCCACGTCTCGAAACGCGGTGGCTACGGACGGAACAGACGCAAGCAAGCCAGTGGAGAACGACGGAACAGATGCAAACAGACTTGTGGAAGATATGGGCCTCGAACTCAGCTGTGGATGCTGCGCTGCTCTGTGCTATAACCCTGTGATTGTTTTACCTTGTCAGCATTATTTCTGCGGGAGCTGCTGCACTCTTTGGACACAGGTCAGTGTTCTACTTTGTGAGGATGTCCATAGCGTCTGCCCGCCACACCTCCATTCCCCTGCCTGCGTTGGAGACTAGCCCGCTGACGTATTTCGAGCAGACTGGTGGGACTACTTGTCCATCTTGTCGCTCTAATATTAGCTCGATCGTTCCCTCGCGCGTTATCCAAGCTCTTATCGAAGTTTACCTGCGAAGTGTTCCCTCTCGTGCACGCGTACAAAGGGAAAAGGAACAGGCAGATGAAGTTTATACTGCTGGGCAGAGTATTAGGGTGCGGCGCCTTCTCCTGATGCGAGCCATTCTCACTTTCCTACAGGTTCCAAGCCCTCGTCCCCGGTCGCCGGAAATAGCCCCGATAACCGATAATGATGCCTATTTCAGACCATGTCCGCACTGTCCAAGCCCCAATGACTTTAACTGGAGCTGCCCCGAACCCATCGTTGACCCTTCTGCGGACTTGAACCGCGCTCGGCTGTTGACAAGTGGTCTTCCTCCAGGCCATGCTCGATGTGGAAGCTGCGAGCACCTTCACGCGACTCGGGCGCCTACGACATCAAAGTGCGACTTTTGCTTGCAGACATTCTGCGGTCTCGTAGTACCGACACGATGCCACGCAAAGAGGATACAAGAGCAGCGACCTTTGCGAATGGACAGTCTAATGGATATCCTTGGTGATCCAGACGTCTACGACGCATTCAACATCAACGCAATCGAGTTTGATTATCTTCTGGACTACCTGCGAGAACATGACGTGAACCCACATAATATCTATTCCGAGGTCAATTTACTTTCTGTTCATCTGACTGGATACTGATTATGAAGTAGATCGCTGAGCATATTCTCAATAGCCCTGAGGGATGGAAGCCACTTCTTGACAAGGGCATCTGGCCCGAACTTACGGAGCGTACAGCAGCAGCTCCCACCGCCAGCAACGAAGCCTCTTCTAGTGCTCCTGCCGTTGTCCAACCAACTCTAGACGAGCAACCCCTATCATCTGCTCAGAGCCCAGAGACCATAGTTGAGATACCAGCGGCGGAGGTTCTTGTTTCTGTAGAGGTTCATTCCACCGACTCCGAGGTGCAAAACAGGTCCGAGGTTGTAGAGGCCATTCCTCCGCCAGTCGTTCCAGTAGCAGAGGTACCAGACCAACCGGACGCTATGAACGTGGATCCACCTGCAGCAGATACTTTGCAAGAAGGACGTCGACCAGCTACTCCTCTCGTTGTCCCAGACAGACTGCCATCGCCAGTCGAACCGCCGGAACCAGTTCTCGAGGCACTACCAGTGGACGTCGAACATACGCCAGAACAACAGCCCACACAAACCGCAACGACGGAGCAACCCGAACAACCACCAGTGGAGCCACCACAACCAATCGAGCCGCCACAGCCTATCGAAACACCCTCATCCACCTCTCAATCGGTGGAAGTGCCGCCACCACCAACTGGGGAGTCGGGCAATTCTTCTGACTCGGATAGTGAGGACGGCGATAATGGAGAAGAGAACTCAAATCAGTCGTCTCCGCCCGAGGCGCGCATATCCCCTGCGCCAGGTGGTCTGCATTTGAATAAAATTTGCCGAAGCTGTGCGGCTGAAGTCTTTTTCTGGGGTGCGAGAGACTGGTGGATTCGCGAGAGGGCAAAAGCAGCCGCAAATGGAGAATTGCCAGAAAACATGCGCAATCGAAAAGACTGCGAGGCACTTGGAACGTGTGACAAAGAACATGACAATGGTACGCAATGTCTTCTTTGGATAGAATAGTTACTAACCTCCAACTTTGCAGCGCACGCACGCGAATGTGAGTACATGAGCTTTAATTGAATAAATAGCTGAGGACTGTTGTAGTTAATCATGTCCCGCATCCTCCAACGCCGCCCGCCGGTACAAGCACTGCGCCGAATACGAATGCCGCGGCGGAAACCTCGCAGCCGGATAGCTCAACTTCAGCGGATCCTAACGCATCCACGAGCAACGCACGTGCAGCCGAGTCGAGCCCTGAGCGTCCTTCGAACCCAAGTTCGCCACAGCAGAATCGGATGGAGATTGATCCTCCTGCGGCTCCTCTGTCATCACAGTCGGATGCCGTTAACCCGGCGCCTAATCCAGATTCTTCCAACGCTACGTCCGATGCGCCAGCTACTACGACAAATGCCGATACTCAAGCGCCAACCTTGGGTTTGGAAAACGTCTCCACAATGGACCACGATCACGACTCGTCCAACGCGTCGACACTCGAATCACCAAATGTCTCTCAAGCATCGACGTCGGGGGACCCGTCGGCGAACGGGACAGCAAACGGACCCATGGCCGACTCTAGTATTTCAATGAAGATTGATTCAGCCTCACTGTCGTCACGTGGTGACGTCCAGATGATAGTGCACACAGAAGACGAACCGCCATCCGCGGTCGATCTTGCAGGGTCTCCGTTGACCACTCAGACGCATTCATAGCCCGTTCTTTTGTTTCAATAATGCTCTCTGATTGATGCCTCTCTCGATAGAAACAATGTGTAACATTCTATTTCTTGAACCATGGTGATTTCCAACACGCAGGATGTTATGGCGCCTAACCGCGAAAAATTCCAAAGTTGCAGGAGTTCGAAAAATCTGTGCATTTTTAATTTGTAGCAGGTGGTGTGGACAGGGATTAGAGACCTGCGTTCGCGGGTCCCTTTGAGCCTCCGCCTTCGAACACATCAATGAAAGCGGGGCCAATCTCAGCTATCATGTCGCTAGTGAGCGTCGCTCGTCCATGTTTCTCATAGGCACGACGTGAGATTGTGCGTGTAAGGATTGCTGCTCCGACAGAGGACAACAATGGAAGACGGGTTGGGGAGAGCGGGACAGCGGGTTTGCTAGCGAGAATGACTAAGTCCGGAGTAAGATACGAGGGGAAATCTTACGTGTATACTCCTTCTTCGTAGCACTTGGACCAGGCGAGCATCGCGCCTATGAAACCGCAGAGTAGATCGCCTTGCCCGCCGCAGCGCTTCAAGCCGCCTTTGGTGACCACCTAGGAACAATGAAAAGGTGGCTCTATGTTGCTGCGAGACATACCTCTGCAGTCTCACGTTCGCCTCCCGAACCGTGGACGGTGACACTAAAGGAGATAATGTCTGTCTCGCCCTTTTGAAGGACAGTAACACCACCAAGCGCATCAGAGAGTGTGATGGATGCCTGAGTCTTCTTATTCGTCTTCGCGGGGACTTGCTATACCCGAGACGTGAGTCAAAAGTATGGGAGTAGCAGAAGGTAGGTACCAAGGACTCGCAAGTGTGCGCAAACTCGACGACATTCGGTGTGATAACGGCCTTTGTATACCCACGAATGATGTCTGGGTCCTCCTGGATTAACAGGAGCGCATCGGCGTCGAGGACGACGTAGAGATTGTGTGCGCGCGCGAGCTGAATGGCAAGGCGTGCAAATCCTTGCATGTGTTGCTCTCTTCCTAGACCAGGGCCGATGACGAGGACGTGCAGACGCTTGAAGAGTGCGTCGAGGAGATCAGTTAGCTCGGTGGTTGATCTACCGTGTACGGTCAGACTGTGGAGAAAGGGATAACTAGCTTAAGACGTACGTATCGGAAGCGAGAATCGGATAGACCATGAGATCTGGTGTGTAACTCTTGATGGCCGGGGCAGCTTGTGGAGAGCAGATGACATGGGCAAGATCTGCTCCCTGTTGATGGCATTAGAACAAACATGGCTCTATAGTGTCAAATACACACCGCTCTCAAGGCCGCGATGCCTGCAAAGTAGGGTGCACCGGAGTAACTGACGTCGAGTTGAGAGCGAGGTAGTGAAGATGATAAGACAAAACTCACTCTCTACTGCCTCCAAAGATACCAACCCGACCTATATGCGGCATCAGACATCGCTCTTTCGACGTGTAGATGCGTGCAACCGACCTCCTTGACCCTTGTGAAGGCCAGCGCTGAGTGGTGGGATGATTTCTTTGACCTGGGCGAGAATCGATTTCGACATTTGGATTGTAGACGGCGGCGACGAGGACGAGGTAAGCGGGGTCGAAGTGGTGGATGCACAACTTGTCGACCGATGACGCCCACCGCCATTACGCCCAACGACGACGCCAGCACGCTCAGCGACGAGGGAATAGAAGAAACGTTTGCAGACGCGTTGGCGCTCCTCTTTTCGGTCCCACAAGTCGCAGTCACGGCGAGACCAGGACGAGTATGGACTCATGCGAATACGGGAATCCGAGTGTGCATTCCTTTGACGGCAAAAGACGAGAATTGGACGTTGCAGGCGGATGCAGTGTGGCTGGCGAGCATATTTCTCGCAGACCATCTGGATCTATTCGACGCGGACAGCTTCAAGTACGAGTCTGTCCTCGAGCTCGGAAGTGGCAGTGGCCTCTTGGGTACGCCTTCTCTCTCTATTGACATTCATTGACAAGAAACCCATCCAGGTCTGGCGATTGCCACTAGATTTCCTCAAGCACGAGTTGTGTTGAGCGATTACCCTGATGAGGGCATCATCAACACCCTCAAGCAAAATATAAGGCTCAATAATCTGGAGGAGAGAGTATCGGCGCTTCCTCTTGACTGGAACGCCCCAGAGACACTCAGAAGCAGAAGGTTTCAGACCATCATCGCGGCGGATACACTATGGAACTCACAACTACACCTGCCCTTTTGTCGAACACTCCGAAAGTCTATGACACCCGATGCAGATATCCACATCATTGCAGGGTTACACACTGGCCGGCTGACACTGCAGCGATTCATCGAGACAGCCAACCAACAAGGATTCGACGTTATCAATACAATGGAGTACCACGTCTCCAACAGTAAAAAGCGAGGGTGGGCTCAAGAAAGACCAGAGGAGACACAGGAAGACGCAGCTCATTGGCTACTGTACATCAATATGAAACGAAAAGTTGATTCTATCAACTATACATACTTCAAGTGAAGTCCATTGGTACGATGGTGGATGGCTGTCCAAGTAAAGTCCATAGCTATTGGTACGGTGGTGGCTGCTGCATCGCGTTCTCCCCATTCTCCCCCATTTCTTCATCGAGAACCTGCCGTCCTCTCACGAGCGATACAAAGTTTGCCGCGAGTAGGTTGATATGCTCTTGTGACATTTCTGGAGGCGCTGCCGCTGCGATCAGAGCCTCTACTCTGGGTGCTGGTCCTGTGATTCCAGGCAACTGAGTACCCTCCAATGACTGACTCTCGGCGGTTGAAATGTCGAGACTGATAGACCCCGTGGTGTCCTCGCTCGGTATCACGGGTATTCCAGATTCTTCTCGCCAAACGGAAGGTGACTTCTGCAAAGTGGCATGTGTCGGTGACATGGATCTGGACTCGCAAAAAGCTCATCACAGTATCCGACTGCCATTGGTGCGCTAACCGGAATCTTGGACGGTTCACAGTTCTGAAAGGAGGCGGGCTGCGGCTCTGGCAGCAGATACAAATCTCCCTTTTTGCTTTGTAGGGTTGCAAATCTCCTGGCGCGGTGGATGAAAAGAATGACAACAAGCACAAAGATTGTGACACCTCCGATTGCCCCCATTATAATAGCCGCGATATTCATCGTATCCCGGTCACGTAACCTTGCGTTACTGCTTGATGTTGAAGTTGGACTTGAAACGCTTGCATTTGCTGTGCTATCAGGATGACCACCGGATGTCGAGGAGCTGGAGTCGGAGCTCGAGGATACGGGTTTATTTGGGGTGCGTACAACTCTATTTATCTTGTGAGACGTCAATTTAGCGTTATAGAGGCACTTACGTAACGTAGAATTCGGAGTTGCTGCAGATTCCACCCTTGGCTGGATTAGCCTGGCCTGCTCCACAGTTCGTTGCAATGGATTCACCGATTGAGCCCTATACTTGTCAGTTGACGGTTTCAACCGAATATTTTGGTTACCAAAGCCCAGCCACAAAAGCTGAGAGCAGTTTCTCCCTGGTTCGCCAACATATACATGCACGTATTACGGCGGATTGCTTGCACTACTCCAGCACCTATAGGCAAACTATCGTCTAATCTAATCAGTAAAGTCATACGGTCAAGGCTGATTAGTTACTTCGCGACTTTAGTTCGTCTGCAATACTTCTGCAGTCAGCCGGATCCGGAATATAATCCGCCTGCTCGGAAACTGAGTATCTATGAAATCAAAAAGTGTGGACGTACAGGACGATAACACTCTTGAGAACAGGAGGTTGTGCATATAGGGGCACTTTGTCGCTCGTAAAGTCCTCTAGTACCGAGAGATGTATTCCTCTGAGACCCTTTGTCACAGGCAAACTCGTACATTGTAAGCTCGCCCTTGGGCTCAATCTTCTCCAGCTGTGGCATACTCCCGTCCCTGCACAACCTCTGCTGCTCAATCTCTTTGACTGCGAATTCATTATCCTTCCAGAGCCGATGCGTGTGCGCGTCGAATGTGAGCGCGCTAACTCCAATCAATCCATGTCCAAACTTGTCGCGGGGCGAGAGGTCGTTGAGGAGCGCCGATAGGAGGTAGATTACGAGCATGATAAGTGTTGACCAAGATCGAAGAGAACTAAGCTGGCTTGGTGGGCTCTATAAACTTGCTCGTATGAACGAAACGGTACGCGCCATAGCAAGTGGCGGGCAGTCGTCCGACCAGTGGAGCAGCGTTGGTACCGCGTCTCATTCGGCAGGAAATGCCCGTTTGATGCGGAAAAACGGGCATAATAGAGCGGAATTAGATGGAGTTGTTCAGCTATGGGGTTTGCTATGATGAAGGAGTGAATCGCCGGCAAGGTAGAATTCCTGAATACTCATTCTGAATTAGAGGTGGCCACGGATATAGGCTTGGCTAAACAAGTCATCTCTAACCCGTGGGAAGCTTCGCGCTTTCCTTTTCGATTAGGCGCTGCACATACATATTCATTATCTGCACAATATTGGTAACATACGAGCAGACGGAAAATAGGGACCTGAAATGATATGAAGCCAATTCTTTCGCTCATTCTGGAGTCCGCATAACGTCACTGCGCGGACCCACTGCATATTTGACCCAGGACAAAAATGTGCCATCTGCATCCAAATAAGAAAGATAAAGTAGGTCCACTGTTACTCTGTATATATACACAGCATATCCCAAATAAAGACCGTCACTGTTGCTGGTATGGTGGTGGCTGTCGAGCCTCACTTCCATCCTCTTCGTCCTCCTGGGGTTCTTCACCCAATGGCTGTCGTCCCCTTACAAGCGACACGAAGTTTGCCGCCAGCAAGTCAATCTGCTGTCGCGACATCTCTAGAGGTGCCGCGGCTGCAATCAACGCTTCGACGGTGGGTGCTGGCGGTGGTAGAGTATCTTCCGGGGACTGATGATGGGGACCCGGTGGATCTCTTTCCGTCAACTGGAGGACGTCACTTCTTGGACTTCTCTGTTCTCGTCGAGTGGACAGAGTCCTCTGTGAGGTAGCGTAGGACGTGGATGTAGACCCAAAGTCCCGCGACATCATAGCCTTTTCACCGTGAGCGCCGATTCCCATCTTTACTACGCTGCCATTTGGGATTCTGAATGGGTCGGGGTTCGCCCCATAGGAGGTTGGTCGGGAAAATGTGATGTCGGATGATGGCGGGTATGACTGTCCCCTTTGACTTCTTATTTCCCGTAGCGTTTCGCGCGACGTATGATGAAAAAGACAGCTAGCAGGAGTGCGATGGCTGCAATTGCAGCAATCGTTCCCCCGATGATTGCGGGTGTATCCGTCTTCTTCGTGTCGTTCGATTGCGCGCTGCCGCTCGTTGGTGAGCTCGAGCCTTCGTGAGCTGTGGTACTAGCTCCTACCACTCCGCCGGGAAGGTCATTAAGAGTCTCGTATGAAACCGTGCTCTGAGATATCGTGCTCAACCCTGATACCGTGTTGCCGCTCGTACCCCCGGTACTAAGTATTGAGCCACTCGATTGTGATGACGACGAAACGGAACTGGAGCTGGAGGAGGGAGGCTCTGACGAAGGGTTCAATTCCGTATAGCCAGCCGTAGAAAACGAGACGGTATAGCTAGGTCCTGGCATATTCGGTGTTCGTACAGCTCTATGAACATCTCAGATGTTATCATCATATAACAGGACAACGTACGTAACAAAAAAGTTGGAGTTGCTGCAGATTCCGCCCTTTGCTGGGTCTGATAGCCATCGTCCACAGGTCCACGCAATGGAATCGCCAATCGAAGCCTGTACTTATCAGACAGGAAGTTAGACTCAAGTATAGGCGTACCCATGCTGAATCACAAAAGTTAATGGTATTACGTGCTTGATTGGAAAACGTGTAGATACACGTTTCCACTGAACTACGTTGGTCCCTCCAACAGACACATCCCAATTACTATCTTTCCGGGGATCAGCGAGCAAGCTCTTATGCGAGGGCGAACGACTCACTCCTAGACCTCAGGATAGAAGTAATATTTCCACAGTCCTTCGGATCGGGATTATAATCGGCCTAATCAAATATTGAGGACTGGTATCGTGATTATTTGCCAACATACGGGGTGATAGCAATTCTGTGAACAAGAAGTCGTGCAGAGAGCCGTACTTTGTCGTTTATATAGCTCTCCGACATCCATAGATGCGTTTCTCCATGAAGATTCCTCGCATTGAAGTTTATAAGTCGTGAGCTCGCCGTCGAGTTCAATCCTCTCCAGCTTCGGGGATGTCCCATCCCTACATAACCTCTGCTGAGCAATCTCGTGGATCATCCCACTATTTTCCTCCCATAACCGACTTGTACGTGTGTCGAGCGTAAGCGCACTCACTCCGACGAGTCTGCTCGTCAAGGAGCGGCTGGCGAATAAAAGAGCGAGTGCGGCAATGTAGAACATGAACATGGAGACGTTTTTGATACAAAGGAGCGGATGGGGAGGAGGACAAGTCCGCTCTACAGCGCCTACGGCGTTGCTGGGATAACCCGTGTGAACGGCGCATATCGTTACACAAGCTTGGGACTAGCTGTGCTTGGCAGCGCAGTGGTTCTCCGTCCGAAACGGAGAAGATTTATGTACTTTTCAAGGAATACAGAGCCGCGGTGCCTAGGACAAGCCACACATTACGTCTGAAGAGTAGGGTGGGGTCCAAGACTTGCTAGCCACTCTATCAGATCGTAATAGAGCCAGGGCTCATACTTAAACATTTAAATGGAAACGAAGTTGACCCATCCTGATAAAAAGTACAATATCCCCTCACAAGCGACGGCATTCAATGGCCATCAAACATCACAAAAAAGGAGTAAGCGATTAGTCCACTAATATACAATAGAATCCCAGGTAAAGATTGTCATTGTTGTTGGTACGGTGGCGGTTGTCGAATCTCACTCGCCACTTCGTCCTCGGGCTCCTCGTCCAGCACCTGGCGTCCTCTCACGAGCGACACAAAGTTTGCCGCGAACAGATCTATCTGCTCTCGTGACATTCCAGGAAGTGCAGCAGCAGCAATCAGTGCCTCGACCGTCGGCGCAGGCACTTCAACCCCCGGTAATGCGGTCTCTAAAGGGCGCCGCTCAGCAATCGATGTGTGTTCGACAGAGAGTTGGCAGCATTATTCTGCGATGGTGGTGCTCCCCTCTGTCCTTGCCAACTGACTGGTTTCTGTTGTGAAGGTGTGGATCCAAACTCGCACGGCATCAGGGCAGAACCTCGACTTGCAGAGTCGATTTCGACCATTGGTGCATCACTGGTCGGAATTGTGGCGTCGGAATTCGTAAACGTTGGCCGAGAATGTGATACCGGGTATGAGTCTACTTGAAGGCTTTGAAGCTCCTCGTAGCTCCTGACTCGGCGGAAGATGAAGAATACACCGAGCAGAAATGCTACACCCGCAACGCCTCCAATCGTCCCTCCAACGATGGCCGCTATATCTATATTCCTCGGGCGATGTGATTGGGAACTCCCGGTGGACGCAGAGATTGAACCTGAAGGTACCAAACTATTTGTCTCCACTAAACCGTCAGAGAAGCCACCAGGTGTCTCGTACGATACAGCAGTCGATCTCGAAATTCCGGTGTCAGTGGTGGTCCTGGTATTAGTAGTAGAACCACTTGGTTGTGAGGAGGACAAAGGCGAAGATGAAGGTGAAGACGAAGAGGGAGGTGATGTGGATGCTAATGACGAAGGAGGGGCACCAGAGCTTGGGAGCATCGGCATATTTTCGGTGCGTATAGCCCTAGTATCCGGTCAGATAGAAAGTTGGAGTAATGGAACACGTACTTGATGTAAAAGTTGGAATTGGTGCATATTCCACCCTTGGCTGGATTTGCACCCCATGAAACGCAGGTGGTCGCAAGAGAATTACCGATCACGCTCTATATTTGCTTTAAAAAAGACTTTGATCAGATGGTATACATACCCAATCTGCGTCGCAGTAGCTCATTGCACTGCGTCCTTGGTTTGTAAACGTAAAGATGCATGTATTGAATTCCACTACGTTTGTTCCCCCAATGGGAACATTCCAGCTGCTTTCTATAAAGCGATCAGTAAAGCCGTCTAGTGAGGACGCGGACGGATGACCGACGCCTGGTTCTCAGATTCTCTGCAATTCTTGCACAGTCTCCTGGCTCGGGGTTATAATCAGCCTATTTGAGCGTGCTGTGAGCACTAGTCCTGGAAAGATTTCTGGACCTACTGGAAAATAGCAATGCGAGTTACAGGCTGTTCCGCACATAGCGGCTGCCTGTCGCTTGTCCAGTCCTCTACTGTCTATGGAGGTATTCGTCCAGGACGCATCATCGCATCGGAGCTCATACGTCTTGAGACCACCGTCGAGTTGGACATTCATCAGCTTTGGCCTACTCCCATCAATGCACAAGCTCTGATGCATAATGTCATTGATTACCCCCTTGCTTTCTTCCGACAGCCGACTTGTGCGCGCATCAAGTGCGAGGGCGCGCGCACTAAAAGTAAAGGAATGAATAGCGAAGAGAACAACGAGCGTCGTTATGTAGCCCGCAAGCATATAGATGCAGTCTAAGTTTCAAGGTCGGATAGGGAAGGGGTCAAGTTGACTCTCCGGTACCTACGACTCGTCAAACAGCCAGTGGTGAACTCGTGGGAACCCCGCTCGCGGACTCGGCCTAAGCGCTGTTATATTGGCATCGTCGTAAGTGAACTGAAAAGACACAAATGGAAATATTATGCACCATTTCTCGCGTGGATCGCGCCTATTCCTGACCGAGGGGCAGCGTGGGCCCCAATTGACCACTGGAGGAACTATAATTTGTATTGCGGGACCCAGACGCCGACCATTGACACGAGAGATACCCGAACTCGATTCCAACGCCTGATAAACGCATTGTATATCTCGTTAAACAAGTCACCTCCAGACGATCAAAGACTTTATTACCACGCTAGGACATTCCTCTCCCACCCCAGTCTGTAGTAATCTATCTGGGCCTTTGACTCGGCCGCTGAATAGGTGTACAAAGTTCGTAGAAGAAGTAACAGGCTGTAAATTGCTACTATAGAGACTAATCGATAGATATAAGATGCAAGTAAGGACTGTTACTGCTGTGGATAAGGTGGTGGTTGTCGAATCTCGCTCGCACCCCTGTCCCCTTCGTCCTGGGGTTCTTCACCCGGCTGCTGACGTCCTCTCACTAACGAGGCAAAGTTTGCAGCGAACAGATTGATCTCCTCTCGCGACATTCCCGGAGGTGCAGCAGCCACAAGTATCGCCTCAACCGTACGCGCTGCAGCTGCCGGCCTTGGGACGCCTTCAGGTGAGTGATGTTCAACAACCGACTCTTCTGAGACTGTCGAGCTGTCGAGATCACTCGGTGCGACGGGCGCCCATGTTTCCTCTCCCCTCTGCAAAGTGCCGTACTCTCGAGCCAGCTCAGCCTTTTCGTTTTGAGCGTCGAGTTCCATCATGAACACTGTGCTAGCTGGGATTCTAAACGGTTCACTGTTCGCAACAGACGAGGCCGGTCGAGGAGACGAGGCGTAGGGCGACGGCAGGTATAGGTCCTTTCTCATCTTTTCGTGGCGCTTGAGCCGACACACGATAAAGAAAGCAGCTATCAGGAATGCCACGACCGCAATACCCCCAATCGTTCCACCAATAATCTCCGCTGTATGAGTCCTCGTTCTATCGCCAGACTGTGCATTGCTACTCGTCGATGAGCTCGAGGTTTCGGGTGTCGAGCCACTTCCTGCCGTGGAATCGGCCACAAATCCATCAATGATCTCGTACGAACTGGCGCTCTGGGACGTCGTGCTCGATTCTGATGTAGAAACTCCATTTGTAGCCTCGGTACCATTTGTTGAGCCGCTCAATTGCAATGAAGACGGTGATGGCGTCGACGATGTTGACGTTGAAGAAGTAGAACTAGAGCTAGAGGACGAAGAAGACGACGACGGATTCAACGCCGTGTACCCGACGGTGGAAAAGGAGATAGTATAGCTAGGCCCTGGCATATTAGGTGTTCGAACAGCCCTATGAGCACTATAAGTCACCATTCTAGACCTGTGGGTGCACGTACGTAACGTCAAAGTTGGAGTGGCTGCAGATTCCGCCCTTGGCTGGGTCTGGTAGCCATCGTCCACAGGTCCACGCAATGGAATCGCCAATCGATGCCTATATCCATTAGACAATGAAATCATTCTACGGGATATGCGCACCCAGGCCGTATCACAGAAATTGAGTGTACTACGTGCTTTATTTGTGAATGTGTATATGCACGTTTTCCACTGAATAACTTTTGTTCCTCCAACTGAGACATTCCAGGTACTTTCTACCCATTAATTAGACTAGTCCTCTTGCGGGCAGAGACGGACTCACTTCTGGCCCTAAGGTTCGCCGTAATATTTTTACAGTCCTTTGGATCGGGATTATAGTCGGCCTGTTTAAATGATGAGTACCAAAGTCGTAGGCCCTTGCCAACGTACGGGATGAAAACAATCTTGCGTACAAGATGTCGTACACAGAGTAGTGGCCTGTCGCTTGTACAGCTCTCCGGCTTCCATAGATGTATTCCTCCATGAGCCTTCGTTGCATTGAAGTTCATATGTCGTGAGCTCGCCATCCAGTTGAATCTTTGCCAACTTTGGTGCAGTCCCATCTTCGCACAACCTCTGCTGCGCAATCTCTTGAATCATGCCGCTATTCTCCTCCCATATCCGACTTGTCCGCGTATCCAGAGCAAAGGCGCTCACGCCAACGAGTCGCAATCCAAAGCCGTCTGTCAGAGAGCGGCTCACAAAGATGAAAACGAGTGACACAATGTAAAACACGATCATATAGATATCTCTATGTTAAAGGAGGGGACGAGGAAGGGATCAAGCTCGCTCTGCAGTGCCTCTAGCCGCTGAGTTCGTGCGAACGAAGTGAGCCGCGCCTTTAGCGGAAGGGACCACTCTATAGTGTCGGCCCCGACATCGGAATGCCGAGCGTATTGAGACCGCGCTCCGTTCATTACGGAGCATAGATTGACAGACGTTCACCATATTAGTTTAGTCGTGACCGCCAAGGTATATTGCGTTGGATGATCCGCCGACGAGAGAATAGGTACCGGTTAGACGGGGAGAATGATACTCGATACACGTAGAATATATCCAAACACGAACAAAGAGGTTTACACCATCTTAATGACCTTGGTCCCGTCAGCAACGCCTACAAGCGACTGTGCATCAACGAGCCCGTCCGTGGTTTTGCGCTTCAGGAGCTCGTCCCACCAGCCAAACAAAAAGTCGCGTGCAATCAACTTGAACCAAGGCGTAAAGCTATTCTGTGGACTGTCGAACATGGAAATAAGTTCTTGCTTGTCAACGTATTTGTAGTCGCGAATTTCGTTCAGGTTGGGTGTCACGTCTACATTTGCAGTGAGGAAGAGGATGTAGTCGACTGAGACAGATGTTAGACCGTGCAAATACTCGTGGAGAAAGGAGAGCTCACTCTCGTGTTCTCCCCACACGCCATCTCCACACGGAGCAAGATAGTGTATCCTGGTCAGATACTGAAACTTGTCGATAGGTGTCTGAGACTTTGGAATGCCGAGTTCGTGCTCGAGCTTTCGGCTTGCAGCGACTCGCACGCCGAGTTGGTCCTTTTCAATCTTCTCCTCTTCAAAGTCGTCCAATGGATGTGAACAACATGTATTCGTCCACATATCCGGGAACGTAATCTTCTCCGTCGCGCGCTGCTGGAGAAGCAACTTTCCATCTTCTGGCCTGAACACAAACGCGCTGAACGCGCGATGAAGCAAACCCTTATTGATATTTTGCATCAAGTGGCCTGAATGAACGCCATTCTGGATCAGCCAAATCCCCTCAAATGGTCGTGCATGGCTTACAAGTCTTTTTGTCGAGCGCCCCAATCGCATTGTCGTTTTCGTCGACGACAATGCATCGTTCATCCATCAGCTTGGACTGCTCCGGGTCGTATTCGGACAAATCAATCGTCGCCAGCTTGCCCGTATGCGCCGTCGAGCTCGCAACAGGCTCCTGCGTGTATGCGCTGGTGGATTCGGTTGCAACTGGCGGCATGAGGGATTCCTTGAGCGAGTAGACAGAAAGTGAAGGTCGTGGGCGGGGTCCAAACGATGAGAGGGCGCGACAATGGATAGTCCGCGGAGTGGCACGATATAAGAGTCGAAACATGGCCAATGGTGAGTCACGTGAACCCCATTCTGCTCCTTATCCATTTTTATCCCTCTTTAACAATCGGTTTCAAGGCCGCAAGCGGCATTCCAGCTGAGCACTCCACCCAAACACCCGCTTTCAAGCCATCTCGACCAGCAACCAAGACACCCAGCCTCGATACGGACAACGAATCATGACGACCCCAAGTATCCGACAGGGCGGCGCCTTTCGATATATAGACGCTGTGGGTCAGCGTCTTCCCCGCCTTCCCCTCTTCGACCCTTCCAGATGACCCAAATCTCTGCACAACCTCAAGCATCTGCTCCAGAGACGACGTTCAGGCTTTCTGTCTCGACCGAGGCAGGAAATTCGAGCCTTCTCGTCACAGTCGACCCTCCAGCTGCGCCTGGTGCAAATGGAACGCCAGCGGAGCGTGCTCCAGTCGATCTATGCTGTGTGATTGATGTCTCGGGAAGTATGGATGACGATGCTGCTGTTCCCTCTGAACAGGACAAGCCCATCGAGGTCACTGGCCTCTCCATCATGGACATCACCAAGCACGCGCTCAGGACCATTCTAGCGAGCTTGAAAGAAGGAGACAGACTCGCACTCGTCTCCTTTAGCTCTTCAGCAAAAGTGGTTGCCAACTTGACGGCAGTCTCTGGCCCAGGGCGGGATACCCTCTCCAAGGCCATAGACCACTTCCGTCCTGATGCTTCGACCAATCTTTGGGATGGACTCAGAAGCGGGATGAATCTTCTCAATGCACACGAGCAAACCTCTGACCGCCTGCAAGCCATATTCCTCTTGACCGACGGCCAACCAAACGTCAATCCTCCTCGCGGACATGGACCGATGCTCAAACAGTACCTCGAAACCAACCCACAGACAGCCTTCACCATCAACATGTTTGGGTTTGGTTACCATCTCGACTCTAAGCTCCTGAGCGACATGTCCAACCTTGGGGGCGGAACTTATGGGTTTGTCAATGATATAAGAAGCGGCTATTGTTTTGACTTTTTACAAGGTTTATTCCCGATGCTGGCATGGTCGGTACCGTCTTTGTCCACGCTATGGCCAACCTCTTTGCTACGTGTGCAACTCGAGCCACTCTGAGCATCGAACTCCCAGAAGGCGTCACGTTAAAGCCCGTCGCTGGCTCTCATCCAGTCTCGACTGCATCCTGGGGGGCCACTGTCGACATTGGAGACATTCAGTATGGCCAGCCCCGCCAGTTCATCCTGGACTTGGACGGTCGCACGAGTGAACAAGAGATTACCGTCACGCTCGGGGCACGACCTTGGTTCAGCTCCAACACTGAGAGGGTTACGCAAACTGCCATCGTCATCCCGACTCCTTCGTCCACAGTTCCAGCAGAGTATCACTTGGCCAAATTCAGACTCGATCTTGTCACGTACATCTACAACCTCTGCCGCAACCACCCGAAATACATCGCCAACTCGAATGCACAAACTCACTTTACCTCTCTCGCATCCGAAATTGAACGTTTGCTCCCATCCAATGCCGACGCCAGCGGACTGGCAGAGGACATTAAAGGCGAACTCACCCTCGCCGTCTCCTCGCAGGTCAACTGGAATAGATGGGGGATACATTACTTTCCCAGCCTCGCACGCGCACACCAACGTCAACAATGCAGCAATTTCAAGGATGCAGGGTTGCAAGTCTATGGGCAACATTCGACCTTGTTTACTCAATCCCGCGATGCAGTAGACGCCATCTTTGACGCCATCCCACCTCCCAAACCGACCAAAAAGATTGTCACGCAAGCACCCAACTATAACACTGGATTCCGTGGAACATCGGCTCAAGCACTTTATTCAATGTCTCAGTATAACCAACGCAGCGGACCGTGCTTTGCACCCGAATGCCCCGTCGTCCTCGCAGACGGACAGACGATACGCGTAGACCAAGTCATACGCGGTACCGTCGTCCAAACGCTCTGTGGTCCACGAACCGTCGTGTGCGTGATCAAGACACCAATCCAATTCGGCAGTGCCGCCCTCTGCACCATGGGCTCCTTACGAATCACACCATGGCACCCGATGCAACACGAAGAGAGCGGCGAATGGGCGTTCCCAGTGGACATTGTCTCCCCCACACTCCAAGATGTACCCGCAATCTACTCTTTCGTCCTACAGCATTCACCCGAGAGCGACGCACATTCGATGATAATCGGAGGCACGACGTGCGTCACCATGGGCCACGGTATCCTCTCCGGCGACGACGTCCGTGCTCACGCCTTTTTCGGCTCGTACGCCAAAGTCTTGAGAGCAGTCGAACGTCTCCCGGGCTTTAATGACGCAGAGGGTATCGTTACGTGCGCCGGAGTCGTGCGCGACACCAATGGGTTCATCAAGGGTCTCCTTTCGCCCAAACTCGACGTCTCGCCCGTCGCCGTCAGCTTTCGCATCAAACAAAACGCCGTTGCCGTCTAATGTCGTGGAACCAAAGAAGTGTATGTGTGTGTGAAAACATGACATGAATTTTGTGTCTACCTTTTTGTCGTGTATAACATACGAGGGGTGTACCCATTGCTAGTCCTATAAAGTCCGAACCAAGAAGCACAAAGCAAGAATGAGGATCCTCCACTGGAGCGTGTTCCCCCGATATGTACAAGGAGGCAAGGGTGTCGTGGAGGTAGCGTGCTACAACTTGGTCGTCTACGAGGACATGAATTATATCGAATGCTGTTATCAATGGATCAGGATCCCGAACGAGAACATCAAGAAGGAAACTCACCATTAAAGTACAGCTCAACCAGCCAGACCAAGGTCGCGGTATGGCGCCTTGGCCTAGGTGGATAGAAGAGGACAACAGGACGCGGGACGTATCAAAAAAATCGTAAAATGTTCATCAAGGGGAGGGGAAGTGTGAAATGCTATGGGATAGGGAGGTTGGATGGGATAACAAAAATGACGAGGAAATGACGACAGGGATGGATAGCAGTACAGATAATCCAATAAAGTGATGAAAATGCTGGAGTGGTACGATCAATGGATGTAAAATGCCGAAAGATGAACGTGGTTAGTGCGTGGACTGTGAATGCGACAGGGTGCTCGGCGAGTTGAGCGCCTGGGGCTAAATTCATCCATTAGCCATCTCGTAAACACCCTAGGACGAAAAAGAATGCATACCTGTACTCGCCTCATGTAGTCGAGGTGGTCCGTCTGACCCATGCTAGCAGCGCTCACGAGTCCACCATGCATTCGCATGAGCGGGTCAAGCCGCGGGTCCTCCCTGGGCATCCGTTCATGTTCATCCCACTCTGCACTCGCATCCTGCGAATACATTGACCGCGATCCGACCGACGCCGTCCGCCCAAGGTCAGCACCAGAAAGTGGCGACCGTATACCCGAATACGCATCATCATCATTCGACAGTCGGACCACCGGTAACGAAGACTGGTCGAATCCAGCAGGAGCCAGCACCGACAATCCAGCAGTAATCTGTCGCGAGTGTTGCACGGGCTCGGGCTCGTACGCGTATCCAACTTCGTTTCCACTTCCATTCTCCACGCTCGCAAACTGTTCATACTCGGGTGGATACATGCTCGAAAGCGCAGGCGAGCTCGAGCGGTCCAGGTTTGAACGCGACGTTGTCGGCACCGGTGGTTGGATCGTACCAGGCACAGAGGTGGACCCTCCACTCCCACTAGATCCATCTTTCCCCGACGAGGCAGTTGGGGGTCGATAGGGAGGAACGGTGTGATACGATGACGGCGCGTGCCCTATCGATGTTGCCGCGCCAAAGTTTGTGCCGTGGTGGGCCGAGGCTGGTGCACTCATCGTCGGCACAGGTGAAACACTCTGCGAACGTTGTCCATGGAATCCACCGTGCGAGGACCAACCAGAGTTGGCGTTTGCCACGGGCGAGGCGGGCTCGATAATCGCAATTGGATTGGCAAACGGATCCTTGGAAGGGCTGGGCGTGCGAGATCGATTCGCTCCGCCTCCGAGGGCACCATACCTCGCAGGCGAAACTGGATAGGCCGTATCGCGGGTGATGGCCATCGGCATCATGTGTGGGTTCGAATACATAATGGGGGCCCCTGTCGAACTATAGACTATTCGCTCGTCATCGTCTTCATCATCTGGTAATGGACTTCGACGCATTGCCAAGCGTGAAGACGGCACGGAACGCATGACCACTGGGTGGTCTCCGTCGTCGGTGAACCGTTGGGCTGCAGCGGCGAGGCCAGCTGCAATCTCCGCGTCTCGTTCGCGTTGAAGCCGCTGACGTCGACGTCGAAGCGCGAAAACAACGAATAGAATCATTGCACAGAGTGCCAGGGCCGCCGTGACAAATACGCCCGCAACCGCACCACGGTTCTTGAAGAAGGTGCTAATTACAAATGAGTGTGAGACTGGGCCAAAACGTGTAACACGGCCGTAAAGATCCGTACCTCGCAGGCGAACGATCTCCCGAGTTTAACACGCCTGGTGGGTTCGCAATAATCTCCGTCAGAGTCGTAAATGAGCCATTGGGGACAGTGGTGACGACAACAGTCGTGATTTCAGATGGTGAAGTGACAAAAACAGAGCCCTGCGAGTTTGTCATTGTCAGCGACACGGGCGTCGAAAAAGTCGTGGTGGGTGTGCGCGTCTGGGTGACACTGTCATTTTGAGGAGTGCTGCCTGGAGAAGAGCTCGGAGCTGGGGGATCATTATCACTACGTGTACTTGTACGCGTTGAAGAGGAAGAGGACGGACTTGAGCCACCGGTATCGCTCGGCGACGAGCTTGAACTAGCGCTGGTGGTCGTGACCGTGTCCAGACCGCCTCCACTACTCGAGCTTGATGAAGTGGGAGTACTCGAGCTACTTGAGCTGCTCGGGTTGCTTGAGCTGTCTGGACTGCTGCTGCTGGGACTGCTACTCGATGCACTCGAACTCGTAGACGTCACAGTATCCAAACCACCGCCGCCGCTGGTAGAGGCACTGGAGGATGAACCGGTGCTTGATGAAGACGATGGCGGTGGCTGAGGGGTGGACATTGTGGTCAGAGTCGAAGTAGGACCGGTAGGTGCCGGGGTCGAAGAGGAGGAAGATGAGGGAGTATACGGCGGCTGTACAGATATTGAGACGCTGATGGAAAGCGTGTCAGAGGACATTATCGGTGGATCATAGGACCAGGGAGAGTAGGGAGACGACGAGGGCGTAAACGGTGGAAGTGGAGGGGACGAATATGGGCGCGTAGACGAGGGCGTAACAGGAGGAGTATAGGGCGGCGTGTATGGTGTAGATGAAGTCTCTGGTGGCGTGTAGGGGGGCGTATAGGGCGTGGAAGACGGGGGGAGAGGGTCAGAAGATGAAGGCGGTGGAGGATTAAACGAGGGAGCTGAAGTAGAAGACGGGACGATTGAAGAAGATTCTGAAGATAAAGTTGCAGAAGGTTCGTAGACGGTATGACTTGAACTAGCGCGGGCGAGTTGGACATCTGGCTTGGCCAATACGAGTAAGAAGAGAAATTTGTACGTACGTTTCCTGCGCTGCAGACGACGACGAGGGGGTCGTATCCGAGGGCGGCAACGCCGGCGTTGACAGCGAGGCTTGCGGCGGCGAGGAAACTGTTCAAGTAGAATTGGGACAGTCCTGTGTACATTTATTTTTTCCAAATGGTCAGCTCGAGTTGCTGGGCGGCGTAAAGGGAAGCGAAGTGAGCCAATACGCACAGGATTCGGGAGCGAACGAGCGAGGGATGAATGGGCCAAGCAACGTTGTACAAATTATCACAGAAAATTGTCAGCAAAAAAGTCTCTGGAAATGTAGAGAGCAAAGCAGAATCCAAGTCGCAGTCGCAGCTCCACGCTGTTCAACTCGACGTTGGCAACGACGGCAACAAGCGGCCGCTGGGATTTCCCAAGGCACAAGAGAAGCACCATCCAGTTCTTGCAGATCGCCCCCCTAATATTAAAAAATCCAGAGAAAATGGGAAATAGGACGGACCTGGGTCGGAAGTGGAAGGGACCAAGGACAATGACGAGTTTGTGTCTTGCTGTCGACGAACGGGCTGAAACATAATCTAGGACGGCTGGCGTCGGACGTCGTCTATGCGCATCGACCAGCGACCAAATCTGCAGCCTGGGAAGATGCACGACGAGAGAGAAAGAAATAGAAGAAAAAGAAAAGTAGCAAAAAAGGGAGAGCAACGGAAGGGATCAACCAGGTGGTTAGCAATGCCAAACCGACGACCTCGAGCCCGCTTACCTCTAAATCTCCACTTAATCGGCCCAATGGCGTCTGGCAGGTCCGCAGACGGCAATGGCAATGGCAATGATCCTCACAACAGCTCGGTCAAGAGGGAACAAGAAGCTTTCTAGACAGCTCGGGACTTATATACCAACAGGGAACCCCTAACGAAAGCGTATTTCCAAAAGGCCGCTACTCGCCAGCCCACGCCGCAAAGTCGTGCTACTTCTTCATCTGTCCATATGGTCATCACACCCTTCTCCGATGCACCTCTCCGACTTGCCCATCCGTCGCTCAAACAAGCCGGCTCCTCCGCCTGTCATGACCAATAAGAAGTCATAGTCACGCTTGCTACATTACACGCCAATAGCATAGTCCAAGTGGTGCCAAAATAAAAAAACCCCAGTCTTCAAAAAAGAAGCAAGCCCCTCCCCTCAGTCTAAGCAGGCTTGCTGTCATTCCCGTCAGCCCTTATCGCTTCGTGTACGGCATGTTCATGTACGGATTCGGCTGCATATATCCTGGCTGCATCCCCGGTTGCATCTGCGGCGCCGCAGCATGAGGGGCATGCATTCCGTGTGCCGCTGCCGCTGCCTGGGCTGCCGCTGCTGCTTGCTGTTGCTGCTGTTGCTGCTGCTGTTGGTACAAGTAGGCAGTCTGCTGAGTAAATGCCGCGTGGGCTTGGGCGGTCGCTTGCGCCACAGGGTCGTACATAACTGGCTGAGGTGCCATGCCACTCGGCAGCCCACTCGACACGGGCGCATGCAAGTACAGTGGGTGCTGAGACTGCATCGTAAAGTACTGGTGAGTAGCGCATCCTGGCAGCTCATGCGTCGATTCGGGTCAAATTTGAGCAGCCGATCCAACAAATCGATCGCTGTAGCAGGTCGTCAGCCCTACCACACTCTGCCAAGCTCGAATCCATATCCTTACCTAATGGGGTCGCCGTCGGCAAAAGTTGGTTCCAGGGGATGGGTGGGAATTGAGGAAAGACTTTGATCTGGATCTCGGGCTACTTTGAGGTTAGCCTCGTCCCATTGTCCATCCAAGTGCTTACCGATTCCTCCTGCATCTTCTTAAGCTCCGCCTCTGACGGAGTTCCACGGTGTCGCATAATCTGCAAGAGCTGATCGTTGTTGTCACGGCCACGGAAGAGAGGTTGTCCGCTGATCATCTCGGCAAAGATGCACCCAACCGACCAGACGTCAATAGAAGTGCTATAAGTGCGAGAACCCATCAAAACGTCGGGTGAGCGATACCACAGCGTAACGACCTATCCATTGTTGAGAACAGTTGACCTTTTGACGAATGCCACTCACTTCGTTGGAAAAGGTATTGACAGGAACACCAAATGCACGAGCAAGACCGAAATCTCCAATCTTAAGTTCGCCTTTACGATTGACGAGAAGCTAAAAGTCGTCAGAAATAGCCCGAATCCCATCCAAGGCACTTACATTCTGTGGCTTGAGGTCACGATGCAGGACACGATTCTCGTGACAAAACGCAACACCCTTGCAAAGCTGATGCATAAAGCTACGGACCGTATTCGGCTCGAGAGCACCACGCTTGCCATGAGTGTCCATGTAGCGCTTCAAGTCTTGCTCGCAAAACTCAAAGATGAGAACGAGCTTGAGTTCAGTGTGAACGACGTCGTGTAAGCGCACGATATTCGGATGTCGAAGCTCTTTCATCAAACTGATCTCGCGAATCGCAGTCGATGGCGTCCCCTCTTCGGCATCGAGGTGGATTTCCTTGAGCGCAACGATTTCATTATTCGTGCGCGATCTGCCCTGTAGGTCGCCAACGAGACTCGTATCAGCATATTTGACGGAAAAACGAGCTCCTCGGAGCGACGGTCTGGACGCTGACTCGCCTTGTACACGGTGGCATAGGTGCCCTCGCCTAGTTTCTCGAGCTACAATGTATCGAAATGAGAATGAGAAGTGCCCAGAGCCATCCAAACTTGCCTGGATATAGTTCATGGCCATGATGGACTCGGCGCTTTGGTGGTTACGGAGACACGAAGATAGGGAAAGAACGATGGACTCGTATCAAACGAGATCAAGGACTGTGCTTTTGTCGCTGTTGAGTCTGCCTTGATGGCTGCAAACGACGGCCGTGCAGTGGTCGAGGTTCAAGTTCTTTGACCACTTCCAAACCTGGCGTCGGGCGTACGTTGTGCTGAAACTGGGCGTCAATGTACAATATAATGACAAGGAAATAGCTTCAGAGTTTCCTTGTTGGGACAAGAGCCACATCCGAGTCGTCATGGAGCAATTGGCGCCTTGACCTTGACGCCTACCATTTCCTCGCAAAAAAGAACAAATGTCTTTGCAAACAGACTCGAGCATTCAGTTGTCCACGCCCATACTGAACATGCTTAGATGGGCGTCTGGAGCATTCCAGCTCTCCGCAGGCTGCGTTATGATTCAGCCATCCACCGGCAAACTTGTCGTCGTCCAGGACGCAAAGACAAAGCAGTGGTTTCTCCCAAGAGGTCGCAAGGATGTAGGCGAGACACTAGAACAAGCCGCATTTCGAGAAGGATACGAGGTGCGTTCTCTTGGATACGTTCGACAAATATCTCATCAATAAACGCGTATAGGAGAGTGGATACAAACCAGAACCGCTTCCATTGTTACTCCCCCACCGTCAGCCACCATCTCCGGAGCAAGTCAAGCGTCGGAAGGAGAATCCCAACGACCTGACGCAGTGGCTCACCACCACAGAGCCAGTCTATATCACCACGATGCCTGTACGTACACCACGGAGAAGCTACGAGTATCATACCTTTTGGTATGCAGCCAGCATCCCAGCAGATGCAGTGCGCGAGGAGAATACAGGCATGGAAGACGAAAAGGACTATATCGGCAAACTCTTATCGTTAGAAGAAGCCGTAAATGTCCTAGGAGAACCAGAAAACTACGTCGTGTGGTTCACTCACGAGACGTGGAAGAAGACAGAAGAACAGCTGAAAGAGAACTAGACTTAGTTCACGACATATAGTTGTGTATCGAACTTTATTCATCCATTTGCTCATTATTTTGTTCATCGGCTTGCCCTACGCCCGCCCACCATTCGAGTGGACCCATACCCTGACCAGCGATCGATGCCTGTAACATAATCAGTAGAATCTCGCACCCACGGATTAGACTCACAAAGATGCGGTATGGAGGTCGCTTTGAGACGGTCAAGTCATATTTGGCACCTTGCGCTGCTTTGGGAGGACCAGGCTCATCATCGTAAAACTCGTCTCCTTCAACTCGGAATCGTATTGGTGCATCGAGTTCGATGTAAAGCCGCTCTTGAAAGGGCGAGTCCATGAGTTCTGTCCGTTTCGTATCTGGTTCCATTTGTGCAGCCCAAAAGAACTTTTGACGACTAGAGTCGCTGGAGCAATCATTTAGCATGCTGAGGTGATTAAAAAGCACGTACGTACAATGCACAAGGGGCTGGAAGTTGCGATTTGTCGATATGGACTTCGTCAAAGAATGTGAGGGTCACTGTAACAGTTTAGAGTGAAGTAGATTATATAATTTGCCGCACCTCGGATCCCATCTTCGTCCTGAGACTTTACTTTGCCAATCAAGACCTCAGAGATGAACGGCCTGAAAACCGCCAAGCGAAATTCAACTATGTGCAAAATGAATTCTGAGAACTGTTGTGACAACCTGTCTCTGCTCACCTTTGTACCAGAGGCAGCCATCGCCATATCGAACTTTTCCTTCGCCGCATTTCGTAAGGTCAAACACGGAGATAACAAGTCCTATGTCTTGAAGAATGCGATTTGCGTATTTTTTGTTAAGCTCTCTTGCAATCACCTCGGTCGGTTCGAAGCCAAACGTATGCGGCTGCAATGCTACCGTGTCCTACTTATCAATTCCGAGAGTTTATTATCATTTATTCGGGTGTCTCACTCGAATCTCCGTGAGGATGAACATGGCATTATTGTGGTTGGATACAAAGTGTGAACGAACGACTAATATATAATGCATGCTTCATGAAAGTACATCCAAGGGTGCTAACTAGATACCTGTGGGTTAGAGAAATAGCGCATCTTGATAAAGTACGTGACCTGGTACTATGGGCGCGACTGGCAAGTCCGGAGATGCCTTGTCATATTCTGCTGGTAGATCTCAATATGACTGTGAACAGCGTCAGCCACTTGAGAGATTCAGCGACAAAGCCCTTACCAATGCTCGCAAGACGCCATCTTACGCTTGATGTGAGAACGCAAGTTGGCAGCTGATGCAAAGCTTTCACGGCTGGAGAGACGCTCATTCGTAAAGATGTTCGTCCCATCGCACCGTGGCAGTCTCTTACCAATAGGGTTTGCCGCACTGTCCGTTGCAGGGGACAGGCTTGTGGCCAAGGTGGACGCGAATGTGCGGTATGGCGCGGTCGAGTCGGTCAAATGTCTTGTTGCAATCGTCGAATAGGCAGATATAAAGTCCGGGCAAGGCTGGATCACGACCGAGGAACCTGCATAAGATTGATTGGCCACCAACGATGGGTTCTGGTTCGTCATTCTGTAGCCACGTTGATGACGATATCTCGGCGAGGCTCGTTTGAAGAGAAGCCGGACGGGTTTGTACGGGAGGAATAGGATCCGGTCGCATAGGTCGTGAATTGGATGGCTGAGGGATAGGTGGCTGAGGAAATACGGGCGTCGGATCAGCGCCGTAGAAACTATCTGGGTGCACACCGTGTGCTCGTGGAAGATAAGTATAGGATGCTGAAACTGATAAATGATGCTTACAATAGGGCTGGGCCATAGGGGCCACGACGGGGACCTGGGCTCCATAGGGCAGCGAGTACGGCGAATGAACAGTCCTATTTACAGGTCAATGAGAAATTCGTAGCGAGAGTTTTCCTTCATACCAGGTAGGCACGATACTGGACGAGTTGATGGCTAGAGCGTTGGGATCAACGGACCGACTTCCAGACGTTTGATTGAGAGCGTAGAGATGATTAGTTGGCGTGTACATGTTGTGGGTGGGATCGTTTCGGTACTCGCCTGGGTCCATGAGGGCTTAGGGTGGAGAAAGACCAGGTCACAGCTGCAAATTATATACAACTGGAAAACCCCAAGGCTGGTGCTGTTTGGCATGCCTGGACTGAGATATCAGGGATTGTCCGCCTCTTCTGGGCTGGGGAGATGAATAAAACCTGCGGGTTGACTTTGAATAACCATCCTCGGCTGGGTTGGAACCTGCTAGGACAGTCTCCTCCAAAATCACCGCCTGGGGTGAGCTTGCTAATCAACGAATAAACATACCAGCATCATTGTTTGTTACACTCTCTAATGCTCACACGCGCTCGATGGGTAGTGCAAGGACGGCTGGATATCTGCTGCGTTCAAGAAGGTAGTGAAGGCTACACCATTTTTAATAACGACCAATGCATATCAACACACCCAGTCATCAAACCTTTGTCGTCTATTCGCACCTCTCGGCGACAACACGTGGTGGAGTGGTAAGAGGCGGGAGAGAGCACGACATTGGCTAATCTGAATCATGCGGCAGCAGCAGAGGGATTTGCTCGGGCAGCAGCTTGCTTCGCATCTTCCGCAGCGGCAACAACCGGGTTGAGTCTCTTGCCATCCTTGTAGCGAGGACGTGGTGGTGGGGCACGGTTGCGACGACCTTCACGAGAGCGTACACGAACGACTGAATGGAATAGTTAGGATATATAGTTTTACTTGGGTATTCACTCACTGTGAGCGTGAATGGCACACGAGACGCAGTAGACGACCTTGATGTATAGCTTAGGCACCGTGTATTCTAGTTGCTGGTTAGTATTATATACGCACAGTTGCGAGTGCGTACCAGGGAAGACGGATGCCTCTGAGATATCACGAACGGCTGCGCTCTCGACCATATTGCGAACCTGGAATCGCTTGATAGCCTTGTCCTTTGGCACGCATCGATAGCAGTTTGAGCAGCGGAGAAAGTTTACATGGCCACGGCCGTGCTTGTTGCGGCCGTTATTTCTTCTCTTCTTGGTCTATATTCGACATGTATCAGCTCTCTGTTTTCAGGATTACTGGTCGTGTTGCTTGCCATTTCCCGTTTATTTTTTGCAGTCAAAGTCGTCGACTCGCAGCTGGGTGTATAGTTTGTGCTTGTTTGGTCGGGCGGCTAGAAAGACCGGCATCTTCCGTGGCAACGTCGAGCAGGACTTGGACGCTCCCTCCATCGTCCTCAGCCATCTTTGCCATCTTTCATACTCAAGTCCAACTTTTCAACTCTCAAAGCTTTTCTCTGTGACTCTCTGAACTTCCAACCTCGTCTGCAACATGTCCGACGCCGAAGGTAGCTCCAGAAAGGGCCAGTACAAGATTGAGTACTCTCCCAATAACAGAGCCGCTTGTAAAGGTGTGTAGCTTGCTTTCCTCGTCTCTTCGACGTCCCGAGCGACCGCAATACGGCGCTCAACATGAACAGAGTCACACACTCGATGACGCATCTCCGGTCTGCGAATTATTGGGCATTTACCATGAACATGTCTGATGATACATGTGAGACGCTTTAGGCGTCTTGAAATTCAGCATGCGAGTTTGTTCGAATGGGTCAATCTGACATCTATATTCTGCTTACAGGACCCAAGCCATGCAAGGTACGAGGTTTAACACTGGTTCGATGCAATTTCCAACAATAACCTACAGGGAACCAAGCTTTCGACTGGGGAAATGCGCCTCGGAACCGTCAATGAGGTCAAGGGTCACATTAGTTGGGCATACAGACATTATGGCTGCACCACCTCGACGGTAATGTTCTCGCTTTTGCGTCTACTAAAAACTCATATTCCGCAGGTGTTCAATAACATGAAAAAGTTTGGGCTTTTTGACGTCGCATGCCGTGGCTAATCATCATCAGAGCTTACGGTGCCGCGAGTGAGGTCGAGGGATTTGATCAGCTCAAGCCAGAGGACCAGGAAAAGTTTACCAAGGCTTGGGACAAGGGCGAGGTCGAGCCAGAAGATGTTCCCGCTAGTGCCAAAGGTAGTGCGACCCTCTCCGATTGATCATCCTCTCACACTCAGTAGCCGCTGAAGGCGAAGAAGCTCCTAAGAAGAAGCCGTCTAGGCCCAGGAAGAAGCAAAAGGCAAGTACCTTTTCGACCAGAGCTTTCGTCATCTGATTACCAGCAGACCTCCGACTATGGCGACGATGATGATGATGAAGAGGACGAGCCTAAACCAAAGAAGAAGGCTGCTCCTCGTCGCAAGAAGAAGAAGGTGCATCCTATCACTCTCGGTCCCAACATTGCTAACGTTGACACAGGCCGATTCGGATGACGACGAGGACGATGAAGACGACGAAGACTACAACGTTGGTCAAAAGCGCAAACGCGGAGGGAAGAAGGGCTCCAAGAAGAAGGGCGCTGACGACGATGACTATTGAGCCTTCACGTCTTCGGTGTAACCGGCCTCAAGGAACATTACGCTGACCGCGGATTGATATGTCGGCTCTTGCTATCTCATCTCTGTGCTCTTTTCTCTTAGCCGTGCAAACGAGGCGTTGTCGTGCATTCTCAACAACTGGGTGGTTATTGTCTGAACCAAAATATGTCCATATACGTGCTCTCATCGCCATCCATCAACCTATTGCTAAAGCAACATGCGACCCCTGCACGCAAATCGACATGCCCGATCTCGCTGCCATGAGATGTGAGGGCCCGCCAACTTTTGATCCTCTTCTCCTCGTAGTCGCCGTCCTCGCTCTGCTGCGATGGGCCAGGTGGCTCTGTCTCCAGAAAGAGGAAGGAAGGGGAGCCCATCGTCGTAAACCAAGCGACCCCTCGCTCAAGACCAAAGGAGACGACGTATCGGTCGTAATGCGAGTCGCTTTTCGGAGGGGGAATGTATAATGATGTCTCTGTTCCGACGCTTCCGTTCTCTGCATCAAAGGATCTGGATACTAGAACGCGAAAGAAGAGGTCGTACCACCACACGTCTGCGATGTCTTTGGTGTACCGGGTCGATGTGACCACCAAGACGCGAAGATGATATGAATATGCCTCTGTTCCTTCCACCCGCCTTTCTGCCATGTAGCGGACACCAAAGTCCGGGGCAGCAGCGGGATTGATGCATTCGACGTGGCTGTCAAAAGTGATCCGAGCACCATACAGCATACGCTCGTTGCTATTGTCGGAAGACACCCAGAGGTTTCGCTCAGGTGAGACCTGCGATCTATATGTGTTACGAGGGCTCGGCCGCGGGAGCACAGTTTGGCCACCAATCGTAGTTGACGCGGTTCCGCTCCAGATGCCTTCTGGAGTCTTTTCTGAAGATAGGATATCTGAGAGCTGAACTGCGTGTACTTCTGGCTTCATTTCGTTGGCTATGATGATAATCGTGTACGGAAGGTCGCATAGGGCGTCCAAGGACATGTGGCCAGCAAAGGTTGTGGTACAGAGCCTAGCGGATAGTAGAGCATTATCCACGTCTCTCTGAAGACTTCATCAGCAGCCGTCTATATATCCACCTGGCTCACCTTGCACGTCCACTTCCCTATCTTGACTCGAGGCGAGTCGGTGCCGCTTCCTAGTTTGTAGGACACGACCGTTAACAGCGGAGCAATGACGGAATCTTCTTTCGTGATTTTAACGTCTTGAATCCAGCAAACCACGTCGGGCTCAGTGTGATACCAACGAGGGTAATATAGGTACGAATAGGTCAATTTCGGGAGCTGCAATGTATTCTGAAGACGCGAAACCGGGGCATGAGTTCGACCAAGTTTCTTTCGGACAATACGTGACGATGTTTCGTCGCTTTCTTCCGCGGGCTCTGACCCAGCGTTGGTTTGCTTCTCCAATCGGAGCTCGAAAGTAGCCATCTTTCCGTCTGTAGTGTCTCTGAAAGAGACGTCCACGATTCTTAGAACTGGAGCAGACCTATGAAAGTTGGTATCCAGCATGAAACCAGAAGAAAGTACGTACCAAGCCTCTGAGGTCTTTGTAAGAATCGAAAGCCGTATTAGTGTGTGGCTGAGTGCTACTGCGGACAGACAACTCGTGTCCAGCAAGGTCAAGTTGTTTGAAGGACCAGACTTTTGAAGATTCAGTGGAGAGAGCTGCCAGCTCCCGCAGACATTTCCAGTGCTCAAATCATGACAGAAGATGATAGGCTGTGATGGTGCATGGGAGGGGCGAGAGAGATAAAAGAGATACGGGGACCCAGGTGCAACAGTCTCTGCATAGCTGTCTTCTGGCATTCGGACTCGAATGGGTTTGACTTTGCCGGTTTCGCGAGGCGTGATATTCGACAAGCGGACGTTGCCAAGATATGTAGTTGCACGTCGAGCATGCAATGCAGCAGAGTAGAGATCATGCGGAGTATAGTCTTCAATCGGCTTCGTCGACTTGAGATGTGCCAACGGGAGGTCGGATGTCGTCCACCAGAGGCTCGTGATACGCGACAAATTGCGAGCGGCGTGGAACGTCTATAGAGTCCTAAGTGCCCGTAGAAGGACTCTAGCTAGCTCTGACGCACTTGGGAAAGGCTTATCTTGGACAACATGTCCAAGTGAGACACAATTTCCAGCAGAATCTCATCTGGAACATTTGAAAGAGGCATGCCACGGAGTTGGAGTCTTGATATGGGTCCTGTCGAAGTGAGAAGTTTGAAATCCCTCGACAAGGGAGAATCCAAGCTTGGTCGGTCAGTCATGGATCGTGGATGTCGGACCTCGGTCAATTCATCATAGGTCCTCTCTTTATGTTCGAGGACATTCCTGGTCAATATGGTGTTTTGTGATGAGTGGCAGATTACTTGGTCCGCTCCTCGACACCTCCCCTGTATATCTTACTTTTTTATGCTGCTCCAGCATCTCTCCCAGGCCTCTTCGCCTCATTCGTAGTAGTTTATGCGCCTACATCGGGCAGGAGGAAGGATGCAACCCTCGCAACCGAATTGAAGTGCGGTCGGGACCTCTGGGATGGCGAAAGCGACTCGTCTTCGTTCGCAAGGAACTGTAAACCGAACTGTTGCACAGCTCCTCTAAGTTGGCAAAAGTTTGCATGCCCGACAAAGGGAGGAAACTCAGGACCGCTCTGGATCTGCTGATAGATAATGATATATACGGATATACTTTCATCTGGTACGTAAGACCTGCTGAGAAGAACTCTGCCCCCTGACGCTCCAATGCCAGGTTCTCGGCATTAACCCATAGTCTCAGCCCCGCTACAAATACCGCGAGCTGTCATACTTTGAGCGCTCACACCCCATGCTCAGCAATCTTCTTTCTCATCTCGCAAAACCGTCCAGTTACCAGGCAGGGCGGACGCACTCGCACCCAGACCATACAAAGTCAAGACATCCTACTCAACCGGGACAATCCACATCTTCCGCATCGCTCACAGCACAGTCCTACTCCTCGTCACGACGTACAACAACGTCGACGTCGAGAGCACCACCACTTGGCCAGCCTATTCAATGGTCGGCCCGCTACTCGTCACCGAGAAGAAGCCGTTCGCGGACTCATAGTCAGAGTTGTCACCCAGAATTGCAAAGGGTAGAAGAGCGCCCGTCGTCATATCATCGTCATCGTCATCGTCGACATTCGACATCTCTACCACCAACAACGCAGTCACACGCCTCGACATCGCACACATCTACGAGGAGTCTCCCAATTTCATCTTCGAGAAATGAGAAGGAAAGGTCGCAAATGAGACGCCAGGACCAGTTTTGGATCCATGGACCACACGGGGAACGCAGAACGGAATCCACGTCAACATATTTGCGTGATGATGCACATCACGGAGGTCAAAGACGCGGTCGTCAGAGGAAGCGTACTTTCGCTCATACATTGAGGAGAGAAGGATCTCCCATGTCGAGTGGTCATGCAAGGAAGAGGAGCAATAGTACGATAACATCGCCCCAAACGATCTACTCGAATGGGAAACTATATCCCTATGCGACTTCGGATCGAGAACCGTTGCACCATTCATGCCGTTCCTCCTCTTCCTCATCGGCACACCGGGTAGCATTCAATCCATACCGAGAGGTCATAAGGAGACATTCTCCACCTCCGAAACCTCCATACTTGACCAACCCAGTACGGGAGGTGAACCGGCCAGTGCTGGCAGAAAGACATGATCCCAGAACAGGGAAAGCATACTACCAATACATTGGCTCCTTGCCAACATACCTCCCTACTCAACATGCGGACCGTTCTTCATTTAATAGCAAAGCTAAACGAAACCGCCATGGCTCTCAAGACACGAGAAGGGGCACAAGGCCGCCAGGTTTCTACAATCGACGGGGAGACAAGTTTATTCGCCGAGGCGTCATAAGGAGGCAGTCGAATCCGGCCATGGAATGGCATCAAGTATTTGATGGGTACCCTGATCCTGGTCAAGGATGGATGGATGAGGACGGCAATTGGCTACCGGAGCAGGGCGGCATCCTCAAACATTAGTCCACTTTTGTGTCCCTATGATTTAATGAACACGCGACTTTATCGATTCCGACACGAGCGGAGATAGACATCATGGTTGGCAAGGTCATGCGTACACGTATCGTAAACGCGGTATTTGCGTCAGAACGCCGTTCTGGAGCTATGATACACGACGAACACATCATTCCCAAAAAGTTCAGACCGTTTCCCTTTTCTCAGTGACCGCGTCGATGGGGCTGTCTGCTGGACGTCCGGACTCGGCGTGATCATGGTGCTCGACGGCCTTTTCATCAGCGGTGGTGGGAGAGTCTCCGGTGATGGGCGACTCTCCGGTGTTGTACCTGTCAGAGATCGTATGGGCCTTGCGGGCAGCAGTAAACGAGATGGCCGCAGCGATGACGCCAAAGAGGAGCGTGAACCAGGGTGGGATGACTTGGAGTTTGACTGTTAGGCGCGTGTCAGATTATGAGAAGCATGCAAACAAATGAATTGGACAATTGGCGCAGGGTCGGTCACGCGACAAAAGTCTCGGCCAGTCGGCGATCAAGCAAGCCAGTGCGATTGTAAAGAAAAGGGAACGATACGAACCAGAGTAATTATGCCAGTAATCTGATTTCACGCCTAGACGCGACTGGGTGGCCGCAACGACGGACGGTGCAAGCTCATTGTTGGCGAGGAACGCACGTACGTGTGCATTACCAGTGCGACCAATGTACGTGACTGGAATAGCGCACGCAAGGATCCAAATGTCCATAAAGGCGAGTGAGATCCACTCAAACTTGAGCAATCGCGTCGAGAGGGGTGCGCGACTGATATGGGTCCCCTCAGTCGTTCGCTTGCGTGAATCAAGGAGAATGAGACCAATCCAGATGCTGCACACGACGGATAGAACCCGCAGCCGACCTGGAATTCACTCGGTTAGTGCAAAAGGACCGCGTGGGCAAAAGGAGACGCACGGCTAGCACGATCCCAGAGTTGATGAGGTCAAATGTATCGACCCAGAGACGGATAGGAGCCACCAGTCGCTTCAAATCTGCTACTTGCTGGTTTCGTCTGTGTGCTATTAATAAGGAAGCGGTGTCCAAGAGCAATTTGCGACGTACTTTACAATCGAGTTGATGCCTACAGACCCGCCGATGACGCCAAAGCACCAAGCGAGGGCGAGCGAGACGAGTCGAGCATTCTTGAGCGGCAGCGTCGCAGACATTGAGGAGAGTGCGGGGAACGTGGAGGACGATGTGGAGATAGGTCTTGTCCTTTGGTCGGACGTGGAGAGATCCAAGAAGCCGTCTGAGTGGAGTCGTCCCTCAGAGAGGCCCTCGCCTTTAGTAATGTTTGGCCGGATGTCGGCACCCAAAGTGTAGCCGGTCATACGATTGCCTGAATCAAACTGCATTTCTGCACAATCTAGTCAAACTTTGCTATTCTATGTCTCGTCACCGCATGGTCCTCTGTCATTCGTTGACATCTCCGTTCAACCCCTCCCCTTGACATCTTTGCCGCCCAAACGTCGTCTGACACAGAACAGCTGGCGATCCAGGTCCCGAGCGGCCTTGTCGCCAGATCCAGCGACTAAAGCGGGCTGCATGCGATCCCCGCACCCCGTTTCAGACCTGTGCATGTGCTCTTCTTCGGCGTTCATCTACGGCTAGAGATTAGTATCATTATTGCAACGACCTGTGCATAGTTAAGCGTACCGTCACGTTGGTGATTACGCCTCGGCTACGGCATCCCTCAATAGCCAGAGTATCATCTCTCCACCGCAGGCATGCCAAGGTGAGGAACGGTTCATCTACGAGGACCTTATTGGACCGAGCGTGATTGTCAGACGGTCGTTCCATCGGCGTCGGACACAGATCGCTATCCGTCCCGGCCGATACTTCTTGGTGAGAAAAAAGACGTCGCCTCAGCTGAGAAAGGCGATCGCTAGGGGCAACCAACATCCATCATTCCGAAGTTGACGGGCGCTGCTTGAATGTATCAACCCTGATGAAGGGTAGGCTCCCGCAACGGTCGTCGGAGAAGTAGCGAGGTTGAGATCGCCTGCAGTTGCAGGGTGGGACCATATGAACTATTCAAGGTTGAGCTAAGGAGCCCATATAATAGCCGTATGATGTTGAGCGGCCAGCACGATATCTTTGGTATCCATTCAATCCCCTTTTCCAGAGTCTAATTCGTAATTGAGCTGAAACTTTGACGCCATGAGTACAGGATAATGTGGTCTCAAGGCATGGGCGAGCATTTCAAGCAGAGCGAATGGGTGAATTCCGTCAGGTCTCCATTATCAAAAGCGGGACCTAGAATAATGTCGGAATCTTCATCGGGATTGTGTCGTTTGTGAGTGGATTCGATGAGGCGGTTCGGCCAAACTGTGCTCAGATGCCCTCTGAGGGTTCCGCAGTGATCCGGCTGGCAACACTGCTTCGTTTCCCCTACTTGTTTGATGTCTATGATATGTTATATGATAGTAGCCTTCACAGTGAAATGTTTCACCTAAAGCAACAGGGATGTCGTCGCCATTTTCGTTCACCGATACCACGATGTACAATCGGCTCTTGGCATTGAGGTAGTACAACGTATCATCCTCGATCGAATCGCTATACCTGGGCCGCTCCCAACCAAGACCCTTTGGCGTCCAAGGTTGTACACCTTCTCGTCGGATTCAGATATGTGCAACAACACCCGACACGGTGCCTGCTAAAGGGCTTTGCAACAGTCGGTCGTTAAGGGCGATAAGCGTAACGGGAGGCGGGTGGATGGTGAAGGTGGAAGAGGGCGAATAACGCTGTGTCCACTGATATGTACTTGTTCCGGGAATCGAGAAGGCAAGGGAAAAGAGCGCTAATGGACAAGTCGCACTCCCACCTCACTGTTAAATACGGTTGGTACGAATCCGTTTCCGATTCAGTTACAGCAAGCCGTACCACGTTAGTCGTGGACTTTTTCCTTTGTATTTAAGGACGCATAATGACGCTGTTCCGAGTGATTCTGACGGTGGGTGTGAGATTATGAGTGTTGGTGTTAGGCTGCCAGGGGTGACAGAAAGGCAATTATTTCCGTTGATGGGTCGAGTAAGATGTTCCATCGTTATGATGGCTACGCGAGAAGCCGTAGAGATGGATATGGGGGAGTGTGTGTCGGTGGATAGCTTGTAATCACGACTGCCTGCTGGTAGAATCTGGATTGTGAACTTTTACGAGGGGCTGCATAGGTTGGCTTGTGGAGCGAAGATCAGAGAATCGACATATTAACCCCGTAGTCGTTAGTTGCCCAAGCGGTGAGACTTGGCAGAATAGATACGAGGGAACGGGTTTCTGGGTCCACTCAGTCATGGCCTCGGCGAGCACACAAGGCAGAGTTGATGGGCGAACAATGTCAGATCCTCGGTATCAAAAGCACGGCTGAGGATGGCGTTGGGATCGTCGTTGGGCTTATGTCGTTTGTAAGCAGAATTAACATAGCGGGTCGGCCAAATGGTACTTAGGTGACCCCTGAGGGTCCCGCAATGATTCGGCTGGCAGCATTGCCTTGTTGCTCCCATAGGTTTGATGTCTATTGTATATGTTATGATTGGCCACCTAGACTCTGGGAATCGTCTTACCTAAAGCGACGGGAAATTCATTTCCATTTTCACTAACGACTGCTACGATATAGTAGCGGTTGTTTGTGGAATCAACAAAGTCGAGCGTATGCTCCTCGATCATCTTGTCGTATTCGACCTGTTCCAAACCAAGTCCCTTTGGGGTCCAAGGCTGTTTTCCTTCTTGTCGAATCCATATATTTGGTACGTCGACTTGATGCAAGTCTCTTAAAAGCCACACGAGACTGCTGTAACAGGCACCTTGGGCTAAATGAAGAGTTTCTCGGATCAATATGGTGAATATCCTCTGATATGGACATACTAATCGTGATGGGCAACGGTTCTGGGCAATCCATACTGGAAAGAGTCACGCTGAGGAGGTTCTGTGTCTGGTTTGCAGTGGTGTTCGACTGAGGGGTCTGATCTTGGAGAACCTTGAGATCATATTCAATTGCCTTTATCTCCTCGGTTTCATCGTTCGCTACATCCTCTGCGGGGCGTTGCTGTGCGGGGGTATATGGGCTATTAGCGATCGTAAGCCGGAGTGTAAGTTACCTTCAGCTTATTCAGACGTTCATATCCCTTCTTTATAATCTGTGCGCGTTCCTCGTGACGCTCTAATGACCGACCTCGTGGAAGTTCATCTTTGAGTTGTTGAACGAGCTGGAGTAGTTTCTGGCTCCTATAGGTTGTTAGAGGTTGTCGGGGGGTATCTCTAGTACCTTATCCGTCCCGGATTGTCTCGCTTCTCACCTAAGTTTCGGACCTTGGCTTGTCTATGATCAACAGTAGGTCCCGAAGCGTTGAGGATCCTCACGGTGGTGTTTCGTGGGATTGAGGCTGAGGTTGGGCAGGGCAGCTTCATTCTGAGATTACTTTGAGCCCGAACAAGGTCTGTGACGAGGTTGGTGGCATGGTGGAATTCTTACTATAGAAGGAATTAAGGCACTGCCACACGCCACTGCTTGCCCATTTCCCCCGCCATGTGGAGAGGAATACCTACTCTGAACAAGTCAGGAAATAGCTCGGATCCGCTTAAACGCTCGAGAAAAATGCCACTAATCTTACTTTGCCTCGACCGAGTTCTCTGAGACGCTGAGCATCCCATCAGTCATCCGTATGTGATCCATCTCTTGAATCTTATCAATATCAATGTCAAACCAGGCATCGATAGAAATGGGCTAGGAAAGACGACAGGTCCAGCCCCATTTCCCCACCTTGAAAGGCGGCCACTCAAACCTGGAGGAAGGCCCATCGCTCATTTGGTAGAAAGGATAATTGAAACCGAATACTTCCTACTAAATCTCCTACGTTATAAACCCTTAGAGAGATACCAGCTTTACTGCCCATGGAGGGAACGGGTTTACTGAGTCGGAGAGGCGCAAAGACACCCCGCGTGTCCGAGCGCGTTTCTTTGAGCAGGAAAGACGAGAAGAAAGCCGCCCTCTATGCGTGCCTTTCTATTTACTTAAGCCTGTCAGGGAATGTCGTCTTTCGTTTTACCTTTACCCAATCGGAAAGTCCGGCATAGACGTGGTAGTTTCCTAGCGCTTTCTTGCTGAGGATTGACAGTCTTTCTCAAGGGATATCTTTGTAGTAGAATGACAGCGATTCCATGTCCCTTTCATGACATGGAAAGACGTAATATCCAATGATTTCGGACGATGGTTCTGACGATTACAGAGCCCCATTGAACTACGTGACCTCCAAGCTGGCCTGCCCCAAGATGCCTACCATGGTGACTGGCTTCAGTCATTGCCAAGGGTCGATCGGCGCAGGATCGAAATGACAGAAAAGTATCGGAGCTATAAAATGCCAATCGAACTCATCAAACAGGCGGCCAGCGACCTGGACGAGCAAGCTCGGGCCCTACAAGCTGCCGACGCAATGGAAGCTAGCTAAAGATATCAGAATCTACATTTTCTTTCTCTCTGTTCGTCTACCCTCTCCTGTGTGTTCATCTGCCTCCCTCTCGTCCTGTTGTTCATCTGCCTCCTTCTCGTCCTGTCTGTTGATCTTCCTCCTTCTCTTCTTGTTTTTTCATCCGCCTAATCCTTGTCCTGTCTATTCATTCGCCTCCTTGTCGTCCTGTCCGTTTGTCCGTCTCCTTGTCTCGTCTGTTCGTTCGCCTTCTTTGTATGTTATATACGTAAACATATAGTTTCAAATATACTAATGTCGAAAATCTTGGACTGGTCTGATCGAATAATAAGCCTTTTCGATCATCTAGAAGAGCTATTTCGTGATATCAACGAGGCAACCGGCGAGCCCATCCATATCACCGAACTCTGTCAGCGGTTAGATCTCGCTTATTTCACATGTTGCCTCGATGTTCCTGGATCCATCGACATCCGGCGTTCATTCATAGACTACATCAAGCATGGCGAATTGGACGCCTTGCAGTACAATCGACTATACGTTCCCCACTATGGGTCCCAATACGAGCGTTTAAAACTCTCAGCACAGTGGGACCTCGAGCATCCATTACTTCATAACGAGGCTCTCATTACGATTGATCCCGTCCTGGACGATGAAAGATGGCCAAGCTCTGAATGAAAGCTTTCTCAAATGAGCGATGGGCCTTCCTCCAGGTTTGAGTGGCCGCCTTTCAAGGTGGGGAAATGGGGCTGGACCTGTCGTCTTTCCTAGCCCATTTCTAGCGACTCTGGAAATGGTCACTTTGGGCCTCTTTCCAGTGCACCGCCACCGCTGGAAAGGCCCTGGACTTGCACCGTGCTTGATCCCCCATGCCCGCTTGCTCCTATCCAAGTCAAAATGCATAATGAAGGTCTTTTGGAAAAATTCAACGTATTCCCAGTTCTTAGAGGTCTATTCGTAGGACTGCTTCCTGCAATTAAGATGGGAGAGCTGCGCAAGCCTCAGAGAAGCGGCATTTTGGACTTGGTGCGGGCCACAGATACTTTATAGACAGTTTCATTACAAACTTTAAATGTTATTACTTTGAAATTAGCAGCTCTATGCAGTTCACAAGTCGTCACAGTCTTGCTTGAGATTCCGGTGTGTTACTATCAGGCCTTTAAGCGGGTTTGGCCGCTTTGAATATTGTCTCTCTTGTAACTATTCCCATTATCTGGATTAGTATGGCGAGAGATTTACTGGCATCACGGACAATGGACTTGGCTAGCGACTATAGCCCTCTGACCTTGCCAGGGCTCCGCATCATCAGCTAACACGTCCAGATAGTTTTAATGGTCTTTAAATATGATTTTATTACTCATTTCAATCTAGCCTGGTGTTTAGTTGCTCAAGATCAATCTCGAGACGGAGGTCGAGCGATCTGCACAGTAATGTTCATTTGGAGTGATTTTCGTAGAAATTCTTTTCTGACTGCTTCAGTCTCTTATTTCGCCCTCAAATTCAATCAATTTGTAGATAAGAAGCCAATCTACATTTCTTAAATTGATCGAGACTTTACATGTATTCGTTAGCCTACAAATGGTGAAATGGGTGGCGGGTGGCACATGTGTGAACACTTGATGTGGTCACTGTAAGATCTCTGCGCCATACTTTTCTGTGTGCTGCGTGTATATAGACGGACCTGAGGACATTGAGAGACCAACGAATGCCATCTTCTTCTTCGGCGCCGCGCACTCTGGTCTCGAGACTACCACTCTCCTCGAGACAATCAACCGTTTGACGTCGATGTACATGAAGGCTACAAACTTCATTCTCAAGGACCTTCAGTTCCACTCGTCCGAACTCGAAAACATACAGAGCCTGTACGTTGCAGCGAGCGAGAAAATCAGCAGCATATACTTCTGCGAAGAGTACAAGACAACTTATGAGAGGAAACGGCGGAGACTGGTTAGTGTCAATCTTGTCTGGCCTTGAAAGCCACTGACTGGAGTAGAGCGTTCCGCTTCACCCCGCAGTCATCGCCGGGAACCGAAATTGCATAACAAACGTGCTCTATGCGGACCACGAAAGTTTGGTTCGGTTCCCTGATGCAACGAGTGAAAACTATCAAGTAGTTCTTCACTATCTCAATGACTATTGCGACAGTGCCCCTGGAGTGGTGATGGAGAAGTGGCTTATAGAGGACAACCTGCGTACTTCGCATTCATTCTCTCCTCTCTGATTAGCTGATCTGTATGCAGGTGCAACGGAAGAGCTCACTATCTGGAATGTCACACTACCAAAAGCCCTTCCACCTATGTCAATGTATTACATTGACCGACCAGAAATTCACTCCCTCATCACGCGGATACTACTTCTAGATGGTCGTCCGAAACGTCAACCACGATGCATACTGCATGGGCTTGGAGGGGCAGGCAAAACTCAGCTGGCAACTAACTGGATTCAGGAGTACAAAAGCAGGTACGAGCTATGGGGACCACCATGGAAAGATCTGACTTGTTTCTAGGTTTACTTGGGTAATATTTGTCGACGCTTCCAGTCAAACACAAATAGAAGCAGACCTGCAGCTGGCGATTCGCTCCCTAGGCCCGGAATACAGTCACACGACTTGGGAGGATGCAATGGCCTACCTCGATGGCAAGGGGAAAGGCTGGCTACTGTTCGTCGACAATGCCGACTCACCAAACCTTAACCTCGACCCATATCTCCCTACTTCCATTCACGGGACGATTCTGGTTACCACAAGGAATTATGAATGCATCGGTTATGCCCCAGACGGTGCAGTTCCTGTCGGTGGTCTCCAGGAATGTGAGGCAGTGAACCTCCTCCATATAGTCGCCAATGTTAAACCTACATCCAACGGCGAGTCGCTTGAGATTGTTAGGGAGCTAGGAATGCTAGCACTCGCGATTACTCAAGCAGGGACGTATATTCGCAATACCCAGCGCCTTAGTGGATACCTCGACACATTTCGAAAGCATAGACGTCGACTTCTGCGCAAGCACCCAGATACTGGTTCCTATTACAAGCTCTCGACATACGCGACGTTTGACCTCTCATTCATTCAATTACCAACAAAGACACAGGAGTTCATGAAGCTATGCGCATTCCTTTATCATTCCTTCATCCCAATCACCCTGTTTGAGCAGTCGACAGAGTCCGGCTTCTGCACGCACACCATCCTGGACGATTGTCCTCCGCCAGAAAGTGACAAAGTATTCATATCAAAGCTCCAGGAGATTCTGGGCACGACATGGGACGAAATTGCATTCCAGGAGATCGTCGACTCGGCATTACGCGCGTCGTTTATCCAGGTTTCGACTGATGGGTTATTCTACACCATTTCACCCCTCCTTCAGATGTACATCAAGGACTCTCTGGATGGAGAGGAACCTCAACGCTACCTACGGACGGTAGTACAACTTCTGCTGGGGGCAATCAGGCCCTCGGAGGGTAGCAACATAAAGCTCAGGCAGTTACTCTGTCATACCAACAACATTCCTTGGTCCCTGAAATCGGAGAATGTGGCACACACGCTGGCTTTCCACGAGCTTTATAATGCCTTATGTGACTGGAAGGTGTGCCGAGAGATGTTGGAGTCTGCTCTTTCCCAACTTCACCAAACTGAAGGCAGAAGTCATGAGAGCTCGATATGGCTCATGGGTAAAATTGCTATTGCCACATGGAATTGTGGTCGGTTGGAGGAAGCAGAAAAATTACAGCGAGACGTTCTCAGCCTGCGGCGTGAGACCAATGGATCACAGCACCCGGGCACACTCTCGGCAATGTCCGACCTCGCAATCATGTTGCGGGACGTTGGGAAATTGGACGAGGCGGAAAAGGTGCAGAGAGAGGTGCTTGATATGCTTATTGGGCTTCATGGACGGCGATATCAAGACACGATCTCAGCAATGGGTAACCTTGCAATCACGTTGCGGACACGTGGTCAGATGGACTCGGCAGGAGAGATGCAGCGAGAAGTACTCGCCCTACGGCACGAGCTTCTTGGTCAATACCATACAGATACACTCTCTGCAATGAGTGACCTTGCAATGACGCTGCGGACACGTGGTCAGTTGGAAACGGCGGAAGCAATGCAAAAAGTTGTAGTCAACCTGCGGCTCACGGTCCTCGAGCGACATCATCCAGGCACCATATCGGCAATGGATGACCTTGCGGCTACTCTGCGAATACGTGGTCAGTTTGACGAGGCAAAAACGATGCAGCGGGAGGTGCTTGCCTTGCGGCTCGACCTCCTCGGTCAACAACATCCAGACACACTCTCAGCAATGAGTAATCTTGCAATCATATTGCGGACAAGTAACCAGTTGGACGAAGCAGAAACGATGCAGCGAGAAGTACTCGCTTTGTGGCGCCAGCTCCTTGGACAACATCATCCGGACACTATCTCGGCAATGGGGAACCTTGCAGTTACGCTGCAGAGGCGGGATCTCTTGAACGAGGCGGAAGCAATGCAGCGAGAGGTGCTCACTCTACGGCTCAAGGTCCTTGGTCGACACCATCCAGACACACTCTCAACAATGAGTGATCTTGCAATCATATTGCGGACAAGCAACCGGTTGGACGAAGCGGAAACGATGCAGCGAGAAGTACTCGCTTTGCGGCGCGAGCTTCTTGATCAACACCACCCAGACACAATCTCAGTAATAGGCGACCTCGCAACCACGCTCAGGGCACGTGGTAAGGTGGAAGAGGCAGGAAAGATGCAGCGGGAAGTATTTCGCCTGCGACTCGACCTCCTTGGCCGACAGCCTCCGGACGTAATCTCAACAGTGGACAATCTTGCAGTCTCGTTTGTGAGGCAAAGCCATTCGAATCAGATAGATAAGGTAATACAACCAGAAACGGTTTGGGATGAAGGATCGGCGGAAGTGAAAAACGAAAAGGATCCCGCTCCCTTCATGAGCAATGTCTGTGCCGAGTTTTATATTATTCGCACTGACAACATTACCAGAGTACCCCCAGTCTTGTTGATAATCCTACCCCTGACAGTGCCGACCTAAACTCTGCTAAGACTGGAAAGAAGGTACTTACACATCCAACGTCCCATTTTTCGTCTTTTCTGACACTCAACAGCGTAAACGCGACATAGATGACGGCAATACAAGACGAAGCGTGTCCATTCTCAAAACGGTCAGCAGTCGTATCGCAAAAATACTAGGGATAACCGAATGATTGGTCTCTAAAAGACTGATTTTATACATTCGACCCACGTCTGGCCTATACCTTCCGTAATCCTACCTATCGTTGCAACTTGACCTCGCACCTCTTTTTAAATCTCATTCAACCTCCACTATGGTGTTGTGCACATTAAAAGATAAATATATTGTATTTTCGCGTGTACAATAGCTCTTAATCCTCGTAGCCAAGGCTACCAGAGAATGATCCGCGAGTTACTGTATGACTATGGATTTTACGAACCCTCCGGAAGCATAAAACCGCACTGACGCTCGAAACAAAGGGTTGAAAACCTCTAGGTACATTCATACCTATACCAAGTCGATCTCCGTCCCTTATAAGCCCTGTCCGAAACCTTGTGTCCAAAGCGGCATTTCATTGAGCACTAGACAAGTGATATTACATGGACAGCAGCAATACGAAGATTAATACAGAGCACCTAATTACAATAGTTCGCATCATTCGACTTCTCAATGTTTGAGAATCCCACCACGCTCAGCGATCCAGTTGCCTTCCTCGTCCATCCAACCTTGTCCGGGATCCGGGTAATCCTTGAACATGGGGTGCCACTCCATAGACGCATGTGGCTGATGCCGAACCACACCTTTACGAATAAACTCATCTCCACGTCGATTAAAGAACCCCTTTGGACGAGCGTACACTTGTTCTGCGTGGTAATATTGCTGAGGACGAGTTTGAGAGAGTGTACGGACGCGCGATGTACCCGTAGGTGAATGACCTGTGAGATTGGACGTCATATTCGTCGGGAGCGAGCCGACCATGTGCGGCTTTCCTGGCGATGCAGAGATGTACGCCGTCTGATATCCACCGAGGGGTTGCGCAACAGGTGGTGGGTTGACGACGGCAAGCCTTGGAGTCGAATACGGTGGCGTAACGGGAGGAGCGTGCATGACGGGCCTGGATGGTGACGACGAAAAGGAGACACGCGGTGTGGAAGCAGATTGCCCTCGCTTATGACTGCTGGGTTGGGTTTGTTCTCTGGATGTGGAAGGAAAGGGGATAGCAATGGGCGCGGATGGACGGGGCGCTGTTGCGCTCACACTTCGTTGGCGTACGTATCCAGCTGGTACGGGTGTCGTGGCCAGGGGGACTGCGGTACCATAGGGTACTGAATCAGGGACAGCGAGCCACGTCGCGCTATTCGTAGACTTGCTTTCCTTTGGCTGAGAAGACGTGTAATGACGTTCGTCAGAGTGAGTTCTACGGTGCGAGTGAGAAGGCGAGTGAGAGGGTGAGTGAGAAGGTGAGTGTTCGCGCTGTTGGTGGTGACGAGAAGGCGAATGTTCGCGTTGGTGGCTCGAGTGGCCATTGTAAACGGCTACGTGAGACGCTGCAGCGATAGATGCAGCATCAGAGCGGGTGGGTTGGTAGGAATGCCGATGAAGACGGGAAGGTGAATGCTCTGGTTGCTTTGGCTGCTGGGATGGCGAGTGAGAGTGAGAGTTTGAGCGGGAATGGGAATGCCTGTTGGCAGATTCCGAGGAATATACTTGTATGGGCTGCGTGATAGGACTTGTCGAGTGACGATGGGAAGATTGAGCATGTTTGGAGGGTATGGGTACCGGCACGGCGCGTGACGGCGGCGCTTGATGGGAGCTGCTCACAGATGGATATTGGAGTTGTACTGGGGCCTGTCCGTGTGGTTGTACAACTACTGAGACTGGATTACTGCTATTCTTGGGAGAACGTGAGATGGTAATGGTATGCTGAGGGACCTTTGGGGGCTCGGTCGAGCGAGAGAACAATTTTGTGGTGAACATAGTAAAGGGGACGAGGGTCAAGTTGTGTTTTGTTTGTACCTCGTCTTCGATGAGTGATGATCCCCAAAAAAAAGTTGGGCGACCTAAATACGCGCGTCAGAGTCAGTAACCAGCCTCTGACACAGCAAATCGGCGCGATTTAGAGGACATACGTGGTCGATAGAATAATCCGCTGATGAGTGATCGGTCAGCGGCGCTGTTCTCGTGAACTGCTGGGTCACGGCTTGGTCGGATCCAAATATCCAAAGACAGCCTGCTGAGGTAGGTTGCTGTGGTCTAGTTTGCGGTTTAAGATGACCTCTGGGCCGCAATGTAAACCTGGAGGAACGTGTGGGCAGTTAGGACACTGATTAATCAACGTGCTGGGAGTAGGCGCACACCTTTTTGTATCATGGCATGCGAAATGAAGAACCCTTTAACTGAGGAATGTGGAAGACGGCGAGGCGTCAAAGCCTGATGGCGGTACGGTCTAAGCCCCAGTCGGCCATACGGTCAATCGGAATCTTCATGAGAGAATGGCGTTCGGAGTTTGAGCGGCCAGCCCCCGAACGGACCCGGGACTGTCTAATATGCACAAGCAATACCTAATAATCGATCAGTCTCCCCACAATGAGGCTTTGGCGTGGTGTAACGCAGGCAATCGGTCCATTCAACCCACTTGGAGCTAGACCACAGCCATCTCCATGGGCAAACGAAAGCGGCCAGTAATAGACTCTGACTCGGAAGATTCCTTGGATCACCAGAATATCAACCTCAGGGGGCTACACAGCGACGAAGAAAGCACGGCACAGAAAACGACGAGGTAGTCAACTTGAACAGCCATGTACTCACCTCACACATCTTAGACAGCCTACAGCCATAACAAACAGTTCTCCAACCAAGGGAGCGGGATCATTACTCGCGGCCTTGAACCTCGTACAAGAGGTGGACCAGTAACGCTCATGAAACCCTGCTTTTTGTCCTTCTGATACACCTAATAGAGTCACATCTACCTCGTCATCTCCCACCAAACCGGCCGCTTCACCAAGGAAGAAGAAGACAAACCAAAAACCAATACCCATTGCGAAGCCAGAGTCTGAATGGCGCGCGTCTGATGTTCCAAGGGGTCTCGACGTGACAAAAGGAAACGCCCAGAAACTGTTCCATGTACGTCAACGCGACCTCGTAGGCCCTTCTCAAACAGAAGCACATAGGTCACCGCTCGCGACATTGATGCATCTGGGATCCGGTTTCGCACAGAGAAGCGATCCCGTGGTCTTGCAGGTATCATGCATCTTTACCAGATGCGAGACGTTGAACGAGTGGCGTGGGCAAAGCACGGTAGTCCTGAGGGATACGATACCTAGTAAACATCTTTAACAATACCTTTTCGCATGCTGATGATACGAAGCATTCAGAACCAAAGGGAACTATGGCTCTCGAGGGGTAAGGATCCCCTCAAGTTTATTTCTGTCCCTCGACCATTCCGCTATGAGCGCGCAGGACGGTGCAAGCAATGTCAAACGTCGTTTGCCATGCCTACTCAGATGATCATCGACAAGTGCGAACCGTGTCGTGGTATCCTCTGCAGACCGTCTGTCCTTGTGCTCTTTGACCCAGAGGTCAACCGCGAGGCAGCAGACGAAGAGGATTCCGAAGCCGAGTCTGAAGTATGCCTTCACCAATGCCTTTGCCTTGGGCTGAATACCTTTCAGATAGAAGACTGATAGTGAGAACGTGATTGTAGGATGCATAGTAACCAAGCTTGTTTCGACTGTAATGCATGTCTTTGGCCCGGCTATGAAAGCACGAGCACCAGCCGGACGAGCCGCATTGCGTCGCTTGAGCCCGACCATTACTTGTACAAAATCTGTAAACAAGCAAATGGACTCGTTCAGCTGGTCAGATTCGATTCGTGCAACTCTTGGGACATGTCTACCATGCATCAAACCCGCCAACGACGCCTCTGACGACGACGAGCCGCAGCGTCGACGACGTGGTGCGCGAGGAGCAGGCGCAATACGACAACCAGCCTCTACAGCACGCGAAGAACTTGAACGATTACTCGACCAGCCCGTCTCATCCGACGAAGACGTAGAGACCATGTCACTGCACTCTAACGTTGGCCGACGCCGAGCCAAGCGGTCCTCCAAAAACAAACGCGTGGTGAAAACTGTGCGTTTATTCGGTGTGGATTTATTTGGACGACGAGATGTCGCTTCCACGTCTGCTAACGACGACGAGGAACAAGAGGAGAGGAGAGCAGCGCGGAGGAATAGACGTCCACGCGCCATTTCCACGTCGACGCTAGATTCAGACGCTGCGCCCCTTGCAGACGAACAGATTACAGACTTTACTACGCGTGCGAACCAGCGATGGGCACCTACGCACACAGACGAGGAGCTCGCAGTCGAAGAGAGGCGCGAGCGAGAGCGAATCGAAAAGGAGATGCGTAGAGAGGAGCGTAAAGAGCGTAAAGCACTCAAAAAGCTCGCTCAGCAAGGCGCATTTGCAGGTGAAGATGAAGAGTTTGAGGGGTTCCCTGGAAGTGGCGCTGGCGTCGTCGTCACACCTCGTCGAGGATCCAGTTCAATCGCATCTCCTGCACCAGATGCTGGTGCTGCCGACGAATTTGGTCCATTCGTCGCTGGTTCTCAAGCCTCGACACACCAACGAACGGCGAGCGAGGATCGTGAAGAGGAAGAGGCCGACTTTGACGCGGCTGCCTATACCAAAAAGTCGAGCTGGTGGAGATGGTAGTCAAAGCGGTAGTGGTTCACACTCTAGGAGCCGCTCGAGAACCTCTGCTTCCTTTCCGCAGATGGCTCGACTACCCGGCCAAAGCCAGGGCGTTCTCCCCAGCCGTCTCCTTTGGGCCAGGAGTTTAATGGCCCATCTTCACCAAAACCGACGAGTGTGACACCCCGCAAGAAAAAGGAGAAAAAGGACCACACTCGTGCTAAACCATCCAAGTCCTCCTTGGGCTCTTCGACCGCGACACCCTCTTTGCCATCTCCTAAATCATCACCTGCTCTAGATGTCAAGATTCATTCCCAAGACTTTGATGGTGCGTTTCACAATCGTTTTGTCATCGAAGTTCTCTGACGGGGTCATCCAGGCGTTCCAGGAGGATTGGTTACTCCTCGTGATCATCTCAATGCATTCGCCCAGTCATCGATGCCTTCTCCCTCCTTTCCATCCGCTGGATTCCCCTCTACCGGCTTTGGCGGCTTTAAGCGTTCCACAAGTGGCCTGAGCGGCAACGCAGGTGTAGCTCTTGCGAGACGCGGGGACGATTAAGTTTAAAAATTTGGCACCACGTGCGTGCTTTGGCTCGGCATCTTCGTTTGGAACAATTTCAGGACCCCCATCAACATCGCCACGCATAATCGACTCGTCACGACCTTACGACTATTTCTATGATTCATTATTTGCTCATGTAGTGCTGTCCATGCTATGCCACATCCATTACCTCGCAATCTTGGCCACATTCACTGACACGTCTGGCCGATCCGTAACTCATAATGACCATGGTTCGCGTGATATATAGCTTGCTAACCCATTTCCCCTGTGCCAATGACAAAACTCGAGCCGCGGTGTCGTCCCCTCGCAAGCTTTGCGGATGTGGCAACATTTCAAAGGGTGAATTGGACGGATTCCTCTGATACTACTGATCCAAATATACTTTCGAGGGAAATGTGATAGGGTGGCAGCATGATGGACCAGCCAGCCGAAACTCCCAACTCGTCTACAACACCTCACTTCGCCAAAATCCACTCGATAAACACTCAAATGGAACGTCTCGTGCCTGTATCAGAGTTTTGTGCAGAGCATCGGCTGGTGGCGAACACGACGGCGTATCTCAGGTGTAAACATGTCAGCTGGTCGCCACATTCGAGATGATTCGCTAAATAATTTACGCAGCTCAATAAGTGGTCAAAGTATCTGACCGAGAAAGCTGGCTTTCGGAAGCTGGGCTTCACCAGTTGGCCCCGCCTTTCCACACACCACGTGAGGTAGCCGCCTTTAACCCTAAAAAAAGAGGCTTCTCTGTTGATTTGATGCTAACAGACTTGATAATGAGGTCACCAAGCGGCTTTATACCGACCGACGGATCAAGCGTGCCAACAAGACGAGCGACGACGAGGAGATCCAGATTCGTAGGACATATCCTGACATGCACCCTCATCTCAGTCGACGATACTTGACCTTTCGATCCGAAAAGTCTTGCCTATCCCAAGGTGCGCCAGAAGCCATCTTCAGCCAGCCAGGATCGCTGACGATGTCTATGTGCAAAGACGTCACACAAAACGTGATATCAAATGTCATTTATAACTCTGAGCTACACAAGTGGACGCCAGAGATGGTCGTCCTATTCGAGTCGCCACCCACTGGGCCTGGTAGAGGACTCAAACACAAGCGCGAGGTCATCATGCGTGAGCCAGCGTGGTTCATCTGGAGCGAGCAAATGTGCGAGCAGTTCAAACTGCTCAACCTGCTCAGCTTAAACTTTAATGACCCGGAAGACAAGGCGCAAATGTATACCTATCACGGCGAAAACTCGTACGAAGCCAAAGCTTTACGACATATACGCAAGGTGGTCAAACTAAGAGAGATAGAGCAGGAGAAAAGGACTACCAACGCGTGCAAAGGATGCAGAAATCAGAGGAATGTGCCGACGCTGTGCCTTTGGCGGGCGCGTCATGTACAAACACGGCAAAATCAGAAATGCCGTCATCTAAAGATGCGACTGATACGCAAAGGAAGACGAGACAAGAGCTACAGCCGGAAGGAGAGGACGACGCAGTGGACGACTTCTCAACCTCCACGCAAACGCCGCTGCCGCGGGGATCCATCGCGACCTCATTATATTATTTCCGTACACAAATATACTTCCAAACGAGGAAGATGCCGAATATTGGAGATATTTGTGGAGCTTCTTCATCAAATCCCAAGCCTACTTTGACCGCGTGGCGAGCTTTATTCCCGCAGACGTGATCAAGACACTGCCGCCGCTTCTTGAACCGACGACCTGCACCTGTGCATGGGAGACATTTCGACAACGAGCGGCCAAGATTGATGCTTTGGGCAGGGTTATTGATCCGCATTCAAAACGAGATCCTTTGAAGATGAAAGTCTTCCTGTGGATGAAAATGAGCCGGAGGAAACCCAAACATATACCAAGGAAGAGCTTGCGCCAATCGCAGCCCGAGCAAACCGACGAACATGCGCAATGCGAGGCTCAAACAACGGACGGGGTGCCTCCAGCTATCACTGTGACTAGTGCTGCGCAGTCAAACCCATACGCGCACTAAAGAGCGCATTGGCCTGCGTCTCTTCTCCCACCAAAATTCTGAAGCCATACGCCCTTTGGACGTCAGAGGAATCTGATATATCACTTGCATCGGAGTCGACATTGATCAGCACATCTCAGAAGATACTTAGATGAAAGCGATGCGAACATTGGAAAACATCTTGCGGCCTTGAACCTCGTACAAGAGGTGGACCAGTAACGCTCATGAAACCCTGCTTTTTGTCCTTCTGATACACCTAATAGAGTCACATCTACCTCGTCATCTCCCACCAAACCGGCCGCTTCACCAAGGAAGAAGAAGACAAACCAAAAACCAATACCCATTGCGAAGCCAGAGTCTGAATGGCGCGCGTCTGATGTTCCAAGGGGTCTCGACGTGACAAAAGGAAACGCCCAGAAACTGTTCCATGTACGTCAACGCGGCCTCGTAGGCCCTTCTCAAACAGAAGCACATAGGTCACCGCTCGCGACATTGATGCATCTGGGATCCAGTTTCGCACAGAGAAGCGATCCCGTGGTCTTGCAGGTATCATGCATCTTTACCAGATGCGAGACGTTGAACGAGTGGCGTGGGCAAAGCACGGTAGTCCTGAGGGATACGATACCTAGTAAACATCTTTAACAATACCTTTTCGCATGCTGATGATTCAAATTCAGAATAATTCTACTCTCGAGGGGTAATATACCTCTTGTCGACCATTTCGCTATGAGCGCGACCGGTCCAAGCAATGTCAAACGTCGTGCATGCCTACTCAGATGATCATCGACAAGTGCGAACCGTGTCGATGGATCCTCGCAGACCGTCTGCCTTGTGCTCTTTGCAGAGAGGTCAACCGCGAGGCAGCAGACGAAAGGATTCCGGCCGAGTCGAAGTAGGCCTTCACCAATGCGTCTGCCTTACGACCTTTCAGATAGAAGACTGATAGTGAGAACGTGATTGTAGGACGCATAGTAACCAAGCTTGTTTCGACTGTTGCATGTCTTGGCCCGGCTATGAAAGCACGAACCAGCCGACGACCATTGCGTCGCTTGAGCCCGCCATTACTTGTCAAAATCTTAAGCAAGAAATGGACTCGTTCAGCTGGTCAATTCATTCGTGCAACTCTTGGGACATGTCTACCATGCATCAAACCCGCCAATCGACGCCTCTGACGCCGACGAGCCGCAGCGTCGACGACGTGGTGCGCGAGGAGCAGGCGCAATACGACAACCAGCCTCTACAGCACGCGAAGAACTTGAACGATTACTCGACCAGCCCGTCTCATCCGACGAAGACGTAGAGACCATGTCACTGCACTCTAACGTTGGCCGACGCCGAGCCAAGCGGTCCTCCAAAACAAACGCGTGGTGAAAACTGTGCGTTTATTCGGTGTGGATTTATTTGGACGACGATGTCGCTTCCACGTCTGCTAACGACGACGAGGAACAAGAGGAGAGGAGAGCAGCGCGGAGGAATAGACGTCCACGCGCCATTTCCACGTCGACGCTAGATTCAGACGCTGCGCCCCCAGACGAACAGATTACAGACTTTACTACGCGTGTGAACCAGCGATGGGCATGGGCACAGAGAGCGAGGAGCTCAGTCGAAGAGAGGCGCGAGCGAGAGCGAATCGAAAAGGAGATGCGTAGAGAGGAGCGTAAAGAGCGTAAAGCACTCAAAAAGCTCGCTCAGCAAGGCGCATTTGCAGGTGAAGATGAAGAGTTTGAGGGTTCCCTGGAAGTGGCGCTGGCGTCGTCGTCACACCTCGTCGAGGATCCAGTTCAATCGCATCTCCTGCACCAGATGCTGGTGCTGCCGACGAATTTGGTCCATTCGTCGCTGGTTCTCAAGCCTCGACACACCAACGAACGGCGAGCGAGGATCGTGAAGAGGAAGAGGCCGACTTTGACGCGGCTGCCTATACCAAAAAGAGTCGAGCTGGTGGAGATGGTAGTCAAAGCGGTAGTGGTTCACACTCTAGGAGCCGCTCGAGAACCTCTGCTTCGCTTTCCGCAGATGGCTCGACTACCCGGCCAAAGCCAGGGCGTTCTCCCCAGCCGTCTCCTTTGGGCCAGGAGTTTAATGGCCCATCTTCACCAAAACCGACGAGTGTGACACCCCGCAAGAAAAAGGAGAAAAAGGACCACACTCGTGCTAAACCATCCAAGTCCTCCTTGGGCTCTTCGACCGCGACACCCTCTTTGCCATCTCCTAAATCATCACCTGCTCTAGATGTCAAGATTCATTCCCAAGACTTTGATGGTGCGTTTCACAATCGTTTTGTCATCGAAGTTCTCTGACGGGTCATCCAGGCGTTCCAGGAGGATTGGTTACCTCGTGATCATCTCAATGCATTCGCCCAGTCATCGATGCCTTCTCCCTCCTTTCCATCCGCTGGATTCCCCTCTACCGGCTTTGGCGGCTTTAAGCGTTCCACAAGTGGCCTGAGCGGCAACGCAGGTGTAGCTCTTGCGAGACGCGGGGACGATTAAGTTTAAAAATTTGGCACCACGTGCGTGCTTTGGCTCGGCATCTTCGTTTGGAACAATTTCAGGACCCCCATCAACATCGCCACGCATAATCGACTCGTCACGACCTTACGACTATTTCTATGATTCATTATTTGCTCATGTAGTGCTGTCCATGCTATGCCACATCCATTACCTCGCAATCTTGGCCACATTCACTGACACGTCTGGCCGATCCGTAACTCATAATGACCATGGTTCGCGTGATATATGTGCTTGCTAACCCATTTCCCCTGTGCCAATGACAAAACTCGAGCCGCGGTGTCGTCCCCTCGCAAGCTTTGCGGATGTGGCAACATTTCAAAGGGTGAATTGGACGGATTCCTCTGATACTACTGATCCAAGTATACTTTCGAGGGAAATGTGATAGGGTGGCAGCATGATGGACCAGCCAGCCGAAACTCCCAACTCGTCTACAACACCTCACTTCGCCAAAATCCACTCGATAAACACTCAAATGGAACGTCTCGTGCCTGTATCAGAGTTTTGTGCAGAGCATCGGCTGGTGGCGAACACGACGGCGTATCTCAGGTGTAAACATGTCAGCTGGTCGCCACATTCGAGATGATTCGCTAAATAATTTACGCAGCTCAATAAGTGGTCAAAGTATCTGACCGAGAAAGCTGGCTTTCGGAAGCTGGGCTTCACCAGTTGGCCCCGCCTTTCCACACACCACGTGAGGTAGCCGCCTTTAATCCTAAAAAGAGACTTCTCTGCTGATTTGATGCTAACAGACTTGATAATGAGGTCACCAAGCGGCTTTATACCGACCGACGGATCAAGCGTGCCAACAAGACGAGCGACGACGACGAGATCCAGATTCGTAGGACATATCCTGACATGCACCCTCATCTCAGTCGACGATACTTGACCTTTCGATCCGAAAAGTCTTGCCTATCCCAAGGTGCGCCAGAAGTCATCTCCAGCCAGCCAGGATCGCTGACGATGTCTATGCGCAAAGATGTCACACAAAACGTGATATCAAATGTCATTTATAACTCTGAGCTACACAAGTGGACGCCAGAGATGGTCGTCCTATTCGAGTCGCCACCCACTGGGCCTGGTAGAGGACTCAAACGCAAGCGCGAGGTCATCATGCGTGAGCCAGCGTGGTTCATCTGGAGCGAGCAAATGTGCGAGCAGTTCAAACTGCTCAACCTGCTCAGCTTAAACTTTAATGACCCGGAAGACAAGGCGCAAATGTATACCTATCACGGCGAAAACTCGTACGAAGCCAAAGCTTTACGACATATACGCAAGGTGGTCAAACTAAGAGAGATAGAGCAGGGAGAAAAGGACTACCAACGCGTGCAAAGGATGCAGAAATCAGAGGAATGTGCCGACGCTGTGCCTTTGGCGGGCGCGTCATGTACAAACACGGCAAAATCAGAAATGCCGTCATCTAAAGATGCGACTGATACGCAAGGAAGACGAGACAAAGAGCTACAGCCGGAAGGAGAGGACGACGCAGTGGACGACTTCTCTCAACCTCCACGCAAACGCCGCTGCCGCGAGGGGATCCATCGCGACCTCATTATATTATTTCCGTACACAAATATACTTCCAAACGAGGAAGATGCCGAATATTGGAGATATTTGTGGAGCTTCTTCATCAAATCCCAAGCCTACTTTGACCGCGTGGCGAGCTTTATTCCCGCAGACGTGATCAAGACACTGCCGCCGCTTCTTGAACCGACGACCTGCACCTGTGCATGGGAGACATTTCGACAACGAGCGGCCAAGATTGATGCTTTGGGCAGGGTTATTGATCCGCATTCAAAACGAGATCCCTTTGAAGATGAAAGTCTTCCTGTGGATGAAAATGAGCCGGAGGAAACCCAAACATATACCAAGGAAGAGCTTGCGCGCCAATCGCAGCCCGAGCAAACCGACGAACATGCGCAATGCGAGGCTCAAACAACGGACGGGGTGCCTCCAGCTATCACTGTGACTAGTGCTGCGCAGTCCAAACCCATACGCGCACTAAAGAGCGCATTGGCCTGCGTCTCTTCTCCCACCAAAATTCTGAAGCCATACGCCCTTTGGACGTCAGAGGAATCTGATATATCACTTGCATCGGAGTCGACATTGATCAAGCAAGCGAAGAAGATACTTGATGAAAGCGATGCGAATATTGGAAAACTCTTGCGGAACGAAGCCCGACCCGATGTGGAGAAGAGCTCAGTGTAATCGATATTACCTGCTGAGATCGGTTGGTGTTGGTGTCTCAGTCTCACGACCATGAACATCGGAACAAGAAACCCTCGAGATAGACGTGTTAGAAATACATATGCACAGCCCATTGATCACATAGTCTGTGGAATAAAAAGTGAGCACATGGCGTTTCAGGTTGACAATCCGCTCGCCTTAGGGTCTTTTGCGATGAAGGTAGCAAGATAACGAACCAAAGCGGCCGTCTCCTCGCCAGTGGGCCGGATGAAGTCTGAGGGTAACATGTATCCATATGTTCCCGAATCACGGAGGTGGTTTGCATAGGCATACTTGATACCTGCGGCGGCATATGCCCAATCCACAATGTTTCCAGGTGCCCTGGTTCAAATAAGCAATAATTCTACTCTCCAGTCACCATATACGCACTTGTAGAGTGTTTCGCAAAGTCGACCGGTCCCCACGCTGATACCGTGCACTCTCGACGAAGCCTGGGCTGCACCCAAGGCCGCTTCGATTTGATCCTCGGCGTCGCGAGGATATATATCACAGCTATACGAAAACGGCGCAGATACTAGATACCGATAAGTTGGGCGATCGAAAGGGCAACACGACTTACGCGTCTGGCCATACGACCTTAGATCAAGAAAACCAACGACAGCGTCCGGTCCGCCGGTACGATAGGTAAGATAAGATGCAAGGGCGTTCACCTCATGCGCTTCGAATGGTCTCGAACCAGGATACCAGTGGGCACATGGGTCCGCGTCAGTCTCTTCAGCCGGAAGCCATTCATATCCCTTGCCAATTTCAGCACAATGTCCATGCGAAATATATAAACATACCCAGTTGCGGTTCATATCCATGCCTTTGCACGCCTTGCCACGGCCAGCGGACACCAGCTGGCGGTTCTTGTACCAAAGTCGATCGTGCTTTCGGGTATACTCGTATCCATCTGGATTTGGAAGAGGGATGATGTGAAACTCGAATTTGTCGAGCAAGTTGTACAGGCTATGGTGAGCGTCCTTGGAGGACTGTGCGGACGCGTTGACGGCGAGTGCATGTGCGAGATAGAGTGACGTTGATGTTGCAATCCATTCGCGAGCATGTTGAGCCCCCATAATAACGAATGCCTTGCGCGGCTTGGCTCCTACAGGTACAGGTTCTTTTTTCGCCACCTTGATTCCAAGGAGCTTCCGACCAAGGAAAGAATGGCCAATATGCACGAGGGAGGTGTGGTTCGGGAAAGTATGGGTAAGAGAGCGCATAAAATGGGTAATATTGGCAGTGGAGTGATACTGGGAATGGAAGTCATGGGAAAGCAGCTTGAGATCAAAATATTTATGCTTCCTTGCAAATTCGACTTCCTCATTCTCGTCGAACTCTGGGATGGTTTGGGATTCTTCAACCCTCTCCGGAAGCTGAATTGGTAGAACGACATAGTCGTGTTGCAGAAGCTGGGATCCATCTTGCATCATGGAAGGGGTGAAGACTACGTCAATGTCCGTGGCCGTCACCCTCCAGATATCAGCATGTTGTCGCTGTGGTCACGCGACATGAGCAACGGCGAAGAAAAGGATACAAAGATGCCGTTTGAGCAAACTGAAGCACACCAAAAGAGGTTTACACACCTTGAGCTCGTTCAGGAGCGATGTGTTGAACGGATATCTGCGCACTTCTCCTCCGGGGGACAGTGAAGGATTCCATATGTACTGCTCGTCTGAATTCAACATTGCAGAAGAGAATGGCGATAAAACCCGCTGCGCTCCCCAGCACGTTTGTGAGATACAGATGAGCCCAACAGCGCAAGTCCAGAGGAGGCTCCTTGGGCCTAGCATTATCCTGAGAGAATGGAATTTATCACTTGAGCCGGTTAGATGTCAGAGGAATTGTGTTATGGCGGATGTGGATGGGGTCCAAGTCTAGCCTTTAGCCACCAAGTTCGAGCCGGGCTAATGATGAACACCGCAAGATATCAATTAAATGTCCAAAATACATAGGCAAATATCATTATCAATAAAGAGTGTCCCGCTGGCGGACTATATACATCTAACCTCTTTGCTGTCGAGAGTCCCACACTACATCTGCACCTTTGACTGGTATTTGAAACGGTGCGCTGGAGTGTGCAGTGGGAGGGTACACTGTCTCCCGCTCTGTAAGAGCCGTATCGAATGGTGGAGAGTTTTCGAGATGGGCTCCTCCGACCTTGTCGATCACGATGCTCCCAACGCTGCGAGTAGGCGTATGAATCCGTGTGTGGTTGCTATGTGTTATCGGTGGTTCGAATGCTGATTGGAAAGGAGCGACATGACTTCTTTCGCGATCCCCTATCGGACTCCTGGGCGTGAACTGCGTCTACAGGGGGGTGAGACTACTTCGTTACGGAATTTTCGTACTCACGGCCGAAGTTGGTGACTTGAAATCTCGCTGATGCTCTGATGATGCCCTCGAACTGGCATCCTCCTCACCCGACTTGACACCGTACTTCTTGGGATCACCTTCAAAGCGGACAGCAGATGACGTTCCACGATTCAACTTGGTCCCTCCTATCGTCACTAGCCCCACATCTTGCTGGGTAACTCTGTCGATAAAAATCTCGACTTGAGTTCCACTCTGTGTATTTCTCACTGAGCTTGTCGGAACATGCCTTTTCGGCCGGCCCATATTTCTGGTGGAAACGTAAATTGCAACGTTGCTAATGCCGACCAAGAAGAGGAGTGTCATGGAAAAGTAGAGAAGAGGCTTTGGTGCCTTTTTGTGCTTGAGCTCGACCATTCGGCAGATGCTGATAGGCAAAATCAAGGCAATGTACACTGAAAATGGTCAGTAACAAGCGGAGTTCAGTGTAGTGAGACGGACCACAAGGGTACCAGAGCATCTTGAGAGACAGAGAACGAAGGTAGGCAACCTGCTTTTGATTAGTGTTTCCGGTTGTACCGGGATGGATGCTTGTTCTCCGGAACGAAACGCTAAGCCAAGGAAACCGTCCCCGCGTGCTCTGTGCAATATGGAGGTTTCCTCTCATGGTCAAGGAGACCAGTGAATACATGATCGTAATGATGAAGGCGGATGCCAAAAGTGGAACGTAATGAAGCACAACACGTTCGAGTGAGTAAGGATCCGAGATGACTGGCAATATATTAGCTTCCGTCGGTGGTCTGCCCGATGAGACGTACAGCACCACGCTCCCGCCACATCGTAATAGTCCCCCCTCGAGCCAGCAATGATTACCGAGCCTACGACATTCATCATGATCGGAAACGTCCTAGGGGAAGATCAGCGTGTTCCGCATAGACAATCTTGTGTGCTACGTACCACCCGAGGACAACAATGATACCAACTGTCACGGTAGACATCCGTACTCCGAGGACAACTGTCGTAAATGTGTGACATGCAATAACTGCATTCCTGTGGCTCGTGTGAATGGGACCGTCATCGGCGAAATGCCAATTGCCTACCAAACTGCAGTCGCGACGTCTCCAAAAGTGAGCTGTCAGATACTTTAGCCTATACGCGTCGTGATACGGCAAATGCTGCGGACCATTGCGGCCTGTACCCAACAAGCCATCCCAGGTTCGACCCGCCCTGTCGACGCCCAGCGTACTTGAATGAGGACTCCAAGGGTCTGAATCTATATTTGAAACCGAAATTAGACTTCCACCGAGGCTGTATCGTATACTTACCAAATCACTGAGGAGCATGCAAACGATAAAAACACTGCATAGCCAGGAAACATTCCAACTAAGTAGAAGAAGGATAGGGTAAACAGGACGAACCCAAGTTGCATCCTCAGGAAGAGCCTTTCCTCGTTATATTTAGATTTCTGTATGTGAATAGAGTGGAATCAGCCACTGCCCGGTCATGTCATATCTAAGCGCAACACGGACCTGTCTAGAGATTTCCCGTGCACGAGCTCGGGCGCGTCTGTCTGCGAGAGCTCGGGCACGCTCGATGTCCATCCCTTCAGAGCTTTGTTCAAATTCTTGGGCCATGCTCGACTTTCTATCTTGAGCTAAGACCGTGGATCCAACTTCTCCAGAATTTGAGCCCCCAGTGGACGACGAATGAGATATTTGGCCGGTCCGCCTGAGGTTGAACGCCGAGCGACAGAGGGGGACGAAAGAGACGCTAATAACGTGACCAAGGAGAACCAAGAGACACAATGTAGATATACTGCCGATAACGGCATGAAGCTGCGTGATGCGTGAGCGACCGAGTCTCCCCCTCGCGAGCCACCAACGTACAATCACGACACGATGTGCGCCGGGCGACAGCACCGCGATAGCCATCTTGATCAACTGTGCCCTTCTTGTTTCTTATGCTGGCAGATTTCTGGTGAATAAGTACGCTGCCAGAGGCCAAAGTCCAGAAGAGGGGGAGAAGCGTGTAGCTCTTTAGGTAGTCAATGCTTTTATCGGGGACGGCCCATCCAGCGTCTCTCAGGGTCATACGTTTATCCTTTGTATATGAGCATCGCCTGGGGAATGTGGTTGCCCTTGAGGCGTTTTCTTCGCAGGCTGTCGACGACGCTTCGGGGATGCCATATGCTTTGCTTCGCCTGTCCGAGTTCGCACCGGAGATGATTTGGTCCCCAATCTGCCTAGCAGGGCATGCGAGCTTTACGGGTGGAAGACTTGGATCGAGGACATCCACGGCCCGAGCCGGCAATGGGGCCGTAAAAAGCGCGTAAGGTGTAGCCAAAGTGTGATGATTGGTAACTGCTCCCATATTGCAGCAAATCCTGGCACAGCGCTCGATTGGTTACTGTCAAGTTTGGGTCCATCGTGCACCGAACATACGAACAACATGCTCATCTTTCGCTTCATACGGGTTTAGAAGATTTCATAAGTGGAGCCGGAACCGCGAATCAACTTGAGAAGCGGAGGCTAAGGCTTACTGGTAACGAGGATCCGTTCTCAGGGCTGCCTTTCCTTGAGGTTTACTGTGCTACGCATAGTAACGTCACTCTGATAGCCGCGAGGTGGGAAGAAGCGAAACCCTCGGACGAGGATTACGGAGAGTCGATGAAAATAGTTGATTGGCTCGGAGTTAGAATACAAAGAACAAAGCGAAGGGTCCATGGTATTGCTCAGGACAAACCATCGACGCCACCGGGGCCTAATGACGATGGATTTGGTTTCTTGCAATGATGGTACCTGCTGTCAATATCAAGTATGACAGGGTACCACCTTCGATATCACAGGCGGAGTTGCCTGCAAAGCTGGCAGTTGCAGGCCCTCCCAATTTGGTGCAGGAGTTGAGGTTGTTGAAGTGGTGGTACTGGAAACACCGGAGCAACAGGAGCTATGGGAGCCACTGGCAGCACGGGTGCAATAGGAGGCACCGGAGGAATATAAGGTGGTGGTGGTAATCGATACTCCTGACGGTTCGGAAGAGCTACTGCCTGTTGAGGCTGTGGAGCGAATGGAAGATTGAGCTGGTAGCCTCCAAGGAATGGGGGAAAGGCGTTGAAAGGATTGATGGGAGCCACTTGCCGCCACCAGTCAGGATTCTAGGAAATAAGGTAAAAAAATTCATATGTAAAGGTCGTATGTACTTACTCCCACAAATGGTTGCCGCACAGGTTGCTGTTGTACGGGTTGCGCGGGCTGCGCGGGTCGTGCGGGGCCAAGTTCTGGTGCGTCCACTCTGAGTTCATTCACATTGAGCTCAGGGTTTTGTCGCCTTAATTCTGCCAGAGCTGCATCTCTTGCTTGGGTGACCTCTTCATGGTGTCGCCTGGCCAGTTGGACAGTCCCATCGCCTCCGTTCGGTGCATCCCATAGAGGACACTATAAGACCACATCAATAAAATGTCGTGTACTTAGTCTTTTTGGGTACCTTAGAGCCACCTACGGCACCACGAGCCCCACCCTGTCAGTCATTAGCATTGGCAAAAGGATTGAGCTGGTTAACAAACTGGCATCTGGTTGAAATGTTCATAGCCCGTGATTGCCTTCCTGCATACATAGCATGAAAGTTGCCCACATTTCGTACAACTGATCTTATTGCACTGAAAACCTTGTGTCAAACTGAGGCGAATATACGTGTCGCTGTGAACGTACTCCGTCGGATTTGATGAATGCTAGACGAGATTAGGTATTGAGCCTAGCACGAAGGATGGACATACTGGCATCACACTTGGGGCATTTGCGCATGAGTGCTTTCGCTGTAGAAGTACGTGAGATTATGCCTTTGACGGCACCATGTGGCATACTCATAGCTTCCTCAACGGCGTGTTGAGCATTCAAAGCATTGTCTTCCTCCGCTTCTGTGGGGTAGAAGTCATACGATGAAAGCGATAGAGATATTAGACATACCCTTACAAGTTTTGGGGAGGTGATCCTGCAAAAATAGCGGCTAAGAAGATATTGGCACTTGATCAACCTAAACTTGCCTTCTTCTTGCAGCTTCTGCAACTAGTAACACCGCACTCGTCGTTAAGACAGTGAAAGAGTCGTTCTTGCTCATTCTCAATTACACACTTGAAGTCACAAAACGGACACTCTTCCAGATCCGCAAGACCTGCGGCCGCAAGCTCTTCCGCTTGTTTGATCCGTTCGTAGAGAGCCATTAGTTTCGGAGGAAGACAGAGACCAAGCTGTCCACGCTCAAACTCGCGGTCACAGGTCCCTTGATCCATACATTTGAGGTGCGCATTTCTTTGACCGAGACGCTCTTGGCTGAAGGCGAGGACACAAGCTTTGCAAAACAGATGGCCGACCGGACACTGGACCATCGTATTCTCAAAGTTCGTTAAAACGGATACTAATAAAAAAGATGGATACTCACTGTGACATACTCCGAGAAGCAGCAACCACAATCCGCACCAGCACCAGGTGGGCATTCTTCTGACTCTACCTTTGCTTCTATTGGTTCCTCTGTTTCATTCATCCGGCTAGAGGGTTCGTCGGGGTCGCTCTCCTCGATCCATTGTATCTCCCCATTTTTGTCCGGTGTCCAGTCCTGACACCAGTTGTATTCACGGTCAAAATCTGCATCCTTCCATGGTGGCCCATGTGCAAGAGGCCGCGTCGCTTGCTTTTTGAGATCGACACCGGGAAAATTTTGAAGACGCAAGTGTGAGAGGTGAACAAACGTGGGTCCAAACAGCCGATTATTACTCAGGAACCAAGTTTTGATAATATTCTTCTTCAATCGAGGGAAGTAAACACCGAGCCAATACTATGAGTTGTGAGTCAAGCCGGGAAGTGATTAGATAGACCACGAACCAAAGAGAGGTTTTGATATGCAGCAGAGACAATCGGAGGTCGATCCTTTGAGGCGACATCGAGCTTCTTGAGGACACGAACAATATGGTCTCTCCTTTGGCGTTTCGATGGTCCGGCAGCATTATCTTCCGCCTCTCGTTTTCTCTTGAGCCGCACGCTAACTGAGACCTTTGGATAGTCGGGATTATCGAATAGAGTAGTCAAAATCGATTGGAGACACACAGAATGAGAAAGGACGGTATTGGTCGATGAAGCCACTTGTGACTGGTAGAGATTTACGATGTGATCAACAGTGACATCTGGTAGGACCTCGATTACAGCGGACACAATCTTGTCCAACATCGCAGGTTCAGCGCTCGTGTGAGTCTGTAGTTCATGTGTGGCGAACAGCTGATCGTCCATATCCTCAGTATCTTCGGATCGGTAAATATTATTTGGCATATTAGTATTTGTGGCAACCTTGATTGCAGAGGAGCCCGCTGATCGAGGGACGTCCCCATTTTGGACGCGTGAAGAGCAGGCATTTTGCTGCCTGGATGAGGACGCAGTGTTAGCCGGTATTTCTCTCGCTGGAAACATCTCCGAGTCAGAATCCGAGAGCTCAATGATCTCTGGAGGCCGGGCTCGTCCTTTGCCCTTGTCCTTTGTCGGCTGGCGAGCATGAACCGGCAGTAGACGCCGAGTATTGTCATCTATCCCTACCCTGAACGCATTCGAGGGTCCAATAGGAGCGATAGGGACGCGTGGGAGGTTGTTCGGCATGTACGCTACATCAAACTCGTCGTCGTCGTCCAAATCGATGATTTCAACATTCTGTGTCCCCATTCGAGTCACTGGACGCGTCGAGATGTCACAATATGCGCAGACTGTATGCAGCCCTGGTCGCGGCTAAGGACCAAAACTTGGAACCACACAACAACTCGGGACCGGTGGCTGACAATGGTAAAGGAGAAATGATTGGTATCAGAATATTCTCTGATAACTATTTCCAGGCATCTCAAGTCGCCACGTCGTCATCGACAGCAGGAACGAGCTATTCTTCGTCACACACCGCGACGACACCAGAACTAGAGGCCACTTTACAAATGCTTTCATCTCATCGCACGGTTCTGGGAGTGCTTTTGCTTTCGAGAGCCTCTCCGCCCGCCATTATTCGCCACTCCGGCGTCGTCTTCGAAGGCGAACAGGGTCGCAAGTATGCAAAGGCCGTTGGGAGAATAGTAGACGCGTGCAAGACAGGTTTAGATGATATCGATGGCGAGACGGTGCGCTTCTTGCTTCCTGCTCATCTAAATGAATGCTCATCGTTTCCAGTCTGACGATCTAAAGTTTATGAGAATACGGACAAAAAGACACGAGTTGATGATATCTCCGGGTGAGTAAAATGTCATTGCTTGCCACCAATTCTGACTCTCGAAGACGAACGGTTTCTTCTGGTAGTTCTACACGATCCTACAGCTGTATGATATCCGAATATCTTATTGATTTCATCTTCTACCTGTATACCCTCATCTCAGAGTTTGCATTCTTCGCATTCTCAAAAGTTGGACCTTACCCTCCCTTTCGACCGAAAAGCTATACCACTCTTACCCTTTAAAATGAGTGAAGGAGATCCCTCGAGCCACAGCCCTCAGCGACGTCGTATTATGAGATATGCAGCTGTGAGCAGACTACCGTGTTGGCGGATTACTCTATTTAGCGCTTTCCAGATTGGATTCGGACTATCTCTCGTGGCTCTACCTGTTGGATTTCTACTTTGGCGTTCTTCAAATAGCGCGTCTCGAGTCCAACCGACCATTCGAACCGCGCGTGCGCCGCCGGCACGAAGGATAGCTACTCGCAATACCCCAATAAGTACTGCTACCACTCAAGGAGAGCATATTCCATCTATCAATGTGCCAAACAGTCGTGCAATGGTCAAAGAATATCTCGCAGAAGGCGACGGCATCCGTTCGTACATGCCCCGACGCGAAGAAATCACGCAAAGTACCGCTTGGCTCGCTTTTCGGTCATTCTCTATTGCTACACTTGGTGTACTCGGTGTCTTTGGCGTTGGCACAGGCGTAGTTGTCTGGACGTGGGATATTAAGAGCGTAAGGAGTATTCAAGGGATCTTTTGATGTACTGAAAGAGTCTAGATCGACGATTTTCATCGAAAAATGCAGTCTCGCATACGACGTTTGCTCAACTCACAAGATACCCCAAACCAAGATATGGAGATAATAAAAAACTCGATATCAAAAGAGGATGTCGATGCATGGACATGGGATAAAGCCAAAGAACGGATGGGCGAGGCTGTAGACAAAGGAGATCCGATAGCATGGCTGGCCGTCGCGATGAGGGAACTAGAGCTGTCCTACCAGAAAGATCGGTCTGAGAAAGGAAAAAGTCCCTAGTATAGACTTATTCCTGAAATGATTGAGACTGCGCGAGTAATTCTTTGTATCTCGTGCATAGAAACGCCGTTTGTTGCTGCGTAATGTGACCGTGAACTTTAAGGGTCTGGATATTATTAGTATCGCGTACGGGTAGGGAAAACCGCACTAACCAAGAGCCAACGGAGGAAAACAAGATATCCCTTCTTTCCCTCGTTCTTGTGCTCCGTCACTCGCTGGATCAGGAGACAGTACTTTGTGATAAAATTCTCAATACTCTTCACCGGATTGGCCAAGAACTCTCGTCTAAGAAAGATTGACCACACGCAGCGTTGGTCACGTTAGTGCGTACCTGTACTGGGCTGCCCATCGGCCCCATAATATTGCCATCGCTTTGTCGGTATCTGAGCATATTGTGGCCATACAAAGCCACTCTTCACGACAGCGAAGAAGAGCAGCCTCCAAGCCACGCAGGGGCATGGGCATTTCTTGAATGGCAATGTCAAATACTCGAACACCACCGACTCGTTGCCCCTTGACAGCCCTCTCTGGAATATACGGATGATCCTTTGCTTCTATGGGCTCTTTCGGAGGCTCAATGCCTAGCTGTGGGGTGTCGATGGTTTGTTTCATGACAGGAGAAGAATCCGGATGACTTGGCGAGTATCAGTCTCAAAACTTGTTTCTTAGCAGCCTCCTCACCTCGAAGGAAACAACACAAGTAGCTCCCATACTCGAACGGCTAGCTTCTTGCACGATACTTGGACGTCCGAGTGATCTCTTCGCAGGTGGAAGATGAAAGCCTTGCCGTTGGAAAATGGCGGAAAACTCGAGCACAATTGACACAACCACCCTTTCTGAGTAACCTGCCAAGTGCACTGACGTTGCTCGCTGGGCCGGTATCGATACTCCCAGTAGACGATTGGTAGTATTCTAGATGTGTATCGCGCAATCTTGGGAGCCAGCCGCCCCTTCTTCTTCAAGTCTTGTCTGAAGTACGCTTCAAACGATTTGACGAGATTACGCCTCAGGAACGGTACAGGAACACCACTCAAAGCACCGCATTCTTTGAGTCGAGAGAGAATTGGTGGCGGTGGTGGACTTGTATCAAATAGATTGTCGTGTGTTTTCGGGAGTCGGCGATCGTTCAATGTCCGAATCCGATTCTGGAACTTGAAGCCCGTCCTGTGAGTCTTCATCGTGTTCAGGAATCACTGGCTCCTGTCCGCCGAGAGGCTCGTAGGAGAGTGGTCCAGGAGTTGGTGGAGGCCGTTCCTCCCATTCCTCGGCCATGACAGGTTCAGGAGAAACACTACAAATGTTCAGTGAATTATAAATATCACACGGTAGTACACACCTTTGGCGTTCCTCTGCACCTACCATCTCTTCCTCGTCGGTTGAAGACTCAGAATATTCGTCCTCCCTGTCATGAATGACTCTCAGATCAATTTCTCCTAGAATCCTCTCTTGTAGCTCTTCAGGCTCATCACGGTATGCGCGGTTCTGAATATACCTGGAGGAGCCGGCTCCAGATTTGGCGTCCCGATTGACTGGAACATGATATCGAAGAGTACGTGTCGCGACGAGGTGAATATCTCTTCCAACATCAATCTTCCGTGGTGCCATGATATACTCTCCATCTACATAGATCATTTGTGGATCCAGGTCTCGCCGCGATGGCAGTAATGGATGCGAAGTGTTATACCCTATCCATTTCTTTCTGTGAATCCCAATCGACCTGGGATGCCTGTTGGATGAAGGGAAGCTGGGTGTAGGATATCGCGACTGCGCTAGGCCATCTCTTCGTTGGGATGCTCGCATCTCTTGTGGCGTAGGTACTAAATTACCTACGCGAAGAAAGGCTGATCCCCTTGGGGGTTGGCGAGAGGGGCCAGGATGATTTCCTCGATGAAATGGCGGGTCCTGGTCGATGATACGCGGAGGAACGGAAGGGAGACGTATTTTCGAGGCGTCCATATTGTACTAAGCCCATGTCAGGACATTTCCTTGCACGATATGATGCATACATTCGGAACCAAATTACCTGGATGTCGCACCTGGGGATCCATCCTCGTGTCTCTATGAAATTTCAGATAATCTCAGAGCCATTTATCCGCCTCACCTCTTCCACGAGCATAAGAGCCTCGCACCGATAGCCAATTGCGAGGCGGTTCGTTGGCTCGAGATGTATATCGTGTCTCAACGTTGCGAGCAGGAGGATTTCTCCTTTCATAATCATCCCTCATGTCGTACGGCTCATCATCTGGCAAGTAGATGACCGTGTCTTCCTTGGGAGGCGAATAACTCTACATTCAAGGTCTAAATCTCCATCCCCATGGCATAAGACAGCGGATAGCTACTCGTGTTGGCTTCTGTGATGTCCTAGTATTGTCGTGCTCAATATCGAGATCCATTTGATCCTTGTCGTGAATCCCACCCGCGCCTTCGTTTATCAAACTGCTCTTATATGGATCGGTGTTGCTGCCATCGGCCCTCTGCTTGCCCTTCTGATTTGCTGTCCGCGATAGCGTGGCTGACGTCTCGCCGCGCCTGACCTTGCGATAAAACTCGTCATCTGGATGTATTTCATCGTCGGAAGAGTTCATTTATCGAGCTTTGTTGGCTTGGCCGGGTTCGATTGCTGAAAAGGGAGGGTTCAAGTTGCTTACGCCACACAGTGAGAAGTTCGTTTCGTGTGCAATGGCATGTTTGTGTATCACATACAAGCCTATACTCGCATAACAAGAAGCATACGAAACTAGACAATGCGCTCCCCCGGTGTCAAGGTGAAGAACAGTGCCCATCTTTTGCTATCGTAAGTGCAGAGCCAGGAGAACAAGCGGGCACTTCGCACGCTTCTAGTTCTTGCGCAGCGAGCAGACTGTCTTGCGGACCTTGTCCCTTCGTTGTCTCTTGCCGAGCATGACCTTGAATCGTTCAAAGTCACTCAGTTTCTTTCTTCGCTCGACGATTTCACGCCTCTTTGCCCACGAAGTCGCAGCCCATTTTGCGTCGACCTCGGACTTTTCGATATACTTCTTCACCACGGGCGTGCCAGCTGCGCGCGGCAGATCCTTGACGACAAAGGTCGTGAGCACGAGATGTCGGTACGGGAACGACTGTCGTGGTACACCCGTCGTCGGGCCGTCAATGAGTGCCTATTCCGACCCGTCAGCTCTAATCCAAGATGAAAAGTAGGATACGCACGCGATTGTGGTCAATAATCTCAACAATCGTGGCCGTCTTTCCAGCATGTGGGCCCTTCTTCAAAAGGACGACTAGCAGTTGTCGGATTCACATCAGCCCTCGCTCTTCCCAACAGTCAAACGTGAGCCCACCTCGACCAACTTCAACAAATTTTCTGAAAGTAGACGGGTCCTGGTAAAATAGCCGCAATCAGCATTCGTCCGGCCACAGAGTGTGCATGCCAAAAGTATCCCAGCTCCATCAATGGCGACTAGCAGCAGTCTTCTCGCAAGATTCTACAACATGTCTCCAGAGATGTATGTGCGATACGACTGGACATGCACCGAGCGTATTCACGCACCGGCATGGCGACTAGTGGGTTCAGGTATGAGTGGCCAAACAAGCGCCAAACATCGGTCATTCGAAAATCGGAAGAAATTCTTAGAGGGTCATTTATGTATTTCTAAGTTGGTACAAGTGTTCGTTAAACTACTTGAATTGCTTTGCAGAGCTACAAGATTTGTACATGACGATGCGAGATATTGTTCCGGATAAGTTAGATGCAGAGCCGACTACGGCTCGGAGAGTGTGGTCAGGTATGTAAGATGATTCACAATCCTGTTCCGGACCCAGACGTCGAAGCCTGTGGTTGGCCCGGGATAGGCGGCAATGGGCGCACATAAGCAAGCGGTACGTCGCTCACGCTCATCGTCGATGTAGTCAGAGTTGAAAACGGTCTTGATCTCGGTTCAGGGGCGAGTAAATCCGCCAACGGATGAGGGAGTGTTCCTGTATCTGGTCCCGTCGGTGCTCTTGAGTAGTTGCGTGTTTGCGCAGTCTCCGTAATCTGTTCGTTGAAACTGAAATGCACGGGTGAGGCATCGCCGCCGACTTTGACATATCCAAACTCTCCCTCACGCTCGCTCCTCCCTGTATCCGTAGATTTCTTGGGTTCCAGCATGAGATCAGATCCCAAGCTAACTTCTTGGATTGAGGGTAAACGGTCAGGGGCGTGTTCCACCGCTGTCTCGTCAAAGCTGGACAAGTCGGGGGAATGCGAACTTGGTGTGCCGTTGAAGGGATGAAGGTAGCTATTCTCCCGTCTACCATCTATTGAATTGACTTTAGTAGGGAAAGACGGAGGGTGAATGCTATATCGTTGGTGGCTGTATGATGCACGTTGCTCCGTCGATGGTCGATGCTTGCCGCCAACAGCTGTAGTAGCCACGGGAACTTTTCCTGTAGAGGAAATTGTCGAAAGAGGTCGTGCCCCTGCTTGCGACAATTCGGTTTCGAGGTCAGTGGCGAGCGCCACTGCCGTATTAGATGAGATATTGTCAATGGATAGCATGAGATGCGAGAGTGCAATAGTGCATATCGCCCATACGGAGTCGTGAGGAAGGATGGCTAGGCTTATCTGTCTCAAGTGTTAGCAGAGTCTTGTTGGTGATCCGAAGAACGCTCACAGGACCAACAGCCCACACCAATAGGTTGAAAAGAAAGGCGATGAAGACCACTCCGAAGAAAAGGATGCCATCTCTGATCAGGAGCATTAACAATGGTGTCTGGGAGTCTCGCGGGGTTGCCCATGCTTTCCACACAAGTAGGCCAAAGATAACTGGAAACGTTTAGTTGAAGATCCCTCTCGCAATATTGGGCGTACGTGTGTGGAAAAAGATGGACGGGATCCAAATCGTCCACATGCTCTTGTGGACGTCTACAAGACACAATCCAAAAACTGCACCCATGGACGCTACAATCCGTTAGATAACGAGATGATGTCAGCGAAAGACTTACGTCCGGCTTTGATGATCACGAGAATAATCACCAACAATACGCTGACGACAGCTTGGGCGCCCCATACTGCCATGAGGGTAGGTAGCATGTACCTTAGATTGCCTAGTACAGCATGTACTCGGTAGGTAATGATCAAGGTTGTCGTCAAGAGGGACAGAAGCTCGAAAACGATGTCGGCGATTAGCCAGGAGCGGCAACTGGAACGGTAAGCGACAATACACCAAGGTAGTAGCAACCTCACAACTAGAGAGATGGTCAGTCATCTAACGGCCTGAACAAGTGTGGCCTACTTTGTCAGTGACGTGAATAGTGCCGCTCAACGTCGCAACGTCGATGGCGATGAAGAGAGGTGCCATATATCGGTTGAACAGGAAGAGCGTCTTGACAAAAGAGGGTCGCCCGAACCATGTGAGCTTAATCTCCTCCGGTAGGGTGAGGACTGGTCGAGGGTCAATACCTGCGCTACGCGGAATAAGGGGTAAAACCGACTATGGTCGTATATGAGCAATGTGAAAAAGGCATATGTCATATGTTTCGAGGCGACAATCCTGAACATGCTGAGCCTAGCCCACTCGAGCATCTCCGGGATAGAGGAGAAGGTGGGGATAATCTCCCGAGCAACCAAGATCTGAGTTGAATGTATGTCCATGGTGAGCACTGTTTCATCCGACAGGGAGAGAGTGCAAAACAGCCCAGGAGGGGGCGCGGGGATGGTGGGAGAGAGCAGGCCACGGACATCTGAGGCGGGAGCTGTCAAGGATATATGAGAAGATTAGATGCTAACCGGAAGCATTGCCCATCACGGCCGGTTGAACGCGGTTACGTACCCACGCGCGGTGCATAATATGAGCTGTGCATTCGACGAACGAGCAGCGCGGGCTCCGGTGTTCTCATTAAACGATTCATTCCTTATCCCAGCCCTGGTAGACTCTAGAAGCTTCGAGACGTGCGAATGCATCCACCAGGCATCAGCTCGTCTCTATAAATGACCTCGATCATGCTCGTCGGACAAAGTCGGTTCGCATCGATTGGGCCTCGAAGAGCGCATGGACGCATTTTACAGTGAAACGAGTAGTTCTAAATCTGGATTGCAACAAGAGGATGTCCGATTAAGCGGTGTTCCCAGAGGTGTGCGAGAGACCTGATCTAGGTTATTCGGCGAAATTGTAGGCTCCCAAAATCCTTGCCTTGGGTGCGTAAACGAGTATATAGAAAGTTGCCAGTTGCACATCCATGTTGGGTCGGGTCCAAGTTGAGAGCCACATGCGTTCAACCAGAACGGCAATAGTTTGCATGATATCAGTAGGAGTACAAGTTTCAGACGAGGCTGATGACAAGAATGGCACCCTAGTCCCTAAAGCCGTGAATAAAACGTGGGGAATGTGCGTCTCGTTCATTATCAATATTGCACAAAGCGCGCTTCATCGAACCAGCGGCGTCTAAAATGACAAATACATCGCCAAGACTCGAACCATCACCGCTCGACCAAATGGACTCCGTCGTGTCGTTTATGTTACCCGGCGTTGTGGCCTACGTAGCGTGGAGAACGTATTCTGTGCTGAAATGGCAGCAGGTAGGAAGTAGACTCGGACGCGGTTCTCACTGTGCTTACAACGCGGCACTTTCCATGGTGATAATAGCTCTATGGGTCACCAGATGTGATTGCATTATTTGCTCCGCTCAGTTTGCCAGGAACAGTTGTGGGCATGGGCGTAGAATGGACCTGGAAGCAACGTGAAAACGGTACGCGCCCCGTGTTGTCGGTAGCAACCTCACGACTGAGCGCAAGGACGCAGCCTATGGCAAGGACAAGGATACCATAAGAGTCACACCATTGTTATGGGGGGATACTATACTCTACACTCGCAATATCGACATCTTGCGTCAGGTCGCCGGCGGGGGCAGCAACAGGACGTTTATCAAGCCGGAATGGTACGCCATTATAGGAATATTCGATTTTTTGGCCTGAAGTATTATCAGGGGCTCGGAGGGAATGATGATTTTTGGTCGCAATCTCGTCTCCGAAAATCTCGATGATTGGCGGCGACACCGACGCATCATGCAGCCCGCATTTAACACCAAAACGTGTGTCAAACTTGTCCTTAGTTTCCTTGGTTGAAATTATCTAGATACGACCTCGTTTGGCAAGACACGATCAAGACATACAAGGACATGGTCAAAACAGAGGCTTGGCCTACAACGCCCGGACAGAGCATTGACATACCATCAATCGGTCGATACACCTATAAATTAGGCCTTTACGTGATAGCCGCTATTGGCTTGGGCGTCCGTTTTGATTGGGCAACCCCGCCGACTCCACCAGGTCAGAAGAAGGGCCTCCATGAAAACATTCAAACTCTGGAGCATTTCTACATCCTTCTGATTATCTTCTCCAAAAAACTGCTTAATGCGCTACCCATCAACGCGTGCGTCCAGAAAAGACGAAAGAGGATGGTCGAAGCTAACAGAAGTCACTAGATGCAAGCAGCTCATGGAATCCTACAATTCTGTCAAGACCTTCATTCAATCAGAAATCCATGTCAGACGCGACCTCGTGCATCAGTCCATGGCTCAAGGTGATACCGAAAACGAATCGCTGCGGCTCGACGTCTTTACCCGTCTGATCCTTTCAAATGAGATGGAAGGCAAATACCCGCTTTCCGATCCAGAGTTGGTGAGCCGTTACGCTAATCCCTCGTCGCTCGCTCACAATGCCTATTTAAATAGATTGGTAAGATTGATTTTTGAACCTAGAGTGCCAGTTATGACGCGAATACAGGCTCGGTATACATGCTTCTACTTGCCGGCCATGACACAACATCTGCGACGATTATCGCGGCATGTGCCCAACTTGCGGTACATCCCGACATACAAGCCAAGATCTACGAAGAAGTTCAGTCACTCGGAGATAATTGGACCTTTGAATCGTATTCTAAGCTCCGCTATACCCTTCAAGTTTTCGTCGAGGCTTCGCGACTATATCCTGCTGGATTCCTCGCACTCAGATCGCCCCTTGAGGATACGGTCGTACGTGTACCAGCGGCCAATTCGACTCGCCAACCGTCTCAACTCGCGCTCCCCAAAGACTCGGCAGTTTGTGTCGATTTTATTGGCGTCCGTGAGTATCCATGCTTGATAACGAGTTTGTCATAAACTGATATGCACAGATTACAACCCAAATGTGTTCCCGGACCCCATGAGGTTTAACCCCTCACGGTGGGATGGAGTTGGAGAGGATCATTTCACAACGTTTAGTACCGGGCCACGACAGTGTCTTGGGAAAAAGTTTGCCATGACTGAGGGAGTGGCTTTCCTCGCGAGTCTCATCAAAGACTATCGCATCGCCCCGCTCCTCAAGGCAGGCGAGACGGTGGAACAATGGAAAGATCGGTCGTTGAAGAATATAAAGATGCTGTTGACGCTCAGTATCAAGGACGCACCTCTTGTCCTCACCAGGCGGTAAAGCGGCCACTCCGAATCTGCTATTCCTTGTTGTTGCCACAGCATTTACCCATGTGTTTTCTTCCTTTCTAGCGATAGACGATTTGCCGCTCCATAGCTACAGAAGCCGAAAGGCGCAGCCGCCACCTAGATGCCGAGCCTTTTCGACTCGCCGTTGTCATATCCCGAATAGATTCTAGATTTTGCATGAATAAAAGTGGCCGTCTGGCCCTACCCTCTAGGCCATTTGCGTGTTTCTGGACTAGCGAATGTGACTCGTGTGAGTAAAGAATTGATTGGGTTTTGTTATGGTGAATGCAACCGAGGGCGGCCCAGCCATGGCAACCCGCGGGATTGACTTTGGGTCGACTCGCCGCTGTCGTTTATTTGTTCATCCCTCCTTATTCCCTTCCTCCTCTCTCATTTCTTGCACCCTCCCTCCTTTCACTCTCCTTCTTTCTTCTAGTTTATTCCGGACGGGTCCGTCTTTTACTACTCACCAATATGCGCGCAAAGGACTTCTGGGGTGTTGTCCCTCTTCCCGCAAAATTCAACCTTCTTGTGGGCTATAGAGCACTTCGAATGGTGTTTAAAATGCTGATTGATTCTTGAAAGTGGGCCCGTATCACGCAGACAAAGTGGACGACAATCTTGTTCTTCCTGTCCCTTGTTCATTGTGTTCTTCAAGTTGGATTGCAAGTTGGTGCATTCTACAATAACCGCGCAAACGCGGATAGCTTTGAGAGTGTCATTGCCGACAAGCGACTGGTCCAAAGGCCATTTGCCATACTCGAATCGAATGGAGATGTGACGCTCTGCTCGGATATTCCAAAGCGTTTTGGTGGCCCAGACGCGTGTCCAATGCGGCTCTCGTTCAATGGTTCCGTCTCGAAGACCTCTCAATTTGATCACCACGACGATGAAGAGGAGGAGGAAGAGCATCGTGATCACTCCAAGTTGAAGAGGTTCTATCTCGAAGTCGACACTAACAGTGACGGCTCCATTAAAGATATTGAGCTCGAGATGATCGACCCAAAGAACCCCACCGATGAAGCAGAGGTCGATCTCACTTGCATTCAGACGTTCCCTTGGGCCTACGACGTGTGCGTGCTTTGTTCTCCGACCTACTCATTGACCGACCCTCGTTTCCAGCATCCATGATGCTACTCGCGAGGACCTCGTCTTCGTAGTCTATCAAGGCTGGCTCTTCGGTGTCACCGTTGTCGCGGTAAGCCTGATCTCTCCCTCGGTAACCCTCACTCAACACAGTACAGATTCTATACGAGTCTATACCGCATCTGTAAGCCATCATCTTCTGCCCCTTCCATACCCTGACCTCCGATCGATCCCATTGATTTCATTTAGGGCGGCGGCCTTTGCATCGGAGTCCCTCGCGACGGCGTGGTCCATGTACAAGATTGCTCGAACTGAGAGTTTCAAGCGCGACTTCCAACGCATTGTCACCAATGGATCTTGCGGAGGCGTCAATGTTCTCCCACGGTACTTCAGCACCCGCGAGCCAATCGAGGCAAGCATTTCTCTCTTGCAGCGTTCCTTCCTTTCTAATTGGTATAGGCTGTAATCCTCACCTTCAACCTCCTCGCATTCCTCGGGTATGGATTCTTGGCGTTGAAGATCTACAAGGTGCGCATCTCGGTAGCGACTGATGTTCAATATTAAACGTACGTGGTACAGGTGTATGCGGAGAAGATGTCCAAGCGAGTCGAGGGGAGACCCGACATGGAAAGGGCGTACCGCGCGGTACTCTCCTTTTCCACTCTTGTCCACCTCACTGCCTTCTTCCTTATCACCGGCTCTGGATTGTTCATCGACCAGCTATTCCTCGGTCGCATCACTGACGTTGCACGTCACGTGGTTGTATATGAAGCCGTCTTTCTTATCCTCATCTTCGTGCGTACTCCCTCCGTTGCATCGACACTAAATTGGCCTGACATGAATCGTTATCTAGTTGACTATCCCATGGCTGATGTTTGGTCTCATGTCCATCCGCAAGGAGTCTCGCTGGGGAATGATCGCCTTCTTCGTCGTATCCCTCGGCTTTGTCGTTCTCTGGGGAGTCATGTTCCACTCGAGCATCTACCGCTACATGTTCTTTACGTGGTCGTTCTTTGCCACTATGAGCATCTTCGCGTTCTTGCTTCTGATCTCCATTCTTGGCCTCTCTGTGTACATCTTCCTCAATTTCGGACTCGGTTTGCCGGAGTACCGTAAGTCTGTTCCTTGTACACAATATCAATTAGTACTGATGATTGGATAGTGCAAGCACCCGAGGTGAACCATCCTGCGGATAAGGTTCTTTGGCAGATCACCTACGACCGCAAATACTCGCTCGACAAACCGATCGACGCGGTCATGTACAATAACCTTCCACCAACAAACAATTCCCAAGACTCGCGTTACACACTCTCCCCGAGCCCGGTCTCACTCGATACCTCGCCCGAGCATGGTGGCGACCTAGAGAAAGGAACCTCAAAGCCAGTACTCTCCATCGCATTGCCAATCAAGCCAAACGCGGTGTTCACGGAATCTCCCACCTCTGTCAGGTCGTTGCCCTTTTCAGCTGCTCGGGCAAGTGGGACTGGGAAGAGCCCGGTTGGACTGGCAGGCACAATGTCCTCACGTCCGATCATGCTCGCACGTAAAACGAGCTCTGGATCGTTGAAGTCTACGAGCTCGTCTAGGTCGAGCTCGTCGGAAGCCACGTTCGCTCCACCAGGTTTGCCTGTTCGTCCCGCGCAACAGAATCGCGACTCGAACAATCAAGGTGGCAATCTCGTCATCCCCAACGCGACGAGCCGCTGGTCCGCGACAACCATCTCGACGATGCCGGCAACGGCAACCGCGATGTCTACACCCGTCCTTCCACCTCTCCCGCTCTCTGGCACAGGCCAAATTTCGATCAACGATCACGAGCGTTCTCGCCGGTCCACGATGAAGAGCGTTGGTGGGATGATGCAAAGTCGTTGGTCAGCGTCGACTACGACCACTACCGTCACGACCACGAGCAACGGTAGTGGAAGCGAACGACTTTCTTCCCAAGAGGTCCCACCTGTCCCAGAACTCCCCCGCCCACTCCCTGTCAAGCCACTTCCTAACCCACCAGCGGCACCACGCAATGCAAACGTCATCTGAGATGACGCTTTTCTTAAACAGGCGACGTTGACCGTTGAGTGTAATCCCTCGTTATCTCTTTCTTCCATTTACCAACACTCAACGTCTTTCAACTTCATTTTTCACGCTCTGAGAGGGGAAGGTTTACGAAATTCTTTGTAATTACAGCTGTAAACTTTCTAGGTTTGAATGGAAAGGACTAGCTCCCTTCCACTACATGCTTGGACTAAGCTGAAATCCAGGGAGACCTAATCGACGTCGCTATTCTCTGAATCTTGAGCATCCTCCGGAGGCCCTTGGCCACCCCAGAACATGTTGACCAGTCCTCGGGCAATGCGAATGGGAAGAATTGGTGCAGCGTCGCCGTCCTCGTCACTTTCTTCATCCTGTTCATCGTCCTCCTCGTGCATTTCGTCGTCTACAAACCCACCAGGCATTACTGCGGCTCCTCCCATTGCACCACCCACACCAGCCACGCCACCCGCGACGGGTAAGAGGGGATTGACTTGCGCTGGCCCGGATTAGGATTCACAGCACCTCGTGGACGTTGCGCTGCTGGTTGAAGCAAGTACGCTCGAGCATTCGGATATTGTTCCGCAAATTCTACATGATCGCGCACCCATCGCTGTCAAAAAGTCAGAAACCAGCAATCTATAACAGTGTTAAAGTTGGGCCCACCTCAAGCTGTCTGACAACATTTTGTCCTGGGCCTTGCTGCAACGCACCCAGAATCTCCTCGCGCCGCTCTCCGGCCTCGAATGTGAGTACAGCCTCTAGCATCTGAAGAAATTCGATGGGATCGACTTCAATTCTGTCGCCTTGTCCCCTTCTCCTCCCGCCCCCACCACCTGCTCGCGCAGCGAGACCTTCCCGCCGTTTCCTTGCAGTCTCTGCACTAGCGCTGGCGAAATACGCATCATTGTACAGCGTCACACCAGGTCCTTTGGGTGGGACAATGTCATATGGTTCTTGTGGTCCCAGAGAAGCGATAAGGGAGCCGACAAAGGGCGCGAGGGGCTTCATGTCTGATACGATGGCGTGTCGTAGGACCGAGTCTATAAAGGCTTCTACACGGGGCCCTTTTTCAGATGAGAATGTCTGTGGTCGAATTTCTTTGTGTATGTCCTGGATGGTCGAGTTGAGCCAGGCAAGCGTTTCTGGGATTTTCCACAATGAGACGGAGCGGTGGGCATAGACTTGAGAGAGTAATGAATAGGCTGAATTCATTCCATTTGAGCTGCTGAAGGGGTGTGAACAAACATTAAGCGGGATAAAGGCATTCATACTTCCACCGGGTTAATACCGTTGCCATCGTCGTGCCAGGAGGAATAACCACACTGACGGTGGACACAAGTGTGGCTAGGACTTCGGGGAATGCAAGAATGGCTCGCTTAAGAGCCTCTGTCGCTTTTTTCTATAGCTCTGGTCAACTCTACACAAGACACAGAGCACAAACGTACCTCTCCTCCACCTCTCTTCGCTCCCATCCCTTTCAATATAAGTGCTTTGGACCAAAGCCAACCAGGATACTGCTCCAATGGTCGAAGAAAGGTCTTTTCGTTCCTCGCTTCCTCCCAGGCCTCCTCCGTCTCCATGAACCAGTCATACTGCTCGGCTTTCACAGAGAGAAAGTCGAGGTGCATGAGCGCGCCGTGGGGGTCCGTCCACGGATCCAACATCCAGAGCATGCGTGCAAATTCGAATCCTGTTCGCATCGTTCCTCTTCTCTCGAGTGATCTGTATACGGTTGGGTTTAGCTGCCACTATCTATGACTACGCCTTACAAAATAGTCCTATGCAGAGCCAGGAATAGGGATCTGTTCTCGACGTGTCGAAAATCCAGTCGACTTGCACCACTGGTCAAGCTGAACGCGCCGCTGAAGCTGCGCTCGTATGCGAAGAGCGCCCGCGAGGTAAAGTCAGACGACACAGAATAATCTAAGTGTTATTAGTACCAAGCCCCAGGGAACGCAACGGCGTACCGTCTTGGGCTCGGTACACCTCTCCAATCTGGAGTAGGGTGTCCACGTGCCAAAATGACTCCCTCATCAGGTTGAACAGGTTGTTTGGGTCGAGCATGCCTACAATCTGGATGAATTGTGCTTGATCCCAACGATATCCTGGCGAGTGCTCAACGGTGAACCATTTATCCCCCGGCATTTGCATCCAGTTATCCGTTTGAACAGAATGAGTCTCCTCATTGGTCAGCGGGCGCATGCTCAGCCCATCCCTCATTGCAGCGGGAGGCCATGATGATTGAGGTTTGCAAATCACCGAACGCGCTACAGGACCACGAGGTTGACCTGAGCCAGAAGAGGATGAATCTGCCGCGGAGATGACTTTACTACCAAAAAACCGGCGCATCTCAGCGTCGGCATCCAGGAACTTTGTCTGCACGGCGAGCAGTGCTCGCAGCTTGTGGAGAGCGGTCAATACGGCCGGCGTAGCAGTTTTCGCAGATGATGGGTCGGGAATGGTAATATCTGAGTATCTATTGATAAGATCAGTAAATTATTTCCGTTTGGAGGGTGCCTACTTGAGGGACAGCTCCGCTAGGGCACGGTCAAGATCATCTTCCTGCTTTCCTTTGCCCTTTTTAGCCTTTGAAGCCTTACTCGCGGTCGTCGTTGCTGGTTTGGGTGTCGGAGGCGCAGAGTTGTCCACGTGGGTTGCGGCTTTCTTCTTCTTCTTTTTATTCTAGCATACCTTTGTATGAGTTTAGATCGTGGTATATAAGAAGCTAGTTGAACGCGCCTTTTTCTTGGTCGCTGCTGGTGCTTCATGGTCATCGTCGGATTCCGAGCCAATTTCATCTGCAAGCTATCAAGAGTTAGTTTAATATGGCTACTTGTGTAAATTCTCACCAGTGAGAATGCGGCTGTCGACTTCTGGGTGACCTTGGACGAGTCGGCGTCCTCGAGCGCCTTGCTTGCTAACGCTTGGTGCTCCAACGAAGTCGTGGCTAGCGCTGCAATCTCGTCTTGCTCTCGTTGTTGCCTCTTGCTGAGCCGCGGCGGCATTCTGGAAATATCGAAGTTGTGGAAGCAGCCAAGGTGGATCGGTGGTTTCGCCACCATCCAAAGTTACTCCCCGACTATGACCCCTGTGCTGACCCGTTTGTGGGCGCTGCTGCGTTCGATTGCCACTGATTTAAATCTGGTTGTGGAGGAACAACGTCGCCCGCTGGTTGTCGCCCGAAACTTGCTATGAATTCATATGATGTCTTGAAACCGCCAGCACCTCGGGACGCCGTCGTCTTCTTTTCACAGTTATCTCCCTCTTCTTTTTCCAGAGATACTGTATATCTCCACCCACTTCGGTTCTACCCGTGTCAGTCCGGGTGTAGAGGATTGGGTCGTGTGCGGCAAATTCAAGTATAGTGTTGGATGCCGAGTCAGCCGCTCTGGGGCATCGTCGCACTTGCGGCATTTTGTCGATAGCACGCCAGCATCGGATCATCCAGTAAGTGCCTCTCGCTGACGCATGGCCCACTATTTAACATAGGCCACCAGTAGCATCAATGTCGTATTGTTCCCCCCTTCTGATTCGACATGGACACTGTCACTGTCACCAGTCCTCAGCCACGAATCAAGCGGGCAAGCTTTGGCATCCAGGGTATGACATGCAGGTAGAGTGCACACAGTTTACTCCTAGAACTAGACTAACATCTCACAGTGCATGCACCAATGCGATTCAAGACGCGTTTAAAGACCTCCCAACCGTTCAGACTGTCAACGTCAGTCTCCTCAACAATTCTATGACCATCACTTTCGACGAAAACGGCCTGAATACTGCTCAAATCATGGAAATGATCGAGGACCTCGGATATGAGCCATCACAATGGGATATGGCGGGCCAAGAGGAGCTCTCGTCGGCTCCTGACGAGCGTCAGGTCCAGATCATATTTCACGGCTTGGAGAGCAAGTGAGTGGCTGAATCATGCCATCATTCGAGAGACTTATTCAGCGTTAGAGGAGATATCGAAGAGGTCAATCGTTACCTCTCGGGACTTGGGCTCATATCCTTTACACCCATTACAGAGAGCCGAGGAATCACCACGCTCCGCTATATCCCCTCTTCAATTCTAAACATTCGATATATTCTCTCGCGACCGCCGCATCCTATCACCGCATCCATTTATCAGCAACCATCCCTCCATTCGCGCTCTAGAGAAATACAGCGCAAAGAGGCCAAAAGAATGCTTAGGCTATTTCTAGCTTCAGCAGTTTTCGCCATTCCTACCTTCGTCATCGGCATTGTTGGAATGCTACTTCTTCCCCGTGACAATCGCTTTCGCCAGTGGTGCCAACGTACAGGATGGTGGGGAGGTGCTAGTCATGCAGTCATCCTTCTTTGGATCTTCGCTACAATTGTACAGTTCGGCATTGCGCGGTGAGTTCATACTATTACACATAGATGACGATGCTGACCGGTCGCAAAGGATATTCTTCATTCATGCGTGGGGCTCACTGCGTTTCCGCCGGCATTGGTCGACTCTATTTCGGTTCGGTAACATGAACCTTCTGGTTGCTCTATCGACTGGTGTCGCATATATCGCCAGCGTGGTGATGCTGGTCATCGATATTAGGACTGAGCCTCACATGACAGAAATGTCCGGAGAAATGCGCTCGTATTTCGACTCGTGTGTCTTCCTCACCTTTTTTATCCTCGCTGGCAAAGCGCTGGAAACTCGTGCGCGACTAAAGGTTTGTGGCGTCCACTACGTTCCTTTAGAAAATTAAAAAGAATATAGACAGGAGACGCCATCGCAATGCTAGGTCAACTCCGTCCAGAAAGGGCTCTACTCCTAGGAAACGAGCCTCAAAGTCCAGTTGACCTCAAGTCTCAGCAGACTGAAGATGTCTCTGTCGACATGCTCGAGCTCGGAGATCATATACTTGTTCGCCCAGGATCTATCCCTCCAGCAGACGGCACCGTCCTGGAAGGCACGACGACTGTCGACGAATCTTCCCTTACCGGCGAGTCGGTACCCGTACTCAAGAGCCCGGGAGATCCCCTTCTTTCTGGGACCGTCGTCGTATCAAGTGCGGTTGTTATGCGCATAGATCATCTTGGCGAGGAAACGATGCTCCAACAGATCGTCCGAGCCGTGGGCGAATCACAAAATACTAAAGCGCCCATCGAGGAGCTTGCTGATCGCATCACCGCCGTTTTCGTCCCAGTCATAATCTACATTGCCATTATCGTCTCTGTCCTGTGGCTCTCCCTCGCCCTAACACCGGGCGGTCTGCCAGTAGGATATATACCAAAGGACAAGACCCAGACAGCGGATAGGGTCTTCTTTGCCCTCGAGTTTGCCATTGCCGTTCTCGCTGTCGCATGCCCGTGTGGGATCGGGCTGGCTGCACCCGCAGCACAAGCCGTAGGGTCAGGCATGGCAGCAAAAGCGGGTATTCTCGCACAAGGGGGCGGAACAGCATTTCAGCTGGCAACAGAAGTCGATGTCGTGGTGTTTGACAAGACTGGTACGCTTACACAAGGGCAGCCGACAGTCGTCCAATCGATTGTTACGCAAACACCCTCTTGGATATTGGATGCCGTCGTGGCTATTGAGCAGACTTCAACGCATCCATTGGCTGCTGCTCTTGTGCGGTATGTCGAAGGCAAGCGTAGCGCGGTGGAGAAGCCAGCCATAGAGGGCATCGACATCCGGGAGATTGAGGAGATTGCTGGCAAGGGAGCACGGGGCCAACTTCACATCCAGGACAAGAAATTCGAATTCCGATTGGGAAATCGCGCAATCATCGATGATGCAACCTTCACAGCAGAGACCCAAGAGCAAAGACATCAAGATGTCGAGACGTGGAAGCGACAAGGATACTCTGTCGTCTACTTTGCAATCTCGCATAATTTCTCGCCATTCGATATCGTTGCTGTTTTCGCCATCGCCGACCCACCGCGACCAGAGGCCAAGTCTGTCATCGCATCATTGAAGCGAATGGGCAAAGAAGTGTATATGCTCAGTGGAGATAACGAGGTCACCGCACGCACCGTTGGACGTGAATTAGGTATTGATACCAACCATGTCGTCGCCGGTGTCTTGCCGCATGAAAAGTCCAAATTTATCCAGGAATTACGACAGCCCAATAGGGTGGAGAAGGATAGTAAAATAGGAGGACAAAAGGAGCGGAGTAGGGTCGTAATGTTTGCAGGGGACGGGTTGAACGACTCTGCGGCTGTGGCAACTGCCGACGTCGGCGTCGCATTCGCCCATGGATCGCAAGTGACATTGACCAGCGCGTCCTTTGTTCTCTTGCAGACACAAGCTCCGCTCGAGGGTGTCCTCAACATTCTTCGATTGTCACGCCGAGTGTATCGAAGACAAAAGGTACGTCCGTCACCCTCCAGGATGAAGTGAGGCTAAACCAGCGACAGTTTAACTTTGCATGGGCAATGATTTATAATATTATCCTGATTCCTCTCTCTGCTGGCGCGTTCTATCCCCTCAATCATACACGTATTCCGCCTGTGTGGTCCGCATTGGCTATGGCGCTCAGCAGGTGAGTACCTTGACCAATTCTAGTACACCTTGCTGACCAATTGATAGTGTCAGTGTCGTTCTCAGTAGTTTGGCTCTTCGCTGGGGTTTGTAAACTCCCCTCGATCTCGGTAGACTATATTATAACAATCGTAATAATGTAAAATCTTTGATTAGGTTGATGAAAAGTCGTCGCAAGAGAATGTACACTATGCACATGCATAGAGAGCCCTTCGGTGCTGGCATGGTCGTAAGAATCTGAAGTAGCTGCGTAGTCGACAACACCTCTATGACGGCGTTTCAAACCGAGTGGTGGGGTTGACTACGTATTTCCCTCTTTGGTGCTATATTTCCGTTCATTGGAGATAGATGCAGTGTTGTCTAGAACCTCTATTTCAGTGTAAGTGCAACAAATTTGTTATTAGTCCAATGGCTTGATTGAAACCACTACAACGGCGAGCAAGCAAATCCACCGGGTAGCAAGGACACCAAAGTATGAGAAATTAGGCAAATTACTTCGGATAATGCTGGTTTAGATAATGTTTGTATGAACACAACGAGTTTGCAGGTGGAAGCAAATTCGACATATGGTTGGTGACAAGTCATACCGCTGATCGGCTGCATCTTTTACAATTTGGCTTTGATGGGGACATTATTGCCTGTATTGTCTCTCTCCTGTACCATTTTCCAGATATGTGCATTGATAAAGTTTCGCCGACCGAGTTCTTCACGTGAAAGGTAGCGTGCGCCTTTGATGGTCTTCAGGCAGGTCTGAATACCAGGTAAGCGATGACAAGGAGACTGTACCGGGCTTACCCTTGCACCGCAAGTGCAATCAAAGGGCTGCTCCATGTCCCATTCCGTGCTGGGATAGAAAAAGCAAAGTAGATCCCCGACACGCACGTCCTTGACAGCACGAACGTGCCAATTATGTCTGTCAGAAGAGGAGACATCTACAACGACGTTTGGTTCGCACGAATGATTCACTATGGACACCGTAAGTACCGGCGGTGGCAAGACAGAGCTACCTACTGTAGAGCAAATCGGAGTTGAGTTCTACGTGCTCATCGTCTCCCGTCCCACATTGAACGCTGCTGTAGGCTTTAGGTCCGACGGTAAGACCTTCGAGGCGAGCAACGACGTCGCCGGGCTTGAAAGGCTGGAAACAGGGCTAAGTAGGGACCTTGGTAGGCTGTGACCAAGATACCTTGAGAGAAACAAGGCGAGAGGCAAAGGAACCTGGGAGTCTCTCAACAAATAAAACTCCTGGATGGGATGGAGCATTGGAGACTGTCGCATTTGCCGAGTGGACATGAGTGGTCGCCATTGGAACCGTCAAGGGGTTGAGTAGAGTTTTGTTTTATTTGTTGATCGTGTTGGCCAGAGATGAAAGTGAGTGCCGAGGCTGGTGACAGTAACGTCTGGCCATTCCGCGCGCGTGATTACGGCTGCTCGCTCTTCCGTGAGTTCTCACAGGGTCGAGTATAGAGGCGCTCAGTCGTCGCCGGGTCCAGGAAACGTGCCGCTCGTCTCGTTTCGGCAGTGGTGGCCGCAACTTGTGATCCTCCCTCAATAGCGACATATCCAGGCCGCCTTTGACATACTATAACTCTTTTGATGGCATTTCAAATTGCAAAACCAAAGGTCGCAGACCTCAGAAAGGGCAGCCCAATCGTCTCCAGAGCTGAATCAGTAACCTGTGGCTTGTAAGCGTCCCCTTTTCTATGTTTCGTTTACTCTTGGCAAGTTAATATACTCGGATTCATGAACTCGCTAATTGTTTGCGTTGGGATCACCAGATGCAAGAAGAACCAAGCCAAGTACAGCTGCCCCGAGTGCAACATACCCTATTGCTCTCTGGACTGCTATCGATCACCTGTGTGTTGGTTGCAGCATTGGATAGAAGCGAGCTCATCAGTTGTGCAGGAGCATCGCGCATGTTCAGAGGGGTTTTATAAGTCTGCCATTGAAGAAGAGATTCGATCCAATCCAGAAAGGTCAATTGAAGAGAAGCGGAGCATGCTGGAGATTCTTCAACGCCTTCAAGAGTCTGATGTGCTGGACGGTCCACCCGACTCGGACGACGAGGGAGCTTCAGAGGACGGAGGTGGATTAGAGAGCTTGAACATTGGTAAGATACTCAAGTTTATCGTTCGGCGTCTTATTCCTTGCAGAGACTGCCGACTCTACTGCCCTTTGGAGTGCACTGTCGCCAGCACAAAGAGAAGCCTTCGAAAAGGCAATGAGAGACCCCGATAGCTCTCTTGCACGTCAACTATTAGATACAATAACGTCAGAGTCTCCCCATTATCCCTGGTGGGAACAAACGAAAGGCGACCAACCACCACCATCTCCCCTCCAGGTCCCCAGCGAACTTGCAGAAACGGCCCAAAAAGGATGGAAAGAGGATAAACCTCGACTACTCTACAATATAGTTGCCATATGGTTCGTCGCCCCCTGATCTTGCCACTCTGGTGCTGATCATGTTACCATGCAGCTTAGCATATGCGTGGGTCATTCGAACACTCCGCATCTATTCTATATCCTCTGCGGGGCCCCATGATGAGGATGCCTGCCGAGATCTCTTAGCTCGCGCCGTTCCATTTCTGTTGGATCGCAAGTCACTCACACGACTAGAGAGCGCGCAAGAGGCCGTAAACTATGTTCAGTCACGGGTTGGGGAGCCTTTGGACAAGGTACGAGAGTGTGAATTTCGCCATCTTCTCGCTCCACACCCTCCCTCGCTACATATTCATACTAACATCGAACAGATTCTTCCGGATGTTGCAGTACTCCTACGACCTTTGGTAATCATGGAGCTATCGTCTTCGTCTTCTTCCCCCATGGCTCCACGAACAAGTAACGTCACGGTGTGCTTAGGAGACATCGCAAGTCTTTATGAACCCAAAGATACGGAGCAATTTCGCGCCACGCTATCGACAAGGCAAGCCAAGGAGAGTAGTCAGGACCCGAAAGGGGAGATGGCGAACAAGGGGGTGGTGCGTAAATTGATTTTCTATGCGGCGCACGTCGATACCGCTCCACTGGAGGCGCTTCGACTTATTTCGGATCGAATACTCTCGCTCTCCTCGAGGATATCCCAGTCCACCTGACCCAACACCCTATCCTCCAACACTTATCAGTCCCACCTCTCTCTCAGCTGCGCGATGGGAGGGATGCCGATCAGGGTATGGTACGGCCGCTAGCCCAGGGTCGCAGTTATGTTCCCTCTGTGCATCAGAATGGAACTTGACCGGACGGTGGAAACGCCCATATCGTAGAATGTAGGTTCAGAAGCCGTTAATCAAGCCCGAGTCGATCGGAGGGAAGGTTCCTCCAGGGATATTTCGAACGAGCCCAGATCGTTTCGGGAGAGCCTAGTAAAGGTCAAGTCTGGTCAGAAAGCGGTATAACGTCTCGCCTTGCCTCACACAGTTATCGAACAGATAAGACTTATCTCGACGTTTTTCCGCAGGACGAGAGATTGTTCCACGAACATGCGGCCGGTGATGGAAGCCGCAAAAACGAAGTCCGGTCATTTATGTGATTCTCGTAGTAGCAACGCAGGGGTAACAAACGCGGTCCGCCGCGGGAGAATGCGGCCTCAGCCAGTTCCTGGAGGGTGCAGTTACGCACCGGGTCTTCCCTTGGGGAGGAGGTGACAACTCTGGATCGGTGTCACTCTTGGGAAACTTCAGAAAATAGACGCGCACGAGTAGGTTCACGCCCATCGTGCCCGAGACAAGATATGAGAATTGGTTTCACGGCCGCAGGCTCGCTTAAAATACATTCGGACCTGCTACGCGAGATGACACAAATGATTCCTGGCTCGATCAGGCGCTCCTACCAAGCGCTATCTCGGACAGAACCGATTCATCCCGATTTGCAAGTGGCAAGTCACTCGCAGCGCGATATCGTTCTTCCATCGGAAAGAAGGAGAACGGCTAGCATCTACTTATTGGTTATACATTCTGTGATTCGTCTTCTGCACGAAAACCTTTCTCTCGGTCATTTCACGGTGGTGGCGTCAGAGGATATAATACCTCTCACGCCGCATTCCGGAGGAGAACGTGGGTGTGTTGACATATTGAAACATGGGAAGTAGATGCACTATCAGACGTGGCCACAGCCCCGGGCGACTGGGGGAGGAAGGCGTGGGTTCTCGTCGATACCTTCATGCTTCTCTCCTCACTCAGGAGAATACACACACGAGTAGAAGGCAATCTGTTCGGAATGCGTTTTGTGACGACACATTCCAGATGGTATGGTTCCTTCTGCGGTGGCAAGGGAGCTAGCTACTCAGTGAGGATATTTCATTCTGCTCTGAGGAAGTGGCCTCGGTGTAATTTGACGTTTTCACGTCGACGGCCCAAGGCTAACGAAGCTCAGCGAGGAAGGAGATTCTCCGACAAGATAGCGGGCGGGTTATTCGACATGAAATTCAACTGCCGGGATACTGTGATCATTAGTAACAGACATGTTTCTACTCGACGTTATACAGGATAAACGAGGCTGTGGCTCGTAGCGTAGCGTCAGAGGAATAACACGAGCCCACCATCAATTTCGTCGCACATGGAGCAAAAGGCTATCCGGATAACGAGACCAAGGATAATAACTCGTCGTCACTCAAAACCCTGGAGATGAAGCATCGCCATGGTGGATAACCGACTCGTGTTGTCGTCTATGACTAGTTGAAACGCTGTCAGGGTGCAGTCAACCTGAATCGCCTGAATGTTCTGATCATCGCCTTCATCGTCGTGTACAGTACTTCTCTTTCCCATCTCCTGGGGACCGTCCGGTTGAATCGCTGGGTCTGGCCAGTACGGCTCACCCACTCGCGTTAGGTCGAGGTGCTTCTAGTTTCGGGTACAATCCACACAACGGCCCGCGACGTAACACATTGCAGAATGATTATGAGAGCGCCTATTGTGCTCGTTTCACATTTGGAGGTTATCATTTGAAGGATTTGCAAAGAAACTGCGCTGTCATGACTATCGAAGGCTAAACGCGACGAAACTTGGAGGGCTCGGTGCCCATGGCGTGGTGCTGCGGTGCAGATAGGAATCGTTGTCGAAGTGTCCAACTAAGTCGTGCGACATTGACGCGTGTAGGCCTTCTTGCCGGAGCCGGTCGTCAGCGTTTGATAAGTCGAGAACGCGAGCGTCGCAAATTGTTACCATCGCTCGTCGCCTAGTTCGAATCCATTCGCGTCGGGCTCGGGCCTCATCGGCTGGCGCGGACAGAATCGCATTTGCTCCACACGGATGAGACTACCGCATCGATGAGGCACGCATGGGGGAGAACGAAGCACAAAGTAACCAGCGTCATGCCCGCGACAAAGACGGAGATGTAAAAATAGAGGAGCGTACAGCTGATGGAAGATGAATATATAAATGATTGCTTCCGAGAGAATATGGGCTTGTAGAGTGCATCAAGCCGCAAGTCGCGTAAGCTGAATCGAGAAGACAGAGGCGGCCCGCCGTGGAGCCATAAGCACCAATCCCGTATGATGGTCGACGAATCAGTACTGTGCGCTAACAACTGCACCCGTCGATCTCACCCAACCCAGGTCATGGTGGCTTGCTTCCCCCTTACTCGTCGGGTTGGACGGTATATTGCGTTCCTTGGGGTTCTGCGTGATCCAATCGACCGGAAGTACGAAAATTCCGGGAAATGATGCGTGTGTGTGCGCTAATGAGCGGCGAGAAGAGGGAGAGTCGACTGCCTATTCGAGTCAGGAGGAGGAACAAACCCGCGGTCGATAAGGAGGTGGCCCGGTTTTCAAAAGATAAGTGGTTTGTCGTGTTTTACCTGTTATCAGGTCAACTCGGTTCGGGTTGAGCCAGCGGGCGATTTCCGATGATCACTGCCCGCCGAGAGAGATTGAGCGCATGAAATCTCGCCGCCGGCGTCGGTCGTGGGAGCACACGGTTGGTTCCAGAGGCACAAGCTACAGCGTTATGGAGCGGTCCTCAGAAGTTCTGGGCCGCGAGAACCATACTCCATTCTACCTTGGAGGCCGCAGCGTCAAGGTGGCCGCCAGACACTAGTTATCCGCGTCAGGAGTCGGCGTTGTGGGAGCAGTAATATAATTGATGGAACTCCTGAATGCTCAGGTCGTACCGTCTCTTCTTGGGACCTGGGACGTCGCTGTAGAATGAGAAATGGCGCCAGGCAATCTCGGACGGATCCCTGACCACGCGACATTTGGTCGATCTTCGCGTGGCAACCGCCGACCGGGTCCATTCAGGGATGTGCTTTGCTAGCACAGAGGCTGACGGATTATCCCACGCGACGTTACTTGTTAGAGCATCTCTATTTCCATCCCACAATACGCTATAGATGTTTATGCGTATTGTTCGGAGCGAGATGCCCGCACAGGGGAACATGAGCGGTGTTAGTTGTATTAATGGTGACTAGCGACTGTTACTAGCAGGGTCAGTCCCTCTGTCGCCAAAGCCACGAGAGCAGACGTTGTCTCCACGTGGTTGTGCGCCTACATCCTCTGCTTACCCGTAATTATGCCAGAGGACTGACTTCTACCGACAAACAGCACAACGGGTTGTGAAGGGGAAACGGAAGAGCGAGGTTATCTGGACTGCAAATATCACCACAATAATCTGACGCATGGCATCGCAATATTTGTGAAGAGAAATTTCGATCCGGCTTAGACGTGAGAGACAGACAGGGGGGAGGGCGGCGTCACACGCGAGTTTCACCGAGGATGGGTGGCGACTTCAAGGTCGGGTCCTGCATGCGTGGAATTATCCCTATCAGCGTGGCTTTATTGAATCTAATGTACTCGATGTACCCGAAAAGACACTCGGTGAACCAAGGGATCGTAACAAATGGCTCCCATTCCTATGCATGCATCTGCGTGACCAAAGCCAACCGATGACGAGCGTCAGTCAACGTGGGTTTTGCGTGCATTTGCGGGGTTACCGCGGCACGGTAAATTGACAGACAACGGTCGTAAAACGTGGAAAACCCCCACTCGATTATATACATGAACGTTCTCCCAGATTATAAATCTATCGACAGGTGATATTTGAGCCTTGGCTAGATCGTGCAGTGAAGGAGTGGAGACCAATCGGGGGATCTGGAGGAGAATCTCCGGTCCGCCGATAGGCCTTCGTCTCACTTTGCAGGGTTACGAGAGGAGAGAGCTTTTACGAATGAGTATTGACGATCCGCTTGCATGGCACGATGGGGTCGCGCGAGGAACATTGCGATGCCTACAACTAGCCTCGTATACCTTTTTACTCAACTGCCACGTCCCATCGACCCCGCCATTGTTGTTTGTAGTCATTACTGTCCGAGTTGACAGAGGAGGTCCCGGTGTACAAGACGCGAATTGTGTGTGCCTTTTGAGATTGGTAGTGAGGGGTACCAAGGACCACTAGGAACGAATTGGTAGTGGAAACCACGAGATACGGGTCCGAGTACGAACCTGTGGGATCAACTACTGAGTAAGATTTCGGTCCGACCTGACCAGCTACTCATTCCCATTTCTGGTTTTTTGTGTAGGCTGGCGTGCCATCTCCGCCGTAACCGGACAGGAAGTCAGCCGTTGGAGTAGACCTTCCCCAGAGGATGCCGCGGAATTGGATATTAGCTGACCGTGAGGATCTAGATGAGACTGTAATCATGTATGACGCTTCGGGGATGGTTGTGGGGCGCAGGTACATCTCTACTACGCCAGTGGCTCAATGGTGGGCACAGTTGGTTCATGCCCCCAAGAAAAAAATTCATGTCTCCTCGCCGTCTGGACCTTGCATTTTCTGTGTCAGTCACCAGAGGCTGTCTTCGTCCTGTCATCCCACGTATCGAAATTAATCGTCAGAGGGACAACATCCAAACGCTGAGAGTAAGCGCGATGAGGATGCGTTGCGTATGTGAGTCGATGAGAAGCTCTGTTGGCAAGAGCGTGACACGACCAATCGCGACGAGTACCGAAGGGAGCGAGTGCCACCGAAGCCAATGGACGCGTCCGAGCTTGGACGCATCGTAGAGATAAGAGAGAGCAAAGCGTTTAGGTACTAGGATCATTCCTCTGGAGCTCGGATAGTCCCATGTTTGTATGTCGCCCCAATCAGATAGGATGCCGTCGGCGACGACCAGGCTAGGCCATGTGTGCAGTTCATATCCGGTGTTCGAATTGTACAATCTGATAAATGCCACAGTCTCGGGCATTAGAGAGAGCCGAGCCGCGGTCTGTCTAGAACGCCATCGACGACGGTAACACTTGCCAGGCAGCGAGTTGTTACACTTTCATGCGTCAAGAAGTCAATGGCTGGTGGCTTCATGGAGACTGCAAAGTTCCCACGCGGCGATTGTCGGTTCATCGTCGCTGCATTTCTTTGCTGGCGGCAGCCGGGGCAGTGCATGCGTTTGCATTCCTTTTAGACTCGTTGCTCCTTTGTCGGCAGCCGCGTGCGTCCTTGGAAATTCCACGGTGGGCACTCGCACGGAAATAAATTAAATAAATTAAAAAATTAAAAATATTTATATATCCGCAGGGCTTTTCGTCTGAATGATTTTGAGCCGGTGTTTTCGCTTGAATACGGGAGAGAGAGGAGATTTAAGGAGCGAGAGTTGTTCGCTGGTCTCGTCATTTCCAAGCCCCTCTGCTCTCTCGTCCTCCGTTAGTCGTCCTCGTCCTCCCAACCCGTTGTTTGCACTCGCCATGTCTCATCTCGCGCGTCCTATCATTTCGCATCCGTGCACTGTTTGCGGCGAACCGACTCACAACTGGTGCAGTCGCTGCCAGGCGACCTGGTACTGCTCGACGGACCACTTGAATGCGGTTCGTGCTCTAGACTGGCATAATACTATTGCACTGTATACTTAGACTCTGCAGGACTGGCGCCGCCATCGCCAGACGTGCGTTCCATTCGTTGCCCAGCAGCCACTCTCCCCGACGGCCTCGCCCATCCATTTCACTCCAGATGCCTCCCCACAACCCGCATCGAGTGCAACATTTTCGGCACTTTTCTTCCCCGCAGATGAGGACAGACCGCGCGTCGTGCGCGTCAACTGCACCCCAGCATCGCCCCGGAGCATGTCCTCTGCAGCTTCGAATGCCTCGAGTGCGAGTGGACGAAGCGTCACTCCTCCCCAGCAGCAGGCCCATGCACTCGCCATTGCCGCTACTGCCGCCAGACCGTGCCAGTGGGATGCAGACACAAAGCCCTGGCTGCAATCTGCCAACGTCGGTAGCGTTGTCTTGACCCACGGTCTTAATGGAGAACCTCTCCGGTTCCCTCTCCATCTCTTTTACGTCCCCGATGCCCTCGCAAAGGGAACTCCTGTCAATCGATCCATCTACAAGCTCACAAACGGGCTGGCACCACGAAAGTGGAGTGGAAACGTACGTATCCTGTCATTTGGTATATTGTACCGTCTAACATGCCCTCCCAGGTCATCGCCCTCAAGTACAGCGGTACAAGACGCCAGGCTTATTCAGACTGCACTACAAACGACTTGCCTGCGCTCGTCTCCTACTTCCTTTCCTTTGTCTAAAAGGACAGCCAACCCAAAAAAAAATCGATATCCAACCCAGCAATCACCTAAACGATATCCAATTTCAACTCTCGCAATGTTCAAAATTGCCGTACATACCAGCTGTAGCCATTACCCTTCCCACGAACTTCGCCATAGACAATCTCGACTCGGACAGAGACCAACGCCCAAACGCACAGCTATATACAACAAAGCTGAGACGATGAGGACGACGATGCCTGCGCGAGCGCGGCGACGTTTGCACTCTGTCTTATGCTCAGCTCCTTCGTTTCTTCGATTCAACCTTTTTTTTTGTTCTTTTTGGAACCGCCTAGCTTGATCTACCCCTCGCAAGCATACCCAAATTGGCGTTGCGTCTCGATCGTCTTGTCCGTCGCGCACTATACCCGGCTCACACCAAGTTCCAGTACAAATCTCCACTAATACTTGCCATCATCGCTAATTCGTTTCTTGATTTGACTGTGCATCGAACCCCACCCCCATTGATTGTCTTTATCCTCCCCCCGTGTATACGTTTGCCATGCGTTACTCGTCCCACTTATTCGCTAATCTATGTGTTCATCACGTACCAAGATGATTTATGACAAATGCTTTCTATCCACAAATCTCAAGTTGACCTTGAAGACGACCTGATACCGAACAGACGATGGGCCAATATACCGAAGTTGATGTATGCCCAACATGAGCAACAGCGGTACTCTGACCGTGTCGATCACGACACCTGCTGCCTCTGGCGCCACCTTTGGCGTGGGCTCAAAGATCGACAACCTGCAACAAGAAATAGACTTATAGACCAATAGCCACTAAAACGAGCCAACCAAACCAGCTTCAACGCCGCCGACGATATTCTCGGTCAGCCAAAGGCAGCAGGCATCCAAGGCAGGCTAAATGCACCACTTTACGGATGCAATTGGTTCTGTCCGCTTACCCAAACACCAATGAGCTCATTCTACCGTTTCTCAGTCGTAGAAACCTCCAGTCGGTCATATTCAATTTCACTTTTGGGCAGACGGCCAGCTAAGCTGGCGACTGAGAGAAGGGCATTGAGAGCCACGGCTGACAGAAGGCCAAGGAGCAACTCGGATCTTATTCAACCTTGCCTTTGGAACAAATCGCGCTAACGTTTCCGATTTCGCCGGCACGAGCAAGGGAGCAAGGCGTCGGCACGGGACGATTAAATGCCAACGTGACTAACGCCTGACATTATTACTTTATATTTTTTTTCCGCAAGGGAGATGAGGGGGGATATCTAACTTCAAAAGCTTGTTTTCGTATGAAACGTGACGACGAGCTCACAGCCTAGTAGGCACATTCTAAGAGTCTGGACGACCGGGTCGAGACAACATTTATCAGCCGGTGACGAACAATCTGACGAGGAGGACGACTTGTCAGCCGGCCAAGGCGACCAGACGGTTTCCCGAGGCGCAGCAAATAGAGAATTTGGTCTCTCTTCTTCAGAACAGGGAAGAGTGCAACGCTCCGGTCAACAGTCAACTCGACGTCAAGTCAAGAGGGTTGCTCCCTGATGAGGCGACAACGTGGAAGACCCTTCGATTCGAAGATTGGTAAGACTAGCAAGAACACTTGATTAACATTTGCAGTTTGTTAGTGATAGAACGAGTACCGCCCTCTTGGAGTGATGGCCAAAATAAGATGCGATACTCGGGAGGAATGATCGGCGCTTCTTTGAGACCAATAGCCGTGTTCTCCCACCAGATGCTTCCTTCCCCGGTCGCGCAACGTGATTACGCATTTTAATAAGGTCGGCAGCAGAATGAAAAACAGGTGCTTCACATCCCCTATATCCCAACCGACGACGCGGTCTTCCGACAGAATCATGTTGCTTCTGCTGCTGCTGCTGCGTCGTACGATCTAGCCGCCCTCAATTGTCCTTGAAATTGGATGACATCCTCCTGTTTGCACACGCAATGCTGGGTCGAGCCCGTCGTGCGGTTATAGACTAGCCGACAAGGAGATCATCAAGTGTTACAACTCGATGTTCGGTCGGGTGTTGATGTGACGTTAGCGATGTGATGATGATGGACGTGTTCGGGCGGCAAGTTTGCCCGGTGCTTCAGCTGGATAGATGCCACCAAGCCACTGATTTGAATCGTTCCCGTCTCGTCTCCGCAGCGAGCATAACCTAGATATCTGCGTGCTAGAGTGGCAGTCCTCTCCTCCATTCCAGCTCCATTTGGCCTAGCTCCGATGCAAAGGCCTGACCCGAATGTGGTGGAGACACGGCGAAACGAGTTAACTTAACCTCTTGTCAGATAACTCCACTCGGTCAGGCGGTCGGTCCACAACTCCCCCTGGCACGCTGGTCACAACCAACTCAACTCACGGCAAAGGTTATGGACCGTGCGTCGCTGCACGACTGTAGTCGTGGGTACGCGAAAGAGTGACGTAAGCAGACCACGAGCGTCACACACAAGTCAACAACTTCTGCTCGCCAACGGCTAACCGCCAGAGGCGCGAGGCGCGAGGCGCGAGGGTAGCATCCCCCCCCCCCGCTTCCCAGATGACGCGCTCATTCATGTGCCGGCGCCACATAGCGCGACGCTTCTATTACATCCGTCTGAGACAAATTCGCCTCTTATCCGCTTAATATTTATAAGCTGCATGCTAAGGGCGATCAATCAGTACACACTCTCCACTTTTTTCACCAAAACGTAAGATATTCACATGTCGAGACGCGCCACCCGCTGCTATTTGCATAATTACGTGTTCCACATGCGATTACTTATCATAGTTGCAATGGCCTGAGCGACTGGAAACTACTGTCAAAGAGTGCGGGTGTGGTCGCAAAGAGCCGAGCAGGGTTCTTTCTGTGAAAGATCCGTTTGTCGAATCTCGACGAGTACCGCATGGTGTCCAATGGAATGGCTTACAAACCGTTCGCACGGATAACCCTAGACCCCATACGCCGTCCCCCTCTCTCACCGATATCCTGGCTCTCCCAACTCGACTGAGTACCGTCCAACATTTTCATCCCCGACGCCGTGCGACAAAAGATCGGAATTCCTTCGGGATAGATTGGGAATGCAGACACGTATACACGGCTCGATAGATATCCAGAGGGGGAGGCCTCGGGTGGCGCATGGAATAGAGTGATCAATAAAAGAACAAAAGCGTCGTAGGGACTCGGTCTCGGTACTACTACGGTTCGTTAGGCGCGCTATGTTGGCTGGGTGGCTTCGACGATGCCGAACTCGCGTCTTTCGCGGTAGCAATCGGAGAGATAACGGTGGTAACGCGACCTCCGATGTTTAATAGTCGCTCAGTTTCCCGTTTGTCGCCTATCACGACTTTCTCCGATATTGCATGAAATGCGATCCGTCGCTCAAGAAACCGGATGAGAAGATAACCCCCCAAAAGATACGAGTATATATGTTAATTCTTGCGTTATTCGACGTCTCGAAATGGACTAGAGCGTTCTGGAGGATATCCTAACGAATTGGAACAAATCAAAACTCCAAGTTGCCACCGACCACGATCGACTTTCCCCGACCGAAGCCAACTTTATATCATGTCCGACGAAGAAATGACATTGGATGACGGTTCGCGTCCCTTTTTTTCTCACATCGCACACGCCTTTTTGCTCATCCTCGTTGTCTTGCAGTCGAACGTGGTGGCGCTGGCGGGAATATCAAGAGAAAAGGACGTGGTTTCAAATCACGATGTTCGTATTTGACATACATCTTGGCCCACCTAGGTGGCCGTGGGTGCTCGGCGGCTCGTTTTACTCATCCATCGCAACAGCACAGGGCGAAACGAGGGAAACAGAACACGAATATGATCGACTCGAGTCGAAAGACACGTCAGAGTCTCAGCGTGCTGCGCGTTGTACGTCCATTTTTGCCCCCCCCCCCAGCTACACCAAGTCGTCTCATTCCGGTTTCTGACGACATTACAAACGTACCTATCATTCCTTCCTGCGCGCCACTCTTTCTTTCTTGAAAAACCCCCCAATCCGGTATTTAGCCGTCGAAGGATGGATCGTAATGGTCACAAACGTCCACGAAGAGGCGACCGAGGAGGAGCTCAACGACAAATTTGCAGATTTCGGAGAAATCAAAAACTTGCATCTCAATCTCGACAGACGTACAGGTTATGTAAAGGTGTGTGGCCAACCTCTGTTGTACCATTCATGCAACCCCAGTTTCTCCGCAAATGCCCTGCCCGGACCGTTTGATTTGCAACACATGGTTTTAATGATGTGCGACAACTGACAATTGATCAGGGATATGCATTGGTCGAATACGAGACCCATCGCGAAGCCAAAGCCGCGATTGACGGTCTGAACGGTCAAGATATTCTCGGCCAAACCGTCTCATGCGACTTTGCATTTGTCCGGCCACCGGCAGGAGGGCAGAGAGGTAACAGAAGAGAAGGCAGGAAGCGCAGTGCCAGTCCAGGTCGACGATGAACGAATTGTAAACCTCAAGAAATGCAAATATACTGCTGCTGCTACTGCTGCTGCATGTCATGGTTCATGGACTCGTAAAATGACCTAGATACATAATCTATCGAGCAACAGCACCCTACGAAGTACCCTCGGCAATTGTCAAGAGGTCGCTGTCTCCTTGGTCGGAAATGGTCATGATACTACAGCCGTTGAGTCGTGATCTGTGAGTTGATAACCGATGAAAGACGTACCCTACGCGGAACAACTTTCCGGCAGCGGTTCCCAATGCGACGTTTGTTCCGGCAAAGTGATGAACCGAAGTCTTTGAGAGCATTGCATAGTATTCGAGTTCAGACTTGCGGAGTGGTGGGCAGTTTCCGGCGATCAAGACGAGTTTAGCTGTTTGATGCAAAGACAGAATAGAGGGGAAATCGTCAGCAAGGGACCTTCTCAGCCTCGGTTTCTCCAGTCCCAACGAGGCAGAATGGACGTAGACAAACGGTGCTTACCCTTTCCATTGCGCATCTGCTTGAGTGCAGACTTGTAGCCCAGGGTGTATTTGCCAGACTTGACAACGAGTGCAAGACGAGCTGCAATCGATTCTGTCGACTTTGCGGCCTTTGATTTTTTGGTAGGAGCCATTGGGAGATAGTGGTCGGGATGGAGGATCGGGAGGTGAGGGCCAAACACGGCCAAACACGGCACGGACACGCTTGCTTACCTCTTGGACTATGGCTACGATTCCTCACATTTCTCTCGACGCTCCAAGAGCACAGATTGTCAAGGATTTACGACAAGCATCTCTCTCTAGCGGCTTCTTCCAGCTCGTCGACCTCGGAGCACATGTTCCTCGCGAAATCATTCTCCAAATGTTCGAACAGACGAGACTATTCTTTGACTTGCCACAAGAAGAAAAGGAAAAGGTACCTGTCGCCGTCCACAGACACCCAAGCGCTTATCGCCACAGGTCACAAAGCAAAGCCACCTCGTTGGAGGATACGAAGGTTGGAGGTTCTACGACTTGAACAAGACGGGAGATGGTGGAAAGCTCGATAACAAAGCAGAGGATGATGAAGGCGGATGGAACGAAGGCTTTGCCATCGCCCCCGAGTGGGGGACAAACTGCTTCCCGCAACAATGCGCATCATCATCATCTTCACAATTCAATGCTCATCAGTTTGAAGTCGTATGCAAGGCATACTTTCACGCCATCCAAGAGCTGGGCAGGCATGTCCTCGGCATGATTGCAGAGGGATTGGGGATGGAGAGTGACTTCTTCGAGGGATATCTTCACGAACAAAACTCATTTTGCCGGCTGACTCACTACTATCGGGCGGAGGATCCAAATGCGCCACGGAGAGTTGCACTCGAGATGGGTGCAGCCCCTCACACCGATTGGGGTGCATTGACATTGCTAATTCAGGATGAAATTGGTGGCCTTCAAGTCTTTGACCGGTCAACCGAGACGTGGCATGATGTACGACCTCTCATTGTCCTATGCCTTCTGTAACTGATCACAGTAGGTTCCTCCTTTACCACTGGGCTCGGCCATCGTCTGCAATATCGGCGATCTCCTAGGACGCTGGACCAACGACTCGTATAGAAGTACGCTCCATAGAGTAATAGCTCCACCCAGAGGAGTGCACCGCTACAGTATCCCATTTTTCAATCCAGGTCATATCAGTGCCTCTGGTATGAGAAGTAACTGAACTATTGCAGGAAATCCGTCTTTTTTGATAAAGACAGTTCCTACCTGTCTTCGCTCGGACGAGCAGACAAAGTATGAACCAATAACAGCGGGCGAATATATTACGATGCGACACTTGCAGAGTACAGGCGCATTAGAGGTGAATTAGTACTGCTTTGTTTGGATAGGCCCTGTAGAGAAGTTGATCGTCCACATGGACACTCCTTGAACCCAACCGTGACCTTGCTATGAAGTGCCCGTCGGACTTGTCTGATAAGCGTCATGAAGAGACGCGTGTAATCTCCTATAAAAGTCTAAATGCATTACTAGGACGCGTTCTGCTCTGCCTGACGGTAGCCACCGGCGCCATCTGGTTCACGAACCATTTCGACGTCCATCTCTCCATTCATCCCAAGCACAGCAATCTTCCACGAGTTCCACCATACTGCAAACCGCACCTACCAGGACCATTGCTTCTCACGGATCCACCAACACCATCCAACCCAACAATCAGGCGACTCGGCGCGGTATTAGACCATGTATTCAGGCAGAGAGCTGCAAGGGATGATATGGATAGTCTGGTGGTTGGCGTCGTGGGCGTAAATGGCTTGCTTTGGAGCAGAGGCTACGGCAGATTAAAGGCAAATGATTCCGCGGACACGAGTGTGCCAAACGAGCACTCTATATATAGAGTTGCATCTGTATCAAAGCTGTTTGCGACACTGGAAACGTTTATACTTCGGGACCGTGGCCATTTACATTGGTATGCCATAGCCATTCTACTCTCTTCCCACTCACATAGTACAGGGATGACCCTGTGACGCGATTCTATCCTAATTTTACTCGTGGTGCACATGGTTGGCATCAACGATTACTTGGCTCTGCCTCTGAGGACCAGGAACCTATAACCCTCCGGCACTTGGCTTCACACATGTCCGGTATAGGACGTGATTATCCTCCTGAAAATTTGGACAGCTGGCCAGATATGGATGTCCCAATGGGCTTACTATCGCCAAGCGGAGCGTACCCTCAAAAGGACGAAATATTCAAAGCAATCTCAGAATATCCACTTGTTTCTCCGCCAAACACCTTTCCAGTTTACTCTAATACGGGCTTTTCCCTCCTTGGATGGTGCATCACGGTTGCGGATCAGCAACAGTCAGGTACTGAGATTAGCTACGCGGATCTAATCAAAAGGGATATATTCGAACCGCTGGGGATGAACGGGAGCTCTTTCCTGTTGACAAAGGACAAATACGCCAATATGGCACTTCCGCAGATACCAGACGAAGCGGTGAGTTCCAAAATGGTAACAAGAATTGAAATCTGACGAATAAAGGAATACGACATGACCGAAGCCCACAACTCTGCCGGTGGTCAATTCTCGTCTGTTTCCGACCTTGCAAAGACGGTTCAGGTTCTGCTGAATCCTAGACACTTCAGGGCGCTTCTGTCGTCATACTCCATTCGAGAATGGTTCAGACCACTCCACATTTTCCCAGACCGTCTTACCCAAGCAGGTCTTGTCTGGGAAATCTTGGAGACAGAAGACACACGTGGCCGAACTCAGCATTACTATTCCAAGTCGGGAAATCTACAATATTATCACTCTGAAGTCTCCATCAACCGCGAACTAGGATTTGGAGTCATCGTGCTCATGGCCGGAGTCTATGCCGACGCAAGTTGGTTCTCAAAGAGGATGATCAACACATTTCAGCCCGCTTTCGAGGGCCTCCTCGCTCATCAGACTGTGAAGCGGTACGCAGGAACGTGGAAGAGTGAGGGAGAAAACGAGATCGTTGTGCAAGTCAAGGCGGGAGTTCTATGGATTACAAAGGCCGTTATCAACGGGTTTGACATGCTCAAGGTGTATACAGGTAATATTCCAGCTGCACTGTGGTCGACAGGACGATTGGACGAGTTCAGGTAAGTTGTATCTGTAGCCTTGGCAATCTCAGCTGAAGACACACAGAATCGCCATAGGTCGAGCAGCCCTCAATCTCGATCCCTCCATGGGGTGCTTGCCATATTGGGTCACCTTTGATCCATTCAACTCGCGGGATGCGCCAGTTGATCTGATACTTTTCGAAAACCAGGACGAAAATTGGGTACTACGTTACCCATCCGTAGGTATTGCGTTTAAGAGGGTGTGAGACAGCTTTTGAAAATCTGGACTCCAATGTTCGCCACCCATTTACGCCGTCGGAGATCGGGGTTCAGTCCGATTGTTAGAGGATGTCTTGCCAGTCATTAAAATTCTCATGGTTCATCCTTTATTCGAGAAACTTGCATTCTCAAAGTGTCTGCCTGAGCTATGGACCAGTCATGTATATGGCAGAGTCATCTCGTGACTGTAAATATGAACCGTTCCGTAGCACTTTATCCGCCATCTTAGCGACTGATATGTAGAAGGTCGGAACTCGCCCAGAGCTTCGGCCGACTTTGGAATTCTCCTTGAACGAATAAAAGATAGCACTCTGAAAACTTCCTCTTGTTCGCTCCAAGCTCGCCTCTCCTGCCATAATCTAGTCTTACTCTCACGCAGACCATGTCCTACGCTCCAGCCGACGCCACTGCAAAAGGACGAGTGCTCCTTGCCTACTCTGGAGGTCTTGGTACGACCTTGATCATCGTTGATCTCAAGTCTTGTGCCTAATATGTGTCCATTTGTCTGATTAGATACGTCGTGCATCCTCGCTTGGCTCATTGAGCAAGGCTACGAGGTCTATACCTTCATGGCCGATGTTGGCCAGGAGGAGGTTCGTTTCTGTTTAGTACTGTATCAATCTGTTTCTGATCACACGTAGGATTTCGCAGCAGCTGAAGCAAAGGCTCTCAAAGTCGGAGCCAAAAAATTCTTCAAGAGCGTGCGTCCACCAGGCAGATCAAAGATGTTATCTCATCTACCATCCAGGATCTTCGAAAGGAATTTATCACCGAACTCATCTATCCAGCAATCCAAGCTAACTGCATCTACGAAGTACGCATGAGTGGCAAGGGTCCCATTGGCTACGTATACTTATTATATGACTCCAGAATGTCTACCTTCTCGGAACATCTCTCGCTCGTCCCGTTATTGCACGTGGAATGATGGAGGTTGCGGAGCGGGAGGGTTGCGAGTACGTCCCTTTCACATCTTGCACGGGTGACAGCTAAACTTTCTAGTTATGTCTCGCATGGATGCACTGGAAAGGGCAACGACCAAGTTCGATTCGAGCTCGCATTCTATGGCCTAAAGTCAGACATCAAAGTTATTGCTCCCTGGCGTCTTCCAGGTAGGTTCCCCCTCTGCCACCAACTGTCGTGTTAGATTAAATTACTGCTAGAATTCTACAACCGCTTCGCCGGTCGTGGCACTCCTCCAATATGCGGCCGAGAAGAACATCCCTGTGGCACAGACTGCCGCCAAACCATGGTCGACAGACGAAAACTTGTTCCACATCTCCTATGAAGCCGGAATTCTTGAAGATCCTGCGACATGTCCTCCTGCTGATATGTGGAAGCTCACGGCCAACCCCGAGGACGCACCCACAGAGCCAGACAGGATCACTATCGAATTCAAGACAGGTCTCCCCGTAAAAGTCGTCGTCAAGTCCCAACAAGACAAGACCTACACCGACTCAGTCGAAATCTTCCTGGCACTCAACGCACTTGCTCGCAAACACGGCATCGGCAGGATCGACATTGTCGAGAATAGATTCATTGGTGTCAAGTCTCGCGGGTGCTACGAAAGCCCTGGCGCAACCGTCCTTCGTGCCGCCCATATCGATTTGGAAGGTTTGACGTTGGATCGCAATGTTCGTGCGTTGAGGGACCAATTCCTCACCGTCGAGCTGTCACGAATTTTCTATAATGGATACTTCTTCTCCCCCGAGCGCGAATTCCTTACTGCCGCGATCCCAGCGTCGCAGAGAACAGTTAATGGAACCGTCGCCTTGAAGCTTTACAAGGGAAATACCATCATCGAAGGTCGTTGGTCAGAGGAAGGCCTGTATGACGAACAGCAGAGCTCGATGGACGAACTCGGCGGCTTCGAACCGAGCGACACAACAGGTTTCATCGCCATCGAGTCGATCAGAATCAAAAAGTGAGTATAAAATACCTTTCTGTCGCTTATTTGACACTTCTTAGATGGTGCCAAGCCAATGTCCGCAAAGGACAGGCTGGGGTCAAACCAGAGGATGTGTATGGTGCTCGCATCTGAAAACTCGTCGGATTAGACGAACTGTATAGTCGATAATTTTTTACAATAGAGATCTTGATGGATGTGTAACAATACAGATGCTGATGTGTGGAAGATAGGGCAGTCACGTTGTAGCCTCCGAGCTATCTTCGATGTTTTGAATGACTTGGGATTGTAAGTAGACCTGGTCGCGGACCTTTTCCACCCATGCCTGCCAGAGTGTGTGGAGTGCGCCGGTGAAGCCGCTCGAGACCAGCATGAGCATGGCGATGGGTATGATGTATTTAACTGTGGAGTTGAGCACGTACTGTATGTTATGTTTGAGAATCACTTACGAACGGACTGGCCAACAACCTCTCCCGCTTCCTTGTTTGCGGGAAGTAGCATCTGGATAAAGAACGGAAAGAGGATCATCACGCAAAGCGAGATTATAGGCACAAAGGCATCTCTCGCGAGCTTTCTGACTCGGAGCTTGAAGATACCGTCTGTTAATATCTATGCAAAATATCAGCGACGTGCAGCCGAGCAAAGAGACACATACAGCCTCCACGAAGGGCGGGAGCTGGGGTTGTTCTCCAAACCGCGCACACTGAATAGCAATGGAGCACAAGAAAAAGCCAGTTGACCAGGCGTCGAAAATGCGGAGCGTCGGAGTCGAGTTAGGGTAGAGATGATAACTGAAAGGGAGCACAATGTAGACCTCGAAGAGGAGGCCGAACAATGTGGGAACGATCCCGACAAGGAGAATGACTGAAAAGGCGAGGCGTACACACACGGTCGCAGTGTGCTGAAGGAAGAACCAGACAGGAAAAGCTCCACCATGATTCGTGAGGAACCTTTCCCATCGTCTGTGTTCACGATTGATGACATAGCGGGCGACGTTGCCAAACCAGAAGACGGACGCTCCGGCTAGCCAACAATACCCGTCAAAGACGTTGGAGAGACCAAAGGCCTTGAAGATAAGACGTCCGGTACAGATGGGCAAAGTAACTATTGTCCAGACTCCGGCAAAATATGCCAACCAGACGAGGAGAATGAGCGCAGCAAGGCGTCGCTTAAACTCAACTGGATAAAAGACGACTTGAAAGTCTTTGGTAGGGTTCCTGTAAGCCTTTTCAGACGCCAGTATCTGCATGTCAATAATGTCTCGATCTTCTTGTGTGATGCCGTTGCCCGCAACGTCCGTCTCGACTGCATGGGGCCGACCAACCAGCGTTACGGCTTGATTCGATACGGGAATACGCCAGAAGGTCCCGTGGACCGTATTGTAATCTTCGAATGGATGGTCGAATAGGACGTATTCGAGACCGAGACTCTTGCTGCACTGGAGAACAATTGATTTCGCCGTCTTCTTGATGAGCTTCCGAACTTTGAGGAATTGCATTGCCGACGGCAAAAAGAAGTGCAGGGTGAGGAGATCTATTGGGACATCTGACAAGGGCGATCTAGCGAGGGATGAGACTCATGTTCGAGCTGCAGATGTAGCATACCTGGGAGACCAGCGAATCGGGAGAAAGTTTGGCGTAACATAGTTATTCAAGTCGACAACGAGGCCGACGGTGACCCACAAAAGAAGGACCATGGACATTAGTCCAACGACGAAGGAAGCCATATGCCAAAGGATATGGTTCTTGATCATACTGCGGATGGATGGGGAGCGTGGATCCAGATAGTCCTGGATTTTCAGCAACGCTCCTGGTCGTAGGTTTCGCTCTACATCCCGAAGAATATGCTGAAGTAGCATCATCATCAGATTCCCGAAGAGCCAGTGGTAGAATGCGTTGGCGTAGGTTGCGGATATCCAGAAGTTGATCCAGGAACTTGGCGTAGCAGTGGCTACTGGGGCAAATAGAAAGACATCTAACGTGCTTCCCAGCACCAAGGGCTTGACAAATGCATCGAGAATCACCAATGCACCAACCTGTTCACTTTCAGCAAATGCTCGAAGCATTCAAATTCCCTCACCTTGACGAGAGTCAATGGCATTTGAGTCGCCCGCCGACCACCAGTCTTTGAGTGCAAAGCCAGCATTCCGATCGTGATTAGATAGCCACATATTATAGCGGATCCCCGGTTGGTGGAAATGGACCGAATGATAGAGATACCCAACGAATGAAATATCGAGGCATCTTCATGGTCGCGTTCCGAGGTAGTCCACTTCGAGCACAAGAGCTGGTCGAATACTGAGACCATATTGAACCAAGAGTGCGACCATACTACAGGTGCCGCACATACATCATTTCTCCGCCGCATGAACGCTCGAGCCATAAGCTGGACAATGCTGCGGAGAACGGTCGTTGGGCGGATAATGGACCAAAGTCTGGAGATTTCTGACGGTTCTACCGCGGGAGGAACATCCGAAGAGGATGTCATAGACGCACCCATCACCATCGCTGCGATTTTGTCGACGCCTCGGAGAAGGCTTTTGATAAAGTCGATGGCAACGAAAATGAGCTCAAGTATACCAACTCCCCGCCCTCTTGTGATCCAACGAATTGGGAGATGGAAATATGCGTCTTGTCCAGAAGCGTGGGCCAAATCAAGAGGCTCGACCTTTGGCAAATCAGCTACGCACTCGTGAAGTAAGATTAACCAACCAGTAGGAGTGATATTGTCTTTCCAAGCACGTACGGAAGAAACACGGCAAGACCCAGGGTGAGATTAAACACCAAAAGTACCAGGGAGGCCTGCAGGACGATTATTCAGGTTTGCTACGAGTAATAACTGGACACACGTTTTGTGCGATACCTCGCCATGGTCCCGCCATACCCACTGCTCTCATCATCTGAGCCAGCTCATCCCATTCGTCAGCGTTTACCTCTGCGGGGACGTCTGGGGGAGCGGCGTTTGGGAGAGCAGGATCATCCACAATATCGGGTTCTGGTGCTCGTCTTGCTGCTTCCACTATGGCTTGATTACCCTCCTGATCATCCACCCGATGTGCCGCATCGAGAGCTGCTGGGATGTTGATATGACGACCTTCCTCGTCAAGAACGGGATCTGGTTCTTGATGGTCATTAAAATAATGGTCGCTGTGACTCAACTCTTCATTGAATCGACTGTTTATCACTCGATCGCCAGTTTTGACCTCCTCTGGAGCTTGATAGAGCGCCATTCTTGATGGAGAGTCCAAAACATCAGGACTGACTGCGGAGGGAAGGCTTGGTCGTTTACGAGGGGCCCCCGAGGAGTCGCCAATGTCAGAAGCTCTGGGTAGTGAAATCGGTCCAGGTGGTCGACTGCGATTACTTGAGGTTTGTGAGACAGTAGCAGGCGGTCTGACCAACGTTTTGCTTGCAGAGGAATGTACAGGAGGCTGCTCTTCAGGGGCCTTGTGTTCAGGTAAAGGGCTGGTACCATGTTCATCGGAAGCTCGTGATCCCATCACTTCCGGGTGACTGCAAAAGAAAGAAATGAAATTGATATCTGTTTGGATACTATTGGGAGTGACTCACCAGTTATCCTGATCCTTTGAGGCTTCGTTCTCAGCTATTGCCCCTGGGCCGTTATTGCTCTTTGTCGCTCCCTGATCTTTCACAGTAGCATTAAGCTTGACCCCATCGACTTTTGCCTTTTCCGCTGCCTCTGTAGCAGCCTTGTCGGCTTCATATTTCTCCCAAAAAGCCTTCAGTCTCCGTTCGCGCGCTTCGTCTATAGGTTTGACTTTTTCTCTCCACGCCTGATAATCCGCTTTGATTTTGCGCTCCATTTCCATATCGCGGTCAGCGTCGCGGCGTGTGTTTGGTGCTGATTTGATAGGACCGGACCCAGACGGCCGCTCAAGAGGGGTCACCGATGAGTCCTCAACGATAGAAGCTTTGGATGACGGAATTGGTCCAGGTGATCGACTGCGATTGCTTGAAGTTTGCGAGATAGCGGGTGGCTCCGGTAATACTTTGCTTGTAGAGATCTGTAAGGGAGATTGCTCCTCAGGCGCTTTGGGTTCAGGCACGGGACTGGTAACATGTTCACCGGAAGTTTGTGGTACCTTCACCTCCGGACAACTGCATCAGAAAGTAATAAAGTGAGGACCAATCAGATACGATGGAGAATGACTCACGAATTATCCTGATCCTTCGAGACTCCAGTCTCAGCCATTATCCTTGGCCCGTCGTTGTTGCCCTCGGTCGCTCCTTGGTTATTCACAGCAACATCTGGCTTCACCCCATCGGCTTTTGCCTTTTCTGCCGCCTCTGCAGCAGCCTTGTCGGCTTCGTATTTCTCCAAAAAAGCCTTCAGTTTCCGTTCGCGTGCTTCGTCTATAGGTTTGACTTTTTCTCTCCACGCCTTATAATCCGCTTTGATTTTGAGCTCCATTTCCAAATCACGGTCAAGCCCAGGACGTGGATCTGGCAGCCCGTACCATGGCATCGTTTGTGCATTTGGTGCTGATTTGGGAGAAGCGGACTCAGGCGCCCTGGGCTGGAGGAGGGGGTTCGCCTCGCCGAGTCTGCGAGGTGTTTGAGCTGACAAACTACTAGAACGTGGGGGGCTAGTCTGAAGGTTGGTGGTGGAAAGCCGGCTGACGGATTGCGACTTCGAGATTGAGGAATGCGAGACACCTGCCCCCGTGGTGAGAGCACGTCCTCTTGGACGAGGCGTCTCTTCAATGGCCTTGGTCCGATGTCCCATACCCATGCTCATCGAGTGCCCATGAGTCATTCGGGCTGCTTGGGCGGGGGTCGAGCCTGACGACTCGCCGCTAACTGGATTCTTCATGGCGTATGCGAGATGAGGCAAGACGGAGTCTGGCCTCGGTGGCATGGTCGATGAAGATTCAGATTGAAAAGCAGTTAGACCTGATGAAGGCACCATACTCAATCGATTGTCATATGCACCTGCGAGATGCGGTCCATGGGCCCATTGTGGAACTTGGCTCAGTCCCTGAAGGAACGGATCTCCGATGGACGGTTGCGAGCCAGGAACCTGTGTTGATGAAGCAGCGGTAGGAATAAAGGTCGGTGCGTTCACGTTGAATGGGTGAGCGACTGGCGCCATGATACGGGGCTGGAATGCCGGAGCGTTGACGTTCAGACCTGAAGTGGCAACAGGCTTCTTCATGAAGACTTTGTCCGCTTTGGGCATGTTTTGCGAAGCAGGAAACGTGAAAGAAAAGGTAGTAGTAGATCTAGCTCCCTCCGACGTAGGTGTGCTCGGAGATGTAGATGCAGGAGTTCCCTGTTTTGCCGGAGGAAACGGAGGCTTCCGGAAGTTCGTTCTCAAATCCATGCTGCTTGCGGACGAGCTCGGTCGTCTTGGTCGCTTGTTTGGGAAAAATTTACTCGTCTCGGCGTCCCATGGACTTGAAGTTGAGCTAGCAGAGCTTGAGGGCCTGGGATCTAGTGAAAGTGGTGGAATTGTGCCGTCAGGGAGCGCATCTGTTGCGTTCGGAGGGGGGACAAGGGCTCTGAAGACTGAAGGAGAGGGTAATGGCGGCGTGAATGACCGCTTCGGTTCGCTGAGTTCGCTGATGGGGATTGCAGGTGGTACCTGTGAAGGCAAGTGTTGTACCGGAGGGAGAGCTGGTTCGGAGGGACTAACTGCTGGTAGGATTTCTGTGAATTTGAGAGCAATTTCTCCAGCTGGTTCCTTATCGATTTTTTCAGGTTCAGCGGAAGATGGTGGCACCTCTGAGATCTCTTTGTGTGTCGAATGAGGGTCAGCCTTTGGGGATCCATCCTGCTGCATCGATATCGATAGGTTGGATGAGGCTGTCATGGTGATTTGTTGTGATGAAACCGCTGATTCGACAGGGAGAGCTGTAGGAAGTGGCAAGCGAGGGGTGTAGACCTTTGATGACATCACTGCCGTCGCTTGTGCGAGCTCCGTGTTCTCGATGTACTCTACTTGTTCAACTGCGGGAGAGTCACTAGCCAGGGGTGCCCATAAAATCTCTTGCGGCGTATTTTCCCGTGGGTCGGCCACCAGCATTTCTCCATTTCGGTCAATCAATGGCGTCGCATTATCACCTAGGCGATGCTGAATCTCCTTGAGCTTCTGCTCTTTCCAACCTGTCTTTTTTCAGAACAATCAGATAGCCTTGATTCCACGCACCTGCCACAATCTCACTGGTCTTCTCTACTTGCCACTCCTTGATGATATCTCGACTCTTACGCTCCTGTTCAGCCCGCTCAGCCCTCCTCTTCTGCACCTCCTTCATGAGTTCAGCCTGGTCATCCAACGAGATAATATTAAGTGGTGGAGTTGGTGGTTCGACAAGATCATCAAAAAATTCCTCCAGATCTGGTGGAGGGTCTTGCTCTCCCTGTGGATTCGCTGCTGGTTGGTTGTTCCCAGGTTGACGTCGGCGGAGCCGTTCGTCGTCTGCATTTTCGACGATCCACTCGCGAAGGAACCAGAGGCAAATATAGGTCGCGACCATGATTATGGCGATAAACTGGCCTGATACGATGGGACCAGAGAGCTCCTTCGTAACACGGTCGAGAAACGAGTGCGCCAGGATACGTTCGGAAGTGCACCGGGAGACGTTGAACTTGTAGAGATCGTAGGGTAGAAGGAGGAGGCTGATGCCGCTCATGATTAGCCACCAGCCTAGCCAATAAAGGAGGTAGGAGAGAATTTGAACTGAGCCGAAAATGATGGATAACAGGGGGTACGGATGGTCCTTGGCGAACAGGTCTGCGACCTTGTCGTGAAGCAGACGGTACAGTGTTTTGGCTTCGGCATCAGGTGGGCCCATGTACCAAGGGTTCTGAGGCTTCGAATTCATCGGGGGATGTTGTGAGGCTGGTGGTGCGAGAATGGAGGGCCCTGGGTGAGACAAAGTCGACCCTACAGGATGGATAGACAATGGAATAGTGTCGCGAAGCAAGAATGTTGAGGAGATAAAAGATTCATGTGGTGGGATTGCGGCTGGAGTCGTTTGCAGGGTAAGGACGGGGGAAGTCGGTCGGAGCTGGGCATCCAGTAACGACGACGAGAAAGAAGTCGATGGCATAGAGATTATCGGAGTCTGAGACGCATTCACAGTGCTTCCGACATACATCTCTATATAGTCCAGATGGCCAGACAGCCGCAGAGACCTTGTCAAAGTTAGCATTGTCAGAGCCGAGTAATACCGACTTACACATAATCTCCCAGCATAAAACCGAGCTGCCATGACCAGTAAAGGAGGGCAGGAATGATGGCTAGCCAGAGCGTTGCTACTAGCACCAACCGAAGAAAGAAGAGGAAGGAGTTGGCAAGCTGACCAAGTAGAGGCTTGACCAAAATGCTCGCAGGCAGAGTAGAGGGCATGTCGGGGGAATACACTTTCTTGTACATGTAAGTGTAACCGCACAAGTCGCAGCGGGTTCGACGTGAGGCAGTAAGCCATGATTTGAGGCTAATAATAAAGTAAGTTGCCGTATTCCAATCTCGAGGCAATGTTGAGACTCGCCAGTCCTGATGAACATGCCGTATTGTACCGGAGCACTTGCATGGATGATAGAGTGGCTGGTCCTTTTCCGCAGGAAACGAACAAATTCTACACGTGTCTACAGTTTCAATATGTTTCCGGGTGCGCAACGGCGTTCAATGATCAGCTCTGTCATAACATGAGCTGAAAGGAGGCGCGCTTACCGGGTTCCTGCGTGAGTTCTGCAGGATGCTCGTCATCAGGAGAATTCTCCGGAAGAGTGTTGTACATTCTACTTCGCGAGCGTTTCCTTTGTGCTGGTCCTACGTCCGCGGGTTCAAGAAAGGACTGCGTTTCCGCATTAAAGTGGTCTTCCACCATTCGGCTATCACCTTCAGGGGCACTGTCACCAGTCTGAAAGGTTACTCGACGATTTGTGCGTCGTTCGTAGCGGTCCAACGAGCCTTGCCCTGGAACTTGTGTGGAAGCAGCCGGCTGGGAGGACGAGCCTCCTTCGTTGGCGTCCATCTACGTTTCTGTGTTGAATATATCGTGAAGAGCTGGTAGATTACTGGATGATATGGCTTTTCGACGGCAAACGACGCACGCCGGTGTCGTGATACGGGTACAACTCGAATCTGTGCAGTCTGTTGCCGGCCAGGATCAATGTTGTTTAGTTGTGCACAAATATTTATTTCCATATTTATAATATGACAGTTCTCGACCCTCACCACGCATATCTACATGTCAAAGGTCTGCAATGTATCTTACTGCAGATTAACCCCTTCGGTGATGAGGTGCATTAAACCCATGGTAAAGTAGTTGCAGTTAAAAGGCTCGTTAATTGGACCTCGAACCTGTTGGGTGGTTTGCGCTCTCCAAACTCGAGGCTTTCTACAATAGCACAGTCCTTGTCACGATCATCATAATATGGCACCTATTTCATGCACTGGACTCGCCACTCCATCTCCCAGGCAGAGGGTCCGCTCTCGAATTTCCCCAGGGTGCGACCATCCCACCCAGCGAGCGTCTAGATAGCCTCAATGCTTTTCGCTTGAGCATAATGCAATAAGGCGGTTGTATTCATCCCGTACTCCCGATCCCGTGTCATGCTCCCTGTTCGGTTCACTGGATCATCTTTGTAGGCTGAGCGAAAGGGAATATCTGAAACCTCTACCCATCTACAGAGCTCAATCGGTAGAGAGCCCTGTAGAAGCGATATCGCTGAATATGCCTATGCTCCCCAAGGTAAGTCGGGATCGTTGCGCCGTTCCATTGTACGTTCTCAAGACCCTGATAGTACGATTTAACAGGTAATATGATAATCCAAGCGGAATCTGATGCACCTTGAGCAATGTGGGCCTTCGTAGCTTTGGACGCTCGGACGTCGAGTAGGAAACTGATTGGGTCCATTAGCGCGTTTGTACTCGGGTACTGAAAGGTGTTTGAGGGACCAGGTGAATCCAATCATTTCCCAGAGTATGATATGATGGATTGCGAATCCATAGAAGCTGAGTATGGGCACGACTCCGTGGACAGGAGAAATGGTTTGCCAACTCAACCCTTATTTGGGTACGGAAGAGAAAGTCCTCCCAGAAACGACGCGTTTTTGTAAAGTGTATCCTTGTCCAGAGACTCGATTCCATATAAGATAGAATGATCTCTCGTCAAATACACTCAAGGAGGGACGACTCCTGCGACGAGTCCGATTCTGGGAAGTGCCCTCACGCAGCCTCCGGCGAGTTCGCGGTTCTCCAGCGGGGCACAACGCATATTTTAAGGCGATTTGCGGAGAAACTCGACCCAGATTTTCAAGGCGATAGTCGTCAGCGCGTCGCCGGCCATATATGGGCACATTCTAAGAGTTGTCGGAACCTGCCATCCACAGCTCCCCGTCAAATGGCTTGCTTTCATCTCCCGGCTGTCATGACAAGTTCTAATAGCTCGATGAGGATAATCAAGTTTCCACCACAATGCCATAATGGACCGGGGGGTATATGATCTCCATTGATGAGTCTCTGGGCAGGATCATCCAAAGACCAGGGTTAGACAGATTCATCGCGTAGGTTCCCCTGTTTGGCTTCCAAGGTGTACACATTGGATACACTTTTCAGGTGCATGGCATGAAGCCTCGTCTTGACAATAAAGAGACATATGCCACTCCTTCTGAGTGTAATAATGTTTCAACTAAGATCACAGTTTATGGATGCAATAACGCAAGGAGCTGGACTGATGTCAGCGCAAATCATCTCATATGGCGAAAGTAGTTACCCATGGATCATACTCTGATACAATTTGTCGGAATTGGTTACGCTTCTGGCCTGACCGGTATTGCACCTCGTCAAAAGTCGTCCGACCATCAAAATATTCGCAGACTCTGCGAACACGCTAAGTTCCCGGATAGGTAGTAGTTTCCACATACCGAAGGAATCGAGCCTCAGACTCAGGTCTCTGCCTTGCAATCTCTTCAATCCACAGTTGCTCTAGCCGCGTCGCCTTGCCGGGATCCATTATAAGCGATGCCTCGAACGGCTCTGGCACTTCGACCTCTGGCGACTGCAGGTCCGGGTCTTCGATTATGATCATTTTCTGTGCTGGTGCATTTCGCTCGATCTCCTTTGAACTCTCCTGAGGTGGTTCGTTGTCGGGTAATGAAGATCGCTGAGACTGTTCCTCTCGTCCTCCCAAACCAGATGGCTTTCGTTTCCGTCCTCGCTCGAGGTCACCTTCGGATATACGCTTCTTACGCGCCTGATATGCCTCGTAGACAGCCATTTTGATCTCTTTGGCAGCAATAAGCCTGAAACGAATGTGAAGCATAGTCAGTGCGTTGTGGCGGAGCAACCATATAAGGATTTGATGGTATAAGTCGTAGTGGTCCTGTGAAGGTACAAAATGCAGGAATGCTTGAGGAGCCGAAGAAACTGCGGAAAGAATATTTTCCAGTGGAGGGGTCGTCGGGGGGAAAGATGCACGAAATTTTGCTGAAAGCTCGCTGAGAGGTGTCATAAGACGCGCAGGAAGCACATATATGTTGAGTAGTTTCGGATGCACGACATCGCTGACTTGAGCCTTTTTGAGGTAGATCATGTATGCAGCCATTCGCAGAACCTCTGTCTCGAGATCCCAGTCCAAGAGCGTTGCTGCATCGGCAAATCTAATCGCAAAAAAGTCAGGGTGTCTACCAAGTATCAGACGATACGTACGAGACATCAGGAGTGAGCACCTCTCTAAATCGCAACATCTCAGATGATTCCGGTTCAATTTCTGCTGCGGCCTCCCATCCGTCCAAGAAGAGGAGCGTGTTCCACGGCTGTAATCGCTTGACACGCCATCCTTTGCCGAAACCTGGATCCCATCTTTCGTCTCTCTCATTGTCGTACGAGTACTCGCCAGCTCCTTCGGGATCAAAATCACCCAGAAGAAGTTCAGAATGATACCATGGCATCTGGAGGTCTAGTTCGAATGCGCCAACTGTGACATGAGCAAGTCGCCGGCCTTGTACTGCAACGAAAATGTCGCGTATCGCGCGTGCTAAAGATGACTTCTGTAAAGCCACCTTTTCGAATTCGGCGTAAGTCTCAGCTAGAATAGATAAGCGGTCTGAATTCTAGAGTAAAAATACATACCCTCCATCAGATCAACTAGGAGGTCGGTTTCACGCTCGACGTACCCATCTCTCGACTGTTCAAAGTGAAGTGCGGCTGTCATCTTGACAGCGAGCTGTTCGTAGTAGACGTCTACGAAACGAGTTTGGTTGGCAGCGCCTCCCCAGGCCGGACCGGGACGATCAAGGACGAGGATAAAATGAAAGCTTTTCAATGATGCTTCATTCTTCGGGTCTTTCTTGTCTAGCGTTTCCCCATCGACCTCGACATCCGTCTTCGGTTTGGGGTCGCTGTACAGCTGTTCCCACTGCCACGTTCCGTCATCTCCAATACAAACTGGGTGCCCTAGGAAGAGGAGCTCTTCGAGAACAAGTTCAAAGCGCTGATTGCAAAGATTTCGGTCGAATCTAAACAGGTGTTCTGCGAGCAACTTTGTTCGGTAGCCCAATACCCATTCGAAATCTGGATCACCATGCTCTGATACCGAGTATGGGGATGAGATATTTGACGTTTTCTTGCGCGACGAGGAGCTTTGACCACCTGAACTCCTTTGGTGTGATCCGCCAGTGGTACCGCTTACACCGGCTCCTGAAACTCCACCAGGTCCAATCGGACCAGCCGCGTGTGGTGCAAAGCTATTCAAGGGGTCGCTCCATTCCTGCAATCGCCATTCGTAGGCAGGACTTTGGGCAATCTCGAGTGCGTCGACGTACGAGGTACTACCCTCCTTTATATCACTGTGTGATCGTTGGTGCGACTGCTGTGGGTATGTGCGTGTCGCGTCCTGATGGCGATGAGCCTTACTGAGCGAGAACGGCTTGTCCTCTGGTTCTGCATTTGCTGCATCGGTTGGATGCGCTGCACGCCACGCATAGTCTAGTTGCCGCACAATGGGAAGTGGCCTGGCCAAGCGGGGGACGGCCTTGGGACGAGCGGGCCATCGAAAGACAAGATGCGAGCCTTTACTAGAAGAGGAGACAAAGAGAATTGCCAGTAGACTGGGATCCGAAGACATTTTCCCAGCAAGTTGGAGGCAATCCGCAAGTGGCGCGGAAAGCCAAGGAGGCGGTTGCGTTTAAGAATTGGGGAGTCAACATCACGGTGTAACAAATGTTCAGAGATTTCATGTATGTATGATCTGGATTATATGATAGCAAACATGATTCATGATGCCGTGCAAAACATCCCAGGGAACACTGAACCAGACAAAGTTACTGTGAGGGGTTCGGGCTAGCCTTCGGTTTCTTGGGTCTAGAGGGGCGCTTTTCCTGGCCTTGAAGACGACTTTCTTTTGATTGGGCCTTAGGGGTGACTATGACCGCTTGATCGTCCGCTGAGTCCAACGCCTTTCTCATTGAGAGCCCGCGAGGAGAACCGGGCGGGGCCAGCGCTTTGAGAACTTTGGGGTCTACGAATGGCTCCAAGCCTTTCTTTCTCTTCTTGCCCTTTTTGTTCTCGGTCATTAGCAGACCACCAGATAAAATATTCAAGAGATCTTTCCCTTCATCCATCATACGGACCGTGTTCTGACACTCGATGATGAACTCTTCCAGCTTGCGTTTGGAAATGTTACCAGCGCAATTCTTCAACGTGTCAGCAAGAAAGCGTCAAGGAAAGGTGATCACCTTTTCGAGAATAAATGGATCCCCGACAACAAACTGGTCGAATTTCCATTTATCGGGTTCATCAAGTCGAGTTTTTTGCTCGAAACGATGCTCTTCAAGTACTTCCTCGAGGTCTTGGTCCTCTTCTTGCATATGTTCCGCTTGCGCTGTAGCTTGTTCGAGCTCCAGCGCAGTGAGGTCATCAGTGACTGCCTAGAAGGAGATGGCTCAGTGAGTTGAAAGGAGATGAAATGACTGTACACACCTCTACCATCTCATTATCAGCCTCTTCTGAATGGTGAGGATCCTGCGTCTCGCCATCCTCTGAAGCTTCGTCAGCGGTAGGTGTTGCCTGCTTTTTGGATTTCTTTGTTGATTCTTTCTTCTTTTTTGTAATTCGCGGAACGATACCTCCTTCAGCGATGCGTATAGCAAAGTCGGAAAACTTGTGATCGTAGGCGAAATACCTATATGCGGTTAGCAGATAATACTGACAGCGCCTACGACACACATCATCCAAGCATAAAAGACTCGTCCCAAAGGGGGACTGTTGAGCGGTCGCCACTCGTGCAGAGGCAGAGGAAACCAATCGACGTTCGTTTTCATCCTCGAGGTCTCAGAACGTCGAATCCAGAAGACGTCAGCATGGCCTCGAAGTTCTGGGCTATGGCGAATGAGGTATTTGGCGTCTTGAAGGTTTGGGAGAACTCCATGGGTCTACCCTCTGATTAGATCCGCTACATTACACTTACTTGTAACAAAAACCTACCTGCAGGAACCCAATGACCATCAGAGTGAGGCAGTAGCTACTAAATGACGGCCCCCCGGCCCTCGGAAGTCCGGCTGGATCATTAAGTCCCCGACTTTTGGCCCATTTCTTGACAACGTAGATTAAATTGGACAGTGATGGCCAGAGAGCACAGTAGTGGGAGAGCAGCTCCGTATTATATAATCCCAGTCGGTCGTTAATGTTGATATCCACCGCCATATTGGAGCGTATGTCCCTTGCTTTGACTACAACGCAGGTTAGCTGTAGGTATAAAGACACCACGCATTGCGTACTGATTGGGACTTTGCGCCATCTATCACTACCATCTTGTCAAAGGTGCTCTTCATTCTGTAGGAGAGTTGTCTACGCAAAGGATGAGTACTAATATTTCTCGTGTCAGTGTCATACCGAAGATTATAGATATCTAGAAATTAGTTGAGCGTTATCCAATTCCGAGCCTCAGCGCTCACCATGCAGATCCTTCTTCTTTACGTGAGGCTCAAAGCCTTTTTCTAGTCTCTTGTCCTTGAAATGCATAAGACGAAGTCATGAAAAGTACGGAGGGCGCACGAGAATTACGATATCAAGGTCGCTGCCACTGTCACTGACGCCATATCGACTACTGCCAAAGAGAACCGGCTGAAACCTGTCTCCGTAGTGCCTCTGAACAATTTTGCTGAGGTGGTTGAGCGTCTGCTGTCGTCTTCGAAGGACGTCCGGGTTTGGTCGGGTACTCTATGACCCAAAATGAGCGACTAAGAGAGAAGAAGATAGCGTACGCACTTGATAGAGTTGCTGCATCTCACTTGTGAGATAATCTCCATAATCCTTGACACTCTCAGAGGAGTAGCCTCGCGTCGACAAGGTTGTTGGGTCGTGCAGCAATGGCCGTGTCAGCCTTCTCGCCAGTCCAAATGGAATTCCATTAACCAGTCTCCTGTGAGCAACACGACACGACCTTCGCATTTCGGCATATTGAAATGGGGTCACGAGGGTTGCCAGATTCTAGCCGACGATAACTGATAAATACGGGCTAGATGCGCCTAGACAGATACGTACGTTTAAGGGGTTCGTAGGATCAGATACGACGAGGGTTGAGTGATACACATCCCATGGACGGGGATTGAGAGCAGGTTGGGTATCGAGGTTCCGCGGATCTGGTTGTTGTTTGGTTGAATTGATGATATCCTGATCCCATCGTATTTCATCCCACCATCTACAGCGAATTAGTTAGTTATAAGGGCTGTCTTGACAGGGAAGGGAGAGGTTTGGTACTTGTTATAGCATACCGGCTAGTTAGTACTCACCGAATCAGTTGCAATAGATCATAGGTCACGCAATGTGCTTCCCGGTTTGGGTGCATATCCGAAGAGGAGGTTGCGTAGCTGAATTTGATCGGTCCATTGATCGAAGATGACGCAAAAGGGCTTCCATTCGGGTAGATAATATCAGACGGGTGAGAGAAGAAGGAATTATGAGCCTCCTGATCCGGGTTCTCCGGCGCACTGATGGAACGGGGGACGGTGATTGTGGGCGATGCCCCCTTGTACGCTTGTCGATAATACGCCATTGCAATGTGCACCAGAACAGTGGTAGTTAATGGAGGAAGATGTGTATGGCAACCTGTGGCGACTATGAAGAACAAGAGGGCCAGCACGTGTCTCATAGACGGATGTTGCTGAAGACACTCCTGGGCAAGACTGATTCGCGCACTGTGTAAAGGATTCGGTGGGAGCAGAACAAACTCTAGCTTGTAGCTGATGACAATGGGTTCAGGGAGGGCGAAGGGTCTTCGAGCAGACTCTGGCGAAATCCAACGAGGCGGCGTGTAGAGTTCAGCAGGTATCCCAGCTTCTTTCAGAGCTGCTTCGATTTCGCTGAGAGGACGATCAGCTACAGAGCTAGCGATGTCGACAACTCTCACGTTGGATCATACAGTTTATCAGTTGGGTCAGGTAGAGTCCCATTTTGCTCGTTTCGTGTATCCTAGAGCCAATTAATATATGTAGGATGAATGTAGGTCACGTACCACCATTGCTAGCTCAAGAGGAGCGTAGAGGATTGAGATGCCCAAGCGATCCAACCCAACGTTTTGAACGCAAACATGGGAGCCAAAGTGGGCCTGCAGCGCTCTTTCTACGACCATACATATATCCTGCCGCCGTTGTGCCACGACTGGTGGTATGGTGCTCGACTGCGAATTTCAGCAACGTTGAGACACGAGAAGCCAATACATACCTGCAGAAAAGAATGTAACTCGGTTTCAAGACCTTGTATGAATGCATTGTGCATATCTTGCTTTTCCTGCTTCGCAGCTAGTTCGCCGGCTCGTTTGGCCCTCTTTGCGCGTGCGGTTGCAGTAGCCCCAACAGCATCAGCAGCAGGAGCTTTCTGCTGCTGTGATTGATTATCTGTTAAAGGGTTGGACATTGCGACTCGTTTCAAAAAGGCTTCCTGCAAGTGCGATTTGATTTCGTCCTCGGAAAGGTGCGTTGTATCGAGTAGACTCTTGAGCGAGTTTCAAGATCCTTGGAGCGAGCAGAACTCTTCTGTTCATCCAAGACGAGCCGCCTTCCCGCCAAATCCAACGTCGTGGTTGCTCACAGAGCTTGGACACTTCCTCATCAGCGCCTGACATAGCTCGAAGCAGCCGTTGAGCAACCCACAAAGATGCTTCCTCAACGAAATGCAAACATGCTCTTTGCCAACTTTAACCAGGACTTTACGTGCGCTCTTGTCCATATCACACCGAGATGACAACGATGGCTAATGGCGTTGCCGACCGTGTAGCTGCGTGTCTGTTGGAACGCGAAAGGGGTATAGCATAACAAACTGTGATCCGTTTGGGCGTGTATACACCATGAGTGCGTCGACCCGGCTTGGTGGCAGGCCAATAGGCGAGTTATGCTGACTTTGACGGTTCACATAGATGATGGTGCCCGTGGAATTGTGGAAATGTTGTTCTGTACATCGTTAATCGCCCTTGTCGGTGCTGCGGATCAACCACAATCCAGTCCGCGGAAGCTCCAGATAGTAAACACAAAGGTAAGCTCTCCTCCGCCTTTGAACTTGATATCTCACACAAACTAGAGAGGTTCTACGATCTGCGAGCTCCTATTCCCGTCATCAATCCTCGCTGTCAAGTTGAATCGGAAGACGTTGGTCATCGTCCTAGAGACGGAGATTTATATTTATGACATCTCTAACATGAAACTATTGCATGTTATTGAGACGGCCCCAAACCCGGAGGGTGCGTGCACGACGTCCAAGTCGACGTGTACTGACGGAGTAGTTTAGCCATCTGCGCGCTCTCGCCATCATCGGAGAACTCATACCTTGCATACCCATCCACTGTCCCATCAGGCGCTCTTCCTACGGCCAGCGCCTCGTCCAGCGCCTCTACATCGACGTCGCAGACCGGCGACGTACTCATCTTCAGCACTGCGACTAAGACGGTCGCCAATGTCATACAAGCACACAAGGCTCCCATATCGTTCCTTTCCATCAATTCGACGGGCACCATGCTCGCCACTTCGTCAGACAAGGGCACGGTCATTCGTGTGTGGTCGCTGCCGGGTGCTGAGAAACTCTACCAGCTCCGACGAGGAACGCGTGAAGTGAGAATACATTCCATCACGTTCAACGCCATGTCGACGTTGCTCGCCGTCTCGTCCGCCCATGATACCGTCCACATTTTCAAACTCGGTCAGCGTGGAGCGGGAGCATCGAAACGACCTGCAACGGATACTGTGAGCTCTAATGGATCGGTAGAAAGTCGAGAAGGTCAAGCGATGGATGGTGGCTATGAGGCATATGCGGAAAGCAGGAAGCAAGGCGGTTTAGCGTGCGTTGATGTTGATCCAGCAGATTATTCTCGCTGACAAGACCTAGTTCGTCCCTCAAACGTCGTTCTCAGCTCGTGACGAAGCAGCTTACGTCGTCTGTGGGTGGTTATCTGCCCAACGCCGTGGCAGAAATGTGGGAGCCTGCGAGGGACTTTGCATGGCTAAAGCTACCCTCGTCTGGAACACGATGTATCGTGGCACTGAGCGGGACGATGCCACAAGTCATGGTCATCTCTTCCGAAGGATACTTTTACTCTTACAATATTGACCTAGAGAACGGGGGCGAATGCGCGCTCATGAAGCAATACAGGTAAGGATTCGCTCCCCTCTTCGTTGTCTCGAGGACAGTCTTCCCGAGATTTTCACGAGGGTCATCGTCGGGGCTGGTTGATTTGGGCAAGGGGAAGACGCTGCGCCGGGAGGCTTTTACCGTATGGTATGGCGCGCCGAGCGAACGAGCCACATTGAGGAGAGAGCGAGCGTCACGTTCAACCTACCATCCTCGCGGTCCACCGTGAACCCTGTCTGCGAGGGTCGCCTCTCGGCCTTGTGCGCGCTAGAGTCCAAGTCTGACTGGCCAGAGGCCGGGACTCGAGCGACGATGCCGCCCCCACAACCAAAGCCGTCCCGGACCTCGATTGTTCTCGAATTTCTTTTAGGTCGATTGTGTTTGGAACCTGTTCATTTAATGGCTGACTGACCCGTTTGACGTAGCTTGCTCGACTCAGATGAGGCCGCGGGTGGGACCGACTGACAAAGGCACCTTTGGCACTCCGCACGCAACTCATTGCGGACGCATTATGCCGATGGTCCCCCGTCGAGATATGCATCTCGCCTTGGATCATGTGCGGTTGACGTTTATTCACCTCTAACGGTCGATCGGGACCTGCGATGATCGATGGTTTCCAGCTTGTTACTTTGGTTCTCTCTTTCTGTCTTTCTCTAACTAATTGCAAGTCTGGTTTGTGGATTGTTACATTTGTTTTCATTTTGGCAGTAACAACAATGCGAGTATGAGACGTTACAAGGCGTTTTCAGAGACCAAGCAGTGATCTGAAATGATCTAGGAATGACACGTGAACAAAAAGTAAAGCGGCGTCAAAAGGTGTGGGGACGTGAATGCAAAGTGAGGTGGCGTGAAGTGAGATGGGCGTGAAAGGAAAAGAAAGGAATGTGGGGTATTAAAATGTGAACGGATCCGTAGCCAAGCTGGAACAGAGACGAGATGCTGATTGCAATTTTTTGGATGCAAAAGGGTTTGAGAGATGAGAATGTGGTTAGCCCACACGTTTGAGGAGACGTCCGTTGATGTCAATGATGTTCCCGTGCGAGTCGCCAAAGCCTTGGCCAACCGGGGGGTAGTGTTTGAAGCGGGACGAGTACTGACGGTCGAGCGGTTGGCAAATGACAGTGTTCTTGTCAATCAGCTCGTCGCCGCGTTGATTGAACCAGCCTTTGAGCGGTGGTGCATCACTTTCGACGTCAATCCCACGCGAAGACTGGAGCTGGTGCGAGTACCGCGTTGGGTGGCCGGAAGAGTGCGTACTCGAGGGATGGTGAACGTGTGCAGCCGTCGTTGCGCTACGTCGGAGCATTTGTGGCTGCGCATCCGTTGCGTACCCACTGGCATGGACGTGATAGTCTGAACGCCCACGACTTGGACGTGGTGGACCGTCGACGTATCTGAGGCTGGTGGCGTTGTAGCGAGTGTTATCCTGAACGTCTGGATCGAGGTCCCTGTTCCTTCTTTGTTGTCTCTCCAGAGCGCGCTGTTGCTGGAGTTGATTGGGGTCTACTGGGTGTCCATCAAACGAGCGCGAACGTTCGCGACGGACGGTGCGGTACGGATCGTCGAGGTCGCGGAGACGCAAGTCCTTTTCCATCCTCCTCGCAAGCTCAGCCTCTTCATCCCTCTGCATAATCTGGGCATCTCGCTCCCGATGGCGCTTTTCGGATGCTGGGTAGAGGGCATCGCGTTCGCGCGATTTGGATTTTGATCGAGAGCGAATAAAGCTGAGGAAGCCGCCGCTCTTTGTGGATGATTGAGAACTCGAGTGATACGACTCGTGACTACTGGGAGCCCCCGTGGGCGCATCCACTGGAGGGTACCCAGCCAATGGGACGCCCGCCGACGACAGGAGAATTTTCTCGCGGGCAGTGTTGGATCGGGGGCGGCCGCGGTGTGAGTCGAGGTGGAGACTCTGCAAGTGCGAGGGAGAAGAAGAAGGGTCGTAGCCTGCTGGGTAGACGACCTGGCGCTGAGGGCCAAAGTAGTGCGAAGGGCCGTGGGGAACAGTGACGGTGCTCATAGGATTTGCGGAAACGTAGTATACGCCGTGTTGAGTGGTTGCAGTGGGGTAGAGATATGAAGAGCCGTTTGATGAGCCAGAAGAGATTGATGAGGACGAGCCAGCGCGCGAATGATGACTTCTGCGTGAGCTGGCAGACGACGAGGATTCGCGTACAATGGGAATTCCGTCAGAGGTTGTAGACAAGTAGCTGTAGGGCCCTCTTGAGCTTGCGCGAGAATTTGGGCGGGAGGAAGAAGCGTAGGAAGAGTTGGACGTGTCTGGTTGGTACGAGGTGCTTTTAGATCTGGAACGCAGACTGAGTAGGCCCATGGCTATACGTCACAAAATCCTGTAAAAACCGGATTAGTCCTCGGGTGGGTGCCACCCCGTACAAAGTAGGACGCACCGAGGGAGCGAATGGGCGGCAATGAGGCAAAGGGGTGATCGAGGAGGTTCACAGCAATTCCAGCTTGCTGGTGATTGGTTCTGTCGTAATTCGCGGGTTCAACGGGGGGCGCCCTTGACTGAGAGGTAAGCTGGGTGCGCTACGGGGCGGCACTCCCGACTACAGCGACAACAAGGAGCCTATATAGACCCCTAAAGGCGGGGACCGCCCTCAGTGACCTCCATGGTAACTACCTATGCGGCCATTCACTCCCGTGCACCCAATATCCAGGCGCGCCTAGCTTGCGCAGTGTTCGATTCCCAGCCTGACCAGACCCAATTCCGGACGGAAGCTAATAGCCGTGCTCCCCGGGAACCTGTGTTCACAATTGCTGCACAAACCAAGGAGCGTCATGTTGGCAGCCCATGGCGGGATCCAATTACTTATTGCAGACGGGCATTTTGCCAGCCTCCCCTCCTCACCAACGCAGGGGTAGAGCAATCAGGACCATTTCACACAAAATGCAATTACATTCACCAATCGTCGATAGCCGCTGATTGACGTCTGTCTGCAATCCCCGAAGAAATAGATCTTCTAAGCGAGCAACCCATCGCGGTGTCTTGATCACCCAGCCTAAGACATTGACGTGTCCCCTTGCTCGTCTTCTTGAGGCTCAGCATCGATTCCGTTTGCTGCTGACGGCTGGGGACGGTGATCGTTAGGCAAACAATCTTGTGCGCAGAGAGAGACCGCGACTCACCGCCCGCATCTTGGCCAGATGGATCTTGAGCGGCTCGACATACTGTTCAAGCCCGAGCAACATCATTGCATACAGTACATCCTCGCCCCCAATAGTCTTTCGCTTCTCGTCGTGACACTTTTCCGCCGCTTCGGATGTGATAAAGCTGATAAACTCGGAAATACATTCTTGAACAGCCTCCTTGGCCTCTTTTGAAATCTTGGACGTCATTGGCACACTATTCTTCATTATGCGCGCAATGTTGGCAATCTGTACAGTCGTCAGTCACGCGTGATAGAGCGATAGGAGCGAGCCATCCGATAGGTCGTAGATGTTATCAGTAGATAACGCGTCTAGAGCTGAACTACAACCGTGCCATGGCTGTCTCGCCCCTTCAGGGTCATTCCACACTGTACACTAGTAGAGTTGCAGCCATTTTGCTATCAAATCCCAGCCACTCACCGGTAACACTCGGTCTTGCTCACGAAATTCGCCAATCTCCTGGTCCGTAATCGTCGGAGGAGACGACAGTTCTGGCTCTGCCGCCTTTGAATCAACCGACGCCAGCGGTGGATTGTTTGTCGACCCGCTCATGTTTCGTAAATGATTGTTGGTTGACGTCTTCTGTTTGCCTGTGACTCTTAGAGACCCCGTTACAGAGTCCTAGACGATGTCGGTGACAAGTCGCAGTGGCGAACGAGGTCAAGTCCAGCCTCGTCACGCCCTATAACCAGAGTCGAAGCTTTTGTCTTCCATGGGCCGCCATGGAGCCTGGAGATGAAGAAGAACACATCTCTGCGCATTCCAGAACTTCCTTTTCGACGTTGCTCACCGGATTTGCGTACACCGCCCACTCTTCAACAACGAATTCTACCGCCCGGCCCGTTCTAGGTGTCGATCAACCAATTAGTTCACCGAGGAAACGCAAAAGAATCGAAGAAGAAGATCAAGGGGTTGGAATTGTGTCGGCGAAAAAGCGCGAAGGGGTCATTTCTCATTTGCCCCCACTCCAGGATCGCCTTGCACTCTATCTCGATGGTGCGCTTCTTTCTTGATCGTCTATTACGCTGATATCGTCAATAGTCGTCTTCTGTGGCTGCAAGTGAGCTGCCATCCTTGTTCTAATTCGTCATTGACGAGGTAAAAAGTCCGGGTCATACAAGTGCCGTTGTGGGGCTTCATTATGGGAATACGCAAAATGCATTTTGGAAATGTCTCCACGGATCTGGTCGGTTCACCAGTTCATGTCACATTGCCTTCCTGAATTTTCCGCCCAGGGTTCACAGAGACTGTACTGCATCCAACTGAAGGCCCAAATCTCCCTTCCAAGTACAATATCGGCCTGGTACTCTTCTTTCTATTCATCGAAAACCCCCTGATCTAACCGTGGGCACAGACCGACCTGGTGACGACTCCCTCGCACAGCTTCGCCGATATATCGACACAAGAGCGGAGGAACTCTGTGCTCGCACTGCTCCAGAAAATAGCACGATTCAAACCACGCATTGTGGCGTTCAATTCGTTTGCTATATGGACTGATATTGCAAACGGCCTTGAGCCCCTTCGTCGCTCTTCATTCCCACCCAAATCTGCAAAGGCAAACAAGACGCGCAATGGATTAAAAACGGCCAAAGAAGTGTCCTCGGCATGTATCACGCTTGAACCGCCGCTAGGTGAAGATCAACTCCCACCGCTCAAGCTGGAGAGTACCAAGGAGAAGAGGACCCCACAATTTTTGCCGTGGAAGATTGTCTATGCAGAAGGAGAGACGCTGCTCATTCCCCTTCCTGGTACTTCAGGTGCAAACGCCAGTTATTCGGTAAGCCTTCAATACTATGCGTTACCTATCTTATCTGTGTAGTTATCTGAAAAGATTGCATTCTTCAAGGCTGTAAACGATGCCGTACAATCAATCAAACAAGGCACGATGGATACGTCTCACATGGCTCGCATTATCGTTCGGGAGGACATTGTATAGCGCGACTGCTATACGACATAACTAATCTGGTCCGACCCTTTCAGGTCCTATTCGGCGACGTACCAGACGTTTCATACAAACCATTAGTTTGACTATGCTGTCCTCGACGGCAATGGACCGTGGAGGTGTTGAAAATTCTGAAGATTCGCGTGGAGACCGGCGCAACGCAGCCTTGCGCGGTTCCTTGAGTGGCAACCACCACCGCCTCCATGTACTTATTCCCAATATCAGAGTTGCGTATCAGCAGCGTCATCCATTCAGAGGGTGGAACAAAGAGTTGTCGAGTCGTCGACCTTGAACATGGTAATCTTTGTGTTTGCACCGCACTGTCTAATATCTTCGACGGATCAGATAATACATATTTGCCTCCCTTTGCCACCTTTCATAGTCAGAATTATATTGCTGACTGATTGTACAGTCATGCTCGCACCTGTGCAATGCTTATATGAGGCACTCACCTTGGCGAAAACACTGTTGGTTACCGTGGAGACAACTATGTTATCACCGTATCCAGCATGGAAGAGAAGCCACTAAGAAGCGAGTCTGAACCAAGTCTTGATTGGGACCAAACCTCTGTCAGTTTCAAGTGACAGACAAGAATGGATATCCTTCTCTACGACCTTTGCGCTGCTTTACCATGGATCTCGACCAATATGCATAGTCTGCTCGATACGAAGGGTAGAGTGTGGATGAGTAGCCGTCTCCTGACTGCCCTCTGCAATAAAGCCGAGAGAGCTGAGCCCTCTGAATGTTTCGTCGAATGGTTAACATATGCCTATCGCCGAATGCAAGACGACTTGTCAAAGCCTCACCTTTGTCAGGATCACGACCGAAGCCACTTTGTTTCTCACCCCTCTCAAAGCCGTAGGCTGTATATGTGAGCAGTCGAGTGGTTACGGCTAATTAACACCCTACGCTCCACGGGCTTCGGATGACATAGTGGTGGAACCTTGGCGTGACGTCGCTTTTCGACACGAACATAAAAGAGGGAGCTGATAAGGATAGTCTGAGACCAGATAGTCAGCATGGATTTCATCAACAAAGTCACCGGAAGCAACAACCAGCAACAGCCGCAGCAGGGCGGAAACCAACAGCAAGGTGGATTCATGGACAGCATAAAGAATGGGATGAATAACGCGGCTGGCGGTGGGCAAGCCGGCGAGCGGAATGAGGGTATGTGGATCCTCGACATCTTACACTATGATAACTGATCTATTCCAGACTACCTTGACAAGGGTGGGTTCCTACAGTGTCAGCTCCCTCGAAATCACTAAATGACATTCTCTAGGTGTTGATATGTTCCAAGAGCGAGTCCTTGGTCAAGGACCTCAGAACAACGAATCTGCGGTACATAACCTTTCTTACGAATGCCTCGTGTGACTAAATCTTTCATTACAGATCGAACAAGCGAAGGATGAACAGATTTCCGACGCCATTAGGAGCGGCTACAAGAGTATGACAGGCAAAGACGTCCCTATTGCGGACAAGTAAAAAGTAGTGTAATCCCGTAGGACAATGGAAGAAGATCAAAGAGCTACGTTCCGTCCACTGCGAACTAAGGGTCATGGACAGAAACGACGATGATTCGATGCTGAGCTCTGTCGACTGACATGAAGAATCAAATCCGAATCAAAAACGAGGATCAGATAAATGAGCTTTATGCTATCTGGCGTTGGAAAGCTCAATGACAGGCAACGGCAATCGCACGTGGATCAGAGCGTAATGGCTCTCCTCGGTCGCCCGAAGTGCCATAAAACCAGCAGTTCTGTCGAAAGCCACGACTTAGACACGATCTCATCCTCGATCCTACACCTACTAGCCATGGATTTCTTGAAGAACGCTGCCCAGCAGTACACGCAGAGCCAGAGCCACGACAACCAAGGCCAGAATAATAATCAGGGACAAGGTCACCAGAACCAGAATAATGATCTCGGTGGATGATGGGGGCGCTCAGCAACGCACTTGGCTCGCAGAACAAGGATAACAACCAGCAGCACGGCCAAGGATCCCAGCCCAATGCACAGCTCGGTGGTCTCATGAACATGGTCAACGGCGCACTCGGTGGTGGTGCGAAGGGCGAGGCCAAAGAAGGTCAGTGTCCATTTCCTTCAGATTTGCGTCGTACTAAAGTAGATGCCAGATAAACTTGACAAGGGTATAACCTATCTTCTATGCGAGTCTCTCCATACTGATTTTTCAAAGCTGTCGACATGTTCCAGGAGCATGTATTGAAGGCTGGCTCTCAAAGTAACGAGAGTGCCATCGAGCAAGCAAAAGACAAGCAGATTGCAGACGCAATTCGTAGCGGCTACAAGCAGTTCACTGGCAAAGACATTCCCTCGTAGACCTTGTACTTTGACGCCGACCTCTGTTGTATTCCATACCTGTTCAAAGCCTCTTCCCTCTAAATTGACTCGGAATCTGTCAAAAATGGGGCAGCTATATATTCATGAGGCACAGCCTACATAGCGGCGCTCAGCCCGCGCTGGGCATTGGCTCACTTGACTTAGACCCTAACCACGACTTCGAGTCGATTTGGACGATGGATTATAATGCTTCTACCTACCAATCACCCGCCGAATGGGATCAAATGATACTCTACAGACCACCAGCCGGAACATCATGTCCGTTTGAAAAGGCAATGTCTCCGGAAATCCTCCTCAATATCGTCGAGTTCTTAGAGGCACCTCAGTGTTTGACATTGTCCCAAGTATGTCTTGCCATCCGTCTCCGAATGCGGCCCACTCACAATCTGACAGACCTGCAAACGGATTTACATCCTCTCACGAGAGCGACGAGGATACTGGACTAAATGCGCTTTCACGCATGGACTACTACTACCCGGTCCCAGGGAACAGTATACAACGGAAGAGTTGCGCACACTGGCGATCAGACAGGCGAATCTCGAATATGATTGGGACTTTCACACCCCAAGGATTAGACGACAAACGATAATAATGCATGAGTGGGCGGCTCAAGAGTATTTTATTCCCAGCGGCTCGCGGTGGCTCGTACAATATGGATTCAGTAACGACGGCAGCATACTCAGGATATGGGACATCATGAAGAATCGAAAAGTCGGGGATGTGGTAGCATTACACGCGACAGACGAGGCTACATGCATTGCAGGCGACTCGCTTGCACCTGACCAGATTGTGCTTGCATGTAGCTACACAAGGTACGCCGTTTACGCGTAAAGAAATTGTGTGCTCATTGCCCTAGGCAACACCAGGTTACTGTCCTGGCCTTCGAATTCACAGAGGATGCGGAGGCGGCGACACCCAGTTACACTCTCGAACGACGGGAGATTATCTTTGACGAAGAGGTTCGCAAGTGTACCATAAAAGGTGACGTCCTGGCTACAACTACACGTCGTTCCACGGCTGTTCAACAATGGCGCAATGACGATACTCGTCGTTGGATACAACGTCCAAACTCTGTGCAAAGTCTTTGCCAAATAGTGGAGGACTATCTCATTTTCACTGCTGCATACAGCACGTCCGCCACTGTGGTTCATGCTATATGTGTTTACGACCTATCCCCGATTCTAGCAGGGGAAATCTCCCGGCCAAAGACGCAGGTTGCGTATGCCGGAGACGTCGACGAAGCTGACAATGAAGAATTGACCGATGACGAGGACATGACAGACGGTGATGAAGAGTTAACTGAGGACGAAGACATGACCGAAGCCTTTGTGAGCTTCGAAGAGACGACTCCGGGCGTCGTCTGCTCCGTTCCACTTGACGGTAAGCCCGTCGATGGACCATGCTTTGCACCTTATGCAGTCGAGAAGAGTGCAGACGGGCGCACACAGATCAACTTTCGGATTCTTCAAGTGATCAACACAACCGAAGGCGAGAGTCTTTTCTATACAGATTACGCCCTCCTTCCTTCCTCTCCTATCCGGGCACCGAACATACAAGTAGAGGAAGATATAATGATCAAGAGTCGTGCACAAAGTCGTGGCGACACTTTAATCCAGACTAGCGATCCTCATATTATCGACACCGACCGGTCGAATCGCCCCTCTTATTATGTACCTGAAGGTGCCGTGCGATGGCAGCGTTTCGTCCAAGGTGCAAGTGGAACCAGAATACTCTGGGAGACGCCCCAGGGCGTCTTTAGGATACATTCAGATTGGACGGACGCCCCATCATGTTCGCGTCCGCTCCGGGCCATAACTCGCCCTGGTAGAGTATCCTCGATACTAGCATTCGACGAAGCGATGGGATTCGCGATCATAGAAGGGGATTCTGAGCATGATCTCGTGCTTTGGATCCGGTAATCCTGTAGATATGACCAAGTCCGGCTAGTGGACTATAGCACTGATAAACAAGTTTATTAGAAGTTGAACAACAATTCAAACGTCCAGTACTAGGCCTAGCTCGAGAAGGTTCATGAACGAGCAAAACAAATGTCCCAAATCTAAGCAGGCGAGGAAGGTGCAGGAGCGACCTCTTCAAGGATGGGTTGCTGTACGCCAAATTCCACAGAGGCAGGACAGATTAATGGGTTTCCGCTCGTAGACGCAACAGGATCCGCGCGGATGAAAAGGCTGTCTGATCTCTTGACAGGGTTACCAAACGTTTTCTGCGCGCGGTCAGGACAAGGTCAAACGTTTGAGCCATAGACATGCCTTGAAGAGTGGGAACTTTTTGGAGAAGAGCTCGACGGATACGGTTTGATCAAAGAACGGCACAAGCGCAGCCGTGGCGCCTGCGTTGACAGAAACGCCGAGGTCTGCACCCACAGATCCACCAAACTTCTTCTGTACATCTGATAGAGAAAGAACGGGATCCTCTATTGTCCCAGAGACGGGCGTGACGTCTGCGCCAGCAGAGAGCGTAAAATCTAAACCGGCAGACCCGTCGACATTGAGGAATACGGTTGTCTTTGCGGCACCTTCGAGAATAGTGACACCAATATCGAGCTGTAGACGCTTGAGTGTAGCCCATCGAGAGGGGTATCAAAACTTACACGAGGTACCAAATGGACCTCCGCACGTCCTTGCAGCTCTGCTGATGCACCAACTTTGACGTTGATAGCTGACAATAAAGTGAGATACGTCTTCGCAGAATCGACAGAACGTACGAGTTTCACCGGGTACCACCTGCGCAGCATTTTGTCCTTGACTAGGTGGGAACACGAGATTGATCTGGGGAATATCCATGGAAGAGGCGATATTAATATCGGCTGTGATTCCCAAATACGCCTTTGCTTGTGCATTGAGAGAAATAGAAGGTCCGACGGTCAGGATCCTGTGCGGACGTGGGTCAGTGCTTGTTAGAGGTGAATGTTGAAAACATACCCCGGGAAGCTTAAGCCAGGGAGACCAGCTACAAAGATCATCAGCTAAGGGGGTAGACAGAGGATATCTACATACTCTGGAGGAGAGGTACTGCTCCGGTATCGAATGTCCCTTTTGCATTAGCCTTGACGTCAAATGTCGCTCCCAGTTTACCACGAAGAACTGAGCGTCTGTGAGAACAAGGTGGTTTCAAAGTGGAGACGACTCACCCGAAGTAAACGCCAGGTCGTCAATTTGAGGCGGAACAATACTTCCGGTGACAATGAATCCAACCTCTGCGTCGAGTTTCGCCTGAACAGCAGCAGAAACAGAGACCCCGGCACCGAGTGCTGGGACTACGCCAGAACTGGGACAGTCGATCGACGCACTGAAGACTGGAAACGATTGGTCGATATCGATAACATGGAAGTTCTTGGAAAGTGTCTCGTTAAACCCAGTCGCATCGTCCAGCTATGGTTGTTTAGTATCATAGTACTGACATGCGTCATAAATTCGTTACCCACCGAGTGCACAAAATCCGAGACGGCGCCAGCTGCGGTTTCAACAATGTCTCCGATGGAATCTCCAGCTTTATGGATGCCATCTTGAACCGCTTCAGCAGCATCCTGAACTCCATCGGCGACCGTATGAGCGGCATCCTGAACACCATTGGCGACGGTGTTACCCGCACCCTGGAGTGCATCCCCGACTTGCTGAGCTGCGCCCTTGACTGCATCTACAGCGCCGTTGAACGCATCTTTGATTCCATCGAAGAATCCACGACGGGGTTTGGCAGTTTGATTACGCTTCTGAGATGCCTCGACAAAATCGCGGATCATAGCATTCGCATGTCCAGCGCGAGTGGCATGTCGGATAGAGCGCTTGGTGGCGGAGCGAGTAATGGCATCTCGCTGTGTACGAGAATTGGTGGCCGAGGCAGTGACCCAGATTCTGCCCTTACTGTTGAGGGTCAGCTACTGTCTACTTTGTAATGAAGTACGCACGAAACGGGGATTTGAGCAAAGTCAAAGTCGAGCGTCAACGCTCGGACCGGGTCATCCAACTGCCGTTTGGCGAGACGAGCGGGCAATGTCTGGTTATCAGGAATCCACGACTTGACTACTCGGGCAAACGGACCGCCTGCACACTACCAGACGTCAGGGTATCATTACCAAAGGGCGGAGTACTGACGCTGTCGGGCAACTTGACAATGGTGTTTTCCTCACCCCCTTCAAAGAGTTGATCACAATTCTTGGATCTATCGGTGCAGACGAGGCGAACGTCTTGTGGACCAACAGAATCTGGATCACATTCAATAATGTCCCATCCTGCGGCAGCCGTAATATCTGAGAGCGAAGAAGGATTCTCCGTATTCTTCAAAATAAGATAAGAAATGGTGAACCAAGCCGCCACGGGGACGTACGATCGCAAGGACGGAGTACGCGGAGTTCACACCATCTCCGGCGGTATAGGTGCAAGAACCAGAGGTACAAGGAGTCGACTCGATAGCACTTGCGACAGCGACAAGAAAGGCAAGAAAGGCTCCTTTGATGAGCATCGAATGCAAAAGGAATGTCAATGAAAGAATGGTAGATAGAAAAGAGAGGAAAAGCAGAGCACGTCTGCGAGGGAAATTTGACGGAAGATGATGTGGAAGCCAAGCAGGTGAACATACCTTATATCTTTGCGGGGCCGGGGCGCCCTCTGGCATGTGGGCAACGAGCCATGATCAGCACCGGCGTTGCCGTCCGCTTGCAGGATGATGGAAATTCCGGCTAAGTTGAACGCAGGTTCGCAAGGTACTTTGCTATATGATGCCAAGGAAGGAAGCCTGGAGAGAATTATCTCTAGGACAAGGGCCTCGAGCAGAAGCACAAAACGGCTATGGACATAATTGGCATTTTGGTTGTCGTACCGTCTTCCGGGACCCCACCTGATAGATCGTTGTCTGGCCGCTTGTGGTAGCGTTGCAGCTAGGCGACCATCATCCGTAGGCGGCGCCGAACCACTGTATGGCACACTTCTCTATACTTTACGGTGCCGGCTGCCTCATGAGAGCTATCTTCTTACTCGCTCCTAGATCTTCTGAAGGCGGCTCGGTAGAGCATCAACAGACGGTCGAAGCGTGTTGACACTGTTCCAATCCCGACAAGAAGCCCCGAATTGTGTGTGTACATCGCCACTTGGTCGCGTATGGAGTTGATCCATGAGAAAGACAAGAAACCGCATTCCAGTAGCCTCCAGAAGGGTTCCCCTTCACCCTACGAGGAGATAGAGCGTACTATCCAATCCCTGAGGACGAGTTGATTGGAGATTGTTGGTCATGGCGCGGTCAGGGTTTGGGGGAGCCACTTTTGGACCCGACCTTGATCATCGACCTGCATGAAATTAAAAGAAATCCATCGGACATCGACCTTTGCATGGTCTCCAGCATCTGCAATTCCTCTTCTGGCAACAGGAACCGTCGCTGGAGCACTAGACGAGTCGTTCTCCAACGACTCACGCCTTGAAATATGGGCTCCAAACTTTATGGATCAAAATGAATACGACTTGGGTGGCGAAGGACACCCACAAGCTAATCATTGCATCACGACTTCATCCAGGTTTGCAGTGGGAAGCGAGCGCGCCGGCACGTCACTGACACGAAGGTTGTAGGTTCAATCGACTTGCATGGGGTGCAATCGACGCAACGCGCCCTCAGGGTATCGTCGCAGCAGGTATGGAGAACGGAGAGCTCAATCTGTGGGATCCAGCAAAGATTGTCGCCGAGGCAGAGTGAGTCGCGTCGACGGGTGCTCAAAACGACGTGGCGCGTTATCCTGACGCGATTCACAGTGCAGCGGATGCTTCGATTCTCAAGAACAAGGCACACGATGGTCCAGTTCGAGGTGTAGACTTTAATCCAATCGCAAAAAACTTGTTGGCGTCGGGTGCCACCAATGGCCAGGCGAGTCTAGCCAACTTTTGATGATAGACGTATTTGCTGATTCTCATCACTTGAAAGATATTTGTTTGGGATCTCAAAGACCTCACATCACCCTACTCGCCTGGCGGAAGAAGCAGCAGACTAGATGAGATTACTGCTCTCTCATGGAACAGTGGCGTGCAGCAGATTCTTGCTACAGCCAGTAGCACTGGATTCACGGTTGTCTGGGATCTACGAGGAAAGCGAGAGGTTGTAGCCCTCTCATACTCTGCCGGTGGCGGGCCAATGCAAAGTTCACGACGAGGCCAAAGCGCTGTCGCATGGCATCCAAATAATGTGTGTATCTAAGCTTTTCTTGGGCTATGCGCTGATTTATTTGTAGTCAACGAGACTGATCACGGCTTCGGAAGACGATGCATCACCCGTGATCATGCTCTGGGATCTCCGAAACGCGCGAGCACCTGAAAAGGTTCGGACTATGCACAGTCTCCAAGCGGTTTTTCATGCTCACACAGGTACTCAACGGACACGACAAAGGAATTCTTTCTCTGTCGTGGTGCAAGCAAGACGCAGATCTACTGTTATCGTGCGGAAAGGATAGTAGAACTATTGCATGGAACCCTCAAACTGGCGAAAATATTGGAGAGGCGAGCGAATATGATATCCATATCGGCCTTTACTTAACGATTTTCAGCTCCCTGCCGCATCTAACTGGGCATATCAAGTAGAGTGGTGTCCCCGAGACCCAAATATCCTCGCCACCGCATCATTTGATGGAGCTATCGGCATCCACTCCCTGCAATCCACCAACCAGGATCAGAACATCGCACCAACTCCACGTGCTACCGACGACGTGTTTGCCCCCAGCTATCACCAAAACTTTGAGACGACCCTATCCTCAAACAGCCTCCATTATGGCTCAAGCGTCCAGCCTCTGGTTCGTTTGGCTATGGCGGCGTGTTCGTCAGTATCTCCAACGTGGCTGGCGCTGCTGGGCAGCATCAGAGCTGCGCAGTTCATTTGCGCCCAATCACCACCGAACCCACTATTATTGAAAGAGCAAAGACATTGGCCGAGGCCTCCAAGGACGCTGCGGAGCTCAACACATTCGCAGATCAAAAGACCAAAGACGCTGCTGCGAATACAGAAGAGGCGCTAGCTTGGAAGGCTCTCTCAAGTCTGTTCAAAACCGGTTCGAGAGATGAGCTCATTGCTCTACTGGGATTCTCAAAGGAGAAACTCTCTACACGAATTGCAGAGGCTGTCAAGAACCTCCAAGGAAGCACACCAACAGCGACCAAAACATCTCTCCCCGAAGCAAAGGAGGAGTCAACGGAGCCCGAAGTTGTCGTAAAGACAGAGCCGGAAGAACCATCGCTTTCGTCCACACCATCCCAGGACTCTGCCTCGTCCCTCTTTGGTGAAACGGCAGATAACGCGGATGCAGACTTTTTTAGCTCTATGGGAGGAGCACCGGCTCTTCCTCCTCACATGAGGGTTCCTCATACAGATTCCAAAGGAGAGTCCTCAGCTGCCGCAACCTTGGGATCTCCCGGTACATCAGCTTCGCCTTCAGAATTTGTGAAGAATGAAACATTTCAAATTTATCCAGAGGGCGAGTCGGAGGTCGATCAACTGGTGACACAGGCTCTCGTCTTGGGCGATTTCGCTTCTGCAGTCGAACTTTGCCTCTCTGCAGAGCGCTTCGCAGACGCGATCCTGCTCGCTGTCAAAGGCGGGCCAGAGCTCTTGAAAAAGACCCAGAAGGCCTACTTCGAACGCAGCACGGTCAGGCTTCCGTATCTCCGCCTTTACCAATCCGTCGCCGGTAACGACTTGGCAGACATTGTCCAAAACGCAGATTTAAAGGAGTGGCAAGAGGTCTTTGTCATTCTCTGCACCTATGCGTCGCAAGAGGAATTCTCCAACCTAACGGAGCAACTGGGCCTGAGACTCGAATTTCAAGGGAGCGTCGCCAAGCATTCGGGAGCTGATGATGCGTCGACCCGAGCCAAGACGCTGCGCAAGCATGCCACCCTCTGTTACCTTGCGGCTGGTAATCTAGAGAAGGTTGTCAACATTTGGGTCGAAGAGATGACAGAAGAACAGCATGTCCTGGCTGCTAACCCTGAAGACGCGCCCAAGGAAGCCTCTCTGTATACAACACACGCTCAAGCACTCCAGACATTTGTAGAAAAGGTTACTGTCTTTAGGGCGGCAGTCTCCTACAAGGACGTCGAGCTAGAAACTCCCACGACATCCCAAGCCGTGGCTGAATCTGGAGCAAGGACCTACAAGCTCGCTTCCCTCTACGACCGGTACTTTGAATATGCCGATCTCCTGGCCACCCAGGGTCTATTGGATCTCGCGGTCTCCTACATTCTCCTGATACCAAAGGACTACAATGGTGGCGGAGGTGATGGTCCCTTCCGCTTTGGTCGAGAGCGACTACTTGCAGCGGCAGGCAGGCAGCAGCCTACGACAACAGCAACAATTTCCCCAGCTGTTCCCGCCAAAACGGCTCCATCGGCAGCAACTCCGGCTTTATCGAAACCTCCCGCGCCCAGAGCTCCTTACAATCCATCACCATACTCCACGCAGACTGCACCTTCATATCCAGCACCCGCACAAAGTGCCTATACACCGTATGCACCTCCCGCAAGCAATCCGTATCAAGGAGGTGGCTACAATCCCTACCCAAGCGGGCCTCCATCTTATAATCCGCAACCGCCAATGACGACTACTCCAATGATACCTCCTCCACCTCCTGCAATCAACACTGGCTATACTCCGCCAGTTAGCAACACCCCGACCCCGGCCAATGCGGCACCCCCTCCGCTGCCTGCAGCCTTGCGAAAAGATATTCCCGGGTGGAATGATCCTCCTTCTGTCGTGGCTCGCAAAACGCCTGTGGGACATCCACGAGACGTCGCGCCCATCACTAATCCCCTGCCAAATTCACCTCCCATAACAGGACCGTCCTATCAACCGATGGGGCCGGGAGGCATTCCACCACCGCCTCGAACGGGATCTGCAGGCATCCCACCACCTCCGCGAGCGGGTCAATCCGTACCTCCGCCTCCTAGAGCTGGTGCTTCTGTACCCCCACCACCACGAGCAGGTGCAACTCTCCCGCCACAAATTCCTCCGCCTGGATCGCAGTTTGGTTATGGACCTCGCCCTGGTTCAGTAGGACCCCCGCATGATGCAAGACCACCATCGACTGGACCACAGGTTAACAATCGATATGCACCCCCTCCTTCGTCGGATCCAGCGAGCTCGCATACGGGAATACCTCCCCCTCCACCTAAGCAAGGACAGGGTCATCTTCCACCACCACCCATGCGTGCACCTGGGCCATATGCTCTTCCGCCACCTGCTGCAGACTCGGCACCAGGGCCAAAGGTGCCCCCGCCCCCACGCGCGGCAGGCGCACCTCCGATTGTTCGTAGTGGCACTTCCCCCGCGCCTCCTGCACAGTCTCCAGTGTCGACGCCGGCGCCTCCCAAGGCAGCTGCTCCCAAATATCGTACGTCTACGGATGAACTTGTTCCCCGCATCGCTCATCGTCACATTAGCACCGGGGGATAGGAGTCACATCCCAGAATCTGTCAAAGGTGTCTACCAAATACTATTCGCAGAACTTGAAAACTTCAAGAAGATTACGGTTCGTGTGCCTGTTTTGTGGTCGTGCCTTGCTTATAGTCGTAGCCCAAGCGTACTGGAGATGACGTGGAGCGCCGCATGAATATCTTGTTTGACTCTCTAAACTGTGCGACGCTATCGGTCCCAGTGGTTCAACAGTTGATGCAGATTTGCGATGGTGCGAAAATATTTCATTGACTTTTGTGTCTCTAACTCTCCGTGGTAGCCTTCCAAGAACGAAACATTGGAGCGGCACTCCAGATTCACCTTCAGATGCTCACAGAAGGTAGCCGAGGAGGAGACGACATTACCGTCTGGATGCCAGCCCTCAAGCAGCTCTGTCAGAGGATGTTGGGATAGATTTAGTCGTAGACTCGTCATGTGGCCAAGTTCTTTGGACTAATCATAATGGTTTCACAAACTCGCTCCCTTCATCACTAAGCAAGTATTGAGTCGTGGTATGAACGGCGTCAACTAGCTGAGAACGACCTGGCTTTCACATGCTGCAGTTCTCGAGATCCGGCCGCACACCAACCTTGGACGTTAACCATGTTGTTCCGCTCACGGCTCTCCCATCCCGTGTCCGTGCTATTGGGCACTAACCTTCGCCAAATGCGAGCTTCATCAAGTTTACCTTTAGACCCACCATCCCCTGACGAAGAGACCAAGATATTCCACGCTCGGTGCGCGGAAGTCGAGAGCTTCTTCAAGTCGCCGCGGTTTGCGGGCATCAAGCGTCCATACACAGCCAAAGATGTAGTCTCTAAGCAAGGGTCATTTCCTCCAGTACCTCTACCGGGCTCGTTGCTTTCTGACAAACTCTTTGCCTTGTTCGCGCGTGCAGCCAAGGAGAAGAGACCAGTTCATACCATGGGTGCAATTGATCCCGTACAAGTGACCCAGATGGCGCGGTACCAGGAAGTTGTCTACGTCTCCGGGTGGGCTGCCTCGAGCGTGCTGACGACGGCGAATAACGAAGTAGGGCCGGATCTCTCGTAAGTCGCAAATTGTCACTATTATGTGCTACTTATCACCTCCAGTGATTATCCATATACGACTGTCCCGAACCAAGTCCACCGACTGTTCCGGGCTCAGCAATTACATGATAGAAAGCATTATGACGAGCGTATGACGGCCACTCCTGAAGCGAGGAAAAGTATGGAACAGATTGATTATCTGAGGCCGATAATTGCGGACGCGGACACTGGGTAAGACCCCTGCTGTTACAAATAGATAAGTTTGACATATTTAAAGTCACGGTGGCATCTCGTCTGTCATGAAGCTGGCCAAGATTTTTGCTGAATCGGGCGCGTCCGGTATCCACCTTGAAGACCAGCTGCATGGCGGAAAGAAATGTGGCCATCAAGCTGGGAAAGTCATTGTCCCGACTTCCACTCATATAACCCGTCTCATTGCATCACGCTTCCAATTAGACGTGATCGGATCCACCATGCACTTGATCGCACGAACAGACTCGGAGTCTGCCAAGCTCATCTCCTCTACTGTTGACAAAAACGACCATGAGTTTATATTGGGAACCATGGTCGAGGGTACTCCGCTGGCTGAAGTCCTCGACGAAGCAGAGGCTCAAGGAAAGAGTGGTCCAGCAGTCGATAACTTGGAAAAGGAATGGCTCGAGAAGCACCCGCTTGTCACATTTGATCAAGCTGTAGAGATTGAGATCAACTCCTCCCAAATTGCGGACAAGGCTTCTGCCCTCAGTGAATATAAGAGGCTTTCCTCTGGCAGGTCAAACCTTCAAGCTCGCCAGGCGGCGAAGCATGTTCTTGGAACCGATGTCCGGTGGAGTTGGGACTGTGAGTTTCCCTAGCTACATCCTTGACTTCTTGCTAATGCGAGTCGATAAGTGCCCAAGACCCGTGAAGGCTACTACCATTTCAAGGGTGGTGTCGAAGCCGCGATCAAACGTTCCAACTTGTTTGCACCATATGCAGATCTGCTTTGGCTGGAAACCAAAAAGCCAGACTTGGAGCAGGCAACTGGTTTCGCTAGACGCATCCGGGAGGTCCATCCCGGAAAGTATGTCCTTTCTTTGCTTATATCTTCCCTTCACTCACTCTCCCAGAATGCTAGTGTACAACTTGAGCCCAAGCTTCAACTGGTCCGCCCATGGTTTCACGGGTAAGTTGACCGAATCTCCTATATACCACTCTGATTGCTCGCTAGACGATAAACTCAAGTCATTCGTCTGGGACCTTGCCAAAGAAGGGTATGTATGCTATGCTCGTGTACAGCTGTGGCTAAATGATCTTCAGCTTTGTCTTCCAATTGATATCCCTTGCCGGAATTCATAGTACTGCTACAGTAACTGGTTGGTGCACACGCTGTGAAGAATTCCTTGGCTGACATTGCCGCCCAGTCGAGCTCGCTCGTCGATTCCAATCCGACGGCATGCTGGCATATGTCGAACTAATCCAAAGGAAAGAAAAAGAGTTGGAGTGTGACGTCCTGACGCACCAAAAATGGTATGTCACCCTGACGTGACTGAAGTCTAGCGCTAATCAACTCCGTAGGAGCGGGGCTGGCTACATTGATCGCATGCTCTCCAGTGTGTCTTTTCTTCCCATCATATACAAAATTCTCACCGGCTTTAGCTGTAATGTCCGGCTCTTCGAGTACCTCTGGTATGGGCGCGGACTCGACAGAGCACACCTTTTAAGGCTATCCACTGGGCGTGGGAGCTAACCCTGTATCACATCCCTCCTTGGTATTAACTTCACTCAGATGTGGATCCCCCCATTAAACGTTCTAGACTAGTGACATCTCCGTGATGCACGGGACCAGTTGCGGCGATGCTTGTCGTTACCTCTTACATTGTTTTAGCGAGTTCGACAAGCACTAAAAGACCTTACCTTGGATTCTTACCAGTGGCTCATCATCTGTATCCCCTCTATGGAGTCTCCCGTCTCATTCAGCTACCTTGCAATTTGCGCTGTTGGATTACCTGCTGGCTATCTGGTTTACAAATACTTAACACCAAGCGAGATTGGAACAATCCCACACAACCACCTGACATGGCTTGTGGGTGACATTCCGGCGATGACCCAGAGTGTAAAGTCGGGGTTAGGCATCACACATTGGTTATCCGAACAAGCATTTCAGCACGGACCAATCATGAGTGTGCATATGGGCCCATTTGTCGCCAAAGTGGTTATCACGGATCCTCAGGAGGTGGAGGACATCCTCACCAAGCGATCCGATGACTTTACTTTCAGTGATACTCAAAAGATTGTCTTTGGTGGCACCATGCCATACGGGATGCTTAGTATCCCAACCAACGCTATGTGGCATGCACATCGACGCTCTTTGAGCCCTTGGTGCGTCCTGCTTTTTGCTATACCTTTGTTGAGGCGTTGCAGCATGAACACCCAGTATTTGAAGATGTGTGCGCCTAGGGTCAATGAGGTTAGCCGAGCACTCGCGGCGCTTTGGAAAGAAAAGATACTTCGCATGTCGGAGGTAGACTGCTTTGATGTTGCAGAGGATATTCAACATTGCACGATGGTAGGTTGCCTTGTAGGGGATGACTTTATTGACATGAACAGGACACGATATCTACATTTTTATTCGGCGAACCATTCGGTAGTCTTTCCGCGGCTCATAAGGCCCTGAATGATGGTTCCGCACATCCTGATGTCCCAATGCACAACGCTGTCCGACTTTTGTTCGATGTACGCACATTCCTCTTCTGCCTCTGTATTGCTGAACCATTGTGAAGGTCATGGGAGCAGCAGCAAACTCACCTCTTCCAAAGGTGGCATACTGGTGGCACAAGCGACAGAAGCAATGGAAGGACGCCTACAAACTATTCTTCGACTATGTGGAAGATAAGATATCCGAGGCCAAGGCGGATTTCTCGAGTAGTCAGACTTCTCGTCAAACAACCGTCCTAGACATCGTTTACTCTAGAGAATCGTACCGAGGATTATTTCCAGAGGATGAACTCAAGGATGAGATACTCAATTTTCTTCTGTAGGTTCCAATCCCGGACCTGCCGAATTCTGGCTAACACCCTTTAGTGCTGTATGTCGGGAACCGTATATGCACCTGGTTTATGACTTTACAGGGTCAAGATACCACGGCTATAGCCTTGCAATGGGGCCTCAAACTGCTCAGCCACCACGTGCATGTGCAGCATACTCTTCGGGCACATCTCCTTGAAAGAGGCATCCTCGAGTTGGAAGAGGTCACGTTTGATGACGTGCGAGCTGAAAACTCGCCATATTTAGAAGCAGTCGTCTGGGAAATTCTCCGGCTCGCGCGAGTCGGACTCTTCATTAGTCGAATGGGTATGCTCACTTGCATAAGGTCGCACATACTCATTATGAGTAGCCACAAAGGATACAGAAATACTAGGACATGTCATTCCTAAAGGGACAGAAGTTGTACTCCACGTCGGTCATACAGCCGTTTACGACACTGAAGCAAACGCACAAAACATTGGCCAGTTCTGCTCTCCAAACGAGAAGCGGCAGAGGATTTCAAAGCCCTGGACAGACGACGGACAGGCTTTCCTCCCTGAGAGGTGGCTAGACCAGCAAGGCCGATTCGACCCAAACCATAGCGTCTTTCCGTTCGGAGGCGGACCGAGGATGTGCTTTGGATATAGATTTGCGGTATGTCTTGATGTTGACTGACCAATGTGCAACCCTTCTGAGTGAATCATCACAGCTTCTTCAGCTCAAGCTCATTCTCGTCGAACTTCACCGCAACTTTGTCTTCTTTGCGCCTCGTGATCCGGATTTGGACTCTTTCAAAGTAAAGGAGACCGTCAATCGCGCACCAATAAATAATTATGTAGTCATTCGACGGTACGAGGCCGACAAGGACCAAAGCTACACGGCGGATTCGTAGAGCGCTGCTTCAGCCGCATGCAACTCTTCAGACTCTAGGAACTGGTCTGGATGCGTCTTGGCGTGAACCTAATTCGTCTCAGTTAAAGACGGCACAAAGTGGGGGTGTAGAGCAAACATACCACTAGCTCGCGTAGTTCCGCCACTGCACTAGACAATCTCTTTTGCGTATCGAATACCATCTTCTCCGATTCTTTAATCAGATTCGCCTAATACCCAACGCAATGAGTCTGCCACACTCCTGAACACGAGACATGATGGGTAGGCTGACCTGATTCTTGAGCTTCCACTCATCCGCCTCGCCATCTGCACGCATCTTATCCAACTTTGCCTGGTTCTCGTTCTGTTCATTTCGGTAGAGAGTGTGCTCCTTCCAAAGCCTACACCAGAAAGTGTTAGAGGACGAGGAGATCTCATATGATCCGCGCCGTATTTACCTAGTCACTGCGCCCGTTTTAATCTTGAGCTGTCGTTTTTCCTTTGTCGCGTCGCTCATTCTTGAAAATGTGCTGCAAACCGAGGAGCGGATGAGGTCAGAGTTGAAGAGTTGGAGAGACGCCGATGCCTACCAAATTCCGCATCATAGATTTGATCAGACAAGCGAAGAAATACTCAGAAATATGGCATTCACTATGACAGCCTCTTTGGTATCTAACCGCGATCAATGATGCGTTCAAGGGGGCACGAGAAAGTCCGGAACAAACGATTGGCATTGGAGAAGCGAGAGACTAGGAATCCAAAGTAGGTGCTTTGTACACAGTCAAAGCGGGGATGAAGGGGAGATGAAGCGAATTAGTTGCTCCATCCGCGCTCCGAAGAGAATGAACAAGTTGGCCTCCAGCATGCGAGCCGCGGCAAATAGTTTAGTTATTAGTCGATATCCTTCCGTTTCCATGTCTAAAACTTCGTGTCCTCAGAGCCCGCATAGTCTCAGGATCAAGTAGAGCGTAGATCCAAAGAATCGGATGGCTGACAGACCAGCACTGTCGAGGAGAGGTAAGCGACAATCAACCATCGGTGATCAAACGTACAGGGCGTAGAAGAGGAAGGAGAGGTACGGGTTGAACGAGCCGTTTCCAAACTTGGCTGCCCACTGAAGATACAATCAGCACAACCCAGAAAGAACGACGCAAAGACATACGGTTTGGAAGTTTTGTGACGTGAACACGAGAATCATGAGCATATTCGTTCCGACCCACGCCAAAACGGTGTTGGTACGGCTGTTACGATCGTGATCGGCCTGCTTGGTGGCGGCGTCACGGTGTTGCTTCTCCTCCGGAGGCTTGTTGCGCAGAGCAGCGCGGCTTGCAGCCCACACCGAGTCGACATCTTCACGGGCAGTGGGCAGTTCGACTTCGTAAACGTCTTGACCGTCCTTGTTCGAAGTCTTCTTGGCTCCTCCCAGATCCTTGGCTGCGCCGTTGTCTCCCTTGGTACCCCAAGAAACGTCGTGAAGGTTGCCTGAATAGAAGGTCAGCTTGGGATCAATGGCTTTGACCAAAAGCACATACACATGGCGTACATCACTATGCGCCGATGTAATGGTTAGCAAAGAAAAAGCAGTCTGGGAAGCAATACATACTGAGAATGTTAACGTCTACAATCATGTCAGCATAGGTTGAAAGGATGGCGAATACACTCACAAGATGGCAGCAAGAACATATACTCTAAAGCAAGGTTATTAGCCCGGTAGTCCTGCAGGCGGGCGACCAAGTACTCACGGATGAACGACGTAAACATGTGCCAGGGCTCGAAATGAAGGAACGAGCTAAAGAAGTAGAGCCCATAAGTAGCCGCAAGCGAGATGACAATGTCACGGAATGCCGAGTTGGTCGCAACGAGACTAGAAACCCGCCAAGGTCAAATCAGGTTGTAAAACCATGTGTTGGACATACTGGCCAAATTGCTGCCACTCCGCAGCCGTCTTTGGCGCTGCCATATAGACCGTGTAGCCTGCGCACCAAAGACCAATGACGTTGCAGATACCAAAGAGAATCATCGATGTGCCATAGGTATACTTGGATCCTTGTGGTCGGTTTCCGAGCGAGCAAACCACGACGACGAAGAGAACGGCAATATAGAGCCTGAGGAGAATATCGAAGATGGTCGTGCCAATGCCGTTGACACCCATGAAGCTAAAGGCGCCTTGGTCTGAAGAGGTCGCCGATTTGACCAGCTATAGGACAGTTAGAACCATCTTCATTTGATATCGATACGACGCACGAAGAAGAAAGCGAGATAGAAGTTGGCCAGGGACGTCCAGGTGAAGAGAAGCTGGACCGCGTTGTAGATAAACTCGAACTGGAGAACAATCTTGCGGAAGAAGCCTTGACCAGAAGTCCAAATGCGCAACATGTAGACGGTAGCATGAAGAGCGGCAAAGAGGGAGCCGTTGAGCCATCGACGACGCTGGGAGATGAACTCGGCAATAGTCGTAGGCACGTCCGTGGCTGCTTTGGCAGACTTGACATAACGGAGACTATACAGAATGAGAAAATATGTAAAACGCAGACATCAATCACTTACACCCAGCCCTCCTTCTTCTTGGTGACAATCTCGAAGCAAAGACTAGCGGACGGTCAGGCAACGTCGTCAACGGAACCCGTTGTCGATGACTTACATTCGATCCTCGGCGAGGTACATGTTACGTTCTGCAAACGCTCAGTTGTCGCCCTTGATACCACGGGTGCTACACTCACCGAAGAGGCCGGCGCCATGTGCACCATCACCATGCATGGCCTCACCCTTGAAGTATGAAGCAAGGGGACCTTTACCGTTGGGCCCATTGAGGAGCGCCTTGTAGCGATAGGCACTAAAGGCTCCTGGAAGCACGGAGATGTAACCAAAGACACTCTGCGGACCGGTGAGCGTGCGTCAAGAGAACGGGGTACTATCACAAACCTCCAATGGCTTGTCGAGAATGTTGGACATCTTGTACTCAAAGTTTTGCGAGGCAGCGAGGGGACTTGTGAGCAAAAGGGAGCAGCCCTTGCCAGTGTCGACGCAAATTTCTCCGCAGGCACCACCGACGTTGGCGTGAGAATCAAAGCCTATAACGATGAGACAATGTTATGCAAGATGAAGAATACACATACACTTCCAGAGCTCGTAGATTGAGGTTCCGGTCGGCTTTGTGCCGACGTCCAACAAGACGCAGACGTTGGGCTTGATCAAGGGGCCAAAGGCGTTGAAGAACCATCGGTGGCTGTTGAGCTTCTTCTTGTTCTGCTCCTTGAGGCAGAAGATGACCTGAACCGGGCAGGCACCCGTCGAGACCTCTCCAGTATCCGAGACGACGACCTGAGACGTATACTCAAAGATGTGGGCCGTCACGTCTTTGCCACCGACAGAGTCCTTGGCAATCCCCTCTTGGTAGCAGCCCATGAGGTTGAGAACCTTGAGTGTGCGCTGGTTGATCTTGCTCCGACCGTCGGAAACGACACAAACGACGACCTTTTTCCATCCGTCGGGACCCCACATCTTGGAGCGGGTGCGTCCACAGAGGAAAGCGATATTCTTGATGACGGCGTTCATGGTTCGAACGAACAAGACTTCGTCCTCGTTGTACATGGTGAGGACGATGAAGAGTTCTGTGTGACGGCCATAGAGATATGGTCGGAGCGAATACTTTTGCTTGACGAAATCGTCTGGATCGCAAGTGCAGGCAGTATACTAAAAGAGTGTTAGTGTCAGCCGGTGTGTCGGCATGAGCCGGGGGAGCGTGGGGCCATGCGACGGAGGAATCGGCTCACCCTCATTTTGGTAAACTCTTCGCTCTTCTCGGAGGAAGTAACGATATGAGACGGAACTTGGACATCAAAGACGAGGTTGCCATTCTGGAGGGGCACCTGGCGAATGGACTATTTCGGGGGTGGGATCAGTAAATTAGCCAATAAAATAGGAGGGCGGAAGCAACGTGTGCCGGACGGCAGCAGGGAGGAACCAGATACGCACTCTGCGCTTCATGAGCTTGTCCCGTGCCGATGAGAATCCGGAGCTCTCGGTCAGTGTGCGCTGTGGGCCACCAAACCCTCCAGGAAATTGGACTCTGGTCGTAGGAGGATAGTCGACTACGGGATTTGGCTGGTAGGGGGCTGGCATGGGCGGTTGCTCCGCGTAGGGCTTGTTGATAGGGTGGGACGAGTAGTTTGAGTGGACGGTGTTGCTCGACTTTGTCGATCTCGAGTCCCACTGGGTGGATGCATTTGGTTGCGTGTAATAGTCGTCGTATTCAGCCTCTTGGTGGTGCTGGGGCTGGTTATAGTTGTTCTGGGCGTATCCTCCACCTCCTTGCTGATAGCCGCCGTTGTACGAGTTGTTGTGGTAAGACATGGTGTAAAAAGGACTGGAATGCGCCTAGGAATTGACGCCGTGTGTGGTGTTAGCACCGGGCTAGGGAATGGTTGGGGGCAAGCTTTGGGCTCGCTTTGGTCCAAGGCCCATGCTCCGATTGTGCTTCACTTGGCAAATGTCGGACATCAGAACTCCGTTTCGGTACTTAATTCTTAGAGTGTCTGGTATCCGTTGCAGGAACTGTCTACGTTTAGCAAATGAGCAATTCCCATCGAGCATTGCCGTTTATTTTAGAGGCTATAGTCGCCGAATCCGCAGTCCCAGGGCTTTCACTTGCCGGGCGGGTGTGTGAATTATAAGATTTGCTAGTGCCCCGGTTAGCCACTGGCAATGGACAGCTGCAAAATGAAACGTGTCTGATATCTCCTGATGCTCTTCTGATATCTCCTGCAGGGGATAGTAAGCCATAGCCATAGCCTAGGCCGTGCTCGACGGTGGTCGGTGGCTCTTTCCAACTTCGACTTGAACGCTCTCTTTCCTTGGAATATTTCGAGGGCCGCACATTTATAAACGGGGCGGGGACATTGTACTTTCTTTATTTCTCCACTTATTCCTCCACAAACCATGGAGGAGGACCGTGCTGCAAAGGCCGCTCGAGCACGCGCTCTGGTCAGTTTTGGAAGATGCCCGTCGCACACGCGTTGACTCTCTCTCATTTACTAGCTAAACAAGCGAAAAGCTGCTCAACGAGTCACAGCACCATCCACCAACACGCCCTCTGAGCCTCCAAGTGCTCATCCAAGCCCGCCTCCATCGACCTATGCGCCATCTGTAGGAAACCCAGGATCACCCCAGCAATCCACTGCACAGCTACAGGAAGAAGTTACTCCCAGTGCGCCAGCTGCACCATCACAACCTGCCACGCCCGAGTCAAGGTACGACCAATAGACACGTCTATAAGCTGGCTAATACTTCCCTATTCAGACGAAATTCGCGTTCAAATGGCCACGATCCTTATGCAGCACTCGTTGCAACTCGTGCACGCTCGCCGCTGTCATCACCTCAAAATGACGACCCACAACTACCGTGGCTCGTCCAGAATCAGCAACAAACAATTGCATTACTCGTCTCTGAAAAGGCATCGCTTGCGGCTGCGCTGGAAAGATTAGAAGGACTGGACGAAAGTAGGGATACCCGTTGCGATGCCGCAGTCCCTCATTGACCATGCATCCTACAGAGTATGGTTCCGTATCGGGTCAATTAGAAGCCAGCAAACGAGCCGCACAGACACTCGAAGAGCGCTCTCGGGATCTCGAAGTCGAGCTCTCAAAAGCACAAAAGCTCAATGAACAACTGACGATCAAGGAAAAGAATACGAGTGATACTCTACGACAAAAAGTGTGTTCTGTTTCCATGGAAAGCACGCCAATCTCATTTGGAGCAGGAACGGGATTTGGACCTGGCCCGCAAAGAGATTTCGGATCTACATGAGAAATCCAATCGACTTGAATTGACGCTGAGGGATCTTCGAGAGCAGATCGAAGCCGACGACAGAGTCGACAGACTCGAGGCGTCACTCAAGAGCCTCCAAGATCGCTCAAACTCGTTGGAATCGCAGTTAGCCAAAACCAAACAAGTGCGTCTCTCTTATCTCAGCCAATCCCGAGAGCTCATACCTTTTAGAGTCTTGCACAGACCAAGGCGGAAAAGGAGACTTTGTCCGCCAAAGTCACCGACCTGCAGACCAGCGAACGGGCATCAAAGACGGAATGCGATACCCTCAAATCCCAGCTTGCAGATGTTCAGTCCAAGTTTGATGCCTTGACTGCCGAGCATTCCTCGCTACGGGCCGCCCATGAGGAGCTGGCCACGCAATCAAAAAAGCACAACGAAAGTGTCGCAGAGCTGAACAGAAAGGTCTCTGTTGAGCATGGCAAGTCGGCGATGCAAGAGAAGAAGATTAAGACGCTCCAGGCAGAGGTTGCTGCTGCCAATCGACGAGCAGACGAGGCAGAGCACGCGCACAAGGGCTTGCAGAATGAAAATGTAGGCCTTATGGCATCTCTCAACGAAATGCGGCCGAGGGTCATGCAGCTCACCGAGGAAAAATTCGATCTGACGGAAAAGATTTCGAGGCTGGAAGAAGATCGCAACGAAATGGAAGAGGTCATTTCCAAAATGGAGAATGCTGCAGAGGAAGCTCGGGCCCGGTATGAGCATTTAGAGGCTGAAAAGGCCGAATTGCAAGCCGCTCGGGAGCGGGATCGGGAAGGTGCAGACCAGGACTTGGAGCGGTTACAGCAGGCGCTCTCACGAACAGAAGAAGAACTCGATACGGCCATCAAAAGCGTACGTGATCTAGAGTCGGAGAGAGCAATACATCGGCAGGCGGTCGAGCGGTATCAACTCGAGATGGACAAGCTGGACGACGAGTTGGCGATGATCCGAGCGCAATATACGACGTTGCAGGATAACCTCGCCGCGTCGCAAAATGCTCGGGAACACGACGCGGCCATCCTCGAAGAGTCGCATGGAGTCGTCGAGCGGGCCAACGCAGAAGTCGAGTCTCTGCGCAATGAATTGCTGGCCAAAGAGGAAGAAATTGAGCGTCTCAAGTCGTCCAATATTTCCTCTTCTGCGCAGTCTACAATACCGGGTGAGGGTGATGCTTCTCGCGGTCCTGGTCCTGGGCATCATCAGCGGACCGGCTCCCTCGACAAGGAAATGTTCGAGTCTGAAGGCACATTCGAGCTGTCGACGGCACGATCCAAAATACGGATGCTGGAGACGACAGTGTTCCAAGAGCAAGCCAAAGTGCACAACCTCAGAAAGCAAATCAGCTCGTTGGAGGAAGAGCTGCATCGGGTTCGACGGACATCGCGGTCGCAGCAGCTGACGCCGTCCTACTCCAATTCGCCTGCACCAGGACTTGCAAAGGAACTGCCCGGCGAAATGGCGTTGGATTCCGCACTTCCTCCAGACATTCGGCACAAACGCAAGATTAGCTTGGGTATGTTGCGCGCGCGTATACACAGTGAAACAAATGGACAGCTGCATTCACATTCCTCGCCGCGACCCCTCGCTGCGCGGAGACTATCGTCCAATTTGGGCATTACACATGAAGAAAGTGGGTCCGAGGCAGGTGTCGACGAGAGTATGCCAGCACGGTCGGCCATGGCCCCCCCTGTTCCGGCCAAACGCATGGATCGACCGCGACCGCAATTCTTGGACGACTCGCACGTATTTTGGTGTAGCTGCTGCCGTGGAGAGGTCGTAGTGCTATAGAGTACTGCTGCTGGATCTTGAGATTTGTCGGCTTTGTATTTTTTCCCACTGAAACTAGGCTCGCCGTTGAAATGTCAAATGTCGCCGTAATCATGAGCAGCGCTGGCGTCGATGGTTAAATGCAGGGACCTTGTTGCAATACACATCGCCCTGAGCATGCCGGTGTTAAAGAGGAGCTCTCTCCCTTGGGACTCGTTACTTGGACACTAGCCATGATGGCGTCGAGCCAGCTGTTTGACCGGTACATTGCCCAGTCTCAGTCCCGGTCTCGTTCAGACTCTTCCAACTCGTCCATTCTCTCTGGTGCGCTTTCTCCGCCACCCAGAGCCAGAAAACCTAGCTCGCCGCCCAGCACTCGCTTGGATTCTGCCGCATCCTCGCCCGTAGTCCAGCCCCGCACAGTCGACGCCCCAAAGCTCAGCTCGACACACGCAGACGTGTCCAATTCCCGCTCGTCGTCGCCGTTTGTCGACGGCGAAACGCTCACAAGGTCGGTCGGGGCTCACAGTAGCCAACGGCCAACGCATCATGCGGCAAACTATTCTGAATCTATTACCTCGCTCACGTCCTACTCTAATTTGTTCTACGATGCCCGCGAGGACGCCTCTCCGAGTCCCAAGCCACCGTCCGACTCGAACAGAGAGTCCCAGATTCACGATTTCGACGAAGAGGGGTCAATAAGCAACTATTCCGATCTCCTTTATCCAGAACTACAGTCGACGACGACGGCGTCCCAGCCCTCCCCTCGACTCTCCATCGACGTCCATGGGCCCCCACCACGACGCCGCGTTTCGTCGTTTAACAGCCAGGAAGGCCCAGAGAGTCCTGTAGAGTTTGCCACGATCACCGGTGTCTCTCCCGTTATGCCCGTCTTTCCAGAGACAGAGATCAATCCTATATTGCCACCCCAACTCCAACATTCTCGAAACGGCAGAAGCAAGAAGCTCGCGTTCGAAGAGGGTCGTCGAGACAGCTTTATCGATTTTGACCCTCCTGCAAATGGGAATAACGCTCAACCTGCAGCAGTGAGAACCAAGCCATCCATGCCAGACGAAATGCCCATATTTACCGTGCGCCATGCTATTCAGTCGCAGAACAGGTCCCTCGGCGATTACAAGACGCTTGTCGACGAGGTTGAGGCAAGGCGCCCAGATTTCGATCTCGAGTCCCCCACAGAGCCACGGCAAGTGCTCGTAGATGGTTCTGACAAGCGGAAAGCAGCGACGCCCACACCAGACTTGGCCAACCCCCTCCCACCGACATCCAATCTGCTCGAGCCCCAGGAGCGCAAGGAACGATTAAAGCAAACGCGCAAAATTGTACAAATGCTCGGTCCTACCGCAATCCCAGCAGCCCAAGCCTCTCCACGAGCAATGTCTGCCTCCCCTCATCGCTTTACTCGGTCCGACAGTCTGCCGACTGAAAGCCTGAACGTTCAGGCTTTACGTGAGAATCGTCACCAAGGAGATGAAGAACGATCGACGACGACGACACATGTTTTGGTGTCAAAGTCAAGTTGGGGACCGCTCAATCAGAGCACCATCTTCCTAAATGCAAATGGACGTCGCCATTCGAGTCCGTTGAGCCCAACGCTCCACGATCCCGAGTATTATCAATCAAGGGATGCGGAAACGGCGAGCTTGAGCTCCCTTGGATCCATCATCGAGCCCGCAGACGATAAGCAGACGCATACCCCTAGGAGTGGGAGTCCCACGAGCTTTATCGAACTATGGTGGGAAGAAGATGAGGGAGGGATGAGGACACCGAAACGACGTCTGTCAGTCGAGCGTGTCATCGTATCTGACATGGAATCTCAGGACCAGCACTTGGACCGTGGGGCTTCTGCCTCCGGGACCACCGAGATTTCAGGGATGGCGCCGCTCCAATCAAAGAATCATTTCATTTCTTCCGAGTCTATCTCAGACGACGAGGGACATCGACAAAAGGGAGATTGGAAGGACGAAGAGTGGCAGCAAGAGAGACAACGGAAACGACAACAGCTTGCCAAGATTCATCGATATCTCGGTTCCAAAGTCCCGGCAGAGCTCGTTACCGGTTTCAGTTCTGCCACCATGGAGAAAATGATGGTGCCACCGGTGCCTGCTGTCCGTCCACGCGCAACTGATAATGGACCCGTGAGCAATGTCAAGGAATGGCAAAAACGACGAAGGAGCTCCAGCGCCGCTCAAATGGAAGCTGGGGATCGCCGAGGACGACCCGCGCCCGTTCGAAATCTGTCCGAAACGCTTTCTTCGTCTGAGAAGATGGCCATCATAAAGCGAGCTCAGAAGATTGAGCAGGTATGTTTGGCTTTTTTATGACAACGCGGCGTCCTCAAAAAGCAATACTAGATCTTTGGCGAACAGCCTACCCGGCCCCTGTCCATGTCCCGTGCATCACCGACTACAGACGCACAGTTTACGCGACAGGAGCCCAAGTCGGCGCCTATCAAGCCTATTATGGAATACCCGGTCACGAACCCCAAGACGAATGGCTACAAAGCGGGGTCGCCGTTTCCCAAGAAGGATGGTCGACCTTCGACTGCGGGTTCATCACGGCCATCAACGGCGCAATCGACTACTGGTCTTCTTTCCGCTTACAGCAAAGACGTGGAGAGGGAACGAAGGGCGCGCCAGAAACCGATCATTATCGAAGTCGAACAAACACAGACTGTGGACATCTATCCTTCTCCGTTCCCCATCGGCACGGCGTTAGGCTCGCCATGGGAAGACATGTATGAAGATGTCATTGACATCTCGGCGGCCAACCAACCTACGCAACCCTCCAAGGCGGCAGTCCTACCCGGCGTTCCGACATCTCGTCAATTCCTCGATTACCGCACGAGTTTGAATTCTCTTGGACGCATTCTCGATCAGGTACGCCGACCTATCATGCGCCATGAATGTAGAGCGTGGTCAACTAACAATGAATGCTCTGTTCATTTTTGCGCCGGGCATGCCACACATTTAGGACGATCGGCAATCTCTGAATGAACTACATGCGGTGCTGGACAATAGTGATGACGAAGACGAGGCGGAGAATGGCTTGCACGGTAATCTTCACCACCGACGCCCGCAGCTATCCTCGACGAATGACAAGAATGCCATTGTCGATCCACGGCCTGAACGGACCATTCAGTATCGCGCGTCCCTCGCGTCGATCAATACTATTGCATCGACGTCGACCTATGCCACGCTGACGCCCGAACCAATGACGTTCCAGGCGCGTCGCAAGCGTGCAGCCAAGCTCGCTCACTTTTTCGGCGCGTCGTACCGCGACCTGTTTGGCGAGGTGCTCGATAGGATTGAACGCGGCATGCTCGAAGAGGCGACCAGAGGTGAGATGTCACAAGAAGAGGTCAAGGTGAGCAGAATTCTCGCTGCCTGTGTGATGGAACGCTGACGGTCAACTGCGTGCAAATAGCACCTCATGAAGCAACTCGACAAATTAAAGAAGCGGCATTCTCAACTGGATTAAAACCCAAACACACGGACTCTACGGGTGCACTGCTTTTTGGCACCTCAGACGGCGGCTCGCATGAGCTCGTTGGCCTGGAATATGTACTCTTCGATTGGTCTCCGTTCACATACTCTCTAATCATTTGGACTCTGGGTTGTACAGCACCTGCGGAGGTCGAGTGACCTCCTTTACTTTTTCTTTATAGCTCGCTCTAATAACTAGTTCCTTTTTTCCTTTGGCGGTGAATAGCACACGAAAAGAGTACGAATTTTTGAGACTGGTGATATACATAGGCACGATCAAATCAGGACACAAATCTAGACCACATCCAAGAAACCGGCGGGTGGAGGCTAAGTAAGGGTAAATGGGAGTCTCTCAGAGGCTGCTTTGATCGAGTGAAACCGGAAAGCGAGACGGAGGGAGCGTGGGAGAGTACCTTGGAAGATTGCGGGGGTGGTGTGATGAAGCCAAAACAAATCACGGAGAGTGAAGCGGTGGAGGGGTTCGATCCCAGAAGGGGATCCATTCCCGGTTTCAAACAAACCAGCCAAGAAGAGCGTAATGAGGAGCCAGTCCATGGGGTCAAAATAGACGGTATGACATGCGGCTGCCCCCGTTCTCCCTCTGGCACACGTCACCGTCAGTCAGGCGCAGACGGCGGTAAACGGGCCATGGCTGTGGGATACCAGCCGGCTGCGTCTAGACCGCGCGAGCGGCAAAAGATGATGCGGGACGTGGGCAGAAGGCAGTGTCATGTTTGCCGAGGTGGAAAGATGTGGGTATTGGACAAGCAGGACTAGGTAGTAGGCAACGGCTTGGGGAGTTTTAGACGAGACTAGCGAGACGTTGCGAGATGGGAGGAAATTGGATTAATCCGCCTACCACCAAAGTCGAGCGTAACGAGTTTGAAGTTTTTTTTTTTTTGAAAGAGATGGGCAAAGAAAGTTTCCGTGGTGCACTTGCACTTGGTTTGTCATCGGCTGTGGGTGATCGGGATTACCGTCACATGTTCCAAGAGCTCGACGAATTGTTGGGTGCATTCGATCCGCCAAGCGAATCGGCTCGTGAGCGCGACGAAGATTGTCTATCGGGGCCAGACTGGCCACCGGATCCTACATTGGACGAGGAGCTCGAAGAGGGTCCGTTGAGATTGAGGGCCGACGATGACGGGGACTGATTCGTACGCGGCCACGAGTTGTCGTGGTAGGATGATCCAGAATGTGCATGCCCGTGCCCACCTCCGTGCGCAGAGTTGAGCGAGTGACTAGAGCCCCCGTAACCGTGATTCGAGTAGATACTGCTCGTGGTCGGTGGAGGGAGCATCGTACCGCTTCCAGGACCGAGCAGCGGCGTCTGGTTGGCGGAGTTCGCACTGGAATTACCTTGGCCGCCAGGACCGCCTCTGCCCAACGGAGGTAGACCGGGACCTGGACCAAAGTTTGGTGATGGGATCGAGAAGTTGTAGCTGCTACTCGAGGTGCCGTTTCTCATGTTGCCGGAACCGTTTTGGCTAGGAGGACCAGTGTTTCCGCCTGCTGGGGGGACAAAACGGAGATGAATGAGAACCAAAGCTCGCTCTATATCACATCAAAAGGCCTGAGCTCACGTTTAGAGTCCAAAGAGGGCCACATGTTGCTACCTCCACCACTGCTACCCCCTGCTCCACCGCTGCTTCTGGAGCTCGATGACTGTCCGCCGGGTCCTGGGTCATAGTAGACCTGTGTATTTGAGCTTGGGGCGCGGTGAGATGGGTAAGGAGGTCCGTGAAGGCTGTACGGGCCCGGAAGGTCATGAGCAGGCGGTGGTACGATGCCATGATGCTGTTGATGGGGGAGATGCATAGAGGTCGGATCTCCTGGCCTTCGGGGAACGTTGTGACCACCCATGGGCATACCTGGCATACCTCCCATAGGGTGTCCGGGGTGGGCAATGCTAGGGCTCATGGAGCCGGGCGGCGTTCCATCACCTTCGTCCTCGCTCAGACCTCCTTCGCCCCTATCGATTGCACTCATAGCACCAGGTGGTCCGTATCCATTGTCTTCCGTCTTGCGGCGCTTGCGAGAGTTGTTGGGCCGTCGTTTGTACACATAGGTAGGGAAGATGCTCGTAAAGTTCTCTTTGAGCTCTTTTGCCTTTGTGAGATAGAACTGCTTCGACTCGCTGTCAATCGACTTCCACTCTGCTGAGAGCAACTTTGAAATCTCGCCAGTGCGCAAGTTTGGATTGTCAGCGGCGACCTCTGGGCGACGCTTGCGGGCGAAAATCATGAATGCGTTCATCGGACGCTTGGGTGTACCGTCGGGATTGATGACTGCGACGACGGTTAGGAACGGCCGCACAAAGTCACACGGCTAATGTTACGCACGCTGGGCAATAAGCGGATCTGCGTGCGTCTTTGTCATACGGCCGGTTGTAATGAGCTGAGGAGGTCCATTTGACGCTGGTGGGGTCGGAAACCCTGCAGTGAGCTCAGCGATACGAGCAGGCGAGGGACCGTATTTGCCTAGCAAGACGGGTGAGATGAGCTACAACGCGAAGAGGCAGATCAGAAACGCGTCTTACCTTCCGTGGCCGGATCAGCCTCCTCCCCATCATCACGCTGACGCTTTTTGGGACCCCTATTAATGTCTGCAGACGCGTTGGACGAGCCAGAGAGCAAGTCTGAAGAAGACGACATGTGTTGCAAGTAGCCGTCAAAACCGCCGCCAGTTGAGTAAGCGCCTCCATAAGATTGTGAGGGCGCGTCTGAGCTCGAGTTGGTGTTGTTGCCACCAGAGGGGGCAGGCGCATTGTCCCGAGAGCTGGAATGCCAGCTGGGAGGAGGTGGAGGAGCCTGGAGAACGTCCTGAGCGCTGCTCGGACGACCGAGCAGATTGGCGTGCATGCTAGGCAGAGTCGTAGTCGTCGACGAAGGGGGCATGGGCAGACGGCCTCCGGAACGCACAGGATCCATCGGAGATGGCAAGCAGAGACTGAGTGGCAATTTACTGCGATTTATGGGCAATTTTGGCGGACGGGGTGGTCGTGGTTGGAGGCCAAGTTGCAAAAGGCCCAAGTGGGCGGCGCAAAGACGTGATCCTAAGCCGGCAAGAGCGCGGGCAACGACGAAGAGCTAGTGGGAGAAATAGCAGACAAATTGTAGACGCAGATCGCAGACGCGGGGCGGGACTGAAAGAGCGGGTAGGTCACATTCAGCCTTTATACTCAATGATTCCTCCCAATGATGCCCTCCTTTATTCAATCGCCCTCGTATGTCTTCCTATCTGACTTTTGTGTGTTGGTGGCGTTGAATTCATTTTTCGCGGCCAGTCGACAGGGGTCTTGCCACAATCTCCGCTCCTCTCTCCTCTCTCGAGAATATCTGCGCCATTTTCCAGCGAGCCCAGACCGAAACCAGCCTCTGCCTCCTGCCTGGCCGCCAGAGGTGCGAGCAGCCATCTGCCGTCCTCGAAGCTTCTCCTCCAGGGACCCTCGGACCCTGAACCGGCATTCTCGTACTCGTCATCAAATTTTTTGGGTCCTTTTCCTCTTCTTTTTTCCCCCTCTGCTGCGCAGAAGCGTTCAGCCGGCGCTTTACCGGTCCTCTCTCGTGTCTCGACGACGTCTCGTCCGGTCAAGTCGCGTAGCGCGGCGTGTCTGTTTGATTTCCTAATGCGTATTTTTCAATGATGGTGCTAGCTGAGCCGTGCCTGCTTGCCATATCACTCCCATATTCTCGAACATCTCTAGTTCTCACAGAAGGCACTGCTCCGCGGAGGAAACCTGGCAAACAGTTCAGGTCTCGCCCCCCATTTGTCCCCTCTCTCTCTCTCCCCGGCTTTGTGCAACCCAGCAAATATCTGGCCGCGTTCAAACCCTCACCGGCGCGCTGTCGGCGGAGATAGCAAGGTTCTCTCCACTGTTTCCGTCAAACTCTTCGACCCCTCAGCTCGGCACATCGCAACCCCCCAAAGTGCGCGTGAATTGTATGAGGATCCACAGTTGATGACGGATCGTCAAGACCCATGATATGGCTCAACGGCCCCTGGCCCGCCCATACGCGGCCTCTGCAGTTCGGCAGCCTTGCACGCTAGCCAGCCACCAGTCACCCCTCCTGCTCCGAGCAGGAGTTGCCCGCTCGACAAAATGAAAACTCCTCCAGAGGTGGGCACCCTCCTCACATGCTCAGACACAAAATCGGCTCCAGGCCCACGTCCGGCAGAACCGCCCTTTCTCTGCTCGATCGTATCACCTCGACCCAGGGCAGCGTGCAGTGCTTCCGTCGTCCCTTTGTTGTCACCAAACCAGGACAAGGCACGTAGGCTACCGTCTGGCATACGGTCCGCTGTCAAAGCGCTTGCTTCCATGGGAGCTGCCTTCCGAAGCCGCTCACTCCCCAACGGGTGATCCGCCTTTTTCGCTCGACAACGGACTTGATGCGTGTTTGTCATATTGAGACGGCTGGTGCATCGTGTACGCGAACGTCTAGACCGCTCAAAGGGTATCGCTCGCGGCTAATGGATACCTTCACCAAGTGAGATCTTCTTCCTAGCAGATTGGCACAATCAGGCGGGTTTCGCCTTTGATTCATGCTGAATATCATGTTTATTTGCTCAATACCCTAGCTGGCACCCAACCAATGCCTCGAGAACATTTAACAACCTCCGCCTCGTGTAACTCTGTTTTCTTGCTAGCTCATGCAATTTTGAGCGAATTTCTTCATCTTATAGATCTAAAGCTTTCCATTTTGATGGTAAATGCATTGTCAATGTGCAGAGGGCGGCATGCACGCGCTGCGGAGCTCGATGAGCAATATGCCCTCTGCACGCCTACCCAATGTCGTCCAGCCTGTCACACATGGATGCAAACCTCCATGTTACAAGTTTACGGATGCCGAGGTATCGTGGCAGCATAACCAAGACACTTGTAGGCTAGCGTAAGGCTCCCGACTTCACGCGGACGGCTTCTAGACGTGCACAAAAACCCTAATGGATCAGCACTCGACACAATGAGGGTATGTTGGAGCAACAAGAGCACTGGCATTTGGGGGTGTTCGTTAGCCCTTCCAACGTCACCTTGGATGAATGAGCGTCGAGCGAGCCCACAGTATTGGATATTGACGCGGATATTTGCTGAGGGATGAGAGAATGCACGCATGGGTCTCTGTGCCTCGTATTCCCCAGGAATATGACGGGTCCCTCCAGGACTCTAACCTTGTGCCGCATCTCGGGTATAATGAGCACTGCCGCCAGGCAAAAGAGGGCATTCAAGGCGAGTTCTTCCGATGACTGGAGATGGTCGAGCAAGGTTCAGATTCCAAGGGAATTTGCATTTCACGAAGTCATAAGGAACGATAGGACCCGTTGGGTTGTTGTTCTGTGTGGGCGTTCGTTTGACAACTCCGTTGTATGGCCATTTATGTGATCCGATGTTTAAAAAGGTCATTCTTTGTCCCTCTGAGCGAGAAATCAAAATGGGCAATGCGATATAACGACGTCTAGGCGGAGACTCGGGCCATCCACGCTTCGTGTGTCAACGGTTTCCTGCGCGGAGAAGCAGAGGCTCCTTTGCGATGTCCTGGCAGACAATTCTCCGCGGTAGAGGCACTTGTGCTTCCCTAATCCTCGATTCTCTTGTCTCCAGGATTCCCTTGGGGAATTTTGCAAACATTTTCGACAGAGCGGACACGGTTACCCACTCGCTTGGCGTCGGGCAAGCAACCTTGACCTCCGACCATATTTGCGGCTGCGTTTTCGGACCCTTACGGTCGTCACCTCCAGTCTTTTCTCGTCGATAATTATCGCAAACCTGCAAATCTAGACAGACTTCAAGTCCCTTTACCTAGCGCAACCTCTCGACAATGCTCGCCCGTCTTGCTGCTCCTCTTTTCCTTGCCCTCCTCGTCTCGGCCAAGCTCACAATCACCACCCCGGAGATTAAAGAGGTTGGTTTGATTTTTTTTCTGCAATTTTTCTGTCAACTTTTGCGACGATGGGGCACCCAGCGACGGCGAAGCATGGAGCGCTCTCACGCGCCGTGACTTCCAGTACCTAGCGGCGCTGCTCGTTACCCTCACACTCACGCGTCCATCACAACTTTTGACGAGCACGTGCTGACGTTCTCCAATCGTACAGTGTGAACCTGCAACGTTCCAAGTCGACGGTGGTACTGGCACCATTCTCCTGGATGGTGCGTTCAATCAACCTTCCATTTACAAATAGATATCTAACGTTCTCCGTCATAATTTCGGCTACCCCACGTTTACGTTTCCGCGCTGCATTCTCGGGCGACGCCTACAGTTCTCCCATCCGAAAAGCCATGCGAGCATGACCCCATCCAACACGTAGACACCGGACTCAACGGTGGTGGTCAATATATCTTGCATCACACCCTCAAGGCCGGTACTTCTGTCGTTGTCATCGTCGACGACGCCCAAGGTGACGAAGGATGGTCAAACACGGTATGCACGCTTTCTTCTCGTTCTCCGTGCAGTCCCTGAGCTTTTTTTTTACAACGCTAGATTGTTGTCGCCGCCTGCCCTTCTTCGTCTTCGACCTCCTCGACTTCGCGAACCTCGGGTACTGCGTACGTATCATTTCCCCGCCATAATTGATTCCCCGAGTTGATGGAACTTCCATAGTTCTGTTGCTGGTACCTCGAGTACTCGTCGTCCGACTGCGAGTGTTGTTCCCGTGAACGCGGGAGATGATTCGACCAACGGTGCGATTCCCGCCAAGGCCTCCTTTGGTGCTGGTGTTGTCGCGCTCGTGTCTGCTTTCGCCTTTTTGGCGTAAAGCACTTCGAGCATGACCCGCGGTAGCAAGACGATGGAAAGCTCACCGCGTTTACGTGGACGTGTGACGAACCCCATCCCTTTTTATCTATATAGGACCGCATGAAGATGCGTCCTATCTAATAGTCACCTCTCCCCTAGTGCCATATACCTTTTACCCTCGTCCCGGCGTCGCCTCTTCCTCACCCCTTTCATGGTTCATGATTGTCTTCCACACCTCTGGAATGTTGTACTCGCACACTTCTTGCTCTTATCCCCAGAACAAGAATCCGGATGTCATACGGGCCATCTTCCCCCCCCCTTTTGGACCCTGCTGCCTCTCGGACGACTTTTTGTCGCTCCATCCGCTCTTTTACTTTGGATTTTGCCTTTTCGCACCTGCATATAGCTAGTCGCTGTCTTTTACAGCTTATGCAACTAGATGAATTAGGCCCATGTTATATCAGTTGGTCTCTACCATCTTCTGCTCTACTTTATCACCTCGCCCACGCGCTCTCATTTCACAAAGTTTGAGATTTTTCAAGACTTCAAAGCAACTTTGAGTCTAGAACGCTTCAACATCTGGTCATTTTGAGAATTGGCTGCAAGCAACCATGTGGTTCTCGCGCTCTAGTGGCCGTAAACATGGCAAGGGGCAACAAGAATATCCACCAACGACATCCTCACCGGTCAAACCGTTGTTGAACAACGAGGAGAACTACACCCTCTCTCGTTCACGCGACTCGTCGCCTACCAAGGCTCGACTTGTAGAAACGCCTTCTTCATTTTCCACAATACACGGTCAAGGACAGCGGCCCGAATTTTCGAGATCTATAACGACGCCCGTGTTCGGGTCGCCGCCGCCTGACGCGCTGAACTTGCTCGACTCGGGTGCTCCTTCCGCGCCGCGATTAAGCATCTCTTCATCCAATGCTGGAAACCGTGATGCACCGTCTAGTCCTACCGTGGGTGCCTCGAATCGGTTTCTACACCCTGGAGGCTTCCTCCAGCCGCCGCCATCGGCGCGTTCTCTGAGAAATCCATCGTACACGAATCTAATCGGAGAAGACGAGGCGGAAGGTGGGGATAGGTTGTTTGATGCGTTTACCGGACGGCCGTTGGCGACGATGAACCCTATGCGGGGTGGTGGTGCTGATGCGTTGCCGACTATTCATCAAATTGGAAGCGATTTAGAGGTCATTGGGCCCAGCAATGGCGCGGCAGGAGGGGGACACAAGCATCGAGGTAGTGGGGAGATGGAGGATCCTGCCAGGGTCCAAATGTGGGAATACCTCTCCAAGATACGGACACTGCAAGCGGAAGTGGCCGCGTTGCATTTCGCTATGGACGGTCAAGCACTAGGGGATCCGTGGGGTGCAGCTAGGACCGGTGGGAGGTCACGCAGCGGAAGCGTGAACAACCTCAACAAGGATGCAAGAGCGGGGTTTGTTGAGAAGAATTCATCGGCTCCAAAGGTGGCTATACCCACCGAGCCGTTACTCGTGAGGTCAAAGACGCGAGGGGGGAGCAACGACTCAGATGAGGAGAGAGGAGAGGATAAGAAAGCGAAAATCGAAGAAGATTTTCAGGCTCTCGATAAGATGTACGAGGACAAGCAAGACGTCCTAACCTCGGTTACCACAAAGGTACGCGGGACCGTGATTTCCAGATTACTTTGCTCAATGTTTACAGCTCAAAGAGCTCGCTTCAGCGGTGCGAGCGTATCATGAGCTCGAGAACCCCATAATCAATCCTACATCGCGGCATAATACCCTCGAGTCGCATGGCCATGTGTTTTACGACAGTCCAGCGGCAATCTCTACCAGCAATTCGTCTCCTGTCAAGAAACCAATCACTATCGAGTCGTCGCGGGCGGTTCCAAGACTCTCCTTGGCCCCGATCCTCACAGCATCCCCTTCGTCGTCTCTTCCACCGAGTCCACTATCCAAGCCTCATAATCACCAAACGCAAGTTCCACCAAGGGCCCGACGAACTTCGCTGGAGATGGGTGCCGGAGGAGGTCCACATCACTATACCCCTATATCCCCCGGAACGCCTGGACCACAGGCGTTTCCTCTTCCCCCTCAATCACCAAAACGATAACAAGATATCCTCTTTGACGTGTACTCTTTGCTTGTTGTCGCGAGTGGTATTGTTTGGCCAAAGCAGTGTTCGTTTCGTTTCGTCCACGCCTTCCAGAGGACGCGTATCCTGCCTACCAGACAACTAAAATGAGCCAAAACAACGCAGAAACTGCACATATGTCGCGTCCAGACGCGTTAGAAGCGCGCCAAAACGCATATGACTCGTGCAACACGGTTAAGACGCCCGTAGAGGCGACAGAAACTCCTGTTGACGCGTCCAATGGGTCTAATGGATCATCAAGAGCAGATGAGGCGGCTTCTTCTGGTCCCACAACGTCACCCGACGTCGACAGTGTGATCCATCGCCATCCCAAGATGACGACCAGGAGCAATAAGTCGGCCGTGCTGGCGTCAGCGGACAGCGTGGATGATTTCAAGAGAGCACGAACAAAATTTACGAGCGAACAGATTCGTGAGCTCGAGGCTTTCTTTGCTCAGCAAGGTCCGCACCCAACACGAACGCAGCGTCTTGCCATGGCCGAAAAACTCCAAATGTTAGTCATGTTCCCTACGATCATCATTGATAATGCTCGATGCTAATAGCTATACTCAGCCCGCCACGCGTTGTGCAGATCTACCTACAGAACCGCCGCCAGCGAGATGCAAAAAACAAAAATGCAGCGGCTACTGCAAATTCTGCAAAGGAAAAGGCTAAAATATCCATCGCGGGTACGCGATTGAGTGCCCAGGCGGGCGTAACGGAACCCACCGAGAACGCTGTAACCGTGGAACACGCGTCTGCTTCTGCGATAGGCAACTTGTCTATTCTCAAAGAGCATGGTATCCAATTTTCCAGTGATGTCTTGGAATCAACGCGCTCCTTCGAGGGGCTTTCGGGGCATTCCACTTTCACCTTTTCATCCTCCCCAAATACCGTTTCGCTCAACCTTGACGAGCTCGAAACACCTTCTCGCCCGGCCTCTCAACTATTTGTGGCGGGTACGGGCCGACGAGCGACGCAAAACGACCTCTACCTTAACAACAAACTCTGGACGCGTATCCTCTCCTCTCCTCCCTCACCCGCTACCTCCAGAAAACGACTCTACGAGACACTTCGACAGTCTTTCCTCGCCCAACCGACCGAACCCAAAGGTCGTGAATCTTCGGAAAGTTCTCGTCCAGCCGCCGGTGCACTCGAGACCGTTGGCGTCAACCTGCCAGCCAATGAGGGCAAGTCTTTGGAGCGAAAGTCGTCCAAGATTGACCTGGCATGTGCTATTGCACGCGATGTCAAGGTTGGCGCCAAACCGACCGCTCCTCTCAAGGTCAGCGAGTCGCACCACATCGAAAGTGGGCGCCCTCGAACCGCGTCTGGCGTCAAGCGTTTACGAGAGGAAACGAATGAGAACGAAGCGCCGCGCAAGCGGACGGCGTCACTGACCTGGTCGGCTCGTGTCGCCACTCCGGTTGCTTCCAAAGCTGGATCCGCGACCGAAGGTCTTTCTACACCGGAAAACACGATTGCTTCCAGCTCTCCTGGTTCCTCAGTCGCGCCTTCGGTCTCGTCATCAGCCACGCTGTACCCTGATCCAATCCAGGGGTTGCATTCCTCTGCGTACAAGGAGCTCCCTCAGAGCGTTTCTCCGGTGGTTCAGAGAATCGATGCTCTCAGCGAATTGGAAGCAAACGCCGCGTTGGTCTTAGCCCTGCTGCCCTATAACGTCTGATGGGTCAGCCCCTTTGAAATCTACAGAGTCATCTGCGCACCATCTTACTGGATTCTGTTGGAGTGTTAGATACCGAATTGTCTGCTAGACTGTTGTGCCATGTGTAATACATTAAGCTGTTCACTTTTCTGAAAAGAAAAAGACTTGTAAAGGAGTCACAAGACCTTCTGATCGGGGCCTCATATCGGTAGTAAAGCGTTGGTAAAACTTGAACCAGTCCATAGACTTCCTTAAGTCCGGCCGGAAGTTTTAGCTGCTCAGAGTGTGTTCGAATGATGCTTTGGTGTGACATGGAGATAAGCAGTTGACTTCTGAATACGGGTTAGGGCCCTCCGCGAGGAAGACGTCAAGAGATTGGGACCAGATAACACGAAATGCTGACTGTGGAATCTCATGCCTATTCTTCAGCCACGAGTGTCTTCCAAATTACTTTATCAGCAACTTAGCCGTGCAAGCGGGCCGCTCGTCGTGCACAGGATGTCCAGGCAAAGCTAGTGGGAGTTTGGAGCCTTGTGTTGCTTGTGCGCAATACGATTCGTTAGTAAGGTGGAACAGTGGCAAAAGATGATCACTAGCGTGTTCGTTTCTTCTGGTCCGTCAGCTCTTGTTATTGCATGCGATGGTGACTCTAAATAGCCACCTATTAGCTCTCGGCGATATGGTAGCTCCCATGCCATGAGCAAGAGCGCCCAGCGAGCGCTCAGCTCACCCTCATGATCCATTAACTGTCGCTAACGATCGTGAACTTCCGGAACAGATCTTACGCAATCTTTTCACTCTAAAATGTCTGATTAATTTCCTTCTTGCGTCATCCCAGCGCCTGGAACGGCCCAAACAACCCTTGGCGTGAATATGCAGAGGCCGACATTTCCTCGCCAGTCAGGTCTCCATCAAAGGGACCTCAATAACCCTCTGAACCTGCGCTTTGATGGTTTTCTAGAGCCCGACTGGCCGTGGTCGACACCCGAATCCCTCGCTCTCGGATAGAACCCTTCATCGATCGCGAAACCACGCCGTCTGCGCGTTAAAGTGTTTGGTCAGCTTCAGGTGCCGAGGACGGAGAAAGCTGTCTCATCAATCATCATTCACTGCGGCTGCCATGTCTCCCACCGGAATCCTCCCGATCCACGAGCGCATCCGTGGCTACAAGAGGATCAATGATACGTACATACTATCTGATGCTACTAGTATCTAGCACCATGACACAGTAGGCCATAACAAGTTAGAGGCCCAGCGTCATATTTATTCCTATGCCCTACCTGTCCAGGTCATTGATGATCGTACGGCGCTCAATACCCGAGATGAAGGTACAAATATGCAAGAATGGAGCGCTGAAACGCGTCAAATCCACTGGCCGATAGCTCCTCCTGCGCGCTTGGCCAACCACGCCTCATCTCCTACAAGTTCTGAGAGACACGTCAATACAGGGTCGTTCAACGGATCATAGATGATGGCGACAAGGTACATTCAACTCGTGGATGACTGATGGTGCGCCGCGCGGCTCCTCGTATTGCTTGGGCCCCTTGCTCACCGTTTATGATAGCGCACGACGCGATGTTACCGGCCGTTTCTGTGTCTCCGTGGTTTCAATTATGGGAAAGACGCGAATTTCTGTGTTGTTCTAGCGCTATATACGTCGTACGGGACCGGCGAAGGTATAAAGAGGGTGCGCAGACTCTCGTCGAGCAATCATCTAGTCTTACATCTCGCGTACTATCTCCCTCTGTAATATCTTGCAAGGAAATTATGAGCCAAGGTGGTGAGTGGGTAGGCATTGACCACGGTTCACAAACCCATACTTGACAGGACCAACCAGCTGGCGTCAAGCGCTCAACAACGAACTCCAACGCCCTGGTTAGTCACTATTTGGTCTTACATAAACGTTTACTGACGAGTTATAGGCGTAAATAAAGCGGTCGAGTACAGGTGTACGGCTGACGGACCACTTCATCAGCAATTATGGACTGCAATTGCATATAGTAGGTCTTGTGCCACTGATTGGTACAACATGAGTTCACAATCCTGGATAGTTGACGGCGAAGAGTATGGTATCGGGGAGAGGCTCCTGTCCAAAGATGGAGCAAAGGAGCAGGCCGCGAAGAGTGCCTATCTTCGGTATATGAAACCTCACTAGACCCGATAGCATCGGGAGCCGTGGCCGTAGATCCGCATCAGACAGCCACCTCGAGCAGGACGTTCTCCCCTCCCACACCATTCTCTAACCATTCCCTGTTTATTCATTCCCTGTTTATTTAATCGCCTTTTGCAATATTTATCTTGGCCTAGTCACTCATCCAAGGTGCCGTCTCTCCGGCGTTGGCCTTGTACGCTCGCGTACCGGGTCGCTAGATGGAACGAGGCAGCTCCTTTGGCTAATTACTGAGTAGTCCTAGTGTTTCCGTCGCCGCGCCGCCCGCTTTGCACAGCGACTCGAGGCGGGATCATGTCGGCGAACATCAGTGTAAGTCGGCGCATGGCGATGATTGGGCTCCAAATAGCTGTGAATTAAATGATGTCAAGGTGGCATCGTGGTTAGTATCGGTCGAAATCCGCTCCGCAAGCTACGCCTCTTTCGAGAAGCGTGGATAGAGCCAAGGGGCTCGGAGCTTGAGTCGCTGTGTTCCCAAAGATGATTCCGAGATGTGTACGGTGGCGATACACCCTAAGGAAAGCTGCCTCGTTTCCCTTCGACTCTCATCCTTTAAAACGAGCATGGGCGCACAAACTCGATGACCGTACTCCTCCCTCCTTTTACGCCTTTCGTTTCTTTCGCTTCGAATGAGCTACTATTATGCAGGTCAGCCATCTTACCCAGCGCGCACCGCGCACACGACCAGTCCTCTGACCACCGGTTCAGCCGTAGCGTATCCAACGTCTTCTTCCTCTTCACACTACCGTTCATCTTCTTCAACGCAGCAGCAGCCAACCACGTATCGAATGGCTCTGAACGAGTACCTCCAGCAATTGCGGCGACAAAACGAGGTCAGCTGGTCAGAGAGTTGCGAGGGTCGTCGCGAGCGTCCACATTGGACAGTTACTTGCCGAAGTGAGTACTCTTCCTTTTGTTCACTGGCTATATACTAACGGGATCCCAGTTTCCAATGTCGAGTACGGCTCCGGCCGCGCTTTGACAAAGGCTAGAGCAAAGGAGCTCGCAGCAAAGGAGGCTCTCGAGGCTCTACAACGACAAGCGACTTATGCTGCTCAATGGCAAACCGCCTGTTCCACTTATCCAACAACTTCGAATTATCCTACCACATACTATTACCAGGCCCAACAGTATCCAACCAGCTATTATCAATACTATACAAGATAGATTAGTCCACAGACGTTATGGGTTTCAAGTCTTACTATATCGTTATCTATTGGATTCTCATTACGACTCTTAATGTAGCATAGTCAATCATTCATACCAAGAGAAGAACTTCTCCACTCGACGTGCTAGTTCATTTCGCGCGAGACGTGCGACGCAGACCCTAACTTTCACAAAGCGACGCCCATACATAGTTCAGATCGCGCATGTTCTAGATAGCCGATCCAAGAATTGTTGATCCCGTATTCTTTCATTTTTTCTGTTCGGCCTATCGTGGAAGAGCCCACCAAGTGGCAAGCTCCTCTTACCACGTATTGAAGTTGCATAACTTGTCGAGGAGCATGAATATTAAGTCCAAAACACAATCAAATAAAGGGTCAGAGGGATCAGGTTTATAAAATAGAGGATCGTTGCTGAAGAAGTATGGCTCGAAGTTCTTCCTCCAGGAGAGGATCACTCCTGGCGTTCAAGGTGGCAAACTGTGAGACGAAGATAAGGGAGAGTCCAAGAGGTGAAGTGCCACCTTTGGATCTCCTTCACCCATGTCACTACATGTATCTAATTAATACTACATTTGGTCTATCAACGAGTCACCAAATCACACAAACCACCTCACGGCTGTGATACTGGCTCCATGAAGGTTGGTTTCTGGCTTATGGTGCTGATCATGAGGTGGTTAGCAAGCTTGCAAGTGTTCCGGGATTCGGAACCATAGCCGTTGCGCCCTAGAATTTCCAGCTGAGTATGGGAATCTTCAAACAAAGGTGCATTTTCATGATGCTTTGGAATTTTTTGGGAATTTTCCTCACCATCCCCGGATCAGGTCTTCCTCGTTTGGGGCTCTACATGCCTCGGATGCTTGGTCTTCACCTACTTCTGCATCATGGAGACCAGGGGTCTTTCTCTCGAGCAGATTGACATCCTCTACCAAAACACCACTCCCGTCAAGAGTGTCTCCCACCGCGATCAGCTCATCGTGAGTGAAAATTTCTCCTTCAAACCAACTATTGTCGGCTCATATATCTTTCTAGGCTCACAACGTACACGCTGCCGACGACGAGGCTATCCGCAAGGCCGCTGGAGGCGATTCTCGCTTCACCAACGAGAAGACGTCTCAGGCGAGCGCACAAGAGAAGGTCTAAACTCTTCCGATCGCTATTATGCTTGTAGTTTTGTGGATCCAGTGTCTTTACTTTCTGTCGGTACAAACACCTTGAATACAGGACTCGATTGTTCCTTTCAACTATGGTCTGTTCAATCACTATCACTTTGGTGCAGATGAGTATCCCGCTTATATCTTTGACTCGTCTCTATTCAACAAGAGGAGATTTCTCCCAGAGGAGTCCTTTTTGTGTAGCGTGGTGAACCTTAGCAGAGCCCAAAGCTTTCACCGCATCTGGGTGACACCAGCATGAGGGCCAACTAAGAAAGCGACCACTCCTTGCTTCATCTCGTATATGACGAAATGGAAATAAGGGATCGAATCATGTGGCAAGACGCCATCGTCATTTGGGGGAGAGTTTGAACGGCGATGATATTTCAAGTAATCAGAGCTTTATACGTGCCAGAGAAGAATGTTCTCGAACTTTGCACATAGACCCTCGGCTGTCAGCAGACCTCTGCTATAGAAATTCGCAGAGCTCCACGGATTCATGCACCCTTCCATTTGGGGCATGCCTCCTCGTCAATATCACCGAATAAGGTTGTGAATTTACTGGATCTGGAGCAAGCAAGCATCCACCTAAATCAATGAACTCACGGTGCGCAGTCGCTCAGTGGCTGCGTATGATGGGTATCAGAAATGCAAACTGGAGCAAAAACATATCCGATTGCGTAAAGTTTGGGATAGGTGTGAACGAGTACCAGAACATATCAGCGCTGGTTTCCGGAGTCATTTATCATCCTGTCCTGAGTATCCATTGTGGATTGTGAATAATCGGGCGAAACAACGATCCAACTGCCGCTCCGCTGAGCCCACTTAACAACCTTTATTTTAGTGCCTATTTACTCAATCGTCGCCGCCTTCTGCCAAGGTTCACCACGCTACACAAAAATGACTCCTCTGGGAGAAATCTCCTCTTGTTGAATAGAGACGAGTCAAAGATATAAGCGGAATACTCATCTGCACTAAAGTGATGGTGACTGAACAGACCATAGTTGAAAGGAACAATCGAGTCCTGTATTCAAGGTGTTTGTACCGACAGAAAGTAAAGACACTGGATCCACAAAACTACAAGCAGAATAGTGATCGGAAGAGTTTAGACCTTCTCTTGTGCACTTGCCTGAGACGTCTTCTCGTTGGTGAAGCGAGAATCGCCTCCAGCGGCCTTGCGGATAGCCTCGTCGTCGGCAGCGTGTACGTTGTGAGCCTAGAAAGATATATGAGCCTACAATAGTTGGTTTGAAGGAGAAATTTTCACTCACGATGAGCTGATCGCGGTAGGAGACACTCTTGACGGGAGTGGTGTTTTGGTAGAGGATGTCAATCTGCTCAAGAGAAAGACCCTTGGTCTCCATAATGCAGAAGTAGGTGAAGACCAAGCATCCAAGGCACGTAGAGCCCCAAACGAAGAAAACGCGCGCTTGAAGATTCCCATACTCAGCATTAACCATATATGGTGTAGCGTATCCGATACCAAAATTCCAGAGCCAGTTGGAGGCGGTCGACATGGACATGCCCTTGGCGCGGATAGCGAGGGGGAAGATTTCCGAAGTGACGACCCAGGCAACTGGTCCCCATGTCGAAGCGAAGAAGGCAATGTAGATGCAGACAAAGGCGACGAGGACCTTTTGGCCGGCCTGGTTCTCAACGGAGATGGTAACGCCGATGATAGCAATGAGGTACTCGCAGACGAGCATACCAGCAGCACCAATGAGGAGGAGACGACGACGTCCAATGTGGTCAACAGCCCAGAAAGCCGGAATGGTCATGACTAGGGTTCTTTGAGTGAATGTCGATAGCAAAAGGATTCATAACGTACCGACGTTGACTACGTTGGTAGCAATCGTGATCATGAAGGGATTGGCAATGCCAGAGTTTTTGAAGAAAGTCGTGCCGTAGTAAAAGATAAAGTTGACACCGGTGAGCTGTTGCCATGCCTGGAGGAAGATACCAGTGAGAGTGCGGAGGAGAACCTTGTTCGGGCCCATCTTGAAGCAGTCGGCGTACGACGACTGGCCAATCTCCTCTTCCATGCGCAAGTTGGCCTTGATGTCTTCAATCTCGACTCGGACGTCGGGATCAGTTGGTGATGCACTGAGAAGACGACCGAGAGCGCGAGCAGCGTCCTCCTCACGGTGCTTCTTGATCAACCAACGTGGGCTCTCTGGGAGGAGGAACATGCCGATGGCGAGGATACCGGCCCAGACGAACTGAATGGCAATGGGGATACGGAACGAACCATAGTCATTGCGGTCCTTGGTAGCCTGGTTGACGCAACCGCTCAACAGAATACCAATGGTCTGAAAAGCTGTCAGCAGGTGGACCGAGCTGGTGGGAAACGCGACATACGATGGCCCATTGGTAGCAAGAGACGACAGCACCACGAATCCACTTGGGCGAAGACTCGGCCTGGTACATGGGGACGAGGCAGGACACCATACCGACACCGAGACCAGCAAATACACGACCAGCGACAAAGAGAGGGACGGCAGTAGCACCAGTTTGCATCGCAACACCAGCGGAGAAGATGAGGCAAGCACCGACAACACCGAATCGACGACCGAGGAAATCACCCATGGGGGCAGCGAGGAGAGCACCGAAGAAAGTACCGAGCGAGAGGATGGAGACAATCAAGGACTCGTCAGGAGTCGAGATGGTGTAGTCTCCAGAGCCGTCGTTCTTGGGGTAACCGAAAGTTTGAAGCCAGAATTTCATTTCCTTGACACCGGAGATCACACCAGTGTCATATCCGAAAAGGATACTTGAGGGAAAAGTCAGAAATTATTTCGATGAGAAATAAGAAGGGGTATCGACGGCTCCCGCGAGGCCGGCATCTACCCGCCAGGCGAATAGCCACGATCAAATTGCCAATTGGCTAGGGACGTGGTAGAAGGAAATGCTTACCCGCCTAATCATGATCGTCAGTACGCAGTTGGAAAGGAGCAGATGGTCACATACCAAACGCAGCAAAGCAAGACATGCCGATACCGACAATTGAGGATTTTCTGCCTCCGGCCATACCGGAGGACGCAGCGACTGCACCACCACCAGGCATTGTGAGCGAGTTGAGAGGGGGCGAGCGGAGTAGAAGACCTCGGAGGAGGGGAGAGCGGGGTTTGCTGGAGATGAGTGATAAGACAAATGGGGGTTCTTATATCTCCAGAAGTTGCCATAAGCAAGAAGTCGCGAGTTCGGATGCTTCAGGAAGACCTGGCTGAATTGCGACCACGACCCGACCCCGTTTCCCATCGGTTCATTGCGGGACCCTCTTTCAATTACCAGAAGTATTGGGTTCGTCACGGGATTGATCAAGACTCAACTTCCCTTATTCTCTCCATATTGTCGTGGAGAGACCCGGTGACGAGGAGGCCTACACAAGATAACGAACAGTAAGTCACCGCTGTAACATATTGACAACGGGTGAGAAATTACAACCTGATGTGAAAAGCTGTAAATCCCAAGGACCGGGCGCGGTAGCCGGATTGTCTCGTGAGGAAGTCGCTTTACTCCGGGCTCTCTGATGAACAACCCGGATTCGGCAAGCGAGCTCGGGAGTGATTGGGATGTATAGACACACAGAGGGCGACCCTTGACGCCGTAAACGAGGTCACATCCGACAAACGGCCATGGGGCGAGCAAGAGATGTAAATGGGATAAAAATTCAACCAAGAGCAACAAAAAGGCAGTACAAATGGTCTGAAACGCGATCCCGAGCCAACTCTGTGATTGCAACCTCTGGCATGCTTACGTGAGTTGCAACGGTCCAAAATGCATGCGAAAACTAATCCTTTATTGTCTAGTTCTCGAGTTCTTGGTCCTGGGGACTGGATAGCGAACCCAAGGGCCGATCACGAAGAGCATGTGCATTCATCTCGGGCGTTGACGGGCACGCAAGACGACCTTGATGGAAGAAAAACTGGTCGACAGACAGTTCGGGATTCGATAGAGGGCAATGACGGGGCCCCAATCCGGGGCAGCCTCTGTGTGTGGTCGAAGTTCAAGGGCAGGGGACACATTACACCCATATAACAAGGTATCATACAATATAAGGAAATCTCGTACAATGTAGATTAGATAAGAATCGGATTCGTATCAATCGGATTGTTGCAGCAGGGACAGCACACTGTCCACACGAATCTCGATGGTCCTCGCCACCAGGTCGCCCTGAACGGGGATGCTGCTGCTTTGAAACTCCTTTTCTGGAGTCTTTGCCTCGGGATAATGGGGATGCTCGAGCGTGGTATCGTTCCAGATCCCATAATGCTTCATACCCAACGTACGGGCCGTCCATTCATAGTCATGGGCGAATCCAGGCTTTCCAAAGATCTCGACCACTGTCGAGAGCATGGTAGGCGCCATTGACAAGAGGTGGGTCAGGCCATTGCCGTGAACGCCCACTAGAACCTGGTGGAGTCGGATCAGCGCCCGTTCCTGAAGTGCCCAATCACCGCACTCACAGTCGTCTTTGCGGCCAGCGCAAGTTGTTCTTCTTGAGTGAGTAGCTGTGCCTTTACGTGGTTGAATTCCCATCCTCGCTTCTCGCAGAGCCGGGTGAGCTCCGTAACAAGCCGAATGTGGTCGTCCTCTAGTAGACTGCGGCGCCCTCCTTGTCGGTTAATATACGTGATCACGATTGGCGTCTCTTTTTTCGGGATCGACCTCATCTCTCCTCCAATTCCTCCCGTTGTCGGAGCATCATCGAACCTCGCGTTGCTGTTTATGACAATGTCAATGATTTCCTCTGACACACGCGCATGGCGAAGCACTGCACGTCGGATGGGCTCCCACCACCATCGTGTCGTACGGGCCTCTGTCACTTGACGGGCCTCTGCCGCGATACGTTGATTCTGCAGGCCGCATATTCGTCCACGAAATGAAGCCGAGCGATCGCCCAATGTCGCGTGCGCGAAGCGCCATGCACGCGTCCCGTCACGCGTAAAGTGGATTCGATCTTCCCAGTCGCTGCTCGTCTCGAGTGTCGTAGCGGGAAACGCAGCTTTCATATATAGCATGTTGAACTTTGAAGAGTCGCGAATATTCTCTGGTTTGCAAAAAGGGAATATGGCTCTCGACGGCAGCGGTGCGGTCGTCTCTCCTCGAGCGGTAATATGCGCGTCGAGCGTTCCGGCGTGAAATGCCCAGAACCCAAAAAGGCTTTCTGCCACGAAATGCTATTCATCTTCAGTCAATGTACTAGGAATCCGATGGACCCACGTAAAAATGTGAGTAGAACTGAGGTGCTTCCCAGAACAACCACTAGAATAAAGTTAGTACCTCTTCGTAACAAGATAAATAGCCTACAGAGTGTCCTTCGATTTCGTAAACTTGATCACCCCAACGCGACACCGCCTCTTCCCGCGAGATGAAGAATAAATCTTTGTCAGAGGGTTCACGCTCTTTCATGCTCTCTTCGGTAGCATAGGCTGGCTTCCCAGTCGATATCATCATCCGCCGGAGCGGATAGCCGTTATACCAGCCATCCTTCTCGACCATCTCTTGTTCCGCATCCGCTACGACAAACATTGTCCCAGCAGACATGTATATATTATCAAACATGGTCCACCCAGGCGCATGATTGATGACCTTTGTCCGCGGTTGCTTTTCACCATGCACGACTCCAAACGCTCGTGAGCTATTCATTGGCTTGCTAGCAGGAATTGAGTGCCCATCTGGTGGTATCCATTCTTCGTAGAATCCAGAGTCGTGGTGAGGCTGCCCGCTTGGAACAATGGGTCGATGCGGAATCGGAGCAAAGCTGGTCCAGAAATAAAGGAGTGTGATAAAGGAGAATGCCCCTATGATCACGAGCAAAGCGTCTCTGACGTGGACGCTCCTAGCCATCACGGAGAAACAGCGAAACAGTCGAGAACTAGACGGAGGAGAGCAAAGTGTGGTTGCGGGCTATTTTCGGCGCAGGGTCCATTGAGGAACATTAAAGACGTGGATAAAATTTACGAATCAACATCCATGCTAGATTTTGACACTTGTGGTACACGACTCAAGTCGTCCCTTTCCCAAACTTGAAGCACAGTCTCACCGAGGAAGATCATCTCCCTTTGTACCTTTTGAACGATCAAGTCTTGGATGCTGTACCACTGCTCTTCATCTCCTGCAACGGCAGGTCCTCGCAGAGTAATCTTCCAGGCCGTATTTTCCTTGTCGCGCGCTGTACCAGCCGTCGACTCATGCGTAATGTTTGCGAGAAGGTTATACGTGGTAGGAAACTTTTTCTCTTCTGGTGGAATGTCGACGTCTGCCAAGCAATGGTCAGCTAGGTGCCAGGATGCTGGACGAGGGAGCTCACATTCTCGAAAGTCGAGTCCCTTTAGAGGAAAATTGACAATGGTCGGGTTCTTTTCTTCTACAAAGTTGTTTTTTGTAAACCGCTTAAAGTGGAGGATGATATACGGAGGAAGTCGCTGGCACTTGAACCTCTTGAGCTGGCCGACATATTCTTGCGCAGTCGACCCATCATATTTGGCAAGTACCTGATAGATGCTGACTTGGGGGATGATATTCTTCGCCTCGATGGCATCCTGGAAGAGCGGAGGAGGCGGGAGGTCGATGGCCAAGAAGAGAAATGGTGATCGATTACTTTTGATTTCTGATGGACAAAAAACCAAATCATGGCATAGCGTGGGTCAGTCAGGTGGGATCAACGGATGCGCGCGCGCGCTAAAGCAAGGAAAAAGAAACGAATGGCCGCTCACCGCGATCAATATCAAACTCGGGACGAGCGTTGACGTGCCCCGAAAGTTCGTCCTTGACGATGACCTGTTGGGTATCCAACCGGAGTTCGCCCTGGAATGCCGAGTAGATCATGCTCGAGTTTCGACGCTTGGTTCCGCCCGCGTCCTTGTGGAGCGCGTTGAGAAGCCAGCCGAGAAACTCGACTGGGTCGCCTTGTTTCATGATACCAAACTTTCCGGCGGATACGCGCGTGACTTCTTGGAGAAACTCGTGCGGGCTCACTTGGGCCTTGAAGAGATGCGAGTTCCACAGCTTTTTCGCAAGCGTTGCAAATCGGATGAGAAGTTGTGTGCTCTTGTTTGTGTAGTTGGATGCGAGTAGAGGGTCACGGATGAGGGGGACATGGAGGAGCGCGTGGATAATGACATTGGCGTAGTCGTTGGCTTTGATATTGTTAAGGCCAATGTACCCTGGTGCATATGGCTCGTTTTGGAGGTCAAATGCCGTCTGTGGGTGGGAGAGGGCGGCGATGGATTCCTTGGTAAACTTTGGTGCGAGGACACGGGAGATGTCGTCGAGTGACGGATCTGAGACTTTGTATCCGTCTGGTAAGACGTAGACCTATGGATGTCAGCAATCTCTGACAAGGTATGACAATTAGGACTGACTTGCAAGGTTTCGAGGTTGATGAAAACGTGATGATCGTCATGAATCGAATGTGCAAATGCTGGTGTGAGTTTGCTTCGTCCTTGAAAGTATTTTCCACAGACGAGACAGGCGTAGATGTTGATATTGGACAGTGAGACCGAGCACACTTTTTCAAAATCAAAGTCGAGGACTGCACGATTGACAGTGTCCAGGTAAAGGTCTGATGCTCGTTGTTCCTCCTTTAGACGGGCAGCTGGCGTGGCGTTGCCGCCGTCCTCGTCCTCGTCGTCCTCCTCGTGAGCTCGCGCGTCAGGAGATGTACCATTACGCGTCGTCTTGTCATCTGAATATGGGAATGTAGATGCGCTGGCAACAGGGGTCTCGTTGACTGGCGCGTCTGGCGCGTCTCGTGATCACCTGACTGGTCGTGTCAGTATTCTCCGTCTTTTTCTGTCTCTTTCCTGGCTTTGCAGCGTCTTCAGCCGCGTCGTCTGCGGCCTTTGCTGTTCGTTTTCGTGGTGGCATGGATCCAAGGTGAGGAGCCACTCGACGTCGCTGTTGCTGCCATTTTTCCTGACAATTTTACGCAATATTCGCTTGAGCAAGCTAGGGGGCGCCACCAGAGATCGACGGGGGGCTCGCCACCGACTGAATAATTGGCCCAACTTGTGCGTCTCCCAAAAATGCACAGAAAAAGAGCGAGAACCACTATCCTGGTCAAAGGATGCCTTATCGGGGCCCGTGGATCTGTAGCCACAGCTTATGGAGAGTATGAACGGCCGGTCTCCGATAGAATCCCAATTCCATGCGCGTAGGCTGCACGTCGAATTATTCGTTATCCAATCGCATGTATACGGTCCCTACGACCCTCCGGAACTTTCGCAGTGCGCCCAGGGCCCCCTGCTGGTCTCGCTCCACTGGGTTGCATTTTGCAGGTGGTGACCTCCTCTCTTGCACCTGACCACCATCTCGACCGTCTCTTTTTATTTCGCTTTCTGGCTCCTGTCTCTTCCAGGAGTTGCTCTCTACGACCTCTAACGAGCTTCTGCTAATCGGCCCGGGGACGCCTTGGGCGTTTTCTCCCCCCAATCGCAGCCATGAACCGCCCATCGCTATCTAAGAGGCCCGCACAAAGCTCATCCTCGCCTTCTAAACCATCTCTAGAGTCTTCAGTCTACGCAAAGCTCCACGATGCCCTCGCGCTTTTGCCCCAGCGCCGCTCGTCGCCCACAAAGCCGACCAGCAGCACGCAGGCCATTAGGAAATCTCCATTTTCCATCTTTTCTTCATCACGACACAAGCAGTCTGCTTCTTCGCCCGCCCAGCTCTCGTCGCAACAAGTTGGCAAACCCGTTCCACCGCAGAAGCCCGTTCCGACGACGCCGCCCCCAGTGCCGCCAAAAAGTGCACCAGCAAGTCGTACGGTGACTCCGATGGCACTTGCAGCGATTCCGGCAACGGTTGCGTCCACGCCTCTACCGTCCCAGTCGCAGCCGTCGCAGCCATCAAAGAGCAGACCGACCATTCCATTCATTCGTAGTTCCACCTTGATGCAGCCAACAGCAGCGAGCAGTGCTCGCCTACGACCTGCCGTGAGCAGCCCGTCACCTTCTTCTGCGTCTACCATACGAGCCTCGACGCATACACGCACGCTCTCAAAGTCTCGTCCGGAGCCACCGTCGACGCCCCTTTCGCCCACTGCCTCTTCTCCTTCTACCAGTGCAGATGGCAAGACGCCGACATTGATCTCGAGCAGATCACGCATGTCTCCTTCACCCACACACGAGCTCAAGGCCTCGAGCCCCACGTTGTTATCCCGACCTCGCCCCGCACACCGTACGCCCACATCACCACCCCCGAGTGCATTTCCCATCAAGTCTGCAGCAATTCCACCACGGTCCTTACCTCGAAAGCGATCCAAGACGTTCCCTGACCCATCTGACCCGGCCGCGCCTGTACCACCACCGTCTCAGACTGCTTCACGTTCCATGAACACTGCCAATCGCATCATAGAAGCATTTGAACCTAGTCCACGCATGAATGACGCCCCCGAACCATTTTCGCCTCGGAGCAAATCTACCAGCCCAATCCCCATCCGCCCACCTCGTCCTTCACAAGACACCGACTTTCGGTTGATTCCTTCTAGCTCGCGAGCGTCGGCAAGCCATCGAATCGTCCCCAGCACGTCGTCTATCGAGGCAGCCGCCTCGCGCCCGCGGCCGATCGCATCCAGCCTCAACGATCGTTCCAATGCTGCAAGAGGAGTAGCACCGCTCAGTACCAGTGCACCAAATGGTCGATCCAGCCTGGACCGTGGACTTCCTCCACCGCCCCGAAAGGCAGTCTCGCCGACGCTCACTTCGACTGGAGCCGCTGCCCAAAAGCGACGACTGGCGAGACCAATTCTTCAGCCCATCCAAACCACGCCAATCACCTCGAAGAATGTGTCGACCAATGCTGTCAAGCCTCCATCGCCCGTTACACCCGACACACAGCCGTCCTCGCCATCGCCTCGGACGCCCGCTCCGTATGTCGACGCAATGTCTGCCTCTGCATACTTGACATCAGACGATGAGACAAAGCCAAAGAGACGGCCCGGCTTGAAGAATATCTTCCGCCGGCCAATGGCGCGCAGCAGCAACGACCAGACAGTATGATTTCAGCTGCGACGCTCACTTCGGCTGTTTCGTACTCTGGAACGTCTGCCGTGGCGTATTCTTCACCGCCTCGTCCGCAATTGCCTCAAAAGGGTCCCGGCACATTTGGCGATGTTATGGAGGAGGACGAGATGCCGATGTGCAGTATGCAAACTCGGCGTGGTATCTTGCGACATGGGCATCCTGTCGCGGACGTTCCGTATCCCATTTCGTTTGAGGAAATGGTACTCCAGGGAGAGAAGCATACGCACGAGCTGTTGTCGACCGTTTGCCAGCAAAAGGCGTTTCACTTTACTCCGATGGAAAACTTTGCCAAGCTCAAGAATATCCTTGACTTGGGATGTGGTCGTGGAATTTGGCTGGCAGAAGCCGCCAAAGAATGCAAGGTAAGGGTCCTCACCCATCTCTTTGTATTCTCCTAACACGGTATTATAGCACGCAAACTTGGTGGGATTCGACCTTGTCGACGTTTTCATGAAGCCAAACGAACTCCGCAACAAGCATGGTCTCAACGAGTCTCAGATGGCTCGCATCGAGTTTGTCCAGGGCAACTTGTAAGTGGCATTGTCTCTATTGTGCGCAAAGCTCATCAACCCTTCTAGTTTCAACACGTTGCCTTTCCCGGCAGATCACTTTGACTATATCAGGCTCGCCTTCCTTGAGCTTGCGATTCCTGAGCCAAAGGTGTGCCTGTCACTTTCGTCTCGACCTATTTGCTAATGCGCTACAGTGGGTTCCTCTCCTCAAGGAAGCTTGGCGGGTCCTTCGACCTGGAGGCAATCTCGAAGTCATCATCGAGTCTCAGCTGTTCCCGACTGTGTGGTCTTATGACAAGCTCCCGGTGCAAACCGCACTCGAAGAAGAGTTCAACGCTATGCTCGAGAAGCGCAACATCCCACCGCCGACCAACATTGGCGAAAAGATGTATTTCGACGCGCACGCACGGGTGAAGACGCACCAGCATGTCTCCATCCGGATCGCACCTCGTTCAGCAGGTCGTTCGAGCCTCGATGGACCGGCTAGCCCGCGCAACTTTGGCAGTATGCGTTCGATGCATTCTCCCTGGAGCAGCGAGCCGCTCATGTCGAGTGGTATGGTCTCCCCACCGCCATTTGGTCGACCTTCGCTCGACCGCAGTGGTAGCTCGCTTGACGTGCTCCCGCCTGCGGGACAGGTCGTGACGTCCAAGACGTGTACCGTTCCTGGCATCATCATTGCTCCGGACACGTTTATCCCAGTATCCGAGGAGATGCTGTACGCATATGCGAGTCACAGCGCATTGATCCTCAACGCCACCCGTCTCGCATCGTTTTCTGACAAGTATCCGGATGCGTCGTTGGACGATTATCAAGAAGAATGGCGCGAGCATTGGGAGCGATACTGGCAATACGAGAGGACCAATCGGCTTCGTCTGGGATTCCGTATGAACCAGTTTGACGACGACGATGATATCGTACCTGCGGCTCCGTCTCGTGGTCGCTGGAGGTGGGAAAAGTGTGATGACGATTTGGAACGCCCGTACGTATTTTTATAGTCCTTTGCTTGGCCATTACTGACGGTCTTTGCAGACTGGAAATCCGCCGCTTTAGAGCGTGGTCACTTACCAAACCTATGACCTCTCGATAAATTTTATATCTCCCCTTTCCGACTCACGACGCAACTACGGCCCATCGACAACCCTCATTCCCACGTACAATTAGAGACGACATTTACCCTTCATATATGTTAGAGGAGGCTCCTTTTTGGAGTTCGGCAATCTACGGACTGGTTTTCTTCTTGTCTTGACGCCTGTGTTTCACGACTGCATCTTACGCTCCCTGTATCTCTACGGCGAGTTACGTGGTCTACTCCACGGGCTCGTGTCGGTCACCCGACGTCCATTCGCTCGGTATTTTCGGGCTATTTCTTGATGTTTCTTGTTTGACGAATCGGACGAGGTGTAAAGTAGACGGATATATTCGTTCAGTATAAAGATGATTCAATGATTATCCGAGTAGTCGTCTGAGCTCAGAGCTTGAGAAGAAGGGACTGATGATGTCGAATAACGCCATGGTCGGCCGGTGACTCCTTCGTCAAAATAGTTTGAACCCTACCTCGATATCGTCGCGCTTAGGCTATTTTGACTGGGATCGTGACGGATTCCGTCCTCTACTCTGCACCCGAGACGGTTGGTCACTCGCGTTTGTCAAGAACAGAATTCCAGACCGCGAATAGCGGACGGCATATTTCAAACGCCCTAAATTGAAAACTATATTGTGTACAAAACGTATAAAGGCAATACCCTATCCAAAGATGTACGAGACCAGTCCAGAATCGTCTCCCAAGATGGAGCGTAGGTCTTTGGGCGTATTCTCTTCGACCTACTGACCCTGGAAACTAGCATCAGATATCGCACAGCATGAAACGTATGACATAGACGTGGAGACGTCGATATTTTCGAATCCGGAGCTCCTCCATACCCTCCATTACAAGGAAGCATCGGTCCTGAGTATCGCAGCGGATGCCTCGTACATCTATTCTGGTAGCCAGGCAAAAGACATTTTCGTCTGGGACCGACGAAACTTTCAGCTCAAAGCGACGCTCTCTGGACACACCGAGAGCGTGCTTGCGCTCGAGACGTCGGAAGAGAGGGGGTGGCTGTTTAGTGCATCCGGTATTTCCTTTTGTTCACTCTATTTTATTCTCTGAACATGGAGTAGGCGATAGCACGGTCAGAATATGGTCGACCACGAAGCTTTCTCCACTCTACATCATTTTTCCGCATCTGGACACCGATTCCGGCGATATATACTCTCTCACATACTCCCCCACACTGTCTAGAATCTATTTTGGGTGCCAGGATACGTCTATTCAATGGTTTGACCTCTCCCCCATCACCTCCCCCTCCCATGACGGACTAAAGGTCTCGACTTCACTAACGGATCGACCCCCAACGCCTTTGACACCAGGAAAGCGATTCCACAAATTCTTTGATAGTGTACCGCAATCGATGCGCAGTATCATCAGTCATCGTAGACAGACATCTGGGGATTCCCTTCCCTCTCAGCCGGGGGAGTCGATACCAGAACTTCGCGTTCCACAGGAAAATGTGATTCCGTCGGCTCATTACGGTTATGTGTATAGTATGGCGTTGAGCCCTTCTCACCTGTTCTCTGGCGACACGGCTCATCACAGTCATATCCATGGAAGCGAAGTATACTTGTTGACAGGAAGCGGAGACGAAACGGTCAAGGTATGTTCTTCGTTGTCTTCTGGGCTCACTCTTATCAATCGCAGATGTGGCTCGCTACCAAGGAAGGGTTAGAGGAAAAGTATACGTTTTCTGGAGCAGAAGGCGCTGTATTATCTCTTGTGGTACGCAATGGTACGCTCTACGCGGGGTGTCAAGATGGAAACGTCAAAGTCTACGATCTGGAAACAAAGACGTTACTTCGGACGCTCTTGGTCGATTCCTCGAACCATGCTTCAGCTCCCACATCGATAAGCAACAATGAAACCAGTCACAAAAGCACCGACGTCCTCTCTCTTTCGATGGTTGGGGGTGACTTGTACGCGTGCTTGGGCAATGGCTGGTGTCAGCGATGGAATTCGAACTTCCAGACGACCGCACACTGGAAGTCACACGACCGCATCGCACTTTCTTGCGTCATTACCTGCCTTTCAGACGTTGATACGAATCCTGCTCGAGCGCTGTTCGTCACAGGGGGTGCAGACGCACATATAAAGGTGAGTAGACCCAATAGCAACTGGATACCAACTAATGAACAAAGCTATGGCCTATAGATGTTCCACAGAAATCTGGTCATACCCGTGCGGTAGAAGGAGAGCTCAAAGCCCAACGTGAGTCCTCGCATGGATATTGGGTGTGCCTAACATTTGGAGAGCAGATGACCTTCAGGTTGCTCTGGCAGAGTTTGTTGGTATACCCAGCATCGTCAATGTCGAATCGCATCGAGAATCGTGTCGGCAAGCGGCACTTTGGTTGAAACTACTCTTGTCGCAGGTGATGTCCTCTTCTCTCAAGACTTTGCTGTTGGCGTCTAACGCTTCGATAGCTTGGAGCAGAAGCGACCCTTCTTTCCACGGAACCAGGAATTAACCCCCCAGTACTTGCGACATTTCGTGGAAACGAGGAATGCAAAAGTCGTCCACGACTTCTTTTCTATGGGTAGGTCACCACTTGTTCATATAGAATGGTATTGAAACGTGGGTCAGCCACTATGATGTGATCCCAGCTCGCAAGACTGGATGGGATTCCGACCCGTTCACGCTGAGCGGACGGAATGGATATCTGTATGGACGTGGGTGCGTGCTATAATTTGACGGGAGAGAGCATCGGGTTAACCAACTTGCAGCGTTTCGGATAACAAGGGTCCAATTCTTGCCGTCGCTTTTGCCATTTCCGAGCTGAGACGCAAGGTCGCTCTTGATTTGGACATCGTGATGCTCGTTGAAGGCGAAGAAGAAGCCGGAAGCAGAGGATTTGAAGATACAGTGCGCAAGCACAAGGTGGGTGTTTTACTAAATCACAACGCTGATAGGCTAACTGCCGATAGGACCAAATCGGTCACGTAGATGCCATCTTAATCAGGTCTGTCGTCTTATGAACGCTGAAATGTAACTGAGGATCAAACCAGCAATTCATATTGGATTGGCGAAGACATACCATGCATCACCTATGGGCTGCGTGGAGTAATCCATGCCAACGTCGAGGTAGCAGTATTGGGAAACATGTGAATCTTCTAACGAGTGAAATAGATCTCAAACTCCCATCCCGACTTGCATTCGGGTGTCGAAGGTGGCGGCGTGGTTGAACCAATGTTCGACCTTGTGAACATTCTAAACAGTATCTCTCAAGGAAGCTGCATCCTCATTCCGAGTAAGTTGGACTTCAACATCCATCTGTCGCACGCTGATGGTGATATCAGACTTCTACGATAATGTACGCCAACAGAGCGACGACGAACGAAGCTTGTACAAACACCTCGAGGAAGTGACAGGGCAATCTGCTCAGTATCTTGCTGCAAAATGGAGAGAGCCATCATTGAGCATCCATTCAGTCAAAACGTCTGGACCAGGAAGTAAGTGATTGGATTCAACGACGAAAGATCCACTCACAAAGTAACAGATCGCACCGTCATCCCCTCTAGAGTCGCCACGCAACTATCGGTTCGAATTGTTCCTGACCAAGACTTGTCGCAAATCGCAGAAAACCTGAAAGAGCATATCGAGGACTCCTTTAAGAAACTAAACTCGCCGAATAACCTCAAAGTGAGTAAGCTAATAAGGCTCTGAGCACCTTGTTGACCATGCTTCAGGTGTCCATCGACAAAGCGGCGGACTGGTGGCTGGGAAACCTTGATGGACGATGGTTTCAAGAATTGGAACATGCCATCGAAGAGGAATGGGGAAAGAAACCACTTCGCATCCGAGAAGGAGGTTCTATTCCGTCGGTACCATTCCTGGAGAAAACGTTTGGGTGTCCCGCGCTTCACTTTCCATTGGGCCAATCCTCGGTAGGTAGCTCTTAGGGGATATTGGTATAGTGCTGAACGGGTTTACAGGATCAAGCCCATTTAGCCAATGAACGGCTGTCGGTCAATAACCTGCTAAAAGGCAAAGCGGTCCTGGAACGTTTCTTCCGCAATGTTGCGCAGTGGTGATGATGTATCCACATGCTCGTGTCCTCTTGTTACTCGCGTCGATGAATTACAGGAATCTATAGAATATCTGTTTGACTAGTCAATCGACCAATCATGAAAGTATAGTTATTTCTTACCGAGATTACTAAAAGCCGCCTGGCTTATCCGCAGCCTTGACCGGTGGCTTCCAGTCGTAGATCCAACCGTCCCTTGGCGGTGTGTCTGTTGGAATACGCAACTCCCGTGGAAACAACCCTTCGATACGTGCTTCTATCGCACGCTTGTCTGCTCCTCGATATCCTTTCAACTCTTGCTCTTGGTCTGCCTCCATCTTCCTAGGGTCTGGCTTGCTGGTTGCGATTCTGTAGAGTCTTAGGTCCGTCTTTTCCAAGTCGTCCATTGCTCTTTTCATACACTCAAACTTTCGCTTGAGTTCTGCTTCCCGTGCGTCTCGTTTGCGTTTTTGCCAGATCATCCACGCTCGCTCAATCGTTTCGTGGGCCTCTGGGGACGTGATCACGCGCTCCAATGCAGCTGGAGCGTCTGGACGGTGCAATCCAGTGGGCGCAGTTGAGCGGTCTGTGCGCTCTGGAGGGTACAGCGCGTTCTTCATGTTTTCGATTCTCGGGTCTCCCGATGACTTTTTGCTGTCGTTTCGTTTTGAAGACGAGGCAGCGGATGCATAGCTTCGTTTGACCATCTGAAGCCGTGAGCAGGCTTGTCTGAGGATAATTCGTGTCATGGTCGGGCTCAAGTTGCAGCTGGCGGTTGGTTGACCTCGACCATGATGAATATTTCAACTTGCCGCGTCTTGAGACCGTGCCAAGCGTCGTTAAATTTGTCAAGAAGTCTCTCTACGTCATCTGTACGATGTGCAAGGGAGAAGAAGGAAAAGGCAGCACCAAAGAAATCAACACGCAAAGGAGAGGAGACCTCCAAGAAGACGAAACTGTCCCCAGAAGCAGAAATGAAACTCGAGATCAAACGCTCACAGTTGCGCTCGAGTAAGAACGAGCAGAAATTGGCGTTGGACGAAGCCATCAGAGTTTTGCGCGTGCGTCGTTTTCCGTCTGTCATTGCGAGCCCAAAGTCCTTTGCTCAATTTCCAAAAGGCTGTAGAAGTCCGTTCACCCTGGTCTGCATACGAATTAGTGGTCAAAACAGCTGTACTCCGAGGTCGAGCGGCGCCCAGAGGCGACTTGGTTCTACCAAAGGACCCAAGGCAACACAAGGATGTCATTGCATATTTTGTGGATGAAGGACGCGTTCAAGACGCACTGGCTGCAGGAGCTGACCACGCCGGTGGGCTCGACCTTGCTCAAAAGGTGTGTCCAAGTCTCATTAGAGTGGCCAACTTCTCACAAATGGGCATAGATTCTTAATGGAGAGATCACCCCGACAAAGGTCTTTGCTACTCCTTCGATTCTGCCCGTTGTCACTTCCCGAGTCGCTCGCTTCCTCGGGCCAAAGAATTTGATGCCCTCGACGAAGAAAGGGACCGTTTCGGAAGACTTTGAGGGAATCATTTCTGCTTCCAAGGGCTTATTCAGCTGGAAAGGCGATAAAAGTGGCACGATCCGTGCAGCCATTGCCAGAGTATGTAGCTTGTCCATGCCAAAGAATTCTAATCTTACACACTGTAGATTTCATTTACACCGCAAGAGGTGATTGACAATATCCAGGCACTCATGAAATCCGTCTACGAAAACTCCAAGGATCCCGACGACTCACTTTACCAAAAGAAGGCAAAGAAGACCAGTGAGTACCCCTTTATAAGACGAGGTACGATGCTCATTGCTTGCTAGACTCTGTTACAATCTTATCGGTCAGGCTGAGTTCTAGACAAGGTCCCGGAATAGAGTTGATGCATGTATAACTTATCATCTATCACAATGGGATAATTCACACCTCCTATTTGCTTGAGGAGGTCGGTGTCACGTCCTTCGAAGTGGTCGAGGTTTGTTGAACATTGCCCTGAGCCTTCTTTTTTTCCGCTCTTTGCGCGTTCAAAACAGGACCCCGTGTTCGGGATACTACTCACTCTGCTTGTAATCGGTCGGTAATGGGTTGCATGATGTAAACAGCAGACAAGATGCCTGGTACTGGTAAGTATTCTTCACATGGAAAGAGTAAATCAAACTTACCGATAACTCCCGCGACGATTATCTCACTTCTTCCGCCTCTCATAGCCGAAGACGCAGGGTCCAAAGTTGCAACACTTGTTTGGCTCCCAACTCTTCTAGTCGGCGAAACAACTTGGACGTCCCCTCATACAAGGCACCTCCGAAATGTCTGGAAACACTTATATAAAGTCGTTTACCCACCTCAAGGACAAGCCGAACGAAAAGCAAGCGCTGGAAATGCTCAAGAGAATCGCGAGCCTGGTCAAACCGATCATGCGCGCACACAACTGGGTTCTACCTGTGCTGAGCGAGTTCTTCCCTACCAATCCTGGTCTCCTCGGTGTGTACAATGTGCTTGTCGGGAACTCGGTGTGGCGAGACTGACGCGGCGTTGGGCAGGGATGAGTAAGTCGGACGCGTACGCACCTATGAGCACTGATGAACGAGGCTTGCCAAGACGTTAATCATGGTGAGAAAATCTACCTGCGTCTCCGGCCGCATCATTCGCCGTCATGGTTCATGGACGAAGAAGAGGTCGTTGGCACGATGCTTCACGAGGTTGGTATCAAACTGGTCTAGTCCTTCCGCTCACTCCACATTGACAGCTCACTCACAACGTCCACGGACCTCACGACGACAAGTTCTACAAGGTTTCCCATCTCCTCGACGTACAGCCTGAACGAGCTAACATGGTCTAGTTTCTTTCCGGCCTAGAGGACGAGTACTATGCACTCCGTGTGAAAGGCTATTCGGGCGAAGGTTTCCAATCCGAGGGCAAACGGCTGGGCTTTGGTGTCGGGCACAATGTTCCGATGAGCCAGGCGAGATCCAAAGCCATTGCGGCAGCAGAACAGCGTCAGAAGATGGCTGGAATCATGGCTGGTAGTGGTAGCAAGCTCGGTGGAGGCTTTGTTCAACGCGGTGGCAAGACGGCGAGAGAATTGGCAGCCGAGGTACGTCTCCTGGTCTCCTCTGCTCCCGCCATTTATCATGATTTCCAGGCGGCGTCGAGGAGAGCATTGGACGAGAAAAAGTGTGCATCACTCTCCGAAGAAGTCATCAACCGTGAGATGGAGGAGGCGCTCGCACAGAGCATCCTCGACATTCCCGACATCGACGTCCCCCCCTCTCCACCTCGAATCGCATCGACGTCTTCACTTCCACCGGAGCGCGTGCCTGCCAGACGACCAGACCGTACACACTCGGTGCTGGCTTCTCGAGCGAGTGCAGCAGTGGAGAGAAGGATGGCAAATGGAAACCAATCGAATGCCCCTTATCCTCCTCCAAATCATGGTAGTGGTGCTTCTAAGAGACGGGCTGCTACGGAACCCATGGCATCAAAGGGATGGGATTGTCCCATCTGTACGTTGATCAACTCTTCATTGGCGCTCCAATGCGAGGCGTGTGGTTTGAACCGACCTGTCGATCCGTTGGTTGGGTGGACGTGTCTCGGATGTGGACAGGGAGGGAATCAGGTCGAGTGGTGGACGTGCAAGGCGTGTGGCAGGATGAAGAGCGAGGTTGCCGGTGGCTAGCTGTCTTCTGTTTGCGTTGGACCATGAGTCGTTGTCTCCTTTTTTGGTTTCTTTTGTCCCATCCATGTAGCAAACCGGTCGTCTAATAGAGACGGATGTCTTTCGTTTCCCACTGGCTGCACCGTCCAACCGTCTAGACCAGTCCACTGCGTAAGAAACTCGCGGACGACCTCATCGTCGCGTAGTTCCATCACTACCATGACCCAAGTCTTTCCAGGTGACGCATAGTGGTCGATAGTCGCCAATAGCGGCGCAACGAGAGCAGAGTTGTAAACACAGTCGACAGCAAGAACGAGATCAACGTTTCCTGATTCTTCTGATGGTGGCTGTGGATCTATTGTTCGCGGGAACACTCGGTGGCGCGAAGCTGGTGGACATTGCAAGACGGTGCACCAATCGAGTGGCATCGCTTTGAGAGAGATCGAGGCGAGATGTGGATTGAGATGAAAGTTTTTATTGATAAGAGGAACCAGATCCGGGAGGTCTGTGCATGTGTATGCCTTGAACGAGGTATTGAGGATCAAGCCTAGTAGGCCTGTTCCCGCGCCGAGCTCGAGTGCGCAGACTTTGGAAAGACTCGAGGGATTGAATAGGCCAGATTTGTCTCCGTGTAGCTGTTTCAAGAGGGTCTGTGCTAGTAGAACGCTGGGAATCCATGAGGTGGAGAGAGGTGACTATATGTATCATACCTTCCTCGCCAGACACCTCCACCTAGAATGCATTGGTAAAATACAAACTGTGACCAATGGACTTACCTGTATCGCCAACCCTTGTCCTCAATCCTGTAATGTCCTGCGCCAATTCGACTTCTACAGTCTTTACACTGGACTGATTGGTCCTCTTGACCCTCTTCTTCCTCTTCGATTCACCTAAGGCGGGCCCCGGTGCTGAAGAGCCTACGTCTTGATAAGAGAATTGCAATCGGACACTATCGTGCCGCTGGTCAACGAGACCCAATGCAGATCCATGTTGAGCATCAGAGACGATGATATCGTCAAGTGGATCCTCCGTTGGGGGTTTAAAGCCGCTGCGCCGCGAGTACAGCAAGAAGAGCTACAGGAGCCGACTCAGATTCGTATTCCGTCGACGTAAGAGGGCATACTTCTTCTTCCACGTCTTCAATGGGGTCTCCTAGAACGTCATGATTGACAATCATTGGAAAGAGTCAATGTCCAAGTTGTTTCCACGCTAAAAACGTATACAGCTACAGCTAGTATGGTACCAAGTATCCACTAGAAAACACAACTGTCCGATATCAAGACGAGAGCGAGCGAGGTAAAGAGGAAAGAAACCATCCCAGCTCCACGGCGAGGAGCAGAATTAGGGGTAGAAGAGCCATTGGTTCCAGTGGGCGAAGGTCCAGAAGACGACGCGTTGACATTAGATCTGTCCCCTCTACGAACGTCAGTCGGATCAATCGTTTGGGACATCAAAAGACATACACCGGGATCGACTGTGGAAAATTGAAGACGTTGTTGGGATCATAGAGGGCCTTGATCCCACTGAGTCGCTGCATGTTCCCGTCGAAATACTGAGCCTGCCATTGGTCGGGACTCAACGTCGGATCAATATAGTTTGGATCTACCACGCGTCAACAAATTTTCATGTCATGCTTGAGATGAGAGACTCACAGGCGGCAGACGGGTTGGATTGCAACGAGGTGACCATGCCATTGACAATGTCGATCCCATCCGAAGGATAGGGAGCATTATTGGTCGAGGATCCGTAAAACTGGATCACGAGAAACGCATTCCTATGCGCAAACGAGCTACTATCGGCAGTATAGTCGCTCGAAATCGCTCCACCATAGAGATCAGCCTGAATGAACCAATTGATATCCGCCCTTGCCGCAGTATTGATAAGGTAATCCGCCCAGCGCTTGACAGAAGCATCGTCGAGATTATCCGTCGTGACGAGCGATTTGGCGAAAAAGGTATTCGGCGGACTGGGGCCGGCGGTCACGAGTGCCTCACCATAGGCATTTGCGACGAGGACTTTGGTCCAATCCGTGTACTCGTCTGCCGTGCCAATGGACGCGCCGAGCTGCTGGACGAGAGGGTTCACGAGGGCCGTAAAGTCTGCTTTGGAGCCAAAGTAATTTCCGAGAAGCTGTACGCCGAGTCCACCATTGTTTGCGCCAAAGCTGAATGCCATTGCGATCTCTTTGGGTGCATTACGCGCAAAGGATTGGTATGCGGTGAATGCGGATGTAAAGCTGTCGCTTGTCGTGTACCGTGGAAGGTTAATGGTGAAAAAGACGGTTGTCGGGGGTGCGGAGAGGGTCGAATAGGTCCAGGAGGTGACGATGCCAAACGAAGGTGCAGCGCCCTTGAGTGCCTGAAAAACGATGAGACAACAACAGATACGATACGTAATAAGAAGGCATACCCAAAAGAGATTTGAATTGGTCGTGTTTGATGCGGTCACAGTCGTCCCATTGGCCAAGACGACTTGGGCACCCACGACGCGGTCCATGAGAAGACCGGCCATGCGGCTGTACGGTCCATACCCACCATAACTCGTATGACCACCTGTGCCGACTTTTGGGCACGTCCCATGGGGGAGAGCGCGCTGGCCGTTATTCCAAAGATAGCTCGCGAGTTCTCCAAGTCGATTGCCAGTCTGGACGACGACTGTGCCGTCTCCGTTGAGGGTAATGTCCTTTAATTGCGAGAGATCGGCGACGAGCGAGCCGTTTTGGCCACCGAGACCATAGGCTGCGTATGAGTGACCACCGGAGCGTGCGACGACGGATACGTTGAGACTTGCACCACAGGACACGAGTTTTTCAACATCTTGTACAGAGGATCTGATGTTTGGTTAAAAGCTGCCGAGGTCTATCAATTTTCAATACTCACGGCAGGACAATGGCGGCTGGTATGTAGGAGAGACGAGCGTTAAAGGCCTGACTTTCTGATTGGAACGCAGGGTCACCCGGGTAGGTCACGTTGAGGCCGGTCAAGCACGAATTTACATCTGCTCGTGAAAAGAGACGGGCGTTTACAAAGAAGAAGAGTGTAGAAGAATAAAAAAGTGAGTGAACTAGCATGGAGGGAGGGTCCAAGTTTGTGCCATTTCACAGCCTCGTCGACGTGAGTCGTTTGCTTGTCAAGAGCCGGACTGCCGTATCATTTTTGAGCGACTTGGAGAGCGAAAAATACGATGCCAAAAAGAAGGACTGATCGGGCTGGCTGTGGATGGCAGATAGCGGCAATTAGGAGGCCGTGGACGCAGACTGAGATCGGGAGAGTGCACGGTCTCCTAGGCAGGGCCACAGGCGCACGGTGGACCAGGAATCAATCTTTCGGAGAAAGAGGACGTCAAGACCCCTGTAGAGAGAGGGGTTCTGTGGAAATCAGATGCACACGGCACACTAGGCCACTCTGGGTGGTTGCCAGACGACTAGGTTCGGTTTGGTTAGTTACGGATCAGGATATGGGCGCAGATATGGGATTGAAAACAAGTGATCAGAGAGGTGCTGTACAGTCGTGGCCAATGGTCGACGGGTAGCCACTCTGGACTGGCGCAGGGTATGGCAGTCTGTGGTGCAAGGTGCTGGATCCAGACGATAAACGCATGATCTACAGACTGCTAGAGGCGCTGCTAGCCCGCGGGAGGGGCGATGTCTTTGCTCGAGGAAGAGCACGATGTATGGGGGCCTAGGGGGGACAAATGACGATGGGAAAAATGCAGGATTACGTCTGGGAGTAGAACTGGAGGGTGTCTGCAGCTCCACGGGGCCGAGGCAGGGGAGCGGGTGGTGAAACTGTAACTAATACCTGGAGAGACTGGTGGCGATAACAAAGTAAAGAACGGGCAATGACGAATATGCGTTACAGTCTCGATAAGAACTTGTTAAAAGGACGGGGCTTCTGCTCCCCCCCTAAGGTGGTTGACCCTGAGAAAACTCCGAGAAGGATGAGCGCATTAGAGTTGGCTCCACAAGCCGCATTTACCACTTGGACCTTTCCCGTCTTGCACTCGACGTCGATGATGTCCAGTCCAGCGGCGAGACCTCAGTCAGTGGCTATATGTGCCCCGGGCACGAGATTGATGCCCAGATCCACCTTGACCTCTCCCTCACTCCCCTCGACCGTTGCCCGGACAAGGCCAGCAGCGACAGCGACGGCGACGACGGCTGGAACAGCAAAGATGGAATCCTCTTTTTCGTATGAACTCCCTATGGACTGGCGTCCTGCCCAGGGTTTTGATTATCAGCCTTATCCGTCGCCTTTTCCCTCGCCTGCGCCGTCGTACGTGTCCAACAGACTGCATCATGGCCCGCCAGGAGCGCCTACGGGTCCCCAGCAGACGAATAATCCTGGTCCAGCAAGTCCTACCTTGTCCTCGACCGCATCGAGCCCGCATCACCATGCTCACTCTCACAGCGCATCGATTGATCCATCGCTGCAAGAGGGATATGCCCATCCAGGATGGTCTCAGCAGCAAGCTCAACAAGCTCAACAGCAATCCCCTTCGACTGCTCAGAGCCCTCTTGTTGCCCACCAGCCTCACCCGACACCGGCTAGCTACGCATCGCCCACCTCGACCGCAAAGCCGGCCTCGAATATGACCCGTCAGGAACTCGAGCAGGAGCTTGCAAGGCTCAAGACGCGTGTCAACGAGCTCGAAGTCATTCACCACTGGCTCGAACTCAAGGGAATGCGCATCGAACCAGACGTCCAGCGCTCAGCCGGTCAGCAGCAGCAGCAGCCACACCACGCCCATCACGCCCATCACCATTCTATGCAGTCCCCTACCGTCCAGCATCATCACCACCAGCCCCCTCACCACGCCGCCCACACCCAGCAGCACCAACAGCAACAGTCCCCACCCGTCGCAATGGGTGGCGTAGCTCCTTCAGAGGATTTTGCTGCCTCTTGGAGGGCCAGGACAGACGCCCGCATCAAGCGCTTCTGTGCTCTCAACCGCGCCGGCAATGCCCTCTGCGCATGGCACGACTCTCGTCGCGAACGTCGCACCTATCCCCCTCGTCAAGCTCCGCCGGGTTATCTCAATTGTGGCTGCACAAACGAAGAGGGTACGTTTTTTTTTTATAATTATATTTAATTATTTAATTATTATTCAAATGCTGATAACCCTCTGCTCCTTTCGGCGTAACATACACATTATTCAGCCCTGTTCGAGGAATCCCTCGCACGGCATGGTGTCGGTTCCTATCATCCTGGCGAAATGGTTCGCATGGATCCTGCCCTCCGCAATCCACTCCTCAAGCTTCTCCAAGCGCGCTTTGGTTACGTCGATGGCGATTTCGAGCGCGATGCCGTCACAGGCCAGTGGGTCGACGGCGAGGGTCCCGAGCTCTGGGAAAACATTCTTCCGAGCGGCAAGCCTCCCGTCAGCGGTGGTCGCAAGCGTGGCGAGACAAAGTAGACAAATTGGGCGACGCGACGACAAAGCGTACAAGACGGCAAGAGTGGATACCACCCCCTCCCCAAGTGTTTATTCTTATGCTACTCCTCTGGTCTCTCTCATCATTTTTTGGGTTGGCTGCCCGTCGGGTCAGCCCGACGGGCCAGTCTGGAAGTCTTCTTTTTTTTCCTTTTCTTGGGTTACGCGCTGTTCATTATCCCCCTCCATCATCACCTATCCATCTCCACCCGCCGTCGCACTCATCATATCCGCTATCTGTTGTCTTATCGTATTTCTTTCGGGTAGCACGATTCAAATCATTCAGCATCATTGGCACGACTTATTAAACGGACACGATCTCAACATGGACGAAGAGACGATTATTGCACACGAAATCGCCATTTACGACCTTTAACGTAACAACGTCCACCTCTGGGTTCAAAGTCCCTATCAGCTCGCCATCATCGCCACCGCTTGCGCTTACTATTGTAACGTATTGCGACGTTTAAAATCGCCCAGCACACACATGCCTCCCTCTCCCAATCATTATTTCCATCTGGTTCTTATACCCCAGTCTTGCATTACGCCAAGACTGGAGAAACGAAACGACACACACACACAAATCATGTACACACACGCAAACGACCGTCCGACGTCTTATACTTGTCTCGTCGAGTATATGCAATTCCTCTTTATTCCTCATCCCTCGTGCACGCCCAATTCTCGCTGTCATTTGAACAATATCCTTCTACCTCTCCCGCGCATTCTCCGACCACCTGTCGTGCATTCTTTTCGTATTTTCTCCCCAATCTAAGGGGGAGCCCCATTCCGATATTTCGTGTTTTCGAGACTCGACGCAGCACATGCCGTAGACGTGTAACCACTCCTTGTTGTTTGTGTACCATCACCCATCCATCCATAGTGTCTATTCGTCGTGTGCAAATTCAAAGTTTTTTGGGTTACTCTGCCAACGGATTTGTCATGTGAGATGCTTTTGAAGGATCGGCTGGCTAGCTTTAAAGTTTTGGTTGCTGGCTTTGCTAAACTGTTTGGTTTATTCGTTTTACGAGAAGCTCGTCGTTGAATTTGTTTCAGCCACTGATCGTCTCAGGGATCTCTTGTAGACTGGGAGAGGGAGTAGCTGAATTTTGTCGAGACGGCCTAACTAGACATGAAAGCTAGAGAATAATACTATTTCGGAAATGGTACAAGCTTGGGTATGCCTCTGGTCAACTCGTCGCCTTTCCCTACACGGCGTTTTTTTAGTTATCGTGTCCGTCGACTCTGTTCGGGAACCGAAAAGAAAAAGAACTAATGGGTTATCGAGCTCCACTCTATTCAGTTTACGAGGAATACACTGCCGGCTGATGCGGACGTCAATGTGGGCCAAAGGACCGAGTTTGGGATATATAGCAAGGCGGATAAGATGGGGACGGATAAATGAGAGGCAGCAGATAAGAGTGAGGGCCAAGGGAATTGGAATACATTACGTTTGGCCGCTTATCGTTGGCTGTTTAGACGACAGGCGAGGATGCCATGTATTCCATGGAGCATACCTTTGAATTAGAATGGAAAAAGTGATCGTTTGGGAATCGATCTGGGCTCCAGGCGCTTGACTTCCCGTTGGCGCACGCACCATCCGCGTTGCATGGGTCAATTGGATCAAGGGGCATACAAGTCCCAAAGACCCGTGCGTGGCCACGTCTGTGGGTGGCATTTTTGATTATTAATCTAGAAATATAAAAACAAGTAATTTTGCGTGACGGCGAATGAGAAGAAACCAGCCCGGGCCAATAAACGGATTCAAGGTTGACTTTGATAGGAATCGAATGGCGACATTGACCGAACCGTTCCGAGGAAAGCCAGGCCACTGTTTTCCAGTCCTCGAGCTCTGAAAAGGAAACTGTTCCACGCTCTAGCCCTGGACGTTCTGACAGAACCACTGCCGCGGGTCCCTAAGAGTAAATTGCCAACGACACTGGGAGAGAGGAGAGCCAGAGGTGCGCGTGCGTTGGAGCCATAGGGACGAAATCCAAACGCCTAGTCATGCACGGAGAAAGGAAGCGCACGCGAGGTGGATGCCACCCACCTTTCTTTTTTCTTTTTCACACTCACACATACACTTGCACCATCATCCGCTCGATTGATTGCGCTGGAGCTACTCCACCTATTCAAAGCCGAAGACGAGTGTGGTTGAACAAAGAGAGGGATCGAGTGGCGTCGCGCCCATTAGCGGTCCATCGCCTCCTGCGTCGTAAAAGACTCTGGGAAGACTCTGTCAAACGCCGTCTGAGGGTTTCGCAGTCCCTTCTGGCATCTTGTTGATAAAATAGATTGCTTTTTCTTTTCCCTCTTGGAACAAGAAGGCGAGTGCTTGACAAAGGCTGGTTGGTGGATGATATGCGCCGCGGCTTAGAGGGCATTCCACCCTCTTTGCACTTTACCTCGTGAGACCCCGGACGTGTTTTTCTCCGTTGTCGGCATCACGAAAGAGGGTTCCAAAAGGCGTAATCAAGGATTCAATGTCCCCCAAATACCATGGCTGCCTCTGCATTTCCCAAGGACATGGTAAATTGCAATTAAGGAGTGGTGCTAAAGACAAGAAATGACGTCTCTGGCTGTCGATAAGCAGCGTACTCATCACCCTTGACTCGCGGAGACGTACAGGACCGTCATATCGCAAAAACTCGTACCAGATTTTGTTCAAATTCTCCTTGCCATGTCGATAACATACCGTGTACCCCGGTTTGGTGACCGACAGCGCGAGAAATGTCACCTCCGGCGAGTAGGCTGGACCCTTTTTTCGCGAGATAGCTTGATGAATGAGATACAAAAGATGAAAGAAGTTTCGGTGATCATACCAAATCCTAACATTGTCGGTGCCGCAAGTTGGGAAGTGGCGATTCCGCCGCACACACCCTTTGGGCATGGGAGGGTCACCGGCAATCTCTTTGAATCAACTTTATCCATCTCCCACGCTTATTCTGGAGCCTGTCCCGACACGTCGCCGTTCCGGTGTTCATGCCAGGTGTACCCACGTCCTGCCGGTTTACCCTTTGGCGATGCATAGGCGGACCTCTGACTTCGATGAGTACCGTGAATCGTTGCAAGTTGAACCTTGCTTTCCAACTGGAATCCTCACGTGGTCGACAGTCACTACAGAGACAATCATCTTTTAGACGATTCTACAAACGACAGCCCAAGAACATGTAGCAAGTCAAACAAGGAACCCTCGAGATAAATCATGTACCGTTTTGGATGTATACCGGGTTGACGACCGAGGCTGCCAAAGAGGTTGCTCCCAATGTGTCGACCGGACTTTGTTCGCGGACACTTCGTGAATAGTATAGAGAGAAGAACGAGAATCGGGGCGTTCAGAAATTACACCAAGCCCCAACAGTATCGACGCCGCAGTTGGAAGAGGCGATTCGACCGCACTTGACGAAGACGTGATACCAGCCTCTTGGACCATTAATTGATTCCTGATTCTATCTCCGACGCTCATTCCGAAACTCGTCCCGACGTATCCCGGTTCCGGTGTTTGAGAATGCGATATAGAGCAGCTCGCGCGGTCGGTGACAGAATTCGTCTTGTTTGAGATTTTCGGTGTACCATATTCTGCGACGTCACTTCCTATTGTCATGGTGTGTGCCTGTTTTCGCTGGCCTTGGATCGAATCTGGTGAACCGAGTTGGAGGGGTGTTCTGTGCATGAAATTCACAAGCGTCTCGGGTGTATCGTATACGTTTCTTTGAGCTAATATGCCTTGCTCATGATCTCGTGGTCTGGGATGACGAGTTTGTAGGTGCCTCCAAAGGATATACGAAAGCACGAAGAAGAGAAGCAAGGAGACTGTAATTAGCCCAGATAGCAGTGCTTTGTACTCTAAACCGATGTTTAGTCAACGCCTTTGGCAGAGCATAGGAGTGTCTATTCGAACCGGATACGGCGATATCCATCATCTTCTGTAACGTTTCTGAAGAGGAATTCGAGTGATTCTCTGGCATGTTTACCGATTGGATATGCAAAGGCACGAATTGGTCCATCTTTTTCATCGACAACGATCTCAGTGACTGGAAGATATCGAGTAGGTGGCGTATATTCACCTTGGATAAATAGAAAGGAACGAATCTTGAAATGACTGTAGTGGTGGAAGAGACCAAGGTGTTTGGACTAGTTGTCATCTCGGAGTTGTCACAAATCATACATCAACTGTATTGTTTATACAAATATGTCATCTATAGCTTCCTTGCTATGAACAGCTACCAGTCGTGCGGAGTACGTTCGAACCAACGAATACGAGGGTCCACCTTCAGTAGCGGGTGGGTGGATAGCTAGACTAGCGACGGAAGGGAAGTCAAGAAAAGCAAACGAAGGATCTGAATAAGGGACACAATAAAGTGAAGACAACACGGTCTTGACGATACATTCCATCTAGTTGACGACGTCGTAGAGGAGGCAGTTAGGGAAAGACTTTTGATCTCCTGCTCAATATACCAGTACGGCGTAAGATAGGTGATATCGGTTCCGTCGGTGCTTCCAGCGCCACCCGTAATCATGCCAACGATACGACGATTCCTGTCGAGGACTATAGAACCGGAATCGCCCAGAGCAGAAAATGGACTTGTAGTGCTATAAGGAAGCACATCAATCTCCATCGCCGTCTCCGTGATGCCGTGGTCCTTGTAAACACGAATGAAGGATTCCATGCCCATAACGTGGCCAATAGTGGTACCCGTCGTAAGACCATTCTGACAACCAGAAGGCACTGTTCTCCATTTGAGTCGAAATGTTAAGGGTTGTGGACTTCATGGGCCGGGAGGACCCCAAACGCTTGCAGAAGACCATTATCCGGGTACTCGTAGTTTGCTTGATCCTCGGGTTGTGGGAACATGATATCCCCGTAATCGGACTCGGAGATGTTACCACGTACCAGGATCAAACTGGTCAGCCAAAACTGCAGGGCGATAGAGACATACCGACATACACCTGATTACCCTTAAACTTGGTCCAGTCAAGCTTTGACTCGTAGTTCAATCAGTGCCCAATCACGGGTGAATCTGGGGGACGGCTCATTGACCGAGATTGGATCATCCTGGGCGACCTCGCGAATGATACGCCGATCTGGAATGGGCGTCACGTTGACTGCAATTGGGTCAACGTGGACGACCTCGCCAATGATACGCTCGTCTGGGATGGTCCACCGCTGGACGGTCTCGGTGTAGAACTTGCTGATTCCATCAATTCTATCTCGAGACTCTCCACTAGGCTGCAAGTTCGTTTCTTTTTAGTGTCGTCGCCTTTGGCTCGCCTTCTTTGGGATCGCCTATCTTACGCAGCACGATTTCCCACTGCTTGATAGAACGCTCAAGTTTGTCAACGGTATCCATCATATCCTTGAGCGCGGCGGTGTAGGCGAAACTACCGAGGGCGACGATGCGCTCCCGGGGTGGCTCTTGGTTTTGCGAGCCAGACCTCTGGAGGGATACACGGGAGGAGGTCGAGCCACATGCGCGCAGGTAAGAAGAAAGACGCGGTTTCTCTCTCTGCTTTCACGCAAATAAAGAGCACCTGTGCCTTCGAAGTGCGGTGTCTTCAACGGCGCGATGGCAAGTTCTAGGATGGGGTGAAAGGCTTGCAAAACTCCGGTATGAGGTCACTGGAGGGTCAAATGAGAGCATTTTGGTCCACGGATTGAGCCTGAACGGGTGACAACGGACTCGCGGAATCCTATCTCAAAACCGCTGAAGCCAGCTTGAGTTATGAAGGAGATAGCCTCTGCTGACGCATTGGAAAGCTTGTATTCGAGCGAGACGGGCTCCACGCCAATCCAAATCAGGAGGGATGAACTTTCCTTGACCTGCCTCCGCAGAGGCGACAGCGTCGATCTACGTCCAACGGACTTTGTATTGATCGAGCAATGCAAAAATGCGCTGACCGAGCTCACGCCAGCTAGGTTGCATGGGATGACCATGAACACCACGGGCTTCCCTAATGATTCTCTGGGCCTCTGGGCCAACGCGTACAGGCCAGGCATCTCCATTCTTGTAGACGCACAGAGCGTTGCTGAGAGTTCCATAACAATCATACGCTGCATTTACATAGAAGGCTGAGAGACGTTCCGAGTCAGAAACAGCGGTTTCCATCGTTCCTGTCGAATTTGGCCAACTCCTGCTTGTTGGAGGAGAGTAAGTTGAAGGGGATGAAAGTGGGGGTAAGGATAAAGGTTCGAGCTCGAGGACCTTATGAAGGGCCCGTCCGACGACATCGGTGATTTCCGAAGGGCAACGAGGGTGGCTTGTAGTGAATTCTCTGGTCCTTGTGGTAAAGGGAAGATGACGCCGATGGTATACGGGAAAAAGGGCAAGGACGACACAGTTAGCTATACAAAGGGTAGTAGAACTACCGAGAACGAACCTGAGATGACATTTAAGTAAAGAAAGACACTCTGATAGACAGTTGCAGAGGGGCAGAGGGGAATAGACGCAGTGGCGGAGACAAAGAATGGAGACAAAGAGCGGAGACAAAGAGGCCAAGATAAAAGTCGACAACTGAGAAAAAGTTATGGTTAGATCATAAATAAATGTGTAATATCTAGGCCTTGCCACCGATTAGCAAAGCAGTTGGCAACCTTTGAGTGGCTCTGAGACATTTCAAGCTTGAATTCTGACCATCCACGGCGGGCCGTCTAGACGTCTTGAGCGACGCCCAAATAAATTCTTGATAATATGAAGCGGATTCTCGAGCCATCTCCCGTCATTTTGCCAGCCGCTCCAGAGGCGCCAACCGTCTCAACACGTCCACGACGCACCCTCAAGAGGACTGCTTCGGCTGCGTCGCTGCCAACTCCACCACGTACAACACACAAGAAGCGTCGGAAGAGGAATGTAGACAGTGACGAGGAAGAGGAAAAGGGCATGCCGTCAGAGGACGAACTCGAAAGCAGCGAGGATGAGAAACCACCAAAGCCCGCCCCTCGTGCGCTCTACAAGCCCAAGAGTGTCTCCAAAAAGGCTACAAGGGACAAGAAATTGACAGAGGAAGAAGCAGAGAGTCAGTTCTGGCTGGGTACGCCAGAAGGCACGGCGTCACCAGAGCCAAAGGCGTCGAAAGCAGACAAAAAGGTCAAAAAGGCTCCTCGACAATCGGAAATACGCCAGTGTCACCTCCTCCGTCTCGAACCAATCAAGTAGGACCCAAGTTCCAGACGCCGCCCCGCAAGAGGCGACCAGTCAGCTCCTCGTCATCTGGTGGTGGTCAGCCGCTCGCTTTGCCTGATGGAGATGAAGATGGACCCATTCAAGACTCTCCTCACAACATCTTCCTGACGGGATCCAAAGCGGCACACCCAATAGTCCCCCTCGCAGAGGAAGGAAGCGACATCGAACAGGAGCCAACCGTCACATATGTATTGTGAGTGCAACAATTTGAATATGTGATACTATGTGCTAACCCAGAAAAGTCGTGGCAAACGGATAGAATTTCCGAATCCTCTATACAACCTTCCTCCCGAAGCTCATGAACGGTCCAAGCTGCCCGTGTGCGATCCAAACTTTAGCCCGTCTCCAACTATCAGACCAAAGAGGCTATTCGCAACGGAGATTGCAGCCGCCACCACGGGAAAGAGGCGACGAAGTCCTAGCCTCCCCTCTCCGTCCCCATCTCCTACCAGACCAAAACGAAAGGCTACCACGATCAAGAAGCAGCGTGCGGTCACTTCAACAGTATCATAATGGCGCAGTATACCTCCAGTTCTTCACGACTATTACCATATTCCTCGTTCTATACATCGTACCATATTCGGGATGCGATTCTCGGCTTATCACACATGCTCTGTCTCTCATTATATACAGATACGCTCATGTCGCGAGCGTCTCCCATAACCATCATTCATAAACCATCTTCATCTCCGTTACGACCTTTTGAACCGCCTCGACGCTCTAGCTCCTTTGTTCATGCGAGCGTATCTTTCTTAGAATACTCTGTGAATGAAAGGAAATCTAAACAATGGCTCTTCGGACGCGATGTGGTTACCCAGCCTCAAGCCATCTTGACCATGAACTTGTCGACGCTTGAGGATGTCGTGACGGCCGCGACGACGGTCAATGATCCAGTAGCACTTGCGTCTGCTCTTAAAGCATTCCTCAAGCGCGACATTGCCGAGCACTTGTTGGCGTCTTCGCTGCCCAACGATGTCGATCCGCTCACCGTACTCAATCCGACTGCAAACACGCTCGGATACCTTTACATTTTGTGAGTATTCCTTGATCGCGACGCGTAGGCGTCGAGGTCAGGACGGCGCTTGATCGTGGCTTTGCCACTCGGTCGCGTCTGTTGCGAACGGTTGGCTAAGACTCGTGTAGGACCGCGCGATTAGATCACGCTGGTGCAGGATTGGCGTTGCTACCTCAGATTGTCGCATTTTGCGAGGGCTGCACCCCAGGTCCACTCGCTTTTGTACCAGAACGCGTAAACATCTTTGCGAGCAAACTTATCAAGCAGCAGAACGTGGGTGACCTTTATTTGATTGGTGATGAGGTGTTTATTCTCTCCAACAGATTGTAGAGGTGCTCCCCGCGCTGGCCACATTCGTCCAGCGATACCCGTGGAATCGCGACATCTTCACCGCTACTCACACTGTGCTCCTGCATGCCTGTGTGATGACTCGCAACTACCATGTCGCTTTACCTGTTCTTGCCCATCCCGTGTCCCAGGTCGACAAAGGCATCTACCCATTCAATTACATCGACAACCTACTGTACCATTATTACGCTGGCTTCATCTTTATCAGCTTGAGAAGATGGGCAGAGGCAGAAGAGTATCTGGAAATGGTCGTTGCTGCACCTATCACCACGACACCTTCAGCTATACAAGTAGAGGCGATGAAAAACTGGCACTTGTTCACCTCATTCGTCATGGGACACTCAAGCCGATGCCACGTTATGTACCACAGCTCTTTACCAAGATGATCCGACAGTCGCCTTATGGCCAATTAATCAAGGCGTATCCGGCGGGGAATCTTGTCCAAATTATCGAAAAGGAGACCAAAGCATTCTTGCAAGATTATAATCTTGGCCTTGTCAGGGAGGTTTTGGAGAACGCCCCAAGGTGGAAGTTGAGGACGTTGACAAAGACATATTTGACACTATCCCTTGCCGAAATCGGAAAAGAGATTGGTATGGAGGACGCCTCGGCGCTGCGGAGACTGGTCGAGGATATGGTAAGTCACAAAAACAATACGCTATTTTGGCTCAATTCGGCGATTGCAGATCAAAGTCGGTGAAATCACTGCAACGTTGGATAAAGATACCCTCACGTTTATCGACGAAAAGCCCATCTTCAGTCCTGCAGATGTCGAAAAGGCTCTTGCAGAGGCACAAATGCAATGCAAGCGCCTAGCGGCTCTGGATCAACAAATTGGACGAAGCAAAGAATTCCTTCAAAAGGCGCTCAAAGATCGCGATACAGGTGGAGGAATGGCATGGGCCGGGCACGGGGCGGACGAGTCGGACCTGATGTGGGCAGAAGAGCTTGGGGGCGACTTTGTGTGATTATAGCCGTCTCGTCTTTCTAATCCATACTTCTTTTCGCGTGCAAACCAGTCTCTTTTGAGCGCTCTGGGTGGCCCCCGGGCCGTCCGAAGCGGCCTTTGGCTCCCGCGGTGCCTACGTCGGTCGGGGCGTAATGACTGCATCTCGAAACTTGACACCCTACATCGACCCACCAAGTCGCGAAAGGAACGTTTTTGAAATTTCAGTGATCTAAATAACAATGCCAGGAACTCTTGCATCGGGTATGTATCGCAGAACACCAAAAGCAGACGAGATCTGACCAAACCTCATGCAGATTATGCGGCCTGGTCCAAGCTTCAACAGCTCTACGATTCAAAGAAACAGTCTCTCGTCCTAAAGGATCTATTTGCAGCAGATCCGGATCGATTCAAAAAGTTTAGTCGCGAATACTCTGCTCCAAATGCGTCCTTCCTCTTGGACTTTTCCAAGAATTTGATCGACGAGGAAGTGTTTGCTGCTCTCATCCAACTCGTTAAAGAGGCTGATGTTGAGGGTGCTCGGGATGCCATGTTCAGGGGCGAGCACATCAACACGTCCGAAGACAGAGCCGTCCTACATATTGCGCTGAGGAACGTTGGCAACACGTTTACCATCTCAGAACCCGGAGTCGACGAGGTACAAGGCGTCCTTGAACACATGCGTGTTTTCTCGGACAGTATCAGAAGCGGTGAATGGAAGGGCTACACGGGGAAATCGATCAATACTATCGTCAACATTGGAATAGGAGGCTCGGATCTAGGACCTGTCATGGTCACAGAAGCCCTCAAATACTACTCCAAGCGTGACCTCCGAGCCTTCTTCGTCTCGAACATCGACGGTACTCACATTGCGGAGACGCTAAAGGAGTGCGATCCAGAGACGACACTGTTCATTATCGCTTCCAAGACCTTCACTACGCAGGAAACGATTACCAATGCTGAGACGGCAAAGGAGTGGTTCTTGAAAAAGGCTGGCGACAAGGCCCATGTGGCTAAGCACTTTGTCGCGCTTAGCACCAATACCAAAGCTGTCACAGCATTTGGCATCGCAGAGGAGAATATGTTCCAATTCTGGGACTGGGTTGGTGGCCGTTACTCCCTCTGGTCTGCAATTGGTCTCTCGATTGCGCTGGTCATTGGCTTTGATAACTTCAAGGCGCTCCTCGAGGGCGCGCATGAGATGGATAAGCACTTTACCAGCACGCCATTGGAGAACAATCTGCCAGTGATCATGGCCGCTCTCGGAATCTGGTACGGAGACTTTTACGGTACGTCCAACAACAGCGGTAGCCCGCATCAACTTATACCATTTAGGCTCACAGACACACGTTCTCCTGCCCTATGACCAGTATCTCCACAAGTTTGCTGATTACTTCCAGCAAGGCGACATGGAGTCGAACGGAAAGTTTGTGACCAAGGCTGGACAGCGTGTCAATTACCAGACTGGAGTATGTTTAATGAGTCACATTATCGTTCTCTGATTCGTTGTAGCCAATCATCTGGGGTGCTGCAGGTACCAATGGACAACACTCATTCTATCAACTCCTCCATCAGGGTACCAAGTTGATTCCGGCAGATTTCCTTGCACCAGCAAACTCTCTCAACGACGTTGGTGGAGACAAGCATCACCGTATCCTCCTTTCCAACTTCTTTGCCCAGCCAGAGGCTCTCGCATTTGGCAAGAATGAGGAGACAGTTAAGAAGGTGCGCGACACCTCATTCAATGATCGTAACTCATTAAGATGTTAGGAACTTGGACCGAATGCGTCCGAAGCTCTGATCAAGTCCAAAGTGTTTGAGGGGAACCGACCAAGCAACTCGATCATGTTCCCAAAGATGACCCCTTCGACGCTTGGTGCATTGATTGCGCTCTACGAGCACAAGATTTTTGTTCAGGGGATGGTGTGGGGTATCAACTCGTTTGGTAAGTGCCCTTCCGCGGAGGCGATGGCAGATGCTCAACCTCGGCTGCAGACCAAATGGGTGTCGAGCTTGGAAAGATCTTGGCAAAAAACATTCTCGCTCAGCTCAACTCACCCGAGGACGTCGTCGGCCATGACAGTTCGGTGAGTCCCGCGGCTGTCGATGGAAACGCTCTCTGATCGCGCTGTAGACAACGGGCCTTATTCACTACTATCAGAAGAATCGTGCTTGAGTTGATAGTTGACGTCGAGATGTCTTGTACAAATTTCCGTAGAAAGTCGAAACCTTGTTTGTGGCACTTCAACCAAACATTAGCAGTTGCGTTCTTGTGGACCATATCCTCCTCTAAAAACAAATTAAAATGGCTGAGCAACTACGATTCTCGGGCACACTTACCGGTCACAAGGGATGGGTCACCGCGATCGCGTCGTCGTCTGAAAACCCTGATACGCTGCTGACAGCGTCGAGAGGTCAGCGGGGGCAGCAATAGATCTTATCAAGCTGACTGATTCATTATAACTCTAGATAAGACCATTATTGTCTGGAATCTTGCGCGCGACGACCAGAGCTATGGTTCGCCAAAACGCATTCTCCACGGCCATAACCACTTTGTCTCTGACATTGCCATCTCTTCGGATGGAATGTACGCACTCTCTGCATCTTGGGATCACACCCTTCGTCTCTGGGACTTGAACACTGGAAACACGACCCGAAGATTTATTGGACACACCTCCGACGTCCTCTCCGTTTCGTTTTCTGCGGACAACCGACAGATTGTCAGTGGAAGTAGGGATAGGACCATCAAGCTATGGAACACGCTCGGCGAGTGCAAATACGACATCAAGGAGGAGGGCCACACCGAGTGGTACGTTTAATTCCATGTAATATAATCTTTTCTTATTCATCCTTTACAGGGTCTCGTGTGTACGCTTCAGCCCCAACGCAATGAATCCGGTCATCGTGTCCGCTGGATGGGACAAGGTCGTCAAGGTATGTTTAAAAACATGCGTCAAAGAGATCACAGCTGATCAATAAAACAGGTCTGGGAGCTCTCCAAGTGCAAGCTGAGGACAAACCACTACGGCCACACTGGCTACATCAACACCGTTGCTGTTTCCCCTGACGGCTCGCTTGCTGCCTCTGGTGGAAAAGACGGTATCACCATGCTCTGGGACTTGAACGACGGCAAGCATCTCTACTCGTTGGAGGCTGGCAACACCGTCCACGCCCTCGTCTTCTCGCCCAACCGCTACTGGCTTTGCGCTGCAACCGCGACGTGTGTCAAGATTTTCGACTTGGAATCTAAGTATGTTTAGCAGTTATCCAATCTCACGAGATACTGATCGATCATAGGTCGATCGTTGACGAGTTGAAGGTTGGAGCTGAGCAAATCGATAGCGACGCTGCTCCCGAAAAGTCCAAGGCAGAGGCTGTTTCTTTGGCCTGGTCGGCAGATGGACAGGTCCTCTTTGTTGGCTACACCGACAACCTTGTTCGTGTCTGGACCGTCAGCTCGTAGATCCGCTTTTCTTGACGAATGTTGGGTAAATACGAATACAAATCTATTACCTCCTTCGATTAGAACATGTTAACTGAAAGTGTTATTTTGGCAATCTGTGGAAGTACATCTTAGATCCATCCACTGCCTAGAGTGGCATGGCCACTGAAGCCGAGCTGAGAGCAATCTGGGAGGAAAAGCTGCAGCGAATATCTGGAGGGAAGAAGGATGTAGACCGCGAAAAGAAATTGGCAAATTTTAGCCAGGTCAGGCCCATCCAAACTGCAGCCCTCACAGCGTTGGTGACCCGTTGCAGATATGGGACGCAGTTCTCCCTCGCATTCAGCCAAAGAGCGTTCCAATAGAGAAAGAAGGGAGTCAGGGTGTGTGTTCATGTCGACTACGAGGCAGAAACTGAGCGTGGATAGAGGCTGCAATCTTTGCAAAGCTGGCAGATCCGAGCGTTGGGAGAACTGCATATACGATTGCAATAGGTTCGGCTTAAAGCTTGTTATACCGGTGTACTGATTATTCCGAGATACGATGCGCCAGAAACAAGATCTCCTCCGCCATGACCTTGAGAAAGCGATAGACACCTGCGAAGTATGTCCGAATCAAACTTGGAGAGATTCTTGACTTTGACGAATCCAGGAAACCGGAGACGCCGCGGCATTCGCAGAAATTTTTGATACCTTGGCCAGATGGCGAACGACTTGGTACGAGCCTTTCAAGTAAGTTGGATTTTAATGCGAGGGAACCTTGCTGAAGCACATAAGAAACAATCAAAAGATTATATCTTCGCAAGAGTTCACCACCAGCTTTAATCTCATCCTCCTTCACGCCCTACCTCCAACATTTCCTGGAGCACTGACCGAATTTCTTGAGGCAACACTCGTCAGCCCAGATACAGCTTTTGATCACACATTCTCACTCCTCACATCCTTGGGTCTAACGCGGAATTTCGAGACACTCATCTGTCGTGTAGCCTATCGTGCGATAGAGAGGAGGGTGGAAGAAGTCTGCCCAGGAGAGTGGGAGTCTCCGTGTCTCAGGGATATCCTAGATTGGGTGAAGAACACGCTAGTCCCCTGGTCAACGCGCATCTTTTCGTTTGGTGAGCAGTTCACGACGAGAATGATCTCGGGACTTACGGACCTCTAGACAATGATCCCAGTCATTTAGCAGGTCACAGTGGAGACAAGAACATCGGTCTCAAATTCGAATTTCACGTTTACAAGACCGTGTTCGACTTGAGGTATAGCTTTCGGTTAAGGCATGATTTCCTCTAACCATGGGAAGAGTTTCGGAGCTGTTTGATATCATCAGTGATGTGGAAGGAGAGGCTCAGGTTTTGAAAGATCTCAAAGTACGCAACCCGTGATCGTTCTCCATGTCTGACATGATGTAGGAATGTATGGGACGAGTTTCTGGCCGAACGGAAATTGTTCGCAGTATCCGACAACAGTCAGTCACCAAAATACTCGGAAATAAGGCTCACGCGTAATAGGATTGCAAAGCGATTACTCCACCCCGGAGCTGATACGAAGGATATTATTGATTTCTATATCTCTATGATTCGTTGCCTCCGGGTCATTGATCGTCAAGGTGTACTTCTATTTCGAGTGGCGGACCCTATTCGAGCGTATCTGCGGTTCGTGGTGCAATCTGCTCCAATTCATACCTACTAACACCTCTATAGGGATAGACCTGACACTATCAGCTACATTGTCAGCCAACTTGTCGACGAGAAGAGTGAGCTAGCCCAAGAAGCGCAAGCTCCAATCGTTTCCGAGATGGAGCATGAGGACTACTCTGATCCAAAGTGGATGCCAGAGCCACCTGATGCTGGTCCAAGTATGTTTATATTCAATGTTTGGTGTTCCACTCAAACGTACAGAATTCCGAACTATGCGTCCCAGCGACCTCATCAGTACTCTGGTCAGCATTTACGACTCTCACGAACTGTTTATCAAAGAGTTGCAAACTCTCTTTTCTACTCTTTTTCTGCAATCTCGAGAGGATTCCTTCGATGCCGAGGTGGGAATGATATTAACAAAAGGCTGCCCTGTCTTACCTGACTCGTAGAAACGGCAACTGGAAATTCTCAAGCTTCGCTTCGGCGACACTGCTTTGCAATCAATCGATGTGATGCTAGCGGATATGCAATCCGCCGTCAGGGTCCACAAACAGATACAGGAAACGGAAGAGGTATTTGGCATACCATAAGTCATTCACCTCTCATGCCCCGTCAGTCCGTACTAAAGCCTGCAATCATCTCTCGCTGGTTCTGGCCAGAGGCTCCCGAACCAGATACCTTCAAGATGCCTGGACAGTTTGCAATGTAAGGGGAACTCTCGTAGATTACTGATCTAATGAGCCCGGTATAGACTACAAGAGGAGTATAACAAGCGGTATCAAAAAGTCAAGCCAGACAAGCGATTACACTGGGTGCAGAGCATGGGCACCTTGAAACTCACCATTGAGCTCTCAGACCGCCAAGTAGAAGTCAATGCAACACCTCTGGAGGCCGCGGTCATCGAACTCTTTTCCTCGAAGTGTACGTTCGCTCCTCTGGTGATTCGAAATCTGAATACCCTCAGCGAGCTGGCTGCAGGAAGAGCTGAGCAAGCAACTCGGTGTCAAGGAGAAGGATGTGCTCGGTGCACTAATCTCTTGGAACGAAGAGGGCGTTCTCGAGTTCAACAGCTACACCAAACGATGGATTCTAGTTGAAGAGGGCGATGCTTCGCGAGTTCAACCAGGTACCTTGTCACGACTTATCGATGTCATCATCTGATCCTTCTAGCTCCAGCCCCCACAATCGAACGATTCCCAGAGCTTCAGCCGAGCGCCATGAGCTCGCGTGAACAGCAACATTGGCAGGTACGTGCATTCATACATTAGTTGACCTGTTTTGACAGCCTTGTAGCATATCAAGGGAGCACTTTCCAATTTTGGGACGTGTTCTACCGAACGTATTCACAAACTCATGAGGTACACTGCGGATCCTATCACCCTTGATCAGCTCAACGCCCTAATGGGACGACTACAAGCCGATGGCCTCGTTGAGGGGATGGATAGTGTCTGGAGACTTATATAGAGGGATGTCAATCGCAAATCCGACTTCAATTTCCACCCGAGGCTACTCCCTCGGCCCGAAATCAGGTATACAAGCGGAGCCGTCCGCTCTACATGCCGAACGTTTCTCCTACGACACTCTTAAAGATGCGTTGAGGATCAAACTGAGCTCTGACGGCTTCGAATCGTTGAAGGTGCTACACAAGGTGTCAGTCTATTTCCCTCTTCATGCGAAGGGATTGAACCTACTCCTGCATCGACTCGACCGTGCTCTTTGACAAGGTTGAGTACTTCACGACTATTCTTGGTCCAATGTGGTCTACATGGAAACTCAGAAATGAGTGTTTTTGCGAGATTGTGGTCTGAATACGTAAGCCAGTGGTCGATCTGAGAGTAGCAAAGACGCACAGAAGGGTTCATTGTAGCGAATGCCGTTTTTTGGACGATAGGATGGATGGTCATACATCATCACCTACACACGAATGTGAGCGGCTGTCAGGTTTCCGAGCGAGCCACTTACTCCTTTGCTCCAATCCGCCTCGTCTGTCAATGTGACTTGGCTGAGCAAGTCGGGGAAAGCTTTGCCGAACTTGAGATTAATCCCAGAGCGGTATGTACTCGTCATAGGAAATCCTTGAGCCTCAGACTCGTCGAAAAGTTGGCGGATACGCTGGAGAACCTTGTTGGCGATAGTGACTGGGAATGCCAATTCGAGCGTATAACCGTGCAGGTTCATTTCCCATTCTGAGACGAGCCACGAAGTATTAGCAAGTGGCCTATTGACTAGAAACGACATACCGGGCTTTTGGTCTGGATAGAGACCACCGATGAGGACAGGATATGCAAACCCAGTCGTTGGCCATGTCAGAATAGGTAGTTGCGTCGTATTGTCTGGAAAGAGGTATTAAGAGTCGTTTCATGAAAGGGTGGTTGAAATACCTCTGAAATTAGGGAGCGACCAAACTGCGAAGAATGTCTTCTCAGCTAGCGAGTTCAACCATGCTTGGGACGTGCCACCCTCCAAAAGGAGTCTGTGAAATTATCAAAGATGTGACAAATGGCGCGTCGGAGACCTACGTGGCAGTACCTGCGGATATGGCTTAGTTGACGATCCCGTAGGCTTAATAAATGAATACGCACTCGCTTCAAAGGAGCTGACGCTGAAGGTGTTCTGCAGAGACCTTCCAGGGTCATTGATAGAGATCTCGTCATAGTAGCGGTAATGAAACTTCTTCAACCCAGGCCACCACCAGAGGTTCGCCGTCGCGTACTTGGAGATCATCCCGTAAATGTCTCCGTTCATCACATCTTGTTCATCAAGACTTATAAATGGCGTCAGAATGGCAGTAAACCGAAAAGTGCGCTCACATCTTCTGATCGGCATACACCTTGAAATCTGGTCGGACTTTGAATTTGATCTTCACGATGGCACCGAGGAGACCAAGTGAGGTGGTAGCCGCAAGCCAAGTGTCGCTCGTCATGTCCTTGGTAAGATGTACGAGTTCGCCTTTACCATTGACAATGTCTAAGGCCTCCGCAGCTGCGGCAACCATGCTGTCTTCTCTCAATGACGAACGATGGGCACCCATAGCAATTGCACCCGCAATGGTGATATTCCAGTTGACGAGCGTATACCCGATAGATGCATTGCGGGCGTGCAGCCAATCCGCTAGCTGCAAGAATGTGACGCCGCCTTCAATGTCAACCGTCCCTGCGTTCATATCGAGATTGGATATGCGGTTGAGATATTCGGTTTTGAACACAATTGTCCTTGGGTCGTCGGAGCAGCTGGTGTTATACCATGAGTGGCCGCCACCAAGAGCACGGACGGGGGTATTGGTTGCGGATGCATTCTTGACGATGCTCACTACCTCTTCGATTGATTGTGGGTATAGAATCTGTGCGACATTGGCGCATGTGGGAAACCCCGGGCCATCGAAAGTGTTGACCACCTCTGTGAAGAGTGTTCAAGATGAGCATTATTGTACATAATGAAACTTACCAGCCCGAGAGTGAGCGAGAAAGATGCCGAATAGTGCGAGATAAGGAGTGTAGATCATAACGAGTGTCTTTCCGTGTTGGTATACGGCACCCTGCCCAGTTAGGCTCGTAAGGAGGGGAGAAGGAGAACAACGGGAGTACCGTAACGCATATCCTTGCATTAAATATGCATGTCCTCTGATGGGAACCGGCGTTTGCAGAGTTGGCGCAAACGTATGATCCGGCCACTGGAGTTTTAGACAATGTAAGAAATGCTTAGTGTGCCTCTGAGACGGCGAATCAGGTTTCTCTGTGTGATTCCCGGGAGTTCCTGCGTACTCGGTACGTAAGTAGGCCGTTTGGCCGGCGTCGCATGGGAGCGGCCTCTGAGAGCTGGAGTCGGATGGGGCGGCTTCTGAGAACCAGTTTTGCGCATGGCTGCTGTTAAGAACCATAGATCTACTAGTCCTTTCCCCTCGGTGGGTCGCGAATGCAGATACCGGGGATCAAGTAGCAGACACCGTTTGTATAAACCCCTTTAAACTGGTGTTTGGGTGTGAGAAATGCGCATTGTACATTGATCCAAGTCAAGACTGCTCTCGTGATCAAGATATTCGAGACTATTAGGGAGAACCAGTCATGGGGGAACCAAGAGGCTGTACGACCATGTGAGTGAGTACTTCCAGTTACTCTTATGTTCATAATAATATGGAGTGACCGAGCAGAAGGGACCCAGGAATTCATGCATGCTAGGAAGGTCGAGTCTTGACGTAGATAGGGTTGTGTGCAAGATAAGGATAATCAAAGTCACAGGTACCTACCGCCGTGATAGCCATGACGAAGGAAGGTGTGGTGTGGGAGACTCTGCGTTTGCTCCTGCTCCCCACGAGACTGTACAACTCCCGACTCGACTCTCCAGATATTCTCCCTCGGTTCGGGTTCATTTAACTGAGTACTAACACCATCTTGGACCCATCTTGGCTCCAGCGTTTGTAGTAATTGTAGTGGAACAAGATACCAAATTTGAAGGATTCAACCATGCTCTTTCTTGCCGTACACCCGGGATGGGTATTGAATACAATATCGTCGTATTTGTAGACATCTGCAAGGATCGCACTCAATCCGAGCAGCAATCCATCAACCCCGCCGAACTCACCCGCAGCAGCCTGAGAGTTTTTGACAAACGCTGTACAACTTTAGAGGACGTTCAGGTTGAATGGGCGTCAATCTCGCAAAAGTCTCGCTCGTCGACCTTCCTCACTCTAGATGCCGACGAGACGCAATCGCGCGCTCGACTATTTCTGGAACACTACGTATATAATCTCCACTTGGAGCGATATTTGATCTCGAATCTCACAGACACGCCCGTCTTACTCTTGACAGGATGAAGTTGCTCAGTATTCTTACGCTTGCCGTCTCAGGAGCGACTGCCCTCCTTTCGGAGCGTTCACCTTGTGCAATAGATACACATGGGCCATTCAAATTATACTCGGTATCAGACGGCACAGATGGTGCGGCGCTCCTCAACGTCGTGACCATGGGTCCAGACGATTCGGGCAAAAACACGCTCTCAACGTTGACTGTATGTTTCTATTTTAGCGTGACAGTGGATGCAGCTTCACATGCTTGCTCCAATTTAGACGTGTGACACTTGCGGCAAGACTCCGGTGTACTGGACGCTCACCAAGTCCGTTCTTTCCCCAGTGTTCACTATAAGCGACATTGTTACGCAAAATGCGACAATAAACCTCCCTCTTTCCTATGGGAAAGTCAACTTCATCACTGGCAACAAAAAGGATCTGAAACTCGCACCAATCTATTGTCTCGACGTGAGTTAAAGGCACACCCTTATTCCTGACGCGCTCACTCAGACAAAATTTAGAAGAATACCACTTCCACGAGCACGGCGTCTCATATTCTGTTGGCAAACGGCCACAGCGACTTGTTCTCCATCTGCTCGTTCATTGGCACGATAGGCCCTGCTCATCGTCGGGACGTTTACTACAATCAAACCTCAAGTGGTATCGCAAACTACTGTGTTTCTACCAAGCTTGTCGCGAAGCCTCTCTAGAATGCATGTATCGAACCGGCTGGTAATATACGAATTGATCTGTTGGTATAACTTTGTATTGAGATGAGATAAGACATTTATACTCTATGCAGGTCCAGTCTCGATTTGGATCAGGGGCTGCATGATGAGATTCACCATGAAGCAAGAAACTCCAGCAGGCTGGATATCCGAGGTGTCATAGGTGACTGACATATAGAGAACTTGGAAGGCATTCCGTTGACTGCAAGCCTGGTGAGGGGGATGCTTGACGTGCTGGATGAGGTCTGGCGTGTCTGAGTACATAGTGACCAAAAGAGAGAGGATAGACGTACCACAGCGCAATAAACTGGATGACCTTGTGCCTTTTTGATAGGAGTGGCGACAAATGACGGTTACTCGCCAGAATTGACCGCCAGGTTAATCTAGAGCACGTTGCCATCACAAGACCTAATCCGAGTGAAATATGTATACCGTCTCGTAATTCACAGGTGTATTGGCAAGATTTACCGTCACGACGCGTTTGGTCAGCGTCCAGCTTCCAGGTTGTTAGCCACACTTGCTTGTGGGACAAGTCTACAAACTATTTAGAGCCCATAAAGATCCGAGGAGGAGCTTACATCGTTCGTACTGATCACCATGTGTGCAGTATTCGCGTCATCGACCAGTAGCCTTACGGGGATAGTTGGCCTTGGTATCTGTACGCTGAGCGTAAAGCTCAAAGCCTCCGAAAGTTGGTTGAGTGCATGGTGGTATCGCCGTGGGATCTGTTATAACTGCGGAGGTTGTAATGGTCGCTCCCAAGACCCCATGAAGGAACCTCAAAGAGAGAAGGATAGAAGAAACGCCCTTGACAAACATAGATGTTACTGATATGTCTCTAGGACGTATTACTGAGGCTTGGAAGCTGCTTATATGCCATTTCCTCCCACTCCAACGCGAGGTACGAATCCCTCTGCATCCCGAAATTGCTGTGCATTTGATCTCTATCTCTTTTGAAAAGTTTTTGGGGTGACTGATCAGAGGGGCCGACGGCGGAGGAGGCAATGATCCGAGTAGTTGGCGTGAAAGGGAAGACAGGTAGGATCCCGTACTGTTGCTCCTGTTATTCAAAGAAGGTCTTCGGCCTTTACCCGAGCAGGGTTCCGCAGGTTCGTCCTCGAGAGAGTCGATGTCGGGTCCAGAAAAGGCGTGGGTTTGCAAGCCGGCCAAACCTGAGCGGGAGATTGGCGGGACCTAAAGATAGTAGCTGGACAGGAATAAGCATGTCCCATTGTATGAGCACACGTCGGGGCATTCTAGGCTAGCCTCGTCCTGCTGGGAGTATGCCCTCTAATGACTGAGCGGCCAACACACCGTTCTAACTGATACCACGAGCCATTTGTCGTAGGATTATTCTCAACCTGTGTAGAGACACTGTGCTTGGTGACCCTTGGCTTGGTGTTAAGTGATTATGCAGTTCTAGCCAGTCATGCACGGAAACATATGAAATCCAATCGTGAGGAAGTATCGAACTTTTTCCGTCGAAGGAAAACCATGAATGCACTATACAGAGGTCGTCATTTGATTTGGTCGTTTGCGTAAGCCGAGGGATATGCAAAGTCTTCGTATTCTTTAGGCTGGACTTTAGAAACGATTCTTGATAACCAAGCTGCTGTGTCAATATCTTAGCATTTTGCATGCAGGCAGTCTAAAAGTCGGATCATCGCTTCGGCTCAGTGGTGAGGCGCAGACGAACACAAGTGTACTTGAATTCTTTGAGCTACATAAGAGAACTAGGCCGGTCCAGGTTCGATGGGAATAAGACGTTGCATGACGAGATTGACTGGAAAGCACGTAGTTCCGATTGGTCTGGCAACGAGGTTGTCATAGATGATGGTATACAGCCCTTGAAGTTGACTGGACCCGCACATGTACCACTTCGAGGCCGTTCCGTTTACCGAGAGCAGGTAAACAGGGATGGTCGAAACACTCGGTGTGCCCTACGAACATAAGCGAAATCAACGCTTGGAAGAATGAAGCACGCACCACAGCGCAGTAGATAGGGTATGTTACCTTATCATTCGGGGTGGTGATGAAGGACGGAGAAGCATTCGAACTAACTGCTTGATTGATCTAGGACACGTTAGCAAAGCATACCGACTGTTCTACGTTCTCACTGTTTGGTAGCCTTCAGGAGTGTTCACCAGGTTCGCAGTCACAATCTTTTTGCTAAGATTCCAGCTGCCGGGAGCCTCACCGCAGCTCTTGCAGTCCTGATCGAAGGTTAGACCGTTTCAAAACAGGTAGAGACGTACCTCATCGATGCTGACGACCATATGCGAGACTGCTGGTGTCCCAGCGTTGGCAAGAAGCCTGACTGGATATGTGGCTCTAGAACCTTTCATCTGGGCATATAGAATGAAGCCTCCAAGACTGGGATTTGAGCAAGCCCGTTCGCCGCCGCCACCGATGGAAGTCGTGATGGCAGCACCTAGTACGCCTTGCAGAAGACACAGCGAGACAACGAGTGAAATAAACATTTTGGCGATCATGACAGAAGCTATGTCGTGCACTATGACCTCTGCGACAGCTGGGACGTCTTTTATGCTTTCATGAAGTTCTTGGCAAGAAGTCTCACAGAAACTCATCGACTGCTTGGTATAAGCGGTGCCTGCAGTGCCTGGACCAGTATGCGCATCACTTCGTGTTTGTATTTGCAGGACTGGCAGCGGCGGAGGGCTGGTGATCCGAGTTGGCAGCGTGAACAATGTCCACGATTCTTGGTTTATTCATTGGTCTTCAGGACATGATTTGGGCCATATTAACATTGAGATCATTCCCGGCGTTCGACCGAGTCGTTCTCAGGTCAATGCGGTTGGGACCAACCATACTAAACATGTGAACCACCCACCTAGCAGTCTACAGGCTTATATAAGAATAATTGTAGGTAGTTTACTTGACCTCACAGAGCTCGCTTCACAGGTAGGAGGATGTCCTAAACGCTCATATGAGATAGTGGATACAGACCGGACAGAGAAACCCAATTTTTCTCCTACCTACGACCTTAGGTTAGTTCGGTGGGATGAAGCTGCTCCCTTGATGGTGACCGGCACAAACCGTGGCAGTCACAAGATTCAGGAGGCGGCTGAGCCGTCGTCCAGCAGTTCAAATGTACGGCAGGGTCAGCAAGATGCCGGGTCCGGTCTTACCGAATAATTCCGATCGTGGGGTATCATTGACAGACATTACTCCGCGGCGGTCCGAGCAACAGTAGGATCGTCATTTCATTGGATGATAGGAATAAACATGTGAGAATTACCAGGGAATGTATTTCTTGAGAGTGGACGTGCGCGGCATGCCGGCCTACGTTTAGGGTACAATCCCAATAGACTGCATCGTCAGCTTGACCGGGTAGCACGAATAACCGGTGATATGCACAGGTGTCGTGTCGTAGATGATAGTGAGCAAAGTCACCGGCGGTAACCGTGAGGTGAATGCGCACATTGTAAACAAAGAGGAACTTCCATAAACCGAGAGTAGTGGGGAAGTATCCGCAGACAATTGCTGAAGAAAAGTCAAACGATAGGTAGCAGAAGCCTGGAAAGAAAGATAGTACTGACCACACCGCAGTAAATGGGCGAGGCAGGAGGTGGAACTTTGCTAGTAAGAAACTCCAAGTCCTGGTGATCCACGACAGGCTTATTGATAGTATGAACCCCTGAAGGGAGGCTTGGGTCGTAGGGATTCAGCGTCTTGTTGATCAAAGTCCAATAGGAGGGTACAACTCCGCAATTGGTACATGACTATAGAATGGCGTCAAGGTCCGTCTAGGCAAGCAGAATAGTCTCACTGATGTTGTGCTGACTGCCATGTAGGACGTAACAGGGAGGGTCGTCGAATTTGCTACAAGCCGGACCTCGTACGTGGGATGCGTCTTGAGATCAGCCCTGGTGGCAAAGAGCTTGAAGGGTCCATAGGATGTGATTCCACAAGACTCTGGAGTTACGACCGCGCTCGATGAAACCTGTGGTAAGGCCAATGCTCCCGTACCGAGCAATAGGGCAGAATAGGCGACCAAAGACGCAAACATGTTGTTGGATACCTTGCTCCTTTAGCAACTTAAAGTCCCACCACGCATGCCTCATGGCTTATATCTGCCTCCGACCTAAGCGGTCTTGCAGACACTCGGACCGTACCCATCAGATTTCTAACGTCAAATGCGTCAGCAGCAAGTGTGGACGGGAGTATATTTCTCCAGACGACCACCGCCGACAGCTTTCTGAGTGATCCATCCGACAAGCTAGCGAGAGTCAATAAAATCATACTAACCGGATGATAGGGCGTGCTTAAAAATAGCTCGGCGAGGGACACTTATCTGGTTGTCCGAGCAAGTTCTTTTAGCGCGGCATAGGTGGACAGTCAAGGTGTATTCGCAAAGGATGCCGCGACATACAAACAGTCATGATGAAGTTTCAATTGCTGGCGTTAGAGAGGGGTTGCAGCAGGTTCCATCGTGAGCGTGACAGGATAGCAGCTCTCGCCAACCGGTTGCACATTTGAACGGTCGTAGGTGATCGCAAATTGTTTTTGCGGAGGATACACCGACGTAAATGCGCACATTGTAAAGAGAGTCGAGCTTCCATGAACCGACAGGACAGGGAGGGCCTTCTCGCTCGCCTGCTACTCGCCCTTGTTAGTGACTGCTGTGGGCACTAGCGAGTACTTACAACGGCGCAATAGATAGGATAGGATGGCAAATAATCCTTGCTCGTGATGAAATGAAGCTCCGAATGGTCGGGCACTTTGTCGTTGATAGTAGAGACACCCCTTGGAAGTGAGGTATCAACCGGGATGAGGTTCATATCCTTAAGCTGCCAGTAGTCTGGAATGACGCCACAGTTTGTGCATGACTGAGGAGAATCATCAGTATCGCTCTTGCGAAATGCCTCTTTACTCACCGAGTTGGTATTGACGACCATCGTCGAGGTGATTGGCAGTGTAGTCCCATCAGCACGGAGACGAACTTCGTAAACTGCTTTGGGAGACAAATTCGTTCTCGTTGCATAGAGCTTGAACGGCCCATAGGTTGGAATGGTGCAAATGGTAGGGAGAGGGAGAAGAGTTCCCGATGCCTGAGGTGCAGCAGCAACGTTGGAGGCGCCTGTGGCGAGAAGAACAGCGGAGATGATAATTGAGAACATTGGTGGAAAGTTGGTTATACGATCCCTAGGTCTACCTGAAATGAGACCGGCTCTTTATATACCCACGAATAGCGTCGGGCAAATGTCAAGGGAAGTCCGAGGATTGTGAAAGTATTTGCTTCGCATCAGTATTTGGAGGTGTGACCCCAAAAGATGGCGAGACTGGTACCTGCGCTGAAAATAGAATCTATACACATTAGTTCCCGCTCCCAGCCGAAGAGGCTGAGCACTGGCAGTGGATCTGAAAGCTGTCAAGATAACTGGCATGGGATTGCTGCGTAGAGCAGAGAGGTTTCAAGTCTAAAATTGGGCACCCGTCCTGTGAGAAAGTCTTATAATTAGGTGCAACAAGAACAGTCGAGGTAGACGTCGAGGTGCATGCAAATTGAAGATCCAACGTGACGATAGAATACTCGACGGCGTGGACCACACGCCTATAGGGTACCTCTGACTGCCTTGTCCACGCACTCGGCAAAGTAGCCAATATTGTGGCTGTTGAGTCCAGCCATTGAGATACGTCCGTCGGCAGTCATGTAGATGTGAGCCTTTTCGGCGAGTGCCTTGGTTTGTTCTGGCTTTAAGCCCGTGAAGCTAGTCAAGCATTAGTTTTTGTATTGTGACAAGGCGAGTCCCTCGTACCTGAACATGCCAATCTGGCTCTTGATGTGGCTCCAGTCTCCTGGAGTCTTGAGTTCATGGGTAAGCTTGTCATAGAGGACATTCCTCATTTCAATGATGCGGTCAGCCATTCCCTTGACCTCACCCTCCCTGCAAGCGTAATGATGAGCGAAACGAACGACCGAAAAAGTGCAAAGCTCACCATTGGGCATTGAGCTTTGGATCACCGAGAATGGCAGCGGCAATGCGGGCGCCATGAACGGGTGGGTTAGAGTACATGGGACGGACGAGAATCTTGATCTGACTCTCGATTCTCGCCTTTTCCTCTGCCGAGGACGCAGTTAACGAGAATGCACCAACGCGCTCGCCGTACAAGCCCATATTCTTGGCGAAGCTTTGGCAAAGAGCGATTTGGTGGCCTTGCTCAATAAAGTAGCGTGGTGCAAATGCATCCTTTGTGGTGTCACCAGAAGCGAATCCTTGGTATGCCATGTCGAAGAAGGGGAAGAGCTTCTTGGACTTGATGACTTCAGAAAGTTGCTTCCATTGCTCGGGTGTAGGGTCGATGCCGGTACTAGAATGTGATTAGGAGTTGAGTGAAGCATAGGCAAGAAAACTCACGGGTTGTGTGCACAGGCGTGGAGAAGAACGATGGCACCCTCTTCTGCGTTCTAAAAGGAGATTAGCAGAGTCCCAAGGCTATCTATCGAATCATACCTTCAAGTCTTCAACCACTCCGGCCCAGTCCAAGCCAACTGCCTCGCCTGGGGTGAAATATCGGTAGCGACGAACCTCGAGACCAGAGTCTTTGAAGATGGGCTATGCCACGTGTGAGCCAAGCGGGATGTGAAATTTTCGTGTTGCTTACAATGTGATTTCCCCAAGTAGGCGTAGGAAGATAGATGGCCTTTACGCCAGGATAATGACGTTGGAAGAATGCGCCGCCAATGCGAAGAGCACCCGTGCCGGATATTGATTGAGTGATGGCAATCTAGGACGAGTCGAATGTGTTATCCAGCTAGCCACGGACTAATCATGGAGTTTCGACAAACCTTGCCTTCTTTAACGAGAGGCGAGTCTGCACCATAGGCAAGTTTTGCAGCCAAGGAAGTAAACTCTGAGAGTCCACTGATTGGAAGATACTCTTTGTCGAATTTGCCAGCAAGCGACTCCTCCGCTTGTTTCACGGATGGCAGAATGTACGGCTTGCCATTGTCGTCGCGATATGCGCCAACGCCCACGTTCATCTTCTTTGGATGTGTAGATCGTTTGTACGCCTCGGTGACGCCTGTGAGGTGTGAGCGACGGGCGAATCCCCTGGAACACGCGTTTGCGCACCGAGAATGGGATCCGGTGGGCCGGCTGGAACACCAGCCCAGCTGGAAGCGAATACTCTTGAAGAAAGTCGTGTAGAGACGACTGCAGACGTAAAGCGTGCTCTGAGCATGGCCGTGGTAGGAGTCCAAAAACTTTGCCGGTGTTTTCGATTGTATACAAGTCGGGTTGGTCCCGACGTCAGCAACTTTATGTCCAAGCGGCGACGGGACGACGACACTGGATCGAGTTCTCGGTCAAAGAAACAGAAGCGGGATCCCTCGTGGGACTCGTCAAATCCAAGTAGCCGACAAGGACCAACGTCGGCCACGACCGCAAGCGTCTACTCGATTAGAAAGGTGGGCGCCAACACAGTCCCGTCGCTGCCTACAATCTGCCTCAAGAGCTTTGTCAACGATTTGATACACCAAACATCTGAAAAGAACAATGCAAAGACGATATTCCGCCTTAAGAGACTGCCTGAGCACCTCCTTTCCAAAGTCTGGTCGCTCCTCGTGAGTTCATGGCCACAGCACATTACTCATGCATTTATAATGGCGGTATGATTGCACCGCATGACTGTATCAACTACTGAAATGCTCCAGGTCTTCCTACGCGGGTCATCCATCCACTTTCCGAGCACGTTGACAGGCGTCCGTGCAAACACTATTCAAGAGCTTTCTCGTATGCGTGAATCTCTAGTGGACTTGCGAATCACTGGGTTTACTTTCAAGGACAAGGTCTTTGCTACAGCACTTGCACGACTGCTATACTTGCAACATTTGAACCTCAGGTGAGACTTCCCTGTTCTACTGTGCTTCCTAGCTTAGGTTGTCATCAGAGGCTGCCGGAACGTGTCCTCTCTCACCTGCAAGGTGATCGCTGGCACTCACAAGGACTTGCTTTACCTCAATCTGGGCGAGACCAACCCTACCGCTGCCGATATCAAATCAATCATCACGAGCTGTGAAGAAATAGAAGTCCTCAAGCTCTCAAGCCTCGAAGCCGTCACGGACCTTGCGTTGACACGTCTAGCAGACGAATTACCTATTGACGAAGCCGACAATTCGTCCGGACCACTAAGGAGACTACGTTCGCTAAAACTTCGACACACGGCAATAACTGGTACTACAGTTGCCTCGATGTTGGGGCGGCTCCCTTTGCTCGAACGGCTGGACGTCTCCTTTGTACCACTCGCCAATATTCCTCTAGACATAACCGCACCGCTGACCAACATGGTCAAGCTATCTCTTTCTTCCACGCCAATCGAAGCGCGCCGTCTACTCCCCGTCCTCGAGCTAATGCCCAACTTGCAAATCCTAAACATTGGCTCCCTGGGATCGCATGCACGGACGGCAGCCGGGTTCACCATTGGTGGAAAACAATCTACGAGCGTGACTGGAATGCGTACACTCAACGACGCCACACTATACGCCATGACCGACATTCTTCAGAGAATGTCCAACCTCGAAAGCATTTCACTTGCAGGAAATTCTTATTTGGGTCTGGGTAAGGAAGGTGCAATTCGACATTTCCTTCGCAACGTTGGACGAAGGCTCAAGAGGCTCAACCTGAGTTGGATCCCCAATCTACGCTCCGACGACTTGGACGGCCTGATCCAAGAAGAGGGAGACGCACAGCCTTGCAGCCTGGTGAAGCTTATTCTAACCGGCTGTAACATTGACGACCAAGCAGCTGTAAACATTGCTGCATGCCCCGAGCTCGCCTTTCTCGACTTGGAGAATACCAAAATCTCCGGTGGGTTTACTGTTTTGGGTACGTCGCAATACTCACAAAACTGCAGAGGATGCCTTGTTTGACATTATCGATGCGTGTCCAAAGCTCGAATGGCTCAATCTCACCAGCTGTCGGCGGGTCAATGTACAACATCGCAGACGCTTCTTTGAGCGTTGGAAGGAAGAGCGCATTCTCAACAGAGAAGGAGAAGAAAGCTCTTAGATCTAATTTGGCTGTAAAAAAAGAATAGTAGAAAGATGTACGTGATAGACAGTCGTGGAGGTCCATGTACCGTAGCTGGTAGTCCGTGATGTAAATGCGATGATAGCAATAGAGAAAACGAATCGCTCGGGCCTGAACCATGTTCAGATTTTACTCGTAGAGGCTTGGTATGGGTTAAACGGCTGATCTTGATATCCTCCATCCTTGAGCTCTGCAGATCAGCCGTCAGCAATTGTCGACAACAAGTGGAAGATCCCATACGATACTTGGTTGGGGGAAGTGGTACCCCCGGATTCGGTGAATCGTGATCGTGATAGCTCGGTGGTGGCGGTGGTAGTTCAGGTGGGTCATAATAAGATGAGCCGTGCTTTTTGGGTGGTTCTTCTGCTTCTTCTGCCTTGGATGGGTGCTCCAAGTATGCTTGATCGACGGAAGCTTGCTTGAGAGGAACGTTGTAACCCATGCCCACTCCATATCCGGTGCCGTTGTCGGTGCGCGAGGGAATCTTCGATGGTCCTGGTTCGTCGTCCCGGTATGCGGTCTCACCACGGGGATGCCAGCTGTCGGTAGACGGTCTGGAGTTCCACGCCTCGTCATCACCATTGTTCCCTGCCCGAACGTCATTGAGCATGATGTTATTACCCCCATCGTGGGTGGAGTAGATAGAGTGGTACTTCGTATGATCTAGAAGCGATCAGCATAAACGAGAGATGTGGTGAATAATTCGCACCTTCTCGCTGCGATGCTCCATATTTCGAGAGGACGATTGCGAGATACGTCTGTACAGGGTTTAGAACATCAAGACCATCTTCTCAACCAATCTCCTACCTGAACAATAAAGAGAACGATTAATAAAGCGCCCATGGCGCCAAGGGTCGCCCAGCAAAAGATGTTGCAAATCTGCTGCCCCTCTTCAGAGCCAGCGGTTATAGTCGAACTATCGGTAAAAAAGTCCTTTTTACACTTTTCCACAGCGATATTGTGACGGGCAGCAGAGATGGCGATGTAGGTGGCGGCTACCGAGAAACCCGCGTAAAGCACAACCATGTTAATGGCGACATAACGACGAAAGAGCGTCGTCTTTTCCTTGAAAACACCCAGGAATCCAACTAGCTGAGCTCCAGCAAACGCATAGCCTAGGCCACAGAGGATGAAGCTGGCAAATGAGAATGGCACTGCCCCTGCAACGAGTGAAGGAGTAGCAAAGCTTAGGGTTCCTATTGGTTATGAACATGTCAGCGCGATGTGGCCTTACTGCTAGAATGCGTGGGCCTGTCACGAACCTACGAGGACCCCGAGGATCTATGAACCAGCGACCAGACAAACGGTCAGCACGATGCACGGAACGAAACTCATACAAGAATGCGTACAAATTGCTCAGTCAAGGTCAAATACGCGCCAACGTTTAGAACTGGTATTGCTGCGGAGACTGTTAGCTGGGCATAGCGAGCCGTGAGCATGAGTACTGACCACAGCAACAATAGTCCCAACCCATGATGACTAAAATATTCAAACTTTGGTGGCCTCTGGAAAACCTAGGGGAACGAGGTAGAGTCCAAGAAAGGCGAGGACGGATGTCGTTCGGGATGCAACTGATGTGGCCTTCATTAATGACCTAGCAGCGGCGAAATACTTATATAGGCCCGTAATATACACCTAAGTACCAATCATAGCTTGGCCCCTCTCTTTGCCAGCACCGAGCCGCGAATGCTCAGATCATCGAGAATCTCCTCAGACCCACCACCAACAACGAATACACGCATATCTCGGCTCAGTTGCTCGACCACTTTGCCCTTGCCATCCCTGGTCATCCCTAGCCCACCGAAGATCATTTGAGCCTCTCTTACGCACGATTCGAGGACCTAGACACCGAATCAGAAAGTGCAAGGGAAGTGGAGGTTGGTCGTACGCGTGCAGCCTGGACCTTTACCAGCGCAATCCTGGCACCGACAGACGCCTGTTCGTATGCATTAGGAGTGGTTTTGATATGCCACGCAATCTCCTCGATCCATGCATGACAGCTTTCAACAGCTCTAATCATCTATAGGGGTTCAATGGCAAGACCAATTACTTTCATACCGCGTACCGATGCAAACTTGGCACGAATGATTTGATGACTCATGAGCGGCTTTCCAAAGGTCTTTCTCGCCATTGCATGCTTCCACGCCTCCTCGATACAGTTTCGTGCGAGGCGGATGCTCATGACAGCCAAGTTGAATCGTTCTGGGTTAAAGTTGGCCATCACATACTTGAAACCATGTCCTTCCTTTCCAATCAGGTTTCCCACTGGTACTTTGACGTCCTTGAGCTCGAAAAAGGTTGATCCCGAAGCACGCAGGCCAGAAACGTTGATCCGTCGACGTTTGACCCCCGGGCTGTCGAGTGGGATGACAAGGAGAGAGATTCCACTGGCTCGGGAATCTATAGGTCCTGTTCTGACGGCAGCTGTCATGTAGTCTGCCCACAGCCCTCCCGTGATCCACTTTTTGCTACCGCTAACCTACACGAACATAAATTGATGTACAATGATAGAGATGAGAATCTACAGTGTAGTAACGCTTGTCGTCTGAAAGAACCGCTGTAGTACGAATGCCAGCCACGTCTGAACCTGCTTCTGGCTCGGTGATTCCTAGACACCACCGTTCTTTCGCCTCTGAGGCACTTGGCAGAAACCTTTGTTTTTGTTCCTCGGAGCCAAAGTAAAGCACAGGCGAAAGACCAATTCCATGGCCGGCATACATGCCCCAAATAACACCGGTGCACGGGCAGCGGTGTGCTTCCTCTTGCAACTACTGAATATGTCAGATAGTCATGTTTGGTAACTCGAGCTTTGACGTGCAATAATGGCGTGAAATATATCCATCTCGTCCGTCTTTGCCTGTCCCGGAGCGCGGTACTTGTCCGGCAAGAGAGGATCGTCCACGAGCGATTTGCAAGTTTCAACAAGGCCTTTCAAAGGTCAGAAGTAGATCGTCTACAGTACCGACGAAGCAAGCCTCTTTCGGAATTTCACCTACGGGCACGTCAAGTTGGTCCCCGCAAATTCTACTCACATACCAGCTTCTTCCCATTCTTCAGCATGAGGAAATATCTCGTTCTCATAGAAGTTTCGCGCCTGGCGCTGCAAAGCGCGGTGGCTGTCGGTATAATAACTGTCGAGCGCGTGAGAAGGGGAAAGAATCATGTGGTAGCGCGTCTAACGGCGAGGAAAGCGTCGCCCAAGATGGTTCTGCAAATGGACTAGACATTCACTGCAAAAGTTCAGGTAAAGTCGGTCGTGGTCAGGTCGAAGTTGGCTCCACCATGAGAGGTCGATCGCAAGGGACATTACGTATAGTTCAAATCGCATGTATGATACAAGCAGAGTACGAAGATCATTCTTCGGATGCAAAATGACGCTCACAAGACGTAACTCCGTTGTGGGTTTACCACAATCCTCCTCTGTGAGGTGTGAAGTCGACCTGAAAGCATTTAGATAGAAGATTCTTGGCACACAAACTACTTGCCTTAATGTTAACGCATACAGCGTCCTCGTCGTCGGGGCTGTAGGCACGAACATTGACGGAAAACTTGGCTGCACAAAGGTAAACGTCAGAATAAAAGAATAAAAGGAACGAGCGCACCAGGAGGAATCTCCTTTGGAAGGGATACAGTTTGTACAACAGTATACTCTCCAGGCTCAACGGGGCATTGAATTGTCGCATTCGCGTTGCGACTAACGGTCGTGAGCGTCAAATTCACGGCCAGAGATGACAAGCTTACGCCTCTTCACAGACATCAAATCGCTTCTGGAGCAACTTGATGAGCCCAATCTTGACGAGGACGTCCGCATATGTGCCTTCCTGATGACGACGAGTCAGCTGCATGTTACAAAGAGTCAAATAGAGCACACACGTCAAGGGTCTGCTTGACATAACCTTTGGCAGTAACTTCCAAATCTTCACCGGGCTTGGGCGGGTCCGGTTTGATGGAGATGGAATGGAGCTCGATAAGGTCGTCGGGTGAGCCTGCAAAGAGGAAACAAGATGAGCAAAACCAGCTCTGCGTCTTCATGACTTGTAGTGAACGGCGCCTACCGCAATCCTCATACGACCAACGCTCAGGAGGAGCCAGAGGCATCGCGTTCTCTGCATTTTTCTGAACGATAACAGACCCAGCAACAATTTGGGCGCCCAAAAAGGCCGTCAACAGCAGCTTTGACAACATGGCGAGGTGTAGGCAAGGTCCAAGTGACGCAAGTTGAGCGAATATGGGGCAGGTCGGAGGTTCGGATCTTTGCGCGCAAGGTCACGAGGAGTTTATCTGAATTATTTTATTAATTTATTATCGCTCGTCGCTCGTCTCAGTTGGTCCTGGTGGCTTTGAGCCGCTTGCCCTCGACCTCTTCCTCCAAGACGACGAATAAACATTGCCAACAGGCAAAATATCCACGAAAATACAACGAAAAGAGACAAAAGTCGCACATTGCGTTGAAGATTCTCGCCAGGCTCAAAGATATACGGCGCCTTGGGCCATGAATAGGAAATTCTAGGCTCCAAGCTCATCATCCACATTCTATGCGTCACAAGAAACCCGTCAAAAAGCACCCAGCAAAGCGTGGTACACCTGCCACGCCGGTCCAGACTCAGCACTCCAACCAGACACCTGAAGCAACCACTCACAACGCTCACGACGAACCAAAACACTCTGCTCCATCATCAGTCTCCCACGAGGACTCACGACCAAGCTCCCCAAGCACGAATGCTTCCAAGACGTCCTTTGTCCGACCTTCTTTAGCTCTAACGAAACTCGCGCACGAGCAAACACAGATGCACGACTACTCCTATCCAGAAGACGGCTACGAACACGGCCACGAACCGCACGAGGACGAGCCCTACACGCCCTCGGATCCATACTTTACCCCCGCGTCGCGCGAAAAGGGCGTCGGCGACTGGCTCACGCAGTGGGAGCACATGAACTACCCTGGGATGGAACTTGCGGATCCGCAATTCATCGAAACGTGGGAATTCCATCTAAGACTGCGCCTCGAACAAGCGTACCCACGCATGTGCTACTTTTTCCTCTGCGACAAGAAGCTATTCGTGCTCGTGACGCTGCTTACGCTGAGAAGGATGGCAAAAGCAGAAGGTCTGACGGGTAGACCGGTCGGAAAGTCGAAGCAGGACAGGCAATTTGTGGACAAGATTGCACAGTGCATGAGGGATGCAGAGCTGAGATATGACAAGGATGAAGAGTGGATGACTTGGTGGCGCGAGACGCTACTAACGGTTCAAGGCGGATTGCAGAGGGGGTGGCTATCAGCCGATTCACCGGTGAGTGCCTTTTTGACGGGCGCAAGGACGGCGACGACGAGACTGAACATGAAGGACAGAATATTGTATATGCCAAGGACATTATGAAGCTGTATCGACGATTCGCAAAGATTGCCAAACGTTTGGCAGAAGCAGAGGTAGAGAGTCACGATGTTCACGTTTAGTATTGGTTGTATGTCCACCAGAGTTGGCTTTCCATTGATTTCATTGATGTCTCCGCTTTTACGAGTTTGTAAACGTCGGCTTGCGTTTCTCCGCAAAGGCAGACATGCCTCGTAGTGCGTCAGCTGCATTTCCCCCGGCGGTATGTGAGTTGAGGAAAAGCATTCACCTTCCTTTTGGTCGTTGGTCGCGAATAGACTGTGGAAGATGCGTCGCTCGAGGCGCAGGCCCTCGGAGAGCGGGAGGTCCAGGGCTACGAGCGATGAGTCTCAGGATGTGAGGGTTTGATCGGCGGGCCGGGATACATACCCGCGTTAACTGCCTCCTTTGCGGCCTGGGTCGCGAGCTGGCCGAAACCTGCGATTTTGGACGCCATGTCCAACGCCTCTTGGACGACTGGCAAGTGCTCGTCCCCGTCCTTCTTTTCAGTGCGGACGACGCGACTGACGACGCCCCAGCGCTCGGCCTCGTCTGCATCAAATTGGCGGCCAGTCAAGACAAGCTCCATTGCTCTACTCTTGCCCACGATACCGGCAAGACGCTGTGTACCACCACCTGTACAGAATCGAGAACGTGTTAGAGGCTGGCGGACCTCGTGGAGGACGGAAGGTTTTACCTCCTGGTATGACGCCCAAGGTGATCTCTGGCAATCCAAACTTTGCAGTAGGGGATGCCAATATGATGTCGCACCTGGAAAAGGTCAGAGGGCCCGAGCTAGGTAAGGGCTGGTTCTCCGGTAACACAATAAGCTGCACTAACATGAGAGCGAGCTCGGCTCCGCCCCCGAGGGCATACCCGCTGACACTGTGGCGTTGATAAAGGAAGAGGTTGGATCAGAAACCTGGGGAGAAAGATAGGGGAGGACACACGCGGCGATAATTGGCTTTCGGATCGCTCGCATGGCCGTCCAACTTGCGAGGAAGTCATTTGAATAGACGTCTGCAAATGTCTTGGATTGCATTTCCTTGATGTCGGCGCCAGCTGTAAAGGTGGTAAATGTCATTATGTACCCAGTGACTGGGGACGAGGACGGACCAGCAAATGCCTTTTCGCTGCCCGTAAGGACGACAGCAGAAATATCCTTGTCATCGTTGGCCTGTACGAGTGCCTGGTTTAGCTCGTGAAACAGCGGCGTCGAGAGCGCGTTAAGTTGCTTTGGCCGGTTGAGCGTGAGTAGCGCCACAGAGGACCTGGGACGAGACACGAGAATATTCTGAAAAGTGCTGGCAGTTGAGAGTGACCGTCTGAAGATGAGCATGGTTGGTCGAGTGTAAGCAGTGAATTAAGCGCGGATGGCAAGATCCGGCTAAGCCCACGTCCTTTGCCATGTATTCGGCAAATTCACAAAGTGTTAGCAAATATATCCTGCATAATTTCCACGTAATCTGTCCTGTTTAGGAGACTTGAGCCCAGAGTTTTGCAAACAGCAAGGGCTGGATGAACGCAATTTCTAAACATTGTTCGATATTCCCTCAGGGCTTTTTTGCTTGAGACGCTTGCAACAGTAACGGACGTGTCAAACGAACAGACAGCGCGCTAGACGTGACAGCTCGCCCCGCCGGTCAATGAACGGCCCACGAGTCGCGGAGACATTTGCGTCGTCAATTTCTGTCGGAATTTCAAAGACATCTGCGGTCCCGCCGGTCGAGCCCTCGTTCGATGAGATCCGCCGGGGGCTAGCGAGTGGTCGAAACAAGGAACTCGTCTGCTGTCCAAAGCTCTCTGGCAAGTTTTACAGTTCGTGTTCGACGTGTCTGCCGGTCCGCGGGGTGCAGGAAACGCCCAAGATCTCTGTGGGCAGCGAATCTCATCGAGGACGACATTTGGGGGTGTGCTCAGATGGTGTAATCGGCAGTGTGACGGACTCTAAAGCTTGTTTGCATTTGCGAATGCGGCTCCTGAGCTGATGGGACTGAATACGACTTGTCAGCCCGTTGACGGTAATCGGACGAGGAACCAGGGCCGCATACAACACTATGAAACTAGATCTCGTTGGCCCAACGCCCAGTCCTCGAGGCAGACGTCAAATACCGTCGATTCGTTTTGCCGAAGGCCCACAGTCTCCCTTGATCCCCCCGAGAGCGTAAATACCCTCTCGCTCTGTGGCCTTTGGGTTTCTGGTACGCACTTGTGCGTGGTATACGATCCCACAGTCTTCTTGCCCTTGCTTCTCCACACCTCGCGGCAATTGCATTTCCATCTGTTCTGACGCACCAATCGAATCCCTGCAAACTTGGTGGAGCACTCAGTTTCCGGTAGGTCAAATTCCACTTTGCCCATTTCACTGCTTCTCCCCCACCACCGCGGCTCACCTTGTTCTCTCCCCCTTCCAAGCTTTCGCACCGTGACATGGCCGCAAACACCATCCAGGACGACCCGCTCGCCGTCGCCGCCAATCTCTCTCGCAACAAATTACGCCTCGCCCGTCTCGGTGCCGCTCTCCAGGTGTTGCAAGCAGCACCAACGTCTGCAGGCATTCAGCAGAATCAGAAGCACCTCGTCAATCTCCAACATGCCCAGCAGCTTGCACTCGACGATGCTCGTCGACAAATTATTGCCCTCAGCCGGACACAGGCCACTCTACCCGGCGGTATCCCCAACTGGCACGAGTACATGAACATCCTGCTCAGATATCGGCATCATGGCCATGCTGTTGCACATGTACGTCCTCATCTCCCATGCGCATGCCGGCCTCACCTTCCTCAGGCTCAGCCAGACTCGTGGAACGACCAGGTGCTCGAAAGCATAGAATCTACCTACAAACCACATGTGAGATTTTACCGGTTCATTCCATTGTGTATATTGACGGTCCCCAGCCCGACATGCTCTCGTCGCATCGACGCGCCATTGAAACAGACGACTCGTCTGTCGGGTGTCTCTCACCGGCGAGTGCAGAACACCTCCTCCTATTCGAGGTCCGTATCATGGGTAGTAATGAGGCGGCGCGCTTACTGCTGCTCAGGAAAGCCAAGTGCCTATTACTAGTGTCGACTTTGCCGAGTCGCCTAGCTCGACCGTATGTCATTGAGCTATCAAACCTTTCTATTTGTTCATCCTCTGCAGGGCTATGATACTGATCCTGGAACGCCGTACGTCAGCGAGCCGGGGACGGAGACCGACAGCGTCTCGAGCGGGCCCATGTCTCCGACGGTACGTCGCTTCTGCCCCCCCATCATTCATGGACGCTTCTCATGGCGTCGCTTAGGATGACTTTGTATTCCACGAACTCCCGTCGGGACTCAAGTCACCCTCGCCCTTTGTTTCCCATCCCCCAGTTCACATCCTCCACCGGCATTTTCTTGCGCCCGCGGAGGCGCCCAAGAGTAAGCCGTTTTCGTACGAGGTACGTACTAGTGGGTCTGCCACTTCCTTGTTTTCCAACGCCACCCCGCGGCCCTGACGCTCCTTTATCGCCGACAGGACATCCTCGCCCTTTACGACATTTTCGACAAGACCGGCATCGAGTATTACATATTCGAACGCAAGCGAGACCCACTTCATCATGGGCATCTCGAGATCAAGAGCTGTCAAAAAGTGGACCTATTGACGCCATTTGTGCAAATCAGCCGCCGTTTTGTCCGTACGTGCATCCCATCAGACGCCTCTGGAGGTATCTAGACTCACGACAATCGATAGGCCCTAATACGCATACTCAAATTCCACTCGAAATTCTTCTTAGAATGTCGCGTGTCATTGTCAACTCGTTTGCCTGGTTCGTGCTTTTTTATCCGCGTGTCAGCACGAGGACCTAATGTCTGTAGGCCTCAACCTGGCGAGACCTGGCGCGAGTTTCTAGGTGCTAGGACGGAGCGCTACCGTCGTGAAAAGGAGGAACTCGACGCACGTGTGCCACCCGAGCTCCGACGCGCCGAACACGCAGACTTTTGCTACTCGTTCATGATGACCGTGAACGAGTACATTGGATCCAATCCAGCACTCCTGGACTCTGTCATCGATGCTACCCGTCTCGTAAGTCAATCTCTTTGATTGTGTGAAGTCGACGCTAATGTCTTTGTAGAGGGAAAATGAAAAGTGGGACTATGTCCTGGCTTATCGATGCATCTGGGAGAACCTTGGTGTAAGATCCCATTTGCTGATTCAGAAAGATTATTGACAATTTGCTAGCTCCTGCGCTATGCTCCCCCACACAAGGCGGGCACACCACCTAGTTCGCTCTCTAGAGCCCGCGGTCGGTCTCATGTGAGTGCGGTTGGCGAACGCTCCTTGGACTCAAAGCTGACTGTCCATGTAGAATCAACATGGCTTCGTTAGACTCGCTTCCCCGCACGCAGCATGGCCTGCGCACCCAATCTTCGTTTGAGCCATATACCATATAAATGGACTCACAACCTATGTCGTTCTATCGGCTATTGTCTGTATCATCACACACACGCACAGGATCCTCGGAAGGGTTTCTATGTATCTACTCCATGAGCCATTTCTTCGTTTTCTAATCGACATCTGCACCTTGGAACCGTACCATGTTTTCGTATCATCAGAGACCACACTATGTGCCTGGTAAGAACGATAGTGTTCATTGACTGGTCTTTGACATATAAAAGGACACTATCAAGGACCTCAATGTAAGCACGCGCCGAGCTCGGCTTGTGGAAAGCTCAAGGAATTCGTAGGGTTTGCAGAGCGATTCAACTATGGAATCGATCCAAATGATCAAATAGATGTAAATATCGACATTTGGGATACATACAACACACGGAGCGAGATTGAAGACACGGATTTTCTGACCGAAACGCTGGGTAGTATGGACGTGCTTCTCGTCTTCGTACGTTCTCTCAAAGAAACAAAAAGATAGGCTAAACGTCTGCAGGCGGGTCTTCTCTCCGCTGTCGTTACAGCGTTTATCGTCGAAACGTACAAACTTTTGCAACCAGACCAAAGTGAAATCACCAATCAGCTTCTTATTGCACTTACTCGAAACGAAGCGGCATCACCCGAGACTACAGGCAGCAATTTTACTCCGCCGCAGTACGCCGTCCGGGTCAACGCCTTTTTTTTTGCCAGCCTCTTCACAGCATTGCTCAGCGCGCTAGCTGCAATGTTGCTCAAGCAGTGGATTTCATACTATACCCAGGGCCTCAAGCGCATCTCCTCAAAGCAGATTCGCGCGCGTACTCGGCAGTTTCGATACGACGCTGTTCGGAGATGGAAACTTGGAGGGGTCGTTGCACTCGTACCCGTCATTCTCCACCTATCCCTCTTCCTATTCTTCGTCGGACTCATCGACCTTCTCTTCTCAATCAACCCAAAAGTCGCTGGTATTGCGATTGCACTTGTCGCTTGCACCGGTGTATTCTACGTCTTCACCAATCTAGCAACGTTGGTGTCAGAGAGTGCACCGTTTCATTCGCCGATTGCAGAAGGGTTTCGGAATCTGGCGTATCATGTGAGGCGTTGGATCTTGCTCTCACATAGTCGACATATGACTCCACGAGACGAGGAAAAGGCGGGAGATGAGGCGGTAGAAAACCCGGCGGACCTCACCTTTCGAAGCGACGAACCACAGGCGGTGCTCATTCGACAAACGCGAACGCTAGATGTCGACGTCGTCATCCAGCTCATGGAAGACGCAGACAAAACGACAGAGGCGTACATCATCAACCAATGCTTTGAGAAGCTAATGACTTTCAATTTCATTGCAAGCAAGAACCCATCCACCTTTTTCCGACCATCCATCCCTCGCATCTTTCATCAAATGTCGGATACGTGTGTGACCAAAGATCGACAGAAACTGCTGCGGGGACGAGTCGATGAGGCCATTCTCCTCTGTCGGTTTCTCGACTGGTATCTTTCCATGCAACAAACTGCGCAGGAAAAGGAGTGGCTAGGTCGTCGTTTCATGCGCTCAGAAACAACAATGCCAAGGTTGCTACGCGACCAAGGCATAACAAATCAGGACTTTCAAGCAATCCTACGAGGACAAACCGCATACTGTCGACTCCAACGTCTTCTCCAGCCAGACTCCGGGTCCTGTTCTGTCTGTTTAACGGATTCTAGTACCGTGTTTGAGCAGATTGACAAGATAGCAGACCAAACCCCTAACGAGGCATCATTCTCCGACGCATTGAATCGATTTATGCTGCTCCTCACGGACTGCATATCAAATTACCTGCGGGATACAACTCCGGGTGTGGACCGTGCGAGTCTGGTTTCGAAGATAATCGAGCAAGCGAAGAAACTGGTTGCAAAGACTGGCGCAAATCCAACGTGCTATCAGCCAATCCTGAATCATCTGTCGAGACAGAACTATGCAGACAATCCTCTTGCGGAACAGTGGAAAACGTCTCTCATCGATACGATCAAGGAGAGCGCTCGGCCTGATCTCTTCTCCCCTGATGGGGAGTGGCTTCCCCCGCCACGAGCCCCACGACCCCCATCTCCTCCCTTTTTCCAACGTGTCGAACCATGGCCAAATGAAGAGGAACCAGATTTCCGCCCACTTCGACGATCTTCCTCTGTTGAAAGGGATATTATCATCCCGAGCGTAGGCCCAAGGATAGAAGATAGATATGAACAATCGCCGATGGTTCCACTTTCTCCGCACCACAGGCGAACATATTATATGCCACCGCACCAAGGGCATGCGCTGTTCTATCCTCGTCCAAGGAGAATGTAAGAGTATACTTGTCCGAGGACACTAATTGAAATGATACACCTATTTCATAAGGATTGGGCTCTGAGGCCTAACGAATCTACAAGAGCAGCAAATACTCCAGCAATCATTCGTCCCTTGCCACGCTCCTGCGTTGCGGAGCGAACGGCATGACGATGCTGGATTAGTATCAAACGACGCGACTCGCCTGCACACGACGGGTCAACGGTATTCCTGCTGCGCACTCGGCTATTCGAGAGCATAGGGTGAAAATTGATCTGGCGGTCGATATTCGGGCAATAACGAGTATACAATGACGGGAGGCCTGAGGTCGAGCCTCGACTCCCTTTTCCCGAATCTGCCAGTATTGCTGGTCCACATCTGCGGAGCTCCAATGAAAACAATCGGCTAGAATATTCTAATTGGTATGTGTAATAGTGAATTCAGCCGTTATTCCGCATCAGTGGATCCAGAAAGGCCTTGACCTGAGCCTCCTTAAGACATATCGATATCGAATGGGATGGATCCGACTAGACTCTGATGATTCTTCGACTAGACCAGACGCCGAGATCTAAACGTGCGGACTATAAATGAATCCAATTATCCTGGCCCATGCGCAATCCGTTATCCACACCTTGACTTCTAAACGTTCCAGAATTGAGCTCTACTATGAATCCGAGTGTCTCACATTCGCCCGGTAAGGACATGTGTGACCGTGGAATACCTTTTTGACGCATCAAAGAGTACTATGCTCCGAAAAAACGTAAGTTATTTCGCACAATCTCATTGGCAATTTCTTTTGATGCGCAAACTGGGGCCCTCCTAGCCAAGCCCAGTATCTGGTCTCTCTATAATAGTCTCCAAAGAGACAAAGAGTTTCTTGACGACACAGTGAACAACATGGACTCATTTCTCACTTTCGTATGTGAAGTATTCCCGTGTGGGAAGCAATGCTAAAAGTCTGCAGGCGGGTCTCTTCTCGGCTATTGTTGTCGCATTCATCCTTGAAACTTACAGACTTTTACTGCCCGATCAAAGCGGTCTGATCAAACAGCTCTTCACTTCCCAAGGATCAAAAATTGGGCTGTCACCAGAATCCCGACAAGGAGGAACCAATAAGCTATCGCAACATGCAGTTTGCATCAACGGCCTCTTTTTCGCCAGCCTTTCTGCTACGCTTTCAAGTGCACTCTTCACAATGCTGCTCAAACTGTGGATCTTTCAATCATATCAAGCTCTTGAGCGTTTGTCGTCTCCGCGTATTCGGGCACGTACTCGGCAGCAAATTTACAACACGATTCGGAAATGGGGAGTTACATATCGCATCGCAATTTTGTCCTCCCTTCTTCAGATCTCCCTCTGGCTGTTCTTGATCGGCCTGGTCTACCTCCTCTTCTTCATCAACACTCGCGTCGCTGGCACTGTTCTCGCTTTCCTGATTACCAATGGCGTGTTCTGTGTCATCTATCTGGAGAACACAGTATTGGTGGACGTGAAAATTTATGCACCTATCACACAGTTTTTCCAGAATCTATTTCGGGGTATGAAGCGAAGAATCCGCTCGCGTGATAAAGCAGGAGACGCAGGGGATGAGGAAACAGCAGGAGGTGAAGCAGTGGATAAGTCAGCAGATGACAGTCTTCAACGTGACAAGATACTTGCGCTGAAACAGGACCGGTACGATACATTGGACGTAGAAATTGTTGTTTCAGCAATGGAAGAGGCGGATCGGTTGATGGAAATGGGTACCATTCTTCAGTGCTTTGAACATCTCATGGAATTCGATCTTGTCGCACAGGAGAGACCATCAGCCTTCTTCCAACGGTCGATACTTCGCAATCTTCCTCAAGCGCTGGAGGTTGGTATTGTGAACCGCCCACGGTGGGATAATGGTCAATTTGAGGATGCTATCATGCTTTGTCGATTCCTCGACTGGTATCTTTCCTTGCGGCGTACTGCACAGGAAGAGAAGAGGCTACGACATCACCTCACATGCCCGCAGTCAATACTACCAGCCACGTTATGCAGGTTTGGCATTAAGAAGGGGGACGTCAAGGCAATGCTGTACGGCCAGATTGCCGCCTGCCGACTACATCACCTTCTGCAATCGGATTCAGTGTCTGAAAAGTTTTGTTTGGAAGCGGCAGTGGCAATTTTCAAGCAAATCAACAAGGCACCCGTGGCACTTTGGATTCCTGACCCTATCTTCTTTAAGCTGGTGGATCGTTATCTGTCAGCCCTTACAGACTGCATGTCTCGACATCTACATCATTTGACGGGTAATCGGGCCCAGGAGCTCTTTGCGGAGACAGTCGAGCAAGGAGTGGCCCTGATCGAGAATATTCGGCATCCAAAATATTATCACAAACTTTTGGAGCGCCTCAGGCGACAAAATTACGTAGATGGTTGCCCCGCTCAGAGGTGGCAGAAAGCCCTTAGTCACGCAATTGAATTAGCAATCGAGAAATCTTCTGACCAACCACTTCATCCTACCCGTGTTCCTCAAAAACCGCTTTATAATATCGGACAGTGGCTTTCTATGGAAGACATTGACGAACTGTTTGACTTCTAGCATTTAGTTCCACAAGAGACCACGGGACCATTTTCCTGCTGTGGAGTCGAAATTAATCTTCATATTTACATTCAACTAGACACCCTATAATCAAAATTGGTTTGGACGGCCGAAGGAGATTGCACATTCAGGTGACGAGACATGATGACCTCGGCTGCCAGTACACACTAATGATATGAAACGAGTATATGTTTGCTATAAATTCTTGACGCGATGCGGTTCGGATCGGTCCTCATGTCATTCACCCATCTTACCTATTTTATCTTTGGTTCCCCGTATAAAATAGAATAATTAAGTTTGGGTCATGTGTATAAGAGGGCTTCCAGCCATCCAGTCACTGTTTCTTACCGAATACCAAACTCAGGTCCCTAGCTGTAATTTCCAACGATGTTATATACTAGTTTCTATAGCATGGACAGAAGCCTCTTGGTAATTACCTGTATTCGAAGTGACCAAGAAGAGTGCGATGCAACGGAGGCTGGTACGAGACCTCGTACGTCCGCTCGTACGAAGGAAAGGCGATTGATAAAGCATAGGTGATATCAAATCAGTTTGGGTATTCGACATGGATGGTGTGTGGAGCAAGCAAACAGCCCAGCCTGCACGCGAGGGTCAGGAGCATGGCTGGTGAACTATATAAAGGGCAGGCAGTGAAGAACTGGGAGTCAGCACGATGATCCAGGCTTCCATCCACGGCCTCGTCTGATGGATTATTGGATGTCGAGACCACCGGCCACCCAGATCGAGGCCCACTCATTGAGCCATAAATTAGGGTCCGCCAAAGTGAGTTGAATCACTGCTCATTTCTGTTTCCTGGAATGTTTCCCCGCCGAAGATATCTACATCATCGTAAGAATACACTCTGAACCATTGGACGCTCTAACGAGTTAAAGCCCGCTCTCTATCTCATTCACGACGATGTGAGTATGCTAACGGTATGCACCTCTTGAGAACTCAGGGCTACTAGTTTATGCAGAGCGATTCAACCACGGAATCTATCCAAACGATGAATTAGACTGGAATGTTGATATATGGGATGCGTATAACGCCCGTAGTGAGATTGAAGACGCAGACTTTCTGGACGAAACGCTGAGTAGCATGGACGTGCTCCTCGTCTTCGTAAGTTCTCCCAAGACAGAAAAGCCAAACTAAATATCAACAGGCAGGTCTTCTTTCCGCCATACTCACGGCATTCATCATCGAAACATACAAAATTTTGCAGCCAGACCGAAGTGGAGTATCATCACCTAACGAGTTCACTCCACCCCAATATGCCGTGCGCGTGAATGCATTCTTCTTTGCTAGCCTCTTCACAGCATTACTCAGCGCGCTTGCTGCAATGTTGCTCAAGCAGTGGATTTCGTACTACACCCAGGGCCTCAAGCGCATCTCCTCAAAGCAGATTCGCGCACGTACTCGACAGTTTCGATACGAAGCCATTCGAAGATGGAAGCTCAGAGGGCTCGTCATGCTCGTGCCCAGCATTCTTCACCTTTCCCTCTTCCTATTCTTCCTTGGTCTCGTCGACCTCCTCTTCTTTATCAACAAGAAGGTTTTTGGCATTGCTACCGCACTCGTCATTTGCACCGGGGTCTTTTACATGTTCACCAATCTGGCGCCTCTGGTGTCGGAAAGCGCACCCTTTCATTCACCCCTTGCAGAAGGACTCAGAGGTGTAGCAGGGCAAGTAAAGCGATTGAATATATATTCACCGCACGAACTTGCAGTAGCAAAGGATGTGGAAAAAGCCGGAGATGAGACAGTCGAGAATCCGGCGGATCTTATTTTTCGACATGGTGAACCACAGGCATTGATGATTCGACGGACACCAACGCTGGACGTTGACGTGGTAGTCCAGCTTATGGAAGGCGCAGACAAAACGACGGAGGAGTACCTTATTGACCACTGCTTCGAGAAGCTCATGACCTTCAAATTCATGGCAAGGGAGAACCCATCTACATTTTTCCGGCCATCTATTCCTCGCATTTTTCACCAAATGTCTGGCACATGTCTGACAAAGGACCGCCAGAAACTGCTACAATCGCGAGTACAGCATGCCACTCTACTTTGTCGATTTCTCGACTGGTACTTGACTCTACGGCGTACCACTGCACAGGAGGAGTGGTTACGCCATCTTTTCTCAGAGATAGCATTGCCACAGCTGTTGCATGATCACTGCGTTGCAAACCAGGATATCGTTGGCATGCTACGAGGTCAGACGGCTCATTGTCGACTACAGCATCTTCTGGAGCCAGGTGGTGGTTCCTGTTCGGCCTGTTTGTCGCAGACATCCGTCATGTTTCAATATTTTGAGAACGTGCCGGACAAAATCTTCGATGATGCTTCATTCAACGCTGCCGACGATGCATCATTGCTAGACGCAATAAATCGATATCTATTGTGTCTCACTGAATGCATAGCCCATTCTACACAATTAGGCAAGGTAGATCGGGCGGGTCCCGAGCTTGTGGACACCACCCGGATGGCAAAGAAAATCATCTCGAAAACTGGTGCAAACCCGACATTCTATCGCGCCATTTCTACCCACCTCTCGAGGCAGAATTATGTAAATAATCCACTCGCTGAGATGTGGAAGACGGCTCTTCTCGATGCAATCAAGAAAAGTGTTCGCCTCGACATTTTCTCGCCTGACGGCGAGCGCCTTACATTCCGTGAACATCCTCGGGTGATTCATATACCTCCGAGTGTGCAGAGTGTGCCATTCCAGATTCGTCAGCCTCGAGATTGGCAGAAAGCAGACAACTACGTTGATGCGGAAATTATTCGCCGAAACAATCACATATTGTCGTCCAACGACCCATGACGGCCTCAAAGATCAACTGGAAGGGAGTGGCAGTGCCTCAATGTAGATAATTTTAGTTGACCCGAATAAAGTGACAAAAAAAAGATCCTATTGCACAGTCGGTCCTACATGAACGCTTGAGCAAAAATTCTAAAGGTACTCTCCTTTCGTCGAAATATCTTGACATCCTGGGAAGCATGAATCTTGAGCTGCGGCGATGCGTCGTCCGTATCGTCAAGGTACGTGTCGTTTCGTGTCGTCGTGCTTCCTTGCTTGCTTGTATTTTGATCTTATAATGGTATCTATTTCTTATCAGTATTCCGTGTAAGGGGGTCCTCAGGCGAGGCAGGCGTGGGTGTGGAGTGGCCTTGGGTGGGATGGCGGGACAATCCTATCTCCCTAATGCGTCGCAGTTTCCCTATCCACGCCAGTTGAGAAAAGCTGATGATTTTCGATTGCCATACTCTGATCCTTATCTCCTGGCTGGTTGTGTGCATTGCATATTTCGCCGCTATACGGTTGCAGTGGTGGAGAGAGACTTCAGGCTCTTCACCACCCGTCTTGGGGCGGCATGATATCGTTGCCAAATGCGTCTCTATTAGCTTATATGTACATCTGGTGGAACTACCCGTCCTTCTTTCTCGCGCAGCCCATTGAGACCTTCGGTCACGTCTTATACATTGACTAATACACGTATCGGAAATTGGGATTCTGACGGTCCGTCAAATCCGCAAAAGCCGTCTCCTGCGAGTCAGGTACGGGTCCCTCCCGACGCTCAGCAGCGAGTCTGTCCTTGGCCTTGTTTGCGCGTACAAACATGATGCGGAAGAGGACAAAAAGTATGAGCTCTAGACAATTTGCGACGAGCATGGCGCCGATACCGAGTTTGTAACCAGGCGCTTGCTCCGACTTGAAGAAGAATGGACCGGCAATGTTTCCAATGCACGCTCCCATCCAAATGATCGCAGATGTGAGTTGCTTCTTGGTCTGACCACCCGTATTCGAGGTGATCAATGAGAGTGCGATTACAAACGACGCCTGGTACGAGCCTTGTTCCAATATGTTAGAAGATACGAAGATAATATAATTTTGACAACGTACCAGTGGCATAGAAGCAGATTAGGCGTCCAACATATGCCGTGTGTGGCGCGAGGAGGAAGCCGAGGCAGCCAGCGATTGTCGGAAGCATGAAGAGCATGCATACGAGCGTGCGTGAGTTATTGGGCAACTTGCTGTTGAGGTATGCGCCAGCAGAGATCCAGATGACAACGAGGGCGCCTTGTGGGATCCCCAGGAGGGCCGTGTGGAAGGTGTCAAAGCCGAGACCTTTGATGATGAGTGTTGAGAACTAGTAGAAAAGCTTATTAGGGGACAGAAGAGTGCTAACCACTTACATTGGAGATTCCACCATTTGGAATGTTTGCCACAAAGCCGAGAAGGAAGAACATGTAGCTCTTGATATCGGTCAAAAAGTCGATGACGTGGTCTTTCTTGATCTTGCGATTGTCGATACCAGTCTGGTTCTTCGCTACGCGAGCAACAAGGAAAAGACGGTCATCACGGCTGAACCACCGCGAGGTAGCAGGCGAGTTGGGAAGGAGAACGAAGAGAATGCAAGCCCAAAACGAGCAGATTGCCCCCACGATAAGGAATTCATAACGCCAACTGGCAAGTGCTCCACGAATGTGGCCACTGAGTGCATGTCAGTCAACACGACTCTACGAGATGGGAGATACGTACATTGCGTATCCCAGAAGTCCGCCAGCAGCCACACCGACACCATTCCACACATACCACATCGCTATGGCCTTGGGTTGTTCGCTCCGGAGATACCACGAGGTGGTAATCAGCATGAAGCTGAGAGCATTTGAGCGACGGCAGGGGTGGGGGAATATGTACGCACGCTGGATCCGCGATCGATTCGGCAGCACCACTAATGACTCGTAGAATGACCATGTCGGTGTAATTCTTCGCACCAGCTTGGGCCCTCGCTGGTTGTAAGCGACTATGCGATGAAAATAGACACTCCGAGCTCACATCAGGAATGCTCCCCAGAGAAAGATATTAATGGCCAGATATGAGCCAGCAGGGGAGCGTTGCATCAACAGATTCGATGGCATTGCCCAGACGAGCCAACCCTGACGGGTAATCAGTCAGGCTAAATGAGGGAAATGACTACGAACAAAGTAGAAAACACTATCAAAGCATTAGTATCGCACAGTTAGGTATGACGGGACACATACGAGCTAAGCCAAGAGTAGCGAGTACCATAGAGGTTCAGGTCAGATTTGATACCAAAGATAGCCGCGTAGCTGAGGGTCGTTTTATCGACTATGGAAAGTACAGTAAGCGAGGGATCTTCCCGAAGGAACATGATGTACCGTAATAGAAGAGGTAGCATATCCCAAGCTGGGGTAGAATAATCCAATCGATCCTCTTCCTCAGTCGCTTCTCTCGGACTGGATCGATATCGCCTTTCCCGCCATACTTTGCAAGAGCCTGTCCTTGGTCAACAACGACGACACAAGGTCTTTCAAGCAAGAACATACTTCGCGATAGAAATCTGAGTCGTCACTTTTTCTCCATGCACTGAGCCAACCTCTAGTGGATTCGGCGGGAACGACATCTTCTTGGAGGGAATAAGACGCCTTCTCGTCAGGGGTGGAAGTTCCTTTCGACATGGCTATAGGCAAGGTGAGGGAGAGAGGATGGATTTCAGCTTCTCTAGTTGAAACGGTGTCCTTTATACTACAAAGAAAACGCTGGCGCCGGTCCGCGGATAGCCGTACGGGGCAGAAGCCGAGATGGTGGGGTATAGTAAAGCGACCGACCTATACTGACGACGTCAAGTGTGCCTGAATTTTAAGGCTAGAACCAACGGTCCAGGACCGGCATCCGAACGCAGCACGACGTTACCAGCGCGCTCTGACAGGTAGATCATCGATCCAGGGGTCGGCAGATAATCCTTTGTGGGCTCTTTATGTCGCAAAAGATAGTATTCCAATCGAGTAGGACCGAATTGGCTATCGCTCTCTCGCCGGGAGAGCCAGTGGGAAGGCTTGCCGAACGATAAGAACATCTCTCTCGAGATTACAGTTAGGCGCGCAAGTAGGTTGAACCGCATTCTCAATTGGTCGAGCGGTCCGGGACGCAGCAAGAGGGCTCGTGATAGAACGCTGCCGCAGGCTCCGAGAGTCATAACTGTACTTGAATGCATTCTCCACGCGAACATTCAAGACCCCACAACTCGATCATTGGTCTGGCGTCCAGCTCCTCCGGCAAAACGTAGAGGCGTTTTTGTTCCCGGCCGCAATGGGTACGTTTTCCCAGTTTGAACCATAAGCAGTTGAATTCTGATTGATTTTACAGATTATCAGGTATGCATTCATGTCGCGTTTCGGGAATTGCCGCTTTGACGCTCGTCTTTACAGAATCGCGTTGGGTCCAAGTTTGGCGGCGGAGGTGTCGCGGGCGCGTCAGAGACAAATGTCGATCGTCGAGAGCGGTTGAGAAAGCTTGCATTGGAGACGATTGATTTGGCAAAGGTGCGCTCCTCCAGCTTTTACTCTTTCAACTTTTGCTGACATGGCTACGTTTTGATGCGCGTTTGATCAAATTGATTACAAATAGGATCCGTATATTCTGAGGAATCATCTTGGGTCATTGGAATGCCGTCTGTGTCTCACGCTGCATACCAATGAGGGCTCTTATCTCGCGCACACGCAGGGTAAGAAGCATCAGACAAATCTCGCCCGGCGTGCTGCCAAGGACATGAAAGAATCCTCGCTCTCTGTCGCACCTCCTCCAAATACCGTCCAACGCAAACTCTTTCTGCGAATTGGCAGACCGGGATATCGAGTGACCAAGATTCGAGATCCTGACGGTACGGGTGGAGAGCCGAGAGCAGAGGGGTTGCTCGTCCAAGTCTACTTGCCGCAGATCAAGGACGGTGTCATCCCGCGCAAGAGGATCATGAGCGGTTGGGAGCAGAAAAAGGAACTCCCGAATCGCAATCACCAGTATCTCATCGTAGCAGCAGAACCTTATGAGACGATTGCGTTCAGGATTCCACCGAGGAGAATCATGGAAGAGGACGAAGACCAGTTTGGTTGGACATGGTCCCACTGGGACAAGGACACGAAGCAATTTAGCTTCCAGTTCATGTTTGCAGAGTAGTTTGATCTTTGGCTTTACATGTACCGTACATTCTCCTAAGCCAATCTCTTTTACGCTCGAAGATGCGATGCATGATCTGTAAGGAGTCAGATGAGGAGTTATGGCAGGTTGAGCACGTACACTTGATATGATCGGATGCAAACGTCGAAATCTAAACATTCGTTAGTACAGGCATACCTCGACATATTTGACCCACAAAGTAATAGCTATGATCATATCCCTCTTGTTTACGAATGTTCACTTGGTTCTCATTGAAACCAGCATTCTGTGCTGCTTGAGACAACGCTTCAGGAAGGAGTTGACCATCCTTGAGAAACTGGTCTTGAGCTCCCTGAAGCAAGATTACTTTAGCCAGTCGATATGAGCGTGCAACTTACATAGTCGATTAGGAGCGCAACGTTACTTCTTCCCTTGGCCTTTTCAAGCAGACGAGAGGCATCGTACTTTTCGCCTTCCTCGACGCCACCCTTGAGATAATTTGAAAAGGCCTTTATACCCCACGGAGACTTGGTCGGGTTGCACACAGGGGCGAAAGCTGATGCAGAGCGATATTGTAATGTCGCAAGGAAGAGAGTAAGGGCACCATGGCCTCCCATTGAGTGGCCCATGATCGACTGCCGGTTCATGTCCTACCAGGCGTGACAGATGGGCTGCAGAATTTGATATTCAGACTTACAAGTGGAAGTTGGAGGTCGTTGACCAACTTCGGGAGCTCTTTCGTGACAAAGCTAAACATTCGGTAGTGCTTCGCCCATTTGTCTGCGGTGGCATCGAGGTAAAAGCCAGCGCCGGTTCCAATGTCCCAGCTATCCTCTTCACCGACGATTTCTGCTCCGCGAGGCGAGGTATCCGGGAAGATCATCGCGATCCCTTCTGCAGCCGCGATGCTCAGAAAGTTGCCTTTCCAAGGCCCGGTGTCCTCGTTACATGTTAATCCTGCCAGATAATACAGCACTGGGAACTTTTGTCCCTCCGTGTGGGCTGGAACAAAGACGTTGAATTGCGTCGTGAGCCCACCCAACGACTCGGACTGTCTACCATATAAGTTTCAGAGAAATCTGTCGTATATTTACTGACGGTAGCCTTGTATTTCGTGATATAGCCCCCAAAAGCCTTATTGCTCGAAACTTCTGTCATGACGATGGCCAAATGTGAAGCACCACTTGGGTTGATCTGGTCTGAACACACTAAGATAATCAATTAGGTCGGCTATTCAAAAGTCCAATAAGTCTTTATAACCAGAAGACGAAAAACTAGAGAGATGGGTTCGGTGGAGCGTAGGTCGGGGGCTGCCCCGACTTGTATTTGTGAACATAGTCTTCTCCTCTTGTCCAACCGCCGACATCTTCCACACGCTTTTCAACTACGGGCTTCCATCGTTTGCTCGCCAGCAGCTGAGCATCCGCGCTTTGATCGGTCTCGTTGTTCCACCTCTTCAGTGATTGCTCCTCGAGTTCGAATCCTCTGCGAATTTCGGATGAAGACGGGGAGAAGACGGCTCCATACGCCTTGGCTTCGAGGTATGCAATGTGCGACGCGACTGTATGCTCGGACCGCAGAGCGGCGTACTGTTGGCATGCTGTCCTATACGCTTGAGAGAGTGGCAGATTGTGATGGAGGTGCAGGGAAACAGCAAAGTTGATACAGCTACCGCATACGGTTAATAAGAGAGTCGGAGCACGTGGTGCTGCAGTACTCACTCTTCAGAGTTGGGATTACGACCTCTTTGTCGTAATCTTGTCCATTCCTTCCCTTGAACAGGGTGTTCTAGGGCGAGCTGTCTTTGCTCAACAAGCGACCGCGGTCGGAACGCCTCGAATGGATGGTCGAGGAAAAATCTTCTTCGTACTTTATCTTCTAAATAAACTATTGGCATGGTCTTGGGCTTTGCTTCCCGGCGTAATCGTTCGACCCCTGTCGAGGATGTTTCTGCTGCATCCTTTGAGGCCAAGTCAGCATAAAGCTACATAAGGGAGAGCCAATTACTTTAGAGTTGGCCCATTCTGCCTTTGCTTGAGCTCCTGTTGGGAGGTCGAATGCAGACCGCTTGACAGCCTGTCGCGGAGGGAGGGGCAATGGGGGGAACTGTGCGACAGCATTATACCACAAAGGAGGTTGCGAGAGTAGTTTTCCTTGTATCAGACGCGTCGCAGCGTGATGAACTTGGGTTGGAACCTTTCGTCCCATATCGTTTAAAGCAACTGTGGGTGTGGATAGAGGTTATCCAAGTCTAGATTTGCTTCTGGTTTGATTGTTCAACGAATGGATCCAAAGGCAATGGTAACCTTGGAAGTAGTAGACTCCAAGGTTGTGGTCGCAATTTTTCAAACCTCGCCACCTCTTTGGAGCAATGCCCAGCATCACTTTGGGCAGGAAGAGACCATCAGAGGCAATAGTCGAGAATGGAGTAAAGCCTAAGAAGCTCAAGTTTACAGACGACGGGGCTGCAATTGCCGTTGCTAGTGCCCCCACGCAGAGCTCATCAAGAGTCAAGCCCGACTATGGAAAGCTCACAAAAAAGATGTCCAATGTCGACAAAACGTCGCCGGAGCGAGCAAAAAAGACTAGCGACACGACCGGCAAAGCGAGTGGCAGTAGCATCCTTGTTCAAGGCGAGATCGACTTTCCTCGAGGAGGTGGCTCCTCATATACTCCTTTTGAACATAAGAAACTACGCGAAGAGGCCATTCGAGAAGCAGACTCTCAGATTTTCAAGGTGTTTTACTTCGTCCATCACTAGAACAGTTTTTCATGCTCTGATAGGAGTCCACGAGTTCTTTGAAGAAGAACAAAAAGCGTTCTCGAGATGGAAAATCTAAGAGTGGCGACCTTGACGAAGAAGATCTACAAAACAAGGATAGTCTTCGAATACAGCACCTTAGTTATAAAGTCAGTGCCTATTGCACATAGTTAGTGTCCTGACTTCGATACAGAAACTTTTGCCCGGGACGAGGATTCTTGGTCAGGTCATTGCTATCCTCCCCTTCTCCATCGTACTTTCGCTGCCGCATCAAATGGTGGGACACGTACCAGTAGACAAGGTATCGCATATTGTGAACAAAGCTATGGATGAACTAGGAGACGACGGCTCAGAAAACGACGCCGACGAAGAAGAAAATAGCACGAGCGACGAAGAGGAAAAAATTAGCAGGATCGCAACTCTGGAAGATATGTTTACCATCGGACAATATGTTCTTGCGGTCGTCACAGCGGTTCACCCACAGGGCGTTGTTTTTACTCCCGCATCTGGAGCGAGTGTGGACCTTGGCAAACCACAGAACGAGCTCGACAGAGCCAGTAGGCGATTAGAGCTGAGCTTACTTCCTCAACAATTCAACGCTGGGTTATCCGGTAAAGACCTCATTAAGGGCCAGGTAAGGGTTGTCATCCTTAAGGAGGTAACCTAATGCTACTCTAGGTCCTCCCAGCGGTCATAACCAGCGTCGAAGATTATGGATACACTCTCGACTTTGCGATTGCGAACATTTCCGGGTTTTTGCCATTCCAACATGCGGACCAAGATGACAATTCGCAAGAAGTTCCCCACAATATGAAAATTGGCACGTGGCTTGCAACTACAGTAGTGAAGATGGAGGATAATGGAAGGGTCTGCAATGTTGGGATAGGGAGTAAAGTTCCCAAGGCTGAAGTGAGTCGTATTTCTCCAAGTTTTATATTATGCTAACAAGCACAAGCTTTCAACGCTCCCATCAGCCTCTGCTGTTCACCCCGGTTGTCTTGTCAAGGCGATGATTACCGAGTCAGCCCCAGAAGGACTGAATGTTCAGGTATTGGGACTCTTCAGCGGGACCATCCATCCTCTCCACGTGTCCCCGGGCGCCGCTTCGACTGCAGTCGGCAAGAAAATCAAGGCTAGAATTCTTTGGGATATTCCAGGAACAGAACCAACTCAGTTTGCGCTCTCCACTCTCCCCCATATCCTGTCTCTCCGCCCCCGGCTGCTTACTTCACCGAACGACGGAGAAGAGAGCCAAGATTTACAAGCAGTCTTCCCTATCGGGACTATACTGGATGCTGTGAAAGTTGCTCGAGTTGACACCGACCGCAGTCTCTTTCTCCAGGTCACGGAAGGTCTACTCGGTACAGTTCATGTGCGTCTATCTGACCCAAGAAAACACAAAGAAAATACGTGGTTGACTCTCGATAGATATCTGATGTAGCCGATGAGCATGTTGCTTCACTCCCGGATTCATCAGGACCGTACAAAGTGGGGACTGTCCAGCGGGCTCGTGTGATAGGTCATAACCCTTTGGACGGCACATTGAGGTGCTCTATGAAAGAGAGCGTTCTCAGTCAAAAGTGGCTCAAGGCAGATGATATACAAGTTGGATCGTTGGTCAAGGTAGACTCTCTTTCGCATGCCACAATAACGTTCACCGGGAAACAGGGCACAGTTATCAGCCTCAATGAGAAGGGGTTGTTCGTATCTCTTTCTGGAAACGTGCATGCCATCGTGTGGCCCAACCACTATGCGGATATCCCACTCAAACACCCCGAAAGAAAGTTCAGAGTTGGAAAGTTGATCAAATGCCGTGTAATTGGTTTATGTTTCCCCATTATAGGGTATACTAACGGCAGCATAATAGGTGCTCGTTGTCGATCCCGCGCAGAACCGTATTACATTGACAGCCAAAAAGACTCTGATGGAGTCTACCCTACCTATCATTTCTGCCATCGAGACTAACCTTGTAAACGCAGTCACTCATGCGATTGTGTTCAAGATTTCAGAACGAGTCTTGACCGTCGAATTCTACAACAACGTGCGTGGCATTATCCCTTATAAAGAGGCTCTGTGAGTATATTATTATAGATTTCTGGCTGCTTACCTCCTATCAGCGAAACACTTGGACAAAACCTTGACCAAGCCTTCAAGATTGGTCAAGTGGTCAAAGTTCGAATTATCGAGGTCAAATTGGAGGCTGGCATACTCGTCGCGAGTATCATCAAGGCAAATTCCCCCGTGGGTCCGTCGAAACAAGACATTCTTGCCATGACAGAAATCGGGCAATCTGTTTCTGGGACAGTCTCAGACATCCATAAAGAGCACGTAGCCATCACCCTGCAACCATCAGGTGCACTCGCATTGCTCACGCTCAACAATCTTGCAAACGCTCGTGACACGTCCATTGCGCAATTGCGCTCCTCTCTGAAAATTGGAGACGATTTAAGAGACTTGGTTATCGTCTCGAAGAACTCAGAGAAAGGCCTTGTCATCGTCGTAGTCAAACCAAAAGACAACAGCAAAAATATGTTTAATCTCAACGACCCGAATCTCAAGCTCGAGAACTTACAGCTTGGACAAAGAGTTACAGGGGTCGTTTTGAAGCATAGCAAGAAAGGGGCGGTCATCAAGATGTCGAAGCGACTATACGGATGCTTGCATCTTACAGAAATCTCGGATGATTACTCGACACACCCCAAACTACCTCCAATAGATTCCGTGGTCACTGCTGCAGTGGCCAACGTCGACAAAACGCATCGACTCCTTGATCTTTCTATTCGCCCATCCCTCCTCGAACCTCAGACGCAATCACTCATCGTAGATCCGCGGATCAGAAGCTTCGCAGAACTGCGCATAGGGCAAAAGGTCCGAGGCTTCGTGACAGAAGTGGTCGACTTTGGCGTATTTGTGGCGCTATCGCCGTCACTCGACGCCAAAATTCCTGTGAAGCACCTTTTCGATGTCGTGAGTCTCGCGAGTTGCAACAAAGTCATCACACATTAACCGATCCTGCAGTACAACAAGGATTGGAAGGGCTCCTTCACTCCTGATCAGATGGTGGAAGGGAGAATTCTTCGGTGGGTACAATCCCATCACCAAGTCTGACTGACGCCTCCATAGGATAAATGTGGATAAGAATCAAGCAGAAATGACTCTCCGTTCGGGGGAAATTACTTCTCTCGCAACCAACGTGACCCTGTCGGACTTTTCCAAAGGGCAGAGAGTAGACGGTGTTATTCAAAACATTGCGGAATACGGTGTTTTCATCCAAATCAAAGGTTCAGATATTAAGGGTTTATGCCATCGCTCAGAGGTAATGCGCGAATTCTTATCCACGAGCTGCTTTTTGACCGTCCATTAGTTGGCAGATCCTAATGGCCCATCGGCCGATGAGATGCTCAAGACTTTCAAGAAGGGAGATGTCGTCCGCGCTTTGATTATTTCAGTCGACGCTGAGAAGAAAAGGCTTGGGTTCAGCTTGAAGCCATCACATTTCTTCGATGAGGAATTGGAAGATGTCGAAATGGCATCAGGAGGAGAGAATCAAGATCAAAATTCAGACGACGGGTCGGAAATTGTGATGAACGGACAGGAGCCAGACGAAGAGGATTCGGGTGATGAACAGGAGCAGGTGCGTTATCAAAATCAGCAGCAGCGTATGTTTAACATTGAATGACTTAGGATACAGATGGTCATTCTGAAATCACCCGCGAACCTGAAAATGAGATGGGAGCTCCAGCAATCAACCTTGCAGCCCCCCTCCGATGGACCGTTGCTAACGATGCGGAAGAGGACGAAGCAGAAATCTCGTCCGATGAAGACGATGGAGGGCCTGCTCGCAAGAAGCGAAAACGCAAGCACGAGATTTTACAGGATCTCACCCTCGATCTCCAGAGTCGAGCCCCACAATCCACAGCCGATTTTGAGAGACTATTACTGGCTTCACCCAATTCTTCATACCTTTGGCTACAGTTTATGGCGTTCCAACTCCAACTCTCCGACATTGAAAAAGCACGCGAAGTCGGCCGTAGAGCACTCAAAGCGATCAACTTTAGAGAGGAACAGGAGAGACTGAATGTTTGGATTGGCCTGCTTAACCTCGAGGTTACGTATGGAACCGAAGCGACCCTGGATGCTATCTTCAAGGAAGCCGCCAGAGCGAACGACTCGAAGACGGTTCATTGGCGACTCGCCTTACTACTCGACGATGCGCAAAAGCCAGAGGTGAGCCTTGCCCTTGGGGAGTGAGTCGTGTCGCTGAATTTAGATTAGCAAGCGGAGGAACAGTTCCGGAAGAGTTGCAAGAAGTTTGGATCCAGTTGCAAAGTTTGGACCCTTTTCGCTGAGCACTACTTCAAGAGAGGCATGCCAGAGAAGGCACGAGAGCTTCTTTCAAAGAGTCTGCTGAGCCTCGAGAAACGCAAGCGTGCGTCCATATCTCACCTCTACGTGCTTGTTCTCACCCTGATCCAGATCTGAAAGTGGCTTCAAAGTTTGCCCAGCTGGAGTATCGTATGGGAGATCCAGAACGAGGGCGAACGCTGTTTGAAGGTATTGTCGATACGCATCGAAAGCGATTGGATCTCTGGAATATCTACATTGACATGGAGACGGGTCAACGAGATATTCACAGAATACGGTACGAGTAGTCCTCTACCTCACGATTTCGAGGCTCAATTCAACATAGAAACATCTGCGAGCGTGCCATCACTCTCAAATTATCAAAAAAGAAAGCCAAATTTCTGTTCAAAAAATGGCTAGAGTTAGAAAAGCGACTAGGCGACAAAGAAGGAGAGGCACTCGTGAAGGTCAAGGCGGTCGAGTGGACTCAAAGTAGCACGCAATCTGCACCAGAATAGGTATTAACTTATGGAACTAGTACATGTGTAGCAGATCGAGCCTGGGAATCAACAATATCCAGGAGAAGAAAAAAAACATGGAAGGACACGGTTTGAGAGAAGAAAACGCAATGGATGGAAAGCAGATGAAGCCGATCATCTTCTGTCGTGCTCATAATCATGGATACGCTGCACGCCAAAGGAGTTTCCGCCGTATTGGCGGTTCCAATCGTCCATACTGGCGTCAGGACTCAGGCTGGAGTCGCTGGCTCGAAGGTTGGAGCTCATAGAGTTGGGATCTTCTTTGACGTCAAGAAGGAGGGCTATCCGCTGATGGAGTTGCTCATTCTGGTGTCGGAGCGACTCGTTTTCGCGGTGCAGCTGGTCGGACGTTGACCCAACTCCTCTCGAGTGGCCAGAGTCATGTCGAACGTTGTCAAGTTCTTGTCGTAATCTCTCCAAATCGCCTTGGAGGAGTTCAATCCTCCTGTGAAGCTCTTGGTTTTCAACAGTAAGGCGTTGAGTCTGACGTTGCGCCTCAACGAGTTGAGCGCGGAGGGCGGATTCTTGACCATCGTCAGACATGGGCGTGACTCTTCCGTTGAGAGGTCGAACTCTGGATCCGGCTTCCGAGCCCGACCTGACTCCTTCCAACTCGGATTGAAGGCTGGCATTGAGGCCCTTTTGCTTCGAAAGCTCGTGCTTCATCTTTCTGAGCATACTCTCGGTCGCCTTGACACAGTCGACGGCCGCTCTGTAGTCGTTCTCCAGCACATGCAAACGGTCGCGATGCGCACTCTCAGCCTCTGCCAATCGGCGCTCGGCATCGACAACCCTTGCGTCGCCCGTACCGTCCGAACTCTGTCGCTCCTTGGCGCGAGCTAACTCTGCTTGTAGAGCAGCAACCTTTTCTTCTGCGAGTTGCGATTGCTCTCGAGCGTTTCGAAGTTGACGAGTCAGTGCGTCTTGCTCCCGTGATCGTTCCGCAAGCTGCGTTTCGAGCTCGAGCATTTTAGACCCGTTACCGCTATTCCCGGAGATTTCATCCTCATTGACGACCACACCATTCTCCTCGAGGTAGTTGCGGAACATTTTGAAGCGAATCTCGGTATCCATCGCAGCCTTTGAGCTTTCGCGCAGCTCGGACTCTTTCTCCGACAGCTCTTTCCGCGCACGAGCAACGTCTGCTAGAGCGTTGGAGAGTTGTGCTCGAAGACCCGTCATTTGAGAACGCAAAGCAAGCTGATCGGTTTCAATAGTTCGCGCACGCAGGCGCTCCTTTCCTAGCTCGTTCTGTGCCTCTTCATAACGACTGTTGGCGCCATGAAGCATTTTGCGAAGGGACTCCATCTCCGTCTGGAGTATCCTGACTTGTTCCGATTGCTCGCGCTCATTCCTCTCCTCTCCAGCACGAAGATCACGATGATAGTCGAGTAGCTCGCCGAGGGAGCCTGTGGTCAAAGCACGCAACGCGTCTGCCTCTTCGCGCGACTTGGCAAACTTGTTTTCGACGTCCAAGAGCTGTGCCCTCATGTTGTCCACTTCTGTAATCTTTGTCTCCAAATCACGGCTGAGGTCGGCATACTCCAATTGAATGGTTTGAAGCTGCTCGTTGCTGCGTCTCCACTGTTCTTCGACTTCGTCCGCGCGTGCCGAAGCTGCCTTGAGCGCCGTCTGCGCTTGCTCCAAGGCACGCAGATGGCGATCTCGAGAAGCTCGGAGCTCAAGAAGTTCGGCGTTTGATGTCGGCTCGCCTTCGCGACCCTGCTGAGTGGATTGCAGTGACAAAATCTTTTCTGTCATGGAGCGGAGTTCGGCGGAGGCAGCAGTGTGCTTGGCAAGCAAGTCTCCATGTTCGGTCGTGGTACGATGCAGGGCCGCTTCGGCTTGCTGCGCGCGATAGTTGAGGTCATTGACCCGCTCCTCCGCTTGTTCTCGAAGCCTTCCTTCTGTAAGAAGCGATTCATTGAGCTGAGCCACCTTTTTCTCCAGTGCAACGCGATCATTCAATGCGCGCGAAACTTGCTTTTCGAGTTCCATTGCGCGTTCATTTTCCATCCGAGTCGCCTCTTCGGGCTTGCCGGCTTCATAGGCGGCGAGTTTTGCACGCCAGAATGCCGCCTCTTGGAGCGCGGCGGCTCGAACACGCTCAAGCTCGGCAATGCGTTCGGTTGCCATCCGGCCTTGATCAGCCATAGATGCCTGCATGTCATGTCAGTCAAGGGTAGCCAAATTTTGCGTGGAAACATACCTGAAGTGTCGCCCTTTCCTGCTTCAATCTGAATGCCAAGTCGACGAGCTTTCTGGCGTCGCTCGTTTCAGGCTCGTGAGTTCTATCATCATCGTCGTCCACAGGAATGTCACTCCACGAAAACCCAGCCTTGCTCGCCTTGGAGAGAGCAGCGCGCATCCATGTTTCTCGCTTCCGAAGAGTCTCCAACTCTGCATCTCTCTGACGAAGGTCGGTTTCCATTTGTCGCAGGTTCTGGACCAGATCGGCAGCGATATTGGAAGTAGAACCAGGCCTTCCTACCGCAGGCGAGCCCCGGTCCGATCCATAACCGTTCATTTGCCCTGGCTTCGTAAAGGCATCTGATGGTACCACAGGCGATGGACTTCTAGCCGTATTGGCGTTTCGACCAATTCCCATCGAGTTTGGCCCAGTTGGCGACATTGATCGACCGAATTGTTGAGTCGGGCTCTTGGATCTGTTTACATTGTCGGGGTTCTGCTTTTTGAGACGTGGGTCTTGACCTTCAGCGTCGCTGGTACCGATTCGCACCTCTGCTAGGTCGTTTGCGCCTATTTCGTCCCGCGGCGGTCGAGTGGGCGGTCGCTTGGAAGAAGGATTCGCAGCAGCAGGGTTGGGAAATGGTTGCATCTGCATTTGCATTCCATTGTTGATCCGTGAGCCGCCAACTGGTGACATTCCCCGTCTCCCATCCTCTGTGTCGGAGCTGACAGGCGGTGATACTGCTCGATTGAGGCCATTGACCGGGATTCCGGATTGTGAGCCTTGATTCTGTTGGCGAACTTTGTTGCCAGATGGGTTCTTGGGATCAGGATACTTGATGTGCTCTGAAACAAAGGATTAAATTCAGGAAAGGCACGCCTTGGATACGCACTAGTATCCAACACGTGAATCATCATAGGATCGTCCGGTTTAGGAGACGTGAAGGACTCGCCCCCGAGCACGAATACGCGTGAACCAGCGGTAGCCATCGCATGGCCGGATCGACCACTGGGAGCGGGGCCCATATTTTGGAACATGAACCAACGTTTGGCTATACAACGGTTAGATTGGATATAGAATATAAGATGTCGACGAACTCGAAATTTTGAACGCGGCAAGGTCGTTCAAATCTTTTCCATCCACACCCCGCCCTCCAAAGACATACATCACATCGTCGACGAGTGCCGCCGCATGTCCCTCTCGCGGGACGGGTATATATCCAATGCATGTCAATTCTTGCCAGGTGCGGGTATTGACGTCGAAAGCCCAGGTATCGTTGTAATGATACGAGCCATCAGTACCGCCAAAGCTGAGAATTGGTGAGCATACGAAGGCATAAAGGAGACGCATCCTTACATATAAATCGTATCATCCAGCGAAAGCATCACGTGGCCGGTTCTTCGTGGTGGTGGCTCGTTTCCATCGGCTGGTCTGACCAATTCCCAGAGTGGCGCCGTTTTCACTATGTATCGGTTAGAATGAAGTGAATCCGTTGGATGTCATACTTGCATGTATTCAAATCAAACGACCAGAGATCGTTGAGGAATGCTCCATCCACCTGACCACCGAAAACAAAGAAACGACTGCCGACCATTGCGACAGAGTGGCCATATCTCCCAGCTGGTGCCGGTCCGCGTGTAGCGACTCTTGTCCATTCGCGGGTTCCGAGATTGAGCAGATACAGGCCCTCATCTTGCTTGTCTGTGTCCTTTTGTTTTGTATCTCCACCCCAGACGATTAAAACGCTGCTGACGAGAGCAGATGCATGCCCCACTCGCGCTGGGGGGATTTCTCCGGTCGTCTGTACCAGGGTCGCGGAAAGGTCTCGCGTCGCAAACGAGTAGAGGTCATTACGGACAGATTCACGAACGAGTCCTCCAAAAAGGAAGAGTTCCCCAGACTGGCTCGCCTGGGGAGGAAGGGAGTGCCCGTAACGTGGGAAGGGCGAGGGAGAAGGCGCAGTGACGGGCGGGACACCTGGACGAGCGAGTAACAGCGGGGGAGGAAGTGCTATTCTCTTTGTTGACCAAGGAAACGTTGGGCGTGGTGCTTGGTTTGTGGGCGCTGGAGCAGCCTGGGGTGGTGCCGACATGCCTGGGTTTTGGGTATTCCTGTTTATATGAACCAAACACAGTCAGTGAAGCGCTCCAAATGCACAGATGGTAGAGCGAGTCCTGCTTCACAAAACGCCTCGAGCGTTATCATCATGGCCCGTGTGCTGGTGTCTCGACTTGGCCAGGGCGTGTCGAAAACGAGTCGTAGATGATCAGCAAGACCCTTTGTGCAGCATAGACAGGCTTTGAGAGTACTTGGCAGCATGTCCGAAACAATACTTACTGGTCGCGATCGCGCTGTGCGCTTCCACCGAGCGCTGTAGAGCGGTCTGCGTTATCCCGAATCTGCGCAAGGGCCTGGCTTGGTGGTTGGACTACGGTGACATTTGGAGGAGGCGCCGTAGAGGCTGCCTGGCTTGTATTCCGCTTTCTGAAAAAGCTCATGGATGAGCGCGAGAGCGAGGCGGACGGAGCTCAAGAAGAGGGAAACAGAGTCGTGAATTAAGTCCCAGAATCGGTTCCAGGATCCACCAGGCCGGTTGGGAGTGCGTCAAGAAATAGGGCGAGGGACCAAGCTAAGCTTCTTTGTTTTGGCCTCTGCGATGGCGACGTCTAGGGAGCCAAGTGCCGCAGACAACAATCTCAGCAGTCTATACGTCGACGAGGATATTCAAACTGTCGTAAATGCTTGCTTAAACGACCTCGGAAGACCCCCACCACCGTCGGTGACCTCTAGAGCTGGCAAGCACAGATCCTAATCTCCAGGTCTCGGATAGTGTCTCGTTCTTTCGTCAACTGGCAAAGGAACCTCCTATACCACCTACCAAGGAAATAGTGCAAGCCCGAATGGACCAGCAAAGGACGCGACACAAGTAAGAGGCTACCCAGCACGCACTGCCAGTCCCGTCTGACGATTCCAGAGAAGAATTAGAGATTATGTACGATGTACAGGCAAAGGCGCGAAAAGAACTACTCTTGCAGTATCGCATCGCAATGGACCATGGTGATTACTACCCAGACCCTAATATAGGAGAGCGGAGTCGCCAGAGACCAGCAAAACTGCCCCCAGAAATGTCCTATGCAAGTGCTCTTCTTTCAATATTATTGATTACTGACAACCGCACAGCCTGCCTCCATGATACAGCAGCAGTCTCTCGCCTTTAACACATCCGTGGAATGGCTCTCGCTGGCGTTCGCACAGTCCCAGTTACCTCTCGTTACTATGCTCAATGAATTAGAAGAGCGTAGGAATATCGTCTTGCCCAAGTCACTAGCCGAGTTCAATCTCATCAAAGCTCCTACCCACCAAGTACGGGTCGCACGATTCTTCGAAGGGAAAACAGGTCCTTGGGCAGGCATTGCGCAAAATTCAGCAGAGATAGAAGCTGCTTTGCTTGCGTACAAAACAGACGTGAGGGATTCCCCTGATGTTCACCCAGTAGTCTAATCCCGCTTTGAAGCCCGAATTCCAGAGAGTGGTGATCGCCTTTCTCAACTCAAAGCAATCAGTTGATCCACGAAAACGCGCCTCTATTCCGTAGGCTTCGGTCACACATGACAAACGACAAGCCAAAGAAAACTAATCCGTCGACTCTTCGATGGCAAGGGCATGAAGTTCGGTTACATAGGAGTGGTAGTTGCGATCAGAGGCATTCAGTGCTCCCTTCTCTCCTGCCGCTTGGTCTACGCCACATTGGAAGTTGAGCATCGATTTGTACTCGTCCAATGTAAACTGAGAGCGTTTCTTGATCGATGCCAGCATTTCCTGTCACGTTGCATTAGGTTTTGAACACGTAATGAAGTCGCTTTCGCACCTTGGGTGTAAGAGAGAAAAGACTATAGTACACCTTTGCCCGCTCAAAGTCGGCATCCTGAGAGGCGTCGGTGATCGTCTTCATATTCTGCTGCATCGCCAACATATTGCGCATAATCTTTTGAATGCCAACAGCATTTGCAAACCGTATGTGACGAGCATTGGATATGAGCAGATGCTCCATGAGAGTTCCCAAACCTTCGAACAGGAACCTTGGGTGATGGTTAAGGGCACGGCCATAATGCAAACTATAAGCCTACCTGCGCTCCTTGGGTGGTAATGTCTCGTTTGCACAGTCATCACAGACACCAAGGTCTAGGTTTAGATCCACAATATGAGGATCAGGGTCACCTGCGTCACGATCGACGCGATAGTTTCCCTGCAAATATTAAGCGCACACAATAGCCACATAATGTAACTGACCCTCCGCATGGCTAAATCCAGGAAATGAATTGTCCTGCATCGCGTGTCAATCCTTAGCGTTGCAAGAACATATTCGGCCAGCTGCTCGTAGGTCCTCATCAACGCGTCAAACCGCCTGATACAATGTCAGCGCGCGACCCAATGTACCAATAAACACATACAAGGCCATTGGCTTCGTTAACGGTAATCGCAATTCCTCGGATGGCGGAGCCGGGGGGAGGATGGGGAAATGCGGGGTAATCGCCGTCGCAATAGAGCTCTCCGGCTCGACTGCAGAATCTGGTGCAGGTGAGAGCGGATCCTCCACAATGACTCGCATCGAAACAAGTTGTCGCATGAACCAAATCTAAGCAAACTCTATGAGACGACCGATATTGTGCGAACGATCAACCCACCAAACTATGGAACAGGTTTCCAAGAGCATGCAGATTCTTCGAGTTCACAAGGTCATCCCTATTGACCGTTTCTGTAGTCAAAAAGTTGAGCTCGACTCGCGTTTCTTGTCGGCAGAGCCGCCGCGAGTTCGCCACATCGTTTTCCTAGTACCGTGAGTGGTGCAACAACAATCCACAAATACACTGACCGGGAGTGCATAGAGTGCTGAGACGCAAGCCGCCACTTCGAGTTTCTGGGCCCAGCGAGCTGCAACGGCTACATGGGCATCATCTTGAGAGGTGCCTTCCTTTGTCGAGACCAGTTCCCGGAAGCGATCACTACATCGCTGGTAGAATTGTATCACCACACCAAGGATTAATCTGGAATAATTATCACGGTGGAATGGCGTTGTCTGCTGCATTGCGCATAACGAGTTGATAAGGGCCATGAGCTCTGTAGCAGCTCTCACTAACGGCCTCGAGGACAATCGTTTCCAAGCCGGATCTGGTAAAAAGGCATCGGGACCTACGGCCTATCAGATCCATACATGCTATAGTGGGGATTTACGCACTCGTTACGGTCTTGATGAAAAGGCCAGCAACCTTTTCCTCAAGCTGCGGCAAGTAAGACCGCTGCACAAACTCCTCGAGGAATGCACTCGATTGCCGGACACGCTCCGACGTTGTAGATGGGAGTACTTCGGCCGCACGCTCGAAAAAGGCAAGCGTGGGATGAAACACGACGCTGATATGAAACGCATTTGGGCTGACGAGAACTTGATGTGGGACGGCACTCGCAAACCGGTCGTCTACGGCCGTCACCAATGCTGTCTGTGCCAACGTCTCAGCACCGACGAGGCCCGGGACTGAATCCTTGAGGACTCTTGTCAATTCTTCCTCGTGTCCCTTGTTCGCACGAATGGCAAGCTTTGAATCTGAGTCGCCGAACCGAAAGCTTTGCTATGTTGGAAAGGATCAGTGTTTCATTCGCAACGTAACCAGGAACGCACCCATCCTCTGTTCCTGGCAGCCTTACTCGACTGTAATGCGTCACTGATGGACGGTATGCTTGCCTTGCCGGTAGATGCACCGCCTTTTTCGACCATAAGGTACAGCATGATTAGACCACGAAGCTGCAAGAGTGTCTGTTCAATAGAAAGTCTATGTTTCAAAGAAGGTTCATACCTCAGCTTCGATCGGCTCCCACAATTCTGGGAACGGAAATAGCGTCCCTGGCTTTGCACCCGAAGAGTCCTTGAAGTCCTTTCTCTGCGGCAAGTGAGTAAACACAATGCATACTTTAAGTAGAATAACTCACTGCTCCAATACGGTTCGCGACTTCATACACCACACGCATACTTTGTCCGACAGCGTCCATCTTTGAATACAAGGTCCAAAATAAGTCTCGCAAGACTTCATGATCCGCATTACTCGCGCTGTTCTCTAGCTCATTGTATCGCAAGAGACTTGCGGGTGATTGTTCACCGGGTACTGCTCCGTCATTCGTTGAACCTTGAGGTCCCTTCGTCACCGTCTTTGGATCGATCAGAACGTATGTAGTCGAAGTCTTGACGGCGACAACATTCTCCTTGTTTCCAAAATTCGGGAGCATTCTCCGGCTAAACTCGGTGCGCTCGTTTACCTCATCGGTTGTGGCTTCAACTAGTGCATAGAGTTCCATGGGTAAACGCTGAGTGATGGTCTCCAGAGCATCTCCAAGCTTGCCTAGGATAGCCAAACTCTCGAGAATTGTTTCGAGATAGGTGAAAGAGTCGGACTCTGGGTTGTTTTGATTGTTGTCTGTAAGTGGGCCTGGGAGGGCGATTGATATACGGGAACTTTGAGAGGGGTCATATGGTGAATCGTTGGCTTTGAGGTTGAGTTCGTGGAGGAAGGTTGCGAGTCTGGTTGATCGACTATTCGGATTGAATGAGGTTGGCATCGGTAGCTTTTCCTCATCAAACTCGACGCGAGGTACTATATACTGTTTAAAGTCAAATATTGGCGAGTATGACATACGCACGAGCTTGCTGTCCTGCTTGATATGCTGCCCATCGAGTGTCACACCAGAAGACCTTCAAGTACATATGTGCTTGGAGCTCGTCGATGAGAATGTCTCTTAGTGTCTAAGGCGTGTCAGACAATGCGAACGACGACACGTTTGCGCCTACCGTCTCCTGTCCCGTCAAGTAAGCCTTCAAGTCGGACAAGGCACCAATGTCTTGCATGTCAGATTTGGTAATCATCTTTATACTTCGTATGAGTAGAGAAGACGCTTGAAGAAGTTTCTTCTCTGAGATCAAAGACTCGAGATTGTCGGGAACCGACTTGAGATATTCGCTATCAAATCTCAGCATCTCTTCCTCAAAATTGCGATCAATACTGACATTTCATCAACAATCTTGATCATCTCGTCGAGGGTTTGTCCTCGAGTCCATAATTGAGCCAAGTCTGCTCGACGGCTCCCGAGGGACTCCTTGGCTTCTATTAACTTTGACTTGCTATTCTTAATATGCTCCTGTGACTCGTTCAAAGATGTCATGATTGCGGCGTGATGTGGTAATGCGGCAGCAAATGTCTGTGCATAGGCTAACCAGATGAGAAGGCAAAACTGGATAAGTGAGAATACCACCTACTTTCTATCGATCCCTTGAGCGCACGAGCAAGCATGCGCTTAGTACGAATGAACGATTCCATATCCTTGCCGGACGAGCCTTCGTCCAGTAATGCCAATGCGAGTTCCACAGGGTTAAACTGCCGAGTTACTTAATCTTACTCTCAGAACAGGTATGTATTGGCGCACCTCGGGCTTGGTTACCCACTCCCATTCTCCCTGAATCTGGTCGAGGATGGCTATCCGATATTAATCAGAGTTCAAGACGCACGCAAAACCTCACCATCGATATCTCCCCGTCGCACCTTGCCATTCGACTGTCCGCCTCTTCTCGACGCAGCCTCACGTTCTTTCATTCGCTCCCGACGCTCTGCATCTGCCTTAGCTTGCTCCCTTCGTCTCCTTTCCCGTTCTTCACGTTGTAATTCTTCATAGTCTCCAAACCCTCCGGGAGAAACTCCTTGGGGTGACATGAATCCTCCATCAGGTGCCATTTGGCCCTCGAGCGTTCCCTTTCTCCTTGCCCGTTGCTGACCAGCCGATTGCAGAGCAGTAATAGCCGCCTGAAAACTAGGAGACGCAGCACTCTCGGGGCTGATAGGACTACGCAGGCTACTGCCATTCAACCCACGATTCGGCGTCTCAGGTTCAGACAACAAGCCCCTCTCGCGTCCATACGGATCTCTATCCGACGAGCGTCCTCCATACTCGCGATCGCGCGTCGAGCCCGCGTTGAGCGGTCGTCGCGGCTGGACTTCTCGATCCGAAAACGACGTCGAGGTCGAGTCCCTGTTCGCGGCGCGAGGAGGTCGTGCAGGTGGCATACCGCGAGAATCAGTCGAGCCCCGGCTGTTGTCAAAGTATCCACGATCCGTGCTTTGGCTTGGAACTCTGCGTAGCTCTGAACGCGATGGCCGTGTGGGGATACCGGTGCCTGTGCCATCAGACACGATACTATCCGGTCTAGAATCTTGAGAGTAGCTCGATGGTGGTGCATTGCGCAGCCTATTGGCCGCGCCTCCGTAGGGTGGCCCTCGTGACATTCAAAATTGGCCAAACCAGCGTCAAGAGAGAATAGGACACCAAGTTTTGTCCGTCCTAGTGCGTCCCCGTGGTCGTCTTTGAGTGCCACTCGGGCGAGGTTGGGTGCAAGATTTAGCCAACCAATATGGGATCCTACTTATTATTTGCTCATGGGGTCGTAAATAGGGTTGGCAGCTCTCGAAACGGAATCGGATACAATATACTGTACATGCACGACCCGTCTCAGGCAAGCGTTCGAGAGCCACTTGAGAAGAAAAAATGGGAAAAAAAATTGGAGGGGGGGAGGTCATGATCATGGAGAGAGCATATCGGGAAGCAGTAAACTTTGTGATTAGTAGCTAGTGCGGACCAGTAGCGAGCTGTTCGCAAAATCAAATGGGAGGAGACGGGAAGCAACAGACACAAAAGAGGACACAGAATGCACGAGGAGAACAAACGTTCCGCAGAATAACCAGTCGGTAAATGGTGTGTGTATCGTATATAAAGGCGGTCGGTCAAGCCCGTCCAAAGATGGCAGTCCCAACCTGAATGACAGGCCCGACGGAGAGCGGGCTGGAATCACTCTTATGAGCCTCTCCGTCTCTTGTGAGGCCTGTCATCATACTCGGCGTCATCTCCTTCCTCAGTCTTGACACCCCGGAGCCGATTTCGCCGTGCGCCTTCTTCGCCCTCGGCATCGTCAGTGTCCGTCTCTAGCGCCTTTAGATTGCGGTTGACGTCAATGTGGACACGTGAGATGTCTTTTCCGTTCCTGGCAAGTTCTCTTGCGCGATCAATCGCTTGCTTGCGCTTGCTAAGCTGACGCGCCCATGCAGTGGCCGGTCGGGCTTGGTCCTGGATGCAAAGTTTAGCAACTCAATCCATGGCATCTGTAACAAGTCGCGTTACCTTGTTGTGTATCAGCACACCGAGCTGCGCCAATTTGATGTCTGGCTGTTCCTGCACTGCTTCCCGAATGACCTTTTCGATAAGCCTGATTTCCAGTTCTGTATACGGTTCTCCATCTCTAGAACCAGGCTTTGAGGCTGTAGGGAGATCCGCGCTCGTCGGTGGCGAGTTTTGCGAGGCAGCCGCATCCGTGTTCGGCTTATTCTCGAGGCTGTTCGAGTGATTCGAACCCGGACGAGCAGTGTTATCAGGGGGTGGAAAGGCCCCATTAGCGAGGGCGCTCGATGGATACTTGGCGAGCATGGGGTAGCCCGAGCCGAGCTTTCCATTGCCCGATGAAGGCAAGCCAGCGCTCGTAGGCGTCTCTAACATTGGACTAGACGCTTCAGAGGGCAGGTCCAGATCACCAGTCGTGGCCACCGACGAGGGCGGGGCGGTCATGGTTCGAGAATAGGACGGAGGGGCCGAGGTCGGTGGCACGGATGTACTATGGGGGGTTCCAACACCTGGTTGAAGGGAGATGACAGTGGGTGGAATTCCAGACCCCATGTAGCTTGCGCCGTTGACGAGGCCACTTGCACTGGTTGTTGACATGGGAGAGGGCATATATGAAGTTTGATTCATCGAAGTCTGAGAAGCGCCTTCTTCCGACCGCAACTGCGCAACGAGTTCGTCAATTTCCTTTCGACGATGTTCATACGCATGCAGCAAGACGGTCGGGTCCTTGTGATTTGCCTGGGCAAAGAGAATGATTTGGTGTGTCTCTCGCTGGGGAGGAGCGGTCTGAAGCGCACGGGCGAGGAGATAAGCATCGAGTGGTTTCAACATGAGTTGGGGTTGTTGTTGTGGATAAGCGACTTGATGGTGATGGCCCGGATATTGAGAATGGGCATGTTGCGGATGCATCGAATGGCCTTGCATTTGCGCATGAGCCTGTTGTTGCGAGTAGTAACGCATGTTGGCGTGTTGTTGCTGGGGGTGCCAGCTCGCCGTGGGCGATTCATTACCGCTGGGAGCTCTGTAAACACCGATTGCGGGCTGCGACGGGTGATGGAGAGCCTGTTGCGGCTGCTGGGTATGCTGCTGATAATTAGGATGCTGTAGGTAAGCGTTCATCGCGCCGTTGTGGGATGAAATCTGCTGTGTGCCATACGATTGTTGTTGGTGCTCTCTCTGCGGCTGCGGCGACTCGAACACATTGGAAGACGATGCTTCGTGAGTATTTGGTGATTGTTGAGCCATTGAGGGATATCCAGAGACTGCTGCGCCGTTGGAAGAGGGCATACTGGTGGCCGCGCCGTACGATGCGCTGCTGTAGGCGGTCATCGAGTCCAGCGAGCCATATGGCCTTGCAGGATAATTCCTATGTTGATGCATCATCTCGTTTGACACCAACCACGGCCCTCAGACTCGATCCGGACGCTGACAAGCGTTTGCCTAGCCTTGGAAGCTGGCGCTAACGTTATTGCCCAAATAATGAACCACCTTGCTCGACATCAATCCACGGCTAGACTTTGCAAACCATTCTCATGTACATCTCACGCTTTTTGCTCAGTCGTGGCCAGGTTCACGCCACCGCTCTCCCCTCGCTAGAAGCTCCAGACACCTGCCCTCGATAACCTCTTCCTAGGGCCCGCCGACAGTGCCTAAGCTGTGCGTCATTAATGTGTCGATAGCATACTGCAACAATTCTCTAGCATCTTGATCTCCCAAAGGCTCAGTCCACTCCCCCCTCAACGCCAGGAGGCGGTGGGGGTCCTCCCGCGGCAGTTTTTGTCGACGAGTGTTTACGTCCAGACTTGCTTCGGTGGACGGCAGGGCGCTTTGCCTTGCCGTCCTCTTCATCATCGCTGCCGCTGCTGCTCTCAAACAGGACCTCGTGCTCGCTATTGTTCTCGTCATCCCATGTTAGTCCTTCGACTTCCTCTGCTAGCTTGGCCGCAATTTCGAGGTAGAAACTCGCCGGCTTGAAATTGATCGCCTTGCCTGCAATTTCTGCAAACTTGTACCGAGCCGCATTGATCCAGCCGACAAGATCCAAATGATTGACTTCGTCGAGAGTGCCCATGTACTTTCCCTTTCGCAATGAGTCAGCCATCCCATCGTGCAGTCTCGTCCAGTTTACGTACCCACTGCGCCGAAGAGACGGACACCAGCCCATCATTCGGTCCCTCTTTCTCTAATATCACACCATGAGGCCATCTAAACGGGTCGACTAGGCCAGGCTGACACGAGGCACCCCAGCTGTAGTATGCTATACCCTCGACGTCGGGCACATCCTCGTTAAACCTTTTCATAGCGTCCCTCGTCAGCCCTTCAAAGGCCTTGCCGTCTCCTCCTCCGTTTGGTAAATACTCCAAGAATGAGACCAGAGAAGGTATTCGCGATTTCCCAAGTGTCTCAAGAAAGTAGTCGGCAAAGTATGAACCACGGTGAGGAGTACCAATAGTGGTCACAGACCGAATCTTAAAGGCCGTTGGCCGAATCTTGGATGCTAGCCAACGAATATCCAGCCCTCCCATGCTATGTCCTGAAAACGTCAGAGCCATTCGCGATCGATACACGAAGCTCACCGATTAGATGAACCTCTCTTCCAGGGTACACTTCTGTGATCTTTGCTTCCAAAACTTTGGCGCGCTCCTCAACGCCTGACGTTGCAGGAACTCTTGTGATGAGGAGTTCGATCCCATTCTCCTCGAGTACCTCTTTGATCCCCCTCCAATGCGTAATTTGTAAAGGCGCAAAGGACGCTCCCAAAGAGACAGAGTCAAATCCTAATAGTCCATGACAGAATACAAGAGGTAGCCTCGGTGTAAGATCTGTAAGAAGGCATCAGATGAACTGGAACTAGAAGGTGGGTCGCGTGCCTACATTTCTTACGAATGTGGTCTGCTTCTTTTTGGGCAGTCGATGCTTTATCGTCATCGCCCAGAAGCTCGTCTACTGCTGCTTTGTTGCCCTCTTGGAACCACCATTTCCCCATCGACGTGGGTACCATGCTGGTAGGGGCACTCGTCTGAATGCCCCTGTCCCTCGTTGTCAATGAGCGAAGCGAGTCAATCGATGTCCTTGTGTCATTCCTTGTGAGAGATGCTCCAGGGCCCGAAAACATGGTGCTTGTAGGGGAAGCGAAGATGTGAGGTTGTTGGGTGAGGACGGACGAGGATGGCTGGCCTGGCCGACCTGTGGAAGACAAGGAAGAGGGCTGAATCTGTAGAGGACGTGTGATGGAGGATGTTGGCATCGACGCTCTTGCAAGATTGTCCAACAAGACTGGATGACGAAATGGACGCCCGTCGATGCTATGCCGCTGAACGTGACCTTGCCCTTCAAACGCGGGCGCCATTCGGGCTTCTGGTGGTCTCTGTATCTTGAAGACTTCATCCGAGATGGCTTGCTGCAGAGCAGCGCTCGTCTGACCATCCAGCCCAGACGAGCTCTGTGACGTGCTCCCGTTTACCCTTAGCTGTGGTTGTGGATGCTTATTCACGGCTTGTTTGTCTCGTTCGAGTTCTTCTGAGCGCCTGTGAGGACTGGAGCCATTGCTATTTCCTTCGCGCAAATCGAGCGAGCTGCGACTTGGTGGTGCAGACGTGTCCGAATATATAGCGTCTGTGATCCATTTGACGACAGGAGGTGTCCATGACGTTCTTTTACTGCTCACTGCCGCCAATGTGGACGTTCCGGTCGGCACGCGTACAGGCATCTCTAAACTGGTTCTGGCGGAATTGGTAGATTCTTCCCCAGCGCTCTTCGAGTTGCTCTGTGAGTTATTTCCCGTGAATGGTGTCTGCGGCCGTGAACGGTCAAGGGAGGAGCGAGCAGAGTTTGGATTGCTGCCTCCAAAGAGCGATCCGAGCCTGTCTTGGATTGACGTCCTTGCTTCGTGGTCTTTACTCGGCGTCGTCTCCGATCCCGATGGTCCTGACATGCCTCTTCCGCAAAATTCGCGGTGAGTGCAGGTTGCAAGTGTGCTGCTGGCCAACTTGGACCGCGTCTACGACAAGTGTTGCACTTTAATCTTTTAATCATGACCACCAAGCAGCTATTGCCCCCAATTACACGTGGAGTTGTCGCTCTCAGAGATGGTATGAATGCGCCGAGCCAAGCTGGCGTAGAAGCAAAGGCTAAGCAAGTCTAGTCGCCACAACAAAGGAGCAAATTGCTGCAAATGGTGTCGGAAAGAGGGCTTCTCCTCAAGAGTATACCCCTCTTATCCTCACAAGGACGCATATTTACACCTTTTTAGCACACCCATCTTCATTTGCGAGCTCAATGGTATGTGGGTCTACTTCAGACTGATCGTTATATAATACAAGTTCAGCTTGCAATCGATTATTTCCGTCGAGAGACCGCCTCGCCCTCCACCGCAAGCGAGACCACAACACCGACGATGTGTTTACTGATGTCTTGACATGGAACTCAGAATCAAACCCACAAGATCAAATGCGTGAATAAAATCATGGCCAGAAGCCTGATGGTCACTGGATCTTCCGCTCCTCTCCGAGTCATGAATAGTTGTACATCCAATCACAGATGCTTACCAGCACTATAGTTTAGACAATGATAACATAGCTAAGGGTACATCATAATAATCGACTATAAAGATACGCATTAAGTCTCTGATGCTCCGACAACTGTCCCAAGCAAATTCTGCAATTCCTCCATACGCTGCTGCTGTAAATCCTGCTTGTTGAGCGGTTTACCAAGCGTCAACTTCGCCAGATCAGCCTTCTTCTTTTGAACTTCCAACAGTCGTTGCTCGATCGAATTCTCGATGATAAACTTGGTCGAGACTACGGGATGGATTTGACCTAGACGATGAATACGGTCGATGGCTTGGTTCTCTACGGCAGGGTTCCAGTATGGGTCCATGAGATACACATTACGAGCCGCCGTTAGCGTCAGTCCTACGCCTCCTGCCTTCAAGCTCACTAGCCAAGCATAAGCAGGAGTAGATTGCCATAGATGACCACGTACCGAGAAGCACCTCGCATTTAGGGTCATTCTTGAGGGCATCGAGTGCTTTGTTGCGCTCCTCTCGCTTCATACCCCCGTCTAGACGCTCATAGTAAATTCCGGCCGTTTCCAACGCGTCCTCAATCTTGTCTAGCATACTCGTCCACTGAGAGCTACCGAAGATGATCAGCGCAAAAACTGGAACACGCGCGGAGATTACTCACAAAACGACAGACTTGACGATCCCGCTGTCCACTCGGTTGCCATGTCCATCCATCTCCTGTACATCGTCCACCTCGGTCGGTTCATAATTGGCCGAATAAGGGTTCCTCTTCGAAAATGGCATCAATTCCTGGAGCAGGGCTAACACCTTGGTCGATGGCTTGTAGTTTGCAATTGGTTCGCCACGGGCACGCCTCACGCGCTTCATACCCGCAGCTCCAGCGAAATCCTTGCGTTTATGATCCGTACCATCTGACTGCACTTCTATCGCGTCCACCGTCGGAGACAGCTCGAGCTGACAAACAGAGCATGTGCCGCGTGTATCCGCAGGTGCACATGGCCATGATGCACATATTTTGGCGCGGAAGCAGCACAGGCAAAACAGGTGTGTACAACGTGTTACGATAGGATGCACCATTGCACATGGACTGCCTTGTCGCGTCGCAGAAAGCGATGGTGTCGTTGACGACGGCATACTTTTGGGCTTTCGACCACGCTTTGCTGCTACAGGGGTCTCTTGGCCTTCGTTCACGGCGTCTGGGCCTCCCTCTGTGGGAACAGTGGAGAGCTCCATGCCGCACTCGACGCACTGAGCCGTCGAGGTATCTCGCATCAATGCAAAGATAGCCGTAGCGCGTTCGAGATTGATTCCATCCACCTCGATGCCCTTGATCGCCTCCTCATATTCTGCCGCGCAGTCATACCGGTGTCCATCTTTTGATGCTTTGACTAGCTCGACATCATCGCAAATTTGGCGGAGCCTTAGGATCCTTTGGAGAATGTTGACATAATTCTTCATCACCTCGGCTCTACCCATATTCATAAACTCGGCTTGCGATTCACCGAAGAATGAGTCGTAAATGGTTCGTTCCTCGTCTTGTAGCTTCAGAAGAACCATTCGGTCGGTGCGGGGAGGCAAGGTCAGAATAGGCTTCCCATTCTGATCCTTGGTCTCTTTAGTACGTCTCAAGGCGAGCAGACGCATAATTGTCTGAAGTCGGGTGAATCCCACTGCTTGGTTGTACTTGATGGGGCCCCCAATAAGATTCGTCCATATCCCCTTTTCGTCGAATGGTTTGACTCGAAGAAACTTGATAAGTGCATATACGTCGTCAACCTTGTTCTGCAATGGTGTTCCAGTAAGGCAGAGACGACGATCAGCAACGAGATCGCAGCAGGCTCGACTTGCAACAGTTGTGGGTTCTTTGATAAAGCTTCCAGGCGTCAGTGTATGGTAAGAGGAGCAGGATAGAACACGCACTGGGCTTCGTCAAGCACAACCCTAAACCAATAGATCGCCTGTAAAGGGCTACCACAATCTCCGGGAGTGAACGCTCGTTTCCGCCTGCTCTTCGCCTTCTTTTTGGGGACCGCATTGCCGTTTTCATCGAGCTCAATGATGCCAGAATCTGAACTGACGCCTTCCTCGTCTTCGGCGTCTGGGTTGGCGGCACGCATTTGTTTCGAGTACTCGGACGAGAGTGTGCTGTATGTGGTGATGACAATGTCGAATTTGGAGATGTACTGAGGATCCGCCCGACGAGACGCTCCGTGATAAATATAGATGCGTATCGGCTGGCCCTTTTTTCCAGATACAGGCGATGGCTGGCGCGACGGTTGTGTTGATCGGGGTGCTTCCGATAGTCGTCCGTCCGAGAGTAGGGTCAAGTCGGACATGTCTCCAGTCACGCTCGAGGCGACAGAGGCTGGAGGTGGAGGGTTGGATCCGACTCCACCGATCACAGTCACATCGCCTCCCCAATGATCTTTGATCTGATCCTCCCAGCTGACGATCGTCGATAGCGGGCACACGATCAACGTCGCCTTGGTCTTTTCCTTGATCCTCGTCATTCTGTTGTATTCCGCTACGGCCTTTTCGTGCATCGCCTTCTTTTTCTCCTTTGTAAGCGAGAGCTTTTTGAGATTCGGCATGTCCCAAACTGCATTGTTGCCAAAGCCCTCCGTGGACGGCTCCTCTTCAAAGGGCTCCGGCGGGGACGGCAGCACGAACGGCTCGGCGGCAAATTGTTCAGCCTGTGGAACCGTAGTCGCAAGAAGGCACAGAGTTTCCTGCCGAGCACCTGCGTCAGCACACCTGAAGACCAGTCGCCACAACTTACCAATGTCTTGCCAAGCCCCATATCGTCTGCTAAGAGGGCACATTTTGGTTCTGCAGGCTTGCTGAACACAATCTCTTGTGTCACCGAGTTTTGCCATCCGCTGCCATTGCAATGCCAAAGCGAGGCTGCTTTGCCTTTGGCGAGAACGAGCTCTTGTTCCCGTTCGAGCAAGAATGACAGTGCCTTTTTCTGGTGAGGATAAAGGGGCGTGGAAATGTTATCGCCTAATCCAACGGTCAATTCAACGCCACAGCAACGAAACAAATGCTGACCGGGTGAAGTTTCTGGCAAATCCTCCTCTCCTCGAAGCTTCTGGAACACCGTATCCGCACTGCTGCGTTGTGTCTCGACGCTCTTTGCGCTGACGGCAGGCGACGCCCATCTCGAGCTTGGAGCAGATTGGGCCACAGGTAGACTTTGCCCGTGGTGAGGATTGTGATAGATGAGATTTACGCTCGATAGCACGGGCCCCCACATGGGACTTGGCCGTTCGAGTAACAGGCCCGATTTGAAGAGGGCATCGGCGACCTGAGACACATTGCCTTTTGCAGTGAAGACGAGAACGGCTAGAGGCGCTACGAGCATCTCGAATTCAAGGTCAGCTTTCGATCAGCAATTGACGTGGGCAGATACCACTCACGTTGCTGCCTGGTTGTACAGTTTTGATCATGGCTTCTAGCTTGATCGCTCGCTTGCACATAAGTGGATGAAGTCGTGCAGCGACCTTTGTTTCGACTACAGCAAAATTGTCTGGAGCGAGGACGTTGCCATTGCGAGCCTGACTTGGCGTGTAGATGAGGATATCATGAGCGTCTGGGTTCTCGCTTGGTGCGCGGAGCTTGACTGGCACATAGTCCGCGCTTCCAGCGGGCATGATTTGGCCATTTGGCATGACCGTGTGTGTTTGTTGTTGCATAATGTATGGAACCGGACTAAGAACAAGTGCTGACACGTTAATCTGGCCGATGAGAATGGCTGTTGTTGGCGCGAGACTGTCATCCAACACCAGAGTTTGTCTAGGATAGCCCGAGGGCTGCGGTGACGGCGAGGTAAAGGCTGGAGATTGATCCCTGGTCAGATCTATAACGTTTGGCGGATATCGTTGGCCGACATGGCTTGTAGGCGGGACGGGGGTCACGTGCGGCGTTCGTGCAGTGGCAAGTGTCTGATGTTGCGCTTTGGTAAGCTGATCGAGTTGATGCTGAATGTGAACTGGAGTAGGCTGGGATGACCAATTACGAGCCTGAAAGGACTGGGGCGTCAGCTGGGGCACAAGCGGACCCTCGCGCGGGAGTGGTTGCGATAGCGGCGGTAGTTGGAGCATATTCAGAGGGTTATGATGACTTCTAGCCAGTAAATGATCTCCTTTTGAGCTCATGTGAGGGATAAAAGCCGCGGGCGTCCCATTGACGCGGGCTCGCTTTGCGTCTGGCATTGGCAGCTCGTCGTCGTCGTTGTCTATCCCTGTGAGATCGATGGGGTCTGCTCCTGAATTCCCAAGCTGCGGGACTGGAGCCGTGTTGAGCATCGTAAACGACATCGTTGCGTGATCCAAGGTCGGTGGACAAACACTCGCAGCTTGTCCGTCTCCGACTACTGCCAGCATTCCAATTGTACACTCGGAAATTGCACACAAAATGCCAAATATCAAGGATTTATTACACGTCTCTCTGATATCTCGCGCCTCTTTATGGCCACCGAGATCCCGGAACATTACAAATCGCAGTATATCTAATCGGCCTGGCTCTGCTCCCCGCGTTTATCAGCGCAATCAGCTTTACAAGCAATTCTGCTTACCCAGCCAAGTTTCTCCATGGCCTCTTCGGCTGCTTTTTCTTTGGCCTCTTGTTTCTTGCCGCCGACACCCGTCCCGACAATTTCACAGGTGGGAGACACTAGAATACGTCAGAACTTGACGATACATCTCATCCAACATACGTCTCACGGTCGCTTTGTGCGTCGGTCGATGAGGGCTGCCCATGTTATTGCATTGCCAGTCTGGGTGGATGTTTCTCTGCGCACATATCTGGTTAAAAAGTGCTAAAGAACCGAGCTGACTCTGGTAAGACGCGTTTGAAGACGAAGTACTCGAGGTACTTGGGGAAGGCGACGATGGTACTTGCGCGGGCTGGTGCTCCTCGGCTGGTCCCTTCAACTTGAGAGTCTGGAGCTTTTCAGTTAAACTATTAGCTGCGTTCTCGAAAGCCACTATGTCCTCCAGGCCTTGTTCGACCAATTGGCCGAACCAATCCTCGACAGTCCGATAATTCCTGTCGCTCTGCATGAAGAGCGCGCCAACATAAGCCTGGAAAAGCTTTGCCTTTGTTGCCGTATTCTGACGAAGGAGAAGTTCCGCAGAATAATGGACCTGGAGGCGAGATGGCAATCCGTAAATGTCAGCCCAGACTGCCAGCCGATCTTGGTTGACGAGCAGCTTTCGCTTTTCCTATACTTCGTTATCACTCTCAATCCCTCAGGTTATCAGTAGTACCGACCGTCAAATCTCCTGGACGCGAAAGCGGAGAAGATTACGGAGCACTATGGTGACTACCAAGCTAATCACGGTGTCACCTAGAAATGCGAGGCTTATTCAAGTCTTCAGTACGGTATAAACTCAAGGGTGTGCGTCGTCACCTCTCATTATCATCGCCAGGCCTGTCAGCATGGACAAGTCCAGCCGGACGAGCAGCTACAGACTTGTGAGTGAAGACTTCCGTCTTCAGTGCATCGTCTGTGATGTCCGGGAGGGGGTACTGCTCAGAGAGGGTCATGGATGGGGTCATGGGTGCGTGCTGGTTTCACGGTGCGTGGTCCTCGCCAGTAAAGACCTACAGGGCTGATATAACGTAGAATCTGTGTCAGGCTCGCTTTCGTCTGATGACACATCGTTCAGGTCGTTATTCTCTCTCAGATCGGGTGGCAATACAGTCGACGTTTCGTGAATCAAGACAGCGCCACATTGCGCTCGTAGGATTGGGCCGTCGACCCTGGGAATGAGAAGACGTCCACATTTCTTAGCGAATCGATCTGTAAGAGTTCAACTCCTCGTTTGGCTTACACTCTGCTTTTGTGAGCCTGCCAATAGACTCCCCAACCAGACCTGTTTATGCCCAATGCATCTCCCTCAATGCTTGTTCCGCGGCCCTTGCCTTTGCTTCAGCCTTTGTTACCCCAATACCTTCGCCTATTGGGGTGTTGGACGGCGGCACTGTTCTGAGTTTAGCAGATAAGATGCAACCATTGGAACGTCCTACATTTGATGGTGACTGTAAACGTTGGAGCGTGTGGTTCGCCCTCTTGTGTGCAACACCAGCTGGGAACCAGCTTCTCTTGTTGGCATCTCTGGTTGAATAGAGCCAACGCTCCTACCCGCACAGGAGTCTTCGGCAAAGTAGATGTCTTTGTTTGGTTTGTGGATGAAGGATGTGAGGAGGGTTTGCTTTGATATGGTGACAGCGATGAGTTTCGAGATAAAGGGAATGGACGGTCTTCATCCTTCACTGCTGTCTTACTGAACGCGTCAGAAAGGTCGTCTTCAGCCTTCTCCATTGCAAGTATCTCCTTTAGCGCAGTCTCTACGACGTGACCCAACCAATCTTCTATTGGCCCAAGATTGTATTCGGCCTGCTCGAACAATCCACCAACATATGCTTGGAAAACCTGCGCTCTTGTAGACGTATTCTGTTGGATTAGCAATCTTGTTGAATGGTGAGCTTGTATCCGTTTAGATAAGCCATAAATGTCTGCCCATCCTGCCAGACGATCCTGATTGACTAAAAGGGCTCGTTTGATCTTATAAGACAATCAGCCGCCATGACCCCTCTACCCAAACGTGTGCTCACCGATAGATCACCCGGTCTCGAGAGGGGAAGCTCTACACGAAGGACCATGGTAACTATCAGCCCAATAACTGAATCCCCGAGGAATGCTAAGCTTGATGAGGGCTCATAAGCACCATACAAGGGGCGGGCTCAAGAGGATTACCTCTCATTATCGTCGCCCGGTTCTTCATGATGCACACGGCCTGCAGGACGACCAAAAACCGATTTATGTCTGAAAATGCGCTGCTCAATCACAGGATCGTGAATTGGAGGCAACGGGTGCTGCTTATCGAGTCTTGATTGGGTCATTTTGCGATGGTGCATCGCTCGTCGGCGACTCTCTACATTTTATGGGACTGACACAAAGCAAGGAGAATCAGGCTCCGAAATAGCAGCTTCCCGGGGTCTCAGGCCCCCCACTGATGCACCTTTTACTCGCGATTTGTTCACAGTCAGACGCACATTCAAATATACGATCGAACATTCGCGAATCAAACCCAGAATTTACACACCGTCCAGGCTACTGGATTCATAGTCAATGGGAGCCTGACGGAGGGTATGGGCTACGTACCCAAGCTGGCCCATCGAGGGCCATCTGAGCAGCTAGCTTCTGAGCCGCCTTTTTCGCCCGAGCGGTGCCCACACCCACAATCTCGGGGTGGCCCTCAACTACTTAAAAGTCAACATCGATACCCTGCTATGCAACGTGTATACCTTCGATGGCCACGGTGAATTTAGGCTCGTGACTCGGGCCCTGATTTGACTCCTTCCAACCCCATGCATACTTCCGCCTGGCGCATTTCTCATGGAAGGCCTGTACAGGGTCTTTGGGTGGCCTGCCTGGTTGTTGGACAGGGGAGGCCGGCGGAGTCGTGCGTGGAGACGGACGATCGCCTAAAGACGTCGCACCAAGGGCATCCGCTGCACCGTCTACGTCTGGTTCTGGCGGTAAATCGTTCTCGGTGAGGTCCATAAGTTTCTCCAGCCAATTCCGCGTTGGTACAAATCCGTTTTGCAAATAGACGAGTCCGAAATAGGCCTGGAATAGTTGAATCTTGATATTTTCGCTGTAAGCGAGCGATGATTGTTGATGACCCGCTGCTCGAACAGCTTTCACCAGCCCGTACGCATCCGACCACCACACGATAGACGACTTGCGAATAAAAAATGTTCTCCGACGCTGTCAAGTATGTCACTAAGCGTGAAAAGAGAAGCCCTGTGTGGCTCACGTCGAGCTCCTTACGGCTCACGCCGTGCATTCCTCTAAAGACGATGTCCGTGATCATCGCCATAATCATTGTACTTCCGAGGTACGCTAGTCTACAATTCAATTCAGTATTGCATGTTTCAAATGCCAACACATCCGTACCGTTCATTGCTGTAATCGTCCTCTTCAGCGTCGTCAGAGGGCAGCTCCTCGAGAGATTTCAACGAGCCGTGAATGAATATATTGTCAAGCTTCTGGCGATCTTCGATATCGGGAAACGGATGGGTTTCACCAACACTTGTCATGTTGCCAGGTAAAACTGTGGGCCAGTGATACGTCTGCGTTAGAATCTGACGGCACCTTTTTATTCCAAAGTCAGTGGCACCCTGAATCAGGCTCAAAACAAACCAGGCAGCCGAAACCACAGCAATGTGGGTGCTTCGCTGGACTGGCCGTATCAAGACCATCTCAACAACGATGCCGTCGCATATCCGGACAAGAGGGAAAGCTGAGATGTAGTGGAGTCGGCGAAGAATACAACATTTGTTAGGATCATGTCCGCTAGATGGGAAATACACGAGGCTGCGGCAACGTAAGTAAAGTAAACCAAACGGGAGGCAAAGGTGCGTTGGGGGGCCAACGGATTTCAGAATGATCCGGAAGAGTCCCAGGCATTTTGCGTAGGCATCGAAAGTGGGGTGTTTGTCTCGCTCGTCTCAAAATGTGTCCAGTCCCAACTGGGATCCCAGAGAGCGGATTGCTGAACTTGCCACGCTGGAAGGATGGCGCTGAGGAGTAGGACGAGAATTGCGATTGTGACGCCACCCATGACGAATATGTCCTGTCGCCGTATCCACTGAAGCAGATCTGGTGTATTCTTCGTGACCGTAGTATCAGCACCACGAGTATTCCCAGACGTTGGCTCTCCTATCAACGAGGTTCCAGCAAGGAGGTTCTCCAGTCCAGTTGGCTCAGAGTTCAAAGACTCGGAGACAAGTGGCTCAAGCTCGGACGACAGAGTGCCAAACTGGGGGGTCCAATCCATCTCTTCCACAGTTGAAGAGGACGAAGCAACAGTCCCAACAAGGGATGGAGTACCGAACGTAGGCTGAGATGTCTTGCTCTTGGTCGCAAGTAGACTCTCCGTTGGTACCCAGGACCTGCGGCGTTTTGGAGTCGCGTCCTTGACAACCATGCTATTGTGACGGGAAAGAGAGATGGGAGGGGGTTCTTGGGCCTTGATTGTAATCATGGCGAGGACGCCCAACTATGCAGAGGGTCATCGTGTGTTCCAGGTGGAGCTGAAACGTCACTTACAGCAACCTCGATTGCTAAAAAGGCACCAAAAGTCCCTTCTGTCACCTTGGAGCCCCAGAGTGAGGTCAATATAGACATAACCAGACGCGAAAGCCAAAGAGCAAATTGAATCCTCTAATCCATGTATCAGTTGTTAACAATATATCATAGAATACACACCATGGATTCTTTCCGACCAATCGTTCGGACTGCATGCCCTCGACTTTGTGCCTTCCGAACAGAGTACCTTATTCGATTCCAAAAGGTCCAAGAGAGAGAACAAGCGATAAAAATGGGAGTAGGTGGCCGCATAAATGTCGACCGTTTATGCGACATTCCTAGGAAAGTCAGCGGCTCATGTTCCATCCGAGGAGCGAATGTATGCACCATAGAAATAAGATATCATAACCCACGCTGTTGTTATCGTGTACAGTATGCCCTGTAGGGCCCATAAGTACGTTTGCCACGGTTTCTCCTTTGGCGGGCGGACTGCAGAGGAGACTCGATTCTTCATTCCAGGTCTGCCTGGCGGTCCGTGTCTGGAGTTTGCGTTCAGCCAGCCGTTGAGGGCCTTGCTACGCGCCATATTTTCTTTAGAAGACAACTTTTCTTCAACGAGTGGCATGCATCGCTCGCAGACAATTGGATATCGCGTCTCTAACGAGGCCTTGTACTCTGGAAGTGTTTGAAAGAGGGCTTCATACGAGGGGTCCTGCCAAAATAATGTAAATAAAATATGCCAAAACACGCCAGTGTGCTGTGAGCAGGGCACGCTGTTGGTAATCCAGTGATTGAGTTGACGCACATTTTGAGGTGGCAAGTAATTCGCCAACATATTTGTAACAAGAGCTTGATTGACCGTGCATTCTTTACAAAAGATGCTTTGTTCAACAGCAGTCGGCAGTGTCGAGCGACTGGGGGTCGCTGGATTTGTTAGCTTAATTGGAGCCTCAAACAAGACCATAGAACAGTACCTCGACGCGAAAAAGACTTCTTGTTGGCTTCTGCATCGTACATAGCCGGCTCCGAAGAGAGTATTTCGCCCGTCCGTCGATCATAATGGTTCATATTCATGCATGATGAACATTCAAAGTTGTAAGGGTCTGGGGGAGTCTTTTCCAGAACATGTTGGCAGTAGAAACACTGCGGTTTGCGACGGCCTAAGAGTCGTGACATGGATGGCCGGGTCCAAACTTCAAAGAGCACAACTTGGAATTCAAACATATACACCAATACATCAACAATGTCAAACATCCACCTCAGGTCGGAAAAAGAACACTTTCCGATGTCTGTAGATCCGCTCTCGGATCTGGTCGCGTCGCGCAAGGGCCCAAATCCAGAAGAAACAGCCTTTCGTCTCCAATCAACTTGGACCCTCGCGCCTCGGAACCAAATACGAAAGAGGTTTATAAAGTTGAGATATCCTCGGAGAGTGTTGTTGTTCTGCTTTAGGAAGATGGTCGATGTCCTAGATATAAAACTCCACGTTTGGCGAGAGATTCTCGAATAAGCTATTTTGTATGCCAGCGAAGGTTGTCTAGCGCGTCCTTGGCGGCATGATGCTTCGCGGTTTGTTTACTTGACGCAACTCCTTCGCCGCATATCGTACCATTGACTATGAAAGCAAGATAAGTTGACAGAACCTCACAGCATACTACTCACTCTTGACGGTGGCCTTGAAAGTCGGACGATGCGCGGGACCTTTGGAACCTTGGTCAGCAGAATGAACAACATCAGAAACAGTAAAGGATTTACCGGTCGCTGTGGCTAGCCACTCGGGCTCAATATGCTTCTGAGATGCAAGTTGATTGAAGAGAGCGAGGTAACCACCAGGTGGAGGCGACGTCGCAGGGGCATAATTTAAAGACGGACGACGCGGGGTTTGTGTCATCGAAACTGGAGTCAGTAGGGGATTGGATCTCGGAGTAAGGTTCGAAACGCTAGGAGAACCATGAGGGTGAAACTTTAGTCCACTTGGGACACTTGGGAGGTCCGATAGCTGAGATATAGTAGGGAACCTATGGACCCCTGGTGGGTTTGCGTGTACGTCCGCTGTCGTCACGCCGTGAGGAGGCCTAATCGGGGCAGCACGCTGTGATGGGAGCTCCGATGAGTCGGACAAGCCAAGGAGTCTATGGGCACTTGGTGCGTTTGCGTATGCACCCCCTGTTGCGACGCCGTGAGTCGCCCGGGTGGACGCAGAGGTAGGCTGTCGGAGAAGAGACATCCTACTGATCGACGTCGAGCCAGAACTTTGTATGGACGCCGAATCGTCGCTGAATGATGGCTGCCGCATGTCATATACGAAGGTTTCCAATCCAGGAGTTCGAGAAGGAGAGTTACGGGTGGGAGTAGTATCAGTGACTTCTATCCTTCTGTCACCGGTATCAAACTCGTCGTCATCTGAATCGTCATCTGAATCCTCGCCGTTTCCTCTCTCGTCATACGCCTCGAGCACGCACAGGATCAATGGTCGCAACCAATTTTGGACGCGGCTCAAGTCCTCTGAATGGTAGACAGCGCCGACATAAGCCTCGAATACTGCGGCACGATGCTTTGTCTGGCTTTGTATCTGGGACTGCTGGCTGGGCGATGCGCGTATTCTGTCCGGAAACTCGTATAGTTCTGACCATTCTGCGACTGTATCGATATTGGCGACCATGTTTCGTAGTCTCTACGTGTAATGAGTGCCAGAGTAGCCAATTGTTGTGAACAGACAGCTCACTGAAAGGTGCGTTGGCCGCATGGTCTTGTATCTCTGAAGCAAAACCTCTGTTGCACACATTGCAATTAACTCGGCTCCAATGAATGCCAATCTACAAATTCTTAGTTTTATTCACTTCGGGTATTGACCATTTACCTGCCCCAGTCCTTTGGTTCCTCTGTACGAATAGAATGCGGATAGAAGCTTTTGTGCGTGTAAGCTCTGACTTCGAGTCCAGTGTCTATCATCAAAGGAGCTGGATTATCTGCTACAGTTTGTTGTAATCGTTCTCTGGCGTCCATCGCGCGGGGCGATGGTGATGGACAGGATCTGATGCCCGAGCCTGATTGTATCGCCACGTTGTCCCGATACTCTGCTTGTACAGAATCGGAGCCTGGCAATTGGAGCCCTCAGAGGCGTGACGGGACAGATCTGGGAGATCTCCGAGATGCTTATTGGAGAATAAATGGACCTAAAGAGGCAACAAGATACTAGGACAACGAAGGTGGCTCGGATCAAGATGTTACAAGGGCCCAAAAGGCCGGGCTCCTCTCATCGCCTACCAGTCAAGAGTCTTGAGCGCAGCCCTGGCTGCTTCCTCTTTCGCAGCCTGTTTGCTGGTTCCGGAGCCTTGACCTTTCCATTCACCGTTGACTATGGTATCGTGAGCTTGGTGATGGGCCATATTCAAGCGTTACGCACTGAGGGCAGTGGCCATCCAAGTAATGTTGTGCATAGGTCCCATAGAGTTAACATCGTACTCCAATTTGACGCCCCTGCGCACTGCAGCATCGTTTAGGATAGAAATAGGGTTGACACCAGCATAGGAGCGAGAACCTGCAAATGATATGTCAATTTAGAGAAGAATGGCGTGAGAAATCTGATCAGGCGCACCAGATGTAGCACTTGGTGCCGGTACCAGCTCGCCATAGTGTGCTCCAATTGGATGTCCGATGAAGAGCTGAGGTGCAGGCTCTGGGGCAGGTTCCAAGAGTTGACGGAGGAATTGGTCGAGTACATGGTGACCGTGGGCGTGATAGACTGCGCCCAAGTAGGCATAGAAGGCGCGCGTTAGGACGTCTGGGGAACGGTCGACGCCTGGGAGACATCTGACAGAGCTGAGAACATTTCTATAGTGATTTATCCATGTCTGTATGTTCTCTCTCGAGCACAGTGTCTGACGTGCCGCCTGTGGTCATTAGTCGTGAATCATTGAATCTGATGCGGTAGATGAACACGCACGATGAGTTCTTCCGCTGCAAGTGGCGGATCTCGTGCATAAAGTATCGATGTGAATATGGTCTGGCATGCACTTTGACCCAGCAGCGACAAGACTTCGTTGTCCGCCCGGAACCTTTGGTCGTCCCCTTTCGGTCGTAGTGACTTGTCTGTGAATACTTCAAGAGCGATAGATACCGGTAGGTCCGGCAACTTTGGAACGCGCCCTGGATTTCTTTCCATCCTCAAAATCAAGTCGTCTTCCGAGTCGCGGTCAGAGGAAAGTTGCATGTCATGCTCCCGAACCAAAGTCAACGACTCGTATCCACCAACCCGAGCAATCTTCGAGCAGGTCTCTACTATAGAACACCGAAATAAGACATCCACTTGTGCACTATGGCCGGACGGTTGTCTCCAAGTGGCGTGCCCAGGGATCGCATGCTGACGGACCAAAGTGACTTTCTGCTTCCTTATATTAAACCAAAAGTTTTTTTAACGCGTCTCTGTTTCATCACATAGTCATGACTTTGTATTTCCATTGCTCCCTTTACTTCCTATGCAAGTCTCAGACCCATTTTCCTTCAATCCGATGTTATCGCACTTACCAAAACCAGATAGTGGGTCCCTCGAATCTCTTCACGTCGTCAAAGGCTACATTCGCTTGCTTGCCCTGGACAATGCATGAGTTAATCGCGCTTCTATATCAATCGTTAACAACACGCATAGCCTTGAAAACAACTCACATTCTTGCAATGTTCCACACATTCTTGGTGATATTGGCTTGAACCGAGCTAGGGTGATACGCGTCGGAGCGCAATTGAACCTACTAGATTTGAGAAACATAGTTGAGATTGAGGAAAGAAGCGTACACCACACGTTCCGAGGTTACTTGATCCCGATATGATGCCCGTCCACAAATAGAAATCTGCACCGGCAGGTTGTTGGCCAAAGTTGTCGAGGTAGAGCTGTGCATTGGCTACTGCTTCATTCGCAGTTTGTGTGGCTATGGTCCGTTAGTGCTCGCTTTCCGAAGGAATTTGACTAGACATACTGCATATCGTGGCTGTAGTCTGGCATGTAACCACAACTGCAGAGACTGCCACACCAGGAGCAAGCAAAAAGGTCAACGCGAGCTCTAATCACGATTCTCAGCTTATACCAGCAGAACGGGTGGGAAACGCGCATACTCATGTCCGGAACTATGGAAAGCGAGCTGCACGAATCCTCTAGAATTCGAACGCTCTTTATACGGGCAGACTTTCGGCACGAACTTGCCGCTCATATTTTCCTGAGAAAGCGAGAAGCCTAAGAAGTCGTGTTATGTCCGTCAACAGGCTGTATTGCCAGCTGCAAACCTGTTGAAGGAACGTTTGTTCTTGAATTACACGTAAAGGACAGAATCGCTACAAGGTCGCGGACCAATGCAAATCACAGCTTCCAACCAGCTCGCATGCTAGATGCGAGAAGACTGCTACCCTAGTGCTACTAAAACCTTCCTCTTGACAAATCACAGATTTGCCGTGAGGAAGGCTCTTGCTATTTAGTCTATTTGTCGTCCTCTAGAGTTCATGAATCATTGGCATTGACAAGGAAGAGTCGGTGTTTAGGGGTTGGCTCCGTGCCGAGGCTACCCATTGAATCTACTCTCGGTGTTTGGTAGCGAATGGGCGCAACCAGATTGGCCGAAGGAGTGGCTGGCAACCCGACTTTCGGGCGTCCACCCAACTCAGTACGCTTGGCTGCCAGTCGCTCTGAGGGCGTCATGGGTCTGGCCGTTGGCGAAATCGTTGCTTCGGCACTAATAATCGGTTCCTCCGAGCCGGCTTGCGATAGTTGACCTGGCTGTATGTAGCTACCATCGAGCTTGCTGGCGTCCATGTGCCCAAAGGATGCAGCCGAGATGGTAGAGACGGAGCGTTTGCTCTTGCCCCAGAACGGTTGATCCTGAGCATACTTCCAGGACGACTTGGCGATCGTTCTGATAGAGTTGGAAGGCGAGAGAGTGCTTTTGGCAGCAGTTGGCGGTGGGGCAATCTTGACAGCACCAGGCAAAGCCGCTACGATCGGGACACGAGAGCCACGAACCAACTGTGCAAACGACACTCGACCAGTTTTCTTGGAAGACGCCGAGGAGGTCGAAGACAGACTGTCCGATCGTTTTGGTAGATTCTCCAGACGATCTTGATCGGGAAACGTCACCACAAAGTCGCCAGAAATGGGGAGGGTCAACTTCTCCAGGTCTGGTTTCTCATTGATCGGCGCCCCTTCCTCTGAATCAGCTGCATGTTGTAAGGCCATTTGGGCAGAAAGACCGCTGCCAAAATTGGACATGCAGATAATCGCGATTGCGATCGTAGCAAAGGCAAGAAGAATCGTGAGTGTGAACATGGCACTATACAAGGTCAGATGACAGTCAGAGAGAGTTGAGTTGTGCGTACGTGAGGAGTGGCCAGTGCCTCAGAGATCGCTGAAACGTCATACTCTTGAGCATGACCCCAAATCCAATCAGATAGAGTGCCGATCCAACAAGGAATCCTCCCATTAGAATCTTTGACTCTCTTCGAACTCCAACGAATGCCAATCCAAGCCAAGGTATGACTAGGACAGCGGAGAGAGTATTCAGAGCAATGTTCAGATTGATATGAGAGGGCTTGGCTCCCATGAAATGGGTCATAATCTCTTCAAGCCAAAGTGCGGTGCTGGCTATATGGAAAAAGGTGGCCAACTGACTTTTTCAGTGGGTTATGCAGCAAGCTTAGAGTGGATTTACCGGTATAACGGCGAACAAGAGGAGCGCCATCAGATATCCGCTTCGAACCTGCTTTGGGGCCGCTAGCTGTTTGAAGAAGGTGAGGCCATATTGCTGTCCGAGAATCAGAGACGAGAGAGTTGTAGAGAGGAGGCAACATACCATCGCAAGTCGCCAGGTCAGGAACGAGGCCAGTAGCAGAGTGGCAACATCGAGTATGACAAGGGCAATCTCAAATGCCCCACGCAACTTGAAGTAGCCTTGCAAGGGGTCAAATCCGCCACAAGCACCGCTGGCGGAAGTCACAATGTCGGTGTAATCAGACTTGAACGAGATGGAAAAGCCAAGCCGCAAGACGCTCCATACAAGAGCCAGGACATGCATCATCAAAGACGACCATGCGAGCGGGATTGACTAGGATGGCCAAGTAAGCAAGATGTTAAACCAAAGAGTTGGAAAGCGTACCTCTGCAAATATTGCGGCAACTGACAGAAGCAAAAGCAGCGCTGAAACGGAGGTGAGTTCAAAGCACAACACACATGAGTTATATACCTTGATACGAAGCCGTCACAATGTCTGATTTCCATATCTGAACAACGCTGCGCAGAGTGAGATCCAAGAAAAAGAGGTTGCGCATCCGACATACGTTTGGAATGACCACTGGAGAGTGTGCAAGCAGGTGGGTGTCAACGTGATCACGTCGTTTGCCTCGACGATGAGGAGAGACGTGAGGTTATCGCCATTTAGTACGGGAACTAGTCGAGACTCGTCCCGTTTAGCGGGTTGGATTTGAAAACTGGGCTCGTTGGACGCAGGGATAATTGGCGTCTCACCCTGGGCTGGGAAGACGACTGGACAGTCCGATGTTGCGCGAGCAATGCCCTGAGAGCATAGTCTGAGATTCTTCCCATCAACGAATGTGAAGGTGTTCCCTGTGCCCATGCCGGCCACGCCGAGCAGTTCCCCAAGGCTGTTGATCGTTGCATTGCCCCTGTCCACCGCTGCAATGATTATGGACAGTTGAATGAAAAAATATCTAAAGAATAAATGAGACCAGACAGGCGATGCTGAACCCACGGCTTACAGGATGGTCATGACCGAAAATGCTGCAAAGTGCCCAATGTGAGCAAACGTAGAAGACGGAATGGCGCGGAGATAGTAGCTTACAGGTTGTGATGCCATTTCTGATTATTTTCTTTATGTGCCACTGTGGCTTGGCGACATCTGAGAAGATCGAGAAGGTGGTCATGGCGGCGAGGACTGGTCAGACGGTCAGTGGCCATTTTTTAAAATCTATAAACGAGTATAATTACATACCTAGGTGTCGATGAGATGACTACGAGAAGCTGGACGGGTAGTAGACCGTGTTTGAGGCAATAGCACAAGAAGAGACCGCCTGGGGAGAAAAGAATTGGATGCTCAGGAGCAGCCTGAGACTTGAAAGTATTGAAGAAACGACGCCAAACGCGTCTTGAAGCGAAAGGACGAGGGCTCGCGGGGCAGGCAGGGAGCAAGCTCGACTGACAACTTGGTCTCGCCGCTTTGCCATAGGGACTGACCAGCTCTCGAACAGCGCTACATCGTACGAATGTTTATAATTGGGATCTATATTCGCGCTAACTGCTATATTCGAATACTCCTTACAACTAGCCCAACGGCCACATACTCGGCTCATCTCCTGTGCCCGGTTATCAGCATTGGCCAGGGGCTCCTTGATGGGTAGGAAGAGATGGCATTCTACATTGAAGATGTCGTAGAACGAACAGACGGGTCGTTAGAACTAGGGATCGTCGCCGTGCGTGATACCCCGGGTCGTCTATCACATTGCTGATGTGAGCTCAGAGGACATGGCAAGAGCAGCCCTCATACGACGAACTAGATGCACCGCTTGATGATCCTCTGATGAGACCACTGGTCAAGGGCGAGGTATTTGCATTTCCCCAAAAGAGACGCAGACGCTCACGCCCGTCAAGATCGGCATACAGATCGTACCAACAGGAAGACGCGAGATTACTCAAGAATCCTCGCTTAGACTCGTTGATCGCTGCATGTTCCTCCGCGGCGACGTCTGCAAGAGGACTTCCAATGACGACCCTCAGTCTGGTGTCATCCTCAACGTAAACGTGCAAGTCAAGATACGCCATACAATCACCAAAGAGTCCGTAGACCAGTGGTTTGATCGAGAAGAATTCAATCCACAGCAACCAATGATGCCAGGGGACTTTGTCTTTGCTCAGAATTGGGTAGGACAGGTTCGTTTATTTTGCGTATACGAGCTACTGTGTTGTCTGATTCCTCGTCAAGGTTGAAGAGGTGCGCAGATTGGCGCCGAAGATGGATGAAAACTGATACCAAGGGTAAAGACCTTCAATGAGGCCTTGATGGTCACCCCAAGCAATCAAATACAACCTCTATACGAACTGGGTGGCCGCTTTGCCGTAGGGGAGAAATGCTATGTCAGTGATGGAGTGTATCATTAAAATAAGAGTGCTGACAGTGCCTAGCCGATCTCTGACGGACAAAACATGACAGGGGAGCCAACAAACATAATCATCAAAGTGACGCCAGTGGCAGCCGCCATTTCTTGGAGCGCAGTAAACCAGATGCTCACCCAAAGCGAAGCCGCAGAGTGCGCCCGACCGGACAAGTTCTGGCCTGCGGATTGCTTCAACAATTTGTCGGTTATGCGATCCCGTGGCTCAGTTGTTGGAACCATCGGGGAACGAATCGTGTTCAAGGACCCTGCACGACTTCAGCAGCTTAATATCAGAACGGCAGTCTATACAAAGGACGCCAGTAGTACAATTGTGGTCGACTCACTGATGATCACGGATACCCGAACCCGGGTAGAGGTCTTATGGCAAGACGGCTCACGTGAATGGATTCGCTCCACACAACTCGTCCCTCATTTGGCGGTAGACGAGTATGAATGCTGGTGAGTTTGGGAAACTATGGATTTCATGAAATAATAATGTGCAGGCCTGGCGATTGTGTGCTATGGAAGGGCGAAGACGAGAAGAAACTCGCCATCGTCCAATCGATATCGGCAAAGGATCGAATAGGCTCAGTCCGCTGGCTGCCCACACAAGTGATCGAAGATATTTCTGTCCTTGAACTTGACCCACAAGGTGGCTCTCTCACAGACGGAATCAATGCCTTTGGTCTGCGCCGTGGAGAATGTGTCTTGATCCACAAGATTGGCACAACTAATGGCGTGCAACCACCACTGGTTCCAAAAGTGGGCGAACTCGAGAATTGGGTGCACGAGCTGCCAAGCCGTGGGAAAGATGGCGCCGTCGAGGGATGGAGAGGAGATTTGACCTCTGTCGCCATGCAAACCCTAGGATTTGAATGGAAGAAAGGAGCCAGTGCTCTTCCTGTCACTCTGCCTATAGATACAGAACTTGTGGGTCATTCCATCAACGTCTTTCCAGGTGGAGAGCGCAGCAATATCGATATCACCTCGCTCGGGACTGGGAAAGACATTGACTGGTTCGGCCAAGTGCTGGATGTAAGTTGGCTCGTTCTTGACAGAATACTCGCTAAAGTTTCGCCAGCTCACCCTTGAGGGCGACATCGTCGTCGGGTTGGCATCCGGCCAAACTGTTACCATACCCTTGGAACGGTGCTCATTGTACCGCGACTTTGAAGATTACTGGGATGGAGATGGTGGTCCCGAAGCCGCTGGTGCTGACGAGATGGATGCCATGTACGACGATGAGGACTTTTCTGAGGGCAGTTGGGAGGATGCAAACGAAGAGGAACGAAATGACTGGAGTCACATGGAAATTGACGACATTTCTTCTGAACCTGCCGTAACTTCCCGGCATCTACCAGGTTCCAAGATACCAGGAGCATGGCCATCCTCCCCCCCGTCCGACGACGAATCATCCAATTTCCAAGATTCCTCGCCGCATGAGAGAGGCGAAACGTCACCACCCAGTCTCGCCAAAGCAGTGGAATTGGTAACAGGCAACGTGAATGCGGCTATTGTTCAGGACGCTCAGGGAATTGCAGAGGCAAGCACTGAAACCAATTCTGCCAAACATTGGACACGGTTCGAAATACTACCAGAAGCACCTCTGGATCACGCATTCTACACCACAGAGCCGGTGGCACAACCATCAAAAGCATTCGTCTCTCGACTCGCCAAAGAGTATAGAGTGCTGCAATCATCGCTGCCGGAATCTATTTTGGTGCGCGCGTACGAGGATCGTACAGACCTCTTGCGATGCTTGATAATTGGTCCAAGTAATACCCCATATTCCGATGCGCCATTTTTCATCGACTGGAGATGTGACCCCAATTCTTATCCCCAATCTCCTCCTGTAGCCCATTTCCTTAGCTGGACCAATGGAAATGGTAGAGTAAACCCGTAAGTTCTACATATAATCGGCTCCACTTGATGTAGACTACTATTCACAGAAACCTGTATGAAGAAGGCAAGGTTTGTCTGTCCATTCTCGGCACCTGGGCTGGGGATCGTAGCGAATCTTGGAACGCTGCTCGATCCTCGCTTCTTCAAGCTTTGGTGTCAATTCAAGGCTTGGTTTTGGTCCGCGAGCCATATTTCTGCGAACCCAGCTTTGAGAAGATGCGAGGGACGGAAGAAGGAAAGCTGAACAGGTGGGTTGTAATCACTTCTCGATGCGCCGCCATCTTATCATCCATCATCAGTCGACTTTACAGCGAGAAGGCCTACGTCCTCTCTCGTGGATTCGTACGTCGTGCGCTCGAAATACCACCCCAGGGCTTGGAACAGGAGATTAATTGGTTCTATCATCAACACGGACACCTTGATAAGGTTATTGCGGATGCCGAATCGCTCATCACAAGGAGTTCGACCAGCATCCGATCTCCCGAAGTGGACGAAGATTCGGACATCGCAATCCCACGGTTGTCCGCTGGTGGAATACTTAGCCTGCAGAAGACACTAAATAAACTCAAGGAACTTCGCGTGTCCAGAAGCGAGACGTAATTTGTGGCTCACAGCAATGCTGGATCATGTTTATTCTTCCCATATCAAGGTATCATAGTATCTGTATTCTACAGACGTGCCATTCTAGTTCCCTGGCTCTGCCTCCAGACTTCTATCTCGTATGAGGCTGTTCGACGTATCGCAAGTAAGCCGCCTTGAGTGATGCAATGTCTCTTGTGATCCAAGGATGGTGCATTGCATCACGAATTTTTGCCCGTTTCTGGATATCCCGGATGAGCAAAGCGGAAATGAAGTCGCGAGCTATACAACGGCTGGTCAGTTAAGCCGTACATATTCTCTGTTCACAGAAGTCTTCAGGATTCGCACCAAGAGCCAGTTCAACCCAGTCTTCTGCTTTAAAAACCTTCTCCTTCTGCACAATTCTACGGCGCACGACTTCCTCACTATGGGCGGGAGTATCCAGTTCACCGACATTATTGTAGGGATACCGAGACTCTTTGCTTCTTCCTATAGGGTCAAATGGATGAAATCCCCTCGTATCCAGCGTATCAGACAAATGCACAGCTATGACCAGAGGTTTAGTACGTACTGAAGCATGATGAACACAAGAAGACCAAGAGCCCATGAGTCTGTTGTCTCGGAGCTATACATTTCTCTCCAGGCGAGGGCGTTGATTGCTTCAGGTGGGAGGTAGCTCACTGTGCCGGCGACGTTGGCCGTTGGTTCGTAGGAGTTTTCCCTTGCAAGTCCAAAATCTGCGATCACAACCCTTGGAAATGAACCTGGTGTACAGAGGAGAACGTTCTCAGGCTGCAGAGGGAGATGTCAAACTTATCCTACAACTTGGTGTTCTTACCTTGAGGTCTATACAGGGGTCAGTATTCAGCGATAGTAGCTATAGAGTACGCACCACGATGAGATATGCGCCGCTCATAGATATACTGTGCCGTCAGATGTAGCTTCGGCACTTACTTATAATGTACCTCGAGTCCTTGCATAAGCTGCCAAGCAATATACTTTGCTTCTCCTTCGCAGAGAAACTTGTTCATATGCAGATAAGAGAAGAGATCTCCACCCGTCGCCAATTCAAGAAAAATGTGCCTTGGAGTCCGTCAGACAAACACCCATCGTCCAAGAATGAATGGCTTGCAAATTGGCACCGGAGGTGTGAAAGCCGTAAACCGCATTGATGTTGGGCTGCTCAATTGTCAGTGCATTTCATGTCTTTAAACCGAATCACGAACGTGTCGAAGCTGTCGGAGTAAGCGCACCTCTCTGAGAACATCGTCGATGTCAGCTTGAGTCTTGCGGATTATCGTCTTGCATGCGGCTTGCCGGGCAGTTTTCACATCGACGGCGAGATGAACCGAAGAGTATGCGCCACTGACACAATTTATTCAACGTAAAGTTACTCAGTGAGAAACCACGGACCTTCCTAGTCGCTTTCCAGTGATGATATAGTTTCCGACGCGCTATAAGAACGTGTCAGCAGAATCGGGGTTTGTAGTGTTTACGTACGCTAGGACCTTCTAAGCCATTATTTGCCTGGATATAGTGCGAAAGAAATTGCTGGCAAGTGAAGCCTATCGTGATTCAACACTAATGCTGTCTAAATGGATTGGGGGTAACTTTGAGAGTTTGGTAAAGTGAGCACGTCACCCTCCATGAGCAGTAGTGATTGCTTCCCAGTAAAAACATGTCCGTTGATGAGAACTCCATTGCTCGAGTAATCCTGCGTACGGTAAGCGAGCAATCGCTCATCCCACGGCAACAAACTTGGCAGACAATGCCAACGTTTCCGCTATCCGATTTTACACTTCGAAATCGAGGTGCGTAAGTTGTATACGTGGAAATATAACTGGGTACTCACGCATGAATCACGCAATGTTTGCTGGACACGCTCGGTTCGTGGAGAACATAGTCACAGCTGGATCTTCTTCCTTAAAGCCACTAGTCAGAATGCGTTCTCGGAATAGCGAACCCAAATCTACCAAGCAAAACTGGATAGCCAACTTTGACAAATAACTCTGTGTTGCCGGGATAAGGACTCATAAGAAAATATATGAGAGTATGTTCTGCGTACTATCAACTCGTCCAGTCTTTGCGTTACGCGTCGAGAGAACGGCAGCCGTCGATTCGGCAGGCACGACGCGCTTTTTCTTGACGGGAGACGCGTCTTCATCGACGATCTTTCGTTTTTTGTCCTTTAAAGTGCTAAGTGACGCGTCTGGATTGGTTATGGTCGTGGCCGGCATTGGATGGTCGGGGTCAAGTGGCTTCACGAGCTTCGTTTCCTTCCATAGTCGCGCTTAGCTCAAAGTTGCTTCATGAGCTCGGAGTACACGACATTAAGAACAGAACTAAAGCAATGGGAGAGAGAATATCAGGCCCAACATGGGCGAAAGCCGACGCCCAATGATATAAGGCTTATTCCCGGTCTCAGTACGTGACACTTGTGTCTCTGTAATCTGCTCTCAATTTATTTGGTAGCGGAAAAGTACAAACGTTTCAAAGCCTTATCAAAAGCTGCTGGCCAGACCGGAGATGTCGGCAAACCTCCAGCACCCGCCTCCACCGGCGCGTCTAGCGGAATAATCAGGCATTCAAGGGCAGTAGAGGACCTAGGAGACGCAATACCTGCAGCCGCGAGACCCAATCCCTTTTCTCCCTCAAAGCCACGCCCGACCACATCCCACATTGCATCCGGCCGGCGCACTCCAGAACGACATCTTTTCCCGAATCCATTCGCATCCCCGGTCAAGAAAAAGGAAGGTAGCAACGCCACTAGCTCAGCTCATCCCGGAACACTCGATTCCCTGTCCCACTCCCCTTCATCTTCCCCAAATCCCTTCGTCGTAAAGCGACTCCCGGATGAGAACTTGTTGAAACCCACTCAGCCACCTGACTCGCCGTTCACCGCTGCTCGAAAGCGCATCAGAGGCGACGGGGAAGAGGGACTAGGCAATACTATGGATACAGACGCACCAGATAATACGAAGAGACGGAGATTCGTTAATCGCTCACAGTCAGCATCCTACTCTGGATTGTTCGGGACTGCGCCCTACATCCTTCCTGATACCGCCGCTCAATCGAATTCAAACACTCAGCCATCTCAACCCGGTTCTTCTCGTCCCGGTGAAGAGGTCCTGGGGGACAGTCCGATCAAACCAAGTGTTCGGAATGGAGTCGTCTACAAGCCAATTTTCGACGATGGTCGTGAGTCGCTGCAAACTTCTGCATTGGGCTCGCAACGGTCCGGCACGACTCGTACTACGTCTCTGCCAGCTTCTTTGACCATCTTCAGCAAGCGGCCAGAAAGTGATGATGCGGCAAGAAAGCATTTAGTGTCGTCACAGCCGGTGCAGGATGACGACTCTTTGACAAACGATAACCAAGCGATGGACGAGGATGACCCGTCGACCTCCACCCAGCTCATCGCACCGACTCCGGTCAAAACAGGTGCGAAGCAATGGAAAGGTCAAGCCAAAGGGAAGAAACAGAAAACAATGACGCATGCGAACGAGGATTTGAGCGACAGCGAGCAAACAAGCGACGAAGTTCAGGCGGTCGAAGTCGAATGGCGCATACTCGGTCCTCTCCAGGTGCCAGGGCAAACGGACGACAAGGGTGACGACGACGACGAGAACTTTCAGTTACTCTCTCTCGGGAAACCGTGGATCAGGCACTATTCCACTGCAGAAGAAGATGGAGAAATCAACGAGAGTGTGAGGGAACATGTAGAGATTGATCTACCCGAGGAAATGCAAAATCTGCTCGAGCTTAGTCCATCCAAACCGCGGGTGGACGAGGATCAAGTTGTCCAGGATATATTGGCAGGTATTGGCGATCGTAGTAAGCGACATGAGGTGTGGCATGTTGGCGACGTCGGGACCGAAGAAGACGATTGGGACAGTGAAGGCGCGGGATGGTGGGAGGCAGAGTTGTAATTCACAGAAGGCTAAAACGAGGCCTAGTGTAGCGATATGGGGCTTCGTTGACAGTAGTGAGTTCTCCGATGCTGTGACAGGTGAGCCGTGACTGAGTTACCATAGAATTCGGTCGAATTTCAACGCTGTTAGGCTATTCTACAAGATGTAGACTGTTTGTCATTTATTTTCCACCGCATGGTCAGCAAGAGCCCGCCGGCCTTTTCCACGCCTTGTGCACGCGTCGAGGAGAGCACTTCTAAATACCAGACGAAATCGACGGTCGCGAGTTGAACGTACCTACGCAACACCCACCAGCGACAAGGATGTCGATTCGCACCCCCTCTCGACCAACTACCCCTGCAGCTAGCATCAAGGGCTTGTCTATTGGCCCCTTTCGAACACCTCGCTCGCGACCCTCCAAGTCGCTCCCGAACACAGTATTTGGGGACAATAACGATGACCAACTATCGATAAGAGCGGGAAAGTTTGCGCGGAGCCACCGTCGGACAGCGAGCACCTCAGCCGCGTTGGTTGGGAGCAGCCAACACGACGGTGGCCCGCCATCCTCAGCACCGCCTTTTGGCTCTACTTTTCCTCCGGTCGCTGGAGCACATTACTTCCAACAACAAGGAACCCGCCCAAGCTTCCGCTCCTCTCTCCAGTCTCTCGCCCGGACGGGTAGCCTGTCGAGGATCAAGTCTGCTGGTCGGCATACGCGGAATACAAGCACCGACGGCCATCATCCTGCTGATTATTGGGACGACGTCGATAACCAATCCAACGGCTCACGCTTCGACTTGCTGGACAGTGATCCATTCCGTTCAGAGTCGCCTGCGCCCGTGGATCACTACATCTCGGAGATCGAAGAAACACCTCCCCCAGTCCCGCCTAAGCCCTTCCTCTCCTTCCAAAGTCGAAACCAGCTCCTATAATCGAAACACCGCTCAAGGACATCCATATTCTTATCCCAGAGCCCGAGGCCATAAACACGCGTTCGCCTGGTGGCTCCGAGGGCTCTCGAACTCCTACGAGCGCCACCGTCGCAGCCATGAAGAACGCCTTTAGTCGACTTACCGGTAGTAATCATACGTCTCCGACAATTGGTGCCAGCGGAAAGCCAAGGAAACGACTGCTGAGCTTCATCCGAGAGGCAAAGACACCAGTCGTACCCGAGCCACCGGCCAAGGATACACCTCAGCTGACGCTTCCAACCCTTGATGATGGTCCTCTGTTCGATGCTGCAAATTTTGAGCTGGACGACTTTGCCTTTGCGCGCTCGCCAAAGGCCAATCGAAAGAGTAATACGCTCTCCTTCCCCGTCGCTCAAAGCCCATCGCCTCCTCAAGCTCCAATATCAATAGCGGAGCTTCAGAGTCCATCTGCATTACAGCTTAATCTGCACGGGGATCTCGCTAGCTATATTATTCCATCGCCGACTCGCGACGATGAGGGCGACGAGGATGAAGCTCCAACTCCAGTAGCCACGACCTCACAGTTACGAATACCACAAGGTAGGGAAGAAAAGGAGGTAGTTTCCTCCCTGGTCCCACCAGCCTGGATCCTTGAGTTCCGCGAGGAACTTGAGAAGCTCGCAGGAGAGGCGCTAAACCTCACTTCCCTACCCGATAATAGGCTAGTTCTGGAACTTCCAGAGGCTCCTGGTAGCTCTCATCGGCGTACTTTGGTTTTCGAGGACGTCTCTTCAAGACATTCGATACCAACAATCCCGGAGATAGAGGAGACACCGGTACTTCGTACGACTGGCCCTACTGAAGAAGAAACCACACCAGCTCTCACGTATGACTCCGCTTCCATTACGTCCACCTCGACCTGTTCGCGCGGCACGCCAAAAAGACCAACTCGCCCTATCCCTCCTGTTCCGCCTGCCTTTGTTTCAGTGAATACTTCTAATAGAAGTAGACAGAGGGGTGGTAGCGTCAGCTCTCGAGTGGCCGACACAGCCACCTTGAACTTGGAAACACGCCCTCACCTTGAGGCCCATCGCACGTCGCCGCCTGGGTCCAGTCGCCACATAACAAGATCCCCAGCGTTCCGAGTCGAGTCTCTGTATACGATCCAGTCGCGCTCAACGCAATTTGACCCGGACCAGCACACTATTCCATCCATCCCCGATCAGGACTCGTACTTTGTCCGGGCCCCGACCTCTGATTCTGAGTTTGATTCGGATACCGAAGAGGGAAATAGCGTGTATCAGAGCTTGGAGAATATTGACGAGGACCGCATTGGTGACGATCAGACGATCCGCGCAGCCCTCGCTTTAGCATCAGAGGGACCACAGTCAAATCAGGAAGCGCCTCAAGAACTCGAGGCGAATTCGGCACCCGCTTTTCAACCACGCATCTCAAAGCAGGAGGCGATTGAAGAAGCCATTCAAAAAATCCAGAGAAAGGCTGAACTTCAATCCACCAACGTTCGTCTCGGTACCACAGAGGAAGAACAATTAGAAGAACCCGAGGTGGAGGAAGAGCCAGCCGACGCCAAATCCACCGTCACAAATCTACTCAGGAGTGTGAGCAACCCGTTCTCGACCTCGACAGAAGAGCCACCGGTAAGTAGATTTTGTTGTCTATTTCTCAAGCGGTAAATGGGGTTTCTTATTTATTTTCTCCTTTATTTCTTTGTACCTTGTGGACCGCTGGACCGCACGTAATAGAAACCGCCGCGCAAAGTATCTCTACTTCGCAAGCGTGTGCTTAGTCGAAGCCTAGGAGCATACAAGCCGTCCCTCAAGTCGTCTTCGTCGTCGACTCACAGCCGTTCGACCTCGGAACCTAACAATAGCAAACATAATTCGTTTTCCTCTTCTCTCTTTGGGGAAGAAAAGAGAATTATCGTCGCAGGACACCTCCCGCTAACGACCAGACAACCCGAACGACCTCTCCAATCAATCTTACAACCCAGCTCTTCGTTTGGGAACGGCTACAGCTATAATCAGCATCGACAATACCCTCATCACGCACAGTATCACACCTATCGCGGCCACCCAGACCAGCCACCTGCATTCTACGACGACTATTACAGCCCTCCCGTCTACCTCGCAACGTCTACCCCCACTTTTGAGGTTCTCCCTCCTGCCGTCATAAAACGACACGACACTGGGTCAGCATCTTCCGCGATTCCTTACCCTGTGGTCGAACCCACACCCCTTACACCCTCGTATAGTACTCACAAGACTCCCGGAACACGTCAAGACGAGCTCTTCGTCGAACTCTAAGCATTATCCAACATCCAGCAGCAGCACCGTCCCCGCATACAATCTAGATTTATTCGCGTCAATCCTCGTACCAGTATAACAATATGGCTACCGACTACCGCGGAGATTGGGAACCGGAAGTAGACTACACTGGGCATCAATGGTTCACTGTGAGTATGATTTCTTGCCTTGAATATAATTCTAATCGTCTTATTAGAATCTACCTCCCAAAGCCAAAGTATGTAGATGAGAGCTTCATATCTATTTCTACACGTGCGGGAGAACTGACGAAATTGCGCAGACGCCACCTCCTGCACCCTCTCCGAAACCTGCATACATTCCAGAACCACAGATTGTGGAACGCAACGCGCTATTTGTCTACGCCCTTAAATCAGCTCCTGATGTTCTCATGGAGCAATATAAAGCATTTGGCCAGGTTTGTCTGCCTACATTACTTTTGAGTGTATCTCTAACAATCTACAATCAGCTTGGCGTGCTCGGCTGGTGCTCAGAATTCAGCGAGCTAATAGACGAATTGAAAGAATTCGGAAGTCAGGGACACATGTTCACCGACACTCGAGATCAAGCGCTCGAGACGTGCGCGTACCTCCTCGACGCCCTCGTCAACCACATGGAAGTGAAGATGCAGATAATCGTCATGTTTCTCTCTTTCCAGGTTCAGCGTCTCCGAAAATTCCTTGACGCCAATACGGAGTTCGATGATTACCCGCAACCAGAATTCCCCATGCATTTCATGCAGCGGTGATGAGCCGGTGCATGACTTATGAATATGACCACCGCTTTCTCGTCTACTCCCTGTGGCAAATGGAGGTCTCTTGCTTCCCTTCCTGTTCTCCTGTCGCGTGCTTCTATCTCATTATCTACATGTAGCTACAAGAAACAATCCATTGGTCCCTGCTTTCTGATAGCACAAAGTGACATAAAGGCAAGGCGTGCACGAAAGGTTTTTATTATCTTCGGAATACAGTGGTTAGGCATGAGACTTTGACGCGACGCTTCGAGCAGCAACCTCTGCGGACATGGTCATCCAGGCCTTGTCCACCAAGCCGAGCATCTTGTTCATGTCCGACGACCAGTCGTTCATCACCTCTTCTGCACTTCTCTTCTGTCTGAATGTGACTATCCCCGCTGGTCTGTCGATACGCGCCCAGACCATGCCTGATACGACAAGACGACTGAGGACCTCCTCTGTTTCGTCTCTACTTAGCATGAGGAGGTCTGTCAGTCGTTGAAGAGAGATTTTGGAGTAGTACTCTGCAATGACACGAATATTCTAAAGGACCAGTCAGTCACAAGCAGGGAAAGATAAATGAATGACTTACATGCTCCGTGACTCGCGTATGAAGATCTTTGAGGCGCTTCTCGCCGTTCGGACCATTGAAGACGTCGCTGGCAGAGAGGATTGGACCAAAGAATTCTCGGATACCGGACCATCGCATGAGTTCTTTCGTGACGAATCGCTTGACGAGGTTGCTAATCCTATTAGTGACATAACCGGAAACTGGCAAACCCACGAACTAGTACGCCTCTCTTCGAGGTTTGCTCAACGCTGGATCGACATAGAGTCGGTTGATCATGTCAGACTGCTCGTTGTCGTAGGGCGCCAAAATCAAGTAGTAAACAATGTGCTCGAGTGCCTAGATTGAACCATCAGCAAGCGTATCCTCGGCCAATGAGGCAAACAAACACTTTGGGCGGCACCATCTTGGTCCTCTTGAATGGATGGCATCTCCCAGATTTTGTAGAAGCTCTTAGCAACTTCTAAATAGGCAGAGTGACGCAAAGAGTGCTCGATCATCAGCTCATGAAACTTGAGTTTGAGATCCTAGTGGCGACATGTGAGCCCCGGACGATATTAGGACGACTAGGTACCTTGTTCTCTGGCTTGTTAATAAAGCCTTCATTGACCTTGCGGCCTCCAACCTTCATCTTGACCCAGTCTGCCTCACCGTCAGCAAGACCACCTGCCGCAGCGGCTTGCTCGTCTTTGATTCGCGCGACCAACATCAATAGGCGCATCTGCTCGAGGAGAATTTCGATCTTCTCTCTGAGTTCCATGGAAGAGTATGTCTCCACTTGCAACTCTTGCAGGAGGTCAGACGCCGTTTGGAGAGATTCTGCGGGCGTCGGCGAGCCTTCCACGGGCTTGTTCGCAAGGCCCTCGTGATAGAGTGCCAACGCGAGGGTGACTCTTGCTCTTGGTGTTTCAAGGAAGATCTACGCGACGATGAGCTACTTCAAGATGCACGAGCGCCAGCTTTGACCTTGCCCTCTGTTACAGTTCGCAGCGCTCCGACCCATTCCAACCACGTCTTGATACCCTCCTTCTCCTTGATGGCGGGTAGCCATTCCATCACCTGATCAACCATTGTCGTGACGGACGTCTTGAATTGTCCATGCTTCTTTGAGAGGACCGTAAGACACTCGAGAACATATGCTTGATCCTTGCTGTCATATGCGAGGCTCAAGATTGCTTGCACAAGTAATGTAGTTGACGGAGCGTCCGACGCCTGTGCCCGTTCTTCATTAGCATCATGAACCCCTCCAGAGAGCACATACCCACATTACGGGTTTGTTTTTCAAGGGCCATTAACTGCTCTGCCGATGCTTTGTAGTTGCCAGAGGCCTGCAGAAATCGATAAGCCCTCACAGATTCTGGGATTAGAGTGGCAGCGACCTTTGCCTGATCCCATGCCGCTGAAATGGCAGTCTTGGCCTCTTCTGAGTAGTCTTTTTGCTTTTTACCTGGGTCTGCCATTGTGGACGCGTAAACCGAGCGCGTTTGTCGTGGCCAAGTTGGCTCGACGCGCGTTCACCACAACTTAGCAGTCCGCCGCGGACTTTCAACACCACTTGAATACAATGCCAGGATATGTACTATCTCGGTATTATTCAACTTCAATCGGGACCGCACCGTGGGCACTTTGCAGCACCTTGGGAGCTCCCGTCGCGGAGCCGAGAACCTCTTTGCCCTCCCAGAACCGTGGAAGTCTGTCACCTGGGATGAAAAGACGCTCTACTCCCGACTCTTGGATAACCGCCATCCGTATCACGCCTCCAGACGAGCCGTCGCGAGACATGGCGAGTGCCAGAGCTGAGTTTCTATCAGACATGCAGTGAGACGTAGACAAATGAACTCACTGTTCTTTACAAATTCGATCGTCTCTTCTCGTCCCCATCCTTCTCGGTATGTCGCATCGCAATACCCATAAACATACGTAGATCCCGATCCTGTCGAAATTTTCAGGTTTATCTAGTAGAGGATGATTATAAATTTACCTCCAATGGCCCAGGGCTGGCGGAAGAGTCCACCTCCGAGAGGAATATTATAGACACTCGGCCCTTCTTCCTTGTCCCAACCTGCGACGATAATTCCTGCGCTTAAAGCATCTTTGTTCTCGTAGCAAAACTTCTCAAAGATTCGCGCCGCATTATGCACAGTTGGCACCTCCCCGTTTTGCTGGGTGAGGACTTGAAGGTAATAGTGGACGAGGTCGGCGATAGCCTGCCGTGGAATAAGTCTACTGCTTGATAGAAGACAAAATCTGGTTTACCTGAGTGTCTGCTGCAGATCCAGAACGACAGCAATAGATGAGATCGTGGACACAAGTTAGCTTGTCCGTTACTCGATTGACCTACGACACTGGGTTAGAATGCGAAGCTCATCGAGCCAAAACGCCCTCACGATGTAACTTCCGGATGTTGTCCTACTATCCGCGCCGATAACGACGCCTCCGTCAAACTGGACTGCCATAATCGACGTCTGTCGACTGCTTAGGGCTAAATTTCACGTATTATACAGACTAATTACCCCCAGATTTACTTCTCCGGCCTTTAGATGATGAATGTCAACGGTCTCCATGATGTACCAAAGAAGAGGGGGAGTTCAACGGTGGCGACGCGTAAGTGTACGCGCTCAAACTATACCACTCTCATGTAAATGCAACATGCATGAATTTTGAATCAAATACAGCCAATTTAACCAAGTTTACTGCATGGAACTATCGCCATCACCATCATCTCCATATGCCTGAGATGCCGTATAGGCGGGATTACTAGCTAGAGGGGAAGAGGCAGCAGGAGCAAACGCAGGAAGGGGTGGAGGTGCCATTGGGCCTGGCGCAGGTGCTGGTCGTCGCAGGGGTTGCGGGAACGAGGGTCCAGCTTGAGACGGACGAGGCGGCGGAAGAACTGGAGTCGGGGCCTGAGGGAAGTATGTACCAGAAAGACTAGGATCGATACCAGGCGTAAAATTGTGAACAACAGGCGTTGTTTGAGCCTTCTCCGCCTGATTGGCCTTGTTGAACTCCGCCCATTTGGGACACTTGCGATTGGTTTCTAGAGCGGGTCAGAAGAAATAGCAAACTAGAACCGAAATATGCTCACTCATATGGCCAACATCGCCGCAATTACCACACTTGCGGGTTGTCTCAGACTTGACGTTTGGCGCAGCGACCAGCAGTTCGCCACCTTCCTTGGCAATCTTCTTGTTCTTGCGATCGATACGTCGTTCCTGGTTCCTCTTGAGTTTGGCAATCTGTGACTCGAGGCTTTAAAAGTGGTCAGGTCAATTCTCGCTCTGGGTGCGTCACATACTCTTTGGCACGCTTCTCGTCCGTCTTTTGATCACCAGTCGGCGCTAAAGCATCGGCAGAAAGATCCATAGACTTCATCTGCTCCTTCTTGCGGAGGTACGCGGCGATGACGACTTGATCCCGGACGACCTCTGGTTTTTGCAGAACACCGTTTTTCTGCAAGGTGTCAGAAAAGTATCTTAAGAGAAACCTAAGTGCGTACCTCGCGTCTGATGACAAGAATTCTATGACCCATCTTGTCACCAGGCTGCTGACTACCCGCACGAGGAAGTGAAGAGTGACTTGGAGACGGAGATGCAGCCGAGTCGGCAGCAGGTGTACCTATGACGCTTCCATACCGAGCTCTGAGTGCCGGTCGCTCATCTTCTTCATCAGTGAGTTCGGGTGGGTCTTTACGGCTCAGCGATCTCATCTGCGCCTGCCAGATTCGCTCCTTCTCCTGGGCGTAAACTTTTTGCTGCTCTTGGACATTGTATCTGTGCCCAGACTTATTCATCTCTCCCTCTGACAATCCGTTAGTGATCTACTGCTGCTCTGAGGTGCATGACTTACTGCCAGGTTTCTTCTCTCCTTCGCGAACGAAGACATCTTTCATGGATACCTTCAGGTAGCTAAACGCTTCGCCGCGACCGGTCGGGTCTCCCTCGCCGTAGAGCTTGAGCATGGCCTTGTGCTGGGCAGCTTGGAGGACATTTTTGGTCGTCATCCATGGCGCAAGCTGTTGCGTAATGGTCAAAGGCGTTCCATCTTTTGCCTTTACAATGGTCGCCTGCTCGTCGTCTGCCTCGTTGGTGTCCGCACTATAACCGGCATCTAAGAGTTGCTGTTGGCCAACTTGCATACTCTCTGTGAGTACGACATCTTCTGGTTTGACCATTTTCACAATTGTCGATTCATCAGGAATTGTCAAGTTGGGTTTGAGACGCCAAAAGCCCTGATGGGGTCCCTTGCGTTGGTATTCCATAAACTCTTGAAGGTGAGCCTGTAACATGTGAGTATGTTAATTAGTACGAGTGTAATGCAATTACCTTGAGCCTTTGTTTGAGCTGGGTTTCGTCCTGATCAGGGAAGTACTTGGGCAGTTGCATGATGCGTATGCGCTCCTCCTCTGAACGCCGAAGGAGACGGTAGCATATCTGTTGTAAACGGCTTTTCGCAGTTGTAGTGATCTTGCGCGAATGGGGACCGGGAATCTCAGTTACTGGGATTGTCTGGCCCAGTACAAAGAGATGCTTGATTTCTCGAATATAATACTTTGATTCGCCAGCTACAGTGCTCCTGCAATAGTTTCAGCGCCTACATTAATATCGCACAGCCAATATACTTACCGCACCACTAGAAAGTCGGTCGGTGAGGCCTTGTGTTCAAAGATTGGAGCGCGAATCATATTATTGTACAGAGCTGGAACAGTTTGACCTGGGGCCACGGATCCTAGCTTCAAGAATGGGGTGTCGTCTGAGGGCTGCAGCACGAACGGAGTACCAAATTCTCGCTGCAATCGTCGTGAGCGAGGAATATAGTCACTTCTGAGCTTCATACCTTTGGTATGTGCTCATCCTTTTCGTCCTTTTTACGATAGTAATTGACGAGCATGCTTCCCATGCCAAAGTTCGAAATTGTCGGTGGATGCTCCTCCTGGTGAACAAGTCAAAAACACTACGGGCATGACTCGCGAAGGAAACGCACCGAGTACTCCCAAAGAACAAACTTGCTCGTGTCCTTTAGAGTAAGATCACCTGTTTTTCGCAAACCCTCTCCAAAGTCACCGCCCTTGCCAAGCTTTCGACCAGATTTGTCTTTCAACTTGGGGGCAGTCTTGACTTTTTGGAACTTGATCTCCTGGTTGATAGGGAAGTGAAGAGCCGGACGATGGAAGGAGCGGCACTCCTGCTTTGTGAGCCTGATCTTGTACTAGAAATATGTGTCAAAATCGAGATCATGGGGCGAAAATGCGAGTGCTTACAAAAGGAAGCTGCAGTTTCAGAGCAGGGTAAGCGTGCTCGACCTCCAAGGCACCAAAGGTCTGGCGAACAAGCTTTGTCTCTTTGGCTACCTCGTATGTGTGGTCATTGGAGAGGTTGAACTTGTCTTTGGCGATAGCTTGACCAGCTTCATTCCGGAAGCGCTTTCTCATGCGGGGCTCCGGTCGTTGAACCTCGTCTTCGTATGCATCCTCGAGGTAGCTCAGGTCGATTTGTGTGAAGTCGCGAAAGGGCGTCTTTGAGTCCCAGAGGATACTCTGCGTCCAAACCCCAGATTCAAGAGTACTGTTTGTTGGCGTAGTAAGACTGGGCCGAAAGGCTGGTCGAGTCTTTGGTAATCTGGGCAGCGCATTAGCTTATCCAGAGAGAAAACAAGGATTATTTACGTCTTAGGGTCGAACATGATTGAGTCCTCCCACGTAGAGAGGTTGATCATGTCGAAGCTCCGGTCATCCATGTCAATATCTGGTTTGACGATTCCCGCTCGAAGCTAGAAAAAGGTTAGAAGATACGCTGGATTCTCGATTGCTCGTACCTCGATAGCCTTGGCCAAGTCAGCGTCCAGGCTGGCTTCCGTGACAACCTTCTGAACCCGTTTCTTCTCCTTTTCTTTCTTCGTCTCAGTGACGAGAGCACGAACAACTCCTCCTTGATAATTACGCTTTTGGGGCAGGAAAACCTCCTCTAGAGCAAGGTGAGTATGGAACGGTAGCATCTGAGGTTTGCTTACGAATCGGAGGTACGTCGCGGGCCCAAATTCTAGACGGCTTCTTTGCTCTCTGTCCAAAGAGATCGACAAAGTCAAGTGGTCGGTCGGGGGTAAAACTTGGGAAGATTTCATAGACAGTCTTCTTTCGCTCTATAAGCCGCTTCGTCTTGACAATCTTTGTCTTCTTCGCAGGAGCTTGCACAATATTGGAGGTCATCATTGGAGCAGTGATAGCGGTGCTATACGATGCTCCCTTGCGAGGCGCGCTCTCCACAAGTTCGTCGTCGGACATAGGTTCGTCGTCCATGTAACCAGCACCCGTCTGGGCAGTTAGACGAGGTCCAGTTTGGATTCCGAGTTGCTGGAGGCCGGATGCATCAACGCCAACATCCCGTAGGACCTCGTCCAGTCCGAGCATCCCGCCGGTGAAGTCAGACTCAGTCTAAGGCTCATCAGAACATGTAAAACAGAAAATAGAGAGATTATAGTCACATGTTGAGCCATTATAGTTGCAAAATACAATAATTCAAGGAGGGCAGACGGTCAAGATGGAGAGACGCTTTGCTGACGTGGTCCGGCTTCAGCAGCTTTGCGCCCTAACCACTTGCTTCCGTCTCACGTATTGTCGACCATGCCGGCTAGAAAATCCACCGTTCAGCAATCTGCAGAGTCTGTGGCTGCAGAGTCCAGAGTTCCATCTCGAGCTAGCTCACCCGTCGGGGACGAGGACGAGGTGCGTTGAGGAAAAGATCGGTGGCTAACGGATCTTAACGCGCTTGACACGTGCCAGGAGCCTTTCTTCGACATGATAGAGGAACTCCAGAACCATGTATGTGCAGCGACGCGTCCAATCGGTCTCGGCTCAACGTCCAATAGGGCATCAATGCACAGGATATTGCTAAGCTCAAGGTAAGTCGTGAATCACTCTTCAAGATCCTAAGTAACCTCTCTTCAGTCTGCTGCACTCAATACGGTCACAGGGTATGAAGTAGTGCCAGACACAGCTCATGCTCATCTCTCCTCAGAGTTCGGATGACTCCAAAGCGCCAGCTCCTCAAGATAAAGGGTTTATCTGAAGCAAAGGTAGATAAGATCAAGGAAGCAGTGCAGAAGATTTTGGTACGATAATGCCATTGCTCTATTCGTTTGGATTGACGACGTTCAGGGCTCTTCCTTCTCCACTGGCGTCGAAGTATCGGAAAAGAGGAAGAGAGTCACCAGTATCAGTACTGGGAGCAAGGCGGTCGATGCTATTCTTGGCGGTATGAATAGCGGCTTGCCCTTGGTCACTGCTCACACTCAGTCAGGAGGAATCCAAACCCAGTCGATTTCCGAGGGTACTTCGTCGTCTATAAGCGAGAATTTATCTCACACGGGCATAGTTTATGGCGAGTTTCGGACTGGAAAGACGCAGTTGGCACACACTATGTCCGTCCTGGCGCAGTTGCCCGCTGACATGGGAGGCGGTGGCGGAAAGGTCTGTTTTCAAGTACGGTGGTGGCCAGGGCTGAACAATATACAGGTTGCATACATAGATACCGAAGGTACGCATTGAGGTAGGTGCAATATGTCCGTTGCATGCGAACCACCTCTTTCTAGGCACCTTTCGACCCGACCGTATTCGTGCCATTGCTGATCGATTTGGCGTTGATGGAGAAACTGCACTGAGCAATATACTCTATGGTATGTACCTTGCAGGGCTCGCAGGCCTGGCTCATGTTCCCAGCTCGGGCATTCAATAGCGAACATCAGGTACACGATCAAGTTCAGCGTAGCATACATACTGACTGGACTACGAGATGGAACTTATTAACGAAGCTACCACCCGTTTTGCCGAGGAAAAGGATTATAAGCTCATGGTGAATACAGACCTTTTGCTGTAACTATACACTGACCCAATAAAGATTGTCGACAGTATCATGGCACTCTTTCGCACGGACTTCTCGGGAAGAGGCGAGTTGAGCGAGAGGCAGCAGAAGCTCGCCTCGGTAGGCAACATTGGACAAAACAAGCCATCATTAAGACAGCCGATAGATGCTTTCAAAGCTTAGCAAAATCGCAGAAGAGTACAATGTAAGCTCCCAGCTCTCTTCTGTAGGAGCTTTGTCTTACTCGCACAGCTCGCTATTCTTCTGACGAATCAAGTGCAATGTACGCGAATTTATATATGCTAGCAACTAGCTCACTCCGGCTAGCTGACCCTGGGGCGACCATGACTTTCGTTGCTGGCGGCGCGCTCAAGCCGATTGTACGTAGGTTGATACAGTCACTCAGTGCTCACGTCTCTCAGGGGGGTCATATACTCGCTCATGCTTCGGCTACCCGAATGTTCCTCCGTAAAGGTATGCCGCCCACACGCGCGCGTTGGTCCTGCACTCATAATGGCTTTAGGGCGTGGAGAAGAGCGCGTTGCAAAACTGGTAGACTCGCCTGATCGCCCTGAGAGCGAAGCGACATACAAGCTCGACGAAGGCGGCTGGTCTGACATTTGAGCAAGTGCTGCATGTCTTGTTCATCGAGTACCTTTTTGTCATTTTCTTGTTGGTCAGCATCATTCTAGATTGAATTATAACGATATCTGAACCGCTCATATGTTCGGATGAGTTAGGAAGATGATGATTCATCGTATACCCATGGATAAGTACTGATCATCCCGTCGGTCGGGTATTACAAATCTTTGTCCTCACCATGGCCTAGTACTCAAGCGTAGTTTAGAGAGCAAGTCGTCGACGGGTGATCTCCCTAGCGGTAGATCATGCTCAACGACTCTTGGACGATTTAGCATGCCTTCAACAACGTCTTTAATGACGGCACCCTGAGAGCAGGTTAAGCTTCGTGAAGTCTATAGGAAAGTAAACTCGCCTCGTAGAGGACGCTGTAGACGGCGTTGGCGACAGGAGCCTGAACGCCTACTTTGTCAATGATCTTTTTGTATCCTTTTGCCGTCGTGACACCTTCAGCCACACTCCCAAGAGTCTCAAGAATATGTTCGAGCTACGGAATACAGAGTTAGCGGGATGGTATTTGATAAGGATGCGAGATTGCAATTGCTTACCGACTCTCCTTTGCCAAGACGGTATCCGACGGTGAAGTTTCTCGAGTTCTCCGACGTACAAGTGAGCATTAAATCGCCAACACCAGCGAGAGAGAGAAAGGTGATTGGGGATGCCCCAAATGCCACGCCCACCCGGGTCATCTCAGCAAGACTTCGGGTGATTAAACCTATTGGACAATGAGCTGTCTGAAAAGAGTTCAGAGATGAGACCTCACCCGCTCGTGCGTTATTCTCGAACCCGAGGCCAGCCGCAACTCCTGCTGCGAGTGCATACACATTCTTTCCCGCACCACAAAGCTCAACGCCAATAGGGTCGTTGTTAGTGTAACTGCTCATGATGATGGTTAAACAAGAGATTCTACCAAGGGAAAAATCTCACCAACGGAACCAAGGCTGATGGAAGACTTCTGCCGCTCGATCTGCGTGAGTTATTGATAAGGAAGCGACAGAAACCTGCGTGGGTTGGCGTTTGATTACTATTGGAGGTAAGCTCGTTTGATCGTACCCTTTCGCCGGTTCGGTACATACTTTCTTTAGCAAATGAAGGACCAGACTGAAAATAAGATGAATATAGGTTCTTTTCTGTTGACATAAAGGGACTTACGAGGAAGACAGAAGTTTTAGCTATCTCGGTGCCACACTCGTCGGCGATGATCTCCAATGTCAGAGCTTGTGTGTCTGTTTCAATACCCTTGTTGACGAATATCATGAGTGGGTGATTGTCTGGATCTAGTAGCGAGCTCATATCCTTGAGCACTTTCCTAACCGGCAATCAGAATTCCACACTGATCAAACTACCCAACTCACCGGAGGTTCTGAGTGGGTATAGCGAATAGTAGGACGTCCATCTTGCTGACCACATCCTTGGTAGGAAATTCAGGACCAATGGCCGTAATGTTTGATGAGAATAGGTGATCCCGGAGATATTTTGGATTCCTGTGCTCTTTGTTCATAAGTTCGACGGCCTCTAGAGACCGCGAATAGAGTAGCACGGTCGAGCCTGCATCGGCGAGGTGGTCTTGCGGCGACGAGCGTCATAATTTGGCCTTGGAGCAATGATAGTGAGCGCGTACCTGCAAGACAGAGTCCAAAGTTTCCAGATCCAAGAACAAGGACCTTTTCGGAGCTCATGTCGACGATCGATTGGAATCCAGATGAAGCTGTGAGGTCCCGACTCGGTGACCCTGCTTGTGATGCCACTTGTTCGTCTTTGAGATAGCCTCTGGAACCTTAATTATAAGGAAAGGAGCTTACACACTCAAGCGACTGAAGTGGTCGAGATCAAGATGCCTATTTCTATTGTCGTAGAGGAGTGAGTATGGGTCACTTCGCACGTTGCTATTATAGATTGTGGCAATATGCTATGAGAGCATCAGTCATTACTGCAAATACTGCCTATGGATGGGCACTCCTGACAATTATTAACTGGTCGACTTAGCGGACCGCTCAGGGAGAGAATGTAATTGATAACTAGCAAATTTTCACGAAAGAAGGTTCGTAGTCAAAATTTGACCTACTGGGATGCAAGGATCGGTTCTAGATGGGCTTAGGAAACAGCTCGGTGTTGTGGAGTACTTCCATAATGAATGATATCGGTGTGACATATCTCACGTCGCATGAATCGGTAGCTCCCGCACCTCCGGTGAGTAAGCCGGCAATGCGACCGTATGCATCTGCAACACTGGCACCAGAGCCCCCTTCATCCGAGAATGCACCTGATCTCTTGTCTGTTGGGATAATTGCCCATTCCCGGGATTCACTTTGGAGGCCACCGCCATTGCGAATGTACGAGGCGACATTATTCGCTTTCCCGAACGTGATACCCGTTGTCGCGCCGCTTTTAAAGACCGAGAGACAAGATTCCTTGACTTGGTCGATCATAGGTAAATTGCGTACCTCGCTCTTCGGAGTTTGACCTTTGAGCCTCACGAGCTGGTTTTTGGGGCATGAAAAGGTTGTGGGGGTTGCCAGACGAAGTTGAACTTTATCCGAGATTTGTTTCTCTGTATATTGTTGCCAAGGTTAATAGTGTTGCTGAGAAAGTTGGAAGCGTCGAGTTTCCCTTCGTCAATTTCTATGACTGCGAAATCTTGAGTGTACTGATCTGGTTCCGTGGAGAAGGCAACTGGGGTGCCCAGACGACATGCCCAATGACGCGGTCATCTTTATCCTGCCACTGAGTCGTGATCTCGTCACGCAAGGTCTTTAGAGCCTTCACAGTCTTCTCGGTCTCCTTCAGTTGTAATTTGTAGAATTCCCGGGTTTCGTTGGACTCTGCATCGTCCATGCCCTCCGTTTCGTCTAGTGTATTATTGGCCTTACAGGCAATCTCGTTTTGCATGTCGATTTCATTATCTACGGCCATAATTTTGTTCTCGAAATTGGACTTGCCGAGAATGATAAAGTCCTGGCGTGGCTGACCGTGATTACTGTGAGCGTATTCGACATTTTCCGTTTCGGTTGGAGGGAGGACAACGTGACGTGCGGTGATTAGATAAATCTTCTTGTTCTCTCCCCCGGCACCAAGGAAAAAACCACCTGTCCCTTCATGCGAATCATTGTCCCTTGGGGCGATTGGGATACCGAGTGTGGGGGTGTATGGCTCACGAGCTGTGAAGATGCGGTGGTAGGGGAGAGGGTCGAGGAGTCTGATCCCGTTGTGCCTCGTGACGCGCGACCCTCGAATTTCTACATGACAGTCCTCGATGCCACTGTCGTGGATGATTTGACCACACTGAGCAGCCCAGATGTGGCCCTGCTCAAAGTCGATAGTTCCTGGGGTTACACCGATCCAGATAATTGCAGGGCCAGAAGGCTCGCCGACTTCAGGAATACGAACTGCGTCGATACTAGTCCAGTCAACCCCCCACGAATTCAAGCTGCTGCTGCGAAGAAGAGTGGCCACCTTGTCCCAACAGGCGGCGAGCGGATGGTCGCCCAGTATTCTGAGCTCCTTCGAAACTGGATAGGCCTCGGGAAGTTTGAGTCGTCCAGGCTTGGTAGTCGCAATAAATCGGGGATTAGAAGGCAGTCCCTTGTAATAGGTTCTAGCGATGATTTCTGTTACGACAGAACCGAGTGCAGTTGTGTTCACCGAGGCGGAGGGCTGAGTGTCACCGCTTCCACTGGCGGTGAGGGAAAAAGACGAAATGGGTTCTTCGTCTTTAACTGAGATCAGATTGTTCTTGGAAGGATCCACTAGGAGAAACGAGCGAATAAACATCAATACTGGACCATTGTGACAAAGAGAACAAAGACACTCACTGGTCTACGAGACCAGGAGGATAAAAAACAATAGAGTATGAACGACTGAACGTCTTTGGATGGCTGTTTGGCAAAAGACCAGTGGGTAGTAGACGTGGTGGAAGTTCAAGAGATCGACCCACTTGGTCGTCCCCCAAGACTGCAGACCATCTTGTACAGTCTGTAAATAGATTGATATAAGCCTCTCAAAACGCTTGTCGTACAACTTGCTAAGCCGACGATTAAGGGTTAGACCTCGGCCGGCTTACAGTTGTCGGAAGGATAGTCCCGCTGTTCAAGATTTCTATTACTCCGATTATAATACACCAGAACGATAGTACTATCAGCTGTGTGCCACAATAAATTGAAGAAGCCCATACTACCCAAGTCGCTGCCGTAGAGCAAGAGGTAGCAGTGCTTCCCGAAGACAATACCTATTTAATTATATCCGATTATCCGCTGGGCCAATGTACGATGTACCTCTTTTTTCCCGATTGGCAGCCACTTGAGCGGCCATTGCTACCGCGGCAGGTGGGGGCGTCGGAGAAGTACGCGGATTATCTCCAGACACCCGACCACTACTTAGGGTAGCCTTGTGGCTCGGAGCCGGGGAAGTCCTTCCGCTCGAACCCGTATTTGGCGAGGGTGTCAATGACGCCTCAGCTCCGGTGGGCAGACTTGGTGCCGCATGATGACCACTACCGTGACTCGAGCCACTGACGCTGTTGTTTGTGTGACTGTGCTTGCTTCCAGTCCCTATCGAGCTGATGCTGGCCTTGCTGCCTTGCTTCGAATGACCGCTGAGAATATTTGTCAAGCTGGGCCTCCTGCCCTTCTTTCCACTCCCAATGGATCCAAATGATGATGGAGGGTGATTCGATCCCTGGGGTGACGGAGATGTAACTCGGTTTGCGTCAAGGTCGCCAGAAGTGCGCTTTGTCGGGCCCTTGGATCCCCAACCCTTGAGAATTCCCTTCTTGACAGCAGGTGGTGGTGGGGCAGCAGTTGGGCTGGCTACTCTGCTTTCGCTGGCAGCCGAAGGAGGGACCACGTCTGTAAAGGCCTGCGAGGGCGATGGCATTTTATGGACGGGATATCTCGACTCTTGATCAAAGTGGAACGGGTCGAGTCCAGAATCAGAGCGTCGATGAGTTCCCGAGCTCGCCGTTGATGGGGTGCTGGGATCAGGGGAGAAAGAGTTTTTCAGCAGTGGCGACTTGGGGACTGGCGGAGGTCCCATGGATATGGGAGAGAATAGACCTCCGGCGGAGAGAGGAAGCGGCGGTGCATCAGAGAATGGTGGGGGGGTTGGTGGAAGGTTGAGTTGGCCATTGCCTCCAGGCGACACGGGCGGTTGCGAGCCATTCTTTTGATTTCCGCTCTTTCTCCAAAGGCTCCTGATACCCTTGACAGAAATCATCGAAGGAGCACGATCGGACTTGGTAACACTGGTTTGACCATCCTCCGAAGTCACTGAATCCGCAGAGAATCTGCTGGATACTCGGGGCAACGATGCTGAGTTTGTTGGCACGGTGGCACTGGTTGGAGACGTCGCGGCCTCGTTCGCTGGATCAGCCAAAGGAAATGTCGACGCAATGGGTGTTGGCGCAGCGCTGGACAGATCAATGACGGGGAGTCCATTGACTGTTTGACCGTTCGATGCGTCAGCATCGTCGGTGGGGACAGGAGGGAGTGGCGGAGAGGACGAACTCTCGGCGAGAGTTTCAGCGAGAGCAGCGGCACCGGGGATTGAGTTGAAGGAACCGATTGAAACTTGTCTACGAGAGGCCTTGGTCGAGGGAACTGGAAGTGAGCCGGACAGAGGAGTTGCAGGGGAAGATGGTTGAGGGGAAGAAGTAGGAGATCTATATATATAATGTCGGCGTATGCAACCGAATATGGCACACGACATTACCTGTCGGCTGAATCTTTGGCCTCGGCACTGTCAAAGACAATGGTAGGCGACTCGACGACAAATTTTTGTTGAGGGGAAAAGGCATCATCGCTTTCCCATTGAGAATTTGGAGAAAGACTCTCGATTCTCTAAAAGATTTTGAGCACATGGGAGTACTGGGCTCAAAAGTGAACTCACCCTTTCCAATTCATCCAGTCGTCGACTACGGGCCTCCTCGCGCCCCATGGGAGTCATAGAGCGCGAGGCATTGGAGCCATCCGCGTTAGTATCGAGGTAAGGAAGATCGCTGTGGCCTCTCATGCTAGGACTGGCAGAAGGCGGGGCAACTTCGACGTGAGGGATCTGAGACTTTGACGAAGAAGAGAGATCTAACGGCGGAGGAATGTGCTTGCTTGCCGATCTCGAACGTCCGCCGTGTGTAGAGGCGCTAGCCGATGGTGAAACTCGACCTGAAGCATCCAACGTCTGCTTGTGTTTATCCTTCCATAGCCTAACAACGTCTTCGGTATCGTCTGCAGCGCTCTCGTCGTCGTCTCCTTCCAAACTCATGATCGTACTTCCAATTCGACCACCAATCATGAGGTCGGGAGCATGAGGCGTCATTGAATTTTGTCCATCATCCTGTACTCGAATTTGGGCCCATGTAGCGCCATCGGATGGAAAAACACCATGGAGCGGATCATCGGTAAACTGGCCCATGTGTCTCATGGGGCCTCTGCGGCGGGGCATCTCGTCGTCGTCCAAACGCACGTATTGACCCGCATCATCAGAATCGACTGGAGAATTTAACGATGCCGCAGAGGTGCTCGGTGTTGGTACAAACTTTGCTTTCCACTCTGCCAAGCTTGGGCTGGTCGAACGGGCACGGAGTGGTAGCTGGAGTTCTCTGGTAGAACGCGGGTTCAAGCTGTTACTGTCCGTGTAATTACTGAATTGGGAGGAACCGGCCATGGAATGCGAGGTGGTCCGTCCGCGACGTCTCCATAGTTCGTACCACTGTGCCTTTCTTCGATCAATATCAAATTCCACCTTGGCAAGAATCGGAAGAGCAGAGCTGGGGTTCAGGTTGATGGCGAGGTCGAGGGAAGTCGAAGACGAAGCGGGGGTCATTTGGGAGCCAAAACGGCCCTCGGAGGTCGAGGAAGGTGATGGATATGGGCTACTGACGGACGAGGCAACGGATCGAGAGTGAAAACGCGCAATCGTCTTGCCATTGCTCGAACCATCTTTGTCTTTCTGAAGCGCGCGGTGCCAGAGCATCCTCCAAGCGTCGTCGGTGATCCGCGGTCCGGGGTCATTGTCCGTCGAGATGAGGTAGAGGATCATTCCGCCGGTGCTCGGCAAGGAATACTCGCGGGCAATGGCCCCAAGTTGTGAGGGAAGTGTCGGATAGAGGGGGACGAGCGTCCCTCTTCGAAACTGAGCTTGAGTATAAGGGTCGTTTACGTCATCTTGCTCAGCCAGCAACAAGTGCAGCGGCGGAATGACATGAAGGAGATATCGTGACGGGGTTGAGGAACCGTACGCGCTGCTACTCGACGTCGTGGGCGAATAGAGAGGATAAGGTACAGAGACCGGAGCTGGAGTAGATACACCGAGGGCGTTGGCAAGCTTTGCTAGTTTGTGAGGCGATATCGGAGTCCGGGGCTTGTTACTCGTGGTGGTTACAAGCGCTAGCGACCTTGGAGCGGCCTTCGGGGATGGGACTGGAGGCGGAGTAGTCGCCGCGGTGGACTCTGTTGCCTGGCGAGAGGCACTCCTGCTGCTGTATGGCGGAGATGTTGTCCAGGACATGCTATACGAATAGTCAGCACTCTGATTCAGAGCCTCAAAGCTGTAGTGTCTGGCGACTACTAGTGGCTGCGCCCCGCTGTGACAGTAGCCCGGGACGGAGACAGCCTGGGACCGTTCAGAGGAAGGCTCTTACCTGGGGGATGAGAGGGGACGGAAGGAGCGTAAAACTACTGTAAATCAAGTAAAATCAGCCATCAGATGGAGTATTCCCCGCGTCGGCCTTACAGGAATGGAGTTACAGGGCTCGTAAGTTGACAGCCGTAGTCGGGATGGGATTGTCCCGAGGAAAAGAAAGGAGCCTTGACTAACAGCGAGCCAAAAGCTGTAGATGTTTGCTAGAAATGCGAGCCGGGATGGACTGCGCGGGGATGGCGAAGAAAGTAATGGCGGAGATCAAGGTACTGTTGGTTTGTTGATAGACAAGAGAGCTCCGCTTTGGGAAGAGTCCCTTCACAACGGTATATTAGAGTCGTTGACTGCTGAATAGTATAGCACTTGAATATCGTCACTGTCGCTGAGATGGCAGGAGCCAAGTTGTGGGTTAGGGAGCAGCTGACAAGCTGTGAAACGCCAGCTCTCTCAAATATTTTACACTTTTGTTACACTTTTTGATACTTGCTTACATTCTCCACGATGCCTGCTGAGCCTTTTGGGTGGCGATTTGCAGCTCTGATCCAGACCACGACAGCCCAGCGAGTCGAGCAATCGTTTCAGCGGATTGGAAGCTGCCCGTAACGCCCTTTACGATCTAACGCTAACGCCTTGTGTCGTTTCGAGTCAGCCCGCGGTCTCAAAGGCTTGCTGTACACAAACAACGAATCTCTCTCGGCCCAGTACTTGATTCTCCACGCCTTCAAACAGTTCTTCTAACGTCTAGATCAGTCGATTGCAACGTCCTCACCCGCTTTCAACGGCTCCCAAGCACAAACCCGCACCAGTTCTCCCGTGAATCAATCGACGCGTGCCCAATGGATCCAAACGGCCAGCATATCACAAATCCCTATGGATACTACAGTTCTGGAGATGAAGGCGGACTCGCCGTAGACGAGTATGGCAACGCGGTCGGGTACGCCCATCAGCCAGTCCAACATCAATACGCGATGCAGGGTCCAAGTAAGTGTCCTCTTGCTTTATCTTTGCCTCGAGCGCGGACTCTTGCCCTCGATGCGTCCTAGCCCGCCTCGTGCCCTGCTCGCACCCTGGCGTGGCCGCGGGTTAACTCATCCGGATCCCAAATGTTTCTGACGATCTAATAGATATTGCTATGCCGCTCCAGATGCAACAACAGCCGCATGCGGCATATGTAATGCAGCATGGCTCGATGGCACTCACCCAGGTCCAATACGCGCCAGCTCATAATGCTGCTCCCGTCTATCATCAAGCCATCACCTCTCCTCCTCCCCCACCATCTCCCTACGACCCAGTCTCCCCGGCCCCTTCTGTCTCGGACCACTCAGCCAGCGGAACAGAAAGCGCAGGTGCAATGCCCATTCGTACAGGAGGTGTTCCCATGATGCCCAATCGTGTATATCACAAGCACTCTCATTCCCACTCGAGCCAGAGCTCGACGTCGTCCCTTCACGGTGAAAGCCATCCATATGCGCCGCCCATCATGCCCTTCCAGGGACCCGATCCTCGACGCCATCACTCGAGAACGCGAAGCATTGACAGGCACTCGGTCGAACGGACCCCTCCGCCCAACCAATATCAAGGCTCCGATGACGACTATGACGGCCAAAACACGGCCGATCCATTCGTCAACCAAATCAACCTCCTCAACCGGAAGGAATCCACGCGTCGCCAGCGTATCCAGGCCGAGCAGCGCCGCCGCGACGAACTGCGCGATTGCTATGCTAGGCTCAAGGACGTTCTCCCCGTCAGTGGCTCGAAGAGCAGCAAGGTCTCTCTCATCGAGCGAGCTCGAAGCTACATTATCGAAATCAACGCGGAAAACCTCGAGCTGAAAAAACAGGTCGAAGACTTTAAAAGAGAGGTCAACCGGCTTCAGCAGCTCAGCGAACAGATTGGCATCGGTCTCGTGGGCACTTCCACGACGGGAGCCACCGATGAAGCCCCATCTTCTACCGCAGATGCCGCTCAGGCTCCTACTTTGACCCCAAAGGATGAGCCGGCTGCAGCTGCGTAAGCAGGCTTCCACCGCTCACAAAGATTTTTCTTGGAGTTTCGAATCATATTTCTGGAGCATTATTCGATCATTGCTCCCTTTTCTTGGTCTGAATGTCTATACAGCCCTCCACGAGGCATCCTTCTCGCATCTGGTATGCTAACAAGTCAATAAACGGCCGAGATATTGACTCGGTACTCAGACACTTCCTACATTCTTTTGGATCGACAGCGTTTATTCCTCATTCTTCCAGATTCAGCGTGTATCTTGAATACAACGCAGGAATCTAGTGTACCATCGATATGCGATTCAGAAACTTGTCATACACTGCTAAATAAGGCGATGTTCATACAGTACGAGTCACGAATCGTCAAGGTGCCTCTTCCTCAGGGTCGCCGATACCTCCGGCCAGAATAGCAAACTGCGCCTCACTTTCTGGTAAACAAGGAGAGTCGTAAATCTTGCACACGCGCGTATTGCCTCGTCCTTTGCGTAGTTGTAACCTATCACGGATGAGCCATACATGTTGCCAGGCAGGTATTCATCACTGACCGAGTGGTCGACGCGTGTGCCATGATATTCCCTCCAATAGGCTTTTTGTCATTTCCGGCAAACATGGCAGCAGCAGCATCAGGCGAGGACATGACCTGATTTGTGACAACGACAGCGATGCCATACTGTAGGATGTCAGGTATAACATATGTAGATATTCAAACCGAGACTCACTTCGTCGGCAAGGCGTAAGAGCGTTCTCAGGAATTTGCCCAAGTGTCCTTGACGTGCGGACAACTCCCCTCTCCCATTGAAATCGGTACGATAGAGTGCAGTACAGGAATCCACGATGAGAAGAGCGAATCTATGGTTGATGTGAGATTATTTGAAGAGGAAATTAAGTCGCTCACCGTGATTCTGCCATCAGGGCTGACGCAGTCACCAACAGTTGTTGCTGATGGTCGGCATTGTACGCTCGAGCGTACGCAACATTGTCAAGGACTTCCTCTCCGTTCAGACCATATCTCTCTGCAACCGCAAGCAGGCGAACTGGACGGAAAGTTCCTTCAGTGTCAATGTACAAACACTTGCCCTCGCCACCGCCCATGCTCGTCGGAAGCTTGTTTCGATGTCAATTTCCGAGAATCGCAGACGACAAATATGCGCACCTGGCACGTGACAGCCAACGTGTGGCAAATCTGTGATTTCCCGGTCCTAAACTCGCCAAAAAGCTCTGTGATAGATCCAGTTTCAATGCCACCTACAAACAATTAACAATATTCCGCGCTGAAACTGCATCTAAACGTACCACCAAGCAGAGTATCGAGTTGCTTTGAACCAGTCGTGATGCAGACGAGCTCAGATCGTCTCAAATGCACCTCGGTGGCACTTTGAAACCCAAGGGGAACCATTTTCTGGGCTAAAAGGCGTCACATTAAGCAGACGACCAACCCGTGTTGATCAAGGCAGCATACCTTCGGCGATAATCTTATCGGCTTTTGCTTCTGAAATACCCTTGATGGCACAAAGTACCTTCTTTGGTGTATATGCAACGGATTCCATCGTGTACAGACCCGCTTCTTGGAGTTTCTTGATATCCTGGTTTGTGATGCCACATTCCTGTCAGGTAGACACGCGTATCAGCTTTTAAACGTGTGCTAAATCATGATGGGGACGATTTCATGGGATTTGACGCGTCGATACGCGCCAGACGAGGTGCCGCTCGATGCTTACAGCTAGCTTGGAGACCAGCAATGGGCCAAAGTTTTCTTCTTGCTCCTCCTCCATCTGTTTCTCTTCTTGGGACATGATTACAAGGCGCTTGTGGGTGTTCACGAACGACCCCTGGTTGTGGTTGGCGTCAACAAACTGACGGCCACCACAAGGCATCCAACGCAACTCGAGATACAGCATCTTAGTAAAAGTTGAATGGAACAAGAAATAGTGGGCAAGCCATATTTTGAACGGGCATAATACATGAAGGCATGTATGTCGGCATACCACTCAAGAACTCCAAAGACGCCACTAGAAATCTCTTTACTTCTTCTTGTTGGCCTCTTCTTCGTCTTTCTGCAGATATGCGTCAGTAGATATCAACGCAGGGAGAGGGAGAGTCATACCTTTGCCTGACGCGCCTTCCTGGCACCCTCGTGACGAGCCCGAGCCCAGGCCTCACGGAGAGTCTTGTAAGCCTCGAATGATCGCTCCTCATCAGTAATCTTGCGAGGTGCCTCACGCTCATAGGGGTCTACAAGCGCGAGCTGAGTGCGCGTAGTCTCGCAGGTAAGGTCATCACCCTGGCATAGATAATGAGTATTTGAGCATATGAAAAGGGGTCTAACATACCGTGGCATCACCCTTCTTGGGCTTCTTCGCCTTTCGTGGATAGACAATCAAGCGTTCGCTATAGGCCTTTAGTCTGGCGACATTGACAGCCTTTCCCTCCTCGCTGAGATTTCTTCGTCTGTGGTCGACGACGATTCCAAGACCGAGAGCCTTCTTCCTGCCGATACCGGCCTCTTTGAGCTCTGCCAAGGTGAAGCCACGACCCTCACGGATCTTCGAGTTGTAACGAACGGTTTGACCACGAACGGCAGGGCGGAGGAGTTGAAGAGGACGAGCACCAAGGAGTCCTGCCTTTGTCTTGCGTGCAACGCGGCGGCGCTGTTTGCGACCGGGCTGATCGAACCAAGTCCGAACCCGACGTTGCCAATCCTTGCGGAAGTGATTTTTGTGGAGGACTAGGGGACGTGGATGGTTCAGCTCATCGGTCACTGCTCAATGTCGAGTGAGTGCGCACCGTTATTATGTGCGAAACCCATCCTCTAAAGCTACAGAATATCGATTAATACCAGCAGTTTGCAATGCGGTTTGAAGCAGAAACGCACTTGGTCGAGATTAGGTTCTGTGGCCAAACACAACCAAGCAAGCATGGCGACCACAGGGAGTAGTGAATAAAATGAATAAAATTGACTAATCGTTGTGTAGTTACAGTGAAAGTATGCTACCGAGAGAGATGGAGAGCACACTGGAGCAGAGGAATCATGGTGACCCACAAGAAACCAACGTAGAACGTCTTCAAGCTTTCTCTTCCGTATGGGAAGCATTCTTGGCGTCAGAAGACTGGTTAGGTCTTCTCAAGCGATTGGGTGAATCTCCCACTGTCAACTCCGGACGTCTGGAAGCCTGACCGAGATTTTCCTGGAACCACTGGAGAGCCTCGAGCGAAAGAATGGTATGATGATGACGGAGGATATCCCAGACTTGGACCTTGTCCGCGCCTTTGCAGGCTACCCACTGCAAGTTGTTTGTCGCCCGTTCGAGCAACGGTGGGACACCACTTGGGCCGTTGATGAGTAGACAACCCTTTTCAATCTTCTCTGACAGTTTACGCAGCCGCGAGAGAGCGACGCGCGTTTTGCCCTCCTCCAAATCCACACTGGGCACCACAATAAGCTTGCGTTCACGTAGCTTGGTGCTAAGTGCAACTCTGAGACCCATATTTCTAATCTTCCTGGGGAGTTCGGTCGAGAAATCACGGGGTTTTGGTCCAAATGCGCGACCACCTCCACGGAGCATAGGACTTCCCCTGCTTCCCAAACGTGCTCGCCCGCTTCCTTTTTGAGGTCGTATCTTGCGCTTTGAGTAGGCAACCTCTGATCGTGACTTGGTGCTCGCTGTCCCTCGTCGCAGACTGTCGCGATACCAAACGATACAAGCGTGGAGTATATCGCGACGTATCGGATGGTTGAAGACAGAAGGGTCCAGATGAACCACTGTCGGTTCCTCCTTGTCAAACTCTCCGCAAAACGGCTTTAGTTCAAGCCAAGTCGGCACCTTTGACTCGAATTTAGCTGTTAAACATGTATTCAGAAAATTAAAATCCCAGCTTTCTTTGGTGACCCATACCTTGGACAGGAATGAATGGGGTTTTTGCAGTATCGTCCAGGAGCCATTTGAGAACAGGTTCGACTAGGTTGGGATCGACCTGTCCATCAATCTTGATCTTTGATTTAGTCTTTTGAGGTAATAAAGGCTCTTGCGCCGGCGCTCTGGTCGCTGCTGTGTGCAAAAGTGCAACGCGTCCAAGGCGCGACAAGCAGACACTCTGAGATATCATAAATTACTATAGCAGTCATTTAGATGAAGATAGAGTACGCACCGTTGCGACAGCGCGCCGTGCCAACATCTAGGTCGAAATGAACGTGGTCAAGATTCCCCCACCACCCATGGTTCTATTTTACTTTTACTGGATTTCAAACGTCTGCAGATGAATTCTTTGACAAGCAGAAGGAAATAATTTAGAAATGCGAGGCACGTGATAGGGGCTATTGAACTCCGCTCACATGAAAGAAATGGAACCCAACCCATGTAATGTACTTGTTATACTATGGATATACTCTCAATATTATTTTTAGAATTTCCCTCGAGGATCCTGGAACAGTGTTTGGCCCTTGTTTGTCTCCTGCCCACGAAATTCTCCCCGACCACGACTGTCTCCTGTGCTGCACATAGGAGAAATCTAGGTCTATAAAACCCATCATGTCTACTACAAATGCTGTCCAGACATTTGGCAAGAAAAAGGTGCGATGCGCTGTTGGCGGATTCAGCAGACAGCGAGTTGACTTTTGCAATCTCTTGGGTGCATCTACAATCTGAATGTATTATCTCTGCCGATTTTAGACGGCTACTGCTGTCGCGCATGCAAAGGAGGGCCGTGGCCTCGTCCGCATCAACGGCCAGCCTCTGAATCTCGTCCAACCCACCACGCTCCGCTACAAGATCTACGAACCTATCCTGATACTTGGAGAGGAGAATTTGTCTACAATCGACATCCGTGTCCGCGTCTCTGGTGGTGGCCACACTTCGCAGATTTACGCCATCCGACAAGCGATTGCAAAGGCTGTTGTCGCGTACTGGATGAAGTACTACGATGCTAGTCATGCGTTGACCCTGAAGAAGAGCCTTGTCGACTATGACCGCTCGCTCATCATCGCTGACCCTCGACGAATGGAACCGAAGAAGTTTGGTGGTGGAGGTGCTCGTGCCAGAAGGCAAAAGAGGCAAGTCTTTACTCTCTCTTCGGAAGCTAGATCTAACGATGCCTCACAGTTACCGATAAACGGGCTGCTGCTTTTGTATCTTGCCGTGTTCCTCGAACATGCATCATCCTTATATGTGTGTAGCCACGAAATACATGCTAAAACACCAAAACCAAACGTTTGGTTTGAATTCCAAGAAGCGGGTACATCGACGGCTATGAAATCTTTGCCTTGGAAAAGTCCATCTCTGGGTGCATCGCCTGGAATCTTTTGAGGGTCTATCGAGTATCAGTGACTGATTGTCTTGCTTAGAGTCTACTCACCTCCATCTTCTTCAACTCGTCTGAAGTCGGCTTTCCCATTTGCTGTCAAAATTAAGCCACTGAACCTTCATATCACTGTTCTTTACATACCCTTTGCTGTTGGTCGAACTATTCGAGTCGTCAGCTCGAGAATCCAACATTGCTGAGACACTCACCATCATCTTTTCTACCATACCCCTAAACATAAACATCAACGCAACAGCCTGTGCGTGTTACATTACTTACCGTGTTTCCCCGTCCAGGTCGCTTAGTTTGCTGTTCTCCGGTGTAATCTTTGTCGTGTCGAGTTTGGGGTGGTGGGTGAGGACATTTTCCCACCACCGCTGCTTGTTCACCTTCTCCAAATGAATCTGGACCTCCTTTTGATCCTCTGCGTCCGATCAGTGTCAAACATCCATCTAGCCACAAACGGCCACATACCAAGGGTCCAAGCGCTTTCTTCTACCTTGATATCTTGACACAATTCCCCAGCCATAATAGGCTCCTGATTCTTCAGTCCAACGCTGAGCTTCTTCTTCGCGATTGTGATAGCCAGATCCCTCGCTCTTGTACCCTTTGGCACAGGCACGACGATATCGACGTCTCCTAGCTGTTGTGACCATGCATAAGGGAGGGCTAGCGGATAATCAGTCGGTTATTCTGCTCAAATCCGATCTAGAGCACCTGCTTGTTCCTCCCGCTCACGTTGACGTTCTCCAGCATCATACTTTTCGCGTTCTTCCGTCGTGAGTTTATCGTATTCTTCGGAAGATAGTGGCATTGTGGAGTGATGGTTGAGAGCAGCTCAGCGCCTGCTGCCACCCAGTTCTAGCTCTTTCCTCGCCGGTTAACTTTGTCAATGATCAGTGTTCTGCAAACGACAGGAAGGGGTATATGTAGATATAACGCCTACAAACCCACGTTTCAAAAACGCTTTGCGTCTTTCAAAACAACGCACGTGAGTGTATATACCAAGCCCGACATCGTTTAATGACTTAGGATCAAAGGCTATTCCTCCCTCTTTGTTGTCTATTTCAGAAGAAGTTCAAGACGCTATCGAACATGGAAAACCGGTCGTGGCTTTGGAAACGGCACTGGTGACCCATGGGATGCCTCGACCAACAAACCTCGAGACAGCGCTCGCGCTGGAACAGTGCGTCAGAGAAAGCGGAGCTATTCCAGCAACGATCGGGAGTGAGTTTATCTATCGCAGTTGATCATAACTAATCCATACGGTGCAGTCGTTCGAGGTCGAATTCATGTTGGCCTTTCGCAGCATCAGCTAGAATTACTCGCGGATACCAAGAATACGGTTTCTTCAAAGATTTCGCGAAGAGATATCGCTGCCGTGTGTGCTAAACGAGGAAATGGAGGAACGACCATTGCTGGCACAATGGTCATCGCGCACCTCGCCGGGATCAAGATCTTTGCGACTGGAGGGTTGGGTGGTGTACACCGAGGTGGGGAGAACTGTAAGGCGCATCCAATCTACATTGCACACTCCTTACTCGTTTGCAGCCCTCGATATTTCCGCAGACCTCACTGAGTTGGGGAGGACGCCTGTTACCGTGTTCGCTGGTGGGGTGAAAAGTATTCTCGACATTGGGAGAACCCTAGAATATCTGGTGAGATCCGCACAGTGGGTCCTTCCCGAGCGTTGATATCCGTCGTAGGAAACACAAGGAGTTCCCGTTATCACCTATGGTAAAACGGCGGAGTTTCCGGCCTTTTTCAGCCCGAGGAGCGGATTCAAGGTAGCTCTTTGACGTGCTCGTACCAGACGACTCATATCTTGAAAGAGCGCGTACAACGTCGAGTCGCCCGTCGAAGCAGCTGACATCATTCGTGAGTTTCAAGTCTTCAACTATATCTACTTAGGCAGGGCTTTAGATCACGGGGACCTTCTCGGGCTGTCGAATGGGTGTCTGTTCGGATGCCCGATTCCAGAGGAGTACGCACGAGTTGGTGAGAAGATTCAACTGGCCGTAAATCAAGCGGTGGAAGAAAGCAAGCAGAATGGCATGGACAAACGTGGAAAAGAGGTCACGCCGTGGCTCCTTCAACGAGTCAACGAACTTACCAACAGCGCATCGTTGGAAAATAGTAGGTTGTCTAAATAGAGATCAAGCATCTTACCAGGTTTTCTCGTAGACATCGCATTATTGGAGAATGCAGCGCGAATCGGTGCGTCTGTCTAGTTGTTCAAAGCTTACGCTGATGCTTTGCAGGTGGAAGGGTGGCAGTAGAATACTCCAAACTGAAAAGCGGTAGCAATATTTCTCAGGTATAGGTCACTGTAAGTAGCCTATCGGGTCGTTATTCACCAGATTATTACCAGCCAGCCGCACTTGTTCTTCCTGAGTTGACGCCGACGGATACAGTCAGGGGTACAAAGAGCGAGGTACACCTCTTATCTCTTAGAAAAGATCGTTAAATCCTTTTCAGCAGCATAAACCCGCGAATCTGGTCGTGATTGGCGGCGCCGCAGTCGACGTTGTTTCAAAGGCATCTCCCAGGACGGGCGAATCCATCAAACAAAGCACCGTCCCTGGAACCATTAGTAACGCATTGGGTGGAGTCGGACGAAACATGGCTGAAGCAGCTCATCGACTGACGACTGCAAGCAACGACGGTACTGGAGGCGACGTTCTCTTGGTATCACCCATAGGCAACGATCTATATGGGCATAAGATTAAGAACGGCACAGGCTCCATGGGAATGCGGCTTGATGGACTCATCGCGAAGCAAACGAATCGAACGGCTGTCTGTAATATGGTCCTCGATGAACAGGGAGATCTTGTCGGTGGCGTCGCTGACATGGAGATCAATGACGCCTTGACGTTTGAGGATGTCAAACCAATACTAAGCAAGCAAGAACCCTCTCTAATAGCGCTCGACAGCAACATCGCGAGCTCACTCATGAAGGAAATCTGTCACTGGGCCCAAACTCGACAAGTACAAAGTGCGTTACATTCAATGGTTAAGTTGTGTACTCACAATCTCAAAGCCTTTGTGTATGGGCAGCTTCACCCAGCCCTGTCTCTACTAATTTGATCTCTTAGTGAGCCCACCTCTATAACAAAGTCGGAGAGAATTGTGGACGTGCTCGCCCAGCTATTGAAGCAACCACCCAACGTCCTTCCGGGAAAGATGCCTTTTGCGCCTATTACATATACCTCGCCCAACTTATTCGAGTTAGAGCGAATATACTTGGCGCTCGAAAAAGGGATCGAGTTACACCCGGCCATGCGAGATTGGTGGTGGACCGTTGTTGATGACCTCGGCCTCAACCAGGATTATCAGTCTCAACTCGCCGTTCTCTCACGAAAAACCATCTTTGACGATACTGGTCTCTCTCCCCAAACCTTAGACTTCTTGACAGAGAAAGGCGTATCACGCATGGCCATCCAGCTGCTCCCCTTCTTCCAGCACCTATTCATCAAATGTGGCAGAGCAGGTAAGCTGACTATGATAACATGGCTGAGGCTCAGGGTCGATAGGCGTTATACTTGTGATGCGTGTCCCGAATACGCCGGCGCAACCTTGGGGCGTTCAAAAGACAGACATTCAGAAACGCCAGATTGTCTTCAAAGGTCGCTCTACTATTCTTGTTCTCAAGCATTTCCCAGCGATTAATCTTGATCCATCTCGCATTGTCAACGTTACCGGGGCTGGCGATTCGTTGGTCGGTAGCCTTTTAGCTACACTTTCCAAACGGCCAGCGGTGCTCGAGGATCCGTCACAGCTTGATGAAATGATTCGAATCGCACAGTCGGCTGCGGTGCTCACTTTGGAGAGCGACCATGCTGTCTCGCCTCTGCTTGGAACACTCAGAACCACACGGAAATGACATGAATCCCAACGAAATAATTATTCGATCTAGAGTATATGCATCTATCTAGTCTATAATCAGGAATTATTACCCACGATTGCCTCTTTGACCTCTTCATTGGCCACCATTCCGACGATGCGGGCTTGCTCGGCCACATCCTTGAGCACACCAAGGACTTCTCCATTGCCCCTGAGGAAGCCAAACTCGTGGTATGTTAGTCCCCTCTCTTTTGAGAATTCTTTGACGAGCATGCTTGCTTTGCGCAAATTGTGTCGCGGTAGTCGCGGGAATAGATGGTGCGTGACTTGTAAATGGAGACCACCGTGAACAAATGCGAGCGAGTCGGGACAGATAACGTCTGTTGTCGTGCGAAGCTGACGGGCGACAAATGATTCGGATGGCCCAAGATCTTGAGTTGACCGAGAGAAATGAGAGAGTACGATCTAGACCATATCAGACAAAATTGATACAAGATTGGTAGATCTCACCTGAACATGCAAAGGACTAGGCACCATATGGCTGATCAGAACAAAGCCGAGGATTTGCTTCCAATTGCCGATGTGCACCAAAAGAGCGCTATACCACGTCCAAAAGAGCGCAATAAATGTAAGCTCGAGCCAAAATGTCCACTTTCCACCTCGTGCACGCTTGCCGTCAAACGCGCGCTTGTATAGGAATCCATAAGAGTTCGCATAGAGATTGAAGCGAGCAAAGGACATGATGATGTAGTAGAGTTGATGTTGGAACTTGAGGACGATGTTGGCAAACGCGTCGAAGACCATGATTCGGCGATAATATGAGGAATAAAGATTGCTGAGGAATGACTTGGAGATTGCAAAAAAAGGCATGTGTTGGATATCTGGGTCGTGAGTTGGATGGTTCGTCACAACTAGAGTTGAACAAATCAGCCTTCGTAAGACCTAACAGCAAAGATACTCACGGTGATGAATGTTATGGTTATCTACCCACCACCCGATACTCAACCCACCACAAAAGTCGGCGATAAACGTTCCAATGATCCGGTCAAAAACCCAGTTGTGGGTAACGCCCATATGCCCCAAGTCGTGTGCCGTAAACGTGAGTTGATGCCATACCAGGCCAAGGAAAAAGGCACTGGTCATGTACCACCCATGCATAAACGCAAAAGCAGACAGGGCGGCTCCGAGGAGATACCTGGCCACCTCGGGACCGTAGCCGGTCAAGTACGGCGTTTGGTATAAATCCGCGTCTATGATCCTCTGATGAAGTTCGCGATAGGATTTAGAGTGCTCCGTTTGCTCGTCAAGACGGATGGAAGGCGGAGGTGGGGGAGCCTGAAGACTCTCTAGCGTCGGCGCGCTCCCTTTTTCCTTTGCATCCACACCAACGAGAAGAATCTCGGAAGAGAGCAACGACCCGTCATGTTCCTGCGTGCGCACGTTGGCCTCGCGCACCCATGCTCCCTCCTTTGAACGATACATCCATCCATTGGCAACAGGGGGCGTGAGGGGTTCCCATGAGCCAGATTTATTCAACTCAACTCTCCCAACAAGGTAGTTTTTGACTTTGCTCGCCATGGTCGGCTCGGCGTGAAACGCCTCGATTTCGTCCGTCGCATCGCGGCCGACAAAGTGTAAGATGGCTAATGCACCTCCTGGGTGTGCTTGTAGCCATGAATGTGGTATTTTGAGTAGCTGGCCGCGGTAAATGACCAGGTTCTCTCCTTGGACGATCCTTTCCGCAATTTCCTGGCGTGTCCAGACGGTTGTTCTGCCATTTGGAACCACCATGTCGTCGTTTAATATCTTAATTTTTGTAATTTACGGAGCAGCCAAGCAAGCCACGTCGCCAAATTTCGCAAACGTGGAGTGGGACGAGGAGACGAAGGGTCGGGTCGCGGCCAACCCAGCTCGCTCCTCTCCAAATTCTCGCAGTCTGGCCTGTCAATTGCAGATCGAATCAATCGTATTCCAAATATCCAGGACACGAAAGACGAATACAGTTGCTAAGTCTGCAAAGCCCAAAACTCCTAGAGCAAACAAGGACAGAGCCAAACAAGCAGAGGGAGAAGAATCCAAAAACCAGTGAATTACATGCCACAGAAGAAAGAGAAATGCTACAACGCATAATGAGGAAGAAGATGCAAGAGTCCCTGAACTTGTATGGATGCGAGTCAATGCTAATCACGATCCCTGATGATGAAGAAAATATGCAAAATGTGGCATGCAAAGAAAGCACAAATTTTGCCGCTAGAGTTATTGGTCACCAAACAAGCCTCGTGCGTCAACGCGCGCCGTTGCTGTCGTTGGCGTGACGGCAGAGAGCCCAATCCAACTCTTACGACTGTCTGTCCGCTTCCTGAACAGACCAGCTCGTGGCGTCTGAATTCCGAGACCGAAGCTCGGAGTCAACAGTGGTGTCGAAGTAATGGTTACAGTCGAAGGAGTGCTGACTCCTCGAGTACGTGGCGAAGGGGGGAAGACGAAGAGAGTCTGAGAGGCTGATGGGGTTGGTGTTACGCCTACCGTAGGTGTCTTCCCTGAAGAAAAGGCGGCTAGCGCCGTCTTGACAGGGAATGGGACCATGGACGATATCCTCTGGGAGAGACGTCGGGTACGCGAAGCGGAAGGAGTAACCGCAGATTGAGTAGGTGCGCTCGATGAAACTTTGGCCGTCTCTTGCGAGCGAGACTCATCGTCTGCGACGACCTGCACCAAAGGGAACGGTACAACCGTGGATACGCTCAGCGGGGGAGGTCGGCGCTTCTCCTTCTTGGTAGCCGTCTCCTTAGGACGCTCTTCAACGGGTGATGGAATGGTGGGCAGAATGTCATTCTGAATGCCGCTGCGAGGACGGGAAGAGGAGGGTGGTTGCCGAGTGACCATGAACGTCTGCCGATAGGCAGAAGCAGAAGGTGGACATGTAGGAGTTCCAAACGAGGTCTTTGTCGCTGGTGCTGATGGAGGCGGCAAATTCGACTTTTGCTGACGATCCCGCGTGCCAAACCGTTGTTCGTCCGTGAGGCCAAAGCAATGCGTGTCCTCATCGGTAGCGTCTGTATCGGGGGTCGTCACCTTTTCCGGATCTCGATGTTCGAATTCTTCTTCTTCCTCGAGAATGTCCTCGGAGACTATGCTAACCGAGCTCCGAGAGGTCACGCTGCTGCCCATTGAAGTCGCACGACTCCGATTGTACACGCCTGAGCCATAGCGAGTCCGCCATGGCGCACCGTTACCAACAGCGCCGGTGAAGCCGGTTGCATTAGTCGAATTCGAGTGAGATGATGCCAAGGAGAGTTTTCGTGCCCTTCGTTCCTCCATCTCACGATCCAGCTCTTTTGCCTCTCGTAAAATTTCCTGGCTTTCTGGTTCAGGCGAGTCCATTGCTAGGCGACGGCGTTCCCACTCCTCATCCTCGGAGGCGCCCTTGGACGACGGTGTCGGAGAATCACCACCCTTGAGTGCGCGTTCGTAGTCGAGTAATTGATAGATCAAGCTGGATAATAATGTGAGTCATGGTTACGAGGAGGCGATCGAATGTTACATACGACATATTCGGCCCGATCGTGTTGCTCCTTTGCTGGACGTAGTCATATGCAGCCTGCATTCCTTTGCCGTTGAGAGCCAAAACCTCTGGCGGAACAGATGGACCGCCTTGAGAGGCGGCGCGCATCACATAGGCAATTGTCATGGTAGCCGATCTCGATACACCACATTGACAGCTACATCAAGGGTGAGAAGACGTCGAAAGTTATGTCAAAAAAACAACTGCGTACTGAATCAATACGCCTTCACGTCGAGCCAGGGCGGCGTCGACAAAGGCAAAGCCCTCTGCGAATCCGGTGCGCACAAGGTCGGCCTGGCCATGCGACCAGGGCAGCTTGAGATAATGCATCGGAGGTCTGCCAGAAGGCAAATGAGCGGGTTGGTACGTTTGCGCGTGTCGTGATGATTCGTGGAGGGTGATGGCGGATGCCGTATTGCGACGAGCGGGAGGGGCAGGGTGCGATGAGTCGAATGAAATGACGACTTCTTTTGCGACGTTGAGAATTGAGCGGATACCACGCTTGATGAGTTCTGGCCAGTCGCGAGCGTTGTCCTCTGAGCCCAGCCAGATTCCAGGCATAATCTCAATAGGACCATCTTGATACGCGGACGTTGCAGCATCTCCCTCGTCGTTTCTACGGAGGATACTGGAGACGCTAGCGCCGGGCAAGGAAGCCACCGAGGCCCTCCTGTGCTGCGGTGGAGCAGAGGCTTTGGGATCGGCCGGCTGCGAGAGGGTGGCTGCTAGCGGAGCAGGGCTCTGGGTTGGTGCATTTGAGATGCTGAGCGAGAGACGCTTGACATTACGATTGCCCGAGGGTTTTCGCTCGTGGCCAGCAGGCTTGGACATGATGGAAGTCGCACCCTCGGGCTGTGGCACTGGCCTGGCGTTAGCTTGAGCGGCATCGTCTGCGTCTGCAACTGCAACGACAATGGAAGAAGATGGGAAAGGCTGCGAGGCGAGCTGGAGAGGCGCTGGGGGTCCTCGTTTGCGGGATGATGTCTGCTGAGAAGTGGATGCGTTGTTGGACATTTGCTACAGTCGGAAAATTCAGGAAAAAACGGCCAGCCGTTTCACAGTATAGATTTTGATGTAGAAGTGGATGTAGAAAGCGTCAAAAGGCGGAGAATGATCAACCGCAATCGACGCGCTGAACGCTGCGCTTGTGGACGAGAGTTCGTGAGAACTGAAGGGCGTGAAAGTAGTCGGAAAGCTGGAGGGTTTAGAGTCCACGACGATCCTGAGGCAGCGACAGCGGACGGGCTTGTTGGCTGCAGATACGGTCAGGTCGAAGTTTGGATGACGGCCAACCTCGAGAGTTGGCAGCCATGGTATAAAAAAAAAAAGAAAGGGAAAGGGGCAATCACAAATGTCCGGTAGAAAGCGTGGCAACACAGAAATCATCCGAATTCTCACAGACATCAGCAATCTCTCCCTGAGCAATGCCCCCCGAAAATGGCTGCGCACTCCATCCGAGATTACATGCATTATGTGTAGAAATCGTACGAGAGTAAATACAACTTCAAACTCCGCGTTAAAAAAAGGTAAAAGAGAAGGCGCTCAGGGGTGCTGAGAACAGAAAAATTGGTCAAGGTAACATATGTGAGGTCGAAACACGGAATTCTCTAGTAAAAGGCGAGAGAATTGTACGGTCTGCTCCAACCTCAGTTACCATCTTGAAATACCCAGAGATGGATCGCCGAATGCTCATCTTTATTCTCATTTTTCACGTCTGCTCAACCATCAGGATTGCGATAATGCCCGCAAATACTTGGATATTTCCTGGACTTTAATCTAGAGATCCTTGAGAGTGTATATTGATGGCAAAGTAAGGCTACGAGGTCTGTTCCACCTTGGCTGACTCGCCAAATGCGAGCGTCGCTCCGAGTGAGATATGATCCGACCCACACACGTTGCGTTTCGGAAGACCCGGGTCCATATCCGCCTTCTTGTGTGGGGGGAGTATCGCCTCAACGGTTGCCGTCCGGTTGCGAGGCATCGCCAAAAAGATGTAATCTGGCATAAATGAAGGGCCGCATGGAGTCGTTAGCCTCGTAAATGACGGTTTGATGTGTACGCACCTAATTTCGACTTCCAATAATGTGTGTAACTCGTGAAAGATGGCTCGTTCGATCCACGTCTTCCTTGTATCGTCGAGGCCCGACCGTCGGTTTCGATCAGATGAGTGGGAAGAAGAGGCATCGATTCGTCATAAACGCTCCGAAGCGGCAACATCCCCGATGACCTATACAGCCTTTAAGCACGCATTCTGCTCATGGGCTTGACAACGTACTCGTGCAGCGCCCGTAACTCTTCCAGAGTCATTAAGCCATCCTCTTCTCGGCAGGGCCTCGAGTTGGTGATCACTCGGTCAGGATCATTTTGTTCTCCACCGCCACCGCCTTCTTCGTCGTCCTGGACCTCTTGGTGAAGCTGTGTTGTCGGGACATAATCAATTGTTGGATCGACTGAAACGTGCACGACACGGGAGGCACTGAACATTTTTTCTTGGGAAGCCGTGACGGATTCCCCGACCATCGTAGAATATGTCACGTCGTCGGGTGTAAGGTTAAGGTCTACAACAGTTAGGCCTTGATAGCTCGATACATTTCGACTTACCGCCTGCAATAATGCATGGCCAATCCTCAAGCTCGAGTTCCTTCTTGAAATGTGCAATCGACCTCAGAAGGAGTCCTACTTGTCTACGGACGTGAGCCTTGGCCAAAATTCTAAGAGATGTATTACCTGAAGCGCTCATAAACGTATCTAAGCGGTCATTAGCTTCCTTCGGGGAGCGGCGACACACTCACGCAGGGTGCCAGAAGAGATGCGTGGTGGCGAATATATATCCTGCTCCAGGATCATTCTTTCGCTTGATAGCAGCGATTAACCCTATGTTCTTTGTCACTCTACTCATCCCTCTTCTCCAAAGCTGGGCGGTCGCATCGTCCATGCCCTCTAATGATCCTTGACGCACGTCCTCCTCATCGTAGTATACCACGCGATGAGACACCTCTTCAAGTAGATCTTTGCGTAGCAGCATCATGCATCCGTGGGCCTTGTTGCGACCAGCGGCATAGATGTGGGTGTAGCGAGAAGACACGGCTGGTAAGAGTTCGTCTAGCCTGTCCGCCTCTTGTAGACATAGTATATCTGCGTCGTATGTCATAATCTCTGTAGAAAGCATAGGGCCTCGAGTGCCAAACTGGGAGCGTTAGGACGATGAATTCCTTGGACCAGTTGCTCACTTTCAATGCGTCGCTTTTAGGAAACAGTTCACGTCCTATACGTCGTCAACATTTGAAGAAGGCGAAAAGATTGTCACTTGCGTATTAGGGACTGAGCGAGCACCTAACGAATGGGATGAGCTTTGATCAGGTTCCGAAAAAGATGACGCACATTCCATGTCATGACTGATAGCTTAAACGAATTTTGGTCCGGCTCTCGGATGTTGGTCCATTCCCGTCGTAAGATGTAGCCAGGCTCATCCCATTTCGGGCCCTGCTTGTCGGTGGATGCAAGAGCTGCTCGTTTCGCTTTTTGTTCGCGTCTTGCAGCTTGCAGAGCTTGCTGCTCGGGTGTCAACTGATACGGCGCCTTTGGCTTTGGTGGCATAGAAAGTCGAACTGGGATAGATCTAATGAGGTTCGAATAATACTTCGAGGTGCCTGAACGCCGTGTAAGGTGTGCAAGACGGAGGAGAAGCGTGGTGGGTGACCGAGACAAAGAGGGGTTCAACCTTGTTCCTCACCACGTCTGTTGCCCGCACCCTCCCTCACCAGACAACCATCCAACAAGGCATCCAGTCGTATATCTACCTCTCTACTATTTTTTGACCGTCTTGGTGAACCATCGCTAGTGAGTGTCTTTGTTCCATTGGGCTCCCGGCATCAAATTTTAATTTGCTCGTTTCTCCAGTGGAACCGTCTACGAACGTTTTCTTAGACAAAGACAGAGTCTTAAATCCATCTTTTCCTCTTACTGGCACGGCATCCATCGGGAATCCATCGATTTCGAGTTCAGACCCGTCTGGCGACGGTACTTCGATGCAGCTTACCTCTAGTGATAGTGGTTTGAGCGACCTCTTGTCTGACCCAAACGCCATTCCACCCGCTTTTATGGTAACAGAACCAATCTCGAACGTTTATTATAAAGGACTCCCATCCCAACCTCGTCTTATCGGTACCACCAAACCCCAAGCGTTTGAATTCCCGATTGGGCCCGAAGCCTATGTAGACCCAAAGGAAATCAGAGTTCTGGCAATCATCCCTTGGTGGCACATTGGGACGAGGTGGCCACAGCTCTCCGGAGCCGTCTAAACTCGTGGAAAGTCAACTGGACTAGCGTCGATGCCGTCAAAATCGCCTACGTCGAGGAAAAGCTCTCTGGCCCGGCCATTATTTGGATAGGCGTCATGCCTGGAACTCTCACTTTCGAGAAAGGTGCCGCCATTGCCGCGAACTGCCGTCCCATAGTCGATGCGTATGGTATCACCGACTATCACGTGGAGGTTAAAGAGTCACTCGTCGCAACACTGGGGAACAAATTCCTTGATCCTCTCCCTTTCAATCCCACGTTTATCCATCGTGAGCCGTTCACTGCCACTCTTGGCACTCCTATTGCCAGTCGAGTCATGTCGAAGGATGTCAACGAGGAGGAATGGGTCGAAGGATCGGGAGGTTTCTTCCTAAGCGCTGGAGGTCAAAATAAGAATATCTACCTCATAACAGCACGACACAACGTCCTGCCCGTTGGTGACGAAAATTTGGAATACGCGTATGAAGACGATACCAAGCCACGTAGGGATGTGATTGCTCTTGGCCCGATGGCCTTCAAGAGGAAGCTGGCAGTCATCGAGCACGCTATTGCGACTCAACAAAGGGCGATTGATTATGCCAACGAAGATCTCCACTCTCTCTCTCGAAAGTGTGTGATTGATCCTGCGTCAAGTAAAGCGCGCCAAGTTGCACAGCAAGCGTTGGAAGAGGCGAAAGAGGCATTGGAGAAGCTCTAGGCACTACACCACGAGATTACGGTACATTGGAAGAACTCTGCGGATCGTTCTATCGGTCACCTTGTCTGGGCACCCCCTATCGTACTCTCAACGGAGCCAAACCAATTTACCCTCGACATTGCAGTCATCCAGATTGATCCGGGAATGCTCGATGCGGAAAATTATCTCGGAAACACAATCAACTTGAGCACTAATTGCACCCGCGATGAATTTCTGGACAAGGTGAAACTCAATCCTGGTAATCATCTACCCTTCCGATTTCCGCGCGGCTCCCTCTTCAAGCTAGAAGGCCAGGTCCCAGAACACGACGTACACAATTTACCTATGCTTGACAATAAAGGTGAACCATGTCTGGTTGTCTTCAAGAACGGCGCAAAGACCGGCATTACCGTCGGTAAAGCCAATGATGTCGCTTCATATACACGGGTATATCACCAAAACCTGTATCAAGAATCCAGAAAGTGGGCGATCATTACCACTAACAAAAACTCTGGTTCTTTCTCCTGCAAAGGTGACTCTGGGTCGTGCGTCGCCGATGTCTATGGCCGCGTAGGTGGAATTCTTACATGTGGTACGACGTCTATTTTCAATGATAAGTGCGACGTGACCTATGTCACCCCCATATCGTTCATCATGAAAACACTCCGCGCCAACCCGCTCTTCGGACAAGCCCGCCTTGAACCATCTCTCGTTTAGGTCAAGCGAGTTGATCATGGACTTCTGAGATGATCATCCAAATAGTGTAGCATGTTTTACATTGTCTCCTTACAAGTCCACTGGCATTCGATACGCTATACGATGTCTATTCGCTATATATATGCAATATTGTTTGAACAATGATCTGACGAACTGATATGTGAGCTCAAGCGAACCCATTACAACGCCAAAGAGAGTGTAGGCAGCCATCATCCAAAGACTAATGCCGTCGTAGCGTTCCAATGGCTTACACTTACCTTCTGAGCCTGGGAACTTGAGTATTCCATACACTATGATAGACGCCTCGACATGGAACGGATGTCGGAGGAAGGGTTTGTATAAACGCTGGGTATGCCAGAAGCACATAAAAAGGCTGGGAGCGGATTGCCTTGCCTGTCGCCCTTATGTCCGAGTAGTATACCTCTGATGCCAACTGCCAATATGATTGTCAGGAGCCCAAAATATAAGGCTGTTCCCTTTTATACAGTCCTGCCGTGAAACAGTTTGGTGGATGTACTGCGGATCTGGCAAAGTGGTCCCCGTTTCGAATGTCCTGAAGCAGCCAATGCACACGTTCCATACGCTATCATCGTCTTTCTGAGCTTGCAGTGCCTGTTGCTCGGGTGTCAACTGGTCGGCGTCTGCTGGAAGCGAAATGAGACCGATCCGAGGAGCGTCGAATGTGTCGAGTGGATATCCTGTAAATTCTGCAAGACGGCATGTCAGCGTGGCAAATGACCAAGACGGAGACAAGTCCAAGTTACTTTTCTCGGCCAAATGACAAGGGCCCGCCATCATCACTTGAACCGCACCTACATCTGCCGCTCGCTGCTCACTCGCCAGAACATCGTTCAGAGCGACTGTAAACCTTCTTTCAGCAGCAACATCGACCTCAAACACCCTACAAATCAAATGTACGACAGCCCGTCAGGACTGGTTCGTCCGTTGCCGCCCAATCCTCCTCCCGGCGCAGACGATTTCGATGGTCCAAACGGCGCAGACAGAAAATTCGATGGCCCTCCAATGCTCCCTCCAATGGCATCGTTCAATGACGGCGGACTAGCGCCCCAGGCGACACGCTCGGGTCCTCCATCGAGGGCTGCCACGCCGCCGCAGAGTCCTGGCTTCCCCAATAACGGCGGAAAACCAAGGAATCCGCTGACAGATCTGATTGATAGCGAGGAGCAGTTTGTCGCCCTCATGAGCGCCATCATCCGAGTACGCCTCTCAGCATCATACCCCAGCCGTCGAAACCGCTGATCGTCGCTCACAGAAAGTCGCGTCGGCTTGGTCAAGAAAAAACTTTCCTCCTCCCGAGCTGGATCTCATGTTCAGAGGCATCGAGGGCGTGTTCAAGGCCAGCCGCACCTTTCTCTCGGTACGCTCTGCTATCAAATCACTTGTGATTCTTCACTCACGTCTCTCCCAGAATCTCAAAGAGATTGGCCCCAACCCTTCGTCTCCAAAGGCGCTAGGTGATCTATTGATACGATGGGTAAATACGCTTCTACGAAACATCACAACAACCTTCCAGCTCATGTTACTATACAGGTTGATGATTTAGAAGGACCCTATACACGATATTGTGAAGCGTTTGCTACCGGATTCGATCAATGGGACGCTGTTCAGTCGAATACCAATCTTCCGCGTATCCTTGCCGAGCTCTCCGAGACCATTCCGACTCCCCCGAACGTGGACCCACCAGTGTGGACATTGGATACCCTCTTCCTGCTTCCGCGTACACGGCTAAAATACTACAAGAAGCTTTACGCGCGCTTGCTCAAGAGCACAGTACCCGGAAAGTCGGATCATGCTCTCTTGCTCGATGCTACTTCAACCTTGGAGACGCTTTTCGCAATGTCAGAGAGCAGGCTAAACGTCATTGTCGGCGAGCCAACGTCGTCTGAACCACCACCGCCGCTCTCGATGCAAGACCTAGAGAGAGATTTACCGCCACCACCTCCTCTCACAGACCCTCAAGGTCGAGATTCGTTTGGTAGCTCTGCTCCAGCCAGCAGTCGATCTAGCGCGTAGGTAACATTAGGCCCAAATCGTTCGGTTCTCTAAGGATTTTTGCAGGCATAGGATGTCTCGAGAGACTGGACAGACATCACTGCCATCGTCGACGAGTACCTCTGTCGGTTGGCAAGCCATGGAGCTGGAGACCAAGCTGTCAACAGCCAAAGTTTTGGATATATTCACTATGGAACCCCGAGTATGTTGCGATTGTATTCCAGCGACAGAAGCTTATCTGGCTGCAGCAATGTCGACTTCAAATCAACCCTGCTTCCCTTCCATTTACCCGCGAGCTCCGTATAGATACAGATTGCATCATTTATTTCACACCAAACTCTACGGGCGTTCAGCAAACGACGACAAATGCTCACATATTCATCCTTACCGACCTCTTCCTTGTGTGCGAACGCATGACGCCAGACGAAAAGAAGGATTATGAGTTGGAAGGTTCCGAAATGTGGCTCTCATACCCGCCGCTTTCAGGAAAGGTGCTCAAGGTCTCCGAAGCACAAGGGGGACCAGGAGGTGAGCGGTTATTGACACAAGTTGAGGGCTCTCTGACGGACAGCCAGAGCACGTCATTCAGGTCACAATCCTGAAGAAAGAGACGATCTACATACACTTTGAGAGTGCTCAAGTTAAGGAACAAATGTTGCGAGAGTTTGCAGAGTGCCGAGAGGCTGCAATGTCGACTTGTACGTATGGGTTCATCGACGACTAACATGGGGGCCTGACTTCGTTGGCAGCGAATCGCAATAATGGTCCGCCACCTCCTGTTCCACCTCTCTTCCAAGGTGGCCCTAACCGGCCACCATCTGCTCCTACCGCAAACAGAGGCTTTGGTGGTATGAGAATTGATGACTGTATGGTCAAGTCTGACAACTGTATAGATCCGTCGAGACCAGGAGGACACATGTCGGACCCGCCGCCATTACGTTTCCAGGAGAATGGACAGGCGCTCCCTGCTCGAAATGGCTCGTTACATGATCCTAATACGCACAGTCCGCCACCACCACCAGGCATGGGGCTGCCCGGGATGGGTATGGGCATGGGCTTTGGAATGCCGCCTCTGGGTCCAGGTGGCCCACCTGGTCCACCAGGGGGACCGCCAGGGCAGTTTATTCCGCCTCCGAGAGGGTCAAGCGCAGGTCCTGGAATGGGACCTGGGATGGTGCCCGGTATGGGACCGCCGATGGGACCTCCCATGGGGCCAGGACCGCATCGGATGCAAACCGCACCCCCTGGCGCACCATTCCCACCACGGCATCCTGGTCAGCTGGGCCCATTCCCGCCGCCAGGTCGCCAACCATCTCCTGGTATGCCGCCAGGTGCGATGGGACCTCCGTGTAAGTGTGCTTTGGCTATTAGGAGTTCAAGTTTCTCACGCCGCTTTCAGTCAACGGGATGCCTCCAATGGGACCAGGACCGCTACAACCTCCGGGGGCTCCATTTGCTGGACCACCTGGACCTTATGGATCTCCCCGTGCCCCGTCGATGGCTATGCATTCAGGAGGCCCTCTTTCGGATGAGGACCATTCGCCTCCCACGTCACCGACAGCCACCGGACCCACGACGACGTCGATCACCGCCCGAATGCGCTGCAAAGTATTTTTGAAGCAACAGCACCAGCAGTGGAAGGCACTCGGATCGGGCACGCTGAAGCTATACCATACGCAGCCGACAAACGTCAAGCAGCTAGTGGTCGAATCAGACTCGAGCAGCAAGACGATGCTCATGTCGTCGATTGTACTCACGGACGGTGTCGAACGTGTGGGCAAGACGGGTGTGGCAGTCGAGATGAGTGACCAGGGCGCGCGAACCGGAGTAGTGTACATGGTTCAGCTTCGCAACGAACAATCGACGCAGGGACTGTTTGACAGCCTTTTGGCTGGGTCTGATCGAACTGTTGTCGTTCGACGAGGCTGATTGGAGGAAGAGGGAATGACCGTATGGGCCTGCGTATTTACTGATTACTACTAGTATGATGCCAACGATGATGATACGTCTTCTAATGACCCCACTATTGTTCCGAATCGTCTAGCGTTGAAATGTGAAACGCGTCCAAGCTTAATGGACAGGTGGCCGCCGGAGACTGGTCGGACTAGTAGCTGTCCAGCTTGTTCAATCTTGATCTCAGCCTCGTCTGCCCTTTTTTTTTCTTTGTCTCCAACATCTCGCCGCGAGGCCTGCTTTCGGTTGATTATAACCAGCATCTTGCACTTCATCTGGCAATCCGTTGCCACTTGGACTGCTTCCCTTGCATCAAACGTGCTCCTCTAGCACCGACATTCGTTAAACCCGTATACCTACAACTGCTAATCAGCCTAATATAAAGAGTAGTCGTCATTCTCCTGTGCGTTGGCATTGCTAGCTAACGACCAAACCAGTGCTCTACAGTCAGCGGGCATGGAACCAGGCCGAAGACGGTGATCGCGTCGAGTCTACGTACTCTGTAGCTCGTTCAGAGACTCCTTCAGACTATAGCAAGCGTGCTTGGGACTCTACTGCATCGCTCGACGAGGATCTGATCCAGGACCGGCCAGACTCGTACGCGCCGTCTTCGCACACGCACAATGGCTTTGCAGACAGCGCACATGATACCGTGGACACGCTCCAAACAGACACAGACGACACGCGCATGAGCGTACTCGGTCCCAAGACGAGGCACTTTGCGCCCGCTCCTTGGGAACCCGGAGGAGAGGATTTAGTCGAAGAGGAAGAAGAAGTACCAGAGGCGGAAACACGTTCGCTCTTTGGAGGTAGAGGTCGCCACAAGAAGCCAAAGGAGACTCCAACCAAGCCGCGCATCTTCCCAGCTTCTTTTGCTCCCAGAGCCTCTAGCTCATCTCGACCTTCTGTCGACGTCTCGACACCCACTTCGTCTTCCTCTGGTGGTGGTCGTCCGCGTCCTCCGGTGCGTCCTGGCAGCTCCGGAACGCAGTACTCTGTCGTCTCCGACGCGGTCCCTTTCCCCGGTAACAACCGTTATGAAGCGCGTTCTGCAATTGCATCGCCCAAGATGAATCGTCGTGACAATTTGGACAATGAACTGGCGAGTTCACCTTCACATCCGTTTGCAAATCCGCGATATGCCGCTTCGCAACATTACGATGATGCGGCAAGTGTCAATTATCCGCCCTCCCCCGCAAGTGTCTATCCTCCGTCCATCTACGCGGGCAAACCTCCGTCTGGTCACGCCACTCAGCCACAGCACGTCGCCTCCGCGTCCACCAGAGACATGCCTCCGCCTCCGTCTTCACAGCCCGGCATCCCGCAAAAGATGGCTCCATGGCAATATACACCAGGCAGCCCCACATTTCAACTCGTTAGTCTGGAAGAGGCACAAGCGCTCAAGGCCCGTCAGCGGCAAATGTCGCTCGGAGCGGTCGAGCAGTCTGGCCCACGGACACGTACGGTCAGTGGACCGACGAGTCGCAAGTCGATGCTCCCGATCGAACAACACCCGCCGCAGCCTAGCACCGAGCCGACGACAGAAACGAACCCTGCACAAGGCAAGACGCTCAAGGGCAGGAGGAGTTTGATGAACCTTTTTGCAAAAGGAAAGGAAAAGGGGGGTATCACGCGCTCGGAATCGCCGCCTCCAGTCCCATCGCTTCCAAACAGGGCTGCGACCACGTCCGTGGTGGAAACCTCGCCGGTTGTAGAAACACAGCCGGCGGTCACTCCTCTAGATTCTTCTTCACATCAGCAAAGGACCATTAAACGGTCTGCACCTCCTGCGCTCAACGTCGTCATCACCTCTCCTCAACCGCAGATTGCTCACCCGTATCGAGACCAGTATGCGCCTCCTCCACCGATCCCGACGATTCAGAAATCTGCGACTCCACCACCTTCGTTTCAGCAAAAGCCCAAACATGTGCCCAGAAAACAGTCGTCGGCTCAAACACTGTCACCTGCATCGGACGCGCGATCTCCGACGCAAAAGCCCAACTCGGCACCGTCGACTGTCCAAGGATTCAGTGGCCTTTCGATAAGACCCGTTTCTACCATGTTCAGTTCCATGCCCCTTGACTATTTGGCGTCACCCGCGCTCGCGACGCCAGTTCCTAGCCTCGCAGCAGGCAACTCTACTGGACAATCCATCACACAGTCTCCCACCACTCCATCCCTTTGGAGTTCACGCTCGGAGTCCGTGTCTACTGGATCAATGGACCTGCCACCATCTACCCCCGGTGGCTTGGTCCATTCACTGAGCTCGGGATCTTCGATGGAAACCGGAAATATCGCCTCTTTGCCGTTGTCGCAGAAGCAATTTTATGGTACGCGCGACATATGGAAGTCGCAGATTGCAGACTTGGAGGCACAGATCCGGGCGCTCAAATCCGAAGTGGCTGCTCTCAAGGAGGCGCCGTGCCCTTCCTGTGGCCATTTTGGTGGTGGATCGAGCTGCATGGAGAAGACGAGCGTGCTTAATCGACCCAGAGCAAAGACTGCTGCTGGTAACCAGCGTTTTGGTGGAGGCGAATAGGTCTTTCGTTGTTTGCTCTGACACAAACGGTCCATCAACACTTTACACTATCGGTTTCTAAACTTGTCACACTGTGTTCTGGCTCTATCATTCATACCATGTACTCCTACTCTTCCCGCCCCGGCACTCTTCGTTTTCCTCACGCCACGCTCCAGTGGGTTCTTTATGCTGCATTAAGATAACATACCACTATGTTATTCGCATCACGCGTATTCTATCGCATCCTTACTTGTTGCATTATCACTTAATCCGGCGTGCGCGCCGTCTGTTCATAGAAACCGAAGGGCCCTCTGGGTGGACCCCTGACCTTTATGTCCTTTTGGGCTCGACGATTTATCGCGAAATATACGTTATACACACAACTCGCGTGGGACCCCTTAGACGCTCGCAATGAACAGGGAGGAGGGGTGTGAACGAAATAGGAGATTTTATCAGAGACCTAAATGGCAAACAAAAGCAATCGCGCCGTCTGGATCCAGGAGGAGACAGAGCACGCAGGCGGAGATTGTGAGGGGCACTAAGGCTATGGGCCCGAGCCTTCAGTCCTCTTTCCCTTGATCTGCTGGAGCTCGCGCTCAGGTGCATAGGAGTAAGCTGTTCGACAAAAGAACGTAAAGTTTCAGCTGGTGATGCACTCACAATACTCAAGGGAGCAACGTCTCTCCTGGAAACAACAGATGCATGCAAATTCAACGGATAACGAGTGACATAAACGTCTCTGACGGGTGAAACGGACCGCAGAGGTTCGTGTGAAACGACATTGGAATGCTCGCGTGGTATACAGGCGGCGCCGGCAACACCTAATACAGGCAGTCAGAGTAAGTCCAGGGGTATCAAGAGGTCCGACACACTTTGAGGTGGCAAATTAGATAGCTTTACAGGAAAAGGTCAGCGGTGAGTAGACTTCGAAGCCAAATTGAACGTGTTCGAGCGGGAGGGTGTTGTCTTGGGAGTGTCAGTAAAATCCATAGTGGTAGGGAGAACGTACTGGTTTACGTGCAGACATTTCAATTACTGTGTCTGGGCCTGTAAGACCGTTCCCTCCACTTCGTTACGGTCAGGGGACTCACTGGCTAATTTGGTTCCTCTTCTATCAAACCGTCGCCTTATTCCATGTAAGGCTGCAGAAGAAATAGACGCCTCTTCAGAGGCCTCGCTATTGAATTTCCATCCGTCTTATAGATACAGCTCCTATGCATATCGAGTTGTGCACTGTCCAGATCCAACGTGTTATAGAACCATAACCCTTAGCTAGTGGCTCTACAATTTCTTGCGATAACGACCGACGCGGTGCCAAAAAAGATTTGGTGGCTCCTCGGGTACTTTGCCCTCCAATTTGCGGTCCTCCCATATATCCAGCGTATCGATAATATGATGCGTTGGTTTATCTAACCGACAGCCTGGCATTGGCGCTGACCACATCTTGGAGCCCTCCACCTTCACGATGTCGACCCAAAAATCAACAAAGCACAAGAAACAACATCTGCCCGTAGATTCATCGGGATCCTCGTCAGCACAGCGCCCAACAGGCAAAAAACGTCAAGTATACGACACGCTCAATGTCGGCCTGGATGTAGTGGCCAACATATCCGAGGGATCAGATGTACTCGCTCCTCTCAAGGCAGCTTGTCGAACCACCAAGTCAATTCTCGAAGTCGTACAGGCAAGTTGGCGAACCTGCCACGACTGCGTCTAACGGATTCAATAGGCAGCAGAGATCAATCAAGAGGAATGGATTGATCTAGCTGGACGTTTGAAGGAATACATGTCTGCGCTCGAGAAACAAATCACCCTATTGGAGGCATATCCTGAGGAAGACATGGCCGTTGACGAGGCGTTTAGGCAGCCGCTAATCCACTATGTCGAGTACGTAGCACTTCAAATTTGCTTCAGTAGGCTGATGATGTAGATTTCTCGAAAATATGCACGATACAATTGTCGACCTGAAGGAGAAACGCAACCGCAGCAAGCTCAGCATCTTTAAAGCGTTCAGCAAAATGAAAATTGACGCAGAAGAGATTCGCAAACTCAATCGAGACATCGAGGACCGGCATAGGCAATTCATGGTGCGAGCCTCATCGACCTTGTTCACAGTACTCACTATCGACAAAGGAGGCCTTGAGTCTTTTTACAGCCTTGCGTATTCAAAATGTCGAGAGGAATACCAAAGCCACCAAGGCGAACGTGGAGACCATTCTTACAGACAGTAAGCTGAAATTTGGGATGAGACGCTTACTAATCATTCGAAGTCGACGCCCATGCTATACTACAGCTACCGGTGGTAGCTTTCGTCGCATCCTCAGTCCACAGCCCCTGTCTGAAAGGAACACGCGAGGCTGTTCTTCAGACCATCTACCGCTGGGCCGACGATGATACGTCGGACAAGCCGATATTTTGGCTGTGTGATATCGCCGGCTCTGGCAAGTCCACAGTCGCAATGTCTGCAGCAGAGACTTGGAGGAAGGAAGGAGTGCTAGGAGGCCGGTTCTTCTTCTCCATTGCAAACAGTGAAGGATCTACCACAGACAAGTTCTGCTCTACAATAGCAAGAGACCTGGTCGACTACATACCCAGGCTTGCGCCGCACGTCGCTGGAGCCGTGAAGCGGCACCCGTCGTTCATGCGAAGCTCTCTAGAAGAACAGTTCCAGAAGTTCGTCATTGATCCCATCCATCATAGTCAAGAACGTGTCATTCTCGTCATCGACGCTCTTGATGAATGTAAATCTGGATTGCAGCGAAGAGAGCTCGTCGAAACGCTTTCTACAGCTGTTCAAGGAACAAAAAACCTCAAGATCTTCATGACGAGTCGGCCAGATCCCGTAATCCAAGCCGTCTTGGGGTCACTCTCAATCAAATCCAAGTTGGAGGACCGACTGCACGATGTCAAGCATCATGATAACATTGGTGATATCGCAGTGTACATACACAAAGCACTAGACAACGTGCTGCCGGAGGACAAAAGGCAGAGACTGATCGAAAAGGCCAACGGATTGTTCATCTGGGCGAGCACTGCATGTCGAATGCTCACCAGCCAGACAAGCTTAAGCCCTCCGGAGATCACGTATGATCACCTCATGTCCATGGACAAGGCTGGGGCCATAGACGATCTATATAACCTCATCTTTATGCGCACGGATCCCGAGTTCCACGCGATCATGTACAAGATGCTCGCTGTATTGCTTGCAGCGTTTGAGCCGCTGACTGCGGACGACGTGGACGACATTCTCAAGCATTCCGGGGTATACGGAAGTGCAAAGGCACTGGTACGGAATCTCGGCAGCGTACTTATTGAGGATGATACCACGAGTCTAATCCAATTTCGGCACCCCACTTTCGTCGAATACCTTCGGCGTTGCTCTGTTGCCCCACCCATCAATACGCATAACAACGTGTATATCAGGATTCCTGACGCACACAGCCAAGCCGCAGTTTGGTGTCTCAAACATCTCACATCGCGAAGAGATGGTCTCAAGTTCAATATATGTCAACTGGAGTCATCTTTCTATCTTAATAGAGAGATTCCAAACCTCGATACGAGAGTATCGAGATTCATTTCAAGACGCCTGCGATATGCCAGCTCTCATTGGCTGTTCCATGTGGCCGAAGCTGACGACAGCTGGCGGTCCATCGTCAAGAAGGAAATCCAACAGATTATTCAAGTTCCATATGTGTTATACTGGATGGAGGTTCTGAGCTTGACCGGAGGAGTGCCACGAGCAATAACCGGTCTTCGAGCTATTAAACGCCACGCAGGAGTAAGTTGCTGATCCGAGCCAATTCAACTCTGACGCCACAGATAGCTTGAAACATGGGATGAAGTCAGCACGGACCAAATTCGACGGTTTATAATGGTATTTTCAGTACCGATTCAAGAGAGCGCCCCACACATATACATTTCCGCACTCCCATTCACCCCTACAAATTCAATATTGCATATCGAGGGTGCGAAGATGTATAGTAATACCCTCTGTGTAACCGAAGGCCTCGAGGAAATGTATCCTGGGCTCCCAAATAGGCTTCGAGGTCATGAGGGCGAGGTCAGCGCCGTCGGATTCTCGCCAGACGGCTCACAGATTGTGTCTGGCTCGTGGGACGACACAATTCGATTGTGGGACGCGGCAACTGGTCAGGCTCTGGGAGAGCCACTCCGAGGTCATGAAGGCACAGTCAACGCCGTCGGATTCTCGCCAGACGGCTCACAGATTGTGTCTGGCTCGTCCGACAACACAATTCGATTGTGGGACGCGGCAACTGGTCAGGCTGTGGGAGAGCCACTCCGAGGTCATGAAGGCGGAGTCAACGCCGTCGGATTCTCGCCGGACGGCTCACAGATTGTGTCTGGCTCGTCCGACAAGACAATTCGATTGTGGGACGCGGCAACTGGTCAGGCTGTGGGAGAGCCACTCCGAGGTCATGAAGGCAGAGTCAACGCCGTCGGATTCTCGCCAGACGGCTCACAGATTGTGTCTGGCTCGTCCGACAACACAATTCGATTGTGGGACGCGGCAACTGGTCAGGCTGTGGGAGAGCCACTCCGAGGTCATGAAGGCAGAGTCAACGCCGTCGGATTCTCGCCAGACGGCTCACAGATTGTGTCTGGCTCGTGGGACAAGACAATTCGATTGTGGGACGCGGCAACTGGTCAGGCTGTGGGAGAGCCACTCCGAGGTCATGAATTGGGTCAACGCCGTCGGATTCTCGCCAGACGGCTCACAGATTGTGTCTGGCTCGTTCGACAACACAATTCGATTGTGGGACGCGGCAACTGGTCAGGCTGTGGGAGAGCCACTCCGAGGTCATGAAGGCACAGTCAACGCCGTCGGATTCTCGCCAGACGGCTCACAGATTGTGTCTGGCTCGTGCGACAACACAATTCGATTGTGGGACGCGGCAACTGGTCAGGCTGTGGGAGAGCCACTTCGAGGTCATGAACATTGTGTCTCCGCCGTCGGATTCTCGCCAGACGGCTCACAGATTGTGTCTGGCTCGTGGGACAACACAATTCGATTGTGGGACGCGGCAACTGGTCAGGCTGTGGGAGAGCCACTTCGAGGTCATGAAAATGGGGTCAACGCCGTCGGATTCTCGCCAGACGGCTCACAGATTGTGTCTGGCTCGTACGACAACACAATTCGATTGTGGGACGCGGCAACTGGTCAGGCTGTGGGAGAGCCACTTCGAGGTCATGAACATTGGGTCTCCGCCGTCGGATTCTCGCCAGACGGCTCACAGATTGTGTCTGGCTCGTACGACAACACAATTCGATTGTGGGACGCGGCAACTGGTCAGGCTGTGGGAGAGCCACTCCGAGGTCATGAAGGCAGAGTCAACGCCGTCGGATTCTCGCCAGACGGCTCACAGATTGTGTCTGGCTCGTGGGACAAGACAATTCGATTGTGGGACGCGGCAACTGGTCAGGCTGTGGGAGAGCCACTCCGAGGTCATGAAGGCAGAGTCAACGCCGTCGGATTCTCGCCAGACGGCTCACAGATTGTGTCTGGCTCGTGGGACAACACAATTCGATTGTGGGACGCGGCAACTGGTCAGGCTGTGGGAGAGCCACTCCGAGGTCATGAAGGCACAGTCAACGCCGTCGGATTCTCGCCAGACGGCTCACAGATTGTGTCTGGCTCGTCGACAACACAATTCGATTGTGGGACGCGGCAACTGGTCAGGCTGTGGGAGAGCCACTCCGAGGTCATGAAGGCACAGTCAACGCCGTCGGATTCTCGCCAGACGGCTCACAGATTGTGTCTGGCTCGTCCGACAAGACAATTCGATTGTGGGACGCGGCAACTGGTCAGGCTGTGGGAGAGCCACTCCGAGGTCATGACAATTGGGTCAACGCCGTCGGATTCTCGCCAGACGGCTCACAGATTGTGTCTGGCTCGTGGGACAACACAATTCGATTGTGGGACGCGGCAACTGGTCAGGCTGTGGGAGAGCCAATCCGAGGTCATGAATATGGGGTCAACGCCGTCGGATTCTCGCCAGACGGCTCACAGATTGTGTCTGGCTCGTGGGACAAGACAATTCGATTGTGGGACGCGGCAACTGGTCAGGCTGTGGGAGAGCCACTCCGAGGTCATGAAGGCACAGTCAACGCCGTCGGATTCTCGCCAGACGGCTCACAGATTGTGTCTGGCTCGTCCGACAACACAATTCGATTGTGGGACGCGGCAACTGGTCAGGCTGTGGGAGAGCCACTCCGAGGTCATGAAGGCAGAGTCAACGCCGTCGGATTCTCGCCAGACGGCTCACAGATTGTGTCTGGCTCGTGGGACAACACAATTCGATTGTGGGACGCGGCAACTGGTCAGGCTGTGGGAGAGCCACTCCGAGGTCATGAAGGCAGAGTCAACGCCGTCGGATTCTCGCCAGACGGCTCACAGATTGTGTCTGGCTCGTGGGACAAGACAATTCGATTGTGGGACGCGGCAACTGGTCAGGCTGTGGGAGAGCCACTCCGAGGTCATGAAGGCACAGTCAACGCCGTCGGATTCTCGCCAGACGGCTCACAGATTGTGTCTGGCTCGGAAGACAACACAATTCGATTGTGGGACGCGGCAACTGGTCAGGCTGTGGGAGAGCCAATCCTCGGTCATGAACACACAGTCAGCGCCGTCGGATTCTCGCCAGGCGGATCACAGATAGTCTCCGGCTCGTGGGACAAGACGATCCGATCATGGGATGCAGAAACAGGTGAGTTCAACTCAGCTCGCCTTCGAGATTGTGATGCGACTCGACAAATAGCCTTGAGTGCAAACGCAAATTCTTCTGGTAAAGAGTCTGTATATTCAAGCCTCAGTGAGGATCTACCGGCCACTCCTCTAAGAATCCATGTACCTGGATTCCAAATTTGCTTACTCTCGCAGGACGGCTGGGTACATTCTTCCGGCAAACGTCTCTTCTGGGTACCACCAGACAATCGACACGGACTAAAATATCCATATCTCCTGACAATTCCAAACGAGGCTCCATTCCGCAAGACCAAGTTTGATTTCACCAATTTTCAATGTGGTCTCTCTTGGACAAATGTTCGAACAAATGTCCCATAATGACACTGAAGGGCCCTCCGGGCGGACCCCTGACCTTTATCTCCTTTTGGGCTCGATGATTTATTGCGAAATATATATTATACACACAACTCGCGTGGGACCCCTTAGACGCTCGCAATGAACAGGGAGAAGGGGTGTGAACGAAATAGGAGATTTCATCAGAGACCTAAATGATAAACAAAAGCAATCGTGCCATCTGGATCCAGGAGGAGACAGAGCACGCAGGCGGAGATTGTGAGGGGCACTAAGACTATGGGTCCGAGCCTTCAGTCCTCTTTCCTTTGATCTGCTGGAGCTCGCGCTCAGGTGCATAGGAGTAAGCTGTTCGACAAAAGAACGTAAAGTTTCAGCTGATGATGCACTCACAATACTCAAGGGAGCAACGTCTCTCCTGGGAACAACAGATGCGTGCAGATTCAACGGATAACAAGTGACATCAACGTCTCTGACGGGTGAAACGGAGTGCAGAGGCTCGTGTGAAACGACATTGGAATCCTCGCGTGGTATACAGGCAGCGCTGGCAACACCTACAGGCAGTCAGAGTAAGTCCAGGGGTATCAAGAGGTCCGACGCACCTTGAGGTGGCAAATTAGATAGCGTTACGGGAAGAAGGGTCAGCGGTGAGTAGACTTCGAAGCCAAATTGAACGTGTTCGAGCGGGAGGGTGTTGTCTGGGGAGTGTCAGTACAATCCATAGTGATAGGGAGAACGTACTGGTTTATGTCTGTCGCGTGTAACAAAACTCAATGAATTGGGTGAGGTGGCCCAGACGTTCGTCGATATTTCCAATCAGATGAATGTGGAGAGCCAGAGTGTCGGGTGCCAGGGAAGTTAATGGCAGCATTGCTGCTTCCTTAGTATGTAGAAGCGTTGAAAGATACTGATAGAACCCGAATTGTTGAGCGAAGGTGGGCAAGCTTGACTCGCCTTTCGGCATCGGTGCTGAAGTCAAGAAACCGGGGAGGATAGACCAATAAGCTGCGGTCAGCCTGTACAATAAGCTGACAAAGTTCACTGATACGCATTGGGAGCGCAAGGTCCGAGGGGAGGCCAGTGAGCTCGAGCCAGGAGAACAATGTCTTAGGACAAAGGCTCGAGCGGGCTTTTCAAGTGGCCGCCGCAGTCTGACAAGGAGCCAAATATTAGTTGAAAATCGTGCAGACATTTCAATTACTGTGCCTGGTAAAGGCTTGTAAGACCCTTCCCTCCACTTCGTTACGGTCAGGGGATATGACTGATATCTTGCAATAATTACGAGTCGCTAAAGTATGAGATTCTATCTATCGTCGTCATCTCCACCGATCAGCCATCCCATGCCGCGTGCGAGAGCGTGCCGTGCAGTCGCGGCAACTTCGTCCGTCACATGATGCCGTGGAGATGGAGTACCGGCCAAATTCCTGGAGAAGAGTTGACCAAAGTCGCGTGGCGACGATCCGCTTCGTTCCATTTCGTCGCTCCTGCGCCCACCACCGCTGGCAGTATTCCCTCCACCAAGTGAAAATGGGAGGTTGGCTGTCACACGACTGAGCATATGCGTGGCCGCTTCCTGACCTTGCGAAAACTCTCGTAGGCCCTTGAGCAACGATCCAGCCGCGGCACCCGCATGAACTTGTAAAAGGGATGGACCAGTTTCTCGTCGTTTTCCCGTAGGACGCGCAGCGGCACGTGCAGCAGACCTTTTCTTCCTCTCATCAATGTCCTCTGCTTCAATCTTCCTCCAGGCCGCGAGAATGTCGAGCGTGTTGTCGGTCGGGCAAAGCTCGATTGCGAATCCTAACAGCCGCATTTTCGCGGGCGTATCGTGAAATTCAGATTGACGTCCGAGTTGATAGCAACATCTCCAGGCGACTTCGAGAGCCTCGTCGTGGTGCGTAGATTGGCTTATAGACATATCGGATCGAAGACGACGGGCGTCGACCATCATTCGTTCGCAGGTGGCTTGGGCTCGCATAAAGTCTTCATGTTGGAGTGCTACCTCGACTAGCATGGCGAGAATCTTGACCTCTGCAGCTACATCGTTTTTGAAACCGAGCTTATGCGCGAGGTCGAGAATGACTTCTTGATGTTTATACGCGTCTTCGGAACTGGAAAGCACACGTGCTATTAGCTCCAAACGGTCCTTTGTCAAGCGAATCTCGAGTGGTGTAATGGATATGCCGGGTCTTGTCATGACGTTGAATGAGCATATCTTGGAAGTCGCTTCGATGAATTCTCTTTCTGCTTGGACTTTTGGACTTGGGGTAGCTACTGTCAAGCTGAAATTGTCTCAATACAGTGGTCCAGAAGTTGGTCATAGACTTTACCATTCATAGGCCGTCTTCATGTCGCCTCGATGCATATTACCCGAGCTAGCATTGTCGTAAAGCTCCCGAGAAACATTGAGGCAAAGTTCCTCAACGACTGGTCCTGTGAGATACTTGGCTGCGCTGCCTCGGCCCTTGATGCGTTTTGCAACCCCAAAGTCTACCAAAGTCAGTGCCATCTAGCATACTTTAGCATGACTTACTTCCAGAGCTCAGAAGCCCAGTGAAGAAGATCCTGGTAATCTCCTCTCGAGATAGCATGCAGAAAGCAGACTTGTTCCCCTCTCTTTTCGCCGTGAGCTTGAGCATATCCTCCAGCAGATCTCGCCATTCCTGCTCATCCTCCAAAGCCTCCCCACTGTCACCCGACCGTCTCGACATCCTCACGGCTCGTGCTCGTTGCTGCCCTTCATCCTTTCGGCTTAGAATGAACCATTGAAGGTTGGTCGCAACACCCCATTTATCCAGAATCTCTGCTCCTTCTAGATGCGAGTCGAGGATATCGAGTAGCCGCGAGAGGGCCGAAGCTGGTAGAGGTTTGAAGAAGATGAACAATTCCTCTGCCGAGGGCGCGTCGCGAGATGCCGAAGGTGCAACAAACTCGGCCAGCGACGTCAGCGTTGCGTATGCTTCGTCGTCCTCATCTCGGTCATCGCCCCAATCTGGTTGACATTCGAATATCCGACTCATCATAGGCCAGTCGGTTATTCGAGGCAGACCATAGACGTAGGCTAGTGCAAGCCGCGCAACATCTTCGTCATTACGCACAATGCGATAGGAGCGCTGCATGTCGGCTTTGGAACTCTCGAAGATGGCAACGACCAGTTCCAAGGGCGCATGAAGAATATAGTCGTAAAGAAGGCGATTGACGAGCTCCAGGTCGGGTCGCTTGGCTCTCTCTGCCTGGGCCTCGAGAACAGATAGATACGGAAGGACCAGTCGTCTTATATCCTCGGCAACTGACTCAAAGTCCGAGAAGGCCAAGTAGGCTTTGATGACTTCTGGTGGGGACATGGTTCGCCATCGCGCGAGCGACCAATCCGTTAGGAGGGAAGGATCTGAAGGCTGGGGGGCTTCATACACCAGTCTGTCGAGAAGGATAAGGTCTTCGCCAAGTTCGTCAAGGCGAGGAACGCCCTGCGATGCACCGTGCTGTAATAACGCGAGCGCGGTGTCGAGTAATCCTGACTGTGAGTCCGTCGATTCGACTCTGCGTGTATACCAATCTGTCAACTCCTCTGACTTGAGAAGCGAATCCTTTCGTACTCGAGGAAATTCGTCGTCAGAGACTTCCATATCATCCAGCCACGCCAGCTCCTCCGGCGTGGAGGTTGCTCGCAGGGCGTCTACAACACTGGTTTCTTCCACCCAATCCGGCTTCTCTCGCCAAGAGCTTCGCTGAGGTTTGATCTCCATGTTTGTCTCGTAATCGGCGGCAGGGAGTAAATGATGATATTCAGATGGATGGGCGGAGAGGGGGATGGCGTCCAGAATGGAGAATCTGTACGGAAACAGCGCTGCATCATGATAACTTTGAAGCAGGTCCAATGCTCGGAAACGCTGCTCTGACGCTAATATGATTGCGCTATCGACAAGTGGCTGAGAGAGGAACTCGAATAGGGTGAATGAAGCCTTGGGACCTGGAGAAGAGTCCTCCTTTTCTTCTTCTTCCTCAGGGTCTGCCCACGGGTCATCCTCCTCTAGTTCACGCTCGTCTTCAGCAGTCGCTGCCTGAATCGCGTTTTCCATGATGAGGAATGTTTGGATTCTGTCCAGACGGTCGAATAAAAGCTGTCGTAGAATGCAGAGCCTCCTTTCACGCTCGTGTATCCTGAAGTAGGACTGAAGGGATTGTTCAGGTCCTGCTGCAGAATCCTCCGTTTCTCCGATATGCTCATATGACGCCAAGGAGCCCTTAATAGACTCTATTACGCGTGTACTCCGTCGGAGGCCAGTCTTGACGAGTACTTGTGCGACTTCAGGGTTTGACACGACGCGTTCTGCGCATGCGGCAGTCACCCAGATATCATCTGAGACATCTTCGAGCAGTTCTGCGATGAGCTCCGCATTAAGTTCGTCGTCTTTTGTCTCCGACCATTTCTTTGCGAATGACATTGCTGGCGGAGGATCCAAGCTTGAGATGCCACCCAATTTGACAGTATATCTCCATCCAATATTTGAACCAGTATTGAAGAACTATTCTACTTATCCTTTGTCAGTGGCAAACTCCAAGCCGAAATCTTGGACTCGCCCGCTTCGTCATGGTCCCTCGAACGGCCAGAGCTGGCCTTCTATTACAACGCCAGCTCCATACATCATGCATAAGACTAGCAAAGTCCCCTAAATCTGCATTTTCGAAGGAGTTGGCAGTCATTCTTCCATCCCGAGATGCAAAGCTCGAGCGGCCTCGACCAGTTCAACACAAGAGAGACTCCGGCCCATCAGCGGAACAGATTGCTAACCAAGCTCTTTCTGTTTTCTTCTGTTCAGCAAAACCAACTCTTTCCAAGCCCAAGGCCACGCAACTCCGGCACTACGGCACATCTGCCATTAGAAATGACATTCTCCTGAGCAGGAAGAAGCCAGAAAGAGAGGCTTCTGTTGACGAAAACAGGGATACAAGTCCAAACGAAGAAAAGGCTCGTCCTGGAGAGCGAGATGCTCGAGAGCATCGAGAGTCCAAGGAATCAGAAACCAAAGAGGGGCTTCTGACAAGGCGAAAGAGAAATCAGAGGATGGAAAAGAGGTGATTATACTCGTTTATAGTCTCTAATACGCTCAATATCAACCTACAGAAGCAGACTGATCCACAGCCTGGTGCCAACCCGAATGGAGGATTGAGTCCCGGTCAATCATTCCTCATATTCATAATCTCCGCGGTTCTTTATGCCATTACGAGCTCTTCTTCTTCGAACCTCGCCCAAAGGAGATCACCTGGCAGGAGTTTAGGACCGCTTTTCTCGACAAACGTCTAGTCGACAAGCTTATCGTCATCAACCGCTCGAAAGTCCGTATACAACTGCACAGTAATGCGACTGGCACTATGCCAACTGGTTCGGCCCACCAGCATTACTACTTTTCCATTGGCAGCGTCGAAGCCTTTGAACGCAAACTAGACGCAGCGCAGGACGAACTTGAAATTCCGGCATCCGAACGAGTTCCTGTCGCATACCACGAGGAAGTGTCTGCGCTCAATACCATCCTCACATTCGCCCCTACTATTCTCTTAGTCGGCTTCATCTGGTGGATGAGCCGACGAGCCAATAATGCGGCTGGCGGTGGAAGTGGAATCTTCGGTATCGGAAAGAGTCGAGCCAAGCTCTTCAACCACGACACCGATGTAAAGGTTCGTTTCCAAGACGTCGCCGGTATGGACGAGGCCAAACAGGAGATCATGGAGTTTGTCAAGTTCCTCAAAGAGCCAGCACGCTTTGAGAGACTAGGGGCCAAGATTCCGCGAGGGGCTATTCTCTCTGGACCTCCCGGGACTGGAAAGACGCTCCTCGCAAAGGCCACGGCAGGCGAAGCTTCTGTGCCCTTCTTATCCGTGTCTGGCTCGGAGTTTGTGGAGATGTTTGTTGGCGTCGGAGCATCGCGTGTACGTGACTTGTTCGCGACGGCGAAGAAGAATGCTCCATGCATCATCTTCGTCGACGAAATCGACGCCATTGGCAAGTCACGAGGCAAAGGTGGTCAATTTGGTGGAAACGACGAACGCGAGTCGACCTTGAATCAGCTTCTGGTAGAAATGGATGGGTTTGGCACTGCAGACCATATCGTTGTGCTCGCTGGCACTAACCGTCCCGATGTTTTGGACGCTGCTCTTCTCCGCCCGGGGCGTTTCGACAGACACATCGCCATCGATAGACCCGACGTCTCTGGTCGGTGCCAAATCTTCCTGGTTCACCTTGCACCACTTCGGCTTTCTCCCTCTATCACGAACCGCGAAGAGTTCGCCTCCAAACTTGGAGTACTGACACCCGGATTCTCTGGAGCCGACATCGCCAACGTCTGTAACGAAGCGGCCTTGCATGCTGCGCGAAGGGAGAGCGACCATGTCGAGGAAATTGACTTTGAGAGTGCCATCGAACGAGTCATTGTCGGACTAGAGCGCAAGAGCAGAGTGCTAAGCAAGGAAGAGAAGACGACGGTTGCGTACCACGAAGCTGGCCACGCCATTTGCGGCTGGTTTTTGGAACATGCCGATCCTCTTCTTAAAGTTAGCATCATTCCGCGTGGTGTTGGTGCACTTGGTTATGCACAATATCTCCCTGCGGAGAGATATCTGCTTTCGCATCCTCAGCTCATTGACCGCATGTGCATGACTCTTGGTGGACGCGTGTCAGAGGAAATCTTCTTCGGCAAGGAGAATATCACCTCTGGAGCACGCGACGACTTGGACAAGATCACCAAGATGGCCTACGAAGCCTGCGCAAGCTATGGCATGGACAAGGAAATTGGCCCGGTCAGCTATGGTGGACGAGAGGCTCTCAAGGAGAATTGGCAAAAGCCGTTTAGCGAGAAGACTGGGGAACTCCTCGACTCACGAGTACATCAGATGATCATGTTAGTTCAATTCTCATATTGTTATGGCATTTCTAACGTCTTGCAGGGATGCCCACCAACGGACCACGGAGCTGTTGACAAAGTACAAGCCCGAGGTCGAGAAGGTAGCCAAGCTATTGTTGTCAAAGGAGATTATCACTAGGTGCGAAGATAGCATATCCCAAATCTGGTTTATCTAACAAGATACAGAGAGGACATGATCGAACTCCTCGGCAAGCGTCCATTCCCGGAGCGAGCCGACGACATGGACAAATGGCTGGACAAGCATCGAGGCGGCTCGGTGGCTCCACCTCCGTTAGAAACTCCTCCAATCCCGGTCGCGTCTTCAGAGGAGCCGCAGGTAGAACCTTCACGGATATGATTCCATATTAATTATTATTCCTGATGTATCATTCAGCATCTTTTCAAATGAACGGCCAAGGCATACCACTGAGCTATCAAATTGCAAACTGTGAATCGTCTCCCAAGAATCCTCGCACCGGTGACGTTGCCTTCTTTTTCGTTTTTGGCCTAGCAGCCAACTCAGAATCGCAAAAAACCATTAAAAGTCTACATACCTAATGGTCAGCCGTTCAATTCGGCGGCGTATCTCATCAGAGGGAGAGTTTGTATAGGTCCAGTAGAAATCATTGAAAGCCAACGTTTCCAGGTGCCATTCTCTGGAGCCTTCTTTCTGCCTCAAGGCGATCCATTCGTCGAGAAGTGCGATCTTGTGATGACTGTCTTCCCCAACCATCTTCATTCTGCCGAAAACGATTGTTTGCATCTGATGTAGACAGGGGTTGATATAACTGGTTAGGGTCTCCTTGGAAACCTGTATATGTGCAAGTTTGAGGCATCGGAAGTTTGGTTTCTCTGCCTTGGACGAGAGAAGAAGGTCGGCAAAGTGCGGTCCATCTTCTATACCTCTAAGCATCAAGCCTTCGAGGTGCGAGAAGCTAACACTAAATGCCTTGAGTAGCTGCATTCCAAGTCCTTTGGGATCCAATCTATCCTGGGTGCGATAATGGTTCCGCTGGTAACCTCCTCCTAATACTCCGGATGAGGCATCTCGCTTAATCACCGCGTAAGCCATTTTGCGGTAGCTGAATCCGAATGTCGTAAACTTGTGCAGGACGTCCGAGACAAGCTGTTGGTCCAACGACTGTCCAGACTCTTCGATATGAGTAATGGGGCAGTCTAGGATCTCAAACGTCGCGTTTGCAGATATTTTTACGTCTCTAAGGGCCTTGAAAGTTCGCACAAGGACTCTGCCATATACAGACGGATAGACAATGTCGTACTCCGAGACATAGCCATCTGCAGGTTTTATGCGAACCAACTTGACGAGGTCAGTCGCCTTGAAGAGATTCCGGAGACCGTTGGCTAGCTCTTTGTCGTAGTCGACGCCACGTCGGGTTGAAGGCTGGAAGCGTTGCTTTGCTGGTCCTTTACGGAAAATACCAGAGATTCGTTTGCTAATAGTCCGTGTGGTGCTCTGTGCATAGTTACGAACGGGATGGTTTATCTCGCCAAACCTCTCCTCTGCTGCAGGTGAGTATATGGACTACGGCGTGTTTGATTTTGGGGCTCACCATAGAATGCGGACAGACTATAAGGCCTAGTGACCCTCAAAGCTATATAATATCAGACACAGTTGCATGTGGGTCGTATACGCACTGAGAGTCCTGACATGATCCGCAATTCGACTCTTTGCAACGTCGTTGAGTCGCTGGATTGCAACTCCGTCACGCTCAGCATCATACCATCTCGTTAAATCATCGGAACCGTCCACATTGATGACGAGATTTTCGAATACGATTGAATTGACCTCTGGGAGAAGTTGTCTCGGGCTGACAAGCCTGAATTTAAGGAGGTCCTCCCGGGTGAGCAGACTGGCGATGGAGAGCCAGATTTCTCGTGGGAGAGCATCTATCGAGCGCATTGGAGGAGAACAAGTTGCAAAAAGAGGCGCCGAGTCGAACGCTGTCAGATCAAGTGTCGGAATGGAAGCGGCATCAGTCGCTCGTGATTGGTAAGTTTCAGGTAGAATCATCAGTTGAATATCTATTAGAGGACCATAAACATTGTCCTTGGAGGGTTAAATAAACTTGGTGGTAGCGGTTCAAGAGGGATACTTGAGCCCAATCCGCATTGATGGCTCGCCCACAAGGGCGTCAAATGGATGCACTTCGAGAAGTTACAGCCAGAATTGAGCGCCTAGATCGTGTAGATGCGAGTGCTCGCTTTGCATTTGGTTTGTCCTAGCTTTAATCGCATTACATTACGATTTGACGAGCATAAAAAGGTACCTCGTCCGCACTTGCATCCGTTTCCGGGCCAATAGAGGCAAAACTGGGCGTCGAAGCACCGTCCAAGGCGACGCTTGATATTCTCGTCCGCCCACTTAGTGGCATACCAGGTGTGGGCTCTCTTTTCTGGAAAGAACAAGACATTGATGGTTTCCAGGAATCACGGAGAGACTGCTAGTCTCGAATCTCCGGAACGTCTTCACACCCGCGATAATCCTCGGTGCACATCCACGAACACTCATCCAAGTCGTGATACAAAATCTCTCGCCTCCACCACCAAGTTCAAACTTTAAAAACTCGTTGTTTGAAACGAATCCATCAACGACCGCAGTGATGGTCAATGCGGCATCCATTGCATTCCTGCAAGCATCATCACTTCCTCTTACTGGAGTTATTGTGGCTGTAGCCGTTGGAGTTAGCTTGCATGATGGTGAACGAGTTATTCTCGTTGACCCCGAAGATTCGGAACTGGAGACTCTGGTGGCTGGAGGAGTGTTTGCATTTCTATCAGCACAACCAAATGCTGCTGACCCAAATGACTTCTCAAAGGCAAAAGTCGTCTGGTCGTTCTGGGATGGAACATTTAGACCAGCTGAAGTATCGCAGGCAGAGGTACTGGCTCGCGCTGCCGGATTCAAAGTTCTTCGGACATTTTACTCTGTCATATTCGAAGGAAATAGTCCCTCAATGGAACTTGATTGATTCTAAACCCTTGCTGCGGCCGCGCGCGAATGGCCGCCGACCGGCTGGCTGCGAAATTATTCTGGACCTGCCGGCCACGTAGTGTTTTGGTCGTGTGTAGCTCACAAGCAGCCAAAATGCTCCGATACGCACTCTTATGGCTCTTTCATCTCTTCCTCGCCCTCAAACGTTTCTTTGCTTCACTACTTCCGAGGAAACAGCCACGTCCCCTCCGCGCTCACCGTCGAAAGTTGCCAAACCATCTCGCCGTACTGTTGAGTACCAAAGAGAGTGTAGGAAACGGGGAATATAACCTCGGAGAGGCCATAGAAAGTGTTTGTCGTCTCGTTGAATGGTGTCGAGCATCCGGCATTGAAATTCTAAGCGTCTTTGACTCTGCGAGTAAGTTTCCCAATCGACGATTTGCTACACTTCTGAACTAAAATCCTCTAGATTTGTTGCCGGGTGCATGGGAAGAGGTTAAAGATGCACTACAGACGGTTGCCGTCATCGAGAGCGTCCAAGCATCGTCCAATTCCGACGCATTTGAGCCTTCTCGAAAGGGCTGGTCCCAACTATCTTCAGCTCTTCGTCTCCCGCCGACACCGCCGCTTTCCAAAACAGCCTCGTGGGCCTCGATTAGGTCGATGTCCCCCGACTCACGAGACTCGACACGCGCACACAGCTCAGAGAACACGACACCCACACTCGTCTCGTTTAAACTACAGAGCGAGGAGCATAGCAGGAAGCGCCAAGCCTCTCTTATATCACAGGAACCTCCACGTCGACCAGGTCCGTTGACGTTGTACATCATATCGGAGCAGCTTGGACGACCACAAATTGCACGAGTCGCAAGAGAGCTGGCTTTCTCGGCAGTCTCAGAACCTGTATCCAAGCAAGGCGCTTGGAAGGAATCGACGTCTGTGTCCGGCCTTTCCGCCCGTCTAGAAGGCAAGTCCGTCCTATCCAGGGATACGACCCTAATGCCTTCCAGATCCCTCTGAACAGAATGGCTGGCCATGTCCTGATTTGATGCTCATCCACACTCCTCCAACCTCTAGAAAGGCCCTCAAGTCTCCGCTAGAGTTTGAAGGGTTTCCACCATGGCAAATACATTTGTCAGAGGTCACGTACGTCCTTAAGCTTCATTAAACGAGCGCATATAATATTTATGAACAGCTACATCCCCCCACGAAGACCTCAGAGCGACATTCTACGCCAGTTCTGGCCCGTGCCGCAGGAGTTTCCAGGTGCTATCACCGAGGCCGCCTTTAGGACCGCGCTCGACGAATATGATGGCGCAGAAATGCGCTTTGGAAAGTGATTATCTCGCTTTACTAGACGACAAATAGGATTGTCCACTATGCGATCCAGTAATATAGTCTCCATCCTATTCCCCTCCATCCTTGAAGTCGCTCGTTTCTCAATTCTTCTGCTGCATCAAGGGCGGCACGCGTTTCCTCATCGGGAATGTAGACGTCGGCTGCTAAATCCACAGTCTTCAAGTCAACGAACTTTGACCGCCGGAAGAGTTTCCAGCCCGCGAATAGGACAAGGAATACCGGTAATTGGAGGTATAGAGAGAGAAAGTCTACTATGCCAAAGTGAGGCGCAACGGCGCTGTAGGTTTGAACTTTGAACGCGTTAGGGAATTTGCAATGAGTATTCTTATGCTCGTACCTCCCCAAATAGCAACAACGGCAAAGATCTGTATCGAGTTTTAGGAGTTGCACACATGTAGTACACAAACTCACGACGAAAGGTGGACCCCAGAACCTCGTCCATTTTGGGTGCCAGAGCAAGTCGTCCAAGGAATTGCCTTGCAAAGTCCATGCTCTCCTAAAACGCAAGCTGGCCAGTCCAATCGACAGCCAAGCTAACTGGGGGCCAAAGTTTAGCTTTCCATTCGTATAAATAGTATCATGCAAATACCTGGTTTGAGACACCGACTAGGTTTTGCAGCCAATACCACAGTTGCCCACTGCCAACATATGACGATGCAAAGCAAAGTGCAGAACCAGAGCCAGTTGCGACTAATGCTAGCCATGGTACTCCACGCAGACTCGTGCGTGCAAAGACGCGGGGTGCTTGTGATGATTTGGCGAGCGAATAAAGAATTCGAGTCCCAGCGAACAATGCGTGATTGCCCGCTGAGAGAACCGAGGTTAATATGACGGTATTCATAGCGGATGCCGCAATGTCTACGACGCTATTAGCCATTGCCGTCGGAATTAAAGGCCAAACTCACTCGAGCCCGCCATTGAGAATATGATGGTGAATGGAGATGTCGTGGTCGATTTATTTGACAGATTAGGGTATGTGTATGGCACTGTCGAAAGTCAGAGGACGTAACGGACGGCAGGTACGATCGTCACCGTTGAGTCCGATGATGAAGCAGGTCAAGAGGTAGAATATCAAAATTCTGAGAGGAATGAGCATACAGCTCACGCAATTAGAGAGGTACTTGCCTCCAAAACACCAAACGAACAGTCCTTGGTACAGTCCGGGTCGGGTCTCTCGTCTCGCCCGCCGTGATTGCCAATGATTCAGTGCCTCCATCTGGTTGTATATCAATATCAGTGCCAAATGGTCACACATTAGGGCGACGTACACGACATTGCAGAGGTCACAAAAACGGTAGCCCACCCTTCAATCCCCCCTACAAATGGCGCATCTCCTATCGTCCAGTTGACCCATCCGATGTATTGATGTTCGCGGTTAATGCCAGTGTTGACGATAGCTCCGGTAATGATAAAGACAATAATGGTGACAATCTTGATCGAAGAGAGCCAGTACTCGAGTTCACCATATACCTTGACGTGTATAGCATTGGCTCCGAGAAGGAAGAAGAGAATCAACAAGGACAGGGCCCATCCTGGAATCTTGGAATCCCAGAAACCAACAACGAGCTGTGCAGCAGTAAGGTCCGAGGCGACTGATACTGCATCATTGAACCAATAGTTCCATGTCAAAGCAAAGCCAAAAGCATCATCAACAAAGCGTGTTGCATATGATGTGAAGCTCCCTAAGGGGTGGTGAGTGCTCATGGATCACGAATTAGGGGAAGGCTTACCAGCTACGGGATATTGCGTTGCCATCTCTCCTAATAGTAGAAGAGTGATGTAGACAATAAAGCCAGTGATGGAGTAACAGATGATCATAGTGCCAGGACCCGCTGCGGCCAGAGACCGTCCCGTACCTATGAAGACATGTCAGGAGAGCGAATGCCAGGAGAAAGAAACAGCATACCAAGAAAGAGACCTGTTCCAATCGCACCTCCAATGGCAATCATGGAGACTTGGCGTGCAGAGAGCTCTCTTCGTAATCTTGTGTGCTCGTCATCGAGCTGCGAGTGCAAACTCCCATCTTCCTCTCGGGAACTTTCCGTGTCTTGCAACTTTGATAGGGATTTGGTGCCGTTAGAACCCCCCGTCGCCAATGTGCCATAGTTTTGATGATCAGAGGCCATATTGGATGCTGAAGCGGGCCGTAGTAAGCTCTCTTGCTCCATCTTTATAGCTCAACGAGTGGAGGTCAATGGCGTAATCAAGGATTCTTCTGGCGTTCTAAGTTGAAGAAGCTGGGGTAGCGTGCGTGAGACGTCGGTTATCGACACGAAATAGCAATGTAGTAGAATAGCGAGCGTTGGTTAGAAGAAAGGCGGCAGTGTTCAAGTTCAAAGGAGAAGGCCAGGTGTTGCGTCGGCTCCAAGCGGTGCTTTGGATCCGACCGCGTCTCACCACACGCCATCAAGAATGTCAGCAGGACAAAAATCTGTTCTGATCGTCTGTCTTGGGAATATTTGTCGATCACCGATGGGTGAAGCCGTCCTTGCGCATGTGTGTCGCCACCTTTTACCCGCGATCTGAGCCCTATGGACTGATTGACAAGTCAAGATTGCGCAGCAAAGGGGTATCGATATCAAAGTAGAGAGCGCTGGTACCGCTGGCTACCATGTCGGCGAGGAGCCAGACGAAAGGTGCGTCCACATCGCTCAAACAGCCGAGTTTAATAGTATTTCTAGGACAGTTGACACATGCAAAAAGGTACCCATCTGTTAGAGCCGCTCGGAGATGCGTCTGATGGAGATGTGTTTGCTAGCACAAGGTCAAGATAGACCACACGGCTCAGCAAGTGAAACCATATCATTTCAGGACATTCGATTACATACTAGCGAGTGACAAATCTAATCTCTCAAACTTGGAACGTATGAAACCAGCAGACGCGACAGCGGAAGGTGTGCTACCGTTACCTTATAAAACGTATTCTTAATATTTGCTCAGTGCGGCTCTTTAGCTATTGGGATGACAAGAACGTCATCGCGGATCCGTATTATGGAGGCCAGGTACCTTTTCCCACTTGTACGCGGATATGATCCTGAAGCAGGCACAGGATGGCTTTGACAAGTGCTTTACACAATGCGAAAGATATAGCAACGCATTCTTAGATGCCATTACTGAGGGAGGATCCAAGAGCAATCTCTGATCGATCCTATAGATGGCATACAGTATTGTATCACTCTATAGCTCACAAAATGATGTCAGATCGTAGGAAGGATGCCATGATTCGTCTGGCGCAGGGTCTTGCGCCGCACCATTATTCTAGTACATGATCTTGAGCTCCAGCAACTTTGTCCATGTCCGAAATAGCCGCGAAAATTATGACCCGACTCCAATAGATCGAGATTGTGGCGTTAAGCGGGCCGTGTGTACGAGAGTCATCGCTAGTAACTAGGGACCGTCGGTCAACCTCAGCTGCTTTGCTCGCCCGCCCCCACGCCATCACATACTTGATGACGACGCCAGAGCAACACCTCTACCAGTATTTGCAGCTTCCCGGGGTGACAGAAGAGACCCGTGCGGTGTTCCTCACCCTTTTGGCTCGGTGCGCGAAACGGGCCAGCTTCAGCGTCTTCGTGTTGGACAGCATTATCCGTCAACTGGACGCAGGAGACCAGGTGAGCCCTTTAATATGACGCCAGTAACCCTAGCACTCAAAGATAGCGACTCACGCAACGCGACCAAGTCTAACGATCACCTCGCGGACGCGTTGAACGAAGAGGCGAGCAGGTGGCTAGCCGACTTTTTGACGATTGGTAACCTTTCCAAAACTCTTCTAGAGACAAAACTGCATTTGAGCTGACTTTGGGCTTTTGAGCAGCGGTCGGGAGGCGAGAGTGTTATGGGAGCACCAGCGCGTCTCATCCATATGGAGGGCCTAGACGCCGCGAAAGACCTTGGTCAAGCAATGGCCAGCTGGTTCAGACACTTGACCTCGTACGTTGTGTAAGCTAGCAGGGACGGGTGAGCCTGACGTCCGCGGACAGGAGGTGTTTCTGCGAGACGGACAGAAATGCAGCGTTTCTGGGTCCACTCATAGCTTGGTCTGCGTGCAATTGATCCCCACAAGCGAGGATACCGATCGCCTGGTCTGTCGTTCTTCGGTGTTCCAAACAAATCTGACTATGTCTGACTCTGATTCAGTCCCGTTTCCGACGTCTAGCTCGCGCCTTCTTCGACAATGATTTGCCCTGTATTGAAGACCCAGTGTTGCGGTCGACCGAAAACGCAATGCTGGTGACCTGCTTCTGGAAGGACCGTCTAGATAGTGGGTTTTTGACATTCAACAGTATCGATAAAGAGGTGAGCATTCAACGTTTGAGAGCCTAAAGCTGACAGCTATTAGTTGCATGCCACCCCAATGTCAATGAGTGATTCCGACCTACTGGATGAAGAAAGGCGTTTGAATGGCGTCCAAGGGCCAACTCTACTTCAGCTCTGTGGAGGGGTTTGCCAGTACCCAAAACCAGTGAACCAAGAGCTCGCCAAGGTTCACCATACAATCATCGGGGTGTTGCGTGAAACTGGTACTGTACATACTGCGTCCCGCTACAAAGGCCTGTTCTGACTTTGATTCCTGCAGGTTTACTCGGTCGGCTAATGTCCCAGATCGAATACATCAGAAGTATTCCTCCAAGTTTTCTCTCTTTGACCATCCTGAGTCCGGATGACTTTGCCAGGGTCCTCAAGCACAAGTTGAGACTACTCTAATCCCCCGTCGATGAGTTTAACATTCCATCCAATATGTAGCGTAAGTCAATCCTGGCAAGGAGATGTGACAGCGCTCAAAGTTTCAGCAGATAAGCAATATGTAAAGTACCAACCTTGGACTAGGAGGCATAAACATGCAGATACGTACCTTATACCCCTTACGCATAGAATGTCGATGCAATATAGGCGCCTCTACTGCAATGGAGCACGAGCGTCGGAAAATTCAACAACAGGATCCAGCCAACAGCGAGGTCCACTGGATGTCTGAGGTCATCATGAGTATGTCTACTGAGAGTATCTTGAGTCGTAGACGATTCCAGACCCAGAAGCGGCGCGATCCACAGGTTCTGGCGTCAACACTATTCGCATTTGGCGCGTTGAAGCTCTACAGACGGCATATTCCATGCTGTAGGGAGCAGCCATGCTCATTTCAACACGTTTAGAAACTGCCATGAACAACATCACGTTGGGGCTCGGTTCAAGAGTTGGCCATCTCCTCAACAATTTAACCATACAAGCTATAGGGTGGACGTGCCTCTGAGCCACTGTCAGAGTAATAAGAAATTGAAGTGAGAATCGCGGATGCTATATCCATGCGTGCACCCGGCGGCACTTGGGGGGGGGAGGATGCCAGAGCACTTTTTTTCCAGAGCCAATATTCTAAACCTTTAAATTTATACAGCTTGCGACTACATTGTGTTTCAGTGGAGCTATATCTTTGACTCCAACTGCATCCTCGTGTTGGATGGTTTGTCAACAAAGTCAATGTCCGAATCTATTACACCCGCAGTAGCCGCCCCGAAACGACTGTTAAGACCACTTCCAAGCGCTGGTGCAAGCCGCCGCGTGAGGAAGCAGCCAGTCGATACGGGCATTCAGTCAACACCCGTCAGCCAGCCAGACGATGATACACCGACTCCAAAGGCATCTAGTACGTTGATAAGATCCAGAGTGACTGATGTCTCATATCCAGGGTAGCAACACCCCTGCCACCAGAAGCACCCGACGTCGCATTTACCTTTAGTGTGCCGATTCTGAAAGTCAACGACGCACCTCCAAAGGAAATCCCCACGACGAGTTTGACTGATCCTATCGACGAAGCAAAGGACGCGGAGCTTCGCAAGAAATTCCTAGGTCTTCGGATTCAGGAGCCAGTCAAACCGATTGCCCCCGTACTCAAGATTCCAAAGAAGGCAAAAGCACCTGTTGCACCTGTTGAGAGACCCTTGGCAAAGGGTAAGACGTTTAGACTACGTGCAGACTTCTGACATATGTTGCTACAGTCAAAGACATCGACACGGCACCAAAGCCACAGATTGTATTTGGTGATACGACTACAGTGTTTGGGGAAAGTAAAGGTAGGATTCTGCAATCGCTCAGACTTGTTCTGACTATCCCTTAGACGCAACCCCTGAAAAGGATGCAGAACCCCCTGAGGTCAACCCTACAAGCCATTTTAGAGCTCAGCAAAGACGAATGGAGCGCGAGAGAAGGGAGCGACTCGGACTGGCTCGAGACAAGAGCAGGCTTGAACCACTCCCTCCCCCTGACCCCAGTATTCCTCTGGACGAGCGGAGAAAGACGAGGTTACCCTCAATTGGAGCTGAAGAAGAGGATGGTAGTGAAGGGGAAAAGAGGAAAGAGGCCAAGCAGAAGATCAAGAGGCTCGCGGCCTTGATGGCCAAGGACCTTGAAATGAAGAGGATACCAAAATCTCAGCTTCGAGCCATGGCACAGGGAAAGACACCCGAGGAGACTGCTGCCCGTACAAAGATCCTGGAGCTGGCACTCAAGATTGCAGCCAAATCGCAGGAAAAGGCGCAGGAACAGAGCACCGTCAAGAAGGATGAAAAGCCTGTGGCCGCTACGCCAGACCCTGGAGCGTCGGAAGGGAACCCGACGAGTGGAGGGTCCAACGTGCGAGGGGTGTCGAAAGACGAAAAAGACGAAATAAAAAAGCCAGATGTATGATTAACAGAGGGTATATATGCTGGCTGGTGAATGTGGAAGTGCTGGTCCAGTCCTTCTTGAACTCGACTTCAACCACGAAACGCTACACTATAACCAGACTGGAGCAAGGTGGCGTCAATCATCGAGGTTCTGGCATGCCTCTTGCTCTCTCCAGACTCTCTTCGGAGCCCCAGCGGTCGCGCGGCATGACCGTTGGCGGATACGAGAGTCCCTCGTCGTCAGACTCGGACGATAGCTGCGACACGATCCGGGTCAGCATCCACAGTGGACGAGCAATCTCCTCCGCCTCTGCATCCTCGCGCGCAGGCTCTCCGCACTTTGGATTTTGCTCAGACGTCGACGACGAGCCGTCTTCACCGCTCCTCGGGCCCACGCGCTGGTGGGATTCAGACTCTGGGAGACGCAGGAGACGACGAGACTCGGGTCTCCCGTTTGCAAGACGTCTCAAGCGTCGCCTACTCCGCCTTGCTCGCCATCCACTTGTGCCCACGCAGCCAGTGACCATTGTGAGCCGTTTTCCGAGTCTGTTTATTTGTCAAAGCTGATCATTGCATGCAGCTATTCTCTCTCGTGCTCTTTGCTCTCTTTGCCATCATCCTCACCCTATTTTTGATATACCAGCTAAATCCAGACAAGGAGGCTCTGCCATGGCGTTCATACTGCGCATTACCACCAGCATTTCCTCCTGATAATTTCTATAATCTCAGCCCCGCAGGTGTCTTCCTCGGTGTATTCAGCATGGACTCGGGTTTGGAGCGGCGCATGTTTGTTCGCACAACATTCGCAGCACACGAGCGAAGTAGAGTTGACAATGGAACCTCCCGAACCATCGTCCGCTTTATTCTCGGCAAGCCAAGACCAGAATGGGAGCGCCGAATACAGCTCGAGGCAGAGAGTAGGTTTTTCCCCGTCTATCGGCCATTGCCGTAGCTGACACTAATCGCCAGCTTATAATGATATGGTCATTTTACCTATAGCCGAGAATATGAACAATGGAAAGACGCACGCGTACTTTTCATGGGCTGCACGACATGCCTGGGTGCCCCCTCCGCAAACGCCGCTACCATTCTCCTACGCCAATCAAACAAAGATCCCACCGTCCCTCGCACCACACGACCCTCGACCGCTTCCCAATTCACCCAAAGAGTGGGTGCGACCCGATTTCGTGCTCAAAGCAGACGACGACTCGTTCGTGATGCTCGCCGAGCTCGAAGCTCGTTTGCGCGTCGAAATGCACTTTGGGCTCAACGAGACCAGGACTCCATACTATGGCACGCAGCCTGTTGTGGAAGACCCGCTCGTCTATTGGGGGTACCTCGTCAAGAACAAATTTATGGGCGGCGAAATGTACGCCCTCAGCTGGAGCTTGGTCAGCTGGGTCGCGCAAAGCGAGGCAGTTCGGGGTCTGACGCGAGGTGCTGAAGACAAGTTGGTCGCAAAATGGATGTGGCTTCACCCTCGAGCGGGCAACGTTCGTTGGAAGAGCGAGCATTGCTGGATATATGACCATCCCAAAGCTGGAACTGTATACTCCCATGGGTTCTTGTTCCCGTCAGAGGTCAGTCGTATTCGTCGACAACTCACGAATGCCGACCCGGGGAAAACTTCACCGCCAAGCGTGCTCAACACTTATTCTTACTCGAGTGTCAGTCAATTTGGAACCCGGTATAATCCCCCCTCTCCGAATCTCACGCCAATGCAATCCATTGAGGCGCTCATCGAAGGCTCGCCCATGTCGCGGGTCGGTTCGAGCAATCATCTCGAGGATCCATCACTCGAGCCTGCCATGGCTTTGCAGAGGGCCGTTAACCGCGCATGGCTGGAGAGGGAAGGAAGAAGGGTTCGGTATCAGCACAAGAAGCTTGGTGGAACCATCCTTGTTCACTTTATCAAGAAGAATGAGTGGTGGGAGGAGACAGCGTTGGCATTTTTGGGAGGAGACGAATATGTTCACTCAAATATTCCTCTCCCAGCTGGACGCACGGGTTCAGAGCTCCCGGACAATAGCAGCCGCTCGTCGGAAACAGAGTCCGAGTCGAGCTCGACACCGGAAGAGGCTGAGACGAGCAGCAGTGGTGTTACAGTCATTACTACGACCCCGTTGGTGGAAGCATAGGGGTTCAAAGCGTTATATATGTACAACTTATCCAAAGGTGGGGAAGCTCGTGCAAGAGGAAATTGTTCTCCGCGTCTTGTTGATCTCTTTGTTTTTGGAATTTGAAGGACATGTTTTTGCATCATAGTCTTGGTTGAGAAAAGTGTGGCAGGGTGGCTCACAGCCAACTTGGAACCAACCCATTCATAACTCGATTCTTCACTGCCCGCGGCGCCATCTGGAGAGCCCGTTTATTTAACATCTATATCATTAAAGGATACGAAACACACACCCTCGTTGACCCAGTCCTCTCACTGACCGGCGACTTTTCCTTTACATCGACATTCTTTTCCCTGGGAGCTCACTTATCATGACGCGGACATTATTCGCACTTCTCAGTTTGCTCTCGGTAGCTCTCGCGCAGGCGCAGCCCGAGGGATGGATCGTCAAGTTCAAAACGGACCGCGTAGACCCAACTGCACGACGGAACTGGATCAACAATCAGCTCAAAAATGCAGAGCTTCCTTCTCTATCTGAACAGGAAGCATCAACCCTAAAGGTATGTACGGGCGCGCTGTTGCTCTCTGTGGATTCCGCTCACACCTCGACTTTGGCACACAGACGGGCTGGAACGTGACCGTGTTCGATGGGTTTTCTGGTGGATTTAGTGATGCGGCCGCTCGAGTGTTTCGTGAGCATGAAGACGTCGCATATGTTGAGCGCGGTGCGTTGCCCGAAATGGCCACTAGGCCTTCACAACTCACAATGGGATAGATGTGCCAGCATCCATTACTGCCATGACGACTCAGTAGGTTTGCTTGGCTATCCCATTCGTATTCCGGTTGACATTGTTGCAGGAATAATGCACCGTGGGGGCTTCAGAGGATCAGTCAGAGAGCTGCGATTCAGAACGGCGATCCTACAAAAACAAATTTTATTTATAATTATGATGACTCGGCTGGGTCTGGAGGTATGTCCTTTGGACGCAATCGTGAATAAACAACTGAACCGTATGCAGTTGACATTTACATCCTTGACACTGTGGGTCCAAGCCTATATATTCCTACTGGCTCTAACTACGCTCCAGGGTGTACGAACTTCGCATGTAGAGTTTGGTGGACGCGCCACGTTTGCAAGGACATTTAGCGATGGAGTGCCGGACCAGGATATACAAGGACATGGTACTCATGTCGCTGGAATTGCTGCAAGTTCGCTGCATGGTGTGGCCAAAGCGGCCAATATCATTGCCGTCAAAGTCATGGACGACCAAGGGGCCGGATCTGCCTCGAATATCATCTCCGGCATCAACTTTGTGGCAAACGCTGCTGCTCAAAGTGCTCGGCGATCCGTCATCAATCTTTCGATAACAGCGCCAGCGTCTCGGGCAATTGACGCTGCGTGCGCAAACGCTGTCAGCAATGGTGTCTACATTGTGGCAGCCGCTGGGAACGAAGGCGTTGACACCAGCAACACGTCTCCAGCGCGATCTGATGCGGTAATTGCGGTCGGTGCCACGGACATTAGAGACAGGAGAGCATCATTCTCCAACTTTGGGCCTGCTGTCGATGTCTTTGCTCCTGGCGTGGGCATCATTTCGCTCAGCAACTTGAATGACAATGCAGTCAAGACACTCGACGGTGCGTTTCTGTGCTATGAATGGACTCGGACTCATGCCCTGTTATAGGAACCTCGATGGCGTCTCCGATGGTTGCCGGCCTCGTTGCGTACCTCCTGACCCTGGAAGGAACTATTACTCCAGCGGCCATGAAGCAAAGACTACGCACTCTTTCGACAACAAATCTCGTCACTGGACTACGTGAGTCATAGAACATGTTCAATCTCGATTCTAACATGGGGATAGCGAGCAATACGACCAATGCCCTCGTGTTCAATGGTGAGTGATTCTGAGTCATTATAGTCCATCTAAGTATTGGCTTTAGATGCCGCAGGAGCCCAGACGACCAACCAGACGCCTGCAATCGTCCAGCAGCAAAGTATACTGGGATCTATTGATTCGATGATATCTGCGTTTTCCAAGCTTGCATCCAGTGCACAGAATAGCTAGTCATACGTTCTAAATACAATCTTGCTTGCCGTGTTCGCTCAAGTCGTCAGCCAGTGGAAGTGGCAGTGCTGAACCTTAAGACTGACAACGAAACCTCGACCGCCTTCAGCCCCGCCGTCGACCTGTCTTTTTCATTGAACAAACTCCGACATGGCTGAACAAGTCTGTATCAAGCACATAAGCGCGTAGATAACGCAGGAGACTGACGGATTGCGGTTTGATAGATTGAAAAATCGTTCCAAAAGCAAAACATCTTCCAGAATGCTAAAGTCAGAGGTATGTAGCTGTAATCAGCAATTATCTGCGATAATAATGGCTCAAATCGACGATATTGTCTAGGTGGCAAGAAGGTCGTGACCCGCGAGCGACGCTGGTACAAGGACATTGGTCTCGGCTACAAGACCCCTCAGGAAGCCATTAATGGAACTTATATTGGTCAGTTTATCCCAGTTCTGTGGCCCAGTGGAATGTTAAACGAGTGCGATAGACAAGAAGTGCCCGTTCACGAGCGAGGTGTCGATCCGTGGTCGTATCCTGACTGGTCGTGTTGTTTCGACAAAGATGAACCGCACTATCATCATTCGCCGGGATTATCTCCACTTTATCCCCAAGTACCGTGCGTCTTCTCCATGCTACAACCCTGTTCGGACAACTGACATTGGGCGTAGATCGTTATGAAAAGCGACACAAAAACCTTGCTGCCCACGTCTCGCCGGCATTCCGTGTTGAATTGGGTGACACCGTCACAGTCGGTATGTATTCTTACCCGATGCTGCCCGAATGACGCGGACACTAATCTTATGCATAATAGGCCAGTGCAGACCTCTGTCGAAGACTGTTCGATTCAACGTGATCCGTGTGAGCAAGAACAAGGCAGCGGCAAAGGCCTTTGGCAAGTTCTAAGGAGCTCGGACTTCTTGCATCGTGTTGCTGTAGCATACACAGGGAGAGGCATGCGATACATCTTATGGTAGTCTTATGAACATGTTGGGTATACCTTGTCTCTCCCCTCACTTTGGGAATGCAGGTCAGCCAGAGAATAAGCAAGATGTCTCCATTGCACGTAAATACGAATGAAAGTGATGGTGAAAGGGCTATTTTGATGACGATTTGCGTGCAGCTTCGACCGCCTCGACAATTTTGCCCTTGACTTCCGCTCCAGCCTCTTCAACTTTTGCTCCAGCTTCGACAAGCTTATCTTTTGGAGCGTTTTTGAGCTTTTCGTCTCGCCCTCCCATGTACCAGTATCGCACAAAGCGAGCATCGTTGAGCGTTTGGGCAGTGGCATTCGTCGCGTGACACGCAAATAGGAGATAGTTTCGCGGTTTAACTCTCCACGCTAGTGTGTGCAAATGTGTACAGAGAGAGGGCTGGGTTCAGCAATCCGCTATCGACGGATCCGACTCGAGAGCTTACCGAAACGCATAAAGACCATCCTGATTTACGCATCAGCATCCAACTTGAATATAAAGTGATTTGGAAGATCAAACTTACGAGTAACAAGCCAGTGCCGTCGTCATCGTCCCGGAAATAAACTCTTCGTCCTTGTTGACCAAGTCCGAAAGCGCAGCGAGCGGCAGACCCCAGTTTGCGACCTTTGAGCGAGTTCGAGGAGATTTTTGAGTATGTTAGAGTCACATTTATGTAGCCATTGCGAGTCTGAAGCGACTAACTGGTCCCCAAAAGTGTGTACCTGCATAACAGGCCGGGGTTAGATACTTGAAAGTATTGGACAGTAAATGTACAAACTGAGGAAGTATTCTCGTGCTGCTGGGCTGCGAGCCCACTGCATGAACGCGCTGGCCATGCTCGAAGAGTCAGTTCCAAGATGCTAGCTCACGTGTTGCCAACCTGACGGCATAACGAACTCGCCTCTCCTGCGACGTGGGGAAAGAAAGAGAGAAGCATGAATCGTAAAGCAATGCTACCATTACATTCGAAACCAATTCGGCGCGAGTCTGGTCAGGGGTATATGGTCGAATCGACCACGGAGAATCGGACAAAGTTTGTGAAAGGTGGAGATGAAGCAATGGTGAGCAAACGTAGCTGAGAATGCCGACAACCCGTGTTTGGGCACCTGGGTACAAAAAAAGTCTGGGATGAAACATGATACCACAGCTGCCTCAAACCCTCCTTTGAACATCATCTCCAATATTTGACGCCAGAAACTCATATTATCGGATTCGTGGCAATGTCGATTCGTGCGGACCCGTCCTGTCCGTATATACCCGTGGCCCAAACTGTGCGAAAGGAGTTGGATCGAAATTACGCGAAGGAATACCCAGAAAAATATGGATAAGAAAAAATCATGTCGAGGACGGCGTGGAGCCCAAAGCTGCTTGCGCTTGTTGGCTGTAAAGAGTGTGTCAGCTTCGAATGCAAGATCCGGACGGAAAGACCCGCCTCTTTCGTTTGGCTTTACTGAGCTCCTTCTTGACGACGGCAGGATCCAGCGGCTTCAGAAGTTCGAATGCACAGAGGAGATCCTCAGAAACGCTAGGAAAACATTAGCTATGGGGGGCCTTCTAGGTAACAAAGAGATGTACCTCATACAGGCGCCATAATTATCGAATTCTAAGAAAAGGTTAGCCACTTGAAACGCATAGTGGGCACCCCTAACCTCCACAGTAGTTTGGCGCGCTGAACACGGTGACCAAAGTCCGATCGTTCCAGAACTCATAACCATCTTCCACAACCATGTGTGCACGACAAACGAGGTCCATATCCCACTGTGAACACGTGTGAGTACGATGAGCATGTGTCCGCGAGGATTCGTACCTTGGCGAGAAAGTCGTTGATGACGCTCTTGCCGAAACAATAGCTCACGCCTCGCTCGTTGTCCTCCCAATCTACGGCAGTTTCGGATGGATCTGACCACAAGAGGTCGTTGAGGAGACCATAGTCTGGGACGTCGGTCGGCCGAGCGATCCGTTTAATGTCGTCCATAGACTGGAGGTTGGGTGACAGCCCTCCGTGAACACAAAAGATCTTGGACGCGACAATAGACGCGATAGGAAGGCAGTTGAACACGTCTATAAACGTCTTCCATATCTTGATGCTGCACCGCCGTTTGCATTCGTCATAGAAGCCATATACTAGAAAAACGCATCATGAGCAACGTATTAGACGCGTTTGTGAAATTCTATTACCTCGAGTGACGTTGGCACATTCATGATTTCCACGAAGGAGGAAAAAGTTTTCGGGGAATTTGACTTTGTAACAGAGGAGAAGGAGAATGGTCTCCAGACTCTGCTTGCCTCGATCAACATAATCTCCCAGGAAGAGATAGTTGGATTGAGGTGGGAACCCGCACATCTCAAAGAGGCGGATTAGGTCGGAATACTGTCCGTGGACGTCACCGACGATTTTGACCGGTGGTGACAACTCGATGAGTGTCGGTTGCGAGAGGAAAACCTCTCGAGCAGCGAGGCACAATGAGGTGATTTCCGTATTCTTGAGGCATACAGATTTTGAGACCTTGCCCGAGTAGCCAACGTCGAGGAGTCGTGCGATCATGTCGTCTATGTCTAGAGTGCGAGGGGCTAATTTAGAAGAAGCGTCGGCGAGTCCACTCGATGGCGTAGGTCCGCTGGCTGACGCCGAGGTGGAGAGGATTGTCTGCGTCGCCGGTATATCCAAGGGAGCGGGCTGGCGGGGGAGCGACGACGCAGGAGGGTTTGGAGAGTGTGAAGGTGAATTTCCCTGGCCATCCTGGCCCTGTGGGATGGCCAGAGGAGTCGATTGGGACGAGCCATTCGCTGTGACGGCCTTGTCAGCTGCTCCCTTTGAGACGTATTTCGTTGGAGCCCGCGAGACGGATGCTCCAGACGTATTCCCGTTACCAGCAGACCGTCCGTTGGCGTTGCTCGTCGATGGGCCCGCAGACTCGGACGCTGGGTCCAGGGGGACGCTGCCATCGACGGGCGAGCCATCCTGGTCAGCCGTGTCTTTGCTTCCCTTCTTAGAGACCTTTTTGGAGTTTGCTTGCCCCATTTCGCTGTCGCCCTGGCCGTTCTTGGACGAAGATTTCCCAAGACGAGCGAGGAAACGCATACGATTGATTGACTCGACTCAGAAATGTTGTTGACAGTGTCTCCTACACACTTCTGAGGCAGCCAGTCGTCCAAGGAGCAGCCACTAGGTTGACGCGAGGTCTACTGTTTCTTGCAAGTAGCCCCGTGCTTTGTTCCCTGTCTTTTTACTCCGGCGTCACCTTGCCAAGACACAATTTATTTCACAGCAGCTTTGGCAACAGCAACTCGCTTATATAACCCCTGAATTTCTACTCGTCTGCCGTGACCGTGAGCGAGATGCATCCGAACGGCGCCGCCTGCTCCACACGAATGAGGGACTTCGTAGCAAGTACTAGAGGAGCAGGATGCCGTTCATTTCAGATTCATGTCGGTGCCGACAGTTTCAGGCGATGGCCATTGAGGGGCGAATCCGTTAGCCCGGTTTTGGTTTGAGAAAGCGGACAAACGAAACTCACCAAGACAGCAATGGAACGCACTGGCAGCGATATGCGTCGTCTTTTCGGATCCGACCATGTCATCCAATGTCACTCCTGCGTTTCCTGCCAGGTTTACCTTCATTTTCAAAAACCTAAAGTGTGTCAGGTATGAGACAACGTGGACACGCCACTCTCTTACGCAAGAAAGTTGTTTGCATTCTTCTCCAGCTTCTCCCAAGGTGCTTCTGACCTTTGTGTTTCGACCAGTTCATCCAAGTTGTTTTCACCGTCCACTAGAGAGGAAGTTTGTCAAATGAATCCACTCTTTCCTCTATTAACTTGCCCGAGAATCGAAAGTCGTCGATGTGGCCTTCACCCAAGGATGCCGGAAGCGCTGGAGACTCTCTTCCACTTGCAACTGGTGAGTCTCTCCGACTGCCACTCAGACTCCTTCGCTCGATATTTGTGTCCATGACAGGAAACTCCACGCTGTGATGACTATGCCCTCCAATCGATCCGCGGAATGCCTCATTGAGCGAAGAACTAGGTGCGGCATTATCCCATGGAAGAAGCCCGCTCTGGTTCGGTTCATATTCTAGTCCACTTCTCCCACGCGCCATCTCAAGGCTTCCGACGGATGCTGCTCTAGAGGGTGCATTCCGAAGCATCTCGGGCTCCTAAATTCGAGCTCAGGAAGGATTGTGCATTCAAAAGGGGTACCGACCTCTGAGAGATTCATGCGGCTCGTGCCCGCTTCTTGACCAATCTCGTCTGCTACCGCCGTCAGCAGAATCTTAGAGCCCGGAAGCAGCCACACCAGCGCCTCCCAACCCGTCGTAGCCCGCGTGGTCGAATTCTATCGGTGCGTCGTCTCCATTGTAATCATTGACTTCATTCTGATTAGGTGGTACCGCTTCGTCGTCGACATCGTCATTCAGCCTTCTACGCTTCTTGGGCCTCTTCTTAATCTTGCCATCCACCAGTGTAATTACACCAGACTTGGTCTCGACTTGTGCCATAAAGACATTGGCCCACAGTTGCTTGAGCGGCTCCGCCTCGACTGTCTGCCAGTGAGCCACAGAAGAATAAGAAGATGGCACTTACGAATGTCCGGTGGCCCGAATAACAGCTCGTGTGCTCTTTCAGCTATGTTCTTTTGCATCTGGCTCTGCTCCATTTCCTGTCTCAAACGTGCTTGCTCCGCAAGGTAATTATCTCGAGCATCTCGCAGTTCTTGGTCTGTCAACTCTGTACGAGCATCCAAGAGCACTCTGACTTGCTTCTTGGGTCGGCGCTGTTTGGGCTTTGTTGGACTCGGAAGGGCGTCGTTGGTGAGTTGTGGTGTAGCGTCAGGTTGAGCTTGATCTGCTTCACCTTCTAGAGGTTGAAATTCGATATCGGCTGCAGGCGTCCCATCACGTAGGACATTCCCAACATCCGACAAGGGCTTTGCGGTAGAAAGAATGGAGCGAGGAGTCGTTGAGCCTTTTGCGGCCTCGTCTATATCAACGTCTTTAGCTCTACAGAGTCGAGCCAGCAGGATACTTGCCTTCAGAGTCATCATCTCTGGGCTAATATCATCAAATATAAAGCCTGGTTGGGTCTGCGATCACTCACCCTCTTCCGTCCTGCGTAGCGAGGTGTCGCTGGCATTGAGCCTTCTCTTGTGGGCGTGACCATTCGTCGTTGCGCCTCATTTACTACAAATTCCATGAAATGATCCGCAGCTACGTTCTCCTGATACGCGTCAAAGGGGTCTGGAGGACCCTCTTCAATAAACATATCGACGTCCTGTGGTCTTCCCGGTTGGTTAGCACCACGATATGTGTAATTCCTCGAACATACTCTTCTGGTAGGTTCCAAGCTAAATCCAATTCCAGGTCAATCATCTCGGCTTGCCCAAAGTCATCCAAGCCAAACCGATCGAGAGGGTCGCCACCGTCTTCCATAGAGGAGAAGCTTTGCAAGTGACTTTCATCGATTGTATGCAAGGCGCGATTGATTTCGAGGGATCGAGAGCGTTCGGATGATTCCTCCACTACGACTTGCTCATCATCTATGGACCTTTCTTAGGAAACACCTCTCAAGATTATCGACTTACTAGTCACATCCCAATTCTGTGCGGGTGTTAGCTAGTACAGTGACCAGCATACGATACTCACAAAGCCAAATCCATCAAAATGTAGGTCCAAGAACAGGTCATCGCTGACAGACAGTGTAATCTTTTCGGCACTAAGAAGATGAGTTACGGCTTATATGCAGTATATTCTCCTCACCTCGCAGAGCCTTTCTTCATTTCAAGTGATTTGGGATCCACAGGTTGCATAGTACCGAGATCGCCCGCCTTTTTCAAAGAGGAGTAAACATTTGTCACGTCTGTAACAAATATCTCGTGTTTGACTAGAAATAGGCATCGTGAGTTGAATACAACGTTCTCTCCACGGCTCCAGGACGAGGAAGCTGGCACATTTAAATGGGGTTGAACCAATTGAAAACTCACGCTTGTAGACGCGTGCAGCACCTGTGAGAAGGGTGGCACTCAAGCGCAATGCAAGAGGTTCACTTGGATGAGCGATATTCTCGCAAAGCTGGCTAAGGTCGGCCGTCATCACGCTCTTTTTGGTGAGCTTCTTCAGAGTACTTTTGGATCCCAACGTTGCGGCTAGCCTGCGCGTCGAATGAAAAGTTAGCATTGCTCCATGAGCCGCTCGTGTGATGATTACCAGAGCAGTCCAAAGCCACTATCCCGCTTTGCGAGAAGATCGGTTGAATAAAACATTGTGATTCAGTGACGCGCAAGGCGCCTGCAGAAACAAAATAGACGAGCAGGTTGGTGGCAAGACAGCTTGAAACCCGACCATCGCAGCCGGACATTCATGTCGCTCGCTGCGGCCGTTCACAACGTTCTGGATGATCACAAGCAAGGAGAAGAGTCTAACGCTGGTTCAAAGTTGCGAGATGGTGCACAGAGACTGAGCCCTCATCTCCAAGTCCCACCGAAACGCCGTTCTTCGGGCTATGGCTCGACACCAGGCTCTCCAGCTGGACGCACGGGTCCTCCAAACTCTTCTTTTCCAATCTCACAATCGACCACGAGCACCAACAAGGGGAAAGGGCGGGCCATTAACTCTGACGACATGTCACCTCCGAGCCGTACAAACAGTCAAGGCGAGGTCGTTAGTCCGTCTCCAGAGAATAGTGATGAAGAGGAAGCTAGACTGGCGGATCCTTACCGCAAGAAATTCAAGCGGAGTCCGAGCGGATTCCGAAGTGCTTGGGAATACGGCGAGCAGGAGACACCTGGAACGGCACGCATGAAGAGACAACGTGACAGTTGGATCGACGTCGAAGCGTGGAACCCAATCAAATGGCTAGGCCTGACGGAGGCGGACGAAAACGCTAGTGCCGATAAGCAAGCGCAGGCTGAAACGGGCGAACCTCTGTCCAAAGAGAAATCAGACGGAGATCGAGAGGCGAAACCTGCTCCTGACGAGAATCCAATGCGTACCGATTCTCCAGAGCCAGCTACAGAGGGAGAGGCGGAAAAGGTGGACAAACTGAAACCAGAGTCATCGAAACAAAATCGCCCGCCCCGCTCCTTTTCACTTCCCCACATGAAGACGGCGCCGACGTGGAGTCGTCTCAAGGCTCTTCTCCCTCAGGTCGTTGGCACTCAGGGCCCTGCGCAGTCCCCTACTGTAGCGCACAAGCGGCAGGAGGTTGACATCATTCATGAGTTGACATACTCTGGGCTTGGGCCCCTCCTCCTTCGCATGTGGTTCGAACGCGATGAGCGGGACGAACGTCGAGTGCCTATTCTTATGCATCAGTTGCGAATTCGCGTGAGTGATTCGATATATCCTCTCAGCAACAGCAAAGCAGTCTTTCGTATTGAATGCGAATACGCAAACGGCGCAGCTCGCTGGGTCATCTATCGACAGCTTCGAGACTTTCGAAAACTCAACCGGCATTACCGACTTGCCAACTTTTATACCCTGAACGAAATCAAACTACCCGAGTTTCCGAGCAGTAGCATCAGCAAGATTCACTTCTATCGTCTCAAACGCGAGAAGGGATCCGCCGCTGCTCGTATGGAGTTTGCGAAGATGCAACGTCAGATTCTAGAAAATTACATTATTGGTATGATCAGGGCAGTGGTATGTTATCTGGATCTTTACTGTGTGTTGCTGAGGAGGCTTCATAGATGTTTGAAGCAAGCTCCAACCGACTTGCGCGGTTCCTTGAAGTCTCCGCGCTTTCTATCGCTCTTGCTCACTCTGGAGGCCCAGCTCAAAGCGGGGATACTCAAAATTGAGCCAAGCGGTAACAAGAAGGACTATGCAAGGAAAGGAACAGGTTGGAGAGAGCGCCGTAAAGGTCGCTGGTGTGCCGTTCGTGATAGCTACCTAGTTATTGTGAAAGAAGCGGGAGAGGTACCACCCTTCTATTTGCTCTTATTGTTGCTGATCATACGCCTAGCTGGAAATTTACGACGTCTTCCTGCTTGACTCCGAGTTTACAGTGGAGCGCCCAACAAGATACTATCGACAAGGCTTGCGTGCCATTCATCTTGAAGAGTCAGACGACGATCTAGATGGACCTGACAAGGAAGCCCAAAGGCAATCGCCTTTCAAAAGTGCTGCATCGACATGACCATGCCAACGAGAAGGGCGATGAAAAGGAAGCAAACACCGAAGAGTCGGCTCCGAAGAAATCCTTGGCCGCTCAGATACTGGAAAAGCGGAAGAACGACATCAAATCGAAAGATTTTGCCAATGGGGATAAATCAGAACAAGCCAATGGAACTACAGTTCCCACAGGGGATAGTCATGAAGCTCATACCCATCATCATCATCATCATCATCATCACCACCACCATCATGTCGAGGGTGAAGAACACGAGCATCACGAACACGGAAACCATGGAGGTAATAGTCCAATTCGCGGTACCTATAACGGCGGCACCATGCGCTCCAGGGCATCCCATGGACGCCGCAGTTCAGTCTCCACTGCTCGTTCAACAATTCTCGGACGGTTAAGGTCGATCCGGTCCAACAAAGGGAGCTCAAGGAGAAGGAGTAGCTCGACAGACTCGTTATCGTCACATTCCTCCAGCTCATCTGCTACTAGTGATATGGTCGAGCCTGCTTACCGTGACCCGTCGACACATGTCAATATTATGACAAATAGGCACAAGCAAGGTGACGAAGGCATGACGAATGAGGACAAGCGAAAGCAAAGAGACCTCTCCCATCACACGTTCTTTATCGAGAATTCCCAGATGCGACTCAAACTTGTTGCAAGGACCGAGGTAGGTTTTGTCTGGTGGGATATAGTCTTTATACTTATATTTGACCAGCGGCAAACCAATCAATGGATCTCTGCCCTGGAGAGAATGAAGAGCTCCTCTTATTGGTACGGCAAGAATAGATTTGATAGTTTTGCTCCTATACGACTCAATGTCGCGGTTCAATGGCTCGTTGACGGGGTGAGTGTCTCACTTGATCGCGAAACTGCATGGCTTATTCGCGGCAGCGCGACTATTTCTGGAACCTATCACGAGCGATTCAATTAGCGAAGAAGTCGATCTACATCCACGATTGGTGGCTTTCTCCAGGTACTTATGATCTCCTTTACCAACTCTGCCTCATGTTTCGTCCAGAGCTGTATCTCAGACGGCCCGGCAAGGAGAGCTATCGGCTTGACAAGCTGCTCAAGCGCAAAGCTCAAGAGGGTGTCATGATTTATGTTATATTATAGTGAGCCAATCAATATCATCTCAGGATCCAGTGCTGACTCAAGGCAGCAAGGAGGTTTCAAATAGGACGACGCCTACAGATAGCAAGTAAATATGTCCTGGGTATCTTGTTGCGCATTGCTAACTACGACGAGTCACTCGAAACAGGTCCTCATGGGACTTCATCCTAATATCATGGTCCAACGGTCGCCTTCACATTTTGCGACGGGTACCTTCTACTGGGCCCATGTAAGCCAATTCATCGATATTCTCTTGGCTGACTATTTGTAGCACGAAAAGATGTGCGTCGTCGACGAGACAATTGCCTTTATGGGAGGCTTGGACGCATGTTTTGGAAGATGGGACACACCACAGCATATTCTTATCGACGAGCCAGAGGGAGCCAGATCTGGCTAGGTAAGCAATATTGATAGCACGAGAAGTGCTCACGTTCCTTTCAGGCAAGGACTACAGCAATCCTCGAGTAATGGACTTTCACAACCTGGAAAAACCAGAGCAAGACATGTACGATAGGTCCAAAGTTGCTCGTATGCCCTGGTGCGTGATTCGGCTTGATGATATGCTGATACTTATCTCATAAGGCACGACGTCTCGCTGCAAGTCGTCGGTCAGCCCGCCAGAGACCTATGCCGACATTTCGTTCAGAGGCAAGCGCTACGCTCAACATAGCGACCACATTCACATTCTCTACAGGTGGAACTTCCTGCTTCGCGTCAAGGTAAGTATTCGACTATTTCCATTGAGCAGTCTCTGAAGACTAGTAGAACCACAGCCGACAAATGCCATTCCTTCTTCCTCCACCGGAATTTAAGCCTGGCGAGCTCACATCTCAAGGACTAACGGGAACTTGTGAGATGCAAATTGTTCGCTCGGCAGGCCCGTGGTCCATGGGTACTTTAAACAAAGTCGAGCACTCAATCCAGACAGCATATCTCAAAGGTACACTTAATTCTCTACTCGGTTCTCTCTATCTTACAATTCACAGCAATCCAAATGTCGGAGTATTTCGTCTACATTGAGAACCAATTTTTCATCACTTCGTACGTCGCATATTGGGATCGGATATTGTCTCAATCTCCAAAAGGACCGTAGTCGGGGATGTCGAGATTGAGAATAGAATTGGAGATGCCCTGGTACACCGAATCATCCGCGCTCACCGTGAAGGCACGAAGTGGCGGGCTTGCATTCTCATCCCATTGCTGCCAGGCTTTACGTTCCCTGTCGACCACGAGAGTGCAAGCGCTGTGAGTTGGTTACAGCTCAGTCGACCGATACTTAGTTTTTCCAGATACGCATTATTTTGGAATGCCAAAACAGGACAATCAACCGTGGCCCCAACTCCATCTTCTCTAAATTGCGCAAAGAGGGTATTGACGTACGTCGGATCATTGAAGCCATCCTCTATTCTCACTTATAATAGCCTGATGACTACATCACTTTCTTCTCCCTGAGAGGCTGGGGAAAGCTACCAGGAGAAGTTCTCACTACTGAGCAAGTCTATATTCACGCCAAGGCAGGTGGGATGTAACAAAAGCCTCGTTGATATTGAACTTTTTCTAGTTGATGATTGTGGATGACCGCCTGGCAATTATCGGCAGTGCAAATATCAAGTATGTTTGATCATCGAGTTTCCTACCAAAACTGACGTCTCTTTAGCGAGAGGTCACAAAGAGGCGACCGTGATTCTGAGCTGGCGGCAGTCATCCGTGATACAGATCTGATTGACGGGTACGCACTTCGCCATGAGCCTTTAGGATACTCATCAGCCATAGGACCATGGGCGGAAAGCCGTTTAAGGTCGGACGATTTGCTCATACCCTGCGAGTGCGCCTCATGAGAGAACATCTTGGCATCGACGTCGACTCGCTCTATGAGGAGGACATTGAACAACAGCCAGACTCTGTCGAACCCCCGGCCAATCCCGGGAATACTCAAAGATGGGATCCGGATAACGAACAAGAGGATATATCACCCGAACATCCCAAGCTTGAGAAGGAGGACTTTAAACCTATCAAGGGTGAGACATCGGCTGTATCTCGTATGGTGCAACTTGCAGCTGGTAATATCCAGCAAGGTTAGCCTTTGCATTTTGTTGTGTTATTTATTAATGTATCCCTCAGTCTTCTCTGGCGTGGACGCCGCAGTGGCTTATGGTCAAAGTGAGGCGGCTCATGATATAGGAATTGCTCCTGGACGAGAGCACGGCATCACTGGAGACGAGGGCCTGAATAAGGAGCGCCAAACATATGGTCGCGATGGGCAACTGGAGCCGGGTTTCGCGTCATCTAAAGTTCCAACCCTCGAGGAGAAGACGGTAGCGGAGAAGCGCCCCCACGAAACTTCAGGCGACAAGCCATTGGCAGAGGCAATTGAAAAGGGGGTCGCTGGTCCCAACCCATTATCCGGCAAGACGCAAGATGGAGAATTGTACGCTGCACCCGCGGACGCCATGCCGGGCGACACTGAGCCACCTCATGCACGAACACCCTCCAAAGAGGATGCAGACGACCAAGAAAAGTCTGCTGTACGAGCAAGGATGCTTCTTCGACAACACTTGACTGTGCCGTATGGAACAAAGAACTGGACAATCCCAACGCCAGCCCCCATCATCGATCCGCATGGATTCGATGACCCTATCAGTGATCATTTCTTCAAAGATGTCTGGATCGCAGCAGCAGTGCACAATACAGAGATTTACCGACAAGTGTTCCACGCCGTACCCGATGATCTCAGTAAGTGACGACACGTCTGGGAACTTTTTATTCACTCGTCGTAGTCACGACTTGGAAGCAGTACAAGGAGTTTGTGGCTCATCACGAAAGACTGCAGAAGCCTGTGGGTGACGAGGTGTCGTCGAAATCGTTGATGGGGCTCATCGATATCACAGGTGCACGACCCAAATACAGACAAGGACAAAGCCGCGACGGCAGACAAGAATGCCGACGACAAGTCTGATCGACCTGCAGTTGGACGCGTTCCGTCAGAAGGAGGGAATAGTGAGATTGGAGTCGTGGTGACGGATACGGACGCCAAAAATGCGGCTCAAGATCAACTAGGCAAAGACCCCGACGCGAATGTTCGAGAAAATCGGACACCAGATGTCAGTAGTCACAGCAAGGCTCCGAGCGTCACCTCTGGTAGATACGAGGAGGGCTCGACCTCGGCTGTACCAGGCTCGCCGACACAAGGACATCAACGATTTGAGACACACAGTCGCAGCAGTCACAGCAGACCAAGAAGAAGCCCACTGGACCGGACGAGCCGTTTGAACCTTGGGAGCGAGAGTATATGGAAGAGCTGCTAAACGACGTCAAGGGACACCTCGGTACGTTTGAATGATTGCTACGCGTCGCATATGGGCTCATGTACGGCCAGTACTGTTCCCTACTCGGTTCCTGGAGGGAGAGGATATAGCCGACAACTTCTTGTTCAACGCCGATCGGTACGTAGCGACCATTGAGAGGCGATGTATTCTGACGACTTGTGGCAGGCTACTTCCCTTGCCCATTTACAACTAGAGACTGGATTCGTATTTATTTCACCTTTGAGTAATTTCTACCCTACGTTGCGGAGAGCGAGTTGTCTCATGAGCATATATGTCCGCTGATTCCGAGCGCCGAGAGCACGCTTTCATATCCGATGGATTTGCCAAAAGAGCCGAGGCGCCGCATGGGTCCCCGAGACCCTGTTGTGTCGAGTGGCCCCAGGTCGGAATACTTGCGCATCTTGTTGGCTGCTCGTGAGGGGCGACCGGCCACTGAGGATTGGTTGGGTGGTTTGAACGTTGACCAAGGCGACGACGATAGATTTCGATAAATTGAAGAGGCATCTATGGACTCTGGAAAGCATTTGCGATTGATGGATGAATTTTGAATGAAATTTGTCCATGGGTGTACCTACCCCGGCGAGCACAAAGGCGCCGCAGGATCCGGAAAAGGCATGTGCGTGCAATGGGGCTGCCAGGCAACGCCAGTTCTTGATAGAGCTTGTTGTGAGCACTTAAGGCGTCTACGCGTGCTTTTGCTCGATCTGCATCTAACGAACCCCCCCGACCAACGCCCCTTGACCCGGTTTTCTTTTCACGTTTACGAACTCTTAACGTCTTTGAGCAAGTCTCGGGCTGCTATACGACTTGTTCTTGTCTTGTTATCACCGTCCTTTCCCTCGAATCCTCACACCTGTGTGCGTAGTCTCTGGGTGGGAAGTAAAAATTGGCTGACATGTTTTACCCAAAGATCCCTCAGCTTGCTGTTTCTAATCATCTGTCATGTCCCAAAGTATCCGAACCCACCAGACTCCCGAGGTTGGCACCGGTTATTGTTCGCGTGACCACATATTCTAACAATTTGACAGAGGAGCATAGAGCGCGAAACACCTAGAAATCCGCCGGGACTGCCATTGCCCGCAGACCGACTGTGGCAGCCCCATGAAGATGGGTACTGGAGAAAGCTACGGGAAGAATGGGGGTCTACGCTTGACCTGAACAAAGTAGAAGATGACCAGGAGCGAATCGATGGTGAAGATATGGACGAAGTTGACCTGGCCACGGCAAACGGAACCGTGTTCCGCATTGTGCTGGCCGACGACGGGCGAAATGCGCACTCGCATGATATTCACCGAGTGGGAGCTACACCTGATATGGACTCCCGCGGGCTGAATATAGCATCTCCGGGTGATGTGCCGCACCCTGCTCGGCCTATAAGTCGTCCACTCCCTCTGTACGTCTGTTTCCCTCCCCCTACCTGTCTGCACTCGCTCACTCTCCCCAGGCTCACACACACCAAAACAAGTAAGAAATCTCGCAAGTTTCAACCTCCCACGCTTAGTGTGAGCGTCACCACCACCACCCGTACCTATAGCGGCGACGTCTTTCCGCCGCCGTATACTCCCCGTCCAACGGGCACAGAGCGCAGCTTTGGCGTCGACGGAAAGCTCAAAGACGACGAGATGGAGCCCAGAGCTCGATGGCCCGTCGCCAAGTGGCTCTTCCTCCTCGGCTTCTGTACGTGGTGGCTTGATTACCGGTCTACTTATAAAAAACTGACAATACCGGCTTCCTCGGACCGGTCCTTAGTGTTCCCTCTGCTTTGGCTCTTTGGCTCTTTCCTCCTCTTTAGTGGTCTCCGCAAAATGGCAGACTCGTCCCCGTCTTCGATAGAATCCCAAGTCTCTGACAGGAAACTCGATACCCAGTCCCGCGATACCACCACATCAAGTATCACTCATCTCATTGCACAAGAGGTCGTCTGGAGCAAGCGTTGTGCTTGGGCCATCAGCCTCTTTGCCGTCTGCTCTTTTACCGCACTCGGCATTCTCAAAGCAGTCGGCATGTGAGCTGCTGCTCCGACCCTTTGCACGAGCCAGCCTCGAGCTTGCTTCTGGTGCCATGACCTTGTCACGATCAAAACGCTCCCTTGTTTGCTGGACAATCAGATATCGCCCTGTCGAGTCTTTTCTTGATGAACGCGCGTGTGCATAGATTATCGCACACCACCATCATTTGTAGTCTATCCAGTATTTAATCGAGTCCTCTCCATTTGAGTAACCTCGCGCGGGATTGAGAAAAAAAGGAATGGGTGAATACAATTATCAGCAGTAAATAAACACCTGATACCAATGTCGGACAGCGAGTCTGCCCCACAGACGGCTTTTACATGCACTCCATCTCCGCCGTCGAGCGTCGCCGTATGGGGACGCAGAATCATGCACCTCCACTATAACAAATGTCAGTATGTGCCCCAAATCAAATTAATCATAAACGTACACAAGGATGTTGTTGCTATTCGACGACAAGACCAGCGCGTGTCAGCATACCCCAGTCCAACGAACAGAAATCCGGGACAAGACGTACATTGGAATATGTATCAGCTTGACAAAATAGCCGATAAAGCCCATGATGGCGAACCCAATCGCGACGGCCTTTGAGATTTGGATATACTCTGCCAGCGCATTAGCGTTGCGTTTGACAAAACGGAGCGCCGTCCAAAACGAATACGCAGGACCACTGAAATAAAGAAGAGACTTATCCACCTTTTTGCGACGGCTTGGTGCAGCGTGTCATAAACTAGAGAAGTCGGTCAGTCCCAGTCCGACTCGTCGACGTGGCCGCCCGAGTACAGACCTGGTTGCCCTCACGAACAAATTGTTGAGGAACATCGAGAAATTCCCTGAGCTTGTCGGACATTTTCGTGGTCAAAGGCGGGTTCCAAGGTCAAGGGAGGGCTGAGGTGGCGGGGTCGAAGTTGGTTCTTTCGAGGAGAACCAACCCAACAAAAGACAAGATAAAAGGATTCAATTAGATTAACAGAAAATGATCATACAGTAATACTAGGACACGTCTATATAGTTCACGACTAGGGAGAGGACGACTGTCACCCGGAATCGGAGATGACATGGAATCACAACAAGACCAAAGGCGTCAGACGGTACGAAGCACATACAAGGAGAGTATCAATATTACTCGAGAAATGCCACGCGCCATCTTATGCGCAGTGCCTATTTGGTGGATGTGGGGATATGCATATTGATCGCTACTCGTCCGTCAGCAAGACGACAAAGACACTAGACGGCGAAATTTCTCACCTCGCGACCAGGTCATGGCATCCACTTGAGATGGGAGGTCAAAGTACAAAATCGCCTTGTTGTCAACGAGGCGAAGCGCTATCCACAAGTCGTCAGTCAGCATACTCCACGTCCTTTCCAGTCACAACGCACCGCTATTGTGCACAATACTGGCAGGCGTCGAGACGGTTTGCATGCGCAGCACCGCCCAGAGATCGACCGGTCCGTTTGGATCCTTGCCTCCACTTGGATCCTTGCAGAGCACCAACAAGTCGTTGCACAAAATCGCCGTCAACGATCGTGGCGTTACCTCGGGTGCCAGACACTCGACAGAAACGAGCGTCTTTTCACCCTGAGCACCCACGACTTCGAAATAGCTCGCAATCTTGCGCACTACTCGCGTCAGTTGCAACCGGCCGTCCATGATCAGCCGACGGTGTGGTTGCACGAGCGGACTGGGAAACTTTCCACGAATCCGACCTTGCCAATGAACCAGCTTGCGGCGGGATTCGGCTTCGCGCTTGCCCTCGTTCATGTTTGATGCAAGCACCGTAATCTCGTCCAATGCCTTTTGGAGCATACTCTCGGATAATTCTGAATTTGGTGGCGTCGCACGCACGAGCTCCTCAAACTGGTGACCCAGTCAATCCCTAGGGTCCGCTTTTGTAAAGGGATAAGAACATACCAGCAGTCGATAACGCGGAATACGCTGAACAGGAAGCAGGAGATAACTCTCCATGTTCATCTGCGAGTGTCGCGGGTGAGCTCGGCATCGCTTCAGGTATTGCTTGATCCTCTTGCGTTGCGCAGGCGTGAGGTTAATCTGTGAAACTGTCTCCTTTGCAGCCGCATTTCCGCCAATATGTGCACTCGGAGCCGCAGAGCCAACAAGAGCCGCGCCAATATTCTTATCCGTCCATTGTTTCGTTCGTCTCAGCGCATTGTCAAAGTTGCTGCAAAAAAACGAGTCAGTTACAAAAAAAATCACCACAAGCGACTCACTTGATATAGGTCGAATACATCCTCATAAACGCCGCATGCGACACAAAGACCTTGGCGACATCGATAGCCGCCTTTGCAGAAGCGGATCCGTCTGCGTCGTCGGAGTTGTCCAACGTCTGACAGGCCTGCTCCAGCGCAGGGAGAAAGTTTTCGCGATGGAACGCGAGCAACGAGTCCAAGCCGTTGAACACAATCTTGCGTTCGACGAGCGGGACAACTGTTTCCTTTGACGCCACGTTGGTGATGCCGAGAACAGGCGCAGCAGCAGGCGTGACATAAATGTCGACCAGCTCATTGAGCAATTTGACATACGTTCGCTCCGTCCTACGATCGAGTTGTCAGCCTTTTTCGTTACTATTGCTACCGGCTACGCACGAGACAATCTCCTTGACAATCATTGCACGTTTGACCTTGTCATCTTTCACCTTTTTCTCTTCAGTTTGAGGTTGCATTTGCATCGAGTCGACAATGGTGGCAGCATCCGATTCCATGGGACCATCGGGGCTGAGTGCAGATCCAGAGGACATGTCGGCATATTGCCCAAACGAGGGCATCCCACCACTGATAAACATGCTAGACGGGTTGCTCGACGAGCCACCGCTCTGCGCCATAGGCGGAGAACTCGAACCAGAGAATGCCGTCGAAGACGCCGCATTTGAAAACTCGGACAGCGTCCGCGCAGCGTCTGTGGAAGAGAGCGTCGGACGCCTAGACACTGATCGACTTCCAGGACCTCGCGAACCTGGTGTCGATTCGGAATGCTGCTGAGCAAAATTGGGGTTCGAATTGACTTGAGCTTGAGCAGCCGCGGCTGCAGCCGCAACAGCCGCCGCTCCAGAGCTCGTACCCGCACTCAGATCACACATGTCTCTGAGATAGCCCATGACAGACTTGAGCGCTCTCTGGTGTTGCTCTCGTTGCTTTTCTTCGCTTTCCACTGTCAGGCTCAAGGGCGAAGCAGGGTATCCAGGTGATTCGAGACCAAATGATTCCTGTGTAGGATCGCTACTTGCGAGAACAATAGAACCATTATGCGTCGGCGGAATACTGATGGGTGCAGGCCCGCCAATCGGTAAAAACGAACGGCGCTTGGTCTTTTTGGGATTTATCGGACTGACAGGGGGTGGAGCGAGCACCCGACGCCGTCGAGGGCCGACCACTCGACTTGGAAGCTGGAGGCGGACCCATGAGCTGGAGTGGACTAGAGATGGACGAATGAACTGCAGGGTCCGTCGGACGCTTGCTCAAACCCTTCGTGGAGGAGAGGTCTGATTGAGGCTAGTCGAAGACCGGAATCCGACTTGCGAAGCCGTCATAAACGGCGCCGAGGGGGCGCCAGGTGTCGTGTTCCCAGCAGAGGAATGGGGCATAAGGGGCAACGTCTCCGAGGGTCCGCCCATCCCACCCATCGTTCGTGGGGGACCAATCGTGTGTGTCGGTGGTCCAACGCCACTCGCCTTTGCATCGTCTTCGTTTGCCACTGATCCCGAGCGAAGTCGGGTCTTGCTCATCTTTTTGAGGAACCCCCACTTGTTCCTATCCTTGTCTTTTTCTTTTTCCCGTTCTTTGGCAGCGCGAATGGTTGCCTGCGGCGTGTAAGAGGTGGATGGCGTTTCAAACATGGTCGCAGTGAGCGCCCGGTACTCTTCCTTCATCGGCCCACGTGCACCAACCGACATGAATTTGCCCAAACCCGACGAATTTGAATCCCCAAACTCGCCCGATATTGATTGTTCGCTTCGATTGGCAGGCGACGCCGCGTTCACACCAGTCCTCATATCTCCCGTACTCTTCATTCTTCGCATCGTATTAGGCGACATGCCTCTTTCCAATGCTTCGGCTTCTGCATCCACGGGCCCAGACGACCGCTCCGTCTGTAATGCGAGCGCCTCCGTCGAGCGGACTGCGGAATTGGCTCTGCCGAGATTGAACGAACCAGCAGGGCTGCGACCACCACCACCATTAGTCTCAGGATGAAGCCTGTCATCGCCCATAGGTGGTGGCGTCTGTTGAAGGAGAGACGAAATCGAATTGGACGCGCTCGGCCTACGTGACGGTGCCGTCTTGGTACGCGAGAGGGTACGTGCTCCGGCCATGTCGTGGGTGCCAAACGAGGTGTGTGGACGTGGTGAGTGAGGGTCGTGCATCTGAGGACGGGCTCTGGTCGCCGTTGCAGGTCGCGCATCATCTTTGTCCCCCAGGGTCACTGCGCGCGAACGGGCACCCGCTGCATTAGCTGAGCCAGACGGAAACACGGGGACATTCAAATCTCTTGACGATGTCGAGCGATGACCCTTTGTCCATGGATTGGCATTTGCCTGTGTCGGCCTCGGCTGCGCCGTGAGTTCCTCTTCGTGATACTCGGATACGTCTGTAGATCCAATCGAATTTGCTGTATGAGGCGTATTTGGGGCGTAAAAGAGCGATTTTACAGAGGGCGTAATAGGACCAGCGACAGGGCGAGGAATGAGACCCTCTACGAGCGCCTTCCAAGGTCCTTGAAACGGATTTCCCTCGACATAGAGCGCCTCGAGGTGTGGTAAGAGACAAAGCCAACTGGGCAACGAATGCATCCGATTGTTGCGCATGCTCAGCGTATGCAACTGAACCGCGGCACTCAGACTGGGAGGCAGCGTACTGATTCCAATCCCGTCGGCTATCAAGACGCGTAGATTGGTGAGAACGGCAAGCCATGTGGGGAGCGCACGAAGAGGGTTGTGGCCGACGTTTAGTTCCTCCAAACTCCGACATAATGCAAGCGCCGGCGGGAGCGAAGACAAGAAGTTTGCGGAAATATCGAGTGCCAAAAGGGATTGGGAAATGGAGGGAAGGATATTGACGAGGAACCCCGGCAGCTGATTGGGTGTCGCGCAACCCCCCAAGAGAAGGTGGGTAGTGTCTTTACAAATCAGTTAGACGTGTTTCCCGCGTCCGAGGTACGGGTAATAACTCACTGGACGGCACATTCAGTTCAAAGAGATCCTTTCCCTCTCCATGAACAATTTCGCCGTGACCCTGTTCGGCGAGTACGACAGCGGCGGTACGGTCCATATCGTCTTCCTCATGGCCATCTGCATCCCCTTCTTCGTCATCGGTCGGGTATTCGTGCTCACGCTGGTCGACGTGGTGATTCCAGTCGTACCGCTGGTTGCCACCACCACCACTGGGACCAGCGACAGATTGTCGAAGCGAGGGATCGTTGCCCCAAGAGCTAGATTTTGACGCCTCGGATGCGGCGCTCGAAGACGACCAGCGGGTGCGCGGGTCGGCAGAGTGGTGGGCTAGATAATCGGTTGCAGGACGCGAGCCGGGCACAGACGAAAAACCAGGACGAGCGGTGACAGCCGACGAGAGTTGCTGATCCATATCGCGGAGCTGAACGATTTCATCTGCCGTGGACGCGACTCCGACTTGGCTTGGTGAGAGCATGTCAGACGTGTTCAAGAGGCCAAATGGATGAATCAGCGCAGTTTGCTCGGAAGAAGAGGAGATGGCGTGGTGGTGGTCAAGGAGATGTGAATGATTGAGCGGGTGTGGGAGGATCGCATCGCCGGCACTCAATCTGCTGCTGCTCTGCGGTGACATATGCGAGTGATGTGAATAATATTGCTGAGCGTGTCGCGCATTGTGAGCCGAGTCGGACGAGGCGACGCTTGAACGAAGGGCAGAGGCCGGACTTGCACTTGTATAGGCAGACGAACGCGCCGAAGACGAGCCAGCAGAAAAGAGGGAGACGGGTGGTGTGGTGCTCGCGTTTGCGGCGCTGAAGCCTGATGGATAGGGGTCCGGAAAGAGGGACGGATCCGGCAGACTTGCAGCACCACTACCAGGAGCTGGAGCATTCCCACCACCCGCACTGACAGTGGCATTTGCCGCATTCACAAGATTCGACAATGATGTCTTTGGCTGGAGTTTACGATTCGAGCTCGACTTGCGGACTGTCCGTGTCAAGGGAGTCGGTCCCGTGCCCGTGCCTGCGGTGCTTGTGTTCGTCGTTGTCGTCGTCGTCGGCTGCTGCGATGCCATTACGGCAGTCCTACTATTTGATCTGGATCGGGAAGTGGTGGGCTGGCTGGTATCTGGAGAGGCACGGTGCATGCTAGTTTGCTGGCCGAGTCCAAGCCTGGTAGTAGCGTGTGGCGAGGTCCAAGCTTGAGAATCTTTAGAATTGTCGTTTACGGAGCCCTGGGGAGCTAGAGATGATGAAATTGTGAGCGAGCGGAAACGTCAAAAGAGAGCCGTAGGCGAGTGACAGGAGTTAGAGAGTGTCGCGAGGATAGAATCCGAACAGTCTCAGCCCATCGTCCATTCCAGACAGATATTAACGTGCGGGGGCTTTGCGGGGGTTTCGAGGTGCGTGCCTTTGCGTCGCCGAAGATTTGGAGATCTGCAGAATGCCCAGGGGAGACGGAGAGATGGACAATAGCACACAAAAGGGCCCAAGAATCGAGTAGAAGACGTGAGATGTACTCACCGTTCATGGATTGGGACCAGGCGTTGAGAAACGAGTGCGAGTCTTGGAGATAGCTGCCGACAATGTCGTCGTTGTCATCGTCGTCTACGTCGTGGAAGGCCTGATTGAGATGGGCCATAATGGCTACAGGAGATGGTCAGGTCCAAGTCACTAGCGAGCACGGTGGCACTGCGAAAAAAAAGCATGAGAACGCGTGGGACAACTGCGGTGGTTATAGGTTGATATTCCACAAAGAGGCCAAGGCTTAAAGAGTCTAACGGCCTTGGAGGTTTAAAGGCTTGCAGGCCTCTATCTGTCCTCATGTTCTCTGTCTGGCAACGCGGCAGTCCTCGCGGTATATTTGTCAATTTATTTGGGAATAATCACGACGAAATCTCCAGAATTCACCGGCAACTCAGAACCTTGCTGTCCAGGGATACGTAGCCGCCCTTTTGCTTTTCACCGCGCCAATTTCTCCGAATTTTTCGTGTGGACGGTCTAAAAAGCCATCCATCTGATCGACGTTGCATCTTGTCCTCTCCCTCCGCCTCCCTCCACCGTCCAGATGCACCTCCAGAGCCTACCGAGCGACGGAACAAGCACAAGTATTCTCTTTGACGGCCTAGTCGACGCGTCAGGCAACCCTCAACGGCCCAGGATGGACCCTTTGGCGGCTGACATGTTCAAAGAGGACGAAGAGGCGATTGCAGACTCGGAAGAAGATATTGAAGATGATGAAGAGGAAATGTACGAACACGCAGAGGATACACGCTTGAGATACGAGCGACTACAAGCTAGGGGCCGCGCTATGGAGCTCGCCTATCAACGCCGTCTCGAGCGCGAGCGTGAACAAGCTCACGCCGCGGCCGCTGTTGGTGCTAACGACACGAGGCGAGAGCGCAGTCGTAGCCATTCCAAGTCGCGCTCCAGGCCAGCGACGCCCATCACCGCCTTGTTCAAGCGCGACGCGTTTGTTCTCGGGATAACCAGAAGCCAATCCCCACCGGTTAACAACGCTGCTGTCGTGGACAAATCGTAAGTGTCCGCCCCGTCGGCCACCCACTTCCACATCCACAGAACACCCGCCCCGCACTATCATGATTTGATCTCCATTAACATTTCGTTATTACAGGTCACGACGTTCTAGCATCTCCAATCTCTTCAAGTTTAAACCAATCTCCCGTTCGTCCTCTTCAAAGTCGATTTCAAATGGCTCTTCTGTCCCAACCTCACCGTTTCCGTCACCTCTGACGCCCATATCGCCCCTCCCGGCATTTTTGTCCCCCAAACTACGCAGAAAGCCTATGCCAGCCAGCAGCGAAGACACGGAACCAGCCTTTGGCAGCCCACTCACACGTGCCAAGCGTCGACCGTCCCCTATACGTGCACAAACGCTCCCAGACGAGCTCTACCCGCTCGAAGAGTCCATGGACCGCACACCGATACCCCTCCGACCGACGCCAATCATCGCACCTCACCGTCCTCATCTCGTCTACGCCGCAGACCAAAACTCGCCTCTAAAGCTCCAACTCGACCCAGGTCAATGAATCCCGTGTATGCCGGCCCCGTGCCGCGTTATCTGGCCTCGCGACTTGCCTCGCACCCCTCAAACTACGTCAGAGTGGCTTCACAATTGCGCATCTCTATCGATCAAATTTTATAATGATCAATAGCCTCACCCCGTTACGATCAGTCGAGCGCCAAATGTTATCCTCGCACGGTCGTTCTTCGGCCCTGCGACTAGGTTATCCATCTCACCCGGCGACTCAAAATTCATGCCCTTCTCAAACGGACGTCCGTTATCTCTGACGTCGTTGACCCTCTTGTCTCTCGCGCCTTCCGAGTCTTTTCCAAATGGACCCATCTCGACTCTCTCCGCCCGCCCCTTGTGTGCTCGTGTTGCGCCCATCTCGTCAGTGTTGTCGATACAATCACGTCTTACGTCCCTCTTCACCTCTCATTGTTGTTGTGCTACTGGATTATCCTTATCCTATATCGTCCTTTTTGTACATAGGTTTCCAATGCGCTACGAATGATCAAACGCTTAGTTATTCAGCATTAGCTACAAAGACGTAAAAAGAGGATACGACATATCGATACGAATGATAATTAGGGAGAATACGGACCCCGAGAGTGTGTACATATACCGTCTGCGAGCCCTAACCAATCGATCTCTTCTTGGTCGGGCTTCCCTCTCCCGGCGCTGGCTCGGCAGACGCGAGGGAGCGCTCTCGTTTGATACCAGAATGATCGAGCATCATAGCTCCATTCTGTTTGCGTTCTTCAAGAAATTGCATAAACCCGTTACTACTAATCGGCGCGCTGGATCTCGAGCTCGGTGGACTACCGACGCCCATCTTTTGTTGGTCTACACCATCCGACAACGGCGCCGTGTAAAGCGTGCCGATGATAGATGCAGGTCGTGAGCTGAAAATGTTGGGACGTGGCCTGTCAATCACCATTCGATGATCCTCTTCATCGTCTACAGCTTCGGCCGGTGGGACCTCCTTTTGAGCTGGTCGGTATTTTGAAAGAACGCCATTATAAGCCCCTCCACCAAATCCTATCCCGAATCCTGGGCATTTCTGACCGCCTTCATAGGCCCATTCTGGCACGACTCCTTCCCGCTCAGGACCCTCAAACGCGAAATCGATCACTTTGATACCTGCACGCTGCGCGACTCGCATGAGCCGCAAAGACTCGGGAAGATCCTCAAACACGGTATTATCAGAGCTGGCGGTGGCTTGAGAATCGGTCAAGTCCTCAAATGGCGTCGGAGACCTTGTCGAAGCCAGATCCTCGTCCATGTCAATCGATAGGGTACTAGTATCGCTCGCGAGCCCTGAACCACTCGCGTTCAAGCTCTGTCCCTCAGAAGCGGGTGGTGGCTTGACGGTAATTTTCGGAGAATTTGTTGCTGAAGAGACTAGTGCGTCGGAAGAATGCTGTGATGAGAATAGTTGAGATGATGACTGAGCAAGGTTCGTTGTGGCCGCAGTACCAGTCACCGGACTACTGCTTGCGATAGAAACGGGTCTTTTCGCCGAGGCGGACGCGTCTCTGCTGGCCGAGTCGCGAGAAACAAGTTGCTCGCGCTTCAATTCGCACTTGCGTTTAATACTGTCGGTACTCGGCGATCGGAGTGAAGAGGCCCGGCTGAGGAATCCAGACGAAGAAGAGGAACGAAAGGGCGAGAGCGAGCGTCCACTGTCTATCAGGTTCTGGAAGATCCGAGACGGCGTCGAGGGTCGGTGGCGAGAACTTTCGGTGCTAGAAGATGCACCAAATGTACGAGGGGAAGGCTGAGCGACAACTAGAGTCATAGCAGCGAGTGTAAACACATGGAATCGACCCTTTTCACCATTTACTCACCATTAGAAGGCATTCTGAATGCGAGCACACGCTGCGTCTCAAGCTGGACGGTGGCGACGTAGAGTGGCGAACGCGGTGGTATAAACGAGTGCTCAGAAGAGTTTAAAAGTTGCTATTTTACGTCGTTTGGTAGACAATCCAGGGTGTCTCAGCCCCGTCTGGGCGAAAACGGACAATGGAGTTAGAGGCCAAGGTGTAAACGTGGTTGGAAGTCAATGTGGCCTGCGCGTCAAACGCCCAAGCCGGATTACGATAGCAGCGCCAACCCATCATTACATGCCCATTTCACAAAGTTTGCCTCTGCAGTGGGATCTGTTCGGCGCCTCGGAGCAAGTCAACCTCAGGCGCTGCCCATGCACAGAATAGAACTCACGTTGGAGGGTCAAGACTTTGACTAGAATCGATGCGAATCCCGTCGCGCTCAACCTCGGCGGCAATGACTTTCATCACATCGCCAATCTCCATGCTTGAGCCTGCCTCGTTGATCTTGGTCTCGTAATATGTCGACATGCCTTGGATTGTCGTGATGGCATGTAATGCTTGTGCTGCTATAGACGGAGCCCCGCCGCGAGATTTCTCAGTGGGCACTTGGCATTGGCGCCTCCAGGCTCGTCAAACAGTCCATCTGTTTGTCAATCGTCGGCTTGGATCTGACAATTTCATACTGATCCCTGTGTCAGAAGAGGACGTCGACCAGAGTGACAAAACGCACGACAAACTGGTGAAGGGCTTCCGGAGTTGGCATCAGGGCTTCTGATACAATTGTGGCGCCTTCCAACGTGATAAGCGTCTGTATACGTAAGTACTGCGTTGTTCAGAAGGGTGAGCGTCAATCCCATACCTCTTGAATTAGCTCGTCAACCCGCCCCAGAACCCTGACATTTTCCAGTCGAGACGCCACAAAATCCAGTACTGCAACAATACTTCTCCATAGCTCTTCCCAATGATAATCTGTACAAATGTCAATTGACATACAGACTTGCCAGAACTCGCTCACCCAAACGTATCCGCTGACGGCTGAGAGCCCAGAATATATTCTGCAGAGTTGATATGCAAAATCTATAGGTTGAAACTTCCATCTTCTTGTGAAGATTGTGGCGAAGCCAGAGGATGCATGCATCTAGCATCGCATTTAATATAGGCCGTGATGCGGGAGTTTCCGGTAGTCTGGGTAGACGCTACAGCAAAATCAGCTGCTCTTCTTCATCTGACGAGAAATATCTATACCTGTCTACATATTCGGACTTTGCCGGACTCGCGAGCAAGCTTTGTCACCATTGATTCCTCTTGCGACATGAGAGCAAATACCCTCATCGTAAGGTTTGCATACGCCAGACATCTTGTCGTCCCAGCCGACGATGCGTGTGAGAAGAGATACGAGGCCAGAGAGATGAACGAGCAGATCATGGGTGGTCTAGTAGAAGTTGTCTCAGTCGAGAGAGATTCCACCACGATGGATGAAAAGACGGGATTTAGGTTGAAGAGCTCGTAGAGTGGGAGCAATGCTGCAGCCGCTTCGATTGGTCTACCAATGTCAGGAGTGTGCTCAATCTCCCACACGTCAACGCACTGGTCTTTGAATAGCTCTTTTGGTGTCTCCACGGGTGTTGAAGATAACGCCCTATCCGGTCGGAGGGCTGTTAAGAACGACCCGACCGTTGAAACCAATGTAGGTGGTGTGTCATCTTGAATCTCTTGGTACCGCCTAAAGTCAAATTAGAGCAGTATAACCATCTATACCTCGTACTGACTTGACTGAGGTTTCGAAAGCATATCCAAGAGCCCACGAAACCTTGCTCAAGAGCGTATGGTCGACCGAACCACGTACGCGCTTGAGGTACGGATTGAGATTTGCGGCGTCAGACTTGTGGTAATTGAGAAGGACCGAAAGAAGAAGTACGGCTTCGAATGTAAACGGAGTCGTTTCTGGCGTTTTGATAAACTACAACTGGTCAGGCGACCTATCATTGTCTGACTGACCAACTTGCCATGACAATTGTTGGAAATAAATCTCTCCGTAATAGATATGCGCCTGGACTGAGCTGTCCGACACCACACGCAAAGACGAGAGCGAGCTGCAGCGTTCGATGTTTCAATGCAACTGGTGCATCTCCACTCTCCAGCACCTTTTCAATACTCTCTACAAGTAACTGGTGACGTAATCAGTCCATTTCGACAAGAACAGTAGAAAGAGCTTCACCCCAAATACACGATCGCTCTCCGATACCGTCCCGGCCAAGAGTTCCATCAGCTCCCAACCAGCAAACTCTTTCCGCAACATGGAATGTAGGAAGACAACGAGCGTGTCCAACGCGTTGGTCTTGCGCACGTCATCATACAAACTGTCCGCAAAGAATTTCAACGCCTCTTTGAACACGAGGCCGAGTACGACCTTTCAAGTTATATGTCCAAAGATTAAAACATATGGCCCAACGCAGATTTGAGGTGGGAAACGCGTACCTTGTGTTCTCGCATGCACGCCTCATTGGACAGACGGTCCAAATAAGCCGCAAACCAAGCCTGCTCAACCTTTAAACCAAAGAGATCCGACCAAAAATTTGCTGGATTCGTACGCGGCGCAATCTGCGCAATAGATTGGCCCTACTGGGAGGCGAGCAACAACAAACGTCAGTCTTCATTTTGAATCTTTCCGGTTCAACGCGTGCCTCGAGCAGTTTCTGGTATGTCAACTCGAATTTTGAGCGCAACCCTGCCATTATAGCTTGTCGCGGTTAGGTCGAAGATCGTTCTTGGGTTGATGCGATTTCGCCACGAATGAAAGGACATCACGTGTTCATGAACAAGAACGACGGATACAAAGTCTACAGTGTTTCTACATCTATCCTTTGCGCGTCGCCAGCTCGGCATGGCCGACGCTACAAGGAGATCAACCGACTGGCTATAAGAAATGTTCGATGAGAGAGAGCGTGGTGGAAGGGTAACAGATGAAGTGGATGGATGGCATAAACGGAGATCAACCAATGGTATAGATTGATGAGCCAAAAATAGAAGAAAGATGAGGGGGATATGGGTTGAAGAGCGCTCGGGATGATACGAATCGGTATTGTCTCCATTTTTTTCCTCAGCTCCAGGATCAACCCAGGGTGGACAAAAAAAAAAAGGCGACCAACACACGTCCGTCTCGTCTTTTGACGTCTTCGTCACACTCAGAAACCACCAACGGGACGGGCGAGGGAGCGCTGAGGCTGCGTCGAGTGCGCCATTCGCGCCGGTGCACTGAAGCGTCGCTGGAGACGCTCCATCATCACCGAGCCACATTCAGCACGGTTCGCCAAGGCTGTCAATGCCTCTGCCGTCAATGGAGTAGGTGCTCGCGTGCTCGCGATACGCGGACCAGGCAAGGAGACTGCTGCCGGACAGATGGGAGGACGACTGGAGGAGGTACCGGTGGAGGTCTTGGGACGTTCAATCGGGCCGTGCGAGTTTGTCGGAACAAAAGTACGCTTTGGTGTGGGGGACAGGATGACCACAGGGTCCTGCACGGGCACGTGGGCCGCGGGTTTCTGCAAGAATGCAGGAAGACGAGAGGTTGGTGGCGAGGCAGAACGAGTAATGGTCACGTTTCCTCCCAGTCGCTTTGAGATTTCGTCCAGGGATGGAAGTGCTTGACTCTTTGGTTTTGCAGGCTGTGGTCGTGGCGACAAGGGCGCGAGTCCGTGCACTTGGAGTGACTGACGAACATTGCCAGTCACTGCAGCGAGAGCCTGGGCCTCTTTGCGGGCGCGGGCGCGAAAGTCGACTTGTTCGACGCGCACGGTTCGGGCGTCGGGCTGGTCGTCCAAGGTCTCAAACAGAGCCAAGGGAGAAACAAGACCAGGAGAGGGCAGCGTAAAATGGAAAACTGCAGGACTTTCTGGAGGAGTGACTGGCAACGAGGCAGCTGTGGGCGAAGGGAGAGCCTCTATTTTCGAGAGGAACAGCTTTCGGCGTTCAACTATAGAACAAGAGTCAATATCGGTCGACGGGGATGTTAGGAAACTAGGATCATCGCTCTCAGTGCTTCTGAACATGCGACCAACACGTGTTCCACGCATAGCTCACTCAAACTGACGAGTTCACATCAGTAGACGCGTGCCGTTAGCACCGGAGCGCGAAAGGAGATACTGTGTGAACGCAACGGACCGCCGTCGGAGGATCGTTGCCAGCGAGCAGCAACAGTATTGGACAAGAAAAGAAAATACGCACTCTGCTTGGATTGATGTGCACGGACCGCGACCTCCTTTCGAAGGTCGTGCTTCGCCGTCGCAGCAGCGTTGCTACGTGCAGCCGCTCTGAGTGCCTCGAATCGAGCAGAATCGAGGCCTTTTCCCAGTGTGGTCCGGATAGGTTGGGTGACGGTACGGTCCTTTGGTGAGTGGACTGGTGGGGGGACGAGGTGGTGTGAGCGATAGACATCGCGCGAGTCGTGCAGAAACGCAATGTTGTCAAAAGGTGAACTGGGCTCCTTGACGGGCGTTGATTCTGTACAAAACTCGATGTTGATCGACGGGACTGGCGAGAGCGGTTGAGCCAACATGGTTGAAGTCGAGGGGGAGGAGGAAAAAACCAAGAGAAATCCGAGTGAGCGAGCGATGTGAATTCGTAATGAGTTTCTTTTTTTTTGCAATGAAAAAGATGCGACCAGCGCCTGACTCGAGGCGTCGGAGGGCAGAAAACAGAGGGATGTGGTGAGGTCGAAGGTTGGCTGTGGTTTACTGATCAAAGTCCAAGGCAGCGCACAGTGAAACGAGCGAAACAAGATGAGAAAAAGGAATGAAAAAAAAGAATTAAAAGAGAGAGACGACTGGAGCGTCTGGAAGAGCAGGAAAGCAAGCCGAATCCTGGCTGCGGCCATCTCGCGAGGCTTTATGGCAGGCCTTTAGCGTAACCACCGCTGGCTGGCCCTGTCCCTCGAAACCGAGTAGGGCAACCGAGCAGCTCGACGGAGCTCGACTCTTGGCCCAGAAGAAGCTCAAAAAGGTTTGTATTCTCTTGTACTTGCAAACGCTCATCTTGTTTATTTTTGTGCATCGACTATCGATTTAGACAGTGCCAGACGCAGTAATCTTGACAACCTTCGATGGCTTTCCGCTCTGAGTGCCAACAGCTTCAACCTTTTTGACAACATCCATACCCTCGACGACTTCTCCAAAGACGACGTGCTTGCCGTCGAGCCAGCTGTAAAGTGCGAGGCAACGTGTCAGAAACCCCCCTCCGTCGAATGAAACTTTAATTGATAGAATCACCTTGTTACGACTGTCGTGATGAAGAACTGTATACAATTTTAGTAAATGCGAATCAAGAAGCAAGTGATCGTCGTTACCTGGCTGCCGTTGGTGTGCTGAGAGTGCAAATGAATTAGCCATTCTCGACCGTACAATCTGGGCAAATGTTACGCACTGGACCGGCATCTAGACACGTTCTCGTCAGCATCTCGACCTGTCAACACGGGGGTCGAGTACGTACTGGCCATGGAGAGAAGTCCGGGCTTGGTGTGCTTGAGCTGGAAGTTTTCATCTAGTTTGCCGCCATGAGTATTGTCACTCTGCCATACACACACACGGATACATACCTTTGAACTTGTTTCCGTAGATGGACCTTCCACCAGTGCCGTTGTGGTTGGTGAAGTCTCCACCTGGAAGTCTATTAGCCTACCCTCCCATCACCGAATAAAATCTTCACCTTGGAGCATAAACTACGAAAGGGCGAAAGTGACGAATCGGGAAGCACCGAGGATCATGTCATGACCGGTCGTAAGCGCCAATGTCCCAAATTTGGACACCTGCTTGAGAAATCGCTCACCTGAGGAATGATGCGATGGAAGGTTGATCCAGTATATCCCTGACCTGCTGGATTCTTGGCGAGCTCGCGAAAGTTCTTCGCCGTGAGGGGTACAACATCTATAACACAAATGCCGTGAGTAATTTTGCTCAAATTTTTTTCCAGCTTAGAGCCTCGACGGTTGCCCTCTGACGTGCCGCCGGGCGTAATGGGTAGCCACCCGTAGCCACCACGTTCGACGAGGTGGGACCTTGATCGCACTGATCGCACAGCTCGAAAACGTAAGAGATATTCACCATCGTAGAGCTTGAACACAATTCGTCCAGCATTCTGGTTGTCGATCGAGATATCAAACTGAGTTGCGCGAAACGAGCGAGTAGATGCAAGAAAAAAAGCCATGCGGTGAGCATCTTGCCAATGTTTCTACTCGATTTAGTAGGCTCACGTAGACGTTGGGCTGGGACATGGTGAAAGATGGAGTGGGCGCCGAGGAGACTGTTGGAGTTCGGGTCTGAGATGCAGCGTCGCCAAACAAACGACGGGAACAAAGTCCTTCTATATGGCACAGCGAGGGACAAAACCTTCCCAAGTGACAAGGAGATTTTACACGATATCCAACAGAATGCAGCCATCCGCAAACGTGACGATAATAAGAGAGACGACAAGGACGCGATGCGAGACTAGACTAGTGAATGCTGGTAAACCGGAGAACAGTGGGGATGCATGGGAATCAGAAATGCCAGATGATGTGAAACGAGTGTGGTGGTGTGAATGCTAAAACCGGGTGGTGTCGTTGTAGACTACGGATAAACGCCAACATCTAAACCTTTGTTAGGATCACCATCTGCGTCCACAAAGTTAATAGGACATACCTCGGCGGAGCTCTTCTTGCAAACTCTCAAGTGCTTCGACGACAACGGGCGCACAGGTCATCAGACTGTGATCCCTGCCCTTGCAAATCGTAACCTCGCAATCTTGCATTACCCTCTCCATCCACCGGATACCACCCTCGCCAATCTTTTCATCCTTGTCACCGTACCAGACTTTGACCTTTTGTCGCACGTCCGCATACGAGAATCCCCATGGTTTCGCGTCACGTTCGAGTATCGACAGCAAGTCGTTTGCTAGTCCCTTTTGAGCCTCCTTGTGGGAGGCCCGTAGCAGAGCAGTGGCAACGCTCGACGTGGGTGCGTTCGTTGTCGCAAGCGCCTTGGGTGGTGCATGATAGTTGGAGCCAATGGAAAACGTCCCACTCTCTCCGGATAATGGACGCTGCATCGGAGATGAGTGAGCACGAGCAATGTTGGGAGTCGAAGGTCCCAACGACTGCGAGGTTGGTGCCATGGACGCGGTGAGCGAGATGGAACGCTTGGTGCGAGGAAATGTATGAGAATCTGCAGAGACTGGAGAGGTGGGGCGGGAAATCGAACTGCCAACGACGCCGGTGGCCCATGCTTCGATGCCAGTCTTGGTGCGGTCTACATCCGATTTGAACTCGACATCAATGCCCAGACCGGCCCCAAATGACTCTAGGTTGGCTTCAAGCTTTGGCATGGACGGATTCGCGGGCGAGGGGTTCTTTTGTCCAGATAGCTTGTGCTTGAGCGAGGTAATCGTTCGGAGACCCTTGTTCTTTCCTCCCGAGTTCTTTGAAGAACTATATCCTGAGAGGACAGGTGACGGAGTCTCCGAGGGTGGAGTACCGGGGCTTTTCAGCATTCCGAAAAGGCGATTCGAGACCTTTTTCTTGGTTGAAGATGAATTCGAAACGCCGTCGGGTAACGGAGGTACGGGAGGTGCAAGGGGTAGCGTAGTCTGACTACCAAATCGTCCCTCAAAGTCGGCCAGATCGTCATAGTCGCTCCAGCCTCCCAAACTCGTTCGAGGAACCCCGCCCGGAGACGACTTTGGGATACCGAGGAGGGTATCATCCGCCTTTTGTGCCTGAGAACTGGATGGTGGTGTGTAATCGACACCCTTGAGGGCTTCGGCGGTGAGAGGTAGATAGGTGTTTGAGGAGGATTTGGTTATCGTGACGGGAGCGCTAGCCGATGCCTGCGGGTCATTGCCAATACCTTCGTAGACAATCGTCGGTGGCTTTCCTAGCTTCCAGCCATGCATCTTCCACTCTGCATTCTGTGCGGCTTTGATAAACGAGTTTGGCACATACTTGAGCCATTTGTACCCAGCTTTGTCACGTCAGTCTCGGAATAGTGATAGAGAACTGCACACGTACCTGCATCAATGCCACCACCAACCCATGGTGCCAACAGATGGATGCTGCCGACGAGTCGTGGACCGGCTCTCAAGGCAAACGCCAGCGCATACGGTGCCCCCGCACTGTGAGCCAAGATTCCACATTTGGAAACTCCGAGCGTGTCCAGCACCTCCTCGCACACGGCAGCCCATTCCTTGAGTCCTCTCTGCTCCTGCGGGACATCGGCCGTTCTTCCCATACCCCAGCGGTCAATGGCGATTAGCCGCAGGCCGAGCGCTTCCGCCATTTCGTCATAGAGAGCAACTAGATAACGAACGCATCCTAGCCCGAGAAAGACGAGAACTGGCAGGCCGTTGGGATTGCCGACGTCTGCTAGTGACACCGTCAGTCCTCGGTGCGGTGGCTTGCGAAGGGTCATTAGTCGTGTCAACCGTGGGGAGCGTAGATACTGAGCAATAGCCATTGCAGAATCCGGTGGAGGTGGCGTAAAGACAGTAGAACTGATTTCATAGCCATACGAAGAGGCTGAAACGACGGACTGGGCATATCTGGGATTCGCGGGCGGCAAATCCTGTTCGGATTCGCTGTACCGCATGGAACGTAGGCCGCCATAAGTCGAAGGAGGGGGCCCAAAGGGGCGCGTTGGAAACGATTTCGCATGATGGAGGGGCGAATTCTGTGCCTTTTGAACGGTGACACGCGCTTCGTTTGTGATCGAATCCAACGAAGATCTCCCAGCCGGATCCTCGTCATGTTCGGTCTCTTCCAGAGAGGTGGGTAAAGCGGGAGATGTGCTGGGCCGCTGCGGTCGACCCATCTTTGTCTTTGCGAGCTCTGGGGCGTGGGTGCGAATAATGTCCTGGATCGAAGGAACTGCCGATGGCCGACTTAGGCCAGGGCTAGGCGGCTCTTCAGCGCGGGTAACCATGCCCTTGATGATTTGGTCAATCGTTGGTTGGTTTGTCGTGTGTGTGTCATGGCTCGTGCCGCTGGTCTTGGACTTTCGGAGATGGGTAGAGGAGCGGTTTTTTCTGACCACAGGGTCAGTGCTTGAACGTGTGGGTGACGGAGGAGGCGGATCAGGGTTGGTCGTGCTGCGAACCCGGGGCCGAACGGCACGCGGCGTACGGGCGGGGGTATGGTCATTAGCGTGTCCGAGGATATCTATTTCAGAGTATATGGCGTTTCGTTTGTTGTCGGGCCCTCCAAGCTTGACGCCGTGAGGGGGTTTGGGCAATGGCGGTGTGGAATGCGGATGGAGGCCTGGATGACGCTTCTCAAGGGATGACAGGTGTTTTCTTGCGCCGTGACGTTTCGACCGCGAAGGTATTCGAAAGTCGTTTCCATCCGACGAAGATTCTGCGAGCGCGCCATTCATTCCGGCGACGAGCGCGTCCATCATGTCGACGCCGAGCACGGGAGCAGCGACGACGACAGTGTCCGCTGAAAACGGCGACGAGTAGGGACCAACAGGCGTCTGTGGTGGCGAGAGAGAGGAGCGTTCGGCGGTCGAGGCACTGTATCGGAGCTCGGGGACGGTGCTGGCGACAGAGTTTCGTGCGCGAGATTTATGAGAGGAATTAGACTGATTGACAGTTTTTGGACATGACGACTCCGGAGAACTGCTCCGAGAGGAAAGCTCGACGGCCTCTGGTTTCGACGGCCAGGCGAGCTTGGGGAGCTCTTGTTGCGAGCGAGTTGCTTGCGCAGCAGATGCAGAACGCTGAGGACGCGTCTTCCGCGGTGCTTGTCCATGGCCATTGAGCGATGCCGGTGCACTTGGGGAAAAGGTATTGCTCTCGCCGTCAGCAACTCGTGCAGGCATTGCTCGTGCAGGATACTTGTCAAAATAACCCATTCTGTGGCTCGAAGCGCCATCTTCAGAGTGCGGGCCGTGATGGCTCATGCTTGGTGCGTGGTTAGCGGTAATGCGGTCTACTGCAGCCATCCAAAAGCACCGTTATATGGCGCTGCTATTCGCTGCAGGCTGCTCGCTGCGTGCGCCCGTGGCTGCAGAATCTGCTGAGAGCGTTGGTGCGGTCCAAAAGAAGTTGCACCCTCCGTTGGCTCTTGCAACAGCCACCCATCCGGCATGAACAACACCGTCTACGCAAATCATATTCTAATTTCTTCTGGGACAGTGTTGGGATTTATTCTAGATTTTTTCAACGCCCATATCGCCATCCCCGACGCCGTCCATTGATAGCTGGAATCCGTTTCAGGCTCAATACTCCACTCCCAACGCTCAGTCAGCGTCTACGAGTATCTATCGAGCATTCTAGCCACTCTGGCCCTCTATATATGACAGTCCATTAGTGTTCCCGATGTCGCATACAACTTGTCACGCTGCCATGTCAGACGCCGAAATTTACGTGGGGGAACAGCGAGTAGGGACAACGTCCAATAGCACGCTGGATGGTGAAGAACGCGTCCGGCAAGGTCTCGCAAAGGCTGCGGAGATGAAAGACGAGGGGAACAAGTTCTTTTTGGAAAAGAACTGGACGAGCGCAATAACAGCATACAAACAAGCGCTCTCATACCTCCCATCGCCTCCTGTGGTGCGTCTGACGCGCAAGAGCCATATCCAATTATCTAATCTAGGGACAGCGTGATCGCAAACAGGACGAAAAGACTGATGAAGAGACTGGGATCGATGCTGAAGAGGGTACAAAAGATCCAAATCCACCCTCACCCGGAGTGTCAACGCCACAGCAAGAGGCTGCCGAAAGTCCGCTGATGAAGGAGTGTTCGACGATGAGAATCGCACTAAACTCCAACATTGCTGCATGTGAAATCAAATTAGTACGCAAAGGATCCCTCCCGTTCAAGCCACTCATCACATGGACAGGAAGCATGGGAGGCGGCAGTTTCGGCAGCAACAGCAGCTCTCGATGAGGAACCTCATCATCAAAAGGCGCTATGGAGAAGAGCGAAAGCCAACGAAGCCCTGGATTCGTGGTCATCGCTGACGGCGGCTCAACGAGGTATGTCCCGCGCCATTACGCCGTGTCCGTCTGAACCAATGTACCTAAAACGGACCCTTAGACTATCAGACGCTCAGGGATATCGTTCCGTCAACGCAACCCTTGTACCGTGACGCGACCGCTGCTCTCCGGATATTGGAGCCGCGAATAGAAATTGTGCGCAAACGTGACACGGACAAAATGTTGGGTCAGCTGAAAGAAGTGGGCGACTCCGTCCTCGGTAGGTTGCGAGCTCCGTGCTAGCCCTTGTGCCGAACTGATCCGGTCCGCGCTAGGATGGTTTGGGTTGTCGACTAATAATTTCCAAATGACTCCAAACGGCCAAGGCGGGTATAGTATGAACTTTGTCAGTAACCCATGACCGTTTGCGTGGCGCGCCCGTCTCTGCGAGTAATGTGATCTCCTATTGCTATGGTAGGGTATTTGCAATGATAATACATCTCGCCACAAACTACGAGCTAGAGTTTTACATGACAGACACGACAAACAAGACGATTCCGTTCCAATCCGAGAAAGGGGGGAGCAAGGCGACTTATTAAAATGCTAGGGAGGAGTGTCCGATGCATGGGGAGGAGGGAAAACATGATGATCACAAGCCGAGGAGCGCAATTATACCGAGTTTACTTGACAGACTTTCTTCGTGAACGACCGCGTCGCTTGTCGTGTTTGGGCTCGAGGATTTGCCACCGACCGTTGGATTCGCAGCGGAGTTCGCATTCGTCCTGCGTCGTATTCCATGGAATAAACATGAAACTTCGGGCCTTTTTGGTCATTGAAAAGTGGTTCAGCCCAAACTTGGGTGCAAGCTCATCTCTGAGCCCTTGGTAGGCTTCAGCCATGGTAAGCGACAGGGGCTCATATGGGAACACATTCCACTCCCGTCCACCACCAGTGACGAATGTGACGCGTTGCAATTGGTTGAGCCCGACGTGTTCCATCGGCCTACCGTCGGGGCAGGGCAAGACGACGAGGTTCAATGTCCCAACCATGACACCTTGCATCAATTCCACAAAGTCGTGGAACCATCGGATGACACGCTCCGCATCAAATGGCGCGGCGAACATGAACGAGGTGAGGAGCGAACGCCCATCCCGGAAATCCTCATACACGTATGCAGACGCGTTGAAGGCGCTGAGACCACGGGTAGAAGGAAGTGCGACTGGGTATCCAAGCGACGCGGCTAGCGCGTTTTCCGATAGGATGAGCTGACCCGGCTGGGGTACAAACGGGCTTTTTGGATGCGTCGGTGGTCGAGGGTACTCTTCAGGATGATGAAAGACACGGTCGACGACCATACGATGCGCAAGTGGCGAGGTAGAGCTCGAATAGACGAGCCTGCCGGAAAAGTAGGAGTCAGGGTAGGGAATTTTGAACCGGCCGTGGTCTAACCAGCCGGTCGTGATCGAGTGTTCAATCGTGTTGTCAGAGACGCTGGTCAGCCACGTCTTGAGACCTAAAGCGAGAACAAAGGACGGCGCGATTAGCTCCAAATACGGACGACGCGGGTTCACGGAGCGGCCGGCGACTCACGGGCGTCAATGTGTGGCAAATTCTTGAGAGATTCGACGGTCCGGATCCATACCTAGAAGAAGGGGGGGCTGTCAAACCTAGTGGACGATCATGTGTCGCCGCCACGTACCGTGGTCATCCACAGACAGACTTTGGCAAAGTCCGAGCCGTACTGTGGATCGTCGCCGTCGTCGCTCACGCCACTCCAAATAAGACAGGCTGGTTTGATTCCAGCAGCCATCATGACGAATTCGCATCTGCCAAAGCGGCCAGGGCTTAGATTTTGTAGACGAGCAGTCTGCAGCCACATACCTCGTGGGCATCCACATTCTGGCTGCTTCGTCGTGGACATAGTCGAGAAAGGTATTCTCTCGCTTTGTGAGTTCGTACAAGAGCACTCGTAGGGCCTCCTTGTCCATGGTCCGCTGGAGAGCTACCTCGACGGGTTGGTCATGACCGTCGTCGGACGCGGGACTAGAGGAGCCAAGAGGAATGGTTTGTAGATAGGGATGGTCCTTGATCATCTTCTTGACTCGTTTCAGGCTGACCTCCCACTCTCTACAGCGCTCGAGGATGTATTGGCGAAGTCGCTCCGCGCTCGCGTACGGGTAGAGCATCCTCGCTTCCCAGAGTTCTGCAAAGAGTTCGTCCGAGTCTGGGACGATATTTGGCGAGGGAAAACTCGCAGGCCTAAGGGCTTCTGCCATGGACGAGAAGGAGGGGTGATGGACAACGGTTTCTGCGCTGCTTCCGCGTGTTGTTGGCACAAACCATGATTTTATTATATGGCGAGGCGCATTGGTCGTGCAGGGGCCGGGGGGTACAAATCGTTCCAATTCGGGAATGGGTCCTTGAACCTTTGCAGACGACAGCAGTGATTCTAGCGCGGTGTAGCTTGTCTCAGTCCAAAACATCGATCACAGTCTTTGTCTTTTCGGCCCATCAAGCCCTGTATTGCCAACCAATTGCTCGTTGGCCAGCGCGTGGTTTAGACTCGAGAGCTCCAGCGGAGATGCTCTCAATTCTTGTCGACCGATGATTCCCGCTGATCCCCGTGCACAAAGACATATTTTCCGCAATTTCCGGTCACGCGCCGTTGGGCGCCCCAGGCTGTCTGCAGGCGGCATGGCAAGACAAAGAAACGACGAGAATCCATCCCAGAGCTCCAGTTTGTTCAGCCTCCAACTCGTTGTTGTCGTCGCCGTATCAATGTCAACGCAGGGGTGAGACTCGGGTCCTTTGTCGAGGTTTAATTATCCAAACTTGGCTCGACCCTCGGGTAGAACAAGGTCGCTTTACTAAAGATTGTGGGGATGTTTCATGTCGGGTACTCACTGACATTGTAGTCATTGTCGCAGAGGCATTGATGACCATTTCGAGCAGCGTTCCTTTCATATTCGCCATCCTGTTTCTTATCAATCAATGTAATCATGTCGATAAAACAAGCTCCTAGGCAACACCCTGTCAAAGGCAAATAAGATGCCCTCCAAAAGTCGACCCCCCTTGTCATCCCTAAAGCTCAGTATCGCGTGTTGATTCGCTGACTTGCTGCCAGTTGTGCAGCAATGTCCTCCGAAGCGTGCCCATCCCTTGCTGAGAGGCATATTTCTTGCTTCCAATGATCGTGGACGCATTGTCACGGTCGCATGGGGCAAATGGTTGGTTATAGTCGGAGAAAATGTATTCCGACGGGTCACGGACAGCGTGCTAGTTCATTGAATAAGCACACATATGTCACAAAAGTTGACAGACATACCGCAGTGATTTCGTGAAGTTCACGTTGAATTTCCAGACAGAAGCCGTCCAAGTCGAGGTCGTTTGCTTCGTAAGAGAAGGGGTTCTCGCTGACAAGAGTTAGTCGGGATTCAATTGAGCTATCGTGATCCAACTTACATCTCCTGGCCAATCTCCAGGAAACCCAAAATGAGGAAAGACGCGAACAAGGTCATCCTAGATCGAGTTAACGGGGCAGATTTGGCAAAAGATGCCGCTTACGGGATTGTAAGCCACTTGAACGAGCTATAGACTTCAAACTACAGGATCTCAGCATAATTTCGGGATTCCTCATACTACTGACCGGAAGCAAGAATAAATAGATCCAGATGGACATTCGAAGATGCACCTGATATGCAAACGGAATGGGTGTATTGCGCACACGTTCCATAGCGGTCATGCCTAGGGGTGGATGAGTTGAGCATATTTAAAAATATGCGAGGCTCGTACAATCTTGGAAGGATTGAAGCTGGTTCGCGTATGCAGTCGCCAGAGCAGCCTGCAGCAAACCGTTCTTCAGCAAGAATGCGAGGTAGGACGACAGGTATAGCCTATTTGCTGGTGAGTATGGCACGGGGTGACAAGATACCAGACTCAACGTGACTTCAAGGGGCACATTGCTCTCGACTTTGGCTGGCTTCTTGACTTTGCCCGAGATGGTCCGTTCATCACCCTCGCGGAGAATTCTCTCTCGCACCCTCCTGCTCAATTTCTTGGCCACCCAACGGAACGGCAGTAGGAACGGGAACAATGCCCAAATCGAAAACTTGGGGGGAAGACGCGCTGGTCGTAGTGGAATATCGGATTCGACAGTCGGAAGAACTTTTTCGGGATCAAATGTTCTTTGACGCTTGGGTTTCGACGAGGGCTTGTACTTCTTCTTCTTGAGCGGCGACTCATACCAGAGAGGGAGTTCATCAGATCCTACCGCCGTCCATTGAGTGCCTGCGGCTCCAACAGTTCCATTTCCTCCAGCGGAAGTTTGCGAAGAAGATGGATCCTGAGTACGTTTGCCGTCCGGTCCAGCGTCGACATAACGCGGAAGGAAGCAAATCAAAGGGTATAAATCCTGGTAGTAGATCCCCTCCTCCGAGCGCAAAAAGTGCTTCATCGAGACGGAAAAGGCTTGGACGAGATTGATCATGCTCCGTTTCTCGATAATGGCGCGAGCTCGGGATTCGTCCTCGCTGAGCTGTGGCCTCGCAGGGTCGGCTTTACGATCAATGGGTACATGGATCCAGATAATCTGTGCCATCTGAAGAGTATATGAGTCTAGGAGATAGCATGAACACGAGAGTTCTACCTGTCGGGATGACAATTCAATACTTGACCAGAGCTTGCGACCTATTAGCCTAACATGAATAATTACGATATATCGCAAGCGAATGGCGTACCCTCCCAATAGCGATCATAGGCCGAGCTAGTTCGAAACGAGACCACGAGACCTGTCGCATAGTTAGCCGGAGAACGGTCAGGCGGTGTAAGGGACGGACCCAGCACTGTTCCGAGTACAGTGAGCATCTGAGGAGATATTCCCAGATTATACTTCGTTTTGGAGACGAGTGTCACCACTGCGACAAGGGGTCAGAATGCACAGTCGGTTTCAGAGGATACTCACTCGTGGCGACCAGCGAGAAGAAGACCAGCTCTTGAGTTCAGAGGATCAACACCTGTCTACCATTTGATTCTCAACGTACCAGCTATCAAATCGTTAGTAAAGTCCGAGGTTCGGAGAACCACACTTACGCCAGATATCATTGATAACGGTGGCTTTAAACCGCTTTATGATGAATTTTGGATAGCCCGAGAGGCGCATTTTTGATGGTGGGTTCCAACCTTTTGTTGCGCCCACGAGCTGTTTTTATGTCTCACGACCGTTGCAGCCCGAGGTTGGCTGCCCGCGTTATGAAGCTTGGCGCTGCAGCGCTTACCGGTGGTCGCCTCACCTTTGCGGCGAGGACTAGTGAGATTGAACGTAAATTGCCATTTCCAGCAGATAATACAGTGATTAAAATAGAACAAATCGTCTCTATTGGTAAAAGCACAGATAGTGCACGACAAGCATAACTGGTCTGCAAGCGGTTCATTAGACATCCATGACACTGTGGGGAAAACGTACAGGTTGACTTTGTTTGCAAAATGACAAATTTCTTCATAGCCTGCTGCGTAGTTCCGATATTGATGTACAAACATGTGAAGGAGGATGACTTGTTCGCGTGAGAGCTCATGAGGGAAAGTCTGATCTGGGCGCGTCGAGGGTACGGCCGAGAAGCCAAAGTCGAGTGGCAATGCGTCCCAGCAGATCTCGTCCCCGAAGTCGCCCCAGGATGAGTATCGCGCCGCATCGATGGCCTTTATCAGATACTCTGGTACAAACCAGTCGAGTTGCTTAGCATCTGTGGCGTCGAATGCGGGTTCCTCCTCCACAGTAGTCGGTGTCACTGCTTCTTCTGTGCAAGATGGGGATCCATAGCGTATGGGTGAGGACGTTCCGAATGTGGAAGATGCATAAGAAGAGCCAGACCCGCTGGAGAGCGACGATTCAGAAAGCGCCGGTGAGCGCAGACCTTCGTCCACTGTGGTCAGTCTCCTCTTGTAGTCATTATTGCTGCACGAGTTGCGCGAAAGAACAGAATAGATTGTACGAGACCCGGAAGAGCCTTTAGGCGGTTGGAAAAAGGCCGAGGTCATGGTGAATCGTAAGAGATGGCTGGGTGTCGCGTGAAGATCGTAAAGGAAGAGCAGATAGAACCAAGGTGTCGCTCTTTGGGACTTGCCCAAATGTCGTAAAGGACGCTGAGGCCCGTAGGTCGTGAAGAGAAGGGGATCCGCTGGAGATGGTCAGGTCGAAAGAAGGTGCCACATGAAAGTCGCAAGGCAGCCACTGGAAACGGGTTTAGATTTCTGAGTTAACCGTGAGAATAGTCACTTGTATTGCCATTCCTGGAATTTTAGGTTTAGATGCTTTCGTACGGCTCGCGTGCTCACCTTGCCGGATCTTGAACCCGTCCTCGTCTCACTGTCCCTCTACAGTTTCTAATTATCGTTATTTGCCTCCCTTTTAGAATTTGGAGCACTAGTAAATGACATCTCGGGTCGACCAATCAAGTCCAGGCTATTGGGTGCGATCCATCATCGCTGGAGGATTTGCGGGAGGTGTTGTGCGTCTCAATCGAGAGTCGTCGGACATGAAATCAATATTTTTTAGGCCAAAACGGCTGTAGCGCCCCTAGATAGGGTCAAAATCCTCTTTCAGACCCATAACCAGGATTATGTACGCTTCATCGGTACGTCAGCAGTCTGCGGGCAGATGGATGTAACTAACATATCTAACAGGTAGTTGGAGAGGTATACCGGGAGCACTCAAGGAAATATTTCGAAATGAGGGCTTTTTCGGCCTGTATAGAGGCCATTCGTTGACATTGGCAAGGGCGGTCCCACATGCTGCAATAGGATATACAGCATATGAAGCTAGTCGACGCGTACGTGGCACGATGTGCTCTTTGTTCCCTCACTGACCGTTGGGAAAGTTCGTCATCCGGTCACCGGAACAGGATACCCCGCTACGACGAATGATCACAGGGTCCATGGCCGGTGCGTCTGTTGCGTTTGTGTGAGACTCTATACTCATTTCCATGGGCTACAGGTGTCTCAGCTCTCCCATTTACCTATCCATTCGAGGTTATTCGTGTTCGGATGGCCTTACAGACGCGTCTCCTCCCCCCAGAACAACGCTCTGTCTGGTATGCGATCAGATCGATCTATACCGAGCCTTCTGCACTCCCTCTGCGGATATTACACTTTTACCGCGGCTTTGCAGTCTCTATGCTCGGCACAATCCCTTACCGAGGTGGCATTTTCATGGTCTGGGAGACGCTCAAATCACAGTCACGACAGCATCTATCGGAGGAATTTCGTGAACGAAATCGACATCGCCTCAACTTGTCTATTGGCGCAATAGCTGGTGCAACGGCACAGATTGTGACCTACCCTCTCGAAGTCATACGCCGAAATCAACAGGCAAGTAGAAGTACACAAGAGAATAGACGATTCCTTGGATTCAAGGAGACTGTGTCATTGATCTGGAAAGGGGCAGGGTGGCGAGGTTTCTACTCTGGGCTGGGTGTGGGGCTAATCAAACAAGTGCCTATGCACAGTATCTCACTTGCTGCGTGGCAGGCAGCAAAACAAATACTGAACATTTAAACAGCCTTGCGCGTCGTTTTCGGGCAGCCCTCGCATGCATATGTATAACAGCACATCATATTCCTACCATTACCTCGTGTATAGATCACAATAAACGGATCAATGAAGCTGCATGAATCGCTAAAACCGTCTTCTCTCCTTGCGAATGACAAGAATCTCCCACCGGCGTCTGTCCCTCGCCTTTGTATTGGACGAATCAGCAAGTCTTCTATATCCAACGACTCGGACATGGCGCATGGGGTCTGGATTGTCATCTACTTCGGCTTCCTCTGGTCGCTCCTCCTCCAGGACTTCATCGTCCTGCAGGTCAAATTGCTTGATAGCCCGGACATGCTCCGAGCTAACTCTTCCGTGAAGTGCCTGCGCGTCTTCTTCTCCTGGCTTCACATCATGCTCGGTCGACGAGCCCCCAAAGCCAAGAGACAACCCCGCAAGAGGCGCGGTGATATAGGATGCAGATGAGGTGAAGAAGTCGGCTGCATCGTCCACAAATGTGCGCGGCTTGCGAGATGGAATGGCGGTTAATAGCCACGTCTTCTGTCGCCACGCTTGTGCACCTTTGCTTCCCGACCACGGATTGGACCTTATACCGGGACTGGAGGTTGTAAATGTTCCATCTGCATCTGCTGTCACGAGCTCAAAGTCGTCCTTAGGAGGGTCGTCTCTGGGAGGATCATCCTTGGGAGGAAGGAGGGGAGGAAATGCCGGGTCTGAGTCGAATTCCACTGTAATATTTCCAGTCACAGGGCTATAACTGAACTTTGGAAGGGTGTGTGAAACCGCGTTCGGAAAGGGTGGGATGATGGGTTTGCGGTGACGCAAGACAAGCTTGCCATCTTATAGGGGGTGTTAATAAGTATAATTGAGACAGTAGTAGCCACCTTGGACGTCCACTGCATGCCCGGAATGTCGCGAAACCAACGCTCCGCTTGCGTCTATGAAGAACACCTGATTCACAGACGCTGAGTGAGAATATCAAGAGCTGTAAAGGTATCTACGTACTTGGTTATCAGATTCACGCTTACGTAGACTCTCTACGAGTGTTGAATCCTTCTCATTGTACAGAATAAGTTGGGTCCCGTCCGCAGTCCCATCGTCAACGACGTCTAACACTCTTCCATTTGCGAGAGATCGAATAACAAAGTATCCTAGGGGGAATCCTCGTGCATTCCCATCAGTTGCAGCCTCCACTGGGTCAAAATCGTTGTTAGAGCTCATAGTGGCAAGGAGAGCAGCGGTGACCACCTGCGCATTCTAGCCATATGAAAGGTGCACTTATATGGCTCGAGTCCACAGCCTCCAAGGCGTTGACCAGGTAGGATATATTCCCAAGTGATATGTACTATTATTATTGGAGCAATAGGGCATTCGATACAGCTACATATCTATAAGGGGTGATAGTGAACTACGAAGGGTTTCTCGAGAACGGGATTCATCTCACAATGATTAGTTCAAATCTGTGTCAATAAAGTCGTCCGGAGTGGCCAGCCATTCCTGGTTGTTCATCGAAAACATTTCGCGGTCGACAAAGACCTCGACGATTTCACATTCGAAACCTTCTGTTTTGAGCAGGTACTTGCGCTTCAGATACTCCTTTCCAGGCTTTCCGATGCTCCCGTTTCCCTGTCCCGTTTCGACCTCGAGCAGGTGAAAGTCGGCCTGAATTACCGTGAGCATATTCAGAGGAGCACACTGCAACATGCAACGTACCACTCTGCCTAGAATTCGGAAGACTTGTCCAATTGCGTAACGTTCGTCCAAAAAGCGTTGAGCTGCCGGCTCTGACGTGATGCGGACAACAGAGGTTGCGACGCAGACAACACGTTGGTGAAGGCATGAGCCGCCCTCTGACGCGTCGCTTTCGCCCACTAGAGACTTGGGAGCCGTCAACAGATGGACGCGGCGGTTCTGAACGATTGGGTTCGAGGGTGACGGGATGGGCCGTGGGCTGGGCGTTGGAGAGACATATACACGTCGTACAGTGATTGGAACATTGAAAAACACGCTGTAGTAGTGTTAGAATTGCCGTCTAGTTGGCCGCAAAGATTTGGGGATCCTCACCTGAGCATTCTTTGCAGGTCGCCCATCGAAGAGCACGCTACTCGTTCGATACCATTCAGTTCCTTTGGCCAGGAATACTAGCAGATGGTCTAGTTGAGCAACGGGCTTTTCATTTCGGGCAAAAATGATGACGCCTCACACGAAAGAGAGTATCGTTTGGATTAAAAACATCCTGAGGCATTGAAAGTAGTGATTATATGTATAAAAGCGTGTCAATGTCTGCAGAGCGCCGCTGAGCAGACGAAGTGGCGAGGTCGAAGTGGATTCGACTACTTGACCCGCGCAACACCAGAGCTTTGAGGTCGTCCGGTTAGAGCTCTTTGCTCATAAATGTCGCAGACGTAAATTCTTCAGTTGTAGGTTTACCTACAGAGAGTGCCCACCCTGTCCAATAGTCCGGGACAACCGCAAACGCGGAATAACCCATCCTTTGATACCATGGGATGTTTCGTTCAAATGTTCCCGTCTTTAAAAGCACGGTTTTGGCACCCATTCGCTTCGCATGCTCTTCCACAGCAACAAAGGCCTGCCTCCCAATCCCGGCCCCTCGGTATTGCGGGTAGACAAAGAGGGAGCAGATCTCGACAGATTGATGCTTTGAAAATGAGGCTCCGTGGCCCTTTGTGTCCTCGTATTCAAGCGTCAGAGCGGCCATGCCGACAATCTCTTCCCTAGGTTGGTCTCCATTGAGTTCCCCGTCTCCTGGTTGCGCGCTAAAGAGCAACCATAGCAGTCTCTCTCCTGTGGTCATCTCCTTCATCCACTGTGGTACTTTATCGGCGTCCCAGCCACAGGCCGTTCGGACATCGATGAGCTTCTGTTCATCCTCTTGCGAGGTGGGATCAACTGGACGCAAGGATACTGTCGTCATATTTTCCAAGGTGTTTGGAAGAGACTTCGAGGCTTCTGAATGTCAAGCTATTGGTCTTTGCCAGATAGAGGCTGGGATTCCACACCGACCCAACAGAGTTCCCCAGCCTCTGACAGATTTCCCCAGCCTTTGACAACTTCCCCAGCCTTTGATCGACTCACATAATTCATACAAGAGAAGTTGACAGGCCGTATGGGACATACCATATCGGGTATCGACGTCCGCTCTAGCCGCACCTCTTTGGTTCATCTCCCCCGGGCCCAGCACACAACTTGCTAGTGTGCATGGAATACTCCACAGTCTAGTGCTGTTTCGACGCGATCTGGTGCACTGCATTGGTACTGGACCGCCGCTCGGTTGGTGGGGGTTCGGTCACCGCGAAGAGGCCGCTCCCGAATCAGGTCACCCAGGCGTTTGTACCTGTGGCTAGATCAATTCTTTGACCGCCTTCGATTGGCTTACAGCCTGGCCCCTTGTGATACAATTCGCCTCCAACACTATATCATTGGATGACAAGGCTGGTGCACAGGGACAATTCTTTATATGGGAAGAAAGTATATATTCCTGGTGACCGTAGATGGATCCTCTCGCTTTCTTCCCCTTCCACCCCCCTCTTGGCCGCATCTCCCGCATCTGCATCGCCTTTCTCCTACACCGTGGCGAAAGCAAGGCCAAGGCGTGTCAGACCACACATTAGCTTGATAAAGCTCTCTCCGTGAGCTTGCGCAACACCATCCATCGGAAAGCAACCTCGGGTCGCTTCAACCCTCTAAACAAATCCCGACAAAATCTACAACTGCAGTACGATGTCTTACTACAGTGGATCAGCATACCATCAGCCTGGTGTGATTCCAGTTGGAGGAGTTCCAATGGGAGGGGTAGTCCCCGTCGCACCACCTGGTTCGGCCTATGGCACGCCCTACGCGGGAACTATGCCAATGGGGAGCTCTCTTATGCTCGACACTTATGGGAGCCAATATGGAAGTCCACGATTCGATGGCTACGCACCGAGTCTTGCCCGATCCCACTCGCTACGCTCTGGCTCAGTCTTCGAAGACGACTATTATGGTCGGGATCGATATTATGACAGGGACTACGAATATGATCGTGGAAGACGCTATCACGACGATGACTATATCTACGCGCGAAGCAGCTCACGCAGCTCACGAAGAGACTATGATTACCCCGAGTACGAATACGACCGGGACTATTACGACGATCGCTACGGCTCACGATACTATGACGATCGATATCGCTCGTCTCGTCGCTATGTAAGTGACCCAACTCTAGTTTCGAATCACTGGTGTTAACCCATCAATAGCCTTCATCCTCGAGGTATTACTCCTCCAGCTCGCGTTCATCTGGACGCCGAAGAGAAGACATGTCCATCATCACCAAACGCAATGGCGAGGTCAAGGTCTTGGTACGTTGATGTCGCTGCAAGTTCTGTTTTAGTGACTAACGAGGGCCTGGCAGCGTAACGGTGAAGAGCGCATCGGAGACAGACTGCGACGGATGGTTGGCATGGACCCAAAGGGCGTCAACATTGTCCGTCTCAAACCGGGCGAATCGCTCGCCGCGAATATCAGGCGATGAGGGCCGTCCCCAAAGTTTCTCACTTCTGCTCGCTTGGTCGTCTTTGTCCTCTTGCCGACTGCATATGATTGTTCCTCTTGGTGCACTCTCTGCTCGATGTACAATATCTAATCCCATGCATGGAACCAAGCTGTTCTGTTTCTCACCTTGAACCGGCCGACGAAGAATTTGCTCACAGTCATGAGAGTTTCATTTCAGCAGGGACGCGAACAACCGTCCCAATCGGCGGGCGTTTGTTTGGCCAGACTTCCGTTACACATCTTGGAATCGGTCCACCTTCATCCACCATGTTTTTCTCGTGGGCCATTTCGAAGATTGGAGTTTGTTTCTCGTCTGGAAAGGAGCAACTCCCGCTATCGCAGCCTGGTAGACCGAGCATGCAACAGCTCCCGGCCAGCCCGACCTATTATAGTTCGACGGCCTATAGCTATAATGGCCCGTCGTCCCCACTGCCGCCCATGATGAACAGTGGAAACACATCTCCAACAGATGTCACACACTATCGGACCTCTTCTGGTTGGAATGACCCCCCAGCAGAGCTGTTCAAGAAAAAGGCTTGAGAATCGTTCGAGGCGCGATGCGCCCCTGTGGACCGATTACCAAACAAACGGATTAACCTAAGTAGGTCTGCATCTTATTCTTCTCGACGTTTCACTTACCCCCGTGCCCCGATAGTCACGACTTATAAACGATACGATACGACGAAGGCAAAAAACTAATTTGCTTATCGACATGTATTCGTCAAGGGGTATAGAAAGCTGGAGTACACTACACGACGACCCTAGGGGCCGCATAATCATTGTCCATCGGCCAAAACAGCGACGCTACAGTGAAAGGAGAGTGGATTGTGCGGGGACTAGAAACCGTTTGGACGGAAGTGGTTGTTGAATAATTGCCGAGGATGAAATAAACGATTTGATAATGAGAGTGGATGAACGAGTTGAACGAAGAAGCCGACGCGAGCGGGTGGGAGTCGTCGAAGATCAGCCTTGGTCATGCGCACCTGCTGCGTCAGAGGTTGTCGATCAATTCCAGACGCAGCTTCATCGTCCGAAACCCGCCCCAAATCGGCCCATCCCGAACCCACCGAGCCCAAAGCCTCGGCGACCCGAAAACGGGTCTGCGCCGTGAGACTTGACCTTTTCAAAGATTCTGAACAGACTGATGATCAGACTGCCACAGTACAGGACCAGGCCGAAAAAGACGAGGCAGATGAGGGCCAGCTGCTCGTCGCATATCCGGTCGGCGGGCCCTCCCTCGTTTCGTCCTTCGTCCAACGTTTCCGGAAGAGGTAGTTGATTCCACCAGCGTGTTGTCCACGAAGGTGTACAGTCGAGACGTGAGGTGAAAAAGTTGTCGAATGCGAGTGAGAGGTTGGCCGACCACATGCAAATAAATAACATTTCCAAGAGGGTGTGCATGAGTTTGCCCGATGTGCGCCATAAGCCGAGAGGTTTTCCAAAATATTCGAGCTGTGAAACGTGAGCAAAGAAATATAATGGCCGCAGGATGCACGCACATAAATAGCAATCATGACGTGAATAATGGTGAGGGGAGCAAATATGATGGCAAGGATCGGCGAGGAGCCAACAGCACCCACGAGTGTATATTTACGCTCCACCTGCCGGATCGATATAGCTACCGCAAGAGTAGCCGAGGTGAATGATAAATTTAAGAGTCGTATCAACTAGAAGAAAATCAGTAACCACGCGCAAGATAGAAACGGTGGGACAGACCAGGGGCACAGAATTATTGTACAATATCCATCTTCTGAGCGTTTGTGATCGCTTCTGTCGTTTCGTCTGCGTCAATTTTGCGCTAGGATCCAAGTCGTCGTTGCCGTCGTCGAGTGTATCGTCCAACTCGTCTGCATGAGCACCTTCTTTGCTCCCTCGTTCGCCTCGTACTCGTGCCTGGGATGGAGCGATGGGTGACCATGGTTGTTCCCACCCAGGAGTTTTCGAGTTTGAGACTGTAAAGGGACCCTTGCCTCGTCTTGGGAGGTTGAGGTGCATGCCCTTGCCTCGTCGCTGCCGTCGAATCTTGTTTCCATTCTCATCTTCACCGTCGGTATAATCCGTCTCGTCTTCTTCTGTGCGAGGCGAATCTCCTTCGTCTGTAAGACGCCGCGATGGCTGCCTCATTTCCTCCTCCGTCAAAAGCCCCTGCTTGCGCACTTGGGCTCTATCAAACAGCCATTGTACACGCGGCCTGTCCTTCTTGGGTTTGCTTGCGTTTTCTTCGTCTCCACCTGTTGCACCTCCACCAGCCGAGCCATCGGCTTGGCCGGAGGGACCAGCAGCATCACCGTTTTCCATTCGTTCATCTGAGCTCTTGGAAGAATTGAGCCAAGGTTGAGAGAAGAGAGCTTGGAAGGGACTGGTTAGGCTTGATGCCTGCCCCTGTTGCGAGTTCTTGCGGAGTGGAAGAGGGAGGGGAGGAAGCGGAAGCGAGAACGGCCACCATCCCTGTTGTCCCTCCCGATTGAGCTCTGCCATCTGATCAGGTGCAGACGATGTCATCGAGGCCACGTCGGAGTTTCCTTGCCGTTGGCCGCGCTGTGAAGAGGTGATTGAGGAACCATCACGATGTGGATTCCCAGAGGTTGGTGACAACAAGTGCTGTGAGTCATTTGGATGAACAACGTTTGCCGCGCCTAGAAAATGGGTGACGGGATTGCTCGGCAATTCGCCATCCGGTGAGGGAGGCTCATGCTTGGCCCATGCTATTCAAAAATTGTATCAGTAAAGGAATCTATGACAATCATTGGAGAGGAGCATTGGGAGCGCACGCCACCCGTCGGCTCGGGTTTCGACGTCATGATACAGGTCGCTGCGGCACAGCAGCTTTGGCAAAGTGCTGGATGCGAACTGACGCAGTACCAGAGGTGCCAGAGCCTGAATAAGGTCGATGACCAGTCAATGTGGGGATGTTCCTGAGTGCGGAGCTATATCGCACACGACCTCTTACGCGAGCGGGACAGGCCATTCCCAAGCGTCGGTCATCGAGCTGAGCGATAGGGACAAACAGGTAATCAAAGAGACGAGCAAAATACGGTTTGAGGACCAGGAGGAGCTCTGTGAGCTAGCAGAGGCTGGAGGGACTTACGGGGTGCAGTATTGATCTTCTTGCTGCCCGTGAGCTGATAGCTAGTCACTGTCTTGCCACTCATGACGCTTGTGATGCTCTTTGCGGTGCTAGCAGCTCTGTTTCGACCGCTGAGGACGGATCCGGCCGCACTTCCAGGGCCTTGGGCGTGACCATTGCTGGGAGATGGTGATGCGACTCGTTTTCCGTTGTCTGACATTTACTTGCTCTACTTGCACACTGCAAGCTGTGGGCAGACGACGAGCTGCGGCCAAAGGATCGTCGACGTTCGGAGCAAGAGCGGGTTTTGTTGTTTGGATTTTGACGCCTCGCCATGTTGGCGGCTGCCCGCATTCTGAGAGTCCCTGTAGGCTGTCAAAATGATCTAAATATCCTCAAACCTATTCTATACGACCAACGGCGTCAGTTTGTCAAGCCGCGGACGAAAATAAAAGATCCTCTGGCCGACGCACCGAGCACGACGTTGTCCTACCCGTCTGTGACAGAGACAAAGGATATTCCTGAAGATGGAGCATCAGCAGACAAGCTTACATTCATTCATCGTCCCCCTCCGACCTCGCCCTCGCCGTATTCGATGATAAACGCACCTAGTTCACCTCTGCTACGAACACCAAAGCAGCACCAGGGGCCTTACAAGGGATTTGTAAAGCTTTTGCCAGGAAAGGCGCCTATTATCTCGTTGGATGGCGAGATTGGCGAAGCTCAACGATTCACGCCGTTAACCAGCAGCCAACTCCAACAACGGCACGCTTCAGAACCACCACTCCTCCGACCATATCCTCATGAGAAAACACGACACCTTACTGCAGAAGAGCTCTCACGGATGCGTACGCTGCGAGAGACAAATCCCAAGCTCTATACTCGGTCGAAACTGGCGAAAATGTTCAACTGCGCCCCAGTATTCGTCAGTATGGCGGCTCCGTTGCCTCGAGACAAATTAAAGGAGGTATGGAAGGCGCAGGAAGACGAGAAGAAGGGATGGACATGGAGGAAGCAAGCACTCCGAGAGATGCGTCGAAAGAGGAGGAATCTCTGGTAGATGGGTTAGTCTCTCTTGGTAAATGCGCTATAGTGCGTAATCTCAACATCTCTAGGCTCTCTGCATTACTCGATACGAAATATATTACACGTCGCTCGAGCGACTTTTGTCTTTCAACCATGCCTTTAGCTCATCTTTCTCCATCTCCAATCCATGGTCCGCACGGAGGTGCCGACGAACGTCGTACACTCGGTGGAAAAGTCCGTCACAGCGTTGAAGGCGTGTAGAGTCGGTCGAGGTAGAGGACACAATATCAGGCCATGGACAATGAATGATCTTCTTGCCTTCTTTGCGGCGTTTGTAGGCCTTGCCGGTGAGCTGCTCGATGAATGGATACTGCTCTCCCTCAGTCATTGTCTCTTCGACTGGAGCAGGCTCTTCTTGATCAGAGGAATGAATACCATGAAGCTTGGCTTGGTGTCTTTGGAGAAGATGCTTGTAGCCAAAGGCCTTTCCGCAATCCGTGTGGTCACAGACAAAGTTTCGTTGACCCAGGTGGTTGACATTGACATGAACGGTCAATGCTTTTTTCTGCATCGCTTAGCTCTCATCACTCACGCAAAACTGTGGGACACTTACCGACTTGAATGCCTTGTCACAGCCTTCCCACTCGCAAGCCCAATCGCGACCTGTATCCCCTCCTCGCTTTGGAGAAATAATCTCGACATCCGTCTCCATCCTATCTTCAAGAAGTTTTTGTTGACCTCGTTCCTCATGAACTTTGAGATGGGCTTTCAGATTCTTCTGTGAGGAAAACGTCTTCTCCTCGCAGCCTTCATAAGGACAAGTTGGAGGGTGTGCAGCGCGAATGTGCGCTTGGAGTTGCGTCCACGTCTGGAAATATTGCGGTCCGGCAGTGATGCAGTCCCCGACGCTGCACATGTAGCGATTTTCTGTACACGATGAGCGAAGGCAAACTTGAAACCATGTGCTTACTTTGATGAGTCTTGCTATGCGACTTTAGCTTTTGAGCCGTGGGGAAAGACTTGGAACACCCTTCATGATCACAGATGAATGGTTTCGTTCCAGGAGTACAATGAGCCTCGGCGAAGTGGGATCGTAGTTGATTATGCTTCGAAAATGCCTCCTCACACCCGTCAACTGAACACTATGTCGTGTATAAAGACGGTATTCGGCATTCTGAGAAGATCATACCTTGAACGTTTTGGTAGAGCCATCATGAACATTCCCATGCACTTTGAGTTGGGTACTTGTCCAGAAACGTTTACCACAAGACGGTTCAGGACATACAAAAGGTCGTGCAGTGTGCGGCTGGTGAGTTCGAGAGTGTGCTTGCAGGTGGGACTCGCGCAAATATGATTTCCCACAGCCGGGATGATTACATTCGAATGGTCTCTGATGCAGATGTCAAGATTACAGAGCCATAATCGCAGTCGGAACGGACCTCTCCAGTATGGGATCGCTGGTGTTCCTGCAAACGCGAAGGTTTCGAGTAGGACTTGTTACAGTCTTTGAATGTGCATTTATATGGCTTCTTTTTAGACGTTGAAGCTTTGACCTCGTCTTCGGCATCGTCTTCGGCATCGTCTTCGATTCGTCGACGTTTAGCAGAATTTTGGGATGACAACGATGCGTATTCATCTTCAGAGACAATTTCTTCGCTTCCAATTACGCTCTCTTGATCGCTGTCGACTGATAGAGGCTCATGCAAAATTTGTCCTGTGGCTCTGTGTGACGGGCCGGCAATATCGTTTCGCTTCCTCTTTTTCGGTATCTGACTGGGTAACGAATTTGGTTCGAATACTACCGCCATTCTGTAGATAGCCCAACCAATGAAGGCCACTCTCGGTTGGGGTAAGAGAAATTGCGCCCAAACAACTTGACGCTGGACACTACTGGCCTGTACGATACTCTCCAGATCCTAAATTCAAACCAAGGGCATAAAAATATAAAGGAGACGATCTACACCTTCAGGACTTTTGACTTTTGTTCGTTGCTTGCTTTCCTTCGGCGCCGTTTTCAAACCAAGTCGACACGCAGTGGAACGACCATCTCTCCCGGAACGTCCAACGAAGTGAATTAATCAGATGGCACATCAAAAGAGACCCGATATCAAGATCGGGGCGGAGGAAGTTAACGCTCTGATTCATTCTTATCTACTCGAGTCCGGTTGGTGATGCTGGCAGTGGCTGCCTACATATCTCCAAACAGTTCTATTCTGATACTTGTCGTCTCAAGGCTTTGTTCACTCTGCATTTCTCTTCCGCGGAGAGTCCAATCTCGATAAAACCGCGCTTGCCAAAATGGTCCTTCGGCGAGGGCATTTAACCGAACTGCTTGTCAAAGCTTTGCTCTACATAGAAGTGGAAACCCATTGGCAAAAGGTGTGTTACTCTGACTGTGTTGGTGATTGAGCTACGACATACCAACGCCGGATTATGTAAAGCCACCAGGATTCTGCAACGAACCATTTACTCTACTTGGAGCACATAATTGCAAGTACAGTGCAGAAAAGGACACAAGCGCTCTGGCGTATGCGATTCCGGGCATGGGCGACGACGCGCAAAAGCGGAATGGAAAGAATAATGACGACGATATGGAAATGACCGATAGTGCAAGTAGGTATTACTTTTTAACTTCGATATTGCACCACTCGGGTATCAGTTTTTCCTTACATTTCCACAGTAAACTCTGAGCCACCGCCGGCTCCAGAGCTTCCGATTTCCCGTCAAACGTTATTATATGGACACACCCAAGAAGTAAATGAATTATTCATGGGATGATGATGGTGTCTTATGCCGTCTCAGGTCTTCTGTGTCTCTTGGGCTCCTGAATACGCAGATCACGTCCTATTGGCATCAGGGTATGCGGCTACTACCGAAATATTTGTTGTGATTTACGTTCTCATAGATCAAAAGATAGCACGGCCAAAATTTGGAAGTTCACCGGCATCCACCATGGAAACCTGGCCACACAACTGCTAGACTCCATAGAACACTGTAATGAAGAGGGCTACTCAGGGGAAGATGCGGACGTCACCTGTGTGGATTGGTCCTCGGACCACCTTTGGTTGGCCACAGCAAGTTCAGATCACTTCGTACGAATGTGGAGCGTGGGAGAAGGCAAACTCAAAGCGACTCTCAAAGGACACACGGATTCTATAGCTGCTGTCAGATTTTCGCCTGACAGTCATTTCCTTCTCAGCTCTGGGTACGATGGCGTGGTAATTCTCTGGTCTTTGCCTGCGATGAGAGTCCAGCATCGGTACGAGGATGGTGCCAACAGTACGTCGACCATTCTTGAATACTCCTTTTATTCAACGTTTATAGAAGCTTTCGTGGCCGACATCTCATGGCTCACCAACAACAACTTTATAACCACATGGACGGACAATCTGATCCATGTCTTTACTAGTTCGTCGACCATACCATTCCGGACGTTCCGTGGACATACAGATGAGATCAACTCAGTACGTGGCTCTCCGGATGGCAAGTATATCGCATCTGTTTCGGACGATTTAACCGTTCGCATCTGGAACCTTGAGACTCTGAGGATGGAATTCAAAGAAGGAAGTCTACGACCGATCGCAGGCAGTGTCGGAGGGAACATGGGTCAAAACTGTATCCACACCCTACGAGCCCATAAGAGCTCGATAACGAGTTGTCGATGGCTCCAAGCAGATTGGATCTCAGGCTCATCATCGACGGATGGTGTCAAGCGACTCGCAACGTGGGTGGATATCATTTCCATGAATTACGCATTTATCCTTTGCAGAATGAGCGACGGTGGGGAGCTTGGACCAGCTGTTTGTCTATGGGACGCAGTAGCTGGTGTGCTACTAAAGTCGTTCAATGATCATTCAGCTGTGACTTATGGGCTCTGTTTCCATCCAACTTTGCCCTATATGGCGACTGGTGCGATGGACGGTCGGCTGTACATTTACGATCTCAAGGTGAGAACACTACGCAAATCGAATGGGCGCGTTCTCATGACGTTTTAGACGCTTGAGATGATATGGTCTTGGACGGACCGCACAGAGCCATCGAGCAAAGTGGCAATCTACGAGGTTGACTGGAGCAATGACGGGAAGCGGCTGGCCGCTTGTCTCTCTAACGGTGCTGTCGCGGTTCTAGATGTAACCAATCTCGAAAATTCGAGCTGAAGATGAGCAGCCGAACAGATATGGTGGAAGGGGGACACTTCTTGTGAACGGATGCAATATTGGTACAAGTGATACGAATCCGTGTATGCTTTCGGTCAGAAGACTTGCTCATCGTGTCGTTACTTTCAATACCAACGACTGCCACCCCTTGGCGGGGCTGGTATCGGTCGTTCTCGCGCTTCTTGCCGCTCGCGCTCGATAAAGTCTTCAAGTCTACCTCCAAGCTTGTTCAAGCCTTTCCATTCGTGCTTGGCAACCTCGCTGTATGGTCTTTCTTGGGTGGCCCAACTGCAGCTCATGACTACCGGTTCTTGCGAGTGCCACGCGACGTCGCGTACTACGAGCTGCGTCGCTCTGTACTCTCCTCGTTGCTTGACCATATTCGATGGGCTGTACTCTGTACCCGAGGGATCGTAGCCCATCTCGTTGACGTCGCTCCGGTCCATCCTCTGGACGAGCGTTCCATCGAGCGACCAAATGTGGACCATACCGTCTGCAGATCCAGAAAGGATATACCGGCTTCCCGTAGTTTCCGCAGGACTAAAGTTGCATCGGATCAATGTCCTCAGAACACTGTGGCCTCGGTAGCTCATAACCGAACAGTCTTGAGGATGGTGGTCATACTTCGGCTTTGGATATGCTTGTGCGCTGTGAAAATAAGAAGCCAGTCGAGACGAATATGACAATAACTCACCGGTAGTCAAAATCTGGGATACCATAGTCCTGCTTACGGACCTCGAGGAACGAGGTAAAGGACGACATCTTTCTCAGATCCCAGAGCTTGAGAGTTTGATCCTTGCCGTTTGAAATCACGTATCGACCATCTCCTTTTGGCGCAACGTAGGTGATTCCCTCCGTATGTCCAATCAATACGCCAGCCGGTTTGTGGGTCATACCCAACGACCGTCGGTCCCTATAAATGGTTATTGGAAGCTCCAAATCAAGTGTATCGTGCTTACCAGACTTTGACAAAGCTGTCATCGGATGCGCTGATGAGTACATTGCCCCCACTATCTGCCCAACAGCAAGAATTGACATCCGCACGATGAGCTTCGATCTTTACCGAGCGCCTATCAGCCGCAAGGTCATAGACTGAACAGAGGTTAGGCCCGACAAGGTATTCGACGCCGTTACTTACCCATGAGTTTGCCGCTCCCGCCTGCGACAATTTCATTTCCATCTGCTGAGAACCGACAAGACCAGATTCCATATCTATCATGCCAATCATAGTCACTCCGACTTTGGCCAAAGTTGATCGAGCGTTGCTCCGCATCCCCGTCCGGTGTACTGATGAATATAGATAAATAAGGGGAAGAAAGGACTACTATACGCACGTGGATGCTAGGAAAACCTTTGGTGACATGATTGCGTAGGCAAGTAGACGATTGTCTGGACTGAGGTGCGAGTCTGTAATCGTCCATCCACCGGGGACGGCATGGACGCTCTTGATATGCTTCATGGTTGACACGTGATCCTGGTCAGAGTGTGCCTGCTGTAGCATTGGAGCCTTTGTGTCATAGATGTGAAGTCGAAAGTCTTGTACGCATGTATAATAAAACGAGGAATCTGGATATCGTCAGCTCGACAAGATCCAGTAAACATGGTAGAAGTAGATACCAGTGGAGAACTGTCCAGCGTACACATTGGCTCCATATCGAGCTACCACGGTACCAATTGTATTCGGTACAATGTCCTATAGCCGATCCCGTCAATCAATCGAGCATTGGAAATCGCAATGTGACAACCTTGAATAAGTCTCCACGTTCAGGTTTTACGATAGACCGCCTAAGGGCGCGTAGTTTGGACTGGAGTGGCTGCTTGGTAAGATTGGCCGCCGGGTCGCCAAAATCGCCCGTCTGCTGAAGCCTAACACCTTCGGGTTGAGGCTCAGAGGCGGCAGAATACTGGTGATGGCGAACACCACGCCGCCTGAACCAGCCTCCACCGTCGTCGCTGTCATCGTCGTCGGCCGCAGCTGCAGATCGTCGTGTCTGGTTCAGGAGTGCCGCGAGGATCGCAAGAGTACGTCTCCCGCCTGCTCCATCGCCTGTATTATCTGAGAACCACGGTGAGCCCTCAGAAAGTCCTGACATGGACGGCAATAAGCCTGCAATACACACTCAGGAGCTCGTCCAAGCTGATTACAACCTCGTTTTCGGCCTCGTCTGCTGCCTGCTCCAGCATATCTTCCGCGTCCAACTGCATATCGTCATCGTCTTCATCCATTTCGTCTTGTTCTGGGTCATAATCTTCGTCGTACTCGTTTTCATCCCAGTCTTCGAGGTCCATTTTCGGCTGAGTGGCGTCCAAGGTTCAACTGCGATCGTTGTATATGTCATGTCACATCGTCCGATGATCACAGCCCAGTCGGTTACAAAGTATACTACGGATTACAGAAAACATGTAAAATAGCAAGGCGGCGTTCTATAGTCATAAGTCAACAAGAAGAATGGACTAGCACGCGAAAACCTACCAAGAACTGACTGACCCAAAGGAGTTGCATCTTCATCTTCCGAGTCAATCACGGAGATTTTGACACGGTTCTTTGCATCTGAACAAAGTCAGGGAACCAGATTTTCTCAACGAAGGAACAGCTTACGATCCACCAGATCCACAGGGGATGCCTCCAAAAGTGAGCTCCTCGCCGTTTGTTCGGTTTGCGCGAGGATACTGGCCTGCGCGGCTTGAGTAGCCGCTGCTGCCTGTGCAGTGGAGGCCGCTGGATCCACCAATGCATTGGGCTTGGGAGACGAATCACGAGACATGTTCGATTGTGTCTCCAATGCGGCAATCTCCTCTTGTACTGCTCGACCAATAGCAGCCTTCTTCTTGATTGCCCTTTGTCCTCGTGCATTTCCTGCTGGTTCTCCTTTACCTTTGCCAGAGTCTTGTGCATACTCTGCTTCCGTCTTGTTCAGGAACTCTACTCGGTACTGGAGCATCCTCCGGCCATAGTCGAGTTCCTCTGGCGTATCAATGTTTTCCAATTCCATCTCTTCTATCGAGATGCGCGGTAGAGGCGGGGCGTACTTTTGGCTCTTTGCGGCTGGATCCTGAAAGGGATTCGGACCTTTGGAGTCTTCGAGGTACCGATAGAGCAACCACAGGAGCGCTCGAGCGCGAGCAGCAGATGGGATAGGTGTCGGGAGGAAGAGATCCATGAATTCGCATTCTTTAAAGTGATCCTTAGTGATGGATGTACTGTGGACGGTGAATGCAAAGAGAGCAGCGACTGGATTACAGGCTGGCTTGAGGCCTGCCGCCTGGCGATTAAGTATGTCTGCTGGCGTTTGCACGGGTGGACTCTCATTGCCAACGCATCCCTTTAGTACAGTCTTCATGCGAGCGGCATCGTACATGTGCTGTCGCGTCGTCTCGTCTCGTTGAAGGGCAGGAATCGAATGATAATACCTCAGCGCCGTCCTCATATCTGGGTAGACTACATGGAGGTCAGCAAATGATGACACATCGGACATTCACTCACATGCTAACGTCGTGTTTATGCGACCGATGTTGACAAGGAGACACACTTGGGCCATGACCAGCCCAAATTCAGGAAACTGTTCCATCTTGATCCTCTGAGATCCTGTCATCTTCGAAGAGGCGAGAAGGGCTTTTCTGTAGAGTGTATTGAATGTGACCTTGTTGTTCGGCGCTGGGAGAGTGGGCTCGGTGAAGCATTGGGTGGTATCGTTGAACAAGGCCTGAAGAAAATCATATTGAATAGTCTTGCGGAGAAGAGGTTCGCCGTCGTTTCCTTTGATGATTAGGGGTCGTGGCGTGATGACCATGCTACGCTCGCTCAATTCTTATACGGGGAGTTGCTCGTAGACACATTACACACCTATCTTGACCCTTGTAGTCCGATCTCTCCATCTTCTCAACGCTTTTCGAGACCCTTAGTCGTTTACACTAGTCGAGGCGGCGGCCAAGGTTTCTCAACTTGACTCCGACCTCGACTTTTACATCAATGTCCGACGCTAAATTCGACGCAGCAACCCAGGTATGTGTTATAAATGACGTTTATCTGTTCTGACACGCGTTCAGGCCGAGCTGGCAAAGTTTTTGGAGATGCAGCAAGCCGAAGTGAGAATGAATACACAAGCACATAAGTTTACCTCTATGTGCTGGGACAAGTGAGCATCTATCTTGTTTTCACGCTTGAATCCGGCTCTCAACGTTCCAAACAGGTGCATAACTGGCAGCATTGGAGGTCGCTTTTCGAGGGGCGAGGAAGCCTGCTTGGTAAACTGCGTTGACAGGTTTCTTGATACGAGTTTGGCTATCATGAAGCGGTTACAAAATCAGCAAGGAGAGCATTCTTAGACGAGGTAGGCTTCTATTGCGCGTGTGTCAAGCCATTCTCATTTCCTTCTAGATACATATATATTGTATAGCTGGTAATAATTTTTGCTATCGACACCCTCACTTGACAAATATCGCGTTCGGACTCTTCCCCTCTCTTCTTGAGATTGCACGGCATCTCGACACCTGCAGGGGCTGTCAGGAAGTCACCGACATTGTCTCTATCTGATCCGAAATGCTATGGCACCTCCCACTGGTAAAGGCGATACCGCCTTGCATATCTCAGCCAAGCGGCAGGGTCGAGAATGCCTTGCTTTCGCCTACAAAGTACTCTCGCAAGCTCTACCGTCCGACCATCGCGTGTTGCAATTCGCGGGGACGATGTTGGGGAGCACTGGTCGCAAACCTCGCATCTTGTTTGTCGACGAGGAGGACAAGTGTTTGAGATTGCTGGCTGCTTGAGATTAATTGATTGCTATGTATTTCTGAGGCCGTGTCGCTGCATGAACAAACCACGAGGCAGCGCGTGTCCGGAAGAGTATAATCGTCATTGTCAAGTGGAATGCCCTGGAAATTTCCGGGATAAAGCACAACAAGCGATTTATGTGCCTTGTCCCATTGGGCGTCCAGTCTGTGGGTTCCCCAGCTTTGAGCCGACCACCACTTCTTGCATCCGGTTCTTGATGCCTGGAGAGTCGTTCTGATCCACAAAAGCTGTCCTAAAATCTCCTTTTCTCTCTTTTCTTCACTTTCATCCGCCAACCCGCCTTCCCTCGCTGTCATCACAGCCGTTTTTCTTTTCGCGACCTTCAACAAGACCATGTCCCCGCCTACGTTTTACGTCCCAGACCTCGCTTTTCCAACTCAGGCAGCCACAAGAGATGCTCAGAGATCACCAGCGTCGTCCTTTAGCTCAAAGGCGCCCCCGCCGGTCGAGCTCGGGCGATTGAGCATATCTTCGACCACGGAACACTCCCGCCGCCATATATTCGCGATCACGACGAGGAAACAGCCGTACCAGGGTATGAAGATGGCCAAGAAGTTCATACCATGGCTCGCAATCTGTTCCTCTACGGTTTTAGTGAGTATCCATCTTTGCCACATCCTTCGCCCTGGTCGCATCGGCCAATGCTTATAGACCTCTTTACTGATCACTTCTGATGCAGTGTTCCCGCCGTTTTGGCTCCTCGGTGCCCTGATCCTGGTCATCCCGCTCACTCCGCCTGAGTCCTGGGCCGACAAGTCGCAGGAGCAAGTTCAGAGCATACTCGCTGCAATGAGAGTTGCAGAGCGTCGCTGGGCATGGCGCTGTGTCATGGCCCTTGCCAGTCTCATTCTAGTCATTCTCATCATCGTTGGATCCCTCCTACTCGCGCATCACTTTGGACGACTATAACATTCTTCAACACACAAAAAACCCGGACAAAAAGTACATTTACCTGGCCTGTCTCCTGACCTCATCGCCACCCGACTCGCCTCCAAACCTCCGTCTTCGTTTTCTATCCGGCCTAACAACTCGTCGCCGCAAACTGATATTTACGGCATTCATCGTTGTCTTATCCTTTCGCTCAATGCGAAATCTGCATATCTCATCAACATCTTTTCCTGCAATCCCCACTTGTCATGAAGTCACATGCAAACTATTCTCTCTGAGCCATTCTAATACCACTCTTCGATTCTGTATTTTCTTCACATTTGTATTTGGCTCGAACCCCTATGCCCATGCGAAACCTCCCCGCCACCCATACTTTCTAATGTCCCTCGCTAGTCGTTCCCGGGAATTAGAAATACATTCACTCATGAAACCGATCGAAATCGAGCTTCCTTTCATATGATTTTGGAGGCGAGTTCTGAGAAACATACCCATTGGTCAGGAGAAGGACGCCATTCAATTGCTGTCACAGATGCACTCTAAATATGAAGTTACACAAAGAATTGAAGCAGTCACGATTTCTCTGATGCGCAGAGACGCAAACCTTGGCACGACTTCCGTTCGCGGCTCGTGAAATCGTTGGAGACTGCTTCCGACTATAATGTTGACACATGACAAACCGGAGTATCCTTCGGGCTCTTACCATCTCAATTCAGCGGGCGGAGACGAGTTGGCGCGATATCTCCGCGGCAGCCTCTCATAAACTCTTCCAGCTCTCTGTAGTTCCTCTAAAGATCCGCAGATTCTGTGAACCAAGGAACAGTGGCCTTCTCTCCCAAATACTAGGACCCCGGACCGTAGGTTTTCGAAGATCCGTGTCAATTACCCATTCTTTTCCCATTCGCCGACGAGAACCAAATAAGATGCCTCGGAACGTTTCCTTGGATCCTGCCTATTTACCGGAATAACGGATAGGCGGGTCGATTGGCCGTTCAGGCATACTTATACCCCCCCGTTAGTCCACAGCCGCTCTCGTTCTCTCGGGTATCTCGACTCTAGTCATGAAGTCCCTTGCACTTCTTTCGATCTCTGTGTCGCTTCTTCCTGCTGTACTGGGGCAGCAAAGTGCCTGGGGGCAATGTTTGTATTTCAGGAGACGTTGACGAGTATTGACTTGTTCCAGGTGGTGGGCAAGGGTGGACAGGACCAACGACGTGTGTCAGTGGATATACGTGTGTCTATTCCAACCCCTGTAGGCAGACCCATGCTCCATCCTTTCGACTTGCTGATCAACAACAGGGTATTCTCAATGTATCCCAGGGTCAGCTACGGGAAACACAAGCACGGGATCGAGCACGAGGCCAACTTCTAGCAGCAGCACGTCTCGGACGTCCTCTAGCACATCATCTGCCCCAGGGACATCTGGGACGGGAACGGGAAAGTTCTGGTTCAGCTTCGGGGACTCGTATACGTGAGTGATTAAATCTCAATCATGCTTCATGTGCTGAGCCTCTAGTCAAACTGGGTTTTCGTATTCCGGAACTCAGCCTTCAAACAGCAACCCGTTCGGCAACCCGACTTACCCTGGTATTTGGATCGATTCTTCAAGCTTGCGTCAACTAACGACCTATAGGCAATACGCCCTGTGGAAGCAATCCCAACTGGATTGACTATGCCGCCACCACTTACAATTCTGGCATCGTCAAGGTATGTAACCCTCATTAACATGTGACAAGGATCTAATACGCCCCATATTATAGGTGTATAACCATGCATTTGGAGGAGCCACCATCGATGCGTCGATTGTCGCCCCTTGGTCTAGTAAGCCCCCAGAGCTCTATACGGGTTGTCACTTATACTCTCTTCTAGACACTGTGAAGACTTTGGTTGGTCAGGTCAACGATTTCCTGAACTACAACGCTCCTGGCAAGACGTACTACCCTAGCTGGTCTTCATCCAATACTTTGTTCAGTGTCTGGATCGGCATCAAGTAGGTGATCACCCTTGGTCATTCTTATTTTGACCCTTTGCAGTGATATTGGTCAGGCCTATTGGCGAGGTTCTGTGCCGAATATGGACACCCTCATGAACCGCTACTTCCGTAAGCATTTCAGGGCCATGGCGCATTAATCTTATTATTATTTTCAGAACTTGTGCAGTCGATGTACAACGTTGGTGCAAGACATTTCTTGTTCCTCACCGTGCCGCCTGTTCAGCGTTCACCTTTGGTAAGCCTCCCCACTTTAGCTATGCTTGTTCTCAACAAAATAGATGCTCGGTCAAGGATCAACGAATACTGCCAATCAAAAGGCCGTCATTGCCGACTACAATGCGAAGCTCAAAGCCAAGGCTGCTTCCTGGGCAGCTTCCAATGCGGGAGTAAGAAATCTCGTCCCAGGTGATTGCGTAAATCTGATTCGTTTTAGGCGACTGCTTTGGTCTACGACACCTCGACCGTGGTCAACGCCATTCTCGACAACCCATCTGCCTATGGACTACGTGACGCAACCTCTTACGGATCTGGAAACACGTACGCATGGTGCGACAACTATCACATCTCCCCTGTCGTCCACAAAGCACTCGCCGCCGACCTATCCAAGCTTATCAAGGGCACTTACATCTAAGTGAGGATGAGAGTGTATTCTATTCCATGGCTGAGCCTTTTCAGGTTACCTGAGGCTGATTCAAGGGGAAAAGATTGACGACTTGCTCCGGCAGTCGTTGCCTGTAGATAAAGCACCATCATTACAGATTCCTATACGCCTTGGTGAAAAGAAACGTAAGATACTGTGTCTCAATCTCCGGACCGGGCAGTTCCACGCAATATAAACAGCCACGCGTAAATGATACTCTGCTTCTGCCAGTTTCAGGATACGCGGCTCGAGTTGTTCATGATCACAATTTGCTTTGTAGACGACATATTTGGGACGACTTGATTCTAATAATCGGATTCAGAAGCAGGTTTACAATGCTAGGGCGATATAGCTAATTTATCTAATTAGTGATTGACCTGTAGAGAGCTGAAGACGTACCCGGATATCATCAATGTCCCTCCTACGGGAGTGATAGGTCCTAGGAATCTAAACCTATCGGGAAGAGTCAGCCCGGAGGTGAACAACTAGGTGATAATCCCACCTTTCGCGGTTAAGAACCAATGCCATAATAGATGCAGAGAAGACGATTGAGCCGAAAAGAATAGCTGGCCCGGCGTAGACGTGTCTAGAAAACCTGGGATGGCTCGAAATGACCAAGAGGGCGAGACCGTTGAAGATCTAGAGCTCGTTTGGGCGAATGTAAGAACACGAACAAGTAAATGCATACTGAATAGTTGGATGCTATTTTCCAGGATTCAAGTTGCTCGCTTGCCATACGTGAACGGAGGCCATGCGAGCCAAAGGCCCCAGCAATCATCCCGACGGCCACTATAAAGCCTCATAAATATATAAAATCACTGCATAGAGGATGATTACTCGAGATGGCACCAGATTTCCAGAGAAATGAGGGCGTTATAAAGGACGACTGGACGAAACGTGAGCCTGTCGTCGTCGGAGAAGGATGATCTGGCAAGAGAGCAGATGATTCGCTTGCCATTTGTGACTTGGAATCTAAGTGCAAGCGAGCAAAGGCTATCTCCGATTTTTGGCGGAAACTCGTCGAAGTCGTAGGCCGAAAGAGCGAGCCGAGAGCCGTGGGGGCAATCGAAGAGCCACCGTCCATAGAAAAGCTCTTTGCGGGACGAGTCATAACTTGGAAGCGAGTCAGCAACAAATAAGGCCACAAGTCTTAAACCTCTCCATCTCTTCTACCCCTTCGACTTTTCAACGTACTCATAAAATAGCTTCCTTGAAAGAGACTTGAGATGTCTGCCGAATCAACAGCACTGTGGCTTCGCTGCGAGACGAAGCAGTTTGAGCGACGAGCAGCACTTACGCCCACGACTGCAAAGACCCTCCTGGATGCTGGATTCCAGATCACCGTCGAGGAAGATCCACAACGTATCTTTGACATTGAAGAGTACAAAGCGTGCGTGTCGCTGTATCCCTTTTACCTCATCTCATCCCCATCTCCCAATAGCGTCGGATGTGCGATTGCACCTTACAACTCGTGGCCGTCCGCACCAACAAGTACGACAATCATCGGACTCAAAGAGCTCCCTGAAAATGATACATCACCTCTCCCTCACACGCACATCCAATTCGCACATTGCTACAAGAATCAGGCTGGTTGGGTCGGCGTTCTCGAGCGATTCGGCAAAGGTGGTGGGAAGCTCTATGACCTAGAGTTTCTCCAAGACGACACTGGTCGGCGTGTCGCCGCGTTTGGATTCCATGCTGGCTTTGCGGGTGCTGCTGCAGGTGCATTGGCATTTGCGGCAATGAAGGATGGTGGAAAATTGCAAAGTCTGGATCCATATCCGAATGAACAAGCCATGGTGCAAGATGTCAAGGCTAAGCTTGGTGGGAGCGGGAAGGGCGTCAAGGCGCTCGTGATTGGTGCACTAGGACGATGTGGACGTGGTGCCGTAGACCTCTTCCGCAAGATTGGACTAGATGAGTGAGTATGTCTGCCTTTACTCGGCCGTCCTGAACGTAGTCACCAGGGATGATATCCTCAAGTGGGATATGGACGAGACCGCCAAGGGTGGTCCATTCCAAGAGATCCTCGACGTCGACATTTTCGTCAATTGCATATACCTCTCGTCATCGATCCCACCATTCGTCTCGCCACAGCAGCTTGCAGAGGCCGGTGACAAGCGACGACTATCGGTTATTGTCGACGTCAGCTGCGATACAACGAACCCGTTCAATCCCATCCCAGTGTACAGCGTCAACACAACGTTTGACAATCCAACCGTTCCAGTCAACGTCCCGTACGCAGTTTATTTCCGTCCTTTGCTTTATACTGATGGTCTTTTTTCATGAATAGCACCGGATCAGCACCGCTGAATGTTATCTCGATTGACCATCTGCCAACATTGCTACCGCGCGAGGCGTCGGAGCAGTTTAGCGGTGACCTGATCCCGACGCTTCTCAAGTATCCTCAACGGGATACCAACAGGACTTGGACAGACGCGGAAAAGCTCTTCCGCGAAAAGCTCGAGGCGGCGCAGACGGAAGCTGCAAAGACGCTAGGGCATGCCTAGATGTATATCAAAATTACCAGAGCATCTGCTCGTCTGAATAGGAAGAGAATAGACAGAATTAGGCGCAGCATGCTAATGGGGACTCTCAAGTCAGGTTATGGGTCTGTCAACAGGTAGATGGTTGAGATTTCTTAAGAGGTTACATCGTTTGGACCCGGAGTGCGATATCATAGCGTGGCGTCTGAAGACGATTGAATTTCCGTGTCAATGATACATACACCCCATCAACATTGCGTTTAAACGACAGGGATTAGTATTGCGGAGGACCCGCTGGGGGAGCATAGGTCGGTTGACTGTAAGAAGCGTTGTATTCGTTCTGATGTTGGTTATAGTTTGTGCTGGTATTTTGATTGTACTGTTGTTGATAAGGTTGTTGAACGGGACCGGGGCCGGGGGCATATACGGGTTGTGCGGGTTGTGCGGGTGTGGTCATAGGGAGCTCGGAGGTCTTGGACTTGCGGCGTTTGAGCATTTTCATGATGCAGAAAACGCATACACAGAATAGGATGACGGCGACGACTAGAAAACATGCGTTAGTTGAAAGTGAAAGGGGGGGTTTGGGTGCCAACCTATGACGACGACAATTGCAATGATGACACCCTTTGCGAGAGATCTGCTGCGCGAGGATGTGGTGCTCTTGGCCGCTACGTCTGCCGCGAGTGAGGCAAGAACAAGCAGGGGGAACAAGAGTCGTGATGGAATATTCCTAGAGGTCATGGTGATCCCAATGAAATGACTAAAAGGAGTCCTTGAAATGTCCAAAGATGTGGGCAAACGGGGGAAGAGTCCAAGCTGCGTCGTTTGTTTGTCCGAGCCCAAAAATAAAAATTCAAGTTAACAGAAACTGAAAAGCTCATGTGCTCCTTGGGCCGTGGAGATTCCTTGTGTCCGCTCCAGTCCCTGGGTCTGACAGCGGACACCAGCTCTGGTCGCGACCAAAGCTCCCATGTCGAAAAAGCGAGTATCAGGATTGATCAACAAGGCAATTTATACGAGGTCGGAGGCGGCAGTGCACTCAATGGACCAAGGCGCGGTGCTGGCAGTGAGGGACGCGCGCGAACGGACAGTCATATAGGGCCCCTGATAAGGATATTTTAAGAGACAGAACCGGAACGAGCTGGTTGGACCTGTGCCAATCGCAAACGCCCGTCGTTTTGGCGTCCCCGAGCATCTCCCCTTTGCCCTTTGAACCCGTCCACGTCCATCGATTTGTCTTTGAAAATGCCTGGAGCACTCTTGTCTACACTTTTATGGCTCTCCGCCCTCTTGTCAACTGCTAGCGCCGCGACACCGGGGAAGCCGAACAAGAGCAAGCGTACCATCAACATTATCGTCCTTATCATCATCATCGTCTTTATCAGTATGTGTACCAGTGTTTCAAAATCTTGAATGCCTTTTGACAACGGATCCAGTCCTTGCCATTGCCAGTCTCGTTTGGGTCATCTTTCTTTGCCGTCGACACGAGCGTAGAAAACAGAAAAAGATGAACACGATGATCACCGTGTCCACCGTTCAACCATACCAGTCTCAGTCAGCAGGAGGCTACCAAAGACCCAACTCTGTGGTTGTCCACCAGGTAAGCGATCCGTCGGGACTGGTTAATTGTGAACTAAAGGGGAACACCAGGACGGCGACTGGTGGCAGCCACCTCCTGATCAATCTGACGCGACCAGTTCGACGAGACGGAGCGTCTACCTCGGTCCTCTCAACGGGAGCACAAACTCGCGCTATTCCGCACACCTCGGTACCCCGGAGGGCCATAGACAGTCGACGTACAGCACTACAAGCAGTCAAACTACACGCAACCACGCAGCTCGCCATTCTTCGAGCCTAGCGGCGAGCGCTCAGACAGTCATGGATCGTACTCCAGCTACAGCAGTAGCCGCCGTACCACCGCCACCCATAGGAGGGATGGGCCCGATGAGTACAAGTACACATAGCGATCACCAAAACTTGCCATACAGCCTCACAAGGGCCAAGTAGAACGAGCAGCTACGCGCAGCACCCAGGTGGCGCAGTAGAGGTGACGGTCAATCCAAGAGGGGCTGCGCAACCATTCCAGATTCCTGCGCCGAATCGAATGCCTGCGCCCCCAACTTTCACTGCACCACCTCAACAACGATCGACTGGTCCCGCTGGTTCTTCCTCTGCGAGCACAGATGCAGGTATCCCCCCCGCGAAACTGCTCCAACCACAACCAACCGGGACATCCATCTACAGCACTACTCACCCGTACGAACTGTCTGCCATGACTAAAAGTACATCTGGGCACCCTGGAACATGACCTCTGGCTCGTGCTGATTGGACACTGCTACACTATGACTCCTTTCTATCTCATTACATGTATGCCTTACTACCCAATTCTTTTGTTCATCTTCGAAAAGCCTTGATTGCATCGTCGTGAACAAGTAGTCAATAAAAAAAAGGAGTCGCTCGTACAAAAAGGTCCGTCGAGAATATCGTGGCACAAAAAGGTTCAAACTTTCCTCATCGCTTCTCATATGGATACTGCTGCGCGCCAGCATCGTATCCAGGAGGAGCATCACTCGGGATCATACCGCCACCTTGTTTCGGCGGTACGGGCGGGGCTGCCCCAGAGGGTAATGCACCAGGCATCCCGCTCATCCCCATCCCACTTCCACTACTCGCTTGCCTCACCGGGCCGCCGCCATAGGTATTCAAAGGCATCGGCGCAGGTGTTGGGATCGCGGGTGTCGGCGTCGTCGGTGGGACGTTCATTCCAAGTGGCACATCACCACTGTTCACGAGTGTGTTCCCCGGCTGGTTCCACGGCGGGGCGACATGTCCGATCGGAGAGTGTTGGGATGGTTGCGGTGGGTAAAATGGATTCGTCTGCGGTTGGCTGTACGGATCATGATATCCACCTTGTTGTTGTTGAGGTGGAGATTGTGTACGCGCGTAGGGTTCCGAGTATGCCTGGGACGGTTGTTGGTATGCGTTACCGTATCCTTGATTTTGTTGGGTATATCCGGCGTCGTATCCCTGATTCTGGTCGTACTGAGAAAAACTCGATGGTTGGCCAGTCTGGTGGCTGACGGCAGAGTGATCTACGACTCGTTAATAAATGTACCAAGAATTGAAAGCAGCAGTGAAACGTACAAGATGTCTGGCGCGCACCGTGGCCATATACTTCGCCAACGGCTGCTCCTCCAGGTGTCAAATATTGCTGAGACACTTGGGCGACTGGCATAGGTGGCGGTGACGAGGACGAGGCATGCGGATTGTATCCGCCGGTATATCCCATGGCAGAGTGTTGGCTACCTTGCCTATACGGTTGATTCGGTCCACTTGGGAACGCAGGAGCCTGCGAGGCATTGTTGTTGTACGCATCGATGCTTCTTGTACCTGGGGGACCTTGCATATAGCCACCACCATACTGCGGTTGAACTTGCTGGACACCACGTCCAGCATGATTGCTCGTATACGTGGTGCTAACGCTGCCTCTTCGCTGAGGGCTTCCTGAAGACATTCCAACTGGCTGATAGGGAGGCTTGTGCGGTGCACTGACGGCTCCTTCGTCCTCTGAGTCTTCCTCGACGTAGTACTGCGCATCGCCCGATTTTTGCTTCAAAGGTCGCGCTTCTGCATTGGTCGGGAAAGCTGGAAGACCAACTTCTGCCTGACGGGCTTTGCGATCGTTTTCTGCTTTGATCGCCTCGAGACGCATGGCCTCGCTGTGCGAAATACCTCCTGTCTCCATTGGTCCACTTTGACCAAAACCGCCGCCATTGTACCACTTCTTGGACTGACCCTTTGGCCCACGGGGTCGACTGGCGAAGCAGCATCGCCCGATACCAAAGAAAAAGCCGGCGAGGAAGAGCATGACCCAAGCGGCAAGGGTGAGCCACAAAGCATTGCCAATGTTTGCAGCACCACCAACTGCACGTATACGGGCACGAATGATGAAAAAGAAGATGAGGTCGAAGATGAAGGCAAGGAGTGTCACAGAGGCTGCGAGACCGGCGATGCAAGAGGAGAAGCATGTCATGGCCATTTCACGGATATGTGCCAAGAGTCCAAATAGGGCGGATACTGCGGCCAAACCGAGCCCGACGATGTGGAGGACGAGGACATAGGTGAGCCACTTGACTACGACGTTTGGAATCTCGATGTTCAACGGAAGATTGAGTCCTAGAAGAGCGTTTGGATCTATAATAGATCAGAATCAATCAGAATCAAGAGAGTAGCATGCGAGTCAATGGGTGACTGCTCGAGTGCTATCACACGGTTATGGATCAACGCGGTGCTAGCCCTTGGGCTCGGAGTGTTACAATGACAAAACGACGCACCGAATTCCCATCCTACGGTAGCATTTGAGCACGCAGTTGAAGAGCCCGTCTGCAAACAGTATCCAAGGACACCAAAGGTTGCAGTTCCCTGAACGCCCTCGTGGTTGATTGTTGCACTCAGAAAGTAGAAAGACTTGAGGAGTGGGACTGAAAAGGATGCGAGCGCGAGACAGATCGTGGCGGCGAGCGTGACGGCAAAGCCTGGAGTTGCTGGGCGGAATACCATGGCGGGACTGACGTCGACGCTGCTCGAGGTCGCTGGAGAATATTTATTGAAATTATTCGCACTGCTGTGGCCTGCAGTCGAATATCGAGGTCGGGTTCAAGGTGTGGATGTAAACTTGGAGCAGCGTCCATTTCGGATTTCACTCGCCCGGCCTTGGTCTCCGCTGCGGACAAAGCGCAGTTTCTAGTCGAATCACTGCATTTTAATCATCCGAATATCGTCAATACGGATGTCCCCGGTCATCGGTCCAGAACCACCCGCGACGTGCCAAGGTTATTCGTGCTGGCATGTTGGATGAGTCCCCCAACAAGTCTGGATGCGACCATTCCTGTTGTTTTCACTCCCTCTGGGAGCTACTGCTCAGCTCGTCCGAGATGGATTCGTCAGTAATGTTCCAGATTGGACCGGATTATCCATGTTTGTGGCCAGGTGGGAGCCTCTCTGTGGCGAACTTACCGAAACATGGGCAACAGGAAACAACGCTCCAGATTGCATTCCGGCGATGTACAGCTACAGCAATGACACCCAGTTAACGCTCGGATTATACGATTACTTTGGCGTCCGTGTCATGAATGCTGGCATTGGACTTGGGAGGCCACTTTGCTTGTGCTTTTCATTGCGCTCGCGGATTGTGGCCACTCAACAGGAGGATATTTGCTGGAATTTTGATGGAAACGGGGTCGTTGCAACATCTGCCAATGGCTATGTGACTGGGAGCTGGAGGATCGGCACAAAATCGCTTCCTTGGTGTACAGGAGATGGCCCTTCCACGCTCGTCAATGCATGGTCACAGACCGCTTTCTTCCCTTCCTCCGCTGGATCCACACAGGCACCTAATTCGACACAAAGCGGTAAGTCTCATCCTATAGCCATCGATTTCGCTAAATCGTCTCGACAAGGCCTACCAGTGATCAACTCGACTGGAAACAGGCGCACGACACTGGCCGTCGGACTCAGCGTGGGGCTCACCGTTGGAATACTTGCAATCGCTGCGCTTGTCGGGTTCTGGTTCTGTCTGAAGCATCGAAGGCGCCAGCCTTCGGGTAATCCCGGCGCACATACGGGACCATATCCTCAAAATGCGCCATATCCTACGAATGCACCATATCCTACAAATGCGCCATATCCTACAAATGCGCCATATCCTGCAAATGGAACCCAAAAACCTCCTTTGAACTCGCGTTGGTAAAAGTGAGTCTTTTCTTCAATGGTGAATTTTTTGCTCATTGTCACTAGTCATCTCTCTATGAGCAATAGAAACTATAATGAATACATTGTTTTATCCCATGAGCCTGTCATATGTGAACGCACAGGCGGTTTTCGCCAACCCGTTAGATTCGCTTGCACCGCAGGATAGGCGGCTTTCCTTGGGATCACATATGAGGGATACACCATCGAAAGTAGAGCTTCAAGGATCGAGAATGATCAGTTTCCGGTTGGTATGCTTCAAATTCGAGGTGGACAATTAGTGGGAGTACTGCAAAAAAGGACATGAATTTCGACAGGATTCTATCATCTCCTTCGGGAGTTAGATACATTGCCATCCATATTCAGCTCATTGTCGGGCTTGGCCCATCCGGCTGGTAACGCATACCCAAACATAATGTCATTTTCGAACGTGTAGCAAGTTTAATTCAAGACATATGGACAGAGCTGGTCGAAAATACCAAGAATGGCTACCAGCCACAACGCATCTGTGCCAGCACGGGTGGTCAACATTCCTATAAATCCCCTTGGACCCACGACGTACACATTTCATCATTAGAACAAGATGCTAATCCTTCTCACCCTCATTACATTCCTGCTCTCGACGACCAGTGCACAAGTTCAAAGGGACGGACCGGTCGCCAATGTCTCAGGATGGGACGGACTGACATATACCGCGGCTCGCTGGGAGCCTTTATGTGGTTCGCTCACACGTACGTGGCCACCAGGCAGTAACTGGAACGGATGTGACGCTGCTATGAACGGCTACAGCAACGATGTGCGAAGAACTTTTGGGCTCTACGACCGCACAGGCGTCTTACTTGAGAGGGTTGGTGTAGGCCTTGGAATCCCCCTCTGCATGTGCTTCTCGTTGGGCATGATTGCCACAAACGAAAATCTGGACATATGTTGGGGATTTGAGTCCAGTGGAGTTGTAGTCGCAAACGGCCTTGGTGGGGTTCTTGGGAGCTGGAGGATTAGTGGAAAGGCTCTCCCTCGTTGTACGGACGCCAATCTAGGATCACTGGAAGCGCAGTGGTCTCGAACGGCGATCATGCCCTCGTACACAGGATCAGTTCTTACCTTTGGCCCAAGCACGGTGACCCAGCTTCGGACAGTGACGCTCACCCCTACCAGTACGTGATATTGCGGCTATGGGGATATCACCCAGCTCACGCTCTTGTTAGGTCAGGTCGTCCCTGAGGCCGGTCGTGTGACTGGCTCTGGAAGCCAAGGCCAAGGGAGCTCTAGTGCAATGAAGTTGGGGCTGGGAATAGGCATATCTCTCGGCATCCTTGCCTTGGTGGTTCTGATCTGGCTTCGCTTGGGCAAGCAGAAGCGGATTACTGCTGGGAAGCACGGAGATGGAATACCTGCAAGTCAGAGGCCGTCTTACCGAGCACCGATAAATACGAACCCCACATGGGCTTATTAGAGGCAAATACCCGCCTTCTGATAATCTTGGCCACTCACCAACCCTGCACAGTCGTGGATAGAAAACGACATATCTCTATGACACAGAATAGCGAGATTGCGGTCATGGAAATATCGTTTGACGAGGCAACCTAACTATCAAACACCCCGATGGACACCTCTCCTTTCCCTTTCGCCTGATTTAGACAGACATATCACTCTTTTCACCATGAATAGTACCAAATACACATAATCGTTCACAAATATCCTATGCAGCCGTCTGCCGCGTCGCTACGCTCAATCCCCGCTTTCGCCTCTCGCCGCCTTCCCTCTTGCTATTCGGGACATCTCCCGTTCATATTACTGACTAACAGCTCGATGAGGTTTCTCCTTCATAGGTTCTTCACCTCCCAACTCTTCTGGATCCTGTTTTGTTTGCCACAAGGCCATGTCCTTTCTTTGCAGATTCGTTCACTTTCCCTAACACTTGCGAACGGATTCACTATGAAAGCTACCTACTTTTGCATTGTGCTTTTTTTGCCGTCCAAAATATGTGCTAAATGTCTCCCAGATTTTTGTCCTTCCCAATCTACACTACATATCGGTGTCTATATCTCTCCTCGTCTCCCTAAAGTCTGAGAATATCAATCCTCATCAAAGAGCTCTGGTTCACGACGCACTGTGGCGAGCCAATACTGCTACATTTAATCTACTATTGCTGTTCAACGTCAACTCGTCCAACTTGACCAGCAAGGCGTACTCAATCACGCTATCCCTCTTCATATTGAGTTCAAATCGGGTGAATAGAGCTGGTAGAGAACACCAGAATGGGCGATCAGTCTCAGTGTATATGCCAGTAAGCACGAGGCACCAATGTGACTATAAATACCGTCAAAATCAGACAGAATTTGTTAAGCAACCTCTCCCACAGGATGCAATTCGTCATTACTACACAGCACCGAAAGTGGAGCTTCAAGGGTTGATAATAATTCTTCATTGGGTGACGCATGGTAGAAACGTATGTTGACGTGCCAATAATCATGACAAGTCATCAGTCGATATCTGTTTGAACGTTTGTCCAAGATGGGCCACATTGAAAGTTGGTGAAATCAATTCTGGTAGGTCGGAATCGGCTTGTCGTCGGTATCGTCAGAATATGAGGATATACCAGTCCATTCCGGTTGTCTGGTGGCACCCAGAAGAGAACTTTATTGGAAGATCGTACCCAGCCATCCTGAGATAGTGAGCACTGATTGAATCCAGGAACGGTGATTTTCAGCGGAATATCCTTTGACCCTTCTGCGAGACTGGTCAGATTGCCACCATAAGCAATGATAGGTCGAAAGTAAAACTGACTATTCTCTGTATCCCATAGTGGAATCGTGCTGACTTCCGAGCCAGAGACGATTTGTAGAACATCTGGTGAGAATCCGAGGGACTTCGCCGAACCTTCACGACCTCTAAGTGCCTTTCCCAATGGCTGGTTCGTATCTGCCTCCCATAATCGAACCGTGGTATCTTCCGAGCCAGAGACGATTAGCGAGTTATCCGGCGAGAATCCGACGGCTGTCACCCAACCTACGTGACCTCGAAGTGGTTCTCCCAGTGGCTGGCCAGTACCTGCCTCCCATAGTCGAATTGTCTTGTCGGAAGAACCAGAGACAATTCGTGAGCCATCTGACGAGAATTCTACGGCCGTCACCCAACCTTCATGTCCTCGAAGTGGTTCTCCCAATGTCTGGCCAGTGTCCGCCTCCCATAAACGAATTGTCCTGTCGACCGAGCCAGAGACGATTATTGAGCCATCCGGCGAGAATCCGACAGCTGTTACCCAACCTACGTGACCCCGAAGTGGTTCTCCCAATGGCTGGCCAGTACTTGCCTCCCATAGTCGAATCGTCTTGTCGGAAGAACAAGAGACAATGCGCGAGCCGTCTGGTGAGAACCTAACGGCCGTCACTGAAGCTTTATGACCTCGGAGTGGCTCTCCCAATGGCTGGCCAGTGCTTGTCTCCCATAATCGAATCGTCTTGTCGGAAGAACCAGACACGACTCGTGAGCCGTCTGGAGAGAACCTGACGGTCCTTACCGAACCTTCATGTCCTCGAAGTGGCTCTCCCAATGGCTGGCCAGTAATTGTCTCCCACAGTCGAATTGTCCCGTCGGAAGAGCCAGAGACAACTTTTGAGCCGTCTGGCGAGAATCCAACGGCCCATGTAATTCCTTCATGACCCCGGAGTGGCTCTCCCAATGGCTGGCCGGTTTCTGCCACCCATAGTCGAATAGTTTTATCGGAGGAACTAGACACAATCTGTGAGCCGTCGGGAGAAAATCCGACAGCCGTCACCGAAGCTTCATGACCTTGGAGTGGTTCTCCCAAAGGCTTGCCAGTGTCTGATTCCCAGAGTCGAATTGTGCCATCTGCAGAGCCAGAGAGAATTCGTGAACCATCTGGAGAGAACTCAACGGCCATTACCCAAACTTCATGACCTCCCAGTGGCTCCCCCAATGGCTGCCCAGTGGCTGCCTCCCATAGTCGGATCGTTCTGTCTTTCGAGCCCGAGACAATTCGTGAGCCATCTGGGGAGAATCCGACAGCCGTCACTGAATCCTCATGACCTCGGAGTGGCTTTCCCAGTGGCCGGCCAGAGTTTGCCTCCCACAGTCGAATGGTCCTGTCTTCGGAGCCAGAGATGATTCGTGAACCATCTGGTGAGAATCTAACGGTCCAGACAGTTCCGTTATGGCCTTGAAGTGGCTCGCCGAATGGCTGGCCGGTGTCTGCCTCCCACAGTCGGATCGTCCTATCGGAAGAACCAGACACAATCCGTGATCCGTCTGGAGAGAATCTGACAGCCGTCACTGAAGCTTCATGACCTTGGAGTTGTTCTCCCAGAGGATGGCCAGTGTCTACTTCCCATAGTTGAATCATGCCGTCTTCCGAGCCAGATATGATCTGTGAGCCGTCTGGCGAGAATTCGACGGCTGCCACCGAATCCTTATGACCTCGGAGTGGCTCTCCCAATGGCTGGCCAGTATTTGCCACCCATAGTCGAATAGTTCCGTCTTTTGAGCCCGAGACGATTTGTGAGCCGTCTGGAGAGAATCCGACAGCCGTGACCGAATCTTCATGACCTCGGAGTGGTTCTCCCAATTGCTGGCCAGTTTCTGCCTCCCACAGTTGAATTGTTCCATCGGAAGAGCCAGAGACAATTCTTGAGCCGTCTGGTGAGAATGATGCCGCAATAACACCGCCTCGTGGAACTCGAAGAACTCTGGGAAGCCCGGAATACATTTTCTCCAGGCCCCGAGTCACAGTGAGCGTTCTTGTATACTTCATTCGGCCCTCCACATGCATTATTGACTCCTTAGGAGCAAACGGCAGCGCTGAAATGTATATATGTGGGACGCTATCCTGGATTGGGATGGAAAATGCCATCATAAATCGCCGGATCTCGGTCATTCTGTTTCTTGTCTCCTCTTCAAGCTATTTCTGTGTCAGTATCTGGAGCCCGTTTGAAAATATTACTTACCCTTGCATGGCGTGTAATTGCCTGAAGACCCTCTATCGCTCGTGGCACTCCTATCGTAAAACTTAGGATCTCCATCCAGTATAGTGTATATGATGTTTGGACAATGCATTTAAGTTCCTTCTTGAGTATGCCTCGCCAGCTGTCGTTGGTTTCTGCTACATGGAAAGCCCAATGGGAGCTCGCGTACTGAAGCATTCTTGGAATACACTTTGATATTCTGTCATCGAGATTTGGAATCTGCCTATTGAGGCAAAAAGATGACTCGATTTGACATATGTTAAACTTGAGACCTTCGGCGCGTGAAGTCAGGCGGTTAAGACACCAAGATGCTGCTTGCCCATGCGCGTCCGAGTTTGATAGAGACTCTATTGATAGCTGGGGCCATGGAGCATCGCCGAAGGTATTCGACAAAGGTGGGATGCCGAAATTGGATTAATTTTGTATTTGGGTCCATACTCAATACGCTTCCCAGATTCTGTACCAACGCCTTGACACTTCCACGCACTTTGACATGCGTGAGAATGTCCTGCAGCTCATTGGCAGTGAGCGGGTCGAATGCCGCGAGGAGGAGAGCAACCACTTTACACATAGGTTCTTGAGCCTTTGGGTCTATCCGCTCGAAGATCAGGCTATATACGTCGTCTATATCTCCCGCCTTGTCCACTGAGATTAGGCAATCATAGGTATTCTCGGGGGTGTCCCAGGTAGCTTCGCTGTTCAGCATTCGGCACGCAGTACTCGCCCAGATGAACAGTCCTCTGGCCTTTTCGACCAGCCGCTGCCTTCTGTCAGGAGGTAGAACTCCGTCTAACGATCGATTTATATAGGTGGCGATGTCATCAACGTTATCTGAATGGCTGACATCGTGGAGACGGTCCTCCAATTTCGCCTTGATTGAGAGGGACCCCAAGGTCGATTGAATGACAGGATCCGGTCGACTTGTCATGAATATCTTCAGGATCTTGCACTCTCGAGCAGCTGTGCAAAGTGTTTCGAGAAGCTGTTTCCGCTGCGATCCAGATTTACATTCGTCAACAGCGTCGATGACGAGGATCACACGCTGCTGCCAATGAAGGAGAGGACCAGTGACGAGCATCTGAAACTGCTCTCCAAGAGAGTTTTGCATGAAAGACGGATTGCGCTTGATGGCATCAGCGATATGCTGCGTAAGCTGGGGAATGTAATGTGCAAGGTTTCTTGCAATGGTCGAGCAGAATTTGTCGGTCGTGGATCCCTCGCTACTGGCTATGGAGAAGAAGAATCGGCCGCCTAGCGCTCCTTCCCTCTGCCATGCTTCTAACGCGGAGATTGCGACGGTGGATTTACCAGAGCCAGCGATGTCACAAAGCCAAAATATTGGCTTGTCCGACCGCTCATCCAGGGCCCAGTGCCGGATCATTTCCAGAACGGTCTCCCGCGTTCCTTCCATGCAAGGACTATGAACTGAGGATGCGGCGAAGTCTACAATTGGCAACTGAAGTATTGCAGCGGCGTCGGCTCGAAAATGCTAAGCAAGCATTCCGTACAGGTTTCAAACTTACCTTCCGCCTTGATTTTTTCCATACTGGCTTTGGAAGTCTCTTCCATCGCCTGAATGCGTAACGCGATGAAAAGAGTCAGTGCGCTCTATACTTATGGTCAACATATGAATAAGACTGGTAATGCTCGCACAATCAACTGTCTATGTCGGTCCTCAATATCCCGATTGAATCTACGGATCTCCTCTGCATCAGTCCTCACTTTAGACATTGATTTAAACAGGCCGAATTTCCTGCGGCTACGTTTCTCCTGCAGATTATCTACTGTTTGTTGCATCCCTTTCAGGAGCCTGCATTGTTCAGCCTATGAAATTACATTTAAGCTGCTCACGTACTCGATGTAGTGGGTGAGCGGTCGCTTGATGGCCTCATGGATGGCCCTGTCCTCTGGCGGGTATTTTTCGATTAAGGCGATCTGTTCCTCGAGTGCGATAATGTATTCTTCCAAACGTCGCGTCAGGTCTGTCCATTCCTCCTGATTGCTCTCTATCGTCTGTTTTGTTCGTTATAAGAATCCGCTGTATGTCCCGGCTTCGCCAACCCACCCGCATAATTTCGAGGACCGACTTCGCAGTTTTACAAGCTGCTTTGAGAGGAGCAAGTATATCTGAACCCTCGGTTACATTCGCCACCACATCGAGACCGACATTGACCGTATCATACACTTGATGCTTCTTGCTTGACGAAACCTCAGCGATAGACGAGTATCGAGATGAATTTACACTCCTATACCATTTATTTGTCCTGTCTGACCTTTGGGTAGACATCGTAGTAGCGGACCAGTCCAAGATGTAGTCGGCGTCAACTTGCCAGCCTCACCGAGATGTCAACATAATCACCACATGACAATGTTTGATAAGCCCACTTATTACTCTTTAATCCCGATGTTCTTAGGAGAACGACCCCTCGTAGGCAGGTAATCATCCTCGCTTCGCCGGTTTTCCCTTCTGGGCATGAGGGTTTCCTTCCGCTCTAAACTCCCTCACTTTGTGCTCTTCTAGTTTTGGCTAGGTCCTGGTGCGCGTTGTGACCTCTTTGCGTTGTTCTCCTCGGCTCATACTCTTGTTAGGTCAGGTCGTCCCTGGGGCGGGCCGTGACTGGCTCTGGAAGCCAAGGCCAAGGGAACTCTAGTGCAATAAATTTGGGGCTGTAAACTGGCTCATCTCTCGGCATCCTTGCCTTGGTGGTTTCGATCTGGCTTCGCTTGCGCAAGCAGAGGCGGATTACTGCTGGGAAGCACGGAGATGGTATACCTACAAGTCAGGGATCGTCCTACCGAACACCGATAAATGCGAACCCCACATGGGCTTATTAGAGGTGAATGCCCGCCTTCTGATAATGTTGGCTAGTCACTAACCCTGTACAGTTATGCATAGGAAACGACATATCTATGGCACAGGGAAACAAGAACGCAAACATGGAAATACCCTTTGATGAGACAACCTAGCCACCAAACGCGATGGACACCCTTCCTCTCCCTTTCGCCTGATTCAGACAGACATATCAATCTTTTCGCCATGAATAGTACCAAAAACACGCGCTCGTTCACAAAAATACTCTATGCAGCCGTCTGCCGCGTCCCTAGGCTCAATCCCCGCTTTCGCCTATCGCCGCCTTCCCTCTTGCTATTCGGGTCATATCCCATTCATATTACTCACTTTAGGCCCGCTGAGGTCTCGCATTCATGGGTTCTTCACCTCCCAACTCGTCTGGGTCCTGTTTGGTTTGCCACAAGGCCCTGTCCTTTCTTTGCAGATTCGCTCTTTCCTTTACAATCTCAGATAAAGCTAAGATAAAGTTGCCAGGGCTTCTAGGTGGTTCAACATTGTCTGCTTTTCTTACCGTCCAAACGATCGGCGCTAAATGTTCCCCAAATTATTGTCCCCACTCCATCTCTGATACGTTTCTATGTCTTAATGTCTACTAGTCTCCCTAGAGTATGAAACGTATCAATCCACAGCAAAGGGCTCCCCTTCGTCGAGTGCTGCAGACTTAGCCGGCTATTCCTGTTCAAGCTCAACTCATCCCACTTGACCAGCAAGGCATACCCAATGACAATATCGTTCATCATGTCGATTTCAAATCCGATGAATAGGGCTGGTAGAGAACACCGAAATGGGCGATCAGCCTCATGTGTGCCAGCACGAGGCATCAATCTGACTATAAATGCCGTCAAAATCAGACAGAATTTGTTGAGCAACCTCTCCCACAGGATGCAATTCGTCATTACTATCCTCGCACTCTTGCTCTCGACCACCAGAGCACAAGTTCGGAGGGACGGACTAGTCGTGAATGTCCCAGGATGGGAAGGAATGACATACAATGCGGTTAGGTGGGAGCCCCTATGTGGTTCACTCACGCGTACTTGGTCATCTGGATATAGCTGGAGCGGGTGTATCCCCGCAATGGACAGCTACAGTAACGATACGCAAAAACCTTTCGCCCTTTACGACCTCTCAGGTATCTTGCTTGAAAAGGCAGGCGTCGGGCTTGGAAAGCCCGTCTGCATGTGCTTCTCACTGGGCGTGATAACGACGGGGGAGAAATTGGACATATGTTGGGGGTTTGATCTCCATGGCGCTGTCATCGCCCAGGGTGGGAGTGGCGTTGTATATGGCAGCTGGCGGACCAGCGGCAAGGCTCTTGCTCGTTGTGCGAATGTCAATCTCGCGTCGCTGGAAGCGCAATGGTCTCAAACAGCAGTCATACCTTCATACACGGGAGCGGTCCAAACACTCAATCTGGGCCCTAGTACAGTGACCCAAGTTCAGACGGTCACGATCACTCCCACCAGTGCGTAGCTGCTCTCGACCCATCGTCCAGCTTATGCTTTTGTCAGTTGCAACATTCAACGTTACTTCAACTACCGTGTTTACTGGTTTCAACGGTCAGATTGTCACTCAGCCAGTCACGTATGTGACGACAGCGCCGGTCATTGGCTCCGGAGGGTCAGCTGGAGGATCATCTCAAGGAAATTCTGACGGCTCGAAGAAAATTGGACTTGGAGTTGGATTAGGGCTCGGCATCCCGGCCCTGGTGGCTATCTTTGGGCTTTGGCTGTGGGTAGAGGACCGTAAGCATAGGCGTATTATGTCTGTACAGAACGGGGGTATACCTGGTAGTGGGGGTGCTCCCATAAACCCAGTTAACCCAAATCCAAGGTGGTCTCGAATGTGAATATATACATTTGCCTCCATTTTACTCACTCACCCTGCACAGGTAACATAACAAATATTGTATCTTACGCGATGTCATATTATGAGGGTTTCATTAGATACGTTTGGCTCTATAGAAACTGAGAGGAGCCGGCGAGCAAGCTGTTCACAGAGATCAGACCATGTCACTTGCACAATTAAAGCGTAACTGAGCGTGCCGGTTTGAAAGGGCATACGATAGTATGGAATGTCTGTAGTCGAGAGGAGTATTCACCTGAATATCCGGCCAATCACTATCCTTATCGACAAATGCAAATTCTCCCAGGTACTCTGATTAAAGAATATCATACCAGACGGTGGCTACATAAGGGCACTATCATAGACTTGGTCATGTCTCATCGAAAAAGAAAACGCAAGGTTTTCGTCAATATATGCATTTATTCATACCGTTCTATCTGGGATTCAACACCCGAACATCTCAGAAGTAACAGACCCAGCTTTATATGGAAAATGCTGATCTAACGGTCCATCCCTTCACAAGGATGTGGTCCGCTGGTCGACGTACTGGACAACTGAATAGGCTGTTTGGCACGACCGTCGCCTCGCGCTGTTCACGTTCAAGGGACCGATTTCAGGCTGTATGGGATATAATATAACGTCGAGACCCCGCTCACGACCGATCAGCGTTGTCCGATGGCCATGCAGTCCCAAGCCCTTTTCTTCCTTCTTCTATCGTTCTCTCTCGCGGCGGCAGAGATTGCAAGAGATGGCTTGAATGCAAATATCGGAGGATGGACCGGATTGACCTTCCAGGCGTCTCGGTATGAGCCTCTTTGCGGCTCGCTCGCCAGCACGCGAGCCCCAGCCGATTCGTTCACAAACTGCATCCCGGCCATAGACAGCTACACCAACGATACACAGACAACACTGGCATTCTACGATATCTCTGGTGTGCGACTTTCTGGTACAGGGGTCGGTCTCGGAAAGGATCTCTGCATGTGCTTCTCGCTCAGTACTCTTTCTGATGCAGAAAAGCTGGACATCTGTTGGCACTTTGACGGGAATGGAGTCGTTTCCCGTGATTGGCAGTATCAGCAAGTCATGGGCAGCTGGAGGACAAGCGGCAAGGCACTTCCACACTGCGCCGACGTCAATGTCCCATCTCTTCAGGGAGAATGGTCCCAGACGGCTTTTATGCCGACGTATACTGGGGTGATCCAAACTCTCAATCTTGGCCCGACGACTGTGCATGTGACGGAGGTTGAAACACAGACTATTATCTTGACACCTACTGGTGAGGAGCAAGAAAATGTTGGTCTTTTGCACTACTGACGTCCCTAGTTGCTACATTCAGTGTTTCGTCTATCACCGTCATCACCGGATCTGACGGTCAAGTCACAACCCAGCCAATAACCTACGCGACCGAAGCGGCCGTGATAGCCAACGTCCCAAATGGTGGTGGAGGAAACTCTGATTCGTCGAAGAGCGTTGGGCTTAAACTAGGACTGGGCTTGGGTATACCTGCACTTGCCGCCATCGTCATCTTTTGGATCTGGATAGAGGACCGTAAGCACAAACGAGCAATCAGAGCCCAAGGGAATGGTGGTGTACCCGTCAATCCTAACCCAACTTGGGCTCAAAGATGAATCCTCAGATTCACTACCTCAAAGTAACACAAGGAATGAATAACGACCTAATTTCTTCTGACTTGGACGATATATGAGCCGACCAGCTTGAAAATTCCGTAGCCAGTAGCTGAATAATGACAGTATCTACACCAATGAGAGCTGCGGTAGCCACTTTTCAACTCCGAAGCAACCTGGCGCCAAAAATGAGCGGAAGAAATGGTCAGAGAATGGAAGTATTCACTTAGATGTATGTCCCCTTGATCAGCTTGGAGAGGTCGGACGCCAATGCGTTGTGAATAACTGGACCTGTAATGATCGTTAGAAATTCACAAAATAAAGGACTTTACTGACTAGGGTGATAGTCGTTGCACCACGCATAGGTATTTCCTGAGCCATAAGAGGTGGCGTCTTGAAGACCATAGGCAGAAGGATTGTCAAGCACGGTGTTGAAGGCGGTAGAGGTGTCATAAACCAGTGCAGTTACCTAGAACAGCTTGATCAGTTGGATCCAGATGACGGAGTGAAATACTCACTCCCGAATTTGCAGATGCAAACGCTGCGGCCTTGGCTGCCAATTTGGAGTTGTAGTCTGCGATGACAGCCTTTTCTGTGGCCGTTACAGAAGAGCCTTGGCCGAGCATCTGATTTTATCAGATATACAGAAAAGTCGTACTGAGAGGTCATACCAGAGGGGAACGCTGAATAGGGGGAACGGTAAGGAACAGGAATTTCCTTGCACCAACGCTGTAAAGAGATTGCACGAGCTCTACAGATGATCAGAGACCTTGAATTAATTGAGGCTGAACTACTCACGGAAGTAGCGATTCAAGAGAGTGTCATCGAACGTCGTTGCATCGGATCGCCAGTAGCTGTTACCAATGTCGCTACAAAGGGTCAGATTCGAAGCTATTTTGGAATAGATACTTACTTGATGCCAATCCATACACTGAAAAGTGTATTTGAGGACGACCAGCCAGGATAGTACGCCTTGCCTGGGGCATTGTAGTTAAGAAAGTCGTTTGTTTGGTCCACCAAAGACTTGACGGTGCCTGAGATGGGAGTAAATGATGAGGTATAAATAAACTTCTGGCCTTACTCGTGTAAGGCGTAACAAGATTCGCGTCAATAGTCGCGCCTCCGTACGCATGGTTATACACCTTATAAAGTGTATGAGTACCGGATGTTACCAGCGTGGAAGACGCTTGAGTACCTTGACAACGGTCGAGTTGTAAGTAGTGGCGGCGTAGTCGATCCAATTGGGGACGCTTCCGCAAGCCGTGTAGCCTGAAGAGAGTCAATCGAGGTCATTACATGAGTAATGAAGAGCCCAATACCAGGATAAGTCGGGTTGCCGAACGGGTTAGTGTTCGAAGGCTGAGTTCCGGAATACGAGAATCCGGTTTGGCTAGAGGAATCAGCACATGAAGTATAACTAAGCTTTAATCACTCACGTGTACGAGTCTCCAAAGCTGAACCAGAACTTGCCTGTTGCGGTTCCGCTGACGCTCGGTGCAGATGAAGTGCTAGAGGATGTTCGAGACGTGCTTGAGCTCGTCCTTGTACTGATACTGCTCGAACTACTCGACGTCTTGCTGGTGCTACTGCTCGAGCTACTCGATGCCTTGCTTGTGCTACTGGCGGTCGTCGACGATTGGAGACACTGTGAATACCCTACAAATCGTCAATTGAGCAAAAGGGTGAGCGATTCGACTTGCAAGGGTTTGAATAGACACACGTCCATCCGCTGACGCATGTCGTGGGTCCTGTCCAATTTTGCCCACCGCCTATATGTCGAGATCAATGCTTGTCGACGCCTTGTGAAGAAAAAACAGACACTGTCCCCAAGCACTCTGTTGTGCTAATACGACAGGAACGAGTGACACAGAGATCGATACGAACGCCCAAGATTTCATGGTGATACGCGCGAGGGGAGCGCGACTCCGCATATCCAGGGGTTTAAATAAGCCAGACCAGTATGTAGAAACCGCACGTCTTTCCGACGAATCGGCAAGATTCTGGCAAACGTTCCAAGCCACCTCATTTGCTGATTGCTGACGAATAGGAACGAGAAGAGCATCGAGGCGGATATTTTGAGGACTAAGAGGAACTATGGAGGGGTGAGATGTTTTAAGGGCATGGGAAAGCCAGGTTCCGAATCATGTAGGCGGACCGGGGAGGGTCTACAAAGAGGCTGCCACGGGGATACCACGCTAACTGGTCTCCGCATCCCAGATTGGATCCGAGAGGGCTGTCGAATCATATGTCTTCCCGAAGTGACAACCTGGGAATCCCACCAGACTGGTAAACCTTGGAAAAAGCACAAATGATACGCCGAAGAGGTCGTCATGCGTCACGTGTAGTGGGAGCGGTCCCCAACAATTTCACGAGGCATTCGTACTGAACATCGGGGCTCCCATATGATCGAGATTGGCTCAGAATAGTGCCTATACACGTGGCATCGTTGGGGAATTGCATAACGAACGGCCCGTGTACACAAGATAGAGCGCCCTGGGTGGTCTGTTCGAGCTGTGCTATTGACCCCTTGCTCAGTGAGTCTGTTCAGACTCTAGTTTCCAGATAAAGCAGATATATCAAACTCTTAAAGTTTGCTCATACACCTAAGAGAAAAAGGGAGCAGTGGAAAGCCACTTGGGCTCGAAAGAGCGAGGTGCAGATGCCTCATAGACAGCGCTCGAACCTTGCGAGGCTTTGATGAGGGTTGGTTCCCGGCCTCCTCCGTTACGTATAACCCTCCATACATTCTCCAGCTCTATCCAACCCACAGAGCGGACGGTCATCGCGATATTCATAACCGTTCGTTTTTCCTTGAGCAACGGTTTGTAGCAAGAGGAGTTAAGCTCGAGGTACTCTAGTTTGGGGAGTCTTTTTGCTATCATTTTGAGTTTGGTTCCGTCGTACGGCTGCGGAAGTCGGTCAGATTAGTCTTGAACGTGACAATCGCTCACATTAGGAACACCTCGTAGCTCGAGCTTTGTCAGATCCCGAGGGAGCGATGAGGTTATGGTAAGAAAGGCTTCGTATCCATCGTCCATATCGCTCTGTATAGCTGTCCCAAATCGCTTGAGATTCGGAGCCGCCTTGAGTAGGCCCCTCAGGTTCCTTTGGAGGACCCTCCCGGGTGAGTAAATGTCAAACTCCTCGATTGTCGGATGTGAGGAGAAGAACTGAGCCAAGTGAGCGTACAGGCTCTCCCCTCCGTCGTAATTGACTGGCCTGGTGACAAGTCGCAGAGATCTAAAGTCTCGATATATCGGATTGTGAGAGAGCCAGTCGATGATTGGTCTCGCATCGCTCGTAGTGCCAATATCGACCCGCGCCAGCGAAGGAGCACCTAACAGTCCGGAGAGTTGATCGCTGGTAAAGCCGTACGAAAGGTATCTGATAACTACGTTCTCCAAACACGGAAGGCGAAGATGCTGGCACTCCCAGGGATGTAAACTGTCCAGAATTAGTGTTGTCAGAGTGACAAAAGTGTTCAGCAGAGTGGAGATCTGAGCGTCGTCAAAACGTGCATAGTGCCTAGACGTGCTCCACAGGGTGAAATGGCGGAGATTTGGAAACATGTGGTTTGTGAGGGCTTCTGTACTGGTGAGCGACGGGTCGGGACTGAGAAGGGAAACAGTCCGGCTATACAGATAAGAATCAGTCTATATACGGGTGGTTCTGCTCAGCTTACACTTCAAAGAACTCCAAATTGGTGATATGCTCTGCCAAAGCCGACGGCAAGCACGAAATATCGGATGTTTCGGGTTGCTTCCAACTAAGTGTCGTGACATTTTTCAGGAGAGGTGCACATTCTTCAAGGACTGTGGTGGTGAACCATTAGAGCCGAACCCAATCGCCCGTTTGCTGGCACTCACCATTCGCAAGATAATCATTGCTTTGATTTGGCGAAAGATTGATGATGAGCTTCTTGACACAGTTGGCATGATATGGCTGTTGGTGGAGCAGTGGAGCGATGTGGGGCAGATTTTGGCCCAGGCGAAGGACGTCGAAACGGCGAGGAATTGTCACAATAGCAAAGCGACGATTTACCAACGACAAGTTTCGTATATCACTCCGGCGCAGAGTTGGCAGGAGAGCGATGAGTAGTTCATCTGGGAATGTGTCCATGGCCAAGTGGCGTTTCGACCGATAAACCACCTGAACACCGCGTGGCACGTTTCGCACGTTCTGGCGGTGTGAGCTTCATCCCTTTAGACTCGTGATCTTTATCTATTCCAGCTGGAATTGGCGAGGGGCTCGCGTAAATGTTGAAAGGCAGACACTAGCCCCGTCTCACCACCCCCTCTATATGGCGAAGCTTAACCTAAGAGACGCTGGGTAGAAGCGGTCTAACTGTCGTCGCGATGGTTTCTTCTCGTTGGTCCACGGGGTTGAAAGATAGGAACCTCAAGAATGGAAAGCCGGCGCCAATGTGAAGATCGTACCCACCCTTCTGTAAGGCTGCAAATCAAAGTGATCAACAGCATTGATACGTGGAAGTTTATACGTACTATGAGATATTGAGTTTTGACTGTAGCGAAGCTAGGCCTTGGAGAGTCAGAAAACCAGATTGAGTACCACCGTATGAAGAAAATTCTCGATTGCGCGTTCATCATTAGGGAGGATGACCCAGCAATACTGAATGCCGAGTCAGCGGGTGCACTCCACTCACGATGCAAAGTTCTGGCTTGATTCTTCTGATTTTGGATATTCGAAAGGAAGAAGGCCCGCTGGGGGACCAATCGTTGCGGATGCATCAAGTCGAGGCGTGACAAGAGCCATTCGATTCAGATCAAGGCGCAGGTAGCCAGGTCGACTTTTGTACGAGAATAGGGTGAGAGAAGGTTAGCAGAAGCGAACCATGGCCTCTGAACCAGAGAATCCTGTCCATAATCTCCTTCAAATGCGGCAGTCGCGTGCTCCCATATTCCAAATGCGTTAGAGTATCCAAAATGATTGTCGCAATTCCCGTAGATCCGTCAAATGCTCGATAAAGTGCGGATGATTGTCTCTATGCCAAATGGAAAATGGCGGGCATTTGGAAGGTTTTTATGGGCAAACCGATCAAAGAGCTCTTGGCCTGCTTTTTCGTCAGTATGAACAAATCCAATGGAATCAATCTTACTGTAAATACATTCATCACATATCGACCATCTCTATGCGGGTGTGTTGAGCCCTAAAAGTACAACGCAGAGTCAACGCGACGCGGATGGCCAGCTCTCGAGAACAAACGTGCCTCTCAACCCTTTCCAGCAATTCAAAGCGTGCAGAGCTATGAAGTAGAAGTCTGTGACTACCACTGCGCGAACGACGGCACGACACTGATGATGGCATCTTGCTCTTCTTGAGGACATGTGTCAAGAGTGTTTCAATTCATCCTGCATGCCGCAGCAGTTGTTCAAAGGCCGACTTGGTCCCGCATGGTCGGCCATCTAAGCACAACGCTCAATCTCTTCGGGTTTGTGCAAGAATTGCAAAGCGACGATTAATAAGAGAAACTTTGAACACCAAAGTCGTAAATAAACGGTAGCATTGCAATCCAGAGTTCGTCAGGTAATGTGGTCATGGTCCAATGAATCGAAAATCAACAAACATCCGTTAAGCCCCCATCACAAGGTGATACATGTCTAGTAAAAAGAAAGCGTCATGAAGATCGGTTGGAAAGAGAATAATATGCCACTGCAATAGGGGCAAATGCGAGGAACGGTCCGACGAGCTCCCAAATGCTCCGAAGTTTGACGGGGAGAACAACCTCTTTGATATTATCACCGGTTGCGATCGGACCTTTACCTCCCCGCTTCAGCCATGAATCGATCATTTGGTCCTTTTCCCTCCAGCGCTCACGTAGCCATGTATCAAAAACCACCTTGTCCTCCTCTCCAATCTCCAGCATAGTTGGATCCTTGGACATTGAGTGCGCAAGATGCTTCCGCTGCTCCATTGTCAGTCCAGTATTTGTGTCAGTTCCATTGGCCCGAATAGGAACCTCCTTTTGTACGTTGTACAGTCGAATATGATATACCACCTCTGGAGGTGAAACACCGTCTATAAAGATGGACCGGAGGGTGTAGTAATCTTGACCAAACTTGGTTACGGGTATTCCGGGATAAAGCATGGTTACATCCATCAAATAGAGTGAAGGGAGCTGAGAGAGAGCGAGAAGTGTTGTATGAAGGCCCGTCGATCGTGGTAGAAGTAGATGTTCTGGATGAGGCTGCCGAGTGTGATTGGTAACTTGAGAATCTGATGAGAAATCACTAACCAAGTTCATCTTTTCTGCATACTTTGTCGACTTTGGATATGTATCCCTACTAACGAGTGTACCCTCTGGAAAGAGCAAGAAGTTTAGAGGTTCGTCGTCCTCGGGGCGGTCAGCAGTTGTCGTCTACATACCCTATTAGCAACGAATATGCAACTCGAAAAGGTCCTTACCACATGATGAGCAGCCAGCCTCGACAAATGTGAGGTCAACGTCTTCATCGTTGAAGGTCCAGCTCTCACGAAGATAAAGTCGAAAAATTGCATTCCCTGGTAGATTAGTACTTCCATAGTAGATGATACCAATCACTCACCCATCCTAGTACTGGTAACCATTTGAGCGACCTCTTGAGGACAATGAGGATGTATGCATGGGTATTGGCCATGTAGCTGAGGACCCAGAGATACCACCAATCTGCGTAGATTTGGTGATCTACGAAGACTCAGTGATGGGTTTGCTGTCAGATCGAAGTACTCACTTGAAATGACTACCAGCTTCTTCGGAAGCTTTAACACTATGCGGACACGTGTGATTCAGTACTAATCACGCGCATTGGAAAAATCACAGACTCAGACTACCCGACTTCGGGTCGACTTCTAACCATTCTTCCGAGTACGAGCCAGAGATCTCGTAGGTGACGCGGAACTTGGTTGGTGCAAAAGCCTGGCACATGAACACTGAGAGATTGAACGTGATCAGTTCGGACATTAGATACAGACATAGATGCGCTCACCAAGAACAATGCCGAAGGCTGCCTTTGTATAACGTATGCCCATATGATACAAAGGACGTGTTGGTGGTAAAAGTGCGAGAGGAAGAAAAAGAAACTGGAGACCATTGATTTGAAGAAACGAAACCAAGAGTGCAACATAACACGTTGCGGCCCGAAGTCGCGCGAGCAGGCCGCGTTGTTGCACCCGTTGGGCGATCGGAGTCGCAAAGTCGTTAGACAGTGTGTCTGAGATTGTAGAGCTGCTCATTTCGTGCGAGATTGAGCAACTCCGAGGTCGCAATAGCCCAGGCGCTGACCGAACCAAATCTGGCCAGCGTCAAGATCAAAAGTAGGAGTCGGGTGGCAATACGCCTTTGGACCTACCTGCTCCATATGTCGCCATGGCCGAATGCGGACACCACCATTTGCTACATTTCCTGGGCGAGACAGACACTTCACACTCAATTTGTCAATGCAGGACGTATTGGGCACCCTGAAGGAAAAGACCAGGGAGGCCGGAATTCCGCGTCTTTCACGCAGATATACCTATTCAAAGAGGAAAAATTGATGTGATGACCATCAAGTCGGCAGTCGAGGGTGGCGCCAAAGCCCCTGGATTTTGTAGGATCCATAGACTGGCATTTTGGCAAATCTCCACCACTGTGTTTTCAATTCATTACCAGGGCGCCGTATCATGATCCTGGAGTTCGACTGGGCTGTAAAGCTGGTGAGGCCCTATACCCTCCTAATCTCAATTCAGCTACTTGCGACTGATAGACGCAATAGAAAGAATCTATATTCAACAAGCACAGGACATTGTGATGGAGTACGTGTTTCTAATTGTAGTCGCCATTATTAGTAACAACTGTTCGGCATCACAGCTGATACGATGAAGTAACAAAATATACACATTTCTAGTGCCCATTGCGTGTCGTGAGGATCAGTTTCCCTCCCTCCCACTCGACTTTCATAGAGTTGAACAAGTCAGAGTCCCCGAGGGACGACTCTATGACATCTCGGCCACCAATAACCTCAATCAAAAGAGTAGAAATTCGAGCTTCAGAGTCCTTTGGCAACAAGAGAGGTGAAAAGCACCGCTCTTGGATGAATGGAAGGAGCGTGTGCTTTTCGCCATGGAAGTCGGTGATTCCCAGGGTTTCCAGCATAGGGAAGGGAACCTTCGGCAGGCCATACGACGTCCAATTATAAAGAAGTGAGGACGCGTTCGACGAGACGACCAGATGGGTGATTTTGGGAAGATGCTCCACAAGCTGAAGCGGTTGTCCCCATATTGACCCTCTCAAGTTCTGGTAAACGAGCAAGAAGCTGGGATAAAGACTGCGTCGTCGGCCCACCCTGGAACGTCGAGGTTCTCCAGTGCCTGACAGTGCAAATAGTCGAGCCAGCGGCGATCTCCGGAGCATTTGTTATCCGGTTCCAGCGTTTGGAGCTTCGAGTGGCCTGGTGTCTTCCCTGTCTGCCAGGTGATTACAGATTGGTTACAGCAGAGGATGGTCATCTCTGTAAACGCCTCAAGAAATCGATCAGAGGGACACCGTCTATGTAAGAGAGATGAATCTCCGTGACCGATCGTGCATGATGGATAGGCCGGCCTCAATCCAACGCTGTCGCGAATTCACATTTCAGCACTTTGGTTTCGAAGTGACGCAGTAGCATCCTCAAGTTTAATAGAAAGCGGGAAGAGTAGGATGAGATTTGCAGCATGTGGCAGCGACAGACCATGTGCTTGTACTGCCGATCCAAAAGTCTTTCGAGATTCCGCTCATGAATGATTTTGATCTCGATGGAATGGATGGATTTGAGTTTTTGCAAGTCGTAGCTTCTTATATCATCAAAGGCATCACAGATCATAGCGTCCTTTGCGAGTTCTCTTTCTGAGAGGCTCTTTGCATAAGCCCTGTGAGATTCAAACAACTTGCTGCGAATGTGGGTGTCGCTGATATAGATGTGTACTGGAGTATTCTGTGTGTAGATGGAGATGGTTTCCCAGAAACCTTTGTGAAGTGCCGCCGACTGGATAATCCCCGGATACAGATTAATGTGACCCCAGAATGAGGGTGAGTGGGCGACCAATCCTCGTCAAAGCCGACAGACTTGGGTGAGTTTGAACGCAAAGTACGAGCTGGTATCGATCTCCCACCCATTTGCTTGACACATAGTGCGGGATTCACGGTTTACAATGAGTAGTATCTATTGCAGCAACTCGCTGGAAAATCTGTTGACGAAGCACCGGGGCGTGGAGATTCGACGGCGGGCCTGGTGTACGAGCCGAGCACGCAGAGCGGAGTCATGGCCCTTGAGGAGATCTACGAGTGCTACCAAAGACTCCAGAAAGGCCGTGTCCTGCCCCTTGAGGTTATACAGCGTTTGATACTTGTCCGTTTGATCTTCGTCCGTTTCATTATCCGCCTTGGGAGTGGCAAAACTGGCTCTTTAGCGCTTCCAAGGCGCGCATATTGGCATTAACCATCTTGCAGAGAGCCTTCCGTTGATGATCATAATCGATCCGAGATGCCATCACGGATGTAGGTGTGTTTCCTCGCGTGAGGTCGGACCAAGATTTAGCTCAACTTGCTACCGACCAGATATACAGAATAGTTTCATCAGAATTATACTTTCCGAAGACCCAGTGTGCAGAAATGCAGGTGATATTGGCTAGAGTCGAGCACAAGCTCAAACTACGTGGTCATACATTGTCGAAAGCTTTGGATCGAAACAAAGACTATGCAGGCAAATAGAGGATTTAAATCTACGAACGGGTCAAGGGTCGTATGGTGCATGGTGTTTCGTCTGTAAGACTTCATCCTGCCCCAATTTCCTCGATAGATATGATAAACAGTGTCGTCCGGATGATCATGTAAACAGATGCGCGTCCTCGAGAGCTTTTACGATTTGTCGAATCTCCGGCGCTCCCGTACCCCGACCAACGGCGGCAGCGGCCTCAATGAGCGCGGTGGCCTGGTCCCAGATCGATTCGAAGGACGTGTCTCTACGCCTCGATTCATGCACTGCTTGCGAAGCAGATGCCGATTCTGACCACAGAATGACATCCTCATCCTTTCGGAGTGCCCATTGACGAAATGTGTCCCCATCCTTTGATCCAAAGAAGAGAGTGCCGTTTGGTGTCCCAAAGTCCGCATGGAATACGTCGATATCATCGGGGAGGATTGTGCCAAACACTGCAACCTCGATGACGGGGAGGTTGGCGAAGCCATTCGTTTGATCAAACAATGCATCTCCTGCATTGGGAGGGGCACTGCCGTCGGTAGCCGTGAGAATATAGCGAGCCGCTTCAGCCGCGAGTGATGGACTGGAGAACGATTGGAGGTATGAGAGAGCAACATGGTTAAGATGCGTCATCGTCCCATAGTTTCGTGGGTCCGCTTCCGTCGTGGACAGAGTACGTTGAGTAGCAACTCCTTCGTCGCGTGAGCCAGCAAGTCCAACGAGTTGTTCACCCGTGTGAAGCACAACCCTTGGAGCAGCGGAAGCAATCAGCTGCGCTGCTGGTATACGCATGCTATTGCGGTTGTCCGAAAAGGGCCGACGCAGGCGCAACGGATCGAGTACACCGTAGACAGGCCTGTTGGGAAAGCATTCGGCCTGCAAATCCGTTGGAGCACTTCCCAGGGGTTCAAGACCATAGGCATTTTGCTCAACGATGTTGGTGTTGTTCCTTCCTGCCGATTGGACGCTAGTAAGGCATGCAACTGGAGCAGGGAGCGAGATGCCCTGATTATCGGTGGTAGAATTGAGGAAATTGACAATGGCACTCGAAAATGTATTGAACGGTAATAGAACCGGCGAGTTGGCAAGAGCAGTGGTGAACTTGCCTAGGTCTGATTCCGGTAGTTGCAATACCGCCGCCCAATAGCGAGCAAGTGCCGTTGACCGTTGAACCGAGGAGGCTAAACAGCGTTGGTCACAAGAAATTTTGGGCCAATCAATAAAGCTTACCTGAAGAGAACGAGTACATCCGATCCAGAGCACGATCTGCAACGAAGCCAACTCGTCCTGCCTGTGTCTGATTCACGCCCGAATCCTCTTTCCATTCGACAGCACCAGGCAGGAACGACATGGATGCAAAATCAAACATAAAGCCCGACGACTCGAAGACAATGCGTAGAGAATCTCCTGTCACTGGCCCGTCATTTCCTGGCAACTTGCTAAAGTCGGCTTGGGAGACGGATTTGCGAAGCCGGGCAGTCGAATCGAGATCGACAGTTTGGAGCAAGTTGTAAAGGATGGCCGCACGAGCCCATTCTGTGCGGTTCGGCGACGTCGTTTGGTTCAACGCAGGGGCAACGTCCACCAGAACGGCCTGGGATGCACAGCTTGAGGCTGGCTGGCCTTGAAGATCCCAAAGCGTCAAGGCTAGGTTATCTTCGGTGGCATTGATGTTGAAAAGCTGGTTCACGGAAGGCAAGAGATCGAGCAAGCCCTGTGCTACTGGACTACATCGCCCCGCAACCTTGGACGTGCAGACACAAGTGGCATCTGGATAATCATGAGCGAGAAGGATGCAAATTGGAGCACGCTTACTGATTTGACACGATGCACCGGTCATGGCTCCATCCTCACAGATGGGCGCGTTGTCTGATTTCGGTTGTGGTCTACCAAAGATGACGCCCGCTGCAATACCCACTGCACAGACACAGAGGAATAGGAACGCAATCACGAGTCGCCGTCGTTTGGTCGCCACAAAGCTGGATGGCCGTGACTTGCGAGGAAGATTGGCTTCTAGCTTCGAATCCGGTATCTGAGCAAACCCGGCGCTTCGAGCCCTCCTATGATTCGCTCGAGCCCTATCTGAGAGCGAGCTTAGCACAGAATGAATCGAGCGCCTCTGTGCATCTTGTTGGATAACTGGCCCATGAACTTGGGCAGTTGTCGGCGACGTAACAGGGCTCTTGTACGGCAGGTCGCCCGCTGCTAGATACTGATCCATGACGGCTGCTCGGACAGCTGGGTCGGGGGCAGACATATTTTCATCTGGATTCGGATACTTCTTCTCTTTGCTATCGTTTGGAAGCGTAGTTGGGAGAGGTGGCAGTGGCTTTCTGCGGAAGAAACTCATTGCCTTGGCCGCCCTTGAGGACGCACGCGTCAACGAAGACATGACTGAGGACCTATTAGACCGTCGCTTTGACGGCGAGCGCGACCGAGGGGACTCTGACGAGTCGCTTGCGAAATTGGGTTGCAAGGAGCGGAAAGAGGTGGGGACGACAGACGTAGGGAACTGATTCTGAAAGGGAGTGGATTGATTGAGGGGCACTGCTGAATGAGGAATGTCGTTGGTCGGGTATCGCTGGAGGCTCAATTGGCTTCCAACGTCGTCAAATGATCCTGAGCGCACGCTCTCAGGGAAAACAGCCATATCCTTGATCGGTGGAGGGGGATGAAGTGGCGAGATTGCAGAGAGATAATCGTTACGAATGTCAACCGTCCGTAGCTTGAGTGGTGCAACGGAGTCAGGATTGGATTGACCTAGCGTGGCGGAGTCCTCGGTCAATGCAGCTGATGGCAGTGGTGATGGTACGAGATAGGGGATTGCAGTATCTTGGCTTGCATGACCGATCGATGGACCTCGAGTCAAAAGGGCTTTGGCCCGCGCAGAGAGACTTGCAGTCCGTGCTACGCCTACGACGGCACCATCCACACTGCTCCGGTCGCTATCGGTTGTAATCGTCGCCGCGCTCACAACCGACTCTCTTGGAGCAGGAACCATCCCGCGAACGAGGTCCGAGAGACGACGGTCGTACGACGGTGCTTCGACTTGAATCGTTAGAAAAATGCATGGAATAAGTATTCACAACTTACCAGAAAGCTTGCTACTTCGTTGCTCAACTGAAAGAGCCTCTTGGTGGGACACTGCCGATTCCTTGGCACCCGAGGGATAGGTAAACTCGACAGGAGGATCAACCGGTGAAACCATCTCCGTGGGTCCTGCATGCCCAGAAGACGATGGTTGATTGCTCATGTCGACCACACGGATTGGGAGCGGAGGCGCAACCGGAGATAATGGCTTCAGCGGTGAGTCCTCATGCCGCCGTCTCGAGTTGGCAGAACCTCGTCTACTGAGCGATTTGAGAGTGACACCAGTGACCCAAGGGGATCGTGGAGGACCAGGTGTGACTGGTGATGAAGCTTCTCCAGACGACATTTGATCACTCGGTGGTCGAGGAAAGTCCATTCGTCCAATCGCAGAGTACACATCCGAGCTACTCTCGCCACTCATGGGACTCAGGAAGCTTCCAGAGGGTTGGGTAGGTGCTACTAGACTATTGTCAGTGCGACCTGTAGTGCTGGTCCCGACGGCGGCCTTTGTCGACAGTGAAGAAGGCTCTGGTGACACTGGTATATGAGGTTGAATTGCTGGATCCGACGAGTTCCAGTCAGGCTTGACCACCGTAAGGACCTGATCCCAGGCCGGAGAAGGCTGCGGAGAGTTTTGACCAAACGTCTCTGCGAGGCTATGTCTGGTCGATGACCCTTGAGAAGCAACTGTAAGGTGCGAGTTGTATGACCCCCGATTCGATGGTGTCAACGCTGGTGATGGCGGCACATGTAGAGAGGCAGTGGCGGTTGCACCGTCGTCAAAGTTTGTCGTCTGAGCTTCATCCTCGATTCTGATGCCGAATGGTGATACGGAATGGTGATCCGAGGTTGCAAAGGGGTACCGATAGGATACATTCCCAGCGACTGGTGTCAAGGGGCGACTGGTTGACGGTTCGGACACTTCGTATAGAGGCGAGGCGGGCGGGTTTAGTCTAGTTGTTTTCCTCAGAAAGGCTGCATACGCCGGGCTCGTGAACCCCCGTGCGGTCGGCGAAGGTTCAGCAGAGCTGGTTTCTGAGAGCGGAGGACGGGGAAATTGGGTGATGTCTAGAGGAAAATGTGGATCCGAGCTGTCAATGGTCGTAGTCGAGTACTGGGAAGAGGTACGGTGCAAATTCGCACCGGTTGCCCCTGACGCGGCGACATCAGCGGAAACAGGAAGCATAGGCCGGTCGCTGGATTGGGTGGACAGCCGCCTATCAACAGGGGTTGAAGGTAGGTAGGAAGCGACGATGCTTGATGGAGAAGTGCCGAAATTCATGGTGGATGAAGTCACTGGTGGCGAGGCAAAGCCCCGAACTGAACTCGGGAATTCAGCAGAAGGTAATGCGGGTGTGATGGCCTCTTGAAAGGGTACTGCAGACGGGAGGTCAAGCATCCCGTCATGGACGGGTCCGGCAGTGGCATATTGGGCCCCGTCGAGGCTCGAGTCGCGTACAGAGAACAAGCTGGGTGAAATAACAATTTGATGCCCGCTGTTATTCGACAGAATGACATTGGCGCCTTCTTCGTCACTGGGTGCTGTCGAAACCACCCGGGGCTGAAGCGACAGTGGCGGATTCAACCATTTCTTAGACATGAACTAACCATTAAAGAGAGAGAATCGTCAGCAAGGCTGTTGTACGTCTTCCGTGGCCTACTCACGATTATAGGAAAGATTTACTGATCAACAGACATGTATTGCGACCGCAGGCGGATATCTTCGCAGAAGTTGATGAAAGATGATAGGAAACTTGGTTGGATTGTCGAATTAGTCGATAATAGTCACCCGTTGGTTGTGGAGCAGAGAGTTGTCGCGGAAGCCTTGCCACTCGATGCTGGAATATCTTCACTTTGGGTGAGAGAGACACAAGTTGGAGAAGAAGAGTACAAGGAATCCAAAGAAAATGAGTGATATGACCGTCTGGAGGACGAAGGGAGGAACAAGGTGCACAAAGCCGTATACGGTTCTTGTCCCTCGCGACGGCTTCGGAGGCCTCTGCATGGACCCACATTGAACGTCTTAGCCGATATATTCGCATGACACTTGACATCTACCCAAACATGGAACACTAGTCATCATGATGGACTCATCGCTTCTCAGGTGGTTATACACTTGGTCCCGGCGTCCACTGCCGCTGTTCCACAATCTCAGAAATAACACTTGGTTGATGTAAACTCGACCAAAGGAGTACTTTTGGACCTGATTTTATTCATACCGCTGCATGCTCCTTCGCAGCTTGCCGTTCACCACACGAAAACTCCAAATCAGCACGTTTAGAGTATCTACAGCAAGAAAGGGACGCGTTAATGTCCATATTCATGCCACCCAATCCGTGTTGCAGTCCCTCACGGCGGAAACAAGAGTGAACAATCTAGACCACGGTACAAAGTTTTCCGCATCTTTCATCCCTTTGCTCATTCCTCTCAGGTGATAATGGAAACCGCGTAAATCAAGATGTACAAGAGTTTCTTAAGTTGGTACAACGCCGACTGTCCAAGAAAAAGCCTCCACCCTCTTCGACTGTCCAGACCAAGATCGACATCCGAACATTACAACACCTGTGTCAAGCAGCCATCGATAACCAGCTTGCGTGGCTGGTTGTGCATCTTTTTCGCACCGCAAAGTACCAGGGAGTACAACTAGCACCCTTGTACTCTTCGATTCTCCCCGCGTTGATTGACGCCCGTGAATGGAATGGTCTCAGGGATCTACTCAAATTTCTTCGTCCTCGAGTAGATTGTTCGAGCAGACTAGTCAACGCCCAACTCCGTCTGGATCTCCACAACGAAGACTACAGCAAACTGACACTGCAGAGTGTCGAGGCGGACTACCCAAAGTACACCAAGTTTAACCGAGAAACTTACAACCTCCTCATTGAAGCGAGGATTGCCAACCGCGATATGGAAGGACTCCGTCAGATCCTAATCCAGATGCAAGCTAGAGGTGTCGAGATTGGAGAGGACACGCACCGTGCTATACTATCACGCATGGCGGCAGTCGGACCCAACGAGGAGCTGGAGAATAAGATTGTCTCATACCTATATGGCATCAACCCCTCTATCGACACGGTCATTCTCAATCACCTCATTCGTCTTCGAAGTATCGCACGGGACGATGCAGTCATCGAGCGATATTTGGCCATGCTTCAGAGGGATGGAGAGTCGGAAACCGCATTTGGCCCTTTGACGCCTGCCGTACCAGACATGACTACTTTGGCGCTGTTGGTGGAGCATTTCGGCAGGCGCAAGAATCTGGATGGTGCACAGCGTGTGATTGACACGGTCGATCATCTGGGTCTCAAGCCGACCCACGAGCTCCTCGCTCACCTAATCTACGTGTATCACCGTGTAGATCGACTTCAGGACGCGTTGACACTCATGTCACGACTCCTCTATCACCTCCAACCACCGCTTCAGCGGAGGCTGCGGGTCCTGCTTCAAGATTTAGGATGGGAGCAATCTGATGCCACTACGCCGATTCCACTGCGTCCAAATGTCTACATCTTCAACGCACTCCTTTCTTTCGTTCTCCAAAAGAGGGGTATAGCGGCGATTCAGCCCATTCTCACCATCATGAAGTACAATCACGTACTACCAGATGATGACACTGTCAGGATTGTCATGCTTCACCTCTCACGGACGGAGAAAGTGGGCTTTGACACGCTTGTTCAGTTCCTCCATCGATGTCTCATTAATCGTGGATTCAAGCCGCAGATTCGGCATGTAAACATTGTGTTTCATGCACTATTGCGCGAGTATCGTGATCGTGTCAAAGGTCACGGGGGATGGAGAGCAGCTGCGGCGCGACTCACAATATCCGATACGCGCGATATTTCTGCCGCTTCAGAGAAGCCGAAGACAATGTTCCGGGCACTCGGGACCTCACAGAATGCATTTGACCTCTCTCATGGTGGTCTACGCGCGATCCTGATCTCTGTCAAGGAGTCCGGAGCTCGACAGGACCACGCGACATACTCGCTCCGTATGTTCTACCATGCGAGAGTAGAAAAGGACGTTGAGAGTGTCGAAAGGCTTTATGAGAACATGGTTCAGCTCGAACTCTGTCCCAACGCGTACCACGTTGCCGCCCTTGTTGATGTGCACCTCCTCAATGGAAACATTGATCTTGCGCTCCAACGGATTGCTCGAGCGCAAAAGGATGGTGTAAAACTGCACCCTGCGCTGTACACCATGGTCATCTGTGCCTTTGGCGATGCGGGTCAACCTGACAAGGGATTGGAGGTCTACAAACAGATGATGGCCAACAACGTACGTCCAGATATTGCGAGTCTGGATGCAGTTGTCCGGGGCTACTTCCTCGTTAAACACTATGCCGACGCATCCACGGTGCTTCAAGATCTGTGGTCGACCGTATTACCTGAAGAGACTCAACCCGCTCCGAGGACACCTCTGCGGACATTAATGGATATTCTACGAAGAGAGGAGAGACTGCGGTACCCGTCAGCGCCAAAACTGGGACACAGGCTTCCAGAGACAATCCGTGGCATTCAAACCAATCTGCGACGGATGGCAAAGCGCGACCCAGAGGAAGCTGGCCCTCCAGCGGTCAACTATTTTCTCTCAAAAGTGGAGTATTTGGCAAATGGGGAGTCAGATTCAGTGCAGACAGAGGGGAATCCAGACAGTAAGCTAGAATAAGGATATTTACAGTCGTAACGGACCGAGTCCGGTGTAATTACTTTCCTAGTTGAGAATCCTATCACGTGCATCCAAACTGGCGATCCAAAAGTGCAATTGCATCGCGCACCCCTTCGCGTGGAACGGCCACAATCCGTTGATGACCCTGGAGGATATTTCGTGGGACGAGAGTTCGACCCAATAAAGGTCTGCTGGTTTCCTCTTCCTCGTAATCTATTTGCACACGCGATGTCGCGGCGTTGTTCGGTTTGTCTGCTTCCTCGAGGATAGTGTCTCGAAGGCGAGGTCTTGCTGGGAAATCTTCTGGCTCGGGGGTAGGCTCTCCAGGAGCGAGAGTACAACGGCTCCGACGTGCTACAACGTCTGCGAGCAGGTTAAGGTTGGCGAGATGTGATGGCCCCATATTCGGATTGACAAGATGGGCATTCGGATGCGCCTCTAGTGTCTTCCACACGACGTCGCATGGTACGGTGTTTGCCACGTCTGATGGCATGTCAGTATCGACTTCCATTGCGGCGGACGGTGAACCAAGGTCAATATCCTTCATCTTGCCGTTGATCCCATCAGGCATCGAACATGCCCCGCCGCTGCATTTACCAGGTCTACCGCAGCACTGAGTGAGGAGTGGATTCAGGGTGAGCGGTGTGTTTGTGCCACTGGCGTGTCCGCTCACGTCGGCAGAGGTCGAAGTCCCTCGTGAGCGACAGACAGTACAAGATGCAGAGCCGCAGGCAGAGGTACCTAAAGCAGAGCAGAATGCTTTTCCGAATGCGTTGTCCGCACATGCCGTGCAGTCGGAAGGGTCTCCGGTGCACCCTCCTGGTCTCCTTTCAGACTTGGGGTGCGACGTGGATGCAGTCAGCTTGGAGTCGGATACAGGGAAAGACGGTCCCTTGACACGATGTCGAAGTGGGACAGGTGGCTGGTAGGGAGGAAGATCGTCGAGGATGGAAAGGGTTTCTGCGGTTCCGCTCTCGACAGTCGGGATTTGTGATCCCGTGTTGATTCCCAGCTGGCGACAAAGACAATCGATGGAGCTGGTGCACATGCCACACGACTGGAATTCTTTTCCTTGACCTCCAATGTTATCCTCTGCGGGATTGTATCCTCTAGGTACCACCATGTCAACGTCATCTTCATCAAATATAGGTACTGAAGGTGACGAGATGTGGTTGCTTGACGTTGAAGATGCAGCCGAAGTGGTGTCCAGGGAGAGTGGGTGCGCCTGTGGTGAGTGTTCCACCTTGAGGCGTTTGACTCGATTTCTCAAAGGTGGTGATACTGCAGCGCGATTTCGTTTGGATGTTCGACGAGTGGACGCAGGGCGATGTTCAGCCGCGGCATCGGCTCTGACAAAGGCCTCGACCCGACTCTTGAGCTCGTCGTTTTCAGCCCTTAGTCGTGCATTCTCCTCTCTCAGCATATCATTTTCCTCTTTGAGACGCTTGCCGAGTTGTTGGAGTGCTACATTGCGTTCGACCTCTCCCTGCTCATACTGCTGCAGGCGGGCTTGGAGGTCTGAGAGTTGAGTTTGCCTTCGCTCTCTGAATGCCCTTTGTGCTGCTCTTTGAAGGCGTAAGACGTTTGTCACCTTTTGTGCAATTCGACCCACATACCTGTTCTGTGTCTTTTTGCCCTTTTCAGAAACGTCCTGAAGCCCACGTCAGCCAGAATAGAGATACTAAACATTAAAGGGCACATCTTGATCGTATTCAGCGTCGTCTACGGGCACTTTTGGCTTCCTTCCTGGCCTGGCCCTAGCTGGAATAACCCAGTCCCGCTTTGCTGACGCGCGGGGACCGTGAGCTGAGAGTAGCACATAAATTCAAATATTGCCTACCAGTCGCGTATAGTTTTGTAGAACTCGACGGCTGCGGCAGCGAAACAGCGGACATGAACGGCTCCAAGTCTAGTGGCCTGATCCTTATCTGATAATGACCAAGGTTCAGCTTCGACTGATCTTGGCGCCTGCTCTCCAAATTTGATTATAAAATACAAATAGGATTGATTCGACTGGGTGAATATTTTGAAAGTCTCTCATGACGCTCAGGAAGCGCTGGACGATTTAAAATGAGATTATTTTGTTCGATTTCGGATGTTATCTGTCTGATTATGGCAAGTAGCACCCTAGCTGTACGGGATCAGGCCACTGGCTGCGAACACAAGGGTTACATCGGGGCAGAAGCTCTCAGCGGCAATGATTCATCGACGAATAATTCCGGAAAGTGTTCTAAAGACTCCTGAAGCCCGATCTCCGTTCACTTTGACTGCCGCGAGCCGGCGCAAATAGCGATGGGCAGTTTGACGCGCAAAATACGAGTAGAGAAGGTACTTGCAGTACTGTAAATGCATCTCTAGCAGCTCATAGGCCGTGCAGAACCCGCCAGACGCCGGATTGTGGGAGAGGACCGTGAGGGGAACTTGGACCCGACGCTCACCCTAAACAGTGCTCAGGAGCTCTGATAGTGTGCTTGTAACCACGCCAGTGATATTTTCGAATCGTCTACTGCACAAATCTCCTCATCTAGCTATTTCCTTTGGTCTCGCTCATGGCTCAGAACATTAAGTGTACGTTTCTGGTCTCTGCTGCTCTCTATTCGCTCACTGGGGGCGTATTTATACTCTTTGCTAACTCTTTGTCCCATCTAGGCGTCGTCGTCGGGGATGGTGCCGTCGGAAAGGTCAGCGGTGTTCCATAGGGCGTCATGCGTCTCTGGCCGTATACAAAATGCTCACCGTTGTGTGCCATCAAGACGTGTCTGCTGATTTCGTACACTACGAATGCTTTTCCCGTGAGTCGTCCGTCGCCATGGGTCCGTTCCGAGCGCGAGTACTAACCCACGCTTTTGTGCGCAGGGAGAATACATCCCAACTGGTAATGAACCTCTGACCTGTCAGTAGCTAGATTGGTACTGACATGTGTTCCGCCTAAAAGTTTTCGATAATTATACGGGTACGTGAATCGCGCTTCCCCGGTTCCTTCACACACCCCTTCGAGACTCGCGTCGGGGCCATGATGAATTCCGTGCTAGCAACCGACACAAAACTGATGACCCTACCCTGTAGCTCAAGTCATGGTCGACGGCAAGACTATCAGTCTCGGACTGTGGGATACAGCCGGTCAAGAGGATTATGACCGACTCCGTCCGCTCTCGTATCCGCAAACGGATGTCTTCCTGGTCTGCTTCTCTCTCGTCAGTCCCCCCAGCTTTGAGAATGTGAGGAGCAAGGTACGCGTTCATTCCATCTCGTATACAGTCTGGCGGACTCACCTGCCCCCCTTTCTTCCCGCAGTGGTACCCCGAAATTAACCACCACGCCCCCGGAGTCCCCAAGCTGTTGGTTGGCACCAAGCTCGACTTGCGTGAAGACCCGGCGTCTATTGAGAAGTTGCGAGAGCGGTAGGCGGCGCCTTTGCCCACTCTCTTGGTGTCAATGGCTGATAATCCGGTCAGACGAATGGCTCCCGTGACCTACCAGCAGGGCGTCAGTATGCACAAAGAAATTGGCGCAACCAAGTTCCTGGAGTGTTCGGCGTTGACCCAGAAGGGGTTGAAGAATGTGTTTGATGAGGCGATCCGCGCCGTCTGTAAGTGTGATGGAGAGCGCCTGTGTACCTCTGTCTCATCTCGTTGCCAGTGTATCCTACGGCCAAGCCAAAGGAGAGGAAGAAGCCTGGATGCGTCGTTGCATGATGCACGCTTTCTGTTGTGCGACCGACTTGACAAGAGATAGCGAACGCGCCATCTTCGTCGTTTGTCGGCACAGTTGGTGACTTATTTAAGCGTTGCGTTTTTGCCCTTACGATGCTCCCCTCCCCTCCCCTTTGCTCCGTTTGTCTGCGTCTGCGTCTTCGCTGTGTCCGTTTGAGTGCTCTCGGGTACGACGTTCCGGCTGTAATTGTCTGAATCAGGACCTGGTTTACTTCAGACACTGGAATATATAGATTTAGCTCTTGTCCAAGGGGGTCATTGAGTGATGATCAAGGGCTGAGGGGGATCGCTCAAATGGCGAGGATTCTGAATATGCCAATATGGGACGAACTGTTTACGGATATTTTCAGAGATTTTGAAGCCTGTTTTTGTGCAAGGGGGTGACGGGGGGAAGTCACGTGCTGTGCCCCGTCGTGAATTTCAAACTCCGCCCTGCGCCTAAGAGTCGCGTCCGTGTCGGTTCTCTTCTTAGACCCCGCCATTGCGTCTGCCCGCCCCGACGCCCTCCAGCGACACTTTACCATAGCGACTTGTCATGTCTGCGACTGCTGCTGTACGAAACGACGGACAGCCCGCCCGCGACCAGCCCTTGTCGGCGTCGAGCTCGTCGTCTCACACTCTCTCCAGAGGTACGCCCTCCGACGCGTTCATTACGCGTTTTTCATCCATCTAACGCGTCTTATTGCAGTTCTACATCCACTCCAGAACTTGAATTTCCCCCAGCCGTCGTCGTCGTCGCGCACCGGGGCTGCAAAACCCTCGCGCCCCGTCTATTTCGCGCCTTATCCGCCCCACCAGCAGCTCAAACTCGACGTATGCACTCCTGGAAGCTCTTCCTCGCGTACGGCAGCCTCGAGCGCGTCCCACGTTGGCGCCGCCGACCTTCAGTCCCCCAACCGCGCCGCCTTTGTCGCCCAGTATGACTATGTCGAGATGAAACTCCATGGCTCGCGTGATCAACGTGACGAGCTAGCTAAGAAGCCCTTTCCAGGCGAACCAGGGGTTATTTACCATTCTCCTTCCAACCCCAATGTCACTTACGACACCATTTTTCAAACCACCCACGATTTTATCGACCTCGCCGAGACTATTCGATACTATCCGACCTTTGTCGATCTCCCCCTCGAACTTCGACCGTCAAAGACTCGTTACGATGCAACGAAGAACAGCGACGATCTCATGCTTCGCGTTCGCTGCCTCTTTTGTCGTGGTCGGTTTGGTGGAAAGAATGCAAAGGCTATTTGGGAACGACACGTGAAGGAGCACTGGCCCAAACCTGGTACGTGACAGGGCACGTGCACTATTCGGCAAGAAGTTTTCTTACCTTTGTTATCTCAGACCGCGTAAGAGACACATACAAGGAAGAAGGCAGACGACCAGTCCGCCACATTCAGAAGCGTTCGACTGGGTCGAGCTCGCACGGCCGCAACCGATCAAGTGATAGTGCATGGATGCCTACCGGAAGGCATGTGGATCATTCGGATACCGAGTCGTATACGTCAGACTCTTCCCGTGCATCGAGCGTCGAACCTCCGTCTGCGGTGCAGGTTTCCATTGCCAGCCCCGTCTACTTCTCCCATGTTCACCAAGAGGCCATTCGTGTCCACGACGATGCAGATACAGAGGACAATGCGACCCCCGCGAAGAGTCAGGCTCCCCCGCTTCCCAAGTCTGCTACCCGTCGGCTGGTTCGATCACCTTCGCCAGACTCTTCGGAAGAAGAAACGGAGCAAGAGACCAATGACACCGTGGTTCCTCCTATTACCTCTTTGGGCTACTGGAATATTGTGTTTGATCGCGACTGCTGGTCACGCGCATCACGTATTTGCCCCTCCAAGCCCGACATTATCTCCTCCCTCGAGGCCGCTGCCGCAAAGCTCGTCCTCGGTACCACCGGGCCTGCGGTTTCAACAACTACAGGTCCTACTCTTACAGCGACATCCACCCTCTCCACCGTCGAAGCCACTGAGAGTTCGAAGGCGACGACAGAAGCTGCTGCCACACCCCGCCGCCAGTTCGCTCGCAAGCGCAGTCATTCGCAAAGCGAAGATAGCGACTCTGCCGAAGAGATGATGCAAGTCTTTGTCTCGCCAGGCCAGAAGCGACGCCGCGTCGGCGGCAACTCGTGCAGCAGCAGCGACGATTCCAATAGCGGATCCAGCGGATATCACTCCAACTCGGACCGCGAGTCTATGTAGAAAAACGACAATTTTAGCGCCACCTTCTCCCTCACCGCTTCCGTGTCTTGGCTTTGCAACTTTCTCGTCTCGTCTCGCCGTCCTGCAACGCCCCCCGTTATGACTGTTTCCCGATCCTTGGCTTGTCCTCGCATTGTTCTTCCCAGTGACCAACTTGATCAGTCCTCCTATCGAGGGGGTTAAGTGGCTCGTTTTACCCATGTACCATATGCCTGTCCGATCTAGAGCGAGGTCCGCTTTGTACTGGTACCTGTCTTTTCATGTGTTCGTTGTGCTAGTATACGCCGCCTTGAAATATGTACGTATGCTCTCGCATGCCCGCGTCTTGGTGAATGTGAATTCTCTCTATTGCATGTAGTCTGAGCGTGTTATCTATATCCTGTGCTTTAGACTATGCGAGCAAGGAGCGGCCGGTCATATCTATGGGACATGGTCAATACCGTGGCAGGAGGGAGTAGCAAGCAAACGTACCAGCTGGTTGGTCAAGACCCTGGTTGTAGCGCAAAGCAATTAGACATGGACTCGATCTTATTCAAAAGACATACCATGATGGCGAGTACCGTTGGGGCAACATCACATAGTGCGCCCTCTTCGGCATCCTTGGGGTCTTCCGCAAACGAAAACTCTTTGGATTCCGAGACAATGATGAAAGGAACCGGGTTGGTCGTATGTGCAGTGTGTGGCGCGCCAGTATCGGGATTGATCATCTGCTCGGCGTTTCCGTGGTCTGCCGTAATGGCAAGAACGTATCCAGCTTCTTTGCACGCTTGATAAATGGTATTTACGGCCTTGTCCGTATGGGAGATTGCCTCGGTGGCCGCTTCGAGTTTGCCTGTGTGGCCGACCATGTCTGGAGGGGCAAAGTTGCACATGACAAAGTCGTACTCTTTCGTCTTGACGACCTCGGCCACCTTTTCTGCGACTTCTGGGGCAGACATTTGCGGCTGTAGATCGTAGGTGGCAACCTTGGGGCTGTTGATGAGGAAACGCTCTTCCTGCTCAAACTGCTTCTCGACACCACCGTTGAAGAAAAATGTGACGTGCGCATACTTTTCCGTCTCTAAGTGAATGTTACACTCCATAAAGGTGACCACTCGTGTTACACACCAGCGATATGGGCCTGCTTCAGCCTTGCTCGAAATCCACTCTGCGAGCACATCCGACATGCCTTGAGGTGGGAACGCAATTGGGAATGGGAATTCAGTGTTGTACCGTGACATGGTCGTAATGTGCTTTCACCCTAGTCAGTCGAGGCAGGTTAGAGACGGCTCACTTACTAGGTCCTTGGGGACGGTGACCTCCATTGGCTTTGGCTCTAATCCGAACACACTGACGATCTCACGCATTCGGTCCGAACGGTAGTTGAAGAAGAACAAGGTGTCGCCCTCTGCAAAAACCGTCAAAGGTTGCCCTCTCGAGCATGAGCGTGACTTGCCCTTGATTCGCGAGCCCTCACTCCCGCAAATAATGGGTTTCAAAAACTCGTCAGTTTGGTTTTCTTTGTACTTTTCCTCGATGAGCTGCAGGAGATCGTCCGTCTGCTGGCCTTCACCTGAGACGAGGCCGTCAACCGCAATCTTGACACGCTCCCATCGCTTGTCTCTGTCCATGGCGTAATAACGTCCAACAACGGTGGAAACTTCGCCATAGCCCAGGTTCTTGATAAAGTCCAAAAGCTCTTCGGCGTACTTCTTGGCTGAGCGAGGAGCGGTGTCCCGACCATCACCGAAAAAGTGCACATAACACTCTGGAACCTCCATTTCTTTTGCCGTCTCGAGCAGTGCGTACAAATGCGTGTTGTGCGAATGCACGCCACCGTCGGAGACCTGAGGGACGAATCTAGGCATCAGAATCACAAGGCGAGGAATATCAGACGCACCAGCCCAAGAAGATGAAGTCTTCCATTTCCATCTTTGGCATGCTGCATCGAAGCGCGAATGACCTCGGACTTGTGGAACTGTTTCTTGCGGATACTCTGATCGATGCGGACGATATCCTGCCACACAATCCTCCCGGCACCAATATTTAGATGTCTGAGGTGTAGATAAAGGCGAATAATGAGCTTTTCGTACAACTCGCACGCGTGATGGCCTTCTACACGTACCCCACTTCCGAGTTGCCCATCAATCCGTCACTGAGACCAACAGCCAAGCCATGAGCAGCAATCGTACGGTATGCATACTCATTTGCGAGCTTATCCATTGTCTCCGTATTGCCAGCTTTGACTGCATTACCCTTTTCGACGTCGGAAATTCCCCAACCGTCGTGCACACTGGTCCAAGATCCATCAAAGGACATCCTAGAGCATTTTCAAACGCGATACGAACATTAGGCAGACTTTGTTCTTCACTTGGGACGTCATTGTTAGCTTGGTCGGGCGTAAGTAGCTCGGTTCTCAAGCGATCGGGACCCGCTAGCCGGTTGGCCAGATTGAGCAGTGAAAATAGGAGTAAAAGATCTATACGCATAAGGAAAATAAGGAGACTAGAGCATGAACGTCAACGGGTTCTCCAGGTAGCCTTTGAAACTCTGCAACCAGCGGGCAGCGACAGCGCCATCGACAACACGGTGATCCGAGCTGAGGGTGACCTTCATAATTTGCCTAGTGGACCAGCCCTTTTCACTCGACTCGTCGGGGACCATGGTCGGCGTTGGCGACGAGACCGCCAGGATACAGCATTGGGGAGGGTTGATGATGGCAGTAAAGTGAGAGACACCAAACATGCCCATATTAGAAACGGTGAAAGTACCACCCTATTCAGCGAATTAGACCGGGAGGGTGCACAAACCAACGAATGTTACACACCTGGTATTCGTGAGGAGCGAGCTTCCCGTCACGCGCCTTCTTGGCCAAGGTCTTTGACTCGACGGAAATTGCTGCAAGACCCTTGGAGCCAACATCCTTGATGATGGGAGTAATGAGGCCATTCGGGGTGGCGACGGCCATCGAGATATCCGCCTTTTTGTACCTGACCCCAAGTCTTAACATTGCACATTATATTTATAACGAGACACTTACTGCTTGATGACGTCGCCTTCCAGAGCAGAGTTTGGCTCTGGGACTTCTGCCAATGCGAGGGCGACAGCCTTCATAACAAAGTCATTGATGCTGAGCTTGGTAGCGCCCTCCTTCCCAGCAAGCGAGGCATTGAAGACCTCTCTTAGCTTATTGGCCTTTGTGAGATCAATATCGACCGTCACATAGAAGTGAGGTAGGTTTTGCTTCGATTGGGTGAGGCGGTTTCCAATAGTGCGGCGCATGCTCGAAACGGGGATTTCCTTGTATTCCGCATCAGCCGCTGCTGGAGGGGCAAGTGCACCAGACGACGCTGCGGCCGGCTTGAATTTCTCGACGTCCTCTCGAAGAATACGGCCCTCTGGTCCCGAACCCTTGACCTGGGCGAGAGGAATACCCTTCTCTAGGGCAATCTTCTTTGCAATTGGCGTGGCGAAGATGCGGTCGCCCGTCTTCAGGTTCTCCTTTGGCGAGCTCGATTTGGAGTCGTCTTTCGACGACTTGTCCTTTTTGCTGGTATCCTTTTGAGGTTCTTCGAGGGTAGCGGGCTCCTTTGGTCGGGATTCCTCCTCCTTTGCAGCTTTTGGGGCCTCGGATGCGGCTTGCTTAGCCATGTCAGCGGCCCCAGAGAGGTCGTCACCTGCTTCTCCGACGATGGCAATAGCAGTTCCTACTGGGATACCTTTGCTGCCGTCCTGGGACTTGCCGTCTCTCAGCACGACGGAAGCAGGCCAATGTCGAAAAGCCAACTCACGATAATTTTCGCCAACACGCCGTCTTCCTGAGCCTCGACATCAATAGTAGCCTTGTCGGTTTCCTGTTGGGAGTAGTGTGAGCTGCAACGTAGACGTCTTTACGTTGAATAACTCACAATCTCCAAGAGGACCTCGCCGGCCTCAAACTGCTCTCCCTCCTTCTTTTTCCATGATGCAATTCCACCCTCTGTCATTGTTGGACTCATTGCAGGCATTGTAAACTTTGACAACGCCTGCCTGCGAGCAGAGACGTGCAGGTCTGCAGCACGGGGGATGACGATTGAGCAAACGCTGGCATGAAAACTTGGACTACATACTTCTCGACAATATTCTTGATAGCGACGCCATGGCGAACAGACGGAGAGGAAACGGCGACGAAGAAAACCCCAACGGCGAAGGAATCCAAGTTTGCTCCTCCCAAATGTCTTTGGTTCTCCCAGGCCAGCCGCTGAGCGCGTCTACAAAGGCCGGAGATGGCGTCTATATGGATGCAAATGGAGTTTCACGGGCATCGTTGATCGCAACATTTAAAAACGACGTACGCTCCTCTGCTACACCCCGCAGAGTTGTCTGACCGTGTTTTACAGAGCGTTCAAGTGCCAAAGGGTAGAGCTAGTGCACCGTCAGAGAATGCAATTGTCATTGGAACCGTCGTCCGACTCAATTCTCAGCAAGCTACCATCTCCATTACAATCGTGAATGGGGTGCCTCTACCGCAGGGCGACGAATATGTCGGGATCATACGATCCCAAGACGTACGAGCAACTGAAAAAGATAAAGTGAAGATCGGTGATTGCTTCAGAGGTGGTGATATCGTCGCTGGTGAGCAATTTCCCTTGTGCGTGCATGGCGGAGCTTGATGCCCACCATAGGTCAAGTGGTACGTCTTTTAAGATCGACTCATATCCAATCTTACGATTCATCTCAAGATATCTCTTGGCGACTCGCGGAGCTACTACGTTAGCACGGCCCACAACGATCTGGGAGTACTCTACGCAACGTCATCGTCTGGTATGTTGACTTTATCTACCATCCGTGGATCTAGATCCGACAAGCTTATCCCTAGGCTATCCAATGGAGCCATACTCTTGGGAAAGCATGTATTGCCCACAAGATCAGAGTATTGAGCCGAGGAAATGTGCTCGTCCAACTGTCGACTATTCTCAGCTACAATTGCGGCCGTAGCGGTTTGACTTTCCTAGGGGGATTTGCGTATCCTGCATTCCTTCGACGGTCACGTTGCAACTTTAAATACAGGCACTTTCTTCAGCTTACGACTCATGGTGTTCCAATGTTTCTCGTACCATTTTCTGCCCTTGCTCCACCGCCAACCGTCGCCGGTCCTTTGACGATCGTCCACGCTCGACCTCGCATAGTCCAGGATGCCATAAATTACGATGGTGCTACGGGAAATATACACACTGTCTCGTCATATTGCTCTGATATGTCCCTTCTTTCGTACAACTCAGAGCGCGACGCCGACAACTTTGTGCAAAAATTTGGAGGAAGATGCTATAACAGTCGCAATGAACTCTACGCTCTTCCATCAGATCAACCAGAGTTTGAACGCCAGTGCGTCTGCTCTCCTCCCATACTTTTGTACTCAACTAGACTTGTAAGCGACAAACAGGACCGGATGCTACAGCTTGCAGTCGGGAATCTTTACCCTGCTCCAGGTCTAGTTGAAAGCGTACTGAGGTCGCCCTCTCGCCAGCCTTCTGCCATCCTTGACCTCGGTATGAGCAATAAGCAGCATCGAGTTGCAGGCTGATCCGTTTAGGGACTGGGTCCGGAGCTTGGGCAATTAACATGGCACTCAAGTATCCAGGCTCCCGCGTCGTTGGAGTTGATCTCGTCGTAAACTCCTCCCGTCCTTGCCCTCCAAATTGCAGGCAAGCTCACCCTGTATTCGATCCTCCCTATTCTCACGAATATCTGCACAGGTTTGAGTTTGATGACGTTTGTCCAATCGCTCTCGTACCGTTCTTCCTCTTATTCATTTCTGTCCGACCATCTGCAGCTCAATCTTGGTCTGGCCCATTTCCATGATCAGTTTGACCTCGTTCATTCCCGAGCCGTCGTGAATGGGATCAAGGACTTTGCTGGTTATGTCGACGATATTGTGCGCTGCCTTCGTCCAGGTGGGATTGCTATCATGGCCGAAGGTGACTGGCGTCCTTATCAAGCTGATAAGGAGACGCCTTACCAACTCGCTGGACTTGACAAAGACGGTGGATCCTGGTTTGGTAGAATTTGCTCTGGTGAGCAACATCTCGTTCAAGGATATAGTAAGCTTACGTATTGGCAGAGGCATTCGAGCTCATGAGTAGGCGCGGAAGTTCTATCCATGAAGCCGACGAAGTGGACCGCGGGCTCCAGCACCCTCTTCTCGAGGACCAGCAGACTGCGACATACTTTGTCCCTCTGGGGTCCTGGGCAATTGGTGCTTGTCGTTTCATACCTATTCTCCCAGCGCTGACCGACGATAGGTAACTCCTTGGAAGAGACTGCTAGTCTTGTCGAACAAGGGCGTCTAATGGCCGAAAATGCTCGCGTATTTAGCCAGCTTCTTTCAATTCTGGACCCTGACCTAGAACGCAGGAGTTTACCACTGCCCTCTCTCATCTTTTCGAGAACGCAGGATATAATCCTGAGGTCGTCACTCACTGGATGGAAAACCTCGAGACTAGTGCGTGTTTCTGCGCACATGTAGCGTGATCTAATGATCCTTAGGTCTTCAGAACAATACGACTCGCGAGTATATCAAGTATAGATATACGTGGGGTGTCAAGAAAGCGCCTGAGGCTCAGAATTAAGTTAGATGATTATGGCAATCTCTCCAATAGAACTTCAATTTGCTACCATGACAATCATTGTGCCAGAGTCTAGCTCGGTTCCTCGGTTTGCTTGCCAAGAACTGCCATGATTAAGGGCTCCCATTCACCAAGCGTACTGCGACCAGAAGTCCTTTGCCCACTGAATCTATCCTGCAAGTGTTTTTGCAAGTAGTCGCGAACTCGTTTGGTAGCTATGAGTGTCTTTGGATCCAGACGGTACCTGATCTTCCTATCCAAAAAGATAGCGTCGGAGGACAGCTGTGGAGAGAAATGAATGTTGTTTTTGATAACAATGTGAGACTAACCTTGAATTCGGTATCTCCACAGAGAAGAACCATCGCTAAATCGTCGACGGGACTAGTTTCCCATGCATATAATTTCTTGGAGTGCCTACCCTCTGTCAATACCAATGTTCCGAGTATGTGATTCACGTACATGAGGGTGAAATAAACAAGACAGTGTCCACCAGACGAGACATCTAGTGGCTTCCTACCAAAGTTGATTGAGCTCGGATGAAAATGTGCATGTTGGTTGTTGGTCAATGCTCGCATTTGTTGATTCGAGCTGCCACCATCGATTACGAGGATCTTGGGATAAAGACCAGCGACAATGGCAGCATTGATGAAAGCGCTTTTCCCGGGGATAGAATTGACGTCGGTGTCCGGGGGGACAGAAATAAAGCGAGGACGCCCACGACCTTGACTATATCGTACACGACTGAGTTCCTTCTCATAGGCCCGGTCAACTTTGATCAGCGAGGCGTCAACCAAGTAGCTAAGATATTGCTGTCGGATCTCTTCTATTTGCTGGAGATTCTGGTAGCTGAGGAAGCTCTTGTGACAGAGATCTCGTGCAAAGTTTTGGCCGTTTCCGCATGCATGCCTCCATGTAGCAAACGCGTTGTGGATAGTAAGGAAGTCAGAGTTATCCACTCTGAATGCCGCCTTCTGACGATTTGCCTCGTCCTCCTTGCCAAAAGGTGAGACAAAGGGACTCTTCGAGCTGAGGGTGGCAGCGATCGTAAGTGCAGGATCAAGACACTTGAAGACTGTGGCCATAAGGAGGAACTTCCCCAGTGCAACATCGGTAGGCATGTGGGCCAAGTATCGACCAAGTCCAGTGATTTCCTCGCCCGGTGTCAAGGCCCCAGCTTCGACAAGGCTTGCTACGGCCCGCTGAATATTGATTTGGCTGGGGGGATCTAGAGCTCGACGCAGTATCTCCTCAATTGACGACCCTACGTCTACCCTCATGATTTTCGTCCGTAGTGCGAGTTCTGACAGGGACAGTCGCAGCATCTCAGGTACTGGATGTTCGGCCATCTAAAATAGGTGAGCGTTACATTTTCCAGAGTTGCCCTCTGACACACCAGCGTATCGTGTCTCAACCTTGTGAATAGATGGAAGCAAATGCCTTCTCGCACTCGCCCTGCTCTCCCGCGGCGCCTGAAGCTCGATGAGATTCATCATTTTGTGGCGAATAGCACGTACTGAGCAGCGTTACTCTTCGCTATGAAAGTTTCCACTAATCTCGATAGCTGTCTCTTTTCATCGAACATCATTTGCCGATGTTTTCCTGAGTCGATAACAGCCGTAATATCAGGGATTGTAACACCAGTTTCGCTGATATTAGATGCTAGCGAAATGTCAAACTTGTGTGTGGAGCCCGATAGTGGACTCACATATGACTATTTTGCGTATACCCGCAGGTGGAACCTCGAACACTGCACTTTGACCCTCACTAGAGACCGTTGAATGCAAAGGGTAGATTCGAAACGCCTCGTTGGAGAAGAGCTCATGCGAGAGTAGCATATCGTGCAGCTTTCTGATCTCTGCTAACCCTGGCATAAACACCAAAATGGCGGCTGAGTAGGCAATGTACGTGTCGTCCTCGAAGCAGAGGCGTTCCAGCATTCGAACAATCAGATCGTAGGGTATGAGCCGTTGATCCAGCAAGTTGACAGCTGATACGGTCTGTGAGGAATATTTCTTCTCCAAGACGACAGGCTCGAGTTGTTGTACTTCCTCTTCATCTCCAAGAGACTCCTGAGATTCCTCTGACCATTCAAACTGCGCATTCTTCCCGCGAGAGTATTTATCATTACCTATGGTTTTCAGTGCCTGCATAAAGGATGAGGGCTGTGGACTCACCCCGCCTGGCATATGGGGAGCTCTCATCTATCCGCCATCCGGCAAACTGAACGGCGTCTTCGAGAAACCCGACGTTGACCGGGAATGTCCTTCCGGGGACATATATCGTAGGGCACTGACCAAAATATTCTGCAATCTTGACTGCATCGAGAGTGGCTGACATGAGAACTACTCTTTGGGGATGTAAGTTTGTGCTTGGAAAGTCTTATAAAGATATACCTGAGATTGGGACGCTGCTCTAGAAGTGATTTGAGAATTATGAGGAGAAAGTCCGATTCGATGGAGCTGCAAATAGATTAGAAGAGGTAATTGCCACGCAATATCTTGATACCGTTCATGAACCTTTTAAAGCGTGAGTGTGAAGTGTCCTCGAACTACATAACGTACCTCGTCCACAATCAAATGAGTCACTTCGTCAATCGTAGCTCCTGCACCATTTCCACCTTCCAACATTCGTAGAGCAATGCCGTTGGTGACAAATGCCAGCCGCGTCGATTTGGTAATATTGCTTTCTAACCGTATGGAGTAGCCGATGAGACTATGATTTGTTCCTACTGCGCCAGGAGGCTCTCCTAGCTCCGCACTGACGCGTTGAGCGAGAGATATCGCCGAAATCCTCCGAGGCTCCGTGCAGATGATCTTGCATGCTTTCCCTCTCGATAGTTGGTCTTCCATGATGAAGGCAGGCAGCTGAGTGCTCTTTCCACAGCTGAAGCAAAGTTAGGCCAATCGACCTGATCGCTGTGGACTTTACCCGGTTTCTCCACTAAGTACAAGAACTTGATGATGCTCCAAAGTTTCTATAATCTCCTGGCGATATGCAGCAATGGGCAAAGTCTGACGCAGGTTCTGCAAACGTAATCGGAATAAATCAATGCAGCTCACTTTATACTCACAAACATTCGCTGGTATGCTTCCGTAGATTGCCGGATGAATAATGAAGCCATGATTTCCTCGGCTTGCGCTGAGGTCACGTCACCAGACGGTACAGACCGCTCACGCGCTGAAGCTGAGTCCTGAAGTTTCTGATGTCTTGCTTTATCGGCCTTTTCAAATTGAGTGACCTTGAACCCTCTTGAAATCAAAAGGCTTACCTCTTTACGCGCAAGCTTCTTATCCGCGACTTCTTTGAGTTTTGCCCAGGTGTTTCGATTGTATTCTGCCTCTTCGCCTTTACGCTTCTCTTCTAGCTCCACCCACAGAGCACGGAATACCGGGTGCAAGGTTCGGTGATTGCTTGTACCGCTGTAAGGTGAAGGCCCGCCCGCAAAACCAAGAGAGGGCGGATAGGTGATGGCATGGAGTGCAAGTATGGCGGCGTAGTTCTCCGATTGCTGCGAGTCATGGCAAGCTACTGTCTCCATTCTCCATTCGTCGCCCCGCCCACCAGCCCATCTAATGGTGCAGCTCGACCGGACTGCACGACTACCGCCGCTAATCGTCTTGTAGCTAATTGTCGCATAACGATCTATTTTAGCTACCATATCTCCTAGCATCGTCTTTGGCGTCTTCCCTGACCATTGTTTTGACGCCATATCTTTGACGGTGATGACTACACCAGCGCTTGTAATCTCTTCTGTCGGCATCTCGTCGAGTAACGTTCCAAACATAGATTCGTCCTCGGGAGCGTCTGCTGGTTCAGCAGGGGATTCTGCTGAAGGGGCAGTGGTTGCCAGGAGAGGACGTTCGGATATAGAAGCCGCCGCAGGTAGTTCTGTAGAGATTTGACCTGGACCAAAGCCACTTTGTAGTCGAGCCTTGAGCACATCCGCCTCCCATTTGCTTCTACGCGATGCAAACTCCGCTTCTGCCAACCTTGTGGAAAAGAGATAGTCATTCTTGGCTTCTCTGACTCGCTTTTCGAGCACTTCAAGACGCCTTGCCTTTTCCTTGGCTTCTCCTGAACGCTGTATGCGCAGGATTGAGAGACGGCTCTGTGCGTAGCGTAAATTCGGATCCGATTCGCTCCCTGAAGAGCTTCCTTCATCTTCGACGTTGATAACAGTTGCCCTTGACTGGCCACCTTGCGGATTTGATTCACGATCTAGCCGTCCAGAATGAACCGTGGACAGTTCGACTTCGTTTGAGATTGGAAACGATGCTTCAGAGTTGGCGTTGGAAGGTTCCTGCGATGATATTGCCAAAGTCCGCAGACTAGGTGATGCAGAGTGGTAGGACATCCCGGCTCGAGGACTAAGGGGAGGAAGATTAACAGCATCCAAGGAATCTAGAGGCCTTGAGATTTGAGTCGACTGTGGGATGAAAACCGACCTTTGCACCAAACGAGCTCATGCTCGTATCCACGAAGATAAACCTACGGGCGTCAGAGAACTCACGTGAATCATAGTAGGCGCACCCATTCAAGAGCATCTTCCAACTCTATACGTTTAATGGAAAGAAGGCATTGGATGGTCGCATCTTCCGACAAGCCGAGGCGACATAGGACTCCGTAAAGTACACCGATACGAGGCAATAATCTGTCCTCGGACTCTGTTACAGGTGATACTTCAATTGTATTCTCCTCGGCCTGCGCCAGCTCAAATATTTTATCACGCCACTGATGTTCCATTTCCAAGAGGGAGTAGGATTTGGCGACCCTACGATCAGTCTCGAGTGCCTGTGCATTTCATCAGTAACATGTAACTTTAGTCTCTATCAATGACCTTGAGGGTCCTGCCGATATCCTTCTCAACTCTTTCGTGGTGTTTGTCAAGGAGCCTCTGCAGTTCGGCCGTGCGTGGATCTGTCCCAACTCCACTTTCTTGCGCAGTTTCAACTTGTGAGGTAAGGCCTACATCTTCTGGCTGTGGCAGAGAACTTGGAGGTTCTTCAGCCTGCGCCGTCGCTTCCGCAATAGTCTTTTTGGAAGGAAGAGACGTTGTTGCGAAGCCTCTTGCAACTGGCTTGAGCTGAGCTTTCTTCTTCTTGGCCATCGTGCCACACGATAAAGAGAAAGACGAGCTCGCGGATTCACTACCTTCTAACCCCGATTATAATGATATAGGTGATAGAGATTCTGGACTCCCTGTTTGTACGGTGCGGTGGAAGATAGCAAGGTCTTGAACCAATAAAAGTAGAGTAGATAGACGGTACAATTCAGTTGCTGAGTGGAACTTTGTAACCTCAAGTCACTGGGTGGTGCAGGCGCATCGGTAGTCGTGGTGGAGTTCAAGGTTATTCAGCGACAGGTCACCTCAGGTAAAACGGTTACAAAGAACATAGATGGCATAAAAAGCAAAGGAACGACTCGACTCTATGGCACAGCAAAGAGGCTACTAGACGGTAAGAAGGTATGTCCAAAGGCTGAAAGGCGAGGCGAATAAGGAGAGTGGGACGGCCGTGTTACAATCAACTCGAGAATAAAAAACCCTAAGTCAATGTTCCTCAGAACGTTTCTCCATCTGCACCAAACTGAGACAGGCTGTTCGGGCGAGCGTGTGAGATGCTGCCCGAGCGAGAAGACCGCGGTCGGTATGATGACCCAGAGACTCTCATACCATGCTCATCAACGGGCAGCTCTTTTGTCGTTGGTCCAGTATCCGTGCGGCGAGCGCTGTAGGACATGGGCCTTCCGATGCGACTGGTTCCGAGCGTAGAGCTGGCGCCACTCCGGAGGGAGGGCGTCGCGAGAGCTGAGGAAGAAAGCATTTTCGGGGTCGGAACCGGTGGAGGTCCCATGGATCCTCGCATCGTGCTCGAGGTCCGCTGGCTGAGAGAGAGCCCTCCTTCTTTGGAATCGGTGGATGAACCCATGCTTATCCGTCCAGTAGAAAACATGGGAACACTGGTGCGCTTGAGGGCGTTTAAGCTTCTAGTAGTTCCTGTTCCAACGGCAGGCGGTTCGAAATCGGGGGAAGTAGGTCTAGATGTTGAAGGGGTTGGAATGGAGGACCGGCTCTTGGTAAAGGAGCGACGCGGTACAACTCCTCGATTACCGATGGGGGACTCGTCGGCGGCTGGTGGAGATTTGAGAGGGAAGGCGGTGGGAGGCGGACTATGATTACTGGTGCTCTTACGAGGAACGCGTCGTGGCGGAGGAGAGTCTTCCATGATGAGCACCCAACCAGGACTCTCTGGCTGAGCCTGTCGCCTAGCCGCCATATTGGGAGATGCCCCAGGACCAGCTCCAGATCGATTGACGGTTCCACTGCGCAGCCGTGGCACTCGTGTTTGCAGTTTTTGCTCGAGACTGCGAACCTTGGCTCTCATCTCGCTCACCATCTGCACTCCCTTGGACCTCGAGGGAATGGCAGAGCCTGCGCCTGTCCCCGTAGACGTCCGAGGAGCGGCCGCCCGAGCCGTACGCGATGGTAGTGACCCGGGTGTTTTTGAAGGCGACGCACGAAGAGAGTTTGAGCGGCTGTGAATGCCAGAGCCCGGAGCTCGAGTGCCGAAACTCGGTCTTGGGAAGATGAGTTTGGGAGGCTTGCCCGATTCATCAGACGAGGCGGTGGAAACTGGTCGCGAATGATTAGATCTAGGAGCCAGTGGGTTTGTATCGTCCGCCAGAAGAACGTCGTTGGGAACAGCAGTGTTCAGGAGTTGGTCGTCATTGGCAGATGCGGGAAGATTGAGTGAGGAAGAATTATCGTGTTGAGGTGAGCATGACGAATCGGTCGCTGGCGGTGTCATGAGGGAGCCACGAGCCTGAGCGGCTTTGAATTGGTCGACCTGATCTCTGAGGACTTGTATCTCAGAGTTGGCGTCTCGGACCTCGTCACGCAGGCGCTGCGCCTCCTCTTCCACTGCAGCCTTGTTCATCAGCTCTTGTTCGAGCAAAATCTTTTCCTCGAGAACACGAGAGTACTTGGATTCCATGTCTGCGAGTGAAGAACTGATCGCACGCTCAGTACGCTCGAGGTCGTCATTGCCTAGTTCCAAATCCCGAAAGCGGACTTTGAGCTCCTGATGCTCCTTCCTGAGGGTATCGAGTTGTCGATGAAGCGAATTAACGGTTGTATTGTGATTAGTTTGCAGAGAAATGAACTTGTTCTGCCCAAAACGCGTCAGACATGCGGCTCTCAAAGGCACTAGGATAGCAAGCACGGACCTTCCAGTCATCACGATCCACCTCTACGCGAGAAATCCTATCTTTGAGGTCCTTTTGGGTCTTCTCCGTTCGCTCCAGCTCGCGGAGCAGCTCCTCCTCGAGTTCCTTGGACGAGTGGACAAAATCATCGAGCTCGTTGCGTGCCTCTGCCAGCATATCTGCCGCTTCATTGTACTTTGCACGCCAGTCCGTCGGGGTGGAAGCCGTAGAAGAAAGCCCAAAGCTGCTAGAAAGCCTGGTGAGCGATTGGGCGATCCACGGCGCCGTACGAGGGACTTACTCGTCGCGCGACGAACGCAGCGGGTCTGTAGGAGTAAGTACTTGAGCCATCCTATCCAGTGGATGGCTTTCAGCACAGGGTGGCTCTCGTGGCGGAGTTCAAGAGCAAAGTTTTCCCTCAGGCGGCTCGCCAGAGGTGTGGTTACTGCGAGGCCTTGTATTCCACGTTTATGTCAAGAATAATCTTGTATTTAGGAGAAATTTATAAAGCAGCAAACACTCTCGACAGCCTGTGGCAAGGCTGCAGCAGTGCACTGCACCACCACGAGCGATAAAAAGGACAAGACTGGTGATTATGAAGAACAGTATATCCATAGGGAGATAAATTATACCCGACTCGACGCTTCCAAGACGTCAGACGGGGAAGGAGTTTTGGGTGTCTTTGCGGCCTTGCCTCTGAGAACGTTCTCGATGAAGAATTCTCCCGCCTGGTGTCCATCAGAGACTTGAAGATAAACCAAGATGTCTACATACCTTGTAACTGCTGCGCACCAATGGTCCGCTGGCTACATATAGGAAGCCCATGTCTTCGGCAATCTTTTTCCACCGCTCAAACTCCTCGGGCTCCACGTATCGATGAACCTTCATGTGTCGCTTTGTTGGGCGCATATATTGACCAAACGTCACGACATCGACGTCCGCCTCTCGCAAAGCTTTGAGAGCGTCCATCACCTGTGCTTCATTTTCGCCAACACCAAGCATCATGCTTGTCTTTGTGACGCGTACCCCTTCTGCTTTAGCCTTGGCTAGTACGCTCAGGCTCTGTCGGAAGGTGGCCCGCCGGTCGCGCACAAATGGTGTAAGTTCTTCGACCGTCTCGACGTTGTGGGCATACACATCCAATCCAGAACGCGCTACCAGTGCGACATGGTCTAAATTTCCCGCAAAGTCGCCAGTCAACGCTTCAACCAGGATATTGGGTGCCCTGAGAAAGAGATGAGGAGCCTATTAGCATTGACACACAATATGACTCACTTGTACTTGATCTTCCGTATCGTGCTTGCAAAGTGCTCTGCGCCTCCATCGGGAAGATCTTGCTCTCGTCAGCAAACTTGCCGGGAACATGGACCACGCTACATACCGTCTCGATCCACACTGGTTAGCACAATATAGCCCAATCCCCATCTGCTTACAGCCTCTGCTGTGTGCTCTGGTTCGTGAATGTCCAGCGGTGGGGGCGTTTTGGAAGTTTTGACGGAACAGAACCGACAGCCTCTGGTGCATGTATCGCCCATAAGCATGATCGTTGCTGTCGCTTTAGACTTGTCGGAGCCTCCCCAACAGTCTCCAATGTTTGGACATCGCGCTTCCTCGCACACCGTGTGCAGTTTGAGGCCGCGTAGATCCTGCTTAATCTTGCTAAATGACGCTCCTGTTGGAATCTTCGTTTTCAAAAACGAAGGAAGTCGCGGTTGGCTCGTATTGCCCAAGGTGACGGTTTCAACGTTTGGACCATCGCGAATAAAGTCGTCCAAGCCGGGTCCAGCGTCAAGTTTTTGCTTAAACGTATTTGTCTGCGTTGCGAGTTGTCTCCCGAGCGCCGGAGTCCGTCTTGTTGCTGTTCTTGCTGTAGCTCGGATCATGGCGGTCAGCAAACACTGTCTAGCCACTTGCTCCGATCCTCGTCGACCAATCAAGATGCCCAAGATTCCAATAGTCATCATGGACGGTGCAATGGTTAGGATATATATCAAGCAATCAACAGAAATTGTTACTAGTACTAGCCCCTTAGGCATCAGAACTGGAGCGCTATGGCGTCGAAATGCCAAAGGACGCTACACCAAACCTGTGGTCATCAAATGCTCTCCTTTCAGACATCGAATCGGTGAAACGTGTTCATGCAAGCTATCTACATGCTGGGGCAAAGGTCCTTTCCACTTGCACATATCAGCTTACGCTCCAAGCGGCTGGTAGTGAGCAGAAAGCACGCATTTTGATGAAGCGTGCTATTAATGCTCTACATGAGGCCACCAGGGCGTACAATATGGTCAATGAGCGACTATTAAGTCTTGGGCCGGCTGCAACCATTCATCCATCTGGTGCAGAAGTTAGTATCCTCTATTCGAGTTTCCCCAATCTCTACTCAATATAAAATAGTATTCTGGCGAATACCGCGGCCCTTTTGATCCCAAATCTGCTACTTCCACTGCAGCACTAACCGACTTTCACTTGTCGCGCTTACGGCTAGTAGAACGCGAAGACTGGGACAAGTTAGATGGTATACTGTTTGAAACAGTTCCGTTAGTTACCGAGCTTGACGCCATACGAGCGGCCGTCGGTCACTTTCAGATAGAAAGTCCAACCTTTTCCAAGCCCATCTATATCAGCATGGTGTTTCCGAACGGACGCCTCCCAGAATGGCCTCAGAGCGTTTCTGTTGTGGATGGTATGGCGTCCATTGTACGTTCAGCATTCGAGCCCTGCCCTAATAGGGTACCAATTCACGGCCTCGGTATCAATTGTACTCACCCTCGATACATCAGCCATCTTGTGCGGGCTCTCGATGACGCTCTGCGAGGGATTGACCATCCCCCCCAAACATTATTACTCTATCCAGATGGGGGCTCAGAATGGACTGGTGATACATTTGGTACTGCTTTGGATGTAGAAGTCTGGGCGGATTTTGTAATGGACGCGGTTAGAATAGAAGGAAGCTGGGCGCGTGTCCTCGTCGGCGGTTGCTGCAATACAGGCCCACAACATATCACAGAGTTGTATAATCGTGTAATAAAGCTAGCTTGAAGCCCGGTCAAACGCTCGAGTGACCCGCATTCCAATAACCGGTGCTTCACGTGTTTGCTAACAAACTTGCTCTCCCCCTCAACCATGGCGGCAATTACTGCGGCATCCGGGCATGTTATAATGCACCCAGTAGTCTCCAAGTCGCTCAAGATTTGGGCGACTACACTTGGTCGAGACAAGGTGTTCAAACCGCTGCACTCCGAAGGTGTCTACTGACATGGGCTTCAGACATACCGTGCTATCCAATACTTTGCGCGGTTCTATGTGTATATCTTACTTCGGAATGGGCAAAAAGAAAAGGCGCAGTATTGGAATGCGCTCAAGAACCATTTGGGTCTTGGCAGGAAACGTAAGGAGACAAGATACTCGGTATATATGACTCATCATTGACAGTGATGCGTCTCGGAAAGCCATTGGAGCATCTCCAGGCTGCGCTAAAAGCCGCGCAGTCACCATCTCTGTCGTTGCACACCGCCGAGCGACTCACCAGCGTCGGAAGGCAACTGTGCTATGCAGGATACCTCACCTTTGATGGCCTCGTTTGGGCCAACACCATCAAGTTTGTCAACTTTGTACCGGAGAAGGCAGACAGAGTCCTCAAGATATCGCTCCGATTCTGGCTCGTCGGAATCTTGTTTGGACAGGCGAACAGTCTCCTCAAAGCTGGCCGTTTGGCCAACGAGGCAAAGGCCCTCAAGGGTGTCAACGAAAAGTCCATGGGTGATCGTGCCGCCAATGACACGAGACTCAAGGTTCTCGAAAAGTGAGCCCGTCCGACTCTTATTGAGCCTGTTTTCTGACTCTTCAAAGGGAACGAGCGGCAGTGCGCTATCAACTCCTCTTGGACCTTTTGGATATGTGGATTCCCGCTACAGGACTTGGAGTCGTCAACTTTAACGATGCAGTCGTCGGCTTGCTTGGGTATGTCCTATGCAATGGATTACACACAGACTTAGGATCTTTTAGCTTCACGACCTCCGTCATGGCTTTCAGGAGCCAGTGGAACTCTTTGCAAATGGGATGAGCAGAGTGTAAACTGTACCTCCCCTTTGGCGTGCTCTAAATTTATGAGAGCTTCCTTCTTACATTTCGTATCTGCATGAATACTTAGGAATACCCAGTTTTGCACATCAACGACGTGAATTGAACCAAAGGATCTAGTACTCGAGGTATTATGCAGGTGTCCCAGATCCACTCGCATCTTCAGCAGCACGAGCGGCTCTTCGTGCCTTTTTAGCAGCGTTCGCCGCAGCGGCTTTTGCTTTTTTGGCATCTGCTTTTGCAGCTTCTTCTGCGGCCTTTTGTGCCTTTTCCTCTTCGGCCTTTTTGGCAGCTTCGGCCGCGAGTTGAGCCGCTGTAGGCTTTCCTTTGCCCACGACCCCACCCTTCTTCTTGGCCTCGCGAGCAGCCTTTTCTTCTTGCTTGATACGCTTGATACGAGGATCGTGAGCCATGGCCAGGTCGACGAGCCCACGGACACGGGCGGTATCCTCCTTTTTTAGCCGTGCACGCTCATTCTTATTCTTCTTCTCCGTGTATCGCTTATCGTCACGCGAGTCGCTTCCTTCGTTGACTTCTTTATCCTTGTACTCGAAGCTCCGCCATGAATCAAAGTTGTACCAAAAGTCGTAAAAGCCCTCGACCTCGTCCTTGGTCGCATCTGGCGAGCCGAGTGGAACGACTGGTTGTATTTTGGAGAAGCGAGCTTCTCGCTCAAAGATTGGGGTCATGATGGAGAAGAAGGCCTCTGGCGAGGCGGAGATTTGGCTGGCAGTGGGCGGATCCTGTTCGAGATCGACAAAGTACGGGTCGACAGAATCGAATTGCCGCCTTCGTTCGGGATGGGAGAGGACCTCAAAGGCTAGCCACCAGTCAGCCTTGGGAAGCAGCATCGAAAGTTGAACTTGCCCTTTTGGATACACTTGAATAGAGCGTCGTCGTTAGTGTCACCAGAGCCAGCTTTTTTATCTGGATGGTGCTTGAGGACCTTTTTCCGATCTGTGGTAGAGGTCAGTAGAACCATGTGTATGCTGCGAGTAGACGCACGGGCTACGCGTATTTGATCCAATGTCGCATTAATACGAAGTTTAGAGAGTCCGAGAACCTTGTAATGGTCCTGATTCTGTGCAGGGCTTGAGTGAGCTGCGAGTTTTCTGCGGGTGGCATGCACACCTTCCAGTCCTTGGGATCCAATAACAGCAAATCGCGTGATTCAGGCTCATCTCCGACACCAAGGTCATCTTCTATCGGGCCCTCTGTGCCCGCGGCGATGGCATCCGCTGCCTTTAGCTCTTCATCTCGGTCGTCCTCTGCAAAAGTCTTCTTGTTCAAGATTCGCCGTGCATGGGCGAGATATGCAGGTCCGACTGGTAACAATCGTCGATTCTTGTACTCTGTGGGTGCATGAGTGAGCCTCTAAAATCGCATGGCCACTCGCACCGACCTGCAATCTTTGCGCCAGATGGCGGCGCTGGAGTCCACGTATCTGGAGTGGGTGGAATAGTAATATCCGCGTGTATAACTGTGCTCGACGCCATTGGCCGTGAGTGGTCAGTTGTAAGAAAGTGGGTTTTATTTGTTCAACCATTTTTTCTTACTCCTACCCAACTTGCAACTTGCGTCACGCGCATCTGCCGCGCAAAGTATTCTGTCAAATGCTCAGAACTAGTGCTCGTTCGCTTCAGGTTCGTGTCGCAGATGGACCCGTCGTAGAGCTTGTGATAAACCGGGTTCTCCATAGCTTGCTCGCCACCACGTCGCGGCATCTCGGACTGTAACCAGGACATTTGCAACCACACGAATAACTATGGTCAGTACAGGATATTCGACGCTTGTAGTGCTCGCTCACCGTTGCCCCCAAAGTCTAACCAGAAGTTTCGACAAGAACGAGACACCTTTGGTGACCTACAGGTGCCGGCGGACAGATACTGGGGCGCACAAACGCAAAGGTAGCAATCTAATACTCTTCATCATTATCGTCGTCGCTCATTTCTTCCAAAGGTCGCTCATGAATTTCGATATCGGTGGTCCTTCGGAACGCCTTCCTCCGCCTCTCATCAAGGCCTTTGGTGTCCTCAAGAAAGCTGCGGCACACGTCAATATGACTTATGGTCTAGATCCTAAGATTGGAAACGCCATTTCGCAGGCGGCGACTGAGGTCATCGAGGGCAAGCTCACCGACCACTTCCCGTTGGTGGTTTTCCAAACCGGGAGTGGTACACAGTCCAACATGAACGCAAATGAGGTACGCTATCACTGCCTTTTTGAGTATCTAGACTTACTTTGCCCCAGGTCATCTCGAATCGCGCGATCGAGATTCTGGGTGGGGAACTGGGTTCAAAGAAACCCGTGCATCCGAATGACCATGTCAACATGTCTCAATCGTCCAACGACACGTACGTTTCTACATCCACTCGTCCCTACTTAATCTGTAAAAGGTTCCCGACGGTGATGCACATTGCAGCGGTCTCCGAGATTCACAACGATCTCATCCCTGCCCTGAAGACGCTCCATGATGCCCTGGACGAAAAGGCCAAGGCGTTTGCTGACATTATCAAGATTGGTCGCACCCATCTGCAAGACGCCACTCCTCTCACCCTTGGACAAGAGTTTTCGGGCTATGTTCAACAATTAGCCAACGGCATCGACAGAATCAACGGCGTACTTCCTCGCCTGAGCTTGCTCGCGCAAGGTGGAACTGCAGTCGGAACGGGCTTGAACACTAAGAAGGGATTCGACTCTAAAGTGGCTGCAGAAGTGTCCAAGATTACCGGCCTTGACTTCCAAACGGCTCCCAACAAGGTATGGGTTATAGCTGTTCCAGAAGTGGGTCTCACGTATTACAGTTTGAAGCCCTTGCCGCTCATGATGCGCTCGTCGAGGCAAGTGGAGCCCTTACGACCGTGGCTTGTTCTCTCCACAAGATTGCCAATGACATTCGCTATCTCGCATCGGGTCCTCGCTGCGGTCTTGGAGAACTGTCACTGCCCGAGAACGAGCCTGGTTCGAGTATCATGCCCGGAAAGGTGAATCCTACGCAGTGCGAGGCCATGACCATGGTCGCTGCTCAAGTCGTCGGAAACAACCAAGCTGTCATCTTCGCCGGTGCCCAGGGCCAGTTTGAGTTGAACGTCTTCAAGCCTGTCATTATCAAGAATGTCCTACAAAGCATTCGTCTCTTATCTGATGGTGAGTTCCCAAGGGTATCGATGATTGCCACTCACGCGAGCCTCAGCCTGTCGCTCGTTTACCAAGAACTGCGTTGTGGGCATCGAAGCCAACAAGAAGAGAATTGACCAGCTCTTGCACGAATCGTTGATGCTGGCAACGATTCTCAACAGCCACCTTGGATACGACAGTGAGTCTTTTGGGCTTTGGCAAGCCGCCCCGTTCTCACCTTTGTATCCTAGACGTCGCCAAGGCTGCAAAGAAGGCACATAAAGAAGGTACTACACTCAAGGAAGCCACTGTCGCGCTCGGGTTCCTCACACCGGAAGAGTTTGACCAAAAGGTTCGCCCCGAGTTGATGCTGTACCCGGATGAGCCATAAGCCACTTTATGAAGTATGTATGTCTAGTCGATTTCTGGAATATAGTTCATGTCGCGTACCCCGATTCGAAAATGCCGAACACGGTAAGATACCGTCGGAGTTGGACTGCCGATTTGTTTTCGACCTTGCCAAATTTTTGTACACCACCAAAGATGGCTCCAGGAATGGCTGTAAAAGGCTCTGAATCGGGTACTGCGCGTGTGATAGGCTCTGGGCTGTCTGGTAAGTCTCTATTTTCACAGATAGAGCAAGGCTAAACCAGATTCTTCTCGTCTTGCTCGACAAAACAGGCGTTGCAGAGCTCGTCATCTTTCATCCAGTAGATACGATTGCAAAGAGATTAATGTCAAACAAGTCGGCATTCACGCTCGCCAACGCCAACGCTATCATTTTTCGCGACCACGCCAACGCCTCTGTCGGGCGCAAGTTTCTGTCCTTATTCCCTGGTCTCGGATATGCCGCTGGATACAAGGTCTCACAGCGGATATACAAGTTTGGTGGGCAGCCCTATTTCAACGACTTGATTCGGGGCACACCTGCACTGCGAAACGCGTTTGTGAATACGTTTGGAGAGAGGAATGGCAAGAATATGATGCATGCTACTGCTGGTAGTTTGACTGGAATCGGAGAGGTCGTCTTGTTGCCCCTCGACGCGCTCAAGATCAAGCGACAGGTCAACCCAGAGGCGTTCAAGGGCCGTGGTGTGCTTCAGATCTTCCTTCAAGAGGGATCAACGCTGTATAGAGGATGGGGTTGGACTGTCGCGCGGAATGCACCCGGTTCATTTGCAGTATGTTGTCCTTTCGACCCATTCGTTCGAGTTCTCATGGGGTTGTACAGTTGTTCGGAGGGTCAGCGTTTACAAAAGACTATGTTCTAGGTATCAAGGACTATTCTAAAGCTACATGGTGGCAAAACTTTATCGCATCCACCGCGGGTGCGGTCGCTTCGATAACGGTTGCGGCTCCCCTCGACACGATCAAGACTCGCATTCAAAACGCCAACTTTGAGACAAAGGTGCATGGCGCGGTTGTTTTCCGGGACCTCATCAAGAATGAGGGGCCCACGGCCTTGTTCAAGGGTCTGACACCAAAGGCAAGGATATCTTCGTTAGATAAAAGCGCATACTCATCTTTTCATCAGATTATGGTTGTCGGACCAAAGCTGATATTCAGCTTTACTCTTGCCCAGACCTTAATTCCCCTCGTCGGGAAGTACGTCTGAGGGTATACCGACCAAAAGTAAAACGCGCTGGTGCTGCGTTGTTCATAGAGTTGTATGTTATATGGGTTTCACCACTTATTTTCTTTGGTACACGGCGAGCCCTCGTTCAGAGTTGCTCATAAGGATCATTCAAATCCCGAGCTGAAAGACGACGGGCAAACTCCACGAGAGCCCTAAACGTGGTTAGATTTGGATCCTCGTGAACAGAGTAAACTCACCTAACACCGCGCCCAGTCATCCCCTTTCCTTGATAAGGCGTGACTCTTGTGCTCTCCATCGTCCCGGCAATATCCATGTGTGCCCAAGCAACTGTAGGTTCCTGGCCGTCTTTGCCTTCGATCCCATCGACGAAAGCCTTGAGGAACAAAGCCGCAGTGCACGATCCGCCAGGCCTTCCACCTGTGTTGATCAAATCCGCCATTCCATTATATATTTGGGGACCAAACTCTTCATCAAGAGGCATTCTCCAGACGCGGTCAAACTCGGCCTCTCCCGCAGCATGTAGATTGTCCCAGAGTGCATCCGATGTCTATGGGAGGGATCAATCGAGTGATTTGGTCTTTACATGGGCATCCTACACTGAATACACCCGTAAAGATTTCGCCTAGGGCAATTTGCATTGCTCTGTATAGAGTTGGGTCCTAGCCGCACACGAAAGGAGAGGTACTTGCCCTGTTAGCGTGGCCACATCAATGAGTGTGTGAGGTTTGTACTCTCTCGAAATGTATGTGAGTGCATCTAAAAGATGTTAAGTCGAAATATATCGTCCATCCCTAGGTCATACCTGCAAGTACCACTGTACAGAGGTCAGTCACATGTTGACGGGCAGACGATGAACTTACAGCGACCCTCAGCGTCCGTATTATCGACTTCGACACTGGAAAAAAGTTAGTTTAGCCCACCAAGTAGACGACTCGTACGTCTTTCCATTCATCGCAGTAAATCTAGAGTTGATTGTTAGGACAATCAGCCGAAAGGTGTTTGTACTCACACATCACCAGGCTTTGTTGCCCTTCCTCCTGGCATGTTCTCGGTCAAAGGCGTGGCAAGCACGACATTGATAGGAAGGCCCAGTTTCGCAATGGTGAGGAGAGCAGAGACTGTGGTTGCAGCTCCGCCCATATCGCCCCTCATCAGCTTCATTCCCTGCGCTAGGTGAGTGGTAACCCATGAGCAAGACTAGGGAACATACGGCACCGGGCTTCAGCGAGATTCCTCCACTGTCAAAAGTGATCCCTTGAAAGGCTGCTCAGCCTAATCTATTCGAGATAGTAACTCGACTGACCCTTGCCAACAAGGCCGAGTGGCCGCGCTTGTGGATCCTTGGCTCCTTTGTAGTGACTGTAATCCGTCAGGAAATGGGCAAACAGGGGCGCTGCTACTTGCATTTCGAGGAACTTGGGGGGTTGCGCTGTTCCCTGTGCAACAGATAGGAATACGCGCTGAGGATATTCAATATGACTGAATAATATCGTCGAAATTGCGTACCATTCCCTTTTCTTCCGCCCAGGCTGAGTTGCTGGTTAATGAGAGCATTCTTTCTTCCAACAGATTCTGACACACCCTTGTCGCGTACGTGAATCTCAACATTGTTCAGGCCTTGGAATTCCTTGACTATGCGCTCACAAAAAGCCTGCTGGCATATTAGACATGCAGTAACCAAATCAAGGGGTCACGTACGGTCGGGGTGAGCATGTTGGCCGGGAGTTCCATCAGCTAGAAGCGATGTCAGAATCTAAAGAGAGCTAGACTGTGCACATGCTTCTCGAGCGAGATTCTGGCCGTTGGCGTACAAAGAGCCAGTCTGCCAGTTCAGATCCGACCCGGTCGCGGGTTCGACTGCAGCGCATTGTACAGTAGGTACCGGATCCTTTTCTTTTGTCTGCAGGGAAAAGTTGAACAAGGCGAGATTGGACGACACCGCTGGGTGGCTAGGATTAGATGGATCGCACTGATGAACAAGTGAAGAGAAGGAGCATACCAGCATCATGCTCTGAGATCTTGTCTGTTACGATGCCGATACTACGAGCACCCGCATCCCGGGCAGCCTTGAGTCCTGTAGCCACAGCCCGTCGAGCTGCCTCGCGTTTTGCGTTTTCGTTGTTGGAGTCTTTCCCCAGTGCGACCAATGAGAGTGTTGGTGCATTCTCCTGGAGGATCACCCGTGTCTCCTGGGCCTTCGACGCCTTTGCATTTGTCGAAGCCCAAATGGCAGCAGCGCTGACCGAGCCAGCGAGAGAAGGAGGAAGTGGAGATATGTCTCCGTTTGAGAGGACTGGAACTACGACGGCGTCGATGCTGGCTTTGCTGGTCATACTTCGTGCGGTTGGGACGAAGAGTTTGGTAGCGCGTAATATTCGCTGCATTGGTGAGCCCTGACAAAATATTCTTGGATAATTTATAGATGCTGTTTTTTTTACTGTCGGGTTGTGTCCGACTCGAACCACATCCAACGAGCGCCGAGTAAAGGTTTCCACTGCTTGCTGCCAACCATATCAGCCCCTTTTGCGCCAAAGCTTACAATTGGACTTCAGTCGATCTTCCTTAATCCTCTTCTCATCTTTCATCGCCTAGAATATGTCTGAAATTCGCAGAAAGCTCGTCATCGTTGGCGACGGTGCTTGCGGTCAGTCACCAGATTCCCCCGTCGTCTTTAGGCATCGCTGACGCCTAATTTCTCTTATATCTGTGTCTGAAACACCTCGTCTTGCATCCCCTCGGTCGTCCTGTCGTCCGCTGTGCTGCTTGTTCCGTCCATCCGTGCGCTCCAACGGCACGTGCTGCTTCCTCTTGGTCAAAATGGGGGCTCTACTTGCACCATTCTTGCCTATTTTCCTTACCGGGATCCGGCGTCTGCTCTGGCTGGCCGTCTCAACACGCAACAGGCAAGACCTGTCTCCTCATCGTGTTCTCCAAAGGAACATTCCCCGAGGTATGTCAAATTTACATGTGTAAACCCTCTTTGCCTTGCCCCCTATCTCGTCGCTTTAGATCCACATGCTGATGATACCACTTTGGCGCAGGTCTACGTCCCCACCGTCTTTGAAAACTACGTCGCCGATGTAGAGGTAGACGGAAAGCACGTCGAACTCGCTCTTTGGGATACAGCTGGACAGGAAGATTACGACCGCCTCCGTCCTCTCTCGTATCCAGACTCCCATGTCATCCTGATTTGCTTCGCGATTGACAGCCCAGACTCTTTGGATAACGTTCAAGAAAAGGTACGTGCTTCATCAGCCGCCACCTGAGCACCGCCCGCTTATACCCTCCATAGTGGATTGCGGAAGTCATGCACTTCTGCGCTGGCTTACCCATCATTCTCGTCGGCTGCAAGAAGGATCTCAGACGTGACAGCAAGACCATTGATGAGCTCCGCAGGACAAACCAGCGTCCCGTCACCCCAGAAGAGGTAATGACTCACTGTCAATCCCTCTGACAATTACTGACATTTAGTGATAGGGCATGGCTATTGGACAAAAGATTGGTGCTCGTCACTATCTGGAATGCTCGGCTCGTACCGGTGAGGGCGTCCGCGAAGTCTTCCAATATGCAACCCGCGCTGCGCTCATTTCCCGAACGAACCGCAAGCCGAAGAAGTGTGTGGTCGTCTAAGGCCGTCTACGTGACCGTGCGGAAGTAAGCATCCCGGGGCTCCCTTCCCTCAGATCCATTCACCAAGCTCTTACACCCCTAATCGTAGTCTCACAATGCGGTCGAAGTAGGTTTTTATATCTCTCGTCAGATGGACGTCGCTGCCTATCTTTCTCCTTCATCGTGACGTGTTCTTACGCTTATCCAATGACATTTTTTTTCTTCTCCCATTGAGCGTGATAGGGCAACGTTTTCTGGCAGATAGATAGGCAGATATACAGGAGATACATACATAGATTAGGATAGCAAAGACACTGAATACGGACGGATATCAAGACGATGGACGAAGGTCAACGTATGATGGCGGTGGGCCGTGCTGACTATCGGACGGAGCGTCCGTGGTGGTAAGATACGGTGGCGGCCTCACAGATGGATTCTCAATGATTTCTGGACGAGGGAGAGGTTCATCTTCAATCGGAGGAGGCGGAAGGTCAGCTGCTTGACCATTGATGAGCGGGGGCTGGTCAGCAGATGGAGGGGGAAAGGGCGGAGGCGAGGTACGAAACTCCATGTCAATTCCCGGAGGAGGATCAGCAGGGTCATCCACAAAGGGTGGTGCAGGCCCTTCCACCGCGTCCAACCTCAGCGCGTGCTCCAAGTTGTCCATGTCGTCCTCGCGGTGACTCGCGTACCCTCCTGGATCCACCGCAGATGCAACGCTCATGCCACGCCCAATTGCCTCTAGTGCCCGTTCTGGTCGGTCGACCAAGTCGGCGAGCGCAGTTACGTCTGTGTCTTCTTGCACATTCTCAATTGCAGGCGGCGGCTCCGCGGCGCCCCCAAATGACGCTTCTAAGCCGTCGAATTGCTGCTCGGGCCTAAAGCCAAAGAGCCTACCCTCGCCCTCCAACTCGAGCAAACGATCTGGATCCTCTTCTGCTTGATTCGGCTGGGGTGCATTCGAACTTCCTTCGATTGGGACGTAGCCACCATAGGGAGTTTGGAGAGTACTAGATGGACCAGGCAAAGGGACGACATAATGTGCCTCTGATTCGAGAAAGGTAGGCAGCCGCGACGTCCCCGCCTGCATCGACTGTGGGTCGGATTGGACAAACGGAGGTGGTGGTGCATCTCGCTCGTCGAATGGGGGAGGCGCTCCGGACGCGCTTGGTCCAGGGGGCCCAACATCCGCATCAGCGACTCGATTCGTTTTCACAGGTGGCTTGTCAAACTTCTTATGATACGCTTGCTCCATATCCAACTCGGTTGTTTGGTCTCCTTTCCTGGCAGGTGGTGGTAGAAGTGTGATAGGAATAGATACCTTTGCATATTCTTGCACGGGCGGTGCGTGTGCATTGGCACTGCTCTCAGGCCTCTCTGGTCGCTGAGTAAGGAAGGAAATCGCAACCTCCAGGGAGAATTCGACTGAATGAAGCGTGGAGTGTTGAGTGATGGTACATTCAAATGCACCGCTTTGATTGTACGAGAAGTCTGCGGGGACTTGTGCCGGACTAGATGGGAGTGCCGATGCACGGATGAGAAGTCGTATCCGTACAGGCTGTGAAGAATGAAATCGTGCTGATGCCCCCGACCGTGTGAGCACGGTTGTAAACTGTGAAGGTGCGTCGGAAGCAACTAGTGAGTCCTCATCGTAATCCAGGTCTGTAAACTTCTCATCGTGAGAAGGAGACGCTGGTGGAATGTCTCCGCTCAGGAGACTGGACTCGGACATTGCTTTATTTGTCGAGGATGGTGAGAACGATGTCGAGGCTGATCCAGAGCTTTCTGAGTAACCGTGCGTGTGACGAGAAAGAATGGTGGTCGTTCGCACCAGTTCGACTTTGATATTGCGCAATCGCATTCTGGACCGAGTGATTTGGTCTCGTTCTGGCACAGGGATTGTCACGTAAACAGGAATAATGTCGCCTAGCCTGTACACAGATCTGGCAACTTGCAGCTCGACCTTGAGTGGTGTATCGAGCGTGTACGTTCTCGGCATTAATGGTGTAAGTGCTGGGTCTGGTGGCGAGTATCGCTTGATATCAATATCTTGCGCGGTGACAAGCGGTTCCTTGTTGGCGTCTGACGGATACAGAGTTGCAACCAATTGATGAGATAGAGAGGAATGCGGTGTGCTGGTTTAAATCGTCAAGCGCTCGGTTATTACAGGATGTAGCGCAGCGCTTACCGAACGGGTTGTGGTGTATCATTTGTAAGAGGGAGCGAAAAGTGCGAGGTAACTGGGGGACTTGAAGACGGATTTGAAGATCTCCCTGGAGCCGAGGAAGGCAACGCATTGTACAGTTCGAGGACATGGCTCGCGAGCTGAACAGTAGTGGACCGTGCGCGCTCAGTTGTCACGAGTGCTATGGTCCTAGAAAATGTTAGACTGGGTCTGCAGAGGATCTACGCGAACACGTACAGTCTGCTCCAGTTCCCTGGCAAGGCGCCTTTTACGTGGACTTCTCCCTCAACGGAGCTAATCTGGTCGACACCGAGGCAACCGCTCTGGAACTGAGCAGCATTGCTCGATGGAATCACTAAGAGTTGCGTGTCTGGCAAACGGCTGTACGTGGGCGGCTCAGCGACCGAAACCACAGACATGGTCAGGGAACAAACACGGCAAGTGGCAGTTACTCTGGACCACATCCGCTGTCGGCCACTATCATAGCAAAATTCCGTATATTCTACCAGAAATATGGATAGATACAGAGTTCCAGTAGCAGGCACAGTCGCTGCACCCATCGAGATTAGCAGCGACGAAGGAGACGAGAAAAAGGAGCATCCCGCTTCCATATTCAAAAGCATATCTAGGAAAAGAAAACGGATAGACCATGGAACAGAGCCAATCTTTATTGGCTCAGACGACGACTGTCCACTCGTGGGTCCTCGCGCCATGGAGTGAGTGAAAGTTAACACTTGAAAGGTCAAGGAAACTCCGCATTCACGTATCGAAGATCCTTGGAATAAACGAAGGAAGTTGCTCGGTTCAACTAGCGACAGCTTGGATGTAGACAGTGTCGATATTGTCTTCGACGAAGAAATGGAGCACTATGATGACATTGACATGACCGTGCATGCGTGGGAGGTAGAGCCTGCAGATCGTATAATGGGGGCCCCTAGACTTGTGAGTGAGGCATGAGCGGCGTAGGTATACTGACGAGCCATAGCAAGGGGAAAGAAGAGTAGAAAGTTATTCAAGACGGCCACGAATTCACACTCCCAGAATGCCTTCCCGGCCTCTGGCAATTACCGACGCTTTAAGCGTAAGCATTTTGACCGTGGAAGGTTTGCCTCTGACTTTAATCCCAGTTTCTCTCTCTTTCTTTTGCTAGTTCTAGACAGCGCACCGTCTCCTTGCCTTACCCGCACCGGGTTAGACTCTCTATATCACCTTTCACCCAGCGATTTGCGAGTCGATATAACGCCCCAATTTTTAAGCGTATGTATGAGCTCAGACCAGCTGGTGCGTTACCCCTAAATCTAGTGTGAAACATTACAAACGTCTCCAGGCTCCGCTAATACCATTGCTCAAAGTGGACCATACTTGGTCGTCGCAGCAAATAGAAGTGGGGATGATAGTATGTTGAAGATTTACGCGAACTGGAGCTTACTGTAATTGCAGCTAGGAATGGACTTGTCGTCTTGGAATCGGTAACAGGTCAATCTATTCCCCTGTCCTTTCCTGGGCATGCGCAGCACAAAGATGGTTGCATTTATCTTCCAGGCCAGCGTTTGGATGTGGATAATGTCGATTATCGGAGCCTTCTAGACGTTCAATTCGACCCTGCAAGGTTAGTGACTAATTTCGTCATCTAGCACTGACATATGTGGAAAATCAGACCTACAGTGTTCGCTACATCTGGAGGTGATCAGAGGTGTCTTTTTTGGAACATACGAGTGTCGCGTGACGGTTCCTTTGTTGCCAAATCTCTCTTGGAAAAAGAGGGTGAGTCCGACCCCTACACCACCCAGACGATCAAATCTCATACACTCTCGAAGCTTCCCAGAAATTGACAGGTCAACCACACCATATACAATTCAGCCGCAACGCCGCACACTGGGGGGAGGATCCCCGCTCCATATCGACGCACGCTGTTTCAGACAGTACGGGGTAAAGCTACTTATGACTGATTGGCCCCTTATTGACTGAAGCAACAAAGGAGAATTCACATTCGCTACTTTACAGGTCAAAGGAGCGCCTTGGACGTTCAAACACGGTACAATCAACAGGTATCAGCTCTTTGTTTCGGTTCGCAGCGATCCGAAAATATGTTATTTGGTGGCACCGAAACCAAACTTTGGTCTGAACCCCTCATAGGGAACCAACTGGGCTTTCAGTTCTGTCCAGACGGATCCATTTATCGGATGAGATACACAGATTCAGTCGACGAGGTTGAAGATCTTTGTACAAATCCCCAAGGCTAGTATTGTGACGGTCGATTTTTGGCGTTGCTAAGCTGCTATACAGGCGACAAACTAGCGTCTATAACGGTGAACATGGACAAAACCACTATTGAATGTAAGAGATGTGACCGCCGGAGAATCGTCTCGAGCCACACACTCTCGATATACTCCACAGCTGGCCAATCAGGTCGTCCGACACCAACCTATAATCCAAATCTCATCGGAGAAGTCACATTACCACCCTTTTTGCCTTCTGATAGAAGTGACGAATGTGGTGCAGTGGTCACCACTGCGTGGTCGCCTTGTGGCATACAAATTGCAGTGGCAAGGGACGACGACTCGGTCAACATTTTCGACACACGTTTCCTCGGGTTGAGCCCGTTATTGACTCTGGAACACACCGGTTCATATCCCTCTGGGCTACGTCGTGCGGTCAATTCCAGGGGAGTAGAATCGAGATGCTGTACCGTCCCAAAAAAGCAACCAGAACACGGAATCACTGGCTTGAAATGGGTAGAGGGTATTCAAATTTCTTCAGGGTTGGTCACTGCGGGTGGTGACGGTTAGCACTTGGTCCCTTGACGCCCCCCGCTCCTCATCTGGCTCCATAGGCACAGTTCGTCTCTGGGATACGCGACAGGCCGGCGAGTATACCACGTTGGCTACTCTAGAGGCAAGCTGATTCTCATTGGTCAGTATTTGGGCTGACTGGCTACAGACTGGTATCGCTAGCATAAACCTTGGGGACGTCTCAAAAGGGGAGTGCGGTCTAGTGGTGGGCGACAATGACGGGCTTTTGCAAGTATTTAATAGGGGTATACAGGATAAATAAAGTCCTCCCTAGTATAGTTATCCCTAAAGGAGACTGGGCTCAATCCTCGTTAATGTGTCCTGCAAACGTCAGATAATGTATGAAATGAGTAAAGGAAGACTGACGCCGACGATTGTGAGGCCAACTCTATGAAGATGATCATTATAGTGTGCATTCAGCATGGTACGAAAGATATGCTGTGCGTCTCCTGAGCGCGCCGTGAAACCGCCATGCCGAAGAAACCTGATTTGGTTTGAGTCGAGTAGTTGAAGGGCCCAACGGGGCAGGGTTCCCTTCAAGTTCAGCACAGTATAACAACCCGACACTGGACAATGCCATATACAGCTCGGCGGAAGAACAGGATTGTTTCCTCTCATTTCTACTGGAATGAGCCTTCGGAGGTCGTCTGGGTCGTAAGAAGATGCGCGTGAGCTCCGCGAGGAAGATCCATCTCTGCTCTCCTCGTAATTCCTCGTTGCCGTGCGTGCAATTGGAGTAAATGAACGCGAAAAAGAGCGCCTGTAATTGCGTTGATATCGCGGCCCATCGTCGAGAGAGATATCGACCGACTCCTGGTGTCATACGATTGTATTGATCAAATTCTTCGCCATATTCCTAATATTGAGGGTGAGTAGGGCTTCACTCGGATTGCTCGCACTGACATTGTCCATTAATTCGTCTTCTTCCTGCATCCTGGGCACATTATCTTCCAGCTGCGTCAACCTAGCTCAGTTGTGGTCGGCTCCAATATCTCAGACATACCTCTGGAGACTGTGCAGCCACAGGGCGTTGACGCCGCATGAACAATGTCACATTTCCTTTGGAAATGAGTCGCCTATGAGCAACTAGGACCTCAACAAACGCATGGGATTCCAATTGGACTCTCAAAAGCTCGGCAAAATCGGCTCGAGGGTCCTTCGAATAGAGCTGGCGGAACCAGGACGCATACCAGGAAACGTCTCTCTGATCGAAAGAGACGTGACGTCCTTTCACTCTGCTGATATAAGTCATGATATGATACAGAACCGCTTGCGAAAGTGATTTTGTGGAAAGCTGGGTGAACCGAGGCGAACGCTTGACTTTGAACCGACGATATCCTATCTCGCTGCCCGCTGCATTCGGGTCGCCATCTGAGCGTGTGTCGATGAACACTGTAGCTGAGACCGGCCACTGAGGTTTCGTATTATCCAAGATGATGGCATGCCTCCAGTACTCCGCTCGCAGTAAGATTCGTGTATTTTCCTCCCAGTTTACGGGCATTCCTTGCTCTTCAGAGAACCTCTGAAGTTGTCGTAGCCCATTCCTTGATATTTCGCGTCTGTCAGATTCTTCAAAGAGGACGAGTCCCTCCCAGTATAACCCGGATGCCATGATGTCTGCAGCTTCATTTGCATTGTCTTCATGTATCATATCGAGTCCTATCTCTTCTCCTTCTGCGGTGCATAGGCGAAATTGCTCCAGAGCAAACATCGAAGCATGGGTTATCGGTGGCTCGAGAAATGTTTGAGGATTAAAGGGTCCGAAATATGGCCCATCCATGCCTATTGTTGTCTCCTGACTCCGGCTATGTGACGAGGTGGGAGCCAACCTTTGACCGCAACTATGGCCACGTCGAATTCGGTCAAAGACCCGCTGCTGGAACAGATTGAAGCAGACGATCCTACACCAATCAATGATCTTCCAAATCCATCCTCGACGAATGCCAGGGCGCCAGTTGTCCTCACTCCGACAAACCGTGCGCACGCAAGTGCAACGCCAGAGGACTTAGAGGCAGGTATGTCGAGAAAGTAATGATAAGGTGATATTGGCTGAAGTTATGCCAGGTCTAGCTGGAATCTTTAGAGCTAGCTCCCATCCTGTGGCCCTTTTCTTTCTATACCTATTTAGAATCCTCGCTATCGTTATTTATATCATTGGGGGTTTCCTCACGGACGATTATGTCCTTTCGGTATGTGCTGTTCAAAAAGTCGATGCGCCAGAGTGCTAACAGGCGTTAGACCGTCGCCGTTGTTGTGCTATTAGCAGCAGATTTCTGGAATACGAGAGTACGCTGTAATCGCGCTTTGCTGCGTCTATGCTGACACAGAATGGAGAACGTGGCGGGTAGGACGCTCGTAGGACTTCGATTTTGGAACTTTGTCGGTGCTCTATCTCTGTGTGACGCTGAGTTAATCACATTTACAGGTTGATGAAGAAGGCCAAAGCCACTGGGTGTTCGAGGCACGAGATGTAAGGTGAACGGCTCATAGCTGAGCTTTATCTGACAATTATAGCCTTCACGACCAGCCAATGCGATTGATTCAAAGTACGTCACTTTCGTGTCACCCTTCTCGTCTCTGATTCACCCGTAGAATGTTCTGGGTGCGAGAGTCATATTTCGACGAATCAAAGCTCACGTAAAATAGACCGCATTATACGTGTTTCCGCTCTTATGGGTCGCGTTGCTCATCATTTCCATCCTAAAACTCAATCTCTCGTGCGTGCGCTCAACGCTCACACCAAACACTCTGACCGTCGATTATAGTTTTACCCCAATCGTTGCCCTTGCCCTCGTCTTCAACGTAAGCTTGTTTTAAACATCCTTTTTCGAGTCTGAACCGGCCCAAAGATTACAAACGTCGTTGGATTCACATACGCCGACCGCGATGCCAAAGCCCGATGGGCAAACAGTGTCGTCAGCAGTAATTGGGACATGGGTTTCGGAGGATACGGTGGCCAGATTATGGGCACCGTGGTCAAGCAGAGCGTCGGTCGCTTCTTCCGCTGATACATGTAAAACGCTCGTCCGCATAATATCGAGAACCTCACAAGTCGAGTGACCGACGTATTAACAGCAAGTGGTAAATAAAGTAGCTGGATAGCATACAATCGAAGAGCACGAACGAAGCAATGAACGACTTGGGTGAGTTGATGCGGACCAACCGACTCTTCGTTACAGGATAAACGTGAGCTAATGTAGGCGGTGGATTTGATGAGAAGAAAGAAACGGATAGAAGGACGTGCTGAGCAAAACCGGCTGCTCGTTACGTCCACCAGAGAAACCGTTTTCTCGCACAAGTGCGAATGCCGAGAGGATAAATAGAGGATTGTGAGGACTTGTATTATGGTGACACGCGCCACGACCCGAGGCACTTGTGGTATCGAATAGGAGGGGTCTAGCTGGGCTCCACCTTTTAGTGGACGGCGGTAGGGCTGGTCCCCAGGTCGTTCGGGTTCGTATAGCTGAAGTTGATAAACTGGTTCTGGACCGTCTGCGAAATCTTCGAGCCTTCGACGACAGAGTCGACCGGGTCCTCCGAGGTGAACACTTCATCCACGTTACTACAGTCGACGGCAGATTTCTAGACCACAGTCAGATTCCGCGCAAGGATAACTGGCTATACATACGACATTGGGCTTGAATGGAGGTTGAATCTGCTTGGCGAGCAGTTTCTTGAAATCGACTGCACTTGTCTTCAGCAAAGAGTAAATCAGACGGGTAAGTAAACGCACTCGTCTTGAAAAAGGCGTGCTTCTTAATCTCCTCTGCACCATTGGATCCCAGACGCCCTTCCGGCTCACGGTTGAGCAATCGAGTGATCAGGTTGCGTGCATCAGAGCCCATTTCTTCAGGGAATCGAAGAGGTTCTTGTAATCTGGAACGCTGTTAGTTGTTGGCCCGAATAAAGAATAATCCGCCGACATTTTACGATACATTTCGGATGTGTTTTCTGGAGATATGTAAGAACCAAGGCCATTATCGAGATAAAGGACCCACCATCATAGAAGGGCGGGAGCCCTGCGAGCATTTCATATAGCAATACACTGATAATGCATTTAATTCTTGTCTAAAACGTATTTAGAGGAGCTTACCCAAACGTCCACCAGTCCACCCGCATATCATAACCAATGTGCTTCAGGACTTCAGGTGCGAGATACTCTGGTGTGCCGCAGAAGGTGTTGGTCTTGTCTGAAGATGTCATATCAATCTTGCAGAGGCCAAAGTCGCATAGTGCCAAGTGGCCGGACATGTCCAATCTAAAACAGGAAAATTAAGTACCAACTACGTTTGCGTATAGCGTCAACTCACAGAATATTTTCGGGCTTGAGATCACGATACACAATGTTGAGAGAATGAAGATGTTCGAGTGCCAGTAAAAGTTCGGCGGCATAGAATCGAGAGCGTTCTTCGTTGAACTTTTGCTCTCGCTGCAAGTGGTGGAACAGCTCTCCTCCGTTAACGTAGCTGTTCAAGATCGTCAGCTGCGGCTCGAGATACAGAGTTGACGACTTACGAGAGGACGAGATAGAGTTTGGACTCGGACTGGAAGCTCCACTTTAGGGGAACGATAAAGGGCGATGACACCTTTGTGAGAACAAGACGCTCATGGAGCGTATGGGTGACTTCTCCCTTTTCGGCAATCTGTCCGTGGATCAGTCTGGCTCGAAAGATTCAACATGCCTGGTCACTTACATGGGCCTTGCGAATAGTCTTGAGGGCGTAGATACGACCAGTGTCACGCTTACGAACTTGCATCACCTTGCCAAATGAACCACGGCCAATGACTTTGAGAAGTTCAAAGGAGTCGATCGTCAGGGATTGACGCTGTGAGCCTTGGTCAGAGTCCATTCAAGGAGATCTGCGTGCTAAATACTTACGACTGAAGGACGATATGTGATGCTCAGTTGAACTTGTCCGGTACCACCAACAACATCATACCACTGGTCGATGATATTCTAAGAGATATGTTAGGTTCAAAGGAATACTGCGGATAGCCAAGAACTTGCCAACTTGTTAAAGTCCGGAACAATCTTGACGGAACCCATATAAGGATCATTCTTGCCAGATTGACCAGCAATGGCTTCTGTACGCAAGTAAATGCGTAAGGAAATATCCGCTGTTCGCGAGATGTCACTGTGTAATAGGAAGTCTTGTGAGCCGCTTCTCCTAGGTGAGCAAAGAGGACAGCCTTACAAATGAGCATTGTACATCCAGACTGGACTCTGAATGCTTCCGCCGAGAGGGTCGATTAGAACCTGGGAAGACGTTTCAGCACTGGCTTGACTTGCTCAGGCGGGGCCGCGGCTAGCGGGAGCGGCAAAGCTCTCGAATTGGAGACCGGAGAGGTGCAAGACGTTTCGTCTTGAAGAGTAGGACTTACCTCGTTGACATCAAACTCGAGGAGGGCGTACGGTAGCCACCAGCTCTGTTCGCGCTGGACGCTGTCCCGTGGCTTGTGACCCGGCTTGGCTCTCTGAGAGGAGATGGAGGAAGCAGTGATGGACGCGGCGAGTTGTGCTTGCTGCGAGTTGACCATTTTTGCAATCGCCTCGGGGAGCTTTGTGTTGGGCGGAAGTGACAAATCGCGCGCGGCCGTGACCTGAATCGAGAGACGACCGGTAATAGGGAGATCATGGGCGAGTTCCGGCGGTTCTGGAGTCGTTGGCGGGTTCGTCGCGGTCCGTTCAGGCGTCTCAGAGCCCGCGGCCTTTGATTCTGGAGCGCATGTGAGCTCGCTGGACATCCCTAAACGATGTATACTGACTCTTGAACATCTGCGAGACAAGAGGCGTAGCCACGGAATAAGGAGCGGAGTGGAGTTAGGGTCTAAGGTTGTTTGAGCTGTCCTCAATTACAAGGCAAAGGGACCTGCCAGCTCGCGGCTAATTTACCTGGATCCAGCAATCTACAAATGGACATGCGTAGTCTTATTGATTTTGTTGCTGCTTCTGTTGCTGTGCACGCCCCGTTCTCAGCCAAAAGGCGACGCGCGGTTGATGCCATGGCCACCCAGGTAACGCTGGTAATGTTAGGAATACGCTCTGCATATCTTCCGGATATTCCTCTTACAAAAGACATCCTAATTGCGCTGGTCAACGACCTCGAGCGCCGCTCCCACATCTCGCCATCCTCTGGAACGACTCGGTCCAACAGGGGTTTTTCATCAACGCAGACCTACTCAGACGCCGCATCCGTGTAAATGAGCACCCACGCTGGCTTTCTACCGCTTCGCCATCAACGCTAGTAGCCGTCACCCGCTTGAATTACTATTCACCTCCTTGACGATCTCACAGGTCCCGGCGCCAACATTCTTTGACAAACTAGTCAACGAGCTGATCCTCAAGCCGGGTTCATTGGAACTGATTGATCTGGATGCCATCGATATGATCCCCCTCGCCGGGTTTCTACTCGAGTATCCATACGCCTACGTGGTCTCGACGACGGATGGACCGTTCCTAAGTGGTGTGAATCTTTCGGTGTACGAATGTACCGTACATTTGTGCGGTAAATGGTGATCGAGACTACGCGTATTAGCCCACGGCTACTGAACTCGTCTCTACAGGACGCCCGTCGTCAAGTTCTCCGTTCCGGAAACTTGCGTGGCGGAAGACCTCTCCTCCTGGCTCATGAACAAATTCGGACCTCGTATGAACACCTTCGGAATCGGAGAGCCTGTCGTGACCTGCACGACGCGAGTTATGGATAGAGTAGCCCTCTGACAGGTTTCCCATGTCCAATCACGCTTATATTGGACACAGATTAATAGGCTAGGTACCGAATTCAATGGCCGACAAGCTCAGACCGGGCTCGACGGCAAACGGGTGCCGGGTATCTCGTCTCGCACAATCTGACCGACAACAGACTGCTGTCTGTCCTAGAAAGAGCTAGAGACATTGTCTAGGCAGAGAATTGTCCCTCTTCCATTCGTTGTAGTGCAGTCGCGCGTGCTGCCCCTGCTTGCTGCTTGACGAACCAGCGCACCAGAAAGGGCGCTTGTACTTCGTCTTCAACCGTGATGAGACATGTCTCCTCTCCGTCTGCTTCAACTCTCCACTTTGACCGCAGGCCGACGCCGAGTGCGGAGCTGACGGAAATGTCCGCGCCATTGGCTTTGGCGCCCTCCAGCCTGATAGTTGAATGCACCGTTTTCTTATACAACCCGAGGATCGAAATGTCTTCTGTGATTTTCCACTCGTTCTTTGTTCCGAGGACGGGCTCTATCCGCGACACGACCGGACTTAGTCTGGCCAGCCTGACCAAGTCGTGCGTGATCGCTATAGCCTGTTGAATGAGATGAGAGACTGATAGCTGCGAATTTGAGGGAGCTTGACCTCGTGCGGCGTGAGCCTGACTTTTCTCGACGTAATAATTTGCGCCGCCATTATAGCTAGATTCCAAGGTTGACCCCGACCAGGGCTCGGCCTCTATTAGCTCGCCATGGCCGCGTCCGGATCTTCATCTGAGCACACTTGTGCACTCTCAAGAGTCGTCCTTCCTACGTTCAAACAGCCCGCAGGTACGTCGCCGTCCCAGCCCATGATTCAGCACACCGTCCAGCCACTGGTTTCACTCGTTTTCGAATCGCCGGGCCCAAACTGACGAGTGTGTATGATAGATTTTGAACGTTACTCGACGACTCATTGGGTCTGTCGCGTCTGCATGCGCGACAGCCTCAAGCACCAATTTCTTATGACACCCAAGATGGCCGTTCACCACGAGAAGAGTGCTTATCATCGTTACAACACCAGATCAGCCCACTATCAGCTCAGAGTCTTTTCAGAGGAAGAGAATACGGCTTGGGAAGGCCCCAGCGCAGTCGATGAGACGTTCGGCTGGCTACGCGAACGCGAGCTGCAGCAATACCATGCTCGCAAGGGGGAAGAATGGGTCAAGCAAAACTCGGATTGGGATCAATACAATCCAGATGAAGACGAGTTCCTTCATCCGAACAAGTCTTCAAAGCCTCTTCGGGGAAGGAACGGTGCGAGAACGTATGGTACTACAAGAGGGAGAGTCAAGAATGCCGGATACGGAAAGAAGGAGGACGATTTGGACACTGTCAGAGTCATCCGAAAGGGCCTTGGATTCCGAATGGATGATCCACTCCCAAAGCCCGAGGTCAATATCAAGAAATGGGCAGCGGGTCTGTCCGAAGCGTCGAAAGCACGCAAAGATCACGCTCCCTACATCGATTGGAAAAAAGAGGCTGCCGTATTTAACGAGGACGACGAGGGTGCGCACCTCTCACTGCCTTTCCTTGCATTGTCCTGAACCCACCCTGTTTCGCAGAGATACCGCTTCCTGTCAAAGTCACGGACAAGTTACTTCACTTCGGCTTGGAATTTGCACAGCGGGCACGCCTTGTCCCTAAGAAGCGGGAAAGAATGCACCTCTTCTTGGAGGTCAGTGCTTGCTTTTTCCAGACTCTCGATGGATTACTGAGTATTTGAATGCAGCTCCCTACCCAGGAGAAAATACGGCGCATTGAATTGCTCGCCATGAGGCTATCTGAGCCATCTGAGTGGCCAAAGGTCATCGATGAGCCTCAGTTTTGGAAGTAGGCCCGAACGATTTCGCCGCATACATCTCAACAACAGCACGCACTAACCTTTATCGTCCTCTGCATATCCAACGGATTCCTATCTTCTTATCGCACCATTATTCGGTGGTTCGCATCATGCTACGTTTTTTTTGGTTACCTATTGATCGATACATGTATTTGACGAGCTGTAACCCCGATTTGATGACTATACAGATCAGAACAAAGTCTCCTGCAGGAATGTCAGTGTGAATTGGCATAGAGTAAATGTTCTTACTTCGTCTCGCAAATATTCGCCGACGTCGCTGAGTACTGAGTCAGTAAAATGTGAGCGAGATGGGCGACGTACGCTTGATGAAAGACGATGATAGCAGTTGGATCCAGTTTTCGTGTGTCCACCGTAGAGCGAGCTGTGACACCAAATCCCTATGGCCGGGTGAGCAAGACGCGTTCGAGGACGGAGCAGGGCGGCGCCGTACAAGCGGTGTGTCGTTCATGCTGAATACGACGACGCCTTGGTGTTCGGGAGTGTCCTCTGTGATCCTTCCGAGATGGGCTTTGACAACATGGTTGCCGTAGAGGAACGGCATTTCACCGTTTGGCTTGATCCAAATCTGCCAAACGTTGCTAAGGGATTGAAACGAGAGAGAGCAGTAAAGGAAGACGAACCTTGTACTTTGCATATTGTGCGAGATAGTCGAGTGCAGTGATGTGTAGCTTGAACTTGCCACTTTTTGAAAATTTGCCAAAGCAGGTGCCGAGGGAGACGAGATTTGGACGGGCGACGGACGCGGCTAGACGCATTGCACGTTCTGGGACATAGTAAACACGGTCTCTGTGCAGTCTGAAGCAGTAAGTCTCGTCTGGCCTGTCGATCAAATGGACCAGGTTTTTGCCCTGTGGCCTGTTGTCAGATACTCGCCATTAATCCACCAACAACATACAATGTAGTTTGCGAGTTTTGTGAATACGGCTTTGCTCTCGTCTTCAGTCAGCGGCCGCATAATCTAATGTAGAAAGTGGTCAACATTCACTCTCGTCTCTTTCCTCTGGTCTCTGTCGAGTCCCCAGCTGGCAACCTGCCTGGAGCCACCAGAAATTGGCACAAAATTCCATACACAACTGTTGATTAACTCTGATACTCGATTCCTCGCCGTGATGGACGGTTCCGCTGCGTGTTCGACCGCAGAGGCATCGAGCAGCCGGCAGCAGCAACCGCGAGGTCTGGGTCTCCCGTACGTCCGCGTATCGAATAATGCTTATCGATATCCTCTAAACTGCACTCTGATTATTACCGCCTTTTTACAGGAGACATGCCCTAAACCGGAGTCAAGGCCAGTCTTCTCCCTTGCCCATGACACAATATCCCTGGATGTCCTCCGCAACATCTTGGCTTCATCTGAACCAGGAAGAGTGAGTTTCTCCCCTCGGGCCCTTGCCCACATCGCTCTGCTTTTGTGCTCGTGCGAGAAAACCAAGGGCCCGCTAATTAACGACAAACTGACGGGCCCGTCACGCTATCTAGCCTCGAACACGTCTCTCGTAGCGCTCCTCCGAGTGCACTCACCGACTTGGTTACGTTTGGCCAGACACATGCTTCCAGCACTGCAGCGGCACCGTCCCTCTTGCTCCAAACGACTGATCGCCGTCGTCTCTCCCGGCGCTCATCTCCTACCTCTTCTACCTCTTCGGCCATCGATTTGCATGTGTATGTTCCCCTCTCGTCGGTTGTATGCTCTCAAAGGCTAATTCCCCTCGCAGCGCGGAAACCCTCGATCTCCGACAGCTGTCAGTATGCACTATGTGCTCCGTGGTACGGCCAGCTAATCCGTCCAATAGCTCCGATTCGCCCTCTTCGGACCAGTACGACTTTTGCGGAGCCGACTCTCCGCCTTCACACATTCTCCATTTCGACCGACCTCCAAATGCCCGACAGCGATCCATCGCCGAGGATTCGATCCTGGCCAGACAGATTCATCTTTCGACACTAGACATGCAGGTCGCCGCCGCTCATGCTGCAGTAATAGCGGCGAGTGAACGTCACCGATTACTGCTCGCTCAGCGCGCGGTCCTCCGAGCGCAAATATGCCGGGACAGGAACCGCCTCCAGCCAGCACTGTACCTCCCAGCAGAGACTCTGGCCGAGATCTTTGCCTACTGCGCACAAGACGACATTTATGCAGTGTGGAAGCTCTCCGCCGTGTGCTTTGATTGGCACGTAGCGGCAGTGGCCTACCCACGGCTTTGGTGTCGCATTGTCGTCCCCACACATTTGCCACCCGTCGAACAGATCCACATCACTCGGCTATGGGTCCAGCGAACCAGCACGGTTCAAGGTTTAGATATCCGATACCGTGCCGTGGAAGATTCGATTCGATACGTCTCGACCACGTTTGAGGAAATCATGATGATCCTCTCTGCAGAGCTCTCCAGATGGAAACATTTCGACCTCGAGACGAACCTAGAGGACTGCATTCACATTGCTGTTCGACTCTCTTCGGGTGCAGCCCCCAACTTGGAGACGTTTCTTGTCAGAGAGCCAGAGTTTCAGGGGACAAAGCGGAATCGACGACTCTTACCATGCAAGATGCTGACCCTTGGCCCAGCACCAAACCTCAGCCGTGTGGCGTTGCATACATCGGCATGGCCGACGGCCACATTCTTGCGTGGTTTGACTACACTCTCCCTATCTTCTGGTCGCATCAAACCTATGGTAGATCTCTGGCGTGTGCTGGATGCGTGTGAAGATTTGGAAGAGCTCACGCTGCGTCTACCTGTCGATCACGACTTTGATCCACCGGGACGTGGACGTACATCTCCACTCAAGCTGGAGCGTCTCCACACACTCTCGGGCAACTCGATGGTGCTCGCGCTCCTCCCTCATCTCCTCGTCCCTTCTCTCGAAGTGCTCTACGTCAATGATGTGGACGCATTTATCCTCATGAGAACGCTCAACGTGCTTGATCTTCGCTCGAATCCACCATTACATACCCTCCGTCTGCGCAGCTGCCGTCTCGTCTCTGGTACGACAGGACTCTCTCTAAAATCCATCAAACGCCTCGAATTCTACGAATCAGAGGTCGATGACAACTTTTCACTCCCTCTCCATGCCTACCGCGGGTACATCGTCGTGGATTCGTCCATACCGCACTTGGGCACTCCCCTCGCTCGAAGTCGTCATCCTCTCCAATGCGCAGTACGTGAGGGAAGATGCACTCCGACGCCTCGTCGAAGCCCGTAACCCTACGACTCCCAACGCCATGTGCGCAGGAGGTGCACCAGCTGTGGGGCTCCCTGCGCGCATCAAAATGGTCGAAGTGCGCAATTGTCGACGTGTACGACCGCAATTTACCGAATGGATCCAGGAACGACTCGGACGCGTTTCGGATCGCTTTCACTTGCCTTCGTGCTCGGCCGCGTCTGCGCATGAAGAGCAGACGTGTGCACATGCGCATGGACCACAGTCTGGATCCTCTAGCTTGACTCCCCTATCTCCGGTGGAGGGACACGGCGAGCCCTCTGGTTCTGGAGCAGGCGTGCTCGACGTCGAGATGGGGATGGTCATCTAAACTCGCACAGTCTCGCATCACATCTATTACCCACGTTACCCACCCCCCTTCTGAGACTAATTATTGCACTTTTATCACCACTATTGTGGTCGTTGTCGCGTCTGAAGAATCCAGCTGGAACCAACTTAATAGTACCATGTTTGTTGACAAAATACATCGTGAGAGTGTCTGAGAGAATTTACTGAAACAGGGAAAGTATCATTAGCTGCGTATTAAGATGCCCGAAGCGATCCCCAGAAACGACTCAATCTTCAGCAGTGTACCGACTCCCTATGCTGTCCGCAGTGGACGTCCCTGTATGCTCCTGCAAGAGTCCCATTCGTGCAGTAGGACGCGATGCGAGCCCAAAGGAAGGCAGGAAAGAAACACTCTTGGGTCGCGGACGAGCGGCTCTCCGCGCGCTGAGCGTACGATTTACTGGCACACCACCCATCATACCCATCGTAGGGCTCATTGCACCTGCCGCGCGACGCGTGAGCGTGTCCATTGCGCTATTGTTTGTCGGTGTGACCGATCCTGGTCGTTGTTCGTGCGCCGTCGAAGTCGATGTTCCAGTGGATTGAGGCGCAAAAGATGCAGAAGATCCAGTATGCTGCGACGAAACCCACGAATTGCCCGTATATGTCGCCGATACAGGCGTCCGTGTGGGGGCAGAGGTGATAGAGCCGTTCAAGATGAGCAGAGTCTGCCAAAAACGTGAACCAAAGCTCCTATATACACGTCATAAATGCTTACCATGCAAGTTGAACACCACGTCCGACCTTCTCGATCCAACTTTGCATCTCGATCCAGCTTTTTGCCACATCCGGGTTCGCCCGCCCGTTTCTTGTGACCCTTTCCACCACAAACGAGACACGAAGAATGCCATCGACTGCCATTCGGTCCTGGAACGACGCCGGGTTCCATGACGGCAACCGTCCTGTCGCACCCGGCACATCGCTTACTGTTGAAGGTAAAGGGCGTTGCAGATACGGGCGTTTGCGGAGGTGCATTCCCAAGTGCAGAGACTGGTCGAGGGGCTGCAGGTTTAGGGGCTGGGGGGTCTGGTCGAACGATGGGAGCAATAGAAAGTGGTCGCTGCCTAGTAACAATCGTTGGCTTGGGAAGTGGCGCACACTGGGGTTTGTTAGCTTCGGGAGATTTGGCGTTCAGCATCGACTGACCTGTGGATGTACAAGACCATTGTCGGTCACCACAAAAGCCGCCACACCATCTTTTTCAGAAAAGGGCTTTCGGCAGCTATTGCAGATAAAGCAAGTACTATGGTACCGACCTGGGAAACCAGATTCCGAAGGAGCCGTGACGATACGTCCACCGCCGACAATGGAATACAGCGGTTTATGGCACTCGTCGCATACAGCTTCTGCATCCTCCACTACGGTTGAAGAAGAAGCAGGAACAGAGTTTGAGGCCGTAGCATCTCCTTTGGGTGTCGGGGGACTCGGCCAAGAGCTCTCTGCGCCATCAGACACGTCCGAGGTCAGATCGGGTGTGCTCATGGACTGCTGGAGACTGATACGACGAGCTTTGTGATCAGGAGAGGCTCGTATGGACGACACATAGTTTGCTGGTTTCGGGAACCGCGATGCAGACGTTCGTCGGCTCCGTGGTGTGACACCATCGTCACGGTCAAGACTCGTACGCGAGCTCGTCGTACCAAAGCTCGTCGTTCGTAGACGCTCACTGAGGTCAGCAAGGTTGGAGGATGCAATGCGGTCTTCAATAATTGAAGAACGCTTTGAGACGGGGGTCGTAAGGTCCACTACAGGAGGTTTGGATGGAGTGGTTTCCTTGGACTGGATTCCCAGCTTGCGCGAAAGTTCATCCATCGTCGCTTTACTATCATCCTCGACTTTGCCCATGCTACGCCTCCGCCCGCCATCAAGATCCTCTTTGCTTGGGCTGTTGCTCTTGGACAATTTTCCATTTGCGTTTCCACTCACACTCGAGCGCAATGGCCTGCTGAGAGACGTATCGAAGCATTCTGTGCAACATGGTCGTCCATATAGGTCGACGCTCGCACGATCGGCGATATTCTTGAAGCAGCCATCACAGACAAAGCACTTTGAGTGCCATAGTCTCCCGCTATTCTCTACGAACCCTCCCTCGGAGCGCAGCATCACCACTGGCTTCTTGCATGCGGCGCATTCCCCCTTGACACCAGGACCAACGCCTTCACCATCGCTCGCACCAGCACCCATAAAGCATGGTCGACAAAGCATGCGAGAGAGATCCGTTGGGTCTGGATAGAGTGTCGCATCGCGAGTAAAAATGCTTCCACATTCGGCGCATGCATACGAAGCGAGCGATTCGGGACTTTGCAGAACCGACCCGTAGACCTTTGATAACGTCACACCATCGTCTAATATTGGGTTCCCGGAAGGAGACGAGTTTAGTGTGTCGGCAAGCTGCCTACTCGTCAACGGCGAACGCTCAGTAGTCGATGTTGTGGCAGAAATATGTGCAGATATTCGGTTGTTGAGTGCTGGACGCGAGAAGCGCCGCACGGGCGTCACAGGCGCCGGAAACGTGATGCCAGACTTGTTGTTCGTCGCTGCCGCCGGCGTAGAAGTCGACCGTTCTCGCTGTGTGGCAGGTTCTGTTGGAGTAGCCTTTGTGGGTTTCTCTACGGTGTATCTAGAGCACAAGGTGAGCCATCAGCTTCAATGTACAGCGTCAACGCAGGTGGCATACGTCTTCTTCCAGCGATCTGTACTCTCTGCATTAGTCTTTCCAGGGTTCCATGAGAATGACGCGGCTAGGAATGGTTGATTTCATCGTTAGCCCGCACATTTGCCATCTCCAGACAGTTGGGCTCACCAACTGCATATCCTCCGCATTTTCCACAACGATCTTTGAGCACAAGATCCCCGCAATATCTACAGAAGCCCATGGAAATGTATAGCCGCGATCGACGTCGGAGGAAGAGAAGCGTTACCACTTGGGGTGTCTGTTGTGAGTCATGTAACTTTTATTGTAGACACTAGTGTACACGTTTGGAACGATGAATGTGTTATATTTTGAGCCCGCCGATGCCTGGAAGACCTAGCACGACGCCACCGTCTTCACCCAACCGCGACGAAATAATTGCACAGGCTTCGACCCAGCAGCACACCGCGCCAGCTAAGCCCTCGAACAGCGAATAAGGGTGGTCTGCAATATCATAGATGGTTGAATAAGACATTGGAGGCGCCTTGGTGGCCTCGAGAAGAAAAGCCAAGGCCCGCCCGAAAACGGAATCGGCATCGTCGGCAGAGCTGGGACTAGATAATCGTTAGATAGATGAAAAAATGTTGGCTCAATACCAACGAGACGTGCTCGAGGAGTAGCCAGGGCCACGCATTCCCTGTGATACCGTGACAGAGCCCTAGTGTCTTTTGAGCTTGCGCGAGTCGCCATCATCACAGCCTACCAAGACCCTTGGTCAATAGTCCGCGTTCCCAGACGGCGTTTGTTGCCTGCTTTAAAGTGTCGTCGACGAGCTGACCGAGCTCCTGTGCCCAATCAGGATGCGTGCTTTTTAGTGTCGTGATGAGAAGGACGTATCCCGGGCTTCCATGACAGATTTGTACGAGTCGACGCGCGTCATGGTGAGCCGGAAGCGACGATGGGAGATGCCCATCATTCTCCGAGATGAGCGATGCCAAGTGGCGCACGGTAGTAAGAATTCGAGATTTATATGGCGTGATGATATTCTCGGGGCACTGTAGAAGCACGGTTAATATGCCCGCTATGATGTTCTTTTAGCGTTGCCATTCTCTAGTTTTAGTGTCCGCACTGACCGGTTCCATGCATTCTTCATGAGAGGATGCGTTAGCCTAGAGATTAATCAACGTGATAGGGACTCACGTTCCAAGATACTGTTTGCCGTGCCATACAAACCAAAGCGGTTCGTCATCATCGTCATTTGTTCCGTCCATCCCGTCTCGAATGATACAATCACACAAGGCCTTTAGGGTCGTATTACTTGTCAGTTGCACAAGTCGCTGATCCGGCTGGACACCGCTACGCATGAGGAGACTGCGTAGTTCACACAGGGCGTAGAGTAGACCTGCTCTTCCATAGAGTATCTCGTTTGTCTCACTGTCGTCTTCCTTTGCGACGTGAACTGCGCGCTCGAGGGCGGCAAGGTCTTGGGAGTCAGCTGAACCCCCTGGAGCGTACAGCGAGTATAGGATCTTGACAAAAGCTATCCCTGGAGAGGAATCAAGAGGCGATATCCGTCCTGATCGTATGTGGCTTGGGTTTGGAGGTCCAGCCGCGTCTAGGAGGGCCTTTGCCTTGTGCAAGAGAGCCTGGACGTCCTCGGTGGACATGCCTAGAGCCTTGTGTTGAACTGCGCATCGAATGAAAGTAACCACTATGCCTAATGGGCAACCGGATGCTTGACATCAGATGGCCAACCCTGGACGATTAGGAACAAGGGCGCACCCATCACGCCAGTGTAGATTCCCTTGTCCTTGAAAGGCATTCTAGGTATCTCATTTTCTACTTTCCTGAGGCCTGTCAGCGCTGCTTGCTGCAGCTGATGTCGAGCCCGACCAAGTGCGTCGTTGGTAATCGGGAGGACGTCGAGCGTGTTGTGGACAAATCTCTTGCTCATTAATCTATTTTATTATTTATTTTTCGTGAGTATTTCGGGTAGCGGCAGGTGGCCTGGAAGTTTAAGGGGGGTCACTACGCAACCTGTCGCCACGACCTGCCCGAACGGCTCCTATTCGATTTCCGGTTGATTGCTTTGTTTCCCTCACTCTTTCTCCCTTCTCCGCTCACCGCGAGCCTTTGCTCCTCCGACGAGGACACGCTCTTTCTTCAATCTCTACAGTCACGTTCTCTTTTTCGACCTTTTCTTTCGTTTCTTTCATCACAGAACGCCGACTCCTGCGCGCAGCTGGTCGCGGCTTTTCTAATCTCAACGAGCCCTTGTGGCTCTCACATCTTTGCAAATGTCTTCAAACACTGGGATTATAACCGGAATTTATTCTTCTGCACTCTCTATCACCGACAATGACTGGGTAACGCGCCTCTGGGGGCCAATTATCTGATGCTCACCGTGTTCCCAGGTCGAGCAATTGACAACAGACATTCCTTTTCTTACCATTGGCATCGTAGCACTCGCTGCACTGACTCTTTTGCTCACTACAACCCGTCTATCTATCCCGGCGGTCTGCATCATCCTCTCCGCATTTCTAGCTTTCAGTGGAGCCATATTGTACGTCATTCAGTCACTTGACCCACCTCTAGTACTAACATCCTTGTAGTGACTTCTCTCGGCTGCTTCAAGAGGCAAAGTCGAGCCCCCCGCCACAATCCGATGATACATCCACTCCAAGGCAGTTCCCTCTTGTCGTGCTCCGCGAAGTCAATCTTGCCTTATCCATCTCGCTCAACTACTTTTTCTTCTTTGTCTATCTCGGCCGTCCTCCCCGAGGTGAAGCCCGCCTGGTCGAGTTTTCCCCCCTCTCCCCTTCAAAAAGAATGTCGCCTTCGCGATGGGCGTATTGGGGTGTCACTGGCTATCTTTTGCAGGCCATTCTCGCTGCAAGCATCATCGCAGTCGCAGTACTCGGGATCATCTGGCGTATTGGAGGGAGGGCGGCTGGGCTCGTGTACAAGGCGGACCATCTCCTCGAAGCAATCCTTGCCCTTGCATTTCTCGGCAAAGTCTGTCTAAACGTTTTTCTCTCCCCGCTTACGCCGAGGTGGAAGACGGCTAGAAACTATCTTCCCGTCATCTATGCACTTTCCACTCGTCTCGGTATTGTCATCACTAGCGAGTTTTGTGGTCTGTACATTCAATCACTTTCGTGGTCGATGCTCACCTTTTCTAGCTGGATTCACCGAAGCCCCTTTGGGCAGGTTCCTCCAGGCGATTCAGTTATATGTGCTCATCGTTCTCATCATGGTGTCTCCATACTATGGAAAGAACGAGGATGAAGACTCGACTCGTCCTGTACCTCGACCAGAGGAAAAGCGAGCATCCTCGTTCCGTGGACTTCGCTTCAGCACCACCTCGCAATGGTCCATGCTCAACCCAAATCCTGGTACAACGGAAAAGCCGGCCATGCCACCACCTCCAGTGACCCTTCCAACGACCGAAGGCCCCAAACGACTTAGTCCAACCAAGCGTCTCTCATCATGGCTGACCAACCGCCTCACCCCATCTGGCGCGGGGGTAACGAGCAATGCAGACGGACAGCTCGATCGCCTGTGGAATAAGGACGCGAACCGTTCTGGTGACCTCGAGGCTCCGCCAACACCGATAGGCATCGCTGTGGGAGGCACAGACGACGATGGCGTAAGCCCACGACCAGAAGGCGAGACGCCTATGATGGCGTCCTGGCGTGATCCCTATGGTGTCCCGAATCCACTGACCACCCCCGAAACGGCGTCCTTTGCCATTCCACCAACACCGTTCAGCACTGCGGATACAGACGACAGGAGTGTATACGCGACGACACCTGTGACAGGCAGCGAAAAAATTCCTCCGGTTCCTCTCCCTACAAGGTCGCAACTAATGGCCCTACCGCCTCCTCCGCGCGGCCTGCCTCCACCCCCACCAACTCAGCAGACACTTCCATTGAACGGGAAGAGCGCTATGAAAAGGGATGAGAAGCGTCGGGTGTCAGGACTGTCCGAGACAGACAAGGTTCAGATTCCTAGCGGCAAGTTCATTGGTCAATTCGAGGTCCGAAAAGACTATGATTCAGACTCTGACTCGCCAATCTATGGGATCAACGGGATCATTCAGCGCAAAGAAAGCCGGATGAAGAAGGAAGAGAAGAAACGGATCTCGGCATTCCTCGAAGCTAGTACCGCAAGTGCACTCGAACGGCTCAAGCGAGAGCAGGAGGAACTAGACAAGAGCATGCAGGGCATGGCAGCGTTTTCGCCTTCACGCAATGTGTTCACCTCTCCAGCCAAGCCAGACGCACCGAAGGGCGACAAGAGCCCAACGAAATTATCAAGCACCAGCGGAGACCAGGACGTGTTGGGCAACTCATTTAGACCCAGTTACAACAGTGCACCTATATCCGAGAGCGTCAAGAGCGATTTCTCTCTCCAAGACTTTCCAAGTCCTCCAGCTTCGCTATTCCGAGCCCCCGCATCCACCGCTCCACCTACGATAGAGTTGATGCCACCGCCTCCTGCCGTGACCCAGCCCCTGTCAATCAAATCTTCGCGATCAAAGGCCAAAGGCACGGCAGGTACAGAAAAAGGCGAGTCGACACCTTCATCGTACGAAAGTGGGGATGTTGTGGTTGAGGATGTTCAATTTGCCATGGTCCCCCCGCGCCGGCCCATTGCGTCGACCGCTTTTCGGAGAGCCAGTTTCCCGACGGTCGTTCGAGACAGTTCAATCTCAAGCCTTATTGATGCGCCCATGCGCATTATTTCCGGATACGCAGAATCGGAGGACGACGTGGGTGCGAAGCGGGTTCGGATGAGCAGCACTGGAAATAGGCTCGATGTCACCTCTTTCATAGGCGGTGAGTTTTTAAACTTTTTGTATTCGGTGTGCTGACGTCGACCAGAATTGACAACACCAGGAGTGACTAGTCCGGGACCTCGCAGCTTCTTACCGAGCCGAGACCGAGGAGATTCTATGGCTTCAAGATTATCCCCACTGCCAGAAGATACCTCACGGCACCCATCAGTGGAGATTATTGATATTCGTATGAAGTCTCCAACCTTTAGCCCTGCGATTGCCATTACCACAAAGGGAGGAAGTACCGCTACGATTCCGTCGAATCCACCCCCTCGCACGCCAAAGGTCTCGTTTGCAGAAGCCGCCAACAATCCTCCATCCTCGAGCCGCCTCAAAGTCATGAAACCGCCCTCGCCTACAAACACGTTGCCAGCTTCTCCACGACCTGGTGGAAATAGCCCAAACGAGAGCCCACGTAGGCAAGTCGCGTTCAAACCAGCAACTTCGTCGCCTCTGGCAACCAGTCCCGGCTTCATCGTCCCGGCATCCTCGACCGCTTCGCCAACTGCTGGTTCGCCTACGACGCGTCGTCTCAAGGCCACTTATCCTGGACTAGGCGCAAACGGGGCTAAACCGGTCATCAGTGGTCCCTTCCCTCTTGGAACAGGCGGCGGCATGCGTGAAGATGGCACAGAGTATCAAGCTCCGCGACGTCCACCACAAGTCAGGACTGCTCGATTCCTCTAGCTGCGACTATAGATGATTCTCTTTTCTTCCTTTACCAGTCTATAACCAAATCCAGCTTTTCTTACTCGAACATTCTTTTGCTATTACAATCGTTTGTACATTATCCCTGTCTGTGTTACAATGACTGGCTCTATGCCATATCAACCGCGGCAACAAACTTGGACCTCTCCACATCCCTCTCGCCGAGCGCTTGACCCACAGACCCGAGAAAGCCAGACACCACTGCAAGAAGAATCAACGAGTATCAGACCGTTGAAATGAGTCCTCTAGAATTTCAACCAACGCCGGAGAGCATTCCCCCTCCCAACGTCCAATACCGCCTCCAGCTCGCCCCGTCGACGGCCGTTAACTATACTCCACTTAATCCGATCAGCTTTATCCTTCGCGCTGCTCTCATTTACCCGAATCATGTCGCGCTTTCGCATCGCAACGTAGCGACTCCGGTTGAATATACATACGCCGTGTGGTGAGCCATTACGACTCACACATCATCAAGAGTGGCTTATTGTGGTACATAGGGCTCAGAGAGTACAGAATTTGGCATATGGATTGATCAAGGCTGGTATCGAACCTGGCGACCGCGTTGCGGTAATCGCCCCCAATTGTCCACTGATTGCAGGCCAGTGACCTCATTACACACAACATGCAAAAATATAATGTTCCATAGATGCCCATAACGGCGTACTAGCAGCACGAGCTGTGCTCGTCTGCATCAAGTAAGGGCGCCATTATTTGAATAGCGGAGGGGTCGATATTCACGTGAATCATGCAGCACACGCCTCGTCAAATCGGACATTGAATATATCCTCTCTCACTCGGGCGCCAAACTCGTTTTGGTCGACCACGAGTACGCGGGGCTCGTCAAAGATTGCCCGGTGCCCGTCATCGTCTCACGCGATACTGGGCGTGCTGGAGATCCATACGAAACGTTTCTCAGCGAGGGAAGGAGATTTTCGCGCGAACGCGGATGGGCGGGTCTCCAGCTAGAAGAGGAAGAGACTGCTAATGCAACATTGAATTATACGTGCGTGTGGCTTTATGCACATTTGCCTAGTTGCTCATGGGACATAGGTCTGGAACCACGGGACGGGTGAGACACTTGTTTTGCTCGTGATTCCCATTCTCAATTGCCATGTACAAGCCTAAAGGTGTGATGGCGACGCTTAGGGGTAAGTCGAAGAATGCACTCTCGGCATGTGCACTAATTGGTATTATAGGCTCCTACTTGGCTGCAATCTCCAATGCGTATGAGTCAAAGTATGTTCTGGTCGTCTAACCACAGTCGGGCTCACATTCGTCAGACTGAATATCAACTCGGTGTACCTCTGGTGAGCATAGATGTAATACCTAAGCTCTTAATCATGTCTCTAGGGTGCTTCCTATGTTCCATGCCTCTGTGAGTATGTTGTCCGGCTAATGTTCTCAACTAAGCGGTAAAGGGGTGGACATATCCCTGGGCACTGACGTTTGCCATGGCGAAACAAGTAAGTTTCTAATGCCTCTGATATGTTTAGCTACTCAAGCACTCTAGGTTACGATCAGAACGGTGGACTATAAAGCAATTTGGGGTCATTTCTTGTATTCGGGTGTGACACACTATTGTGGCGCGCCTACAGTTCAGGTATTCGCGCCATTGCAAGGCCTAAGTGATCTCATTGCAGATAGATATCAATCGTGAATTCACCAGAGGCAAAGCGACTGAAGACCCCTATTACCGCCGTCATAGCCGGAGCAGCGCCGACTGCTGCCTTGCTCGAAGCGCTCGAGAATCTCAATTTTCAAGTAAATCACGTCTATGGCCTTACGTAAGTTTTTTTCTGCCTAGAATTCATTGCTGATTTTGCAATAGGGAGGTGCGTAGTGATTAGATTGGCAGTACTCGAAACTTACATTCCTAAGACATATGGCCCATTTACAAGGAACTACGATAGACCGGAGTATAAAAGCCTCGGGCTTGAGGAGCGTGCGCGGATTCTGTCTAGGCAAGGCCATGCCTTCGCCCAAGCCGACGAAGTCCGCGTTGTGCAAATAGATGAGGAGGGGAAGCGTAAGCCAGGACTCATCGACTGTGACTTTATGCAACCAGGCGAAATTGTCACGCGCGGCAATATTGTCATGAAAGAGGCAAGTCGTCGTATCTGTTTCACATTCTCTCCGTCTGAGCTTGGTAGTATTATCGGGACCCCAAAGCCACTGAAGAGGCGTTCAGAGGCGGTTATTTTGCCACTGGTGATGTTGCGGTCAAATTCCCCGACGGTAGTATCTCCATCCGCGATAGATCCAAAGACTTGATCATTAGTGGTGGAGAAGTAAGCACAGGGCCCGTGAAAAACAATCTCATTCTCACTCATTCCAGAATGCATCGAGTCTGGCAATCGAGCAAGAACTCTCGCTCCATCCCGACGTGCTTGAAGTCTCCGTAGTTGCACGAAAGCATGAAAAATGGGGAGAAAGGGTACGTTTCTCTCGTATTGGGCGGCGTGTCCAATTCAAATATCCTTTTAGGCAATGGCGTTTGTGATCTTGCACCAAGAGGCAGTCCAGAAATGGAAAGGCCGAGAGGATGAATTCCAGAAAGATCTTATCAATTTCGTCAAGGGCAAGCTCCCAGGTTTCGCCCAGCCAGCGTGGGTCGAGTGCGTCTCTGAACTACCCAAGACTTCGTACGTGCCTGAGAACTGCAGTTACCATTCGATGCTAACAACAAGAGCAGGACAGGCAAGATACAAAAGACTGTACTTCGACAACGAGCTGCCAAACTTTGACATGTATACGGTAGATGCGCGTTATGGAATGAGTATGAACAATTAGAACCATGGAGAAAGTAAGGAAAGCTTATACCAATCAACTGTCCCTTGCAGTCGTGGAGAGCACTAGGAGTCGGAAGCGACCAGAGCTACGATCGCAGAAATATACGTTGTTCTCGGAACGTCCAAGGACAAGAAGATCATCCGGAGTGACAGAAACCCCGTCTCGGTCCTCTTCGCCATCGCCGAATGGTCCACCCTTGGATCCAGAGTTTCGGACGCCCGTTATGAGCGAAGGATTAAGACTACGTCGCTTGGCCGCTTTGTTCATGGGACCCTGTGTATCCGTAATGCTGGATATCGACCCAGATGATTTGAAGGATAACACGTTTTCGCCGACGGGAGCGCCTGTTCTCCAAAGGAAATTAAGACGGCGATTAAATGTTCCAATGGGCGGATCAAAGTAAGGATATATGGTCCTACATCCATCACCAGGGGTCATGATGGCATCTCCAAGGTCGACTGCCTCTAAGCCGCCTTGACGAAAGGCCACAATGATAGTGCGCTCCGTTGTCTCAAATGTCTCGAGCCGTTTGACGTCACCCAGTTTTCCGAGGGATTGAAGGTGGGGAGGGAGCTGATCATCCGAGGTCCAATGGATACGACCTTTGAGAACGGAGCGACCGCGAGCATCTACGATGCTGGTGCTATGACCACCACGCGATGAATAGAAGAGAGCCGGTGGCCCGAATCGCTTCTCTTGGGTTAGAAGGGAGACTGGGTCGAGAAGTGGATTCAGTCCCTCTGGCCGTAAGTCGCTGCCACGGCGGACTGGGATCGCTAGCCCTGGCGGAGGTGGCCTAAATGGCGAACTGGGGTCAATACTCTGACGTTGGAGCTCCTCGAGGCTAATATATTCCTCCTCTGTATCACGTCGGACCGGTAAATCTGGAGGAAGAAAGTTGTCCTTGAACCAAGACTGCATCAAGGATGATGCCCAAGGACCTACAGGTCAATCAGATCACCGATCATCAATAAAGTAAACCACGTACCTCGAATGATGCCACGGGGGTCCTTGTAAAACCATTGTACGTCATGCGTAGGAGTCGTGACCTCGAGACGCTCCTCCGTATCTGTTGGGACGTCCGGAACGTCTGATTCATATCGCTTCTTGTAGGTTTGAACAGCGGGGTATGAAGGAGGGATGATGCATTCCTCAGCAAGTGTGGCCAGAGGGAATGGAGGAGCAAAGGCCAGTTGCTGAAATGTGGTGTATGGCCCCATAGAGAGCATGACAGCATTTGCGAGCTCGTCAGGATGAGGGGTGGAAGGAGGACCGAGAGCAGGAAGGTTGTTCGCCGGGTTTTCAGACGGAAACGCAGGTTGAGTTGCAGAATTTGGAACAGACGGTGCACGTGTTGGTGTGAGCGTCCCATCTGGTGCAACGGCGGCTGTGTCGTTGCGTGAATACGCATTTGGGAACAGATTTGTGTCGTCGTGTCCAACATCCGAGCTCGCGACGAGCGCAGTGACGGTCACATCCTCTTCAGGACCCTGATTTTGATCCTCTGTCGGCACTCGCAGTGCTCCTCTATTTGCGCGCCTCCTGGCTGCTCGTCGCTCCGCTCGACCGATTCGCACTTCCCGCACACGCACGGTTGCAGGTTCTAACCCAAACACATTTTGCGCAAAAACGAGGAAGACTTCCACCAAGTCGTCACCTTGAAGTTGCAGCTCGAGAGTTTTTGGAGAGTCCGGCAAGATGAATGTTCTTGAAAGCCCGAGAGCGGTTCGATACGTCCCGGCGAACAGCTCGACTTTTTCACCATTATCTCCACAGAGTATCGCAAGGAAACTGAGGGAACATGTCAGCGAAAAATGCTAGTTTTTGTACTTGTACCAACCTCTTCTTAGGTGTTTCAACGGCCTTGATCATCACACTACCTTTGGTACCAGGAAGCTTGACATACTCCAACTTTGGAGGCGGCGCTTGTGGAGGCAACGGGGATGATGCCGTCCCAAAGCCCTTTGCGTCCACACCTTGACCCGGTCGCAAGATGTCCGGACTGGACGCAGCAGCAGCCGAAGCAGATCGCTCGCGACGTCTCGATTTTCGATTAAAGAAACGCGAGAAGCTGGACGGTCCATTACGCTGTGCGTTGGGATCGTTTCCTGACGCATTCGAATCTCGTCTCTCTGGTGTCCGCGTAGAGCGCGGGCCTCGCATAGTGGCATCCGACAATGTTCTCGTGAGTGGGGTCCCGACTCTTGTAGCATCGGTTTCAGATGTTTCCCTAAGTTCGTGTTGTCTGGCCGAGTCCGAGGGTCTAAACACGCCATCGAAGACAGACCATCGATGCCGACGATTCGTTGCTCGCAGAGACCCTCCAGATCTCGAAGCAGGCCGCTGCATGGCGCTCTCTGTCTCGCCTTCCTGATCGCTGTTGTCGGCGTCAATAATCCCACCAGTATCTTCCTCGTGCGTGCCCTCTCCGTACAGCGAATGACCCAAATGAGACATGGAGCTGCTGGCTGGGAGGCCTTGACCGCCGAATCCATGACTCGAAGGATTCCTCCGCGAGAGGGGGAACCGAGTGACGAGAGCTGCAGGTGCCGGTTGCGCAGCTGCCTGACCCAGCGGAGGTGCATTAGGGAGGCGACTCTCGAGCAGTGCCTCTGCAAACGAGATCACTTCCCCATTCGGCGTGTGTGGCTCATTTTCTAAATCTTGTTCGGACGCCATAGTTTGCGCAGTCGGAGGAGACTGATTGAGCGTTTGTCGGAGCGTCAGCAACGTCGGGGCAGGCGACGCAAGCTCGGGTCGATGCGGGTGATCATTGGAATCGGCGAGATTGAGGTTTGTAGGCCGATGTCGCTGACGGGATCGCACAGAGGGCACAGTAGCAGGAAGACCTGCGGTTTCGGACATTATTGCGGCCTCAGCGGCGGCCGCCGATATCGCGGATGTACGTTCGTCGAGGGCAGCACTCCCGGATGGACCAGCTGCGACCAAGACTTCGTCATCACTGTGTCGGTTGTCCATCCATTCGCCCTTGTCATCTTCATGCTCCTCTTGGGTATGATCTTCTCGTCTCTGGGGACCCATGGCCTCTGCAACTGACATGGCCATTCCCCTAGAATTAGCTTGTCGATGAATATGAAAGTTGGCGACAGACGTTCTTGGTATAAGCCGTGGTGGAGGGAAAGAGGGCGGAAGCATGGGCACAGGAGGCATGGGTGATGGAGGGTTTGTTTTCGACCGCTTCTTGGTCGACGACGATCGAGTGGGACCGGGTGTTGTACTGGCTGGTGTCATCGTCAATGAGCCGATAGACGCCGACTTTCGTTTAATCTTCTTGTTGTCCGCCGGCGCGTTTGGAGAGGTCACGACGAGACGCTTTGGTTCGACTTTTCGATTCTTTTCGATTTCACGTCGCAGTTCGACGTCGATACGCCATTCAACTGCTTTTCGAATCTCATCGAGCGCATAGACACGGACGCCATCCCGACGGCCGGCAATGGCTACCAAAACACCTCTTTCCTCCATGACCACGACAGACTTGAATGAAACACGGCGGACGAGAGCATACGGTTGGACTTGGGGAGGAGAAACCAATGGCAAGACGTCGAGACCCTGAGCGTGGCAAAGGAGTAAATAGTGCGGCGACAGAAAAGTGCCGCTTGTTGGGGCCGTGAATTGATGGGACGGAAGATCACCCGTGAGTACGGACAATGAAAGGCCGAGTTCGGTCAAACTAGGCCCTGGCAGGGAAGGGGGCAGCGCATCTGCCAGAGGCCTGGCGTGGACCATGACTGAGCCTCGCAAGGTTGGTGAAGGCGGTCGCGAGGGTGTATGGCTGCGAGGTGAGGTGGGATTATGGGCATTGGACGAGGAGAGGCTGTCCCGTTCTCGGATGTGGAGTAGATTGGAGAAAAACCCGGATAGTCGATGGTTTGTTGGGGCCTATCCAAAATAATCAGCGTCCCATATAATTTTCCAGAGGTTTAGCCACGCACTTCTACGCCCGAACGTCTTCTGTTTGCACGCCGATTATTTTCATTTCTATCGTCGGAGGGCGCTTCGGTGATGGCGCTAAGAGACTCTGGAGGCCCGCCAGAGCGTGTAGGGTGTGTACTGGTGAGCGGGGAAGACGGTACGACGGTAATTGCAGGCGTAGAATCTACACTAGGTCCTGTATTTTCGCTGGTGCGCGGGGAACTAGATGTAGAAATATTCTGACGACTCGTGTTAACGCTTGCGCTTGCGGACATGCTCCTCTGCACCGTCGGTCGGCTCGCAGGCGGGCTGGTGCGGGCGTGTGCGTCGCTTGCCGGCATTGAAGACGAGGCCGGCTTGGAGACTGCAGCTCCAATCGATCCCTTTCGACGTCTTACATGCTTTTTGTTGTCGTGGTCATGAACTGGCTTGTCCTGCGCGTCAACGCGAGTAGCCTCGGAACCCGCGACGGCTGAAAGCTGGCCGAGATCGTCGCCGGTAGACGGGAGTTGGTCGACACTGAGCGTGTCCATGGACCCAGAGCGGCTGCGAGCTGCCCTGAGAATGGCAAGGCCAATTGCCAGAATGCGGTCAGGTCAAGAGTTGTACACTTTAGCTTGAACCCACCCGCAACAGCAATGTCCTCCAAATTCCCGCAATATTACGATCTCTTGGGCATCGACAAGTCTGCTACACTCGATGAAATTCGTCAGGCGTACAAGAAAATGTCGCTCAAGTCTGTCGTCCTCGTGCTCCCAAATGCGTTCATCCTCAACGCCCTCGTTACAGGACACACCCAGATAGATCTCCAAACGCAACTCCAGAAGAAAGAAAGGCATGTATCTCGTCTCTCTATGATGCCAGCTAAGCTTTGCCACTCTAGGCTGCAACCGCGAAGTTCCAGGTCTGTCATTCTCCACCTCGAATCACACAAAATATCGTCTAACAACTTGGAAAGGCTGTAGCAGACGCATACTATGTTCTTTCAGACCCCACTCGTCGTCGCGAGTATGACGCGCTGTTGGCCTCGCACAGTTATTCGGAGCGTACCACAGACGCCGACGCCAGTTCCAACTTCTTTTCGGCTTTTGCAAATATGTTTACTGGTGCAGCCAATGCCGGCTCGTCTTCCGGGACGCAGCCAGAGGAGAAACCAGAGCCATTCGAAAGACCAGACGCAGAGAACACGTTTGCAGACGTGTTTGAAGAGATGCTCCGTCCGGAAGTACAGCGCATCGTGCCGTGGTGGTCATATATTGGAGCTGCCTCGTAAGCCTTACCTCCCCCTTCTCTCAGCTGTTCCTCAGATACGTGCAGGGGTGCTGGTCTCGGATTCATCATTGCGAATATACCTGGTGCACTCATGGGAGGATATGCCGGCAATCGACTTGGTACGTCTCAAACGCGTCCAGGCAACAGAAAGACTCACACCTCCTAGGGGCAATTCGTGACGCCAAAGGCCGTGCGGTTCTCACCGTAAGTAACTTCGAAGCACTGTGTCTTGCCTCCTCTGAAACTAAGCGCATATAGGTCTTTAATGAGCTCGCCTCAGAGCAAAAGGCAGAAATCTTGAAGAGCCTGGCATTTAAAGTCCTTGGTTCGATTTGAAAGTCTATACTTTAACTCCTTGCTATTTTTGTAGGATAAGTTAGCCTCTGGAATCACGGCACCCCGTACACGCGTAGTGACTGTATCGTCGTAATACTTTCATATACTTTGGAACTGTCTATAAACCATTTGTCTGCCTCCTTGTGGTACATGCAACCACCTCGCCACTTGCTCTCCTCCACGACTATCAACGCCCCGGCCATGTCGTCGCGGCGCCAATCAGTATCAACCGCACTCAACGACGGGCACTTGGATCCGTTTATTGCTGCTCTCTGGGGGTTTGAAGGTCTCCCTGAGGCGTTAGCTACCGTCAAGCAACGAGACGCGTCGACAACTCTAACGACTCAGGACCCAGTGGCAGGAAACTCACTAGAGACGAAACCCGAGACACTGGTGAATGGGACAACGAACATGGATGCCGAATCTTCTGCACCCTCTCAGGCAAGTTTGCGGCTGCAAGGTTAGGTTGGCATGAAAGAAATAACTGGCTGTATAGAGTGGTTCCGAATCCTCTGAGAAAAAACCGACGATTTACGAACTTTGTAAGTCTCCAATCGCATGCTGCTTACTGCTACCGTGATCCTGACGGCCACGGTTATCAGGGGCAGATCAACATGGGAGGGACACTTTGAGCGGCCTGGACATTCAGTTTTCCAAGATATGGGGCCGAAGTACAACGAGAATCACTCTGGACGAGTACAAACAGCTTTACCAAGCAAACTTTCTCGCCATCAATCAGCTCATCGAAACACAAGAGTCTATCCTCGTCGACGCTGTTCGTAGATACCAAGCGGATGAAGAGCACGTCCGGCAGACGCGTCTGTATATGGAGCACGCCCGACAAGCTCAGTCCCTCTCGCTATTTGATCCAGACTATGGCACCCTCCTCGTGGATGCACAGCACGGCTCTCCACTCAAACCATTGCATAATCACTCGGCGGTGGGCGTCGACCCACTTTCACCGAGCATGTTTGGGAGCCAGGAGGCCCAGGAGTATCCGTTGAGCGAGACTGCCTCTACAAAGGCAGATATCGACGCCTTGACAGAGTCCTTAGGTCCTCTGAATCTGCAGGAGCCACTGAGCGAGACTGCAGCAAGGAGCGCGTCATGGTCGGCACCCATCCGGGAAAGGACCTTTCCCCAAGAACAAGCCGCTTCCAGAATGCGAGGAAGATCGCATGCCGACGTCCCTTCGCCCGCTTACCCTTATTCCACCTTCCGACCTACGGCTCCCCCCGTTCTCTCCGCATCCAGCCACAACCCGTCATTTCCCTCGGCGTCGTAAAAATCCCTTTTTGGATCCCATGGGTTCAGGAAATCATATTCCCATCTACAGGCAAGGGTCCCAACTGTTTCACGGAACTGCCAAATATCATCCGTCGGTGATCTGCCGCGTTTTCACCGCTTTACCGCCAACAGATCTTGTTCCCTTTTCCTGTTCGTCGCGCGTATCTGGCTTGCTTCCCTCCCCCTTTTAAACTGGATCCCGTTTCTCTTCTGCGATTGCACTGTCGAGTCTTCGCGTCAATGCTCGAATAATAATCTCTGTAGCACTCTCAATTTATGGTACAAACCTGTCGTTCTCACATGCTCGAGAATGTATTGATCACTTTCTTTTCGAAGGCTTGCAAGGTTTCGAGCACTGCATTGCATGTAATAAAATAGTTCCAACATTTACATCCTTCTTTTCAAGATTGTGGATTTAGGTGGCTCTCTGCTGTGTCTACTTCTAGCTGTTCGGAGTCTATCACGATAGCCCTCATGAATCCGTCCATCTCGAACCGACTGCAAAACGTCAAACATATTATCATCGTACTCTCTGGAAAAGGAGGTGTTGGAAAATCATCGATCAGTGTCCAACTTGCATGGTCGCTCTATTCCTCGTCACCGACCGCGCGAGTGGCAATCCTAGACGTCGACTTGACGGGACCCTCGATACCCAGGATGATGGGGGTAGACGGACATGCTGTCCATCAGAGCACAGACGGCTGGGTTCCCGTCTTTGTAGACCGAGAAAAATCTAGACTGGGTTGCATGTCCGTCGGCTTTCTTCTCAAGCGCAAAGAAGACTCGGTCGTGTGGAGAGGGCCAAAGAAGAATGCAATGATTCGCCAGTTCTTGAGCGACGTGCGGTGGGGAGAGCTCGACTATTTAGTCATCGACACCCCTCCCGGTACGTTTTGAGATCTCGAGTCTGCTTGGCATTTATATTCGGCCCATAGGTACCTCTGATGAACATCTCTCCCTCCTAGAGCACTTGGCCCCAGTACACGAGCGGCTTTCCTCGGTGCTTGTTACGACCCCTCAGGTCGTTGCACTCACTGACATGGCAAAATGCCTATCTTTCACGCGTACCGTGAATCTACCGGTTCTCGGACTAATAGAGAACATGTCTGGATATGTCTGCCCGTGCTGCGGAGAGATTAGCAACATCTTCTCCACTGGTGGAGGAGAGGAGATGTGCAAGCGAGACAATCTCACCTTTCTCGGTGCATTACCCATCGACACGCAACTTGTAGAGCTCCTTGATGCATCGGCTGAACAAGCCACCTCAGACACAAGTCAACCAGATAAACCTATCGATAGTGTCTCGCTATATCAGCGATATCATGCGACGACATCCTCAAAAATCATGCAGGATATAACACAGAAGATTATTCAGGCGTTACAGCCGTCGTCTCTTACGAGCAATCACGAGATTTGATTGATTTATTCTTCTGTACTTCTGCTGCCTGTACACTACTTCTCGATAGGAAAGCGGTAATTGTAGATTCAAGATGGAGGATGGTGACGCTAAGTTGACCTTGCCAACCGCAGGCGAATCGGAGGAGAGGAATGAGGGTAGGTGGCTTCTGGGCAGAGGCGGCTCAGTCCACTGAAAGATCAAGAGTCGGCCATCGAAAGATCAGCTGTGAGATATACATACCACTATCAAACCAGCCCATCTTAATTCTATACAGTCGATATAGGCGTCATCTCTGGGCCACTCCAAATGAATAGATTGTTGGTCGCTGCAATCTATCGAGGGATTACCAAGGTGTGATGGGATGCAGTACAACGATACTCACGGCCACGGTATTCTCTCGAGGGTGCCAGCTTCCGTGGAGGATCTTCTTGGAGAAATCCACAGAGTCCAATGGCAAACTCGGTTTCTGCATCGTTAAATCCTAATTCATATGTGAGAACTAGACATTAAAATAGCAATCAACATGCCTTTTTGACAGTCTTGAATGCGGATTTGTCGGCTTGAAGAATCACATCGTTCGGGCCCTCGACGTCGTAAATACGGAAGTAGTTGTGATATGAGCCAGTCATAACATGGCTAGGCACCTTAAGATGATTTCGGGGTAATATTTACTCGGTATACTTACCGTCCATCGCCGCTGAATGTACACTCGAACTTATCGAAGATGCAGTCGTTCTCGTACAGGTCACAAAGCTTGCCTCGAAGGTGGTCGTGTATCTGAATTGTGCGTATTGGTCGCGATTCCATCTTGGTATCCCAGATCTTGAGTGATAGATAGTCACGCGAAAGAATGTAACGGCCATCTGCACTGAACTTGACATCCGAAATCGAGGAGATGATTTCAGAGAAGAAAGATCTGTTCGACGGATCCTCTTCTTCTTCAAACACTGGGAACAGTCAATCGTCGAAGCAGATTTATGAGAGCGGCCTACTCTTCGCGTGCTTGTCGCACAAGGCCGATTCACGCATGTCTGCAAGCTTGATGGTTCCCTTAGAGCTTGAGTACATAAACAAGTTGCAGTGAAGCGGATGGAACTCTGCGGCCGTGATCACTTCGGTAAGTTCTTCCATATTTACTGGCTTGATATCAACAATGTCTGCGCTCTAGTCAGCATATGGCCATAAATCCTGCTGAATAACCCACTGAAGCTCTCGTTGGAAATACCGAGGTTCCAGAGGTTGATCCTCAAATCGTCTGCAGAGATGTATGTCTCGCCATCCGAGTTGATAGAGATGGAGTTGATATGATAAGCATGTGCGTTGGCATAGACCTTTCTGGGAGTAGCCGCGATGATGTGATCCTGCTGCTGTAATCGAGGCAAACGCAACGCCGAGGCGGAGGTGGGCGGAGGTAGAGGCCGTTGACCATCGTTGAGGTTGTTTTCAGAGACAACTCGAAGCGACTTTTCAAATACTTTCCATAGTTTGATGGTCTTATCTGTAGGGGTTGGAAAGCGCCCATTGACGGACGGGTGATCAGTCATGCATTTGGGCTGACGATTGTCTCGCAATGATACGCACCGTTCGTGGAGAGTATAAAATGCGCAGAGTTCTGTCGCGGACACCACTTGATTTGGTTGATTTTCTCCTCGATTTCCAACGACTTGAGGTAGTCGAATTCTGGTTCGTGCGACTGAAACTCCGTGTAGAACTTATATTCGCATCCCTTCTTCTGTACGAGGCATCAACTCGTTCAGCAATGTGCGAGCAACGCCAGTGGCGACGGCGAGTTGGGGACATGCAGCGTACCGTCTGGTTGCGCTCAAAGAGGACGACACGACCTCCTTTATCGCCAGTAGCGAGATAGTCCCCGGTATGATCAAACTCGACCGTCGAAATGATGTCAGCTAGAGCGCGTCCAAGAGTTGAACAGCGTCGTCGTCAGTTCGTGGACGGCTTCAGTGCACCCAGAGGCCGCAAAAGAGGGCTTTCACTGACCTTCAGTGATATCGTCCACGTCGCCCTTGTCGCCAAAGCACTGGGCAAAGCGCCATCCGCCGGATGCTGAGGGATCCTGGTCCATGAAGAATATCGTCTACTATCTTGAGCACGTCTTTATTCGCAAACAGTATCGCCGCCAACGATGAATAAGAGTCCCCCGATTGCGCAGATGGGAGACGCAGGGAGCAAGATGTCTCTCGCCACTCGTGCACGCCTTTCGTGTGCCCCAGCCGGCCATAAGACGGCCGCGCATCTAGATCATCTCAGAAAAATGAATTAAATTTACCAAGTTAGGTAGAAAAATAGCAACTAGACGACACCCGACGCCACCCTCGACTCAAAGAGACTCGTGCTTGTCGACGTCCATGTGCCGCAGAGCGGGCGGTCTTGACACCACTTCGTGACCAATCGACGACTTTCTTTTCCTCCCCGAGCTTGGTCCAGCAGTCAAGCTCTTCATGAGATCCATCTTCGCATTGTCATGCGTCGGCGGCTCCTCTGGTTCTGTTGAGACAATCTTACACTTTGGGAGCCGGCTATGGTGGGTCGCGTTCGGTGCTTGGAAGAAGTAGGCATGGTTCAGGGCCTGCAAACTGTGAGCAATCGCACCTCAGCTCGAAAGTGAGACCTGACCTCTCTGGCTGATATCCTCCTCATCGGATCGTATGCTAGAAACTTTGCGAGGAGGTTGATGGCCTCGCTACTTGCGGCTGTGAACAGATCGCGGAGTGGTGTTTTAGGGAAGTGGCCCACAGAGACATAGTCCGGTAGACTTGTGTATCCCTGGATTAATTATTAGGCGATGAATCAAAGGCGAAGTCGAGCATCATACCGGCCATTCTTCTTCGGTAGGCGTTCCGAGAGCACGGAAGATGGTCTTGATCTGGTCAACGTCGCTTTCGCCAGGTAGATATGGAGTTCGCAACATCAATTCGGCGAATATGCACCCAACAGACCACATATCACCGCCACCACTGTAATATCGACAGCCGAAGAGTAGCTCAGGAGGTCGATACCATCTGGTACATTGAACAAAGAAGAACACCAATGCGTAAATTACGAACCTTGTAATAACTTGGCAGGTCATCTTGAGGCCTGGGTCAGCGAAATCCCTCGCGAGACCAAAATCTGCGAGCTTGAGCTGACCATCTGATGCAAGCAGCAAGTTATTCGGCTTAAGGTCCTATTAATTCATGAGTAATGCTGATAGAGATGCTTCTCAAACATACTCGGTGGAGAATGTGATTTCGGTGGCAAAACTCGAGGCCTCGTAGTGTCATGACCATCCAGCTCTTCATATCCGCTGCTTGGAACTTTTGAGTTTTGTCGTTGATCATCATCTCCAGGTCACCGTCCAAGAATTCGAGGACCAGGTTGAGATTCGTCTTTGACGAAAATACGTCGAGCAGCTGCATAGATAGTCAGAATTTTCATGATAAAAATTCCTTCAGGTCTTTCACATACCTCGATGACATTTGGATGATGCAACTCCTGCAAGTATTTCACCTCCCGGACTGCTGACATGTCCAATCCATCTTTGAATTGTCCGACTTTAATCTTCTTTATAGCAACTTGTCTTCCGGTTGCTATCTCCCTTCCTTGGACGAGTTAAGTGAACTTGGTCACCAATAACATAGGCTTAACGCAACCTTTATAAACCACGGCGTAGGCACCTTCACCAACTGGAGGAAAGGGGTCAGAAATGCTGATAGAACCGAGGTTAAGGGGACGAACCTTTGGCGTCTTTGGTGTATTTCTGCGCCCGCCGCAGGTTTTCTTTCTCAACCGAATCCATTGGAGTATCCTCCGTCAACATAATGTAAATAGTGTACTTTGATACTTTGCCAGCTCTGACGGGAGGTTGTGGTTGGGTTCACAAGCTGCTCAAAATCTGCCACCGACTCTAACCGCAATTCCTTGGTCGGGCATTAGTCATGAACCCATTGCAGAAGAAATTCGCACAAAGACAAGCACTAAAGCGGAAACTGGCCGCTGGAAGCGACCAACGTCCCTCGAAGAAGCCCAAAGTCTTGCAAAACATCGACGACCTCGATTGGAGAGTGGTAGATAGACCTATCAGTGCCGGTATTGACGAAGAAGGTGGTATGTTGATGCTAGAAGAGGTCGAAGATGTCGAAGTGTACTACGAAGAAACACCTAAAGGCAAAGTAGCGAAATTCCGACAGGTCAGAGGGCATAATGGTTTTTCTGGTACGCTACTGATAACCACAGGCTTCTAGGCCCGCAGCTTTTCCTAAAGATAAGTCCTCTATTAAAGAAGAGGAAGTGTCTGTGGCCTCAAGCTCTGAATCTGACGAAGAAGATGAAAAAGACGAACATTTTGGTCAGGAATTCTTTTTTTGTAAGACATGCCATCTCACTCTGACGCAGACGAGCTTCCGGAATGGTCCAATCTCGGTCTCTCACCCACTCTCCTGCGACGAATAAAAGATCAGGGTTTCATAAAGCCAACGCCTATACAAAGGGAAACGTTGCCTCTTTCGACTAGTGGCAGAGATGTCATTGGCATCGCTCAAACAGGCTCCGGAAAGACGTTGGCATTTGCCCTCCCTATCCTTCGACATATTTTGTCCACCAATAGGCTCAAGTCGCTTCGAAGACAAAAAAGGAACCTCAAGGCATTAATTGTCGCGCCTACTCGAGAACTTGCGCTCCAAGTATCTGCGCATATCAATGCCTGTGCACCTCAAAGATCCAAAGAGGAGATAGAAGCGCACCTTCCTCCCCTTGTTAGTGTGGCCACGATTGTTGGTGGGATGTCACAGCAAAAGCAGACAAGGATGTTGGAACGTGGCGCGGACGTTATTGTAGCCACCCCAGGACGCCTTTGGGAGCTGCTCAGTGATGTCCGCCTTCATTTGAGTTTAGAATCAATCTAACACACTACTATAGAATGACGAGCTGACCACACAGATTCGACAGGTTCGATTCTTCGTTCTCGACGAAGCTGATCGGATGGTGGAAAATGGGCACTTCGCAGAGCTTGATAAGATAATACGCCTTACAGCAAGACCAGATCCGTGCGTTTTACACTCGGCCCGCCGTCAATAGGCTCATTATTTTTAGAAACTCCCTCGAAGCTCAGATACAAGAAGTCAAACTCGAAGATGATACGAGTGACAGCGCGCAAAATCAGATGCAGACATTCGTTTTTTCAGCCACAATGAGCAAGGATTTGCAACAAAATCTGAAGAGGCATAAAAGGTTCAAGGATAAATCAAGTAGTACAATTGGTATGTAGAATCAGGCTCTTGTGACCTTGTTTGACTTTTTCTAGATGACCTCATCCTCCGTCTTGATTTCCGGGACGAGCAACCAGCTATAGTCGACCTCAGTCCGAAAGATGGCGTCGTCTCGACGTTCCAGGAAAGCAAGGTCGAATGCATCACCACAGACAAGGTAATGTGCAAACCTAAATTGCTCATCTTGAACTGACTTTCATAGGACGCATACCTGTATTACTTCCTTCTCAGATACCCCGGTCGCTCCCTCATCTTTCTCTCCTCTATCGATGGTATCCGCCGACTCGCGCCGCTGTTGGACCTGTTGCAAGTCAAATCCTGGCCCATCCATTCTCAAATGGAACAGCGTCAGAGACTGAAGAACCTTGATAGGTACCTATTATGCACTCCTCGGTCTCCATTTCTTATACTAGTAGGTTCAAGAATACACCAAACTGTGCGCTGTTGGCCACGGATGTAGCGGCCCGCGGCCTAGATATCCCAGCCATTGACCATGTCATTCACTACCAAGTACCCCGCTCTGGAGATATCTACGTTCATCGAAATGGAAGAACCGCTCGAGCTGAAAAGTCTGGCTTTGGGCTTTTACTGGTCGCTCCTGACGAACGAAAGCTCATTCGGACATTGATTTCAAGTCTTGGAAGAAGTAATTTTATTGATCGCGCCTTTTTCGTCTCTGACGCTGTTTGTAGAGGAGGACGAGATTCCAGAGTTACCTGTAGAGCGTACATTGCTCGACCGGCTCAAGGAGCGGATAAACTTGGCTCGCGAAATTGATAAAATTCAGCACTCTACAACAAAGAAAAAGCACGACAACAATTGGCTCAAGATGACCGCCGAGGCGCTCGAGTTAGATCTCTCAGACGAGTAAGCACCTTGTATTTTCTCCGATATTTAGCTCAAGCATAGAGTAGAGTTGAAGAGGAAAAGTTCGACACAAATAAAGACGCCAGATTAAAGGCTTTGAAAGCGCAATTGCACACGCTTGTCTCTCAACCATTGGTCGCTCGCGGCATCTCGACGAAGTATATTACATCAGGTACTCGCTCAGTGGCGGATGAGCTTATTAATGGCCAAAGTATGTATTGCTTTCGCAGCAGCTCTGTGACTTATGCCCCTTGAGGTCACAAAGCGATGCTGGGCTTAAAGGTAGTGGCTGCTCAGGACGATGTGCTAGCTCAGAAGGCTGCGACCAAAGGGAAACGTCTGGCAAAGAAGACAACGAAGTCGCAGTCGTGATCCAGATCAATTCGCAACAGACCTGACGATATACAGGTAGTAATGAAACATATCTCCAAGTGTTCGTATTTCTAACGACGCGTCAGATCTCTCCAGATATCGTCGCCGAAAATGGGGCTGCCCAAACGTGATATACAAAAACAACCCGGTCCTCCTGAGGACACTGAGAGGAGTCAAATTTCTCAAGTGGCTAGCTTGGAGCACTCACCGCATAACCTCGCCCACTTCTTTGTTACAATCATCCACCACCGCCGGGGGAGGGTTCCACACATCGCCTTTGACAGCCAACATGGCGTCCATAGTCCCTATGCATATTTTAGCAGATTCATAGACAAACAAGATCTTTACCTTTGTCTATCGCAACGTCGAACGAATCATTCTCGAATTCGAGCGCCCTTACGTCCATTTCCTTCCCTAAAGCTTTTCAGCTCATGGTCGCATTGTGGGTGAGGTATTCACAGCTCATTCGCTCACGTAACGCATTCCTTGCTTTCATCTTATTGATGATGACTTCTGAATAATCGACGTTGACGATGTTCTGATAGCCCGCATCGTACATCTAGGAAAGTGAGCTTGGGCTACACGATTGGGCTACTGACCTCCTCACTCAAAGTTGAATTTCCGCAGCCTTGATAAATGTTAAAACGATGCTACACCTGCCAGAGAATGATGGACCTAGCATTAGAATTCTCGAGGATTTGTCTGGGATAAGCTCTTCGATGATAGAGCTGATATCCTTGAATGATTTGAACCAATCGAAAGGCTCGTCGCTTCTGTAAGTCTCGTTATTGACAATTTGAGTTGTGTGCACGAAGCCCTACGAAGTGTAGCGGTCATCCCTATCCACACATGAGCAAATTTTTTGTGTAAAGCCTCTCTCACAACTACCAGTATTTCTTTTGTGAGTATTCTTCGTTGTTCCCAGGAAGGATGTCCATCGCCACTGAGATGGTAGAGAAGTTGACTCTCTCCCACTGGTGCCGGCTCGATACTATATCGCAGAAAAATACTTATAAATACAAATATCCGATCTATATAGGCGATCATGGCCCAGATCAATGTCGCAGACCTCGAAGTGCCGCAACTACTGGACGTAAAGCGGCAGCTAGATCAGGAAAGTACTCATCAGATAGTTTGCATTATAACTCAGACTCGATACAGGAACTTGAGCATTTGACAGCATCATTTGGCCAGCTAAAGCAAGCGCAGGCCAAATTCAACGCATGTGCGGACAACGTCTCGCAATTAGCGTCTTCCACATCAGGTGTGCTGCTCATAAGCATATTGTGACCTATCTCATGTACTGTAGATAATCAAGTCCTCGTACCTCTTACAAACTCGCTTTATGTCCCGGGCAAGATCACAGATAAAGAACACGTAATTATAGACGTTGGGACGGGCTATTTTGTAAAAAAGGTGAGCTATACAGATAAACGATGTCGTTTCATCGCTCACCATACACAGTCGACCGCAGAGGCGACAACGCATTATAAAGGAAAGGTCGACTTTGTCACCAAGAACCTAGAATCACTTCAACAAGCGATCCAGAAGAAGCAAGAGAATCTCAACATGTTGGTGCAAATCTTGCAGGTCAAAGTAGCGGAGAGCGGCGCTGCATCAGGATCGAAGACCACATGATATAATGCTTGTCTACAGGATATAATTGAGTCTAACATCGTTGTTTGTCGATGAATTGGTTCCAGTCCCTTTTACTCTACGCGTTGCTTTTTCTCATCGCGATCACCGTCTTCCTCTGCCTTTCGCTTGCCAAGTGATGGGAGAGATCCAGAGTCTGGAACCAAGGGATTGAATGGCTTCGCGTCCGGTACGAGCGGGTTGAATGCCTTTGCGTCTGGCACGAGTGGGTTGACTCCTGGTGCCGGTTGACCAGGAGCCGGCTTCGGTTTCTTCTTTTTGACCATCGATGTCAGGTCATTGACTGGTTGATCAGGCGCAAGAGGCGCGCCAAAGCCGCTTGCATTCAACTCTTTGTCCAGTTCGCGACCTACCCTATCCATAGTCGTACCACCGACACCATCAGCAGGCGTTGCACGGATGTCTTCGAGCTACATAACCGTTGAGCGGATCGTGCACTGACTTCCTAGCAATGGGCAAACCTTTGCCTCGAGTTCCTCTGCCAGTGACTTTACGTCCTTGATTTCTGCTTCTATTTCCGACTTGGTCATTGATTCCAATGATTCGAATTTTGGAGTCCATCCGAGCGGATTCTCCTGAACTGTAGTAGCCTTCCCTTTGCCCTTGGCATCTGTTTCTACAGTCGCCTTCGATTCTGGTGCCTTTGGTAAAAGTTCGTTGAGGACATTTATTCGGCTCTTCACACTCTCCAATGCCTTTTCTACGTGTTCAATCTGGTTCTCGAGCTTTCCTGAAGTCATGTCGTAGGCTAGTGAAAGTCGGAAGTGTGCATCGGCAATCTGTCGATTTGAAATTGGGAAAAGTTTCGATTTGATGTCCAAGGCCGACTTGTAATCAAGAATGGCTTGGTCGAATTTCTCTTACAGGAAGTTCAGTTCCAAAGAAGACCTATAGGGGTAGTCTCACCTGTCTCAAGGGAAATATCACCCAGTGCCATGTATGTGGCTGCGAGCTTGAGCTGAGACTCATCCCCTTGCATGGTATCGTATGTCGTCTTTGCCAACTCCAAGATATCCCAGGCGGCTTCAAAGTCATCTTCAGGCTCCTCAGCATCACCTTCATCCTTTTCTTTCTCTTCTTCCTTTTCCGCAGCCTCGGCTTGTGCGAAGAGGTCGACTGCCGCATCTTCCTCACCCTCTGCGCCGTCTGCGCCGAAGAAAAATCGACCTTTTGTACTTTCCTCGGTCTTGGGTTCTGTTCCAGGTTGTTAGAAACCACCTTTACGCGCTATTCTTGTCCGTAGCCGGATCGTACCAGGTTCCTCGGGCTCTTCCTCTTCTTCTTGCTTATTTCCAAGCACATTGTTGGATATGATCGCGTTTTCGAGCAAGGCGCAGCCATATAGATAGTAGATGTCGACAGTGGCTGGGGTGCAATCGTTTGCACTGCGAAATGACGCGTCAACCAACGGGAGATCATTCTCTATGCCTCACTGACTAGTTCTCGAGCGCCGTCGCGTACGTTGTCACGGCCTGCTCGTACTGCTTGAGCGCGAAGGCGCGTTTGGCTTTTCCAATCAATGTCTCGAGATCTGGAACATCGGTTTTTTCATTCTCCTCTTTGACGGTCGTCGACATGATCCTTCTAATTGCTCAAGTTGGTTGGCAACTGGCGTTGGTTTGGTTCAAGTTGCGGCGCTCCTTTGACTCCTCGACAAACCTTTGGCCATGAGCTCAAAGAGGTGGGATCCCTTCCAACTTTCTTCATCGAACCCCTCTTACATCCTTGTGAAGTAAACTCGATCTTTTGGTCCGCGTTCGGTTCCAAAATCCATTGCCAGCCCCACCATATCCTCCAAAACTCCTTAATATCCCTACAAACCCAGAAAGATATGCGAGTCTCGATTATACTGGAGAACTAGCAAATGAAACTCCATTTCCGATGGTAGTTGATGCCGAAATGGGCATGCCTCTTGATTTGAGTCGATATGAATGTCTATGGCAGGAAGGAGGAGATCCACTACGCAAGTGAAGAGTCGAACAACTGTACCAGTACTGATTATTTGCAGAGTTGAACCCCGACCCTGAAAATCTCCCGCCGATAGACCCAAAGGACGAGTTCATGCTCGAGGGCTTTACCATGCAAGCAGGTCCAACAAGGCCGGGTGGGCATACAAGCTCACAGCCCCTGCAAGTCTCATGGCTTCGACGGACGGAATATGTGACGGCGAAAGACAGTTCACCCAGAATGACGATGCTTTCAAAGTAGGCAGTATTCCTCTCCCTGGTTTTTATCACTGATATTGGAATTCAGACGGGGAGCAGAGGAAGCTAACGTTGACATCTCACGCGAGGCGCAGATTCGGGACGTCGAAGCAACCTTCCCGCCGTCATATCATGGAATCGACATTACAGAGATAAGGCACCCTGCTCGACCAGCAAGGCGAGCAGTCGAAGTGTTCGAAGTCCTGCCAGATCCCGAGACATTCGCCACAGCGACTGACATCTTCCGCTTCCCTGAACGGCCTGGGGAGCGACCACTGGTTCAAGAGGATCCTCGTCTAGACTGCGCTGTGATTCGACCGGTGGTACTCGATGATGGCGAGACGTTTATTGCATATTATCTACCTCGAGACGATGCAAGCGCGGCAGAACTCAAACAACGAAGAGACTTTGCATTGGAGATGAACTTGTCAGCAGATGACAAGGTATGATTGTATCATTCAAGTTGATCTTTCTGACGTTTCATTAGCCTGTGGCCTTTGATCTCGTCCGTAATTATGAAAGCAAGGTGCTGCCGGGAGAAGGAACCGAACTAGTGCTCTTTTTTGACAATGGAGACTTGCCAGCGCACGTCGACGCCGTAGGAACTACAAGGGAACCAGAGTCAAGGCAAAAGGGCGTGTATTATAAATTGGTGGACACGCGACGAGCGCTCAAGCGGAAACGAGTCGACGTATGTTACATTCAATTCCTCGACAGCCAACTTATTCTCACAATTTTCAGCCGAACGAACCGACGGATTACTCAACAAAGACGGATGTCATTAACCTATCGTATCGTGCGATGGACGAAGGGGAGCTAAAGGAACGAGAGGCTGAGTTAGAGGAACTCATCAATCCGTTCTATGAACCTCAGGAGGAATTAGACCAAGATGATGCAGAAAAGGTTGAAAGCGTGCGAGATCCAGCCATCGACGTCTTTGGCGCGGACGATATGGACTTTTAGTACGAGATGGTTTTAATGCATTGATTTCCACAGCTTGGACAATTTGTTGTCGCATTGAGGATCGCTTGAACCAGCCAGTCTCTCAAAGGAGACGAATCGTCTTGTGGCTCCGAGTTGGCAAACATTTTGAGACCGCACTTGATACATGCCTTGATGTCTTCGGTGGACATTATATATGCCGTTGCTGCACACCGTTCTTTTGTGCCGTTAGCTTCCTTTTAAGGTAACTTTCTCTTCAACTGACCCCAATAATGACCATTGCCACAAAATGCCTGAGAGATTTCGTCGAATGGTATAGATGCTTGACACGCAGGACAGATCTCATCCTTGATTGGGTCGCTTGCGATCCTAGAACTGAGTCTCATAAATGCTTCGTAGCCGTGAAGGTGAAGCTTTTGTGCTTGCAAAAGCAGACGTCGCGCAATGTCCGAATCTATTTCGGGTGAACCAAGCCTTGACAAAGATGGCAAACTGACCCTTGAGCACGAACTCGGGTAGCTTTGAAAGCACCTCGAGTAGAGTCGCTGTGCGTGCCCCTTGGATATTATATTCAAGAGCTGACACTAGCTTTCGAAACTCTGATGTGGCAGGACGAAGAGACTAAGGGCTAGTCAACAAAGACAAATCGTGAAAAGAGATTGAACCTACGAGGCAAAGAAGTGCTATATTTAATTTGAGTCTCTCTCGGAAGAGATCTGATCCCCCGTAGAGTGCAGTCGACAATATATGCTGTATTTCCGTCTTCCATTCGTCTGTGAGCTCGGTTTCCATTGGCTCTGCAATGTTGGGGGTTTCTATTTGTTTTATTGTCGAGATTTGTAGTAGTAGAAAGAGATCATTCTCTCGACGCTCAATAAAATCCCTGCGATGAAGTTGAGTGTATGCTCCCCGTAGTCTGTTGATAGGTGACTCCGAAATGACTGTTGGTCGTCAGTGACGGAAACCCGGATACGAACACGTACATCGTGGTGCTTCAGTCAATGAAACGCGAATTTCATTCAAACCGCGAGAATCATATGCTTCTGGGGATATCAATGGTGCTACGACCAAGAGACAGCGAATTGCAGCGTCCGGGGTGAACGTCAGTGCTTCTGGAAGTACCTTTCTAGGCGAGTGTAAGCACAAATTCACATATGGTAGGAGAAATAGTACTGATGTAGCCAAACAAAGGTTCCCCCAGAATCAAATGCAGCCGCTCCCGTCGTTTTCGCTACATGATCGCGATAGATCCTGGGAACCTCTGACCCATCTCTTGGTCTAACCATGTCTTTGGACTGTGCCAATATGAACGCAGCTCGGGCGACTTTGGACATCGCTATCGAATTGCACGGTGTGTCGGAGTCGTCTGAAATTCTCGGTGTAGATGATATGTCACGCAGGACATGAAAGTTTCCATCACAGAGAGGAATGATGAGCGCATCCTCGTGGGCAAGATATATAACACCTTGAACGCGTTTGTAAACACACAAGTTTGACTATTGTGCGCACCTGCAGCGGGGGAAAACTGGGTCGATCCTCTTGACGTCTCGACGGATGAAAGTTCCAGATTCTGCAAGCCGTGCCAAGACGAGCCACTTGATCTCCATAAATGGACCGAGCCTGGCTTGCAATGCACCAGTATTGATTGTTCTTGGCCGAGTTGAGGATTTCGAGGGGCTGAATTTGAGTCATTGTTCCTCTCTTCAATCCATTCGAGTGCAGTAATCCCTCTCCCGTCGTCTTCATACGGTATGGAGGGTGACGCAGACACTTTGAGCGACCAATCATCATTCTCCCATGTTTGGTGTACGTTTAGTAGAATAATTCTGCCCTGAGGAAGTCCACAGGCAAGAGTAGCGGTCACTTCAAACATTAATGTCGGTTCAGAGAGCCGGCAAAGGCATACCATTGGTGGGTGATTCGCTCCAATTTGACCACGCCAAGTCAGTGATCCAACTGTCCGATACATCCACAAGCTCCACGATTACAAGTTTTTGGTTCTTGAGCCTCCAGAAGACAACTTGTCCGCCACAAGTCCCCAAGGCGAGAAGTGAAACCGAAGTTGGAGAGGGTTTCAGGGACCATGCAAGACCTATGGATATACATTAGGGGGACATGGGCAACCAAGTGTGCACCGACACTTGGTTTGAGCATGTATGACTTTCTGACTGGCATTCATGTCCACACGTTCCTTGATGTGTAGCCTCAGGTCGCCAGTAACATTCTGAACCTGGCAAAGAAATGTCAGATGAAGGATTTGACGGATATGGTACTGACATGAGACCATTCCCCGATGGACGGATTCTCTGGAGGGGTCCACAGATGAACTTCTGCATTGCTGGTGAGAGTTGCAAGTAGGCAACTACACAGTGTCAGATTTCAGCTATACTTTATCCTTTCGCACCTGCCAGATGCGCTGTGGCTCGTAGGAGAGCAAGTAACGGCGACCCAAGCAGAGTCGAGCGTTCCAAGACAGACGGTGGACCAAGCTGCCAACCAGTCAGCTTTGTTCATTGTATACAAATTGTTCGACCTGTGCTTTCCTCGGGCCAATGACAATTTGCAGACACGAGTGGAATGCTCGTCGTTGCCCATTTGATCGCTGAGCTATCGTTCTCGATAAGTGATGTAGATGTTTCAAAGTAGCTCTTCTTGAGCCCATTATCTGGCGTCTTGCACCAACATCAGTTCTTCGTGTCCTGGACAACTGCAACGAGAGGTCGCTCACAAGGATATAGATCATCGCCTCGCCAAGGACAACCAGTTGACCGTCTTCGTTCCATTGCAGTGCACGAGATGAGGCCTTTGGCGGCTTGGTGGGCATGCCCGCAAGCCCGTAGAGCGCACCCCGGGACATGGTCATCTTCCAAGCGTGGCTAACAACTTTGGACCCAACCTTTACAAGCAAAATGACAGTAAGCTGCCATAAACGCTGGATATCACAATATCGACAGTTAAATAACTCTAGGACCTGACATATTGCTATCTCCACATGACAGAAGCGGAGATTGATAGTCTAGATCGTTGGGACGAGTCGGACTATTGGGATTTTGCCATCTCAGACGAAGGTGGAGGCTATTAATAGTATGAGTGCAACTATTTAATCACTCTTTCAGAGCTCCAAATTCCATCGTACATGATCCCTCCAAATCCGGACGATACAGAATGTGAGCACAGCGTTTTCTCGTTGAAGTTGCTGAATAATACAAAGGCCTTCCTTCCAATGTTCATATATCCTACCCCTATGGAGATCCCACGCGTTTGACGCATCCATCCGCCCAAGCTAACCGTATAATAGACCCAAACTCGCGAGCAATGTACGACGAAACGGGTGGTGTGGGGAGTAACGTCAACGTGGGCATGCTATGGAAGGATCTCGCACTCGATATCCTGCTACCCACGGATCCCATCAAGGAGGAAGCCCTGCGAGCCGCAAAGGCGCGTAAACTGGCCAACGGCGTGCAGTCTGACGGAGATGAATCAGAGGACTATAATCACGATCTCGACCCTGAGGAAGACACCAGTGCCCTGCCAGAGGAACAGACTTTTGAAGAAGAGGAGGGGGAAGAGCATGCGCAGACCCCCGAGGGTTCGGACGAGTCGGATTGAACGCTCTATGACCCAGCTGTAATTTATGATATTGTTATTGCTTGTATCAACGCCTCTGCTACATCCTCATGCAGAAGATCAGTCGGCTCGTGCCCTGTTTCCACCACCCAGTCGTATGCGTGATTGATTGTTACATCAGTGATGGAGACGTAATACTGTGCAAGCACTTTGACCACATTGGTAACACGAATGATCGCCAGCCGCGTCGAGGTGTCAATGTACTAGCCAAATGAATGAGTATATCATACCAGGCACGTAGGAACTCACATCATTCTTATTCGAGTAGACTGACTCTGCATTGAACCCATCTTCGCCCACTTGCTCGTTCTCTTTGACATGCTTGCATACCCAAACGTATCCGTTCACCCCTAAAATGACATCCACGCCACATGTAAGTGCACAAAAATGTGACTTTAGGCGCTTGATCAGGATAGGTGGGACCGTGACTAGTTGACCGTTTCGCAGCTTTGGAGTGTAAGAGATGACTTAAAGAATGTGGAAGACTAACCTTTCCATATCTAAGTGATCGTGTATGCAACGACATGGCGCCGTCCATAAAGAATGCCTGAACTTCAGCGACGAGCAAGTCTCCCTCTTCAAAGAATGCCCTCATTTGTAACTCGTCGCTCTCTAATTTCCGTCTCTGCACCGTTTTAGTGCATTTTGTTTGTAATTGTAATTGCAGACATACCTGAATCCCACCAGGGAGATTGACAGAGGAAAGCATCAGGACGGCGTCCTGTCGTCCATTGGCATCGACTTTCCATCGTTTGGGTTGTACCTGGGAGTTTATGAATAAACATTTATCAGATATATTGATTCCCACCTCGACAATCCGCGCGACGACTAGATCTCCGATTTCTGGAACGTATCTAACAGGAATGAGAGGATGAGTACTACGAGATATGATTTACCGTGATCGAATGGGTTTTACAGAGAGAAGCTTATTTACTCGCTGCAGCGTTCCGGCAACGGTGGCGGCAACTTCGTCTCCGTCTGCAAACGTTCCATGGCCCCTGAACAGCACTCAGGTTTAGAAAACAGACAAAGGCAGAGACGGTACCTCATAAACTCTGTGACAGACGTGATTGTCTGTCCTGGTGCGACGATGCCCGTCTTGTTCCCAACCAGATCATCGTCCCAATCCATTTCCTCCTCATTTACATATGAATCATGCGCATTTCCCTCGTAAACTGAGATCTGTGGACCCAAAGGAGCAAATTTGAACATGGTCGCTGCTTCCAAAGTTTACTTCGGTTAATTTTGTTCCTAGCCACCAAGTCATCTGTCCGGAAATGTCAAAATCCGCGCTTGAAATCGCCAAAGCAGCACGAGCAGCCTTTGAGGCGTCTCAGTTGCTCACATCGGAACAGCGCACAAATGCATTGCTCGCCGTCCGAGATGAGCTCGAGCGGCAAAAGGATGCAGTGCTCGAGGCCAACAGAAGAGATATGAGTGTACGCATATTATTAATTCCACACGTATATTAAAAATAGGAACTGAGTGAAACACAGGCGGCAGAGGAACTCGTCGCAGCAGGCAAACTATCCGCGTCGTTGGTCAAGCGGCTCGACCTTTCGTCGACCGAAAAGTGGAACTCTATGCTACAAGGAGTGTCAGATGTGGCAAAGCTAGCAGATCCTACCAACAAAGTGACCTACGCCACCAAACTCGACGATGGCCTCGAGTTGTATAGAGTGACGTGCCCGATTGGCGTTCTTCTCATCATCTTTGAAGCTCGCCCCGAGGTTGTCGTCAATATTGCCTCCTTGGCCATCAAGTCCGGTATGTGTCGTCTCCGCACGCTCTCGGATAGATTGATGCTAATGACACCAGGCAATGCTGCTATTCTCAAAGGAGGTAAAGAGTCCACAGAGTCCGCCAAGGTACTGGCAAACTGCATTCGCACTGCGCTTGCCTCTTCAAGCGTGCCTGAGGATTATATCCAAGTCGTCCAAACGCGTGAGGAGATTTCAGAACTGCTGGAGCAAGACAAGTACATCGACCTGGTGATTCCACGGGGAAGCAATGCACTCGTTTCCCACATCCAACATTCAACGCGCATCCCGGTGATGGGCCATGCAGACGGCCTCTGCACAGTCTATCTAGATGCCTCGGCGGATTCGGCAAAGGCATGTCGCGTGGCGGTGGACTCAAAGACGAATTACCCTGCGGCATGTAATTCTGCCGAGATCCTTGTCGTGCATAAGGATATTTTGGAGAGCGTGTGGCCCCGCGTGGCGGACGCACTAGTCAAAGCCGGTGTCGAGCTGCGGTGCGACGAGCCATCGCTAACCTCGATCAAGCCATCACAGGACAGCGACTTGATTAAACCATCAATTTCAACAGACTATGACACTGAATTTCTCAACTTGACAATGGCTGTCAAAGCGGTGGCGAGTTTCGACGAGGCGGTGGCATTCATCAATACGCATTCTTCCCACCATACGGATGCGATAGTGACCGAGAGTCAAGAACTCGCACGTCGGTTCTGCAGATCAGTCGACAGTGCAGGCACGTTTGTCAACGCGAGCACACGGTTTGCAGACGGACTTCGGTACGGGTTCGGGACAGAAGTTGGGATAAGTACCGGCCGGACCCACGCAAGAGGCCCGGTGGGACTCGAGGGGCTGGTGATCTACAAATATGTCCTGATGAGTGGCGGTCAGGATGGCCACGTTGTTGGTGAATTTGGAACTGGTGGAAGGGCATATCAGCATTCGCCTCTGGCGCCCAGCTTGCCCTATTGAACAGGGTTTTCTATTGTGACTCCAGGTTCGCTTGTTTTCGTCCCTCTGAGCGGTGTCGGGATGAATATAAATTCACTTTGTGAAGCACTTATACCTTGCCCCTTGTCTGAGCTATCCGCGCAACGCTACTTGATCCCTCGTCCATGTCGCAGTCGCGGACTCCAAAGCGGGCGCGTCTTAGTTGCGCAGAGTGCAGGTAAGTTTCAGCAATCATCCATAATCTGATCAAATCTTCTTACCGCTCCCCGGCAGACGCCTCAAAATCAAGTGTACGCCAGTCCCTTCGAGTCGTATGCCGTACTGACCACCCCCGCAGGTGACCGGTCAGCGGGATCCTTAAAAAAATCGTGGAAATGAAGACTGATGGGTTATAGAATAATTCCATGTAGTCCGTGTCAGCGTCGCGGGTACGTATGACCACCGGCAGCCAATCGCCGTTTGTAATCTGACACGCCTTTGTAGTTGCGCTTCGCTTTGTCCTGATGGGAGTCTGGTTAGTAAGGGCAGCAGGTACGCCGATCACCCCTATCTGGACGCTTGTGCCGACCACAGGCAATCCAGATATGTCCTGAGCGATACCGAGAGTCTTCACCGCAAAATTGAAGGTTTGTCGTCTTTCTTATCAGAATTTACATATTCATTCTCCCATAGAACTCACTCTCCGAGTCCGCGAGCTCGAAAGCGGCCTTCAGGCTGAGCGCTCCCTCACTTCATCAGAGCCCCATCCATTGCTTGATGAATCTCTTTTGTCCATTGCCGCGCCTGCAACTCAAGAAGATCACTCAGCACTGGCTGAGGATGGCCCCATCTCTGGATTCGGGACCCTCATGGTTGCTGTGCGTCTCTGCTTCTCGCCTTTGTCACTTAATCATACTCTATTAGGAAGATGGAACGAGAATGAAGTGGCTTGGGTGCGCCCCGGAGGTCCTTCGCCGTGAATTTACTCACAATCCTGCAGCGCTACAGCGGTCGCCGCATGGTTCCTCGAGGTGCGACTTAGCCCCACATCTATTGTTACGTAAAAATGCTCACATGAGACGGCAGGATGGCGTGGACGAAGACGCCGCAGCCCATCAAAATTCAGAATGGGAGCTTGACAAGCATATTCTCGATCTCTGCCACAACTTTCCATTTGGAAACCTTCTCATTCACGACAAGTCTAAAGAGGAGCTGTACAATTATGTCCCACAGGACGAAGCGGATGCCCATCTACTCGTCGACCGCTTCTTCAACTCGGTAAGGCTTATTCTACTCAACTGGTCCCGCTGACGCACGTCGTAGGTGGGATGGCTTTACAACTTTGTGCCACGCCAAAAGCTACACGAGATGGTGCAGTCCATGTATGATCCGAGCATGCAGATTATCGGTCCACACAAACTTGCGGTCGTCTACATGATCTTTGCGCTCAACGTTTTAGTCGACCAGGATCCCAAGCCCGAATGGCGCAGTTCTCATACATACTCTCAGCTCGCTAGGGCTTGTCTGGGCGTGGAGACCGTCTTTGGAACCAATGCAACATTGGCGACCGTGCAGGCACTGTCGCTGCTCTCGCTCTGGTACCAGCTCGCCGATGATTCAGGTACATCACTTCACTCACACTTCTGGCCCCTCTCATCTCCTTCTAGGTGACCCATCGCGAAGCTGGGGGTGCCTCGGCTTGACATTCAAGGTTTGTGCCTCTTGTTCCCATATCGAGTACTCTCCTGAGAGACGTTGCGCAGGTCGCGCAGAGTATTGGATTGCACAGAGACGGCAAGAACTGGAATCTATCAGAAGAGGAGTCGCTCGACCGACGAAGGGTGTTCTGGGAACTCCAGGCCCTTGATGTCTGGCAGGCTCTAGGGTATGGGCGTCCGCCGAGCTTAGTCAAGCCACATTTCGACTGTCCTCAACCATTTGATACGGAAGAGAGTCTTGGGCATCCACCAAACTTTCATCGCTGGAAGGTGAATCCTGTCCCTTTCTGTCTCCGATCGAGCGGAGCTGATCACACACACGCGCTTGCTCGTCCCGTTTCTTAGCATCATTACATTTCGGCCATCATGAGTGTTCTAGACCACGCTCTTATTTCGAATTCGACAACCTCGTCCACGAGCCCGCATGCTATCATTCTCAAATTGGACACCAAGATTCGGAGCTGTGCGATTCCAGCAAAGCTCCAACTCAAGGACGCAGCTGCGCGCAGCCAGGCAGACGAGATGCTGCTTCTGCAACATTATACGTCAATGGTGAGTAGCCGCTTGTCGGACCGGGGCCAATTGACCGGTTTATGCAGCTCTCGAAAGAGTCGGCGCTGATGTACCTCCATCGAGGTGAGCGCTCAGTCATCAATGTCACGAGTTCTATCTCATATCTGTCAAGGATTCTTTGCACGTGCCGTTTTTGATCCCCCGCACGAGCCACTACGCCATAAATACTCGCACTCGGTCCTCGCGTGTTTTACCTCGGCGTGCCAGATCCTGAGGTGGATGCGGGAGGTTGTTTATCCTTATTCGCATCTATTGAACAGGCTGTTCGGTACGCACCCTGCCACTTGCTGAATAAGAAATTGACGGGCGCTATTCTATTAGGATGGTGGGGACACGCGTATTCGTCGGCGGTGAGCATATTTGGCGTGGCCATTTTTAACCAATTGCTAATTCTTCACAGGTCACCCTTGGCGGACTCGTGGTCATGAGTCCTGGCTGCAACCTAGCCGAACAAGCCCTTCGGGAGTTTGATGCCGCAATCGAAATGCTCAATCATGGCACCGTCGGCCCAAAGGCTCGTCGAATTCTCGTGCGTCCAATGGTGACCATTCTGCGAATCTCGTTTGCTGATACACTCTGTGTGTGTGCATAGCCCGCACTAGAGAAGCTCCAGAAAAAGGCAAGGGAAAATTATGAGCTATTCCGGGCTGGCAAGTGGCATCCAGACAATAAGAAGAATCCTCCCCCGCCAGAGATGCCGGGTCTAGGTGCCGCATCACTTCCTCTGGCCAGCAAAATGCATTCCCAACCCCAAGATTTCGATGTCAGTAATCACCCTGGGCTATGGGAGATGGAGGTCCAGCCATCGCCACCTTCGTCCCGTGGCTTTTCGGGTTCCATCTCGCCAGAGGATCAGATTGCTCTCCAACTTCCAATCCATACCCCAGGTCCCTCAATCCCGATCACCGTGGACATGGCACGTCCAGAACTTAGCATCCCACCAGAGGGCATAGCATACCAGCGGGCGCAGAGAGCACAGTCGTTTGACGATTACCTACGACTTCATAGGATGCAGGACTCATACATGGTGAATACCAACACACAGTCAGCACCTCCTGTGACAACGACGTTACCCTCCTTCTCACAACACCCCTATCAGATGCCTCCTACCGGTCATGCTCCAGCCACCACAGTTGCCGCAGCGACACCCTGGACAGGACATGATCAACACATGGTATACTACGATCCCATGTCACTCCACCAACCACCCCCACCACTCGATGGTTCTGTAGCATTCGAGCCTCACGATGCAGGAGGCGATCATTACAACGAGGTTTCATGGCAACTCTTCGTCAACGGTCTAGGTCTATAATCTCCAATCTCGTAAATTGCTTGTTATGTAGCGTTTTAGTACTCTGTCTCTGGAAATAGACAACCTGCTCCCTACCTTATCATGGACGAAATGGATACACGAGTTCCAGACCCGTTCGCCGTTGGAGATGACGAGGAGGAGGTTGAAGCTTACAATGATAATCTATTAACGCCAACTGTACCAGCACAGGAGGCCCCTGGAGTGCAATCACCATCTCCAGTGCAAAAGGATGCGCCTCCGATTCCTCCTCCTAAAATAATCACGAAATCACAAGGTGATATACGACCTCTGCTCTCTGTGAACATGTTCCTGCCCGTACCAGACGTACGTCTTCCCGCAGCCGCGTCAGACGTCTGATCACGACTAGTCACCTATCACAGTCGGATCCCTTGACGCTGCTAGTCGCAAAGTATATTCCGGACCCGCAGGCACGTCCGCGTAGAGATTTGTCGGGAGACTATACGCACACCGACCTGCGTACACTCATTGTTAGCAGTTACTTCTCCACACTGCTCATGCGTTAACGATTTGCATCTAGATGACGAATAGTTGGCGTGCTACTGCCCGACTTGCGAGGGACCAACTCACATCGGGCCGCGTTCAGGATGTTTCCGAAGTCCTCGAGGTGGGTTTCGACCAGAATAGTATCCACTCACAGATATTCACATAAGCCTCCAGTGGTGGTGTCTCCGCCTTCACTCGCTTGCCCGTCTACGATTGTATAATCAAACGGCAGCCGAGTGCACGACGCTATTCAACGTAATCTCTTCACTACAGCCTCCTGAATTTTGCAATCATGTCAAAGATCTCCTCCCACTCGACTTGGACCTCTGCCGCTGTCGGCTACGTTATTGGGCGAACGATTCGATCGGATATGTCGATGCATTGATGCTTACTCTCAACTCGTGTAAACGTAGTCTTGCAAAGGCTATGAAGCGAAACGTGCAAAATGCAACTGTGGACGGGTCAGTCGAGAGGTGGACAGAACGGTGTGCACGAGTATCACTCGTTCTGGCATCCCAATTGGTCGAGATGAAGGTGAATGTCCTCACTCATTCGAAGCAATCCTCGCGCTTACTTCTCTTTTAGCAATACACGACGGCCACTCGCATTCTGGAAACCATGATCCTCCATCCATCAGCTCCACCAGACCTACAAGGTGCACTCGCAATGGTCTACCTCCAAGTAGGTGATCTCGGCGCAGCTTCTTTTCATCTCAACGAACTCGCCGTCAATTCACGAGTGGATCAAGTCACGAAGACTACGAACGAGATCCTCAAGGCGTGCTTCATGGGTGAATGGGCTACGGCCGTCGATATGCTGCAGGGGAGAGCAGAAGAGTTGGTACAGACGGAGAATTACGTTCAGCGCGCGATCGTACGTTTCCACTTTGACCTAATATACATTGAACGAGCCTTTGCTCAGGACGCAAACAATCTGGCAGTCGCCTTGCTAAATCTGGGCAAGCTCTCCGAGGTGAGCTGTAAACTCTCAAAAACAACCATCTCATATAGGTAGGGAATCGCCGTGCTCGAAGACATCTTTGTACAGTCCCCGTCCATGGCTGTCGTCGCCGAGCCACTTATCTTCAATCTCGGTAAGCCCATTCTTATACCCCCTAGCTCACCTAATACTCACTTGATTGTTAATATCAGCGACGATGTATGAGCTACGGTCCAATACAGCCATGGACCGTAAGACGGCAATGCTGTCAAAGGTTGCACTCTGGAGCGGTGACGGCTTGCGACATGCTGTCCTTAAACTCGGATAGACGGATGCGTGAGCAAGGTCCATGGTAATATAGCGGCGAATAAAGGATAATGTACATGCGAGATGTCCGAAATCGAGATACAAATCGGCAGCTGCAAGGTATCAAGCACGAAAGCGAGTTTCCATCTACTGAAGTCGCGCTCATCCATTCGGTTCATCCTATCCCCTCCATGCGGGATTCAGACGTGGCGAATGTGGCGGCGAGTTGCTCTGAGGGAAATACGTCGACTGAGAGGGCGATGCCAGACTTCCCGGTAGATATAGAGGAATTGTCGGAAGCAGTTCAAAGACGTGCTGTGCGACTCCCTTACTGCTAGTGCGCATCGGACCGTTGAGATTGGGCACTTCCTGTGCGCGCATCGTCGCATGCACTCTTGCATCCTGTGCACCACCTTCTTGCCACCCGTCCGGTCCGGGCGTCAAGATAGGAGGTGCAGATCCACCTCTCCCATCCCATAGGCAGCGTACGTCCCGTCCTGGGATGATTTGTGCAAGTCGGCCCGTCTCAATATGTCGGATCTCAATAAACCGCGTGTCGAAAAGAAGGATATAAGGTGGGTGACAAGCCACCTTTTCCGCGCTCCCTTCCCATTCGACCGTCAAGACTGCACGGCTTGGGTCGCCATGTCGGTTGACATACATGCCAAATTCTATAAGGAGAGTGAGTATTCGCTTGGAATCGAGAAAGGCACTTGCCCTTGTAGCACAGCAGGAATTCACTTTCACTCGAACGGAACATGCCTAGCGGAATTGCCGTTTCTAATCGCTTGTTCATGCCCAGCAAACGTGGATCCTCTCGCTGAGGAATGGTGACACTCTTAAAGCTAGAGAAAGGTCAGGACTGCCAATTGCTTCCTCCAAACTCACTCTGCCAAGTCCATAACTTCGAACCCGCGAGTGCAGCAAATTGCAATCTTCGCCTTTAGGAAGTAGAGATCAAACGTCTCGCAAGGTAGGAAGAAGTCCTATAAATGCGATCAGAACCCTCACTACCGGCGATTGAGGGACATGTCTCACCCTGAAGATGCGGAACCACTCGGAGCGAGTATTACCAAAGCCTGCAAATCGCCCGAGTCCTCCAGGGGCTCTGGCCTTTTCGTTGATGTGCTCTACAACGGGTTCCAGCACACGGAAGACGCTTTCCAACTGGGAATAATGAGAAAATGATAGGCGAAAGCCAAGAGACCTACCCCTTTCTTTTTCATATAAATGATGAGCGTGCGCCCGCCCATGGTACCGACACTGAAAAACTGAACTTCTTTGTTGCCATTGAGCTTCTGAGGTGGACGCGAAGAGTGGGGAGACGGCGGAGTGGAAGGCACGAGCGCCTCGATGTGATAGGCAAATAGTGACTTTATAAATATAAGCCACCATCATGGGCGATTCTGTAAGCCGTACCTTGTCAGCGAGAACCAAAAATATACCAAAGTCTTCCAGCATAGCACATTGTGTCACAAGCTTGAGGTGCAATACTCGCCGCATTGCTAAATATTGTTAGCCCTCTACTTGACAGGTCTTGCGCTTCGTACATTTTGAGTCATGCCTCAGACCAATCCAGACCCCTTCTGCGCATCCAATCGCTACGAGATGACGTCCATCATTCGTTGCTGAGATTGTAAGTACAGATACAGTGCTCCATGCGGTGCTTACTGAATGGAACCGAGCAAGTGACATTGCCGGTAAACATGCCTTCCTCATTCCAGGACGGAGCGGACATGTTCTGATGCAAGGACGGAACAAGGAATGTGTCGACGCTAAGAGTCTCAATCTCGAATACCTAGAGACGACCAATCAGTAAACCGTATTCTTCCCTCTGTGGAAATTGTCACCTTGTTCGACTCTTGGACTACACTCCTCAGTCCACGCGCTTCTTCGAGCTTCATCTTCCACTCTTGTCGAGCTTGAGCGGTTTCTGTGAAGAAGGTATGCACGCCACCGGAGCGACCATTGTGGTGAATTTGAAGTGGGTAGACGTATCGATTGTCGTTCACGTCGTTGGCTGATCCTGCCGCGGCGTTGGGATCGCCTGCTATAGACTGTACTGTCCTGGCTCGGGGTCGAAGCAGCCCAGTGGAGCGTTGGGAGGGCGGATCATTAAAGCTCAAAAGGGAAAGAAGATCAAGAGGTATCGGCTTTGTGGAATCAGATCTGAACAGGATGACCAGGAAAGCCTACCCGACGATTGACGTGATACTTTATCACGCCGTCCTTTTCTCGTTGCTTTGTCATGACGACTGAGCCTCGTTAGCATGCGCACAACATATGAGCGTATCCACTCACGATAGTTGTCGAACAAGAGTACGAACAATTCCGACCATCCGCCTGTGATATCGAATCCATTCTCTGGTTGCCTGAGGAGTTTCCCGGTATGAATCAAGACGCGAGTCTCGTCCAATAAATCCATATCCTACTGGGCTTAGTGTCCAATCTCTGATGGCCATTTATGGACATACAACAAATTCGCCAGGCTTGAATACGAGGTCGGCATGATATCTCCAAAGTTCCACCTTTTGTTTTGCAGCTTGGACGCCAGGTTCTGTTGCTTTTCCTAGGTCCTTTATGACCTCGAGAACATTTGGAATGGCCTCTAGATCATCATGTCCCGGAGGTGTCACCTCTAAAATACTCTTGAGCAAAGTTCATAGCGTAGCAAACGCGGGATGGGACGGTTAATGAACGCCTTCAAGTCTAGCTTTCTCGAGTCTGGATGTCGCGTGCATTGCTAAAGGGGTGTTGAGCTATATCGAACGTGTGTAAATGTCGACCGACCTCGATGAACGCCTTGAAGGAAGCATTATTCGCCATTTCGTCGTCGATGCGGAAAGCGGCAATGGGATAGTGAGGAATATACTCTAGATAAGCATCACGCCAGTTTAGTGCCGCATCAAAGACGGGAGCTGTGATACTGCGAATGAACGGGTGCTCCTCTCGCTGAATTTCGTAGAGACTGTCGAGCATACGACGATGGTGACCGTGAAGCTCGGCAAAATTGTGGAAAACATCCTGAAGGAATGTTGGCAGACGATCTCTTGGGATGATTTCCGATTCGCGAAGCGGCCGAATGAAGAGCTGGACAATGTCAACACACTTATTCATATGGGAGTATGAACACCAACCGTTTCGATAGTCTCTAGATCCTTGACGTAGATCATTTCACCTTTGATGAGCTCCCAAATGATGCTGTCGATATGTTAGAAACGTAGGAGACACAAAGTATTACCTACGATTGTCGCTTGCCTTCCTGTTTAGCAACACTGGCACGAATTTCCTTTGGGACGACATCATGCCACTCCCATTTCCCGGTCGGACCTCGTCCCATAGCCGATTGGAACGTGCGGAGTTGTGCCACACTGGACAGATTACGAATAGCATGCTCGGCTTCACGCAAGAAATCCGCATCCGGATTGCCTTCAGCCGTCTCCGTGAATATGGCCTCGAGCAGCACTGGATATTTCTGGAGATGCTCTGACGGTCGATAGATAAAGTGCTTCATATCCAGACCACGAGCATCAACGCGAGCGCTTTGCTGAAAAGAGATTAATCGTGGAATTGACATATTTTGCAATGACCTACTTCGAGGAAGCGCCTAAACTCGGCATTATTTTCCGCCTCTTCTTTGATTCGCTTCTCTGCGACTGGTAGATTGCCAACGTAGGTCGGATAAACCATGCGAAACTCGGCAGCAGCTTGAAGGAAAATGTCTCCAATCCGCTGGATGATTGGACCTTGCTCTCGTTGACGAACGAGCATCACATCCAACAATCGCTTGTTGCATTGGCGAAGCTCGTAAAAGTTGCCAAAGACGTCCTGGATGAATTCTTCCAGTTCATCTTCTCCACGGATGATTGGGGGTTTCGCTCGTCGAAGTTCCTTGATGAAGATCTACCGCGCATGAGGAAGATACAAAGACAAAGACAAAATTTCTACCGTTTCAATGAGATCAAGATCCTGAACGTATTGTTGCTCTTTCCCAATAACTTTGGCTATGATACTGAAGATAGTCAGTCACATGTAAATTTGTAGCCATATGGTCACCCACGTTTGGCGCCTGACCTCGGACTCGGGCAAAGTGCTGAGGGTCTGCTGGTCAACCAGCTCTCCCCACGGGGTCTATAACCAATCAGACCAAAGCTCCTGTTCGGTACTGACTTACATCGATTACGGGCTCAGGGGCAGCCGTCGTCCCACCAAGCTGACTCTCAAGAGTGAATGCCTGTAACACAGTCAGCGACATTATACATGAGCAAGGGGACAAATGACGGACAGATTCACGCCGAGGGCACGAATATGAGTAGCACGGAGAGCCATCTTGGCAACTGGGTGCATAACACTTTGTAAGGAGCGTGATGACACCGGTAGGTAGCTCTTCTCGCTCCATACGATACTGCTCAGTCGCGCCTTCGCTGCCCGGATTATCGTCTAAGAACATGTATACGTCTTCCAAACCATCTTGAAGCAAGCGGCCTCCCCACTCGACCTCGTAAAAGAAGAGTTGACTTTGAAGACTGCGAGCAACTTGGAGTGCTGCACGGCGATCGGTCACTTGGAAGCCCATGTTATTCTGAAACTCTTTCTGGATCTGTGTCTGAATGGTCGTCTTTATTATGATGATCAGTTTGACTATCACGTAGCAGCAAGAGCGTACTCACCACGATGTCCTTTCCAGTAAACGCCATGGGATAGGGGATGCTGCCTTTGACATGCGTTCCACGCGGTACTCGATCACGCAGCCGGTTTGCCAGGTGAGACAAGAGGGAAAGATTGACAAACCGATCTTCTTCGAGTTCCTCATCATCCTCTTCCTCTTCTTCATCCGCATGAAGTCCGAGCGGTGCCTTCATAGATGCCATTCGCTCGTAGTTGCGGTGCCTTCGGCTAGAGCTTTGACCGGGTTCAATGACAGTCGTCACAATCGCGGGTGTGTTGTACATATTGTGCGAGGAATAAGTGTCCCTCGAGTATGTGTTCTGAGCTGCGGTTGATGCCCCGGTCGGTTGTCCGTATAAGATTGGGTTACGCTTGGACGATGTTGGCGTCAAGAGGTTTGATTCATCTGTCGATGCCGCCCGTGGCTCTCTGAGCAAGCTGTCCACAGACGCATAAGAGGAAGTCGAGGTCGATCTCATGAGACCCATTCCCAACTCGTATCCTGGATCGTCCTGAGGCACTGCCGAGGGCGAAAGAGTTGCATAATTGGGATCTTGTTGAGGAGATGTACAGAGTACCAGGTGCCGGAGGTTGTGCAGATCTTGCATTTGCATAGCCATTGCTCTGGGAAGTATAGTAATTGTCGTGAGAAGAATATCCCTGAGATACGTTCGTGCTCTTCATTGCTCCATTCATGCCCCCATGATCTACATGTGAAGTCGAATTCGGCGACGTTCCACGGTATCCATAAGCATTGGGATCTGGACGAGAACCCTGATCGCTGTAGTACTGCTGCTGCTTTGAGTAGCTATCGTCCTTCGAGTTGTAATAATTATAGTTCTTCTCTGGGGGGTAAGAGTTGTGACTGCTGTTACTCGGAGCATACTCTGGTTCGTTTGAGCGATGCGGCGAGTATTGCGACGGGGGATGATGCGATACACCATAGTTTGACTTTGTTTCCAGATAAATTTGCGGTGGTAGCTGGGTTTGGTAAGTGCCAGTGTGCGACGTCTGATAGGAAGACGTCGACGAGCGCGGCGTCTTCTCATCAACACCGTACACGTTTGGAGGAATAACTGGTCTTGGAGGCATTGCTCCTCCCGGAAGAACAGGCAACGGTCTCGATCGCCCTCCTCCAGGCGTTCTGGGAGGCGCAGGCTGAGGCGGTGATCGCAGGTATGACGATTGTTGTGCTTTGAATGCGAAACAAAAGTGTCAGCGTACCAGATCCAGCCTCCGTTGAGGGCGCCATTACCTGGATTCTCGTAATGGCCTTGATCTCTCGTGCCCGCTGGAGCAGACGTGCCTACAGGTGTTCGTGTGCCATTTAATTCTTGTTCTTCGTTGTGAAAGGTGTCTACGGCTTGCAGGTATAAGCTCGTGATGTCGTCGTTGTCATAGCTCGACCGCGACTGGCCGCCATATGGCGCAGACATGCTTTTGGATACGCCTTGGATGATCTAAAGCCCCGATGCAAGCAAATGAAGCTGAGATATGCGTGCCCCACTATATACGAAAGGATATGGTCAGGACCAAGGCGTGTCTCAATAGTCGTGCAGTTCTCGCACACAATTCATTGTTTCGAGGGGATTTACATATCTACAATGAAATTCCAAGATCTCGCATGAGAGTGTCCCACTCTGTATACGAGAAGCCGGCCTGGGCACTGGTCGCATCAGAACCGGATGGCATCGGTCCGTTTGCCTCTGGGATAGATTGCAGCAGCTCGGGATCGAATCTAGTGCCAGCTGAAGTCGATTCTCCTGGCATGAAAGCCCCTGCAGCCGTGTAAGCAGCATTGTTCTGGGACCCCTCAGAGAGAGATTGCTGGAGGAAATCGTAGAGGGACGGATGTGCTCCTTCGAATTGGACCGGGACCTGGGCCGTGGCGGAAGGCGGGCCTGGCTGTTCTTCCCCAGAAGGCGGCGTCGATGCGGGTATTGGCTGAGATGGAACGTTGGAGTCTCCTATGGCCAATATACAGCCCTCTTCGATCCTTACGCAGTCTTCTTTATGCAAACTAGCCACGGGGATGTGTACCTGTGCGGCTTTACAGACAAGTCGGCTCTCGCCAGCTAATGCCGTAAGCTCTTTTGCGTGTTCGCCAGTTTCTGACAGCTGTCCAGTTGCGTGCAAAAAGTATGTATGATGGGCAGTCTGTCGCAGACGCAGCAACGTAGGCTGGAAAAGAGGCGTCAGATCATCTTTTACGCACGACTATTGGCATACCAGCAAACGGGAGACTCTACGATTACGCTGCTCTTGTTCGAAGATCTGGCATGCCTGGTCGAGCTCGGACAAGGCACGGATAGCCAATGGTGAGCCAGGTGCAGAGACTACAAAGGCCGCAAGAGCAATCGCAGCAGTTCCTCCGTGAGACCAAAAGAAGTAGACACGCGACGTTGCCTGTCGCTCAATCGAGTAGGCATGATGAAGACACCTGAGAATGGCGCATGCGCTTCGGTAGACGGCGACTACACTTGGGGTATGCTTGCACTCTAGTATCTTCTGGCCGTGCTCTTGGATCGCTCGCGCAAAATACCCGCGATGAAGATAAACACTAGGAGTACGTTGAGCGCAACGATAAAGGTAGAATGAATTATACATACAGCATAATATCCTTAACCATGTATAGTGCGTGTTTTTGCATGGTCGTGGAAACGGGGGTGTTTGCGCTTTGTGGCGAAGACTCTACGTCGATTCCTGGGATCTTCAGACTCAGCGGGTAGACAAAATGCGTCCGAATAAAGCTATCAAACTCGAGTATAGCTGAGTATTTCGGCTTGTTGATGGCATTAACCTTCTCTAGGAATGGTTGCAAAAACCTGACGCCAAGGTCGATCTTGGAGTGATGCCCTGAAGAAACCTTGTCAAGAGCCTTGGAGCAAAATGGCAATACACTGACATCCTTGTGGATCCCCATCGTCTTCAGGGTACACAGGCAACTTTGTATCCACAAAGGCGAGCGACATGGGTGGTGGTAGGCCAAGGCCAAAGTTCTGGTGATCCGATAAGCTTGACGCTCGGATCGTTGAGCTAATTGCACGCACCAGCCAGGAATCCAAGAGATGAATCTCCCACCATGTCCTACGTCGCCTCTGAGATTCCATCTCGGACAGCTTGAAATTGCTCGGGTCCCTATCTGCGGTACTTTTTTAGCACGAGCGGATTCGTTTAATGGCGAGAGTACGTAGGCCCATCTGAAGCTTTCAGTACAGAGCACGGAACGGCAATGGCCAAATACCAACGTACCCCGAATGCCATTCTAAGCAAAACACCTCGATACATGCTGCATTCGGACAGATCGCTTCTTTGTCCGGATATTTGGGCATAGCAGCATAGTCCAAATACGGCCCACAGTGCCACAAGCGGGGGGTCGCTAAGCACATTGTCCAAAGCCAACGAGGCCTTGGAAAGCTGTTGGTAGAAGGATGCTTGACGAATGTGCATGAGAGAATCTCCTTCCGAGTGTGTACCGAGAGCAAGTACAATGCAAAGAACAGACAGCTGGGCGCCAGAGACGGGATGGGAGCCTTTTCCCTTGTAAATCGGCGTCAAGACTTCCTCGACGAACTCGGATTGCGGAAATGGTCTGTAACTGCTCAAAAAGTGAGTATTCTGACGGTGAGATGATGATAACTGCCTCTTACAGCCAAGCCGTTCGCTCGAAATAGTGAGCGGCAATCCTCCAAGACTCTGCAAGAGGAGGGAGCAGTTGCCGGATTTGCAATTTGAGAAAATCATTGGCATCTTGTACGCCATAGAACGGAAACTGTGTGGATAGCACCAAAAGATTTACAGGTACCTCGGGGGTGCCAAGTTCTTCGCCGTCCTATCAAGTCATTAGGAGACAAATAGACCATATTCGCACTAAATTCTCACCTCGTGTCCTGGTATAAAGAGTTCGCTGAGTGCCGTACTCCCATAAAAGTTGCCGCCGTCGTGAGCTACGATTTGTTAGGCGGGGGTGATATCTATATCAAATTACGCACAGATGTGTAAGGTCCCTAAATCTTCTAGCAGTCCCTCAGCCTCGTCTCCATCCTCTTGACCCTCGGGAGAGTGTCCTCCCGCCGGTCCAATGCTCTTGAGAGACAATAATTCGTCAGAGAGAAGCGGGTGTGGCTCAGAAGAGACTGTCGATTGAAGTCGTGCGAGAGCGTCTTCGAGTTGTTGAACGCGCGTGCTCAATTGTTCGTTGCGATCATGAATGTCCTTATCAGACAGCACAACCACCCTGTTCTTTGTCAAAAACTAGAGCAATCACATGGATGATTTTGCATGCCTGTTTCCTTTTCCCGATCCTTGTACCGTTCCATTTGGGCAGATCGACTGTAGGCCTGCAATACACGATGAGCAGGTTTCGAGTGTGAGTATCTACCCACCTCTCCGTACGCACGAACCACAAGGAACTTCACGATCACATTTCAGCTAATCCGCCAGTTAGAGGACGTGACTGAGCCTTTGTTTACATACTTTGAGTCTTTAGGTATATCAATCCAATGATCAAGGATTGCTTTTGTATCAATGGCAACTCACCTGCGGCACTCTTGACAGGAGACAATTTTTCTGTTTCGACGACGAACGCCGTCGGTTGTAAAAGACGACATGTTATTAACCAATGTGACACCCAACTACCTGGTCGTATTTATGCCCCAAGGAACATTGCTCGATCGATAGCCGCCGAACTAGGGTCAGGTTCAAGGAGGGTTATTGCGACATTGCAAGTGTCATCACAAAGCCCCTTCCCATAGCGCTTACGTAACTTTGACAAACTTTCCCTGTATCCACACACGATACATTTTGAGCTGACGTTTGCGGTTGACAATCAACCGTCTATCCACGCCGAGCTGCTCAATGTCAAAGAGTGGATGAGGCGGACAGCCAGGGTACTGTGCATCCTTTGGTATCCACCGATGCACATCTGGGTCATGCGATTCTGCCGAGCCGGGTTTTGGACTGTGGGTAGAGAGGACGGCCGACGAAGGCGCACTAAAGTTGGCATCGTCTGGATTCGGGGAATGCAGCCCTGAATCGGAACTTCCTGTCATCTCTTCGACGGCTTCTGTAGTAGATAATGCCGCAGCTGGAGGTACATGAGGTTTCCCCGTGAAAAGAGTAGCCACCTCGTCTACCAACCATGTCAGTAGACGGCCCAAGAGTTTGGAGACTGAATCACCTAACGTGAAAAAGTAGACACGAGTCCCATCCCCACGAACGTATAAATGCTCTTCGAGCAGTCGATCCTCTTTGAACCGTAACTGGGCTAAATCATACCGTCCATAGTCGCGCATCAACAACCTTCCACCCGGTTTGAGCATCTGGTACTATCAGCCATACGAGACGTTTTTCACCAAAATCCCTCACCTTGTACACATTCGCAACTGCATTCATCCACTCTTTCGGATGCAACGCACTCAGCACAAAAATCATGACGACAATATCCACACTATTCTCCTCTACGCCCTCGGGGAGTACTCCATCCGACGACGCGAGATCCCATACAGAAGCTTTGATGCTTCCGACGGGGGTTGAAGTAAAAAGTGGATTCGCCTTGACGCACTCGACAGCCTTGGACGAATAATCCGTCGCGACAAGATCCAGTCGGGGGTTTTCGTTGATACTGAGCAGTGGAAACGACGTCGCGCCAGTTCCACATCCAACCTCGACGATTCGCGTCGCTGGAGCCTACATTTATGGTGCACATTCAGGCATCACGCAAAACAACCTGAGAGAGAGAGAGACAAACATTTTGAGAAGACGCATGGACGAGTTCGGGAAATTCATTGTGGAGCCATTTACGGTCCTTGAAGAAATTGGTCTCGTTCCATCGGTAAAACTGATCCCAGTATTTTGCAGGGCGTGTGTTGTACTTTTCTAAACACACATCAGGAACAATCCAAACCGATGAAATTGTCAAACCTTTATTCGCATCCGAGACGGGTGCGAGTTTCTGCCTCTCGAGAGCTTTGAGAATGACATCGTCGTGTCCTTCAGGTGGAGGCACATGATCCCTAGTCGCTCGTTTAGAGTTGGATGGCACCAAAAAATCACTCTGGACCTACCAAGCATTCTTACTCCATACGTCCTTGTCCGCTGTCAAGAACCTAGGACAATGTAGTGACAAACGATGAAGGATAAAAGGCGTACCTCGATCCAAACGCAGGGGCCTGCTGCTCTTCCTCCTCGTCCCGTATAGCATCTCCAGACGACTGGTGGACAATGGCGGGCATCACAGAAGAATGGAGCTTTGGATTTGGGTTGCGCGAGTACATTGTTTCGCGAGTGGGAATCATAACTTGTTCATTGTCCGTCTGATCTACAGGATCCATGTCCTTTTTCTCCTCGTTTGGTCACGTTGGTCCGTAAACGTAACCCTATTCGTCCGTGCGATGGCAATAAATCTACGCGTACCAGACGCAGATCTACAAGCGTTTCGACAGGGGTAATAGAGTGCAGATATCGCAAAGTTGCCTATCGTAACGTCGCGTCTTTCGGAAAAAAAGGTTTACGAGGTGCGGATCAAACTCAGCCAACCACACACAAAGGATCACTGATTCAACAAACACTTGAATTCCTGTCCAATGACGGGCAGAGCTAAGTAGTACAGGGGTAAAGTTTTTCCAAACAACCGTAATTAAGTTTCCCGCATCTAGACACGCTCCTCGTTTGAGGTCTCGCCCTTTTCGTGGACACCCTTTTCAACACCAAGATCGGTATTGACACGGTGAATGGCGTCGGTATCGGCGACGTGAACGTCGTGAGCGATGAGCTGGTTGCGGTAGGCGACCGACTTGATGGGCGTGGTGTTCTGGTAGAGAATGTCGATTTGTTCGAGAGACAATCCCTTGGTTTCGGGGATGCAGAAGTAGGTGAAGACGAGGCATCCGACGCAAGTAGATCCCCAAATGAAGAAGACCTGTTCGGGAGATGGTCAGAAAAATATCCAAAACTTCATCGAGACGGAGACGAACCTTTGCCTGGAGGTTTGCATAGCCTTCATTGACGAGGTATGGAGTTGCATATCCGATTCCAAAGTTCCAGAGCCAGTTCGAGGCAGTGGTCATGGACATGGCCTTTGCGCGAATAGCGAGTGGGAAAATCTCCGAGGTGACGACCCAAGCGATCGGACCCCATGTAGAGGCGAAAAAGGCAATGTAGATGCAGACAAAGGCGACGAGGACCTTTTGACCGGCTTGGTTGGAGACGGAGATGGTGACACCAATGATAGCGACGAGGTACTCGCAGACGAGCATACCAGCGGCACCAATGAGGAGGAGACGACGACGACCGACATGGTCAACGGCCCAAAAGGCTGGAATGGTCATGCAGACGTTGACAACGTTGGTGGCAATGGTGATGAGGAATGGATCGGCAATACCCGAGTTTTTGAAGAAGGTAGTACCGTAGTAGAAGATGAAATTGATACCGGTGAGCTGTTGCCAGGCCTGGAGGAAGATACCGGTGAGGGTACGGAAGAGAATCTTGTTGGGGCCCATCTTGAAGCAATCGAGGTAAGAGGATTGTCCGACTTCTTCTTCCATGCGCAAGTTTGCCTTGATGTCCTCGAGCTCGAGTTGGACGTCCTGGTGTTCTGTGGGTACACCGAGGAGGCGGGAGAGCGAGCGAGCGGCATCGTCAAAGCGGTGACGCTTGACGAGGTAACGAGGCGATTCGGGGAGGAGGAACATGCCAATGGACAAGACGCCGGCCCAGACAAACTGGATAGCAATAGGGATACGGTACGAGCCAAAATCGTTGCGGTCCTTTGTAGCCTGGTTGACGCAGGCAGCGAGGAGGAGACCAATCGTCTAGAGAAGTGTTAGTGATTGCTAATAAGTAGGGAAAGAAAACAACGTACAATGGCCCACTGGTAGCACGAGACGACGGCACCTCGGATCCACTTGGGAGACGACTCTGCCTGGTACATGGGGACCAAGCACGAGATCATACCGACACCGAGACCAGCAAACACACGACCGGCAACAAAGAGCGGGACTGCAGTGGCAGCGGTTTGCATGGCTACACCGGCGCTGAAGACGATCATAGAGGCAGCAATGATACCCCAGCGACGACCCATAAGATCTGCCATTGGAGCAGCAAAGAGAGCACCGAAAAAGGTGCCGAGGGACAAGATGGAGACGATGAGGGATTCATTGGGAGTCGAAATGGTGTACTCTCCGCTTCCTGGAGATGTCTCGTAGCCAAATGTCTTGAGCCAAAAGTTCATTTCTTTGATGCCAGAGATGACACCAGTATCATATCCGAATAGGATTCTGCAGAGAGTGAGACGAGAACCAAAAAAAGAACTAAAAGACGACATTACCCTCCAAAGGCGGCAAACGAGGCCATTAGAATGCCAACAACATGCGACTTTTGGCCGCGTTGCATTCCAGACGCGGAGACTGCAGCACCTCCACCAGGCATGATGACGATCTAGGTAAGACGAGGAGGCGAGGGGGGGAGGAGAGAGAGAGGAGCTGTGGAGCACGAGTGGACCAACCCCGTCTGGAGACTTGGAGTTTATATGTGATTTCCCCCCCTCTCTCCTCGATCCACAAATGGCTATGGCATCAATCACCTGAGAGAAGCGGGGCGCCATTCGGCCAATTCCCTTTAGCCTGCCGCGGCTCACACGCCCGACAGCTTCCCGGCGCCGGTTCTGGTCTCGTTTTCGTTGAACCGGTTTGAAACAGCTGTTTGTACATTTTCGCTATTTTTCTGAAATTCTTGATCATGCATTTGGTGCGTATACGGCCCATCGACTTCCCGCGGTAACGTCATTTGTCCAGGGCGGGCAGGACAGCCAAACCCACCTGTGGGCTTGTATTCAGTTGGCATCCCCAATTCAGTTCCCATTTGCAAATTCATCGTTTATTCACTTCCCCGCATCCAGATCGACGTCCATTCGCTTCCTAGACTTGCTGCTACGCCTGCCGGCCTTTTTCCCGGTTTTCTCTCGCTCCCAGACGTCCTCTACTCGTTTTTTACTCTCTCACAGCTCCCTTGGGGCCCTCTCGTAATCGTCCGGTTTGTCCGGGTTCCCGAGTCAAAGGCCTGACAATCGATACATTACACTTCTGTTTACAGGCAAGAAGCTCAGGAACGCTCCATTCGTTTAATCGGATTCGTCCAGAAACTCTCAGCAACCATCTCCCGCATCTCTCCGACGTTGCACTGCACGCTAGATTCTTCTCAATCCGGAATACATATCTTGCGATTGCTCGCCGCGGTCGGGCCTTTGAAGCCGAGATGAACAACCGACCCCTTGGGATGCCTCGGCACATAGTTTTCCAGCGACCGTTGCAGAAAGTCATTCGTCTTCCCATCCCGTAACATCTTCCGACTCGGATCCAAGACTAATCTCTTTCGCCAATGCCCGCCGACCGTTTTCGATGAGTCCCTGGAGCTGCGCAGACATCCAGTCCATTTGCTCCTCGAGTACGTCCCCATCCTCTTCAGTCACCGGGTTTAGCCTTTTCTGCGTATCGTACGTCCTTTCCTCTTCCATCTTGCGCTTCAATGGCGACGGGGGCAGTACCGGCACTACGCTAGAACCTTCATCGGCTCTTCGTCGTCCTCGCCGCTTCTTTCCATGCTTCCGTCTTTCCTCGGCGGCCCTCGCCTCTTTGCGCACAACTCTCGGCGACGCAACAGGAGGTTCGATTTGTGCATATGGCGGTGGTGGTGGCAAGACTATCCGTTTCAACCTCGTATTGCGTTCACCCCGACCCATCGTTTCCTCTCCTTGGTCGTCCTCTTCATTCGTTCTCTCCGCCGCTTCCACCGCCTTTGGGTTTACTGTCAGCCCGCCATCACGCCACCTAGATTCAAAACCCAAAAAAAAAAATCAGCTATCCGTAATTAGACTTTGTTTCTCAAGACCGCTCAATCTCCCGACCTGAGCACATGGTCGAGAACAGGCCGTGACCGACCAGATGATCCTGGAAGAGCTTTTGCGCCCGTCGATCACCTGACCATTCATCGGACACTGGCGTCATGTTACTTGGCAGGTCTCTCTCCAACACCTGTGACGAAGCGATTTGCGTATATCAAGTAGATAGACGCCGACTCCACATTCCAAGACGAGGTTTGGGTGGAGATGGATTCCCCGAGTCATGCCAAGGCACTCGAAGGAAGACGAATATCAAAAGACGCCAGAAGATGGCAGGGCAAAGGGACACACACATGCTTTCAACTCACATTCGGTAAGCCGTATACCCCACTGCAGTCGATACAATCGCCACCGATATTGCAGTCGTCAGCACCGTCTCCACCATTCCCATTCGTCGTCGCTTGGCCGGTCGTTCATCCTCTTCATAGTCACGTCTAGAGTCATACTTGGGACCTCTTGATGACCTATCGTCGCCCACTACCAATGTCGAATCCATCGCGGATAAAAAGTTGATCAGTACACAAAGTGCATGAATATAAAGCAATCAGATCATGCGTCGTGAATACTGCCCCACGCGAAGATGAAACGACGGGACGCTACCCCGGCGTCGACCAAACCCGTCGAATTCACGCTCAGATACTCACGGCCGATGTCCATTGGCAAAACAGAAATAGAAGGAAACTTGTCTCACCTGTATCGCGTGAAAAGCTGAATGGCCGGGTAGACGAATCCCCATCCCGCACATTTGCATATCCATATTCCTGTTCATCGAAAGAATATCCCATATTCTGGCGTGCGTTTGCTGTTTCCAAATGCTCGCCACCACCTAAAGTATCCCAGCGCTCCTCACGTCGGACACCTTTGCGAGCCCCATATACATCTCGAGAGTAACCCTCATCGTATCCTCCACCGTCACGCTCGTATTCGGACCTCGGCCGGCGTCCTCCAGCGCCCCGACCTTGTGCTTGGGCTGAGCGCCTCTCACCAGAATCCACCGTCTGCGAAAACGGATTCGGGAATGGGAGTCGAGGAAGGCTAAATGTGAATAAAAACGACATTCACCGTTGCGCCCGTCGTGGTCAGAGCTCAAGACGCCCAAGCCTTTGCCACTCTCAACACGCAAACGAAAAATAAACATATTCAAAATGACATCATGAATGGCTCAAGTCCATTTTATTGCTATTCACTTTCGGTTCACTAAATACTACACGGGTTCTGGGCCTCAAGACAACAACGAGTCAAAGCTGGGCGGGCGGGGTGGACTTGGTACTATGGTGGGGTACGTAGAATGACTTGAGCCAGAAGAGTGGTGGATGATACGGATCGCAACGGAATGAAAGCGGAGGGGGGGCGTCCTAGTAGGAACGCGAAATGCTGGATATTCAAACAGGATGGCAAACCAAGAGACCAGGAATAGATAGATGCGATAGAGGAAGGTTAATGCTGAGCGGTCACAGTGTGTTTTGTGTTGGCCTGGTGCGTCGGCGAGGGCGAATGGCCAGTCCGCATAGGGAGTCCAAACAATCCGACCGGACTCGACGTCTCCTTTTTCGTCGCAGCAGGAGGCGTCAGTGACATGCTCTTCAGCCCCTCCTCGAGCGCATCGACGCTCGTCTTCCTCGTCGGTTGTGGCGATGGGGTGCTCGCAAGGTTCATCGCCTTTAAACCTTCTTCCAAGGCTGCCGTGTTCGACCGAGAATCGACATCGACAACACGCAACTCTGCCTTGCCGTCCAACACTTTCTTGACCTTGTCCATATCGAGAACCGACTTGGGCGCAAATGCACCCCAGAGGGCACCCATGAGCTTTCCGGTGACGTGATGGGCAATCGACGTCCCGACCAAGGCCTGGGTGGGTGTCGGCATTGGAACCGACTTGTTGATGTCCTTCTTGGCCAAGGGGCTGGCAAAGAACAGGGGGTTGATATTATGAGAGAGGTTGGAAGAATAGCCGCTGCTACCGAGAGAAGAGCCAGCCGAAGATGCGGGGCTCCCAAGCAACTCTTCTCGTCGAGCTTGAGCGGCACCGGCCTCGCGAGCCATGCGCGACCAAAGTTGCATACGATCGCCGTCCATGTTCCTGAATGTAAAGTTGTGGAGTCCGTCCAAGCCACTCGAGAGAAGCGGCAAGTTGGGGGTCGTACTCTGAGCGTCCCGTTTGACCGATGAGTTGAGAAGCGGGTTCATGTTTTCCTGCAGCCGAGGCTTTCCGGAGAGGGTAGTGCTGATATCAAAGTCAGGGATCAGCGTGGTATGGACGGGGGTCGTTCCATTCATAGTGGCACCTCCCCAGAATCCACGTGTAGATCCAGACGCGGGAAGGTCCTTGTTGCGGGTTGGTCGAGGAACCACGTTCTTGGCGCGAGTCACTTTGCTATTGGCTTGGGCGAGCACGTTGGCCTTGGAATCGGATGGCGATTGTTCAAAGATAGATACTCCGCCACGACCTTCCATGATCTCGCGCTTGAGACGCTCAATCTCCTTGCGGAGTTCGGAGTTTTCGGACTTTGTGTTACTGAGCTCCTCGCGATACGTCTGCAGCTGCTGATCACGGGCGGCCACTTCGCCTTCGAGCGTCGTGATGTATTCTAATCAAGGGGGGATAAACAAAACAAGGTTAATACGCCCAAGAAAAATACATACCCTTTCTACGGACACGGAAGTTGCGGGCGGAAATCTTGTTGCGGAGTTGCCTCTTTTCCTTGCTAGACATTTTCTGGTACTCCTCCATCGTAGGTCTCCAGTCATCATCAGCGGCATCGGCAGTACGGACAGATCCCTTGAGCTCTGTAGAAGCTGGATGGCGCTTTCCATCGGCCAGCTTGTGAGGCGCATCACGGACGACGTCTGACACACGCGGATACGGCTTGGGTTTATTCGCAGCGCGCTTGGACTTGACTGACGTGCTGACGCCACGACCTCGAGAGGAGGAAGTTCGCTTCCTAGTCACAAAATCGTCTTCTTGGTCGTCTGATTCCTCGTCGCTGTCCGAGTTGGCCTCGTCGGCGTGGATCGAGGCTGACTGCGACGGGGAATGAGAGTCAGCGGGCGACGCAGAGTCTGAAAAGGCGCCAAGAGAGGGTTCGAGAATCGTCGCGGTGGGCTGCACGGTCCCAGGAGGGGCCACTCCGCCTGCAGCGGTGGGGGTAAAGAGATCCTTGGTCGACATAGAGGCGCTGTCAGAGCCCATCGAGTTGATAAAAGTGCCCAGATCGAATGGAAGGGGCTCGAGGAACATTGGATCCTTTGTAAAGTCAGCCAGCCCCGCAAACAGAGTCTCGTCTGGAGCGTTCTGGGCAGGATCGACAACTGTCGACCACGAAGGATCTACATAGTGATCAAAGAAGGTAAAATCGTCGTTGCTGAGACCCATATTCTCGCCGTGTTGCGGTTTCTGCGCCATGAAAGCGGTCGTGGTGGTGTCTGAGTTTTGGTTCAATGGGCTGACCAAACGCCGCCTTGGTTCAGCGCCTTTAGAAATTGTACAAAATTAAGTAAACAGAGCACGAGAGGCGTCTATTAGATTCCAGACACGAGACATAACTCGGGCGGGTTATATACGATCGTCAAAATGGACTGCGCTCAGGTAAGGTTTTCTAGATTTGTCCATTCGGCAGGCGGCGTACGTACGCGTGCGCATCAAAACGGCCAACGCGCAGCAACCAAGACACCCGGAGGTTTACTCATCTCCAATTGCTGTGAGATCATTCCACAGTCACTCCGGCGATGGTTGCCCTCCCAGGATCGACGGCCGGCTACTCCAGAACGCTGGTCCAATAATATCGCAGTGCTCAACCACGATTTCGCGACGAGGGCGACGTGGAGGTACTATGCTGGTCGCAGTGATCGAACCCTGACCGGGAGTGTTGTCCACCCCTGCTGCAGGCGTCTCCACCGAGGCGGTCGCTTCTTGACGATAGAGAACACTTCCTTTGCGGAATCGTTCAGGGAGGGCGTTGTAGTTGATGCCAAATTGGCCGAATAGAATCTCTTGTTTCTGACTAGAGCTCGTTCCCTGCTGATTAGTGAGAAAAACGAGGCAGGGTCGAGTAGCTGACCAACCCACCTTTAGCTTTCCATGCGCTTCCGCCGTAGTCAGGTTTCCATTGAGAACAAGTGCCCAGAAGGTTGTATTGTATAGGTTGTTAATATGGGCTATATTGACCTCGGTACGGTTCCATCGGCTTCTGGCCACTCACTATCTGCTTGTCGCCACGAAAAGTAGTCCCTGATCTCCACAGAGGATGGATAAGCAACCACTCTTCCGTCAAACGATGGTGGATATTGCAGGGGAGTGTTGGGGAAGAACTCAGCCCATCGATATGTGTAGGTGGCGGCAAAGAGGGACGCGAATGTACTCGCAATCTTACTGTAAAGATCAAGGTTAAAGGCGTTCATAAAGGTTTAGAATCAACTTGCCTGCTTCGACGGTTAAACAAGTTGCACGATTTCCGCAGAAGAAAGCTATTAGAATGCCTCAGGAGTGTCGTTTACTAGTTATCATAGCTGGCACCTAAACTCGTCACTCTCGCCAAATGCCATTGTCACCTCTGGGTATGCTTGCATAATTTGAATGGCGGCGGCATCCATGAGTCGCAATGCAGTCTCATCATTCGGTTTCGTGAATCCATGGTCGGTGGAGAACCTAGCAATCCCAATGAGTCTTGCAGAGATGGGCACAACTGATCACCGACTTGTGGAACGAGTGTCCATCCAGGCGAACAATCATATATGTCCCAGGAAGAATGTTGTCTGGGAGCTCAAAGGACCGCACGTATGCATACTTGGAGTTGGCCATTGTTCGAAGAAGTCGAGAGGAGCCGTCACCACTTTCGACCCGACGCTAATGGCCTTTTCCATTCCAAAGGCATTATCAAACCCCGGTTCAATCTCCATTCTGCGAAAACACAACGTCGTGTATCTGGATAGGGGTCTAATTATCCTCAATAAGCCATCTGGGCTCGTAACCCAAGGGACAACAAATGTCGAAAAGAAGGTCAGTCGCCCAAAGGGACTCTCACTTTCTGAATCTTAGTTACAAAGGAAGGTACTATTCAAGTTGCGATAGATGGTGAGCCAAGACCTCGCGCCCAAGAGACACTTCTGAGCTTGTAGAGACATCCGCGCCGCTCTGGGTATGGAGGAAGGCCCGTTTACCGTCCAAAGGCTGGATAAGGTGAGCCACGTTTCTATCAGTTTCTCAACTGACAACCATAAGCCGACAACTGGTGCATACGTACTAGCTACCACTGCGCATGAGGCAAAACTTTTAAGTCAAGCTTTCATGCACACTGAGCTCGAAAGCAAGTCGCCAAATCTAGCTCGGAAGCAATATATTGCCCTCGTACATACGTTGAGGGCGAAAAGGCTATTCGGAGACACGTCGAATGTCGAGCGTGCGGTCGACATCTCTGAGATAAAGGCGTGTTCTCACCGTTATATGTCACCGCTTCTCATTGCTCTTTCTAGGTCGGTGCCAGACAACGGTTGGATGTGGACCTCTACATCAATCGCGAGGGCCGAGTTGCATTGTGGAATTCAGTCCTTAAACGGCTCAAAGACTCGGATGTGATCAAAGCCCAGCAACGAAAACGAGTGGCCATCTCTGATTTTGAAGTCTTGGCCGTCGCCGTGAGTACTTTTGCGTATATTTTCAGCACATCTTACATTCTCACAGAACAAGTACGACGTGGCTCTTATGAAGATGCAGTTGTATACTGGGTTGAAGCACCAGTTAAGAGCGACGAGTGCTCTAGCATGCCACGGTAAATAACTCCAGGAACCGGAAGTAGACGACTAAACCTTGGTAGCTCCAATCCTTGGCGACACATTATATGGACATCCAGAGGATCAAAGCAACCTTCCAAAGAATACACCGCCGGCTGACCGCCTCATGCTACATTCAAGCAGCCTTACGCTAACGGTGCGTCGCCAAAAACTCTTGAATCCCAGTCTGATTCGCTCTACCAGAGGTTTGCTGGCGGGAAGCCCTTCAACTTTCATGTCACCGTTCCGCCTCCCACTGAATTCTTGGAGACTTGCAACACGCTCGGAGTCCAGCTGCCATCTTCACTGCTGACGGGTGGCGTCTGGTACGACGACACGGAAGTGACCAAGCATCTTCGAGATGGAAAGCTCAAGGCCTCTGGGGAGCGGGATTATTCGAGCCTGGAAGGCGTTTGGCTTGGAAAACAGCCCAGAAGTGGAGTAGAGCTGCCTTTTTTCATCAAAGCTAAAGATGAGTGATGTGGGAATCAAATATATATCCTAGGGTAATAGATCTGATCTATTATGATTCACCAAGGCGATTGCCCCGTCCCCAGTTGTAGCCAGACGACGTTGTAGCGTTTGCACCTCTTCCACCGTCACCAACACCTCGCCCAGATGGAGCAGTTGCGCTACCATAGACTCTTTGCTCGGTGACGACTCGTTGGCGGGGCTCTGGTTTGAGAAGGAGGTTGCAGAGCCAACCAGGCGCCCTGAGCCAAGACTTTGGTTTGAGACGTGGCTGCATGAGCGTGTTGTTATCTAGCGGAAGGTCGTATTCGATCATTAGCAATACTTGGGCGACAATGAGCCCGGCCATTGCGACGCAGCCGCTGCGTGGAGAGGACATGGTCTCGAACGCAACCAAGACGTACGGAAAGTATTTAACACTGCAGAATGGTCAACAAATACGTAGGCAAAAGGAACAGGCAACAAACTCGATGTGGAGCAGTCCCATGAGGGAAACCTTTTCGTTGGGTGATAACCGAGAGGATAGGTAAACGACAAAGCAGATAAATGAGCCTTGAAAGAATGCCCAATCCAGCGGCTGGGCAAGCAACTGGTCACAACGAAGTCAGATATGACAATAATTGGGGGCCTGCACGTACGAATATTGCTACTGACGATAGAGCAAACTGCCAGACCATGTCTGGTAATCGCCGGTGGTAGTCCTTTTCCTCTATACGCTTCAAGTGTTGACTACACAGAGAAACGTCAGCCGGTCAATAGTCAACATGGGAGTGAGATTAAGCCCACAAAAGCATGATTGTGCTGAATAGCCATGAAAACGGACTTGTGCGGGCTGGAGGCCGGTCAGCCATACCCGCTGGCCAAGGAATGCGCGGCACTCACGCGATGGAACGAGAAGGCAAGTGTACAAGCGATATATCTTGTCGAATTCTGAGCATTTGGTGTCGTTCTGGGCTGTTGTACACACCTGGAGAGCTGCGGTGACTCTGCCATAGTCGAGATGATACCAGAGCGGGCTTGCAAGATGAAAGAATATGGGGAGTGCAATGAGACAGGACGAAACAATAATAACTCTTGTGACTGGCGGTATTTTGTTAATCTCGGCGACAATGTCGGTCGACATGGCGGCAGTCCAACCTTTGAGCCAACGTCGACGGGCCATTGACCACGCGTCCGCCCTTGAGCAGCCAACGAGCCCCTAAAATCGATAGGATATGGAGTCTCCGATACCACGCAGACTGTCAAACTCGATGGCCAGTCCTCCCCACGCCGGTAGAATACAGGACATTGAGAACGCAATTAGCTCGTACGAAGCAGAAGAGGAGCGCATCGTAAACGTCCTCTCGCGCAAACTGGAGCAAGTGGGTCTCTGCTAGTCGCCCTCGTCGGCTCGCCAGATTGGCTGATCGCCCGCCCACAGCTCCGGGACGAGAAACTGAGGCTCGAAAACATTTCAGAATCAGAGACAGAGTCGCACATGTTTCAACTCGGCAGGGAACTTGACGCGCTCAAACGTGCCTCGTTACTCGTGAATACCAACGCGCTCTCATACGAATCGGACAGTCAAGGCCAGAGCGTGTCCAACAGCCCTATCCAGCACTACCAGCCAAACTCGACCGATCCACGCTCCCCGCCATCGGATGCTATGCTCCACCTCTTACGCACTGAGAATGCACTCCTCCGCCAAAGACTCGTCGATACCGAGCGGGAATTCACAAAAGCGACCAAACTCAACGAAGCATACAGAGAAGAGCTTATTGAGCTCCGGAGACGTGTGAGTCATCCCAATTTTTTAAATGATTTGCAGCGACTTACCGAGGTAATAGCTCGGATTGCCAGTCGACGGGCTCCTCGTCGTTCAGGAAGCAAACACACAACCTACGTATCAGCGACACCGTGAATCTTCCATGGTCACCATCCCAATGCCGATTGCACAACGTCCCTCGCCCGGCCCTCTGCCCATACCCAGACCACCGTCTCAGATTCACCGACCTCCCATTACCGAAGTAAACCCCACCAATTTATCCATGACGACTTCGGCAAGTTCTCCCGACTCGTCAACACCCGCTTCGCCCTTTCCCTTTTCTCCCCTCTCTTCCTCCCTCACTTCTGCACAACAGACGGGATACCACACCACACTGACGACCCCAGCGTCCATACCACCACTCTCGAATATGCCTCCAACGCTCGCAAACCCCAGCATGCTCACCTATCCACACGTCCCCCCACCGTCGCTCTCGTCAAGCGTTGGATCACCAGTGGCCATGTTCTCGCCTGTAAACGGAACCAGTCGACGGAACAGTCGTGTAGCAGAGACGGCCTCGTTGGTGCGCCGTGGGAGCAGAGGCAGCAGCGTCGATCGACATCCAAGACAAGCAGGTCATACTTCCGTACATGGGCCGTCCATTGCAGAGCAATTGGCAGAAGCTCTCTCACGTTGACCAATTATTACCCCGCATCCTATTTATCGTCTGCACTTTTGCCAAGCCTCCATGTTAATAATCCCCATATTTTACCATATATCCCTTCTCGATATAATATGTACAATAGGATTGACCAACGGCGTCGACTTATTCCCTTCTGCTAGTCCCCTCGTGATATGGATCGTCCGCGAACCGGACATTGGACATCTTGGAGGACCTAGCTCTCGATCTCCTGCGCCTCTTATTGGAAAAGGAGGCCCCTCTTCCTTGGAGCCAACCCGTATTGTCATCCTCTGCCTCCTCGGCTTCACCACCCGTCAGGTGAGGCGCAGACTGGCTACCGTCATGATGCATGTATGGGTCATGACGGGACGATCGGGATCGTCCAAAGCCGAGTACACCTGTGCCCAGTACACCCGTCCGTATCTTTTGCCACCGCATTTTAGCAATCTTGTGTCCTCCATGCATATCTTCATGCCGCATCTCCGCAGGCGAATCCGTAAGCCCATTGTCATTCGTGCCGTCGTCGTCGCCGTCGCCACCGCGGTCGCCCACCTCATTCAAGAATTCATCCACCTCTTCGTCAATAAACCGCATCGTTTGCTCCAATGCGTCTCGATCGTCGATAAGCTTGGAGATACGCTCGGCATTCTCGACCATCTTCTTGAGCGTCCGCTCAAAGCTCATCATGAACAGCGTCCGACGAGCTTCTCCATCTTGTAAGACTTCTTTACGAAGATCCTCGTTCATGGCTTCTTCCTGCATGAGTTCATCCAATGCGCGCTGCAAGCCAGGAGGTGGTTTTTCCTGCGAGTTGTGTGATAGGACGTATTGCAAATGGGAATGGAACGCCTTGGCCAGAGAGATGATCCTGGGCGGAATCGTCGACATTTCGACCTTTGTCGAGTTGAGAGCTTCGACCTTTTCCTGCTTTGTCATTGTCTCTGCATCGAATGCTGGTGTACTGGGCAGAGATGTCTGCTTCTCCGTATGGGTCTTGTTCTGGTAACTTCGAACCGCCTTGTCAAAGAGGCCGTTGTGCATAACTGTAGAGTAGCGAGATTGATATGCCTCGGAGAGGACGGAGAATAGGATCGTCATGGCGGCGACACCCATCAAACTCCATGCTACAAAGCACACGCGACCGGGTCCCGTTCTGGGTGCGACGTCACCGTATCCAATGGTGGAGAAAGCAGTGAAGCCTGCTCACAGTTAGTATGATAGAATCGCCTAGAATTGAGCGACGAACAGAAATAAATTGATGTACCATAGGACCACCCTTCAGTACCCATGAAAATGGCACCGCCTATCACCCAGAAGATGACGAAGAGGGACCATGAGACCCCAAGCTAACCATTGTCAGAAGAAATACTTTCATCAGAAAACTCTGCACACCTTGACTCTAAACTCCTTCTTCTCCTCCTTGATCATGTCCTGGCGAAATTTGATGTACTCCCTTTCCTCTTCGTCGAAACCTTGAACCATTCGGTCGTCCACCTTGTCCACTTGTTCTTGTGCCATGCGCCTATTCTTATCCACCTCTTTCTCTGCTTCCTTGGAAGTATGGGTGTGCCCTTCAGGAGTCTGAGCCACAGCTACTGATGTTTCTGTATCATGACGAGAGGTCTGCAACCGCGGCCCCGACCATTGCCGTCGAGCAGATGCTGATGTTCCTTGCTGATATTCTACCTCTTCCGATGCTCCCAGTTCGCTCTGATTGTGTTCTTGCACCTCCGGGGGTGGTGTCGGGGGGTGAGAGGACAGAGGTACATCGACACCTTCGGGAAGCTGCTGATTGACTTTATGCGTAGCTAACCACATACCATGCTTTGCGTTGTGTTTCTTTGCATGTAGTTGTCTGTGTAGTCGGCGTCGTGCGGTCAAAGCATGCTTGCGGTTGCGATACGATTGCTCAAAGGATTCGACAATGGTTTCTCGAGCAATTGCAATCGCGAGACCAGTGTTCAAGATTCCGAATGTGTTGTAAAAGATAGAGAACAACCGAGATCCGGAGCTTGTTGGGCTAATGTCTCCAAAGCCGATTGTCAATGAAGAACAGCAAACAAAATAGAGGGCGTCCAGAAAGCGAAGGTCGATGAGGAAGCAATATATCAGGGCACCCAGCCCAAGGTATGTAAGCAGCACCATCTAGACTGGCGTTACAATGACAGATTGCATGTGCTTGGTTGCTTACCACAATGATTACCAGTGACCGCTGCTTTCGAGTAAGGCCACTTCCACTGGAACTAAAGTTTGGTGTGCGAACATAGTCAATCAGAAGTGTCATCGTGACCGTCAAGGAGGTGATTGTGGATGCCATTGTTACCCAGTAGGCTTGCGAGTATGTAAACCCATCATCCACACTATGTATGATACCGAAAATCACCAAGGCGGCTATATATGATCAACGAGACGCCGTGGTGCCGTGTTATAGCATACCTATATTGATCACGTCGTGTATCAATAAGAAGACGATGGTTGCAATTGTAGCACTCTTGATCCGTCGCTCGAGGAAGCGCATCAAGAGACATATCTATAAGACGCACGTCTGTCAAGGGTGTATGATTTGGACAGAGATACTGACATTGGCAAGCAAAGCTGAGGCCATAGAGAGTCCAAGTCCTGCATTCAAGATGGCTGGGTTCTCGCGGTATTCAATGACTTGAGTTCCATCGGTGCGATTGTACCACTAGAATCTATGAGCGGCAGCCCAAGGCCGGAATGCGACGAACATGCTCCTATACGAAAATTCGTTAATTCAAGTTCATTATAACAAAAAAAGGAACTTACAGTCAAGCCGGGTACTTCTAGTAAGATAGAGAACTGGAGACAGGTGTCAACGCCGTCAAAAGCAAGCCTATCTCAGCTCACTGGAACGAGCAAGCCACTGATGATTGGCAACCAGCGGTACTTTGGAGAATACCCTTCGTCCAAAGACTTATCAGATGCGAAGAAGAACCTGCCGACATGCCCCGCAGTGTCTTTTGCAACTTTTCCCGCGACGGATAGTGAGTCTCTGCGCCTTCCTGTATGAAAGACCCGGCGTTAACAAGTGCGCCACCAGCGAGTAGATATACTGACGTCGCTTGCGGTGGGGGGAGGGAGACGAGACTTTGGTTTCTTGAGAGCTGGGTACACGTGTGGGCTCAGAGTTGTCTACTTCCTGAATGTCTATACGATGGTCTCGAGATTCTGAGTGCTGGAGTTCATCTTGGACGTCCTCATCGACGTTTTCAACCGACTTGTTACTGTTTCTCGCCTTTTCTATGAGCCAAGCGACTAAAAAGGGGAGCGAAGGCATTGTAGCTGGACGCGGTCAACGCGCAGAGAAGAGAGCAGGTCCAACCTTGGAGGCGCGTAAACTTGGCAGACAATTGAATCGCCTTGTATTGTCTTGTAATTGCACATATTTCCTTATCTAACGAATAGAAGCCCTTATCTGCTTCTTCGGCTTTGCTCTTGCATCTTGGTCCCGGCTAAATCGACCGACAAACCCAACGCTCCTGGCAATCACAAGGGTGGCCTATATATTGCCTTATAGGGTCCCTTTGAGTCCTTAACTCGTGCCATTTGACATCCCCATATCCTTGGACTTGCCTCTGAGCACCAAATAGTGGGTGGCAATGCGCAGATTGAACGTACAGAAAGCTAAAACTAAGCCTTGCATATCTACAGCATATATTAGAGGCATTTTACGACACAAGGTCATCGCCCGCCCTTGTTTTGACATCGCCCGAGTCAGCGCCGAGAATGGCTACCCCTATTTCTACTCCATCCCTGGGGTCACATCGTTCGTTGTCGCCTCCAAATACTCCTGGAGCGTCAACACCTCCAAATATCTATCAAAACAGCACAGATCCCGACACGTCGTGGGTCGTTCAAAAGTTCGGAGGCACGAGTGTCGGCAAATTCGCCATCAAGATTGCGGAAGATGCCGTATCGTACGTCAACTTTGTACATGTGCATATCCTTCTCATTGCATCTATAGAGGATATCTTGACACTCACAAGATTGCCGTCGTCTGCTCTGCTCGTTCTGGGTCGACGAAAGCATTGGGCACCACGAATCTCCTGCTAAAGGCAGCTACAGAGGCCCTCAATTCTCGTGCTCCTAGTTCTGTGCCCACTCCAGGCATCAGCACGCCTTGGTCTGCTCCTTGGGGCCCAACGCCACCCTCGTTTTCCCCACCACTTACGCCCCTGAAGCGGAGCTTATCGATTGGTCGTTCAAACATGAATGGATCGATAGGGTTTACTCCAGCGAGCTCATTCAATGCCACTGTCGACTTGATCCGTAGCGAGCACCTCACGGCTGCTCGGAGTCTCATTCGAGATCAAACGCTCCTCAAACACCTCGAAGCCGAGTTTGAGCGTGACTGTGAAGGTCTTAGGACTTTCTTGTTTGCTGCTCAGGTGATTGACGAAATATCCCCTCGGTCCAAGGACAGTATCATTGGCATTGGCGAGCGTATGGCCTGCAAGTTGATTGCGGCCGTCCTGAGAGATAGGGTAAAGGATAGACATCACACGAGTTTGAAATCTCACGTAGTTTAGGGAATCGACTCTGAATTTGTATCGCTGGAGAACATTGTTCCCAGCTGGGACGATATTGACGCAAAGTCCGAGGCCGCCCTGGATCAAAGTTTCTACGACAGACTATCCAAAGTCATTGGAGAGCGTGTCAAGCAATGTGGGACCCGGGTTCCTGTGGTCACTGGGTTCTTTGGACCCGTTCCGGGCTCGCTGCTTCGACAGGTTGGAAGAGGATACACTGACCTGCTTGCTGCTCTACTGGCAGTCGGCTTGGACGCAGCCGAGCTACAGATCTGGAAAGAGGTTGATGGCATTTTCACCGCAGATCCTCGCAAGGTCCCAACTGCGAGGCTCATCCCCTCCATCACCCCCGACGAAGCGGCAGAGTTGACATATTACGGGAGCGAGGTCGTTCACCCATTCACCATGGAGCAGGTCATCCGTCGTAACATTCCTATACGTATCAAGAATGTTGAAAACGCGGCTGGTGGAGGGACGTTGATTCGGCCCCCACAAGAATCCGACTCTCCCAAGGACTTGCCAATCGTGCCTGCTGTCACCACCATTTCCAACCTGTCCATGAACGGGAACAAACAAAAGCTGCCAACTGCAGTAACGTTTAAAGAGGCCATTGTCATGATCAACATTAGCTCGAACCGAAAGAGCGTGTCTCATGGTTTCCTTGCACGTATCTTTGGAATCCTGGACAAGTATGGCTTGACTGTCGATTTGATCTCTACGAGCGAGGTTCACGTCAGTATGGCCGCGGAGAATCGTCTTGGAAAGAAGGCGCTAGACCGCCTCATCTCCGAACTGGAAAAGCTGGGGACAGTACGTAGCATCTCGACTCGTATTGCTTATGATTGATGAAGCATAGGTCACTGTAGCACATGATATGGCCATCCTCTCGTTGGTGGGGCGGCAAATGCGCAATATGGTCGGTATTGCTGGTCGCATGTTCTCTACGCTAGCCGCGGGAAAGGTCAATATCGAAATGATCAGCCAGGGAGCATCCGAAATCAACATCTCCTGTGTTATTGATGGACGCGACGCCATCAAAGCCCTCAACCTCATTCATCAGAGCTGCCTACAAATTAGTCCCGAGATAGGTTCACCTCGTCGTACGTCAGCCCTTTTTCCCACTCACCCAGCTTTAATACTTGATAGTTGGCCCGTGGTTGTTCTGAGTGCCTTTCAAAAAGGGGGTGACGCTTCCAACAAGCGTCGACTGGTCTCCCAACAGACTAGATCCCATTTGTGTCCGGTATCAACGGTGTAGGCGGAAGCCAGCGGTATTGTTATTTACGGACGTCCAACCGTCGTGTAGCTCTCTTTGCACTTGATGTATCGATGCAAATACTGATTAGAATGGGACTGGATTATCGTATACTTTACACGAGGTCTCTACCCTGGTCGCTTGTTAGTGAAGAATACGGAAAGCACACACAACGCACAACTATGGCTCAGGTATGGGTGGCATCTGTCTTGCATGTTCTCGAGCTTCTTCTCTCAGCTCTGGACCAAGTAACCGCAGATAATTCTTTCCCTTGAGTGCCTTCCATGCGCCGAGATCTTTTCTTTCCTGCTGCTCGCTCAGGACTGCTTCTCGTGTAACGAATGCTCGAAGCTACAAAGAATCGTTTAGTACAAAAGTGGCTATCGTAGAACCTCAAAATCTCACTTTTGATTCATTCAACACTTGTGGTGGCGGACAGACGAAGACACGGACTTTTCTGTCATCCAAAATATATTTTCCACGTCGTGTGTATCGTCCTGGGGGTCCTGTAATCGGTCCTCCAGGCAGTGAGCCCTGTCGATTGCCTGCAAATTTGGAAGCACTGTCAGCTCACGGCTGGGTAAATCGCCCGCGACTCGCCCTTGTAATAGTCTTTATTGCCCATTTTCGACGTCAAAGGAGCCCGTGACGCTTTGCTGAATACAGGTAATGTGTAACGCATCTCGTTATCGAGGTCGAAACCAAGTTTGCTTTCGAGCTTGGACCCGACCATGGAATTTCGGGATGTCCCCGAATTTTTCGAAGTACGCCAAATCTGCATCTTTTACACTTCTCGAACATGTATCGATTCATTCTTGTGCATTAGGTTGAACTGGGAGAATGCTTGACGGCGCGTACGGAGACGCTTGGTCCGTGTGCTGTCTGAAGCCGCTTGCATGGTGTGCTGACAATTCCATAGCATCCTTCAGGGAACTAGGACCACCGGACCTATGCCAAGTTGTCAAAAGCAGCGGCAAGTCTGGCCAAAAGGACGTGAGTCGACTTACATCGTTTACCGAGGGCCTGTGACCGCCAAAGCGCTTAAATTCTTGTCCAGGCTGGATCGTATCATTACGTGTCTGGCGTTGATGCCTCCACGTCGGCATCACTCGCAGCCTATCTTAATTCTCTCACATATGCGGTAGAGGACAATTCGACATGGTTTGCAAAGACACCGGTCTGGAAGGTTCGAAGCGGGACTTACTGTTGCTACAACGCGTTCTCGCGAGTGGATATGCGTGTCGATGTCAAAATACCTGGGGGAGTCAACGATTATGTGATTGACATTCGAGGCGACCGGTACGATTCATTTCTGTATTATTGTGTTAGTCTAAAATCGGTTCTAGGCACGAAGCAACGCAGGAACTCTGGCAAGAGACGTATCTGTCGGCTATCCTGAGAGCGATCCTCTATGCAGACGATCCAAACTATCGTCTGATAGGATATAGAAAATTAGACCCTATAACCACTCGAGAAAGCGAGGTTCGCTTCTTGCAAGCTGCAGAGGCCCTCTTTCCTTCAGGATGGCAGCTGGGGTCAGATCCAGAGATTCAAGTCGCCAGCCTCGTCTCCAACCATTTGGTTTCTGGTATAATGAAATACTTTGGGGATGGATATCGACTTGGGCAGGCGGCCAACCTGTTTGAAAAATTGCTAGTCAAGACTCCAGAGGTGGCCGCACTGCTCGCAAAGAGTTATTTGGGGATGAGTAAGTCTATTAATTCGAACTAACATCTATACTTAAATTCTATAGATGAGGAAGTCAAGGCAGTTCAAATCCTGTCGCAAGCCATTCGTGACTCTCCTCAATCATTCACATTACTGCACGTTCAGTGTGACTTCCTTCGATCCAAGGCCAAATACGAATGGGCGCTTCAGATAGCACAGCAGGCCGTCAATTGTGCCCCCAGTGAATTCGTCACCTGGGCAAAGCTCACCGAAGTCTTCATTGAGCTGGGTCAATACGAATCAGCATTGCTCACGCTCAACTCGTGTCCCATGTTCACTTACAATGACCGGGATCTACATAGGATGCCCACACCAAGCAAGACGCACCTTCCTGTCAAACAGTTCATCGCCGACTCGCAGATTCTGGACAGTGATGGTGTCGAGGAGGACACAGACCCAGCTCTCTTACGCTTACCCGCACCCGCTCTGCGTGGGACATTCGCAAAAGCATATGAGCTTCTGTGCCGGCTCGTCTCGGAGATTGGATGGGATGAGCTTCTGAAGACACGGAGCGCGGTGTTTGTTATGGAGGAGGAGTACCGAAATCAAAAGGCACAGATCATTGCAGACACACTCGAGAATGATCTGCGTGGGAACGGGGTTGTGCACGAAGATGGGAGTGTGCATCCGTCCATGACGGACAAGCTGGCGACCGCAAAGCGCGGGCCAGATGGAGACGATGATGATGCGAGTACACGTGGGATGGTGTCTCCGCCACCACAGAGTGAGCAAGACGCACAACAAGACGAGATGAGAGACGACGAAGAAGACGAGCCACATACTGCCCAAGCCGGGGCTTCAGTAAATGGCGCCAAGAAGAGCGAGTTTTCTGCTAGTCGTGGTGGCATCGATAAACCGAAACGTGCTGCAGCGTCAGAGGCTGACGAGGACGAAGACCAGGACCGACCAAGGGAGATGAGCGGGGAGACACATGCCCTAAACAGCAAACGATTATGTGAGCGATGGCTTGACAACATGTTTATGTGTCTTTACGAAGTGCGAAACTTTGTGTCTTGCCCGAGCTATTACTCAAAAGTCGATAGGATCTGCGTGTCTGGACCATTTTCCGCGCTGAAGTCGCTCACTTCAAGAATCACCGTCAAGCATATCGCAAGACTGGCTCTGAATGGGAGATTCTAGGTGACCTGGGCACACGATTGCTCCACAGAGAGGAGGCAAAGGAAGCCTATCAACGGTCGCTGGACATCAAGTTCTCTGCAAAAGCATGGATGAAATTATTGGAGATCTATGCTGCAGAAGGCGACCTCCAACGAAGCCTGAACGCCGCAATCCGCATTACGGCCTACCAGCATCGATGGTACTTTGAGATGGCGGTATGTCCGTTCTATGCAATATAAACCTTGACTGATATCGGTGCAGTTCCCGACTGCCGTGGCTCATAATCTCTACAAGCTCGGGCTCATTCACGGACATGCAAAAATTTCGTTCACTCTCCTGAGTATGGGACTGCCCGATGGAATTCGAAAAATTGTGGAGAACTACTTGCAGTATGGCAAAACATTTCAGATAGAGGTACGAGTTTTTGCACATGGATGGCTGGTCGCTAACGCCTCGCGACTTGGCAGGGCTACGACTTCTAGGACTCGGGGTCCCTTGTTGCTACGTCTCGTATTATGCATCTAATAAATTTCTCAAACAAAATGATGGTTGCTTGGAACATCTGGAATTCGATGAAACAAGCTGCTGCCGTACTATTTCTGAATGAATATTATTAGGAAAGTGTCTCTAGTGGCGGCCAGCTTTGCCAGTTCTTCATTCATTATTCCAGCAACCCCACGGATTGCACAAGTGACCTTGCCGAAAGACTAAGAACGGTTGATAATAGCAAACTTATGATTAGGAATTCCAAGTTTTGGTGAAAAAGTTCTGTCCAGGATCGAATTAGACTACCTGACAAGAAAATGCTACTCATCAAGCTTCTCAGAGGGACATTCGAATGAATATCCGGGATAATACTTTTCTTTACTTGACATCAATCAAATTATAAATACTTCTGTCGACGACCCAGGGCTTGAACACGGGTTCCAATGAAATGCCCAATCTCAGTCCACCTTACATAGGCTCACTGAGCTTATGTGAATCTGTGAATATATATTGCAAAGACAGATACGAGTCTCCGAGCAGGCTATTAGCAATATAATGGACCGGCTAGGTTTGCAGCTTATCTGAATCACTGGATGGGGCGTCCAGGTAGTCCTATCTTATCTTCCGGTTCACTCCAGGCTTTCGTATCCTCAGAGAGCCCAGCTTTCTCAGTGGGCCCCAATTTAGATTATTGACCCAGGCCTCAATACTCGACCTTGTTATTTACGCAATCAATCGATAGAACGCTCGACATTTTCTCACTTGTATGGGTAGCAATGTATTGGTTAAAGTGAGACGCGTTGCGCTCATTGAATTAAGTCGGGGAGGTGGAGGGAGGGTAATAAACAATGATACACAGCACGGCTGTAACCATTTTACGCGAGGGCAGGTCCATGCCAATGCCTAGGAAACTCTCCAAAGACCATTAAAGAACAAAGCTCACGCCGTCAGCACCTATAGGAGGAGCGACGCAGCAACACCGGCGAGAACAACGGCGACGCTTGATCGAGCCGAGAGAACTGAGGCTCCATTTGGCGTCGTGGTGGATGTAGAGCTTGCGCTTGGCGAGCTACCTGCTCCGCTGGTGCTGGACGCTCCTCCGGACGCAGACCCCGATGCAGATCCCGTTGTAGGTGTAAACGGAGCAGTTACGCCGAAGCTATAGGATTATTTATGAGTTATTCAGAAGTTGGTAATGGTTGGGAACTCACCCAGGCTCGTCGGCGTTCGGAACAGCAGCGGCGAAATCGGCAAACGTCCTCCCTGGAGTAGTGGGTGGGTTGATAGCACCATACATTCCACCCTTGCAATGAGGCTTGCGCGCACAGAAGAACCAGATGGGGTTGGCGGTCTGGGTGACTTCAAGGGTGAAGACACCAATCTGACCGCTGGCGGCGTTGTAGGGCATGAATGGAGAGGTGAAGCCGTTCTGTTGGGTGACCGTGTTGAATTGCTGTGTGCATGGGTCTAAATTTTGTAAATAAGCATGCCCTCCTTGATGATTCAGTGGATACGCACTTGCAAACGAGCTTTGGGTCACAGTGTGGTTACCGCCTCGGAATTCAAAGTTGATAAAGTCACCGACGTCGGCCTGGATGACTTGTGGGTTGAAGACGAGCGCTGGGAGCACCCGAGGCGTCGGCGCCCACAACAACGGTGATATTCTTCGCAAAGGCGGGCGCAACGGTAGCGAGAGCGGCGACAATGGCGGTCGAGAACTTCATGGTCGATAAAAGTTGTTGAAGAGAGTGAGAAGCTAGGCGAATGAAGGCTGAAAAATGAAAGGCGTGGAGAGAGAGACTGTAGATCGATGATCAGCACGGGGCAACGGGGTAACGGAGGGCGGAGATCAAGCAGATCCTCGACGACGCCGCCGTAGCTGGCCCGCGTCGACGAGAAATGACCCAAAATGCAACTTACCCTGCTCAGGCGGCGAGTGCGAAGAAAGGACGGAGGCGGACGAGGACAAGGGGTGGGGAGTCAAGGCGACAATGGGGGCAGCGCTTTTATAGTGCAACGGGGCCAAGGTAACGAAGGTAAGCGACCAAATACGAGGCAACCGAGGAAGCCCTTTGCATGTTGCCATAAACAGAAACCCCAATTCAGTTAGCGCTGCCATCAAGGGCGATGAGCTGCACTGACAAGCAGTGACAGCGCGTTATTGTGGGCGTTGGAGTATTCGCGCCTCTCTGCGCCTCTGTTCGAGTTCGTGTGCATCCCATTCGTCCTTTGCGTCCAGCCACCTTTCTTGTACATCCCGCACGTTCCCTGCACCGCCGGGTATGGAGCCTGCAGCTGATGTGAAGAGGGAGTAGATATTAGGGCGGCGTGTGCTTGGTGTTGATTCGCTGCTGGGCTCTGGTGAAGGCTCAGACTGTGGAACGAATATGCACCCTGTGGCGCGGTCCACCAAGCGCATTAATCTGAGCATTGAATCACGGTCCTGATATCAATTTAGTAAACAATATCGTAGAAATATACTCGCAGACCTCTACCGCCAGTGTCTCAAACCCCACGTATGGGAAATCCTGGATGAGCTCGGCAATACGCATGTTCAGTGCGGCAAATTTCGTCCCCTGAGGCAACAAATCTTCGAGATAGGCAAGATTCTGGACCTCAGTATAATAGTCCAGGTTGAAGTCTGTCAAATGTCAAGAGGTAGTCCCGTCTGACAACGGAGACAACACACCCAATTCACCGAATTGAGAAAGAAGATCGATTTTGGATAGAACATTGATATGTGGTAGCTCGAGTTGAAGCATTGTCCGCAGGGAGAGCAACAAAACGGAAATGTACTTGGCGGCATCGGTCACATAGTGCGCGTCGCAAAGATTCACAGCTGCCAACTAGAAACAGAGAGTTCCATATGCTTGCAAAGAGCTCGGCAAAGAGGAGACGCACCCGAAATAAGTCATTCTTGGAGAGCGCTTTGATGACCTTCTTCAGGCTTTCGTGATTCGTGCTGAGTTCGACTTGTCCCGGAAGATCGAAGACAACCCAAGTTTCATTGTCTAGCTTTGCCAGTTCCTCGAGCAACCAGTCTATGTTTGCCTCGAGATACTCCATACAGTACAGCATAGCGCCGTTAGGACCAAGTCCAAACTCATTCATTACATCCTGGAGCGTGACGAGTGACGAGATGGAGATGGTGCACGGGTATGGTAGGCTTTCGTTGGCCGGATCCAGATTTACAATCGCGATAGGGCGCGATAGCGCCGTGAAAAGCTGGTATTTCCCATATGCGTACGTTGATTTTCCTGCTCCAGGTGCACCAATCACTATTTCACCAAACGGCATGATGAGGGTAAGGTCAGAATTCTGTTCGCCACCTTGGATTCCGTTTGCCCCTATAGCTAAACACAGGGGGGAATCGACGTGATATTGGAGTTAGATGTGCTTCAATGGATGAAAAGCATCACATCACTCGACAAATTTGGACGCATCATGCGATGTGGACCAAGCATGCAGGGAAACCGTTGAAACTAGAGTGGACCTCCCTGTAGGCGTGAGAGTGCATTTAATCTTCTCTCTAGCTATATATAACATTTATGAGGGCCCAGGTTATTCTCTTTGATTGTTGGAAGCACTCAAAATCACTTTTGTTCTGTTCCCAGCAAAGAGGCTGCTTATTTCTCAACCACACAAGCGAATCGATACAAACTCGCCTTGGCCACCCGAAGAGATCTGGGATCTATCCAGAGCTGGAAAGTGGCCTCGAAGAGTACTTGAGCATGTTTCGAACTATTGCGCCATTACCATAGGTTGTGCTGGATGTCTCCCTCAGTCTAGCGGACTCATCCAATACCCTCTCATTTAATCACACATCAGATGAGTCCACGACCTCGTTGAAGAGTAGATAAAGGATACAAATGAGCAATCGGGATGGGGTAGTAATAACACATGAAACGGAGCAAATGGTCTGAACAAAAAGAGTCACCACAAGACTTAGACGTTCTTCTTGACAGCGTTGTTGAACGCATCAGCAAACGCCTGGCCAGTAAGACCGTCAGAAGCCGCGATGGCAGCTGTGCAGTCCTGGATGGCGACGGTGTTGGCGTCGCAATCGCTCTTGACACGGTCGCAAATGAAAGTGGTGATAATCTTTCCGTTGAGAGCAGAACCGTGAACAAAGCCTTTGCCAGAGGGAGCAAACGAGTTCTCCTTGCGGCCATCAAAGATGCCGAATTGGACCGTGGGGACGTCGCACTTGTTGAAGTTGGCCTTTGAAGCGAGAGCAGCATCACCAGCTCCACCACCAACAGCAGCGGGAACCTGAGCAAAGTTGGTCTCGATACCGAGGGCGGCGTTGAACTGATCCGCCTTTGCTCCACCAGCCACGTTGGCGACGGCTGTAATGGCGTTCCTGCAAGCCGTGACGGTTTCAGCGGGGGCCTTGCACTTGTCAGCAAGAATGTTGCAGATGGCGTTGAGGACAATCTGTCCGTTCAGGGCAGAAGACTGGGCAAACTCGTTGCGGTTTTGAGGTTGAAAGCTGAACTCGGCAAGTTTGCGACCCTCAAAGCCGGGACCGAATTCAACAGCAGGGTTTGTGCAGGATCCAAAGTTGAGTGCGCCGGATGGAGCTGCCTCAACGGTTTGAGCAGGAGCGGCGGCCGCTGGGGTGCTTGCGACCTTGTTCTCCGTCGCTGTAACAGTCACGGTAGCGGCAGGAGGGCAGGTGCCTGTGACATTGGGTTGAGCTGTGACGGTCACAGTCTGCTGAGGTGGGCACGAACCAGTAGCACCGGCATTGCCGTCGTTGTTGTTGGCGTCGCCCTGGTTGGCATTGCCATTGTTATTGGCGTCTCCCTGGTTTGCGTTATTGTTGTTGCCGTTGTTATTGTTCTCAGCGGGTGCTGCAGCAGCACCGCCAGCCAACGGTGAAGTGTTCGCTTGAGAACCCTTCCTGACAGTCGTCTTGGTCTCTGGATCGAAGAAGAGATCTATGGCAGGTGAGAATGTATCCAGATCTGGAGTGATCAAAACGTACCGGGATCGTTGGCGGGATCCTGAGCTTGATTGAGACCGACAAGTTGAGCATTGCGAGGTGCCTTCTGGCAGAAGACACTGTTGCGAAGCGTCGGTGGGCTGGAAAGAGATCAGTATCGACACTTTCAATTCGTCGATCAAACCCACTTGGTGGAGAAGTCAGGAGGAGTGTTCTTCTCGCACTGTCTGAACTTGATGGCGAGCTGAATGACTGTCAGGCGGTGATAAAACAGGAAATCTCTTGTACACACCTCGACCATCTTGGCAGCCGTAGCGGCATCCTGGGTCTTGGAGGCATCGATGATATCGTCTACGCCATACGATCAGCACAAAGTCGCCATCTGTAGACTATGACAATACCTGCAAGATCTTGCTGAGCACAAATGGCGGCGCCAGCCAAAAGAGTTCCTACAAGAGATGAGGGAGAATCATGGACGACGTTTTGATGAACGTACCAGGAACGCGTCCACCAAGGACACCGCAAATTGCACCATTACAGGCGGCACCGATTTCACCTCCAATGCCTCCGCACTGCTCCTGACCGAAGCGACGAGGATAGAGCAAAGGACGAGCAAAGGCTTCTGGGATAGCCGCTGCGATGGCAAGAGTGATGAGAGAAGACTTGACGAACATGATTGATAACAATAGAGCGAGAGTTGGCTGGGCTTGTCGAAAAGTGTGTCGTGAATGAAAATCTACCCCTGGTAGGACCTTGGATTGCTGATCTGATGAAGAAGGAAAGAGAATGTGGATGCCGAAGGGCGCTGGGAGTTGAAAAAGGTGGAAAAAGGATGGAAGGAACCGGTCGACGGTAGAGGTAAAGGAGAACGAGACGTGGATAATTGTGAGTCTGAGTTGCATCCATGAAGGTCGCCTTTTAAGTGATGAGGCCTGCACGTCGGCTCGTTAGCGATGGGAGGTGTTGCCTGACGACCTTGAGTGCTGCCCGCGAGTGCCTAGTGGAACGTGTCCGGTCGCACGCGGCAGGATATCGGAGACCTGATCACGAAGGAAACCATGCAGTTTGAAGCTCCAACGTTCCTTGGGTTGCCAGAGGGTGTCGAGCGCCGCGCTCGTTGCCTGCACAACGTATTCTCAAACTAATAAATGCTTGTGCATCTAGGCCGACAACGCCATGTCGAATTGGATCATAGACCGTCAACACCTTTGAAGCGTCATTTGTAGTGCACGGTAATTTTGTGTTGGTAAATTTATCTGTTGATAGATTGATGATGAGATTGATGAACTCGGTCAAAGACCTCGACTCCTGACGCGTGTACCCGGATTTGCATGGCATTACACTGGAAACGGAGTGTATCAAGCAAGGAAGGGAAACAGGGACGCGTATTATCGCTTGTAGCTAGTGTTGTAACGTCTGTCGGCCCATCTGGACCGCGGCTGACTGGCTTTCTCGCGCGTCCCTGGCCATGGGTGGCGAGCTCAGTAGGCACAAAGGAGCCTACATGGCTGCTGAGACAAGCTACAAACTGTTCAAGACTCTGATTTTAACATCGCCAGCGGTATACGAGAAATTCGTTGGTGTCGTTCGGTTTCAAGTGCAACTTGGACTCTGCGTGATAGTGGACCCGCGTCTTGCCCATCGTTTGCAGCCACGACACCCTCATCACGATAAAGAGACAAGCAATTCTGGAACATAATCTTCATTTCCGCTCACCATGAGCCACGCAGCCCACCTCAAAAAGGCCATCGAGCAAGCGCGGTACAAGCAGCCCGTCCCGCACATCGACTTTACCATCCATCAGCTAGACGATGGAAACACCGTGTCCACACAGGAACGTGTCATCAAAGAGGTCCGTCCGCCCTTGAATCCCCGCGCGTCCGTTACTGATCATCCCGTTCACCAGGTCCAAGCACCGGCGATGCAAATCCCGACAGATGCACAGTTCTACTCGACGATAGATCCAACAAAACCAGATATAGCTTTCCTCAAGAACCACTTCTATCGTGAGGGCAGACTATCGGAGGAGCACTGTCTGTACATCATCGAGAAGGGAACCGAGTTGCTCAGAAAGGAACCAAATCTTCTCGAAGTAGATGCTCCCATAACCGGTTCGTCCATCACTCGCCTGGCGGCCCTCCAAGCACGGCAATTGCTAACCCATTCTCGATCTCAGTATGCGGAGATATTCACGGCCAATATGTATGGATACTTCAAACGATGTCTGTTCATTCAGCTCATGCCCTTCTCAGTTCGATCTTATGAAGCTCTTCGAGGTCGGCGGAAACCCTGCCGATACACGTTACCTCTTTTTGGGCGACTATGTCGATCGTGGCTACTTTAGCATCGAAGTACGTCGTGATCAAGTTGTCTTTTCTTTTCCTTACCGCGTTTAGGTGGTTCTTTATCTCTGGTCACTCAAAATGTGGTATCCTGACACCCTTTTCCTTCTTCGAGGGAATCACGAATGTCGTCACTTGACCGATTACTTTACTTTCAAACTAGAATGTAAGATCTGGGCCTCTGGCTATGACCTTTCGGTGCTGACGCGTCCTAGGCAAGCACAAGTATTCAGAACGCGTATATGACGCTGTCATGGACTCGTTTTGTGCACTTCCTCTGGCAGCAATTATGAACAAGCAATTCCTTTGCATCCATGGTGGTCTCTCTCCAGAGCTTCAGACGCTCGACGATTTGCGCGCGGTAAGGGAAAGCTTTTAGCCGTGAACAAGAACTCAATGCTCGTAGATTGATCGCTTCCGTGAGCCGCCTACTCATGGAATCATGTGCGACATCTTGTGGTCGGATCCCATCGAGGATTTCGGGGCCGAAAAGACGCAGGAATCGTTTGTACATAACCACGTCCGGGGCTGCTCATACTTCTTCACGTGAGTGGCTTGTCGTTTTTCGAGAGTTATTTGTTGAAGGATATGCCAGTTATCATGCCGCTTGCCAATTCCTGGAACGAAATGGTCTGCTATCTATCATTCGGGCACACGAAGCTCAAGACTCTGGGTACGATCTTCCGAATTCTTCATATTAGCGCTGACCTTGATAGGTATCGAATGTATCGCAAGACAAGGACCACTGGCTTCCCATCTGTCATGACGATCTTCAGTGCACCAAACTACCTTGACGTATACAATAACAAGGCAGCCGTACTCAAGTACGAGAGTAACGTGATGAACATTCGTCAGTTCAACTGCACGCCTCATCCGTACTGGCTGCCCAACTTTATGGACGTTTTCACTTGGAGCTTGCCTTTTGTTGGCGAAAAGAGTACGAATTTTGGTTTCAGTTGGCCAAAGGTTAACCCTCTATCAGTTACGGACATGCTCATCGCCATTCTCAACTGTTGCAGTAAGGAGGAACTCGATGAGGAGCTTGAAGAGGAAGAAGAGATTATTGAAGAAACGGAAGATGGAACTGAGCGCCGAAAGGTCATCAAGAACAAGATCCTTGCCGTTGGGAGAATGGCTCGCGTGTTTGCTCTTTTGCGGTACGTTTCCCCACTCTTCTTGGGAGAAAGAAACCTGAACAGTATCTCTCAGAGAGGAATCGGAGCGCGTTTCAGAGCTCAAAAACTCCACTGGCTCCAGCACGCTTCCTTCGGGAATGCTGGTCCTCGGCTCGGAAGCAATCAAGGAATCTATTACAGGATATGACGATGCGTACGTGCTCAACTATTTTTTCTTGGAATATCCGGCTTGACTATTGCTTAGCCGTAAATCCGACATCGAAAACGAGCGTTTGCCCCCGGATCTCGTCGATCCTGAGGAAGCAAGGGGTCTGTTGTCAAACCCAGTCACACCCATTGAGGAGCAGGGCAGTTCGCCACTCGAGGCTATCAATGAGGATGCTGCCACGACATCAGCTGGTTCGTCTGGCGCACCCGGCTCGCCAGCAATACCCTCGCCTGCAGGCTCTCCCTCGTCGCCAATGGGAACCTTCCGCCGAGGCCACGGTAGACAACAGAGTCTGGGTACGACGTCGACTAGTCCTAGTACGCGTAGGAGGAGCATCGAGAACACTGCATCTCTGATTCGCGAGGCCATGGAGGACAATCGAGCAGAGACGAATCCTGATCTCGAGGCGTTGGCAGAGAGTCTTGCGAGCCCCGGCGGCACTCTTCGACGACGCTCCGACTCGACCAGTGGTAGTTCTCCCGGGACGGATAAGGAAGCTGAGGTCAAGAAATGAGTATTACGAGCTCTGGGTGCGTATGTGGAAGACATAAACAGGCAACAAGAGTAAAAGACGAGAATCTGTATCCTGCACCGGTGTATCTTTCGTGATCATGACCTATTTTTCGCTCTTTTTGACTTGGAACCCATCCTTGACCACAGTTTACATCTTCTGAAATGTCGCGTCCAGACGTTGTGAGGTGAGTCAGAACTTGGACCTGACCATGCGATCATGTTGGGTATTGTTAGCGCTGGTCGGCGGGCCCATAGTGGCTGCAAGGGCCACACCAAAATATGAGACATTAGTTGTGATTCCTCAAGAGCGCTCGTTTACCTCCCACTGCGACGCATCCTTCCGTGGGACCTATCACAACGCAGGAAGGCCGTTGTCGTTATATGCGACGTCGAGTGCGTGTACTGGACTCGGAGACACGCCTATTGAGGCATCTGTGTCATTGGAATCCACACCAAGTTCGGATATTTTGTTCTGGGTCGAAGAGATCGTCACGGACGGTCAGCTTCGGGCGCAGAGTCATGGTGCACCCAAGATATTTATAGAATCCGTGATTGATTCGCATCAAGTTTCGCTCAGTGGATCCAGAACTGCACCGGGCAAGATTCTCTGGTTCTCCGAGACCGCAGCCATTCTTTCTATCCCCGAGGACCAAATATCGACACTGGATATGCACTTATCACCGCTATGGGAAGCAGTACGGATCCCAGTCGACCCATTGCCAATCAAAGCGTCGACAGAATCCGACTCTGACAAGCGACTGAGGAAGATTCTCTCCACAGTGCACTTCAACCCGGATATATCATCCATTTTATCCTCCATCTCCTTGGCACGAATGCTATTTGACATTCGTTGGCTTACAGGAGAGGCGTCCGACTCGCCCATCATTAGCCGCCATAGCTTTTCCGATGGAGCACGCGTCGCTGCCAAGTGGATCAGATCTAAAATGGAAGAATATGGCGCGGCGTGTGAATACATGGACTTCCTGGAGGGCTTTGCCCCCAATATCATTTGTCGCTATGCAGCCAACCCGGACGGCAACTCAACAGAGGCGACTACAGCGAAAGGTCCAAGAGTCATTCTAAGCGCTCATTATGACAGTCGCGGCTCTTTCGGAAGGCATGTCGTCCCTCTCAGATCTCGCGTAGCTTACCACCTTGCAGCACAAGGGCTCCTGGCGGGGACGATGATGGCAGTACGTTTTCTTTCCCTTCTTCTGCTGGGCTGGTGCTAACATCGGACAAGGCGGTGTGGTTCATCTTCTCTCCATTGCAAGAGCAATCTCAACGAAGAGCGTGTACTTCAATGTCGATGTTGAGCTATGCGCCTTTGCAGGGGAAGAGCAGGGGCTTCTTGGTAGCAGCGCTTATGCTAGTAGGTTTCTCCCTGCCTCTGGAAATGAGATGGTTACTTGCTTGCAGAGAAGCTCTACGAGGATGGCGAAGATATTTTGTTAATGATTCAGGCGGACATGTTGGCTTACCACTCGTCGGAGGAGCCCATGCAGCTAGGACTGCCGCAAGCGTAAGCGCAGTCAACTTAGAGTTTTCTCATCTAATCGCCAAATAGGATTGGTAGCCCTGTTGCAGCCGAACTTGTCGCTAATATATCATCGATATATGCACCAGAATTGACCGTTGGGATCACCGCCGCCTGCTGCAGCGACCATCAGTCCTTCTGGCAATATGGCATGTGCTTGTTTCACATATAATTCATCCATGCTGATCAAGGGACACAGGGTTCTCTGCAACACAAGTGTTTGAGAGAGCTGGCGACATCATCGACCCGATGTATCACAACTCTGGAGATCTATCCAACCGGACCAACTATGATCTCAATCAAGTCCATTCGATTGCCAAGGTCACGGTATGTAAGAGCCTCGCAACGGGCCTGAATTTCTTATCATTATTAGTTGGCCACCTTACTGCACACAGCTGGATTTGGATTTTCGAGCGACAACTAGACTCGAATTGATTACTTCTATCCTAAAACTGCTTCAATGTGCGCCGCTTCTTCCAATCGCTTTTGCCTTTCCAGACAATGTCGGCAACGCCAAAGAACCCCCTTGCGTAGGAGGGTCCAGGAAACCTGCGCTGATGAGCCAGGATAAGTAAAGCCCAGCAGTCTCTGCGTCTACAGTCTGTTTCATTGACCCTTGCAATCCGTTCGATTGGAGCAAGGCCTCGGTGTTCTTGATGCTTAGCTCGGGAGCACGTGTGCTCCTCGGAAGGTCGTCCAATACGAAATGAAGTAGTGGGAAGAGGGCATTATCTTGGGCTTCGAGCACGTGCTGCTCCAGTTTACCGCGCCACACCACGTACTCGCATACTGAAACGTCGTAGCCGTAGGCTGCTAATGTTGTGAATAGCTGGTTGAACGTGATTGGGGGCCGTGCAGCGATATGAAGCACAGAGACTCCAGACGAGGGAGAGATGCCCGAAAAGGCCACGACGGCAGCGACATAGTCGACAGGGACCATATTGACGGTGTTCGAGATATCTGGGACGAGCTTGAGTTGGATGCACCCTTTGACTAATCTCCAAATGAAGTCATCTGTATTTGTGACTTCATTCTGTCAGCCATCGTTCATACAGCGGAGGATCATCACTCACTTGCAGTTTGGGAGTGACCGAGTACGTATCCCGGCCTCACGATATGTGCTGACATGCCCCGCTTGCCTGCTTCCATGATGAGCTTCTCTGAGACCCATTTTGACTGCCCATAGCCGACGCGGAGTTCGTTTCTCGCGCCTTCCAAGTCGTCATCTTCTGGAACGCCATTGCCTGTCGAATCAGACAGCTTGACGTAATACTCTGTGTCAATCGCAGAGGTTGATGACACAAAACTGAAAAGCTTTGGGCGTTTGGCTACTGCTAATTCCATGGCCGTCAACGTCCCAAGCACGTTTGGACCACGCAGCTTGGCGTACGGATACACCCAGTGTACCTTTTATATGTCAGCAGCTTGTATACCCAGTGTATGCGATAACTTACGAGTGCACCGTTATGAACCACAGAGTGGACGGCCTCGCACAGAGTGTCCCATGTCTCGTTCGAAAGTCCGAAATGAGGCTCGCTCAAATCTCCCGAGACGACCGCCAAGCGGCCTTCATCAATCCACGACGCGTGCCATAGTCCTCGGTCATCCATAGAAGAATGAAGCCTCTTAAGCGCATCTTCCTCGTTCTTGCCTCTAACGAGACAAATGACCTTGGCCACAGTATCAAGGCTCAAGAGGTGCGCGAGTATAAAGCTACCGAGGAACCCAGTACCACCCGTGAGGAACACTGTCAACTTGGTGTCAACGGGAAGTGATGTGACTGGAGTGTACTTTTCTTGGAGATGAGAAGTACATAGCATGTCCAAGTCTGTGGCATAGGAAATTTCTGCTTTCGTGCTGGGCTGCTCTGGTGGTGGCCCATTTGTGGCAGTCAGATCATCGTGACGTAACGCATCAATTGCAGACGCAAGGCCTTTGACAGTAGGCTGATCGAAAATAAGGCTGAGCGGTGCCTCTACAACAAAGGTCTTGCGAATTTCGAATACGAGGCGGGTGGCTAAGATGGAGTGTCCACCAATGTCGAAAAAGTTTTCGTCCAGTGGAATAGGTGAAGGGCCATTCGGAAGCAATTTGGCCCAGATTTCGGAGAGGGACTTCTGGGTCGGCGTAAGAGAGTTTGCATCGGAGAGCTTTTGCTCTCTGGGTGCTGCTTGGACGGTGTCCGGGAAAGGAAGTTTGGGTTTGTCGATTTTTCCGTTTGGATTGAGCGGCATCCTGCGCATTGGAACGAATACTGGAAAAGCGTCAGAGGAGGCCACCATGAAGATTGGCAACTCACGGCTCGGCACGCTGTAAATGGGAAGCTTCTTCTTGAGATACTCTCTCAAGTCCTTGATGAGCCTGCGGTAGCGCTGGGGTGCAGCCAAGTCGCCCTCCTCGACGACTTCGACGTCACTCATCACGCTGTCGAGATCCGGGCCAGCGAGTGCTACAAAGTAGCTGACGAGCACCTTTTCTTCATCCTTGTCTCGTCGTACGAGTGTGACGTTTTCGCGAATGAGTGGATGCTGGCTAAGGTGGGTGTCTATCTCGCCTAGTTCGATACGGAAGCCACGTATCTTGACCTGGTCATCGGCACGCCCAGTACATTCGACTAGACCATTCGCGTCATAGCGGCCAAGGTCGCCAGTTCGGTACATCCTGTCCCGAATGCCTTTCCAGAATTGAGCTTCGGGACCGGGGTTTCCATTTGGTGGAGTGGCAATAGTGTCTGACCATTGGCTTGAACCAAACCAATTGTTGACGAATTTTTCCGACGATGCCGCTTGGTCCAGATAGCCTTCAGCCAATCCTCCGGAACGAACATAAATCTCTCCGACCTCTCCTACAGCGCAGGGTATTGTGCGGTCATTTCGGTTGACGACGAGGAGTTGGACATCAATCATGCCTTGGCCGGCCGGCATGATGTCCTTTTGTGTGGCGAGGAAGCTCGAGTCCTCTGAGAGTGGCGGAATTGCAAAGTAGGAAACAGCACGTTGCGTCTCGGTTGTCCCATACATATTAATGATGCGCACGTTTGCGGCTAGACTTTGAAGCCGGAGACAATCCCGCTTGGTGAGGATATCGCCTACGAAGAAGGCATTACGCAAACTTGGAATCTGGCATGTGGCTTGTGCAGAAAGGAGTTGACCCATCGCCGGCGTGAGATGAGTCACCGTAACTTCGCTTGCCGCCATCCATTCCGCAAGCCTACCGGGCGTGCCAATATCGTCGGCAGTCGGGACGTGCAGCTGCGCTCCAAAGAAGAGTGGTGTAAACACTGTATACAATGAGCATATATGATCAGTGTCACGGAGCACTTACTATCTCGCTGGATGGGATCATGAGCAATGCCACTCAGCATTGTAAACTTGGAGTCCTCTCCAAGACCAAATCGTTGCCCCATCCACGGGAAGAAGTGAGTGAGACTATAGTGTCTTCCCTTCACTCCCTTCGGAATGCCTGTGCTACCGCTTGTGAAGGACAATGTGCCGATGCTGTCTGGACCTAACGGGATTGCTGGATCTGTGTCTGCTAATTGCTCGACGTCCCCGAGACAATTGTCACCAGCTTCTACCTTGCCAGTGACGGTGGACATTTCGAGCGCCGTAATTTCCGCACAAATTTCAAGCTCTGTATCGATGAATTCTCGTACAGACTTGTGAATTGTGCCTGCTCCCTTGAGCACAATGAGACCCCTTGGGCGTGCAACTTTGAGATAGATGTTCTGGCGACTAGGTGGGTATGCCGGATCTAGCAATTCGTCATATATCAAACCAGAGGAGTTCGAGCAACTGACCGATAACCGAGAAAGTTCCTCCAGCTTTGAGGATGCCCATGACAGCAACGACTAGTTCGACACTTCTGTACGCATAGACCATGACGACGTCTTCTCGTTTGATGCCACCCGAGATGAGTTTATGAGCGACGATATTTGCGGCTCGTAGGATCATTGAGTAGGTAAAGGTGACCCTAATTCCAGCAGGAACGCTTGATTCTATACTTGATTGTACAACGCATGCGCGATCAGGCCACCGCCGGGCATTCGCAGTGAAAATATCTGGAATGGCTCCTTTCCAGTCGCACCAGTTGAGGTCCGCGGTGGCACTGGGAAGTACCTTTTTCTGGCTTTCTGTGACTAGGGGGATCAAACCTACGGCGTACAAGGGATCCTTTGCCACCACGGAAAGGAGCTGGGCAATTTGTTCCAGCATGAACGATATCCTTGCCGAGGTGAATAAGAGAGCATTGTATGATATTCGAAGAGTGATCGAGGGAGCCAAAGAATGTCGGGACGACGCTGACTCACGTAGCACAAAGACGGTGAGATCTGTCGTCGGACTGGTGCTCCGAATGAAAGAGCTACCCGACCCCTCATCCGTCTCGTCAAAGAACCGTACGCGGAAAAGGGGTCTTTGGGGGCCATCTTGTGCACCCGAGTGCTTGCTCACGGCGCGCAGGACCTCTTCATACGGGACGACGTTGTCCTCTGCTTCACGCTCGGCAAGCTGGATGCGACGGAGGACGGCCCAGAATGGATCATTGGGTTCGACTGGAACGCGTAACAGAAGCGGATCGGGCGATGCCTGCGAGGACGAGGCGATAAGGAGGTCAGTGTCGCCCGTGTAGCGATGGAGGAGGACGGTGAATGCAGTCAAAAGGCAGTGGAATGCAGAAGGAAGTGGTTGGTCCTCGCTATCCGTCTCATCTGTAAAGACTGCAAGCTTGATCAGGGCTTTTGCAGCGACGTCGGGCAGATGGGCCGCAACGGTGGCATCGACGACACGGTTGACTTGTGGTCTCGGATAGTCGGTAGGAAGAGCGAGTAAGGGAAGGTCTTTCAGACGCTCAGCTGCCGAGACTACACGCTCTGGGATTCCAGCCATCGAGGGGGTGGTCCAAGGTTGCTCCTTGCCACCAAATTGTCATGGATCCGACTATGCGCAGTCGCTCGTTTAAGATGCCTCCAGTAGAGGACTCTCAGAATACGAGGCGAATGCGTAGGCTAGAGGAGCAGAAGCGCGTAAGTTTCAAGCTATTCGCCACAGAGAACGGTAACTGAAGATGATTCGCCAGAGCAGAGCTCTCAAAGTGGAATCAGCGCGCAATGTGGACATATTCGCAGGTCTATCGCTCAATGAGATTGAAATGGAGGAGGAGAAGGCGGTACCAAAGGCAAAACGACCATCTCGATGGGCTGTAGGTTGCCTAATCTTTGATCATAGTCATTAATCTAAATATAGCTTAGAATGTCGCGATGTATGCGGAACCATTGGAGATGAATGGTATGGGACCGGCGCTACCAGACGATTTTGGTACAGCTTGGATCGCAGTAGCCCCAGTTCCAAAGGGAAAGCGTTGCCTTGTGATAGCGTATAAATCAAATGGACAAGGTATGTGTTTTGTTGCACTCGAAAGCCGCTGAGATACAGGCTCAATACTGCTAGGATCCGTTGTATCTCTAAGAAGGTAATAGCCCTGAGGTAGAGCTGTGCAAGGAACTAATGTATTGTCAGTCGGCTCAAGGGTAACCAACTGATGAGGTTCCCTTCACGGCTGCCCACAGACACCATCTTAGACTGCATCCTAGATGAACATTGGGAGCATAATGGCATATTACACGTACTTGACGTACTGAGATGGCGTGGTCAAGATTATACCCAGTGCGAGGCAAGTTTCCGGTGAGTTTGATTCCGATGTCCCGCCTCGCTCTGACGTCCACAGGTTCTGGTGTGTAGCTTCTAAACACAGTTTTCGGGCATCGCTGAATGCACTGTACAGGTGGAGGGACACGAAGATTGCAGAGCTTGAGCCCCCGCAACCCCCGAGTTCTTCCTCGGAGAGGCCGCCCAGATTCTCATATCCGCATGTTCTTCGGGCGATTCCCTGGTTCCCAAACTTACAAGATCCATTGCTACTCCTCAATACGATTATTCCCCTCGCTCGGACGGGCGTAACTGTGACAGTCCCATTGGCGCCCTCTCCCATGTCCGACGAGCCAAACGAACTGGTTGTTCCATGTGCATCAGATGGTATCCTACTGTACGTCGGCGAGTCGTCGTACGAGAAAGGACCATCGCTCCTCGCGGCTTGGGTGCCTGTTGAGCCCTTTGGTGACGGGCAGGATTCGGCATTGGAAGTGTTTGCGAGGCATGTACAGGCTACCACGTCAATCTGATCAATTTCCCGCGCCGTGAATGGACTTGAGTAGCGCCCGCGGCGGCCTTGACCAACACAGCTTGGGCTGCCATAAAAGTTGGCACCCTTTGACCTCTCCCTCTATCCCAACACATTGAGATGGATCCTAAGCTACGCTTTCCAGAGCCTATGGCCTCGCCGGGCACACCAGGAACGATGTACAAGGTCTGTATATGAATAGCGCCAGTTCCAAGATGAAACTCATGGACGCGGAAAGGAGCGGGAGAGTCAGGTAAACCCCTCGGAAGTCGTTCAGAACGATCAAGAAGCAGCCCCAAAACAATGGACCCCGTTTCTCTTGACGCCTCAGGTTCCAGCCGTCTTAGCCGCGCTAATGGTGCTGGCGGCGATCGCGCTCCAAGTGAGACAGAATCAAGAATGCGAGAGATCCCTCTAAATGAATTGAATAGGTTGGTAACTATGCAATCATAAAAAATAACGGATGGCAATTGCCTCCGCTGACTGTGAGGGGGAAGGATTATATTCATTACGCATATACATGGTATGTATCATTGATTTGAATATTTTCGAGGCTGAATATTGTAGGATACCCGTTGTATTGGTGATGGTGAGCCAAACCATCCATGGTCAGCAAAGGGATACTGACGCAAACAAAGGGGTTGGTCTCAGCCATCGCCGGAGCCGATATGCTTGTTCTCAAGTTAGTTCCATATATGGAGCTCTCTCGGGCCAACGGTGCCAAAGGAGAGACGCTACTCCTTGACTATACAGGAGAATCAAAGTTTCTGGTCTGGATACTCCAACTTCAAAGTAGGCCCCTATACTAGCGTGTGATTTCTACCTGACATTCGCAGACCGACATTATCTCGCATTCCTCTCGACGGTGATCGTCTTGATGCTACTCGGTCTCCAGCCACTTGCGTCTAGTTTGTTTGTTCTCTTGGATACAGAGGTAGTCCTGCCACCAATTGGAGTCCCACGATTCGGCACTGTGGGCATCAACGACACTTTGAATGTGAGGCGTCTCTTCGTCTCACGCCAATATCTCACACTTTACAGAGTCTCCACGGATTCTCCTCTGCCGCAGGTGTAAGTCTACGCCGACAATGATCTTCTGTGCCTGATTTCCCGTCTAGTTTGCGGAGGCCGATGCCCGTTATGACCTTGGGAGACCGCCGTTTGTATGGAGAACGTGGGCTGTGGACGAATTCGAGGTACTGCCTTTACCATATCGAGGTAGCCAGTTTCTCACTCTGAGCAGCGCCCAACATCCTTCATCTCCAATGGGACAATGCAAGCGAATACCACGGGAATCCAAACACTTCCCAACTGCGTTTCTGGTTCAGACGTGTCATTCACGCAGACTGGAGGGAGCTATCGCTTGACTGGAAAGTGGAACGATTGCACTTTCGACAGGACGTTTACCGCAGACAATGACGATGATATCTACGGGGTCGACGTTACAAGCTCTTGCACTTCTCAGGCTATCAGCGGCCTGGCCGACCCGGTCAAGCCGGTGGTATTCTGGTTTGCGACAAAATATCTATCTACAGGCTCTCTCGTCTTTTGCCAGCCTAAACTCTCGCTACACAATGTGATCGTCACCGTCAATTTGGCCAATGGCCAATTGATCAACGTTGTCCCCGTTGGTGACTATGCCTTGGCGAGCAATGTCACCTCCGGACCTCCATTGAATGGAAATGTGTGGAATGGTGTCCAGTTCAACCTTACGAATTCCGACGCCGGCACGCTCGTTCGCGCTAATTCAACACGACTGCAGCTGTCTCAAGCAGCCTTTCTCCTCATGCAGCGGAATGGTCTCCAGACCGTCCTCCAGGACCAAAATCAAGTTCTCGACATTACAGCAACGCGATACCAGCTCTATTTAGCACTGTCGGCAAGGTCGAATTACTTTGTGACCGATAGAAGTGGCTCAAAGGTCATGGTTGCAATCACAGAGATCCAGCAGAGACTATGGATGTCGTGAGTGCTCTGTCATATCATGACCACATCTTCTGACCTGTTGTAGCAAACTCTCGACGCATCTGGGCTCTGCCATACTCTTTGTGGGCGCCATTCTGTTGAGCACGTTGCACTACCTTCACTGGAAGCAACGAAAGGGCATGAAACTATATGCACCGCCGTCGATTGCAACAGCGGCTGGGATGGCCAATGGCTCGCCCATGCTGAATATCTTGCATTCTGACGATTCTGGAGATAAACAGGCGCAAGCGCTTCGAAACCGACAATTTGGAGTTGATCCGTTTGGCAAGATTGTCCTTCTCGACCAGAAATGACGAGGACGGATGAGGGATTTCTACGGGTCTTGTTGCAACCGCTCCAGAGTAAAGCCCGACAGACGGTCCAAGATATTAGACTTGTTTTTGTTCTTATTTTGTTCGCTGATATATAAATATCATTTAGTCTAACTGCCGCTGCCGAGGCCATACGGTTGATGCGGCCAGTGAAATTGGCGGAGCCGAGAGCTTCGAGCCGGCCTTATTCTGGGCATTTCTCACAAGTAAGGAATTCCATCTTGAACCACCCCACGACCTTTGATTTTGACTTGCTTTTTATCAAAGCACGCATTGGCGGCGCTTTTACTCTCTCGTTTGCCTCTTTCTTTGATGCTCTCTCTTCTCGTGTTGGCGGGCGTGTTCGCCTCGGCTGCAGCCAAACCCTGCGTTGGATTCGACGCAAACTGGGGTCTGTATGTCTTTGGACGCGATCACGACGTTAGTTTGGGCCCAGTTGGTGGCTGGAGTGCAAACCGTGAGTCTAGCCTAGTCCAGTGTGGGTTGAGCCTGCGAACGCGTGCTAATTGCCCTCTGTAGCGGTGGGAACATCAACATTGACAAGGACCGGAAGACCGTACGTGCTTTATCGCCACTAATATTGCGGGCGTCATGGGCTAACGCCGTGTGCAACGCTGCCTTCGTCATGTTGATCCGATGTGGCTCACGCGTTTGTCGCTTGCAGGCCGTTCGACGGGCCCAACACCCAATGTTTCTTCTCTCAGGTGAGTTCTCTCCGTCGACTTGGGCGTGTATCGGCGCTCTTTGGTGTTTGAGCGGTGGCTTGGCACCCCGCTCGCTTTTGACAGCACCCGGTCGTTGTGCCTCGTAGCCAGCGGTTGACAACCAGTATTATAGTACCAGAACTCGCTCTACGTCCTCAATGCTGATACTACACAACCATCCAATATTCACATTTTTAGCTTTGATGCTCAAGCCTGTGCGTTGTTCATTCCGACTCGACGAGTTTCGTCAAACTGATCATAACCGCACAGGGTCTACGCAAAAGGTGTCCGCAGACGGAACCGATCCAAACTCGCTTCTTGCGATTTTGGACCGAAATACAAATGTCTTTTTCGCCTTGTCAAACTCGCAGCTTTACTCGCTCGACATGGCCTCGCTCACCCAGTCAGACGGCGGCACAAGAGGATGGCAATTCGTCCAGGCGCCAGCATTTGCCCAGAACAATGCATATCCGAAACCTGTAATGGCGCTCGCCGAGAACCATATTCACTTCCTCAATGTCGGCAAACCGGCAACGGCAGACATCTTTGTCATTCACTTTTCGTACATGCAACCTGAACAACAGGTCTTTGCTCCAATTGAAGATGGTGGCGCTGGTGCTCCGTCGACGACTGGCCATACGGCGTCCATCTTCAAGGGTGTCGACGCAGTTCAGACGAAGTTTGCATTTGTGCCCGACGACGGAGCTGCCACATGGGTGTTTGATGTCATTGTAAGTGAACCGTGTTTCGTCGGCGTGCGCTCAATTCCTGCAGTCCAACACGACCCAGACGCTCAAGGGGCCAACCGACAAGTCGACGCTCATGATTGCCGCAAGCCAGCGCGAGATTGTTCAAATGACAACGTCGGGTGACGTATACTGGATGCCGTATAACCCAGAAGACGCACAAGCGAATTATGGTGCCAATTGGAGCAGGATCGCTCTCAACCTCACGACTCCCACGCCGGCTACAGGAAACTCTTCCTCTCAACCGTCTTCTGGGCCGACAAGCTCTGGTGCTGCTACGACCACCACCACCGGAGCTCCATCTGGGTCTCGTCTTTCTGCCGTTTTGCATTCGGGTGTTGCTGCCCTCGGACTATCCCTTACCGGACTCTGGATCCTGTTTTGATACGGACTTGTCTATAACATTGTATTCCCTCCATCTATACCCAGCACACGCTCGTCCTTCCCACTTTGAGGGCATCGTTGTCGGGGGTTGGAAATCTAGTCGATAATATTCCACCTGCATTCTCCTGTTTATCGTGTGATTCAGTTTACTTGTGACGCGTTGTGTAAGCTGGGTAAAAGATGGTGCCTCTTGTGTCACTGGCTGGGACTTGCTCCCTGCACCTGACCACGACGGCGGTCGGGCAAAGAGGCAAGCGGTTTCGATGAATACGCTATGCTGCTCGTCGACCAAACCGTATCAAGACCGTCCAAATGCGAGCGAACATGACCCCAAGTTTTCTGCTTTCCTGAGCGCGCTCCCCTCGATATCCGACGACGATCTTTCGAATGTGAACCCTCCAAGCAAGCGATTTAAGTACACTATACAGCTACACAAGAGCGAGGTGAGTCGTCTTTGTCTTCTCCGCCCTCAACGACGTACTCACATCTCTCCCTTACGGTATGACGATGACAGATGGTAGGCGATTCAGAGGTAAAACGAGATCGCTATTTCGCATGCTTGGACACTCGAGCACCCATATCTTCCCCAACGACGTCTCATCAGCCCAATCCACCGAGCAAACAAGAGAAAGTCGAGCCTTATCGTCCTCGTATTCCAAGACTGTCGATGGACAACGACAAAATCATGCAAGCAGAGCCTATGAAGAAGCAGTGGGGGTCGGGCTGGAGCCAACAGCGCTCCTGGTCAAACGGCGGGAACGGAGGCGGGGGGTACCACGGTAGTAGTAGCAACGCAGCGCACAATAGCAACACCATGCCTCCTCTCCGACGCCAAAACTCACCCGCGACATGGGCCAAACGCGACGCGGCAGATGCGAGCGAGAGTTGGCGGAGCAACAACAAGCGTTCAGGCAGTCAAGCCAGCACGAGTCCTCGTAGCCCTACGTTTCCAACCTCCCCTTCGGCAAAAGGCGCCTTTGGTGAGCGCAGGAATCCGTACAACTTTGCACGCAGTCCTCCAAAGGCTCATAATGGCCATTTGTCGGTCCCAGAGAAGGAATCATGGAGGTGGCGGTCCCAAGTCTCCTGCCCTGAGCAGTGCAGCGTCCGTGTCGGAGAGAGACACATCGAGTGCTTGGGAAACAAACTCGAATGCCACAAACTCGACGTGGGCTAATCGGTTTGCTATGCTGGGAAGGGGAGGTGAAGATGAGGACGACGAGGATACCAAAACAATCAGTGACACGAGTGATGGAATCGATAGCGCAGTCGCGAAGAAAATGGTCGACCTTGTCGTTCCGGACGATGATGAAGACGACTACGCAATCTCTCGCCCCGAGTCTGCCGTCAGTTGGAGTAAAGGAGACGACATGCATTTTGTGGAGATTCAAGAAAAGGTGTTCAAGGATGCCAAAATGACCCGCCAGCCAACGTTCAAAATGTTCCGCTGCTCCGTCCACAACGTAGCCTTCAAGATTCACCTTTACCTCCCAAGGCAAGGATAGGAAAAAAACGAAATCATGTCGGAAATCCTGGGGATACAGTGTTACTACGGTAATACTCCATCATCTATCAGTAAGGAGGTCAGGGGAAGGAGATCAAGCGGATCATAACTCGAACAAATCGAGAACAAGTGAACAGAGTCAGTGAACCACGCCGCTGCTATGATGCACTGAGCGCTGTCATATGTAAGGTTGTAGAATGCTACTCTTTTGACGCCTCTTCCTCTTTGAACTGAGCCCTCAGGGGAGAAGCTGGGAGGTTGGTCTTGGCCGCAAAATACCCAGCGACTGCAGAGGCCCCAGGTAATTGGCCACTAGCCAGGGCTGCTGCAGCCTTGCTACCCGTCGGAGGGAGCACCTTGAACGGCGCGGGGGTCTCCGGACGACTGGCAAGAGGAGGAAGAGCACCATGACCACCAGGTGTGGGAGGAGCGCTCCTGTTGAGCGAGATATGGGCACGGATGAGATGGCCAGCCGCAAGTGCCGACATGAGCGAGAGCTCTCCGGCCATGACGGAGGCGGCAATGAGACGGGCAAGCTTGCGGGCGTTGTGTCCGGGTGAGGCGGAGTTTGCGCCTTGGATGCCGAGCATTTCGAGTACGGCAGCTTGGGGAGCAAGAACGGTGCCTCCACCGACGGTTCCAACCTCGATAGAAGGCATTGAGCACGTCATCAGCAAGTCTTCACCACCGTTAGTTCTAATAAACATGAGTTGATGAGCACAAAGGAGATGGAGTCAAACATACGGTTCCATGAGCGTGATGCAGTTCGAGCTCTCAACATTCTGCGCCGGGTCTTGGCCAGTCGCGAGGAAGATGGCTGTGAGAATATTGCTTGCATGGGCATTGAAACCACCGATACTTCCTGCCATAGCGCTTCCAATGAGATTCTTCTTGATGTTGAGGTTGCACAAGTCTGCCACCGTCGTCTTGAGCACCGTCTTGACTATTTTGCCTGGAATGACGGCCTCGGCAACGACACTCTTCCCTCTGCCTTCGATCCAGTTGATGGCAGCCGGCTTCTTGTCCGTGCAATAGTTTCCGCTGAGAGCCAAGATGCTCATCTGGGGGAACTCCTCGAGCATCACAGCCAACGCCTTTTCGACACCTTTGCTAATCATGTTCATACCCATTGCGTCGCCAGTGCTGGTGGCGAAACGGATATACAATGTACGTCCGGCCATGACACAGCGCAGGCTCTGCAGACGAGCGAAACGAGAGGTGGAATCGAAAGCGTCGCGCAATGTCGTCGCTCCTTGTGGAGAGTCGAGCCATCTCTTTGCACGAGCAGCCTCGGTGACTGTAGGGAAATCGACCACTGGTCCCCGGGTCATGGCATCCTGGGTCAGGACGGTTGTAACGCCACCACCCGCATTGAGGGCCTTGCAGCCTCTGGACGTGCTTGCGACCAAGGTTCCTTCGGCGGTGGCCATTGGGATCGGGTAGAGCTTGCCATCAATGCGGAGTGGGCCAGCGATGCCGAGGGGGATGGGCATATATCCGACAACGTTCTCGCAACATGCTCCCATGACACGCGAGTAGTCGTAATCTTTCAGAGGGATATCGCTCGACTCCAAAGTCTTTGTCGTGCTTGCACGACTGATGAGCGCACGGCGGATAAGGACTGCACGCTCAAAGTCTCCCAACACCTTTTCCAGTGCGTAAGCCGCAATCTTTCCCCCCTGTGCCAATAAGATGACCTCTTCGTTGTTGAGTTCCCGGACGCCATTGGGTGAGCTCTCGAAAATTTGGATGCATTCCTCAAGCGAGCGGCACGGCTCTTCATCTCCTCGACGGGGACTAGCCTCCACAGGTAGCTCATCACGAGGCTCATCACGTTGCACGACAGGGGTAGGTTTGAGGATAGGGGTAGGCAGAGGATCGGTATTCGCTCGGTGAATAGTGGCGGTTTCCACTGGTGGTTCTTGCTTTGGTTTCGGTTTGGCATCCTCCTCACGAAGTCGGAGACGGGTCTGCTGTTGCTGTTGTTGCTGTTGAACGAGCGAATTGCTGCCGAGGCCGCGCAGGAGATATCCGTTGAGAAGTACTGAAATTACCAATGCAATCACAATCCATTTGGAGAGGATTGGATCCGAGACGAGCGTCGTCCACGAAGTCATAAAGGTCTCGAGCCGTCCAGATGATACCTCGAATCCTTTTCCAAAGGGAGGCAGAATTGTTTCGTCGATTGATTCATGTGATTCTCCTTCTCCGGAAAGGTTGACGCGGACTTGAATGGGTGCGTGAATCTTGACGACCAGATCTGTGGTGGGCTTGGATTCTTCGATTATCTTTTGCAACATCGGGGCGAGGGAAGAAGAGGAAAGGTTGACATTTGCGTAAGAGGGGCCTCTCCGATCGATAAGCTCAGTGGGATCCATGGCCATACTGGACGATCCTTTCCGACGGGCAATCACCGTGGCCGGGGTGAGCGTTGTGCAGAGGTTCAAGGCATGTAATGCTACGAATGCTGAGAGTAGGAGGAGCTTCAGCCGAGCGATTGGATGCTCAGTCTTTCCGCCCGTAGAAGGACTGCTCTCAGAACCCTTTTGGCCAAGGATTCGCTGTTTCCAAGAGATTCCATCGACCTTGGTAGAGGATGGGGAGGATGGAGTCGAAAGGTTCATACGTGTCTTCTTGATGCGCTTGACCTGTAGCAGAATATCAGAGGCAGGAAATGAAGTGCTTCAAAAGAGCTACTCACTTCGACCATGATGTTAAGAACGGCAACGTAGATGGTAAAGATGGCCACCGCGTCGACAGCCAAGACGACAGCTGCGAATGCGCAAAACTCTTTGAGGCCACTGATGCCACTGATGGCTCCCAGACTGAGAATAGCAATCTCGATCGCGTAGTCTCTGAGAACGCTCGGGCCAGTCTCGCGCACGGCGTCTGTGACGACTTGACTAGAGGGCACACTCAGGGAGTTTGAGCCGTCTGTGGATCCAGAGAGAAAGTTGGGATGGTGAAATACCGCACGGGCAAGCTGAAGAGGCTTATCAAAACCGACGGTAATCACGAGGAACGGCAGCGCCTCGGAAAGCGCAATGGGATCCACCGGAATATCGAGGAGATTGGCCAATGGCAGCGAGCATATAAAGGCGAAGCAGCTGCAGATTATGACGCTGAATGCAAGCCAAAAGTTGGATCCAAGTCTCCGGAGGGACGTAAAGAGCTTGAAGAAGGTGATATGCATCAAGACGTATCCCAGGAGGACGACGATGATGTCTGCAGAGTCTGCATTCTGTGGAGATTAATATAAGCGACTAGTCACGAGCAGAGTTGTAATAATGGGGAACGACTAACGGACCTTGGCCAACGACCAAAAGCGGAGAACCAAAGCTCGACCGGCATAAGCCACCCATTTGCCAGATTTCATATCCGCAATTGACTGGTGCTGTCTTATGACCTGGAAACGTGTCCCGTCTTGTTCACCTGCCAAGTTTGCGGTACTGAGCCCGCGGACAAATTGGGCCGTCTCGCCCCCAAGCGTAGGATCAAAGGCAAAGGTATAAGCCTCTGGGCGCGTCGATGACAGACAGGAATTGTTGTATCTGTAACAAAATGACGCGTATTTGCCATTCCGAGTGGTGTCCAGGGCGTCTTTGACTTGAGACTCGAGTGCCGGGTATACGCCAGGTACCGACAGCTGGACTTGGACGATTTCGACGGCTGGCGAGACTCTAGTCGAGGGCGTAATAGACCATACTCGCTTTTGGCTGTATGTAGCGAGCAAGGGAGTTGTAGGAGAGTGGATTGGGGACAAAAAGTGTGAGTGCTTGATGGCGGAGAGTACATTAAAGTAAGCCAGCGTTGTCAATATGAAGAATGCTACGATAGTCTCGATAGGAAATGCAGAAACCCGCCCTGCGACGCGTCCCAGACTGTATCCGACGATCATGTCGTCGGCGTGATGACGTGAACGGGTCCAAGCAAAATTTATGGGCCGATTCACCTCGTCTGATGCCGGCTATCCCCCACAGCGCTCCACATCTAGACAATAGAAGCATTTTCATTGGTTACTTTGCTAGCATTCCACCATTTTAAAATCCGCTCTGAGACAAAACTAGACCCAAGCCTTATTGGGCTGCCGAGGTAGACCGCCGCGTAATATCAGGAACAAACATCCTGTAATCGAGTTGCCAGTTGTTTAAAAGTGTCGTCCACTTGGGAGAGGTATGCCCCGTCATTGTGGTCAGACATGTTCCCAGTTTCGACCTCCATAGTAAAACTTGGAGCATAATAAGGCCATAAAGAATGCTCAGGAACAGGTAGATCGGGAGCAAAGGGTGATCCCAGCTGTAGGCATTGTCAGAGGACATCTAGGAGGAAAGAGTCACTGACTGCGACGCTAGTCAGGTATGTCCAAGCCCTTGCTGCATTCGGAGAGTGGTAGCCACCTATTTTTGTGTCAAGAAGGCGTGCACGTTCGGCAACTCGAAAGGGCTCTCACCTCCACCAAGGAAAAGGGTTCTTGCACCCCAAGCTAGAATCCCTCTTACGTACCAGCCCAGACTACCCTCATCTTCTGCATTCAACCCCCAGTTCCAGATTGCCAGAGGGTCGCCGCTCAGGCCATCAACTCCACATTGCACGACAACAAAGTCTGGTCGAAACGCCTCTTTCACCCTCTCAATACTACCCCATATCGAGTGAAATGTCTTGTTCGAGGCACCTCGTGCAAGAGGAATCGAGAGGTGAATGGGTCTGCCGTGTCTGCGGGGGTAAGCTCTGCCAGGGGATGAGCGGGGAAGAACCCAGGCGACGCATGATGAATGGAGAGTGTGAGGATACGAGAAGGTTGCTGTTGTTTGGCGAATGGGATTGAAACGCCGTCTGCAAAGTGAAGATCGAGATCGAGATACATTACTCGGGGGCGACGAGGTCCTTGAGCTCGCTTGAGGCGGAGCAGTACAAGTGGGATATCTGCTACATAACAGAACCCAGATGCCTCTCCCTTTTGTGCATGATGCCTGTCCGACGATAAGTCGTGTGGTACTGACTTTAGGAACGTCATACCGTCCACCGTCCCAGGCTAGAGCAACGTCTGCCTTTTGCTCGATTAGTAGCTGAGCAGCAGTGAGAGCGCAACCAGCGATCAAGGGTACGTAGAGATGAAGGCCTGCAAACCAAGGACAATCCTGAGTTGGTAAGATCGCAGAGTTCATGTAGTATTAACGTACATCTTCTATTCCAAATTCCTTTGCTTGACCGCCTGGTTGGCGACGCGGAGCTGGATCTAGCACGTAGTCTATGATCATCTCAGCCCAGAGTCATTACGGACGAGTATTTCTTGACCGAGATAGTCTCCATCATGAAATGTCGCGAGATCCTCTCTATTTGCCACCGTTGGACGCACAGGTATAGCTCCGGAAGCATTCTTACGCGATCTCAGCAGTCCACAGGCGACAACGAGCTGGTGTACGAGCTTTGACCTGCCACGGTTTGATGGTAGTAATGAAGAAACCTAGATTGCATTTGGTTAACAAGCCAGTCGAAGTTTCATCATACCTTTATGAGCTCCTCTGAGACAATGTATGCGACTTGTCTACGTGATTCTGATACTTCATCCATACGGAATCGATGTAATCTCTTCGTAGACTGTGGCCAAAGTCTGGTCGAAGTCGAGGCTGGATTCAACTTTTGACTTCGACCATGACCGGCACTCAAGTGCTGGACGACGAGGTTTGCGCATTTTTCGTCTCAAGCTGTTGCAATGCTTCTAATACGTTCTACTTTGATTCACAGCTATCTGCATCACCAATCGAGGTTCGAGGCCCTCTGCAGTCAACGCGCAGCCCCAAGGATGGCGAGCCGGAAGACTTATTCGCAGAAAGACTCTTGGAATGGCAGAAAAATCGAATACAGAGGCAGATGAAAGGCGAATATAGGAGCCAGGTCTACCGTCTCAACGAACTTGTACGTATGGTGACTGCATACCTTTGCAACGACTGTAGGCTGACTATTATCCACCCTTATAGATTGGAGGCAATCTTTCTACTCCATTGCGCATCTCGGAAATTCAGATCCAAGGCGCGAATAACACTCGTCCCGGATTCTTGGCCCGTGTGGTGAAACCACATCTCACAAACCCTGATCCATGCGAAGACCCGACGTTGGAGTCTGTTCTACACCAGACGCGTCAAATAACATACGCATTGGCCAGGACCGACTTGTTCAAAAATATTGTTCCAGAACTTCAAACTCCCAAAGATCCTCTAGCGTCTATACATGACGTTGATATTGTGTTCAAATGTGAGGAGCGAGGTAGACTCAGCCTGAAGAGTGCAACCGAAGTCGGAAACGGGGACGCCACGGCGGTAAGTGAGGGTATGCTCTCGTGACTCGTCAATGCTGACCTCGTCTATAAGAGTGCAAACGCCAAAGTCAGAAACGCGTTTGGAGGAGCGGAGGACCTGGAAGGGAGCGTGTCGTTTGGAACAAAAACAAGGCATACCTATCGACTGGCTCTGTCTGCTCCATTGACGGGGACGATGCTCACACGAGGAGAGTTGTCGGCTTACGCGGTGGACAATGACTATCACGCCTGGGCGAGCTGCAAGGAGGGCCTCAAGGGCGTCAAAGCTGCGGTGTCTGTACGTCTCACCTCATTCCTCTCGACTTGAAACTCATCCAATTCAAGACAATTACCGCACTTGGACAACATGAAGTGTCATATCAAGCAGTCCTACGGCACATACATTCTCTAAAGGATGAAGCGTCCTTGAGTACCCGACAATCTGCTGGCACGACGCTAAAGTCTTCCCTCAACTATACATTCGTTCACGACACACGAGATGACGCGATAATGGGCCATAGAGGTGCATATCTCAAATTCAACAGCGTACGTTTTCAGCATGGAGTATAGATTGAGACTGACTGGCGTAGGAACTGGCTGGACTTGGAGGCGATAGCTCGTTCGCAAAAGTGGAAGGAGAGTCTCAAATCTCTCGAAGGCTCCTCAAGGGCTTGGTGAGTCAACAAACTGGCCCTATCTTGTTTCTCACGGACCTCCTAGCACGCTTCATTGGCAGGGAGAGCGGGCCTCTTGTACTCCTTGGATAATAGACCCTCGATTTTCAGCGACCGCTTCAAGTTGGGAGGACCAATGAATGTGCGATCCTTCAGATACAACTCAATTGGCCCTCGCGATCACGGTATGCCTAACCTTTTTACTCCGGATACGACACACTGAGATGGATTCTAGGCGATGCTGTGGGTGGGGACGCGTATTGGGCTGTTGGTCTCAGCCTCATAGGCGACCTCCCGGGCAAAGCGCATTGGCCATTGAAGCCACATGTATACGTCAATGCCGGGAAGCTTGATAACATTGACAGAGGTCGGTAGATTTGAGAGTACTCGATTGGATAAATTACTAACATCGGGTAGGACGACCATTATCAGAGCTGCCGAGCAGACTGGCATCTCGACCATCGGTCTCGGTAGGACTGGGATTAATATATCGGTTTGACCCGATTCGACTCGAGGTCAACTTTGGGATGCCGCTCGCAGCCAACAGAAGCGACGGTTACCAGCGCGGTTTCCAAATAGGGTTCGGCCTAGAGTGTTTATAAGGGATATATAGACGTACATGGTTGACTGCGCACCTGAGGGTCCATGTAATAAGTGCTTTCATCGGGCTCGGCAAAGAACCTCTCCACCAAGACCAAGTCTGACCGCTTCGCGTGCTTCGAGGTACTGGTTGAGTTTACTTCTCGTTTTCACGACAGCGATTTCGCCCATTTGTAATGGAGCAACGACCCAGGCGGCCCGTCGCCCGGTACAAATGCGTTTAATCTCATCAACGTCCATGTAAATTCGATTAGAGGGCTTGGAGATGACTTTCATGTTGGTTAATACGGGCCGGTCGTCGCGGTACTTGAGCTCTGCCCAAATTCTTCTTTTTGCTTCTGTCGCGGTTTGCCAGGCGGTGGGTGATGGTCCAGCCATTGTTCCACGCGTGATGCAAGAGATGAACCCAGATTGAAGGAGGACGTTGAGGATGGCGAGGTTTTGCGTTGTATGCGGGACGCCAACGTGAGCTAGGCGTGCTCGGAACGCATTTTGGATACGGGAACAGATATCGTGGGCTCGTGGCATCTCTATTTCCAAGTTTTCTAGGAGATTTGAGGGCCGTCCACGCTTTCTCTTGTTGTGGGTTGGGAGCAAGAACTGAATTGTCGAAAGATGGACCTCGTACGTGCGTTTAAGCCAGTCAAAGTCCTAAGCCATGGTATGCAGTTCAATTTATCATATACCTAAACTCATCCTTTCCCAGATCCCGTGGCTCATTCCATCGTACTACTAGGCACGACGAGCCACGCTCATGGAGACCAGGCGATCCTTATCCTCAAAAAGACTTCGTTTTCACTGGACTCTATCGAACAAATCGCGTGGGAGAAACTGGAGTCTCTAGAGTCCAACGATATCGTAAGTGACAAATGGCCAAAGAGTGTAGATCACGATTATATCAGTATCACATTCTACTCGGATGGCTCGACACGAGTCGAACAGACCCCGATGTCAAGCTTGATCTTATATGCCCCGCCACTGAGACGCATATCCGCAAGGCAGGCAGTGACGCCAAGGAGTACATCAACCGCTAAGCCGTTTCATAGTATACACAGCAAAGGCTCAAGCTAGTCCGGGAAACCCCAGAACTCTACGAATCCATCGTCCGACCGTACATCGATTCATTTCCTTCAGAACGCACCAACTGGTATGAAGAGTCATCATAGACTCATATTCTTACATATATTCAGGGTCCGTAACATTCTAACATACAAGACCGAGTCTGAGAAGCTCCTCTACGATTGCCCCGATTTTGTTATTCTCCCCGACTTCAAATGGGACATCAAAGATGTTAACACTCTCTATCTTCAAGCTATAGTACGTGATGGTACCATCAAGTCGCTAAGAGACATTCGCTATTCGCATCTTGCAATGCTTCGGCAAATACGAAGCCAGGCCACCAAGGTCGCAGCTAAATGGGGGATAGAATCTGGTGGACTGAGACTCTATGTGCACTATCAGCCATCTTACTGTACGTTTCTCATCAAGAACTGTGCCAATCTCTGACCACCCCTAACAGATCATTTCCATGTCCATATCGTTCAGGTTAACTACACAGGATTCCCAGGAACCAGTATAGGTCAAGCGCATCTCTTAGATGATATTATCTCGCTCCTAGAGGTACACGGGAATCTGCAGCCTCCAATTTTTCAAAAACTGGCTCTTTCCTATACGCTTGGTAGGTTATCTATTGAAACTCTGCATATAGCTCTGAATTTGCGACACTCAGGCGAATTTCATGCTCTGTATGAGCCCATGACCAACGCCCTGGCACAATTAGAAATGGTTGATCAAGAATAGCAGTGGCCTTTTCATCTAGCGAATGAAATTGATTTATCTATGCCCTGGGGTAACAGTGAGGCGGACCACATCCGCGAGTGTCTCGTCCCTTTTGTCCCTGTCCACGTAGCCATGATTCCTAGCCTCTGGTTTATGTGGGTACATAATGGCTCTGAATCAAACTTGACACTTGTCTAGTCTATTGCTGTCGTCTTTTTCTTCGCGGATTGTTGTGGCATTCTCCTCGGCGAATGATTCGCACCTAGTCGCCGACAATTGGAGTTGTCATCCTTTTGGTCTGTGTGAGGCGTGTCCAGAGGATTCGGTAGACTGTCAAACTTGTACTGCGTTACTATCTGATATGGGTTTTAGCTACACGAGCCGTTTTGTCAACCCTTTGGAAATCGACGGCTGGTCCATTGCTTGCAGAGCGAAGAAGAAAACGACCGCGTTCAACACGGAGGAGTTCACCCTGTCATAGGTGAGATCCCAGCTTGGGAGGCCTGTGGGCGAATTGTCTCACAGGAAATGGCCGATTTTTGGGAGTTTGTGGTACGCATCACCCTTTTTTTAGCACATCATCAGTCATTGAGAAGAATTTCTAGCTCTGTAACGCCCTTATAGCTTCATTATCACTCTTCGTGCTGTACAATCGCTCGAGAGCTGTCGCCAGTCGCAGACGGAAAGCTCTCGCTGCGCGAATCGGCGTACAGAGACCTTGGTGACATCCGCGTCTTTATTTATATGTATAAAATGATACGACTAATTCACTCCCTAAGAAGCGGACAGCAAACTAAGCGCCAGAGACTGGCTGCCTCCTTTGACCACTACCACGAGCATGGGCGACATTGATGAGCTGCCAGATTATCCAGAGGGGGAGGATAACGCGCCTCTAATGCTTCTAGCACTCGACGGCGGCGGGGTCAGAGGAGCGAGTGAGCTGGTCATCCTCGAAGAACTCATGCACAGAATACGCTTCAAGATCTGGACAAATCAGAAGAAGCAAAACCCGAGGTTGAAGTTCTCGCAAGTACCTGAACCTAAGCCCTGCGACTATTTTGTAAGGGAGTCCATTTATTTGCCTGCATAGCTGACTTGACCAGGATCTCTGTGGAGGCATGTACTGTTGACTTCTACACCTGAATCTCTCTCAACGATCAATAGGTACATCGACAGGGGGTATCATCGCCATTTTACTTGCAAGGCTAAGGTTACCAGTCTCGGTCTGCCTGGAAATCTACGGGAAACTCTCACAAGACATATTTCCCCCTGCAAGCTACCTTTCGAGTATACTGAACTACAAGGGACTCGTCCATTCGCGCTTCGATCACAGAATCTTGACGAGGGCCATCCAGGACACCCTTTCTTCCTGTGATCTGGTCGATTCTCAGGACCGTCGTCCAGATGCGCCTCTTCTAACAGAAAAATCTGGACCTGAAAGGCGGTGTCATGCGTACGTTTGTTGATTCAACATTCACTGTACAAATAACCGCTGGATAGCTTCGTGACTGCAACACCATACAATGCCGCACAGCGGAACCAACCGAGACTCTTTAGAACATACCAAGCAAGGTCAAATGTACAAATGAACGGCGCCTCGCCAATGATTTGGGAGGCCGCGAGGGCTACGAGCGCCGCACCAACCTTCTTTGATCCTATAACCATCAAGCTCGGCGAGGCTGAAGAGACGTTTGTCGATGGTGGCTTTGGCTGCAATAACCCAGTATTTCAAGTACTGCAGGAGGCACAGAATCAGTTCCCTGGTCGTCAAATTGGTTGTCTTGTTAGTATCGGTACAGGAATGCCGGCCGTGAGAGAAGTCCGTGACTCCGAAAATGTCAATATCTTTCAACGTATGGCCTTTTCTCTGACTCAGGCAGCCGACCAGATCACGGTGTATGAGAGGATTGCTACTACATGGTACTTGACTCCCCGGCGAACCAGACATATTCTAATATCTTACAGCGAGGTGGCCCATCAGGAGATGTCAAAACGCGCGCTACGTGACCCCGATCTCGAGGGGCGATACTATCGATTCAACGTTCAGCAAGGTACGCAGTACATGTCGCTGGAGAGGTGGGATATGCTTGGTGAACTGCGTGTTTACACGCAAGCGTACGTTTGACTGTTGGAATCGCGTCTTAACATGACAGAAATTCATAGGTATATTGAGAGCCAAGTGATTGGAGGAACGACTGTCAATTCACAGTTGCAAAAGCTCGCCGGTATTTTATATGCGCATCGACGGCTACGTGCGGGTGAAGTGATACGGTGATATTTCACTAATACTCGTCATCCTCGCCTACATCATAGATTCCCCCGTGTGCGTTCGCCATGTGATCGTAGATCTTGTTCGCGGGGTAAGCGCCACCACAAACAAAGCAAAAATGTTCTCCACATCTACTAAGGGTGAGACGCTGCCCGTCAGCATAGGAGAGAAGCTTACCGGCATGTGATATGATTGCATCCATCCACCTTGTATAAAAGTGAAGATTGTCAGCATTCAGATTTTTCTGAAAGCAAACCAAAGAAACACACCTTCTCGACAGCAATACCGCAGCGCTTATTGGGACACTGTTGGAACTTTACGACCCTATTCTGTTCCACCACACGCAGCCGGTTTCGAATCTCCTCCAGCCGTGCTAGTCGTTGGGCTTCTCGCGCATCTTGATCCTCTTGCCGGGTTCTCTCTTGAGCTCTTTGCAATGCCTCTGCTTCAGCGCGGAGTCGGGCTTGCAACGCTTCGGCAGCGTCCTTGCAGTCCTGGCACATAAAATTACGGATTTGGGGCAGTCCCGCATCAGCACAGGCACGTTCAATCGCAGGTTTAGCAAACTGTGGTCCATGGTAAGTGAAAATGGCTGGTAAAAGTTGTCACGTACGCCGCAAGTGAGACACCAGGCATAGTAGTGGGTCCTGTCGGTCAACGCAGGTCTCAAGTCACCGACGGTGAGAGACTGTGGATTATGCTTGATAAGGATCTTGCGGACAGGAGGACGTCTGCAAAATGGACACGCTAGTTGCAGAGGATTGAGGAGTCGACCGGGTTTGTTCTCTCCATACCATCTCTGGAGACACTCCTCATCGACTTGCTGCTTGCATCCGCTCCTTCCACACGCGGGGAGAAGTTTGTGATAAGATGTGTCATCAAAGCAGAGAGCACATGTTCCCATTTCGACTTCTCCCGTCTCCACTCTGCCCTCTATCTTCAGGCGTAGAACGTCGGCATTGAAGATCTTCTTGAAATGCAGAGTGAGTTCCTTCTCGGTAGGAATCCCTATGAAGACTGAAGCTCCATACTTGGAGAAAAGCTTGAAAGCAGATGAGTTCTTGAATATATCAAACTTTTGAGGATCAAATCCGAGCCATCCACTTCCATTTTCCGCCACAAGGTCGAGAGTATTCGTCTCCTCGTCCACCAGAGTCTTCTTGCCGGATGAGCATGCGAAGCAAAGGAACTGTTCAGATGGTACGGTACGATATGCCTCTGGGACAATAATGCGGTTGCTGCATCGAGTGCATGCTACCCAGGGACAGGCACCCGGGGCGATAGCCGTGTTCCCGTGTCGACAATAGTGGCACTTGGGACGAACTCGAAGGTCCCCTGCTCGTAGAACAACATACTGTGCGCGACACGTTGGTACGGAGCATTCGACCCACTTGGACTCCTGCTCCGTGGGCTCGATCGGGACTGCATTGGAATCGCCGAGAGCAAGCTCCTTCGCACCCTTTACGTGCTTTGCAATCGCCTCCAAGCGCTGTTTCTCATATGCACAAGGCCCACAGGTGTCTCCCTCCGCCATGATTGTGACACTGCGCCTCTTCTTGCAAATAGAGCAGGTAATCTGAAGGTCACCGACACCACTAGTCTTCTCTGGTGTCCATGGTACTGTAGCGCTGAGCGAGGACTTGAGGTTGAGTTCGATGAGTCGATAGCGTCTCATGCCTTTATAAACTGCGCTCTCTTCCTCTGTCAGAGCAACTCCGGGAGGGAGGCTGGTGAGGAGCTTGGCACACTCGAAACTTAGGTTCTCGGGAATTTCGATGTCGAGCCAAGTGCCCTTCTGCCTATTGAGGAGTTCGCGGGCAGGTTCGTCGAGGAAAGGAACACCAACAACCATGGAGAGGGCTGCAAAGAGAGCTGCGGCTCGCCCTGAGAACATAGTTCCAGGAACGACTAGGTGGGGGAGAACCTTGAATAAATCGAATGGCTTCAATGACAGAGGCAAGTATCGCTGCGATGGGAGAAGAGTGACATCCTCTTCCACAACCTATGGACGTCTTAATAACTTGTTGATAGATAAAAAAGGGCATACTTTGAGGTGTGTCAAGATTGACGCCAATTTCTTCAAGACGCCAGGGTATAAGCTTCTGGCAACTTCAAGCAGCTCTGCCCTCGTAAGGTCCACACCAGAATCGAGATCTAAATAGACCCTCGGTCCCCCCTTAGGAGCAGCCTCGACGAGCTCTGTAATTTCCTGCTCGGAGTTGTATGATTCCTCGAGCCATTCCGTGAGCGTCTTCCGCCTCTCTGGATCCGTTTCCTTTCCGACCTGGTTACTGAAGGAATTGACCAAATCGTCGCGATAAGGGTTCAATCTGTCCTTGCAAACTGCGCGCCATAGCTGATATTCGTCAGTTGTCTGCGCTGTCCGCTAGCGACTGTTCATACCTGGCCAAATATGGGATTGTATGTCAATGCAAGAACATTGTGCGAGATGATTTGGTGGAGTGCTTGGTTGACTTTGCCTCTATACTCCTTCTCTGCAGGGTCTAGGAACCTTTTGGAGAGATTGGGAAGGGATGTCGCCACCTGGAACGAGACGTCCTCAAGAGATTTTAGAGGGAGAGTCACCAAATCCTTTTTGTCTTTTGCGTTTCCTTTGCGAGGCAGAAAGCCTTGAGAACCGGCTTCTTCGTCGACTATGGCAGGAGATGCTTGCAGTGGGTTGACCTGAAAGTGAATCGTCTCCGTCCGGTACTTTGGAGGTTCAATCTTCTCCCCCATCCAGGCAAGGAGAAGATCGAGCGTAAGCTGGCTAATCTCGACACTATTTTCCGCTGGCGTTGTGAAGACAGTGCCATCCGTAAGACCAGACAGCAAAGTGAAGAATCGTGTAGCTGTCTCTTGCATCCTCTGTTGGACTATAGAAAAGACAGTGCAATTGCTCGCACGAATCTGCATGCAAAGCTTGACCCAATCTTTTTCGAGGCCAGCCTTCAGCAATGCTGCTTCTTCCTTGGGACGATTGGAGTAGTATCCACCACCAAATGTACTGTGATGAGGGCCTGCGTCGGCATACCTTGTGACCGGTCAGTCAATGCTATGATAAAGGAGGCCCTTGTGCGCTCACCAAATTACCAGCGTGCGCCGGTCAGTGTCAACTTGTTTCAGTATTTCATTGAGAGCCGTTTTGCATGCCTCTGGAACGTCCCCACCCCCACGGGGATCGACTGATTTTGCAAGTTTGACAATGTCTGGGTTATCCCAGCCACTCCATTCGATTACATCGTTGATTTCTGGCCCACAGTCATAGTCTCTGTATGCCAAAAGGCCAACACGCTGTGTTACGGTCAGGAGCCTTGCACAGACAAAAGACAAGTCGTAGGGGAAAGTAAGATGGAGCAACGAGTTTCAACCGCATGGATACAACACTCACAGAAAATGCACCAGAAAGAGATCCTAAACAGATAATTTCCGGAAGAGCTTTAGCCAGGCCGTCCAAGTCTTGAGACCGAGGCTCGTCAGGTATAACTCCACGGACGAAGCGAAACTCACAAGTCCCCATCGACGCAGTTGCATCGGTGACGAGCAGTAGATCCCAGGTAGCAGAAGACATTTTAGAATCAGAGTTGGAGTCAGAGAGTCTCGACGACGAAAGTGCTATTTAAACTATTCGACAGGACATTAGGCGCGGACACAGCTGACTCCTCTGCCCCTGTGGAGAAGCAATTGAGATCCTTCAATCCGTCTTTTTAGAATCCGAACCACTGTCGCTGTCTTCGCTGTTTCCGGCAGAAGGTTCGCAAGAACGAGTGATAGGGGTCACACCCGTGCTCTTGGCAAGTCTCTTTGCTCTTGCAAAGATTCCAACTTCGGCGTCCCGGATGAAATTAATGATCACCATAGGCCAACTAGGGTGCGAGGGGAGAGTATCATAAAACTCGGGGGCCAACGCCTTCAGGGCGGGCAGTCTAGTCCAGGGTATAGACGGGAAGTCGTGATGTTCGTTGTGGTACCCGACCTAGAGAACGCAGTCAGCAGGCGAAGCAGCGATATAAAAAGGCTACTGACGTTGTATGCAAGAATATTAAGAGGGCCATAATAGGAATAAGTTTCTTGATCCAATCCATCCCAGAGATAATGTTCGGCGATAAAGTGGCCAGCGCACGGGTGTAGGCTCCCAGCAAAGAAGCTCGACATTATGAGGTATGCAAGCGGGCGCCAACCGCTTGTTTTAACAAGAATATAGTCGAAAATGATTTGAACGGCAATGTTGATAAAGTGCCACCTAGTCAACTGCTGTGCCCTGACTAGGCCAGGACGAAGAGCGTAGAATAGGATTTGAAACGTGCTGCAGGGGGTCAGGATGGCAGAGTGTGCAAAGAGAATAACGTACCAGAAAAAGGTTTTCCCTGCGACATTGTTGAGAAGCAAGAGTTCGAGGTGGGTAGGCAAATCTGTGTCGACTCCGTCAACACCAAGTTGCTTGTGGTGCTCGAGGTGGTATTTCTAATGGGTATAAATTGCATGTCTGCTCGAGTGATTGGTCATATACCTTGAAAGTCACAGAGTATGGAATTCCGATGGGCAAGTTTGCAAACATTGCCAGAAACTTGTTTGCCTTGATTCCCTTAAACGCAAGGTTGTGTGTAATCTCATGAATAGCGAGGAATAAGTTATGATTTGCTGTTCCTCCGATCGCGTAGGCCGCCAGAATGAACAAGGGGGAAAGCGGAGACGTGGTCCGCAGCGTCCAGGCGGTAGCAATTTGCAGCGACACGACGGCCAGGACGATCCATTTTGTAAGAGGCTCGTGTCCCATGAGCTTGGTGACCTGGTCTGTGGTCAGCTTCCCTGCGACTTTCCATCTGTCTGCGTACCTCTGGATGGGCCTTGAGGATCTGCATGCGCCGAGAACGATGCGGTTCCTCTGTCATGATCCAAAGAAAGTCTGACGGATCTTGTGGAGGCCGCACATGCTGGGTACTCGTCTGCGACTCTACAATCGTTCGACGTGGGGCTCTTTTTGACTTGCCCTCTGAGAGGCTTTCGGCACCGCCGTACAAGCTAAAGTCTGCAGTCACCAAATAAAGGTAAATGTCAGCGCGTCGCATTCTCCGCATTTGATATTTTCTTGCCAGCTTTGAGGTCGGACATAGGCGAGTCCAAGTGTGGATGGGCGAGGGCGACAGGCTGGAATAACAATGGAAATACGCGAAAGATATACAAAAGATACAGAAAAACGTAAGATTTTGATTCAACCGTCGCGTTTTTTCCCCTTCTTCGTCTTTTGTTGGGCCTTGGCCTGGGTCAGGTCGTCAGAGGGGTGGCTAGAGGGGCCGCGACGCTCAACTTACTTTGGCTCTGGAACGTGCTCCTCTTCCGAGTTCGGGGGACCTCGACCGACTGTGCTCCGTGCTTTCCTCCACGTCGGACACCATTTCTTCGTCTGAAGTGGGTGCGGGATGCTCCGCACCAGATTCTGCACTCTCCTCGTCACTTTCTTCTATTTCATCTTCTTCATCTGATTCCTCCTTCTTTCTTCGCTTCACCGGTCGCTTGCTACTACAGGTCAGCCAAAGGATACGAGATTTTGCAGGGATTTACCTCGACTTGGGTATAGCTGACCCAGCTGCTCTTCGCTTCCTCTGAGAGATATGTTATTATCGCACCAGTTGATGGCATGCGCGCTCTTACTTTGGCTGGCGCTGGCTTGAGGCTCTTCCCGACCTCAGACAAGCAACCGATCATTCCATCTGTCAGATAAACCTTGGTTCTGACCCTCTTTGCGACATCCATAGGAAGCAGCGTAAAACTATCAGGCGGCATCGAGACCTTTCCAGGGTAGGGCACCAAAGTCCACGAGTGATTAGCTGCCCATTGCTTGATTATATACTCAGCGAGTTCACTCAGTAGATAAATGTTCTAACACAACGTCAGAGAGAAAAATCTAGGGATGTTTGAGTACCAACCTCGGAGTACTGATCTCCGTCATTATCTCGAACAGTTTTGAGTTGCTGAGCAAGGTAGAAGAGAAGAGAGACGTTATCGTTGTCAGCAACGAGTTCGAGATAGAATTCGATGTATCTATCGCAGGGTCAGTGCGTAGCTCGATTGAGAGTCGTATCTTACTTGGCTAAAGCTGGCAAGCCTTCTTCGTGATCCGACGTGTCAAAATCCGGATGATGAGCGAGCAAGTAAAGATATCGGACGAATATTTGCTCGAAACAGCGGAGTTTTTGCTCTACATGGCCGCTCAGCATTAGTCGTGCTGGATAAGCTGACTTACGAGGACTCAGCCTTCGCATCATGGTAACAACATAAATTTGAGCCTGTGAATGATTAGATTCAACAACTAGAATCCCTAGTGCCTTACCCTTGATCGAATGTTATCTTCGGGATCATGGCAGGTAAGAAAGACAACCGTGTTGAATACAGGGTTGATCTGATTTTTCTTCAATAGCCCTGTAACTTTAGTGATGAAAGCGTTTCGAACGTTCCAACAAAAGTCCTAGAATGCCAGACGTCAACTTTGACCATTTGTGGACCTACAAAAAACAAACCTGGGCCACTAGTGCGATGGTTGTCAGGCGTGTATTGACCACCTTGACCAACTTGTCTTGCCGAGCCAATCGCAGGAGGCAGTTGACGGCCTTCAACCGCATCCAGCTCCGAGCCGGGGGCCCACTTGGCGTATATCAGCACAAGTAGAACAGGGAGACTGTAACTTACCCTTCACGACGATCTTTTAGACGGTCGTAGTCGGGGCCTAGATCCTTGATTGGTGCAAACGAGCCATCCTGATCAAGCACATCTGCCAAGAGTTTGATAACAGGCTGCGCAACCTTCTCTGCATCATTCCCATCCTTGTGCGCCAAACAACGATTCGTTAAGAGGCGCATGACCCCTCTTTTCGCATGAATGAGGGGTGTAAATCATCCCTTGGACACCATTCCACATTTGCCGCATCAGATTCCTCGTCAATATCCATTGAGACCTAGACAGAGTCAGTAAACGCTTGATGCAGACACTGGACGCACCGCGTCCGGCGTTCGGTGGACCAAATCTCTTAACAAAAATCGCACTATGTCTTCGCTCTTTTCCTCGAATTCGTCAGGGCTGTATCTTGTAAACTCTGAAAGCGCCGCGATGTGGGCTACCAAATGTTCATCGTCGGCTTTTGGCAAAAGTTTGCAAAGTTTCTATCCAACGATGAGAATGTTTAGGCCGAGACGCAACTGCATTCACCTCGACTAAGCTCGACGAATGTTTTGCGCTATTTCGCCCATTGGAAAGATAGCGGGCAGCAGCTTTGGCGTTGGTACGATTATTGCTCACAGCCAGTGAGACCATCAGAGAATCCAGGCGTCTTGAATCAGATTAGCCTTGACCCAAGAAGACAGAGACTTCTTACGAATCGTTGGGGAATTGGTCCGTCCCTAAACGTGCGACACTTGCAAGGGCTCTGAGCGCACACTCTTGTGCAACATAGTTGTCTTTGGAATGGGCCACTTTTGCAAGACGCTGTAGGTGTGGATAGTACAATTGTGGGCAGTACTTGGAGATGTAGTTCAGGGTAGCCCTTGCATAATCAACGGATTTGCCATTGATAGTTTCATCCTTATCACCGTTGGTATTATGGCCATTCCGTGACGCGGTCGCATTGCCGGAGGAGGACAAAATGTCGAGGAAAGTCGGAATAGATGATGTGTTCACGATCCATAGAGAACTTTTGCGCATAAACGCCTCCATCGTCCCAGCAATGGCTGGAACATCTTTTTCAATAATTTTGGTGAATTCATGCTAGGGAAAGTCAGGAAGGCGAGGGTGTGTCGAGGTGCACATTATTACCTTTGCCTTTACAAGACCCTTTAAATCTGTTTCGATGTCCATTATAGTCCTCAAATATTTGTATAGTCGTCGGTCATGATGTTTTGCAAATGTTTGAAGGTCGTCTGCGACTTTACTGGGGTTTGGGTATCCGGCTTGATGGATATCAGAGCTTGTCAGGACCAGAGGATCTCTCCCACCTGCAATAAGCCTTATGACCTGCTGTAGTTTCGTCTTGACGGCTGCTTCGTCCTTGTCGATAGTACCACCCTGGCGAGTCATCAGCAGTGAACATAGAGCTGTCATTGGCCGCTAACGTTGAATTGTAAGCAGCTGTCTACAAACGCCTGGTACTGTGACGGTCGCCTGGAGAAAGGTAAGATCAATTCTGTGATTGCCGATGAATAGAAACGCACGTAGTAGAAAGACTCGAGAGAAACATGAGCCCATCAAACGTCCTCCGCTCTCCAGCAACCATTATCGAGAGTAATCGTTGGGTCCACGCATTTTCATCCATCTCCTCCTTGATAGATGGCAGCGGGAGGATATCTCTGGCAATGATGCCCTCTGCAACCAAGGCCACGTCTGGTGTCGTGCCGCTGGCATGTATAAGCTGAGATGGGATCCACCCAAACTGTGAGATGGCAGTCGGGTTGCCTTTCTCGCTGCAAAAGCTCAGCTAACCATCCGGGGATCCTCACGAGACCTACATCTCTGGACGAGCCTGACTGTAAAGTCTCCCAATCGTGTCGAACGCCTCTAGCCTTACAGTATGCTATAGACTTTATCATGAGAGCGTATTGTTACGAAGAGCAACGAGACGCACCTTCTTATCCAAGCACCGACCAGCAATGGTCCGCAACATCTTTTCACTGGCGTGATACGCTGACATTTCAAAGTCCAGCTCGCCATATGCTTTACATACGGCGGCACGGACTTTATCGTCGGGATCCAGGGCTTTCGCCAACATTGCATCTGACCCACCATTAGCAAAGATTGACAGACTCGGAAAGATACCCCACCGTTGATATCATTTCGCATGTCTGGGTTTCCTATGAGCTTCTTTGCAACACTCACAAAGACAAGTCGAATCGCCGGAATCTTGTCATTCTTTCGTGCAACCCACAGAACCCAGGTACTCCGATATTCTCGCATGAGATCACTTCCATGAGTCTCTGCATACATCTCTCCAAGTGTCTGCGTCGCAAGTGTGCGAACCTCTGTGTTGTCGACCTGCAACTCTTCGTGCATTTGCGGTATGACGTTGAGAAGAAGCTTTGGGCAGTACTTTTGTATTCGCTTCACGAGTGTATGTGCCGCACGAAGCGCATCAACATCTCGCTCGCCGTCTCCGTCGTCACCGTCTTCATGATCCGATTGTGGATGCTGAACAATCGCATCGGTAAAGTATTGGCAGACGGGACGAATCAACTTGTCTGATGATGCGTTGCAGACTTCGACTGCAACTCGAAAGGCGGGCACGGACGTGGCCTGTAAAATATGAACAAGTCCAGCAAGCAAAGACGAGGTTTAGCGAACCGATTTCTTTGTACTGAATTGCTTGATGAGAATGTCTGCCACCTCTGATGGCACAGTCTGACATTCGTCCAAAAGTGCAGCCATGATATCGGCCATGTATGCTTCAATCGTCGTGGGTAGGCCAAGCGCGGCAAGAGTGAAAAAGTCTCTGAATATCTCGACAAGCAGATCATCCGCTTGGGGCAAGTCGCACACCAACACGGCACTCTTCGTCCGAGAGAGTGACGAGAGCAAATCGTGGTAGAGCTGGTAGTAAGGCGCGTCCGGGCCCTTGAGTCCACTCAAAAGCTGTCTAAAGAAGAATTGGAAGATGTCCTAGCGAGCGTTCGCGTCAGCCTGCGGAGACGCACGTCGTGTCACTCAACTAACCTTGAGTTCTCCAGCCGTGTAGGGCGCGTCGGGTGCGTAAATGTTTAGGAGCTCAGCAATACAGCATGCTGTATACGCCTTGACGCCCTTGTCTTTGTGAAGCATGAGCGACGGTCCGACGAGATCCTTTCGGACAGTGGCAAACGACGCCAGGTCGATATTCTCGGGTTCGGACTCGGTGATAGAGCTCAACTCATCGAGTAGTGACTATCAAGGGTGAATGTGAGCATTTGACGCGTAAAAGATCCGTAGGGAGCGCGCAACGCGGTTTGAAACATACTTTGAGCTTGCGTTGCAGGCCTTCGCTGCTTAATCCTCGTCCCGTAAGCTTATCATCAAACTTTAGCTTTACAGGTGAATTGGTCGTCGCGCTCGGGTGTGAAGTTGGCATTTTCTGTCGACACGGCGAAGTCGAACCGCTTCCACCACAGACGACCAATAAGCATCTCAAGTATAGCACGATATCCCAAGTCCAACAGTTTTTTGTACATTCATATTACGTGTATAAGGTACAATAAACGGTCAAAGTCAAAGGCCTTACGCAGGCGGTGGGCCCGAGGGCGGAGCGTATGTTCCAACGGGTGCCGTCGAAGGTGGCTGATTGTGGCCGAAGAATCGATTGATACCCTTATTATCAGAGACGAGGGCTGGCTGTGGTGGGTTAACGCCATCGTGCGCAACGCTAGGCTTCTCGAATGAGGGACCACGGTGAGTGGGCAGGGCAGCAGCGGCCCGCCTCATATTCCTTCTGCGCCTCAGGATCACGAGGACAAGTATGGTGAGGGCAATGAGACCAACTAGGAAAACATCTTAGGAGCATTCTCTCAAAGTATTCGCGCACTTACCAACTCCAACGACGACACCAATGATGATTGCAGTCTTGTTTACTGGACAGGCTATTGCATTCCCAGCGTCATCATAGCAGCGTCGCGAGCTGCCAGTGCCCACAACGCGAGGCTTTGCTACAACGCCAGAAGCGGCGATTATCGTCCAGAGGAGCGTAGAAAAGAGTATAGACGTAGACATGGTTTTGTCCAAGTTTCGGGGGCAGACTACGCAACATCTACAGCCAAGTGGGGTCTTAAGTGCAATCCTGAACTGAGGTGACGTCGGCGAGTGCGGGTGGCTCCCAACGGCATCCAGTCGGGTTGTGATCATCGGATATTTATCTGACAAAAGGCATAAACACATCTTGCCAAGCAAATTACGAGATGAATGAAGATCTCAGCAAGGAATTTGTCCGGCATGGGGTAAAAAATAGGACATATGCTTGTATCCGTGCGAACACGGGTAGACATCCTGAGATTAAAATTGAGAACGCTACTCACCGACACACGCAGTGCAAAATGCTAATATCTAGAGCTTCTGACGGCAGATTTCAGCAGATATTCTCATAATGAAAAGAAGAGGGCTCGGTTGGTGATGCATGTTGAGCAAGATCATGCGGCGATGCCGTCAAACGCTCGAAAAATGGGAAAAGTATCGTCTTTGCCCATTAGAGGCCACATAATCGACGACTTACGGGCTTTGAAAGAGATCATCGAGATTTCAACCGACGGGCCAGGTCGAAGAAAGCGACTTTGTTTGGCCACTACAATCTTGGCCTCTACCAGCTCGAAGCGTTTTTGATCCTCTCTGGGTAAGTCGATATTCCCTGTCACCCTTTGTGATGAGTCTCCTTTCAGTTCTGCTTCCGAAGATGCCTCCGCATTTGTGGATAGCAAAATTTACCAAACCAAATTCTGAGCTCCGTATTGTCGTTCAACATTTGACTGATAATCCCTCTAGTATGTATGCACAATCTACCCAACGCCAGGAAGAAACCAAGTTCATCCATTCGTTGAACATCCTCTTCACTTCGCGGCTCGTTCGAGACTCGTCGTCTGGCGTTTTGCCCGACGGTGGCCTCGGTGAGCTTGCGGGAAGAGGTGCAAGAAAACACCGGCTTCTCTGATCTCTCGTCTCAACTGCCAGACGTGCGAGTTCTAACTCATTTTGATAGGCAGCATGCTGAATTGTAGAGTACACTTTATGCACAAGAGCCATAGTGTCCATAACCCACAAATAGACCCTGGTGACCCCAAGAAAAGATTTGGTAGATGATTCGTTAGTCGTTGTTGGCCGTCGTGTCCTGGACGTCGCTCGTCCCAAAGTCAACGTCGCGCTTTTCGTTGCTCTTGATACTGCTCTTTTCTCCAGCGTCTCCTTGGTTCGCGGCCGTCTCTGTGACGGCGTTGTTCCGGTCCTCGCTCGAGCGGCTCGATTTGCTGGAGCGCGACGAGTGAGTAGAGTGGGAATCTTCGTGCCCTTCTCCTCCGTGAATCTTGCCTCCTTTGCCCTTCTTCCCTTTCTTCTTTTCCTTTCGTGACGCCTCGAGCTTCTCGTCATACTTGGCAGCATTTTTCTTCTTCTTTGAGCGATAGGCCATAACGGAAATGACGATTACGACAATAGCAACAAAGCCTATAGTCGACCGTTAGTTGAGATCAGTAAAATAGACCAAACCCTACCCAAAATGCACCCAAGGACGATTGCCCCGGCTTTGTTCATTTTGCAGGTCTTGACATTGCCATGATACTCGCAGTCTGAGAGAGCATTGCTAGAATTGGAGATGGAGGTCCTCCCCTTTTTCTCTGGTTCACTGTAATCGGGAACCGGGACGGGCATCGCGGACACGACCGACGCAAGGGCCAACAAGAGAATCGACGCGGACATGACCTTGGAACTCAGTCGGCTCGTCAAGAGAAGTGGGAGAGGGCAAGATGCAACAAAAGGCCAAACTGCCTGCCTTTAAACATGACGGAGACCTCGTGCCCGTTCGATATTGGACAAATTCCGAAATGGCTATGGACATTTCAGGCACACCCTATTCATATTCTCGTGCGGGCTCTTGGCACCACCGGGCAGTCAGGGTTCAAAACAAGTAGAGCTCCGAAACCCTCAGGGTGAGTCCAGACCAGTCATGAGCCAGAAGGCCCCTGGGTCGCCACCTCAGTGTACGCCCGGTGGCAATCAGCGTACTTTGGCAAGAACAGGAATCTATTACTTGAAGAATAATGATTACGACGACGAGCGAAACCTGCTGAAACATCATGGCTTTGGCTGGTGATACAGTATCAAGAAGTGTGAGTCAATAGGATTATTTTGTGAGGTCGATAGGATTGAGCTATTATAAGGCATCAATGGGACAGATTACGGGGTATAATCGCCTGACGAACGCGACAAAACCCTTCATAAAAGAGCGGATTGAGAAAGAGATTGCTTCGGTCAAGAGTGGATACTGCAAGCACCTGATCCAGTGTTTCTGCAAGAGATTGGACCTGCAAATAGGTATTAAACAGTATTAGGCGAAAATCTGAGCCATTCAAACCGAATCCTCGTCGTCCCCCATTCTCGCTCTATAGTCTGAAGAATCGTGAGATACATTCATGCAAAATAAATCCCTCATACGCTCTAGAGCCTTTGTGCGAATGGCGAGTGCCTCCTAATGGTCCCTGACAGTCAGCCATAAGAGAAAGGCAACCATCTCCGAGACCTACAGAACGAAGACGTGTAGTCGCAGCAGTGTAGAGGTCCTCAGAGTATATCTTGAATTCTTGCCTGAGAGCCTCCAATCGCTTCTTCCGAAGGTTCTCTGCGAGGTCGGTATCCACAGGCGGGCCATTCATTCGCTTTCTGTTTGCCATAGGAGTGCGACTTTGAATATCCTCAATCTATTGATTACGCGGATTTAAGCTGGTGGGTCACCATTCAGGTAAGGAAGTTTACCTCGGTCAGCAGTGCTGCTTGTTTCTGACGAAAGACTGCAAAAGATGAATGGATCTGGTGCGTCGATGTCCAGAAGCTTGAACATACACTCCTCGTGCTTGCGCTCAATGTCGTTAAGCGTATTCCGGAGCATGACCCGAAACTGGCGACAAGCATAGGTAAACTCTATGGGAGATACAGATTCCATGGAGTGTTCACCACGGTTCTGAGACCGGTACACTGTTACACGGGTTGTCCAATGGTCGTGAAAGGCTCCAAGCTCGACCGATTGCCGCTTCATCTCAACAATGCTCCAGCTCAAACCAGTATATTGCAGAGTAGATGATATATTACATATATCGTGGTGGCTTGAACAACCGTCGAGCGTCCACAAATGTACAGTTACGGCTCTCTACCGCTGCTTTGATGGCGTCGAAAGTAGCAGTAGTTTCCGGGTCAGGTTCCTTCAGATATTGTAGTTCAAAGTAATTCATCCCGGGGAAGCATTTCGGCTGTCGGAGCAGCTCTGCTAGGAGCGCTTGGTCCAAGGATCGTAGACCAGCAAACGAAGTACCGGAATACAAGCCATGTGCCTGTACTCAATATCCGTTGCGTGGACTATTCTTAGGGATTCCAGTGGTCGCCTTTTGAGTGGCTCCAGCTGCCTTAGGATGTAGTCTGCCTGCTCCTTGACGCCTTCTAGGTCCCCATTCCCTATAGTTTCCCATATGAGATACTTTAATGATCTTTGGTGAACTACAGCTCACCATAAGTTCCCGGTCCGCCGCAGCTCTCCACACGCAATGTGTCCAGAGCGCGAAACTTTTCCACAACGGATGCGATGACCCAGGCATCAAATTCCATACATTCCTCCAGGTGCATGGAATCGATTGTGAGTTGCGAGCCCCATTTTCCACGCACGAGGAAGTCGACTATCGGCGAGTTTCGAGTACTGTACACGTAGAGATGGGAGAGCGACGTCACAAAGTCACGTATCGCTTCAAGTAAGCAAGTAGGAGGGGGAAAGTCCGGATTGCAATAAAACTCCAAGGTGCGCAGTGTTCGTCCAGACTGCCTTAGGACCGCAGTGTTTGCCTCGACTGTGGCAATCGTCATTGGGGATGAGATGCTGAATATTGATAGACGCCGTAACATTGTGAAGTGGCTGAGCGCATCCAATATCTGGGGGGACTTTCTTTGGAGCTTGCTGTCGAGCACAAGCCATTGGACATTGGTGAGATGTCGCAATATCTTCGTCATGAGTGGCAGACTTGGGTCGTCAAGATAAATGGTGGCATATCGAACATGGGGTGCGATTTTCAGAAAGATGGTCTGCTCCAATAGTGATAACCAATTGGGTCGGGTACGCTTGTAAGGGGTAAAGTTGACTGCTCGAAAGAGTTGTCTTAAACCGAGTGCGGCCAACTCGCGATCACATCTACTGTTGTTAAGCCATATAACCATTCCTATCTCATACATACCTTCTTATGGCCTTCAGGGTCTCGATATGCTCCGCGTTGGAAACGATAAGGCGCCGGTCATGAATAAAGATAACCCTTCCGGTTTCTAGCTTGTAATCCATGGCAAATTGATCCAGGACCGCTATCTTGAGCTCCGTAGGAAGCGCAGAGAAGTATGCCTTTGAGGGGTCAACCTCGAACGCCTCTGTCTCCGCAGGTGGGCTCAGGGTGCCACTAAAGGGAAGAGTATCCCATGGTATCATAATTTCTGGTTTCATGGTTTCTGATAGGTTAAGTACTTGGCCCACAATCAATCAATACGTCAGCATACCATCTAAAGCCGTTGACGAGGGTGACTTTCTGGGATTGTTTATAGGTGACTCTTCCATGAGAGGATATTTAATTCCACAAAAATGACCCCAACCACATTCGCAGCCGTCGCGGTCAGGAGCAAGTTTGGGCCGAACCGAACCTTGACTCACTCGATGCTCCGATGTCGTTCTTTGGGTTCGAGACGAGCGTCCCACGGGACGACAAAGATTCAAAGCAAGCATATGCCGAAGAAGATATCGCAGTCTACACCTGGGGAGATGCCTCCTACGACGCATTGGGCAGTGCCCTTGAAGAAACTGGCGACGACTTGAACGACGAGACGTTTGGAGGTGGACCAGTCGGTGAGAAACTTTTGGGTATACCAAACAGGACTCATCAAGTCCCTCAGGCAAAGACTTTGATTTCAGCGGCGCTACGAATGCCGCTCTGACAAACCAGCCAAATGTACAACCGTCTAAGCCATATCAATCTGATCTAGCGCCAAAAACGCAACAAAATACGTCTTGTGAGACCTTTTTTATGCTTAGATCTGGAGCTTGGCGTGTCTAACAGACGCATTTCAACTAGCAACCAACGATTTGTGGAAGAATGTGGATCCCAGTTCTGCTTTCTCTAAACAGGTACCGACCGAGCATATCACCAATCCGGTACATCAGACGAGCGCAGCCCAACGCACTGCACCCTCTGTTTTTGCCCAAATCAACCCGTCAGTAAATCCCCAAGCCGACTATAACATTACGAATCTGTCATCTGCCACTGCCGCCCTGAGTCTCGACGGACACAATGAGGCACGACCGCGCACAATGGCAGAGATAGAAGCCGAGATGCACGCTGCACTACGAGAGCAGCAACAGCAGCAATTGATCTCGCAACAGAGAGAAAGAGAGAGGATGCAGATCGAACAACAGCTCCTAATGCAACAGCAGCAGCGAATGATGGAAGAGGAGCAACTACGCATGGAAATGGAAAAGAGACGACTGTATGAGCAACAGGCCCTCCAAGATCCCTTGTGGGCAATTAGGCAGGCCATGATGCAAGAAAATGGCATGTCGGTTCAAGGGCCCTCTGACTTGCGGCCATCTCTGAGTGCAAACGTGTCGCCCATGACACAAAATCGGCATCCAATGTCCCAGATACCTCATCAACCCCATCCTCCGCACAATCATGGTGCAGGAAACCAACAAGCTCTTGTCAACGAGCTCTTGCTTCATCACCAAAGGCAACAAATGCTGGAGCAGCAAGGACACCCAAGACCTAACTACGATATCAGTATCGAGAGTCAAGATGCGATGGCCGCTGATGCTCGACGTCGAATGCAAGAAGCTGAAATGATGGAAGCCCGGCATCGGCGTCGGATGGCCAAGATTCAATCAATGGCAAGTGATCAACTTGTACAAGTACCATTCTCATCTTTTCAAGGCTCGCTACAACGATATCATGACGCAGTCCGACAAAGATTTCATTACGCGCGTGCAAGTGGCTCAGTTGGTCACTTCTGATCCCTACGCGGACGATTTCTATGCACAAGTATACGCTTCTATCCGACAGCAAAGGATTGCCTCGGAAAATCAAGTGCTCAAGGGCGCGCCAAGACAAGGAGGTCAACGAGGACCACATCGAAGAGAAAATGCTATACAACGGATGCAAGCTCATGTGGAGCGGATTGTGAGCCATATGAAGAGCAGGGAACAGTCCAAGGAAGCTTCATGTTCGTCACAATTACTTCAAAACCCCAACCACTCACGTATCTATAGCACATAATCCTGGGTTGCAAATGTGCTAGGGAAAACATCAGGAAGGAGCTACAAGGCAGCTCCTCGACAGCTATTGCAAGTCGCCACAGCTTCTCCCGACTCGAAGGCACATCATCCAGTCAAGGAACATGACTCCGTGAAATCTCTAGATAGTCATGTTCATCATGGAGACGTAGGCCTTCTACTCGCTGTTCGACTCTCATCGCTCACCTGTCATAGTTGCCTCCCCCATTTAGTCCCACGGAAGGCCTGATGATTATTGAGCGTCTATTCAACAACATTCTCGAGATAGAGCAACTGAGGCGCAACAAACCATTGGCGGAAGACGAAGCCAGGATGTCGACGTGGAAGCAGAGTCTCGACGAGTTGCTTGACACCATCTGGCAGGGCCTCAGGGTCGTTGGGCCACTGTACGAAACGTCAGTCAACCACCATCATGTCTCAGAGTTTTCAAACATAGTACAGGAACCCGCATCCATTTATTGCTCTCATCGCGCCCATGAAGGGTAAACGATTCATTGGGCGACTCGGTCGTGACTTGACCGACGAGCAAAAGTTAATGACCCTAGGTGTCATCGTGAATCGTATCGAGCAACTAGACGTCATTCGAGGGGCAGCCATCCTCGACTCTGTGGAGGATTCGCCAGCGCGACGGATGTTTGAGAGGCAGGCCGGAGCATTTCAAGAAAACGTTATAAACCAAGGACTTCATCTATCTCCCTCCGCGAGAACCCTGAAGACGTATACCGCGCTGATCGAGTTGATGATTGAGAATCTGTCCACTTTTTCCCGCGTCGTAATCACTCGTGTACGTTGTATATATGCGCCACCTCATTAGTTACTAATCCATGCAGCCCGGCCTCACCTTGCTCGAACACTTCTTTGCGGAAGCGTCCCTTCTCAAGCATGGTCTGCAAGGTCCAGAAGGAGAGCACATCGCCGCACCTGCGGAGGACGTGGCGAAATGGTGGGTGTCTCTCACCAAATTCTGTTCAGCGCTGATCCAGGCAACCTAGGTCAAACCTGTATGACAGGGTCTTTGAACATCTCCTTCCTCTGTGGAACATCATGTTCCCGTCGACACGCATATTGGCGGCTTTTCCTCCCAATTCTCTTGAGGCGGTTCAAGTGAGCGTGGTGACAGATGGTTTTGACCTACATGTGTGGCGTTTCCTCGCCGGCTTCGCACTGGAGGGCACGTTGGAACAACACTCCCGACTCGTGACTCAGTTACGCGCCAAGGTTATGGGGACACTTCGAATGGCTCAAGCGCTAGAAGAGGGCAAGGCAAAGGCGCGCAAAATCCGCAACGTCGACCTTTTCCTCAACGCACTCGGCCTCAGCAGCACCCAAATTCTAGAGGCTACTCCGCAGATTCCCATATAGTCGTCATGCAATCTAAGAAACTCATGCCTTTCCAGTGTTTTCGTGCCGCTGCCACACGGCTCTCCGCTCCGCGTGCTTTTGCGTCTATCGGGTCCTGAGATCTAATTGAGACATGAGATGAGCGAATCGGGCCACGTCCAACCTCGTTGGTATCGGCTCGGGAAGAGACAACCTCACTGCACAGTGCTGGCCCAATTGAGGCCGTCCTTCCAGATCTCAATCTGCCTATCGGGTGTACGTGTAATAAATGAATACCAACTCAATGTCCCTTGCGACTGAGTGTGCTGATTGGCCACAGCTAAACCGAACCGCAATTGTGGCTCACTCAGCCGCAGAAAAAAACTTGAAAAGATTTAGACCCAAGATGTAGCAGATATCAGACCAAACCTGCTTTCAACGGTGGGTGTTGGTGGTAGCAACAACCTTACTGTTTTCTGACACCCTCCCTTGGCACATTTACTTTAGTGTCTTGCCTGTCTTGCAACCCGCGGACATTCTGATCAATTCTCAATAATTCTAGGCTTTGAGTGTTACCTTCAGTTTGCCTCGCGCGTGTCTGTTGTTCGCTGCTCATCGACTTCCTGAAGGGCTCACACAGGCCCGTGTTCGCAACGCGCCCGTTCGGACTGTTCGCAGACCCGACGTATATAGCATATAATCGGCGGGTGAACTAGGCCCCTGGCATCTCGCCCATCCTCCGGGTCTTTTGTATACGGCTGGAGACCGAGATCCTGTCATCTGGGTACGTGAATCAGTAGCATGAGTTGATTGAGCCGCGTTAAACACTCCACTTTGACTTGCACAGCGTGTAGCCACCCCTTTCAGTGTTCCAAGTCCCGTCGTCATTTCTTGGTTTCCTCCGCCACAGATGTTAATTGCGCCACATTCCCACTGGATTATAGACAAGATGGATTCCGTGCGTCCTTGCAAATAGACTCTGTTGACCGGTCGCTGAATATCCCGACCGGCGATATTAAAAGTTTGCCAAACTTGAGCGGTCTGGGGCCCGTCACAACAGCCAAAGTCGTCCACGCACATTCAACATGGAGAGGAGAGACCTCTCTCGCGAAGACTGGGAGGAGGTACGTACCAGAGCGCCAATGGTTTCGACCCTTCTGCTCACCAACGGACCCAACCCAGATCGAGCAGCGCTTTTCAAATATTGCCCAGACGAGCACACGAATCTCAAACAGCAGGAACACGGGTGGTGCTGCAGCCACTGCAGATTCAGACTGCGAGGTTGAGGACTTGCAGGCCATCCTCGACGACGCCCTCCGTGGAATGGATCGATTAGATCCACAACGAGCGAATGCAGCTGCCGAGCAAGCGGGACGCCTAGCTGAATCATCTGGATCAGACTCTCGGGCGGGGCCGTCGGCGCATACTACTTCTGGCTTGCCCCCCGCCGCCCAACAACAAGCTATTGACTCGAGAGCCAACACCGGACAGGTGAGCCGCGCGGTCGCGGTCAACGCCGGACGGATACTAAATTATCATCTGTTCAGAATCAACGTAATCCATCAGCTCAAGCGCAGCATCAACAGACTTGCGAATCTTGCGGCACAAATACCACCCCGGAATGGAGACGCGGTCCCACCGGTACGTTTGCAATTCACGTCATATGTGGGCCGTCGCTGACGCTAAGATAGGCCCCAGGACGCTATGTAATGCTTGTGGGCTCTATTATGCCAAATTGGTGAGGGGGCCGCACATCGAGGTGAAATGACTGACTTCAGGGACAGCAGCGACGCCGTGCCAGGGGTGAAGAGGATCCAGAAGACGACGAAAGCAATTCTGGTGGCGGAAGTGTTGGAGATGGATCATCAAACGCAGGAGGTGGTGATGGCATCACGATTACTGCATGATGCAGCCGGCTCGCATCTTGTTGGGGTCGTATATCCCTTCTGCCTGCTCCCGTTTAGTCTCCGTGCTGGACCTTATCGCGCTAACTTTACTTCTCGCGTGTCTGGTAAATGTGCTTGTCGTCTGGTTGTAGCCTACGTATTCGACCGAGTGCCATTATTTTTAGTACTATCAACTGGCTCGTGGCTTGCCAAGAAAATGATGTGCTACCCCAACGGCAGACGCGGCGACAGCCAGCGGCAGACCGACGTAGAGCGCGAGTTCAGAAAGCTTAGAGCTGCCCGGAGCTACCTACAGTCAGTGTAAAGGAGCAGACATTCGACTGCTTGGCAACTGACCTTCAATGCGAGTGCTAGGAGAACTCTCAATTTCCCTGAGTACCTATCGGAATAGACTTGAGGCCACCTCAGCATGGGGTAGTACGCACACACCTTTGCAATGTCTTTCTTCTCCCAGATACCCGTCGGGTGTGGAGCAAGATCATACATCTTATCGAACCCCTCCATGGGACTTGGCTCTTCAAACTCGTTGGAGAATCTCTTGAGAACTGCAAGGGCAAGTTCGAAATCCTTGCATGCGGTAAAATTTGGTGATACGCACCCACTTGCGCGGTGGCCCAGTTCTTGATCGTTGGATGGTCCGTCCTTGTGCGTAGCCGTGCCGCGCATTCCTGAACCATGTCAATACCCCTCTGCGTGACAAAGACAGACCATACTTCATATGGAGTATTCACTGCGGGATGCATCAGTCTTATTGGACAGTACCAGGAATGAAGATAAGCTCACTCGTAATAACCCAGGCTTCAACGCGGCTGAACTGATCTGCTATATCAACCCATGTTTTCCGCTGCCTTGGCGAACGTCGTCAGCTTTTAAGGTCCGTTTTACGCGGCAACGCCACCATTGGCTGGCGCAAGGCGGCGTACTTTTGGTCGATGTTCGTCCGGTCAATGATGACAGAGAGACCTTCAGAAAGGGTCTGGAGAGTCAAACGCTCGACACGGCGCCGGTCCTGTTGCTGTCAACCGCCAGCCGAAAACCAGACTGAGACGGAGTTTTACCTTGAGCTCGTCCTGGTTGAGTCTTCGAAACTGAGGAAAGTGCGTCTCTAAAGCTTTGGCAAATGTTGACTTGCCAGAGCCTACGAGACCTACGAGAATTACGACGACAGGTTTCTGCGGGCCGTTGTAAACCTGATCCATGTCTACGTCTACCTCGTTTTTGAGCTTATTATCGTCCATTTCGTACACTTGAGAGGCGGTATTCACGGTCAACAGCGACGACGAGGCCGTCTCCAACTCACGCTGGGGTCGGAGTTGGTAATTCGGAATAGCTTGGCCCCTGCGATGAGTGGCCGCACAGCCCAAAGCCATCGCCTGGCAAACCTGAGGAATGCAAGACAAGGTCAAAGTCGCGCAAAACAGTGGAAGGTGAATTTTTAGTCGCGTTTCCGCGTTGATCGACGCGTCGCGCTCACCGCCTATTCTCCTCAGCCCAAAGGAGACGCGTCAATCTACGACGAAGTCTCTGAAAGGGACTACGAGGCCATAGTTCGCGGTCGTTTGGACCAGGATGATTTTGTAGAGGACGATGGCGTCGACGGGTACATCGACCACGGCATGGACGACTTTGAGGGTGATATGGCAGACTCTGAGGACGAGCGAGAGATTAAGAGTGCGTACATTTTCATCTATCACTCACATCTCCCGGCTCATGTCATGACCAGAACGCCAGAAAGCGGCCGCGAAAGCTACCAAGGCAAAGCCCAAGCCACCGCCCCCCGAACCAGCACCCATGTCGGCCTATCGTACCGTCAAGTCAGAAGCCGTCGATAGCGAGTTTCTTGAAAACCTCCTACAGGGTATGGTCGCCGAGCCGGCAAAGCCCAACCCGCGCAAGCGAAAGGGATCGCCATCCAGACGCGAAACGGATTATACATCGTATAGAGACAACCAAGGCGCCTCATCGGATGGGCCAGATGATTTCCCAGAACCCAAGTTTTCTCGCAGACGTGAAGCATTATCGAGCGACGATGAAGCGTTCATTACGCCCATAAAGCGCTTCAAGAGTGAAAACGGGACAGGAATTAATATTCATCAGACGACTTCACAAGTGGACCAACTGCGTATGGATGATCCATACGACGAAATGGAGAACGATTATGCGCCTATCGATCTAGACGACATCGACGGCCACCCAGTGAAAAAGGAAGAGAGTCCCATCGCGTTGTCCAAGCTCTCGGGCAACGGTGCTCACCCTTCGGCAGTCAAGAATGAATCTGCCAAGGTTCAGACAGGCCCACCATCCTGGTTAGCCGTACATGCGTCTCTCCCAGTGGCCATCGCGGATACTGTCGGTGGAGGCTCTTCAAACTTGGCTTCCACTCGAGTTCAAGCCACAGAAGAGGACGGTTCCTTGCGGATGTTTTGGCTGGACTATCTGGAAGTGGATGCCAAGGTCTATCTCGTTGGAAAGGTCCTCGACAAGTCCACCAACAGATATGTGAGTGCTTGCGTGGCCATTGAAAACATCGAACGAAATCTTTTTGTTCTACCGAGAGAACGACGTATGGAAGGCGACTACGAGACGGACATTCAGCCAGAAAAAAGAGATGTTCAAGCCGACTTTACCGAAGCACGACAAAAGTTTGACATTAAGCGTTGTGCTATGAAATGGGTGAAGCGCAAATATGCCTTTGGCGAGCCCGGCGTTCCCACTCAGGAGACGCTGTGGATGAAAGTTGTCTATCCTTTCTCGGGTTCGTTCTTTACCTTGCAAGATATATGTCTGACTGCTCGTAGAACCCGCGATGCCTAGCAATCTCACCAGTCCAAATATTGCCCGAATATTTGGTACGAATACGAGTGCATTTGAGCTCTTTGTCATCAAGCGCAAAATTATGGGCCCTTGTTGGCTTCAAATTAAGAATGCAGAGATTGCGAACAAAGGAGTACGCATTGTCACTGCAATCGAACTTGTTATGACGAATGATAGGCGTCTTGGTGTAAATTGGAAGCGACTGTTTCCGATCCCAAGGATGTCAATCCCCTCACCGATAATTCGGTCAAGGGCATGCCACCTCTAACAATCATGAGCCTCACTCTTCGTACGGTTGTCAATCACAAGGAGAACAAGCGCGAAATCGTGTCGATTGCCTCGCGAGTCTGGGAAGAAAGTGCGTCGAAGGAGCCGTGGAAAACTTTATTGACACGCCGTATCAGACCATATTGAATCTACAACACCTCTAGATAAACAACCTAGTACAGCCGTTACCTTCATTCGACCTCTCGAAAAGTATCCTAAGGGCTTTGAATCGGTTGCAGCACAGTCGAGACAATCCAAAATGCATGCCATGGCGAATGAGCGTGCGTTGCTGAACAACTTCTTGGGTCCGTTCAGAATCACACAACCGCTATCATTCTGATCGATGATTAGCACTCGTCCAACGCTACGATCCAGACGTGATCGTCGGGCACGACTTCCTGGGGGTGTCACTGGATATACTTCTTCATCGCATGAAGGAGCTGAAGGCTGAACATTGGTCAAGAATATCTCGATTCAAGCGGAAAGGCTGGCCGTCGATAGGGAAGCAGGGTACAAACCTGCGGTTCCTCAACGGACGACTACTTTGTGATCTCGCCAGTGATGGTGCAAAGGTCAGTTTCTCCGTTAACTGACAAGCTTTCAATCTCACCAGCTATAGGGGATGATTGCATCTACAACCTGGTCTTTGACGGAGATGGTTGCGTCGCAGCTCAAGATACAGCGGCAAGACATCGACCCGGACGACACAGCCTTGTTCTTCGATGCGGAGACGTCGACTGCCCAAAGGTTATTAGAATTCGTACAACACTGCGAACTCGATGCGTTCCTTCAGATGGCCATCACCTGGAATGTCAAACTTCTTCCATTGACAAGACAGTTGACCAATATTGCCGGCAACTCTTGGTTAGTGTCCCCTGCGAGTTTGAGACGGTTTGGCTGACTGTGAAACAGGAATAAGACGTTGAACGGTGGTCGTGCTGAGCGCAATGAATATATTTTGCTCCACGAGTTTCACTCCCTAAAGTATATTTGTCCTGACAAGACATGGGGCAAAAAGGCGGCGGCTGCTGCAAAGGTGGAAGCCGAAGAAGGCGACGGTGCTGCGACAAACACCAAGAGTAAGCGGGACAAGTACAAGGGTGGTCTTGTATTCGAGCCAAAGCGTGGACTCTGGGACAAGATCATTCTAGTCATGGACTTCAACTCGCTCTACCCGAGCATTATTCAAGAATATAACATTGACTTTACAACAGTCGAGACTGGGCAGATTGAGGTTAGTAACATGTTCTCCTATACAGATCGTGCTTACACCCCCTTAGGAGTCGGAAGACCAAATTCCTCCAGTTCCGGATCCGTCTCTGGCCCAAGGAGTTCTTCCACGGCTCATTGCAGATCTAGTCAAACGCCGAAAGGCTGTCAAAGGATACATGAAGAGTCCAGGATCAACAGAGGCGGAGCGCAAACAGGTAATTGATTTCGCTTTGGCATCTCCCAGCTTCTAACCCCAATCACAGTGGGACATTAAGCAGCAAGCCTTGAAGCTGACGGCGAACAGCATGTATGGCTGCCTTGGCTTCGAGTATTCACGTTTCTACGCCAAGCCATTGGCAGCTCTCACAACGTTCAAGGGAAGAGAGATTCTAACGAATACCAAGCAATTGGCAGAATCTATGGGACTCGATGTAAGTCACTTGGGTCTCGTGTTTGCACTGCTCATCCCGATCCAAGGTCGTGTATGGTGACACGGATTCGGTCTTTGTCAACTCTGGACATCTGGATCAAACCGAGGCGTTGAAGATTGCTCATCAATTCAAGAAAGCTGTAAACGACCGATATCGTCTACTTGAGATCGACGTCGATGGGGTCTTTCAACGTCTTCTGTTGTTACAGAAGAAGAAGTATGCAGCAATCAAGGTCGAAAACAACGTTCCGACTATGGAAGTCAAAGGGCTCGACATGAAGCGTCGCGAGTATTCCGCTCTCTCCAAGAATACCTCAAGGTATGGATGAAAACACCGTATTACACAGCTCTAATGTTTCTCAGAGATGTGTTGGGATTCATTCTGTCGGGCGAAGAGACAGAGGTGGTTGTTGAAAAGATTCACGACTATCTCACGGCGATTGGACAGAACGTGCGCAATGGGTCTGTGCAGCTGGACGACTATACAATCTTCAAGGTGCTTTCTCATGTTGATCGCTCGAAACGTTGATAACATGTCAACAGCGGCTAGGAAAGAACCCTGAGGACTACCCCGACGCCAAAACACAACCACACGTCCAGGTTGCGCTAAGGATGAAGGCGAAGGGTCAAAGCGCAAAAGCAGGGGATGTCATACCGTATATCTTCTGTTTGGCCGACGATGGGACCAGTAGCAAGACAGCACAGGCTGATCGGGCCTTCCACCCGGATGACATTCGACGGAGCGGCGGTCAACTCAAGATTGGTGAGTTTCTGTGCGCTATCATAGCCAATATCTGAACAACTCTACAGACTTTGAACATTATCTAAGCCAACAAATCTTACCGCCCATCGAACGATTGTGCGATCCAATCGAAGGCACGGATCGTTCTCGTCTGGCGGAGTGTCTTGGGCTTGATCCATCTCGTTATCACGCTCACTCGACTGGTGGTGGCGGCGAAGACCGTGCATTCGAAGCATTGGACTCACAAAAGTCAGACGCTCAGCGATTCAAAAGCTGCGATCCATTTATCGTCACTTGCCGAAAATGCAAATCTGCACGAGCGTGGCACCCTCCAAGCAGTGAGGACGTGAGTACATGAACACCTAGGCTCGCTTTTGGATTTACTCTGTTTCCTAGAATGAGCTCGTCACAGGGAGCGGAGTCGTGTGCGCAACTGCTAGCTGTGCGGCGCCAATAACCGCTGCGTCACTGCAAACGCAACTCGAGGTGCAGATTCGGGCACACATTGGTCGTTACTATGATGGTTGGATGGTGTGTGACGACGAAGTCTGCGGTAATCGAACTCGGATGATGCGAGTCTACGGCAAACGGTGTCTTCGCGAGGGATGTCGGGGAGCTATGAACCCAGAGGTGAGTCTACAGTGTTGAATCGTGAATGGATATTAATTCTGTGACAGTATAATGACAGTCAACTATACACCCAACTGTTATTCTACTCTTCGTTGTTCGATAGTCAAAAACTCCTGAACAGTTCAAAGGGTTCTTCGCGACAAGGTAGGCGATAGTATTGCCAGATGATGCTCGCTCACCCTCGCGTTTCCAGAGCACATCACCGCCCTTGTAGGTCAAAATGCTGATACACTGTTGGTCCTTGCAGAGGTCGTCGAGCGACATCTAGACGAGTGCGGAAGGCGGTGGGTTGACCTGAAGGACTTGTTTGGATTCATGTCGATCAAGGGCCGAGGTAGTAGGCGGTAGTAGCCACTTCTTGCCATTTCTGTACAACACGTCGATCTCTCTAATGTATTCGCTGACTACTTGACAGTGGTGAAGCGTTTCTGGTGGTAAACAAGGGGAAGTCTGCGTGAAGGTTCTCCCTCGTCATCATGCTTCTCCATGCGTACAACGCGTGCAAGAAAGAGTTCTGATGTATATCTTTCATTGTCGCCTGGTTTCGCCTCTTGAAGAGTGAGAGGGTCATCTCGATTCTCCGACGATGTCGAAAAGTCCAATGGCAAGGAACGCACGACACTACAGGAGATGCTTCCAAGACTACCTCCCAGATAGGGCACGCCTTCCTTGGTCAAGCGAATAGGCTGGTCAGCCATGGGTAATGACCAAAAGGGATTCGGGAATAGGTCTGGCCGGGAGAATTGGAGTGCAGCAGTAGCTTGCTGGGAAGAAAGGAGGTTAATGACGAGATGAGGGTGCGTCATTTCTGAATCGTCGTGTCGGCGTATGGCGTCGGCGAGCCGCGAAGGAAGTCGGAGGGAAAAGGAGACTAGAGGATGAGGATGTAGTGCTATGCTAGCAAAGGAGGATACGGTTGCTCCATGGAAAGGATGGTCGGGGAAAAGCTGCGTCGGCATTCGCGTTGTCACAATCGCGACCATTTGCGCTGCATTAACCATAAGATGTCGCAAATCTTCTTGTATTGTCGAGGTTGTGTGGCCTCGTGTCATTCCGCAACCTCGAACCAAGCTTTTTGAGAGTCGAAATCCACGGCGGTGGGCGTTCATTGTATGGACAAGACTCTTGAGCTTTGATGAGAAATGTTCCGAATAGTCTTTGGAACTATACTATGGCTCTATGTGGCGTCTGACCAGGTTTCCGACAGTTAGAAAGTGAGCTTTGAAGAGGCATAGACCATACCGCAGTGCTGAGAATAATAGATGAATAAATGAATATTATTGAGCTTGTAATCTCGGCACAGACGAGACCGAGTGAGGTGTTGAGTTGAAACCAAAACTTGAACCACTCCTTCTGTGACGGCCTCACCAAAGCTTGGTTATTCTACGCTCCAGCCAGCCACGACAAGAAGATAATTATGGAAGGATCCGAAGTTACAGTGCTTGCAGCACTTGGAGCAGCCCTTAGTGCCATGGTTTACTTTAGCTGGTCAGGATCGTCGGCCCAAGGCTCCAATGCCGACCAAGCATCAGCAAGGAACGCGTCTGCTGGCACCAGCAGAAACGTATCGAAGAAGGGGAAAAGGCGAAAGCGTGCAGATACAGTCACGCCTGGTGCCTACGCAGAGGACTCTGCGATCGAGAGCAGCGCAGCTAATCCAAAGCCATCTACACCAGTTCCAAAGGTTTCTGTACAGCGCACAGAGCCAACCATTCCTGGAGGACTTGCACCAATATTAACTGCCAGCGATATGGAGTCGGTTCACTCGGCAGCCTCGTCGTCGAAGAATAAAAAGAAGAAGAAGAAATCCACTCAGTCTGGTGAAAAGTCTGCGGGAAGCTCGCTCGCCCCGCCGTCAGCCTCCAAGGCTAAACAGCGATCGTCGCACACCCAAGATGCCAGTGGCCTATCCGAATTCGACTCGGAGAGTGGATGGACAAGGGTGCAGAGGACACGGACAAGCTCGAGTCGAGCCGCTGAGAGTACGAGCGACGCCGGAGTCACGACGAGTGTCACAGAGGAAGAGGGTTCCGTATCGTCCAAGCGCGAAGAGACGCTCACGAGTGCCGAGAAGCTTCTTCCCAAAGCACCAAAGACTGCTGTGGACGAGTGAGTGCTTTATACATTGGTCATGGCCATTGCTGACCGGTTTTGAAACAAGTATGATAGACGGCCCTAAGCCGGGTATAGCGCGTGTTCTTCGCGTTCCAGGCCCAACGTCAGCATCCAAAGCAGAATATACCAAGCCTGCTGGCAACCTCACCTTGGATGATTACGAGGACGGCTCAGATTTCAAGGGATCGGGGGTCGAGGCTGACGAAGAGGACTCGACGTGGGATGTTGTTGGTCGCAAGAAACGTAAGCCTCTGCTCCCCCTGTCAACAAGATGATGTCTGATATGGTATCATAGGTGGTGGAACTCGAACTCCGTCTACGTATGCATCAGACACCGCCCCTTCGACCATTGGCACGAGTAATGTAGCACCTACGAAGAAGCAACGACAAAACGCTGCAAAGCGCCAAGCAGAAAAGGACCGAAAAGCAGCAGCCGACAAGGAGATGGAAGCTGCACGCGCTAAACATATGCGCGATTTGGAAAAAGCTCGTATTGACGAGCAGTACAGAGGGAAAAAGGGACTGAGTGGTGGCATGACAGCCAAGGTCGACTCGTCCGGCTCTTTGGTTTGGGAGTAGCCTTCTTTCCCCCCAGCCATCAAGAGTTATCAATGGATTTCTTTACGACACACGACGCAATGCAATGCAAGGCACGAACATGATATGTATTCTCAGCCGTAATACCACGTCGTTGCCACCTTATACGAGCTTCTCTACGCCTTCAGGGAACACCAGCTGACCTTGCTTGCGTACCTGGAAGAATTCTTGGTAAGCCACATGTCCGTGGGCGCTGATTAAACGTACCTCGTCAAAGATTTTCATTTCAAGTAGCGTCTTGTCCCACCCCCACTTGTCGCTCTGAATCTTGCCATCACGGATACATCGAGCGACTTCGTCTGCCTGCCAATGCCATCCAGAGCCTCCATGCTGTTCATCTGCGCCATTCTTGAATGTCTTCGTTTCCTCCTTTACTACCTCGTCGCTGCCTTCCTTGGCCAGATACTGGACCTTGACGACATTGGGACGGTATATGGGGGCATCTACAATGATATTTCCCTTGCGAAGTCGGATGACCAGCGCTGGGTTGGGGGACGAAATGGTGATACCGCACGTGAGGACAGCTTGAGCGTTGAGCTGGTCAAAGTTTAATGTAAAGGAAGTGTGTGCGTCTACTCCTGTGAGTGGTGTCTTGAGCATGGCTGCTGAGATGGCAGAAGGGTGCTGCTTGTTGTTGGCTGGATGCTCATACATGGCGATAATGGCCCAAACGAGTGGATAGGGTCCAAGGTCAAGGAGTGCTCCTCCACCGAGCTTTGGGTCCAGGATTCGATGGGTGAGTGGAAGGTCTACCGAATCATTAGCCTATCCGTTAGCCTTGCAATGGACGTACTTTGGATGTCAAAATCACCACTCAGATCTGCATGTAGGACGCGTATGTCTCCAAGAGTGCCGCCTTTGACGAGGTCTGAGATGTAATCTGCTACTGGCAGGAAACGTGTCCACATGGCTTCCATGAGGAACAAGTTTTTCTCTTTGGCGAGTTGGATCAGTGCTTCAGCCTCTTTGGCGTTGACGGTAAATGGCTTTTCGCAGAGTACGTGCTTGCCATTGGTGAGGCATAGCGTGGTGAGATCGTAGTGACCAGGATGGGGTACACCTGTGCAAGTATTGAGACGCGAGGTCTATGCTCTTAAGGGGGCCTGACCGATGTAGACTGCATCGACATTCTGAGGGTGGCGAGCGGTATCAGCATGCGATATCGGCATTAAATGACAGATAACTTACAGGATCCTTGACAACTTCTTCATAGCTCCCATAAATCTTGGCTGGGTGGTCGTCCTTGCCGGTAATCTTTGCAAGAAACTCCTTTCCCTTGGCTGCATCGCGAGAGCCAACTGCAACGAGTTTGTGCACGACATCAGTCACCCCACGTCTATGTATGATGTGTGATTTTTCTGGGGTCATTCATTTATCAGCGATACTACGTACGTCTTTGGGTCGAGAATGATGTCGGAGACGAATTTGCCGGATATATAGCCAGCACCAAGGATAGCCCAACGAAGTGTAAACACAGAGTCTGCCATTATAGCTATATCGACGTGGTTAGAGGACAAGAGACAAGGCGGCAGGAGTGCCATCACCTCAAAAGGCCCGAATATTCTCCAAGGTGACCTGCCCAGTGGCAGTCCCAGTACTTGGAACCGAACAAGCAAGATTATATCAGCTTGGCTTCAACCATTCGTTTTTGTTCGTCAGCCTATGGCAAACTTGAAAGAATTGCGCAGTCTGTATTAGACAAACTTGGACCCTTCGCCCACACCGATAATGCACACCGACCTACCCTATGCTGCAGATGCAGAAGTTTCTCTCTCATACGATGAACTAGAGGTTTGAATCTCGACGCTGTACACACTTCAACGACACCTTACGTCGCTCACCCAGGTGCTCCGGCGGCAATTCCAGCGAGAAGAAGAGCAAGGACATGTCACAACACAGACAAAATTCAACTATGCGTGGGGTCTTGTCAAGAGTCCTCAGCGAGAACAACAAGTTCGTGGTGTGCATCTGCTCCAAGGTGAGGCGTCTCTCCGGCATGGCTGTTGGCTCGTTTGCTCACAACTCGACGCCTACTTTTTCTGCTTTGGAATGATGTAGAGATCTACAGAGCAGAGCCATCTAGACGACGCGAGTGTCTTTACTACTTGGCGCTCGGCCATTACAAGATGGGCAATTACGAAGATGCAAAGAAGTTTAATGGTCGGTTTCTCATTTATTTGTTCAATGTTGAGCGTGTTTGGACCTACACGTTGTGTGCAACCTCGGTTTGCAACTCGTGCTGATGGTTGTGTTCGGTTGACTTTAGAGCTATTGATGGAAAAAGAACCAGCAAATCTCCAAGCGCAAAGTTTGGCTGCCCTCATCGACAATGGGGTCGCCAAAGGTTAGTCCACCTTGGGATCAGCCTCTCAGTTTCGACTGACACTTTAACAGAGGGATACATTGGAATGGCAATAGCAGGAGGCGCTGCTGCCATTGGAACACTATTGATAGCAGGTCTCATACGTCGTGCGGCAAGGAGACCTGAATAATATTGAAACCGTCCCAGGTCTCATGCAGGGGAGGTGACTTCTCTACAAGTTCAGTTGCCTGATGAACGATTGGATAACGGCAATTGCAAACACGGCAAACAGACACACACATGTGAAATCATGACCTGCACGCGCTCCCGAAAACACTCCTCACTTATTACTCTGTCTCTTCTTTCTCTCACAACAGTATTTCCTGGTTTGGCTATGTCCCTCTTCGTAGAGTTGAACACTTGTTCATTCACGTATATTGGGTTACCGACATCTAAGTCAATAGATATCCATCAAATAGTGATACACGAGGTGTTGCTATATGCTATGTGGGCAAAAACGAATCTGAGAGTTGCGGAATCAGTCAACTGGGAAGAACCTATTGTCGTTACTCACTTCCTTGGGCATACATTTGGTCAGAGTTGAGCTGTTGACAGTCAGTCAGGACGTCTCGGTGCGTGATGAGAGCAAAGACATACGTCAAACTTTGTGTAACCAATCGCGCAGAAACCGACGAGGGTAGCCGTGGAGAGGAAGCACCAGATCCAGATCCACATCACGCGCGGTGTGCCTTCAAACAGGACGGCGTACTGTGTAATATCGCTCGTGTTTTGCTTTTTCTTGAAACGTTCATCGATGAGATCCCCTGCAAGGATACTATTGAGCGTTGCGCTGGAGCGCCTGAATGCGACCTACAGAATGGATACAAGACACTGTAGACCAAAGTTAGTATTGCAAAATTAAAGAGATAGGGGACGTACGTCAAGATGCCGAGGAGGAGACAATACCATCGAAGCGCATTGCCGTGGTCAATGAACCAAAATGCAATCAACAGGGCTTCATAAATGATTGTGAGGATGATTGTACTGTTGACAACATGAGAACCTGGCTCGGGTACCAAAAGTTGCTCACATTTTGTCGCGAACGAGGGAAAGTGGCATCAAGAGTCCAAAAGCGATGAAAAAGCTTAAAATCTTTGCCACTAGGATGTCCCAACCCCCGAGGATGAGAGCCCCACCGAATCCAAGAGACCCGAAATAACCTATCCAAGAAAAGTGAATAAACGGCCGAGTATGCCAAGGTTAACTTGCGGCCGGCACGTGCGAGCAAATGCGGGCGTCAAGGAACTAAGGCTGGGAAAGGTTGGGGACATACCTGCAGAGAGAATCGCAGGCGCCCAGCCGCCCTCAATCTCGCATGCGCCTCCGAGATTGGGATCGATGGAGATGGAGAGGATCGTTCCTCCTGTCAATATGGCCTGTAGAAGTTAGGTTGCGTCGGCTTTGCATCATGGGGGAGTGCCTTACAACTGCAATATGACAAAACTCATGCCACCCAATCACGAATAGCTATCACGGATGTCATGAAATGTCCTTTTGTAGATGTTGGATGAGCTCTACCTTTAGAGGATTGATTACGACGCGAACAACCTGGGTAGCGCGTTAGAAGAAGCGATTGGGGATTGTTGAGGCGCACAGGAAATGTCCAAAACGCAAAGGCGACGATCAAGAATACAACGGAACTGTAGATGACTTCGAGTCTCCTGTCTTCGGGTGTCGAAGTTTCTGTTTGGGACGCTGGGGCGACGACTCTGGGCATTATTGCATTCGTAGACGAGGGTCGTGGTCGTGAGTCAACTCGTTATAAATTTTCTGAAGCTTTGAAGAAGAAATGAGCGCCTTTGAGTGTGGGCGGCAGCACTCGTCGCGGTCAAAGGACGTGCCCCCACCGCATGCCACACGGCCATGAGCGTGCAGGCAGCACAGGCGGGGGCGCATTGACGTTGCATAACAAGACTGTTATTAACCTTGGAGCCCGTCACTTTTCATAGATTTCAGAGGCCGGCACGCGGTTATTACATCACGGGTGCAAGAGAACTATTACCCAAGTACGTGTGGTCAAATAAATGTCATGCCTCGCTAGCGTCCAAGCCAGGCTTAGAGTAGCTAGCCAGATTGTAAATTACATAAAAACATGAAACAAAGATCATCTCTTTATATTCTTGGCTGGTGTTGGCCCGGTCCAACTGTTTAGCTGGATCCAACTTGTAGCCGGCCTCTTTCGACTTGTCGTTTGTTCAGCGCAAAAGTCGCCTCTGGACGCGTCCTTTCTCTCTGTACAACCAATCCTTTTACCATCAATCGGCCATTGCTGCTCGCATTTCTCTCCTGTACGTTTTGGTTTTGTTCTTGTGCTCACCGCGCCTATTGCCCATCTCACACGCACTTACCGACCAGTGCAGCAAGCTGAACAACACCTGTTTACTCGTCAATTTTCAGAATAATCATCGTCCATAATCATTCCTTGTACCCGTCCAGCACCAGCCCTCGTTTCCAAGCGCGTCGAGGTTGCTAGCATATCGTCCTCGCTGCGCTCGCTTGGGCCCCGCTTCTCTTTGTCGATCAGCACTCTTCTTTGTCGTCGTTGCTTCGGAACAATTCGCGGTTCCTACCACCCTCACGACAATTGGTTGCTTCTGATCCCCCCGTCCCTTCGTTTGCCGCCCACTCTTTTCAAACCTTTCAACACGAATTATTGTCGACAGAGCTCAGTCGACTTTGTATCATTCGGTCCTGTCGCTCTACTCACCGAGCACGGACCTAGTCTCTCACCCTCTTCGACAAATTGATCCGCGAATCAGCCTCGAGGCATCTTGGCCAGACGTACGATAAAAAAATAGTGTCCATCGGCCAGTCTCACACTCCGGGTCAGTGAATGCTCCTTTATTACTTTCGAGACCTCGTGAACAACTATCAATCCCCACCAGAAGCAAGTGGCTAACATCTTTCATTTAGGTCCCTAGGTTCGACAGCTGTACCTCAATCTGTGCCTCTTTAACGACGTTTGTTGTGACAATTATCCAAGACGCGTCCTGGACCGCCTCCCCTTTCACTTGAACAGAATTTCAACCGGCAGGACATCGGTATCATGCACGCCAATGCGGGCCCCCGCCCGTCGTTTGCGTTCTCGACCAAGCGACGCAGCGAAGAGGCTCAGCGACACCACCATTCCACGGCCTCTACATCCTTGCCGAGCATAGGCCATCTGACGCGTCGAAGCGAATCCCACTTGTCTAGTACGCCGGCTGCTCTGGCAAGAGCCACTACGCAGCAGCCTGGACGAACTCTGGTACGTTCCGCCCATGGTCCGCCAAGCTCATATGCAGCACATCATGTTCTGGGCTCTCATTACGGAACCTCTTCTTCTTCCATCAAATCTCTCCCTCTACAATCAACGCCACTCTCTGCGGCTCCTTCCTCTACGGTCTCCACGCCACGACCCAGCCTATCTCAATCTGAGATCCTAGACGGTGGGTTTCAACATGGCTATAACCCATCAATATCGCGAAATAGCTCAATATCGCATCGTAATGGCTCCCTCAGCTCCTATCTTCTTCTACCACAGGCGAACCATCCGGAGCCGGCCCCGGTGTCCTGTCAAAACCAAACTCAAAAGCTCAACATGAAACGGCTCATGTCAAAGCCGACGGCAATTGCGCTTCCCGAGCGCGCCTCGTCTGCCATGGCGTTTGCATCGACGTCTGGCTATCGTGACGATGCCAATTCTATGGACGACTATCAGGATATCAAGTCCAACTCGCTTGATATCTTGAGGCGGTCGCGACGACGGAGCCGGAGTGTCGATATCATGATGAATTACAATAGGGCCATGGCAGGGACTTCAGCCGGTTAGTTACGCGTCACGGCATCCTTTTGCCACCTTGCCATTTGTGGTAACTGACTCCCGTACTACAGCGCCATCGGAGCGAGACCCGTCGTCCCCCTTACCTGCCCGACCTGGATCTCGATCCCGAAGCTCGGATAACCGTGCCGTGCATTCTTCTGCACCGCAATCTGAATCCTCATTGGTGTCGCCATCCAGTCCCGTGACGCCAGCCGCTATAATTGCGTTAGCGTGGATGGAATCCCAGAGACGTGCCGCAGTGGCAGCTGGTTCGATAGCGGGTGGCCAACCATCCTCTTCCTCATCAACAGCCGTGTCCATGAATGGCCGTATCACCTCAACTTCGTCCTCGTCTCCAACCGTCCGACCTATATCAACCCGCGCCGACGACCTCGCTCCTTCGGGCTCCAGCCACCCTCAAGAGCTTACAGCATCTGTAGCTATGTCTGATGACGACCAGCGAATTAGCTTTGCTGCAGGCTCAAGATCCAGCGCTGAGCCTGAAGACCCATTTGTCACATGGGCATTGGCGGAACAACAGTTGAAATCCGATAAAACTCAAGAAAACGTAAAAAGGGGTAGTGGAGCAGGTGCTACAGTGGGTGCGACGGTGAAGGAGCTTTCTAGGAGAGTGCTCGGACTTCGAGACAAGAGCCGAGAGAAGCACAAGGCTGCCTCTCATTCCCACTCTTACACGTTTACGTCGACACCCCCCTCTTCGTTTTCAATGGGTACGGCTCTTCCTCCCGCTTCCGCGGTCGGGAAGCTGGTTTCCAAGGCACCGCTGAGTGCAATATCTCGCGTCTCAACGCATGAACGTTCACGTTCATTTCCGCGTGCGACTAAAACCTCATCTTCACCTATTTCACCACAACTTGCCCACGGCCACGTTTCCCATTCGACTCTAGAGAGCGGAGCAGCACTTCGTACAGACGGGACGGTGGTCCTCAACGACGAAGAAACCGGATCACCAGCTCAAATGCTGCCTTGGTCACTCCCTTTGCCATCCAATGGCGACCAAGATGATCCAGTCATGCTCCAAGCTCATACACCGCTAGTCATTCCTCCTCATCTCTCTGCACGCAGCCCAAATTCCGATGCAATGAGCCCTTTGCCACCTACGCCTCGATCTCATACCCCCAATACCCTGAAGAAAAGGAGTAGAGGTAATTTGCGTCAAAAACCATCGCAGTCTGCCATCTCGACCCCCGTGCCAGTCGGAGGTGATCCTACGTCGCCATCAAACACTGTTGTTTCTCCGGCAGGCGGCCCTGACGAGGGGACCTCTGGGAGCAGCGGTGGGAAGTTGCGAGGGCTGGTCAGGAAGTTGAGTAATGGCGGTTTGAAAAGGTCTGCTCGCTCGCAATCATTGCATATAGCCAGCCCCGGTGGAGATATCAGCCCGGCAACGACGTCTGCTCATGGACATGGAGGCAGGGATTTCATACCACCCGTCCCACGGATTCCAAAGGAGTTTGAGCTGATTGTTGATACCGAGGCGTATTTGGCTGAAAGGGCAAAACAACTCGAACGAAACGATTCGGATGGCGACTCGACGGCACCCCACGGCACACTCACGCCTCAACACGCACCCTCTCGAAAATCGTCACGATGCCCCTCTCCAGTACCTCTTGTCCAGCAACGATCGAGGGACCCTACCCCATTGATCTCTACTGTGAGGATTCCTCGCAGGGCTGACACCGAACCAACCCAGAGCGTAACCTTACATCCAGAGTCGAAGTCTCTCACACTCGCCATGCCCGTTCCAGACTCGTCCCGCGGTACATACATGTTTCCGAAGCGCCCCAAGCCAATGCAAGAGCTTAGCAGCTCCCAGGGCTCGACAAGCCACTCTATGTCTGGCACCGATCATGGTCATGCAACCTTCGGGTACCGGTCGTCGTCACCCTCGCCTTCGAGTTCTGACATGCACTATGGGCGGCCACCGGCGACGAGCTTGGATGAGACCCGTTCGTCAACCTCGCACCACCATGATACGGTTCCTAGTCGTTCACATGGCATTGGTCAAGCTATAGTTTCGCCGAGGGAACTGTACCGACGAGGGGAAGACGAAGCTGCCAATATTCGCAGTCGTCAAGTCAAGGATGTGTCGACCACGCGTCAACACAAGGTTCCAAGAAAACCTGTGATTGCCATTCCATCCGATCAGGTTCGACATGCCGACCAAGCGGATGACGTTCCGCCTCCCACGCTTTCTCCAGAGGTGCGTGTCTAATATTTGACACTTGCGTCAAAAGTCTGTTTATTGACACGATGTTCGTCTAGTTGCTTCCTTCGCTGAGTGCACCGCCGCCCCGGCCCCCACGCCGGCGTGAGGTGAAAAGCAAGAGCTCGCTTCCCTCGACACCTGCTTCGGCACCAGCGCTCAGACCGACTCATGGACCTCGCCAACGTTCAATATCATCCCCCGTTTCCCCCGTCTTACCGACCTTTCTTACGAGCAAGGCTGTCAATGCGATCCCGCTCACGAAGCGAGTGCGAAGCGTTAGCAACGAAGCAGATGCGCCGTCGCCGTCGACATCGCTAGAGATGGCACTGCAAGATACACAGGCATCGGTCGTTCGCTCAAAGAGTCGCTCGAGCGTCAAGAGTCGCGCGAATACACTCCCTCCGCTTGTCCTCACACCCACGCTCAAGGCGGACTCGATCTTCTCGGGCATCAGTAAAGACGATGACGGAAAGGGCGTGCGTGGGCAATCGTCCATGGGTACTATTACACGCGCCAAGTCGCTGTTTGGTTCCAAGTCGACGTCGACTACGCCGAATACGAGTTCGAGCTACTTTGTGTCTCCTCAGAGCGCTGGAAGACGATCTTCTTCGACACGGACGTCGACGGACCATCACAATAGTCCAGCAGAGGGGGACCCTCCACCTGTCCCATTTACATCCACGGCCTTTACATTTAAAGAGCTCTCTGTCACGCCATCGCCACGAAGCAAGCTGATGAGTGAAGTGGAGCGTGAGGAGATGTGGAACGAGCTTCTTGTCAAGAGCGACCTCGCTGGTGGCACGCTGAATCTCGTCCTCGACAAAAAGGAGGGACTGTTGAGCGACAATGCCAGCTTCATATCCTCACAATGACGCACGAGTCGAATGATATTTATCCAATGCTTTATTGATTTCGTTTGTGTCTAGCCACCCCCCGCGTCGTTGCGCGTTGTATTTTCTACGTTGCTAATACAAACCGTCTTTCTTCGTCGTCTAAAAATGTCGCCGACTCTTTGAATCCGTAATGCAGACTGTTTGGGTTGTGCAAGACGAATGTACCAGAGCCGGCATCCTCTTCCGTCGCTCCGTTACCTGTCCTAGGCTGAGATTCCTGGTCGGACAGGTGCGCTGGAGTAGCCAGCGCAACGACGGGTCGAGTTACTTTTTACAAATTTAGTGGAAATTTCTATCAACATAGTCGAATTCCAAGGTGCAGTGCCAAACAAGGCCAAACAACAACCGACTCAAACTTGACAATCTCCACCGTTTACCATGGGTTCAACTCGGTCAGTACATCTCAAACACTGGATGGATCAATTCGCGCAATTCATGGCATTTGGAAATACTTGCCAATCTATGGTGGCATTACCCGATGGCTCAAGACCAACCATGCAATCGGCGCGCTTTCTATTTCATTTGACTCTCTCTTTATACGGGATTGCTGACGATTTGATTTATTCCTAAATTTCTCGACTGCCTTTACCTGCCGAACCATGAAAACAGCCTATACGCAAAGGGTCGTGTGCTCGGACACAAGCGTGGAAAGCGCAATTCGCGACCAAATACTTCTCTGATCCAGATTGAGGGCGTTGCGGACCAGAAGGAGGCCCAATTCTACCTTGGCAAGGTTTGACAAACTCTTACTCTCTCAAGAGCGACTTGCTCACTATATTCATTCTAGCGTGTAGCGTATGTTTATCGTGCAAAGCGTGAAATTGGTGGATCGAAACTCCGTGTGATCTGGGGGTGCGTTCATTTATTGACATGAAGCCTTTTGGTACTTATCTAAGACTAGTCGCGTTACACGGTCACATGGTAACTCTGGTGTCGTAAAATCGAAGTTTGCTTCGAACCTCCCCCCGCACGCCTTTGGTGCCAACGTTCGCATCGTGAGTGTGGCTCAATGGTATAAATTCACAATAGGCTGATGACTTTGGTACAGATGCTCTTCCCCTCGAACATATAATCATCCTTGCATCGTCTTATTGGGATCCCATGGCTGCGTAGCCCAAAAGTCTAGCTGGGGATGCGATTGTAGTCCTGATCTCATACGCCGCTATGCCCTTGTATGCTATGAGACTGATATGAAGAGCGTGCAAAAAGGCATCCCGCGAATGGTTTCAACAGTTTGAGCACCTTGACCCTCAGCAGGACATGCCAATCGCGGCTCAAGTGGCTAATATCTATGACAGAAGCAGACAATACAAGAAGCCCAAAGCGACGCTTCAAGAGCCGGAATCTATCACAAGGTGTGGCTCTTATCAATAACTATCTGCTTACAGGTGAAAACTAGGGTGCCGTCCAGGTATACGTGACAGCCACGTGGTTCCTCATATACGTGAAAGCGTTGATGATCAAAGCACGATGAATACCGTTTGTCAAGTCAAACGGTGTGCCGTCGTCCATGTCCGGCTGACCATCTTGAAATTGATTATGACCACCAAGCCGGAGAGATTTGGTCTGAAGATCCCACATCTGTTGACCATTACCTATGCGTTGGCATACCCAAAACTTTGCCAGCTTTCCTCGAGCTCCGATAAAGTAGCAGCAAGCGTGCTGGCTGAGCACCGAGCGTGCCCAATTCTTGCACTGGTTCACAATGACCGGAAAATCATCGCCAGTTCTCCTTTTCCCCTCGAATACAATCAAAACGTCGCTTGTCAAATGGGGGGCCTGCCCTCCAATCTGATAGACGATGAGGTCGGCTCTACCGTTCAATGAGTGAACTTCAGGGGCAGTCATATATCCTGGGTGTCCCGTAGGGCATTCTGCGTTGAATACGCTACGAAAATGTAAGCTCCAAGTCTGGCGAAGGAGTCGGACAAGCTTACCCGTTCCACATTGCATTGACGCTTGCCTCTTCATCCATAAATTCATTTACTGCGGAAAAACTGGCCATTATTGCTGCAGCCATGATTGGAGAGGTGGTATTTGGCCACTCCCCTCTCCAACTAGTGGGCCTTTATATCGTCTCGGTGCCACGTCCAGGCCGCTCTCTCAGTTTAGATCTTGCCGAGAGTCTACTGAAAATACGTTGTTTTGGTATCGGCGGTCTGGTGTAAATCGACATTTCAACAAGCGTTCTGTGGATCTGTCTCGGGCATTCAGAATTCCGCAGTACTGTTCGAGGTGGCACAGGGAGACCTTGCCACCGAAGCTTACCTATATTGTTTACATTGTTGCTGCGAGGATGGAGGGAAGGCACCCTGCCGCACAGAGACCTATGGAAACTTCATAGTCGGATCTCGAATCCTGCATACCTCCACAGTCCATGGTGGTGACTTGAGTATCCCGTGCATGCTTTGGTCGGTCGGTCTTCCACCGGATGTTCCATCTTTCCGCTGGCCACAGGAATTTCGAAAGGCCCGAATACACCTTTATTTAATAGAACCACGCATTCCCAGACCCTTCAGCTACTCTGATTGTCGTAAATGTCGAACCTAGAGTCTCCCGCCACACGCGTTCGGTACCGATGTTGTAAATTTCCAGTCAAATGGAAATTTGAGCACAGATACAGTCCCTCCTACTTATTGCTATTTCGTCTGATGCCGCACGGCTCATCACTAGCTAGAATTGAGATTGCAGTTGTGATCTTATACACCGCTATAATGTGAAGAACGTGCAAGAAATCATTTCGCAAGTAGTTCTCTCAGAAGTTGAGTCACTCGACGACCTTGACCCCTTCCACGATATCTCTATGCCCAAACAAAAGTCGTCAGCAACCTCTGCGACGCGTAAGAAGCATGCAAGAAAAGCTGCTGCGGGTCATAACGAGGAATCGAGCGGCAATCCTCCATCAAAGGGTAAAGGCGCTCAGAATTCGGGTGGCAAGGGGAAGGGGAAGAAGAAGAATGAACCACGAGTAAAAATGTATATTCCACCTGTTAAACCACAGGCTCTCCAGCGCGATCCGATCGATGTGTTGGGTTTAGCAAGCAGCTTGCCGCCAGACCTCTTGGTCAATGTCTTTAGAAAGTTGACCAAGAAGGACATTATTACTCGTCAGCGTGCCTTGGAAGAATTCAAAGTCAACTGGGTCGATAAATGCAAAGACGGCGGCGATGACGACGGTTCGTCGCTCGCAGTGTTGGAGATTGCTCAGCCGGCATGGGTAGGCCCAATCTCCAAACCTGAGATTATGTTTCAATGATTTCTCTCGATAGAATTATCACTTTCCCGCGTTGACGCTCAATCCCTCGAGGCGTATCCGGCTTCAGGCAGCAACTATTCAAGCCACCCTTTTGGACATACCAAGTCTACAGGAGAGTGCACTCGAATCTTCAGGACACTCTCCAGATCAAGAGTACTATGTCGGCGCATGGATGCTTAGCGGCTTTGACGCTGATCGGCAAGTTGCATCGACTGCTCGTCAAACCTGGACAAAGTTTGTCGAATATCAATCTAACCACGCAAAAGATGCATTCAACGCATTCGTGGAGGAGCATCTCGTGTCGTTCATTCAGACTGCAATCATGCATCCCGAGAGCGTCTACAATCACTTCTATCCCGTAGTTGCAAAGCAAGAGGTCACTTCGGAAAAAACTCGAGATTTGGCCTCTGCTAGTGCTATTGATGGAGAAGAGGAAAGTCAAAGCGATCGTAACGGAAGAATTCGCGTCTCGGCTTTAGGCGCGTTAAGCTGGTTACTCGGTTTGTAGTTTCCTATAATACATGGCTTAATTGACTTTATTCAGAGTCTGGTATCGGAAAATTTGACGGTCTAAATGCCCTACTTGCCGATGTCATGTTTTGGTCGATCCTATACCCCGGTACTCGACCACCCTTTTTCGAAGAGTCGATGGTCGATGTCGAGGCGTTGGGCGTAAACCAAACTGCTGTACGTCGTGCTGGCTGGAGTCTCGTCCAAACACTTGCAAAGACCCGAATGGGTGAGTGTACAAGGTCATCCTTCCGTCTCTAACAACTCCAAAATGGGTGTCTTCAGGAGCTTCTGTGATGTGTGCAGCTGTTCTGCGGTCCATATGGATCGAACCAGACGCTGGGGTTCGGATAGCAGCGCGGGATGGGTTACTACTTCTCTTATCTGGTGAGCTCCAGTTAAATCCTTGTGACGCATTTTTGTGACCATGAACAGTCATGCCTGACGCTTGGAATGCCGCTATCGAGGACGACAGTGAGAGTGAGGATGAGAGCGAGCCCGACGAACCCAATGTTGCCTATCAAGAGTTTCTCCAGTTCCTTAGGCTTGGCTGTGGTGGTACCTGTGTACAATTCTATCCAGCAATCCCCGTCATTATCTCTAAACTACCTCATCCGGTGCGCAATTCTATTTCAATTCCAGTCTTTCTTAATAATTGTATCAGCTATTCCCACTGTCTCAACTAGCAGCCGAAGAGCTCCTTGACGCGTTCTGGGCAGCACTCGACGGACGGGCATTGACGGTACTCGAGAAAGGCAACGCTCCCGTCAGCGCCTTCGTTTCAGCGGTCTGCGAAACTATCATCATCCTCATGAAGAGGTTTGATCGTGACAATCTCGTGGAACTGTCAGAGGTTTTTGCAAGAGAGCAAGTTGACCGGCTCTGGGACTCCTTTATCTCGAACAAGCTCCAACTCCGATCAGAAGATTTCGGTCACAGTGTCGGCAAGATGCTTTCTCGACTTCGAGGAATTAAACCAGGTGGACATCATCTCCTCGAGTCGTTCACACTCACTCATTCCATCTTAGACTTGTATTTGACTACATGGGAGGGAATCCAAAAATCAACGCTTACCATCTTCTCCAATGAAGAGCTTTCCGCCGCCAGCAAGGTCGATTTCCCCGGCCTATGGAAGTCGTTGGGCTCTGAACTCCCAGACGAGAAAGAGCTCGACAGTCTTTTGGGTAACTTACTATCTCAATCCCTCAGTTTCATTCTACGACCTCAAGGGCAAACCCCGCGCATTCATCTCGAGAATGTCCTATTCCTTCTTAAACGAGAATCTAAAGATGGGCCGATCAAACAGGTGCTTGCCCTCGAAACTATGTTCAATTTACTAATACTTATTTAGCGTTTACTGGAACTCTTATGCGATAACTTGGCGCCAATCTCGAAGAAATTGAGCCCATCAGAACTTAGCCAATTCATCTCAGCTGCACTTGAATATCTCAAAGGCGACGCTGAGCAACAATCTAGTCTATGGGCCAATTTCCTCGACATTGTTTTGCAGATGGATGACTTTGGCAGACAAACGGATGTTTTGCAAAGCGTTCTGTCAACTTCCCAAGGCGTTCAAGCTCCCTTTACGTTAGAGAGGGGACTCGGGCCTGTATTCAAGTATCGTATGGAAAACGTGGAGAACCCCGAGGATCCTATTCTGTTCGGGCTTGTGGATAAACATGGTTAGATTCCTATATAGTTGTCACTGAATGACAGACTTACCTTTCCCAGAGCTCTTCCTTACGACCAAAGATCTCCAAACTTGTGCCCAATCTGCTTGCACGTTGGTTACCGAGACCTCGAATGCCGTGCTTCGAGGCAAAGAACACGTGTCCGAGGAGCGAATCCTTCAAAGTCTACGCCTTTTCGAGTCAATATCCAAAGCATTACCGGATGTTGCCGCAGAGTTGCTGATGACGCTCGCTGCTCCGCTTTACGTGCTCGATTATATTCTGCCACTTGTCACCGAAGAGTCGTCAACGGTCGACTCGATCGTGGACGTCTGCGAGCGAATTCTAGATACCTTCAGAGTGGAGTCTACAAAGGTGGTGATACCGGAGTTCCAGAATTGGGTATTGAATACCGAAGTAGTCGTTGGGTATGTGCGCTCATGTAAATCATCCCAAGCTGACCCTGGTTAGAATTGAAGATCTGATGACGGCAGCAATGTATATTGCAAATCACGACGCGACCTGGATCGTCAACAATCTCCTGCCGTCTACTTCAACGCTTGACGCTATGTTCTTGGAGGACATAGCTTACAGCCCTCACCCCATCATAGCAGCGACAGATAACCTGGTCCCAGAAGAAGAATCTTCGCCGGGATCCTCAAAAGCGACTATTTCTACATATACTCGGGTCGCGTGGGGACTTGCTATCGCTGCAATCTCAGACAGACAGCTTGCTAAACACAATAGCTGGGTCCTCAAACACATGCTTCTCCTACAGCAATTGGCGGAAGATCGATTGCTAACGAGCGGAGCAGGTGGACCAGACACTTTTGGCAAAGACGTTTCAGATGACAGTATTCGTACTTTGATCAATACCGTGCAGAAAGTGACCGCCTATCTCTTCTCTGGCATCTCCTCTACCGACATATCGCATGCTGCAGTGGTGGAGACTCTCAAGACGGATAATCCTATAGCAGATCCGATTCTTGCAGTCATCGTTGAACTGTGTCGAATCGGAATGAGACAAGATGGCGTCATGGTGGCTAGGTTAGTTAGAGGTGTCCTTGCACAACTCCTCAGAGGCGCTTCCAAGGCCGACGCTGATACATGGATCACGTTCGCAAGAACGGCAAGGAGGACGGGTGTGTTGTGAATTTGGCTATTCATTCCTAGGCTAATTTTGTGTAGCGCCTTACACGGCAGAAGCCATCTTCAATGCCGTTGTATCCACGGGTGTCGAGACGCCGCTACTTAACCGCCTGCGTAATGAAGCCGCGAGCGACCTTATTGGTATTTCATCTTCGAAAGCCAACACTGAGGGTGCTCGGCAGCTGCGCCTCCTCCTGCTCCTCGCCCCACCGTTGGATTCAGACGCTGTATTTTTGCCGACGCAACGTGCGATCAACTTGGTACAGGCAATTGAAAAATGGATAACCAGCGACGAGAGTGATGACGATGATGAAGGGGTAGATCCTATTGTGGAGAGCCGTACACTTGCGCTTTTCCAGCAGCTTGCACCGATCCTGCAGAGCTTGTCTGGACGACACTGGGAGTTTGCCTTTGACGTGGTGGAGAGTACTCTAGAGGTAAGAGCTTATTCTCGCGCCTCTTGTACATTGTTGATTCTGTCTAGGACGCGAGTCTGAGTGACCTGGATATGTTCGTTCAAATATCCAGGGCGCTCGATTTAATCATTGTCATCCAAGGCCTCGTAGTGACGAATAAGCAGCTCAAGGCGACCTGGCTAGGTAGAAGAGTAGCCATTCTGAAGCTCGTACGCACTCTATTGGTTTCTACAGAGAGTCATCAGCTATCGAGCGCACTCTCACTTCTCTACCGCAATCGTGCAGTCGCTATACTGCAAGAATCTGCCGACGACGTCTTAGAGGCACATGACTTTGGCAAGATGATCTATCTCTTGCGTGCGCCACATTTGGAAACCCAAAGGGATGCGTATAGCTTGGTGCGCAGTGCCGCATTCAAGTACACGGAGGAGTTGATCATGGAAGTTGGGCTGAATACCTCAGCCACGGAGATGGAGATACAACTACCACAAGAGCTGATAGCGTTACTTCGATTAGATGATCTGGACGTCACGGGATATTTGCTGAGTTGGATGGCGGTATTTGATGCGTTTGAGAATACGGTACGTCCACAGGTATGATTAAACAAGTGACACTGACGCTTGCAGTCTCTCCGCGTTCGTGCCGGATACGTAGAGCACCTGCGCAACGAGGAGCTAATCACGAAATCTTTCATTCCATTGGTTTGCCGCTTACTCGATATTGGCGCCTCTGGACGAAAGCCCCGTAAGTTGGACCTATGGGAGGTGGATGTCTTCTACGTATCGCTTTATGAGCCGGAGAATCTCCACGTATTGGCGGCTCATGCGTACTATCGAGCACTGCAGGCCATACCATCACTCATACGCACCTGGTGGATGGACTGCAAAGATCGACAGCTCTCTACGGCCTTTGCGACATTCACCTCGACTTATTTTTCGCCGGTGCTCATTTCGGCTGAGCTCGATACCGTCCGTCAATCGGCTGCCGCCGCTTTGGACGAAAATCGTGCAGGAAAGAGTAAACGAGCGCAATTGGAAGATGAGAATGTCAGCATCAAAGTGGCCAGCGCAATCGGCGAGGTGGGCTTGGTGTATACGATTGATGAGCAAAAGATGGAAATGGCCGTCCGCTTGCCGGCGGAATATCCACTCAAAAGCGTCGAGGTGCGGGACGTCAAGCGAGTTGGGGTGGCAGAGAATAAATGGAGGGGTTGGTTGTTTGCTGTACAACAGATTGTGGGCGCGCAGGTAAGTCGCCTCGTCTCATCGTGTCAGAGGATTGATGATGTGATAGAATGGTCACATAGCAGATGCGCTCGAGGTCTTCAAGAAGAACGTTTCACTACATTTCGAAGGCCAGGTTGAATGTGCCATCTGCTATTCGTCCGTATATCCATCTGCCAAAGTGTGCCACCCTATTGATGTCTCACTGTGCAGGATAATAAGCGTCACAGACCTGCAGCTGCCCACGAAGCCGTGCAAGACGTGCAAGAATCGGTTTCATGCAAGTTGCTTGTACAAGGTGGGGCTTCCGTCCTCTTTGTGCTGAATGATGCTGATGGTGATAAAGTGGTTCAAATCAAGCAGTTCATCGTCGTGTCCGCTTTGCCGCTCGGACATTTTCTGAGTGTGTGCAGGTGGCCTGGCCCAGACCGTTGTGCTTCTTCTATCATTTCCAATACCGGATATTTAGCGCCCTTTGAGCCAAGACATGTATGCTGTGCTAAGCTGTCAGCTATGTAGCTGTGAAGGGTTTGAGCTGCCACTGCCTGCTTGTGAGGTCAGCGACGGTTGTTGAGTTTGGTGTTTATCTGTCCGTCATGGATCACCTATGGACTATCTGTACTTGCTACGCCTGTCTGCCGCGGGTTACCATGGTTGCCCTCTGCAAAGGCACCCGCCGTGTTTGCGATCGTCCTCCGATTTGTGGCTTCTAACCTTCTTATTCCCTCAGCACGAAGCGCGCGCCTCATCTCTCTTGAAATGAGCATCAAACTAATTTCCCACAGATTTAATTCGAGTTTGAGGCACAAAGGCTGCTAAGACTGGGGAATTGTGTTGGTGGATACCCGCGCGACATGCGCGTGCTGTTCCGACGCTCGAGCGCTGCCACAAATAACTTGGTCAGAGAGCCTCAGGGCTTATAAACCTCCGTCTTCAGCTGGATCAACCCCCTCATTCCAAATTTCCCCCGCCCACGGCCCACCTAGCTCAGCCTTCCTTCCAGCCCAGCGCTGTTTTTTTCCCCCGTCCACCACTTTCTAATAGCGTCAATCGTTCGCTTTCACTTCCAATAACTACAAGAGACCATGTTCTCCTTCTCCTTCTTGCCCCTCCTCGCACTTGCATCGGGCGCGCTTGCAGCCCCAGCTCCTCAGGGCCCTCCAGGATTCCCGATTGGTGGCACGCCCGGAGGTGGACGTGTGATTCCGGGGTTCGGCGCTGCGGCCTTTTCCCCTTTCATGAACGTTGTTGGCTGCCCAGTCTCGTCGGCCGTTCTCTCGCTCCCCACGAACCAAACAGCGCTTGCTGTACCCGATGGAACAAAGCCTGTTGCCATTGTATTGGGTATCGGCACACAGAATTACACTTGCACGGCCGCGGGCAACTATACGTGCGTCTTTCCCCCTTTTTGTCGAATGCTGGTGCTGATTGCAATCATATATAGGTCGGCAGGTGCAGTCGCAACATTGTTTGATGTGTCGTGCTTGTACAAGACGCCTCTCTTCCCGCGCATCCAAGACGACATCATGCGTCTACCAGCCAACAAACGCGACGCTCTCGTGAAGGCCATGAAGCCCACCCCTTTGCATACGGGCGATCATTACTTCATCACAAACCCCATTACCGGTACGGGAATCTCCCCAAAATTCGCCCAAGCGGCCAATGGTGGCGCCATCTTCACCACAGTGGCAAAGAAGGGCGGGGTCAAGAGCCCCTCTGGCGCACAACATATCGATTGGCTCCAGTTGACGAGCGTTCAAGGTGACTGGGCCTCGACAGTCTTCCGAGTGGATACTGTCCAAGGCCAATCGCCCGCGACCTGCGCAAAGGCTGGTGACACGGTCCAGGTGCCGTATGCTGCAAAGTACTGGTTCTATAAATAGATCATGGAGCGCAAGGCTCGTGATACGGTTCAGGTACCATATGCTGCAAAACGCCGGTTCTACAAGTAGGCGTCGAGTTCGCCTCCATTTCTTCCTTGGACAATAGGTTCTGCTTCTTCTCATTGACTTAAACTTTAATCCTATTGTCTCCTCTTCCACATATTCCGTGCGCAATGCGCCGGCTATCCGTCGTTGTTCGGCAGTACATAGTGTACAACTCGTATATATCCCTGTCGGCTGGCTGAGCTGACTTTTCTTCGTCTCTTCCATTGCTGAACTCTGAGCTTTCTTTATCATTCGAGTCTGCCGCCAGCGCCAGCGGGCACTGTTGCGTTGGTCGTAGTTCAAGGTTTAGGCCGTGGCAACCCAGGTCCGCTCTTGGTTACACTAACCGTTAGAGCCTTCAAGTAACCTTCTCGTTTACATCCAAACTCTCCTTGGATTGACAGGCCAGGTTCGAGGAATCGTGGTTCTGCGGGTCCTGAAGTTTATACGCTACTCCCCTGTATGATAAACCCAAGTTTTAATAAGGAGACGTGATTTCTTTCACAACTAAGGAATCGTGGTGTATACTCCCAAGCTTGAACCTGACCGGCTCGTTGGGTCAAACCTCTTCGGAAACAAGACGGGTCGCTTGAACGTGGAATCATGATAAGATTTATTTTGGTGCAGGTTGGTGGAATTACTACGACGTTCAGAAGGATTTGGAAAGCCGAGCAGCGGTCCTGGCCCGATCCTTCCGAGTTCCTCGTGCTTGGTTCGCTACAGATATAATAGAACTCAATTCTGTTCTGTGTTTAGAATCGTCAAGGCAAGACACGACTGTCGAAATGGTACGCACCGTTTGATGACGACGAAAAGGTGCGTATTATCGGCCGCAAGACTCTCAGTATACTAACAGGCCAATTATATTGCATTTGTGACGACCCAACTGAAGCTCAGAATACGCGGGGAAGTTCACCGTCTGATCGCACCACGGGACCAGAAGCATCAATCCAACTTTGTAGAGGTGAGTCCTCCAATTCAGATCACTTGTCACTCTTGACCATCTTTCCCAGTATCGCAACTACAAGGTTGTCTATAGACGCTATGCTGGCCTGTTCTTCTGTTTGTGCGTCGACTCGAACGATAACGAGCTTGCGTACCTCGAAGCTATTCATCTCTTCGTCGAGGTTCTTGGTATGTCTGATTCTCTAGCCCAAACTCGAGTGTTTGACGCGTTGGTAGACTCCTTCTTCGAAAACGTATGCGAGCTCGACCTCGTCTTCAACTTTTACAAGGTCCGCCTATGGGTTCAAAATACCATGCACATCGCTTATTCTACTTAGGTCTACGCTATACTCGACGAAGTCTTCCTTGCAGGCGAGATCGAAGAGACGAGCAAAGAAGTTGTACTAGCGAGGTTGGAGGAGCTTGAGAAGCTAGAATAGCTCGTATACACCTCGCCTGTGACTGTCTTATTTCCTCTGGTCATAAAACATTTAATCTCAAACTTGAACCTGACCACATCATCGGCCACTCGTATCATGCCCCTATTAGCATAGAAAATGAGACATAACATTCTGTGAGCCGTCATTCTCCACCACAAACTTCCCACCAATACCATAGGAAGAATGGTTTGCGATTTCTTCCATCCCAATATCGGAGGCGTGGAGAATCACATCTACATTCTATCCGTAAATTTATTAAGACGTGGACATAAAGTGTGTATACATCCTTCTCGAGCTCCCGTGCGCTAAAACGGCGTATAGGTCGTCGCTGTTACGCATTCGTATCCTGATTCACGCGTCGGAATCCGTTGGCTTGCTCCCGGTATCAAAGTTTACCATGTCCCTTTACGCGTCCTTGTTTCCAACGCAACATTGCCCAACTATCTCACCTTTCTCCCCTGGCTGCGGGACATTGTCCTCCGAGAACGCATTACAATCATTCACGGGCACGCTAGTCTGTCATCCTTTGCACAAGAGGCCATCTTGCATTCACATCTCTTTGGAAGCGGGTTTGAATCCATGTTCGGATGGTGGAGAAGAAATGGCGAGCAGGAAGAAAGCAGAGAAATACGAACTGTATTCACAGATCACTCACTGTTTGCACTCGATGACGCGACAGGAATCTTGACAAACAAGTTGCTGGCCGCTGCATTGAACAACGTAGACGCGGTGATCTGCGTTTCGCATACAGCGTGCGTCCTGCTCCTTTACATAACAAAGCTTACACGAGCAGTCGAGAGAACACTGTACTACGAGCTCAAATTGACCCACGGACGGCATATGTGATTCCGAGTGCAGTCATTGCGGAGCAATTCAAGCCTCCTCCGAAGCCCCTGTCGACTGATACAAGTGAGCATTCTTCCATTGAGATTTGATCTTCATTCATGCCCCTCAGTCACGATTGTTGTAATCTCTCGACTTGCCTACCGTAAAGGTGTCGACCTCCTTGTTGCATCTGCACCACGTATCTGCGCCTTATTCCCACAAGTTCAATTCCTCGTCGGTGGTTCCGGACCCAAACTCATCAACCTCTTGCAAATGCGCGAGGCCCACCGATTGCAAGACCGCATCACGCTCCTCGGTGCCGTGGATCACCACGACGTGCGTAACGTCTTGGTGCAGGGGCACATTTACTTGAACACGAGCTTGACGGAGTCCTTTGGGATCGGTTTGCTCGAGGCGGCTTGTACGGGTTGTTTCATCGTCAGTACAAGGGTTGGTGGTGTACCAGAGGTCTTGCCGAAAGATATGATAGAGTTTGCGATGCCAAACGAGGATGGTGAGTGGACTATATGTATGGCTTGCGAGGCTTGACCCCCGTGGGCAGATGTAGTCCGAGCATTGAGAAAGGCAATTGCAATCGTCACGGCTGGCAAGCATGATCCTTATCGTGCACACGAACGCGCCAAAAGCATGTATACGTGGGAGGATGTGACCAAGCGAACGGAGACAGTCTATGCGGACATTGTGAAGAAACGACCCACGGATCTCTGGACTAGGATGCATAGGTTTGGTTTATACCCAAGGTTTCGTTCATCCCTGATGAGCCCTAGAACCCTCCGTCTTGGACCGTTTGCTGGTCTGATTTACTTTATCATTCTCCTAGTGGAATGTCTCTTCTTCCTCTTTCTCGAATGGGTCTGCCCACGAGACCAGATTCACTACGTTGAAGAAGACTGGACAATGGAATCTTTTAAACAGGTATGACCATCTCGATTTCCAAATTAGATCTAAATATAGATAGGTATGCGAAGAGGAGTTAGCTCGCGATCGAAACCAGCGCGAAGATGCATCGTCAATGTCATGACCAACTCAATCTCAAGATCTTTCGTCCAACACCAATCTTCGTCTCATGTACAACGGCAAGATTGGCACCCTGCTCTTGAGCCATGCTTTCAAACTCGTCGACACTCCCGCCAACTCCAAAGTATAGTACTTTTGCTGCTACAAGCACGAGTGGCTTTGACCATGTCCATCTGACCTCATTCGTGTCTACGGCGGATGGAGTGGTTGGAGACCTGTTCCGATTGAGCAGTGAGCTCAAAAATCCCGGGGAACGAGCATTTTGGTTGGAGGGAAGTGAAGGAGATGCTGCACTCGCCATGCGTAAGACGGCAAGTAGGGATGGCACATTGGACATGCGATAAATCGTCTCCGAGGTGACGATCAGATCGTACGGTCTGTCCTCTGCGGCATCATTGACAGAGGACAATTCTCTGGGCGTAAAGCTATCCCATGAGCCAGCTGAAAAGCGAAGGCGGATGTTGTGTTTTGCGAGAGACGCACGAAAGGCATCAAGGAATGGCGGTGTTAGGTCGACATCGCCTGCTTGACGTGGATCAGAGGGTTTTGACGGTCGTGGATCCTCGTCCATCTCGTCTTCTTCTTTGATGGTGTCTATGGTATCCGACTCTGGGGTTGGAGACGGTGCGGGTTCGGGAAAGGACGACTTGTATTCCGAAGAGGCGTTTGATGAATCTATCTCGTTATTAGTGCTTGAATATTGGATACTGGGAGACGTACACCATGCAAGGAGGAGATTTGGAAGCGTTACGAGTTCAAGAACACTTTGATTGTAATCCTGCACATGCAATATTGTAGGCTTTGAGTCTGATGAGGGGGCATCTTCATTGAACAGGGATTGAAGAATATAGGCGGTCGGGACTGCAGTCCCACATCCAACCTCGAGCACAGAACGTCCACGAAACGGTAGCCTCTCCGAAGTGGAGACGAATTGTGACAAATATTGCACGACGTCGATACTGCATTCCCACGTCTTGAGACCGCCTTCATAAATATTCGGAACTACATCCGATGGTGCATCAATATACTGCAGTTCCTGGATACGATCGAGGCCCTCTTTTCTCCTCTTCTGCTCGAGCTTCTTTGCGCTTGCATCGGGTGGCACCCTTGTTCGTCGTGACTCTTGCACCGGATGTCCCTCTTCCCGTTCCTCCCTATGGGGCACAGCGAGTGAGAGTTTATCGATATTCATGTTATCTGGGTCATCAACGTGAACGTCCATGGCTGTCCCTGTTCCTGTGACCCTGCCCTGTGAGGCCGAGGAGCCTGCTTCTGTGTGTAACAAATCGTCGTCGTCGTCACTGGCATCGTCTGACGAGTCATCGGTATCGCTGAGGGTGTGTTCAGAAATGATTTGGTAACGTGCGTCGTACAGGTCTCGACGCGGGAGCACGATGGGCTCGCTACCGTCTTTGAGTGGTATGACGATTGGCGTATAGGATATAGCAGGTGAAAGTGTCTGAATCTATGGTGAAAAGTGTCAGTAAAGGCACGCAGAATGCAAGAAAGGGGGAGGAAAGGGTTTGAGATGGATCCCTGGCCGCACCAAATCTTCGAGCGCAATCTCTTCACAAGGTGTCTGATTCGATGGCTTTGTTGGTTGCTGTTCTGGGATGATGATTTCATCTTTGATGTCTTCCTCGTGCCCATCAGACAGGTCGTCGAGTTCTTGGTCCATTATCAGGTGGCCAAAGTTAAACTTGAACATAATGAATTAGGTTCTAGACGTTTCAGAACTTGACTACGACAGGATTGATGGGGGATATTCCTCGGTTTGTGGGTGCAGACGGGTTGACGGAAAAGGTGCCACCAGTTACCACGCTCGAGATCGCTACAGACCGTTTCTAGACTAGAAAAAGGATAGTTTGATGAAAGATAGAGGACGTCTGTGGCCGCCTAAAGTCGTTACAGGGGTACTACATGAGGGTCCAGACTCTGTTCAGACTCGGAAACATCCAGGTAGAACAGTTACTTAGAGTCCCTGAATGCTCACAATACGAGAGGAGGAGGCAGTCCGTTCGCGCGACGATGACGGAGGGGCAAGACGTGGGATTGATGGGTACAATATTCTACATAAAGGGTCGCGCGAAATGAAACCGCCCAGGCCATTGATCCCAATAAATTTGTGCATAGACGCCAATTCGACCCATTGTGAGAGATGGCCGGGGTCAGCCGCATGTATCAAAGTGCCGTGACCGCTCGTGTCGGGAGCAGTCAAACTGCTAGACGCCACAAGGAAGCAATGGAGAGGTCCGGGGGAACAGAAAGGCAGAACAAACAGCAAAGAGGGAACTGTCGCGGGTTTGAAAATGATTTGACGTTGAAAGGCACTTCTGGCCGTTGGGTTGGATCTGCAGGGGAGTGAGCCTTTTGTGAAAGAGAGGTGATTAGCGGGTGGGTGTGTGGAATAAGGCGTCCTCAAACGGCAATCTGCGACACATAGAAGACCTTCTTTCCACGGTCACCGAGGTCATTGATGGAACTGTCGGTCTGATACCGAGTCCAGCAAGCGTGGCGGAGGTGGGGGCGGGAGCAGTTTTCGTGCGCCTCCCCCCTCCCTTTGGTCCACTCGCCATCAGCGGGCCCCAGAAATCACCAATTCAAGTCCCCCCCGCTTCTGTACGTTTCTCTGATCCGAGTATACTCGAGCAGTTTTGCGAGCCAGCGACCTTGACATGGTATGGAGAGCGTGACGGGCCCGATTTTCAAGTCCGTCGGGTGTCGCATCGTTATTTCATTTGCTACTATTGATCGTCGTTGCCGTCGTCACGAATTGCTGAGACACATGTGAGAGGATTTGCATGCGGATCGAGCTATTTGTTACTGCAAATGAACCCACCGCACCGGTTCTTAAGAACAGAATAGATGATGATATCAAGAGGTCCAGTAAGAGGTGTGCTAGGACGGGTTTGGCATGTGCGAGCAGAGGCTTCGAGTGACGTGCCGAATGCGCCTTCGGCACGGGAAGCCATTGAACCGGGTTTTGATCAAGAGCGGTAACCTCCCGCGGTACAAAGGACGACGGCCATAGAACCGGATTGTTGTTTTGATGGGCGGGGCGGGCCTTGTTACGTTTGGAATCTGAATAGGGGGTCGCTCGCTCGTTTGTCCGTCGTAGCAGCGGGCGGGCCCCCAATAACATTGGAATTCCAACTGTCAGTGTGAAACTGACGTCGGTGGCGGTCAAAGTCATCAAATAGCACACAATCTATAAAGTGCCAGAGGGAGAACCAGGCGATTGGACGTCTCTTGTACAGATAATTGACCGAAATGTGCCACACTATTCGCCAGACGGGCTCGTTCCTGGCTCTCCCCGACGCAGTCGCGCTGGGTTAGGATTGGAGATTGTGGAGCGACAAGGGCGTGAATGATAAGATGATAGATGCTCAGAAATCATTCATCACACCGTCTGCATCATGGCAGGCGTGTCGGGACACGGACGAGGGGGAGCCAGCCGCAAGGTGGAGTCAAAGACGCCGAAATCCAGGGCAACGTGAGGCCCCGATTATCACTATCGCTTGTATTAAATTATTTGTAAAAAAAATTCAATCAGACGCCGCAAAAGGTGGACGGCGATGGCAGCTCGCGAGAGACTGATGGTGCTTTTGCTCGGCTGACCCACGCTCTCAGAAGAAGAACAGTGCACCGTTTAGGCTTGCTTGTCTCCAGTTTGTACGTATTACAAGTCCCCTTTGACCTCCTCCGCGACCACCATTTACCGTCATTTGTGCTTCTGCGTGCTCAATTCCAACGCAGAGCTCTCTATTCGCACTCTACAAACCAGCTCTCGCACCCCGCTTTCATCAGCAGCAGCAGCATACTTGTGCGTTTCGTGCGCTCAACGGTCCAGTCAGCGCAGACAAGTCATTTCTACATCGACGACACGCATAGATTTCTCGATTTATTTCGTGGTTTTTTGTCGTGATTGGGTGCGCGCTCGCCTCTCGTCTTTTGCATAACGCGGCTGCTAATGCTATGAAACGACAGCCCATTCTTCGTTTATAGGTTGTTCAACAACACACCGGATCCATTTCCCCTCAATTTGTTACTCAGCAAGTCGTCCAACGCGTGCCACTTGTTCTCCCTCGCGCCCCCCAGCCTCCAAAAGCCGATATAGATCTCTTGACTTCTCCACGCGCACGTCCTTTGTTCATTCTGCAAGCTGTCAGCTGTCTACCGCCCTCTACGAGCATAGCTCCCGACGCCACGGCTCACTGACAGCCTGATACTACGTATATCCAGATGTGTGTCTCTGTTCTTCTTGCGAGCCATCACTTCGGTCATTGATAATTGGTTTTTCAGATCTGATTCAGCTTCGCCTTCGTAGCTACTCGCTCTACTACGAACTCGCAATAGACTCCCTCCAGGTCGTTCTTTTACCCGAATTCAGTATCTGCTCCTCCTCGCCCCCTCCCTGTTTTCAATAGCCCGTCCTCCAAGAGGCATAAACGGCTGTTTCGCGCGCACGCCTCGGAGGCCGCTTCTTCATCCAACCATCAAAGGACGTCTTGTTTCCGCTCCCTCGCAGCCCTGTCGCATTATTATACGCGGCCCCTTTTTCCGATCGAGCGCATAGATTAATCACACCGCCCTTGTCAACGACGAGCAGCAGCAGCAGCAGCAGCACGAGCATCTCAATCTTCTCAGACTCTGTTGGACGGCCTGCCGGTGGTGTGTCCAATTACTGGCTCAGCTCGGGTGCACGATATAATGCATGCCGAGTCTGTCGTTGAAACGCAATCCGAGTTCGCGCCTTCATTTGACCAACACCATCACCACCATTGGACTGAACACCGGTCGGCTGGTGCTGCAATTACTACTCGTGCTTCGACTTCGCCCACGGCTACCGCTTCGCAACCTCGGCTACAAGTACAAGTACCCATGAGCGGCGGCAGCAGCGGCGCCGGAACACTGTCGCACTATCCGCCCGTCGTGCACTACAACCCTCATCTCCCATCCTCGTACCCGGATCGGCCGTTTGCATCTTCATCTCCAACAGACTCGTCGCCGAGTGGGAGTCCCTTTCACCCGGATCATCGCACACTAGCCCGCATCTCGACCACGACTCGTCCACTCTTCCTGGCGCAGCACTCGACGCCCCTTACTCCCACAAATCTCGAATCCCTCTCGCTCGCTTCCCCCGTCGTCACCGCACAACCACCACCAGCCCCCCACGCCTTCGTCGACAAGATCGTCGCCCATCCACCTCCACCTCCACCAATGGCTTACGTATCGCCCCACCACGCGCATTACTCGTTCCCGACCGTCTATAATCCTCACGAGGTCGGGGCACACCGACACCAGCTCCAGGGCAGCGGATACGCCTATTACCCACATCCGTACGATTACTCGACGGATAGCTATCGTATGAACCCAGGCCAAACTAGTGGCGTCGTCGACGAGTCGCAGCCGTCGTCGTCGTACGAGACACCGCCGCTCGTCCTTGGCCATTTTACACCGACGAGTCAGGTCCCTTCTGGAGGAGGCGGAGTCTGGTCACCAGTAGAATCGCCACACTATGGTCCAGGAGCCCCTGGACAGGTTGGCCATCATTCGCATCGACCTCCGATCCAAACGCAACTACTCCTCGCTAACGCTATGCCAATCACCACAGGTCAGTGCTACTCATGCGCGCTTTTTTTTTTTTTCATTTCGATCAAACCTGCTGACCTCTGCTTCTTTTTTCTACAGATATTGTTTCACCGACTCATGGCTCTATGGAAGGCTCGGTCGCCGCGTCGGCTTCTTTTGGTTCGTCGATCAAATGTGCACGCGTTACCCACGTCTTCTTATCATGTCCTATTTTAGTACCAGGAATGGTTAGACAGTATGGTAATCCCACAACTTCAGCAACCGCTCATGGTAGCGGCGGGTATGCAAGTCAGGGTTTGTATCTATTTTCTCCCCTGTCGAAACCACCTAGGCAGTACGCTCACGGCTTCTCCCACCCATTAGCGACCATCGCCTCTTCACAGCCTTTGAACCAAGGCGAGGGGATCACGATCCCTGTGCAGAATCAGAGTTCATCATTTACGCCTGTCGGGGTACCAGTATCAACCTCGACTATGGGGCCCATCATGGGAACACAGACAGAGCAACAAATCGTAAAGACGGAGCAACAAGCGACACACGAGGGAGAGGTTGAAGGTCAACAATATGCCCAAGTTGAGCAAAATCAAAGTGTGCAGCAACAAATGGACGGAAACGTCCCACGGTCCTCCCCCGATGGACCGGAGGTGCCACGGTGAGTGACCTCACAGCCCCGTACGGGTTGTCCTGTCCGTGGACCTGTTGCTGATCTCCACGCCTGTTTTTCGAATGGGTACTGCCAGATCCATTGACCCCGCCCGCGAGCTTGTTTCGACCGACAAAATTGACGAGCCGCCTCGAGATGAACGGCATTCGACCCAAGGCGAGACCACGTCTGCTGGACAAAAGACAGAGTTGAATGGAGATTCTGTACACAATGTCGGCGCACCGATGGGTTCATCCTCCCAGCACGCACCCCAGCCGACAGACAAAAGTATAGATGTGGAGACGCGATACACGGACGTGGCGGTAGCCCAGCCCACAGCACTAGTGTCGAGGGACGAGAATGAGCGCTTTGACAGGAATCAAGTCGATGCCTGCCGTGACGAGCGTGCGAACGTTGTGAGCCGAGGCGCGGACAATTCAACAGAAGACGCTTTCAATAGCCAAGACTCCACTCTTAAAGCTCAGACAGCCAACCAGAGCGGCAGCACCCACCACTCATCCACGACCGACCCGCACGACCCTTCTTCCCTCGGCCACGACACCAGGCATACTCTACCGGACGCTGGCGTCGCACCTACTGCCCACGTCAACTCTATACACACGACTGGTATCTCCACTCACGTCGACATCGACCACTCGTACTCTGTTCCACTTCAGACACCTGCAACGCCCCATCACGATATGCAGGCCATTTCCTCTGCGCCGTTTCATCATCCGTTTAATAATCATACATCTCACGTCTCTGGCTACTCGTACGAGCCAGCGCCGACGTTTATTCCGTCGACCTCCTTTAATCCTCACCTGCCGAATATGTCGCCTCGACCCGAATGGCGACGTGGTTCGCATCCAGAGTATGGCACTTCCCAATCCAATCGAGGAAGTCCGTTGCTGCCACGGGACGATATTCGCATCCAGCAGCAGCATCAGCAGCATCAGCAGCACCTCGCGCGTTCCGTGTCGCCTGCCCCTGCTCAAACTTTGGTGCACCGACACTCGCTCCCGACCTCTTCGCTCTCGCATAATCTCGGCTCAATGTCAACGAGAGTCAGTCCTCACTCGTCGCCGTCACTCCAAGGCGGCGCGGCATCGTCGGTATACTACAATACATCTGCACGACTCGTCCCAGCTGCCTTCAACGGCTCGCCACCAAATGGATCTGGTTCTTCTGGCTCGTCGACCCCTCCAATAGTTCCACAGGACTCGTCGTCTTCCATGGCCCTGTATCAGCCCGTGGTCCCTGGGCCGTCTGCTCCTGCGCACTTTCATGTCACCACCCCGAGCACATTTGACAGTTCGCTCGATCAACGGCCGCCCTATGAGCCAGCCTTTTCCGCTTTTCACGGCCCATCAAGCGCCCCCCAGCAGGCGTATGGCGTGCGTGCCGGAGATCCGGTTTACTATCCACCACCAGGCCAGTATCCCGGAGAGGTCAACTACCCGTCAACGACACCTGGTCCGCGCCATTTTGATCCACTTGCACGGCGCACTTCGACAAGCCCGGCACCACCCATGATCGCCGGCCTCAAGCGTACTCGCGAAGAGGAGTGGGCAGCGGATGCTGCTGAACGCGAGGCGCAGAGGCGACGCCTGTCATCATATTCCCAAACTGGACAAGCGATGCATTCTGTCCATTTTACATATCCATCCTCTCCATCGCTTGCCACGCCGGAAATGGGTGTGATTCGTGTCGAAAGTTCTCAGGGACATGGGCCTACGCTCAAGGAAATGGGCATCAGAGACGCTGTGAGCGAGTCCCTCCATGGCGGTTCTGCGTATATGAAGCGGCCAGATGGATTTTCGCGCGATGGCCCGGAGACGAGCTATTCGTTCATTTCGCTACCGGGCAATACGATCCGTAAGCGCCCGAGGCGGAAATTTGTACGTGACTTCTTTTTTTTTTTGGCAAACCAGACGTTGCGGAATGTTGGCTGACAAACTCTTGCAGGAGGAAATTACGCGCAATTATGTGTGCAACTGGCCGGATTGTACAAAGGCGTACGGCACGCTCAACCATTTGAATGCCCACGTTACCATGCAAAAACATGGTCCGAAGCGAACTCCTGCCGAGTTCAAAGAGCTTCGCAAGATTTGGCGCAAGCAGAAACGCGAACAGCATCAGCAGCATCAAGGTCCTTCTCACGCAGTCGCCACTGCCGTACACCGAGCTTCTTCAGAGCTTCCGGCAGACGACGACGGAGGCGATGATGACGACACTGGCTCTCTCTACGGCCCCTGAGTTTTTAGAAAAAAGGATTGTCTAGGTTTTCTCCAGCTCTCTCTCTCTCTCTCTCTCTCTCTCAACGTCTTCCCGCAACATCTCGCAATCATCTTGCTCTCACCCGTCTTCGCGAAATTCGTCTCGTATGGATGCCACGGATGCCTGTTAGCCAATCTGTGGTCCACCAGCTTTCTTCCATTCATGATCCTCCTACATTTGGCCCCGTTTCGCACGGCGCAGCTGCAATTGTATCAACACCTCCACTTACGGACTAGGCAAAGGAGGTCGCCATTTATGTGACCTCGTCGGGTTCTCTCATTCGACAAGGAGAAACAACCTCGTACCATACTCCTCGTATACCGTCTCTTATCTCCCCCTATACTCTCTCTTTCTCTCTCTCGGATCACTTGTACTTACAACCTAGTCTTGCGGGCTGTCTATTCTTACAATCGGTGTAGATATTGCTTCTCACTCGATAATCAAAATCTGATTAAAATCACGTGGGGTTGGAACGTCTATAAGAAGAGTGAACGATCTCTAAACGCACGCATGCCCAAGCGGTCCTGAACAAGGTTAGAAAGAGCCATATCGGCCAGCCCAGATAAAGGTCTCACCCAGTCCTTTTGAGTAATCCAGAATTCTGACGAGGTCTCCAGGCGCGCTAGAATGGACGCTCCCTTCCACACAATGACACGAGAGTCTAGCTCCTTTGGCGTTTGAACGACGGATATTTTCTCCAAGTCTGCGCCGTAAAAGGCAACGGCAATGGCGCGAAGGCTTGTAAACCATTAGTACTGTACATGTCGCAGGTATAAGCACTTACCGCGTCTGGAGCATGTACGCCAGACCTGGCACCAAGCTCCCGCCGCCCACGAGTAGTACGTTTTCTAAAAACTTGGAGACGATGGTGGCCGTCGCGTTCTCCGATGCCCCACGAGCAGAATTGAACACGGCCACGTCAAGAGGCAGCTTCGAGGTCTCAAAGGGTATGTCTATAGGAAGTTCGCCGGGGAAGGTCATGTCTTCTGGAAGGACAAGAGGTGGGCTCTCCGTTCTAAAGTTTGTCACAACTCGTTTCCTGGATGGGATATCGAGAGGTGCCGGTACATTCGCCTGGAGGCTGTCAGCGTATAATAACACGGGTCGGAGCCGGTATACTTTGCCCTCCTCGCCTGCATTGTCAACTTCCATCGCCGCACGTTGAGCGAGGGCCTCTGCGGTCTCGCGTGCAATGTCCTTGAGGATATGGTCTGTTGAGAGTTTCATGGCGAATGTCTGTCATTGTCAGTACACCGTAGTTTAAAGGGAGATAGCGACACACCATTTCCTCTATTGGCGCGTTTGACAGATCCTCCTGGACGTCGGGATTCCATAGCGGTCTCCAACGCTTGCGCTTTTCTGCGAACCAGATGACTCCAGTCTCGAAGAGCACCTACTAAAATCAGTCGACGATCTGGTAATAAACTATTTCACGTACGCTCGGCGCAACCATATACTCGTCGTACATTTTGTATTTATACTTTTCCGTGGGCATTTCTGGTCTCCGGACTATCAGGTCGTAAGGTCTGGCACCTGAGATATCCTGGAGCACTTAGCAATAATCAGACCGTAGAAGGTGAAACACACAATCATAAAGGTGCAATATTGATGCTTTAAGTCTTGCATCAGATTCCAGTCATAGAGTCGGCTGAGGTCCATTTCTTTGTAAGGGAAACAACTCTGCTGCATGAGCACGTAGAATGTCTCGGTGATATCGTCACCGCCTACGTTGAGCACAATCCTTTGGTGGCATTTAGTACAAGTCTCTGAAGAAAAAGGATCAGACCTTGTATCGGGTAAAATTAGGCCATCTTCAACGCAGCATACAGTCGATTTGACGGCTCCGACGTCAATTACGCACGCGTTGCTCATCTGCGCACCATATGTCGCGCTGACACCTTCCTGTGCAGACATAAAGTAACCATCGTAGACACAAGGCTGCTCTGTACCTGGTGGACGGCGACTTGCTTGAACCCCATGTCGACCATGAGGATTTGCACCAACTCCTTGATATATACGCGATCTGCCAAGTCTGGGACCACTAGAACTGCCCCCATGTTCTAAATACTTGGTGAATTTTATGCGAATCAGACTTGGAAATGACTTGCCTTGAAGTTTGCTCGTTTTATCTCGAGCTCTTGCTCCAAGGCATTGGTCCAAATATCCACAATGTCGTTCAGCACTGCCGGGAGCTCGGATCTGTCGTCACAGTTGAGTCGTATTCCTCTGAAAGGCCAATGGACCTCAAAGTCTTTGAGGATTTTGTCGGATAGTAGAAAGACCTAGGAGAGTGAGAGGATGTCCGTAATTGGCAGGACCATTTCCTACATCGTGTCCAAAGAATGTCGTCTTGTCCGGTGGAACACTCGTGATCCATGTAATACGCTGCGAGTCGTTATGATCGGGAATCTTTTCCGAGGTCTGCCCCCTATTGAAGTTGGCACCGCTCTCAGAGGCACCTTCACACGGTAAGAATCGTTGTGGGGAGCATGTATAACTGACCTGGCTGATAGCGTACTCCCAGTGTGCGCAAACGGTCCTTGAACGCAGTCTTGAAAGCCGCAAGACGTGCCGTACCCTCATCCACCTCTGACGGTTCAGGAGGCGGCTTTTCAACATCCTCTGTTGCATTTTCGACGTCCTCCATCGTATCACCCTCTTCGTCTGCTCGTAGAGGAATGGGCCGTCGGATACCACAGTGAAACTCGAGTTTCTTTGCATTTCGGGTTCGACGAGCAATCACGTTGGGAACGGTGCACGGCAGGATGTCGCTCGCGCGTCCGATCCGTAACCAGCGAGATCCTGGGTGAATCACGACAGTATTCCGACCGCGTTTTTCCTGTTTATGGGCTCAGTGATGCCAATAAATGTATAGTTGAGAGGACGAACATCTGCAGATGCTTCGACACTGTCTTCCAACGCGTCGTGCTTGCGCTTGTTTGATGCGGAATGAAACCAACTGTGTTGCTCTTCTCTATGCATGTACATGGACATTGTTGACGCTGCCGGGAGCCTGGTTTGACGGGTTAAACAGTATTAGAAAACGAGATAACTAGAAGGCGTACGGTGGAATGGCATAGAAGCCAGAGAATGAAAGTTGATTGCCTCCATTAGGAGGGTCTGCCGCCGCCATTGGGTATAACTAAGGAAGTCGTCGGGTACAAACCAAGTGGCAGCTTGACGCTGACCGTGACCAACACTTGCTTCCAATAACGCGCCAAAATGTCCGAACGTAAAGGTATTGTACATTGTATCTATAAAATACATCTTTACTGACCCGCCTTCCAGTTCTCAACAAGGTCTGCCATCAATTTCTTCCCGAGTTCCCCAAGGAAAGGCTGACAGGCTTCCTATAGTACTATCCGCCGGATTTCGATCCCTCTAAGATTCCTAGGGGAAAGAGACCGAAGAATAGTCAACAGGTTGTGCGTCTCATGGCTCCCTTTTCCATGTAAGCAACCGTTTATGTGCGAATGTGGAATCTGACGGTATTTAAAGGCGGTGTAATACATGCGGTGAATACATTTACAAAGGCAAGAAGTTTAATGCACGAAAGGAGACGGTGAACGGGGAGGATTACTTTGGCATCCGCATTTTTCGGTGAGTAAGACCATCTTCTCAATCGAGAATACGTACTGACTACTTTCCAGCTTTTATATTAAATGGTATGGGTGACGGTTGGTGCATGACCATGGGCTGACTGTTTCCAAGCACACTATGTTCGGCAGAGATTACCTTCAAGACAGATCCAAAGAACACTGACTATGCTGCGGAACATGGTGCTTCACGAAACTTCGAACCGTGGAGAGAAGAGCGCATTGCCGATGAGGAAGACCGGTTAGCCAAGCTTGAAGAGGAAGAGAACAACCCCATGCGCGCACTCGAAAACAGGACAGTAGACTCGAAGCGCGAAATGGACATTCTTGATGCCCTCCAAGACATTCGAGCTCGGAACGCGCGAAATGAAAAGGTTGACGACGAAGCCATTCAGGAAATGCTCGCACGGCGCATGAACGAGGAAGTACTGGAGGAAGATGAGGCAGAGGTAGAGCGACGGCGGTGGGAAGAAGAGGACCAGAAGGAGGCCGAACGAGTCTTCTCCAAGCTCGAGACGGACGCAGGAGGCAAAGTGACGCTGAAGCGCAAAGCAGATGGAGAAGCACCAGACGTCAAGAGTTTGCTTTCCGAGACCAGTCGACAAATGGTGGAAGCCAAGGACGTTCTCGCGCCCCCAGCAAAGAAGCCCAAGACGGCGCTCGCCAATTCCCTGGGCATCAAGACTGCACGACGGAAGCCAGCACCAGCCAAAGTCACTTGAGGGCTAATTTTGATCGTGTGGAATGTACAATTTTTTGTGTTGCCTCCTGAGCTAGAGACCACTATTAGAGAATCCATGTGGCTTTTCCGCGTCGCTGGTCGGAGCGCGGCCTCGCGGTGTGGTCGGCCACACGAGGTGAGGGCACGCGTTGGCCAACCTTTTTGACCCTCCCTCTCCTCCCTTTTTACGCTCAGTGCCTTCGGGAAGGCCAAAAATCCCTCTTTACGAACTTTTTTACGACATTTTCTTGACGACCAGCCAGTCTGAGCGACCCTCTTCTTCTCAGCATGTCCTTCAACGACTATAACCATGACGCAGAGCGTGGCAGGAAACAGCAACCAACCACCATTCACTCCCAGAGATTTCTTCTGTTTCGCGATGTCGCGTTTGGTACGTCGCCTGTTCTCTCCTGTCCAAGATCGCTCACGGCCATTTCTGGCACGTCGAACAGTCACCATCATTCTCTTCCACATTGCTAGCACAATCATTTCCACTTCATCCCTGGTCACTCACATGTCCCCACGGGCCACATATGGGTATCTTGGGGTCGCCATTTTGACTGGGACAGTGAGCCCTATTCTCGCTATTATTGGGTATGTCATGAAACCTTTGGTTTATGAATGTATTAACCTGGTACAGATGGCGGGACCACTTGCCAATTTCAAGGTGGACCAGCAAACTGTCCTTTGAACTCGGATGGGTCATGATTATCATGCTCATTGACTTTAGTACGCAGGAAAAGCCAGCATTCATTTCCTAATCTTACACCCTTCTAGTCATTGCCGTCGGCCATTCGTCTGTCCGAGGTGCCAACAAGTCTCTGGTCGCAATCCTGTACCTCGAGACAATCTCAGGTCAGTCTAGCTTATAGATAATGAATAAGTACTGATATGAGAGAGTAGTCATTATCTACGCTCTCGGTCTCGGTGGCATGATCCTGCTCCAGCACCGTAGATTCCCTCAAGTCGCAATCTGGAACGTCTCTGTACAGTCTGTCCAATGGCTGGAATCTGCTCAGCCAGCAGAGCGTGGTAACCCAACCACCCCTCCGGCTACATCGGGTGGAGGCAAGATTGCCCCATGGCAAATCTACGACGATATGCAAGAGGTCAAGCTAGACGAAAAGCGCACATTCGCTAGCCCGACCTCCATGGACAACAAGTATATCGGTGCACACCCCTTTTGGCAGACGCAGTCCGATCGTAACGCCTGCATCGAGGACGACATGGCATATATTGTCCAGCGTTATGGCCTGGATGCCAATACGGCCCAGATAAAGTCAAATCCAAGCAAGACCTCAATGCACGTCAAGAAGCCGTCCGTTCGCAACCTGGAGATTAGTCGACCATTGCCGGCAATGACAAACCTTCGCCGGGCACAGACTCTTGCCACCAGAGTGCCCGACCAGACAGGTCGTTACACCCACGGACGCGCATCCTCTGTTGGAACCTACGACCGTTTGTATCGTGGCGAACCCAAGGCACCACTACATCTGCACATCCCCAGCCCGACCCTGGATGTGCCCGTAGATGTCGAGTCGGTCGCATACCCAGACATCTCTGCGAGAAATTCCCGTCGCACTATTGGGAATCCCTCGATGGGACTTGCCTCTCGCACCCTCGTTGGCACCAGCCGTCCCAAGGCAAAAGCGACTCGCGCATACGTCGACACGTCGAAACCTCTCCCATCGCCCCCTCCGCTTCAAAGCGACGACTCACTTCTCTCGTCCGACCCTTCTGGCCAGCATAGTTTCGTCATGGCCATGGCACATCGCGTCAAGGCAGTTCCAGCCCTGATGGTCACCACACCACGAGCAAGTGAGATGCCCATTGATCACGATGATGAGCATGACGGATTCTCTGACTTGGATTGATTCCTTTACGTTCCTCCATACCCGCCATATACCCCCTTCATTCACGACTCGAGAGCAATGCCTCTTGATTTACGAACGGCTAGGCCGACATCTACTTCGATTCACGATCCGAAACCTAAACTCTTGTATCCTCCTCCCTTTGGTTGCCTCGTGCCCTTTCCTGTCCCATTTCGTTGAACTTTTACCTTCCAGTCGATCATTCAAACCTCACTGTAGAATACGTAGATACCAGGTGTACAATGCCAGTCGTTTCCGAAACAAAGTTGCTTACACCCATCATCAAACTTGACCTCTCCCATATCCGAAGCAGTCCAAGATGCGATGAGTAGTGACCACTGAGCCACGTTCAAATTAGGGTAAATAATCATGGCTTGTCCTCCACAAGTGAACGGGACCCGTCCTTCATTTCCATCCTTATACAACCCTCGTCTTGAGCGGTACCGCGACTGCGAACAAGTCCACGCTTCCGTCCGGTATTTGGAGAGCGCAGGAGACATATTTCGCTTCACTCTGTACTGGACATTGATCCTGTACTTGCCCATCTTCGTCCTCCCTGCTTTGTGGGGTCTCATCGCGCATTTTATCCCTCATCGTTTCTCCCGACGACATCAACGATCACGCGCTGTTGTCAGAGCTACACTTTCCACGACTGAGAATGCCCATTGGAGCGAGGAGCAGTACGCGTTGACGGACGTCTCCTCACCACTGTCCTCGCGTCCATTCTTATTAGACGCCCCCCTCGATAAAACGATCAGAGGTCGAAAAGGCATTCACAAAGCCGGAGGAGGAGGAGCTAGAACGTGAAGATGCGCCCACAGTGGGGCGTTCATGGAGAGACGCAGCAGGGTTCCGTTCGTTACGCAAGAAACAAAATACATCGTTCGTCACGAGCCCACCGAATATATCAACCTCGCGAAGACCAACATATCATCGCTCGAACACTAGACCGCCACGGTCCTCGCTGCGCAATCGCTCGGCGGGGGTCAATTGTCTTATACTCGCCATCCCACTCATCTTTATCCTCGCTGGTGCATTGACGGGTGTGGTTGGAAGCCTTGTCATCGGGTATTTGCTGGCAGCCTTGCACTCGACTGCAGGCGTCAGGATCTCGACGTGGCTGCCTCTTGGGTGGGCAGTCATCCAAGTTCATGCTATCTTATTAGGGTAAGTATGTTGAAACCGTCGGCTGTTCCCGTCGTTGACTCCTGCTTAGTTGCTTTACGAACGTTATTTCTTATATTTAACCTTCACGAATCATAGCGGAATTTACTCTTTCAAATTGTCAGTTGGAAAAGGGATGCTATTGCAACCATACAACACAGTCATGTGGAGTACAGAGTACGAGGCAATACATCCAGAATCACGACAGGAGGAGAGGTGGGAGGCAGAGTGATTGGATTGTGACAAGCGTGAGTTTGAACAATGACCGGTTGGAGGAACGAGGTATGCACTGAGTCGGATATCGCTTGACTTGTGAGGAAAGTAAATTGGACGTGAGATGGAGATGATGGGATGCTCATGGGCGTCGGGGTTCCAGCCAGCTCTGAGCCGCCTCGAATGCATCTGCCAATTCCGAGTTGATCTGTCCATCCGCGTGCAATTGCCTTACCGCACAAAGAGCCTGGAAAAATGGGTTAGATCACGGAACCATTTTTAGAGAAAAAACAACGTACGGCGTCCCAGAATCGGAAGCCGCGTTCCACCTCTGCTCTTGGATTGCGAACGCCATCAAAGGTGTCATCCACGCACTCCATAGCACTCTCCTTGGCTTCAAAGACGCCTGGATCATCCCGAGACACGATCCGCTCCTCGTACAGTGCGTGAAGCGCGTCTAGGTAGACCTTTGCCAGAATACCAAATCCAGTGTTGGTGTCATTTTGGAACGGCAACGCCATGGCGATATCCAACAGGTCTTCTCTTGCACGATTCGCATCACCACGAAGGAGCAAGTTGAGGGCCGTAACTTCAACTAGAATCCTTAGAGAGCGGGAGAGGGCACGTAGGAACGAGTTGAACGCCAATAGCTCTCGCGACAAGGGCGCTGCCCAGGGTTGAGGCTATCAAGAGTCAGAAGTCAGTTCAAATTGTGCAAATTACAAGTACCTTGGTGTTTAGAGGTACGAGGCTGATGACTCTCATGACGAGAAGCATGCACTTCTTCTCTTCTTCGTCGCCAAAGCTTGGTCCACCGCTATAGGCACGACCGCCCCACAGGTTCCAATGCAAAACGCCTGCGCGGATTAATTCAAGGAAGAGGAAGAGCGGATCTTGGAATTTGTCGTTGGTTCGCGATTGTTTGAGCGCCGCATACATTGCTCGTGCAAGAGGGGCGTGAGTGTGGTTTGGTGCAAGGAATCTAGCCCTTGTCAGTTTTGGGGATCACAGTGTGTCCTTTATTCGCACCCTCTGAGATCTAAGAATCTCCAGATAACATTGGCGACCACTTCATCCTTTCGTTCCAGATACTTGCTCTTGTTACGAGTACGAGCAGCTCGTTGGTCGTTCGAGGTGGCTCCGAGGCATAAAGAAAAGTCGATGGTCGATGACTAGCGATGGAGATGAATAGGCTTCTAGATGTTATGAGATGAACAGACCATTTGCACTCGCAACTCGTCTTCAATGACGCCAGTCGGAACCAGCCAGCTTGTGATCCTTTCTACCGCCTGCGTCGTTTCGCGAGAAATAAAGGGGATACCCTTGAGTTGGTTTTGATTACCCATTGCAGGAGTGCCAGGAACTTGAGACGCTTGATCGAACCAGAAGACGCCAATGACTCTCCTGCTTGTCCAGAATGTATGGACGACGCTCGAGATAAGGGCGAGAGTCATGGCTCGCGGGCCAGTGGCTCCTTCAGTAATAACCTCTTTGATGAATCGCCGGTAATCAGATGTCTCGCCGTTGCAAAGCGGTGGACGCTCGACAATGGTGCCTTGCAATCTCGTCAGTCAACCATGGTTGGGCTCTAGAGGTTCCACGGACCACTCGTCAGCCATATCAGAGCATGTGGACTGAGAAGACCCCTGCTGAGATAGAAGTAGATTTCGTCTGGTAGTCGATGGGTGAACACTTCATGCAGATCGAGAGGGATGTCGGCAGCTGTCATACTAAACGAGTTTCCTATGTCCCTTATTAATGAAGCACGTGGTAAAGATCAGAGGGCATACCCGCTCCAGGTGCAGGCGCCGGTACAGCGAGTGGAAGTGGTTGCACGCTGCCGTCGCTGGAGAGAATGAGACTATACTTGTACATTGCCCTTGTCCGCATGAACTGGTCTGCATATTGACTGGTGGTTGTCGGTGGCGAACCAGGAGCTTTGATTCGCGGGTCTTCGTTGAATGCCATCACACAGGCATGGCCAGTCTTGTAGTGACGGACGAGCTCGACAATCTTTGGGAATGTGATGGTCTCTGGTGTGACTAATGGTGGGAATACAGGCATATGCTCTGCGCCAGCAAGGATCATGCAGTCCATGAAAAGATCGTCCGAGATGGTCGAGTTTGCATGATTATTGGGGTGAGGAAGGGGAGGGAGAGAAGCCGCAAGATCCGAGATTATACTTTTCTTTGAAATGTATGTAAACGAAGGAGGCGTCGCAGAGAAGGAGATGGAAGTAATGATCCTGTCGACGGATGGGAACAGGAGAATGTCGGTGGAGGAATAGATTGCATTGATATAGGCCTTTTGGTGTCTGAGAAGATAGACGAGCTAGGTCGAGTAGAGAGAGAGTGAGCTTGCAACGTTGCGAAGGGCAATGATGGAAACGCACCTGGGCAGTAGCAGTATAAGGCGCGACAAGAAACTCGACGTTTCGATTCCTGAACATGCGCAGGACACTCCTCCATAGTTCCCAATGCGTCACGCCGCTGTGACCTTCGAAAAGCTTTTCGGCTTGTTCATTTAGACCGCGTTCGTAGAGCTCCCAAGCTTCACGCCGTTCTCTCATTTCGTCTGCATACTCGGAGACACTGGGGATACCGAGTCCGAGATTGTTGACGGGCATACCATTGATGCCACCGTTTGGCGAGTTGGGACCCATGCCTGGTCCATGCGAACGGTTGACTTTTTTTGGGAGGAGACCTGGGAATACAAATACTGGTTTGATTTTGAGCTTTTCGAGCACGCGAAGGTCGTTCTCGACGCGGGCAGCGAGGGCCAGAGGGACGCCTCCAGTGGCCGCGAGAAGGGGCTCCTTTGAGCTGGCTGATGGCTTTCCATCCTTTGAAGGAGGAGGATCAAGGACCTGCGAGAGATAAAAGGCAGCGTCGATGCCGAGGCGTGTGTCGGACAGCGTGCTCAACGGCAGTGTCTGGACCAGGCTCTTGTGCTGCTGCAGGTACGCTGTTACAACGTGCAATAAGCATTATTTTACCAGTCTCTGCCTTGTTCAGCGCTCACCGTCGAGAGACTTGATGGTCATCGTAGATTCCAAAGAATTTGAGCCACTCTCCCAGCCTCACTTGCTCCCTACCCTCAGCTCTCGCCGCTCGAAGAGTGCACATTTGGGCACAGTTTTCGTCAGTTTCAAGCATATTTGGACCCTCTTTGGATCCCTTGCAGCGCCAAGGCTTTCCGGGCTTTGGCGAACGAGACGCACGGTACACATACAAAAGCCCCGTTTTCGCGCCCAATTTCATTTGAGCAGGTTTAGAGTCCACCATGACAGACCAAGGACGACAAGAGGTCTGGCCCCGTCTCTATTGCCGGCTCCGCAGACTGAACACGCCCATAAGTTACACGAAACATTTTCCAGATATGGCGCAGGCCACATCACCTTTCATGACCACGATGACAATACAGCAGACGATGCTAGCTCAAACAATGGTGTCCGCTCACTCATCAAGCCATTCGTGATCAAGCAATGGCTGCACAGAGGTAAACTGTGCGTCCCCTTGCATACGCAGTCTGTCTCGCGCTCTAATTGCTCATTAGATATCGCGAGAAGAAAGAACGAGTCCCTTCCCGATTCGAGCTCTTCTTTGACTTGGTCTTTGTCGCCATTGCCCACAACCTTAGGCGCGTCTTGGATCCTCTGACTAACTGTTACTAACTTCTCCTTAGTGATGTTGCGGCTGAACATGCTGGAGGACCCGGACTTGCCCAATTCATTCTGGTAAGGTTATCCCCTTGTGTATGCAAGGGTCTGACTACTACCTCAAAGACCTTCTTCCCGACATGGGGCTTGTGGTCGGAGTAAGTTTCGCGCTTTGGCTCTACACGTCTAATCGGTTTCCAGATTCCGTTCCTTTGTAAACGCATCGGGGACGGACGATATCCTCCAAAGAGCTGGAATTCTTTACATGATGGCACTGCTCATCGGTACGTTCTTTTCCATTCATATTCAATCTCTCTGACGCCCAGCAGGGTATACTGCCAATGCGTCTGCCATCTCCATTGCATATCCCGTCGAAAGTGCAGGAGAGGCTGCAACAACAGAAGGAGTTACAGAGGCCGTTTCGCATGTCTTAGCCGCGGTACTCGGTGAAAGCGGGACCACGATGAAGTCGGGACGCGACATGGCAATTGTGGCGGCGACAGTCTTCTACCTCTTGGGTCGGGCGCTCCGAATTGCGTTCCTCCTGTGAGCATTCATCCCCTCTGTTAAATTGGAGTCTCACTCGTTTTTAGCATGTATGCAGTGACACTACCTCGCTTCCGCACAGCACTGCTCTTTGCCTCTTTGCATCAGATCATCGGATGGTTGATCTACTTTCCCCTCCTCTTCGTCCGCTCCAAGACCGCTGTCATCGTCCTTGCATCCCTGGGAATGGCATGGGATATTCTGGCCAGGTGACCCAATCATCCATCCACATCCACATTTTGACATATTACAGGTACTTAATTGGACTTAATAAAGTGCTTGGAAAGCAAAGGAAACTAGCAGACGCGGAGAAAGGCGCAGCAATGTATCAACAAAATGCCGACCCTTCTACACTCACCCAAGAGGACACTGGGCCAAACGTCGTAGTGAGTAACTCTGAATGGCATTCATCAACTTACTCACGAAGTTCAGGTTCAAACCTGTCACAACGCATTTGACAAGGAACGCGGAGACTCGATGAAGGGTTCCGTCCCAGGTACTGGTCTCTCACTTCGCCTGGTACGCCAGCTGACTCTCTCCATTTAGCTCTCAATATCGAACATTTCCTTGAGAGAACGGCAGCTTTCGTTGTCATTGTCCTCGGTGAAATGGTACTAAGTGTGGTCTATCATGCCAATGCGTCGCAGATTGGCTTCAACAAGTACGTGTGATAAAATCGCCAAAAATTTTTGTTCTAAGCGTGACTAGGGTCTATGGCAACGCAATATGCGGATTGATAATCGCTTTTAATTACTGTTGGCTCTGTAAGTGATCCCTTCTTAATACAGATCAAGGGACCAACTAATCCGTGGCCTAGATTTCGACGCAGAATGCAGGTTGGTGTAACAAGTGGCCGTTTGGCAATGCTCTGACACTCTTCAGTCGCCGCTTCCTCCATGCCATCCGCCGCCATTGTAAGCACTCCTGATGTTTGTATTGCATAGTATTGACTCTCTGAAAGGGTTCAGCGGACTTACGTTTACAACTCTTCACTTCCCCCTTTGCGCCTCTCTCATTCTGGTAAGCATCCGAGTACCCATTAGACCTTTCTAACCCTGTCAAGGTATCTGCGGCTCTCTCTCGTATGACCCTAAATCAGGATGAAATCAGCGACGCACTCCGTTGGTACTTCTGTGGGGGACTTGGAACGGCAATGATTTGTTTGGGTGCATTGGGAATGACGCACCGTGGCCTCGATCCTAATGGTACAACTCGTTTGGGACGCGTAAGTTCCTTGTCTCAATGCACGGAGCTTAGACTAACATAATGTCCTGTAGCGTGTCCAGCTTGGTATGCGCACGGCCGTCGGAATCATCATGATCTGTCTACCCTTGGCTGATCACCACACTCTTACGCCGCTGAAGCTCGCCGGTATTTGCGCCGCGCTGTCCAGCTTCTTGGTCATAGAAGAGACGTACGGCAAGCTCTGCCGTGGCGAGCCCATTTCAAAGCCTAGCGCATCCGAGGAGGCAGCTCAGAAGAATCAAAACGAAGAGTTTATGGAGGATGAAAAGCTGGATGAAGCAAAAACAAAGACAGACTAGATATTGTTCCTCGTCCATCTCGTATCTCGGCTCGCTGGAGCCGTGTACGTCGAATCACATAATTTCATTGGATTTTCGAAATAGTGTATGAGCACGTGTGACCCTGTTCTCGATGGATTCTATTCGCTAGAACTGGGTTCCTTGCTGGGCGGAACTGGTCACGCAACGCGGGGCGGACGGAGAGTGGCGACCGCCTCGTAAAGCTTATAAAGCAGCGAATCTCGAGGAATAGCGAGCTTTGTAGATATTTCTTGAACTTGCTACCCGATTCCCAGTGGATTGGAAAGCAATTCCGAAAAGGGACACGGAAGGCTCACGACCTAGCAGACGTCCCGCGGGGTATATAACCAACTAGCCCAAAGGTGCAAATCGTCAGTAGCATCTTCTACCCTTACCATCCTGGCTCAATCGTCCTCAGCCTCTGGACGACGGGGTAATCGATTATATCACACTCTCGCAGCGAGCGTAACAGTCGTCATCGTGGCACTCTTACTCTCTAAGACCCGCATCTTATCCTCTGCACCAGCTCGAGTCTCCAAGCTCTTCGCTGCACCCACCCAAACTCCGTTTTCAAGGGTTCTCGCCCAACCGACGACTTCAGTAACAAAGTCCATCCTCGAGCGATCCATCGTAATCCCAACGCACCCTAAAATGGCACAGACTCCGATCCAAGCCGCAGACGGCGCCAAGATCACGTTTACCATTCGTCCAAGCGAAGAACGCGGCAACGCGGACCACGGCTGGCTCAAGACCTTCCATACATTCAATTTTGCAGAGTAAGCATTCTCATATACGCTATCTAGGTATTGTGACTGACCAAAAGTCTTTAGTTACTATGACCCACGCTATGAAGGATATGGTCCCTTGCGCGTCATCAACGGTGTGTACACTCACTAAAACGCTCATATACGTGCTTATATATGGTCCCTTTCGCGTCATCAACAATGTCTACCGCTCATACGTGCTCCTACCCCCTAATAACAATAGAGGATAGAGTTGAGCCAAGGGAAGGGTTCGGTACGCACTCTCATAGGGAGTTCGAGATAATGTCGTATATTATCTCGGGAAACTTGGAACAGTAAGCGTATTCCCGAAACCCACCCCCTCTCCCCCTCCCCCGAGGCCCAAGGACCTTTACTGACGTTTTCTCAGTCGCGATTCCATGTCTAATGTCGAAGTGATGAAGAGAGGTGATGTGCAGCTCACCAGCGCTGGTACAGGGATCCGACATTCGGAAAAGACGGATGGCGACAACCAGGTCCATTTCCTCCAGATCTGGAGCGTCCCCAACAAGAGAGGCCTCACACCAAAGTATTACCACCGTCACTTTTCCGACGAGGAAAAGAGACAGGGCTGGGTGGCCGTCGTAGGCAAGATTGGTGACGAGGGCGTCAGCGATTCGCGCGAAGGTACTGGTCCGACACCCGTCCACAGTAACTTGTGGCTCTATGCTACGCTCCTCGGTGCAGGAAAGACGATCGATCATCCGCTCAAATACTCCAAGGGCTATATCCATGTCGTGCAGACGAGCGGATACAACACAGAAAAGAGCAAAGGCAACCGTGTCAAACTCAACGGCGCGGTCGAGCTCGGAGAGGGCGATGGTGCATTCGTGACTAATGGTGGCGAGAACGAGATTGTAAAGATTGAGAACATCGGTGACGGAGAGGCGGAGCTATTGTTCTTTGACCTCGATTAGATTGTATAGTTAAATGTATACCGGAATGAACTCTGATCAAGGCAATAATGATCCATGAGAACGACTATAGAAGAGGTGGTTGTCCGCCCGCGAGGTCTAGTCGATCTCCTCGCGCGGGCGGGGCCCCCCGAAAAAAGTTTGGAAATGCAGGTTGTTGTCTCCCACCGAGATTGCTTTCTGGGAACTTGTTGCGTGGGGCAATCTGAGGGGGTGGCGGTCCGATTGGCCCACCTCGAGGAGGAGGATTGAACTTACGCTCTTGTTGGAAGCTCGGTGGTGGATTATATCCTTGAGCACCGGGATATGCCGGCGAAAATGGATTAGGTCCAAGTGAAGAAGGTTGAGAATTTTGAATTGAGGATGTTGTAAATCCAGAGCCAAAGGGGGTGGATGACGCTCGACTGTGTCGTTGGGACGAGAATGGTGACATTTCCCTCTCGGATTCCTTGTCGTCGGGACCCTCTAGTATGCCTAGCTGCCGTCTTAGCTCTTCGTTCTCCTTTTCAAGCCGGGCAATCTCCACTTCACGTTCGACTGCCCAATTGACGCCCTCCTCCGGCAGTTCGTTAGAAGTTGTATCCATTGCAGTGGCACTGGCTGGTTCAATCTCCAATGAATTGGCCTGTAGGGAGCTGATCTCGTCCAATGAGTCGAGGCCGACCCCTTGCTCATTCTTCAGTGCCATCTGAAGCAGAACTTGTAGTTGCTGGAGCGATTGGCTAAGAGCGTGGAGGTTGTATGTCTGCGTAGATTGTTGGTCTTCGCTTGCTGCAAGGATTCCCTCGTAATGGCGACGGAGTGCGACCTCTTTCTCTATTGCCGCTTGCTGAAACATGTATCAGATGTGAATAATGATTTGGTTTGCCTGACGTGCCGTATAATGTCGAAACTTGGTCATGATAGTCTCCAATGTTTGTTCGTACTCAGTCATGAGCGCGGTGAGCTGTCGATTCTCCTGCAAGAGACCTTGATTTTCGATGATTTGGGCCACAGTTGACCTCTCGAGCTCCGAATGGAAGAGTTCTGTGACACGGTCAACACGGTCGCGCTTCGCTTGGAGCGAGAATAGTACCATTCGAGATGTCCGTGTTATACCGACTCAGTTTTGTTGATTTGGAGGTAGCGTCAGCTTGCTCCTGTGTGCAGCAGCGTGTTCGGTATTAGCAGCTTGGGCCGTTGTGCAACCACAGACCTTGAGTGTGTGGATCTGGGCTTGTAAATCAGCTGCCACTCTGTTGTTCTGGTTCAATTGCTCCGAGAGTTCAGAGACGAGCAGCCATATTCTGTGAATTTCCTGTTCCATCCCGTTGTGGAGGAGTGCGAGATAGCTTGCACCAAACTTTGCCCTCGACCATCCAAAATGACGACTGCCAATTCTTCCTACCAGCTCCTATGCATCGGTAATCCATTACTGGATATGCAGACATCAAATGGCCAGGCTCTTCTTGAAAAATACAAGCTCAAAGCAAACGATGCCATCTTGGCCAACCCAGAGCATATGGGGTTGTACACAGAGATTGCAAACGCCCCAGATCTCAAGTATGTCGCAGGAGGTGCTGCTCAAAATGCCGCGCGAGGTGCAGCCGTATGTAATCTCAATCGATGCCGAACAGCACGCCTGATAACATCTATGGTGACGCGTTCTAACAGTATGTTCTCCCACCAAACTCGGTCGTATACGTTGGATGTGTAGGAGATGACGATCTCGCTGAAAAGCTTCGCGAGGCAAACGCCAGGGAAGGTGTCGAAAGCGCATACCTCGTCAAGCAAGGCGAGCAGACTGGAGCTTGCGGCGTTGTGATCACTGGACACAACAGGTGTGAAACACCGTTACAACTATCTATAAAGGCTTAAATTTCTCTAGATCTCTCGTCACCACGTTACGTGCGGCAGAAAAGTTTGAAAAGGACCATCTCCTGAGCGAAAAGGTCTCTGCGCTGATCAAAGGCGCAAATTACTTCTACATTGGCGGCTTCTTCCTCACACATGGAGTAGAAAGTGCCCTTCATCTCGCAAAAACGGTATCGAGTGCCGGCAAGGTTCGCTGTGGTGCACGGTCTACAGGCTCAATTCTAATAATTTTATGCAGGTCGTCGCACTCAATCTCTCCGCACCCTTTATCCCCCAATTCTTCAAGGTCCAACTAGAGACTATCATCCCTTATGCAGACTATATCATCGGCAACGAGTCTGAAGCCGAGTCATGGGGGAGTGCTGCAGGACTCGCTGATCCAAAGGACCACGTAGAAGTCGCACGTTCAATTGCCTTGTTGCAAAAGGCCAACCCATCCCGACCGCGTATCGTAGTGATCACTCGTGGTTCGGATTCAACTGTCGTCGTCAGTTCTGCTGAGCCGGAAAACCCCAAGATTATCGCGATAAACAAGCTCGAAGATAGCGAGATTGTCGATACGAATGGTGCGGGTGACGCCTTTGCAGGAGGATTCATGGGTGGACTCGTTCTCGGAAAGTCTCTCGAGGAGTGCGTGGAGATTGGCCACAAGATGGGAGCCATGAACATTCGACAGGTATGAAACTCACGCTTTGATTGCATCCACTAACTGAGTCGTTAGGTTGGCCCTCAGTACGCTTGGCCAAAGGTCCAAATCATAGATAACTAGTCGGGTGATGTAGTAGATCACGTCAACGGAATAAAGCAGTCAGATGCGATAACGTAGATGCCCGCTTTTGGCCTGAGAATTCAACTTCTATATTTCGTGACGCATTCGTGATTATCGTGACAATAGTTTGTGTCATCTCCATTAACATTCGGTAATATCCTAGGCCGCATGGTGCTTTGGCATCGTGTACTTTATCATCTCTTCGAGAGCCTTTTGACCTTCTGCTGTCAATTGAGGCGCGCCAGAGGAAATATCGGGGTCAAAGTAGACCGGTTCAAAGGGTGTATTGTTCCTTTTCCTCTCGGCCGCAATGTCCCGCTGTTTCTGCTCTATCGCTTGCTTGATCTTGGTCGCCTCCGAGAACTCCTTGGAGAGCAGATTAGAGGTCACGCCTTCCCAAAGTCTTCGAGACTCGTTTGGAAGTTGTTCTTCGATTGGTCGGACTTGCTTGGGCACGACTGACAATGCACTGAGGTCGATCAATAGTGTTGATTCCTATACGGGTCCGTCAGCGCTGTCAACAGTATACTTGTAGTCTCTCACGTCTCCTCCATTTTTCTTCCAATTGATCGACTTTCGCCAACATCCATCAAATGTTGCCACGACTAGATCCTTTGGGACCTGCTTGACTTTGGTCCAAGCCTCTTGCTCGGGTCCAGGAGTGTATTTGTAGATCACGCCCTCTACTAAGAATCTCGGCGCTCCAAGCCAAGGCTAAATTGCGTCAGAGAGGCTTGCCTCAGCCATCGAATGTACCTACCTCCTCCTTGTATTCAATTATCGCTCTCAACTGATCACCCTTTCCACCAGTGCAGGTAATTATCGTCTAAAAACAGGGTTGGTGAAAGTTATAGGAATCCCGGAACACGCACCGAATCAGTGATAGTAGCATAAAAAGATCCCCGAAGAATTCCATTGACACATGCGGTCGGGTGGGTGATCCAATAAGTTTCTCCCTCGCCGTGCCCTTTGGTGATGTTGACAAATATTCCCTTATTATGGGTTCCAGGGTGGACTTTGAGGGCAGTGCCTGTAACCCTTGCCGCAATCTGATCTACACCACACGCTTCGACACCCTTGTCAGGGCAGGCTATCTTGAAGCTGGAGATGGGAGGGTGATGAGAAACTTGTTCCGTCTACAGAAAGTATAAGATGAGCCGTGGAAAAAGCGGAAAGCGTACCAGGAAAAGAACACGAGTGTGACTCGATGGTTGGGTGTCCGGAGTGTCATCTCCATCAATAGTAGATGCAGCATAGCTAGATTCGGCACTAGATGCTGGTCGCTGAGGCAGGTTTGGCGAGCTCTCGGCATAATGGTGATCACTGAGCATATTCGGAGCCTTGATACTCTTGACGCTAAGACTCGCACTCGAGGGCGACTTGACACGGATGGCTGGTGTCGAGAGGGTTGTGATATGCGAATCAGGCTGATCGCTATCGTCCAAATGCCAACTGAATTCCGGAGGCTGCCTGGAATCCTTGCTTTTAAACGTGATGGCATTTATAGGGACATCATAATAGGCTCTAAAGTGTTCACCGAGAACACTGTTGTACGGCTTGCACACTTTGCCTTTCTATATGCCAAGTCAATTGACCGTGTGCGAGTGGAGCACGGAATAAGAAACGTACAATAAACTTGAGATCCTTGCTAAATGTAAAACGGAGGACGCTCAGCATTCGCTCCAGGGGATCCTCGTGCTCGTTGATGCTGCAGAGACTTTAGATAGCGATCCAGCAGAGGCAAGCGCAACACGTACGCGGCGAATAAATCGGGTCTGTCCAGATAACCCCAGTACTCTAAGTTGGGCACGGGCTCCATAAGAGACGCGGGGAGTGAGATTCGCCTGAAGTGCAGCGCTGTTAGCTCGTTCATCGTCCAACCGTGCGCGCCACGAACATAGCTGCGAGGTCCTTGACACCCAAGGAGCGCTTGACGAGTTGAATAATCATCTTCAACTTTCCTCCTTCATGGTCCCCTGAGTCTGGTACGGAGATCGGAGCACCTGGCGCGTCTGGGTCGTCTTGGGCGACCGTATCGGTCGACGATTTTGCAGCTGGATCAGAGATGATGGACGAAGTAGCGGGCATTATATATGTAGAAAGTGCGAAATAATCGAGGACGAGACAAAGTCAAGGCGGACGGCAAGTTGTTCGTGGCACTGCTATCCTCTCCACCCAAACCGCCCAAGCCGCAAAAGAGTCAAGAAGTGAGAGTTTGCAAGATATTCATGCCATTTTGAGGCTTGTAGCCGTCGTATTCGCACCATACCGCCCTCCAACGTGCTTCAGCAATGCCAAACTCTTGTCGACGAAACTCATCATGGAATTGAAACAGGGCCTTGGTTGCATGTGGGAAAGTGGCTCAGGAGCATACTAGTTCGAGATGGTTTATTGGCACCCCTCTATTTGTGCACCGTTACCCTCGCCGTTCTCTGCAACTCACAGACCACTCATAGCAGTAAACTCGATACATAGAGCCGAATTAGTGCCGTTCATCGGATGTGCCGTTCATCAAAGACCATGTCCAGAACTCTCTGAGGGAGGCCTGTCATAGAACGGCTCCGGGCGCACAGAAAGAGTGATGATATCTCCATGCATTGCCGAATAAACCTGACATACTTGGTGAGTTTCAATGTTGGAAACCAATATTTGACAGTTCTACCTCCGCAAAGCGCCTGGAGGATATATCGCTACTTTCGAGGACAGGCACAACATTTCTCAGTCAACCGCCAGCAAAATCTTCATTTTCTTCCATCCTCAGTCTCTTCAGGGCGTTGTTAGCATTCGAGCCGTCAACGTTGGGTGAGGAAGAGAGAGACATTCATTACTGCCACCTAACCACTTGAACAACTTAAAGTAAGTATTTTTACTCTTCATGAACCCGGAGATACCCGTTCGCATTATGGTTTACCCGCCACGGCGTACCTTGCACCTCCTAGCGTCTCCTATCGTCTCGGCTCATTTGGAGGTCGCATGGACCGGTGTCATTATCGGCCCCGTGCTATTAGTAACAACTATCTGTAGCTACAGAACTTTCTCCCAGTCGATATGTATGATATCTATGCTCTAGATATGCACCATCTTGTTGCCCAGCGCTTACACCATGGCTTGCCCTCATCTTCCACAACTGCAGTCGCTGCAACCACCACGTCTCTCTCAATCCGTACACAGAGAAGAATGTACTCAATGCTTTGATAATCAGGCGCGTTGGAACGATCCATAGAGGATCTCTAGGCTGATTGTAAGCCAGGATATGGAAGGTGGCGTGGACGTCTGCCTGAGCTGCTTCAACGGAGGCTGTCCCAGTGAGGAAAGGCACCACTCGAGGAACCATCAGCAACGATCTGGCCATCCGTTTACGCTCAACATTCGTAGACGCCCCAAGCCCACGATCAAACGCGTAAGTCGCATCACATGCTGTACTCTACGGATTAAAACATACTTTCAAAGGACGACGGGGCTGAACCTCCAGCAAAACGACTGGCAATCCAAGAGGAACGAGAGGAGGACAAGTATAACCACTCTGCAGAGCTCAAATGCTGGCTTTGTGATCCACAAAATGGTAGTATAGTATCTGGAGCTCTTGATAATGGCAAAGTGAGCAGCCCACAGAGTTTCGAACGAGGCGGCTGACTGAGCCCCTTAGGGCGCGGAACTTAAAAATGCTATCATGACATCGTTATCGTCTGCTCGGCAATCTGAAGTGAAATCTTGGGAAGAAGATATTGAAGCGTGCGAGCATACGCTCACGCTCCACCAACCAGACTCGCATCCCATTCCCGCCGAGGGCTTGGCACAGTGCTCCAAATGCGATCTCAAGGAGAATCTCTGGCTCTGCCTCGCTTGCGGCAATCTGGGCTGCGGAAGAGCCCAGTTCGGTGGTGTCAGCGGCAATGGACACGCTTTGCTTCACTACAACGAGAGTGGTCATGCCCCTGCTGTCAAATTGGGAACCATCACACCCGAAGGGACTGCAGACGTATACTGCTACAAATGTGACGACTCCAAGATGGATCTTGAATTGGCGGCACATCTCGCGACCTTTGGCATCAACGTGGCAACTCAGCAAAAGACTGAGAAGACCATGACAGAGCTTGTAGGTCACAAGCTACACACTGAACTCTACTGATTCCACCTAGCAAATCGACCAAAACTTCAACTACGAGTTCAGCGTGACTGATGAAAACGGCAAACCATTTGAACCGCTCTTCGGTCCAGGTTTGACTGGCTTACAAAACCTTGGAAACAGGTAAGCACTAGTGACCGGGCAAGGTTATTCACTCATCCGTTGCAGTTGCTACATGGCCTCTGTGCTTCAATCCTTGTTCGCTCTCGACCCATTCAAGGCGGCTTACCGCGGAGATCATGTCAACACTTGCGGTGAACCACTTCCTGCATCATGCATACTCTGCCAACTTCACAAGATGCACGATGGACTTCTTTCTGGTCGGTACTCTATCCCGCGGGCAAATCTCCCACAAGACGAGCCTCCCAAGTCTAATGAGCCGGTCTTCCAAAACGGTTTGCGCCCTTCCATGTTCAAGGCGCTCATCGGAAAAGGACATCCAGAGTTTGCCACAATGCGACAGCAGGACGCCGAAGAGTTTATGACGTACCTCTTCAAGGTAATCCGGACTGATGCAAAGAAACGTGGTATACCAGAGAAGAATACGCCCCCCGAGTCGTTCAAGTTTGGGATGGAGCAGCGGCTGCAATGCCAGCGGTGCCAGAAAGTTCGATACAAGGTCGATAGCCACGATTCGGTCAGTCTCGCAATACCAGCGAACAAAGTGACCAAGATCCCGAGCGATGAAAATGAGGAACCGAAAGAAGACTGGGAACCAGTCGAACTGGAATCATGTCTCCGGATCTTTACGGGTGGTGACGGTCTCGAGTACAAGTGTCCGTCTTGTAAAGAGACAGTTACGGCATCCAAGCAGACAAGGTTTGCCACCTTCCCGGATATCCTCGCAGTCCACGCGAAAAAGTTCCAACTCGTAAACTGGGTGCCAACCAAACTTCGTGAGTATGTCTTTCGCACCTGAGCCACGACTAATGCACAGCCAGCCATTCCCCTCCTTGTAAACGACTTTCTTATTCTCGACGAATACGTGGGCAAAGGACTTCAACAGGGCGAACAAGAGTTGCCGAACGATGGGGAAACTGGTGCTAGTACGTATATCTGTCGTATTTTGTATAAATAATGACGGTTATGAAGCCTCGACTGAACCAGAGGTGGACGCAGAAGCCTTGGCGCAGCTCGAGGGGTTAGGCTTCCCAACCACGCGCTGCAAGAGAGCCCTCCTAGCGAATCAAATGAACGCCGAGGCGGCCGTTCAATGGATCTTTGAGCACATGGATGACCCAGATATCGATGCGCCACTTGCTCCTGCAGCCTCGCAAGCAGCTCCAGCAGATCCTGGGATGATTTCGATGCTCCAAGACATGGGCTTCACTTCTGCTCAGGCATCAAAAGCATTGCGTGAAACGGTAAGTTTCCTGATTTGAGGAATCAAAAACAGGTTTCTGATATATCCACATAGGGTGGCGATATGGAACGTGCAGTGGAATGGCTCTTCAGTCATCCAGACGATATGGGCGACGTCGAAGCGCCCGGAGAGAGTGCGCCTACACAAGAGTCTGTAACAAAGGACTACGGAGGCTCGGGTACGCTACCAGCCCGTTACAGACTAAAGGCGTTTGTATCGCACAAGGGCCCGAGCGTACATTCTGGACACTATGTCGCACACATTCGACTCGATTTGCCTGATGGAGAGAAATGGGTTCTATTCAACGATGAGAAGGTTGTCAAGGCAGATGAAGAAAGTGTAGATGCGCTCAAGCCTCTGGCATACTTGTACATCTTCGAGAGGGTTTAGGAGCGAGATGACTGTAAGCAGAAGTGTATATACGAGCATCTACGACCACCATTGCTAAGATTATCCCTTTGCTCATTTCAAGACAAATTCACATTCCAACTTATGTGCGCTAAGATGCTTAGTAAGGATATAAGTAAAAATACACAGCTTCTGCAAGATTGTAGCAAGGTCCCTGTTCGGAAAGTAAATAAAAAGCGCGTCTATGCCGAATAGTTGTCGAGTTTTGATGCCTTCAAAAGTAGATATCCGGGGTGAAGGACATTAAAGGTATAGGTGCAAACTGTAATCGGCATCCCGTCCAGCCAGTTGAAAAGGGCTTGATTGGTTATAATACTGCCTGACCAACCATCCAGCAACTCGGCCGTCCTGTACGAGCTTCGTACGAGCATGAAGAGGGTATTGATGACAAGACCAATCAACATGAGTTTGGTGCCCTTGTCGAGTGCCGAGCGGCCATTCGCCTTTTCGTCAAACGACTCAAAGCTTCCATCCTTGGCAGGAATTGCCCTTACAGGCTTGTTGAGGATGAAGCGAGTGATAAATTCGGCTCCGAGCAAAGAGTAAATGACAATAGCGACTTGAGATGATTAGCATATGCACAATCACACAAACAGTCGGCTCACTCATTTGGGCTATGATGCCGTAAAGCATGATCTTTGCTCCAGGGTCCGCATCTTCGTGTCTAGAGGCCAGACCACTAGCCTTAGCGCCGCCAATCGCCTGTACGACCAAAGAGACGACGTCGAAGGTGACGAAGATGATCAAATCTTGTATGAACGATTAGATTGACCTGATTTTTCATGTAGAAGCATACTCACACCATCGCGGCGTTAGCCAACTATATTGAGAGCCCACTTTCTTGATGATCAAACCCAGGATAGTAAAGTTGGCTGCGGACATGAAGGAAGGACTGATGATAGTAGAGCTGATCTGCATGAGGAAAGGGTCCAGGAGAGGAGGGTTTCTCGAACTCCATAAACGTCCTGACCATCCGATGACCTCCCCTACATTTGCAAGGACCATGGTTGGAATCATCCACCATGTTCGCCACTTGATAGCTTCCCCAAGGTGGAGAACGCCAGAGATGGCAAAAAGGGCGATGAAGACGATGCAAACGGCCTCTGTCGGAACGTAGCCGTATGGTGACTGGACTGTTTCTGGAAGAGTGCTGTTGGACGACATGATTGATTGGGGAGGAGGGGGTTGTCGTATCGTCTTTCGACTTTGTAGCCGTATTTATGCTCGCCGATGACCTACGCTTGTTGTGGCTTAGTGGGTGCGACCGAAACCCGAGCGCTCGAAAAGCTGTTCGCGAGGTCGCAGTAAGATAACCGCAGTCATAGACAATTAGAAGATCGAATACAGATAGCTCATTATGGCTTATTTGAACTACTTGCGGTCATCTTGAAGGACTGCGCACTTTAGCGTCCAATTCTTCGAATCTTTGGGCGGTGAACGATACCCGATGATTCCTTTAAAGCTTTGTATAGTTCATTCGGGGTGCGAATGGCGCTGGTGTGCTGACAGCAATCTCTGAACTGGAACGCGTCCTTCAGGGTCCAAAGACAGGATTGTGCCAAGACGACCAGTTATGAAGAAACTAATTGGAGGGTGATATTCGAGACGAGTGAGTGAAAGGGGGTAATGATGAGTACATAAAGGTTGAACCACTCGTCACCCATTCCGTTTGTTGAAGATAGCCAATAAGGCGCTTGCAGTGCATCAAGCATACAGGATATGATTGCTTCAGAGAATATTTATGCTCAGAGACGCTGGACTGGTGGAATGTAGGGCTTCCCTACCGACATAAACCCCTCATTGCAGCCGATTTCTAGACACAGGTACGCCAATAGAGTCTTCTATTCTTGTCGCAAGTCCCTCCTGATCGCGACGGTAGCACACCACCTCAGACCTTGACTTCTCATGTGGAAAAAAAAAGCAAGGAACGAAGAATGTCTCTGAAATTTGTCGGCATTGGACACAACATACACAGGGGTACCTGGATGGACGACCTCTCACACGACTCAATACGACGAGCGGCCAAGTGATCGCCAAAGGCTCCAATGGAAGTACCGACTAGATTCCACTAATCGTACACGATGCCATTCAATGCTCCGAGAAACCGACATCGCAGCGAGCAGGGATTTCCGACATTCATACGCAGACCTCTTCTCAGGAAGTGCTCCCGATTCGTCCGGAATTTCGACTGGATGTCGGAGAGATGACACATGACCATCGCTACAACTCGGTGAAACCAAGAATCATGCAAGAAGAGCCCACAAACTTAGAACATTGCGTGACACTCGTGCTAATTGTGCGTCTCGCTCGCCACCAAGCTACGCATCTCCAGGCCACTTGCGAGCGCTGTCTACGCCCATTGTACACAGTAGGTTCTTGGACAATTGCCCTATCCCCTCGTTGTGGGTGCTGGCCGTGATTGACGGTGTTATGATAGCGTGCGAACACAATTACCCAACCAGACAGTGAACCGGCCCGCATATCATAGCTCAAAGCTGGTGAGCAACCGCTCCGGCGACGCGCCCGTCGTTTCTCCGCCAAAGGAATCTCCGCGTGGTATAAAGGTCGATTCCTTAGCCTACCCACGCATCGAAATTGGTTCCATCACTCTCCTTTGCCATGAAATTTGGCCTGTCTGTTGCCACTCTCCTCGTGGCTATCGCCGGTTCCGCAAATGCGGTCGCGGAATGGGGCCAGGTACGTTCCTCATCCGGAGGCCTCTCGAGGTTACAACTCAACTCTCTTCAGTGCGGAGGTCTCAACTATAGCGGAAGCACGAGTATGTGTATGATTGCGCGGCTAAGACGTGACCTCATTGGTCCTCAGCTTGCGACGCTGGACTAACTTGCGTCTACTCAAATGACTGTATGTGATGAACCAACGCCTATACTCGTAGCTAAATATGTTATAGGGTACTCTCAATGCTTGCGGGTAATATCATCTCGCAAGCTCTCTCAGGATGCTTACATGGAACACAGGTTACCACAACGAGTTCTTCGTCTCGTACGAGCTCCTCTAGCTCATCTTCGACGCGCATTTCCTCCAGTAGTTCGTCGACGCGAGTTTCTTCAAGTTCTTCGTCGACTCGCGTTTCCTCCAGCTCTTCTTCAAGCTCTTCAACCCGAGTCAGCTCAACATCAACATCTTCCTCTTCTTCTAGTACCCCATCTACGACTGGTGCTGTCACCTCTGAAGCACAAACATGGAAGAACGCCGTGATTGGGGGTGCGTAATTCAATCGAGATGGCAAGCCATCATCTAAACCTCTCCCTAGCTGGCGGCTTCGTTCCAGGAATTGTATTCAATCCCACCAAGAAGGGTCTCGCCTACCTTCGCACAGACATTGGTGGCGTATACCGCCTGAATACCGCAGACGATAGCTGGATCCCGCTCACCGACTATGCTGGTCATGTAGACTGGCACGATTGGGGCGCGGATGCTCTGGCGACGGATGTTCGTGTCCTCTTTTGCCGATGATTGATTCCTTACACTTGTTTAGCCTGTTGACCCGAACAACCTATACGTGGCTGTTGGCCTGTACACAAACTCCTGGGATCCTGACAATGGCAATATCATCAAATCGACCGATCAAGGTGCGACGTGGTCAAAGATTTACACCTTCCCATTCAAGGTATGCAGCCACGAGATGATTATGCTTTTCTAAGGCTCATGAATCGAAGATTGGTGGAAATATGCCTGGACGCGGAATGGGGGAGGTAAAATCGGAGATTACAATGACGATTCTTGTTCTAACTCGCAGTAGCGTCTAGTTATCGACCCGAACAACAACAAAGTTCTCTTCTTTGGTGCCCGATCTGGTAATGGCCTCTGGAAGTCCACTGACGCTGGTGTGACATGGTCAAAGATTTCTGCTTTCCCAGATGCTGGAACGGTACGAAACTGCACTCTTTGCTGCGATGGAGCTTATCATATTTTAGTACATTCCTAATCCATCCGACAGCACTGGTTATAATTCAGACAAAGTAGGATTGACGTGGATAACATTCGATCCCTCCTCAAAGACGGCCAGTGGCACGAGTCGCATCTTTGTGGGTGTTGCCAGTCTGGGCGTCGCAAACGTCTATCAAACGACAAACGGTGGTACATCGTGGACGGCCCTTCCTATTTTCAACAGCGCCTTCATCCCCCACCGAGGTGTCTTGTCGCCATCCGAGGGAAGTCTCTATGTGTCCTTTGCGAACGGTGCGGGTCCTTATGATGGGAGTGCCGGACGCGTTGGCAAGTATAACATTGCCGCTGGTACATGGAAAGACGTTACACCGGCCCAAGCCATTACGGATGGCACTTATGGCTTTGGCGGTCTCACAGTTGATCTTCAAAAGCCTGGAACGGTCATGGTTGCTGCTCTGAACCAGTGGTGGCCCGATGCGAATATCTACCGCTCGCTCGACGGTGGTTCCACTTGGTCCCCAATCTGGGAGTGGAACGGATACCCTACTATCAACCGCTACTTTGGTGTCGATGTCTCGCTTTCTCCGTACTTGAGTGGACCCCTAGGTAATCAAGACGTCTCGCAGAAATTGGTCGGCTGGATGATTGAGGCTCTCGCTATCGGTAAGTCATATGTGGATATGGCACAGCTCAACTTCTTATCGATGGCTAGATCCATTCGACTCCAACCACTGGCTCTACGGCACTGGTGCAACCGTCAATGGAGGTCGCAACTTATTGAACTGGGACACTGTCCACAACGTTACCATCAAGTCCTACGCTGCTGGTATTGAAGAAACCGCTGTTCTTGGTCTCATTTCGCCACCTTCTGGAACCGCTCACCTCTTGTCCGTCGTCGGAGACATTGGAGGTTCGTACATTATTAAATACGGCGGCTAGTTCGCTGAAATCTTCTAGGTTTCATGCACACTAGCTTGAGCACTCCTGGAAAGGTGTTCGCTACCCCGACGTATGGTACTACGACTAGCATTGACTACGCTGGAAATAAGCCAAGCCAGATTGTTCGTGTCGGAAATGTCGATGCAGATACGAACCCTCAGATTGCTCTTTCTAACGACTATGGAGCGACTTGGTTTGCCAACTATGCGGCACCTGCTCCTTCTGCCACACCTGGATATGCAGGAGGTAACATTGCCTATTCCGCTAATGGAGACACGCTCCTCTGGTCAACCCCAAGCAAGGGTGTCCTCCGCTCTCCCAATCAGGGCGCCTTTAGTCCTGTTGCTGCCCTTCCGGCTGGAGCTGTCATCGCTTCCGACAAGGTGAGGCTCATAATCGTGCTCGGAATGAGTATCTGATGGATATTAGGTTGACGGAACCGCTCTCTATGCTGCTTCTGGTTCCAACTTTTACTGGTCAGCTGATACGGGTGCTACATGGACGACTGTGGCCGTGAGCGGCTTGGGCACCGCCAACTGGATCGCCGTCAACCCCTACAAGGCCGCTGATCTTTGGGTTAGCAGCACGACTGGTGTCTTCCGCTCGACCAACGGTGGCAAGACGTTCACCAAGCTTCCTCTCGTTACTGCTGCTTGGAGAATCGCTCTCGGTGCGCCTAAGACGGCTGGTGGAACCCCAGCTCTCTTCATCGCTGGAACTGTCAATGGCCTCTCGACTGTCTACCGCTCTGACGACCAGAGCAACTGGATCCGCATCAGCGATGCTCAAAACGGCTTTGGAAACATGGCCTCTGTCATCTTGGCTGGTGACACCAGAATCTACAAGAGGGTGTACATTGGAACCAACGGACGGTATGTCTCAAATCCGTGGCAGAGGCGCGAACTGACCATTCTCGCAGTGGTATCTTCTATAACAGCAACGCGGTATAACTACCATATGTTTGCGTCCATTCATTCTCGCTCATTCCCTTGACAAGTCCCCTCATTTTGTAAAAACGCTCGTTTTTAGAATCCGACCTTGTTACACAGCAGACCAAAAATAAGAGTCCATTCAAATAAAAAGCGAGATACAACAACCCAAATCACGTTTGGCCATCTATCCGTGGCGGCCTTTCCCTGTGCGACGATAACGGTGAGGGTCTGGATCGTGGTAGCTCATCAGAATTTCCCGTCAACCTCGTCCGTTCATCTGCATCGTAGTCTTCTTCATCTTCTCTGAGCCTCTCCATTCGAACGGCACCATCCTCTTCGGAAAAGGCGACAGAGTGCGTACGTTGAGGTCCGTGCGGTGCACGATTGATGCTACCACGTCGAGAGTGCCCTCCGTGGAAGGCCACACCGGTCGATGGAGGCCAGCCATCCTGCGACAGATTACCAGAGATGCTCATGCGGGGTAGCATAACCCCTGTTTCGAGCGCGGCGCTTGCCAACGGCTCGTGGTCGGTTACCAATGGCGGAGGCTCTGGGATACGAGAAATGTTGAGTAGGTGAACGCCGAGGAATGTTACGACAAATCCAGCTAGGAGGGTAAAGGTCGTGGTACTATTGGCGGTGTTGAAACCCTGGAACAGGATTGTTGAAGCGATAATAACGCTGGTCGTAAATGTAACAAAATAAGTTGGGTTGACCCTGAGGCACACGTCAGTTTCATCATGCGGGAGACGATGGGAGGGCAACCGTACACATTGGTCGAAAAGGTTGCTAGAGCCTTGTTGAAGAAGTTCATCTGGACCAAGATGCAGACTGCGACGACGATGCCGAACACGTAGGTGCTCGGATGGGTGAGCTGATTGTTGCCAGCGAAGGTGAGCTTTAGAGCGATGCCAAAGCCTTTGATAGCCATGATGGACATGGATCCAACCAGTGAACAGATGGAGATGTACACGAGTGGAATGCGTTTTCCATAGGTCGGTGCCACCCAATAAATCATGAAGAGAGAAAAGACGAGAACCGTGAATGAGTAGAGCAGGAAGCCTATATATGATCAGAAACATGAAGAATTCGATGCAGGGTTTACATACCCGGTTGGATAGCGTACTGAAGGATTTCGTCCACAGTCTGAATGTCCTTATCCGCTGGTGCGTGCAGGATAATAATCACGGAACCGACAATGCATAATGCACACCCTACTCGACCGATTGGACCCAGTTCTTCTTTGAGGAATAGCGAAGCAAGAATGGCACTTGGACCGGCGTTAGCGTGTACGTAGGTAATGGGCCTCTGTCGTACCCAATGATGACGCTCAGGGATCCAATAGGTGTTACCAGAATCGGAGGAGCAAATGCGTATGCCGCAAAGTTTGCAACTGGAAGAGAGTGTCAACGGTCGGCAAAACTGCATCAGAGATTTGGATCGTACGTTCGCCGCTGACCACTAGAATCTGGTAAGTACGTGCTAAATATAAATTGGTGAAAACTGATCTCACTTAGAATCATTCCGGCCCACCACAGGGGGTTCTGTAAATAGCGGTATTCGCTCGCATCTTCGTATCCAGCGCTGAGTCGAGCGGCTGCAGTGAGACCCTGCGTAGTATCGTTTATTAGCCATTATTTGATATTTTGTAGCCATTCCCGAATTTCCTACCTTTTTCGTGACGACAAAGCTGGCTCCGATGGCAAACGTCCCCGAGATTGCGAGCGCAAGTCCTATATATTTTTCGTCCACCATTTATACAATGACAGGAAGTAAATGATGGACGAGCGGCCCAGCCACTTGTGATACGCCAGTCGTGGCCAGCTTCAAGGTGTGGGTTGGCCGGATTTTCCTATTCTCCACCACGCGCTGAGCCCACGCGTCTCAGACGCTTGACCACCAACGACGAAGAGGGCGGCGCTTGTTCATCGAAAACATGGTTCTGTGTACCAAATTTCGCCAGCATGGAGTTTGCAACGACGAGGTGCGCGCCTTTGGACTGGTTTGCCACTCCAGAGACTCATGTTCAACCCGGCCTGTATTAGACATGCCCTCACTTTCATCCAAACCTCGTTTGCGAGCTATGTGGTATAGCAGCGCGCAACCAAGAGTACTTTGACCACCACCTCAAAAGTTTTCGGCACCGGAACATGGTACGCCAGGCAAACCGTGATCCAAGCATGGGTCCCAAGAAGTGCACCATTTGCAACGCGAGATTAATCTCTCCGCGTGTTGTCGCAACGCACGTCAAAGGCCAGCGACATCAGGCGTTGCTCGCCGAGTTGCAGGCCCAAGGCAGACCCCCAAAGCCAGAAGACATCATAATCGAAGACGCCGACCGAAACTATGAATGTCTTATTTGCGAGATGACCGTCTGGCAAACAAAAGAGAAGCACGAACTCACTCCAACTCATAAACGAAAGGAGCGTTTTTTATCGATTCGATCCGCACTCGAAGAGGCTGAAAAGGACAAGAATGGCATTTCTGTGTATCCCGACGGCAAAGACGCTTTCAACTTTGGTCTCAAACCAGCCGGACATGCACGACTCGAGTTCCATGTCACGTACGAAGTCGCGCCTCATCGAGTCTACTTGGACTCTGCTAGAATGGCTAGTGACTCTCATAGAAACAATAATTCGGGGTATGTCTTCCATCCTCTTCACAACACACTTAACACTTCGTCAGCTTCTCGGTCTCGATGGCCCGACAGTATATAATGCCCAAAATCAAGGCAAAAGGGGTCATCACATTTGAATCTCAAGGAAGTCTCGGTCGTTTCCAGGATCGACTGGAGCTGGTCTTCCTTGATGTCGTGGATCGCAAAAAGTTTGCCATCGTCAAACCTCTGCTGGTGATCGTTGGCAGCCAAGAAGACTATGATCTCCTCAAACCAATCGCACCATACGTTCCAGCGGCTCGAAGGAAGCGGGAGACGGTACAAGAGCTCGTTGAAAGCACACCTCCCCCGGCTATCTCGCGCATTCAATGGACCGTGCGTCTACTCGAATACGAGCTCCAGAAGGGCTTAAAAACAATCCTGGATACTCCCTCGAAAGAAGAAAAGATGCGCCTCTTGAAGTCCGGGTTCATTCCTCGCACATTTAGTCCCCAGACACACGCGCGCTTATTCCATATTTTACTTTATATCGAAGAACACCAATCGGCGTAAGTCATCAATGGCCAGGAGACTACTTCTTACACTCTCAGTATTGACCTCGAGCGTTATGACCAAGAAGATGTTTCGCTCGACCCAGCTCCGCGCGAAGACCTTTACTAGTACGCTTTGCGCTAAATTCTTCTCGCCTACAATCTGACACTCCCAGTCTCGAGGTTCCTGGTCTCGCCGAAAAGCGCCCATCCGTGATCATTGGCGATCGGATCCTCGTCAAACATCATGGTTCACCCAAACCTCATTGGTGGGAAGGGTTTGTATATAAAATCCGTCTCAACGATGTGGGACTGCGCTTCAACAACAAGTTTAATGCGTTCAAGGGCCAACGATTCGACGTTCGTTTCTGTCTGAATCGTTTGACGCTTCGGAGGATGCACCAAGCCCTTGACTCTGGCGGTCTCTGCGAACGACTCTTGTTCCCTTCTGAAGAACATATCCAGAACCGCAAACCCTCGCCAGGTACTATTCAAACTTTGAACATGGTTAACAGAAACATCTCTACAAACCCTGCCCAATCGCTGGCTGTCACCGCCATCCGAAACCTGTCTCCAGGGAGCCCTCCATTCGTCGTATTTGGGCCGTAAGTCTCCTCTCTTGAAGTAGATCTAATTCTTATCCCGTCAGACCTGGAACCGGCAAGACGGTCACGATCGTGGAGGCTATTCGTCAAATTTTGCTCGAATATCCAACTGCTCGTGTTCTTGCCTGCGCACCAAGCAACTCGGCGAGTGATATCATTGCAGAGCGGCTGATCGCACTCGGATCTGATCTGTTCCGCCTAAATGCACCCTCTCGTCCTGTTGATCATTTACCTAAATCCTTGCTACCGTTTTCATTGGTGGAGAGGGATGTATTTGCCGTTCCCGAGCTTGCAAGGCTTAAGAGGTACCGCGTTATCGTGTCCACATGCTTGTCCGCGTCTGTTCCATTCGGAATTGGTGTCCAGGCAGGCCACTTCTCTCATGTCTTTGTCGACGAAGCAGGCCAGGCTTGCGAGCCTGAGGCTTTGATCCCGTTCAAGACGATGGCAGATGCCAAGACGAATCTCATCCTCAGCGGTGATCCTAAACAACTCGGACCTATCGTCAGAGCCAACGCAGCGATCGCTTTAAAGCTTGGAGTCAGCTTACTCGATCGGCTGACGGAAATGCCTATTTATGATGAAAGGGCAAAGAACGGTATCACGTATGCTTCTTATTCACGTGAATGACTCGCTATTGAAGTTCTTACAGTATTGTCAAGCTGGTCAATAATTTCCGTTCTCACCCCGATATTCTTCGATTTCCCAACCAGCGCTTCTATAGAGGAGAACTTGAAAGCAAAGGCGACCCAATAGTCATCGAATCGATGCTTCGATGGCCGCATCTCCCCCAAAGTGGATTTCCGATCATATTCCATGCGATGGCGGGCAAAGATTTACGAGAGGCGCGGTCACCTTCATTTTTCAATGTGGAGGAAGTGATGCAGGTAAAGAAATATGTTCAAATGTTATTTGAGGACAAGAAATACCGTCTGAGTATGTATACCTCGACTGGTCCCTGGCCTTACTGATTACATTTCGTAGCTGAAGAGCATATCGGCATCATTTCTCCGTATCATGCGCAGTGCGGCAAAATCAGATTGGCGCTGCTCAAGGAAGGGTACACTCGTATCAAGATTGGAAGCGTCGAAGAGTTCCAGGGACAGGAACGGCGTGTCATGATCATCTCAACCGTGAGGAGCAATCTTGAGTTTGTCCAGTCGGACATTACTCACACACTCGGTTTTGTGGCCAATCCTCGTCGTTTCAATGGTAAAATCCTCTTTATTTTTCACGAAGCATACTGAAGCAGTCTAGTTGCGATGACACGAGCGGAAGCTCTCCTCATTGTCGTGGGTGATCCGAACATTCTGTCTTTGGATCCTCTGTGGCGCTCGTTTCTCAACTTTATCTACAATAACGGAGGCTGGGCGGGGCGCCCACGTCCGGATTGGGATACGCACGCAGAACTGGACTCAAAAGAGTTCCTTGAGGCAAGACGAGCAAAGGCGAATGCCGAAGAACAAGAGATGCTCACGAGAATTACGGAGACTGTCGTCGATCACATCAATGCGGACGATTTGGACGACATTGGCGATGGGTATGAGGCAGTCGAACGTCCGTGGCGCGAGACGGAGTGATTGCATTTTCTTGGTCAACTCATGTGTCATTTGTGTATAGGTAAGGCTTCAGTCACATGTAAAAGTCCCTTGCTCGCTGGCTAACAGTATTTTTTTTTGCAGAATCTCCTAAACTATTGTGTTCTCTACTGTTGCATTACTCAAATTTTTCCCCTAATGAGCACTTCAGTAGCTTTTCTAGTCTCGAGTGCCGGGTAGGCTTTAGTAGCGCTTACTTACGTTGGATAGCGCCACATTGTACCCGGAGCCTGACGAAGGGAAACGACTAAGGGCGATAGTTTTGGCCAATCTGAGCACCATATTCGACAGAAATGGTACTATGTCCCAAGTTTAAGCTAAACGGAACCTGCGACGACAAGGTAGGGGTCGTCAAAGTTCTCTCATAAGTTTCTGATGCTGATCCCTCATTAGAATTGCAGGAATTTTCATCCGAATCTCGTCTGTGACCTATGCGGGGTTGTGACACAGACCCAAGCCTCGTTTCAAGCCCATCTCAGAGGCAAACCACATGCTGCGAATAAGAGAGCTGCTCGGCGCAGCACAGATGAGGGCCCAAGCATATGCACCATATGTAATGTTCGTCTCCCAACTGCAAGAGGTCCCCACATATCGAGCGCCAAGCATCTTCGAAAGATGCAAGCCCTTCAGACCAACGGACAACTTCCAAACAGTGACGCCATCATCATCCCGGATCCAGACAATAACTTCGAATGCTTGGTTTGCGAGATGCAAATCTGGAGTAATCGACAGCTGCACGAAAAGTCAGCACGCCACCAGCGCCTCGGGCGGCACCTACTCATTCGATCTGCCCTCGAGGAAGCAGAAAAAGATAAGAATGGGGTTTCAATAACGCCCGCGGGCAAGGATGCCTTTGACATGGGACTTTCTCCAGACGGGAGAGGGAAGCTTGGATTTGCCCTGTCTGTCGGAAGCCCCTCTCTTCGCATATATTTGCACTCGGCCACCATTACAAGTGTCGGCCGTGGTGGGCAGTCATGGTTAGTAATTATAAATTTCACAATACCAGAATTCACTGCATCGCAGGTTCTCTGTCAACATCTCCACCAAGCTCTACCTCAACCCAGCTACCGTCTTGGAAGGCACTGTACTCTTTGATAGTAATGGGAATCGTGGGCGTTTCCAAGACCGCCTAGAGCTCATATTTCAAGATGTGACGGCTCAGAAGAAATTTGCCATTGTCAAAACCTTGACGACCATCGTTGGAGATGCGGCAGACTATGAATTGCTTAAGCCGATAGCGCCCTATGTGCCAAAAGTTCGTCGACAGCGAGAGGTCATCAAAGAATTAGTCGAGGGAGAACCTCCTATCGCGATCTCTCATACGAAATGGGCCGTCAAACTCCATGAGTACGAACCTCCAAAGGCTCTCAAGACCATCTTGGATATGCCCGACCGCGACGGAAATTGAAGCTACTCAGAGCTGGGTTTATTCCGCGTAGCTTTGTCGCTCAGACGCATTCAAGACTCTTCCATATTCTGCTCTACATAGAGGAGCATCAATCGGCGTCAGTCCAGACATCTTTGTACCTATATTGCGGCTAATATAGGACAGAATTGACCTTGAACGATATGATCAGGAGAATGTCCTTTTGAAACCTCCAGGTTCAAAGGGTGGTGTTCTATATTCGTGAGTTCTATATTAGGTTCGAGTACCGAGCTTATGGTTCCGCAGCCTGGAGGTTCCCGGACTTGCAGAAAAGCGTCCCTCTGTCATACTTGGAGACAGGATCCTGGTAAAGCCTCATGCTTCGACCAAACCAAAGTGGTGGCAAGGATATGTTCATCGGGTCGGCCTCACCGAGGTCGGTCTCCGGTTCAACAAAGACTTTAGCGCATTTAAGGGCCAACGCGTTGACGTCCGCTTCTGTTTGAACCGATCAGTCCTCCGAAGAATGCATCAGGCTCTGGACTCTGGCGGCCTTTGCGAGCGTCTCCTCTTCCCGACGAGTAAAAATGTGCTTAACCCTAAGCCATCATCAGGGACACTCAAGGCGCTCAATCCTATCAATCGAGTAGTCGGAAATAATCCTCCGCAGAGGCTCGCGGTTTCAGCCATCAAAAATCTTCGTCCAGGAAGCCCGCCGTTCGTAATATTTGGACCGTAAGTACGTCCGTATATTACTAAAACTGCTAAGCCAGCAATTAGCCCAGGAACTGGCAAGACAATCACGGTAGTCGAAGCTATTCGCCAAATCCTCCTTATGGATCGCAATTCTCGTATCCTCGCATGCGCGCCAAGCAACTCAGCAGCCGACATTATTGCGGAGAGACTAAGGGATATAGGCAAATCAGAGCTTTTCCGCCTGAACGCCTACTCGCGCCCGATTGAACATCTGCCAAAATCTCTTCTTGGATTCTCCCTCGAAGAAGGGGGTGCCTTTCGCGTACCAGATATCAATGTTCTCGAGAAGTATCGTGTCATTGTTTCCACATGCGCCTCAGCATCAGTTCCATTTGGCATGGGTATCAAGCCTGGACATTTCACACACATCTTCATCGATGAAGCCGGACAGGCTTGCGAACCGGAGGCCCTTGTGCCCATCAAGAACCTTTCTGATAGCAAAACCAACGTCGTCCTCAGTGGCGATCCGAAGCAACTGGGCCCCATCATTCGCTCTGACATAGCGGTCAAGCTCAACTTTGGGGTCAGCTTGCTGGATCGACTCCATGAAATGCCAATTTACGACGAGACCAGCCAAAACGGAGTCACGTAAGCTCTTTCAGGATACGATGCAATCGGGCTAACAAGGTACAAGCATCGTAAAGCTAACAAGGAATTTCCGCTCACATGAAGCCATACTGAAATTCCCGAACGAGAAATTTTATCGTGGTGAACTAACCTGTGAGGCGGATAAAGCGCTCACTCATTCTTTGCTTCGTTGGGAACGGCTCCCGAAGCCAGGATTTCCAGTTATCTTTCACGCCTTAACTGGCAAAGATTTACGTGAAGCACGCTCACCCTCCTTTTTCAATATCGAAGAAGCCTCTCAGGTCAAGAGTTACGTCCAGTCGCTCCTCGGCGATAAATTGGGACTAGGTACTACGCTTTCAGATTCCTGCTGCGTGCTTAACTCCTGACAGTGAACGAGAATATCGGGATAATTGCACCATATCATGCACAATGTGGCAAGATACGTATGCTCATCAACCAGTTCGCAAAGGGCATCAAAGTCGGAAGTGTCGAAGAGTTCCAAGGTCAAGAGCGACGGGTCATCATCATTTCGACTGTAAGGAGCAACTTGAACTTTGTGCAATCAGACGTTCGACACACGCTCGGCTTCGTGGCAAACCCCCGTCGGTTTAACGGCAGGTGACCCTACATTTGCGCTCCTACAAAGCTAAAATTCTATCATCAGTTGCTGTCACGCGGGCTCAAGCACTCCTCATCATCGTTGGAGACCCCATGGTATTGTCCCTCGATCCGCTTTGGCGCTCGTTCCTTAGCTATATTTACAATAACGGTGGATGGATCGGTACCCCCAAACCCGATTGGGATACTAATGCAGAGATTAACGGTCAAGAGCTCTTGAATCTCCGCAAAGGTCGAGCTACGGTGGAGGAGGACGAGCTATTACAACGAATTGCGGAGACTGTGGAACATCGGATGAATATAGAAGGTCTCGAAGATCTAGGAGACGGCTACGAAGCTGTGGAAAGGCCATGGCGCGAGACGGAGTGAAATCTTCGCCCGTCCTCCAAAAATTCGGGCTACATGGCGAAACTCAATTTAATCCAATGATTCGTAAAAAAAAAAGTGTAATAAAATGGACTGTAATCTGAATACATATAGCTCCACTCTAGGAGGACTTGGCTGATGCTGTCGCGTGTGTGCTAGTACCAGTAGCCGTTGCCGTTCCCGAAGAACTAGCAGCGGCAGCGACCGAAGTAGTATGAAGTATTGTCGACTTGGGCACGCCACCAACAAGCGGAATGCCTTTAGACTGCATAGGAATGATAGAAACGTGCACCGTATGCTTGTTGGTGGCATCGGGTTTGCACACGTAGCGCCAGTACTGAATCTTGCCCCTGTTGTGTGTGTACGAGGTAATGTAGTGACGAGCCTCTTCGCGCGCTTTGGAGACGGTTTCTTGGCCGAGTTTGATGCATCCGACTGAGCGCAAGCCACCGTTACGTTGGTGCGCAGCGCGAGTTTGCGTGGGAGTACTGGCGGTGCTTGTGAAAGTTTGTGTGTGCGAAGAGGTGGAGACACTGTCCCGCTTGATGAAATCGTGCAGGTCATACACCTCTGGCTCTGGTTCGGGTGAGCGTCGATTCAGATTACCAGCGGGTGATGGCCGAGTTGTTGTTGTTGTCGCTGTCGCAGTAGGTGGATGTGTCGCATGAACAGTGTGAGTAGTGTGAGTATGGTGGGCCGCTGTGGCCCCAATCGACGAGACCTCGATGGACGTTTCGTGGGGCCTGAGTCCCTTGTATACAACTCCCTGTGATTCCATAGGAATGATAGAAACGTGCACCTTGTGCTTGTCGCTTGCATCCTGCGTGCACCTATATCCGCCCTCAGGTGAGCATTCAGAAATGACAGAGTGAAATATGAATATACTTGAGGCGCCAGTACTCGATCTTTGTTTTGTATCCCGAAAATGTGTTAAGGTAGGCCTTTGCCGCCGTGCGGGCCTTAGACCGGGCTTCCTCACCAAGCTTGCTGCATCCAACGGATCTCAGACCGCCTCTCCTGCATGCGGTGTCAGTTAACTGCCTGCTAGGCTCCTGGGTTGCTCGCCTTCTCGTATTTGTCGTTGAAGTCGTCGTGGGCGTTGGGTGTAAGCTGCTGCTCGTCTCGCCGCGCTTGTAGAGATCCGACTCTTCAAACACTTCTGGTTCGTGGTTTCGTCGTTCCAGCTGATGTTCAACTAAGATACTGTCTATATGTCAGATACGCCTCTCTGAACAGACTGCAGACTTACGGGCGGCATTTGCAATCAAAGACGAGGCGAGGAGAGTGACGAGGACTGAAAGCTTGAAGCTAGGCATGGCAGACTGTAGTCGAATGAAGTAAGGAAGAAGGAAGAAAAAAAAAAGTTGAAAAGAACAAGGGCGATCGATACCAAATCGGGTCGAAGGAAAAGAGGAAAAGGTAGAGAGATAACGGAAGTTCATGGTCGAAATTTATAGGGCGCGGTGTGAAGAGTGTGAGGAAATACTGGGCAGGTGCCGTGAGAAAGAGGGTCGTTTACGTCTCGTAGACGATGAACAGCCCCAGACTGCAATTTCTGCATTGTGAATTGGAGATGCTTGTCTTTCCCGTATTGTGGGGTTTGGACCTTGATCCTCATTTCGCGCCTCGCACAGCGCAACGATATGCACACCAACAGGTTGACAAGTGGTTGTTGAGGCAGCCCACGTGTGAATGTGAGGGTTTATTGATATATCTCTGACTATATGAACGTCCAAGCTCGCGTGAGAAGCCGTATAGGTGATGCTCTTCACTCGCAAGTTGAGAATAAACCCAATGCTCCTTGGCCATCGCCTCAAAGACAGATTCCATTGAGGGCTCCCAACATCCAGATGGTGCCTATATTTCGAACGAGTCTGCGAAAATTTCCTCTAGTCTTGTTTCGTCCATGGGATATGACGGGGTCCAGGAGCTCTTTCGAAGATAGCAGAGTACAAGTGCATGGCTCGTTACTTGATCTCGACTCCTGCCTTTCACGTTTCCAACCTTGCACACAGTGACAAGCAACGGATTCATTCCAGACGTAGAATTATCAAAGTTGGATTTCGGTCGATTTCGATTGTCACCGAGCCAAACCAAGGAGCGTTCGAGATCATGTTAGCGCGGTGACTCTGCCAATGACAACTGCGGGATACGAGCGGTCGCAGTAAATCACGGAATGGGACACGTTGACGCCAGCAAGAGGCGGCTTGACCAATAGCATTGGCGAGTTTGACGCCGACTGGGCATTTTCGACAGACCCCGCCCGAAGTCGACAAGCGCTATAAAAGAGGGCCTCTTCGACAAGCTCAAGCACTCCAAGGGCATCCCCTCTTATCTCCCACAATGTCTTACATCGTCGTTGGAATCATCCCCGTCGGTGGGGATCTCAAATTGCGTGAACAGTACCCGCTCGTCCAGTCTCGATGCAATTACAACGTCATTGACGTGTATAGCATCGCTGAAGTCGTTCAAGACTACCAATCGACTGCACCCATTAACCGCGACGTCGACTATGTCTTTCCCCTTCCACCTAGTGCCGCTGTCTGCTCCTTCAAGGCCGTCATCGACGACAAGCGAACAATCAAGGGAATTGTCAAGGAGAAGGGTGAAGCGAAGCGGGACTTTGACAAAGCCGTCGCCCAGGGCAAGACCGCCGGGTTACTCCAGCAGGAACACGCTGATGTGTTCCGTGTCTCTTTGGGGAACATTAAACCTAACACCAAGATCAGCGTTCAGTGAGTGTTTATCTTATCGCTGATTGCCGCTGACGTTCTTTCAGCATCTCGTTTGTGTCGATTGTCCCCCACGATGGAAGCTCTCAGACTGCACTTCGCATCACGATGCCAACTTCTATCGCACCACGCTATGGCGTAGCACCCACAAACATTCCGTGGGCTCGCAACTCGTCCAATCGGTTCGAGCTTACGGTCGCCATTCAAATGAACAAGCCTGTCACATCCGTCAGCTCTCCGAGCCATCCGATCGGACTTACACTCGGGTGTAACCAGAAGGAGCTCACCGGTGACTATGAGCCGTCCAAGGCATTTGTGCATCTTGCCGACGCCGCGTTCCTTGACAAGGACATTGTCATCGTCGTGTCGGCGCAGGGACTCGATGCACCGAGGTGCAGTGTCGAAAGGTGGCTTAAGAGTGATGGCGCCGAGGAGACCACGGATGCATATGCACTCACGCTTGTGCCCAAGTTTGACCTACCTGCACTTCCTCGACAGGGTACGTGAACTATTCAACCCCCCTATATTCACTCATAATTTTCAGAATACATCTTCCTGGTTGACAGAAGTGGTAGCATGGGTGGTGGCCGCATCAACTCTGTGAAGGCGGCCCTACAAATCCTCTTGCGTTCGCTCCCGTCGCGCAACACGACATTCAATATTGTCTCGTTTGGGTCGCACCACACCTCACTTTGGCCAACATCCCAGCCATACAGTGCAGAGGCTATGGAAACCGCCAGCAAGCACGTTGACGAGTTTTCTGCAAACTATGGTGGGACGGAGATGCGTGCTGCAATAGAGTATGCCTTCCAGTCTCGCGCGGACTTCAAGAATTGGCACATGATCGATTCCAAGGAAAAGGTTCCTACTTCAGTCTTCGTGCTCACGGACGGCGAGGCCTGGGACTTGGAGGGATTAGTCGACTGCGTATCCAAAAACTGCACGGCGTCCAAAGACAATGGTAGTCTGCTCCGAACATTTGTTCTCGGTGTGGGCAACGAAGTGTCAACCGCGATGTGTGATGGCATTGCGCGTGCAGGAAGAGGCACAGCAGTTTATGTCGCTGTAGGTTCTCCACTCGTTGGAGGGAATTGAAACTAAGACTTGTACAGACAGGAGAAAAGCCCGACGCAAAACTCATGGGGTTACTGAAAGCGGCTCGTGGCGGGGTAATCGACGACCTGGCGATCGAATGGACACCCGAGACCAAAGATAACGAGTCAATGGATGATGAATTTGAAGTCGTCGACACGCCAGAACCCAAGAAAGATATCGCTCCTAGCCCTCAAGCGCCCTTGAGCCTCTTCGACGATATGCACGTCGATAAGCCAGTAGAGCTCGGAGCTCAGAAGTCCATCGTCAATCTCGCCCCCCCTCCACGGATTCAACAGGCGCCAAAGTCAGGGAAGTTGCCTATCCCACTCTATCCCGGTTTCCGCTGCAGCATCTTTGCCATTATCAAGCAAAATTCCAACCCTGGACCATACTCGCCGCACATCAAGATCACTGGAAAGGTCCTGGGGCGGGACGTTGTATTCCAAGTCCCCGTATCACCTGTGTCCGTCGACAACAGCGCGCTCGCGGGTGTCGAAGGAGGACGGCTTTTGCATACGCTTGCGGCTAAACAGCTCATCCAAGCATTTGAAGACCTTGCAAAAACACCGGAGAACAAGGCAGAGATTGAACGTTTGGGCAAGCGGTACTCGCTCGCGAGCTCTGTCACGTCTTTCATTGCCATTGACGAAGAGAAAGAGGCTGAAGTCGAGATGCATATCCCGCAAGCTGAATCTATCGCTCAACAGCAAGGATCGCTTGGAGGAATGGACCACCGGAACTCCAGATCTAGAATGGGAGTTGCCGCAGTCTCTGCTTTCTCAGCTCCCCCGGCTCCCAGATTGAGCAGGCACAGTTACGTTGCTGCCCCTATGATGGCTCAGCAACAGCAGCAACTCATGCAACAGACCCCCGCGACACAGTCTGCCATGCTGGGCAGAGTTCAGCGGGTCGGTACGCTTGGCGAACGCCTCGATAGCTTGCAAGACAAGTCGGATTCTCTAGCAGCATCCGCTGAGTCGTTCGAGAGGACTAAGCGAAGTTCACGTAGCGGATTTTTCGGTAATCTGTTCGGCGGTGCCTCTCGTTCCTCGTCCGTGTCATCCTACGCTCCGCCTCCGCCTCCACTTGCTCCTCCAGGAGGTTCCATGCCTTCTCCAGCAGCGATAACCACGGGATATGTGCCAACACACGCATATGGATCACCAGCGTCCTCCGCCTTTGGGATTGTACCTCAGTCCACTGGGTTTGCACCCCAGTCCACTTTTGCACCCCAAGGGCTCTCTCAAGCAAATCCCACCGCATTTGCACCCCCACCACTCTATGAGGATTACGCTGTCGGGTTCGCAGGCGAGCATTCAGATGATGATGAAAGTCAAGGACGTGGACAAGAGGAATACTCGACTCCCCGAACCAAGTCAAAACGCAAATCCTCTGAAAAGAAAGAAGCCCGAAGCTCGTATCCTCGGCTTGCAGGAGGTGGACCAACACCAGTCGCTGCGCTTACAGTGGAGAATCTAGCCCGTGCTCAAAACTTTGACGGCGGCTTCTCTTTCAATGATCATCATATGCAATTCCTCTTCGGCACGTCTCCGAATCGCTCTAGTGCACAGACACTCCCTCCACCCCTGTCATCTCTCATGTGTGCGGAAGATATCAAACAGACCATCTGGTCGACGATTCTAACACTCGCATGTTTAGAGAAGACGTTCAAGAGTGACAAGGACTCGTGGGAGATGCTAGCGGAAAAGGCAACTGACTATATCCTGGACGTGCTTCAAAATGACTGCGGTTTGCCTTTTGACAAAGCCAAGTCTGTGGTGGCAGAGCTCAAGGCAATCGCGGCAAATCTCTTTTGACGGACACGGTAATATGGACGTTTTGTGTAGAACAAGTGTATGCCGATTCGAAAATAAAAGTCGTGATGTGGCCTAGAATTCATGACAGTTTCTCGTATGAGTAAACGGAGAGGGTTAGTGCGAAGCAGTGTACAGATCACATTAGGTCGTAATCGGTTGATCTATCCAACGAATGCTCACTGCGGGGCCAAGGGAGTCATTCCCAAGCCAATATCGCCGTAGACAGGACGGGAGTCTGAGTTCAACCACTTGTTTGGATTGATTGAGCACGACGCCGTTTTCCAGCAGCGCGACGATGAGCCGAGGAATGGCAGCGGCGGTCCCGTTGAGAGTATGCGCGAATGTAATGCGCTTATCAGCTTCGTCTGATTGGGGAAGGAGGCCGTCCTTGTTGGATGTCTGAACTGTTCGATATTGGATATGGAGTCGTCTGGCTTGAAAATCGAGACAGTTAGAAGTCGACGAAATCTGTCCGCGGTTAGACAGGCCGAGAAATATTTGTGTGCATACCTCCCCCCATCCGCCTCGGCCAGGCATCCACGCCTCCATATCATACTTGCGATAGGCGGCGTGTCCCAACTCTTCCGTCGGCATATCGAGTACTCTACACGAGGAGGTGAGTTGAATACCTAATCTTGCATATAAATCACCTAAAAGGAAATCCAAGTCCCCCGAATATCTCAATCTGGATTTTCCTCAGCTCCTCCATCATGTCGCTGCTTTGATTCTGCTCGGTGACCGCAAACAGCTCGACCTTGGTGAATTGATGAACACGATATAGGCCTCTTGTGACTGCTCCCCTTGAGCCAGCCTCTGACCGGAATGCGTGACCGACAGCCACAACCCTCGCAGGCAATTCGCGCTCGAGGAAGGTGCGCTGCGCAAACATTCCGGCTAGTGGTATCTCTGCTGTACCAGCGAGAACAAGGTTGTTGGATGTGCCTTGAAGATGATAGAAATGGTGAACTACTTTGCCATGCTGGTCAGGCTCGTCTCGTGGGGCAAAGCCGCAGCGAGCGGCATAGTCTGCTTTGATGACGTCTGGTGGTATGACAGGGGTGAACCCGTGCTTGATGGCTATCTGAAGAGCGTAATTTACCAACGCTTGTTCAAGCAACGCTCCTGCTCCTCTTAAATAATACCACGCCGAGCCGGTGACCGCCGCTGCTTCGTCGAATGATATGATTCCCAGCTCCTTTCCAACTTTGGCGTGGTCGCGAGCGGCGTCTGTAGGCAACCGTTCTGGACCGTGGGTCGAAAGAACCTTTGCTGCCGACTCTGGGCCGACAGGAGAGTCGGGGTGGGTAATGTTTGGTATCTGGAGACCCGCATGAAGGAGTTGAATTTCTGCACCAGAGGTCATAGGTTCTTGTATAGCCAAAAAGTCTTTGATATTTTTCGACCGGCTGTTTGCGCGCTGCAAGGCGGCAGCTCTATCCTCCGAAGTCTTTGCCATCTTGACATTTCGAGCGAGTGTATTCCTCTCCTGTCGAATTTCGTTTACGCCGGCTACTAGTGAGCTGTGTAGCTGGTGAAGCTCTTTGACCTTTTCGACCAAATTCCCAGACCCGGGTAACTTTCTGTTGGCAATATTTTGCACGTGGTATGCTTCATTCTCTATTATTGACTTGTAGTCGAGACGAGGTGGTGGTAGAGTGTTGATAGCACCATCTGGTGGGACCGTTCTTGTGTTCTTGATCGAGCGAGAATGTAAAACGCGTAGGCGTCTTGCCACCTCTCCAAATTTGTCAATAATCTTGTATTTGGCAGAGTCTGAGTGCGCTGACCTTGATGGCCAACACGGCTCGACGTTCTCGTCGGCAGCATCGTTGGGCCTTTGCTGCCACCACCATCTTGGATAATCCGACCATAAATTTGAATAATGTCCTATCAACCTGTAACAGATAGCGAGCTCGACGACGAGCTTGAAGCTCTCTCCTCTGGTCCGAATCAATCGCAAGGGTCAGTGTCAGGCTGATGTTCAAACTTTCTCCTGGCCACGGCTGACCGTTCGTTCCATCATCAATTTCTAAACGATTTTATCTCTTCTTGGACACGATTATACGCTCCTTGCACGTTGCCGAATGCGCCCGGATGCTCTCGCCCAAAAGAACTCGGTCTCACTATGCACTCTCGTCGCGGGAAGCAGCAAAAGGCATCGCTTCTAGGATTGTCTACAGTCAATACTACGTGATTATCTATGTTGCGCTCGCGGCTATGGCCACTACGACTGTTGTGCTCAGTCTTACAGATGGATGTCCCGGATTCGCGTTTTACATTCTGGAAATCATCATTAATATCGCAATGATTGCTGAAGTCTCGATTCGTTTTGTCGCTTTTGGCAAAGTGAGTCGCCCATTTGCTGGTCCGAATTACAGCTCATCTGCCGTCCGTCCGCAGCAATTCTGGAAGTCGCCTTTCAATGTTGTCGATCTAGGACTAACGGTCCTTTGTGTCATCACACTCATCGTAATATTCTTTTCCGGCTGTAATGAGCTCAGCAAGGAAGAAGAGCTCCTCGACACATTCCTCCTGGTGGCACGAAACGTATTGCAGTTTACTCGACTCGCTACAGTCATGCGGAGGTGTGTTATACAGTCTCACCCACAGCGCTTGCTCACCCTTTGGTCAATCTGTAGGTCTGGTCGCTCCATCTTCGCGCAACCAAAACCCATCGATCTCAATGCTCCGAGGTCAAGTCGACTCGACATTGACCTGTCCGACGAAGAGGCCGAGATCGGTTACGGTCCCTCGAGTCGAATTCGACGCCGATACACCCTACATTCGCGCACCAATACCGCCACGAGCAGAAAATGTATGGGCTCGATAGGATTGCCAGAAGCCTGTATCTCCATCTAACTATTCTTACACTTATGCTACTGCACGGATCAGGAGTGCATGGAGTTATTACACTGTGTTCTCGCCTGAGAATTATGCGTACATTTCTGACGCCCAAAGAATCGGCGCGCAAACTATGGTAAAGCGAAACGAAATCTACCTGACAAGCCTGGCAACGATAAAAAGTGCATGAATGGTATGCGACCCGTGAAGTGTTCGTATAAGGTCATAAAGATGGAAAGGAGCTGCTCTATGGAATCAAACCTGACCCACAAGGGAGGGTATGCAGCCCGTGAACAAATAGTTGATGTTAAATAGAGCTCTGAATGTCCGACGACACATGCTCAGTATGCCGTTCCAACGTGGTTGATTGCGTTCGGTTGGTATTGCGGTGCGAGAGCGGCGTGAGCAAGCGATGCCAGGCGAGCCTGCCGTTGTCGTTGCATGAGCAACTCTTGCTGCGAATTGTCACCCTCGCCACTTGGCTCCGATCGAATCGTTTCAAGTGACATCTTGCCCATGTCGAGGAAGCTATCGTCTTCAATTCGCTCCGTACGCTGAACTGGTGTCGGCTGTCGAGAGGTGCTTGGGATGGACAGTGACGATGATGATCCCCACGCTCCAGCCCCGGAGTGAATGGTCGCTTGAGGAGAAGGATCTCTAGATCTATAGGAGACTGGATCGTCAACTATTCCAGGCGCAGCTGCAGCCGATGCCTCCTCGAGCGACGGTCTACCATCATCATCTGCAATATCCAAAAAGCTTGGCTTGCGTAGGATAGAGTAGTGCTTTTGTGCTTGGGTCGTGACGGACCTCACACTGCTTGCGGTCGAAGGACGCCGAGTCGTGCGAGGTGGAGGGGAAAGAACCATAGAGTGACCGTCGGATGTCGCCGTTGATGGTCTGCTCGGGCTGGTTCCCGGCTCGTTTGCACCTCGCAAACTGCGCATCCTCGAGCGCGGCGGCGGCGGAAGAGAGTCAAAGGGAGCAATGGTAGAGGATGGGCTCGTAAACGAGCGTGTCATCCTCGGCTTCTGTGAAGATGTCACAGACGAGGTAGTCGACGAGGAGCGCCCTAACTCCGACGAAGTCGGGAGAGCAGCAAAGCTGCGTGATCCTAGTTGATAGTCATGAACCCTAGATGGAGAACTTGGACTCGGGATCTGACCAGAAGGTGGTCCGGCAAGGCTTCCTGACCGCTGTTGCCGCCCGCTTGGGTGTACGGCATCAGTATCTAGCCGAGAAGTGCTGGTACTACGCCGTCTCCAATCCCCCAATGCATTCGGTGGCGGGCCGCTTGTCGATTGAGCACTGCTAATGGAGCCGTCTCGTCCACGTCGCGGATTGTGCTCGGGAGTGACAAAGCCCACACGTTCCAGGCGCAATATTTCAGCCGGTGGAAGAATGTACTGTTGAGTGTACTCTGTCGGATTGACAGGATTCCGAGCGGGTGTTTGGGGAACAGAGCGAGGCGCCATCACTTCATCTGCAGGGGACTGTTGACTTGTTGGAGATAGCGGTAATAGTCCAATACAGCTTTCTTGCGTTTTGAGTGATGAAGAAATGGCGATAGCGCCCCATTCCTCGTCGGGAAAGCCAGTCCCAGTACTCTGCATGCTTCTTAATGACCGGGCATCGTCCCCCTCGCCAGCCCGAGGAAAGGCGGCAACCGCATCCCTGTCAATTGTAGAGCCAATAGACGAATATTTCGAGAAGAATCGCCGCTTCGGTGTAGTCTCCCTGTCCTTCTCGTCCTTGGGTTTTGTGGTATCCTTCTCCTTCACGGTTTTCTCCTTGGCCGGCTTCTTCTCCTTCTCCTTTGTCTTAGTCGGAATAGGCAGGGACATCTCAGATGTTGAGCGCTGGCCAAACGACGAGCTGTGCCTCAGCTTGTTCGTCGGAAGGCTTAGTTGGAGTGAGCGTTGACGCTTGGAGGGGGTTGCAGGGCTCTCGGATGAGGGAGGGGACGTTGAGGGTGGTACAGTACCGGAAGAAGGCGAGAGCGCTAGGTTAGAGGATGCTGCTGAAGAGCCACTAGGTCCGGATGACTCTCGATTGAGACCTCTCTGAGACGATGTCTTCTTGGTTAACCGCGGGGAGCTTGATTTCGATGAGTTGAAGGAAATAGCAAGCGAAGCGGTGGATAAAGGCGAAGTCGGCGACATTTTACGCTCCAAAAAAGCGAGGTCGACCTCGAGCTCATGCATACGCTTCTGCAGAGCTGAGGACTGCATCCGAGCGGGTAAAGGCTCTGGCGGAAGTGGGGCTGATGGTGGTGGACCAGGAACAGAAGTGTGCAGGGGAAAGGGGTAGTTATAATCCTGATCCTCTTCGTCTCGCTCGGCCACATTCCACGCTTGATTAAGGACGGAGCTATCGCGCTGTGCTGGAGGCATGGAAGACGAGGACCACACCTCGGGTGCTAGAACTGTATTATTATATTCTCTTCTGCTGGAATTTCGGATCGGCAACACATCTAAGAAATGCGCTGGCAACGGAGGTGACTGAGAATGGGCTGGATGGCCCCGCATGGGCAAATGATGCGGCGCATGAGGTGTGGCTGGGAAAGAATCGATGAGAGCCGGGGTGGTTGGTAATGAGGAAGTGCCAGCCGAGCCTACGAGAGTGTCCAAATGAAGGAGGACGCCATCGGCACTCACGGTATCATCATCCTCGGAGCCACGTTCTCTGATTCGAATTGGGTGAACACTAGAAGGTATTCCAGAGTTGTAAGGAGACTCATGCGTCGACGGTGGGGGTGACGGGTATTCGTCTGCATGGGGCGATTTGATACCAAGAACGGAGGTTGGGGCAGACGGATCCGGCTGTAGGACCATGCCGTTTGCATGTGCAATAGCAGCGGCAAGCGCAAGGGATTCGACACTAGTGGCGGAGGTGCCATACGGACGCTTGTTGCCGGCGCGGATGACTTCTGAACCTGCAGAAGCGGGACCGATGCTGCGACCGTGGTCAGAATAAGATGCACCGTCGGATCCCATCACAGGTCGGGAGGGCCAGTTTGATGGGCCAAGCGATGGCCGCCTCGCAGGTCTATTCGACGTAGCAAGGAATGAATAGGTCAGGGAAACGTCAATATCTGGGTTCTTAGTTGATACTCACACATTTGACGGATCAATGTGCTCTGGAGACGCGGCATCTGGCCTGATGAGGCCAGGTTCCGATGCATCACTGGCTTCAAAATTCCACAGGAGACCTGTGTCCTTTTGGCGTGGCTCTGTATGAATTGGAGAGCTCGCGAGTGCCGTCGACGGCGTTGGGGGCGTGTGCGCCGCAAATGGATCATAGTCCTGACCCGTCCCGAAAAACCGCTGCTGGTACGACGGCGACACATTTCCAGAGGTAGATTGCTGAGTCTGTTGCTGCTGGAAATTCGACGAGGGACGCCGTTTCAGACCAAAGAGGAGGCCAAATCGTCCGGTTGGCGATTTGGCGGAGGACATTACACGAAGGGCTGAAGAGCGTCACGAGGAGCTCAGAGCGGCCCAAAATACGGCTTTTGACCCTCCTCCAGTACAAATTATGTGACGGACGTGGTCAAGGTAGGTTACAAGTTCGGCTGACAGGCCCTGCCAAACAGTGGTAGTACGAAAGCTCAGGCTTGCGCGGGGCCCGAGTTTCACGGGGTAGATGCACTCAAAAGTTCTGAAATATATGTCAAAATGCATAAATTTGTGATGAACTCCAGTTCGCGATCCCCGCCGTATTCCCGCGTCTCTCATGCACGTTTCAATCGTATTGCATCCTACAAAGGTACTGTCATGCAACCGTTTCGGAGCGTCCTTCGTCACCTGCACTTGCCCCCTATGGAAGTTTGGGTCCCCGTAACTCTGTGCCCCCTGACTCCGTTCGGGGGACAATGGCCCAGATCAGATTCCTCGGCACTCTAGACAGTGGAACCGACGTGATTGCCACCCGGTCGCGCTCGCCCAGCGGCCAATGGTCAAGATGAAACACCGACGACGGACCGTTGCCCGATAAAACTGCATCGTACGCCCTCGGGTGCATTTGACGTACTTGCTGATGGTATTGGCACAAGGTTGGCATGCAACAGGGGAAGCTCTGTCGAAGAGGTTGTGTTCTAGTGCTGTTGTTGCTGTTGCTCGTCGTCGGCGTTGATTCGCAACACTTTGACCCATTCTCGGTAATTGAAGTTGCCCTGTCGATCGGTAAAGGGACCTTTGAGGAATCTGTCAATCTGGTACGCGTTGTCAGTCGCCTGGATTTCTTATGCGGAAAAATCCTCGATGAGCACGTACCTCTTCAGGTTCCATTCGCTCGCCAACCTCTGAAAGCCATCGACGCATCTCGTCACTCTTGACAAAGCCGGTGTCTCCTTCATCAAAGCTCTCAAAGGCTTCGATGAGCTCGGCTTCGCCATCAAACTCGAACAGATGCTCTCCCATCATCGTGAGGAACTCCATGAAGTTGACCCCTTCCCCGGATTTGTCAATCTGTCCGCCGGGACGAGAAGACAGTAGCTCGCTTAGTTTATCCCTGGACGCTGGCATGCCTGTGTGGGATGACGGGTGTCAATTGGATCTCATCGAAAACATGATAGTTGTGAGAAAGGCACTATGACGATCAGGATGATGCATCCGTTCCATCTGGAATACAATGTCTGCATGAGTCTTTACTCACCAAGACTAACAAAGATACGTTTCAGATCCTCTTCGGAGATGATCCCATCACCATCCTGATCGATCAGTGAAAACGCTTCGCGGAATTGCTGAACTTGAGCCGGTTGAAACAGCGTAAAGACGCCTGAAGGTTCTCGTCTTGACCGTGATCGCTGAAGTTTCCCCCCAAATCTAGAACCTGTTGATGGAGCACTGGGTGTGAGATTGGACCCATAGCGCGACATGATGCTAGATGGAGGTGGCTGAGTCCAAGTGGTGTGCAGCTTTGTTGCCCCTTCAGACAACCAGTTGAATTATATGGTGGCAAGAAACAAGTTGCATATTCACGGCCATCGCGCGTTGTTTGTTTGCTCGTTTGGTGACAACCGCGTCGATTATGACTTCCGCCGCCGTGGGCACAGATGCTCCATACGAGCTGCCATGGTCGCTTATACAATTTAGCGCTCAAATTATTGCTCACTTTCTTCTACAGGGTCGAAAAATATCGACCACAGGTCTTGGATGATGTTGTTGGAAACGAAGAGACGATTGATCGGCTCAAAGTCATTGCAAAAGAGGGAAATTGTCCTCATATCATCATCTCTGTGAGTATGCTGTGTGCTCTAATAATCTCTAATCCATTCCAGGGCTTGCCTGGCATTGGCAAAACGACGAGTATCCATTGCCTCGCACACCAGCTCTTGGGACCTGCCTACAAAGAGGGTGTTCTCGAGTTGAATGCTTCTGATGAACGGTATGATCATCATGTGCTCCTGCTCGCCACATCTAATATGGTCTAGCGGTATAGACGTTGTTCGCAGTAAAATCAAGTCTTTTGCGCAGAAAAAGGTTACGCTACCCCCAGGTCGCCACAAAATTATCATCTTGGACGAGGCAGACAGGTATGGTTACGACTACGCCGAGTCGCTCTCTGATCGTAGTAGCATGACGGCAGGAGCACAGCAAGCTCTGAGAAGGACGATGGAGATATTTTCCAACACGACCCGTTTTGCACTGGCTTGTAATCAGTCCAACAAGATCATCGAGCCCATTCAGAGTCGATGCGCAATCCTACGGTTCACAAAGCTTTCAGACGCACAGCTCATGAAGCGCTTGCTCGAGATATGTGACCTAGAAAAGGCAATCTCTTCCTTTTGCAATGAGAAGCTAGCTGAGTAGGACTCCAGGTTCAGTACAACGAAGACGGTCTCAAGGCGTTGATCTTTACCTCGGAGGGAGACATGCGTCAAGCAATCAATAACCTACAATCAACCCACTCGGGCTTTGGATTTGTCAACGGTGACAACGTTTTCAAAGTCTGCGACCAGCCGCACCCGCTCATTGTTCAGGACCTCATCCGCTACTGCGTGAAAGGCAATATTGATAGAGCTATGACACAACTCAACAAACTTTGGGATGATGGGTATGCAGCCGTTGATATCGTCGTGACTGTTTTCCGAGTCGTAAAGTCCTTCGACGAGTAAGGTTCCCTTTACCTGATGCAAGCAAAGGCATTGACACATTCAGATTACCTGAATATACCAAGCTTGAGTACATCAAAGTGAGTACGGCAACATAGTGAATTCAAAGCTCAATCCAGACAGGAAGTCGGCTTTGTGCATATGAGAGTTTTGGAAGGCGTTGGCACTCTGGTGCAACTTGCTGGTCTCGTGGCTCGACTTTGTAAACTGGTATGTCAGTTCTTCGCTGACACTTTCCACCATTTACGCTTTACAGAATATGAAACCTGCCCAGTTCAAGATATAGACTGATTGTACAATTCTACGTCCGCTAACCTCGTTCCTGAACGAGTGTATCGATAATCTTCCTGATCCTACCAAGCGTGGTTCTCTTACCTCTGACCACCTACTACCTCGCATCGAAATCGAATCGACCGCTAAGCCATAGATTACATCTTGGATGGTGGTCAAGTGCCTTTTTTGGAACTTTTGAGGGCACTACTCATCACTGCAGCGCCGTCAATGGACCTGATGATTGTATGGCGGAAGCGGGGCTGTTGACCATCGACCTCAGATTCGCTCACCGGACTCGCTTTGGAGGGAAAAGGAAATCCGATAGGTGCTAGTGTACATAGGACGAACTACTCGTCAACAGGACAAGCTAGAGTCCATGCGTATGGGCCATACGCAGACGTAGAAATACATTTGTATGACAGGAGACCATCCAAGAAGAAAAAATCTGATGATAACTGCGTGTGCGACTCCTGAGAACCTGGACGCGGTGGCACGTCGCAGGTTCTACGGGAGCTCTGTTTAGAGAGGTGGAAGCCTAGTTTTGAGTCTTGAAAGGTCGTTAAGATGGGGAGAAACGGGGTCAGACGGCCGCAGCAGACGTGCGGGTGGCATCTAACTCGTGAATAGTCTTTGCGAGCTTATGCCACACAGCATCCCTCTGCTTCTCGTAGCGTGCCAATCCACCAACGAGGACGTTGTGGGCGAGACCCGGAGTATGGAACACATGCCACTTGCCCGGCTCTAGCGTTCCAATCCGTACGTGGTCTGCGCTACCTCGTCCAGTTGTCATTCTAGAATAAATATGGTCGTGAGAGTCGTGATCGAGAACCGAGTGTGCGGTGTGCAACGACGTCGAGCTGGTGCTTGTGCTCTGAGGCGCCGTATGGAACGAGCTCGTGCTCTCATTGTCACTCATCGTAGCAGAGCATGAAGACGAGGATCTAACATGCCTGCTGAGCGCACTCACGAGCAACGTGCTTCGTCGCTTGAGCGAGAGTGAGCTTCGCTTGGACGCGCCAGCCTCTCCGTTTCCGTCGAGGTAGACGCTGTGCCTCTTGGAAGGCCATGTAGAGCTTGCATTTGGAGACGGAGAAGTGGGACGGGATGGGAGACGGTGGGGGGAGGCAACGGCGCCGTAGGCTTGTCTGTCCCGAAATTGAGTGTGCCGTGGTGAACACAATGTCCATCTGCACATTCTGCGGGATGAGATTGGCTGAAAAGCGGTACGACGCCATCATTTTCCCATAAATCCTTGCGCAGCTTCTTCTTATCCGCTGGGCTTGGAAGTCCATTGAGCTTGCGCCATGCCTCTTGTGTCCCGTCCTCTTCCTCGTTGATGTGTTCTTCAGTTGCAGGTGTAGTCTTTTTCTCTGTCCACTGCGAGGCCCAGGTAGCGTACCAGTCTGTCGAACTCCATCGTCGGAAATGTCCACTGGGTCGCTCCTTCTTCACCTCTGGCTTCTTCTCTTCCCCTGACGCAGGCTTGGCAGGAGCAGATGTCTCGACACCAAGGACTTTTTGCGCCTTGGGACTGAGGATGCCCAATCCAAGTGCAACCTCGGGTCCAATCATAGAAGATCGGATAGATGCATCACGTCGTCGCTTCTTGACGCTGATCTCGTCCATCGAGACTGTTTCCGCTTTTTGCACCTGATCCTCGGGCTTGGGAATTTCTTCCGAGAACGAGAGAAGCTGAACTGGGCTTGGGATGCCTGGGTCCTCTTCTGCAATAGGCGAGGGGAGTGTCTTGTAGATACTGATCATGGCAGGCGACGAGGGCCTGGAAATATCGATTCCAGCCCCAAACGATTGGGAGTTTTGTGTACCCCAGTCGTCACATCCATTCGAGGAGCAAGTGCATCCAGAGGGCGTCGAGCATCTAGACGAGCTGTATCCACTGGATCCAGACTCGCAGGAACCACACGAGGTCGAAGACGTCGAACGTCTAGGCACGCCGCCAAACGCCTCGCTTTCGTAGCTCTTACGAACGTCCAGGCTCGGCCGGATCTCGAGGCTGGGTCTGTAAGGCGTAGTGATGATCGGGACGGCATTATGCTCCTCTGCAATCGGTGCAACGCTTGGTGCAGAGGTCATCGTCAAACGACGCCTACTCATGCGCTTCTTGTCCAAACTCGTCCTCTCCTCGTGGACGGACGATTCCTCGAGACGGGGACGCTCCTCTTGTGGTTGTTCAAAGAGATGCTCGGGGACAGGCTCGAGCTTGTACGAAAAGCTGCCGATCATCTTGCTGAGGACATAGAGCATCAGGTCTCCTCTGAACCGTCTGTCTGGTCGATGATGGACGGCCGGAACTTGTGGGCCATGACCAGGGAGGCCATACGCCACCGACTCGGTGTCCTGGTAGGTGATGGAACCGGTGAAGCTGGCATAAAAGACGGATGATTGCAAGGCATTCTCGCCTGCAAGCTGACGACTGTGCGCAGCGTGGAGCGTGGCATCGTACGAACCAGAGTCTGCACTGTCTGCCCACGAAGAGGTACGAAGCTGGGAGATCAATGTGCCCATCGACTTGAACAGTCCGCCCCACGTTCTCCGTTTCCCATCCTTGATTCTCATCGACGCCGCCGACGCATTTTCGTTGATGGTCAGCTTTGACGTGTTGGCGTCTGCCCAAATGCCCAGGTTGCGAGCGTCTGGTTGGAAATCAAAACCGCCGCTGGCTGAAGAGCCGAGGAGAGGATGGAGAAAGGAGGAAATGTGAATGTACTTTGAGATGAGGCTGCCGACGGTGAAGCTGCGGAGTTTGGTCTCGTCTGCGCGGTGACTGGCGCCCAAGAGGTAGACGATGGGCGAGCCCTGGTAAGGGGAAGCAACGGACAAGAGCGAAAGCACAAGCGAGGGTGTGTATTGAGGGCCGAAGAAGCCGGCTTGGAGGAGCGAGAGCAGCTTGAGCACGGTCGGGCCACCCTGTTTCAAAAAAACCATGTTTAGTCTAGATTAGAGCAGAAAGTGGAACGAGAAGGCGCCCTGATTGATAAGATTTGCGCCTAGAGCACAGAACAAGGTGCCGAGAAGGGAAGAGCCGGGTCGAAAGCCGGCGGCCAGTTAGGTAAAGAGGTAGACCGGCAGGTACAAATGATAACCGCCGCAGGGCCACGTTTTGTTGGGATCAGCATGAAATAATCAAACGTACTAGCGAATGTGCGACAAAATGAACCGGGTGCTCCTCTGACCACTTTGGGTACAGCCCATGGGCATATTTGCGCCCATAGCGGCCATGGCCATGCTCGAGTGCATGCTGAGCGCCGTAGTCGACGCGACCACCAAGCAACGACCAGAAGATTTCGCATGCTCGGTCGTGTAGCGAGCTGCATGCGCCGACCCTGGTAGTAACCCAGATTGTTAGCGACGTTGCTGGATACACGCTAGTAGTAATAACACTAATACTTACGGTGCAATAATAATCTGGCGCGCATTGTCGTCTGTGAAATACTGCTGAATGTCGCCCCAGTAGCTCGTCGAATTGCGGGTCAGGAAGCCGCCAACGACGACCACAGGGGGATTTTCGTGTTGTGGATGCATAGATAGAGGCGGGAGAAGGGGACAGTCGGGGTCGAAGTGGGTGGGATCAGCCAAGCGAAGCACCTGGGGGTTATATACGCAGTCGTGGGATAGACGAGTTCTCCCGACCGACCGGCCCACAATCACGTCAGTTACCGATTCTACGGGACCGTATGGGCTCAGAGAACCTCCCTTGCGGGCTCACAGAAGCGGTCTCCACCAAACGCTGACTGGCCCGAATAGCTGGGAGAGTACAGGCGGATTGAATCGGACGAAATGACATATCCTGTGGAATACGGATTGCGTCTTGCCATTTTAAGGAATTGCAGGGTCATCGTGCCACCTCTCCAGGCCACGAGGCAATCCATCCAGTTCGGATGATCCTGCATCCCATAACTCGCTTAGACTGATGCGAAAACCTGCCGTAGGGCCTTTGTCGGAACTTTCCAAGCTCTTCGATGTACACTCTCGCTCCTGTTCAGTTCGATCACGAATAGGCTTCACCATTCACTTGTGGTCAAGTCACCCGTCGAGCGGAGTTTAAACTATACTCAAGCCACAACCCCTCCTAAAGGTGCCTCTGTACTACAATCTTCCGGTTTATAATCGGAATTTAATCCAAAAGTGTTTTTCAGGACGTTTCTCAGGGGCTGTCAGATTACGACGTATTTGTCTAAATTTGTCATTGTACCTTGGCTCGCTCACAAACGAGGGAAACAATTCACGTCAACAATCGGCTTTGCTCTTGTCCAATTGAGTCTTGCTACTGCCAACAGTCGCAGCACGATAGTTCCAACCTGTTTGCCACAAGCATAGGGTCTCCACTATCAAACCTTCGACCCTTCACTATGAATATGGAAGATGCTCCATCGCCAGAATGTTTGATGAATCCGGACAGTCTGCAGGATTGGCGCAGGTACATATATCCCGATATCAACCAGCAAATCGAGGCATTAGATATGATACAAGAGCTTTGTCCTGTGATAGATGAGCTATTCGTGCAGAGTGGCCCGTCGAGTATTGTGCAAAATCCTCCGTCAAACATCATCTCGTATCTCAACGCGGTCAGTGCTGAACTGGCCGACAACATCAGTATGTCCTCACATGCTCTATGAGCTTTTCTCGTCATGCTCAGCTTAGATGACAAGATAGTATTTAAAGTCATATTGATTCAGCTCTTGTGATCAACTCAAACTCGACCTTTACGATTTCTGTTTCCCCAGACGAAATCTACAATGATCTCATGGTGCTGCATGCAGGGGGCGCCGTCGGACGAAGAACAATCATTATCGCGAGTTTGAGAGAGCCAGATTTGGTTATCAAAGAGCGATACGTTAGACACGGGACAAGACTCAAGGAGGGCGAACTATTGACCAAAATTCACGCAAAGGGGCAATTTCTGGTATCGTTCGTCTCAAGCATTATGGAAAAGGCAGGCCGTTTGCAGAGTTCAGCACAATCCGTGAAATGTTGATGATCATTTATGACCTCTTGGAAGGCTAGTGTTTATCTCTTTTTCGATTGTACGCTGAACTTCCCCCGGTTGTCCGCCTCCTCTACAGAAAACGCAAGGTCCTGCATGGTTACATAAGCCCTGGGAATATACTCTTTGAGATTTGCCCCTAATGGAGCAATGCACCTACCTGACATTGAGGATATGTGCTTTTGCCACTGCCTACTCGATCCGGGTATAGTGACACCGTGAGTTAGCAAGATGAATACTGGTTCGAGCTTACTCACAAGCTAGATCTTTACTGCATGAGCGTCTCCGTGCATCGGTTTTTCTGGCAGACTTTGATTGTGGGTACGACATGGAATCTCTGTCGCCGAAAGATCGCGCAGGTGACATGATATTGTCACTCTAGATCCATAATGCATGTTTTACTGATGAAGAAGCTGTACAGGGCACACTGTCGTTTATGGCAGTCGCAACAATTGGCACTCGGTCAGCAGTTGATGAGATACTACCCATTCCGACAGTTCATGACATCCTTCCTCCTCGCTACCAGAAACTGATTCCAAATCGGCTTAAACACTTCCCGGAAAACGAACCGGAGATCGTCAAAGCCAAAGCGGTGACATACGGGCCAGAATTTGAACATATTCTACAATGAGATGTCGATTTTGTGTTCTGGTGCATGGTTTGGTGGCTTATTCAAGCTCAACCGGCGGGTTCCAAGGGTGACAAGCTTCATCTGTCGGATTGGCTGGACTTGGTGGGGCTCAAAATAAGCGATACAACCATCACGTTGTCTCACGCGCCCTTTACGTTGCATTCCGTCTACGCCGATATCAGCTCCTTGCTCGAGAGCATGAGGGAGCACCTACGCATCGATCCCGGGTCTTCTAAAGACGACATCAGAAGCAAAGATCCCGATACCTGTGTGAGGTATTCCAGAGACTCATCCTCAACGTTCTTGTGGAGAATAAGAGTGCCAAGTACTTGCGTCTACCAAAGGACGTTACATGGCATGAGACGGGTGATATGTTTTGGGGTGCAAACGGATCCACGGCAAGCTCAACGACTAGCCATTGTTCCGCTACTTCAGAGACAAAAGCTGGGTATGTCACAAAGCGAGCACGCGAACAAGGAGAAAGCAGCGATGAGGTGACATTCAGTTGTCTGTTCTGGTACAATGGCTGACGTCCGTTCGGGAGGAACTACAGTGCAAGAAGGCTCGAATTGAATAAGACTGTTTACTATATATATAGCTACACCGGAAGTGTATTCAATACTGATTTTATAAACCTTTGCATTGATACTATTGTGATGTCAGGATCTATCTTACTCCTTCGCTATCGGAGTCGTCACTATTCAATTAGGATGGCTGTGCTTTGTGCCAACTAGTTGAGATTTCGGCATCTTCTATTACTGCATCTCGTAGTTCAGCCCAACCCATAACTGGTGACAGTGCTCGGAGTATATCTTATCTTCTAGTGGCGCTTAGTCCACCACGGCATTCGTTTGAGGCCTGTTGGGGATATGGCTCGAAGTCCTGTTGATAAACGCTAGTCTATAAATGAGTATCAAATCCATGAGTATATTTAATCGGCCCTTGTAGAATTTAGAACTGTTGACCCGTGAAACGGGCTGGTTTTGGTGGTGCTCCAGTTCTTGACGCGCACCACGACCATCCGACGCGGCATTGGGCCAGGCTTCTGAACCGCAACCTCCAACTCAAAGCCCTACAAATACCCGGTACTCGGTTTCTTCTACAGATTTGAGTTAGTTGCTTGCGCATCCACTATCTGCTTTGCTCCTAAGGCTTACTGACATGGTTCCAATCTTGACAGCACATTTGCGTCGTGGAACAATGGGGGACTCTACCGCACCTCCAAAGGCCACCGTTGGGCCGAGTCAGTCTTCACCTCTCAAGCCAGGCCGGCCAATGGTCGATCCAGCCAGCCGAAGCGAATGGAGCGAGTATGTCTACTCGGAACCTGATATCGTCAAGAGTATCAGTAGCAAGGAGATGATTGCCAAACTGTGTCCTCACGTACACGAGGACTTGAGCTGGGGTAAAGCAGCGAAGTCACAAAAATGCAATACGTCACCACTCAACATCGTGGAATATCTAAACGAACTCTCTGTCACAGTATCCAAGACCAAACGTGTTTACCGCTTTCACCTTGATATGTAGAATATTGGTTGATGCCCCTCCAGCCACTCACAGATTCAAGTTATTCTTTATAGAGACGAGATCTGATGCACCAAAGGATCACCCAACGGGGACAATATGTCGACCAGATTTTGTTGGTTATAGGAGAGAACCGCGCAGAAATCTCACCGCCAAGACTATCAAATGGTCTCAAATTCAAGTTACCGGAGAAATATTCGCAAAAGGTGATACAAACTACGACACTCGGTCGAAGGCTGGATCGTACGCAGCATTCAACTTGCAAGCACGACCAGATTTGGTCTCTGGGACAGGTTTATGCGTCAAAGGGTCCGATGTCTCGATCTATTTCATCAACGCCTCGAGGATCTATACGTGCGATACAACGTTATCGACCCGCAGTGGCAATGTCCCGCGGCTGATCTATGCCTTCATGTGGAACCTCTACCATCCGAGAGTGGATCCATCCTTCACACTCGATCTGGGACCTCCCCCCGTTTTCTCCCTTGAGGTAACTCCCGACCTCTATAAAGAGACGCTCTCAATCTTGCGGGTCGGCGACACACTTGGCTGCCGCACAATGATCCTGGAGGACCCAAAAGACCCTTCTTTGGTCATCAAGGAGCAATATATCCAACCTCAACGAAGATTCAGGGAGGGAGCGTTGCTGGACAAAATCCACGCGAACGGGAGCCATTTTCCCGGCATCGTCCGTCATGGTTACCATGGAGAAGTTTGTGATACAGACGGGAAGGTTATTAGTACGGGAGAAGGCGACTATATTCGAGTCAAGACGCGTCTAGTTCTTCTTGACAAGGGCAAGCGGTTTGCAGAAATCGAAACGCCTCGAGAGATGCTGATGATTGCCTATGATGCCTTGGAAGGTTAGTGGACAAACGCAGCTCACACTATAACCTGCTCATCGTTATGAAGTGATACGCATACTTCATCGAACACGGCATATCTTGCATCGTGATATCAGCTCTGGGAATATCCTCTTTCGTCCTTTATCCGAGGTAGATCCAGAATTCGTTCCTCAGGATATTGGAGATATGTGTTTTAGCCATTACCTCCTCGAGTCTCTTGGCCTGCGGAGTGATGAATCGCAGTAAGTTTCGAACAAGTCTCATCTTCGGCCGGCTCACGAGGTATATTCTTAGATCTTCGACGGTGAAACGCCTCGGCACGTCCCTTTTATTGGCGGATTTTGACTCCGCGCAAGATAAAATGATCGATGATGCGGACGGGCGTATGGCTCGGACCGTATGGCATTATATTTTGTGCATATATTGCAAAACTGATCGGCTTTGTAGGGTACATCGATGTACATGGCGATTGCCGTCCGGAACAATGGGGTCCTGCCCGCGATTGATGAGATACCATGCATACCAGCCGTTCATGAAGATCTCCTTCCTCGCTACCGGGAGCTACTTCCAGATCGACTTGAACACTTTCCGGAAAACGAATCAGAGATTATCAAGGCCAAAGGAGTCACTTACGGGCGAAAATTCGAACATATTCTACGATACGATGTCGAGTCGGTGTTCTGGTGCATGGTCTGGTGGCTGCTCCAAGCCAGGCCAGAAGGTTCCGAGCAGGACAAACTCCAGCAAAAAGCCTGGCAGAACTTGATAGGAGCCGAAGACAGCCGATACGACGATTATATTGTTTCACGCAAGCGTTTTCCATTCCATCCGGATTATATCGACATCAGCCCTTTATTGGAGAGCATGAGGGAGCACCTCCGAATCGACCTTGAGTTCTCCAAGGACAAGATCAAGCAGAAAGAGCCAGAGTACCTCTGCGAGGTATTCCAGAGACTCATCCTCAACTTCCTCGTTGAACATCGGAACGCCGAGTTCCTGTGGCTACCAAAGGACATAAAATGGCGCGATATTGAAGGGACTCCAATGGGCAGAGCAATAAACAGCCAGTAGACAGTTACGAAGATGTCGACGACTGGGCATGCTTCTATATTTCACGTAGTGGACCAGATCGATCAGCCAAGCGACCACATGGAGAAATTGGACTGGATGCCGAGACGGTAAGTGCTGGTCAGCCACCTGAACATCATGACTAACATCTTGTTAGGACAAACCACGGGCGAAGAAGCGGGGGACGTAAGCCCCCTTTACATTCTTTCGGCAAGCGTATACCCTGCTTGTCTCTCTTCCTCATGGCATCAACCTACACATTCTTATTACAAGAGATAGCAACATCAAGAGTGATCATCCGAGTCTTGTACCTTCACAATGCCAACAATTATGACCTACCAAGCTTAGTCGAACCTTGCCAGTCCTCAGATGGTTAAAGCGTTGGCTGCTCGAAAATACTAAGGAAATCACTGTGTTTTCCACTGCAATTTCACATGCGGATAGATTAGCAATGCTATCGGAAGCTGCCATCCAGACGGTGTGGCATTTCTACCAAACTCTAGGCTGGAGGAGCCTTTTCATGGTTTGTTTCGACTGTCTGTGTCACCTGGACTTCGATTGGCCCTGAAGATGGCTGCTCGGTCACCCAGTACTTGCTCTTCCGACCATCTTGCAGAGCATCCTCCCACTTCTGTCTAGCCTCGTCCGATGGTCCCCACTCTGGCCATTCGTCCGCAGTACTACGCTTCTGACTCGTACCCCATCCATGTCGTGCAGCTTGCTCCTCCATCTCGATGTCGACTGCCTCTACACTGCTTGCTGTGTCTTCCATAACCACTTCTCGCGCATCGTCATCATAATCTGCTACACTCTCCCCATTATCCAGCTTTGACAATGGATCTTCCCATAGGGATGTCATCAGAATTGCTTCTTCCTCGCAAGTCATATTCTTCTGTTCTGCTGTACTGGGAGTGTCGGTCTTGAAGATAATATTGCCGTCGCTGTCGACAATCCCAGAGGTCTCGAGATTGTTCCTAAAATCGTTGTTAAAGCGCAAGATGTCTCTTCTGACCGCTGGATGCCACTGAGATAGCTCTTCGAGCAGCTTTGACTCGTTGGCTGCCCTAGAATCGCCGTGATCTTTCTCATTGGGATTCTCTGCATGATCTACTGCAGCTTGCTGGTCGTCCTCCAGCGGAGAGAGCGGCGCTGCCTTGCAATATATGAGCATGAAGGGGCCTGCTCCCATATGAAGTCCTGTCGCATCCCCAAGAACAGTTGCTTCATCAACCTTCATCTGCATTAACGTCGTGTATAACAATGCAGATTCCATACCTTGGCCACGGATTCTTCCATGACTTTGTACCACTGATCGTGGGCCCCTTTGACATAAGAATACACATGATCTCGGCCATATACGCCGTCTGACATTAGAACAACTCGCAAGTCATACTTTGGATGATCAGCCACAGATTATTGAGCATTTCCAACGTACTGGGTGCTTCTGTAGGGCGGTAACATCAAAAATTGTAAGCATCTCCTTTCTTCGCTCTTCAATGAGTTCGTGGGTGCCTAGACACGTTTGAGAAATGTGCCAATCTATCAGGAAGGAGACAAACGGGAAATCTCGGCCTCCGCAGCACGTAGAACCTTTTGAATCATTTCGAGTGATGTCTTCCGAACAACTTCCTCCGGATCCGCAGGGTTATGTGATGCCAGATCGGTGAAGTATTTGATTGAGGCGCGCATATATTTCAGATTTGACCGTTCCTATTTATCCCATTAATTCGTCAGCCAGGTCCCGTATTGATGCTTACAGGGGCACCTTCGAGCTTCTCTACCTTGTCCTCCAACTCTTTGATTGCTTGATTCAGCATAGCGCGCACCTTGCGTTGATTGCTGGTAATCTCGCTGTTCTCGTGTAGAAACGGATCGATATAGATTCGTGCTGGGAAGCGGAGTCGATGTTTCTGTGTCGGTGCAGAAGCTGCCCGGCTTAGGCCCGAGTTGGAAGTCGAGGGTACATATGATTTGAGTATGGAAGACTGGGGAACTGGTCCCTCCTCATGTGTAATACTGAAGGTGAGCACGTCTGCTGGATCCTCAAGCTTGCGTGACCATGTCAGCTCGTGGAGCAGATAAAGAAGATCGTTATCCGGTGAGTTTATGTTTGAAGAAATTGGAATTATGGGAAGCTTGCTTCTTGACCCATTGTCGGATTCATGCGCTGCAGCCTCCTCGCTGAAGAATTTGGATGACTGAAATGCGCCGCTAGGAGGTATCCAGATGGTCGAGCAGAGCATACTCGAAAGATGATATCTGGTTATTTGCACCGAATCCATCACAAAGCGGTTGTAGTATGCTTCGACTTGCTCCTTGATTGTCTTGAATCCAAGATGAGCAATCCCTCCTTGCGCGCCAGAAATCTCATCTAGGATAACCTCGGCCCTAGTGGACATCCTCATTATAGAAATACATCTCCAATAGAGATGTATACCCTGGTCCCAAAAGTTGATGACGCCAGGATGCTCCACGGCGTTTCCAAACATCATATGTCTCATGGTTTCATGTATCTGCGGAACATGATAGAATGCTTGGATTAAGAGTGCCAGTGCAATAGCATCTGGGTTGTGTGACCGCAGTCGGACTGGGACCTCTGGGCTGAGGCGGATTTGACCCCAGATTGGCACTTCAACAAATCGATTTCCGCCCGCGTCGAGCATAGAGTCTTGTAAGGAGGCTGAAATGGCTTTGGACAAGTCGTCGTCTTGACGTGATTGGCTATTCGAATATTGATTGTAGCTGTTTGGGTCCGGGTGTGGACCGTATACTGGGCCTGCATACACTGGACCTGTAGTTGTGGCGTAGTTATGTGATTCAGTAGCAGCGTTTTGGGTCGGCACGTGCACGAGCGCCATCGAGGATGCTTGAGGACTTGGGCCGGTGACCTCTACATGGATGGGTGAGTTATTACCTGAAAATATTGAGTCAGAGCTACTAGAGGTTAGTGATTCGGGACATACGAGCTCTGCCTCGGTCCGTCGCATTGAGGGCGCCTCTACCCCGATTCCAGAGTTCCTGATCTGCCATTGAAGCACCCAATAATGGATCAATATTCTCATCCATCTGACAGATTCCGTCATAAGAAAGGATAATAGCAGGATTCTTGGCCTACCGGACCAGAGACATCCATTAAGGAGTCGGTATTCATGCTCAAGATCGCCTCAACTGCTGCGTTTATGTCTTTCGGGTGCTTGAAAAGTGCAGCTTGATCCGAAGATGCGTCAGAGGCTGCCCTCAAGCAGTCAAATCCTGGTGCATACCGCGGATTACCTCCTCAGATGCGTCAGGAGCAATCTCCTTTATGAAATTGATTTGGTCTGTCGGATCCATGTCCATCTTGAGTCAATATATATCGCCCAAGTGGGGTGAGGTTCCAAGTTTGAAAGTCAAGGGTAGCGTAAACATCGAGAGCGCGGGGCATCCAAGATGCCCTCACAGATGATTTAATTGTCATAGTTTTACAAAAGTCAACAGAAATCGTCCTATTCGGAGAGTACAAAGCAGTCCGTCAAAGTGGCTACGCCGTCACGGTCCTATGGTAGACTAAGCTTGCTTATCATAGTCTATATGAGCAACTTGCCATTTTGGTTGGCCCTTCTCGGGAATTCCTGGCGTCCCCACATCACTGTTCTGGTCCGCGAAGGGATCCGCAAACGGATCCTCGTCGTCCAAGAGATTCTGGGTATTATCTCCAGACTCATAGTCATCATAGATGTTTCCTTTGTTCTTGTAATCAAACTTAGACGATGTGGACGGACGTCCAGTTGATGTCGAAGCACGAGGAGCCTCATCGGAAGATGACTCGTAATCACTGAAGTCGGAAAGCGAGCCGTGGTCATTATTTCTGTGATTGGTTGAACCAGGGGCTGAAGGTTTGATCGGTGGAGGGAGTCTAGATCCCTCATCGAAATTGAGGTCTTGCAGGTCTGGGTGGGCATTCGCACGAGCTTTGGCGCGCTCTACTGCTACACGTTGCTTCTCTTGTAATCTTTCTAGTTGCCCGCTGATGCTGGCACTGGAAGATCTCGCCCAGTTTGGACCAGCTTCGGTACTTTCCACCGCACTCGCCGGAGGCGTCTCATCAGAATCTTCATCAGCCGTTTTCAGAAGCTAAATCCTATGAGAATTTGGTTCAAACTGACATAATAAGCCTTACCGTATCGTACATGTCCAGTGCTGCAATGATTCGTTCGTTGGTGTCGATAAGAGTTCCAATGAGCTCTTCATTTTCGACCAGCTAGATGATTCAGGACAGTGCTATGCAAAAAAAAAACTCGATGACGAACCTGGATGTAGCGTACAACTTGCTTGCGTGCGGCCTTCGCGGCAGTAAGAGTCTCCTGCACACGTGGATTATCCTGAATACTCTCTTTCTCTCTATTGACAAGCTTCAAGGCATTGATAAGATTGTTCGTGCACTGGGAGGCATTGGCAATTGAGGTGAGAATAGCCGGCTTCTCCTGTTCAAAGTTGAACGGCTTCCTCTGCTTGTTGGCTGTGGGCCGAGATTTGTTTGCAGCAGCAACCTGTCTTTGTTTACGACGTTCTTCCTCGGCTTCTCTCTCCTTTGTCTTTCGATCCTCCTTTTCCTTTGCCTTACGTGCACGCTCGGCCGCAGCCGCCTCCATCGAAGCGGTATTCGTATTGAGTGATGGTGTTTGTCGGTGTGTCGGCTTCACTGTCGAATATAGTCCTGCCACCACACGCATGGATGGCACATCCTTGAACTCTCTATGCCAGCCTCCGAATAGTGAAACGAGGCGCTTCTTGACATTTGCATCCGTATGCGGGTTTGTACTCATTGCTCGAAGTTGTTCGACCAGGCGCTCGTCGGCAAATGTCTCTGCAAATCCCGGTCATGTGATATCAATATTCGTCGTGAACGCGTACTCTGGAATCTAGAGCCTCCATTCTCGACCAGAGCCTTCAAGATCTAGCCGATTAGCTAAGTCGAGAACAGGAATATTCTGACGACCGCATACCGTGATTGCACGTATTTGACGGTGTACATTGCCGTATTTCAGCTTCTTCCTGATCGCCCTCGATGCTTCCGTCGGCCTGTCCTCCATCAGTCATCGTCGCTAAGCTATCATTAGGTATGAGACGTACCCGGTTGCTTGTAGGTTGATCGAATCGACGAGTTCTGGGATGCTTGAGAGATCAGTGAGTACATTAAATGAGCGTATAGCTGGGGCAGTACCCATCCAACTCGTCAAGGGCGTAATTCTCGCCACTGAGCCGTTCAATCCAGTCGGAGATGGACGACTATGTGCACAGAATCGTATCAGCACGCTTTAGACGACAATATCTTGAGCATACGTGCGGCTTTTCTGACCTCAGCGCAGAGAGGACCGATGACATTGTGGATGGCGAAGAGTCCAAGCCAAGCTTGGTGCATCTTTTGCTTCCAGCGCCGACCCACATTTAGACTGAACACTGGCACATATGGCTCCATAATACTCGTTATTATACTACATTTCATACACAGCAATATCCATCCCAACGACCAGATTTCCGAGCCACTACGAGTCATCGACGCCCAATAAATGAGAACGGCTCAGGACAAAGAGGCGTTGATAAAACAACTCGAGGTCCGTGAAATGATTCAAACCACTCTCTTGACGTTTACATGATCTTCAGGCAGAGTTTTGCCCACCACTCGACACGTCTCTGGTGTTGGCTCTATGCAACGACATAGATGAAGGCGAAGAATCCATTACACAACTACGAGAATCTCTGCAAGCACTCGCAGCAGATGCCACAGTGTCGTTATCCGAAGTAGATGGACAGGATCCCGGCTCGACCTCTGCGCTTCCATCGGCCTCGCCCTCCGACGACCTCAATTCGCCTCTTCAGTTTCTCCAGAATGCATTCCCAACTTTCTCGGTCCATACGCTCCAGGAAGTCATCGAGGACGCTGTGAGCCAATATGGTGGACTTGACATGGCAAAGCTAGTCGAAGAGCTACTCACAAGGGAGATACTAGAAACGATAGGCCTACCAGAGTCACCACAGGAGCAGCCATGGCCGAAGACCAAGAAGAAGCAGAAGAAGAACAAGGGCGTCTCTAAGCTAGTTTTTGGTGACGTACGACATCGCCAAACCTCATCGAAAGAGTGCCCAGAGGTGATAGATCCTTGGTCCCAGCTCTCCTCTCTAGCGGACTATCTCTCGACGTTGCTCACCGGGACCACGGCTTCATCATTTTCCTCACGGTTCCACTCGGACAAGTATCCGACAGTGCTTGAAGCGGTGCTCGCGTATCTCAATGACCTTCCGCCCTCTGATAAGTCTACAGAGGAAGTGGACGAAGGCCTCATCGCCATCATCGACGCATTACCCAGAGATGACTCTGATGAAGTCAATGCCCAATGGGCTAGACGCTGTGTGGAAGCAACAGATCGGCTGGAGCATGCCGTATGTCTCTACGAGCTCTTGCAAGACTTGAGTAAAAATGCTCCCATAAAGCATCTGCAAGCTCCTGCTATACACCCTCCCGCGATCTCATCACCACTTCCATCATCTTCCAGTGGCTCCTCTGCTGCACCCACACGACAAATTTCCAATTTCACACAGCCGACTGCACCGAGCAAACCTCGGAAGCCTATGGCCGCATCCTCAGCATGGCGGGTCGTCGAAAAGCGCGAACCAAAACAAGTTCAGCCCCACCCTCACGCAGAATTTATTCCTGCCTATCGTAACCTCAAACTCGTACCCGTCTCATCACTCCCAAAGGATCCAAGTGATGAGAACATGGTCTTGAAAAACCGCACGATTGAGCAGGCCTGGCGCGACAAACGAGTAGAGGCGCTTCGAAAAGCGTCGCAGCATTGGCAAAGGAGTCAGGATGGGCTTGGGCGACAAGTCGCGGCCTATTATGCCGACGAGGCAAACAAGTTTCTCCGAGAGTCTAGAGAGGCTGCGCTCGAGGCTGCGAGAGCGCTCGTCGTCAGTAACCGGTACGTGATCTCGTCTGTGGACGCTCTTCTGGTTGTAAACTCGGTCATAGGGCACAAAATGCGGCGAATGGTTTCCATACTGATGATACGGTGGATCTTCATGGTATGAACCGAGAAGAAGCGTTGGCGATTGTCAAAGAATCATTGAATGCGCGGTTCAATAACTGTGAGTGCCCATTTCTATAGGTGTCCCTTTTCTAAGGGATCCCCCAGCTTCGCGTAATCAAGAACCACTGCGCTTCATTACCGGAAAGGGGTTGCATTCGAAAGGGCATCAGATCTTATTACCCTCAATCCAAAAGTCTCTCAGGTCGGAGGGATGGCGCACGCGCGAGGTAGAAGCCGGACTCATCGTATACGGACGATTCTAGGATCTTTCTTCTCTTTTTTTGGCCCTCACAAGCGTTCACAGTACGCTGTAGTCATCAACATGTATTGGAAAGGTTAGGAATACTATTAAATATACTCGTTAGATAGAAGCACTGAAAGACGGGGTATCGTATCGAGATCACTATACTCGGGAGAGTTGTGTGATCAGACTGACGAGGACATCCTTGTCCTCTTCAGAGTCTGCAAACATCATCCAAGCGGGTTCATCCATAAATTCGATTGCGAAAGAGTGGGGTATCGCACGTAAATCGTCGTATCCTTGATGCCATTCCTTGATTCCAGTCACATATCCCTTGAGTTCAAACGAATCGATCACTGTATGGGTTTCCTATTGGACCAGTGAAAAAGAGAGTATGGATAATAGACGATCACACATACCTCGGCGTTTTTATAAACAACATGCAGTCACTCTGCAATTGGAAGAAACGACGGCGCCAGACGATGCTCGTACCAGGTTGAATAGAGACATATCCCGTCAGCAACACTCCAGCCGTCAAACGCAGACTATCGAAACGGCGTTGAATCTCCTTCATCCTGGCAAGGCGCTCCGACTCCGCTGCGCGTCGGCGTTCTTCCTCTCGTCTCTCCCGTTCTTCCTGGCGACGTTTTTCCTCTAGGCGACGTTCCTCTGCCTTGCGTGCCTCTTCAAGTCGTCGTTCTTGTGCTGCCCTTCGACGCTCTTCAGCAGCAATACGTTCTCGCTCTTCCTCTTCTCTGCGAAGTTGCTCGCGTCGCAACCGATCGGCTGCCCTTCGACGTTGCGCTTCTTGGAATGCCACCTGCAATGAATGATGAGACTCGGCGTATAAATGAGGTTGCATGTGTACCTTTTTCCTTTCCTCTTCCTCGGCCTCTTGAAGAGCCTGTTGTTCCTTTTCGTATTTTCTTCGAGCCGCCGCTTCTGCAGCGGCACGAGCCATTTCAATCTCCTCTTGCTCCCTCTCACGCTGAAGGTCCGACTTTGTTCTCCCACGTCGATGGGGGTTTCCTATCTCCTCTCTTTCTTCGGCCCATCTGGCGCGTGACAAGGCTGCTTGCTCTTGCGCCTCGGTGAGGAAGAGGGGCCGGGAATAGGTTGTATCGCCAGAGAGATAGCCTAGTTCCGTCGATTCCTCGCGATACGTGTACGAAGTCTCACTGAGTCCTCGTATCCGTGACGTCTTGTAGGCAGTGTCTGTCGAGTATTGAGATTGATTATCACTGAACATGGAATCGGCCATGGACACTCCGCGCAAACGTGCGGCGATTGCATTTGCCGTTACAATGGGTGCATTGACAATCTCATAGTCATCCGCGTCTTCTGCGGGAGGTGGAGGTGGAGGCAATGGCGCGTCTCGCTTCTCCTGTGCAGAGATACGTCTGAGCACGGTGGGGGGCTTTGTGGGCGTCGGAGGCGCCTCTTCCTCCTCCTTGCGCGCGAGTGACGATCCGGTATACTGTGGGAGTCGGGATGAGCGCGTACTCGTTAGTGAAGCAGGGGATTGGGCTCTCGGAGTCGGCGTCTCAGCCACCACCGCGCTGGATTGACTGGCACGATTCGGAGGGAGACCATTTGCGGCCCGAGGTGCTTTCTCGTACAGCGGAAGACGATCGAGACCGAGTTTTGCACGAATAGCAGAGATTTCGACTTGATGTGCGTTTTGAACGGTCAAGGTGACGTTGCTTGCTTTGAAGAGACTGGTGACGGCCCGGGCGTGTACGAGAGCTCTTGCTGTATTGTAAAAAAAACCTGTTAGCAGACACATGACAGGCTGATGGGTGCTCACCTCGTCGGACTCCGGATATGGACGATGGGAAGAAGTTGATGAGACATATCTTGTCCTGTTCACGAACGAGTGCAAAGTAAGCATCGTCATCTTGGAGTGTTCTCTGGAGCTCTTCGATGCCTCCAGTCCCCGTGGCGAGAAGCGTCAGAGTGTCCCTCGTCTATTGGCTGCGATTAGGGCTCTGGTCGGGTGCTGCGAGAGCGTGGAAGCCACCTACGTTTGCATAGGACAAGATTAACCTGATAAGTGATCAGACGGCAGGCCTCATCGATTACAAGTCAAGTAACACGAACCAGTTGACGGCGTCTCCACGGACAATAGCGGCATAAGCCTGCTGGATTCGTGGGTCAGAGATATCCACACTCATTCTCCTCGTCGTCTGCCCGTCCCCCCCAATAAAGTCACGGCAGCGCCAGGTTCCAAGGTTGTGGGTATTAAGTAACCCTTCGACCCCGCTGCAGCCTTGCTCATTGGTGGCAAGCGCTCTCTGCTTTGCTTTCTGTGTCTAATTTGTCCATGTTTTGTGTCCTCACACGATGCAGATCCACAAACTTTCCCGTCCGTCTTTTTTTTGTCGTTTGCCATGGCATTTTCTGACGCTCACTCTCCAGCACCAAATAAAACGGATGCCATGCAGACTCTTGATTCCTATACGCACGATTTGACCGCAGAAGCCCAGAGCGGCGAGCCCGCCATCGCCCAAAATAATAGAGGTCGTGGGTCACGCCGAAAAGACTTGTCGACGGTGGAGGACGAGCTAGACGAGTCTGAAGACGTCGCATCGCTCAAGATCAAGCTCACACTCCCGCCTAGCTTTCGCAGGAGGCCAGTCGAGTCGAGCTCGGGACTCTCGTCGCGGCAACCGCCCAGGAGTTTATGCCACCACACAAAAGGCAGCGCCTAAACGAGGCCGCCCACGGAAGAATAAAAATACAGCAGAGACAGACGAGTATGCTCCCCCAAGGGGCTTCAAGCGTCCCAAGCCAGTCACCACAGGTTCGGCCCCGTCTCGACAGCCACACGACTACCCGCTGGTTTACCACCCATCAGCTGATCACTCGACTCAGTCACGCTTCCCCACATTCGTGCCGGCATCCGTCCTATCCTCGGACGATCTATCGGGCACTGAGGACTCTGAGCTCTCAGAGCCAGAGTCGGATCCAGACGATCTGATTGCACGCGACAAGCCACGACGGCACGATCGCGCGCACACGCACAGAGAACTACTTGGAAACAACCAAGACGACAGCCAGATCCCTACCCGGACACCCTGGAAGCACAACCGGCACACAAACTCTAATCGCCACACACCCATCCTTCGCGCGCAACCAGACGACGATGTACGCTCCGAATCATCTGGAAATGAGCAAGATGGCGAGGAATCATCCGAGGCCACCGAAGACGAGGCGGACCCAGACCCAGATGCAGATGCAGACCCTGCTGCCCCTGTTCAGGTCAAGAGCCTCTCAGATGACGAGGACGACCAATTGGATGCCCAGCTCTTCTTCCGCAATCTCATCGAATCCTCTGATGAAGCAGAGAGCGATGCCGACTCTATCATGGGCGACATTATTGGGGCCGTTGCGGCATTTTCCGATACAGAAACAGACGTAGAGCAGCTCGAGCAACCCTTGATGGTCAAGGAGGGTTGGGACGGTCAGCTCGTTTTTTCGACCGATATTCTGCCTACTGCAGGGATGCTCGATTTTGATTTCGAGCGGTCGAGACCCCAATTGGAGGACCACTCTCAACCCGAATCGCTTACGACCTCACACTCGACCCTGCCGGTCACGCAGCCTGCCGCCATCTCCGACGAAGATTTCGACGAGATTGACTCTATAGCTGGGGATACGACAGATGACGAGATCATCCCATCCAGCGTACCTGCACTCCCTGTTTCATCGACGATTTCTCCCAGTGTCACCCTCACGCCAACGAGAATGAGCACCAGAGTCAACATGATGCCACCTCCACCCTCCCCTGCCGAGCTGCTGGCCGCACGTCGATCGTTCCCGTGGGATGTCCTCGCTTCGCCAGCGCCATCCATCGCCGCCACAGATGAAGCCCCACCTAGGAGCAGAAGTGCGAGCGTCAACTCGCTCGGATCCCGTGGCCCACGACTAGGCTTTTTCAATGGTGCGGTGTTTGGCCCAAAACGCACCATTATCAGCGATACTGGAGGCAAGCTTCCATCACCCTTTAGTTCTATCACCCCTGCTCCACCCGTCGTGCGGCGCAAGAGAAGAGCTAACGTGAGTGATGAAATGACTTGTATCGTATTCAAGACTGACGTCGTCTAGTCTGACCTCGGGTCCTTTTTCTTCAAACGCACAAGGAATTCGCAATCCCTGACTTCGTCCTATTTCTCCGACGATCTATTTACGGCATCGCAAGGCCAGCTCGTTGATCTGGACGAGCTCCTCGATGCATCATTGTTATCAGAGGACGTCGACAAACCGACGGATACGGATACAGCCAACGAATCACCCTCTCGATGGGATCGCATCCCGATGGGTATCTATCGACAGACACGAGATACAGAGGCTTCTCACCCTGGTTCTTCCATGTCCTTTTCCTTTTCCATTGCCGGCTTTGGAGCCCCAGCACTCCCTCGCCCAGACTTTGTCCCACCTGCTCGCTCTCATGTCAGCCATGGTTCGATAGACTCTATCCTTTGGGACGACGACATTATCGCTCCTCGTCGTACGCAGAACCATACGCACAATAAGAAAAGGCCGCGCGACTTTCTTGACTCCGACGGTCTCTTTGGTCTTTCCCGTGTAGGTTCCTCACGCGGAGACAGGACCCCGACGCAATCTCGTGGATTTTCCATGGACCCACCATCAGATTTCTTGTCCGAAGCCAAGTCTCGAAAGGACCGTCGCAAGGAAAAGAAACGAGAAAAGGCCAGTTTACAGAAACAAATTTTGTCTGCATTGGACGAAACGTTTGCGGATACGTATGACGACGAAGACTTGATGATGGCTGAAGCAAAGGTCTAAACAATCGAATGTCGATTGACACAGGTGTAACAACAGCCTGTACTTCTTGAGGGCCGTAGGAAACTCGCTGTTTAATGTATCATACCCATCCACCCACATGTCCTGTTACTAACAATGCCCAGTTTGCGATAGCTTCCTCTTTACGCTTCCATCGATGCACGTCTGGCCTCGCGTGATTCGCTGTCGTTCGTTGTATGTGCTCGTCCTCTTAATGTGCGTATTCTTTTTATAGGAATACACTTTATTCTCGACAATACTCTATGTAAAGCCCTGTATCGTGTCAAATGGAAGGTCGAGTCCATTGGAAGAAAGTCCTATCCCAGGAGGAAGGCTATATCCATTGGACGCTTCAGGGTGGTGGGGTGTAAAGTACCAATTTGAACCACCAGTATCTGGTTGAGGGGGGCGAAGCACCCCGTTCAGACCCGAGAGTTCAGACTCGCTGTTGAGGAAGATCCCGAGTGTCTCTTGCAAATCAGCTGGAGGCGTGGTTTGCGACTTGTCTTCTAGGCGTGTCGAGTGGCCGCTGGACGTCTGGCAGGGCCGATGTACTTGCTTTGAGTGGATGTGAGTCTCGATCTGCGTATGCTTTATTCGCACAAGATTCCAGTTTGGCTAGTACGGGCTATCTACCGTCAGAGAAGAGTAAGTGGTGGTGGTGATGGGACGACGAACCATGAGGTAAAAGTTTGGATCAAAGAACCCGCGCATTAGTTCACAGCCGGAGCGGAGCTCTTGAATGGCAACAGACGCGAGTGAACTGAATGGTGTGCGTATTACCAGCGCACCGAGCGCAATCTTGTCAAAGGATTAGAAAGTTGCTAGTGTACTGTACAAAGTACCTACCACCGCGGTAAGCACGGCGTTCGGACATGAGAGCACTCGAAGTAACTCGGGCTCATTGTCTCGCATGAGTCGAACTTGGCGTATGAGGGCACATGAACTTTGGTATCTGGAAGCGATCAATATGTCAACTATGAACAAAGCAAACGACGTACGCGGCCATGACGGAGATGGAGTACTTGGAGAGAATAGGATCTCCGGTCGGTTCTAATACTGCACGGTTGAGGAAGCCACGATGAAGATGAACAAATGTACTCTCTCGTAGGAGGAGAGTAAATTGCTGTTGTAATCGGATCTGCCTAGACGTGCCGCTTTCTGGTGTCGGCCAGGTACCCAGCTGCTTGACATACTTAGCGTCGAGAAGCGAGTCGTAGCTTCGGAGTTTTTTGTCGACAGCCAGAATGGCTTGATAAGAGGAGGGCTTGGTCGTTGACAAGACCAAATTGAGCATGGATCGAATGCCCTGGCCTGCAAAGAGGTACTTCCAGTTGAACATCTTTTCAAATTCCACTTGACCAGGAGAGTTTCCTGGTAAAGATTGAGGCAACGGGGAGTTGTGCTGTCCTTCTGGTATAAAGTTGATTCGTCCAACAGTCATTGCCTGAAAGAGTTAGAGAGCGATGTCAATAATATGGCACGACCCTACCACGTAACAATCGAGAGAGTGCAATTCGTGGCTATGACGAGATTAGCATGCAGGCACGAGAATTTGAGAGATTGCGCACAATACTCGGCGTCTCCGTTGGCGATCTTTTTCTGATATCCTCCACTGGGGACACTCTCTGTCAATTCCGAGAGTTTGAGCGAGCTTGATTGTCAAACCGAGCAGTGCCCACGTCTTGCTGCTCGTGATATCAACTCCACAATTGTACACCGTAAAGAGATATAGTGCCTCTATGTGCACAATACTGAGCGGATCTTGGGACATGGCGAGAATTGCTAGGTTATAATACTTCTGCGCCGATAGCGACCCGGCTGGTAGGGAAGGATGAACTTTGGCGCCAAGTGCAAGCATTCCATATACTACAGCGAGAGCCACAGAGTTTGAGTGTGCACCTTCGTACGCTGCTGGCCAGAATTCTTCGTTGAAGAGATGCTGAGGAACAATATTGTGCCTGATAGGAGTCATTGACCTGAAGCCGAGAAAGATGAAACGTACATGGACCCGGTATTACGATAATCTTCGTGCAAGTGTTATGCAAGGCCATAGCAAATGAATAGTGACTTACAAACATCAACGAGAGAAAGGGCAACGTGGAAAGGGGGCAAGCAAGCCAATAGTTTTTGATGAAGTACATCAGATTGTTCAAGTGGTGCAATCGCCATGCAAAGTAGGTCTATCGGAAAGGCTGAAGGGATCGATGCGCCAGGTTTTTCAGAGAGAGAAGGTGCATGATGAGGATCCTGCTGTGATAATTCAGATCTCATTTGCATTATTACCGAGTATGACTATACCATGTTGTGCAAATACCACAAGGAAAAGTGGCTTGGGGTGAATCGTGACCTCTTGACATCGTCTTCGATTGCGAGCATGGAAAAATTGCTGGTAACATCATCCTCTTTCCTCCAAATTTTCTCGTTTTCTGTCAATGGAACATCGGTAGCAATTGCGTGCTCGAGCTTCTCTTCGTCCCGAAGGAGTGGATGGGTTTCGGTGGAGGTCAAGCCGTGGGCGGCTTCGAGAGCGGCTTCGAGCTTTTGCACGCGCATGCTGAGTTGCTGAATCCGGCTATGGAGTTCGGCGGTCCCGGTCAAGACGAATCTGGGTGGGGGGTGACGCATGGTTAGCATAACGGCTGGTATTCGAGAAGCCAAGGAGCACATGCGAACCTCCCTGCGCCATATGTCAACGAGCCACTATTGGAAGCAGTTTAAGTCGTAGTGTGGATCACGCGGTATGGTACGTACTCGGGACAGATAGCAGCCACTCCTCTCCGAATACAGTTTTCACATGGAAATGATTTTTCTTTCGACGAACACTTGATCTTGAGCCTACGATTCAGTTCAGAAGGGCTATATTCTAGTCGACGAGACTGTCAATCACTGGCGGATGGTTCAATACACCAACTCCTATCCTCTAGAATGGCATACCCTGCGACATTCTGCACAAGGCTTTCTCGTGGGTTTTGGATCTACTGCAGGCATGTTGTAGATGAGATTGTGGTTGGAGAAAGAGTGCTGACAAAGCGCTGGCCATAGCCTCGCAGGAAACATCCGATTTCGGTGAGCCACTCAATTCACAAGTGTGTATTGTCAATTGTTTTCATTGCACAAGTTGAATACAGAACTCCCAAGGAGACGCGAAAAAGCTCGTTTGACCTACACTAAGAGATCTGGGATGCAAGAACGTCAGTGATGATGCCCATAATCGAGTATAAAAAGGAAATAGATCAGAAAAAGCGGGGTAACTTGCCAAAGCAAGGCCCCGAAGGTAGCTGAGATGGGATTCTGCATTGCAGCGAACTGCTGTGGCCAAATGCCTCAAACATCCTAATACAAAAGAAGTGTAGAGATATTTACCAAAATGATGGCGGGAGATGGGCGTGGTCAAGGTTTGGTGGTCGAGTCGAGAACAGAGTTTTCCATTGTCACTTGCCGCCGGACACGATAATGCTGGGAAATAAAGAAAACAAAGAAAAAGTCGCGTAATAATGGGATGGAGGCCTTGCGGCTGGCAGAGCTTCTATCGTCGGAGGCCATATGGACCCGTTGCCTGAGAGCATATGGACTCGGTATCCTCCCCGTCAACACACTTTCGTTTAGAGCCATCAACACTCTGCTGCTGCCCTTGGACCCGTCCACATCTCCCCCAGCGCCCTCAGGATCACCTCCTGGCCAACGATGGCAGATGCCTCTGGCCAGTCGTCAGTCCTCCTGAGCTCCCAGCAAGAGACGACAGTCTCCTCCACAATCCTTTCCGACACGTCCCCAGACATCCCCGTCAAGACAGTGACCGAGGAGACCGTTCGTCATGGTCGTCCGGCACCGACAGAGAGCAGCCCAGTGTCTGAAGACCCGCTGCCTTCGCCGACAAAGTCTACAGAGTCGTCGAATGATTCTACAACCGACTCTGTTTCGACCACAGAAGAGATCAAGCCCCTTATTGTTTATGCACCACCCATCATCACTACTTCGAGCTCTGAGGAGTCCTCTACCTCCACTGCATCTCCAGGTGTCGAAGGTTTGACAACCGCATCTGACGAGACGGCTTTCGCTGATACGGAAAGTGCTCCTACTATCATGCGCCTCTCACCTTTGTCCACCACTGTGTCTCAAGATAATGTGCCGTCAAAGTCTGTCACATCTTCTCAAACTCGGTCCTCGGCGACCTCCGCGGCACCTACAGAAACACCCAGCGCTAACAATATTCAAGCACAGTAAGAATCCCGCGCTTCTTTACAGAATCATGTTGACATGTCGATAGGAATTCTGACGCAGCGTTGCCCCTTTTCACATCGGCAACGACCTTCAGCAGCTTGGGTGGCTTTTACGCAGTTTCCGCCATTGCTTCTGTGCGTCTTCCTTCTGATGGATGTGGCGCTGTGCCTGACCGACTCTTTCAGACATTTGAAACCGTCTTACCAAATGGCGACACCATTACGTCCACCAGGACCCTGGCGACTACGATAAGTTTGCAAACCACCCGTGCCCAGACCAATGAAGACAACATACGTGGTGGTGGTGCTCCATCTCCTCCGGGACCTTATACACCCGAGCCGAACTCGATCCCGTCAACAGCGTGAGCAGAACCTTTTTTTTCATTATGGCTGAACAGGCACTCACTTCCACTCGCAGCTTTTTCAAGCGACCGGCTGCCGCTGCAGGTGTCTTTGTTGCAGTTTCATTGGTGCTTGGATGCTTCGTATGGATGTTCTTCCTCTTGCGTCGGCATCGTCGTCAAGCAGCGACGGCTAAGGATCGTAAGCGACACCCATACTATGCATACGGTTCTACAGGCGTATCTCCTCGAGACAGAGGTAGTTTCATGTCCTATGACGCTCGCAACTGGCCCGAACGTTTCGAGGAAGAGACATACAGCGTGCCATCCACACCAATTCCTCCTCCGGCGCTTGAGCCATCACCGGCACCGGCATGGCGTCCTGGGTATACGCGAGCATTCGGCGGAGGTGATTTCCCAGAGGCGGGGCCGTCGTCTCCAACTTCTCCCACCCTGGCCGACCGCCACCAATACTTGCAATCGTCTACACCTTTGACCGCAACGGTGACATCCAATCCTCCTCCTGTTCCCTCGCGATCACCGTACAGACCGGTTTCCACTACTCATGCGCGAGGTGGATCAAACGGCAACCTTGGGTTAGCCTCCCACATGGACGTTTCGGCAGGCAACCTGCAAGGTTTGGAGCCTACATTCACTTTACAGCATGCATCCCTCACTCCTCTCTCGCGTACCCTATCTTCCAGTCGACCCCGACCTCGCGCATTGTCCTCCTCTGTCTCAGTGCATCCGTACCCTACCAATAGCTCCCTATCAACCATCTCCGACTCTTCGGAACCGAAGGAACCGCATCCCATTGTGCTGTTCAGGCGTACTAGTGACCGCTCGACAGACTCGCAACAGAGCGACGTTTTCCGCTCATCGGCTTATGTCGTTCCATCTCCTTCGTCGCTAAATAGGCTGCAGAAGGCGCCGGAGACGCTGAAGAATCCGTTCGCTGATGCCGACTCGCCTCCTCCAACTCCAGTCGGCCAACCGTTTGTGCGCGACCAAGAGGAAGGATCTCATATTGTGAGACTAGATCGAGGAGTTTCACTACGTCGAAACGATACTTGGCGCAATCGACCAGAGCACCATTTGTCGACGACACCAGAGCCCAGTGTTGCTGAATGCAGCGGCACAGAGGCCGGAACGTCTACTAGTCATCTCGCTGCGACACCGCGTCTTCGTCTTCTATTAAAGACGGCTGAAAACCGGATTGGACGCAAGTCGGAGAGCATGTCGACGGCGGAGACGTCAACGGGGGGTGATACGCATGTGAGTCCCGTAGAGAGCGAGCTGTTTTATAGCCTAGACTTTATGCGAGCTGCCGCTGCAGAGCCTGGGAGTGCTCGATGAGCGTCCTTGATGGGTGGCGAGCTGTTAGTCCGATTTGTAGTAGCCCCTTCGATAGTCAATAGACACGACTTTTTTCGACGCACGTTGTGACAAACTGGGATCAATCGCCGTGATCGTGTGTCGTCTTGCCACTTTTGGGACGTCATTCAACAATTCGACCGGCCAACCTTGGAACTCGACCACGTCCTCGCAATGGCTTCCAAGCACCATCACGGGCATCATACTGCACACGGAGATCACCATGGTCACACTCATCATGTAAACGGCGTCGCGAACAAGAAGGCGACGATGACGGTCGACATCCCAAAGGCTGGGATATCAGAGACTGACGCGATTAGAACTCCAAAGACACCTCAGGATGAAGGGATTAGCTGGTTTGAGTCTTCCTCCGCCAGAAGAGAACCCGTTCAGGTATACGAGCTCGTTCTCGAAGCAGACGGTGGCCCAAACAAGAATCGCGCGGTATGTGCTTGGATATAAGCGTAGATCGAACTTTGTGTTGATAAGTTGCACGCTAGTACACGCGTCTTCCGCCACCATCGTCGCCCTACATCCTCAGGCTCACGCTCGAAGCCGGCACCCCTGCATCCAAGAGTGGCGTCCTCAAGACAAACTTTCCTCTGTACGGTGGGAGCTTTGAACGCACCAAGTTTGTTGAGAAAACGTGGGTTTTTATCTGATTTGGGGTTTGGCCGTGATTATTCATGAGCTTTTTAGTCTCCCCCACGACTTTTCCAAACCGATTCAGATCGACCTCCCTATTTCTTCGGCCGGTGTATTCGTCTACTGGATCGAGTACGATGGAAAGAATGGTGAACGTGTCAAGGGACGTGAGGGATACTTCAATATCGATCCTGTTCTCCGTGCACCCAAGCGAACTCCCATCCTCACCGCTGATGGCTGTCTCGAACGGCCTGGATCTGGCGGAGCAACCACCAAGGAGACGACTCACATTCCGCTCGACGGACTTTCCATCCTCACCCTCGTGTCAAAGTGGATGGGCACACTCGAGGATTGGAGTTCGTTCTACAAAGAGGCCGCTCATCGTGGCTACAATATGATCCACTACACGCCACTTCAACAACGCGGACAGTCGATGAGTCCATATTCCATCGCAGATCAAATGGCCTACGACCGCTCGCTTTTCCCTCCTTCATACGAAGGAAACAAAGAGCAGGGTACCCTTGAGGTTCTCAAAACCCTCAAGAAAGCAAGAGAGGAATATGGACTCATGAGCCTGACTGATGTCGTCCTCAATCACACGGCAGACAATAGCGACTGGCTTCAAGATCACCCAGAAGCTGGGTATAGTCCAATGAACACCCCCCATCTCACACCAGCACTCGAGATTGACGATGCTATGATCGAATTCTCTGGATCCTTAGAGGCAAATGACTTGCCTACGGTCATCAAATCTCAAGGCGACGTCGACATGCTCGTTGATGCTTTTGCGGATGTTCTCAATTCGCGAAATCTATGGCAATACTACGTCATAGATGTGACCAAGGAGAAGAAGGCTGTCAGACACGTTCTCACGACCGGAACCATTCCACCTTGGGATGGACCAGATGTCAATGGCAAGTCGGCGGTCGAGCTCGCGAAACTGTTGCGCAGCCTGGAGAAGATTGAGAACCTCGGAGCGTTTTCGTCTCGTTTCTGTGTGACCGTTCAACCCGAGTACGCAGCATCAATGCTCAAGGCGGCCTATCCGGAATGCGATACTGCCATGTGGGTCGAGACTTGGGGCAAGGTTTTGGATGTAGTCAACGTTCCACTTTACGAAGAGTGGAAAGAGGACACTCGAGTCGCTCTCGATAATATCAAGAACCGCGTCAAGTACACACGACTTGACCCCAACGGGCCAACGTTGGGCCCCATTTCCGCAACGTAAGGTCGATTCGTCCCTAAATTGACCTCGGGCTGACTATCATAGTCTTCCTTTGGTTGAGACATATTTCACCCGCATCCCTCACAATCCAAGGACTGCTAAACACGATCCTCGAGCGTTGTCCGTCGCCAATAATGGATGGATTTGGGATGCAAATCCATTGCAGAACTTTGCTCTTCGACCATCCAAGGCGTATCTACGTCGCGAGGTGATTGTCTGGGGTGACTGCGTCAAGCTGAATTACGGAAACGGCCCAGAGGACAATCCATGGCTCTGGAAGCACATGACTGAGTATGTCACCTTGCTCGCCGGGATGTTTGATGGATTCCGCATGGATAACTGTCATTCGACGCCACTTCATGTTGGTGTAACGCTCCTTGATGCTGCACGAGTCGTCAACCCCGACCTGTACGTATGTGCAGAGTTATTCACGGGAAGCGAGGAGATGGATATCACTTTTGTGTCTCGCCTCGGTATCTCTTCGCTCATTCGTGAGGGATACAACGCTTGGGATCCCAAGGAGCTGTCGCGTCTACTCTATAGACACGGCGTTCGCAAGCCAATCGGTACGTATTTCGGGATTGATTGAACTATATTGACACGTCATAGGATCTATGGATGGTGCTTGTATGACGAGTCCTGCCGAAATCCCCCCGCCTACTGGAAAAGGACCAAGCCATCCTGGTTTCGTGACACCGCTCCAGGGATCCGCACCTCATGCACTCTTCTATGACTTGACTCACGACAACGAATCTCCTCTTCACAAACGTTCTGCGGAGGATGCACTCTCGACGGGAGCACTGGTTGCATTCTCTCATTGCGCAACGGGCTCAGTCAAAGGGTTTGACGACATTCATCCCAAGCTCTTGAATCTCGTTAATGAGAATCGCATTTATGAGATCACCAATAAGGGTGGCATTGGCGAGGTAAAGCGTGTTTTGAACAATCTTCATACGGAAATGGCGCTTCAAGGGTTTGACGAGGCGCATGTGCACCAAGAGAATGATGTGAGCACTTTTAATCAAATTAATATCTCTGATTATATTCTAGTACATTGTCATCCATCGTGTCGAGCCCAAGACACAACGAGGATATCTCATTGTTGTACACACTGCATTCCACAAGGGAAACAAGGACACCGGATATAGTGAGTACTATGTACCACCACCGACGTCGCTCAAACATCCCATAGTCACTCCGATTCGACTCAAACGTACCAAGGTCAAGTACATTATGGGTGCGACCTTGAACGTACACTCCTATGATGATGTGAAGGACGACAAGCTCATCAAGGGTTTGGACTCCACCCTCGAACTCCTTTCACCAGTGGAAGGGAGGGACGGTTCAGATGGTGACGGCCCATACCAGGAGATTTTCATTCCAGAAAAGTTCCCACCTGGAAGCGTCATGCTCTTCTCGACCCAGCTGGAAGGCCTGGATCCCCACATGGATATGCTTTGCAAAGAGGGCGTCGACGGTGCATTCTCCAACCTCACTCTCACCGACCTGAACGTGATTCTGTACCGCTGCGATGGCGAAGAACGGGATGCGACCGGTTCGTATATTTGTCTAGTTCTATGAGTACTGACCTTTAGATAGACGGGCAAATTGGCGCATATGAAGTCCCCGACCACGGGAAGCTTGTATATTGTGGGCTCCAAGGATGGATGGCTCCTCTCAAGCATATCATGCAGTTCAACGATTTGGGTCACCCACTCTGTGGCCATCTCAGAAATGGAACGTGGGCTATGGACTACATTCACGAAAGATTGGAGAAGTAAGCTCATACTTAGTGTGATTGAACTCTACTCATGCCATCTCAGACAAGTCCAAGCCCTTCCTAATCTCGCGGCTCCTGCCAAATGGCTGAAAGACAAGTTTGAACCAGTCAAGTCTAGGGTTCCAGCTTTCCTTCGACCCAAATACTTTGCAATCGTGGTCTCTGAAGCATACAAGGCAGCGAGGCGAGCTGTGATCGAACAGTCATCCGATTTCGTTGCCAGTGGACACTCTTTTACTCAGGATCTTGCACTGTCGTCGGTGCAAATGTATGGCTTGGTCAAGTCGGCCTCACTCGATCCAGGAAAGGTCGTTCCTTGCCTGGCTGCAGGATTGCCGCATTTTACAAATGGATGGGCCAGGACTTGGGGAAGAGATGTCTTCATCTCACTCCGTGGACTATTTTTGACGACTGGAAATTATGCGGCTGCAAAGGAGCACATCCTCGCATTCTGTTCGACGCTCAAGCACGGACTCGTTCCAAATCTTCTTGACTCTGTACGCAATCCTAGGTAAGCTTCTCGTCATGGTGGAGCGTAAGCTAATAATATCCCAGATACAACTCTCGTGATTCGCCTTGGTGGATGGTACAAAACATCCAGGACTATACCCTCATGGCACCGGACGGTCTCTCCATCTTATCAGAACCCGTCAAGAGACGATTCCCTCAGGACGACACATGGGTTCCTTGGGACGATCCAGTCGCATACTCGTACTCCAACACTGTCGCAGAGATTATTCAAGAGCTCCTTCAGCGACATGCCAGTGGTATCTCATTCCGAGAGCACAATGCGGGGCCCAATCTAGATATGCAAATGAAAGACGAGGGTTTCCAGATTGATATTCAGGTCGACTGGAAGACTGGTCTTATTCATGGAGGCAGCGCTCATAACTGTGGAACCTGGATGGACAAGATGGGTGAATCTGTGCGTATCATGGTGCAATTTGAGCCATAATCTGACAATGTGGTAGACAAAGGCGGGTACGAAGGGCGTGCCGGGGACACCTCGTGATGGTGCACCAGTCGAAATTACCGGGCTGCTCAAGAGTACACTGCGCTGGTTATCTGAACTTTCCAACTCTGGCAAATTCCCATTCAAGGGTGTGGAAGCGACAAGTAAGTGTCTACTCGGCGCATTTGCACAAGCTCACGGACCTCAGTCGACGGCACCTGTCGCCTGGTCACATACCAGGAATGGAGCGACCTGATCCAGGCGTCTTTCGAACAGAACTATTACGTGCCACTAGGTCAGTGATTAGGCAACGTCTTCGATACTGCTTACCGACACGTCGAGTAGATCCATCAGAAGACGCTGCTTACAATGTCAATCCGGCCATAATTAACCGTCGAGGTATCTACAAGGACGTCTACGGCTCGGGTGTGGGACGTGAATGGTCAGACTACCAGCTTCGATGCAACTTCCCTATTGCAATGGTGGTGGCCCCCGAACTTTTCGACGTCAAGCATGCGCTCGAGGCGTTGCACGTTGCAGACTTGGCCTTGAGAGCGCCACTTGGTATGAAGACGTTGGATCCAGCTGATCTGCAATACCGTGGCAATTACGACAATTCAAATGACTCTGACGACCCGCATATTGCTAAAGGTTTGAACTACCATCAGGTATGAATGCGGCCTCTCGATACTAGGATAGCTCCTGAGCTTGCTTCCAGGGACCGGAATGGGGATGGCCTCTGGGATATTTCCTGCGTGCTTATCTCTTCTTTGAAAAGGCATCCGGTGCAGTAAGTATGCAACGCTGTGTGATGAAGTTTCTGATATGGTCTCTAGCATTTGGATGACACTATCCACCGCCTCCTGAGCGCGCTGTTGCCCTCGCGTCGTCACATCCAAGAGGATCCATGGGCCGGACTCCCCGAGCTCACAAATGAGAATGGGGCCTATTGCCACGACTCTTGTCGCACACAGGCCTGGAGCAATAGCACGCTTCTCGACTTTTTGCACGACGTTCACCATCTCAGCACCAAGACCCAATAGATCTCGTACATTCATGTCATTGCGTCCTCTGCGGATGGAGTCATGTATTTCTTGTTATTCATCGTTCGAACATAGACGGTTCTACAGTGTTATAGGAAGATATGCACCAGAGCTCAGCGATATCATGTCGTATAGGCGTCCAGTCACGTTGACATATCTCTGAATATTTGCCGACCCCAAGACTTCGCAACTCTTGGATGGAGGTCAAGTTGCCAAAGAAGTCGACAACAGGAAGTGAATCAAGTGGTGGCAATTCATGGCTGGGGAGTTGTTCGAGGAGTGTGCGGCCTTCCTCTAGTGACATGAGAGGCACCACAAACAGAGCCTTCTTCCTTGCCTTTGCAGAGGCGTCGGCGACATGCGATCCAATCTCCAAATGATTGGTTGAAAACGAAACGAAATCGTCGTAGTTGGGATAGAGCATGACTAGACCTCGAATCCAGACCATTTCAATGAAAAAGCGCTTCCAACTCTTCTTCCAGCGATTTGAACGGATGTTTGGAACAATGATTGCGTCCAAGGGAACAAATTGCTCCGAGAGTCGAAGTACCAGGTAGTCGTGAAACTCTCTCCATACTTCTGGAAAGTAAACAGCACCCCAGGAGCAAGGCGTTGACGAGAGGTAAGGTGATTGAGGAAGGGCTAGATCTTCTTCGCGGAAAAGTGATTGAGCGGACCATGGTATTCTCCCCTTTGGTCTTAATTCAATGTTCTTTGGAGAATATAGGCTAATTCCATAGAGAGACGGTCGAGTCTCGGCCTCAGAGCCGTAGCTATAGGGCGTTGAATATATCATTCGAGAGAACTTGGGGCTTACCGGTACCGCAAAAGTGACATTTTAATCCATGCGAAGTACAGAGGAGATACTTCGACGTCGTCTTCTAGTATGAGTCCATAACTATGGTCACTCGATGGGTACCAAGACTATAGAGTCAACAACGTTGTGGATTCTTTATCTCGACTCTTACCTCAACAATCGCTGGAATCAATCCCCCCATTACTACCCGATGTCGAACATGCACTCTTCCATGACCCCAGGTGAAGTTTTGTACAATGTGACGAGTATCCGGGTCTGCCGTGAGCTCCATGCAAATAGTGAGCGGAATTGTATTGTGCCCAAAGTAGAGCGCAGAGTTCAAGGAGGCGAGGAGTCGACTGAGCGATCGCGGCCGAGTGTTGGTAATGACAGTTATTTCTAGATTAGGCTGATGCCAAGCTACCACTCTGTGAGCCATATAACAGGGTGCGGGTAGTTAGGCTCACCCTTCCACTCATTCAGGGAGAGCGTTGCCATCCAAGCACAGTGTTGTAAGTCTTGCTCGTCTAGATGAACGAAAACAGTATCTTCGTAACCATACCTCCGACTCTTTGAGGCGAAACCCAGTGGAGGAAAGCGATTCGAGAGTATGAGAACCACGTCAAACTGGGTCCAGCGGCGATTCCACTCTTGGGATTCACGCTGGTATCGAATGTAGCAGGTTTGAGTTGGGAAGACTTCGTCTTCGGCGAGACTATAGGCAACGTCCTCGGCAAGTGTTGCCACTAGTTGATGTCCTCGAGCTGCCAAGTCGCAATAGGTGGTTTGGAACAATTCAAGTTGTAGAGTGCTCCCGAATGAAATTCCGAATTTGATTCTCTCCCGATCTGAAGCATAGATTGGCAAATTTGAAAGAGGGATCCTCTTGTCGCAAACTTCGTCATCCACCAACAATGCAAATCCACCCGCATTTAGATTCGATTCCTGGGATATGCGTCCTGAAAGCGATACCCAGACTGATGGGCTCCTTCCGAGTCCGTTGAGCGATGCATACGCACTTGCACGAGAGATTAGCATGGGAGGGTACAGCATGTCTACAAGGTTTGATTTTGGCGCTATGTTGCCGACCCCTTCATAGACATCGTAGCCACATGGTCCGACTGGCACGGGGATAGCTTCAATTTGCTCGATTGCCTGTCGTATCCAGGTATCTGACAGTGGAACAACAGGAAATGTGGAGTCCAAAATAAGGACAAAGGTTGTACTGGCACTCGCAGCGGCCTCGAGAAGGAAGAAATCCAACGGGAGGTGACCGTCTATTCTTCGAATGTCGAGTCGGACGTGCAGGGCACCTTCCATTTGTTGCTGAATGAGCAAGAACGCACCCTCTTGGTCCTGGTTGCAGACCAGGTGTATGTATTTTGTAGTCTCAGGCAGGACTTGCCCGATTGCCAGGAGAAGGTGTATGTCACACGGTGCTACAATGGACAGACTTGCTGGTTCCGATGAATTTGTGCTCTGAAAAGGATCGTGGGAGCGCGCTTGGTTCGAAATTGTTGAGATGACGCCTCGCCGTGGCCCGGTCTTTCTCAATATGAACCCTGAAATGAGGCAAACAAGTGAGACCAGAATAACCCGTTTAAATGTTCTTAGCATCATCGCTTTGACGGCAGAAGTCCGACAGTGCCGGCTCCGAGTTGAGAGGCAACTTTGTCCCCAACCGCGACCATGTCAAGTAAAGTGAGCCCAGCCGGTAATAGTTCTGGTACAGCTGCAACGCCTCCAGACGATCATGGACCGGGAAAAGCGAAAAAGGGGCCTATAAGCTGCGCCGAGTGCAAGTCTTCGATCGACGCGTCAAGGGTTCCATTCTAACCCTTGGACAGGTAGAAGATTAAAGGTCAAGTGCGACCTACCAAAGCTCAAGTCTGGACCATGTTCTAGTTGCAATAAACGTGGTACGTCGAGGATGTGTACGCGTACATACTTGCCAAATTCAGATGTCCGAAGGTTGCGGTGAACTTTGCCCGGACGGTAGCTTACGTAGCGGTCGCGGTACAAGATACATTCTTTCTGGGACAGAGGGTATGCTTTCTGCCATCTGCACGTCTAGAAGAGAAACCCCATCTTTACGTTTAACAGAACTTCATAAGCAAATAGAGGAACTGCGGTCTCAAGTACGGGAGTTAGAGGAAGCTCTATCCTCGTCTCAAGCCGGCAGCTCCTCACGTCAACCTTCAAAATTTCAGAACGAATCGAACAGAGGACAAACCGCCACTCATGGTGCGCTTCCCGAGTTTGATGCCCTTATGGTGTCGCGAACGGGTCGTCTTCAGTCTGTACTGATATTTAATACTGAATACGGGTGCTAATTATCTTCAGGTGGCTGGGCACGGTTAGTACAATTTTCAGTGATGTTGCAAATGACCAACAAGATTAGACAGCACTATCCGAGTGGTTTATACAACCCAAGGTGTCGTCTACGATAAAATTTAATCTTCTTACATAACACAGGGAAGTAGGATGTGGACCCTTGGCGACCTCCAGAACCCTTAATGCCGCCAGTACCTCAAGGGGCGTCAACAGACCACGTAATATTCTCCGCCGATACAGTCACGCGAAGTCAAGTTGAAGACTATCGCCAAGTAGCGATAATGGCACTGCCAGATACCCAAACATTGGACCGGATTATTGGACTGTACTACGAACAGATAGTGAGAACAGCTTTCACTTACTTACCGAACTAACCGGTTTCCAGGCCTGGTTGTAAGACACCTATATTAGGTTCTTGATTTTGGCTCACGCCAGACTAGTTACAATCCATTACCTCGTGGAAGACTCATGCAACTTGTGAATCGCCTCTACTCTGGACCCGAAATCCAGATAGAATCACACGAGCTGTCCTGCGTTCATACCATCCTGGCGCTGGGCCATCTTATGGACCCCACAAAGCCTGCCGACAGCAATCCTCAAATTCAACATCATGCAAAGCTGGGAAGGATGTGCTTATACCTGGAATGCATCTTTGCGCAGACCACTGTTGCGACAATAGAAGCGCATCTACTTCGACTAATGTTCCTTCTGTTTGACAAGGACCAAACCGCGCCTATGAAGGTCTATGGTCAATTAGGACTCGTCTGGCGCCTGATGATCAGCATGGGAATGCGTAAGCACCCGTTATTCTAGTTTGGAATGCACTTACTCTCGGAAGATCGCGACCCAGCGCGGTGGAATTTCGTTTCAGAGGAATGTGAGAGGCGGCGTCAGGTTTTCTGGGAATTCGTCGCCTTTGATACCTGGCAGGTAAATATTTTAATAGCTATTTTGCTGTATCTCATCTCTTTGCAGTGTTTGAGGTGACGACCCTGGCTTGCTTGCCAGGGATGGTACTCACTCGTTACTAGCTGGGGTAGACCTTCTACAATTGACACTAAATCGTTTGACTGCGAGTAGGTCTCGAAGTCTAGATAATTGTTTGTCTAACCGACCGACCACAGGCTGCCCTGGGGTGAAGGCGAGCATTTGGATGACGAGGATAAAAACTGTGGGTCCTACATGTGACGAGCTACCCTAACCGTTTCTTCAGTTCATCGATGGAAGTTCATTTACATCAGAGACATTCTACGAGATGTCCTGGCACTGCACACCATGTGTGGAATCGGCCCGACAATCAATGAAGCAATGAAGCTCGACATGCGCATACGCGAATATAAGCTCTTTGATGTTGGGGCAGTCATGCAGGGAAATGCCTCTGTACCTTCCATTTACCAGCAGAACATTATGTTCTGCATCAAAGAAAGCACTCTTTGCTTCCTCCACAGGTCTGTCGCATGTATTATTTACCACCTGACTATGCTGATCCTTTGAAGGCCATTCTTCGTCAGCGCACTGAATGAAGGTCTACCTGACCCTCTCCGCTCGCGGTTTGCAGGCTCTTGCCTGGCAATGTGAGTCGTACAGCTCTCAATAATGGAGCTAAGTTGCTTTCAGTCATGCAAGCGCCAGCGCGCTCCTTGGCCGTGCTCCCTTCATGCTCGACTTTCAAGTACAGACCCCGCGTTTCTTCATATGGTAAGTAGTTTCGGCTCGTAGAGTATCAACTCAAATCTCCTCAGGTGGAGTCAAGCGTTTAGTGCGATGGTTCGTCAGCGTAGCTCTGCTCAGTGCTAAGGCGACTGACAATCACCAGGTGGCCCTCGGCGCGTTGGTCATCAAATCGCCAGGATCCGCACTTGCAGCTTCTGCTTTGACAGAAATCCAGATGGCGGCTCAGGTGTGTTTGAGGTCTGCTCGGAATAAAACTGACCAACAAGGCAGACGTTCGAAAGGGCTACAGGGGGGTTCCGTGCAGGCAGACTTTTGGTAGGTGGCTTCCTCTCATATCACACGACCCTAAACCTCCGTAGCCATATGTCAGGAATCTACGCGAGCGAGCACAGAGGATGTACGACAGCTTTCATTCAGGACAGCCTCTCATTAGTCAACAACAAGACGACGACGCTCTTCCTGGCATTAATTCGGCCTCGACCGTGATCACGAATGCCATATTCCCCAAGTCCAGTGATCATTGTTCGTTGACAGGAACGTTCTCGATGGTGCCTCACCCCGACATAGCCCAGTCTAAAGCGAACGCGGTGGACACGCTGGTTGATGATTATCTTCGTACTCTACAGTCGGAGTTGGATCACCTTGCGCAACAGCGTGGGATTGCGCCAAATCAACCATCAAACGAATTCGGCGGCGTCGATAACAACCACACCTGGCAAAACACGGCATTCGTACCTTCAGATTCTCTTCTTTCGTCGGGCTTGCCTCAATTTCCTGATTCGCAACTACAGCCTGACTTCGATCCTGCCATTTGGACGGATTTTATGGCTAGTTTTGGAAGCTCGTAGCTTGTACTTGATGTATATTCACGTTTATGTCGTAAGCCATTGATTACACGATCATAGGTAGTACTCTGGCTTCTTCGCGTTTACACCATACTCAGCCAGAGCTGCTGTCAGGTCTTCCATCGTAAGAACAGTCTTGATCTAGATCGTGTCAATACAACCGCCAACGTCGCAGGGAAGTCATACCTTGGTGGCTGCGCCTCCTGCTTTGCTACGGCCTCCTCCAGAGCGAATTCTCGCATGAGAATATGCATCTGCTGCTATATCCGACAAGAACTTTTGTGCAGCGAGGGCAAGCAGTCTCTTCCTGCGACTTGTGAGTCTGTCATCAGCAAACGAGACCACGGGGCACGTACAACCGCTCGTCTTCACAGTCAAACCCAACCCGCTGAAGGTAGTAGTCTGTTACTTCTGTTGGAATCTATTTAAGGGTGAATAACCTCCGCCGTGTCCAGATTGTTGGCATTACCAACGGCTTGAAGTCGTCCAACATGAGCAAAAATTCTGCGAGAGTACGGTCCTTTCTTGCAGCAGTGTCCATGGCATCTCTGCTGGTCTCTGGTGCCGACTCGGACGCGGACATTGTCGAAGTCGAGGTCAAAAGCCTGTTTGCACACTTCTTGTTCTATCGCCACAACAGTGGCTTTGTCCCATGGCTCCAAGCCGCTTCAATCCATCGCAGATCAAGAACAAAATAAAACGAGATGAGATTCATAGAGCCGCAAAGAGGGAAAAGAAGCAGGCAAAGTTGAAGAGGCGACTTTTGCAGGCTGAGAAGGAGCGAAGTGATCCTGAGGCGAAAAAGGTATGCATTAGAGTCGTTTGATTACTTGTTCTGCTCACGTTTTGTTAAGGAACGGTTGGCTGCGAATGTCCCAAAGACGCAGGACAATATGCGCGAATACGACCCCTCCATGCTCACTGTCAACCCGACGACACAGAACACTACCGAAGACGCAGGACACAATGTTGATCCCAACCAAGAAGCGAACCTTGACATGGACAACGATCCGTTTGCTTCGTACTTTGACTCCGACGCCGATCCCTCCATTCCACCAAAAGTGTTGATAACTACGAGCCCAAAAGCGACAAGAACGACATACGACTTTTGCGATGAGCTCGTAGGAATCTTTCCCGGCGCAGAGTTTATAAGACGGAAAAAGGGGAAAGGGTTTGAGATTGGCGTTATCGCTGGATGGGCCGCTGGGAGAGGATACGGAGCAATGATTGTGGTCAACGAAGATATGAAGAAACCGAGTACGTCCATGACTCTCTTTACAGCGCTTTCTGACGGTGGGTAGACGGCATCACTCTTATTCATTTACCTCATGGGCCGACGGCTTATTTCAAGCTCACTTCCGTGCAATTGACAAAACAAATCTTTGTGAGCAATTTATATGTGTCCACATGCTGTACTAAGCATTGTAGGGACATGCCAGAGCGACCCCTCACAATCCAGAGTTGATCCTGAACAACTTCTCAACACGCCTTGGACACGCAGTAGGAAGGATGTTCCAAACACTATTTCCAAGACTACCAGAATTCGAGGGCCGGCAGGTTGTGACCCTTCACAATCAGCGGGACTTTCTCTTCTTTCGACGCCACAGGTGAGCCAGCAAACTACTGGTGTCATGAAATAACACCCTTCAGATATGCTTTCCGCTCTCCTGAAAAAGCAGCTCTACAAGAGATTGGTCCACGCTTTACACTAAAGTTGCGGTGGCTGAAGAAGGGCCTACCTGCAGTGCAAAACCTGGGTGCACCACCCCCGAAACTACAAATTGCAGACGAAGAAGAGGAGAATACAAAGTTGGGATCGAATCCTATTAACGCGCCTGCGACGGATGAGTATGAATGGCAGTGGCGGGTGAGTTTGCGTGTCTGTCGCCATTCTCTCACTCACTGCGTTGTTCTCAGCCTGAATTGGAGGTTACGAGACGGACATTTTTCCTTTGATACTAATGATGTACTTGTGACCAATTGCCATAAGCCAGTTGAACTGCGTATTGCTGCGTCCCTGACTCTTTTGGACATGACCACGTCCTCGCCACCAAAGGAAGCTCTTGCCGCACTGACGCTGAGTGCACAACCCGACGAAGAATCGAACCCATGGGCCGCAAAACCGACTGAGGAAACTCGTGAGGAGCCTGTAATCCTCGCCGCGACAGGTCCGCCACCGCCTGCGGAGGAGCCAGTGTTTACACCTGCAGTCACGCCTCTTGTCGTCGATCAGAACGTGCTAAAGGAGTTTGATCCTCTCGCAGACAATGATGAGAAAGCTGCTCAAGAGGCCTGGGCATCTGCCGAGTCGCATCCACCTCCGAAACCAGAACAGCCCGCTAATATGTCTGCACCACAGACACCTATACATTCCAAACCTCTCCCAGCAGATCCCGAAAGTCCTACGAAAGCAGCGCCAACTTCAGCCTCTGCGTTCACCAACACTTTCGCCAACCTGGCCCGAACGTTTTCGCGGCCGCGCTCTTCTGGACCAGACACCATTCCATCGTCCAATCCTCGTACTTCTGTAGAGATCGGCAGGCCTGCCACTCCGCAGACACCGGTCCGATCCGATTCGCGAGCCAAACCTGCAGACGGCCAGTTTGATTTCCAACGGTTTCTTGACCAGCTCAAGACGAAAAGTGCCGAGCCAGTTTCACAATATTTGAGAAGGTGACGCCCCAAACGATGTCTGCTAATCTCGGTCCCTGATGTTCTTTGCTAGCTTCCTGAATCACTTTTCGAGACGGACGTTTACTGTTCAAGATCAAGTGAAGCTAGTGCAGCAGTTCTTGGCGGTTTGTCAAACATAATTGGCCAGCTCCCCTTGACACCAAAGTAGTTTATCGAACCAAAGATGCGCGAGTGTAGCGTTTGGAGGAGAGAAACAGAAGAAGAGTTTGAAAACTCGATGGAGGCCATGGAGAAGCTCGTCATGAATCGCGTTTATGACTAGTACGTTCCTGCATTGGGCAACGCTTTGGCTAAGCCTATATAGTACATTCACACCTCAAGTACACGCATCAGGACGACAGATTACGACTGACGACCTCGAAAAGGACCACGTACTCTCCCAGCGTATTCGATTATTTGGATGGGTCACAGAGAAGCATCTCGACATCCCGGTAGGAGAGAATAATCAGGGGTTTCTCAATTTTGCAGAGCAAGGTACCTATTTAGATATTATCCATACCTTTTCTTATACCCAACCCAGAGCTCCTAAAGATCAACCATTACAAGGCACCTCGCGACAAGATGATATGTATATTGAACTGCTGCAAAGTTATATTCGGTATGTCACTGAGACAGATACTACCAGAGATGTATAATCACACTTCCACAGGTTTACTGCGTCAGCTGAAGAACGAACAAGGAGCTGACGCATTTGTCCCTGTCCTGATATTGGTCGTCCTTCAAGCAAACCCGGAGCATCTCCTCTCAAATGTTGAATACATTCAACGGTTTAGGAGCCCAAGCAAATTACAGAGTGAGTCTGGTTACTACTTGTCGAGTCTAGTGAGTCTTCCAAGATTTCCTTATGACTAATCACTCATGGATTACAGATGGGAGCGGTATCTTTCATCGAAACAATGGATCATACTTCATTATCCAACATCACCCAAGAGGAATTCGAGCGCAACGTGGAAGAGGCAATCCAGAATCTCCCTGAAACTCCCAATGTGATTCCTCCGACACCATCCGAGGACTATAATGACGGTCTGCCGGAGCCACCAAAGACTCCAAGTGCAGCACCTGCACCGGGCGAAGAATCCGCTGATGCGCTCCAAATGCCAACCCCAGCATCCGTCGCGGAGGATACCAGAAAGTTTCTGCAGCGTACAGGGACACTAGCACAGCAAACAATATCGAAACCATTGAATGCGATTGGCAAGCTTCTGAGCGAAGCTCTCGATGGCCTTGACGACGACAATAATAACCGGAGACGAGGTGAATCGAGTCAATGGAACAACCCTGAACGGATACAACAGTACGCCGAGGATCCTCGTACTCCCCAACGGGGAACTGCGCCGGTCCCCATCATGCAAGCACCATATAAGACCCGAGTTCGACCGGGGTCTTCAACACCGTCCCCAAGTCATACACCATCTGGACCTCCAGCTCTACCACCTCGGCGAGGACCAGATTACTTTGCACCGTATCCAGGTGTAACGGCAGAGCATCGCGGGACGCCATCGCCAGAGGATCAGAATCGGAACCTCGCAGCCGAAATAGGAGCCATCGAAGATGCTCATAGACAAGCCGCACACGAGACCATTGTTCAGATATTCCCCACGGCAGAGCCGGAAGTGATCGACATGGTTCTCGAAGCAAATGGGGGCGATCTGGGTCGAACGATAGACGCAATTTTGGAGATGATGTCTAGTGGTTGAGACTTTTGTATCCTGCTTTCCGCTTTGATATCTAGCGCCGACGTCGGTCTCTGTGGAGGACGTTCCTTCTTCTCCACCGTTACGAACCAAAACCGTGCAAAGTCACGACTAAAATTCTATACGATAACTGTATCGTTGTACACCATGGGCATGCCGATTTCTACGATTTCTACTATTACGCCCAAAAAGGAGGAGGGTTTGGACATGGAGGAGCCCCGGCGATGGTGCAAGGAGGATGGAGACCCCGAAGAAGAGACTTGGTGGGACTCTAGACCAGTATACACCGAGTCGTTTGTGGCTCTTGGCCCCGGCGATGGCACCAAAGGCGCAACGGATGCTCAGCGCCAGCAGGTCGTTGCGCCCATCCATGCTGCTCGAAAACAAAACGAAACGCTAGCGCTGAACACTTCTTCACCAAAAGTCGAGCACTCTGAGATGCGGGGCACTCCTAGCGTCGTGTTTGCGAGCCGTCGTACCATCACAGAAGAGGAACTGGCGGGCGTCACTCTGGATACCTTTGCAGACGAGGAAGATGAGGATGATTTCGAACTCGACTGGGACGAGGACGAGTACAGCACGATGGACGTAGCAGAATGCGTCTCGGAAGCATCGACGCCCATGCCCTCGACGCCCATCGTCCCAACACGCACTCTGTCGCTTCCGGTTGCCGTTCCATCGACTCCGCGTCGCCGCCAGACGATGCCGATTTCCCCTTCGTCTGTCACTTTGCGCTCCGGCAGCTTCCAGGCGTCTCCCAAGTTTTCTACAACGCCCGTGAGCCCACCCATTGCCCGCTCCGTCACTCGTGCTCGCGGCTTCGCTCTTCCTAGCCCACGCACAGAGCTCGTCCTCTAAGCGACGACCTCCTCCACCCACCCAATGCTACATTCATTCGACCATACCCTCCCACACGCACTCCTTGCCTTTAATTTATTTGGGCATTCTTGCTTCAAGCCCAAGTATGCACCGACCCAACACCCCCCGGACTCTTTTATATGGTCAAGTTTTGACATTACTGCAGCAAGCCCGTTCAGCATACTGGTCACATTGTCCACGCATTACTCTTACACCTGTCCCGCATATAGTGCTCTTATGACTTACGATTAGTAGTAGTCGTCGTGTCCAGTCTGTGCACCATTGTTCTATCGCGTTGCCTGCAACAGTCGTCTAACGTCGCCATTCCTTTCCATTTCTTCTTGTCCCTGCGTAAGAAGCTAAGGTTTTGGTAGCATGAGTACATCCTAGCCAACTTGAACCCCGCCATGTCCCGCCAAATCTTGTCCTACGCCGACTTGGGTCCAATCAGTACCGTAACTGTACCAATAAGTAACGCAATCAACGGTCCACCTCACTCAGGTTCGGCGCAGGAGCCTCCTCGCAAGAGGAAAAGAACAGATGGGCCAGTTCCTCAGGGTACGCCGTCAACCTCGGCGCAGACGGAACTTTCTTCGCGCCAAAGAAGCCCTAATGTGCATCATCATGAAAGCAAACGACCTTTTAGTGCCCCACAAAATTCGAAAGCAAAGGCGCCTTTGAGTAAAGCTCGTGGGCGCTCTATTTCTCAGCATTGGGATGCACAGGCTGCACAAGAGGTGACCGAATTGATGTATGCGGAGGAAACCATCGAGGTCGATGTGCCCGTGAATGCAGCGGGACAAAATGCGAATGGTGGAGTTTCAGGTGTTTCAAACGGCGCAAATCGGTCTCAAATCGCACCATTAAAAGCAAAGAGTGGAAATAAAGCCGTAAAAGGACCGAAGGTTGGGGAGTCTGTCGGTTTGGGCGAGAATGAGTGGGATGACTCTGCTCTGATAGACGCCTGGAATGCTGCAGAGGCGGAGTATATGGTAAGTTCGTTACACACCACGAGGTGCGATACTGACCAAACTTTTGGTCCTCACTTAGGAAATGCATGGTGGTAGGAAATGGCGCTGCGATCCGGTAAAGTACTCGGTTCTGTAAGTTCGGATCTTTTAGTTCGAGTGTTGTATCTGATTCGCACAAAGATGGCACTCTACAAACCCGGTCACGAATCAGCCTACGGGGATCGACACTGACTCCGACGGTGACCAGGATGCTCCAATGGCTGAAGAAGACGAGGCGATAGATGCAAACGAAACCACCGGAAATGTCGAATTCTCGCTCCCTAGCGCTCCAGACTTTACCCACCTGCAGTTTGTCTCGGCTATGGGTGAAAAGGCGGACTTGTCGACTCTTGATTATGCATTCAACAAAGCAAAAGAAGCAAGTTATGCTCTAGGCTATTGGACAGCGATGTATCACTTACAACTCAAGCATATGGTGAGTATCCCCTGCTTACAGTGGGTACTATCACTGACTTCTCGCAGGAGACCCAAAAAGTTCCTTCTGAAAAGCTCGATAATCAGGAGCCAGCCGATGAGCAAGAGGAAGCGGAAGCGGAAGACGCTTTTGTAGCAACTCAAAGGTGAACGTCAAATTGAGTATTTGTCCTTATAGGAGACTGTATTTCAAAGAAGAAGTTCATAGACGAGCTGAATAGACTCCTCTTGAGACGGTGGTACCTCTGCCAGTGGGTCCTCCATTCTGTATCAATGACCGGACGAGACGAAGTAGATCGTCGATAGCCTCGTCAGAGGTCTGTATATGAACCTGAAGACGTGTCTCAATAAGTCCAATGAACCAAAGGGGAACATACCACAACTCGGTTGCTCCCAAACATTGTAATGGGTTCTTGTAATGCTGCAGCTTCGCTCGCAATATTTTCCGTCGTTAAACCAGCTGGAGATGGATCGAACCAGACCATGCATGTTTCGACAGGTGTTGTAATGCTGATACCCATATCCTGTAGACCTTGAGCTAGGCGCTTGGCCTTTGAATGGACGGATGGGAGAAGAGAAAGATGGTGTGTAAGTGCGTATGCTGCACAAGCTGATAAAATCCCTATTTGTCTCATTGCACCGCCAAATAGTTTCCGATAGCGCCTTGCGAGAGCAATCGTCTTTTCGGTTCCGACAAGGATGGAACCTGCGGGAGCACCTAGCCGAGATATCAGTAAGCCAGTTGAAAGAAATGAAGCATATTACCCAATCCTTTACTGAAGCAGAGAGTGACAGTGTCAAAGGGGGAACACAACTCTGAAAGTGGTTGGCCAGTCTCTACGGCAACGTGCCAAAGTCTTGCACCGTCAAGATGCATCTTCATTCCGTGCTGTTTCCCGAAGGAGGCTATCTCCAGGATTGACTGCTGAGGATGAACGCTACCGTTGAGCGTATTCTCCAGTGCGATGACTTGGGTAGTGGCATAGTGAATGTCGTCTGTCAGGATAATATGCTTTTTGACATCCTCCAACGACAGAAACCGTCCTAGGCTTGTGAGTAGAGTTTCCACGAAAACAAATCGGCTTGCCATCGCTTGGAACGACTGGGATCAAAGTCGCCCCGCTATTATAGGCGGCTCCTCCTGTCTCGTACTGAGAAAGATGCGAGCGTTGGTCGCAAAGTACACTATTGGACGGTGAGGTCAGACTCAAATCAGACGGCAGGATATGACCTGTATGGTGGTTGTTCCAAGAGGCACCTCAGGGCAATTTGGTTCCCCATTGTTCCACTGCTGATGAACAATCCCGCCTCTTTGCCACAAAGATTCGCTACATGCTTCTCGAGGGCGTTGGTACAGTAGTCTCGTTGGAATACGTCGTCGCCAAAAGATGTCACTTTGAATGCATACTCTAACATTGCTTGTGGTGGCGCAGTCACAGTGTCGGCTTGACGAGAAAGATCAGTCAAAGTGAAGATGAGAAAGATCACCCACAGCAGAAATCACGAGCCAAACTCCTTCTTTCTGCATCCTGAGCAGTTCTTTCAGAGCTAAGGTTTGACAAGTCGAGCTTTGCTGCCTCGAGGACTGCCTGCTGTGCTGGGGATAACGTCGACAGGGCTGCACCCGCTCGAATTCGCGACATATTATTCAAGAAGTAGTCGATCCGAGCTAAACGTCGACTGGAAAGGCCCGAAAAGAGTGAACGAGCGTAGCGGTCGAATCTAAGCATTCTCGTCAATTCTTCTCCTGACCATAACCTCGCGACTGACTTGAAAACGGCCAATGGGCGGTGGAAACGTAGGAAATACTGTATAATCATCCTTTGTCTACTTATACTGCTCAAAGGGTGCCAAAGCTGCGCAGAAACGCGAACGCAACGCTGCCAAAGCTGGCAAGACGGCCAATTCGACCCTCAAATCAAACGAAGCACAGAAGAACATCATTTGCCAGACTTGTCGTCAAGCTTTCGTACGCCTAACACCCTCAATTCTCAAGTAAAACTGATGGCCCTATAGTTCGTGACAACCCGTGCACCCGCACTCGAAGAGCACTCGCAGAATAAACATAGCAAGACCATCGCAGAGTGCTTCCCGGACTTCAAAGCGTGAGGTGATCGGGGCGTGCCAGCTGTTGATTTTATAAAGTCTTCTTGGATGAGATACTCAGTGTGTGAACTTGCTGAATACACTTTTTTTTCCATTGGTCATTTTCTAGTCCTTGTCCAGTATCATGCATCTGTCAGATACATGTAGACGCTGAAGCTTGGAGCCCATCGGTACCCTGTCCTGAAAGGGGAATCTCGTATATTGCGCTTGAAATCCATTTTGGCATCTGTGCAATGCCTCCTATCAGATCATCGTCCTCGGACGGCCTCAAAGTACTCATCTTCGGTGTGGTGTCTCATTCATCTCTGTTCTTGTTGACCAGGAAACGCTAGATGGGGGTGACCTGCGTTCTCTATCACAAATTGAGATCCTCAGGGAATACATGCGCCGCATTCAATTCGATACAGGTGAAGCATTAAGACCTCATCAAGTCTTTGACCTTGTGGCGGGCGTTGGTCCTGCTGGGTACGTGAAAATAGCTACTCCTTCACGACCATTGATCATTCAGCATTCTTGCCTTCCTATTGGGAGGCTTGGGCCTTACGATTGAAGAGGCCAGCGAGCAGTTTGACCGTCTTTGTCGCGATTTGCTGCTGGATGATCAACTTGACACGGAGAGTCGCACGGAAAAGCTCGAAACTCTTCTGAAGGACATGCTCCGAACCGCTCAGATCAGGGAGAATCAAAAGCTCTGCGATCCCTCGTCTCCTGCATGCAAAACCAAGATGTAGGTATAAAGGTAATCCGCCGATTTCGCTCATCACCTGCTAGAGCGCTTTATTTCATGAGTTCATCGAATTTGGGTCGGTGCCGTGTGTTTCGCAACTACGAATCCCGTCAATACGAATACAATCCGACAATACTCGAAGCACTACGGGCTACTTGTTCGATGCCACACCTTTTTATGCCTATCTGTGCTGGTCCCGATCATCACCAAGAAGATTTGGTGACAGCGATGCTAGGCTACAACAACCCAACGAAGGAGGTGATCAGGGAACTCCTCAGTATCCACGGTTCTTCTTGGAGGATCCAACTCATTCTTAGCATTGGCGCTGGGAAGCAAGCGCCTCTATCCATCAAAGGTAAAGGTATCAGCTTGGTCGAAAAGGCAGTTCAGGAAGCAGAAAGTGTCGCCGAAGAATTGAGGGAACATCTAAAGAAGACGGGTGTATACTTTCGTTTTTCTGTGGATCGGGGAATCGAAACTTTGGAGCAAGCCCAAGGTCAACAGATATCAACCATTTACTCCAGCACCTCCACGTATCTCTCGCAGAAGGACGTTAACGAATCGCTCGACTCTGCAATTAAGGCCACATTCATGTCAAGTCTTGTTACTCTCGAGAGACTCAGTAAGTCTCGACACTTGGCGCTGTTCCATTACTCAATTGAAAGCAGATCCTTACCCGTCCCTGGTAATGAAGTCTTCCAACGGATTGCCACCCCTCTCCGCTTTCTTCGTAATGAGACAAGCGCCAATCGATGCATTGGTCAACGGCCTCCTGAGCGTCAATTCGGACGACCCTAGACAACGCATCATGGTCGTCTCCGGAATGGGGGGATCAGGCAAAACACAAATCACACTGGCATTTGCGCGAGCGAACGAAAACTGGTAACTGGTGATCCCCGAAATAAGCCAAGATTAAAACGCTACAGGTTTCGACATATATTATTTGTTGACGCATCCTCAGCCGAAAGCATAGAAAACAGCCTTATAGCCCGAGGAGGTGCAGTTGACCGTGCCCTGCTGCGGATGCACGGCAAAGGATGTTCTTAGCGCGCTGTCTCGTCCAGACGAAGTATTCACTACAGACTGGTTGCTTATCTTGGACAATGCGGATGATCCTGGTCTTGACATCCGCGAGTTTATCCCAGAATGTGATCACGGCTCGGTCCTTATTACGACTCGCAACCCGAACCTCGGAAACCTCACACCTAACCATCTTAAATTGGACGTCATGACTCCAGAAGAGGCTGTCGACGCCCTGTTAAGTGCTGCGTTTGGACCCAGCGGCAGGCGCAGCGAAAGAGAGCTCTCCACAGCACTCGAAATTGTCGAGACATTGGGATACTTACCGGTAGCTGTGATTCAAGCGGGAGCAATGATTAAGAAGCAGCAGTGCTTCTATGATTACATCGCGCGGCTTAAGCGGAATCGAAGCAAGCTTTTACAGATCCCCAGCCTGCAACGGGACAAATTGAGGTACCCTCACAGCGTGTACGCAGCGTTTGACACCACACTCAAAGTCTTGTCCGAACAGTCTCTACGATTACTCAGTATTCTCTCCTTCCTCCACTATACAGGTCTTCCGAGAGCGGTTTTCGGCATAGCCGCCAAGTATGACTTCAAATACCAGCCGTATGATATCGAAGAGAGAGAAACCGAGTTTGAAGAAAGTGCCCAACTCCTTACGTCTATACTGACTCGTGACGGTGTCTGGAACGAAGATATGCTGGACGAGATACTGGAGGAACTTCAACAGTATTCGTTGGTAACTCTCATTCCAGGATATAGTCCAGAGTCTGTGGCGCTACGATGTCATCCTCTGCTACATGCATGGGCTCAAGATCGTTTATCTCCATCCGATCGTGCTCGATTCTGCGCTTCAGCAGTGAGGATTATATGTGGCGCCACTCACCTTGTCGACGCTGCAGTTGGAAATCGACTCATCACTCACGCCGAGAGTCTGACCCGTACAACTCCAGGTCTTCATATCAACGATCAAGTTGCACTAGACGCTATCCAACGACGAAATGGAAAAAACAAAAATTCCCTCACACTGTGGATGGAAGTTCATCAGACGGTAAATGCCAAATATGGCCCTAACCACGGCCGAACGGCATTGGCCACTCTCATACTCGCCGACAGCTACGGACGAGCCGGAGATCGGGCGAAGATGGAGGAATTAGAGAAGCTCTCTGTCGAGAGGTTCTCGCAACTCTACGGACCCTACCACTCAATGACATTGTGGGCTACCGGCAATCTCGCGCGCACGTACAGAGAAAATGGTGATCTTGACAATGCCGAATCACTTAATAGGAGAGTCCTAGAAGGCTACGAAAAGACGGAACTCGATGGCTTGCCCATGTCGAATGCGTTAACGGAACTGGCAACGACGTTATTGCGCCGAGGACGATCGGGAGAGGCACGTGCCCTGGTCCTCCAGGCGCTGAAAATTCAAGAGAAGAACCTGGGACGTGCGCATCACGTGACCGCACAGTCTATTCAAACGCTTGCAGCCACCTATGAACGCGAGGGCCGTTATGCTGAAGCCGAACCTCTGCGGTCCGAGGTATTGAGCCTGCAGAAGCTCATACATGGCGAAGAAGGAGCAGGAACTCTCAACGCGCTCGGCTGGCTGGCATTGCACCACTACGAACAAAAACGCTATGAGGAAAGTGAAAAACTTTTTGCAAGTGAGTTGCAGGGTAGGCGAAAGGTGCATGGTCCAACTAGCGAGAATTGCCATAGTGCATTCAAAGGTCTAATTTCAGCGTTGAATGCCCAAAGAAAGTATGATACGGTAGATGCGGTTCTTCAGGAGGAGCTACCAAGAAGGAGAATGATCTTTGGTGAGACCCACGAGACGAGCCTCCTACTAGAGCAATGGATGGCAATCAATTTTCACGCTCAAAAGAAGTATAAAGAGGCAGAGGCGGCTTGGAGAGGCCTCTTGGAGAAGCGACGCTCTATCGGCGCTGCAGAACCTTTGATAATTAGAACCCTTCATGGCTGGGGTAATAGTCTATTCTGCCTCAGACGCCTTGAAGAGGCTGAACATGCGTGGAGGGAGGAGATGGAACGTAGAATGGTGATACATGGGAAGCAGAATACTCATACTCTGCAGTTGATGCATCGCTTGGGCTGTGTAATCTTCGAGCAAGGCCGGCACAAAGAGGCAGAGAAGTTATGGAGGGCTGAATTAGATGCAAGGAGAATGCTCTCAATTGGTATCGACCGGGATACGGCTGATACGCTCCATTCACTTTCTCAAGCATTGGTGGAACAGGAGCAATACATTGAAGGAGGTGAGTATTAAAAATGCGATGAGATCCTTTGTGCCCATCATTTCCAGAGCAATTAGCACGAGAGGAGATAAACGCCAGATTGGAACTCCATGGACCCGCGGCACGTATGACTGGAGATGCATACGCTGTCCTTGGCTTTGCTCTTCTCGGGCAAAGGAAGTTGAGCGAAGCAGAAGAGGTCTTTCGGGAAAATTGGGATATTCTGAGAACGGTTCTCGGAAGCAGTCACGAGATTTCTATGGAGGCGCAGATTTGGGTAGCAAATGCGCTAATAGAACAGGGAAAGCGCCAAGAGGCCGAAAGACTTGCTCGAAGCGTTCTGGATTGGAGAAGCCCATCCGAGTTCCGGATGCCCGGGGGTTGGCATATGCTAGGCCAAATCCTTATTGAAATACAATATATTGACGAGGCGGAGAAGCTGTTGGAGGAGGAGTACAGCTGTAGAAAAAAAGAATGGGGAGAAAAACATGCAGGCACTATTGAGGTGAGGGACCTCTTGACTCAACTAGGGGAGAGAAGAGACAAAAAGGTTGGAGTTGCTAGGTAAAAGTACTCTACCGAATTGATTACAACAGGATTCGAATCCCTGGCCTCACGCCATCCAGCCAGAGGTGTTGCGTAGAGGCGTTAGGACAAAGTCAGGCGAGATTTCTTATCATATATCTGCAAATACCATCCTGTCGCTACACCCAGTTGGAACCCCACCACCGGTTGATTCTTTCTGGTCCGTGCTCGTCGTACAATGGCCGCGTTACGGCCACCCGATGAAACTCTGCGGTCTCGCTGAACCTAGCCATGCCGTGCCATGCATCCAACGACGGATCTTCAGCGACACGCACTTTGATTTGAGTACCTGGCTCAAGCACTTCTTGCACGACATCCTTGACCCGTGAGGATAGGCCCGGGAACGCAGCCGGTGCGCCAGTGAGGAAGATGTTCTTGAGTATCGATATCAGTCACTAAACGAGAGAAAAGTAGAGGTGGAGGTCGTACCTGAGCCATCCGCGCCCTTTGAGCGGACTTGAATCGGCTGAGCACAAATTGGACCAGCTCGCCTAAACCAGCGCTGTCGAGTCCAGCCATTCCAGGCTGAAACCAGGTCTCGGTGCACCTATATCTCTCGACGTTGAGGTGTATACGAGAATGGCCCCTGACGTCGTCCTCGGGATATGCAGGTCGAAATGCCTCCAAGAGCTTTGAACGGGCAGTGGAAAGGGATGCGTAGGTCTCCGACATTGTAAAGTTGGGGTCGTGCTCGAGAAGTTGCTTCTCTATCACGGCTAGTCGTGCGAGATCCTCCTCTTCCGATTCATCTGGAGCTCCGGTGTTAATTTTGCGATAAATCTGCCAATCATCATCATCTGCTCCAAAGGTATCATCTAAGCGCGGTGATCAATGATAATTCTATGTGCGAGGTGAAGTAAGTACCTTCATTTCCTTTTCTTCTTTTGCGAGGACCTGGAATATCGACGGCTAATGAAGCGACATTTTTCATCCGTGACTGTGAAGCAGCCGACTTTCGATCCTGGAGAGCCGCCTTTTGACGCTTGCGAGCTTGCATTTTTTGCATAATAGTCTTTGATGCCGATCAGAGACTGACCACGTTGGAGCAAGTACCGCACCTCGTGCTGAGCTCTCATTTTGTTTGACCAGCCCGCCAGGTCTCGATCACGCTCATCCTGCTCGCGTAGCGCCTGCTCCTCCTTTAGCCTCTTCTCTTCCATGCGCTGTGCTTTCTGGAGCTTGCGTGCGTCAGAATTGGCTTTCATTAGCTTTTGCTTCCTCTTCTCCTTGAGGCTGTTCTCGCTCAACTGTTGCAAAAAGTGAGAACAGTCGGGGTTACGGGCTAATTCCGTACCTGATCGTCCGGTATGTCGACCAGTGGATAAGTGGGCTCTTCCTGGAACCGAGTAAGACCCCTAACCTCGAGATGGGCTCTTCTTACCTCTTCTTCATCTTCTGCTTCACCTTCCTTTTTCCTCGCTCGTTTCATAGCTTGCTGCATGTTCTTCAATGCGTTGTTGAGGTGTCCAACGTCGTCATAATTAAGTCGCTCTAATTCGGCCTAAGATAATTAGAACAAACAAGTATAAAGCGTGGTCCATACTTACGTCCAATTCATCCCCAGCAATTTCGCCAGCCTTCATTCGCTCCTTTAATGCCAACGCCTCGGCAAGGTCAGATGCCAACGTTTCCATCTGTACATCTTCAGTGCTTGGGTGGGTCACAATTCGAGATAAATGCCTTTTCTTTGCGCTTTGCAATGGCCATTTCTTGTAGTCGGCGTCCGGCTTCCTTTTTCCGCTCAGCTTGCCTTGCAAGCTCTTCCGCCGTCTTTTCCTCCTAGATTACTATTTAGTAACTACACAAAGAGATAAGAAAGGGGCTTACTGGTGCAACGAAAGGAAACTGAATGATAAGATCACGCAGCCGCATGCCCTCTGGTGTGCCCAATTCACGTAGAGTTTGTATGTAGTCAGGGGAGAACATACATGATGTTCTCAGCATCCACTAGATGAATTATCAGTTTTGCGTGCGCCCAAATTCAGAGGACTTACCGCCGATTGTTGAGGAGTGACTTTGGTTGGGAAATATGGGTACTTCATCTGAATCAGCTTTAGGAGAAATTCTGACGCTTGACTGGCACCCCATGGCATTCTGAGGTCCACGACGTTGCGTTAGGATATGAACGACGATAGCAACAGGAGCCCACCGTTTGGCATTGGCGAGAATTCCTCGACCATTGAGGACGGGTATAACCGAAGTCGAAGCAGAGTTGAAACTAATCACAACACCGTCGCGCTTTGGCTCATTTGGCGTATTGTGATAAAACGACATGAGCGCGTCGATGGCATACCCTGCCTTGGGGACATTGTACCCCTCAAAAAGGAGCTCGTTCAGCACTGAAAACGAATCAGTGCGCTGTTTACGTTTGAGAAGGTATTCGCGTACCAGATCTCGAGTACATGGGCGTGCACAACCGTTCAGAGATGATGACAGGGTGCAGCACAGAGGGAGTATCCAAACCAAGTTTGCAGAACGCATAATCGAGCGCGTTCTCCATCGCGTCAAAGTTGATGAGAATGTCGCCTTCCCAAGCCGTCTTGCTCTGCGTTTTGGCGCCACTCTCGACCTCGACATTGTCCCCGAATAGCGCTATCTGAAGGTTATGCTTCCGTTCTCGATAGCGGGAGTAGATGTTTGGGATCGTGTACGGCGTGCTAAAGTTGCTGAAGCCAAACCGATAGGTTGTGCACCCATTGTCGATAACAATCGGGACTTCAGGGGGTGTATTGTATTCATCTGGGTCCATAGCGTGGAAATGAAGCAGGTTGGGAACGACGGTGACATTTTCGCCATCTTCCTCCATGGTGGTCGGGTCAAGGTTATCAACGTCGGCGATAGATACTCAGACCAATCTAAATCATTGATACTGTATTGTATTAAATCAAAAACTACGCGTTACTGCCGAAGTGCGGCTATAGCCTTTGCCTCTTTGAGGCTCAACTTCCAAGCAATCCCAGAACTGCCGTAAAAGTCTTCAACATCTTCGTCCTAGTAACTGGTCAGCGCTCATGTCCTAGATACGTCAGGTACTTACTGCGTCCAGATTGAGCAGCGTGGAGATTTGGAAGAGGCGTTGGAACTTTTCACGAGCGTTGCCAAACACAGCTTGCGACGACAGGTAGCCGACGATCGCACGAATATCCCTGTCAAGTCTGACTGCCCCGAGCTGTCCAGCTGACATGAACATCTAGGCAAGCCGCAAAAGACAGACGCACCTCTGTGTACTTCATCACGCCGAGCATCTTCTCCCATGGTTTCACCAAGGTGTCAATGGCCATGCCAAAGAAAGTTCGATAATTTCCATCGGTAAACGTCGATTTAGGCGCATTCATTAGCGTTTCCCAGGCCTATCGTTGCTTAGTGCCGGATTATATTACGCATATAAATACCTTTGTAAATCTCTTTCGAACCAAGTCGTTTGCCTCGACAGTAGCATACGCGTCTTCGTCAAGGAGATAAGTATGATCTTTATAGACGTCTTGTAAGATGGCTCGCAATCGCGGTCGAATGAGTTGATTGAAGAGCTCTTCGAGACTTGATTTGAGCATTGCGCGGAACACATGTGTAAGTTTGAGCAAGCTGTCCAACTGTTCGTGAACAACATTTAGCTCTGATTGCAAAAAGTGCTGATCTATCGTTGGTGAACTATGGAGCTCCTTGACAAGTCGCTCCATGTGCGAGGAAGAGATGTCCAGGTCGTTGAGGAGAATCTAGCAATGTTGAGTTGAAATACTATTACAGTGAAGGACGCACTATAAAGTTTTCTTGCTGAACTTTTTCATTCTTCTGACTTGCTCCGCCTCCCGTCGGACGATAAATGTCATCTAGCTTTCGTCGAATGACCGCCGCATAGTCTTTTTCCAGAATATGCCGAACACTCGTCATCAGCTTTTCGACGTTGGCAATAGACGCTGTCGACAAAAGTCTGGAAGTGACTGTTTGGAGGATAAAGAATACGTCGTCGGGAGTAGTGGTGGTGACAGGAATGGCTCCTCTATCTACTGATGAGAGCCTATGAGCCTTTTTGCTGTTAGATTTGAATATGGAAAGCGTATGAGTTACCTTTTCTATACTGGAGCGTAGGTGCCACAGCTCCAGAGGCTCGTAGTACTCCTCGAGCAATCTCGCAAAGACTTGAGTCGAGGCAGCAGCACGAATCATGGCAACTTCTGGTCCATCTGCGATAGTCCGAGGTTCCGCTGCGGGCTTGTCATCTCGCGACATTCTCTGCTCTGTTGGCGAGACTGGTGTCGAGGTATCATCTGCCTAGGATAGATGAATCGAATGATAATAGAATGGGTTAACGATATACCTTTAATCGCTCCAAAAGGAACCGTCGAAACAGACCCCATCGACCTGCAAGACCAGCAATCTCCGAAACAATCTTGTCGACTTCTCTCGCATTGGAAGCCTCTTCCTCGCTCTCTGCTGCCGAAAGCTGTACAGTTGTTCGCTGTGTGCTCGAGACTTGGGTCGCTCGTTGGTACGCGAGGAGTTCAAATGTCTGTGATGGATTTAAAAACGTATACTAGTTTTGGTGATATTACCTTGCGCTTGACGCCACGTTCTTCTTCCCAGCCTTCGACGAGACCCTTGATGACCCGGTCGCACTCGTTCATCAAGCGTTCGGCTACGAGGAGCATTTTGCCTTGTCCATAGTACTTGTCGACAATGGGCTGGTGCTGGTCTACGATGACGGCAATGCTCTCGAAGAGGGCGGTGACCATGGCTATGTAGTACATGGGCGACGAGGCTAGGAATGTTAGTTAACGTGTCGCGGGAGCTGTGGACTACTTTACCTTTGACGCCAGCTGGAGCTCTCGCCCTGATCAAATCCACGACAAAGCGTGCATAGAGCTCGAGTCCCTCTGTCTCCCATCCAATCTCGGGGAACAATTTGAAGACGCGACTGGTATTCGCAGAGTCTCGTGCAGCCGATGCTCGTTCAAACTGCCTGGAAAAGATGTCGAGGAGAGATTTGCGCGCTTCTTCGAGTGTCTGGGCGGGCGGTAGAGGTAACAATGAGGTGGGCTACTGAGGATGGTCGGTCAGTTTGTCCTAGCTGGGGCTGTGACGCACTACGACCGACTCTGCAAAGGCACCATTGATGACATGGTGTGGGATGGTCATTGCTCTAGCACAGTATCTTGCGGCGGCTTCCCATTCCTGGGCTTCGATGGCGGCGTGTAGCTCGAGGAGGGATGACTTGGGGGTGTCAGTGATAATTTAGTTGGTTGTATAATGTACCTTTAGATCCATGACGAGTCCCACACGCTCGCTGGCTTCTCTGATGCGTCTCATTTCCTCGTCGAGTATTTTTACGCGGCTGCCCACTCTATCTGCTGTTGTTGCCGTTGATTGTACATTTTGATGGAGTGTTTGCGCGTCTATAGCCATTTCGTCTAGTGTTGGTGCTAGCTGGCTGAGCGTGTGCAGCGCGCCGTCGACGGGCTCTGTCGAGGCCACGAGCGATGCCAATGAGACGGTGAGCTCTGCTTCCTGGCTCTGGAGATCTCCCATGGCCGCTGTTAGATCCGCCGTTGTTTTGCAGAGTGCCGGTCTCATGGTATTGCTTATGTCAGCTGAGCCTATTCCCTTGAGTGGTACGAGACCCAAATGTCGACGCAGCTTGGACCCGACCACCGTGACCGTCATGGACTACGAGCACAGCGACCAGATTAAACTAGAAAATTCAGAACTCGACAGTCTCGTCGATCCCTCGTTTGGTCTCGACCTGCTCTCCCAACCCACCGCCCAGGAATCCGCTCAAGAGGCCACTCCCCCGCACGAATGGTCTTCCCAGGCTTGGATGGACGCCTCTGCAGCCATGAATCATTCAAATATCGACAACGTATTCCTTAACGAGCATCCAGACCCAATCTTTGAGCTCAACAACCCCGCTCTCGATTTTGCCACGCTCGGCGCCATCAACGACATGCACATGGGCGTTCCAGTCGACATGTATGGCAATGGTTTTCAATTTATGCTCAGTCCCGCCGACTTGCACAAGCCACCGGTCTTTCCATCGCTCGTTCCACAAACGATGATGCCTGGACTCAGCACAGAAAGTGCATCCAATCTCCAAGATGACCTCGTATCTGCCGTAAAACGACTTTCCGGTATTACCAGTGCCCAAATCGCCGGCGCACCTTCTGCGTTTGCACAAGACCTCCGTGGTACGACTTTTTCCTCCGAGAACCCCACAAAATCTATAGGATCGCTGACGTCCCGAATAGATCCCTATATCAATCCTGCAAACTTTTCGGACAATTCCTATTCCTCGGCCAGCAGCGACCGCAGTTCTGTGCCCCCACAGACTGCCGAGTCGGTCCAGGCTGGCTCGCCACCAGAGACGACGTCGGTCGACAGCAACTCGCCTCCAGCAATTCCTGTACGCGCAAAGACGGCCCATACCACCATAGAGCGCCGCTACAGGACCAATCTCAAGGCCTGCATCGACCGCCTCAGCAACTCGATCCCAGCTGTTCGTTGTATCGACAAGGACTACAAGCCACCCTCGGGTGTCCCCGATGTTGTCGATGAAAAGGGTCTGGTCGATGGTGTCAAGGCTGCGCGAAAGGTCAGCAAGGCCATTATCATGAGCAAAGCCCACGAGTACATTGTGTACGTCTCGTTTCCATTTCCTTTGCCATAAACTAATCTGACTTCAAAGCGTACTCAAGCGCCGCGAAACCAAGCTGCAAGAAGAGGTCGACGGCATGAAGGCACTCTTAAACTCGTTGGTCGGTGGCCCTCGTCTCTTGCAAGAGTGGGAGCGTCAGTGGGCTGCACGACAGGCAGAAGTCGCCGAAGAAGAGATGGACACCAACGACATGGACAGTGACGACGCAGAAGACGAGGATTCGGCAGACGAGCGACCGCGCAAAAAGGCAAAGACGATGCCCGCTCCAGTCCCCGCCAAAGCCAAAAAGCCACCCGTCAAGACTGCTGCTACTGCTGCTCCTTCGGCATCCTCTCCTACCAGCCCGACGACCCCCGTCGTGGCCAAGAAGCGTGGTCGTCCGTCCAAAGCTGCCGTAGCTGCCCGACAGGCTGCTGCTGCCGCCTCGTCGACTACGTCCCCATCCCAGGTCCAATTTACGGCTCCCATGTCTGCAGACGCCAGTGTGATGCCGACGTCGTCACCTGCGCAATACTCTTTTGTCCCGGGACTTCCACAACCAAAGCAGGCCGTCTTCTTTGCAAGCTTTGTCTTCCTCTCATATTTCAAGCCCACTGCACGCCACGTCGTCGTCACTCCAGAGGACAATACGAACCACTCGCATCTCGGCCGTGTCTTGTCGTCGCAGGATAATCTGAATGGCAAGGTTGTCCGCGTTCATGATTCGGTGTGGCATTCCCATCCGGCGCTACATTTTGCGCACACAGCGGTCATGGTCATCCTTGGTCTCGCTCTCATCCTCTCGTTGCTCCCCCAGCGCAAGCGACATAGAGTATGGAGATGGCTCAGCAGCTTTTTCGAGGTCCCTGCCCCTGCTTCTGACGAGCACGCGATGTCGGATTCGGAGTCGAGCGACGAAGAGCTCGAGTCGCGGCTCAGCCAGGCCGAGCAGATTCTCAAAGGTGTGCAGCTCGTTGACTAGTATCTTCATTCGGCTAATTCATTTGATTAGCTCCTAGCAACTCCAAGGCGAGACTTAGGCTTTACAATGCTCTCCAACGTTCGTGCTCGACGCCTCCTACGAGCAGCGAGCTCGGCTTCATGGCGTTGCTCCACATGTCCTCGACCTCTCCCTATGCCCAAGGTCTCTGGAAGAAGGCTTCATTGTCCGCCAACTCCCAAGATGTCCTCCGCTACGCCTTTGAGTTTCCACTGCAAGACGCTTCTGCACTCTTACAACAATCCGCCGATGACACTCGATCCTGCCTGACGATTCTCGCCTCCAAGTCTCTCGAGGACCATCTGGAGAGATTGTTCAAGGACGTCTTTGTCGACACTATCCTTGCCACGTGCGAAAACAAGTCGATGACGGCATCTACGACGACGATTGACATTTCCATCGGCACCGCGGGTGCCCAACTCCTCAAGGACGCGCGCACGCTTGGTGGAAAGCCCGCAGAGCTTGCGGCAGAATGGGACGCTGCACTCTCGGGCCGCGTACCAGCCACACCACGGGAAGCGACGAGTGCGCGTACGGTGCTGCATGTCCTGGCACTCATGAACCGCATATTCCCCGTCACATCGCGCGCGACGGCGTCTGGCTTGCCTTCCCCACCGCCCTCCCCACTTACGACCGAGGAGCGCGTCAAACTTGAGCGCGTATTGCGGATTGCGCTCGATTCGAATACGTTCCATGGTGTCGTTGGGCGCGGTGCGGGCATGAGCGAGGAGGAAAGGGAGCGGTGTGAAGAGGTGCGACGCGCGAGGGATATGTTGGTCTCGAGGTTGAGTCATGCTGCGCGTGAGCGCAGGATGGTGGCGTTGGAGGGTAGAGATTAGACTCGGACGTTGTCCTGTGTGCTGGTGTTTATATTCTCATCTAATTGTGTTGTGTTTTGGTTATCTGTCTGCAATATACGAACGGTTCAAGCGTATCTCATTGCAATTAGAGCTCATGGATTTACCAACGGTCGCTACTCTACGTGGGCCTTTTTGGGTTCTGGTTTCTCCTAAATAGAAGTCAGCTGCTGCAGTCAAAGAAAAATATCATTCACCTCGTCAGTACTCTCTTCTTCGCGAGGTTGCTTGGCAGCAGGACTTGACTCTCGTCCGAGTGAACTAGGCTGAGTCGACCATTCCGTTGACGACCAACTATTTCTACCCCGAAGATCGAAAATTCCGCGCCTTCTGGATAGACCTTCTGTAGTTTGGGTCGTGTTAAGGTTCCCCCTGCACGCGACAATGTTTGGTCGCAACCTCCAAACTGACGGAGGTGGCCCGAACGGTAAAGGATCTAAGAATACTATCTTATCGGCTGTGTGAGATTCTGATGGATGTCAACGAAGATTTTCTACATAATGCATGTGTACTTACTGGTACTTGCAGCTAGCGTAGCACTGACCACCTTGAGATACGTGACAAAGGTCGAGCTTGACAATGGTACGACACTCGATTGGGCACTGGGGGCCAGACATTTCATCCACCATAGGGTACAATTTATGTATCATAGTATTCACTTCGATTTGCTTGTTGATATCGGCGTAAGTATCCTCGCGCCAATCTCGCAGACTTTTTGCATTCGTCCAACGACAACCAAGCTTGTTTGAGATGCCGTGTGATACCCAGCCATCCGTGCTCACGGCGAGAAAGTCTTGATGACTGGACTCTTGTGTTTTGTGTCTGTGGCAAACTGTTCGAAAGGGTTTCCTCGCGGTCGCTGGTGATAGCTAGGCGTATTTGAATAGCAAGTGATGATATGGAATCGACTATAGATGGTCTATGATCCTGAATTTGTTGGGCCGGGTTCAAATAGTCGCGATAAGTTTGGACAAACATTATTTTTGCGGAGAGAAGAAGCTGGGCAAACCATGCTTCGAAATTATATATTTATAATCCAGTAAACGTGTAGAAGAGAGTTCTATTGGGCTAACCTGGGTAGTAAACACCGAAGTCCGAATAGATCAAAACAAAAATGCAGGATAAATAAATAAATCCCCAGTCATAGATATGATTGGTTACCCCGACGCTTCTCCTTGGAATTGCTCCAGTCTCTGTCGAGCTTCGTGGAGAAGCTGCTCGGCATGAACTGCATTTGCATTTCTCTCGGATCCCAGCTGAGACCACAGGGAGATACCTTCCTCGAATAGCTCCACGGCCTCTGCGTATCTTGCCTGAGCGAGCATGGAGCGGCCAGACCAATATAAGCCATCGCCGACGTCGGGATGTAGTTCGGGATGATTTTCCTTGGATTTTGTAGTATAATCCCTGAAAAGCTGCTCAGCCTCTTCAGATTCTTGTTGGCGAAAGAAAATCGCGGCAGCGACCCAAAGTTTCGCATTCATCGCGTCGAGACCGCGTGCCGAGCGTGTGGCAGCTTCTTCTTTGAATAGCTCTTCGGCTTCGGAGTATCTTTCTTGCTGATAAAGAGCGCAAGCAAGCCAGTGGATGGTAGTGATGGTTTTGATCCCTTGAGGTCCATCGCTTTCTCGTCTAATTCTAAGCTCTCGTTTGAAGAATTCCTCTGAGGAGCACATATCAGCATATGATATTGTATGGAAGGAGCATTCAGTACCGGCTTGTGTGTGATTACCCATGCTGTAGCATGATTCCGCAAGCTGATGAAGAGTAGTCAACGTGTCGGGGTGTTTCGGACCAAGAGCCTTCTCTCTTGTATTGTAGAGTTCTTGCATGATTGTCTGAGCATCGGGATTCTTTTGTGCTTCGTGGCAAACAGCGAGTGCGTGTAATGCATTGAGTGTCTGGGGATGTTCCCGCCCAAGGAGAGCTGTTGACAAAGCGACAGCTTCAAGGAGTGTTTCTACTGCCTCCGAATATTGCCCGCTCAAATGCTGGATTGAACCGAGATTGAAAAGGGGTTCGTAGAGGTCTAAATGTTTCGACCCTAGGAGCTTTCTGCGAACTTCTAAAGTCTTTCGCGCTGCCTCTTCCGCCTCTTTATACTCGCTCTTGTGGTATGCGAGAGTACGCACGAGGTTGAGGAGTGCGTCCACGGCTTCAAGGCTATCAGAACCATGCAACGCAGAGCGACTGGCCACGATTGCACGCTCCATCTCCTCCATCTTGGGTGTATCCCCGCTTTGACCATATGCATCAGCCAACCTCAGAGCTACTGTGCTTGTTCGCATGTCCTGGTCGCCATAGGCCTTTTCGACCTCTTCGTAAATAGCTTCCCATGTCGAGACCAGCAGAGTGTATTTCCTGTCGTACCTGATTAATCGGCAGAATGCAGCGCGTTCATTGATATGAAGCTCTGCCATGAATGGTAAGATAGCCGTAACATGTGGCGACATATGGGTTCGAATATGCGCATCGATCTCGTTTGTGCAACATGCGAGCAGCCTGGCAGTAACTGCGCGAAACATCCCACGTTCTTGGGCCGTCAGTCGATCGCCGGCCCACGAATGAAGTAATGGATGCAGGCGAATGGTAATCCAAGAGTGCACCGGAACAAAGCTGACCAGTGAGTACTGATACAGTTCATCTAACACCTCTTCTAGATCACTCTCATATAATTGTGCATCTTGACTCGGAGACAGCGTCTCCTGCAGGAGCGATACGGACTGATGGAATTCATCAGACCGTGGCGCGAGATCAAAAGGCTGGTATTCGAAACGGTACGTCGCAGCGAGAATGAATAATTCGCGAGGGATGTTGGTAAAATGCATGCAGGAGAGGATGCTGAGGAGATTGAGCGCTCGTGACGAAAGCACTCGAAGCGTGGTGTCGAATGCGTTGTATGCCCCATGATTATATTTGAGCTTATCTCGTTGGATAGTGTGATGGCGCAAAATTTTGGTGCGGTTCGCATTGAGACGCACGAGATAATTCCAAAAGCAGCGCTGCTTCTTGATATAGCACCCAGCTTGAACGACAGCGACTGGAAGATTGCCCAGCTGCTCGACAATCTTACTTGCCATCTCCGTGTGCCGGGGTGTCCTCTCCTCGGTGGCTGCCAATGCGGATGAAAGTAGGGCATCTGTGGCCTCCTCTCCCGACATGACATCGAGAACGAGATGCGTTTCAGGGCAAAGGGTCCCCAGTGATGGATTCCGGGTTGTGATAATGATCGAGCCATGCCGGCAATTCGGCATGTAGTCTTGAATGCTCACGCCGTCGTCGTCCGCATTATCGAAAATGATGAGCCAACGGGAGGTGAGCTTGCTATTTGGATTCTCGAGCATGTCCATGGCATCATGAAAGTCGATTCCACGAAAAGATGGTACGACGGATCGTACCCGGGCCAAAAGTCCATCCTCGATACTCCTTGCAGAGGATGCGTCAATAAAAAGGATGTGCTGGAACCTTGACGTAATCAGTCACCAATTTGTGGAAAGTATGAGCTTACAGGTCACCATACTGTAGTGCAAACTGGATGCAAAGCTGCGTCTTTCCGCTTCCGCCTAGACCCGAGATGACCATGACAGTTTGGCCCAACGTTCGGCCACAAATGACGCCCTCAAAAATGCGAGCCATTGGTTCTTGGCGTCTCACAAAGAACGGAGAAAGCGGTGGGAGACCGTGCGTTGATGCAGTCATTTCAGCTCGCACTTGTGCTAGTCCCATGGTCAGTAAGGAGCGAGCCGCATAATATCAAGTATACCGAGTGCTTCAAGATCTACACCGCCTTTCATGGTTGCCATATTTAGGCATGTATCAATCAGTTGGTCTTGGTGACTCAACGAAAGATAGGTCGATGTGCTGGATGCAATCATCCCAAAAGGATTCTCCTCAGTGATCGAGTCATCCTCAATCGCCGGTGTGACAGACAGTCGAAAATATTTCCCACTAGCACCCAGCCGTCGTTGGGCGTCATCCGCCGTCAGGACTGCATCTCGCGCATAGCGCGCAACCATGGCCTTGTGCCCCTTTTCGGGGACCCGTGAGACATGGCTTCCGGAACCCAGACTGAGAATGCAAGATACTCGTTGAGTTGAACCATAGCCTTCATACGCCTCACGAATCGCCTGAAAGATTGGATTGCTGTGCCCACTCGCGGCGCTGACTACGTCTTCGTATGCAATATCGGTAGTAACCTTTGTCGAGGAAAAGAGGCCTGGGGTGGCCCATGCAGCTAGCATGGCTTGAAGAATAGTCGGATTGTGCGAGCGATGACGGCTGTCATAGTTGCGGAAGAGTTTGCATGGACCGAGTTGCGCCGCAGATTGATATGCTATGGCTCTACGGCTGGTTAGAATGGATAGACGCAGTTGACGAAGACTCACACTTTGCATCCATCTGCCAAGTCGACGTCACTGTTGAGCCGTCTATCCTCTGGTACTTGAAGCTCTGCTAATATATCCCTGATCACCTGCTCTAGTCGCCGAGTTCGCTCTTCTGGAGCGAGAGCACAGGCCTCTCCCAGTAGCGTCGCTCGGCACATCTGACCAAATGCACGGGAGGCCTGATCAAGCTCCATACCAAGAACTCCAAGTAGTATCGCAATGACGCTATGTGAGAATGGGTCAATCTCGCAATCTGGAAGAGGAGAGGGTGGCATACCCGCCACCACCCGAACCAACAATAAAGTTGAAGTAGGAGCAGACTTTGTATGTCGAGTTACGATTGTCCATCTCTAATCTGTGGAAATACTCTTTGAGGATCTCCAATTGGGACATGCAGCGCTCGTCGCCGTCGTCTAGGACCCAATGTTGATTGGTGAATCTAGTTTGTTTCAAGTGAAAGAGCTCGTACCCAAGCAGAGGATCCGCAAACAGTTCATCGATGACCGACTTTCTGCGAGCAGCATTGTAGCGCCCTATACTGTGGTATGGTGCAGATCAAGTTTGGTAGGCGCTCAGAGGCAAACCATGTGGCGGCTCGCTCATTAATAGCTGGCACTATGTGTCACATTCCCGGTACTCAAGGCTATCGCCAGGTTCAAGCATAGTGAGACACGACGAAGACCGAGTTTGACGAAGGGCAAGACCCAATTAACGCTCGATTGGACGATGTTGGACGAATGGTTCATCCATCAATTACAGGAGGCACAACTTGGGCATCAAACTCGTTTTGACTAGTCGGAGAAATGTTCATCAACCGCCTTGCAAACCCTCATTGTAGACGATATGTATGTGCAAAAGTGTTGATTGCGACACTACGGATAGCAACACGAGACTGTGGTTTATCTGGAGAGTACGAAGCGAGCGGAAGGCTGCAAACGAGGCAGGCAAGAGTTCAGGCAAGAAGCCAGACTGCGGGCGGTGAGAATCGAAGGGCTGAGGATGATACAGGAATCGGAGGCGGTTTCGATATATCACTCGTAGGTGTGTGTAAAACTGTAGACGTGTGCGTGGGTGCATAGAAGGGCGAGAGAAGCATTGCTTCTACTCGTGGAGATGGCGAGAAAGAGATGAAGAGTCGAGCGACAGTCGAGGGTAAACTGATGGTCGAAGATATGAGGGAGCAGGAGAGATTCTTGATCGAAGAATACCGTGCGACGTCCATGCGCCGCCATCAGAACAACGCTGCCACGAGAGATAAGGTGTCGGAGTGATCAAAGGTGTCGCATGTGAGAAGAATGACCAGTCATACTTGAACGGTGATGAACAGCCGTGATCATAAATCAACGGCGCTCTAAACCCGCCAAGTAATGGCCATTTTGGAGGTATTGGTCTCGTGACAGTCGTGTTCTGCGTGAATCGATGTAGTTTGGGGAATTAAGATGAATGAGGACAAGTGCGTCTAGTGGCTCCAATACGAAGGGGAAAGGTCTAGTATCCGTGTCCCACCCTCCCGTTCATCAACGAGGGGTTTGTGAGGAATGACTCGGGGCTGTTTGCACCCCCCGTACGCTTGCGACCACTGATAAACTCAAAGCCGCTGTGTTCTTTCTCGAATGCAGTCTTGGGCACGGGTGCGTATACCTCGTGATCCTCATGACCAACGACTGCACGATGCGGAGTACTGACATTAGCGTGGTGGGTGTAGCCATAATGCCGCGGGGGCGCATCTCCAACGACGGGTGAGGGCAATCCAGTGGAAAAGTCGTAGGAATACGGATAGTTGGAATCATAGAGGGTAGTTGGCCCGTGTGCACCGGTATAACCTGGGTCTACATACGGTTCGACACCGTTCTTTATCGCTGCACGTGCTCCACCACCGACCGAACTGTCCAACGAGCTTCGGTAGTCGGTCGAGTGCATATACGTATGCGAGTATTCCCGTAGGTAATACGTTGGGACGCCGTTTGCGTCTGTCGAGTCACGGTACTGCAGGCTGTCGCGCACAAACTGTTGGCTGTATTGATCGCTGTCACGAAAGTTGTAGTGGCTACCACCTTCCGCAACGAATGAGTCTTGGTGACTGTGCTGAAGTTCCTTGCGAGCCGCAGCAATGGTGTTCCTAATACCGCCTCTTGGGAGCTGAATGGCAGAATCGCTAGGATTGGTGATGCTCGCACTCGTGTCCGTACTCGGAGAAGGTCGGTGTTCGATGTATAACCGCGAGTTGACAACTGGGGCGTGTGGATTTGCTGATCCTGGTCGGCCACTCGAACCCGGCCGTCCACTTGAACCAGGTCGACCACCCGTCCCTTTGGCGGTTTCATCGGAAAGCTAAAATTGCCTTGGCCCGTCGCAGTCTTGACTCCGTCTTTCCCCTGAATGACTCCAGCCATATTCGCGGCGGCAGATGCCAGAGCAAGGGGCGAGGATCCGCCACCACCGAGTGGAGAGGTAGACGTGGGAGATAGAAGTGAGGTGGATGCAGGGGAGAGTGAGGTGGATGGCACAAGAGCCGGTACGGGTTCGGTTGTCGAGGTGGGCGAATTGGGATCGTAGTAGATGAACGCCGGCGAGCGAGGAGAAGTCCCGATATACTCGGACGGAACAGTGGCGCTCGAGTGCCGGGTATGTGGATTCGCATGTTGACTCTTGCGTCTCATGCCCTCCTTGTCCTTCCTGTCTGCGGGCTGGTGGGCAACCTCGGAAACGTTAGCAGAGGTGTGCGCGATATCCATCTCGATTTCGTAATCCGCGGTATGACTTGTTCCTTCTGGATGAAAATCATAGCCTAGATCAGGATACCACGACATGGACGTCTCGCCAAAGTTGCTGCCCGCCGTCCCGGGTCTCTTGGCGCTTCCAGCAGTACCAGGTCTCTTTGAGCTATTCCCGGTACCCGGCCGTCCATTTTTCTTCTCGCCTCCCCACCATGCATCCTTGGACTTTTTGCCTCCTCGGTGATCTGGATGAGCTGAAGCATTGCCGACGAGGCCCATCCCAACGTCACTCTCGTACTGGAACTGAAAGTCCGTGTGAGAGTTGTACGGACCACCAGAAAACGACGCTGTTTGAGAAGTCGTCTGACGGGTATGAAGGGTATTGAGGTCTCCCATTATCTCCTGGCGCTTCTTGTCAGCTCCACGGTACCAGTAAGCACCGTTATGCTTTCCACCAGGCGAATATGGTCCAATAGCGCCAGGTCCCATCTTGCCATCGCGCGAGTCGTGGCTTCCAGTACGAACATGGCTCGCAGTCCGCCGTCCACGCTGCTCGCTCCGAATAAAGCAGCAGCAAAACGCCTTTTTCCACACACGAACCACGTCGTGCTGGCTACCAAAGATGGCAAAGACGGCGATGCTAAACGTGCTAAAGCACAAATCGGGGATGACTGACGTCCAGTTGAGGATGGAAACGATGCTGAGCGCGAGACCGGCGAAAATGTAGAAACCGAATAGCATGACCCGAATTGCGAGTTGCAAATCGAGCTTGGAAGACGAGGTCGAGTTTTTCGAGTCGTCGTACGGTGCGTGGTTCCTCGATGCAGACTTCTTGTTGGAGCGGAGAAGGAATGCGATCCATGCCTCGAGTATGATTGCAACTACGCAGCACACGCCGCCAAAAATGCCGAGGAAGATGGTGAGGACGTTGCTCCGGACGACACAATAGAACGTAGCGCGCGCGACGAGCTCTGGACGGATAACTCCGACTGTCACGACCACGCCAGCACAGATCAGGAAGACGACATAGGGGATGAGAACAAGCTAGGAGGCGAGCTCATCAGTTGGGTTTGTCGGCCTCTTGTGATGATGGACTTACAAGCACTGTCCTGGCCTTTCCGGTGTTTGATTGTGCCGACGTAAAGTGTAGTACGCTCCAGACATTGTACACGAGCATGACGGCGCAGACGGCATTGAGAGGCGTTTGAGCCATTGTGAGGGCTGCACTAGCGAGACAAGTGGCATGGCTGGGAGGCGAACCGAGGACATTGTTGGTGAAGAAACTGTATATGTTGCGCCCATCGAAGAAGCCAATAGAGTCCGCGGGGTGGAAGGCACGGCGTTCACGGCACATGGTTGTAGCGGCGTTAGCGACCGAAAAGGGAACAAGGAAAGGCATACGCACAGTAGAGTAAGATTGGGGAACGAGCCGAGCCACCAGGAAAAGCACATCGAAATGAGGACAGGATTGCGACGAACTCGTCGGAGGGGAAGGCACATTGTGAGCAAGAGCAAGCTGAGACCGGCACCTCCTATCGAGTGGGCTAGGAAGTAGAACCAGTACCGCCAGTCTCCCGTCCACCAAGGTACAAATCCTTGTGAGTGGCTGCTCGAGGCATGGGTGGTCGTCGTCGAATTGACCGACGGAACAAACGACGACGAGGTCGAGGTGATGTTGAGGGCGATGGTCGTCATTGAGAGTTGGGGAGGGGGAGTTCGTCTAAGTCTACAAAGAGTCGCTCGTTAAGACGCGAGCTTTGTCGTTTGTGATCGTTGCGAGAGAGAGAGAGGTGAAAAGTGATTTAACGAGTGAAAGTGCTGGCGATTCGCGCGCAGCAGAGGCCAACAGACGTGCACGGTCTACCAGGGAGGAGTGCGCTCGTCGTCAATGTCGGCGGTGGTCGTACAAGGCTTTCTCGACGTCTAGAAAGACGGAGGAGCGAATATCGGTCGTGGTCAGGTCCAAGCAAGGTAACGGACTGACCGGCGCCGGAGCCAACGATGTGAGTCCAGGTGGGTCCAGGGAACAGCCCGGGATTTGATACGTCTACAGTTCGCGTAAAAAGTATTTTAGAGCCATGTCAAATGAACCTTGTTTCGTCGCGACGGCTCAGACGCATGACCGATCATTCTTCTCGCTCGCCGCAGTTGCTCGTCCAGGAAAGCGGTAGCTCCCTTGCTTTGCGTCCGAGTTTTTCAGCATTCCAAGAATATAATTTTGTATCCTATCTGCGATCTATGGACCATAAACTGGAAACCAAGTCTCGTCCAACCGCAAAGGGTTTGAATGTATCGGTAGACGGCCACTGGATACTCGGCTTGCACGGCTCTTCGCCCGCCCCTTGCGCCTCTTCGGATGGCCACAACTTCCGCCCAAAAAATTCCACCCGTTCTTCGTCGATCTCTCCCGACTTCTGATCGTCGTCGTCGCAGTCGCAGTCACTAACCGTACGCGCCGTGCGTGGTCAACAAGATTGATCGACTAGCCCCCCTAAATCTGCCAGCCATACCGCCTCCAACGGCCCCATATGGACGTTGTGATGCATCTGGATGTGGTCACCTGCGAGTGTGATCTTATCCCGCTATGCTAGGCACGTACACATCCAAATGTGTAATAGGCTGGGCGCATCTCGAGACTTGGAAATACGGTTTGCGCACCTCCGAGTCTTCTCACGCGTATCAGGCTATGCCCGGTTCACACGCTAGAGCAGGGCGGGGGGCCACACCTGACTTCCCTGTAAGTCTAGGCGGACGCGCTAAACCCAACAGCTCCGAACAAGAGAAATTACATACGCTCATTGGCTCCGGAGAGGTTTAGCTAGCCAACGGCCATTGATCAAGCTCGCTCCAGAACTCGGGTGTCGCTTCAGAAGCGTCGAAATCTATCATTTGTTCCCAAAAGAGTTATCTATATGATGTCTAGTAAGCTGAAGAATGCCTCTTGTTCGATCAGAAGAGCGTGTGAAGACTATACGCTGTGAGCGCCGTCGTGGAGACAAACATGAGTGCATATTGCGGTATCAGAAAAGGCGAGAGCGCCTCTGCCTCTCCTGTCCCAGAGTATACCTGGGTCATAAAGACCTGGGTGGTGGCTGTCGGCATGCATGAAAAGAACCTATGGCAGAATGAGCTACATCTTTTCCCTCGCTATCAAATCTTACTCACATCGTCACGAAGCGCAAAACCTTGTCCTCTTCTTTGATGAACCCGACCTTGACAAACCCGTTTACGATCAACACCCCGAGTACCGGAGAGACGATCAACTTTCCAACGGCCATCGACGCAATAGCACCAACAGGGAGTGCATTAATCGTCTTGGGAATCTTGAGTTTCGCAAGCGCTGCCCCGAGACAGACCAGACCAAGGGGGACCGACGCCGCACCGAGAAAGTTTGTCGTATCGAGGATGAAATACAGTGGTGGTTTACCATCGGGTGCATATGGTATTGGGCTGTCCTCCATCTCGACGAACAAGGCTTTCAGAGGCTTTACGAGGGCAATGGGAAACGCGAGGGCCATTGTGATTGTCGCGGGTGTGAGAAGGGAGTGTAGGAAGCTTACGACAAGCGAAACAAATCCGGGCTTTCCTGAAGAAGAAGAGGTGCTAGACTTTGTATCGTCTGCGTTGGGCTTTTCGTGTGAGGAGCCAAGCACGCCATCGGCATGCTTTTCTGTCATGATCATGGTGACGGTCGGTGATAGCATCGACATGTCATTGCCACCATATGTAGATGTCCCAGGTGAGACTAGCCCCTTGCCCTTTTCGTCCACCTCGACCAACCCTTCCTCGTCTAGTCGAGGTAAAGAAGAATCGCGGCGATGATGATGAGAAGGCTCTGCGTGTGAGCCAAACGAGACATGTCGATGATGTCGCGGGCGAAAGGTTCCAGATTCAGAGGAAACCTCTGTGATAGTGGTCGTGGCACGAACGTCCTTTTCCAATGGTTTGTCCTTGGTCACCATCCCTTCATCCTCTTTGAGTGAGGTTGCTTGATGCACGTTCTCTTCAACGGAGTGCGCAGACGATGACGTTCCTCGCCGGAAGACTGGTCGAAAGACAAAGCGGAGGCATTGCTGAAAGAGAAGAATCCGGGAACGCTGACGAGCACGGAGGGCCTCTTTGACTTCCTCGTCCTCTTTATCTGGCCCTTTAAAGTCTTGCGCAATCAAGAGGTGGCCGCCCAGAGGGAAGAGTGTAATCTGTATGGTATGATCAGGAACAGAATTCGACAAGAATCTAAAAAAGTCTCACAAAGAAGACGAGGATGAATGCAGAAATGTATGCCACCCCCAAATTGACGTCGCCGGGGGCAAATGGGGCAGAAGCGGTGATGCTCATAATGACTGCCGTCGCTATATCCTTGTTAGTAAAGAGATTTGAGATAGAGGTCGCATACGTACGAACATCGCCCCAGTTTGACCATGCGCCAGCGACCAGGAGACCCGTGCGGAAGCGGTGAGGTACCCAAAAGAATTCACGAACGAGAAGAGAAAGGAAAAGCCCTAGGATCTGATAAATGCAGCCAATGGTGATTAGAGGACCTACTCGACGTTTAGCGGGCCGTAAATGCAAAAAGGGTAAATACTTACCCAATGCACTGATATTATCAGGAGTAAACGCTGGAACCATTTTGGAAAAGAGGAGGCATGGCATGGTGATATTCTACTCCGACTCGCTGAGTAAGACCGACGTCAGGTCGAATTGGACGTACAAGCATGACTTGACCAGCACCTCTGGCTGCCATTGCGCTAAAGAGATCGAGTCTAGCGAGGATAAACCCAGAGGTGGTACACAAAAGCCTAGAGCCGGATGATGAGCGAGAGCTCTATGGGTGAAAACCACGAGGGGAGCCTACATTTTGAGGAGTGGGCGACATGAAATCCATACGAGAGCACCTGCAGAGACCATGGATGAAGATTTGAGATGTAAAAGGATTATTTGGAATTTTTGTTATACATCCACCGACTTGGTCGAAAGCGAAAAGGACTGAAGTGGCTGGCTAGTCACCGGACCGCAAAGCCGTCGTGTCGGCCGGAGCATTGGGAGAAGCTTGTGCGCCAATAGCACAATGAGCCGCCGAAGTCCGTACAATGGTCGTCAAGTGTGTGGAGTCGTGAGTGGCCGCAGAGTTGGAATGAATGCAGAGAACCACAGAGTCCTCTTGATCCTTTCCACCTCCTCTCTTTTCTCCTGTTCGTTGGCTGCCGCTGGTCCGCTCGCCCGCGACAACGCTTGAAATACCCCAATAACGAACAACGAGAGCCTATACTCACACTCGTTCTTGCAAGATTTACCCATTTCTCTCCTTTTCTGAAACGAATTATATACCATGTTCTCTATCCCCACGCTCTTTGCCGCCCTCGGGCTGGTCTTGCTAAAGCAAACTCTGCCAGTCGCTGGGCATGGCTTCATCCAATCTGTGACGATCAATGGATACGATTGGCCTGGGTTTGATGAGCCACACTGGACGAAACCATCTGGAAGTGCGGTCATGGTGACCGACTACCTCGAACCGCTCTATGATGTCAATGCCAGGTATGTCCATATCGACATTCAAGGTGAATGGGCTCATCTATCTCTGTGCAGAGAGATTGCGTGTGGCAAAAACGCCCAGGCGGCGCAGGGTATTGCGACTGTGTCGCCAAATGACCAAATTCAGTGGCACGTGCGTGATTGAATATGGATAATCTGTCTTATACTTACTGTTTCAGTGGGTTACACATAGTTACAAGCCGTGGACGCACAATGAAGGTGTGATACACCATACTCTGAGGTTGAATGGCTGATGGTTTCTAGGTACAAAGCGATCCTGGATCGCGAGTTGCAATGGAGATTGCTCGAGTGTGGATCCTACGACGCTCCAATGGGTCGAGCTGACCTCGGACTTTACGGGCCCACAGGTAAGTTTAGCAATAGAGACGCGTAACCTCTTATAACCTTTTCTGGATAGACATGGAATGGAGTCTGGCCCGTCAAGATTATCGCAGATGGTCATCCCTGGATTGATAAGGTTCCGCCGGCCCCGAATGGAGACTATTTGATCCGCAACGAACTCACGGCATTACACTACTCTTGGCAACCGTATGGATATTCTGATGGATCTGGCCATGGATGGGGGATTGAAATGTACCCTACGTGTATGGCGATCCGGATCACAAACTCACCAGGGACATATGACATGACCATGGCGACGTCGTTCCCGGGTGCATATACGGTTAACCAAAAGGGACATTAGTGAGTTTGTGTGATTCACGTGGCGGGTGCATTGAGATCTAATTGCTTGTCAAAGTAACCCAGACTTGTGGAAAGATCCGAACAGTGTTGGGATTGCCGAAACGAACAAGTTTCCGCGCAGTCAGGCAAGTCCGGCGGCACCAGGACTACTACTACTACTACAACAGTGGTGAGTAGTGGAACGATAGCCCAAGCCCAACTGCCGAGTTCTACGGCGCAAACATGCAATAGGAGGACTCGCCAAAAGAGAGGGCTGCGACACCATCCGATGGGGAAGAGGGTGAACAGGCGTTAGGTGGCGGCGGAAGGAGAACCATCGAGGGTGATCGCCCGGCGGCCGAGAGAGAGTACACGTGCTATTACCTGATGAAATGAGACTCTTTGTTTGGATGGCCGCAGATAGGGGCTAGAGGCCGAAGGGGAGCTTGCCACGAGTAATATAAGAGGCGCCACGCGATCAAGTAAGTTTTGCTGATGACATTCCTTTTGGATCTGAATGGGAATACAGTTCAGGCGGGATTCAGTAGGATATTGAATAAGGGGTTCCTCCTCACACCCGAGGACTCTATACAAATTCAAATGTCATTGCGAAAGAGATGCCAAACGTTACAACCAAAAGAACCGGGTTGAGCCATCCGCCCATGGGATCCCACATAACTTGCCCTCTTCCTCGTCCGCGGCGACGACTCGACCCTTGTCCTCTCCACTGCTTGCCTCGCTGCCTCTTCTTTTCTCCTTTTTCCTTTTCTTCTTCCTTTTCCTCTTGGTCATCGTCCTCGTTGTCATCGTCGTCGATCCCATCCCATCATCATGCCTCCACCACCATCCGCTGGCCCGCCCTCGGCCACGTCTCTCCCGCTCTCCAATGTTTTCCAGCGCCAGATTGATGCCACCGAGAGCGTCTGGCTCGCAATCGGTACGGACTTTGTTGTCCCAACTTTGTCGTTTCTGAATCCTTTTTTTTCCCAATTTTATTTCTCTGGGTCTTCTTTTTTGTGCTGGCTCGCATCGCCACCAAACTGACGTACAGGCCGCGCCGGCGAGACGATGGGCGATCTCGAACGTGCACAAAAGGCATATGAACGCGCTTTGGCTATTAACCCAACTTCGTGGCGAGCGCTCACGTCTGCCGCCCACATTTGCCGTTGTCGAGAGGATTATCCACGTGTACGTCTTCATTTCACTTGTCATCTTTGACGTCGCCCAGACCCCCCTAGTCCCCCTTTCCGCCTCCGAGCCCCTCCGCGTCTCTTTAGCGTCAGTCTGACAGCCCGTCATCCTTCTAGGCCGTCGAGTATTTCAATCGCGCAATTCAGATTGATGACAAGAATGGTGACATCTGGAGCTCGCTCGGCCATTGCTTCCTTATGCAAGACGAACTCCAGTCTGCCTATCAGGCCTATCAAAACGCCCTCTTCCATCTCCCGCATCCAAAGGAAGACGCAAAGTTGTGGTATGGCATCGGCATCCTCTACGACCGCTATGGCTCCCTCCAGCATGCCGAAGAAGCCTTTTCTAGCGTCCTTCATATGGATCCCAGTCCGTGGTTTCGTTTAGCCGTCCACGACAAATGGCTCACGACCCTTAGATTTCGAAAAGGCGGATGAGATTTATTTCCGGCTCGGCATCATTTACAAGCAACTTCAACGCTACCAAGAGTCTCTCAAATGTTTTGACCAAATCTTGCGAAATCCGCCGCATCCGCTCAGCCAGATGGACATTTGGTTCCAGATTGGACACGTCTATGAGCAGCAAAAGGACGTGAGTATTTACACCCGCTTCTTCGGCACCTGGCACCTGGCACCTGGCACCATGGGCGACACCCCAAGGCACGCTTCGCGCCGATTGAATATGAATACACTTGTAGAGTGCCTGCGACTCTATTGCGGTATCATATATCATTGTCGGCGCCCTGTGTCTGCATTACGTGTTGCATATCCGTCCTCGGATTCGCCGAGTCCCCCAAGTCCTGGGATTCGGTATGATCGGTTAGGCGCCCTGCGCCAACGGCCCAGCGTCCCCACCCTGCCCTGCCTCGAGGGCTTCTATTCCGAAGCTCACTGCACACACTAAGACTACTGGTCTTCGTTGGCATGCAAGCGAGGGCTTCTCTCCCCCCGCTTCTCTTCTCGTTTGCCTGCCCTTTTTTTTAAATACAGCCCCGTCTCCCATCAAGACTGTATTGCCATTCATCATCCCTTTTCCATCTCGGCGGCTGATGGCTGCCCACAACTCCGGACGCGACGGAACCGGCATTGATACCCTCCCGTTTCCTTCTTCCCTTTGAATCACGCACAATGTCTGACAATTACTTTTCCCCAGTACGACAATGCACGGGATGCTTGGGAACGCGTACTCCAAGACGCCCCCCATCACGCAAAGGTCCTTCAGCAACTCGGATGGCTTTTCCATCAGCAGGCAGCACCGTTTGTCAATCAGGAAATGGCAGTCACATTCTTGACAAAGAGCTTGGAAGCCGGTCAGTCATTGTTCTTGGGTATCTCTCCCGATTGGATCCCTGGTTTCTTTGGCGGTCTATTGGCACAGCCACGGGACGGATCGACCCTCGTTGACATATGGCCCATCTTGCTGACTATTCAACTTTTTGTAGACTCTTCGGATGCTCAGAGTTGGTATCTCCTCGGTCGCGCTTACATGACCTCGCAAAAGTACAACAAGGCGTACGAAGCCTATCAGCAGGCCGTCTATCGTGATGGTCGCAATCCGACATTTTGGATCTCCATCGGTGTCCTCTATTTCCAGATCAACCAGTTCAAGGACGCCCTCGATGCATACTCGCGAGCGATCAGACTGAACCCGTACATCCCCGAAGTTTGGTTCAACCTGGGTTCACTTTACGAAAGCTGCAACCAACAGACAAAGGACGCCATGGACGCGTACATGCGTGCCAAGGAGCTCGAGCCTGGAAACATGGCCGTCAAGGAGCGCATCGATCTCTTGACCAAACATTCACAGGATCCGTCTCTCCAACTCGGCCCCGCTCCTCCGCCGCGAGACGTTCATCCGACTGCGTGGTCCAATTACCAGGGTCAACCTGCAGATGCACCACCTCCGATGCGCATGCATCCCAATGCCGCTCAAGGTCCCGGTAGCGCGTCTGGACCGGCCTCGGCCAACCGACATTCGCCATCTGCTCCACACTCGTCGTCGAGACATGGTTTTAGCAACGCTGGTGCGCCTCTCCCTAATGGTGCCTATCAACCTGGAGCAGGTGGACGATCGAGACATGCCAGCCCGTCACGTTATCCAGGTGATCCAAGCCAAGAGCTCCCGACGCCCACGTACCCGCGACCGGGTGAAGGATATCGAGGAAGTGGACGAAACCTTCCCCCGGCATCGTCCATGGGCCAAGATGTCGAAATGGTTGATGCCAGAGCGGGGGACCGGTCGTCTAGAGGCGGCGAGTATACTTCTCGTCCGTCTTCGGCCATGGGACGCCACCATCACGGACACCATCATCAACAGCAACACTCTCAAAACTATCACAACCTACCGCCTCCTACTCACCACAATGGCCCACCGCCCTCGCTTCCACCGACAAGCCAGCGCGATGGACCCCCGATTTTGCATCATCCACAGCCCAAGGATGCGGCGAGGGCTGGATCTCGTAAGTCGGATGGCTTTTCGCGACCAGCATACCAACCTGGACAACAGCAGCAGCAGCCCTCGTCTCAAGCCCTTCCGGCCCCTCCACATCAAGGCCAACGTCAGCATAGTACCACGCGCCAAAGGTCACCGGCATCTTCCGGTGGATTACAACAAGGACAACAACAGCAGATGATGCATGGCGGCTTGCCACATGCGCAACGGTCCATCTCACCCTCACCACACCGTTCACGCGTGCGTGCGGGCTCGCCAGGTCTAAACAGCGGTCACCCACCGCCCTCTTCTTCTGCTGCTGGTGGACCTTATGGCTCGGCATCTTATGGATCGGTTGGCCCTGGGGGAGGTAATGGTGGTCCAGGTGGTCCTCCGACCACGACAGCGGCTATCGGATCCGCTTCGTCTGCTGCTGGAGCTCGATATGCGGCTAGTGCGAACATGGGCGTCCCCGACCGTGGTAGATCTCCAGGACCACCGAGTCATCATCATTCGCATCACTCCGGTCATCATCACGCACCCTCTTCTGCAAGTGGGGGTCACTATGGGACACCGGCTTATCCTCCCACTAGTGCAGGTGCTCCAGGGCACGGACACGAGCCAGACTGGGATAGACGTTATGGCGCCGGTGGACCTGGTGGACAGGGAAGGGAAAGGGAGTATGTGGACAGGGGACGAAGCAATTCGATCCCTGTCAAACAAGAATCAGGCGAATCCAATGTGCGTCTGCCCCCGACCCCTCATGTAGGTGGGAGTGGTCATCAACAACCGCATCAAGGAAGACACGATCGACACCCATCTGATGACTATGACATGCGTGGACAGTCACATCCTGGATCGTATTCTGGCAATCACGGGTATGACCACGACCGCCGTCGCGGACCGACGCCTCCTTCGCAGCGACGATACGATCCTGTCAACGAGGACCGTGGCCCACCGCCTCCTAGACAATCGTCGCCCTTTCATCCAACGGCCATGAACCCGCGAGACCAGCAGCAACAAGCTGGAGGGTATTATGACGAACGAGGAGGCGGCGGTTCCTATGCGGAGGACCGCTCGCGACGACGATCGGGTCGCGTGGACAAGGACGACGAGTCAGCGAGTGGAGCTGAACGTGGTGGGTCGAGGAAGCGAGGAACTGGACGCGGCAAGCGAGATAACAAGGATGCGCCTCCTGGAAATGGACCATATGGGACAACACCCCAACCAAGCAATGTATTCTCTGCCCCACCACACCCGCGATCACCGTCGTATCCGCAGCAAGGTGGAGATGGTCAATACGAGACACGCGGTCGAACACATGCGTCTACGGGATCGTATGGTGGTAACAACCAGCGATTTCCGCCAGAAAATGGGACGCGTGGTCCACCTGTTCCACCGCTCGTGCCGAACAAGCTCTCTTCTGGACCGTTACGCGAGGTTGACGAGGATTACGACAGCGTTGGTGCAGCCGACGCGTTGATTAATCTCGCTGGTGCCGCTCGCGGTGGCCAACCTGTCAATAGCGTTACGAGCACGCCGGCTGGGTCGTATGCAGTTGGCCCGCCTGGATCGACTGTTAGTGCGTCTGGAGGGAGCAATCGTTCACCGCATAGCATGAGTCCGCCCATCGTCCGACCGGCCTCGCAAACTGCGTCTCGAAAGCGGAGAAGGAGTGGAAGTGCATCGTCCTTGGAGAATAACAATCCGTCCTCGACGCCGTTTGGTGGACGGGCAGCGTCGGTCGCGACCATTGGCAATGGAAACTATAGCGGACCTGCTTCGTCGGGAAACGCAGAGCCAGATAAGAAGAAGCAGCGTCTAGAGACTGGTTCGCCTGCTTCGGTGCAGATGACGCTTCCCCCGATTGGTATTCGTGAGCGGACGAACAGTCTGTCGACAACCAATGGACGTGGTAGCGGGAGACCGTCGCTGCCTCGTATTCAGACTCGCGAGCAGGAAGAGGAAGGTGAAGTTGATGACCGTGATCGGATGCAGCAAGATCCGACACCGCCAGCAAAAGCAAACGGGCCCAACACGAACACGGCTGACTCTCGTGGGTAGTTTTTATTCATCAGAAGTTTTACCTGCTAACGACGTGACCAGCTCCTCAATCCTCTGCTTCTCACGAGACTATGCGCAACCGCTCGGCATCACCGACGACTCCTACGATGCCCAGAATGGCCAAGTCGAGTCCACCACGGGATAAATCGGTAGACACTGAACGACATCGGTCCATGTCCATCTCGCACTCTCGTTCTGCCTCGCTCAATGTCAATGGCAAAGCAACGAGCCCTGTTTCTTGAAGTAAACACGCATACTCTTCAACGATTCTCTCACCTCTTTTCCTGGTTTCCTCTTTTGCGTTTGGAGATACAAATACGTACTACTCTATACAATTGTACACCATGCTCCTAGGGTTCGACCATCTTCGATCCTACTCCTTTTTCCTTGTTGCATGTCTCGTCTTCGTCTTCTCGCTTGGTCTCTCCTTTTCCTTGCCTTGCATGCGTTCCTGTTCGTATGCGCTCTCCTGGTTGTGGCTTGTACCCTTCTCGGCTTCCAAACGATTGAATACAACATCTTTCTTCTGTCGTATGCGAGTCGAGGCTGAGCTTTGTTATCCACTTCGGACTTGGACCCTGCTACAGAGATGTCGCTCCGACCTGTCCTCTACCACATTTTCCCAAAGCCATTACCATACCTTCCAGCACTTGCCTTGCAAGAAAAGATTCATAGCATACAAGCACGCAGTCGAACGACGTCATCAACAGGCGAAAAGGAGGCCACGCAGAGTTCGCTCTCTGGATCCAAGCACCCGGACATACTCTTGTTACTGGAGCACCGACCGGTGTATACGGCTGGACGACGACAGGATGCTGTCGCTCTGGACGAGGAACGAAAACGCTTGGTCAGGAGCGGTGCGGAGTGGGTTGCGACGCAGCGAGGAGGCGAAACGACGTATCATGGACCCGGACAGATTGTTGGTTATCCTCTATTTGACTTGACGCGTATGGGGGTACGTCCTTACTCTTTTCTCCTTTGGGAGCGCGTCGTTCTGATTTGGCTGGTAGATTCGGACACGTGAACACGTTTGCAGGACGCAGACGCTCTTGAAGGATTATTTACGTGACCGACATAACGTGCCGTCTTTTGAGTCGACACACACGGGTGTGTTTGTATCCGAGACGGAAAAGGTGGCGTCAATTGGGATGCAAGTCCGCCATGGACTCACGTCACATGGATTTGCAATCAACATTACCGATGAGCCGCTCCGATGGTTCGACCAGGTCGTCGCGTGTGGTCTCGCCGACGTTCGGGCAGCGAGTGCAGAGTCTGCTCGTGCACAGTTTACTGGTGAACGGGTGCCGTTGAATATTCGAGAGGAATGCGAGGTCCTCAGGGATATGTTTGGTGAGGTATATCATATGCCTGTCAAGAGGTTGGACGAGGCGGAGGTGGAGATATGGCAGGCCGTCAAAGAGGTTGAAGCTGTGGCTGAACAGGCAGGAGAATGGCCGAGAGAACCGATACAGACATGATACCTTTCGACATTGACTGGTAATATATTGTCAACTTGACTCTATGGTCCCGGGTGTCGGTTGTCATCCAGCATTTGAAGGCCCATCTCCTTTGGTCCGTGCCATGTCTTCTCTCCCGCCCAAAGGGTCAAAGTATGCCTTTGGAAGCGATAGTCTGGATCGGTTTGGTGATGTGGATGACGGTCTCAAGTACTATGGCTCCTCTCGAAAGCCGAGCGACGATAGCCACTCTCAAACTGGACCAGATGTTGGCCAGCACCGATCACAAGCGAGTGCAACGTCGACACACTCGATGATCTACAGCGATTCTTCACCATCAGGGAGTAGCTCAGAGTTTGAAACGGCAGACGAGGATGAAGATGAGGAGAATGGCCAACGCACGCTAGCCTCGATGCCTTTTCGCATGCGCGATGGACGCACGGGCACAGGGAGCACGTACGTAGGCGCAAAATCTGCACGTGTACTCTTATGCGTCAACGCTGCCGTGCATATTATGCATTATTTCGACACTACGAAAGAAGCGCCTGGCAAACGTCTCCCGCGAATTCCCTACAAGGGAATCCTCCCGGTGAGCTGAGAACTGACTAAAAGTAAAATATTGACATCAATCAGCTCATATTGGCACTGTACGGAGACTGGGATATCGACATCGAAGTGGGCATAGATGACATCCTCGAGTTGCCCATGTTTGCATCTTCCATTCGTACTACACGAGTTCAAGATGTAGAGGGTTCGGTCGTAGACATCATGCGCTTATTTCGGTGAGGAAAGCCTCGTCTATACAGTCAACACCATCCTGAGTGATCGACAGCGACCTTGGGACTCGTGCTCTTATTATTGCAAGCGGAGATCGAGCCATCTGTGTCCTACCATCTATCACGAAGCAGAGGACGGTGGACGAAGCGGGACTGACCGTGTTTACCCTTGACGACGAAGAAGGCCATCGATCCAAGCACGCAGCCTTCTTAGCCTACGCATCTCGCTCACAGACCGCTCAAGCCGCCCTTCGTCTCCTCAATAAGGGTAAAAAGTCGACGCCCCGTCTGCAATATTGCATTCTCTCCCAAACAGATGATTTGGACCCCCAGAGAATGGTTTATACTTCGAATATACAACTACTGGAGGCAACGATGCATATCAGAGATCTTGAATCGGACTATAAGTCGTACCAGCGGGAGATATCCATTGCGGAACGAAACACTGGCTCAGAGAATACAAAGATGGGGCATGCAATCGAAGCGACAAATAAATTGAACTTGGAGATGCAAAAGCTACAAAGCGAACTGGATAATGTTCAAAAGATGACCAATACAATATTACACGAGCAACTTCGCGGAACACCAAACCCTCGCCCTTCACGTGAGAATGAGACGCGTGAGGAAGAGCAGAGAAATCCGTCGGGTGACAAGAAAGGGAAGAAGTCGGTCAGTCGAAGAGGAAGAACGAGTCTGGTGTATTTACCTGTTCAAAGGGCTTATTTGGCTTCGTTTGGAACATTGGCAGTAGTAGCGGCGGTTCCACACCTTCATCATTCCCACAGGAACAGAGGGATAGACCTTCTGGGTCTAGCAGGGTTCAAATACCGTCTCCAAGAGGGGAATCGTCGACACAACATCGACCAACAGGCGCTAGCGGCCGCACACCCACCGGTCGACCCTCTGGCAGCCGACCCGACCCGGGTCTCCAAGATGCTATTTCAATACAAAGTAGATATGGTCACCAAGCAGGAAGGCCAGTTGAGGATGACCCTTTCACTAATGACAAAGGGAAGGGAAGAGCAGATGAGACGAGATACTGGGACTATGCACCTCCTACTGTGGATCCAGGCCTACAGGAAGCTCTGAGACTGCAGGCTCAAATTGACCAGGAGGAAGCACTGTCGCTCGAGCTGATCATGGCGATGCAGGAGATTGATCGCGCAGAGGCCGAGGCTCTTGCGGAGCTACAAAGGCGAGAGATTCCAAACCAACCATTCGACTGTCCTCTCTGCGCGGAAACATGTCCAGTGTCGGACCTCACGATTGTCGAAGAGTGCAAGCATCAGACGTGCCGCGACTGCCTGCTCAAGCATGTCAAGGCGCAGATTTCGGAAGCGAGGTGGCCGATTTGGTGTCCCCAATGTCCTCCAGGCCAGCAGAAACGAGGTGGTAGGTAGCTTTCCTTGTCGTTCAGGTTGATATTCATCCTCTTCAGTTGTTTCGCGCTGGCTTGCGGAGATTGTTGGTGCAGATGACAAAGTATTCGAGCACTGGAATCGAATGGAGATCGGTGACCTCGGTATCAATGTCGAATGTCCCAGGTAACTATACGTCGCCTCATTAATTATCATGGCTCATTGCTCCTAGATGCAAGATCAGCACGCCAGTCGACGCAGAAGACTTCGGTGCTGCCGAGACTTTGGACTGCCCCGTCGGATGCGGGGCACATTGGTGCAAGGACTGCAACCAACAGATCGAAAGAGGAGCAAATCATTCATGTGATGGCGAACTGGAGTTTAAAGAGTTAATGGCTCGCAACCCAACACTGTTCCGTCGCTGTCCAAGTACGTCTGTACATTTCTAGTCGCTATGGGACTCACAGCGCTGTTCAAGATGGACATTTGATCGAGAAGAACCAGGGTTGTGACCACATGTACTGCACAAGATGTAGATCGTAAGTTTGGTTCATATGTCCTCGTGAGATGACTGATTATGCCGATAGCCATTTCTCCTGGAGTTCTGCAAGGCAATAAGCCACGATCTTAGGGGACGCCGTGTGACATTGCCGAAAGTCATGTGTTGCTCATTGCTCGCGTTGCGCACTAGAACAAGCTGGATATTGCAAACCAAGAGAAAAGAAGGAATGGACAAGATTGGACCGAGACTACTTCCCCGAGCCGCTTCCACTAGCTTGTGCTGCTCGTTCTTCTTCCTTTTTCTACACGTTTCCGTGTTGTCAGTATATGCGCCTAGTCATTACGAATGAGATCAAACCTTTGCCTTGAGTTGCATAGCAGCTGCATCACTATCGAAATGGTTCTCAGGATTGCTGCTTGAGCGTGCACAAGGGACTCACGCCTCTCTGCGCTTGGCCAGCGACGTTGCGCTCTCCTTTGGTTCTAGAGTAGATTATCAGAGCCGCATAACAAGGTTAAGGGGGCTGAATCCTACTCTTTTGAGCAGCGGCCTTCTTCTGAGCCTTTGCTCGATCCATTTCTCGCTGATTTCCCCCTATAACATGTCAAGAAGAGAGTGAATAATCACACCTTGTCTCCGAATACGAATTGTCGTACGAGTCATGATTGAAGCGGATCCTTGCTGTTGCTGGCGGGTATGGTAGAGGTCAAGTTTTGTAGCCACACTTCGGCCTATACAGGAGTCAAACAATTATTTTATAATCGTCGACACGTTTTGGCTATTCTCTTCGTCCAACGCCGGACGGTGACCAATCAGGCGGGTTTCTATTCGAATCCCCGTGTCATCCAACTCTTGTCCTCTACCACGATGGCGTCTACTCTAAATATCCTGCGCGGCCCTGTATCGCGCTCTGTATCGCATTTATCAACACGAACATTCATTTGTGCGACATGTAGCAGCATAGCACGCACACCAAGGTCCTTTCATCATTCTGCACTCGCGTCCAGTGGCGTCTCGGACCCAATGTCGACTCCATTCCCTCCTAAAAAGGAGAAACCACTCGCCAACAGTCCACCTGTGGTCATCCCAGCCGCATCGAGGTGAGTCTGCCCCGAAAAGAAACTCCATGGTCTCGTAGGTTTGGTCGGGAAGGCTGACATTCACTTTAATACAGTGAATCGACTTCTAATGTTCAAGAGGAAGATCGCAAACGACTGTTGGAAACATCGCAAGCAGGCGCTGCTCCCCCACCGCCGGTCAAAGAGCGCCCACGTCCAAAGTTGCGGGCAAGCAAAGCTGCAATGTCACTTGTAAGTTTTTGACCCAACGAATCATACACATCTAATCCCTTCATAGACTCCAGAGGCCGTTAGCCGTCTGCGTTCGCTCCTGTCGGGCCCGAATCCTCAATACATTCGTGTCGGCGTACGAAACAAGGGATGTGCCGGCATGTCCTATCATCTCGAGTATGTCGACAAGCCGGGAAAGTTTGACGAGCGCGTCGAGCAGGACGGCGTCACCGTCTTGATTGACTCAAAAGCGCTGTTCAGCATTATTGGGAGCGAGATGGATTGGGTCGAGGACAAGCTAAGGTAAGCATTATGCCCTGCCATGCAATAGGCATACTACTGACGGACTATCAGTTCCAAGTTTGCGTTCAAGAATCCAAATATCAAGGACGCTTGTGGATGCGGAGAATCCTTTACCGTAACGGAACAACAATAATCTTGAGCTTGACCGGTACTCACCGCTTATGTATTCTTATTTCAAGATGTACATCCCGTTTTGGTTTTAATAGCGATTCGGATTAGAGAGACGTCTCCAAAGCAAGCTAGCGATCCAACAAACGGGGCGTATCACTATCGTGAATACAACAAGAGCTTAGCAGAACAACAAAAAGGGAGCCGCAAAGAATAGAGCAGACATCGTAGGCTTTGGAGATAGCATAATCAAATGATAGGAGGACTAGACGGTGATTTTCTTGCCCTTTCCCTTCTTCTCGCTATCCTTGTGACTCATAAATTCGACCTCTGTCGCGAGCGGACCACCGAGTTTCTGGTTCTCGCCATACCCGAGCACCTAGACATTGTAAGACGTACTACGGATACCAGAAACGGGGTGGTACTCACCTGGGTCTTGAAATGTCTTCCAATGGCTTCGATACGGCTTCGGAGTTGCTCGTCCTCTGGCGTTCCAGTGTGGGCAGGAGCCTGTCGTGTCCAAATGGACAGTCGGTAAAACTGAGGACGAGTCGAGACAATGACACCGGTGATGAGAGACGTGGGAGCTTGTGCATTCGGACCGGTCGTGTTGGCCTTTGTCAGGTACGGATCAAAGGTCTCGCCAATGGCAGCGAGCATCTGCAAGTCGGAAGTTGGTTTCCATTCTCGAGTATCTGTCAAAAAAAAACATACAGTGAATAGCCACATCTTGTCGACGTTATTTCGGTTCTTCTCCTTGGGAAGCTGAATGCTCCATTTGCCGCCGTCCTTGTTGGCGGGGTCCTCCCAGGCCGGGATGATGTCCTCCTTGAATAGATAATAGTTTGCCTTTTGCGGTAGTGCGGACGGCGCAACAATATTATTGTACAGACTTTTTCCACCGATTCCAGGTCAGTTTTTTGTTTTCCCCCCTCAGTATCATGGGAGAAAGAGCTCACCCCCAAAACTCTTCTACACTCTCAAAGCTGATCACTTTCTTAATGTCCTCCATCCATCCCTGGGCGGCAGATGGCGTCGGGGGGACAGCTGTCGAAGGAGTGCCCGGAGTGCCTTGTGGATACGCACGGTCAGCACGGCATCGCCAGTGGCATCAGAGGGCAACGTACCGGTGCCACCTGTGCGACCCTTTGTCGAGGGAGAATCGAACCAGAGCGTCCAGGACGAATACAGTGGGTGCTTTACGTTGAAGGTGGTAGGATCGTTGAATACAGTGCGCATCTCTTCATCTGCGCCAGGCCGTTCTCCATCCAAAGTGACTTCTTGTCCCTGGGGGTCGTCGATCTCTTCTTCTAAAGAGACCCAAGCGTTGATGAGTCAAGTCCACAGGTGTTCCACGCAAACGACGAGGACGATATCCACATATCATGATAGTAAAAAGGAGTCGATTACATGAGAAATCCACAGGGAGAGTGAGCGTTTGCGTTAGAGGCAGGAGATTTACAGACCTTTTGTGGGTGTTTGAGCCACCGATGCCATATTTGAAACAGGACCAGCTGATTTCGTGGATTAAAATTTGTTTGTTTCTCTCTCAAACGTAGAATAAGGTGGCTTGCTAATCAAAAGCGAGGCCGGGGCAAGAGATGGGAGTCGTCTGTCGTGCGGGAGAGAGCCCTGATACGCTCGAGTTCAGAAATACCAGCTGAGAGAGCACAGATTTTTAAGCTTGAGAGGCGGGGCAGGAATAAATGGTCAGAGTCGGTTGGGTTCACAGTTTGCGAGCTCCGAGGCTGGGGCGACTGCTCACAACTTGGAGCCATACTACAACTCCCCTATATTCCAGCCTTGTTCACCAATACTCTAAAAGTAGACACATATTTCTCTGCATACCTCTTGGGAAAATGGCATTTGGACTAGGCACCCCTTCTTCGTCGTCGGGCGCAGGAGCCGTCAATCACGAAAAACTAGAAGCTGCAGTTGTAGAGTGAGTTTCTGGTCACATTATCAATGTCATTCTTTGTATCTTCACTCGTCCCGACGCGTCCTGCACGCTATGCGTCACGAGTACGCGGTCAAACTGTGATACCCAGAACAGAAAAAGCACAAATGTTGACATCGTCTTCCTTTTCTATAGATTAGACATGGTCACCGACGTTTTCAACCGCATGGTCGCGTATGTTTTCTCCTCATTGTTGGGACGAGACGCTAACACGCTACTTTCTCATAGGACATGTGCATCAAAGTGCCTGAATCAACGATATTCAGAGGGTGAATTGACAAAGGGCGAGGCCGTCTGCGTCGACCGTTGTGTTGGCAAGTTTATCGAAGCCAACAAGGTCATTGGCGAAAAGCTGCGTGAGAGTAGCGGAATGAACCCTGGAGGCATGTAGACTAGCGTCGTTGTATGGGTCGCTTTGTGTTCGAACATAGTCTTGTTCACAAAAGCATGAGTACATGCGTGTAAGAATCAGAGACCGGTCAAGAAAGGAAAGGGAACCAAGGGACGCTTATCGGTTCTAAATAAAACATTAGTAAGCACAACACTTTTAGTATGCTCAGACAAACCTTGACAAAGCCGATAGCAGCACTATTTTCACGGAAGCATTGACGGCAGAGGTCAAGGCCGTACTTGCGGATGAGACCAGCCTGGTGAGCGCACAGGCGGCTATAGATGACGATATCAAAAGAGTAAGAGTCATTAGCTGTGCCCTTGTTCATGTAAGGGTCGGCGTACCATTGCCTGGAGCCCTTGCCAAACTTGCGGGGGCGAGAAAACCAAACGGCGTCGTGTGTCATCTTTCTAAAGTAGCGTCGAATCCAGTGTTGGTACAGATGGTGGATTGTCGTGGCGATATGACCAATGGTTCGAGGTGATCCAAGTAGACGGCGATGAAACGCAGAAAGTAATATTGTCAGATTGAATAATGCACCCTTTCATGTCAAACCCATACTTTGTAGAGGCTACCGCTCGAAAGAGTTGACGGCGAGGATAAGGTTTGTTTGCAAAACGGGGGCGGGCAAACACGGTGACCTTGAACGTCGCCAATGGCATCTAAATCTATGAAGAGATGAAGAATGTTTATGTATGCATTTATTGAGTCGATGGGACAAGCTATAACAGCCAAAGCTCGACAGGACAACGGGCTTGCTCCTGTTGCGACAAAAGTAATGTGTTTTGGCATTTAGAAGTCAAAATTGGAGGATTCTATTGCGTTGTGGACGTCTTGGGACAACTTTGGTTTGAACGACTCGCGCTTCTCAACGAATTGCATTCATATGCGAATGTAGTATGATAATAGGTCTGCTATAAGTGCTTACATCGAGTCTAGTCGTACCAGCGATGGAGCTGTGAGTCATATGTAGACCCCGAGGGTGCAGAACATGGCAACGGTTCCAAATCCACCGAGTATACTTGCCACAAGAGCGACGAGGATCTCTGTGACGGGCACCGAGTGCTTTGGGAGGCTACAGACAAAGATACGTGTCAATGAATGTGCGGGGCGGGAGTCAGGAGAATACACACGTTGTAAAGTAGAAACCGAGGCCAAATGAAGTGAGAAGCAGGGACCAGGCGAGATAGGGAATGAGCGACTGCGAGATGAGCGGGGCAAATGCGGGCAGCGACGCGTGCAGTTGCTAGGAACAAGTTGTCGTCAGTCTCAGAGGGGCTTTTGCGTAATTAGACGACGAATTACTTGGAGTGACGAATACGACGCCATTGGAGCGAATTACGAGGAATGAGGCAAAGGCGATGGTCCTTTGTTTGGCCGCGAGGGAGTAGAAAAGGGCGGCGCCAGCGTCATTCCAACTTGGACCACGACCACTCTACTCTCCTGCTCTTTGTGACTACAAAAGACTGTAAGTAGGCCTGTTTAAACCCTGTTCAACACACCATGACCACTTTTTTGCAGTATACAACATGTCTGCCGCTCAAAATATCCAGAATCACCCAATGTACCAACAGGCCTCGCAAAAGGCCCAGTATTATCACTCTCAGCTCGATAAAGAGGTCAGTCTCTCGTCTTTTTTTCGTCTGCCAGCGTGGCCCAGAGCACCACGCGCTCGTGTTCCCGGCCTCGTGCAGTCGCCCCGTCGTCACCCACCCTTATCGTCACGCAAGCAGCTCACTGACGACGCCCTCATGTAGCTCGGAAAATATCCCATCCTCAACAATATCGAACAGCGCACTCAGGTCCCCAAGACGTTCCTCGTCATCGGAGCTGCCGTGCTCATGTCCCTCTTAATTTTCATCAACGCTCTTGCCTCGCCCGTCTCCAACCTTGTCGGATGGGCTCTCCCTGCCTATCTTTCCTTCAAGGCTATCGAATCCCCCGCCCATGAAGATGATATCCAGTGGTTGACTTATTGGGTCGTCTTTGGCTTCTTCAACTTCCTCGAGTCGTTTGCCCTCCGCGCAGTTCTCTACTACTTCCCCTTCTACTATGCTTTCAAGACCATCTTTGTCCTCTGGCTCCAGCTCCCCGCTACAAAGGTATGTGGCTTGCTGCGGCTTTACGTGTCCCGGGCTCTTTGACTCACTTTCACATGTAGGGCGCTCGCACCTTCTACGTTAACGTCCTCCGCCCCATCATGGCCCAGGGCGCCAAATCCACAAAGGGATCCTACTCCGCTCCCGAGACTGCCACCGCTGATGACCTCCGCGCAAAGGTCCACACCGCGACCGAGTACTAGGCATTTTTCGTACTCTGAGCTAGGAAGCGGGACGTGACGACCACGTTGCCGAATCCATTATGCCACCTTTAATGACCCTTTTCTTTATATCTCTTTTCTCTCCCCAAACGACCACACGTCTTTGCCACCAAAAAGCCCCCTCCCCACTTGTGACTTGTTACTCGTCTGCATCTTGGATATGTGTCATTGGCGCCTTGACAACTATCATGGGTGGCCCGAGACGTGAGGACGATGGGTGTTTGTACTGCTAGTTTATGTGTGACGTTTATCCGTGCAATTCATGACTTGGTCCTTATCCCTGTGGCTCAGTGAACGCCCAAGAGTCCCACGCTTGATTGTGGCTGAACAGCGAGGCAAGCTGGAACCCAGCGATTACTCTAGAGCCACCGGAAATGTAGTGCATAATACCAGCCATTGATGGGCGAGAGCCACATGGTTGCCTAAGTAAGCGCCTACCAAACTTGATCTGTACCATATAGCAACACGGGGCGCTACAATGCTGCTCGCAGAAAGTCGGTCATCGATGAACTGCTTGCGGATCCTCTGCTTGGGTACGAGCTCTTTCACGTGAAACATTGCAGATTCACCAATCAATATTGGGTTCTAGACGACGGCGACGAGCGCTGCATGTCCCAATTGGAGATCCTCAAAGAGTATTTCCACAGATTAGAGATGGACAATCGTGATTCGGCGTACAAAGTCTGCTCCTACTTCAACTTTATCGTTGGTTCGGGTGGTGGCGGGTATGCCATTCTCTCCTGTTCCAGATTGCGAGTTTGACTCTTTCTCACATAGCGTGATTGCGATACTGCTTGGAGTTCTTGGTATGGAACTCGATCAGGCTTCCCGTGCGTTTGGTCAGATATGCCGAGCGACGCTACTGGGAGAGGCCCGTACTCTCGCCCCAGAAGAGCGAACTCGGCGACTGGAGCAGGTTTTCAAAGATATATTAGCGGAGCTTCAAGTACCAGAGGATAGAAGACTCAACAGTGACGTCGACTTGGCAGATGGTTGCAAAGTGTGAGCCGTCGTCGATTGCATCCATCCATCCTAATCAACAATAGAGCAATAGCGTATCAATCAGCAGCGCAACTTGGACAATGCAAACTCTTCCGCAACTATGACAGCCGTCATCGCTCACACAATCCGACTATTCTTCAAGCCATGCTAGCTGCTTGGGCTACTCCAGGCCTCTTCTCCTCGACAAAGGTTACTACCGATATTGCGTACGAAGAGGTAGTCAGCGCCGCGAGTGGGTACAGCAATCCAATCTTTCAAGCCATTCGCGAGGCGTACGAAGGCTATGGCCCTACCCAGCTCGTCTCTTGCATTCTCAGTCTGGGTTCCGGAAGTCATGTTCTACGGATTCCCGAAAAGGGGTACAAGGCCATGGTGGCGCGCTATGCGCGAGATGCGGCTCTGACGGCGGATGACGCCCAGCGACGGCTGGGTGGTAGTGGCAAATATTTTCGACTGTCTGTCACACCGGCGATTGAGGATGACTTGATCACTGAGGATAACCCCTTGGGGGTGATTGCGTCCGGCACGTCGTCCTATCTCTCGTTGAGTCACCAAGACCAACTGGTTGATACATGCCTAAATATGGCAACCATGAAAGGCGGTGTAGATCTTGAAGCACTCGGTATGTTCAGGACTAGATTTATCGTCTCGTACTGACCTTTCAACTAGCACAAGTGCGAACGGAAATGACCGCTTCGACGCATGGTCTCCCACCACTTTCTCCGTTCTTTGTGAGGCGCCAGGAGCCAACAGTTCGCATCTTTGAAGGGGTAGTTCGTGGTCGTACACTCGGCCAAACCGTTATGGTCATCTCGGGGCTAGGTGGAAGCGGAAAGACGCAGCTTTGCATCCAGTTTGCGCTACAATACGGTGACCTGTGAGTTTTTCTTATATTTATACATACTGGTGACTGATTGAGACAAGGTTTCAGCACGTCCTATTTATTGATGCATCTTCTGCAAAGAGTATCGAGGATGGACTTTTGGCCCGGGTAGGATCGGTCATACCATCTTTCCGTGGCATCGACTTTCGCGATGCCATGGACATGCTTGAGAATCCAAATAGCAAACTCACCGCCCGCTGGCTCATCATTTTCGATAATGCCGACGACGACAGCGTGAGCATTCAAGACTACATGCCGAATTGCCGGCATGGCTCGATCATCATCACAACCCGGAATCCATCATTAGGGAGCCTTGCTCCTGAAACTCATCTCGTTCTCGATGTCATGTCGGGAGAGGAGGCCACAAATGCCCTCCTTTCATCCGCATTGGCAGCCACCGAGGAGAGGACACCCAGACACAAAGAGATGGCGAGTAAGATTGTCGAGCAGCTGGGCAATCTCCCAGTTGCTGTCGTTCAAGCTGGATGCTACATCAAGAAGCAGCGCTGCTTCTGGGATTACCTTACACGTCTCAATGCGAACCGCACCAAACTTTTACGTCATATCACAATCCAACGAGACAAACTCAAATATAATCATGGGGCATATAACGCATTCGATACCACGCTTCGCGTGCTTTCGCTACGAGCGCTCAATCTCCTCAGCATTCTCTCCTGCATGCATTTCACCAACATCCCTCGCGAATTATTCATTCTCGCTGCGACGTACCGTTTCGAATACCAGCCCTTTGATCTCGCGCCACGGTCTGATGAATTCCATCAGTCCGTGTCGCTCCTGCAAGAGACGCTATCTCCGAGTCAAGACCCGAGATTGTACGAGAGTGATCTGGAGGAGGTATTGGATGAACTGTATCAGTACTCACTGGTCAGCTTTGTTCCGGTGCACTCTTGGATTACCATTCGCCTGCATCCATTACTTCATTCGTGGGCCGGCGATCGACTGACGGCCCAAGAACGTGGGATGTTTCGCGCAGTTACCGCCAGGCTGCTCGCCTCTTGCACAAATGACGTCGATTCGCATATTCGAACCCATATATCGCCGCATGTCACGGCTCTCATGCCATTTATGGCAGATCTTCATATCAATGAACGTGCTGCACTCTGCCGATCAATCAGAGAGGACGGGAAATACACTCTGCTGGTCTCGACGTGGGAGGCCATTCACGCCGAGGTTGAAAAGGCCTACGGCGACAAAGACATGCGAACCAGCACAGCAGCGCTAGAGTTGGCTGATGCATATGGGCAAAACGGGGATACTCCAAAGATGGAGGAGATGGAGCGTGCACTGGTGGCCAGCCGCTCTGCCATGCATGGTTCCGAAAGCCTAGAAGCCATGGGCGCACTCCTCAACCTCGCGCGTACTCTCGCATACTACAAGAGCGAGTATAAAGAGGGAGAAGAAGCGGCAAGAAAGACCCTTGAAGTTCGCAGGAGGATCCTGGGGCGGAACCACCTCGACATCTACGAGTCTCTATACACCCTCGGTTCAATTCAGCGTCTGAACAAGCAATATTCAGAAGCAGTGGCGACATTTCTTGAAGCTGTCGCCATGTCTACAACTCTCCTTGGGCGAGACCATCGCCAAACCTTCAATGCATTGCGCATGCTTGCCGCTTGCTATGAAGGGCAAAAGAATCCCGACGCACGAACAATTATGCAAGACCTGTATGACACAAGAGAGAAGGTACTTGGTCCAAAGCACCCTGAGACGCTCACAAGTCTTCATCAACTTGGAGAATCGTGCTACAATATCGGCGACACCGCACAAGCCGGTACGGGTCCTCTTTTCGGATTTACGGCAAACTGATCTGTGTCCTAGAGGAATTTTTTAGACGAGAGCTCAGAATTAGACGAGAAAGCGACGGGCCTCAAAGCACCACAACCATCACTGCCATCCACTGGCTTGGATGTGCTCTCTATCAGCAAGAAAACTATTCAGAAGCCGAGGAATTCTTCAGAGAAGAAGCTATTGCACGCTCTGCCCGCGGCCTCGACTCGATGAATGCAAAGTTTTGGCTCGCCGCCACGATTTTCTTGCAACGACAAGAATCAAAGGAAGCCGAGCAGCTTTTCAGGGAGTATACAAACCACTTCAAGGAAGCTCATCCCGAGCCACACGCCAACGTTAGCGATGGCCTATATTGGACTGGCCGCTCCATGCTTGCTCAGGCAGAATACGCAGAGGCCGTAAGCTTATTCGAGGAAAGCATTTCCATGTGGTCCCAGCTGGGATCTGAGAATAATGCAAATGCGGTTCATGCCAAGCAGCTTCTCAAGAAAGCGCAACAAAGACTCAAGCAATCCCAAGAAGTGTCATCAGCGTGACTAATCAAACGCTGAGACTAGTGGTAATCGGGCTGTTTATCCTGTATCATGTACTTTCTCGATCATCTGTTCACGACCCAATTTAGTCCAACAGGGCTCTCCTCTGCACATTTGTTAGGTTATGGGAATATCATAGCTGAACCATGCTTTGTTTTGCCTCTCGTATCTCGTATACTGACATCAAACTGCTACTTGTATCAGTCAAGGCCTGGAATGCAGAAACGGGTTCTTTGAATCTCCAGGAATTATACTATCAAATGTGTCAACACACATACAGGGTCGATCGTAGAGATTATTTCGTGGTAGCGTCGAGCTCGATACTGTCAGCAAGAGCTTGAGCTCCTGTGCCTGCGCTGGGAAGCGGTTCGGAGGTGGTGGACTCCATCGTGTCCTTCTTTACCTCCGCCTCTGCCCTCTTCGCAGCCACATCGCTCTCGCTCTGCTTTGGAGCAGTAGAGGGCTCTCCATTGTCCACCTTCGGCTTCTTCTTTGGCTCCTTCACCTTCTTCACTTTCTCCTTGACGGCTGCAACGAGGCCGTCGCCACTAGTTGATGCTTCAGCACCCGTTTCGGATGCAACGTTTGCCTTTTTCCCTCCTGCCTTTCCCTTCCCTTTAGACCCAGTCGCTCCCCCTGAAGACTGAGCATTGGCTGCGGGAGGAGCGCTACTCCCAAACTTTGTTCGCCATTCCTCGGTCTTCTTCCCCTCCTTATCGTCAATCATAGTGAAGAGATAGTCCGGAGTGCCCAGGACGTGGCCTCCGAGGAGATCAATCGAGAAGCCAGCACCCTCTGTTCCGGCTTCTCCTTCCGCGATACCATCTGGGATACTGCGCAAAGGTGCATTGAGCTGTTGACAGATGCTCCTTTCGGTGGAAGGCATAAACGGTCCGATCATGGCACTCAGGATCCAGACGAGGTTGAGAGCCCGCGAGACCACTTGTGCGCATCTCTCGGGCTGCTCTGTGAGGAGGCGATTGCTGAGACCTGCGCTCTGGAGGTAGAGATTGCCACGTGCCGATAGCTGCATCACCACTTGAACGGCTTCGCGGATGCGTACAGCATCCATGAGTGTGTTATATGTATGAATGAGCTTATTGACATCAGCGACGAATGTGTAGTCCTCTGAGTCTTCGGGTAGCCTCAGAGGTCCGGGGGCATCCCCGGGTGGGATGGTGCTCTGGAATTTGGCGACGGTGAACTTGATGATACGGTTGACAAAGTTTCCGAAACTACCGAGGGTCGGTATGGGTGATGAAACGGGAATTAGACATACTTATTTAGCAATACGCCGTTGTTTGCAGCAATCTGAAAGAAGTGATTAACCGGTCAGCTCCTGAGATGATGAATTGCTTACAAAGTCACTCCACGAGAACATAGAGTCTCCGGTCTCAGGTCTGTTTGCCAGGAGGTAGTATCGCCATACAGACGAGGGGACGCCGGTCTCCTGAGCTTGCGTGCCAAATACTCCGAGGTTGCGCGACTTGGAGAACTTGCCGCCTTCATAATTAAGGAATTCGGTACCAGACACATGATGAAGCATTGTCCATGGTCGTCCATCGCCAATCAGCATACTCGGGAAGAACACGGTGCTTGAAGAAAGTTAGGCTACCCATAGAGATCACAAGTAGATGAATACTTGCTGGAAATAGATGTTATCCTTTCCCATGAATTGGAACAGCTTGACTTTATCGGGGTTAAACCACCATTGCTTCCACTCGGCTGTAAGGTTGGCAGTTATACTTGGATATCCCAGTGGCGCATCAAACTATATAACGTTAGCTTTTATTAAGACAAAGTTTGCGCCGCCTAACCCAGCAGTCTACGCGAACATGAGTTTGCGAAGGAGTTCGGAAAGGGAAACGTACAGATAACTTTGCTCTCCGTGCCCTGTTCATCGACACCCCCTCCAGCCGGAACCGGAACGCCCCATTTCAGGTCTCTTGTAATTGCAGATGGCTTGAGACCCAGCTTGAGTCTACTGTCAATGATTTCTCCTTGTGTATTAATAACGGCGTTTGGTGCCCATTTTCCCTTCTTCCATGACTGCTTGATCCACGCTTCTGTCTTTGGCTGAATGGCGTCTAGTCGAAGGTACATATGAGTCGAAGCTTTCGTCACAACTTTGTGAGACGTATTGTCCACACAGCGAGGATTGATGAGCTCAATGGCATCGAGAGTTCTTGAGCAGCCATCACATTGATCCCCACGCGCATCCTAAAGCCATTCAGCATACTCGCGGACGGAAGTCCCAGGCGTACCGGGTAGGAGCAATAAGGGCAAGTTCCCTCAGCAAATCGATCTGCTAGGAACCTATGGATATCAACAAGAGTAGAGAAAGAAGATTCGGGATTTCACTTTTGATCGTCTTCGCAGTAGAGCTGCAATGTCTCCTTTCTCTCCAGCAACTGATTCTTGCGCAAGTTTACGAATACTTCTTGCGTTACTCTGTGAGACGTCAGAGATGTCCGTGTTTGACGAGATATCATACTCAGTGTGTAATGGAGTCGAAGTTCGTCCAAAGTAGTCGAAGCTGGATCAAATTGAGCTTCGCCAGAGAAAAAAACGCAATTGGGTTACTCGAGTTCAAACCAGTCGTATGTACTCTTGTGTACTTTCCAGTAATGGTCGCACAACTCCTTTGGTGTCTTGCCTTCCTTCATAGCCTGGCGCTCTGTTGCGGTTCCGTACTCGTCCGTGCCGCAAATGTAGAGCGTGTTTCGATTCTTTGCACCTAGCAGGATAACCGTTGGCGGACATGATACATGAATCGATAGGAGCTTACGATTGTATCTGAGATTCGGTAAGCGTCTGGTATATCATTATAGTCTGATTACTCACCTACTAAAGACATCGGCACTCAGAGTACTCCCAATGATGTTCCCTATGAATCATTCAGCGCATGAGTGACCTCCGAGCGCCCGATCGGAGCCCATACGAACCCAGGTGTGGCATGTTATTGCAGTACGGAAGCGCAGAAGTGATCAAAACGTTTGGCTCTCCATCCTTTGGCAATCTATGCAGGGAGCGTCACGCTATAGCCGCCTTCTGAACGGGAGGATGACTCACGGGACCTCCCCATTGACCCGCTGCTTGCGCAGTAGACCGGGCGCATCACGCAATTTTTGTTCGGCCATTGTGGTAATGATCTCCCGTGGCGCTATCGAAATCGAGTCCAAGGCTCGCAACGGCTGTTTGGCCAAACAATGCCACTCATATTTCAGAATGATAACGAGCAGGAACAGATAAAAGGGGATAGACAGAAGCCAATCTACGCATATTTGACATCGGAGATGTTAAGATCCTAATGGTTGTGAACACTTAAAAGCTCAATGGTAAAGAAGAGAGAGACGTACCTTTGCAATCATCTTACGTGCAATAGGATGAAACGATGTCTGGTTCGCCTCAAACGTCTTCACTGCAAGTCCTTGATCTACTTGGTACAATAACCTGAAGATTGGACGACAGAACTTCATTCGTCCCTTGAGACTTGATGGATCAACGACCCAGTTGGCTGCAGACTGTGCAAAGTCCTTTGCAGCTGGTGAAACCAGCGCGACTTCAAACCACCGTAATCCGACTTCGGCGTTCTTCGAGTCGTTGAAGCCGTAAATGCTTGCGAGCGCGTGAATATGAGTGCTTGGAAGTGGCTCCAGCACCTCGAGTTTCTCCAGAAAGACGACTGTGTTTGATTAGACGAGGAACATGAACAGGGCTTGTCTTACTTAGCTGATTGGTGTTCCATCCCTGAATATCCGTTGCGTTGAACGGAAGATCCTTTGCGTCTGTTGTGCGAGACTTATCCCATTTGGCAGCCAGCTGCATGATATTAGTGCCTATAGATCGAATATCCTTTGATTCACCTCGTATGCTTGGGCTGCGAGTGTTGTATCGTACTCCATGTTGACCGGTAGATGGAGGCCTTCACCATACAACCAGGCCTGTCCATCCGTTAGCGTCACTCAAATTAGCTAAACATCCACTGACATCCCAATCAACTGCGTCTAAGATGGCGATCTTTTCGTCCCCTCCGTTGGCTTTAAAGTAAGAGTAAAGGTGGTTCTTCCAGTCGGCTGTTGCAATGCTCTGCCCATCAAACGTCTCGACGTAATTCCGAGCATACTTCAAGAAGACATCAAGGCCGCCTAACTGCCGCTCTAAATTCAATCAGTAGGAGCGAGTCTTGTAGACAGATCAATACCTAAGTAGAGCAGAAAGTTTGCCCCCTTCTCGTAGGGAATCGAAGAGTACGCGTCTATGGGATAATCAGTGTGAAACTTGAAGACAAAAGACAACGGCACCATCTGGGTCCTATCGTAATCCTCAGTCCCATTCCTTGACAGAGTTTGATACTCACCTCTCCGTATTGAAAGTCAATAACCAGTCGCTGATACTTAGGCCGAGATTCGTAGCTCTTGAGAGAATCTATGAGAGCTTTTGCTCCGATGATGAACGAAAAGTCGCGTGCCAGCGGTCCATGAAGGACTTGTTGGAGAACTCGTTCAAAGTACGTTGTCCACCCTTCGTTCAGCCAGAAAGAAGAAGCGTCTTTTTGTCTGTCAAAGTCAGGATCGCCGCTAAACACGTTCGTCTCGCGTACGTGATTCCATTGCCAAAGTAGCTGTGCGTGAGTTCATGGCTGGAGATGCGGTTAGCGCGAGGTCTTTTCTATTTGAATGACGCACGCAACAACATCGACCAATGCACGATCACCAGAGAGAAGTGCTTCAAAAGTCAACGCTCTTATTTGTAGGACTCGGCGGGTGCTTACTCGGAGTCAAAAACGTGAGGCATGCTTATGAAATGTGAGGACTGATTAACACCAGTATACGAGTACACGCACCGTTTTCCATACCTCCATATGGAAAGCTTGGGGGGAGAACGAGGATGTCGTACACTCCCCATCGATAGGGGGTGAGAATATTCTCGGCCTCTGAGACGAATCTATTTAATGTTAAGTCAATAATCCATGAATCAAGTCCAGGCTAACTTGGTTGTATCTTCACTAAACTCCCAGAAACAACGATCCATCATCTCCGGTTCTGTCCATACACCGCTCGTCCAAGTCGCATTTGGTGGCGTTTTGAATCCTTTGTAAGCAATGTTACCCGCAGCTATCGCTAAAATGTACGACGCAAGAGGTGTCGGTTGCTTATACTTGTATTCGACAACGTCCTTGCCGAGTTCTTTGCCATCATGAATCGGACCAGTGGATGGAGGCGATACTCGAATGGCAGACATAACGACAGGAAGGACTGAAGTGACTGATGCAGTGTACGTCTATGGGGAGATGAACCGAAGGCATTTCTAAAGGCTTATACTTACGATCTTCACCGAGGGTGAGTCTTTCAATGGTGAGCGCGGTCGATTTAGGTCAAAGCATACATACCTTGCAATGGAGCTATGCTCCTTGCGTATATTGGCTGACACTGGCTGAATAGATAGCCGAATTGCTTGCCCGCAGTTTGCCTGGACCGATCAGAAGCGAAACAAGTATCAAAGAGAGCGCATACTCTTTGTCAAGCCATTGCAAAGCAGTGCATTTGTCCGTAGTCTCGTAGAATATTGTGACGATCACTTCGTCGCCCTTGTTTGCGACTGATGGCAAAGGAATCGTCAGTGCACGACCCATTACTTCGTGGTGGTCCCCAAGGTGAAACTATTGGGTGACAATTAGCGGGCTTCGATTGAGACTTGCAACTGAGCCACCTTGGTGCTTGTACCGCCGACTTCGACCTTTGAGATCTCAAGGTAGGATGTGTCCAGACTATCGGCAGATCAGAAAGGCTCAACAAGACACACGCTTTCTACTGACACGACCTCCTTGACCTCGTCCTGTCTCGCTCGAAGGTGGACCCCAGCCGATCCAGAGATCTTCTTCGCTTTCCAGTCCAGATTCCATGTAAAATCTACATGATAATTTGCAATGGCTGTATAATTTGACTGTGTCGTCGGGTCTGTCGCCGTCATTCTAGATGTGGGTGAGCTCCAAGCTTGGAGGGTAGCCATATGGACCAAGTTCCGCCCGGCTTGGAAGAAATACTCGACGGCAAGAACCACAAACTTTTCCTTCAAGGTGGAAACGAGACATGGATGGGTTTTCCAGCCGTTAAACGGTTCACCAACGCGTTCATTCTCGACGAAGTCAACGATAAGGTTGGCCGGATTCATCGAACAGATGCGATTCTCATCTTGCTATAGATCTTGCTTGGTTACAAAAAGCGAGGCTTTGCACAGGGAATGTAAAGCCCTTGAATCAGCTCGGATCCGTGACTCGTTGCTCACGACTGTGATAGATACAATGGGTTTGGCGGGAAAGTGGACATTGGAGAAACACCTCTCCAGGCAGCACACCGTGAACTAGAGGTAAATCTGGGACTCTGCTTAGCGCAATATTAAAAGTTGTGCAGGAAGAAGCAGGAGTACAAGCACCGCTCCAGTGGTTCGGAGCACTTCTATTCTACCAGACAGATCATGAATACGCGCATTACATAGATCTTTACCGCGCGAACTCGTGGTCCTCCGAACCCATAGAGTCAGTCCATTGTCTATACCTTGTCATCTTCTAACAATCAAGTAGAACAGAGGAAATGAAACCGAGATGGTTCGCTTTGCCAGATCCTAGTACCGACATGATTCAACTGGCAGAACGACTCTCACGAGAAGAAACCTCTGAAGGCGAGACCCACGTGGAAATAGTTCCTCTTCACAAGATGTGGAGGGACGACTTGCTATGGATGCCTCTGATGATTTCAAATAAACCGTTCGTGGGTAGAGTCGACCTGGTTCAAGACTCTGCACCCAAGGCAGGCTCACCGTCGGAACTTCTTCACCCGCTGGCCAAGTGGTGGATCGCGACCATAGTTGACTAACGCATCGATATTACTGTGATAGCCAGAACCTTCTGATATAAAAAGCTGACGACGCCACATTGACAGAGTGGTATCTAGAATAAGCGGAACAAACACCTTAGAACCGTGATCCGTGCGAGGAAAATCTAGGACTTGGCAGGTGTCTCGAGGGAGTCTCGGCATCGCAAAGGTGCACGACACCGGGTGATCAAGCCATCTGTGAGGTATATGATGGAGGGGACGATGGAGAAAGATTGTTAATAGATCATCAAGAGAGGTCGTTATACAATTGGGCGAGGAACAGGAGGTAAAGGCGGCCAAGAAGGTAGAAAGTGGTGGGAAACATAAACTTAGGTCCAAGTGTCGTGAGGAAAGCGGATGCAAAAATCGAGAGGTCTTGCCCCTCGATGATAGCCAATAATGGCTTCTAAATAGCGGATGAGGGACGGATGCTGGGAGAAAAGCACGATGCAAGATAGGGTGGGCGAGTGTTGCAAGGTGGGTGCGTGAACGACGTGCTGACAAATGAGTGTATTTGGTACATTTGAAGAGTTTGATGTCCATAGGTGGAATTTGATCACTTGCGCGAGGACGCTAAGCTCTTACTGTATTGGTTTGCCTGTCACTCCCTGCAAGAACAGCGGTCCAGGCAGGAGCACCTGTGCTGGCAGCGCTGGAGCAACTTTTCAGATCGGAACGTCATGGTGACGAATCACACAAAGAAATGTGTGCTAATGAGAGAATCAGCGCACATTCAATCACATCGAGAAGACAAACGTACTGTATTCGGCTAGCAGAATGTACCTCCATTTCTTCCATCTTGAAAGAATTGAGTTCTTCCTTTATTCGCTGCGCCAATGCCGGCGTGAGTCGGTTTGCAGTCGACGGCTCAGATCTACGGTCATAAGTCGTGCTGGAAAATGTATCGTAGATCGAGAGGGTGGCCGCAAAGCTGATGCTCTTTTTGACGGTGGACAAGGTGGTTGCGGGTACACTGTTCGATGTTGCCATCGATAACACGGGAGCGGACGAGTTGGCAGTCGGGTGTGTATAGGCAAAGGTTGGACCCTTGTCCGCAGAATTTGCCAGCACGTTCGGCGAGCTGGGGAGTGTTTCCTGGGTCTCGTCCTTGGGCACAATATCGATACTATCCCCAAACTCGAAGCTAAATGCGGGTAACGAGAAGGGCTTCTTCTCTGGTGTGTTACTCGTACTGTTTCCCCGTTGTAGACCGTCGATATGATCCGGATTGGGTGGTGGTAAATGGGCCAACGGCCCAGGAGTGGATTCTGACACTGTTTGATACGAGTTTGAGCGTATACGTGCTGCAAAAGGCTGGTTTGGTGGATCGAGGTAGTTCTCTTGCACATAATTTGTCGCATCTAGGGGAATGATTAGGGTGGCATCTTGACACAAGTCGAATACGCACTCTTTAGAACCGACTTTCCAGGTTGGCGAGTCTTTTCGATAGAACGCCGCAGGCCCACAGCCCAAGGTTCATCGAGCTCTTCCTCCTCCGCGTCCGGTCCACCTGGCATCCGAAGTGTGGCATTCGGATCAAATTGAGGATCGTAACCACCCTCTCCACTCCCGTCATCACTGCGCTCGTCTATCACCGTGCCATCCTCACTCACGCCACGGCTTGAATTTTCACCTCTACGAGTCGTGGTGCTCTTATCCCAAGAAGGAACACCAGCACCGTTCGCAACTGTGGGGGCAGCCGCAGAAGAAGCAGTAGCAGCAGCGGCAGTTGAAGTTGCCGCGCTGCTAGAAGCCGCCGCCGCTTGCTCACGCAGCCGTTTCGCAGCCTCTGCCTTCGTCTTTAGAGTGTGTTGACGAGCGACTCGTGCGGCGGGGGTGAGGCCGACAAGGCTTTCGTCCTCTGAACCTCCACCTCGATCATTTTCTGCCGTCGCGTGGCTCACGGTTGGCTCGGCCATGTCGCCCTTTTTGTTCTTCTTGCCCAATCCACTTCCACCTTCGCCTTTGTCCTTGTTCTTATCTTTGAAGATGCTGCTTATACTCATAAGACTGTTCCGGCGAGCAAGTTTACCGATTGAACCCAGCTTGCGGATCATCACTGAAGCGGATGAAACGGTCGAAGAAAGGGAAATGTTGTCCGTTGAAGCGTTAAATTTACCACTGAATAAAGCAGCCGCGCGAGATTTTGGCTTGGTCGATCGCACAGATTCTCCCGCGGTCCCTGTTGTCACCGGTGTGACTTCTCCGTCACCAGCAGCACTATGACCAACGGTGGAGCCCATATCGCTATGACCAATCGACGAGATGCCGTCTCCGTGTTCATCGACGGAGCTTGGAGGTTGAAACGCCAACGCCCGTTTGAAACGACCTTTGAGTCCGCTTTGTCTGGGCGTTAGCGCGCTTGCGACAGTAGTTTGCGGTAACAGTTCGCTGTCATCCTTGCTCAAGCGTTTGGCTCGTTTCGACAATGACGCCGTGTCGGAAAACGTTTGCTGCTGGGATAGCGGCGAAGGTTTTGGCGGAGCGCGCTGGTTCGGTCGTGCCATCTGCGAATTCGTTGGGGATGAAGATGGAGAAGAGGATGGCGCTGCCGACGAGGCGGACGCGGCGTTGGCCGAAGAGGTGGTTGGCGATCCGTTTGTCTGAGCTCTGGCTGATCCAATAGTCCGATCGCTGGAGCCAGAGACGTTTCTCTGGTGAAGAGGTCGCGCCTGGGTAGCAGGAGAAGGTGGTCCGGCAGAGTTTTGGCGACTTTGTGGCTGCCGTGGCCGCTCAAAGTCTGTGGTGAGTTGCGGAACGGTCGCACCACGATTATTAGGGCCTCTCATGCTTCCTGGGGGTGTCTGATTTTGCGAGCTGTTGGTGTTGTTGGACAATGTGCGTTGGCGGGGTCCAGATCCGCTTCCATTCGATGAGTTGACAGAATGCGACGATCCTGCGGCATCTGGACGGGCATACGGAGCCGAGAAACCTTGCGGTGTCATTCGCGACCAATCATGCGAATCAAACGTGTTCGAACGCGGACCAGGCATATGATGGTGACCCTGAGGACCGCGGCGGAAGGACTGAGGGGAGCCATTGTACCCAGGGTGGGCGGGAGGAGTACCACTCTGGAATGGGAATCCTGGGATCATGGGCACTTGCGATTGGGCGGGAAAGAAGTCGTTCTGTTGCGGATTTGAGTTGGCTCGCGCCCTTCCCAATTCTGCCATGAACTGGTTCTGATGATGTTGTTGCGCGATAGCGGCCTGCTGCAGCATCATCTGCTGGTAGGCCCAAGCAATCTGCTGATTAGGGTCGAAATACTGGGGTTGAGGGGCGACGGGCGGAGTGGCTGGATGAAAAAATGGTGTAAATTGGGGATAAAACGGCGCAGCGTTTGGTGAAGGAGTCCACTGGGAAGCTGGAGCAGGAAACCCGTTCGCTGTGGGATAGAGCTGGGAGCCGTTGGGCTGGCCGTGGCCGACTGAGCTGGCGGACGAAGCTGGAGCTGGCGCGCTCATCGTGTCTGGACTGTCCTGTACAGTGCGAGAGACACCGTTTGAGGGCCCTTCCATTCTATGCGATTCACTGTCTGCTGCGAGTTCGAGTTGCCAGGCGTGCGCAGGGGCCACAGACGTGGCCATAAAACGAAAAAATCAATCAACTCGCTATGATGAGCGAGGACAAGGCAGCAGAGACCGTCAGCGTCGGGCACAGAGGGGCACGCAGCCCTAGAACCAAACGCACTAACTTGGGGCGGTCCGATGGACACAGCAAAGAAAAGACAAAAAGGACGAGAAAGAATAACAGTCGGTCTTCTATCTGCTCAGCGGCCGCAGCCTGTCGTTGCCGTCGTGGTGGAGAAAGAGGCGAAACGCTAGGTACCCACGAACATGGACTCGCGGGCTTGGAGCTTTGTATGAATACTTGTACAGCTGCGATTATACATCGTACACTACAACACTGCGTGTCCCCCAAGCTCTTCAGCGGACCCCCTATCCGCTACGCTGGGCCAGGTATATATGTGAGCCGTCCCTAGGTATCGCGAGCGATTCAGATCTCCAACGAGTTGAGAAATGCTTGTCGGATGCGTCGTAGAAAAGCAAACAGGTCTTTGGACTCATTCAGGCTGTCCAGCAGTGTTGGCAGTCCCGGCAAGACCGGCGAGACTTCAGTGACTGTCAATGAATCCCGTCAGTTATCAACATGATAGCGCTTGTAATTCCGAGTAGACACCGGAAAGAGGGCGCCTCTACGCTTTGGAACACCTCCACCGAACACGCTTTCTCGACGCGTAGACCACGCGCGATAAAAGACCTGGGAGACTAAACGGGAAGACCCCTCCACCTCAATGGTTGCCCAACCGCAAGATGTTCCGAGAGGTCGACATGTGGGAAAGCGGGAAACGTACCTCGATATTCTGAACTCGATAGGTCAATGGTGACCGAAAATGTTCGATCCGGGTCCCTAGGGTCCAGTCGCTTGAACTTGATTGTAAGAATGTCGTCTGTAATACGATTGAGTGGAAACAGTCACAGAAGATTGCAAAGTACACACTTCCTGCACCTTGGACTTGGATGCCAAGAAGTTGTTCTAGTTCGAGAACATCTCTTCCAATCTGAGATGCTTGTTTTTCGAGCTGCCGCTTCTCTTTCTCCTTTGCTGTGTATATACTTAGAAATTAGGTGCGACTCGAGCAATCTGACGAACAGTTTTTGAGATTTTTGAGCACAGTATCTAGGCGGATCGCATCTTGTTCTGCTTCTGCCATGCGCTCTTGCAGGGTCCGCAATTGACGATTGCTGTGGGCCACAGACTCTTCAGCGTTGCCTCGTTCTCGCTTCTCAGCCTCGAGTTCTAAAGAGAACCGACACTTTAATCAGCCAAAACTGTTAAAAGACGCGTCAAGGCACGTCAGACGTACGCTGTATTAGCGCTATTTCCTTCATTCGATAATTCTGGATGTCCCGCTCGATTTGAGCGCGTTCAACGCGCAGTTTCTCAATCTCTTGAAGGTGAAGATTCCTCCTGTTGATGACTTCTTGCTGATTTATCGTCGTGTATTTTCCTAGACTCGACTTGAACACGGCCATTCGCTTCTCGAGCAGTGGAAGGTTGATATCGATGTGTGGCTGATCCATATCCAAGACTTGATTGAGATTGAAACTTGAGAATGGATTTCCCATTTTATCTGCTGGCCGGGGTCTCATAGACGCTCGGCCGGCCATCGTGGTGGTACACCAACTTGGAACCTGTCGCTGCCACAAGCATCCCCATGGCATCTCCCGCCAGGACCATGACTGGCACTCCTCGCAAAGATATTTCGAATACGTGCGCATTCACGGCAATCGCGGGTCGAACAAGCACGTTGCTGACTATCCACCGTGCTAGAATAGCCCGCTGGTCAAAGGACGCACTACGAGGCGAGACGTTGATCCAGATATGACGGCGATAACCAACAAACTTGGCGCAAATTCGCTCTCAGATGCACAGAATCGGATCGGGCCCACGGGAACGACCGTCCGCAGGCCACAGCTCAAGGCCTGGGAGCAGGAACTCATCGAAGGCAGTTCCGAGGTCAAACGCAAGGCAACCATTACGCAACTCTGTGTGTCTAGATTCTAATTCGCCTCGTATGACCATCTGACAATAACCCGTTAGACTTCCTTGACTATTACTTCTCGTCTCTCAGTTACCTTGCTGCTCGAAAGGAGCGTCGTGCCAAGTTTGACGAGGATACAGCTGCTCGACAACTAACTCCGGATCAGCAAGAGAAAGAGCTGAAAAACTATCTCGGCCGGGAACGTGTCCTACTCAGGAAGAGACGCACAAAGCTCAAGGTGGATCAGTTTCATATCATCGCCCAAGTTGGGCAAGGTGGTTATGGTGAAGTCTTTCTGGCCCGGAAGCAAGACTCTGGAGAGGTGTGCGCTCTGAAGAAGATGCGGAAAGGAACCCTCATCAAGATGGACGAAGCGAGGCATGTTCTAGTGGAGAGAGATATCTTGACGGCCACCAAGAGTCCCTGGCTTGTCAGGTTGCTTTATGCATTCCAGGATCCAGAATTCGTGAGTATGCGAGATCTCTCAGGTATTGAGGCTGACCGTAAGCAGGTGTAGGTCTATTGCATCAGTCAGAGACTTTATTGATCCCAATCCCAAGTTACCTGGCCATGGAATACGTTCCAGGTGGAGACTTCCGTACACTACTCAACAACTCTGGAGTTCTCAAGGAGGAGCATGCAAGGTTTTACATCTCGGAAATGTTCATGGCAGTCACAGAACTACATCGACTCGGGTATATTCACCGTGATCTCAAACCCGAGGTGAGTGAGAGTCAGTCTCCAAACTCTTGTCTCAACCCGCTGCAGAACTTTCTAGTCGATGGTCAAGGTCATGTCAAGCTTACCGATTTTGGACTCGCAACTGGCTCGTTGGATCCTTCGCGGATAGAGTCTCTGAAAAGGAAACTGGATCGAGTCAAGAACAACGAGCCTATTGTCCGCAGCACCATGGAGCGTCGTAGCCAATTTGCCACTATGCGTGCGAATAATCCAAGATTCGTGAGCCGACTCTCTAATATCATGGAAAATCTATTGACGTCACATGGAAGGCCGATTCGGTTGTAGGAAGCCCGGACTACATGGCAGTACGTAGACTCTCTCTTAAAGGGCACATGCTGACTCTGTCAAGCCCGAGGTCCTCCGAGGAAAGGCGTATTCATACTCTGTCGACTATTGGTCCATAGGTTGCATCCTCTTCGAATTCCTCGCAGGGTTTCCTCCTTTCTCTGGGCAGACCCAAGAGGAGACTTGGACCAACCTCAAAAACTGGACAAAAGTTCTTACCCGACCAACATACGACAAACCAGAGGATCTGATCTTCAACTTGCGCGACGTCTCTTGGGATCTTATCACGAGGTATGCTGAATATCGTGGTCCCTAGGTGCATTGACTGACAGCTGCTTAGGTTGATTGCGCACGCCTCTGTTCGATATAGCACATTCGAGCAGGTTACAACCCACCCATTCTTCACGGGGTCGAAGACGGACTTCTCCAAACTGCGGGAGCGCACGCCTCCATTCGTCCCCAGCCTCGATTCCGAGATTGACACTGGCTACTACGATGACTTTACGTCACTAGAAGATATGGCCAAGTATGCTGAAGTCCAGGCAAAGAAGGACAATGTCGACAAGATACGTTCCAAGGCTGGGGTGGATGAGAGCAAGAGAGGTGTATGGGTCGGGTTTACCTTTGGAAAGACTGGTGTCAGTCAGCAAACGCGACATGCTCTGAGAGGAGGCGAGGTCAACGAGTTTGGGGAGACGGTAGATGATGCTCCAGAAGGCCTGTTTACCATTTTTTAGACTGAGGTGCACGAATATCTAGTGTCGTTTTGTAATCCAGTAACTTGTCAGTTCTGGCAATCTCCCTGACTTTCTCCCTGATTCACCAACCGGGTTTGCGGCGACTGACGGGTCAACCCGCACCAGATAATGGCTGTGGCAGCTAACTTGGAACTCGCCACGGCGGAAGTCCGCACTCAATATTACCGGAAATAATTCCAGCGAGCTATAATACACAAACAAGACGCCAATGAGTTCACCATCGTCACGGCGCTCGCCACTATGGTTCTGTTATGAGGTAGGCCTTTGATGCGCCTGGCCGTCGATGGAGGCTGACGACCGTTGTCTATGCGCTGTATCTCAGTGCCATGCAGAAATGAGGCCTTTGATGGTTAGCTGACGTGGAACATGGTTAGATAATCAAACTAATCATCTGCTGCTCATAGATCCCAGACCCGCATTGCGCGTCTTGTAACGGGACGTTTCTTGAAGAGGTAATTTAAGCCTTTCGTTTGGCACCTAAAAGTTTGGTCCAAGTGCTGACTGTGATTTGCCTTGGACGAAGATGAGCAACACTGGAGAGGATGATTATAGGCAAATAGCAGCAGAGAACGAACAATCCGAAGCCCTTATGAGTATACTCTCGGGATTTAGACTCGGTTCACAACGGGACCCATTCAACTTGCCACAAAATCGGAGTCCCTCGCCTAGAGGCTCTGCCTTTCCTTCTCCCAATGCATCAAACGGGATGCGCAGCGGCTCACCGAGGCGCCAAGGTTTCCGACATGTTGGAGGAAATGGCTCGTTTGAAGTATGGATCGGTGGAGGTGGCTCGCCATCGGGTGCGGACCCCCTCCCCCCAATGCTCCCCCCTTTTCCAGGGTGAGATCTTGTTTACTCGCTCTATTGTCAACTGAAGTTCTGTAGCTTTTTGAACATGCAACCACCGAGGCCTCATCGTGCGATGGAGGACGAGATAGAGACTCCCCTTGGTCCTGAAATCCGAAGACGGCCGCCACCACCAGAGATAGACGATCCTAGAACATTTTTGATGCACTATCTTATGGGCCTACTATCAGGAGATCCAATGATGATGTTTCACGGACAAGACGGACACTTTCAAGGAACCGGTGCTTTTGGTGATTATGTATTCAGCCAAGAAGGTGATTGATTCGTTTGAGGCATGGTATTTTCTCATGGCGATATACAGGCCTGGATAGAATCGTATCTCAGCTCATGGAAACCGCCTCTCAGAACAAACCCAATCCCGCCACGGAAGAGGTGATCAACTCTTTGAAGAAGACAGTACTCACTTATGATTGTGAATTGGTCAAGTCTGGTCAATCATGTGCCATTTGCACAGAGTACTTTGCGCCACCCGATGTCGACGCTTCTTCTGGACCACCAAAGTCTGCACCATCTCCAGATGAAAACTCAGGACCAAGTTCTGGAGTCGCGCTGACGTTGCCTTGTGGTCACCCTTTCCACGACGACTGCATTACGACGTGGTTGAAGACGAATGGAACTTGCCCCGTCTGCCGCTATGCACTGGTGGAACAACCCAACTCTGCAGCTGCAGGAACACAGAATCAAGTTCCTGGTGCAGCCTCAACGTCGTCAAACCCCCCTGCACCAACTACTCCGCCTTTCAATGCTCCTCGTCCACGACCGGAAAGGACTTCGACGGCACGCAGTGATACTTCTACTGCGTCCTCACCACAGGCTCAAGCAGATGCAGTATTCAATGCTACTGGAGGCCCACATGGCCTGCTGGAATCCCTGCTTGGAGCCTTCGGTCGGGGTAGAACACGAAACACTGGAGGAAGCCAATCACCCAACCAATCTGGATCAGGAAACCCTACTCCTAGCGGCTCTGCAGCTGGTCAAGCTACAGGAGATCGTTCACGCAATAACGATGTCCCACCCATCTTCTTCAGAGACCGCCTGAATGGCTCGAATAGCGTGGGTGACAACCGACGACAATCCAACAATGACCACCGCAATGGAAGTGGTACCCAATCCCCTGGAGGTCGAGGAGGCGTTCACCCTGGAGGATGGGACGACGTAGACTGATGAATCTTGTTGCAAGACTGGCAATCTGACTCTGTAGCCCTACCACCTATTTCTACCCAATCACTGCTCTAATCATTTTCTTTCGGCGTGAATACCAAAGGGCACGTGACGATTGCAGAGATTTTGCGAGTAAAGGAGTGAGGTATAAGTGAGACGGCACCAAAAGTAAACGGTCGAGCCGGTACAGGTGATTATAAATGATGAATATATACACATAAGGATTGATCCTAAATTTACTACACTTGACCGACATTGGAGGTTTGCATCAGCAGTGGATGCCCAACCTTGGCCCCTGACATGAGCAGCCCTCAGCCAATTCCGGGGCCATCGACCACTAGTTCGACGCCAAAATTATCCAAGTTTCTTAAACCGGAATGGAGAGACAGACCACGCTCGTCCGGCGGCGGCGTTGATCCGGGCAGCGAGACACCGACGCGCAGTTCCAAGATTGTGGGCAAGAAAGGGAGCAAACTCTTCTCGAGAAATAGATCAGACGACTCGGAGGATACATCTGCTGCTAACAATTCGAGCTCGCGGTCGCCAGGGGCTGCGATTACGGACGCACCAGTAATCATTGAGCCGCCATCCAACAGCAAGCCGCGCGCAAGACCACCACGACCGTCGAGTGCGAGTGATAATGGTGCTGTTCCTACTTCCATGACCGCGTCGAGCACCAGCGCGCCCGGCTCCAGCAGTGCCAGCGTCCGCAACTTGGGAGACTTTCCCTCCCGACTCTCGGGTTGGTTCAGCCACGCCTTTTCTGGGTCCTCTACGGATCTTTCTCTGCCAAATATTCTCTCACAATCCAGTGTTTCCCCGGCCCAGCTGCTCGCCGGCTCGCCCAAGTCCAAGAACGCGCATCCGCTCATCACCGCGGGCAAGGACCATCTGGGCAAAGCCATGCGCTATTTGCTCGATTCAGACGCGCAGCCAGACAAATCTACCGAGAAGATATGGGTGCTCGGCGTCGAGCATCCTGGCTACGAGCCTCCACCACCTCCATCGAGCACTCCTGCCACGTTGACGCCTTCGTCGCCGACAGGTACGCTGGTGCCTGCAGAAAAGCGAATTAGTCGAAAAGACTCGATAGATGCCAAATCAAAGTCCCCGTCCTCGTTTAGAAACCCCATTCCGACCACGCATTCGAACAGCTCGTCTCAGTCACTCTCCTCTGCCGTCTCCTCCTCGTCCACCCTCAATCCAAGCGGATCTAGCAGTCGGTCCGCGCTCGCATGGCCTCCGTCATTCTACTCTGATTATACCTCTCGCGTGTGGCTGACCTATCGCAATACGTTTCCCCCGATCCGAGACACTGCGCTCTCCTGCTTAGAGCCCGTTGCATCGCGCTCGACCCACAACAATTCGTCGTCCACTGATATTTCGCAACCTCTTCCTTCGCCTTCAAAGCCGCGATGGCCATGGAGTGGGGAGAAAGGGTGGACGTCTGATGCTGGCTGGGGTTGCATGCTTCGTACTGGGCAGTCACTTTTAGCCAACGCGTTGATCCATCTTCATCTCTCGCGCTCGTGGAGGCGGCCTACGCATCCATCGTACAGTCCAGACTATGTCCAATATGTCCGGATCCTAACCTGGTTCCTGGATAACCCTTCACCGTTGGCACCATTTGGCATACATCGAATGGCGCTGGCTGGCAAAGAGCTTGGGAAAGAGGTCGGCAGCTGGTTTGGTCCCAGTACGGCAGCGGGCGCCATTAAACGTCTGGTTGGAGAGTTTGAAGATGCTGGCTTGGAAGTCGCACTCGCGGTAGATAGCGTCGTCTACCAGTCAGACGTCTACGCTGCATCAGCCGCGTCCAGGAATCAGAATGGGGTCGAGGGTGATTCGAAGACCGTTGGCACGTCCAAATCCCGTAAGAAGGGACAAGGTCCCCCCAAATGGGGAAACAGACCTGTTCTGATTCTCGTTGGTATTCGATTGGGTATCGACGGTGTCAATCCTATCTATTATGAAAGCGTCAAGGTGCGCAGTTTATCAAGGGTTTGATTCCGAGGTCTCATCAATGTACAGACTCTATTTACTTTCCCGCAAACAGTCGGGATAGCGGGTGGTCGCCCTTCCTCCTCGTATTACTTTGTGGGAGCACAAGGGGATAGTCTGTTTTACCTAGATCCCCATCACACACGACCAGCAATCCCGCTTCGACCACCACCCGCTTTTGATGAGACAAGTATCATCAGCACAGACGATGGAAGTCAGACGAGCAACAATCCAGGCAAGCGACGAGGGTCCGAATTCCACATGCACAGTCATACCTCGACACCAGATACGTCAGAATCAGAACGTCGCTCATCTAAGCGCCTGAGTATCCGTCGTGTCTCTGTCAACCGCATGTCGTCGTCGTACCAAGCCCCTGCAACGTCGCAACAGGCAACACCGACTTCTCCCATCAGCATCCATTCCACATCATCCCTCTCACAAGCATCATCGACCTCTCATAATCAACACTCTGCCATTCCCCTATCTTCTTCGCCGCTCGCGCGAAAGTCCATTTCCTCCCCACCACCAACCAGTCGTCCACCCAGCGCTTCGCCAACGCGAGTGGCAAGCAATGCGGCCATTCCTCTTTCTCCGACGTCTGCCAGTATTCAGATGTCGCCATCGACGCCAAACGGCGCTCTAGGTTCCTCACCAAACTATAGTGCCTCGACGCTGGATCCGATGTCTACTTACCTTGCTACGGCGTACTCCATCTCGGAGCTTCGGACGTTCCATTGTGAACGAGTACGCAAGATGCCGTTGTCGGCACTGGATCCGAGCATGTTGCTCGGATTCCTCTGCCGAAATGAAGAAGAGTGGAAGGATCTACGCGAGCGACTTGCAGAGGTATGTCTGTCCAAGGAACCCGCGCCTTTTCTAATCTGCTTAGATGGCTCGTACCAAGAAAGCAATCTTTTCCGTGCAAGACGAGCCGCCGTCGTGGCCAGATGAAGACGGGGATATTGATATCGAGTCAGCGTCTGATCAAGAAGAAATCGAGGACGAATCTGCTGGTGTAGAGGATGACTTGGAAGACGAAGACGAATTGGAGGTCAAGGACCGCCATTCGAGGGACCAGTCGAAGGCTGAATCAGACGAGGAAGAGTCGGATTCAGAAGAAGAAGAAGACGAGGAGAAGCGAGCAGAGCGCAAGGCGGCTTTCAGGTCGAAATCGTCTCGACACGATACGATTGTGGGCAAGGCTCGACCAGAAATGGCAGCGGTCGCGGCTGCAGCAGCGTCCAAAGCCGCCAATTCCCAAGAGCAAGAAACGGTTCCAAGTAACGAAGATGATGAGGATCTGGATGATGACGATGATTGGGTTGATCCTACTAAGCCCTCTCCGCCTGTCCCACCAAAGGATGTACTCGCAAATTCTGGAAGTACTCCAGCAGGTACGCTGGGTGTAGAACGAAAGGGGGACCAAGAAGATGATGCATCATTGACACCAACACCTGCCTCGCCCTCACTCAATGTTTTAAGTGGTCACCAAAAGTCGCGATCGAGTAGTCGAGATCTACCGGTGATCCCAACGACATTGGTGTCCGTTTCACGCGAGTCGACGACATCAAGTCGACCGTCTTCGTCATCGAGAAGACTCTCGCAAGTGGCAATCTCAGAGGCACCAGTGCCCTTCCCGACACGATCACCTGATCATCGCAAGCACTCGTCTGCATCATCACGCTCTGCAACATCGTCATCGATACCTACCTCTCCGGCTTCGTCTCAACCAACCTCGTCCTCACACGGGCATTCAAGCTCGTACACGTACCATCGAGCGCATCACTCGCATGAGAGGGATGCAACAGGATACCCATTCCCGGGAAGTACGACGGACGATAGTGGAACGGCGAGTAGTGATAGTGCACCGTCGTCAGATGCATTGGGAGGGGACGAGAAGCATGGCCATGGGCGAGGTTCGTTGGTGCCGAAGCGGGAAAGACGGACGACAGTCGGACGAACGGCGCCTATGAGTGGATCGTCTGTTGGGACGCCGAGTCCGCCTCCTACATTGCACTATTCTTCGTCGTCTTCTGCATATCATCACCAGCAGAGTTCGTCTGGGACAAATGGAAGCGCCAAGGCTGCGAAGCATGGAGGTCGGACATCGAGCGGAGGAGTGCGCGCGGCGGTATGGAAGGACGAGGATGGAGATGATTTTTAATGGCAAGTGTCTTGTCTTGCTGTTGCTGTTGCTGTTGCTGTTGCTGTTGTAGTTGTATGCTGATGAAACACTCCAGGTCTATGGCTGGAACAAGGACTGTAATGGGCCGTCTTGTAGTCTTTTTTTGTCTTGTTTGTATATGATGAATTGCAGATCCGTAGAGTGGCCAAGAGGATATGCCAAGCGTAACATTGGCAAAATCCATGTGCATCCTTGAACCACGACCATGTTCGCGACTTCTATGCTGGAGAAAGTGCTTCTCTCGTGTCGGAAATTCGAAAAGAAAGCGGCACGCGAGGACCAACCGGGATACGCGTGTCTATCTGTGCTCCACCGTCTGCCGTGAATTTTGTGACAATTTAGCCGACATACACGCATCGTCATGCAGCCTCGTCAGCCGATGCAGATCAATTATTGACGCAACATATTCGTAAATAACTGCCTCGTTTTTTACGCGATTTTTGGGGGCCCGAATGAATACCTGCCCTAGTGGATTCGACGCCCCCCGCGCTTCAGCACAAAGCAACGTTACACCTTGACCCCGCTCTCGACTCACTCCTACCATGGGCTTTGCCAGCTCGTTCTCCAGCTCTAGCAAGGCGAATCCTGCTGTATGTCGTCCGTTCCGAGTCGTTGACAAGCTCTCAAACACCGTCCAGCCACAACCAAAGATTACCATCGTCTCCAGAGTCCGCGCCCAGCCCGCGGATGATGTCGCCAACGCACTCAGACCAACTGACCCTCAAACGATTGCAACCTTCAACCTGTATTCGAATCCAACGCGCGACGTTGTCCTCCAGGGTTTGTCTCGTCTTTTTCATTCGAGCAGCCAACTGAGATGTTCTCTAGGTGCTCCTCCAGCCATAGGATGCCTGTTTCCGACACGCCGTGGCTCCTCTGCTAGCTCCTCTCGCCGCCCATCGCTTCTCGGCACCTCTCCCGTAAGCAGTGCGAGCTTATCGTCCTTCATGGACTCTGGTCTCCCATCTACAGAGGCTACATATCCCTTTCTTGCTCTTCTCGAGGTGCTGAGAGCCGACAAGCGATTCGACGGGCTCGACGACCTCGACGTGATTGCAGACGCGGGTGCACTCGCCCAGATTGTCCATTTCCAGCGTAGTGCCCACAAATCTCGCTGTGGCGGGCCGGCATCGGGTCTCTCCAATAGTGCCTGTTCAGCTTCCGACCGCACTTCGCCCTTGCTGTCCCCGCACTCTCCACTTCCAATTTCGTCGTCGCCGCAATCGAGCACGTTCCTCGGTCATTTGCATCCCAGCAGCATCACATCTGCTGCCGCCGGATCTGACCATGACCACCGGTCCAAATATTCTGCATCGAGCCTGTCTGTACACTCTTTCTCCGCCCTATCTGCATCCGCATCGACCTCGTTCTCAAGGTCAAAATCACGGCTCGGCGGTGTGTTCAAAAAGGACAAGAAGCCCAGGGCATACTCATCCTCGTCCTCCTCGGCTTTTTCCTCTTCCAGCCGACAATTACCAGTCTCAGGCCAGATCGATGAGTCTGGAGACGAGTGTAGTCAATTGAGATTGCACGCTCTTCTCCATAGCAATCGACGCACGCTCGTGCTGCTCTCGGACCTGTACGCACTTTCACCCGACTCGGATTCCTCTTCAGATGCAGAGGATTATGCTTCGACCGAAAGGCGACTTAAGGATGCTCTGCGTGACCTGACGCATTCGCCTGTCCATGGCTCGAACGATCACCGACGTGCGATTCGGTACAGTGCAGGGGGGATGCAATATCTCGTCCTGTTCAGTGCACACGCCTCGACAGCGACATATGATTCTCGCTCGCCGTTTGTGCCCGTGAGCGCGGCCCCGCGTGAATTTGTCAACTCGAAGATTGATTATCATTCAATCCCGCGTGGCTTCGCTCTCCCGCTCGAACACGATTTGCTCGTGCACTGTGCATTTGCGGACAACTCTCACCCCACTTTACGATCGTCTTCGTCATACAATGACAGCGACTCGTCTTCTCAATCACAGTGCTCCAGCGTGGGTGGGAAAGCAAGACTTGATTCATATCATCACAATTGGAGGAAGAATACAAGAGCACGTGATGAAATGGCGTTTATGCGCGTGGACAAGTTGATGACCATTTCGCACCCTACGTCTTCCAAGAGCGGAAGTAGCAGGTCGCTCCGACCTGCGGCCCGGGGTCGGCATCATACGGGCGTTGTGCAGATCGATGCAGAAGAGGCAGAGGAGGATACCAAACGCGCGGCGGCTCTCGTCGCGCCATTTGTGCGCATGATTCGTCAGGAACTCCTCGCCTCGACCACTACACCGGCTTCCAGACGAAAGAGGAACGCCAATGGAGAGACCCAGCGAGATATGGGCATGGTCCTCATCCAACAAGTCGATCCTTCTGAAGTCATCCTCGTCAAGGACGTCGACCCGCTCCTCACGCTTCGGGACGAGCTAGAGCGGTTTGGCTCGAGACCGTATTGATTTCCACCTCGAAGATCAACCAATATATACACTAGTACTACACAGCGCATACACCATTGTCTATGAGACAGTCCCACTGGAACCGATCTCTCAGCAACACAAACATGAGATGATCTGGTGGTGCTAATACGCCGACATTAAATGGTCTGGTTCACCAACCTCTTGACTTGCTTGGTACGGGGGAAAAGAGAAGAGACATGGGCTCGTCTGACCGAACGGCGCACTCGACAATTCGCCGAACGATCTGCCTTGCACCTCCTCTTTCCTTAACTGTATCCTCACCGTCTTTCGAGCGCTTCTCTCCGTTCGTGTTCGATTCCGTTACACATCATCTTATGCATTCATATTTCCTATCGCCTTATGCATCCGTATCCCCATTTGTCTCCTGTGTCTCAAAATCCGGCTTATCCCACACATCCCGAACTCTTTCGTCTCACCCGTTGTGTTCGCAGCCTGAATCTTAGATGGACTAGATGGTACTCTTCATAACTGTAGAGATTGAACACTGTGCAATATACAATCACTTTGTCCGTTCACATTCACAGAAAGACCATTATTTTGTAAACTTGCCGAGCAGCTTTGACCCAGCTGGAAAATGTCAGCGAAAAGAAACTAGAAGTAAAGGTGCAGGTGCTTGTAGAATAAAGATGTGAACTGTACCCACTTTGTGCGGCTGTCATGACGCCCTTTTCGATCTGAATCCGTGTACTCTCTCCGGCGTACTTATCAACAACACCTGAAGCTTGTTTCATGAATCCACCAAGGAACGTGTCTGTGTTCATTATTGTCAGCTCATCGTCGCCAGAGGCTGGGAGGGGACCGTGATGAAAGAAATGACAGAACCGGATGTGTCCCAGACCAAGGCAGAAATCTATTATACTCACTCGGCGGGGCAACGAATCCACCTGACTGACCTGGTGCACCAGGAGGTCTAGGTGGAAGATTAGGCGGCACACTTGGACTTGAGTACGCGTTTGAAGTACTAGGTCCACCCCCTGGAGAGGGATAAGGGGATGTCCAAGTTTGTCCACCAGCTCCTGCCACACCCACACCAGCGAATGCAGACGGAGGTGCCGTGGGTGGCGCAAAATGCGATGGTCCTTGGGCTGGTGGTGCATACGACCCGCTAGGCGTCACGAAACCAGGAGTCGTATTCGGGGTGTTCCATTGTGGTGCAGTCGGGTAGACTGAGTTTGAGGGTGGTGGAATTGACGGAGAGGCCCAGTGCGACGGCGCAGGGGACGATCCTCCGGCCGCAACGTTGCTCGATCCTGGGACGGGATTTGCTGCGTTGAATCCACCACTAAAGTAGCCCCCATCACCCGATGTGGATGCATTCCATGTTGGACTAGGCCCTTGACCGACAGGGGGTGCGACGAATCCACCAGGTGTCCCAATACTTGGGACGGCGCCTGGGGCGTACATTGGATTTGCTGGATCAGCCGAGTGAATACCGAGACCAGTTCCAGTTGAAGATGGGGCGATCATCGGGCCCTGCGACGTCGAAGGTGCGACATGGGGCGCAAACGCTGGATTATATAGTGCCGTCGTTGGTTCAGTGCCCGCCGTGGGAGCTGTCGTAGGCAAGGGGTTTGGAGAGGAGATATTCATACTAGTCGCAAACTGCTGCGGAAGACTACTCGGGTGTCCCACGGACGGGGTTCCGGGGGGAGACGATAGTGTTCCAGGGCGTTGATATGGCGAGTATGTTTGGGGAGGCGTCGACGAGCCTACGCTGCCTGTACTAGGGCCTGCCAGTGGCGAGGATGGATGTACAGGAGGCCGCTCCGGTGGCCGTAACGGAGATGACGCGCTACTTGAGGGTCTAGAGCTGGGAGGAGCAAATGTAGGGGGAGCGAAAATCGGTCTGTTGGGTGTCGAAGCTGTCGACCCAGAAGCAGACGCCCCGGAATGCGCCGATGAGGGCGAATAGGTGCTCGACCGTCCGAGTCCTGTCGCACCTTCGCTTGTGTTCCCTGAACCTGCACTGTAGGATGACGCGCGATGAACATTGGCACCTAGAGGAGATCCGCTAGCTACAGTACCGAGATTGGGAGATGCACCAATCGCAGGTTGTGTGCCAGCTATCGGATTGGGAGCAATGGTCGTCGCATTGACGGCCGTTGAGGCGGTAGTCACTACAGGTGATGACGGAAAGTCCGTTTCCAGACTGTACGGTGGTGGGCCATCTGTATCATCAATGCCAAAGACACCCCAGCTACCCGTATCCTTCCTAACTGGGGGTTTCGGACCGGATTGTGTCGCTTCAGCGACGATAGGTGCGACATTCGACCCAGAAGCAGGTGTCAGGGATGAATTACTTGGGACCGCTTGACTGCTCGACGAGCCAGAGCCACCCGCCACGATGGAGGCGGTCGAGGCAGAGAGTCCGCTTGCACTCGAATAAGCGGCTTCGAGCGTTTCGTATTTTGGCCTTGTCGCCCAGTAATCGTCGATCTGCTTCTTGGGAAAGTCGGCATGGATCCTCCGCTCGTCTCTCATCACTTCGACCGCAAACCCACAAACTCGTAAATACCAGTCAGGGGATAGATTGTCTTCGCCATCTGCGTCAAGAGCAATGAATGGGAATTGCCTGTTTGGGTCGTCACATTTGGGAAGAGACCGCTTGAGAGGAACGGAAGGTAGTATAGCCGTTCCTTCATCGTATTCGTCAAACATGGCAACGTAGATTGTGCGTGCTCCAAGGTGTTTCACGTTCCAGAGTTGTCTCCATAGGAATTTCCCGCCCAGGCGAGGTGCATCGTTCAGTCCAAGGCGACCCTCGGACAGATTGTGACTCTAGAAATGAGACAATATTGATCGCTTCAAGTCGAGGGCTACTCACCGAGCCCCCAGGCCAAATAGTGGGGAAATAGTCGACCTTTTTAGGCAGATCCTTGAGTTCTTTAAAGTCACCTGCAGTCCGTTCCTCGCAAAAGCGGTCGATAGCTTCGATAGTGTGGTACCTTCCGACTGTCCAGGGGCTGATGGCATCAAACTCGTTTTTAAACACTTCAATGAAGCCAGGGTTGGGATCCATGTCGCCAGAAAGAGTCCTCCATTGTGATGGAACTACAGATTATGAGAAGTAAACACGGATTATGTGCATTCAACGGACCTCCTGCCCACACATATGCGCCTCCAGGAATCGAGGACTTGAAATTCCGTGCAATCGCCGCTGCGCTCTGCGGTGTATGCCGAGCTCCCTCGAAACCTAGCCCCCAAACAGCAACGACTGGTTGACCTTTTTCTCTGACGTAGTACGGTGAATCGAGAATGCGCTTGTCGGAGAGTAGATGATGCCAATCGACGCGAAGTACGTGTTCGATACGATCCGCTGGAACACCTGTCACATCATACCTAAATTTTGTCAGAGATGAAGAAAAGTGGCCGTCAGATATACGTACATGATGGCCCATACCCTATTCTCTTTTTCTGCTGCTGCCCGCACCCGGTCCAATACTTCGTCTCTTAACCTCATAAGGTCGGCGGTGGGGCTATTCACGTTGCCATCGACCTCGCACTGGGTGGCAAACCGTTGCAAGAAGACACCATCAATGGCATGGCGGGCCATCCAGTGGAAATGGCGATTGACAGTGGCTTGATTTCTCGACGAAAAGAGGAGCGCAGTTTGACCAGCTTTAAAGTGTGTTGGAGGGTAGGATAGACCAGGTGCTGGGTAGAGCTCCTCGGGGGCATATTCAGAAACGTCGGGGAAAAGATCAAAGTTGGGACGTCCGCCTTGATTGAGAGGTTTGTCGAACCAATGAAGCCATCCGTGATGGCCTTGATGGACGGGAGGACCATCCCCGGCGCATGTGAACCTGGATAAACAGCGTCACTAGGCGCTCTGAAGTCTATCATAGCCAAATCGTACCATCCTTGATATCCCACGAGCACCTTGTTCTGTATGGTGGATGGATCGGCTCTAAATTTGGCTTTGTATCAGTCTCGCTGTGAGAAAAATTCGGGGATACGAACCTCCTGATCACCTTGTTGGACTCCATCTTGCCAATAATGAATGCCAGCACCACTGGCCGAAGTGGGGGAGACCAAGTTCGAGCAGGCGCTAAGGGCGGCGGTGCCAGCCGTCGGGGACAACTCTGTGGTAGCCATACAGCAGTGGAGAAGACGGGAAGGGCAACGACCTTTTCCAGTAAGGCACCAAAGGTGAGGATGTCAAACCGACGAGCACCAGATATGGATGGATGGCAGCTTAGTCGACTCACACAGGAGGAAATGCCCAACGGCCACCAAATATCGCGCTTATGTTTTAGCACTATGATCGAGTATCAACACCCGAATGACTAAATTTCACTACACGGATAACTGAGATGGATTCAGAAAATGCCGGGGTAAACCATATGGCGTTGATGAAGACTCCATACTTTTGATCAGGAAACATCAAAAGTTTACTCTTGCCCCCGTTTGCTACTAACGATGCACTAATATCCGGCTCAGTACGATTGAAACTCAAATTCAGTTACTAAAGTTTATTACACCATTCTTCACTAGTGACTGTCGGTGCAATTATTCCTAGACGTCACCCAGATGAACTGTTTACCAGCCAGGGCAGAGACCAAGGACGGTGCACCGGGCGTTTGCAGATTCACCTCCACCGGTGGTCGTTGTCGCCGCTGGTGGGGCATCTTGGGGTTCAGCGACGGGTACAGGGGCTGCGATAGCGGCGACAGCAAGAGCGAGGACGACAGGAAAGAAGCGCATGGTGGCTTGGCTGAGTTGGTTTTGGTGTGCTTCAGACGTTTGCTGGTTTTTTCACTCGTAAAAACGATGACAGTGAAGGCTCAAGTCCTAGATAGATGATGAGCAATGAGGCGAGAACATGAGAAGCCCCGAGAGCACATACAGGTGGTAAGAGAGAGCAAAGAGGAAGCACTGAACAAGTTAGAAAGAGAGAGGTATCCCATCTTTTATAGTCAGTATCAACCCACTTGACCAGACGGCTGCAGAGCGCGCCCATCAAGCCCATAGTCCTCATTTGGTTCTCCCTAGTCTCCGCCGGTAATTTCTGGGGGTCTGCACCATCTTTATGAATGGAAATAGTTAGCTTCTTAATATTAGTTATATGCTCTTCATTTAGACACATGGCTACCCACCAGTTCACTCGGGTTGGTTATGCCACCTATCCACAGGCAAAGGATCGAATGATAGAAGCATCATTGAATGCTGATGTATCAATTCCATTGGCTGGTGATGAGGAACAAACTTGTGCAACTGACCCGTTTAGTCTTGGTTGGTGAACAAAGATGCCCCATACTGAGGGAGATAGGACGAGGAAAGGGGACGCTAAGCACACAATATAAAATGAGAATTTTACTGCATTTATGAGCGCGCATCCACTAAACATGGTAGTGCCAGACGGCAAGCCAAACGGGAGGCTCTACTAGAACCTCACACACACCAATGACTGCTTCGAGTCCAAAAGCCGCAATAATCATCTATGTATCAGACATTCGAGCGAGGAAGAGCAGCGGCACCATACCAGCGCTTGAAGAACCGGCGCGACATCAGCGGGGCGCGCCCAACTGGCCGTATTCTGACCACGCGTTTCACTCTATGTAATACTCAGCAACGGTAAGAAGAAGCCGTAGAGTCCGTCATACCTTATTCCCACTTCCACCCAGTGCCTCCTCGCCCATCGGCCCCCACCCGAGTGTAGGCCTAAAGACTGGGTGGTATGGCTTTGAGGACGACTCCTAGTCGTGGCAAGAAACCTATAAGATAAGGACGACGGGACTGAGCAACACTTCGAGCTCCTCTAGATTTGATTTTTGCAATCTCTTCAGATGACTGTCAATCCGGCGCATGTGCTGTCGAACTTTCTCCAAATGGAGATGAATTGTCATTGGGGAACACATGGCCATTGACGGCTTTTGCCCCGACGCAGAGACATCCCTTGCAGAGTACTGCCGAGTGATAGGTCCCGATTCGGGTATTGGAACAGTACAGAATACCACAAAGAAGTGACAGTGCAGTGTCCGAGCCACTGGCAAGGCATATTCCTCACTCTTATTTCTCCAGTGCCTAGTAGGTGGCGGTGGCGGATAGGGGCGTCCAGTTTGTCAGAAAGTGATAGGAAAGACGGTTGAATGAGATTGACCAGCTCCGATTGCATCTCCCTTCGGACCCGAGCAATTACGAGAGTCGTACGATCTGGGGCGGTAGCGCATTGTGGCTGCTATCTTGGACTCTCCCACATCCACCTGTTATTTCTTGCACCTTTGCAGAATATTTTGGAGACGATTTTGGGGTTGATACAGAGGTCGCAAGATGGCTCTCCACGGGTTGGCTGCAGCGTGCTCACTGGCCGTCGTCGGCGGCTGCCAAAGTGATACCAGATTTCCGTTGATGACCAACAAATTGCTTGGTGTGATGGACGAGATGGGCGTTTTCGCTATTATTGTCGGCCTTGGGCGGCGGCGACGTACAATGGGCTATTACCCAAAAGCGTGAAGGTGTCAATGGTCATTAGGAGACAGCTGGACAATCGCCGGCACATGACTTGGCGCTATATAACTTTGACCGAAGTCGCTCCCAGCTCGGGTGACCACGTACCTCTCAGCTGCCATCTGCCCGACCCACCTTCGTCCCGACTGCAACCGCCATCACAGGTCAGTGCGGCCTCGCTGGCCTTGCATAAATCGTCTAAAAGCTCACGGTCGTTTGTAGAACTACTATGCAGCGTATTCGATGGCCCAAGACGCTCTCGCCTTTTTCTGGCTCAGATTCCGACTCAGACGGGCAGGTCGACCGACGTAGCACACGAAATGGACGTAATCTTCACATAGCCATCCCCAACAATGATTCAAACCCGTCCAAAGCAATAGGTGCACCCATTATGGCGGTCTACCTCTTCTGCACTGGTGACCAGGTCGATCTGTCCTCGCTCAAGACGCCACCACTCGGGGCAAAAAAGACATTTACTAGCCCAGCAATGGGTACAGCAACCGTCTCCCCTCGGATCCCATCTTTTCCTCGACGCCGCTCCCAATCAGCGTCCTTTTAGGGGTTCCTTTACTCATGCGCCGGCTACTTGCCAAACCTGCGCCCTCTTCTCCGCATTTCGAGAACCCACTCGCCTCCCAACTTCAAATTGATCCGGCAGAGTCCACCAATCAGTCGCCACGTGGAAGCACACTTGGCACCGTCCTTATTGTTCGCGCAGATAAAGAACCACTGCAAAAGGAACTCGTCGATCGCATCTGTGCTTACCATGCCAAATTGCTCAGTCTCGCTCAACAGCGCGGCCCCGGCGGCATGACCGAGGTAGTCAAAACCATGGCCACCCCAGAGAAATTCCTTGCTTTTTGCATGGAATCTTTCCAGTCTGGAAGCGGAAATATTGCGAATAGCGTCCACGAGATGCTCGGTGGGTCCTGGCTTGATCTCCAGCGGCCCATGGCGTCGGTTTAAAGTTTATAAGTCTCTCCGCCCTTTCACGACCGCTGTCCCGTCGACAGATACGACTCTGTTCTCCTTCCATTGGATCAGTCCTTCCTCATGTCTTTGCTTGTCGCCTCAACGCGACAGTGTATCTGTAATCTTTGGTGTACAATGCTAAGTGCAATCCATCGGTGTGCTCTCGCGTGCTTCTTGTCCCTGTGAATCCTCTATGGCATATCACTATGACTGAGGCTTGAAGTAAGACGCAACTGCCCACAAGGTATTCAAGGAATCTGTCGATTCATCAGTATCTCACCTCAATCGGTCTAAGAGTCACCCACCACTGACGATACCTCCGCTAGAAGGTTGGGAACGAGAGCTACCACCCGGAATCGGGTCTGGGGCTCCTCTCGGCGCCCTCATGCGATTAGATGGAGCCCTCTTGGTCGCATAAGGACGAGGATCATCGTTTATCTCCTCGTCGACGTATGGGTTTGTTCGGGTGGCATTTGTCTTGGGTAGGAAATCCCTCGTTGGCCTTCGAGATGAGGCAACCTGATTGTTCCGCTGAGTCCCCACGCGAGGATTTCGGCCCGATCTCAGCGAACTAGCACGATCAACCTGTGGAGGTGGCTGGTAAGAGTCTTGATCGGCTTGAGGAATTGAACCCCGTCGCTCTGAGCTACCAAGACTGCGTAGAGCAGAAGATTCTGGATGCGTTCATTAAGCGATCAGTTTGGTGGCAGTAAACATTCTCACCCAGCATGAGACGAGACGCAGACGTGATAATGAGCTTTCTCTTCAGAGACGTGCCATAGTTGGACGCTTGTTGCATGATGCATTCCTCCAGAAACTCGGAGTACTCCACTCCTTCTGGTATCGGACTGACCGAAACGACGCGCTGCTTGAATTCAGTCGAGAAGAAGGGCCGTGGTTCTCATTCCGTACCTCCAACGCGTCGCCTTTAAGAGCTTCGCTAAGCTTGGACAATGCATCGTTGCCGCGGATGGTATCTTTCAGCTGCATGCTGATCAGTTTGGGCGAACCGAATTAGAAGAACGCACAGGCACGAATTTTATCCTTATCTGAGGAGCAATTGTATCCAGCTTTGGAAGCTTCGTTCGTATACGTTCGAGCTTTTGGCTTAAAGGCGTGACTGGCGCTCAAGGTAAGCAAACGAAAGGAATTGAGATAGATCATACAAAAGTTATCCAATTCCGTTGATGAGCCTATTGGGTCTACATCTGCAAGAGCTAGGACCAGGAGTGGCTTGAATTTAATGTCAGAAGAGTTGACGATTTCCAGGGCTGTCTCCAACGTTGTGACGTAGTGATCAAGGGCATTGGAAATCGTCTTCTTCAGGGAAATCATATCTACGAGAGTCATGAGTTCGATGGTATCCAGCCCTGTTTGTGACCAACTCGAATTGGTTGATGTCCGGAAGACAGACCAGTTATCCACATGCTATTAAGTGATGAGTTATGATGTGACCAAAGAGAGACCAGAACTACATGGCTAATTCGATCCTGGAGGCCTTGGCTACAAGCGCCCGGTCAGCAACGTACCAGATCGCTAAATTTCTCACGTTGTGTATATAGACAGTGAACCGACTCCAATATTCCACAGGCGGTTGATAAGTTTGGCTACTTCGTAGTCAAGTGACACTGCTCGTTCTTTCTCCATTGTGGGATGGTCCATCTATCCGGTCAGATATAAAACAATAGAAGAACCAATTCCTCACTATAAGCGCAATCTGATAGTCTATGAGCGCTCCGTAAGGTATATTCCGCTCTGAGTCATATTCGTTGTCCTGCTCTGACTCTGGTGGCATGTCTTCCTCTGAGATAGCCTCCCTTGTAGGTAAATAACGTCTTGCAGACCTCGAGAATCTGCCAGATGATGCCTTTGGGAGTGGTTTGGTTACTATTGGCTGGTGTGAGGTCGTGGGTAGGTCGTGGGTTTGCAGAGTCGGTGAGGAGGGCTGCGAGGATCCAGCGTAGAATCCAGGTGGTACTACAGACTCTGAATAGTCCGTCATGGCGGATCTTTGTCCTACAGAATAGGCTCTGGAAGCAGGCCGTTGAAGGTCCAACGTGAGGTCGTATAATTTTTGCTCGAGGTCATGATTTGTCATGGACAAATCTCTCCCGATTCATGTTTCGACTTTTCTAGATCGAGACTGACTGTACTGGGTATACGCACAGTGTTACGCCCGTCCATTTCCTTCACAAGCTCGGCAGCGACAACGGCCAGTTGAGTTTGTACCAGACAGTCTGCCAGAAATGCCGTTCGACGATGTTAATATGTGGCGTTCTTTCGCAAAGATGTAGAATGTGGTCAGCGTCAAACCGCACATGCCCGAAGCATCGACTGCTCAACAATTTTATGGCTCTGGACATAAATTTGATTTCAAACTTTGACAATGACTGTATCTAGCTGACCGGGCGGTCGGGCTTCCCTTGCTCTTTCTGCCTTAGAAATTGCTTTCTGCATCGCTGCATCCGCATGAGACTCCAGATTCTGTCCATTCTCACGCAATCCTCAACGGTGAAACTCGAGGAAGCAATACCCAAAACTTTTGCGAGGCTACAGGAATCAGTTGACTTCAACTCGAAGAAACGCCTACGTACTCTAGTGGTTCCACATCATCTGTTGTACCATAATGCGAGAGCAAAACTGACATGTGATTGAACGGGATCCCCTTGGGGTCAGCCTGCGCGAGAAGAGTTGCATCCCAGAAGAGATAGTTGTACTTTTTTCGCCTCCGCCGGATTTGCTCAAAGTCGAGAGAATTGAAATAATCCGCCAGCTTGACCAAGTCGATGCCGTGGTTAGAAGGCTCTGTCGAACTCCTTGATCGAGCGAGCAGCGATGGAATTCGGAGCTCAGCTGGATAGGGGCTGGCGTTCAGTTCGTCTGGAAGAGTCTGATTCATGGTTATAAAGTATATGGTGAACAAGAACGAGCCCATACCGCGAAGAAAGGTACAATCCGCGACTTGTCCAGGTAACCTGTCCTTGACGGATCGTGAATGACCCAGGCCTGAGCAACCAGCAGCATGAGCCCGAGTCGGATCGATTTGCTTGGAGTACGTTGGTGACTAAGACGGTGAGGAGACGAGCTGACGGAATCGTGGTTTGGGCCTTCGGCTGCAACATGGCTTTCCTTGATCTTCGAAGCACCCTCATCGTCCTTGACCTGATCGACTTGATCTTGCTCTTCGGCCTTGATTGCGAGTATTGCTGGGACGGCCGCAGACGCATTTGATCTCGCATGCGCATCTGTAGGATGTAACTAAGCTGCTGAATTTGCCAGATAAAGAACGTACGAGGACTTGGTGAGATTGGTAGATGATAACTCGGCGCGGGATAGGGTTCAGCCATTCTTATGAAGCACCTTATGAGAGCTTCAGGTAGACGGCTTTTCTCAGAGGGCAAGACAATGGAAATAAATTCCTGGAGGGCGTGATTTATCATTTTTCTCCTGGAGAAAAAGGGGCTATCCCTACCTGGAAATTTGACTGGTTAAACGCATCGCCAAATTGTCGTATACCGCGAGAGACAGGTTCCTCATCTCCAATCTGAATAAAAGTGATTCTGATCTGACTCGACAAAGCCGGTCCTAGCTCCCGATATGCATTCTCAACCACTGTGAGCAAATCTCGTGCTGCGAAGCCATAAATTGCAGTTCCGAGACGATGTTCATACTCACTCGGGAAGTTTCGGATGAGAACGAGGATAATGAGAGGCCTCCAGCTAATGAACTGGGAAGGTGTGGCCATGTTTTGTGCAGCAGCGAGTGCATCCAGGTACAGTTTCAAGACATCATGGAGTCTTTCATGTAATTTCTCCGAACCTATACATTTCCATAAAGGAGTGTTCGCGTCCAATTGAGGATTACGCACTTGTTTGAAGGCTAGCCCGGAAGACATCTAGAACATTCGCTGCCTAGCGACGATAAGGGTCAAATCTTCATGACCAGGCGGCCTTACTTTGCATATAACGGACTTGCTGGGGTAGTTTCTGAACCAGTGTGAGAAGCAATCTTCAGAGTCAGCTCGGGCTTACATCAGGTGCATATCGTATCCATCTGGATTGTATCTGCAGTATGCTTCTGTCAGCTCCATAAGCTGATTGATCAGGATTTGTTGCAGCTCGGCCGCAATCGCGCGTGGGTCGTCAATCTTCATGGCTTCAATTCCAGTTCTCAATCTAGAGACAACGTACTAATACCGAGAATTTGTACCCCCCACGGATCGGAGATTCGCCCAAGTTGATAGTGGGCTCTTGCGTCGTCAGGAGCTCTTGATGGGCCCCGTTTCGATGAGCGTCTACATCTATGTTCCTCGTTCCTATCCACGCAGAGGACCGTTTCCAGAGATTCTGAAACAGCTTTGATGGTGGGGCGTCTGAATCGGACTGAACAAACTGAGACTTGGTCGGAGATGGTGTCGCCGGCGCTGACGTAGGCAAGCCAACAGCAATATCTTGGACAGACCTTCTCCGTGTGGCTATTTCGGTGTTTAGGGAGCCTATCCATGCGGATGATGCCGACCAGATATTCTGAAGAATACCAGAGTTTCGCTGCTCCGAATTGCGACCACTCGGCTCCTGCTTAGCGGGCCCATCCCTCTTTTGGCTCTCTAGTGTGAGTGCGTCTGCATGACAATGCTGCCCGTCTTCCTCGGATGTCCAGGCAACGAGCCCTGGCTGCTCACTAATTCCGTTCTGCTTATGCACTTCGTCACGATCCAAGAGGGGACTCCAAGTCCCATACAACGGCGTCGAAGTTCTGGAATGGGCCGGTCGGAGAGTCGCGAAATGCGTCCCAGGAGAATTGGGCTGCGATGTGCCGGCAAACACGCCCGGAGGCTGCGTCGAGGCCGACTCGTAGGTGACAAACGACGTGCATTCGAAAGAAGTAGAGTCACCCGTCTTGAGGGCGGCTCGCCATGCCTCTTTCGACAACAAGTCGGCAGTATAGAACGGAGATTCCGACGTGGGTGTCGATGTCGCCTCTATAGGGTTCCCCTCTGATATTTGATTGTTATTTTCCATAATTGCCGGTGTTTACGCCGGTTGTAGGGAGGTCAGCGTCTGAGAAGTCGAGCGTCTAACGAAAGGTTTCTATCGCCGGCGATGAGCTAAGAACCAGCATTGTGAAATGGGCAAGTAAGTGCGAACCATTTATGATTAGACGATGCTGAGATGGTTCGAGGGAAACTGCGCGACACCACGCGACACCAATGGATATTGTGTCATATCAATCTGCATGAGCCCCAGACGTAAGCAGGGTCGATGACTAAATATATCTACATCTCCGTCGCTTCGTGTATCAATCTAACCCTCGTCTCCTGTCTGGCAACCCAGAAAGCAGAGCTGGTTCAACATATCCTTCACAATGCTCTAGGTCTCGCTCGACAATGTGATTATCATTTTGGACACAGGTCACCCCTGTGAGCTCCCAAACATCGGGAAATTCACCTTGACTGTGTGGCGTTGTCGATTGAACCTCTAATTCTCCATATCCTATGAAAAACTGCGCGCTGAGAACGTTTAGTCGAGTTCTCCTCTCGACAGGTTGAGTATCAATTATGGGTGACTCTAGACAGATTTCATCGGTCATGAGTCCATTTTGACGGCGAGGTGGAAAAGTAATGTTTGCGCTGACGCGGGTCTCGCCTTCCACAGTTGTTGGGAGTATGATGCTTGTGTAATAAGTCCTGCGTAGATTGAGAACCAGCCTGGATATGACTCTGTGGTGGGGGTTTAGTCCAGCTTTGGTAGAACCGTATGAATTTCATACGTACGTAGAGACCAGAGCCCAGTAGAGGTAAATAAAGATCGAGAACAGGGCACTCGGTAAGAGGAACCAAGAAATCATGTTCCCAAATGCTATCGTAGTGGAAACTACGAAGTAAGAGACACCATCTCTCATGAGGACGAACAGCTAGATCGGTTATTAGACTTCATATCATCAAAACAAGTGCTGGAACAAACCAGGGGAGGTGCCTTCGACTGTGAAGCTTTGACAAAGTTGTAAGATTTGATAACAGTAAGTATTGTGAGGAATAATTCATAAAGAGTAGGCGCAATAGGAGACGCGGCCAAGAGCTTTGGTATCGCAGGAGAGGCACACATCTTTATGTATGGATTATAAACCGTAATGGCTGCAAAGTTGTCAGATCTTGTAGCATAACTCGGAATGAAGAGCTCACCAGCCATTTGCCAGGACGAAACGCAAACAATAACGGTGATGGCGGTCATCGTACAGGCCCAAATTGCCCACACGAGTCTGACTACATGCTTATGTGACTTCCAGAGGGCCACTACCCGCAAGCTTAAAATCAACGTCCAGCTGAGGTGTGCAAAAATGAATCCTATCGATCCGTGGTACTGGCGACAATAGTTATCATCGAAATCATCGTGGAACCCTGCCAAGTCTTTGCATAGTCAACTGAGAGTCCCGTAAAGAGGGAAGAACACCCACCGTGAGTGGCAAGTAGAAAGAACCCGAGGCAAAGGTACCGGTTACATATGTAGAGAAGGTTTGGAAGGGTAAACTTGAACCCTTTCCAGAAGTATTCAATCTGCTCCCCGAGATGAGCGAAAATCGCTGGACTGAAGCCTGTGGCTGACCTCTTGATCCAGAGTGAGAAAAATATTGTAAACGTAGATGGCTGCGGCTGCTGCACTCGTATATCTCGTAGCTTGCAAGCCACTGATGACCTCGACGAGATTCGCCAATAGTGCTACGGTACCATCGTCGCTGCTAGCCATGCAACGAAGGTAGAGGATAGGGAAGGAGCGGAAGGGAGAGAAGAAAGTGAAAGTTTGGCATGCGCGCCTGTGCTTAAGAACTGGGTTGGTTAGAATAGGGCCCTCGCGGACCCGGCGTAGTGGTGTTAATAACTGCCCGCCACCAACTCCGTGAAACATGTTCAGTCGCACTGCCCTGAAAGAACGCCGATTTGGACCTACTAACGCCTTTTGGTGTTTCTGGCTATAACACTTGGACTCCAGTTCCTTAATGCTGAAAATCAGTTTATCACATCGCTTGGTTGTTTCTCGGAAGCACCCGGTCATCTAGAGGGATCTGTCATGGCGAATGCGGCACCTTGCGCCGACAATCTCGGTCTCCTGGGTCGGTGGGTTGAAACTATTTAACCGGTTTAACTGGTCATATCGCACAAGGTCCGGCGAATATGTGGAACCGAGTTATGGAGGCCCGGTCGCAATCCACTTCGTAGTCTCATCTGTGCAGCCCTTGCTTTGGTATTCTCGTACGATCAATCTACAGTGACTGTAGCCGTGGAAGTGTGACCAACAGTTTTCCGAGGTGACCTCGTAATTCTGACACGCCTTTTGACTTCGACTCGTTGCATGGAGTGAGCATATTTGTGGCAGGGAAAGAATCGTGACTATACATGTCGATTATGAAAAGACCGCATATGCACAACATGGGACCCATGGTCGAGATCCTCTGTCTCAAGAGTATGTGCTGTTTCGATGTCGTCCATCCGCTCGCTCGACGATTCGATATAGCTATCGTCCATTCCGAGTTCACCATCACCTAAGATAAATCGTGAACCAATCTGAGCAAAGTAGCCACCCATCTCTTCAGATGTCTCCACTCCTACGAATGTTGAATGCGGTCTCCGTACAGCACCTCGCTTGGTGGTATTGAAGGCGATGTTGGTGCTCATGCGGTTTCCTGTTGTCATTGGTTGAGAGGCGACCACGCGCGTGTCGTAGTATGTCTTGCGAAGGTTGAGAACAAGTCGTGCAATAAATGTTGATAGAAGAGCCCAGTAGAGGTAGAGTAGTAGGTATGTTAGTGCACCAGGAAGTGCGTGCCATGCGATGATATTTGTCGTCGAAATCACTGTTGCTAGCTGGGCAGAGCGTCGGTGACAATGGTTCCTATCAGTTGATCTCGACTCACAACGAAATATATCACACCGTCTCGGGCAAGAACGTGAAGCTACCAGGGGATTAGGAAAGAGCTCTTTCAAGGCCAGGGTTACACACCAATGGTGATGCCGTCGACTTTGTTGCTTTCACCACATGGAATGTCTTGATGAGAGTGAGGATCGTCAAAAATAGTTCATACAAAGTTGGGGGAATTGGTGCCGCTAGCATGATGGACGGGTTATTTTCTGGCGCGCAAATACGGATGTAGACATTGTAAGACATTGTCTCTATAATGCCCCATCAGATTTGAATTCGTGGAATTTAACAATGACCCACCAATCACTGCTCGGTAAGAGTAATAGGTCAAAACACAGATGGCAGTCATCGTGCAGAGCCAGAGGAACCAGATCAGTCGAACCAGGTGCTTGTTTGCCCTCCAGAGTGCAACCACGCGCAGGGTCATTATACTTGTCCAACCAAGATGAGCAAGTGTAAAACCGATGACCTGAATATTCTTCTTGCAATACGCGTCGGAGAACGGGCCGTGAAATCCAGCAAGATCTGTACAAGCAGTGTTAACTCTCAAATGTGTTGAAGCACTCTCATACCATATACGGCGTTGAGGAAGAACCCTAGTATAACGTAGCGATTGGAAATGTAAAGAAGGTTGGGGAATGTGAGTTTGAACTTCGTCCAAAAGTACTCGACCTTGTCTCATCATGAGCGAGAGTACATGAGAACTCAAGAAGGAACATACTTCTTCGTCAAAGGTCAGGACAATATTGTACACGTAGATTGTAGCCGCTGCTGCACTGGTGAAACGACACGATTGTAGATTATCGACGGCAGTAATGAATTGCTTGATCAGGTCGGCGAGGTTCGCCAGGCTTGGTGTCGCAACGGCGGTCATAATCCGAACCGATGGGTCAGATTGTGAACGAGGAAGTGAGGAGGTACTGGGTGAGATTTTTGGTCCTCTCCCTCTCGGTTTTATCCCGCGCCGCACGCCGTGCGCGCCCAACGGTCATAGTGCTTTTTCAATGCTGCGCCTTCCAGCGCCTGGTGGCATCTTCCCAAGGCGAAACAGCCTTGAATACAGGAAATCCTTTTGATAGTTAATAAGGATCCCACGCCTTTATGAGCTGCATTCCGAGCACGGGCTGCATCAGGCAGGGCTCAAGAATTGGCTAACCACTTGGCACCCATTGCGACGAGATATATGCAATTGATTACGTCTACGCTACATGATTTGGGGCCGTTGACCACGCCCCGTTAAGTCTGCCAATGGGATCATGGGTACAGGAGAGGGGGCTTCAATATCGGTCTCCCTTTGCGATGCTGCTCCTTGAAGGCTTTGAACGGCTGAGAAGTGTCTTTGATGCAGGTTGGTCTGAGGCATGCCAGCCGATCGCAAATTCTCTGGATGCAAGTCCACCTCGAACTCGCCCTCGCCCATGATAAACCGTGAGCCTCTCAAAGTGAGATTAATCTTTTCCTCGCTGGATTTATTTCCGACGTCCTGAGTGAGTGTATGACCGTGCATGTTGTCTTGTGCATTTGTGAAGGTAATATTCGCATTCGTGCCGCCTGTGACCATCGTGGTCCTGGTAAATGTTTGAGGTTTACCTTGATATACTTTGCGTAGGTTGAGCGTCAGGTAGGATGTCAAACTAATGATGAGTGAGGGTTGGGCTCCCAGAATAATGCATATTGAGTCAACTCACGTTGACATGATAGCCCACCAAAGATACAGAACCACGTTGGTAAGCTGGGGAGGTAGGAACTGCCAACAAAGGACGTTGCCTATGCTGATGCACGACGCCATCTGGGGAAGATTAAGCAAGAATCCAGGTTAAGGAAGCACGATAGAAAGCTTGGAGTAAGAAGAGATATAGTAGGAGACGTGACGGACGGTGGTAATGTCTACACGAGCGCAGCATACTTACGAGGAAGTAAAGAACACCGTCTCGTGCCATGATGTGAATCTATACCCTTGTCAGTCTTGCGGAACAAACGAATATTGTTAGCTCACTAAAGGCGGCAAATTATGCCTCGAAATTGTCACAAATTGACATGTCTTGATCACGGTCAGAATAGTGAGGAACAATTCATATACCGTTTGTGGAACAGGGCCAAAGACGAGCAGCTTTGGTACTGAGGCTGCTGAACACATCCTAATGTATGAATTATAAGACGTATGGGCTAAATGTGGCCTTTCAATATCTCTCTCGGAAGCCAAACCCTGGCGAGACTAACCTGTGATGCCAAAATATAAGATTATCGTCATGGTTGAGATGCCGGCCATTGCCACCACCCACAAACACCAAACGACGACGACCAACCATCTCGTGGATTTCCACAATGCAACCACTCTGATGGTTTGAATCCCACTGAAAGCCAAGTGTGCAAGGAGGACACCAATCACGCCAACGAACTTGCGACAGTACTCGGTAGAATACTCCCCATGGAGACCGGAAAGGTCTGGCGTCCTTTGTCACACGAGCACATAGACACTGTATGAATGCTCACCATACATGAGAATGAGGAAGAACCAGACGCAGATATAGCGATTTAGAATGTAGAGTATGTTCGGGAGCGTCCACCTGAACGACGACCAGAAGTACTTCACCTGCCGGTATCATCAGCTTTCTAGAGTTGCAGGAGGGCGCCAGGGAAGATACACAAACCTCATCATCGAGCGAGGTGAAGATCCCCCAGATGTAGATGGCAGCAGCGGCTGCGTTGGAGAATCGGCATATCTGCAGACCAGAAATGGCCTTTGCGAGCTGTGCGACCACCTGTGAAACATCTGGCGCATCTTGTGCGCCGTGCGACATGGAAAGGGAAGGATATTAGGTGTGAATGGAGGGCGGGACAAAGGTGGGTTCCGGTTCTATGAGCTCTACGGTTGCTTATAGAGCCCCGGACATCATCAAGTCGGGCCATACAGCCAGCCTAGCGACTGTATGCGAGTAAGACTCCATAACAGGCATAGTCTAGCCAGGGGTGATTCATTTCATGTACCGCGCCGCCTCGGGTAAGCTTAAAACTGAATACCCCGCAATGACCCCTTACCGCCCTTTCTGGATATTTGCTGGCAAGCAACAGGTGTGCAGTCAGACGCTCAGAAGCAAGCCACCAACCCCATCAAAACTCTGATACACCCAGAGTGAATTGAGACACGAGACCAATAATGGCGTTTGATGGAAGAGGGTCCAGACTTGCTTGCCAATTGGCTTCCACACAATCGACGCGCGCGTCCGTCGGGTCGGGTTAGTGTCGTTTATTCGGTGCGTCCTGAAAGCCCGGTCATAAAGATGATACAATAGGATCCGTTCTGAGCGACGACGAGACTTCCAAAGCCACCTTGTGTGAGAATGTCGTGATGGTAGCCAAACCTTGCACGCTAAATGTCGATTGGCCTCTTGAACGCCATGCACATTCCCCGACGAAATAGGGCACCGGTCCACCGCAACTTTCCATTGATGAATCGCATTGCACCCGTACTTGCTTCTGGGAACCTCGTTGTCGGCTTAGCATGCACTTATGGTTCCTCGGCGCCCCACCTTGTCCTCTCAAGAGCTTCGTCATTACAAACATGGTCACAGATTAAAAGGACGCCGAGGTTGCCATCAATCGGTCCCGAAATGAGATTGTGCCGACCGGGGACTTCAGCGAGTGACATTCATCAGCCTGATGGAGAGACTGTTGTCCCTGCTTACGACACTCCTCGGGTCCGTGTACAATACAACATCCAGAAATTGTCATTCAAAGAAGCCGAGTGTATACAGGATAGCTGATGAGCGGTTGACTAGCTTGGGGATTGTCGACATCAGTCAGAGTTCTGCCAATCTCGTCAACCAGGTTGTGGGTCATGGAATGAGCACAACTCACCGTAGAGATAGCCATATCAACCACACTCTTAAATACGACGAAGAGATGGCTAGCATCATGCGAGTCCATGGCCTCGCATTCATCACACAGATCCTTCGCACAATACGCGCAGTGATACCATTCACCAGATATTCGCTGGATACAGCGGTCGCACAATGCAACGCGATGAACAATGGTTTGTAGATATGCTGCATGACGTAAATCAGTAAGACTTGTAGTCAATGGTGATATCCACCAACCTCGGGGGTCGCTCATCGCTTCTGGAGGGAGCACGTCCAAACTCTCTCCAGCCGCGAGAATGTACACAGGGGGCAAGAGAGCGTCGTCCTCCTGAATTTTTCGATCGACGGGTCGAGGTATTTTGAAAAAGCAGTGCATGGGATCGTGGAGTTGATAGCTTCGTGCCTCGCAGTTCTGACACTGTGACCCGTGTAGACCGTTAGCGTGACATTGTCAAGCGAGCAGAAAGTCGTACCAAGCTATATCCCTCCCCATCTGGGGATGGGCAGCAGGCACATTGATACCGTACGCCCATAATGTTGTTCCTGCACCCCTTACAATTGATGCCGTGGTCCATCTTTTGCATCCCTCCATGAGGACCGTCGGTTGCTGCTGCGCCATTAAGGCCAATCACAGTATCAGCATAGGGATCGCCAGAGGGGCTGCCTCCAGATCCAATACTTCCGACACTATCCCCTTGTACACCACGGACCGACTGTAGATTCGGACCATCACGTCCCGTCCAGAGTAAAAGTGCTCGACGGCTCGCCTGATCCACCTCACTTGAGGTCAGGGGAAAAGGTACCTGGAAGAATTAGGGAGCGTTCAATATCGGTGACGCAACAAACCTTGATCATGATATGCGACGAGTCGTGCCCACCGTCTGGAGACGTCAAGTTACCAGGCAACCCAGCAGATTCGCAATTGGAGCAAATGTCCACGCTCGGACAGATGGCACAGTGGAATCTTGCACCAACTATCTCCATCAGGCAACTGTGATTCTCGTCAACCAGCAGCAGCAGGGTCTAGTAGCATCACTTACTGTGAACACGTGAGTCCATCGTGAAGAAGAGCTTAAATGGATTAGAAATATCCTTCCCAAAGAAAACGAATCTTACAGCGCTCTCCTGATTCCTCCACAGGCTCCGATGCCTTTTTCTTCATCTCGGGGAGTACTACAAACGCGTGGATAGGGTGAATTTCGTGAATTTGACTGTAGCAACCGCGACAGACAACCATGTTCAGGCAAGTCGCGCATTTGTATCGTTCCGAGGTCAAGCCAGACCCACATGTCGTACATTTTGAGATTTCATCGTGCTCTGAGATACCGGTGAGTAAATACGCGATTTTGCAAAAGTCTACTGACCGACGTCTATCCAGCCACCTGGCGCCCAGACTTTCTCCTTGAATGCATGTCGTAGTTGGCCCTTCTTCCACGGGCTACTCCTCTTCCATGACCTGCCTCCAGCCGAATCTAAACTCGAGGTGCTGCCAGCTCTATGAGCCAGTAGCCCTGCAGGCATGATGCCACCAGGGCTCGACAGCCCACTGCTGCCATTGCTCCCGATAGAGCTCGGGCCAGGACCACCAAAAGGTCCAGTAAAAGTAGGGGTGGGCCATATGCTGTGCTCTCCGACGCATGTTCAATACCAGCGGTCTCCATGCAATCGGGGCATAGCTCAAACCCTTCATGCGGAGTCGTTACTGATTCGGATTTTTGTGAGCCAGAGTCTTGGCGAGGTGAACGTGGTGGAAGATAGGGTGATAGAGGTTGTAACGGTGTCCACGGTTGTTGCATGTTGGAGACGAAAGGCACTGGTGGCGGCGGTGATGGCTGAGATTGGAATTCCGTAGACGAGAACGAGGACGCAGGACTATGTCGGGGTGGTGGATACGTGTGAGCCATTGGAGAGGGTGGTGGGATGTCGGGCAGCGGCTTGACATGCAAACTGGTGGTCGATGTGTTGATAGAGGCAGGGTATCTCCCTGGGGGGCCGATGCTCTCCACCAGCGACCAGATACTCGAACCGTTGGGCGAGTGTGATGGAGGAAAATGAGTCATAGCTTGAGGGGATCGGTCCTGCGGCCCAGCAAGCTGCGCGGCCGCAGTGGGATTCGGGAGCAGCTGCGTACTGCGTCCGAAACTATGAGATCGATTATGTACGTGACTATGCTGCGGTGAAGCAAAGGGGTCAGATGTGTGTAAAGACATGACATCTGTAAACGGAGAATGCGACCCGCTACTCGAAGACGCAGTGGATGGTGCAGCGAGCGTCGGTCGTGCCGGAAGCGGCGGAGGGCTAGTACCGTCGACTCGACCTTTTCCTTTGCTCGTAGGGTCGGGATCAGTAGCAGAGGTAACGCTTCGAGGAGGCCTTGGTCCGCATGTCGCGCATACGTAGCGGAAGGCTTCCAAAACTGTGTTGCAGGAGGAGCACTCTGTCAACTCTGCTGGATCGGGGCCCACGAGCGTGTCTTGAGACTGCGAGGGTGGCAAATAACGAAGGAATTCGTCAGAAGGTGGTTCAGGTATCTGTTCCAGCACTCCTAACGAGTCACCTTCTTCTTCGCTCACACTATTCATGCGCTTCGGTTCGGCGGATATCCTCTTTGTAGGATCGTGAGGTGCTGAACGGTTCGTAGAGGTGGTGGGCTTTCGAGACAGCGCAGAGCTCTCTCTGTCGTCCACTGAATGGGAAATCATAGAACCCGTATAGGTATAATAATAGTTGCCTTTGTCCCCTTGCTCAAGCTCGAGCTCGAGTGCTCCAGGGCCTTCGTCAAATGCACTTGAGAGATGTATAGATGGTTCGATAGCTTGTTGGTGATCGCCTGGGTGAGTCGAAGAGAGGGAAATGCTGGCTTGATCGTCCAATCCATTGACAACGGATTCGGATTTGGTCGAAGGAGGCGTTGGCACAACCCCAAGAACTGACTGCATCATATTGACGCTCTGATCCTTTAGCCACTGTGCCATCCCACCCCCACTCGCTTTAATGGGCGTCTTTCCACCTGCAGCAACAGCCATCGAATCGACGCCAGCTCCTGCGATGCCTACTGCACTTTCCGCAGCTTTAAGACGCGTAAAGACGTCCTGAGTGTCCAGAGTCGGAGCCTTGCCTGCTGGAGATGAACCCGAGGCGACCATCTGATCCGGCGGTATCAGTGTCTGCTGAGATGCGGCCTTGGAAGGGTGAAGTAGGGAGAATGATTCAGTGTTTGTTGATCCCGACATTGATCTCCCATTATTAATGCCATTTGATCTGGAGCTGAGCGATGGAGCTGCAATGGTCGGTCTCGACGCGATGGTAGCCACGTCCTCTTCTATCTGTCCCAACTCGCGTCCGTAGCCTCGTAGATCCTGACCATTACTTCCGGAAGATAAAGATAGAACGTCATCTGCGCGACGACGATCCCTATACTCTTCCAAGCTGGATAAGCTTGCCGTGTCGGAGAGGCTGGGGCCGTCATAATCGACCTGCACATCGACACGTAATGTAATCTTTCTACTAGAGGCTCCACTGCTACTACTGCGTCCGGAATACGTAGAGGCGCCAGACGAGGCTGGTCCAAGGTCGTCTCCGAGGTGAAAGTATTGGATAGCTTCGGTAAGGTCATCTTCGCATGTAATATCTGTCACTTCTCCGTCGTCATCTTTGTATGAGATGAGGAAAGAGGAGGCATAGAGCGAGAAACACTGTTCAACCTGTGGAACAACGCGTACAGATCACCAATAAGTGTGCCGTTCATAGTCATACGATATTCGGCGTCAGGGAGAATGGCCCAAAGGCTCTTGTCAGCAAGTTGCCGGCGCGCGCAGCAGGGCAGAAACTCACCCTAGTCTTGAGTAGGTCAAACGAACAGTTTTGCGCAGAAGCAAACGTAATTCTCCTCATAGATCGATCAAATGTGCATTTGACGATCAGCGGCTTATTAGGCCGTGCGTCGGCGGATACCATTCCGTACGACGAGGCCAACGAGGAGCCGCTGTAGTCTGAAAACGCCATGATTCTGCTCTGAGTCTAATTTATGGCCTATAAGCGCATTATCTCGCCCCTCTTGCGCAAATCGCGGCAGAGTATGGATCCAAGAGTGGCTGCTGCGGTGGAGATTCAATTCAATTTGAGGCCCGACACGAGTACACCAGAATAAACTTGTTTCAAGAGGGGTGACATATGGCTACAATAGTGATGATACACAAACAAGATAAACGTAACTATTCCCTGGTGGGAGGCAAAGATAAGGCTCTGGACGGTCCTGCAAAAGCATTGAGCATACTCTTTTACGCTACCCCGGTAATGACATACCAGCACATTCGCAAGAACGATTCCTTCGTTGTACGCCTCGTGCCCGTTCAAACCTCTCTGGATCCGTGTTACCGCGTACGGACGAGGTTGAACGGCCCGAACCGCGTGCAGGACGAGATAGAGAGCGGCTCTGGAAACGAAGATACTGAGGTTGTTGGTACGCGCCAAACTTGATCGGAGATGGGGGACCCTGCAACTCTGTGTGAGGTGCGTCATGCGCTTCCAAGCGACAGCGTTTGCAGATTGCACGTGTGCATTTTGGGCACAAGACTGTCGCAAGTTCTTCATCTTCGTCCTCTTCTACAGCGCCTACAAAGACTCCACAGCCAATGTACGGACAGTAGAGCCGTTCAGCTGGATCGACCATCATCTCGACCTCCTTTTCTTTATAGAGTGCCTTTAGCTGGGTAGAAATGAGATGAAGGAATCGGCGTGCTGAGATGGGTTGGTTGCAGCAAGTGGGGAGATGGGCATCCCGCAATGAAACTGTGAGCACTCGTTCGAAGCATTCGACCTCGTACAGATGACCACAATCCGCCTTGATCACTCGCACATTGATGGGCGAGATGGCGTGCTGACAGCTAAAGCATTGAGAACTGCAAAGGGTTGGTGAGCTGGTTGGGAGGTAGTGAGTTTTTATGACATACGCTGCATTCACTTCTTCCGGAATAGGGTGCAATGCGGATGGACTGGTGAGAGCGCTGGGTTAGGAGAGGACGCAAGACCTCGATTCACGCCGCAACGGGCTACGCACGCTTCAGCAATGTCCACTACATTCGTCAAACCCTGCGTTCCAACGGCTGCGGATGGCATCGTGGGCAGGACTGGGCATGCGATTGGCATGCGGAAATACGAAGTTGGTGGCATGCCTTCACTTCCCGTGATGTGTGTGGTGTTGGGAGCGTCGGAGAGAAAGACACTTCCGTCATCGGTGGACCCATCGTCGTCAAAGTTGGAAATATCAGCGCCGGTGTTTACAGGCGGAAGGAGGAGGGGATCTGGGAGTGCCTTGACGAGACGCTGTTGAAGACTGTCTGTTTGGGATTCAAAGTGGATGATGGGCGACGTCGCACTGGTCGGACTGAGGATGATACTGATGCCCGGATGCTCGCTCGTCTCTGCATATCCTGGCAATGGGTTGATGGAGAGTGGGAGTGCTTGAAAGGCCATCACAAGGTGGTGGTTTAGTGTCGTAGACGGCTCCAAGAGGTGACGGCTGTTTGCAAACTCCACCAAACGTGGGCTGGGCGGCTTATATTCGTTAGGAACAAAGCAGAGGGTACGTTCGGTTAAATAGAGGGCGTGACTTGTCGCGTGAATAGTTCGTTGGAAACCGTGTTCTATGGCACCCTAGGTCATGGGATGTCCGTGGGCCTCGGCCGTTGAATGCCATCAAATTATGAGAAATAAGCGTAGCCTGTGGCTTTGGTTCCGCTCCTATCTCGCTTGCACATCCAGGGCGTTTCGACAACATTTCCGATGCCTAGTAGGTACAGCGTTACCATTTGAGATTACTCACGGGCTATAGAAGAGGGCTCGTTAGCAATCGATTTCTGCGCCGGAAATCCGCATTCTTCTATGGCTTGGACGGCTCTGGAGCGGGCTGGCTGCGACGCCTGAGCGCCCGGCGGCGTTCCCGCTCCTCGTTTGCCATTTTCCGCTCGAGTTCAAACTCTTCTTTGGCTGCTCTCATCGAATAGCGAACGTAGACGGCTACGACGCCGCTCATGACAATGGCCGCGAGTGGTGTTCGCCACTTGCGAGCAGACAAATTGTAAGAGCCCATTCCGAATAGATTTAGATGTTTTTGGTGGTCGAGTAGGGCCTTTTGGGTAAACGAGTCCAACGAGGCGGAGTTTGAAGAAACTTGGCCGTCGCGTCTACAGCAGCAACCTCGTACTCGTACAAAATTTTAGCATGGCAAAGCGCGCAAATCCAGGAGCTGCACCATCATATGCTCCTCTTCCATCTGTCGACGCTAGGGCTCGCAATGAGTCGGGTTTTCAAAAGTACGTTGGCCAGTCGACGCGTCTATACATCAGCCATTCCTTTACACATCTCAGTCTGATGCTTATTGAACGTGTTTTACGTCCTTAGATTCATGCGCGAGCAAGTGTGGGCGGCCGACAAAATTGGCGGGAACATTAGTATCCTGATTGGAGTTAGCTTTTTCACTGCTAGCATCATTGCGACACGTCAATGGGGTTCATTGCTGCTCGTTCCTTCAAACTAGCCTCCTTTTTGTCTTGCTGTTGCTCCTCGCTGGTGCGTCTCTACTCTCGATTTTGACAAATTGTCTGACGAGATTGCAGTGATTTTATGTTATTCTACGTTATAACAAACACTCTTCATCCTGCCTCGTTGATCCGTCTCCTGAACCTGAGAGCACACCAAGGGTTCCACCGGCAAATTCATCCGGACGGCACGCTGTGATGCTCCCTGCTGATTCGTTGCGCGCATTCTCGACCATAAATAGCGAAGTCGGGTATTCGTCCTCGCCTCAGTGGCGAGGCAAATGGTACCCCAAATGCTAATTCGAGAAATGCCAGATGGTCCTGATTCTCGACTCCACGCGTCTCCTGACATGCAATTTCACAATGGTGTGTTGTAAAGGACCTTGGCGATCCCAACCTTGGACCCGGCCTTTGCTCTGTTCCCCACTGGGACGCTACGCTTCTGCGCTCGCCTCTGCGTGCTGAGCTAATAGTCTCGTTTGAATTTCTCTTCTACGTGTGAGCAGCCACCGGCGCCTGAGAGCTTTGGCGGCGTAAACAGAGCTTTTCGACCTAACTTGAACCTCGACCTTGATGGGCATTCCGCGCACACTGAGCCTGCACGAGTCAGCGCTCTCGCCAGCAGAATACTCGTCATATGTCTCGCTCTTTCATGACCTCGTAGAACCTCCAGACGCGACCGTCGGTGTTCGCGAGGCAAAGGCGTTTCTCAGAGGCCGACTGAACACAATCGATGTCGTCCAAATCGACAAGGTTTGTATCTCAACGCGTAAATACAATCGTGGAGCTGATTATTGCTCGTTTTCCAGATCCTCCGCTTCTTCTGCCCCGCACTCGCGGCTGGTGACCAGCTTTCAGAAGGCCAATTCTACGCTGCAATGCGTCTTATTTCACACGTAAATGCTGGTCGCACAGATATAGAACCTGCGCTCGTCTTTGTTCAACGTGAGTCGCCATCTGACCTTCGAGGCCACCCGCTACAAACGGCGGCTGGGTGCTCCGGCCGTGATGACTGCTCGCGAGTCACGAAGCCCCTCTGACTTGGGTTCACTGCTACTGGTCATTCAACTGTTGGAGCCTTGGGGGTTCCTCGACGGCCAATAATTGCCGATACGGCACCCAAAACGGCCCCAGGCCAAGGCTGCTGCGCGGACACGTTTCCTCAGTGTCACCGCCAGCCAAAGGCTCGTTGTTCGCAACAAACCTCATTCTGGATCGTATTCGGATCCATCCGATACCACGATTCTAAAACGGGGCGGATGATGGCATCTATATTCTACTTGGCACCTGCCGCGGCTGTCTACCCTTGTGGGGCTAACTCTTGTACACGAATACTGACAATATTGTTCGTTTACAGCTCTGGAATCTTCGATTCCTCTCTCGGGTAGCAGCGTTCAAGCCTCTTCACCACCGAGACAAGATACGTCGACCCCGACGACCAACGCCACTTACAACTCGAACAATCCTTTTGTTGCTCGGGGTCGTTCTACTACCACGACGAGTAATCCAGCTGGAACGACAACGACCAGTGGACGTCCCTTTTCCAATTCCATCTCCAATTCTGCTTCTGCACTCTCCTCCGATGAAGGCTCCGTTCCAGACTTTGCACATGTACACTCTCGCGCTTCAAGTTCCCCTGCTCCGTCTGTACCAAATCCGTTCTTTGCCCGAGCCAACTCAATTCCACAAAGCATGATGGTCGCCCCCGCTCTTCCCCCCGCCCCGACACAGGCACCTTCTTCTGTATCATCTTCAAAACCTGTAGGAGTTCCCAATGCTCCTCCAGCGCTGCCACCTAGAAAGCCAACCTTTCTCCCTCCACCCCGCCATGCCAGTCAGCAACAAGTTCCTCAAGCATCAGTCCCTCCACCACTTCCCTCCAAGTCTCCTGGTAGCGTAGGCTCCAACTCGACCCTCCCATACAAGGAGAGAGAGCCGCCACTGAAGCCGCCAAAACCACCGATGCACATTACCGCATCGACGCGTCCCCCGACCCAGGCGACGTCACCCCTCATCGAGCGAGGCCTTGCAGCGGCCAAGAGTGCGCAGAGAAGTGCAGAGAGAAGCGTCGAAAAGCTTCGTACGTGGGAGATTATCAAGTCTAGTAGCTCGCCCAGCTCTGTGCCTATCTTCGACGGCAGTCGGCCCGAAGAACGGGAGAGGGCGTCCTCTGTGTCGAGTGCAGAGAGAAATGGGACCGTCCGGATACATAGTACTACACGGCATACGAGGAGCGTCTCCCGAGCTGGTGAGCCTGTAGAAGCCATGTCCCCTGGCGGAGATCCATTCGACACACCGACGCGCGACGACCCTATCACATCACCAGTCTCGGACGGTGCTTTCATTGTGAGCACACCGAATCCTGCTACCCGCGTCGCCGCTCCAAATCTCTCCACAATGGAACGTCGTCTTCATCCCCACCGATCCCGCCACCCCGTCGCAAGCGGCCAGAATCTGTACAGATTGGATCGACGACGCCTGGTTCGGATACTGCCGCTCAACCATCTTGGATGCCGGCCGAGGGGTTTGGTAGCGTTCGTCGACGAGCCGCTGCCTACGAGGAAGGGCAGGATGGTCCCTTTAGAGATAGCAGCAGTGGCTCTGTACGACTTGCTAAACGGAACTCGAGTTTGGGTCATGGGCTCGGACAAGCGCCTTCGGACGCATCCACCACGAGCTCGATTGCTGGTGGTGCGAGTACCATGGCATCACAGGGCATCGCATCGTTGCAGCAACATTTCCACAATCTCGGTGTCAAGGCACGTCCAGGGCTCGAAAGTGCACGTGCCAAAGTGGAAGGCAAGTTTATCCACGGAGGATACAGCAAGTGGGGCGCAGAGTCGCTCAATTCATCTCCCGAGAAGCATGCGGGCGGTGTAGGCACGCTACGACGAAATTTTGGGACGCGCAAGCCTGGTGCGAGTGATGAAGGGAGCGACGAGTTTGAGGATGCAGACGACTTGCTCAGCACCGATGACGATGTACATCGGAATGGATGGAAGCCGCTCAAAGGATGACATGGCTTATGACCGACAACACTATCGTATTCTTCAACTACAAGTCTACTCTTTTTTTGCTACTGGGTAGGCGAGAGGGGCGTCAGCTTACTCTCTCCCTTGATTTGGCCCGTGTAGAATGACGGGATGGTAAGAGGTGCTATGTTATGCTCGTGGCATGATTCACTTCCCCTCGATGCTCTCAACTTCGTTTGATAGAAATGGCTCGTCTTCCAGGTTGCTGCTGCTCGCAATGCTCATCTCGCACCGTGTAGCTGTACAAGTACATACACAACCCACCCATGTATCGCATGTTACGAATTTACGGGTTTTGATTTTCACACTATATGTATTGCAGAGATAGTCGAATGATTCATAAGGGATATAAGACCGAAATTTATCGCCGCTTTTCGGATATGGACAATATCGAAGTTATGCCGGCACCCGTCCGCCACTCTGAGACACAAAAGCCTCCGAGACCACCGATCGTCCTGGTGCGCTCCTGCTTGGACCCAGCCGCGACTCTCGGGTTTCGATTTTTCGTCTTTAGCATGAGCACAAACTCGACAGAGATGGGCGGGGCGGGGTCGATCCCGGGCTTGCCTGTACACGCAACGCTGTATGGGTATGTGCCGACGAAATGGGTGTGCGCGCTCATGATAGCGCTCTTTGGGCTCTCGATGCTTCTCCATATTGGCCAGGCCGTAAAAGTGAGTCCTTTAATACGACTTTCTGCTTTGCTGATCTTGGTAGTTCCGCATATGGTGGCTATTCCCTACTATCATCCTGGGAACGCTCTCCGAGGTCATAGGGTGGGGTGGGCGTCTGTGGTCCTCGTCAGAACCCCGTATGCTCAACCCTTACTTGATGCAGTATGTGCTTCTGGTTCGTACTTGGCAGATGCGCTGACTCGTCTAGGATCACCACCACAATCTTGGGCCCTTCGTTCATGGTAAATACTTTCTATACCAAGTCAGCTTCCTCATTGAAATGCACGTCAATAGACTGCGGCCAATTTTACTATTCTTGGGATCATCATTCGCCTTCTCGGCCCACAGTATAGTTGGCTGAGTCCCCGAATGTGTGAGTCATGCCCGACGCCGAGGCTGACGGGACCATACTCAACCATCCCTAGATCTCATCATCTTCTTGACGTTTGATCTCATTGCACTCGTCGGCCAGGCTGTAGGTGGCGCAAAAGCCTCGCTGGCTGCAGAAACAGGCCAGGATCCCACTCCAGGAGGTCAGTCTATGCCTTGCCATTGTCACCCACCCCAAACTCATCATATTCAACAGGGAACATCATGTGCTACTTTATCATCGTCCAAATGGCGGCCATTTCGTTGTACACGATTTGCGCATCAGAATTCCTCCTCCGTTACCACTTTAATAAGCCCGTCCGACGTGTCAAACCCTTTATCGAAACGCCAAGCGAGCAGGATGAGACTGCGTCTGACGGTGTGGGGTCACGCACGATGGACAGGGGGATCATCTTGCAATTGGTTGGGATGGGCATTTCGACAGTCTTCATCCTCATTCGAAGCGTCTACCGAACCATCGAGCTATTGGTCAGTCGCATTCTGTTCCCAAGTAGTTTGGCTGACTGGTCCTAGGACGGATGGACTGGACGCATCATCACGACCCAGCTGTACTTTGTATGTCACCCCAACTCTTTGTGGATTATTAAACTGACTGGTGCTAGAATGTACTGGACGGTGCCTGCATCGTTATTGCCGTCTACGCAATCAACATCTTTCACCCTGGTTGGCTATTGTCCGATCACGCGCGGACGATGGGAAGAAAGCCAAAGCCTACCGTCTTTGAAGGAGATGCAGAAAAGACGCAAGACACATAGATTCTTTGCTAGATTTTGTTTTTATTTGGTCCATTGCTTACATTACTCTGGGGTGCATGTCCTGAATGCTGGCTAAGGGATACAAAGGACGAGGGAAAAGGAGACAAAAGATGCAAGAGTATGCAGCAAACTGAGAAAGAGAACAGAGCGAAAAAGGTTGCACGACAAATGATGAAAATGATCCAAGACGAATAGAAAAAAAAAGGGGGATGCGTTACCGCTTACTAGCACTGCTCGCACCCCGTGCAAGAGGTGCCGCATTGGGTAAAGGTGTCCGTCGCGTTCCAAGGTGCTCCCCATTGCCTCCTCCAACGGCATCCTGTCCAGCCGAGCCAGACGACGAATGCGATTGATGATGAAATGTCAAGCTTCGCTCATGTCGAAGCTTTTCCTCGCCCGATTTGGTCCCAAACGAGCGCGAGATCCAGCTTGCACTGCTCCGTAACGAGCCCAAACTGGCCTTTTTCAGACTCGATTTTCGACTGCTACCCCCATTGCTCCCACCACCAGCGCCGCTGCTCATCGCCGCTCGTCCAGAGCTCACAGTCGTAATCGTCGTCCCCATGCCCGCAAATGCGGGGAACATGGCTGGGTTGCCCAACCCACCTCCAAGTCCCGGTAAAGCCACATCGGGGCCGATTGCAAAGAGCTCATCTGGGGAGATGCCGTCGGATGGGTATTTGTAGGGTAGTTGTCGTGGTGGATCAGGCGCTGCCCACGAGCCATCGAGATTGTCGACAGTGGCCGACAAGGGTGCAGAGATGCTCGCCGCTGGCACCGAAGCGTTTGGTCTCGAAGAAAAGACGGTGGCAGATTTCGCTCGCGATAAGTTTCCACTCCCACGAGGGCTGGTACTGTTTCCTGTGACGATGGGTGGGAGACGTGGTCGTTTGGGGCCAACATTGGTATCGCTGCCTTCACCGAGTCGATAATCGTCGTGGGAGTGGAAAGACGAGTTGATAGAAGAGTTTGACGAAAAGCTCGTCCAGGACGCATAGGCATTGGAAGAGTGCGGGATAATGAGACCTTTGCCTGCGATCCCATCCACGACGACACGTTTGGCCGCTCTCAGCGAGCTCTTTCGAGCGCGCGTAGACTGTCCACTATGCCTCGGCGACTTGTATTTCTCCTCTCCATCGCTATACGACGCCTTTGCCGCAACATTCACGTGCTCATCCGCCGAAGCAAGCGCCAACGACGATCCTTCTTCCTTGAGCGCCGCAAGCGAGAGACCGACACGAGGAGTCGCATCCGACGTAGCAGAAACGGAATGAATCGTCGACAATGGTTTCGGCGGCATATCCATCTCCAACTCACGTCGCCAACCTTCCCATTCTGTATCACTCACAAGTGAGGCACAATCGTCGTCGTCGTCCCCCTCATACCCACCACCATCGTTGGAAGCCGATAGGCCCGGAGGTGGCATATAGAGTCCCGTAACTTCATTGTATGCGGCATTCCACGCTGGAGACGCGAGAAAGCCCGAGCGACCGGATGCAATCGCCTTTTTGAGGACACGGGCACGCCATTCAGGAAAAGGTGCGCCGTGTGTCTGTTTTCGTTCCGGATCTGGATCAGGTACCGGGATCAAATCTTGAACTGGCTCAAACGGGAGGGTCCGTCGTTGTTTGGTGATGAGGGGATATCGCCCCGCAGAACGGTGAATGATTCTGCACAAGTGTTCTCGGGCTGAACAGGCATTGATCGAAAGCGAACAAGAGGTTGTCAGTACAATGTGTTCCTCTGGTGATAGAAGAGAACTCACCCTTTTCGTTCGGGAGTCGTAGGACGAGCGAAGCGGTACCGGCGCCCTCGAGCGTACTCGTACCGAATCCATACCCCTGATTATATGGATCCGTGGAATCTATCCGTCGGGTTGAAGCTGTACCGAGAGAGGCCAACGATTCCGCTAGATAGGATGACCCAGGATTTAGTTTAGCCGCACGCTTTAGCCGGGCGGCATGCAAGGCAGCGGCAGCAGCAGGGTTGAGGGACGCATAGACGCTTCCTATTGGGATGGAGAAGCGGATGTGGAGTGTGGGTTGTTCGAGGACTTGGTCTGGGACTTTGCTCTTGGCTGGTTTGGCCTTTTCGGGAGCGCGTGTAGAGACGGATTGGAGGTTGGAGGACGCAGCGAGCGCTGCATAGGCAGTTTGGGTGGACGACGCGGGTTCCTCTGCGGGTGGTCGGGGGACTTGTGGAAAGGATTAGCTTATGAAAGAGGATCTAACTTTTCGCTCACTTTGGACTTCAATAGCCCTCCGTAAATCCCAACTCTGCTCTGGAAACGTATCGTGGACGGGGTCTCGCCAAATGTTCAAGTCGTGGCCCTCGACAATCATCTTTCGAACTTTCCACTTTTCCGACTCTTGCTCCTTTCTCTCTCGTTTCCGTCTTCGTTCTTCTTGTTTACGCGCCTGTTCAAGCAAGAGCCGCCTTTTTTCTTCCTCGCGCCGCTGTTCCAAGTTTTTTTGCTTGGTCACGGCAGAGAGACCGGTGCCCCACTCTCCGGCCTTGTCCTTGTCGTCGATGCCGACTGCAGCCATGGCCCTTAGAATCTCTGAACGGGCACGTTCTTCGCGTTGTAATTGCCGAAGACGTTTGATGAATTCGATACCGTGCTTCTCTGCACCCCCACGCACGCGCACCATTGTATCCGTCTCAAAATAGGGTTCGAGATAGGTTGCGCGCGTGAGTCGGATGCAATGCGAGGCCGATTGAATCTCTAGTAGTTCAAACGGCTTGAGCCGGTACGCGCTGATCGGATCGTTGTCATCCAAGACATTTCCCTATAGATGTTGAGAACAGATGACACGGAAAACTCAAGAAAAGAACCGACGTTTGAAAAGCTGACGAGCCGATAGTTTTTGGCAGCCTTGTGTACTTTACGGCGGACCGAGGTTTCGATTCGCTCGTAAAGTCTTTCCATGGCCTCTTCTCTCCTGAGATCGCCTAGCTCGCTTTCTGAGCTGTACAGAGTGGGTGGACGGCCGCCTCCAGTGGATTGGGAACGAGTGCGGGAGGTGGACGACGTTGGCGAGTATCCGTGAGAGGCATGCAAGTCTTCAGAAGACAGACTCTTTGTCAAGCGTGGAGTGCCCACGACGACGGGCGGCGGACCATCGGGTGCGTCCGGAAGAGTGGTCTGGACGAGTGAAGGCTCAGAGGGATTATCGAGAGCATAGTTGGAGTGGTGAAAGGGAGGATGAGAATCGCCCATGATGCTGGCTGCAAAGACGACAGACGAATAATTTGAGCTTGAAATCGAGGTAATGCCCACGCCATCGCCTGGTTCTCTCGGGATGGAAGGTACAGGAGGTTTCGAAGTGCGTGGGAAGGATAGCTGGTATCTGCGACCTCCCCAGAGCTTTGTGAGCATATGGTGCTTGACCTGGGAGACTGTCCAGGTGCGATCGACTCGCGTTGTCAGCCACTGGTCAGTGGGGACTAGAGCCGTGAGCATGATACCAAACTTGAAAGAGTGACTGACCAAAGCGGCATGCGAGGGTCATCTCCTTGTAAGCCTCTATTGGAATCCTGGCATTGGGCATGGACCAGATGTTAAATGGCGGGAAAGGAGGCTCCGAGTCGTCATCTGGAGCCTCTTGGGAGAGTTCAATATCGTCCTGGTGGAGGATAGCGGCCTCTGAGGGAGCGTCCTGGTGGGTCGAGTGGTGTCAACGGGCGACGAGGGCTAAATGGGAGTAAACTGACCGAGTCTGAAGACGAATCATAGTCGTTTATTGTCGTTTCTGGGTGCTCGCGGTCGTCGTTGGGAGCCAGAGGGCCCTCGAGCTCTGCCATGAGCTAGACAACGAGACTCGTATATGCGCTCGTCGATGGAACAAGGACAGAGTGGGTCAGAGGATTGCTGGAGACTGATGGTAGCACGGCAGTCGACGAGAGGTCCAACCATGGTTTTCTCCAAGGCACCCACTTTTCCCTAGTCTCTTCGTCGTTCCGGTGTCGCCCGCAATGGCCTCCGACAAAGCTCCCAGTTATCCGAACAAGTCGGGGAAGGGGACATCCCATTAGCTTTGAGTTTTTCAGGGCCATACAGTTTATGTACATTATCATTTATATTTGACACAGATGCGCTGATTATCCATCGGCCTCTACTTCGCCACCCCTCCACCACGAGGCCACACCTTGACCCCCGACCGCATTCCCGCAATGCCTCTTCTCACAAATCCATCTCGTCCAAAGCCTCCAAGATACTACAAACAGCGCCAGGCTGCCCATCGCAACTCGGAATCCACCCTGAGAGATGAGCCAGACGAGGCCCTCTTTGAAGATGACATGGACGCCAGCTACGCACCTCCTGTCCCACCAAAACTCGACATGTCCTACACCCACAAGGACGTACAACAGCCAGAGCCCGTCCAGCTCTCACGACGAGCCACCTTTCGCGGCGTCCCCCCCTCGCCCATCCGGCCCTCGACGTCTAATCGCTGGAAGGCCGCAGTCGGTCGTATTCTCATGCTCAAGCGTACACCTACCAAACCACGTCATCTCACCCCGCCACCCGTCTCCCCTGCCTCGAGCCGCATGCCCTCGTTTTATACCCCCCAGGGCGAAGGAGAAGAGTCTCGTATGCACAGATCCGCCGTCACATTGCTCACCTCTGCCTCGTCAACCCAGAATGGGCACGACGATCCCTATGGGGGCGACGACGACGACAATGTGACCGATATCATGGGGGCAGCCAGTGTCGCAGAGAGAAACCCCGTGACACCCATCACACTCCGGCAGGCATCTCCGATCGACTATCTAGAGCCAATCTCTTCAGTCCTCCAGCGAGCCACGCCCTCACCCGTTACGCCGGTCATCTACACCCCTATATCCCCCATTTACCGGTCCGCCTCTGCCACGCCACTCCGCAACACCACTCCATCCTCGTCCGCATCTCGAATGCGTAAGCAATCTACAAAGACGTTGCCACGTCCGATCCCTACCCCGTCCCCACCACCCTTTGTCTGGCCGTCCCCACAATTGATCGTCGCCAATCCCACACCTACATCAACACCTCCTCCACCGCCTATTCAGATCAAAAAGGCGACAATGCCTCGTGCAATTAATGGGGCTGCTCCTGCTATTCGAGGACGTCCGAGGGCGAATACCGTCGACGCTCTCCCGCCCATGACAGCTCCGCAGAAAAAGGCTGGTCCACGCATCTTGCAGGCCCAGCTTCCTGCACCCGTCGCACCAGACCCAAAGAACCACGTCTTTATCGGTCCCTGGCATGATAGAAAGGGCAGAGAGTGGCTCGGTCTCAGTGCGACTCCTGGAGAGTACAAGGTCAAGGAGCCCAAGCCCGGACAAGAGTATGATCCAAAGTACATCAACTATCCAGACGAGCCCGATCTCTTTATGAACGAACGCGGGGATGTTATGAACGCCAAGACGTTGAAAATGGTCGCAAAGGCCGCACGTCTGGGTTAATTATTCTCGATTTAAATTTATCTCATTAGGGTACAAGGCATATCACACATAGTCCTTTTTGCATCGTAAACCTCTTGTTCTATTGTATTTCTATCTATCTTCCACAATCAAAGGTGTTCTTTCTAGGGTCTAGCCCTCGTGCTTCTTAAACCCGAACCATGGACCTCAACACTGAAAATATTACCGTTCTTGGCGCAGGTAGCTTATTTCGATTCCCTCTATCCCCATCTCATCTTCCAAAGGCGTCGTTGGCCTCTCGACGGCCCTACAGCTCCAAGAACGAGGCTTCAAAGTGACCATCGTGGCAGAATGTCTCCCAGAAGACGAAAAGAGCATCCGATATACGAGTCATTGGGCTGTACGACCCGTGCCACCCATCCTTTTGTCGCGATCACTGACCTGCCACTGACCTAGGGCGCCCATCATGTCAGTCTCGCGGCCGATTCGAGACAGTCCAGTATGTGCATCCCATCTCCTGGAAACTTTGCATTTCATACATCACCAGACATGGACCAAGCGACGTTTGAAAAAATGTGGGCAATGTCGGCTGACCCCGCGACGGAACGCCTCTTCCTCCGACTCGACCAAGAAGAATACTACATCGAAGAACGCCTCTGCGAAAGTCTCAAATTTTATCCCAACGTCCGTTCCATAAATAGAATTATGTCTTACCTCTCACTGTGTTTAGTTTGAACCAATCCCCCCAGAATCACTCCCGACTTTTGCGAGATCGGGCGCTAAATTCAAGACTGTGACGATTGACACGCCAAATTATCTGCGCCACTTGATCGAGACGTTTAAGCAAAAGGGCGGACACGTCGTACGTGCGTCTGTCCAGCATCTCTCGCAGCTCGTCGATGGTGCTTTTGGCGTCGCCCCACCAGATGGTGTCGTCATTTGTGCGGGGATTGGTGCGCGTACGCTTGGTGGTCTCGAGGACAAAGAGGTGTATCCTATTCGTGGACAGACCGTCCTCTTGCGTGCGCCTTGGGTCACGTTTGGGAGGACGTGTAGTAGTTCCGATGGACTGTGGACGTATATCATCCCCAGGAGGAGTGGAGATGTGAGTTGTCGTCGTTCCTTGATGGCCCTTTGTTGAAAAAGTATAGGTCATCGTAGGCGGCATCAAGGTTGCCAACGACTGGTATGTGATCTGTAGCGTTGGATTAGATGATTGACGTCGGCAGGTATCCACACCCTCTCAAGGAGGTTACTGAAGATATCTTGAAGCGCGGACTAGAGCTCTGTCCAGAGTTGGCACCCGAGGAAATCAGAGCAAAACGTGCTCCAACCGTCGAAGACCTAAAGCCATTGATCATTGAAGAGGGCTGTGGACTGAGGCCAGCACGCACAGATGGGATCCGCTTGGAGAGTGTTCCAGTCGTCACTCGCAATCTTGGCCAGCTGCCCGTCGTCTTCAACTATGGGTAAGTATACGTTATGAGCACCAAATGAATGCCGACTCCTGTCCACAGTCATGGAGGATATGGATATCAAAGCTCTTGGGGATCCGCCGCAATTGCCGCTGACCTCGTCGTCGCTTCCCTCAAAGGCGTCTTCACTGTAGCGGCCTAATAGCGTTTTGAAATTCTACATACAAACTTTTGAAGTACTGGCGAGTCGTTAGTAAAGAGCAAGGAAGTCCTCAAGAGCCCACCTCTATTGTGGAACTGGCTCGTCAGTTGGGTCCAGAATATCGCTGTTCATGAGGTTGCCGTCCCCCATCATATCCCCCGAGTTGAGCATGTCCATGAACGTGTCCTGGTTCTCCTCCAAGCCGTCCATTCCCACAGCGCCTATGTCCAAGTTCATCGAGTCAATCAAACCTCCATCACCTCCATCCAGCATCGCTTGATCATCGACTTCCTCTTTCTTTTCCTCTTCGTCTGGGATAAACGACGTGGAGAGCGGATGGGGTTTTGACGCAGTCGCATTGAGTCGATTGGTCAAAGCTATCGCCCCAGAAGGCTCGTTGAGCCCTGGAGTCGCAGATCCAGAAATGGGAGTATCCAGACCTGGCACACCACGCATAGAGGTTTCTGCGGGCAGAGGCGTGGCCACGCCCGACTGTACGGCCGCAGAACCCTCTTTTTCTTCTTCTTCATCCTCGTCTTCTCCTTGATCTGCCTCCTCTGGCGGTAGTGGTGCGAGCGGTACCTGCGATTCGTCTTCGTCGTCGGAGAATTCCTGAGTAATTCACGGTCAGGTATCTTTCAGAATGTAAATATTGGTTCTCGTACCTGTTTCTTGTCGGTTTTTACCCATTGCCGCACGCGCAACGTCGAGCCAGACGACATACCTGGCGGTACGACCCATTTGTACTCCCAACACGGTACGGGTTGGATAAGTGCTCTTCTTGCAGCCTCGGTTTGATGAGCAGCTACAAATCTTCCGGGTCCCTTTTTGGATGACATTTTACGATGAAACTACGCGTCTTGGTAGACAATCCTCCGTGAATAGTGCGCTGGTATGACTCTTCAAGGTCGATAGAGAGTCTAAGACTCCTTTCGTTGATACGGGGATTGAGGCGGAGATCAAATCGTGAAGTCACCTTGGCACCTGCCTCCGGCTATTCCGGTAAGCTTTCTTCCTCGACCATGCAGCCAATTCTCCTTCCCTCAGCCTCAAACGCCCTCTTGACGATCAGCAAGGCTCATGAGCACGTTTGGGTCATCGAATTGCACAATGGAGCCGACAACCGACTTACAGAGGAAATGTGCCAGAAAGCGCTTGGACCAGCGCTGGCCATCGTCGAGGCGCAATGGAGAGACGCGTGGAGGGGCCCCTTTTATGACAAGGATGATGGAGAAAAGGTGGGAGGGAGCGGCGCTCTTATCCTCGTCGCGAACCGCAAGCAAAACAAGTTCTTCTCTAATGGGTTCGACTTTCCTACAATCTCCACGAAACCACACTTTATCCCTAGTACGTCTACATGTTCATCATTGCAAGATTAGCTTACGGATCGACAGATTCGTTTGACCCTATCTTGAAGCATTTGCTTGGGTTCCCTATCCCGGTTATTGCCGCCATTAACGGGCACGCATTTGCCGCTGGATTCATGCTGACCATGGCATGTGACTACCGAATCATGAAGGCCCAGAAGGCATGGCTCTGCATGAACGAACTCCTCTTTGGCGGACCTATTCCGCACTCCTTTGCGTTACTTTTCAACGCAAAAAGCACTGATGCCATGGTCGTTAGAAAGGTACCTTGCTTCGTTTCGGCTTGTGCCCCTGACCGACCTCTGCTAGATTTTCTTGGAAGGCCATCGGTTCACAGCCTCGGAGGCGCTCGAAGCCAAGCTTGTAGACGAGCTTGCAGATGGGGACTCCGAGGTCGTATTCAATGCAGCGCTAAAGAAGGCGCTTAGTCTTGCACACCTCCCACGCCTTGGAGTGTACGGACTGATCAAGGTGAGACCTCCACTGACTCAAGTTCTCGGAATATTAACTGTTGCAATAGAAGGAGATACACCGCAAAACGTTGGCTGGGATCTCCGAGAATCCACGAATTGTTCATGCGTTTGAGGAGGACGCAGAATTCGTTAACAAAGTCAAGCCGAGGTTGTAATTAATTTTGGATTATCGATAGCTTTCCATCTCCATATCCTCAGTCCAGGAGCTTAATGAGCGGTCCATTCCACCCATTTCGAGTACTTCCGAATGGGCTACTTTCAGAATATAAAAGGTTTGGATTTAAATGGTCACGGTGCAATCTTAGATTCAACGACGAGCCCTTAGGGCCTGACTTCGGAATTGAACGAGTGCCGATGAATGGTAAAGAACCCGGAATACGTTATTATTCTTTGTGAATGCTGGCATGTTCCATCAACGAAGCCAGGCGCTTTCCTAGGATGGATATCGCAGACAAAGAGCTCTGTACAGCTAGATGTTGCTTGCTTTGTGTCTACAAGTTATATATAATGGGTCAATACCAGCCTCGACTCGCGCCACTTGCAACGTTCACCATGATAGGCCGCCTCTTACTCTTCCAGCCACTTTTTGTTACCTCTGTGTTATCAGAAAGGATATGGGATGTCTGGGTCACCACCTGGAACAGAGATTACCTGTTCACGTCGCTCAAACCAGCTCCGATAGACTTTGGTACTCCAGGGCCCATCGGTGATGCAAATATCGCCGTTTCAAGTACATTTTATCAACAAATGGATGGATTTGGCGCATCTTTGAGTGAGCTGAGGGTCTTTCGTAGCTTAACCTGACCAGTTGTCATATAGCGGATTCGTCTGCATTGGTTCTCAGCAGTCTCAAGGTGAGAGATACCTACAAATATCAAGATCTGTCTCTGAATGGTACCGTAGGCGGCCAACTCGAGTGGCTATTGGTCTCTCCTCTACAAGCTATTTGATCGTACGTACGCCGTATCGAATCCGGCGCCAGTAATTGAATATACTTGTAAAGCTCGCGAAGCGGAATCTACAGCGGCATTGTCCGTACTCCGAATCCCAATGGGTGCATCGGACTTTTCAGCCTCAGCATATACATTTGATGATACGTGGAACGACAATACACTGTCTGCGTTCAGCATGAATAGCGCACCCTCTTATCTCTGGTCGACTCTGGCAGACATCAAGACGGTCACGCCTTACCTCAAATTGTTCATCCTCCCTTGGTCTGCACCAGCATGGATGAAGACATCTGGCTCGCTGAATGGTGGACAGCTCAAATCTGGCTACGAGAAGACTTGTATGTTTGTAGTCCCTCGAAGGTCTCTGACTGACTTGATGCCCAGTCGCACAATACCTGTTCAAATGCGTTCAGGGGATGAACGGCAAAGGGCTTCGGCCCTATGCCGTTTCATTACAAAATGAACCACAGAATGCCGACAGCACTTATCCGACCATGCTCTTACCTGTGTCCCAGGCTGCGAGTGTTGGGCAAACTCTGCGCACCCTACTCGACTCAAATGGATTCACTGACATTAAGATCATCGGATTTGAGCACAACTGGGATAATGCTGGTACATACCCAGTTCAGCTTGTACGTTCACGCTATCAATCTTGGGGCACGAATAACAAACTATGGTTATACAGATGCAGCAGGCTCCATCAGCTTTTGCGGGTTCCTCGTTTCACTGCTATGCGGGATCCCCTAGGTTGCAAGCAGATTTCGGGAGGGCGTACCCCTTGAAGGAGCAATGGTTCACAGAGTGCACGGGTACAATCAATACAGACTGGTGGAGAAATATCAAATGGAACATGAACAACCTGTCAGAACCGCTCTTGGCTCAGTTCTTGTACGCAACGATCTTATTCCATTCTCGTCTAGGTTTGTTGGAAGCGTGGGCTATGGATCGCGAAGCATTTTGCTTTGGAACCTCGCTGGTCGTGCAAATGGTGATCCCAAACTTCCGGGGACACGCTCTTGTAGCCCAGGCTGTAGGCCCGTTGTCTCAGTGGACAACAACCAGTGGTACCTCAATGAAGAATGTTCGTTTTTTCCCTATTGCGGTTAGCCCAATCTAACCCTCCTTCAGTCTACGTCTTGGCCCATAGCTCGCGGATTGTCATTCCGCGTGAGCGTGGAGGGGGTTTTGCCAGCCGCATTGGTGTCTCTGTGACAGGCAATTTGGCGTCTACTCTGAGCGTCCAAGCATATCGGACACCTAGAGCAAACGCTAGGGATTGGCTCAAGTACGGGATTGTGGTCTTAAACTCGAATGACTCTTCCAGTGGTTGGAACCCACAGCCAGTGTCGGCCACAATCGCGTTTAATGGTCTGCAGGTATGTTCTTGTCATCTCTTGAGGCATGATCTGATTATGGTCGCACACAAGGCTCGGTATACATTCCCGGTCGGCGTCACCACACTTTGGTGGTATTCTCCTGTTCAGTGAAGTAGCAAGGTGCCTCATTATACCCACCGTAATCCCTTGGACCAATCGGTTTGATTCAGTTGAAGAGCTCGTGCTAATATGTCAAGATATTCAACATTGGAAGAGTAAAAGTAAGGTCCAAGAAAAATATTCGGGATCGTAAGAGTCGTAAAAATTCATCATCGTGATTAGTTGGTACCCTCATTCTTGAAATACGGGTCCTCCGCGGCTTCATATGGGTTGGAGTCTGCATTGATCTATCCACGTGTTAGAAATTTGACCAATGATCGTTTTGAAGGCACTGTTACCCATTTTCCGAGCTCCAATGCCAGCTCTTTCTCCTCTTCTTCTGACAACACGATATCCTTGCCTTTTAGGGCATGCGGACTCATGAGCTGAGCAAGTCCTCGACCATGTGAGCGTCCAAAGCTTCCAAAGTTGGAGTCATCTCCTTCGCCCTTGGGACCGGAGTCTGCAGCGTTGGCTTCGCTGTGCGCCTTGTCCCAATCTTCATCTCCTGGAGAAGCATCTTGTTGGGCAGTGTCTATGGAAGTGTTTTCTTTGACGTCCTGAGGCGCTTCGTTGTCCGCCATGGCGAGTGTGCAGGGCTGTAAAAAGGAGTGAGGAGAAAGAAATGTTCGACCAGCCTCATCGCTTCGCTTAGCCAAAATGGTTAATACATCCATTTATCAGTTTGTAAATTCTGATAATCGGCGGTCAATGTCTATCACTCGAAGGGTGTTTGCTCCTTGGGCTCCGACCATGTCTCTCATTAGCGACCCAGAGTGAGCAGACTCTGGCTTCTTCCAGAAATATGCTTATGGTGCTCTACAGTTATATGATTCACCAGCTACGGCTGACCTATCTGAGGACGGTAGAAGATCCATACGCAAGCCGTCTCCTCTCGTTCAATCAGCGACATCTGGAGAACCCATATGTGCTTGAAGCAGGACTAGCAGATCCAGAACGTTGGCCTCAGCTCCTCATGCCCTCGACTCCAAAGCCCGCGCAGGTAGCACTTTCAGACAGCCCGTTGCTGGCGCGAGCGGTACAGAATTCGAACAAGGACGACGCTCCACGATGGAACGGAGCAGGAGGAGGAACAGGTGGCGCTAGTTTAAAGTATACGACGACAATCATGGGACCCACTCGCACCGGAATGGTTGGCATGCGCACAAATGGACGGCGATCCTCAAACTCGTCCAGCACTGGAGTAGAGAAACGAGCGAGGGGTGATAGTAATCCAGTCGTAAACGTACAGGAAGCATCGGGCCCGAGCAATAATGCCCCCGCACAAGAGTTACACAAGGCTGCGGGTACGCAGGAGATTGACCAAAGGCCACTGATAGCACCTCAATTTGCTAGAGGTGCCGAAATGGAACAGCGGCGGAAAGCTAGGATTCAGGCGCGGAACGCTCTTGCAGAGCTGAGAGCCGCCAATTCGCAGGCGTTAGGAAAGCCGGCTGAAAATACCACCATCGACGTAGAGCAAGAGGTCAGTAGCGAGTCGGATTCGGACAGTGACTTTGGAGACGTCGCTGTCGGGCCCGATGAAGAAATAGATCCGTGCGTACCGTTTAAACTCTGCACCCTACGGCTAACTCTTCGATAGCGAATTTGAAGGCCAAATTGTAAACTCGGCTGGCTCAGATGACGGATCGCTCCCGTCGACAGCGTCTGGTGTCTCGACGTCTTCAGGCTATCCAGTCCAAACGCGACCAGTACGAAAGCTGAGTCAAGCAGCAGAACAACGTCGACTGGGAACGCATACAGAAGAGCCATCTTCCGACGAGGGCAAAGCCTCGACCGCAATAGAAACCGATCGACCATCTCTCATACCAACCAAGGCCCGATCCGACGGCCAAGTCAATCCACCACATGCAGTTGAACCAATACGCCCTGGACACCGTACTCGCCCTCCAAGCTTTGATTCGACTCCCCGCGCGAGCATCTCGGGCAAAGTGGAACGGCCAGGCCATCAGTCGCAGCAGTCTATTGCACTGGATATATACTTTGCACGACGTCCTATACCTAAGAAACCGGCAAAATCGCCAACTTCTGCCCTTACAAAAATGCTTGTAGCACAGGAAGCGGTTACTGACAATCCCTTCACGGAGTTGTACGGCGCCATTGCTGGCAGAGGAGACATGCCTTCTACGACACTCAACATCTTCTTCCCCGAGTCAAAGAAGCCATTCTCTGCTGTAAAATTACGGTACGAAAAGATGCAACGGTCGAAGAAGTGATTGGTTTTGGGCTATGGACCTATTGGGAGCAAAAGTTAGAGCCACCGCTGGATGAAGGACTCACCGAAAATGATCCTCGAAGATCTACGGTACTTTCTGCGGTGGGCTGGATATTGCGAATCGGAGAAGAGGATGGTGAAGTAGACGAAGATTTCCCAGGTATGGTGCATCATTATCGTTTCTTGCAGTCGTACTGAGATCCTTTAGCTCCTGATCGCGCAGGGAGGATCTCCAAGTTTTCGTTCCCCGCGTTTGCCATTTGCAAGGCGACGAATGCTCAGAGTAAGGGGGCATCTTCTTATCGCTGAGGAGCTAATCTCTCGTATAGTTCAACAGAATCGGGCTGCAGAAGCAAAGATTGTTCGTCGTCCATCGCGTCTTATGATAACCAAGAAGAAGGCTCCAGAACCAGCGGCAGCTCAAGCACCAAGCACAATAACCGGTGTTCCACCCCCAACAGGAGGACTCAGTGTGATACCTTCTATGGGGACTATACCACAGAACTTTGGTGTCTCATCGTCTGTGGGAGGCGGCGCACATTCAGGGCCCCCTGTTTTCCTCCGCATTTGCGTTCCAGAAGACGCAGACGCTGTTCTGCGTTACACTACCATCAATGTGTTCGTAAAAGTTGTCATACGCACGAAGCAGGCTGATGAATGCATTTACAGCACGTCTGATTGGTACATGGCGGACGTCCTAGAGCACATCTGCCGAAGGCGTAAGATCAAAGACCATCAGGACTATACACTCGTATCTGAGGGAAAGAAAATCGTCATACCAATGGACAGGACAGTTGCGAGTCTACAGGGAGAGACGGAACTCTTGCTCGTCAAAAAGTCGTCCCTCGGGGAGGATTTCAAAGGGCCGGGACGTGCAACAGATCCTAATGGTACCTTTTTGTTTGCCGGCGGCACGGTGGCTGACTACTTGGCAGCGTCCATCTTTGCCAAGCGCATGTCTGAACTCCCAGGTCCTAGTACAGGGCCACCAATGGACTTTACAGATGCATATCAGGTGCGTATCTTGGCCATACGTCTACCATGCTGATCGCGGACTAGTCATGGGTGGTATATCGTAAACTGCCAGTCATGGTCGGAAGGCTCGAGCGTACGCTTGCCATTGACGGTGATCACATTCACGTAAGTATAAAATCGACATTACGCAATGTTTCTGAACATACTAGATCATGCCAACCGCCAAAGGATTCTTGGACAATGTCAAGACGACATCGTACCGCATGAGTTCCATCCAAAGCATCCGTCGTTCAAAGAAATCCCACTCCAGTTTCAAGATTACAGTGGCGCAAGATGGACCAAGCAAGACTTATGAGTTTGAGGCAGAGAACGAGGCGACCGCTGGTACGTCTTCACATGCTCAGTAGTCTAACTGGTTAATGTTGCCGCAGAGATCATTGTTCAAAGGATCAAAGCGCTGATCAAGCCATTCCAACCGAAGCGAGCGAGCACCTTGCGTCGTCGCTAAATCATGTACAGAAGACATAACTTGTTACAGATAGACCCTTAGTGTATACATAGATCAGCAGTATTTAGTCTTGATCCTGATCACCTTTTCCGACTCGATGTGCTCTGAGAGGTACTGGACGCAGCGAAGACAGAGGCAGGAACCTCTGACACGCGTTCGTAGAAGCACAGATACGCCTTGGCCGAGAGAACCTCTTCCAGCGTGGCAACTCGAACGATCTGGTCGCTTTGGAATGACCAGCGCCTTTCGTTGCTGGGAGCCTCGCCTGAGGCCGAGTCGATGGGCGTAGCTGGCGGTAGGGCCGTGTATGCGACATAATGCCCGCCCAACTGTCCGGTGTCAGCTTACACATAGATTGATTATTGTAAACTAACCATGTTCCCGATATGTACCACGACTGCGGATAACCGGTACATAACTTGGTCTTCATATGCCCCTTTGTTGTCTTTGATCTTAGACGGACGAAGACCAAAATCCTCTCGTCGTGGCGCGATGAAGGGCTTTAGGTCAAGATATTCAGGGAACGCAATAAAGTCGTCGATTTTCTTCAACGACCCAAATAATGCCACAGGCATGCGAGTGACTTGTTGGAACCTTTTGAGGTCTAGGAAGCAGTCATTACTATGTAACGTTCTGCTAAGCATGACTTACGTATCACGAGGACTGGCGGAGGAACCGCGATCAGGTAGCGTTTATATGCCTTACGGAGCATGACTCTTTGTGACTTGGGGATTGAAGGAGTCTTTAGCCGAACCTCTTTGGGCCTTGTCGAGACGTCAGAAGCGCTAGCTGTCGATACCGAATCAACGTCTGCATCAGCCGCAGCCGAGGAGCTCGATCGTCCAACGCTTCCATGTCTACTGGATACAGGCGTGAGATAGTTGGATGTAGTTGAACTCGAAGATGTAGCTGCATGATGTGAAGGCACTTGGGCCGACGACAAGAGCCCATTTGGTTCCAGTGGAGAAGTTGTAGAGATCGAGGGGATAGGAGGACCCTGATAGGAGCTACCTCCAAGGGATGTGCCGCTTTCTTGAGCAGAGGATGATAGTGGCTCACTCCGGGCAAGTGATGGGATGCTGGCTGGCTGTTTTGTCTCTGGTCTCCGGGTTGGCTCGTTTTCGGAATCGGAGTCGGAGTCGGAGGAGCTGGAAGATGATGCGGAGTTGCGACGCTTGCGCGAGACATAAGTAGGATTTGCCAATTTCCAACAGCGACTACAGCCGACCATGTTATCGCCTTCTAGAGATTCCACGGCTGTAAACTGCTTCAAACAATGTAAGAGGTGAGGTCCATGGGTGGGACCCAGCCTGAGCCAGCTGGCAGCCGCAGCAGTAATCGAGTCTCCATTAGGAGTACCCGATGAGCCTAAGCCACTTCGAAGGAGCTCTAGCGGGCTCTTGGGAGACGCAATTTCTGCCTTTATTCTTTTGAGATACGCAGCCTTCTGAGCCGCCTTTTGTCGACTCTTCGATTCTACATTCTGTGACTCTTCGCGTTCTCGGGATCTGCTCCGATCTCTCGACTTGGTTGGACCGAGCTGGATCGATACTCTCCGTAGTGAAGACGCGTCGTCGGACTTTGTTAGAGCAGCAAGTGTTGCCCTTTTACTCTCATCAGGATCGCTGTCAGATCTACTATCAGACAGCTCCAAGCTGCGTCTTCTCTCCAAGGTTACGGGAGGCTCGAGTTCCGTCGTGGTCTTTCGGGGTGATGGAGGAGTCGATAGTGGTCGTGGAACGGATTTACCGGCTTGACGGGTAAACTTTTGCGCGAATGCCTTGAGACGGTTGCGCTAGATAAGTGTCAATCTCGGTGCCAGCAAGCGCATTGACAATATGACCTTGGATTCTTTGTCCTCTTCAGACCTAATGGATAGAGAAAGATCCATAAAAGGCTCGTAGGTATGTGAGACCTATAAATGATATTCAACATATGTCGGCGATTGATCGAGACAAGACCGACGTGGTTACAGCTGGCGCAAATGAGCATACTCGCTAATTGTCCACCGAATACTTGATCCACAAATGGAATCAAACGCTCATTCTCTGGTATGGGTTGTACTGGTGGATCTTGGGCAGGTTGTCCGCGGCGTCGTTTGACAGGAGGTGGTTGTCGCCTTTTGATCTCATCCAGCTCCTCCATGTACATACAGTCGAGAAGGTGTCGCAAGAACTCGTGAGCATCTTGTTGTTGGAACTACATAATCGGTCAGCATTGACGAAAGACGGAATCGCGAGATACGGACATCCAAGTACTGGTCATACTTTCGACCGACACGGTTTCGGAGCTCCCTGTATGTTCGTCAGCCCGCGTGCGTTCAGTCGAAAACGGACCCACCCACCGAACGTTCATCGAAACCCTTTGACGAGCAGGGGTGGTGTCCCGGAGATGCCAGCCATGTTCCAATGTGCGTATAAAGGTCATGCATATCTCCATGCCATCCACATGGCGTAACCGTTGCGGACCTCGCCCATTCCTGAGAGCTGGGCTCCGTTCGGGAAAAAGGCGGCCCACAAAGTCTGGTGGGATAGTGAACTCCACGATGTTTTCTAGAAGGCGCGTAGACATAAGCTGGACAGTGTGAGACAATAAGTCCCAAGGAAAAGGACAGAGAACAGACCCCTTGCAACGTCGAGTTGAGGTAGCAAGAATTCCCCAGATTGAAGAGACCGGGGTTGAAATGTAGGCCCGCTATGCTGTTATTCGGCTTGCTTTTCTTGACGATAGTCTTCGAGATGTTTGGAGCGGCGGAGTTGACCTGCTTCGCACCCTTTTCTGGTTTAGTGTTGAGGACTTCCTTGACTGTTGCGTTCAGGCTCTCTAACGGATTCGGTCCGTTAGTGCCAGCTCGGTGGGCACGTCAGCTTGCCACTCACTCGGTGTCGCAGCCTCCGTCTGCAGATTGTCTTTGGAGGATTGCCCGTTGCTGGGTCGTGTAGGCGAGTTTGAAGATGCCTTATTCGTCTGAGCCTTTGATGGAGCTGAAGAGATTAGTCAGTCGATGAGCGCCAGAGCCAGCTGCGGGATGTATGCCACAGGACAACGTACCATCATCGGCCGTGGCCACTGCAGCACGCTGAGAGGTCCCAGAACCGTTGATAGATGTTACTCGCGATTGCAGGGCATTACTCGTTATTTCTCCTCGACCAGACAATACATCGACGCCATTGGACATCGCGGACGTGGTGCGGATCCGTCGAATAGAGACTAGAACGCGACGAAGATGACTTGAGAGTATTAATTAGTATTTTTTAGGAATTGTTTCTCTCTTTCGGGCCCGAAATCGAGGACTTCGTCGAGGACAGACGCGCACTGCAACCTTGAATCCAACCAAACCTATGCCGCCGTCGAAGCCTGCACCATTGCCCCCCAAAGAGGCGGCTCTCTTCAAAACTCTCCTGGTTTGCGCGTTGCGATACGTGATAACTGCGTGATGGCTGATTCGTCTCGCCTCTAGTCCCAGTACGAGTCGCGGCAACTCAAAAAGGCGATCAAGACCGCAGATCAAATCTTGAAGAAAGTAGGAGACCATGGAGGTATGCGCGACTTGAGAGCACTCTACGACATTCTCTTACTCGGTTGGAAGAAACTATTTCCATGAAGGGCCTCGTCCTCTCATACCAGGGCAAGCGTGAGGAGGGGATGGAGCTCGTCAAGAAGGGTCTCCGGCTCGATCTCTCTTCACACATTTGTTGGCATGTGTGCGGCCTGGTGCACAAGCAGGACAAGAACTATGATGAAGCCCTAAAGTGCTACGCCCAGGCACTCAAATATGACCCGGTGGGTTGTTGATCCTATATTTTTTCCAGAGTGTTGACGTCCTGTGACAGGCCAATATGAACATTCTTCGCGATGCTGCGAACCTGCAAGCGCAATTACGTCTATTCGACGGGCTAGAGAACTCACGTCTCACAATCCTCAAACTACGGATGAACCTCAAGCAGAATTGGGTTGCACTTGCTGTTGCATACGCGTTGAATGGGAATTGGAAAGCAGCCCAGAGTCTCCTCGATGAATTGCTCACTTTGGTCAAGGTATGTCCCGGCTTTATTTTACGTACTGAGACTGATTTTCTACAAAAGGAAGTCCCCGCCCATGATAACGAGTACTCTGAACTGCTTTTGTTCTATCTTACGGTACTAGAGCGAAATCAAGAGTATGGAGAAGCTCTCAAGAAGCTTTCAGACTATACAGAGGCAAAGAAAATCGTTGACAATATGCATGCCGCCATCATACGGCCGCGATTACTCCAGAAGCTTTCCCGCACCGAAGAGGCCCTCGCAGAGTACAAGGTTCTCATTGCCCGCAACCCCGACTGCTATGAGTTCTACCGACTCTATTTAGAGTGCCTTGGACTCTCTCTAGGTTTGTTTGATTCTGTACATTTCCTGGCAGCTGACTATTTGGTTTTATATAGACGAGCCCTCTGAAAAGGTGATCGAAGAACTCGAAGCTTTTGCATCGGAATTTCCTACGGCCCTTGTTCCTCGGCGATTGCTACTGACCGTGACGACCGACGAGCGGTTCCAATCTCTGGCCAAGGAGTATGTTATCCGTGGACTGAAAAAGAATATCCCATCGCTCTTTGTGGACCTCAAACCGCTCTACAAAGATGACGCAAAGCGATCAACCATTCAAGCCATTGTCGAGGAGTATCACGCCGGACTAGAGAAAGAAAGCTCGTCCACGGAACCTGGTAGCGTGCATTTGCTCGATTTTTTGATATACCTAATGGTGCTGTAGACCGAGATTCTCCAACAACCTATGTGTGGACACTATATTACCTTGGCCTGCATTACTCTAGTTGTGGTGACTTCCAACGAGCGGACGAGATATTCAATACTGCTCTCCAACATACACCGACACTACCAGAGCTGTACATGGCCAAGGCACGAAACCTCAAGCGAGCTGGAGATCTTGTTGGGGCTGTCGCCATGATGGACGCTGCCGTAGAGCTGGATGGTCAGGACAGATTCCTCAACACAAAATGTGCCACCTATCATCTGCGAAATGGAGAAGTAGAAGAGGCACAAAGGCTCTTTGGGCTTTTCACCAAAAAAGACGCTACCTCTCCGGGCAAGGACCTCGAGGACATGCAGAGCTTCAAGTTTCTGTTAGAGGATGGACAGGCACACCTAAAAATCAACCGACTCGCACTGGCCTTGAAACGCTTCAGAACCATCGAACGGGTATGCTCGTCTATATCATCTTTAGTTTACTGACCATTTTTAGATCTTCTCAGATTTGCATGAAGACCAGTTTGACTTCCACAGCTTTTGCATACGAAGGTTCACTTTGAACATCTACTTTGAGTAAGAGAGTGGCTTTAGAACTCGAGACACAACGCTTACATCGCCAAGCATTATCCAATGGGACGATAGACTTCGATGGCATCCTATCTTTGTCCGTGCGATCGTCAACGCTGCAAATGTGAGTTTATTCGCGGAGTTTAAACAGGGCCTGAGACCAGGGACAGATCTACATTCGCCTATTCGACACCCCAGGCCTCGCGGCTGAACAAACTGCACCATGTACGTTAATTTTCACCATCGAGTTCTCCAGTGACATTATGGCCCCAGTACCCCAACCCGAAGAAGTCAAACAGTCCAAAAAGCAGGCGAAGAAGGCAAAGATGAAGGCTGCAGAAGAGGCTAAAAAGGGTATGGTTGGTTTACTACATCGAACAACAGTACTAATCCACTGTAGCGGCGGCGGAGAAAGAAAAGGAGAATGAAGAAGTTCTCCCGGCGTTCAAAGATGATGATCCAGACGGGCACAAGGCCATTAGCGTCGAAGACCCGTTGGAACAGGCAGCCAATCTTCTCCAACCTTTCGCTGCACGCAATCATGATCTACTAGACGTATGGCTCGTGACCTACGACGTTGCTATACGTCGAAGTGAGTGTATTTCACTGCGCACGAGGTGGTTCATACTGAATCCGATACAGAAAAGGTCTTGCAAGCGTTGAGAGCGCTGGAAGCTGCGAAACGAATAAATCCGACAAGCCCACAGTTACACTATCGGTTGATCGACTTCCAGCTAGCAGGTTTGTCGACGTTTGATAATTTGGTGATGAAACTCAGTTTCTTCAGCTCCTGGTTTAGCAGAAGGCATGGAGACTGTAGAGGCGGTTCTCCTAAAGGACGGCCTAGCAAAACTCGCGCCTGGCGAGCAACCACCTACACTACAGAATTCGCAGTACCTTCAGGAGCACTCTTCAGATGCAGCTGCAGTAATAGCTGTCGCCCGAGCAGCCCATAAAATAGGGTCCTCAGAAGAGACGGAGGCCCACCTCTTCACGCTTTTAGCGGATCAGATTTCCCTAAACCCCCAGGTGAGGTGCATCCAATTTGTCGTCTCTTCGATCTGACTGCGCTTTAGCACGGTTTAGAGGCCCTCAAATTGCTCGAGGACATCAAATCTACAAGGGTGGATGAGTTTAGAGACGGCTGCAAGAAGAAGTTGCCTCTTTCTACTGTGTTCCTACCTTCAGAGGAACTTGAAGCACTACGAAAGAAGTACAAGACCTCGGAGACCAATGACGGGCCGGAGAATTCACAAGAAAAGGATCAGAATGACGCCCTTCTCATCGAGCCATCGAGTACATAGCCTCGCTAGCGATTTAGGCTGTTTTGGTTGATTCACGTTGGGTTGGTTCACGGAGCGTGTATCTGATTGTGAGACTGGTCCTATCAGCTCGACCCGCACAAGAGTCTGACTGACCTTGGGAATGATACTGGTATAAATTAGCATTCATTTCCGGCCGCCCCAATGAGACAAAGGCAGCAATGAATTTTGGTTTGACCTTTGGAGTCATCACAGATTTATTTCTACGACCCCGTTCCCTTGTCTCCAGCAACCGAGCTCATTCCAACCCGGAGTTCGCCACCTTGGATATTTCCACGAGACATTTACAACAAAATACCGCAACGGTCATATTCCAAACCAACCGATTGTGGCACAATGGAGCGTTCAACCTGCAAGCATCAAAATCCTTTGGGCCCGAGAGAGGCTGGGGACGCTACTGGTAAGATCACACTATTCTTCGATCCATACACTCAGCCGTGGCATACAGACGGGTTTCAAGCCAGCGGCCGCCCCTTTGTGTCTTTGCTCACCAGCCAGCCAGACTCTGCGAGTGGAGATGAATATGCCGTCAACGTACAGAGATTATTAATTCTCGCACGACCGAGCATACATCACCACATAGTGAATCTGGAGAAGCCCTTTGCCGAACTGGCTCCTGAACCTTCGGAACCAATTCAGGAGTCAGGGTTTGCAGACGGAGATTCGCGTCACATCCTCAGTTCATCATCTCCTTCTGACAAATCATGCCTTGGTGTGTCTGGAGCGGCATATTCTAGCGTCGATCAACGTTCGGACCCGCTCTCATGGTGGCTGACACGTTTATTGGGAGCTACTGTGATTCTTGTTGCTTCATTCTATCTGTATTCCTGCAGGAAATTCTGTGTATAAGACACGATATGAACCCGAATACTAGCATGGATCGATCACAAACTGATGTTGTTGATATATAGGGGAAGGCCAGATCGTCTTGCCTCCTCAGGAGCGAACAAGCCGTTCAAGACGGCTGCAGTCCGAATGCCACCCTGTGCTAAAAGCTTCTCCAGGATACGAAGTTTGCGAATCTTTCCAGCATACTTTGGGGTATCCAGCTCGTATGCTTGATGGGTTTCATTTGAGCCTGGTGCCCAATCGAGCTCAGGAGGGAAGATGACTTTGCAGTTCAGCGCTGCGGTGGGCTTTGCCCAATGGTATGGGCAGACAAAGTCATTGTCCCACCTAGCTGGATCGCTTTCTTGCCCAAAGCGAAGTTGATCCACGTGCTGGTTGGACAGTGCTGAAGGGCACGAAATCCACTCCTCTAGGTCATCTTTCCACTCTTGCATCAACCCTTCCCAGACAATTGAACGGATATATGGATCGTAAATTGTTCCTCTGAGGCTGTCTTCGATGCCATCGGCTGGGTACGGCAATGGTCTTGAGTAATTACTCGGGGTGGAGAGAATACCATTCGATATGAGGCGAGAGTCCCATACCGAGTGAAAGTCTGTCAATTTTATTAGTGAAATAAGGTGAAAGAGTGTCACGAACTCGTCATTCTTCGATGGAAGTGAACTTTGACTACAATTGTGAGCTGAATATGGTAGTAAGCCCTGCAAATGACATACTCTCGTTTCCTCCTCGTTCCCTTGCTGTCAAATGCAGAGGCTGGTGAACTTTTGGACAGTTCAGCCAGAAAGTTCTCGGAAGACAGAAAGAGTACTCACGATCTCCAAGGAAGTGAATAACATACTTGAGGCTCTCAGATACCCTCTCAAAGCCATCTTGGTTGACACCAGATGCGGTATAGTCACGAAGGATTCTTGTAGTATTGGCGATCCCAGCAAGGACGTTTACCCCGTCTCGTCCTTCCCATCCATCCTGTCCAAACATGCACGTGCTTGGTGGCCAATCGTGAATGCCACCTATAGGGGGACGGTTTGTAAACGCGCGCACAGTGCCAAATTTTCATACCAACGTAGTGGAATCCTGAAGCCCAGCGATATTGCGGCAGACCTCTCACCCTGTCGGCATTGGTTCGAGGTCAGCATTAGTTTGAAGTATCACAAGTCTCTCACCTGTCAGCCCACGTAGCTATGGGTGCAAGGTGACTATGCTCTATTAGTATGGTTGATTGGTAGGGAGAGAAAGGCTAGTTCACCATGGTTCCTTTGGAGGCGTATAAGGATATACTATGGCGCATATCTGAGGCAGGACTGATGGGTGAAGATACATTTGAGCAATAGTCGCTGTCATTTCATGGCCTAAGTGGGTATTTAGCACGACACGGACTGTTCAACATCATGTTGGACGTACCGACAGCGCCCCAAGCATATACTTGAGCGGTATTGGTTACGAATGTAAAAATATAGGCACTAAAGCTCGCGTATCTGATGCGCATTTCGACGGCGACAATATTGAGCCGGAGGGGGAAGGTCCAAGCGCTGGATCAACAGAACCGAATGCGAGACGACGATGAATACTGATGAATGAGTATCGCGACTTATAAATATTCTTGCGTCTGCCAACTCGCATGTTGATTATTACAGCCACAGCCTGTTCGAGTCTGAACTCCTCCGCGATCTGGGCCTCTCTCAATAATGTCTTCAAACAATGACAAGTCCAACACAACATCCCCTGAAGCCACTTCAGATTCCAAGACACCACCAGCAGCAGTAACGCGCCCATCCGGAGGCGCCCGTTTACCCTCGTTGACGCAACTGGCGGCGAGGTATGATTGCTATATGAGACTCACAACCACTTGCTGATATACCTGGCCTTTGCGTGCTTGATGATAATCAGAATCGCCCCAAGCGCACCCGCCTCGACAAGTTCCTCCAGCCGACCGCGGCTTGCTGCGAACATATTGCGCTCAAATTCCCAAGCCTCTACTATAACCACAGCCTCTGCACATTCCACAGACTCTACGGCTGTGAACCCACCGACTACCCGTCCGGTTTCTCCCACAGCGTCCGATTATTCACAGACTTCAGTTGCTGTCTCATCTACTCTGGATGCATCAAAGACTGGATCAGCACCACCTGATGGAATACCCGCGCCCATTGTTGACAAAGAGGAAAAGCTCATCAGAGGATACAAGAATATCCCGAGCTTGAATGCTATTACAGAGAGGATGCAAAGAGCCAAGCTCGAGCAGGCACAGAATGCCGCAAATGCTGGCGCACCCTCTGCAATCGTTGTCACTCAGCCGGAAAGCGCAGATGCCACTCCAACGACGGAAGAACAAAAGCCTCTGCCAACGGATGCAAAGGCAGAATCACAGCCAGAAGAGCATCCATTGCAACATACTTGGTAAGCCATTCAGTTTTAAGAAAGCTGTGTCCTAATCCGTTCGCAGGACGTTATATTATGATTCAAAGGCCAAAGGACCTCCTTCCACTCCATTCTCAGCCAATGCTGAGCACACCAAGTTTCCAACAAATACAGAAGGTGCTGCGTATGAGGCCGGTTTGACGGTTGTCGGCGACTTTAAGACGGTTTGTGCATTTACTTCCATTGAGCATCTTCCCAAACCTCTCGGTATAGGTCGAAGGATTCTGTCGCTACTTTAATTGGCTCAAACCACCGTCAAAACTAGAGCGAAGCAGCAACTATCATCTATTCAAAGATGGAATTAAACCGATGTGGGAGGATCCAGCAAATGCTCAGGGTGGCAAATGGGTGCTCACCATCAAGAGCAACCCAAACCTTCTTGACCGATGTTGGAGCTGGCTTGCAATGGCGCTTGTCGGTGAGGAATTGGACGAGAAAGACGAGGTCTGCGGGGCCGTTGTCTCGCTTCGAGCCAAGATTGATAGAATACAACTCTGGACGAGAGGAAAGGACGACGTCGAATCTATCAATAACCTCGGACGCAAGTTGGTCAAGCTGCTAGACGTTGGAGAGGAGCAAGGTGTTGGATTAGAATTTCAGGTATGTGGATAAAGGGTCCATTCGTCATCTCCGTTGCTCATCCTTTCACAGTATAATACAGAGGATCGGCCTACGCCAAACAAATTTATATCAATCCAGTCTCAGAACGCGTATACGGGCTACAAGCAATCACCTTTGTCGGCAGTTTCGACTAGCTTTAATCCTCCCTTCAGTCCGGATGGGGCTTCTCCCGCAACTCCCAACGGACCAACCCTCCCCTTGAAGAGTCAGAATGTGGCTGCTTTGGATGCTGCTACAGGTGGAGGCGGCGCGTTTGGCACTTGGAGGTCCAAGCGGGCACAGGCGGCGGTAGACAAGGAGTAGAACCATAATATTGCAGCGTTTTCAACCTTGTAACTCCAATCTTATTCTTCACCCCGCCTTTTGTACGCAAAAAGATGAGAGGACTCGAAGTGGTTGATTCTTCTTCCTCCCGTCCACGAGATGATCCAGACAAGTCTGCTCCCGTCAACCCACGGAGATCTAGTCACAGATGCTGCATACGATTTCTATGGACTAAGACTTGCTACTTGTTCATTAGACCAACGGTTTGCAACAGAGACGGACGGTCTGATCAAAATTGACGCTGCACTAGAATAAAGACATGGACATTGGACGAAACGACAGGAAATTGGGCGAGTGATGATGACTGGAAAGTCTGTATATCTTCCCTTCACCCTTTCCCTCTTCTAACATCATGACAGGCCCACGATGCGCCTGTTTGTCGGCTATCCTGGGCACATCCAGAATATGGAACCATCCTTGCGAGCTGTTCGTTTGATAAAACGGTGAAGATTTGGGAAGAAGGCGGCGTGGAACCTGCCCGCGGCAGCGACGCCAACGCTGGCTCGAGATGGCGCGAGCGCGCGACGCTGAGCGAGAGCAGAACAACTGGAGCAAGTGTACGGGCCGTAGAGTTTGCACCAAGACAATTTGGACTAAAATTGGTGCGCAAATTCCCCATCTTTCGGGTGCACAACTCACTGTCGCTTGTTGTTTAGGCAGTCCTGTCATCGGATTCGATTCTTCGCATCTATGACTGTGTCGAGCTTCACAATCTCGCGACGTGGAATCTCACGTTTACTATCGACGTGCGCCTACTGCAGCCACCTTCCACACCGCCGATGTCCACAACGGATATGTTTGCTGCACCTGGAACAAGTCTAGGCGCTTCGAGTAATGGAAAGAGCTACGGCAGTAGTGTGACTGGAGGAAGACCCGGAAAACGAGAGGCAGACGGTGGATGGTCCATCTCCTGGTGCAAAGACGCGACGACGGGTCAGTTGATTGCCGTAGCGGCTGATACATACGGATTGGTTAGAGTAAGTAATACTAATCCTGATATATTGACCGCTAACGGTGGGGCAGGTATTACAACTGTCCGACTCGCGCTCGCACAAGACGGTCTTTACGCTCCCTCCAAATGCGAGCGGCGCGACGGACTCGCCCGCAATTACGACCGTTGCTTGGGCGCCACTTTGTGGAAGGCGCTTCCATCTCATTGCGACAGGAGGACGAGAAGGAAAGGTGAATATTTGGAAAATCAGCCCTCCACACACCAATGTCACTACGGAATGGAGTGTAAATCTCGCTGGAACATTTGATGATCATCAGTAAGTAGCAAACAAGGGCCCTTATTTCCTGGCTAACAGCCCATAGGTCGGCAGTGACAAGAGTCGAATGGAATGTGACTGGGTATGTGATGTGTCATCAAGGGTATCGCTGCTTACTAGTACTAGAACTATCCTTTCATCTGCAGGAAATGACGGAAACATTCGCCTATGGCGGTCGACTTACGGTGGCATCTGGCGCACAATGGGTCACATTCACACGGAACACGGTGACGACGAGGAGATGCACGAATAACTTCAGATCTAATGAGAAGATGGAGCGCAGACCACGTGCGATTCACTAAAAAATGTATACAGCTCGACTACGTTGAGTAGTCGCTGAGCAGCGATGTTGAAACGCCAGCTCGGATCTAAAAACACAAATGTGATCGTTGAATCTTGAGGAAGGAAGGAAAACCCTACAAGGATGGCCAGCCGAATCAATCGTCTCCCTCAAAGCCCTCTGGCTTCGTCAATGACGAGACGTCGATACCGGGAAGAGGCCACTTTTTGGCAAAGGCACGGACCTCCTTGCGGAGAACCTTGACTTCGCGTGCACCTTCGCCGTCGCCAGTCAGCGCGACGCGCTCAAAGTCCTTGATGAGCTTTGAGCCTGCCTCCTTTTGCAGCTTCAATGCAAGCTGAACGGCGCGGTGAAGGAATTCGCCGACGACCCTAATGTCCTCCTCCTTCATGGAGCGCGAGGTCAAGGCGGACGTGCCGAGACGGATACCACCTGGAACGGCAGCAGAGGTATCGCCAGAGACGGCGTTTTCTATAAACATGTCAGATCTCTTTCTTAATGAATGCAAGGGGCCACATACTGTTGATAGTGATGCCAACATAGTCGCAAATCTTCTCGACCTTTGATCCTGTCAAGCCGACTGGGCGAAGGTCCCAAAGAACGAGGTGATTGTCGGTACCCTGAGTCTGGAGCTTGTATCCGTATCCGACAAGCACCTCGGCGAGAGTGCGAGCGTTGACGATGACCTGCTTGGCGTACGCTTTCCATGTCGGAGAGGCAACCTGGAGGAGCGAGGTCGCGATGGCGGCAATGGTGTTATTGTGCGGACCACCTTGGCAAGCAGGGAAGACGGCATCGTTGACACGCTTCTCAAGGTCCTTGGCACCCTCGACGTCCTTGCGGAAGAAGATAAGACCAGCACGAGGGCCGCGGAGAGTCTTGTGGCTATCAACATGTTAACTTGATGAGAAGATGGGGTCAGAAGAAGCGTACGTAGTGGTGGTCACGACGTGGCAGGACTCGAATGGACTCGCGAGTTCACCAGCGGCGATAAGTCCCGATGTGTGTGCCATGTCGCACATGAGCCACGCCTGCTCGCTATCTGCAATCTTGCGAAGGTACTTGTAGTCCCAGTCACGGGGATAAGCAGATGCACCGCAGATGATCAGACGAGGCTTGAAGGTCTTTGCCGTCTTCTCCAAGCTGGGATAGTCAATCAAGTGGGTCGAGGCGTCGAGTGCGTATGGAAGCGACTGGAAGTAGATGGCCGAGGCGGTAATCTTCTTCTTTGCTGTATAGTAACCGTGTGTCAAGTGGCCTCCGTCAGGGAGACCAAGACCCATCAGACGGTCTTGCGGTTGGATGAGAGCCGTCAGAGCAGCAAAGCTAATCAAAAGTAAGTACATGTCTTGGTTATTATGTATAGTCTTACTTTGCGGTCTGTTAAATCGTCAGAAAAGGCATATCGACAAGTTAAAGGTTACTCACACTGCCAGAGTATGGCTGCACATTGACGCCCCAGACCTGAAGAGGGGTTAGCGTTATGTCAAACAATTACCATCGACGTACATTGGGATCAAGGTTAAATGCCTTGAGGGCTCGCTCGCGACAGAGGTTCTCGAGCTCGTCAACGTACTCGTTTCCACCATAGTACCGGGCCCCAGGAAGACCTTCCGAGTACTTGTTGGTGAGAATCGAGCCATTAGCTTGCATGGCAGCGAGACTGGTCAAGTTCTATTAAAAAAAGTCAGCCGGATCATCGAGGTCGGCGTCGGAAGCATGCGGAAGAGACGATGATGCTTGAAATGATAAGTCGTGATGTTGATACATACCTCTGAAGCAATGAGTTCCAATCCGCTGAACTGACGCCATGTCTCCTTGTCGATGATGTTTTGGACGACTGGGTCCACCTCTGAAAGAGGCTTGTAAAGGTCTGCGTTCTATTTTTCAAGAGAGAGACAGTTGGTAAGCTTGGTATTTGGAGAGCGACAACCCGCAGTGAACGGCAGACTGAGATGAACAGGGTAGTCCTTGAAACTGGATGAAACCGCGTAAAAAAGACGTGAGAAGACGTGCTAGACACGTTTCAAGACCTCTAAGGGTCTCTGGGGTACTTCTTCATCGAAATACACGCAAATTTCGCGCGAAAACACGGTGTGGGTCGAGGATTGACGAGTAGGAACGTCGGTACGCACGAAATCTGACGGATAGTTTGCCATTCTACGAACTAGGAATGGTGCAAAGGAGTGGCGAGGTCGAAAAGCGGGTAAGAATGCGCGACTGAGCAATCTGGGTGAGGCCATCCTTTGCAGGTGGCTACTCGGCCGAATCGACGCCAATCGATAACTAGGCTATCAGATCTACGGGATTAGGAGCCTGTCCCTAGTAATGTCTTCTTAGTATTTTCAGAATCTCTACAATGTTCAACAGATTGTCGACGTCAATCGGAGTAACCAATCTCAGACTCCGCCATCATATGGCCCTCCAAGTCAAGGCCTCGCCCAAGAAAGATGGGCAAGCCCAGGATCCCCCAGTTATTCGCTACAAGTCTGTCAACTCCAAGTTTCGAGCCCAGCTCGCCGCAGAGGGCTCCCAACTGGCCAATGCAATGAAGCGCGTCCCACCACGCGTCAAGGCCCTTGGTGGCCCCATTCTCGACGACTTTATTTCGATTGCAACGCTCTGTGATACGCTCGAATCCAAGGTCGAGGTACTCCAGAAGGAACTGGGCGAGCAGAAGCAGTCGACAGAGATGTTGAACCAACGGCTAGAGGAAGGCCGTACCACTTTCGACATGTTGGTGACCCGGTTCACAAACTCGGTCGAACAGGCAACACAACTGAGGCAACAGGTCGACGAGGAGAGGCACGATACGAGCCAACGCCACCGGGAGGTACTGAAGCAGGAAAAGCTCTGCGAGACCAGGTGGCCACGCTCCGAAGACAGGTCGACGCGGAGAGAATGATGGCATCGCAAATACAAAGGAGCTGGCGACCCTGAGGGCTCAAATCGCCGAGATGGACAAAGAGCTCGCAGTGTATAGGACGAACAGTACCTTGTCCATCCCAGACTCCAAGTCACGAAAGGAGCATAATCGCAAGCAGGAGATTCAAAAGCTCACTGCTGAGAATGAATCACTGCGCGAGGACCTGAATACCCAGCTCGCGGCGCGACGCACCATCGAGGAGAAGATGGAGAAACAAGCAGATGCGGCAGAGAAGCGCGATGCCGAGTATCAAGATTTGCTGCGCAAGTTTGAAGCCACCAACCGAATCCTTGAGCGGTCGCAGGACAAGTTGGCTGTTACCAACGAGTTCCTGCAGGTGAACGACGACCTAGCAGCACATGATGCTCTCGCGCGGATTCTCAATCTCAACGAGGAGATATCTCAGCTTGCGGGCATTTTCGTCGCTCGATGTTCCTTCCTCGAGGACGGAGACGAAGAGTTCCCGAATCCATATGCGCGTGAATCTCGTAATGGATCCAATGCCGGAGGAGAAGAGGGAGAATCTCGACAGCAGGATCTCGTGCATCGATTCCTATCGCCGCGATTCCCCCCGTTGCTCATTAACCAGGACCACGAGAAGCGCAGGCTGTTTTTGGATTTGGCCATTCGGGCGTGCCTCGTCCATTTCATGGAACTAATAATAAACTCGGGATGCTTTGGACTGCGGGAAGATTTGGACGCATTTTTCCTTCAACTTTGGGGAATTGTCAAAACCCAGCGTAGGTTACCCGGCTCTCCGCAGTCGTAGCGATATGACACCAGTGCTAATTCTGTTCGCAGATCCTCAAGCTACCGCCGGCCGTTGGCGTGCCTTGACCCACCAATCAATACGAAGCTCTCCGCAGTTCCCGGTTAACCGAACACTTGTACCCAGCATGGTTCGCACACTTGGAAGCATACTGCGGATGGCACGGGTCGTCCGACCAGAAGTCACCGCCGAAGGTTTCGAGGACGACCTGACGGCGCTTCATGCCAACGCGGTGGCGCTCGAAATTGACTTTAAGGAAAAAGTTTTTTCCACAGCATACACGGCTCGTACTGCTGCCATGGACACGCCTTTCCTTGCTGTCGAAATGATTGATGTCAGCATTCTCATGGACGGTCTGCGGGAAGAGAGCATGAGAATGGGGGTCAAGTCGGTTCTCGCGTGTGTGGCTCTCGGACTCACTGCGACCCAGGGGACGGGAACCAAATCGCGCAAGTCTCTGAGCGGGAAGAAGGGCGAGGTGCGGCAGGAGCCGACAGTTTTACTGGACACGGTACTTTCCTAACGATTTGTACACGTTTTATTATATCCAAGTGTATTCGGATGCTTATCTTTCCGATGGTTGCTGCGGACATAACTGAATAAGTGCCGGGCTCGGCATGTTCATAAATCTCTGGGCCAACTTTACTTCCAATTTTGCTCCGTTCCACGGCCCTCGATGACTGCTGAGCTGTCGTCGGTGATGCCTAGACTGCTCTCGTATTCTCCAAAGTCGCTACGATGGGCTATTGCCTCCTTTCTGACGCTTGTCGTCATACTGTACCTGCTCGCACACGACCATTCGCTAGCTAACCAGACATGGCTCCAATTCACGTCTTCTTCCTCCTCCAAAAACTCGTTACAGACGTATGACGACACAGTGAGCGATACCCCCGAGCTCTGCAAGCGGCTCGAAAACTATTACACTTGTTTGGGAACAAAGCCTCGTCGCGTCAACGGATCTACCACTACAATAAAGGGAAGCGCATCTCCTTCCAAGCTGGATGTTGTCTGGATCTGGGCAAATGGGAGCGATCCTGTGTTCCAGGAGGCCATTTACGACGCGCAGGTGGCCTCTCTAGGCGACACTAGCTCCACCTCCAGAGTCACACTCAGCAAGGGCGCAAAGCTCTATCGGTATGTGCCTGTGCATCGCTTCACACGGCTATTTTGACCTCTCCAAATATATTTCGCCACAAATAGGGAGCACGACGAGTTGAGGTACTCGCTACGCTCGGTTCTCCAGCACTTTTCTTCGCACGCAAACCAGTTCCATGTACTCACAACGGATGTCGGAAATGCCGTCGGAGAGCGGTTCGGGATTTTGCCCCAGTGGCTCACATTCAACACCAGCGCTCCTGTATCCTGGAAGGATGGAAACGTGACTCTCAACATTATGCATCATTCTCAAGTATTCGAAACCCTCGATAACTCGACGTTCAATAGGTTCGGGCTAGTGGCGATATTTTAAGTGCCGACACTAATCTTGTCTTCATTTCAGTTTTTCTATAGAATCGCAGCTGCCGGGACTCACGACCGTATCGGAACCATTGTACGTGTCTAACAACTGTCCGACTGATCACGCGCTGACCCAGTTATAGCATATACCTGGTCGGTTCTGACATCGCTCTTCGGATGCACTTCATCTCACTCGGCCAATTATAGAATGACGACTTCTTTTTCGCAAGGGACATGACCGCGACCGACTTCTACTCTTCGGGTCAGTGCCTTCCCTTGCGCCTTCGCTAAACTCAAATCTCCGCAGTCTATGGAATCGTTCTCCGCCTTGATCCGGGTTTAGTCGTAACCCCTGCAGAATGGCCGACTGATAACCCATCTGGGGAATGGCAACCGTTGAAATATACCAATTGGCTCCTAAGTATGTCCATTGTTTCCTCGAGGTGCACAAGCCCTGATCGTTCGTGTGAATCAATAGGCGAACGATTCGGTATACGACCGCGCCCCTACATGGTGCATGTGGCGAAAACGCTTTCGCCCGCGATCCTCCAAGAGATCAGCACCATCTGGTCGGACGAGTTTGCAGACACGGCGTTTCATCGCTTCCGTGGCCAACGCGACGTGTATACGACGTTCTTACACGGACATTATCTCGTAGAACGATGGAGGGAGATTCTCCTTTGGAGCTGGGTCGTTGGCAAGCATGGACGCGATGATGATACTTGGGGCCCTACGGAACTCGATGCAGCGTGGACAGATCTCGGTGGTTCCGAGTCTTCAGACACCTTGCATGTCTATCTCAAGCCACGAAGTACTCTTGAAAAGGCGAGGGTCAATAAAACGATGGAGGAGGCGGGTGAGGTTCCCCCAGCTGCGACATTTTATCGTTTCTGTAAGTCATATTGTAGGGCTGGAGATGTGACGGTGGCTAATTTGTAACCAGCGAGCCTGGATGGCTATCCTTATGCGTACACCTACCGAAAGCCTAGATACTTCCCTATGATCGGGCAAGGCGAGGATCTCTACGAGAATGGATCACCACCAGACTGGAGCAAGGAAACTTGGGCCCGGTGTCGCATGTCACGGAATAGATGCTTCCCCGCTGGGCTCAAGGCATCTGAAATCTTCAAACACGTCCTATACACCCAACCAGAGCCCTGTGGAGATTGCAGTAAGTTGGTCATTCTATCCTCAATGCTAGCTCACATCCTCTAGTCATTAGCGCATTGTTGAATGAGAGTGGAAAGCTCGGTCTCGAGGCGTTCTTGCCACCCCCTCACCGGATTCACTATTCGAGCACCAAAGGCCGCATTGTCAAGGATGTGGATCCGGATTCTATCCCACGACTGCCGCTCACGAAACGACCGGGAGATGCGTCGTTTAAACTCAAGGACGTGATGCGAGAGTGGGATACCGTGCGGGTACGAGACTGGGTCGTTCGTGCCATGGGGCGTTATCGCTTTGTGCTCGGTGCGTCCTTTTTTGAAGAGTCGAATCGACAGATGCTCACTGGGTATGTACAGGGGATACGCCTAGTCATTTCGGGATGCTTGCGAACCCAAGGGGCGCAATCTATACCTTTAAGAAGATTGACAAGATGAAGGACCTGGCCCTGTTGACGATCAATGATGATGTCAAAATGAGAGCCGAAGAGGTTGACCAGCTCTTTCGCGAGTTTCTGGAGAAGCGATGGAGGTATCCTTCTGCATGGGAGAATGTTTCGATGGGAGACATTGACTGAGCTCGGGGTAGCTCAGCCTGTGGTGCATTACTTATTCGTATTCTATCGGTGTAGTAGTCTTGGTCGTGCATATACACTCTCTGTGCTCCTTGCTGAAATCTCTTGATGCCGAGTGGAACCCAATAGAGTCAGTTGGACTCTACCGTCGTCGTGTGCCGAGGCATTGCCCACTGATTTCCGCCGATTTCTGGCTATTATTCCTACATTTGACTGCTTTTGAGTGACCATGCTCGCCCATCGTCTAACCAGCGTGCGTCGACTGTCGAGAGTGGGCCTGCTTGCGGTCCATTCGACCCGCTCGAGCGTGGGCATGTTTTCCATGCGCTGTACGTCCATTTCTTTTGCAAATTTTGCACATTTTCTGGCCATTGCTGATGCGTCGCGTTCGCTGTGGCACACAACTCACCCGCTCGGCTCGTCCCAACCTATCGGACTTATGGAGCCAGCCTTTTCCAAGATTGTCGTCGACAACCCGGTCGTCGAGCTCGATGGAGACGAGATGACCCGTATCATCTGGAAAAAGATCCGCGAAGAGGCGAGTTCAGTTCTCTCAACAAGTCTTGTGAGGACGGCCAAGCGCGTCGTCTACGAGGGAGAATGATAACCCCCAGTCGTCTCGACCTCGCTGCTGCAGCGTTGTCGACCACGTCGACAGCCTCTGCGGTCTAGGGCGCTTTCTGTTGGAAAACATATGCACAACCCCCGCACTTTCCCCGTGTGGATCAGTGCAACGGTTACGTTGATGATTGGCGAGGCGCCTATGCGATAATCCTCCATCATGCAATCAGCTGTTCTAGGGTGCATAGACAATGGGGGTAACCATACTGACGCTCCTCTTGTAGCTCATTCTGCCATATCTTCAACTCGACATCAAGTATTACGACCTCGGGCTTGAACATCGAGATGCTACAGACGACAAGGTCACTGTCGATGCCGCAGAGGCCATTCTCAAGCATTCGGTCGGCATCAAGTGTGCGACCATCACCCCAGACGAGGCCCGCGTGGAAGAGTTCAAACTCAAGTCGATGTGGAAGAGTCCCAACGGCACTATAAGGAATATCCTGGGCGGAACGGTCTTCCGTGAGCCTATCATCCTCACCAGCGTACCCCGGTCAGTGTGATTGCCCTTTTGCACCCGTACAACGGCTGAGGCAAGCGTGATAGACCGGTTCCCGGATGGACGAAACCCATTGTTATCGGCAGACACGCATTCGGTGACCAAGTGCGCGGTTTCCATGTGGAGCCCTTCTTCGCTGATAACGGTGTTATAGTACCGTTCGACAGACTTTGTGGCTCCAGGACCAGGCAAAATCCAACTCGTTTACACTCCAAAGGATGGTGGCAAGCCTACGACGATGGATGTGTACGACTTCAAGGGCCCCGGCGTCGCCATGGCCATGTACAACACTGACGACTCGATACGCGGCTTTGCACACACGTCATTCAAGATGGCGTTGAGCAAGAAGCTGCCCCTTTACATGTCGACGAAGAATACGATCCTCAAAAAGTACGACGGTCGCTTCAAGGATATTTTCCAAGAGATTTACGACAAGTGAGTTCTTTACATGCATGTGACGCACAGATTGACGGAGATTTAGGGAGTATAAATCCCAGTTTGAAGCGGCCGGTCTCTGGTACGAGCACCGACTCATCGATGACATGGTCGCCCAAGCTATCAAGTCATCTGGTGGCTTTGTTTGGGCATGCAAAAACTATGATGGCGATGTTCAGTCGGACGTTCTCGCTCAGGGCTTTGGCTCCCTAGGAATGATGACTTCGGAGCTCATCACCCCCGATGGAAAGACTATGGGTACGTGGAATTGCTTTCTTCCACCACAGTCTATTTGACCATGGGCAGAATCTGAGGCAGCGCATGGCACTGTTACAAGACATTATAGGGAGCATCAAAAGGGCAAAGAGACGAGCACCAACCCGGTCGCTTCCATCTTTGCTTGGACTCGCGGGCTCAAGTTCCGTGCGCAGCTGGACAAGAATGAGAGGCTCAAGCAATGGTGCGACGATCTTGAGGCAGCGTGCGTCGAGGTCATCGACAAGGACGGCGTGATGACCAAGGATTTGGCTCTCGCAATTCATGGAAAAGAGTATGTGTTTAATAAGCGACGTCAACGACCCAACTGACGACGTGTAGCATGAAGAGAGAACACTGGGTTATCACAAACGAGTACATGGATGCCGTCAAGGCCAAGCTCGATGAGAGGCTCAAGGCTCGAGGACAATGATTTATTGCTCTATAGTTTCCTGTCGATCTACGGAGGCTGCTTTAGAATGTGCATTTTCTGCTTTCGTGTACTAGCTGTACATCTTGTGGTGTCACATTTAGCTTGCCGCCGACCATTACCGGGGCCGACATCTGCCATGTCGACGACCGCGACAAAAGTCCCGCCTCATGATTATGAAGGTGAACCAAAAGAACAGGAGGAGGAGATGACGTCGTTGGAGGGCATTCTGAAAACAGTTGTTGACGGTGCATGGCATTACCTGCCGCAGCTCGCCATTATTGCTATTGCAATACCCATATTACTCGTTGTTTCTGCCGTTGCTGGACTCATTGTTCGGAATTCGGTCCCTAGGCCCTGGCAGCAACGAGTCTTTCTCCATTATGGGTATGCCAGGCCGTTTGAGCGCATAGACGTTGAGCTGATATGTCTTTAATCTTAGCGAGGATACTATTCCTTCTGCACATTTCCCTCTTCCGACCCTTGTGGCCGACCAGGCGTATGATATCTCAGTGCACCTCACCGTACCATATACAGAGACGAATGCGGTTCTAGGTATAATCGCCCTTTTACTCCTTCATCTGTCTTATCCTTGCTAGGCAACTTTATGACCTATCTCACGATTACCACTGCATCAAACAAGACCATAGCCTCTGCAAGTAGACCGGTACGCCAACAACAAACATGCGGCTTGTCATTGCTAATGATTTCAGTCACTCGTTCCACCCGCCCCGTCACGAGGATTGATTCGAAGACTTCTCCCGTTCCCCTCTCGCCGTCCGCATACGGTCATCACGATCCCTATCCTGCCGGAATGGACCCCCAAGACGTCCTCACCCTTGTACGCACTGCTGGAAGTCGGTCGACGTGATGGGTGGCGCTCCTTGGGTAAAGGCGAAGGACGCGAGATTACCGTGCTGGATGCTCACATCCAAGGTGCGGTCCTCCTTCACGGCACACGCAGAGTCGTTGGACGGTACCCCAACGCGACGGGACTCGCATCTTCGGGCATCTTCTTCATCACGTCCGCATTGGGTCTCGTCATCTGCTTCTACCGCTTCGCTGCGCCATTTGAGACGCGCCAGATGAGAGGTGGGAGGATAGCGGGGGGTGGTGGTGGTCCCCCTCTTCCGCCGATGCCGGTGCCCAAAACGCTCCCAGGGAGACCGACGAGGAGGGCATCAGAGTCGTCGCGCAGATTCATCAAACGCGAGCCATCTGTCGAGTCTTCAGCGTCTTCAGTAGGGCATAAAATTTTTCTCATTCTTCGCTGGTTGACTCGGTTTTACAGACAACAAGAGACTTGCCAAATATTCCAACTCCCAGTTCGGGACTATCACAACGACTCAATACTTCATCTCCTTATGTAGACGTTTCGACGGACGGCGATAATGAAGGCACCGTATCCGCTTAATGCATCATGTTTCTAGAGGTCTCTGTTTCCGTACCCACATTTGAAAGACATACTTTATCCCCTTTTCTTCTTGCACGCCTTCTGGGACGTCGAATCCTGCCCATTCGACCAACTCTTCATGCGGTGCTTTACGCCACTCCGCGTCAGCGTCCGTTTCCGACAATGAAGATTGGGTAGAAGTGCGCTCCGCTTCGACTTGGGCTTCTGAACGAAATTCCGAAAGGTGGACGTCGCATTCTTCAAACGAGGGCTCGACAATACGAGTGAGCAGGATTCGATCGAGCAAGTAATTGGTAGAGGGATTTGTGAGAGCGTGTTGATAGAGTTGGGCGCCTCCAATGAGGAATCGACGATGTACTTTCGGTTGGCCTCTTGTAGGGTAGGCACAGGCGTCCTCTATATCGTGTGCTTGGACGAAGCCGTCCTGCTCTCTATGTACCAATGAGAATTCGCTGCTTATTACCCTAGATTGAAGCTCACTGAAGCGATGAGTAACTCCGCGAGACGACTACGTTTATCCTATTCTTCAATGGGCGAAATTTGGGCGGGATACTCTCCCAAGTCTTGCGCCCCATGATCACCGTGTTCCGGACTCGATCCTCATCCGACGCTTGAGTTGGTACCGCAGAGGTAATGTTCGCAAAGTAGGCCATCTCCTTTGAAAGTCGCCAAGGCAGCTTTCCGGTCATTCCAATGCCATTGCTGAGCGTCGCGGCAACGATGAGAGTTATACAAGGAGTACGGGATTGCATGGTACAGGGATAACGGCGAAAAAGTGGGAAAGGGTAGGGTCGAAGATTTACTCAATATAGACATTTTCTATTTTCACAAACATCGATGCAAGGGCTCAGAAATCAGGTACAATAACGGTTAAATCCGAGTGAGGGAGACGGTAGCGATGGCAGATTCTTGAGAACAATTTTATTCTTTATATAATATATATTGCAATGCTCTCAGGTCTACGTCTCCATGGCTCAGTTGGTTAGAGCGTACGACTGTTACACTTGTGCATCGTAAGGTCGCAAGTTCGAGCCTTGCTGGGGACGTTCTTTTTGTTTTCCGACGGAGCGTCTCAAGTCCATCCGCGGAAGCTCGGTTATAAAGTTTTGCATAATTTATATTCACTTGAATACCTCCATGCATGTGAAAATGATCAATAGATGAAAGTCGAGACTGCCTTTTTATGTCTGGGACCGTCTCCTAATGCTACTTACAGATACTGCGTCTCCAAAACCGGGAATATCTGGTGAGTTCTCTTCAGGAGTCAAAGAGCCCTCAAGGTCCTCTTCCCCGGTTACTCTAGTCTGTCGAGTGAGATAGCCTTTGTGCGATGTCGGAGCACCATCGACCTCTTCGTCGAGGGTCACCGCACTTCCAAGACCACTAGATTGTCGTTGCTCTCGCTCACGGAGCCACGCTTTGATTTCTTCTCTACGCTGCATTCCGTGTTCCTTTCCCCGCGCACGAGCATCTGAAAGATGACGTTGGCTACGATCGTGCTGCTCTCGAACAAGTCTAGCCGGGGTCGGCGTGGCGACGTGGTACGCCACGGCAAAGCATACCTATACGGCTCTTGAGACGGTCTCAGAGAGAGAAGGATACAGCAGCAGCATACCATGACGCCAAATACGAATAATAGCCCTTCATCACGCTGCCATAGCTTGTCTGGTTCCACGCTCATTGTCATCGGCTGTTGCCCGCCATCACGCACGCCAAAGCCTTGATAGCGAGCTGCCGCTGCTGCCGCTGCCCTTCGTCGAGCCACCTCTCGTCGATATTCGTCATCTCGTTGGGAAGCTGTGACGCCGGTGCGACTGCCTGATGGATCCCGTAGTCGGTCGTATGCGACAGAAATGAGCTGAAAGCGTGCCTCTGCTACTGGTGCTGGAATGTTGCGGGCTTTCGCCATGTCTGGGTGGTGAATTCGTACGAGATCATAGTCTGAGTGCCCAGTACAATTCTTAGGTACCCATTCATTGCTTGTATAGATGCTTACAGCGTCTCTTGATTGCCTGTTGGTCAGCACCTGGTCGCAGGTGAAAGATCTCATGAGGTGTGGGATCTTTGTGTGTTGGAAATGGGTATTTGATTGATAAATCTTGCACTGCACTTGAAGTAAATCTGCGAAGGGTCCGCATACTCGACATGGTTAGGTCCAAGTACAACAGCGTTACAGCCACCCATGTAAACGGAGTCTGGCCTCTATTCACTGGAACTCACAGTTTGTTTTAGCTCCTAATTACGCCACCGGATTGCCTTTCGTCTTCGGAAGGAGTACAGTCTCATCCACTCGATATTATCCTGGCCTCTAACTATGGTTAGCTTCCTCGGATCATTAGACGTCGAGGCACCACCTCAGTCGTCTGAGCCCATGATCAGAGCCAAGCCTCTTTTGTCCTGTCAGCACAAGCGCTATCAACACTACATAATCCATGTTTGTCTCCGCTTCAGACCCTTTAGTCTCGGTACCCAGGGTGAGCTCCGCCGTCGGATCGTGAGATAGGATGCAACTGACGGCACTGATTTGGGACCTTCGCCGTTAAATCTACCTCTACATAAACCTTTGCCTATCTTGATCCCTCTTTCACATCTCTCCATCGCCCCCTCCTCTCAAATGGACAGGCAGCAACAGCTTTCGACCCCAAAGGTCGATCAGGACCCCTATAACTTGACACCCTCACAAGCCCAGACCACCTACTACGCAGATTCAATGGCGGATGGACAATCATCAAAAGTTGACGAGGATGCGCAGACTAGACGGTCGACATACACGTACAGGAGTGAAGCTGACATCTCCAAATTCATCAGACAGGTTCACGGAAGGGTGAGCTTAGGATATTCTGGCCGAAGCGGTAGTTCATTACAGGCTAGACGATCAATGCCTTGAGTGATCAGTACTTACTTCCCACCGGTCGGCACTCTTACTGTGTGTCTTCTGATCCGTCTCACGCAGTCCTAGATGACGAAGAGTGGAACCGACTGAACAAACAACATACCTCTGTGATCCTGGGATTCTCAGGACGACTTTATCCGGTCCCTGAGACTGTCAATGCCATCTTACGCCCGGATGGCCATGGACCAAAGAGAATTCTCGATCTCGGCACGGGCACCGGAGTCTGGTACGTGCGCAAATAATTCAAAACTGTCACCTGAGTGTTGTTCAGGGCCGTCGAGATGGCCCATGAGTTTCCTCATGCAGAAGTTGTGGGCGTCGACCTAGCCCCTTGTCCTCTGCAGCCAGACGAAGTACCCAGCAACTGTCGGTTCGAGGTCGACGACATCAACCTTGGGCTCCAGCACTTTGAGAACCAATTCGACGTCATTCACATTCGGTTCGTTGCAGCAGGCATCAAGGACTTTCGCAAGACAATGGAGGACGTGCACAACTGCCTGAAGCCAGGTGGCATTGTATTATGGGTGGAAATCGACTATGACCTGTACTCGTATACGCACGGAGATTTTCGACACCTCACCATGGCATCTGAGCTGAACCCAGATGGTGCTTGGCTCCCGCGTCCAGCTTACGGTACGTACTTTGGAGCTATGATAACAATCTCGCTCATAATCTCTTAGAAATGGTGCGCTCTGTAATCATCGGTGGTTCACAAATCGATGTTATGGCGCAACTTCTTGACACGGAAGGCCTATGGAACCAGACCACTCTTCTCGACCCAGATACGTGAGTACTTGGTGAGCCCCCATCGCACAAGCCAACTGTCTACACAGCTGCAAGGCAGCTAGCATGTACTTGCCACTCGGTGCGACTCACTTTACTCTCCGAAGTCTGACTGATCATGTACATAGGCCCCTGGGCGACAAGTCAGTTGCACAAATATGCTCCTGACAATGACTCACCAATCTAGGCAAGAATCCTATCGAGGCGCAGTATCTTCATTACGTTGGTTCTCTAATGTGAGTACATCACTTCCTACATGATGATCGCTGACCCTCTCGCCCAGGCGACAAGACATTAAGGTTGGTACCAGAGCTTCCATAAAATGAATCTCGTTTAATTGATTGCGTAGAGTGGCCATCGCGCCGTGCATCCCCTACTCATTCGGACTGGTTGGACCCAGGAGGTTGTCAACAAATGGTCTGCAGAGGCTGACAAAGGTATAGGCCACTTCCAACATTATTTGACGCTCTTTGATCACTTTTTACAACTAGAACTTGATTCTATGAAGGACAAGGCGTTGTTAAGGATCAGGATAGCTTGGGGTCGGCGGAGAGCCGAGCCAGATTGTCCTGCTCCACCACTGCCCGAAGCTGAGCTGTCGACAGAGGGGTCCCTGGCAAAATATCCCTTCTACTACGTCTATGATACCCAAGAGCAGACATTAAACGAGACCAAGGAACGCAACCGCGACAAACCAACGACCGAGCCATTTCATCCGAAAAGAGCAAAACCCGCTGCTTGATTATCGTAAATAGTACAAGCTGTAGAATGGAATGGAATATAATTTCATGCCAACCAGGCAGGTCGAGCCTGAACTCTACCACATACAATGGATAACAGGATTCCTCTGCTTTTTAAGCCATAATCCCCGTGAAATGATGAGTTTTCAAGAGTTTTTGCCGCTTTGAGCGCTTACGACTGGTCGTCGGCGGAACAGAAGCAGAAGCAAAGGCAGAACCCGTAGCGAAGACGGCAGAGTGGATCAATATGTCAGTTCAGGAGAGCCACATAGCATTCGTGAGACTGCGTCGACAAGAATAGAACGCTCAGCGTCCCTGTTTGGCTTCCCGCAAGCCTCATGCTCCCGCCCGCCATAAGCAATCGTTCCGTGACTTCCTGAACCGGTAAAACTTCCTGACATACCTATTCTTCAATACACGCCCTACATGGGTTTTAAACCTCCCCACCATGAACAGCGAGCGTGCCTACCAGCCAGGCGGCTGGGGCCGTATGGAAAGAGCTCGGATCGAACAGGGGTCTCTTAATCTCACACCATCCCAGGAGGGTACATCGTACGCAGGATCCACTGCTGCAAATTCACATATGGACGACGACGGCAAGACTCAGTTCTCTACTTACTCGTACCGAAGCAATCAAGACGATAGCTTGGTCAAAGTCGTTGACGGCAGGGTAAGCCCCTTTATACGTGGCTGCCTGTCACTAAATAACCCTGTCCGCAGATAATCAATGCCCTCAGCGACCAGTACTATTTGCCCACAGGTACTAATTTCCTTCGTTTGACAGGGTACTATTCTGATCGGTTCTTCAGACGACCCGGAATGGGCACGGTTGTTCGTATACCTATATGCCGCATCTCAGGTCTTCATTTTCGGTACAGAGATAAACAACATACAGCAGTCACCTTGGGACTTTCGGGTTTGTATCCCGCGAAGCAAGAAGTACGCGCCATACTTGCCAGAGCCGACGGTGACACTAAACGTATATTGGACCTCGGTATGCCCTTAGGCTTGCTACACCGTATGCGCACTCACCAGATCCTAAGGATGCGGCACGGGTGTTTGGTGAATCATGCAATTCCATACGGATACGCACTAAACTCTAACAGGACGATCGGAATGGCCTATGAGTTTCCACACGCAGAAGTCGTTGGTATTGATTTGGCCCAAGTTCCACTGGATGCTGAATCCTTACCGCCGAATTGTCGCTTCGAGGTGGATAACATCAATATGGGACTTTCACACTTTGAGAGTCAATTTGATGTTGTCCATGTGCGCTTTGTTGGCAGTGGTCTCAAAGACTTTCCACAGCGAATGAAAGATATTCATGCATGCCTAAAGCCTGGTGGGATCGTCCTTTGGCTTGATGTAGACTACGACGTCTACTTTACGGAGGAATTTAGCTACATACCTTCTGCGACTGACACTAATCCTGAGGGTTCCTGGATGCAGCGTCCTCTGGCAGGTGAAATGTCCTTTTTATGACACATACGCCCGCTTATATCACCACTAACAGAAATGAGGAGGGCTTGTATCAAGTTTGGGAGCGACGTTGCCTCTATGGAGTCGATGCTCGATGCTGGCTTGTGGCAAGATCCGGTCATGGATCCTGAAAGGTCAGCAACTTGTCGTCAGATGGTTTATGATAACCTCTGTATAGCTGCAAAACCGCAAGCCTGTTCCTCCCGATAGGTGAGATGAGTGCTTTTATGGAAATAACAAGTAACGTCGCTGGACAGGACCATGGGCGAGTCGTAAGCTTTCACAAGTACTGATTCAATATGCATTTATAGAGATTTATAGACCCTGATCCAGCAGTTACCCAGTTGCTACGATATACGGGGGCTCTCATACGACAGGATACGACCGTAAGCTTTTCGTCTGGAGGAATATATATCTTAAGGTCCCTCAGAATGGCTTCAAATCCATTGTTCCTCTCCTGCTACGAGTTGGATGGTCAAAGGAAACCGTGGACATGTGGACAGCCAAACAAGCGACTGGTAAGGGGGCTGCAACAGCACCATGAAGCACAGTATTGAGCCTTCGCAGAATCAGCGGCAATGGTGAACAAACCATCAATGAGGGTACGGATCGCATGGGGACGGAGAAAGCCTGCGGAGCCCCTTCCAGTTCAATCCGAGGAGATTACAGGAGACTCAGTGGTGTATCCCTTCTACTATGTCTACGACACCGAGGAATTGGCTTTGGAGCAGACTGCCAAGCGGAACAAGGGAAAAGGAGGCCAACTTCCGCCATTACCGTGCTAGTATTCATGTAGATATCTTTATTTATCACATTTTGTCGGGTTTGGGTACCCAAAATCACCTTGCTCAAACTTGAACCCGACTGCCACAGAGCAATGTCAGAGACGTCATCCTTGCATACTACTAATGCCTCCCGTATGTGTTTGCAAGCTACACGATGCTACTTATATCTTACAAGACCTTTCAAGTCTCCAATGACCCCTTGTTCAAAGTCAGACTGCTCGCGGCACTACGAAACGGTTCGTTTACGACAAATTGTCTGTCAATTATCGCTGATTTTTTCGCCAGGGGACCCTGCTATTATCGTTCCGCTCATCTCTGACATAAACAAGAGCACCCGCGCTTCTCTTGACTCGGCAGACGCTGGTGCAGCGGCGTTGCATCTCGCAATTCGATGTGCAAGCTGTATGTACTTGCAAACGTAATTCTAGTCCTAGTAGAAACTCATTCAGAACTCGTTTGTCCCGCAGGTGACACGATCCTGTTGCTCTTGCAACAGCGACCTATTTCTCCAAACGCAATCGATCCACCAGGGTCTGGAACAACAGCACTACATCTAGCCGCTTCCATTGGAAGAGCAGATGTTGTGTCGTTGCTGTTGCAGGAAGAGGAGATTGACGATACACTCCGAGATGCGCATGGCAAGACCTGTCTGGACGTGGCAAAGACCAAGGATGTCGTACGTATCATTAAAGGTATGACCAGATGGCGAGGTGATGACCCAATACTAAATGCTTCTCAGACTCGAGAAACGTTCTCAATGCAAACTACCTCTCTCTCTTGCGAGGCTATATTATGTCGTCGGTAAACACACCACCTCCAGAAGCTTTGACCAAACTTCTCCAATCCCCGCGAGTTCGAAACATTGATATGAACCAGATGGATATGGCTTCTGGGACAACACTCCTTCATGAAGCTGTCAAACGGAAAGATCTCAGCTTGATTGAATTAGCTGTACGGGCGGGTGCTGATGTATTCGTGCGCGATAAACGAGGCCGCGGCGTGACAGAAATGGCAGGCAAAGACGATAGGACGAAGGCCTATCTGCGACAATTCACCAACCAAGACACCACACTTCTTGAACCAAATGCAGTCCAAACAGAGGAACCGACGATGCGCGGATATCTGACCAAGTACGGAAACCTTGCAAAGGGCTATAACACTCGGTGGTTCGTTTTGAAAGATGGAATGCTGTCATGTGGGTGCCTCTCTTCGTCATAATGCGTGCAAGTGCTCAGAGCTGGTAGACTACAGGCATCAAGACGATGAGAACCTTGCCTGCAGAGGTTCTTTGTCAATGAGGAATGCGAGAGTGAAGACATCACCGACTGATAAACTCCGGTTCGAAATTCATGCCTCGACGAGGAATGGAGAAGGAACCCCCGAGAAATGGTATATGAAGGCCAATCATGCCGTGGAAGTGTCTCGCTGGGTTCAGTCAATCCAAAGATCGATCGAATGGAATCGAAGAGGAAAAGGAGCGGATCCGGATGCAGCCAGCATTCGATCAACCGGCACGGATCAAGGCACAACGCGCACGTCAAGTTCCGGGAAGAAGCGGTTTAGTAAAGCTGGCTCAGTCTTGAGCGGCATCAAGCGTCCCAAAGTCTCTCGACCAGATTCCCCTGTTCCAGACCAACAAGATGAAATCGCGCGTGACGAAGAAGGGGATGGATCCGATGAGGAGCGGTCATGGACCGCACCCACCGACCAGGATACACCACCTCATCAAGATGCCTTTGATCTGACCGGGAACACTATCTCAACGCACCTGGATCTTGCCTTGCAAATCTTAGGCAGTGGGTCCTCGACGTCGAGGACCGAAGAATCGCAGGTTACGCTGACAGCGTCCTTGTCCCAAGCCCAAACCATGTTGGCAGAATACACCAAGATGGTTCATGACAGAGAAACGTGGTACAAGGCTAAAATCTCTCGCGAGCGCGAACGAGCTGCCATCTGGGAGGACAGCCTTCAGAAAGTTGTTCAGCAAGGCGAGGAGCTAGAGGAAGAATTGAAGAAGACGATCCGCCAGAATAAGGACCAGAGACGCAGGTCCAGAATGTTTGAAGTCGACACCGAAGCCACAGTACGCCAGAAGTCCCCTAGAGCGGCTACGTTCACTAGTTCCGCGGAAGTGACGTTGGGCGCGTCGCTTTCCCCAGTAGTCGAGAAGTCTCCGGTCATGATGGTGCCCACAGAAGTGCCCGCTTCCCCTAACTCAGCTGCAACTCCTGCAACCTTTACATCTCCACCTCCGACTGCAATGACACTCGCACGAAGAATGTCCTCCACGTCATTTGATTCGGACTCAGACGAATTCTTCGATGCCATAGAAGCCAACGCTCTTCCAAATATGCACATCCCGGAGGTGCTCCAAACTCACCTCGTCGAGACAGCTGGTCGTCCATGGTTGGACCCGGAAACGTTTGCCGGCTATCAGCATCTCCGCGAACGCCTGAGCCTGGACGCAGACAACCGACCTCCCGTTTCTCTATGGGCTGTACTCAAAGGGTGCATTGGGCAGGATCTGAGTCGCATCAGTTTTCCTGTGTTCTTCAATGAGCCGACGAGTATGTTACAACGCATGGCGGAAGACATGGAGTTCTCAGAATGCTGTGAGTGATACATCGTCGTCTAGCTCTTCTCATCTCCTGTAGTGGATGTTGCTGCAAAGGAGCGCGATCCCTTTTTGCGAATCGCTTACGTAGCGGCATTTGCAATGTCGAACTATTCCAGCACAATTGGCCGCATTGCAAAACCTTTTAATCCGTGCTTGGTGTGCTCGTTCACCTTCATGCATGGGTCCTAGCTAACGATGTCCTAATTTAGAGCGAGACCTTTGAGTACGCTCGGGTCGATAAGCAATTCAGATATATCTCTGAAAAGGTCATCCATCAACCCCCGGTCACGGCTTGTATGGCTCAGTCTCCGAGTACGTCTTGTCTGGCCCTCCAGAGGATGAGTACTGACAGAGCTTAGACTGGCAATACTATGGCGAGGTGCGAATCTCATAGTATACCTCGCTTGGACTATCTGACAATTATTCAGGTCGATGCGAAGAACAAGTTCTCGGGCAAGTCTTTTGAGATTCGACCCACTGGTATCGCACATGTCGACCTAAAGCTGCCAAAAGACTGGGCGCCCAACTATCCAGAGGTCATTGATGATCCAACAAAGGTCACCGAGCACTATAGCTGGAAAAAAGTTACCACAAACGTATCCGGGTTCATCTTAGGAGCTCCGACTATCGACCACTATGGCGAAATGACTGTATGTCCCGATGAAAGTCTTCACAGGTATGTCATTGACGCTTCGGCAGATTATCAACCACAGAACCAAGGACAAATGCGTCCTGACATTCAAGCCCCGCGGTTGGAAAGCTCGTGACTCTTTTGAGATAAAGGGCCAGGTTCTTAATGCACGAGGAGAGCCTCAGTATGATATCGCAGGAAGATGGAGCAGTCAATTAGTTGCCCGTCGGACGGGCAACCATACCGCCGACCTCTTGCCAGATGTGACAGTGAATCACACATCACAAAGTCATGAATTTATCCTCTTATGGCGCAACTCGGAGAAACCACCAGCACCTTTCAACCTCACACCCTTTGCAATTACACTCAATGACTGCCCAGATACGCTCAAGAAGTACCTCCCGCCGACGGATTGTAGACTTCGCCCAGATCAGCGAGCGTTTGAAGAGGGACAGTATGAGAGAGCCAATGTGCTCAAAATGGAACAGGTATGGTGTCCCACGGCAACACAAAACAAGTACTAACGAAGATACAGGAAGAGTTCCAGCGGGCCACAAGGAGACGAAGAGAACGAGGAGAGATACCGCCCCATAAACCACGCTGGTTTGAGGCAAAGGTGGAGCCAGACTCTGGCGAGCGGTACTGGGCTCCTCTCATGAAGGGGAGTCAGCTGGAGTACTGGTATCAGCGAGAGAAAGTCACGAAAGCAATCCAGGCGGGCATGTCCGCTGAGTGGGAAGGGGTCGACAGGATTTACATCGACTCTGAGTTTTGAGAATATAGCTTATCAAGTTAGATATGGCCTACGTGCTAGATAAACAGAGACTATGAACAAGTGATTCAATAATGACGGGAATGCGGGTGATAAATCAGTATGGACTCATCAGAGTGTAGGGGACTATGCAACATGTGGGATATGATACGCGAGACGGACATCTTCCAAACATGGAAGAATAGTACCCAAGATAGGAGGTGACCGTGCGTTCGTGTTCATCTTTGTGCAAGACGATCCTTCTTCCACTGCGCCTCTCGTTTCGCGCGCTGTTTGCGGAGGTCGTCGTCACGAACCTTGACGATAAATGTATGGGATATGAATGAATCTGGGTCTTGAGGGATAATCGAAAGTGGCGGTCGGCTCAGCAGTTCAATCGCTGCGCCTTGTCCGCCTTGAGCAGCATTCAATGTCATAAGAGGGCGTTTGCAGAGAGTCATAAGGGCCAGTCCAACGCGGAATAAATAGATAGAGCCTATAACAATGTCAATAAAAGTTTGATCACAATCATTCACTGACCTTCATAGAACAAAATGTCCCATACACGATGGAGATGATCGGGTGGGATGATACCCGCGAACAGACAGCAGAACCATGTTCCACAAATGTCTACCGACCTCAGGCGAAGTTCGTTCTAGATGAAAGATAAGTAGCGTACAAGCGCATTATACGGGATCTTACGAAGAGTTGATTAGCAAGTTCTGGCTCGACAGACTCGACGAGGTTTTGAAAGAGTGACGCGTCAATCTCGAATTGACCAGTGCTAACGGTTGCGTAATATCCTCGTAGATGAGAGTCCATGAGGGCGACAAAAATCCAAAAAGCATCTTCATCTGGCGCTTGAAGGAGAAGGTTTCCGGCAATGCGGGTTAGCCCTAGGTCATCGTTAGCATAGTCTGGATAAAAGCCGAGCATCGTTACCTGTACGATAGCGAATGTCAGGCACCATTGCCGTATACGCTAACAGCAAGTTTGCCAGAGAACCACGAGGATCACGCAGATGCGGGTGGTCGGGGAAGCATCGATCCACGTCTTGCTCAATTACCGGGACCAGATGCTTCGGAGCCTTCTTCACCAGCTGTGAGAATATGCCTTCCATCCGACGGGCCTTGCTGTCGGTGACAAGTCCCCAGACCCGGCCACGTACGCTAGATGGGACACCCTCCAGCAATAGGCGCTTAACCTTTTTGGACTTTTTGGCCTGGGAAGACGGCGTGGATGAGATTAGGCTCATCCATTTCTGCTCTCGAAGGCGATGTGCCTCTATCGATGCCGCTTGGATGGCAGACGGTCCCCGCGGGTTACCCAAAGAGTCGCTAGATCCTGCTCTGACATTTGGAGAGCGAAGATGTGAGCCACCAGGAGAAGCGCTTGGGCTATCTGCCCGCCACGCACTCCCGCTACCTTCAAAACCACTACGTATTGATTCGACCTCTGGTGACATGACGTTGGGATGAAGCCCATCTTCGCTCCCCCGTAGTCCCGTCGTCTTGAGCACTGGTTTGACGAGCTCAAACTCCATATCCTTAACTTGAACGCGCTCTTCCTCGTCGGCGGTCCCTGGGGTGACTGGAGATGTATAAGGAACAGGTGCATCCCCTCCATCGCGTGATGGTCGACCGTTGGATCCTTTTGCTCGTAGAGCAGAAACGGACAATTTTGACCGTAGCGAAGCACTGCGACCCATTGGAGAGGATGCCGAACTGGAGGCACCTGTATGCACGAGGGAAGGCGTGGTCAACTCAGACCTATCCGCATCCTCTGTGGCGATTGGGTTTGTTGATGTCGACCTCCGTGTCGGTGATGGTTTGGTCGGCGAGCTTTCGCGTTTCTCATTGGACACTCTTGGCTCCGCTTTGCTCCCTCCTTCGTAATTTGCTGCAGAACTCGCAGAACGAAGGACACCGCTAGACGCTACCTGCCGTAACCCTTTTCCTTTCAGTGAACCACGGGTGGTGTTAGGTGACGGTGGCGCATTACGCGTGACTTCGGGTTCCTTGTCTGTGTTGCTGATGGCAGGAAGGGAAAGCGGAGACGGAACGTGAGTTGGTCGTTGCGATCGGGATGGGCCTCGAGAAGGAGACATGGATCTAGATGGCTGCGAGGAAGACGGTGACGTCTGGGCCCTTCCTTGTGAGGGAGAGGTACCACGTAGCGAGGCACGATAATCTGGGCCCGCTCTCGGCTGACTGCCTTCTTCACGGCTGGGGATATGATCAGCAAGCAATATAAAGTGTCATGTGCCTCGTACCTGCGTTCAACCGGTATCAACGGATCGGTATTGCTCAGGTCAAATCCGCTGAAACTGCGTGATCTCGGTCTCGGGGCGCCACTCTTAGGGAAAAAGTTGGCTCGAGGAATCGGGAGTGCCGCCGCCGCTTTGCCTGGGTCAGCGTCTGCTCTCGGCGGTGAGTTGATCCCGAGGCCGACGGGACTTGCTGGTGAAGACAACTTTGGTGCACTTGGCGGCCGAGGGAACCCAAGTTCAGGAGTAGGGAAGCCTCGAGGACTAGGAGGGGGATTGTCAAGAGAAAAAGCGATCGGAACAGGAACCGGTGAGCTAAGCAGGTCGACTTGGGTGGCGCCGTAGAGGGTAGTTTGGCGTACGTTGCGTGCCTTTGCAGCCGCCATAGCCAATGTACTGTGTAGGGACATGGAGGGAGGGATGTTCGTCTCGTTCTGCGGGACTGGTGGAGTGGGGGTTGTCTGGGTTGCCTCGGGCGAGTTGGGTAGGTTCATTGACATTCTGGCTTTTGCGTTTGCGACATGAATCGCAGCGGGACGGGCTTCGATTTGGCCATTGCTCATCATTGGTTTTGGAGCACCCGGGTGAGGCAGAAAGAGCGATGCACCTGATTCGTATGTGCTCGCGGGTGAGAGTGGCCCGTTGGTATCTGTTGGCTCCTCTGTTTCTGGACTCTCCACCTCTGAAGTCGACTCATCGCCATTGTAGTCATTGCTCGTTGCGGATTGCATCGTGTCAGTCGAGATGGCTTGGATATTAAAGCTGGTGACGGATGGCTTTGGTGTAAGGTCCAACTTGGCCATAGCTGCAAGCATCTTTCCATGGTCCTCATCCCCCCTTTCTCTCAGAGCCGATGTCATCCCAGGTGCTGGAGAGACAGAGCTTGGTGTAGTCTCCGTGTCTGGCGAATGGACTCGGGCCATTGGCGTTGTCGGTGTCTCCATTGGACTTGGGACTCGCGTGCTATTCTTGACGATATTTAGAGGCTTTGGAGTAAGTAATGATGTTGGAGGGGGTGAAGGCGCAGATCGAATCGACATTTGGCCGTCCAGTGAAGGCCTCGAGTCGTCTGGTAGGGGAGGTGCCTTGATAGAAGCCATTGTAGACTGCCTTGATCGTCCTGTCGACACCACAGAGTATCGTGAATAGCGATAATCGTCAAAGATGTCGTCGTCGTTGTATTGAGCCCCATCGTCTCCGGCGTCGCTTTCCGACCGTAGTGACCCCTTTTGGAGCATGCTTGCCGACGAGGATGTCTGAGAGAGGTGCGGTGCATGATGTATGCTGGGCGTCTTTTGCTGACTTGTTGATGCATGTGGTTCCTGGAGCGTCGCAACCGGTTTTCGAACAGGGGCGTCCGTGTCTGCTTCTGACTCGCTCCAGTATCGAGAATCTGTGTCGCCGGCGGCCAAGCCCTGCAAGAGGGAGAGTCCAATGCCAAAACCACCATCCGAATGAGTCATGGTCGAGACTCGTTGCAAATGACTATCCTCAGAGACGAGATGGTTGTCTTCTCTCGTGTACTCTGAAGTTGGTGACGCAGCTTCTTCGTCATCGCGACTGGTTGGCTCAGGGTTGGGAGGTTGCGTGGGAGAGGGACACTCTCATCATTACTCGTCGATCGCAGCTGCGCCGTGTTTGAAACAATGGAGTCTTGTGCACGGTGAACAGGGCCCGGGCGCGTGTTTACGCTGCGCACGACTCGTTCCTCCGATGTAAACGGCGAAAAGCTGTCAGAAACGGGCGACTCTACGCGAGCTTCCTCGCGGAATTCGCGCAAAATTTGGTTCACCTGATGCGAGGGCTGACCGCGTTCGTCGACGACTTCAATGGCGAGTGGGCGCGACTGATCGTCGGATGGACGGGATGGTGTGTCGACGCGGGAGAATTCTGAGAGTTGATGTGCCTTGTCCGCGGTAGATGGACGGGTGTTTGACTGAGAAGACGGTGCGTGGCCGGAAGAGATGCCACCATGGCTGTGGCTTTGCTCAGACGGACCGGTATAATACTCTCCGTCCTGGTCAGACTTGTCAAGATGAAATGGCGACGAGGATTGTTCAGAAGGAGTGGGGCTTGAAACGATTGGACGCCCAGACAGAGCCGGGCTAGCAGTCGAGTTTGCGGTCACGGAGCCTGGGCGCCGTGTAAAGACTGGTTTCTTGAGTTTGCCATGGAATTGAACGTCTGCGCCTGAAAACTTGCCCACGACACCTTCGCAAAAGCCCTGGAGAGGGAGAGGGTGATGAGCGCATCGACAACAGCCGGGGCCGAGCCGCGGGGGAAAGGTTACGCACAAGGTAGAGATTATCGGGCACAGAAATCTGTCTCAGTACGACGATTTCATCGTCCTATATGGGTGAAAGCAAGAGCAAGGGGGCCAAGGCCTGAGGTTAGCCATCCGTCGTCCAATTTTGGGCCACTGCAGACTGACCTGGAGGAACATGAGATCCTCTGGATTCTGGGCGACACAGTCTCTAGACGCTGTGCATTTGCCAATTCCTCCCTTTGCAGCAAACCGCGTCCATCTTGCGAGTTCTTGTGGTTCCATGGCGAAACGAGGATCAGACGATCGTCCACGGGTTCAGCGGGCAAGTTAAAAGAGCTGAAGAAGCGCCTGTATGTTGCTCAGCAGCCGCAGATTTACAAACTACCGGTGCCCGGTTCTGCGGCCACTACAAGGGACGGCGTGGCTGGCGTTGTTGAGTGGGGATGGATAGAGAAACAGAGCCAGTGTTGTAGCAACGCCAGGGAATTAACTGGATCTGCTCGTCGCCGCAAAAGGGGAGAATATGGTCGAGAGTAAGTTGTAGCTGCGACCCTTTCGCGAGAGTTACCGGCAACGTGCTCCGCGCTCCGACATTATCAGAAACATTATCGTAAAAAAATACATTTACTAGTCTCCATTACGAGGGCGGGCCATCTCCTCCATCTTCACGCGTTCCAGGGGCCAAAGCTACACAACTCCATCCAAGATTCATGACCCGGGGCACAGTTTCAGCCACTCTTCTGTCTCCCACGCGGACCACCAGAGAGAAAAGCGAGCGGAGGACAGAACCGGCGGCAATACGGCTGCAGTTCTAGATTTCCAAGACGCAATATGCATAACGAGGCGCTCGACAGCGACTAGCGGACTAGGACACACACACTATGTCTTGTCACCCGTCGCCACCAGGAGTTGTCATGCGTGGTTTGCAAGTTGAATACTTGCCCCCCCTGATGGTCCATCCACCGTTCCCATGTGTAATAATCCCCCTCCAGGGGGGGCGCTCGACACGCATCCCAATCCAAACGCCATGTCCGTTCGTCCGTAAGCGAAGACCATAGACCAAGGCAATCCCCGGTGCGCTCGCATTCAGCTCCCAAGGGGAGGAGGGCATAGCCGTAACCATATGCGTCTATTCCGGTGGTTGTACTGTCCGTTCTCCATCTAGATTTCGATGTCCCATCAAAGTCTGCACCCCCTCCGCTCTCCCTATACTTGAGACGACTTCCTTCTTTGATGGATGTTGCGCACTTGCACCGAGGTCTGGTTCGCAATCTTCAGCTTCCTCGTCTTTCGCCAATGGTCCTAGCCCCGTGCTGGCTCTCCGATCGTTCTCCCTCATGCGTCGCTTGACCTTGCCCGAGTACCCGCCCCAGCTCACTTCTCTCGCAATTCGATCCAGCCGCTTCTCCTCTTTGCTCATCTTCGCAAGAATATGCGCAGGCGGACCCTGCCGCATTCGCTGAATAACCCGCTTGGTCATTTCCCCTCGACCCTCCCGCTCTCGTTCCCGAGTCTTGTTCTCAATCTTGAAAAGGCGCGCCGCTTTGATCGTTTTGAGCATCTCTGGTGTGTATGCTGATCTTGCGCGTGCGCTGTCCCGAGCGTGCCCCGCGCGTATGGATGCGAGTGTCGAGTGAAGCTTAGCCTCTGTCATGACACACGTCAGATCCAAGAATACCCGTCTGAACATATTCACCGTATTCCTTTGAGGCATACTCCGCCGAGCCCTCCATGCCCTCCTCGAGCAACCTCTGCTCCAGCTCCCGCTCAGCCCGGATATCTTCAAGCCATTCAGTGGCTTTTTGTTGTCTTTCTATGCGACGTATGCGAGCGAGAATCCTATGCTTGATCATCATCGTGATATGAATGGGTTGATTGCGCATGCGGGGGAGCGGCTTGTTGTACAAGGTCGGTCGCATGAATGCACCCGTCAAATACGGACGTTTCTTCATACGTTGTATCCATTTCTGGGGGACGGTGAGGTTACACAACTCGCTTCCTACTCGCGCTACTCACCAGCTCTCGATCATACAACTCTTCCATCGCTTTGCGCTCCTTTTGGCGTCGGAGTAGGCCTTCATATCGTGCCACGACTTTTGCCTTGGGATGGTCCGTATCCAGTAGCTCCAGCACCTATGAAGGCCTCCAGAGATGTCAAGAGATTTTCATCCCAGCGCACCTTGTACCAGAATGTGAGAAATGCCCTGACTTTATACGGACTAGTGTTATGTTGCTCTCGTCGAAAGGCTGTACGAACGTGCCACTGTAGCTAAAAGACTCGTTTAAAATCCAACACGAGGCGCAAACGTGAATGGCGACGACGTACAGCGTGCCCGTGGAGCCTGGGGTCCCATTCCACAGCAGAAAACGGTTCAAATCTCCAAGTCTTGTCTCTCATTCCTCGTATAGGCGGTAATCGACGCAACAAGTCACGATAGAGACCCCATCGTGTCGGGATACGATGCGCCGCGAGTCGGTTGAACGGTACGCGTGGTCTGACGCGTCGAACTGCTGAAAACTCTTTCGCAAGATGTGCCCGATGCTGAAGAGACGCAGCAGAGATCAAGTCTGCCGCCGCGGTGATCGATGTTCGCGTCCAAGAAGTCATTCCGTTTAGCCGGTCTAAGCCTCAGAGCTCAAACGTGTACAAAAAAGAACGAGTTTTGTTGTCATCTACAACGAAGTGGTACAAGGTATCCGGGTGTGTATGGAACACGCTGCTGCTATGCGTGTAGGGCCAAAACGAACGTGAGGAGTGAGAATCCCATGCTACAAAGACGGGAGGAAGGGTATATCGCTGCTATTTCAAAACCAAGCGTAAAAAGAAAGAATCGTGATAGTGACCGAGCACTGTCGTAGAGAATTCCGTCCACCAATTTCTAGTTTCTGTTTCATTGAATCATGAAGAATTGTTTGCTTTAAATGCCGCGCATGACGCGGGAGCGAACAGCAAAGGTTCTTTCCTGAACTGGAACGACGGCTGTAGGTGCAGGAGCGCGCTTCTTGGATGGAAGCTCCTGACGCTTGTGGGCGGCTTTGTTGGCGTGTCGCTTGATGAGAGGACCCTGTTGAACGATGCGTTTGATGACACGCTTCTTTTGACGTGAGCCACCGCAGCCACCACCCGTGGAGGTGGGTGTCGGAGAGCTGCTACCCGGGGTCGTGGACGAGCTCGACGCGACAATGGTTCCAGTTGGAGCATCAGATCCAGAGGTCGAGCTGCTTCCACCGGAAGTAGAGCCATTCGGGTCAGCGACAGCAATAGCCGCAAGGGGAGGGCCAGGGGGGGTGTACACGCTTCCGGGGTTGAAGACATTTGGGTCCAAAACACCGGGTTCCGTTGGGGAATATCCCCCTGGGAAAGTGACGACTTCTTTACCAGAGGGGATCGCCGACGCGGTGCGCGAGGGAGCACTGAGGCGAATTTGGATACAGGCCGGGTAAAACTCGACACCACCTTCGCTGAGACCGTTGTGCATGGCGATGAGGTCGTGGCGGATCAGGTACTCTCCGGCTGGGAGGGTTGGGGGGATCGTGAAGCTTGTCGTGCCGTTAGGACCAGTGGTGAGGTCCGCCATATACCAATTGTCTGTGCCAGGATATTTCCCAAGTTCGCTTACTTTGAAAAACTCGGCTTTGGCGGAATCAAATGTCGCGCAGCCGCCATTTCCGCAGGAGGCCATCTAGAAATGCCGGGTCAATCTCAGGACGCTCAAAAAAAGCACTACAAACGAAGTTCACCACCCCACCAACTCGATGGACCCAAGTACCACCTTCTCCGTTGCGCCAGCTGAGAGCAACGGTGGAACCAGGAGCGGCGTCAGCGACGAGGCCCGCCTTTTGAGCATTGTGACCACAGTTGAGATCCGGATTGTTTGTACCCTTTACCGGATCGACAGAGTTGACAGACCGAACGATATACTGGGCCGGATTCTCCAGAGGCATAGGTGCGGGATAGTGCTTGCCGTCAATCCAAACACCTATAAAGGATAATAAGAAATTGTAAGCAGTTAAATGCTTGTTACATACCAGAAAGAGTGCCATGAGCGGCCACCAGCGGCGCAAAGGCGGCAAGGGAGAGGAGAGCGAGTTGAGCAAACATGGCGGTTATGACTTGTGAAAGCAAAAAGAAACGTGCTCGGCAGCGTCGTGAAAGGAGATATCGTCAAGATTCTTGTGCTAGTTCGTCACAGACGTGAAAGAGGTCGTCGAAGAAAATCGTCGTCAAGTCACGAGCACACTACAGAGGCTCGCAGAAAGAGTTGCCGACGGAAGCAGCAAGCAAACAGCGACAAAAACGCCCGGGGGGGAAAGGGTACAAGGGGGGGAAGGTGGCGGATCTGGCCGTGTGCTTGCGAGGGGATTATATACGCCAATGGTGCCTCGAGGCCGCGCCTCCCGTAAAAAAGCCTAATCACGACCCTCTTCGCAATTTGCCATATAAGTGTGAATTACTTGGCCGAAAATAAGCCAAGCAGATGGGCAAAGGGTCTCTCGGCTACTCTAGCCAGCTTGGAAAATTTAAGAAAATCTGAGGAGGATTGGCTGAAAAAGGAGCAGAAAAGTAACCATGGGCGTGTCGGGAGCAGCGAAGATCACGCTGCTCGGCCAAAGCGCCGCTGAGCCGATTGTGCGTGACTTGTGTGTCCGTAACCACAGCAGCCACAGGCCGATTGGAAGAGTCAATTCGGAATTTGAACGCGCCGCAGTTGCGTCTCCATCGGTCAATAGGGCGAGGAGGCCGATCTGGCATGTTTGGCGGACCTTGGGCTTGAGAACCTGTAAGCAATCTTATGAATTTGAATGTATATAGTCGCATCGTAGCGTCATTACGCGAGGCGTCGAGTGGTGAACCTAAGTGAAGTACCACAAACCGGATAGCGACCTGATGCTGACATGCCGCTCACCCTTGGTCAGGCAAACAAGTCAATTGGTCAGAGAGTTTTATGAGTTTTAGGTATTATTCCTCGCTACATCCCTTCTAATTTTTATAGTATGCTCAAACCCGACGTTCAGTTTGCGGTACTTCACTTAGGTTCACCACTCGACGCCTCGCGTAATGACGCTACGATGCGACTATATACATTCAAATTCATAAGATTGCTTACAGGTTCTCAAGCTCAAGGTCCGCCAAACATGCCAGATCGGCCTCCTCGCCCTATTGACCGATGGAGACGCAACTGCGGCGCGTTCAGATTCCGAATTGACTCTTCCAATCGGCCTGTGGCTTCCATGGTTATGGACAGTACCCGACTGCGTCCCTCACTTGGTTCTTCTAGCCTTGTGTAGATGCTCTATGGTGAAAATGTATGGTATTTATTTGTTCAAGGTCATAAAAGTTTACAGGACTGACATATGAACATGTTGGGTGCGTGAGGATAGTGCGCACAAGCCATGATCTCCAGGTTACTTAAGCCTCACGAACATTACTATAGTGTGGTATTATTCAGAGTAGGGTTACATTGCGAAAAAAAGAGAGATGCTGGGATCCCCCGAAGGAGATGCCCAGACCGGGAAATATTGAGCCAGTACTCGCTCCAAAGGAACGAATAGATCAAGAAGCACTGAGGACGCCTAGAGGCCGCTGTGCTTTGTCAATGTTTCAAGACCAACACCCCGCAGGTCCTTGAAGGGGGATGTTCCAGCAAGGTAAGTATGCTGAACCATGTTGCTCGCCCACGGCCTTTTATGTTCGCTGGCGCACGGATCCTTGGCCAAATGTCTGCTCACTTGTTCTGGCCGGCGGCCGCGTTGATTTATACATGAAATCTTCCATGGAGTGGTATAAACTATTCGTTTATAGACCAAAAACTACGATCACTATACATTATGTGCGCACACATACATCATCCAGGCGAAAAGTATACAAAATAGTAAGATCGAGTGGGGAATAGAGAGCAATACCTTAACAGAACAGGCCCCACAGGCTCATAGGCACACCTCGAGTAGCACCCAGTCTTGGACGGCACCGGGAGACTGTTTTAGCACCTCTACGGGTACTAGAAGATCCGTCGCGACGTCTACCCGTCGTAGACTAATTCGGACACTACTGTCATCACGAATTTTATATGCGATCTGCCATTCTCCATGGTCTTCCAAGGTGCCGCTCGTCTTGCCCATCTGGTCTGCAGTGACAAATGCCGGTCGGAAGTCAAACGTCGTTGCGGGCATCGTTCGGATGCACTCTTCCAAATCCGTTCGCAACTCGTCCGCCTATTGAAGGGGACGGTGTCAGCTAGAGGTTTGGTGAAGGGGGGTATGCTGAGGACGGACGTACATATTTCCGGGGGAACACTTCTTCCTGGTCTCGTCCTTGCAGGCGCGCTTCCACCTCGCCACGTAATGCACTCCTAACGTCCTCTGGACTCAACCTGCGTTCATTCCACCACCTCTCAGGGATGCTGATCACGAAATTGACGCCGCCAATGTCTTGCGGTGGCTCAAAGGCCATGAGTACGACTTCGGTGTGTGCGAGCATGCCCTTGTTGTTGACAGGGAATGAAACAGCTTCACGTTTGAGGTGGACCAAGGCACGCATCTCGAGCGAGTTGCGTCTGCTAAACTCTTCCGTCTCGGGCACCTGTCCAAACGGCCGTAGTTGCTCGAGCGTGAATGCTCCCAGCCAACTATCAAATGTAGCCATTAAAGCGTCCTGCACCTGCGTTTGCTCCTCGTCAGTCATGGGTGCAAGATGAGGTGAGCGCCAACTGACCCTGACAGGTGAGCCTGCCGACGAGCGAGAGTTTGTAGGCGAATGAGGCATTCTCCTATATGTCTTGGGACGAAATTGAGTGGAATAAACAGCGACAGGCAGATGATCTTTGGTGGGAGAAGGGCCAAGGGAGGGCCGCGCGGGGTGGCGCTCTTATAGTCGGACGAGGAAGGGGGCAGAGCCTGAAAGAGTCGGTCTTGGAACGAGAGAGAATACGGGTTTTGCCACATGTACCCCCTCCCGCCCTCGCGCCTGTTGCTGCGTCACGATAACCCGGATTAATCCGCGCCAAATTCGATGCACCGCTGTGCTCCGAATTCAAACCACAAGGAGCGCACATATTAGTGTCGCTGTGTATCTTGAGATTAACCCCTTTGCATAGTCCCAGCGACTCGCTGTCATTGTCGGCAACCATCAGAGCTAAAGGAAGGACCGCCGCCGTGTTCGGTTGGGTGCGCAAATGCCTGATATCTGAAAGGATCCTGTGGGTTCCGCATGCACCATTGTTCACATCAACGTCCCAGCACCCTGACGAATCCCAGCAGTAGGCGAGCCATTTCCTGATTCGCGATGACGGAGACAACTTGGTCTACTGACCTGACATCCATTTGATTGTTGCGTTTTTTCTATTGGGTGCTGGCTGAGAAAACTTGCCAGATGGTTGCGTTCAACTTGTGTATGCACCGCCAGTCTCCGAGAATGCAACGGCTATGTCGCGTACTAGCCGGAACGTCCACGGGTTCCAATGAACAACGAAATGAAACAAAACTTTCCGCTCGGAAGCCAGCGTCCCTATAAACTACTGGATGCGCTCGAAACGCCAGCGGGTGAGTCCAAAGAATCAGCCAGTTTCGCTTAATTGTCAGTCCCATAGAATACAGATACGTGAGCGTGAAAACTCTGTATGGTATCGGTTGTGCAGTTAGGCAGGCTCGTCGGGACAGGGGAGCATACCTAAGCATCTGTGCTATAGTTGGCTACGTGGATAATATCAAAATCTCTGCGATGATTCGATGATAATCGTGCTCTAGGGCATGGGCAAAATCAGGATCCAGTTCGGATCGCGCGGACACGCGTCCGGTCGGTGCTTTCAGTCTCCAAGGTCCCGGTTATCGATACTGAAGAGAGAATATGAGCATACAATAATAAGTATCTCTACCAGCAAGTCACTCCATGCCTAGCATCTTGGAAGAACCCTCCATTACCGCCGTGCCTCCGGCGAGCACTTGAGACAGCCTCTTATCATTCAAGACCACAAATGTGCCTATTCAGTCAGAATTGAGTGGCTATATTGGGCCTGGGAGCCTGTCTTCGCTCTGCCAGGTCCAGCTGGGTACCACTGGCGTGTTCACTGCGCACCACGCGGAGATTTACAGTATCTCGCATAAATTTTATGCGCATATATTCTATTTCCTCCCGAGCACACCCTAATGAGGTCACCTCGCCTTGCCGCCGCACAAATCACTGCGCGCGTCGCCGACAGAGGGATGCCCTGCTCATCATGTCTTCAGCACAAGCAAATGAAGGAGGTTGGGTCCTTTCTGCGTTTCGAAAACATGCCCACTCGCTCACACTCAGGCTAGCGCGCATTGGCTAAGGTTGAGTATAGCAACATCGATTTGATTCGACTAGGCAGCAACACCGCTGCGTACCTCTAGAGTCCATAGCTATGATCAATATCTATAGCATCAACAGAATTGGGAGCGAGACTATTAGTCGTCAACAAGTAGTGTAATCAAGAACAAGGGAGGTGGTTTTGTGTAAAGACCGGATAGCTCAGGGATAAAAGAACGAGCTAAATGTATGTAAATCGACTATTCGTAAATGGTACCGGGTCCGGGTGCGTTGAATTCGGGGAAAGGTGGCCAGGATGCCAAGTTTGCTGGATCACCACCGATGCGGACCCACTGGCTGTGAGAGGGAGTCGGCCCGTCCAATACGAACAATTGGAACCATCCAGGCGGACAGACGTGCGAGTTGGGTGGTGCGACGATGGTGCATACATTGCCAGTGCATGAGAACTCCGGGAAGATTGTGCGTGTGCCAAACGTATTGCCATGAGTGGTCGACATGGCGCCAAGGAGCGAGATACGCAGGTTGGAGATGGGCCCTTGGGGAAGGTTGACCGTAATCTGGTATGTTCCGCTGTATTCCCAGTCGCGTTCCACGATGGTGTACGTGGGCGGAATGCGGCCGTCGGTCAGGTAGGGTGGGACATAGACTTCCATGCCTACGGCCAGTCAGAATGGTTCTAACAGGAAGCAAAGAGACGTACGATATTCCTGAGGGTTGAGATTGTCTTCTGGGTCACTACCGCTGACAAGAACACGACCGTCCTGCGGGGGAGTCAGAGGGAATCATGACCTCGCATAAAGAGCTTACAGGAAGAAGAGTGGCCTCGCTGTGATACAGGCGCGCCACGATTGTCTGACCAAGGATAGAGAAACGCTGGTTGCGAGGCTTCGACGGATCATAAAGAATGGCCTGAAGGTTGGGCGTGTTGGCAAGACCAAAGCCTGCGACGCCATTCTTCGCTCCACCCATGATGAGGTATGTACCGTCTGGCAAAGGAGCCATTATAGGCATCACACGCTTACCGCCAGGCATTCGCTCGATGACCCATTCACCGGCGCCTTCTGGCTCGATGGAGACACAGTTGTCGAGGGCGAGACCAAAGGCACTTCCTCTACACAGCAATTAGACTCGATTATAAGATTAGCGGGAAGCTTACCCGCAGTGAGAATCTCGAGAGGCGCGGTGTATGGTGGGTACTGAGGGAGCGCGACCGAAGAGCCTTCCATAGGATAGGTACGGCCTAGGAAGCGTAAGTCGCTGATTACACATAGAGTATGATAGGCTCACCTCCGCCTTGTACACTGACGGCGCCTGGGGCAATCGGGAACGTCTTCGTAGTGGCAAACGTAACCTCGTCGAGAATTCTGCCTTCGTTGTAATAGATGACAAAGATTCCTCCGGTTGGCAGGACATAGACGAATGGATAAAGGTTGTTAGGGTCGGTACGGAGAAGCCAATCCATCGTCAACAAAGTAGGTCCGCCCTCAGGTTTGGGCAAGATCTCGAGGGTAGGGCGGGGCTTGCCGTTGGAGCCTTCTTCGCCACCGATAACGAGGATGGAGCCATTGGCCATTACGAGAGCAGAGGGATACCATCGTTGATCCTAGCAGAGAATGTCAGCTATGAGTACACGAAAGCGATGGGTTTTTACCTGGAGATGAATGAGGTCAAACTCTTCAATCCAGTCGGTCGTTCCATTGACACCAGGCGAACCGCTGGGAGTATACAATCGAACGCCCTTGGTGCTGTCCAATGACCATCCACCGACGCTGATGACACGTCCTTTACGATCGGGAAGCACGATATTAGCGGCGCAGAAGACGTCGGATGAGACGTGCATCTCTCTCCACGCGTGAGCAAAGTCGTTGGTGATTGAAAGATCGAGCTCGTATGCGCCTGTCGAATTGGGTGCACCAGTTCCGTACTTCTCGAGGAAAGTAACCTTGTTGTTGAGGCCGAGCGTTGCGATAAGGGGGATGACCACGCCGCCAATGAGGAATTCGTAACGGCCAGTGTTCGCGGGTGTATTCCAGACGAAGAGTGGATTTGGAGTCATATTCCAAGTGTAGATGTTGAGTTTACCAACTCCACCACAATAGTCTGTCGGAGATCCCGAGCATGGAATATTGCAATCTGCATCTGGGGCCTGAGCCGTCGTAATCTGCTCGACGTCTCCACAGAAGCACTGGGTTCCAAACTCCAAACTTGCTGCGGGATAGCCGTAGCTGCTGCAGAGATTGAGGCAGCCCTCTACAGTGGTCGCGGTTTGGCTCTCAATAATATGCTCGAAGAGACGAAGGCCACCAGGGGCTTCTGCGAAGCAACCATGATATTCATACGATCCAGGGAGTCCAGTGGTCTTGATGGTAGGAACTGGATAGACCGGGAAGGTTGGCGTAGCCGCGTAGACGGTGAGTCGGTTGGGGCCACCACACGCGTGATCTGGATCACCCGCGCATGCCATATTACAATCAGCATCCGAAGCAGCCTTTAAAAAAAGTCAGCCTGAGAGCGCCAAACCACATCTGCGACGTTGCAGAGAACCCTGCTCACCTTAACGGCCGCGTTCTGCATATGATTTCCGCACCAACATTCTTGGGAGTACTGCGTACCAGCGATACTGTAACCTGCTGCAGAGCATTGAGCGATGCAGCTGAGTGCGGAGTTGCTCTGGCTGGCCGGCTGGACGAAGCCGAAGATACGGCCGTAGGCGTTGTCAACCCAACATCCATTGTACGTCCATGTTCCAGGAAGTCCAGTCGTGAGTGGTGGAACTCCTCCTCCACCTCCGCCGCCAGGGGGCGGATTCGTTGGAGGGGGAACGACGCCGTTGTACTTGTAGAGATTGAGCCTGTCAGGACCTCCACAGTAGTGAAGAGAATCGGATTGACAAAGCATATTACATCCAGAGTCGTCTGCCAATGCGCCGCCAACAGCATTTCCACAATCTATGAGCGAGTGTCAGTGGCTTGCATGTCAAGTTCGAGATGCTTACAGCATTCCGCGGCGTATTCGAGACCTGCATAGCTGTAACCTGCATTGTAGCATGCATCCATACAGCGTTGAGGAGTGGTGATGCCGTTGAGATTGGCTGCATAGGGAAGCGAACGAGCAGCTGCATTATCGCTCCAGCAACCTTGAGATTGCCAGTTTCCATACGTCTGAAGGAAGCTAGGACCCGTGGGCGTGGCGGAAACGGTTGTCGAAGTTGACGTCGAGGTAGAAGTCGACTCCTCGGTGCTCGAACTGGTGGAAGTAGACGTTGAATCAGTGCTAGTAGAACTGGAAGTTGATTCTGTGCTCGTAGAGGTCGATTCTGTGCTTGTGGACGTTGATTCGGCGCTGGTAGAAGTGGAAGTCGACTCTTCTGTGCTGGAGCTTGTAGAGGTGGACGTCGAATCGGTACTAGTAGATGTAGACGTGGATTCTGTGCTCGTAGAGGTCGAAGTTGGCTCCTCTGTGCTCGAGCTTGTAGATGTAGAAGTCGATTCTGTGCTCGTCGATGTCGATGTGGAATCTGTGCTAGTAGACGTAGATTCCGTGCTCGTAGAGGTGGACGTTTCCGTCGTTTCGGTGCTCGAAGAGCTCGATTCTGTGCTTGAGCTTGTAGAAGTCGATGTCGATTCTTCTGTACTCGAGCTGGTAGACGTAGAAACAACAGTCGAGCTCGTCGACGTAGGCTCCTCGGTGGATGTGCTCGACACGGTAGACTGGACTCCGTCATAGTGATAGAGGGTCAGACCATTTGGACCGCCACATATCTGCATCTGATTTCCATTGCAGAGCATATTGCATCGGCTGCGTGAATGGTCAGTGCCGTTTGTCACTAGTTGATTCATGCCCTTACTCATCCGTGGCTTGCGCGACCGTGATGGTATTCCCTACCCAGCATTCGCTGGCATATTCAATTCCTGCATATGTATAACCTGCGGCGTAGGCCGCGTCAAGGCAGAGTTGGACCGTCATCGCTGCGGGGCCTCCGGGGACGGCAAGCGGAACCGGAAGCGACCTGTCGGCAACAGAGTCGATGTAACATCCTTGAGCCGACCATCCGCTGTAGCTAGGAAGAACAGAGGGACCGGGAGGCGGAGGAGTGGAAGTTCCTCCATACTGATAGATATTGATGGCGTTTCCACCACCGCAAATCTCGGCAGCGTCACCTGAGGCTCGATGAGTCGGCATTCAGATTACATCTCAAAGGAACAAACCTGCACAAGGCATGGAGCAAGCTCCTGGAACAGCTGCGGTCGCTGTGGCCAGAATGGTGTTTGAGCAGTAGCACTCAGCACCATATTCGACACTGTTAACTGTAAGCATTGGCCATGTTTCAACAGCATACATACCCGGCGAACACATAGTTGGCAGCCTTGCAAGCGTCCTGACACTTTTCAATGGTCAAGTCAGGGACGCCCATCGGGATATTGAGGGTTCGCTGCGCAACGCTATCGGTATAACATGCCAAATAGTTCCATCCTGGTCCAGCCGAAGAGGAGACTCCGGTGGAGCTTGTCGTGGCGGAGCTGCTAGTCGAAACGACTGTCGATGTGGATGTAGAGGTCGAGGTTTGAACCTGCGTCGAAGTGCTGGAGGTTGTTGGCAATGAAACTGGAGGAGTGCCAGCTTGGTACAACGTGAGCTGGTGGGTAGGGTTAAGAATGACTAGGCTCAAACATCAAGAGACTCACTCTGTTGCCGCCACCACATATATGCGACCCGTCTCCTGCGCAGGGCTAATAACGACTGAGTAAGATGTGACAGACGAAACAGCCGTCCTTACCATGTTACAACCGCTTGCATCTGCTAATGCGCCGCCGTTGACGTTTCCACAGTCTGTTAGGAGAGTTAATACTGTGAACCTTTTCTGATGGGCAATACCGACAGCATTCCTAAAAGGGGCATCAGTAACCGTCAGGACTGACACGAAGCGAGTGACGCACCGCAGCATACTCGAGACCGGCAAACACGTAGCCCTCGGAAGAGCATGCATCGATACATTTTTCGGGCGTCAGAGAACCGGCGTAACCCATAGGGACAGGGAGCGAACGCATCGCGGCCGAGTCGCTGACCGACCATCAGTCCAGAACCACAAAAGGATGGGCTAGAACGTACGTATAGCAGCCCTGGTATCCATAGTCGTTGTACGAGAGCAGAGGACCTGGTGGACCCTTGGAGGAAGCATATGTCGAAAGCCTGTAACCGCCACCACACACTTCGGTACCATCTCCAGAGCAGATCATGTTGCAGTCAGAGGCAGCCGCCGTGGTGGCGCCGTTTTGGAATGTATTGTCGCAGACTAGAGCAGCCCGGACATGTCAATTGGGGGGCTCGACCGAAATTTGATAGATGTCAACTTACAGCATTCCTGGGAAATTTGTCCAGGATTAGAACGGCAAAAATACCAGGGGAGGAGCGACGTACCTTGGAATATTCGAGCCCAGCATACCGATAGTTACGCTGGTCACAGAAATCGACGCAAGCCTCGACGGTCATAGTGTCAGACTCGAAGCCGGCCGCGCCGAGTGTTCGTTGGGCGCCATCCCTACAAAGAGGATGCATCGTCAGCGCGCCCACAACTGGCTATAAACGGCGACGAACGTTACGCAGCCATAATAGGACCAAGTCGCAGGCAATGTCGGGGCTCGTTTAGCTTTGTGAGTAAGTCCACGGCGGTGTGCAGATCGTTTGAGGGAGTGAGATGGCTGCGACCAGAATCAGTATCCAGCGACCGAGAGCGGAGGCCCGTAAATCACATACGAGTTCGAAAATAAGCGCATTCGTAGAAAGGACCGTGAGCAGCAGCCCGCTCGTTGCGAGAACGAGCTTCATTGCTGCGAACAAAACAGAAAAGAGCGGAAGCGGACGGGTACAAGAGCGGTATGGTAGTTCAGCCAGGCAGGGCAACCAAAAGTACTCCCGCCCGCCGAGTCGCTTCGGCATCGCCGAGCCCCGTTCTCATGTCACTTCAAGGGCCTACTCAATGGATCTACTTGTTGCCAATACTCCGCTGGTTTTAGCTATATTCGGCTCGGTCTCGACAAATTTACCCCTGATAAGGTCCGTGGACCCATCACCCAAAAATCCTGAAACCATCTCGTATAGCCATCCCGACTGCTTGCTTTTCCTGCCCGTCACCAATGCCGTTTCCGAGCAGCGAAGAAAAGAGATCGTCAATCTTTTCTTCGTGCCAACCATCCGAGATTAGCGGAATAGGCACCATAAAGTTTTGAATCTTTTCGTGCACCTCGTACCTTTTGTTGTCATCAGCTATCTCGTTTTGGCCGAACCACGGACGCCGCCCAGACAAACCGTCTCACCTTAGCTTCCGGCCCTTGCTCGCACGAGTATCGACCAGCTTCTTGACCTTCTTGGGCCGCGCATCGAGATTGGTCTCGCCACTGGCTGCATTGTAATGTCAAGGCACGTATCATTGGCCGTAGAACGCACCATTGGCAGTCTGGCCTTCTATCACATCTCGGAGCAATTGCTGATAGAAATCCGTGTCATCGAACAGCTCCAAATCATCCTTTCCTAACGTTTTGCCCTCGACGTCAGTGTCTATCTCCTGGCCAGCGTTCATTCGAGGTGGGCCTCTTCGCACACGGGTGCGCGATACGAGGCGGGAGTGGTCGCTCAGCGATTCTTGTATAAGGTCATTGATGGGTTTTAGATGAGCATTCCTGTTGGTCCGGAACGCATTGCGCGACGACGGGAGGAGAGCCGAGGGGTTGACAGCCTGAATCTTGGCGGACCACTTTTGGAGAGTAGCAAGCAAGTAAGGATGATACCTGATGTCTATGAGCAAAGGGGGCCACTTTACGTCTCTGAGACGCACTGCTGCTCAAAGACGGTCAAGTCTTTGGATGCGGCCTTGAGGTCCGTTGCCAAGCACTGGAGGCCGTTTTCAACCTTCCGCTTCTTTCTCGGCGGTTCCGCATCTCTGTCTAGGTTGACGACAGGCCCAGATTCGATGAGCGTCTGTTAAACTCAGCAAATCGAATTGTGGATAGGGGGATTCTTACCTCTTGCAGCTCGACAAGCTCATTTGACAGATGAATAGTTTCCTTTAGAAAGCTCTCCACTGCCTTTTGAGCCTTTTCGCTATGCAGTAGGGTTTGTAAATCGGCATGCTATGTAATATAAGTGTTCCCGGAGACGATGTGCAAGCGTATTACCGTAGGAAGAGTGTTACATGTAGAAGATGCCTTTTGAATGCGGATACGAGCGTCAAGAAGAGCATCCCAGACATCCTATGGCAAATGAGTGAGGACCAAACCAAAGGCCATACGTACAATCTGACGGGAGATGGCTTTTCCTTTGAGACGGTCCGCGTCTCGTGCTTGTTTCAAGACGTTGTTCAAGTCCCCATTGTCCTCCATTGGATCACTCTCCTCGTCGGTTTCTTCAGACCGAGCGGGCTCGTCTTCTCGAACCATATTATCATCTTCTGAAGATTCTTCCTCTTCTGAGGTCTCTTCTTCACTAGCAGTATCTTCTTGGCCTAGCTCGTGAGTAATCTTTTGTCCGGCGTATTTTGGATCGTTGAGGCTTTCGTGCAGTCCTCTTAGCTTTGAACGTCTGCCAATAGTCAATCTGCTTCTTCAGGACACGAAGAATAGTATACCCCACATCGATATAGTGAGCACGGCCATTGACCTCTAGTGCGTCGTCCTGCGACGAGTTTTCGTCTTCATCACGTGTCTTTGTGACATACTCCTCGTCTGGATCGATTTCTAGGAACCGCCGATTATCAATATAACGAGCGTAGACTTTTTTGTGCCAAAAATTACCTATTGGAGTCGGGTCTTCCAGCTCTGCCAGCTGCTGAGCGAGTGAGCGTCCTAGTTTCCACAGTTATCAGTGTCGCTGTCCGCCGTCTGCTTGAACACACGCACGGCCAGATGCCATAGTGGCGGAAAGAGTTGGTCGCCACTTCGTCTGCCTTTTTGGCGTCATGTCCTGGTAGGCTCAGTCGTGTGCAGTAATAAGTGCTTGCTGATACTTTTGTAACAGGACAGGGTATGTTGGAGATGTGCGGGCTGAAACAAGGCGAGATGCTGATGCACGTCCAGGTTCAAGAAGGGATTGTCCCGCACCGGGACCACGGTTGGTTGCTTCGACATGCTCAGGCAACTCTTCTCATATACTTCTTCAGCTGATGCAAAAGACGGGTCAGGTCGAGCGAACCGTGGATAGGGAATTCGCGGAAGAAGAGACCAAGTACAAGACGTGCGTCGCCTTTAGACACATGGCGTTTTTGGATTCATTACCAACTCTTTACAGATACGAGAAAGAAGTAGAGAAGCTCCAAAAGGAAGCAAAGGCGTATCTGGACTCGATGCGAGGCAAGCGGGTTGTGACAAGTTATGACATGCAATTGCTCATGCACAAACGATAGCCATGGCAAGCTCTCAAGCTCGAATCGCGGAGACAATCGACAAGTTCTATGGATCTGCCGACCGCACCTCGGATGGAGCAATGGCTGCGAATGCGTACAAGCGTTCTGTCGATGAACTCGACTCTTCCCTCAGCAGAGAACTGGTAAGTCCGAAGCCTTCTACTCTCTCTATGACACTGAGGAACTTTAGGATGCCCCTTACCGGACATGCATCCTGGAACCATTGGGCAAGATGAACGCATACTTTCCCGTCATCAACGATACCATTGCGAAGAGAAACAAAAAGGTATTCAATGGCAGCCCTATATCCACTAGATCTCAATCATTTACCAGATGATCGACTACGACTCGGCACGAAGTAAAGTGCGCAAACTGACAGATAAGCCGACCGAAGATCCTACAAAGCTGCCTGCGGTGAGCAAGTTTTTCCCCCACAACGATTGGGACTGACGACTTTTAGGCGCAAAAAGAGTATGAAGACGCCAAGGAGGTCTACGAATTTATGAATGAGCAACTTATCGCAGAGCTCCCTCAGCTCTTGGATCTCCGTGTTCCATTCTTTGATCCTAGCTTTGAGGCCATGATTCGTATTCAGTGCAAGTTTGCCGAGGAAGGGTACGAGAAAATGGGGGGAGTTCAGCGATATTTCCAGGACTCGATCCGAAACGACTACGCAGCTGGTCAGCTCGATGCCCAAGTGAGTAATCGACCACTGTAAGTGCTAAGACTAACGAGTTGCGAGGTGGAAGCTGTCTTGGAGGAAATCAAGGAGCTAACCATCTGCGCGACGCATGGGTCGTAATATTGATGCTATATAATACACTATATATCATAACGGAAGAAATGCAGTCGGTCTACGTGCTGACGAACCGCTTGAAGAGGGACGGCTCCTCTATTGCCTGGGGCACCTGACGCTGAACTATCGACCTGAGTTTAGCTGAAATCGCTCTGGCACGTATGGCATAATCCTCAAGGGTGGCATCCTCTTGTTCTGTATACGCTGTGAATGCGTCTGCCTCCTCGATTAACTCGTCTGCCTCTGGCTGATGTCCCAACTTCTCCAGGCATTCCGCCGCATCTTCGCATGCAATGACGACGTGTCCTTCTAGGTCCAAGTGTTCCTTGCCAGAACTTGGGAAAAGGTCCGCAATCTTGTCTAAGAGTACAACGCACTGCCCAAGTGCATCGTTCCACCTCCGTAGTCTTCGCAGAGCACCGAGTTCTTTGATTCGGAACCGAAGCTCCCAGTTGGCGTCACCCAATTTCTTGTTCATCGCGCGTCCCGCCCGTGCGACGAGTAAACCGGACTGCTCCTCTGGTGCGGTGACTTTGTTGTCGAATAGAATGTCGCAAAGATTTGCCATACACAGATTCTTCCAATGGTATTTCTTATATCGCGTTGGATCGCAGTTTTCCAGTTGATAGATGATGGACCAATTGCCATCGTCCACAACCTGGACCGCAGTTCTTGCATCTGAGAGCGCCTCGTCGGGTTTAAGTTGCCTGAGGTGGCTTTGGGAGCGTAGAACTAGAAGCTGACTTGCTTCGGCTGGCGACGGAAGGTCCCGTACGTCGTTGATAAGTTCCAGCCCCTCTGTCGCCTTTGCGATGATTTCTTTTGCGTTAAACGGCCTCCTATGCGCTTTGCACAGCAAAATGTAACTGAATATCTTATCGTAGACTGCGTCAGCCGATATCTTCTTTCCTGCAACTCCAGCTCGATAGGTCGCGTCCGCTAAATCGAAGAATCGCTTGGCAGATGGGAGGTATTGGTTGTGCCTTCCACGCTCCTCCTCGAGTTGGCAAATGGTTCGAAGGGAGGTCATTCGGACCTTTTGGGCCATATCATTGTTCTTTCCTTCTTGAAGTAGAAGGATCTGTTTGTGTGTATCGACCAGCGAACCGACGCTGAACTTGCGTGTTCGGGGGTCACTGAGCAAGAGATCATGCTCCAACGCATACAACTGTAAGAGTTTGGCACGTTGATCCTTGAGTGAAGCCGGCGCGTTGGGGTCCCAAGCGAGCGGGACTATTCTTTCGCAGAGCTCCTTGGCTTCTTTAATGACATCCCATCGTTCTCGTGGGTCCCCGTTGCTCTCCCTTAAGAGCGTGTAAAACAGGGATAGAGCCATGACCACTTGAGAATCTGCATACTGAATCTCCGCGGCGGCTCGCTCTCGCACAATAGTCAGAAACTGGCGCATAAAGTTGGTGGCGGCAACAGTTCGTTGGAGTCGCCACAGCTCGTGGATGTACGTAGTGGCGAGCGTCATGAAAACGCCAAAGGCTGATGAAGAGAGTGCTGCGATGTGAAAGTTGGTCTTGTGTCGCTCTATGATCTCTTCAAGGAGAAACACCGTCTTCTCCGGCTCCAAAATCTCTTTCTCTCTGCTCGGTTGTTAGCCCTTGTGGCGCGTGTCAGCGTACATGGAACACACCTGACTTTGAAATAGTAGTTTCCTTCATCATATATCGCGTCGACTTGTCTCCTCAATCGCGCATCGTCTAGACGGCGAGTAGTGGATACCGTAAACGCTCGCTTCTGAAGGCCCAAGGGTCTTGGGGAGGTTGAGTATAGGCCAAAAGAATCGAATCAAAGTCCTTACAGTGTTCTCGCCAATCGAATTGGCCGTGCTAACGAGGATGCGAACATGGTCGGATGTTGAGTGCATCTCTACCATCGACCACGATAGTCATTTTCGACAAAGATGGTACGGGACAATGTGAAACATATGAAAAAGTCTGCTGATAATCCTATTTCCACGCGTTGATCAGCCTCCACCGAAAGCAAAGGGCGGCAAGATGCTGTCGCTCGTCTTGTGGCGGATACGTGTGACACTCAACGATAACAGGCAACTGGTGGGCCAAATGCTCGCGTTTGACCGTCATATGAACCTTGTGCTCGCGGACTGTGAAGAATTCCGGCGCGTCAAGCAGAAAAAGAAGAGCGCAGATGACGAAGCCGTTCCGTCACAAGAGTTGAAGAGGTCACTTGGACTCGTTATTCTACGTGGAGAAATGATCGTGAGCCTATCCGTCGAAGGTCCGCCTCCACAGGTCGACGAAGATAAAAAGACTGGAGCGGTACGTAGACGCGTTCTTGTGACATCTACGATTCTGACATATGCAAATTTGTTTGCTCCATTAGCTTTTGCCCGGTCCTGGTCGCGGTGGACCTGCTGGTCGAGGAATGGGTATGATGCCTCCAAGTAAGTGCAGTAGATAGTAACCTTTAAACAACTAACGCAACCTATAGTTGGTGGATTACCTCCGGGTATGGGTAGGGGTATGCCCTTTGGACCTCCAGGAATGCCTGGTCTTCCAGGAGCGCCACCCCCAGGTTTCCGACCTCCTGGCGCTATGGGCTTCCCTCCTGGCATGCCACCACCTGGGTATGTTCGTTTTCGATAAGGAGAACTGGTTTGACCTTTGCTTTAGCTTCCCTCAATGAGCTCGAAACAAAACACACAGTTGCGGCTTACGCTATCATCACATCCTCTACACTTTTCGTTGCATCCCCGTAGCTAACCCTGTGTCATCTAAGCAAACCTGTAGAGTGGGTAGGTCAATTGACGATCTTGCACCTTGTGTCACCAAGGCAGAGCCCTTCGATCCCTGAGGTATTTTCAGCCAAGTATCAAACCTCGAACGTGCTTTCTTTATCCCTGAACCCTTCCAGAACGGGATCGCCACTGGGAGGGACACGAATGGCCTCCTGACTGGTACCTGTTCCATTTCGATTGTCCAGGAATAAACCTGTCAGGGACAAGACACTACTTTCCATCAGTTGTCGAGCGCAGCACCAGTCGCCACCTCCGCCTATGAACGGACCGACACACCGGCTGGCTATCTGAATACGTGAGGACGGTCTCAGGGTAACGATTCTAGAATATTGAGGGGCGCACAAGAGATCGGTGAGAGCACTCCACGGAGGAATATGATGCGAAGTCGAGAGCACCCGTGCGGTGCGACAGCGCTGATAAGAGAGCATGGCGTCCGAACTGCTCAATTTGGTACGTCCAGAGGAACTGAGGCAGGAACACGGGCTGGATTGTCTGAGCAGGAACTTCGGGCCTCGGATGGACCGGACGCTGTTCCGGGTTACACCAGGTACACTTTCGAAGAAAAAGTTACACGTTCAAAGGGTCGTACTGGCTGCCGATTGTCTCGTCTGTTTGATCACAAGTTGCCAATCGAGAAATTTTCTGCCCGCCAGGGTTACAGACAAGATCATAACTCCTCCTATTCCGCTGGTTGTACTCTCTTTGCTGCCGTCGCAAAAGTGCCGCAAGCGATGGGAACGACGCTTATGCTGGAGGCCTGCAAGCGAACAACCATCAAAACTTGGACACAACGTCGATACCTCGACGAGAGCTTGTGCCGCTTGTTGTTGCCTGTAAACTGTAGTCAGAATCTGCTATAATCTCTCCTGTGGCTTCACTCGTCTGGACGACCTCGTTTGGTTAAACATGGGATTTCGACATGCCGCTGCGCTCTCTTCCGTCTGCTTCCTGCTCGGTATGTGACCCTGAACGCTCCTTACCCGTTAAATGTGCTTATTTATGTTCCTTATTGCACCATTTGCCTGGAAACGTGGACAAAATAGGCGTGTTGTTCATCAGCTTCAATGCCGACTACAGAATTTTGTACCAGTCCATGACAGACAAGACGATTGATGATGCTATTCGATACTATACGACATTCTACAACGCACCAAAAGTCGTCCAGGTTAGCTTATTTGTCCCTCTGCGATTCCACTCGTATTTGCTTATTTCGCCGCTTTCTCACCTATTTCAAACTTTATAGAATCTTCTTCATGGTGTTCTCGCCGTTGGGCTACTCAGTTTCGTGGCAAAGCTGCACAAGTGGGACGAAAGCGCCATGTTCTTTGATGGTTCTTCCCTAGGTACGCATTCATTACATATCGCTGTGACCCACTTGAAGCGCTTGTTGCTTTGGAGTCCTAACCTCGGCATATCCTGAGCCCTGCAATATTCCCAACGCTCATGTGCCCTGGCATACTCATTTTTTGATCAGGTGTATATGTATTCGGAATCATGCTCTACACCACGGTCGTAATCCCGGGTATCCGCACGGTCGCCGTTCCCTTGGAGAGCGAAACACGGGAGGACCAGGTGGAAGCTCTGCGTGTTCTTGCGGCAGGAAATACCTTGATTATTCTTTGCCTGGGTCTTGTTCTCGCCCTGCAGGTGCGTTTTATTGAGAGTGTTTGTACACCATTGTTTATTCGTCGCCAGGCTGGACAAGAGTGGGCACGAAGGAGCGAAGCCAAACTCCTGGCTGAAGCTGTTGCGGCTGAGAAGGAGGCTCCCAAGGAGACTGCGAAGACCAAGTAGAGAGGGCGGTGGCAAAGCATTCTCCACTCTAGCGACTGTCCCATATTGTAACGAGATAATATTACCCGTTAAAATATCGCATTTTGGCGCTGTAATCATTCCTGGTTTCCCTTACTCTCATTTGAAAGGTGTTGACCATTGACCACTATGACGACCGCTGGCAATAAACTCTTAGAGCAACGAGAAGATGAGAAGGCGAGGATATTCAAATCCTGGTGCTCCGAAAATGGGATCGTGATTCATCCTGGCCTTTCGCTCGTGTTTCCTGCCACAACGTGGACATGGCCGTACGTGTTTGGCTGCTTGGAGACATCCATAACAAGACTGAAGACGATTAATGTTCCTATCGACTTGATCATATTGTAAATTTCGGGAATTTTGTAGCCAGGCTCCTCCAATCTTTCCGGCGCTCAAGCCGACAAAGTTAGCGCCCCTAGTTGATTACGAAGACGAAGAAGATTCTGTTCTTATCAATCCTCCGACAATCGCGGAGTTGGCGTATTCCCGGCGTGACGAGAACGGCGCCACGACCTTTGGCATGGGCTTGGGCGGCGAAAACTTCAGCGACGGAGGCGACGTCGGCACTGCGTCATTGTCGACGACAGGAAGAGGATTAACAGTACGCGCACGCAGTCCCATCGGTCGCGGCACGACAGGCAAGTCTAATTCTACCCTGTCCAGCGCCACGGAAACCGCGCTTTTTTGCATATTCTTCGCCAGTTTCTCGAATATTGAGCTAGGCGGAGAATGGTGCCGTTCTTGGCCTAAAAATTATCCTCGGCATCCCCCTCGATTGGATGTCGTCAATCTAGAATTATTGGGGCTATGGTGCACTGACTTGCACAGTGCTCTTCTAATCATGCTCTGTGTGCCAGAACCAGACTAGATTTCTCCATGATACCCATCCCCTTTGGTCAATAGGGGGCTTCCGCTCGTTGAGCCTTTGCACCCCGTGATCTCCGTCCAGAACGCTATAGGCAATTATTACTCTTGGTAAACGGGGCTCTCCGGACTGCACGCGGTCTGTTTTGAATTTGGCCACGGGTAGCGCTTCCGACAGCCAACTCTGGCTAATGCCGTGTTCGTTTCACTGTTCAAAACACGGCGGAGCAGATCCTAACGCAGGGTTATCTGGTGCATCGTGCCTTGCGGGCGCTGAGTTGGTACGGTTGTTAACTGGTGACGGAGTTTCAGAGCCTTGATGCATTATTCGAACAACTTGGTCGCCATCAAACAGAAAAGGGCTCATTCTTTGAATACTTTTCGGTTGAGCCCGAGGCATCTTCGTCGATCTCTGGCCCCGCCCTATGTCCGCTACGTCGGTGCACGAATTAATAAGCGTACATCCGCCCGGCGCGCGTTCAAAAATTGAGCGCTATCTTTGACTCCCACGGACGAGGCCCTGCCATCAATTGCGCGTTCTCTTTGATGGGCAATTCATTTGCGTCTTTGCAACGGTATGGTTACTGACTATGTGTCCAGTGGTGCAAATCCCGAATACAGCCATCCTCTCTTATAGAAACGTGTTTGGAGCTGAAGCAGGTCCACACCGCCCAGCTCGTATGTCAACTTGTCTAGTTTGTTGATCACACATTGACCGTTCTCAAATTTGACCATCTCGAACGCGGTGCATGCGTACATATCCCTGACTTCGTGATTGCACATCTCTCAAACCACAGAAGCACTTCCACAGCGGCTAAAGAAGATTGATCTACCACTACTTCATCGCCCGCAGCGCTCAGCTGCGACAAGTTCATTTCCCGATGCCGAGGGAGAGGATGCCGCTGCTCCATATGGTGCGCTGTCCAATTCAAAACGACCGAGCTGGTCCAGTGCAAATGAAGAGGCTGTAACGGCGCAGCGACAGGATGCGAACTTGGCTCTGGCGCTAGCCTTATTGAACGAATCGTGCGTCCATCACAACCCGCGGAAGTCCGGTGCTTATTGATATTCCTTTTTTCTTTTTTTCTTCGTAAACTCTTCCTTATTTGTTTTTCTCGCACGTCGGATGATGACGACTCGCCGACGATGCGGGGGATTCAATGACTACTACCGATGATCCATAACTGTCTCACGGAGGTTTACTAATAGACGCAAGGGATCTTCTTCGCGATGGTTTGGCTATCTACAGTCATTACCTGACCAAGAACCGCCGCTCGCCATATTTTGGCACGATCACCCTGAAGGCGCGGCTGCCTTGCGTTGTATCAGAGGAACCCAACTGGACCGTCGACTGAGGTCCCGTGGTACTGAGGCTCAACTAGTATGTGGCTCGAAATGGCTCTTACGTTTCAGATCCTCATTTCGCCTAGTAGACATCCATCCGGCAGTATTACGAGACTTTTATCAGGGATACCTATCAAGCCACTTGGCGGGAGTTTCGACGTGCATATGTGCTCGTGAGCTCTCGCGCGTTTTGGGTGGACATCTATCACGGGTTGGCACTCGTACCAGTAGCAGACGCATTTAACCACACAGAAGAGAACCATGTTCATCTCGAGGTGCGCAAATCCAAAAAAAAAAAAAGGGCATAGGATTAGGTTGACTCCCAGGTAGACTGATTGGTACGTCTGTGCGACTTGTGGTTCGCTAGACTCGTGCAAACATGATGAAGACGAGACGGAACCGGAAATTTCCTCGCGATCGAGGACGTCGACGGCCGCACGGATCGAGCACACATATGACATGGTGGCGGAGCGAGCCATTGCAGCCGGCGAGGAAGTCTTTAACACGTACGACTCCCACGGTATCAGCAATGTTGAGCTTCTTTACCGATATGGGTTCATGCTCGATGGAAACGCGCGAGACGCCGTGGAGTTTGACGAAAACGAATTGTCTGCAGTTTTCGTCTGGAGGAAATCACTTGGCTATGACAAAAAAGAAGGTGATATGCGGAGAGATAAGCAGATGGAACGATTTGGCCAGCAAGCCAGGATCGCCACCACACATTCGCCTGCACCTGCAGTGCTACTTCTACCCTCAACCTCTGAACGACCTACCAGTACCTCGCACCATCACTCTAAACGCTTAGCAGGCGAGTCATCATCGCCACCATCACCACGCGTTTGTGGGCCATCGGTCGCACCTCGACCAACACCTCGACGAGTGGATGTAGTCATTGATGCGGTGCGAGCGTTGTTCAAGGATGCCGATCTCGTGCAACGGCAATCCAACCCTCCATCCAACCTCTGCTCGTCTTCGACACCGTCTACCCAGCTCGATCCAGCCAGGCGTCTCGACATGCCTAATCCATATGAGGACTGGTGGGGAGAAAAGGGAGTGAATTTAGGGAGGGCGACAAGTCGGGATACGTGGCCTAGAGCTGCGCGTACGTCTACCGTTGGAGCCGGGCCCGCAGGTGTATTTAGAGATGAAATTACTGGGGATCGTCTTCCTGTGCTTCCGTGAGTAACCCGTCTACCCTTTTTTTTTCCTTCTTGGAATTCTGACAGAGTGGACGCAGGTCCATAGCTACTATCCTCCCCGAGCCCGACGCGGACGGTGGGCCTCGCAGTCACGACGGAGTGATCGGGAACGAAAGTGCGCAAGAAGAAGGATTCTCGTATGCGATAGACGCGGATGGTCTGGCTTCGCATAGGTTGTGGACCCGCCTCGTCGTGGAAGCGGTTTGCATCTTGGATTGGACAGGGTCACCAGAAGGTATCTCTCACCACCCTCTATCGACCAATCTTTTGCATGAGAGTCACTATGATACGCCACAGGGTATGGGTGGCGAGACTGGTCTAGGTCCGAGATCGCACCAGGGTCGGAAAGCGTCGAAAGAAGAACAGCAAGCTCGGGTACTGGATGCATCCAAACAGGGTTTTGAAGAGACCCTGTCGAATGTAGGATTCGCGTTCGGAGATGGACTGCCGGCGACGGTGAGAACCAGGGTCCGCGAGGAAGACGAAGGAGGTTTGGATGGGAATCGTCCAACTAAGAAACGACATACTGCTTCGGCTGATTCGTGCCATTACCAACCCCTTCCGACGCACACGGTGCGCGACGAGAACCAGGTCGGGAAGCGGGAGGATGTCATAAATGGAAACAACAACCGAGGTCGCGAAGACGAGGACCGAGAAAGTGACTATCAACTGCTCAAAGTGGAAGAGAGTTACCAAGACATGGCGAGACTGGTAGGCGAGATGATGCTCGAGCTTTGCACACGTCGCCTGGACTCGATGGCGGACGAAGACGAACTGGAAATACGTTTATCAAGAGTCTGTATGTCGGGTACTATGGCGCTAGCAACGTCCTATGTCCGCAACGAGCGGGCGATATTATTAGCGTGCAAAGCTCGGTGGCAGGCTTTCGTGTCTGACGAAGAAGATGCTTTGAGCGAACTAGGGGTTCCATCAGATGGCCTCTGAATCTGTTCGTCGTCTCCCCTACTGGTTTCAATAAACCCGCGCTGATCCACCGAAGCACGTCTGATAACCCCCCCGCCCCCTTGCGGCCGTTATCTAGGCCACTCTGATGGCTCTATGGTCCCAAGTATGATGATCTTATATCATCATTATCTAAAACATATGCCATTAAGACGAAGAAGGACTTTTCTTCTTTCGAGCTTTCACACACACACTTCCAAGTTGATGGAAATAAAATTAGCTGTGGAGTGAGCTCTTGTGCTGTTGGCACAATCGCTTGGGAGTTGCGTTGGCCAAGTCGGCTGCTTCTGAGTCGCCAAGAACTAGACTAAAAGCTCCGAACGAACTACTATCGTAAAAAAGCAACGTCCAACAACGGGATTCACATGCATCAATGGTCCTCGGTAGTGGCTCACCTGTCGAAGAGGAGAAGGGGTCCGTCTAGATGTCCGGTCTGGCCAAAGTGCTGGCAGCGTGCTTATGGCCGAGCTAAATGTTGAGATATTACGTGAGAATTGTGACTTTTTGTGCTTGGATGGTGTCCGACGGAGTTTGCGTAAAAGTCTCGATGGTAAGTGGACGGTGGACATTGGGATCTCCAAGCCACAAATTAAAAGAAAAAAGCTGGTAAGCCGAACAAGGTAGAAACACAACAGCTCAGCGGTCAGGCGGGCGCTCGTATGCGGTGGTGGCTTGACGTGCGACATGTCGAAAGGCCATAGGTGACATCCGCACATAGCGAGACACCGGTGCAAAAAGTATCAGTGTAAACTATTTTGCCAGAAGCGTGGATAGAGACATGTACATATGAAAGTAGATGATAGTCTATTCCATCGGGAGCGAGGCGAGCGACACTGGGGGGGGCTGACGAGAGCGGGATGAGTGACAGTAAGGGGGGATATTGATAATCACTCTCCGATAGGTTAAACTGAATGTCCATCCAGGTCAAAGAGCTGATGAGTAACGCACTCTTGTAACATTTTCTTTGTGAGTGCCGACTGTGCCGTTCTCGTCGTAATAGATCGTAGAGGATGGGAGTTTGCAGGGGGCCGACGTGGCAATGCTTAGATCAAGCGGCGGACATTGGGCGAGCGCATAGACCGGATTTGGCAAGAGGAAAGGAGGAAATGGTAACTGAATAGGTGTTCTGGATTCCGCCGGCGAGTGTGATGTAAACGGAAGGTGATCGAGGCCCACACAGACGTCGTCGCTCCAGCTCTCGGGAAATGCCTTCTGTCCCTTTTGCCAATTCAGCTCACAACCGCCCAAGCTCGCAGCAGCCGCATATAACGCCCTGTGCTCCAGCTGTTCGAGTGTTAGTCACTCCCCCCCTTCGTTACTACTACGACTCCTCCGACTCCTCCTCGTAGCCGCTGCAATGGCCTATAGCTCGAGCTCTAGCATGCAAGACCTGTTCTATATGGACAGTGCACCTATCCCATCCACGTCGACCTCGACGCCCTCGACGCGCTTTACTGTCGACTATGCTCCCCGCCCAAGGTAATAATAATATGGCCTCTGAGCTTTGCAGTCGCGCTGACATCTCCCCCAGTCCGATCCACAACTGGTTGGCCGCCCACCGACCGTATCTGCCCCATGACGAGCCCGCTTCATCGTGCTCGACCCCGCGCTCTGCCTTTTCCGACGACGAAGAGTCAGAGTCTGAAGATGAATATGAACAAGAGAGCAGCAGTGACGAGTCGGAGCAAGACGAGCGGGAAATGATCTTTCTGCGCCCTCGACGCCATGGCTCTGCCTCGCCCTTTGCCCGCTCGTCCTCTGAGCTCGCGTCTGCCCGCCAGCAGCAGCAGCAGCAGCAGCAGCAGCAACAACAACAACACACGCAAACTTCGTTCAAGTCCTGTATTGCCAACTCAAAAGGCAAAGCAGTCCAACTCGCCACGGATGATCGCTGCCCTCGCCTCGTATCGCCCACGACCAGCACAACCGATTGTCGACCGTGTACAAGCAAGTGGTACCTCTTCATTCGAGGCTGCTCCTTGCACCTCGCACTGGTCATCAGACGAGGAAGACGATTCAGACGAGTACGAGCGCCGACCCCGTGGACGTTCCTATAGGCGAAGGAGCACACTCCGCCCAGAAGACAACGACGAGGCGCTATGGACTGTCGCTCCTCATGAGCTCTGTACGCTCGAAGACGAGGACGATGAGATGCCAGGCCTGTACGAGGGCAGCTCGACCGCAGCCTGCCCATCCCCATCTCCCCTTCCCCCCTCCGCCACCCATACTTTGATCCCAGTCGGGACGACGTCTCCATCGTTCTCTCCACCACCGAGCAGCCCATCTCGTCCCCCCAGGACACAAAAGCCGCTCGCCAGGTGTTCCAAAAAGGCCAAAGCTTTTACAACGGCTGGTTGCACGAGTACGTCGCTGCACACCACTGATTCCCCCCCTCCATCACTCCACTCTCCTTCTCGCATCAAAATCTTTCTCATAGACGGGGTCATTGTCTGGATTGACCCTCCTCCCATTATTGCCAAATGGACTGCCCACCCACATCATCTTCATGGATCTCCCTCGTCGTTCTATGTACCAACATCACGCCTCTCTCGCATATCTAGTAGCACCAGCAGCCCATTTTTACGTGCAATCACAACCCTCATAGCTATATTGATGGAACCGGTATCCACCGCCGCGCATAGTACCCAACTTGTTCTTTTTCTTGCTGTCAAATGCCATGCATTTTTTTCTTGGAATATCGCGTGTGTGTGCAATTAAGCCTTGAGAATTCTCGTCTCCAGCGTCGCGACCTTCGAAACCCTAGACTTCTCCCGAAAAGACGCATTCTCTCAACTCGTGCCGGAGAAGGAGTGTTCAAGGGGACGGTACCGACTTTCCTTTTCGTGTGAGTCTTTCGATGCCTTTCTCTCTCTCTCACTCGTCCCCATTGCAATTGCCGACCTCGATGTCGCTTTCAAAACTGTCGATGCATAGTGCATATACCACCCGGGGTTTGAATTCACATTTTGGTACAAATTCCTACGATCTGGACATGCGAATCCTTTGCGGCCTTTTCTCACACGGGGCGATGGACAGGTCCTCTCGGTGATGAAATCCATGACGAGCAGAGTTAAGGGGGAACGCGATGCGTAACACGATGCCCTTAGGACAAATGCCCTTTAGTCACACCTGTCGGCCACTCGCTCGGTCGTCGAGGTGACCTTGATGTGCATACAAAGGAGCTCGACCATGTATGACCGAGCTCGCGAACAGGTAAACGCCATGCTCATGATGGGGTTGTGTGTGTGCCTAGTTGTGGGGCAATACCTTGCGGCCGAACAGCAGAAGTCGTCGTATTGTGAGATGAGATCTGTTGGCCACCGCGTCCGCCCGTGCGCGTAATAGCGGCAAAAAGTCACCGTCGACGGTTTAGAGACCGTGAAAAGAGGGATTCATTCATTCATTATTCCAATGGTGGGGGTTTTTTTTGGCATCTAGTGCACTACGAGCATATGGACTGGATCCACCACGCCTCCACTTGGTCGCATCTCACTCCACAATACCTCTCATAAGAGCCTAGGTCGACCAAGACCCTCTCGGCAGCGTCTCTCAGCACTCGGACTCGCTCGGCAACAGGCCTAGGTGCCTCCGACTCGGCACAGGGTATTTGATCTTCCACCGCCGCCAACAAAACTTGCTGCTGTTGGGGCCCAAGGGATATGAGCCATTTTCCAAGAATATCTTGCTTGGTAATAACGAGCGAGGCAACGATAGCAAGTTTGCAACTCGTTTCGACCAAACTTCCCAGGCAGGGCCAACACCCGCTTTCACCTTTGCGTCTTAGTGCTCCCGGCGGAGCGGAGCCTCGACGGCAATGCCCGAACCATTTGATTCTTTTTTGACCTGAAATCGAACACTCAACTCTTTGGGCACGGGGCCGGACCCTGCCATCGCTTGTCGTCTTCTAACTCGAAACTTTTTTTTTAGGGTTGATTCATCTAGACCAGTCTCGTCACGACTTTGTGCCCCACTATTTCATTTCTATCGTATTTCATTCCATCGCGCGACAAAAAAGAAGAGGGGCAATCCGTGGAGCCCCGTCGCATTGCACCGTTGCCGCCTGAATGGCGTGGCGCACAGTCTCGAACAAAAACCCCTCATACCCCTCATAACAGGTACAAAGAAGAAGAATTTTTCTCCTAAACAATGCTGGTTTTAGTACGAAAAGGCGCGCACTGCAAGCTTGATTAGTCGATCGAAAACGGCGGGTCGGGAGTCGGTCTGACATAGGACTGGTTAATCAACCATGACGGAACCGTGCGTGATCGATTCGTCGCAAAGAAGATGAGAATGTCATCACTGTCGAAACATGGTCGGCCCTCGGGTTTCACACTGCTGGTCGACTTTGACCCGCCTCTGAGGCTGGTACGCCATAATCGAGAGGCTGGATGGGTACGTCTTCGTCACCGAATGTTTCCCTTGTTGCTATACGTGAAATTCTAGACACGTTCGACTTTGGGGGTTTCGGGCGGGGATGTCGCTGGTCAGCTATGCAACCCGTTCCCTCTCCAAAAAGGGGGGGCCACGAGTTGCTTTCAGAGCCTTGTATGTTCTCTGTGCCAAATAAGCAAATAGTAGACTGAAGCGCATAGGGACGAGGCGACCCTCTTCCTCTATGTGCCAGGAATCACACCCCTTACTTTGACGCGCCATTTCTGACCTATCACATAGCGCCCCCTCTTGGCTAATTTCCGATGACCATGTCCACCATCGTACAAAAGAACTGATGGTACTCACCTTTGGGTTCGTCAAATACAAGTTTCTCTGTCAAGAACATGCGGAGACTGGAACGACCCCATTGCGATTGGCAAATAACAAATGTGCATCTTGCCGTCCTCATCCAAACAGCGCAAAACGAACCCCAAACGAGGCATGATCGACAGCTTGGCCAAACGATTAGGGACTTGTGGAAAAAAAAACGGACTCAATCGCGCTACGAAATCTGAGGGATTGTGTTGGAGGCTGGCGAGGGACGGCGTCCTGCAGGGATCATCAGGATCTCACTTTACAAACGAGGCGGAACGAATCAATGTTTTTGTTTGACCTGGCGACCGCAATGTGGCGTCTGTCGAATGCGAGCGCTCGTCTACGGAGAGATCAAACACCGGGTTCGTCGACAACCAAAGTCCGACCAGGAAACGACAATATCCGAGCACGAAAGAGCGGAGCACTGCACTGCATCGCTTGTTAGTAAACGTATGAATGATATCCATCCAGCCGTCTAAGCGACCAGGAGCGGAGGTGACCTTGGGTGCGGTGTTCAGAACTGGACAGTAGAGAAGAGACTCTGAAAGTGAGCATATGTCGAGAGCGAGACAAATTTGACATCGTTCCGCGTTCCATAGTGTCAAGGAACGCATCCAGCACGCCACAATTCGGGTCCCATAATCGTAACTCTTCTTTTCAAATATATACAAGTTACCCAACGAATGGATTCAACTCTTGTGCAAGAGCTATAGCGAGCAGCGAGCAGTCATGTCAAGTTTATCTCACGCTGTCGCTCCGAGGCATGGGCGCGCGTTCTCGTTTGCATGGTCCCGTCCTCATGTATACGGTCTGGCCTCGTCGCTCGGTCTCGGCCATACACAGGAGGAGCCGAAGAGGACCTGATGCTTTCGGCAACTTGCACTGTGTACGTACAGCGAAACAGGGAGCGGTGTCTATGATCGTCCGGGGGGGGATAGAGTATGACAAATTCATCTCCGTTTTCCTCCTCCTCTCCACCTCAAGAAGGAATCGCTATTGCTATTTCTGCTTGCTCGGGGGCGCACCGTCTGACAAATTGGATGGCGGCATTGCTGTATGGGAGTCCCCAATGTGTCAATGATCTCTATCGGCAATCATTTCACTGCACTGATTCGATGGTTGAGCGCTCATCGTCCTCCCACCTGGTTGGAATTCATTTCACCGCTTGCAACCGGACAGATTTGGAACTTGCTGGCAAGGTACACACGCGGAATTGTTTTCGAAAGACGAAAAAATGAAAATGAATTGGCTTGTTAAAATGCGGCTAGTGAGATTCAAAACATAGGGGATGAGCCTGTCTTGAAATCCATTACTATTCTCGTCTGCTCTACTCTCAAGCAGACCATCAGGTACTAAATACAAATTTTTCTTGCCATCTAATCACAAAAAGGCGTCGCGGTGACAGACGTGATCGCGCTGACGAGTTGACAGACTCTTGGCCAGCCCGTCCGCATCAGCAGACACGTCTTCCTGATTAGATACACCGAGGCTGTACGCTTAGACAGCAATTTGGTCAGCGACTCCTTACGTCCGAACACAATATCGCTCACCTCGGCGCGACCGTCGGCCTGCTCAGGGACAAGACCCGCAACAATCACCCGTAGACCGAGAGATTGGCCTTCGAATAGGACGTCTACGCGGGTCAAAGAGTCGTGCACGTGGACAAGCCCAGCATCCCAAAAGGGTATCTATCCCGCCCTCCCTCCTTTCGGGAGTTTCATACCAAGCCAATGCTCGTCATGAGCAACCGCATTCCAAGAGTTTCGTAAGGCGTACAAAGGTTTCGGCATCAAGGACGCCGTGTGCGCAGCCCGACGCCGTACTAAGAAGGGTAGGCCGGGAGATTGAAACAGTAATGGTCGATTCTATATCCATATGACTGGTCTGCTCGTCGACGCGAGCTCGATTCGTAAGCACGCAGAGTCGGTCACGCGTTGATGGCCAGGAAAAGTGTGGGGTCGGATTCTCACGACGCTGGCCGAACCCGCCAGGCCTGTGCGTTGACACGTCAGGAGAGGTCGGGAATGTCGATCGAATCGACCATTCTTCATCTTGGATAAGACGTTTGTGTAGAGATTGTATGTTGGGCGGTGCAGAACGCGAAGCGTATTACTGTCCATCTTGTTCGCTTGATTTCTATTCGTTCAGGGAAAGGACCAAAGATATTCTCTTGTCTGACTGTGCAGGGGCTCTGTCGCGATCAAGTTAATGGTCGAGCAAAGGTTTACCAATTCTACGTGACGAGCACATTGAAAGATACCAAGCATAGTTTTGAGGGGAGGTGAATGGAGGGCGAAAATATAGTGGGGCTGCAGTTTGATGGGGCCTGAGAGATCATTGGCCTACGTTGATAGAGGCCAAGCCCAGGCGTGCGGTGCCGCCTCTGAGACCATAGTCGTTTAGTGCTTCTATTGCGGTCAGGTGCTCCACAGAAAATTGTGGTTCCCTTCATGGAGGTGGAACGATGGAACCACTTGTTCGTGGGGCAATCTCGAGAAACAATCGACGCACTCCGCGGGTTCAGGCGCAGACTTGCTGGCAGGAAACTGGTCACCTGTAGATAGTGGTGACTCCCAGATCATCCTCACGCCCGTCGGGATAGGGACCGTGAAGAAGCGCTGTTATGATTATCCCTGTGAGTGCGATATGGGAGAAAGATCAGAATCTCTCTGGGAGAAAAAAGTAGAGCTTAGAGCTTCGATCAGTTTGCCAATTGTCGAGGTACGGCCAATCACCGGCGAGAAGAAGCTGGAATCCTGGAGGAAAAGGGCCATGCGACCGGCGATGGCATACTAAGCGAATAATGTCAAACGCCTTGGAAGATACGTAGAAGATGGTTTTCTCACTTGGAGGCTGCGTATGGGGCCAGCTACTTTGCAATCTCTTGCGGTACTCCCTCATGGGCGCCACGAGTTTGCCTTGCATCTCGAGTATCATAAACATTGATGCGCCGAAAACGACTGTAAGCAGTATTCATCATTGAGCGACGTGCGCCCTGGCGATGAGAACTCGGGATGGGAAATGGCTGATACTATAGGTTGCTGGCGTACAAATGTGAGTATCTGTTCATCTGTCATTGTATCTGACAGCGAAGTTGACCCCTGGGAACGAAGTCGACCCAAGTTGGGAAATCGAAGCACTCGATTGGGATCCATGGGCGGGACGTCGACGTGCGCAACTCGGCGGGCCATTGAAAAACTCGGCTTGTTCTCATCAGCAGAACGGTGAGCGAGCTGGAGGCCGTCCAGCTTCTTCCATCAAATTCTATCTCTGCCGTGCGAGGATTCTTGGCATCGAACAAGTTTCGTCAACTCCGCCGTTTGTCAACGAGTCGTAGTAATAGTAGTAGTGGTGGTGGTGGCGTTGGTGTCTGACCAGCATAACGAGTACGGGGGACCACTTGAAATTCAGAGTCGACGAGCACTCTCTGAGAGCATTGCCATCGTTAATTCCGTTTTCCGGTGGACCTCGAATTGGGCAGGCGCGAGCCAACCAAACCAACGGATACTCACCTCCGTCTTGACACCACCCGTCTCCTCTGTCTCGGCTAACTGCTGACTGTCGGCTCCGCACACACCAAGGTGGATTTGTATAGTTGTCGGAAACCACCGAGAAAAAGTGAAAACTATTGGACGGAAATCGGAGATTGCACTGTAAAATCGAAACGTAGCAGCAAGCTATTGATGGACCTTGTCAAATTAATGTGAGAATACATAGAAGAGAACATGAAGCGCCTCGGGTCTTCACCTCGAACATTGCATCAAGCGAGAGGGCATTGCACGAGGAACCTTCCATCCTCTAACCATCCTCATTGCCCATCTCGGTTGCTTCGGTGCTTGAGACGTCTCAACTATGGACCGGCAATCTAGGGAATTTGCCGTTTACATCACCCACACCTCCCCGTATTTGCCTCGTTTGGACTCTCACAATTCGCGGAGCGAGCAAAGCCAGCATTTGACAGAGGTAGACGTATTTCGTCAGATGTAAAAACGCTCAAATGGCGATGAGGGATCCCCAAATTTGCCTTGTCGACAATGAGCGCCCGTTGATCCGCCAACAGAGTTGCCCTGTGTGTCCGCTCTTTCCCGCCGGTATACAACTGGGCTATTGAAAAGACAGAGGCGGGTGTGAGCGACCATGGTAATACACTAGAAGGCCAAAACGTACGACAACGACACAATTGTCCAATAGCCTACGGCGGAGATCTCCTTGACCTGTCTATTGGGCTTGTTCGTTGCTACTGAGTAAATTGAACTCGCCTCCTGTCTCATATTTCGTCGTTTCCGTCGCCAGTTTTAGTAATCTGAGTCCCGACGCCGATGCCGACACCTCGTAGCTGGCATGAACACCGGAGGAGGTACGCTAGTCACATTACTGTAATGAGACAGACAGATCTCTGGTAATGCCTGTTAGTGCCCCAAAGCATTGGAGCGAACCCCGCCGAAAGAAGAATGCAACAGGTACGTGATGATAGCAAGGAATAGAGAACAAAGGATACGAGACGACACAGTAAATTCGTAGGCGATGCCAGTATAGGAAGAAGTGTCAATGTATCGCGAGATGCGAATTCCGAATGGACTCCTTGAACTCAGTGCTTTGTTCGTGTCCAGGAGAATTGCCTTTGGTAAATGATAACGATAACGATATGACAGGCTTATTCATACTACCGACTCGAACACTGTACGATACTAAAGGACCAGAGAGAACGTAAATGAGTAGAACAGTCACATTGTGTGCATTGCAATTATCTGTACATCCTATGATAAACATACCAATCAACCCCAGTGTAAAAAGGGTGTTCAATATCATTGTTCCGTTTCCTCGGCACGAGGGAGGTCATTGCCTTTGGTGCTGCCACACATATCCTCGATCTGCTGTTCTTCCGCCTGCAGGCGCTTCATTGTTGCTTCGAGAACCTTTGCGCGTCTTTCAGCAGCAGTCAGCGCCGATGAGGATGTCGTTCCATTGCTTCCTCCAAGCACGTGAGCGGTCACTGCACTAGCTTCTGCCATCATCTCGTTCCCTACGCTACTTGGCTCATATGTTGAACCCATCATCGAATGAGTATTGGATTTGAGATGCGCTTCCCATTCGGCAACTTCTCTATTGAGACGAGAGTTCAGGGCTTTGAACTAGAATGCACAGTCAACAAGAGGTGAGCATCAGAAGGCCGTAAGACGCGCACGTTATCATCGTGGTCCCCCCATACGTTATGCGTCAGTTCATGACAGAGCACCCTCCTGACTTCACTATAGAGTCTGAACCCGTCGTACCGATCCGTCCTTAGGCGCAAAAGTATAGATTCTCCAGCGTTTTTATTGAGACCCAGCAGCTCGGGATGTTCGTGTGGAGCGAGTTCGGTCAAAGTACCGACTGAGAACTTGTGCGTCTGCATGATATGCACGATCGCGGGGTCGGCGGCGAGTCGTTGGAGGAGGCTCTCAGCTTTGGCTGGTTCAGGGAGATGTCGAAGCGGTTCGATACGGTGAAAACGGTAGCTCGTCAGAGGTTTCGCTGGCCCAGTCGATCGGACCTAGAAACGACCCAGCCGCATTAGTCTCTGTGAGGCGGTATGCGCGACAACGTACTTTTGGTCCCGGTTTAGCTGCTCGCGCTTTTAGTATTTCCTCTTTCCGCTCCTTTTGCTTTTCTGCGTCGAGCAACGAATTGATCGTGCTCTCTGGATTCCCGAGTAAGGTGACCTTCACACCGGTAGTCAGGCCAGCATCTTTGAGACGCGTTGTCGAATCCGAGCTCTTTTTTCCTTTGTACAAAAGCTTCTGTAGATGTGGGGGGACTGATGTCAGACCCGATAGTTCTGCTTGGAGGTCGGCGAGGGTGGCGTCTTGTCCTAGGTGCAGTGTATACGTTTGCGACCGGTGAGAAACAACTATTGAGACAGTCTCTGGATCCATTTGATATGAATTGACGTCGGTGTCGAGGGCAAAGTTGCATCAAGCCGCGTCAGCGACGCCTTTTGAACTCCGCGCTGACTAACAGCGCTTGGAAATATGATTGCAAACTTGGATAAGCGCGTCCCTTTCCTCTTGCAGGTGCTTCGCACGAGTTCTGAACTCTGTTTTCGCGCAGACAGATCGAGCAACTCAAGCGATGCGAGACCATTAGTGAGGCAGAGGTCAAACAACTTTGCCTTCAGGCTCGCGAGATTCTCGTTGAAGAAGGAAACGTCCAATATGTCGACAGTCCTGTCACTGTGCGTCCCTCTTCCCAGCTGTCGTTGACGTTGTAACCAAGGTTTACGATAGATCTGCGGCGACATCCACGGCCAGTTTTGGGATCTAATGGAACTCTTTTCGGTTGGAGGAATGTGTCCAGAGACAAACTATCTCTTTATGGGTACGTGCCACCAACCCATACGCATCGTTCTCACCTGCGTCTAGGAGACTTTGTAGACCGCGGGTTCTTTTCCGTGGAAACATTCTTGCTTTTGCTCGCTTTCAAAGTACGCTACCCGGACAGAATTACCCTTATCAGGGGAAACCATGAAAGTCGACAGATCACCCAGGGTGCGCTTATTGACTTACGTGCAGACGAAAACTCACTTACGCCTCGAGTCTACGGGTTTTACGACGAGTGTCATCGCAAATATGGATCTAGCACTGTTTGGCGTCACTGTTGTGAAGTTTTCGACTATCTTGCCCTCGCTGCTGTAGTAGACGGTCGCGTCTTTTGTGTCCACGGCGGACTAAGTCCAAATCTTCAAACTATTGACCAAGTAAGGGCCTGGTCAGAGACCTCATATTCGCCCTAAGCCTTGCTAGATACGCGCAATTGATCGGAAACAAGAAGTACCTCATGATGGTGCTATGTGTGATCTTCTTTGGTCTGATCCGGATGGTTAGTTCCCAACAATTGGAAGTGCTCGAAGCTAATATCGGGTAGAGATACAAGGCTGGGGTCTATCGCCACGAGGAGCGGGCTTCCTCTTTGGCGGGGACGCTGTCCGTTCGTTTGCACGGATGAATGACATCGAACTGTTGGCAAGGGCACATCAACTTGCCATGGAGGGCTATAAGCACATGTTTGACAACTTGATTGTGACTGTTTGGAGTGCACCGAACTATTGTTACAGGTATGGTTTGTCGTGTGATGACCATCATCAGACTCAGATTAACCTCTAGATGCGGAAATGTCGCCTCCATCTTGGAGTTGGACGAGAATCTTCGACAAGAGTATAAAGTATTCGTGCATGCTCCATCGGTGCGTAGATAAGGAAAGTCGTGAGTGCGCCCCCTGAATTATGCCCTAGGATGCGAGGTCAATCCCAGCTAAGAGAGCACCACCGGAATACTTTCTGTGAGCCGTCCAGATCCTCTGTAGGTAGCATGCATAGAAACTTGGACCCACCCACCATGTCGAGTATTGTCTCCATATTTGTCACATCTCCGGATACCCACTCAGAAAGACGTTATGATCTTCACTTGACAGTCGGTCAGCTCAAGGTGCTACCGTTTAGACCGCTATCGCGCACTCTAATCTGGAGATCCACCGTAGGCCAAATTAGAGCTCGTTACGGGAATTCCAGCACAGAGCCAATCATTATCCTTATATCGAAATGAGGACGATCAGACACCGATTGCAGTTCTGGACGACGAGAGCAAAGCGCTTGGCTTTTACAGTGTGGCATCGGGGCAATTTCTCAAAGTGCGCTCATTCAGATGACGTCAATACGATCTTATATCTTTCAAGGTTCGAGATACCAATCCTAATGCCTCGATGAGCGGCCAGTTTACCGACGTCTCGCAAGTGGAAAAGTTTGACCTTACCAAGGACGAGTACGAGCGTCGCACAGGTATCTACATTTCACGTCCCATAATCGTTTAGTGAGACATGGGCAGACACTGTCAAGTCGTACATCGAGAAACATCAGATGGGACGCTTTGCACCCAAGACCGATTCACCAGCGACACCAACTCTCGCAGAGATCTCTGCGCAGTACCCAATAGGATCCAGGTGCGAAGTCGCTACGGACGCTGGTCCAAAGTATCGGGGGACAATTCGCTTCGTTGGAGAGACAGAGTTTGGAAATAAAACGGGAGTCTGGATTGGAGTGGAATATGATGAAGCATGGGGCAAGAATGATGGCTCGTAAGTCGGAGAGTCTATTCTCTAATAACTGTCGTCGCAAAAGCGAGACAAAGCAAGGCCCATTCAAAAGTGCCTTGATTACTTTTGGCTGGCTTTTGCGACTGTCTGGCAAGGCCTGGTCTGACCAAGCTTGCAGTGTGGAGGGCAAGCGTTACTTTACATGCCCACCAGCAAAAGGAGCATTCGCTCGACCCAAAAAGGTCACAGTAGGTGACTTTCCACCAGAGGACCTCGGACTGGACGATGAGGACGAGGAGCTTTGAGATGGAGAAACGTAGGAACAGCACGTTGGCAATAATAAAACGTGTATCACTTACTCGCCAGTCGTCTGAGATCCTTGGGTAATCGGTGGCAGGTGCCCCAACGCCCCTGTTTTCAAACGGCGCAGCCAGTCTTCCTCTAGCTGGTAGTGAAGCGAGATATTCTGGATTTTACTGCATGTAAAGCTATGGCTGAATGAGATCTCTTTAGTTATGTCGGCGCGGTGAGCTTAGGAAGCGGACTTGTGAATGAAAAGAACTTGATCTCCTCCTCGTCGCGGCTTGTTTCCTCGCGGTTGCAACAATCTATAAGGACGACATATTCTCCCCTATATAGCTTTATAGAACACTCTCGTACCCACCTCCGACCTCCTGCATCTAGTCCAGCCCCTTCTTAGCGTACGCAACCTCAGCCAGGTGATGGCGACGATTACAGAAGGCGTTCTCAAAAGCGGAGAAAAGGTGTTTGTAAATGGTACGTATCGGTTTCATATTTCCCTTTGATATTCCATGGTGGTTATGGCCTGACGCCTGACGGCGGACACGGCCCCCTGGGTCCCATGTCAAGAAGGAGACACTGATATCTTTGATGATATAGACTACGTATACGCGGCCGCAGCTTGGGAGAGGCGTGATCCAGTCCCATACTCCATTGGCCGCATAATCGAGTTTATCCCACCCGAGGACCCGGCAAATGCACCCATGGTCAGAAGCAATGGTCGGCCAAAGGAAATTGGTCTCCGAGTTCGTATGGCGTGGTTCTATCGTCCACAAGACGTGCAAGACAAGGGTGTTGGTGACCATCGCCTGCTTCTCGCCGCTCTCTTCTCTGAGATTGTACCCTTCTCCAATGTTCGGGGCAAGTGCATCGTTCGCCACAAAGACAAAATCGCGGATCTAGCAGCGTACAAGAAAAAGGATGACCGATTTTATTTTCATCAGCTATTTGATCCTTTCACCAAAGACCAATATGAAGTGATACCCTCTACGGACATTCATAACCGTACGTCTCATTGGTTGAGTTTTGTTCATCTCTCATCCACGTATTAGTCCCCAGCCATATCAAAGAGGTTCTAGTCTCACGTTACGAATTTGTCGTATGTGAACGCGAGGCAGTTCCAGACCTCCAGGACAATCTTCGTCTCTGCGAAACATGCGGAGACTGGTGCCCAGGGTACGCTGGTGTTTTCCGCAATGGTGCCATCTGACTTACCTCCTGTGCAGCCCAGAATCAGTGATGTGTGAACTCTGCAAGAAGCACTATCATATGGAATGCGTCAATCCCCCTCTCCTTGCCAAACCAAGTCGCGGTTATGGATGGTCTTGCGCAAGCTGCAACAACAAGCGAGACAGCAATGAAGTTGATGTGGGCACGAGTAAGATCAGGCAAACTAGAGACTTGGCTCTCGCACTCGCAAAGGCTCGTGCAAAATCGAAGCCCAGCCCAAAGTCGGAAGAGGAGCCTGAAAAGTTTTGGAAAGGCTGGAATTTCCGCTATTTCGGGTATGTCTCATCGGATGACAATGCGCTTTTCTAAATACCTCTAGGCAATATACCGTTGCAGAGGATACCTTGGGTCAGTGTTCATCAGAGCATCATCAAATCTATTAACGGCTTGCAGATCCGGACGATATGATTTATGTGCGAGCTCCCACGAGGATAGGTCCAAAGTTTCAAGTCGTTCCACCACCCCTACCGGAGGGCCCAAACAGTACGTACTCGTTTTTGCTTCAGTCACTCTCTTATACCAGTCGCCTAGCCGACCCAGAGCTTCCTTCAAGAGGTGGAGACGACACTATCGAGGTCATGAGTCTGTTCTGTCGAATGGATGAAGCCTATAGTAAGGAGTTTTACCTTTCTGCGTTCATTACCTAATCATATTCGCAGGCACCGACGGTAACTATTGATCACCCATCTCATATAGATGACCCAGACTAATTTCTTCTAGCGGAAAGAAGAAAGAGTATACTCACTGCGAGAAGCGACCTACAATGTGACATCGACTGGCTTGAAGAGGTTGTTCGTCGGTTTACAGACGCATGGCTGAATAAGCAGTCTGTATACTCAGTCAACATGCGGAAGCCAATGGTCATCCGTGCGGTAAGTACAATGTTCGCCCTAAAGCCGTTCTTACCGGCATCTACCAGTTCAAGGATGGCAAAGAGACACGTTACCGCGATAGAGAATGGAGCGAGGTCGAGGAGGCCATCTTTGACGAGTCTGTCCGCAAGCACCACTCTGAACTCCGCCATGTACGAGCCGATATCAAGACGAGGACAATGCCAGAGGTGGTCCGCCATTTCGGTCACTGGAAAGCGTATGTACCTTCTCATTGGAAAATCCGTGAAATTGACAAGGCCTAGTCGACAGCTCAAATTGCAACGGCTCATGCCTCCTCAAGAACCGACGCCTGCGGCAACGAGCGACGACAATACTTCCATCTACCAAAAGGGCGACCGCAGAGTGTTCACTTGTGCTGTTTGTCGCACCAAAGACTCCGAGACATGGTGGAAGGCTCCACGTAATCTTTCGACGAATAGTATGTGCGATGAATGCGGCACGCAATGGCGCAAGTATGCCATCAAGTCCGTTCGAACAGATAAGGAGCGCGAGGTTGCGCCTAAACCTCACTCTCATGCAACTCCCGAGCCACCAACGACCCGATCTGGCGCAGCGACGAACAAAGCAATTGGGCTTGCAGCGGACAAAGCCAAACGAGAGTCCACTCCCCTCAATGGTCCTTTGAACAAGAAGCTCCGGGTATGTGTGTGATTACTATGATATAAAATACTGATCGTTTGCAGCTTGTGAGTGGGACATCTACGCCAATCAAGCTCGTCTGCTGCTTGTGCAGGAAGACCGGGCCTCAAGGACAAGTCGTCAAATGTAGCGTCTGCAGCTTCACTGTTCATGCAGGCAAGTAGCTCATGTCCCTAGTTTCGACTATGGTGCTCACTCAGCCACAGGTTGCGTTGGTGCACCTCTCGAGGATGCATTACCCAATTGGATGTGCGATATCTGCGCAAATGAGCGAAACCCAGAATCAAACTTGGTACGTCTGTTTTTATCTACGAGGATTCTATTGACCATACCCAGGACCCGAAATGCGAGTTGTGTCCGCCGCATCCAGCAGACCGCAAAAAAGGAGCTCGAGACTCTGCATTCTTACGGGCTGCCAAGCCAACAGAGTTTCGTGGATGGGTTCATGTCTTGTGCTCGACATTCACCAGCCAATTGGAATACGCCGACGCTCGGCGCATGAGACTCGTCGAGGGGCTCATTACCATCCCTGAACGCAACTTTACACAGGTGCGGATAGCCTACTCAATGGTAGCGGTGTGGATCTAATTCGCGATGTAGAAATGTAGCTGCTGTGGAGGAGCGGAGGGCTGCGTCTCTCAATGTGATCAGTGTCTCACCACTTTTCATCCGGTCTGTGCGTGGAATCACGGATATAAGTTTGGCATTGAATTCACTCCGGTACGTTTTCAATCACAAAAGGGACAGTATTACTTACACTATTCAGGTCAAGCCAAACCAGCGCAAAGAATTCCCAACAGTCGAATTCAGACAAGAGATTGGCACGATGAACGCCGTTATCATCTGCGATAGCCATGGAGGAAACATGAACCCCAGTGGTAAGAAGATATACGACTTGTGCGACTTGGACGAGCGAGGAAGGGTGAGTAACGATGCAGATAGAAGTTTCACCCCTGATCATATGCAGACTGCACTTCAAGCCTTTACGGAGACGTACAAGCAAGCACATAACAGTGAGAAGACGTATGGTCTCCTTCGCAAAGCTCGTCGGTTGGATGATGTGGTTCCCGCTCCGCGATTCGATGCTGTGCCTACTTTGGATCCTTCATTGGTACTCTCCACAAATAACCAATGCGTTTTCTGCCACACGCTGTCATCGCCATTCTGGTGGCCCACAGACGCAGCACATATCGACCCTATCCCAGAAGGACCAAAGGAAGGAAACGAGACACTCACCAATGGTACGACGAGCCATCCCGTAGATGAACATCCTCACGCCGAACAAGGAGATGTGGCCATGGACGAAGACGCGCCTGAACCGAAACCAGCCGAAGCGCCCAAGGTTCAAAAGATATGCCACGCTTGCTACTTCCAACAATTGACCGCGAAAGCGCAACCCATTGTCGTCGATCTCAGTAGTCCCATCATCGTATCCTAGTCTCTGCTGTATGAATAGTGATTTCCAATTGTTCGCTTGAGTTGATGTACAGGAGATCCAAGAAATTGTGTACAGATACAGTCGCATCACAAGCATGCGATTAATGAGTCCGCTTATAGAAGAGAATATAAGCCGCCTTTGTCTGTTGAACCGTGAGTGACCAAGGAACAATCGAAGCGGAGAAACGACTTACGACAACAGCATTCTTGTCAGCGCGTGTGATTCTGCTGTCATCACAATATCTCCATCCGGCAGCACTCGACACAAATGCTGTATCTGAGAGAGGAAGAAGAAGTCAGTTTCAGGATGCATTCGAGGTGTTGTTGCCAACGTACAGTGCCCGCTGCTGAGTGTTCCGTAGTGGTTAGTGACACCAAACAAGTCATATTTGTAGGGTGGTTGTTGTCGACGAGGATCATCTGATCCGAGGACTTGCGGCCTGCCATACTTGACAATCGTTCGTTCTGCGCCAGCAGGGAGCGGTGGTGGCATGTATCCAGTCAAGTCGAGATTGTTGATGGGAAAGTCTACCAGTGTCTCGATCTTCTCGGTGAAGGGCCCCTTGAAGGAGAACCGTTTGAGGTGGATGAGGAGGACAGGGGGTAGACGGCATAGTGTCAGTACTTTGGTCGCCTTGCGTAGTGCCTTGCAGTTGGGGCAGTTCCTGACATGGGTCTTAACATCGTAAATCGATCAATCGTGCCGCTACATACCAGGCGTCTGTCTTTTCCATGACTTCCTGCTGTACGAATGCGTCGAGACATTGCTGCAATGAAACACGGGACGCCTGCTTATGGTCGGGGACGGGCAAGGAGAGATGCATAAACGTGTTGTACGTTGTCGAAGTCTGTAAGCAGTGAGAACCGAGGATACTACCCAACGAAATTGCATACTTTGTGGCAGGTCATACATTCCATACGATTACGGAACTGGCCTTGGAAGTAGTCGACAATTATGCTGTTGTTTGTCATGCGATAGAGCTGCCACTCTTGTTCGCTAGCAATCTGCGTCGACAAAGCTTCAAGTTCCGCCTCCCGCTCGGGTCTGGTTTCAATAATGTGTCGTTGGAGGATACGGTTGAGATCTTCATGGAGTCCATCGAGGAGGAAAATCATAAATTCTTGAGCGTCATGTTGGTTCGAATCTGCGAATTGAGGGGCATAGGCGCAAACAGTTTTCTTAAGGCATATCTCAGCATCTTCGACAGGCCGTAAACGTGAACCACGTACTCTGAAAGGGATCGGAGTCAAGGCTCCCATATCTGCTTGCCACATATCGACCAATAGTCGTGCATAACCTTCTGTGAGTTTACCCTTGGTTCCGAGCGGGTTGAGCATATTGACGGCATTTCGCCAGCGACCGTCTAAACATGGTCGAGTCAGTCTCACTCAGTACCAGCAGGAGGCTTACCGATGAAGAAACGAGCAAATGGGGCGGTGGCGCTGAGACACTGCAAGACCGAGTTCATGTAGCACGTATTTCCCAAGTTCTTCAAACCGGACATTCCGATCTCGCTCGCCGACCAAAAGACCACGGGATAATCGGATTTGATCATCGGAGCCGGTGGTGGAGCAGCAGTGGGCGCATACGCTGCTTGACCGAGGCGACTTCGAGGTTCGAGTTTGGTCGTCGCACCGCTTGTGGCTGTTGCAGCAGCAGGTGGTGGCGGCAAGACATGATTGAGGGCCAATTGAGGATAGTCAATGGGTCTACCCGGTTGTACAGAACCTGAATAAGCCTGACCCTGGTCTGCAAAATCGCTTCGTTTACGCGAAATTGGATACTGGTTGACGGAAGCTGCTTGCGGGGGAGTTGGCTCGGTTCCTGTGGTACATTAGTCAATGGTTCTTGAGCCAGATGAAGCTTACCTGGTGGCGGTGAAAAGGGAGTAGGGAAAGTCGGATATTGAATAGGGCCATTGCGAGTACCGGATGTCGAGACCAATGTTGGTGTTTGCGTAGTTGGGGGCTGAAATGCGTCAGAAAGACTCTGGCTGATAAAATGTTTCTTACAGGGCTAGTCGCGCGAGACCGATAGTATTGAACAGGTGGCAAAGGAGGCTTGGAAACGGTTCGTGGCCTAGTAAGCTTGTGAGTTCCAGGAGTTTCTGTGCTGACGTCGGATCTACGACCATGGTTAGTCTCATCAAAACAGCAATGCTTGCCAGGATTTACCCAGTCGTCTGTGGTTGTAGTTTCTCCGCGGGAGGATACTTGATCTCTGCACGTCTATCGTACAAAAAGGTCTCTTCTTCCGAGGCTGATGTAGCAGATGTCGAGGTGGATCCCGTCGGTTCCGGTGGAATGGCATCGCCATTAGAGATTGAGCCAGAGGATGAAGAGGGTGAGATGCGCTTCAAGATGCCCTCCTGACCAATGGTAGCCTTCCAGGCTTTGAAACCTCCAATAAGCAACATTGGCGGGCGTTTGAGAGGTCGATGAAATTCATTTTCGAAAATAGCGCGCGAGAGTGAGTAGATGGGAGTATTTGGTGCAATGGTCGTCGACGACTCGTCGTACATGATGATGAGATCAAACCGAGAACGGTTCTTGAACAATACTTGCTCCATGTTGGGAGCTATTACTTGGGCACCTTCAATCATAGAAGAGTTGATGCTACAGGCCGGTCAGAGGCCGTAGAGAGCGCATCGATCGACTTACCCTTGGCGTGCCAACACCATTGGTTCCAGGCACACGATAGCGTCATGGTTGATTCGCTCCTTATCAAATTGTTCTCGGTTGCGAACATCGAGCATGAGAATATTCAGTCCCCGGGTCTCGAGCAACGAGTTGAGCTTCTGAGGTGTGATTGCGTTGGTGATGGGGAGATCTACAGAGACTGCTTGGTCTCCAACCGGATATCCTCCTGTTCGAGGGGATGCTTGTGATTGATTCGGGCTGTATCCGTGCCCTGGCGAGCCGTGGTTGGCAGGAGTAATTGGGCGCGCACCGCCGCTCATGCGCTTGATAGGGATTGGAGTGCTCGCTGGTCGCGGCTCCATATCCATGACTGCTGGGAATGCTTTTGCTTTCCAAGGGAGTCCATTTGGCTTGTGTCCATTGATCCCATTCGGGCTCGTCGTTTGCTTTGTTCCGTTCATGCCTGGAGCATGTGTCGGGACTGAGGGGAACATGGGCACGGGATCGCGTTCATTAAGCTCGTCAATAGGCGGAAATGTTCTAGAAAAGTCGGATGGGCTTCTGACTGGCGTCTCGACTTTGCGCATGCGAGGGACCTGAATGTCATCGTCCTCTGGAGACGATCCAGCCGAGTGTGTCGGCGATGGCGGACCGAGATTGGACACAGGAACAAACTGCCTTGGGGATGTTCCAGCGGGGATCGGGGTCGGGGTCGAACGAGTGTATGGAGAAGACAATGGGATGGCAGGCTTCGGGCTTGCCGGAGGGATCGGAGGAATGAACACGTTCTGACTTATCGAAGATCTCCTGACGGTGTATGGACCAGGTGTTGGACCTCGAGGCGCTGGGGTCGGTCCCCGTGAGGGGACAAGCACAGGTGGTGACTGCGGGCGAAAGTTTTGCGAGGGCGGGCGCTGAATCTTTTTGCCAATGAGCTCCGCTTGGATCCCGCTTCCTTGGAGCTGCTTTAGACGTTCTGCCAACGAGTTGCCCGCTCGACGGTTTAGCGAGCCATCCGTCTCTGACGCCACATCGGCCCGTTCACTAAAGTTGAAAAGGAGCGAGAGCGTCAGAAGCATTGCCGGATGACGTAGATAGAGAAAAGAACAAACGATAGTGGGGAAGCGCAGACGATGGGGACTACTTACGCCTCTGCACGCTCGGCCTGGAGGAGCTGCGCCTGCAAATTTGCGACGCTCTTCATCATAGCCTCAAAGGGACCCTATAGGGGAAATACGAGTGAGCGTCTGGACTGGGCAGCGGGGGGGACGAGGTCATTACCTTGTTAAAGTCTGCCATTAGGTGATAGAGCGCACCGTGACGGCCACGCTGGGACTCTTGTTTATAATCTTGGGATTCCTGGACGAACTGGAGGAGACTGGAGACGGTCAACGGGCCTGATCGAGGATGTGGACCACAACCTGCTGCTGAGCAAGGTGGCTTTGATGACTTACACGCCGACCTGGACAAACTGAAAAAGCGCGCCTCGCAAATCTCCCTGTTGCTCCTTGAGATGGGCCTCTTCAGCGAGCCGGCGAAGAGAGTTCATTGCCGTCAACGGGGCAGCCCCCTTGACAGACTTGTTCGTCTTGAGCGCGGCAGCATTGCGGATCTGGGCGACTGTTCGTAGCTCGGATGGAATTACAGGAGTAGGTGTCGTTATTATAGGGGACGCTGTCGATGGCATGTCGACACCTGCAAGAGGTTGGGTACAAGCTTGCAACGGCCTATTTACCCCACTCTTGCCCGAAACCTTATGGCGCCGAGAGCACACACTAAATTCACAAATAAACAGCTTGTACACTACTTTACACAATTTCCTCAAACTCCTGCTAATGCGGGCCACTTTGTTCGGACATGAGGACGCTCGAGGGCCCCGCCCACGGTTTGCCGAGACGCGCAGATACGACGCGGGAGGGAATCGTCTACCCAAAAGGGGGGGAGCACGTCATGTGAGGCCTCAAGTTAGCCTACACTCAACCGTGAGGACGGGTCGGAGGGCAGAGAACCATGGTGTGATAGCAGAGCGTAAAGAGACTGATCGAGCAATAGAGAGCACTCACTCTGTCACAGGTGGATCCCTTGATCGACCAATCCCCCTCTCCACAGAGCATGTCCCCTACTCTGGCAGCAGGAAGCACGCATCATTGAAAACGTTGAGCGTCGGAGGGGAGGGCTCTCGAGGGGCTTTATCCTTGACACTGGCTTGATATGCGGCTACATGCTGCTTGTGTCGGTCCTGCAAGACGGCGTCCCATGCTCGCTTGTATTGTCGATTGAGAGCACCTTGTCTACGCTTGTGTGCAGTAATAGGTGTGTCATATACGCATATGCAGCGTCTCTTCGGCATGCCCCGCATGAGCCACGCAAAGTGGAACAATGCTTCGTTTGCTGAGCGAAACTTGTAGCCGGCGCCCTGTCGACTCGTCAGTACAGGCGCATATGGAATGAAAGTACATACGTATATGTAAAAATCATGCCGAACATCGTCATGTCCTACTCGCGTTCCTTTCTTGTGGCAATAAAGGCGATATCCAAGGGGAAAGTCTGTCAGAATATAATCCCTTTCACCTGTGAGATGATTAACATCATGATGAAACAGGTCTGATAACCTACTGTTGATAAGGAGGAACTTGTTCACGAGCTCTTTTGCGATAGTCTTGCGCAGGCGCTTAGATCTGGACGAGTCCAAGGGCTCTAACTCGTACCAAGTGACCGAGTGCCCACTCCCTTCCTTAATCTTGCTTGGGGGCTGAAAGTCTTTGCCCACCTCTGCGTCAGTGGTGTGGATTGTCAGAGAGTTGCTCTCAAGTGTAAAGTCCGGGACGTCGAATCTTGGTTCGTTTGACCGTACGTGGTACATAACAAAGAAATTGAAGCCGATAAAGAATAAAAACTAAGAGTATTAGTTGAAAAGGTGGGCAGTGGAAGGGTCGAACGTGCAATCGCGCTGTGGCGTGATGTGGTCAGCAGCCCAAATGCCACTCCGGAAGATCCAATGCGTCCAAAGTCGGACAAATATACAGTCTATTGCACTCAAGAAGGATCCAGATGGGATATTCTTCCGCGCCACATCTTATCGGTCATTGCATCATACCAAAAGTGTAACAAGTCCTTCGAAACGTTCCTCATAGTAAATCCCCGGATTTACATATTCAAATGACTCTATTATGGCGCAACGGGTCAATCACCCTCAACGGGTCGAGACTTGGACAGCTCCACTACTAATGGCCGCCAATATCCTCACTGTAGTAATGACCACAGCGCTCCTTGTGGGTGCCCAGATACTCCCGGATGGTGATGGACTCCCAACAATATCCGTAGCGTCCACGGCATCGCAGGGAACATCGAATTTCTCCTGGGTGTCGACTTGGGCTTCAAACACGAGCGGAATGCACTCTATCACTTATTCACCCTATCTAGGACAGCATTCAAGTACACATGCAGTCCAGACAGGGTACGTAATGCTCCCCGGTTGCGCTTCTTATACCCGAGTCAACATGGCTCACCTGAACTTCCCCCTAGGTCCTCCCCCAGCCCAAATACCTCGAATGTCCATATTATTGCACCTGTAGTCGGTGCGGTCCTAGCTGCTCTCTTCATCCTCGTACGTCGCCACCACGGTATTTTTATCTTTGCTCAACCTCGGTCGGTTTGCCTTTGACAGGTAGGGTGCTGGCTAGTTAGGAGACGAAGGAATCGTGCTCTCAACGCACATAGGCGACGGTCGACATGGATGGCCTCGCAGAAGTATAAATGGGAACCCGATAGCAAACGTGATACGGAGGCTGGTCAACCAGACGAGTGCTTTTACTTCTTCCTTTTGTAATGAGTTTGTTGACATTTCCCTAGTGACCCGCCATTCCCAACGACCATCCAAGCCCCTACGCCGGCGACGACGCACGAGCGCAAGACATCTATTCTCTAAACACACACAATTTACCCACGAAATTTCTTGGATACCTGCTTTCCATCAGGCCAATCGTGTGTTTAAAGCTCCAATTCACACAATGTTCCAAACATAAGTTATGGCGTGAATATTTATAGCTCTACGTGCACCTTTGGCGTCTCATCCACAGGATCAGACGACGCAGTGTCGTGCTCTGCTACCTTTGGTGCGACCGTTTCTGCCTGAGCATCCTCCGACTGAGCGACCTCGGATGGCTCCGGTTCGCCCTTGACCCATGCCTCACCACGCTTCTTTACGCCGTCCAACAGCTCGTTCAAATCTGCGGCGACGCGCACGGTGGCCGTCTCGACTTGGAGAATCTCCGTCGAGACGACGTTTTCCGACATTTTAGGATGGGTTGAATTGAACACCATTTCGAATTCTTCGATCCACTTGTTTGCAGCTGAACAATGATTAAATACCAGGAAGGGCTGTGAAGAGATGAGACACTCACTATCCTTTAGGCCATGGTAACGAGTCCAGTCGTCGGTTGAAACATCATCCAACCATGCATAGTCCATGCCAAGGTCGTCTTGAGCTGTGCCGGCGAGCTCGTGGATCCTCTTCGCTGCCTCTTCAAACTAGGGCCCGTCAGTAGTGAGACAGGTCCATTCCGATCGTTTACTTACGACCGCCTTTTCCTTCTCCATGGCCTTTTGATGCCAGGTCTTGAGATAGGTAGTGACCTCGATTGTCTTGTCGTCGAGCTTCTTCTGCACCTTTTCTACGACCGTCTTCCATTGCTGAGCAACACTATCATCAATCTTGTCGTCCTTCTTGAGCTTGAGGAGATACTTGTCCGTATTCTCAATGTGCTTCTGACCCTCTTCTTGCATAGTCCTCAACAGGTCAAACATTTCCGGCGTATTGCGCATCTTGTTGACAGCCGAAAACCTTGCATCGTTAATGTACTCCAACAATTCTTGGAATTCGTGCTCGCCCGCCCACCGGAGCTTGTCCTCCCACTTTTCATGGCGGGCGACAATGGCCGCACGTTTCCGCTTCGTCTCTGCGTCCTTGATACCCTTTTCTGCTTTTTGCTCTGGGGTCAAATTGGCGTCTTTGTCGATGCCATCCTCCTCGAACAATTGCTCGAGGAATTGGTCAATCTCGTCTTTAGTCTCCGCCGCCATTTCAGTAACCTTGTGAATCACTTTCTGTGCGAGTGATTCTTTGTGTTCGTCGGTATTGGCGTTGGGAGTCTGAGATGCTTCTGCTGCAGCATCGTTGACATCGGCCTTGACGACATCCTCTGGGACGGGCGCAGCAGGGTGCTCGACATCCTGAACGTGAGCGGGTGTACCAGTTGCTTGTGAAGCAGCTGCGGTTGACCAGTATACGCCCGTCGAGGCGGAGGAGGAAGAGAGACTCGACGAGCGTTGGTGTGCTGTCGCGTGGCTGACAACAGCATAGACGACAAAGGATGCAAGAATGGCTCTTGCTGTGAGTTTGATGACTCTACGGCCCTAGAGAGTTGCGTATATGAGACCAAATGCACGGATAACACGTCATGTAGAGAGACTTACCCAGCCGTTGGTAGTTGTTTGAGCTCATTGTGATGGTGGTCAAAGTTCTGTTGGTGATAGAGGGAAAAGTGGAATCGACGGTTGCCACGAGAGCTATCCAAGGCGTTTAGAGCTCGTCCTGTCGAAGAGTTTGGTACGAATCGAGTGTGATGACAAAGTCTTACAGGAGGAGAATGAGTGTTTACGTGGCAGTTGGTGTCGCCGAGGAGATGGAGGGGAAAGAGTTGCGTAGTTTCGCCGGCATCACATGCAGGCTTTGTACGGTGATGGTCTACGTATTGCAAATGCATATTCTTCGCATATTCTATTGTGTTGCTCTGCGGTGTATTTTACTTTATAATGTACGTTTTACTTCACGTTTTTCCAAGGTACACTTTACAATGCACACTTTATACACTTGTATTCTATATAACCTCGATACTTTTGTACTTTATATATATTTGTACACTTTTCCAGTACCGAGCTACGCCAAGTGCCTCGTGGGTGGTTTGGCGATTGTGATTGGCTGGCCTTCCGCCTTTTTGCCAGCTTGTGGTCCCAGGTCCCCTCGCAAGGTTGACCTCTCCCTCGTCCCCAGCTGCGCTGTCCTCGTCCTCCTAAAGCTTGCAAGCTCAAGCTCGACGTCTGTTCACGATCTCCATCATGTTTTCACGACTGGCTTCGTCGTTACTCCTCCTCGCCGCCCTCGTCCGCGCGAATAGCCATGACCACGCTGCCGCAGACCACAACCTGCGTGCGCAACGTCTCGCTAAAAAACAAGACGGTGCTCGCGTCTTCAACCTCGTCGATAGCGCAGAGGGCCCAAACTTTTTCGAGTGCGTGTTTTTCCCCCCTTTGCCCATTGCCAGGAGGGCGTCGGGTTGTTGACCATCGGCTTTGATAGTTCATGGGCATTCATGACCTTTGACGATCCGACTCACGGTCTCGTACAATATGTCGACCGCGATACCGCCTTTGCCAAAGGCCTCGCCTATGTGCGCGACGATGGAATCGCCGTCATGCGTGTGGATAATACAACTTGGCTTGCCGACGGTCAAAAGCGAAACAGCGTCCGCATCCATACTGCCAAATCGTATGGTCAAGGCCTATTCATTGCCGATATCCTCCAAATGCCCTATGGATGCTCGGTATGGCCTGCTTTCTGGAGTAATGGAGCCAATTGGCCCGCAGGGTGAGAGCTGTTTTGGTTGCGTTTCCAAGAAACTAACCCTCGAGTAGTGGAGAGATTGACGTGATTGAAATGATTCACAACAGCACATCGAATCAGTCTACTCTGCATACGACGCCTGGATGCCATCTCGACACCTCGCGCTACAACCCAGACCCTAAGCAGCACATTTCAGCCAAGACGTTTACCGGACAGGTCGTGACGACCAACTGCGATGCTGCCGTTGACAACAACGTTGGGTGTGGTATTCGCAACGACGATCCCTCGTCATATGGATTTGGACTCAACGGTGCTGGTGGTGGCGTCGTCGCTGCACTCTGGAACGAAGATGGTATCCGCATCTGGCACTTTGCTCGCGCAAACGTCCCTGCGGACATTGATGCCAAGACTCCCAATCCCGATACCTGGCCCGCACCCGTCGCGTTCTGGTCCACGGACACCTGCCCCACGAGCCAGTTCTTCACCGACCAGAGCTTCATCTTCAACATCACTCTCTGTGGCGACCTCGGCAATGGTTCGTTCAACGAGTATGGCTGCCCGGGCACTTGCTCGGCTTGGGTCATGGATCCAGCACACTTCCGCAGTACGTTGCATGTCTTCCGAGTATTTCAAATCTAACTGTGTCTACAGCTGCTATCTGGAAGGTCAAATATTTCCGCGTTTATCAATAGACGAGCTTTGTTCGCTTCTCGCACTCGCAATGTAGCGCAGCATTTTTGTAATCTAACGAACAGAATGAATGGGATGGACGTCTTTTAACAATCCAAAAGCTGCTGTTAACTGAATCTTGCACCCGACCAATACCATATGTCGCAGATACCGGAACTTCCGGACGAGCTTTGGCTCCATATTCTCGAGCAAATTAAACATCTCGAGTCATTACACACCATTTCGCTATTGAACCAGCGCTTCCATGCGCTCGTACAAGAGGAATCGATCTGGAAGGAGCTCTGTTATCAATATAAATTCAACAAAGAGGCACGCTGTAGCTCATCGACCTCCAAGGCATTCTTCAAGCATTGTTTCATCCTAGGTCTGCCTCTGTTTGTAACTATCTGCGAAACTCTGACTCGATTCCGTCGACGTGCATTGGCGTTGAAGATTACAACTGGCGCAACGCGACACAGCGCAGGGAATGCCAGCAGAAACTCGACGTAAGAGGCGCTGCGCCGCGCATCATGAGCAGGTCGGGCGCATGGGCTATCAAGGGCGTCTCTGCGGCCTTGGCAGCCAACGTCCCGGCCAGTATCAACGCCACGAATACCTCTTTTGATGGTAGGGTCGGGGTTGTGAGTAGTGGACGGGTGCGCACGTTGAGTGTGGTTGCGTATATGGGCAGCCATGTCCAAGTATACGACCTCTCTGCGTCTGTACCTGTGGCGACCTATGCAATCCCTGAAGATAAAGTGCGCACGATGGTTCTTGTTCTCAGTAACGAACCGTCGAAGGAGACGGCCGAGTGCGCACCCGGAGTCAGAGGCGGAGATGGAATGCATATAGAGGAAAGACTGGGGCCTGGCGTCTTTAGAGGATGGGGCAACAAGCAAATGAGACTTATCACTGGCGGGGAGAAGATTAAAGTCTGGCGACTTCCTACCCGGTATGCCATCCATGTCCCGTTATCGTTATACTCACCACTCGTTGAAGGATAGGAGAAAAACCAGTAGTCTTGACCCCCACTGCCTCCATTCGGTGTCTCACCCTTGTGAATGCATATCTAGTCAGTGGCTCACGGGATGGCTCAGTGGCTCTGTGGAATCTCCAGACGAATGAAAAGCTGGGGGATCTAGAGGGATTCATGGATAGTGTCATGTGCTTGGATGCCCATCGCACCCGAGGTATTGTCATTGGTGGGTCGATGGACAAATCTGCCAAGGTACGCCCTTGCTACATTGTTTCGGTCAGCCATATATAACTGGACCTAGGTTTGGCATCTCAGTACAGGAATGACTTTGCGACTCCTCGGACACCAACTCAGTGTCCACCGAGTCTTGCTCGATGATCATCGAGCTTTCACCGCATCTATGGACTCGAGTGTGAGAATGTGGGATGTAGACACAGGGTGAGAATACTACTTCTTGGGCGTTCTTATTAACAAAGGTTAATAGGGATTGCATGTGCGTCCTCACGACTCATCGGACGAGTGTGATTCACCTCGGCATCTTCGAGTCCTTGGGATGCATGCGCTCCCTGGTCTCCGTTTGCTTCAGTGGGATCGCAGCGGTGCATGGACTGTCGGCCCAATCAAAGACCGCTACTGAGTACAACGATGAAGCACTCGCAATTGATGAGAGCATCTATCCTCACTCGAAATTGGTAGCCAACTCTGGCGCACCTTTGCCAAAGAGTGGGGCTCTCGCATCCTTTGCTTCTGATACTCCGCCAATCAAATCTTCCAAGGGATTCAATCTTCATCTATCCCAAATCGTCGATGTTGCAAGCAACGAGTCTTATTATGTCGTTGGTTCATTGGACGGACAAATTTCCGTCTTCCAGCCAATCCCTATCCCACAGGAAGACCAAGAGCCCATGCAGCGAACCAGCGAACCCAACGGATGCACGTTTGCTGGCCCAGTCGTAATTGGTAGCAGCACGCCACTAAACTGGGACGACTCGGCGGGCCGAAAACGTAACTCGCCTGTCAAGCTCATACGTACCATCGAAACCGGGCTTTATGCCTTGTTTCGTGTCTCAGCTCTGCCCAACGGTATCGTCGTCGTCGGAACAAAGGATAACGGGGAGATGGTACTCATTCATTACGACTTTACGCCGCGATAATGCGCTTGTTGTATGAAGAACCTCTCGCTTATCAGCCTTTCCAGCTGATGGGTCCCGATTCTCGCTATTCTAGTCATTCTTTACGAGATTTCGAGTTCCGAGCAGTGGCTATAAAGACCGGGGCTTGGCCTAAATAGATTCCTCGCTTGCCTCCTGCACTCTCAAGCCGAGCAAACCCTAGAGTGTAAAAAAATGGCCTCTGCGATGCAAGAGATTCACAGGGAAATCTCCAAGACATCCATCCACTCGGATGGCATCGTCAAGGTCTCTGATACAGCCGATCAGGATCAGCACGTTCTCGCAAAGAAGTCTGACCAAAGCAAGAGTTCTGCCGATCCCGACGATAATGCACACATTCGCCCACCAATCGAATACACCTCATTTGGCGCCTTTTTGAGTTCGGTCGGGAGGTGCGTCTCTGTTTTTATTGGGTCTGCGGGGTGTGGCTGATTTCCATTGATAGGCGCTTCAAGAGTCTGTGGACCCGCCGATTCATTCTTTCCATTCTGGTTTGTATGATATTCTCCGTGTAGGTGCGGGGCTAATATTTCGTAGGCGGGACAGCTCCTCTCTTTTTGCATCACCTCGACGAGCGTGATCACGACGAAATTAACCATGAGAGGGTTTAATCTTCCCACAACCCAAACCTGGTTCTTGTGCGTCCCTCGGCAGCTTTTTGGCATAGTCTGACGAGTTCCAGATACGCCGCTCTTTGTCTTATTTACACTCCTTACACCATCTATAAATGTAAGCTCGACAACTTCAAATGGTCATGTTTGACATCATTATAGACGGATTCAAAGGATGGGGTCGCTTGATTCTCCACGACGGCTGGAAGTGCAAGTAACACATTTGCCCTTCGGAGATATTCTGACCATGTATAGACTTCATTCTCGCTGCTGCGGACGTCGAGGGCAACTTCTTGGTGGTCAAAGCGTATCAAAACACCAATTTGCTCTCAGCCATGCTCCTAGACACGTACGTGGACCATTGGCTAGATGTCATCATTCTCACTCTTCGTAGCTGGGCGATCCCAGTTTGCATGTTCTTCACATGGGTGTACTTCCGTACAAAGTTTCACTGGTCGCAGTACCTTGGAGTCTTTGTTTGCTGCGTCGGCATGGGTCTACTCGTTGTCTCCGACCAGACGCACAACTCTGCCAATGGTCCTGGCAAATCCCTCGTCAAGGGAGATATGTTCATGTTGGCTGGCGCAACCCTATACGGATTTAGTACGTTACTACGATTCATGCTATAGTATTGTATACTTACCCAAGGTAGCCAATGCCACGGAAGAATTCTTTGTGCGCAACGCGCCACTGTATCAAGTAGTTGGGCAATTGGGCATGTGGGGAATGATCATCAACGGTATACAAGCGTCTGCCCTGGAGCATGCAGGATGGAAGAAAGTCACATGGGATAGGCACGTCATTGGATTTATCCTAGTCTATACCGTGTCTATGTTCATTCTATACAGTGAGTTGACAATTGTTCACTCTTGGATCGTGCTCACTCTTTTAGCCGTCGCACCCATCCTTTACCGCCTTGCCTCTTCTACGTACTTTAACCTCAGCATTCTTTCCAGCGACTTTTATGGTCTCATCTTTGGTGCGTTTATTCGGAGCTTTGTTTCGCATGGCTGACGGACTCGTGCAGGAATCTTCCTCTTCGTGGGTCTACAAAAGCATATGCAAATGCAGTCTGACACCTCTTTAGAAAATGAAGCCCTACTGGCTTTACTTCTTCGCATTCGTCGTAGTTCTCGCGGGACTAATCACCTATTTTTGGCACACTCCACGTATGTCCCATCCTACTGATCGAGCTCGCATTCAACTCTTGATAGCGGAAGCCGGCAAGATCAATGCAGTTCCTCCGACCTATGTCCAAAGCGGACGCGTACACATCACTGCCGGAGCTGACGTAGAGGCGGGAATCAAGAACGAAGAGTGACAAGTAGAGATTAGCGCTTGAGTTCTCGGCGTCTATCCCAATACAATTGTTTTTCCCTTTGCATCAGCCTTTGTATTGTCATGCTTCGAGTCAGCCTCATCGCTTCTTGCACCAAACCCCGTCCATCTCAGTGCTCTGCTGCTACCTTTGCGTCCATGGCATCGTCTTCAAGAAGAGGAAGAGGAAGAGGTCGCGGTGGAGGAAGGAATGAAGACCCCGTCGTTCAATTGTCAAAGACGCTCTCGTACATCTTGAGGCACGGTGCCAAGGGTGAAGGGTTGGAGATGCGTCCAGATGGTTATGTTAAACTCGAAGACTTGGTGACTTTGTTCGCCTTGGCCTCCAATCCACACTCTGACGGCTTTCTAGCTCAAAAGACCAAAGCTGCGCGGATATGGCTTCAACCAGATCAGAGACGTCGTAGAGGAAAACGATAAACAGCGATTCACTCTGCTATTAGAACCATATACCACGACGTCTTCATCTGCTGCGCCTGACACCGCAGTACCTATCACAATTCCATCTAAATTGGCGGATGACTCCTCAGACATACTCAAAGACCTGGATATGAACTCAGGGACATGGTACATCCGAGCAAATCAGGGTCATTCTCTCAAGGCAAGTGCTTTCGATTGCAAAGTAGCAAACTCACGAGCAAGCACAGGTGGAACAGCTTGAACTGAAACCAGTAGAAGATCCTTCCGAGATTCCAATAGCCATCCACGGGACTACCCTCAAAGCCTGGGACAGCATCAGTACGGCGACTCAGATCGGACGGATGATCATTGACTTGTTACAGAACAAAAGGGACTCTCTATCATGGGAAGAAATCATGTTCATTTAGCCGCAGGCAAGCCAGGCGCGTCTGGTGTTCTTAGTGGTCAGTCGTACGCACTAGATGGTCTCTGTCCAATCTGACGCGCGTAGGAATGCGCACGAGCTCAGCTATCCACATTTACATCGATGTTGAAAAGGCAATGGGAGATGGGCTCAAGTTTTTTGTCTCATCAAACGGGGTCATCCTGACGGCCGGGGATGAAGAAGGATTTCTATCCAAGCGGTACTTTAGCAAAGTGGAGAGATCAAACGGTACTCCAATGCCAGATGATTGGAGGGAATGATTGTAGATGAGCCCCGACAATTCATCTGGTCCATTACGACACCTGAAAAGATTAGCTGAAATCAATTCCGCTTGCACTCGTCGCGACGTCGCACTCATCTTAGATCCACTTCGTTTATTATACGGGCCTTTTCACTCTCCGCGTGCCGGGATCCCTCTGCCCAGGGAAGACCTGCTCAACCTTGACGCTCTGTGTGGTCGCCTATGCACAAGGGTATGCGGCCGTCATCACGATCCATGCTTGTTGCTCAAGCCGTTGACGTGCCCGACAGGGTCGCCGACGCCGCTTGGAATGAAGCAGCCGTGGTCAGTCGACTCCATCGCGAAACCAGATTCAATATACCTGAGAACGAAACTTGTGCGACTTTAGTTTGTACGTACAGGACTTGCCCCTCAAAGGTTCGTTTCTCGACTAGTCGCTCTTTTCAGCTGTGGGCGCCGTAGACGAGTACAGAGAAAGGAGGGTGGCCTGAATGAGTGGATAAAGATGATTAGGCACTCGTAAAGTCGAATAAGGGTGTCAATTGTCGCACCTCTTGCGAGGCTCGAGGTTGCCACTCCCAACAGCGGTCACAATGAAGAATCCCGATCCGATGAGCGCGTCTACGACCTCGAAAACCTCTTCCAGAGAGATTTTTTGCTATCTCTACGGCCGGCGGTACAAAGTCGAGAGGTGTAGCTGGGAGGTTCGGGACAAGTTTCTTCGAGGCGGCGGAAACCTTCGTTAACGCTTTCTCAAGGCGCTGACGAGCCTTTCGGCCCACAAATTTGGTCAAACTGGTACGGTCCGGACGGTTTGTGGATCGCAGACAGAATAAACCAGTCGGCACTATGGTAAATTACATCCACGATACTTCGGAATGAATTTCATATGAATTTAGTCTGTAATACGTTCGAAACATGCACAACCCGTGAAGTATTACGGTGATGAACATACCATAAGAAGAGGGTGGATATAATTAACTATCTTGTCCCCTACGTTGTTCATTTTAAGTTTGTTACATCTAACGCGATATTTTGCCATGTTCCTTGTGGATGTCTGCTCGTACTTGCCCACGACAAGCTCCGGTATAGTATATACTTACGTGTCCTGACTTATCACAACATTGAGCAATGAGAGGTTATAGATGCAGATAGGTTTAAATAGATGTGAATGTTTCATGTAGATGTAGTATACCTCAAAAGTTTCTCTTCTGCCTACCTGTCGACTGAGAATAAGTTTCCGTGACTGAGCCCACAATGAATATTCATCTGTGTTCATGTGAGTATAGCGGTTCGGTTGTGCATATGGTTCTTCGGTTATGCATATGGTTCAGACGAACTTTGAGCTGGTGGCGTGCCGACATCCATCGCGCATGATGGTGGTACATTATCAACGGCAAAGTTAGGGGCGCCTTGACTGGCACGAGGCTCGAGTGAAGAAGAATGAAGTTGAGTCTGGAATAGAGGTGAGTAGACACGTCGTATTGCTCGAAGTTTCCATCTGGATGAGACGTAATAACAAGGTACTCCATCCCTCACTGCCCGCGCCGAATGTGTCCTCCACGCTTTGGTATTCAATAACATCCAAAAGAAAACATTTCCAGCATCCACAGGCCGTTTAGCTCAGCTTGGTTAGAGCGCCGAGCTAATAACTCGGAGGTCCTGGGTTCGAGCCCCATAATGGCCATTAGTTTTTGATGTTTTTACGGGGGGTGGGAGGCTGGAGAGTCGCCTGTAGCTAAGCGAGCACCCGAAGCTACGGCAGCCTGGGACTGTGGCACAACGTTGTTACTTTTTGAGATTCTACATGGACTAATATTCTTTTTTTCCTTACGCCTGTTCATTCAGTAGCCACCATACCCCGACAAAGTATAAAAGGGATCCAACGGATCGCGGGATCGAGATATAATGATAGCTTGGCAGTATAGACATCTATCACCTAAAAATACTGGCTCAGAGTCTCTCCTGTGGAGGAATAAACTTCCAAGCCTGCTGCGCCGTCAGCGTCTTACAGGGAGACAACAAGCACAAACCTTGCGATGCTTCCACCAGAAAACATATGGAATCAGAAATTGTCTGAACCCAAAAGGAAGCGGAGGGAAATGGCTGTTGGGCGGTGTATGACCAACGACAAAGACTGGTGCGATAAAGGGGTCCATTTTCGTCAAGATGGTCCTTTCATATTCTGTCCATTGTTCGAGTTTGGACAGAGGGAGCTTGCATTTACGCAGATTATCCCCGGAAATGTACGTGAGCTCGTGTTCCAACTATACCGGTTCCTCAGAAGACTCATCGACGGCATGCATCCATGCGACGTACATGCTCAAGCATCGGCTCGGAGAATTTCTCGATTGTCTCTGCGATCCGCTTGCCGTCGTACTTGGGCCTGGTGCCCTTGGCCTGTCCGCTTGGAATATATCTATGTGCAGATTTGTCGACTTTTAGCCCATTAAACGAGAGGAGGTATTCTTCAAGCTCGTGCAAGGGACCTATAAAAAGGTGGTGCTCATCGACAATGGGTGTGACCTACATTTGGTCAAAAGATTGAACCTCACATATGACTACCTTACCAGTTCCGGCTGAAGTCGAGGAACTGGCAAAGGTTAGAGATGTATCCCTGGAAGCGGACTACAACACCCACTGTACTCTTCCTCTTCTTCCCTGTGATGGGTCACTACGCCCCCTATAGTCACCAGCGCATAGAATCCAAAGGCTTGTTCGTCTTTCGGGGCTATACTTTCCGCCTTTTGGTACGTGGACAGCATGGACTCGACAAGGATGAGATGGCTGGAATGCAATTAGCGTGACAGAATCTGGTATCCGTATAATCCTCACACTCCTGCCATTGCCCAACTCTGACGATCAAATAAGTCTGCTGGCTCTGGCTTTGCGCACTCGGCTCTGAAGAGAGCACGAGATCTTTCAAAGCGAGCAATGACGGCGGGGTTTGGCATCTGGGAGGGAGGAAACGAGGATGTTCTGTCAGCTTACACGGCAGCTTGGTGCATTATAATATGTGGGCGCGCCTTGACGAAGCCAAATGCAAAGCGTTCACAGCCATACCCAAAAAGTCCGGCATCAGAGGGCCCAGCGGCCTTGCGAAAGAAGATTTGAATATGTGACGACAGCGCGCCCACCGATGTGGCCTCGGCATGATGGCCACCTCGTTTCAGTAATATAACTTTGATTCACTTGTTTTGATCTGATTTATTCCGGATCTGTGTAAGCCTTCCACAGATTCGTCAGTACCTATGCAGGGTTATCCCACACTGATATATGACATCAGGCGATTGTACATCTCTAGTGAGGAGCGACCTTCATGGAGCTGTTCCTTGCGCAAGGATGAGCTTGGGCTGCGTCGCCAGGTCGCCGTTCGCATTGGGTCGAGGCTAGGGTTGGCTAAGTAACCCGGTGGTTCAGGCCACACACTTCGACATTGCTGTTGAACGAGCCAGGATTCCCAAGTCTTCAATGCCTGACGACGGAAGAGATACCTGAGCGCGCTATGGATTGAGTAAATAGCAACCTGGTCTCCCTCTGTTCATGCTGCTATTCAAGGGACGAGACTGCAAGTCATGTGTAGTTTTCATGGCCGCTTTCGGTGAGTACGGTGTGTACGGGTCAGTATGCCAGTAATCGCCGGGTCAGCCGGTGATCAGCTTTGGGTTATTTTGATCTTGTTTAAAACCACAATGTATTGATGAAAGGAGGTGAATAGGAAAGTACGCCAATCCGGCCTTCGAGCATATATACAACCAGTGAAAGGCAGTCATATACAGAGACCCTGAGCCTGGAGAAAATCCCCAAACTATCGACCACTAAACTGTATCGTCATCGTAATGGAAGCGAGTCTTCTTGGGATTGTCCGGCGCGTTCCGAACATAGCGATCGTTGTCCACTGGCCGCTCCTTTTTCTTGCAGCTAGCGAGCATGGATTGGAGTGTTATGCATACCGAAACGACGGTGAGTACAGGCGACCATTCTGGCCCTTTTCGTTGGGTCAGACTAGGTCCACTGAGGTCAGCGTACAACTCACCGAGGATAGATGCGCATATATGACCATTTGAATAGACGTGAGGATGTATTGGGGTTGTATACACTGTGTTTCTATTGAAGGAGGTCGACGTAGACTCTGCTGGAAGCACGAAATTTGGGATGAATGTGACCACTGGCGACGAGATGGGATACTGTGGCTCGAACCGAAACGATAACGCAAACTTTTCTCCCTGTTGACAATGGTGAGTTCATCAGATTAAAAGGCAAAGCGTGGAACCCATCAACGCCGACCATGCTGAGAGGCGCCTGGCAATTGGAGCAATCCAAGGCCATTTGTTGACCATGAATAGGATACACGTACAGTATAAATTGAATCCCCAAGAACTTCGATACCCATGATCCATCTGTCGCCATCTGCGGAGAGACACTCGATCCCTGCTGGACAGCCATTTGTCTGCATGTCTCGCAGCTCCTTTGCGAGTCTTCGAGATGCTATTGAAGCCATTATATCTTGTTCAGCGGCCCTTCGCCGTCGTGGCGGAGTCCAAGTGGCTCGAATGAATTGAGTTTGCGGTCCGAGCTTGTTGTTTCCTGCCTTGTCGTTTGTTGGTGCTAACGCGGCGGTAAGTATCCTCAGAATCACGTATTATGAGTATTTGATGGGCTAGAGCTCACCTTTATCCCTCGCTTCAACAGAGACTTCACCGCCCAAGTTTGTGAACGCAGCCCGGCGTGAATACGCGCGACGCCTTCAAGTCTTGGACACCTTTACGCTCCTCTTTGATCAAATAGTGTCTCATTATCGTACTATCTAAACGCCTGTAACGTTCTACCAATTTCGCCCACTGGACTAGCACACACCATGCCTCCGAGGACATCCCAAAAGCGCAAGACAGACGACAGTCCGTATGCCGTATCCGGATTAAAACGAACCAATGGCGGCAACGGCACGAACACAAACGCCCTCTACCCTGGACGCGAACAGCGTGATAACTATCCAACGCCCACTGCGAATCGCGAACGCGACAGAGAATGGTATGGAAATACCGGCGCATACGAAAAGGAAATGCTTGGTTTACAAGCAAACGGTAGTCACAAGAGACGCAAAGTCGACACCGGAAATACCTATCCCATCGGACTGGCAGGCGGAGCCATGATGCGCGGCGAAGAGGGGCAACTTGTGACGGTAAATTCATTCTTCTCTGTACGAATAGACTGCCCTGACCGTGTCTTCAGCTTGATCTCTCCACACTGCCTCCACAGGCAGTCACGAAGTATCTGCAGACATATGGCCTCGGCACGACTCTGAATCCCGCGCCGCTTTCCGCTCAACAGCCGATTACACCGCGTGACGCCTTTTCCAGAGGCCTTCAAAACCTCCCGAGCCGAACCAAGCCGAAGCAGTCCTGGGAGGAAGCAGAAGGACAAGATGTGAATGGTATCAAAACAACAACAATAAAGAACACTACCACCAAAACAGCTACGACAAACGGAGCTACGTCGACCATGTATACGACCACCTCGGCACTAGGCTTGTCTGCCACCGTGGAGCTTCCGGTGGAGATTAATAACACGGCCCTCTTCGATTCTACGGAAGCGATAGCAGCCTATGCCACGATCGCTCAAAGTCATTGGAACTCCATGTCTGCCTATGCTTCTCATGCCTATGGTACAGCTCCGACCGGAAGCAAGCTGAACGAACGCGAGATCATCGAAGATTTTGTCAATACTCTTCGCTCCAGAGGTATGCAACCAATTGATCTCGTTCCGAAATCTGACCTCCGTACAAGAGCTATTCGTCCGATTATCGACGTAATGCAAGCGTTCTTCCCTGACCCTAGTCGGGATGGGCCAGTACTCGACATATGACCATTTTGGTCAGCAAGTGAGATGAACAGTCTTGAAGTATATTCTCCATGTAGTTTCCCTCCTACGACGTGATGCGAATAGCTCATAATATATCCGGTTTAGGGACAGCCCTAACTAAGACCTTAGCATTGACTATTCTGAGATACCTGGCACTCTCTAACCAAGCTGAGCTAAACGGCCTGTAAATGCTGGAAATGTTTTCTTTTGCATCTTACTAGATACCCAGGCGTGGAGGGATACATTCGGCGCGGGCAGTGAGGGATGGAGCACCTTATTATTACGTCTCACCCAGATGGAAACTTCGAGCAATACGACGTGTCTACTCACCTCTATTCCAGACTCAACTTCATTCTTCTTCACTCAAACGAGTAGCATCTGTATGGCTGCTATAGCAATAGCGCCGTTCATGCACCGATGATGAGAGTACGTATGTATCACAAAGATAATAATGTATATAGAATCAAAGGTTAGCCCTATCCAAGATGTGGCCGAGGTCGGGTCCAAGATGCGTTTGAGAGAGGCTGGGTGGAGCGACAAATTCATAGGGCGAGCTTCCAGTTCAGTTTTTTTCATACGTGAATCCCCTCATCAATCCATATTGGATGGTCGCCGGGATCTTCTGTTTACATTTGAACGCAGCCGGGTTTATCAGGAATCCCAACTCTCATTGTAGGCAATATGACTTTGAAGCGACGGTGTTGAGATGATCGAATATCCTATGTACACAGGAGTACATCACGTTGATTCTTACGCAAGGGTGGCAAAGCCAACGCGGGAGTTGCCGTAATCAAAGATCTAGGCTAGTTAGAACTCATATATTTGCGAAGAAAGAAGCATACCGTGTAATAATTGCGCATGAACGCGTCACCCAAGATGGCAAGGTCAAAGCTCGAGTCACCGACGATGCTACCGACACCTACGAAACTCAGTATTGAAACCCATTCAAAGAAGATACGCACAGTCAGAAGAGCCTTGAGAAACAGGACCAAAGTTGACAGAGCTGGAAGACATGGCCAAATCCTTGCCGTTGATGGTAAATGCCACTTTGGGAATGGTCGTGGAGCAGGGAAAGGTCTTAGGTCGCGTCAGAAGAAGAAGCCAATAGTAGGGTGTATATTTACATAGAATCCAGCACCAACGGTATTGGATGCGTCTGCGGATCCTGGAATCTGCTGGTAAAACGCGGCTGCTGCAGAAGTCGAGACAATGACGAGGGTTGTTCCCTAAAGAACATTAGTTCCAAAGGTCTTATTTCTCGGTGGAAAGACGTACCGAGTCGACAATGGCGGCAGTAGAGCCAGCGACCGACTTTGAGCCCACCTTGAGTGCATCAAAGTCAATCTGCCAGTAGCCCTCCTGTGTAACGTCGGTGTATATGGGCGTTCCCGAGTAAAGTGCCGAATTGAGACCGCCAATCGTCAACTCGCTACCTGACTCTGCCAACTTGAAGGCAAAGACGGAACTTGTCGTTTGACCTTCACTCACAAGCGTCTGGAAGACGGGTGGAGCATTGTAGTCGCTGATCGACTGGAAGCCCATTCCCATCAGTCCATCTGCGGGGAAATTTGCACTGGAGAATCCGCTGCTGTACTTTGTGGCGGCGCCAAGAGTTTGGGAAGTTGCAGTGAGCCCGGCAATCTTGACAGTGTCCTTGTACTGTTTACCAGATACCGTAGAGCCGTCTCCATAGCTGAGGGAGAACGATTTGCCCAGCGCCTTGGAGGTGGACGAGGACGATGGGTTGTACTTGGTGTGTCCAGAGCACGTCGAGCCGCAGGTCGATGCTGGTAGAAACAGATCGGAGGAGCCTGAGAGGTTTCAGATCGAATCAAGAGAAAGTCAGAAAAGGCTCACCTGTATCAAAGTCGACCTTGTAGGAGACGGCAGGAGTACCGACGCTGATGGTACCTGTAAAGTTTTGAGCACACAAATTGATTCCATTGAATGGTATTCACCATGCCAGAGTTCCTCGGAATCATCCGTGAGCGCGTCCTTGCCAACAGCACGCTTGCTAGTATTGTCGACGACTTCTAGGTTCCCGGCGAGTGGATGACGTTGGCCAGTGTTGCGTTGGTAGCTAGCAAATCCGTGCGAGAGTTTGCTGCACATCAAGATTAGCAAAGCACAGGCGTGAATGATGATAACAGTCACATACGCCTTTGCACGAACGAGTTGGCCACGTAGAACATCAAGGTTGAGCGCGCCATCTTCTTTGTAAAGATTGCTTCGCTTGGACAGAGGGATCGTGGCACGCGGGGATTGCGCGAGTGGAGAGGCCGAAGCCAAGAGAGGGACAACAGCAAGGATTGTGGCGAGCGAGAAATGCATCTTGTAAGCGCAAGATGAGCTAGTTAGACCGTCAAGTTACTGTGGGAAGCAACGAGGTGCAAGCTACAAAGCCGCAGAGAGAGGAGATGGACCGGGGGTGCTCTCCTGACGGCCGCAGGCTCGAGAGCATTTTATAGACGGATGAAGCGGCTCCTTGAGGGTATGCAAGGGGTTTGAGATGACGGCGTGTGTTCCTGCCGTTGGTGGTTACGCATGGCTTCAAGGTAGGGAAAAGGAGATGCAGTAGGCGGAATGCCGTCAACTTTCGTCGCAATTTGAATAAGATACGAGCTCGTGAGAGATCCAGTACGTCGCCTCCGCTGAGCATATCTGCACTGTCAATATCAAGGCGTCCGTTGGTCCTCGCGGTAGGATACATGGTCGTCCATAGCCGGTGGCTAAATTTAGGCTATTTGTCGACTAGTTGGAGTCGTCATTCGTCGGCATATTCGTCCGGCGCATGTCCACATGGTAGCGAGGGCCGAGCGGCGCAAAATAGCAACAGACCACGTCGGAGAAGAGGTTCTGGAAGACTTCGTGCTAATGAATCTGCTTCAGAAGTACCTTGACACCATAGGCCACATGCAGAGGTGCAGCATGGGTGTATCGTCTCCTGATCTCCAGTGTTATCGAGAAGAGAGCAAACCAAAGTATTCGACGGTTCTTTGACACTATTTTTAGTTTGAGCGATAGGAATCCAAGGCTACCATGTGCTCGCCCCTTCGGCCTTTCGTTTGGACTATGGCGTTGCACCGGAAACTCTAAGTGTGCTTTGGTACTATTTTTGACCAAAAGGCTGCGGTCATCGAAAAGGAATGGCAGAGGTAGAGTCCAAGAGCCGGTTGCCACTAAGATAACATTGGAAGCGAATGTTTCGTAAAGGATCGCATAAATTGCTCGTAGAGAGGGAGTTACATGACAGTGGTGGCAACTGGGCAACTCCAGGTATGCATGCTAATGGCTACAGTGTCTAGTTGCCCGAGGGGTCAGTAGGATCGGTCGGGTCAGTGGGATCAGTTGGGTCAGTTGGGTCGGTAGGATCGGTAGGATCGGTAGGATCAGTTGGGTCGGTAGGATCAGTTGGGTCAGTTGGGTCCGTTGGGTTCGTGGGATCAGTTGGGTCATTTGGATCAGAAGGCGTGGGCGTAGTCGGATCATTGGGATCAGAGCCAGAGCCAGAACCTCCAGAACCCGAGCCAGAACCCGAGCCAGTACCCGAACCTCCAGAGCCAGATCCAGATCCAGATCCACCGACAACGTTTGCGAATCCAACGCGCGACTTTCCGAGATCAAAGACGGTGTAGTAATTGGTCATGAATACGTCTCCAAGGATGGCAAGGTCGGCACCGACGTCCTGAGCCGCGAGACCGCCAACACACTCGTCTGGCTTGTCCTTTGAGACGGGTCCAAAGTTGAGACTCGACGTGAATGGGAATTTCTTGCCGCCAAACGTAAACGAGACATCGGGCAGGTTGGTATTGCAGGGGAAGGTCTGGAGAGGCAAAGTCAGTACTCGTGTGACGACAGGATGTAAGTCAACGCACGTAGAACCCGTCGCCAATGTCAGCACCCGCGGCCTTTGCACCAGGAATCTGAGCGTAGAACGCTGCGACGCTCTTGGTGTCAGCAATGATGAGCGTCGTTCCCTAAGACAGGTTAGATCAATGATATTGATGAAGATATAGGACATGCCGAGTCGATGATGCATGCCGTCTTGCTGGAGACGGACTGGCTGCCCACATTGAGGCTGTCGTACTCGACTTGCCAGTAACCTTCCTTTGTGACGGGGACATAGGTGATATCACCAGAGTACATGGCAGTATTCAAGCCACCAATCGTCAACTCGGAGTCAGACTGGGTGAGCTTCATAGCGAACACGGGCTCGCTCGTCTGACCAGCCGCCACGAGACTCTGGAAGACGGGCGGCGCATCGTACTCGCTGATAGACTGGAATCCCATCCCCATCAATCCGTCCGCGGGGAAATTGGTGCTCTCGAAGCCTGTGCTATACTTGGTAGCAGCACCGAGTGTCTGTGTGGTCGCAGTGAGGCCGGCGATGGACACTGTGTCGGTGAATTGATCACCCGAGACGGTGGAACCATCACCGTACTTGAGCGTAAAGGTCTTTCCGAGTGGCTTCGAGGTCGATGAGGCAGAGGTGTCGTAGGGGGTATGATTCGCGCACGTGCTGTCGCAATTCTTGGCTGGCAGAAACAGGTCGGAGGATCCGGTATCAAAGTCGACAGTGTATTTTACAGGGGGTGTGCCGACGGAGATGGTTCCTACGACGAATCAGTAAGAGAACAAGATGGATAAGAGATGGAATCATACCCTCCCAGAGTTGACTATCCTCGTCGGTGAGTACGTCGTGACCGACTCCTCGTTTGGTAGAAGCGACTGGGGCCAATGGGTGGCGCTTGCCAGTGTTGCGTTCGTAGGTCTCAAACCCGCGAAGAAGTTTACTACAGATGAGGTCAACGAGACGTGAGGCGACGACTAGAGAAAGGCGTACGCAGTAGAAGTAGCCTTTTGAAGTTTCAAAACTTCAAGGTTGATAGTGCCATCTTGACGATAAAGATTGGAACGTTTGGTCAAAGGAATCGTGACGCGCGGCGTTTGCGCAATGGGCGAGGCAGAGGTCAAAAGAGGGACAACGGCAATGATCGTGGCGAGAGAGAAATGCATCTTGTAAACGCGAGCTGAGCTGGAAAGACCGTCGAGTTACGCAAAAGGGGGTAACGAGGCAAAAGGAGCTGCGAAGCTGCTGAAGATGAGAGGGAGAAAAGGATGAGGAACTAGGTGCCATTTTCCCCCTCCCTTTTATAGCTCGAGGCTGAAGAGTTAGCCGTCCGGCGTTCTGTTCACGGTTGCGAAATGGACAGTGGGTTGCTACACCGGTCATGCTGGGAGCCCTAACCAGAAAACAAGCCCCGAGTTCTTGCGTATAGAGTCCAAAGATAGACGTTGCGAGGATTATCGACGGGTTAGGCGGCGAGTGGAGAGCAAGAAGGATTCCATACGGTCGGTGGTTCCAAAATTGCACGAATAAGCAGCATTTGAACAGACTCCTTGGACAGGTTCTCGGACAGGTGATTGTCTCGCAAGCGATGCTTCGTTCGCCGCAACGAGTTGCTCGCCATCTGGATCGATGCCGACGTGCATACATCTTCATGTTCTAAAAATACGATTTGGATATTTACAGTGCAAAACGGGACGCCATGCTGTTGGTCCGTTGCCGGAGGGAATTTTCGCCGATTTTTTGGGTCTGGTGAGTGGCCGAGTCCAAGTCGAATCCGACGGCCATAGACGGCGATTACAATAAACTATTTTGAGCATTGACGACGAAATCCATCTAGTTTATGAAAGTGGGAGTCTACGGTACCGAAAGGCCACCAAATACTAGTGCACATGGTCACTCGTCTAACCCCCAACACCAAATGGGTGCATAGTTAGACTTGTTACGCCCAAACCAAGACCCAACATATCTCCAGTTACTAGCAGAGAGTGAGATACGCTCGGAAGATCTACGGAAACTGGTAATATTGTAGTAATAGTCCTTTTGGATGTCTGGCAATAATGTAGACAGGCAGGGTGGCTAGTAGAAGTTGCAGGCACGAGGCGTCGTAGCGAGGGCTCTAGTCTAGTAACCACCTTGACCTTTACCTCTTCGTTGGTGTGACTGCCTGCGGTGGTCTAGATATTCTCATATAATCTCGACATTCTCTTGGTGTACTCTCAAACCGTCTACGAGTGCTCTTATCCGCCTGCGACGCCTCTACTCGTCCGCGTCTCGTCTTCGACTCTGTTTCCGACGCAATGTCTGGCCACAACCGCAGAAACTTGAGCATCAATGTCGCTCAAAGCCTCGTTCCGCAGACGGGTGCACCTCCCATCTTCACGCCTGGACCGCTCACCGCTGCCATGCCCGTCCACGGCCACCAATCTCGGCCGTCTATGTCCCATGCACTTCCTTATCCTCTCAGTCTCGCTATGAACAATCCTATGAATACTATGCAAACCCCTGTCCAAGCCCAGTTCTTCCAGCCCGTCCCCGGCTTCATCCCCGGTCACAACGTTGGCCAGCGAGGAAGTATCGCCGGTCCCATATTCCCAATCCCGCCAGCTATTGGCCAGACTCCGCTTACACCAGGTTTTCCTGTAGGCATTCAGCCTCCGCCGCACATGGTCCCACCAACCCAGCCCACGGCTGGTGGTCATGGACGGACGGGCTCCATGTCCCTCCCTGTAAACCGAAATCGTCGCCAGCCGAGCATCAGCACCGGTGGTCCTCCAAAGGCCACGCTCGGAGGTCCAATGAACAAACATGTCGCCGCGCCCCTGACCAACCCCGCATCGTCCGCCGCCGTGCTCGAAAAGACGCTCAAGGGCAAGAAACTCGTCGTAAAAGTCCCCAAAGAGACTCCAACCGACAATGGCGTTGTGCCGGACTTTGCCAGGCATCCCGTGCCCACCTCCGACCTAGCTCCTTTCGAGGATCCACAGTCCATCGACATCCAGACCGCGGTCATCCACCCAGAAGAGCGGCTCAGAGGTGATTTTCCAAAGACCGTCGATGTCTTTCTTCCTGGAAAGGTATGCAACTAGAACTCTAAGCCTACTCTGCAATTCATTGACACTGCCGGTTCAGGGCTCCTGGGACGAGCTCAAACGCAAGATGATCGACGAAAAGCTCTCAAAGCTTGGCGTCGAAGTCAACTTTCCCACCATTTTCACTAACAATCCAGTCCACGGACGGGCAGCTTCGGTGGGTGGCTCGTGGATTGCACGTGGCGTAAAGATCAAACTGACCAAAACGTTTCATTGTCCCTTTGGACTATCTCATTTCTGGATACGCTTGCCTTACAGATCTCGTCACCCGCCGACCCCAACTTGCTCATGTTCAAACTCAATAGGCTCCGCCAGTTCCAAAACCAGGATCTTTCTCCGAACATGACACCCTCTAGTCACCTGTCCGCCTCACCGGCTCCTCGCCCGCAGACCGGTTCTCCGTCACCGAATCATCTTCTCGGGCCCTCTTCACGTCTCAACATGCCCGCCAATCACCGCAACGCAATGTCTCTCTCAACGACTGGTGCCCTTTACAATCCGTCTGGCTCGTTCAACCCGTTCGGGCCTACTGCTACGCTGGGCTCTGACCAGATTATTTCACCAGCTCTCAGCACAGGATCTGGCAGAGGTAGACTCCCCGAGGAACAATCGGCCGCTACGTCTGAAGAGGGCAGAATTTTTGCTCCACGAGGAGTTCACGGCCGTTTGGGCGCTACATTGACCAAACCAGACTTTATCCGTGGGTTTGGGCTCGATATCACTGAAGAGACCGAAGAGGAGCTGGAAGAGGTCGAGGCAGCTTCCCAGACGGGCATGTCGGACCGTGCAGTATCCGAGTTGGCAGAAGTCCTTCAGGACGAGTTGGATGCGATTCCAGAGCTCGACGAGCCTGCGTCGGTGGCGAACAGTCGACGACATTCGCGACATACTAGTCGCGTCAGCGCCGCTCTCAGCTTGAGGAGTCTGGGTCGAGGAGGCAAGAGCGATAGTGGGATATTGGAAGAGGACGAAAAAGAAAACGAGGCGGATGGCGCTATTCGTGCATGGGAAAGCGAAGGCGCGGCTAGGAGCCCAGAAGACGAAGACGCAAGGTCGCCCGCGAATGGATGGGCTGGTAGCGACGACGAGGTATATTCCAACCCGAGATTTTCGGCTCAGACAACTCATCCCTTTTTCTGCAGAGCGTTGGCGAGTTTTCCAATCCTTCAGACGAGGAGCGTGCGAGAGAACTCAAGAGGGCTCGCAAGCAGGCGAGAGCCGGCCATGGTAGTCAACAGGGATCTCGATCCAACTTTTCTCGACCGGGCGAGCATCTCGACGTGCCACGCATCAATAATGCTCATGATGCAGATTCCGAGGAAATTGTGTCCAATCCAAGTGACGACGAGATGTATCGCCACAAATCGACGAGCAGGCCTCTGCCAGCTATCCCGACATCTGCAACTCATTCGAGAAACAACTCGGGTCACGTCTATGTACACTCGCGATCGGGATCTGGTCACATCTTGCCCCATGCCATCCCTCTTCCTCATTCCAGAGGACCGTCTGGCCAGTTTGCAACCGGAGGCAGTAGCCACGGTACCCCACCTGTTGCTTCTCCTGGATATGCGGCGACTGGATTCGCTATCAACCATCGGGACTCGCTCAACCCGCATGCCGCGCCATTTGTGTTTGGCAAGCCGTGGTATTCGAGCACTGCTGCCCCCGCCACGCCGCCTGTCGAGACATCGACATTTGCGCAACAGCAACAGCAGCCTCCGACATCGGGTGCACATCGTCTAAACGCCACCGCTGCAGAGTTTAAGCCGAGCATCAGCGCGGCAGAGTTCAAGCCCAGCTTTGCTGCACCAGAGTTTAAACCCAGTACCACTGCTCCAGAGTTCAAACCCAGTACCACTGCGCCAGAGTTCAAGCCTAGTCCTGCTGCTGCCGAGTTTAGGTCGACTTTGGCTGCGCCCGTGTTTGAGCCCAAGTTGCCTCCTATCGAGTTTGGTCCTAGCGGACTCACGGGTGCATTCAAGTCGAACCCTGGATCGGGCGATTTTACTATTCGCACGACGAGTGGCGAGCCTGCTGTCGCACCAGCTGCGTCCGAGTTTACGTTTGAGCCGCCTCCGGTTGCACCCAAGTTGGCATTCCCACCGCCTGCGGTCATCAACGAACCCGCACAACCCGTCAATGCGCATGGACGGGCGATTCAAGGCAGGGAGAAGAGGCAGCGGACTGGATCGGATGTGGATGCGGAGCCCACTGCAAACGAAAGTGTCGTCGAGGCTGCACCCGCTGGTGCGGATGTTATCACCTGGGGTCAACTTTCCGAGTTTACTTTCCCCCACGAAGAGGGAGAGGAAAAGGCAAAGGAGGAGGCACCAGTGCCCACACAAGTGTCGGATATCAAACCGTTTGTCTTCCCACCTCCAAAGAGAGCTGCCACAGTTGCCGTTCGTGCGGCCTCGCCCGAGCCAATCGACCTCACGCCAGAACCTGCAGCGGAATTCAAGCGAAAGAGCGACTATCAAGGTCTCGCTCGTAGTCCCAAGCCTCCGCCGCTCACCGACTTGCCGAGACGCGAATCTGACAATGAACGACCCATCTCTTCTGGAGCCTCGAGTGCCCGCGCCTTGCCTCAACCTCCTCAGCGCGCACAGACACTCTTAAGCGACTTTAAGCCGCACTCGGTGTCGTCAAATACTGTTCCTGTCTCGTTGTTCAAGAACCTTGGGCATGATAGGTCGAGGGCGACCTCCCGGGACCTCAGTCACAGCGGTCGACCCTCGTTGGACGACGTCCATATGCCGATGATTGCACGGTATGGAGCAAAGGTAGTTGAAGCAGAACCCAAGCCTATTGCTGTGGAAAAGCCAGCGGACAAGCCGACTCTTGTCCTCCCAGAAAATCCGATTCCTCAGCTCAAGACTTCGCCTACGCCACCCAGCCCAAGTGGCTCCTCCGACTCGGAAGTCTCGCGTCTTGGTGTTGGATCGATTGCCCTCTCCCCGCGAATGGACAGTCTCATCGACGAAAAGATGGAGGCACTTCGACAGGATGTCCGTACCTTGGTCGAGGCGCACTTGCTGAAGATGAATACGACGACGTCGAACCGCGCCGAAGAGGCACTGATGCGCATCGCTCGCCTCATGCGCGAGCAGGCGGCTGAGCGCCAAGACAGCAAGTTTGAACCCCTCAACTCTACACTTGTGCGCACAATCGTGGAAGATTCGAGCAAAGAGGTCACGTCTACGATTCAACGCGAGCTGTCCGAGTTTGCGCATTTGCTTCATTCTAATGTCAAGCGAACGCCCGGAGAGGATATTATCCGTCTCATTGAGGAGCAGGCGTCGAGAGTGATCACGGCTGTCAGCGGAGCGACGCACACCTTGGCGGCACGGCTCGAGGTCGTCCATTCTCTGGTTAACCAACCCGCACCAGCACCAGCGCAGGCAGCTCACGCCCGTGCACCAAGTCACGAGAGTCTTTTACGTGTCCTTCGTCCGCATCTGGAACAATTGCGCGCAGTGCCCTTCGATGTTGATGTCGTGACATCTCGTCTGGCAGAGGCCGTCAAGCCGACGTTGGCAGACTTTATCGATCTTGCTTCTGACAAGGGCGAGACGGCGGAGTTGATCGTGGCCAAACTCGCTCCAGTCTTGGCATCTTTGCAGTCGTCTCGTATTGAGACGCAGGAGATTGCGAACCAGCTCGCCGAGGATATCAGTCGGTTGGTCCCTCCCGTGGACTCGGTTGCGCTCACGGAACAAGTCGCCGACCTTGTCGTTGAGCGATTGGATTCACGCCTTACGGTTCGGGAAAAGGGAATGAAGCCAGATGCGATTGCTCAGAAGGTTGTCGAGGTCCTTCAACCGCAACTTTCCACTGCGTCGCGAGAGGAGACGGCAAGCAATCATACCGAGTCAATTATGCGATCATTGGACGCCCTTTCCAAACGCGTCGAGCAAGCGCTGCATGCAGCGACACATGCAAAGGCCACTGCGCAGCACTCGACTGTGCAGTCCGACGAGCTTGCAGCTATTATCCTCGAGCTGAGAAAGCTTGGCGGAGTGACCGAGAGTCAGGCCTCACTCGTTGCCAACGTCTCCGAGCTGCGACCTGCTGTTCTCAGCGAAATCACAACCCTCCACTCGACACTCACCAGAGGACAAGAGGCCATCTCTGCAAGCCAAGCAACATTGGTTGAGGTCGCCCAACAAACGCAGAACATGGTCGACAGTGGCATGACCGATGTCCTCCACACACAAGAACTCCATTCCGCTCATCTGCAAGATGTATTGGCCAACAGCGCTCAGATCTTGAAGGAGGTTTCTATCCTCCCTCACGAATTTGGCTCTACTCAAGACGCAATTCGAGCGTTGCACTCGGAGCTTGCGTCAAAGCTTCGCACCTTGCCGGACATTATCGAGCTTCAGAACCAGCGACACGATCTCCAAGTACAATTGTCCAAAGCACGTTCGAGCCACGGACAAGTTCGCAGCGAAAAGGATCTTCTCGCCGAACGTATTGCCTCTCTAGAAGCTGAGAGGGAGCGTCTGCGAATGGAGGTGCAGGCTACTCAGGGCTTGGTTGCTGCAAAGGATGCCGAGCTGGCCGCGGCTGGTGTCAAGACCGAACAGGCAGAGAAGGCGCTTCAGCAGTCCCTCCTTCGCATCGAGACGTCTGAAGCTGTGTCAAAGATGGTCAAGGAACAGATTGCACGACTAGAAACGGCCAATCGAGAACTGCAGAAGACGAACAACGAGCGCCAAGCAAAGGTATGTCGATGTTTGTTTGCCAAAACGTGTGCTAACAGTGCCTACAGATCGATTCCTTGGAATTGCAAATGACTTTTGCGAACAGGGACAAAGAAACGGCCAAAGAAGCGCTCGCTCGGGTCGAGCAAGAACGTGATGCGACACTCGAACAGCAACAAGACGCCTGGAGAGAGAACAAGCTGATGTCCCAGAAGCTCGACTCGCTCATGCAGCTCCTCATGTCCAAAGAGAGCGACGAGCTTCGCGAGTTGCGCCGCCAACGAGACAAATCCAAGGTCATGGAGGCTGAGCTCTCGGCCGCAAAGAAGCGAACTGCCGAACTCGAATCGAAACTTGAGCTTCTGGTGCGCTCAGAAGCAAAGACGAATCAATCACTCGAGGACTCTCGTCGCCAAGTCGACGAGTACGAGGACAAGGTCGAGAAACTTGAAAAGGAGCTCGAGCCTCTTCGCCGCCTCGATACGGCGCAAAAGACCCGCGACCGGGAATTTGAGCAGATTCGGTCGCAGTTGCAACACCAGGAAAAACAGGAGGTATGCATCATCATGACTGGTATCGCTTCATTTCTAATCAGACGTTACAGAACCATTTGCGTCAAACCAACATCATGCTGGAGGAAGAACTCACCACGGTTCGAAACGAGCTGGAACTCCTCCAGAAAGCCCAGGCAACTGCAAAGTGGCAACACCATCAGTCCAAGGAGCCCACGGCACCAGCCTACGCTCGCGCTGCCCCCACGGTCAATGGGCGAAGTTCAGCCGTCTCTGGTGCTCACTCCTCTCGGTCGAATACTCCTCCTGCAACGTACAATGGCGTCTGGCAATCCCGACATGCTCCTTCCAAGCCCAATAAGGCGCCTCAGGGATACCAATCCGTTCCGCGCAGCACTGCACCCTCTTCAAAAGCCAACCACTCATCCTCCGGTTATCGGCGTGCTGCTTCTCCTGCACAGAGCGTCGTCTCGCAAGCACCCACTCTTCGTGAGAATGGCTGGTGGGAGTAAAGGGGTCAGGCTACAAATTTTTTCCTTTACGACATAACTCCGGATTCATGGAAGCTGTATATTGTCAAAAATGTCGCCCATCTATGCCAACCTATGCCACTCTATGCCTTTCACACTTACTTATTTCCACACATCTTACCATACGGGCATCTTATTCCTTTTGTTGTCGGCTCAGCGCATTAGTGTATACGTTGCTAACAACAATCAACTCGACGACATACATCGAGCCTTTGTTCATAGCCATAAGGCTCGTGTTAACCTATTAACTTGATATTAACAATAACGTTATGGTCCTCAAGTGGCAATCCTCATCGGGTTGCTTGTTGGAAGCTAGCTTCAAACCATGCCAGCTGGATGGTGTCAAGTTTGGCCCGCCAACGGAATTGGACTCGTGATTGAATCATCGCTACCGAAAGGAACCATCACATTTGAATCGAGAGGGCGAGTTGGGTGGTCATACTCTCAGAGCAAGTGGATGTCCGTCTACTAGCAGTTAGGCACGAAATAGTGACAAACGGTGATTTTCGTCTGTACCATGTTGCATTCACTCTCCCATGTGTGTGTCAGCATCTGTCGAGCTTGCCTTGTGTCATGAGCGGGACTGCCGCGCTGGCTTATTGCACTAAGAAGCACATACATCCCCGTAGCCGTAATCCTCATACATGATATAAATAGCACGCTAAGCCTACTAGCTTTGCTTACGATATCCGACTTGTACTAAAATGGTAAACATCGTGGTAGCCACAACGCTGGGACAGCATATAAGTAGCATACCAAGGCTATGGCCTCCCTGCCTGTCAATCTTGCTCTTCGTTCGTTGAGCTCACCAATGTATCTCTCGTTTCTCTCCCAGTCGCTTTTGCCCCTGCTTTTCATCGCTGTCGCATCTGTCGCGGCCCATCCATCCTCAGGTAGCATACATAATGTGTTAGTCACGTCCATTTGTGTCTGGCAGTTGTCAACTACACCAAGACGGAACGGTTCCGCTCGTCTATGAGGTCGGCGTTTCCAAAGGCCCATCGAATTCGGGTATCCCAGGTATCCTCCAACCCCGTGCGGTGAGCCCGTTTTATGCAGTTCTTTCCCTGACTGACCCTTCGCCAACCTCGGTGTGCAGATATGTGACCCCGGGTACATGGATGTTTGTCCTCCTGGCAGTACGTAATATTTCTAGGTGGCTTTCGTTAGGCACAAGAGTCCGGCTCACGACATCTGCCAGTCACGGCTAAGCGAGTTTCGACTTGAACTCCGAACTACTGTGATGCCCTGATTAACGTCAGGCGAAGCTGGATATCGGACAAGGTCTTGAAATATTTCCTGCTCTTGATCTCTATTCCCCAGTCTCAGTGGTATCCAGGAAGGCAGTCGGTCGTTGATAGCTGTAACGACAGCCTTGTTGGCTGCTTTTGGGACATCGACACTAACATCGGTTTACAGGACCCTTACTGCTGTCCAACAGGTTACTCAGTTTGTAAGCACAAAATACATGTAGACAAGAGTGTGTACTGAACGCTCCTTAGGCTGTCCTCCTCCATCTGAAGTCTGTACGTTCCTCGACTCGCCGTCGCTTGAGAAAGTGCTTATTTGAGGCTACTTAGGCTGTGCTGCGGGTGCATTCTGCGTCGGCTCACGTACCTGCTGCAAAGCTACGCAAACAGCCTGCAGGTGAAAGTGGGTGAAGTCCATGTCGTACTCCTATTGGCCTGACCATCTGTTTAGAGTGCTGTCCTAGTGGAACAACGTGAGTTTTCGTCCTTGCCCAGAACAGATCTAAATACTGCGCGCTTTCTACTCGACAGTTGCTGCAGTAAGCGCACTCGCTCATCCACTGCGAACACCGGTATCTTAACTAGACTAGATAGCACTTGCTGTGACGTTGGATATACATGCTCCTCATCGGGCCAAAGGCTCGAGCTGGCTTTGAGGTGACCGCCGCAGTCTGACAAGGAGCCAAATATTAATTGAAAATCGTGCAGACATTTCAATTTCTGTGCCTGGTAAAGGCTTGTAAGACCCTTCCCTCCACTTCGTTACGGTCAGGGGATAAGTTGTGATAAATTTCCAGCAAAATCTCACCATACAGTGCTCCTTTCGTGGCCAGTCGAGCATTAGTGTATACGTTGCTACCAACAATAAATCTCCGACAATGTAAATGAAGGCCTTTACTCGTGATTCAAGGCTCGTGCTGACCCCATATCCACTCGCTCACCACCTTTTCAGCCTCCTTTGGATCCTCTGGGACGCTGGGTAATCGTCAACATAAGACGCGATGAAACATTATAGACGAACTGTATTTTTGGGATCCACCGCCCGTCTGGTTGACATTTGAAGAAGCGTGGCTCGAAACTGACCCCTAGTTCATCCCTCTTATGCGCTGCTGATCTCTGTTCGGTCTCCACGGCAGACTTGGCATTGGTGGCTCCTTCCATATCCTTATTCTTGATGGCTTCTGTCAACTTGGACCAGAGTCTACAGCCGATGAGATGTCAAACCAGAAAGAACGGGTGGCTGACCTTCTAGATTCGTTTGGCTCCTGCTTGTCTTCTGGCAGGCATGTCTTTGGCATGATAGGGGCTTTCTCTGGATTGAACAGTTCCCTTCGTTGACCAGACTAGAGGTGGGATTAATACCAGCATCGCATTTTTTCGTCCAGGACTCACCGCAAGGTCTGTGTAGTACATCTCGTGACTCCACTTTCCCGAAATCTCTCCCACATCTGTCGAGCCCTTTCTCACTCTGCCACCAATGGCATTGTACGTCCCCGAGAAATACCCCTTTGACAACTGAGCCATGCCAAGCGAGGGACAGAAGCGTTTGCAGCGTACCTTTGTCTTGAACTCGACACTACACGACATTCCGGTATTATCGTTGATCGCGACGCTCGTATCTCCAAGCTCGAGGATCATAGAGCCAAAAAGAATTCCCCGTGCATACATATTCGGCATACTGATATGGTACTCTGCCTCAGTGTGAGCCATATCTCTCGGGAAAAGACTTCTACAAACCTCCATCTTCTGGTCTCCTCGTCAGATATACTCGGTTCTCTCCGTCCATCACAGTAGACACCGAGTTACCCAGGAACCTCGACTTTGGTTTCAGCTCGCCTGAGATGCGAAGGCCATTCTGTGGTGATATGTAGAAGTAAGCCGAGATGGGCGGATGATGGGAGACTGAAAGGTACGTCAGACGGCTGGAGAGAAAGATGCAAGACTGGCACACCTTGCTCAGCGATGTAGTATCCACGAGTGCCATTGCTGTAGTCATACCTGCACCGGAAGAATTCGCCAAGAACGGGGTTGTATCTGTGAGGCTATATTGGACAAGGCGCTATGAGAAATGAAAGTACTGTAGGCGTACGGTTTCTTGACACCCCTTGGCTTGACATGCCATCCCGAGAGGTAGTACATGAGTACTCTGATGAATCGTTCCTCTGCCTTCTCCTCTTGATCAGCGCTGAGTGGCCGGCGTTAGAGACGTGCCGCGGGAGAATTTGAAGAGGAACGTCTCACCCAAATACAAGCTCTGGGTGGCTCATAAAGTCTGTAATCCTCTCTAACATGCTCCTGGGTTCGAGCACAAAGGTCGGAAAGGTGACTTTGCTGAGATCCATGCCAATTCTATTGATAAGAATCATCGTGAGCGCCTGGGTAACATGATGAGTGGGCACAAACTTGAGTTGTGAGATCAAGCTCATGATGATCGATCCTTGTTCCTCGTCGCTGTCGATGACGACGCGTCAGCGTTTCTCCAACGCTCGCAGTATCCATTCTACTCACAGGACTGATGTCTCTGACTCCTCTGGCGCGTCACCTGAGGACACGCTCGCCTTTCGTTTAGAGCCGCCCCAAAGTCCACCCAGCCTAGTCATATCCATGGTGATTTTATGAGTTTACTGGGAGTTGTGGTAGAGTCTAGGCGTGTTCTGGCGCCGAGGCTACGTCGCTTTAGCGCAGACTGCGGGGAACGTCGGGGGTCAACGTCTTGACGCTTGTGGCGTAATAACAGCAACCACTATGTTCCCCAAAGAATGCCTAAATCGAGTAAACAATACTCTATTCAAACATAATTTAGGTCCTTTGATTGTCAAATCAATCTCTTCGAAGTAGGGCCTTTACACGTTATGCATCATTATACGCTAGTCAAATACAATTTTGGTTCCTTTGACCGTAGAGTCTATCTCCTTAAAGTGGGCCCCGTACACGTTGTGCGTCTTCTTTTTTATGGTCATATCAAACCGTTGCCGTAGACCTTCGGCAGCTGCGTCGAAGCCACTTTCACGCACAACCTTGGCCAGCTCCCCAGCGAGCGCCTTTTCATGCTTTTCTCCAGTGAAGAAGGTGACGCTCTTGCCTTCACGTCCTCCTCGACCTGCAGTGTGTCAGGGAGGGGTGTAAACGTTCCAAAAACGTTACTTACCAGTTCTTCCTATGCGATGCACATAGTCTTCAACGGTCAAAGGAAAGGTATAGTTGATGACCGTCCCGACGTTTGGAATATCAAGACCTCTCGCCGCGACGTCCGTAGCAATGAGGACTCCGACCTTGCCGGTCTTAAAGTCATTGAGTGCCTTGAGTCGGGCGTCCTGTGATACATTTCCATGTAATACACAGACAGAGTAGCCTTGGCCACGGAGCAATTGCTCAACCCGAGGCGCCTCGTTCTTATAGAGGACAAAGACGAGCGTCCGAGACTCGTCGGAGCCTGGTGTGATGCTCTTTTTCTGTACTTGCTTTAGAATTTTAAGAAGTTTGGAACTATAACAGGTGAGATAAAGTCGCTCCGCATATAAGTCGCTCACTCTTTTTCTCTTGGATCGTCAAAGACATCAATGACTAGAAATAAAGGTCAGCTTCGAGTCCCTGTCGCCATTCGCACCTCACCTTGCTCGACGCGGCGGTTCGCCGTAAGGTCATCCTGTCCAACCGTAATACGAACGGGGTCCTTTTGGAATGAAGCTGCGAGTCGCCTGACACTGTCAGGCCACGTCGCGCTGAACATTAAAGTCTGACGAGCGTCCTGCGCTGTCATGCCAATGATCTTTCGAATGTCATTCTCGAATCCCTTATCAAGCATACGATCGGCTTCGTCAAGGACGAGGAAAGATACGCTGGGATGCAATTAATATGGGCACGTAAAAGCATATGTACTTACTGCTCAAAACTGCAAGCACCCTCATTAGCAAGATCCAGCAGCCTCCCTGGAGTGCCAACGACGATACGCAGTTTCTTATCCTTGAGCGACTTCTTTTGAGCCTCTTTGTCAGTGCCACCATACAAGCACACGCTGGTGATTCCGAGTGGCTTTCCAGCGGCGAGAAGGGTATCGTGCGTTTGAATAGCAAGCTCTCTTGTAGGGGCAACTACAAGGACATTGATATTCTGTCCCTTTGGTGGGCGCTCTGTAGCCGCCAAACGGGCCAATGCTGGAATGCCAAACGCAAGTGTCTTGCCGCTACAGAGCATGAGAAACGGCAACCCAGTTACTAAGAGGAGCAATTACCTTCCAGTTTCTGCGATTCCAACAACATCCCGACCAGCGAGTAACGGTGGCCACGAACACGCTTGGATCGGCGTGGGCTCCTTGAATTTGGAGAGTGTTTCCATCAAAGCAGCGGGAATATCGATTTGAGAAAAGTCTAAGATGGGAGTGACGTCCCCATGGATCGTGATTGCGTTTTTTGTGAGGAAAGACTGCACTCTCTCCGGGACTGCCGACGAGGTCGCCTCCAAAGCCTCTTTGGCTTCTTTCTTTCTCCTCTTGCGCTCCTCCTTGCTGAGTTTTGCCTCAGAGGGGGACGCCTCGTTGGCGTTGGCATCCTTCCTCGCCTTTTTGGGCAACGGTTCGTCTGCCGTATCATTTACATCCGCCTCCTTCCTCTTGCGTTTCTTTTCCTTCTTTGGTGTGTCGTGGAGGTTCAAATCGCTCATTTCCAGAGTCCCAATCGATTCCTTGGGCAAACCGTTCTCACTGGACGTGGCTTTCTTCTCCTTCTTTGTCTTTTTATGCTTTTTCAGCGAGTCGGAAGTTTCGACAGTCATGGTTAGGAGAAGGTCAAGACGAAGCCAGTTTATACACCTTACGCCCGACGAGCCGGCTTTTCAAAAACAGTAGGATTAAAAAACGAATAAACAAATAATATATGAGAAAGGAAGCCTGATCAACAGTGACAATCCTACTCCCAAGGGGATATGTGTAGAGTAATCATTGACGAAGCTCTGCAAGTAAGCATGAGAATTACGTCCACACAAGGACGTATATAGACACGTACCAGATAGAGAAGCCAGACGACGCATTCGTGCGGCTCATACAGCACGACTCGACAACTCCAGAGTTGGAGAACTCTCCAAGTTGGAATGCATAAGGAGTGCAGCCAGTCGAGGCATCGGCGCGCTCCATGGGCACGGATGCAACGAACTGTTCAATAGTTGGGCCAGAATGTGCGTTGGAACGGAACATGGGTGCCGACTCGACTTGGAGGACCGCGCTGACATCAAAGCCAGATGTAGCATCTTCGCGGGACATGGGAGCAGACGTTGGAATCATGCCGTGGTCTGTCATCACCGAGGAGACGGTGGTGACTGAAACATTGGTAAGCTGAGCTTGAGCAGCGTCGCTCGTCGCCCGAGATTCACTGCAGATAGATCAGAGAGGTAAGAATACGACGGGAAGGGTCTTACTGGCTCGAGACCGCATTTTCGCGGGCCATTGTGGGCACCATCGTCGTCACCATCAAGGTAGACGAGGAGAAGAACGCAGTGGAGGCGGGAGAGCTCGAGAAGAGAATGGCCTGCATGGTAATGCTTCGCTGGAATGATACGAGTAAACTGGCTGCGAGCTGGAGGGCGAAGCAAGGCAGGAGAGGCGAATAAAGATAAGAAGGGGAAAGGAAAGAGGACAAGAGTGTGATCCACCCGTTGGCACTCGTCGAGGAGGCTTATAAAGGATCGGCGTGACAATTGAGTTGTCCAAGCCAGTTGAAGCTGCTTCCTTCGGCACCGAAAGCAAATTCTTTCATCGCCGGCTAGATTCTGGCGCTGCCGGAGACACCTCTCGTTAAGCCACTGCCGCCGCTGAGCTTGCAAAGATATCTGGCTTCCATGTATTCTACTGTGGACAGTGGGGTGATCGCGAGTGCTCGCAGGAGGAGAGATGAAGCACGGTAGTTCGAATCCCGGAAGCGCATCCAAATATTCGTCGACACTTCTTCTTTCGGCGGACAAGTTTCTGTCTCCTGCCTCCGCCAGGCTCTTCTGTGCTTTATCAGAGATATAAACCGAGCCTTGAGTCTGCAAATCTGTTGGGCCCGAAATCACCACGGCATGGATCGGTTCGTCCAGTTGCGAGACAACAGGCCAGCGAATTAGTTGCTGACAAAGTTAGTCTCTGCGCGTCTAGCACTCAATACTCCTAAACCATGCAAGCGAATGTAGATGAGTGGGTGCAAGTCGCAAGAAAATGCAATAAATTGGAGCCGTGCAATTCCTTACATAGTGTCTATTATGCTCAACCAATGATGACTTTCTCTTCTCCCTCATTGAGCTCGTATGGGGGAACTTCCAGGTTGAGAGGGGCCGGACCCTTGCGAATACGTCCAGCTATCAAAAATGTGAGTGAAAAAGAAACTAGAGGATGAAAACCACATACAGATGTCGTAGTGAGAGCCATGGCATGGGCAGAACCATCCACCATAGTCTCCGCTCTCACCAATGGGCACACAACCAAGATGAGTGCAGACACCCAACATGACAAGCCATTCTGGGTTCTTGGTACGAGCCTCGTCTGTCTCTGGGTCGCGAAGAGACTTGACATCGACATTCTTAGCCTCTTCAATCTCGTCTGCTGTACGATGACGGATGAAGACTGGCTTTCCACGCCATTTGACAATGACATTCTTGCCCTCGGGAATCGAACCGAGCCCAACTTCGACCTTTGCCAGGGCGAGGACGTCTGCAGAGGCAGACATGGTAGCAAGGAAGTTGGTGATCGATGCCTTGGCCATGGAGGCAGATAAAAGTCCCAAACTACCGACCATAAAGTACGAAAGGGCACGTCCATTCTCTGGGTTCTTGCTCTTGTACGGCTCAAAGTTGGGAACAGCGTTAGGATCCGGAATGGAGCCGTCGTAGAGGCTACGAGCACTGGTATGTATCAGTCTGTACGAAGGGCCAGTGGGCAAGGCTGGTGAAAAGCCCGTCAGCGCCGTCTTGACGAATCGAAAAAGCTGGATTATGACCGACCGTTGACAAAGGTGCGCGAGACGAGCCCTCGGGGCGTAGACGAAGCTCCTCCAGCCCAACGAGGCCTAGAATCTGACCGGTGGGATCCATCGTGCTCGTGGTGAGCGTGGGCGGCGTAGTCAACAGCGTCGAGCGTTGAGGCCCTTGCGTTGAGCGAAAGAAGAGGCGCAAATGGCACTCCATTTGCTGAAACAAGTGCCCCAGTCGGGGGCAAATTTACAGCTTTTTTGAGGGCCCTAACAGTGGCCATGATAACAGCGGCCAGACGCGAGCGAAACTAAGTGTCGAGACCCACAAACCGACGGCACGGGTAACGTCGAGATAGACGCGATGTATTACGTAAAACCAAGTATCTATATAGTATATACTAACTACCTCCGAACCGTCTTCCTTGTCCAGAAGGCTTGACCTCACCAAAGGTGCGTGAAGGGCGTGAAGGCGGGGCTTGCCTCTCCCTAGGAGTCCAACCCGACTGACTGGTAGTTGACGATGTCTCTGAAGATTCTGAGGGTACCCCCCACTTCCTCGAACCCTGGTTCACGGCCTGACTGTTCGCCCCCGTCGTCCGCCGACGAGGGTAGCTGCTACCAGAATCCGTGGGCTGATGAGCTCTATTCGATCTTCGTGGGGGCTGGTTCATATGAGGAAGATGAGACGGCGACTCTCCTTCTCCGAGTTGGTCCAGGTCGGCAGACGACAACTTGTCGATCCAATACGCCCTCTGACGGTGCATACGCAACACCGCAGGACCCTTTTCCCAATTCCCGAGATTCTCTTCGGGTTCCAGCTCCCTTGTGACATTCTTACCTGTTGGTTTGATTGGCTCCATTTCCTCGCTCGTAGGAGCAGAAATAAAGGCTACTTTGCGTGTAGTTTTAGGAGCAACAAGGATGGTTTTCGCCTCATCACCCTTTCCAACTCTCTTTGGGATCATATCGACCACGGACTCCCATGGAACGGTATTCTCCATAGTGAAGAAGGAGAGATTGGCCACGTCGGGGTTGTATTGATTTTTGTTCCATGCCGTAGCCCATGAAGTAATGACTCGTTGGTCGAGCAACCTTGGTCTGTAGTAGGGGATGTCGTTGGAGGGGCTCTTGTTGGATTCGCCGCGAACATCTGATTGCAAGCACCCGGCAATCTGCCAATCTCCACCTCTCTCTACAGAATAGTATTATGAAGTGATGAAATTTACAATAAGGCACGCACTTTCGAGTTGGAAATCTGTGTAAGCCGCTCTGCGGATTGGATTCGCACCCTTACTGCTATCGACGTCTGAAGGCCTCCGAGAAGTAGCAACTTTGAATAAAGGATCCGCCTGGTACTCACATAAGTCGCAACATGGTAAAAAGGGAAGGAGACGAACCTGAGCCTGGAGCATCAGGCTAAATTGATGGGACAATACCGAAATGGCATGAATGATAGATTGATGCTTGCCGGAATTGATTAATGCCGTATTGTAGGCGTCGTTGAAGACGAGTTCTGGTGCGCCCAAGAGTCGTTTCCGGTGAATGCAATACACAAATACAGGCAGGTCTTCTTCAATGGAGCTATGCATGAGCAATGTATATTTCTTCTCCTCGAAGAATTCAATGAGCTGTTTTTGCAATGGGGAGTCGGGTTCCAGATGCTCTGGTTCTGGTTGATAGAGTGTCGAAAGGAGACCAAAAAGAGGCTTCTCTGAAGCCTTTTTGTTGAGGAGAGGACGAATAAAGGGTGCTCTGAGTACATGATGTGATGGTGATGGGTCGGCCAGTCGATCCAAAAACTGCTCCATCACCATTGGTAATATTGAAGTTGACGGCTGCGAAGGTGCACCTTTAATAGTTAACCTAAGTGTATTTATTGCTGCTTTAGGTAGTTGATAGAGTGCCATGGTATTCGAGTCTGTCCAGCTGAAGCTGGAGGAGACCAAGTTTGATCTCGACCACCATGGTGAGTTGCCTCTGGGACCTGCGCGACATCTCACCATCTTTGTAGAGCAACTCATTGAAGATTGTTCCTACTAACGACAGTAGCAAGGTTACGCTCAAGGACACGGCCAACCACCATGGACTGCACGACACATTGAAATATGGGCCAAAGTCGTTGGCGTCGCAGCATAACAACCAACTTCCAATCCAAAGTCGGCTGGAGAATGTAAGTACGCGTTACTGGCTCTGCAGACCGTGGTGACTGAAGCGAGGACGCGTGGCCAGTGGGAGCAAACACAAGATGATCTCAAGCTCAATCTTTATCGCAACATCTATGGGCTACACGCTCCTGTTAGAATGATGATGGAGCGAAAGATTGTCGCTCAGGCAAGTGCAGGACCCACGGCTAGTTATGTCGACTAAACACTATCCTCAGAATCCACACTTTCCAGCTGTTCAACAATCAAACGTTCATCTGGATATTTTGATGGGCAGAGACACTACCCTCGATGTCGGAGATTTCTTCGGAGGTCGATATTGCTCTTGGTCATTGGAACCTCTGCTGACGGCTTCCCAGATGACCTTGGTCCACAATTCACTGATATTCACGGTGATATGGAACGTGCTCGTAACATTCGATGAATCAAGCTTGTTCATTCCACTCAGAGCTAGCCACTTCCGCCTTTAGATCATTTCTTGATACGACCAGGGAAAGAAATCAATGTTAGCCATCCTCAGAGCTGTGCGGGTATCATGAGTGAATCCAATACGTTTCATCTCTTACACGCTATCAAGCCAGAATAGATATAATATGCAGCGTAGAGAGAAAAGACAATACTTGTCCAGTCGTATCGTCATGCAACCAGTGGCTTGGACGAGCGAAGGGTAGAAAAATGGAAAAGAAGCAGACACGCGATCAACAAGCTGGAGATGCTTCTTGCATCGATTGTATATGCCTAGCAGCACCCTGCATTCGCTGATGGTGGGGCTCCAACCTTGATGGAGCTGTCCTGCGACTTGGACTGGCCACTAGTACCAGCATTTGGGTTCGAATCAATGAGCCTTGTTTTGATATCCCTATAGAGCCGAATTAGACTGATGGGGCTCGTCGAATGGATTGCATCGTACCTTGCGAGGGTGAAGAAGGCATCCTCTACACCATCGTTGACTTTGGCGCTCGTCTCCATAAACTTGATACCAAATTCGTCGGCCAATGCACGGCCCTGCTCTGGTGTAACTTGTCGTTTGTCCGACCAGTCAGACTTGTTGCCGATGAGAATCTTGTTGACACCTTCTGAAGCGTGCTGTTCAATGTTCGCATGCCACGTTCGGATGTCTAATTGGAGGGATGAGTGAAACAGAAAGACTAAGGAGGGTCCGTAACGTCTCACTGTTGAACGATTTTTCGTCTGTCACGTCGTATATGAGCAGAATACCCATGGCTCCTCGGTAATATGCCGTAGTAATCGTCCGGAAACGTTCTTGTCCAGCCGTGTCCCACTAGAATCAGATACAAGAGAGGCTCAGCCGTCAACGTGCGGCCGACGCGGAGAATGCTCACGATTTGGAGTTTTATCCGCTTTCCGTCGAGTTCGATTGTACGAATTTTGAAGTCAATGCCAATGGTAGTAATGAAAGAAGGCGTCCAGGCGTCGTCGCAGAATCGAAGCAAAAGGCAGGACTTTCCGACTCCTAAGAGATAGAAACATCGAGTTAGAGTGACTTTGGGCTCGATTATGAGGATTTAGAGTCACCAGAGTCGCCTATGAGCAGTAGCTATGCGTTGGTGGCACGTCAGCTGGCGTCTAGCGTCTTCACCGGACCATTCGTAGCGAACCTTGATGAGGAAATCATAATGAGGAGCAGATGGCATTCTGTTACACAAGTTGTTGAAGAGTAGATAGCACGGTTGGCCAGAAGGCAAAGTCGAGATCGGAAGCAAGTGTGGAGTTCACAAAAAGGCTAACGGGCCGGTGATGGATCTCACATAAGTAGGACGAAAGGTGTACAGACAAGCCACTAGAGTGCCTTTAGGGCTTAGTCTTCTTCAACTCGTTTACAATCAAGCTCTGCAGCCGAATCAATGACTCGGAGTGACAAGCAGGACAAAACGTACCTTGTATGCTTGCACGTCTCCCTTGTATTTGTAGACAGACCCGTCCGCACAAACCCACAACTACGCGGCAAGTCAACCAGAGCGAATGGATCGGCTAAGAGCCCACCTCTTTCGAGACCGTCGTCAGGAATCTCTCGTCGTGAGAAATGACAATCACCCCGCCACTAAAGTTTTGAAGAGCCGTCATCAATGCATCGATACCCTGGACTGGGGGACTCGTCAGTCTACCCGTCAATTATGCAGCGTTTAACCTACTATCCAAGTGATTGGAAGGCTGTGAACATTGAAGTCAGTGAAATTCGCTGCGAAGTAAGCACAACGGACCTCGTCTAAGAGTAGAATATGGGGTCTCTGGAGCGACAAGACTGCAAAGGCCACGCGCGACTTTTGACCACCAGAGAGTGTTCCTATGAGCTGTAATCTAAGAGATGTCAGTAAATCCGCATTTCTCAGGTGCATTTAAACATACCCGGTCAGACCCGTGATCCCAAAGGCCCCCAAATGTGACCGATACTCGAGTTCACTCTTGCCCGGAAACTTGGAAGCCAGAAATGCGACAGGCGACATTGTAGGAATGAGTTGGTCGACGTGATGCTGCGCAAAGTAGGCTCTGTCTTCCAGTCAGCAATGTCTCGATCACCTCTAGGCCTTACATCCGTAGTCGCCCGTTCCTAGTCAAATGACCCGCCTGTGGTTGCAGCTCTCCAGTCAAGAGTTTGATCAATGTCGACTTGCCTATGTCTCGTTAGCTTTCCTAAATCTCCCAAAGTCGGCACTCACCAGCGCCGTTTGCACCTACGACTGCTATTCGAGATTCGAGCCCAATGTCGATGTACACGTTTTTGAGGATCTGCTTTCCGGGGACGTATGAAAAGTCGACACCAGATAGTTGAAGGAGCGGAGGCGAGATCTTGTCGACATCTGGGAACCTTGTCTAGCGTCAGCTACCCAGTCCGATCGAATGAACATTACATTACTTGAAGCTCTCCGTATCTTCAGCCTCGGGCGGCTCTAAATCTGGGAGCTTTTCCAGGATCTTTATACGCGCCTGAGCCTGGGCAGCTGTACAGTGTTAAGACTAATAGCATCCAAGGTATTATGGGTACCTCTGTTGGCATTGTATCTCCACCGATCAATAAACTGTTGCAGGCTCTGACGGTAAAGCATTTGCGCCTCGTACTCTTTGCGCTGATTGCGTTCACGCTCGGATTTGGTCGCGTAGAATTGTGTAAAATTCCTGCTTATGTCAATGGAATGAGACTCGGGACAAAGATGACACACCCTCGGTAGTAATCCAAACGACATGAGTGTTGATGAACAATATCCGTCGCCACGGCATCCCTATATCTGATCAGGTTGGTTCGGATACGATTTAGCCCACTTGCAAGAATGCTCGGTCGTGAGATCTAACTGGGGAGTTAGTAATGGTTGGTGGATCAGAAGGAGTGCGTACACAACTAGAATCGTGTTCTCCCAAGTCTGCAAATAGTCCTCCAGCCAAGCAAGTGCGTTCAAGTCGACTATAGAGTGATGAGGGCGAGCAAACACATGATAATCCACTGACTGTGATTGGAAGGTTCGTCCAAAAGTAGGAGTGTGGGTTTGACAAAGAGAGCACGAGCGAGTGCCAGACGCATCCTATTCTACGTAAGAGCATGTCACCGGGATGAGAGAACACTCACCTCCATCCTCCACTGAACGATTTTGTTGGGAGATGCTGATCAGCCTCTGAGAAACCGAGACCTAAATTGTGGTGAGAAATGTGAGGTAGTATCGGAGAGATATCTACCAGCCAGTAGCGAAGCTGCTCTCGCAGGACCGGATTCAGCGTCCATCTCAGCCAACCGAGCGTGAACTTCTCCAAGGCGAGCCGACAGCTCTTCGCGCGCGTCTTCCGTTGCTTTATCGTCACCACCTTCTAGATCCGCAAGTTTCGAGTTAAGCTCGTTCTCTTCTTTCAGAAGGTGATCGCGCCAAACGTCAGCCTTGAGAACAGAGTCAAGTGCGGTGGTGTCATCGCCAACTATCTGTCATTACAGTGTAAGAATGTGACTCAGACCAGGAAGGTTCATACCTCTTGTTCGACAAAGAGGATGGTGATATGCGCAGGAATCGGCACTTCTCTCATGGCGATATGTCGAAGTAGAGTGGACTTTCCGACACCGTTTCGTCCAATAAGGCCATACCTGCGGCCATGTGCTAACGTCAAGCTCGCACCAGCGCTGGAAGGGGTCAAATAAGTCGTCTCGACTGGGCGCTTTGCACGTACAGGATACGGTTGGATCCAAAGCTAACGTCGATAGATGGCAAATGAATATCTTTGCTTTTGCCTTTTGAGCCCAACGTCGCATCCAGAGAATTGACCTGGCGTGGTTGAGTAGCTGGCACAAGCATCAATCGACACATACCTTCATAAACATTTCCTCGTAAGATTGCTGTATGATCCATCAGTTATACGGAATGAACATTGTCGGTAAAGACTTGCCTGCTTCTTCTGAGCGTCGATGAGTTTTGAGCCTTCGTAAAGGAGCTCTCTCTTTGTCCTCTTTTCCAATTTTGATCGAATTTTTTGTTCTTGCTTCTCTAGTTTCTTCAAGTCTACACGGGACGCCCTGATCTTGTGAGTACAGATGCGGAGAGAGCTGATACGGCGTACTTTGACTTGTTAATAGACTCGAGATCAACACCTTCCGACAGAGCAATAGTTTTTGACATGCTGCTTTTGCTCATTTCCATAACGCGATCGAGTCTTGTAAGTTTAGGTGCATTGCTGCGCGGTTTGTCCTTGTATTTCTGTTCCAAGAGCCCATCAAGAGTTTTGAGAAGCTCCTCGAGGACATTTGGCCTTGAGCGAGCAAACGACTCCAAGAGTTGGTAAACGACAGTGCGCATGTCCTCGTCCAGACTGTCTTCATCGTTTACATAGCCATCGATGTAATCCAGAACAGTTTCGTCGATATCTGGCAATCGTTCTCGTACTTGGTCTGCAAACTCCATGTTTGTGGGTGGCAAGTGCAACTTGGCTCCTGGCGCGTCTGCGAATTTTATTTGCCACTGCCTTTGGCCCTTAGGAGTGTTCCAAGGCATCCACCATTTCGTACACGGCGACTAGTTTTTCGATCCCCTGTGCCCACAGAGGATTCATGCAATATCGTTCCCCGCGCTTGAGAGCTGAAGTCCCATTCTCGACCAAAAACAACATACACATCTGTTTTGTGAGTCCAAACCATTATTTTTCTCTTCTGTTCAGCCGCTCATTCGTCCCCCAGTCTTGAAAATAGCCCATCATGGCGAGCGCTGGAGTAGTCAATATCCGTCGCGATGTCGATGTGAGTATTATTGTGCTTTTACATCCTCATAGACTGCTTTCCTGCCTCTCTTGACCGCCTCTGTACGTTTTGCTGACACACGCGTCTGTTCAGGACGTATTTTATCGTTACCGGTCCGTCTCTCCCATATGCCGGCTCGTGCCACGCTTACATGCTCCCATAGAATGCCCGTGATGCTCACCAAAGTAGAGGGACGCGGAAATGGCATCAAAACGGTCATTCCAAACATGACAGATGTAGCCAAGGCTCTTAGCAGGCCACCTCAATGTAACGTAACGAGACTTAGCTAAGATCCACGTCTCTAATGCACACACACAGACACCACCAAATTTTTCGGTTGTGAACTGGGGGCCCAGACCATCCTCGACGACAAGGCTGACCGCTGGATTGTCAACGGCGAGCACAGCGCAGATCGCTTACGAGAGCTTCTCTATGTCTTCATCGAGAAGTTTGTCCTTTGTGCCGCCTGCAAGAATCCCGAGACAGAGCTCATCATTACCAAGAATGAAAACATCATTCGCGACTGCAAGGCATGCGGTCAACAAACCAACGTCGACATGCGTCACAAGCTCACCACATTCATCTTGAAGAATCCACCCAAGAAGAAGTCCAAATCCCGCAAGGGCACGGACACCTCCACCAAGGAGAAGGGCGAGGAGGATCAAAGCGATGGTGCTCAGTCTGCAGAGGATGGAGACGCACTTGCCGCTCGTATCAAGTCTGAGGCTGCAGAGCTTGCGCCCGTCGAAAGTTCGGCTATCGCCAACGACGGATGGTCTGCCGATGCAGAAGTTGCTGCCGTCACTAAGCGCACCGGATCTCTCAACGTGAATGATAGTGATGAGGAGAAAGGTGACGATCCGATGGATCAGCTTAGGCTCTGGATTGAGATCAATCGTGACAACGCCACGTCCCAATCTGTTGAAGAGAAGCTTGTAGAGTTGGGAATCAAAGACAAGCATAGAACCGTTCAGGTGGTCATGGAATCCCTCTTCACCTCCAAGATTATCACCGCAAAAGAGCTGAAGAAGTTCCAGCCGCTTCTCGCCTCGGTAAGCTTGACCTTGCATTTAGTTAACCGTCTAATCGTTTATCAGCTCGTCTCCCCCATTGAAGAGAAGGAGAAGCACCAAAAGGCTCTCCTCGGTGGTGTCGAGCGACTTGTCGGTCTCACTTACCCCGAGCTCACGGATAAAGTGCCTCTCATCCTCATGGAGCTCTATCAGGCCGATCTTTTGACCGAAGAGGCTGCAAAGCAATGGGGCACGCACGTTAGCAAGAAATACGTGGATCGCGACACTAGTAAACGTGTCAGAAAGGCTGCAGAACCCTTTATCAAGGTGAGTTGTATCACGCTTTTTTAACATGCTCTAATCGTCATGCAGTGGCTTGACGAGGCCGAATCTGATGAAGAGTAGGAGAGATTCAATCCTGTTTCGGAAAGGTCCTAGTTTCGAGCGATAGCAATGGTCTATGAATTTGACTGGTTTTGATTTGAAACCGTGGTGCCTGCCTCGTGAGTCAGTTCTGAGATGAGCATCCGCTCTCCTTCTCCCGGTTCGATTTCTACCCCTTCGAACATGTCGTTATCCACGATGAATCGAATAGCTTGCGACAAATTCGATACCGTATGTCGAATCTCCGGAAGGAGGAGCTAAAGACATCAATAAATTGAAGAACTGGTTGATTGGAACCTTACCTTTCGTAGGAATGACGGTCGGTCTACCAACGGATTGTGAGCTCTCCGAGGTGGCTCCTTTGTAGGAGGTCTCCGAAATGATTTCGTGATGGGGTCTTGATGAAGTTCATTTGCATCGACGGTTTCTACTTGCGCATCCCCATCAGACTCGACTTGCGCAAGAGCGAGTTTGGATGAGATGGCATCTCGCACAGGGTCTACATCCGAGTTTGACGAGGAATCCGTCTCTCCATCACTGTCTTCTAGGCTGATGACCTTGCCTGCCACACGGGATTGAGCCTGTTGGAAGTTGGTCGAAGTCGATGGTCCCCAGCCTCTGCTTCGTCCCCTACCACGACTCCGTATATTGCGACCGCTTCTCAACGACGCTATTTCAGGTTCATCATTGGGACGCATCCGTTTTCGCGACGGTTCCAGCTCGCCACGCTCGATCGCTTCGGCGCGTCTTTTTTGCTATAGGAGCGTCAGTAGGGTGACCGAAAGAGCACAGTAGCAACCTTTTCTGCAATTCTAGCTGCCGTTGGCCAGTTGCGCTTCCGCTCTGCAATCCATGCGTCAATAGCCTCGGGCGTATTGAGCGCGATCCCTGTTCCAGGTACAGTAACGTTTGGGCTGTTGAGTCTCAGTCATAGTAAGTTTACGAATCACCAGCTTACCCGACATCTGCATCTGGAGGTCCTTTCGTTGGCTTATAGCCGGGGGGAAAGATCAAATGGCGGTCCATCCGATGAATTTCAACATCTTTAGCGTATCCAGAATATGGACAACCGGGATTTCCACATTGAATCGGACCTCCCGGACCTAGTCTCGGGGGTCTCATTGGTGGACTCGAATGACTTTGTATTGTGCCCGTCTGTCTGTTTGGAGGGTATTTTGTTCCTCCAATAGCAGCTTGATATCCTGAGTGGACGTATCCAGTCGAAAAACTTGTCGAGGCTGTGGTTGCAGCATAGGCACCCCGAGTGTGAAAAGTCTGAGGATAAGAATGATGGCCAGTTGCGGGAAACCCCGTATAAGGATTGTGCTGCCCGGTATTATTCATATGTCTGCCTGCTGGCTAGGGTGCGGTTCAAGTGGAGGAGTCGAAGTATAAAACCTGAAGCTCGCCACAACCGACCGTCCCGACGGACGATACAGTCCACGTCTTGATGGAGTCCCTGATTCCATTCACGACTTCAGGAGCTCTTGTAGACTGCGTTGACAGTGCGTGCTGTCCTCGCTACAGCGATCCAGCCCGGACGCGATTTCTGACGCCGACGTAAAGAAAAAGTACTCGTCATTCTAAGAGATGGTCGAAAGCTCATAGGAGTCTTGCGGTCTTATGATCAGTTTGGTGTGTCTACTTTATTCGCGTCTAATCCATCTGATGGATCATCTATAGCCAATCTGGTATTAGAAGGAACTATTGAACGCAAGCATCTCGGCCCATATTTTGCGGAATTGCCAGTCGGGGTGATGGTCATTCGAGGAGAGAACGTTGTTCTACTAGGGGAGATTGTAAGCCTTTTCCTTCTTATGCTTTCGAGTTGCTCAATTCAGTCTAAAGGATCTGGATGTCGAGGACGAGGTGCCTCTGCAGCCCGTGCCTTTGAACGAGCTGGACGTCGCCTACAAGCGAGAGACCGAATTCCGGAAGAAGAGGGAAGCAGACAAGGCTAGAGTCCTATTTGAGGCCGCTGGATTCAGCAAAGAGGGGGGTGAGGGTGATGGATATTAGGTCCAAAGCAGACCGTCTATAACCCATCGACTGTGACATTAGACGATGCCATTGCATGTCGTATCACAATTCCTTACATGCGCAACCCAGATAATCAAGAGAAGGGATCATATTCTATGAGCAACTTACTCTTGAACTTTGTCACGATGTCTCAGCAGAAACGGTGGCAAGACATAGCGAAGGAGCGAAAGCGAGCACAAGAATATTCGATTCCTTCTGAGTGGAGGATAACTTTACCGGAGGATGCAGGTCCCAACATGACGAGTATTCCAGCCAGATGTGGCATCCTGACCACAGAGGAAGTAGCCATTACAGAGGAGACAGATGTCGGCACGATCCTTCACAACCTGGCAACAAAGAAATGGTCTGCATTCGCCGTTACGACTGCATACCTCAAACGCGCCATTGTGGCTCATCAATTGGTTTGTACACCCTTGCGCGTTTGATCTCTTCTTCATGAGGGAATTCGCGTTAGACAAACTGTCTAACGGAGATTTTTATTGAATCCGCTCAATCTCGAGCCCGTTTCCTGGATGAACACCTTGCAACCACGGGCCAGGTTCTCGGACCTTTACACGGCCTTCCTATATCACTCAAGGATCAATTTTGCATTAAGGGCGTTGAAACAATCATGGGTACGCCATTTGTGACGTTACGGGCTTTGGCTTACCATCTTTAGGCTATGTCTCTTGGGTTGGTCGGATCGCCGACAAAAATGCAGTACTGGTAGACATGCTCCTAGAAGCCGGGGCTATCCCTTTTGTCCGAACAAATGTTCCGCAGTCTCTGATGGTGCGCTACTCCCTCTTCAAACGAGCGCAGACTCAATCGATCACAGTGGGGTGAGACATACAACCACGTATTTGGCAGAACCACGAATCCGTACAACATCCACCTCACAAGCGGTGGCTCCTCAGGAGGAGAAGGGGCGCTAATCGGGCTGAAAGGGAGTCCTTTAGGCGTCGGAACGGACATTGGAGGGTAAGTCGCTCCGTGTATGAGATACTTGACTCTCTTAAACGACTCAGGTCTGTTCGTATACCAGCCGCTTTCTGCAATATCTATGCTCTACGCCCTTCCTACAATAGACTCCCATATCAAGGGGCTGTCAACTCGATGGCTGGGCAAGAATCCGTCACATCCGTTCTCGGGCCCATGTCCAACTCAATCTCTGGGTTAAAGATCTTTGTCAAGGCCATTTTGGACGGACGTCCCTGGGACCTTGACCCACTCGTTCCCCGCCTTCCATGGAACCAAGCGGCATACGAGCTTGTAGAGCATGGAAGTGGCGGACGGCTGTGTTTTGGACTGCTGCTCCACGATCAGCACACGATGCCACACCCGCCGATCATCCGTGCTCTCGAGGCTGTCCGTGAAGCGCTGACAAACGCTGGTCACCAGGTTATCGATTGGTCACCTTACCGGCACAAAGAGTTATACGACGTTCAGTGGTTGATTGAAACGGCAGATATGGCCCAGGGCGTACTCAACGAGTGTAGCGCCACCGGGGAGCCATTTATTATTTCAATGGAGCCCAAAGATGCAGATGCAGCTCTCAATGCTCCACCTGGCCAAGATCCTCCACAGAAACCATCTCCTTTCCATCCCAAGCACCTCACAACTTATGAGCTCTGGAAGCTCCATGAACTGAAGAGACAGCTTAGGAAAGACTATCTCGACGAATGGCAAGCCTCGGTGAAACGTACGAATACCGGACGACCCATCGACGCACTCATCACCCCAGTGGCTCCATTTGTTGCTCCACTCCATGGAAAGAACGAGTAAGTATTTATCAAGGCTACATTGAATCCTTTGACAGTAGGTTTCAGTAACTATTTCTACACAATGCTTTTCAACTCCTTGGACTACCCCACTATTGCGTTCCCCGTCGGCTTTGTGGACAAGGACAAGGATATCAGTTTAGAACGGACCAAATTTTTCACACCGGAAGATAGAAGCAACCATGAGATGTGTAAGTCCCAAGGTTTGCCTGGGCGAGTTTGCTAACAGCCTCAGACTCCCCCGAGACTTTTCATGGCGCGCCTATTGGATTGCAAATTGCGACTCGGACACAAGAAGAGGAAGCTCTTTTAGGGATGATGGAAGTCATTGACAAGGCGCTGCGACGCCACCCCATGTTACGATAAATAGTATAAGATACACGCGCACCATAATCATCTAATATCCATATCAAAATCAAAGGCGTTGTCAGTAATGACCCAGCCGTCTTCCTCTATAATCGCCTCTCCAACAGCTGCCGACTCCGACGGAGGTTGAATTTTCTTCCCGGCTAGTCCCTCCAGCATCTCTTCAAAGTCGAGTGGAAACTCGACTGGAGTTGGAGGAGCCAGGATTCTATCGTGATGAACAGGGTGACTCGTTCCGAAACCGCTCGCAGTGACCGGTGCCCATACAGCGGATGGCTTGCTGGCATCATACGAGGATGACGAAGACTGGTGCGAGAATCGGCCGATAGTCTTGTCATCTGAGCAAAGGGTCCAAAGGTTGGCAAGAATGTTTGCGGATTGGGATAGCGGGATGAACATCGACTGGGTATATGCGAGATATGAGACATTGTATGCGAGCATTGCGTACGCGATGCAGTACGCGTCTATAGAGACTGACGCCCGCGGCGTTTCTGATGCTAGACTCTGCCTCAAGTAAAGCGCGCACGGTACCGTCCACCTGAATTCGAATATGAGGAAGCGGTTCAAGAGAGTCACAAGAGAGCCTACTTTGCCCAGTTTCCGTTCGCTGGTCCAGGCCCAGCCTTGAGGTAGGGAATACCGACAGAGTCTTGTTTTCCTGACCACCAAACTTCGAAAGGAAGTTTGACGCCGAGATAGAAGCACAGAACCCTGACGAAATGCAGTGTGTAGATGATCGCAGCGTTGGTCTTTTCGAGAGTGGCTAGGGCGAGACCTTCCTGAAGTGACTTCTGTACATCCGAGGGAAGGGGTAAAACGAGCCCGCAAATTGTCCACTTTAGGATTGGGGGCTCCAACGGCTTTTGGTTGTCGAAATAGATGGTCGAAGAAACAAGTCTGCTCCAAATCGTGACGCGTGACGACCCAGCCCACTCGCACTCCAAGCTCCGGCGATGGTGGAAGGCAGCTGACCACTTACTGTCCCAGACTTTATCGTGGGCACAGCTGTCTCTCCTAAGTCAAAGGCCTCTAATAACTCCTCCACCAATGATCCGCGAGTGTGCGCGAGTCGGTGATTTATGTCGTCAATATTCCCTATCCAATCACTCCCAGATTCGGGAAATAGGATCGCCGATTTAGCCAGCCTCGGCGCGTAGCTTTGTGGGGTTATCGTTCTGGCACTCAGCAGGTTTGTCCGCCGTGTAGCTATAGCTGTACGTAAAGCGCGGGCTCGTGTCCGGACTAAGTTCCAAACGGGCTTCCAGTTAGTCAGAAGCGTGACAGAAAGGTGGCTGACTGACGCGTTTCATTTCTCTTTGCTGACGCGGCTAGTTCTTTTCTCAGTTGCCCAGTACTCTCCTCCAGTCGTTTCAGATTAGCTCGTGTCAGTCTGATAGGCTCCACATCATCGAGTAATCGCTGTGCTCTATCCTTCCACACTTTGGCATCCTTTGATCCCTTTGCGAGTTCCACCTTGCGTTCTTGTATCCTGTTGTACCATCATCAGTTGGTTTGCGATAATCGGAGCGCTAAATCTCCGTAGCACGAGCCCTGGCTTACGTTTCTCGAGAACAGTTTGTACAGGTGAATCGTTTTTGGTGCAGATGGCATACTGGACACTCCATGGAGTTTTCATACAGTAAAACACGGTCGTGGCGGACTCGAAACACCAAGGTAGCTGAGGGTGACTGGACTGGTAGCACTACACTAGCTGCCACCACCGTTGCGTTGTATAATTCGAGTTTCAGAAGAATAAAAAGCCCAAACTTAGATAACGATCAAGAGGGCGGAGGAGAGAACGGAAAGAAGCGCCACCTCCCTAAGGACAGACGCCGAGTAGAGCTGTTGAGCCGTCCAAAAAAAGAGAGAGAGGTCCAGGCGGGATTAGAACCCACAGATAGAAAGTATTTCTGCTAAGAATTGCTTTGGTGACAAAGCTACTGGACCGAAAAACAAATGCGTATGCGGTGTATATAAACACCAAGACGCAACCAGGGTGGGCCTCTACGGCGTTCATTTCAGCATTTCTACGCATATTATTTTGCTTTCTCCTTTGTCACCTTCCTCCCTTTGCCCGTCTTCACCCTTACTCAACGATCCTGAGCATCCCGCTGTCGGCGGCTTCTCTAGCCACTGGTATCGGGATCAATCTCTCAAGAAAAGGACGATGGTTCGCTCGCAGTTATGGTGGCTCGTCCGACTCGGGAACATGTACTCTCAAGCTTTCGCGAGAAGAATCGGCACTTTCAAAGACTGTTTATGCAGGCTCTAGGGCTTATTTCGATTATACTATTATTCTCTAGTGTACAAGATGACCGTGGTCTTGAGTAGATGTCAACTAAGGGGCTTCACAGCGCGCCTGTAATTGCGCTGGGCCTCAAGCATTTCTCTGTTTCCACAATCTGAAATATTATTGTACTACTCGACCTTGCCACTTTTCACCAATAGTATTGCGGTTCAATGCCACAGTTCCCTATCCATGGTAAGTCAGGTGAAATGTCAGTTCCGTTAGCTGCTACCATTGGTGTACCATATGGAAGATTGCAATATGTTCAAACTCGTACGAAAGCCAAAAAGGTGGAGGACAAGGGACCAAAAAGAGGCGCCACCTCCTTGGATACAGACGCTGAGCAGGAGTTCTTTAGCCGCCCAAACAAAAAGAGAGAGGTCCAGGCGGGATTAGAACCCACATGTAAATTGATATTCTCCAATGAATGCTTTACTGCTAAAGCTACTGGACCGAAAAACAAATGTGCACACGAGGTATATGAACGGCAGAGTACAGCTTGAAACTCGAGCATACGACGTTCTTTCTGGCATCTACACATACATTTCCTCCCTACGTCCATTGTCTCGCCTCTCTTCTTGCCCGTCCTAATCGTCTTCGGCCATTCTCAGGATACTCAGAATAACATCGTCAGCGGGCTTCTATCACGGCAAAGGATTTCACAAATGGCCTCCAGAATTGTTCCTGGCCATAGTGCTCACTCCCCAAACCTTTCGACTAGTTGCCGCGGGGTCGGTGGCGGAGTTTGTTAGTAACCGCTACTCCAATGCATTGTATGAAGCGAGTTTCGCAAAATAAAAATGAGACTTGGACAAGAATCCGGCGGACAAGACAACAACAACGAAATGTGCCAGATTTTGATAACTTAGTGGCCGTGTTTGGTGGACAGACGGTCCACCATCTAGATTTCAAGACCATGTCCGGTCAGCGTCTCTCTTCCCAGCCTCCGTTGCCGGCATACCCCCTTCCCACTTGATCACCGAAGCCGACGCGAAAGACGCTGAGCAGCTGTCAGCGTCATCCAAAAAAAAGAGAGAGGTCCAGGCGGGATTAGAACCCGCAGATGTAAGATTGACTGGTTCAAAAGAACTGGCTTTGTAACAAAGCTACTGGACCGAAAAACAAACGCACGCATGGCGTATATAAAGGCTAGATACAGCTTGGAACTCGAACCATACAACTTTTATTCTGGCATTTCTACAGACATGTTGTCATCTTCTTCATCGTCACCTTCCCTTTCGTGCTCTTCTTGCTCCTCCCCATCTTCGATCATCCCAAGCATCCTCGAGAGCCCATCGTCGACAGCTTCTCTAGAGGCGGATCTTGCAAGCAGTCGTGCAAAAAGGGCCATGATTCGTTCGCGGTTGTGGTAGCTCATCAAGAGCTCGTCCGACTCGGGGATATTCCCTGAACCTCCTCTCAGCTCTTCACCAGATGAATCAGCGTCGTCGAGATTGATTGAAATGCTTCTCGAACGCCTCTCCATCACCTCGTCATTTGCTAGCGTGCTAGAGGGCCGGTATTTCAGTAGGTGTCTATGAAAGGAACACGGATCTTGCCTGTCAAAGTATAGTATGGTGCTCCTGTTTTCGTCCGAGCTGATATCCTCCGTCACCTCGCCCGTGATCACTCTATGTGCATCGAGCATCCTCGGCCTGGTCCGTAGCCTTGACGAGCGTTTTCTGACCGTCGAGGAATCGACCTTGACGGCTCCTTCCACCACTGGCGCACAGTCATGGAGCACAACTTTGCTCTCGATACCACATGTCGCTATCCGCGGCAACTCTGGGTGCCATTTTGCAGAGTTGACAATACTTTGATGACCACCGAGTCGAAAGGCTGGTTGATTCAAGGTCACGGGGAGACGAAGTGTGTCATCCAGCGCGGACATGATATACCCAAATCGTCCTCGAGGACACTCCCATTGGTTATTGTCGTCTTCCATCTCTTCCCTCTTCGCTAACAGGTACGACGTCGGCGGTAATCGCCAAACGTACCCACGAAAGTCGTCCGAGCCCGTTGCGAGGAATTGGTCAGTGTCTTCAAACGTGCCTTTACCGTGTCCATAAAGCGAGGGTCCACCGAATGAGACATGCTTGATGGTACAACTGTTGCCGTATGTTCTTTCGAGGGGAAGAACTGGGTCGCCAGAAGGAAGTCGTTCAGCCGTACAGACCGCAATTGGGTATGGGTCTGAGATGGAATAAACTGTAGGGAAATGTCCCTGTAATCTGTAAGCGATAGTCTGACGAGAAATACCAAAATAAGGTACCTGATTGACAGTAGCGAATCGTTCTCCTGTATGCGATTGAGTTGGCTAGATTTATGTGAATCGTCTACCCACCCGTCCGGTCAAATGCTAAATCGCACAAGCTTGAGCTGATAGGCTTCTCGCCAATGGCTTGAACGGCGTACTATAAAAAGGGGGTTGGCTTGGGTTTGTTAGATTATGAGAGGCTCACTCGCATCAATTCACGATTATCGATGTCATATCCTTGACCAAAGCATTTTCGTACGTCAAAAAGCGTGATCCTGCCGCGTCCCCGATCGGTACCCCGAGAAAGAGATGCTCCAGCCGCGGATGGAACTGAACGCCTACCCAACCGTGCCGTGAGATGAGATGGTTGACAGGCACTGGTGATCGAGCGTCATGATAGAAGAGCGTTCCGTCCTCACTTGCTGTTATGTATAACTCGTCATTGGTGATGTGTGGGCTGATGCCTCGGATGCTGTCCTTTAGAGAAAGTCAGGACGACCCGCAAATGCCACGCAACTTGAAGATGACGACTCACATTGTGATGTAGGAAGGTATGGATAGGGTCAATGTTTGATGCCTCTCCAACCCTTTGAAAGTCGTAGCGACGGATCGCCGAATCCACTCCACCGCTGCAATGACTTAGTTCTGCAGGACTGTTTCTAGCCTCTGTGACGCACCAAAGCAAATAATTGTTGTTGGCAGTGAATGCAAGTTCGAAAATATTCCTCTGGCTGCAGTCAGTCTCCTCGAACGGCCACGGGCAAACCTCCTACTCGTGGACCAGTAAATGTATGAGATGGCTTGGTTATCTGAGTTTCATGCTGATCCCATAGCAATATTCGTAGGTCGTCTCCGCCACTAGCGAGCCAGCGACCGCCTTTTGATGAGAATGCGAGCGCATTGACACATGAAGTGTGATCTTTGAGCTTCCTAATGTGATTATAAGGACATTGCTGACTCTATTGATGCTGGCGTGCGTACACTATCCAATCTAGGCCGTTATATCGCTGGAGTAGCAAGTCAAAGTGCCTCGCTTTCTCGCTGACTACATCAGAGTATGCTGGTGCTTTCCAACTACGAATTCTGTTCTGCTTGTTCATCAACGGTCGACGAGGCAGGGGTCAAAGTGGCACGTCAAACCCAGACCTTACTATGGCATCCTTGATTCTCCATCCGTCTAGAGTGGCCGTACCGTCACGAATCTCCGTCTTTTTCTCCAGAACACTTCCATTTGTTGGATTTGCAGCGCCGTGGACCGCCCTTCGTCCACAACTCGAGTCGATTCTTGAGCTGTTGCCTCCGTGGTTGCTCGCGGTGCCCAAGAAGAAGGTTTCTCACTCTCGAAAGGCGATGAGGAGTGCCAACAAGGGCTTGAAAGATAAACAGAGTGCGTGTGCTCGACGTCTTCCCATATGTTTTTCGGGCTCAATGAAAATTTCGACGCTAGACATTCACGCTTGCGATGCCTGCGGGAGAGCCAAATTGATGCATAACTTGTGCCATCACTGTTTCTCAGAGATTCGGAGGGCGTGGAAGGGTCCAACAGCAGAGCCGACACCAAACGAACGATTCTGGAATGCATAGATTAATCGTAATTAATTGTACAACAAGACATTGCGACAGAACCCATACAACTGCGACGAAGCACAGATTGCTACCCGCCAATACTGGCGAGCATAAGACGAGCCCGCCGCACCCAAGTCCTATAGTATAAAAAATTATTCCACGACCACGCTACGGTCCTCCTGTCCTCACGTCTAGCCTTGTCCTTGCGGCAGGCGACGCCATCTGGAGGATGCTTTAATGTGGTCGGGGTATAAGCGTTGAGTGGCCAAACGAACCTTGTTCCGCTACGACGAACAGACTTGTGCACGTTGGGTGGCCCAAAACTGGTGCAAAATTCCAGACAGACTCGTTGGACGTCGACAATTGTAGAATAAATATTCACAAGCCGGCACCGTCACCATGTCGGTGGCCTCGAAAAACCCCTTTGCGCTCCTCAACGGTCCGTGTCGACATTTGGCAGTTTTCAACACGTCGTTGACCCTCTGAACCTTGTAGACAACGAAGACGATGCGGTAGACAAGTCCCCCGCGCCAGACAAGACTGCCGTCGAGGCGCCAAAGCCAAACCGAAAGCCGTCGTCGACGCGCGGCGGTCGTTATTACCAGCGCGGTGCCCCCAAGCCAGTCATAAGCACGCCTCCAGTCGCAGAAGGTGACCCAAAGTCACCCACGGACACAAAGAGGAGTGCGTAGCCACCCATTGATGGGCACAGTCCATTCTCATTCATTTTTTCGTCATTGACAGACTATAACCGCGGTGATCGTGGTGATCGTCCACCTCGAGGAGATAGAGGAGATCGTGGAGACCGCGGAGAGCGTGGAGAACGCGGCGAATATCGCGGAAGAGGTGGTCGCGGCCGTGGGGGTGGACGTGGACGCGGAGAGCGTGACCCTCGTCCCGACAGGCACAGTGCCACTGGAATTGTGTACGTCTGATGCGTCGATCTCGTCCTAAAGACTGACACGTACACCCGTTCTCTAAAATAGCGACACGGCCAAAAAGGTCGGATCTGGTTGGGGCAATGCCAATTCTGAATACAAGGATGAGACGAATGCGGCCGAAGATGCCAAAGCTGGAGATGCTTGGGGTGCTGCTGCTCCAGAAGGTGGTGATGCAGAGGGAGCCGACCCATGGGCCGAACCAGCGCCGACGGGTGATGGAGAGGCAAAGGACGGCAAGCCCGCTGGAGACGACGAAGGACGCAAGCGCAAGAAATATGAAGACGAAGAGGACGAGGGAAAGATGACGCTCGACGAGTACAAGGCAAAGGCTGCAGTCTCTGAGAGTATCCCCAAGCTCGAGCTCCGCCAAGTTGCCGAAGGCGAGAGCGATCTCTTCAAGGGTGCCAAGCAACTCACAAAGGATCCCGACGCAAATGCCTATTTCGTCGGCAAGGTTCGTTTTGCCTCTCGATCGCTTTCCGATTTCTAATGGTGGTATTATAGCAAGCCAAATCTTCTGGCGCACCCCGCGCTCGCAAAGAAGCCAAGCAGTACCTCGAGATTGACGCACGTTTCGAGCCACCTTCCCGAGGCGGGCGCGGCCGTGGTCGCGGTGGCCGAGGCGATTATCGCGGAGACCGCCCTCAGCGTAGCGGTGGTGGTGGTGGTGGACGAAGCCAGCAACAAAGAGCGGTCGATGTCGATGACAAGACTGCTTTCCCGTCCCTCTGAGCGACGGATCACAACAAACAAAGGGCTGCACAACCTGTATCGGCGAGCATTCAGCTTCTCGACATTCTTTTTCCTTTCGAGCAAGCCACGTCATCCCGCTTTCCCTTTCATACCGCACCATCTCGCTCTGTCAGGTGCCTGTGGCATTCACAGTCCAAAAAGTCTGAAAGATCTTGCAGTGACCCTCCTTTCGATATTTCCACCTGTATGTAGCAATGCTATGTACACCAAACTGACTTTATGCACGTTCCTAAGCATACATCTCCCTGACTTTACAGAGTTCGACGAGCTGTTCATCTTGGGCTGCTACAATGATACCCGGCTTAACAGAGATCCCCCTAGACTGCAACGCTTTGATGCCTTTTGCAGTCCAATGTGCAAGTGCGTCGGGATCCATGCACCACAATCGCAGACTGGCCACCTGGTGCTCGTCTTCAATCTCTGGGCCTGCGACGAATTGGTCCTGTGTGGTGTCGTTTGTTTGAGCATCCGGCGACGGAGCTTGCACGTCTCCGGCAGGAGGGAGGGGTGTATCCTCTTGCAAAAACGCCCATAGCCCTCCTTCGCGCATCCAAGCAGCAACGTTCCTCTGACTTCGCAGTTCTTCTAAAACACCAATAACAGCGAGCAGCGTCTTGTCCTCTTCTTCTTCACTCGGATCTTTTGCTTCATCCATGAGAGGGATGGACGGTGGAGCCTCTTCCTCGGGATCGACTGGTACATCAACCGGAACAGTCGACTCTCCATTCTCCGTGCGCGCAGATATCTCGACGGGAGAGTTCGAACGATCACGAGTAGACGTCGGCCCTCGACGCTTGGCGACATATTCGTTGATCTGCAGAAGATTCCACGGCTGTAACCGCGCTTTGAGTGCCGTGTCGTCCATGAGCAACGTCGATGCAGCGCCATAACGGCCTTCAGCAGAGAACCATATTCGATCCAAGTTTTTCGTCGTCTGTACTCGTCGGTGGAACCCTTCGGCACTCAAGCCAAGCATTGAGCGGCTCCAGCATGCTCTCAGGCAATCTTGTCTCCACCCAAATGCCGTGTCGACCATTGGTGGGAGGTTATGTGGTTGTACGCTGCTCCATATCATTGCGTCTAGTGGCGCCAGGAGTGTGAATCGCTTTGGATGTGACTTGAGTTGTTTGCGTAGAGAGCGTAGATTCTCTAACCGTTCTGTGTTGACCCTTTCGACAGATGGTTTAGAGGCCGTGGCCTGTTGCTGTTGTTGTTTCCGCTGCTTCTTGTTCAGTTTCTTCTGTTTGCGACGGTCGACGCGTGATTCGGGTTGAGATGAAACGTTTGGGATAGAAGTAGGCAAGAGATGAAAGTATCGTTTCCCCTTGTTGCTACCAGTTCGTTCGATCAAGAGACCATTGGTCGTGCGTTCGTGGGAGAGGTATTGGACGAAGCAGTCGAGATATGGGCGTCGCCACATGGCTCTTTTGCCCATGTGGGCCGAATGTCGATAGAGAAGAGAGCCATTGAGGTCCAGGACGATGAGTTGTCTCAGAGGAAGAGCGTCTTCGGCTGAAGCAAAATCTTCAACTTCCGAGGATACCAACGGAAGCAGAGAAGAGGGTTCATATGCCTCTGACGGGTGTCGAGTTATACTTTCGTACGCCGCGGATGGCGCATGAATGCTAACGTCCAAGGGAAGCCTTGTGGCGAGTTGTCTAGCATGCAAGGGTCCATTGTTGAAAAAGATGGTATCCTGTTTTCTTGAACTAGATGCGCGAATAGGTTCTGGCAGACGAGGGGGAGAGTCGATAGAGAGCTTGGGTATCGGTCGATGATTCGATGTCCGACGATTCGCGTGCTGATCTCCCGAGTGAAAAGAAGCCGAATTCGACCCATTTTGATGTTCTGCGTGATCTAATCTCGTCTCCACGGGATGTTCTGCAGAATGTCAGGCTCGATTTAGGAGGACACGTTGACAACGAACCGTGCCGAGTATCGTATCCATTCGAATGTCTCGCTCTCTTTGAAGATGAAGAGCCTAGGCCATCGTCTTCGTATCGGCGTTTCCGCCACCCATCCTGCTCTGGCGCCCATTGCGGTTCTGAGTCAAAAGCGACCCGTGTATCATCATCCCAGGTATCTTTTCGTCCATATTGACGGTATGATCCTGCCTCCATGTGAATCCTACCGTTTGGCCTCTTTGCAAGTTGACAAAGAGACCACGAAAGAGATACTCTGGTTAAATAACCAGAGTTATGATATCGTTGTCAGCGGTGAAATACGATTGCGAGAATCCCGCCGCCTGTTGTCGTCTTGTCCAAGAAGCGAACTTGCCTCAAAATTTGGACGGCTGTCGCTTGGACCCCTTCGACGACTGGCCCCAGATACAAAAATTCGCAAATTTTATTTGCGACAACTCTACGTTTAAACCTATCCATTCGCTTCAACCTCGACCCGACTCGCGTCTCAGCTCGCAACGCTCCTCCGTCCACCGCACGTCTAAGCAGCAGCCATGGCCACGCCAACGCCTACACCCTCCATCCCAAGCACAGCAGCAGCAGGAGGTATCTCGTTTACAATGCCGCCGCAGACAGGTGCGTACTCGTCGTCCGAGTTTTGGGGGGGAAGGCCCACAAAAAGAACGGGGCCACGGCTGACATGGGACTTGTAATCTGCAGCCGCGGCGTCGTATTACAAGATTGCACCGTCGAGTCCAATTACATTTGGCTGGAATATGACAAGCGTGATCGCCACGCCGACGCATCTGACCATCATGGCCATTTGCACGTCCAATGGGAATACGTATCCCATCGGTCCAGCATCGCTCAGTGGGACGATTGATGGACAAGCTACACAGGTGAGAAAGAGCCCAAGGATGAGACCCGAGGCGCAGAGGCTAACGACGACTTGGATTAGGTCGTCTGGGACCCGTGGGCATACGAGCAGCAACAAGGTGCAGTCCCGCTTGCTGCAGCAGAGTACACGATTAGAATCACCGACGAACGAGGACCGGGCGCGGGCATCTTGGGCGGCTACCTCACGCCCTACACGGGCACAAAGTTTAGTCTCTACAGACCGCAACAGTACACTCCATTGGAGAGTAAGCATTATTTTATTTTCTTTTGGATTACAAGTATGCCTAATGGCCGAAATAGGCTGGACCTGTCCAGGCTGCTCGTCTGCGACCCTCAGTATGGCAGCTATGCGTCCGGCGTCCATCGCCCTCTTTGCAACTTGCCTGATTGTCGTCCTCAGTGGCTTCAATCTCCTCAGACGAGCCATCTGAGGATACCCAGTCGGTGACTCTTGGACCCTCGTGTTTCGCATCCGGCTCACGCCCGCTCCGTCTCCCCTAGAGTGGCGTCGCGGTAACTTATTTCAGCCCCTTATCGTACACTTTGCATTTGCGGACTCTTCAGCCTCGCACCTAGTCCTCGAATCCTATCACGATGCCCTTCTCATTCTTGCTCTTTCCATGTCACTTTCGTAGAGTAATGCCAGTCATTTTTGTCACGCTCACGATCAAGAAGGGGTTTACAGTGAAACAATTGTATTCCTACTACAGAAAAGACAGGTGCAAGAGTGACGCTCGACGTAAGACGGTGGTAAACGCGTAAAAGGAGATGTGCGAAAAGCCGTCAAAGCATCTCGACACGTTTACTGACCGCCACGGAGACGAAGGACAAGGTGGAGGGTCGACTCCTTCTGGATATTGTAATCCGAGAGCGTGCGTCCATCCTCGAGCTGCTTGCCCGCAAAGATGAGGCGCTGCTGGTCGGGAGGAATGCCCTCCTTGTCCTGAATCTTCGTCTTGACGTTGTCAATCGTGTCCGAAGACTCGACCTCCAACGTAATCGTCTTGCCGGTCAACGTCTTGACGAAGATCTGCATACCTCCGCGGAGACGAAGGACGAGATGGAGCGTGGACTCCTTTTGGATGTTGTAATCCGAGAGGGTGCGACCATCCTCAAGCTGCTTGCCCGCAAAGATGAGGCGCTGTTGGTCCGGGGGGATGCCCTCCTTGTCTTGGATCTTTGTCTTGACGTTATCGATGGTATCCGACGACTCGACCTCGAGGGTAATCGTCTTACCCGTCAAAGTCTTGACGAAAATCTGCATGCCACCACGGAGACGGAGGACCAAGTGAAGGGTCGACTCCTTCTGAATGTTGTAGTCCGAGAGGGTGCGACCATCCTCGAGCTGTTTACCAGCGAAGATGAGACGCTGCTGGTCCGGAGGAATGCCCTCCTTGTCTTGGATCTTCGTCTTCACGTTGTCGATGGTGTCAGACGACTCGACCTCGAGCGTGATCGTCTTTCCCGTGAGGGTCTTGACGAAGATTTGCATGCCTCCACGGAGACGGAGGACGAGGTGGAGGGTGGACTCCTTCTGGATGTTATAATCCGAAAGGGTGCGGCCGTCCTCGAGCTGCTTGCCGGCGAAGATGAGGCGCTGCTGGTCCGGGGGGATGCCCTCCTTGTCCTGGATCTTGGTCTTGACATTGTCAATAGTATCAGAGGATTCGACCTCGAGGGTGATGGTCTTTCCAGTGAGCGTCTGTGCAAGAGGCGCCGTATCAGTCATCCATCGTCTGAGGTAGTAGGCCAGCTAGGCATGTTCTAACGTACCTTTACGAAGATCTGCATGGCTGGTAGTGTATCAAAGGCTGGTTGAGTGGTTGGGAAAAGAGCAAGATGGAGCTGGGTCCAAGTTGTGAGGAGACGGGGCAGACCGAGACAGGCGCCCTTTTATAGGTTGGCAAATTGATTAGGCGCCAGAAGCTGCTGGAAAACGGAATCGCAGCGGCTGAGTCACGGATTGTCAGCAAAAGAGGCTGCGGTAAGATTGTAAGCGTCTGTGCTCTTATCTTCCACGTCGACAATGGCAACGCAGACACCGCCTTTCTACATTTTAATCTCACAGTCATCCCCAGGCAGACCAGTTTCCCTTGCGCATCCGACCGTCCAGTTGCACTATGCAGACGATCCACCGACCGCGCTCCTTCCAACGGCAGAGCATCCAAATATACTCATCTTAGAGCCATCTATGCACATCCAAGAGACTTCTACGTCTGTCTTTCAGAGCTCGAGCCCGCCATCCGCGACCGGGAATTCGACGGCGACCATCACTCCATCCAGTAATAATCATCAGGCCCCAGTGGTTCACAGTCTATCTCCAAACCTTGCTGTCACCGCAGTCCGTGTCGCTCAGCCACCAGCAGCCGCGGTCGCGTACGCTACTGCCCACGGCCACGATCCAAGCATCTACATCATCGACTATGTCCCCCTCAAATATGAAGAGCCGTGAGTTCACTCATTCATATGCATATACCCGTCTTTAACAATCTCCCCAGGCAGCGCATAGAAGATTCGATGCTTCGGGACACACAGTCGACGGCTGCAATGCTTGCTCAATTCCATCAAAAGTACGTAAGACATCCCATATCCATCACGCGACTGATGGGGCATCCAGAAATGCACTTATACGACGCGTGCTCGACTCTACCACGACTTCCCGTCCTCCCCACAATTTATCCTCGCCATGATGCCCCCACGCGCGTTCCGGGTTTCGCCTATGTCTACTCCTTGTACTGTTCAGGCAATTGGCTCAAGCGCCATACGGCATCCTCCATATTCATCCGCGTAGCATTTACAGGTGCAAACGCAAACGATCCAGCTGGTGTCGTAAATGGGGTTTTGCCGACAAAAATGGTTTCTGTATGCTGCACCGAAAGCGTCGCCTGCGGCTGTTCAGGATCCGGCCCGATGGTATCATCCAACACCAACGTCGGCTCAAGCGTTAGCCCGACGTCGTATGGATCACCCACTTCAGTTTCCGTATCGTCTTCTTCCTCTTCCACTATACCGCCTAGGTCGTCCTGTGCCTGCGCGTTCCTCGATCTCCCCAGTCCAGAACCCTCTGATATCTCGGACGCCGAGGTCTGGAGCTCAGGGTAGACCACCGCCGAATAATTAGCAGAGTTATCTCTCCTTATCGGTCGTGGAGCCATCGGCGGCGGTGGCAGCTCGAAATGCACCTCTCTAACGACCTTGGGCGAGGGTCGGATGTAGGGTCCAGTCGTCGATGTTTCCTGGCCCGTCCTCGTATCATAGGCCATACAGAACATGGAACGGACGGCATCACTCGCATCGACACTCTTGCTGGGGACCCCAGCCGTAAACTCCTCAAGTATGCGCCGTGTGCTTTCATCGAGTACGATTGGCGACCAAAGAGTGCCGAGTCGCATGAGACATGGTTCGAGTGTGTTTGATCCCATGAGCGGGACGAGTGCTGCAAGTACGACGAGTGCCGCGCGGCGTTGTCCCTTCTTCGAATGCACGAGCACGACATTCCTCTTCGTTTCTCGATTCCGGTTCTCCATCAACAACTCTTGAATCCACGACTTTGCAGATATGACTTGTCGTTTCTGTTCCTCGAGTCGTTGAACACTCGGTGCCCTTTGAGTCGTCGCGGGCCAGTACACCGAACGAACCTGGATCCTGCTGCTCTCCTCACCGTGAACCAGCCGTTCAGGAAATCGCGGAAGAGTGTACGAGTCGTGGACGGAGACAATGTGCGTTACTCCCAGTGCTCGTAATGCCCTTTCGTCCGTCGCGGTGTACTGGTCGGACATCCACAATCCCTCCACCACCTTGAGCGCATGTGGCTCAATGTACACTGGATGCTCTATACCGTATCCATCTCTCCTGCCAGGTAGCTCGAGTGTACAGTCGTTGAAGAGTTGAGCGCGTTCTGGGCCCGTGTACTCTGTACTGTAAAAGGAATTGTTGTCGTATATGCCATGTAGTGTCTTTCGTCCCTTTCCACTCCGGTTGATCAAAGGATTCTCCTGTGGTAGATACGCTGGCGTCCTCTCGGTTGAATCCAAAGCAAACTGCGATGATATACGCGTGAGGGACATTATGTCCGTGTGATTGGAATAGCTGGGACTTATGTTCGCAGTCGGCTATTTCGCGGTCGACTCCAACCGTCAGGCTCCATTACACAGGATGGCCACAATAAAAGGATCAATAAGCATAGTCACAGCAAAGGTATAACCACTCTATTCAGTGAGTGTGCAAAGGGTTTAGATAGGAGTAATTGCATTCCAAGACTAGCTGTTACAGGCCTACAGTTGGACGAGACTCTATGCTGGTCCAATTATACGGATATTTTGGGCCATTATCATAAACGAATCACCCAAGCGCTTCCGTTTACATGATCTTGTTCCAGATCTTCTCCATCAAGTTCTTCGGCGGTGGCTCGTCGTAGCTGTTGGCCTCAATCTCGGCAAGACCCGTCTTAAAGTCCATATCAGCTGGCTTGACCAATGGAATTTTGGTGACGAATCGGGCGATGATGTAGAGGATAGGGAAGAGGATGAAGGGAAGGTAGTTGGTCACAAACGTGGCCGTATCCCACTTGCCCTGAGGAAGACGTCCCACCCGGAGAATGTGCAGATGACGATGATCCAGACCATGGCGTAGTAGGACGCGTAGGGGTTGAGCTTCGAGGCGTAGGGGAGTTTGCTCCTGTCGATTCCCTGCGCGCGGCAGCCTTTGTAGAAGCGTACATAGGTGAAGCAAATACCGAACCAGGTCATCAAACCTGCAATGGCGGTCATGTTGGCGAACCTGGCGGATGGTTAGCAAGCGGTAAAGAATGGGAAAGAGACATACCATCCAAAAACTGTGCCGGCACTCTCGTTGATGCCCATGAATGCTAAAAAGGAGAACAGTGAAGAGAAAACGATCGCGACCCAGGGCAAGCCGTTCTTCGAGGTCTTCGTAAAGACTCGGGGGGCTTGTCCGGAGAGTGCAAGACCGTAAAGTGCACGAGAACTGGTGTACAAATCACTGCTAGCAGCCGACCATGCGCTGGTGAGCAAGCAAGCGTTGATGAGCGAGGGCAGACCCTTGATGCCAGCCGTCTGGATAGCAATGACAAATGGACTTGCTGCGGCATTGTGGTCGGTCAAGTTGAGCGAAGGGTGGTTGGAGGGGACGAGGAGACCAATGATGGTCGTGCCGACAATGTAGAAGAGGAGGATACGGATGTACACTCGGCGAATGGCGCGGGGGATGTTACGACGCGGGTTCTTGGCTTCACCAGCTGCAATGGCGACAATCTCGGTACCGATGTAACTGAATGCGGCTTGTGTCATGACCTGACAGCGCGGGTTAGAACGAGTAAAAGCACCATTTTTGCACATCTACTCACCGACCAGAAGCCAAGGAACTTGCCAGTATCGCCGGGGATGCCATAGCGCTGAACAAATGGTCCAGGGTTGATCCAATAGCGGAAACCGATACGGTCGTGGTTTGGTCCACCTCCAAGATCGAGGATAATGCCCAGGATAATTAAGCCCGTAATGGTAATGACCTTGATGCTCGCGAACCAGAATTCGGCTTCACCATAGGCTCCTGCGCCGAGAGCGTTGATGGCCACAACGACAACAAGACACATGGTGATCCAGGCGGCATTATTGACCGTCTTGTTCCAGTAATTGATCAGCACAGCCGCAGCGGAAAGTTCGGCGGGAAGGACCTAGAGAGGGAGAAGAGATTAGATGGCCACCCGTACCCGGAGTAAAATCGACATACAATGATCCAATTGTAGTAATAGTTCCACCCCATGGTGAAAGAAAAGGCTGGGTTAACGAAACGCGCAGCAAGCTGTTTGAGAGCCATGAGTTTGACCGTCTTCTCTTCAGGGATCTATACTTACCGAAATGTGACCACCTGCGATGGGAAGGTAGGCAATCATCTCTCCAAGCGAGATCATGACAGAGTAGCAGATGGAACCAACAATCTGGGTTTGATTATCAGAGAACCGTAAACTCCGTGCTGGGGATTGCAGACGTACACTGTATCCGAGCAAGAGACCAATAGGACCACCTTTGCGCAAGGCACCTGCCGTCCCCAAAAACAGTCCAGTACCAATTACACCTCCAATACTAATTCAGAGCACGTGAGTATGTATTTTTAGCAACTCCGCACAAAATGTGATGTCAAGGCATACCTGATCATGGCAATATGTCTATTCTTCAACTGGCGTTTCAAGTCGCCGACGCGAGCACTCTCGTCGCCCTCATAGCTAGTCTGATGTCGCTCGACATCTTCCTTGATGGAGGCCTGAGAGCCGTTCTTCTCCTTGATATCTGACGCTGACATGGCTTGGGAGCGTCAAAGGGAGCAGGAAGGGGGAGTAGGGGAGAGGTAGGGAACGAGAAGACAGCTACCGGCGGGCGACTTTTATGGACGGTAGGATCAATATGATAAGGCGAAAGATGACTGCAATTTGTGCTATCTGAGGAGATAAAAGGGCCACGCGATCTACACAGCGTCCGCATGAAAGAGGAGAAGCCCGGTAAGAGGCTTCTGCGGTTTAGTTCAGGCGCGCATCCAGAAATAAACCCACGCGAGGGACCCAAATCACGAGATTCTTCCCAGCCAGGCGAATGGTAGCAGGACCATATGGAGCAACTGTGTGGCCGGCTCTCACTGAATGGGACGCCTCTGAGCCACGAGAGATGGCGAGATGCTATACAGCCTCCAACGGCAATATTCGAGTAATTGCGACTGGGTTTGTCTAGATTTTGTCTGGAATATTCCCCGCGGCGACGAACAAGCGCGTACTGGGCTGCTAGTACAGGTTCAGAGTTGGCCTTTACCAAAACTCCGTGCACGGACCTGGATGGCGACAGAGACGGCGGTCGGGGGAGTCGCAGCGCCTTCATCGTCTGGAACAATCTCAAGACGTGTTTTACGCAAGACGCTCAACGATGCGCTGGCGATTGCGAGCTATGCGGTCCAGCTCGACACGGAGGGCGACTATGCGCGGTCGATGGAAGCATATCAGCAAAGTGTAGCACTCCTCGACCAGGGAATCAGTCTCATGCAGCTCCAGCGTGACCTGGGTTCTGAGCGTCCAGGCCGAGACACCTCGCACGAGATTTCTCAGCTCGAACAGATTGTGAGCACAAATTCTAACAGCTTTTGATCATCACCAGGCTCATATCTGCTACTTTGTCCCGCCTCGAAGCGTGAAAAATACGCTGCTCGCATCAACACGCACAGGTCGGAGCGCGACCGAAAGGCAGCGATCCTGGCAGCTAGGGAATCAAATCATGTCTCTTCAAATCATCATCACACGACCACAATTCGTCGTCCGCGCACTCCTCAGGGCTCGTCTATCCCGCCCCCTCAGCATCCGCCGCCGAGCGCGCCTTTGCCGCCCATTCCGCCCATGGCGAGTCCAGCTGTGGATACAGTCAGGACCTCCAACGACACAGTAGTAGAATCTAATGGTTTCCGTACTCGGGGCGCCTCTTTGCCCTCGAATCAGACGGAACCGACGCGTGACAGCGCTCTCTCGTCCTCGAGTTCGACAAATGTCAATTCCGAAATTAGCGGTGCCAGCAGGAATGGCAGCTTTTCACTCAAATCCCCAAAGACGCCTCCACCTCCGACACCTTCCACCGCTACGTCGATCCGGTCGACAAACCTCGACTCGTTCCCCGTGCCCAAAAAGCGCACAAAGAGTATTGGCAGACCCCAGACTGCACCCGGTCCAGGGGCCTCGTCGCCGCCTACCAGCAATGGTAGCCCTATCCGGACGCGTACAACGTCAGGGGCGACTCCGCCATCTCACGTTCTTCCCAAGCGATCAAATTCATCCACCGCCCTCTCTTCTTCATCGGTTACGTCGCCCGTCTCGCCCATCGTCCAGCCCCAGCAGCAGGGACCACCACGCCTACAACGATTCGGGAGCTCGACCAACATTCGCCATGGTCTCCTGTCGCCGTCACCAGCATCGCTAAGCTCGAAGCGAGTCGACTTGATTCCCTTGCGAGAGCCAAAGACGACCAAAATTGAAGTACCCGCTTTTGCGACCATTTACGCGCTCGAGCCTGCGACAAAAGTGACAGCGCCTCCCCCACCTCCAATGCCTACGGACCCTCAACGTCACCCATATCATCTGCTCCGGCTCATTCTTGGCACGTTGACACCGATTTCCTCGCCAGGGCTCAAGAGCTCTCAGCCGACGGGAGGAGGATTCATTACCCCACGACTTTATGTCCCGGTGGCCATCTGGCATCAGCCGGATCTATGGACGCTGGTCGTCGACCTGCAAGAAAAGACTCGCCTGCTCGAGGCCCTCCGTGAAACGCTGAGGACGGTCCACGAGACGAGCGTGATCCATTTCGGGCATATCTTCTTTTCGCCTCTTCGAGCGCCTGCAAAGCTGAAGAAGACGAAATCGTCTGAGAATTCCTTGCCAGCCATTCCCGCAATGGATGACCCGATTGAATGGTTGCAGTCGCTCGAAAAGCTGGCCAATGTCACCTGCGAGATGGAAAGATCGATGAGCAAAAAGCTCGGCATGGGGGAGAATGGAGCGAGCGTGACCAAGAAGATGGTCGACTGGAGCACAAGAATGGCCAAAAAGACTATGGGCGGCAAGGGACCCAGTAACGAGCTCATGGTGGCCTATGTAGACGCGCTAGCTGGCGTATGCGCGTTTGGTGCGATGCTAGACGCGCATTTGTGCGCGTTGCGCACCGTCTTGCCTCCATCTGCCGCGACCCGTCCCACAGGAAGGCGACCAACGTTGTCAAGAAGCAACACTGTCGAAGCCGCAAAGGCGCTTTCTGCGTCGCAGACCAATATTGCTGTTGCAGCCAATTCGGTGCCAGATTTCAAGTCGGATCCAGACGTGCTCCCTGCAGCCGCCACCCAACTCATCCCAAAGTATTCAGAACTCCCAAAGTTTGTGAACACGCAGGCGCTGGCGCATCTGGAAAAAGCCACCAAAGTGTTTTCATCTTTTATTATTCCATTTATTGTCCGGGATCTTGCCATTCTCATTCAGGGCTTGCAGGCTGCGCGGAACGGCGAGTGGATGGGACTCTTGTAGCCCATTTGCTCTCCCCTTCCCCTCTAGTCGGCAGCTGGTCCGAGCCGACCAAAGCGCAGCGTGCTTCTTCTCGTGCATTTACTCTCTCATCTGTTGTCCGATTTCCTTCGTTCTAGAACGCTCTGCTACGTCTTACAGTATCGTCCTCGTGGTCTGTATAACGTACTTGTATAAACCAGCTGTCACTTAATTTTGGTTAATCCCATCAATCTATTTGCGAGCCTTTGTGAGCTTAGAAGTTGTTTACATCCCTTGACTCCCTTCCCCCATAACAACGCGTTCAAAGCCTCCGGAGGCGGTGGAAAATACGGGTGTAAAAATGACGACGGCACCTCCATATCGGTATGCGATGGGCAACCAGCCCGGGAATCCGCGCCAAATGGGACCACCACAGGCAGGACCTCCGTTGGATGGTCATGAATGTCAGTATTTCTACAATTGCTCTACATGAATCTGAATATACCCTCTGACAGATTGGTTTCTTATCCCGGGTCCCAACAACCGGATGATTCTCTCCTAGAGTCTGGCTTGGAACCGGACGTGACATGGGCGATGAAGCACCTGTTGCATGCCACTGCGTCTGAGAGATTTCTGCTTGGAAAGTATCCAGCGCTCGTTCCAGCCCTCATTCGGTACCCTGAATGGTTCCTCGAACACGCAGACGAAGAAGACGGTTCGACATGGTGCCCCAATCCAGAATTCACTACTAATCGACGGTTTGCACTCAACTCTCTCCTCATCATCAAGAATTTATCCATGAGCGAAGAAAATGCGGCCATCTTGGCGCGAATGGAACGCATCAGAACTCTCGTCTTTGACATTATGGAAAAATGCCAGCGACCGACAGATTCGACTCTCGAGTTTTTGCTCGGTGCAATCGACATCTTTCGATATACGATAACGAAATGGCCGGCCTCGCCCGTCCCCGAAAAGACCAAAGTGCTCGTCGACATTGTCGGGCGGTCAAACGACAGAGCCATCATGATCTCTGGATGGTCCGCACTGCACAATCTTCTCGACACGTTTACAAATGTGACGCACGTCACGCCCGAATCGAGTGCGCTCAACGCTGCCATTCGCGTTCTCCCCCTTCACTTTGACCAGCCTCTTTCGACGGCGGCATTGGATTACATTCTCGCACATGTCTCAAATCCCGCACTGGCAAAGGCGTTTCTGCACCACCCTGAGATGCCACAAGCCCTCAAGTTGTTGACGTACCAGCTGATATTCGATCAGCAAAAGGTATTGGAGTACGTCAAAGTTACAGTTGCGCAACCCTCGAAGACGGAGATTGCCCAGAATAATGCAATCGGGCCCTTGGAGCTGAAAAAGGAGGTCCTCGATGAACTCTCTGCGTTACCCGAGCCCGACAGAGTTACTCAGTGGTAAGAGGGTTATAGCTATAAACGAGTCTAGACTTAGTGCCCGCAGGATGCAACGCGCATTCGAGGCCGTTCCTCATGCCGAGATTACACAAGTTGACTTTTGGAATTTGTACAGAACAGCGTTTACATCATATGGACCAGACACAATGTTGCCCGCCACAGATCTTATCAAGCTCGTCACAAACGTTTTCCCGTCTGCCATGCCCATGGTATCCCAAGGTGCGAATGGGAAGCCGTCCAAATTCATCATCAAGGGCCTCGAGCGACGCCGTGCAGTTGCAGAGGGACGAACCAAATGTCACTGGGACCGGTGGAAATGCCCTGAGCCGGCCTTTGAAACGGCTACTGCGCTCTACCGGCATGTGAAAACTCACGTCAACTCGACTACCGTCCAGTGTCTCTGGGGTTCGTGCACGCACATCAGTGCATCTCCTAAACTATTCCATCGCCATCTCCTCACTCACCTACCGCTCGACTTGGCGGGTCCACGACATCCAGGACAGGTGGACGACGTGCTCGTGCCACCCAATTCTCACGTCGATCCAGGCGTTCCGACTGCACGTCCGGTACCTCCAGGACCTGCTCACATCGTGAACTATCCAAAGGCGACAACTGACCCACCTGCGGGTTCCTTCTCCGCGTTGCTCATCATGCGAATACTCTATCGGACCTCCTTTGTGCAGGCAGAAGTTGTACTCAAAACGGACGGCGATCATTTTGGATTCCCTGGTATCGAGCAACCGCTCATTGAAGGTGATACCGAAGTGGCGATGGAGGATCTAGGATACGACACACTAGAAGGACAAAGAAAGGGTAAAGCTGCGTTCAAGGGTATTGGTGGAATGCTGTCCGGTGTGATCATACACGACGCCGCGATTGCCGCTTGGATAGACGAAATGCTAGACTCGATAAAGGCGCTCCCTTTGTCGCAATAATTTAATTTTGTCTACTCTACACAACATTACGTCCACCAGGAAGAATGCGAGGCCGTATCTCAATCTTGCCTACGACCATTTCTTGCTTGTACCCACAATAGTCGCTCTTTAGTAAGACCACCAACTTTAATTATGAAGGTGGGTCCGTATGCAAGGATCGTGTTGGATATGAGCCAATAATACACAATGAATAAAGTATATGCCGAACAGGGTGCTTCATTGGCCTTCCGTCCGTCGCCAACAGGTCAAAGCCAGTGATATGCACTCTGTTCGTCGCTGCTAGAATGAGCACAATGTAGGTTTCATAGATTGCTTGCTTCGAAATAGAGCGCATTGTCCGCATTGGGCCATAAGCTGAGACCAAAAAGAGAGGCGGAGGGAATACATAAGCAATCAGACCTGAGCCACCGGTTGTGGATGTGGAGTTTGCGGCGGAGGGGGAGTATAGTTGAAATATCCACTTGTCGGTGGGGTATATGGTGTAATCGGATCCACCGGCTTGTACTCTTGTCCTGGAGGCGTATTGACGATCGATATGGACGCAGCGTGGTTTATGCTTCCTCCTTGACCCATTGGTGCACCAGCAGCGGCAAGCTTGTTGGCCTTGGCTTTCTTGCGGATGAAGATGGCAGCGGTGATGCCGATAACGAGCGCGAGGACGACGGCCACGACAGGTCCAGCGATCAAACCAGCTTTCGATGTTCCATCGGTGGTGCCAAAGCTGCTAATGGAGCCTCCACCTCCTGATAATCCAGTGGCCGTCGATAGACCGTAGCGGGTAGTTGTCGTCGTCGGGGTGAACCTGCAAGACTACATAAGCCTTTTGGCGTGAAGGAATGGAACTTGATACGCACGTAGTTCCACCCGAGACGGTGAGGACATCAATCGAGTGCAGTAAGAACTGGTACTCCCGTGAGTCGTACGTGAGCGAATTCCCACTATCTTTGAGGTTCCCGACAAAATAAATTAGACACTTGAGGTCCTGTGGTTTCAATGGCGAACTATATGGCTCTCCGCTGCTGGCCCAGAGATACTCGTCTGCGCATCATCGTAAGCATGGCTTGATAAAGGACCCATAACCCTACTCACCATCCGAGTTGACAGTAGCTATACCGTACGAAGTAGAATCGTAGCCATTTGCTCGCCGTCCACAAAATCCCCAGATCCAGACGGCTTGTCCGTCGAACGAAAGATCAAACTGCCGCGCAACATCCTCTCCACTCTGTCGATAAGAGAAGCCAAAGGTGGTAGAGTTTGTAGTCCATCCCGTAGTGAACCTAATGCGAGAATCCGTGTTCGAGTATGTCGTGACGGACGCTGTGGCGCTTAAGTTCTTCGTCAGCTAAATAGGACCAGGTTCAGCAATTGGTATTACCCTATCCTTCGAGTTCCATATGCATAGACAGCCTTTGAAAACGAAGCCTTGGCTCCGACAGTATACTGAGTAATGCTGATAGAGGCGGTGTTGTAGTTGTAGACCGAGCTAGTCGAAAGCGACTGGTCACGACAACTGTACGATGTGCAACCGACCGTAAAGTCGGGGATAGAGGTCCAGACGCCATTGCTGGGCGACAGCGTGATCGCATTCCCAGAGTTGATTGCCAGTTTGATTGTCATCCCAGAGTCTAGAGAGAAGAGTGAGCTTTGTTGATGGTCGGCAACGATGGACACGAACCTGCCTCTCCATAAAGTTCGAGTGCCGTGCCTGTGAAAAAGTCCATAAAAAGTCCCCAGACACCAAAGAAGTTGAACTTACCATAAAATTTAAAACGAAAGTTGGCAGAGGTCACGTTCGTGGTGTGAGAGCCTTGGACGTTTCCCTGTGCGTCTCCACAGACCATCTTTCCATCGGTGATGGGACAGTCTGCAAACCAGTCGGATCCATAGTCGATCTCAATTGATGTATGCGGAATCGTCACATTGTACGTTGTCTGAGCCATTGTTTAGGCTGTCGCACGGACGGAGACAAGAAGGGGGAGGTAAACGCGCCCAGTTTGCAGACGGTTTTTATGGGAGAAGTTCATCGGGGAATCTCAATTACGAAGACTGCCGTCGCCGGCCAGAAGCCATCCACGGGGACCCGAAATGATGGTACAAGGGGGAAGACGGGCTGTACCACACAAAGCCTTCAGGGTGCCGCGGCGGCATTTGAGAACGAGAAGGAACGTGTAAAACATTGATCACATAGAGAACTAGGGGTAAAGTAAAACCTCTTGGTTAAACCTCGATGGAAGACGGGGTCCAATCGGCAGCTCCAGCCACGAACAGTCGATGCCTGTGGGTATTAGTCCTTTATTGTAATCGCTTGTATATACGAATATAACGGAGTGGCTGTCAAGCCCGTCGAGCTCGTCGAGGTGGTAACCAACCTTCGACTCGACCGTATACTTTGTACACTTGGGCCTCCGCTTTCTTTCTTTCTGGGCATATCTTTCAATATTTTATCATGATCGCAACAGTTCGTCGTGTCCGTACGACGTCCAGAGGTCCGTTTCCATCAGCCCTGTCAAGTCGTCGAGCTCAGGCGTTCTCACTCTAGGTCTCCTGGCCATTGCCAGTATCATTATTCTTTCACTTTCAACTCATATCAACTGGTTCATGGGCTTCTTCTGTATGCATCAGTCGAGCAACCATACCAGAACGCTCATCCGAGTACAGACATTGCCGACCGCTTGCCATTTGTTCTCTCCATTCTCACCCTGGCCACCCTCGTGCTCACGTACAGCAACCTTTAAATCACATGCATATTCTAACTTCTCCTAGGTCAATACTGGACCTTGCAAAGGGTGGGAACGCCGTAACGGCTCGCCCAATGGTCGAAAGTGCCCTCCTTGTCGTCTTTACAATCTTGTGGACAGGTAATACGATCCATTGTCATCCAATTTTTTTAATGGCCATCAGGTGCCAATGGCTTTTCGACTCCGAGATGGAACACAATTCAGCCCGGCGTCTGCTCCTCCATCAGTATTGGTACGAGTACGAATAACTCATCGATCTATTCTCATGTTAAATAGCCTCGAATCCTTCTTTTCAGAGTGGTGTCCGAATGTGGTGCCAAGAAATGATTGTTCTCCGAGCATTTGTCTGGATTGAATGGATAATTCGCAAGTTCTCTTCATACATATAAGGCTAAATCTAACTATTCATACAGTCTTGGGCTCACTGTTGCTGCTCGTCTCATACTGTTTCAAACAGGCTCGCAAGGGCCGGGGACACATTTGGGTCACCCCTCTTGCCCATTTTGACCCTCATGAAGCAGAGGATACCAAATGGGATGCCAAATCACGCGTATTCAGCCACATGTCGTGGGGAATTCGTGGCGATCGAACTCCATATGCGTTTGATATGCAAACGCCGCGTCCATACCAAACAGAGCACCAACAGACACAGGAGAATTATCATTACAACGATTTTAACGATCAAGTACCAACACCACGCCCTGCTGCAGTCATTCACAATTACAACAATGCCGGAGATACCCTTCGTTCGGTAGGCTCGCAGCATTCCGGGCAGGCATTAGTTGGAGGAGGATATCAATCTACGGATCCGTTCAATATACCCAAGGATAGACCTATATCCCTCGCTTCATCTGGAGAAGGCGCGGTGCAGCCCTCCAATTGGCGAAGTTTTACTCAGCACGGCTTTGACAAGCCGGCGAAGCCTATTGCAAACGGAGCAATGCGGACGCACGGGTATAGCACCTCGATTGAGCATCATTCGAGACAGCCATACGCATTCTGAAGCCACATTGTGCCGCTCCGAGACTTGTTTGTATTTTGCGTCCTGCGGACGCGTTCTTTCTTTACTCCGGCCACTCCTTTTCATCCGTATACGCGTAATAGAGTCAAGAATTTTACTGGTCAACAGAGTGTGAGATACGTGAGCCCAACTCGACTTTTGAACCCGACCCATGCCGAAGCGTAAACGCGCCTCGAGCCCTGGAGCAAGCTTGACCAAGAGACCGCGAAGGTCTGATGAAGAAGATGAAGACGGTCATGGTACAGCGAGCTCTGCGGCACTGGGCATGCCAGAGTCCAGATCAACGCGTCGAAAAACCATGGACACGTCAGTCACACCAGCGAAGAGAATGCGGGTAGAGGAGGATGTGGATGTGAATTCTGTAATACGCGTCGAGCATGCGTCTGTCAAGAAACAGTACGGTCGTAGTGCCAGAAACTTGCGCGAGCAGGTGGCGAATCGCGGCAGGGCTAAATCAGAAGATAAAGAACAAGAGGAAGAGGAGGAAGGAAAGAAGGATACGCGTCGTACGAACGCTCAAGCTGCTACACCGTCCAAACACGTTGGTCGACGAGGGAGACCATCCGTCGCCAGTGCGAAATCTGGTGCTGAGGAGGAGGAGCAGACGCAGAAGGAACAGATAGAAGAGATATCGCTCCCCAGGAATCCTGCTGGACGAACGCCGGTGCTAACGATTCCCGCATTATCCAGTACTAGCGCGTCAACTGGTAGAAAATCGCGACGTGGGACATGGTATTACGAGCCAGTTGAGACAGATGAAGAAAAGGAGACGCCATTGCCGACCAAACGGTCGTCTGCATTGCGCAAGTCTGAAGCGAGCGCCGATGCAGGGTCAAACTCTCGAAAGGGTCAAAATTCCAGCCAGGGAATCGATGTATTCGAGAGATCTTCGTCCCGGAACGATCAAGAGACTCCACGCAAAGCAATGGACGACATGAGGCGACGCACGCGCTCTCTTGCTTCTTCTGCACCTCCTAGTGACGACGAAGAAGAGACAAAGTCCCCGACAAAGAATGTCAAATCTGTCCGAAGACAGCCCTCCACCTTTACAACTCCGAAGCGCTCTTCCCGTCTATCCAGTGCTGCTTCTTCATCTGAAGCATCCAGTCCAGAAGAAGATAACTCGCAAGCCATACGTCGTCCTACAAGGCCGAGAAAGGGGCGTCAGTCGTATAATGCCAAAGTCCGAAGAGCACCTAGTCTGGATTTGCGGAGCGAGACATCGTCCGTTGTAGCTTCGGAGGACGCAGTCGCAAAGCATATGTACAGAAATGTGCCGGATACGGATACGGAGTACAGTAGCACCGAGGCCAATCTCACCCCGGCTTCGGTGAAAGCCTTTACACGCTCTTCGCCGCCAGTGATGGACCAGGGTAGTGATGAGGAGATGGAGGTGGACGAGGACCGCAAAATAGTCCTCGATGAATCGATCCTTCCACTACAATCAGCCAGCCCAAGCAAGCATCCACTTGCCAAAACACTACCAGAGAACTTTCACCGATTTGTGCAGCCCCAGAAGATGGCGGTTCTACAAAAGTTGCACACGCCGGCGTACATCGAGGTGGCACCCGTGGCGAATGGGGACCGGGCGATTGTTGAAGCGCCTCCGTTGCAGCAGCTTGAAGAGCTGTTGAAAGGAACCTGTGAGCGAGGTGAAGGGAACAGCTGTTTGTTGTTAGGACCACGAGGAAGTGGCAAGACACTAGTACGTAATTCGAGCACAGCAAAGCTTGACACTAGACTTATCACAACAGCTTCTAAATACCGCACTCAATGCCTGTACCAACAATCCTATCGTTGTGCGCCTTTCCGGTTACACTCAAACGACTGACCGGCTCGCCATGCAAGAGATAGCCTACCAACTGAACCACCAAACGGACTCGGTCTTTAGTATTCCTGAAGAAGACCGCGAAGAAGGAGAGGCACCAGAGAATGACGAAATTGACTTTACGCCACCAGCGGCCTATCTCCCTACCCTTGTTTCTCAACTTACGACGTTGAAACGACCTGTAGTCGTTGTCCTCGATGCATTCGACCTCTTTATTTCACACCCTCGACAAGCGTTGCTCTATTGCTTGCTAGATACGGCCCAGGCATGCCGTGCGGGTGAAGGCAGGAATGGATTGCTCATCATCGGGCTATCATGTGTAGTCAACTGCCTCAACAACCTGGAAAAGCGCGTCAAGTCGCGTTTTTCGCATCGAATTCTCAAAGTGTGTAATCCCTCAACATTGGCGGAGTACCTAGAGATTGCGAAAACGCTTCTAAGTGTATCCCTCACGCACGAGAGCGTCGAGTGCACGGCCAAGGATTTGGCAAAGTGGAACTTGCACTGGCGCAAATGCGTTGAAGTAGGCCTCCTTACATGTTAAGTCCTCAGTATTGATTTTGGTCTAGGAGTTTGTTGGCAGTTCGACCACGAAAAGGGCGTTTGTAGAACGATACGCCTTTAGGCGGGATATTGGACACCTTTGTCGACTGTTGGTGAGCGGTTCATTCCACTACGTCAATTTCGAGCCTTACGAGTTGCAGACATCCGTCGTACAAGAGCTGAGCACGGACAGTCCATGGCTTTCCAACTCTCGCCTACTCTTCACGAGTGAATCCTCTGGGCTTCCAGAACAATTTAGCTTTATGAACCGTATGTCTGCACCGTTCTTGACATATTGCATCTCATAATATCGTGTCTAGGGCTACCGGATGCTGCGATGTGGGTCCTCGTCTCGCTCATCCATTGGGACACGGCAGGTCACGCGACTGTCAACCTTCGCATGGTACTAGACGCGTGCAACAAAGCGGCAATGTACCAGGACAGCATCCGCTTTGTCGTCTCCAACACTGGCGAAGCTCGCTCCGTCACGACGACGGCCGTCGCTCCTGCTCTCCTCCAAGCGGTAAGTAACATAGGCAATAATGAAAAATTTACTGATCCCGTCGCTGTTCAGGCATACGAGGACTTGATTTCGACTCGCGTTCTCCAGCCCTCCGCCTCGTCGGCGAACCAACGTTTCGAGTTTGTCAAGTACAAGCCCATGATCGACCGTGAGACATTGAAACGAGTCGTCGAAAAGAATGGGAACACTGCAGTCAAAAACTGGCTCAAGAATGCAAGCGTCTTGAACGGATGAGTAGCGACACTTTTTTTTTTTTAGATATATGTCAATTTATAACCTTGTATCTCTAATCTTACTGTATAGATGTATCGCACGAATAGAGAGTTGATATTACGACGAAAGGAATAACGACAAGACGAGGTTGCTGCTAGACATCTACAAGTACACAAGAAATCGGATAAACATCTAAGACACGAGTGTCCGTGTGCGGAGACTCCGCACTCTATACCAAGAAACGGTCTGGTTACAAATGGCAAACAAAGAAGAGAAAAGGGGGGAAAATTGGAAACGAGGTCGAATCGTTTTCATCGTCGTAACTTGCTGAGCTTCCTACCCATCCGTTCGAATGGATTAGGGAATAAAGACGTAGACTGGGCGGGCATAGTATACTGTGGATAGGCCGGGATCTCGGGGTCGGGGATCGTCGGTGGAGGTGCCCAATCCGCACGGTCGCGCGAGCGTGAGCGACGGCGGAGTTTGGCACCCCCCTCGGAAATGGCGCGCGGGCGACGGAGGCATACGGGTGTCGAGACGGGCATATCTTCTTCTAGTTCAACATGGGTGGCGGGCATACGGGTGTTGCGGCCTAGGATCCGGGCGCGCGATTGTTCTTCGGCGGCGGCAAGCGCCTTTGTCTTTGCGGCATAATTCTAGAGATGAGCAGTCAGAGGTGACACTGGTTGGGAAGGATTCGGAGCGTACCTCGCGATACTCGGGAAATTTGGGAGTACCATCCTCGTGTACATAACGCTTATAAACATCCTAGGCACAGTCAGCTACGAGGTCCAATTTTACTTTTAAAGACTCACTTGAGGAATAAGTTCTGGGTGATTGACAGCATCATAACGACCCTCATCAACCCATTTACCACCAAACGGATCGGGCACCGTAATCAACCCACTCCGCCTTCGACGATCAGGAACATCGGATTCTTGAAGCCAAGGAATCTGCTTGGGTCCACGGACGACAGAATCCGTGCTATTGCTTCTCCTCCGGATCCGCCTTCGCCCACCGGCAGCCTGCGAAGGCTTGTCGACGCCATCATCATCCGGCACCGCAAACTTGATCCTCTTCGACGACTCGTTCCGCCCAAACGTGTCGTCGTCGCCCGTCTGCAAGATGGGACGGAGGTGAAGGTTTGGAAGGGAGATGGAGGGCAGTGGGTAGAGGATATCCTCATCCTCAGAGTCGACACGGGCAGCATAGATGGAGTTTCTATGTCCATTCAACGAACGCGAGGAACGACGTGACGGTGGTGCCTCTGGATAAGGTGCCCATTTGCTCGGATCATCGTCATCGCTGCTGTAATAGTCTGGGTTGACAAACGACGGTTCTGGTGGCGCAAACGTCCTCTGATTGCGAAGAGGCGTTGAAGGCGGTGGGTCCGACCGTGTGTGGACATGGTATGGTCTGGGAGGACCTTGCGGCTCATGAGCAGGTGCATACTGAGGGAAAGGAATAGGAGCCTGAGGTGCCTGAGGCAGCTGAGACGCGCGTCGAGAGGGAGGTTGCTGAGCGGAGGTGCTTTGGACGATGACCGGTTGAACCTGCGGCGGTTGCGCAAGCGGCGTTGGAACAGTCAGCGTGCGAGGATACCTATTACGCGTAGGAGGTGGGATTTTGGGCACCTTGAACGGACCCGGCGTCCCCGTGACAGACGGCGATGGGACAGGCGCGTCGGTCAACGAGACACGAGGGAGATGCGAGTAGCGCATCGGTTGGCTCGGACCGGCCATTTCTCGATTAGGCGCAGGCACGGGAAGGGACTGATGCTTTGGGACTGGCGCCACAGCGGGCTCCGCGATAGGCACCATGGTTATCGTCGGTCCGTCCGAGTCGAGCGTCATTTGCTCTTGCGAGGGGGTGGAATTGAGCGTGGTCGAAGAGGCAATGGAAGAATTGGTCGACCTTCGAGAGGACGGGGCCGCAACGGGGGGTTCAGGCATCATTACAACTTGTGGGGCTACGGGCACACTCGCCATAGAGTCCAGTCCAAAGTCACTTGTGACATTGACGACGCGTAGCGGGGGTCTCTCGCCGAGGTCTTCCAACGCGTCGGCGGGGAAGATGATGAGGGGTTGGAGGGGCATGGGCGCTGGACGATGACGGGCTGGGGATGGTGGTACAATGTCGATGGCTGGTAGTTCTACCTCTGTATTAGCGGCCTGCTCCTGCGAGACAACGGCAGGGCAGACTCTGTCTTGTACGCTTGATGGAGATTGTTTGAGGAAATGGTGCGTGCCAGAATCTCAGCGCGCTCATTAACATGAGCAGTCGGCTCGGGCGTTGTCGGTTTGGATGGCATGAGGGTGGCAGCGGGCATAACTGAGCGGTCGATAGATACAGCAGATGCAGATGGATGCTTGGATAATTCATGGGTATCAACAATGTCTTTGGGTGGTGGCGTTGGCGGCCGCTGGTCAGGCGATGGCGGACTCGTGATTGGTGAGCGTTCTGGCGGTGGACCAGCAGAAATGGGCGACGCAGGCGTGGGTGCAGAAACTGGCTTCCAGACGGGTCTGTTGGAGACGGTAGAAAGCTTGGAGGTACGCCTCGGAATGTCAATGGGCGCGAGTCGGGACGCTCTTGCGCCGGTAGTCGTTCGGACATTGACAGAGTTGCGGGGCGACATTGCAGAGTCTCGATGATCGGCTGGAGGCATCAGAGCGAGGTCAAGGCCGATTACAGGCGGCGACAGAACGGATGTAGTCGACACCGGTTTGGCCTGTAGACTCGTGCGTTGCGGGCGGGGCACCGCTTTGGCTGAACCAGGCAAAGGCAGAGGCGGCTTGCTTGCTGAGCGAGTAGCGGCTGCAAGTGGGAGTGGGATACGAACAGTAGATGCTGGAGAAAATATGCCATGGGCGACCTTGTCGTACTGGACAGAGGCGGGGGAACGATACTGCAAGAGTTGCATCGACGCTTGCTGGGCCGACATGGGTGTTGAAATATTTGAAAATTTGGAGATATGAGTTGAATGAGTATACACTTTAGCGTCGACTGGTTTCTTCACCAGGGCTTTGCTCGTCGGCGTCGGCAGCGGGACGAGTGGCAGGCTGGTTTCTGCTGGAGACTCGTCGTCGTCGTCAGAGCTGGTCGAAAGGGTTGAAATTGAATCCTGTTCAACGTCTGCAGGCGTCCTCCAAGGAATAAAGTCGGGCTCTGGCGACGCTGTGCGAGCTGGTGGAATCCAAAGTTGAAAGGAAGCCGGCGTCGCGGGTGGTTGCGCAGACTTTTGGAGAGCGTCTACCGTTGCTTTTGGAGTTTGGACTAGACGTGGATTTTGCTTGATGGTCGTCTGGAATCGGTCCAAAACACAGTGGTCAGCCGCTAATTTGCCAGCAGAAAATCGAGAAAATTAAGAAAAGGCCAAACATACATTAGGATGGGAAGTAATATGATTTTGAGCAGGAGATTGGACGTAAACGGGCCATCCAGCTGTTTGACGGGCGGGGGTAGAATAGGGGGAAAATGCCATTTTGGTGTACTGGAGAATGACTGGACGCTGATGCTGCTGGAATCGACAGGACAAACGCTGTCCTGCAGCAAAGACGGGATAAACACCTGGGAGCTTTTACGTGGTCGCGGGTCAAGATGTGTACAGCGCAGCCAATGTGACGGCCAAACCCGCAGATTCACAAAAGAGTACACGAATTGATTCGGGAATAGACAGAGAACACTGGGGATGAACAGAGCAGTGGCTATTCAGTTCTCATTGTTCCAGCGGCTACACGGCCAGCAGCACTAGAATCCCATTGGACATTTGGAGATTTGTTTGGGAAACGCGCTGGACGCGTGCATCTCGCCTCACCACCCGATTGATGGTCCTGGTCGCCAGAATTCCAGCATTCTCGACAGTCTCAGGGTTAACCCCTCCGGCTATTCCTTATGACGTCGAGTTGCAATCGAAAGAATAGATTCAGATCACAGAGGTTGTACATCTCAAATAAACTTGGACTGCCAGACGACGTCCGCATTCCTCGCAGCCTGGGCGCCTGCTTTGCCATAGACGGATGCAGTGACTATAGTAGATTAATAACAGCGCCAGCAATACAAAACGTATTACTTACTGTTCTTGAGTGAGCCTACCATTTGTACCCGTGCTGCAAAGTCCCTGGTTGCAATCGCTGGATCCATGACATTCTGCAGCCCACGGACAATCCCATCCCCGACCGCCTGCTTGTGCGTCGTGTCCCCAATCGCATTAAGTGCAGTTGTGAGCTTTTCAGAGAGTGTCCGCAGAGCCATTGCAGCCGATATCGCATCCGACTTGCTAAACTCAAAGATCATGTTGATCAGCCCGCCCACCAGCACAGGGACTTCATCTGAACATCGGTTGACTACAGTCCCCGGGAAATGCCTGTCCAGAATGCTCTACACAGTCGTCAGAATGGCCCATCGAGCCCCCGACGCAGTTCTCGTCCACTCACCAATGTAGTTCGATAGTCAATCCCATTCTCTGCCTTTCCATTCGCAATCCACACTCCAATCTGATCCATTCCAGTGTAGATATCCGCCCGGAGTTGTGCGGGCGTCGCTCCCTTGGAATCGCCAGCAGCTCCCTGGCCCGTCGTGTTGCCACTCGTAAACCCGTCGAGAAAACTCTTGAACATGTCCGTGTATGGAGATCAAATCCGATGAGGAAAAAGTCCACAATCTTTTATATCTCCAGGTTCCCAGTCGGCGTCTCCCAGCTAAGCAAGAGGCGCGCTGCAAACAAACCGGTCGATGTTGGTTGCCTCTCACGACTTTTTGTAAATCCGCCCACGTGTATGGAATCTCGGTCGCCTTCCCAGCCAAGTCCGCTCTGGCCTCGCGGTCACCACGCCCGAATATATTCAGTTCGCTCGAAAAGGGCTATCGTCTGGGGATCAAAACGGATAAATTAGGTATCTAATCTCGACAATTGGGGGTGTACAAATAAAGAAGAATGACGCAATGGTACAAGGTCAGAGTACAAAGACGAGGTCGGGCAATGCAACAGCAGGGCAAACAAAAATACTTGACAAGAGAAGGAAGAGGGCACCCGAACCTGCAATCATAAACTCGAGGCTTTCGAGTGCTGGAGCACCTGGCTCGCCTGCTTGTACACGGCACACTTTCGCAACTGGAGGCTGCCCCTCTGAGCAACCTTGTGTCGGTTCTGCTCCGATGAGCTGTTATCCATGCCTCGGAGCCACTGATACGCCAATTCGGGATCCCCACTTTGGTTCAGACGGACCCATTGCGTTGTCCGTCGAGCCACCCGTCGCGCGCGATCCTCAATGTCTTCCCAATGATTGTCAAACAGCTGGCACTGCTGTGAATACAGCACGACATTTGGGTGCATCTTGACAAGCATTCGCGCACGTGGATCCTGTGGGTTCGACACCGTCCGTGCCACCTCTTGCGTGTACTGATTCACGAGCTGGACAGGCACCTTTTCAAACGGTGGTGGGAGAACACGCTGTGTAAAGTCGGTGAGAAACTGGGAACGGAAAATGGCTTGCGCGACAGTGTTATTATCGTTGTTGGTCGGAGAGTCGGTGCGTCTGATCGCTTCAGTCGAACACGGCCTCTTGATAGGCTGTTGCTGCTGGTGGCATACTCCTCCTATTCCTCCACCACCGCCGGCCTGCGAGTAAGCGGAGCTACTGAGATGATCGACAGGGGCTCCAGCCGGTGTGGTAGCGGCATGTTCCAGACGAGCGCGGTGGTTCCGTGAGATCTCGTCTCCTACCGCACATCCTGTTCGGTCCAGACAGTCTCAGCCTCGACGCGTTCTGGAGGTGAGAGCAAGCATTACCTGGTTGCGAAAACGTCAACCCTGGTGGTTGGTTGAGCGACAAACGTCGCGCTTGCAAGATGATTTCCTCGTCTGAATCTACCCAAACAGTTTAGGTTTCGGGCCCTAGGACAGAAAGCCAGCCCACCAGTCGTATCCTCCTCGTCAACTGCGTGTCCTATTAGCAAAGAGTTTTGCGCAGAATACAGAGTAGAACACGTACAGATCACTTCGTCGGGCTCAAGCTCGACGACAAGAGCCTCGCGAACTTGGCCCTCTGCTTTCAGGCCGTTGTCGCGTGCTGAATGTGGGGAAGCTGTCGGGCTTCGACCTTGGAGGTTCATGTCCTTTGCTGACACCATGCTCGTGGGTAATGTTGGGAGAAATTCAGGAAATGTTTTTCGTCGATGACGCCTCCAGGTTCCAAGGTGAGGCAGGCCAGGTGTAAACCACACCTCGGTTTGGCCACCGGTCTCGGTTCCAGCCTAAAGTTCGGGAAGCATCTCTATGCATGTCCGATAAGCCTTGATAGGACACTGCAGTTTCATGAATACGCAAATACATTTATTGGCAGTCTACCGGTCATGAGATCTCTCTTTAGTGTCCGTCATATCTATGCCTTGGTCTTCTCCAACGGTGTATCACGGAGAAGATACCCTGGGTGAAGAATATTGAATATAAATGTGCAGAGCACGATCGGCATTCCATCGAGCAAGTTGAATAGGCTTTGGTTGGTGATGATCCGACCAGTCCACCCGTCCTGGAGTTCGACAGTCCTAGATCCGAGGTCAGCCTTGCACTGGGCAAGCACGATATTCTCACCTGTATCCGCCTCGGATCAAGAGGAAGATTGTATTGAGCACGAGCGCAAGTACCATGAGCTTGACGTTTCGTTCCAGAGTGGGACGCTCCAAGGTCGTCTGCTCATCCAGACGAGTATCGCTACTAGTGCTCCTCTTCAATGTCAACTTGCGCGTGGGCTTGTCGAGAAAGTATCGAACGAGAAAGTCGGCGCCCAGAATCACGTAGATGCCCAAGGCAACTGATGAGCGGTCAGCAATAGCCCAGTGACCGACGAAGAATGTGTACGTACTAATCTGCGTGACGATACCGTAGAGCATGATGTCTCCTCCAGGTTCTGGATCGCCGCCCGTCTCCGCAGCTTGACTGGCCCTTGCCCCTCCAATGGCTTGAATAACAAGACTGATAGTGTCCAGGGTAATGAAAATAATAAGATCTGCAGAAGAGCGTCAGCACTCTAGAGATATCAAGCACCCAGCGTCCTTACACCATGTCGGCGTCAACCAGCTATACCGATAGCCAAGACGGTCGATGATTCTCCCGAGAATAGTAAAGTTGGCAGCACTCATAAACGATGGGCTGATGATAGTGGTCGTGATTTGCATGAGGAAAGGGGTGAGCAGAGATGGGTTTTTCGAGCTCCATAGACGACCCGACCTAAACCCTGGGTGAGCTCTCATTCTCATTCAAAACGATAGACCGATGCGCACCATCCTAGGACCTCCCCGAGGCAACCAATGACCTAAAAAAGTCACATGAGAAACCTGCGCGTGTAGTCTCAAACAAGCGTACCATCGTGGGGATCATCCAGTAAACACGCCAGCGAAGAGCCTGAGCGAGGTGTATTATGCCCGACACCCCGAACAGTGCAACGAAGAGCCCACATATCCACATCGTCGGAACGTAGCCGTACGGCGTGCGTGGATACGGCATGGGAGGGATCATCGTTGTGTTGGTCGCCATGTCTCCAAAAGTCGTCTGTGGCACCAGATGTCGAGTTTGAGAGAGGAGTGGTGTCCCAAGATTGTCGAGCGTCGACTGGTTTTATGTTCATCTCGAAAGTCTGACGCGCAGTAAGCGATCGGCAAGGCCGCGGTCTCGCGGTCCCAGATCGGTAGAACGTGTGACGAGTGAATAGTTAGGTCCACAGAATATGGTCTTAGGTGCCGGTCTCGGTAGTCCGAGGCCTCGGGGTTGGGACTGCGGACGCTGCGTCAGGCCACAGCCTCGGTAGGCACCCATATTTGATACCCTGTTGACCCTTGATAGTTGACGAAAGACACCCAATAGAAGCGACCCCTCGAGTCTGCCCACGCCTTGTTCTGGTCGGAGCAATATTTGCATGGACCCTTTCATTATGCCCCTGGAATTCAGCGTCTTTGCCATCGAGTCTTCTTGTTACTCAACCATCCGCAACTTGGCTAGGCCTGGGTAGGCGGGTCAACACCGGGCCATGACGCAAGAATGGCTGGTTGCAGGACAGTCATTTCGGGAGTATAGTAGCAGGATTTATAACTGACCCACAGCCTGTGATGGCCGCAACCAATCCAGACGTGGGCGTTGTTAGGATGAAGTGGCCAACTGCCAGCATGAACAAAGAGATTATGAGTCAGAGTTAATATCATTCGACGAGAGGAGGGGATGCTGGGATAGAAGCCTGGATTACTCACAGATCACGCCAACCTCCTGGTTTGATTAACCAGCCCATCCATACTATAAAAGTATTTCTCTCCCCGGCAACGCCCCTCTATCCCTAACATGTACCAAAACCATGTCAGTTGAAGAAACCAGCGTATCAGTCGATCTAGTATCCTGCATCGTCTGCAGAGAGGAAACAAACGCAATACCACCCGAGGCGCCGACACCCAATTGCACGCACCGTCCCGAAGTTGCATAGAATGTCTCCAGAAGACGGTAAAAGGCGCATTGGAACGAAATGTAATGGTGCTTTGCCCGAGTGTGTGTTGCCGAAGAGAGTTTACATACCAAGAGTTGAAGAAATGGGCAATAGATGAAGTCTTCGCTCAGTAAGGACCCTCATGCATAGCCCAATGATGGTTTAGGCTGACTTTCTAGACATGAGCGGGGTGTACTGCGTCGAACCTTGAGCGACAAATGATATTTATCCTCAACCAACCCTAGACCGTGCACCGATAGTCAAGTGTCACCATTGCGGCACTCAACAGTGCTTTCGTCACAACGTTCCATGGCACACCGACCAGACGTGCGAGCAATTCGACAGAGACGGCGGTCGGACCCTCTTCTATCACTTGCGTGAAGATGTCAAGAGCAAATGGTATATGAAAAAGCGAGTAAAGAGGTGTCCAGAATGTCGTAGACCCGTGAGTGTACTCATGTTACGAGGACCTATGGCTAAGATCCTAGATTATCAAAGAGGAGGGATGCGATCTCGTCGTATGTCGTTGTGGATGCAAATTGTGAGTATGAATCCATATTCTACTTGTTAAATCCACTAAGCGACGCAGCTGCTATCTTTGCGGAGTGTCCATGCATACCGTTTATGCGTCTGGGAATCACAGGCACAAGCGTAGATGTCTTCATTGGAGACCTAAACGTCGCCACGGAGATACCGGGCCCAGATGGTGGGAATTTTGGAAGGCAGGCTACTTGCGTCGGGCGCGGTGGGGTCCAAACAGTTACTAAACTGTGACCTTGCCTAGTCTTTATGTTACTCTCGTTTGCATCTGGCTGGTGGCCATTTACGGTCACAATCGTATCGCTTGCAGGTCCCTTCCTGTTCAAGCAGCTTCGCGCAGCCAGACGCGAGGAAGCCGCCGACGACGATGAGCCACGAAAGCGTTCAGGCCGACCGTTGATCTCGTTGCTCTTATTATTAAACTCTATCTATATATTGTATCATTTGCTGCTCGAACCACCCCCAAATCTCTTCACGTCGCTGCGTATTCCATTCACAACACCAGCCCCGACCATTCGCGCGCTTCTCTTGCAACGAACAGACCCACCAACAGACTTTTTGCCACCTCAAATGGAACTATTACTCACTAAACTTGCCTCTTTTGAAGTCCGGACGATGTATTCGAGGTGCGTTCAGCCATGCATCATCACCAGCCGAGACTCAACAGTTGCAGGTTTGGACATAATGTCATCATCGGATGCTCAGACTGTCAAAACTTTCTTCATTTTGGACTATATGCGCTCCCCTTGGCTCTGCTCGACTACCTTCGCAATATTTTCATCTACGGTATCGTCACACTGAGGGGGACGGGCCGTGAGCGTCTCCGTCTTTTGGGAACAGGTGCCCTCGTCACAGCTGCCGCGTTTGAGGCATGGTGGATCGCAACTGTCGACATCAAGGTCCCAAGGGATGGACTCGGCGTCACTATGGTGTGTCCGCTCTCCGCCTTGAAAATCCCGGCTTATCATGTGAATGTAGTGGCATGACCGACTCTTTCTAGTCCGTCAAGTGATTTTCCTAATCGTGCCTGCCCTCGCGCACAATCTCCCCGCTTCACCACAGAAGCCAATTTCACCGCTCTTCCTCCTATCAAGGACCGCGATGGAACTCGACCTGACGGAAGCCAAAGCCCGAACTCTTGACATGACACACACTGCAACCATGCGAGATCCCGAGCTGCGGCACAACGCGACCAATTGGTGGACCTGGCAGCAGCAAGAGGCCGAGTGGGGGCGACAAGACGAAAGATTAGAAGAAGAGGCGGAAAAGGTCGGGATGGGTATTCACTCTGGGGATGCGGAAGCGGGGACAGAGCCTGGAGTATTGCTCGCCAAAACACGCAAGGCGGTCAAGGATCTCTTAAAGATGGCATGGGGATGGGAGGATCCAGTAGAGTTTTCCGCTCCCGACACGTCGCAGGTACCATCATCCCCCGCGCGACCGACGTGACAGCCGACGCTCCTGTCACAGCGGTTAGTGTTCTTATAGTCTGGAATTAAGATTATCAATGACTCCTAATCGTCCACGTTTACTTTTACGTTTCACGGCTACCATCCAGCCAATCGTGGACGGGTCAGCGTCTACTGTCAAAGACCGACTCTTGGCCCCGCCCACGTCTGCGGAATTTGTCCGTGTCTGGAAAACGACGACATATAATCTGGTCGTCACTGGACCCAGCACAAGCAAGCGCCTTCTCCCACTAACCGCCGTTCTTGAAGCCTGCCTGCTAGCCACCATGTTGTTTAAGCGCAGGCAACAAACATTCCCACCCATCAATCCTGCACTCTTTCTCAACCAAACTCTGAGATCTCTGCACGACGCAAAGCTGCTCGAGGAGAAACGTGATGAAAACCCCGCAGCGGTGCAGCAGGCGTTTCGCATCTATGCGCAATTGATCCAGTACGTATAATCCAGTAGCTACTACAAGTCGCTTACTCTCATTCTCTATCGATAGTACCTTCCAGACCGTCTTCACCAATTCAGGACCACACGCACGGGGAAGGGTCAAGCCCGTAGACGACCCCCATATTCTCCGACAGCTCATACAAGTCGCGGAAGACGTCAAGAGCAACTATGATCGTCTACACGAGGATAGTATGAGCGCTGCCATCAGCGTCCGCTCTACATACTATCCCTCGCCGGCATATCCTGCACACATCAAGGGAATGACAAACTGGTTAGAAGAACTCGCTTTTGCTGCAGAGATACAATTGGAGCTTGAAGGCAAGGGCAAGGGTCCTGCCGCTGAACCCGCTCCTCAAATTGTCGAAGTCGGTGCGGACGAATGCCAAGTCTGTGGAGAGTCGTTTGGGACTGAAAACGTTATCCGTCCAACGAGGCTGCCCACTACAAAATGCGAGCACGTCACAGTCGACATTTGCAAGAGCTGCCTCGCTTCAACCATTGCAGCTCATATGGAAGACCGCGGCGTTGCCATCCCAGTATTGTGTCCGTATAGTGGCTGCCCATGCACGTTGACCAAGGATGACATCAAAGAGGCGGCTACCAGTGATGTGTATGCTCGATGGGATATGCTCTCCCTTAGAGAAATGATGCGCTCGGACCAGGGTCTCTTTGTGTGGTGCCAGAATCCTGCGTGTTTTAGCGGCCAACTGCACCCAGAAGGCGCATCGCAGCCGATTGTGACCTGTGTGCGCTGCTCGGTTCAGACTTGCTTCAACCACTGTATCGTCTACCACGAGGGAAAGACATGCGCACAGTACGACAAATCACGTCCTCTCAAAGACGTGATCAACAGAGCTGCCAATAGGGCGACAATCTGGTGGAAGACGAGAAGCTGCCCGGGTTGCTTCCAGCCAATCTCAAAGAATGGTACGCCTCTAGGTGCCTTTCTGACAACCTTGCTTACCGTCTGCAGGTGGCTGCCGCCATATGCGATGCCGCTGTGGCTACAACTTGTGAGTTTGAAGCCACAGCATATTCCTCAACTTACGCATCTTCTAGTACCTGGTGGTATGCGCCCATTCATTGGCGTCGCTTTACACCATTTATCAAGGCTCGCGCTCCTGGGCTCTGAGCCGTGACTTTTGCCAGTACTATACGTTCTCTCGGACTCCATCTCTATTCGAATCTAGTGCTGTGTATGTTTTTCATTCCGGTTTGTATCATGGTCACTATACCGTCGCTCCTTGATTTGTTTGCCTATCGTACACACTCACTCCGCCTGGTACCCTGCATTATGCCCACCTCTCTCCTTTAGATATGTAAAGTAGAATCTCAATGGACGATGACTTAGAAGCAAATTCTATCACCCAAAGTATATCTGCAAGACTACACGAGGGATATTGAGGCCAGCGAGGGATATGATAAAGAATCCGAGAGCCGGGAGGAGTGGAAGCAGTACGATATTTGTCCTGCGAACAAATGGAAGGGCTGATGGTTGTCAGTTCGAAAATTTGCATGCAATACGACGCCATACCACTAAGCCCTAAATACACAATATAAAGATACTGAACTACGCTATCGAAAAGTAAGACTCCAGATAGGAACAAGAGGCTTCGCTCACCCAAAAAGGTAGAGGAGATTGCCCACGAGTAACGAGGGGAATTTCGGACCAGTTACAATAGGCAGAAGAAAGAGCTGTAGGATATAAAGCCATGAGATGATCGCAAAGAAACCATTGCAATGCAGGTCGATAGCGTACGCCCATTCCACCTTCTCGTTTCCAGTCGACATAAAGGCATTCGCAAGCAGCCTGAACGAAAATTAAGTCATGATCGCACGTAACTTTATGCACGGACCAGATCATAGTGGCAGAGAGAGAGCAGCCACTAGTAAAAAGTCTCGAAGGAGCATTTTGAAGCAGAGAAGGATTGTAGACCAGACGCCCGTCGCTCTGATTATAGACCAAGATAATGCAGAGACTATAGTTGAGATGTCAAAATTGCCCAGCATAATATGAACTGCCTACGGGTAATGAGAGACGCCATGAGCACAAAAATGGCTGGATCATCTCGAGCCCATGTATTCTTAGTTTCTAGAGAAGGATTAAATGCTTGCTAGTACGATGTATAGATCATTACGCTTGTTGTAGAACACATTGCGATAGCTATTACGAGTCAGTCAAGAGCGATGATAAACTAACCTAGCACCGACACCTGACGTGGCATTACGAGCAGCGTTCCCAATTCCCAAATGGCATGCTCAAAGTCCTGAATGTATGTGAGCTCCTTGTCAGTAACGCTCGTCAGAACACACCATGTGCGATACACGAAAACGTCGCTTGAATAACGCATGCCTACTTGTCCGCAAAAGACTGGGTCCTGGTAATTCGGCCATGATTTAGGCAGGTGGTTGGATCCAACATCGAATACGCCCTTGACTCCTGCCATATTTTTGGCTGCGAGTCCATCAGAGTCTACTGCTATGGAGAACGCACTAGAAGTCGCAGATTGGGGAGATGATGATGATTTACCTCAAGCTACCGAAGAAAGCACTGCTGGTGGTGCAGACGCTGATGCTCTTTCCCTCGCTAGCGACGACAACGACCTCGAGGCACTCAAAAAGTATCATAATCAGACCTGGAATGACGGTCAACAAACACAGGAGCCTCCAGCTTCGGGCTCGGCCTCCCAGATGCTCGTAGAGTCTCAACCAGAGCCAACGGAACGCGCACCCTCGCCAAAGGACCCGCCAGTAACGCAAAAGCCACAAAAGATCGAGGAATTACCTTTACACCCTACTTTACCCCCTAAACCGGTCGCAACCGTCTTTACATCGATGCCTGTGCTGACCGTTTCCGCGGAGGCCATGGCACCACCAAGGGCTCATGCAAGAGCTAATAATGAAGGAAGAGAGCCGGTAGAGTATTACCTGAAGGATGGGAGGAGCGAAAGTCGAGCAAAGGCGAGACTTATTACTGCGAAATACGGTCAGGGAAGACACAGTGGGAGCATCCTGCCAAAAGTATGCGCAGCTCCCGTCGTGACTCCCGCGAGAGAGAGAGCAAGCGAGGAGGTCGTGAAGACGCGCCCAGACGTTCGAGATCGAGGGAACGACGATCAACCAGGAGATCCACATCTCCACGGCCACAGGGCAATTACCGGGCTCGTTCGCCCCCAGGTGATCCATACAGGCCGATGAGGGATCGCTCCCCAAGGGGGGACTTTTCTCGAGCACCTAAGGATCAACCTCTAAGCAGCCGACGACCATCATCCAGAGAGCGACCGCCTTCACCAAGATCTAGCAGGCGCCCGGGAGATTCTCGAGCACGCTCCCCTGGTGATCCTAGGGACAGAAACGATCGCGAAGCGCATCGTGAGCGCCGTCCAGAGCCACAGTCATCCAGTACGTTGTTCATGAAACGCCCTGTCGCCTCTTTCCCTTTTCGATTATGGCCCCCGAGTCGGATTCGAATCCTTGGTTATGAGTGCACTCGCTCGACATTGCACGGATAACCAAATTAGACTGCTTTTCATTATCCTTCCTACCTCTCCTCCTTGCTCGATATGTTCCTCATGGCGAATCTTTCCTCTCCCTAGGGCATCGACCACCTTCACCTCGAGCACGGAGCTTGGAACGATACGACCGTGGCGGTCCGCGCATGGGCAACGGACGAACGGGAATGGTCATTGACAGTTCCGATCCCCCTCCACCCCAAGGAACGAGGTTTGTCCCCCGTTCGTCTTGAAGGTCAAGCCTCCTAATGGACGTAAATTAGGCGTCCAAGATCTCCAGATCGTCAAGAGACCGGCGACGTGAAACGCAGACGTTTGGATCTCCCTCCGACGACTCCAGGATCGGACAATTATAGACCAGATCCCCAAAGATCGACCAGAATGGACATAGATGATACTGGACGCCGCGATGATTCGAGTACGTTCACTTTCCTGTTCTCGTAGGACCCGGCTAACGTACCCCTCACAGGGCGACTAACAAGCAACAGGAATGAACCCTCGCGCCGTGAGCGCTCTCCCCCGGTACAATCTTTGCGGCATCGGGACGACCAGATTCGTGGTTTGTTGCAGCTGCTCTATCAATGGACCTACAATAATAACTTTGATCAGTGGAGATACGCCACGAGGTTACCCCAGCTCGTTCTCAAGCTCCGTCTTCTGTTATCGACCCTCCTCCGACGAATGCGCCCATTCGCTCAAGAGCGCCCCTGCCTCCGCAAGATCAAGTGATGCGTGACCAAATGCGTCATGGTAGGCCACCGCAAGGGAGTGACGGCAATAATAACTCCAACCGAGCTGAGCGTGCGCCCATCGCACCTAAAGCAGATCGTAGTCGTGGCTCTGGTGTGCATAGACAAGAGACTGACGACCGACCACCCCCGCGGAGCGAACATCCCAATACTAGGTCGGATGTGTCATCTGGAGGCGGCAATCACCGTTCCAAGGAGAGAGGACCAGAGTCTAGTCACAACGATCGATTCTCCAATGGAGTATGCTCTCTTTCACCGTTTACAAAACCTTGTTAACGCAGAACAAGGGACCGCCAGCTGGAGAGTCCTCACGAGGCCGTGGGCGTCATTTTGCGACCTCTGGAAGCAACAATATACCCATTATGCATCCAAAGGGCAACTTTGGCATGGGCAGAGGAGAAACTGGGGGACAAGCGAATGTGCGTTCGTTTTAAGTGATTGCTTGCTCCGAATAACTTTTTCAGGTTACGAACAACAACGAAAAGGTTGCTCCACTAGTTTCAGAACCATCACAGGTATGCGACAACCAATCGAGGCAAACAACTACTTATGAAAAAAGCAGAACACATCGGACGACAAAGGGCGGACCAGGACGGTAGGATCGCGCCCTACTTTGCTCCCCATGTTCTAAACTTTCCTCAGTCACGATTCGGGCCTTCTGCTCCTAACCGTGACGAGGCTCCCCGTGATAAAGATCGTAGCTTGGGAGAGAATATGGTACAGATTGCGATAGACGTTACAACCTCAAAACCCACCCTACCAGACGCACTTGTTCAACGCGATCCTCCTCCACATCTCGACACTGGCGTCGCACCACTGGCGCGACAGACACTTCGAATTGAAGCAATTGGGCCTCCAGCAGATGGCGGGCCGTCTGAATTACCTTATGATACCCCGGCGATTCCTTCTATGGAGCCCCTGCGCATCTCGGACGAACCGGTGGATGATAGTCATGGTATGGTGGACAGTGCTTCTCCCCAGGAGAATGAAGGCGATTCTATGGGTGGACAGAGGAAAGGATCTTTGTTGGCTCGCTTGGGACCAGGGAGCGGCGGTGATAACGAAGTAGACGCGCATTCTGCAAGTCGAAAGAAGTCGGGTCGTGCAAAGAGGCCAGGTCGTGGAGGTCGTCGTTGACGTTTATTCGCTCGTGAATATATGCCTTCTTGTCTTTCCAGAGTCTAGAAGATTCTGAGCTGATCGCTAGTTCATTCTGACGGAGGCAGCTCCATCACTTGAACTCTACAAGATCTAACCACCGCCTTGACGAAAGCGTGTCAATTGCGGAAAGACTTGTCTGATCACATATAATACCTGAATTTCTGTCTGCTCGAACTATTTTGCTTGTCGACGACGCGCTCCTTCAACTCGTGCAATGGAACACCCACCGCAGGGCGGGATTATGCCTAGTAAGTGGTCGCCATCACCCGTCATAGGATTTCTTAATACATGTGCTTATGTTTATCCCAATTATAGCATGGCAAGCCATCCAGACTGCGTCAAATTTCAGGCAGCCTGCTCAAAAACCACGACCGTCCAACCAACAGCCGCCGCCAATGCAGCCTATAAGAGCAAATCCACCCGCATACGCGATCCAACCACTCAGCCATCGCGTTGTCATCCCAACGGAGACACAAGCCTTTCTTTCGTCGTATGCATCTCGAGTGCGCACCGGGTCGACCTTGCTGGTCCAACCAATCTCCTCTGCACCGCCACCAGCCGCCCTAGGCGCTGTAGGCGGTAGTAGTAGTGCCTATACACCAGCAGCCACTGGGTCAAGATCGTCACGGACGCGAGGAGGCGCAGTCAATTATGCTGAAGCGGGCTCCGGGGACGAGTTTGAAGAACGCCCTGAAAAGGTCGCTCCTACTGGTCCTGTGGACTCGGACGACTCGGATTTTCAGGCCAGTGGTGGCACGCGCACTACGATTCGAAAGATGGGCAGAGGCCCTGGATCAAGCGCCGTACAAAACGCAAAAATGGCAGCGACTATTACTCAGACCAAGGATCCAGCAGAAATTGAGAAGAGCCATCTAGGCTCAGTACCTCCCCTCCACGCGCTTCGACCTCAGCAAATTCATAATTGTAGGCTCGAGCACCAGTACGTTTCATTATGTTTCTGTGTATTCGTCCTCATCTGGGTCTCCTAGCTCCCTAGAAAAGCTTCAGGCTCAGGCCTCATTGCCAGTCGTCCTTATTCCGATTCGAATAGAATTGGACACGGATAGATACCGAATAAGAGATTGCTTCATGTGGAATCTCAACGGCATGTCGGCTCTATTCCGAAGAGAAGCATCTGACCCATCTGGTAGAATCCCTAATCACCCCTGCAAGCTTTGCACAGATCTTCTGCTATGATCTTGGACTTGAAGCTTACTACATGGAACAAGTGTCTAATCAGATCAGTGCACAGCTAGAAGAACACGGTGCAACAGCTGCCCTCGATCTTCCTGTTAACACTGAACGTGAAGGTGAAATCTTGCATGAAGATGATGCAGGGCCCGGCGACTGTCGTGTTGTACTACAAATCGACGTCCAGATTGGCACCAAGCACATGCTCGATCATATCGAATGGGACCTGCGGTCGCCGCTAACACCAGAGGAATATACCAGCGTGTTCTGTGCAGACGTGGGGCTCTCTTCGGAGGCCGTTCCAATGATTGCCCATGCTATTCATGAAGAGCTGCTCAAGCACAAGAAGGATGTCATAGAATGGGGCGTGCTCGAGGGAGGAGGAGAGTGGAAGTCTCACGCTGCAGGCCTGGGCAATGCCTGGGGAAGAAAAGGCAAAGGTCCGAAGAGAATGAAGGGTATCTGGAGAGACTGGGCAGAAATTGTTTCCGGTGACTATTCGCCGAGAATCGAAGAACTTACAGCGGAAGAACTGGAGAAGAAGGAACTGGAACGAGAAAGAGCAGCAAGGTACAATTTCGATCGACCATGCGTGCTAGGTGACTTACGACCATTTGCAGACGCTTGCGAAGAGAGACGAGCAAGTTTCAGGGGGTCAGTGGCTCGAGCAGGCGGCGTCGATAAACAAATTTGGACAGTTACAATCCAGACTTGTCAGCGGTGTCAGTATATTAGGCAGATATACGTGTACGTTGTTCAGACGGCGCGCAGGTACGTTGTCAACAACAACGAAAAAATAGCAATACGGAAAAAGAAGAAACTCGTCTATTTGTTCTTGCTGTCCATCTTCTTGCGGTATGCGTCCGCCATCTCCTTCTGAACGTGCGGCAAGACTGGTTGGTGTTCCTGCAAATGATTGAACGAATGTATGAACATTGACAAGGGTCTTACCTTGTACTCCATAGAGAACTCGCCTTTGCCCTGCGTTGCACCACGCAAGGCACTGGAATAACCAAACATGTCGTTAAGGCTGACATCCGCAATGAGAGTAAACTCGTCATCGCGGACCTCGGTGTCGATGATGGTGCCTCTCCGCTGATTTATACCACCGATAATGTTTCCTGGACAGAGGTGAGTACCATCGTCGACGCCATACGTGCAGAAGTATACCTTGGAACTCCACCGGAGCCGTGATTTCTACTGTCATGATAGGTTCAAGGATAACCGGAGATGCGTTTTTGTACGCTTCGCGGAAAGCTCCAATCGTCGCCAAACGGAAAGCAAGCTCAGACGAGTCGACTGCGTGGAAGGCACCATCCTCTAGCACAAGACGGACACCGCTGACAGGACAACCAGCCAGCGATCCCTTTTCCAAAGCCTCAAGGAAGCCCTACTACCAGTCAGCCTACAGAGCATGTAAAAGAACCCGCGCTTGCCTTTTCGACGGCCGGGATATAGTTGCTTGGAACGTTGCCGCTCATAACGAGATTTTCGAATACGACATCTTTGCCCGTTTCCGGGTCACGTGGTTCGGGCTCGATGCCTCCGATGACACGAGCAAACTGACCGGCACCTCCGGTCTGCTTCTTGTGCGTGTAGTTAAACTTGGCAGGACCCTGAATGGTTTCTCGGAAGGCGACCTGGGGTTTGCCAGTAACGCATGGAACACCATACTCTCGTTTCATCCGTTCTGCATAGATTTCAAGGTGAAGTTCGCCCATACCGGAGATGATAGTCTAGACATATGAGTGAAGCTTCGAAGAACTAGCTAGAGTGCATACCTCCTGCGATTCAGGGTCAACATGCACGCGGAATGTTGGATCTTCTTTTTTGAAACGATTCAATGCCTTTGAGAAGTTGGGTGTCTCGGTGCCGCTTTCCGGTTTGATGGACAGTGAAATGACGGGATCCGGTACAAACATGCTTGACATGGATAGCGATGATTGGCCGTCGGTGAATGTATCGCCAGACGCACATTCGATACCAAAGATGGCGCAAATCTCTCCAGGACCAATGGTTTCAATATCCTAAACACAATCAGAGTTTGTAAAAAGAAACTCTAGGCGTCCATACCTCCATATCGTCACTGTGCATACGCACTAGTCTCGGTACCTTGACACGTTTGCCAGTCTTTGCATGCCATATCCAACCGCCTTTCTTAATAGAGCCTTGATAGACGCGCATATACGTAAGTTGGCCATAGCGTCCTTCTTCAAGCTTGAATGCGAGCGCGACTAATGGTGCTTCCGCTGCAGGAACCAGATCGACGGCTTGCTCACCAGAAGGCTTTGAGAGGTCGAGCGCAGATGTAGCAGCATCCGAAGGTGTAGGAAGATAAGAACAAACACCGTCCAATAATGGCTGAACGGCTGTATTCTTGACGGCTGACCCCAAGAAGACTGGGGTAAACTTTCGTGCAATGGTGGCCCTTCGAATCGCCCCGACGAGCATTTCTGTCGTGATCTCACCGTCTTCGAGGAATGCATCACTAATAGTTTCGTCGACCTCTGCGAGCTGCTCGATGAGCTCAGCCCTCCGATCCTGTGCTTCTTGTAACACTGTGGCGGGGATCTCGTCTTCCTCGACAATTTCAACACTATGAAACAATGAGACAAGCCCAGAGGTGGCGATATTGCTTCACCCTTTGTGGCCTGAATTATAAATGGCTTTCCAGCGGACGAGGTCGACCACTCCTTTGAATTCATCTTCCGCACCGATAGGCACTTGTACCGCAGCCGCTGGCATACGAAGTTTCTGACGAATTTGTTGGATAACGCGCGCAGGATTCGCACCCGGTCTGCAGGACGTTAGAATAGTTCAGGTTTGTTTTATTTCCCACCTACCGATCCATTTTGTTGATAAAGGAGATGCGAGGAACATTATATCGTCTCATTTGACGATCCACGGTGATTGTTTGACTCTGAGCGAGCGTCAGAAATCTGCCTTGACACGGCGACCAAAAACCTTGCCTGAACACCGGAAACCGCACAGAGTACCAATATAGCCCCGTCGAGTACTCTCAAAGCACGTTCAACTTCGATAGTAAAGTCTACGTGACCTGGCGTGTCGATAATGTTGATGGAATACGACTCCTTCTCGCCAGAGATTGGGTTTTTTGTGTTCCAATCACAAAATGTTGCAGCACTTTGAATGGTGATGCCCTTTTCTCTTTCCAAGTCCATACTATCCATTTTTGCTCCAACATTGTCTTTTCCTCGGACCTGTACAACTTGTCAATACTTCAAATCCTCGATAGAATGAGGCGGCATACCTCGTGAATAGCATTTATACGACCAGTGTAGAATAATATCCGCTCCGTAAGTGTCGTTTTGCCAGAGTCGATGTGCGCCGACACGCCAATATTTCGCTGGCGGAAAAGTCTAGCCTGGTCCGCGTCGGAGAGTTGAGTCGCGGTTGTAGAGGCATAACGTTGTGAGAAGTGGTTTAAATGAGTGGTTTGTCGACACCAGGCGACATTTCGAATAACAAGACCAATTCGCATGGCTCCAGGTCTTCCGGCCCACTGACACCCAACACAAGGTTTTCTCAAAGACTATGCAAAGCCCACCGAAATACAGCACAGCAAGACTTTTTATTTATCTAGAGGGGTTTGCATTCCCGCTCCAGCCACGCCTTGGCTCGAAGGTCGTCCTCGTTCTTTCCACTCAACAACGGCCCTACTTTTGCGAGTACCTCCGCATGATATGCATTGACCCATTTAAGCTCCTCAGGGGTAAGTAGCGACTTGTCGATCAGTTTGCGATGAATGGGGCACTGGGAGGGCATGTTAATGAAACAAAACCCAAATGAGATTCAACCAACGTACCATCGTCACTCGCTCGAATCCGAGATAATCGACATCCCCAAATCGGTTGGGGGTGTCTACCTTCTTGACGACAACGATACTTTCAATGCGAATGCCAAACTTGCCATCTGCGTAATATCCAGGCTCTGTTCCTCCGTTAGTCAGGTATAAATGCAATGGATAGGTATACATGCCGTTCGAAAGCGTCATGCCTGGCTTGAGAGGGGTGTCATTATACGTGATTCTCTTTCCAATGCCCTGTGGGCCCTCATGAACGCAAAGGAAGTGGCCTGAATGCACTATAAGTACACTAATACGCATAGACCCCGAAACTTACCAACACCGTGCCCGGTTCCATGCCTAAACAGCGTGAGCACACCGAAATTCCGGTTATTTTGGTGCTTACCGATAGTCTAGAGATGTTTAGTCAGTATTCTTCGCCATGTGTAAGCACTCACCGAGCCCATCTTGCCATAGGGCGCGTCTTGCGAATGAGTCGCTGCAACATCCTTGAGCCCGGGTTCATAAACGGGATGAACCTTACATGATGAACCCCGAGGTACCTTCCGGTACGATAGTAGAGTCGATGCAAATGTGTCCCTGAAGAACTCGAGTGAAAGCTCGGATCTCCTCTGGCTTAGGTTCACCAAAGTGCTGACAGCTGTGAGTAGACAATCGAGCAGTTATACGCCCTAATTACCCAGGTCCGTGTAACGTCCGTGGTCCCGTCTTTGAACTGGGCGCCTGAATCACACAAGTAGATCTGATCTTGACGAATGGTCGCGCAGTCCTTTGGGTCAGGTTGGTAGTGGATGATCGCTGCGAACGATTTGGACGATATTCTTACACAATGGTGGATATTTACCTCCGTTGGGACCCGTAGAAGAAATTGTCGGAAAGGAAAGGCCCATAAACAGATCCAGTCGCCTGACTACATCAGTAGGGGTCCACCTTGCAAAGAAGACTACCTACTTCCTGTACTCTTCGAGTTTATCTGCCCCTTCACTTTCCGATATCTTCGCTCCTGACTGAAGTTGCTGTTCCAGCCAAGAAAAGTATCGAGCCTACAGAATCAGCACAGACCGAGAGAGAGCGAAGTGGTATCATCTTACTAGTGCAGCGCCGTCTCGAATATGAGACTGGCGGAATCCTTCGACCTCAATTTCATTCTTGAGAGACTTTAGGTCCGTCGCGGGTTGCCGATCCACGATGACCTTGTCCTGGTACCCGATTAGAAACAACCAGTAAAAATAACGCTATATCATACTTTCCCAACTGCATTGACAACGGCCAGGCTTGTCTTGCCACCGACAAGGATTTTCTGGAAGATATGCTTAGGGTCCGTCATAGCTGATAGTCACACTCACGTCTTCATCCTTGGCTGCCAATGGTGATACCTGAAGTGATTCAATTATTGACTCGTAAGGCTTGATCTCAATCTTGTCGGCTTCCAGTGCGGCCAGTGCATCTTTGTTCAACTTCTCCTTTGCGATGTACAGGGTCGCGCTCGACGGCGTAATAGTTGCATACGCAAAGAAGACTTGATATCATTAGTGTGATCGGATAGAGATGTAGAGGAAAGTTACCAGGATTGAAAGGGATGTCGGAGCCACGAAGGTTGAAGAGCCATGCCACTTCATCCAATTGAGAGATTATGGTAGCGGTTGCCTTTTTCTTGTCGAGTTCTTTCCTGAAGAGGGTAAGCTCAAGTGTTACTATGCTACCGGATCGACTCACCGAATATTGGCTAGTTTATCCTTGGTAGATTGTCCCGAATACTTTTCTTCAAGTAGAAATACTTCATTTGCTGGGCGTGGTGGTCTATCTTTGCCCCAAACTTCATCCACAAGGTTGCCCGTCGGGACAAGTTCAGATTCTCGGTCCTTGAGATCCTTTTCGAGGGCTTTGGCATCACCTACCAGCACAAGGTCAGATGATCGACGAGGAAAGGCCTGCTCGCACCGATTGAAATCAGTGTCGGGTCAAAACCAATGCGCGACTTTGGAGGAAGATGCTACAGACGGTGAGCCATGTGCAACACCATAGGTTCAGGCGCTTACCTTTGTGAGGTATTCTTGCCATGTGGGTACGTCTGCTCGTTACGTGAGAGTTTGTCCCGAACTGGGAACAATACTTACCGGGAAGGCCCTGCTTCATCAACTTCCAATTGCTAGAGGGTACTCAGTAAGCCCGCTTGATTAAGAGTAAACCACTAACTCGTCCATCTGCTGCCGTGCTTGCAAAAAGTATCGCCCGTCCTACTGATGGGTGAGCGCGAGTTGACCTGAGATAATCAGTGCGTACAGTGAAGAGCATTGCTGAGTCCTGGAGGACGATCGCGGTCCCTAGTTATGATCAATTCAAGATTCAATGCTCTGCATCTTGCATAGCGCACCTGCAGAACCTGTAAAGCCTGAAATGAACGGCCTACGCTCGTCGCAAGCCGCAAGGTACTCTGAACCGTGCTGATCCTCGCTTGGAACAACACTTCAGGTGTTTAAATGCCCCATGCACGCGTATGACGAGATGAGCGTACTCACTATGCGTCCACATTCGCCTCCTGTTTCATCAACGCTCGCAGAGCCGTCAATCGTGCGGTCGTGTTTGTAGAACCTGTAAGTTCGCCGCCACCCATAGTTGCAAGATTTCGCCTGACGAGGAGAGAGGTAGAGATGCGTCGAAGGGACCGTAGCATGTGGGCCGCAAACTTGGATCCGCTCGCGACAGCCTCAACAAAACTACGCGGCGATTAGTATACCAAGAATACTTGAAATAATCAACACTCCGCATACACTCGTTTCCTCGTGTATAGGTACAGGCAAACTGCCTTCGACGTGGCCAGGTAAGACTTTGGCTCTGCATTTGGCGGCCGCAGATTCTGATGCTACCCGAAGATGATTACTGAACGCGGTCTTACTGCTATCTGCAATGGTCTTGGAGGACTGGCAATGTTACTCGTCATCCTATACCACTTCCTTGCTGTCAACGCCAAAAGGATGGAAGATGCTCCAAACTCGCAAACTCAGCAATGATTATCCCTAGGTACATAATGATATCTGATCCTGACTCATCTAACCGTGTCTCAAGCCTATCTCCGCAGTGTTATATAGCCACGCTACTTGATTTATTCGACAACTCGAGTTCAGATTGTCAAGAGGTACAAGTCATTGCTTCTAAGCGGCCAAAATAACATGGGCACATCATGCAGAGTGCATCTTGGTAAATTATTTGCGCTTCCTGTCACGCTTGCGATGTCCGGGTTTGAGCGCAGGAGGTTTCAACTGAAGATTGGATGTAAGCGACATTCCGTTAACCGCGGGAGGATTTCTTTCTACTTGTTCAAGTGCAGACCTTCGTTCAGGACGTGCGCCCGCAAACGACGGTGGAACTGCGATAGACCCTGTTCAACGAGTCAACCTTGATATTTCCAACTAGGAAGAACTTGCCTGTTGAGATCCTGATCGTTCCGTCACGAGTTGGCGTATTCTGCGCACGCACAAATGGCGGAGGCACCTCATGACTGGGCGATCTAGTGTGAGGCTCAGGTTGAGCGTGATTACATGTATGTCGGGCAAGAGGATCCCTGTTCGGCGTAAGGAACGAAGGATCGAATATCACCATGCCCCGTACCAAGCAGGATCGAATTCTCCTCCAGGCTCCATCTTGCTGCGGAAACAAAGCAAGCAACCAATTTCATGCTGCAGATTTCTCCTATGTTCTCGTAGATTCCCCACTTCCCCAAGTAAGATTGTGACTTCGTGATTGAGAGCGCCAGAGAACTCTTGGAGATACTAACAATGGTGAATAGGGCAGAGCGTATTCTATCAATGTCACTTGCATCGTGGACGTTGACCTCCACCCGCTTCGAGGACGCACGCTCAAACTCTGTCAAGAGTTTTGACGTCTGAGTCATATTCTGTGCAGCGGTGTCTACGAGCATTCAGAGTCGATGACAATAGCTCATCGTAAGCGCACCTCTCATCAAATCTTGGATCATCCTTTTCTGCAGTTCGTTCTGTTCCCGAAGGTTCTGAATGCTCCGATAGATATCTAGTCTAGATTGAGACTTTGTGAGTATAGTCATATCAGACAGACCTTCTTGCTCTTCAAGGACCGCTCGCCTGTCGGCTCGCCGCTTCTGTGCGTCATGATGACCATTGACAAGCGTTTCCATTGTACTAAGATGTCTGCGTCTAATCGTCGAGAGGAATCCCAGTAGAGCGCGTCCATTATGTCTTCTCGGTCTCTCTGCTCCTCTCGCGTTTGGCGTGCACCACGACAAGTATCCATTTGCACGTCTATATCATTTATTTTGACCTTGATGGATTTTGTTGAGGTCTTTAAAGCGTTAAATGAAGCCTGATGTGCCATCTCCTTTGCCTCTCTTTCTTGGCGGAGTTCATCGATAGATCTCTTGGTAGCTTCGATCTCCAGCTCCAACTCGCGTGCCCTCACCCGTTCTCGCTCGAGTTCTGCACGATGAGCTTCGCACTCCGCAGCGGCTCGTTGTCTTTCGCGTTTGTCGTCCTGCATCAGCTGTATAAGATTTTGTAGTTCTTGATTATTTGTTAAATGATCGACCAGGACTGATCCTGAAGCTTGCTGATTCTTTCCCGGCGTAGGTGTCGTGCGAGACTCAGGAGGCCATTCAATGATTGGACTTTTAAACGAACGCGATGGCCCAACCTTGGAGTTATTTGTTACCCCGACTGCGAGACTATCGGTTTGAGGCGGTCTGGCCAGTCTCGGTTGACTGCTGGGTACTCTCCTAGCCACCTGGTTCTGATGAGTCGTCGGCGTTCGGGGGTCATTCACCTCCAGGCGACTTCGTACATCCAAACTTTCAGAGGTGCTCGTTGGCAACAAATTGGCGCGATCATGAGATTGTGCAAGCCCTGATGTGCTATATGCGCCAGGGTGTTGATCTTGGGGAATGTTTCGTGCTGAGGGTGATGGATGATGTTGAACTTCGCCGTTTGTAACCGGAAGACTCGCAATGGGAATGGCGATTCGGGGAGCAACCTTTTCACTGGCTGCCACAGTTGAACCGTGATCTCGGGAAGAAGAGCGAGCTCGATGTAGAGAGGTATCCCCACCTTCTGTCTTGTGCATCAGTCTCGGTACATTTCCTCCTTGAGCAGTGACTGGAGGACTCAGAGCCGTGGGAGACTGTGCTGGCCTTGGAGATGGTTCTACATACTCCATGAGCTCGGGAGCTGACCTTGTGGAACTTCTGATAATGATGCTGTGCGGCTGATCCATACGTCTGACTCCTGCAAACGTAGTGCGCGGCAGAGTATGCGAATGGATCGTAGGTACCAGTCCGGAAGGGATAACCTCTGCAGGGGTCTGTTGACTAGGTTGGGTCGTTGTGTTTGCGTATTCCTTTTGGTCAGGACATGGAGCGCGATTTGAAGACCTTCTAACCCCCCTGTCAGTCGATGGAGACACTCGCGTGATGGCTGGTTCCGGCTGTTCGACTCTATCCACACGATGCGAGCGCATGGATGATGCGTAGGGAAGATGTGGGTTATCTCGTAATGATGCAGGAGAAGGGATTATTGGCGCATTGTGATGAAGATATATGGGTGAGTTCAGGAGGCTTCTCAGGTCTGGAATACTGATTGCCGTCCTCCCCGTTGTCGGCTCGTATGAAGGCATTGCCGTCGGCCCCCCATTTTGATCGAATGCACGTAGGGGTCGCTGCATCAAACCAGTCGTAGCTTGTAACGGAGCTTGTAGACTCACAGTTCTGTTGGTGGGCGAGTTCTGTGGTTCTGGTGAAAGAAAACCTGGTGACACTACGATGCGTCGAGGGCTAGCTGAAAGCCTTCGTTTATACACCTCCGAGCATGGACGGAGCGACTGAGTGTGTCTCGGAACAAGGTATGGCGCATCTTCATCCAAATAATCTTGAGGAGATTCGCGCCTGTAAGTTACTGGCTTTCTCTTGACGATATGCAACCGATTCGAGTTCGAGGGGGTGTGGGAAGTATCTTCGTGACTCGGAGCAACCGGGAGGGGACTTGACGTATTCGCCGACTGAGTATGAAGAAAACGAGACGGAAGTGAACCGTGTAACAGCTCTGAGGTTCTTCCTACACTGGATGACAGCTCGTAAGATGGCTCTGTTCGAGCAAGTCGACCTATAGGAAGCCCTGAAATTGGGACGCGACGCCTCTTTGGACTTGGTAACGTCGATCGCAGAATTGGCCACGTCAAGCCAGTACCCAACGCAGAGCCTTCATTCCCCACTTGCGGCTGCGGTAACTTGACCGATGTGTGAAGCCCAGTCATTTGCTCACTTCCTTCAATGGCGACAATTTGAACTTTATCAGAATGCGCTGCATCTGATGGACTGGCGACAATGACTGTGGGCAGAGTTGGAGGAGTGACAACCTGAGGCTTCGTGCTTTGCGCCACTTGATTAGAGGACACAGCTAGTGCTCGAATATCTCCACCAACAAGGGTGCCAGTCGTTCCGCTGGGTAGAGCAGGCATCACTGAATTCCCACCTGTCCTGGGAGGCAACTCAGTTTGGGGTACTGAATCCAGGGTGACAGGGCCTGTAGTCCTGAGGCGACCATCAATGTATGGTGCCCCCACAGGCATATTGGGCAGCTGCACTGTCATTGGCGCAGCATGGAATGCTGCGGCTTCGTGACTTCTTGGAAAACCCTGACTGGTCTGTGAATCAGTAGGGAGTCGGGCAGTGACTGGTATATTCGGCGCTGGTCTCATCAAGATCGGGGTTGGAGGAACAATCGTAGATGTGTCGTCGTCTCCATTAACAGTAGAATTGCCTGAGATAGGCTGTGGCCCAAAACCAGGATGTACAACAGGTTGCGGTATCGTTGGAGCGGCTGCGGAATGGTGAGCTTCTGTGAAAGAAACAAACTTTCACTCACAATGCATCTCCTGGAAGCCAATAAGCCCATTAATACTGTCCAAGCCATACTCGAGATTGCGATACCCTTGCTGCCGCCCCGCGACATCCCTTGCCAGCCACTCATTCAGTTCGGAGAGGTAGCGGACAATTTCCTGCTGTTGAACGACTGCTGTATCTTGGTGAGACCGAGCATCCTTATGGGGTGAGCGGATGCATTTAATACTTACGACGTACATACCTCGAGAAGCCTCGCAATGTCTTCCATTTCTACCATGCTTGCGGGTGGTTTCTCCTCTTCCAAAGGATCAAGCTGACTTTGCCACCTGGTTCGCGACGACGGCACCCTCTTCCGGTGCCAGGGTCTGGTGATTGCACGCTCGCGGTTTACAATAACCAACTGGCCCGAGGGTTCGTTACCTTGCTGCTACAAATGGAGGTCAGCAGGCGGAAGAAAGACAATGATAAATACAGACTATCAGTTCGTCTCGTCCGGTTGGCTGTGTCTCGTGGTCCTCAGACCGTTGTTCAGCTAGAGGCTCCCCTTGGTTGCTTCTCCCTTGATCGCTCCGAGTCATGGAATGAACAGATGGAATGCTAGTAGTGCAACCCTCTGAAGGCGATGGCTTTTGACAAGACGACTCCCAATCATCGGCGGGGGATCTTTCGAAATGAGGGGCCGGAGACCTTTCAGGCGGGAAGACTGAATGCGCTCTAGGGGCAGCACATTGCTCAGCAAAAGCAATACCTGCGGCCCCAAACGAAACATTCTTTCCGTACACAACCTCAGGGGATGGGGTGCAACTTGATTCGATGCTCATAGAAAGCGCCTTTTGCTGGCAGTTTCTTGTAACCTTGTCAAAAACGATCTTCACTCGATCCGTCAGCTCTCCTACAGCTCCGAGCATCTCCGATAAAGCTTGGTGTTGCTCGTGCGAGGCATCATTGAGTGCTATGTTTGGAGCCTGCAATGGGATGGAGTAGGGGTCGCTACGATTTTTGATCTCCCTCAAGGCGTCGTTGATCTTATGCTGTCTCCGCGTTGCCTCATCCACAGCATTAGATAGCTGATTCAAGAGACCATGAATTTCATAGCCCAGTCCCATCTCAGAGTCGGATCTAGCTTGTGAAGTGGATGTGACTCGTGGCGTATGGGCTGGTGGATCGGGGAATAGTGACAAATGGAGAGAGTCTGTAGGTTTTGTCCTAGTACACGAGTTAATTGCTGAGGTATTGTGTGAACTTGATGAAACCTGGGATTTATTGAGCGCCGTTCTTGTTGAGAGGGAGGTAGGAGCAAAAAGCGACGATGGAAATGCAAACGAAGTTGGCGTGGGCAATTCAGGTGCCATTGCCTCTGTAGGAGGTGTTATTTCGCGAATGGGGGGAGCTCGTGCGGATGTCTCCACGACCTGCCTCCTCGAATAACCGATGTGCGGCTCTTCGTCTGCAGGTGGAGACGATGGCGGTGGCGGGTTTCTGCACCGAACCAGGATGGCTAACTCCAGTACCTGCTGTTCAATCCTCACCAGTTGATTAGAGATGTCGGACGAAGCTTGAAGTTGAGATGATCGTGTGGTTTGTATGAACTCCAGGAGAGTTTTGATCTTCTGTTCGCAATCTGACTCCGTTCTCTTTGTAGGTGAAGTCGTCTCCTCATCCCTCATGGTCGAGATGTCGGATCTCGATAAAATGGCAGATGCTGCAACCGGCGTTGGGGATACTTCTACTGCCGGGCTCTGAAGAATCGTGAGCTACGCCATGTCAAGCACCACTTCACATACGGGCGCATCCGCAATTCGTGGGAATGAAATAGTCGATTTCGACATGCGTAAAGGGCTGTTTGAGGACGGTTCTTTCGCACGTTTTGGTACCACCCTGAATCGTTTCCCTCTGCCTTCAGACGATGGCCTCAAAGGTAATACCGATGAAGGAGCTCCGGATGATAAAGGAGGATCACCGAAAGAGCGATGTGAGACCATGGCGGCTTCATACACTGAGCCGCGAGCTGGAACAGATCGAAATCCGCTTCGCTCCTCCAACTGAGAGGTTGCGTCAAGGGTTGGGGAGTACGTTCTCGTTTCGCTTGGGTTTATATTCCGCTCCAGGTTATCTGCTGCATATACCGAACGTCCCGGGCTAGACTGCCGACTCTCTTTAGAAGAGGGCAGATTCCCATCTAGGAACATCTGACTCTGTCGAGAAAGATCAAGCTCCAAAATAGAAAAGTTATTTATCGCTATTGTAGCATCTTGAGCTTGTATAGGACTTGTGGCTCGCACCATAGCCGGGTCGTCCCTCTGCTCACGTGATGGAGTAAGACGGCCGTTCGAATACGGAGAGGTGCTTCGCATCGATGTAGAGCTATGAAGGTCTCCCGCACCGATTGCTTCGTTTTCGGCCGCCAACTCAAGGGCATCTAGGTGTGTTGTCTCCTGATGGATTAGTGGAGTGAACCCAGTCGACTCCGTGTCCATACCCTGCCCAGAGGAAGCAGACACTTTGCGCTCACTAGGGCCATCCAAACTTAAATGCGACAACCAAGCATCCGACGATGTAAACCATGATGCGGTGACGAAGGGTATATCTGTTGGCGTTTCCGGCACCGCGCGCTCCGTTGAACCATCAAGAGAGAAGTAAGCTGAGTTCGAGGCATCTCCTGAAGATTCATTCCCTTCAAACGCAGTATGAAAGGAGTGCGCCCCGGTTACTCGCCCACTCTCTGACGGTAATTGGCCAGTGCGGGTACTCGAGGAAGAAAGAGACACACTGGATCTCTTGGTAGTTGTCAGAGTCGGAATGGAGCTGTCGCTGAATGAACGATTGCTGTGATTGTGACTTCTGAGATGAACGAGCCTTAGTAAATGTGACTTTCCCTTCTGAGATGACGGCAGTTGAGCATCCGGTGTCGTATTAGAAAGTAGGGGAGTCGAATTCCCACTGACATGGTCTGAGGCAGGGATTAGGCGTGAGGGAGTCGCTACCATTGCCGGATTTGACTGCTCACTCAGTGTTGGAGTATCGGCGCGACTCGTTAGACCAGTGATGAGGGAAGCAATGCTCCTCAGAGAGATCGTGCGGTGTCTCCTAGAGGGGGTAGAGATAGTACTGGATGCAGCGGATTCCATTCTGCTAATGGACACTTCGTTCGGAGATGAGAGACTTATATTGCTGAGAGACGAAATTCGACGCATGAGTGGCTTTGGTGAAAGCGAAGGCCTGTCCCACCGACCCGTCGGTAAGTCTCCAGTAGACCGAGTGCGAGAGTGTGCATTGATTTGCCTTGGTACGGCTAACGAGTGAGATGTAGGTGTTGACTCATTCGTTTGAATAGGCTGGACATGCTGAGTGAAGTCTGACCCCATCCGTCGAAGGATCGAGTCAGCCGAAGGAACGCTTGGGATTGAATCTTCAGGTTGATTGGCATTCAGTACATTCCTTAAACAAAATTAGCTTTGGATAGCGACGATTCAAATCATACCATAAACTTCCGACCCAATTCAACCTGTCTCTCAACGTATTGGTAGCCACCCGTTCAATTCCATCAGAATAGATGAGAAAGATTGGAAATATGTCCTCGTAACTCGCTTCGGTAGAAAGTAAGATCCGCTTCCACGCTGTGGTGCCTACATCCTGCGCCATGGAAGCATGAGATGGTGTTGGAGTGGACTGCACAGCGGTGCATTCAAGAAGATTGAGACGTGCAGAGTATCTGCCGTGTCCTGGTTCTGTCCATGATAGTTGCAACGACGTTTGCTGCAGATTAGCTCTACATCGAACCCATTTGGGGCCGGATGCATCGTTGACATGTAAATACCATAAGAGGCCGGTCTGTAGGTTCTAAAATAATTCAGTGACTACCTTACACCTTCGGATGTGACCCACCTCTTGAGACCTAGATTCATTCGAGAAGCCTCGTTTCGGGCTGAGAGCAAAAGAACGAGTATCCAAGACTGCAGGTAGTGATCGTCGTCGGCTCTCCAAAAGGGGTGAAGGAAGAGGCGAAGGAAGAGGTGAAAGTGAACGATTGGATGTCGTCGAGGGTCTTTTGCTCGTGACAGAGTTTTCAAAATAAGCAACCTTCTGGGAGACATTGCTTGAAGGAGATACCGAGAGCTCGCTGGATTTGAGTCTGCGAGGGGATAAGGAGAGGGATGCGATAGAAGGGAGGCTATAGCGACGCTTGGGTTTAGGGACGCTCAGCAGTATAGATTCGTTAGGTGTCGTTGAAACCACATCGCTTGATCTGCTGCATTGCTCTTGTTTCGAGTGTATGCTGTCTGCGTTCGTCGAGTTGAAGCTTTCGGAACTTTCGAAGATTACACTCAAGTTTCGCCAGCTGGCTTGACCGAGTGCATTTGGAGAAGATATAGCGTTTTCAGATTCGCCTTGCCAAGAATAAGTAGTGGATCTGGAGGTAGATGGAGTGCCTCTGCTTGTTTCCGGTCGGGAATGTTCTGATTGCGTCCTACGATCAGGAATAGCTCGACTGAAAAGATGAAACATTACCCGAAGCTTCATTATCACGATTTGTCACTGATCTCTCCGTATCTCCGTCCCCTTGCTCGTTTACGCCGAGGTTGTCTACGTGCTGAGACATACGACGCGTCACAAGTCAAAAAAGACGCGTCAATAAAGAGAGACGCTTCAATCGTCTCTAATAAGAATAAGCCCAGCGTCCAGGAGGACTATACGAGTAATGGTCAGGTCCAAGCTGCAAAGGACATGCAGACGGCAACCACTGACAAAGTAAGACCAATCAATGTTCGACCTTGTTTATTTTTTGTTATCTACAGTGGTATGTCAGTGTGACGTATTTCGCTCCAGGGACGCAGAGTTGTTCCGTCGATGCCTCGGCAATGCCAGTCTGACTGCAAACTTGGTTTCTCCCTCGTCGCCGCCCCGTCACTCTTTCCGCCGTTACCGGTCCAATGCGCGCCTCTACACTCGTGCTATCGTTGAGCTCTGTGAGCCTCTTTTGCTTCTTCGACGCCGCGCCGCCGAAGGTCGCCTCCTCTCACCGGGGCAAATATCCAGGTTCTCCTTGCCTCAGCAGCGGACTATCAAATCTTTGTCGGTGGACCGGATGGTATATTTATTCCAAACAACGTCACGGTCAACACAAGCGATACAGTCACCTTTACTTTTGTCAATGGTACAGACCCGGCTCGTTGTTATCAACAAACTAACAAGTCTAGGCTCTCACTCTGTGATGCAGTCAAACTTTGTCTTTCCATGCCAGGTACGCTTTCTACATCAAAATAGTCTGCAATTGTCTGATTTCGATAGTTTATCAACAACAACGAGCCGGGTATGTAACCCTTCCTTATCACAGAAAGGTTGCTCTTGTACTAGGGCGTCCAAGGCTATTCTTTTCCGTGGTCGACCACCCTGAGCCCAGCTTACGTGGGAATGGCTCGTCTGGCTGCCCTGTCCTGGGATAACTATATCTCATGCATATGGTTCAATCTCGACAAGTGTGCTGACCTCCTTGTTTTGCTCTCTCAAGGTGTCAATGGATTTAACAGCGGCATTCGCCCGGCAAACAATGGCACAAGTATCACTAATTTCACTGTTACCATCACACCAGAGATGATGAACGGAACTACCTGGTTTTACGATGGCTCTGATCACTCGTGGTGAGTAGGAAACCCCTTGACTACCTGAAGCAGAACTCGGCGAGATTCTGATATTCGATATCACCTTTCGTGCTTCTTGGGGTAATATGTACTGACGTTCTGCTTCTTCCGAACGTTACCCACGGATCTCCGAATACGCTTCACATGACGTATCTCCGTCTTCTCCAGTGGTTGGGATGATACCGCAGCGGGTGGTTTCAACCTGAGGGAAGAGAGCAACGAAACCCTAGCAGGCTATCTGCGCAATGGTAAATGCCATCCTCTTGCGGGTCTGCATTTCCTTACTGTTACAAACAGCCGCACGCTTGTTTGGTGAAGAAGCTCAAGAAGCCAACCAAACCATGAGTAGCACGCGTACTGCGCGCCCTACCTCGACTTCTACGGTAAGCGACTCGGGAGCTCTCCGGTCGCTCACCGTACAATTATCTCTGTCGGCTGCCTTGGTAGCCGCAGCGCTTGCAGTGACCACGTTTTAATACGGGCAACATACGATTATATCGACAAGCGGCTATGAACAATCTTGATTTTACCCCCACCCCCGATCGTTATCTTTGCCATTCTTTCTGCATCATACACGCTGCAATTTCCTCTGTTGTGCACCAGTATTATGTGATAGACGCCAACTTTCGACAATACCATACCCGTTCACTTTGGCGAAACATCGAATCATCGAGACGGCAGCTACGGGTGAGCTAGCAGCCAATGATATCGCAAACCGAGCTTCATCCCTTTGCTTTATATCCCTTACTATGTTAACTTGGTGAAATCTAGAGGAAGTTTGCCAAGCAAGGTCGAGACGGCTAACTCAGCCATCTCAGTCTGGCTCTCATTTAAGTCGCACGTCTTAGAAATAATTCTACATTTGATCGATACCCAGTCCTCGGTAACTAACATTATTTGAGGAGCTGAGTGGCACTCTACCCTCTCCTCGGCCAAACCAGCGATGGGTCGCTTCAACAGAGCTTACGGACGTTCCACGTACTCAGACGAGTCTGAAGAGGATAACTCTGATGAAGGTCCTTCTGAAAAGTTGGACGACGAGGCACCTACTACCGAAGTCGACGATGTATCAACGGAAAACGAGAGTGAGGACCACGACCACGAGGACGAAGAAAACGAAGAAGGCGAAGACGGCAACGAGGATTCTGGTTCGTAGACAATGTCTTAATACGATCAACACTCACCAAATGCATCTAGAGGCCAGCGAGATGGGCGAAGATGAGGCCAACCCAGGCTCGACGCCCACATATGTCGATATTCCGAGCGAACTTTTGCACGTACTTACAAGATCCGCGCCTCAAAATGAAGGGTCCTTTGCCACAATATGCCCCTTTGAAGAAGCTCCCAATCCGGGACTCAAGTTGGACGGCGTCGGGACGATTGGTCTTCCGCTTGGTCCAGATATAGCAGAGAAGATTATCAAGAGTTGTAATCGGGCATCGTATGGAAAAGGAACCCAGACTATTGTGGACGATGCAGTGCGGAAGACATGGGAGCTGGACGCGACAAAGGTATATATTTGGCCACTGAATAGTTGAGTAAAAGATTCTGACTGTAATAGGTGACATTTTCTAACCCCAAATGGAACTTGTGGATGGAGAAAACGGTTGTGCCACAAATTTGCGCATCTCTAGGTGTCAACTTTGAGATTTCACAGCCACAAGCGGAGTTGTATAAGCTCTTAATATATGAAACGGGTTCTCAGTGAGTAATTACAGGCGTGGTAGGCGGTTGGATAACTTTGCTCAGCTTTCTTTCGCACCAAGAGTACGCTTTGTCACGACCTTGAGCACTTACTGACTCACATAGTACGGAAAAGGTTCCCGGAATGTTTGCCACCATAGTCGTTGTCCTCCCATCTCCATTCACCGGCGGCGAGCTTCGTCTGAAGCATGCCGGCGAAACTAAAATTATGGACATCGCTTCCGCCTCCGAGTACACCACCCACGTTGCTGCATGGTACACTGACGTCTATCATGCGATTCAACCCATCGAATCGGGATATCGACTCGCCCTCTCCTACAACCTCATCCACAAGAGCGCACCTTCCCTCAAGCCCATTTTAGGCTCTGGGTCTAATGAGCTTCGACAAATACTTCTCAGCTGGAAACGCATGGGCCAACCTACGAAGCTTGTATACACATTCAAGCATATGTACAGTGAAAATAATTTGCGTTCCGCTGCACTCAAGGGCAAAGATGCAAGTGTCGTGCGCCGTATCCGTGGCGTCGCGAAAGAGCTCCACCTGCGCATGTGTCTGGTCAATATCGAGCTGCACCGGCGGGGTGGTGTAGTGAATGATTGCGGTGACACAGACTGGAACGAGTTGGAGATGGGGGATGTCGAGGAAGTACATACTCTTTCTCCAATCCAGTCGATCTCAATGGCAAATCAATCGACTTGGTCGAAGATTTGGATCTCGGGAACCAGGATGAATACGTCAATAAGAAGCTGGGCGACGGTGAACCGGACGATCAAGAGTATGAAGGCTATAGCGGTAACGTAAGTGCTCACCCAGTGTATCTTAACGCTGAACTAATCAGTCGCAGGAGGCAGGTATGATGGACGTTTGTAAGTTTGGTTACAACCAGGTTCCTTGTCCCTAACCATTCCACACACAGGGTATCGCCGCACTGTCCTTCTTATTTGGCCACCTGCTCATGATTTTGACGTTTGCATCGGGAACATCGACGCCTATGCGCGACAAGCGCTGTGTACTATAAAATCAGGACGACCAGCGAAGGAGGAGCAAAAGATTACGCAACGACTTCTAAAATGGACTGCGGATAATCGCTCACACATTTCTAATCAATCATCTACCACAGGGAAAGTACTAGGGGCGATGTGCGAGGCCGCCATCCAGCGGGAAGACCCAAAGCTCTGGACAAAAGCCTGTATCGCTGCTGGGGCTGACTTCAATATCAATATCATAACAACCCCAGTGATAATCCAGGCTGCACAAACCATGGGGCTGGATAGTCTAAAGGAATTGTGAGTTGAATCGCGATCATATGCATTATTAACCGTGAATAGCTTGGAACGAGCATTCAAGAATGGGATCATCGATAGCCTGCGATTTGAACTTGTTGATAGCTTGATTGTGCTGGCGCAAAATACTTCGAACAAAGAGCTCTTGGAATGGGCAAATGTTCATCGTCGGGGGATTCTTTACTCACTTCACAGTGCGGATTCTGGCGTCATTCCGTACCTGATAGAATACGCACGTACGGATGGTTGTGCATTCCTCATGGACATGTATGTTGGTTTGCATGTGGATCATCTTCCTGCTGAATCTCGAATCTAGCATTCTCCCTCAGCTACAGAAGTTGAAACCATCCCCGGATTTTTGGAAGGATTTCATGGCCAGGTTGCGTGCCGAGAAGGACTCGATATCACATAATACATCGGAGATGGACAATGTCATTCAACGATTCATCATCATTATCGTTGAGGAAGGTGAACGCTTACCAATGACCAGCCTGCCAAGCCGCCGGCACAACAAGATTGAAGATCTTCAAAAGATCGCTCTTCTGTGGTTTGGATCCGTAGAGGAGGGCCTTAACGCACTTCCGGAGTCGATGAATGCGTGGTTTGTCAAAATGGCGAGTGAATGGAACAAACTCATTTCAGAAGATAAAAAATGGGTTGCACAAGAGCTTATCCCGCAAATTGCGCGTTTAATCAAGCGCTACTCAGAGGCGCATGATCCGCCCATCCCACCCGGAGACTCAATTCTGGAGCCTTTCTGGGGCTTGGTCATCAAAGGTACAAGCGAATACCTTGATAGGGACAACTTGGACGTTTTGGTCATTGGAGTACAACATGTGGATTATTCGATGGCCTCCAGAGCGTGTAAGTTACGACGTAGTGGGAAATTTACGCCTCTGAAGCATTACAGGTTATCCACGAACCTTCGAAAATATGCTATGCGTGATGAAGATTACTTGCATCAACTGGCTATCCAAGCACATCAGATGGCGCAACAAGAGGCGCCGCCGAACCCACACCTGGAGACTTTATCGAAACTTGTGGTAGGAATACTGGCCACAGATGTAGAAATAAAGAACTGGCATCCTCCACCCTCGGTAAACGTGTCCAGTTGTCGCGACATTTTTCACACCGCAATTCAGTGCGAGGCCCAAGATGCATTGAATCCATTATTCCTACAAATCAAACAGCTCACTCCAACGCCACCAAAGATCGAAGAATTCACCAAATTTGCTCTTCCGTTCATCGATTCTTCCGTCAGGGAGCATCAGTCTACGGGTACATTGTGGCCATCCGAGCCTCTCTCCACGTTTGTGTCAGACACCTTTATCAGCTTGATTCAGACTCTTGGACCAAACCTGAACAAAAGCGTGCCGATACCACAACTGGATGGCTTTGGGTGTGGGTGTGAACACTGCTTGTCACTACGCACCTTTTTCAGGAATCAAAGGTCAACAATCTCTATCTCCGCTAGTCAGGACACACGGAAGCACCTTCAACGTGAGCTGGAGAGCAAAGCGTCGGAATTCGGATTCAGTTGGACAACAATCAAGATTGGTTTACCGCATACCCTTCAGGTAAATTATTGGCAACTTTACATTCTAATCTAAGCTAATATCATGTCGCGACAGGTCGCAAATCATCCTCATTCTCCAACGGAATCGGAAAAATGACGAGACGAGAACTAGTAATGGAAAACCTAGCAAAACTAGGACCTTTGCAAGTCCAACGCTCCATATTCGGTGAGAGATGGGCAGATATCTCGAAAAAGCTGGCCATTAGCGAATCTGCATCATCTTCTGCAACACCGACTGATCAACGCTCTGCTACAGAACCAGCTGAGGAAAATGGGACACCCGCGTCTCGTCAAGGGCCTTCTCGGCAGGCCACATCCGGCCAAGGGACATCTACCAGTCGTACGGCGAAGTCTTCCTTCGCCGTCACAGGTGGATCTGGGAAGAAAACAAAGAGGTCGTTCCAGGATGCGGACGAGGGCCAGGCATCTCGTGCACCCCCAGCTAAGCGAAGCAAGCAAAATCAACCCATAGAAATCATCGAGCTTTCAGATTAGACATTACTCGACACACTCCTCATTCATAACCTGGTATACCTCTCGTATAGTCCCACCGTGGACAATGGGACATTTCCATGACTTCCTTTCTAACAGCTCAGTCTGTAAAAACGCCGTTTGCGAAATCATATAACATTTCGAGGGTACTTAGATAGCGGATAATGTACATTATCGGTTACCTCGTCACGAATATACGACCTATAGTCCCGAAACAGTCTTAACAACCCAATAAACGTGAAAAGTTTGCCTCCACTTTGTCAGTGGTCCAGCCGACCTGATCCAACTTGCGCTTGACCGCTGCAGCTCCGAACCCGTCTTTATGTCGACGGCGGTCGAACAGGAAAAGATAAAAGAAATTATAACTCGTGATGAGTTCAAGCACAATCTCAATTATGGACTCCGGTTCCTCAACGCGGTATGTAGTGTCATCCGAATGTTGTTCTGTGACTAACGAGAAGGGTATAGACCAATAAGACCGTGACAAGCCTCACATTTCTATATGTTATCGGAACAAGAATGCTCGTTTCTGCATACTTCGGTGCCGGAGCTATCGTGACTATGGCCATCGTTAAGGTCCTCAAACGTATCTTTCGCGAGGCACGACCAGTTGGAATGACGTGCGTAGTGGCCAACTTTGGCTCGTTTTACTGATGGATAGACAGGTACAAGGTTACCTACGGATTTCCGAGCACCCATTCCGCAACAATTACTTACTATGCGACATTTATAACGCTCTCATGCTTCTATCTTCCGATTCACCCTGCCATCTCGTTTCTCCCTCGGGTTATAATTAACCCCCTAATTCCTCTTGCGGCCATCTCCGGCGCTGCAGTGGTATGCGTGTCAAGGATAAGATTAGGACATCATACACTCAAGCAAGTTGGCGCTGGTGCAATCGTCGGTCTCATTGTTGGATGGCTTTGGTTTGACGGATGGGCAGGGAGAGGTTGGGGCAAGGACATTGGTTGGCAATTGACGGAGTACCTGCCTTATTTTATACGAGACCTGATTCGATAATTGACCCGAAGCAGAAATTTACTCATTCGTTCTCTCGAAAAGTGCTTTGTGTTTGGGCGGCACAAAACTTGAACCCAACGACGATGGCAGACAAAGATAAGAACACACCAAACTCTTCAAAATCTCCTTCTACAGTGAATGCGGATGCTTCATCGTCTTCTAAGCCTCCGCCACGCGTCATCGGTAACTTTACCACCCAGACAGACGCTTCACGCATTGGACCGTCAACAACGAGGATGAAGTTTACACCGAACATGCCTGTCAAAAAGAATCAACCAGAGTGAATCCCTTCCTTCAAGATGAACATTTCTTGACGACCTGATTTAGAGATACCCTTGCAAAGGTGAATCGCTTGAATCAAAGCGAATGTCAAGTCCTGATCTGCGAATCCTTTCACTCATATAGCCTACGATACAAGCAACCACAGCGCCAGCCTCTTCGTCTACACACGCAGCTGGGGCTCCTCCCGGACGTACAAGAGGAACCACTCGGGGTCGTGGAAGAGGAGCTGGGCGAGGAGATGGCCCTAAATATGGCGGTGCGCAAGTGGAAATGGTTCCAGTGGGACCATTTGCGATGGGTCCTGTAGCGGCCGGCATGGCAGGCACTTCTCGATCCGCAGCAAATGTCCATACCTCGTCTGGTGGAGGTCCCGGAGTGGTACGTGGAGGTGTCAAACCCAGCGATATTACGAGTGGGGCAAAGGGCGGTGGAACAGCGCTCCCGCAGAACAGGGACACGCTTGTAATGGATAACGAAGCACACGAAATCTATTCCGATGATGAAGGCGTGGCGATTATCGATTTGGAAGACGTCAAAGCTCTAGACTATATGGCACCCGATGCACTCAAGCGAGAGCGTCGCAAGAACAAGGGCAAGGGCAAACAAAAGGCAAAAAAGGAACCAGGAGTTAAGCCAGAAATCATCGATACCGAATTGCATGCGGAAGAGGGAAGGGGAGAGGCGAAAGCATCGCCGGTCAAGAATGAGAGTCAGGCGTTGGATTTATCAGAAAGCGGAGAAGAAATCGAGCTGGAGGATCTTCAACAGCACTTTCAAATTCCTGACGATGGCGTACGTAGCTACTCCCTGACACATCTGTCGATCCGCTCAACCCGTACAGGATGGATTCCATCAGGATCAGTTCTACTTCTTCCAATTCCCAGACAACTTTCCGATCTTTGAACCTCCGTACACGCCTTCATCCGATGCGGAAGCTGACGTTGTCGAAGCTGACACTGCAGAAGCCAACAACAAGGTGGGAAAGAAAGTGGCCTTTGCTCAGGATGTCAAGAGCGGAACAAGTGGAGCCACGAGTGGAGCCACGACGCCTCAACCACGAATCACTCCCCGTATAGAGGGCCTCATCGGACAGCTCGAGATTCGTCGAAGTGGTGCTATCCGAATGAGGATGCCAAATGATCTTGTATTTGATGTATACTGATCTCACTACTCTCTTTCCTGTACTAATACACATTCCAGGTATTTGCCGCCACACAACCTCGTTCCTCCAGCAAGCTGTCACGGTCGATCTCGAGAACAAGCGGATAAGCGTCTTGGGAAGTGTCACCCAGCGCTTTGTGTGCACGCCAGACATCGACGTTCTCACCAATTCGAAACAAGAAACGATGGACCTTGACCTCTCCTGATACGATGCCAAAGTCATGTGTTAGGAAAAAAAAACCCTTTCTGTGCACGAATTATGATGATATACACAAAATAGATCAGACATCGACTCTGATACGCTGTAAGATTGGCACGATTCGGTCCCACTCCTCGGCCGACTTTGGAGGATCAGAAATCTGCTTAATCGGGAGAATGCAAACGGACCTGTCTGTACATTTCAATTTGTCCTTCAATGAGTGCCAAAAGCAATTCTCTCATTTCCGACTCCTTGGCATATTGGAAGATGACACTCTCTTTAATGACCTCGTCATTGAACGCGTCGGACGTTTCGTGTGCTGTCGAAACGGCCTCTTGAAGCTACACATATCATTAGAACTCATTTAAGCGACGACAAGTCGTGATTCTACTAACCTCCTTGATATGTGCGTCCAGCTTGCGCATCTTTTCCACTCGTGTTCGATCATCATCCGCACCACGAAGTGCTTCCACTTTGTCGCGCAAGTATGCACCCAATCCGAATCCCGAGCTGGAGACATGCCCTTGGACTATGGCCGACAGCCGATCACGCTCCGCAGTGACACCCGTCAAATAGTTTGTCAATTCTTCGAAATCGAGTTGTTTCTGATCACGAAGTTTGAGAACGGCCTTCTGTGCCTGCGCATACGCAATGAGCGACTGCACGTGGGCCAAAAAGGGTTCGCTTGACGATTGCGTCTGTGAGTTTGTGTTTGGTTGTGGATAAGGTTTTGATGTCGGTGAGACGGATGATTTGCGGAGGAGCGAGGGGAGAAAAGAGGAAAATGTAAGACTCGACGGACGAACAGCGCGAGTAGCAGGTGAAGGCGGGCGTACGGTTTGTCGAAGCAGAGCAGAGAACTCTATCAGCGTGCTCGAAAAGTGGTTGAGCGGGTCTGTGATTCCTGATTCTAGGAATCCTAGGCCTTGAACGGAAACGGCGAGGTCATGGTAGTCAGATGACAGGTCTAAAGGATGTTAGTCGGCTGCTCTACGGTAAGGGGTATATCTACCGCTTGTACGTGTCCTTGCGCGGCTCCATGTTCGCTCAATCCCAGTCAGGCTCTCCTCAAACTTGTCCACGGCATCACGCATCTCCAAGAACCGTGAATCCGGTTTGCGGACTCGTGAAAACGCGTTCACGATTGTGTCGGAGATGTTGTCCAAGAGCGAGGGGGCGGCTTCTGGACCAGGAGGATGAGCCAAGTGCTGGTGCATTTTCACATTCTAATCGCCGTCAGTTTCGTGTATAGCTATGATATGTTTGATGCCTAACCCATTCTGTCGATTCAATAAAGTCTCGCAGAAGTGTAGCTCGCTGCAGCGTCGGGTGGTTCGAAACCCTTTGCATGAAGCGGCTGAGACTGTGATCAATTATGTCAGCACTGCTTCTCCCAATAAAAGGTGCTGCGCGTACTCTTGTCGCCGTCGTTCTATGAACTCGGGACTAAACCGGTCGCCTGTGAGATACTCTGCGCGTGTGATGAGCGGAGGGCAACCAAGGTAAAACGAACGATGCACACCTAGTCGATGCTTGTCCGGTAATGGAGGGACCACACAGGCTGGAAAGTCCTTTGCAAGATTCTCGCGCAGGAACACAAAGTCCTGGAAGCGTCGACGGGCAGAAGGCTCTGGGCTTGAGAATATGGGAAGATTTGTCTATCGTATGGATATTAGCCAGCCTATGAGCACGAAATCTCACATAAAGAGATGGAATGCGCGCTGAACACACCTTTGCCGCTACCAAATAGGACACGTACACGTCCTTTGTGCCATCGAGCTCCTTGTACGGATCCTTGACTGTTGCAATCAAGTAACCTTCCCATTTCGGTTCATGAGGCGCTGAGCCGTCGTCTTGCGTGTGGGTCATGAACCCTGGCCGCCCTCCCGGGCCACCAGCGATGCCATCACGTTCGTTGTTGTAATCAGCAGTATAGCCATTGGATGCTGAAGGAGTCTCCCATGTCACGCTGTCGAATACATCGTCTGGCTCCATGTCAAAGGGATGTGGTTCAGGTTCACAACTTCTTCACCACGGCCACCGTCTTCGACTGGAAATGTCTTGACCAGACCTACAAAGTGAACAACGCAAATCGTGTATTCCATGTACAATCTGGCGCTTCCGCTTTCCGAGTCCAGTGACCTCAGGGAGAGGTATTCAGTGACGCGTAGCCCAGAGCAACTCCTTTTGCTTCCTCCGGCAACAATCTTAGCATGGCGTAGCGTTCCCAACCAGCCCACCAGCAACAGTCACTGTGTCTAACCCACCTGAATGGAATTACATCGTTATTGATCCAAACGCCATGGGTCTCGTTTCTCTCCATCTTACTAGAAGATTCTTGCAGAAACCGCCAAAGTGCCAACTTGGAACTCGCCGTCACGACCCATGTCATCGTTGCCCAACGCTGTCTTCGCAAAGCTCAAGGAGATAGAGCCAGATCCCTCAGTGACATTCACATCTACTGGGTTCTGTGTGCGATCGTCGGCTGGGCCTTCATACTACGTCAAAGTGGGCAGCTCTGTTCAAGAGTCTGAGCAATATCGAGGTGAGTAAAGTGTCATGTGGACTGGAACGCACTCATCGCATTCTAGGAGAGGCAAAGTCACTTGAAATGATTGAACGAGCTGCGCCTGGACTTGCTCCTCGAGTGCTGAGCATTGGCCAAATCGACGGGAATCATGACGAAAACGACGACGATGAATCTGATGGAAGTAGGCCGTACATGATATCAGAGTACAAATTCCTGCAACCTCTTCAAAGGACGCAAGCGCTGCAGCTGGCAGCTCGCCTCGCAGAAATGCATTCCCATACATCTGATCGAGGTACGGCACAGTTATCCCGTTGACGCCGTTCTGAACAGCACCTCTGTCAGGGTTTGGTTTCGAGTGTGCAACATACTGTGGTGCGACGCGAACCCAAGGAAGATTTTTCGCCACTTGGTCGGAATGTTTTGCAGACATGATCGGCTCGCTGCTTTCGAATCTCAGGAATCAATCTTCATACGCCGAAGTTGTGAAGCTAGGAGATGAAATTGTTTCAAAGTGGGTATCGTCATTTCGAACCTATTGGACCTTGCCTTATCGGCCTCATCAAGGGCTATTCCTTTTCTACTCGGCCCACCCCTGCGAATCGAGCCTGTGCTTCTACATGGTGATCTCTGGGTGCGTTCTTTTCCCTTTAAGAACTGCTGACCGACAATGTCGTTAGAGCGGCAACGTAGGGGTAGATTCGGCGACAGGGCAGCCTGTAATCTATGACCCAGCATCTGTGAGAGCGATTCTCTTCATCGAGCTTTAACTGACTAGATTAGTACTTTGGACACAATGAAGCAGAGTAGGGGCCGCCGCCTATCCCGGGCCCTGGCTGATCCTTCCCCAGACTGTCAATTATGCGAATGTTTGGAGGCTTCTCAGCGTCTTTCTTCGAAGAATACCATAAACTCAAGCCCAAGTCGCACCCAGTGTCTGAATATGACAAACGACAGCTCCTCTATGAGCTCTTTCACTATCTGAACCATACATGCCTTTTCCACGTGCGTCTTGTCCCCTGTTCGCATCGTCAGTTTCTGACTTGAAGCTGCAGAGTGGCGGCTACGCCGAGCAAGCCAAGATCCGTTGCCGGGAGTTGCTGACGTTTGTGAGAAATCACCACGGTCCGCGACTTTGACGCTCTACTGGGCTAGCAACATGAGATCCTGGTGACTACGTCCGATGTCAAACGCCATTAAACGAGCAGGCTCGTATCTGCGTTTCCAAATTTCATGTAATTTCGTTGCTACCAGCTTTCGCTGGCAATTTGCGCGCAATGCGACGCGAGGTCTCCGACTCAATGTGGCCGCACCTGTCAAATTTGACCTCGGCCTTTGATGTTCTTTTTCTAGCTTGGACCCTCCCTCATGAATCTTTTCATATGAACTTTGCATGGGTACTCCTGTAGGACGATCCATTATCTTCTCCGGCTTTGATTGACCTGTTATTTCGACTTTGGGGTCATGGCGGCGTAGCTCATGGTCTACGCTCCTCGTCGCCACATCTAATGCCATTCACGCCTTTATAATCGAGACACCATCTCGTTGGAACATTGGACGAAATACAACGCTGAGCTGGCAAACGACAGCGGAGAGCCCAGCGGAATTCATGGTCATCTTGTTCAACCCAGCGCTGCTTTCGGCTCCATGTCAGCTTGTCCAACGCGTTTCTTCTTCTCTCGGCTATTGCAACTTCATCCTCCCAGGCCTCGTACCAGGGTGAGTGTCTCTCTAGGCTTACCAACAAAAGTCAACGATCTTGCAGAGACGGGTACTATCTCGGTTTTGTGAACCCCACGTGAGTCTACCCGTTTTTGCATAGTTCATGCCTGACACCATGTGGGGCTCAGGAATCCATGGCAGGTTGGTCGTACGAGGACTGATTCTGTTGCCAAGCTCATGCAACGCAATAGATTTACGCGACTTCAGGAACCTTCGGCCTCGTATACGACCCAGCTAATGACCCCCAGTCGGTACCAGTTTCAGGAGGCGGACCAGTCCCCTCAGGTGTAGGGTGAGAACGTCACTAGGTAGCGTTTGGTATGCTCATGTTTACAGGCCGGCACCAATATACATTACGATATACTCGACAGTCACCGCGCCGCCGAGTACTGTTGTAGTCACTCACACGATCACAAGCAGCATTCCTGGCTCTGCTTCTACGACATATTCATCGAGCCACAAGTCTTACGACTTGCACAAGTGGACATGGTCTCTCTTATTTATACTTCTTCTATGGACACAGCACCAACTTTGATATTCTCCTGTGCCGCACGGACGCTTACGGACTTGACGAGGATTCATGATCTCGTTTAGCGTATAGACTTTTTCCTAGACCATTATTTCAATTCACTTCGTTCACGTTCCCATGCCGAATGGCCGCTCTTTACAGCCGCACTTCGTGCTCCATGGGTCGACCGAGAAGACCGTTGATCAAATTCTCGACCGCAAGTCTCGCCATTGCCTCTCGAGTGTCAACTGTCGCACTTCCAATATGCGGAAGGACTACTGCTCTGCAAAGTGTGAGCACGGTAAACCAATGAGCAATAAATGGTGCACACCTGGGTAGTCGCAGCAGCGGGTGACCAGCAGGAATGTTCGGCTCGCCTTCTACGACATCCAGTCCTGCAGCCCAAATCTTGTGTTCTTTCAATGCATCAACAAGGGCATCGGTATCGACAAGTGTCCCTCTTGAAGTGTTCACCAGGACCGCCATGCTCTTCATCTTGCCCAGGAACCTCGCGTCGACTACATGGTACGTTTCTTTTCCTCCAGGAGCGAGGACAATGACCAGATCGGACTCTTGTGCAACATACTCCAACGACGCGGCGTAAATCTCACCCACTCCCAACTCTTTGGCCAAGGATTGGTCACCCTCTGTCGAAGCATAGGTTGGATGGGGTCCGCGTGCGGATGATGTGTTGGCGTAGATGCACCGCGAAATGCCATATGGCGAGAGTCGTTTGAGGGTCGCTTTGGCAATACGACCAAATCCGATGAATCCCACTGTATACGGCTTCTTCCCATCCACACCGGAGCCGATCTGTGGGCCGCAGAGCACAAAAGGACCGAATGGAAGCTGCGGCCACTGGGTAGATGTCAATTCCCGTTTTGATCTATTGGCACAGGATGCTCACTTTGCCATCTTTCACGATGGAGAGACCCTCCCCTGCATTTCTCGTCGCCATTAGGGCCAATAGGACGGTCAAATCGGCCACTGGATCGTCACAGTTTGCTAAAACACCCAGTTTATATCTCACCGGCGTTAGTCAGGACGTCTGGCGTGTATCCAAGCCGTATGTTTCGCTTCTTCAGAGCAGTCGTTTCTACGTGATCTGTCCGCCTGGGTAGCCTTGCAGACCATATCCAACCGACCTACAGCCTATTCAACCAAAGCCAGAGGAGTTGATTCACTCACATAGTGGATACGATTCGTAAATTCGGTCCAGCTAGGAAACCTGTAAGGGAATTCGAATAATTGTAGATTAAACTCGCCAATCTCCAGCAGCTCCTCGTTTATCTGTGGTCCCTTAGACCAAGCTCTCGATCAAACCCAAATGTACTCAACCTTTTCTGTCAGGAGAACCAGTGCTCCTTCTGCATCTTTGATGTTCTCTTTTATCCAGCTCGCCGTGGTCGGCCGATCCTCATCCCACAGCACAATCTGCCATTCATCCGGGTTCAACTGGTGCAATAAAGGCATTACTTTGTCTCCAAGATGTCGTGATACGAGAACTCTTCGTTTCGAACTCATATTGACTTGGCACTAGAAGAGGCCGAGGGTAGGTTTGGGTGGTAATGAAGGTAAATTGTCCAAAAACTCAAGCCAAACAATCTGTTCTCTTCCGGGTTCGAACCTAAAGCCAGGAGCAAGGAAGAGGTGGAGACGAAGAACGGGAGGATGAAGCGTAGAGGTCCGTGTCAACGAGACGTAGTAGACACTTAGAACGTTGTACTTTTAGATGCGTCACAGAAATCATAAAGACGACGGGAGAGTACAGGCGATTTATATAGCTTGCGCACCGGAAAATAAAAGGAAAACGGGGGGTGATTCAGGAGAGAAATAGGGCCGAGTCGTGAGAGCAAAGTGACCAACGAAACGCAGGCGGAGAAAGTGATCAGAGTGGACGGACGGCGACGCATGGTAGCAGGACCGAAACACGTCGAGTGGCTGATCATCTTTTGAATTTCCTCCAATGAAGTCTTCCTCCTGTTCAGCTTCGTAACGAGCATTTCCATCTTGCGACTCTGCGCCACCTGCTGCATACGGTGATTCTTGCTACTCTGCTCCAGCATTCACAACACTGCGAGTGTCATCATCTATACCAGCTTTCAGACGACTGTCAACTGTCGGTCACTCATCGGCCAATCGAACGACTTTGCTCATCCGACATACAGCGCCCATAAGACTGAACATTACCATCCGCATCTATGGCCTTCCTCATTCAAATAATGATTCACGTAAGCACGTGCATTGTCCTAATGCGGCTTTGAAATAAAAGATGCCCCTCCTCTAAAAATGCTCTCTAACTGAGGATACTGACCCTTTGAGAACACAGTCTCTTTGGTGTAGTTGGTTATCACGTATGCTTCACACGCATAAGGTCCTCGGTTCGAGCCCGAGGAGGGACATATTGTTTTTGCTTTGATTTTGGTTGTGAAGAAAGCGCCAGCGAGGTCGGGGATCAAAAAGTGGACTGGACATGGAACAATTGTCACTAGGGAGAAATAAGAACTTTAATCTATGAGCGATATTGTCGACAGCGCGCAGGCATAGATGTGACGAGCTAGAGGGTTATACCGCTTCCTCCTATTAGGTGAAAATGCACGTTATCATCACCCCACTATTTTTTCACGCCATATCTGACTAGTTTCCTCATTTCCTGGGTCGTCCATGCAGTCACCGACTCTCGCTCATTATTCGCCGGTTCCATGCGCTCAATGGAGGTGTGTTTGTACTTTAATTCATGCATTTCACTGACTGTGTCACATTAAAGGTTATATACGTCACTTATGCTCATCGTGATAGGGTCTCCTGTCCTCGCCACTTCCCAACGGTCAACCATTCGGCGCAAGTCACCACGGATAGAGGCAATATACCACTCAGAGACTCGCAGAGTAATCAAATTTGCGACCTCCTGCATCCCGACAAATACCTCATGCAACCCGGCTTCGATTTTGCGCTTTGCTCAACTCGTCAAACATTCAAGGTATTATTCCCTCCACGTTTGAACATCGTGTCAACTTCCAAGCTATCGTACATGATTGCATCGATCTCTGAATTGCAAGGCGACCCTCTAGAGTGATGGCGACTCTGCTCGGCCCTCCCCACCTCCCCTGCATGTTTTGAGCGTCTTAGGAGTCATTTGGATGTGCTTTTGATATTTAATATACCTTCCATTGACCTTATACGTGTGATTTAAGCGAATGAGATTCAGTATCCGGTTCTAAATTCAGTCCCTAGGGTGACTGAAACTCAGTATCGTGGGCTACTGATCAGGATACTGAACTTCAGCAGATTGTGACTGAATACGACAAGGGTGTCGGTGACTGAATTTCAGTATCCTGGAGTACTGAAACTGTCAGTGACCGGTTGCTGAAATTCAGTCTCCGATTTTCCCTTAGTGTTGGCTTTCAGACTTCGAGCAGCTATACTTCGTGTCATCACTCGGATTGCTACATGGTTAATTTGCTTCGGCACAAACGGACAGCTTACCTCCCGTCCAATCCGCAGCGTGGAGTGTGTTTCATTCATAAATCAAATGAGCAAATTTCCGACGTTGTTTGAGTTGGGACCTGTTGTCTAGCACCGCTCAGACTTCCTTGGTAGCATCGCCCCTTCTGCGTTCAAGGTGCCCGTTTGTTTCCCATCAGAAGGCGACTTCGAAATGTTTGTAAAAATGACTGCGCAGGGAAGATTAACAAACTGCGCTCATTGCATCAAATACTTAACTCTAAAGCATAAAACGATGTCCCGAAAAGACGCACTAACACCAGAAATCCAACAAGCAAAAAAATGTCTCGTACAGCTAAACCCTTCAATATATTCAACGGAAACGGCCCTCGCTGGATCCTCCTCGCGGTCAACATTGCGCTATGGCTCGTTCTTACACGTTCCCAACGTTCGAACTCACCAATGGAACTACACTCTCCTCCCAAGCGTTCTCTACAGGAGCGTACAAGTACATCGACTGATCCGTGCAAGCCATACTTCCCTGGCAAGCTACTTCAGGTGGAACCGACAAACGCAGAGGACCAAACTCTCAAGGGAGCGTTGCAAAAAGTCGACCAACTCATTTCCAACGCTGTCTCTTCTCATGCGAGCGTAGACAGCGTGACAATTGGCATTGTTTCTGCCAAGGGAACGATTTGGTCCAAGGGCTATGGACGACGCAATGCCAACAGCACCGACACGACACCTCCAGACGAGGATACCATTTACCGCATTGGATCTGGCTCAAAGCTATTTGCCGTCCTGGAGGGCTTCATATTGAGGGACCAGGGATTGATCAACTGGTACGTTGCCTTGACCGTCCGATGAGGCGTTCGCTGATAAAGTTCTTCTAGGGATGACCCGGTTTCTAAGTATATCCCAGGCTTCGCCTATAGCCATCAAACTTGGCAACAACTCAGAAACAACCAGACTGCGACCGAGGAGGACTTTGCCGAACCTATGACACTCCGCCAGCTTTCGACACACATGGCCGGAATTGACCGCGATTTACCAGACTTCAACTGGGACGCCTGGCCGAGCTCACCGCCGATCTCTCCTGCACTCACTCCCAAAACGCTCGAGCAGATTGTGGCTGCAATCGCAGAAACGCCCCTCGTTAACCCTCTAGAGACCACACCCACATACTCCAACTCAGGTTACTCGGTGCTCGGAATGAGCCTTCTTGCTGTCGCCAACAAAGCTGCGGGGACAAACATGACCTACCCAGAGCTTCTTCAGCGAGATATCTTCACTCCTCTCGGAATGACCGGAAGCTCCTTTGCTGCTACCCCAGAGAATGCAGCTCGCATTGCCTATCCCAAGAATCCTGCAGAGATCGTATGTCTTTCCCGCCGTCGTGATAGAACTATCGACTGACGTCGCCATTTAGTATTGGAACCCCTCTGACAATCTTAATCCAGTCGGAGGCCAATTCTCCTCGGTCGCCGACCTCTCCAGGGCCGTTCAATCACTTTTGAACCCATCAAAGCTCAAGTCGATTCTCTCTCCCGCAACCAAGCGTGAATGGATGCGACCCGTTCACGTCTTCCCTGACCACCAAACCGAGTCGGGTATGGGATGGGAAATCTTCAAGTTTGACGACTCGCATGGACGCGAACAACGCTATTATACCAAATCCGGCGACTTGGCATTTTCTCATTCAATCATGCTCGTCAATCCGGAGCTCCAATATGGTATCGTCGTGCTCAACACTGGTGCCTCGGTCGCTCGCACTCTAGGTCTCGAGGTGACGAAGATTCTCCAGCCCGCATTCGAAAAGGTCTTAGAGAACCGCGTTGCGGAAAGATATGCTGGATCATGGAAAGGCGAGAATGGTGACCAAATCGACATCCAGGTCTCGGATGGGGTGCTTTCCATCACGAAGTGGACGACCGCTGGAGTCGACTTCTTCAGCAAGTACAAGGCTGCGTGGGCGGACAGGATTTCTATGTGGTCCACTGGACGCCTTGACGAGTTCAGGATCAGCTTTGGATATATTTCACAGCCCACTGGAAACATAGAGGGATGCTTTGTCTATTGGGCAACGAGGGCACCTATACTCTCGCATCATGCGCCGGTTGACCTCTTGTATTGGGAGGAGCAAGGCGACCAGAGGGTCTTGGTCGTGCCGTCGTCGAATGTCAAGTTGACTAGAGCATAGTTCATTAGCATTGGTTCACGTATTATATTGTTATATGTATTGCAATATTCATCCAATACGACATTGAACTCAAACTTCAGTTGTTTGAATTAGTTGGTCCCAACGACGACATGAGTTTATCTAGTATGTCTCGTATATTCGACACAACGCATTTTATATTTATAAAGTCTCAACAGATGCACCTTCTCGAGTGCTTCGACGGTTGCTTTTTGGTAGAAGGTGTCTGACCAGTCATGCAACGTCCAGCGCAGGACCGTCGACACCCGAAATCACAACGAAAACACTCCAAGATTCTACTCAGAGCTCCGAAGGTTCTCTTTCATCCACCGAACCGTCTTCGAGTCCATCAACACATTATAAAATCACCCTTCACCGGTCCGCAATCGGACTTCCGAAGCGATATAGAGAGACCATCGAGTCTCTTGGGATTAGGAAACGTGGACAAACAGTCTTTATGCGGCATTCGCGGCCCGCGGCAGGCAAAATCCTTCGTATAAAGGAACTCGTCAAAGTCGAAAACGTCCCAGAGGACGCGGTGAAAACTCAGCGAGAGATGCGAGACGAGAGACGAGCTGTTAGAGGGTATGTCGTCAAGCAGAGATTTCGACAAGCCGGAGGAGAAAGCGCAGCGTTATCGTCGACGAGCTGGATGGACGACTTGTAGGAAGGAGAGTCCTCTTGTGCATCATGGGGGTCCAACTTTACAAGTTTGTTGCGTTTCGAGTCTGACATTATCTCATCAATGGTGCATATGATGCTATGGAAGATGCTCTTTCTAATGTATGTCAATCCGAAGATGCTTGGCATTAAACTCTCAGGAGCAGCCAGCGACCACAAAACTGATAAATGAAACGATGACATTGTCTATAGATAGGTAAGATACAGCTAGTATGTTCAGTTACAAATGACAGGGGCAATCATGATGTCGGCTTGCGGAGGATCCAGCAGTCAGTATCAGATCTTGAGACAAGATTAGTGATAACAGCCATAGAAATTTTAAACACGAACCCAGCATTCTTGCCTAATCCACCAGGGCCAGCGGTCATATCCAGCGATGTATGGACCTCCCAGCCATACGCGCTCAAGACGTCCAGCATATTCAGAAGCAAGATGCGTACAGAAATGGCCTCGTCGCCTACGGACCACCATGGATTCCTAAAGGGGCCTCAGCAAAAAGAATAGGGAACCCAGAGTGAAACGAACCCAATAAGTTTGAACTCCCAAGCGACATTCTCGAGCTTCCAGCTCTCCTTTTGGATGTTGCCTCCCCATGTGTTCTTGACCGCATTGATGACCTCTACGGGTGCCCTGACGAGTCTGAGCCGGTCGCCCTCGTGAAAGGAAACGGCCATAAACGAGCAGGGAGGCGGTATATCTCCACTCCTATAGATCATCGTATCCTTGTCCATTGCACGTTTCGACAGATCTGTGGCCATGGCGAGGGTCCATCCGAGATGATAGAGTGCCGAGGAGACTTCACACATCATGTAAATGGCCGGGATCGCCTCATCGCCCTGTCCGGTCCACGGGTTCCCACGTAATTGGAATTCCGTCGATCCCGCGTTTTCCTTTTCCGCTTGGATTCCCTTGGCCCAAGAGCGAAGGATTGCGTCTTTGACGACTTGAGTGACGCTCGAGGGGAACTTGATCAACCGGATGCGGTCTGTGCGTGATCTAATGGTGATAAATACCCATATATGAGGTAATAAGCGAGTACTCACAGGCTTAGACAGGCGTGCACTGGTACAGGACTCTTGCGAGTCTGTCGCCGTGCAGGGGGAGCAATAGATGTCGGCATGTTATTGGTGGACGGGAGAGGAATGGATGTGGACATATTGTTCGTGGATGGGAGAGGCAAGAATGCAACATTCTGATCGAATGGTCGCTCGTAGTGACTCTTGCTTCGCAGGTCTGTAGACGATTTGGCGCGGTTGTGACCATATGTCAACCGGGACGAGGGACCAGCTGTCAACGGTGGCGTAGGGAATCCAGAGTAGGCTAGTGGTGTAACAGGGGATTCGTGAAACTCGATACGAGTGGGAGGAGCAGTTGAAGGCGGCGGTGGGAAATGCAAAACTGGTGGAAGAGTCGAGACTGGTGGAGGTCGATGATGACGACTGGGAGGCGAGGGCCCAGAAATTGCTCGCATTCGAGGCATAGGCATGCGATCTACATCATCAGAGTAGTTTTGCGGTATATTGATGGGCGGCGTCGGCATATTTGAGCCAACAGGTGCATTTGGCGGTGGCCCCATGTCGACATATCCCGAATATGCGCTATTTCCGCTAAACTGCCTGCCTCTATTGTGTGGATCTTGCATGTCTGGGCTGGGTGCTTGCTCCCGTGGTCGTGGTGGAGGATAAGAGTCGAGGCTTGAATTGCTGTCCATCCCGCTTGCCGGTCTGACTGTGGTGTGCTGCAGTTCTGCGCCTCGAGATATGTTTGTTGGGTCTGAAAGATGTGGTCGGTGGTGGAGTGGTGTTGTCCTCAGGTCTCTTGTAATCTCCATCGTCGAGCCCGAGGCCTTGTGGAGGTTGGGCCGTGATCCTGTTGCCTGTCTCTTACGGAGAACAGGCCTTTGGACATCCTCTGATGAGCGATTCTTTAGCACGCGTTCATCCGAGACTCCCACGTAGCGTTGTGACGTCCTGCTGTTCTCGTCTGCCCTAACTGGCGTCTTGGATCTCTTTGCCAGGTTTGGACTCGACAAGTTTTTGAACAAGGCTCTCCAAGTGTCATCCGAGGGAGCACTGGCCATAGAGGGCAACGAACTTTTGTTTGATAGGGAACAGTCCAAAGATCGGCGGTAAAGACCTTTTTATGCTACAGCTATACCACTAAAATTAATCACTAATGGCGCATTGCACGGGGCCGCGGTGCATCGCAAAGGCGCAGGCGCTGCAGCCAGCTAATGGGTGGCGGCTTTTTCTGGCCTTTTCTGCGTACCAATCAGGACCAATCCCGTCCAAATTACATTGACCAGCAGCTTCGCGCAGTGCGGTGCCGGGGCTGGGCACTTATCACCTACATAGCAACTATTATCTACCCGGTGTCTAATGGCCTATCACGATATGAGACGGCCATTATGCGGACATACGAACTGATCTGGTGCGCCCCTGTCAGCCCGAAACGAGCCAAGTTTATTATTGGCCGTAGCAATGTGTTAATAGGCTGGAGATGAAGCCCAGTGATAATTTACAACACTGTATTCATATTCGTAGGGGAAGGGAACGAGGAGGCATACCAGCGGCTTGACTGGCAGTACTTGCCGCCTCGAATCCGAATTCGCGTATCCGATATACACTCGACGTCGGTGTCTGTCAACTTGCGTATACTCATTTAGGGCTTCTTGGACTCGTCAGATATTGATACGGGACATGACCGCCCTTAAAAGTTGGACAACTCGCACACATAGACATACCTCTAGCTGTCGAATATCATATATCTACTCTGTTTGTTGTGCCTAATGAAGAAATATCTGGCAAAATTTAACTGTCGCGCCACATAAGAGAATGACAGCACCTAAATCAGAATTAAGACGGGCGGCATAGGTATCATACAATCATATGCAACATATATCTCTCAGGTAAGCATCTAAGGGTTTGTTTAATGGCCAAGTCGGTGTCAGAACACGCTATATTGTGGTTCGCTTCCAGCTCGCTCTGGGTACTTGGTAACATCATGCCTGCCTGGTGCGACTGATGTTGATTCTGGTGAGAATGCTGAGAATGTTGTTTCATGGGTCATCTGTGAGCACAATGTCCCCAGGATCGTAGACGGGAGGAGTGGATTAAACTCCCAGGGTCCGCGGCGTCAAACTCTCCGACAGGTCGAATGTGTGGTTATAGTCGTCTGTTGATGAAAAAGTTCATCAACTCAAAGCTGGTATTTGCTGTGGGAAGGAAAACGTCCATGCCAAAGTCGAGCTAGATATAACTGATCTGAGAACAAGCTTGAGAGGATTCCTATCCAAACTCTGGTGATTTGAGCCCGTCGTGGCCGTGAACGCTGTGGGGAGAGGCTGTGGCCGAGAGTGGACAAGGGTAGGAAGATCAAGGGACTATTGGATCCTCGCATATGTCGTTGAGCGCTGTCTTTCTAGCGTCTTCCATTCACAAGCTTCTAATGACTAGTCTAACGAGCTCAACGGGATGGTAGACGCCGCTCTGTGGACTCTTTGTTGAGAATGACGGCTTCGCGGGTGTCGACATGGATGACTCTTGGTGCTGGTAAAAGCTGTGTCATCTTAGATAGTTTATCCAGCAACAAAAGTTGGTTTGGGTCAAGTCGACGTGGTGACAGACCAAGTGCAGACTCTGTCGATGGATCATAAACGCAGGTGGTCATTGCTTACCTCGGGCACATCCAACTCGTTTACTTATTCATCATCCAACACAGTCACCAATACTCACTAACTATTCCATATTTGGTTACGTGTTCAACCAGTTTACTATCAAGTTCAATGTCGTGCTGGCCCTTCGCCTCGTGTCTCTGGCACATAGCCTGCCATGGAGAATGCCAGACGCCGACCCATCTTTGACTCTTCCACATCCATAGCGTCGTCTCAAATTCGACTATATCCATCAAGACGAGCATGAATCCTCAAGGCTCGTCGTCTTCTGCAAATCTCCCGTCACGCAAGAGGGGTCAAGTCTACAACACGGCCAGCACCGGTCTCGACTTTGTGGCAAATGTAGCCGAGGCATCAGATATACTCTCTCCTCTCAAGGCAGCCTGTAAAGCCACCAAATCCATTCTCGATGTCCTCCAAGTCAGTTAAACGAGAATGTCATTCTCGCTACTAACGAACAACGACAGACTGTCGAAGACAACCAAGAAGACTGGGATGATCTGACACGGCGTCTGGAGGAATACATGTTTGCTATCGACAATCAAATCGATTCGTTCGAAAAGTATCCCGCAGAAGAGAGGGTCGTCGACGAGGCATTCAAGCAACCGCTGATTCACTATGTAGAGTGGGTGCGGGTTCTGGCCCTTTTTCGATATACTAACTGATTCAGGCTACTGGAGGATTTCCAAGAGACAGTCGCGCATCACAGGCATAAACGAAGCCGGAACGCCTTTGCTTCATTGTCTGGAATAGGCAAAGTCAAATTGGATGCTGGGTTAATTCGCAAGTTCAATCGTGATATCGAGGATCGCCACAGGCAGCTACTGGTATGAGCTTCGTCAACTCTATTCGTGGTCTCACTGTAGGCGCAGGACCAATTAAGTCTCTTTACTGCCTACCGTATTCAAGTGATCGAGCGGAAGGTCGAGTCCACCAAGGCCAATACAGAGGTGACCAAAGCCAAAGTGGAAACAATCCTTTCCGATGGTAAGCGAGAGTTTGCGTGTGGATTCATGGCTCAATCTTTCTAGTCGACACCACTGCTATCCTCCAGCTACCCATGGCTGCGTTTGTCGCGTCCTCGGTCCATGCTCCCTGTTTACAAGGAACCCGGCAGGCCGTTCTCGACAAGATCTCGCATTGGGCTGAGGATGATATGTCAGACAAACCAATATTTTGGTTATGCGACATAGCTGGCTCTGGCAAATCGTCAGTGGCCATGTCCGCAGCAGCGTCGTGGCGAGCCGAGGGAACACTGGGGGCCCAGTTCTTCTTCTCGATGACCAGCGCCGAAGCATCGAATACTGAAAAGCTATGCTCGACTATAGCCAGGGAACTCACACACCATATACCCGCTCTTTCGCCACATATCGCCGATGCTGTGAAGCGAAGTCCAGCCATCACGCGAAATTCGCTCGGCGAGCAGTTCAGCACGCTCGTCGCTGGTCCACTAAACCATCTAGATAAGCGCGTGATCATCGTTATCGACGCCATCGACGAATGCAAGTTAGGATCACAGCGAAGAGAACTTGTGGAGACCCTTGCTAAAGGTGTCCGAGAAAGCAAGAATCTCAAGATCCTCATGACGAGTCGACCGGACCCTGTCATCGAAGCAGTTCTGAAAGAGCTTTCGATCAAAGAAAAGCTAGAAGACCGGCTGCACGATCCCAACCATTCGGATAATATCGACGACATTGCGGTCTATGTCCATCGGTCATTGTATCGAGTTCTCTCCCAGGACAGGAGGCAACGACTGGTCGAAAAGGCCAATGGGCTGTTCATCTGGGCAAGCACGGCATGTCGAATGCTCACTAGCAAGACCAGCTTGAGCTCGTCTACGGCTATATATGATCGTCTGATTTCTATGGACCAACCTGGAGTCATAGACGACGTATATAGCCTCATTTTTGAGCGCATAGACTCCGAAGACCATATGGTTATGCGCACAATGTTGGCCTTGCTGCTCGCTGCATTTGAGCCGCTCACTATAGACGACCTGGACGACCTGATTGAACATTCCAACGTGCTCGGAAGTGCCAAGGCGTTGGTAGAGAACCTGGGAAGCGTACTCAGCGTGGATCCAAGGACAGATCTGATCCAGTTTCGTCACCCGACATTCGTGGAGTACTTGCGACGGTGCACCATTGCTCCAGCCACCGGTGACCGCAATAGAATGTATCTCAACGTAGCTGATGCGCATGGTCAAGCCGTATCATGGTGTTTCAGAAACCTTAAATCGCGAACAAAGGGTCTCAAGTTCAACATATGTCAAATCGAGTCGTCTTTCCTCCTTAACAGACAGATCTCCGACCTGGACTTCAGGGTGTCCAAGTTCATTCCAAGAAGACTTCGATATGCCAGCTCGCATTGGCTGTTCCATTTGTCCAGGACAGACGACAGCTGGCAACGGAAGCTCAAGAGAGAACTGGAACAGATTATAGAAGGGTCATATGTGCTATACTGGGCGGAGGTTCTAAGCCTTATTGGAGGAGTGCCACGAGCGATAGCGGGACTTCGAGCTGCTACAAGCCACATAGGAGTGAGTGGTCTATCGGGATATATATTCTATTATTTTACACAAGAAACAGATTGAAAAGGAGAACAAGAACAGGATGACGGAAATTCGACGATTTCTAATGGCATTTTCGGTGGCGATCCAGGACAGTGCTGCACACATATACGTCTCGGCACTTGCATTTACTCCCAGGAAGTCATCACTGCATAGGGAGAAGGCAGAAAAATATAGGAATACTCTGAGTGCTATCCGGGGGGTAGAAGAGACATATCTGGACCTCCCCAGAACTCTTCGAGGTCACGAGCGATCAGTCTTGACCGTCGGATTCTCGCCAGACGGCTCACGAATCGTCTCTGGCTCTTCTGACAAGACCATTCGACTGTGGGACGCAGACACTGGTCAGCCATTGGGAGAGCCACTTCGAGGTCACGAAGGAGTGGTCTGGGCCGTCGGATTCTCGCCAGACGGCTCACGAATCGTCTCTGGCTCTTCTGACAAGACGATTCGACTGTGGGACGCAGACACTGGTCAGCCATTGGGAGAGCCACTTCGAGGTCACGAGGGATCCGTCTTGACCGTCGGATTCTCGCCAGACGGCTCACGAATCGTCTCTGGCTCTTTTGACAAGACGATTCGACTGTGGGACGCAGACACTGGTCAACCATTGGGAGAGCCACTTCGAGGTCACGAGGGATCCGTCTTGACCGTCGGATTCTCGCCAGACGGCTCACGAATCGTCTCTGGCTCTTCTGACAAGACGATTCGACTGTGGGACGCAGACACTGGTCAGCCATTGGGAGAGCCACTTCGAGGTCATGAAGATTGGGTCCGGGCCGTCGGATTCTCGCCAGACGGCTCACGAATCGTCTCTGGCTCGGATGACAAGACGATTCGACTGTGGGACGCAGACACTGGTCAGCCATTGGGAGAGCCACTTCGAGGTCATGAAGATTGGGTCCGGGCCGTCGGATTCTCGCCAGACGGCTCACGAATCGTCTCTGGCTCGGATGACAAGACGATTCGACTGTGGGACGCAGACACTGGTCAGCCATTGGGAGAGCCACTTCGAGGTCACGAAGATTTGGTCTGGGCCGTCGGATTCTCGCCAGACGGCTCACGAATCGTCTCTGGCTCTTCTGACAAGACGATTCGACTGTGGGACGCAGACACTGGTCAGCCATTGGGAGAGCCACTTCGAGGTCATGAAGGATTGGGTCTGGGCCGTCGGATTCTCGCCAGACGGCTCACGAATCGTCTCTGGCTCTTCTGACAAGACGATTCGACTGTGGGACGCAGACACTGGTCAGCCATTGGGAGAGCCACTTCGAGGTCACGAGGAATCCGTCTTGACCGTCGGATTCTCGCCAGACGGCTCACGAATCGTCTCTGGCTCTTTTGACAAGACGATTCGACTGTGGGACGCAGACACTGGTCAGCCATTGGGAGAGCCACTTCGAGGTCACGAGGAATCCGTCTTGACCGTCGGATTCTCGCCAGACGGCTCACGAATCGTCTCTGGCTCTTCTGACAAGACGATTCGACTGTGGGACGCAGACACTGGTCAGCCATTGGGAGAGGCACCTCCAAGTCAACAGAGATACGCGATTAATTCGGTTACAATATCCCCAGACGGCTTCCAGAGGGTCTCTGGCTCACATGACGGAACAGTTAGTATATGGGATTTGCATACTGGTAAGTGTGGCCTTGGTTTGCTCTTGCTTGTATTTCTGACTTGATAATTATCAGGTGCAAGTCCACATAGCCCCGATATTGATGACGCCAAGTCGCTATCTCCCACTCTCATCGAGTCACCAAATGCTGTTTCCCTGCAAATACAGATACCCGGGTTCAAGCAGTGCTTACTGTTGCACGATGGCTGGGTGCAATCATCTGGCCACTTTCTCTTCTGGGTACCCCCGGAAAATCGTTATGGACTTCAAAATCAGAATCTTCGTCTGACTATGCCAACGTCGAGTCCAAAGCGGGCCACCAAACTCGATTTCACTCATTTCAAATGTGGTCTCTCCTGGACAAATGTAAGGAGTATCGGCAAGTGAATAACTATTGTTTTTATCATTATTGCTATATATAGCATGCGTAGAGAATCTCAGGTGAACGTGGTCCTATGTTTTGCAAAGCGGCGTTATCAGTGTCGAAATTTGTGACAGAAGGAGTCAGTTACCTCGCCAAAAGTTGCCTTCTGTCATTGTCCTCTACTATATTCCCTTACTAATAACTCAATGAGACTGTCCTGAGCCTTTCAGGATTACTGTATACAGTATACCAGCCCTAGCCCTTCCTTACACAAAGTATTTTAAGTAAAGACGCACACGATAGGTTAGGAAGCAATAACACGACTTGTGGTGATACAGCTAGGTGCACAATCGGAGTAGGAAACAGGTGACCACCACGGAACTGACTGAAGAGTATACGTCGTGTTACCGCTATTCATCCGTAGTCCTTGCGTATTCGTCGCTACCCCCAATGCAAGTCTCTCCAATCGCTCACATTATCGCTCCAATGCCTCGCATCCTTCTTCCATGAACCGGATCAACTCGACCGCTCGAAACAACACCCCACTCTTTCCCTTTCCCGTCTTTTTGCCATTCACCGTCCTCCCACTCCCCTTGGGTCTCCCTCTCCGTGGGATCGCAATCTGCTCCGCGCCGGGTCCACTGGGCGAAAGCATCTTGGTGAGCGTGAGGTAGCCGTCGCGAATTGTATCTCGTCGTCGTTTTTCACTCTTGACGTGGTTCATCCGCTACTGCGGTCCGAATAGAACTGGTTTCGGTCGTCATTCTTGTTGACCATTCGAAGGAGGGAGGCCACCGCCGGCAGTGGATGCGCTGGGGCTGCTGCTCGAGGCTGTCGAGGGGAGGTGCATGGTGATAATGATAGTGATGTTGGTGTTGGTGACGTAATGAGGATGTAGTCGTATCTGCGCTCGGGGAAGAGGCTTGTGCTTGGGGTGCCTGGAGCTCTGGCATGGCGGTGCCCGAGCTCGAGTGGAGGGATACAAAATCTGGAAAAGGTCCTTGGTTCATGTAATGCTGTTACTGTTGGTGGAAAGCGAGTGCATGGCCGTTGCCATACTGGTGATGGAGCGGCACAGTTCGAACTCTGTGCCGAACTCAATGCCATATGCAGGCAGGAAGCTGTGAATGAGGTAGTGTCATTGAATGCCCGCCCACGGCGAGATATGGAATGCAGTTGCGAAGTCCCAGTATTCAGGGTAGAACCCACTCTGAAGGGATGTCAATTCAAAGCAAGACCTCACAGAGTGACGTACATTCCCAGTCCACAAGTCCAGAAAATCGGCCTCTGGACAAATATATTACTCTGGCTAAGGCCGCCATGAGAGAAACAGATCCTATGAGGCAATGTATGCGCTGGTCGCACAAGTTCCTGGAGTTCCTCGGGCAAGCCCGCACATCGAGATAACGGGCAGCCATTGAAGGCAGCCTCATCTTCGAGTGGTCCAATAGGGAGTCTTTTACTCTCCATGACATAATTGCCGACCTGTTCAACCCACACAATTGATGATCCCCGGGGGGTCTTATATGAATGTGTCGAAATAGGACCTCAGATCACCTGATATTGGACGAGCTCATCTTTTGTCAGGTTGGTTTCCCCGGTATCCATGATACTTCGCCCGGGAAGTTCAGAAATAATCCAATAATGGAGCTCCGGTAGATAAGTTTGAGGCGAAGGCGGTATGCGGAGGAAGTCGAGGACTCGTGGAGCAGATAAATTTGTATGGTATTCTAGCCACTGGAGGGCATCCCTCTCGTTTTCGAGATTATCCCAAATCTTGAGGTAACAACCAGGAAGAACTTTTCGAATAGAGTTGCTCCCGCGGCCGGGCTATATGCGAGATCCTAGGTCCCACGAGCAACTGATAACAGTAGAGACGGTAGAAGACCCACTTTCCATGCTTGACTGATGCTCCAGTTGTCGACAATTCTCAATGTCGAAGAACCGGAGGTCAAGCTGGTGAGCCAACCGGGCACCGTTCCTGACCGTGTAAATAAGAAAATTATGTGTGATAAAAATGACTGAAATGGCCACCCAATCTGCATCTTCGAGTGTAGCACAGGAGTTGGCTTCCACAAGTCTCTGGATGGACATTACCGATGCCGTCTGAATCTACACATTTCGACGCACATTCCGCGCTTTGTTCATTCGGTCTTCTTAGCCATGTCAGAGATTAACGAGCAATGACTGCGCAGAGCTGGACAATGCACGTACGCACGGTCAAATATCAACCGTACTTGTCATACGAATCGACGAATGGACGGAAACGTCGACCGCCACTTTGACTGCCTCCGCTTCGCCGTAGGATTGGGAACGTCCAATGGCGAGCTCAAAAAAGACCCAGAGTTTGCCAGAGTCGTCGGGAAAGACGTTTAGTGCATTTGCAAACCTCGATACACGTATTCTACGCGCGTTAGCCGATCAGTCGTTCATAAAACCGACCTTGGTGCAAGAAAAAGCGATACCTGTTGCGTTAGAAGGGAGGGATGTGTTATGCAGAGCACGTACAGGAAGTGGAAAAACTGTTGCGTATTGCGTACCGGTTCTCGAGAGGGTGCTAGCAGGACGAAAGGCTGTAGGTCATTCTGAATTGATACTGAATACGCCAATGCTAATCTTTGGTTTCTAATAATCCTGCTAAATCCGGATTCCACTTGGTTTAGTCTAGTAACGACGAGGAAAAGCAATCCACTCGCGCAGTGATCCTTGTACCGACGCGAGAGCTCTCTGAGCAAGTGACTACGCAACTCAAGAAGCTTTCAAAGTACTGTGAAGATATCATTGTGAGCAATGTGACCAGCGGCGGAAATGCACATCGCAATAAGTGAGTCTAGTCTTCACCTTTGACATATCTAACCTATTGAAAAGAATGCTCGGAGATGATCGACCAGATGTCGTAGTCGGTACCCCAGCTCGTGTCCTGGCTCTGGCTCAATCCAAGGTGAATCCTCACTGGTTCGTCAAGCACAGCTGACATTGAAGGCAGACATTATCTCTACATGCACTGGAAATACTGGTCATTGATGAAGCGGATCTTATTCTATCCTATGGCCATTCACAGACGATGCAAACTCTCCTATCCTCCTCGACAAGATCGTCTGACGAAACTACGAACGATGGAACGTCCAAGCAAACAAAATCCTACCTTCCTTCGGTTTACCAATCTGTTCTCATGTCCGCCACTCTCACGGCCGATGTCACCACCCTCAAGTCTCTCGTCCTACGTGATCCGGTGATCCTCACGCTAACAGAAGAGGAAGCAAAAGACTCGCGATCGTTGCTTTCTCAATATGTACTCAAAGTGGACAATGACGCGGAAAAGTTTCTGCACATTTACGTGATCCTCAAACTCAAACTCATCAAAGGGAAAGCTATTCTTTTCGTCAACGACGTCGAACGGTGCTACCGTCTGAAGCTTTTCCTGGAACAGTTTAGCATACGTTGCTGCGTTCTGAATAGAGAGTTGCCGATAAACTCTCGGTGCGTTTCCTTGCATACCCCTAGGCGTTCTGACGTGCCTTAGATACCATACCATTCAAGAATTCAATAAAGGAATCTACGACTATATCATTGCAACGGACGAGAGCGGAGCACGCAATGAGGAAGTGGATTCCGATTCGGATCAAGCAATGGACGAAGGCAACCAAGACCCTGATCTCGACGAATGTGAGCTAATGTCCTTTACAAAAGTCTTGCCGACAAGTTTTCAGTTGTACAGACCCAGCGCGAGGCGGAACCACAGCAAGAGGCACCGTCGTCGCCCTTGGCAGGGAAGAAGCGTAAACATATCGAAGTTGAAGACGAAGACATCAAGATGGAATTTGAGGGTGAAATTGCTGATGCAAAAAAGCAACTCAAGGGGAGCAAGAAGCCAACCAAAAAAGTAAAGGCTGAAGAAAAAGAATACTCGACTTCACGTGGGGTCGATTTTTTGGACGTTGCCTGTGTGGTCAATTTCGACCTACCGTTGTCGAGTCGTAGCTATGTTCATCGTGTGGGCAGAACGGCACGGGCCGGGAGAGGAGGAGTGGCGATCAGTTTTGTGGTGACGACTGATTATAAGATAAAAGTGCGCTGCCCTTTCACTTGTGGTGGATCCACTTCTAATAATTTCGTCGTACAGGGTGGTAAGAGCCATCTGGAAGAGACGAAAATCTGGCGACGAATCGAGCGCGACCAGAATGGATGGTCAAAGGACGTATACTCGCTTCCCGCAGAGGATAAACCTCAGAGCTGCATCAAAGATTTTACTCTATCACCAAATCTTCTCGCCGGCTTCCGCTACCGAATGCAGGATGCGTTGCGAAGTGTCACTGGTAAAGCAGTTAAAGAAGCTAGGATCAAAGAATTGAAGAATGAGATTCTCAACAGTGGAAAACTCAAGGTATGCGACTTCTTTGTTCCAAGGCTCGATGCTGATGACCATGAATAGGCCCACTTTGAAGATCATCCACTAGACTTGGAGTATCTCAGACATGATAAACCGCTTCACCCAGCGAGGATTCAGAGTCACATGAAGTATGTACCGTCGTACCTACTTCCAAAGGGCGCGGTCGCAACCACCTCAACAACCTCGGCAACTGGAGCACCGCATGAGGGTATTGGACGATATGATGGTGCTATAGCCGCCGGTGTGGTTGGTACGTAACGAGCAATCGTATCTGCACCTTGGACTGAGGTTTTACTAGGAGACACTTCTGGCGCCATCGAAGGATTTGTACCGTTCAACAAGCATTCTCATCCGCGAGGACGAGGACGCGGTAGAGGTTCAAGTATACGACGAGGGGGGCCAAGTGCCCGTGGAAAACGAAAGAACGATCCATTGCGAAAGTTTGGTGCTTAACGTGTACTCGTATCTCAATGTATAGTTCTCACTTATTCCCTCATTTGACGATTATCAGAGGTGGGCTCCATGGCTTATATACTTTGACCCCTTCCACAACTGCCTAATGTACCAAGATGACCTAGACGATCTCTTACCGGCGCTCCCAACGCGCCAAAACGCGCTTCCTAGTTTCAATGATCCTGAAGAGGATCCATTTAGCAATCCATTTGGCGGAGGATCGGATCCTTGGGCCAGCTTTGGCAAAACATCAGGTCATGGCAGTCTTAAATCGCGTCTTCGCGTGCTGATAGGCGCTATATTATAGATACATATAACGATTGGAACCCAAATGTCTTTGCAGACGAAACGTCGCAGAAGCCACATGCCTCGCTCGGCCAGACATCTGCGCCGTCGTCCCCACAAGCTCAGAGAGTGGTCGACGACGTGAATGACGACCACCAAAGTCATGAAACGAAGCAGACTAGTTCGGAAAGGGATGGTTTCGACGTGACCACGCCGCGAAACGAAAACCAGAGTGCTGTCGAGCCTGCGAATGCTACTCCTGAGTCCGCAACGACGATTGGGATCGTAGATCCGTTAGATGCTGCGTTATCAAATGTCGAAGAAGCTCCAGCGCATGTTCCAGTAATCCAGCGAAAGCTGCCTTTGGTTATCAAAGAAACCACTGCAGAATCTCCATTAGTGACGCCGGTACCAAAATCTGAATCAGGATCTTTAGAAACTCCTACAGCCATGACAAATCAACCAGCTGCTCCCTCTACAAATACTGAAGAGGACGGCGAGGCAAAGAGCCATCAACACCTACGCTCCCGACAGCAGATTCCGCCACGCCAGAAATCCCTCCCACTGTTGTCGCCACGCCTTCGAACATTCTCGATGTGCCAACCTCGACGAGCACCGACGAACCGTCGCCTGCATCGCCGTCCGACGCGTCGATCACCATCTCAACTTCCGAGGTGGCACAGGTGACACCTGCTCATTCGCACATCTCATCGCGAGATCCGTCATCTTCTGATGTCGAACGACAGTCATTTATGGACAAAGTCGTTGTGTCCCCCTTGGAACGCACACCCTCCATGCCGCCAAACCCCCTCGACCGGAACTTTAGCGCGCCAGTACTTGGTGCTGCGGCATTGGATAGTGGTGGATGGGGAGATGGATGGAGCACGGACAATATGAGCCACTCCTTCCCTGTGCCGGGAGCGTCGGTAGGACAATCCGAGCAACAAGATGGAGAGCGGGCTGCCGCTACAGAGGAAGAAGAAGATGTAGGTGCCTCAGTTGATGTGGCTCACTGTCTGATTCTCTTACAGCCAGACGATAATGTGCCCCTTGCCCAGTCACTCTCCATGTCAAAGCCGCCACCGCCCGTGGCGATGTATGTGATCTCCGTGGGTGATCCACAAAAGATTGGGGACCCAATTTCTGCGCATATCGTGTACACGGTAACAACAAAGGTTTGTTTGCTGTCTTCTAATGGGGTTCCTTACTGATCGACTGCAGACAAACAATCCTAATTATAAGAAGAGCCAGTTTTCTGTTTTAAGGAGGTACTCAGATTTCGTATGGCTATATGATACCTTATGTGCAAATAACCCTGGCGTCATCGTGCCGCCCATCCCAGAGAAAAACTCGCTGGGCCGGTTCCAAGATGCATTCGTCCAGGTGTGTAACGCTTTTCATATACATGTTACAGACACCTTACACTGTACAGGCACGACGACTCGCACTGAACAAGTGTATCCAGAAGACTGCAAATCATCCTGGGCTTTGTCACGATAAGGATCTCCAGCTCTTTTTGGAGAGCGATAACTTTGCGTTGGATGTGCGATCTCTTATTTTGGTATTCTATTCTTTTGCTGATGAAGGTGCTATGTCAGATCAAACACCGACGGACGGAAGAGGGCGGTGGACTCTTATCGTTCCTCAGCAATACGGTGGCAAGCACTCGATTTTATGAGACGGACGAGTGGTTCGAGACGAAGAAGGTCTATCTGGATGGATTGGAAAATCAACTGAGGGGGCTTATTCGATCGATGGAAGCGGTGGCCAAGCAAAGGACAGGTGAAGAGTCCGTTTTGACTTGTGTATTGCATCTTCACTTACAACTGCATTCTCGGCAGAGTCGTCCCAAGCGCTGGCGGAACTGGCCGATACGCTCGAGGCACTGTCCACGTCGGATATTTCACAGCAGTTATCGAGCTCGTTCTCACATCTCGCAACCGTTCAACGGAAAGCGAAACAGATTCAGGATGAGCAGGCCAACCAGGATGTGGTTACATTTGCCGGTACAGGTATGTGACTTTCTCGATATTCTAGTGAGAGGGGTATACTAACACGCTATTGTAGTGGAAGAGTACGGGCGGATGATAGGATCTGTTCGAGTGAGTTTGGTACCGGGCTAGACGAATTGGTTATTGACAATGGATATGGGTAGCTTGCGTTTGCATCGCGAGTTAAATGCTATGGACAGTGGCAAAATGCAGAGAACGATCTACGGCGAGTGCGAACGGCGCACGAAAAGGCACGCAAGCAGTCAAAGACGCCGGAACGGCTTCATTACCATATCCAAGAGGTCGCAGATGTACGTTTCCTCTCTCTTACTTGGCAGGTTCACCGTACAAACTGATGATGCTGTAGGCCGAACGCAAAGTGTCGCACGCCAAGTCGGAGTTTGAGCGGGTGACAAAGTTGGTCAAGATTGAGCTTCACCGATTCGACATGGAACGTGTGGAAGATTTCAAGAAATCGTTAGAGGCATTCCTGGAGGGTATGATTCGGCGCCAGAAAGAGGTGAACGCACAGCATTGTACGTGAGGGTGATACTGATGTTCTCTAGCTTATAAATGCGTGGGAGGAGTATCAGGCGTCATTACTGCAAAAGTCTGGCGCAAATCCAGTCAATCGGGAAGATGTTGCGTCGACTGCGTAGCGAAATAGAAGTCTGACACCCAATCGCGCTCTCGATAATCATCATGGGGGAGCTGGTATAAGATACTTTATTAACCATATACCTCGTCTAGTATCCGGTGAATGGTACGCGAACGAAGTGATATAATGAAGCAGCGTGGCTGACTCCGGGCGTCGGTCCACTGCAAATGAGAATACAGGCGCATTAACGAAGCTATCAAATACAACACAAAGTGTCCTTCTATAACTGACATTCTCTAATGAGGGTCGTTAACCGTCCATGCGGATAAACTCGTTGCGCTTGAGGTGTTGTTTGCGGTGATGGACGCAGAGACCGAAGATGGCCCACATGACGAGCGTCTCGAGATAACCCAGCGTCGCTTCGGCAATCGAGAGGGGAAGGAATGACTTTGACTCTGACCAGCCTTCCCACCCAATAAAGCCTACAAACGCAGGTATCCATGGAAAGCTCGTCCAGAAGACTGCAAGGAGGCAGGATATTGTGCAGTTTGCGACATTGATTAGGAATGGAGGGTATGGTTCGATCGTTTGTCCGTGGTAGCGTTGCTCCTCGACGGTCTGGGGAAGATTGGAACGAATGCCCAACCTTCCCGAGTTGATGGGGGATCCGGGTCTGTATACTGATGTCCTTGAGCCGTTTGTGTTGTTCTGGTCGAGAATTGTTGTCGTAATTGGGATGGGGGGAGGACCCATGCGTTTGTAGGAGAGCACAAAGAGGACGACATGGTATATAGTTGTCAGGAATGCCGCAATGGGGGTCATGAATAGGCTCAGAAAGCCTAAGTGCACCATGGACACGGAGAACGCGGCGACACACAATGTCAGTGAGAGAATGGAGAGCCAAAAGACCACAGGCGGAAGTGGTCGAGCTGGTCTCATTTTGTTGGAATTATTTGAGATTATTGAGAGTTGTCCCGTGACGGGTTGGCTGAGCTGCGGGAGACCAGAGACTAAGGGCTTTATGTGTCCGGCGCGGGAAACACGGCCGCCGAGGATATACACTGCCTGAGCCTCATAATATATGAAAGCCCGTCTCTTGAATACCAACCCATTCTCATCCCAGCGACACAAGTAATTGGCCAAGCACACTCTTCATGGGAAGATACATTTCGAAACGGTGAATGCACTCCTAGATCAACGGATGCTTTATGCTGTACGCTTCGGTTCCGCTGCCGACAGCCAACGGCACAATATGGGTGGCTACTTTGAGTCAAATACGGCAAGGTTTCACAGGACAACAATACAATACCCTCTAGACGGATTTGTAGACTTGGACCGATGGGTGGCAAGAGGCTCAACAACTTCGTCTCGTCTGTTGCATCATGGTGACCAACATTATCTATATCGATAGTATAAATCAGAGGAATCAAGAAATTGTCTCCATCCCGGCCTCCGGAATGGTTGTAATCTTGTCGAACGAATCCGAGCTACGAAGCGTCGCTACAAGGACACATTGGCCTCAGACCTCAACCCGTACCAAGTGGACATTCCTTCTACGGATGACCTTGATCAACAGATCGAAAGGAAATTAAAGACGCTTGGGCCGTCACTCTTACCAGGTTATCGAATTGACCGCCTTTATCCATCGGGACCTCCCACGAACACCGTGCATATCGTTGTCGTGTACTCAGGTGGTGTTGCGAGTGCACGTTCGCAGTTTTCCCTCTCGGGTCGCGCTGACTGACGATCGCCCAAGTCCCTAAACGGCTTACCACTCATTCAAGTCCGACCCTTGCTGCTGCTCAAAAGCGCATCGAAAAGTTTCTGCACGACCTTCGTCCTCGAATAAGGTCATTTTTGTAATCGCCCTCTCATCTTCCATCCTGGGCCCCGCCCGAAAGCGTTGACCCGGAAGTCCATAATTTCTACCAGAAACTAAACATACCAATGATGGATGGTAGGCCCAACTTACTGCTCCACAATCTTGGAGACAGCCATAAGAAAGCGGATGCCATATTCACAGAGGCCAAAGTGTAAGTACTCTGAGGCTTGTCATCTTCCGCTTACGTGAATGTTAGCGTGCTATGCAATACTTCAGGATCGGGCAAGACTCGAGTTCTTTTGGACGGACTTTCGAATCGCTGGGGTTTCTATCTCACCGCGGAGCCATCACTGGACCACATTGGGTCCTCGGATTTGGGGTACATGATTGACAGAATGAGCGGAAAAGCAGGATGGGCGAGCGGCGTCTTCGACGGTGTGTCCAACCGCCGTGTGACACAATCCAAAAGTCAAACCAACGAGAAAATTGCAAAGCTGGGGGTATCTCGTATCCTCTTCGCCAGATGGAGCATACTCAAAGTCTTCCTTGAGGTAGCCAAGCAAGTCCATGGGTCGCTACCCCCGAATATCAAAGAGAGTTGGCTTTTGTTCCAGATCCTCTCGCCCACTAGCGATGTTTTCAGGCAATTCATCGACTCTTGCCTTGCCGGTGTCGACACAGATCAGCAAATCCCGCGAATTCATCTCTTCGACGACGAGAGCACTCTGTTCTACTATGTGCTAGACCAGATTCAAGAAGCCGAACATGCCCTCATGGGTTGCTTTTCGGACTCTAGTGGCCTGCAGCGAGGATCTCTCCTTCTACCTCTAGTCCAACGACTCTTGGACGATAACCACCATGTCATCTTGTCGGGTGTAAGCTTCTCGCTTGATCATCTCCCAACTGCCACCACGTCCCAAGTTCAGTGGCACATTCATCATCAGATGGACGACCTCTCAGACCCAAACCGACAGGAAGCGTACATACGGCGATATCTTCCCGAGACGTTTCTCGCCTCTGATGTCGGGCGTGAGTTGGTCAAGCGGATGTGGGAGTCATGTCGAGGACGGTGAGTAGCAGCAACTCATCCGCTTCATAACATGCACTAATGTACCATAGACCCATATTTACGACTGCGGTACTCGAGAAGCTAATGATCGGGGAGTGGCACACATATGGACCCTCATCTCCGATGACTGTCTTGAATGCATGTATCCGGTCACTTACTGGATATAATGCACTCAAATCCAACTGGAAGATCTCGGACGAACCTGCCATCTCGCACACTTCGCTTCGATCGTTCTATTGGAGCGCAATAGACACAGGCGCGTCACTCTAGTTATCCACTGGAAAGTCTAACTATCACTTACAGACTCTTCGCTAAAAGTGAAACTTGAAATCGGTTTCCACAACTGGTTCATATTGCAAGAGCCATTGATCGTGGACGATGATCAAGGGCTGGCCGAAACTAGCCTCGGAAGATTTACTCTGGTCACGAATGAGCAAAAACATCCCAAGTCGTCCATTATCATCGACGAGCCATTGGCGTTGGTCAGCATATGTCATCGTCTCATCGAGAAGCGATTTCTCCCTTCGTTCGTTTGGAATCGCTTGGAATCCGAGAACGGAAAGGGACCCGAGGGGCTTACCTGGTGGCTCTAATTCGACTGTTTCAAAACGAAATCAACTTGGGATATCTATTCAATTTTGCTAAAGATCCCTCCCAATGGTTCTTGTTGAAGGCGCAGATCATTTCAAAAACCGCAAAAGGTTATATCGAATATCAAGGTACCTTGCACGAAGTCGACCGTCAAGTCCCTCCATTTCGAGCTCAGAACCCAGACGACGTGACCAATTGGCTAACAAGTAATTCCTCACCCGCGTGGTGTATACCAGACCCGATGATGGGACCAGATCTTATGACACGAGTCAAGCTCAGCAATGGTGACATTGTTTTGGTTGTGGTGTGGGTAAAGTATTGGGAATTTGGGGCTTCGAAGGACGAATCACTTCAGGCGGAAGACACAGCAACCGTGATTCGATCCTTGACACCTTCTGAGTGGTTTTCAAACACACGCGCGCGTTCTGCTACAACCATTGAAGAGGGCCAAGTCAAAGCGATGCTCTCAGAAGTCAACAAATTGAACCTGCTTCGAGTTATTGTCACCCGTTCATCGGGTTTCTGGCTAGACTTGGATTCTCAAGAGGTTCGAAGCTCAGTTGCAGCAGACGAACATCCCCTTGCGACAATTGGATTACTTCACATCGCTCAAGCTTTTTCTGAAGCCACACGTAGCCACGAATCTGTACACGGACTAAAGGTAGAACAAGTCAACAATGCACTGGAGTCACCTTAGGTGGGAAAGGCGAAACGACGCGAATCGGTCCAGTCCGACAGCTATCTCCGGAGCGTATCGAGGTGAAGAGATATGGAATGTATTCTACAGTACGGTAGACCTGCGCAACGTCTGGGGGATGCCTTTGCTTTAGTCTTGTTGCCCTCGCAGCTCCCCTGTCTGTTCACTAGAGGCTTCTTGGAATGCAGTACGTCAGCTAGAGGAGCCGTCGACGGTTTGATATTTCCAAATTGAATGCACATGCATTGTAGCGATCGAATACAACAAAGATGTCCATGCGTGAGCTTCATAGTCCATAGCTTCGTTACCCATCCATGCGGATGAATTCATTGCGTTTGAGGTACAGCCTGCGGTGGTGGACGCAGAGGGCAAAGAGGGTCCACATAACTAGCGCCTCAAGATAACCCAGCGTCGTTTCGGCTATTCCAATGACCTCGTAAGGCCTTCTGTCGACTGGCCAGCCTTCGTACGCTACGACGGCTATAAAGACGGCCAACCATGGGAACCCCGACCAAAAGATGGCGACAATGCCGAGTATAGTGCAGTTAGCGACGCTGATGAGGAATGAAGGGTATGGTGCCACCGTTGCTCCATACTCCTCGACGTCCGACGACTGGGGGTGATTGGAGCGGGGGAGATTACGCCCAGAGTCAGCAGATGACGCGACTATGGAGATAGAGCTATCCGATATGTTTTGGTCCCGAATTGCCGCTGTGGGAGCAGCTTTGGGTGGCGGGCCACCGCGCTTGAAGGACAGCGCAAAGATGACGATGTGATGGACAACCGTCAAGAATGCGGCAATGATTGTCATCCACAAAGTCAGAAAGCCGAAGTAGACCATGGACACTGCAAACGCCGCTGCGCATAGGGCGAGCGAGAAAATGGAGAGCCAAAAGAAGACTGGCGGGAGTGGTCGAGCTGGCCTCATTCTGATGTAATTTGTGTGGGATTATGGTGAGCTATACCGTGGTGGGTTGGCTGGAGCTGTTGACGAAGTGGCTCTCAAAAGCTTTATAAGTTCCAGGCATCGGTTGAATGCAGGGACCGGCCGCCTGCCGGTGAATACACAATCTAGAACCGCAGTCCTCATAAGTGATTGTAATATCTTGTTCATTTCTGTGTATTCCAATCACTATCGTCGACCCCACCACCCTCCCAGCAGGCTGCCCAAAACGCTTCTCTGCGGCGCCTCAGCTGCCTTGTCCTCTGCCCCCTGTCCTAGAGCAGCCGGTTCGTCTACTTGAGCCTGTGACTTAGTTTTCCCATCTGTCTTGGTAGCAATCCCTAGGCCAGGTCTCGCCGCACTCGGACCTGCTGGCTTCTTCACTTCGACCGCTCGACCGGCGCGGCGCTTGACCTTGTTGAGCGGATCTTCAATCGAGTTGAATGCAATGTCGTAGAATAGGGGTTTCTTCCCTTTGCCCTCCACGCCATCTTTGACTGACCCGCCATTCAGGGCGAACCAATCCATCTTCATCCGTTTCTCCTCCTGAACGATCCGCACCTCTAGTCGCTGGATAGCCTCCTCCGATAGCGGGAAATACTCCGTTTCCGGGGCATCACCTTGTGAAGAGAGAAGCGACAACTGGAAGCGCGCTTCACGCAGTCGTACTTGGGCCGTCTGTGTTAACGAGACCGCTTCGGCATATCTTTTCAATGACGCATATGTTCTCGCCATATACAGACACCTACAGTCGACATCCCCACATCAGTTCCCGCCCGTTCAGATGGCCATGATGGATAACGACGTACCTTGCTGCGCGAATAAATGCGATGCGCGCGTCTGTTGCGGCTGCAACATCGGTACTCTCGTCCACTACCGTAAGCGTCCGCATCTGATTCAAGTTTTGTAACACCGTGTCATACAGCTTGACTACAGCCGGGTTCACTCTTGGGTCTTCTTTCTCCTGGGATGGTGGTGGAGTCGTCTGCCCTCCCACCAAGACGTCGATTAACAGCAAATCACGCTGCGTGCGCCGTGCGAGTAGCTGATATGTCGTAAACGAATGCACAAAATGAACGTCCCTCTCCTTCTCTGTCGTGTTACCGGTGCTTGTGGGGGCACCACCCCCTCCCAACCGTTTCGCTTCGGATAACTTGCGTGCAATTGTCTCTGCATCACTGAGTGCTTGGAGAATGCCATCAAATGCCGTCACACGTTTCTTCGACTTGGCATTTTGCTTCGACGATTGTTGTCCTCCTTGCCCTTGTTGGGGTTGCTGCGCGTCCTGAGTTCCGGTCAATTTTGCCGACGCGGCCTCGACTTTGAGAAACGCGTCCACGAGCTCGGGATTGCGCAGAGGCACACTCTCGCCTTCCCACTCCAACCTGCTCAGCTTGTCCGCCTTTCCAGCAACGCCACTCGCACGCCCTCCCTCCTTCGCCATCGCCTCTGTGATTTTCTCGTACAAGGGAGCGAGCTTGCTGCGATTACGCGGTGCGACCTCTTTGACAATCGCATCAATGTCATATGCACGCTTATGTCCCAGTTCATGGGCACAATAGCGAATCTCCGGTGCGATATCGTCAATGAAAACACTCGCAATAGCCTGGTCATGCGACGTGGGTGCTTGTGCGGTGAGTTCGTCCAACATGCTCCGCGCGACGGATAGGGACGCCACTCCCGTATCGTATTCCTCGCGTACGCGCTGGAATCGTCCACGGAGGAGAAGCTCATAGATGATCACTTCGGCCATGTCTTGTCCACTTAGGTTGGACGCGGTAAAGAGGGACGTGCAGGTTTCGACGAGTTGATGGGCCCAGGATTGTGCGCGTCGGATTCGGCCCATTGCACGACGTCTGTCGGACGAGTCGTTTGATTTGGCGTACAGCTCCATGAGCTCCTGTGCGTATGCCCATGCGCGTTCGCTCTCGAATAGGAGGAGTTGCAAACTGGCAAAGAGTCAGACCCATGCTATTCTGCCAGGCAGGATCCAAGAGCGGACATACTAGGAGCCGTTGATCTTTTCAGGTGCAATGGGCGGGAGCGGTTTAAAGTCTTTACCCTTGCCGTGGGTCATTTTCAGCGAGCTTCGGAGACGATGGACGCGATTCGCGCAGTGTTTCCTGTGAATTAGAGTATTTTAGTTCGATGAATACATCTTTGACGCTGTTACGTACCGATATCGCTCAAAGTCGTTGTACCGAAGGCCATAGCTGCTGCGCTCCTTGTCGACGAGCAAGAGGGCTGACGAGATTTAGCTTTGTAGATAATAATAAAATCATTTATGCACCTCTAAAGCTGACAACGGTCTGGCTCGTCATATGCAGGTTGGCGACGCAGAGATCAACTCTTGACTCCCGACTAGAAAACACAGGGTGATGGATCGAACGCCGTCGCTCCCTCCGACGCTTCAAAACGTCTTGGATCAAACGTCACTCAAGTGGATATTCTGCGGTACGCCTATCTTTTCAACGCCCTTGGATCTCCAGCTCATCCACGTACGTGTTCTCTCGTTTGCAGGTGGCAAGGGTGGTGTCGGTGAGCAACTCGACTCTCGTTCTCTAGCAAAGGACTGGATGTTGATTGCATTATTTGGATCTGGTCAGGCAAGACGACGACATCGTGTTCACTCGCCATTCAACTCGCCTCGGTCCGCGAGTCTGTTCTGCTCATCGTACGTCTTCTACGCGTTCACACACTTTCTCTAAACGATATGGATACAGTCTACGGATCCAGCTCACAACTTGTCCGACGCGTTTGGCCAAAAGTTTGGCAAGGATGCGACAAAAGTAAACGGGTTCGACAACCTTTACGCTATGGAAATCGATCCTACGGGCTCTCTACAGGAAATGGCTGAACAATGTATGCTCCCTATCACTATTCTTGCACCACTTTCTCACTTGTTCTTCCGTCTTCTAGCACAGGATGCGATGGGCGGCATGGTCCAGGACTTGGCGTTTTCGATACCTGGTGTCGATGAAGCGATGGGATTCGCAGAGATTATGAAGTGAGTAAACCCTTATTTGATTGAGTTTGTATTCTGAAGGCGTAGACACGTTAAATCGATGAAATACTCTGTCATCGTCTTTGATACAGCACCTACAGGGCATACACTACGATTCCTATCCTTCCCTGCCGTGCTGGAAAAGGCCTTGGGTAAACTGAGCTCGTTGGGTGGACGAATCGGCCCTATGCTCTCGCAAGTGAGTCAATTCACATACCGTAATGCACTCCTAAGTGATTCGTAGATCTCGAGCATGATGGGAGGTCAGCCCGGTATGCAGGAAGACTTGTTCAGCAAGCTCGAGGGTATGCGGGAAGTCATCAACGAAGTCAACAATCAATTCAAGGATCCGGTATGTTTCCAATTTTATCCTAGTTCTCTTCTGACTGCGTTGTAGGAGAAGACGACGTTTATCTGTGTCTGCATCTCAGAGTTCCTCTCTCTCTATGAGACGGAACGATTAATTCAAGAATTGACCACCTACGAGATTGACACGCATAATATAGTGATCAACCAGCTTTTACATCCCAACAAAGGTGACTACGCCGCTGTTGGTTGACGACCTATTGACATCCATAGACTCCAATTGTGAACACTGTCGCGTACGGACGGCGATGCAGCAGAAATATCTCAACGAGGCTTATGAACTCTATGACGACTTTTTCCACCTTGTAAAGCTCCCACTACTCACTGAAGAAGTGCGAGGCCCGGAGAAGCTCAAGGCGTTTAGCAAGATGTTGGTCGAGCCATGGATCCCACCACCGTCATGTTAGTCTAGGCTCCTACCTAATACATTTATTTCCTCTGTGGAAAACTCGATGAGCGTGATTCCGGTGTATGCGAGATCGACAGCCGGCTACTTTCGAAAAGTCAGATGGCACAGTAAACTCATCTTCCGACCACGTCATGAATTACGACCCAGCGTTAGGCTGGGACGTCGCTTTAGGGCTGCAGCTCTTTCTGGCTGCATTATTCCTTTTATTTGTCTTCAAGCTTATTCGTACCGGCAAGCGCGACCACCGACGGCTACACTATGGCTCGGTTGCGATTCTCGTCCTAGGGGATATCGGTAGGAGTCCAAGGATGATGTATCATGCTCAAAGCTTTGCAAGCCATCGAGTACAGACATACATCGTCGCCTATAAAGGTGCAAATGCCTTCTTATGAAATACTATTCTCGGATTAACCATTGGTGTAGGGTCAAAACCTATTCCATCTCTACTTTCAATGTCTCATGTCGAGTTTCTATATATCCCAGAGCCACCGCGCTGGATATCCAAGTTGCCACGACGCCTGTTCATACTGCTGGCGCCAATCAAGGTTGCATACCAAATATGGGGCCTTCTCAATGCTCTAGTACTACAGATTCCAGAACCTCCGGTTCATATCCTAGTTCAGGTAAGATTGCTTTCACTTCGAGTCGAGATTCTCACCCTCTGGCACAAGAATCCGCCTACAATCCCGACGCTCGCTGTTGCCTGGCTTGTGGCCCGTATACGTGGGAGCAGAGTAATCATTGACTGGCATAATCTCGGTTACACGATTCTCGCGCTGAGGCTTGGGGAGAAGAGCAGACTCGTATCCTTGGCGAAGAAGTATGTCTCCACGCTAAATTCTTATGAAACTCACAATCTGTAGGTTCGAACAAGTGTTTGGTCGCTCGGCTTATGCGCACTTGTTTGTGACGAATGCTATGAAGGAACATCTCGTCAAAGAGTGGGACCTTCAGTGAGTATTCCAAGCTTTAGCGCAACCCAACTAAGCGCATCTACAGAGGCAAAAAGATTGTCCTACATGATCGACCGCCATCCTATTTTCATCAATGCTCCCCAAGCGAGATTCACGACGTATGTTTCCTCTCGACGGCACGACTATGCACTGAAGTCTTTAGCTATTTGTACGCCTTGTGCCGCTACTTACGGTTGAAGGGTCATGGTTCCCAAGTTACAAGCTTCCTTCAACGACTCCATTCACCGAAATCGTAAAGTCTCCTCGGTACTATGGTGGTGACACCTCTCTTCTCGAACCTCGAACTAGTCCAAACCTACGGCACGAACGACCGGCATTGCTTATTACCAGTACATCATGGACACCTGATGAAGATTTCTCCATTCTCATAGAAGCTCTCAAGAGGTACGAGCGCGCTGCTCGAACTCACAACGCAAAGCAACCAGCAAAGCCACTCCCTAAGGTTCTGATGTGCATCACTGGTCAAGGGCCTTTGCGTGCCAAATACATGGCAGAGATTCAGGATCTGATTATAACCGAAAAATGGGAATGGGTACGGTGCCAGAGCTTGTGGCTTGAGCCAGAGGATTATCCCCGACTATTGGGTGAGTACAGAGGGTTATTTCGAGATGAAATTGATAAAGGTCAGGTTCTTGTGATCTCGGTATATCACTCCATTCGAGCTCGTCAGCATTGGATCTTCCTATGAAGATTGTGGACATGTTCGGGTGCCATCTGCCTGTCTGCGCACTCAATTTCGCCTGGTACGTATATTGAGGCCTAAAAAATCGGCTCTCACCCTCCATTAGTCTGGGTGAGCTCGTCACGGACGGTCAGAACGGTCTCGTCTTTGAAGACGCGGACGGGCTGGCAACTCATTTACAAGTGAGGTATTGAACTCGTGCTCAGGGTCGTTCTCATCAATTCTTTGTAGACGTTATTATCAGGATTTCCAAACTCGGAACAGTTGGACAGACTTCGCGCAAACCTTGGCCCTCAAGTATCTTCGCCATCTAGAAGAATATCAAAGGGATGGAAGACATGGGACCAAAACTGGGACGAGAATTTTAAACCGCTCGTGATACCCGAGCTATCACAACAGTCGGAAGAGTGGCTAGAGGCCTTTGTCAATAAGCGACGGTCTGCTACCGCAAGTTCGCCTTCATTATAGATACTTCATGCTACGGAATGGATACATTGTACAGTTGCTTTGACCATTTCAGAGAGTGGTTTGCTAAGCGGTCGCCGTGGAGGTTGATGCGACGTTGGCGAACGTGAGTGTTTCCAGCCTCCCCTTGCCTTCAGTATGCTGCTGCAGTAGCTCGTTGAGCACTCTGAACTGCGATGGGTCGATTAAGAGTGTCTGTGCCGTGTTAGTCTATGGCTTCCCCGAGGACGAGAACTTACGATTTCCCAGTCGGTTGCGCCAGTGATATCTTCTTCGACTCTGTCGGCGCTTTGGAGTACCTTCTCGCGCACGGCATCGATATTGGCAAGTGGGATGGTGAGCTTGACCCGCATCCTTGCTCTTTGAATTGGGAGTTTGCTATTTGTCTGAATCAAACGTATGCACTCAGATACCTAGTATCGCTTTCAATATCCTGTACTCTGGCTTGAAGACGAACTGACCTGGGCTTTGGCATTCTTGCCAGCTTTGACACTAAATCCTGCCTCATGCATAGCCTTTTCGATCATTCCAACAGGAATTGGCCTTTCTGTCTGTGGGTCGACACACTTTTCGGAGACGAGGGTCGCGATTTCTCGCCACAACGTCGATAGTTCGTGCTCCCGTTCTTTTTCGCCGACCTGGACCTCACCATGCTGTAGGATCTGCCCAAATGTGAATATTTCCGGATTATTAGGTGCGATGACTCACCTCTCGGACTATCGCGTCCGTATTTGCCTTGCCAAAGGCTTTCTTCAAGTCTTCCGTCCGTGCAACCTCTCCTTTCGAGACGTTCACAAAGACATTGTTGACTTGCAGAACATCGTCAATGTCGGTTTCCCTGCCATGTATGAGCATGGACCGCACGCCACTGACTCATGTAAGCGCTTACACTCCATTCCTCCACTCTTGGATCTTGTTCTTGTAGCAGGCAATCTAGACCTAATATAAGCCTGGCTATATCATTTGCGAATTCTATACCTCGAATCGTTTGCCCCCTTTCTTGAGCCTCACAATCGAGACGTTGGTGAGCCTGGGAGGCTAGTTAGACATGTATTCCGAAAAAGAGGATATTTATGTACTTAATCTGATTTGATGGCTGATTTAAGCGCATATTTTGTGAGAATAGATGGTCGATGCGAGGTCAGAGTGTGGTGCAGCGCGTCTTGCACCTGGCCGAGTTGTTGGAAAAGCAAAAGCACCGTCAGAATGGATCTCTCGACACTCTTATCAGAGTCACAGGCCTTGACGGCTCATCTGGCGCCAAACGACATTCCTTCTATCCACTTGGGTCTTGAGCAAATCGAGGCGCAGTCCCGTCGGCTGGTAACACGTCAAGCTGCGGCTCCAGCAGACACAGGAAAGGCGTATGTAGCATTCTTAAATCGTTGACGCGTCGCTGACGAGATTTCTGTCGCGTTCAACAGGAGCTACCTTTTGGCACAGGCCCAGGTCGACACCGGCACATTGGCAAATAACATCGCTGCTCTGAATACTGCAACGACATTTGCACCACTTCAGCCTTTGCACGATACGGATGTCGCTGGCTATCTTCGACACGCCCATGAACAAAGTATCATTTCGACGATTGAGGAAGGAAGACGAGATACGTTGCTAGAATTCAAGCGAGTCTTGGACGAGCGTGTCAAACGTGATTGGGAGGCGCGAAAGAAAAGAATTTTTGAAGAACTCGGAGAGCGAAGTACTCTGCTGGCTCCTGAAGGCCGAAAACGAACAGCAGCGGCGGGCGTAAGCATACTTCTATCCTCCTTCTTTCAATTTTGACCAAAGCTATAGACCGCTCGTCCTGGGGAGGCTTCGACAGACAAGCAACAAGCCCGGATGATGGAGTATGACGGTACAATTGCTGCCTTGAATGCTTCAAGACTTGCTGGAGTTGCATACCCGCTCTTGACGAACTTGCAAGAGCAAACCGACGCGGTGGGACTTTCCACATATCTCTCACCTCATCCTGACCTATCTTTCCTAGGCCTCCATGACACACCAAACGTACCAATTCCTGGCGTCCATCGTGGACGAGACACCTGTTTCTACTGCTCCTGAACATCTCGGTTCCTTTGCTCCAACCGCCGGTAATGCCGAGCGTAAATTCGCTAGAGCATACTTGGGGGATCCCGAAAGGCGAGAGGCTCTTCAACTCAGGCGACAGATCACCGTTGGTGCCCAACGATCTTTGGAAGCACAGTCAGTACACTGATGTCGTAACTTCAACTTGCTCACGTCCTGTTAGATATTGGGATGTCGTTCAGCGCACTATTGCTGCTCGTCCTCAGCAAGCAGCACTTGGTGGAGATCCAAGTATTGCTGCGCATATCAAGGCGTACTTAAACGTGAAATTCTATCAACAGGGTAGCTGGGAGCCTCGTTTGGAGGTACGACTATCTGTATGTGGAAGATTGTCACTGACAATCCATAGTTAATTGCTGGCCAACCCTTATGGGCCAAACTTTTCTATCTAATACGCACAGGGCATCCGGAGCAATGTCTACAAGAAGCTATGTTGCACGAGAATGCCATTTCAATGAAGGAGCGACACTTTGTGACGTATCTCAAATCCTGGCTATCCGCACCCAACCGAGCGTACGGCGTTCTGTATATCTCGCAAAAACAGCGCTTACTGTTCTGTAGATTGTCACGTAGCGAAAGAAATCCCCTTCAGGCGACGTATAATTCACACATCCTGCATTCTCCGGATACGGATCCGTTCAAGTTGGCGCTATTCAAAATCATTGGAAAACTTGATCCCGCCCGTCGCTCTGTCCCACTCGTCACGGCGACGACAGAAGACTGGCTATGGTTCCAACTCGCAATGCTCGATGAAGACGAAAACGGGGGTCTTCGCGCGCTTAGCGAAGTCCTGACAGGGTATGGCGAAAGACATTTCGAAGGAACGACAAAAGGCAAAAAAGGAATGTGGGCCCGAGTGCTCTTGATCTGCGGTCAATTTGAGAGGGTAAGGTTTCTCTATACACAGATAGACCCCATTGACTCACCAAACTCCAGGCTGTTGCAGCCTTGTACGAAAACCCAGAGTTGCAAGTGGATGCTGTGCATTTCGCTGTGGCACTGGCATACTATGGCTTGCTTCGTGTTCCATCTCGTGCAGAATCGTCAGACGTCGAAATCCGTAAGTGTCCCAGATGACAGTGTACAGGTTTGACCAGATACTAGTGAGCACAAACTCGGCCGGTTTGCCAACCCTCAATTTTGCTCTGTTGATCTCGCGCTACATACGTCAATTCATTCGGAGCGAGCCACAAGTAGCGTTACAGTATGTCTACTGTATCTGCTTATCCGCAGACCAAGGCGAGGTCGGCAAAGAGCAGGTTGAGATTGCCTGGGAGCTCACGCGACGTGTTATTCTCATGGCGGAGGCTGGAGGCGAGTGGGTAGATCTCGTCGGAGGCTACAGGCCAGACGGCACGCGATTTGTGCGTTTGATGTAGTTACTCGGTTCTCCACTAACTTTTTTTCAGACCGGTATCATTGAACGAGATCTCAAGCTGCTCAAGCTTGATTCAAACCCCAACGACTTTGCGGAACACATCCTCAAACGGGCCGCTCGACAATCTGAGCGAGAAAAGCGCATCAATGAGGCCATTCGACTGTATCATCTCGCGGGAGAACACGAGACGGTGGTCGAGTGCCTGGCAAGAGCCCTTGGAGACCAAATATCAGAGCCCACTGGTGGAGTTCCGGGGGGCAGCGACGAAGGCGAGGAGCTGGCTAATACGGCAAAAGAGGTCCTGAGCCATTACGAGCGAACGAACCGTGCGAGCGGCAAAGCCCGAGAGGCAGTCGTCAAATTGGTCAGGATCCGCGATGCAAGGGTAGCCAAGGAGCAAGGTCTCCCAGAACGAGCGCTAGAGGTATGTTGTTGTCACGTTCTATGCCCAGTCTCAAGCTACTTGCAGATCATGGAGTCTACGGGAATTTTCCCAACTGAGAATGATAATACCACTATCAATAAGAAGGCGCAACAACTTCGTGATTACGACGAGGTCATTGTGCGCAACCTCCAATTCTTCCTCCCGCTCCAGATGGATATTCTCGTCGAGTTGCGGAATCGGAGACGCCTCACAATGGACGCTACGGCACAGCACGTGAGTCGAGAATCTTTCAGTGACCTAGCAGGGTGCTCATTGTTCGCCAGGCCGTCAAAATCCTCGTGGACAAGGCGTTGGCACTCCAAAAGTTTGCAACGAACATCAAGTATTCTATGTCGCCTGATGTCCACACGTACCTGAGCCGCTCAGTGGTCGACCTGATGAACTAATTCATGGCGATTCATGGGAACCTCCGCGTCGGATGGTGCGCAAGGCTTATTTCTCGTATGAATATAGTTCCATGAAGCATAAAATATAATTCCAGTCATATCTCTTGACCTAACTACGTATCCTCCGTTGGATAACCACCAAGAGAAATTTGTGGTCAACAGTCACGCTTTCCCTTCGACCCGACCATATCAACGAAAAGCTCCCGCTCGCCTGTACGCGACAAAGGACATTGATAAATATATCAAGTAGCTGGGACACTTGATTCTTTTCGTCCCAGACTATGGAGGGCACGGCTTCAACCTCACAAGGCGACGTCGAGGGCCAAGGGGCATCCCAGCAAAGACAAGACGTCGACAAGTCGCATGAAGATTTGAGTTTGACAAAGAACCCTCAAGTCTTGGCCGAGACGACGACTCCGTCGACAAAGCATTACCTTGACATGATGGCTCCAAGCAGTACGCTGGCTGACGAGGATCAGCCACGACCAGGTAGAGATGATTTACATGTGGGAGATCAGTTTGGAAGAGGTAAGACCCTTATAGGAGCGTTTGCGGCCGAATGAGCTCACGCCAATCTCTCCTGCGCAGAAGCGGAGCATACACGGGTTGAAACGGAGGACACAAGGAGACAGGACAGCTTGTCGGACGATGTTTCGTTAAACTTGGAACCGGAAACCCGGCCGCATGAGAACGCGGGGGGTGAAGAAAGACGGGTCGCTTTTTTGCCGCCGCCGCGAATGTGAGTCCCTGAGCTACCGAGGCACATTCCCTTGTTTTTCTTTTGGCTAACAGCCGCGTTAGCTCGCCCGTGTTTGTGCCGCCGAGATCAGCGTACCCGGTCGGCCCTCCTCCCATCGGCTCCGCATATGGCACGCCTCCGATGGGTCAAATAGGAGTCCACTATCCTCGAGAAATAATCAGAATCGAGAGGGATTACTCTGGCGGAGAGCTGGTGCAGTATGTCTCATGTGCCGTTCCTTGATGCTCGCTTACTATGTTTCAAAAGGTTCTACCCCATCTATCCAATCGAATTGGAGGGAAGAATCACACCTACTCAATGGCTTGATACCGTAAACGGGATCAACGAAATTCTGATATCAGCCCATAGTCTCAAACGAGCCGCCTTCCATCATATACTTTCAGTCCTCACTCTTTATATCTCTTCTATGCTCATGGATTCGCATTACGACAAGGTGCGTTTTCGTCCCTTTACCCGGTAACCACGCCTCAGATGGCCTCTGTAGGAAATGAGTCGACTACGGACATTCATCGACCAATGTAACGAGCAATTGTATCATTCTCAGGGATTAAATATTCTTTGGCCACGCTCGAATGGCTTTCTCTTCGTACGTATGCTCCACCATCTTCGCCATCTGCTCACTTTTTTCTAGTTGGAAATTGAATACTACGTAGGTGTTTCATCTGCGATGATTCATTGCTCATCATTTGATAGTGATTCCCACCACGCCGGTGACTCTTCCATCCTACCCTTCTGTCATAGGTCGACCCTAACCCACAATCATTTCAAACTTGATTACATCCGTTTATATCATGATTATGTCGGATTTTTGTCCCTCGAGGGAAGCATTATCACATCCTGCTGCTCGTTCGTTCCTGGATCCCACCGTCCTTATTGAATTCGTCGCATACTGCGTCTCCACTCGTTGCCTCGCGCAGACCTTGGCACCATTGAATACGACACATTTTGGCATAAACGGGGCATCTTCAGATGTAAGGGAACATATAATCGTTGCGGCCTCTATTCTTGCGCAAGAAAAACGATTACATAGTATACGCAAGGGTATGATAATCCAGTAACATGAGTAGAAAATCAAAGGGGCTTTACGCTGACCTCGGAGAGCGTCTTGAACGCCTCCTTGTATGCATCTAGCAAGGCTTTAACCCTCTCTCGCTCCGTCACGATCGTCTCGTCTTCGTGGAGCAGTTCGACAAACATATCTGGTTTGTATAGCGAGCTGACCAATCGGTTCTGGACTTGCTGTGATGTATGGTTGACGAGGAAGTGCATGATGGCCTTTGGCACAAGATCCTGGATGGATTGCCTGACGATGCCAAAGTACGACTTGATAAGGGAGCGAATAAGCGTCGTTTCCATTTCCTCTCGCGTTGACAGCGAGACAGCCGATTCCCCGGGAGCCTATGAGATGTCAATTACAAACTCCGCGAGGTCCTCAAATTGCTCACAGTCTCGATATGCCGTCCTAGCGACTTCATGTCCATGGCAGCGACCTTGCCCATGTCTTGTTCCGGAAGCGGTTCGTCACCCAGGATATCCGTCACGGTAGTGGGCTGTGCCCTATGACCAGAAGGAATAGTCGAGCTAGGCCCAGTAGCAGGACCCTGACCTCCAAAGAAATAATTCAGGAAGGTTTCCTTTGCGTTTGCTGTTCCAGTCGGCGCAACTGGAACGGGTACAGTAGGACGAGTAGATGTTGCTTGAGAGCCTGTACGATGGTGACTACGATGGTGAGATTCCTTGGTGCGAGGCGGTGGACTCGAGGCAGAGCTCAGATTGCCTGATGCTATCCTCGACCTCTCCTGCAAACTGGCGGAGACGGAGCGGGTATCTCGCGCTGTTAGACCGTTGAGGACCTTAGACTGGTCATCGTCGTCATCGTTATCGCTTGAAGTGGCGCCGTTCATCACCTCACGAACGTTTGCCTGAATCGAGAGTCAAACATAATCTACAAGATCAACGAGCAGTCTTTTTACCTTTCCAGGTTCAATTCGTCGCTGTTGTTGCGTATTAGCTTCTCGAGCAGCTTGAGCTGATCCCGATACAAACGCAGGGTGATTGGTGTTGATATACGCTGCTTGGATTTCAATCAAGCTATGCGTATACTCGGACGTTGGTCCGAGCCGCTCACGGAGCAGGTCAGAGACGACCTCGATGATTCTCGAATGCAAGCGAGGAAATCGTTGAAGTTCCTACAACTATAAGAACGTGTCGTTCCCGTCGACCAGACATACCTGGCTGGTGCAATTGTGACAAATCTTGACCAACTCTTCGTATACGAGCTCTACGCATCGCAAACTAGGTGCTTCCAGCAGCTTGATTTGCGGTTTGACCAAGAGATCAAAAGCAACCTCTGGAACGAAGAGACTTGGTCTGGGGCCGGTCGAGTTTCGGATGGCCGTTCGGACGTCTGATGCGCTAAGATTGTATGTCGGGTCCAAAGAGTCCAGAGCATGGCCGAAGACCTCGTTGAAAATGTAGTAGATTCTTGCACCACCTGAAAGCTCTTTGGTGGATATCTCCAGTGATGTACCTTCTATCGAGGCAACAAAGTCTCTTGCAAACTGGGTCATGAGGCGGAGTACCAAGGACCCCATCTAGAGAACGCTCAGTGATCATCACAAGTAGTCGTACAACTTACCTGGTGCGGCTCACCGAACATTGCCGCATCACCAAAGGAGTTGAGCTCTTGCTGGGTTTGGCCCATGAGGGTATTGAGCCGCGCCTTCATATCTGGTAATTTCTCCCGAATATGATTGAGGAGCACCTAGGGACGTAAGAATCTGGATGAGAAAAATGGCTCAAATCGCATGCCTGATTCAGCGTCTTGGTAAGATACTTGGTTCCCTGTTTATGTGCGATATTGCGATAGGCCGGATGAGTCTTGAAAAACTCTGCCTCTGCGGCCAACGAGTCGCTCATGCTCCGTTCTACGTTGATATCCTGTTGACTACGATTCACAACACCGATGAATCCTAGCTTGAGTGGATAGACCCGACCCGTCAAGATATCAGCGGCATTGGTACCGGCGTCCATAAGGTCGAGCTTTGTAAGTACACCAATCGTTCGTCGCCCCTGAGGGTCAACAGAGCGTGCCAACTTGAGCGAGTCTGAATTTGCAAGGTCGACATTGGCTGCCGAAACTGCAAGGATGACACTGGATGGGTTAGTATTGGCAATCCTTAGGGAGATGCCTCACTTACCAATTAGGTTTCGAGATATAGTCGATTACTAAATTTCTAATCTGTTTTTCAATGTCGGTCGGTTGGTCCCCGACTGGGATCTGGCACATGTTAGCAAGATAAACGACGTTGTGCGTTCTCCCAAACCTTTGTTAATCCAGGAAGATCCACAAGAGTCAAGTCAAGCACGTTGGGGCTGTAAATCCTAAGGCTTATGGGAAGTTTGCTGATCCCTTTGTTTTGACCGGCAACTCGAAATGTCTCTGCCTCGATTTCCTTCCTTATTTCCGCAAAATCTGTAAAGCGGCGATCTGTATGGAGGAATTGGGCATATTCTGGAAACGCAGGTTGAGGGGCGTCCGCTGGTGGCAACGGCGTATGAATGAGCTGAAGGACCAAGGGCCGTCGCGTTACGATGCCTTGTCCACGAGGGAGAAAGTCTCGTCCTACGATACTACACATACGAATTAGCGAGCAGAGTTTCCAAAGACGCGAGCCTACTTTTCGAGAACGCTGGATTTGCCGGCAGATTGGCTGCCAACCTAGGGCGTTTTGAGCGCGTTTATTGACATGATTGTAGCGTTTATACTCACTACTGCAAGCTGGGGCATGTCCAGCTCACCTCCTAACGGGCATGGAGCGTCAACGAGGTCACCGCAAACGGCTGTTAGAACTAACCCAGGTTGCTGAATGTGTCCTGAAGCTTGTTCACTAGCTTTATAAGGTCTCCATCCATTTTGAAAGCAAGTCTTGGTGATACAAAGTGGGGATAGAGGAAATAATCGAGTTTAAGAGGCTCACTCGCCGACGGCCACCGTCATTGCCCCGGCGTCCAGCTCGAGCACTACGCGTCGCAAGCACAACGTTCGGCACGCTCAGTTTAGACTACTGAAAAGAACGGGAGCTCAATTGGCACATGCGCGTACACGAGAACACCCAATAATCTATCGCGAGAATCAGATAGCCTTGTTCTTGACGAGTTCTAGGGTTACGGATACCGTTAGGTGCGGGAAACGTAAAAAAACGACAGCTAGACTTACGTTCCACTTCGGTGACGGCGCTGAGAAGAATGTCCTTTTGCGCCCTTTCATCCGAGAGACTCTTGAGAACCTTGTCGATGACCGACTTGGCAAGCTCAGCTTGTTCAGCCTCCTTTGCTTGCTGCTCGTATCGAACCCACGAGTCGAGGACAGACTTGAGCTCGGCAGCCATAGCGACTCGTTGACGCTGCTCAAAGATTTCCGCTTCCAACTGAACAGTTTCCTAGAAGATGACCATCGCATCAGCGGGGTTCCGCGCCAACGTGTCTCGGTCACGCACCTTGGACAGTGCAAACAAGCCTTTTGTAAGGCCAACAACGTCCTTCATTTGCTCCACAGAGTTGATACGATCCTTTACGGCCTGTGTGTGCTCCGCTCGGGATTGGTTGAGGATGCCTTTGATTTTCTGCAAGCAGTTTTTTAAGAAATCGGGATATGTCGAAACGAAACACGCACATCAATCTGGCCACGAGCCCACTCCGAATAAGGTCCATGAGCACTCTATATCCAAGTTGAAGCTGTAATCATCGATGAATGCGGGAAACTGACCCTGGCAATGATAGTGGCGAGGATTGCAAAGCCAGCGAGAATCACAGTCTCCTCGTTGACAACATAAAGCTCTTGCGAGATGGCAGTAGCAGCAAGACCAGTGCCCAGCACGATCGCCCCGGTCTTGGAAACAATGTTGCTGGCCGGAACAGATTCGATAAGTTCGCTAGCCCGCTCCGCTGGGGGTTGCTTGGAGCTCATTGTACGCCTAATGTCTTGTGTTTAGCTTTCAGCACAATTTTGATGCTAGTTTTGCCTACATTTGGGGGCGTGCAAATGCCGCCATGGCCTGGGGCCTCGCAAGGGCCGCTGGATGAACATGAGTATGTTGTAAAACCCAGAATAAGAGGATAAATATCGACCTGTGGTGCGCAACGACGCAGCGGCGATTCTGCTTGCCATTGTAGAATTGTCCAAGGTTTTCACGTCACTTGCTTCCAACCGCGGCGAGGCAAAGGCAGCATGTTCGCGTCGGACATTGCTCTGCTCATTGGTGGCCCAATACTGGCTGCAATATTGCTATTCGAGGCCAACCGCGAGCACAAGATACACGTGGAATCGCGCGGCCTCTTTCGGTTCCCCGTCGCGCTCCTCTTCTCGACGGTGGCATGTCTGGGAACAGCACTCTTGTTTGCTCAGGTCAATCCCTATGTACGTGAATATTCACCACGCGTCTTGGTCCTCCTCACCCGACCTTAGGTCATCTACTCGTATCCAAACGCCGTCTTCTTCTCGCTCTTTGCTCTGGGTTTCATCGTTCTCTATGCAGTACTAGCAGGCTCTGCTAGACTACGACCTACTCCTCACCAAACTACAGCCGTCCTCGGCGAAATGTTCCTCCTCTGGTGGATCATTCTCGCTATTGACATCGAGAGAGGTTTGCTTGTAGTGCGAGCATTCTTCTTCGCTCCATTCCTCTACATGTCATCTCTCATCGGTCTCGCAGCCATGTTGCTTCAGGCGATCCGTGGTCATGCAGTTCTGCCCGGTGACGTTCGATTGCCCGAAGACATTGTGCCCACTGGAGAGGATGGCAACCTTGCATCCAAACTGAAAATGCATCTCAATCCACATAAACTATGGCGATACTGGAACCCAAATCTACGCCGCGTCACGATTGTCGGCATTACACTGGTGACGCAGCTCGGCTTCTTCATCGTCCTGATGGTCATGGGGAATAAATGGATCAAGTTTCAACAACCTCGAAGCAGTCAGTGAACACGATACCTAAGACGCAAATCGCTGATCTTCAACAGTTCTCCTGGTCGACGCCACTTCGGCGCTCTTCCTCGTCTTGCCGTTTGCGACCTTTATGCACAAGTTACACTGGACCATTCCATCAACTTTCTCGCTCGTCTTCATTGGCACCTTTTTCTTCAGTCTCTTCATTTTCCCCTTTACCAGCCGGGCTCCTGCATATCTTGAATTTACTCAACGACTCTCGCTTGACAACGGAACGAATACGGTAACCCTCACCGGTCCGAGAGGCTACTTGGAGTACGACATCGTCCCACATCTCCCCTCGTTCAAGGCGAGCACCGACCTTCACGTCTGTGGCGAGGCTCCGATGGGTCTAGTCGGACAACCGGAATCTAGCTTCTGTATATGGCACGGACTTCCCCCGCCAAAGGCGCCGGAAGATCTGTTGATGATTCAAAAACTGCCTACGACTTCGGCCACCGCCATCAAGGTCCTAGTTATCTATTCGCCAAATTGCAGAGGTTTTGGACTCGAATTTACTGGTCCGCAGCCGAGATGGGAAGGCATCTCACGCTCTGAAGAGGCGAGCGGACGGGTCATCGAAACGTTCAAAGTGTGGGTTGACAACGACAAGCCAGTCTACAAGGCAAAAGCCTCGTGTGTTTGGGACATCAAACTCAAGCATGTTCCAGCGTTTACAGAGGCCGAGGCGTTCTCTCCACGGTGGGCGAGGGTCAGGGGCGACTCGCGAGCGTTGATGATTGCAGAGAGAATCACCGAGATCTGAACAAGTGTTTCATTGATCGTGTACAGTTACCTGTAATAAGATGTTTTGTTTCAGAGAGCGTACCTCGGGCGCGCCCTCCGTTCGTGTCATTGTCCTCGCGGAGGTCATTGTCCTCAACTCTGACCATGACCACGACCGGCCTTTGGAATCATCTCGAGCTCAATCTGAGACTATGGTTGCAAATATTTCATTGCAAAGGAAGACGGCTAACCCGTCGACAAAAAAAGGAGGGAGGAGAGTCACGGCATCTCGAATATGGCGAGGTTAATTCGCGCCGGAATTAAAGACCTGATCGATAGATACCGACAAAACTTAGGAAGGAGAGGGATGCAAAGGGCCGGCCCCTCGTACTGCGAGAGGGAGGTCCGAACTGGCGAACCGAAGGGGGATAAATAGGAAGGAGCGGTGATGCAAATAAGGGTAGGGAGAGGAGACCATGGTCGTAAAGGTCGTTAGTCGTGATAGTCTGCGTCGTCGTCTTCATCATCGTCGTAGCAGTCTTGGTGGATCTCAAGACTGCTTCCCCTCGAGCTGCTGGGCTGTCGTCTGTGGCCGCGGAACTTTTGGGACCGGTTCTTATTTTTCTTCAACCTGTAGGGAGATACAATCAGCCTCAGAGTTTCGCCTGCAGACTGCGCAAACGGCGTACCAGTCAAGGCCAGCCTCTGTCGAGTAGAACTCGAGCTCGCATTCTGGGTTGGCCTTCCAATGGCGTTGTCGCGCGTCTGCACGGAAGAAGAATCGATCTGCAGGTGGAAGAGGGCAGCACTTGGCTGGACAGCTGTATTGTCGGATTCCTTGATGCCTCTTGAGGTGGCGAGCAAGGTCTGCGCGACGTTTGAACTTGCGAATGCACAGCGTGCAAGCATGATGCCTTTCTGGGTCTCTTGCCTAGTTTGTGGATAAAAGGAACTGGTGTCAGCGCTGTGGAGACAGATGGCCAAATTCAAAATGCGTACAGATCGGAGCAAATTTGCACTCCCTCGTTGCCTATCCTTCTTCATTGGGTATGCGTCTGGCGACACGACACTATATTCTTCCAGACTCTCAGCAGCGCCTTGTGCGTCAGGTGGCGCCGACGTCTCGACGTGGACAGCAAATGCCTCGGGCGATGCATGGCTCTCCAAGGGGACTGCCTCGGAACAGGGCTGGAAAAAAGTGGGTGCATGAAGTGCCTCGGGAGCGATGCACATTGATCCTGGATCCAATTGAGAGCCTGACGGGCCGTCCAAGGAGCCATATGGAGTATAGGGATAGGCTGGGTGGTACGAAAAGCCAAAGTCTAGGTATTGCTGGGGAGGGGAGGGACTGGGAAGGTAGGGGGAAGATGCGGCACTGGAGCCCGAGAAGCTAGCTTCGAGCGCGTCCAAATGCGTGCCGTAGGAGGCCATCTCCAGGGTGTCCTCGTAGAGTGCGAATTCCATGATAAAGAGGGTCTGCAGAGGCCATACAAGGGTTTATCAGTCCGGGGCATGCAGCTCCAGATGCTGGGACGCTTACCGTGACTTGCAGACAATGGTGGGTTGGGTGGAGGCGAGCAGCGCGTACGGATTGTGAGGCTGGTAGAGGGAGGAAAGCGCGCCGGGGTCTGCGGATTACGGTTATGAGGAAACGAGGCGGAAGGAGAGGGGATTAAGTCGTTTAGAAGCTAACTGATGCGTTGACAGAAAAACCTTACGGCTCTTATATCTTCGAGCCAAGGGGGTAACAAAGGGAACGACGAAAAAGGAAACCAAAGCAAGAGCCAAAACTCAATTGGGAGGTCTGCGGTTTCCCATCTGCAATTCGGAGCAGTCTTCGCATGCAAATCCAAGCGCCCGACGCGAGCTGGAAGTCGCCGTCCATTCAGAGGGCCCACCAACAGCGCTTTATGGCCGGCAACAGCACAATGATGAGGCAATCGAATGATCTCTTTGATATTCTGATACGGTTAATGCTTCGGGTGACTGCTTTTTTGATGGCCGGCCAAATTGAGCACTTGGGCTCAAGATACTCCATCGCTCCAGCGACGCAGCTGACATCTGTTGTAGTGCGGAATCTTGTGAAAACATGGCAAAAATCACTTCTGCGCGGCTCCCTGGCCGAAAAATTTCTTGAAACCGACGGATTCGAGCCCGTGGTGGGGCTCAGAATCTTTTCATAATCAACAGAAATTTCCGTAATTTGAGTCCCGTTCTCCAGCCCTGTCAGAGGTACCGGAACCGACATATGCACGTCGCCTCGCCGCGCTGTCGGGCTCACGTCGCTACGTGTCAGCACAACTCTGCACCGCGTTTCGTCGCCGATAGTGTGCCTCTTGGCACAATTTTGGTTAGTCAGAGCTCTTGAGACTCCGATGACCGTACATGTGTGCAGGTAAGAAGATTCAGATACGAAATTTACTCGATCGCATACTTCACGGCCAATATCTCAAGCCTGAGACTGCCATTCTAAGAAATATCCTAGGGTGAAGCCCCTGGTGTGTTTCGTGTTCGGCTACGTTGCCACCCACCAGTTTCGACACAAGACCACTACAAGCGACCTACCAAGGTCACTGAAATAACTATCAAGTCCGAGATTTATTCCAGGCAGGTTGATTACCTGACTCAGGGTATCTGTGGACGCTCCAAGAATTTCGTTTGCTAACGCTCAGCGCACTCTCTGCTACCTGAAGGCAGTGTCTTGGATTTCGAAGATAAAGTTTTGCCGGTGTAACATATAGCAGGATTAAGATGTGCAATGGCTCCCTCGTACGGCCGTCAACCGGGGAGCATGGCTTTTGCTTTCTTCGTCGGCAGTACAATGCAGCCCAGTGCCTGTACATTTTTATACTGTCTAAAAACCTGCCTGGTCATTTAAATCAGCCTCCTGTGTGGATCCGTGAAGGCTGCCACATTGGCCTGATATTCTGGATGTGGACACGCATGCAGACCCCCCTGTTTGTTACTGTGCACAATGGATAATTTTTTCAGGTGCAATATAATGCGTGGACCTGCTTTTGAGCAATCGGCAGACAGAGGGCTACATCACGGCCAGACGCGGGCAGTCAGGCGGCCCCCAGAGGTATGCATGCGTCCAGGAAGGATGTGAATATTGCGAAGCAGCGATTTTGCAGGTTCAATAGGTCCGGAGGCAGCAACTGGCCTGAGGCCGGGGTCTCACGACACTGAGGCGGACAGTAGGGCTGGATATATCAAAGCATTGTTCCCCATGACAGATAACCCATTTATTTGCACCAGAATGTCACCAGGTCCATACGGGGATGTCTTGTTCTCGCCCGCACGGCGGGGTCTGCGGCGAGGTGGCCACAAGAGTACTAGGGTGGTGGTTGAAACTGAAATTCAGGCCTTGTCCGCTGTTTCGAATCTCTCCATCTCTCCATCGGTGAGCACAAGGACCGACCCCTGGCTGAGCCCACATCGACTTAGCATCACCACACGGCTGGATTACTCAAGGATAATGGGAGGAGAAAGAAGGAAGACAAAAGCGTGTATTATAATTGATGTCTATTCCATATCACTGTCCAGGCGAAGCGCTTGTTCGACATCTTCGTCCACCGGGAGTGCCTCTGGCGGTGGTTTGTCACCATAGACAATCCGTTGTCCTACGATGGCTAGGTGGTGGTCAATAGCTTGCCCGACAATCGGTCGCCTCGGCAAGGGCTCAGAATCTAACTCACCCACGTCAACAGAAAGCTGAAAGATGGCACACACCCGAAACTGAAGAGGTGAGCCTTGGAAAAAGAAATACGCTGTTCTTTGGTCTCGTTAGAGCAAGACTAGACAGATGTTGAAGACGCTTACTTGAAGCCGTCTCCGCCGAGCCAGCCTAACAGCGTCGACATACGAAACCCGTATAGGGATTTCTGTTTGAAGTTGCTCAGGAGTTGCGGGATTGGTAGCGTGGATTCTAGGCCCAGTGCGATGAAACCAAGGGTATCAACAAACCACGTCTGTCGACCAAAGATGAGAACCAGAATAGTTTGACAAATTCTTGGAGGGCTGTCAAAAGAATACTACGCTGTAAGACGACGTACATTAGTCCGGCGAGAAACTCGATATAGGTCGAGTAGTTTTGCCATTGCCACCAGCTAAATGGTCGAGTGGACACGGGTTCATGACGTGGTCTGTATAATATACAGATGTAGAGCAAGCCAAGCTAGAAGGTCACTCAGTATACTCCAATGCAATCTCACGAAATTCGAGTTACCTGAGTGGCAATAATCAGATACTCCAACACGATATACCGAGATTTAACTCACCTGAGCGGCAATCATTAAGATGCTCTGAATCAGAAGCGCTTTCCACAACGCGTATCAGTCGCCTCTCCGAAACGTCGAGTCGAATCGCACGAACCAAACTCGAAGCGCTTGCCAATCCAGAACATGCAGCGAGTTATGTTTGCTACGAGCAGAATAGCAGTGACATCCCTCGAAAAGCCGGTCGCGTCTCTGCACAACCAGTAAGAAAATAGCAAATTAAGCAACCAACGCGATTCTACTTCTTCTTAACAATCGAATACGCTGTTTTGAAATGCTCGTTAGCATCTTCTTGTCTCTCTGGAGCATGGACACGCAGCCCGTCATGTCCGCAGTCCAAATATACTCACCTTGGTCCGCATAGACCAGTGGAGGACCGACAGCCATGCCAATAGATGCCAATGTTGAGAGCCAGGTCATGTTTACTGACGGCCACGCTCGACCACGGCGAGTTCGTCAAGGAAAGAGAAGTCGAAGGTGGCGATGAACATGAAATGCATACAAGAAACCGCAAACTATTGTACACCAAGAGCCCCAAGATTTATTTCATTACGTATTTCAGCGTCCAAGAGAAACTCCGCGTCCTTCTGGGCCTCACCGAGTGCCCGCGTCCATGCCATACGGAATCGGTGCAAGCCCCGGACCAGGCAAGACTGTCATCTCGTCGTACTCTGCGGGGTGATAGCAGTATCGTGAACGTGGTATAAGCGAGTCGCGTTCCTCGAATAGGTCATTTGGGAGTGGGAGAAGCCTGGTCGTGCGCATGCTCCTATCCATTTCGACCAATCTGTCTTCCCCTTCCTTCGTTACCGCATTTTCTTCCTCCCGTGTCCCTCCCAACTCGCCGCCTTCGAGTGGTTGCGTCTGGCCGTCATCATTGCCATCCGGAAACTTCACGGCAGGCGTATCGAAAGCGGATGCATACTTGGAGACTCTTACTGTTAAGGAAGCATACACCCGCGTCGTCAAAGGTGTCGTCTGGACGTACGAGGTCACGTTAGCCCCAAATGCGCCGTGGAACGCAGAGACAGAAGGCAGCGCGATGAGGTTTTGGTGAAGGTGTGTGTACTTTGAATGCGCACGAGCTGGTGGGAGAGGGACGTCGCATTCCAGGAGCACCAAAGTGAGGTGAGAGATGGAATTGGGCACATTCTGGTGCGCGCTGAACATTGCTCCAATGATCATTGGTGCCTTTTGGCCTTTGACCGTCAGCTGAAGTCCAGAGCTCGAGGTAGATGCCGCAGGTACTGGTAAGGACACGGACGGGTGCGTCATCTGAGGATTCTGTACAACGAACTGCTGATGTCGGAATGGGTACGACAAGATATGATGAGTGGGCTGAGGGTGAATCGAAACCAAAGGGGAGCCGGAAGTGCTTGCAAGGGACATCCCGACACCTTGCTGTGCCATAGTCATGACTGCATGAGCTGGTGCTGGGGCGATGAGAGGGACTGGCGTGGAGTTTGTACCATCCGCGCTCTTCGTGGCCGAGTGGTTCTGGACAGTGGGTTCCATGGGTTGCCCAGCGTGCTCAGCGTTATCCTTGGGCGAGTGTACATTAACCACAGAGACGAGCGTTGCGCTAGGAGGGACGCAGATGAACCAACAGGTGGCGAAGGGGGGAGAGAGGGCTTTGTGCTGACAATGTCTTAGAGAGCATCAACACGGATGGGGAGACACGAACTTTGCATCCTCTGGAGTGACGCTTCGCGTTCGAGCACACGGTAAAGGCCCGCATGCAGTACTCACACATATAGTCTTCATTGGCCACCGTTTCAAGAGAAGTAGCCATTGGACGGTCGTAGCCAAAGAGAGGTTCGTCGTGCGAACGGAGGAGATTTGCACGCGATATTGATGGAGATGGAAAGCAGCAGTGAAGAGAGTGGTCGGTTGGATCCCCCAGTTTTAAGTCGTCGTATCGTTAAATAAAGACGCGATAGACGGGCATTGCAGATGATGGATATCGAAATGATCGCAGATGTAAATCGGTTTCATGGGCATTTTGTGCCCAAAATTGTGCAAAGCATGACCGATTTGTTCGTCACCATCATGGATGGTGGCCAAGAGGAGCATCGACCGGTGAGAACCGTGCATTTATCGTAACAAGAATTTGCACAGGTGACATATTCGAAGGATGGCACAAAAAGAAAGCCGCCGGTGATGGATGGGTCCGAAGGGATGGTGAGGCAAGCGGGAATAGAGAATATCAGCCTCTTGTCCCAGAGTAGAAGTCGATGTAGGAGCACGGGACGAATTAGTGGAAATGGGAGGCTGACCTTTGGCTCCAGTATGAATAGCTTCATGCTAAGTGGATTTGCGCGACCCAAATGGGCAAATGGGAGATGGCACGAGGCAATCGATAAGATATACATGGAATTGATGAGATGAAAGTTTGGGGAACGGAAATGCGGACGGTCAGCTTATCATGACCAACGACAGAAGAAAGCGAGGGCAGGTGACGCGCTCACGATAGCCCTTGGCTTGAAGACAATGCGGATTTGAAGACTTACTACTTTGAGAGTACTAGGTCTGTCGAATTTCTTCCTGCACGAAGGGTCGGAGCACTCGTAAATCTTTGGTAAGGGTTTGCGCCTGGAGATGACGGCGTTAGCACCTCCTGGTATCGAAATCGTCAGAATGAGGCTCCCTGTATGATAAGGCACACCTTCTTCAGGTGCTTCTCTCGGCACCACATCCGCGCTAGACACCCCGTTACGTCGCCGAACGTAGAATGCGGGAGCTGTACGGCTGATGGGTGTGGCTACTCCATATACACCTATAGAATGTCGATTTGGTGTCACCTGTGCCCGTTGTGGCGAGTAATGAGGATAAGGAGAGCTATACTGTCGAAGCGATTGTGGTTGTCTAGGGTCATCCTGATGTACTTGCTTTCGAACAGGTCCCACAAAGTCGGTGCTATGTCCATTCTGGATTATCTGCAGAGTAAAGTCAGTCCAGTGACCACATGTATCGAGAAAGCCACCTACTTTTGGTTCAGTGGAGCTCTCGTCTGCGTCCGATACCGGCTCAGGTGCAGGCAATTTGGAAGCTTCTCCACTGACTAACAATTCTTTGGAAAGTACAGCCTCTGGGGCAGTTGGCGTTGGTTCTAAGACAGTGGGACTCGAGCCGTCGATGCTGGTCTCTGAAACCATGCTCGGTGGATGAGAGCGCTGAGACGGGCGTGCATCGATGTAACCGGGATATATCCCATGCGTGCCATAAGAGAGTGAAACCGAGTCACCCATACCCCAGTAGTTTGCCGTTGGAGCTTGCACAGGTACGGGAGATGCATGCGCATTTCCCCATCCAAGGAGACTGGTTGCCACACTCGAATAGTCAGTTTGCACACGAGAAGGAATGCGAGACAGTACCGGCCATCCATGCTCTTGACGCGAGGATGACGGAGAATGTATAGGCGTAGCTACGATGATGGGCATAGGTGCTGGCCGTTCTTTGTTTGAGCTAGACCTGTGCGAGGTATACTGTTTTCCAGGTATAAGCCCAAATCTTCCCTGCATGTAAAAGACTTACACTGTCGTGCGGCGCAGAACCATTCGGAAATACGCCATTATACCCTTGTCTCGTAAAATCGGCATGGATCGGATACAAAGAGGCCGGAAGTGATGCAGGAAGATAAGATTGCGGGACGCCGTTCGGGTATACGAGCGGTGGAGGTTGAGAAATGGACCGGGATGACATCGGCGAGACGAGGTCTATATTACTGGAGGAGGACGACGAAGGAGGCGATACTTGAACATATTGCTCAAGATTTCTCGCAGGAGGAGCGACGAAGCTAGAATCCAGCCGGGTTGATCCAGCGGCTGGCTCCTGGTGGACCGCAGAATCCATTGGCGTAGAGATTTTCGCTTTTGAAAGAAGATACGTGATGCTTGACGCTGCAGAGGCTAGGCCAGAGCGGTCCAGACGTTGTGGTTGTTTCGGGGAGGGGAAAGTGAGTAAAACGCGGCGAACCACGGCGGTGGGGTGTTTAATGATAGGGCTGGGGTCTGACAGGTCACCAGCCTCGATCACAACGGTAAGAGGGAAAGTACGTGCCCGTACACGGTGTCTATACACGATGCCTGGCTTTGTGCAGCGAGGCAAAGCAAATCCCTGTGATCTCCCAAAGATCCCCTATGGGTACGAGGATATGGACGCAAAGGGGACTGAAAAGCTCGTGTAAAGGGTGAGGTGAGATGGTGCGTACTTAAGTTTGGCCCATCCTGTTCAGTTTGAGATGAACGGAGAGACTGACGCTCTGCAATTCCCCTTTGGGATTTGAGACGAGGAGGCTCATTCAAGTGAACGTCGTTATCTAGATGATGACAGGCGCCACAGGTTGGACCGTTGTCAAAGTCGACGTGGAGAGCTCTCCGAGGAGGATCACATGCAGTCGGGGATCCCTGTCCGCCCTAAGCTGGCAGGAACAGTCCGTTGATATACGTGCAAGGATAATTGGATACCCAACAGGGACGCAATCTTTGCGGGCTTCGGATGGAGACTGACATGCCAGGGCCTCAAACCTAAAGCCTCTGGGACAGTATCCGCTCGATATCAATGATGTTTTGATGCTTGCGAAATGATTCGTGCTATGTCGATATGATGTGAATGGGAGACATATACAAACCATTGACACGCACGAACCATCAACTGTGAATTTGACACTATACAGCAGTTGAAATCACTCTGTGCCTTCAAACTGTGCCTTTAACATGTGAGACATGACCCGGACGCATCGTTCAATTGCAAACAAAGTGAACCACGATCATCTGGGAGGCAAAAAGGGAGACAGACGAAGCTGATATAGAGCTCTTGGGAGGTGAAATAGTAGAACATCAAATCAGGATGCCACGAAACCCACCAGGCTAGGGTCAAAAAAACGATGGGTGACCTCCCACCCGCTCATCATTACAGAAGGCGACTGAACATATTGAAACGCCCGTTTGCAATCATTGTTCCGCGTCTAATAGCCCTCGATTTAAAATGCAAAAGTTTTGCCAATATATCAAATTGGTTCTATCGGCAGACATTTGGCCTAAGAAGATGTGCACACTGCTGACCATTGAGGTGTCTCAAACAGTGAGAAACCCGAGCGGCCAGTTCGGTGCGCTACGACACAGAGTATCGAGTCCATCTTCACGTCCACGAGCGCCTGGTGTGTTGTGAGGAAATTTGCAACGGCCAAGTGACTCTAAGGCGGACGTGGTTGACATTGAAAAAAAAATCCTTTGGCTACCACCTCTTCTCTCCTCCGCCACGCGGATCACGAAACAAGTACAACGAGTTATATTCACTCGATAATAGACGATAAGTTCATACACGAACCCTCCTTCCCAGCAAACCGAGTCAGTCAAGTCATTGATCCCCCTCATCCGGGGCTAGACTCGAGCCTCGGGTTTTGATTTTTCGTCGACTTGGTGTTGTGGGAGCAGTTAATGGTGGGATCATTTCTGAACCACTCCATGTTCGCGTCCATCTCTGTTGGGGTGGTGGATGGCCGGGCAGGTAGCCACTGTGTGCAGGACCAAGATAATGAGGATGTATCGGTGGCGGAGGTGCGTATAGTGGTTGTGGAAGCGGTACGTTTTCTGGTATGACGCGTGCGCGTTCGCGATAGGTTGAAAGGAGGATGTTGGTTAACGTGATGAGGAAGCCGAGAGATACTAGCCCAAATATCTAGAAAAGTTCAGATATTTCGAGGCATTAAAGTAGTATACATACCAAGGTCTTCCACGAGATTGGCTCAACAAACGAGTTGATGACCTCTCCGATAGTTTCTGCGACTACACGCGAGCGTCCCAGACCCAAAGGGTCTCTTTGCATACATGTTTCCCATTCTGAACATTGCTTGGCGATGGCTGGTACCCGTTGGGAAAGTGGGAAGCACTTGTTGATCTCGTACAATTGCGCACAAGTCGCTATTGCTTCAGCGAGTTCTAAAACATGTCAGTATCATCACACATATTGATGGACGAGTTGCATACCCGCTCTATACTCTGTCATTCGATGTTCGACGTCTCGTTGTACGGTCAGGATGCAGAAGACGATGATGTATAAGAAGACCAGGACAAGAGATAGGTTGAAGAGAAATTGTACATATCTGCCTTGGATTAGCACCTTTCCGGTCTCCATACGCATGACTCACCCGAGCAATAGATATGGTACCTCTGATTTCGGCGCCGGGGCTGTTGGCATATTGAACGTATAGTGGTGGTTCGAAGTGATCGAATCCCCCTTCTTGATACTTGACTTCCGTCGTCCCTCTTCATGCTCCTCTCCTGATGATGCCTCGTCTGTCTCTTCCTGTGGCTCATCCACCACGGAAGTTTGTTTGACTAGGCTACTCCCTCGCTTATTCTTGACTGGTTTGGCTGAAGCTAGTATCACGTCGAGGTTGGTCCGTTCTTCTGCGGCTGGCGCGAGTGTACGAAAGGCTGGTTGAGCACGTTTACTGCTCAAAGGGCTCGCGTTGGCGTCTTCCATGCTTATATCGGAAAGAGAGACCTCCTGTATCGGTTCGACAGCCACAAATCCTCGGGCTCTGGGTGAGGAGAATGGGCTTGACGATGACGCTCTCCATAGTGCATTCTTCTGCGAATTACCCAGCTTTGAAGGCGTTCCAAATGACGGAAATGAATGTGTAGATGGCGAGGAGGGTACAAAGCTAGGAGACATGCCACGCACAGATGACTTGTCGGTGTATCCGGAGCCCTTGGAACCTATTGAGAGGACCCTCATCAGCAACTCTGTTCCGAAATGTTGGAAACGCGTCATGACGCGCAAAAAAGGGGGAGAAACGGACGTTGTTCAGACGTGTCGTTTGCGGGTTGTTCGGCCCATGCTGGAGTCCCTTTACGATCCTCGGATGTGTATTCAAAGTCCATTGGACTCACATTCCAACGTCGCTCTGCGGGGCCAGACATGGTGCCAGTTGGCGTTGGGTCGAAGTCTATAATTCATCTTTTGCACCCCAACCACTCCCGCTTGATGTTGCGACATGTGCTAAAACGGACGATTGAATCGAACAGAGGGCTCCTACTCGTTTCTTTCATGCGTCGAGTGCGCGAAGAACGCTTGTCCCAATTGTTATTGAACAGACTGGACGAGGCGAGCGGTCGTATGATATATATTCCCGGTAAGTTTCTCTCTCACGACTGCTTGTACTCTGAGATTTCTATAGACTATTACGAGAGCGTGTTATTATGCTCTGCGGACCCGTATGTTTTCCATGCTCCAACATAAAGAAGTACTGACCCTCGAATTAGGTTCACGACAATCTCTCGTCCTTGATTGTAGCCCAACTACTCTTTCTAGAAGCAGAGGAGTCGACTCGCCCAATTCATCTTTACATAAACTCGCCGGGAGGAAGTGTGACCGCAGGAATGGGGATATACGATACCGTACGTTGCTGCCCATGGCGTTACCACGTTTCTGACTCTTGTGACAGATGCAGGTGAGATAGCTACTGTCCAACCTAGCCTTTCGATGACGGTTCCAGTATGTCTCATCGCCGATCCACACGTACTGCGTTGGCCAAGCAGCCAGTATGGGAAGCTTGCTTCTTGCTGCTGGTACGAACCTTTTCATTTTCATGACCAGGGCTCATGCGTTGTAGGGGAAAAAGGACACCGGCACATATTACCAAACGCCACAGTCATGATACACCGCATGTATTCACTCCTTTCGATACTATTTACTGACCCAAAGCAATAGAGCCGTCTGGAGGGGCCTCTGGTCAAGCATCTGATATCTCCATTCATGCAAAGGAGATACTACGAATACGGGAAAAGCTTACCAGTATCTACGTATGTCTATTCGCTAAATTCATCATTTCCTCATCCCTCTTTAGCAAAAGCACTGTGGAAAGGAGGGCGAATCCGTAGAAGATGGAGTCAAGCGCTTCGGTAAGGTCCATTATTTTTATTGCAAGTTCTCACTTGCGCACAGAGAAGGCGTTGGATAGAGACTACTTCCTGACTGGTAAGAGACAGTGTTTCCTAGTCAATCACTCTGACGGATTATAGCGGAAGCGGCCGTGGAGTTTGGCCTTGCAGATACGATCCTAGAGAAGAGGCCACTGGTCACAGATGGAACGGGAGACCTAGAGAAAAAAAGTGTATAGCAGTTCGGCGCCTCGCCTGTATCTACTGAGGAACGGCGATTTTTTCAAGCTCTGTCGCACCCGCCTTGGCCTGCTTCGCGGCTTTATCTCTCTTGATATCTTCCAACACAACGTCAGCACCTTTACCAATAAGAATTTGGGCCAATTTCTTCCCAACCTGCTCAGCTTCCTCGATATTTGAAACCTTTTCGTCTACTGTGGCCTCGATATGGGTTTGACCATTGAGTGACGTGACAGTTCCCGTTATCTGAAGGCCTACGCCACCTTCCGCATCTCTCTCGCCTGTGAGAACACTCCACACTCCCACCGGTACACTGCAACCTCCTTCTAGCACACGCAGACAGGCTCGTTCCGCAACGCCTGTCCATTCCGTTTTCCAGTCTATGAGGACTTTGACAATATCCTCTACACGAGGATCGTTTTCTCGGATCTCGACCGCTAGTGCAGCTTGTCCCACAGCTGGATACATTACCGGCGGAGAAATCATCTCGGTGATGCGGTCCCTGAGCCCTTGCCTTTGTAGACCTGCAGCGGCGAGTATGAGGGCTGTATATGCTCCGTCGTCGGCGTCAAGTTTGGCGAGACGTGTACTCCTAAAGAGATTGAGCGTCGATCCGGAGATGGAAACAGACTGACAAGTTTCCCCGCTACCGCACAGTGAGAATCGAGGAAACGGGTAAATAAAAGACACATACCACGTCGCGAAATGTGAGATGAGGAAACGACCTCTTGAGCAAAGCCACCCTTCGAACGCTGCTCGTCCCGATCACAGAACCATTCGGCATTTCCTCCAGTGACTTGTAACCAAGTCCTTGTTTGACTACCAAGCAATCTCTCGGATCCTCTTTTTCCAGGATGGCACCAATCTTGCACCCTTCGGGTAGACTCGTCGGCATGTCCTTCAAACAGTGAACGATGAGATCGATGGACCCATCCAGCAACCCGACTTCCAAATCTTTTGTCCATAATGCCTTCCCACCCATCAAATATAGCGCCTGGCTTTGGTTTCGGTCGGCTTCGGTAGTCATGAGTCTGATTTCAAACGGCTGTGATGGATGGGCCGCGCGCAGCGCAGCCTCTACGCTCTCAGTCTGGATCTGCGCGAGCTTGGATGCTCGGGAGCCAATGACCAGTGGCTTAGTTTGTGTGTTGGGGGATTCCATATTGGAAGGTGAGGTCCAAGTTTTGTGATTGCGGTAAATACAAATATATGCAAAGATCAAGTTACCTCGGACCATCCTGAAGGATTCTACACCTCTTTCGATTGCCCGTTCAACCCACGACGGTTGGCCACGACTTCTGCGGCTTCAGTCCCCACTTTTGAAGCCACGCTGTGAGCTGTTCCGCAATATGAGCGTGCCCGGGTGTATTTGGGTGCTTGTTGTCGGAGAATATGTCGTCCCCGCCTACCCAGCCTTTGGTGTCGATGAAATAGATATGCTTATCTCCAAGGGCGCTTCTCTTTGCCACAACATCCTCAAACACTCCGTCATAGTAGTAGTAGACTGTGCCATCCTGGTCTGGCCAACCCCAGGCGCCGACAACGAAAATGGGCTGAGTTGGGTAGATACGACGCAACTTTGCGATAAAGCCCAGATAGGTCTACGAAGTAGGTATGAGATAAGTACGAACAGATTCAGAGGTGACTCACAGTAGTGAGATTGGCACCACTCACATTGTACGCGTTGTCTAAATGAATCAGTAGGTAGCCAGAAGCGAATGACGACTCACCATTGGCACCAGCTTCGATAAAGACGTGCGTTGGTGGGTAGTCCTTATGGAAATCCCAAGGAGTCGTATAATTGTGATTCGGGTTATAATAGTAGCCGTTATCCTCCGTTCGGAAGAATTGATAGCTGATCCCATGCGCGTTGCCCCAGCAAACTTGATCCGTCAGACAACCACCTGGTTGTGCTTGGATCGATTGTTCGGCTTTGAACGTTTCTGCAACCAAGAATGGCCATGCACCATCTACACCGTTCGAGAGGTATTGCCCCTATCGGATATCAGCATAGTAAGGTCAATACTAGCGAGCTTACCGCAGACAATGAATCTCCAATGAATTGGAATGATAGGCGAGATGGTGCGTATGGTAGTATTTTGGCACCGTTATTGAGTATAATCTTTTCCAGGTACATGTTGTTGTTTTGCCAGCCTTGAACGTTCAATCTGATAACCAAGGAGCGGGGCAATCCACCTCTAGGTGTGGCGGTAATGTTCAACGGAATCTGATTCGTTCCGTTGGTGAGTTTGAGATCCGTAAATGGACCATAGTTGACGGATAAACCAACCGCAACGCTAGGCTGGGTCGTTTTACGTCCCAACTGCAGCGAGAGGCTGCTGAGACCTTCTACGTGAAGTGTGAGTCCACTTCCCGTCCTGAAGGAGTCAGAACCACACATAATATCGATCTCGATATTGCAAGACATACCACCAAGTTCCCCTACTGAAATCCCACCGCCCGTGGTACCATATCAGTGGGTGACTTGGGAGAACGACGTTTGAACTCGCAATCACCGCGACCGCAGGTACAGCCATAGCGAGGAGGCAGGCCAAAAGGTTCACCATGTTGTAGCGTACGTTCTCGTGCCACAATCCATCCTAAGGAATTTATGTTCTTCTGTGCTCACACAAACTGCGAGCTTGGAGCGAAAATTGTCCTTAAGAAGAGTTCGAAATCAGGTCCAAGAGTCACAATGAGGCCGGTCCAGACGTGTCTGCTGCTGTCGGCTTCGTCTAGAGTGTCCACTGAGAACCTGAAAGCACGCCAAAGGACCGGTTGCTGCGTTTCTGAATGTCATGGCCCTCTTCTCGACGAAATATTCGGGCATTTACATGTATTTATCCTTTCTTTGTTGAAAATAGACTGCTGGGTTCAACTGGCAGTCACGGACCGCATGGGACAGTGTTCCGATTGGATAGAGTTCCCCCGTGGGACAAGTTGAAGGCTTTGGTGGAAGTGGCTTTCGGGCCGCCTGGTTGGGTCTCCGATTGGACCTCTGCCATCGCTCCTCGCTCCGTGGCGCTATTCGTGGGATGCATGAAGAGAAGATGGCGGAGCAGCGATGGCCATACGTAAGCTAAGAGCTTAGAGTCTTCGATATATATCGAGAGAAGTGGAAGCTGTCCATAAGACCTCGGATAAAGATTTGTTGAAAGGATTCGCGCGGCGGCGGTGTTCGACTGTTGACGCCAGGTCCAACCTGAACTCAACCTCGACCACTCATCGGTAAAAAAACAGACACAATATGCCGATACAGCGTGCTGGTGTATGTACATACTGAATTCTTTATACTCGACGACTCACCAGAGGCGCAACCTCGCCACTTTGCCACTCTTTCAAACGTGCTTTATATGGAACACCACCTCTTCATTATGACTCAAACTTGACTCTTTGTGCCCAGTATACTGTGACCATGTAAGTTAATCCAGGTCTTACTGTTCTACGACTGACCTTGGCTGTCGTCGCCACTCCTACCATTCAGGTTCGTCGTTGACGTGAGCAGGTCAATGGGAAAGATGAGGACGTTCCTCTTCCGGCGGTAGAAGGCCAGCCACGACAGACGGTTCAAATGACGAACCTCGCGTGGGCTCTCCACATCGTCAAGCTCAAAATCCAAGAGATGGTGCAACTATAAACCCCACTAGACAGTAAATTGAGTGTTATTAGATCTTTCATGGACGAAAAACAGACAAATGTGGGGTGATCCTAGCAGGCACTGACGGTTTGTCTTCGGCCACGACACTTTATTTCCCAATGACCCCAGTTCAGGCACCAAGAATTTTATTAACGACCAAAGGCCGGATGAATATCATAATGTCACCGAGTACATCCCAATCGCACAGCCGACACCTGACACACTTGCCAAAATTTCGCGGATATCACCTTCGAACCAGGACTCTTGTGATAGTGAGTGACCCTCTTCCTCGAAGCAACCACTCTGACGTTTTCATAGCGTTGGAGGGCGTTATTGTCGCCCTCGATGCTCAGAATCGAGAGCTCGGTTCAAAGGCAACTTGGACTCGGAAGTTGATCGTGGTCACTGATGGAGAGCATCCAATCCAACAAGAAGGATACAAGGACGTTATACAGGCCATGAACGACGCCAAGGTCAAGACAAGCATAGTGTTCGTTCTGTTCACTCTGCCTCGCTGGTTCTCATTTCGCCCCAGGGGTATCGACTTCGACGATGAGGAGCGAGGATATGTTTACAAAGAGAAATCAGAGACGAAGGTGAGCGGTATGGCGAGTCTTCCACACCTGTAGCTGACCTAGTGAAGAGCCTCATCGAGCGATGGTGGAGGGAAAAATTTGTCAAGAGACTCGACGATGGTATTGTTATCAACTGTGACTTTGCTCTGCAAGAATGTGCGCGTCCAGAGGTCAAGGAAGTCCGCTCCACGCTATCAAACACCGTCCTGCGGTTTGGAGATATGGAGATGAACAAGGATCAGTCTTTTGAACTCAGAGTGCGGACCAGTAAAGCGACGTCTATCGCACGTCCACCACCCCTCAAAAAATTTGCTCGGGCACGCGTCGAGAACACCATGGAATGGGAGTCACAGGGTGTCGACAGAACAACAACACCATTCGTGCAAGTAAAACATAGGACCGACTTTTTCATCAAGGCAGACCCTTCGACGGACGCCGCTGCCCATAGCTCCTCGAATGGACGATTTGGAATAGGCTCTGGTCTCCAGTCCAACGCTTCCGAGGCGCCACCTAAAATGGAAGATGTTCAAGACGTTAAATTGGAGATCGACGAGGATGGAGTTCCACTCGACCTGCAGCCACTGGCGATGCGCAACACAGAGACGAAACCTGAACCGGTAGTGACTGTCAATGATGAAAATACTCAAATCGCCTATAAATACGGCTCAACGTACATTCCCGTAGACAAGGCCGACTTTGAAACTCTTCAAACGGTAAAAGGGCTCGATATCCTGGGCTTTATTCCTCAGCATAAGGTACATCTCGTTCCACTCTCTTATTTCAATTACCTGACTATATGAAAAGTTTCGGCGCGAATGGTCGATGGGAGAAGTTTACTATATCTGGGGAGACGATCAATCTGGCAAGATGCAACTTGCATTCTCATCGATTGTCCGGGCCATGGCGCAGGAAGAGCTCTGCGCTATCATACGAATGGTGACCTTGAACAACTCGGCTCCTAAAGTCGGTATAGCGGTACCCCGCATCCTTGAGAAGGCAGATTGCTTGCTTTGGGTCCAGGCACGTGTTCTAGTCACCGTTCACCATCTTATTTAAACTTCTTATAGATGCCCTTTGCAGAAGATAACAGAAACTTTGCGTTCCAATCGCTGACCAGGCTCTACAACAAGAAGGGCAAACAAATTACAGATCACCCTAATATCCCCACGGATGGGATGATTGAAGTCATGGAAAAATATATCGATTCAATGGATCTAATGCAAATTGAGAAGGACGAGGAAGGGTATGATCTTGGTCGTTCAACGGCTCTGGCTAATGCTTCTCAGGAACCGTTATCCGTGGTTCGACACTCTATATTCATACAATCCAGCCCTGCACCGAGTCAAGCAAGCGCTATTCCACGCCGCAGTAGCAGATTCGCTCGCAACAGATCCCCTCCCGCCACCTCACCCCGATCTTCTCAACTATTTCGACTGGCACCCAAAGGTTGCCAAGCGCTCGAAAGGTGCTATAGAAGAATGTCGGAAGAGACTCAAGATCAAACACGGTAAGCGGAGTCGCATGCCCTGTATATCCATGAATTGACACGCGAATCAGTACCTCCAAAGACTGCGGGTGCCCGCAATGAGGCTCCGCTTGTGGAAGGCAGAGAGGAAGCGCCATTGCTACAAGGACCCGCTCCTCCCGTCCGCAAGGAGCTCATGGCTCCTAGCCCGTCCAAGGCGCAAGCACGTGAAGGTGATTCAGACACCGATGCTACAGAGGATGAAGAAGAGGCACCAGTTCTAGTGAGAACTGAAGATGCTGAAGTTGCGCCACTGGACAACGTGAAAGCTTCTCCGTCTAAGCGGGATGTCGACCTCAACCACGTCAAACAATCTCCCCAAAAGTCCGATATTCATTTCAAAGATGAAGAGGAAGATGAAGCAGTCGTGGTTATTGGGACTGTACATCCTTTGGAAGACTTCAGAGCGGCACTGGCGAGCGATGATGATGTGGTTTCTGAAGCAGTCTCTCAGTTGGCGGATGTCATCAAATCATTGGCCGTAGAAGGCAAGTTCCCCAATAAGAGGAAGAATGAGCTTTTGGAAGCCATGGCTGCCTTGCGAGAGACATGTTTGAAGGTAATCTCACCCTCTTCTGCTCTGATTCCAAGCTCACAGAGTTCACAGGAAGATGAATTTGATCAATGGAACAAGTGTGTGTCTCAAACATGCGTATTCTTGAGTTCTAACCCATTTGCAGATTCTTGCAGGAACTCAAGGATATATGCCTGTCTTCTAAGCCCGGAAACAAACCCTTTTGGGAGCTAGTCAGGTCAAAAGGGCAAACGATGACTTTGATCGGGAAGTCGGAGGCTATTGCTGCGGTAAATTCACTCGCACTTGCACTCTCGTCCTCTTATCTCCCAACAGGGTGCCAAGGCAAAAGCTGCGCGAGATGCGGCCAAAGATGCTACAGCACAGAAGGTGACTTCGTCATCCTCGTAAAGGCCAACTCTTACATCATTATAGTTCTTTGACGAGGATTAGCCCGCTCTGCTATTCGACTTCTTCGTGTTGATGACTAAACCATACACAGTACAATAACAATTATACCTTTTTACACGACAAAGTTTGTGCGTGTAATCGGCTTGGTGCCATGATCACGTCCACCAACCATTTCCGGCGCATTCGCAGGGGCATCCAGTGTCTGGTCACATCCCAACTGGCTAGGATTATTCATGTCCTGACGCTGAGTCTGAGCAGAGTGCTGGAATCCCTCGTGGCGGCGTTCCTGTTGGAAATCCTCGTTGCGACGCTCGTGTTCTGCAAAGTGCTGCTCGCCACCAATGGTCGTATTGCCGCTGTGACTGGTGCGATTTAATTGCTCATTGGAGCGGAACTGCTGGTCGCCCGTCAAGTTGTGATCATCGCGGACAGCGTCGTTGGAATCGTGAATGTCCGTCGTTCGTTGAGCGGCAGCTTCTTTTTTCGAGGTAGGTGTGATATCGAGTGCGCCACGCGCCTCTTCAGGGTAGGCTTTGTTTGTGTGAAGGATCTTGTTGGCCATATGACGCCAGTCGTGCGGTTCATGGCCTTTCTCCACCTATAATTCGTCAATCTGGCGCCTTTCATGGAGAATATGCGTGAACATACTGCCTTGGCGCGGACTTTAGCTTCCTTGTCGGTGAGCGACGTCCAGTTTTCTGTCTCTTTTCCAACGGGTTCCTACAGGAATTCTCAGTGACGATTGGAAGACTTGCAAGTGCTGACATACGTGAAGTGGGATATGCGAATGGTCAGACATGATTCTCGTGAGTTGGTTCTTCTTCCTGCTCTCGACGAGAAGGCGTCAGCGTTTATATACGCAATCTTACCCCACACTCCTCAAGCACCCATCGGGGCATATGACGGCAGGTCACGCGCGACGCGCCAGAGGTGATATCATGGTCTCCACTCACCATTTGGACCAGGTTTGTTTAGGATGGACAAGAATTGCCGAGTGTTGGAGCAGAACGGCAACGAGATTAAACTCTTTAACTCCGGGCTACAGCCCGTTAGCAGCAAGCATACACTATCCAAATTTGCTATACTCCCGAGGCTCGTTCTAATTCCTACTAATCGACCGCTGAATTGCCTCCATAACTAACCTTTCGTATGTCGGAAACCCTTGAGAATGTTTATTTTATTTATTTTTGACATAAGTCATAAGGCACCTCTCCCGGCTCTCTCGGGGACAGCGCACTGGTGTGGACGGTTTGGTCCCCGAACGTGAAGCACCGTCAGCTATCCGGACATCCTGTTTCACTTGTTCTATCATTTGGTTATATTGCCTTGCTGCTATGGTGCAGCCATTGATCGGCAGGCGCAGTCATCCTGCATCCTGCCTGGATAATTGCATAAGGAAGGAGGACGCCAAAAAGCAACTAGCTTCGAGCGCTAGAATAATTCAAACAAGTGAAATAAGGTCACAGGACCTAAATTTCCTAGTTAGTAGAGCACCGAGCCATTCAAAGTCCTTTCTAGAAACATTTTATGTGAGCGCTCTAAACTATCTTCAGAAACGAAACTAGATAGCTCAATTTCATGTGTGAATTGCATGTGCCGCCATACGCAGAAACTGACTAGCAATCTGCCAAATGCCAGTTGAAGGGTGCGTAATGCCGCTGCCTTCGGGTAATGAGCTCTGTTGGTCACACGAATGGGTTTGAAATCATTTAAATAGATAATTAATGCTATGCAGTTGGCTACGCGGCCGACTTCCGCCCTGACATCCAGCGCAGCGTGATGCGTCGGTGACAAGTCAACCATGCCCGTGCGACTGACGCCACTTTGCGCACCTCCTCTCCACCTCAGCATCCATGCTGGACCGTGGGAATCGTTCCTCGACTGCGCTTGACCGACGCACTACCCATTGACAATGTCTTCAGGTCGCGGAATCCTAACCCTCCTAACACAAGAATCGACAATTGCCAGACTCCCAATGACGCAGTGTGAAACAAGCAAGAGCGTCGGTGCACCGCCTCGCTATCTGACCCATTCGCGCCCGCTTGAGCGGTCCTGCGCAGACGGGCTAATACCCACGGGGGGTGACGACCGACACGTTCGAGTCCCGACGCTCGCGTGGCTGGGCCGCGGGTTGTTGTTGGGAAGCACTGGCACTGCCGACTATCAAGTTCAAATTAACGGCCATACATTTGCTCTTCCTCTGTGTGCTGAGGATTCCGAGAAGATGTGCTCAGGATCGTCAACGTTCTGACATTGACCAAGAGCTATAGTAAAGGCCCACATATGAATGTGAGCCGGACATTTGATGTAATTTGCGTCATCATCCGCCTAACGTGTGAGAGAAGCGTAATTACACGCCAAATGAGGATGTGCGAAGATATGTGCGGGGAGTCTGCGCGGGTACACTTCTTAATAACCCAGCGCAGGACATACACATGTGCGCGTGGTCCAACAATAGGATAATAAGCCACCAACAAACCGTTTGCGGATGAACGCCTTTAGTGCGCGTGTTGATGTGTACAGAGACGGGCCGTGTATCATAGTCAGTATTGAAAGGATATCGACCATGCAATTGCTGCGGGGCATTGCTCTTCCTACGAAGATACCGCCATCTTGGCTATGGGCGCGACTGCGCGCCGGGCATCTTTCCGGTGCACGAGCGACTGGAATTTATTGGAGATCCTGTCGAGAAATATCTCTGAATGTTTGGAGGCAGACGGTGAGGCGGAAGGAGGAAAGAGCAGCCTTTTCGAACTGAGGTCTGCCTGAGTGATTCTCGTTGAATCTTCGTGATATGGTTTATTCTAGACAATCATTTCTTTGTCGCGGATCTCATACGCGATGACGCGCGGCGACGGCTCGTTGTTGAGCCAATGAGCCAATATGGTTGACAGAACGAGGCCAACGCAAGGTGACAATCGTTCAAAATCACATTGGCTGCCAAATATACACGGAAGGTGTTATTAGGTATTTGGCTTTCGCCGGATCGTCGTACCGAAAGTTGGCTCCCCTGAGTGCTCAGCCAGACAGTGGAGGGCTGGTCTTGGCTGCTTGTCAGAAGTATCCCAGTGTTTCTACATTGCATTATGGTGTGTTACGTGGCAGATATGACGTGACGTCTGAGTTTGGCTTTCGGACTCGCCTTGTTCGGTCCTGGTTTCGTGCTCTCGTGTAGTTGAACACGTAATAAAATGCCTTATTAGATTTTAGGTCAATTCTGAGTCATTCTGACGTCCGGCTGGATGCGCACCCTTCGGGCTGGAGCTGCCGTACCACCTCGTTCTATGTCGGGTGCGCTGACAGAACACAGTGCGGCTTGTATTGGATGGTAGAGATGCTTGGTAATGCACGAAGAGTGCAGCGGTGGATTGCATGCCTCTATTAACCTGCAAGGGCACGGGAGGTGGCATGCCTCCGAGGGTCACATCGAATTCGTCTCTAGTAACAAGTGTTTATATATTTTTATATACATTCTGTCATATTATTTGGTTTAATGAGCTGGATCTCAGGCGTTCAGCTCTATCTGAGGCGCGTACCGCGCAGGAGATGGATCAAAAGTAATTGGTAATATTGCGGGTTAGGATGCATGGTGTCGCCCCGGCAAGTTCCTGCTCCAGAGTTCCTTCCAGGTGTGGCAAATTGGGAGCCGGGTAGTGGTTCCAATAACTCATAGGCGCAACGTTTTGGAACCGGAGAGTGGGCGCTAGAACGGCTGGGAGGCTGGCCCAGGTTTTTTTAGATATGCAAATATGCTGCGACGTCCCAGAAAGGCATAAACATGTCTGGAGAACACGTTTTATTTCCGCAGCTGGGACCGATAAACAAGTGACATCGCCCTTGGTCGTCGAGAGAACGTACCAACGATTGAAATCGGAGCCCAGGAATAAGTTATTTCTTGACGGGTAGTGAATTGGCTCGGAGCATGGCGACGTTTACTGGCCGCAAGAGCTAGGGATCGCACCGGAGAGACGCCGCCTCTTGACTGAAGAGAGCCATCCAGTGTCAATCATTGAATTCATTAAGAAATTATCTAGAAATTATACGAATCTCAACCGGCTTTCTTGAACTATAAAAGGCGGGCCTGCCCAACTCGTCGAGCACCAGAATCCGCCCACCCTTCCAACTCCTACCACATCATCTTTACAATGTCTTCTCGTTATACAATGACTACAAAGCCCCACGACGTGCTCGTGGGCGAATACTTTTACCCAGTTGCGGTCTCGCAACCTGGTGTAAAGGCCTATGTTGCCACCAACAAGCGTGCATCGAAGAACACGACTCCAGGACAACTCGTAAGTATCCTTGAACGCAAAGTACGAGACCAAAAGCTGAGCGACGCGTCTGCACAGATCATGGACAAGGATACCTGTGTCGTCTATCTGGTTGATGCCAATGGAATGCTCTACATGCAACCTGCAGAATGTTTCCCGCACGATATTCTCAACGCCCCGCTGTGGAAGACGATCCCGCTCCCAAAGGACGACTTTCGACTTTCGTGTGGACTGCCTACACCGCCAACGACGCCGCCCAAGCCATCGTCTGGCCTCTCCTCGTCGTCGCTCGCGTACACGGGTCAAGAAAGCGCGCAGTGGCAACAACAGCGCGTCCGACGCGACTCTGCGCACGTCTACCCTTATCCGTCCTCCTCGTCCTCTGTCCAGCAGCCCCAGCCGCAATACAGATACGCAGTCTCGCAGTCTTATCCACCTTCCTCGGGCATGTACTACGTCCCCCAGCCACAGCAGGCTCCTGTCATCCCGACCCAGAAGAAGAAGCACGTCCGGTTTGAGTAAAACGCTCATCCGCACCGGCTTGATTACGACTCGTTGACGGACTTTGCATTTTCTGGATACCTGCCGAGGGGCATTCCCCATCATTTCCTCGACACTCTCAACACATCTCAATCTCAATGGCTTCTGTCTCCATCATATACACATCAAATCCATACATCTGTATCACTCCTCATTCTCCATCCGTGCATGCTTTTTATGCGCCAGCTCCGATACATAGTATCCTCATGACTCTCCTTTGTTTTTTACTGTTTTCTATTTGAAACGGACGCATAGGATCCAAAGCAATAACAAGACTTGTTATTCCCTCCAATTCATTATAGTGCATATAAGATACTTTTGATAACTACTTCATTCTGCGGTTATGAGAGAGAGAGGCGCTATCCCAGCAGCCTTACGTGTTCGATACCTCCGCGTCTTCCGGAACGTCCGCCGAAGTGGAGCTGAGTACGACGATACGTGGCTGCGCGCCTTTGCCACCAGGAATAGCGCTAGGCGCGACATCAGGCGCGCTCCCGCCACCAATGGAATCTTCGACGCTCCCTTGTCCCGAGATGACTGTCTCCATCCGTGTACGGTCCCGACGCCGACGCGGTAATGGACGCATGGGACGGGTGCCCGTCACAAGCGCGATCAGATCCACGTCCTCTCGACTGTCTTCTTCGCTATCATTTTGATCAGAGCGCGTATCTGATTCATCATCTTCCATCGAAGAAGCATCATCATTCTCGTTTTCACTCGAGCTGTCGGTACTCGAGCTGTCGTCGGAGCTATCGTCGGAAGTCGTCTGCGAATCGTCACTCGAACCTTTTCCTTCTTCGACAGCACCGCCATTCCCAGTACCCTGTCGTTGCCGCTGCTCAAACAGGCCCAAGCCGAGGTTCTATCATCGGCCAGGTCAGCTTCGTTATAAATTTCGAGTTGGCAAAAGGAAGTCGATGCAGTTGGGCGAAGTTGATGCGCATGAGCTCGTGCCTCGTCGCAGCCAGCAGTCGCCGCGGACGACGAGTGTACTGCGGCAAAACGTTGCGGGCGAGGGACGAGAAACAGGTGCCCATCTTCATCGACGGTCGTACCATTTGGAAAAAGAGGGAGAGGGAGGGCGTAGAGACGTACCATTTCAATGTACGAGGTCTCGGTGCCGTCAAAGGATTCGATGTCCACGCTCGACGGGTTTTCACGTGCAATCCGTTGGTCGAGGGCGTGGTTGGCTGCCATTAGCTCCGGGAGAAACGCCTGTACGCGTGCTAAGACTTTTGATTCGTTGTAGATATTGACGTCCCTCGTCCCATGCCGAATGCGGGGGGTATGCGGTGTAGCCCGAGTTCATTCGCCCACACATTCAGATTTCGACGTCGAATTGATATCCATTGAGGACACAGAGCATGTGTTTATGCCAGAGGGAAATAAACGTCAGTCCTAGAACCCAAGGCCGTCCTGACCGGGACGCAGCGCGAGGAAAACTCACGTTGGGAAGTGACGAGAGGATCTGGGAGCGTGCTAGGCGCAGTAGCATGGCCAGAAAGGAGTGTTTCAGTGTTCTGGTGTGGCAGGCTGTGACCGTCCTCGTTTATACGCGTCAAGAGGCCAGCTGCGAGATGATCGGGGGGAATGAGCTTTATTGGCCGCGTCGAATAGGATCACAAACAGAGACGTTCTAGACGCTGGTCGTTGTCCTCGAGCTCTAGAGTGTCGCGTGCGGGGCCCCTCGTTTGGTCGTGGCGTGTGGGATCCATTTTATTGGCAAAAGGGGCCTTCAATTCATTAATGGGTGTGTGGTTATAAATCCCCGCGGTGACGAGGCGTGGTCCAAGGTTGAGCCACGACCACCCCGCTTTTGGAGGTTCCTCTGACGGCCACGGCAATCGCCGGCAGCAAAATACAGCAAAAGAACGCATAAGAAAGTGACAACAGCCGTCCTCGTTTCATCGTCACACTCATCGCACATTTACCGGTCACGTTATTCCCAGAAAACATACGCCAGAATGCAACGGGTACTCGAACAACCGTATCCTCCTTCGTTTACATTTAACGACCTTGATGTCGTCCAGAACTCTCGCAAGTCTTCCTACCCTTCTCCACCCTCGGCCGCAGCCTCTACCCACAGCGTCCACGGTCACAGTGGCTTCAAATCGCCAGAATTTGGACAGGAATCACTCTCAAACTTGTTCTCAGATCCGCTAATATCCCAACTCGACTTTGGCACAGACGATTTCTTCTTCCCTCCCCCTCCACCCCCAGCAAATACCAGCTTTGAGTCGATGAACTTTTTCTCGACGGGAGAACAAGACGATATGCTCGATTTCCTCAGAGATTTTGACGCAGCGGACCCCTGGGAGTTTAATCCACTCCTCCCGTCTACGATGCCGGCTTATCCCGGGGACATTGTGCTCACAGATGACTCACGAAAACAACATTCTCAGCATTCTCAACAAAACCAACATCAGTCACATCAGGCTGGCATGATGCTGCCAAGTACCCAGAGCGAGCTGCCACTCCATCACCAGTATGGCAACGGCCATGCACTCGCTTTCCACCAACAGCAACAGCAGCACATGGACCAAGGTCCTTTTCCAGATTCTGTATCCGTCCACTCGAGCTCGGGCACCGCCATGCCAGAGGTCCAGACACCCCAAGCACAGACCTCTTCCCCGAGTGCAAATACGACTACATCCTCATTACACCAACACCAACAACAACAACATCATCATCATCATCATGCACCTCCTTCGACAGCCTCGAGCAGCAGCCCCAGCGCATCCACTGCTGGCGGTGGTCGCCCTCCTTCAAATGGTCAACAAGAATGGCGACCGAAACCAGTTCTATCCGGACCACAGAAGCGAATGAACCACGTCAAGAGCGAAAAACGACGACGGGATACGATTCGCGACGGCTACCTTACGCTCACCAAGATGCTTTCGCCCAGTGGACCTGGCGCGGAACAGATTGCGATCCCACGGAGAGGGAGACCCAAGGGGAGTGGGAGGACGGTGAATGGCAAAAAGACGGGAAAGGGAAAGAGTGGGGTGTTGTTTCGAGCGGTCGAGTATATTCGGTTCATGGAAGAAGGATGCGAGGCATTGGAGCGAGAATGTGAGCGATTGGAGAGACTTGCATTGGGGGTGGCGACGAATACGCAAGGACTACGGATGCATAGCGGTAACGCGACGTATACTCTGCAGTCTGTTCCGTGGTAGCCGTGTTTCCTACTCTAATTGTGCACCTAGCTGTATCACCACAAGTCGTGTTATTGCTTTCTAACCTATCGTATACGTCTTTACTTAAAAGCCTTTTGTGTAAGGAAGGTCTAGGGCTGGTATACTGTATACAGTATTCCTGAAAGGCTCAGGACGGTCTCGTTGAGTTATTAGTAAGGGAGTATAGTAGAGGACAATGACAGGGGGCAATCTTTGGCGAGATAACTGGCTCCTTTATGTTCAATTCGCCACGAATTTCGACACCGATAACGCCGCTTTACAAAACGTAGGACCACGTTCACCTGAGGTTCCTCACGCGGTGTACGAGAAAGGTTATATATCGCGATAATGATAAAATGACGACAGTTCACTGGTTTATGTTCCTTCGAACATTTGTCCAGGAGGGACCACATTGGAAATGGGTGAAATCGAGTTTGGTGGCCCGCTTTGGACTCGACGTTGGCATAGTCAGACGAAGATTCTGATTTTGAATTCCATAACGATTTTCCGGGGGTACCCAGAACAGAAAGTTGCCAGATGATTGCACCCAGCCATCGTGCAACAGTAGGCACCGCTTGAATCCGGGTATCTGTAATGGTAGGGGAACAGCATTTGGTGATTCGATGAGAGTGGGAGATGGTGACTTGGGGTCATCGATATCGGGGCTATGTGAACTTGCATCTGATATTTATCAAGTCAGATATACAAGTAAGAGCAAACCAGGGCCACACTTACCAGTATGCACATCCCATACACTAACTGTTCCGTCGTCTAAGCCAGAGACACTCCGCGACCCATCTGGAGATATTGTAACCCCTGTCATCATGCGTGTTTGTTGACCTGGAGGTGCCTCGCCCAACAGTTGACCAGTGCCTGCATCCCACATTCTAATCGTCGAGTCAAAAGAGCCAGAGACGATTCGTGAGCCGTCTGGCGAGAATCCGACGGCGTAGACAGGTCCTTGGTGACCTCGAAGTGGCTCTCCCAATGGCTGACCAGTGTCTGCGTCCCAAAGTCGAATCGTCCAGTCAAAAGAGCCAGAGACGATTCGTGAGCCGTCTGGCGAGAATCCGACGGCCCAGACCATTCCTTGGTGACCTCGAAGTGGCTCTCCCAATGGCTGACCAGAGTCTGCGTCCCACAGTCGAATCGTCGAGTCAGAAGAGCCAGAGACGATTCGTGAGCCGTCTGGCGAGAATCCGACGGCCCAGACCATTCCTTGGTGACCTCGAAGTGGCTCTCCCAATGGCTGACCAGAGTCTGCGTCCCACAGTCGAATCGTCTTGTCATCCGAGCCAGAGACGATTCGTGAGCCGTCTGGCGAGAATCCGACGGCGTATATAGGTCCTTCGTGACCTCGAAGTGGCTCTCCCAATGGCTGACCAGTGTCTGCGTCCCACAGTCGAATCGTCGAGTCATCTGAGCCAGAGACGATTCGTGAGCCGTCTGGCGAGAATCCGACGGCGTATACAGGTCCTTCGTGACCTCGAAGTGGCTCTCCCAATGGCTGACCAGTGTCTGCGTCCCACAGTCGAATCGTCTTGTCAGAAGAGCCAGAGACGATTCGTGAGCCGTCTGGCGAGAATCCGACGGCGTAGACCCCTCGTTCGTGACCTCGAAGTGGCTCTCCCAATGGCTGACCAGTGTCTGCGTCCCACAGTCGAATCGTCTTGTCAGAAGAGCCAGAGACGATTCGTGAGCCGTCTGGCGAGAATCCGACGGCGTATACAGGTCCTTGGTGACCTCGAAGTGGCTCTCCCAATGGCTGACCAGTGTCTGCGTCCCACAGTCGAATCGTCTTGTCCAAAGAGCCAGAGACGATTCGTGAGCCGTCTGGCGAGAATCCGACAGCTCGCACCCAATCTTCGTGACCTCGGAGAGCTCTGGGGAGGTCCAGATACGTCTCTTCTACCCCCCGGATAACACTCAGAGTATTCCTATATTTTTCTGCCTTCTCCCTATGCAGTGTTGACTTCCTGGGAGTAAATGCAAGTGCCGAGACGTATATGTGTGCAGCGCTATCCTGGATTGGTACCGAAAATGCCATTAGAAATCGTCGAATCTCCGTCATCCTGCTTTTATCCTCCCTTTCGATCTGTCTTTTGTGTAAACGAATAGAACACATATCCCGATAGATCACTCACTCCTATGTGGCTTGTAGCAGCTCGAAGTCCCGCTATCGCTCGTGGCACTCCTCCAATAAGGCTCAGAACCTCCGCCCAGTATAGCACATACGACCCCTCTATCATCTGTTCCAGTTCTCTCTTGAGCTTCCGTTGCCAGTTGTTGTCTGTCCCGGCCAAATGGAACAGCCAGTGCGAGCTGGCATATCGAAGTCTTCTTGGAATGAATTTGGACACCCTGACGTCCAGGTCGGGGATCTGTCTGTTAAGGAGGAAAGATGACTCGATTTGACATATGTTGAACTTGAGACCTTCTGTGCGCGATTTGAGGTTTCTGAAACACCATGATGCGGTTTGACCGTGTGCGTTGGCGAGATTGAGATACATTCCATTGCGATTCTCGGTGGCCTGAGCAATTGTGCAGCGTCGCAAGTATTCCACGAATGTCGGGTGACGAAACTGGATCAGATCTGTCCTTGTATCTACGCTAAGTACGCTTCCTAGATTCTCTACCAACGCCTTGGCACTTCCGAGCACGTTGGAATGTTCAATCAGGTCGTCCAGGTCCTCTATAGTGAGCGGCTCAAATGCAGCTAGCAGCAAGGCCAACATTGTGCGCATAACCATGTGGTCTTTGGGGTCTATGCGCTCAAAAACGAGGCTATATACGTCGTCTATGACTCCAGGTTGGTCCATAGAAATCAGACGATCATATATAGCCGTAGACGAGCTCAAGCTGGTCTTGCTAGTGAGCATTCGGCATGCGGTGCTTGCCCAGATGAACAGCCCGTTGGCCTTTTCGACCAGCCGTTGCCTCTTGTCCTTGGAGAGAACGAGGCCCAACGACTGATCTATGTAAACCGCAATGTCGTCAATATTATCCGAATGGTTGGGATCGTGCAGCCGGTCTTCCAGCTTTTCTTTGATCGACACGTCTTTCAGAACCGCCTCAACGACAGGGTCCGGTCGACTCGTCATGAAGATCTTGAGATTCCGGCTCTCTCGAACCCCCTTAGCGAGTGTCTCCACAAGTTCTCTTCGCTGTGATGCGGACTTGCATTCGTCGATGGCGTCGATAACGATGATCACCCGCGTATCTAGGTGGTTGAGTGGACCAGTGATGAGCGTGCTGAACTGCTCCTCAAGCGGACTTCGCGTGATCACTGGATCTCGCTTCACGGCGTCGGCGATGTATGGTACCAGTTCGGGTATGTGGCGTGCGAGTTCCCTGGCTATGGTCGGGCACAGCTTTTCTGTATTCGATGCTTCGGCGCTGGCCATCGAGAAGAAGAACTGGGCCCCTAGCGTTCCCTCGGCTCGCCACGACGCTGCTGCGGACATTGCGACTGACGATTTGCCAGACCCAGCTATGTCGCATAACCAAAATATTGGCTTATCCGACATATCATCCTCGGCCCAACGCCAGATCTTGTCGAGAACGGCCTGACGGGTCCCTTGTAGACAGCGGGTGTGGACCGAGGATGCGACGAATGCGGCCACAGGCAGCTGCAGGATAGCAGCGGTCTCGACTTGAAATAGTTAGTAAAACATTTGGCGAACAAGTTTAGCTTACTGTCTGTCACGATGACCTTGGCACTCTGTTCGATAGCTTGGACGCTCCCTTCAATGGCTTGGACGTTGCGTTCGATCGCTTGAACATTGCGTTCGGTGGCTTGAACACGCAATGCGGTGAAAAGACCCAAGGCATTCTGTATCCCGTGTTAGCTCAAGAACAAGGCAGAAGATGCTCATACCATGAATTGTCTATGTTTGTCCTCGATATCTCGGTTCAAATTGCGAATCTCTTCAGTATCCAGTTTCACTTTGCTCATCGCAGCTAATGCTCCGAGACCGCCGCGCCGTCGTTTATGCCTATAGTTTACGACAGTGCACTGAATGTCTTCGAGAAGCCTGGAAAAGTGAGCATGACGATATTGTAGAATTGATGTTTCCACGTACTCGACATAGCGGACTAGTGGTCGACTGAAGGCGTCGTCGACCATTCTATCCTGTGGAGGATAGCGTTCAAACGACTCGAGTTGATCTTCGATGGCCACCATGTATTCATCAAGACGGCGTGTTAGGTCTACCCATGCTTCTTGGTTGTCGTCGATACCCTGTTGTATTCATCAGACGGCGCCTGTGCCAGTCTCGTCGACATTACCTGTATGACATCGAGGATTGATTTTGTTGTCTTGCAGACTGCTTTGAGAGGAGCAAGGATATCGGATGCCTCGGCTGCATTTGCCGTCACGTCGAGAGTGATACCAGCCGCAGTATATACTCGCGCCCTCTTGCGGGATGAGCTCCTTGTGGAAGACGACGAGTCTTGAGGATTCATGCTCGCCTTGATGGATATAGTCGATTTTGAGACGACGCTATGGACGTGGAAGAGTCCAAGATGTGGGTTGGCGTCTGCCATTCTCCACGGTAGGCTATGTGCCAGATACACGAGGCGAAGGGCCAGCACGGCGTTGAATTTGATAGTACACTGGTTGAACACCCAACCAAATAGGGAAATGGTCAGCGAGTATTGGTGACTGGGTTGAGTTGTATGTGGTCCATGTCTCAGCAGTAGCTAATCCGACGGCACATGGACCAAGGACCTTTTCCAGATTCTGTATCCGTCCACTCGAGCTCGGGAAAAAAGACGGGAAAGGGAAAGAGTGGAGTGTTGTTTCGAGCGGTCGAGTATATTCGGTTCATGGAAGAAGGACGCGAGGCATTGGAGCGAGAATGTGAGCGATTGGAGAGACATGCATTGGGGGTAGCGACGAATACGCAAGGACTACGGATGCATAGCGGTAACGTGACATATACTCTTCAGTCTGTTCCGTGGTAGCCGTATTTCCTACTCTAATTGTGCACCTAGCTGTATCACCACAAGTCGTGTTGTTGCTTTCTAACCTGTCATATACGTCTTTACTTAAACACATTTTGTGTGAGGAAGGGCTAGGGCTGATATACTGTATACAGTAATCCTGAAAGGCTCAGGGCGTTGAGTTATTAGTAAGGGAATATAGTAGAGGGCAATGATAGAGGGCAATATTTGGCGAGACTTTATCTTCAATTCGTCACAAATTTCGAAACCGACAACGCCGCTTTGCAAAACATAGGACCACGTTCACCTGAGATTCACGAGTTGTATAAGAGAGGTAATATAGCAATAATAATAAAAACGATAGTTGTTCACTTGCCGATACTATTTCGAACATTTGTCCAGGAGAGGCCACATTGAAAATGGGTGAAATCGAGTTTGGTGGCCCGCTTTGGACTCGACGTTGGCATAGTCAGACGAAGATTCTGATTTTGAAGTCCATAACGATTTTCCGGGGGTACCCAGAACAGAAAGTTGCCAGATGATTGCACCCAGCCATCGTGCAACAGTAGACATCGCTTGAACCCGGGTATCTGTATTGGTAGGGGAACAGCATTTGGTGATTCGATGAGAGTGGGAGATGGTGACTTGGGGTCATCAATATTGGGGCTATGTGGACTTGCACCTGATAATTATCAAGTCAGATATACAAGTAAGAGCAAGCCAAGGCCACACTTACCAGTATGCACATCCCATACACTAACTGTTCCGTCATGCGAGCCAGAGACCCTCTGGGAGCCATCTGAGGATATTGTAACCTCATTCACCATGTGCATTTGTTGACCTGGAGGTGCCTCTCCCAACAGTTGACCAGTGTCTGCATCCCACAGTCTAATCGTCTTGTCATCCGAGCCAGAGACGATTCGTAAGCCGTCTGGCGAGAATCCGACGGCCCAGACCCATCGTTCGTGACCTCGAAGTGGCTCTCCCAATGGCTGACCAGTGTCTGCGTTCCACAGTCGAATCGTCGAGTCAGAAGAGCCAGAGACGATTCGTGAGCCGTCTGGCGAGAATCCGACGGCCCAGACCACTCCTTCGTGACCTCGAAGTGGCTCTCCCAATGGCTGACCAGTGTCTGCGTCCCACAGTCGAATCGTCGAGTCGTCCGAGCCAGAGACGATTCGTGAGCCATCTGGCGAGAATCCGACGGCGTAGATAGGTCCCTCGTGACCTCGAAGTGGCTCTCCCAATGGCTGACCAGTGTCTGCGTCCCACAGTCGAATCATCTTGTCATCCGAGCCAGAGATGATTCGTGAGCCGTCTGGCGAGAATCCGACGGCGTAGACAGGTCCTTGGTGACCTCGAAGTGGCTCTCCCAATGGCTGACCAGTGTCTGCGTCCCACAGTCGAATCGTCCAGTCAAAAGAGCCAGAGACGATTCGTGAGCCGTCTGGCGAGAATCCGACGGCGTAGACAGGTCCTTGGTGACCTCGAAGTGGCTCTCCCAATGGCTGACCAGAGTCTGCGTCCCACAGTCGAATCGTCGAGTCATCTGAGCCAGAGACGATTCGTGAGCCGTCTGGCGAGAATCCGACGGCCCAGACCATTCCTTCGTGACCTCGAAGTGGCTCTCCCAATGGCTGACCAGTGTCTGTGTCCCACAGTCGAATCGTCTTGTCAGAAGAGCCAGAGACGATTCGTGAGCCGTCTGGCGAGAATCCGACGGTCAAGACGGATTCTTCGTGACCTCGAAGTGGCTCTCCCAATGACTGACCAGTGTCTACGTCCCACAGTCGAATCGTCTTGTCATCCGAGCCAGAGACGATTCGTGAGCCGTCTGGCGAGAATCCGACGGCGTTGACCCCTCGTTCGTGACCTCGAAGTGGCTCTCCCAATGGCTGACCAGTGTCTGCGTCCCACAGTCGAATCGTCGAGTCATCTGAGCCAGAGACGATTCGTGAGCCATCTGGCGAGAATCCGACGGCTCGCACCCATCCTTCATGACCTCGAAGTGGCTCTCCCAATGGCTGACCAGTGTCTGCGTCCCAAAGTCGAATCGTCGCGTCATCCGAGCCAGAGACGATTCGTGAGCCGTCTGGCGAGAATCCGACGGCGTAGACAGGTCCTTCGTGACCTAGAAGTGGCTCTCCCAATGGCTGACCAGTGTCTGCGTCCCACAGTCGAATCGTCGCGTCATCCGAGCTAGAGATGATTCGTGAGCCATCTGGCGAGAATCCGACGGCCCAGACCACTCCTTCGTGACCTCGAAGTGGCTCTCCCAATGGCTGACCAGTGTCTGTGTCCCACAGTCGAACCGTCTTGTCATCCGAGCCAGAGACGATTCGTGCGCCGTCTGGCGAGAATCTGATGGCCCAGACCCCTCCTTCGTGACCTCGGAGAGTTCGGGGGAGGTCCAGATATGTCTCTTCTACCCCCCGGATAACACTCAGAGTATTCCTATATTTTTCTGCCCTCTCCCTATGCAGTGTTGACTTCCTGGGAGTAAATGCAAGTGCCGAGACATATATGTGTGCAGCACTGTCCTGGATCGCCACCGAAAATGCCATTAGAAATCGTCGAATTTCCGTCATCCTGTTCTTGTTCTCCTTTTTAATCTGTTTCTTGTGTAAACAATAGAATATATATCCCGATAGACCACTCACTCCTATGTGGCTTGTAGCAGCTCGAAGTCCTGCTATCGCTCGTGGCACTCCTCCAATAAGGCTCAGAACCTCCGCCCAGTATAGCACATACGACCCCTCTATAATCTGTTCCAGTTCTCTCTTGAGTTTCGTTGCCAGTTGTTGTCTGTCCCGGCCAAATGGAACAGCCAATGCGAGCTGGCATATCGAAGTCTCCTTGGAATGAATTTGGACACCCTGAAGTCCAAGTCGGAGATCTGTCTATTAAGGAGGAAAGACGATTCGATTTGACATATGTTGAACTTGAGACCTTCTGTGCGCGATTTGAGGTTTCTGAAACACCATAATGCGGTTTGACCGTGTGCATTGGCGAGATTGAGATACATTCTATCACCGTTATCGGTGGCTGGAGCAATGGTGCAGCGTCGCAAGTACTCCACGAATGTAGGGTGACGAAATTGGATCAGAAGTGTACTCGAATCCACGCTGAGTACGCTTCCTAGATTCTGCAACAACGCCTTAGACGTTCCCCGCACTCTCGCATGCTTCAGCAGATCGTCCAGGTCATCGACAGTCAGCGGCTCATATGCAGCGAGCAGCAGCGCCAGCGTCGCACACATCACCGTGTAGTAGTTGGGTCTGTACGTTCGAAGACGAGACGGTATACGTCGTCTATGGCACCTGGCTGATCCATAGAAATCAGCTGGTCATATGTGTCATTGGGCGAGCTCCAGCTGGTTTCGCTCGTGAGCATTCGGCATGCGGTGCTCGCCCAGATGAACAGACCGTTGGCCTTTTCGACCAATCGTTGTCTCTTGTCGTGGGCTAGAACTCGATACAACGACTGATGTACATAGACCCCAATGTCACCGATATTATCCGAATGGTTGGGATCGTGCAGCCGGTCTTCTAGCTTTTCTTTGTTCGAAAGCTCTTTCAAAACTGCTTCAATGACAGGATCCGGTCGACTCGTCATGAAGATCTTGAGGTTCTTGCTCTCTCGAACACCCTTAGCAAGGGTCTCCACAAGTTCTCTTCGCTGTGATCCTAATTTGCATTCGTCGATGGCGTCGATAACGATAATTATGCGCTTGTCTAAAGTGACGGAGTGGGCCAGTGATGAGCGTGCTGAACTGCTCCTCAAGCGGACTTCGCGTGATCACTGGATCTCGCTTCACGGCGTCGGCGATGTATGGTACCAGTTCGGGTATGTGGCGTGCGAGTTCCCTGGCTATGGTCGGGCAAAGCTTTTCTGTATTCGATGCTTCGGCGCTGGCCATCGAGAAGAAGAACTGGGCCCCTAGCGTTCCCTCGGCTCGCCACGACACTGCTGCGGACATTGCAACCGACGATTTGCCAGAGCCAGCGATGTCGCATAACCAAAATATTGGTTTGTCCGACATATCATCCTCGGCCCAGCGCCGGATCTTGTCAAGAACGGCGTGACGGGTTCCTTGCAGACAAGGAGTATGAACCGAAGATGCAACAAATGTGACCATAGGTAGCTGGAGGATCGCAGCGGCCTGGGCTTTGGACAGTTCAGTCAATTTATCCACGAACAATGTTCCGCTTACCCTCTGCTTTGGCACTCCGTTCCATGGCTTGCACACGCAATGCAGTAAAGAGGCTCAAAGCATTCTGTTTCTACTGTCAGCTGGTGAACAAGACGAGTAACGCTCGCACCATGAACTGTTTGTGCCTGTCATCGATGCCTCGACTGATTTTGAGAATCTCTCCCGCGTCCATTTTCACATTACTGAACTTTTTGAGGAAGCCCAGTTTGCTGCGGCTGCGGTTCTCCTTTAGGTTGACGATCTTGTCATGTATCTCTTCGAGGGACCTGTATCACTTTCAATATACTAAAGCAAATTCGGACTGCTCACGTACTCTACGTATTCAATGAGTGGTTGACTGAATGCTTTGTCGACGACCCTCTCCGCTGGAGGATACTCCTCGAATGACTTCATTTGGCTCTCGATGGATGACATGTATTCTCTCAGGCGTCGTGTTAGGTCGACCCATTCTTCTTGGTTGTCGTTGATAGCCTGTTATTCATGAGACGAAGTAATGTCAGCCACGCCGACTTTACCTGCATGACATCGAGGATTGATTTGGTGGTTTTACAGGCTGCCTTGAGAGGAGCAAGGATATCTGATGCCTCGGCTACATTTGCTATCCCGTCGAGAAGGATGCCAGCCGTGGTATATGCTTGCGTCCTCTTGTTTGATGAGTTTCGTGCAGAAGAGGATGATCCCTGAGGATCCATAGTCGTATCAATGGACGTGGAAGAGTCCAAGATGTGTCGGCGTCTGCCACTCTCCACGGCAGGCTATGTGCCAGATACACGAGGCGAGGACTATGAATAGGTTTGACTGGATGGAACCTTTGGAACTGATAGGACTTGTTAATATACTCATGACCTGGCTCACCACTTTTAAAATTTACTATGTTTTGATTTGGTCGAGGTGAGTTTGACTATGGCAATGAAGCTATGACTAATGAATGAATATTCTATTTATTGAGGTATAGTCTGATGCCGAGTATCGTGTCATGGGCCGATTATTCGACAGTCCCACGCGAGCCATTACTATAAAACTTGGTCAGCCACCGCTTCGAGTTGGACCCAACCGCATCCGCAGTTTAACACTATTTCCTTGTTTTATTGCTGGATAAGCCATTAAGGATGGCTCAGTTTTTGCCAGCACCAAGAGTCATCCATGTCGATACCCGCGGTGCCGTCATTCTCAACGAAGAGTCCCCAGAGGTACGTCTTATATCATTCTGAACTCGTTAGACTCGCCGGTCAAAGCCTGCGGCTCAACGACGTTCCTCAAAACGGAGAACTATACGCTGACTTTTGGGATCCAGACGCGAGACAGCAGAGGCATCTATCTCCCAAACCACATTGAACCCGTCTCTCATATCGCACTCGACGTGAGTTTATCCCTCGCTCCCACACCCCATTTCGTGGTCACGCAGCCGGACAAACGATAGCCGTTGAAGCGGAGACACTGTCCAATCGCCCTTTCTACGGCTCCCTTTGAGCTTTTGTGGGGCAATGGCTCTCCGCCACTCTCCATATCCCAGTCCTTGAATGGGCGTCTGAGAAATCACGTTCATCGTCTGCGGGTGGATTCATGCAGATCCAGCCTAGGCTTGGTTCCTTTCATCTCACACTAGACTCACCATGCACACGTCACAGATTGGCGGCTCGTTGGCAAAGGTCGTCTTCTTCACTCGCTCGTCCGAGCCCCCTTCGCCACCCTTGCGACAGAGCGTCCCTGGATCATCAGGCGATTCGGAAGAGGTCAACGTATCATCTGGATATACTGGCACCAACGGTCTCTCTGGAAGAACGCCAAAGACGGGCGCGCTTACCCCACTTTCCCTGGAAGCCCATTCCTCTGGCTTGACAACCTCAACCCATCTTCAAAATGGTACAGCAGCAGTCTTAAACCACCCACCTTCGCCACAGCAACCCCACGATCTCCCATTAGGCAAACCCGAGTTCAAAGCTGATCTCCTTCGTCGAGCACAGATGCGCCATTTCCCTGGAGGCTCACTCAATTTTGAACGATTCGAAACAGACGATATCGGTACATGCATAGACTTTATTCGCGCACTCATCGAACGCTCGGCAGAACTCAACCACGTTCCTTTGGCCAGCATGCGGGAGAGCGTCAAGATTATCGCTACAGGAGGTGGAGCACACCGATTCTACGATTTACTGAAATCGGAGCTGGGCGTCGAAGTTCATCGCGAAGATGAAATGGAGTGCCTGATCACCGGGTTGGGGTTCATTACGTTGATCCCACGAGAAACGTATTGGTTCTCCGACGAACTCGTGCATGACGTCGTCAGTGGGCGACAGCCAAAGCAACTGCCAGAGGTCGATGCGTCGACGCTTGGTCCCAATGGCGCCGCGGCGAGTACATCTCAGACAGAAACGACGCTCGAGAGACCGTCGCCGAATCCACCCAGGTTTGCTGTGTCCTTTGAAGAATCGAGCCCGACGACGCAGTTGCCGTGTTTGCTGGTGAACATCGGGTCGGGTGTGTCGATCATCAAAGTTGATGCAGATGGCTCGTTTGAGCGAGTCAGTGGAACGAGTCTGGGGGGTGGAACGCTTTGGGGCCTTTTAAGCTTGCTCACTGGAGCCACATCATTTGATGGTCAGATTTTGCATTCTTCCTACCCATCCAATAATCTAACCTCATCACACAGAAATGTTATCGTTATCCGAAAAGGGCAACAACGAGAATGTTGACATGCTTGTCGGCGATATTTATGGACAAGACTACTCGAAACTGGGGCTCAAGTCAACCATGATTGCGTCATCTTTTGGCAAAGTCTTTAAGAAAGGCGAGACGAAGCGTCAGTTTTCTCCAGAGGATATCAGCAAGAGTTTGCTCTATGCCCTCTCGAACAATATTGGCCAGATCGCGTATGTCTTTCGTGTTCCTCTTGCTTGCTGTGACTGATCGTCTACCTAGGTATATGAACGCCGAAAAGTACAATCTTGATAGGATATACTTTGGCGGCTGCTTCATTCGTGGTCATGCAGCGACTATCGCGACGCTATCTTATGCTATACGCTTCTGGAGCAAAGGCACGAAACGTGCGCTCTTCCTACGACACGAAGGATTCCTGTACGTCTTGTTATCCGACCCGCCTACTTGTACTCACCCACTCTCTAGTGGTGCCATTGGCGCATGGATCAAGAATATTGACAATTCGGCATAAATGCTTGGATCCGACTCTATCTTTAACCTCACATTTATACGGATTTCTAGTATCCCCCATTATTTTGACTGTGCAAACAATCGGATTCGGCTATCCTACAGTACAATGTCCGTTGCTACGTTTTCACGGATTGTATAAACAGCTTCGTTTTCTCTACACTTCATTGGCATATCGTCAGACGACTTGTTACTATTAGAGGTCGCATGCGATGCCCGAGGCGAGGCGAGTCGGCTCCTTTTCGCTGAGACTAGCCATAACGTGACGCGAGATGAACGTGGCACGAGGCTACGATCTACAGAATCCAGAATGTCGAGATAATGAGAGGCTGTAGACTGAGGGTTTTGAATTCACTGAGCGAGCTGATCTTCAAGGTTGATTTCAAGGATGGCCACGGCGCGTCGACCAAGCGTATCCAGGTGCATGTGGTGGCTTGATTGCAGCAAGCGGAGCTCGAGTAGTTGCATATGTCGAACGGCGTTGGGGGATGACGACCTGATGATGTAGGTGAGCGAGCCATACTAGTAGAACCCACGGAAGCGTACAATCTCGTCATCATCCGAACGATCAAAGATTTCACCGGCGGCTATGGCCTGCGCGCGTGTACGTGCTTCGCGTTCGTCTTCGTCTGTATTGACCTTGTGCTCCATCTGTGCAACGTCTTGCTGAGTGAGCACCCAGAATCGTTTAGGTCGTGGATGTACAATTTCGCATTTGGATTCTACGATTGGGATGGGTTCTTCTGGGAGATAGCTGAGCGACCATCGCCTATCGTCGCGGCTGGTCCTCTATAGAAATAGGATTTGAGGCGCGTAATTGACGTGTTGGAATACACTTACGGGTGATGGAATGTCGTGGTCAATGTGCCAGATGGATTTCGGCGATAGGTTTGCCAAGGAAGCATGCCGGCCATTCTTGATGAGAGAAAAATGGCGTCAGATGGCGCATGGCGTCGAGCAGAATGCAGCGTACGGTTGGAGATGAATCACAAAATGTACTTAACCAGGATCCAAAGCCATAGGAAGGAGGAGATGGCTGGATGGGCTGTTCAAAGGCAATCGGTGAGCGACGAGATATCGGAATGTCAAGTCAGGCGCGCGAAATTACTCACAGCTTGCCTTGTAAACTGAGTTTTTATCGTCTATGGAAGTTATTCGCGTCAGTAAACGCGTGCAAAACGCGTCGGATGGCTGGCAGACGATAGCCATGATGGCCATCCTACGACACGCTCATCACGAAAATAACATACGATTGGTGCTACACGGCTGAGCAGCGAGTTTTCAGATATTTTGTGAGCGAGGAGCGCCATTGGAGAGAAGATGCAAAACGCGGTCGGGTGCAAACAAATTTCAATCCCCGACGACTGGAATCAACGGCCGGCGTTAGGAAATTTGTACAGATTACATCTATATTCATGCTACATGTGATAAAATGGGCCCAGAAAAGACATTGACGAGACTTTTATTGTCGATGTGAATAGGGTGGAGGGTCCTAACGCGAGTCGTTATGCAACTTCTGTCACGACGTTGATAACAACCTCGTGGTATCTGAGCGATGCGGTTCCGTCTGTCGTCCGCTGTGGCATTTCGAACCGACTGAGGATGGGGGCTTCGCGTTTGGACCACATGTCTTGCCCACCACGAGCAATTGATCGCAAATTAATACAGAGTCGAGTGGTCGACACTGACACAGTCGCCCATAGCAAGCTGCAGAAGCGTTATTGAATGGTAACCCTTTGAAATGAAGAAAAACTCACAAGAGGCCGATGTACATGTATGAGACCGGCATTCGATAGAACTGAGGTTGTGATTAGTCCTGGTTGGTTGGTATAGTAGTGCACATACGATGAAGATGTTGAGCAGTCGTACTGGGAAGAGTCAGTATATTTTCCTATGGTATTGACTAGAGCTTACCAAACATAATACCGATATAATGGATGAGTCCATCTATGTGTATGTTAGACGTGTTCCTGCTTCAGCGTTCGGGCGACCTACCTCGGAAGAAGATTTGATGTAGGGGAGATGAGTATATTGACTTGTTGCCCCTAACCGAAACAAATGCTTTCCATGCCGTCATGGCAAAGACGATGGACTCTGAACCGCAATCAGCCAAATCAAGTGCAACAGAGGAACAAGTACCAAACGCGAGTGGTCCAACAAATATCGCCGCACCAGAGAGTTTCCCTTTTTCCATTTGTAGTGTCGAGCAGAGGCCAACTGGCGCGGAATAGTACATTGTTTCTAAAGAAGTGTAAGTGACCCGGCAACCTCTAATGAACAGTGAAACAGACTCGATATCTCGTTTGCTCCAAAGATACTGAGTCCGATGACGACAGCGTAGGTGATGGCAAAAGCAGCGTGCAGACTGATGGTAATCTCCCGCCTATTGCCATACAGCGGGCATAGTCGTCTCAGCATCAAGTAGCTGCTGGACATGACAATTATGAGCTGAAACCAGAATATCAGCCATATCCAGCTGCGGCAAAACTGTAGCATTTTGTTAGCGGCGCTGCCTATTCCCTTTCGAGGCTACGAACTGCGTCTGTTAGAGGTCCACGATAGCCAGTAAGATCTGTTCCACTTCAGGTGCTTTTCTGAGTATCTTCGTGGACGAACTTACGGTAGTTGGCGATGATGAGGCCTGCGGGGGTGGTGCATCGTATCTATCCATCTTGTAAGGGGCTGAAGATGGCGATTTAATCGTGCGTACTAGGTAGTAAAGAGTTTTGACGGTCGTCCATGGTGTCGGGAGGATGAGTGAGATCTCCTCTTCAAACGTAAGGAACCAATCGTATACCACCAAGGCTAGTGAAGCACCTGGGAAGAACATCAGCGACCAAGTGGCTTGTATCCTGTTTTCAAACGTACCCGCCAGGTAGACAGAGGCGCGTAAAGGCAAGACCTGCTTCACCAGCTCGTCGATAATATTGAAACCAGCCATCGGCGTCAGAGAGCTCTCCAGAAAGCCGAATAAACACGGAAAGAAAAATAAGAGGAGGAGAGGGGGGAAGGGGCGGGAGGAGTACTGAAAGGAGCGGCGTCTCCACTTGGCCATGCGACGGGGGGGACCTAAGTACCATATGGGATCAACCGTAGCCATATTCCCTGTGTTCTTCGGATCGTGAAACGTTTTAGCCGGACGTCGGTCCTCGACTCGCCCTGCGACCTCGCTCAATGTGGAGGCCAGACCGGCCATCCGCCTATCAGGAAGCCGACCGCATGATCGAAAGCCAGTTCGAGTCGAGGTTATCCATACCTACAATTCAGTTTGAATAAGCGCGCTCGGTCGGGGTTGGTGGCCACAAGCCGCCTTGACATCCATCGAGGCCTCGGATCAGTCTGGCCACGACGGTACTCTATATGCCGGTCGGGCTGATCACGTTGCCGTTCTGCAACGTCAACGCCGCTATTGTCAACTTCCTTTAGATCAATGTTGAACTTGGTACACCAGACCATACTGTAGAGGCGAGGATCTATTCAGAGCCCGTCACCTAAAAGGACCAGCCAATGGAGCCTTCAAGGCATCCCTTGAGAAAGAAGGTTTTGGATTCAACGTTTGAGTTATTGAATACTCAGTGACATCAACCCCTGTTTCTTCGTCGACATACCAAGGCCGGTGTGCCCCCTGCGACTGGCCACCCGTAGATTGATGATAAGACGTGTGGTCATTGTGGCTACCGCCGTCCAAAGTATCCTGAGGAAATGTCAGCCTGTAAAGACCCACTCTACTACAGACGTACAAGACGCCAATATAAAGAAGGTTGGGTGGGAATTCAAAGTACTAAGTCATTTAAGCAGGTTTCTCGTCATTATATGAAGTACGTACGACCAAGATGCACAAAACTCTTGCAACGAGCATAACGGCGTAATGCACCATCCCATCTGGCGAGGTTTCAATGGCTAAATCCGCAAAGGACATGTGGTTACCTCGGAAAAAGACACGGAGCAAGAGTGGCGTGTTACTTTCGGCAGCTGCTGACCGGCCAGTTTCGAAGGCTTTATAAGCCGTCAATACAAACACGACGGTTTCTGGTAGAGGTCAGGCGGGTCACAGCATGGCTTGTTCAACAAACCGAGAAGCAATGGCCCAAAGAAAATGGCACCGTTTGGTCGCACAAATCTGGTTGTGATACATATATTGAGAGTAGGCGAAAACCTTGATATAGCTAAACAGGTGTCAAATTTCCGACGAAGGGGACAATAGAGAGACATACGAATGAGCGGCATGATCGACTTGATCGCCAGAGTAATTGTAGCAATATAGCTCCCAAGAAAGAGGAAATGTAGCCCGTATACAACAGCTACACGGTTATTATATAGTGGGCCCACTCGCCGCATAACTAGAAAGTTGCTCGCTGCAACCGAAAGGACCTGTAGTGGACCCATGATAGCGACTAGGTACTGGCAGCTGGATGTACGGGTTGAGTCATGCGCATAGGTTTAACCGAACGGCATACAACTATTATATTTGAGTGGATTGGCGGCTCACAACGGCGGTAAGCACTCACAGTATCGCTCAAAGCTGGTCTGAACCCAGATAAGTCTATTTCACCAGTGAGTATATGCACAATCACGGTCGCCAATCCGCACGAAAGTTCATCATCCCCAGTCCTGCTGCCGAGGAAACGCGGATCTAGAGGCTCAGTGAACTGTTATGATCGGTTGTAAAATATGATGCTCACAAAGATGTGTATCAACTTTACAATTGACCAAGGTGCCGGGTAGACGAGCTCGACCTCGTCGTCCAAGGTGAGCAGCCAGTCGTACAAAACGGTGACCAGTGATCCAGCTGAGGATTAGACTATCGTTAGCATACATGATCTGTACTACGACCTACCTGCTATAAATCTTGTTGCGTCCGTGGCATGCAGTGCGGCCTCGAGTGCATCCAACGCTTGTTGAAGGGCTGGTGACACCATGACTCCTTTTGTGACCTATGAATCTCCCACAATAAAGTGCTCTCCTGAGATGCACAGAAAATGAATGAAGAAAGGCGAAGGAAAAGAAGGACCGGAGGGAAGAGTAAGTCAACTCTCGTCCATCACCCTCGACTTATGAGCATAACCAAGGACAAGAATCGGCGCCCCAGAATGCCAATCCTGTTGGAGATTGTCAGCCGCTCCATCTGCACCACTTACTCTCGGTCGTCACGCTGTCTACGGAAGACGTCGGACGTCGGAAAAGGGCCGCCCTCGGTAATGACAAAGTCACAATGTGCCCAAGGTTCTAGTCGTCAACGCACCTCGTCGGCAAATAAGCGTACGACGAGGGCGCGGGCCCAGCCGATGGCTACCCCTTCGCCTACGTGTGCCGCTGCAGAGTTCTCGTAAGAGAAGCTTGGTCATCTCGATGGATGGCGTTATTGAGTAGGTACAGATCGACAGGTGAACAAAAACGCGAGGTATTAGTTGGCCCAGCGAGCTTTTCGACATCGTTCCTATGCAAGTTGAGATCCCACAGATGGATCAACCATCCCCTCAGTAACTATTCGTGCCATCCAACGACCAGCTTTGAAACGCTGGTTGCCCTTTTTGACCAGAAAAAATATTCTATGAACCCACTTGAAGATACGGAGACTATTTGCAAGTAGACGACAGAAGGACTATTGCGCTCAAAGTCAAGTGGCATCCAAACTTGATCCCGACCTTGACTCTCGACCGTGACTCTTCAGTAAATGCTGTACCATCACAGGATCAACGAGGATGCTTCTTTAATCCTGCCTGTATTAGACTCTAATACCTATAACGACTCGCATTTTTATTCCTTCAATGGAATGGCCGGACCGCACTCGGACCCGAAGGGTGATGTTAGGGTACAACGGATCAACTCTTGCGAATATTCTCGAGAAAGCGACTGACGGTTCACATTCTTGCCTATTCTACTTGCGGCTCACTAATGGGACAGGACGGAGTTCCTGCACGGCCATATGGGTTCCTGTCGAATCAGACACCTGCGTATCCGAAGCAACAGGTGGCATTGAACCCGCTCAAATAGACCTCACAGCCTTTGCAATGCTAGTCACAAGTCTCCGGTGAGATCGCCGAGTACGGATATGGTAAAGCCACGTTTAGAAGAGTAAACGCTCTTCCAATGGTGACAGATGACGCTCACGACGTTCCACCTCGATTTTTGCGGGGTTCCCTCCCCTTGAGATGAACACACCAGTTCTCCCGCCAGAGATACGCATTATCCAATAAGACTTGTCATATTTCTCTTCACATGATGGTTCTTCGCATCTTCCTATTCGGTTACCTGGGCGGTAGAAGCACGGTAACTATTCGCCCATAGCGGCCTTGTTGCTGAACAAAAATACTGATACACTACGTTGATACGCCGACGAATCTTCTTCAGACGAGGTTTATAAAGCACCGACTTTGACCAGCTTCAGTGTCTTCACTCTCGAATCATCGAGTGACCCCTGGACCGCCGAAGACACTGTACTTTCCTTTCCACTAGCAATCATGAAGTACGGGCTCGCTCTAGCGAGCCTCCTGCCATTCGTTGCCACCAGTGAGCCGTACTTGCATTGAACTTGACCTGCCAACTTCTAATACCACTCCCCTTAGCATTCGCTCAAACCAGTGCATGGTGTGACCCGCAAAACTCTCTATGCTTCCAAGCCCTGCAGAAGAAGAATTTGCTCGACCCCGGAGATACGTCAAAGACCTATGACCTTACCATAGGTGTTGCGTTTCCAACATCGACCACATCTGAGTGAGTACTCTTCGGAGATTCTGCTTTTTGACAATTTAGTAACCATGCGATCCATCAGCGAGTTCATCGGCGAAATTGTCGCCACGAAGAATGTTGCCTGGGCTGGCTACGACTTCGGAGGCGCAATGGCCGATAACCTTATGCTTATTGTATGGCCCAACGGCAACGATTTTGTCTGGAGCACTCGTATTGCTGCGTACGTATCGTTGCCTTGCTCTATGAAGGCTCTGCTGATTCGTCATCTTTTCCTTCAGAGGCTATGTATTGCCGGTCCCATACTCCGGTCCCGTCGTTACTCAATTGAGCTCTTCAATGATGAACTCTACCCACTGGAAGTTCGTCTATCGATGTCAGAACTGCACGAGCTGGACCGAGTAAGATACTCTATCACAAGCGATGACTGAAAGCTCATGCGGCCAAAGTCCTGATGGTGTAGCGCACTCGATCAGTACCACCACTCAAGTTCAGGGATACGGTGTCTGCCTGACTTCCACTTCCAACTGTGTCGCCACCCCTTCAAGTGCCTCATCTAGCATTCGACAACACACAGACTTTAACATGTGGGGAATGGATATCTCGAGCGCCCGGACGAGCCAGTACAATCAATATCTCACTGGCACCGGTGGGTCAACTACTACCGGCCCCGTCTCAACGAGCACTTCTACGCGCACAAGCAGCACGACGTCGTCTTCCTCGACTGTCAAGCCAACTCCTTATGATTACATTGTCGTCGGAGCTGGTGCAGCAGGCATCGTAGTTGCGGACCGTCTTTCCGAGGCTGGCAAGAAGGTTCTGCTTCTCGAACGAGGTGGACCTTCTACCAAAGAGACTGGTGGGAAGCGTGAAGTTCCGCCATGGGCTGCGTCCACTGGTGTGAGTACTTTTTTGCTGCAAGCACTCATCTTATTGACAGCTGGGGACTAGTTGACGCGCTTTGATATTCCTGGTCTCTTCGAGAACATGTTCGGCGCTGCTGATCCTTGGTGGTGGTGTACAGATATGACCGTATTCGGTGGTTGCCTCGTCGGTGGTGGAACAGTCATTAACGGAATGTTGTACTACCCTCCCCCCGGTAGGTACCATCTCAAGTATTCGATTTGTACTCAATTTCGGCCTAGACGGCGAGTTTGGCTCGGACCAAGGTTGGCCTGCCGAATGGCGTTCCCCTGCCATGGCGAGAAACAAGATGCTCGCTCGGCTCCCATCTTCAAACAACCCATCTCCAGATGGCGCTCGCTATCTCGATCAAGTCTATACACCTCAAGACGCACTTTGTCAAGAAGGGCTACATGGAGACAGTCATCAACGACAATGTCAACCGCAAAGATGCCATTTTCGGCCACCCGCAGTACAATTTCAAGAACGGTATTCGCTCTGGCGTTACACATACGTACCTCCAGACTGCAAAGACTCGTCCAAACTTTAAGCTTCTCACCTATACCTATGCACAATCCGTCAAGCGAAACGGTGCTACCATCACTGGCGTACAAACGAACAATACCATAGATCTCCCGAATGGTCTCGCTACGCTGACGCCACGAGGACGAGTAATTCTCTCGAGCGGTGTTTACGGCTCCGCCCGCCTTTTGTTCCTCTCAGGTATTGGTCCAAGCGACATGCTTGGCCAGGCTGCTGCATCGAACCTTGCAAGTTTGATGCCACCAGCGTCGCAGTACATCAATCTCCCTGTTGGCTATTACGTCTCGGACAATCCATCGATCAACGTGAGTAGCCTTTCTCTCCAATAATACGAGTACTGAGAGCGAGATCCTAGTTGGTATTCACGCACCCTCTTGTCGACGATTACGATAACTGGCAACCAATCTGGTCCAACCCTCGTGCTGCGGACGCCAACAAATACGTCGCAAGCCGCTCAGGTGTCTTTGCTGGTTCCTCGCCACGCTTCAACTTCTGGAAGGCACTCAAAGGCTCTGATGGAAAGACTCGCTACGTAGGACACAGCACCAATATCAGTTATATAATACTTACGCGATCATTAGATGCAAGGTACCGCCCGCCCGGGAGGATGGCCGACAACTGAGCAGGCGTACAACGAGACTGCCGTCTTCACCATTACATTCTATCTCTCACAAGGCATCACATCTCGTGGTCGTATCGGAATGAACAGCGACCTCAAGGGATTGCCTCTCACCGCGCCTTGGTTCCAAGACCCAGTCGACAAAACGACACTCGTCAAGGGTATCAGCGATGCGATAGCTGGTATGAAGACAAACTGTGAGGCCGTCCGATGCTATTGATACCGCTAACGCTCGCGCCAGTACCACCGGGTCTCGTCATGATCACACCTGACAACACGACGACATTGCAAGCATTTGTCGACAACTATGACAAGTCTAGTATGAACTCGAACCATTGGGTGGGCTCGACTCGGTATGTTCAATATGACAACCAAAGCATGATCACAGTCTGATTCCTTTACCAGTATCGGTACAAATCCTAGTAATGCTGTCGTTGACACCAATTGCAAAGTATTCAACACCAAGAACCTGTTCGTTCTCGATGCCGGTATCATTCCAGCGCAACCCATGTCCAACACCCATGCTTCGATCATGACGGTGGCAGAGATGGGTGTAGCTCGTATTTTGGCACTCCCTGGTGGCCCTTGAAGGGAGCGTTCGGCGCATGAACCGTCTCATCCTTATTCAGGAATGACTTGTAATTTAGCACTGCTGGACTGCATAGCAGAAGATTCCGTGATCTAACAAATCATACTGAAGCTTAACCTTGACGTACATGTCGTATTCTAATGCTGCTTGTCGCTTTCCCCCAAAAGTCATAGTAAACAGGGAGGATACTTCTTCAGATAATTATAAATTAAACTTTACGTCGTTATAGACGTAGATTGTCGACCCAGCGCCCGATCTGGTGGCGCACTAGGTAAGCTATCAAGTGTTTGAAGCATTGGGAGTCACCCAAGGCACGTGGAGAAAAAAGCAGAACGGTTTCAATACCTGGGTGCCTTAAAATTTGCTTTCGAGTCCCTCAGGTAGCAAATGGACCACTTTTTTGAAAGATACATTTCCCAGCCGCGCGCTCTTGCAATTACTGAATTCGCACCAACTGCCTTTCTTTCGTCAATAAACTCGCCAGGAATTCACTAAGTGGGTTGCTTTTGTCACCGAATTGCCCATAACTATATGCGATGAAGGCTGCGCTCTAATCTATCAAAGAGGGATACGCTAGGTTCGCAGAGGAATAGTTCTTGAATTACTGAACTGTGGTAGCTGGCGATAAACGTATGATGGTTACTTTCTAACAGCCATGCATACATAATAAGGCGTGTGTTACTTCGGCTCAGCATGAGAGTAAAAGGAGCATCATATTGCTCGCAAGGTGTCTTTAGCGTTTTAATTGTATCACATTTGAATTGCTCCTCAGAGCATTAGGCGTCAGAGAGACTAGAGGTCCACTTGCTGTGTTCGCAACAGTTATTATAGTGCTATACCAATCAAAGCGAAGCTATGTTTTGGGTCGTATATACAGCCCGATGATACCAGAGAATCGGAAATGCGCGCACCTGCAGGTGATGGTGTGATCAGGGCCAAACTCAGAAGGAATGTCTGAGTTCAAAGGTATGATGAAACTTACACTCATCCATTCACTTAGACGCTCCACATCGTCTGGATAAAATCCTATCATGCGCCTCGTCACGGCATACGAGGTCAACCTCTCTGATATGATGTCTGGGGCATTGTGGTTCGTACAATGCATATGGGAGCAGAAGCAGTCCTCTTTAGATATCGATGGCGATTCTAATCCCTTGTTGAAAGCATTAAATCGCAAAGAGATGACTTTTCTGGACACCACTTTCAAGAGTTTGACATTCTAGCCATTAGCAGTTTCTTACAGAATGTCCCCTTTCATCGAAATAATACCTAGAATTTTGGTTAATGAACTGCTTCCTGCCATTGAGTCGCCGGTTGGCTGGTAAGATGACGGTTGCACTCTAACCCGTCAAGATGTATGCTAGTTTCGCAGGGGAAGGAGTGTATTGAAGGAATGAACTGCAACAACTGACGACATGCGCAATCTCTGCATGAGGGGTATTCTCTAATGGCCACGCCTAAGGAAGGCACTGGCTGTACCAAGCTGCAGTCTGTTTTGAGCCCGGATATCATTCCCGTGAGAAATTTCATACCATTGGAGTACTTGCATGTTCCCTGAGCGCAGGTCGTCGGTCCAGTATAACCTTGACCGCCACACCTTTAAGTGCCCAGTGGTCAATCAGGAATAGACGGTAGTAAATAGGAAATAGGAATTAAAGGGTGGTGAGTAGGGAAGTAGAGCAGACGGAGGCACGACGTACTGGCCATAAAGAGTCTGTCCGGCTCCGTTGGCCGTGCTCGTAGTCGAAGTTGGAGGGCGAGTCGTGCTCGTGCTCGACGTTGGAGGGCGGGTCGAAGATGTTGATCCAGTGTTGCCGCCTGTGACGCCCCACCAAGCAAGCTCAACGTCCTCATGAACTGGCACGGTGTGACCGACACCTTGTGCGGAGTATCCGATGACAACATTACCATACATCGTCTTGGTGTACCCAGACTGGGGGTTGTTTGTCGAGGTGCTTGTTGGTGTCTGGCTAACACCGAGAACGTTTGTCCACTGCTTGATCATCTCGGCGTAGTTTTTGTAGTTGAGGAGCGTATCCCTGGTTGGACACCCGTCATTTATTGAACGCAAAAGTAGGAAACGAGCGAGGTGTGACGTACTCTGTACCGTCCCAAATCATCATCTTCGGGCGTGGGCCGCTATAGCCAGGGTAGGCGGCTCTTGCAATATCGCCCTGTATAGTAGTCATGAGACGCCGGCATTATTCAGCCATTCCTCGAGAAGCGTACCCATTGTGAAGCAGTCTTGATAATTTGCCCGTTGGCACACTGCGAGTTCCACTCGGATGATCCCGCGAAGCAACCAAATGGAACACCATTGTATGACGACGTCGCAGTGATGAGGTCAGCTAGCAGTCAAAGGTTAGAATCATCGTCAATACATCGGCTCGGACGTACGATAGGATCCAGCCATGACGTTGGTCATCATTGCTCCGGAGCTTGAGCCAGTCACGAAGACTTTGTTGGGGTTGACACCGTAGTTGTTGATGGCATACTTGATCATGGACGCGATGCCCTGGCTGTCACCACCTGCATTGTGCTTCAAAGTCTCGGCACTGTGGACATCTATGGTCAAAGTGAGCGATTTGCGACTGTCTTGAAGCCCAATGAGCCCGTACCGAAGCACTTTCCACTGCGTGGTGCATCGGGGTAGATGACAATGAAGCCCAACTGATCTGCCTTGTTCGCGTATTGTGTCCCACTAAAGTATGCCTGGGCAGAGCCCGTGCAGTAGTGAATAGCAACGACGAGGGCGGGCGAGCTAGCAATTCTCGACGGCTTGTACACATCTAAGACACGGGGTTCAGTACAAAATGACAGTTAAATCTCTACAAGAGAAGACCTACACATGCCCACATTGTTCGGATTCGTACCGAAGTTGGTCACCTGTTGCAGTTGGTTCTGTGCCGCGAAGGCAACGGCTGCGCCAGCCAAGAGATTGAGGACGCTGATAAACATTACGACCAGGAGGGAGAGCTGAGTGTGCCTTTCTGCTTCCACAACAAGAGAGCCTTCAAATACCCGCTCGGCATCTATGGACTGGACGCATCCGCCAGCCGATATAGTGGCGAGAATTTGCAGCGCAACTAGCCAATATCATAAGAGGGTGCGAAGGAGTTTCCATCGCGGGACGCTCGCTAACACCGCGGGGGATACTAAAGATGCGTCCCTGGTGGAGATAATTCAAACCAAAATATCACATGAACGTGGATCACCGACGTTGACAACAACCTACATACTCAATGACGGCCCGAGGCACTGACTGGAGGATCTCCGGCGAAGGACGCCTTCACGTATTCAGGCTTAAAATATACCCTGCGACATATGAAGCACCCCGCAGTGATGTGTGACGTCCGCTGTACAGTATTTCTGACCGTTGTCGGCGGGAGCAGTGTCTATTCGGCACCTAACTATTTGTCCAGCATCAGTGAATCTTGATGCATGCGATTTTATTGACGGGAGAACCTTGATTTGCAAATAGCAGCTATCACAGCGCTTCCGATCTGTTGGCCATAACCTTCCAGTGGCGAATCAAATCTGCCGGTGACCACATTGTCAAGGAGCTGGATTTAGCCGCCGCAGCGACGACCCGAACCATGACAGCAACGCCCAGACGACGCCTCAAATACCACCTACTTTACAAAAGGTGCGCCATCGGTCTTACTGATATCCGATCAGAGACAAACATGGCCATTAAAGAACCCCGGCCCGCGGCTCGTGGGCACGGTCGGACACATGTCTCTCCAAGCGGGTGCTGTTCGTTACCGTTGTTAGTAGGATGTGCCGCTCGAGGAGAATTCAAATCCTGCCGAATGATCGCTAGATTTGTCATGTTTGTCATCTCGAACTAGACGTGGTGTCTCGGAATCAAATAATCATCGAGATCGTTGAGCTGTGTGTAACGTAGGCCCACCAGAAGTATTATCAAGGTAGCATATATGAGAACCCGCATTGCCAGTGCCACTTCTCAACGTTGGCTCTGCCTGCCCCAAATAATTGCAACCTGATCCAGCTAGAAAACCGCGCAGTGTTTCCAGCAACCGATTCATATATTCAATCACGTGTATTTGACAGATGGGTGCCTTGTATTGATGACTCTACTTGCTAGTTGTGGTAGGAGGCTTCTGAGTGTACGACGACGCCATTGATGCGGGCAGGCACTGACTCTCCCATTCTATCATCGAGTGAGCATGACATGACTGGTGAATTGTGATCCACCGACCATTGTAGTATACGCAGACCCCCTCAGCACAGGTCGTAGGACCATACCAAGCTGCGATGATATGAGCAAGCTTCATTATACTCGGCTCTACGCACCACCACCTCCACAGGTACCCCATAGGACTTGCCCAGCAGTGGTAGTCGCCGTGTACGTTGATCGCACTGGCGACGTTGTACTTAGAGTGGATACAGACTTAGTCGTCGTGGGCCTGGTAAACGTATAAAGGGATGCCATGGACTCTGGAAGGCATTGGCTTTCCCATTCTTTTAGTACAGTCAGTAAGGCTTAACAGCGCGAGAGGGCGAGTCACTATACCGTTGTAGTACACGCATACGCCCGCGGCGCATTCAGTGGGACCGTACCAGGCTGCATATAGATATCAGAGGTAAATTCACCAACAGTCACGGAGACGTACCACCGCCACCACAGGTACCCCATAATGGGCTCAGGTTTTTAGTAGTAGAGGTGCTTGTATGAGATGTCGTACTCGACGTCGTAATCGGTTTTGGAGGCCGTGTCGGCGGTGGCGGAGGGGGTAAAGCAAGGCCTAGCGAGACCGCACCCAGGATTGTCAACACGGTGATGAGCATGACAAAAGCCTTGATTTCCACGCCTCTATGAACATTGGGGGGGTTCAAATACCCGCTGGGACTTTGAGCCCCGAAACGTCGCTGTACAATCTGGTGACCGACATCAGGGCGAGGATATCAAGCTGAATCCAGTGAATATCGCTCGTTGGGGAATGTCAGATGCAAAATTTGGGTTCCTCACTCAAATTTGAGAGCATCTTCCAGTCAGCAGCGGACCGAGCGAACGACTGGGGGATTTCCGGAATGAGAATCCATTCGATCAGAGGGTACAGTATTAGTCACGTGTAAGAGACACGGACATAGCGCTAAATCGAAGAACGTCGAAAGCATTTTGATGAGGCGGGGTGCAAAGTCGGTTTGCCACTCGGAACCAGCATCAGTTGATAGAAGTATGTAGATAATCACACGGTGATGCTAAACATCACGGTACTTGGGCGTAGATGAATGGTTTTATGACGATAGCTCTATCATGGAATCCACTTCATTCACGCTCCTCTGGAATACAGCAGAGCAGGGCTACGTTTACAGCTATGCGAGGATCGGGTACTTGATGTCCAATTTAAGGACCGCCAGAGAGAGCCAAGATGCGAGCCACAGCCATCTCAGCAACCGTCATGACCGAAGCGTGAGTGTTGGACATGGGTTGCCCAGGGATGATACCAGCATCGACGACGAACAAGTTGTTCGTGTTGAACACCTTGCAGTTGGTGTCAACTACGGCTGTGCTGGCGCTCGTTCCGATGCTAGGAAGAAAAGTTAGCCAAGGTCGCCTTGGAGGGGCCCAGAAGCTTACCGAGTTGAGCCAACCCAGTGGTTCGAGTTCATGCTCGACTTGTCATAGTTGTCAACAAATGCTTGCAGCGTCGTAGTGCTATCAGGAGTGATCATGACGAGGCCCGGTGGCACTGAGAATCGGATCAGTCTCTGCACATAACCCTGATATCATACTCACAGTTGGTCTTCATGTCAGCGATAGCATCGCTAATACCCTTGATGAGAACCGTCTTGTCGGTTGGGTCTTGGAACCAGGGCGCGGTGAGGGGCATGCCCTTGAGGTCGCTGTTCATGCCGATACGACCACGCGACGTGACACCTTGCGAGAGATAGAAGGTGATCGTAAAGACAGCAGTGTCATTGTAGGGCAAGTTGGTCGACGGCCATCCACCAGGGCGAGCAGTTCCTTGCATCTAACGCGCCAGTTTAACGAGATTAATAGAGAAAAAAGGGGAAAGCGTACGTAGCGAGTAACACCGTCGGGTCCGCCAAGGGCCTTCCAGAAGTTGAAGCGCGGCGAAGAGCCGGCAAACACACCAGAGCGGCTCGCAACATACTTGTTGGCGTCAGCGGTACGAGGGTTGGACCAGATGGGCTGCCAGTTGTCATAGTCGTCCACCATCGGGTGGGTGAACACCAACTAGAACAGAGTCAGCCTCGTCGATGCTGAAAACAGGAAAAGCATACGTTGATCGATGGGTTATCAGATACATAGTATCCGACTGGAAGGTTGATGTACTGAGACGAAGGTGGCATGAGGCTTGAAAGGCTCGATGCAGCAGCCTGGCCAAGCATGTCGCTTGGACCGATACCAGACAAGAACAAGAGGCGAGCAGTACCGTAAACACCACCAGAGAGAATGACTCGTCCGTTGGCGGTGAGGGTTGCGAGACCGTTGGGGAGATCGATTGTGTTGTTCGTTTGCACACCAGTGATGGTAGCGCCGTTACGCTTGACGGACTGGGCAAAGGTATAGGTGAGAAGCTTGAAGTTTGAACGGGCCTTGGCGGTCTGGAGGTATGTGTGTGTAACACCCGAGCGGATACCGTTCTTGAAGTTGTATTGCGGGTGACCAAAGATGGAATCCTTCCAATCGACATTGTCGTTAATAACAGCCTCTTGGTATCCCTTCTTGGCAAAGTGAATCTTGAGCAAGTCGTAGACTTGGTCGAGATAGCGGACACCGTCCGGGGAAGGGTTGTTTGACGATGGGAGACGTGCAAGCATCTTGTTCCTCGCCGTGCCCGGGAGCCGCCATTCTGCCGGCCACCCTTGCGCAGCCGTGAACTCGGAATCTAAGGCCAAGAGTTTGATATAAATCTCGGAGACTCGTAGAAACAGAAGCACGTACCGGGAGGTGGGTAGTAGAGCATACCGTTGATGACAGTTCCGCCACCGACGAGGCAACCGCCGAATACGGTCATATCTGTGCACCACCACCATGGGTTGTCAGCACCGAACATGTTCTCGAAAAGACCAGGGATATCGAATCGAGTAAGCTAAGTGATTGTTCAGATCAGTACTGTCTCGGGAGAAGTAGTCTCACCCCTGTAGACGCAGCCCACGCTGGAACTTCACGTGTGCCACCAGTCTCCTTGGTAGAAGGTCCTCCTCTTTCGAGAAGCAGAACCTTCTTTCCAGCCTCGGAAAGACGGTCCGCGACGACGATACCTGCAGCACCAGCACCGACGACGATGTAATCATAAGGAGTAGGTTTAACAGTGGAAGTTGTCGATGTCGTGCTGCTTGTACGCGTAGAAGTGCTCGTCGAGCTAGGGCTAGAGGTGGTTGTTCCACCAGTTCCGGTAAGGTATTGGTTGTACTGGCTCGTGCGGGCGCTGGAAATGTCCATTCCCCACATGTTAAAATCGATGTGTTGCTGGATGGTAGAGGAGGCACTCGAGGGGGTAACAACACAGTTTGCAGCAGAGCTCAAGCAGACGCCATAACCTTGGACTTGGTTCGTCGTCGACATGGTACGCAAAGTGCCGGTCGTGCTTTTCATAAGTTAGGCGGCTATCTCCCTTACACAGTGAAAAGGCTTACTCGGTCCAGCTAGTGCAGCCCTGGCAGCGGTACACAAACTTCCAGTGAGTCGAGTTCATCATGGATGAGCTCAACTGAGTGATAGTCGGACCAGAGTACGGTACGGGCATCACATAGCCGCTGCAAATGTGCGGTTAGTGGACGAAATTATGAGTGGGCATAGAAGCGCACCTCGCCATACGGGTGCTCCAAACAAAGTTGTTGCCATTCGGCCAGACGATGAGCATGAGGTTGTTTGCCATTGCACCTCCGAGATCGTAACCAGCATATGCAACGTTCCTGGTGGCGACGATTTCGCCAATAAACTCGCTACAAAGGACAATTAGCTCGAGCTCTCATCTGGGGTAGAGATATGCTCACGTCGAGGAGGTCGAAGTCGGGAATGCAACACCAATGGTAAGATCATAGGTCTTTGATGTGTCTCCGGGGTCGAGTAGGTTCCTCTTTTGCAGTGCCTGGAAGCAAAGCCCGTTTTGAGGGTCGCACCATGCACTAGTTTGAGCGAGTGCTACATGGGTTGCAGTGAGTATCATCTAACGTGCACTGTCGGCTAGCTATGAGACATACCAGAGCCAACGAAAGGCAGGAGGCCTGCGAGAGCAAGGCCAAACTTCATGATTGTGATTTGAAAGGAGGGGACAGTGCCTCGGCGAGTCAGGCGAGAGAAAGACTTGACGCTACGAGAGAGCGGGGGTGGAAGAAAGCCTGGTTGAGCGTAGACGGCTGCCAGGGGTTATATCCCGTCGACGGACTCTGGGAACGAAACGGGGCCGGATATTGATAGCCCATTACAAATGAACTCGCGCTAGCTCAAAGAGCCCTGAAAGACGCGAGTAGCCACCGTGCTTCTCCCGTTGGGACAAGAGCTCGAGGGCAACAAGGCGAATCATGTGAAGCGGATTTTGCACTGCCGATTGGCTTGGGTGAGAGCACCCAACGGCGAAATTGGCATACTTGTATCCTTCTATCACCCACTGGGGACGTCGCCGCGGAAACCCAGGACGAATGTCGTGTAGCAGGTTACGAGCGCTGGAAGATTCTCGCTGCCAGTACGGATGCGCCTATTGCTGACCCACGCGACTGGTCGTCGCGACCAATCCAACGAGTAGCTTTATTAAAATTGCCTTGGGAGTATCGACACCGAAAGCGGTAGGTGCGGAGGAGCGACGGGCGAATCACTTGGAGACCAAGACGAGCCGGAGGACGTACCCATCAGCGCTCTACGACATTCCGGTCGACAAACCGTCCTAGGTGTTCTCGTGAGTACACTGTTCTCATCCAGAAGAGGAGCTATGTATTGGATCTCGGGTACAAGGTTCAGATGCCCATAGCCAAGGGGTTCCAGCGATAGCGGAGAAAGCGTCTCAGCGCCTATTATGTCAGCCCATTCGAGTTTCTGCACGAGAATACTTGGCCACCAAGCCGAGAAAATGGTTCACGGCATGCCACGGCGGGCAGGCTAGATGTGATAGAGGGGTGCCTTGATAGGTAGAAGTGCTTTGTGCCGACTAAGAAACGTACCATGGGGTCAGGTAGAATCCCACGTTCAGAAATGTGACGTCCTAAAGCGGCCATTGGCGTGCTTCGATCAAAAGGTACTGGACGTTTCCCCGCATTCTCGCGTTGGCCGTCATCGGTGTTCCCCTACTATTGTAGAGAAACGGATCAGAATTCAAACGATCTTCCCTGTTGTTCGTGTTCGGGGAGACGATCAATGAATGATTTTGGGCAGGGCTGACCTTCTCGCTCGTGACGGGCAAAGGACAGCGCTTTCATCCACGATACCAGCTCGGTCGACCCCATCTGGTAATCTAATAACGTCTTTGATGGTCGCTAGGCGTATGCTGGTAGTCGCCGTCGAACGAGGTCAGCTCCAAGTCGATTTGCTCACCAATACCACTTAGATTCCACTCAAGGCAAACAGTTTGTGATCGAAAATCATAGATTGTCTTGTGCTTAGCGCATAGAATGGTCACAGTAGTACAATGCCAGAATCCGAGATAACTACAAGATGGATCCAGCAGCCGTCCCCGGTATCCGACACTGTACACTGCAAAGACGAGGATGGGGGATGGGTCGGCGGGAGGGGAGTCAAACAATGGAAGACAGTCGAAGACGAGCGAAGTACACGATGAGGGGAGGACGGATAGAGGGGAAAGGTAGGATATGTCGAAGGGTAGATGATCGATATTTTTTTCCAGAGAGTCGAGAAGAGATAAGAGAACTGAACAAGCCTAAGATGCAGCACCATTCGCGAGTTGACCGAGTGACTGTGTCAGAGGTTGTCTTGCAACGCAGTAAAAGTCGACGAGGAAAAGCACCTGCTTTGGGATCCTCGAGTCGAGTTGGGACGGTGAGTGTCGGAAATCGTATCATAGGCAGGCGGAGAGTCTCGAATGAGCCAGCATTCCACCGACCTAGATTGAAAACGACCTCGGTGAAAAAAGTAATAGGTTTTGGTGCGAAACAAAAGGCGCTCAAGTCGAGCGGCGACGAGCGCGTGGAGATGAACGAGGCTCCTCTACTTGATGGAGGAGCATGGGTGGACGTGATGGTCATTCGGAAGAGGGGATATGCAGGAGGTGCAGCTAGAAAGGGGCGTGCGCTCACTCGCATCGTGCGCTTGGGATCCGTAAGACGACTGAACGCCTCGGCATACGCGCAAGCAACAACACAAGGATCAAACTGCCACCAAAATCCAGCCACAGGGTCCACGCTACACACACCAAATCCTAGAATGAGCCAATCGTATGGACATTTCGAGGCCGTACGGTGGATTACCAGCCGAACTAGAGGAATGGAGCCAGGCACATCGGTGACGAGAGACTGAAGAGAGAGAGACCGTGGAACACCAGAAGTCACGGCGGAGAGAGGGGGGGCAAGGGACAGCAAAGGTATAGACGAAGCAACGACCAATCAAGATCGGTTCAATCTAGACCGCGTCAACCAAGGCTCCCGAATCTCAGCCGCACTTGGACCTCTTGTCACGTCACAGCCAGACTCTACCGTCGACAAGTCGTGAGTGCATCCTCTTTCGTGTTGATGGTTGTACGGGGAGGCGAACTTGGTCGCCAGCTGTTGATAAATGTCCAGACGTCCAAAAGGTTGGGAGCGTGAATCTTGTCATAAAGAGCACGTTGTTGATCGTGTCAAACGAGAGGCGGGACGGCGTCGAGAGCAGAGGACGGAGCGTCGGGTCGTAAAACATGCGGTCGTTTGTCGGTGCGGGGGAGAGCGTCCATGACAAAAAAATGGAGACGATTCGTAACGGGTCCAGTCGATGACGTGTGCGAGGAGAGAGAGAGAGAAGGGGGGGAGAATATGCCGTAGAAACGATATGCTTGCGGGATAAAGATCGAGTACACTGTGCGGGAGAAAAAGCCAGGAGAGAGAGAAAACAGAAACGATGCAGAGACGAGCGAGCTGCGCTCAGAAAATGGAGCACTCAGTAGTGAGCCTGGTTGGGACCTGGCAGATTGTGGGCCTGAGTGGCGGCAAATCGGTGCTCGGCAGCGCTGAGCATGAGCGTCTCGTTGAGGACACGGACGCGGCGCAGTTCGTTTTCGAGTTCCTCACAGCGGGCAGAGAGGTTGGTCGTCCTCGCGTTGAGCTCGGTGATGCAGACCGTGGCGCGTTCGAGGATGGACGCCTTTGACGACTTTTGATTCGAAGGGGGAAGGGCTTGCTTGAGGCGGTTGTAGCCCTCCCTCAATTCATCACGACGGCGCTGCTCCGATTCAATGCGCTGCTTGCGAATATCCTCCCTGCGGCGCTCGGGCTTGCCATCGCTAGCAGCATGAGGCGCGAAATCGTCATCTTCCTCAAAGTCGCTGAAATCATCCTCCTCCTTTGGCTTGCGAACGGAACCCCTGCGAGCTGGGCGGGTGGATGCACTGCTGGTACTTCGATTATGACGATGGACGAGCGTGCCACCGTTGCGCTTTGGTGGAGAGCCAGGGATAGCGGGTGTGCGAGCGCGGGTACGAGGAGAATCGCGGGACGATGAAGGTGGCGAGTTGCGCGACGAACGAGGGCGGCCGCCGACGTCGGCCCCGACAGACGAGAGGGAGGACGTCGAGTGATTGAGGTGGTGCATCGGGAGAGCGACATGACCGTTGAGCATGGCAGAGGACGGGATGGGAACCGTCTGGAGATCGCAGGAGCTTGGACTTGAGCTCGACTCGCCCGCAGCGGCAGCAAGAGCATGGACGAGCGGGTGCACTGGGTACGAGCCAGCAGGGGCTGCGAGCGGAGTTCCTGCATTTGCAACGGGCACACCTCCTGCCGGGATCGCGTTCCGGGGTCCGACAATCGTGGCGTCTGGAGAGTCGGAGCGTCTAAACTCGTGCGGGGACGAGGTGAGCGCAGAGGGCGCAATGGTCGCTGGGTAATATTGGTTTGAAATGTTCAGATTGTCAAACGGCAGGTTCTGGGGATCGTTGGAGAACATGAATCTGCTAAAAAGTCAGGGATTGGGCTCGCCCAACGGCTCGATCGTTCCAGATGGTGGCCAGACGTACCCGTCAAACTGTTCCGTATAGTAGTCGTTGGAGAACATCTCAAACTCTCCCTTGTGCGTTTCGACGTGAGAAGGGTCCATTTGGTGGCTGCGGCGCGAGTATATCAGCGGCGGCGCGCTTTCAACATCCAGCGCCGCGTACATACCGTGGCGTGAGCGGTCGTGAAAACGTTTCAAAAATTCGTCGAGCGGCGATCTAGAGAGTCCAGGAGACAGCAAGCAAACGGCAAAAGGGAAAACGGCGAGAAAGAGGACAGAGGGGCACAGACTGGTACGCTCTAAGTGGCCCAGGTTGAAAGACCAAGCGGATTATATGACTTTCATTGGGGGCTTCGGCGGCCGAGCTGCTCAATACATTTCGTGGCCAAAGCGCGGGCTGGCAGAAAAAGGCAAGCCTGACCCAGGAATCCCGGCCATCTCGTATTCCTGCGTTAGAGTGGCGTCGAGCTTGCGCAGGCTACCCCCTCGCGCCGCTGTCAAACAGGTTAAAGGGTCGTAAATTTCAAGCCTAGCGAGCAAGACAGGTGAAAAGAGATCGTCGTAAGGCATCCGTCGATGCAATCGTGACCGCGCCCAGGATTGAGCACGCAGAGAGAGTGGAAGAAAAAGCAGACAAGAGAGGGATAGCTCGCGGCACTTCCGGCGCAATCTCAGAACACCGGACAGCACGGCGAGCCACCGTGACCGCTCCCGGGTGGGGAACATGTCAATGGCCATCACATCAATCCATTCGTCGTAAGTTGTCCAGTCGAGGGAAAAAGAAAAAAGTCGTCCATGGGCACATTGAGCGGCTGCGCCAGAGAGAGAAACGGGTCGAGTCCTGGGTCGTAACAGAGGAGCCAAGCGGTCGCTTAAGCAGGGTTAAGCGAGTCGTACACCCTGCTATGCGTGATAGTAATTGCCTGTTATGCAAGCGAGAGGCGTCAGGTCATGAGTTCTTGCATAGATAGCAGGGGCAGGGAGACCAAGGTCGTCGATCCAGTAGGTTGTCCTGTCATCCGACACTCGATCCGTAATTGGATACACAACCCAAATGTAAAACGTGACCACGCCTATTGAAAGCCACGTGAAGCCCAACTCGTGAGTGGACAGATTGACCGCGATACGATCCATGCCTCCACCCCTTCCCTCCACGGGGTTCCGTAGAAACCACAATTCAACAGTCCTAACAGAAGGAAAGAATGCGCACCATAGGGGCCCTTCATGGATGTGTATCGCTGGAGCTTCTTCATGAATCGCCAGTTGAGGAAGAACATGTACATCTGGAACGTTCCGAGTGTCAGCCCGACAAAACCATTGACGGGAGACGGGACGGACCTGGAACCCCAAATCGACCAAGAGGCTGACGATGAATGCGGTAAAGAGGCTTTGCCATCCAGGACCACAGATTCCCTCTGGAAACTTGAATGTGTTCGAGTTTTCTGCTGGTTGACCCCATTGCTGTCCTCCATTTTGGCATTCCCAAATGATCTTGTCTTTGCTGTGGTCCAGGGTAAGTTCGCACAGCAAGGGCCACGCCGATCAGAGTCGGATCGAAGGACTAACCCGCGATGAAGTTCCCAGATCATGAAAACGGCTCGGACACCACAGATGACGATGATAAAAGGCCAGAGGAAATTGCAGACTCTAGCCCAGACGTAGGACCGCTGTCGACAGGTTAAGCAGGGGACAACAGAGTTGTGCATAACGCTGCTCACGTTGGAAAGAGTGATTGCGTTGATGCACGCTGCAGCACAGACAGCCATTCCAATGCCTCCGTAGATGAACCTGCCGACGTCAGACACAGGTAAGCGAACCGGTTTCCATAACAAGCATTGACAAACCATTCCTATGAGCGAAGAAGAGATGTCAGAGCTTGATTAGAATCCGATCCCCGGTGGCCCGGGTCCGCGAGCACACTTACTGGATAGACGAAGAAGAGATATTGTCCGTACATCAAGAGGAAGAGAGCCCCTGCCAAACTGTAGAGCTGTGTGATCACGTTATCTAAGCTGAGTCTCGGTCTCCGAGGGGGTTGACTTGCCGCAACAACGACGGCCCAGGCGATGGCACCAGCGCGCTATAGACGCCGAGATGAGATCCAGAAACAGAATCACTTGGAATATCTCTTACCAGAGGAAAGAGCAGCAGGCAATTGTCACACCTAGACAAGCGCGCAGCAGCCACAGGAGCGCACAACTCAGCAATGGGACACACAAAAGGCCGCAAAATAGGATAAGTATGAAGACATACCACATATTGACTGAATGGAATGGCAAATGCGCTGGTTTAAGCGACTCGCTCTGACGGTACGGAGAGGTCTGGAAGCAAGCGACCTGAAGCCACGGCTGACCACGGTTGTTGGCTCTTTCCTCGTCGGCGATGGATGCAAAGCAAGAGCTTCATCCGCTAATTTCGCTGCTTTCTGCTACATTTTCAGTGTTATGTACGTACTTCTTCGGCTCTGACGCTGTACTGACCGAGCCGGCTCAGTTTGGCTCCTGACATGGGTAAAGACGACGATTGCATTTTTGCTGGTATTCGTACCGCGATGGATATACGCTATCCTATCATACTCTTTCACCCTCACCGTAAGGACACCCTCCCCAATGACTTCACACGTTGATCGTGTTCACAGCTCAACTTTTACGCCCTCGCATTCTTGTTCTGCGCTGGATGTGTTGGACTCTCGTTCCTGATCCGATTTCGTTATCTCAGCACCTACAAGAACCTCCGAGAGCTCCCATTGGGCAAACCGAGTGCACTCGAGCTGCATCCCGATGTAAACAAGGCCGAGGAACCAGCGGCGTTTCACAATTATTTGGACGAATTCTTACAAGCCGTCCGTATATTCGGATTTCTCGAGAAGCCCGTCTTCCATGAACTCGCGCGGCATCTGCAGACAAGAAGGCTCATAGCCGGTGACACAATGTCGCTTGACGCGGATAAAAGCTTTTACTGCGTGGTAGATGGAAACGTTCAAGTCTTTGCTCCGCCGTCAAAGGGCTCGGATCTTGACGATGGTTGGGAAGAAGGCGATATGAACGGCTATCAGCTCTTGAATGACGTCGGAAGTGGTGGAACTCTGTCAAGTCTCTTTACCATTCTCAGTCTATTCACGGAAAACATCCAGCTTCGGTGGTCAGACAGCGGAACCCCAGCGACAAACGTGACCCTCTCTCCCTCATCATCTCAGTCTGGAAGCTTCCGAAAGCGAGAGAGAGTCGATTCAGATGTCTCTCAATTGGAACTGGAGGGTCATGCTGCCACCGAAAAGCCCCACGGCTCGTCCATGCGCCGTAAAGCCTCGGTAGTCTCCTCTGTGAGTTCAGCGAGCACCGTTCATGTCTCACCTGATGCTCCGAGACTGAGCACTCGAGTTCGCTCGAATTCTGATGCGGCCGAGCCAGACTGGGATCCGACGTGGTCACCGCCATCCGAATCATCGCCTGGAACGCCAAACTATCGTTCTCTTAGAAATGCATCGGACTATTTCGGTGCAACACAATCACGGCCTCAGACACAACGGGCGCACACCTCAAACGCTCCCTTGCAGCAAGGCATCATCGCTCGAGCGACGACTGACACGACCCTGGCCGTTATTCCGGCCGAGGCCTTCCGCAGACTTACTCAGAAGTTTCCAAAAGCCTCTGCTCACATTGTCCAGGGTACGTCCGAGTCCCACAGTGATCCAAGTTATGGCTCGAGTTGCCGGCTCACAAACCACGTTTTTCTCCCCAATTCTAGTCATCCTGACGAGGTTCTCTCGCGTGACATTTCAATCTGCACACAAATACCTGGGTCTGACATCCGAACTCCTCAGAACGGAGAAGGCTATCAATGACATCGCGTGCCACCCCCTGCCACGTTCTTTCTATGAAGGAGGCGGTATCGAGAGCCTTAGACAGCGTTTTCAACATACAGGCTCTGTGAGCGGTGAAGGAGAGGCCTCGGAAGATGAATCCGATTACTTTAATCAGTCTGACGAGAGTCGCTCTCGTCAGTCCTTGGCGAACGGGAGCCGGAGAGGAGGGAAGCCACGACGAACAACAATAGGCCGTACTCTTACCGGTGCAACTTCCCTTTCGAATGCTTCAACTGCAACGATCGCTGGGGGTCCCTTGCGACTGTCCACCACAACTACGAGCGCCGCGGCCGCGGCCCCACCTCCAAGCGAGGTCACTGCGCGCCCAGCCTCTGTTTCGTCAGATAACCAGCGTATTACCAAGAAGAATTCGCCGATATCTACATCTAAGTCACCCATCACACCGTTCAAGCCGTCTGTGTCTCGTACAGCCGTCCATGCTGGTGATCTGCTCACTTCGGCGGGACGGATGCAAGATCCGCTCCACAGTCACCGCAACACACTGTACAGTACTCCTCACTTTGGGAGGAGGTTGAGCGGCTCGTCTTCGTCACTCATGCGAGAGGCCGGTCGTATGCAAGTTGAGGACTTTGATCTCCGAGAAGAGGTGATGTCGTGCATTGCCAAATCAATAGGGCTTCAACAGCCACCCTTGAGCGGTACGGACTCTACACAAGAATCACCCATGCCATTCGAGACTCGATCAGAGTCGACGCCATCCAAGGGCAATGCAATGTTCAATTCAAGTTTCAGTTCCTTGTTGCAAGGAGATGACGCAGCGTCCAGTTTGAGCTCGAGTGTTCTCAGTGGCGACCCGAGCGGGAACTACATGACGGGATTGGACAACGAGGTGGAAATCTTATCCTTCCCTGCGGGTTCGTTGATTGTCAAGGCTGGAGAGAAAAATGCAGGTATGGACTCTAAGTTCGATTCATGCCTTGTGTTTATCGTCGCCAGGACTTTTCTATGTCATAGATGGTCTACTGGACGTGTCAATACCGGTTGACAAAGAAGAGCCGAATCATCCGGTCGCGGGCGAGCCCAGAGCGAAATCTCCGCAACATAGTACACAGAAACGCCAGCAAAGCCACCTACCCGGTAATGGCTTCGCTGATACAAAGACAATGAAGCACCTATTCACCGTCAAACCCGGAGGCATTGCCGGCTACTTTGCTTCATTATCAAGCATCCCTTCGTACGTGGATATCAGAGCAAAGACTGATGTCTACGTTGGGCTCTTGCCAGCAAATGCATTAGAACGCTTACTGGAGAAGAAGCCCATCGTCCTATTGACCTTGGCGAAGCGCCTCATATCCCTTCTATCACCACTAGGTGCGACGAGCCATTCCGTTTCTGTTCGACTAATAAACCTTGCCAGTGCTCCATGTGGATTCATCCATGGACTGGGCCCAGCTCAACTCTGGGCAAGTTCTGTGGCGACCGGGAGATGCTAGTGACAGCTTTTACATCGTTCTCAATGGTCGCTTGCGAGCAATCACTGAAAGAGAGGACGGGGAGGTTGTCATTGTTGCGGAATATGGCCAAGGAGATACAGTCGGAGAACTCGATGCAATTACAAACCAAGCAAGGAGAACGACGCTTCACGCCATTCGTGACACGGAGCTGGCCAGAATGCCCATGACCTTATTCAATGCCATCTCGGCTCGTCACCCAAGGACGACGGTACAGCTACTCCGAATGATCGCCACCCGCGTTCGTGATGAAGTCGGTACGGCAGTGAACACATCAAGACTACCGACTACGGGGATCGCCAGCGGTCTTCAGCCACTTAGCGGACGTGGAAATCTCAATCTCAAAACGGTGGCCATCGTACCGGCTCATAAGAATGTCCCGGTGGAAGCCTTTGCTCGCAAACTCCAGGGCGCCTTGGAGGAAATCGGTGCACCTACCAGTTTCTTGAACCAAGGAGCGGTGATGCGCCATCTCGGAAAGCACGCCTTTTCAAGAATTGGAAAACTCAAGGTTGCGGGGTGGTTGGCCGATCTCGAGCAAAGATACCGCATAGTGCTCTACGTGGCAAATTCGCCAGTTGGGTCACCGTGGACACAAACATGTATTCGACAGGTGCGTTCATCGTCTCGTGGGTGAGAATGGTCACTTAAACACCCTTAGGCCGATTCTATCATGGTTGTTGGTTTCGGAGATGAGCCGAGTCTTGGAGACTATGAGCGATTGCTCATGTCTTCCAAGACGACGGCAAGAAAGGAGCTCGTTCTTCTCCACCCAACACGCTATGTCACACCTGGGACGACTAGAAAATGGCTCAAGGAACGACCATGGATACACGCCCATTTCCACGTTGAGCTGCCTGTACGTCGCTGCAGTTGATCCATGCAGAACTAACAGCCCTGTAGGGCATCGAGGTGCAAAAGACGGTGCCCATTCTGGAAGATCCGGCGGCTGTGGCAGCATTCAAAATGGTCAAAGAGAGGGTTCAAAGTGAACTTCAGAAGTATAGAGGAGGTGCATCCATTCCTCGACCACGTCGGCTTCCTCAGATGAGCGATTTCGCTCGCCTGGCTCGCCACCTGTGTGGCCGCTCTATAGGACTTGTACTCGGTGGTGGAGGAGCTCGAGGACTTTCTCACGTGGTAAGCATGAACTCATTTTGGTTCTCATCTATTCACTTGCGCCAGGGTATGATCCAGGCAATGGAAGAGATGGGCATCCCAATTGATCATATTGGAGGTGAGCTATTAGGATATATTCCTGCGCGGCTCTGACCCTTCTCATAGGGACTTCTATTGGAGCACTCGTAGGTATCCTCGATGAACGATAGCCATGACTCCTCACACGCAACAGATTGGCGGCCTTTACGCAGAGGAGGGAGATATCATCTCCTGTGCTGCTCGTGCAAAGCAGTTTAGCATGAGAATGGGTAGTTTCTGGCGTTTGGCCACTGACCTGACATGGCCTATCGTTGCGTATACAACCGGACACGAGTTCAATCGCTCTCTCTACAAATGCTTTTATGACTCGCATATTGAAGATATGTGGCTACCATTCTTCTGCAACTCTACGAATATCCTCGACTCGAGACAAGAGTTGCACGATTCAGGGTACGCATGGAGATATATCCGTGCATCCATGACTTTGGTTGGCATGCTTCCTCCTCTTTCGGACAATGGACGAGTGCTGGTTGATGGTGGCTATGGTGTGTGCTACATCTGTGTCTGCATCTCTACTGATCATGGCCTAGTTGACAATCTCCCGGTTGCCGCAATGCAAGGGTATGGCACTACGTCTGTGTTTGCCATAGACGTCGGTTCAGTACGTTTACCAAATAGCGAATTGCCCGAATCTGACATTTATCGAGCTTGATGACAACACTCCAAGACACTTCGGGGACACAGTATCTGGGTCGTGGATGATGCTGAATCGCTGGAATCCATTCTCGTCTGCGCGCAGCGTGCCACAGATTGCCGAGATTCAGACTCGACTGGCGTACGTCTCAAGTATCCGCAACCTTGAAGAGGCAAAGGTGGCACCAAACTGCCTCTATGTCGCTCTTCCAGTGCAAGAGGTAGGTCGTCTGCATACTTTCTGCCTATAAATTTACCGGTCATAGTTTGGAACACTTCAATTTGGTCGATTCGATGACATCAAGAACGTTGGTTACAAATCAGGGTTAGAGACAATTGCGAAATGGGATGCACAGGGCTTGCTCCCAAGTGGCTTTGAGGAAGGAGTCGGACGTTCTAAACCTCGTGGACGCGAACGACGACGAAACTCGATCTAAGTGTATCTATAGTAGCGAATCGAAGCCATTTCTTTAACAGTAAACTTTCCTTGTATCCGCCGTGTTGTTAGCCACACACCACACGCGTACAACTTTTTGACGCCTGCCTAATCTTTCTCAAAATGCAGCGCGGGCTTCCAATGGTGAATAAATGCGAGATTTGGACTTAATCACGGCTAATAATTTGTTTTGACAGCAACCGACGGTCGTCCTCTTGCGCGAGGGTACAGATACATCGCAAGGGACAGGCCAATTGCTCTCCAACATCTCTGCATGTCTCGCGATCGCAGATACGCTTTCATCGACACTTGGTCCACGTGGAATGGACAAGCTTATTGTCAATGACCGCGGAGAGGCTCAGATCACCAACGACGGCGCGACGATTCTCAAGCTTTTGGATATCGTCCATCCTGCAGCCAAGACACTCGTTGACATTGCGCGTGCACAGGATGCGGAAGTAGGCGACGGCACGACGAGCGTCGTTTTGCTTGCGGCTCAGTTCTTGAAGGAGATACGGTCGTATATTGAAGAAGGGATGAGCCCACATATCATCATCAAAGGTTATAGAATGGCTGCTCAGATGGTGCGCGCACTCTCTGGATGGCAAGCAGAGCTAACACTGCACTTTGCAATTAACAGGCGGTAGATCGTATCAAAGAGATACAAGTATCTATCGATAAAACAGACTCAAAGTATGCTATATGTCTCGAGTTGATCTATGTAATGACCATTTCTCAGACGCTTCCGCGACCTCTTGATCAAATGCGCATCTACGTCGATGTCGTCCAAGTTGATACAAAGCCAAAAACCATTCTTTGCAAACATGGTGGTAGATGCCGTCATGTCGCTGGATCAGGATGACCTAGATGAGAGCCTGATCGGAGTCAAGCGGATTTCTGGCGGTGGTATGCAGGTACGCATGACTTGAAGAATTGTTGACAAGTTCTGATACGTTTCAGGACTCTATGCTCATCCAGGGCGTGTCCTTTAAGAAGACATTCACGTATGCCGGTGCAGAACAACAACCAAAATCATTCAAGAACCCCCTGATTCTTTGTCTCAATGTCGAGCTCGAATTGAAGGCGGAGAAAGACAATGCCGAAGTTCGGGTCGAAGCTGTCACGGACTATCAAGCAATCGTCGACGCCGAATGGGAAATTATCTACCGTAAATTACAGCTCATTGAGAAGACAGGTGCAAAGGTCGTTTTGAGCAAGCTTCCTATCGGCGATCTGGCGACGCAGTGGTTCGCCGACCGTGACATTTTCTGTGCTGGGCGTGTCCCCGCACAAGACCTTCGCCGTGTCGTCCAAGCCGTCGGTGGCTCAATTCAGAGCACATGTTCAGATATTGATCCAGAGAAACACCTCGGAACTTGCGGTCGGTTCGAAGAACGACAAGTAGGAGGGGAACGATTCAACGTATTCGAGGAGTGTCCCAAGGCGAAGACCTGCACGCTTCTCCTTCGAGGTGGCGCGGAGCAGTTTATCGAAGAAGTAGAACGAAGTCTTCATGACGCTATTATGGTCGTCAAGCGCGCGGTTAAGAATGGAGATGTCGTCGCTGGCGGCGGAGCTATCGAGGTGTGAAATGTGCTCACTTTCACCAGAGTCTCTAATAGTTCCCTAGATGGACCTGTCCGCACATATTCGTGCCAAAGCAAACGCAATTCATGGCAAGCTTCAATTTGTGGTTCTCGCCTTTGCAAAGGCATTGGAAATAATCCCTCGTCAAATCTGCGATAACGCAGGTATCGACTCGACAGACGTATTGAACAAGCTTCGCATGCGCCACGCGCAAGGCCAGATCTGGGCCGGAGTCGATGTCGATGGTGCGGATGGCGTGCGAGATAACATGGAGGCCTTTGTCTGGGAGCCGAGTCTGGTCAAATTGAATGCGATCAGCAGCGCCGCTGAGGCGGCGTGCTTGATTCTCAGCGTGGACGAAACGGTCCGGAATCCACAGAGTGAAAAGGTGAGCGCTTCACTAGTGTACTGGATCGCTCTCATGCGTTCTTTTAGCCAAGCGGAGGTCCAAGAGCGCCGCCAGGAACTGCTCAGCGAGCACTTCGAGGGCGAGGACGCGGAATGCCCAGACGGTGAAAAGGAAATAAGGGGAATTGGATAGCAGACTACTGGCGGCCGTTCGTCGGACTTACATACCTCCATTGTACGAATGGTCATCAAAGAGAATTGCGGCAATAATGGTTTGCGAGAGTGAGAATACAATGGGTCTCTCACGATCTCTAGGCGTCGACACAGGATTGGCCTTGCCCTGATGCCTGCAAATTCTGTGAGAATTCTCCATGCGATCGTCGACTTCTGCGCTCGAAAGAGAGTATCGCGGGTCAATTTACACTCACGGGAAACTTTCACAGCTTCGCAGTTTGCGGGCAGGTTCGGATGTTAGAAACCGTTTATAAGCTGTAGAGGGAGGACTCGTAGACGACTTCTTAGCCCGCCCGTCCGCGCTCGCCTCCCTTTCCCATCCGAATCTCAAGGGTTCGGCCCCTCTTCAACTCTTCCCTTCTCCTCTACTTTCAAGATGTCATATACACTGGCGGATATTATTAAATGGGCACAAGACCATGATATGTCGATGCAGCAGATTATGGAGGAGGCGAGAAGGTTGCCGTTAATCATGACAAACCTGCAGGCTTCGCGATATCTATCTGGTGTGTATTGAAGGGAAATGGTCGACTCGCTCATGATGGAATACGTCTAGCGGCGGGAATGATTGTTGTACTCTACGACACGATTCTTACTCTCCCGGATGTGGGTCAACAGCCTCGACGAATGGAGTCCCCTCTAACCGACTTGTATAATAGGAATTCCGATTCATTTGGCCCATGTCGTTTGGAGTCATCAAATCCATCTGGTTCCTCTCGAGATATGTTGTCCCGTACGTATACGAGTCCTGTCGAAGGGTATGTCACCTGACCAAAGTACAGAGGGTTGATCGTTCTTTACAACTATCGTATGGATACCGTCTCCCAAGTTGCCGTTTGCTCAATCCCCTTTAGAATTCTTCCAGGCCCGACCAGCAATGAGCGATGAGTTGTACGTCCGTCCTTCTCAATAATGAAGGGGCCACTCTCTGACTGCGCACACACAGTTGTCAGGTGTACATCTCCGGATTATCGTGAGTACCCAGGTTCGCAAAAGCCGAGACGAGACCGCATCCTTATCGGCGGGTGTTCCCACCTACACAGATGGTGTCTGAATATCTCGTTTGCGGCGAGCAACTGGCTTCTGCTCCTTCGGGTGTCTGCACTCTGGGGACGGAAGCGTGCGGTGATTTGGCCGCTGTATTTTTGCTATTTCGCGCTGTATGTGGTCATCAGCGTGATTGTGGGTCTGGCTGTAGCCAGAATGTCGAGTGAGTCGAGTCTCTACTTTTTTGGCCAGGCCGTCCTTTGGTGGGAGAGCGGCGGGGTGTGTACCTGGGCTGACCTAGATCAGAACGCCTGGCGTACAATCCAATTATTGGGGCGTGCATGTTCACAGAACGAATACCGGCCAACTTGATCCATTCCCAGTGGCTCCCTGTGCGTTGATTCACATCGTGTACGCGAGGATACTCACGCCGGCTAGATTGTCTTTGACGTCGTCATCTTTATTCTCACCCTTGTGAAAGCCAAGCAAGACAACATCGCATTGCGTAAGGGTTCGCGAGGCAATGCGCCTGTCCTCGTGAGTAACGGCGTCTTCTAGTATTTGGGATCACTGAGAATTTGGTTCAGTTTATTCTCTTCCGTGATGGTGGGATATACTGCGTCGTCATTATTGCCTTGCGTATCTTCAACTTTGTGGCCTGGGCGTTTCTGGACGAGTCCATGGTTTACCTTGCTATGGGTTTCCTATGGGCCATTGTCACGGCGCTGATCAACCGATTCTACCTCAACCTTCGACGTGTAGCATATGCTACAGCGGCTGCACTCCTCACCAATGGCTCCATCCGCGAACGACCGATTGCACCTGGCTCTGGGAGACTACGAGAGTTGATAGAGGGGAATGAGATGGCACGACGGGGAGCACAGTCACCTGGGAGTATGACGATGACAATATGCCCGTGATTGATGTTGTGCGTCAGGGGGATGTAGACGAGATGCTCATGGTGGATATTGAACGCCAGAGAGCACAAAGTGCACTTGGCCAGAGTCCACACTCACCACAAAGTCCGCAACAGGAGCACAGATGGAGATCGACGACGCCGCATCCACTGCCGATATACGAAGGCCATGGCGTAGAGGAAGAGGTGGTTGCACCTCCACAGAGGGGGATTCTGATCCAACAAGGTGTCACTGTGACTTACTGAGATGATAATAGTGTAATTTATGTCCTTGTTACTTGACTAAGTCTCGGTAAGCCAAGGCCGGCTGTTCCCGTGGCTATGGATCAAAACTTGAACTCGTCCAAGACCGCGCCTTGTATCCCTCTCGACGCTCTTTATCTACTTTCAGTAATTCCAACGCTATCTGTACATCCCTCATTGCTCTTCTACGCCGTTTTCAACAAACCACGCCGCACGCGACCCTCGACGGCCATCCAGACGGGGCACACCTGTTGACGGTGACGGTGAACGAGCACACGGGCTCTCTAAAAGGACGCTGTGATTGCCGTGCAAGAAAAAATGTCCAAATCCTGGTGGACAACGCTCCCGGCGGTCCCAAAGCAAAATCGACGAGGGCCACCGCCAGAGCCAGGATTCACAGATGAAGAACTACAATACCTCGAAAATACGCTACAAATTGTGAGTAAAATTCGGTCGTCATCGTACCCACGCAGCAGCATCATTGCGACCCCCTTCTCTACGACCCCACTGGCCTGCTGCCGGCCTTGAGGTCATGTCGACTCCGCAGAAGATGCTGACGTTCTCCCGAACCTTGAATGACGCCAGATTGAATCAATATCTATGGACACGCTGGGCCTGAACGAGATGGACGACGCCGAGAGCGTTCAAGGCGAGTACGCAGCTCGCTCGAGCTCGCGACACGACACATCTACAAAGCGAGATAAGACGCAAAGAATCCGTTCTCGAACATCGTCCCAATCTGGAGCGAGTGCAGTCGCCAAACTTGCTGCTGTACTCCCCGAACCGGTTCGGCTCCGCGTCTCGGATGCGCAGATGTGGGCCGTCACTCACCCCAACACGGTCGCAATGTTTCTCGTCTTTGTGGCGAGCGCATTGCTGGCCCGTGGCGGGAGCAATGTGCATTCGATCATCGCCGTGGCTTGCTTGATGGCCGGACTCAAGATTATGGCGGCGACTGAAGATGGATTCGAAATTCCTAGGGTTCCTCCTCCACGATATACCGCACATCCACCACCTCGGACCCAGTCTGCTATACCCGATATGCCACTTGACGAATGAGAATCTGCTCGTCTTTCTCAGCTGTGGATCCTCTCCCTCTGTTCTCCCTCTCTCCCACTCGATTTGACACACGCCCGGGATTCTACGCTATGGGGTATATTTTTGACCGTGCCGTTGACGCGCACACCGTCATTCCTCGTGTACACTTGTGAATGTAGCTGGCTGATTATAACTACATGGATTCTATGGGACCCATTTAGAACCTAGGGCCGCTGCCACTTTGGGTGGCCCTGAGGGATTCTGAAAGGGCTGGCGTCGGCCTGCCTAATGAGACAAAACGGACGCGTGATGCAACGCTTCCCCTTGCGTTCGCTGCCGCCCCTGGGGCCCGCCTTTGCCATATGCGAACTCCGGCTAAGGGCGGCACTCTTCTCTTAACCTCCCCCTCGTCGCTCCCTCGTCGCCCGTTGCGCCGCTCGAGCACTCGTAGACGCGGATCAGCACTCGATAGCGCCCTTTGGCACGCTCTCCGATGGCCACAGAGTAAGTATCAGACTTTGGTCCACCTTTCAGAGCTCGTAAAGGATCCATACATGCGTTTCGGATGCGTTTCGATGTAGTTTTTGACCATTCCTAGGCTCGAAGTCACCGTCCTCGAGGACCTGGACGCGAAACGGCTCCTCCTCCAGCGAGACTTGGAGTTGCTGGACAAACAGCGCGCTCACGTTCTCGCACGCAACGCTCCCATTCGTCGCATCGTAGACGATATTCTCGCATACATCTTTGAGCTCGGAGCTGGCACCCCGGACGTCGTATTTGTAGAACGGGTGTCCTCGGTCAGTCGCCACTGGCGCAACGTTGTGCTCCGAACACCCTCGGCATGGTCCAATATCATCCTCGACAGACGCATCTTCCCGCAAGCCAGCCTTCAGACTTTCATCCGGCGGACAGAAGTCTTTTTGCAGCGCTCCCAGTCCGCGCCGCTCACGCTCATGCTCGATCTCCTGCCGATATCATTTGAGAATGATGTCCAAAGGTTAATGGACCTGCTACACGACCATTTCCCGCGCTGCGCGGTGCTTCATCTGCATTGCGATGCCAATTACTTTGCCACCATTGCTCGCCCACTGTCGTCGCTCGGACCGATGCTCCGCGAACTCGATATTCGGACGTCGCATTCGAATATGAACCCCGTGACGCTGACACTCGCAGAAGTCGCGGGGTGCATCCCGTCCTTGCAGTCGCTCGTATTGAGCAATCTGCCCCCGAGTTGCCTCCCGTCCACCCACTACCCAGCCCTCAAGCATTTGCAATTGCATGGTGTTCAATGGCATTTCGGGAATGATGGATCCGGTGAATGGCCCTGGTCGGCGACGGCCAACCTATTGGATGCGGCTCCGAACCTCGAATCGCTCGTCCTCAATCGCATGGAATTTATCCTCGACGGTACCGAGTTGTTGACGCCACGCAACCTTGTCCTCAAACGACTTGAGTCGCTCACGTTCGAGTGCATGGAGACGCGATCGATTGCGATTGTGCTCGAGTCGCTCCATGCACCTAGACTCAAATCGCTCAAGATGCGGTATGATCCGACCAAGATGGGTGACCATTGGTGCATCCATCGCCTCGAGGCGCCGTGTGTGGCTGGGATCGAAGAGTTAGAGGTCGAAGGGTATGCCGTCTATGGGTCCAACTTGCCGTGGTTCCTCAGGACGCTCGCGATGGTTCCTCATTTGAAAAAGCTCACCATATCCAATCCGCCACTGTTCCTGGACTCGCGGTTCTTTGACATGATGTCCACGGGTCCAAACTGGCTCGTCCCACGCTTGAACGAGTTGGTCTTGATCGCGTGCGCCAACCTCCACGGACAAGATCTGATACGCCTCTTACGCGCACGCTCCATTCATGGTTCCGGAGGAGGTGGTGGCACCTCTTCATCTGGCGGGTCGAGTTCTCCGAGTGGGGTGTCCCCCATTCGCACCTTGACGTTACGTATGCCACCCTGGAATATGTTTGAAGACGATATCCTCTCAGTGTTGAGGCTCAATGTGGATGAGCTTTGCCACATGCCAATGGAGCCCTACAGCTCGGATCGATATCTCGCCGCACATTCGCCCATGTTCCGAGCGCCCACACCTGCACCGCTACTGGGTGGCGGGACGGATGGACAAGTCAATGCACAACAACAAACACACCATCAAATTGCCGCACCTCCACCATGGGACGCACCCCCTTTACTCGGGACGCCGTTTGGCGATGCGGATATGGGCTTTATCCCGCAGTTTCACCAGCCGCCCTTTACGGGCCAGACCGCGACGCCTACGGGAAGTCAGAGTATGGTAACCTCGACGAGCACCGGGGTGAGAGGGAGCAGTCGACGCCGGCGCTCGACGTCGACGGCATCTGCTCTTTGGGCGAGTATGGGGCTCGAGTCCGAGTTGGTGCAGGATGTAGCCACAGTGCTCCTCGTAGCGTCTGCTACGGCTCTTACGACCTCGATAGCGTGCTATCACCTGCTTTCACGACACATACGGGTTTGACTCGTTTTTCTTCTTCTGAAAATTGGGTTGATTGACCATGGACACGACTGCGTACGTTGGACAAGAAACACAGTTATACCGTATGCTTTTCCTCGTTTTCTTTTTTTTTTCTCATCGACCCGTCTTGTCTTTCGCCATGCACGTTCATCTCTTTCTCTTCTCCCTCCATTTCACGACACGAAGGGTCCCTGCTGTATTTTCCATCATGATCACAAATAGGCTGCGTTGTACGATATGCAGGGGAATTCGAATGATATTTCACCCTATTTCGAACTTGGACTCTGACCACTGCCTGTCATATTTTATGCGCTGAGCATACACCGCGGCGTACAGTTAGACATGTATTTTATGCATATACGGGCGACTACTTCTCATCTCAGTCTGTAAAGGTATGTCCTTTCTTAGAAGTGGGACGTCGGGAATCATAATTAAATAGGCGAATCGCGGTATCCTTCAAGGATGGCTTTTTTGGTGGATGGCTGGCGTTTTGGAGCGCTTGCAAAGGCAGGGACACGCTCCTCTAGCGCCCCGTCCGAAAATACACTGGAGATTCGCAGAGTATCCACCAGTAACTACAGGATTCCTGCACATATTCCATCCTAATTCACAGTCCACTCGCAACGATACACGATGCGGATTGGCTGAGTGCATTTGGCGAAGTGATCAAAGTCCCTTGACCATTTTGCCCTTTGGTGGCGAAACAATGACAATCTGCGTCCAATAGATGGAGAGGGCCCTGAAAAATCACCCGTGGGACATAGGATACGGCACTGCCTGCATTGAAAGAAGGTAGCATGGCTGACCGTTGTTCCTATTCTCGACATCACGTGATCCTTTCAGGCCGTATTGTGAGTGGATATGGGAACACCTGTTCTTCCATCCCTCACTTTGACGTGCGCCCCACCTGCAGAGTACACCAGATCAGGCCCTCTCCCAGCACGTCGAAACGCGCCCGACTGGATTGCTGGGCCTGGAGGCTAAGGGATCCTTACCGCTCCATGCGCCTCGACGCTCTGATGGGTCGAAAATTTTGTGATCCGCCGTATATTCAAAAGATCAAGGCGGATGGGCATAAATACCGAGCAAAAGTAGACAGTCCGCCATCAGCTTTGATCCTCATCACACTCGAAACCCATTCTCACTGCTCGCCAGACATTCCGTCTCCAAACCGCTCTTGATCATGCCTCGGCCTGATACTACCGCTCAACATGATACGGCAACCAACGCTGCAGGTGGCGGTCGCAAAGCGAACAAAAAGGCAATCGACGCCGCGAAGCGCAAGACGGAGAAGACGTTCAAGCAGTCTCAGATATCCGTCGGTTTGCTCTTTACGAGCGAGCTGCAGGCTGCCGTCAAGCGCTGCTCTCGTAAAGTTCAGCATATTGCAAAGCATTGCAGGGCGAGGGATTCAAAGTTTAGGTACGTATACTTCTATATACAAAGGCAGAGATGTCCTCACAATCACAATGCAGGGATCCCGAGTTTGACCTGGAGAACGACGAGAGATTGTGCCTGTATGGGTTGAATATCCCAGAGGAGGAGAGCGACCAGTTGAACCCTGCGGCAGTGATGAGGGTCACTGAGATTTAAGATGAACCATTCTTCTCCAAAGATGGCTTCTCATCGAGCGATCTTAGTCAAGGGGCACTTGGTGAGTGTACACGAGGTTGTGGCGATTTGTCCTGACGTCGTGCTAGGTGACTGTTACTTTATCAGTGCTCTGGCAAATGGTATGTAGTCTCCTATCCATCGATATTGTTGGCCTGATGTGATGCAGTCGTGACAATCACTGGTCTGCTTGAACAGATTTGTGTTGCCCAGGAGCCAGTGGTCGGCGTATACGGCTTCATCTTCTTCAGAGATGGTGCTTGGGTCGATGTGATCATCGACGATCAACTGTTCGTCTCATTTCCAGAAGATGAATCTCTTTCACAAGAAGCTCGTGCACAAGGGACCGTGGACGAATACAATATTCGGGTTCGAAAGGGCAACAAGGTGCTTTATTTCGCCAAGTCTATGACAGAAGGAGAGACATGGGTGCCTCTCATCGAAAAGGCCTACGCCAAACTGCACGGCAACTATCATTACATCGTCGGCGGATTCGCCAATGAAGCCATCGAGGATTTGACCGGTGCGGTCTGCAGCCGCACGTCTATCAACTACATTCTCGATCCCAACAAGTTCTGGAATGAGCTTGTGGCTACGGCTGGTCGTACTAGGCTCTACGGATGCTTCTTACGAGGTGACGACCAATCGGCTTCAGATGTCCACGACAGCGAGTACGGTCTCATTGCCTCGCATGCCTATACGGTCCTTAAGGCCGTCGAGTAAAAAGGCAAACGGTTTGTGCTCGTTCAGAACCCATGGGGCTCAGGGGAATGGAAGGGCCGCTGGAGTGATGGCTCAAATGAGTGGACAGCAGAATGGAAACCGGTTCTCAAGATGCTCAAACACGAGTTTAATGGAGAAGATGGCGCGTTTGTCATGGAGTTTGGTGACTTTTTGACCAATTGGACCAAGGTCGACTGTGCCAGACTTTTCGACTACATGGGCCTCGTCGGACATCTGGCTGCAAATGGGCGGTCTCGGACCTTTGCACCCTTGGACATGGGGAAATATATCTTGTGAGTCATCTTCTACTGAGTTTTCACCTCCTGACGTCCATCTCCAGATACCATCTCGGTCCCGGAAGCCACTCCTGCAGTCATTGTTCTTCGTCAGCTCGATACACGCTATTTCCGAGACATATCCTGTTCACTCCTCTATACGATGGAATTTGTCTTGTTCCGCAAGGGATCCAACGAGGCACTTGCTGTATCACCTCGCGCACACGCCATTGATCGCAGCCAAAGCGTCGAGGTCGATCTAAAGGCGGGCGAGTATGTCGTTCATGTGGGTATTGATTGCGTCTTCTGTCCGTATCTGACACCGAACAGGTCCGCTTGGACTCGTTGGTTCGCAGGGATGTGGTGTGTAGAACGGGATCGAGTTTGGTTAAAGGCTCATTCTCTTCTAGGATTACTTTGAAAAGCAGATGAGCAATTGGGATGCGCAAGTCCTCAAGCGCGTCTTGGCTCAGCGGGCGATTGCCTATTCCAAGGCGTCCAGTACGTCTAGCTTTGCACATGTTATCATAATTAACGACCCTTGTAGATTCTACCTCCGAGTATGATCTATTTGCAGATCTGAAGCACCAACTAACCCAGAGTGTAGATGGAACGACACCATTCCGACTTCGTTGCGGTCGCTCGCTGGTCAGGACTTGACTTCTCTTGAAATCCTCAAAGTCGAAAAGAAGCGACGGGAGCAAGCTAAGCGGATGGAGGAACTTGCTGGTCAAGAGTACGAAGAGGGGGGAGAAGAGGAAGAAGGCGGAGACGAATACGAAGAGGAAGCGAACGAGGAAGGAGATGCAGAAGCAAAAGCGGAAGCGGAAGACGATAACCAGGTTGTCCATCAAGGGATCAGCTGCGACAACTGTAGGGCCAGCCCTATATCGGGGACCCGCTACTCTTGCAACAGGTAAGTAGATTCTATTCCCCTCACTCTGATGGTACTGATACATATATCGCAGTGAAGAGCATCCGAACTATGACCTTTGCCAGGATTGCTTTGGCGACTGCGATCATGATCCCGAACATGAGATGATTATCATCCCTGTTCCACGAGGCGAGAAGCCTGTTCATAAGGGAATCTATTGCAGTGATTGCGGGTATATCGTCAAGGGTACCCAATATAACTGCCTGAGGTAAGACTGCCGAAGCCAATCTCCTCCTCATTGACTAAGCCCTTGGACAGCGAGGATTGCGAAGACGCCAACCTATGCGAGGAATGCTTCGGAAAGGGGGAACATGACCAAACCCACGAGATGTGGATGATGCCTCTTCCGCAATCGAGCACTGAGGACGACGACGGCGTTGGTTTCGAAACAGACAGGCCCGTGCATCCTGGTATACAATGCAATTCGTGTGGAATGGTTCCAGTGGTAGGGCCGCGGTTCAAGTAGGTCATTATAGCGCCGTCTCTAACAGTTTGCTGACTCTCCTGCAGGTGCATGGAGTCAGTAGTTTTGTCCGTTGACCACAATAAGATTCTGACTGATTGTAGTCCCAAGTGTACGGAGTACGACCTGTGCGAGGATTGCTTCGCTCGAGGTGTCCATCCTTCAGACCACCGGATGCTGCGACTCGACGACCCCAACGAGGCGCTTCATCTCAATCCAGCGGTATGCTCTCGTTCTTCAACTGCTTGTAACGCTATTGATGGATTGTCTTGGCAGGCCGCGGCGGAAGGGTCGACATTGGTGCTAGGTTTGAGGGTCAACACTCGCAAAGGCGCAGCGGCGGTGCTCGGTGGACAACTCAAACACGGTTCACTGAAGTAGAAGTAAAGAGCATAGGAGCTCCGTTGCCAGCAAGACCAAGTTGACTCGGAATTTGAATTTGAAACGTGTGACCACGAAAAATATGACTGATTGTGTATCTGGAGTGATTGGCTGAGCTTTCAGGGGCTGGCCCATATGGACCTCGTTGGCGCTCACTTTCATCCCCGAACATAGCCGCCAGGGCACACCAACGGCTAGAAAAGGAGCGATCCATCAACCACCTTTCGTCTCTTCATCTTCGCCGTCTCCGTCACTCATGCCTCGTCCAGACAGAAAGACCGTCACAAGGCAGGTGACCCTGATCTCAGACCAGGTCGATCCATCTACCATGCCCGCTGCAAAGCGTGCAAATGCAAAGGCAAGGGCTGCCGCCAAAAAGAAGGCAAAGCGCGCGTTCCGGCAGCCCAAGAGTACCGTCGGAATCCTAGTGACAGAAGAACTTCAGACTGCAATAGATTCGTGTCGTGAAAGAGTTCGGAATATCGCCAAAATGTGCAGAGCACGAAACCAAAAGTTTCGGTAGGCGCCGAGTCCCATTTCGTCGAAATAGAGCCTTGACGCTTGCGGGATAGGGATCCCGAGTTTGATCTCAGTAACGATAAAGCCATGTGTCTCAAGGGACTCGAGGACGTCGAGGGCGAGGAGCTGAAGCCCGCCGACGTGATGAGAGTTTCGGAGATTTGGGATGAACCCCAATTTACCATCGATGGATTCTCTTCAAGTGATGTCGCTCAAGGAAACCTCGGAGATTGCTTCTTCATTAGCGCATTGGCCAACGGTATGGACACTCTTCCCTCTATGTCCCCCATTCACTCGCCTTAGTCGCCACTATCCCTGGCTTACTCGAGAAGATTTGCGTTGAACGCGATGAACAAGTCGGAGGTGTGCTTTCAATTCATTGGTTCATAGTAATGCTTACGAGGGGACAGTATACGGCTTCTTGTTCTTCAGGGATCATACCTGGAGCCCGGTGATCATTGACGAGTACGTAGTCATATCAACACTCGTTCTCTTGTCCTCATTGCCGGATTAGCCAACTCTTCGTTCAAGTGCCCAAATATGAGTCTTTGACGCCAGACGAGCAAAAGCTTTACCACAACGATCCAGACCTTTACAACGATGTAGCTCGAAAGGGCAGCAAAATACTTTACTTTGCAAAAGGCAAGACAGAGAACGAGACGTGGGTCTCTTTGATCGAAAAGGCTTACGCAAAGATTCATGGAAACTACGCCTATCTGAGGTCAGTCCCTCGTCATTTTCTCTTCGGTCACTCGCTCACTCTGTTGTAGCGGTGGTCGTGCAATGGAGGCCATTGAAGATTTGACGGGAGGCATTTGTACACAGATTCCTCTCACCGATGTGCTTGATCCCAAGCAGCTTTGGAATGAGCTCGTTCACAACGCAAACCGTACAAGACTCTATGGGTGCGCCATTCACGGAATCGACAACGAACGCGGCTTGAATACCATTACCAAAACCCATGGACTGATCGCTTCCCATGCATACTCTGTTATTCGCGCCGTCGAATACAATGGCAAGAAGTTTGTGGTGATTCGAAACCCATGGGGGACGGGAGAGTGGCGTGGCAGATGGAGTGATGGGGCCAAAGAATGGACGAAGGAGTGGCTGCCGGCGCTGACTTATCTCCAACACTCCTTTGGCAATGATGGCCAATTCGTAATGGAGTATTCCGACTTTTTGCGTCATTGGTCAGTCCTGGACTGCACCCGCCTCTTCGATTCCTCCTGGGTCAGTAGCAGCATCTGGGTCCAGCTCGACAATTGGACGGCTATGCATCCTTGGACATGGGGGTAAGCCTTCCTTTTCGCTTTTAGACAAGCCATTTATCCTTTCACAGCGATGTATCTTGTATGTTTTTCTTGCTCTCCAACCAAAAATTACTCGGGCTCAATTCTTCCACTAGTCACCATCTCGGTACCAGAGAATACACCAGCTGTCATCGTTCTCCAACAGGCAGACAGACGTTACTTTGAAGAAATCTCAGGCTATCTCGTCTTTGCATTCGACTTTGTTCTTTTCAAGAAAGGATCCAAGGAAGAGATTGCTTCTTCCGTGCGGACACAAGGCTGGGCGCGTGGCCAAAGTGTAGAAGTCAATCTAGAAGCTGGCGAATATGTCGTACACGTACGCCTCGATTCGATGATGTGCAAGAATGCGGTAAGGACTTTGTCATTTTGAAGACGATTTGCTGACTTTTGAAAGAATTATATGGAAGAAGGCGCGACCAAGTGGGATCGTCGCATCCTCAAGCGCTTGATGGCTCAAAAGGCGTTTGCGTTCTCCAAAGCCGCGAGTATGTCGATCATTACTACCTTTGGGGTTTCTGACTCAATCCTTCTCTGTAGACTTTAATATAGCGTGTGTATTGAACGAGGAGGCTCCATTAGGTTACTGACAGTTTATAGCTACTGGGAAGACGTCATCCCAACGACCTTGGATGCAGTCGCCGGATACGACCTCACTGAACTCGAGATCCAGCTCGTCGAAAAGAAGCGACAAGAAGCCCTCCGCAAGAAAGCTATGCTGACGCCCCAGGCAGAGCTCAATGAAGAAGCTGCGATGGAAGTAACGGATGAGCCAGAGAATGTCGAAAATTCAGCGGAGGTAGTACAAATCGTCGAGAAGACGGAAGAGCCGACCCAGGAGCCACCAGAGGCGGTTGACGTACCGGCCGACTCTACACTCGTCGTCAAGGAGGAGGGTGGCGACACGCAAGAACCTCAAATCGTACATAGCGATTTCATGTGTGACGTTTGTCAGGTCTCTCCAATCATCGGCGTGCGCTATCGCTGTACCAAGTGAGCCGGTTGATTCAGCGTTGAGACCATTAGATGCTGACAATACTACAGTCCTGAGCACCCAGAGTACGACATGTGTCAGGGGTGCTACGACAAGAAAGAGCACGATCCGACTCATGAGATCCTCGTTATTTCTCAGCCGCGCTCCGACGAACCTGTCCATACATGGTTCTCGTGCAGTATCTGCAAATGCGAACCTATACGCGGCATTCGTTATCACTGTCCAAGGTGTGTAGTTGATCTGTCATGTCCATTCGCTAACGCGCTCCAAGGCCAGAGTGCCAGGACGATTTCGACATGTGTGAGGCATGTCGAGCATCGACTGGACACGACCCAACGCACGTCTTGATGATGTTCCAGACGCCATTGACCCTGGAGGAAATCCAAGGCTCGATGGCGGCTCACGAAGAGCACGCAGAACAAATTACAGAACGTGCCGTCCATGACTCCGTGGCGTGCGACGGTTGCTCTATGAATCCAATAGTGGGTAGTAGATACAAGTAAGCATCGTCCGTTTGATCACGTCGAGAACTCATTTAACCGGATTTTAGGTGCATGGAGTAGGTTTCTGAGCCTTAGAACGCGATCGGTACTTACAATTTGTCTCAGTGCAAGCTGTCCCAATTATGATTTGTGCGAGGGGTGTATCAACAAGGGTATTCATCCCATTAACCACCAGATGCTTCGACTCGAAACGCCAAAGGAGGCACAGCACTTGAACACAGGTGTACGTTTTGTCTTCTGTACAAATATTGATTTCTGACACTGTCTCTACCAGGCCTCTGAAGGTGCTTCTTTCGTGCTGGGCCTCAGGGTATATACGCTCAAGTCGTCGGTCGCCGTGCTGGGCAGCCAGTTGAAGCATGGCTCGTTGAGGTGAAGACGTGATATATGCAGAGGAATCAAGGCGTGACGCTTTTTGTTGATCGAAGGAATACACGAATTTATTTCAGCCAAGCTTGTAGCAGCTGCAACGAAAAATTTGAATGCGGTAGGTACGTTGAGTAGAACATCTTCGCGAAGTTACCGTCACGTTTGCGATATTTAAGGTCAGCGAAGCGGGCTGGACCCGACCTCGACCTTGACTGGGATCCCAGTGGCGTAGAAGTGGCCATGCTTCGCTTTCGCTAGTGAAGATCAAAGCACAGTTCTCTGGGCTCAGAGAGAACTGTATCTTACGGGCAATTGTCTGTGCGCATTTGACAGCTAGTTTCAATACTCGTCGTGAGGTCAGCGACCGACGAACCGTGTACTCTAGAGGATTCTTCTGGGAGCCGGTTCTGATCAGTGAGAGGTAGAAAATACCGGGGCTGGCGCGGGCCTCGGCAGGAGCAGCGCCAGATCTTGCTCAGTCAATCCGATGGAGTCGTCCCAGCGTAGCGTCTGGGATTGGCGGGCGCCGCTGGTCCTGGTGGCCGAAAACTGCGAGCGTTGAATGGCTCGTACCCTGTCCTTGCTGAGAACTCCAGCATTTGCTCGTGGGTCGGATTGGGAGTCTTCCGACACAGTCTCGCTTGCACTGCTGGGTCGTAGCGTCCTAAATCGGCCACAAAGCCTTCGTAGGCGGCAACAGCGATGCCAAGGGCGTCCCGTTGCTTCAGACGAGCTATAGAACTAGAGACCTACCTGAGTCCAGTAGTGTCGAATTACAGCCACGCTGTATCCCGTTTCCGTTGCGTAGTAAATATATTGCTGCGGGTTGGTGTAGGATCAGCCTGGAATAATTTCGCACGGAGTACTGGATCCCTCCTTGCGGACTTGTGAATGATTTTGGATTCCCAAACGTATGCGTTCCTGACGGACGGTCAGCGGCCATAGCAAATATACATGATACGGTTTACCCTTCTCCCAAAAGCTCTCAGGTATATCCCGTCCGCTCCGAGTATTCGTCTAGCTCCGCAGACGTTGGGTTTGGATTTTCGCGGAATAGCAAGGCGCGGTCCTCAAACCCAGGCTTCCGGGCTGCGACGACACTGTATCGTACTCTTCGGCAGTTTCTCCCTCGCTTCATCTCTCATCATATGCGTCCTAGAATAGACTCGACCTTGTCCAACTCAAACGGTCCGAGGTAGCGCTTCATATCGATTTGAATGAGATTGTACACGGTGTCTGGATTGTCAAGCGCGGAAGAACTATTTTGAAAAATGAATGCGTGTAATATCGAAAGAAGAATGGTATGAAAAACCAGAGCGAAGATAAGAGATGAGGGGGGCATGACGTTCCGCGAGACCAAACCGGCGAAGAATTGACTCCCAGCGGTCTGCATTGAGGACTGAGTAGACGGGAACGGTTTCAAGCGCAAGTTGTCGCTCTATGGCCTTCTTTGCCGCATCTAGAGCAAACGTGGGCTCCTTTGGAACAGTTTTCCTCGTGGCAGAGCTCTGGCGCGCCCCCGTTGAATGCGAAGCAGAAAATCTTGTCTCCGGGAGTGTCCACTTTTTGTTCGAGTTGCGATAGGCGACGACTTCCCTGCCGTCGACCTGCTTGGACTCGGCGCATGATGAGAGGGTGTGCGGTACTCGGGACAAATGACGAATATATAATGGTCTTCCTGAAGATCCTTGCATCCGTTGTCGCACTGTCCCATCAAATGATCGGGAAGTTTGCGCCTCCACCTCAGGTAGTTGGTATCCAGTTGCCCAGAACGGGCGAATAACTGTACTACCGCTGAATAGGCTGAAGTGGATTTCAGGTACGGATGTATGAGGAGTTCCAATCTCTGATAAATGTCTGTGTAACGCCGCAAACCTTTGGCTGGCTTGGATCTGTCAGCTGCTCGTAGTGCCAGCATATGTTCCACATATACACTTGTACTGTGCTCGATGTTTCTATCCATTGGTGAGTACAGAGTGCATTGGTCTGCATAAAACGGCGCCGCACAAGCCATTCCACGCAGTGCCTCTCCCACTAATGGATCGGCTATCTCGCTCAGTTGCAAAGATCGGTCTTGCCATAGAGTATGGGATTTGACGTGGACTATGCAGTCCGGCGTAATTGACTGCCTGACTTCTCGTAGCCACTCGTAGAAGGATCTCACATTTATTACAAGAACGTAGGCACGAGGATGGCAAAGGCCGACGTAATACAAATTAAATAAAGGTTGCGGTCTTTAGTCTATAAAGTCCTCGTTTGTCCCCAGGTACTCTCGACAGGCGGGTGCGTCTAAAATGAACATTCTTCCGTGGCAGGTTATCTGCTTCGCCTATACGTCCTGTCAGCAGCGAGAGTAACGTGAGTGCACGGCTCGGCGAAGGTGCGCTCGTGCATCTTCTTCTTGGATGGCGAGGCACTACTTGATGATGAGAAATGCTGCGCAGCTCCCGGTTGTACCGTTACCTGTTCTCTTTTTGGTCCTCCATTATCGTGTCAGCGCCAAAAGGATGCCGATCAATTGCGGCCGAGCAGACTTATCTGTACGCACGGTGCCTCGGAGTTTAACCAGGATTTGTAATAGCTATGGCAATCATTGATTACCTCCCTTGCCTCTTTGACGAGGCCGACAGTCTCTTCCCTCTCCCGGATAGTCTTTTGCTCGCGCTTGCGGAGGGCAGTCTCCAAATGCTTCAAGGCTCCCCATTTGAGGTAGTTGAGCGTTTCTATCTGTGGTCAGCGTACGGTCCACGCAGGTCGACCGGCGGGCGTACCACTAGGGCTCTCGCCTCGGTCTCCAAATTGGAGCCACTACTTTCGCTCTTCGCCCCACCTCGGGAAGTCTCGAACAGGCCTTGTCCCCGCTGAACACTGCGAGATGCTATGGCGGTGGTGATGGGCAGTCCCAAGTGACCGGTAGACTATGCATAAACATCATTCACAACTGGAAATGTCAATGAGTCATTATCTTATTTCTCGATGAACCTAATAAGCCGCTCACAATTTGTCGACGAGGGTCTCAGTGGCCCTATGGGGACAACTTGAACTCGACCAGAGCATGCCGCGACGCAAGCCCATCTCCGCCAAGCAGCGTAAAGCCGAGCTACAACTCAAGAGAGCCGTAAAGCGTGGAGATGTAGAAGCAACAGCCATCGCTAATGAGCAAGCTGCCGAGCGACGTAAGAAGCGTCATACCAAAGGACGCACTCCTACTGGATCAGCAAAATCTGTCCCAGGTCCAAGCATTATTGGCGCAGGAAACATCGGAATTTCAACGAGACGCTTGGAGAGTCGCTTCCTCAAACTGGACAAAGGGTGGCTAGAGCATGCCAAACTGGTTGCGGCTACCACAGTGCTTGTACGACCCATCCCCGAGAACATGCAAGTTCTGAACGTCCATGCGTTTTCCGCATCTTCGGCTGGCGGGATAGGAGCTATAGAGACTACTCTCAGCGCACCGAGACGACCAAAATGGCGATATGATCAGTCCAAGAAAGAAGTCGAGAAGAACGAAGAAGGATTGTTCCTCAAATGGCTTCGAGAAACTGATGACATCGTGGAGAGATGGCAGACGGAACCGCTCAGTGTCACTCAAAGTCCAGTATCAGTGGATCATGAAACGAATGTAGAAGATCCTAACAAGTTGTCACTTTTTAAGCGCTCTCCGACCTGGTTCGAGAGAAATCTAGAGGTATGGAGACAACTGTGAGCGGCAATTGCAATGCGACGAGATGATTCTGATTCCATCAAAGATGGCGCGTTACAGAAATCTCTCAGATTCTCTTGATCTTGCTGGACAGCCGAGCCCCGACGCTCCATTTTCGTGAGCTCGTATTTCTCCCTCTCAAGACCTTCCTGGCTCTAAGAGATCATTAGCGTCATCTATGCAGCAATATATCCAGTCAATGCGACCAACCCCACCATTGGTACTTGTACTCACAAAGGTCGACCTCATCACGCCTGCTAGAGCAAAAGCTTGGACGGAATTCCTTACTACTCAACACCCAACGGCACGGATAGTTCAGGTCGAGTCTTACAAGGAGAGAGAAGGAATACTCAACGACGGAAGAGCAGGGAAGAAGTTTCTAGACCCCCACATCCCAACCGGGTTTCTTGCACAGCTTGTCGACGCCCTGAAAGCGGCATACACAGACCTTCTAACACCGCCACCAAACACCAAAGCGACTTGGAAGCCTCGTGTCAGAGAAGGTGTTGACTGGGAAAGGATTTTGGCAGACAACACCCCAAACGGCGATGGGCGCACGGACACCGCTGCAATCATACCCAAAGCGAACGAACCGTCGACAATATCAGTGACCGACTCTTCTGTTGACAAGATTCCCTTGTCGCCACATGGGCACGCCGACAGCACCGCGTCAGGCGGGGAAGAGGAACCTTTCATTACGATCGGACTGATCGGTGGGTACCGCGTTATGCTGGAAGGCTGGAGTTTACCATGCTCAAAGGCCAACCCAATGTTGGTAAATCGTCACTACTCAACGCCCTTTTCGGAACGAAGAAAGTAAAGGCCTCCAAAACACCTGGAAAGGTAATTTTTCCGTCTTACAAATTTTATTCACGTATTCATCGAAGTATAGACCAAACATTTTCAGACCCTGTTCTGGACTCCAGAGATTCGATTGGTGGATTGCCCTGGCTTGGTCTTTCCGGGGCTTGTGCCAATGGAACTGCAGGTGAGAAAACTTTTCTCTATTTGATGAGGCGTTTGGAGTCACCGGGTTACACCCGCCGTTGCATTACACCCGCAGCTGATGAACGAATGAGAGTCTAGGTGCTAGCCGGCGTTCTGCCAATATCGCAAATGCCATCAATCCCGTCATGCGTCCAGTTCGTTTGTGAGCGCATGCCTCTCGAGAGGATACTTGGTCTCGAACACCCGGGTGGCGATAAGCCCGTAGAGGATAAGCGAACATGGCGAGCTGGAATGAAGAATGCGTCCGAACAACCAGGTACCTCAACTTGGACAGCAATCGACGTCTTGACGGCGTACGCCACCAAAAACGGATGGCTAACGGCCAAAGCAGGCAGGCCAGACATTCAACGGGCGGGTAATGCACGTGAGTAATTTTCCCATTCTCGGACTCGGGATCCGAGCTACAAGTCTTTCCGTCAAATATTGACACTGACAATGGCCACGGCACGTGTAGTTTTGCGAGCCTGCGCGGATGGAAAGAATATACGGTGGGGCTTCCGCCCGCCGAGCACTCAGAACATGGATGGGGGTGCTGTGATCGAAGACGGAATATGGATCCGGGGTGGTCACCATGATGGTCCAGGAACTTGGGACGATGCAGACGAAAGTGGCGAGGATGAAGATGTTACGGAGGACGAACAAGGAGAGTTAGAATCGTCAGAGCCAATCGAAGAGGAGTCGGAGGACGATAGCGAAGACCTTTCCCAGGATAGCGGAGCCGCCTTCTCTGTGGCGAGAGGAAGGTTTGGTGCTCTGTCTCTCGTCGACAATGACGCATCTAGCGAGGATTCCTAGGAAGATTCTAGCGCCTCTCAATGATGTGGAGCGCTCAGTACCGCGCAACCGGTGACATAGGAGGAGGGCGGAGTAATTACAGCTTACCCTAACTTCGAGGCTCGTGTTTGAATATGCTCCCTGAGTGTTACAGCCCTTCCGCGACCAAAGAGATGGTCTGCGTCTAAAGTCCCCATTGTAATATGCCGAACTGCCAAACGGGCAATGGTGAGAAAAGGCAAGGTACTAGACCGCACCCAGATAATATGTGTAATTCCCGATTCGGGTTCGTCCCCATCGACTAAAGGGCGAAGGCCTCTTTAGACCGTGTCCGTTCTGCCTGTGCGTTCCCGCCTGCTGCCCAGCTCCCCATGGCTTCTAAAGTTCTCAGGCTAAAGAGATCAAACTTGGAGCCGCCCATCGACCCAGAAGACCAGGACTTTACCAGTCCCGTTACTGTCGCTCAGCCCGATCTCGGAGGCCCGATGACACAGGATCAAGGGGAGCTAGGGCCGTACTTTACCAGAAAATACGGATCGAAACACCACTCATTCTGGAACGTGCCATGGCCTCTCAGCTATGAGAAGGAAATCCTCGACATGTATCCGTCCTTTGCCTTTGAGCGTCGAGTCTTGTTACCGACTAATTTCCAGGGACGTTTTACTCCACCAGCTGTTAAAGGAGATCAAAGGATTGACCGTGACTGATTTCTCAGCCGGCCCTCCAACCAAGGTGCTAGACCTCGGCACTGGGGTACGTCACATCCCTCTCCGTGTGAACGATAATTGACCAGTGAATAATCGTCAATTTGAAACGAGCCTAGCTTGGAGGTAAGCGAGATGTTCACCAGCCCTTGATTAGGTTGCTGAATTGTTGTCAGCCTGGGTCCTTGATGCGGCACACCAGTGGCCGGTCCGTGCTTTTGCTTGCAAAAGGGCGATGACTAAGCAATTATTCAGAATACCGAGTTTGTTGGCTTGGACGTCGTCCCTATTCAGCCAAAGCTGGATCGTGGGCTTGATCCATCCATTCACGCCCGAATAAGATGGGTGACGAGCAATTTGTACGTGACTTCATTATACTGTCCCAAGACTTCTTGACCAAAAGCGGATAGTCTACAACCACTTCCGTTCCCTGATGGAAGTTTCGATTTTGTGCGAGGTGTGAATATAGCCAGGGGGGTTCCAGAGTCAAAGGTGAGACTTTACTCATGTCTGAGGAGAATATTATTGACTCGTTTGTAGTGGACGTTTTTGTTCGAGGTATTGTTTGTGCCAAACTGACCGCAGTTTCTTACGAGGTGTCCCATAGGAAGTGGCTAGAGTCTTGAAACAGGGAGGAAAGGTCGAAATCGTGGCAGAAAGTAAGTATCGACTCACCCTGATTATGACACTAAACGTCGTTCGTAGATATCGTATTCCCATATATCCCTCGGGCGATATCGCAAGCAACATCCCCCACCATCGATACCCCTGTTCAGCCATATTTTGGCCTACCAAGACATGAACATATCTTGTTAGAGGAGTGTAAGCACCACACAAAGGCGAGTATACACGAATAACCTACTCCATAGTATTCTTCGACGTCTTCTCTTCTCGATTCATCAACGTTTCGCCTGTTCGAATCATCCCTTCGAGCATGAATATTAGTCTTCGCAATGTGGTCGAAGTACCCATCCATATTCCATCCAAATCGCCGACCACAGATAATGATCCTAGAGGAGAGAGTATCCCTACAACACCAGATTATACACATGGAAAAGCCTCCTCAATACCCTTTCCTGCAGCATCCGACTCGCCGTGCCACCTGTTCGATTGGGCAAATGAACTCCGGGCCTGGCAAGCAGTACTCGGCTGCAAGGAAGCGATGTGGGAAGAGCTAGAGAAAAAGACCAAGGAAGACCGGGACATTAAGGAGACGGGCGAGGACCTCCTAAGGAGCCTGCCCTGGTCCAAAGAGGAACGCGAGCTGCGTCCGCGTCAGTTGTTCGAGTTGCTGTTCCTCAGATACGAGCGGGAGATGAGAAAGTGCATCAGCATTTCTACCGCTCTGAGGAAACGACTGGGATGGAGCGCGGGCAAGCACGAACACGAATATGGCGTCTTCGACGAAAACTTTGATTGGCTAGATAGGGAAAGCCGGTACTTTGCAGGTGAGGACGAGTCGACACGTCATATGAGCTGCTTTTTAGCGCAAAAAGGCGACAAGTTCTCACTGCAAGTATAACAAACTGTCTCTGCCACTCTCCTCAGTTCGGGTCGATTTCGAGGCTCGACGTATTCGAACGCAGGCATTTGCAACCCCGTGACTCGCCGATAGCCTTGGTAGTCAACAGGGCAACAATAGGGATGCCGAACACGTCAACGATCAAGATCTCTATATACGCGAGTCGTCTGTCCGTAACTATACCCCAATAGACTGTTTGGATCGCAGCCTTACTTGGAAGCTGTTGTGGTGGGAATCAACTTGCAAGGGGCCGCTTGGTCACGCCACAATCAGACCTGAAGTCCCGCATTCAAAACAAAATTTTTGATCAAATTGCGACGCGAAGATACACTAGTGAGACAAATGCGAAGCATGCAATGAAATGTGATGCGGGACCAGATTGGAGGCCGACGTCTTGAGCTCAAGACATGAGGGCCTTTTTCCGCTTCTTCCCAATAGTCGGTGTTGGGAGTGACGGTGGAGGAGAAGAAGACCGCATGTCCGTTGAGTGTTTTATCGGAGTACGCGAGTGGATCCCATTCATTACTGGAGAAGGAGGTTTGGCCGTGATATGACCGTTTGTCAAGCCATTGACTTTTGATTTACCGTTAACATGAAGCGGGGGTTGTGCTTTACTAGGAGAGGTGGGCGACAGAGGGGAAGGAGAGGCTATTCGTTTCGTAAGTAATACGAAAGCGTTGTCGTAGAGTGTACTCACCCGTGAAGACTGAGCTTCGGAATAGTTCGACAAAAAAGTCGATCTCCGACTGGGTGATCTCGCGAGCTTTTACTCGAACAGGACCTGTACCATCTGGAGCCGTGTCCATCTGCGCATCGTCGTCCAACAGGGTGTGATGCTTTTCTGCTGGTGGAAGGGCAGAGTCTTGCTTCCGGAGCAGACTGTCGATGAGAGGATCGAATAGAGCGTCGATGGATGGGAGAAGATGAGAAGGACCGTCGAGGAGAGCCCAATCGACGGACTGGTCGAGCGAAGCCACCCGTTCAGGCGCACTCCTCGTGGTCGATGCTGGCTGTTCGACGATAGCAGACTTGCCAAAGATGTCCTGGAAAATGGAGGGCCGTTCTTCTTCTCCCGATTCCAGCAGTTTAGATCCAGCCTCGTCATCCCTCTGGAAATCAATGTCCCCAATAAATAGGAGACTCCCAGAGTTTGTGATGGAGACGAACCCCAACGGAGACTCGCTATCAGGTCGCTGCGGCTGCCAAGCTACTATCTCTCGCAAAAGATGCGGAACAGTTCTTTGCGAAGTCGGTCGATTAGACGTGACGCTAAAGATGAGAAAGCTGGTTTTGGTGGCGTCTGATTGCGATTCGCCAGACGAAATTGCAAACGTATCACTTCCGACCCAAGAAAATAGCCCGGAAATGGACTCGGGGGACTCGTATACGTACGAGGCTATTGGTATCGCGTCAGTATAATGCACTTAATCACTTTGGGACACCCGACCTTGGCCGCGAAGCAGATTGAAAACAGCAAGAGCTTTGTTGGACACCACACAAAGATATCGTCCATCCCGCCCTGCAAAAGACAATCGCGACACAGTGCTCAACTCTGCGCAAGAGAAGGATTTGAAGAGTGTGTTGGTCTTTACGGTCCAGAGCGTTACGAATTGTCCGAATCCAACAGCAAGGACTGTGGCATCGGGTGACCAAGTCGCTTGAGTTGGACGCTGATTTCGGTACAAAAACGTGGATCTCAATACCCAATGAGCTGTGACCTTGTCAATGTTGACTTGGAGGACAGAGTTCTATACGCACCGTAGTCCTCTTCCTTTCGACCCGTTGCCCGCAAACACCATGTCTTCACGTTGTGGTCATCTCCAGTGGTAGCAAGCAGGAGCTCTTGCATTTTAGAGGATGGGCTAAATGCGATGCTGGTAAGCTTGTTAGGCCCATGCGGTCGATCAATCTTGGTATTGAGATCCCATATTCGTTCTGTTTCGTCCCAATACCAGACTTTGAGGGCGATCTCGATGCTAAACCCCTCGCTTGTTTCATCTCGCACATCAACCGTCGCAAGCCACTTTCCACATTCCGACACGGCGATAAGCTCCACTCGTGGAGGTTGTAACGGTGCTGCGTATGGTCTACTGACACGATTTGACGGCGCAACCTCGAGCTCTGCTAGCAAGGACGAAGATAACGGGGAGTATATTTGTATGGAGGACGGGTGTGAGGAGAGCAAAAAGATGTTGCGGGAACGCGCGTGTATGGCAAGGGGACTATGCGTCGAATGGCGGCTTTGGTGTGGAGGTTCTGCAGAGTTTCAGTCTTAGGATCAAAGACCAATGAGAAGCGAATACCTAGTTTGACGCGTGCGATGGAACGAGCCAGCTTGAGCGTACTAGACTTGACAAAGGCGAGAGTTCCGTCTGCAAGGCTCAAGAGATACTCTTGTTCTCGCGTTCCATCACCAGTGTCGTAGATGGAAATTGCTTTTATCGGCGCGCCCACTCGTGGCACAAACTCCTTCTTCCCAGTATGTATCTGCCAGATAACAAGCACACCCTCTTCGCCTCCCGACAAGAGATAGGCACCATTCGGGGTGAACTCCAAAGCTTGCACGGCATGCGCATGCCATCGGAGCGTAGTCGTAGCTGTACTGACCTCATCCGCAGTCTTTTCATTCGACATGTCGTCTTTTAGGCAATACCAAAAGCGTATTTGACCCAAAGAGTCTCCCGTCGCCAGCCAGTCTTCTGTCGGATGCAGAGCAAAGCAAGTCAACTTTTCTGTCGAGGAGAATTTGGTGAATCCAGCCTTGAGATGTGCAGTTGAGGCTACATAGAGCTTTGATTCTCCAGCGACGACGAGCCACTTGCCCGAGGCTGAAATTCCCATTCCAATCACCGCACGAGCTTTTCCGATGACAATCGTTTGGCTTGCCTTTTGCAGTACGGTGGGACTGATGGACGAAGTGATTCGAAGTGACAGTCGCATGACGATGGAGCTCTCCTCTGACGACAGAATGAGCACGCGATGATATGCAAATGAGGCCATGGAAGGAACGTACCGCGCCCGTTTTTACTGAGCTTTCGACAGGCGACAAAGAGGTGCTCATCAATGGTGGCGTGTGCACAGAGGTGGGTGATAGGGTAGCCTGCATCAAGGATGCGCAACAATGCTGGCGTAATAAAATCCCAGATGCAGAGTACACCGTCCTCAGATCCAGTGATCAATTGAAAAGAGTTGAAGGGGTTTATCATCAAGCAAGTGATCCTGTCCGACTGGCCATTGAGGGTCCGGGGGTGGCTCTTCAACGTCGACAGGACCTTGCCCGTAGTCGATGAGTAGATTTTTACAGAAGATGAAACGGGAACAAAGAAGTATCTTTTTTTTCCTCAGCGGTCAGCCTCGGGACGATGGAAAGAGGAGCATGCTTTACCTCCCGTCCTTTGAAAAAACCGGAGGCTGCTTTGAGTTCTGTGGGTTTGAGAGTGTAGTCCATGTCCATGGCTGCACGTCGTTTTCTGCAGCGGCTGCGGCAGTGGCTCCCTGCAGTTTTGATTCTTGCCGTGGTAGCGGCTCCTCGCGGGCTTTTCCTTTGCGAGATGCTCTTTTAGCAGCCTTTCCAGACTGCTCTGTCTTGTCTCCCGTCGTCGCCCGCATCGCTGGATGCAGTCGAGAGGCGGCAGTAAGAGGTCAAGGTTGAGTTGATCACCGACTACACTTTGACCGCGTGCCGTAGAAAACTTTTGGGCGTCTTGGGAGCGCAGGTCACGTGGAAAATACATTATAACAAGCCTTATTGGCCTAGTCTATCCAGTTATTGGGGCGCTTGTACGTGTCTAGACGAGATTTGTGTGCACATCGACTCACGGTTGCCGTTTAGAGCATCGCAACACTATATGATATACTGTCCACGCGAGACATGCGCTTTCATGTTCTCGGTATTGGATCTATTGGAACGCTCGTCGCCCATCACTTGCGTCGTACCCTCCCGCCAACAGACCACCTCTCACTCATCGTCCGAAAGGAAAGAAATGGATTCATCCCAAAGAATGCACCGAGTTCGCTCATTGTTGAGCTGGATGGCGTTCGCTCCTATGTCCGAGGAGGGTTCGACACCGAGTGGGCCGAATCGTCGCAAGAGGCCGTCTCCAGGCTCGTCCAAATGCTCAAAGACGAGCAAATGCGCAAAGAAGTCGAAAAGGTTGACAAGTTGCAGAGGCTCAAGAATAGCCTCGAGATGTCTCCTCTCGGCAAGCACATTGACGTGCTCATCGTCACCACAAAGGCGAACAAGACCTTGCAGGCCATCCAACAGTGTCGAGAGCGGCTCTCTCGAAACTCTACCATCGTCCTGCTGCAGAATGGCATGGGCATCTACGAAACGGTTGTCGACAACCTATTCCCGCTCGCACAAGAGCGACCCAATTTCATCCTCGCGACCACGACACATGGTGCATGGAAAAAGAGGGACGTTGCAGATGCTCACCATGTTGTCCACGCCGGTAAAGGCGAACTTCATTTTGGAATTGTCCCAGATTCGTTCCCCACCCGCCAACGGGACTTTGAACGATCGTTTTGGAATGTTCCATCGGATACACCCGTCTCTGAACGTATACTATCTTTGGGAGACATCGAGGATGCCGAGGCGGCATCCTCGGCGGTGTCAGAGGTGTTGGAAGGCTCGAAATACGCCTCACTTCGACGAACAGTCGCAGCACTCCTGGCACTGGATCTTGACACGAAATGGCAGCCAATATCTCAGCTCCAAATCCGTCTACGACAAAAGGTCTCGATCAATTCGAGTGTCAACCCATTGACGGCGCTGCTGGGCTGCCGAAATGGCGATTTGCTCGGGAGCACACACGCTCGATCTCTTGTGCGTTCAGTGTGCCATGAGGCTGCAGACGTCTTTCGGCAACAAACGCTCGCCCAAGGTGGAGAGGGCACAGATGAATGGCTATTTGGCGGTGGACAGGCGTCTTCTGGCGGCATGCAAGCGCTCTCGCCAGGGGTGTTGGAGAGAGAGACGTACAAAGTGATCAAAGCGACGTCCCAAAACTATTCGTCCATGCTGCTTGATATGGAACGTGGTTCGGTGCTTGAAGTCGACTTTATGAACGGATATATCTCTCGATTAGGTCAGGCGTATAATGTACCCACGCCAACGATCGATGCCTTGCGGCACGCGGTCCTTATCAAGGCCTCGTTTCGGAGGGTTTCGCGGGTTGTCAGACTTTGACACCATTTTCACATTATTTGTCCAGGTTATTATTATAAAATTCCACTGCTCGTGTACATGAAGACATGAACGTGAAACGCATGAGTCCGAACTCTATATCTACAACACACTAAACAGTCCGCTGATGGAGTGGCGACGGGAGCAATTGCGCACGAGTGAACACGAAGACAATGAATAAACGAGACAGACACAATTAGAAACGTGAGTAGAAATCAATCCCACCGGGAACCCTTGATAAAGTAAAAGTGGTCATCAGCATTCGTATTGTCGTAAGGGGCATGGGCATGGAACGTAGTATAGGTTGTAGTCGAAGGCTGTGGCGGATAATGTGAGATCATGTCGGGAGCAGTAGCATACTGCCACGACGGAGCGGCTGAGCCTGTCGTGGCCATCGGCGCCGCAGCACCATGAAGAAGATGAGACCAATCTGTGGAGGTGTACCCCGAAGTAGACGCTGACAGCCCGTCCAGCGCCCCCGAGTATGCCGCGCTATCCCCACTAGGCAGCGCGAAAATATCGGCAGAGGACGATGTGCCTATGGGCGCATGGTGATTCAGGGTTGTTTCAAGGCCACCGACTTGTACTGTGGAGGAAGCGGACGGGTCAAGCAGTTGGTGATGGGTCGCGCGGAGGTTGCTGGGAGAAGCCTGAGGAGTGAGCGGGAACCGCATAGGATGGCTGGCTCCTGTCGAATGCGAGACGGAGCCGCGCGACCTGGACGAGCGTATGGGGCCTACGGTGCCTGCAGGGGAAGACGGAGGATACGGGGCTGGAGCGCTGTTGCTCGGCGTTCTGCGTGCTGATGGTCGAGGGTGATAGCCGGTCATGCTTACAGGCGTAGCACGTCCTTCGTCGACACTGGATGCTGTATGGCTAAGTGATGGCTTGCGTCTCCCGGTGATGCGCGTCGGAAGTGCTGGGCTCAGCGACGCTCGCCGGCGTGCGCGTGGAGTTTGTTCAGGATACCGCATGTTCTCAACCTCCATTGGGCTACTGGCTTGTCCCTCGCTTTCTGTTGAGAGGGTATACACCATCGCTTGCTCCCCTGGGCTTGCAGCTTGTCGAAGAGAATAGATGATAGCCAACGCAGGCGACGCGGCTTCTGGTGAACAGCGGGCAATAGTTTGCACAATCGTGTATCTTGTCAGTTCAACTGGATGTTGCAAGGACATGGATCAGCTCTCTGCACCAATTGCTAGCATGGAGGTCGGTAGAGGGAACGTACCAGTATCATTTTCTATGATTATCCTCTCCCACAGCCTGGAAATAAAGTCGTTTGTAATGCTAGGAATGACGACGTTGCCGCCTTCGATTCTAAGAGGGGTCTCCTCTTCATACCCTGCCAAGGACTCAGGAGAGCCAGGGGAGCCATTAAAGTCGCCTGGGGTAAAATAGACCGTTGAGGTCACCTTCCAGAGGTTCGCAACGGGTGCCCCATTCCTCGGTGAGCCCATGAGCCGGACCAGACCTTTGACATGAATGTCCGAACCAGCCGCTTGGCGCAGGAACCTCCTGTCTACAAGTCCATGGGGGAAATGAAGGGGTAAATCGACTTGATAGACCTTGAGCATCGAGTTCTGTTGGATCCCACCAAGAATCGTCCGCGCCGCAATTCCGAAACCACCCTGGGAGACGGGACTCGGACTGTGAGCAGAGGCTGGTTGGAGCGTGGCCAGAACATGTTTCCCGGCGCGAAGACTCGGATTCACGGCGACTTCCCCGGCCTTGTCATCTGCCTCTGCCCCACGGGCATTGACAGAAAAATAAACCGACAGGGATAACTCCGCGAGCTCCAGACCTGGTAACCTTGCCTCATGGTGATGGGGGAGTGGCAGTGAAGACTGGTGGCGTGCGACATAGGCCTCGAGTGTGGTTGGGGTTCGGCCGTACGTAGTGTAGGAACCAAACTGCTCCTCAAATTCTGGCCATGAAGACGGGTCATATCCGAACACGCGGGCGTCCACAAACTCGAAATCCGGCACGTCAGACGGATAGAGGAATGGAGAATGGCTTGGGGTGCTTGGAAGTGAAAACGGCGTCGGGGGAAGCCAGCTGGGCTCGAGAGAGACGTGTGATAAATCGAAATCACCAACGTCAGTAGAATAAGCTTTCTGGGGAGGGAGGATATGTCGTCGGGGCGGTGACGACTGCTGGGGCGGGTATTGAACGTGTTCGCGTGTAGAGGTGCTGTTCGATCGCCTCGTGTTGCTTGAGACGGCACTGCCTCGTTGTCGACCAGAAACCAAGGCGGTTGACGATGATGAAGACGAGGCTGGGCCGGTCAAAGGGAGTACGTCCTTTGGAGGCCGCGGTCCTTGACAAACGTATGCCCCTGCATTTTCCTAGTTTAAGCGGGTATAATTTATTAGTTTATTCACTCACAATGCGTGTCCTTGAGCTATGTGACCAATTGGTTGTCAGTGGTGAACACGATGCAATCAGCGAGGCCGATGCCATCGCATGCAGGCAACAAAGAAGAATGGAAACTCACATATTCGCCAATTGTCTGTACTTTTGATGAAATCTGCTTGCGGTTACGAATAATGCCTCGTTGATGTTCACCTGGTTGCGAGGGTTTGATCTCGATTGTGTTCCGAGCCAATGCTGCAGGGTCCCAGCCGCGCGTTTGGCGATAAATAAATGCAGAAAGCCAATTGTAGTGCTCCTCTAGACCTGAAAGGGCTTAGTTTCGTACCCCACACGGGATTCATGGGCCGAACTGACCCTGCTTTCCGACGAGGTGTGGCTTGTGATGCAGAATGAGAAGTCCTGATGAAGAATTGAGCACAACGTCAACAACCAGGGGGGGAATGTGCGGACCGTTGCAGAGGACGTTTGTGAGCACTGGGGGCCAGATGGGGCCGCCTGAAGCCGCAGAGCGCTTCATGTTACATGGCTTGGGCAGGCTTTGGAACAGGTTGTTGGGCAGGTCGATGAGATCGAGAGGGGTAATGTCCCGTACAAACGGAATTGATTCGAGCAGGTCAGCCTGTGTCGAAGACATGGCGACAGTGGAAAGTATAATAATTGGAGACCGCTCGAGGTCGCTGGCGGATGCTGGCGGTCGCTGACCGGTTGGCTAGTACACGGGGGGTGAGCGGAGCGAATGTAAAAGGCTGCCTAGGGGGTATGCCTATTTATCTCACTAGGAGCGAAGTCCCGGAAGCGTCCAAGGTCAGCTTCTTGTTGAATCCGAATTATCAACGTTTATTTGTGACAATTCAAGCTTGCCCCGAATGAATGCCAGTCGCGCACACGTCCCAATGGGCCGGTTGACCGCTCAAGGCAAAGGCTTTCTTGTTCTGTATGGCCGATGCATGCGTCCCCAATCGATGATTTTGAATCTGATTCCTATTGAGCTCGAAAGTCAAACGCCGCTCGCCACTATGTGACATCCAATTCTGAGCTAGAACCTAGGCGGGCGCTGGTTTTGTCTTGCCATTTGCTGTTACATTGCACGCGGGCCAAGCGGACTTGTACGTGCCATTGACGCCGCGTCCATTTGCCAAATCATCTCCTTGAACTAGTGCCAGTCCCTGTCCTAGCGGAGCACAACCACGTTACCTCTGTATCGCGCTTGGAGACCTCTCGCGGCGTTACGGCGCCGCTGTTCTCGACGGGTGCTATCAGGCCATTTATCCCGCACAGATACGGTCCATCAGACGGCGATACATTGCAGGCCTCTTTGAGGGTAACCGCCCTTGAATCTCGGCTCGCTAAATCGGGCAAGGAGCACGACCCTCCGTCGGCGCGAACGCACGCTTCAAGCTCGTTGATAGATAGTTCAAACAACAGAATTATTATTGCTGACACACTTCATGAGCGATATCCACCACGCGGTCCTATCAGACCGACTCACCAAACGACACATGCCCATTTGCGCTTCTCCAGTCTACTGTCGCTATCAAACAATGCTCACCAACCTCGCAGTTTGAACTCGAAGTCCATCCACCTGTCTTCGCAGTCGTTCGCCCTCTCGCTTGCGCTCCCACAACTGGTATGCCGCCGTTTTCCGCTGGGGAACCCAGCCCCTGCTCCTCTCCTGCTCCAGCGCCCCTAGATCTACCAGTTTCGGTGTGGCGGAATATTCTAACAGCTCCCGATACAACAGCCTCGACTCTGTTGAGAGCGCCTGGAGGCTAGGTTTGCCCTTTGCCCCGCCTTTCTCAGTACTTCCTTCGCGCTCTTGTCCACGAGTATTCGCCTCGGCATCAGCCTTCTTGCGTGGTCCCGCAGAAGCCTGCCTTGCGGCTCGCGCCACACGACCGCGGGGATCGTCGCTGAGCTCTTCTCCACGCCCATCGCTTTCCGCCGTCAGCAGGCTCGGGTCCAGCGGCTCATCTACACCGATAACCCCGCCGTAGCGTGTTCCCGTAACAATTTCGGCTAACGGCGGCAGAGCTTGTATCTCCTTGAGCATCTCTTGTCCTTTGAGATATCCATTTTCCGTTCGTAAGAAGCGCACTGTCCCTCTGAGTGCTTCTATTTGCTCGAGTAAGTGAGATGCTTCGACGTTACCCTCGACTGGCACTGTCAACTCGAACTCCACGTTTTGAGCCGCGCCCGAAGCTGTTAGACCCGGGTTGCCAGAGAGCAAATGGGAAGAGTAACCCGTGGGTCAAACACACAAAGGCCGTCCATGATGGTTGATAATGTCGGCAGCGTGTGATAGCAATTCGTTGTCGGAGGATGATGTGACATAGATTATCGTCAGTACAAAAAGAGAAGCGCATCCGAAGCAAACTCCGCCGCTCTCTCTCCCGAACGTGCAATAGGGGTGGAGAGAGCACGTCACGGCAGCGTGAGGGCTGGAACTCACCCTGGCGCTCCGATGTGTTGAGGCTCTGCTTCAGTCGGCTGTTCTCTTGCTCCATGTTGTCTAGATCCGCCTGGAGCTGCTCCATTGCCTCTTCGTACGCCTTTTCCTGCTTGCGCGCCTTGGAAAGCTGTTCTTCGAGGTCGGCGAGTGCGTCAGCCTGTTTCTTGGACGCCTCCATGCGCCTTTCCATGGTTTGGACTTTGACCACAGTCTCTTTGATGGTTTGGTCCTTTGTTGCCGGTTAGCGCCCCTTCTTCGGACCCGAAACCAGCCGCCACGACATACTCTTGTTTTAATTCCGCGGACGAGCTCTTGCATCTCCTCATTGAGCTGAGTGATCTTCCGTTCCGCATCGACGTTGACTGCAGCCAATGTCTTGATTTCCTCCACCCGAAGAAGCCAGGGAGCGACGCCAGTTACTTGTCCGAAATCATCAGTATAATCGTCTTCAACCACAAGGGCCTGAAACCCTTACTCTTCATGACGCTATCCGAGTCGGTAGCCAATGCTAGGACGTCCGCGGCGTCCCTTTGAAGCTGTGACAAGAGGTCACCTACCGTCTGCCAGGACCCCGTGCCTCCACCCGCTTTGATCTCGCCCGCGGTTGAGCGTACGCTCGTGAGGACCCGAGTCAAGTTGAGCGTGTCCTTCTTCTCCTTGACCTCGATAACATACAGTCGGACGGCTTGCGCGAGCTGAATACCAAACTTGAGCGCCAGCTCCATCAGTCCACTGCCTCCAGTGAGGTGCGATAAACGAGGAATAAATTCGGCCTTGAGCGCAGCCGACTCGTTTGTCAACTCCTCGACGCGCTTGACGAGCTTGCGGGCCACAGTGCGGACGTTACCGCATTGATCTAGAAGCTTTTGCAGTGGATTGACAAGTTCGGTCTCCAGTTCTTCATCACCCATCTCGTTGTCGATATCTGAATGGCGGTCAGCGTATGCTAACACACGTTCTGTCATATAGGCACCATCATCTTTGAAGATTTCCAACAAGCTCGTCTTCGTCCACGCCATAGTTGATGCGAAGAAGTCAACGTCGTGGTCGAGTGCGACAGCGAGATCCAGTTCCCGCTCCCCAAGGTCAAGATTCGTCCCAGTAAGATACAGTTCGGCAAGATGCTCAAACTGGTTCACCATTCTGGGAGAAAGGTGAGGATAGAAATGGTAGCTGATGGTACTCACTTGGTAACGTCCGTGACGCAGTCGAGAGATCCAAATTCATCCTTTTTCAAACGCTCTATGTGGATATCTAGTCTCTTCTCGAGAGGGTTGATATCGGCGTAGATTCGTCCAATGTTGAGGAATGTCTGGGGATCGCATCGTCCGAGCATACTGGCAAAGCGCTTGCACATGACAGACAGGTGAGCGATATGTCCTCTCATCTGCAGATTATTGTTGATTGAGAAGCTAATTAATGTGATGCACGAACCTCGCATATACCAATCAACGCCTCTGTAACTGGTTCGTTGAGGGCCTCGGGAAGGGAGTACTTCTCGGCCGTGATCGAGTTGAGGAGGTCTGCCTTGGATGCCATGCGCTTGAAGAACAGGTAGGTATTGGTGGAATCACTGTCAGATTCGACGTAGACAGGAGGAAGATACGGTTGGATAATGGTGAGCAACTCGTTGGCTTGTCGAGTCCTGAGATTCTGCAGTTCGAGTTCGATCGTCTTGGCTTGACTCTTGGACGCAGAATTTTGCAGAAGGCGATTGAGATTCATCACAGTAGCCGTCTGCGAGGCGGCCAGCGCGGATGCGCTTTGCGCACTCTGATGCTCTGTTCGTAGACTCTCGAGTTCGCTAAGTTGCGTTAGATAACTATGAGATAACTCAGAGTGCAGAGACGTGCCTATCCAGTTGCATGGCATGAGCGCGGAATTGTCCAATCGTCTGTTGATAGTCGAGAATGGTTTCCTCGAGGTCGCCAATCCTTCTGGTAGCTTCTCGAATCTGTGCATCCTTTTGCTCTACAGATGTTTAGCTTGCCCACAGCGTCATTGACCGACATACCGATTTCCTCCTGGAGCATTTTCTCCGTTTCGATATGATTCTCTTCCAACTCGTCGTTTAGTTCTTTAAGTGACTCTAGGTCCTCGATGACTACCCTCATTTCTTCTATTCTCTATGCGGGGTTCAGGAAAGCCTCGGTGGTTTGCCAAACTCACCTCGCCTAGAAGCAAGTTACGCTCGGTCAGTTGGACGAGCATATCTTCAGCGCCCATTGCATCATCGAGTTGCTGCTTGAGGCTATCGATTTGGACATCTGCATTGGCCAGTCGCTGAAGAGTCACATCATAGTCGGCTACAGAACGTGAGTCTGAGTATTCCATTGTGGGTCAAATGCCCACCTTGCATCTCTTCAGAGGCTGCCAATTCCTTCTCTAATTCCGTAATCTTTCGTCGATGATCTTGCTCGGTTTCTTGAGAGATGTCGCGGAGCCTGGAGGTGTGAGTAGGCTCTATGACTAGTGGTAATCGACTCACTTGATCAGTGCATCCTTTAGTCTCTCGTTTTGTCGTTCGAGTTGGATATAGGCAAGCGAAATCTTTCCATCTCCGACTGAATCTGACCCAGACGCGCTGACATTGTTCCGAAGAACGCCTAGCTCGACTTGTGCAACAGCCATCTTTTCCCTCAGCTCGTCTAGCTCGGCCTCTGCAGCTTCTGCACGTTCTTCAGCAAGCTCTTTGTCCAGCATGACCATTTCCAGATGCTCAGAGGCCTCGGCCAATTTGGACTCGGCCAACTTGAGCTCTGCGGCTTGGTCTTGTAGTTCTCGTTTCGCTTGAATACTCTCCTGCTGGAGTTGGCTGAGTTTCGCTTGTAGCTTTGGCTTGAACGCGATGTAACTTTCTGCGTCGTCCAGACGTGTTTTGAGCTTTCTCATTATATCTAGATCATCCTCATGTCGGGCTTCGAGGTAGCGTACTTTGGCGCGCAAGTCCTGGTCCTCTGCGTCCTTATGGGCGACGGGCGAAGAAGGCACAGAGGGCTGCTTTTCTTTTTCTGTGGGTGGATTGGGGATAGGTGGGGGTGGAGGAGTGGGTGTTGCGCGGACAGGGGATGGGATCCCACTTGGTCGATCACCCACGGGGGACTCTAACCGGACAGGAGGAGTCATGGGCTGTGAGGGTGGACGCGCGACAGATATTGAAGCTCGAGAAGAGCCAAGCGCTGTACGTGATATTGGCGGACGAGTCGCGGTAATAGGTGTTTGTGGCTCTGGAGTTTCTGCGATTCTCGGTGGACGGACCGGTGTCCCAACTCCAGAGCTCGAACGCGCCAAAGTCATACTTGTCGGTCTGACGGGTCTGCTTGGTGTCGCTGTCCCGCCCTAATAGTGTAATGATCAGCAAAGGGGGCAATTATGTGTATAAACCACGCACCGTAGACGGCGTCTCGATGGGCTTCACTTGACTGAATTTAACAAAGATGCCGTAATTCGGTTTACAGCTAAAGTATTCTTTGCCGTTGACGGAACCATTATTCTTGCCTCGCGGCTCTGAAAGTTCCATCCCAACCCATATTCCCGGCGCAAAACTAGTGCGACCACAGAATCGAACGATACCTCTGACGGTACTATTTCCTGCTGTGGCATCGGCGACGGTCCCTAGAGGGATCTCTGAATTTGTCGCCATACCGGCCAGCGGTTCGAGCACGTATTGATGTGATTACGCTTATAAATTCACTGTTGAAAATGAGTGAAACGGATTCTTGTTGGCTCTCCGGATTTACGCTCGTCGAGTCGGAGATGGACGAGGTCAAGATTTGGACCGCACCTCTTCAGACATAACGAGCTCACGGAGCACAAAACGATAATTAGCTTGGTCAGTTGATCCTATAGGATCCATATTTCACTATCCATCATGTCGCTGTGGATCCTGCTCATCGTCGAACATCTCGACCCTTGCCAATTGCAGTCCCTGGACTCGATTATTTCGTTGGCAATGATCAATATAACCTGTTTTACATCTAATTTACGCTCAAGAGAAGCCTATCTATTTTTAACATCAATCAGACTTTTTGCTTCATGTCTCCCGCGCGCGGCTCTTGATGAGTATTTGATCGGCGCGCTGTCCAACGCGAGTTTATCCTCGTGCGTTAACAGCTGGAATCAACCTATGGGCAAGACTGGTACGAGTGGCAGCACGAGGTCGCTGGATCGTCCCCTTAGAAGTGGGATGAGGTGGGTGCGACTCAATTTCTCATTTCCGTAAATCAGTAAATATTACTGGTTCTTTATGTTCACGCCTGCGATCGGCGCGAACGCCCCGCCTTGGGATGGGAATTACACAGCAGCGTCGCCAATAGCCTACGGGGTCGCAACGAGGACATCGGATCACGTATCAAGATTGGCGCGAGTGTGAATCTGCAGTGCTGGAGACGCCTGGTCAGATACGTGTCGCTGCGGACAGGATGAAAGTAGCGCCGACAGCCCTAGTTACTATAAAGGCGAGCTTGAGCCGCGCCAGGATACCCCCAAGTCTCTCCCTCTGCAAGGTTTCTTCCTCGTCTATACCAACATTGCCCACCATGACCATCCAATCCACTCGTTACACCACTTCTCCGAGACGCCAGAGGCAAGTAGCTCCGTGGAGTTGCGTTGCCACACAACTAACTCTGTGATTCAGCTCGAGGAACTCTCCATCTCGCTCAATAATCGACCCTTCTTTGCTGGATTCAAAGATTAGAAATGTGAGGACGGACGGATATAGTCAACGAGTCTTCGCTCATGATTCGCCATTGTCTACAGTCTCTTTCTCGTGCATTCAAAACGGGAGTGATTCAACAAACACGATTGCGACGCGTCCCGGGTCCATTCAATGGTCCATGCCCTGGCGCCCCTCGATCGAGTACGCTTGATCTACCGGATGAGGAGATGGAGTACTATTCGATATCAGAGGACTACTACTACTACTCTGAACCCACTCTCGTATGCTGGGGGTCAGAAGTGTAAGTGGACGATGTTAATCAAGTGTACCAATATTTGTACAACTACGCTCTTGACGTGCTCACCTCTCTCACTAAGATTTTTTAGATTTTGAGTGATTTGGTTTGATTTCGGGTCTTGTGGATCGCCATAAGCGGACTGCTGGCATAGACAATTGAATCGGTGCTGGAAGACAAGGCCAACCTCTGAGCCACTTAAGTGTTGACCATCCATCGTTTATCCATCTTGGACCTCTACGATGTTCGTCTCTCTCGTCTTGCAGCCACTTTCGACGTTGCTCGTGTTTGCCGTCGCGTCTGTAGCGGCGCATCCATCTGCAGGCGGTATGCATGCTGTCTCCATCTCCATCTCTCGTCTCTGATGAGCGAAATTCATCCAGATGGGACCGTCCCTCATGTTTATGATCCGGGGTTTTCCAAGCACCCTTCAAGGATGAACATTCCAGGCACTCTTCGAGTACGCCAGGTCAGTAAGAACATCCATCGTACCTCGAGTCTTCGATCCAGTCTCCCTGTTGGCCTGTACCGTCTTCTCGGGCTTTGGCCACCCTCGACCCGACGAGGCTGACTGTTTGTCTGCACATCCACACCGAAACCTCGCGGATAATAGAACACTTGTGATCCTGGATATATCGATGTCTGCCCTCCCTCTGGTGCGTGTTCTTCGGTTTTCAATTGGAGCCTCGACCCGACCAGCTGCCAGTCGGCGGCTAACCGCGGTCTTGGCGCTAGCCTCGACAATTCGCTACTAGTTCGCTGACGCCTTTACAGAGGATGCGTGCTGCCCAGTGGGTTATCCAGTTTGTATGTCTGACTAGCTACACTCTCTCGACATGCTGAACCTTCTCCTGAGGTTGCCCTTCACCGTCGACCGTCTGTATGTCCTTTCACTACTCTTTCGCTTACAATACTAACATTATATCACCAAGGCTGCCGCTCTGGTGCGTTCTGCGCCGGTTTGAAGACGTGCTGCAGGTCCCCACAGACCGCTTGTGGCGAGGGTATGTAAATTCTAATATCATCTCCCATTAATGTTAATCATCTTGCTAGGATGCTGCGATTCTGGGCAAACGTAAGTTTTGTTTTTCCAAGGGAAACAGTTCTAAACGTGGTGCGCGCTTGCTTTGGCAGTTGTTGCAGTACGTTACATTCGACCGACTGTGAGAGCTTGTGTCTAACGATAACTAGACGGCCGTTGCTGCGATACTGGTTACACGTGCTCGGCATCTGGAGCATGTGTGAATAGCTTGGTCCGTACTAATCTATATGGCATGTTACGCCCTCTGATAGCAATCTAGGCCAGTATCAGCTCTCTTTCGGTTATATCCGTCGCCTCTATCTCGTATATCTCCACCCAGTCCTCTCTATCCGCTGCCGCTTCCAGCAGCACCAGCAGCCCACCTGGAGGAACCATTGCCGGCACTACTGGTACCGTAAGCACTTCCTATACCTCACTTGCTTTCGCTCATAGTTTCTTTAGGGAACCCCTGAACCTACGTCAAAGAACAATACGGGTGCTATCGTCGGTGGTGTCGTCGGTGGCGTTGCCGCTATATGTCTCCTCGTCGGCCTCTTGCTCTTCCTCCTCCATAAGCAAAAGAAGCAAAGTGCTGGGACAAGCGAGGTAGCTTCGACGTATACAGCACAACCAATGATGGGCCAGCACCCGCCCAGTAGCCCAGGCTTCCCTGGCAATCCAGGCTCGCCCGTGAACACACCGAGCGCTTATGGGTTTCCCAGTGCTGCACCCACACCTGCTCTCGTCTACAACCAAAACGAGATGTATCCCAACCGCAATACGTAGGCAAAGGAAGAGATTCCCATAGGAAACAAGTGATGAGAGGTCAGGCGGCAAAGTCTCGTCAAGAAATAGGGCTCGTGTATCTGAAATGTAATCGAATTTTAAACCCGTAGATCTGTGGATATTGTGGGGCCAGTGGGCTTCTCATTCTTGATACAGCGTAACCTCCAATGTATCAAGCGAAGAGAATAGCATCATGTCGGGTGTTCAATTGACCAGCTCACTCTGTGGTGAAGTACTTTCCCAGCACTAACGATCAATCACCCAGGCCGAGAGAGAACGAGGATATTCAAAATGTATTTTGCTTTGGGTGATATGTATATATTCAACCCATTTCTCCATCCTGGACGGAAACGAAACAACTCTGCACAACTAGGACACGGCACGGCTCATCTCCGGTCGAGACCTGGATGGCTTTGGTGAATGATCTGATTTCGGGACCTCGTGGATCGCCATAACCGGATTGCTGGCAGGGACAATTGAATCGGTGCTGGAAGCTAAGGCCAACCTCTGCGCCGCTTAACAGCTGCAGATGCCGTCGTTTATCCATCTTAGACCTCAAAAATGCTCCTCTTAATCGTCTTGCAGCTGCTTTCAACTTTGTTCGCCATCGCGCCTGTTGTGGCGCAGGAATCTGCAGGCGGTATGTATGCCATTCTCGTGATTCTTTTCCCCTTTTTTCGCCAATTAACAGAAATCTTCCAGATGGAACGGTTCCTCACGTCTACGACCCAGGGTTCTCCAAGAACTTTGCAGATATGGACGTTCCAGGTACCCTTCGAGTTCGTCGGGTCAGTAAAGCGTCCTCTCCTACATCCAGACTTCTACCCAAAATCCCTCCTCGACATCCCTCTTGATTCGACCGCCTTTGATCCGAAAGCTGACTTTTTGACTGCACACCGACAATTTGCGGGTTATAGGCCATTTGCAATCCTGGATACATTGATACTTGCCCTCCTTCTGGTGCGTGTTGCTCTCCTGGGTGGTTTCAATTGGAGCCTCGGCCGCGGCCGCCACAGTGGCGGGCTCTAGTCTCGGCTCATTGTTGCTGAATCGCTGATTGCATTCACAGAGAATGCGTGTTGTCCAGCAGGTTATCCTGTTTGTATGTGTCACCTGTTCTTCCTGCCGACAAGAGTCCACGCTAAACGTTTCGCCTAGGCTGCCTTTCACCGTCCACCGTCTGTATGTTCTTCCGCTCTTTCGCTCGAAAGAGTTCCAACATAATGTCATATAGGCTGTCGCTCGGGTGCATTCTGCGTCGGTTTACGGACTTGCTGCAGGTCCCCACAAACCGCTTGTGGAGAAGGTCGGTAAATCCTACTATCATCTCTCGTATATTCTAAATCCTCCTGCTAGGATGTTGTAATGCCGGACATACGTAAGCATTTACCTTTCAAAGGAGTTGATTCTCAACATTGTGCGTGCTTGCTTCTGCAGTTGTTGCAGTAAGTTCGGTTTAACAAACTGTGACGACATGTGTCTAATGATGAATAGGCGGTCGTTGTTGTGATACTGGGTACACGTGCTCTGCAGGAAAGTGTGTGAATAGCCTGGTTGGTCCTCGGTCTCCACAGCACTCGCAGTCTCTGATCGCACGCTAGGCCAGTATCAGCTCCGTGTCGGTTCACTCCGTTGCCTCCGTCTCGTATTTATCCGTTCAGTCGTACCTATCCGTTCAGTCGGCCTTGTCGGTTCAATCTTCTTTGTCGGTCCAATCTGTCCAGGCGTCTTTGGCCGCTCAATCATCCTTGTCCGTTCTATCCGTCCAGTCATCTTTATCCGTTCAATCCACCTTATCTCCTCAGTCGTCGCCACCTGCTGTGACTCCCACCAGTACCACAAGCAGCATGAATGGCGGAACAATCGCCGGCGCCACTGCCACAGTAGGCTCTCCGTACATCTAAACTATTGTCGCTAATGGACTCCGTAGGCAGCTCCCGAACCACAGGCAAAGAACAACACCGGTGCCATCGTCGGGGGCGTCGTGGGTGGGATCGCTGCTATATGTCTCCTCATCGGATTCATAGCGGTGCTTCTTTACAAGCAAAGGAAGCAGAGTTCTGGCACGAGCGAAGTAGCCTCGACATATAGGGCACAAGTCAATAGCCCGGGCATCCCTGGATCACCCGGAAGCGTACCGAGTGGCTACGGGTACCCGAACACTAGTGCACCCATACCTGCTCTCGTCTACAACCAAAATGAACTGTACCCAAACCATCTGCACGAGAAGAATACGTAGCAACGCGATGAGGAGAATGATCAAAATGAAAGATTCAAAGATGAAATGGTTAGGGTTATTGTCCAGAAAATTTTGCTTATCTTCGATAATAAAGACATGTATCTCAAATGTGAACAAACCTTTTGGACTCTACGAACCTGTAAACGAATAAACACGGGGTAGCCAGCCACTTATCATCGATAATTAGGACTGCGTGTATGGCCACTTGTTGATATGGTTCTGTTGCGGAATTATATTGTGTATTGAGAGTAAGTCGAGAGTCGATTATCGATCGAGGCCGGGGCGAGTACTTTGTCGACTTACATCTGAGTCTATCTTGAAATCAGTGATTTGGAATATTCCTTACCTATGGGTGGATTCCGGGCTTGTCTGGATCGCCACAGCCAAAATGCTGGCATGCACAGAAATCGGGACGGGAAGAAATATAAGCCCAAAGTCAAGCCACTTTGTCGGTCGATTCTTTATCACCTCAGATCTGAAACATGATCCTCTTACTTGCATCTCGGTTACTCTTGTTCTCGCTCGTCCTCTCTATTGCTTCCGTTGGAGCCCATCCATCTCCAGGCGGTAGGTATTGTATTGAAGGAAAGATTTATCTGTAATATTTTGAAACAGAGGGTACCCTTCCACTCCTCCATGGAGTAGGGATCACCAAACACCCAGCTAGGAAGGGCGTCCCAGCCACCCTCCAACCACGTGCGGTCAGTGGGAGCTCGACTTCGGTTCATTAGTTCATTATCCTTCATTATCTATTCTTTTTGTTCGCTTCTTTGCCTTGTCGGATCTCTCTGCTCTTTCTACCTCGATAGAAACGGCTGACCATTTGTCCGCTCCTTTCGGATACCGCAACCCTTCATATACAGCCCACTTGTGACATTGGATATATCGCTACTTGTCCCCCGACTGGTGCGTACAATTTCCAGAGTTGTGGCAGCGAAAAAGGCTGCGTCCCCAGTGCTATCACTAACGTATTTATATTACTACAGAGGACGGCTGCTGTCCAGAAGCTTATCCTATTTGTACGTATAATCAACGACTTTTTACAATCATAAGCACTAATTGCTCGATTCAGGTTGCCCCAGTCCTTCTACTGTCTGTGCGTCTCTCAGCGCTATAAATCTCGTATGAAAGACTCGCCTGATGTCGTTTAGGCTGTCGCACAGGCGAATTTTGCGTCGGCTTGCACACGTGCTGCAAGGATTCGCAGACGGCTTGTGGCGAAGGTCTGTAATCGCTAATCTCATTTTTGACTTCGACTTACCGCTATTTCGAGGCTGCTGTGACTCTGGACAAACGTGAGCCATCGTAAAGCCCTTGCCTGAATCGTTTCTAACATCGTTTATCCCCTTTCCGATAGCTGTTGCGGTGAGTCGCGTTTTCCCACCCGCGTGTATCGTATCTCATAGCGAGTAGATGGCTTGTGCTGCGATGTTGGTTACACATGCTCGCTATCTGGGCAATGTGTGATTACGGTTGGGACTCCTTTCTGTGATCCCTGAGCTCGCTCATTACAATGTAGACTCCCACCACTCCCACTCCCACTCCCACTCCCGTTCTGAATCCTGACCCGATCATTGATCCACCCCACCCGGTTTCGCCTGGTCACGGAAGTACGCCAGTTCGGCCCGCTCCTACATCTTCGAGTACAGGCACTGATCCAGTAAGCTCTGTATCCGTTCAAAGTATCACCATTGATGATTATTGCAGCGTCCTCCTAAGTGGAAGATCGGTGCCATTGCTGGAGGTAGTGTAGGTGGTTTCCTTCTTCTCCTCGTCATCTCCTATTTCTGTTGCCCTTGTTGTTGAAAGAACCAAAGAGATTGGCATCGGGAGGGGTGCCAATGTAAGAGTCCCAAATGAGATGCACTGTAGATAATTAATCAGGCAGGGCGCTTGACCACCAAGTCAGACTCGTTGCTTGGCGCATGCTATGTACACAATTATCACGACTTTACTTGTCCAATCAGACCCTTTAGCTAGATGCTTCAGCTTCGGCCCGTATACATCGCCATGCCCGAAGCGCTCTCACGAACAGTGTCCCTTTTGGGCTGGATGAAAAAAGACCCAAAATCCTCCGAGTTCACCTTGCCGCCGACCTTGTCCGTCGTTTGCCATCGTCGAGCTCAACGATGCGCCTCTCTTTTCTCTCTCAGTCTCTATCGACGGTCCTCGTCCTCGCCGTTGCCTCTATTGCGGCGCATCCATCCGCGGACGGCAGATACCCCATCCCCGACACGCTCCGCGAAGCTCCTCCAGCGCTGATGGCTGAATCTCTTCCAGAGGGAACATCCCCACTTGTCTATGGACTCGGCATCTCCAAAACGCTGGCCAGAATGGTCGCTTCAGGCACTCTCCAAGCTCGTGCGGTTAGTAGGAGCTCAATTTTACCCCTCGTTTACTTCTCGTCGCGTTTTCTTCTCCTCCGTTAGCCTCACCGTCCATCCCGCCTTGTCCGCGCTTTAACCGCCTTGTCCGCCGTGCAACCTGAATGCTGACCGTTTGCCTCTTCTCGTTGGTATCCCTGGATCCTTGCATATAGCCCACTTGCAGTTCTGGATACGTTCCTACTTGCCCCCCAGATGGTGCGTCTGCTTCCTCGGGCACTTTCGACGAACCGGCGCTAACTCGCCCGTGGTTCTATAGAGGACAACTGCTGCCCAGAGGCCTATCCAGTCTGTATGTATTCTATCCATCTACAGCGATAAGACATTGTGCCTAATGTTTTGCCTAGGTTGCCCCAATCCGGCCACTGTCTGTGCGTTTTTCCAGTGCCACGGGTTGCACGCGGGAGTGCTCATTTGATGTCGCTTAGGCTGCCGTACGGGCTCGTTCTGTGTCGGGTTGCGCACTTGCTGCACAGCCTCGCAAACGGCTTGCGGCGAAGGTCCGTGAGCCCCATGCCGTCCCCTTGATTTGGTCTGACCCCGCCATCTTCCCTTTAGGATGCTGTGATTCTGGAAGAACGTGAGTCTTCGTGGTTCGATTAGAATCATTTCTAAACCTTGTGCCTCGTTCCTTCTCGGCAGTTGTTGCAGTAAGTGCCATTCATCGACCGGCAAATATTGGTTATCTAATCGCGACTAGATGGTACTTGCTGCGATTCTGGTTATACATGCTCAGCATCTGGAGCATGCGTTGCTTCTGTCAGTAGTTTACATTTCCGACCTCGAACACTCACTCATCCTGACCAGGGCGGCGGCGCATCGTCGAGTACTGGCGTCACAACTTCTACGCGTCCAGTGTCATCAGCCACGTCCACTCAAGGCGGAGGAGGTGGTGGTGGTATTGGTGGCGGGAACAGTTCAAGCAGCTCAAGGTCAAGCACTGGTACTGGCACCGTTGCCGGTTCTACGGTACGTTCATAAGCCAATTCAAGATTCCACCTCTAATGGTCGTTGTAGAACTCTTCAACTCCTGAACCTGAATCAAAGAACAATACCGGTGCCATCGTCGGTGGTGTCGTTGGTGGAGTCGCCGCTGTGATCATTCTGGTCGGTGTCTTGCTCTTCCTCCTCCACAAGCAAAAGAAGAAGAAGCAAGGCAATGGTGCGAGCGAGGTTGCTTCAAACTATACCCAACAGCCAATGATGGGCCAGCACTCGCCCTACAGTCCAGGCTTTGCAGGCGCCGGAGCAGCAGGTGTTGGTGCAGGTGCCATGGCTGCAGGTGCTCCAGGTACCCCAGGACCCCAAGGCAGCTATTACGGCGCGGGTGGCCCTAACTCTGGCGCACCTACACCCGCACTCGTGTACAACCAAGGCGAGCAGTACCCGAACAACTCGTTCCAGCAAAACTATGCGCAACAGAACAACGCGTACGGAGGTGGTGTCGATCAATACGGTCGTCCGCTTAGCGCAGCGAGTGGAGGTGCGCCTGCTGCACCTCTGCCAATGTGGGTCCAACGTCCGAGCAACGCTACTCCTGCGTCAACGGCTCCAAGTGGGTTCCCCGATCATCAAGGATATGCTCCTCCACCAGGAGCACCCCAGCAGCCATACTATGGCGGAGGAGCGCCCCATGGCAACTATTAATCTAAGGAGCGAATACGATCCAGCAGCGCGGAAGGTGATGCTGCGTACAATATGCACTTCTTGGTACTATAGCTGTCCTCGGTATGCGTTCACGGACGCTAGTTAACGTTATCATTGTTTCTTTTTTTTGCTGGCTCATGCAAGGTGTATTTACTGGCGCACGGCCCCGTACTCTTGGAATTGAGTATTTTTTGCCAGCAACATCACCCAGACTAAAGCGATTCAAGTTGAGGCCCTCAGAAAGTGCGGTCTGGAAGATATGAGCCATTGTACCGACAGTGGACGCCAGCATGTCTCCTGAATCGCTCCAACTAAAACGATGATTCATGAAATTTAACACGTATACCCTATATTTATATCATCGGTAGTGTGATATTTTGATGAGCGAGCAGTGTAGTCCCTCGCTCCTTCATGGTATACATGCGACCCTTATCAACAAAAGGGGGGTGGTGGGTTATGCGTTCTACTCCCAGTGAGGGAAGTGTAGACTCCTCGTCGCGTCACCATCAAAAGAAAAAGCTCTGATTCGGTGCAGTCGCCAGTCCTCTCGCAATCTCTAGCTCAAAGATGACATATTCTTCAAACGTCAGCCAATTTGTATCGATATACCGGATCCCATGGCTCTTCAACCACCGATAGCGACACGCGACATCCTCTTTATCACCAAAATAGTACAAAGCCATGCTCCATGGTAGATCAAAGGAGACTGTGTTGATAGTTTCGCAGCGTATGATGTCGTCTATAGGAGCCCCTGCGTGCTGTGTCAGGGATGGATGGAAGAGACGACAGTATTCACAGTTTGAACGCTCCTCGTTCGATTTAAACCCCAAATTGAGTCGAAAGTGAGTAATTGGGTGTGTTGGTGGCGGGAACGACCAAAGAGTGTCGCATGGGAGTTGAAGTGACGTGATGTATGGACAGAGTGACCAGATAGGAGTAGAAAGCGTGTAATTGACGCGTTCAATGACGCTCCAAAACAAAGTGAAGAGTTGATTGCCTCCCGTTTGGAGCCAGTCGACGAAAAGGCCACATCCGACAGACTCGGCTCCATTAATCAAAATAACGGAGAGATGTCTGAGATTTGGCATCAAAGGTATGCAGGATATACGCGAAGCGTCCAGCGCGAGTCGGAGTGTAGACAAGCTCTGAACGCACAGAATATCCGACACCAGCAGACCTCTGTAAAACCGTAAATCTGAAGAGGGTTGCTGCTCAATTATAGAATTTATGGGAGCCGCCCTTGGTCGGATGTATACGCGCACACGCGATCTAGAGGCAAGAAGCGTCAGGAAAGCGTTTTCGCGGAGCCAATACCCATCAATCTTCAGAATCTTCACCCGCCATGGCTGGTTATAGGGTGGGTCAGAGCCAGATATCTGTTGGATAAGGCTCAGCTTCTCCTGTGGATCATTTACGCACTCTAGGCACTTGCACATCAGTATGTGAATTCTATATGCGAGCGGTAGAGCCGTAATGGGGGCACGGTTGTGGATTACATCGTCAAGATTAACTAGGCGGTGCGCAAAGCGTTGGAGATATACATCCCAGGTCGAGCATACGCGTCGCAGATTGTTCCTCGTACGTTCAGACTCCCAGTACGCCGACGTATTCTCATAGTTAGGAAGGGAGGCAAGGCCGTATGACGTTACAGGATCTGTATCGAAGAAGAGAGGGACAAAGATGGCGTGTCGGAGAATTTTTTGCCATAGTTCTGGAGGAATTTGAATGTGCTCGGTTCGTCTGGATAATGACTGAGAGGACATGATGGGAGTGGGCAAGTCTCAGTCGCCACCAGACACCACATGCAATTAATTTGTGGGCAACGTAATGGGGCGAAAGCGATACAATTAACCGTCAAGGCCTAGATGCTATGACATACGTGTCCGTTTAATTTACAAGAACAAATAGCAAGAACTGTCGGGAGGTCAGCGCCTGCCTTTGCTAGAAGACGACGACGTACCATGACAATAATGGCACCAAAGACCTTGATCATGAGCCACCTGTTGCTCGAGATGCTCGCATAGTACTTTAACAACTCTCGTTGAGCGCCCGAGATGTTGTCGGCAATATCTGTCGTGTCGGCGTCGATTCGCTGAACCGTTTCTCGCTGTTCGGCGACCATGTGAGCCAGTTGACCAAAGATGGAGCCCAGCTCAGTGATCGTAGCCTCGATGGACTCTATAGCGGTGGAACGCGATTGAATGTAATCTTGCTGGAGGGCTGTGAGCTGTGCACCGGGGCCAATCAAAGGAACCAGGCATACCTGATTATCCATATACTGAAGTTCCTGAAGACCACCCGTAGCGTGTCCCTCCTCTGCAGAAACCATATCCAGCGCAAGAAGGTCGCTATCCTGCGTTCGAGCTTTGCCCTTGGTACCCAGATTGTACCGTGTATCCTCATTACGTGGCTTATTGAACAGTAGTGAATCTGGGAGTCGTCAGCACCGCGTAATTAGGCTCAGGATGGGTCCGCACTAGTAGGTGGGGGTTGTATGGCCGCTGACGAAGTCGAATGTACAAACTGCTCTGTGCGATCCTTGGTCTCTTTCATATTCTAGTGTATTGTTTCAGCACGCGTTCCGAGAATGCGATGCGCCCTCATTCACAGACCTGTGTACGGAGCTCCAGCACATCTTTAAAAGTCATACTGGTCGACATGAGCTTGCTCTGCAATAGAGTGACGACGTTGGCGTTATGTTCTTCGACTTGCTTGCCTGCCGACGTCTTCCCCGCTTGTTGCGCCTTGACATGGGCTTGGAGATTGGCGAGCTGTTTATTGATATTGGCAATATCTTGCTTTATAATAAATGTAAGCTCCTAGTGATAACTGTTAGCGGGCTCGAACGACCGTTTGGGGAGGGAACCGACTGAAATTTCAACTGGTCGGTCGTCGAACAGCGTCTTTCGCTTTGCGACTGAGCCCACAGATTAGCTATATGGTTATATACATGCAATGGGCGTACGCTGCGCGAGCTTTTGCAGCTTGAGCGTCGTGCTGCTAATATCTTTGCCAACCGCCATGGCCATTCTCGAAAATTCGCTCTTTGCACCTGCCTTGGGCTTCGCGTGTCCATTAGCGGGTTGGAGTAGCCTGTCTTTTGTGCCACCGCGAGAGGGATACGAGGAGCGGCTGCGGATAGAATCCACACAGGCCTTGAACTCGTTTGTCCTGTCTTGGACTGGCATTTTTGACGTCGGATGAGACTCTAGAGGATTTTGTTGAATTTATAGAATAAAATTTGCGGCCAAAAGAGCGGTAGGGGTCGGTGAGGGTGCAGTCCAAGTTGTTTATTCGTTGCTTGTCCTCCTACGTGGACCCGCCAATGCAGCAGAATGTCGCTGCAGCGGGTTCCAATCATATTGCCCGTGTTCAGTTTCCGGAAGAATTACCAGCTGCAGATATCCAGCGGCCACCGTCCGCCAGACCGATCCCCCGCGTCGGCAGTCAGAACAAAGTGCCGACGATGAGCATGCCCGTGAGCCGACATACAGGGAGTATGGGTTCTGGAGAAGATCTAGGACGCACACGGACGCCTTCTTTCAACAGCCCACACCGTTCAGAGCTCGGGCTAGGCTATCCGAGCGCGGCCATCAACCCGTCGAGGAGACGGAGCTCAGCCCAGCAGGTTCATCGTAAAAAGGACTCTACAGAGATTTACGACGCGTCGAGATATGACCTAGACGACGCAGCCGAACAATACCGGAACCCAAACGAAGGTAATGCACAAAGGCTCGTGATTCATGCAATCCTTGTGCTTACGCTCTCTTCGCAGGTATTGAATAATTGTCACAGTCTACACGCGAGTGCTTATGCTGCATCTCAGTCTCGGCGGCAGACCAGGAACGTTTGAACAGAATAGCCCTTCGAAAGCGACGAAGAAAGGAATCACATAAGAGTGTCGAAAGGACCGCTTTTGCTGGCCATGGACATCCTAGCTCGCCACCGCGAGACCAGCCGCCAAATATACTCACCAGTCCGCCTTTGCGCGCGCTTCGAGCTGGGCTGAGCCCCCAAGATTCGGCAGGACCCAGCTCGGATGTCACGGCACTCGATCCACCGAGTCTGGATATCACCAGTCCCCAGAGTACTACTCTTCGCTCCGACTCGCCAGCTTCCTCTTTAGGCCAGGGTCCTCTAAATGGCACTCGTCATAGCGATCAGTCTCATGAAGAAAAGTTGATGGACTTTTTGAAAGGCGGAAGAAATAAGAACAAGATTGTTTTGACAGAGGAACAACGGCAATTCGAGGAGCTCAGGATGGAAGGTTTGTCTTTTGATGTCCACAATCAATGCTGGAGCTGAAACAGCGCAGAAAATATCGCTCGCTATAGGGAGACTGCCAAGCCTGGAACCTGGGAGAGGACTCGGACCGCTGCTGACCAGCTACAACGTCGTTATGCTCTGATATATCCGTCGCTCGAGCCAGGCTCGAAGCCGTTTAACCTCATGGACGTGATGCGCTGGAGACGGAATCAATTTGAGGAGAGTCTCAATCTTCAGCTCCCCCAACAAGCTCGAGACCGCGAGCATGAGGAGATCGAGAGACGAGCCCTGTCTTGGAGACCTCATCTCTCGGAGCTACACAACCCCCGGGGCACGCGCTATAGGAGCAGGATATACGCTCCGTGGCATCTAACGGCGTTGATAATGGAACAATATCAGGAGTCTCTGAAGCCACGCGAACCACCTATGGATGGTACCTCTCCCACAAGCTCACCAGGTGGAGGATCTGGCTCTGGTCGTGATAAGCATCTTCTAGCTCCTGGCGAACAACCTCGCGACGGTTCATTTGAATACGACTCGAATCAAAGCGGCGGCGATCCGCTCGTATCGAGGAGCTTCAACAGCCTTCGCCGCCTCCGAAACTCGCTCTCTGGTGTATCCAAGTCGGTGGACCTATCGATGAAACGGTCAAATCATCAAACCAAGGGGAGCATCTCAAGCTTGAACTTGTTTGCAACCTCGGGTTCCCCTTCTACCAGCCGCGCGCATGTAAACCGATTCATGGCATTCACGCCGTCGAAATCACTGGGAGAACACAGCGACGAGGGTTACGATTCTGCACGTGGTTCATTTTCCACCCCGGAAAAGAGTGGAGTCGCGCCTTCTCGTGGTAGCCGACGCGAGAAGGTGGCCCTATTATCAACACCGGAGAGGGACCATCTAGCACTTCATTCTTCGGAGGAAGATCGAAGCCAGAGGTCTTCGGATGAAGGAAAGGCGGACCGAAAGGGCAAGCTCAGGATACCCTATATTCCACAAATTGGCCGTCCCTTGCTCGGACGCGATGACACTGTTCTGCCTCCGGGATCAGCACCAGTCATACTCAGAAACGATGAGAGAGCCTGGGATCAGGAGCTTGAAAACATGTCTACCACCCCCGATCCTGGGATCCGTACTCGATTGTACAGCCGACCTCGTGGATTTTCACGAAGTCAAGAGGCAAGAGCGGAACGAAGGAGGAGTCGAGACGAGAAAGAGATGGAAGCCGAATATGAGAATCGAGAAGAGTAAGTATAGAGCTTTGACTGGTCCTCACCTTGACCTTTGGATTTAGGGAGTGCGATCAACTCGAAGATCTCATCAAGAAAATGAATCAAGAGCAATATCAACTTCTTCAGACTGGTCGAGAGTACCTTCGGCAATCAGCACGCATAAAGGAGATGTTCGGACTCAAAGATTTTAGACTCCTGATGGAGGAGGACATGAGAACGCTAGCAAATCCAACCACCAGATCACAAACCCGTTTGGAAGCTGAAGCGAGGGAGGAGGACTTTGTCCCGAGTATGCTGCGGTCAGAAAGAGAGGCCGAACGGCTCTATGAGCAAATCATTCACGGAGCATTTGCGCCACCACCAGGGCTCAGAGCATATTTCCCCAACGACGACGATCTCCGGTCAGACTTTAAGCGGCTCGAGACCATTGGGTGGGATTTGGATTACGTCTCTCGTGTTGCAATGAAGAACAGGGACAAGAGTCTTCAGTTTGAAGGCGCTCTCGCCTCCCTTCGAGCGTCGTTGGGCAGAGCAGTCTCGCACTCGTCCCAAGTGTATCGGGAGGTGCGTGTCTTACAATTATACGTAGTGGTATGATCTAATCGTGACGCAGATTCTGGCATTGGAGACTCTTGTCGCGGCCTCTCGGCCGGTTCCGACTTGGAAACGGATCAGCAATCGCGTCAAACCTCTGCTCTCCTGGGCCATTGCCGCGCTGACGTGGGTCCTTTGGTTTCTAGGCGAGCTCGGTTTTGTGATCGGACTGTTGCTACCTCGCTTCCTCAAAGACTTGTTCGGCTGGGAAATGCTCCAAGGTTCCTGGCCTGGATTCGTGTTTCTTCTACACTTGCCATTCCTTCAATATCTTCGTAGGACTATTGGGCTCTCCTGGTCCTTTGAAGAGGATGCTTGGAATCGGGGGTGGTTGTGGGGAGCGCTACTACAAATTCTGCTCATCTACATCACCTACCGGTTGTATGTGATGATCAAATGGTACACACAAGAGCTTCGGCACCATGTTCTGACAGACTGGTTCGAAGTACGTAGCCAGCCCGTGGATTCTTGGAGACAATGGTTAGAGCGTCGGGCATATGGATTCCTGCTTTTATGTGGACCTTTCTTGCTGTGGATCGTGATCTATCTAGTGACTCGTATCATCTTGTAGCCTTATCTACCTTTACTTGTAGCATGTGTTCTCCGGCCGTTCATAGACTTTACTTGGCGCTCGAAGGAACATGTGGTGCGTCGGCACTTGCTCTCCTCCACCACAATGGCGAAGCACACATTCCTGGGATTCCTGCTGCTTCTCATCTTTGGGGTGATCATCGTGAAAGCAGCTGAGACCCCGGCCGGTTGCACAAACTATGGTCCGCACTCACTTCTTTTTTGGTGGAGGTCGCGAAGTACTGATTCTCGGACCGGATAGCATGCGAATACTGTGACGATTTGGCTGCTAGTTGTCAAGATACTCCTTCAGCAACTCAGAATGGAACAGAATGCCTGTTCGTAGTTGGTTATTTGGCCCCTCCGGCGGTACTGACGAGCCGGTAGCTGCACGGAGCGCTTTCGAGTCAACTTGGACCGATGTATAAGAGGATATACGTGTGCATGGGATGGTGTTTCAACGGGTGGATCCTGCACAGATGTCTATTGTCCCGGTTCTGGCATGGACGCATTTGTTGCACAGTGCGGACTAGGGTCAATCCCAAGTGGCGTCAATAGCAATACAATGGCTCCCAGTAGCATCAGTCCGACTCCGCGACCGCAAACGGTCACTCTCAATTCGTCGATCACCACCAGCTCGACGCAGACTGCAAACTCGAGTACGTACTATTAAATGAAAATACCCCAGTTTCTTATACGCTGGTAATAGCCACGATTACCGGGACAGGCACGAGCAGTCCGAATACAGGGGGAGCCTCGTCGCTCCGTTACAAACAGTGGATTGCGTTCACAGTAGTGTTGGGGATCACGGCAATAGTTTACTGAGAAACTAAAGTATCTGGTTGACGCAGTGCGTGACCCTCGACTTCTGTGACTGGCGGATGTGTTATACAGAGTCTATGTGTATGTTTCTCGAGTGTTTCTGTCATCCCACGTGAGAGAAAGTGTTACCGTCGAATTCTCACCAGATGGCTCACGAATCGCCTCTGGTTCATTCGATGGGACGGTGCGATTATGGGAAGGAACCACCGGTCAGCCATTGGGGCTTCCGCCTAGAGCCCATGAAGAGGTCGTCTTGTCTGTCGGGTTCTCGCCGAACGGTTCATGAATCGCTTCTGGCTCTTCTGAAAAGACAATTCGCCTGTGGGAGGCAGATACGGGTCAACCATTGGGAGAGCCGCTCCTGGGTCACGCAGGCTCCGTGAGAGCTGTGGGATTCTCACCAGACGGCTCACGACTTGTCTCTGGCTCATTCGACATGACAATTCGATTATGGCTGGTACATACCTGTCAGTCACTCGGAGAGCCTCTCCGAGGTCATAAAGGATTGGGTGAAAGCCGTCGGATTCTCGCCAGACGGTTCACAGATCGTCTCTGGCTCAAGTGACAATACAATCCGACTGTGGAATGCAGACACCAGGCAGCCGCTGGGAGAGCCACTCCGTGGTCACGCAGGTTGGGTCAATGCTGTCGTATTGTCGCCAGACGGCTCACGAGTCGTCTCTGGCTCGGACGACAAGATGATCTAGCTGTGGGATATAGAGAGTGGTTAGTTTTAGTTTCGATTATGGGTGGCAACCTAACGAGTGATATTAGATGCAAGTAACAATACCTCTGATAAAAAAGACAAGGAGCAATCAACCTCGGGTTCCGGGGACGAGTGTTCGGGTGCTCCACTACAGTTCAGTGTACCTGAATTCAATCAATGCTTACTTTTGGAAGATGGCTGGGTGCAATCTTCCGGCAAATTTTTGTTTTGGGTAACCGCAGACAATCGACATGGTCTCCAATATCCACGTCCTCTCATGACCATACCAACAACAAGTCCATTGCGTCCGACCAGACTTGATTTTTCCCGTTTTCAATGTGGGGTCTCTTGGACAAACGCTCGAACGGATCACTAAATCGGTTACTATTGATATCGACCATGTTGAGACGGATCATTGCCTTGAATGAATCTCTTACATATTCTCCCAAAAGTTTGATCCCCCTGAGTGAACTATGGCCAATTACGGGTGGTCGAGCGGAGTTTCAACTGTTGTTGGTTTCGACCACGCGCGAACTCGACGACTCGCAGTACTCAGCGATGCCTCTAACCACCCTAAATCTTGAAAACTCGTCCAATGACGCGTCTGTGAGACGTGCGTTGACCAGTCTCTCGGCCACTGTCTTCAAGAGCCGCCGCATCGTTGTTGTCACTGGCGCCGGCATCTCTTGCTCATGTGGAATTCCAGTATGTGGATTTTCATGTTCTTTAAACGCGGCTAACGCGTCGAATTCGCGCTCTAGGACTTTCGTTCCTCTGACGGACTCTACAACCTCGTGAAACAACAATACCCAGACGTCGTGCTCAAAGGTCGCGACCTTTTCGACGCGTCACTCTTCAGGGACAAGACATCTACCGCTGTATTTTACACATTCATCTCTGGTCTCAAAGCCGCCATCGACAAGGCTGAACCCTCGCCCACGCACCACTTCTTGACGACGCTCGATAAAAAAGGCAAACTCCTCCGGTCTTACACGCAGAATATCGATGGTCTCGAGGAACGTTCCGGACTCGTAGGCACAGGTTCTCCATCGAGTGCTGAGGCTGGACCGTCAAAGGGCCCAAAACCAAAAATTGGCAAAGACGTTAAGAACATTCAATTACACGGAGATATTCACCGTGTAAGGTGTACTGCCTGCAGTGCTTCATACCCTTGCTCAGAAGAGCACATGGAGGCCTTCCAAAAAGGCACCTCGCCCGAATGTCCAGAATGCAAACAACGATGTGAGTCATCTCTACGATTGCCTTGTCAATTTACTCACGTGTGCTAGGCGACGATCGTGTAGCGCGTTCCGCCCGCCCTTTGCGAGTCGGTCATCTTCGACCTGCCATTGTTCTCTACGACGAAGCGCATCCTCTTGGGGATGACATTGCAACAATTCAGACTACCGACTTGGGCAAGCGACCGGACCTCTTGATCATTATGGGCACCTCGCTCAAAGTTCACGGTCTAAAGAAGCTTGTCAAAGAGTTTGCCAAGACGGTCAAGCAAGGAAGTACCACATCGACAGCGACTCCCAAAGTCATCTTTGTCAACAAGACTGCGCCTGCGGCAGAGTGGTCGAACATCATCGATACGCACGTCGAAGGTACCACGGACGAGTGGGTCGAGCGTGTTACATCAGACTGGAAGCACTCACGGCCAGCCGATTGGGAATCGCAGCTGACGCTTCGCGAGATCGTAACCGCCAAAGCCGACAAAGCCTCATCCTCAAAGGTGGCCTCCGACATCAAACTGGCGAAACCTAGAGCGAAAGGTATGCTACTTCGCTCTTATTGTGGACATTGTGCTAACTTCTATCAGTCACCAAGCGTGCAGGTTCCAATGAGGAGAATATTGCGCCACCTCCCAAGGCTAGCAAAACTACAGTGCCCCCACCTCAGGAAACGACCGTTGAAAAGAAAACCGAGTCGTCAAAGAAGTCTACAAAGGTTGTCGACAAGCCCGCTGCGATCAAAGATGCGGTTTCGACTCGTATTTTTGCCTCTGCCACGAGCGTCAAAAACAAGACCAAAAAACCGACAAAATCTAGCACGTCGGCGGAAAAGGAGGATGTCCTGCCTGCTTCGACGAAAGGAAAAGAAGTGGTCAAGCGCGCATCGACGCCTCCGCCTCGTGCGTCCCGTCCATCCGACCCACCGCTTTCCCCGAGCAAGCGGCAGAACGTTGAATGCCATTACAGTGCCTCTGACGAGGAACCGTCTCACCCACGAAAGCGACAGCGAAGCATGGACGGCCTGGGCGAGAATTCTCTGCGAAGCCTTTTTGATCCAAACGAGCTTTCCGCCTGCTAGAACTTGCCTCGAACGACTTGTTGTTTGTGACCTTTGTGCGATTCCTAAGATGACTGTTCTTATTTGTACACTATCAATACAAGAGCTTTGCATACACAATAAAAAGAATTAGCGGCGATCATTGAACCAATGTGCCGACGAGCCAGCTTCGCGCGTAACTTCCGAGACGCCGGACGAGATATACGAAGACGGAGGTGGTGGTGGTTGGACTTGAATGGTACCAGAGGATGAGAGGCTATCTACCCTCTGGTTGACGTTCTGTAGGTCCAGCTCTGTCATACGGACTATATCCCTCAAATGGTGGTCAAGTTCGTCAACCTTTTTGACAACCGTACGCAACTCTTCAATCGTCGCAAAGGATTTGTCGTTGCCCTCTTTCCAAACGCGATCAACTGTCTTGCTTAGTCGCTCGATCCGCCGTTGCTGCCCCTCTATCTTATTATTCTGCTCCTCTATTTGCCTTTGTTGGGCGTCAATCTGTTGCTGCTGTCTCTTGATCGTTTGCCGGTCTTGTTTTCGCTGCGACTCGAGGTCTTGCAATTGCTCCTCGAGGGAGGGTCGAGTAGCGACATTTGAACGCGGTATACCTCGTGGTATTGATATGAAGGAACTTCTAAATGGTAAAGGAGACGCCTGTACAGGTGGTTGGACATGGCTTTCCATGTCTGTCGTCTCATCCATGAGCACCGAGGGTGTCTCCGGAACCCGCGCACGACCTCGCGTTCTCAAAGCTACACTGTGTTGTTCCGATGTTGATTCGTATGTAAGAGCAGGCGAGGCTCGCACCCTGCGAGGCCGAACCATCGTCGTTTGACTAGTAGACGGAAGCGACGGCATCGAAGGCGGCATCAATAGTTCTTCAGAACCAGAGCTAATGTCCTCCTTCTTCCTGAACTTTGCATGAGACCTCCCGATCTCCGAGGACGCCTTGCGTTTGCGGATCATGGTCGACGATTGACTGTATTCTTGTTCTTCTCTTTTGATGACTCTGGCCTCAATTGGACCCTTGCTAGACGACCCCGGAACGATCTCTGGTGATGGCTAACCCGGAAATAAGGCAGTGTGCAGACAAGCGCTGATGCGTACGTACCTCGCGCATATGCAGATCGTCGTCATACCAGCCCAAGAAGATGATACCTGGTGTCAGACTGGCTTGTGGTTGGTAAAGAGAGGCTAGCGACGGGAGCCAATCCCGCCAATCATCTTCGAAAGAAACGTCGTGATCGGAAATGTGTCGCTTTTTGTTCAACTCCTGGTGAATCTCATGCCATTTATTGGACTTCATCATGCTATTCGCGAGTTTCACGACCTTGGAGCCTTGAATCTCTTGATAGTCTTCCACGTATTCGAAAACACTTGCGCAATGCCTGCCAAACTTCCCCAATATGTGTCGAAAGCATTGGTTTCGATGACAGGGTTCGCATGTCTTAGAAGTCTTAGTCATGCAGTTGCCGCCTATGAGAGACTCACGATGCCCTCATCCATTAACAGGCCGTGCGATTCTCTTTTACCCGAGGTCCCAGAGTCCTGAAGTCCGCACTAAAATAGGGGAAAAGTCAGATTGGCCTACCTCGTGATTATCTACTGACTTTTCTTGTACGGTCGAAGCCACTTGGACTCAGGGCTCTCCTCGATGCGTGAAGGAAACATGCAAGTCGAAAGTACGGTACGTATTTATCAGAGCTCCAAGTGCTAGATACGTGTCGTTAGCATGTACGCACGGGAAATCTGAAATAATGGACTTTACATTGAAATAGAGCGGTGTTTCCTTATTTCGCCGGTTTCCGCAGAGGTAAGAATGTGGACGACTTCGTCATGGAGTGCTACCAACGTTGGCCAGGCCTTGTCCATGACTGGTTGCATGAGCCGACAACCGCAGGCCCGACCGTCAAGGTAGCACGGTGGGCATACGAGCGGCTCTTTCTTGTCAGTGCCGTCACGGCATTCACATGTGAATGCACTTTGCCAGAGGTCTCCGCCGCATGCACCACAATACTCGTCGCTCAAACTTCGGCGGGGTAATGACTTGTGCGTGACGGTGTATGACTGAGTGAGCATTTGTTGATAAAGTGGCAATAGCCTCTCGAGGGCGATAAGACGTTCCACTTGCGCTCCGGAATCCTTGCAACTCTTGACCAAGGCGTTGAGGACGCTATCTATCATCGTTCTCACACGATAGGTTTCCTTCCGACACACCCTAAAAGATATTAGAAGAAGAGTTCCTCGCTACAGCAAAGGCGTACCTTTGGTAGATATATAACTCTTCTCGCAGTGATAATTCGAGGCTCTTGATGGACATTCGTGACCAAGCGATTTTTACTGTAAGACCACCAGCATTATGGACTTGATGACAACTGGACGGGGGCACGATGACGAGATCTCCAAGTCGCTGCTTGACGACGTATATCGGGAAGGGAGCATTCACGAGTTCCTGTAGAGATGCGGCATGTAATTCATGGTCGAGTTCATGGCCCAATTTCCGCCAATACGCGCTTGCATCACGTCGGTCTTTGGTAGAAGCCATGAACCAATACGATGCACCCCCCTGGGCACAAACCATTAAATTCTGTTTTGTATTAATACCCGTAATGGTATGTACGAATACGTAACTTGGCCGACGCTCCCGCAAAGGTCCTTGTGGGCGGGCGTCCATGTGTCACCAGGTCCAAGACTGCTTGATGAGTGCTAGACTAACTGGGTACTTGATACGTACTATGTCATCAATGTTTGGGCTCGTAACTAGATATGTGAGACCTTCGTGTGTCCACGAGAAGAGAACATACCTCGGGCGGTAGACAAGAGGTGAAATCACCCTCGTCATATGGGAGTAAGCCTGCCGACAAATTGGCTCGTAACCACTCTTCCCACCGTTTGGGACAATCTCCGTCCTTAGCGTACAACCGCGGCGGTCCTTCGCAATCTGTCACTTCAGAATCGACGCTGGACACAAGACGACTCACCGTCTGGTACGTAGACGCCTTTAACAGTAGCCACGTATTCGAAATAGCTTTTCATCGTCATCTCTCGATCCTCCTTGTCCTCCATGTCTCGCACAGTGATCCCTATTTGTCGCCTTAGAAAAGAACCGATAAAACAGGTGATAGAGGCGAACTTTGGGAGACGTTTTCTGGCTTCTTTAGCCATTCAGGGGTAAACAGAGCCTGCTGCCATCCATCACGCAGATGCCAACCCTCGAGAACGACTGGGATACCGCGTTCCTCGTGATCTTGTACAAGCTTTTCGATTTCCGAGTCTTGCATAGTTGATATATCAACTCGCGGTGCATCCTCAAAATTCTCGGCAAACGCCAGGAGATCCTCGATGTTCCAATTCTTGTTGTCCATGTGTAGGTCTGGGCCAGCTGCAATATCAACGTTGCCTTCCATTTCATCAAATCATAGACGACGTCAAGTGCGAAAGCGGCGTAAATAGAAAATGGATCGGATATGGCGTGGATCAACGTGCGGCAAATGCGTTTCGAACCCCGACCACAGCGACCATGTCTTCACTTCGAAACTCGCTACATCGACGCAATCACAAGGAGAGAGGTCAACTTGTCAATAGGAAGCGATTGGGGCTCCTCGAGAAGCACAAAGACTATGTTCAGCGAGCAAAGGACTTCAATGCGAAGAAGGAAAAAATCAAGCGGCTAAAGGAGAAGGTTGCCGATAGAAACAAGGATGAATTTTACTTTGGAATGGTGAACAAGAAGACCCAGGTATAATTTGCTGGCTCTTGTGGCTACCTAGTACTGATTTTCCTGAGGGAGGGCAACATTTCCAGGATAGAGGAAACGCTGCACTACCTGTCGACATTGTCAAAGTACTCAAGTCTCAGGACGAAGGATATCTGAGGACCACCCGAACGACGAATCTCAAGGTACTCGATTTGTCTTTTATAACAAGTGTCTCATTCCCGTACAGAGAATCGATGCTTTGAAAGCCCAAATATCTAATATTCTATCGTTCCATGATCGTGAAGATGACGAATACCTCGAGTTGGTCGACGAGTATGCCGACGTGCTCGAAAAATGCGGGTTGATGGTACGACCGCAGCGACGAAGGGCTCCAACGAATCATATCGTCTTTGTCGATAACGAAGCTGAAGGTGTGTACCCGCAACACAGAGCAGCCCTTTCCTCACCTTTGCGTAGCTCGGAATTATATTCCTCCTCAGATCGCGGAGAATTCGGTTGAAAGTTTTGTGAAAACTTCCCCCCAGGATCTCGGCTGGAAGACTACGGAGAACTCGAAGAAACCTGCAGTCATACCTCGAGCTGATGTTGCAATGTCTGATTCGCCAACGGTATGCCCACTGCGATTCAAAAACTCTCTTTCAAATGAATTTATAGGTACTGGAGCAATTGCTTCCCGAACTCAAAGCTCGCTTAGAACGAGAGACACACATCTTGTATGCGCTGCGAGAACTTGAGATGCAACGCGCTCTCATGGGCAAAGGCGCGTCCAAGAAGATTCGCGGCCCCGAGCGAATCGAGTCGGCGGATGACCGTGATGACGAAATGGACGAGGACGAGCGAGATGCCATGATCGCAAAGCGAATCAAGGAAAAGCCAAAATGTGAGCACTCTTGTATGTTCCTAGGAAAAACTGTTCATTTACTTATATTCGTTCGTATTACACAGCGGCCCCTGAGCTCTCCGCGTACAAGCCCAGGGTCTACAAATTTCGAGCTGAGAGGAAGAGATGAGAGTAGAGGGCGACTTTATGGATAATTTATCGAGTTTACTCGCCATTACCGTGAAGAATCCTGCGGTGGACTGGGAGACTCGAGATAGAGTCGGATCAGCAACTGTACTTCTTCAGTATACGCCTAGCAGAGAACAGTGAAAACACTTGCCATTTCGAGAGCAGAAACACTTGCATCGTTGAACTCGAAAGTCTCTGCTTGTCGTTTGATGTGTCCGAACATATTAGCCAGCTTGGCCCATCTTTCCTGTGCCAACTGACGACGATCTGGGAGCGACGGCCCGGTTGGTGGAGGAGGTGGAGGATGAGATACCTGCTGCGCCTGTGGTCCATGCAGAGGCATGTGCTGAGATGCCGGCTGTGGCTGGGGACCATGTATGGTGAGATGCGGCGGATGGGCGACCCGCTGAGGCTGTTGAGTCATATGTGGATGCATATGAGCGCGTTCTTGGTCTGTGCGGTGTTGATAATGTGCTATTTGATGCACAGCTTGTGGGGGCCCGACGTCGTGGTTTGGCGTGGATAGACCAGCCACCGAATGCTGCCTCGTACGATCGAAGTTCTCGTTTGAAGGGTTCATCTGCATCCTATGATGGTCTTGAATCGGCGTTGGTTGTTGCTGCTGCTGCTGCTGCTGGGTGTGTGGTCCATGTTGGGGATGCTGCGAGGCTGGTGGGTGCCCGTGGTGTTGAATAGGCTGTGGGTGGCGTAATGGATGGTGATGTGGATGATGCGGGTGCAAATGCTGATTGTTTGGTGCCGAAGGTGAGGTATGTTGGCTGGTCATGGCGTGCTCGTAGTTAAGGGAATGCATAGGATACTGGGTTTGGTCTACGTGCTGCAAGTCCAGTGTATCGTGCATCGATGCCGGTGGTGAAGGAGGTAGAGATGGACCGTCGTCCCCAGTCTGATAATTGTTTTGGTCGGTCGAGATGTCGGATGGGAAGTTGTGGTCAGGGTGGGAGTTATGGTCAGGCGACGTGGTCGCAGTATTCTTATGCCGATTATTCCTATTCTCTCTGCGAAACTTCTTCGTGAACGGACGGTTCGCTTCGCCAGTCTCGTGCGAGTGATTGCCGTTATAGTTGACCTTGACGATGGGCGTATCAAAGTACGTCTTGTATGATATTGTACTAGGGCAGCCTATTCCTTCTATCTTCTTGCTCGGCGTCTTCCGCTGACGTTCTGGATACTTCTTAACGTATTTCTTCTGGCCAGCCCTGTATCGCCGGTAAGCGCAAGTTTTTACGGAGAAATGACTCGCGTACCTAGCGTGTCTCGAGCACGCAAACTTGACATGTTCCTAACAAAGTGCTATCAGACCCATGCGGCACCAGAACGGCGATCCTCACTTTGAAGCGTGGGGGAACGGCCTTGGATGTATGACAGTCGACCTTGAAATAATCGACGCAGCTAAGGATATGAGTTCATTTTCGGTCCTACAGCTATACTGCTCACTGAGTTTCTTCCTCTTGCTGTTTCCACTCCATAAAAGCGTCTAGTGTGGCAAACTGGAGGTTGAATCCATCCTCCACCTGGTCACCAGAGCCATAGAGATGTTTCTGGTTGGTCCCATCATACTGGATAATGATCGGCTGTGGTGTATTCGACGCCCCAGGTGTTACAGTCTGTGTAGGGCCCTGGAGGGTCAAGTCTGAGGTGTCCGAGGGGTAGTTATGGGAACCAGAACTGATCTGAAACTCATAGGTGGACATTCAGACAAGGCGCGGGCCAAGCTGCAACCGCAACTGCCACCCACGAAAAGAAATCAGAAAAGTCACGGGATGTGAATAAAAATGATAGGATTAAAGATATACAAGCAACCCATTGACTAATCGCAGATCAGCTCGGAAACACTCCAGTCTTCGAAGCTGCCGTCTGGGAGATAGCGTCGAATGACTAATGGAATTTTGCGTTGGGCCAGCTCCTTGATAGCTATCTGTAACGGGTCCGTCTCTCCCTCGGCGGGGACGAGAATGGGTGCATTCATGCTCGAGAAACAGTCAATCCCACGTTTGAGCCGTTTAGCCACAGGAGTGCTTACCTAATCTGCAAAGCTCGCGTTCCCAATATTCTTGCCCGCTCATACTTTGTGAGATATGGTGTCGTGATGCGGACTTTGTTGGGCTTTCGTGGTTCGTTGTTTTGCTGCTGAGTGTTACCAGCGCCTGTTCGTTTGCCAGATGTCCCGTCTCGCATCTCCATATCGTCATCTTGTCGTATTCCGTTTATAACATCTTGCGAGTCCAGCGCCTGGTCGTCCTCGCCTTCGCCGACTGGGAGTGGCATTTCCTCGTCCTGAAACGCGCAGCAATTGGGTCACGATGCCTGATAACAGTGTTTGAGATTGATTTTGTACCTGAATAAACCCCTCATAACTGCCACAGGACGCGTTTAGCCCTCCTTTGCTGCAAGTGCACGCTAAAAACGCTGTCTAACTCACCCAGCATCCTCAAGATCAACATCTCCTCCTCCCATATACTCGTCTCCTCCATTATCAGACATTTTTGAGCAACCGTCCCGGAATGAAGTAATATGGTCAGGGTCAAGTTCTAAAGGCGCCAGCCTTGCCAATAGACTGCGATTCAGCAGTTATGGTAGAGACCTTTAGGATGCATTTATTAACCATTACGACGCGTCTTCGAGTTGGAAATCTCGCGGGCCCTGGAATATCCAAACTCGTCTGTTTAAACGCACATGAAAGCACCTGATCTGATCTTGAATAGATCAAAATGTCCGTTTCCAATTATTCTCTTGACGGAGTACAAGCAGCGGAGTTTGAAGAGACCGCTATCCAAGGGTTGCTCCCGACCACATCTGTAACACTGCCAACTCGCCACTAAACAGCCAATGGCTGCATTTACGAATAGATACTCTGCTCTCTTACAAGAGCCTGGCACCGTAATGAATGAGACCGACGACACCCAGCCGGTCAACGCGCGATCTGCGACCAAAGGTTACATCCGCAGGGCTCAGAGCTTACTCAGAACAAGAGGATTCTCTCACAAGCGAGCATTTTTGTGGCCTGGTGAGTGAATCCGCTCGTGGCTGGTGGAGGCAACGCGAGTTTGTTGGACCGTTAAAGGCAACCCAAGAGTCTCCAACCTTTGTCTAGAGAGACAATAGACCACCCATAATACATCTCAGCATCTGATTTAGCCATATTACTTCTCGCCACTATTCCTCTCAATCGTCAAATTTTTATCCATTCATTCTCGTCTTCCTCGTCGCTCTTTTGGCTCTCCATTATTCTATCTATTTTGCTATATGCACTACGCAACCTCCGTTTCGACCCTGGGGGGTCCGTCTCATGTGGCGTGTACCTTACGAGCCACTGCTTACTCTCTTCCTAGCTTGCCCAGCCGCGTTGCTCCAGAGGTTCTGGAGACCAAGCTCAGAGAGCTGGTTTCACGTATCATCGACCCAGTGTACGTGAACATTATCAACGATAAACTCGGCAACAAGGCCGCGTTTGTTCAAGCAAAGGTCCGTCTTTTCTCGATCCAGACGCGGTGAAAACCTGACTCATTCGTAGACTGTCGAGGATGCACATATCCTTCTCAAGACTGAACTCGAGTACGATGGAATACCTCTCCGTCTCCAACTTGCCAAGGCACATCGATCCCTCACGGTCTGGTTTCGCAAATTGGCGGGTCCGGCGCCCAGCTTGCGTCTCATTAGGAGCAAGCAAGGGTGATTATACATGGCTCTGGATGTGAGCTACTACTAAATCTTAACAGAAGTGTTCGAGCTATGGTCAACGAGCTCCAGGCGCCCAATCCGTTCACACCTCCCCGCAAAGAGGACCCATACTCGGGATCTGGTCAACTTTTCCCGCAAATTGCATACAATACAGCCTTTATGAGGAAGATTTGCGAAGCTCTTGGGCCCCTCGAGAGTTTTGAGCCAGCGGGCATGCGTCCAATGTACGACGGTGGCGCAGGATTGACCGAGTCGTGGCAAGTCAAGTGGCAAGACCGCTCGGACGCTATACACGCCAAATCAGTTTTCTCCTTTTTACCCTTCGTTGGTTGGACCTGGTCGCACGAGGAAAGGCAATACGATAGAAGCTTTTACGGAGATGGATTCCCGGTCATGGGTAGATATCATAAGCAGGCAAGCGTTTACAGCGACTATCACCCTCTTATCCCCAAACCGTCGCGGATTGGGGCTCCTGGTGCTGTCGACGGATCGTTTCCCAGGAAGAGCGCAGAGGAATTTCCTCCATTGTCTGCGGTACAACCTGCAAAGTATGTCTGGGTCATTCTACCATCCTTCACGCTGATGGCGTCTCCAGATTGTCCAACATCACGTATCAGCCAAGTACATCCGACGTGACGGATATGCCTATTACCCCTACCTCTCTTCTTTACTCGTCTCCAGTCATCGTGTCTCCCACCGAAGCCGTTTATCTTGATCCCCATGCAGCCGCCCATCCCAGGTTGGAGGATGGGTCTACGACAAAGCCCTTTCGTCCTCGGATTTCTTATTTCTATGACACGCTTTACGTCAGCAACATCCTTCCAACCACTTCGGATGGTGACTTGGAGCAATTGTTCGCACCCTATGGGTCGATCAAGGAAGTCAAGCGTGTCAATTATCGTACGTCCTCCTATGCTTCTTGCGTGCGTAATTGAACCGGGATAGGTGGCGAGTTGTCCGCGGCTTTTGTTACCTACGGCGTGGAAGCAAACGCTGCAAACGCAGTCAGAGATTTTGTAGGACTCGATGAAAACTGTTGACTCTGTATTCTTATGTATCCCTAGGGCAACGGCGTAGTCTTCAAGTTGGATGGACGCGAGCTCCGAGTAGGATATAAGCGCTACTATCAAAAGAACCAACGTAAAGGAAGAACGTATGATCGTGTTCGCATTCTACAACGTCCCGAAGAAAAGGATGTCACACTGTTGGTGGCAACTCCGACTACGGAGCTGCTTCAACTCCCAGTTGAAGCTCCGCCCATTTCTGAATCCGATCAGTCTACGGATGAAACATCCAAGGACACGGGTGGAGAGTGTTCGGAGACGAATTTTACATCCTTTGAAGAATCGATAGCGCGGGATATACCCCGAGGTCTTTCGTCTTCCCCGGAACCATCGAGCAGTACTCAAGGTGAAGAGGAAGAGCAGATAGAAGACGTAGAAGAGGCAAAAGAGCAGAATAAACGTCCAAGACCCTCAGTTGACGTCGATATTACGCCTGTTCATGCTGCAGAAATCCCCAAGCCACTTCCAGAGGACATTTCGGGACCGACGGGTCCTCGGGCAACAGTCTACTCACAGCTTTGGCAGCAGCAATACTATTCAGGATGGGGATATCCGTATCCAGTCTATCCTCCTCCAATGGCAATGCCTCGGTACCCGCCGCCGCAATGGGTATGTGGCTTGGCCTTGCTCTGAATTATGCTCATGTCTCATCTTAGTACCACGCCCAGCCACCTCCATATGCGTCATCTGATCCTTATGGCTCGATGGGACCTCCCTCTCAGCCGGCCCCAACATTTCACAACGGACCGATTCTGCCGTCTGGGAGCTATGAGAATGCGGATGGTGGAATCACATATGTGTACGCGCCAGAGGTGTTGAAAAAGTATGTGCCAGAGTTGCAGTCGGAGCCGGATCCAAACAGAGAGACTACGAGAGTCAAACACGCAAGGGCGGTACAACACTCGTTTGTCAACGCAATGTACCCTCAATTTGGACCTCCAGAGGCCTATCATCGTCCTCCGCACCCTCACGTATACCCGCATTCGGTGCACCCGCACTACATTGGTCCTCGGAGAATGTACCCAGAAGGTCCACTGGCTCAAGAAATGTTCAACCATCGACCTCCATTCGAGCACGAGATGGCAGGATACGTGCCACCGTATGCTCCCATGATGCGAGGACCAGCCGTGCAGACTTTACCTCCGACGCGCCCGACTGCCTATGCAAGAGCCTATGACATGTCGATGAACGGATATCCAACCGCAACCGTACCCGCTCATAGTCTCCCTCCTCCGGCACAGCACTTTCCACAGCTGGAGCACTTAGCGCGCGATAGGACGTTTATGAACGCGGCAGCGAATCATGGCGCCAGTCGTCATCGTCGGAGTGTGAGCAGTGGGAATGTCCGATTCGAAAAAAAGGATGGCGATGTGGCAGAGGGTAGCTTGGGACGGTCGGTGTAAAAAGTACGGACAAAACCAAAAGCGAAAAGGCTCTCGCGGACTATCTTGGACGCTACGGACGTTTGGTCTGTTTCTTGTAGAATGGTCGTTTGACTGATGAATGATGAGCATAGTTAACTCAACGAGAATTGGGTGATGAACATATTAGATTCACATGCGAAAACACGGTGTACAACGAAGAAACGGGGACATAAAGAGACAGCTGGATACTTCAAAAAAAAAACTAGTCCAAAAACGCGACTCGAGAAATCAAACGGCGTCAACCTCCATCGCATCCTCAAACGGCGTTCGACTCCTCTCGACCGTCTTTGGCTGCAACCCCTCTGTGCCAAATCGACGCACATAATCCGTATTTATATGCACGAGCAACGCACGGATAAACGCAGCATGTCGGACACGTTCATCATACGACACTTTGGGACGCGACGAGCCAGCGGTGTTGTTGGTAGGCGTAGCCGGGAGCGATCCGTCTGTACTCTGCGGTGAATCCTTGATCCCAATATCACTAACGCGCGACGCCAGATCAGAGCCAGGTGTCGACGGGGGTGAAGCGACGACGACAGAGGCAATGGACGGCAATTTGGTGCGCGAAGAAGGTACACTGCCGAGCGAAGGATAAAGAGACGAACTCGAAGAGTCGTCCGAAGTCGCAGATGATGCCGACGACGACGACGATGACGACGACGCGGTGCGTGGAGGCGCGTCAAAGCTAGGATAAATCGACGACGGTGTCGGTTCCGAAACCTTTTTCGACGGCAACGTCAGGGCGGGCAACTTGAGCGCCGGATCGCCTTCTTGATGAACGAGCGAATAGAGCGCATGAGACGGTTTATGGACGCCCGTCTCCGAATCTGGCGAATCGCTATCGCTTCCACTACCTTCTTGAGGTTCAGGAGTCGAGTGATGCGAGTTGCTCTCCATTTCGACATCTCGTGATTCTTGAACAGGCGTCGTCTCTCCATCCAATTCCTCTTCTGCTTCCTTTTTACGGAGAGCTTCTTCGCGTTCGCGCACGGCCTTTAGTGGTGCCGTCTGGAGGAAGAGCGAAGACTTGGGTCCAGTTCCAAGAATGCCTGCACCCTCACGTGGTCCAAGCGTCGGGTGTTGGAGGAGCAGAGACGGTGGGGAAGGTGCCTTGAGCGAATCAAACGAGACACGGAGACTCGACGAATCGTACGAGCCAAAGGCATCGTGTCGACCACTACCACTGGTCGAGGAGAGTGGACCATCATACGGCGAGCTTGGGTATCCGCCAGGCGCATTCGTAGAGGGACCGTGGGAGGAAGCGGCAGAGCTGCTGGTGGTGCTCAATGGACTACCTGTATTCGCAGGAGGAGTGCCCGTGAGGGAATGTCCGAGACCAGTATCGCGTGCACCAAAGCGCGGGACACCGAGGTCGAGCGAAGGGTAAAGCGACGAGAGGTCCGAATGCGTGCTCAGGTGCGACGGTCGATTAAAGAGACGCGAGCTGTGCAAATCGCGACCGTAGAGATCATCATGCACTGGCAATGTCGATCCAGGGAGTCCCGGGAGACCAGTGAGGCCGATCGAGGCAAGCGCGTCGTCGTTGAACCAGTTTTCGTGTGGGATGTATTCTGACATGGGGCGACGAGGTTGCAACAGAGGATGAACGGGTTGAGGAGGTGAACGAGGGAGACCCGTCACGTCACGACCGAGAGCGAGCAAAAAGGCATTGACCGCCGCGAGATCCTCTGGGGTATTAATGTCGACGGAGACGGAGCGAGGAAAGGTATCTGGGAGGTCGGGTTGCTTGTTGTTGATACGCATATTGACCGCGGGTGGCGAGACGGAGGACGCATTGGAGAGCGAGGGCGTCGAGAGGGACTGGAGCGTCCTGAGCGAAGTCATTGGGGAGACTGCGAGCGATGGCTGGTGCTGCTGTTGTGGTGCTGTCGCTGCCTGGTATTGCTGTGATGGTTGCTGTTGGTGCTGCTGCTGCTGCTGCTGCTGTTGGTGCTGCTGACCAGATGGCTGCGGCCAGTCGCTGCCGACCAAGGACGAGAGAGTGGCGGCCATGTCTAGACGGGGTCAGAGATTACATCAATAAAGCGCACGAGGAATACTTGCCATCGTTGTACGTCGGGTCCAATCGTCGCTTCTTGATAATATCATTCACCAGGTCATCAACGTCTAGACGGCGTTTGGGAGCGCGGGTAGTTCCAAGGCCTTGGCCGCCAAGGAGACCTCCCAATGCATTGATGAGCAAAGCGTGCTTGAGTTGCTCGGCAGTGACGCCGTCGAGCAGACTTGCGACACTGCCTCCGCCGCTGGTGCCGCTTGAATTGCTGCTATTGCTAGAGTTGTTTGCAGATGAGATGGATGGATGTGACTCTTTGACGGTAATGGCCTTTGAGTGCTTGTGCTGTTGGTGATGGGCCTCTGTGTGAATCTTTTCGTGCTTTTTGAGATCCTGGGGCCGTTTAAACGTCTTTTGGCACACATCGCACTGGTGCGGCTTGAGCGGGGTATGTACTGATGAATTGTCAGCACATCAGTGAGATGGACCCCTAAGCCACTGACTCACCTCGGAGATGGCTCGTAATGTGGTCTCGCTTTGCACACGTCGTCCCACAGTCTTTCCAGTGACACGTCAGGCAGAGGTTGTTGGTCGACTTGCGGCCTACATGGTCTGCACACAAGTGGTTGTACAGCGTCTCTGCGTCTGCAAATGCCTTTGTGCATCCCGTCCATTCACACGCAAATGCATCTTCTGTTCGATTCGACTCCATTGATTTTCCACTGGATTTTAGAGAGGGAGCAAAAGACCAGGCCAGACGACGTCTAGGTCAAAGTTATATATAAAGCCAAGCGGCGGCCGCTTACCGAGCGACTGGGCGCCAAGCAGTCAAGTCTCTTGGACACACTTGGCGTGGATCCCTTGGCAAAATCGAGAGCCAAGAGCCATTAGTCAGTGGCGACTGCAGTTTCAGACAGAGATGCATTGCCCAACGTGAGGAATATTCAAGGAATACATTGTCACAGCGCATCACCCGTCTCAAAATAGCTGCCCGCCGGGTGTTTCATTCGGCCGGCAGACTGTAAATGTCGTAATCCTCTAAATAAGACTGGACCAGTCGCACATGCTGACGTCGAGACTATCATTCCAAGGGTCTTCAACCTGGGTTCAAACAAGAGACTTGTAGCTATGAAAACAACTTATTTCACCATCATCATTCAGTGGAGTTCACCGTACCGAGGTGTACTTTGGTCGATAATTGTTAAACTCCTAGAGCAGTATAATCATGCTAGTATAATATCATATCACACATTTTAACACCATAAATAAGCTTAATGAGATGTGGCAAATTTGTTGTCATATCTCGATGGTGGCGTCGCCTTGATTGAATCATGGAATCATACCCAAAATCATTTGCCGATGGCACTATTCAGAACATGTCACGCGATAGATGGACAGAAATCCCAACGGCCGCTCGCCGCAGTGTTAAATGTATTCCAACGTGTATTTCCACAATACAAGGCACTGAAAACCACGCCCACCCTGCAAGGACGCTGACGACAAGGCGCACCAGGGCCCCGCCGGATAAAATGCATGGGCGGAGGCGGGATGCGATGAGCGTATAGAGTCCCGACGCAATTGTAGAACAGCTCCAACCCGCCCTGCAACTGCCGCAACCAAACAACGCGCCCCTTCACCTTCAACCCCAACACCTTACAGCGCACATCTCGTCCAGCTGCTCCCATTCCTACTTTATACTCTCTAAATGGACATTGCTCACCTTTTTCGCTCCCGTCTTCGTCACGATTTGCACGAGATTCATGCAAATGCTGATCCAGGCATCCACGTCCACGTTGCTAGCGAGGATATGCGCAGGCTTTGTCTCCAGCTCTGTCCAGAAACGGGTCCTTGGGCACGATTGAGGTTGCATTTTACGGTCGAGTTGCCGTCAAACTGGGTCCGTCTTTTTTCGACATTTGCCACATCATTGTCCGCCCTTCCTGCGTCCGCCAGCGGCGATACGAGGGTATCATGATGCGTAGATCGTATTCCTCCGTCGAGTGGACGGTTTGATGACCGTTTTCTTCATCCTCGCTATGGGCCGCGTCGATACTGACAATGTTGCCACTTCTTTTGCCGTACAGCCCGCGAGCCCACCGCGCATCTGGTGTACCAAAAACAATATCCAACATCCAAACATCCTTGAAGAGGGCCTTGTATGCTGCGACCTCTTTCGTGAGACGGCCAGCGGGTACTCGGGCACCAAACACGTCGGGTACGTCGATGAATAGTGTCGAATGGCGTCGATTGTTGATCTAAAAACGTCAAAGATACACTCCGGGGTACAAGCTGCGTGGTGTGTTCCAGCAGCTGCTCGCCCTCTTTTCCTCCGAGTTTATCAACGACAACTGGGGTTCAGGCGGCCAGCATCTTGGAAATGCTGTGATTGAGCATTTTGTTTCCGAGGCGGATCTATTGCGGCCGTTTCGCTACTCACACCCACTCAGCGATAGGCGGGCCATGTACCCCTATGTTGAGAATGAGGAACGGCTGGAGAGGTTGTGGAATGAGGATGATTCGGAGGACGTATTGATTATGACCTATCAATGTGAGGACGGAACCGAGATGAGACAACTCACCAAGAAGAGCATGTTGCGCGGTCAAGAGCCCCAAGTACAAATCCCGCGCAGCATGCATCCTCAAGCACAATGCAAACCATCAGTTGCATCTCGTGTTCCCGTGTCCTCGCGTGCCTCAAGATCTGCCTCAAAGGGCCCTCCCCGCATTTTCAAGTTTGAGTCGCGGAACCCGTACTGGGAGCGAACGCGCCGCAAACTGGCATCCTTTGAGTGCTCTGAGTGTGGTTATGGAAGTGATTCCATGCCACATCATTCGCCTGGCGGGATTTCGTCTGTTGGACGAGAGTCGAAGCCCGCCTACATGGTGCCCGCGGCGGTCAATCAGCTTTCCCGACTCAAAATGGATGTATTACACGTCCTGTGCGAGTTTTTGCCCGACGAGTCCCTCCGAGCGCTCAGCAACGCGTATCGGCCCTTTGACGCGTTTTTGCGCCGTACAAACGTCCTCCGCAGGCGCCAAGTGCGCTGTTTCTATCTCTCCACGCCCTTTGAAGATTGTACAAAGCCCGAGGGAGCGCCAGAGCCAGCCTCGAGCGAGGTGATGGGCATTGGCATCTCGTTGGAAGGTGCAAAGTTGTCTTGCCCCACTCTCCTCGACGGCTTCCTCTCTGAAGCCGCGTTCCAGAAATGCGGCGTAAGGAGGAGTATAAGGAAAAAGGAGTTTGGATTCTTCCTCCCGCTTGCTCTCAACTATCGACATTTCCAGCAGATCAAGCCCCGCGTCTTGGACTGCCTGAAGACGCTCAGCGCAGAGGTTGCACTATCAGAACCATATCGACGCGAACATGGTTTTGGAAGCCGTTCTCATCGTCCAACGGCGGCTAGAGGACCTGGTTATGTGCGCGGAGCGACTCCTGCGATGAACACGAGGAGTGCGGTCCAGGCAGATGTGGACAGTGTCAACGTCCTGTACAAGTTTCTCAATGACGCGGTTGGGACGTATATGCGCACTTGCGAAGCCATTCTCGACGCACCTCCTGCAGCGCTACGACGTCGTGGTGACATGGGAGGCCACTCTCAGAGTCACCCCCAGGATGAAGAATCATATTCTACCAGTTTGATGCACGCAGCGGAAAAGTTTTTGCCCGTTTATTGGCAGATTATGCATCTCCTCATCTGCCTCTGCCGTGATAACCCAGCGATCCTCCGAGCGGCCCATACACGAGTACGACAGTTTATCGACAGTCCAGACAAACGAAGCAAAGAGTATGAACCCGAACTCGGGGAACTTTTGGTCGTAGCGGCGTTGGTCTTTGCATGCCAGGACGAAGGATTACTCCCATCGAAAGAACCCGCCGAATCCGCCCCTGATCCACCTCCACGTCAATCTCAGCGCCTTCAGAGAACTCCTGGAAGTCGAACAAACACCCTCCTCCGCACACCGAGTAAGCGACGAGGCGCGTCCGTGGCTCCGAGTCTTGCTGGCTCTTCAGCCTCTCAGTCCTCCAAAGACCCGCATATTCGCTGGTCGGAGCACTTTGCTGGGCCCCTCCTCCAAGAGGCCATGACTCGCGGTGCAAAGAGCACAGTCGAGCATTCGCCCGATTTGCAAGTTTTCGAGACTGGTGCTTCGCCGTATCGTATCATGCGGACTTTCCAGCACTGCCGTGGGCCATTGCGGCAGCTTGCGCTCCAAGTCTCGATGCTCGCCGTATTCAACTACTTCACAGGATCACAACCCGGACCCCACCATCAACAGATGCACCTCGATCGGTCGTTTGGCAACCCACCGCCAGAAGCCATGCACGCACTCACAGAAGAAGTCAAAGTCGTGCATCGGCTCTCCACGTGGGGAGAGCTCTTCACCAAAGTACAATACGAAAATGGGAAAGCGTGGAACGAAGACGAACTTTCCGCTGCTTTAAGACAATGCATGCTGCTCAGCGAGCAGCGAGGGTATCATACAAACCAACATCGGCATGGCGATGCGAGATCGCGCTTGGCTCAGATTAGGGAACGCAAAGAACGGGATTGGAAGCGGGATCATGCTCGACGTGTGAGAAATCAGCGCTGAGAATCGTCTCGTTTGCTCTAGTTGTCTTTCTTTTCGACACTACCTCGCGTCTGTTCTACAGGCTGCCACCAGTGTCGAATCGAAGCTGCTGAGCACACCCAAACCAATCTACTTCCAGTGCTCCCAGTCCTCGCCAAGCAAATTCACGCTCACCATGCCGAACAGGAGACACGGAATCTCTTCCTTTCAGGTAACATAGATTATCACGCCTATTCTCGATGTCCATAATGATCTCGCTGTTTGTGCCATACTGCGGACATTTTACTCTTCCTGTCACATACTGTATCTCTGAAATCGAGTTTTGTCGCGTTTCTTCACGAGTAGGAGAGACCCGTTGAACAAAGCTTAGACCGAACTACAACCATGCCAACAATCAACGACCTTCCAACGGAGCTCATCCTCGCAATTTTCGCGTTTATGGACCCTAAGACTATGATTAATGCGTCCTCTGTAAGTCATCTTCTGGATGTTGCCGCCTAGCTTGACCAATCCGTTCAAGGCCTGTCGTCAGTGGTACAAACTCTACTCATTACCTGAGCAGCAATACAAGGTCGCTCAGCATCGATATTCTGTTGCCGATGGCCCGCCAAACGACGAGTGGCCTGCCAGTCGGCGCCTTGAGGCGCTTCGAGCGCATCAAGCGCGATGGCGCACACTTTCATGGGCAAAGTGCGCAATGCCTGAGTTGATTCTATGTAACCTCTGACTACTACAAGAGCCATACGTTCAATAATGACACAAGGGATCAATGGGAATGCTTTTCAGGAGTTTATGGACGAGCAAACAGGTTCCAGAACTGTATCAGTCAGTATTTGTCATCTATCCAGATACTATAGAGGTAACAGAACTTTAGCCTTCAACAAGGCGCCTTCAGTCATAGTCAACAGCGACGAGTCGATGTGGTCAATCAATGTGCCCATTCCCATCCGTGACTTTTGCATGGACAGTTACCAAGATCTTGTTGTCGTTATGAATGCTGAAAATCAACGGTAGGATTCACTTCCCAGCAATAGATAGCTCTGATAGTTGATGATAGATCACGACGAGACGTTCACTTTCTTTCAATGAAGGATGGAAAACCCCATCCTTGTGCTAAATACCCTATGGTTTCGGAAGACATCAGCTCTGTCTGGCCTTACGACAGTGGATGCATGATTGAAATCTACGGGGAGCACGTTATCATTCTCTTTAGAGGACACATATATCCTACTATGGAGGCACGGAGTCGTACATCCGTTTTGATCATATGGAACTGGATCACGGGCGACAAAACGATGGTATGTTATCGAATCCAGAAGTTCACTGCTTAGTGACGATCATAGCACCTCAGTTCAAGCGGTGGCAATCTCATTGATTCGTTCTGCTTTTTATCTCCCGGCCATGTCCTAGTCGGACGACGACGGCTAGAGGCGTCTACGCCTTCTGCTCAGTCTTCATTGGAGGTATATTCCTTTGGCAAGGGACTACGACACGTCACTATGCGCCGGTTTCAGCTACCCCAACTATCATCGGACATTTATCTGACTTTCCTCGAACTCTTGTGTCAAGCAGTCCCAACACCAAACCACCATGCATGGCGGCCCTTCTACACCTCACCATCCGATTGCATATGTATGATAAGCGCGTAAGGGTAAACTCTGTCCATCTCTTCCTAACTCATCACACCAAAAAGCTTTTACTCAAATTGGGATTCACATCGATGCATGAACTATATTGTCTTCACGTCTACATTCCTCAAAGCGTTTCCAGATGAAGAAATCAATTCGGAGATTATCGATATGGGTGGATTCCGACATATTTCGACAGTATCATGGAAAGACTGGAGTCCGCAGGTTCGCGTCACATCTTGGAATTCAGAAAGGAGCGTATTCAAAGCCGTGACGTGTGGTACCCGCATTGTGCGTCGCATCCAAGCTGGCACCGTGGGTCGATATCGGATCCAAATCTGCGATTTCAATCCATATGCGTACTCTCAGGTTAAAGGCGCACTGGATGTGGATAAGAGGGAGACAGAAATAGTCACACGAAAGAAATTGGCCAGATTCCGCTTTGACCTCTTTAGGCGCGTGGATAGAACGGAGAGTAATGTCAAGCAGAGTGAAGATATCGCGACCGTGATCTACAAGTACATTGACTCTGTTCACTCTCCTCTTGATCCCATATTCATGGAGCCTATTGACTATGGACTGCCGTACTTGGAGGTGACAACTGTGGAAGATTTCGAGGTGAGATACGTGATGATGGATTTCGAAAATATATACCTGCTGAGCGTGCGTGGTGACTTGTTGCCAGAAGACCACTAACCATTTTCTAGGATAATGGCGTACGAGTCCTATCCTTCTAGAGATTGTGCTTTTGGAATGATATTTATGGCCAAGGAGATATTAGAGCCATCTTTTCGTCCTCTGAATTCAGCCCATTGAGCTACTCGGAGATTTATATTTGCATATTATTGTTCGATTCTCGATGTGCAGACACCTTGTTCAGTTCTGGGTGTCCTTAGCTCCGACCAAGCCACTCAGAGTAAACGAGAGAACGCATCCCTTCTTCCTTTCTAGATACACAAATTGCCACTCTCTTACTTCCCAGGTGCCCATATGTGAAGTACATCTATTTGAATTGATCGATGAGTTTCATTACATACATGAAGCGGTACGTAGATTATATACGAGGCGTGTTTCGTTCGGATGGACGCTTGGTGCCTTGGACCCGACTTCCACGATGCCAACCATCGACGACCTTCCAACGGAGCTCATCCTCGCAATCTTCGCGTTTATGGACCCCAAGACTATGATTAGTGCATCCTCTGTAAGTCATCTTCTGGATGTTGCCGCCTAGCTTGACCAATCCGTTCAAGGCCTGTCGTCAGTGGTACAAACTCTACTCCTTACCTGAGCAGCAATACAAGGTCGCTCAGCATCGATATTCTGTTGTCGATGGCCCGCCAAATAACGAGTGGCCTGTCAGTCGGCGCCTTGAGGCGCTTCGAGCGCATCAAGCGCGATGGCGCACACTTTCATGGGCAAAGGTGCGCGATCCCTGAGTTAATTCCATGTAAACTCTGACTACTACAAGAGCCATACGTTCAATAATGACACAGGGGATCAATGGGAATGCTTTCAGGGGTCTATGGCCGGGCAAACAGGTTCCAGAACTGTATCAGTCAGTAATTATTATCTATCCTGATATTATAGACGTAACAGGCTTTAGTGTTCAACAAGGCGCCTTCAGTCGTGGTCAACAGCGACGAGTCGATGTGGTCAATCAATGTGCCCATTCCCATCCGTGACTTCTGCATGGATAGTTACCAAGATCTTGTTGTCGTTATGAATGCTGAAAATCAACGGTAGGATTTGCTTCCCTGTAATGGATAGCTCTGCTGACAGTTGACGATAGATCACGACGGGATGTTCACTTTCTTTCGATGAGCGATGGAAGGCCCCATCCTCGTGCTAAATACCCTTTGGTTTCGGAAGATATCAGCTCTGTCTGGCCTTACGACAGTGGATGCACCATTGAAATCTACGGGGAGCACGTTATCATTCTCTTCAGAGGATACACATATCCTACTACAGGGGCACAGAGATTTTCATCCGTTTTGATCATATGGAACTGGATAACGGGCGAAAAAATGATGGTATGTTATCGAATCCAGAGGCTCATTGCTCAGCGACAATCATAGCGCCTCAGTTCAAGCGGCAACAATTTTGTTGATTCGTTCTGCTTTTTATCTCCCGATCATGTCCTAGTTGGACGACGAACATATCCTTCTACGCCTTCGGCCCAATCTTCACTGGAGGTATATTGCTTTGGCAAAGGGCTACAACACATCAACATGCGACGTTTTCAGCTACCCAAATTAGCAGCAGATGCATCGCTGAATTACCTCGAGCTCTTGTGTCAAGCAGTCCCAACACCGAACCACCATGCATGGCGGCCCTTCTACACCTCACCATCCAACCGCATATGTATGATAAGCGTGTAAGGATAGTCTCTGTTCCATCTCCTCCTAACTCATCACTTCAAAAGCTATTATTCAAACGAGGTTTCATATCGATGGGTGAACTACATCGTCTTCGCGTCTACATTCCTCAAAACTTTTCCAAACGAGGAGACTAATTTGGGTATTGTCGATCCGGAAGAATTCCGATATATTTCGACAGTGCCATGGAAGGATTGGAGTCTGCAGACCCGCATCACGTCTTGGAATTCAGAAAGAAGTGTATACAAAGCCGACGTATGGCACCCGCATTGTGCGTCTCCTACCAGCTGCCAATCCGGGTCGATATAGGATCCAAATCTGCGATTTCAATCCGTACGCGCGCTCTCAGATCAAAGATGCACTTGGTGTGAACAAGAGAGAGACGGGAATAATAAAGCAGAAGAAGTTGGATGGGTTCGGCATGGACCTCATTGGGCGCGTTGATGAAATGCAGAGAGATGTCAAACAGAATGAAGATGTGGCGACTGTAAACTACAGGTATATCGCCTCTGCTCCTGCTCGTTTTCCTCTCGATTCCATCTTTGCGGAGCCTATATTCTCTGCACTGCCGTATCTGGAGACGACGACAGTGGAAGATTTCGAGGTGAGATACGTGATGATGGATTTCGAAAATATATACCTACTGGATGTGAGTGGTGACTTGTTATCAGAACACCACTAACCGCTCTCTAGCATGATGAAGTACAAGTCTTATCTTTGTAGAAATCGTGCTTTGTGGAATAGGATTTATGGCCATGGAGAGATTAGAGTCGTCTCCCCGTCCTCTAAATTCATCCCACTGAGCTACTCGACGATTTATATCTGCAAAACGTGTTATTCTTTGATTCTCGACGTGTAGGCACCTTGTTCAGTCCCGAGTGCTCCTAGCTCCGACCAACCCACTCACAGCAAACAAGAGTCTAGAGCACATCTCCTCCCCCCTTCTGGATTCGCAAATTGTTGCTCTCCTGTTTTCAGGTGTTTATTTCTTAGGAAATACACATATTTGAGCTGATCACTGAGTTCGACTACCAAGATGGACCGTCGACGTATGAGATGTGGAGAATATACAAGAGGCGCGTTTGTGCCTTGACCCAACTTCTACGATGCCAAGCATCAACAACCTTCCAACGGAGCTGATACTCACTATTTTCGGGTTTATGGACTCTAAAACTATGATTCGTGCATCCTCTGTAAGCTGTCTCTCCAATGTTGCTGTCTAAATGGACCAATCGTCCAAGACTTGTCGTCGATGGTACAAACTCTACTCCCTACCCGGGCAGCAATACAAGGTTGCTCAACATCGATATTCTGTTGTCGATGGCCCGCCAAACGACGAGTGGCCCGTCAGTCGGCGCCTTGAGGCGCTTCGAGCGTATCAAGCAAGATGGTATGCGCTTTCATGGGCCAAGGTGTGTAACGCCCGAACTATTGCCCTATGTTTTCTAATTACTATAAGAGTTGTAGCTTTGACAATAAGACGAGTGGCCAATGTAAATTCTTTTCAGGGGTTTATGGCAAGGCGGATAACGTAAATAAGCGGATCAGTTAGTCGTATTTGCCAATTCGCATAGATGTAATGATTTCAGGGTTCAACAAGGCGCCTTCAATAATGACCGATGCCACCGAATCAACATGGTCAATCAACATAGGTGTCCCTATCTGTGGCTTTTGTATGGACGATTTTCAAGACCTCGTCGTCGTTATGACTACTTCTCATCAAAGGTAGAGGCCGGCTGCAAGCGTTAAACAGTTCTGACTTTTGATAGTCCACGACGAGACATTCATTTCCTCTCGATGCAAACAGGAAACCCCCATGCCGATGCCAAATCTTCTTTTGTATCTGAGGAAATTGCCGAAATTCAGCCTCGTGATTGTGGATGTAGAATCGAAATCCACGGCGAGCGCGTGGCCATTCACTTCAAAGGAGCCACACTCCCCGAGGTAGCAGATTCCACATCAGTGGTCATCATATGGAACTGGAAGACAGGCGAAAGACTCGCGGTACGTCTCTCGAGTCGAGCTTTCACTACTAAGCGATGCTCATAGCGTCTCGGATCGGATGAAGGCGCTCTATTCAACTCATTCTGTTTTCTGTCTCCAAGTCACCTTTTAGTTGGACGACGAATAGGTCCTGAATACGCGGCTACCTTCGCTTGGTTGGAGGTACACGATTTCAGCAAGGGTCCAGAGCATATCGCCATACACCGGTTTCAGCTGCCTCAGCCACAGTCAAATATAATTTTGAGTGGGTTCAAAATACTATCTGAAGTAGCCCCGACTGTCAGCTCTCGCGCCTGGCGTCCCTTCTACACTTCGCCAGCCAATCGCATCTGCATGATCCAAGTGTAAGAGGGTTTCCTTCTTCTTACCTCATGGCTCACGTTGTGAAGTGAATACGAGATAATGTCCATGAATCAATCTGTCAACTATATCGTCTTTGCGTCTACCTTCCTGGGTTTGCTTCCAAAGGCGGAATCTCCTTCAGAATCAGCGGAAGGAGGCAATTTTCTATGCGCTTCGACTGTTCCATGGAAAGATTGGAGCCCACACGCTTGTATCATGGTTGAAGAACCATCACCAGGCTTGGACAAAGTCGTCACTTGCGGAACCCGTATCGTGCGGCTCCTCGACACTAGCAATTGGTTCAGATATCAGATTCAAATACTTGATTTTAATCCATATGCAAGCTCCCAGGTCAAGGGTGTAGTAGGTTCGAAGGACAACGAGAAGCCGCCGAAAGCGCGTCAACCCTTGGAGTACGAAGATCGCTGCCCCAAGTCGACGACCGTAACACACGAATACGTCGAGCCCCATGTGATCTTCGAAAGCATCTTCGAGAATCCCGTGTTTTCCGCACTACCATACCTGGCGACGACAACAGTAGAAACATTCCCAATAGATGATGTGATGGTAGACTTTGAAAATATTTACTTGACAAACGTGAGTATCACTTGTTGTCATGACATCGCTAACCAGATTCTAGCCACATGGAATCCGAGTTTTGTCTTTCTAGATTGACTTCGACCTCTCCGTAATCGCATAACCTACAGAGGTAAAGGCTTAAAGGTTGTAATCATTTTCCTGCGTCTTCTTGACCCAATCCAACCAACTCCCCGAGTAATTTTTGATACTGTACGGGACATCCTGTCAGTACCCATTGAACCTATCGACCCAACGACAACATACTTTGTATACCCATTATCACGCGCACTATCCGCAGCCGTCGCCGACCGTCTGCCACTCCGACAATAAAACACAATCTCTTGATCAGGTCGAGGCTTTGTGAACCCATGGAGTCGTCTGAATTCATCAGGTGATGAACGAATAGAGGCGATGAATCCCGAAAGAGGAATGTTAACCGCCGTCGGGATCATGCCCTGCGCGACTTCGTCCTTTTCGCGCACGTCAATCAAATATGTACCCTACAACCCACCCAACCCAACAACCAAAAATAAACAAAAACAAACAACAACACCCATATAGACCTTTGTCAGATACCTAGAATTGGTTGGCAATAGTGATAGTTCACTTACAGGCGGCGGCGCGCGAACGCGGGCTTTAACCTCTTCATAGGTGACGACAGGAGCCGACCAGTCCGGGTTCAACGTACGTCCCTGTGTCTGATTTTGACTCGTCGTCGTCTGGTTCGGCGTCTCTGTTGGCGGTTTCGAAGACGACGACGAGTTCCAACGTGTTGGATGAACCAACGAGTTGATGAACGGCCGCGCACCCGTGACTCTGGACAACGAGGATGAAGAAGCGCGTGGTGCTCTTGATAATGTGCTGCATGTCTTGGATACAGCCGCTCAGGGTTTTGGTAGGAGTGCAAGTTGTGGATAAGTAAGGCGTGATCACTTGCCGAGTCCTCCGTCGGATACTTACAGACCCTCTCAAAGTCTTACAAACCATTTTCGCACATCAACACAATGTATTTCTCATGCACGAACGTCAACAAAGAGGTATACAAGAGACATCAAGCCTTGATCCAGACCTCGGGACCGGCGTTTGGTTCGTGAAAAAATGAAAACCCATTGGCTACAAAGTGTGGTGATGTGTCATGTATGATATGAGACCACGTGCGCAACTAGGCGCGCGACTGGGAGCGAAAAGATTGTGTCGAGCGAGTGTGAGCAGAGTGCAAAAGTGCCCGTGAACCGTCGAGCCATGCGAGGGATTCACAGGCAGAGGGTTTGTAAAAAGGTGATGGCCACCATAGCTGCTATGCTCGGCTAGGAGTACAGTGGTATCGTGATCGGGTCGGTATCATGGCAGGTGAAGAGGTGAGCAGGGGAGCGGAGGACGTCAGGATAGCGACCGAAACGAAGAATGAAACCCCAGAAGAAAAACGGAATCAAGATCTAGTAGAGGCATCGGCACCATCGAGGTGCGCCCAGGATGTATGGGATAGGTATATCGTGACAGTGCAAAGTCAGATGGGACTTGCAAAGTATAGTTTCGTGATCTATTGCTTGAAGTACTTGACGTAGTTGACCGTCCAGTCTACGAATTTGTTAGCACATGACTCTCCCGACGGGTAATGCGGCAACGTACAGGCCTCGGAGAAAGCGGAACCGTTTTCTCTGACATATCGCTCGCAAGATTCAAATCCAGTCTTTTGTGCGCAGCCGGAAGATCCCCAAGTGGCACCGGCCCAGTCTCCGCAGAATGTCCTGGAAAGACAATGAGTGCAAGTCTATCAAATAGACTGATAACTTACGTATCAAAGATGGCAATCTGGTCGCGGAAAAAGTCGCGAGGCGAGCATCCCGAAGCGCTCCAGTGAGCAAATGGATGCTGCCAGGTCCATGGCATCGGCTGATCGGCGGCGAGATCGGCAGGAATGGCACCACGAGGGAAGAACCAGACAGAAATGCCAGAGTCGACCCATTGCATGGCATAGACGCCACCCTTTGCAGAGTTGAAGCCAGCGCCGTAGGTGTTTTGGCTGGTCACATCTGCAAAGCCACATCCAGTGTTGCTGGAGCCAGAGGAGCCGCAGTTGGCATTGATGAGCTGGCCAGAGGACGGATGGTTGGCATCGCTGACCGCGGTACAGCCATAGCTGGTGTGGAGCGTCGCCGAGTTTGTATCCGAATCGTGAACGCCTTCGAGGATATCAATCTCACCACCTGCAGGCCAATTGGGTCCTGACGAACAGAGATGTCAGCGCGGTATAGACCAGAACGAGGGTGGGCTACTTACCATTTGCCCACCAAGCGGGCCAAGTACCACAACCCGTTGGCATGTGCTCTGCATCCATGACGAGGAGAGAGTTGATATTGAAGACGTGCTTGCCGTGAATACGAACAGACTGGCGCATGTGCTGGTATTGCTCAGTGCTGACACGCATAATTGCCTGCGTGTCGGTAACACTGATGAGCCCAGTGTTCCAAGCAGTACCAGCATCGACATAGTTGACGGTTCCTGGAAAAGACGGGGAGTTAAGGTCCAGGCCTAGCGTGTGGCGCGGGAAGGAGGGGTTGACATACCATGAGTCGGATCAGGGGCATTCCAAAATGTCCAACCATCGAAAAAGGTCCTGCCTTGGTTCTTGACCTCGAGAGACCAGGGCGTGTTAAAGGTTTGGGTCGACGGAGTAGACGAAGGCTGGGCGCTGCTGCCAGCGTTTGTCGACGTCACATTGGAAGTCGATGAAACAGTGCCAGAAACAGAACCCGAGGAAGAACCGCTTGTCGAAGTTGGGGCGGCGGTGGCGGAGAGAGACGAAGTGGGGCGTAGACGGCATTTCTTCTGCGTGCGTTTTGCGCGTTTCTTGGCGACGTTGTGAGCAGCCTGAGCGAGCGGGCTTGATGCATCACGAGCAGACAATTTGTGGTGCAACGAACCCGGCGAACGGGCAGCAACGTTGTGATGGCTAGCGGCGTGTGCGGAAGGAGCGGCCTGGACGCCAGCGGCGGCGGTGAAGAACAAGGCAGAAAGAGTGGCGATTGTAGAGAACTGCATGATTGGGATCGCGAGTACTATGCTCTTTCAGGAAACGAGTGCGATATTCTTTGGGTTTGTTCGCTGGGCGCGGGCGAGTGGGGTGACTAGAAAAAATCCAGGAAAAATAAGACTTGTCGCAGAGGATGCTGGTGAGCTGCAGACGAGTCTGATAGATGCACCTGGCACGGAGCACACAACGTCAAAGACGCTTTGCAGAAAAAGGGAGGAGAGGGAGCGAGGCAAAGAGGCGAGGTCTATTTGTACCGGCGTGGCCACTCCGGAATTCAACGCCAGGCTAGGCAAAAAGGGCGATGAACCGCCGGTGGGCGGCGCGCTAACAATCGTCGTCTCAGGAGCGCGGATTCTCTTTAAAGTGTTTGGAAACTGCTGCTAGGGCCGAGGCGGGCACAGCGGAAGCAAAAGGGCTAGCGTTGTTATTCGGTAAAGGCTGGCGATACAGCTAGTACAACTACATATCCCGGTTTATATCCATTTTCTACGACCACACACTCTTTGGATGTGCCACAAGCTCTGCCGCAGCGTCGTCGACAAACCAGCTCAACGTCCCGACGAGTGGCCGGACTCGCGAACAAGGTAAACCTTCCTCTGGCCGGTCAAGGATCCTTGCCAACATCTCCTTTTTCCCTTCTCCCGTTGCCACAAATGCAACCCGGGCCGCATGGTTCAAGACGGGAAACGTAAGCGTGATTCGCTTCGGAGGCGGCTTGGGCGAGTCTTCGAGACAGGCCACCCATTCGACTTCTTCCATAAGCAGCTCGTGTCCAGGAAACAGCGAGCACGTATGGCCGTCGGGTCCCATGCCAAGCAGGATCAAGTCGAATATCGGGAACCGCGCCGTCTCCTTTGAAGCAAACTGCAGGATCAGGTCGTTTTCATATGCTTCTCTGAGCTCTTCAATGTCATCCAGATAGTCAGTGTTGATGGTATGGATATTTCCCTCGGGAATGGGCACCTTGTCGTAAAACTCCTTCTTGCAGAGCGCATGGTTTGAATCCTCGTGATCCAATGGCACAACGCGCTCATCTGCATAGTATACCTGCCTGTAAAAGTGTGAAATCGCGACAGAGAGCCATCTCGCCACTGCTTACCATCGGTCCCATTGCACATCAGGTGCGTCAACGAGCTTGCCGAGCATTTTCGGCAAGGAACCTCCAGAGAGTGCAATCGTAAATCTCCCCTTTTTCTCAATCGCCTCGTGTTGCGCTTTGACGACAAACTGAGCGAGCGCATCCTTGACGTCGTCGACTGTCGGCAGCGAGTAGACGACGGGCGTTGCAGGAGAATGATGCATCGCTTTCTGTAATTTACTGGATTTTATTTCCAACTACTTTGGTCCGCGTCTGTGTGGCGTTTGGCGGTCAAGTGGCGAGTCCCCGGCGTAATGAACATGTTGACCAATGACCTCGACTTCTATTACTCTAGCTGCCTCTAGCTCGGGGCGAGTATCTGGCAAAAACTGGAAGACACGCAAGACAGCAACAGTGTACATCCAATTTCTTATAAGACGAGACTCCATCTCACTCTTTGCCAGCCGCTCAAATCTACCCACCGGTGTCAAGACCAAATCATGGCAAGAGAGAAAGCGAAAGGACACCCAAATGGCAGCCGTAAAGGCACTGCAAAAGGAACTCAAAGATGAGAAACTCGCAGAGATTCAAAGGTGGGCTATGTTCGCCGTCCGATGCGGAACCCGCCCCCACTCACAGCACGGGTTCGACAGGCGCAAAGAGATTACCAAAGAACGGAAAGAACGTGCAGAAGAGCGCAAGCGACTCGAGGAGATGAAGGCAAAGGTCTGCCCTTTTCCGTTCATTGGTTTTCACTCTCTGACTCTCACAGATGTCGGCGAAAAAGCTTGCTCGCATGCGAAGAAGACAAGGTCGAACAAAAAAGATCAATGGATGAGTCTATACATGCTACTGGTAATACAGGTCATCTCGTCGCGTACAATAACAAGGTCTTCAATGCTCGTAAAATGCTCTTCAATGCTCGAGTCCACGTCTCGTCTGCGGAACCAAATGGCAGTTTGATCGAAATTTCGCCAATCTTGTCATGAGAGATCCTGGCCAGATATCAGGCTATGCACAACAGCTATTGCAGACACTTACGTGCAAGTCTCGGGGAACCGTACGGACGAATCCTCGGCCGTGACGTGGTCCATGAGTTGCTTTAGACAATCGAGAAAGGCGGCCATTCCGGTGCTGAACCGTCGACGTTGAAGTACATTCGTCAGCTCTCCACCAGCGTCGTAAAGCTCGTAAATGTCATTCTTCGCGAGTCCTTCAATCTTGGAAAAGGATCCCATAGGGATCAGACGCCACCTATCAACCTTGAGCAATGCACGATATAGCTTTTGTATTCCTCACCTCTGAAAGGTAAAATCCAGCTTTCTCGCGATTACTTGTAAAAGTAGCACAACTTGTCCCCAAGCTGCATTGATTTCGGGATAGTCTACCGTCACCGGACGGCCATCGACTGTACCAGTGCGCCCGAAGCGGAGTCCGTTGATGGTCCCAAACGACGGTCCGTCCTGGCCTATGCAAAAGGCATCATTGTAGACGTTTGTGCTCTCCAATCTATCCAAGGTGGCGGAATCGGCAATGTAGGCAGCCTTGAGCGAATCCAATTTTGCCTTTTCCTCCGACTGTGCAAGCATGACAGCATTGTGAGATCTCCAAAACCTGGACCATCGTGAGCAGTGTTCAATTCAGACGGGAAATACTTACTCTGCCTCTTCCTCCTCCAGGAGCTTCTCCTCTCGTTCTAGTTGCTCCAGCTCAGCCTCTAGCGCTGCACGTTCTCGGTCCGCCCTGAGCAGTGCTTCACGTGCCTCTTCCTCTTCAACTTTGAGTTGCTCTATTCTGCGCTGATCTTCTGCCAAGGCAGCCGGATTATCGCCCTCCTTTTTCCTCTCCTCCTTGATCTGCTTCTCAAAGGCAATGTACCCATCCTTTTCCCTTGAAATGTCGCTTAGCTGCTTGTCAAATATCTCCTTGAGGGCACGTGTGCAATCGTCGCACAGTGGATGGTCGATTTCAGTCTTTGATGACAGCAACGCGTATAGTTTTCCAGCCGACCGCAAGCGCTCCGAAAATGGTGGAGCCTCGATATCTATTTCCTGTTGATTCGTGGTGCTCTCTTTGGTTGCTTTGCCTTTACCCTTGGGCGAAGTGACGAATCCGCCATTTGGAGAAGCAGGCGGAATGTTCTTGATGATACTCTCCTGCAAGAGCACAAACGACTCTCCTCCAGCAACAGACGCACGGTGTCGATTCTTGGCAGCGGCTGCACCCGCCGCCGCCGTCTTCCTCAACGAGCCAGTGTCCCCCGCCGTCGAACCAGAACCCGCAGCGCGTTGTTGTGAGCGTTCCCATGCGCTCTTCACATCCGGATGTCCAGGCGTCTTGGCTAGCAAATCCTTTGGCGTCGTTCCAAACCGCAAACTCGTCCGTCCACTCCCACCGCGCAGCGTCTCGGCTTTCGGAATGGAGCCTGCAATGAGCTCGTAGTTTGATGGTGTCAAGTCGCTCAGCGACTCGTCAATTTGTACCGGCTGATTGCATTGTTGGCACGTCAGCGTCTCCATCGCAGACGCGGCAGACTCCAAGTTTTGGCTGACCCAAGCTCACAAAGTTCCCCACTTTGCTCCCAACTTCGATGAGAGGGAATGCGTCTTGGCCTTTATACTCGGGAAATACACGCTAGGAGAATCAATTTATCCATTTTACCCCTTTTTCCACTCGTTCGACGCGCCCATGGACTCGCAACGCGCGAGAAGCCAACGCAGACCGCGTTGCAGCTCAGAGATTACCAAGAAAACTGTATAGACGCATGTATGAGCGCGTTATCCAGAGGTGTTACGCGTATTGGCGTGTCTATGCCCACAGGCTCGGGCAAAACAACCGTCTTCGTCTCGCTGTTGCACAAGGTCATGGCTGCAAAGGAGAGACCACATGCCAAACGGTCACTCATCATCGTCAATTCGATAGAGCTCGCTCTCCAGGCCGCAAATCAAGTCAAGCGAATGTTTCCAGACACGACCGTAGAAATTGAGCAAGGAAAGAATAGTGCATCGGGTTTGGCCGACATGTAATGTCCTTTAAACTCGGCTCTGCTCTTCAATTGACCCGAGAATAGCACGGTCGCGACGTACCAGACCCTAGCTCGTGGTGGACGCCTCGAGAAATTTGATCCAAGGTGGACCAAGGCAGTCATTGTCGACGAAGCGCACCATGCAGCTGCTAAATCGTCCGTTTGGTCTCTTTCATGCAAGGTTTTGCTCACTTTCGTCAGGTACCTGTCAATCCTTTCGCACTTTGACCCAGTTGTCGGTATAAAAGATGCTCCACCGGAACAATCCACCTTAGTTCCTATCATTGGCTTCTCAGCTACCTTTGGCAGGCACGATGGGCAGGCCCTAGGTGCCGTCTTCCAAGAGATTGTCTATCATAAAGACTTTCTCCAAATGATAAAGGATCAATGGTTATGCAATGTTCGGTTCACCATCGTCAAGGCTAACATTGATCTATCTGCGGTCACGGTCAATCGAGCGAGCGGAGATTTTGCAGCCTCTAGTCTAGCGCAGGTCATGAATACTGAAGCCATCAATTCTTTGGTAGTTCAGAGCTGGATTGAAAAGGCCGGTACGTCGCTTGCTTGGTCTTTTGGAAACAGACCTCATTCTTCTAGGGAACCGCAAGTCGACTCTGGTCTTTTGCACCAACACTGCCCACGTACATGACCTCACCAACGAGTTTCGTAAACGGGGCGTAGATGCACGATACATTCATGCTGGCACGCCAGCAAAAGAGCGACTCGCTCTCTTGGACGGCTTTCGGTCAGGGTTGTTCCCAGTTTTGGTGAACTGCGCCATCCTCACAGAAGGGGCCGACGTCCCGAACATTGACTGCGTGGTTATCGCTCGTCCGACACGTTCCAGAAATATTTTTGCCCAAATGGTGAGTGCCGGTGTGTTTCATCCCAGGATAACTTGGACTAACGTAACTCGAGATTGGACGTGGAATGCGATTGTCGCCGGGTACAGGCAAAGAAGACTGTCATATTCTCGACTTTGTTGATACCCATGATCGTGTCGCAGGGACGTTTTCGACTCCGACCCTGTTTGGTTTGCATCCCAGTGACATTGAATCGGGTGCGACATTGGAAGAGTTGATGGCGAAAAAGGAAGCGGCTCAGGAGGATGACAAGGAGCGTCCGGCCAGAGAAACTGAGGAGCCCATGGACTCGCCACGCATCAAGAGTGTGACATATGTCGAGCATGAGGATCCATTCAGCTGGGAGTATGACTCTAAGCGAGAGAAGCATATTCACTCTCTTAGCGCGCTGTCTTGGGTACCTATCCAGGGCTCTTACATTCTCGAGTGCATGGGTAAAGGCAGCATGCGAATTCAGCCCTTTGAAGATGCCAGTGAGTGGACGATAACTACAAGTGGAACGAAAGCTCATCGAAATACAGATGGCAAGCGGATATGGGAAGTCAACTTTATCGCAGCATGGGACAAGGAATCGATGAAGCAGCTCTTTGGTCGACCAGGAGGGATCGCTGGACGAACAAGACGGATTGCGACAGCCGGAACCTTGCCCGACGCCGTCAGCGCCGCCGAGAGCTTTGCAAAACAAAAGCTCGCCCCAGGGCAATTGGGACTCGGGTGAGTCTCGAACCTTTTGCAACAGCCTGCGATCGCTAAGCCCTGTCTAGATTACTCCGGACAGCAAAATGGCGACAGGGTCCCTCGACGCTCCCACAGCGACAAATTCTCGCCAAGAGTCTTGGTATAAGCCTGGATCCAAAGTCAAAGGAGGTTGATCCTGCAAAAGCGCATATGCGTGCGTTTTCGAGAGTGCATTCAAAGGAGGACCTCGCTCGATTGACAAAGGGCCGAGCGGCGGATATGATTACCAAGTTACGTAGTGGTGTCAAGGTATGCACAATCGAATTGGCATTCGAATGTTCTGATACTGTGGTTCCAGGGTGCATACGACAAGGAGTTGAAGCGGCGAGCTCGAGAGGCGAAAGAACAGCAAAAGGAAGATTCAAGACGAGCACGCGAGACTGTTCGAGTCGGTCCCTTGTCTACTTGAGATTCGAACCAGATACTGTATCCTTATGACTAGCAACAAATGCGCGTATAGTACACAATCTCTATTGGACAGACCAAGTACGGGACAAACATCGACAACCGATATTACAGGATTCTTGACAAACACGAGATGGACCAAAAAAAAATCCAAGAAATTTGTTGTGCGCACGTCGTGTGCGCAAATGCACGTATAGTAATATGATGCAAGAAATGAGTCAATGGAGATTTACCCATCAAAGCCGGGGAAGAATTGGTGGAAGAGGTCCTTTTCCCAGCTGTTTAACGCCGCGGCGGGCGGAGGCACGCTCGAGGTGGACTCGTGCGGCCAGAATGAACCAGATAAAATATTATCCAGCGTGTATTTGCCATCGCGATTGACATCGTCGAGGGCAGTTGCCGTTCCAGAACCGGATAATGTAGCGGAGTCCCCGAGGGACATCTCGTATCCAAAGTCTGGCACGGCCATACCCACAGTTGACGGTCCATTCAACACATGGTCGATGGATTCAGGGAGGGTATACCTTCCATACGTCTCGTCGTCGTATGACGGCGGGGTAAATTGGATCGAGGGGTGCGACGAAGGGGACAAGAGCTGTCCGTGAAGTGAAGTATTGTCCTGGTGAACCGTATTCAGATCAATCGCGAGTCCACTTTCACGGGTGTCCATCGCCGTGTCCTGATCCCGTCGAGGCTCGACGCCGTTTGCTGCTGCACCTCCTCCAGACTCGTACTTCTGCGCGGCCTCTGCCTCGTACATACGGTGCTTTTGCAGTAAACTGTCGAGGAAGCGGGCATAAATCTTTGGCATGTGCGAGTCGTCGATGGAGACGGACGAGTCGCTGAGCACGCGAATAAAGCGCTCAACGAGCGGATGATCCTCACGTTTCTCCTCTTCAATGAGGTGAACGAATTTGTGTCGAAGAAGCTTGAGGAGGAATGCGGACGCAAACGAGGCGAAGACGAGATGGCTGTCAGGTGCGTGTCGGAGATAAGGTCTCATGACGGGGTCGTTGACCATCATAGCAATGACCTTTTGGGCAGCGTCGAGGCACTGCGGTAATGTCAGTCATGTCAAAGGATCTATAGAACGGTGTACGAACCCGCGTGATGAGGTCGTCTCCTGGGGTAAGCAATCCCATACTGAGCGAGTATTGGAATCCAAACGACAGTATAACAAGTCTCGAGTAGTTGGCATAGCTGGGTAGAGTTAGAAAGCGATTGAGGAAGAAAGAATAGACTCACAATGGGAGTAAATGGCGTCGGTAACGGCAGCGGGGATCTGGGTGAGTTTATTAGCATATATAGATGTCTTCGAGGTGTTAATTACCATCCGAAGTCTCTTCTGCCGCAAGGAGCGCGGCAGAGCGCTGCTCCCAGGCAACAATCTCGTCGTCAAACTCGAACGCCGTCTGACGGAGATCAAGATCTTCTTTGATACCCGAAGGCGTGTTCACGTCGGCATAAATGGTATCCTGAGCGCGAGACATAATGCGCATGAGCGCAGTGATTTGGCATAGATGAATGTCATAAGGAGTGTTGTATTTCGAGCGGCGGTACCAGTCCTCCGACTTGTGGATCAGGTAGTTTTCGCGGATTGTCATTGGCTTGCCAAGTTGTGCAGACGTCGAGCGGTCCATATTGAAGCAAACGATCCAGGTACGGGTGCGGTTCTGTCGGGGGCCAGTTTGTTAGCAATGACATCCCTATGAGGGCGAAGGGGAATGCTTACAAGAATTTCCCTCTCCTGTTCCTCGTTTGCGGCTTCGATGTCGACTGGAATGTGCAGGTTGAGGTCCATGGCCATGCGGATGGCGAGACCAAGATAGATCCAGGCTCTGTCCTCGTCGTACTTGCGGCAGGGAAGAGGCCACAAGGATAGGAGTAGATACGCCTGGCAAAGCTCGACACTCTTCTTGCTATCCGTGAGCGACGAGGCGGCCGATGTCATGGCAAAGTGCATGGCAATACTGTAAAGCTCCGGACGTTCCGTGTGATATCGAGAGGCAACGGCACAGACTAAAATCAGTTAGCGCATGGTTCCTGTCCCGTCCATCGGCGGGAGCCACTCACCGACAGTGAAGAGGAGCGGGCAGCGTGCAAAGGTCGTAGCGGGCTTGTGCAATGTCTCGTCGAGCAAGTTGATAGATGGCTGCCCAAGGATGTCAGTCAACCCGTAGGCGTCTCGAGAGCTCCCAAACTCACGTTGAGCTTTTCGTAAAAGATGGCAAACAGCTTGTCGACTTCTGGAGGTTCGATGAGACCCTTGCGCAACAACTTTGGCTCCTCGCTGAGTCCACGATCAATCTCAATCCTCCTCAACCCAAGCTGCGAGAACTTGGCGGCCATCGGGTCGCCCGAGATGAAATAATCATGTCTCGCAACACCAATATCGACCGAAGAGGGACTAATAGGGAGCGGAGGCTCGCCTACACTCGATTCTGCGTGGCTTGCAGCGGTATTGACGGCAGCCCCGCGTAGCGAAGCAGCAGCGAGGACACCGACGGGGTGGCGAATAGAGAGGTTTGCGCCACGGGATGCGCGCGGGGACCGCGAGGGTGTTGAGCGACTGTCACTCAACTCGAGATGGGCCATTCCGAGCCCGCTCATCCCACTCGCTGATCTCGCGGAACTGCGAAGACCTGGACGACGAGGTTGTCGACCACCAGAGTAGTCTTGCTGCTGGTAGTGTTCGCCGTCGTGGGAGGTCGGCTTCGCTTCGTCGTCGTCGGACGAGGACGAGGTTTCGTTGAATGCGCGGCCGTTGAGATCCATCGAGGTAAATGCTACGCGTGAAGCCTCGGCCTTTTCGAGCCATTCCAGGACTTGCTTCCGCAGTGGCTCTTCGTAAGCTGCAGAAGAGGGAGGAGAACCGGACGAAAGGTTCTCTTCGCCTGGGTGCTGGAGCATATAAGGCTTGAGCATACGACTGAACAACTCGATGATAGCATTCTTCTTGTCGAGTTCGGCTTGGAGCACCTTGCGTGAGCTGTATGGGATCAGCTGTGGGACCCAAGTAATCGTCGTCTGGAGACATACATGGGCAGTCTACGCTCTGGACGTAGCTCAACAAAGCATTCACGGTTATGCAGCTGGCAGCTTTTGCACGTGTTACTATTCTTGTCCATGTGGCATTTGCTCTAGCGGATCGTGAGCAGGATGTCTCGGTATAAAGTTGATTGGAAGCTCACCTTTTGCTTGCGACAATGGTGACAAGCCTTGTGGCTATAAGAAGAGCATGAGAACGAGTGATTTAGAGGACGTTGGGAGACCGACTATTTGTTGGCTCGCGTTGCCTCGTCGTCGTCCGAGTCGACATCGTCGTCTTCCGACTCGACCTGGCGTCTAGGCCGTTTGGATGGACGACCATTGTTGTTAGTCGGTCGACGAACTGGGTCACGGGGAGTTATTTTTTTCCTTTTCGACTTTACAACGCCATTGGAACTGTCCGAGTGCGGTCCAGGCCCTGTCACTGGGAGGTTGTCATCATGCCTGTCAAAACATCGACAGAAACAAAAGGGAAATAGTCAGCAAGACCGAAACAACGGCGAGAGCGGAAGCGAACAGACTTTAATGAAGCCTCATTAGCAACTCCTAGGCCGCCTCGATTTGCCTGCACCGACGGGAGCGGCTGCTGCAATTCTTGCTTTGGATTATTCTCAAGGAGCGCAAGGTGAAAGCCTCGAGGATCCTCAAAGATGGACTTGTCAAAGGTAGCATGGTCCTGGGACGATTGGTGATGCTGTTGCTGCTGCTCAATCGAGCTGCCTTCATGTGAAAAATATGATTGCTGTATCCACGGTGGGTTTGGTGGAGGAGACAGCGTAAGCTGCGGGTTGACGGTTGGCACTGAAGACCCAAAGACACCTGTGGGTGCGTGGGGAAAAGCACCAAGGGTGCGAGGAAACGAAGTAGGTCGCTGTTGTTGGTACATGGGCATGGCTTGCATGGAAAACGACTGCTGGGACGCGTAAAAGGGAGGAGAGCCATAGGCAAGTGCTGGATTCATCAGCTGAGGATCATGGTCGCCACCTGGGAGACCTTGAGCATTGTATATGGCCTGATGTTGATGGAGAGTGTTGGCGTGGAGGAGCGGAGAGTTAAAGGGGGGAGACTTTGGATGTCGAGCAGGCGACGTGGGTAGACTACTGTTGTTCATCAGATTCTTCTTCTGAGTGAACATATACAATGAACAAAATCTCCGTAGACGCGTCGAAACCGGGGAGGAGAGGGAGAAGGGACGGAGTCGGTGGCTGCAAGCTCGGATCCCCAGAAGGTCGCCTTATGAAGAGATCCGAGGTCGATCATCTCGACAATATACATTATTATATTTCCTATTATTTTTGTAGCTGCTTTACCTTCTCACTATGCAGCGGGATGTGCAGTCGCCTGGACATCTCAATAGGTGTTAACTTTGAATGGCCGGCCAAAGAACTAACGCCGGTTGGTTTTCTAATAGCTCTGTGATCATTTATTCGTGGTGAATATTCTCAACATTCTCAACGCAGACTTGGTTTACTGGCCTACCGTCGTCCTCTTGGAGTCTGACCTCGACAGGCCACGGCCATGGACGACGACATTTCCGCCTCGTTTGGCTTTGGATCGTTTGGAAAGCAGAAGAAACAGAAAAAGGACGAGACTCCGCTGTTCGATGACATCCGACGGCCAGTGGTACGGGCGCTGCTATTCCGTTTATTCCGCTCACATCCTTTCCGGGTTATCTTACAGGATTCAGGTCCCAGTCCCGCTCTTGAGCGCTCAGTCCCGTCACCTGGCCCCTCCAAACCTCTGCCAACAAATTCCTCGGATTCAGTACGCCCCCCGCGCGTAGAAGACGACGACGACGCGGATGAATATGGTAATGACGATGAAGACGACGCAGGAAACGCGTCGCTCTTCCCCATCTCCCACGAGGCCACGCTCAAAGAGCACAAAAAGGTCGTCACCGCGCTCGCGTTGGACTCGTCTGGCGCACGCTTTGCAACGGGCTCGCACGATTACGATGTAAAACTATGGGATTTTGGTGGTATGGGTGGTGGCGTTGGAAGGCCGTTCAAGTCATTTGAGCCGGCAGAAAACTATTATGTGAGCTATCCCTTCCGCTTCTCCGCAAGTTTCCCTATTTCTCCAGACTCGCACCATATGTTGAGCTATGCCACTCTCTCTATCTTTTACATTTCAGGCTATCGCCGCTTCTATCTGCCAAGCGCTCAATGTCCATACTCATCCGGCCTCTTGAATTCGCCTCCGGGGGTGGAGGCCACGCGCATACATGTCTTTGTATGCCAGCATATCCCATCCGTCCCACCTTGGTTGTTTCAACCATCAATCCTGCTCCATTACGCCCATTACGCCGCTCCATCCGATTTCCATCCTCCATCCGTCAACGTCCACAAACTGACGTGCTGGGACTTGTTCTCAGGTCAACGACCTCAAGTACTCAGTAGCTGGCGACCAGTTACTGGTGATTTCAGGAACAACTCAGGCTAAAATATACGACCGTGATGGTGAAGAACTGTAAGTGGTTTCCCCTGACTATCCTATACATGCTCTCTCGCGTCGAAACACCTGACTTCGGTGCCTTTAGTCAGACGTACATCAAAGGGGATCCATACATCCGGGACATGAAGAACACTGCGTGAGTTTCATTCTCAAAATACCCTCACAATGCTGATCCTTTGTATTTTCCATGGCGCCCGTCTCGATCTCTGAATGACCATTGGTCCAAACTCAAAACCCTTCCGACCTCGCAGGGGCCACGTTGGAGAGTTATCTGGCGGTGCATGGCATCCAAAGGACCCACAGACGTTTATCACGAGTTCGGCTGACAGTACGATCCGGTAGGGTTTTGCATATCTTGTCCCCCCCTTATCCATTCCCGCCCTACTGAACCAAGCTCGGGCCTCCCTTGCCATCACGAGACCGTATGCCAGCGCTGACAATCGCCAATCAGGATATGGGATGTCGAGAACAAAAGAAAGCAGAAGACGGTCATTGTGGTCAAATCCAAAGAACGTGGGGCAAGAACGAAAATATCCAGTTGCTCTTATTCGCACGATGGTTCGTTGATCGCCGCGGGTACGTCTTTGGTATTTCGTTCTATTCGCAAGTACTTACGCATGTCCCATAGCTTGCCATGATGGTGCACTCCACTTATGGTCGACGAGCTCCAATTTTGTTCGCCCCAACATGTCGATGGAAAATGCACACGCCAAGGGGACGGACACGAGTTCCCTTGTACTTTCTATGGATGGGAGAACCCTGCTCACTCGAGGAGGCGACGATACAGTCAAGAGTAGGTTCCCCTTAGCCCTTCCCCTGAAGTCGACGATTGTTGACCTTATCCACAAGCCTGGGATATTCGGGCATTCAAGAAACCACTCTACACCGTCGGCGGCCTGACCAATCTCTACCCAGGTATGAATGCCATTTGGAGCCCTGACGAGAAGCACGTCGTTGTTGGATCCGGGACACCCCCAGTGAATGGACGCGCAGCAGGCGGAAGATTATTATTCCTCAAACGGGAGGGATTGACAGTTGCCGAGCAAATCGATATGAGCAGCTGCGTAGTCCGAATAGTTTGGCATTCCAAGATCAACCAGGTGCGTTCTCACGATGGTCTAACCGGCCAAACCCCGCCTTTTTTTCACAAGCACTAACCAGCGCTTTTTATTCATGCCACACGCACATGCATATGTCCCGATCCCGACGCGGCTACATTCACTCCTGTCACTCTCTAATATGACAACCGGCAGATTTTTACGACTCACGCCGATGGGTCAGTTCACATCCTATATTCACCGCATTCGAGCACGAATGGCGCAAAGCTCCTGAACCGACAACGGGATAAACGTGGACCGACGATTGAAGATGCGTCTGCCGCGCTGCAAATGGCACCAATTGTCGCACCCGACGAAAACTTCCGCGAAGATGATTTGAGTGTGTTTGGCGTGGCGGGCACGAAACGCAAGAGGGAGAAGAATGCTCCGCCGGATCCACGAAAGGCGTTTAGGCCAGAGTTACCCGTTACGGGTCCCGGTCGTGGTGGACGGGTTGGAGCTAGTGCGACGCAGCATGTCGTACAGAATTTGGTGCGGGATACGATGAGGGATGAAGACGTGTGTGATCTTTCTTATTCGCCTCGAGGGTTTTGGTTTACTGACTTTCTTCCATAGCCACGAGAGGCATTGTTGCGCATTGGAAAGACGGTTGACAATGATCCGCAGTGGACCAAAGGTAGGCATTCGTATCGTTTATTTGATGGCTTGCTGACGGGTGGCCAGCGTGGCGAGAAAATCAGCCCAAGCCAGTGTTCCGCGAGGTCGAAGAGGACGACGAAAAGAGCTAGATCATCACTTGTTTTCATGCTGTCATGTACTTTTATGTGCCAATCAAGCGCTGTCCGCCTATCGTACACGATGAATGACAATTGGCTGGAAGGTCAACCTCAGCCCCTCCCAATGTGGATTCGAATGCAATAAATCTAGATTGGTGTGTGTCTCATCCATTAGAATGCAGCCCCTCACTTGCGCAAGGCTCTCGACAAGCTTTTCACGCCTTGCTTCGACCCTCTGTCTCCTTCGATGTCAGATTCAGCCAGCGAACCTTCCTCTAAAATTACAGAAGAGCCCAAGGAGTCTATCGAAGATGTCGGCTCCAACTCGTATCTCACACTTGTTCAGAAAATTAAGAGCACTCGCTTCGATTCTACGCCTACCCCAATGTCGGACTCGGCCAGCGAGCCAGCATATCAAACTACCGAGCATTTGAAAAACTCTATCGAAGATACAAGCTCCAACTCGTATCTTGCGGTCGTTCAGAAAATCAACACCATCGGACCCCAACAGCAAGGACCGGCAAAGGCAACCGGCGTGCGTACGCGAGAAGAAGATGTCACAATGGAATTTCAAGAACCCCCGACGAAGCGAGCTCGCATCGAGCAAGACGTGCGTGTTTCGCATCTCTGGACTAGAACATTCGATCCAACGTTTCGTAGTCACCTCAGCAAACTCGAATATCCGATGAGCAAAAGAGACACATTGAAGGAGCGCTGAAAGCTCTTATGAAACATCCCGCTGCAGTTCCATTCCTCGTTCCGGTCGACCCCGTGCAGGCGAATATTCCAACTTATTTTGATGTAATCAAGCAACCGATGGATCTTGGAACGATACAGAGTAAATTGATGGCGTCTCCGTGTGCGTACGATACGTTACAGTCCTTTGTCAACGACGTGGATCTCGTGTTTGATAATTGCTATCGCTTCAACGGCCTTGCGCACTCAATATCGCATCTGGGTGTCCAATTGCAGACGGAATTCCAGAGGCAGATGCGCCAGTTACCGGAGAGCGCGGTGAGCTGACTACTTCCGACTATTTTCGAGCCCTGAGACTCATCGAATGCAGAATCTTGAATTCAGAGCTATACCAGAAGTTATTCCTCTAGCTATTCCTCCAGCGTTGCCGCCCAAGAAACCGAGCAACACTGCCAGTACGTCCCTCATGAACCATCCCACGTACATGGGCTAATGTTAGCAGTCAAGAAAATTATTCCTCCTCCCGTTTACACACCAGCTACCTTGAGCTCGCGTAGCAGGCGCGATCCACTTCGCATCGCCCAAGTCAAGTTTTGCAAGACGGCCCTCGATCATTTGTACCGCAAAGAGTACGAAACATGGGTTTTCCCATTTCTCCGGCCAGTAGGTGCGCATTATGGATGCTGTCCCTCCCCTTGCTTTTCTGACCCTCCCATGTTCTGATGACCGATGTTGGCAGACCTCTCAGAGTTTCCCAACTACCTCGAAGTCATCAAGAATCCCATGGACCTCGGGACCATTCGAGACAAGTTGTCGCATGCGGTATATGGGACCGCCGAGGAATTTCACAAAGACGTCAAGCTCATGTTCACCAACTGCTATACGTATAATCCAGACTGGGCTCCTGTGTGGTAAGTGACTGGTGGAACCTTTGCGTGCGAGCTCAAGGTTTTCAGGGGATATGCCAAAGATCTCGAAAAGTGTTTGATTCAAAGTGGAAGGAGCTCCCTCTCGAAGTTGAGGTACAAGAGAGTACGTTGTCAGAATCGCCTGTTCCATGTTGTCCTAAATTTATCATAGAAAGCTCAAGACGCGATGCGAAGAAACATGTCGGCGAAGGGCCCGTCTTGACCCAACTAAGAACAAGGCCAAACAAGACAAAGCCGCGCAACTCTACAGCATCTTCTTTGACAGAGAATCAAAAGATTGAGCTATGCGACGCGCTATGGGAACTACCAGATGCCAAATTGGACGAAGTCATTGAACTTATAAGGAAGCGGCTCCCACAATATCGAAATGTACGTACGCATACCATGTCTGAGAATGATTACTCACTCGATAAAGAATGTGGAGACCATGTCGCTGGATTTCGAGCACATTCCCCCTGCTGTGCAGTGCGAGATGTTTGACTTTTTGGGTTTAAAGTCAAAGGTTGTGCAGGATTTGGATAGCTCAACCACACTCTCGAGTTCTGATAGTGAACAGCAAATGGATACGAGCGATGATGATTCTTAGGCTCACTTCTTTGCTTTATACCTGCCCTCAATCTTGTACAGTCGAATACATCGACCTGAATATAGCTCGTGTCAGCCCGATTCCGTAGGTTCCCCTTATGTCATAGGCAACGCGAGCTCTCCCGTGGTTGTTCTCAGCCATCATTCGACGTGTGTCTATTGAGAAGGCACAGATCATGAATGGGCCGCATCTAGTGCCGCCAGTTGGTCAACCAAGTCTGCCATCACGTCTCTCTGGGGTGCTGCTGGAGGCGGCGGCGGTGGGAGCATCAAAGAGGATGTTGAAGCGTCTGTACTCGCAGCTGCACCAACTTTCTTTGGGACTAACGCCCCGACGCTTGGATCAAAGCCTGGCGCTACTTTGCGCAGCTGTTCTTTCCGTATACGCTCCTGTTCTTCTTGCTGGAGGCGCTTAATTCTCTCCAACTCTAGACGCTGTTGTTCCTTTTTGTGCTCATGTCTCTGCAGGACGGCGAGGCGCTGGGCGTCGTTTGTTGCGAGCGTCGATCGTCGTTTGTTCTCTAAAGTTATGATATGTTCTTCTAGAGTGTATGGATAGACAAACTATAATGAATGTCAGCAATGATCACGCTTGAAGTATGAATATGCGCACGTATGCCGTGACCGAGTCTGGAAGGGGGTGGATGTCTGGTGGCACTTGTACCTACGTGTTGTTTAACCATTAATGGCAACGGTTATTATCTGACGTACAAGTTTGGGAACGCGAAGGCTGGGCGATTTGATGAGTGGAACATGGACGGCCTCGCCATATTGCGACGTAGAGCCTGAAGGAACTATAAGATTATTTCAAGAATCATTGCATTGCTAGCTGACCAGATGGGCTTGAGGAGTGCATGGGCAAGGATGCAGTCAGGTGGTAAGTGACTGTTTGACCTTACGTTCAGTTCTTGGGCGTACGCCCGCGTTAGTCAAGCTTAGTTTGTTTCAAGTCCTCGTTTTTAATAGGTGACGAATAGATTGGAGTGTTGGTAACGACTTTGGGGTGACTAGCTGAGGTTCTGGTGAATCCTGCTTCATCTTTCAAGTCGGTTGGGCCAAGGCCAACCGTCCACGGTCAGAAAATAACGAGTCTGCGTGCAGACCATGGAAGCCTGGAAACTTCCACTCAACCCAGTAGTGAATTTCGACAAGCGGGATGAGTGGAGCGAGTATGTATACTCTAGAGTCAACGAGGCGATTCCGATCAAGCATATGGTGCGAAATCTCTCCCCTTGCATCACAGAGACAAGGAGTGGCTCAAGGAAGCCAACTCTATCGAGTCTTGGACCGAACACTCCGACGTTTTCACCTACTTGAACGAGATTAGTGCCTCAATACGGAAGAAGAAGGTATGTGTTTACCTACCCCGTCAAGTTTGACCATTAACGACGCTTCTAGACCATGAGTACAAGATATCGTTTCTAAAGACCACGAACAAGCCAGTTGCAGGTCACCCAACCGAGACTGGTTGTCAACCAGACATATTAGCCTAGAGGGATTACCCAGGCAGAGTCCTCACACCTGAACAAGTCAATGGCTGCACTTGGGAGGGTCGGGGGAGACATGGTCAGCGGGTGACAACCAAGAAGAAAAGAAGCAAAAGCGGGGGCGTATACGGCATTCAACTTGCTGGCTCGACCAGACTTGGTCTCCGTACCCGGCCTGTGGATCAAAAGGTAACAGGCTCATTATCTTCTTCACCAACGCGTCCAGGGTCTACCATTCGCCAATCGTCAAACTCAATGAGAACAATGGTCGCCTATTGATCTACGCATTCGTTTGGCATCTCTATCACCCAATCACAGATCCAACAATTACCATCGACCTCAAATCCCTTATTTCGACTTTTACTGTCACCTCTGACGAAGTCTACGAGAATATCTCCATCCTCTATGTTGGCGATGCAATCGGTCGGAGGACTACAATCCTCGAGCAGCCAACAAATTCTTCATTGGTTATCAAGGAACAATACCTCAAACCTGACCAACGGTTTAAAGAAGGAGACCTGTTGAACAAGATCCATAAGGGCGGGTACTTCCCTGGCGTCGTCCGTGTCAAACGCGTTGAACAAAAAGTGGCTCATCAAGGCAAGGAGGTTGCCACATCTGATCGGGTCAAAACGCGCCTAGCTCTTCTGGACAAAGGAACGCAGTTTCAGGAGGTCAAAACCTTCCGCCAGATGTTGATGATCATGTACGACGTCTTAGAAAGTCAGTGATCTATTAGCACGCTTCTTCGTCTGCTAAAACTTGTTTAGTGGTACGTATGCTTCATCGGAAGCGACAGATAGTGCATCGGGATCTCAGTTCTGGGAATATCCTCTTCCGAGAGATGACCAAACCGGAATTACGATGCATCTCACCTGATCTGTGGGACTCGGACATATGCTCCACCCATTGTCTACTTGAGTCGCAGGAAGAGTGAGTAGGTGATGATATGATGTACAACGAATAACCCGGATATGTATAGACCTACAATCGAGGATTGCCTTTCCACCTCGCTTCTGCTGAGGACTTTGACCGTGGACAAGATAAAGACGTCAACACCCAAAGCAGTATGCCTCGAACGGTAGTGGTACTCTGCTCCTCCATAACTCCTCCGCTGACAAGCTTCCAGGGTACTTCGATATTCATGGCGTACATGGTGCGAAATAATGTGTACCAGACCGGCAATAAAACAATACCCGCGATACCTCATGTTCATTCCGACTTGATCTCTCGCTACCAGTCACTACTTCCGGATCGACTGACGAGATTTCCGGAGAACGAGGAGGAATTGAGACCAATGCCGAAAGGGGAAACACGCTCGGATAAAGATTTCAGCACCTTCTTCGGCACGACGCCGAGTCGGTGTTCTGGTGCATGGTGTGGTGGTCGATCCAAGTCAAACCCAATGGTTCAGGCCGAAGCGAGTTGCTACAGTCGTATTGGGCTAACCTCACGGACGATCAAAAGGATCATCGCTACCATTGCTACGTCAACACCACCGAGCCATTTCCTCTACACAAAGACTACGTCCTCGTCAACGAGCTGCTCGATCAAATGAGGGAATACCTCAAGGTCGACCTCAAGTACTCTGAAGATGAAAGGAAACGTAACGATCCCGAATACCTGTGTGAAGTGTTCCAGAGACTCATCCTCAATTTCCTCGTCGAATATCAAGGGTCACCCTTTCTGACACTCGAAAGGGATGCAGAGTTTCGAAAGGTTGGAGAACCGTGTGGTGGTGGAGCAATGTCAACGACAACCGGGACCAAAGAGTCATATTTATCTCGCTCGAGCGTCGGTGCGCAACACCCTTCGGGTTCAGTCTATTCAAGTGGATCTAGCAATGATGCCAAGCGACGAGCTGACACGGATGACTCTGAACTCGAGGTGAGTAGTAACTGCGAGGAACACAGCTACTCATACCTTGAACAGGGAGGTCATCGGCCCAAGAGACCACGTCATGCGTAACTCTATATTGGTTCCTCTCTGTGAACATAGCCTCTTGGTCGTTATATGAATAACGGTTGAATTATTGGCGCTGAGCGCGGAAACATTTTTCCAGAATCTGTGTATATTATAACCAGTACTAGATAGTTAGTTGACATCCCACAAGGACTAGGCTGAACCCTGGTCTTGTGGCTCTATCCCAAATCGGATCTCTTTATCGAATGCTGAAGACAACTCTTGCTCGAGTAAGGTTCCAAGGGATACGCCATCTCGACTGTATACCCACTTCCCGGATTCAACGTCGTAGTCATAGCGTTTAGGGCCGCTGTGACTAGTCAATAAAGTCAGGTAAATTGGAGCACACTCACCTCGTTGGGGAGGATAGCCATATTTGTTTGTTAGGAGGCTGCTTGTTGATCACGTATGTTCCAAGCTCTCCGAGTTTAAGTGTAAGTACTCCACTCTACTTGTTGTGAGTAATGAACATACGCCATTGCGCCATAACCCACCGAGTATTCGACTTCGTAGCTCGCGTCGGCTGCCTCGTCTACTAGCGTCTCCAATGCCGTAAGGAGAGACTCCATTGTATCATCCGAGTACGCATGATACTCTGCAGTTGATAGCGAACTTGTGAAAAGGTTAGTGAATTCTCGAGGATGCTCTCGCACAGAACCTTGTTGTTTCTGGAGGCGGAGGGGTTGCATAGAATCTTTCTTGGGATGCCAGCGGTCTCGCTGAGCGTTTGTTCCAAATGGTAGATGGCGCTCTTCTTGATATTAACACTGTTAGGGTTTCTGTCCCCAGGCGTCGAGTTTGTGATGTTAGAGACAGCTTCGGGAGTGCTCTTGGTGATCTCCTGGCTAATATTTGTAACAGAGACTGCATTTTTGACAAGGCCAGTGGTGACAGAGTCCAAGTTGTCACTCAACCTCGCCCACCAACCGAGTATACGCAAGCAACTTGACGTGCGGCAGCCATGTCAGCGGCATCAATAGCTCGATGGAAAGCAATTCCAATGGAACGAGATAAGCCGAGCGCTGGAACAAAGGTATTCCCTCTACACATACACCTTTTGGACCTCGCACTACCACGCCCATTTCTCCCTCGCCTTGACCATATAGCGTGCACGAGACGACTCTTCCGATGATGGAGGGAACGACGACGACGACAACATCTCCCTTGTCTCTCGTTCGCCGTCGCCAAAACCTATGTCAGCCCAGGAAATGTTACGCAAAGGGATCGACGACTACACACATGGAAATCTAGAAGAAGAAATTGCGACTCTAGAGACGAGAATCAAGGCTACGAACATCGGTTACAGTATGCTGGCGCGAATGGGTTGGAACCCAGGAGACGGGCTAGGGTTGAACGGAACAGGTGAGTATTAATGCTAAATGAGCACTGTATCTCATATGGATATTCAGGTCGACCGGACCCAATCCCGTTCTCGCTCAAGAATGATACCAGCGGGCTTGGCAAAACCAGAATGGACTTTGAGATGATCGACGCCACAGTGGGACAACGAAGGGACCTGGAATCAGAGCGACAAACAAGAGAGACTGATGAAGAAAAGCGGACAAGAGAGGTGTGATACAGCCCTTCGGTGTGGATTTTACTGATTCAATAGGAATCTGTTGCGAGACAAGCGGCAATCCAGACAGAGATAACAGGAGTGTTGAAGCCGTTTTACTGTCAGCTCTGCGATAAACAATTTCTCAACGTTGGTCAATATGATGAGCACACGAACTCGGTAAGACCTACCCATGTAAAGTCAATCGTCTAACAAGGATGCAGTATGCGCATCACCATAAAGCTCGTATGAAGGATCTCAATGCTTCGGCAAAGGTCGGTAAAGAATCTCAGTCCGTTCGAGCCGAAAAAGAGCGCAAGCGAGAGGAACGTGAGCTACGCAAGATGGCAAAAGCTGCCGGGTCAAGGTCACCAAGCCAGCTACACTTTTACCCTCCTTTGGTACACCATCGACCCCAGGAGAAGGGTCTCAAAAGACTGGTTGGGCGTCTGTGACCTCCGCATCCACATCCAGTAAATCTGGTGGATGGGCCACTGTTGGAGCTGCAAAGCCTCCTGGAGGTGGATGGAAGTCGGTGAACGCGCCCTAGCGTCACCCATTATTTTGGATCCTGCTCAATCACCAGCGCCGCCTGCAGAAGCGCCTCCACCTTTGCCTCCTACAGAGGCACCCCCTCCGTTACCGCCATCGGATTCACCCCCACCAGTGCCACCTTTGGACGATCACCCAACGAAACCCGTCACCAAACGTGCCCCCAGGTTCAAGAGTTCTGGTTGGACAAACCTGACGCACCAGTTGGAAGAAAAAGCCATTTTAGACTCCACGACGATAGGTTCCAAAGACGATTCCGGGATGATGGATAGCTCAAGCGATATTCAGAAAACCCCAAGTTCATCTCCTAAGCACATGGTCATCGACGTGGACGCGCTGTACCCTCCGACACCTGGTCCAGCATTGCCTATGCATACCAAAACGCCTGGTTGGAGAATACACGAGGCACCATCGCCGTCCCCACACGTCGGTAGTGGTCCAGGAGGGGCTATGGCAAATTATTTCTCGCCGATAGGAGACAGAGGCTCTAACGCGGCGACAAGAGGACGAGTTCCGATAAGAGGGAAACTTGTTGGCAAGGGCTATCAGCCAGCTTTTCGCGCATCATCCCCTATGCAAGACCTTGAAAGCGCACCGCCTGGCTATAAACGATAATACGGTCGATGGTTGCGGTTGACCTTTATAATGGGACAACATGTAGTATACCCTGGTCTAGAATATGATGAATAATTTATTAGCTATAAGTACATGGACCGCATTCGAGCTAAATGATACAATGTCTACAAGAGCAGTAAAGCAACGTGCAAGAAATGGAATGAACTCGTGTTATTCGTCGTCCGACGAGACTTCGTCAGAAACCTCTTGCTGCGGGATATGAGGTCGACGGGAGATGGCGAGTCGTCCCAAAGCTCTGGAGCAACTCCTCAGTTCAAATATGACCTTGATACATGTAACTGACCTATTTGCTTCCTCATAGAGGCGAGTGACAGTATCCTTTTCAACCAACCCGACCTGTGGACGCCCAGAGGTGGGGGCTCCAGAACGGGATTGCACTGCCTTGGATGTATCCATACGTCGCATCGCATGAGGAACCTCTTGTGGAATCTGCAGAGTGCTCTTGTGTTGAGCTCGACCAAGGTGGAGCGACTTTAGCATTTGGTTTATTTGCGCATATTCTGAAGTTTGCTGTTTCTCCTGAGGCTGAGCAGATATCTGGGAGCTAGAGATCCTCGTGTCAGCAGCGCGACGCTCTCCAGGCTGCACCGCACCTCGAGAATGGTTCCTCATCCGAGCTTGGTTCTACTACGCTCGTGGATCTCAGCGCAAGCAAAACATCACTCCACTCCCGTCCAGAGATATGCACCCGTTTATTCGTTTGTGCTGCAGCAGAGTGACGCGTCGAGGCTCGCCACTCTCGGCCAATCATTGACGTGTCCTTTGGAGACCGAGCATCATCTTCATCATCTGAAAAGCCGCGCGTACGTTTTGTTGCGCGCTTCTGTATGGTTGAAAACGCGCCTACATGCGCCGACGGTCCATCCCCAGCAATTTTCGGCAGTTTATCAGCCAGCACACTAGAAGGAAATGGTAGATTTGTGTTTTTATGTGGTTGAAGGGGCTGGGTCATGGCGCCGAGGTTGCCTCGGTGTTGCGGAGGAGTTCAAGTTTTGTGTCAGCCAAACAGCCGGCTGTCACGCTCCCAGGTAATAGCCACGCAATAGATTCCAAAGAAATACGAGCCAGCGACATAGTTCTATTCTGAAACCACAACGGACCAATCGCTGGGAATGGTGCCCATCTGTCGACCGACAATTTCTCCAAGGAGGCCCTTGGCAATATCGCCGATGCCAGCCTCTCCGGTGGGTATGGTAATGTCTTCTCCAAGATAGCCAATCCTCTCAACGGGGCAAATGATCGCCGCCGTTCCTTGACAGACGTGAGCATCGAGACGGAGCGTGGCAAGACTACACACCTGTACCGAAAACCTCAATCACTTTGCCAGATTGTGCCTTTTCCTTGACCTCCTTCATGGTAATGGGACGTTCCGAAACCGTAAGGCTTTTGGGAAGTCCCTTGATGGGATTCTTGCCGGACGCATGATCTCTGGCGAGAGCAAGTACCGAGTCACGAGTAACTCCTGGCAGAATAACGTCGTCCAGAGGAGGAGTAACTAGCTCTGCAGAGCCGTCATCCTTCTTGAGCGCGACAAACAGATTCATCGTTCCCACCTAGCCGTGGTCAGCAGGCAAAGGATGCGAAAAGCAACAATTACTTCGGTTAGGTAGTGCTCGGGGCCAAGGAGCCAAAGGTTCTGACTGTACCCAAGCTTGGCTGCTTCCTTTTGTGGGACGACCCCAGGTGCATAGTTTGCACCAAGCTTATACCCCCCAGTACCTCCAGGTGCCGCTCGAATATACTCCGTAGTGGCCATGAGCGATACAGGTTTAAAACCGGTAGGGTAGTATGGTCCGACAGGGGAGCAGATGACAAATAGGAGCGCCTCGTTCGGAGGGTTAACTCCAATTGCTCGTTGAGTGCCAACTGTGCAGATAATGAGCTAGTTCAAAGCATGCAGAGTATCAACACGCACTGAGGGTTGGACGGATATACAAACTGTGGCCAACCTCTTGTGGGATCCAATGTGCGTCAAGTCGGATAAGAGTTTTGATACAGTCTAGCAGCGCGTCCGCATCAAAAGTCTGTAAATAGATGAGGGGAACCTCCTGAGAGACCCAGATTGACAAACCGGGAGGGCAATTCTTGCTGCACTCTTATTCATTCTCTTCATATTCATGTCAGGTCGGAAGAGCGTGACCTTTCCATTCTCATCCCGGTACGCCTTCATACCCTCGAACAGCGTTTGTGCATAATGGAGCACAGTAACGCTCGGTTCCAAACTCAACGGACCATCTAGATAAATATTTCAGAGGATACGAGTCGTTCGACAAAAGTGGAACATACAAGGTCGAATTTGCGGAGCTTGCCATCCCGTTGTTTGTGACCACGGGATCACCAACATATGATCCGTCTTTCACGCGTTGTCTCTCAGCTTTTTGTGCACGACTAACATATATTACTCACAAAGGTGTGACCAAAGACCAATGTCTTTGCCGGAGGAGGAACTTTGGGTTTCGACGTTCGGATAACATGAAGGCGTGCTGGCTATGAAGAATAATCAACATTAATATCCACATTATCAGCTCAAGAAGCGAGTAGAGAAGCGTACATCAATATCAGGGAGCGAGGTGAGCTCGCCAGTCATCGGATCTCGAACAACATCTTGTGCATAACCACGAACGAGGGCCGCACGAGAGACATTGAGACGTGCAACACGCGTCGTCTGTGGTACGAGTCGACGTGCAAGTAATGGCTTGGATAGTAGCCGTCGCGCGTACATGGCTGCTATGGGTGAGTCCAAAGTTGACTCGCCTCGGCGCGGTTCGGACTTAGGATTCTCAGCCTGTGGGGAATTACTCAGAAATAGCCAGTGTTTTGAGAAAAATATCCAGTAAAGATTGTCATCAAGTAAATGGTGTCGTAAAAGATCAGACAACAAAATGGTCGTTACCGTCGCAGGAGCCGACGGACAGGAGAGGAAGACGAAGGCTTTGGGGGAACATTTGGCGGGAGAACGTCATGAATGTTCGTAAGATACGGGTCCACGGTGTCGTAAGCGTCAAAATAGTTGGAACGAGAAGTCGCACGAGGATAACGAGTATCGCCATTGGGTGAGTGAGGCGAAGATGGCGAAGATGGACTCTTGAGGTTCGCAGTCGCAACGGATGGACTGATTGACACATCAGCGTTGTAGGACGTAGAGTGCAAGGGTCCTGGGCGCTGTCTTGGGGCGGCCTCGGGGGGTCCGCCAGAATTAGGTCTCTTTGTAGGCCGTGCAGATCCAGGCGTCTGCGGCAATGGTTGGGATTGCCTTCTTCGTCGAGTAGCGTGTTGGCGAAGAGCGGGATGGCGAGGGAGAGATTCGCTATCAGACAAAGCAGGCTGAATCCCGAAAGGAGATGTCGATCGCTTTCGATCTGGCCGCACACCTTGGCGTCTACTCTCTGTTTGCTGCTGGTCCCTAAATTGAGAGCGAGGCTGACGTGGCTGTTGGGGAGGCACAAAGGTGGGGGAGATGACGTTGAAGTCCTCATACGGCTCAGCAGTCCTTCCCTGCATCGCCGGAGACACAAAGGATGCGTTGATGACCCGAGCAGAAACGGGTGCTGGCCGAGGGTGATGCGCAGGTCCATATCCAGCTCCGGGAGGCAGAGCATGCGGGTTGGGGATGTTCGAAAAATGCGTTCCCATGGATGAAAGAATGCCGAATGCCGGTTGGCTGGGTTGTCCACCGGGATACCGGGCAGGAGAGAGAGGCGTGGGCATGACCAGTCTTTGAGGTTTGCGAGGTCCTTTCACCGAACGCGAGTTGTATCCAGGGAACGATACAGGCTCAGCCGTTACCCTGTTGACATTCATGCCAAACTGTGTCGCCTCCAATCTAGACGCGGGCCCCGCAGCGGCGAGAGGCACGGTCGACTGGACCCACGTAGTCGTTCTGTCACTGGCTTTCGTCTTTGGCTGCTCGATTGGAGGTATAATTCCAGCCTCATCAGCGATGAGTACGCTTGGTCTCCTAGCTCGTGAGAGACTTTGATGAAGGACTGGCGTGGGCTGAGCGGGTGCTACTATCGGTGCGACAACCGCCTGTGGTGAAATCTCTTTCCCTTTTGACGGTTTTCTTGGTGGAGATGGACTTGGCGTAGGAATAGAAGGTAGGTCGTCTGCCTTCTCGCCAGGTACGTCCTTGGGGACAGGCTCTGGCTCGACCGTCGCAGGTCGTTTGACGGCATGCATTGCCCATCCTCTGACGGCACCTATAACATCCTGGGGTTTCTGGAAAAGACTAGGCAAGCCTCCAGGGTGATCTGCCGCCTGGTCAGTCACAACATCATGACCCCTGCTGGATTCGTGTGATCGGGTGAAGATGCGGTCTAAAAGGCTATCCTCCTTCTGGTGTTTGCTAATTTGAGAGCCTTTCCCTTTTGCCGACTGAGGATTAGGAGACGTAACCTCCGAACGGCGAGAGGATTCAGCGAGATCGGGAACACGGGGTGGCTGCGTGGTGGAGGGGTCCCAGTCCAAAAACGGCTGCTTCTCATCAATCTCGTAGCTCTTCAGTACCGCACCGGAGGCTCTTGACTTGCCAAGGAGAGATGGTGGAGGTGGCTCATCTAGGTCCATAATTCCGGTGGCATAGGCGCGAACCTTGCCGTCCGAGGAATGGAGAGGAAGTGCAATCGCATCGCCTTTGGATCTTTTACCCCTTGCCAGATCGATCTCAGACTCGGGATCATCTCCCGAAAGGCGTCCGTACATGCGATTCCACCACGAGCGTTGACCTCGTTCATGACCGGGGAGAGCCATCTCCTCGTCAATCTCGATTGCTCGCGGTTTCTTCTCTCGGGATCCTTGCTGCTTGATTCCACTTGATTTCTTGGATGGCTTGCCCGATGAAGTTCTTCCATGCGCACCCAGGGGTTTGCGGTTGAAGTGGGAGAAACCTTCATCGGCACTATCCTCGTCGTCCTCCGGTGGGTGAGGTTCTGGCGGCAGCTCCTTCTTTACATCAGTAACGGTGCGGCTCTTTCCCATCGCGCGTTCAAAGTGAGTGCGTCGCCTTGCTTCAAACTCTGCCTCCTTTCCACGTGCAGTTCGCCACATATAAACAGAACCGTCTCGCGTCTCGCGCCAGAAATCACGAAAGTCCATGGCGTTGAGAAAGGCTGGGCCTTTGGGCGTCATTTCTGAACGATCTGCCTTCCGGTATGGGATATACGAGAAGCAGCTTACGTGGAGAAATGCAAAGAGCCTAAGAGATGTGAATGTAAACTCTCGGATGCCAACTTGAAACGCACATCATCTCAAATGTCTGCAAAAGAGCTGCAAATCCGACATTGATATCTCGCGCGGTCATATATTTAGTCTGAGTCAATGTCATAAGTGGGACTACCCGAAGAATGGAGGGACATACATCCTTGATGACGTCGAAGGAGTGCAAAGCGCTCAAAAAGGCGGTTTGCCAGAACATCAAAAAGATAATGGCTTTGATGGAGAAGAGCTGGAGTATGGGCCGATGCTGCTTGATTCTGTCCGAGATGGACAGGTAGAACTGAATCAGGCAGTACATTGCCACCGTCACTGACAAAGAGACGATGATCAGAATCTAAGGAGGAAATGAGAATTGAAAATCCAAATGTGTTGGAGCGCGTACCCATACACTGCCAAAGCGCGGACTCCAGGATGCCTCGCAGTAAATACCTATCATGTTCATAATGATTGCTGCCTACAAGAATAGTCAGATTCAATCCATCGGTATAGATTTACGCACAAAGGTGGTCAAAGGTCTGACCCAGCAATATTGAAGGATGGCCCATTTCATGAGCTGAAGAAAGTAGAGACCATCCTACGCCTTGTCAGATCCAAAAATTTTGCTCTGAAGGTCACATACCGGCTTTCTTTTCACCCATCCAAAAGGCCAGGCCCATTTCTGAAGCTTGTAGGTCCGGAAGTACTCTTTTTGCTCTGCCTGGGTAGGTGCGAGGTATTGTAAGAGGAGATAAAAGAAGGCGGCGAGAATAATGCCCTCGTAGGCGTCACGAATAAGGCTGAGAGGAATAGCGTGATTCTGTTCATCGACACGGGTAAGCGCTCCGCAATGAAGGCCCGACTTTGAGTGCTCACCCAGAAGAAATAGCAACCGCAGCTGATAATCGCGTAGATTGGAACCATGAGGAGTAGTCTTACAATCTGACGTTGTTGTCGTCGATTGGTGTACCAGGAAAGGTGCTACAGGCGGCAATGTTAGAAACGCCGCAGGTGGCTGCCAAGTGCTGTAACTAGCCTTGATAATCAACCAAATCGAGACTGCTGTTGCGACTATGGCAAAAAAGCTAGCAACAATCCATCCGACCTGAGCAGTCAGGTTAGGAGGCGGCAATTAGTAGATGATTTCAAACGACGTACATGATGGGCTGGCCAGCGCAATGAATATTAGCCATAAAGTAAAATAATCAACGATAAATACTTACCCTGAAAGGTCAGGACGCCATTCTGGAAGAGTGGCGGCGCTTCATGGACCTCTGCGTGCGTCGGACATGCTCCAGGCGGAGCGGTGGTCGTATGCGTAGCTTCCGCCATGGAATCTAAACGCCAAAGAGGCGTCTCTCGTCGCGTCTGACGACCTCTGGGACGCGCTAACGACTAGGGTGGGTGACCGGAGGGAGCAAGCGGTGAAAGCCACTTTGGACCGCCCACAAACTGTGAATTACCAAAGGATGGCGACAGCAATCCAAAGCGTAGCAATCACTGGAACAAAGGACCGTACAAGTCCTAAACCACACACAGTCTATGAAATCACCGTCACCACGCCGATGCGCTCATGGCAAATGTGGCGACGGTACTCGGAATTTGACGACTTGCACGACGAGCTCGTCAAAACATGCTCAGCAGCACCTCCAGCGCCTCTCCCGGGCAAGCACTTCTGGTCCTTGAAGAGCAGCTTTCACAACGAGGCGCTGATCCAGGAGCGCAAGGCCGGGCTGGAGACATACCTGCGTGCCATTATCGCGTCCAAGGATTCTCAGTGGAGAGACAACGCTGCATTTAGACAGTTCTTGGGTGTCCCAACGTCCAAGTACCAGGAAGCCCAGGCAGCGAAATCGGTTGGCCCCGTGTTCTCCACGGCGTCATGGATCGAGGAGCATTCAGAACTCCAGACGCTTGCGAGAAACGTTCGAGCATCTCTTAACAAGCGCGATTCACTCTGGGACTCCGGTGACACGCGCGCGTCGAGCTCGTCCAACATTCAGGCGAAACGACAGCTCGCCGACCTTGCCGACCGCGTAGGCAATCTAGCAAAGGGACTACAATCCCTGAGCGAGGCAGGACTCAGCCCCGGAGAACTCCAACGCCGTACGGATATGGTGACAAAGCTGCAAGACGACTGCGAGCAGCTGACGCGCATCGTCGCTATTGCGCGTAACCCCAACCGACGAGCAAACGCACCTACCTCAGCGGATGCGATGCCCTCTGGTAGTGCACGTTCAAACCTGCTCAGCGGGCAACTCGTCCCGTCACGCGCGTGTTCGGTGCGCCTCAGCATGCCCCCGAAGAAACGGCAGAAACGCGTCCTTTGGACAACAAGGGATTGCTACAGCTTCAGAAGCAAAAGATGGACGACCAAGACTCGCAGCTCGACAATCTCTCCGCCATCCTACAGCGGCAGATGCACATTGGAATGGCGATTTCAACAGAGGTAGAGGAACAGAACAAGATTTTGGACGAGATGAACGAAGACGTTGACCGGGTCACGGACAAGCTGAAGCGGGGTAATAAACTCATGACCAAGATTTCCTAGATTTACTTCATAATAATCTCATGGACGGATTTAATACACTAGAATTACAGCCTTAGACACCATACAGTAAGATCAAAGACAAAATACTTCGGTGTGTAATGCGACTCCTCCAACTCGGGCTGCTCGGAGACCTAGCTTTGCGACGGTGTTTCTTGCCTCTGATACGAGTGAATGAGGTCCACTTGCAGCAATTCCTATCCCCCCAGTACCGTGCGAGGCTCCAGAGACAAACTCATCTAGCATGTCGGCAATCGAAGGCTTCTCCATCGTGGCCTCGCTATTGGGTATATCTGGAACTTGCTCAGGATCACACAAGCAAGTGACGAAAAACTTGATGTGAAGCTCCAGTGATGGATCTTTCGCAGCTGCAGTGGCGACGTCGTCTAACTGTGATGCAAACCACTTAATCGCTCCTATGCAGATTAAAGGGTCAGTGCATTACCAATTCACTGAGAAGGACTCACCAAACGACTTGATGCACCAAGCCAACTCGATCTTATTCGTCCGTTCTCCATAGGGTCGACCCAGTCTGACAATCCTCCCAACGAGATCATCCAATACTCCAAGAGTGAACGTAATCCCAGCTCCACCTGCGACAAGGAGGACGTGCTCATATGTCCCCAAGTCGAAACTAATCCCACCGTACGGGCCATCAAGCATGACCGTAATCTGCTGCTCCGGGAGCTTATCATCACAACATTGTTCTTCCGTGGAATGATCATCGATCGCTTGCGCAAAGGCGTTGAGAGAGCGCGTCCAATCACCAACGACGCGCGCGGCGAGGAAAATCTGTCCGTGCGAGGATGAGATGGTAGAAATGTTGGCGGGTGCGTTGCAAATGGAGAGAGCATGGGATTCAAAGACGCGGCCTCCGTAGAGCGCACGCACTCGGACGTGTTGACCTGCAACCCACCCAAAGTCGCATCCATCAACGTTAATCTGGAAGTAGAGAGCTGTTAGCAAGTGAGCTTGATATAGAGGGACAGAAGACGGACAAAGGTTATCTGGCTATCCGGGGCGGACAAGGTGGCGGGCTTGAAGCGGAAGCGGAAGAGGCGCATCAGCATATCCAAGGCGTAAAAGGCAATGGCTGGGAATATCCACGGTTGAGCATATGGCGTGTGATAGCAGACAAGCACAAAAAATGCAATAAAGCCAACAATACTGATTCAAGTCAGCATAATACTCGGTTCCTGTGGTAGAATCAACGAACTGTGTCATGAAAAAGAACTGGTATGCTAGCTTCCGGACGGGTTTGACTGAGGTGAGGACGATCAAACAGAGGATAGCATATGCTGCCAAGCCTCTCATTTCCTTATCTTGATTAAACTTGACACCAATCCTGAGGTGACTTTGTATCCATAGAGCCCCATGAATGGTCGCCGAGAGGAATATAGCGCGGCCAGACCAGCGGTGTAAGAAATTGAGTTTTTCGTAGCCACGGCCCATCAAGGTTGCTAAGATATTGTTCTTCGTGGCGAGAAGAAAGACAAGAGGCAGTTGTGCGACTGCAAGGAACCCTGGAGCGGGCTCAGCGAATATGCCTCAGAGGATAGAGCACGGCTAACCTGCCCTGTTGGCATTTGTTCGTAACTGTGCATCCTTGAGAATGCAAGCCAACAGCGTACTCAGGTAACCGAGAAGAAGAATGACTAGCAAGACCCCCAAGACTGGTCAGTAGTTGGCCAATAACAGCGTGATAAATTTGGCTCACTCTGCCCGACGTCCAGTCTGAGAAAGGGAGGTTCATACAAGCTCCAACCCGCCAGCGCGCTCATCCATCCGCGCAATCGCGTTGCCGGTCTACGGCTTGATTGACCAGAGGAGTGCTTTTCGCTCGAGGTTGCAGTGTCGATACTTTCATAAGACGTAGGTCCATAGTCCTCTCCAACACCTCGGAGCGCAGCCCAAAGCCGACCAGTCTTGATTGATCTGGCTATTCGAGGGCTGCTGATGAGGACGCAGAACACAGCAACAGAGACCCAAGTGTACGTAAATGCCTTTGCAAATGGCGGGTCCTGCTTGAACGAGCTAGTAGCGAAAATGGCGCAGAATTCATTAGAGTGATAGCGGAGCAGCCAAGATAAACAAAACCCACTCGTACAACTGGAGCGACTCTGGGACGATGGGGATGCCGTTCTCGTCGTAGGACATGTAGTGGAAGAGTTCAAGATGCGAGTTGCGGATTATCTCGACGTTTATATGCTTGCTTCGGCTGGGCACCCTTCCCTTCCCAGCCTCACATAGAAGTTAGCGGTGGAGGACATGTGTATTCAAGTAATTAGAGCATGGACGACACTAGGCCTATCAGAGCGAGAATAGAGGCCCCAGTTGCTGCCGAGATACTTCGCTCGGTACCACCGGTCGAGCTCGTCGTGGAGGATGATGCAGTGGGAGTTCCACTAGAGCCACCCGTTCCTGTACCAGTAGGTACATTATACTCGTTGGAGCACGTCACATTAGATGGAATCGTCGCATTGCTCAATAGAACAATATCCGCACACTAAAACTTGGGTTAGAAATCTCGTCCCCTCCTTGTAGATTATCGACTCACCTGGAACAGGTTTCCATCGCCGCCTGCATACTGGACAGCTAGAGTTGCTGGAGTCCCCTCTGTGACATTCTGGTAGCCAATCGACTTGACATTTACTCCAATGCAAATGTCTTCACCGTCGACTTGGAAAAAGTCACGCACAGGGGCTTGGGTTTGGCCTGTCGTGGAGTTTGTAAAGTCGGAGATGTTGGTCGGGTTTGTTTTGAACGAGATCATTACGCGAACTGTACCAATCTGTCGTCAGGCCCAACTTAGAGCTCAGACCACAAAGTGGGACGCACCATTGGCTTGCTCGTGCTCACTCGCGAGTTTGATGTATGCTGCACCTAGGGGAAACGGCACCCGTTCGCCGACAGTGTCAAACCCGCCTGTGGAAGTCTATTAGATCGAATCCGAGCCATTTGTGCTATAGGGCACAGGCGCACCGCATGGGGCTGTCGGTTCCTTAGTCTATTATTAGAGTCAGTACAGATCTCTAGGGCGTCCAGCTCGACCTACCTCGTCAAACCCTCGACTGGCGGGGTACGTGAGCTGGAAATGGGCAGAAGCATAGCCTAGAGAACCATCAGAGGTTTGTATCGGTGAACGCGGACACAATCTACCCAGGAGCGCTGCAAATGCGAAAAGGTGGGCAACAGTGAGCATCGTGGGGGAGTCAAGATTTCGACAATTGGTAGTCTTTTATATCCTGTCGGGTGGCAACCTCCAGCCGTAGAAACGATAATTATAGACGGAGAGTTTCAACACAGAGATATTGATTGATTACAAGACTAGTGGTCTACATGGGCGGAAGCATAGGCAAGTCTCCCAAAGAGAACCTCTCCAGTACCGAGACCGAGGAGTATAGAGAGAATGAAAGAGGCGTTGAAAGTCCTTCAAAGATGCAATTAGATCAATTTAATATTGTTGTGGTGGGTACTCACATCACGGTCAGCATCAGCGCATAGGTTATGGCGGTCTGGCAGACTACGAACGCTCCCCGAGCGAGGTCGTGAGAGAGAATGAATGGAGGGATTGCTTCGCGAGAGAAGCGTGCTGTAGGCTGCGTCTGGCGCTTCGAGCCACTGGCCGGTCTGATGTTGATCTCGCCCAGCTTTTCCTCCTCTGAACGCGACTTGTCTGAAAGTTCGACGAATCGACGTGTAATAGCTGATCGTGCACTATTCACCGCAAAGAGACATTTGTGCTATCAGTCCTGTGCCCTTGAAACGACGAATAAGACTCACCGCTGTGCCCACCAGAGTTCCATAAGGCGGCGCATCGCAGCGAGCCATCTGTCGAGAATTGCAAGCATAAAGAGGCCGATGCATGCACCAAAGATGGCGCCTGGCTTTCTGGGGATCCAGTTCTTGAAGAGGAGGGTATCTCCTGGCGTGAAATGAAGCCAAGGAACCATCATGACCATACTGGAATCTGAGCTTCCAGACGTGGGTCCATGGTCGTGCTGTGCAGCGGCGTGCTGAGCGGTGAGCGCAAGGACGAGGAGTGGGAGAGTGAGCATGGGTGGGGTGCAAGGTTTATGGGAGGCAATACACGGCCGCTCGCGTATTTATGCACTAGAGCCAAGGCCATTGGAGACCGAAGTAGCACATACACTGACAATTGTAATCTCCGATAAGCCCAGGCTGCAGAGATTCCTGGTCGTTGCTGGACAACTTGGACTTGGCATCATCAACCGCGTATAGACTCCTAAGCCAGCCAGCAACACGAAAACTACCGATATTGTCTAACATGCCTTGCAGATACTACGCTCAGTTCACCCGCCTTCGTATTCCCGAGCAGTCCTGGCCCTCTCACGCACATGGTTGAAATAACGTCAAGATACCAAGTATATGGCGGATGCGGCCAGGTTACCAGTTCAGGCGCTTTTTGATAGAGGTTCCCAACCCAGTCTTAGGTGTACTCATCTGTAAATATATTCAAATAGAACAACGAATAAGGAGTTACACCTGATGCGGCCTTTTGTACTGTCGAACCCCCTTTTCGAAACATAGCCTCAGCAAGAAAACAGTTTAGTGAGCAGACTAACACATGGTTCTCCGACCTTTCGGAACTCTGGATCCCGCTCGAGTGTCAGAAAGAGTGAGCCTTGATATTCGACGAGGCAATTGAGGATGAGCCGCTGGAACACTTCACACAGGTATTCGGGATTATTCCGTTTCCTTTCGTCTTCAGAGTACTTGAGGTCGACCTTGAGGTATTCCCTCATTTGATCGAGCAGCTCGTTGACGGGCCCGTAGTCTTGGTGGAGAGGAAATGGCTCGGTGGTGTTGACGTAGCAATGGTAGCGATGATCCTTTTGATCGTCCGTGAGGTTAGTCCAATACGACTGTAGCAACTCGCTCCGGCCTGAACCTTTGGGTTTGACTTGGATCGACCACCACACCATGCACCAGAACACCGACTCGGCATCGTGCCGAAGAAGGTGCTCAAAATCTTTATCCGAGCGTTTTTCCCCTTTCGGATTGGCTTCAATTCCTCCTCGTTCTCCGGAAATCTCGTCAGTCGATCCGGAAGTAGTGACTGATAGCGAGAGATCAAGTCGGAATGAACTTGAGGTATCGCAGGTATTGTTTTATTGCCGGTCTGGTACACATTATTTCGCACCATGTACGCCATGAATATCGAAGTACCCTGGAAGCTTGTCAGCGGAGGAGTTATGGAGGAGCAGAGTACCACTACCGTTCGAGGCATACTGCTTTGGGTCTTGACTTCTTTATCTTGTCCACAGTCAAAGTCTGTCAGCAGAAGCGAGGTGGAAAGGCGATCCTCGATCGTAGGTCTACACATATCCGGGTTATTCGTTGTACACCACATCATCACCTACTCACTCTTCCTGCGACTCAAGTAGACAATGGATGAAGCACATGTCCGAGTCCCGCAGATCAGGTGGGATGCATCGTGATTCCGGTTTGGTCATCTCTCGGAAGAGGATATTCCCAGAACTGAGATCCCGATGCACTATCTGTCGCTTCCGATGAAGCATACGTATCACTAAACAAGTTTTAGCAGACGAAGAAGCGTGCTAATAGACCACTGACCTTCTAAGACGTCGTACATGATCATCAACATCTGGCGGAAGGTTTTGACCTCCTGAAACTGCGTTCCTTTGTCAAGAAGAACTAGGCGCGTTTGACTAGATCAGATGTGGCAACCTCCTTGCCTTGATAAGTCACTTTTTGTTCAACGTGTTTGACGCGGACGCCAGGGAAGTACCCGCCCTTATGGATCTTGTTCAACAGATCTCCTTCTTTAAACCGTCGGTCAGGTTCCAGGTATTGTTCCTTTATAACCAATGAAGGATTTGTTGACTGCTCGAGGATTGTAGTCCTACGACCGATTGCATCGCCAACATAGAGGATGGAGAGATTCTCGTAGACTTCGTCAGAGGTGACAGTAAAAGTCGGAATAAGGGATTTGAGGTCGATAGTAATTGTTGGATCTGTATTTGGGTGATAGAGATGCCAAACGAATGCGTAGATCAATAGGCGACCATTTCTCTCATTGAGTTTGACGATTGGCGAATGGTAGACCCTGGACGCGTTGGTGAAGAAGATAATGAGTTTGTCGCCTTTGATCCACAGGCCGGGTACGGAGACCAAGTCTGGTCGAGCTAGCAGGTTGAATGCCGTATACGCTCCTCCTTTTGCTTCCGTTTCTTCTTGGTTGTTACCCGCTGACCGTGATTCCCCGGTCCCTCCCAAGTGCAACCAGGTGACTTGGTCGTCTTCAGGAGCTTTATCTGGATATTGTCTGTAGGCCGATATGTCTGGTCGACAACCAGTCACAGTTGGGTGCAGTTCAAGTGTCTGGTTCTCTGTTTCCAGAAATGCTATTCCGTATTCGTGCTCTAGAAGGATCGTCAATGTATAAACTCGATGAGGTAGCTCGGAACATACGTTCAGCTTCTTGGATTGAAGCACTAATCTTGCTCAAATAGGTGACAATTTTGGAGTTTGTGGTCCAAGGCTTGATAAGCTTCGCTTTTTTGAGCCACTCGCTGTCGCTATAATGCAAGGGACATAGATTGCGAATCATATCCTCAATCTGAATCTGCCGTTTGACTAGGGGATATACGTGCTTGCTCCACTCATCCCGCTTGTCGAAATTTATCACTGGTTTGAGTGGAAACTTGATGGGTGACGAATAAATCGGGGTGTTGGTTGCAACCTTGGGGGTGACTGGCCGAGGTTCTGGTGAATCCTGCTCCATCTTTCAAGTCGGTTGGGCCAAGGCCAGCCGTCCATGGTCAGAAACCAACGGCCTTGCGTGCGTACGATGGAAGCCTGGAAAACGAGGACTTGAAACAACTAAGCTTGACTAACGCGGCCGTACGCCCAAGAACTGCCCGTCGGCTGGAAGAGGCAAAGGTCAAACAGTCACTTACCACCTGACTGCATCCCTGCCCATGCACTCCTCAAGCCCATCTGGCCAGCCAGCAATGCAATGATTTTCGAAATGATCTTATAGTTCCTTCAGGCTCTACGTCGCAATATGGCGAGGCCGTCCATGTTCCACTCGTCAAATCGCCCAGCCTTCGCGTTCCCAAACTTGTACGTCAGATAATAACCGTTGTTATTAATGGTTTAACAACACCTAGGTACAAGTTCCACCAGACATCCACCCCTTCCAGACTCGGTCACGGCATACGTGCGCATATTCATACTTCAAGCGTGATCATTGCTGACGTTCGTTATATTTTGTCTATCCATACACTCTAGAAGAACATATCATAGGTCTAGAGAACAAAAGACGATCGACACTCGCAACAAACGACGCCCGGCGCCTCGCCGTCCTGCAGAGACATGAGCACAAAAGGGAAGAACAACGTCTAGAACTGGAGAGGCTTAAGCGCCTCCAGCAAGAAGAGCAGGAGCGTATGCGGAAGGAGCAATTGCGCAAAGTGGCGCCGGGCTTTGATCCAAGCGTCGGGGCGCTGGTCCCAAAGAAATTTGGTGCGACTGCGAGTGCAGGCGCTTCAACGTCCTCCTTGATGCTCCCTCCGCCGCCGCCTGCAGCGGCACCCCAGAGAGACGTGGTGGCTGACTTGGTTGACCAATTGGCAGCACTAGATGTGGCCCATTAAGAATCTGTGCCTAGTCAATGAACGCATGTCGACCGTGTCTTTCGATCCTATCCTGTGATGAGAAGGGTTCGTTGATGGTTGAGAACAACCACGACATGGTTGCGTCGATATTGCACGGTTACATCCTTCAAGGAAAGTGGTGGGATATCCACAGCCCTTGTACACACTCGTGCGATAATCCTTGCTACGAAACGAGACCTTGAGTGACAATGCAGTTGGATTATACAGCGTCTATGCAAAGGTGAGATAGATATGACTAGCAGCGCGGCTGGTTCTGGATGCCCTCTGTGTTCCGGGTGCATGTAAACTCGGGACCAGGCATCTTGACAGGAACGCCAGGGAGTACGTCCATGTTTCCTATTCGCGGTGGTGTCGATTTGGTGATAAAGTCGGTGGTGACAGGCAGCTTTCGCTGTGCCAGTTTCAAGACTAGAGAGAGGTGAGAAGGTGGAATGCACGTCGGCCAAAGACTGACTGCTTTTTGCAATCTCCTTGTCGATCAGCGCGCCCTTTGGTGACTGCAGCTCGAACATGACCTTTCCTGTCGAAACCCTATACATAGAACGTCAATTCAGCATTACACATAAAACTTTTGACAACGAACCATTTCGCCCAATACTCGAAACCTCCTTTTCCTTTACCCATTCGAGTCTCGTTTCCCTTAACACCAACTGGCATATCTGGGAATATCCTCATGTGAATCTTTGAGCCCTTGATGAGCTTGGTCTTGTGTCGCATAGCGGCCTCTGCGACCTGGAGTTGTTTTGCCGTTACACGCTTGCCCATTCCACGCACTCGAATGCCATAATCGCCAAATGCGAGTGTCGTACCCTTTGTGCTACCACCGACGGGGATGTGAACGCGGCCCTTGTGCTGTCGTGGCCATTTTACTCGACGCGGTGCGAGTGCGGATCGTAGACGGCTAAAGATCTGAGGCAGCGAGGGTCCAATGCGTGTTCTAGAGCCCTTTGCGTGCAGCAATGACCGTGATTGTAAAGTCGGTCGGGACAGGAAGGAGAGAAACATGGTTGAGCAACAAACTCAGGGTTTCGACTGTGGATTGCATGCGAGTCTAGGATACAGAATAATAATGTAATCAGTCGTAGACTAGATATTAAAACCAAGTAAGCTGCATTTCGAGGCCTGGGGATAGAACACGAACCGTGGATGATTCCTGGCCATTGTTTCAGCAATGTAGGCCAGTAGGAATAGAATCGTACGCACCATATAAGAGTGTCCATGTCAGAATAAACCCAAAGAAGTTGTCTACACCTGGCAGTAGCAGCTGCATCACCGCTCCGCGCGTGCTGAGCGTCTTGCCATCGCCAATATACAGACTTGGCTTGCCCCCACACTTGAGAAATACAACCAGAGCTGCAGATACAAGGGTGCTGACGGCAAAGAGTAGAAAGCCAGCCAAGTTTGTGAGACCGAGGACGCCTGCTGTCGCGCCAGAAAACACGGCAGTGAGGAATTTGATGGTGAATATTGTAGATAGATTGCTCTGGAGATGTGGAGCGTAGATCAGCGACGCCGTCTGGTCGTCCATGGTAAAGTCCAAAGAAGCCAAAGTCAAAGTTACGCGTTACGCGTCGCTCAAACTTGGACTTGACCATCACTCGTCGCTGATATGCCCGTCGAACTACCAGTAGCTCCAGTAACATCAGACGATCGTAAGAAGAAGGACAAGAAGAACGACGACGACAATACGGCGTCGGGGAGCCGCCCAGGTGCCCCAGGCAAGGATGGCAAGCCAGATGAAGAGGAGCTCGTGAGTCAATACTTGTACACATCGAGCTCATTATTCATAAGCATCAGTCTGAAGAGGACCAGGCGTTGAAAAATGAGCTAGAGATGCTCGTCGAGCGCCTCCAGGTAAGTATTCAAGAGTTTATAGTCCATTACTCATTCCCTATCCAGGAATCAGACACCCGTCTATATAAGCCTGCTCTCGAAGCGTTACGAACACTCATCCGGACATCGACGTCCAGCATGACCTCCGTCCCAAAACCACTCAAGTTTCTACGTCCCGTATATCCATCACTACAAACTCTATACGAGACATGGCCAGCGTCGAGTGACAAAGCGCTCTTTGCGGAAATCCTATCTGTGCTCGCGATGACCTATTCGGATACGCAACCGCGAGGCACGCTCAAGTATCGTCTTCTCAGTGACGAGATTACAGGTGGTGAGAAGAGCGATCCAGGTTCGTGGGGTCACGAATACGTACGGCACATCGCCGCCGAGCTCGGTACCGAATACAACATGCGAAAGGAGGCAGGCGAACCAACAGGGGACTTGGTGGCGCTCTCGACGACGTGTGCAAAGTTTCTGCTTCAGCACAATGCGGAAGCAGATGCCGTCGACTTGCTCGAAGAGCTGGAATCCATCTCGGCCATCGTCGACCTCGTAGATGCAAACACGTTTGGTCGCGTGTGTCTTTACATGGTCTCATGTGTCAACTTTCTCGCGCCTCCGGACGATGTCACCTTTTTGGAGACAGCACACACACTATATGTCAAGTATTCCAAGTTTCCTGAGGCGTTGGCCCTATCCATCCGACTCTACAATCCAGATCTCATCCGTGCCGACTTTAATGCCCCAGCGAATCCGTTGATGAAGCGTCAGCTTGCGTTTATCATTGCCCGAGCGGGTATTCCACTTGATTGGGTCATTGATCTCTCCGACGATGATTCCGTCGAACCAGATCTCAAGGAGTGCCTGATGAACGCCAAACTTTCCACGCACTTTAAAGCGTTTGGAAAGGACGTTGGGGCGTTGGAGCCAAAGTCGCTCGAAGACATTTACAAATCGCATCTCGAACAGAACCGACTTGCGACTGGACCAGGTGGCGACTCGGCGCGGGCGAACCTTGCGGGAACATTTGTCAATGCCTTTGTCAATGCTGGGTTTGGAAACGACAAGTTGATGGCCAAGGCAGAGGCTGGAGACTCGTGGGTGTACAAGAACAAGGATCATGGTGTCACCAGCGCTGCTGCGTCGCTGGGCATGTGTGTTCTATGGGACACGGAAGAAGGCTTGACAGAAGTCGACAAGTACACCTACCTCAACGATGAAAAGATCAAGGGAGGCGCTCTCATGGCTACCGGGATGCTCCATTGCAATGTATGGGACGAGAACGAAGCCATTATTGCCCTCTTGGAGGAATCCGTGGCGGAGAAGAGTGCCCTGTTGAGGAAAAGCGCCATTGTTGGGTAAGTAGGAAATATCCGTCTGATTCGTTCTCACTCGTTCTAGGCTCGGCATGGCGTATGTTGGGACCCACAAGGAGCGCATCTTGGAATTGCTATTGCCAGTAGTCTCAGACGAGACACAGTCTATGGAGATTGCGTCGCTAGCGGCGCTGTCCATCGGATTCACCTTTGTTGGCAGTTGCAACGGCGACATTGCTACGACGATTGTTCAAGCGCTCATGGAGAGAGCCGAGGCGGATCCAAACCAACTTGACGAAAAGTTTACCCGCTTTATGTTGCTCGGACTCGGACTCCTCTTCATCGGTATGTGTCGTTGAATCCAGTTGAACTGAGCTTACCCTCGTTCAGGCGGCCAAGACAAGTCGGACGTCATCATAGAAACGCTGAAGATTATTCAACACCCATGTTCAAAGCAGGCCCAGGTCATTGTGGAGATGTGCTCGTTTGCTGGAACCAGCAATGTGCTCAACGTACAGAGTATGCTTCACTACTGCACAGAAGTAAACGACAAGGAGAATGGCGGTGATGATATCTATCAGGCATACGCCGTAATGGGCATTGCACTTACCGCAATGGGTGAAGATGTCGGCGCTGAGATGGCGTTGCGCACGTTCAGCAACCTGGTATGCACAACTAATAACGATCTTCATCATACTTATGCCGCATAGATGCACTATGGCGAGCCTACTGTACGACGGTCTGTTCCTCTGGCGCTTGCACTGTTGAGTGCGTCGAATCCACAAGTCGGCCTCATCGACACTCTATCCAAGTACTCTCACGACTCGGACATTGGCGTCGCAATGAATGCCATCCTCGCCATGGGCTTCATTGGCGCAGGCACCAACAATGCTCGTCTAGCGCAGATGCTTCGACAACTTGCCGTGTACTACCATCGCGAACCGGATGCGCTTTTCATTGTCCGAGTAGCGCAAGGAATACTGCACATGGGCAAAGGAACTATTACCATCAACCCATTCTATAGTGACCGCACTATCATGAACAAGAATGCCATTGCTGGACTCCTGTCAACATTGCTGGCGTTTTCGGACGCGAAGAACTGTGCGTAAAGTCACGAGTGTGCTGATTAAAGTTGACTTTGTTGTAGTCATTCTGTCCGATTCGCATTGGATGCTCTTCTGGCTCATCACGGCGATGCAGCCACGGTTCATGATGACGTTGGACGAAAACTTGGAGATGTTGCCAGTGACAGTGCGGGTTGGTCAGGTGCGCCACTCTGCTTGTTCTATTCCATCTCGTGCTGACCAGTTTGTAGGCCGTCGATGTGGTTGGCCAGGCGGGCAAGCCCCGAACAATCTCTGGCTTCCAGACACACCAGTCTCCTGTCCGACTTGGCTACGGAGACCGAGCGGAGCTAGGGACGGAAGAGTACCTCAGCTTTGCGAGCGTGCTAGAAGGCTTGGTGATCCTGACCAAGAACCCAGGGTACGAAGAAGAAGGAAGAATGGAGCTGTAATAGAACTCGAGCCTATTGTACTTGTTTCTGCATCTTGGTATAATGGACCTGCTCACGCCGAGCTTGCCGGAAGGATCTTCGCTAGACTTGCCCGGCTGCTGGTCACGCGACATATGGTCAATTAAGTAATCTCGGAAGGAGCCTATAGCCGCATGCAAGATGGTTCGAGTCGAGCGGCACAAGTTGGACTCTGCCATGACCGTCGCCTCTGCCTAAAAGACTAGAGTTTGCCATGACAATCCAGGAAGGAACGGCAATGCATGAGGCTGCTTCAAACGATGCGCTTCGTGCGCTCAAAGATGTCGCCTTTGGCTCTGTTCGTCTGTTTTTCTCTAGCCACGACGCTACATCTCACCCATTTGGCTTCTTCTTTGACCATTTTATACTGAATGGATCATAAATATGGGGGCGCAGGCGGCGGGAATGGCGTCCAAAGTGCTCGAACACCCTTTGATCTTACCAAAGTGCGGCTGCAAGCCCAGGTACTCGACAGCAACAAGCGCTTCAAGGGCCCAATTGACTGCCTCACAAAGACGTGGACAAATGAGGGTATCCGAGGCTTGTACCGCGTACGTCCTTTTCTCTTCGAGTTTTGGAAAAACCCGTGGTTTCTGAATGATTGCTGTAGGGCTTGCCCGCGCCCGTGGTCGGCGCTATGGCGGAGAATGCGTCCCTCTTCTTGTGTTACAATCAGCTTCAATCTCTTATCCGCGGCGCAAACGGTCTCTCGTCCTCTCAGCCGCTCACACTTGGTCAACTCGCCCTTGCAGCGGGAGGTGCAGGCGCCGTGGCAAGTTTTCTCTTGTAAGTTCCCTCTTTATTCTTCCGCCTATAGCTCTGACATCCGTAGAACGCCCATCGAACTTGTCAAGTGCAAGATGCAAGTCCAAATGCTTACAACTGGGTCACTCCTTACAGCACCAGCACCGGCGTCTGCAAAGATAAAGACGCTCCAAGGACCGTTTTCCATCCTCTTCTCCGTCATCCGCACAAACGGTCTGCGCGGACTATGGCTTGGACAAACCGGAACGCTCTTGCGAGAGAGTGGCGGATCCGCAGCATGGTTCACGATGAACGAATTCGTCTCCTCGCTCTTCATCCGCCGACGGGAACGTCTGGCCTCTCTCCCTCCACATTCATTGTCCAAAAAGGATCTCGGTGCTCTGGAACTTGGACTGGCCGGTGCGTGCGCGGGCATCGCGTACAATGTATCCTTGTTCCCTGCAGATTCCGTCAAGAGCGCGATACAGACAGAGGAAGAGCTCCGGCCGCGTAAGCCTGGTCAACCACGCCCGACATTCTTCGGGACATTCATGAGCATGTATCGTGCACAAGGACTCAGAGGGTTGTACGCTGGGTTGGGCGTAACGGTGGCGAGGAGCGCACCGAGTAGCGCCCTGATCTTTCTCATTTACGACGGACTCAACAAGCGGTTTGGATAGTGACAACGCGCTCTGTGGATGCTTCAGTACTCTGGAGAGCGGAAGGGCAAGTGCTCTAGCCAAAACTGTGTTCCGAAACCGCAATGAAGTCAATTCAAGAGTTCGAGCTCATAGATCTATTTATCCCACAATGTTATCTGAATAAGAACTTGTATAGAAGTGAGTAACGATATGTGAAAGATATATACACCAAGTCCAAACGTCGCGCGACGAATGGACACGCCGATGGCACCAAAGGTCCAAACACAAGGTTTGGAACTAGAATGCACCTTGATTTAGACTGGAAGAACGGTCCCAAAGACGTAATCCCAGACCTTGGCTACAAAACGAGTTAATATCGTGGTTATGCACGGCATCAGGCTACGCACATGTGACGCCAAACCCAAGGTCAAAGTTTTTGTAATGATGGGCGAGGTGGTACTTTTTCATCTCGCGCATGTACTCTGGGAGCTTGGTGTGATGAAGTCTGTGCGTGTCTCAGTATCGGAGCAAGGAGTATCGAAAGGAGTACGTACGCGTAGTGCATGCAGTCGTAGAGGACATCTAGATATGATAGATTAGTATTCGGACCAGAATGGGCATCAAGAGGACGTACAAAACGCAAATGAACCCGAGATGATCCCATTTGCCATGTGCACAGGGAAGAGCAGGTAGGCCAAGCGCGTCATCGGGAACGATAGCACAAAGAAGAGCACTGGCGGCATGACGAGTCTAAGCCTATCCATGGGCAAGTAATGATGGACACCATGGGTGAGGAAATGGAGAAGAAGGAAAGCTGGTCTGTCGGGAAGGAGGCGGTCGACGTGGAATAAGAACCGATGGAAGCCATACTCGAGCAACGTCCACACGACGTTTCCTACGAGAAAGGACGCAAACGTGAGTGCCCAGGCATTTGCGCTCACACTCTCCAAGTCTCCATTGTCGGGATCGAGTATGCCAGATTGGTGACCGACTGCGCTGGTGCGAGGGGGGAAATTACGACCGGAAGGAGGTACTTGAGTGGCGTACGTTGACCCATGGGATCCGTGGAAGATGCAGAGAATTGGAGACCAGAGCGAAGGAGGAGGTAAAACGAGATGGGGAGCCATACGAGTGGCACCACATACCATTTCGTCTTTGTAAAGATTTCGAGGTACTCTGGTCCAAAAAGACGCGCAGAGTGGGCCAAGTGACGGGGTTGGTGGACTTGTTGGAGATAGAATGATTTGCTCCAGTTGCTTTCCCAGACCTGACGGATGAGCGGCTTGCGCAGGTCGAGGAAGGAGGACTGAAGATAATCGTCATCCACATTCGTATCATCCGGATGGAAATCATCTTCTGCGACCCAATCTGTCCCATGGTCCACATCAGCATCGAGAAAACAGGATAAGTGAAGAATATGGGACGAACCGTCGCTGACTGTCAACCCGGCATCTGAAGCAAGTCTACCGACGAGATATTCGTCGAGTACGGCATACGCAGATGCACTGTGCTCATGCGAGTCCTTGTCCTCCATCTTGCCGTCGATGACCTGGCCCGCAAACTGGGTGATCAAGTCGTCTCCTCCAGGATGATCTGCGACGAATTCTGTCACGTCGTAGACCTTGTTTCCGCGCGCGACCCACGTCTTGCCGTCCTTTTTGGCCAGCAAGAGATCTTCAGCCGTAAAGATTTTGAGTACGCGTTTGCGTTCCATTATAGTCAATCTCTAATTACTCGTTGTCGTCGTTGTCTCTCTTCTGTCACTTGTCTCGTCTCGTCTTTCGTAAAACTGCGCCGTCTTTCTAAGGCGTCCGACTGTCGCGGCCTATTCGTTACGCACGAATGAGCACTGTCAAGTTGGAATAATGTGTATACAAGCTGTTGTACTCACAATTTATAGGCGACGGGTGTAGTCGCAAAGGGAGGATTTTGTTTGGGTGGAACGAGTCGGGTCCAAGGGCCACTCGCGCGACCTAGAACGCGGCGGACTGTCCAGCTCGCAAATTGACAGTGTTCTAGGTTTTGTTCTGGACATTCTACCTGTCGTAAAAAGATGCGATTAGGTGCACAGAATCTAGGCGTTGGCTGGCAAGTCAAGTATATGTACTGAAAGGCCCTCCGGGCGGACCCCTGTTCTTTATGTCCTTTTGGGCTCGACGATTTATCACGGAATATACGTTATACACACAGCTCGCGTGGGACCCCTTAGACGCTCGCAATGAACAGGGAGGAGGGTGTGAACGAAATAGGAGATTTCATCAGAGACCTAAATGACAAACAAAAGCAATCGCGCTATCTGGATCCCGGAGGAGACAGAGCACGCGGGCGGAGATTGTGAGGGGCACTAAGACTATGGGCCCGAGCCTTCAGTCCTCTTTCCCTTGATCTGCTGGAGCTCGCGCTCAGGTGCATAGGAGTAAGCTGTTCGACAAAAGAACGTAAAGTTTCAGCTGGCGATACACTCACAACACTCAAAGGAGCAACGTCTCTCCTTGGAACAACAGATGCATCCAAATTCAATGGATAACAAGTGACCGTACAATCCATGGTGATAGGGAGAACGTACTGGTGAGAGTCTGTCGCGTGTAACAAAACTCAATGAATTGGGTGAGGTGACCCAGACGTTGATTGATATTTCCAATCAGATGAATGTGGCGAGCCAGAGTGTCGGGCGCCAGGGAAGCTAATGGTAGCATTGCTGGTTCCTTAGTATGCAGAAGCATTGAAAGATACTGATAGAACCCCCAAATTGTTGAGCGAAGGGTGGGCAAGCTTGACTCGCCTTTCAACATTGGTGCTGAAGTCAAGAAACCGGGGAGCATAGGCCAAGAAGTTGCGGTCAGCCTATACAATTAGCTGACAGAGTTTGCTGATATGCATTGGGAGCGCAAGGGAAGCCAGTGAGCTCGAGCCAAGAGAATAAAGACTTTAGGACAAAGGCTCGAGCGGGGCTTTGAGGTGGCCACAGTTTGACAAGGAGCCAAATATTAGTTGAAAATTGTGCAGACATTTCAATCACTGTCCCTGGTAAGACCCTTCCCTCCACTTCGTTACGGTCAGGGGATATTTCGTACGAATCCTATTATATATAAAAGCAAAGTTTTCTTTATTTTACTTCTTTTATGCTCACGTTGCTTTCGAGACCAGGCTCTTGCGGTGGCCTGTGTAGGCCAAACTGGTCAACCCGAAGTCCTGTGAACGGAAGCAAGTCGCCTGTGCAACCCCTCTTGACACGAGAAAGACTCCTCACGGCCAGCAATAGGTCTCGTGCCACAGGGTGTGTCGTCAAAGAGGCAAGTGCAGGCCGTTACCATGCTCTTGCCGCAGTCCAATTCCACCCGTGAGCTCCAACAAATCATATTCCATGTCCACGTCCACCCTCGGGAAGGGTTACATCTGAGCTCCAATATCGATGTGGGATTCGGCACATAATTTGTTCCAAAGTTGCCTGTATTCTGCTTATTCGGCAAGTATCCCAGGTGATTTTACGGTAGCCAAGTGGACGTGAGCCGGTTGTTCCGCCTCAGCCTCCAACGAGCAGAGTAACAGGCAGAGCCCCACGTTGACCACCGTATCGTAGTGATCTAAATCTAATCAGAGGGTGCAGTGGTCGGAGCCGTGTATAGTCTATCTGATGGACTCCACTTTGGCTTCTGCCGGGTGGGATCTCCAGTAGAGTCGTTGAGTGGCTTGGCTACGCATAGAATGCCGACTGTATGACCTCCTAGTGAAATAAAGAGTATACACCATGATCATTGTGATCCACTTTTACTGTCGTCATTGTCGGAGTGAGACGACTCCGCTGCTGAGTTGACTACGTCGTCTCGCCACCCAGCGCAACCCGAGCGCATCTAGGGCTACGTCATGTCATCGTCTCATACGCGTCTTTACTCCTCCTTGACGCATTCCATCACTCCAACCAGACCATTTACACACTTTATTATTCTCTTCTGCAGCTGTGTGCGGTGACAATTTTCCGCCTTTTGATACTTTTTCCATCCAAACATGGACATTTCACATTCCGGACTTTCGAGTTTTGCCGCGCAGCTTGTCGACCTCGTCCATGTCCCCAAAAGCAAAAACTCTACGCCTCGCCGGCGCTCGAGGATTGATTCGCAGATGGGTATTGTGCTATCATCGGATAGCCGGCAGTGGCATCCGACGACTTTTAGATGCGAAGCGAGAGGGAACACCTCGACCCTCGTGCATCTTTTTTTTTGTGTGTGTGTTTACCTTACACCCGATGGAGGAGACTGGCAATGACAACGACCACCAGACGACGCTATCAACGTGCGTTTTGTTTTTTCGACTATTGAGAAACGTGTCAGGACAGATTCGCCATTTGCATGCCTGCAGGCTACTCGGTGGACGGGCGATAAGGCCATACGTCACTCTCTTCCGGGTCTGCTTCGCTGTCCATAGTCATATCATGACCTGCACATGCACATTCTCCGGTCATTCACCCGTCCGCCGGCTCTCTCTCTGCACAACGAGGACACGCAACGGACACGAGTTTGGGTACAAATCTTGCTTACGCTTGTCAGGCTGGTTTTCTGTCTCTCTCTCTATCTTTGCAGAGCGCAATACCTCGTAGAATTCTCAGGAGATAGACGGGCGGTTGTCGGCCAATACGCACGAGGTCCACTATCAGTCCGTCTTCTGTACTTGCTCGATCCGGTCACATCCCGCATTTCCCACTCACCCCGTCTTCAATGTCCTTTCCTTTTTCCTCGATATCATGCACCCAGTCATGCGATTGTCGTAGATTGCGCGCCAGACAAGATCACCCACCCACCCCTTCCCCCTCGCCAACAAAACTGTAACCCTTAGCCCACAAGAGGTTTACATCCAGCTCACATTCTCCCAAAGTGAATATGGTAAAAAGGCGCACACTGCATTCTATTTTCTTTTGGCTTGTAGTCTAGTCGTAAACAATCTATAGTTGTAAATACCATTCCGAATAAAATAAATCAAAAGGCCACCACCACGACCGAGTTGGATGCGCGACATTTCCGTCTGGCACAAAGAGAAGCCGTCGCCACAAGGCTCTTGACTTGCCTCTCCGCCGCCGACGTATCGCTCTTCTCTTTCCACTGCCGATGTGTATCGTATCTCGGCACGAAAAACCAAGCCCGTGGCGGTGGGTGTACGAAGGGCCAAGACGACACTCGATATAGCCCAACCCATCCAACTTTTCTTCGTGCTCGGGATAAAGGACCAGGACCAGGGCTCGTGTTCTCTGTCCAGAACGTCCAGGGATCCCAAAAGGTAGTCATGAGATGGACCCGGCCACAACCGACTGGTTCTCCTTGGTTCCGACTCGCTGCAATATCGGTGCGTTCAACCTCCGCGAGACACAGAGTCCATCACGACATTGAGATTCCGTAAACCCGCATGCATCCATCCATCATGCATTGCCTTTCCCCGCACAACGATCGCAACCGGATTCCCGGCTCATGGTCGGCGCGGAGAATGGCAAACACTGATTTTGGTTGGACTTCTTTTGCGAATTGAACGTGTGTCAATGACGATCAATGTAACATTCCACCCATCGACTCGTTACAAAACGAGAAGAGTCAAGCGAAGTAGTCGACCAAAAACGGTGACAGGTATGCTCTCCAAAGGGGAGGAATGGGAGGAGGGGCAAAGACAATGGAGGGGGAGACACCTAGTGCAGGCAGAGTAGGTAGCCACAACAGTTGATGAGATGATAGTGATGAGATGTCGTCGGGAAAATATGCACAAAATGGTAGTAGGTTTGGCTTGTGTACAAGGAAGCGGGAACCGAGTCGAAGAGCGAGCAGCCCCAAGCGGTCTTGATAAGAATAAAAAAAAAGGTGGGGGGACAAAAAGAGTCAAAGGAAACGCATGCTGAAGTCGAAGGAAGTGCTGGAGAGAAGAATTGTGCCAAGCCAAGACTGACCCAACTGCCGTTTCAGAATCCACCGAGCACACCCTGGTCTGCCGTCCATGACGGTGCGGGGGGGACGACGCGCGCACGCTTCTTCTCAGAAGTCGGCGATCCAGACAAAGAAGACTTTGATTTCTTCGTCTTGACCTTTTTAGGCGTCGTGGGTGAACCAGGATTGAGTTCGAGTCCGTTGAGGGCATTGGTAATAGCAAACATGTCTGCACCACGTCCGGTGGGAGACATGCTCAGCCCAGGTATTGGTGGATGACTCGGGGCGTCAATGTAGAGTTGCATGCCCATTGCATTGTTCGACAGTGCGGTTGCGCTGCCTCTACGCGATAGGGAGCGTGGCGAGGGAGCCTGCGAAGCCATGTCAGGCGGCGTCGACAGACCCTGATCCGAGTCGTCTGAGATTGGGGGAGTGTCCGTTGCGAGCTGCCGAGCTGCACCGACACGGGGGGATGGAACAGGGGAAGGGAATGGGTATTCGTCTGGAGATTGGGATTTGTTAGACGGATGAATTCGTTGGGAACAGCAAATCTTCTTACCTGGGTAGAATATATGCTTTGCGTAGAATGAAGGCGACGGCGGCGGGGACATGTTACTCCTACTGCGTGAATTGCCACGACTTGCGGCTGGAGTTGCACAGCGGGTTATTCGACGACCGGTGCGTGCGACGGTTGCAAAGTACGTCTTGCCCGGGCATCCACGCGCAGGAAGCGCACATTCGTTGGGCATGACGACCGTGGGCGAGCGGTCATACTCGTAATCGACGATATACGTCTGATAGAGGTTTAGAAAGTGTACGTGCGGGCTCGGAGGTTGTGGTGGGTACGCGGTCGGCGAGGGCATCGAGGAGCTATCGGCGGACGAGGGCATTGACGACGAGTAGCAAGAGCCCTTGCAGGCTTCCATCGAGGAGCATGGAGGCGTACATGAGCAGTTGTATGAGCCTCCAGCGGGCGTCGAGTTTGCCGTCGTCGACGACGAACGTGACGCGCGAGACGAGCAGTTTGCCGACTTGAGAGACGGACGGGGAAGAGGATAAAAGCGATAATGATGATTCATTTGGACGTTATTAATGTTCGTAGAGTCGAATTGGTGAGAACCCAAGGACGTGAGCAAAGTCAGAGTCTGCCAGTTGTTGATAACAAGGCAGGGCCAGAGCGCGAGGGGAGACCACGCAAGGAAAATGCCACAAAAAATGAGGATTATGAGCTACAGCGCATTGAGAGTGCTAGAATGCGCTCACATCAAGTCTTGTATTCCGTTCACAACGCAAGCGACATAAGGCCAGCGGCAGTGGGCAAGATGCAGGGGGGGGGATGGGTAAAACCACCAACGACGACGAGCCCCAAACGACGAGCGTCAAGAGCGAGTAGAGCGAGCTAAACAAGGACCAGCCACGGCCGCAGCAACGCGCAAAGGCGAGGGCGGCAAAGAGTCCGTGAGGTGCGAGGAAAGTGGTAGCAAAGGTCTTCCAAAGGCCTGACCTTTATACCTGAAGCGACCCCAATGGGCTCTGGCTCACCCGCCAATTTCTCCCAAACAAGTCTCAAATTGGCACCACCGGCACGTTGGATCGACAAAAGGCTGTCTGCGAAAAAAAAGTCCTTTTTTACAAAAGTTCTATTGCTCGCTCATATTGTCTAGGATATTCTCCTCACCGCTGCGCCGCCGCCCCGCCGTGAGGCCACCACGCTGCAACCAGCGGCGACGACTGACGGGTCAACAGCCCCAGCGCCAGTCAGCCCATCACGCATCCAGTGTCGTCTCTTCTCATGCTCCGAGCGGTACACTCATTAATCGGCTGAGAAAAATACAAGGAGCAGAGGCCGGCATGTGCTCCCGGATCAGCCGCATAACCTTTGGGAAATTTGGGTTCAGGTCATGCCACTCTATCAACAACATCTTCAATGAGACTCTATCTCGTCTCTTGGAGCCCCTATAAATTCGCCCACCCGCGTTCTGTGATGAACCCCCGACCGTCGTAGACCGACACAGAAGGGTCCTCCACACTATTCTCTCTCCATCGCCGCCCCCTGAAGAACATGCTCCGCAATTCGTGTTCAGTCGCACGCTTACGGCGCGTTATTCGTCCAATCCTATTTCGGTCCACTGCCCACACCCCCAATGAGCTCGCAATTCCTGACCAAATTGCTCTCATCACGCCTTGATTTTGTCGCTCGGGACTCCGTCGAACAACTCCCAGGACGCTCCCAGTGGTGGTCCAATCAGAGGCCGCCGTACAATCTCCTATGCCGACATCTGCTGTGAGCCTTAGCGAAACCGATCAAAATTCGTCTCGAAAAGTGATGAAATACCTGACACTCACCTGGTCAGTTGACCTTTGTTCTTGACGGGCCTTGTACGGCTTTCTACTGCACGCCGGGGGCGCGACCACCACTACGCGCGCACGATCGTCGAGTATAATTGTCTACTCCACCACCGCACCACGGACGGGAAAAGGACAATGATCGCGATGAGTGGCATTTCAGTCAGCACCTCTTTGTGACCACGAGTCGCCGTCGAGGCTCGTATTCATCCCACACGCGCAGAGGGGCTAAGATAGATTGAAATCGAATGATCCTGGATTTGCGCCCGGTCTTGCAGAAGTTGCCTTCTGTTGTCCTTGCGACGCGGCCATGAGGCCTCTTCTCGCACGACGGCGTATAAACGAATCCCCTCGTGGGCGCTTACGCTCCCAGCTGGTTTCCCCGTGGAACAAATGGGCGGCAGCGATATAGAGAGGTTTTCCGCTAAACGGCCAAAGGACGACCGTTTGGCGCATGATTGGACGCTTAGACCCAAACGTGCGTTTTCGACAACAAAATGGCGTGTCTGTGCGAAAAGGCGAGAGCACTAAAGAAACGTAAAACCGATCAATGGGCAGCTCTAGCCGTGAATGGATTGACACTTTTGTCACGGCGAATTCCGTCTAGACGGGACACTGCTTGCACAAAAGAACAAACTAAGAGTGTGGCGTTGTGTAAAAAGTCGCATGATCCGGGCAAGGCGAGGGGAGGGGTGAGCTGAGATACTGGTGCCGGTGGTGGAGTGCTCCGTGAATATTCTCCTGTCGAATAGCGATCGTGCATAGTGTCAACCAAGTGGTATAAACTCGTCTGGGCAAAGGTCGTTTGACCAGGTCATTCCCCAGGAGCGAGTCCCGACCGCCACCCCGCTACAAGTGTCGAAGCGCGAGTGAGCGGTGGCAAATGATGGATTACGGAAAGATAAACGATGCTCGTCGTCATCGATGAGCCTAGTTTTACCCGTTTATTCCCAAACCTGGCCAATATCTTCCAGTGGCGGACCGCGTCAAGGCAGTACCAAGCGTTTTGACGCGTGTTGTGACCGGAAATACGCGTGTTCTCTCATCAGAATCATCATATTTTGGACCATAATCCTGCACAAATCGGGCTCGAGTAACAGAGGGGAGCAAGGAGGAGCCCCGATGTTGATTCCCAACCAATATCCAATTTTGGTAACAAGACTTTTAGACGTGGGTTTAGGGTTCGACGTGTGTCTCTTTTGCTCTTTGAAAGTGCTCGTCGTGCGTGCCTCTGGTTCTTGTGCTCGTCGTACGATCGCTCACTGCACGTTGATTCCCACCAGAATCACCAAATTTCTACCTGAAAATGTACAAATTCGCAAGTGGTTCCGACGACGTCTTGGGAGCCATTTTACGACGTCCAATCCGCCCACTGCACTGCTCCACCGAATCTTGAACCGCTACGCCGACACGATGGACGACTTGTATGCGAGATTCAACCCGAATCCCAACAAAATCGCTGCCTGGGGACGTCTTCTCATGCTCTCAGACGATCCCAGTGGCGGCTCGTCCACGGCGTCGAGCGTCCCATCGCCCGACGAGCTCTACACACGCGCCATTCCAACGCTTTTGCAGATGAAGGACGATCTCGTCCGTCTAGGATGGTCAGAAATACCCACTCAAGACGTCCCCGAGGGTCTCCTCTTTGTCGTCGAAAGCCCAAAGCCTGCCGCCGGAAATCTTTGTGACGAGCCCTCGGTTTCGCCCTCTGAACCCAGCCGGCTTTCGAGCCCTTTTTTCCTCTCGACGTCTGTGCAATCAAGATCTTCCTTCTTTCACGACCTGCCGAGGTCCAGCGACCCCGTTCGTTTTGCGCTCCCGGCCGACCTCTCGGGTTTCCTCGAGTTTCGCCGCGAAATGGAAGAAGCGCTTCATAATCCAGAACTCTTCAGGCCCATACTCGATCATCGAGGAAACCTCGTCCTCGCCAGCTCGCATGACCTTGACCCACTCAATTCCCCGCCACTTAAAAACATTTTTCATCTCCTCCAGCTCATTGTCCCCGGCATGTTCTTACTCGTCCACGACTCGCTCTCGTTTACACGTGAAAAGTCACTTTCGCTGCGAATACCAGACTCTCGCAGTGGCAGTCAACGACAGTCTCGACAAGGAACATTGGACTCTATGGGCTCGACCAGGAGTACGCAGGTGTTTTTGCGACGCACGCGCCGAGCGCTGCCACCGGCTGAATGGATCTCGAACAGGCTCGAGGTGCTCGAGACCATTTTTGGTAAACATCATCTACACAATCTCATCGATTGCGCACGAGATGTGGAACTGACAGTGTGGAGAACTGTCCATGGACCAGAAGACCAGATGGACACTGGGTATGTCAACTTTGATTCAAATGCCAGGCAGACCCGAGTTTCTCACCAGTTTAAACCCCCCCGTTAGATCCGACGCTGGATTCGATGTCGCAATGGCGAGTCCCATCATCCCGAGCCCGACCTGGTCTCGCGAACCCACGACGCAAACCCGCAGCGAACCTATCCTTATCCCATCGATTACGCCTGGTGCCACAGGTGAACGTCCTACGTACCAGCATGTGCGTGCTCGTTCTTTGTAAATATTATTCTGTAGGACTAGTTCTGTTCCCTTGGTTCTCTCCCCTTATAGAGCTTTATGTTGTAGCCTCCCAAAGAAGTCGAATATAGAATATGTGTGGTTGCTGTCATCTCTGGTATCCATCCCGTTCTGTTAGGCCGTTGCCAGTACAACCCCGGTCACTTACCCGAACCTGGCGACCAAACGAGCCGCTCCAACTTTGAACCCGCCCACAACACTCGTTTTTCTACCAGGTCCCCCGGAGGATCGATTCTCTTTCTTTTTTCCCAAACCCATCTTTCAAGTGCTACTCATCGCTCAGGCCAGCAGGACCAGCCTCTAGTTTTCTGCTCTTTTTCAGCAAAAATCCCTTCTCTTCCAATCGATATCATCACTCTATCACTCTCTTTGAACCGAAAATGATGTTCAAGACTGTCTTCTTTGCTATTGCTGCCGCCCTTGTTGGCTCCGTCACCGCTCTCCCGACCCCAGACAGGGAAGTCCGCTTTGCCGTTCGGTGTGTATTCTTTCCTCGAGTGTTACGGTCATACTGACTTGTGTAGGGATGTCCAAGTCATGTTCGTCGTTACCACTTCCTCAAGGCCGAGTTACTGACCTTTATTTAGTGGCGTTCGCTCCATCCCCGTCCAAGCTCCTGAACTGATGTGAGTCTCTTGACTTTCATGGTATATCATATAACTCATCTTTGCCTAGTGTCCGTGGCGAGTCAGTATTACGTTCTTCCAAACGCGACAACTTTGCTCATGTAATATAGGTACATGATCCCCGTCGAGAAGCGACAGATCCCAGAAGAGGTTCCAGTTCGAGCCACCAATGGTCAAATCACGGCTATCAAGCGTCAGACCGCAGAGGAGGATCCCGTTACCACCGAGTATGTCCAACTCTTGATTGAATATCATCAATCTAACGCGTTGTGCAGTAATAATGGCAACGTGATTCCGTACGTCAAGCGTGAGCCTCAAGGAAACATCCCCGCCGAAATTGCCGTTACCACCGAGTATGTCGCTCTTGATGCTTGAAAGAATATGCACGCTAACATTATGTAGCGGTTCGGGTAACATTATCCCATACGGCAAGGTCAAGCGTGAGGCAGAGCCCCAAAAGTTTATCCCTCTCGAACTCGCTGTGAGGACCGAGTAAGCGTTCGAAAATGACATCCATGGGTAATCTCTAACATCCTCTAGTGAATTCGGAAACATTGTCCCTTATTAGACGCATTCGTTTTCGTTGCCTCACACTGCTCAGCGGGGCTGATGGTGTGTTTCTATCGTGTTTTTGCTGAAATCTGCGTAGTACTTTAAGACTCCCTACCGCTCCGCTTCTTTCTTTCCTTAGCACATTGTAGCTAGCCCCACTTATTCACTCGTTGGGCGGGCACATATCGTGAGGAGTAAAGATTAGACAAAGGCCTTTGAGTACGCGTTTCTACCTATCTGTGCTTCTAACCCTGCTCGAAGAGACTCGCGGAGCCATTGACGGACGCTCTCCGTGTCTTTGGCTGCGACACGAACGATAGCACCCACGCCCGTTTCCTTCTGACCGGAATTCCGTTTGCCGTTGTTGATACTCGTCTTGTACTCGAGGGGACTATATGACCATATCAAGTCCTCGGGTACTTTACGCTGCATCTGGCTTAGTCCGTCATACCGCTGCGCAAATTCCTTGGACAGCGCGTGGGTAGCGGGTCCAAACAAAAGAAGCGTAGCGTAGCAAGCGTAAGGTGCGAGCGAGTCGCGTAGCCGGTTGATCTTCTTGGCAGTTTCGTCGACGGAGGAAGAAGACGGGGGTTGTTCAAGCAACAGGACATCCGAGGCCACGCGCTCATTACCAATCCATATCTCATTTGCACTCCTGTACCGATCAAACTGCCACTCTTCGCCGCGGGACATGCGACCGGATGTGAACCAGTCTAAAAGGACAATCGAGCCACCGGCTGAGATGATTTGTGAGTAGTAGCATTCAAACTTTGTATAGGGGTACGCACCAGTGTCCTTTGTTGGTGCGGCTAGTCGGAATATCTGAACCTGCGAATAGGACGAATGGCTAAATGGCGTGACAGGGTCGGGGAGCATGACGAGACATGCACCAGAACCTATTGTCGCAGAAAGTCTCTGACGTGTATCTCCTACTTCCGCCCGTCCAGTGGCCAAACGTGGACGAGCTCGCGAGGGAAAGATTTTGGTAGAGCCCTACTGGACGGAGTAAGTCACCAGACTGCTTAGGAAGTGGGATGTGCCTACCTGAGTCAAGAAGAGGAGCTTGACATCGGAGCCTAGCTCGAGGGTGAGTGCAAGCTGATCGCCGCCAATCAGGCCACCACCATAGGAGAGATTGTAGAGAATTGCGAGTCTTTCGATATTTGTTGCTGTCGTTTGGCGCGGTGACAGCAATTTGAGCGGGTACGTGTACGAGAGCTCTGCAAAGCTCGCCGTCGTGCCAAATCCGACGAGTTTAGCGCGTCCGGTGCCATGGATGGCGTTTCTTGCTGGCACTAGCGTACTCTTGGACATCGGCGGCGACGTGTGAAACGCAGAGGATAGTGGCAGAGATGTCCAGGCTCTGAACCCGACGCTGACATGGGCGATTAGCCGCTGCCCAAAACGACATCACGGAAGCGGATGTAAACATTCGGAACGTTACAAAAACACCATATCTCGCCTGAATTTACTAGACTCTTTACGATGCCAGACTGGCCCACAGACATTCTAGGCCTCGTCCTCGGGCATCTATGGCATCTCCACACAACGAGCTGGGATCAAGAATTTCGTCCAGAGGCCTTTCGCCGCTTCTTTATCGCTTATGCGCTTGTTGCCCGCGCCTGGACAATCTACGCCCAGCGTTATGTCTACCGTGTTGTCCATCTCACTTGGGACTCGCATATGTCCTCTTTTATTCTCGGAGTCACCCACCCTATTCGCGGACAGGCACTCCAAGACGCCATCCGTGTCCTCGACGTCACACTCTCCCACAGCAGACTCGGCATCCCTGTCGCAAAGCTCGATAAGCTCTTGAAAAACACGCCAAATCTCGTTGAACTTCGATTGAGGATCGGTCCCGAGGTCAACACCCTCTTCCTCAAGGTACCACAGAAACAGCGACTCGAATCCGCGTTCAAAGCCCTTCGGCCGACACTCAGAGCACTTCAAGTTTCGCTCGATGAACGTAGGACAAAGTCTCAAATCATGGAACATATTCAGCACCTCGTCGATTTTGCCACCCTCGACTTTGTGTCCATCATGTGGCCCGGCAAACACGTCGAGCTCCCAGCCAATCTCTTGGACAAGGACAAATGGGACGTTCGCAGCTCGAGCTGGGCACGCGTACCATGGCCGCTCGAAACTACGGCCATCGATATGCCGATCGGGCTCTTACTCGCCGCGCGGGAGAAACAAGATGCGTCTCCAGAAGAGAAGGGGAACTTGTACGTATACCCATCGGCTCTTCGCGTCTACTCGTACAGATACGAGGAGCGACCCGTGTTTGTCGATCTCCTCGGTCCCTTTCTCCGCACTGTACTCTTCCAGTCCGACTTTCGTTCCGCACGCTGGTCAAAGCTCAGTGACTCTGTCGCTCGAGCCTGCCCAAACTTGGACAGGATGATCATCCTCGACTGCCACACCGGCGGTTCTTCCATCTACTGGAACGGATATCCAGTATCAATCATGTACGTCTTGGAGCCACAGGACTGGCACAAGGGGCCTGCAATTACTACCAAAAACGACCTGGACGAAATACTCAACGAGCACGAAGACGAAAAGGGCTCACAACTGCTCGAAATCGGAGGCATGGTCGAAACGGCGTCACATTACGTCCAGTTTCGGCGCCGATGGGGTCAAATCCCTGTACGACCCTTTTGTCGTCGTCTACCAGTCTTTGACGAGCGCCTTCCCAGTCATGCCTTTTCGGGCATCGAAGATACTCGCGACACGACAAAGCTTGCATGGGATTATAGTTGGATCTGGGCAGAACCGGTCGTTCCGGTCCCTGGTAATCTCATAGTTGCCCTTCGGCAGCCAAGTACGGCCAACGACGATTCTTGACTCACTTTATTACCACGAGATTCCTGTAATTTATTTGCTTTGTTACTGTCACATTACATTGCCTCTTGTACATTCGCTAGATCGCTCACGTACGAATAGTCACACAGTATTCCCTAAAGCCCGTCCAATGATCCCATAAAAGTCCATTTGCACTAATCCGTAAAGTCCGATTCAGAGGGCGGAGGTGGCTCCTTGTACGACACAGCGGCACGGATACCATGTGCGCCAACACCCGCCATGCCAACTTCAGAATCCTCATTCCAATGCACGAGCTCACCGACGCTATGCAGGTTCTTGCTCTGCCCAGACGAGTAAAATTCTTGTGTCGAAGGATGCGGGCGTGGAATGCCATATACACCCGCGCTGAGGTACGGCTCTTCCATCCCGGATGAATGTCCTCCTGCGTTTGCACCGGGACTGAGCGGCAAGCTCTGCTGCGATCCTTGATAGGACATGCCCATACCGTCCCCTCCTGACCCTTGCGGACTGACTCCCTCTCCCAACGGACTCAAAGGCAAGCTACTTCTCGAGCCACCGTCCTGACCCTGGTAGGAGCGCGCTGGATGAGGTACCGTAAAGTTTTCGCGCAGCTCGACGCCGAGGGACGAGATGGACGACTTCTTCCCACTTCCTGTATTGTCTGGAGAAAGTTCGAGGTCGACTGCGGCACTCATCGCGCCGAGGTGGTCGTATCTCGGCCGTGATTGCGATTGCTCGCTTGGGGATCCAGATCCACGTCCAATGGCGGCAGCATCCCATGCGATGCGGCTCCATAGATCTGCACGCCATTCTGGTGTCATACCCGCCATGGGCCCCACATCGACTTCCTCTGCCTCGACGTGAAGTACTTCTTCCGATGGGATAGAAGGAATATAGTACTGGTTCCCGACAAACGAGCCACTAGGATTGACGTCGTCTCCGTGGAAGCTCAGCTCGCTCGTCGTGTCGCGTTCTGAGATACCAGGCAATGGACTCCGCAAAGAGGCGCGCAGAGTGGATACCCTAGTCGACCTCATTGATGGTACACCAGAGATGGGACGTGAGGGTAAGGAGACCCGAGAGTTGTTTCGTGAATCCTGCAACGGTCGAGAGTCTTGCATTTCACGGAACGTCGCCGTCGTCCCCGTTGGCAATCCAAACGTATGCGCGCTGTTTGGTTCTACAGCCCGCGCGTCCGAATGTTCCGGCATAGTCACATACTGCCCTCCTTCCTCGGAAATGTCCACACTGATCGGCGATGACCCACCATCTGACCTGAGAATATCTTGTTGAGCCGCCCCTCTTCTTCAGGAGGTGGATGAACCAGGTTCCCTTCGTTGAAGCTGTCGCTATCTGAGTAGACAATCTGCGTATGTGATGTGCCGGCGTGGAGACCTTTTGTACGACGCAAGCTATGATGTCGTTGAGAGCTCCCCTGCTCTTGAGTTTGCCTTGCATCATCAGACGTCGAGCTCTGACTGCGACTATGCACAGACGCCTTGATGGTGCTCCCACTTCCATCTGACGAGGCTTGCGAACCCTCTGGCTTGGGTCTCCGTTTCTTCGAAGGACGCCGCTCGGCGTTCCGGAGCGTATTCTCCACCACGTCCGCTTCGACATCCCCCATCGCACCAGTCGAACTCGTCTTGGCCGACTTGCCAGACGCCAACGAGGTCGTCGACTTTAGTGGATCCTGCAGGGTAGAGTAAGAACCAGGAGGCTGCTTGAACATGCTTCCCCGGGGCGTCTTTGAGCCGCTAGAATAACCTGGCGGTAGTGTCTCGCGCGACTCTCCCTTTTGGCGGTAATAAGACGTTCGCGTCTTTTGATCGTCCTCGAGCGCATCGGGATCAAATTCTGGCTCGGTCACAACCGAATGCGTCATGGTGTACGGTGTCCCAGGGAGCGATTTGTCCACGTTGGGAGGGTTGCCGGAGGATCGCAGGGACGCGATCGCTGGATGTGTTGGTCGTCGTGACATTGACCTTGGCCGCTGTTTAGGTGTCGGTGGTTCCTCTGTCCCGTCCTCTCCGACTTCCTCTGCGCGCTGGGACCTGTGTCCCTCGGAGACGGCTTCGACTTGATCGTTGATGCGCACTGCACTACGGCTGAACATACCAGGGACGGTAAAGCTCATTTCTCGCAGATAATTGGGTTGGTCGGATCGTTGGCAGCGTCGATTGCCAGCTGTCTGAATGACTGAGCGAGATGAGAAGGGGGAGAGACCAATCTATCAGCTGCCACTAGCGTCGTCATAGATGGCTCGCTGAACCCATGAATTCCAGGCAAGACTCCTTCATCCAGAAGCATTTCGTTATCCGGAGGTGGCATTCCTCTCCACGAGGACGAAGAGGTCCTGACATGGTTGTTTTCATCGTCCCTCGACCGCTCCATCGTTCTGAGAGAGGCAGTTTCCTTGGTCCTAAATGAGACAGCATCCTATTCAGAGAACCAGTTTCTCTCGTCTTGAACGAGGCATCACGGTTTAGAGAAGCAGTTTCTCTCGTCTTGAATGAAGTATCCCTATGCAGAGAAGCGGCTTCCTTCGTCTTAAAGGATGCTTCTCGATTCAGCGAAGCCACCTCTTTGGATTTGAGAGACGCTATATCCTGTCCTTTGAGGTTGACCTGGCTTTCACTTGCCATTACGTGGAACGACATTGGCCTTTGCTTGATAGACGGCACCTTTTCACTCTAGAACTCAAAGTCAGTCGTCGCGTTGACAAAGAAAAGCTGCCTTGTCACCTTTTTAGGGCTCATTTGTCGACTCATAGACGAACTAGGTCGAGTTCGTACTTTGGTCGACGCCTCTTCCGGACCCGGACTGAAAATATGGATCGGCTCGGGCCCGTCCTCGACATCGGAACGTTCTGAGCGCCTCGACTCCGTCTCCATTGAATCCGGCGACCCACGACCAGAATCCTTAGACGGCAAAGAGGGTGGTATAGTTAACGGGATGCTTTCCGCTGCGGAAAACATGGAGATTCGGGCCTTGAAATCCGGGCGTGGGATGTGTTCGGATGATGCCTCAGACGGGATGGACCTCACGTGTTCGGAATCTGGTTCAGAGGGGATGGATCTGACGTGCTCCGAATCCGGCTCCGAACCAAGTGACCGTACGTCTGACCTAGCATCCGACCTGGACTCTACTCGACTATTGGATCTCCCTTTGGAGCGACGTTCCGACTTCGGGTCGCTACGAGCAGATGCACGAGACGGACCTCTGCGCGAGGTTGTCTCGATGGACATGGTCTGCATGAGCGACTTTGGCGATTCGATATATTCGGGTTCTTCGTCTTCTGCTTCTGCTTCTCCATCTTTAGGCGGTAGAGTTGGTGCCCTCGAAGTGTGGGTGGAGCGTCTACGAACGGGGGCGTCGTCTTTGGATTGTCGCTTGGAATACGCATCGCCCTCTCGTGCCTTTCTACGCATCTCCTCTTTGAAAATCTCCATTGTGCGTACCTCGTTGGGCTCGGTGGGATCGCCATAATAATCTCTGACTCCCGCATGGTCGCCTTTGCCGCCTACCCAAGCTGACGTCCGTGCAGTAGGGTCTGCATCGTGGAGTTGTGGACGCACATAGCTCTCGTTGAGTCGTCGCGCGTCAACAGGTGTTGGCAGGGCAGGCACGCTGCTGCTGTGCCTATGTTCTACAAACGATAAGACTCAAAATATACACCCAAAGTGAAACCCACTCTTTGAAGGAGGCGCAATGCCTTCCAACTCTCTCTGTTCACGAGCCCAAGCCTCTTCAACACTCTTCTTTGCCTCTTGTACATCCGCATCATCTATAGCCCAGATAGTCTTCATCTTTCTATCATCCAATTCTCGAGATCCACCTCTGCCAGCGTCTTCGGCTCGCCAACCTTTGTCTGCCTGATCGCGCTCTCGTGCCCATTGGACAACACTGACTTCCCAATCCCGCTTCAAGTCCCCACGCGACTTGTACGCGTAGGCATCTGTATCAAATCCCCCTCCCGTGTGCTCGGAGCCGTCAAAGTGCCAGGCATGCGACGAGTTTTCGACGGATGGAAAGTAGTCGCCCAGACGCTTATCCGCGCGTGAAAGCGCGAATGCACGTTCCAAGTCATCTTGCAAGCTCTTTCCTCTGCGTTCTGGAGCCTGCAAGGCCATTGTGCCGCGCTGTACGGCGCGAACAGGTCCAAGTTGAGAGACAACCTGACGCCTGCTGGTGGGTGGCAGGCAAAGACAGGATTACAGATGGGTTCAGGAGAGTGAGAATAGGGATTATTGATCGATAGGAGTTATATTCACAGTGTGTCAACGACAGTGGCTATAGGGAACAGTCCTACATCGCTTTGAATATCGATTGATCTGGACAATCTCCGTGAGCAAAGCTTCCCCACATAACCACAAACGGTCAAAAGGCCCACGTTTCTTCAGCGATCAAGTGGAACACGCCGCCACCGGTCGGCCAGAGATCGATTACTTACGGACCCTAAGAGATTATAACATGCACCAATAGTCTGGTAAAGGCGTGTCGCTGTCCTAGAAAGCGCTGCGTCCAAAGCGGGCAAGCCCTGAATCTGCTCGCCCAGCTCTTGTTCCTCCACCTAACGTGTGCTATGGCCTTTAGACGCTACGACGTGCAATCCGAGTCTGCACAGTCGAGCTGGGCCCGACGGCGGGCGTCGCTGCCTCCCACTGGGCCCGCTGCTACTGCTGCTGAGCCTGCTGCGGCCGAGAGCAATCCTCAAACTCCAGAAGGAAGTCCAAAGGCTCCAAAAGCACTCTTATACGAGGCTAAACGACGGCCATCGTGGGGCGTCGGTCACCGTAGGAGTTCAAGCTCGAGCACGGGCTCGCAGACAAACTTGATCCCCATCAAAGACAAGCCCGCCGTTGAAAATCCAGCGATGCAAGCCCTCAAGCTGCAGAAGAAGTATGCGGGAGTCGTTACACAGGAGGAAATGTTAGAGTTGATCAACAAATTCAAGTATGTACACTCCTAAGGCCAGTGGCCGGCCGCAGCAGCTCACACGGAAACACGTAGTGCGATCGACACGGATAGCACAGGACGCGTAACAAAGACGGCAGTCATCAACGCTATTCAGAGCAGCGGCGCGGCCACCTATGATCGTGCACGAGAGACGCTCAAGGACGTCAGCGTGGACGCGTCGGGAAAGGTGGAACTGGAAGATTGGGTCGAGGTATTTAGATTACAATCACACCGGGATACACTCTTACACTGTCTAATAGCTCAACGTCAAGCTCAAGCAGCAGGCCCAGCCGGTGCTACCCACCAGAGCAGGCAAAGTCACCGTCAAAGGTTCAAATGCAAACGTCAGTCATACAATAAACGAAGATGAGAGAGAACAGTTTACCAGTCACATCAATGGCGTGCGTACTAGCCCTTGCCAAGTCCACCATACCTATTTACGCCCACTCTAGGTCCTGGAAGGCGACGAGCACATCGGAAGCCGTCTGCCGATACCAACCAATAATATGCAAATCTTTGACGAGTGCAGAGATGGCCTCTTACTTTGCAAACTCATCAACGATTCCGTCCCCGACACGATTGATATCCGTGTCTTGAACATGCCGACAGCCAAGAGGCCCCTCAACAACTTCCAAATGACCGAGAACAACAATATTGTCATAACATCTGCCAAGGCCATTGGCTGTTCGGTTGTCAATATTGGCTCCTCTGATATTGCCGAGGGACGGGAACATCTCATCCTCGGTCTCATTTGGCAAATCATTCGACGTGGACTCTTGAAGCACGTCGACATCAAGATCCATCCCGAACTCTACCGTCTCTGCGAAGAAGGAGAAACCATCGACGACCTGCTCAAGCTCACCCCCGACCAAATCCTCATCCGATGGTTCAACTACCATCTCAAGGCAGCAGGATGGCATCGACGAGTGGCCAACTTTAGCAAAGACGTCTCGGACGGAGAGAACTATACCGTCTTGCTTAACCAACTCAAGCCCGACGAATGTTCGCGGGATCCGCTAAAGACGACGGACAAGTTGAAGCGTGCAGAGCAAGTGCTCCAAAACGCAGACAAGATTGGGTGCCGCAAGTATCTTACCCCTCCGGCCCTCGTTGCGGGTAATCCGCGTCTCAATCTAGCCTTCGTCGCCAACTTGTTCAACACGTGGCCTTGCCTAGAACCGCTTGAACCAGGACAGGATCTTGGTCCCGTCGACGACTTTGACGCAGAGGGAGAACGCGAAGCGCGTGTGTTTACCCTTTGGCTCAATTCGTTGGACGTCGACCCTCCAGTCTACAACTTGTTCCAAGACCTCAAGGTTGGTGTAATCCCTATAAAATCCATTCTTCTGCTCACATTTTCACAGAACGGTGTCGTCATTCTATCCGCGTTTGACAAAGTCGCACCAGGATCCGTCGTATGGAGACGAGTCTCCAAACCAAGAAACGTACCTGGGTCTCAAGACTTTGGCCAGAGTCCCCCTGAGAACGAAGACGAGGAAGAGACGGGTGTGACCCCGAATATGCCGCAGCTTTCGCGCTTCAAGTGTGTCGAAAATACCAACTATGCCGTCGACCTTGCCAAGGCCAACGGTATGCACCTCGTCGGTATTCAAGGTGCCGATATTGTCGACGGCAAGAAGACACTGGTCCTTGGTCTTGTTTGGCAATTGATGAGGTCGGTCTTATCGAGCCTTCTCTTTATTTCAGCAGCTTATATTGATTGTAGATTGAACATTACCAAGACGTTGACAGCGCTCTCTGGGAACAACAAGCCCATTTCGGATACAGAAATCCTCAAATGGGCAAACAGCAAAGTGGCGACCAAGCCAGGATCCAAGCCAATTCGCAGCTTCAAGGACCCGTCCATCTCCACTGGTATCTGGTTCTTAGACTTGCTCGACGCGATGAAACCTGGCATTGTCGACTATTCGCTCGTGTCCAAGAATCCTCAAGAGTACGAGGAGAAGAGGCAGAATGGTGTGTGCTTCTTCTCCATCTTAGATTTTTTCTAATGATTTTTCACAGCCAAACTCGCCATTTCGATTGCGCGCAAGATGAACGCGCTCATCTTCCTCGTTCCCGAGGACATTGTCGATGTTCGCGCGAAATTAGTCAGTTCTACTCGTTGCAGGAGTGTGTCATCTAACCGAATACTAGATCCTCACGTTCGTGGGCAGTCTAATGAGCTTAAAGGTTTAAAGATACCCAGCGCTCTCAAGTCGTCTCAGGTAGATATAATGGGGCGTATCAATGAAATGTATAATGTTTACAACCCACGACGAGTCAACATCGGGAACCCTAAGAGTACAACAATAAGTGAAATCGCTCATAGATTAGCGGGTAATGGCCATCCTCGACTTAACCGCGGCTCTTGATTGAGTAAAGAAGCGCTCTGCGCTGCGCAATGATACCCTCGTCGATGCCATAGTTGGCAACCTGGACGGGGCTCGTAACGAGATCCTTGCCTGGGATGATGAGGGGTGGTGGACTGGGTTTCATCGGTGCTTCTTTGGCTGCTGGCACAGGTCGGATGGGTTGTTTCTCCTTTGCACCGATGATCACCGGTCGAGGGTCGGGATTCGACAGTGTGCGTTTGGGTGCCGGCACTTTGTATGGCAAGGCCATTGGCGTCGTCTCATGTCTGCGGACTCCTGGAGGGCTCGATGGCCGACTGCCGACTCGACTCGCGGGTGCCTTGACCTTTGTCTCAGGTGTAATCTTCTCCAGTGTTTCGAGAATGATAATCCCACCCTGCGTTCCAATAGTCAGTATACATTCATATTTAATCAAAAGAGTCTCACCTTGAGATCCTCAAACAATTTAAACGTGCCGCGTTCCATCATCTTGCTCTTGAGTTGGAGTTGAGTGATGCGTTCTGCAGTCTTGTCGCCTTGGTGGCCCGAAACGGATGCAGCACGGTGCGGTACATCCTCGTCGTCATCACGCACAGACGCACGGGACATGCTACGGGGATGCGAATAGGGAGGCGGGCTCGTCGCCTGTCGCGAACGCGGGCGCACTGGCGCGGACAAAGAGGCGCGTCGGACCATGCCATTGTTGGGCGTGACGGGTCGATATGATTGTTTGGGTGGCATCGGTCGCGGCTTGTCCGAGGTGCCTTGACGAATAATCTGTCCCACGAGGGAAAGGATCAAATGCTCTCGCCCCTCTGCGATGTCCTGCGCGCTCATATTGACGACATTCACGCCAATAGCTTCGGCTGCGAGAATCGCAATGTTGTTGTTTTCGGCAATCTGAAACTTGTTCAGAGCGTGGTTGTTTGACGGAAGATTGATATAGGTCGTCCCACGACGTCTCCTGACACCCATGACGCTGTCGATGGTACCAGGGAAAATATGGTCGATGAGCTTGCAGATGATGAGACCATCTTTGCACTCGTCGAAGATTTGCATCGTGTCCGTCGGGAGCGGGAGTCTGGAGCCCACATCTGGATCCGAGGCAAGTGCAGTGTTGATGTATTCAATGATGCCGACTCTCTCGTCTTCGTCGAGCGAGTGCTGAATCTCGTTGTGCGAGCCGCGCATCTTGAAGGTACCACTTCGTGAGCCCGGCGTCATTTTCTCTGGTTGCTCCGAGCGAAGATGACTCATAAACTAGAAAGCATGATGAGCGAGGAGAAGACTATCAGCTGCGGTGTCCTCACCTCGATCCACTCTTCGAGTCCCACCTTGTCCGTAGCGTCTGGTAATATAGATTTCATTGCGTCGCGCGCGCGATTGTAGCTAACGTTCTCCTTTGCTTGAGCAGCGTTGAATGCTGTGCTTTGCGTGATCCATCCGACCTTGGATGACGGAATTGCACTGAACATATTGGCAAAAGGGAAAAAGGTGCCGAAAGAACTACTCACGTAAACTGATCGATGAGTTCCGAAATTTCGTCCTTAGAAAGGTCTGGAAATCGCCGCCTTAGAGCCGCGAGCTGGGCGGCCGCTTGCCCAGCCGACTGGAGAGTCGAGCCGGATGGTAGAGGGATTTTACTTGGTGGTGGTGGCGGCACTTCATGTGCGACTTCCTTTGGCTTTTCTGTCGATTGAGTCCAGCGACTTGAGACGGAATCGCGGCGGAGAAGGGTTGGTCGATATCGAATGGACATCTTGGGGGCGAGCCGACGAAGGAAGACTCGAGGCTTGTCTGAGACACAAGGGGATGGATAAAGAGAAACGGGAGACGAGAGTACGCTGTGGTTTGCCCTGTCGAGAGTTCGCAGGTAATGTACGGATTGGCCTCGTGGCCTAGTTGCGGAGGCGTGCTGCTTTGAGGCCTCGACGGCCGTTGAATGCGCAGGAACCCGCTGTACGAAGAGAATCACTGGGAGTATTCTGCACCACTCGATATACGCGAGTTACCCACACGGATGTGCCCCCGCCTACGGGCGTAAACACAGGATGGCCACTTTGGCAAGGACAGGGGTACCCATCTGGTATCAACGAATCCCATTGGCTGTTGTATGTATTCAGAGACGATGTGGTGCGCTTACAGCGGCGAGGCTGGTTGGCGAAACCGGCCATTGACCTCGATTGACCGCTACGCAGTGCTGTGGAGAAGATTATGCCATTGGGACAAGCTACAGACTGCAAATGTTAAGTTATGCGCAAACATTAGAATGGGAGTTTGGTTCCTGCAGTCCTGCCCGCTCTTCGCTGTACGAGAATCAGAGTGTGCAATGGCACCAAAGCGGTTTACTCACGTTTCTCCATTCGTCTATACGCTTTTCCATTCCTTTCATCTGGGTTCGAATAGTATCCGCCTTCCCTTGCCTCTCCCGCTCGCTCTTGGGACGTTTAAATGCAATCTTACGGCCTTCGTACATTCCAATTGTTTTTCGTGGCCTAGGCTTTCCAACCCAGACAACCTCCTTGGGTTCTTGGGATATCGACGGGTCCAAAACATTTGCGACGCCGGCTACAGAGACGACATCTTCCTTTTTCTTGATTGATTTCAGTGCCTTGTCGACACCACCGCCCGTGATGCGCGACTGGGTTTTAGGACCAGGAGGCAAAAAGTTGAGAGCTGTCGGATCCTGGCCAGTTGCAACAAGCAGCCGGGCAGCCTTCAAGAGCTCTTTTTGTCTCCTGAGCGAGTATCTACTTGGGAGACTCCTAGTTGAGGATGGAGTGCGAACTCCGGGGACGAACGGATTGTGAAGATGAGGTAATTGTCCGTTTGTAGCGTTCTTTGGGACGAAGAGCGGCTTTTGACAAAGTTCTCTGGCTTTAAAGCGTTCAAATAGCCTGGCTGCGCGGACGACGGTTGATGCTTGAGACATGTCGGTACGATTCAACCTTAGCTTCCACCGTCACCACCGAATGGTCGGCCTCAATCTGGATATTATACATCTAATCCTTGATTTTATCTACTGGGAGGATAATGGGATAATCGACCGGAACACTCTGGCCACAGCCAGCAGAATCTCTCGCAGCTGGCGGTTGCCGGCCCAAACAAGACTGTTCCATACGGTGACCATCGAATCGAGAGGACGGCTGTTAGCGTTTGGGAAGAGTGCACCACGGAACTCTGCAAGGGGACGCCAGCTTCGAGCGATGGTCATTGACCTCGTCTTCTACCTGTCAGGTCATAGTGCCATTCTCGGCCTATCTCCATATCGTTCTTTACTAGAACGAGACATGTTGTCACTCCTCCCAACGCTGGGGAGTCTATACCAGCTGAGAGTATGCTCGTATGCGTCTCAAATCTCCGTCGCCACGCAGCGAAATCTTTCGTCACCCAAAATGCCGCCAATACGCGCGCTCGAGGTGATTTATCTTGATGATCCACCGGATAGGGACCATCGGATCTTCTTCCACTTGCTCTTTTCGATACCTACCGTCGAGCGCGCGTGGTTTGTTGGCAAGGGCACCTATCAGTGGCCTACATCGACTACATCGGTTGAAACTCGATCCGTGGCCCTGAAGGAGCTTCGAGTTAACCTGCTACACTCTCAACCAAGTGTCAAGGGATGCCAACTGGAGTGGTTGCTCAAACACTCCAAGGAGACACTGGAGGTCCTTTGTCTCTACGATCTGATATTAGACGAGTCAATGTCAGATTTTATCCTTTCCTATGCGCCTCGGTTGGTCTCGTTCCACGTCAGTAGTAGCGGTCATTCCGACCTGGTGCATTTACCGACTTGGGTCAAGGCCATGACGCAACTCAAGGAGCTTGTTATCCGCAATGACCTGCCGTCAGCGGATTGCTTTCGCGTCACCACGGATCTAGTCCGCTTGATTGCGGCACTACCACCTACACTTGAGCACCTTGGCTTGCAGTGGACGACCATGCAGCTTTAGAGTTGGCATTCACTTGTATCAGTGAATGGAGGCGACAGCTGCAGAGTCCCTTACCTACATTGACGATTGTGCTGACTTCGATAAAGCCCCTGACTCAAAGGAACGCAGTGCCTGGAGTGGACAGACTGCGGCTATATTATCACAAGGATCCAGACGTAATATTTGCCATGGTAAGCACGTCGGACGTTGGATCCCTTTCTAATATGACTAGATGTCTCCGATGTTACCCAGCAATCACTTTCCCCGCCTCACAGACGCATCTCTACGTGGTCGTATGATCGCAGCGAGGAACGAAGGCGAAGATATTCGGCGAGATAACGGCCTATGGAGTACAGTACGTCGAGCTCTCTTGGGAGCCTCATAGATTCAGTTGTCAAACTGCATGCATATATGAAGTCAACCCATTGCAAATTTGGTGAGATTGCAACCAAGATAGCACTTCTTTTGAGACCTGCTCAGTGGCGACTAGATGTAAGAGAGCTGTAGTTGGTTTGATTAAAACTTGAGTGATTATAGTTATTATTTTGCATTGCCTTCCAGTATTGGGTTCGTAACTCAGTGGTAGAGTGCCTGCTTTGCATCTCGCGATTGCATGAAGTCCAGGGTTCGATCCCCTGCGGATCCATTGTTTTGCCAATGAGACTCGTTCTCTTTTCCCAATGAGACCGTTCTCTTTTCCCATGAGTTTGCGGCGATTCGAGGTGTGCTTTGTACGTTTTACTTGGGAATCAAACACTTGAAGCTGAGAGAGCCTCAAGCACAACTTGGAATCTTACTACGACAATGCCGTCCGCCGCCCTCTTCGGTGCCACCGGTGCAACGGGTAAACATATTTTGAAGGAACTTCTCTCGAACAAGGAAATCACCAAAGTGGGCGAGTATGGTCGACGGGTGACGGCATTGGACTCGTTGAAAGATGTTGACACGTCCAAACTCCACCAAAAGGTTGTGGATTTTGAGAAGATAGAAGAAGATCAGGATCTGAAGCAAGGCTGGGATATCGTCTATATTGCGTACGTCCTTGTGCCCCTTGCTAAACATGCCACCAACCTCTTTGGTAGCCTGGGCACGACGCGCGCTGCAGCCGGAAGCGCAGCTGCATTCGAGAAGATTGACAGAGAGTGCGTGAGAATGGGAGTTCACTCTGGATAGCTGAATTAAGAGAACCCTAGACATGTTCTCGCTGCTGCACGTGCAACCAAGACGACTGGCACGCAACGTCTCGTGTACATTTCGTCTGTTGGAGCCAACCGAAATTCAATGTTCCTTTATTCAAGGTTGGAGAAGCACACCAGCCCTTGAACGTCTCATTGTTTCCGCTTTACAGGAGCAAAGGCTTGACCGAGGATGGTCTTTCGGCCCTCGGATACAGTGACACCATTATATTCCGCCCTGGGTTTCTCAAGGGTCGCGACACCAAGCAAGCCTTTATGGCAAATGCACTCGAGTAAGCACTGCCGTTCTGCGACCGTAGATGGGCACTCATGAACAACCCAGTGGCTTTATGAGCATTCTTCCGGGTTACAAGAACCATATGCAGATCCATGTCGCCGACCTGGGCAAAGCAGTCGTGACTGCTGGGCTGCTGGGAACCGCCGGCCTCCCCAAGGCGGCACAAGCGACTGAACAACCCGCAAATGGACACAAGTTTACATTGATTGGCAACGTTGGTGCACTTGGTCTGGCAAGCCTATCCTCCGCGTAGGCCGATGTATCGGAACATCGCTTTGGCCTTGTGATAGCAATTGTCGCGCATCGCCATTGAACTAATTTTGCGTAATAGATACTCATTAAAATATTGCAAACGATTCGCATGCTCAGGCTTGACCAGAGTGGAGGGATCGCCCATATGGGGCCCGCGGAAGAATTCGAGGAGGATTCTTGATGATCAAAACGCGCGAGAAATTCGAGAAATGTTAGCGTACGAAACATAAAAAGTATGATTCAACACACGAGACAGTAGCTACAACGCCCTGAGCCATAGCCGACCGGACATAGATTCACCTCTTGTCCTCGACCGCCATCGTCCATTTACCCAGCGGGCGGCTTGTAAACGACGATTGGAGCCTGTGAAACGGCCATATACTGGGTTGGTGAGCGACAACGGATGTGGGTTGAAGATTGACATACTCTGGGTTCCAAGCCAACGGGTCAGCGGGAATCACAACAATTGTTATAATCATATCTAGAAAGGTGAGAGAAGAATGCACAGATCCGTAATTCTCACCCTTGTGTAATCTTTCGACAAGTATCGTCGACCCCTCCCAAAACCATTACGGCCCGGTCACGATAACGCGACAAATACGGCAATACTTGGGATGATAACGGGATGATAACACCGTGTATGATTGAACGAACATGGAGAGATCATTCTACAAAAAGCTTAATCTAGGTCCAGGAGAACAGCGGCACCGACGTTTGTTTGGAGTCGCTCCGAGAGCTCTCTACAGCGTTATTGCTCCTGTTTTCCGCCGCCATTTGTCACCTTGAGAAGCGATTGATCAGCTTTTCGGCGTCGTGCATGCGACATGGCCACCTTACGGGGATAAACGGAGACTTTCTGCCATTGTTTAAGGGCGCAGGGACTGAGGATAGCAAGTCACCGACTTGTTCCATTGGTTTTCACCGTCCAAATATCATAGTATTCGTCGAGCTGGAAGCAAAACATGAGAGCCTCGAGTCAAAACGCCGTCCTAGACATCGCCAACCGTATGGGATCGCAAATCAACTAGCGTGTCCGATGCGTAAAACTCGTTTGCTCACAATGTCAACCGCAAAATGCGGCTCTTGTGGCTTGTGTGACGGTGAACGCGCGAGATTGGAAGCATGTCTGGCCGGTTTCCATCTCTGCATCTGCCCCAGAGTTGGGAATATCCGTTCATGGTTGAAGTAAGGGCGTGTCGATAAACGAAAAGAGGTTGTGACGTTGCGGGGTTCATGGCTAACCGTGACCAGGCTAACCTTTGTCATTTGACTTGTTGTCAGATACGCTCCGTCTTATTTGTCTGTCGCTCCGCCGTATTGGCACACCCGTGACACTTGTCTCCGCTATCAGCAGTGGAGCTCAGAAAGGGAAGATGGGGGTTGGATGGAGCTCACCTCGAGGCGACATTGGATGTACTCACGCCGGGTTTCGGTCATCAACAGTGTCTTTCAAAACATGCTCATGTGCTCGTTCATGAGTTCCCGTACAAACTCATGATCGAGCTTGGGCTCGGCCAACCCAAAGTCAAAAGTTTGGATCCGGGAATGATAACAAACAGTGTCCGACGGGTTCATTGGGCATTCGTGTGATGGATCCCAGGGGAGTCAGCACGCGCCGGTGACAGTTTTGACCGTTGACAGCTCGGGTGTTCTGAAATGAAATGCTGTCTGGCTTATAAAAGTTGGAGATCAAAGACAGACATGGTTTGCATTCAAACTTGTCTACTTCCTCAGCCCGTGTCTCAGCATGCTTGGTTTAAGCCAAACGTCCCGCGCACCGCAGCGCCCCGGACGCCACCAACCTTGATGAATATGACAGGTAAATATGTTGCTTTGGAGCTCTCCTTTTGACGAACAGTGGTAGGAATTGTGTCCTCTGGACAGTATCTTCACCCTTCAGGACGACCCTACGTTTCCTTGAGCCCTAATTCAGGTCAAAGTCCAGCATTTGGGCATAAATCAACCAGTAATACTTCATCTCATCAGCAATTTCTGTAATCTGACCCGTTGCATGTCAGATTCCAGGAGGCCAGATCCGAGTGTTCCGACCGCCGTCGACATAAAACCACAAGCACCGGAAACGACGGAGTCAAACAATGAGAACAAGTCGGAAGATGCGTCTCAGAAAACCTCGTGGCATGTTTACAACGAAAAAGCCGATCGAGATGACGCCGAATTTATCGAGTCGATCAACGGTTCCATGGACGTACTCTTGATTTTTGTGAGTGCGACTAATTTGGACCGCTGAATATACCATTGACTTAGTTGCTACGAATAGGCGGGTCTCTTTTCGGCAACGGCCACAGCATTCTTGGGGCTAACTCGACCATTGCTCCAAGAGGACGAAGTGAGCAAGACCAATGACTTGCTTCTCGCCCTCTTTTACAAGATGGAGAACTCGTCGTATGCTCTACCAGAGTCCAAACCTTTTGTCGTTCCCGTTGGAGCATGGGCGATTAACTGCCTTGTGTTTGCCAGTATCGCCGGGAGTCTCGTCGCCGCCTTCTTTGCCATTCTAGTCAAACAATGGGCGGCCTCTCTCACTAGCGGCCTTGCGAGTATCCCTACTCCCCAACTACGCGCTCGAACTCGTCACTTCCGAGCCGAAGGCGTCCGTCGGTTCTATTTTGCACATGTTGCATCTTTCCTTCCGGTCATCGTCCATATCTCGCTGGTGCTCTTTGGTATCGGCATCGTCGAGTTTCTCTTTTATACGAAAGAGACGTCGATCGCCATCGTGGTCACTACTTGGCTAGTAGTCGGAGCCGGCGCATACCTTTTCTTATCTCTCCTCCCTCTTTTCTCAATGGCCGCGCCCTTCCGATCCCCAATGACGACAATCCTCATGTTTCTCCACACTCTTCTTCGAAGGTTCATCAAAGCTTGCTCGGGTCGCCCGCAAGCGAAGATGTCCCCAAAGAAGCAAGCCCTCAACGAGCTCATTGGAAAGCAAGATGCAGTCTCAAAGCTGATACATCTCTCCTGGAAGCTAGACATGGACGTCTTAGTCTCCCTCATGGCCATGGCGGACAAACACACCGAACGATGGGTGCTCGAGCAAATCTTGATGGACATGCAGGCGTTGACAAAGATTCAAGAGGAGTCACCGCAACTCCTATGGCATCCCGCCGTCTTGCGTACATTTTCGTATCTGGTATCCACCTCTATCGACGAGAGTGGGAGCAGAGTGACGCTTGCTCAGGGCCGAGAGCATAGAGCACGTACACTGTGCCGTTTCATAATCTGGCTAGGCTCTGTGGCAGGAGAGAAGACATCCGTGCAAGATCTCGGTCGTATCCTCCAGGAACAAACCATAGGCAATGATAACACGGGATTGCCGACTGCGCTCTACATGTATGGCACCTTGCATAATCGTCTCGACGACGTTGTATTGGGCGAAATGGCTCTCAACGAGCTCGGTCACATTGGTCAGACAACGAAGCAACAATGTACCAAATGCGTCGATTTTGTAGTCAACGGAGCAAGCACAAATCCAGAAAGCGAAATGCACAACTATCTCATCGATATCGACCCGGAAGAGTATAGCAATGACACCAAAGAGGCTAGGTTGAAAAGGGAGCATATTATTCGTTACATTGCGTCGCAGACACGCTGCCTCGCAACTTTCGCTCCTCTGCAAGGGCCGTCGACGCTCGCAGTCTCACGATTGGAGGAGTTGATCTCAACATTCGAACTTGGCGATCCGATCTTTGCAAACCTTTGGCGAGAGTTGGTGCCGGTTTCGAAGATCCGGTCTGAGCGTCCTCACCTCGCTTCGTGGCTCAATCTCATCGAACCTCTGCAGAAAGATGCGGCCTAACACCTCTTTGATCTGGTTAAACGCCGTGCGAACCTACGCATGTATCTTTTGTTAGAATAACGCCATCTGTCACTTCTCATCTTCGTGATAAAATAATTAATGCAGTTGCTTTCATCAGATTTACCGAGCCTAGGCTACCGGCCAGTCGAGAACAGGATGGGGCGAGAGACAACCCAACTACACATCTTTCAGATATCTTTAGGTATCGTTCCACCTTCCTTCACCCGTGTCCATTCTTCTCCGTGCACAAATTGGGTTGTATCGACACCCAGCCTCTGGACTTGACCTATGATGCGGACTCCTGGCCGCTCGATCCCAGCACGAAACGGAGGTGGTACCCAAAAGAGTCGCTGGCTAGTTGGACCAAATAACCATCCATCGTCGCCCACCCGGCAGTACTGATTTAGAAATGAATGTATCTAGACAAATCAGAATATCACAAATTTACAGATCGATAGGACGCACACTGTCTTCTGTAGCACTGGTATTCGTTATGCGTACAGTTCGGTCTTCAGATCCAGAGGCAATGTGCTGGCCATCTGGCGAGAACGCGGCTGAGTAAACCGGAGTCGTATGTCCCTCGAGTAGCGACCCAACCTGTGCGCCCGTTTCTACATCCCCAAGACGCACCGTTCGGTCCTCAGATCCAGAGACAATGCGCTGGCCGTCTGGCGAGAATGCAACCGAGCGGACATAATCTGTATGTCCTTCAAGCGGGGATCCAATCTGTGCGCCCGTTTCTACATCCCACAGACGCACCGTTCGGTCATCAGATCCAGAGACAATGCGCTGGCCGTCTGGCGAGAATGCAACCGAGCGGACATAATCTGTATGTCCTTCAAGCGGGGATCCAATCTGTGCGCCCGTTTCTACATCCCACAGACGCACCGTTCGGTCTAAAGATCCAGAGACAATGCGCTGGCCGTCTGGCGAGAATGCAACCGAGCGGACATAATCTGTATGTCCTTCAAGCGGGGATCCAATCTGTGCGCCCGTTTCTACATCCCACAGACGCACCGTTCGGTCATCAGATCCAGAGACAATGCGCTGGCCGTCTGGCGAGAATGCAACCGAGCGGACATAATCTGTATGTCCTTCAAGCGGGGATCCAATCTGTGCGCCCGTTTCTACATCCCACAGACGCACCGTTCGGTCAAAAGATCCAGAGACAATGCGCTGGCCGTCTGGCGAGAATGCAACCGAGCGGACATAATCTGTATGTCCTTCAAGCGGGGATCCAATCTGTGCGCCCGTTTCTACATCCCACAGACGCACCGTTCGGTCATCAGATCCAGAGACAATGCGCTGGCCGTCTGGCGAGAATGCAACCGACATAACCCAGTCTGTATGTCCTTCAAGCGGGGATCCAATCTGTGCGCCCGTTTCTACATCCCACAGACGCACCGTTCGGTCTAAAGATCCAGAGACAATGCGCTGGCCGTCTGGCGAGAATGCAACCGAGCGGACATAATCTGTATGTCCTTCAAGCGGGGATCCAATCTGTGCGCCCGTTTCTACATCCCACAGACGCACCGTTCGGTCATCAGATCCAGAGACAATGCGCTGGCCGTCTGGCGAGAATGCAACCGACATAACCCAGTCTGTATGTCCTTCAAGCGGGGATCCAATCTGTGCGCCCGTTTCTACATCCCACAGACGCACCGTTCGGTCTAAAGATCCAGAGACAATGCGCTGGCCGTCTGGCGAGAATGCAACCGACATAACCGAGCCTGTATGTCCTTCAAGCGGGGATCCAATCTGTGCGCCCGTTTCTACATCCCACAGACGCACCGTTCGGTCTAAAGATCCAGAGACAATGCGCTGGCCGTCTGGCGAGAATGCAACCGACATAACCCAGTCTGTATGTCCTTCAAGCGGGGATCCAATCTGTGCGCCCGTTTCTACATCCCACAGACGCACCGTTCGGTCTAAAGATCCAGAGACAATGCGCTGGCCGTCTGGCGAGAATGCAACCGACATAACCGAGCCTGTATGTCCTTCAAGCGGGGATCCAATCTGTGCGCCCGTTTCTACATCCCACAGACGCACCGTTCGGTCATCAGATCCAGAGACAATGCGCTGGCCGTCTGGCGAGAATGCAACCGAGCGGACATAATCTGTATGTCCTTCAAGCGGGGATCCAATCTGTGCGCCCGTTTCTACATCCCACAGACGCACCGTTCGGTCTGAAGATCCAGAGACAATGCGCTGGCCGTCTGGCGAGAATGCAACCGAGCGGACATAATCTGTATGTCCTTCAAGCGGGGATCCAATCTGTGCGCCCGTTTCTACATCCCACAGACGCACCGTTCGGTCTGAAGATCCAGAGACAATGCGCTGGCCGTCTGGCGAGAATGCAACCGACATAACCCAGCCTGTATGTCCTTCAAGCGGGGATCCAATCTGTGCGCCCGTTTCTACATCCCACAGACGCACCGTTCGGTCATCAGATCCAGAGACAACGCGCCGCCCGTCTGGAGAGAACGCAACTGCATTCACACTCCTGGTATGCCCGCGGAGTATGAAAAGGAGTGGTGACCACCGTTGATATCCACCTGAGTGGACGAATAATGTGTTGGGGTATTGATATCTGTATTGTTGGTGCACCTTCGAAACCGCAGGCGATAATGGCAAAGCCGACAGGTAGATGCCCGCTACGCTTTGTGAGATCACCTCAATGAAGTGCACCGTGAACTGGCGCATGTCCTCTGCAAGCGATATCAACTCGATGATATCATTCTCCTAAGAAGATTCAATCAAACAGTCTATGGCTGTGTTAGATTTACCTTCAACCATGAGGCCAACGCCGTAAGCATAGACGGTACCCTGTCCACAATCTGTAATAAACTTGCGACCTCGAGCCACAAAAGGAAGTGAACCTTGAGAACATATTGAACGAGGGTGATCGTTTCCTCACTTGGAAGATTCAAATGATCCACCCAATACTGCGACGCATACTGTAAATGGCGGGGAATGTAGGTCTCAATAGATGAGAGTCCATTCAAAATCTCCTGATTTAGTAAATAGGACGATGAGATCTCGCAGATGTTGAATCGTAGCCTCTCCTTCATGATCCGTAGACATTGGTCTGCAAGAATCCGGTGGAGGTGTCTGTCGTGATTCTAGGGACAAAATAAGTCGTATTCGGGTTCAAGAAAAAGTCCACAAATGACTGGTGGCGAAACCGAAGTCCCCCATCGAATTCTAGCACCGGTCGTAGCGCGCCACAGATGTGTTCGACCGTCCAAGGATCCATTGCGAGGAGATCCGTTAAGGTTTTCATGTCTAAAGTCTCCTTGGCGACAGCGAGTACGCCCAGAATTGTTCTTATATCCTCCGGTGAAGTTGCACTTGTATTTGGAAACGCAGTTTGGAGGACTGTGGTGTAGAGTGAGCCCATGCCTGTAACACGGTCTTCCTTTATAATCTCCTCCAAAAGTTTCATCGGGTTACCAGCACGGAGATACTCTATCACCGTCGAGGCCCAGATGAATAGCCCATTGGCTTTGATCGCCAAGGTTTCAATAGTCGTTGTTTGAGGCCATTCGACGGATCGAATGGTATATTTGGTGGCAACTTTCCTAAGCTCCTCAGTCAGGAATGCCTGAATGTCTCGTTTGGACTGGCTGACTGTCTCCTGTGTAGCGAGCAGGTCGATGGTGTGTGGAGGGTTGAGAGCGAACATTCTCGCTATGTCGTCCTCCTCGCGACTGGTGACGATCAACTTGCAACTGGTTGGAAGACGAAACCAGGCAGTGAGGGTTTGCAAAAGTTGTCGAAATTCGGTCGATCGCGCGCCGGCCAGTCCACCACACTCGTCCAATGCATCAATGATGACCACAGGTAATTGGTCCTGTGAAAGGTTGCCGATTTTGGACAACGGCCTTTCAACCAACTGCTGAAAAAGAATGTTGATATTCGGTGTTGTCAAGTCAATCTCCTCGTTTCTCATCTTATCCGCGAGGTATTTGCGAATGGTAGGATGTCGCGCAAGGTCGTACGCAATCCCCTGCCACAGTGCGCTAGCAGTCGTAGTTGCAGTCTCTTGTCGACGGAAGAAGAAGCTCGATCCTAGACGCGTCTTTTTGATACCGAGTGTAGTCACCAAGGTAGATGCTATGGTCGACTTGCCCGCTCCTGGTGCAGCTTTGATCCAGAGGATGTTGGGAGCGTCTGGGTTTTTGGACCAGGCTTCGCATTCAGCCAATATTTCCGCACGTGTACCCGGCTGGCATTCCTGCGGACGTTGACGTTGTTTAGATTGGAGTTCCTTCAATATGTCCCGCTCCGCCGTAGCTCTAACAGACACGGTGACATAGAGAATCAGAGCATGCTGGAACAGAATAAGCTTTGGAACATGTCTTCCAGGCGGAATACGAACCATCAATTCGTTCCTTGCATCCGTTAGGCGTTGCTTGTATCCATTGATCGTGTCCGCTTCCAGCTTTGTAGTGCCGATGCGTTGGACCAGTACTTTCCAAGTCAGACCCTTATCAAACTCGGATTCATCGAGCCCAGAATCTACGCATATCTCGGCTATCAACTCTTTGAGGGTACTATTCGAGATGAGATTGTGTCCAACAGACGATGATGGACATACATGGAGTAGTTTGTAAGTGGATCCTTGATAGAGTCCTCGCACTCTTCGAGTACATCTTTGATACCTAGCTGATCTAGTTGTCGTTGAAACGTCCTCGTGTGTTCTCTAATGGTCTGCAAGAGGTCTGACCAGGCGTATTGGTTATCTTTGATGGCCTGGAGTGTTCTTAGAGTGCATTTATTGAATAAAATTTGAAACCTACCTGAACGGAATCCAGGATTGTTACAACAGCTTCGCAGGCTCCTTTCAATGGTGCAAACTCGGCAGCATCCGCGATACTTTTGTCAAACTGAGCATGAGAGCTACACGAGCAAGCCATTTGTCCATTTTGGATCGTCGTGTCTGTTCATGATCCGGGCTCGGATGTTGTTGATCGGTGGTAGATTGCGTCGTCGGTAATGCCACTGTAGTGACTACAGATTGCTGAAGAGATGGGTCTTGTTCAACAACAGGCGGTGCGACGAGCCTCGTGCTGGCTTGGACCAGACTCGCAGATGCACCGGACGTAGTGGGGGTCAAGGTGGTACCCTGAGTCTTCTTAGATTTTTTGCGTATTTTACGGAATATATCCATCGTAGGGTTTATGAAAGACAATCGGCTGGTCGAGGCGAAAGCAGGTTGACACTCTCCTCATATTTGGTGCCCAGTTTTTCCGATGGCTACGAGTGCGTCGCTCATTCTCGGTTCGCTATGCTTGTAAGAGTGTCTGAAGGTAATATATATGTAGAGGGTTAGGATACATAACGGGGGTTTGGTGAATACGCGCACTATCCGTTTGTGTGGGGGGGGGGCGTAGGTGATCGGCAGGCACGGAAAACGGGATGGGTGGGTGGGAATACAATCAACTAGCAACAAAGTTGTGAAGTGAGAGGGAGAGCACGCCGAGGATGCCAATCGACGCCACGCGGAAGCACCCAGGAATAGTGTTGTCGGGCGAATAGTCGTTTGTTCCGAACGGAATCGCGCGCGTGCGTGAAGTGCGGGAGACAAGCTAGTGGGCTTATGTAGCTTACCGAGCACCTTCGCCTCCTCGCTCCCTCCTTCTCGTAGCCCTTAAAGGATCTACGACCCTCAGCCCAATAGAGATCTTAGTCATTGTACTCTGCGGTCTCTAAGTGTTCTTGCATGGATTTGTACGTGACAGAAACAACGGAACAAAGAACAAAGGTGAGACATCTCTGTATATCGTAAATCCATAATTCCCCTCTAGAAGCCGACTTTTCCCAAAACGAGGAATGCAGTCTGATCGCCTACAGACTGTACGCGCTTAATTGCCAGTCGCACATACCCACCTTCTGCATCTGCACCGCCTAGATGTGCCCCGGTTTGTAGCTGCCTCGATGAGATGGTTGATCTGCGTGTGGTGATGTGTCCAGCTTATCACCTTTGCGTTTGCGGAGTTTGAAGCGCATGGAGTCTGCTGTTGGTGCAGGTGATAATTTGTTCGCGCAGGCTGTCATTCCATGCTTTTGAACAGAGAAGCGCTAATCGCACGCCCTCCCTGGAAACGAGGAGAATGGAGGAAATTCAAGGTTATAATTGTATCGACGCGGTCCCAAACACCTGAGGAGTCAAGAACCGAACAAGCCCTTGGTTCAGGACAAACGTCGCGGCTCTGTCAAAACTTGGGGCAGGGCGAGTGACGAAGCACCTCAAAGGAAACGGGATGAATGCACAAGGAGTGTCTGCGGTAGCCATAGTCATACCGCTCATGGAGACAACGGAGTCCAGGATTATGCGCCGGTGGTACTGGGGATCCGTAGGAGGGCTCGCTTAAAACAGGCACTAGGCCAGGAAGTATTACAACAGGCTTTACCAGCAAGTCAAGAACAGGGGTGGAGCGACAGACAATCAAACTAGCAATCCTTCAGATATCTTCAGGTATCTTTCCACCTTCTTTCACCCGCGTCCACTCCTCTCCGTGTACAAATCGGGTTGTATCGACACCCAGCCTCTGGACCTGGCCTATGATGCGAGCTCCTGGCCGCTCCATCCCAGCACGAAACTGAGACGGTACCCAAAAGAGTCGCTGGCTAGATGGACGCAATAACCAGCCATCGTCGCTCACCCGACAATACTGATTTGGGAGTAAATGTATCTAGACAAATCAGAATGTCACAACTTTACAGATCGATAGGACGCACACTGTCTTCTGTGGTACTGGTATCCGTTATGCGTACCGTCTGGTCCTTAGATCCAGAGACAATGTGTTGGCCATCTGGCGAGAATGCGACTGAGGGAACCAGAGTCGTGTGTCCCTCGAGTGGCGACCCAACCTGTGCGCCCGTTTCTACATCCCACAGACGTAGTGTTGCCGACTAGAACTAACGTTTAGAAGCTGATAGAATGGAATCCCTTTTGCACCTAGAACAATACTTGGGACACGACCAGCTCAGGCCGCGCAAGCAACTGAGCACACTGGCGCTGTAGGCTCGCGCGCCAGCTCTGGGCGAGTCTACTGGGACGCGCAAACCCCGGAGCACTCTTTGTATTGTTAGTCCTTGTCCCAAACACAATTCCCAACCTTATTACTGTTCCACTTGTCTCTTACTCGGTTTATGACCGTTGCCACTCGTTTAGGCCTTTGTAGGTAGTCAGCTGCCGTCTACTCATTCCGGTTTCCATCCTCAGTTAGTCCAACCCAACCGAAATGTTTCTTTTCTGTCTATTTAAGACTCGTAGTCTGGTATCTCGAACTGTAGACGTAGAAGAGGAGTAGACTTGTACTACCCAGTCTGTCGTAGTTAATATTGCGCGACTTAGACCGGTTCTCTTCGTTTGAGTCAACTTTATTCATCGTTCTACGAATATAAAGTCTCGACTCACCAACTTCACAGACAGTCAAGGCGATCGAAAGCAAGCAAAAGTAGCATAGCAGAGCCACACCCAGAGGGAGATCTCGGCGAGGAGAGCGACAACTGCCTGCCTACAAGGAGATGCACGCGCCAATGAAACCGAGGGTAACCCAGTAAGTGGGCTCCAGTTAGACAATGTGCTATATTGGCGGTGCCACTGCACAATAATACTTAACCCAAAAAAAAAAGTCTCGACTCGACGGCACATTTTGTCTCGACTCCCTCTGAAACGTTACAGGCGCCTACATTTGCACCGCGCCCTGAATGATATTCTACAAAAGTGGAATCCGCTGAAAAGTTGAGCTCATTCGAGAAGTCTAATCTATTCTCTACACAAGGACACCCGACACCTGGTCGCGGCTGCATACATGTAGCAAAAATGCCGTGTAAAGCTATCGCAGAGGGACCTTATTCTCTGTGCAGCTTATATCACGGCTTGTCAGATCATGCGACCTTTAACAGGCTAGATAGTCTACACCCATCCTCGCACTCTAGTCAAATTCTACAGTCCACAAGATTCCAAAATTCATCTATATCATCACCAAGCTTTGACTTTTGTCGCTGGAGCCTCGCTTATTTGACTTTGACGCCCGTCAAGCGCATGTATCCCGGACTACAGCATCGCAACCGCCTCATCAGCTTCACGGCCATACCTCATTCTTCCAAAATCAGACTTCTATGCACCAATGCAAAATTGAAAGCTCCGGCGACAGCCAGCAAGAGCTCAAACAGTATGAAAGTAAGCTCTATGCTACTATTCAGTCAACTCCTTGTACACTTTTTGTCGCAACATGCGCATTCCCGCGTTGCTAATGTCCTCTACCACCGCCTTACCCATCAAAACTTGCCACGCGTCGTTGATGAGATAGAACCCGCACGCGTATCGGTTCCTTTGTGCTTGCACTAGTAGCTCGTCACATATGACGACCGTATCGACTCCAGGCGGCCTTCAGAGCAGATAGCAAAGGCCCTGAGCATACACTGGACCAATAGTACGCACATAAGGTGAACAGAGCCGTTCCGAGCGTCACCCTTATTTTTTTAACATTTTTACTACATTTAGATACTGCTGTGCGACTCATGGTTGCTAGCCAGCCAGTTGTTATCAACCACTTTCTCATTTTCAGTCACTCGCCCTAGTTTTCCTCAAGGCCTCTCGTCTTCGCAGCTGTCCAGCTGTCCATGCCACCACTGCGCTCTAGATCATTTTCTATTCGTTTAGATTGTTTCCCTCTCCGTTCCGCTCATCTCCTCTATTGTCTTCGACGTTGTCATTGTTCTATAAAGGCACAAGTTGTACGCCTGCGCCACACACCGCTGTTCAACGGGTTCAATGGTCAATATCAGTTCTTTGGAGCATGCCAAAGAACTCCGCTTACCAGTCGATCTACATCGCCCTCCTTTGTTGACAGAAATTTTGGTCAGTTGCTAGAGATGGTAAGGTGTTGCGAGTATGCCAAAGCGGCTATCAAATCCATCGGAAGGTTTTGCCACTTGCACGTGGTCATAGGTGTACCTGTATATACAATACTTGGTTAGCCATGTCTTTGCAATCGGAATGTAGTCATTTAGAGTTCGAAATCGATGCAGAAGGTCATTATTCACTACTCATGGTGCCCAGAATACGTCATGACAATCATGGAAAATCAGAGATACGCATCTAGCAGATTTGAAGACAATGGTTCTTTGCATTTCAGCATCCTGGAGATATCAAGTCAATGGCGCAGTCGAAACAAAGAGACTTGGAGTTTGTATCAATCTATTAGATACATCTACAGTACAGCTGGACGGTGATAGTGGCATCGAATTTGAAGAGGGTGGTAAAGGTGTTGAAACATCTTGGGACAAGTTGATGATTGATTCGTCCAATCTAAACGCAATATTTTCGATCGATTCGACGTCAATTTCTTGCATTATTGATGTTCGCTTGACTTGTTCCAGCCATCCTCGCTCTCGCAGCACCTATGAGATCCACGATCCACTTCTTGCAGATCTCAACCACGGAGCGATGTCTCAATTCCCAGACCGCTTATTCTGGAGCTATTCAACATCTTATACGGCTAACAAACATTCAAACACGCTGACTGGCGATCCCACCTAGCTCAGTCATTATAGATGTCTTTATATGACCAGTGAATCGCAACTTTATGACCTTCACTCATGAGTTCTGAGGCCAAAAGACTCGAAAATACACTAGCTGGAAATCGCACTGACTGTCGGGAGCATAGGGAGTTGTTGGAAGCGCTAGCATGGTTGACAGAGAGTCAGCAGAGCCACGCTCTCCGCGGGATAAATGAAAGACATGTTCTCGCTGCTGCACGTGCAACTAAGACGCCTGACACACAACGTCTCGTGTACATTTCGTCTGTTGGAGCCAACCGAAATTCAATGCTCCTTTATTAAAGGTTGGAGAAGCACACCACCACTTGATCGTCTCATTGTTTCCACTTTACAGGAGCAAAGGCTTGACCGGGGATGGTCTTTCGGCTCTCGGATACAGTGACACCATTATATTCCGCCCTGGGTTTCTCAAGGGTCGCGACACCAAGCAAGCCTTTATGGCAAATGCACTCGAGTAAGCACCGCCGTTCTGCGACCGTAGACGAGCATTCATGAACAACCCAGTGGCCTTATGAGTATTCTTCCGGGTTACAAGAACCATATGCAGGTCCATGTCGCCGACCTGGGCAAAGCAGTCGTAACTGCTGGGCTGCTGGGAACCGCCGGCCTCCCAAAGGCGGCACAAGCGACTGAACAACCCGCAAATGGACACAAGTTTACATTGATTGGCAACGTTGGTGCACTTGGTCTGGCAAGCCTATCCTCCGCGTAGGCCGATGTATCGGAACATCGCCTTGGCCTTGTGACAGCAATTGTCGCGCATCGCCATTGAACTAGTTATGCGTAATAGATACTCATTAAAATATTGCAAACGATTCGCATGCTCAGGCTTGACCAGAATGGAGGGATCGCCCATATGGGGCCCGCGGAAGAATTCGAGGAGGATTGTTGATGATCAAAACGCGCGAGAAATTCGAGAAATGTTAGCGTACGAAACATAAAAAGTATGATTCAACACACGAGACAGTAGCTACAGCGCCCTGAGCCATAGCCGACCGGACATAGACTCACCTCTTGTCCTCGACCGCCATCGTCCATTTACCTAGCGGGCGGCTTGTAAACGACGATTGGAGCCTTTTGAGCTACTCTGGCACATCTTATCTTATCGTACGTACTGCCAATCTTCCCGCTTTGCCCAGGTTTCCAGCGTCCGACGCTAGGCCACCCTAGCTCGCGCCCGTTTCCTCGGTGTAGGGCGTTCAGCAATGATATGAACACGAGCTGATGCACATCTCCATCCTGCAGTTCAACTCCCGCCGACATTGTTCATCCGTGAACTTGGGTTTGTGGGTACGATAGCGCTACGCAGCGTCACCCCAGCTCGACCGCCATGTCTCTGCGAAAGCTAGCGAGTTCTCTTAGCAAAAACAAGGACAAGTCGCGTGGAACGAGCAGCTCGTCGACCGCGTCCTGGTCTCCCTCAAACTCACGATCCCACACTCCCCTAGCATCGTCGGTCTCACTTCCAGACTCTGCTTCGACTTCAAGTCTACAAAGATACTCTTCTGCTTCAACATCGACACATTCGCAGCACTCTACCGGCTCTACTTACAATCCCAATCAGACCCCGCTTCGGATCGTCGCTCCGTTTGCGACCATTGCTCCTCCCGAGGCACGCGAATCGACGTCTTCGCTTGGGAGTAATGAGACGCGCGATTCTGAGACAGCAACGCTACGCCTCAAGCGGTCGCTCACCAAGTTGTTGTCTCCCAAGGACTCGGAGTCCACATTTAGCCCATCGTATACAGGGCCTGCACCAGTCATCAAGTTAAAGGAAGGGACCAGGTCACGAAAAGGCTCGATACAAGGGAGTGATGGCCAGAGCGACGCGTCGTTTTTCAACGATCCAAATGCGTCCACCTCACGCTCGAGTACATCGACCAGCAGCACAAAACGGCTTGTCTCGTGGATTGGTCAGAGTAATATGGCGAAAAAAGTGCAAGACGCGCTCAAAAGCAACAATGGATCGACCAGCTCGCTTCCAGTCAGCCGTCCTCCCATGGGTGGCAGAATCTCAGGCGAGTACCACGACGACGAAGATGATCGTTCTTCAATCTCTTCTGCCGCCTCGTTCGTACAAAATGCCCCCGAGGATGACTTTTCCCGTATCCTGTCCGAACCAGACATTCCAGCAATGCAGATGAATCAAGCGCCTTTTCAGATACCCGCTGAAGTATATCTCCCTCGGTCCCACACAAACTTGCATGCTTTGACGTTGGCATCGCTCGCGTTTCCCCCTTCTCCTCATCCTCTTCTCTACAATCCGCATCTCCCAGCCTTTCCTCGGTCCTCTAATCCGCCATCCAAATTACCTCGGTTACCCACATTTCGTGCACATCTCGCCAAGACACGGATCCTTGATCGCCTAGAGGCGCAAAACCTCACACATGCGGAAAACGAATCAATTTTACCCTTTGGAAGAAAGGAACAAACGACTACAGGTAATAATAATCAGCCGGTTCTCACCGAAGGAGAGCAAGAAGAAGGGCGCAAAATCAATGATAGCCCCGGCCAAAGCGTTGGCCTGGAGGCGTGGACACGACGACCGCCATTCATGCAGCGCGCGCGTGTCTGGCAATATGATAGCTCCTCGGGCACACGGTTCAAATCTGGTGATGGTGACGACATTCGGTACGAGGCCATTTCGCACAGCAGAAACCTCCGGACCGAACTCAAGTTTACTGGGGGTATCCGAGCCCTCGCTGGTCTCGTCATGGCTCGTCCAGATTCGCGCGAGCTCCCAGACCTTCCGGTATCAGCTCCTCCATCAATCTCGGCGCTGTCCCCCGCGCCCATTATCGCGCCGCCGTCCATCGTTGAATCCATTTCGCCACGCAGTCTCAATTCCTCGCTGGTGATTGATGAGTCTATGCTCATTGATCCGTCGGAGGCTGTTCCTCAGTTTACGCACTCCACGACGGCTATCGCGCTACTTCCCACTCCATCCCCTCGTCCTTTGCCTTCGATCCCCTCGTTGACGGATGTTCAGACTATACCCTCTGGCATCAACAATGGGCAGCGAACAGAACTACCAGACGATGGCTCGCCTATCATCCCCGTCCGACCACTGCCTCCACGCCCAAGGCCGCTTCCTGTACCTCCCGTTGCCGTGTCGACGCCCAGTCCTCGTGTTTCTATCGACGAGCTCGAATCGATAGATGGTCCAGTCGTTGCTCTTCATACTATCGACAACTGTAAGTCGTTTGCTGTGTGTGAGGTATTGGCTAACATTCACCAAAGCAGCATCCCAAACACAGTTTCTCTCTCCACCGAGCTCCGCCCATGGACACACTGTCATGTCTCATTCACAGACCAATGGACCGTCGTCCTCGACAATCACGTCGGCTCCCAATACCCCGCTTGACCCTCTTGATACAGAGAGCGTGCGCCGGTTGAGCATTGGATCCATGAGCATCATAATGCCTGCTCCGAGTATCTTCTCCCTGGAGGAGATGGATGGTTTGGAAGCAACGAGCCCACACGATTTGGATAATCGACGACGCAGCGTCGTTAGCCTGAAGATGAGCGTCCACAAGCGTCTCTCCATGGCGTCACGTGCCTCCCGCGCGTCGTCACCTTCGATCCGCAACCATCCGCTACCACCCGTGTCCGAGTCATCCCGTCACTCAGAATCCTCGCATTTCTCGTCTCGACACACACCAAATGGCTCCGCTACTCCGTCTATGGAAAAGCTTCAGCGCCGAACAAATCCAAGCATGAGTTCATTGTCGTTTGAACCTTCGGAGCCCCAGGAGCAGAATACGAGCATACCTTCGAGCCCAGTGGTTGTCGTCGAACCTTTGCAACCAGTTATCGAGAATGTCAAAGGAGAGGAGCAGGCCCGTTTGGAACCATCCCCGATGTCGGAAGAGATTGATCCTTTCATCTTGCAAAAGCAGAGTATAGGGGGATTGTCTGACACAAAATTGGAGTTGGTTCTGAACGGAAAGCCCTCTCCAATTATCACCAATGCAGAAGTAACTCGCTTGCTGTCACCCGAACTTCCCCATCTTTCGCTCGCGACTACAGACTTGCCTACTTCGGCCGGACTCAAGACGGACCAGAGGTCCATCGGCGCAGGTAGTCCCCCTGGAGGCTCCGTTCAGTCACCTTCGACATCGGACTCTGCTGGTTTGAGTGACTCTGCTGCGCCAGTCAGATTTGTCAAACTCAAGCGCTCTGGATCGCAGATGGCGAGCGAGACCAGTCTAGGAAATGGTTCGCCTTCTAGCGCGGGTACTGGACGTTCCCTGCAACGAGCATTGAAGGATCCGTCCAAGTTTTGGCCGCATAATCGTCGCGTGGATGAGGAAGGCGAACAATCAACGTCTGGAGAGCCATGTATCATGGCTCGCACGTCCTTTGCGGAAGAGAGGAAGAGTTTGGTTGAACCGTCGGAATCCATGTCCTCGAGTGCGCCTTCGCGTGTGAGTGGGTCTCAAGGCTCGGATAAGGCGGGAACCACGTCTCTTTCCGGAGACATGGAACTCACCGACGCCACGCAACCCGCGATGAATCACGACGGGGATGATCCGCTCACCTCTCTCCCTCTCTCCATCGCTTTGGACGTTGCAAGATTATCGGATACCAGCAGGCTAGATCTCACTCTTTTCAATTTCCAGTCTACTAGCGATGCACCTCGCTCCTCAATCTCCTCCCACCTCTCCGAGAGTGAGACGGCAAGAGCAGCGTCGGTCAAGGAGATTGCGGCTAATATGTCTGTACTTCCTTCAACACCGACTGGACGGCTCACGACGCAAACGAGACACCATCGCACTCACTCCAATGAGCGTGCGGCACGAATTGAGGCGCATCTCAATAGTGTTTCATCTTCACGTAATAGGCCTTCGACGGCACCACAACGGCGCCCCGATTTCCTCCCGTACCCGGGCACACGCCCACATCCGAACGGTGGGCCACACCTCATGCGTCAGTCGAGTGAAGACAGTCTTGGAGGTAGCTTGCGGGGGTATGCAAGTGACTCCTACGACGCCGAAATGTCTGGAGATGACCCAATGACACCACCTCCAAACGGATCCTTTGTCATGCGTGGGCCACCGCCACCATCGAGGTGGGCCAGTCCCGACTGGAGGCGACCGTCGAATACGTTGCCATTGCCGTCTGCATCCATCTTGCCGTCTGCAACACGACCCGTACCTGCTGGAAGGGCACTCAATAGGACAGGATCGATCATGTCTTCGAGTACACCTGCAATCTTGAGGGGTACGGCTCACTCACAATCTCATACCGTTCGTGGGCGGACGTTACGGATGTAAGATCCGGTGTCTTCATTATCCGTACAACGCATATAATAATCTGTCCGCATCTGTCTTACAAGGAACTCCCTGTCCTTTTTGTGTTCTCAGTGTCATGTCTCACTCTCTTTTCGATCCCTGGGGGATATTTTATGTCCACTTGTCGCTGGTCTGCGAAATTACGCAACCACAGACACTCAATCTTCCTGTACTACTCCATCTCCTCTCATCTACACAAATGTCGTGCATCCTTCGTCTCAATATAACAGCTCTATTGTGCAATCAAAACAATAAGTAGACATATAAGAAATACTGCGAGGAGCTGATATACAACCATCCATGCGTGGCTTTCATCGTACATATTGTGGTGGGGGCGTTGGTGTACGGTAACTGGTACCCATGCTACTACGCTCAACGGCACGTCGTCTATCCGAGCTGAGATATTCCGTGCCACTGGTAGTACCAGTGTTGTCAAAGCTGTCGAATGGGGAAACTGTAGCAGTGGCTGGCACCCGCTTTTCGTCCATGGCAGGCGTGTGCGTTATGTGCGTCGCGCTGCCCTCGGGCAAAGGCCAGGATGATTCTTGGTACGAGTTTGGTGACACGGGAGCATGACCGTTTTGCACAGGCGTGGGGGGCGCCCGGTCCGTCGTGGGAGACGAATCCGTGTTCATCGTCCCACTGCCCACATTTGAAGGTGACCGCAGGTAGCCATGTCCATGGGGGTTATTGAGGTCATTGTATGAGTCCTGGTATGGTAGGTTACGCCGTGAGGACGACCCTCCCGCAGGCGTTTGATCACCAAGTGAGTTTGTGCTTGCAAACGGATCGGCATTATAAGGCG